ATCAACCGGGTAGCCCTCAATTCACGCTTTCCAATGAAGTACGTCTCGTTGTATAACCCCGGTCGCTTCGTCTGGGCAGTACGGAGTAACCCTAAGTTTCTGCTTCGTCAGCCAATTACTTCGAATCAGTAAGCGATCATACCTCACCTTCCTGAGTTGACGAACCAAATCGAGGTTATGGACGAAGTTCTGAGGCTCAAAAGTTGGGTTTCTCTTTCGGAAGTCGTTTGACTCCAAAGTGTCGGTCGAGCTCATCTCGCCTGCGAGAAATCCTCTACCAAGTGGAGAGTAGGCAATCAGAGCTGTTCCGTTCTTTTTTGTCCAATCAAGAATGCCGTTGGTCAGCACGTCTGGCGTCCAGCGCGACAACTCAATCTCGATTGCGTCGATGTGAACGACGCTGTTGGCTCGCTCCAATTGATCCAAGTTGAAGTCTGACACACCGATGTAGCGGATTTTGCCCTCGTCCTTGAGCTTCTTCATACCCTTCATCTGCTCTTCGACAGGCTCGACCGCTCGATGGGCTTGGTAGAGATCAATGTGATCCGTGTGCAAGTGTTTCAGGCTTGCTTCGCAGGCTTCAACGGGGTATTGCGCCCCAGGAACAGGCGACAATTTTCCTTGCTCGTCCATCCTGGATGCATGCTTGCTGTTCAAGAAAACTTTCTTGCGGGCGTCTGGATTGGCTTTGAAGAACTCGCCAATCTATTCTTCACCCTGACCGAGTGAGGGCCGACTTGTGTAAAAATCTGACGTGGCCCAGTGGGTGACACCTTTCTCTAGGAGATGCTTGAAGACCTCATCACAGTCTCTTTGCGTCTTCGGACTTCCGCAGAGGGCTGAAAAGAGAAACATGAGAATGAAGGGCTAACAAGAGAGGCGCGTGGCCACCGCCTTTGCAAACATAATCACAGCTGCCCTTCAACCCTGCTACGAGCACGAACGTCCATCCACACCCACCTGCTAGCCCCATGCAGCCATAGCCAAGGGGAGATAGAGAAGTCTTTCCGATCTGACGGGAAAGCAAAGACATGGCAACGACGATATCCTGCTGATTAGAAGGTCTTATGAAGCTTGCGTATCATGAAAAGGCTGGTGCTTGTTCGACAGAGTGCCACTTTTTATAGCTACACACGCTCATTCCAACAGTTGTCATCCGAAGAGGCAACACACAGTCCACCTCTCCTCTGGTTATGCTCTCCCTTGATTTGCTGGACAGATAGGTGGAGGTGACGATGTGGAGCGAGGCGTGCTCACTTTTGGCTCACCCTCGCTGTATGGGCGCGCCCACAGACCTCACATGCGGCTAGAGCAAAGAAAACAATAAGCGCGCGTCTTGTTTGGCAATCTTTGAATTGTGCACGCGTAGGTTCCTCTGAACTGGAAAAAGATCTTCCCGATCACACGTGGCTAGGGTCGATTCTTGCATCGTCCCGATATGCTTTGGCTGTCAGATGGTACTGTCAGATGTTGGAGACGCGAAAAATGCGCTCCCGCACGGTTTATGTCGCATCCCTGTACAATCCTTCGCGCGCTACATCTTAGTTATTCACGACCGCCAGCACGCTGTTGACGTGATAATTGGTCGGACCAGGGTACGCCGTCGGCAAGCCGCACCACAAAAGCTCCAAACCCGGCCTGAAGATGAGCACGTACGACGAACCGCCAAAGTGAAACATGCCCAACTCATCACCCTTTTTGACATGCTGGCCGGGTGCCACCGTGGCCTCGCACGACGAGACTTCGGCCATGCCAATTGCGAGAAAGGCGACGACACCGATGGCTGGGTTGTCCGCCTTGATGAAGATGAGCATGCGCGTCGCCACCGACGCAATGTACGGCTGCGAGTTGTTGGGCGCTGCTGCATCGGCATGGCCCCCAAAAAGACCCTGATAGAAATTCTCCGAGTAGTAGGTGCCAAGGATGTTGCGAACGCTGAGAATGGTACCTGAGACTGGCGTGTGCCAGCGATGGAAGCTGAGCGCCGAGAGAAAGGCCTGGTAGACGGTGCCACCAACAAAGTAGTCGACCATCGGATCGCTGTCGAGCATGTCTTGCAACGAGTAGCGCTGGTTCTTGGCCATAAAGTTGTCGGTGCGCTGCACGCCGCGCACTGGCGCTTGAAAAGGGGCTGACTCGCAGGCATGGACAATGAAGCGGGGGTCGTCTGGATTCTCCTTGGGGTGCACAGGGCGGACACCGGGCTGAAACTTTCTCGTGAAGAAGTCGTCCCAGCAACGAAACCCATGATTTGGCGCGCTTGGGTCGCACTGATAGAGCTGGACAAAAGTCAGCTTCGTGACCGGCCCGTCGCCGCATTCGTTTCCCTTCTTCTCCATTTCATGAATGCCCTTTGAAAGCCAGCCCTGCAACACACGTGCGGAATCCTTGTCGTGCTGCAAATACTGGCCCCATTTGGTAATGATTGCGCGTAGGCACCGGTTCACATCGCTGTCCAAGAAGAACTGGTAGCCGGCTGCCGTGCCCATGGCGGTGTCGAGCACGGCATTGAAAGGGAAGCCGATGAGGCCGCTTTTCTCTTCCGCATCGTCCCACGGGGGTGCTCTTCGCATGAGCACGTTGAAGCACCGCAGCATGCTCTCGAAATCCTTGACACGTGGTTTCTCACGATCACGGAACGGTCGAGAGTCGTTGTTGGCAGCCTCGGTGAACATGTTGTTGGACAGTGGTTTGAGGAGAGGACTACGGTCGACCACGTGCTGAAAGGCAACCAAGGTGGGGTCGAGTTCGCTGTAACGGCTTTCGTGGCTAATCTCGACGATCGTCGCAACCCATTCTCGTATGATAGCCTTGTCTTTGGGAAGCCAGTAGCCGACTCGGTGTGTTGCATGGTCCATCTTGACGCGATCTGGTCTGTTGGGCGGTGTTCGCTTGAGGGGTGGTGTTATAAAGTGGAGAGCAGAGACATAGAACTACAATCGAGGGTAACCCGTTTGCGAGACGTTTGCCTATCTGGGCTTGTGGGGAAACCCACTTCGGAAAGGGGAAGATCCCGTCCGTGGTCTTTGAACAGGACAGGCCAAGGGTCAGATGCCTTCGAGCTCTGTCCCTGGCAACTGCCAAAGGCAGCTCGAAGCTGAGTTTGAACTTTCCTTTGTCTAGCTCATGTTTCCCGACCACGGCTGAAACATTTCCCCCTGCCCCACTTCAGTCTCGCATGCTGTGAATGATCGTGCTTCTACAGGCACAGACTGTGCCAGAAAGGAAGCCAGGATATTCTCGGTGCTGTTTCGGCTGCCGAAGATGCACCTTGGCTCGGGCGCTCAGATTACTGGGACGAGGCAAAGACGTAATGGCACACGTTTCCTCCATTTTTTAATAATCATCGGATGCTGGTGGCTCCGATAACTTTAGACTAACCCCGCAGGCTGACCCCGTGTCGGGCCCCACGTCTTCTATGCAAGTTTTGGACGATGGCGGAATCTCAGATTTGTGCTGTAGAGTAGTAGCGTTAAGACACGGAATAACAACACGAGGAAGAGAAAAGAGTCACGCGACAAAAGTCAGCCTATATAATAATTCTCAAATTTGTATCTAGCTCAAGACACGGAATAACAACCAGCGTCATCGTGGTTGTTCCACTTTACCGGCGTGACTTCTTTCTCTTCATCGTGGCTGTTACCGGTACCAGTATATGAGTCACGTGTTTTCTTATCAGGCTCTGCAGCCTCGGTCGAGATATCAGCGTGTTCGGGACACAGCACATTGCCGGCGTGGAGGTAGAGGAAGACATTCAACGAGTCAGCCTACCTGTCAGGACTTCATTTGCGCCGGATTCGATCGGCTCGATCTGCTCTCTCGAGATCACACTGGCACTTTTGTGCTTGTAGCAAGCCCACGTCCTGCAGTAGAGGTCCTGCTGTGAGAGTCGCAATTCGTATGCAAGTAATTGACGAAGGCCGCGGAAGAGAGGCCGAAGGAGAGAGCCGGAGGAGGAAAAGCAGGCTGGCCTCGTTGTCACCTTCGCACTCACCATCGACCGAAGGCCCGCCACCCAAGGCCCGACGCATACAGAGAGCTTGCTTGCAATGCCGAGCGCGCAAGCAAAGGTGCCGTCTGACGTTTTCCACCCGCAATGTTAGTGTCGATCAGCAGGATACGGCAGCCTGCTGGCGATGTGTACAAAATGGCGTGGCCTGCTCTTTTGCCAGCGAGGAGCTTTCGAGTCAAGAAGTAGGCCAGTCCAGCGTCAGCCGCATGCCATACGATGTGCAAGCTAGGTGCATCAGACTAGCGAGGGCAATCTCACATCGTCTCTGACTTCGTTTCTCCTCGACCCATGCAGACTTGATGATCAGCAGGCCAGGATTGAGCGTCTCGAGTACAAGATATCTGCCATGCGTAGCGTCTGGACACCGCTTGCAGATGCTAACCACGACGCAGCAGTGCGATCGGTAGCTGGCACCGACGATGACATTGAGAGCCGCCAATCATGGCCGGCTATAAAAAGCAATGCGCACACAAGCGACATCGATGCGGTCAGTTTGGGGCCACCGATGGCCACCCTGCGTTTTCTGAGATCTCCCCGAAATCGTCAAGCTACTCGAGACTTTGACAGCGCAGGAGCTCTCAACGAAAGGGACGGCTTTGAGGTTGGTGATGATGCAGAACAACACAGCGTGGAAAGAGGCCGCCGAAGAAGCCGAGCCCAAGAATCTGATCTTGAAGGGCCGGCAAATGAGCTTGACCCCGTGGAGCGAGGATGGATGACGTATCGTGAAGCCTGCATTGCTGTCGAGATCTTCTTTGATCACTGCCATCCCGGCGCACCCTTCCTGAACGAAAATCGGTGCCGCAATGTGGATCAGCTTCGTCAGACGAGCCCTCGACTGCTCCTTTCGCTCTGCTGCATCGGCGCTCGCTTCTGGCCGGTCAGGACAGGAGCAAGGCTGACCAGGTAAATGCGCGGTGGAGTGCAGATTGGTGTCTGAGAAGCTCATTACCTTCCTAGCGTCGGCATGCATCCCAACTTCCCAGCTATGGCCGCTCTCTTCGACGGGTCGATCGCACGCCTTGTTCTGCAGCCAACGCAAGAGGATGTGCATGCCGACACGGTCGCAGTTCTCCTCCTGTACGCACAATGGATGACGCCGTGCGAGGCATTCCCGGCGCCTGGGCGGCAGTGGAAGCCAAAGTTGCGATATAACGACATTAGTGCCTTTACCATCCTGGGGTTGACAGTGCGTCTAGCCAACCTGATCGGGCTCAATCGTAGCTGCAGGGCACTGCTTCGCGACCCAGACCAAGCTTCGTCTTGCACATTGTCTGACCGCGTGCGACTTTGGTACAACTTGCTGTCGTGCGACTGTAACTTGGTCATGACCTCAGGTCTTCACAGCTCTTTTAACGCTGCCCTCATCGATGAGGCCGCAGCCGCATCGGAATGTTTTGCCAGCCATACCTTTGCGCAGCTTCCTGGCGATGCACGACTCGCTGGCTTGATACAATTGGTGTCCATCGTGTCAGGGCTAAATGCGCGCAGCCATACGTCACAGCAACAGCCGCACGAGTTCGACGCAACCCAGTTGCAAAAGATAAATGTCGAAATGGATGAATGGGAGAGGCAAGTCTTGGCAGGATAGTGTCTCCCAGACCAGATTTACTCAATCTTTTCTTCCGAATCCGCAGGAAATGGACGTCGAGACTATGTGAGTCGATCTTCCTCTCTCATCAAGGCAGCAGTATCTTACCGGCTACGATGAATTGGCCAGCGCACCTTCCTCTGCAGTTTGCGAGAATGCCATTGTACTCGGTCAGGGTACGGACATTTGTCTCGACGTGTGGCTCTTCAGCTTGATGCTGACTATCGACGTCCTTTCAGGCCTACCGCATTGCGATCAACAGCGTGGCACTGCGTCCTTTCTTCACGTCGGTACGAGGTCAAGTAGCCCCAGCGCGGAACAACGAAGCGAATGCAGCCTCGAGACCTGTCAGAGTCGGAGCAAGTGTCGTGCAGAGCCTTCGCAAGAGCGTGGCAGCTGCTGCGCAGACGATCCTCTTCATGTCAACATGTCCTCCTGCATCGGTGATGGTGCTCGATCCTCAGAACCCTCGCTCGGTGCCTCATCCGCCGTGGTTGGTCGACGAAACCTGTGCCAATGCGCTTGTCTACGCGGTCGATTCGACATGGGTCACCCACGCCTTTGCGATATCGTACCTTGTTTTGTGTTTTGTAAGAGGCATTATCGATGGTGAGCAAGGTCAGAAAAAGAGTGAGATGCTGGCGTAGTGACTGTGCAAATACAGCCGAGCTGCAGGTGAGCGTGCTGGAGTATGCTCAAGGCAATAGGCAATTGTGTCGATCGACATCGATGCTGGCCATGCTCGCCGACCTGGCGAGCGCCATCTACGATACCGTCTGCGCAGGCACAGGCGAGCACCACCCGTCTCATCACTATCGGAGGCTCGTCTACGCTGCGTGCTCCCTTGCACGTCGATCGGAGCCGGAGAAGGACTTGCCAACGGAAAGGCGTGTGCGACCCCGGACCAGTGCGCAGTACGATCATCAACCACATCACGTTCAAGCGCAGGGATGGCCTCAGCAGGAGCCTGAGGAGGAGCAAGCTTTGCCACAACATCCTTATTCTCCTGGAGGACTCTCTGATCTTCGACAATAACAATGGCAAGCGGATCAAACGGGTCAGAACGGATTTGGAGACGAGGCCCAGCTGCTTCTTGAACTAATGAATGATTCCGGTCTCGAGTGGTTTAACAATCTCTTTGATCAGGACATTTCCTTTGCTGCACAATAATGCAATTTTGAGCCGGAGCATGCATGTCATTTGACTCTACAATCTTGGCTTGCTCGACAGCAACTCGAAATGGACGGGCTGTGCTCCCTCCCAGAGAACGGTTCGGCCCAGTTCGGCGAGCTGTTCTGCGCCTTGGATGATGGTAAGGACATGGTTGGCAGCCAGGGGCCCCATCTTGCTTGCAAACGACGTGCCGCCGTAGCAGAACAGGATCTCCGTCTCCGAGTAGCCGCCCGGGTAGACAAGAATCTGCCCTGCGCTAGGGTGGGATGTATGGTTCTCAAAGGGCAGATCAGGTGCCGCACCGTCGCCGAAGGGCATCCAGACGGCCTCGCCACTCCAGCGAACGTGGATGAGCTTGTGTCGCAGCGGCATCTTGGCCGTCAGCCACGCTGCCGTCTTTGGCGCATTCGACTCGAACTGGGCCAGGAAGTGGAACTTGCCAGTGGTGATCGCGACGACCTTGTGGGTAAGTGCAGGAGGATCTGTTGGGGCGGACATCGTTCGTATTCTCGCGAGAAGGAGAGTGGGTCAGGCCTAGGGTTCGTGGAAGACATTCACATTTTCCAAAATCGCGAGAATGTCGGTCGACCAAGTGCGAGCGCAGCCACGCTAGCGAGAATTCTTACTTTCCTTATCTTTATCTTTATTTTTACCCGGGTGGAAACAAGCCAGGAACGGACCAACCGCGCGTCGGGAGCAGATCCGACGAGGCCGACAAGTTGCAGCAGCATATCTTTGCCTCGGCGGGTGACAAAAGAGGGTCGCGTCGGCGTTCTCGGTACCCGTCGGCCCCGTACCGACTTTCAAAGTTCTGCTGAGGGTACAGCAGAGACTTCATAAGCACTACGGACTCAAAAGATCAGTGCTGCAGGGTAACTTTCTCGCGAATATTCCACGACGATGACGACCACGACGATGATCACGACGGCAGAGGCGGAACCGCAGGCAGGCCTCTCGTGGAGGCTACCACAGAGTACAAGGGTGTATCCGTGCACCGCCGGTGTCGCAATGAAGGTCAATTGCGAGCCTGAACGCGTGGCCGCCCTCACTGTCTGGCCCGTCATGTTCGATGGTTCGGCAGCGAAGTCAGTCCGCTTTGGGGCAGAAGTCGAGGGCGTGGATTGGTCCAAGCCAGTGCCTGCTGAAGTAGTCGCGCAGGTGAGTTTTGAGACTGTGGCCTGGCGATGTGTGTCCAAGCCAGCTGTTGCTCATAAGCTGTCAACAAATTTCATCATCTTCCCAGCTCGTGTCACTTCAGGACAAGTACGCTGTGCTCATCTTTCGCAACACTGGACTGGACGACGCTCGACACATTGCCTTTTCGAAAGAGCTGGGCGACGAACTAGAGACAAATCCGTTCTACTACGGCATCGAGAATGATCGCGTGGGTAACCCGCTGCTCTTTGACGTGGGCAACATCGACAAGGACGGCTCTCCTGTTCGCAAGGACAGCAGACGATGGCATCACAGCATGGGCAACGTGCTCTGGCACACCGACTCGTCCTACCACCAGCAAAGATCCAAGTACTCAATCCTCCTTTCTCATGGCAATCCTGTCAAGGGAGGCTCCTGGACGCATTTTGCTGATACAAGACGCGCATATGCGGATCTGCCCGAGGACAAAAAGCGCGAAATCGAAGATATGATCGTTGAGCACGAGTGAGTGTGTGTAGAGAGAATGCTTTGATTTCGTGTTTGCTCACGACATAAAACAGCCTCTGGCACTCGCGCAAGATCGGGTCGCCCCAGGTGTACAAGGAACCATTGCCCCATGAGAGAACTCTCAAGCCGCCGGCGTACCACCGCCTGGTCCAACGTGCTCCTGACGAGAGAAAGACTCTCTTCCTGGCAGCGCATGCCAAGCGCATTCTAGGCCGCTCTCTCGACGACAGTCAGCGGCTCCTTTGGGATCTCATTGCTCACTGCACCAAGCCCGAATACGTCTTTAGCATGGAGTGGCTCCAGGGCGGTGACATGGTCTGGTGGGACAATCGCCAATCGATGCACCGCGCCAATCCGTACACTGAGGAGATGACAGCTCGGGATGTCCGTCGGTCGACAATCATTGATGATGGGCCGCTGGCATTTGGTGTGTCCAGAGATGAAATTCACCGTGCTGGCCTGTCGGTCGAGGAATAAAGCCGTAGGTTGCATCCTCGCAAGGAAGAGGAATGGTAGCGTCTCTGCATTGTAGCGGTGGCATGGCTGTGGGCTAGCATTCTCTCGGCATTTGGCATTTGATAGATTCCGACCCAAGGGTGAAATTGAATGATCGATTACTATGCAAAGCTATGCAGCACCGAACGTCATGAACATAGAGCATAGATTGATACCGCCTAGGATGCTACCACATCACTACTGCCTTTTTTCAGACGGTCTTCGATCGCCAGGACCGGCTGCAACTTGGCCAAGAAGTGCTTTCCTGCTTCTTCGTCCAGTGGCAGAAGAGGACGTCTGGGGTTGACGCTGTAGCCGTGCCTTATGCTGAGAATGTACTCTGTCGAAAGAGTGATGAGATAAGGCAACGGCAAGCTCATCGAAATCCAACTCACTCATCCCCCTCACCCCCATGGGCACTGCTGAGGTGTCCGCTTGAGACATAATCGCTTGGAGCATGTCTCTTTCTCTCGTCTCTTCCTCGGTCAGCTCTTGCTTCTGAAGCAGATGCCATAGTCTAGCCACAGTACGAGGCGCAAAGTTGGATAGACCGCTGACTGTCCCGTGTCCACCCACAGCCTGCCAAGCTGTCCAATCGGAGATGAAACCGTCGAGGAACAGAAAATCTTTTCTGTCCAAAATGGGCGAGAGCGCCGACTTCAGCCGAATCAGCTTGCCGATATTGCCACTGCAGCTGAGGGCAAGAAGTCAGCTGGGAGCAGGCCATCGATAAACTTCTCCGCGCTTACGTTAACTTTACTCCACAGAGACCGGGAGAGGAGAGGATGATCTGAGCGATTGTGTCGGAAGACATGTCCTGGCCAGCCGAGTTCGCTGGGAAATTGTAAAGAAGGATTGGGATCTGGAAATCTTGCGTTGTAAGATGAACGCCCGCGCTCGATGAGATACAAACCGGCATACACGCACTGGGGAGGCATGACAGATGTCATGATAGTATCGCACAATCTGGGACGTATCGGACGACAAGCTCTGGGCGTAGTATGCTGGCAAAATGACCATCCCTGCATCTCTGTTGTAGGAATTGATTCGAAGACTTAAGTAATTGGGAGATGGCCTTCACCTTCGAAACTCACGCTCCCGCCCGGGCCGCATCGCGTGCAAGAGCAACACTTTCTCGGGTACTCGCGCCGCCTACTCCTGCTACGATTGGCACGTCCACGAGGCCTGGCTCGGCATCAAGGGTCTTGCGCGTAAATGAGATAAGTCTGATGCGCTCCTCCGGCGTCTGCGTGAGGCTCAGTGAGGGATCGCTGTTCTGCAAGAAACTTTATTGCTCACCAAATGAACTGCTTCTCCTAGTGAGCCAGCACACACAGGCTCTGTTTGCGAGGGTAGTCAGTACTTTTAACAAGTTGCGTGGCATTTTCACTTACTTCCGCCTGCACGAGTGGTCTCTGTTTGCGATAGGGCGGCGTCATCAGCATTGCCCCGCCGCAAAGTCCATCCACACTTGCTGAACTCACCAAGCAGGTGCTTTCGGTAGCTGTCGAGATCCAGCTCCTCATCATCATCAAAGAATGTGGGCAGAGGCGTGTAGACCCCTGGAGAGAGAGCACGTTTGATGGGACGTGCTTCCTCGGTCTCTTTGCAAAAGCCCGTCATGGTGGTGAGTGTTAGAGGCGTTGTGCCAAGAAATGTCCCCAGTTACGTGCGCGGGTGGTCGAGGTTGACACGGAGCTCGGTTCCTCTACCGAAGCGTCGGCATGTTCGGTAGTCAGCCGACGCAAGATTGCGGGCATTTAAAATTCGGGTAAAGGGTTTCAGCAATAATAATAGAGGATTGTGCCTAGAAAAGTCAAATTTGACTACCGCTCTCCGCTTATCTCTGCATGTTGCCATGACATTCTTCGTCTCTGTTCCAACCATAACTTCCCACCACTCATTCACTGGCATTGGCCCTGCGCTCTAGGCTATCGACGTGACAGCCTTTGAGCACACCAGTACAGCTGCTTATCTCGAGCCGCCGACATGCTTGAGAAAGTCATATAAGAGGCTGCTTTGTCAATGGCTTTGAACACAGATTCCTGTGACTCCACCGAACCCCACTACAGTCCCACCATGTCTAGCGAAGAGGTGGGTGGTCTTTCGAAGGTTCAGAGCAAAGAGTAAATAGCGCTGACCTAGGAGCATGTCTTACCGAACAGAAGAAGATCGATGAGAGCAACATGCCCATCTGCAACGAGCTAGATCGCGTACCGGGGCACGACTCTCAGGAACCGCTTTACGGCCTGCAGCGGTCCCTCAAGCCGCGCCATGTGCAGATGCTCGTCATCGGCGGTGTCATAGGTACAGGTCTATTCCTGGGCACAGCGGGCAATCTTCAAAGCGGCGGTCCAGCGGGCCTCCTCATCGGCTACTGCATCATGGCCTCTCTGCTCTACGCGGTCATGGTGGCCCTTGGTGAGATGGTGTCACAACTTCCAGTGCCTGGTGGTCAATTCGCCCTGGCTGGTCGTTTCATCAGCCCAGACGTGGGCTTCGCCATGGGATGGCTGTACTGGTACAAGTGAGGACGACAGGTCGCGCTAGACGGAACGCCACACTGACGAGAATCAAACAGCTACATCATCGTGCTTCCTGCCGAGATTTCGGCCTGTGCCGTGCTTATTTCGTACTGGACCAACCCCGAGTCCTCAACGTGCGACTCTCCGGTATGCAACAACGCCCTATGGGTGGGACTACTTCTTATCGTTGTGCTTGCCATCAACTTCGCCGGCACTCGCGTATTCGGAGAGTGCGAATTCTGGTTCGCCAGCATCAAGGTTATCACCATTGTCGGCCTGATTCTCGTCGGCATCGTCATTTCCGCGGGTGGAGGTCCAACACACGAGACCATTGGTTTCCGCTACTGGCGAGAGACAGGCGGCTTCGTGCAGTACAAGGACATTCCAGGCTCCAAAGGTCGCTTTCTTGGCTTCTTCAATGTCCTTATTTCTGCCGCCTTCTCCTTCATCGGCACCGAAATCACGGCCATCGCAGCCGCCGAAACAGACAATCCTCGTCGCTCAGTGCCCAAAGCGATCCGCAGCGTTTGGGTTCGTCTTGTCCTCTTTTATGTGACAAGCGCTTTTATCATCGGTATCATCGTCTCCCCCTCTGATCCCGACCTTAATCTCAACTCTACCGCGGCCAAGAGCCCCTTCGTAATTGCTATCAAGAGAGCACAAATCTCGGTGCTGCCATCGATCATCAACGCAGCGCTTCTCACCAGCGCATGGTCCGCTGCGTGTGCTGATCTCTACGTGTCGTCCCGCACGCTATATGGCCTGGCTGCGCGAGGCCAGGCCCCTTCGCTACTGCTCAAGACGCGACGGTCGGATGGTTTGCCATACATCTGCGTCATCATCTGCGGATTTTTTTCATTGCTCTCGTTTATGGCGGCCAGTGATGGCAAGGCAGGCAAGGCATTTGGATACTGTGAGTGCCCTTTTCTTTGCCTTGTCACAATAGCACTTTTCTCACACCTTCTTTGTCCTATGCAGTTTCCAGCATGACAGCTATGTGCGGCATCATTTCGTGGAGTTGCATTCTATGGACTTATCTTCGATGGCGCAAGGGTCTCGACACGCAGAACATCGACCGCGCAGAGCTTGCATACCGTGCCCCGTTGCAGCCTTATCTGAGCTATTATGGCGTGGGAGCCTGTCTGCTGGTCATGGTCTTCGGCGGCTTTGGTGCATTCGTCATCACATTCGACAGCTCCACATTCATCACCACGTACTTTCCCATCCCCTTCTTTCTGGTCCTCGCTATCGGCTACAAGGTCGTCCACCGAAGCAAGTTTGTTCAGACAAACGAAATGGACTTCGTCACGGGCCTTTCGGTAGACGAATCGAGCGTTTCGCACAGTGGCAAGAGCAGTGACCTAGTTTCGAAGGTGTCGCAACTGCTCAAGATGCATCGCAATAAGTCGGAGATTTAATGTTGATCAGGCTACGCATGTGAAGCTCTGTGCACGTGACATCAGCAATCCCTTTCTTGCTACCCCTCCTCGTTTTCCCTTGTATCTAGATCATCAGACGAATCGATCCTCATCTGTGCTGCGGTAACTCTCTGTCCCTCTGCCATTCTACTGCCACGCCATCCTATTGCTCTGCCCATCGACACACATAGGGACAGCCGCGTCATCAGCTCAACATTTAATTAGATCGTATTTCGCCTCATCGAGCAGTCGATCAATCACCTATGAGCATTTCTGTTGATCTCTTGAATTGAACTCAGCGCTCTTCGTAACGCAGCAGCCTGAAAATACTGACGCTTTTAGATAGGTGGACACACCAATGATACGCAGAGCTGATAAATTGGGGCCCAATGATTCAAAAGGGGGGACCCCCTACTGGAGAAAGCGATGCCTGGCTCTATCTTACCCAGAATCGGCCTGCGTCCCGAAGATGCCGACGCGCTGAGATAGCGGGTGAGATAAAATTTCAAGCGTGTCGGCCTCGAGTACGACTCTAGCTGCCTCTTCCTCCCTTACACCTAGGACTGATGACGACTTTCGACCTTGTCATTGTCAACGCCATTGCTGTGACGGCTTGTGATGTGTTGTAAGTGTGACTAGACTGGAGAACACTTGAGCAAGGTGCTGATGAGCGTACCTTGCCAAGTCCTTGCTCGATCAGTGTCAAGGACGGCAAAATCGCCGCCATCGCTAGCCAGGGTTTCAGTCAAGAGGAGCTCGCCGGCGTAGAGGTGATAGATGCCGAGTAGGTAGTCTTGCTGGACTTCTGCTTGCAATTCGAGTGCTCATAACACTTTCTCTCTCACACTTCTTCAGAGGGGCATATGTCATGCCAGGAGGGATCGATGCCCACGTGCATCTTTGTCAAGATCTTCAGACCGGTGCGCGACGCTGGAAGATCACGAGTCTCGGTGCAAATATGGCTGACCGATTGAGTAAAAGGCCCTCATGGTCTAGGTGGGCGCTGTGCCGATGACTTTGCGTCGGGTTCCATGAGCGCAGCGGCGGGCGGCACCACGACGATGATCACTTTCGCCTGTCAGACGAGATCTGAAGAAGATGCCAGCCTGCTCTCGGTCGTGGAACGCTACGATGCACGCGCCAAGGAGACGGGCAGCTACATCGACTATGCGTACCACGTCATCATTGTGCGTTGCGACGAAGACGTGCTCGAGCGTGAGCTGCCAATTCTAAGCGGTCCGCGATGGGGCATCTCGACATGCAAGCTGTTCATGACCTATGACAGCCAGCGATTGGGCGATTCCGACCTGCTCACAGTCATGCACGCGGCTGCACAACACGGTATTACCCCCTTGGTCCATGCCGAGAACGGTGACATGATCTCTTGGCTCACTGACAAGCTCGAGGCGAAAGGCATGCTGGCCCCAATCTACCATGCTTGGTCCCGGCCTCCCATCGTCCAAGACGAGGCCACCAACAGGGCCATCGCGATTGCCAAGCTGGCATGCACACCCTTTCTTTTTGTGCATGTTGGGTCTTCAGAAGCCATGGCACATATCAGACGGGCCCAGACACAAGGGTGGCCGGTTTATGCGGAGACATGCCCGCAATATCTCTGTTTGACGTATAATGATTTGGTAGGTTGTCTCCTTGGCATGAGCCAGACAATGTGTTGAGCATCTGCAGCAGAAACGATTCCACTCGCCTACGTGTTTTGAGAACAGCAAGATGGTTTGCTCTCCTCCTCCGCCGCCAGACGAGAGCGAGAGCGAGCGTCTGTACACGTAAGTCCCCTTGTATAAGTCCCCTTGTACCAGTCCTAATGTCTTGTTTCATTACTCAACTTTCCTGCGCCCGCAGAGGTCTAGCAAACGGCACTTTTACGGTCTTCTCCTCTGACCACTGCCCCTTCCGCTACGACGATCGGCATGGCAAGCCCACGGGAATCCTTGAGCATGAGGAGAGCAAGCGGGGTGGAGACTGCGTCTCTAAAGAGGCATCGGCAGTCTCGCTCGATCAGCTTGTCCGAACAAAGACAGGCGCGTTTCGCTTCATTCCAAACGGAATTCCCGGCGTGGAAACCAGGCTGTCGCTGCTATTCACAAATGGCGTCTGCGCCGGCAGGATCACCCTGCAGCGCTTCGTGGAGCTGACATCAACTAACGTGGCCAAGCTCGTGAGTGCTCTGAGCCTGTGTCGACAAAGGTCTGCGGCTGAGCGGGTGGATAAACACAGTATGGCCTGTACCCGAAGAAAGGGAGCCTCATGGTGAGCTCACTCATACCCCTGAGTCGTGACCGGCTGCTGACGAGCCGAGTCGTTTATGATCTAGCCAGGAGCGGATGCCGACTTTGTCATTGTGAGCATAGACATGAGCTTCATGCCAGACGGGAGGTTCATCACCTTCATCACAGTGGCATCCGCAGGAGACTTTCAGCCCGTTCACTCTTTCGAACGACATGTTGCATCACAATGTGGACTGTGGGTAGAAGCATGTGGAAGGCAGCCCAACTCAACTGACTCTGTCTCCCTCCAGACACACCATACGAGGGCATGCGTATGCTCAACTGGCCTCGCTACACAATCGTGAGGGGACACGTTGTGTGGGCCAACGGGAGCCTCGCCACGGGAGCACCGCTAGGGCGGTATCAGAAGCGTGGCCCCAACGTGCTTAGCAGCGACTGGAAAAAACGTGGTGGCGGCCCTGCGAAGCAACATCCAGCACCCTGGCTCTTTGAATGAACTCGAGGGCTCTTGTCAATGAAAAGAACAGAGCACGCTTCCTAGCAAGAAAGAATATGAGCTCGAGAGGATGTCTTACTAGTCAATGCACTACACGTGGCTTCAACGAGATAATCGGCGTCGAGTCAACTAACCCACCCGCGTTTGAAGATTGAAGTGATATTGCCCTCAACTTTAATTTACCAGTACCGTGCCTGGTAGAACGCTCTATTTGGAAAGATCGTGTCAAACGACATTTTCAGAGTTCGAGGACTCACCGCGTTCTGATTTGGTCTGACGTAATCAGAATGAGCACGCTGCTGTCCTCCACCCCCGGAATCGTGTACAGCTTAGCCCCGATCGGCCACGAGGTGGCGCGGGCTTCCACCATATCATGGCATACTTCAACCTCGACATCGGCAGCAAAGCGGGCGCGGCACACAGCACCGCTCGCAGCCTCGCACTGCTCTCCTCGCGGCTGGGAGAAGCAGCAGCAGTCGAGCTGGAGTTGCCCCTGTGCGCCACCTGCTCCGCCCAGACGAGCTACAGTGGAAAGGACCTCGACCTCAAGGCGAGCGACTCCGCATACAAGTGTCCCATCTGTCTCGACCCGCGCCAGTACATTGGTGTGCACGGCCAGAAATGGACCACGCTGCGAAGCCTGATCGAGAACGCAGAGAAGCCGCTCTACAACGACTTTCACGAGCTCTTGGACGGTTCCCTGTGGACATTCAAGACCAGGCCCGCGTTCGGCATCGGACAGAGGGCGTTCCTCCTCAAGGACCGCCGCTTCGATGGGCTGGTCATGTGGGACTGCGTTGCCTACCTCGATGACGACACGCTCAAGGCGATCGACCGCCTCTCTGATGGAAAGGGCATCACGCACATGATCGTCAGCCACCCGCACTATTACAGCACCACCGCAACCTGGCTTGCAGCATTCCCCAGCATGACGCTCTGGCTCGCCAAAGAGGACTTCCACGACTGGTATCCTCGGCGGGAGCTGGTGCAGGGCGTGGGTGGCGATGGCCTGGCCGGTCGCATCAAGCTGGTAGATGCAGAGCAGACAGCGGTGGGCCCGGGCGGTCACGTCAAGATCTTACTTCTCGGCGGCCACTTTCCCGGCTCCTTGGTGCTGCTGTGGAATGACATTCTCTTCATCGCGGACACGATTCAGGTCGTCCCCAGCGGCTTGTACAAGTCGGATCAGCCACAGCGACCAGACGTGGCCTCAGTCACGTTCCTTTGGAGGTGAGTCGCGACACGGCTGCAGAGACTGATCTACAGACCCTGACTCTCACGTCCCCTAGCTACCCGAACCAAATCCCGCTCAGCGCGGCCGAGATCAGGAGGGTGTGTGCTCCGCTGGAGAACGTGTCGTTCGACAAGGCCTTTGGTGCCTTTGAGGGCTTCGACATCTGGGGGCATGCCAAGGAAAAGATCCTGCAGAGCCGGGACATCTTCTGTCGCCGGCTGGCGACGCAGTGATGTCTCTGGGAGCGTGCCGATGGTATCATTTTTAATCTCCAGAGCCAGCCCTGAAAAAGGAATGCTTTACTCTAGTACACCGTCAACTGGAAAGGAATTCGAAGCCAAGTCGGGTGAAAGGCAGACTTTCCTTACTGCCCAGTCTTGACACGAATACCGGATGGGGAGAGTGGCTGGTGCATACAGGTGATATTTTGCTCCGAGAAGAGGGTCACACCACCTCGAATGGGCCAACAGCACCAAGGACATCCTCATTTACAACATCCATTTTTTTTCCCTCAGTTTGTGTCAAGATGTATCATCTGATAAAGGAATGCTCCGTCTTATAGCTTGACGAAGGGCAAGCCGCCGGTGAGCTTAGCGTGCATTTTGCATTTCCGTTCCTGCCGCTTTTTAAAGTGCCACGGAGATGTAGCCCGAGCAACGTTGGTGTCATGCGGTTTACGAATACCATCGCGAGGGTGCGTCCGCTCATTCTAACTGTGACTCCCAACTTCCAACACAAGCACGAAAAGCTCCACGATGTCAGCCAGTCACACCCACGCTTGGAAGCAGACAGAGGATGGAAAGGCCATGCAGCGGCCGCTCTGGGGTGTGGAGCGGATGGCGGACAGCTTCGATCGTTACTTTGGTCGGTAAGTGCCAATACTTTAATTTTAAGCTCGGAGCTGACTCTGGTACCTCGTCTGCAGGCATTGGACCATCAAATCCTCCGTCTTGCTACGTTCTCAGACACCGCTTCAAGACCTCGAGGCGCGAATCCGTGATGCCTGGATTGCCACAATGTTCTTCAACCCACTTCTGGGAGCAGACTTGGTTGCAGATCCAGATGCGCCTCCAGCAAATCGGCTGCTGCGCTATGAGGCCGCGCTCAGCCCAGAGCGAGCATCCGGATGCTTCCATCACGAGCGCGGCCACGGAGACCTTGCTGGATGTGCCGAAGCCTTGCGAGTCAGTCTAATGGACGCCTCAGCCACCAGCCCTGCCCGCTTGGCTCACTTGGTGAGTGCGCAAATGTCGCGTCGTCGGACTAAGAAATGCTGAAGAGATTCTCCCATAAAAGTACCTGATCACCAGCAAGGATGATGAGCACGCATTTGCGCTTCTCCTCGATGCATCACACGTCATCCTCGATGCTATTGGTGTGTTGAAGACGTTCGAGGCAGTCTTGAAGCACCTTGATGAAGGTGGGTTTGTGTTGGTCAGGTCGCACCTATTGCTCTCTTGCTCAGCGAAAAGAGGCACCAGGCATAGAACCCAGCAAGGGTCTGGCATGGGGAACGGAAGCCGCCCACCTGGTGCCCTCGATGGGCGAGGCACTCTCCCTTGCAAACAAGAACCCATCCGACGAGGAGATGCACTGCAGGCTCGACGCAATCTTTGAAGAGTGCAAGAGTCGGGGAGCGCCTCCCTGTGTAGCCTTGGGTGGGTTTGATACAAGTTTTCTTTGATCTAGGAGAGGGCTTACTCAGGGTTGGAACAGAGGGCATGCCTGGAAAGGGGTCCACGACAGTGCACAAACACGTCTTTGGGATACCAGATTCTCAGCGTCTGAGCTTGCTCGCCAAAAAGGCGGGCGCAACAGTCTCGGCGATGCTGGACGCCGCGATACGCTTGGCAATCTGGATAGTGTCCAGGGAGGACCTTGACAACTTCTGCCTCTTTCCGCTCTCGACAAACGGACGCGAGTACTTTAGTGACGAGCTCAAGTCGTCATACATCGGCCTTGCCATTGGAGGCGTGTGTTGCACGATCAGCCTGCGAGGACTACCCAGGGACCCGGATGCGCTTGCCCGCCAACTGCCTGCCCTCGCAGCCGAGCTTTATCGGCAGTATCGCGAGCAGATGAATGCAGAATCTCACTTCATCGTGGAGCAGGGCAATCTGGCCATTGCAGGTGACAAGGAGCTGCAGTGAGTGTACTCCACTCAACGCATTGATCATACTGACCTACTCCGACCTTGACCTCGACAGAGCAATGTTCGGTCGAGGCACTGTAATGTCGCACCTGGGAATTCTTGAACGACGCATGACCACCTCGTTTGAGAAGGTTGAAGTCGATGTCGTAGATTTCAATCTCGCCGTCCATCAACGAATGCCAAGGCTCTATGTTGCCAGTTGTAAGTTTGCGCTTGCTTCTGAAACATCACTTCAGCTTCTTAACACACAAGTTGTCGACAGGGAGCTTGAACAGCCGAATCGCTCTTCAAGGTGGGTGAACACGAGCACAACGGCTTACTGAGCCCCGCTGATTCGTGCAATGTGCAGTGAGCCATCCTACCAGCTTCGATGCAAGCAATCCAAGAGCCGTCCTAGATCTTGCAGTGCGTATCATCTCCGCGTCCCTCGATAGTCTTTGAGTTGTTGCCCGCGCATGCACAGACTCGGAACATTGGCACTTGGCGTGCAATGAAGCTCTTCTCGGCAGCTCAATCCTGTACGCAAACGATGGATCGACTTTGCAATTCCATAAAGCGGATTATCATGTGGACTACTTGGGCGATACTATCTTGCAGTGTAGCAATCGTGTCTCAACGTAGAAGCCAGCCGGTGACTGTCTGGGACGTGCAGATTCATCTGCACGGCCTCCACTCTAAATTTTGCTTTAGCCGATTCTGGCGTCCGACGATATTGACACGTCGGGTATCTGAATGGAATTCTGCCTGTAAATGATTCCTTCGATCAGAAGCAAGACACCACGCGGTACGCGCTCGCTTACAGCGGCACTGCTTCAGTCGAATCAGCTAGGGTTATGCACGTTAGATTGAGTAGAGTGAGATCACGAGGTACCTACAGCTAAATCTGGTACAAAAGGAGGAGGCGTTACTGCTGCATGCGATAGGCCTCCAATCGAGCACCGCACTGCAAGATGAATACCTGGAACAAGGATGAGCAACTGAATGCGCTCAAGGAGCTTCGCGCCTCAACTGATGTAAGAACCCCGTTGCTGGAGTGGAACACGATCTTCACTGACCAAGCTCATTCCAGGCCCTCATAAGCTATGTTGAGGCGCAAGATGGAGAGCAGCAGATTCCTGAAAATGCAATGTGGCGCTTTCCCTATGCTCCAGAGGCCAAGTTCCAGGCCGACAAGTGGCGGCATGACTACTCTAGGGCGCTCATTTCCACCCTCAGCCCGACGCAGTATCTGTGCGAGTTCAACCTCGGCAACCACGAATGGGCGGCATTGTCCGCCTTCTACGCGCTTGGACTGGCAGAATTGCTTCCGAGGCCCGGCCAAAAGGGTGTCTCGGCCGAACAACTGGCCGCGAAGAGTGGTGCTAGCCTACTGCGCCTCCGCACGGTCCTGCGATCCATGTCTCGAGTCCACCTTGTCAGTGAGGTCGGCCATCCGCTCTCGGATGAGTGGGTCGGCTCTGAGCACGTGGACCTCATGCGTAAAGACTCGCCCTCGCCGTTTGGGTCCATGGTCGAGTATTGCATGGATGACGCAGCCAAGTGCGTCAACACGTTGCCGGCGCTCGTCAAGAAGGAGAATGCCAACAACAGCGGAACGTTTCTTGTCTTTGGCCACCAGGATCTGTTCTCGTGGTATGCCACCGAAGAGAGTGGATACCGATCAAGCCGCTTCAACCAAGCGATGCAGTCACTCAACGGGATTCTCGTTGGCGGCCCCACTGAGGACTATCCCTGGGACCAAGTAACCGGACTCGCAGTCGACGTGGCTGGCGGTGTAGGCGGACAGACGATCCACCTAGTAGCCCGCCATAGTCACCTCAAGGTCCAGATCCAGGATCTCAAGGAAGTCAGCGAGGATGCCAAGAAGCTGTGGGCGACGATGCCGCCTGCATGGGCTGACAGGGTTGAAATTCGGGAGTAAGTTTTGTTTGCACTCATAAGTGGCAGCAGACTGGCCAGCTGACAATATTTTTCCAGGCACGACTTCAACGAGCCGCAACCTGACGACGTGGCAAAGGAGGCACAGGTCTACTTTATGAGATTCATTCTTCACGATTGGTCCAATGCAAAAGCCATCGAGATCCTCAGAAATCTTCGCAAAAAGGCCAGGCCCGACGCCAAGCTTCTCATTCTTGAAGTGGTGCTCTTCGGCATGGACCCCAGATACGCGCAGATCCTAGCCGTCCACCTCATGGCCGTCGCGGGCTCCAACGAGAGAACAGAGGCAGAGTACGGGGCCCTGCTCAACGCCGGTGGCTGGAAGCTCGAGAAAACGTACAGGACGAGAAGCGTCATGAGCGTCATCGAGGCTACTCCCGCATAGGACCATTCTGCTCTTCCCTTTGATGAGAAAAAAATTAATGGAGCTCTTGATTTATTTCATTTCGCTAGGGACTTTTGCTAATGGTATGCACACTGGTCATCAGTCGTGTTGTGACTCAATGGATCGTTCCTTGTCTTCATCCCGCATCGCCGATCGAGAATCGTCCAAGAGCGCACTCTGTGCGTGTCAGGTCTCTTGAGGCATCTGTGCGATGTGCGCTGCATTGCGTTTGCGCCCCCTTTTTACCTTCTGCACTTAGGAGAGCAAACGTGCCAGAGCCGGGGATGACAGGATGCTGAAATGGCCCACTGCGGGAACTTCGACAAAAGTGCGCGTCGACTTGCTGAACATCTGCGCAGCGCCGAGATCATTGTAGCGGGGTGCGTGAATGGGTGAGTCGGAAGGCAAAATGCTTCGCATGGCTTCCAGTATGCCAGCCTGAGCCTTGACAACAGTCACATCTTTTTGGAAAAAGTCAGAATTGAAAGGGAGAGGGTTGTGAATTGACTAACGGGAACGAACTTGCGGCCATCCTGCTTCCGACAAATCTTTGCACATGGTACGGGCCATGTCGTCTCGGAAGTGCTGCAATGAGTATCGCGAAAAGCGTTGGCGCGCCTCCGTATCACCGCGCAGCGCATCTAGAAGCGCTCTCGTTCGTTTGACCTCGATGTCACCGTAAGAATCAAGTTCGGCAGCTTTGGCGATGAAATGGAGTAGTTGATCAATGGCGTTCCCATTGTTCCTGTCCATACTACGCGGCATGCTTTGGACAAGTGGTGGCAGAAAGTCGATGAGGATCAGCCGTAAATCGTTCGTATCCTCGATCCGCCGAGCAAGGTGTAGGGCGATGCTTGTGCTGCCGGAAAAAGCAGCCAGCCTGAGTGGACGCCCATGGGCGAGCAGCTCTGTGAGAGCCTTGTGATACTCAACGACCATTGCCTCAAAGTCTTTGAGGCGCCGAGTTGACTCGGAAGGCTCAATAGCCCACACAGGTCCATTTATCGACTCGTGCAGGCCGTAAAAGAGGGAGATCTGGCCAAGAGCATCGTGAATTAGGCTGCAAGGGCAGTCAGTTTATCGTTTCACTGCACAGATTGGGTTCTCGAAACTTCTGCTCACACAAGATCACCAGACCCGGAGTCTATGCCGTCGCGAATTTTGACAAGCACTTGAGCGTCCGTTTTTGGATTTCGAGTGTCGTGCACCGCCTTCGTCTTTGAGTCGGTGTTCGCTAGTGCAAGGACGTCTGCGATCGTGACGTCGCTCAAGATTCTGAGCTGTGGGAGAATAATGTTGAAGTGCGTTCGTAGGGCGCTGGAGAGAATTGTGGCATTGAGCGAATCGAGCCCAAAAAAGCTAATAGGTTGCGAGTGGTCCCATCGCTGAAACGTGTCTCGATCACACCCAAGGGCGTCGCCGAGCAGCTCATCAATACTCTTGCAGGTGGGAGAGTCGAGGGAACTGTAGCTTGCACGGGGTTTCAGGAGCTCCTCTTTCACTGGGCCTGCTCGTCCACTCTTCTCCACCTCTGCTAGAACGGTCTGCTCTTGCCGATCCTCGTGATGCTTTCGGGTCGTAGATGCAAGAAGATGCTGAAGTGCAATCGGCCTCCTGATCGTCATGGCGTCCAATTCGCGCTCCACCTGTGCCCATGGCAAGGAAGGAATCAACGTGCTGATACCAGCAGCTTTGTTCGATATCGTCAGCCCCAATGCTCTGCTGAGCAAGGTCGTAAAGCTACGAGAGGTGGTCCATAGGCTCTTCATTCTCCAGCTGACCTCGCGCTTGCCCAGCATCACCTCTTGATGGAAGCTTCCGACATCTGTGATTGCCGGGACGGATATAGCGATCGCGTTGGAATGAGGTCCAAGCCATCCTTCCGCGCTGGCTGCTGAGGCGTAGTAGTTGCTTTGAAAGGGAAAGCCGAACAAGTTGCCGACCGTCGAGGTTGAGACAAGGAAGTCGAGCTCCTGTATGCGCAGCGCCTGTTCAAGGACTCTGAGAGGACCAACACGGACGTTGTAGAGGGCCTCGAAGCTATTTTTTGTCTGTAGCTTGAATGAGTGAGGCAGCTGCACCAGGGGCATGACAATTATGCCTCCGATTGCTTGTGCGCTCTTCCTTGCCCGCCGCAGCAGCCCGCTTGTTGCTTCGTCATCTGTAGCGTCGCAAGCGCACAATTGCAAGCAGGCATCCGCTCTCTTTTGAAGAGCTTCCACCTTCCTCTTCGCATTCACCCATTGCATGTCGCTTTCTTCGTGCAGCTTGGCGGCACCAGTCCGAGATGTCAAAAAGATGATGCGAGCACCTTGATCGTATAGCCACCAAGCTATCTCGATCCCCATGGGCGTTAGGCCGCCCAACAGTAGATACGCCTTCTCTGGCTGGAGTCGGTGCATTGGCGTGTTCGTCTCTTTGAGGGCTACGGCCCGAGGCACCCTAATCTGCTGTGGCTCGATCTTGAGTTCTTTTTCGCAGCCATACTCTTGCAATGCTGTGAGCTTCTCAAGAAGCGTCAAGTCCGGCAGAGGAGGAACCGATGCGACGTAAAAGCGTATCCAGTGTAGCTCGGTTGTAAGCACGCGCGCAAGGGCTCTCGCACCCTCAAAGTCCTCATCGTTTCCGTCCTCGGTGACTAACCAGCAAGATTGGGGTTCCCTTTCCTCTAGCATCGCTTTCAACTGCATCTCTCGACCCGCACTGTGGCGATAGACGGTAACCTCTCGGTCCAAATCCTTCTGTCTTTCAAGGCTTGGCCCGCGTTTGAGAGCGCGAAAGAGGAGGAGAGGTTCGGCACAGACTGAAATGTCAGTGACCGACTCGAAGTCCGTGAAACGTGCATCAAGGGCATTTTGCCAGCCTTGCGAATCGAGGCTGCAATGAGTGCGCTCATCATCAAAGTCGTACCAGGCCTGCATACTTCCCCAAAGGACATCGAGGAATTTGGACCTGGGTTCGCCTTGAGCAAATGCTTGTCCGTCCAGCTCATAGGCGAGAAGCGTGCCGGCGGGTGAAAGAAGTTGCGCGAGGTGTCGGACTGTCCGGGTAATATTTTTGGACGCATGTAGGACGTGGAGGGCGCACAAGACGTCAAAAGAGCCCGAATCCAAGCCCGACAACGCTGGATCGAGATCGATGTTGTATTCGGCCGCGGATCTGCTCCCTGACAAGTTCGCCACGACATCGGAGGCGAAGCGCTTAGATACGTCCGAGAAGGTAACGTGGACTGTGACTCCGGTCTCCCGTTCGAAATCCTCTGCAGCAGCGGCAATAACCCTCGAGAGTGCCCCAGTACCGCAGCCCACTTCGAGAATGCGAATCACCTGTTTGCCGTCCGAGATGCGTTCTAGCTCTATGCGCAGTGCTTCTGAATAAGCTCCTGCCATTTCCTCGTCGAAAACGTTCCTGTAGATGCGATCGGCAAGCCCGTTGTTGAAAAGGCAATCAACGGCAGCCTGATATAGATGAGCAACACTTTTGGTGCACGTTCTTCGTCTTTAAACGCACCATGGAGTCCAAGCTAGCCTCTTCGACTAGAGAGGGAAGCCTTTCAAGCACTTCGGCAGTGACAGCGTCCCTTTCTCGTACTATCTCAGTCTGCGACCGTAAGTCTAGCGATCCTACTGCCTGAGAAGATATGCGAAATAGCAGGTCCCTGTAGCGTAGTCGATGCTTTGGAAGCTGATCGTCACGCCCCCCGGACTTCTCTACTGTTTGACGGACAATCTCGGAGACGATTGCATCGACCTGCATAGCGTCTTCCACATTTCTTCGTCGCCTTTCAATGCGGTCTGGAGTCCATTTTTGGGTTTGCAAGGGTTTGGCCACCTTCTTGCGACATTCGGTCGGCTGCCAGATGATCTTATGCCCTGATCCAGGTTCAACGATGGGCAAGTGGGTAGCAGTGAGCACGAGACCTTCAATAGAGAAGACGAATTCGTCATCCTGATCGAACACGTTGATCCTCGAACGGAAGGAGTCTATTGCACGTATCAGCCCACAAATCTGTGTCTGTCACAATAATGTCGTCTCACCTCTTTCACTGCTCTGAAGGACGGCATGTGCATGGAGCGTTCGAGGCTCGTTGCGATCACTTGCCAGGTCAAAACGATCCACCCACGTGGGTACATAGAAGGTGTCTGAAGGTAAGAACGAGTCGCCGATAACGAGAGCCGAAGCGCTCTGCATGGCCGCATCAATGACAGCAGGGTGGAGGCGATACTGTGGCTCGTGCGCTCCACCTTCCTCTACCGAGTCCCATCCTCGTATCTTGGCGTATGATTCGTGTTGGTTGAATCGAAGCTCTTCGATCCGCCGGAACGAGGGACCAAAATCGGTGAAAGACTTCCAGCCGCCACTGAAGAAGGTTGAAAGGTTTACTTGCTTTGTTCTTGCCAGAAGAGATTTCCAGGAAGGGCATGGTGGAGGTGCTCGGATCGCTCCTATGCTGAACGTGGAGATGATGTCGTCATCGTGCGAGATCCGGTAATTATCCTCGCTGTCTTCTTCTTGACGTATCATCAATCGCGCATCCTCTATTAGATTGACCGGTTTGTTCAACGCGACATCAGTCACGGATAGAGAAATTTCCGCAACTTGTACCACCTGCTTCGAGTTGGTTAGAGCATGGACGCCCAGCGTTGGTAGTGTCCCTTTCACTTACAAGCTCCAAAAGTGCAGCAGCAGGGTAGATGGGAGCGCCCAAGACCACGTGCTGGGCCAAAGTCTAAAGGGTGAAGGATTTAGGTGAACAAGAATACTGAAGAACGACGGTCAACATGTCATAACGCACCGTACAGCTTGAAAGCACGATCTCTTTGCCTGAATATTGGTGAGAAAGAGTCGGAGTCGAGAATTTTGTCGAGATCCTCGAAGAAGTTGAGAGTGGTGGAGTAGCAGGAGCTGGGTGCCGGGCGATCTGATCGTTCTCTTCAACGAGCACGTCTGCCACCCACTGCCTGCCTTTTGCAGTGAAGACCGATATGGTACCTTCCTTTCTTTTACTCTCCAGCGGCTGTGAAGTTCTCGATAGAGAGGGGAACGTGTGATAGGCAATGAGCTGGAGAGGTTCCGGAAGCTGCCCCACAGAACGAAGATTGTGCATGATTGCTGTCGGATCGAGGCTGGATTCGAATGTGAACGCGTCTGAGAATTTTTCATTTTCCTTGGTGCTGATGCTATCAGCATAAGCGCTGGTGATCGTGGAGCTCTGCTCGAGGGTGGCGGTTGCCAACAATAGTGTAGCACTTGTGTCGTATGCTTTCGTGACGAGGCTGGCGATACGACCAGTCACCACTCGTACCTCAATACTCCGGCCACGCAAATCGATCTCTCGTGTCTGCTCCAGAGCTAGGTGGTCCAGGACGAACGAGACGTTCGTGCCCAGCAGAAGGGAGCAAGCTTGAATCAGCAACGACATAACATCCTCTGAGCGACGTTCGGCGAGCGCTTCCGCTTCTTCGTTCGTGATTGTCTTGGCGATTGTGAAGCGCGAAGAAGAGGATTGTTGTTGCCATCCTAGACCGACTGTACTCTCATAATCGTTTCTGAGAAGGGACTTTTCGGGCCAGTGACGCTTTTTCTCGAAAAGTTCGATGCCCATGTCGGCTCTTGCTGTACCGTGAGGCCACTCAATAAGGATTCCGCCAAGCTCGAATAGTCGGCCGACCAAAGTGGGCAGATGACATTGGGATGGCGTTGAAAAGAGCGGGAGCACGACCGTGTCCTTGACTGATGAGCGGCCTTCCTGTTGCCTCTTCTTGCGCAATGCATCGCGCGAAAATGACGATAGGTCTGGACCGAGACCGACCTCAATGAGGACGTCGGGTTGCACTCGGTCCAGAATTTGCTCCATGAAAGTTGAGTACGGAACGTGATTTACGATGTGTTGAGGCCAATCGCAGCCTGAGCTGTTGCTGGTAGAGAAAAAGCGGGGCGTATTGCACGACCCACTGCGATTCCATTGACTTAGGTGTTCAGAATCAGGTGATAGCCGAGGGTGGTGATACGCGACACCCTGGCTTTCGAGCAGCTTGCTGGTGATGTTCTCGCCTGCCAGTCGCTTCTTGAGGCTGAGGATCGCTCCAACAGTCCCTGATAAGGTCACTGCTGAGTCAGAATTGACGGCAGCCACCGTAATACCCGGGACAAGATGAGCCGTAACTGCCGCTTTTGACGCACGTGTGGCGAGCATGGCACCATCACCTTTCCAGTTGCGCTCACAATGGGCAGCCCGTGCCAGGACGAGGGCGCAGACTTCGTCGAGATTGAGTAGTCCAGAGGCATAGGCAGCCACAACTTCGCCGAAACTATGTCCACAGGTCGTATGAATGCTCGTTCTAGCGATGTAGGCCGTCAGCGTGTGCCAAAGCGCGATCGATACTGCGAGCTGACAGGCTTGCGCGACGACGGGTCGCTCGAGCAGTTCTTTGCTTCGTTCGCGATAGACCTTCGACGGAGGATATAGGACCGCCTTGACGTCCACGTCGAGTCCGGCTCGCATCAGGGAGGAGCAGACTCTTGAAAATGTTTCACGATACACATCATGGCGATCAAATAATTGCCTGGCCGCGCCAATCTCGATTCGGCCCATACCAGTGAATTGGACGACAATTGTCTTGCTTGTGGCGGTATATGTTGAAAGGTGTGTGACTCGAGACAGATCCAAAAGACCAGCAAAGATGTCACTCGCTCCTTGTTCAAAAGCGATTGCTCGACGGCATGCAAACAAGTCCCTTCCAGCATTGATGTTGTGGGATAGTCTTTCAAGTGCGTCTTCGAGCGATGACGAGCAAGTCTGCTGTTTGGCAAGCCACTTGTTGCATGTGTCCGCCAGACGTCTAAGGCTTGCAACACTGGGTGCGGAGAGAAGGAGGATTGGTAGACTTGACCGTGCCTGCAACGGTCCTGCAGCGAACGACTTCTCTATTGCGACGGCAGCCATGGTTCCAGAGAAGCCGTAGGAGCATACAAGGGCCCTTTGCAGTCTTGGTGCTGGTGTCTCTTCACTAGGGATGATGGCTTTGCACCTGTCGCCTAAGGGTTGCAGATTTGTGACGTGATGCGGAGGTACAACCCCCGAATCGAGGCACATGCACGCCTTGACCACGCCTAGTAGACCCGCTGCCTCCAATGTGTGACCAAATACTGTCTTGGACGAAGAGACGAAGACGGGAGAGTTGCCGAACGTCTCTTGAATACCAATCACTTCGATCTGGTCGCCTAGGCTTGTTCCAGTTCCGTGTGCTTCGACCAGATCAACCTGACCAGGTTGCCAGCCACTCTCTTGAAGGACAGATTTATGGAGCCTGGATTGAGCATCGGCTCTTGTCATGAGCATATTGGCTGACGCGCCCTGGTGTCGTACTTGCGACCCCCGAATCAGGCAGCGACCTAGCCCAACCGGCATTTTCGAGCTCCTCTGTAACACGACAAAAATAGCACCTTCTGATGCACACATGCCGTCCGTATCGACCCCGAAAGCTTGAGATCCTTGAGAGCTTTGCGAAGTCATGCCGGCGCAACGCATGAAAGCCAACGTCCCGGGATGCAAGTGTGTGGTTACGCCACCGACGATGGCTACGTCACAGTCGCCGTTGAGCAGCGAGCGGTGGGCAGACCAAAGGGCAACAAGAGAGCCACTACATGCCGTTTCAAAGGTCATAACGGGCCCCTCGACACCCAGGTAGTGAGCGATCCTGCCGGACACAGCCGCCGTGCTTGTTCCATGGCCCCAGAAGCGTGAATTGTGCGCCTTGGGTCCCATCGCTGACTCCAGCAGACGCTCGTACCCGTCTTGTCCACTCGCAGCGCAAAAGACCCCAACGCGTTTGCCTCTCAGAGAACTAGGACGCAGGCAGGCGTCCGAGAGCGCCTCGTACATCACTTCGAGTGCCAGCCTTTGCTGAGGTTTGACGAAGAGCGCTTCTTCATCCGAGATGCCAAAACATTGGTTGTCAAAACTCTCGATGTCGTTCCTGGGCAGCCAAGCACGTCGCCCGGACGCAGATTTACCGTCATTGGTAAGGATGTCGAGACCTTCCGCACCTTCTCCTGTCAGGAAAGCGGCCCACGCCTCTTCGAGACTTTTCACGTTTCCGGGCAATCTTAGCGCCATACCTCGGATCGCGACTGGATCATCCACGTCTTGATTAGCTTTGTTGACCGATTCATGAAAGAACGGCATTCGTGGAGGTGAAGCGGTCTCGGCCGTCGGATATACGCGTGACTCAACAAGCGCTCCGAGGTCGGCTGCGCTGTCGACTTGCAACAGATCAGCGGCGGTGATTCTGATGCCTGTGTGTCGCTCGATCAGAGAGGCCAGGCTGCTCGCTTGGATCGATGTCAAGGCAAGCGAAATCAGTCTTTCGTCTTTGTGAACTGGCCTACCGATGACAGTATCGAGACACTGCACGGCTTGTCGTCTCGCGACGCGCGCTCGTAGGCGTTTGAGTTCCAAAGAGAGGCGGCGAGCGGCCTCGCTTCGGGAAAGAACTCCTTTTCTCGTTTTGGGGAGGCTGCCGAGGGGGATGGATGTAACGTGGTCGATTGGTAGTCGAGAAGCAGCCATTAGCACTTCGTTGGCTCTCGAGACAGCGCTTTGGAGAAGTCTTTGACCATCGTGCGCGTCCATCTCGACGAGGGCAACAAGGCTCGAAGACGGTCCGTTCTCTCGGTCGCCCGCAACGAAAGCCAGGCGACCGTGATTACATCGTTGAATTTCCGCTTCCACGGAGGTGGCGAGTACTTTTTCTCCGTTCACCAGCTGGATCGTGTCGTCGAGGCGTCCCACAAACTTATAATCGCTGTCGCCAGCTTGATGAAAGAGATCGAGAGTGCGAAAGCCTCGGCTTTCGACCGGTTCAAAAAGAACCTTACCATCTCGCAGACAGTAGTAGCCTTTGAAGATAGTCCGAGGATCGGCTACCAATTCCTGTGCCCCCACGTACCCTGGGACGTCCTCCCATCGAAGCAAGGCATTTGGGTTGAACCTAAAGGTTTCTGGTCTCGGCTGGCCGATGCTGCAAGCACCGAGCGGAAGCTCGGTCATGCCCCACGAATTGCACATCGAAACCCCTTTCTCTGCCCACCACTCAAAAACACTCTTTGCTGCTGGTGCGCCTGCGACGTTGACGTAATTAAGACGTTGTATCGCAGTAAGCAATTCCCCATCTACTGATGCCCTTGTACCGAGGTGTTCGAGCGTGGCTGGAAATGTCCAGAGGCTGTTGCAAACCCATCCTCTCCTCATGACTTCGATGAGCGCCTTGGCAGTGGCTTCCGCTCGGTGCTCTGGCCCATTGATTGAAAGTGTGTTGTAGTCGAAAAAGATGTAACTGCCACCCGTCGGCACAATGCAAAACATGACGTTGGCAATCAGGCCGTGTGCGTGCGAGAGGGGCGCCGAGCCTAAGCTGTGTGCTTGTTGACTAATTAACTCGATCCCTGCTTTGGCCTGCCAGTAGTCGACCGATTGACGCAAGAACCTGTGTGGCATCGACACGGCCTTGACGGCAGAGGCACTCGTGGCACCCGAGGTGAACATGCGGTAGGCTTCCTCCTCCTCATGTCGTTCAACAAGGCAGATGCTCTCCAGTGAAGGTCGCAATTCGGCGAGCTGGGCCATCGAGACTTTCTCGGCTGCTTTTAGTGCTGTCTGGCCCAGAAATTCCGCTAGCGTCAAAATTGGTGCATTGACATCCTCCTGTGCAAGAGAAGGAGGGAAAACGATGGCTTCGTCGATTTGATCGTCGGTGACAATGAGCGAGGGCGTGAGACAGCGTAATCGTGCTCTGAAAATGTCCCGAGGCGAACTTGAGCTCGCAGACATGTAGCCGGCGGACCAACCAATCTTCCAGCAAGCCAAAGGGGCGAGGATATGCATTGGCTGATTGTGCGTGAGGCAGAGAGCCAAAAGAGGTGGTGTAGACGGGTCTTGCTTGCTCCGGTACGCTTGCAGTCGCTCGGCGATGTAATCTACGATTCGAAGTGATTGCCCATAGGTCAAGCATTCGCCCGATGGTAGGTCTCGAAGGAAGACTGCTTCCGGCGTCTGCTCGGCCCACTTGACGAGAACGCCATACAGTGTGCCATCATCTTGAGTCGCCATTATTTGGCGGGACTGCAGCCGGGATGTGGTGTGCAGGGAACACGACAGCCGCCGTCAGGTCTCAACAGGGCTGGAGAAGGCCTTTCCGTGTGTCAGCATGCTGTCCAAATCAACGAACCCGGAGATGCCGATATTTCTTCCGCTGGACCTTCGCCTAACCCCTTCAACAGAAGAAACCGAATCGAGACTCAGACCACGACCGCGTGCATCCCGCGATTTTAATATCATTCCAATTTATGCTCGGTGTGACCTCGAGGTTAAAGCAGTGGACGATAGCTCTCTCTGTGGAGACACGTTCAGTTTATGAGCTCATCACCGAGTTATTTTCCCTCTACACGCGGTAAGTGGGAAGCTTCGAGGCATCGCAAGGCACAAATGGGAGATGTCACAGGGCATTCGAATTGATAAGAGGGAATTTCCTTGGGTCGCCCACAATCTACAAACAGTCTACGAGAAGGGCAAACGGGAACACAAAAAGACCTGCTTTCTGTGCTGTTCTGTCGTTTGCTATACACTAGCTCCTCCGGAGCACCTCAAGCGAAATGTCGGACTTTTGATCGTTCCCACCTGACTCGTTGGTCTGTGACCGTGTCGTTACAGTGTTCTGTACCATGTGGATCGGTAAAGCAGAGGTACTCGCCTGGGGCCCACCACTCTGGCCACCCAGGAAGTCCATACCAACAGGCCTGGAACTCGACAGCTCGTTGGAGCTTGAACCAGAGAGTAGCCTGCTCCCGTTATGGCCACGGATACTCCGTTTGATAAAGGAAAGAGAAGCCTTGGAAGCAGAGATGACGACGACCAGCGAGTCGATGTTGGCGCCAAAGTTGGACATAGGCGGGTTCGGGTTGGCCCAGAACCACGCCATGGCCCAGATACTGGCAGCAGTCGCCGCGAGGTAGTAGAGAACGCCTTGACGAAAGAGAAGCGTCATGTAGCTAGGCTTCTGACCGGGATCGATGATATCCCGACGGTCGCAATAAGGCGAAAGGCGATAGCAGAGCAGCAGAACCAATGTAAGATCGTAGACGAGAGCGTAGAGGAACGGCGACCAAGTGATCCGGCCCGCACGCGTGACGATGCAGGTCTTGCCCTCATAGGTTGCGTCGAGCCCTACACCGGCCGAGTACATCCACAGGGCGATCCACCCCATCGTGGCGACAAGGAGATAGCTTCGTACCGCTTTGCCCAGGGTACCGCGCTCATAAATTGACCAACAGCGGAGGGAGAAGATGGAGGTACCACTGATCTGTGCGAGTCCCACGATTGCAGACTCGACCCGAAAGATGATCTGGCACTGCGGTCCCGTGTAGTTGCCTTCGCTCAGCGAAATGATACCGAGGATGTACGCGGGCAGCAGAAGCCATCTTCCAGCCACGACCAGCAAAAAGGGCTGTAAAACGAGCATGTCTTAGGTTCTCATCTGCTGAGATCCGTTGAGGACGACCACAAACTTACCCAGCGAAAAGGGATTTTACGGGTGAGCAGCCCAGTTTCAAACCATAGCGTGTTCAGAATCTCGTAGATGATGATTGAGAACTGGCCGACGAGAGAGCCGAATTCGGCCTGTACCGACTGTTGGATGACGTTAGGATCAGTCCAGTTGACCATGGCTAGTGTGCGACAAGTTTGGTGGAGCACGGAGGATGCGTGTGGTGGGGGATTCCCGAGGACACAGTCATTCAGCTCACTTTAATACCTCACAATTCACGTCAGAGCATCTTTCGTGTTCCGAACGACCATGGTCATGAACGTGTCCGCGGACCTCATGGTTGATGTTCCTGCCTTCACCATGCGGTCAAGATAAGTCTTGAGTCTACTCGCGAACTGCCGGATATTGTCGTGAATATCTTCTCGGATGCCGATATTACTAGGCTAAAGCAGTTTGGGTGGACTTTAATTTACAAGGAAATAGATAACAAAGAAATAGCCGCCATATGCTCACGGCACTGGCTCAGCTCAGCGACTCGGTCCGCCAGATGAAGTTATTGAACCATCGCCGAGTAGGCTCTAGCCGAGGACACACGGAGCTGCACAGGATTCCACCAGAAGAAAGTATTATCTTTGCAACCGAAAAGGATGCACATGGGCTTCCATGCATCCTGTATGCTGAAGCAGGGCAGATGAAGCGCGTTCCACAGGAAAAGAAAACGATCAGAACCTTACGGGAGCAGCGCGTGTACAGCACATCAACACAGTGCAGTGCATAAGAAGTTTGCCACTGGTGTTCTACCAATTGCCGAAAATGATGTGTCCCACCGCCGTTCCTTAATGTATTTTATTTTTCACAACAGCATGTTCACTTCCTAACAAGACGGAGTTCAAAAGTACTTCAGTCGGCAAGAGAGTGCAGCAGACTTTCGTACCTGTCGAGCACCTGATCGACGATGGGTGCTAGTGGTTCCGACACGCTCACTTGCGGGAAACGTCAGTCATAAGCCTGCAAAGCAAGTGGGGCTGAACATACTTTGTATAGTGAGGCGACCATTGAGAGTCCAGGTGTGGAAAGTGGGTACAGCCATGATGCCATGCCGCTGGGCCTCGTGCACGTCTTCTATCTTGATGATTGGTGCATAGAGGTCGGGACGGAGCATGTCGTCAAGCCGTCCGACAGACGAGACAACGTGGGCGGAAGGAGGGGCGAGGGGAGGCCTTCTCAAGCAGTCAGCGCAGGCACATAGTCTAATCTGTCTGTATACGCATACTCACAAACCCTTGTCCGCGCCCAAAGCCAGGTTGGCCGGGTGCTGACTGGTAGCGATCGTAGCGTCCTTGAGCGCTGCCTGATACTGAGGTTGTACCTGTCTCATCAGGTCCAGGAACTTCTCCTCTCGTGCCTTCGAGTCGACGCTTCCAAGGTCGAAGGTGAGTTGGAGCCCTCCGATTCCCCAGGCAACGTACTCTGTCTGCAGGTCAGGCTTGAAGAACCTCCGAACACCAACCTGGGGGACTGGTCAGCCAGTCTTAACCGAGACCAGTGTCTGATACGAGCTTACCGAGACCGGATAGTTGACCGACTTGCCGCCTGTTACTCCCTCCTGCTCGGCAATGGCGAGTTGAGCACCTGCGTCTTGGGCATGAGCAATGGACAGGCCGAGCTGCTTGAGCTTGGCCAAGATCTTGGCACTCTGTGCCTCATCAAATTGGCGACGCGTTGGGTAGCAGCTTCCATTACCAAGCGGTCCGGCTGAGATGAAGATCAGTGCGCTGCCTTTGAGATTGCTGAATGACATACTCACACAGCTGCAATTTCGGGGTTCCAGGCATCAGCTCCGGGATAGGGCCCAATTGGGACCCGATGAAAGCGGGAATGTCCCCACTTGGCGCCGATGGGAGCAGCGCTATGGGCACGGGAGGTGGGAGACGTTGGGTTGGGTCTGTCTCGAGCTCCTCGACAGGCGTTGCCATAGCCTCAAAGAGGCGATTGAACACGTGCAGAAGCGCTTCGATATCCACGAGGGTGTGAGGTGCATAGAGATAGACGGCGTGACGCTGCGACGAGGTGCGAAAAAGGTGCTGGCGGTACAATGCATAAGCCTTACTTTCTACGGCGCGACACCAGTACAGGACACTCACGAGGCTTATGGGACCGCAAGGCTTCGAAGTGATCTCGGAATGATACTTTCTAAAAGCTTCGTCGTCCCCATTGGCCCTGTGAACGACAAAAGTCTGCTCGGCCGAGGTGGCCGCGCTGGCTTGGTCGTAGTGCAGCCTGTTGTAGTTTTCGTTGTCTGCCTTGGGCTCGTTCACAATCCGCACTACCAGCTGCGGGAAGCGATCGCGGACGATACGCCAGGCGTGTGCCATTCGCTTCTCTAGCTCTTCGGGCGCGAGACTGGCGGTGAAAACGGTGCACAGGGAGATGTCGAGGTGCCCACTGCCAAGCCGGTGCACTTGGGCCGTAAACATCTCCGGACCCCAGAGGTCCCGCTTCCAGGTGCCGTCAGCCTTGTCGAGCGTCCACTCAAGGTCAGTCATGGCTGGATCGATGGTGTTTACTTTCAGAGGAGACGAGCGAAGGCATTGCGCTGTTCGGAGGACACGCATGTGGTAAAACCTAAATTAAATTTAGGCACGCTCCGAGGTGGAGGGAGAGCAACACTTAGCGTGCAAACGAGTTCAAGCTAATAAACTCAGACAAATGAAAGCAAGACCGCGCGGTCAGGACAGTTTCGCAGCGAGAAATTCGACCATCGCTTGACTGCAGTCCTGCCAGATGTTGCCATCGACGCAGCTAGGCAGGACGGCAAAGTGGCTGCTGCTCTTATCGCCCAGTACCTTGACCTCGGCACTAGGCACCCTCGCAGCAAAGTCTTTCGTCGCTTCGAGCGGACAGATGTTGTCCCCACCAGGCGAGATGAGAAGGGTAGGTGACTTGAGGTTATGCCGCACGGCCGTGTCGACTGGCATGTAGGTCGCCATGTCTGTCACAACGCGTGCGGTCACGTACCTATTGAAGTTGTCAGCTATAGCTGCATCTTGCTAGAACTTCAGCTACGCACCTTGGCGACTCGGGATCGCATTCTTTGTAGAATTGAGGCGCTCCCTTTGTCAGAACAATGCCAGGAATCCATTCATTTGTCTTTCCCGTTTTAAGGTCGTGAGGATGGGTAGCGGGGATGTAGAGCGGAGGTAGAAAGCCAAAGGTCACGAGGCTGAGTATGCGATCCAAGACGCCATACAGGCCGACTGGGATCAGCCAAGGGCTGTTGAGCGACTTGCCGGCTTCCTTTGCGTTGATCATAGGGCACAAGCCCAGAACGGCCGCAATGTGGCCATCCTATAGACGTTCAGTGTACAACGCAGAAGAAGCGCTCGTCGCTTTTGTCTCACCTCAGCTGCAACGGTCACGGCATGACCTCCAGAGAAGGCTGCGCCAAAGAGCACAATTCGCTCGGGGTCGAAGGCGCTCTGCCCTCGGACCCAGGCGAGGGCGCTGCGGTAGTCCTGCAGCTGGCTTGCAAGGTCCGCCAGGTTGCGAGGCGTGCCCTCACTCTGACCAAAGGTCCTGTAGTCGAACAGCACAGCCGCATACCCAGCCTCGGAGAATTTTGTCCACTCTCGACCGACAGCCTCACCTTGCCGTACTCGTCGAATCCGCTTGCCTTGCTGAATGCAAAGCCAGGAGCGCCCACGATGACAGGCATCCGCTGCCTAGACGAGCTTCGGGGAGTATACTGCCAAGCGTGCAGACGCACCCCAGGCGTTGCCGAAGGAATCCAGACGTCCGTTCTGCTATTGGCCATGGAGTTGTTTGTCTTCGATGATCGTGAGTCGCGAGTGGAGAGTCCGTGCGGTCCACGAAATTGAAATATAGTGAAGCAACCGACCGTGTGCTGCATGAAATAGAAACCCAGCCTTGTTTAGCGCCACTGATACAAGGCTCTTCTTCTTGATCCACAAAGACCAAATGGACAATCCCAAGATTCTCTTCGTCTCGCAGCCCGTAGGATTCCCCGTACCATCAGTCAACACGAGCTACGAAGTGGAGAAGGTGGTATTGGACGATTTTCGCCTTGATGGCGGCATTCTGATCGAGGCCATCCTCCTCTGTGGGTCTTTTGCAGCTGTGTACTGTACCGTAGCTTACAATGCACCACTCATAGCCCTCGACCCGTACATGCGCGGCCGCATGAACGTGAATCACGACAGCTACATCGAGGCCTTTGTTCCGGGAAAGCCACTTCAGGGTTTCGGCGTGGCGCGCGTTGTACGCTCCGGACACCACTCCTTCCACGAAGGTCAGATGGTAACGGGCATGATCGGTAAGGGCAGAGAGCTAGAATCCTGATTGGGGTAGAAAACGCTGACGCCCTCTCAGATTTCAGCAAGATTAGCGTCATCGATAAAGAAAACATTGCCAAAATCTCGCGCTGTCCTTCCGTCGCACCTCTTGACCCATCGGCCTGGCTCGGCCCTCTTGGAATACCAGGCTTCAGCGCATTTGTTGGGTATGTCGCCGAGCGAGTGTGTTGAAAAGAGAGCAAACATTCTAACGGCCACACAGCTTGAGGCTTCTCGATGAGCTTATGCCGAACTCACCAGAGCCAGGGAATAAGTTGCTGGTCTCCGGCGCGTCCGGTGGCGTAGGAATGGTGGCAGGACAGCTAGCAAGACAAAGGGGATGGCAAGTCGTTGCTGTCACGGGCTCGGACAGGGGTATAGAAGCACTCCGAGCTGTAGGCACCGAGTACATCGTGGATCGACGCACCAACATTCACGACCAACTGCGTCGTCTGGCTCCGCTTCAGGCCTTTTTCGATGGGGTCGGCGGAGAAGTACTCGATGCATTTCTTGCTGTAGCCGCGCCACACGCGACAATCATTGCTTGTGGCATGTTGTCGCAATTTGGGGGGAACGGTTTCTCTCACGGGATACGCAATCCGTTAGCATTTGTCACAAAAAGGTAGGTACACAAGTTTCATTCAAGTTCTCTTCTCTGACTACTTCGGCACAGCATCACGCTTCGCGGGTTCGTGGCTTCGGACTACTTGCACCTCAAGCAGACATTCCTCGACGAGTTGATGCCACAGTTGGTCAGCGGCGACCTGCAGTGGCTGCCCAGCTTCGTGCAAGGTTTCGACAATCTCGAAGAAGCGTTCGTAGACCAAGTGTTGAGGGGTAACAAGGTTGGAAAAGTCATCGTCAAAGTATAAGTAAGCCTCCGCTCCGTTGGCATCCACTCCAGAGTCAAGGATCTGGAAATGCTTGAAATGAACAGCTTCCTCGACCACACACATACGGACGTGTGTCGCGACAAACCTATAGGTTACAATGACAGAGCTACGAAACTCAACACTTGTTGCCTGAAGCCTTGTTGATCATGCACATCTTGAAAGTCCCCCCCTTGGACGACTTCCAGTTCTCGTCTGTGCCTCTGATCCAGGTCTGTTCATTGGGTCCGTTGCAGTGCAGGTTTGCGTCGTTCCCGAACTGCGCCATCTCGTTCACGTGGATCTCCGGGTCGCCATCTTTGTGGTGGCCTATCACGCAGCACGTGTTGTAGCAAATAATGGGACGTTGCTGCTCATCGACACCGGGGAGGTCAGTATTCTTGATCCAGTCGTCGTCGATCATGGCACAGTCGCCGGACCAGCCGGCCTATAGGTGCGTCGTTGTCAGCAACGATAATCATCGAAGGCGGGCAATTGACTCACATGGTCGTCGGTGCATTTCACGCCCGACTCGGTGTCGGGAATGAGTGCCCAGTCGCTCATATCTATCCCATATTTCTTGATGATGTCGTCGTCGGAGTCGGCCCTCACGACGGCGACGGCGAGGCAATAAATGACCAATTGAAACGAAAATGCGCCTTGGAGGTGCATGTTCCTTGGTTGCAAAACGACTTTAGCTGCACAAAGTGATAGAACCAGCTTGCTCTCCGCCCGTGAGATACCTGACTTCTAAGAAAGGGGAGATGACGGGGAACAAAGAGTCAGCTTTATATACTAATTCATTTCTTGGCCCATGCGGTCGGCGAAGAATTTTGTTAAGTTTCAATGTTTTCGCGACCATAAGGTGTTGAATACCGCGTGCACTTTGCAGGGCAGCGCCAAAGTAACGCCAAGGTAGCAAAAGATCAGTTGAGAGATGGTCGTTTGTCGGGGAGCAGAGCAGTGTCTCGCCTTCTTGCTTTTTGCCTTTTGAATATCATATATAGAGACGCAAATCTCCTCCAGTCCTCAGAGTTGGCTTCTCCGACCACAATTTCTCAGCTCGGTGACCGCATTCTCTTCCTCTGACTGTCCCCACCTTTCTACGCAGGTCGTAGTAGCTTAAGGAACCCTTTTCTTCCAACATGCACGTCTCTTCGCTCTGGCTGCTTTTCCTTGTCCTCATTTGGCAGGCCAACGCCTATACAATCGGTATAGTGAACGACAATCCATCTTCCCAGACGCTGGACGCCAGGGAGAACTTCAAGAAAGGTCTTCAGATGGAGCATAAGCGTTAAACAAACCACACCGACAATGATCCTTCACCCGAAGACTGGTGCATGACACTTGGTGATCGTTGCAAAATGATCGGCGGTCTACCAAAGTATCAACCTCCTCAAAGTACCACTCCACCGATCCTGGCCAAAATCGGCAAGACGCCAGATTCCTTAAATCCTCTACACGGAAAGGAGATCGAAGGGCACCCGGATGGAAACAGCTCCCACAACTACGAGATGCACTACAGCGCAGCCCTGACACCAATTGGGGTGTGCAATCCCGTCAAGTTTCTCCAACTGATTATCGATCGAAGCTGTCCAAAGGGCGACACGTCGAGCACGTGCAGAGCAAAAGCTGTGTGGCCTTGCGAGTATCAAGACGACAAATACACACATTGGTCGCCATCGCTGACTAACCAAAGCGACATTCGAACTTGCACCATGGGCGTCGACGCCTTTTTTAGCACGAACAAGGAGATCAATGCAGGAGGAACGAAGTATGCAGACTTTATGAAGGACTGGATCGTCAAAGCTATGCAGGCCACAACTCAGATCCCGGGAGGCAACTCCAGCACCCATCCCATTAACGGTGGTCCGAACAACCCCGGTATCAAGCCTCCCAATGTCACTGTCTGGTCTGTACCCGCCCAAATGAAAGCTGTGATGTACGAGCTCCGGCCAAATCAGCCCGCCGACGTGCAAGGCAACAACGCAATCTCGGTCTCGATTTCTTGTCCAAAGCCGAAGGAGACAGCCAACCTCTGTGCCGTCGCTGGCTCCCTCATCGCACTCGCAGCTGCCGTCCTTGGCGTGTTCACCGAGGGCATCACGACCTCTCTTTTAGGGGCTGTGGGGGCAACAGCTGGTGCAGGTGGCGCAGGTTGCGGTGCTGCCACCAGTTAAGTCTTGTTTCCACACCTTCTCTTCGCTCTCCCCATTATCGATCCTCCATTGTAGAAAGCCGGAGTGAATATCCTATTTTCTGTCTTTGCCACACATTTGCCAAATTGTACGAATTGCTACCAAAGGCAAATTACTTTGCTATTGCTGTGCGATACGATACCGTGCTGTGAGCCTCTAGGAATGAAGGGCGCAAGAGAACTGTGCGGCAACATGAGGGAGCGCCATTGCGACTACAAAGGTGTGTTACAAGCACGGTACGTCATGATAGCGCACGGTTGTAGCCTCTACCATGCAAGTGCAGTGGCCGAGATGCCGACGAAGATCGAAGAGAGGCCAAGAATGACATTGTGCTTCGCCGCGGACGATTGGCCTTCGTACGCGGCTGTGCAGTCCGCTTGCAGCGTCACATTGCCGTAGATAGGCGTCGAGGAGGTGCCGTTAGCCACAAAGACCTCGCTCATAATGTAGCTCTGTAGAAAATACGAGTCGGTAAGTACTCTGAAAGGAAAGCGACCGACAACACACGCACCGCAATGGCGAGTTGATCTTTTTGGGCTCCATTATCAGTCCCAAGAGTCCATTTCGCGTCGCCTACGGAAGCGTTGCCACCGGGGTAGAGGGGAAATGTGAGAAGACTCCTCGCTGGGTCGGAACCACTGGCCGGGAACGGAACCCTGTTGCTGGCCTGCGAAAGATTGTAGGACTTGTCTAGGAAGATGCCGTCTCCCTCGAGGTAGCCGCCTTATGAAAGCACGGCGTCAGCACGGCCTGCTGATCAAAGAATGCAAGAGACACCCACCCTTCTGACCGTAACGAGGCTGGCCGAGGACGAACCGAAAAGTGGAATTTTCAGAAAAGTCGCCGTCCTCGATAGTGTTGAGGGAGACTTGATACGTGGAGCGATCGCAAGTGGTGATGATATTATTCTGACTCGAACCTCCGTCTGTGAGCGTCACGCTGACCACTCCCGGCAAGGTCGAGTTAACCAAAGGGATGGCACCGTCCTGACGTTTCGCAAGAGGGCCAGCGGCGCAAATAGTGGGGAGTACGCCCATTGCAAGGGCGGGAAAAAGCAACATGATTGAGCTCGATGGTGGTAATGAAGACGCTTTCGTGCGACGGCTCTGTTGGATACTCCGAGCACCGACCGCATGGTCAGTACGATGTGATATTAAAAACTCCAGGCGTGCTTAAATTTTAATACAATCTATTTCTGGAATAGCTTTTCAAGTGCAACCTTAAAATTAGTATTGCCATCCGCGACCGCATGGTCCGCGACGATGGTTGCAATGTGTGTCTGTGAACGCTTCACGGGACCCACTCCAGGTCGTCTCTCCCATCTACGGCGCAACAACTCGCTCCTCACTTCGCACGATGCAAATTATTACTACCCTTGTCATGGCTGCGCTCCTTGCGTCTTCATCAAGCGCAACACCATTCTCTTCGGTGCTTCGCCGCCAGGACAACATTGCCCTAACGCAAAGCCCGCTTGTCGAGTCGATGCCCTTCTACAAAGCCTTTCTGACCGATCAAGGCGAAGATGAGTCGATCGGATATTGTGACCGTTCAAAGTACCAGTTTGGCGTCACGGTCCAGCAGAAGGACCTCCTCGACAACACAACTTTTCGCTTTGTGCTTGGCCAGCCTCGCTACGGGTCACAAGGTGAGACCGTCGTTTGCTCTCCTGCTTTCCTTTTATCTCACTAGTACACTCTCTCTAGGCCCTTTTCTCGATGGGAACAAGATCTTTGTAGACCACACGTACAATACCTCGCAAGCCCTAAAGGACAGGCAGTCCACCGGCGGAACACTAGCTATCGACACGCTCTTCTTCCCACTGTACTCGGACGCAGGCTCAGCGGATGAGCAAAAGAAGCTTCGCAGCGAGCCTTGGGCACTGAGCACCGACAATACAACGGAGGGATATGTCTTGGCTGGCCAGTACGCAGTAGCGGTGAGTCATTTCTCGTGGTTGATTGACAAAGAAGGAGGAGCTGACATCCCGGCTCCTGCCCCTGATAAAGGCATTCGTCTTCAGCCCGTCTTTTTTTACAAATGGCTCCACAGGCGGCCTGCCGTCTCCGCTTGTGAGCAACGTGTCCTTCAGCAACCGTGACTGTACGCAGTCGTTTCTGGGCAAGAGCGATGGGGCTGCCACGGGTCTTCCGCCCTCCGCCCTCGCCACTGTCCTTACAGTGGCCGGCATGAGCACCGCAGCCGTTGCGCTCCATCTCCTGTAACACAACCATCTTTCATGAAAGAGCTACAATATCAGAGTCTCGATGTAAGGTTGTACTATGCCGAGAATGGGGAGGGATGTCTCTATGAACCGGGAAACTACAGATGAAATGCTGTACAGTAAACTACAAATGAAGCTAGGTGACGAGGTGATTGAGTCGGCTGCCTAGCTCGAGCTCGAGCCTGAGGCGGCCCGTCTCGGTCCTGTGCAGCGCATCGTTGTCCATACGTAGCGTGTCTGGGTTCGTCCAATCGTCGTCTGGCTCCTCGTCGTGGACTTCGGGGGCACCTCTGACATTGGCCAGAACAGCCTGCCAGAAATGATCGCGAAGGAGTGCGTCGAGGGGCCTCTCACTCGATCCCGGCTCGAGGTGGTCCAAATCGAGTCGCCCGCCATGCTCTCCGCCGGCTGCAGTGAAGTCGAAAATGGCGTAGTCATTGTCGACATCGACTGCAAACTCGTGGGCATTGAAGGCAGCGTGCAGATCGGCGCGTAGGAGGAGGCCACTCTGGACGGAGTCGATCTTGGCGTCGCCGAGCTGGCGGCCGGTGTCATCGACAAGATCGTCAAAGCCAAGTGTACGCCACTGGGAGAAGAGCGGGTCAGCAAGAGGCAGCTTCCGAAGCTAACTTCAGCCAGAAGCTCACGCGATCAAGGTGCGCCCTCGCAAAGATGTGGGCGGCGTGCAGCCTCGTCCAGCTCCTGTGGATCGTCGTCAGCCCCGTAATGAGACACTTTCGGTCCCGCGCACGGATGCGATCGGCGAACGTGATGCTCTTCGAGCTCGACGGAGAAGACGAGTTTAAGCTGATAGTGCGACGGTGATAAACATGAGACGTCGAGACGTGGTCCACTGGCTGCCAGGTGCCGTCGCTGAGCACGTCAAAGGTGCCGGGGGGCATCGCTTCTTTAGCCATTTCTTTGTCAGCGCTGGGGCAGATCACGCGTCGCACTTGCAAATTGGCGGGATCGCATCGCTCGGCGAGGCTCCACGCCACCGGACTTCCTCCTTGTTCAAAGCGCCAGCAGTACTCGAGCCACTCTCGAAAGCGCCCCTTGGACACATTTCCGTGCTGCCAGAAACCTGAGACACAAACGACGTCCATCAGATCCTTCTTGTGCTTAGCGGTGCAGTGCTAGCACGTGATACTCACCAGCGATCTCCTCTTCCCTTGAAAAGACGAAGACGTTGCGAGATGGCGACGGCGGCGCCGCCATCCTGCAGCCGGGGTAGAGCAGATCTGGTTGTGAGAGCAATCAATGTCGGATGAGCACACCTCCTGCTAATTGAGAACGCCACGTGAGCGGACAGGTTGTGCATGCCACATGGCACCTAGTGCAACCTCATGGAGCGTTAAACGTGTGACAACGTCCTTCAATATGCATCTTTCCCCTTGTTTCCGTACCTGCTCCTTCTTTCTCGGCTAGTGCGGCGGCTCTGTCCATCGTCCGTACGACATGCTATTTCCCCGCCTACAATCCACCCGGGAGAAACACGACGCGCTGTGCCACTGAACAAGCTTTTCGCCCTCTGAAGCGGAAGCGAGTCTAAATTTCCGAATCTCAAGAGGCGCCCCCCTTCTTGGATCGGGGTTTCATTCGGAGCACAGTGCAGAGAAAGATCGCTGGAGAGCGCTTTAACAGTGCAACAGCCTGCCAAATGAAGATCTTGCGCGCATCATCGCGAGATGTCTACGATCTGGCAGCGCTCGAGATCCGATCGTTTGCTGCCGACGACACGTCCCAGATTGCACGCCTCATGTATCCCCCCGAGAAGCAGCCGCCGTACAAAGAACAGATCGAACGCAGAGCAGCGAGCATCTCGGACAATCTCCGCCATCATCTTATCAAAGCGATCTCTCCCGAGGGAAAGATTGTGGGTTACGCGACGTGGAAGTCCCCTGGCCAAGACAGTGTAGACATCACGACATCAAATGGACCCTCGTTTGCGGCCCGCTTCAAGGCTAGAGTGAAGGAGACGAGAAAAGAAAAGATGGGTCAAAGGCAATACTGGTGAGCCCGTACCTCTTGTTCGCTCGCCGACAATTGGAGTCCTCAAACAACCATTGATGCTCTCTCTCATCAGGTATCTGGCCATGCTCGTCGTGGACCCAGACTACTGGCGTCAGGGAGTGGGACGTACCCTCGTGCAATGGGGCTTGCATCTCGCCGATGCATCGGGGACCTCAACCTGTTTTCTGGAAGCGAGCGTCATGGCGGAAGCATTCTACACCAAGCTGGGCTTCAGGACCTTGGGATGGGACCAAGTGCAAACGGACGTTGCCTCTCATGACATGTGCAGATGGCCCTATATGCTCCGAGAGTAGAATTGGAAGATCCGGATCAGACATTACCCTTCCGTTCCACGGACCTTGATATCCATCGACGGCGTCTGTTGCGTGAAAATGACAGCGCTGAGAAGGCGACGCACCCACAAAACACGTGCCGGGGATGTACAGTAGGTAGCCGCCGCCGCCGGCACAGCTGATCGGGCGCGTTTGTTAGCGCCCGACTCAGCATTTGGACACCTTATTTTTTTCCTCATGGCCACCACCATCTTTGCCTTTGCGCGCTACCTGCGCCTGAAGGTCCTCGTGTCCTTCTTCCGCCTTGCCGTCAAGCTCCTCACACCAGCTCCGAAAGCCCGTCCCGACCGAGTTTTGAGCATACCTTCTCGCGACAAGCGTCGCAGCATCAAGGCCCATCTTTACACCCCTCCAGCAAAAGACGCAGGCGCCCAGGCCCGAGTCCCGGGTCCAGTCTTGCTCAACTTTTACGGCTCTGGCTTTGCACTACCTCTGCATGGCGCCGACGATGGGTTTTGCCGCCTCGTCGCCACCAAAGCAGGCTATGCGGTGCTCGACGTCGAATATCGCTTGGGACCCGAGTGGCCGTTTCCTGCAGCCATCAACGACGTTGAGGACGCGGTAAGGTACGTGCTCGACCGTCCAGAGGAGTTTAATTCTTCGCAAGTCTCCCTGTCTGGCTTCTCGTCAGGCGGCACCCTCGCCCTCATTGCTCCTACGCTGTTTCCCCCCGGTTGCTTCCGGTCCGTCATTGCTTTCTACCCAGCGACGGATCTGGCGGCAGACCCTAAGCTGAGGAAAGCACCAGCACCAGACGCCAAGCCGCGCTCGACGTTCTTGACCGGAATCTTCCGAGAGGCGTACATTGGCGACAGAAATCCCCGGGATCCCAGAATATCACCGATCTTTGCCGATACGTCCAATTACCCTGCCAACATGCTTGTTCTGACGGGCGACCAGGACACATCGGCACTCGAAGCGGAAGATTTGGCCGAGAGAGCAAAAAGGGAAGGACAGGCAAGTGGGAGAAATGTCGTGATCCGCAGAATGAAGGGGTGCGGCCATGCCTTTGACAAGAAGAGCAAAGTCAGCGCCCTTGTCCAGGCCAGAGACGAGGCGTACGGGCTCGCGGTGGACATGCTCAGGACGGCAGCCAGTCACAGAATCTAGTGGGAAAGTCGTTCTGTCTTGCGGCTCAAATTCTTCAAATGTGAAAGTCGATCTCTGCGCGGATGTCTGCAGTACAGTCAGCACAGTCACGGGCGGTGTCACGACATTGTCTCCTGCCTGAGTGATGTTGCTCAGCTCAAAACCTGCCCAAGTGAAGTTGGTATACGCAACAGATTGTAACAATTACGCTTCTGATGAAAGGTCTTGTGGTCTTGTGCACGGCCGCCTCAATTCATATCTCACCAGAACAGTGGCTTAAGCTGCTCTGATGAAATACAGAAAGCCCCATTTCGAGGTGCCTCGACTCGAAAAAGAGCCGAACACGTCCGTAATACTTCTGGTCTGTGCGCGTGGACGATTCAGCCGACGGCTAAATCAGCCGAGCAAGACCAGTTTGGTCCGGGGGGTAAAAGGAGTTGGGTTTTCCCCCACGTTCAACTGCAATCAAGGCTGCTTTCTCTCGAACTTACTCCAGCGTACTCCAGCATCCTCAGAGGAAACGAAACAAGCTCAGACGCTGCTCAGGATGCCTTCACAAGAGCGGAATCGCACGCTCGCTATCCTGCGGTCAGCATCAAAGGGAAAGTACGCCATCCTCGCCCAGTGCTGCTATGGTGAGCGGTCTGGGACGAGGCTTGCTCCAAGGCCATGCACTCAAGCATCCATCCCCATCTCCAGATGCACAAAGCGTGCTGGCCACAATCAGGGCAGCAGAAAAGGCGCGATCGCCGGCAATGGTGCAGCTGTTTCCCGTGACGATGAAGCAGGTAAAGATCGCGGTGTCCTACTGATGGCTGCCTGCACGCCTTCGCTGATCTCTTCTTTGATTAGTTTGGCATACACTTCACCCGCTTTGTCTTGGATGCCTGTCATTCTGCCTCTGTGCCCATCTCGGTACACGTCGACCACGTCGGGACGGACGAAGACATCGCCAGGGTGCTCGACTGGGCCGAGCAGGGCGTGCAGGTGGACTCAATGATGATCGACTGCAGCCACCACGACACCGATGAGGAAAACATCGCCATGGCCAAGCCATACTGCCAGCGAGCAGCGAAGCTGGGCATGGCCGTTGAAGTTGAATTGGGCAGGATCATGGGAGGAGAACAGGGCGTTCGGACGATGGACGATGGCGCTCTCACCAGGCCGGAGAAGGCAGAACAGTTCCTTTTGGAACTGGAGGTTGATGTGAGTGTCGTACTGCGTGGATCTACTTTTCTCTCTCTCCTAAGTGATTCGCACTTCCCACCACAGATGCTCGCGCCAAGCATCGGAAACATCCATGGCCGGTACACCAGTGCGCCCGACTTTCGCTTGGACCTGCTCGACGACTTGCAGGGACGCGTGGGGCCAAAGACGCAGGCAAACGCACTCATTGTCCTCCATGGCACTGATGATCTTTCCGACGACCTCTTTCGCGAATGTGTCCGGCGCGGGTGCGTCAAGATCAACGTCAACAGCTGGGCACGCGAGCCGCAGGTAGAGCATTGGTGAGTGGATACGTCGTGAACCCATGGGAGGGATGGAGCAATGTCTGAAGCTGACCATTTCGACCCAGGGTCAAGCGTCTCTCCCACGACGCCCTGCCCGACGTATACGATGCGGGCATGGAGAAGTTTGAGGCTGTGTGCACGCGCTTCTTCAAACTCTTTGGCAGCGCTGGCAAAGCTTGAGCTGAAGCAGTAGGGATGTCATTGCTGCTACAATCGCAAATGCACATGTCTCTTGATTTCTAGAGCTGGCCATTCATAGCCCAGTAGCTCTTGATGACGCGCGAATCGTCCTTGGCGCCATCGCCTCTCGCAGCAGCTGAGACAAACATCTGAAGAGCAGCCACCGAGAGAGGCAGGGCTGCACCGACCTGCTTTCCCGTCTGCGAGACAATGTCTAGATCTTTGAGGAACAGATTGACCGCTGACTTGACCTCGGGATCTTCCTTTTGGAGCATGCGCGGTGCACGCTGTTGCAGCATCCACGACGAAGCGGCCGAGTTCTGCACAATGGGCAGCGCCACTTCAGGATCGATGCCCGAAGCAGCAGCTAGTGCGAGAGCCTCGGCGGCGGCAGCCAGATGAATGCCGCAGAGCACCTGCGTGGAAGAGGCACAGCAGTGAACATTCGGCAACTAACTGCACGCAAGTGGCGAGCTGTCTCTCACCTGATTCACCGCCTTCATGGCACTACCCTGTCCGACTTGCTTGCCGACATGGTATAGCTTGCTGCCCATGATTCTGAGCACGGGCTCGACGCGACCAAAGACATCATCCTGTGCCGCTGCCATGATCGTCAGACCACCTGTCATGGCTCCCTCTGTTCCTCCCGAGACTGGTGCATCGACGAAGCCGACATCGGGACGTCTTTCTGCGACCTGCGTGGCTAGATCTGCGCAAGCTTGCTTGGAGCAGGTGGCCATGAGGAGGATGTCGGCACCCTGCGCCAGGCTATCGAGAGCGCCGTCGGTGAAGAGGATGGAGTGAGCTTGGAAGTGGGAGACGGTCATGAGAACTATGACATTGGCACCCTGGGCAGCCTCCCTTGCACTCTTGGCACACCGGCTCTTCTCTTGCCCCTCGTGTAGCGCCTCAACTGCCTCTGGTCGAATGTCGAACCCGTGCACATCGTAGTCTGCAGACTGCAGCTTGCGAGCCATGTGCAGGCCCATAGCGCCCAGTCCAAAAAAGGCGATCCGTGGCTTGGTCATGCTGTCGTCGATGGGATCAAGGCGCCGGTACTAGTCTTGCTGTTCTCTTGTGAGAGTCAGATCAATGTCCAGGTGCAAAAGTGTTGAAGCAGACCCTGCGCTTTATTACCTTGCCAGCGCCCAGGAGCAATCAGCCGGTCCCCCTCCCACATCCCACTCATGCAGCTGCGCGCGTCTCTCTCGGCTCATTACTTGGACAATTTTAGACTCCCACTGGCTTCTCAGGGTGGGGGTGGAGGTGTGTATCATACATACATGAAGAAGGGGTCCAGCTCTATTTCATTCTCGCGTCGCCAGACTCGGCCCACGCTTGATCGATGACCTTGCGCAGGCGCCAAAAGGCTTCATCGACCAGCTCGAGGGGCACCTGGGAGAAGCTGGTGCGGACAAAAGGAGAAGGACGAGGGCAGGCTAGAAACGCCATGCCCGGGATGGCAAGCACGCCCGCATCCTTTGCCCTCTGGCTGACTAGGTCAAACGAGTCTGGGCTCGGAAGCAGCAGCTCAATCCAGAGAAACATGCCAGCTGTTGGCGTTGACCACCTGGCTGCAGCTGGCTCCTTTAAAAGATGTTTCGTTGCCGCTGCCTCGAAGAAGTCGCGTCGATTCTGATAGAGAGGAAATTGTGTTAGTCTAATGCACATCTGCATCTTTATAGAGCAAGTGAACGCACTCGGTAGAAACACGCGATGCGATCTGCATGCCGCAGGAAGCCGCTGATCCCCCACGCTTCCAACACAGCCAGCACCACACCCTGGCTCACGCCTGAGGGCTGCAGGTTGCGGCCCGCAGAGTCCTGATCAATGGCCGCGAGGAGGACCGGCGAGCCGGTACAGAAGCCAAGTCGCATGCCTGAAGAGAGAACCTGCACCTCGCGCGGAGGTCAGCTGTGCTCGCAACAAACATTTGTCCACTCTATCATACCTTGGAAAAGCTGTCGAATCGTAGCACATTCTTTGCAGATGGGTCCATGGAAAGGTAGCTAGGACTCCGTGTGCGCGTGACTGGATCATCGCCCACGTCACTGTAGTCGAGATAGTAGTATGCGTCGTCTTCAAGCAGCAGCAGATCGTGCCGCCGCACAATGTCGAGCACGGCTTTTTTGCGTTCTTTGCTCGCAGTAGCGCCCGTCGGGTTCCCTCCTGTGGGCGTCAAGTAGATGACCTTGGGAAAGGCCAGTGCGCGTGTGCTCTCGTCGGTCCACCATGCCGTCAATGTCTCGGCGAGAGAGCTGGGCTTCACACCTTCATTGTCTGGCTCTATCTCCACAACATTGACACCGAGCGCCCTGAGCTGCGGAAGGATCCCTCTGCAAAAAAGAAAAAGAAGCGAGAGTCAGGACCAATCGACTTTCTGACAAAGTGCAGACTACATACGGATAGACGGGCTTCTCCGTCAGTATGGTATCTCCATCGTCCAGCAGTGCTGCGAGGGACTGGATCGCGTGTCAGCAAGAGGAAGTTGCAGTCTTCGTAATGCCTGTTCCTACCTTGATGAGCAGGTCCTGGCTGCCCGCTCCAATCGAGCACCTCCAATCTGGAGACTGTCGGGGCAGCTTGTGCACTCGTGCCTGCAGCTCCTCTACCCACTGCACGAGACGCGGAAGCCCAGCTGTGGGGCTGTACTGGAGTGCATCCTCGAGATCTTGTCCCTCCAAGCTCAGCGTGATACACTCCGTCGACTTTGTCGCCGACTGTACATCCACGTCCAAGGTGATGCGACGGATTGGGAACGTCTCCCCATTTGGCTTGCCCGACAGCAGCGAGATCATTCCCGGGAGCTTCTCTGCTGGGTACAGAGAGCGAATGGCCGAAGGCAGCCGAGTCCGGGCACGGTGAGATAGGCGCGACGCCATGTCTCTGTTCGTTTGGCTCTGGGTGACCATGTCTGTTGTTGGAGCTACTTGTAAAATTGGAAGGGCTGCTATTTATCATGATCAGCGCTGCTCGGCTGATAGAGCGACGGTGCCTGCAGTATATGCGACTTTATCAGGAAATAAGCCGAGCATGTACCGGGCTGCGCTTAGGCTAAATATTTAAACCCCCCCACTCTCTCTCACCTTCTTGCCTCTAAGCATCAAGACACCATCATCATGACACCAGCGGCCACAGACGAGGCAGCTCCATCAATGCACAAGCTGCCTGCTCGAGGCATCTATGCACCCACACTCACCTTCTTCAATCCCGATGATGACTCCGTCGACATTGAGACGACCGTTGCGCACGCTCTGCGTCTCGCCAGGGCAGGCTTGGCAGGTCTCGTCATCATGGGCTCCAACGGCGAGGCGCCTCTCATTGAGCCCGATGAGCGAAAAGCCATCGTATCAGCGATACGGAGAGCGCTAAACGAAAGCGGGCTTGGCGCACTCCACCTCATCGTTGGCACGGGAGCACAATCTCTCAGACTGACATTAAAGCAGACGCGGGACGCCGCACAGGCTGGTGCCGACTTTGCTCTCGTCCTTCCCCCCTCGTACTGGCCACCGGCAATGACAAAACCCGTCCTCAGCGCCTTTTTTGACAAAGTGTGCCAGCAGTCACCCATCCCCGTTCTTGCCTACAACTTCCCTCTCGTCGCAAGCGGCATCAACTTTACTTCGGATGATCTCATCGACATAGCTAAGCGGCAGCCTAACTTGGTGGGCGCCAAACTGACGTGCGGCAATCTCGGCACTGTCCAGCGTGTGTCGTCTGCACTTGGACCAGAGCGCTTCGCAGTGCTGGGCGGTCGCAGCGAGTTTGTCCTGCACGGCCTTGTCGGTGGCTCGCACGGCACGATTGGCGCCCTCGTCAACGTCGCACCGGCCGCACACGTGGCCCTCTACCGCGCATACACCAAGGGCGATCTGAAGGCCGCCCAGGAAATGCAGGCAATCATATCTGCAGCTGATGGAGACGTGTCCAAACTGGGCGTGGCGGGGCTCAAGGGGCTCGTCTGTGAGATTGCAGGTTGGGGCAAAGACAAGGCTAGCGTGCGTAGTCCGCTGCTTGCTGCGAAGCTGCCACCTTCTGTCTTCGAGAAGGGTAGCAGTGTCTCGAGGCTACTCCAGCTCGAGGCCGATGTGTCCAAGCCCTGATTATCCCTTGATTAGCGCTTGTAGAGCTCTCAATTAGCGCTTGTAGAGCTTGTACCCTAACCGACTCGCTCGAATCTAAAATTTCATGGCTGTTCAGCAGCACTTCCATTTCTTGCACTCCCTCTCATGCCATGTCTGCTGAAGATTCCCGCGGCTATAGATCTCAGCGACAAGTCATCAGTAGCCATGCTGCAGCAGAACGGGCACGACGCTGGCCGTGGTCCAGATGCGGAGCTTGCAAATCGAAGTAGCAAGTTGAATGGAGCCGCGCTTTGAGCCGAGCAAAGCGCGCGTACCACCAGTTGGAAGGAAATTTAAGCCTGGCGAGGCGTTTTCAGCCGAGTTTTGTTCCGGCACAGGTGGTCTGTGCCTCGTTCAGCGTTCTTCGTGGTTATCTATGCTCAGGAGCAAGTGGGGGGGAAGATCAGCCATCAATATATAATTGTCAGTGATTGCCTTCCGAAGTTGATCTAATCACACTGCCCAGCATGCCCGAGAGTACCCTTAGACGAGGCATTCGCATCGCCATTGATCGCGGCGGCACATTCTGTGACGTCTTTGCCACGATTCCTGATCACAAGCCGCTCGCCTTCAAGATCCTCAGCTCAGACCCGTCCAACTACGCTGATGCACCCACCGAGGCCGTTCGGAGAGTACTCTCGGTGGCTCGGGACCGTGACATTCCACGCAGCGAGCGCATCGATCTTGGCGACGTCGAGTCCATCCGAATGGGCACAACAGTTGCCACGAATGCACTGCTGGAGCGCAAAGGGGAGCCGACGGCCTTCTTAGTCACCAAAGGCTTCCGCGACCTTCTCGTCATCGGCAACCAAAGCCGACCCGACCTTTTTGACCTGAGTGTGCGCAGGGTAGACGCAATCCCGTCAGCCACCGTCGAGGTCGACGAGCGAGTCGTGCTGGCAGGCGACTTTGCATTACCCGACCTGCCAATCATCCCCTGCAATGGTTCCGACAGCGTGCAGATCGAAAGGGCCCTCGACATGGCCGCGGTAGAGAGAGACCTGCGCCAGTTGCACTGCCAAGGCTATCGCTCGCTCGCAGTCGCCCTCCTTCATTCGTACCTCTATCCACAGCATGAGCTCCTGATCGGTCAAAAGGCAATCGAGGTCGGCTTCGAGCATGTCTCGCTGTCGTCACAGGTTGCGCCTGTGATCAAGGCTGTTTCGCGTGCCCACTCGGCCACGGCGGACGCCTACCTCACACCAGAGCTGAGACGGACGGTCGACGCCTTCCTTGGCAGCTTTCACAATATCCAGCCTGGCATGGTGCAGTTCATGCAGAGCGACGGAGGTCTCGTCTCGGCGACGAGCTTTTCGGGCTTACGCGCCATTCTAAGCGGGCCGGCAGGAGGCGTCTGCGGTCTGGCGGCTACCTGCTTCGACGAGGAAGACGGCACACCCGTTATTGGATTCGATATGGGCGGCACCTCGACCGATGTCTCGCGCTACGATGGCTCTTTTGCCCACGTGCTCGAGACGACAACGGCAGGTGTGACGATCCAGACGCCACAGCTGGACATCAACACCGTGGCTGCAGGCGGTGGCTCGATTCTCTTCTGGCGCAACGGCATGTTTGCCGTGGGTCCTGAATCGGCTGGTGCACATCCAGGACCCGCCTGCTACCGCAAGGGTGGCCCGCTGACCATCACCGATGCAAACTTGATGCTGGGACGCATCATCCTTGACTCGTTTCCCTGCGTCTTTGGCCCCAACGAGAACGAGCCGCTCGACGTCGAAGTGGTCAAGGCCAAGTTTGCCGCCCTAGCAGAAGAGATCTCGGCCGACACTGGCAAGCCTATTGCTGCCCACGAAGTGGCTTTGGGTTTCATTGCCGTCGCCAACGAGTCCATGTGTCAGCCTGTGCGGGCACTTACGGAAGCGAAAGGGCATTCTCTCGCATCGCACAACCTGGCCGTGTTCGGTGGCGCCGGAGGACAGCATGCATGCGGTATTGCCGAAGCGCTCGAGATCGAGCGGGTCCTCCTGCATCGTCACGCCTCCATCCTGTCGGCATACGGCATTGCCCTTGCTGACATGGTACAGGACAAGGTCGTGGCCTTCCATGTCGTTTATGAGCCTACATCGATGAGCAAGATCAAGGAAAAAGTGCAGCAGATGAAAAAGAGCGCGCTTCAGGAGCTGGTGGCCAACGCGGCACCCTTTGCATCGACCGAGGTGGAAGTCTTTCTCAACATGCGCTTCGACGGCACCGACACCAGTCTGATGGTCCGCCAGCAGGAAAATGGCACCGACTGTGCCGCTGTGTTCCACCAGCAACACCAGCGCGAGTTCGGCTTCACTCTGCAGACCCGCAAAATCGTTGTCGAGGAGATCCGCGTCCGTGCCGTCGGTCGGACTGGCCTGCCAAAGTCGTCGAATGCACTGATGTCGACCATCGGCAAAATCATCAGCAGACCCATCCAGGAACCCACCGATGGATGCAAACGGAGGCACGTCTACTTTGCCCAGCATGGCTGGATCGAGTGCCCAGTCTTCGAGCTCTCTGAGCTGCAGACACCCAATCTGCACCTGGCAGGCCCGTGCATGATGATTGACAGCACCCAAACCATCGTCGTCGCGCCGGGCTACACGGCCGCAATTGCACCCGAGCACGTTGTGCTCAACCGTGCACCGCGAGCGAAGGTGCCTGAGACACCCAAGCTCCTTGACGACAATGACGCCGTGACGTTATCTATTTTTGCACACAAGTTCATGAGCATCGCCGAGCGGATGGGTGGCGCGCTACAGAAGACGTCGGTCTCCGTCAACATCAAGGAGCGACTTGACTTCAGCTGTTCCATCTTTACCGCCCAGGGTGACCTCGTCGCAAACGCACCCCACGTGCCAGCCATGCTGGGTTCGATGGCGTTTGCAGTCAAGTACCAGCTAGCGCTGTGGAAAGGCAAGCTGGCGCCTGGCGATGTGTTGCTTTCCAACCATCCGGTCGCTGGAGGGGTACATCTGCCCGACATGACGGTCATCACCCCAGTGTTCGATGACGGCGAGCTCATCTTCTGCCTCGCCAGTCGTGGTCACCATGCCGATGTCGGTGGAATTCTCCCTGGCTCGATGCCGCCCCACTCCAAAACAATCTTTGACGAGGGCGCTTCGATCGAGTCACTCAAAGTAGTGGAAGCGGGCACGTTCAAGGAGGAAGAGCTCACGAGGCTCTTGGTCGACGAGCCGCAGAAGCAGCCGGGCGGGCACGGTACCCGCACCCTCGCCGATAACGTCAGCGATATCCGTGCCCAGATTGCTGCAAACAATCGCGGGTCCCATCTGCTAGGCCAGCTCGTCAATACCTACGGCCTTGCCAGCGTGCAGTCACACATGAAGGGAATCCAACGCAAGGCCGAGGGCGCAGTCCGTAAGCTGCTGCGCAACTTTGGCCAGCTGCGCAACTTCCAGCCGGCCACTGCCGTCGACTACATGGACGACGGCACGCCCATCAGGCTAGAGATAGCTATCGATGAGCAGGGTGGCGCGGTCTTTGACTTTACTGGGACAGGTCCCGAGGTGCTTGGCAACTGGAATGCGCCGACGGCGATCTGCTTCTCTTCGATCATCTACGCACTGCGCAGCATGCTGGCAACGGACATGCCCCTCAATCAGGGCTGCTTGGACCCACTCAAAGTCATTGTGCCGCCCAACTCGCTCCTGTCGCCCTCGCGCGATGCAGCTGTGTGCGGTGGAAACGTACTGACGTCGCAGCGCATCACCGATGTCATCCTCAAGGCATTTGAGGCTTGTGCCGCCAGCCAGGGCTGCATGAACAACCTGACCTTTGGCTATCAGGATCCAAACGGCGATACACTGGGGTTCTACGAGACAATTGCAGGAGGCAGCGGCGCCGGTCCCACCTGGCACGGTACGAGCGGAGTGCAGACGCACATGACTAACACTCGCATTGGCGACGCCGAGGTCATGGAACGACGCTACCCTGTGATCGTCCGCGAGTTTTGTATTCGACCGGAGTCCGGAGGAGCGGGTTTACATCGCGGTGGGGACGGTGTCGTGCGCGAGATCGAGTTTCGCCGTCCCCTTACCTGCTCAATACTGTCCGAGAGAAGATCCCGAGCGCCCTATGGCATGGCGGGAGGCCAGGACGCCGACGTGGGACGCAACTACTGGCTCCGTGCTGACGCCAAGCAGCCCGGTGGCTACCTCCCGCCCGTCTCGCTGGGCGGCAAGAATTCGACCAACATGAAGCAGGGCGACCGCATCCGCATCATGACACCAGGCGGCGGAGGATACGGCACGCCCACGCAGGCACATCTGGCGGACGTAAAGACGGAGATGCCCTGGGTCCCCGTCGCCAATGGTTCCTGGTCAGAACGAGCAGCGATTCAGGCTTCGAACTAGTAGTCAGAGTGCTCTTAGCTACCATTCTCGTCCATCTGTGCGGTGAACATCCTCTCAATGCCCACGAAGCATTTTCATCTAAATCCGTGACCTTGGCCTGGCCCCGTAGCCGTTTGTGTTTGTGTTTCCTGCACATGCTCCTTTGTCATCACGCAGGCATCGAGGTGTGTGAGTTTGCGGAGAAAGTCAGGTTGCATCGATGGAAAATAGCATTTCTGGCCTCATAATAAGCCACCCATGGGGAGTACAGTACTGTACAGTACTGTACTCAATAGAACATCTTCTCGTCGTCCCAACCCAGTGGTGCTGATCCTTGGTATGTTAACTAAGCAATTTTCAGCGTGATATTTCCAGAGTAAACAAGCAAGGGAAGAAGAAGGAGAAAATGTGTACAAGGTGAAAAGCGTGAGACAGAAGCAGGGATTCGCGCAAGTCTAGAGCATGTACCGCATCGACCTCTTCTCAAAATCGGTCTCGTCGGCAAACAGCTTCTCGTTTTCAATGGCACCATCAGTCGAAGAAGGGCCGTGCTCTTGGCGATACGCCTCTGCCTCGCGGTCGCGCTGCTTGTTGCGCCAATGGTAGAGGAGTCGCAGGAGGACAAGACAGATAAAAGCAAGACCGTAGAAGACAGCAACGAGTGTCTTTCCGGTGTGGTAGCCCGGCGCTTCTTTTGCTTGGAACGTGTTCGGTCCAATCCAGTTGCCGGCGCCATAGGCAATGATCTGAAGAGCGCTGACTGTGAGCTTCTTGGTGTAGCCGAGCGAGTTGTTGGAGATGAGGGTCATGACAAGACCCCACGCGCAACCAGCGGCCGAAATGAAGTAGTAACCGAGCAGGAGGACCGGCCGGGCGCTAAAGGGGACCGTGATCATCAAGAGGCCGCCCAAGAAGGGGAAGAAGATGGCGATCATGGCGAAGCCGGTGCGATCGTTGAACCTGTCGGAGAGGCGGGTGAGGACGAGCTTGAAGGCTAGGTCTACGAATCCACCTGGCATGCCCAGCAGGAGCGCTTGCCGACTAGTGAAGCCGAACGACTTGATGACGAGCGAGCCAAAGGTAGTGACACCGCCATTGGGGATGTTCATGAACAAAGAGAAGAAGAAAATAAGATATGTGGCCGGGTCGACAAAGGCCTCGCGGAGCTGAGCTCGGTCGAACTTCTTTGACGAACCGACGCCCTGGAAGTTCTCGCGGATGAGATCGATGGCGATACGCTTCTCGCGGTGGCTGAGGAACTTAGCATTGGCCTGCGTGTCAGGCAGGACAAACCAGTAGACGACGCCGGTGACGGTGGTGACGAGACCGAAGAGAAGGAAGAGAATCTGCCAAGAGTCGATGGCAAGGGTGCCGGGTGTGATTCCAGAGAGGCCGAAAGCAATGGGTGCGCAGATCAGCGTCGCTACACCGTTGCAGCACAGCCAGTAGCCGACTCGACGCGCCTGCTGAGAGCGCGGGTACCAGACGGAAACAAAAAGGAGAAAGGCGGGCGTGATGACGGCCTCAAATGCGCCGAGGAGAGAACGGGCAATCATAAGGCCGGCATAGCTTGTGCAGGCGGCATGGCAGGCGAGGATCGCGCCCCAGATGCTGACGTTGATGGCGGTAAACTTGCCTAGAGAGAAGCGCTTGAGACTATAGGCAATGAAAGGCTGGGCTGCAATGTAGCCTGCGTAGAAGATCGAGCTGACGTAGGAGTACTCTTGGCCAGTCAGGTGGGTGTCCTCGCGCACACCCATTACCGAGGCATAGTTGAGTGTGGTCTTGTCGGCAAATTGCAGCGCATACACCCAGCACAGCAGGGGTATGAGACGCAGGTCGAGCTTGCGGAGGAGTGCGCGACCCTCAGAGGCCTCGTAGGCAATAGGTCCTTCGTTTGCTAGCGCGAGGGCAGCGTCGATGGTCTTGTTGCCTAGAGGCACAAACGCCTGTACGTCCGACTTGCTGTTCTGGTCCATCGATGAGTCGTGCTTGTACTCTTGCACCTCGCATTCAGCTGGATCCTTGCGCTCAAGAGTGTCCTGCTTGTCCGACATGATACGCAAGTGGCGGATAGGCTATAGCTGTCGTGCTTCTAGAGAGTGGTGTGCACAGAAGGGAATGGCGAGCGAGGCAAGCCGGGGTGTGGGGATGGGTACAATGACGGCCAGATCCAGGCCATTTAAGCATAAGCGCTAGAGCAGGAATCGTGATGCGCTGCTCCGTACAGCTGCCATCGTTACATGCTTCCAAAGGAGACAGATAGTGTATGTGGCTTGGGGCCAAGATGTCTGTCTGTCTGGCTTGTTGGATAAGTTCCTGGCTTTATCTCGCCCGACGCGCCAATTTCACCAAAAGCTCTGTCCATGTGCCCAAAGCGATTGCAAATGAGCCGATGAGACTGCAGCTGCATTAGCAGCCGAGCGCTGGCCGACAAGTGCGTGGGACCCTAGATAGAGTGACAAGTCCGCTCTTTCCTCGGCTGAATTAAAGCTTATTCAGAAGATATGCGAATTGAGCCGTGTTTGATCCGACGCTTGCGCTGCTCTTTGCGACATTGAGCAAGGCCACTTCATTACCCCAGCAGCTGGCACCCTGCATAAAGTCAGTCTTCTCCCAATCGGACCGCACGCCCCAACGTAGCAGTGAGTATAAGACCATCTCGACCGAAGGGTATTTTCACCCCTGAAGCAAACGCTCTTTCCCCAAGAACTATGGCCCCCGTCGCGACGTCCACTAGGACATCATCCGGCTCACAACATGCTTCGTCTGAATACAAGGTGTGGGAAGCGCCCTTTGGCACCGGCCGCACCGTCCGCGTCCTTTGCATAGGCGCAGGCGCAAGCGGACTCAATCTTGCGCACCAACTCGTGCAAGACTACGGTGCTGTTCCCGGCCCTGGGGGTCTTGCATCCAAGCAGAACGGAGACGGCCGCGGTGCTGCATCGAGTTCACGTCGCGTTGAGTTAACACTGTACGACAAGAATCCAGAGGTGGCGGGTACATGGTACGAAAACAAGTGAGTGCCGTCCGGACGCCGGTTGAAGCGAGGAGCTTGCACTGATGAAGCATGACGGACAGGTATCCTGGCGTCCAGTGCGACATCCCATCAATCAACTACCAGTACACCTGGGCGCCAAGTCCCAAGTGGAAGTCGTACTATGCCACCGGCCCGGAAATCTTTCGCTACTTCAAGAATGTCGCCGTGGAACACAACCTGCTCCGTTTTGCCCGCCTTCGTCACAAGCTTGTGCATGCACAGTGGGACGAGCAACGCAAGGTGTGGAAGGTGAAGCTGGAGCGCAACGGCGATCCCAACGACATAATCGAGGATGAGGGAGAAGTATTGGTGAATGCCACGGGCGTGCTCAACAAATGGCGATGGCCAGACCTGCCTCATCGCGAGCGCTTCCAGGGCAAATTGCTGCACAGCGCCAGCTACGAAGAGGGCTACTCGCTCGAGGGCAAGCGCGTCATGGTCATCGGTTCCGGCTCTTCTGGCGTACAGATCATCCCCGCCATCTTGGACAGAGTGTCTTCGCTCGTCACGTTCGTCCGCAGCCCAACGTGGATCACGGCTGGCTTTGCCCAGCGTTTTGCAGGCAAGGATGGGTGCAACTTTGACTACAACGAAGAACAGCGCGAAGTCTTCAAGTCGAATCCCAGGCTGTACCTCGACTACCGCAAGTACATCGAGTCGGAGCTGAACACCCGCTTCCGCTTTATTCTCAATGGATCCCAAGAGCAGAAGGAGGCGCGCAAGTTTGCCGAGTCAGAGATGCGCCGCAAGCTGCAGAGCAAGCCCGAGCTACAGGATGCCATTATTCCGACCAACTTTGCAGTCGGCTGTCGCCGCCCCACCCCAGGCAACGGCTACCTCGAGGCACTCTGTTCAGACAAGGTGCAGGTTGTCCGCTCCGATATTGCCGAATTCACAGAGAGGGGCGTACGGGACAAAGACGGCATCGAGCACACGGCCGACGTCATCATTTGCGCCACCGGTTTTGACGTCAGCTGGCGGCCGCGCTACCCGCTCATTGGGCGTGAGGGACATGACCTAGCCCAGGACTGGGCAAAGGGGCCAGACAACTACCTCTCGGTGACTGTGCCCTACTTCCCCAATTACTTTACCTTTATGGGCCCCTTTGCACCCTACGGCCACGGCTCGGTGCTGCCGATGACGGAGCACTTTGCCAGGCACTTTTCGCAGATGGTGGGCAAGATGCTGGATGAGCGGGTGCAATCATTTGAGCCTACGGCAGAGGCCGTCGCCGACTTTCGCGAGCACCGACAGAAGTTCCTGCCTCGAACGGCATGGATGTCGCCCTGCCGGTCCTGGTTCAAGCAGAGCACAGTGGATGGCGAGGTGATGATGTGGCCTGGCTCGCGCATCCACTTCTTTGAGACGATGCAAAAGGTCCGATGGGAAGACTACAAGATTGAATACTGCTCCAAGAATCGATTCGAGTACTTTGGCAACGGCTTCGCCACGCGCGAGACAGACGGCCGTGATCTGTCGTACTACCTCGGTCTTCGAGACGGCAAAGACGTCCAGCCAGACTACCGTGACGAGGACATTGACATCTTTCTGAGCGCCTGATGGCTTCCCTGTTCATCATGCTTCCATGATCAACTATACTTTACAACCCTTGCTGAAGAGACGTGCAATGACATGACATGACACATAACATTGGCGGGCAGAGAGAGGGGCGGAGTCAATTGTGCACAATTGTCCGTAGATACTGTATGTCCTCTATCTCTGGTCTCGCACGAGTCGCTCGACCTCGCCCTTATGACAGGCGGAGAGGACCGCGATAGTGCCCACGTCAGTCCTTTTTCTTCGGCTGAAAGGCACGGCCAGAACCTGGCACAGCTCCCTCCCATTCCTGCCTTCGGGCCGCAAATTTAAGTTTTGGGTCGTGAACTACATCTGTCTCTGGTCCAACGGACTTCTCGGGAGCTCGGTAGAACGTCGGCTCATTGCTTGTCTGTTCACGGTCGAAGTGCATGCGTTTTTCGTAAAGAAAAATCTGGTCACTGCAAGGGTGGGCCGGGAATAAGACCACTTCCTCGCGAGAATGATGCTTGGGGATATATACGCTGTCCACTTTGAATCTGTCGCGGTCGCTCATCGCAACCAGACTAGCCATGGCGCCCATTGCGACGACTACGATCACCCCACAGGCAAGCACCAACCGAGAAGCGCTTCCCAAGATTCTCCTGCTGGATGAAGTCCATCTCGCAAAAGACGAGCTCGCTGAGCTGCAGGGGAAAGCGACGGTCCTCCTCTCCAAGGCCGTCTCGCGCGCGCAGCTCATGGCCATGTTTGCTCCCGGCGGCGAGTACGACGACATTGCTGGCATCTATCGCCACTTTGGCGCGGGTCGGTCTGTGAAGCTCACGGGTCGCTTCGATGCCGAGCTGGTGGCCGCCTTGCCCAAATCGATGCGTTTTATTGTCCACAACGGCGCCGGGTACGACCAGCTGGACGTTGCCGCCCTCTCCTCGCGCAACATTCAGGCCTCGAATGTGCCCCAGGCCGTCGACGATGCTACCTCGGACATTGCCCTCTTTCTCCTCCTCGGCGCACTGCGCAGGATACCTGCTGCTCAGCTGCAGCTTGCGCAGGGCTACTTCAACTCGCACTTTGCATCCACGTCGGCACGCGACCCTCGGGGAAAGGTGCTCGGCATCGTGGGCGCCGGTGGCATCGGGCGGGCACTAGCGTACAAGGCCTCGCACGCACTCGGCATGAGCGTCATCTACCACAACCGCCGGCCGCTGACCATGGAGGAAGAGGAGGCGGCAGCAAAAGGCGGCATGGCGTATGTGCCCACTCTGGAAGGGCTGCTGGAGCGCGCCGACGTGGTGTCACTGCACTGCCCACTGACGCAAGAGACGCGGGGTCTCATTGGCCGCGCCCAACTGGCGCGCATGAAACCAAGCGCCGTCCTCATAAACACAGCCCGGGGTGCCATTGTCAAGGAAGAGGAGCTTGCAGAGGCGCTAGAGAACAGCGTCATTGGCGGTGCAGGACTCGATGTCTACGAGGTCGAGCCTGCGGTGCACGCTAGACTCGTGGCACAGAAAGACAAGGTGCTGCTGCTTCCCCACATTGGCACCCTCACCTATGAGACACAGCGGGAGATGGAGGCCGTCTGCTTGCGCAATCTCATTGCTGGACTGGACACGGGCAGGCTCAAATTCACCGTACCCGAGCAGCAAAGTGTATGCTTCCAGTAGATACGTGCTTGTTCCAATGTCACACGTTGGAGATACAGATAATTACATGCAAGGATGCAGCGCTACTCGTCTTTGAAAGTGAGCCCAGAGCGGACGCGGATGGCGCCGGCCATGGCAGTGCTGTCGAGCTGGCCCTCACTCAGGGGAACGGCCATGCGCGCTTCTTCGAGGTGTGACAGAGCCAGCTTCAGGGCCTGATGATCCATGCCAACTCCGTTGGCGAGGGCAAGAGCGTGCTTGCCGTCCTTGATGGCCAGCTCGACGCGGAAGCTCGGCGTTCCGTCGACTGGTTGCTTGTATGCGCCCGAGACGATGCGATCCGAGTAGTTGTAGAGAGCCGAAGCGGGCGTAAACATGCCCTCGATGAGGCTGTGCAGGGCACCACTGCCGACGCCCACCTTCTGCGCCATGACATGCGCTGCCGACACGGCCTCGGTGATGCCGAGCAGGAGGCTGTTGGCAACCAGCTTGAGCTGCGAGGCCTTGCAGACGTCGCAGCCCAAGAACAGAGCCCGCTGCGCCACGATGCCCTCGAGGTATGGCTTGACTATGTCGGCCGAACACGCATCCGTGCTCGAGACGAGCGCCAGCAGCTGGCCCTTTTCTGCAGCGGATGCAGAGCCCATTACGGGTGACGACACGATGCCTGCGATGTTGTCTCGGCTCACCTCGTCTGCAAGCCACGCGATTGTGTCAGGGTGAACCGTTGATAGCTCCACCAGGACCGTCTTCTGCTTCTTCTTCTTTTGCCCTTCTTTCTCTCTTAGAGCAGCCAATATCCTTGTCAAGCTGCTTTTGACGGCGGCATCGTCAGAAAGGCAGTGAAAGATAACGTCGCACTGCTTAGCCACCTCCTCTACATTTGACACCATCCGAGCGCCCAGCTTGACGACCGGCGCGCCTTTCTCCGGTGTCCGGTTCCAGCAGCAAAGCGGCTCCCCAGACACGTCGTTGAGGTGCCGCTGAAGGTGCGAGGCCATCGCGAGGCCCATCGTCCCAAGCCCGATCTGTCGGCGCGAAAGCAGGCAGTCTGATTAGCCGATGAAGCGAGCATCTTAGAGTTCAACCGACTCACCCAGCCAAGCCTTGCTTGCGACATGATTGCAACCATGAGTGGTCTTCGATGAGGGAGCCACGGGCCTTTGTGTTGGCGAGAAGCTGCGCCTGGACTCAGATCACTTTTCACCGTGGGGGGATCAATCCAACATTGCGTGGTAGTGGAGGGGAGCGAAGAGATTGCAATCAGCCGAGAAGGTTCCGGCAAATGAGCCGAGACCCGTCCCTAGCCAGTTCCCACAACCCGCCACGATCGAGGCTTTACCGTGGTTGAAATTGGAGCGGGGCAACACAGACGTCTGGACGGCGGTGAGGGTGAGGGGTAGCCAACGGAACAGAGGACAGGCACTGTCGCGCAAATAGCTTCAGATGGATCCATGCGGGTCGGTCAGACACAGCAAAAGTGAGTGTGAGAAAGAGCAGTGTGTAGTCTTCTCTTTAGAGCATGCAAGTGTCACTCATCTCGCAGCAGAAGCAATCATCGTCAGGCGACAAGGGCTAGGACACATCATTGACCTTTAGCTGGCAGTGACTTTGCCGCTTGGCGGGCCGCCGACGCTGCTTTCCTCGGAGAAGGCGCGGTGGGAGGGCCCTGATCTCAACTCGATTTGATAAGGTTTGTTTTCGCGTGAACGGGACTCGGAGGGCCACTTGATAAAATTGTTGTCGCACCCGTTGCTACAGAACCACCCAGCCATTCCTCTCCGCGACGCCGCAGCTGCAGCATGGTCCGGGTGACCCACCCATCTCATCGCCCCGAGGCAGCAGCGAGCAGCAGCAGGACGCAACAGTGAGGACCCGCTGTCAGGCAGCCGGACGCGCGACAGACATACTGACACCCCTGACATCCCACCCAGAGCCTGCGTAGAGTGCCGGCTGGCAAAGGTTCGCTGCGAGCAAGAACCGTCCAACATCTGTGCACGGTGCACCAGCCTCGGCTTTGACTGCGTCTTTGTGCATCATCCGCGCGGGCGAAAGCCAAAGAGCCGGTGAGCTGGGCCATGCATACAACCTAGTTAGGGCGGGCCAGAATGCAGGCTGATGGAGACGATCCTACCATGCAGCCTCCAAGGCCGCGATGCATCGTCCATTGGGCCAGCTGCACACGCCCGCCGACGAAAGACGCCAACGCCAGAGACTCCTCAAGGTGCTTCAGCAACGTCGTCGTCCAATGAGGCAAGCTCGTCTCAAAACCCTGCTGCCGGCAGCGACGAGTACCACAGCAGTCCCGCACACTCGGCCACGACGATTCGACCGCGGCCAAAGCCGTCTCTCGACTTTGATGGTGCACGCAAGAGGATGTTGCAGGCACTGCATCGCCAGAAGCGACGGAGAGCCGCCCCCTTCACATTCGTCAACCTTGGCTCGATGGACAACCTCTATCAAGGTAGAAGGGAAAGTGCTGGGAGGCTAAACGAGCAGGGATCTCGCGAGACACCGGTCGCTGCCGACTCTGCCCTGCTTGCAGTCCAGCCAATGACGCTGAAGCGCATCTTGCAGCCTCTCAATGCCGACGATGACGGCACCGAGGGCACTGCGCAGGGCGCTTCCTACGACGAGGCAGTGGCTGCAACCGACTTTGGCTTCGACGATGCCGTCTCACAGGGACTGCTTCCCCTCTTCACGGCCCGTCGCCTCTTTCACTTTTTCATCACCCACCTCAACATGTGGAGCATGATCATTGACCCAGACCTGCACACGCACGACTATGTCCGCCGCACCTCGCCCTTTCTCTACTCGGTCATCCTCCACCTTGCCGCTCGCTTCTCCGTCGATGAGGTGTACGGCCACGCGCCCGGCGAGCCGGAGCGGGTGATGCAGGTGCCGACGGTGACGCAGACGGAATGCAGGCACCTCCAAGTGATTGCCAAGAACCACGCAGCGACGGTCTTCATCGACGGCGACCGCACCGTCGAAGCCGTCCAGGCCTTTTTTCTCCTCGCGACGTGGAAGGAGCACGACGATGCGCTGTCGTACGTGCAGTCAGGCTTTGCCTTTCGCCTAGCCATGGACATGGAGCTGGGCAAGGGGGTGCCAAAGTCGCTGCAGAAGCTTGCCCTCTCGGAGCAAGGCAGATCACAGCAGGTGCGGCGCCTCATTGAGCTGCTGCGCAACCGAGAGCGGTGCTGCCTGCAGCTCTTTGTGCAGGACCGCAGCCAGGCTTTCCACTACATCCGCCATTTCACCTTTTCCGTCCTGGAGCCCGTCATCAGCGGTGCGTTTGAGTGGTACCTGCAACCGGGTGCGAAGCCGTGGGATGTGTTTTTGTGTGCCAGCGTCGAGTGCCGCAAGGTGCAGTCCAAGTATCAGGGCATCATGACGAGCGTCGCCTCGGCCGTCGCAGACAGAGACGCTGCGGCGGCGGCAATCGAGGGTGACCTCGACGCCTGGCACTCGACATGGGCACGCAGGCTCGACGAGGAGCACGAGCAGTGGACACGGGCTCACGATGGCGCCCTGCCACCCCATGCGCCGCAGATGAGCTTCATGCAGGCATCCATGGCCCTCTGGCGCGACAGCATCAAGCTCCATCTCGTCGCAGATCTCCTCGAGCAGGATCTTCGGACCACCCAGTCTTCCTCGCCATCGCCCCGCCACTATGCCCACGACTACGAGTCAGGAGCCACCACCAACAACACGGGCTCGGGAGAAGCAGGGGCGGCCACACCCCGGCGGATCGTCAATCTCGTCGGTCTTCCTGCTTTCAGTCTGTGTGTGCGAGCGGCGCGTGGCGTAATCTCGGCGCTTTGCTCGCTGCCACCGGCAGTCCTGCGCCACGCACCCGACTCCATCCACCTGCTCGCCGACCATACGGGCTTGTTTCTCTGCGGCATGGTCTGCATCCGCTCGGACCCACCACTGTCCTCCGAGTACCTGAGGACGACGCTGAGTGCGGTGGAGCGGATGCGAGACGCGCTGTGGCAGGCGACCATCCAGGAGAACGACAGCGTCGCACTGCATGCCAGGTACCTCGACAGCCTCGCTGAGGTATTGCGTCCGACGAAGAAAGCCCCAAAGCCTTTGTCCCGGCATCACGTCGGCCAGCATCAGCACGAGAGGCACACGACGACGGCGAGAACGCCTCGATCGGGCAAGCAGCAGCAGCGGATACCGCAACCAGTTGCAATCCCCGACGGCACCTCGACGGACCAGACGCATACAGGGCATGGGGTTCCTTCTCGGTGTCTGCCACACAGCGCCGAGTACGACGACAGTGCCTCGGTGCTGTCGTCGCTAGGCTCCATGGCCGACCTTACGGCCATGACGTCCGTCAGCCCAGACGTGGTGCTCACAGCCCCGGCCGACAACTGGTTCGAGAGCGTGAGTGTTGCCAGAGAGAGGCGCAACTAAGAATTGTACGCGTTTTGCTGATATGTTTTCTGCCTCTCACAGTTTCTCGCAGAGCCGGTCTCTTCGGACGGCGAAGAGCACATGGAAGATATCCTGGGGATCATCAACAGCCACTTTGGTCAGATTGCCTAACATTGAAGAGCGTGGGCAGCAGCAGTCGTATATCTATATATCTTTATTGGTGGGGCCGCGGCCCAGAGGGAGTCTACCGTGCAACCACACGAAGACGTGCATGTGGACCCAATGCCTTTGTACTCGATAGCCAAAGCAACGAGTGACCAGTATGTTTTTCTGCTCAGCTGGCGCAAAATACTGACGAGGACCTTGACGGTTGCGATCGACGCGAGGTGTGGTGGTCGCTGCGCGGGAACCGGGCTGCTGCTACCGGTGCTAGCGCGTGCATCGTCGTTGCAACGATCGAGGGCAGCTCCATTGATGGCCGCGAGACGGTAATCGCCCAGAAGCGTGGCAATAGCGTCGCGCTCGCCGGTTTCGCTATTGTAGTCGCCAGAGTCCATCAGAGCCTTGCGTCCATGCTCCTGGTCCTCGACTTTCTCTGCTGGTTCGTCGCATGCGTCTGCCTATGGTGTTACGAACGACGCCCAAGTGCTCCTTATCGACAGGGAAACCTTAAGGCGGGAAGAGGCTTTCGTTCCGAATGGTAGCTTTCCACGTGCTCGTCAGGAACATGGGGTCGAAATACATATGTCTCTGGTGACCAGATGCGCTAGTTGCCGATCTCTTTAGACTTCGCAATACACCATCGGGCCCCCCTCACACAAGTATCTCGATTGCGCTCGCCTCGCACGAGGATGAGGAACATGATCAGGCGCAATTGAGATGGCAATAGCGAAAATAAGCGCGAAAGACGACGCCGCGCATTCTGCCATTAGTGAGCGGATTGCTAGATTATGGAAAAGACAAGTCTTCAGGCCACCTTCAGCTACTCTGCAGGACTCAGGTGGAAGTGCGACTGCATGTGGTCTTCGAGAGCTTTTCCTCCTGCTATAACGGGCGTTTGCGCCTCTGACAAGTTCTGCCTCAGCGAAATGTAAAAAAAAAAAAAAAAGACAAAAGAAAATATGAACTCACGGACGGTCAGATAGACGATTCGGGCCCACTGGTCTTGGGAGGGATTGGCCCACTTGTGCATTGTGGCGCGCTGCACGTAAGTGTCTCCCGTCTTGAGCAAGACTGGCTCAGAAGCCTCTACGTGCAGCTCCACTTGACCGTGCACCACCACACCGAGATCCAGAGTATCGGTCCGGTGTTCCGGCTATGACTCTGTCAGCGGTGCCAAAGTTCTTTCCGCCGTCGTACTTACGCTTTCCGATGCCGGGCTGAGGTCCACAGACCTGAACACGAGTCCCCCCGCACTGGCAAACGTCGGGAGCAAGTCCGACTTTCCCACGTCGACAGGTTCCTCGATACTAACTGGGACATCCTCCGTGTGAAAAACCGTTTGAAAAGGAGTGTCGCTGCCTGGCAAAAATACGGCGCGTGGGTTGTCGTCGACAAGAATGACAGAGCGTCCATCGGGTGCGTGGCCGGTGACAATGCGTCGCAATGGATTCATGATACGAGAAGAGAGAGGTGGTTGGTGGGAGCATACATGTGAAACCTCGTCGAGCCTGACTCTAAATACTCGAAGGGTTCGGTTATCGTCGGCCGAAGAGCAGCATCGCTGGTGCGCCCTGATCGGACCGTCAGATCATGGGAGCCTGTGACTCCCATTCGGCCCAGGTGCTCTGTGAGTTGTACGCAACCCACACTGCGCCGGACATAAACGTAAAATCCGGAAATCGCCCCCGACCTGTTATGTGCGTCAATGGATGTGACAGAAGCTTCAATTCTTCGTTTCAGAGACCTGACTACTTGCCGAGCAATCAAGACAGGAACAGTTGGAATCGCAGCTGTGACCTTACTGCATATCGACTTAGAAGTACGGAGCCATTTTTTGCGGGGGGATGATGTGTTCGTTCAAATCACGCCTCTGTCCACTATCGTCTAGCGACAGCACCTGAACTCACTATCTGGGGACGCCTTGATTGATCTCTTCACCGTCATTGCGACGAGGTCCAGCAGTCTCCATGGTGAATGCACCTGAGCAAAGTGACAGAACAAGTGACAGGCTCCTCTACTGGTAATTCTAGAACATGCTCGCAGCGCTTTTTCAATGATGGATCACAGTATTCTCGGCTGAAGAGACTTCAAAACAGCGCTTTACAGACCCAATTGCCCAATTCTTGATCATCGCATTCGGCATTTCATTCGACTTTTTGTTATTTTTGGTTTTTTTTTTTGGGTGGGGGAGGGGGGTTGGTTTCATTCCATAGATGCGACAGCGTTGATAGGGAGATGCTCGGGCTCTACAGGTGACTTTGGTAGGAAGATGTGTGTCATGAGGAGGTGCGATTGGGAAGCATGGCGATATTGACCAAAGCGCTATCGAGATCTGCCACACGGAATCTCCTTTAGCCAATGTCCAAACTTACGCTCAGCTAGACTCACAGGCTCGTACAAGAATCGCTTTGGTCCCTTTAAAGTGCAATACCCAGCTGTGAGATGGCGACATTAGCGACTTCCACAGGACTGCCTGGCCCGAGGAGCGCCACCAACCTGTAGTAGTTTTCCCACGGACTGCCATCGCGTTTGAGGTTTCCTCTCCCTCGAAGCTCCATACACACTTTAACGAGTCCATCTGGATGCTCTTTCTTGGGAAATTGCGTTATGAGGTCCACTATGATGTTCATTCGGTAAGTCTGCTTTGTTGCACAAGCGACGGAGAGCTATTGATTCACCTATTGTCAAGCGGAGAGGCTCCTCGAAAAATGCATCGAGGGGCATCAGTGCTTGCGTGACGAAGCTCTTGAGGTCAAGATAGTCGCCTCCTCGACTTCGTGTCAGCGAGCGTTCGTCTCTTATGAGAGAGGCTGAAGTCTCACCAGCAATTGGAGTCGTCTTCCTTGTGGGATTCGTCACCGTCCAATTGACACTTGGGGATACGTAATCTTCGAGAAATGCCGTCGTATTGGTTTCAATGACCTTGCAAGCGTCGTACACTTGCTGACGGGTCGTGAATCGCTTTTCGCAGTGGCTCAATGTCGTCAGCAAGGCCAACACGAGAAAAAGGAGAAGCTGTGAAGAGCGCATGATTGAGGTGTTGGAGTCGCTCGCTTTGTCATTTTCCTCTGAATTAACTTCTTATATGGCAAGCATCTGCCATTCCGAATCGGGCTTCGGAGCTATCAAGAATGTATTATCGGCGTTGTCGGAGAAGCGTCACGATTCAGACGCGCATCGGCGTTTATTTTTGGTTCTCTAACCAGGAATGTCAAATGATCATCAGAAGACCTACGTTGCAAATAGCAAAGGCTAGTTGCTCATCTGCACCGTTGTTCTCTTTCAAAGGAAAAAAAAGAGGTATCCATGGTCGATCAACGTCTGATCTGACCACCGTCGACCTTCCTTGCAACTCATTTTTTTCTTCAGCTACTGTCCCTTTTTTTCTTTTCTTTTCGATCTCGTTGGTCTGGAGGACCGAAGGCTCTGTCGAAGCACGCGAGCTTTTCGGCCGCTTGCAGGCTGGGAAACAGACTTCCTACAGCCTCTCATCTTCGTTTCCACATCCTCAAGTATCATCCCAGCAGAATGCGAGAAAGCGAATAACCATGTGAGATAACCAAAATCATGGACACTATGGAGTGAGTGCACGAAAGAGTGTGACATAATCATCTCTGAGACAGATAAGCGACCTCAGTCCAGAATATCTAGCCTCTCCAACAAGGCTTTCATATAGCCTCTTCAACGTGGATTTCGCGCGTCTAAAGCTACTTCGTCTCGAGACTACACCACATTTCCGAAGTTTACACCCCGCCCTCGTTCTGCAGCTTACTCTTGGAGAATCCGTGGGCGACATGCGAATTGATGGCTTCAGAGATCGTTCAGTGAAGGTCTACACTCTCAGATGTCCCTTGGGACTCACTGATTGCCAGCAGAAGCAGGAGGCTCTCGGAGGGAAGCCAAAGACCGATCGAGAGACCAATGTTGGCTTTGAATATCTGTTTTCTATACGTAAATGCCAAAGACTCCAGACAAGGAGGCAAGGAGCAACATACTGCTGAGCAAAAGCTTCTTGTTAAACCCTGATTGGCGTCACAGTAGCTCTTGAAGCGATTCTCGCTTTCGGAAACGGAGACGATGTGAACAATGCCGACGGAGAAAAGAAGAAAGAACCCGATCAGGCAGGCGTGTGAGAGCCACCTTGAGACTTTGGTATTGTTGCGCACTAATGCTGTATAGCCCAGCAGAAGTACTATTATAGCGACAGTGAAGAGGACGACCTGCACTGAAGTAAGAGCTTCGCAGAACCTCGTCATTCCGCCATGCCACTGTGCGAGCATGTAGATGTTCCAAGCGTCGAAGCTGGTCAGAATGCAGAGTAGGATAGGTAGAAAGATAAGCGAGCCGGTACGGTTGGAGACGCAGGCGAGCGATTCAACGACGGGAAGTCGATTGAAAAGGTAAGAAGCAGCTTTGGAGACGGACGACATCTTCTTTCTGTCTCGAAATATAGAGAGACGCAAGTACGTCCTCTGAAGACCTCCTTCTTAAATACCTAAATGTGCCTCACGGTGACGCCAGCTGAGTCCGAAAATGTTCGGCCTGTCGGCGTTATCGGGGACTTCGCAAAAACGATTTCCTGCCCGCTCGGCGCAAAGATACTTCGCACTGAAAGGTTGCATGGACGATTCATTGCAACTATGAGGGGGCTTCTCGCCGTGTCAAGATCATTATGCTAGAGCGTTATCGATGGAGACGGCCATCACTTTATCTTTATAGGGGCTTCAAGGATAAATAAGTGTCACTGAGCATTGTGGCCATCGCGAAGACCGTCCGCGAAGTGTTGACCATTGCCAACAACAGCAGATGACTTCTCCGTCTCGACGGTCCGCTTCCGATCGGGATCCATGACACCTTAAGACAAAAGAAGAAATGTAAAGGTCAGTATAGCCGCATAAGATAAACGTCTTGACTGCTCAATACCGACCGTGATGTTGAGGAAGCGAAGGAGGAATAGCATTGTTTGCTTTTCCTTCCCTGCGGTTCCTGAGTATGCGCGAGATAAAGATGGAGAGGCACATTTCGGAAAGCTTGTTTTGGACTCTCTCAATGTCTGCTGCAACGCTCTATTTATAGCGATGAGATCGGATCTTACACAGTGTCGAGAGCAGGAGTCCAACACCGCCGCCAAGCTTGATGAAATCGAGTATAGGAGACGCGCCCGGAACCAGATCGGCTAATGTCCTATTCGGTTCCCGTGTCCGAAGAAAATCCGAAAAAGCTACATTTCGATTTCGGTCTCCACCAATAGCACATCCTATTGAAGAGGCCAAGGGAGCTGAGCTGAAAAGAAGCTATATTCATCGTCCAGTTGCGAAAATGGGTCGGAGGTCATGTCGAGAATTTGTGAGGCATCTGCTGAGACATCGGTCGACGAGAGCCGATTCGAATGTGCGTCACTGGAAAGCTCGCGCAAAGAAAGTTTTTGCCGAAGTCTCTTTAGGAGAGCGTGCTCTCCGGGCGAAAACGATGCCGAGGAGATTGCCTCAGAGAGTTCTTGCATGGCGTAATTATGGTCAGGGTGCTATTAGATGACCCGGAACCTCTCTCCTCGTCCAATACCGCCAAACCCAGCGTTGCAACGTTGTTGAGCCATCGCCACAGGCTCACGTGGCGCCACACGCCAGCATTGAAACGTGGACCGGCAAGAGCCTCTTCGCACCCGGACAGCTCACGCTCAAGCACCTTTTGGTGCTCGATGAATTTCGTTCGAAGCCCCAGAGCGTCCTTTGCCGCTTGCAGGCACTTTGTCCTGCTCTGATTCTGCTTGTCATCGAAAAGTCGTTGTTGACCCTTCCAAAAGGTTCGATATAGAAGTATCCTCATAGAGCACAGGTCGCTTCGGAGCAGGAAGCGATGGATACCGACAAAGACAAGTGCTGCTTCCAAGCTGAGAGGGTCGTCGCTGACGAGATCTCGCGCCAATTCGTTTTCAAGGCTATCGATGGACCCATTTATGGCATGTGCTCGTGTCATTGTGTCATCTTCTCTTTCATTCTCGGCAAACGGCAGACGTCTGTGAGCAAAAGAGGATACTGAGATCAATAGCGTCGTCATGGGCAAGAATCTGCGCTTACAGTTGCGAGATCTGTCCCATAAGAAGCGCCGCTCGGTGTCGGAACTTTGCTATGGTTACAATTGTCGGGTTCGGCAGCCAGCGTCTGTCAATCGAGCTGCCTACTGTTGCCGATTTGGTATAGGATCGGGGCAAGCTGTGGGCATTAACAAGGTCAAAGTCGATTTCGCTGGGAGGTTTTGCGTCGCAAAAGACCGCCGCGCTGATTGACGGTCGGTTCAGGGCGGTACAGAGGAATCGCTCGCTGTATGCTGTTGACCACCAGACTCTTCTTCTATATTCAACCTCGTTGGGAGCCATGTTTAGAAGATCGCCATCTCGATTCAGGTCGATTGAGAGAGCGACACGAATCGCCTCCTGTGCAGCCTTACATGCATCGTCAAATGAATGTCTTAGGACGAGGAAGCGCACTGCCATCTCCCATGTCACCTGATGTGGAAATTAGCGAGCACCAGAGGTAATGAATGAGCAGCGAAGACTCACCACGGTCGTAATGTCGCACATTCCCAACAGCTCGGTGTAGAAGAGAACTTTGCGTGTTTCAAAGTACAGTCTCTGAGCATCCAAGCCCAATTCCAGGGAGAGGGATGCGACTGCAAGCATGGCGCAGCGAAGACCGAGCGGCCTCAATTCCGCTGATGTCAAGCGAGTTGTCGAAATAAAGCTGCGTTCGTCGTTTCGAGGACGCATCAGAGGCACCAAGAAAGGATGTGAGATCCATGCGACCTCGTCAAGAAATCTTTGCAGGAACCCTCTGCACTTCGAATTGTCCGGCATGCAGGTCAGGTCGAGGGGATCGGCCCCGAGAGGAAGACCAACAGACTGCAGTGCGACTTCAAATTTCATCGAAGCACCGATATCGCCATTGTTATCCGCAGCGGGAGACGGCAGCCTCATATATGGTCTGTCACTATTCACCGCCGCTGTGGGTGAAGATGGAGTGTGGCCGAAGTGCTCCAATCGCTCCAAGTTGTCAACGTGATGGTTGATCGGCTCAACTGTGACAGTAGGCCTGTCGTCAAAGGAACACAAGAAGGGTTTGCCTCTGGCCCGACAGAGTCCACAGGGCATGTTTCGGTCACATTTCTGCTTCCGTCGATGGCATTCAGAGCCTGTATGAAAGGGCATTTTTCTTGTCAACAGACAGGCAAGCTCTCGAATGCAGTGCCCTCACAAGACATTCGCTCTCGTTGACGTTTCCGTTTCGATCCATTTGAAGGCGAATCTTGTGCTTCCATCGTGATTTGCGCGACCGCGAACCGAAGCTCCGGACCTGTTGCGGAGGGGAGTTTCACGACGGGGTGACTCTCCGCAATTCGGTAGCGCCAGTTCCTAATCTCCAAAAGGTTTGGCAACACGTGCCGCGACGTACCTTGCCATCGACTCTGCTGAGACACAGAAAAGTCTAATCGAATTCTCGATCTGTGCGATAGGGCGCGGTCAACAAGTGCCTCTCTCCAGGTCAGATTACTTATTTACCTCGAAGCTTGCGAAGATGAGGTGTACGTCGCTTTCGAGTAAATTTTGCGACTGCGACTTGTGCGTCTGGACTATGTGAGTGTAACTGCGGTCTCTGGAGCCTTATGAACGAGCGCCTTGTGGTACCAAAAAAGGAAGACGCTCTTGCTCAGGCCATAATCGAGTTATATCTGCCTGCACACCAAAGGCTACGTAGAGGGATAAACAGTCGTGAACGATGTGCTTTTTCAGTGAATCTGACGATGCCGTGTGCGGTATTCTACGACCGACGTGCAGCTGCACGATCTGCGTTCGGGCCACCCTGGTCGGCCGAATTCAAATCGGAAATACCCAAACGCGCTGAGTTAGGCCCTCGATAGTGCTGAGTTTCTAGCCCGATCTACCTTATTAGAGCCCTGGCGCCGCCGATCTCTTCGAATGTTTGCAAAAGACCGAATTGGCCCGATCACAAAGCACTCGCTTTCGTTTGTCAACTACGATGTCCTACTCTCTCTACGACGCGACCGTCGTGATGGCAAAGGGTGCCCTCAAGTCCCTCGACAGAATGCTCAGCGAAGCCGAGAAGCACCCAAACTCGGCCACGTTCCTTACTGCGCGCCTGATCGAAGACATGAAGCCCCTGACCTTTCAGGTGCACTATGCCACCTTTCAGGCAGAGGCGATGGCGGCCAAGTTGTCCGGACAGGAGTACGCCGCGCCAGAGGAGGATCTCGATAGCTATGAGAAGATACATGCGCGCATCCAGCAGGCCCAAAATGCTCTCGATACGACCGACAAGGACACAGTCAATAGGCTGGGCGAGACGACGACCTCCTTCGTCCGACGCGAGGAGCCCATACAAGTCCCCGTCAAGGCACTCGTTGGACTGCTGAATATGCCCAACGTCTACTTCCATGTGACAATGGCCTACGCGATCCTGAGGAAGGAGGGCGTGCCACTAGGGAAGAGAGACTGGAGCCGAGGTTTCGTCAGTGATTACATTTGAGCCTCTTTCTCGCAGAATGAGACTGCAGACATAAGTTCTTCTCGTGCGGATTTGCACGCGTCAGACCTGGGACCGTGCGAGTGAATTGGCAACCATCTGACAAGTAGTATCGACATACATCATCTATCTCGCCAATGCATGCCGACGCTGAACAGTCTGACAAGGCACACTAGATCGCAACACGTTCTAGCTGTTCGAGCGATGGCAACACTTTCTAGCAGTCCGAGATCTGCCGAACCTTTGAACCACTTGCATACATAAAAAAAAAACATTTCTCGGTCATAGATCATTCGTTGGGGCCTTCAGAAGCTGGGATATAGTTTGAGCGGATCTGTGCGAATGTGTCAAAGAGAACCTTTTGCTACCCACTGCGATGCACTGAATCTGACCCCATCCGGTGAGTCCCGCCATGCCGTTCTCACAGCCGATTCCTGCCAAGGTTTTTTCTCAGTACATTCATCTAGATTAAAAGAGGCTACGGGCACTGACCGCTCTGTTTGAAACCTCCAAAAGCAACTTCGGGATGCTGGTCCATCCTCTCCTGGTTTGTCCAGACCAGTCCGGCCTCGATGCGACGCCCCACGCGCTCGACACGATCCAGATCAGTCCCCCACACGGTTGCGCCGAGGCCATAGGGGGAATCGTTGACGCGTCTGATAAGGTCCTCTTCGTCCGTCCACTGAAGCAAGGGAACAATCGGTCCGAATGGCTCTTCCTGTACAATCCGGCTCGCTTCAGGCGGCCGATCGACAATCGTGAGTGGAGCAAAGTAGCCGGTCTGCGGTGCGCAGACCATCAGCTCGCTGTGCTGTGTGTAAAGTCTCCTTTGTATGCTTCGAACCTACCGTTTGTTCCATTTTGCCACCCGCAAGGAATGTGTGTCCCTCGCCGCGAGACTGGTCAATGAACTCTGCAATCTTGTCGTGCTGCATCTTGTTGCTTGTGGGATTGCTACGTCAGAAGCATTCTCTTGCCAACACATAGGCAAAGCTTGCTCACTTCAGTGGCCCAAACACGGTGTCACTCTCCTCGCCCCGTCCCACTTTGGCTTGCTTTGCCAAGCTTGCCATTGCCTGCGCGAAACGATCATAGACGTCTTCGTGCACGTAAATACGCTTGGCAGCGTGGCACGTCTGGCCGGAATTGAAAAAGGCGGCCTGGAAGACGCGCGGGGCAACTTTGGGCACATCAATGTCTGGCATGATGATGCTAGCATCGTTGCCCCCGAGCTCCAGAGTGAAACGCTTCAGGGTCGCAGCACAGCTGCGGGCGACGAGCCTACCCGTGGCTGTGCTTCCAGTGAACGAGATCTTGCGGATGCCTGGGTGCTCAGTGAGCCAAGGACCAAGACTGTCGTCGCCGGTGAGCACCTGCACCACACCCGGAGGAAAGAATTGCTGAAGCATCTCTACTATGCGTACGCTGCACAGGGGCGTGAAAGGCGACGGTTTGACGATGATTGTGTTACCCATTATAATGGCTGGCAGGATCTTCCAGATCATCAGAAGACTACATTGAAAAAGAAAAGGGTTAGTGTCGCAAAGGCCACGAAACACCTGCTGAAAAGCTCACACAGGAAAGTTCCAGGGCACAATTGCAGCTGAAACGCCAAGGGGCAGATAACGCTCGATGACTCTCGTCGAGTCGTTTTCATAGACAACCTTCTCCTTAGGCTGCAACTGATGCAACCTGTCGAACCACTCTTGGGCAGTGTCGAGCTCATAATGGGCAGCGCCCAACGCTTTGCCCTGTTCTGCAACCAGCAGCATCGCCAATTGGGGTTTCAAGTCGCGAAACGCTTCTCCACTCTTGCGAACGCGACTTGCACGCTCGTCCCAGCTCCATTTTGACCAGGTGGCGAAAGCAGCGGCTGCTGACTGAGCAGTTGCCTTCAGGAGGGGTGCCTATACACGCGTGTGACTGCAGTGCTCACCTGCACGGCCTTTTCCACGGTGTCTCGCGTTGCAATAGGGACATTTGCAAGGGTTCTAGGATTGAGTCTCGTCAGGCTCAATTGTAGACCCACACAAAACAGCATCTCTCACTCTTCCGTCGCAGGATTGACTATCAAGATAGTTTTGGCGCTCTCGTCGTCGAAGAGCTTGCCATCGATGACATGCGAAAATGGCCTCTGCAACAGACTGGACATGGAGAAGAGAGCGAGTGAAAGTCGGAAGAGAGGCTTGCCTGATTCATCGTAAACAAAGGCAGCTACCGTGAGCGCTCCATTTATACCCGTCCCAGAAACAAGGGCTCACTGCTGATGCTAGCTCGCCTAAATTCCGATGTCTCCAAACATTAAAGGCAGAAATTATTGGCTTAACCAGCATAAATCCGCCGATTTGCTTACAGCTCACCTTTTAGTTCTTTCCGCACGCCACCAACACGAGAGCCCAGCGCGCGTTTCACAATCAGCTCAACTGATACGGTCCGTGCGGCGCTCAAGTGCTGACGGCCAGCCACAAAGAGTACGTACTGCACACCCCAAAGGAAGCGAGAAAAACCCAAGGCCATATCTCAAAGACGCCCGTATTAATGTTAATGTGAGGAAAAAAAAAAAAAAAAAAGAGAAATACGCTCCCAAATGGTCGTTTGAAATTGGCACAGGAGATCTTGGTCATCACTGCCAAGTCTATGGCGCTCATTGGATGGTCTGTCGTGGGCTGGCATGCGCTGGGCAAATCCTAGATTTCAACGTTTCACGGATGTCTATCGAACGCGGACAATCACCTTGCCCATCGCTCGGTTGCTCATTACGCGGTCATAGGCCGCAACGGTGTCCTCGAAGCTGTATTCAGAGTCGACGACCGGCGTGATGACATCTGCGACCCGAAGCTTCAGCAAGGCAGCCTCGCCATGATCCCATCTGACAAGACTCACTCTGATCGACGAGCTCAGCAAGCTCATCCATGTTCCTCTTGCTGGCGATTTCACCGGGGCGCTTGTAAGACCGTGGGACGCCTCCCAGCCATGATGGCCGAAAGTAGTAGGAAATCATGCGGCGAAGAACGGGGAGGACGCCTTGTGTCAGATCAGCTCCCACATTGACGTAGGAGCCTTCCTTGTTCTGTGGACGTGTGCGTGAGCGAAATTAGGGGCGATGATTTCCAGCTCATGATGGCATAAGTCACTCACAAGCGTTTTCCCTGCCGTCTTCCAGACTTCAAAGGCATCTGCACAGTCGAGAATCATGTCGAAAGGCCCGTGTTCTTTCACGTGGCTGTTAAGCTTTTCTGCCAGGTTTCCCTCCTTGTCTGCAGGTTGAGATGAGGAGGAGAGAAGGTTCAGCGGTGGCAAGCAAAGCGAAAAGAGCCGACGTCGTTGAAAATCTCACAGTCAAACGTGACGTCGGCCCCGCGGCCCTTGACCATGTCTGCCTTTGCTGCGCTGCACGTCGCAGCGACAAAGCATCCCTTGTGCTTAAGCACAGGGACCAGCTGGAGCCCCACCGAAGAACTTCCGCCGGACACGAGCACCTTGGGCGCGTCCTCCTTCTTCTTCAGCGCCCACTCCACCTCTCTCGACAAGACAATGGCAGTGAGACCGACAAGCGGGAGGCCGGCCGCTGGTACTGCCTCCACGTGCTCTGGCCGCTTGGCGCAGGAGGGTGTAGGTGCGACGATCTCTTCGGCGAGAGAGCCGAGGCCCTTTGACACCTTCAGTGTCGAGTGCACAATCCCAAAGACTTCATCCCCGGCCGCAAAGTCGGCAGAAGAGGACTCCAAGACGGTGCCGCTGTAGTCACACCCAGCAATGGCTGGGTGTTTCGCAATGAAAGACGGCAGGTAGTTCATGATCTTCCCTAGATGGCGATAGGCACAGTTCAGCTTTTGCCTTGCTCGACGCTTTCGACTTCCATCTCGCCACTCACAGTCCACCGGGTTCAGGCCAACGGCTTTGACCTTGATCAAGAGCTCGTCGTCGCCTGGCTTTGGCACCTGGTGACGATCATCGAGCTGGAGCACATCGGCTGGCTTGCCACGCTTGAGGTACTTGTATGCACGGACAGTTTTGGTCGTCGACATGTTGACACAGCGAGGGCCGAGTGACTAGAGATTCGACAGCAATGTAACGATGAGACTTCCTGGCGCCACCCGTACCCAGCTTGGAAGATGCGGATAGATCGAGAGTGGAAGAGAAGGAGGCGAACGCAGCCAACTTTAAAGCTGGATGGGACGAGCAAATGGAAGCTTGGCGAAAGTTTGTGGACGCGTACCAGCAGATCTCCACATGCTTGCTATTCGGCGCTTGCCTGTCAAATTTGCCCCGTCCGTTTCGGGAGGCCCGCTGCGATATGTCCGAGTGGGAGCCGTCAGACAGACACCGTCAGGGCCAAGGGAAGAGATTCCCACACAAGAAAAATAAATATAAAAAAATAAATGGAATGGCCATGGCACCGAACGAGGACAGTTGCGACAGTACATTGGGATCAGCGGGCCCGTGTGTGCGGGGCAGCACAGTGGACCCGCGGGAGCTGTGTGTAGCTCGGAGGTTGGGAGCAAGTAAGCTATTCATAGACGACGTACTACAAAGGCCAGCGGGCCTCTCGTCTCTCCTACCCCTCTTTGTTGAGGAGCTACGGTGCCATGTATACACACACAGAGGTCGAGCAAGCTGGCTCAGAGTCAAAGGCTCTTCCAGCCGACCAGCCCTCCTCAACAGATCCGGCCAGTTCTTCACCGTGAGTATCAAAGATCTTGAGCAACGCAAGTGCGCTGCTCATTAAAGAAAGGTAAACAATGGCAGATCGCTCGTTGAGGTCGATTTCGGGGGCCAGAAGGTCCAGGTCCCAAAGGGCGGCTACTACGACCGTTATCGAATGAATCCGAATCTTGAAGAAGTGGCGCAGGACCCGGCCGCAGGCAACCTCGACTTCTTCCGCGAGATCCCCAAGGAGAAGGTCCCGTCCAGAGTCGGTCCGACGTGGGCTCCAAATTTCTACTACCGCATGAGCAACGTCCAGCTCCTTTTTCTGGCACCCATCGCTCGGCTGCGTGAAAAGCTGCCAAAGCCTCTCGAGCCTCTGCATCCGTTCCCAGGCTATGGACTGGTTGCGCTTACGTTCTTTTCGTACCCCGTTTGCGACAATGATCCTTACGACGAGGTGTCCATCGCAATCATCACACGCCGGCCTGGCGCCCGAGGCTCGCAAATCTTGGAGCTACTCAAGTCTATCCGAAACCGCAGCTTTTACGCGCATGTGCTGGCGCTTCCCGTGACGACTGAGATCGCTCGAGTGCGCGGCGTGTACGGCTACCAGCTGCCCAAGTGGCTCGCTCAGATCGACATCAAGATCGGCACAAGCGTCGAAGCCTCCATTGCCGCTACTGACGGCACGCCGGACCTCGCACTGACAGTGCCGCTTCCAGCCTTGCGGACTGTGCTATCCCAGTCGGAGCAAGGGACAAATTATTCAGTCTATCAGATTGACGGACAGTGGCATCAAGTTGCCGTTCGGTCCAATCCGCTCTCCTTTGCTCAGCGTCTCTTTCCCCGCGACGTGAAGCTGTCGCGCAACGGAGGACCACTTAGCCAGCTGCTTGAGCAGCTGGGTGTGTCTACTATTCTCCGCCTAGACGTTGTCAAGGAGGCGCAGATGGTGCTCCACATGCCAACATCACTAACGACGTTCGGCTAGCAGTAAAGATGAGCTTTACGCCACCACTCACAAGGTGTATCCTGTCTCTTGACTCTTCTTATTTGTCCTTGCAATTCAATACATTGTGCTTTCATCTTGGCATACATCAATGCGCTCTGAGACAGCCCACATTCCTGCAATACACGCACAAACAAGCCAGCGATGCATACGAATGCGAGAGTCACTTTGATGGAAACAGGAAACTCAATCGATCGAGAAGACGCCACTCGGTTCCCCTCTCGAAAGCACGGTGATTTGGGCATCGATCACTTGTACCACTCCTTGAGCTGCTCGACGGCAAGGGTGCGTCCCGCCTTGGCCGCCCCGGTGTCCTTGAGAGGATCAAGTAGGAGGAAGTCATGGATGATGCCACCAAAACGAACGCTTAGAGAGGCGTTGTGTGAGCTTACACGCTCGACGGCCGCACGTCGAGACACAGACTCACCTCGTCACATCAATTCCTGCTTCCCTCAGCTTTTCGGCGTACTGCTCGCCGTGGTCGCGAAGGACATCTGCTTCGCCCGTGATGACCAGCGCTGGCGGTGCCTTGGACAGTGCATCGCGCGGCGTGCGCAGCACAGAAATGCGAGGGTCTTCTGGGCTGGCATCGGTGCCCTTTGTGTACTGCTCAAAGAACCTGGAGAGGTGCGAGAGAGTTAGCTGGCGGTGATCACACAAGAATGTAAGATGCTAGAGATTTCCACGCACCATTTCATGCCATCGCGGGCCAAAAAGTAGCCACTGGCAAAGTCCTTGTAGGACTCGGAGTCAAAGGAGAAGTCGCAGACCGGGTAGAAGAGAATCTGGCCGAGGAGGCGACTCTTCTGTGCCCTCAGCGAAGTGATGGCAGTCATGTTGCCTCCGACCGAGTCTCCGGCGATGGCGATCTTCTTGCCGTCACTGTGGGGGGGATGGCAAGCACGTCAGGATGAACAGCTGCTGGGGACCAACATATCTGTACACCCACACATTGTACTTGTCTGCATTCTGCTCGATGAACTCGAGAGTCGCCCACGCCTGGTCGAGTGCTGTGGGGTACTTGGCCTCAGGCGACAGCGTGTAGTCGATGGCAAAGACAGCCGCGTCGGCGCGCTTGGCCAGCTCACCCAGGAGGCGGCCAAAGGCATCGGGGCTGCCAAACACCCAGCCGCCTCCGTGGATGTAGAAGAGCACCGGCAGCTTCTTCTGTGCCGACGCCGTCGGCTTGATCAGCTTCACGCGGTGGTCCTTGAAGTCGATCCACGACGTCGTGATGCCGTCGCTGTATGCGATTGACTCCTTTTGGACATCGTTGAAGATCTTCCGGCCCTCTTCGGGCGGCTTCTGGTAGAGAAAGGGGGGAGTCGAGGTTGCGCTGATGGAGAATACGAAGCATAGTCAGACCCACTCAAGACAGAATCTTGGCATCGGCGTAAGGAGGGCTCACTTTGCAAAGTCCTGAGCGGCAGGTTCGAGAACTGGAGCCATGGCGATCGTCAATCAGAGCGTTGTCTTGATGAACAAGGAGGAGATCGTCGTGTGGGCGATGAGAGGGGGGCAGGTATGCGTGCACTGGCGCTGAAGTCCATCTCTCGAGACGTCCGAATCTGTACCGAAGCGAGGATCCGCATCTGCGGGCCATTGTGTGGCTGGTACGCATTGACCACCTTCTCAAGCTATCTATTATCATCTGCTGGCCTTATGCATAAATGCTGAAGTGGGAAAAAATACCAAACTCAGCAATGCAGCGGGCCCGCGAAAAAAATGGTCCATCTGCCGCCAAGGATGCCTGTCAGAGTGCGACACGTCATCTGTGCTGTTCTTCTCACTGGATCTACGTGGAGGCTAGGTATACATCGGTATATTCGCTAGCGCACGATGATTCACGACCCGTCGCTCGCCTCTTCTTAAATAGAGGTGGCTCCAAAAAGAGGGGGAGAGAGTTTATTTCCATCGTCTATTTCCACCGCATCCCTTCCTGCAACGTGCCATGTCTGCAACATCCGACCCACAGCCTGCAGAGGGGACAGGCACAGCTCGGCCCAAGCGGATCCTCCATGTGGTCAGCAATGTCGCCCACTACGCCGATCCATCGCACCCGACTGGGCTTTGGATTTCGGAGCTGACGCATGCCTACGATGTCTTTGCGGCCAAGGGCTACGAGCAGAAGCTAGTCAGCCCCAAGGGCGGCACGACGCCTCTCGAGCCACGCTCACTCAAGTGGCCGCTTGCCGACGGCTCGACCAAAGCGTGGCTCGCGGACAAGGACCGTTCTGCGCTGCTGTCCTCCACGGCCCGGCCCGACGAGATCAACGCTGCCGACTTTGACGCAATCTACTTTACCGGCGGCCATGCCGTCATGTGGGACTTTCCGGACAACGAAGCGCTGCAGAAGCTCACGCGCGAAATCTGGGAGCACGGAGGGGTCGTCTCTTCCGTCTGCCATGGCTACTGCGGCCTCTTGAACACACGGCTAGCCGACGGAGAGCTGCTGGTCAAGGGGCGACGCGTGACTGGCTATTCCTGGAGGGAAGAGGTGCTCGCAGGCGTGGCCAAACAGGTGCCGTACAACAGCGAAGAGGAGATGAAGAAGCGCGGTGCCCTCTATGAAAGGGCGTTCCTGCCGTTTACGGTGAAAGTCGTGGCAGACGGCCGTCTGGTCACGGGTCAGAACCCGCAGTCGGCAAAGGCAACTGCCGAGCGAGTTGCGTCACTTCTCAGTGCCGAGCAAGTCTCGTCGAATCTCTGAGTGTCTTTGCTATACGTACTGTACTGTACAGGCAGTGCGCAACCCCATGCTTTGCTCTGTGCGCCAGTGTGTCGCCGTAGACTCCGAAGCGCTAGCCTGCAACACCCGTTCTCTCTACCATAATGTAGCTCCAACGAGAAGGAGTGCAAGGGCTGGAAGCAGATGTGCAATTTTGTCACAATGACTGAGCCCTCGATTGCACGGTCACCGAAGAAAATGACGATCTCGTCATGCTCTCGGCACTTTGATCGGGTCAGCCGACTTGCCGATGAGTGAAAAGTGCCTAAAAGTGTGCTCGAGCCAAGAGAACGGACGTCTCAGCGACTCCCGCTCGCCCTGACGTTCCTGAAGGGGACCCCACTTTCGCCTCGCTCGACTGTCCGAAGCCGACAATTCAGGCAAATGCTCACTCGAGGATTACTCTCCATCATCTCGTGGCCGTGGATCGGCGGCCGACTATTGTCTAGCTGCCCGTCAGCAGCGCAGCGCAGTGCCGAGACATGCTGACGACTTTGGGGAGTCAATGCCAGGAAAGAAAGGCAACACGCATTTCCGGGGTTGCGCATGTCACTTGCTGGTAAACGCCGGCGTGACAGCTGCTGCTTTGCGACCTCCGCACCACGGCCTGCGGGAGTTGCCCCTTCCGCCGATTTTGCCGCCGCTGAAGATGCCGGACATGCTGATGCGGACCTCCACGGTCGCAATGCGCAAGCCAAGTGCAAGCTAGAGGTTTTTCTCTATTTGAATTTGTGTTGTGCTCGAGGCTTCGAAGAGTTGAAAAATCGTCCAGGCACGAGCGCGCGTAGGACTTCCGTGTCCGCCGGATTTCATTGCGCGAACGATTTTTCAGGGCAAAGCGGAGCCGGCGGTTTTCACTACTGTGCGCGCGCGCGTCGTCAGGCAAAGAAAAGGATCTGCGCTTGCGCCTTGCTCACCAGCCAATATATGTTTCATAATGTAATATATCGATGCGGAACTTGTCACGGTCTCACAGGGTATAAAAGGAGAGGGGCAGCTCGACTTTTGCATTCTTCCATCGCTTATTGCTCTCGGCCCCAGCTCATCCACACCTCAACAGCCCCATCCATTCACTGCTTACTTCAAGATGTTCCAGCGCAACATGCTCTTCGGTGCGGCCACCTTCGCGGGCCTCGCCAGTCTCGCTCTGGCTGCCCCTCTCGCTGAGAAGCGCCAGACGCCGTCGAGCTGCTCGGAGCACGCCAGTGGCTACCTCATTGTCCGCCCTACCAGCAACACCAGCTCTGGTCCCATCACCTATGCCGGCATCGTGTCGGGTGTCAAGCACGCCGGAATCGATGGCCAGGACGTGAGTCGCATTGGTAGACTTTGGCACTCCTCTCTTCTCTGAGGCTGACTTCCCCCCCATGACAGGACTCGATCATCGTGACCAAAGATGGCAATGGCAATGCCCTGCAGCCGCAGGTCTGGAGCTTCCTCCAGTGCACGGACCAGAACGGCCAGTCGCCCCCACCAGGTTACAAGCCGCCGACGTCGGGCCCCTCGAACAACTACTTTGGCATTCTGCGCCCTCAGAGTGCCACCCAGCACTGCCTGGCCCTCGAGTCGGAGAACGATGCGTCGACGGGGGCGCGCAACAGCGTCGTCGACTCCTTCTGCACCCAGGTCCCCGAGCAGTACCGCACCTTCATGTACGTCGACTACATCTACGGCAACAGCGCCGATGCCAGCAACCTCTTCTTTGCCGACCAGAACGAGACGCTCGTCATCGGAAGCACCGCCCACGCCGAGCTGCAGTTCTTCACCAACGGTGCCCCTTCTGGCCAGCAGACCTACCAGCTGCAGCTGCTCCCCAACACGCTCCCATAAAGCGTCTCCCACTGTATCTTATCTCAGCTTCTTTAATTGGATCTCGGTTCTCGCTGGCTTTCTCACTTTCTCTTGTCGCGCTCGGTTGACCTCGTCTCGCGAAGTAGTGTGACTGATCAAACTCTTGGCGTCCCAGAAAAATCAGGAGAAAAAGTGGCACATCAGGGTGAACGATTCTCTCCCACCCCCACGACGAGTGATTTCGCCGACGCGCTCGGTCCCTCTCTCCCACCTCCACGTCCAAGCGTGAGATTGTGTGGGGGGCGGCTGCTGCACTAGCGATGCGAATAAGAAGAGAAAAGAGCGCTTTGAAGAACAAGACTTCTGTACAACCATCAGCATGCCAGAGTCCACAAAGAACAATCTTACGCTTCGCATCTTGCGGGCAGCCAGCAACGGAGGCTACGGCATCCTCGCCCAGAGCTGCTATGGTGGGTCTGAGCTTGGACTGTTCTCTACTGACCGCGCCTGCTGACCCTTCGTCTGGCCACATGCAGACACACAGAGCGTCCTGGGTCTCATCGAGGCGGCTGAGGAGGCGAAGTCGCCTGCCATCGCCCAGCTCTTCCCCGTGACAATGCAGCAGGTGAGATCATTGCCGTCGGCTTCATCTCTTCTGCTCCACCTAACCTCACACTCTTGCTCATTGCCTGGCGCGACAGTTTGGAATCCACTTTACAAGCTTTGTCATCCAGGCTTGCCATGCAGCAAAGGTGCCCATCGCTGTCCATGTCGACCATGCGGGCACGGACGAGGACATTGATCGGGTGCTCGACTGGGCGGAGCAGGGTGTTGCCGTCGACTCGATCATGATCGACTGCTCCCACCACGACAGCGACGAAGACAACATCGCCATGGCCAAGCCCTACTGCCAACGCGCCACCAAGCTGGGCATGGCTGTCGAGGTTGAGCTGGGGCGCTTGGCGGGCGGCGAAGAGGGCGTCCGTGTCATCGAAGAAGGCGCCCTCACCAAGCCTGAGAAAGGTGAGAGCGAACGAGGTCGAGAATCTCCCGCCTTGCTTATCACGCGTGCCGCTTCTCACGACAGCCGAACGCTTCTTGACTGAGCTTGACGTCGACGTGAGTGGCCTTGCTATCTTTCTACTTCTCACTCTTCTGACACCATCGAGTCCCCCAGCTCCTTGCACCAAGCATCGGCAACATCCACGGGCGCTACGTGTCCCCGCCAAGCTTCCGTCTGGACCTGTTGGACAAGCTCCAGAGCACAGTCGGCCCCGGGACAGCCAGCAACGCCCTGATCGTCCTCCACGGCACCGACGACCTCAAGGACGAGCTGTTCCGTGACTGCGTCGCACGGGGCTGCGTCAAGATCAACGTCAACAGCTGGGCCAGGAACCCGCAGGTGGAATATCTGTGAGTCTCTTCCGCAGCAATCGTGGGACCCAAGCCTGCGCGCAGTCTCATCACGATTCTTGATCCTGCAGCCGCGACCACTTGGGAAAGGATGGGCTGCCAGAGGTGTACGACGGAGCCAAGGCAGAGTTTGCGCGGGCCTGCTCCCGCTTCTTTACTCTTTTCGGGAGTGTTAACAAAAGCAATCTGGAGGTGTAGACCGATTACATAGCTAGCTGGCCGTTGAGAATGCAAGTTAAACCACAGGGCCACTGCCACGCGTCTATTCTCATGCTGAAGAAGGGAGTCAGACCAAGTGAGGCAGGTGGCGCCATGTCAGTCAATGAGCCATCCAAGCTGGACAAGTGCAATACAAAACAAGCATGCTGCGATTTCACACGTCGACGTTATAGTACTAGCTAGCTGAAAGCCCATGTTCGCCCGATTTCTCGTCGTATCTTGTCTCTTGCGTGACATGTTGGCTAGTCGCAGTGTCCAGCGAGGGATACGGATACTTGGCGAGCAGGTAACGAAGGAGGAAGGCCATGACAAAGGCGATGATCATGAAGGCCATCGTCACCGCAAAGCCAGTGCGATTGTGGTCCGTGGAGCTTGTCGGAAAGAGAAAGGAGCCGTCTACAGAAGAGACGAGAGGGGAGCTAGAGTTAGCGAAAGAAAGCATACAGGAAAGGTTGGCAGGGCGACGCACAGATGGATGCGCAGTTGCCCAGCGCGTTGACGATGGCTTGCACGATCGCCCGCTTCTCCGAGGGATGCGGGACTGCATTGGACACCCAGATGCTGACGAGGGGGCCTGAAGGCACGTCCTGTCTGTCAGCAGTGGCTTTTCAACTTTGCATGCTCTACTCACAAGCCGCGTAGACGCCGGCCACGCCAAAGCAGAGGAGAACGTAGCGGCCGGTGTTGTTGACCACACCCAGGATGACGGCGAAGCAGACGACAGACAGGGCCGAGGCAGCTGCCAGGTGGTACGCCCGCTCGTGGAAGTAGTCTGACGACCAGCAGAAACCAAGAATCGCCACGAGAGCGACGGTGTAGATCGGCGCCGTAAAGTACTGAATCTCAAAACCCTTGTAGCCCATGGACTGGTGAATAGTAATAAGCGCCAAGTCAAGTCAGCCAAAGTAGGACTGCACAGCGCTGTGCATGGTACGCACCTTGACCAGCTCAGGGATAAAGTACTGGATCGTCTGGCTGCCCGTGGTAGCCATGTAGGCCAGCACAAAGGCCCAGGTCCTCCAGTCTGAGAGCGCCATCTTGGCCGCTTTCTTGTGGCTGATATCCTCGCCTCCTTGCGCCTGGCCCAGCGAGTCATCAGCGAGACGCTGGCCGGCGACTTGGCGTTCGTGAGGCGTGAGCCAGCGGGTGGTCGAGGGAAAGTCGGGGAGGAGAAAAAAGGACAGAATAGACACAAAGCACGTCGCAGCACCTTCGACGAGAAAGAGCCACCGCCAGCCGGCCAAGCCCCTTGCGCCATCAAGTGTCTGGAGGAGACCTCCCGCGATGAGGCCGCCAAAGATGCCTGAGATGGCGACGGCCGAGTAGTAGAGCGAGTAGCGACGCGCTAGTTCTCCCTTTTTGTACCACGACGAGAGCAGGAAGAGCACGCCAGGCGCGAAGCCGGCCTCGATGGCACCCAGGAGCAGCCGAAGGACAGCAATGACGCGCCAGCTGTGTGCCGCGGCAAAGCACATGCTGAGGCCGCCCCAGATGAACATGAGCGTGGGCAGGTAGATGCTCGGCCGCGCGCGAGACAGAATCATGTTCGACGGCACCTCGCAGAGGACATAGGTGATGAAGAAGACGAGCAGGACGACGCTGTAGGCCTGGCTGCTCATCTTGAGCTCGGCGCCCATCCCGCTCGTGTAGGCGTTGCCGATGTTGGAGCGGTCGAGGTAGCTGAGCAGATACATGATCCAGACGGCGGGGATGAGGCGGAAGTCGATCTTGCGCAGGAGTGCCTTTTCCTCGCGCGCCTTTTCTTCCTCTGCCGTGCTCAGCATGTCGGAGTGGTCGTCGGCAGCAGGGAGGGAGGGGGCGTCTCCAGTGGCGATGAACGTGACATCGTCGCTCTTCTCGCTTGGATGCATGGCAGCTTGCTCGGAGAGGCAGAGGCAGAGGCAGCTACTGGGCGGGAGGAGTGCAGCATCGCATCGTCGGGGGCACAACCCTCTTTATATGCACTTGGGTAACAGAAATCGCGGGGCCCCTCGCTCCGTCTGACCTGGCATGCACAATGACTCTAATTTTCGCCTCTTTCTTGCGCGCTCTTGCGCGCCGGGCAGGCACAGGCTCACTGTCGCCCACGCCTCCCACGCCTCCCACGCCTCCCACCCCCATCGTGGCAGGGTCCCTCCCACATCCCCCACCTTTTCATGATCGATCCCGCGGATCTTCTCTCCATTGCTGGACGAGTTAAAAGAAGCCAGACATGGAAGCCTGATCCACCATGCCCGACTCGCTCACAATGACAATCGACTCCCTGCAAACGGTTCTGATCACTGGCGCTGGCGGCTGGCTCGGCTCGCTGCTGCCACAGACGCTGGTCGAACGAAGCCCCAACACCCGATTCAGCTTGTGAGGCCCCGCCAGAGCCTCTCCTGTCTACTGTACAAAACTGACGCAACTCTTCTGCCTCAAGCATCCTCGCCGATGTCGTGGCACCCAAACATCCCAAGGGCCTCGCCGCCAAGGTGATCACGCACCAGGCAGACCTCTCTGACCCTGCGAGCCTCGACGCGCTCTTCGCCACCGAGTTTGGCCACCCGGACGTCGTCTACTCGATGCACGGCATCATGAGCCTGGGCAGTGAAGGTGCGTGGTGTGTGCTTGAGCTACTCAGGAGGATACCGAAGCTCATTTCATGGGGGCAACGCGCTCTTTGATGAACAGAGAACTGGGACCTCGGCATGAAGATCAACTTCGACAGCACGCGCCTGCTCCTCGAAAAGGCGCGCCACTCGCGGCCTGCCTCGGGCGAGCCGGTGCGCTTCGTCTTCACCTCGAGCGTCGCCACGTACGGCGGGGAGCTGCCCGACGTGGTGCTGCCGTCGACGAGCTGCACGCCCGAGGGCGCCTACGGGACCGCCAAGCTGATGGGCGAGTACCTCGTGAGCGAGTACAGCCGCATGGGCTTCGTCAATGGGCTCTCGGTCAAGCTGCCGACGATTGTGCCGCGGCCGGGCGTGCCGTCGCGCGCGACGTCGGCGTTTGTCTCGAGCATTGTGCGCGAGCCCCTGGCGGGCGTGCGGGCGACGTGCCCCATCGGCACGTCGCCCGACGACCCGCTGCTGAGCACGACGGGCGTGTGGGTGGCCAAGCCATCGACGACGCTCATCAACCTCGCGCACGCCAACAGGGTCCTGGCAGACAAGGAGATGGTCGCCAAAGTCGCGCGGTGGTCCCGCAGCGTGCAGCTGCCCGGCTTCACCACCACGGTGCGTGAGATCATCGATGCGCTCCGAGAGGTCAGGGGTGACGAGGCGGTGAAGCTCATCACGTTTGACGACGACGAGACGTGCCGGCGCATCGTGTCGAGCTGGCCGCGCAGCTTCGACAACAGCTACGCCCAGCGCCTGGGTTTCATTGTGGACACAGACGGCTTCGCGGGCGCGATCAGAGAGTACATGAGGAACTCGATGTGAATGTTAGAGTGCCTTCCTTTTACTACTACTATAATACATTGCTATACATGCTACTGCTGCGTCGCACTTCGCCGCCTCTCGCCCTCGTCGGCCTCATGGCTGGCCATGTGTACGAGAATAGCACGGAAGCAGCGTGCGAGCCCCCACTCAAAGCGAGCCAGGTTGCCCGCGAATGACTCGAGGATGCGGAGTGGCGCTGCGGCCGCCGACGACGTTCCGGCCTCGCGGCTCAGGTCCACCTCGAGGGCCATGCTCCGGACGCTCACAGTCAGCGCCGCAGCGGCCTCGTGCCAGTCGTACGTCTTGCCGTCCTCGAGGCACGTGTACTGGCCCTGGACCCAGGCAGTGACTAGCGACGGATCGCCGCCCAGGTCGAGGCAGCCTGCTTGGGTTGCACGTTCAATCAGCGCAGACGACACCGTCGGTGGCGTGTAGCCTGCTTCGGGCGGCGGCGCCCCAGCCACAGACGCCGGCGCAGCAGCAAACCTGGCATAGGCCCACAGGACCAGGGCGGCGTGGAAGAGGGCGACGATGCAGAGCGTGCCTCCGTCGCACACGAGCTCGTACACCTGCACAGCGGCGGCCACCATGCCACGCAGCGCGCCCTGGTTGTCGCGGCTCCGCATCCAGTCCTGCAGCCAGGCGACGGCATGCCTGCGGCGGCTCGACGCCATGCCTGCGCGCCCAGCGGCCTCGTTGAGCTGCCGGGAATAAGTCAATGAGCCATTAGCGCAGATCACTTGCCGAGCGCGCAGAACGAAGGAAGGACGCACCCGGTGGAAGAAGAGCGGGGGGCCGCCAAAGTGGAGCCGCGAGAGGAGCTCGAGCAGCTGGACCTCGGTGCCGAGCGGCGACGCTCGCTGCGAGGCGGCTCGGCTGAGGCCCTGCAGCGCATTGGCGGCGAGGCCATCGATGGTGGCGCGCTCGTCAAAGACGATGAGCTGCTTGTTGGCGTCCCACCGGATGCGATAGAGGGCGGCGGAGATGAGGAGCGCCTCGAGCGAGCTGATGCGCAGCGGCGGCGCCTCGACGCTAGCCCGGAGCAGGTGCTGCAAGGCGGGCACGAGCGACGTCGACGATGGGCATTGGCCGCTGCTGATGATGCGCTGGGACCATTCGCGCGCAGAGGGCGCATCCCAGAGCTCCTGCTCGCAGCTGTTGGATGTTCAGACATGAGACGTTGTCGCATACAAGCCAAGAAACAAGAGAAACAAGAGGGTGTGGGCAACCACTCACGGAAACGGAGACGAGACCTCGCCCACGGGAATCATGGGCGCCACATCGAGGTAGCAGCTGAATTGCTGGTCGTACAGGAACACAAACCAGCCCAGGCGTATGCGCGACTCCCTCTCGATCCACGCGCGCCACAGCCGTGCGAGTGTTGCCTCGTCGTCGATGGAAGCGACGACGGTGTCGTAGAGACGCTGGCTGTGCGCCGGCAGCGTCAACAGACCCGTGCGGCGCACAGCGGTAACCATGCCGCCGCGGTTGCGCTCGGCCAGCTTGCAGAGCCGCTTGTCGCCCGACGCGACGCCAAACATCTGCTGCAGCAGCCAGGCCTGATTGATGGGCACATCCAGAAAGCCGCGCTGGTCGGCCTCGTATGCGCTCATGATGCCGATCCTGGCCAGCTCCGAGAATGCGAGCGAAAGAGTGCGGTGCTGGCCCCTGTTCTGCACATAGTAGATGAGCCCGATGGTGATCATGATGAGGAGCAGCACCGGCGGTGTCACGGCTGCATCAAAGGTGGCTGGGTGCAGCAGCGGGACGTAGGCGTGGAAGCGCTCAAAGAAGAGGTTGAGCAGCGCTTCGATCTCGTGGGCTTGCAGAAAGGCCGGGGGCGCAGGCGACCGAAACGAATAGAGGGACCACGGATGGCGACAGGAGTGCTCCAGGTAGACGAGCAGCTGCTGCCGCGTCTCCTCGCTCACCGACGCAGCGGCTGTTGCGCCCGCTGCTGTGCCCGTCGTCGTGGATCTGCGAGCATGTCCGTCACCGATCTGGACTATCGGTACGTGCCGGTCTAAGCCAGGTGGAGGGAGATCAAGCGACAGGGCGGTAATCTCAATCGACGGTGGCCGGCTCCGCACCGGTCGATAGTCCTGCGGCCACGCATCCTCGCCTTCCCTCTCCTCGTGCCTTCGCAGCGTGCTGCTGCTCAAGGGCTGCGCCGCAAAGGCCATGTTCAACAAATTAAGCGCCTCGGTCGGATCCAGCCCGTCGGTCCGCGCCGCCGCCTCCATCATGTTCTGGTTCACGCGGCTGGGCGACGCCAGACAGCCGTGCATGTCGCCCGGCCCAAACACGCTCGTGACGACATCGTCCATGAAGCTGCTGCTGTTGCTGCCGCCCCCCTCCGTGGTGCTCTGGTCGTCGAGGACCCAGTCAAAGCCCGGAAGACTGGCAAAGAAGTCATTGTGCCACAGGTCTGCTCCTCCAGTTGAGTACGAGCCATCGTTGATTGAAGTCCGCGGATTGGTCAGCAGGCCGATTGAAGCCATCAGGGGAGCGTCTGCTGGGGATACATCTGTGTTCTGCATCTGCACTGGTCCACCTGCAGCGGCGACAGGGGTCACCATAGGAGGGTCGATCAGTGATGCGATCGCCGTCGGTGCTATTGGGGCCTCGGCCGACATGGTGAGATCCTCTCCGTCGCCGTAGTAGCCCCGCGTCTTGCGGACAGGGGTGGCCCCAGTACGCTTGGAGGGGTCCTGCCCCTGCTGATCATCACCTCTGCTTCGGCTGCTTCTGCTCCGGCTGCCGCTGCCATTTTCGCTGCAGTGGCTCCTCTTGTGGCGCAGCAGCACATCGCTCCGATTAAAGACCCTGCCGCAGCCCTTTTCGTCGCACCGAAAGCGCCGCGATGGGCTCGTGGCGCCGCCGTCGCCGCCGCCGTGTGCCGTCTCGAAATGCCGCTTGAGATGCTCGCTGCGCACGTACCGCTTCGAGCACTGCGCACACGTCGGCATCGTGTCAAAGGGAGCACTTGTGACCCATTCTGCGGGGAAAAGGCACACAGGAACGAACATGACCGTGGGGGGAGAAACAGATCGGGCAACGCCACGTGGCCGGGCAGCACGTCCCTCCGTCGTCAAGAATCGTGAATTCTTCCTGCGATGTGGCTGCATGGACGCTGCCAGCTGACAATACGGCCACTCCATGGCTTTGCGGACGTGCACGCGGGCATGGTACGGTGCCTGATGCTGGAGCCTGGCGACAGGTTCATATGGTGCCGAATGTCTGTCTTCGTTCATGCAGGGTCTGTGACGCTCAATCCTACCGTCCAGTAGATCCAGCTCAGGCGCCAGAGCGGGGCGCATGAGCGCAGCAGCGTAGTCGTCGTCCGAGTGCACGACTCCAACTAGCCTCAAAGGGTAACGGAGCCGCGAAAAAGTAGCGACGGGGATGCTGTGTCGGCGATCAGGCCCACGCTGGCATGCATGGAAGCTCCCTCCATCACCGCGGACGTCGCACCCGTCGCACGGACCTGGGCCTTACTTTTTACGAATCTAAGCGGACTTTTCCTGGACATTTCCTGGACATTTTCCTGGATCTCGAATTTGAGTTGTGGAGGAACACGTAATGTTTTTTCGACTCTGTCGCTGCTGCGTTGGAGGATCTTCCCAAGCTGAGTTCTTCCTCCGAGTCTCTTTCGAGCAAGAGCATATTTATAGCAGCAGGAGCAGCAGCTGAACGCCCTTGTCAACGCTACTGCCCAACCCACCTCGACATGCGCGTGCTGATCAGTGGAGCAGGCATCGCAGGGCCCACCCTGGCCTGGTTCCGCGCCCAGAGCGGGGGCCACACGACCATCGTCGAAAAGGCACCGGCGATCCTTCCCCACGGCCAGAATGTCGACATCAACGGGAGCGCCATCACCGTCATCGGCAAGATGGGCCTCCTCGACGAGGTCCGGCGACTGAACACGACGGAAAAGGGGACGCAGTTCATCGATCCCAAGGGACGGCCCATTGCGCCCTTTCCTGTCCATCAGGACTCCACCCTGTCGCCCACGTCCGAGTACGAGATTCTTCGAGGCGATCTTGCAAAGATTCTCTACGAAGCGACAAAGGACCTTGACAATGTCGAGTACCGCTTCGGCACGACGGTGACCAAGATCGTCTCCGATGATGGCGACGAGGCGCCGGTCAAGGTGACGCTGAGCACGGGCGAGGAGCAGGAGTACGACGTCGTGGTCGCAGCCGACGGACAGTGGTCCAACGTGCGAAAGCAGTGTTTTCCCAAGTCGGCGATCGGCGTCTTCGATACAGGCATGTATGGCGCGTACTGGACCATCCCGCGGCTGCCGCAGGACAACGACTGGTGGAACGTGTACTTTGCCCTTGGTCGCCGGACCATCTCGCTCCGGCCCGACCCGCATGGGACAACACGGGCCTTTGTCTCACACTTGCCCGACAGTGGCGCAGAGAAGCAGGAGTGGCAGGCGGCCTCGAGGGGAAGTCGAAAGCAGCAGGAGGAGCTGATAAAGAGGAAGTTTGCCGATGCAGGATGGCAGGCGCCCCGGCTGTTGGACGCCATGGGCAAGGCGGAAGACTACTACTTCCAGGCAGTGCAGCAGATCCGCATGACGAAATGGTCCGCGGGCCGCGTCGTCTGTCTCGGCGACGCTGCCCATGCGCCCACGCCGCTCACGGGCATGGGCACGTCGCTCGCACTGCAGGGCGCCTACGTGCTGGCGGGCGAGCTGAACAAGCTGGAGGACGACGGCCAGCACCCGCGCACGGCCCTCGAGGCGTACGAGGCAAAGTTCCGTCCATTTGTCGACAAGATCCAGAAGCTGCCCTCCTTTGTGCCGGGCATCGCGCACCCCAGGACGAAGCTCCGGCGCTGGCTGATCCAGACGCTGATTCGCGCCGTCTCGGCAGTCGTCAACTTTGTCAACACGACGCCCTGGCTGGCCAAGCGACTGGCGTCGGGCAGCGAGCAGCGCGACGAGGGCTTTCCCCTGCCCCAGTACCAGTCCCTGGACGACATTGCGGCGAAGAACTGGTCGAGCAGAGGAAGCAGGCATCCGACCCGTGCTTGACCTCTATATACCTGGAGACAATTTCCGATGGCACATGCCTCATTCCCGCGCATAGCGTAGAGAGTGCCTCCGCGACTAGATAGAGTGTTCCGCGCAATAAAGTCAAAGCTTCCGCGCAATTCATCCAGGCTTCCGCGTTGTAACAATATTCCTTCCGCGCAAACATCCTAAACACTGGCACTACTACCCATGGTGAAAAGGGAATGCGCGGAGCACCGCGCGTCAATATTGTGCTCCCTGACAGGGGCAGGATGCGGTTGGGAGAAGGCACAGGAGCCACGTCGCCAAACGCTTGAGAGTCGCAGGCCTCCTGAAGGGTATATAAGACCCGTCCGATTCACACCTCGACTGAAGAACATCACAACAAAACACAAGACAGTACAAGTTCAAGCAATGGTGCAAGTATCCGTCGCTGGCGCAAGTGGAAACCTGGGAAGCCGCATCGTCGCGAGCCTCCAGGCGCGTGGTGCTTCCGTCGTGGCCATCGTCCGCACAGGCAAGACTTCCTCCACCACCTTTCCTCCTACGGTCAAGGTCGTCGAGGCCGACTACGCTTCCGTCTCATCGCTGCGCGACGCTGTTCGAGGCTCGCAGGTGGTGGTTTCTGCCCTGCAGGGCCTGCGCCCCGTCATTGTAGAGACGCAGTCGAGGCTCCTCCAGGCCGCTGCCGAGGAGAGCGTACCCCGCTTCATCCCCTCGGACTATGCGATTGATTTTACCACCTTTGGGCCCGGCCGGAATCGCAACCTCGATCTTCGGCGCGAGTTCTGGCAGCAAATCGACGAGCAGCCCAACATCCGCGCCACGTCGATTCTGCCCGGCGCATTCGCATTCACCCTGACCATGCCGTGGTTTGTCGATGTGGCGCAGGCCAAGGTGCTCTACTGGGGCGACAATGCCGACGTCGCCATTGACTACAGCTCGCTGGACAATGTCGCCGACTACACGGCCCTCGCTGCCCTCGACGATGACGCGCCCCGCTACCTCCGTGTAGCGAGCACCACGCAGACACCAACTACCCTGGCCGTGGCGCTTAGTCGTCTAACAGGCCGCCAATTCACGACCAAGAGGGAAGGAAGCCTGGACGAGATCCGCGGGAAGATTGCTACGCTGCTCCAGCAGGATCCAAGCCCAGGCGACAACCTGCGGCCATACTGGCAAGCATTGCAGTTTGCCGAGAACATCTCTTCTGGCTTTGGCGGCACCAAGACGCACGACAATGACCGATACGGGAGCCAGGTCAAGTGGGCCACAATCGAGGAGGTGTTGGCGCCGTTCAAGAGTGCTTTCCTAGCCCGTGCTGGCTGAAAGCGGGTGTACAGTACATCACTCCTAGAAGGCGTTGATTCATTCACCTCAGACCAAAGCAGTGTTGTTGTCCTGTAGAATCATATTCAAGCAATTTGTATTGCCGTGCTAGACCATCATGGTGGAGTGCTTTGAGGACAGACAGCGTTCTTCAGCTCAGCGGCTGTGCCGTCCGAAGCGGCATCTTCTGCATGTTGCGAACATCACTGAGAAGCACTTTTTCTGTACTGTACAAAACATGATCCTTTGAACCAGTGATCTTTAAATCTCTTCTGACCCAAGGATAGCAAGGTGCTTCATCTCAGACTCAGAGCATCAGGGCCAGTAAGGGGATCCGCTCAATGATTAGACCATATTTCAAATCTTCAATGGTTGAGTTGATAAGTATTCCGCGCGCCGTATATCTAATGCCGCGGATATCGAGACGCATGGCCTGTGGTTCCGCGGTCAGAAGCGCGCAAGCGCCGAGCATAAAAAGAAGCACGTCGGACCAGAAGTAGCACAAGACCCACGTCCGACACCATCATCCCCCATGCCGAACCGTCGCGCCAACGAGCGTCGCAGCTGCGATCAATGTCGCAAGCGCAAATGCCTGTGCGACAGGACAAAGCCGTGTTCGAACTGCGCGGTTCGCGGTCTCGCCCACCTCTGCTACGCAGGAGACGGCCGGCCTTCGCCGATGTCGACGCCCTCTCGAATGCGAACAGAGACGCCGCGCGTGCTGCCCAGCAGCATGGAACGAGTGGACAGCGCATTCTTCGCCACAACGACGACGACGACGGCTGAGAGTCCAAGTGTCAGCTCTATTTCGATGGCGCCTGCCCTCGCGGACGGTCATTCCTACCTGAGTACAAGGCAGACTCACTTCGATAATAGCGAAAGGCAAGCGAAAGGTCCTGTACTGGCATGGGAGCAGGTCAGCGAAGTTCTACCGAGTCGTGCAATCTGCAAGCGACTTTTGGCTTTCTTCCTCACAGAGGTCCGTGTCTGCCAAGTCGGATGATTCAATGCACCAGATGCTTCTACTTGATGGTCTGACAGATGCGTTCATGATTGCAGAGCATAAATCAGAGTGTAGTGGACACCGACGTTTTCGCTTCGACCTCGGAGCAGCTTTGGAAAGGGATGGCGGTCTCTCAGCGCTGGCTTGCAAATTTCTTTATGATTCTTTCGATTGCGGCCATTACCGTGCCGCAGCATCACGACCTTCGGGCGACTTACCTCGACTTCCGCAAGAGCCAACAGCTCTGGTCCGAACAGGCGTGCAAGCTGCTTGATGGCACCACAGCCGGCGCGGAGCCGCCGAGCGAGTCTGAGATGCTGAACGAGGTCACGTTCAGGGCACTAGAGGCTTTACGGAGCCTCCTCTTAGGGGACATGGAAGCGTGCTGGGAAGCCATTGGGCGATCGATCCGCAAGGGCGCCACGATACATCTGTTCGATCACTCCGAATGCACTTCTGCGACCCGAGAGGAGTGCGCGAGACGGTCCGCCCTCGCCCGCATGATTCTCGTCACCGATCGGTGGATGTGCTTCAACCGTAATCGCCCCTTTGGCATCGCCAGTCACTATGTATCGCTGCACGGACGCGAAACGACCACTCTTGATGTCCGCATCTTGCGCGCCCTCGAGGCTTGCCACGACTTTAACATCGCGTCGACACGGCTGTCGCTGGCCGACAGATCCGAGCGCGGCCTCCGTCTGCTCCAGCTCATCGATACAGAATTCGTGGGATGCCTCTCCGATCTCCGCGTTGACATCAACTTGACCAAGGGAGTGCCGGTGGGCATCTTTACCTCGCTCGAGTCGGGCAAGGTCGGTCAAGTCGCCAGTCTGGTCTCGTCGTTTCTCTACATGCAGTGCGTCTTTGGCATGCGTTTCATTGGCCAGAATGCCGCCCCATATGCGCTTCGACGGTGCAGCATCGAGGGTGCTGATTCGCTCATCAAGACGGTCCCTGTGTTGTGAGAGCAACGTGAGGCAAAGAGCTTCAATCATCGCACTGACTCCATAGGGGTCCTACTGAAGCTTGCGACTCATGGACGAGGGAAAGGTGGTCGTCCCACTAGAGCGTCTGGCCACCCAGCTCTTCTGTGCTGCACGGGTCTTCACCGTTGCGGTACTCGGAGATGACCTGGACGAGAGGGGCGAGACGGTGACAGTCCTAAACAGAGTGCAAGAGCCTGCGACAGAGGGCGAAAGCCTTACGCACCGCCTGACACAGATCATCTCAGCATTAAGCGCCATCGAAGAGCAAGGAAGCCGACGGGCAGGCAGAATGAAGGCCCTCCTCACCGAGATCTGTGGCTCGATCAGCTGGGCAGATCTGATACCCTCACTTTCCGACAACGACTGGATCGAAGCACTGCTGAGGCAGCCTCCCGATGCCGACTTTCTCTCTCTTCAATTTGCAGGAGTCGCACAGAAGACCACTTAGCGAACTCTCACGGGGCTTGTATGGCCTTTCTGCTGGGGCAGGGCTAGGTTTCAGGCCGCAGTCTAGATGTATTTTATGCGACTTCGATCAGCGCATCACGAGGCGCTGGGATGAGCTGATACGTAAATATCTCAAGCGAAGAAAAGAAAAGGCGAACTCAAGGGGACTTGTCTCAGGAATGACCATGTCAACGTCGCCTCAGACGTCATGCCACGCACGGGCGAGGGACTGGGCTTGATGCGAGCTGACGGAGACTACTTAGACGAGCCGATCCATGCCGTAGAACACGCGGATGCAGGCGCTCCGCACATTGCCTCTCTTCCCCTGACACCCACTGCAAAGGATGTAGTCAAAGTGAGGAGGCGGCAGACTGGAGAAGATCTTGGCTCAAGCTTCCTAATCAAGCGCTGCGAGATCTGGCAAAGGTGTTAGACTCAGATGCCGATTGCCTTTTGCACAGTCAATCTGTCATAAATTCACTTCATCGAAAATACTGGTCGTTGCAGACGGTAGTCAAGTTCTCGCAATCGTTGATTGAATACGAAATAGCTGCCTCGCAGCATTGAGCCTTTTGGAGAACAGCAACATGCAACAAGAAGACCCTTGATGCCTCCCTACGCATTAAGCTTCCAATCAGCCAGCTCGGAAAAAAAAACACGGTGACGATCCTCGGCGAAATAAGCATCGTCTTCGGCAAGCCAGTCCATGACGAGTCCTGTATCGTCGTTTTTCTTGACAATGTGCCGAATCAGGAGGCCAAGGTGGTAGCAGTGAAGCATGATACGAAAAAGACGCTGCTCGTTGACATTGACGACGACCTCGTCTGTTCGACCGGACACGACACTGTGGCCAACAAACTTGCGCACAGGTAGCATCGTACTGTCTTGCAGTATGGCCTTTGCTTTGTCGCCAAGGGCCACCTTGTGAGCTTGTATGGCCTCGAGAAAAGCACATTTGTATGGCCGAAGGATCACACGATCCACGTCGCTACTACGGAGCCGAAGGTGGCGCTTTGACGTGGCGGCCAAGTAGACTAGAGGGGCAAGGAAGAAACATCTCTCTTTGAGCGTTTTGGAGTTGGTGTCGAGGTTGCTGTTGCTTAAATACTGGACCGATTCCATGTCGTCTAGGCGAATGCCAATACGTGATGGCGCCACATCCGCAATGGCCGATACATGACAACCGAGCGCCACGAAGCTCGTGAGCTGTTTCTTGAGCCCGACCGTCCGATGTCGTATACCCTCCAGCGACACGTTGAGCCCTTTTGCTTGGGTCCATCGCTGGGCACTGGTCATTGTCATGTGCTTCGAAGCATCTGGCAGCCGCCCGTTGCCCACCAGACGACCGATGATCTTTTCCAGGAGCCAAAGATCTTTGTTGAGGATTCCTAGCTCGCTGGTCTGGTCTGACTCGGCAACGAAGGCGCGGACATGCAGGGCGCCCATCTCCTCGGCCGCTGCCGACAGCCACAGATTGGTGCGCATTGCTGCCTTATGCATGATGTCCTCAAACAGAGGTGCTGGTCCGATCTTGTTGCTGTACCTTTCGAAGAGCGTTTTTGCCGCTTCTTCTTCCGTGTCATAGTACTGTTGGATGGTCTGAATTGACTGATCTTTGGCGTGGTCGTCCGTTGCGTAACCCAGATCAAGCATGTCTCTCGCGTCCGAGCAAGGATTGGGAGCATCTACAGAGACGCCATCGGGTTGGTGCACCCTCTCGCCAGCACCGATGTCGTTATGAGCGGCAGGGGCGACACCGGGAGCGACATTGGGCTGATTACCGGAGGGGTCCAAAGAGGCAGGGCCTGCAGCTCTGCTGCTTGATCCCGCATCGTCGTCTGCTGCGCCCTCCTCCATTCGGCACCTTTTAGTGCGCTCAATGTCTGCATTCGCGTTGTATTCCTGGTGCTCCGGGGCTACATCTTCGCCTTCACGGCCATGCTTGGTGCGTCCGGTCGGCATTTGAACCTCTTCCTCCTCCTCGTCCATCGCATGAAACGGATTCGTCCGGGTCGTCTCGGTGTCTCCGCGTGGATGTTGACTCGGCCCAGGCTGGGTAGCCGTATCTGTGTGGATCCAAGAATCATCCAGAAGAGGTACTTCATCGCCTTGAAAAGTGGCGTGAGCATCCCCGACAAAAGGGGTAAGGCCTTCTTGAGGATCCTGAGGTGCACTGAAGTTATAACCATCGCCAAAGGGCGCAAGCGAGCCGGCGATTGGATCCCAGCCATAGTCTTGCACAAAATCCTCCAAGTAAAATCCATGACCCGCAGTACCATACGAATCTTCTTCTCCGCAGGCTCGCAATTCTTGCGATACACCCGCACTGCCGTCGCTGCTGACCGCGCTGCTTGCATCGGCCGCGCTGGTTTCCATTTCCATGCCCACACCTACGGAGCACGCGTTGCCCGCGCTTTCCTGTCTAGTTCGAAGGCGCGAGGCCTGCGCCCGGGGCTGGAAGCAGATCATCTGCGTACTCGCAACGCAGGCATAGCACTGCACTTCATCGCTGCGCACCCGTTGCTCGCTGGTAAGGCGCAGACGTGAGCGTGCTGGCAGATCGGGTCGCGACAGATCGTCCGGAGGGATTGCCGACCGTAGCAGCGCGCCTGTTTCGGCATCGTATAGTGTCAAAACGTAGAGGCTGCGCAGTATTAAATCAGTTGTCGCCAACAGGCCTGTGGACGAGAAAGAGTCGGGGCTACCCACTACTGCTTGCCGTTGCATGAGTATGCTGGTAGGTCCATCCTGGGTTGCGCTGTGAGCGCGAGGAGCAGCCCCTGGCCCCCGTTGTGCGTCGACGTCTTCCACAGTACATTAGAGGGCACAGACTCGCTCTCCCCCCTCAGTGCAATGTAGTGGTTCAGGTGCAACCCCTCGCGCTCCGTGGTCGGGTCCTGGTACGTATGACGGGCCAAACCTTCCCAGGTAAATTCACCAGTCTTCTCGCCTTGGTCCGGGCGCGAAAAGACGTGCCAGAGGGCTTTGGGCGCCGTGGTGATGGGCTGAGGGGAGCCTTTGCGTCCTGCGACAACCACGATCGGCGCGACGTCAGCGTTGCCACGGTGAATTAGCCCTACCCACTCCCGGTCTGGCAACGGTGAATTAACCCTACCCACTCCCGGTCTTCGACTCACGCAGTCCAATTCCTACCAGATCGACAAAGCCGAGATTCACGTAGCGATTGTCGCACACGCGAAAGTCATTCCACATGCCAACAGTAGCAGCATGAGGTGGCTTTCCTAGGAGAGCGGCATGATCGGGCATGCAGCAAGCGGATCTGCACTGCTTCCGATAGCCGCGCACGTCCACACCATTACGCTGTTGTGATTCTAGCGAGTTCACCATCACGGCGAATTAGTGCGGCTCTACAATAACGCAGGACACAGTCGACGTACGCGGTGTGAAAGAGCTGCACCTGGCGTCGCTGACCCATGTCTGGTCTGCTCGATAAATGCAATAGGTCAAATCGATCCCAGCGCCTGCTTCGGGTGGGATCACGAGACGCCCAAACACCGAGGAGCACTGGCGCAAGAAGACGAGGGATTTGAACAATGCGCGCTGCTCTGCGCGGCCCACCGGGTCGAGCAGCGGCGCTTGCCGCGCGGCTGTGGATGTCAGGCTTTGGACCATAGGAAGGTGAGGGCCAACAAGCGTCGTGTGGGAAAAAGGGAAGCTTTGAGCTCATGCCCGGGACGGGCGTATATGTATGTTCCCATGAGGGTACGAGGCGGTTGCCTTCTCTGAGCGCAACCCAAAGGGAGATAGATGCAATTGGAAACCGAAACCGGGGCCCACTGCGAAAATCCCCATTCCAAGTCTCAACCGAAAGTGAGAAAAGGTGTGCAACCGAAACGGAGGGCCAGATCGTTTTCGGTTTGTGGCTTGCATGTGCATACCGAGGCCCGTGCACTGGCTCTAAGTGCACAGTGTTTCCACGTGGGTTTCGTCTCAAATCTTATCGCGCCCATCGGGAACAGGCGAGAGGGTCTCGGCCAAGGGCCTGGCCCGCCGGTCTTTTCGCCAAGTGTTTGCTTCGTCGCTTTACCCGATGGCTGCTTCTAGGTGCTTGTGCTTGCACAGGGTGCAAACGGCGGAAACTTGTGTTTGTTCTCTTAAAGACGGCCGTGGTGTGTCCAATCGTCTGCCGTCCCTGCCCGTCGGCCCTTCTCCCCATTTGGCCCCCCATGGCGGATCTTGCTCTTCCGCCACCACCCATGCGCACGCACAGCCATGGAAGCGACCGGAGCGTGGCCTTTTCCGAAGGGAGCATCGACTGCAGTCTGACGCCCGATGAGCAGCTCCGCAGCGAGCTCCGTTCGTCGCGCCCACGGCACGACGCAGGCGAGCCTAGCAATGCCGGACGCCCAGGGAACCACAGCTCGGGCACGGTCACACCTCAAGCGCATCCTGGCCGACATTCGCCCCCGCGCGGCCAAGCTGGGCAAGAGGCGGAGCTACTGACCGGCGGGGCTGCGCGACCACTGCGGGTCAACACCGAGGCAGCGCCCAACCCACCATGGCTGGGAGACAATGCAGGGACGCCGTTTCCCCTCGTCTACGCGCCCGAGTCGCTCGAAGCCTACTTTTCTACGCAGTGCCGCATGCAGCCACGTTTGCCGGGACAGGAGTGGCAGAGACCACTAAGCTGGCCCGACGCAGGCGAGGAAATCTTTGCAGGCGCCGAGTCGATGCGGCCGCAAGGTGGATGCAGCCATTGCCAAGCGCGTCGGCGCTGTGAAATGGGCGCGTACAGCTACGGCGTGCTGGCAATCCTGGCCTCATCCGAGATGGCCAACGTGCTGCGTGGCGCCGTGCAGGACGTCGACTGTGCCGAGTTTCTCCGGGCATTCAATCGAGGCCATTGGCACCAGGAGCTGCAGAACCTCGAGAAGACGTGGGTCAATGGTGCAACCATGTCGCTCCTCTACCTGTTTGCCTTGGGCCGCGCCTACCGTGTCGACCGGCCTAGCTTCTCTCCGCGGATGCGGCTGCGCATGTGCATTCTGCCGTGGATGCACAAGACTCTGCAGCAGCCTCGACTCGACGCGCTGCGCATCGTCATCCAGCGCTACCTCGACTGGGACGGCCTGTGCGAGGCGGCCAGCTATCTGGCGGCCAACTTGATTGAGATCGGGCGCGACAACGAGCCAAGAGAGCTCATTGCTTCGCGCTTTGGCCGCGTCATGTGGCGCCTCACACAACCCGACCAAGGCGGCTCCAAGATGATCTGGGACCGCATCGACCGCTTCTTGGCCAATCCACAAAGAGGGGCCACGATGGAGATGGTGCTCGCGGACTGGGGCCGTTATCGCGTCTGGCCGGAGCACCGCGCGCCAGACTCGCCGCAGACGGCCCTCCGCCAGGCGCACACCGAGGCCTTTTCCACATTCAGCATCCATGACGAGCCCTTTCTGCTCCTCGAGTGGATGCGCTACGCGGCCCAGGCCAGCCACGAGCGGCCCTGGCCTTTTATCCTTGCTCCAGCACGGAGCGACGCAAACGATGCCGAGCGACCAGCCAACGATGTCGAGAGCCTCTATTTTCTCGAGCTCTTTGCCAACATTTTCTCCGTCGGCCGCGTTCTCATCGTTGGGGTCCCACCGCGGTACATGGTGCCTGGCCCCTCCATGACGCCACAGGCGGAAGAGGCCTTGATTGACGACGACTTTGCCTACAACGTCAAGCTGGCCTGCCGTGTCGCCCAGAAACGGCTGGGCAGCCCGTTTGTCATTCTCCTTGCTCAAGGTCGCGAAGACAACGTACCGGGCGCCAATGAGTACTTCCGGGCGTGAGGCTGCGTCGTATTTAGCCCTTCTTTTGGTCCTTGAGCATTTCTCTGGGATGCGATCTCGGGGCTGCAGCAGCAAATGTCACTTTTATACCCAGCTTTGTGGTGGGCAGAGTGTGTACGAGTGCGAGTCAGAATAGACTGGGTGGGCAGGGCGGGGCGGGATGGGTGTGCAATGAGACGATAGACCAGGAAGCAAAGCACTTAGTCTCTTCTGACGGACGTAGAGTCATCAGCCAGATGGTACAGCAATACATTCATCAGCACTTGGAGCTGCTACGTGACTATTGCGTTCAGATACTGCAAGGACGGTGCTGCTGTCAAGAAGGCAGCAGTGGATGCGTGCTAATTGAAGTATTCGGGTCGCTCTTTGCGGCACTCTTCTTGCCCGTGCTCCTCGTCGCAGGGTTACGTGACGCGCTTGCTTCAGCTCAGCCCAAGTAGCCCTCCCCGCAGAGGACGGGCGTGGGAGCAAAGTCGAACTTGAGCCAAGGGGCATTGTCGAAGACGATCGTGCCTCCATAGCATACGTACGTTGGCACGCGAGCTTGTACACCCATGACAGTGGGCTGCAGAGCGTGCCGAGGCAGGGCAGATGGCTGGCGTGGCATGACTCCCAGCACGCGCCGAACGCCACCATCGGGAAGGAGAGCCCAGCGCGCGACGTCGATAATGTCCTGCTTTGAGAGGGCCCGGCGCTGTGCTCGGTCGGTATTGGTGATGCGCAGCGATCCGCGGCCCTTGGTTGATAGCTCCAGGTTGCCCTTGGGAGGCAACTCGATTGTTGGATTGCGAGGCTGCCCGCAATAATTGACGACGATTGTGCCACCGCTTCGATCTTTGGCAGCCCTCAGAGCGGCAGGATCACTGAGCACGCGGTCCAACTCGAGTAGAAAGGTGTCAATCATGATGTGTGGACCAAACTCATTGCGTGGGTAGGCGTACACGGGCATGGTGAGATGTGCTGAGGAATTGTCTTTTGCTTGATGGCAGGACGTGATGCATAAGAAGTATCAACCCTTCCCAAGCTATTTATTGGCGTACAGTACGCAGCAAGTGGTCACAGGGACGTCGCCAACGTCTTGGCAGCCTTCCTGTGCTGTGGCAGTCGGTCGCGCCGAAAACGAGCGAGAGCCAAAAGTGAGAGAGGGCCACGTTGCGAATGGTGGGCTCATCTCGCTTTCGGTGGCCTTTGTGCTGAGTTCCTTTTGCCACGCAAGTCTTCAAATTGTTCTTTGCTTCCCTCCAATTACCTCACAATACTGCAAAACTTGCACAATGACCAACTTTCTCCAGTGCGCCAATGGCTCGACGCCCGCCTACCAGGGCTCCAATCACGCTGGCGACCGCAGCGCCTGCATCAGCGATGTTTCCCGCGGTGCACTTGGCGGTGGATTGCGGGGCGCCGTGCTTGGCCACTCGCTGTGCAGCGCAACGCTCAAAAGCCCTGCGGTGTGTGGGACCTACGGCCTCGGCGTTGGTACTGGCCTCGGTGCTGTCAACGGTGCACGCGTGAGCACACACAGAAGACTGTCTGGCTAGCTGGAAAAGGGCTGATCATCGTTTCTAGGACACTTTTCTGACCTCGAACAACTGCCAGCGGGCCTACTGCCCACCCAATGCATCCTTTGCACCGGGCCATGCGCACAATCGTTGAAGAGGGCTGCATGACCTTTGCAAGCGTAGTCAGCTTCAGCCCCTGACTCCAAGTGTGTACCTCAAGTAAATACGCCATGTAGCTGCGTCACACAACCTGGCAAGATGCTCAGAGTAATTATCATCTTTGCGGCACTGCTGTTGCATCTATTTCCGTCTTGTGATCTTGGTAGTTTTTGACAACAGTGAGAAAAGAGTGAGCGCGCCACCGTCTGAAGCTTCTCATGCTTCTGTTCAAGCAACAGCATTACACTGTCGCCGGTCTTGCGCTTCAGCCCTATGGAAGCTCGAGATATGTGACAAGGACGGGGAGTTTGATTCCAGCACCGAAATCGAGAGTGTTGTCAAAACCAAAAGTGAGCGACGCAGGCTGCCGCGCTAAAGAGGAAATGCGACGAAGCGCGGCCAGCATAATTTTCCCCACTTTCGGTGTGCATCTCACTTTTGTGTGAGCTTCCACTACAATCCACCAAGTCGACACTCAAGACGCAGCACGAGGCGCATGACGTAGCAAAAATGTCGGGTTTCGCCCGCGAGCTCACTTCCTGCCGGGGTCACGTTGTTGCCAGCGACCTCTTTGTTGGATAGTAGAGCTGGAGGATAGAGCTCTCACTTTCGGCGCGACAGTGCCTGACGGCACGGAACCTGCACGAAATGAGCTCTAATCACAGAGACAAAGCTTATTGTTAAGCTCCTGATCCAAGTGTAGTACAGTACTTCACTTCCCGTGTCCTTTTTGCCCTCTTCTTGCCCCACCGTCACACCCTCGCCCAATGCGCTCCTCTGGCATGTGCGCCTTCCGCCTCGTCCGACTGGAAGACATGAGGGACGCTCGCTTCGACACACGGCTGCACATTGATGCCATCCGGTCAGGCATCGCAAAGGTTGCGTCACAGAACGAGATGGGCCGCGATGCAGCCTGGAGCTGTGGTCCCAACAGCGTGTGCCGCGCCATGGCTATGTTGGGTCTGGCAATGGACCGCGACCTTGCACGCAACTTCATGCTGCATTCGCCGCGCGCCTGGGCCCACCTCCCCATTGGCCCGCGACCCAAGCACCTGGCCGCGCACACTGAACACTGGTTCCCCGAGGCACACCCTCGCGCTGAGGACAACAACCACACGCGCGACGCTCCCAATTGGGTCGCATTTGTCGCCAAGGCGCGCGGTGAGCTGCAGTGCCAGCGTCCAGTGACGCTCCTTTGGGCCGTCAACAACACTCAGATGCACTGGGTCAACATCGTCGCTAGTCAGGGCACTGATCGCGTCGTTTTTCTCGATACCAACGGCTGCCTGTATGAGGTGGCATGGGAGGAGCTGCATCACCTGGCGGACAAGAAGGGGACCCATCTGAGCAACCTGGGTATCTTGTCGACTTACAACTGGCTGGCGTATGCGACGACGACGACGCGCATGGATCGACTGCTGGGTGGCGTCAATGCGGCATGTTGCCCCGACTTTTACCACACCGTCTACAAGCTCGACGGCGGCCATTTTTACCGACATGGCCAGGCTGAGGGGCGAGTAGGTGCTGCATGGTGCCACCCCGGATGGTACCGTGAGCAGTACCCTGACGGCACCTCGCTCGGCTTGCAAAACACCGTCGAGCACATGCTCACCATTGGACTCGCCGAAGGGCGGCGGTTGTCTCCTCACTTCGATCCGCTCGCCTACCTCGCCTTTCACGCCGACCTCGAGAGAGTCTTCTTCCGAGAGCGAGGCTTGCGTGGGTGGGAGCTGCACGCCGCCCTGCTCGAGCATTACATTCGCCATGGTCTGGACGAGGGACGCACCGCAGACCACTCGCTGTGCTTTGCAGCCTATTTGTGTCGTTACCCGGACCTGCAGGCGGCCTTCGGACCCAGAGCGTATAAGCGCGCAGCCATGCACTGGTACGAATATGGCATTGCGGAGCGACGCTCGAGCGCTGGCTGAGGAGCCGCGATCCCACTCCTTGTGCTACCTTTCTTGTTTGAATAATGCGTCACATGTCCATCGCAACGATGATAGTATTGAGGGTCTGCAACGAGGGTATGCACTCTGAATCAAACGGTATTCGAAGAGTGTGAATATTTGTTCGAGCTTCAAACGCCATCTAGACTTCGTTTTAGTTTAGTCGCCAATTGGCTGTCAAGACCTGTCTTGACGAAGTGACCGGGCTTCGGGCACGGACGAAGATGCCAATCAGCACTAGCAACGTGCTCGAGCAGTCAATACGGCGAGATCCCGCGAGCCCATACCTCGAGGACACCCCCGTCACACTCGAGTCTGGGGTCTGGCATGGCAGGGCAGCGGGCGGCCGACCTGCACTGTTTCTATAGCATATCTGTTCAAGTGTGGGCCACGTGTCTTGACTAGTGGCTTGCTCCCTTTCGGTTGCTCACTTTTGGTTGCTCTCTTTCGGGTAATTCAATAAAGGTCAATGTCACAGACTGCCTCGTTGCTGCTTCGCTCAAGATGATCCATGATGCTATTGTGCGGCCAGGAAGATGCTGTACAGACAGCGGACAGACGGGCCAGGCCATGGCTTATAAAATCGCCCATCTGCCGTTGTCGAACGGCCCCAACACAAGCCGTGTCTCCCACCAATGTCCCACCAAAGCGATCTTGCACCAAATTACCTCGACCTGACCGACTTCCATGGCAGTCAAGATGCCCAGGAGAGAGAGGCCATGTCCCTCACGATTCTGGCCGCCGCCACCGTGAGCGACCTCGCTTACTGCGATAGCGCCGAGGCTCTTCAGGCAGCCTTTGAGGACACTCGTCACCGGCGCGCGCGCGAGCTCGATGCCGTAACGGCCGTCTGGATGCTGCCCAGCATCCGCATCAGCCAGGGCACAGACAAGCCTGCCATCGAGCTGCCAGCCCTCATTTTCGCCTGGTCCGATCGCCTCAGAATCCGCCTCGTCGGCTTTTGTGGCACGCGCGATCGCGACGATGCCTGGGCCGACGTCAGCGCCACGCAGACGGTCGACCCGGATCTGGCGTCGCGCTTTCACACTGGCTTCTACGCACGAGCGTTGCACTACAAGGCGCCCATCGACGCTCTGGCCTGGGAGCACGACGTGGTCCTCTGTGGACACAGCCTTGGGTGAGTGCGTCTGTGCGCCACCTCATGGACCCCTCAGGATGCAATTTGCTGACAAGACTGCCGTCGTCCGCTTTCTGTCTCGTCCCGTTGCTGCAGTGGTGCCCTTGCCACCATTGTTGCCTACACACTACTGGCCCAAGGCGATCGCGATGGCACCGTGCGCAACACCTGGTCGCGCCCGTCGCTTTCCAGGGCGGTCTCGTCGCACGCGCTGTCGGTCATCACCTTTGGCGCACCAGCAATGATGGTCGTCGAGAATGCCCGCACCACGGCTGGTGTCCAGCTTGCTCTGCGCAAAAACATCCATCACATCATCAACACAAACGACATGGTCCCCTTTGTCGTCAACTATGCCATGCGCAACGCCGGCTGGCTCTTTTCCAGTGGCCAAACGGTGCTCCGGACCATGTGGCCAGCCCTGGGGCCCTGGTTTGCCGCCACGAGCCGCGTGCTCCAGGCCTGGGCTGGCAGCCATAGCACCTTTGCCCACTTTGGCTGCCTCTACCTGCTGGCGCCCCGTGCTCACGCGTACCAGACCACCATGGTCTGTCAGCAGGTCACGAGCCTCGACGGCTTGCCAGCCACACCCATCGATGCACCTGTGCAAACGTATCATCCGATGCGCCACTATCTCCACTGCGTTCGCCAGACCATCGATGTCGTCCAGGAGCCCGCTGCTCATGAGCACAACATGGATGGGGCACTGGCCACGCTGCGACTGCCGGACCAGCCGCAGTCATCGAGGGTCAAAGTGTACGACGACCGCATCGTGCTTTCGCTTGTGATGGATGCGCCTCTGGCCGCCTACATCGTCACACGCGTCTCCTATCGCCTCAACAATGCCAATGCCATTCCGAGCAGCCACAGCTATGAGCGGGCTCTGGTCCATGGCCCTGTGGGTGCACACTGCATGATGGGTAGTGCTAGTCTTTGATGTGATCAGCTGACTGGACCCTTTCTGCCGGCAACCAGGTCACCATGACGATTGTGCAGGAGCTTCGCGGGGACGGGACCCAGACGGTGCCTCAGATTCTCGAGACACTCCATGCCATGCGCACCAGCCTCGCCATCCGCGACTGCTTTGGTCACACCATGGCCGTCCGTGTCGCCGACGGTGATGTGGAGCTGGCCGAGCTGCGCGACCTGGGCATGTCATCGACATTTGCCTCGCTGCGCCGCGCCATGATTGTCGCCTTTGCCGATCAGATGGCCCACGTGCAGCGCATCAAGCTTGCCGAGACCGACGCCATCTCCCAGGATGATCGCCGGGCTAATCGCCAAGCTGCAGGTAGGCTGTCGGGCCGCGCGCGCTGCTTGTCATCAACGCTGGATGCCCTGGTGGCCAATGCCGTGCCCAGGCTCGTTGTCGCACGCTTGCCACGAGCCCTCTGGCTGGTCAAGAAGCTTTGGGACGGCGACGACGACAGCCAAGCACCCGGTCCTCAGGTCGATGCCACCAGATTCGACGAGACGGACATCAGTGTCCGCGCAGGCCAGATTGCCTCGCTGATCCCCGTGGACGCGGGCTGCTCGACGGGCGTACGCGCAAAGCTGCTGGCCATGCTGCACGACTTTGACAACGCGAACCGCACGCACCTTCAGCCTCGCCAGCTGAAGCAGGAAGTGCCGCTGCAGACACGGCTCAGCGACGTCGATCGCACGCTGGGCCGCCGACCGTTTGCTCGCACTCTCGAGACGTATGGCGACCGGCTCTACAGCCGCAGCTCAAATACAGCGACGGCCATCGATGAGGCGCGCACGCAGTCGCAAGAAGTCATGGATGTGATGCGCGTCTGCCACGCCATCATCCTCACCCAGCTCGATGCGCCCTTTGATTGTTTTGTGCGACAGACTGATTTCTTTCCCGCTGGACCATTCGCTGCCGGAGTGGCACCCACCTACTATGCGGGACTCTGGAGCTGGACTCGGCTTGCTTCCTTTGCGGGGTCTAGCACCTTCTACTCGGCTCTGGCCGGCATTGGCGGCTTCTACATCGGCATGGTCGTCCTGGTGGTGACGGCGATGGTGGTCGAACATGCCATCGATTCCATCCACAGCATGCGGGCCAGGCGCAAGCGCATCGAGGTCGATTACGACAAGGCCCTCACCTGTACACGTCAAGCCTTTCACCTCACCTCGCAGCCCTTTGACTCGATTCGCGAGACGGCCATTGCCGAGCGCCTGCAGGCGGACCTGAGTATCGCCAACGAGGGATACACGATCCTCAAGTGGAAGAATGCCATCACTGCTGGCTTTGCAGGCCTGGGCGATAAGAGCCCCATTTCGCTGTACTTTTACACGATTGGCGACTTCTGGGTAAAGTGGCTCTTTGATGTCGCGCGCGTCAGTCAGCTGCGCACTGCGCTTGCCAGCCACGTTTACATTGGCGTCGAAGGCCCCACCGAGGCAGGCAAGAGCGAGCTGCTGACGATGCTCACCGGCGCACCGCCCGGCGTCTTTGCCTCGGGCAGCGACGAGGAGCACCGCACGACGGAGATCCAGAGCTGGATCTCGCCCAACCGGCGCGCCATTTTTTGTGACTTTCCCGGCTCCGACGACCGCGACGGGGAGCTGCGCGATGTTGCGCGCCTCTGTCGAGAGATGCTCGACATTGTCATCTTCGTGGTGCCGTGCGCCGGTTCGCGCGCCGCAGGCCGCGTCCCGGTCCTGGACGAGATCACCGCCTTCATCCGCGCGCGCACGCTGGACCTGCGCCCCTTTGTCATTCTCGTCAACAAGGTCGATGCACTCGACTACCACCGCAGCAACCCCCAACGCTTCACCCGCAGCGTTGCAGAACGACGCGCTGACGTTGTGACGCAGCTGCAGGACAGGCTTGGTGTCGATGTGGTCATCCACAGCCACCGCGCGTCGACGGTCAACGTCGGCCCGCATCCCACGCTGATCCACATTGGCCGTTCCTCGCTCGACGACGTCGTTCTCGCCTACTCGAGCCACGCACAGCGGTCGTACGACGAGCCCCGCGCCCTGTCCGACTGTCCGCCAGAGACAGACTTCCGGATCCAGGAGGCCGCCAAGCAGCACCATCTGTACACGCTGGCGCAAGCAGGCGCGGTGGCAGACGTCGAGTCGATCCGCCAATGGCTCCGGGCCCTCTCGCCTGGCTGCGTGCCCGAAGTGGGCCGCGGCCGTCAATCCAAGGTGCTCCACGGGCCTTGATCACACCCATACCCTTATCGGTCTTGTTTTGCTTCTGATTCGTTGATGAAATGCTGTACAGTACAGCACAATACAATACAATATGCTTGAATTGGTGACGATTGGCAGCGGCAGTGAATAGCGTAGCCTAGCCAGCCATCTCTTCGAGCGATGTCAGGCTTGTCATGAAAAGCTTGCCCAACTGTCGCGAGCTGCGGCGCGCAAACACCTTGCGAGCCCACACCAATGCTTTGCCGACATCGCCATCGTCCACGCCAACGGCCTGCATGGCCCCAGACGAGTTTGCGCGAACGAGCTGCCAGACAATGAGAAAGGCCTTGAAGGCGTACACGGACACCCACGGTGGCTCGCAATCTGGCGTGATGGAGCGCTCGAGATAGAGGAGGAACCAATCGAGGTGGGGACCCATGGCTTTGGCAGACGCGGGATCGAAAAGAGAGCCGCACGACATGCTCAAGTAGGTTCTGGAACAGCAAATTGTCGAACAAAGGTCAGCGAGAGAGTGTGTAGGCTTTGCATAAAGACTCACGCAGTGGCTAGGGCTGCATCCAAGCTCGTCTCGACGATGCCCCCGGTATGCGATGGTGACCACGACTGAAGCTCGATCATGGCCATCTCCCACGTCGCTTCAACGGACACGGCATGCGTGCCCACGTCCTCATTTGGTCGCGGACGGACGTACGGCTCCAGTGCGTCAAGTGACGACTTGAGCGGCTGGATGAGGGTTCACGGAGACGATGAGTCTGGACGCAAGCTGCCGTCTGATGGGCAACACGTACTCACCTCGAATCTCTCCAAGCTGAGCCGACCCGTCATGGTGGACCAGCCCGAAACCTCTCGAACGCTCGAGAGGAGAAAGGGGGTGATGTTGATGGCACCGTAGGGGTCAAATTGCGGGAGTGACTCAGCGTCGGGATTGGGCGAGAGAAAGTGGCGAACGGCCTCCGAGTACCGAATCGTGGGCACAGACTGGTTGGTGACCAGTTGACGATGGGCCCATTCAGCGGCAGACGACGACGTCCAGCACGCCTCCGGGCAGGGCAGGTCGTGCTTGATCTCGAGGTGGGAGAGCAGGCGGGGCATCGATAGAATCTGATACCAGAGCGCGTCAAGTTGATGGACTGCCAACAACGTCCTGCACCATCGGGGATCAGTCTCGGCAAGGATCTTGGACTAGACGATTGTATCTCACCGCTTGTGCGATTCGGCCTTGATGAATTCTCGCCAGAGCGAGTCCAAGTCTTTCGTTGCAGTGGGTTTCGTCTGCATTGGCTGCATGAGTCCCCCTGATCGTGCAAGCTATTGGAGTGAAAGCAATGCAGGTGAATTCGCGAATGAAGAGGGAGTCACACTGATCTACTCACTCCAACCATCTTTGGATGGATTTTGAGACCATACGACGAATCCTGACCGCAAAGATACAGCATTGCATGCACTTCCAGCAGCAAATAAGCCTGCACCATGACCAGCTTCTGCTTTGCATCCTCTGCCCCTTCCTCGTTCGACGCGACGAGGATGCGAGCTCGGTGGAAGCAGTGCAGAGACAGAGCTGCTCCTGAACCTTCTCGATCATCGCAATCCGGATCCTCCCCGTATTGATAGGCGATGCAGAGCATGCTGAGTATCAGGTGGGAGGCAGCTTGGGAGGCGTCAAAGGTCGGACGGTGTATGAACGGGAAGAAGTGGGAGACGTAAGCAAAGTAGAGTGCGATGCCTCGCGCAACTTGTGTAGCCGAAGGAAGCCAGTCCTCCTGGAGGTAGGGCAAGTCTTTTGGCGAGAGGCCGGAGGGGATGGAGCTGAGGAAGTCTTCGGGAGGGTAGTCGCAGGGTGATGATGTCAGATCATGTCTCAAGGAGATGAGCTCTCACAGCCATCTATCGCACCTCTTCCAGCTCTAGAACTGAGCGTTGCTGTGACCTGCCCGCCAAGGACCGAAGACTCGGAAAGGAGGCTCTGTGCGAATCCCACAGCATCATCGACAGGGTGCTCAGTATACGAAGATCGCTCGTTGGATGCCCCTTGCCCTGCGAGCGGATGTTGCTCGATGTCGGTGTCCTTTTCGGCGCAAGATGTTGATCAGTGCCACGGCACAGAACTCTGGGTCACGCCCACCGGCGAACTCACATTGGGCATACTGCTTGACAGATGCGCTGCATCAGGCAGGGCCATCTCCCAGTCCCCGATATCCACGTCGAAGTCTGCAGTGCCTGTGGACGATTGCAAGCGCCTCTCCTGGCCAATCAGAGAAGTTGTAGGCGACCGTACCTCCTCGTCAGACCTCGGCCTCCCTCCTCGGGGCCTCGTTCTTGCAACCGACGAGCGCGGTTCTTCCTCTCCCGGGTGCTTCTTCTTCATATGGCGGCGGAGCAGATCACGGCGGGAGAACGTAGTGGGGCACGAATCGCATGTGAAGCAAGCGCTGTCCTCTGATCGAGTGTGAAGCGCGGCATGCCGCTTGAGATTTTCCTGTTTCACCAGCAGACAGAGCATGAGCCGCAGAGCGTGAGCGCTCCTTCTACCTCTTTCGGATGAGTGGCCAATACTCACATGCCGGGTAAACCTTCTCTCACAGACTGTGCACTGGAAAGGCTGATAGGAAGGGCCTGCGTTGCTCGAGACGGCAGCAGACATCGTTGCAGCTGCAGAGGTGGACATGGGGGAGAGAGGAAAGAAGCCTCGGGCCGCACTGCAGTGAGCTTGGCAGGCCTGCGCTAGGCACGGGGGAATTTTGCTCAAGCTTTATCTCGGTGCTCTATGATAAGCGAGTCTAGAATGGATAATGCCGCGCGGGCAAAGCTACGCGCGCATTGGACTACACACATCGTGTGGGCACCCCCCCATTTCAAAGCAGCGTTTTTAGGACCAGCAGCAGCAGGGTGGTCATGGAAAAATAAAATGAAGATTGAGAAACGTATTATGGAAAGAAGACAAGGAAGGCATCACACAGGGAGCAGGACCTTGACGCCCATGTATTCGCGGTGCTGCATGACCTTGCCATTGATGAGGACCTGGTCTGCTCCGATTCGGTTGCGCACGGTGTCGGTCGGGTCCGTGGCTTGGGCAATGTGGATTTCACGCCACTGCCGATTGGTAGGAACGGGCATGCCCTTGACCATTCGGCTCTTGAACTCCTTGTAAACACCTTGCTCTTCGATGCAGCCTTCGCGCTGGATGAGGGGCGAAGCTGGGGGGTGTCAGAGCATCAGCGGCAGTCCTTTGTCCGGTTTTTCACCTCAACCGGACTTCGTCAGTGTACTCACAAGCAGCAGGAGTCATACGCAGTTCACCAACTGAGCTGTTGAAAAGAACGAGGGAGAGACGCTCCTCATGAAGCTGGTCCGCGGGAGGTTTGTAGACGCGATGGCGAGTTGCCTTGAAGTGACCGCCCGACACAATCTCCAGCGTTTCTCCGATGTTGATCACCAGTGCGCCAGGCTTGTAAGGGACGTAATGCCACTCCTCGTCTCGTCCCCAGATCTGCAGACAAGAAATTGGAACGGAGAACAGCAGCGTTGTCAAACCAAAGTCGGTGTGGCCGTGCATGCGGAGGCCCTTGGATGCCTCCTCGGTCTTCTTTTCTACCGGTCGAAAGAGGGCATGTCGGAAGTACCCCTCGCCAGTGGGACCACCGTGAGACTGGACATTGTCCCACAGGTAATCGTCCGGAAGCTCCAGGACACGGGAAAAGAGGGCGAGCAATCGGCGATTGACGGACTGGGTGAGGTAGTTGCAGAAGGCCTCGATCTCGTCCATGAAGGGATGAAGACACTTTGGCGTACGGTTGATATCCTCCCAGTCATCCCGGTACCAGTTGAATTGTTCAATGCCGTCTGGGAAGCCGAGATGGCGCTATAAGTCATCGAAAGAGAGCATTAGCAGCAGGCTTGCAGAAGATCATGCCGACGTGTTCAGCGCACCTTGAAGCCGTATGGGTGCTTATAGCCCGACCACCGGCCTGTGTCAGGATCAAAGAGCAGGCGGCTCTTGTCTTCCTCGCTGATGTTATTGTACAAGTACTGCGCGATCGAAAATTGGCGATGCAGCTGGCAAAGTGAGGCACTATCAGCTCCGTTTGTCGTCTAATACTTCACCCGCAACAATATGCTCACCTGTTCGAGGGAAACGCCGTAATTCTCCAGAAAGAGAAAGCCGTCGTCGCGAATGGCAATCTTGACCTTGTTGATGAGTTCGTCGACTACTGCTGGATCATCTGAGTCCATGAGGGACAGATCGATGGATTTGAGCTTAGCGAAGTTGTGCGTCTCCCTGGTGGGGCGAGGCGGAATCCATGGAGCCACGGGGGGCTTGCCTGGCAAGTCGGCAGCCGGAGGGGCGAAATCAGGAGTGCGAACCATGGTAATGAAGGGTTGGGTGCAGAGTGGGGTGGTGAGGAGGGCGGCTGGGGAGGAGGCCGCCAAGTCTCCACCTTTAAATGTGGCCTTTTGTCACCCCAATGGTCGTGCGTATTGGGCGTTGGCTCGAACAGATGGTATGCAATCGACGTAATACGTGCTGTTTAGAGCCGGAATGGACAAGTGAGCTCCCGATCAGTGAAAGATAGTGATGCCTTCTTTTTTCCATCTCCCCTCCCCCGCTCCTGTCACGCAGCCGTGGGTCTGACAGTGCCTCTGCACCGTAAGGCTTTGCCTCATTTGCTACTCAAATCGGAGGAGTAGCCGCGTCTGAATACCGCGCTACCGCTTTAGGTTCCTGCTTGAGCCCCAACGCGAGCCAATTTGGACCCTAATCTACGCCTCGGAATTTTATTAGCACGCGGGAGGAGCTCCTCCCACACAGATGCCGATGTCAATCTACTTTCCTCCGCCGAGCTCTTTCCTGGGCCTCCGCTCGATGTCACGGCGGAGCAGTCATGCACTGCATATCTCAGCTTTGTCCTTAGAGGAGCTCAATACTAGCTCCACCACCTGCCTACAGAGCGCGCCTCATATATCCGGCCCTTCTCCCGCGTGATATGCTAGAAGTGCTAAAGGCGGACAGCAACACCCTTCATCTGTCTTCCTTTGGATCACTTACAACCGCCCTTTCCCAAGCAAAGACGTCTGTGTCAACGATGTCCCGTCAACTCATCTCCAGTGAGAAGTTCCCCACGAAGCCGCACAACTGTGAGTATCTGAGAGACCGTCAAGGGACGCGCCAGCTCAACGACATGCTTCTTCTTGTCCTTAGGCCCCGCTGTCAAGGTTCCTGGCCTTGTCTTCTGCGCGGGACAAACCGCCACGGGGGAAATCAAACAGGCAACAGTGAGTCAAGAGGGGGTCTGGGATTAGGTCAGTGCTAATAGCGTCTGCCATTAGAGAACCGTTCTTCAGAATCTTAAAGAAGTCCTTGAATTGTCTGGGTCATCACTCGACAAAGTAGTCAAGTACAATGGTGAGAGTTCAGATGTATGCTGAGCGTAGGCGGACATGTGCTGACCGAGAGAGTTACAGTTTATCTCGCCGACATGAAGGATTTTGCTGCCATGAATGAAGTCTACATTGACGTGAGTCTGCTTTGCGCGTGCATAGTGCTCCCGATCTAATTAGTCCGTCACTCTTTTGCAGTTCCTTCCTCAGCCTATGCCTTCGCGATCGTGCTTGCAAGCCGTACCTCCAGGCAACGGCACCGTCATTGAAATTGAGTGCATCGCGCAAGCGTGAAGAAGGACGTGGTAGATAGTATCCTGTGCACGTCATCGATCAATGTCTAAATGACCAGTGACCAATCAATCACATTATGTCCTCGTTCCCACTCATCTGTCTGTGTCTAAAACAGCCTGCGACGAGATTCGACTTAACAGTCAGGTCCCTCATCGTGGCTCGTGGATCGTAGGAACACCAGACTTCCTGCATCGCATAACTTTTAGTTAAGATGCCACACACGTCAGAGCTGAGATCAACAGCGACATTCAAAAAGAGACACGTTTCGGATGAGGGAGGAACATGGCCCAGAAAGGTAGCAAGTTGATGCATTGAGGACATCTACACAGATGTGTCGAGAACATAGCTCATGATCGAGCTACTCCGATCTCGCCAATGTACCAGTTCTGGATCGCCTTGGTGTCACCTGTGATGGCAACAGTGTCGAAGCTCTTCTGGGCCCCCTTTGCCAAGGTCCCATTGTTGACAAGGCGACCGACCCACTTGCCGTGCTTCTTTGCCGCCGTTACAATCTTGTCGATGGCTGCCACGAATTCGGGCTCATCGCCGCGAGCTGGGACATATCCGAGCAACGACTGTGCCAGGTCATTGGGACCAATGAAGACAAGATCTGAGGTCGGGCGTTGGTCAGCACCGTTGTGGTCTGCACAGCACGCGCCTTTTGCACCACTCACCGACGCCTGGCACGGCACAGATGGCCTCGACATCGTCAACACCAGCGCGCGTCTCGATTTGGATCATAGTCAAGATCGTCTGGTTGGCAGAGAGCATGTACTCGGGCGTGGTGAGGCCATGACCGATGGCTGGGAACGCGGATCCTTGGCCGCGAAGACCCTGAGGGGGAAATTTCGAGTACTGCACAATCTGCTGGGCCTCCTCAGCGGTGTTGATCTGCGGAACCATGATGCCACTATTTTGAAATCCTCACGTAAGTGCTTCCGCTTCTTTTGTTACGAGAGAATCTGTTCCCACTCACTGTGCACCCGTGTCGAGAGCGCGCTTGATAATGTCGGGAGCCGGGCCTCGGATGCGGATAATCGGCGACACGCCAAGGGCAGCGATGGCGGCAACCGAGTTGTGCATCGAGTCGTCTCCGATGTGACCATGTTCACAGTCAATGATGACTCCATCCAAGCCCGTCAGAGCGACGATCTGGGCCATGCGTACAGAGGGAATGGCCATGAATGTCATCAGAGGGTACTGGCCTTTTCGAAGTTTGTTGAGAACCTTCAAGCGGGGGTTGTCCACCTGCGTCGTGTGCGCAGTAGGGTAGACGGTCTTTGTGGCCGGCATCGTGTCTACGTGCTTGCGTGTTGGTATGTGGATGTAATTGGGGGAGAAGGTTCAGAATGAGGTCTCAGTCGGTGTTTTTAGTGGGTCCAAAGCAAAGCTCTCCCCGCTATCTTTGATCAGTCTCCTGGCTTGGAGCAGCACAGACGAAGCAATACCGCTTCTGACAAAAAATGCTAGATTCTCCCCTATACGAACTTCCTTGGAGAAAGCTCCTCCCAAAGAGGAGCCTCCGCACTCTGCCGGCTCTGAAGAAGTTGAGTCGAAGGAAGGGTGAATCGGGAGGAGCTCCACCAAGTGGTGGAGAAGCTTAATTGCTTAGCGCGAAAACCAATCCAGGGCAGGCCTGCTAGTGCTTGTCTAATCTCTGCGCATCTGCCCGCCAGGTTTGCGACCCGGTGCCGATCGGACGCGACACTCGGCGGCTCCTCCCTCACGTCCAATGCATGTAAGCCTTATCTGCAACTCGAACCCCGCCTACTCTGTCGATAGCCAGCCACCACAGTCTTCATGGAGTCAGGCAATCTGGTGTGGACATTGTATAGCAGCTAGAAGGGTCAGATATGGTCCAATCTCTCTGCTCGTCTCGGCGCTGCTGTACCTCGCATCGTCAACGATTGGATTAAAAGGGGGAGGAGTGAGCTGTACCGTCTCGGTCCCTGCAGCGAGGTGGCAGACAAGACGCCCTTCCTACCCCACTCCTCTCTTGTCCTAAGTGCGCTGCTAGATATAATCGTGTCTGAAGTTGTCAACATCATCGCCACCATGTCCTCCCGGAATCCTTCTGCCACTGGTGGCCCCGAGGACAAAGACGTCTCCGAAAAGGCGCAGGTCGACTGCGTCAGTATGGCTGGAGGAAGAGAGCCAGAATCTCTACGCAACCTCAGCGAGGACGAGATCAAGCTCATGAACGGGAAGCTAGTCCGCAAGATCGATCTAGTCATCCTGTAAGTTTCCTGCGTCAGCTGCCCTCTACGTTGCCTCACGTCTTCTGACCGCTATCCTCATTGAGCCAGGCCCACAATTGCTATTCTCTACATCCTCAACTATGTCGACCGCCAGAACTTGTCTGCAGCAAAGCTGCAAGGGATCATGGAAGATCTTCACATGTCGACACAGCAGTTCGCCACAGCCATCTCCATCCTCTTCGTCGGCTACCTGCCCTTCCAGATTCCCAGCAACCTGATCATCACCAGGATCCCACGGCCGGGCATGTACATCTGCCTCGCTGTCGTCATCTGGGGCGCCATTTCTGCCGCCACAGCAGCTGTCAAGACGTATGGGCAACTGCTTGCTGTCCGTGCCATCCTCGGAATGGTCGAGGCCGTCTGTGAGTGACGGAGCCAAAGGCTCGATTCCAATGTGACTTACACCCTCGCGACCTCTCAGTCTTTCCAGGTGCGATCTACTACCTCTCGGCCTGGTACACAAAGCAAGAGCTCGGAAAGCGTTTGGCAGGCCTGTACATTGCCCAGCAAGTGGGGAATGCTTTCGGAGGCTTGCTGGCCGCCGCCATTCTTCAGCTCGATGGCGCTCACGGCATTCGAGGCTGGGAATGGCTCTTCATCATTGAGGGATCTGCCACCGTTGGAATCGGTGCCATCTGCGCTTGTCTCATGCCCGAATTTCCACACAACAGCCGAATGCTCTCTCCAGTCGAGCGAGACCTCGCCGTCTGGCGCATCGAGTCGGAGTCGGGAGCAGCCGAGGGCACTGAGAAGGAAAGCACGTTCAAGGGCTTCTTTGCCGCCCTGTCGGATCCCAAGCTCCTTCTCCTCATCTTCTGCAATATGCTCTCCCAGGGACAAGGGTCTATCGCCAACTTCTTCCCATCTCTTGTCGCCTCGCTAGGTTACAATCACACGCTCAGCTTGCTCCTCACCGCGCCTCCCTACATCCTCGCTGGCTTCGTCTACTACGGCATCTCGTTCTACTCGGATCGCAAGAACACGGTATACCCAATCATTTTGGTCTGCATCTCCATCGCTTCCGCCATGTACATCATCCCCATGTCGACCACCAGCATTGGCGCTCGCTACTTTGCCATGATGGTGCTACCCTTCTCGTCCGGTGGGTCAAGCCGTTCGAAAGCGATATAATAAGATCGAACCGCTAACAAGATCTTATCTCTTCGCAGTCGGTCCTCAGATTCTCCTTTTCAAGACGATCAATCTGCACCTCGCGCGGCCAGTGTCGAAACGAGCAGCTGCCTCGGCTCTAGTGAATGCCATCGGAGGTACCTCCAACATCTGGGCTTCGTACCTGTACTACGCCCCTCCCCACTATTACGCCGCTTTTGGGACGCGTAAGTGTAGCTCCCCTCCCTTCACGATCACACTCAGGCAGGCGGACTGACATCAGAATCGCCTCTCTTGCAGTCCTTGCTTGCGCCTTTCTCTTTGCAGCCACGATCAGTGTCTACCGCTGGCTGGTGTTGCGCGAGAACAAGCGTCTGGACTCGGGCGACCCAGACCAGATCACGAAGGTGGTCAAAGGTGGTGTTACTGCAGAGATGGTGGAGCTGAATTGGCGCTACGAAATGTACTAGAACAGCTCTTACGATGTACCCACTGCTTTCTTCCCGAATGACGAGCCACAATAACGAATTGTATGCCCGAGTATCTTTTCCCTTGAGAGACTCCCCTACCTCGCCCTCCTCCCCCGCCTCCGCCCAAAGGGTCAGCATGTGGGAGGAGCAGGGGCGTGAAAACCACACGAAGAACAACACTTGAGATACAGGCACACGCAGACAGGGAGGTGCTCCTCATCTCACATCTCCGAATTTCCCATTTGCAAGGCTGCTTAAAGAGAGTAGCGATGTGGCCTCGTCTCTTTCCCCCAGACTCACGACCGACATCATGACAGTAGGACGTGCACCTCGGCAATACCCTCCAGCAGATGGCGTGAAAACAGCCATTGTCACCGGAGGGTCAAGTGGAATAGGACGTGCGACCGCGATAGCGCTCGCGCAGACGGGATGGAACGTGGCCATTTCGGGACGCAGAAGCGACCAGCTTGAACAGTCTCGCAGGGCTATGGTGGAGGCAGCAGCCCATCACTCCAAGCCTGCACGGTTTCTTATATATACTGGAAACATGACAAGAGAGGAGGATGTCAAGGAATTGTTTCGAAGGACGAAGGAGCAGTTTGGTCAAGTTGATCTTGTGTTCATCAACGCAGGCAGGAGTGCCACTGCAGCACCGATCCAACAGGCGCTGCTCCAAGAGTGGCAGGACGTTGTCGATATCAATCTCACAGGCGCATGGCTCTGTGCCAGAGAGGCTTTCCGATACTTGGACGGCTCCCAAGGAGTGACAGGTGGAAGGATCATCATGAACGGAAGCATCAGCGCACATGTGCCTCGACCTATGTCAGCTGCTTGTAAGTGCGAAGTCTCGATCCAGAAGAAACCCCGCTGACTCGAATGATGAACGATAAGACACTGCCACAAAGCATGGGATCAGCGGACTTAGCAAGAGTCTGTCGCTGGATGGACGAAAGCATGGTGAATTCAGCGATGCGCCTTGTGCCCTTTCTTCCTCGCTGATTTGCTTTCACCTTGCGAAGACATCGCTGTGTCTCAGATTGACATTGGAAACGCTGCCTCTGACATGACGCAGCACATGGACGAGGGAGCGGGTGTGGTGCAGGCTGATGGACATCTGCGATGCGAGCCGGTCTTTGACGTCACTCACGCCGCTCGAGAAGTTGTGCACATTGCATCTCTTCCCCTCACAGTCAACGTGCAAGATGTAGTCATCGTGGCGACAAACATGCCCAGCTACATCGGAAGAGGCTGATGTAGTGATACCGGGGCGCTCAGGCAGACAAATTCAACAGTACAATGTTGACAGTTCAAGATTGAAATGGTACCACTCGGAATTTATTGTGTCTGCTCCCTATTCAAGTCTATAATCTATAGCAGGACCAGCCTGTCCGGACCAGCCTGTCCCAAGTCAAGCGTTGTCAGCCATACCTTCCCTGTTTGACCTGTCTTTGTCCAGTTTTCCTTTACAGAGACGCCACAAGTAGACGGGGTTGGTGCTCGAATGCAGACGCTTCTGTGGCTCGCCATCGTGCGCTCGGTCCAAGCTGTACTCGGGCAGAACAATGACGACAACGAATGCCAGCGCCGAGAGGGGGACGAAGACGAGAAAAATGATGCGGAATACGTCGGCGTATACGTCGACGATGGCCGGGACGAACCTGGTGAGCTCGTCGGGCAGCGTATAGATGGCAAGGGGGTCGTTTTGGATGTGGTCCAGCACGTCGTCGCTGATGCTGGAGCCGACGGCTTTATCGAGACGCCGGGGCAACGACCCGTGGAGGATGGCACCCGAAATGGAAAGGCTGACGACGCCACCGATGTTGCGCTGGTGAGGTAGCAGGCCGAGAGTGAGCTCTGTCCTCTGATGACTAAAGATGTAGACAACCCTGGATGCACTCACGAAGAAGTTGCGCACGCCTGTAGCCATGGCCACCTCTTTCTGCCGCGTCGCCGACTGGCACGCGACGAGCGTATTCTGCATCTGACAGCCGAAACCGATGCCCAGCACGACTAAGACGCCAATCGAGGTTGCCTGAGCAACTGTCGGGGTGAAGAAGACCACCAGCAGGGCCGAGCCCATGAGCTGCAGCGTAAAGGCGATTGTCAAGCTCCACTTGTAGGCGCCAAGGATGCTCGTGGCCAGGCCCGAGGCCCAGCTGAACAGAATCGACATGACGACCATTGGCATCAAGCTTAGCGACGACTTGAATGCGCTTTCGTTTGCGACCGCCTGGAAGAACTGGGGCACGTAGTACAACGACCCATAGCTGTTGGAAGAGGCGGAAGAGGTGGTAAATGAGAAAGAGAAGAGACTTAACGTCGCAAGGCGACAGTCAGACTCACAACACATAGCCAAAGGAGAAGTTGAGCACAAAGACGAGATCGACCGACATGTTACGGAAGATCTTCATTGGAACAATCGGCTCCTTTGCGATCTTGGACTCGTAGAAGCCAAAGGCCGTCAGCAGCGCAATTGAGAGGAGAAAAGGTGCGAGAACCTTGGCCGAGGTGAATGGTACCGAGGGCGGCACGAAGAAGTTCAAGGACAGACAGAAGCAGATGGACCCAGCCCTGTAGCGATGGCCAGGATGAGTTTTGCATCAGAAGCAGGCTGAGCGGAGAGGAGCGAAGACTCACAGAAACAAGAACATGCCTCCGTAGTCTAGGGCCTTGAGCTTGTTGGGAAGTTTGCGGATGTCTGCGTTGCCGATCTGGGGCAAGAAGATGGCCGTACAGATGCCGGCAATGCCGACAATGGGAAGCTGAAAGTAAAACGCCAGTCGCCATCCACTCTTTCCTGTCGAGGCAAAGGTGCTGCCCACAAGCGGCCCAATGGCAGAGCCTGCGCCGTTGATGGCAGAGAGAATGCCGCTGTGGACCAAATCATCAGTACAATTAAACAAAAAGACGAAACGAAACTCTGCTCCTCACTGATAGGTGCCTCGCTTGCGAAGTGTGACAACGTCTGAGATGCAGATGTGGACCTGTGGAGAACTAGCAATGAGCGAGGCTTGCAAAAGGGGGTGTGAACAATCCCTCACCATGCTGAAGAGACCTGCGCCACCGATGCCCGCAATTGCACGTCCCAGAATGAGCACGATCGAGGTAGGAGCAAGCGCGCAGAGCAAGGTTCCGACGAGGAAGATGGCTTGTGCTGCGAGAAAAAGAATCTGTGCATGTTTCTCCGCGTCAGTGATCATTTGCACTAAACACAGTCACAATTCACTCACCTTGCGGCCAAAGACATCGCTAAGACGCCCGTACAGCGGCGAAAAGGTCGTTTGGGTCAACAGGTAGGCCGTGCCGATCCAGGGCGCATCGCGCGCGCCAAACTCGGCAGAAATGTTGGGCAGGATACAAGCTACCACCGTTTGGTCCAGGGCAGTGAGGAGCACGGCGAGCGAGAGGCATGCATAGACGAGGAGGAAGCGTCCGAGCGGGAGCAGGCGCCCATGGCTTGGCTCATTGTTTGAATCCGAATTTATGACGCCGACTGGAGTGGACTGCTTAGCATTTGCGCCCTCGGACCTCGTGCCTCCGGTAAGCAAGATCGTCGATGAGTTGTTCGAAGATGGAAGCTCTACAGGACGGCGTCCTCTCTGGCTCCTGAAAGAGGCCAGCGCGATCAGATTGCTCCGAGCCATAGCAGGGGCTGGTCCGAAGATGTATCTACAGAAAGAATTTGGCCAGCAGCCGGCTATTTAAGGAGGAGAAGGTTGCAATCTCACTGATTGCAAGGTCCCCAAATATCCAGAGTAAAAGCTTGAGACACACCGGTGTCAATCTCGTTTCGGTGCTGGGTAGCTAGGCAACGATAGTGCGCTAGTAGAGTGACATTTTGACCCGCCTCATACGGTACCAACAAAAAATGATAAGCGTTCAACGCACTGTTTCGGTCCGGATACCTTGCATATCCGCCTGAATGGCACGTTCACAATCACACACCCGTGAGCTGCCCGTCGTGCCCGCCCAAACCGTCGGAATCGAAGAACTCCCGGAGACAACAAACCTGTCCCGCGTGAGGCGCTGAGCTGGTCTAAAATTAGCAGGAAGCCTGTCTAAAATTAGCTCTCGGACGTGTCAGATCCTTTTCCATTAGACTAATGAAGAAGGGAGGTTTTCAGCACTTCTGCTACTACACTAGTGCAAGCTAGCTTGGCCTGCGACTGTCGAACGCGCAAGCCACAAAACAGCGAGATGCATCTCAGCAGCGTCGTTTTGCTGCACGCTGTGTCAGTGTCGAATCGACCTGTAGAACGGGGTAAGTTAGTGTACTGTGGTGCTTGTATAAGAATTTCCACACAAATGAAACTTTGAGCAGAGCGAATCGCTTCGACCAGCAAGCGCACGCTTAAGAGGCATCACTTTCACATTCCCCAGCTAATACTAAAACAGGCATCGTTTCATTGATCAATTGCAGCGCATGTGGCGCGCACGCTCTCTGATGCGAGTGACTGGACAACGAGCCCAAGACGAGGTCTGAAGAGTTAAGAGACGTATGGAGAGGGATTGTTCTTTGGCAAGGGAGTAGTAGGCTGCACCATTCAGAGGTCGTTGGCCTGCAAGAAGGCAAGCATCTCGCGATAGATTCCCTTTGCCGTCTGGTGGAAGTTGATGCCGTGGCCGGTGTTGGCGGGCACGTAGCCGGTGGCATTCTTGGAGGCAGGGTAGAGCATCTTGGCCGCCTCGACGGCCAGGTTCTTGCCGTTCTGGATGCCGGATGAGAGAGCAAAGATGAAGTCCTTGTCAGGAGTGACGACCTGGACGGGGCCAGTGAAGCTCTTTGCTGGTCCTGCAAGAGCACCAATGGTAAATAGACTGCCCTGGGTCACGGGCTGTTCGGTCTGGCGCTGCAGCTTGTTGGCCCCGTCGCTGACATAGTAGGGGTACGCAAAGTTCTGCTGGCCCGAATACTGGGTGCCCGTGACGAGCCAGGAGTCGGGCGCGTTGCCGAGACGGCTGGGGAACACAGTCTTGGCCTGGGTGTAGACGGTCGAGACGAGGTAGAATGGCAGGCCCATTGTGTAGGCAGAGAAGCCCGTGAGCACGAGACCGTCGATGAGGTCGGGACGGGACTGCGACAGGGCATTGCTCTGCACCGATCCGTACGAATGTCCGACCAGCACCGTCTTGGCCCACTTCTTGCCGCCGATCTTGTTGGTGTTCTTGACCATGTCAGCCACCGAGGTGAGGACGCCGACCTCGGTAGGGCCCTGAACCACATTGTAGCCGTCCTTGGGCCGCTCGGAGCTGCCGGTGCCCAGGCGGTCGTAGCGGAAGGTGGCATAGCCCTTGGCCGCAGCGGCATAGGCGTAGGAGTAGTCGGCCTCCTTGACGCCAAGCTCGCTGCTCTGAAAGTTCCAATAGTTGCCGTCAAAGCCGATGCCGTGGACGAGGACCTGGAGCGTGTCGGACGTCTTGCCCTGCTTTGGCTTGCAGTAGACTCCCGAGATCTTGAATGACTGGGTCACCTGCTTGGTTCCCTTTGTGTAGGTGTCCATGAAGGGCGCTGTGTCGTTGCGCACCAGGCCCGTCGTGTAATTGACAAACAGCTCAGTGATTTGCGACTGGTTCAAGCCGCTGTTGTAGCCGATCTTGTCCAAGTCAAAGACGGTTCGATTGGCCTTGGACTCGATAGTGTACGTCTGGCGCTGGCAGTTGGCGTTGCTGACCTCGTCAGTCTCGTGAGGCGGCGTCCCATCGGCACGCGAGACGACCGAAGAGGCGCCGACCAAGCCGACGGCGACGGCCAAGATTGCAAAGAGAGCATTTGTAAGGCGCATGTTGATGTTCACGACGGCTGTGGACGAAGGTGGACAGAGGAGATTGTGAGATGAAGGCCAAATACTTCTCGGAGAAAGCTGCCTAAATAGCTCCCTGAGTTAGACCCCTTGCGAAGCAAAAGCCGGTGGGTGCTGCTTACCCTTGCCGTCACAGAACACATCTCCACCGATCGTGCTGTCTGTCCTTCATGCCGCTCAAATCGTCGGATCCGTCCATCAGGGTTCTCTATTTTTCTTTTCTTTTTTTCTGCCGTCTTCTTCGCCGTCATACATGGGCGCACTTCCGGGGAAATTGGATTGCTTTTTGATCACAGCACCTGCAGCGGGGCCTGCTTGCGGAGATCTCAGGAGCAATGGGAGCAGACGTGCAATTGTACACCCGTAATGTGCAAAGGTCACAGCGGCATTTGGTCGGATTGACATCTGCTGGTCACATTGGACCCGAGCAATTTACCTCCCCCTCCACTTGCATCTACCCCGCACTTTCGTTGCATCTGGATGTTCTTCCTCTGATTCTTCCGGCCTCCACACTTTGCTTTGCACTCGATTACGATCACTATGCCCTGGCTCGCTGTGCAGATGCCCGGATCTTTCCCAATCGGAGTCCGTAGGGTCCGAGAGCAATGCCGAGTGGAGTGCCATTGTCATACAGGACGAGACTGGAAGAAACATGCCCGAGCCACGTCAGCATCAAATGACACCATTTCCGATGAGACAAAGACTGAGTCAACGATGCAGTGACGCAACGACCGCTGCAGGGTAACCGATATTTAGACACTAGCCCCTCTCCAGCCTCTTGTGCATCGTATCCTTACGTTGGAAACAGCTTTTTGACCGAGTAGTCAACAGCTTTTTGACCGAATAGTCTGTGGAGAAGTCTTGACGCAAGAGCTGGCACAGGGCAGTACAGTATCGAAGGATGCATTCATCACCTGGAAAGCGTTTGCCAAGGCTTGACAATAGCTTGGAGGGAGAAGGCGGCAAGCATGGGATTTGGCTGGAACATCGAACGCGTGCATGCCCAGTCCATCCTCGACCAGTGAAGAAGATAGCGTTTCATGCGAATGGAACATTTCCCGTCACTTATTGACTCATGAAGGCGATTTGTGTGATTTTGTCGTAGGTCTGCTACGTCGACGCTGATCTTGGGCATCGTCTGAACATTTCAGCGACATGATGACAGAGAGAAAAGACCTCCAATGCCCTCCCCTCCATTGGAGCTTGGACTGTCCCGTCTTACACAGTTGAATTGCTTAACAAGTGACAAAGATGAAAACCTCAACCAGACCGTAGACATTTCAGGTCGTCGCTCCATCGCTCGCTCCCGACTCCTCGATAGACGATGAGCTGGTCAAGCGGGTCAACAGCTCTTTTGAGGTGCGAGAGACGCTCCCAGTGGCTGCCAAAGAACGAGCGTGGCCAGTAATCATCGTCGTATGGGGCCTCGTTTAGATAGCAGGCAACATCTTTGGCCGCTCGGTCCTTTCCGTAGACGATATTAGTGACCTTGTCCAGAGTCTTCTTAGCCTCCTTTGATGTGACGGGTTCGTTCGCGAGCGAAAGAACGTGCACGACGTTCTTGCGCCACCCTGGATGAGCGGCAGCTGAATCGGCGCCGTGTTGGGAAACAGCTCCACCCAGAACGTTGTGGGTAAGGATATTGGTGCCCTCGGCGGCGTCCAGGTACTCATTCACAGCCGAAGAGTTCTCAAAGAATGTCCGAGGAAGTAGACGGCTAGTTTCAAACGTGCGTGGCGCCGACTTGCCGTTATCGCTCCGCTTGTGAACGTCATCACGCCTTTGCACCGAGGGGCCCGAACCAGAGACACCACCATTGAAGATTGCAAGAAGCGCTTGGAAGTTGGGCAGCCTCGTTACTGTTCCAATGGGCTGTGGCGAGGCCGCGATGCGCTGCAGGCGGTCTAGAAGGCCGGTCATGGTCCTGTTGAGCGTCCGTTCTTCGTCAGAGTCAGGTAGCACGTCGGTTCTATAGAGATAGAAGCTGATCGCATTGACTGTAGGCAGAGGCGTGATGAAGCCATAGCCGCCCCACTTGTCGTCAACGAACGTCGTCCCAATGGTCTGCAAGAATGCGTGAGTCAATCGTTTGAAGACGGCCGCATCGGTTGTGTTGACGCTCCCAAACGCCGAGAGTCCAGGCCGGTCCTCGTGGGTGCGGTATACAACTTCTGTGACAACCCCAAAGGTACCTCCGCCGCCGCCACGAAGAGCCCAAAAAAGATCGGGATGCGAGCAAGAAGAGGCGGTGACGATGCGGCGATTGGCATACGCTCGATTGCCTGCTGGAGGCAGAACGACGCGGAATTGAAGCACGTTGTCTACACCAAGGCCGTGCGCCGGGCTGAGGATCGAATGACCCGCTCCGGCAAGCCAGCCACCAGCGGAACCGACGGTGCCGTTGCCGCTGATGCCACCCACGACGGTCCGGTTGACTGCGGCGACAGTATTGTAGGCGTCGTTCCATTGCACACCGGCGCCGAGACGGAGCGCGTGTGGCTCCTTTTTCGTGCAGCCTGCGGGCACAAAATCGGTCTCCACCGTTGCATTCTTCAGGCGGTGGGTCCAGACAAGAAAGCCATCGGACCCTGCAGAACGTCCCATAAAGTCGTGTCTGCGACCACAGTCAGCGTCAATTGGCAGTCTTGCAACGAGTGCTGCGCTCACCCTGTGTTCTTGATGACGGGTCGGATGTTGTGACGGTGGGCAAAGTCCAGTGCTTTGACTACATCGCTGTCCTCATGAGCTTCCACGCCAAAGGTGGGGACCTCGCCCTGCCCGCATGGCTGCTCCTTTGGAGTAGCAATATCGCACACAAGGGTGTCGTTGTTTGCATAGGGACCCACAGCCTCGTAGAGGTGCTCCTGCATAGCACCTGGCTGCTCGGACAGCCAGAACGGGTTGGCCCAAGAAGCGTTTGCAGCGGTGCAACTGGTTTCGTCGTATTCGCTACCGTGGCACACGCTGGCAGGGGGCCGTATATTTGCTAAGAGGGCTTCCGGACGGGAGAGTGTCTTGCCAAAAGCCTCGATATCGCTGCTGGTAGGCCAGCAATCCTGGCCTTGCTGACAGCGGCACTTTGCTGCGGGTGCCGCGCCAGCGCTGGTGGCTGCGATGATAGCGAAGAGAAGGAATCGTTTCATCGTGAAGCTGTGGTGGCCGCCACTCGAAGCAGACCAACCTCACAACCCGTCTTATTTACCCTTTTTCAGAGACATCGCCGCCTGGAGTCTATAGCATGTCGTCGCGTCGTCCTTCATTCCGACAGGCTATTTCATCGGAAACGCGGACTTTTCGCCGGTGCGCCCATTCCGACACTATTTCGATTCCCCACAATATCTGCTCTTTGGGCTGAGGCTTGCTGTGTGCGCTCATGATGTCAGTCTGGAAAGGCCTAGCGTCGGTGCGATGAAAGGATGTTTCTCCGGTGCATGACAGAGATGGAAAGCTAGCTGCCAATGGCTACACTGCCACCTCTCTATCAAGTACACTGGCTTGCGAGGGCCTTGACAGGCCCACCGCTCGTCTCGCAAAAGCGACTGCGTACTGCAAAGCCGTTTGAATGACGCAAAGAAAGTCTCTCTTGTCCATCTACCGTGTACAGGCACTTGTGTCTCTCAAGAACAATCTGGATTCAGATCACCGATGACTCAAGAATACTTATGGCGGTGCTGAGCAGACTTGCCGTCAAAGAGAGAATTGACTGGTGTATCGGGGTGCCAAGCAGTCTGAAGAATACGTCAAACGGTTTAGCGATTTCTTTAGTCTCAAAAGAAGTTCCAAGTGTCAAATTCCGACGGAACTACACAGCATGCTAGCTTCGGAATAGCATTTGAGATTTTATTTCAGACGGCTCCGAGGAACCCACACCCGACATTGCTACCGAGCTCAATCGTATCAGACAATGTGTCCTCCACTCGTAGCTGCATCAGGCTGACGAGGAGCGCAGCAAGACCGAGGTCCACACCGCGCGCAATGAGGATGCCGGTGTTGCGCTTGTCTATGTGGTAAAGATCGTCGTCAGCGCCGAGGCGAAATCAGCGTCGCATGCAGCTTACAATTGATCTCCTTTCCATCGGGCCCCGTGAATTTCGTTGAGCAGATGGCGATGGTCTTTTCATCGATGCTGAACACTGTCCAGTTCTCGGGCTTCTGCTCGACAACTTGGACGGTAATGCTCCGTCCATCGGGCCTGTGTAGGACAAACTCCCAGCGAGGCGTGAGAAAGTGGCACCACGGGTAGTTGACTTTCATGTCGACGATAAGTTTGCCTGATGCAGGATCAAAGACCTTGGTGTTGTACAGCTTTTTCTGTGTGCATGTCAGCCACCTTTCTAGTCTGTTTGACCAGGCCGGATCCAGACTCTCACGAAATTCATGATCAATTGACCACTGGCATTGGTGACGGTGCCTTTACCATGTTTCTTCTTTACCGAATAGAGCACTGTAGTCTTGTCAAAGCCGTCGAGCACTGTGACTGTCTTTCCTTTAACCTTTGTGCGTAGGAGAGCCGTGGAGGAGGCCAGCCCGCCAGGAAGATCCACTGTGCCAGTGTCAACGAGGACGGGAGAGTCGCTCAGTGCGTCCCAAGGACAAGGCTTTGAGGAGAGGCCACCCATCTCAGTTCAGCCGGCGGACAGACAAGGAGGTCGATGGAGGTGGGTGACAAGGTCGACACCGGACAGTGGCTTTGGGCTTTAGTGCAGACATACGCCTCGTTCAGCGATCGGCAAATTCGGAGAATCTAGTTGAGGGATCTAGCCCGGGTGTGCACACCACCCAATGGCTCCCGGCAGTCGAATTCTTTAGTGTGCACCATAGCACAGCCTGCTGCTGTCACCTTGCGAGTCATCTGCTACTCTTCACGTGTTACAAATAGAAAATTACTGCTCCACGACATGGGAAGACACGCTACTACTGTAGTAGTAGCCTACGCTACTAGCGCCCAGCTTTAAAGGAGGGGATGCACTAAACGCGAGGGCTTGTCAAACATCCTCCTGCGCCCCCCACCCCCAGCCACCACTTTGCCGCCCAGAGAGATTAGCGACCGGAGTTGACATTATTTCGGACACCGATTGATCGGCGCGCCGGATGGCCCTGCTCCTGCTGCACTCGGGCGTGTCTGTCGAGCCCCTCTCGAACAGGGCCTCACGGACGTTGGAAAGGGAGAAGGTGCGGAATCAGGGTTAAACGTCTGCGGGAAGGGCGCCAACATGCGGGTCCTTTCAGCCGGCCCAGCATGCTCTGCCGGTGGCTCAGAGACAGCGGTCTCGCCGACAGCCAAGAAGCGCCGAAAGTCGTACGCGAGGCGGACATGCCAGTCGTGCCGGGCGCGAAAGCAGCGGTGCGAGTTCCCAGAGGCATCCCTCCTCATCGCGCCGTCGGACGAAGCGCTGCAGGAGCATCTGGCGTGTTCGCGATGTCGTGCTCTCGATGTGCCCTGTCTACTCAACGACTTTGAGCGCGGGGCACGGCTCGAAGTAGAAAGAGATGGGCAGGCTCCGGAGGGACAGGCTGCACCACAACGAAGGCGGCGCTCACGAGCGAAAGTACGAGGACCACCGGCCGAGCAAGGGGAGTTAAACGGTGCGGGGAACAAAGACGAAAGTCAGCCTAATGAAGATGTAGCCAATGATCAGTTACGGAAGCTGGCGGACGTGCATCCAAAGGACGTAGATCAGGTGGAAGAATTCTTTAACAGAAGGCGTCCGATCACTATCCTGGTCGAACTCGTCAGCCGACAGCCCAAATTTGGGACAGCCTTACGCGACTCTGTCGCAATGGAAGACCTCGTCGATGACGAAATGAGTCAGGCCATGTCCGACTGGACAGAGAAGGAGGTTGTCCTATGGCTTCCATTCATGCCCTCGCCCTGGTCTGTGCGGCTCACACGCAGGCAGGGGCAGCCTCAGCAGTCCAAGGTGGATCTCGTCGCGCTCGAGCTGCTCGAAGTGGTGCAGTACGCAGTGGCAGCACAGCACATGGCCCAAGTCGACGGCCCTCTTCGAAGAAGCATTACGATGGCGGCGCAGTCCGTCGTTGAAAACCGACTGGGTCCGTTGATGCTTTCCTCGCCGAGCTCTGTGGAGGCCGCACAGGCGCTCCAGCTCCTGGCTGCCTTCCCAGTCGTCTTTGGCGACCCCGGCCCCATGGCAGGAATCGCCAAGCGCATGTCACTGGCGAGCCAAAGGACCGCCAATCTCAACTACAAGTTCCGCGACGGCACCTTTGCCGACATCGAGGCCGATCTCGAGAGCTACGTCTTCTTCTGCAGTGCCTGCGTATGGGACGACGTGTACTCGTACGGAAGCGACGACTACTTTGTGTTTCACAAGTCCGATTGGCTACTCAAGGAGACCAAGATCATCGAACATCTGGAGGAGCTCTCTCGTCGTCAAACAAGGAGGGGTAGAGAAGGAGGCGCAGGAGAGAGAAGAAGGAATCTGGGCAAGATGTGCGTTCTACTCCGGGCGCTCTGCATGGCGTATGCTGCCAAGAGCTGGGTCAGCACCGATTCCATCGAGATGGGTGGCGACCCCGTTGCTCGGACTCGGCAGCTGGACGTGTGCCTAGAGGCCTGGCAGTACGACATGAGCTTGTTCCGCGCCCGGCTGGAGCAACACCTGGGCAGCGATGGACGCGGTCAGGAGTCCGTTGCCGACGACGACGAGCGCCGGTGTAGACAAAGAATGCTCGACTGGCTGATCGTCGAGTCGTCTACGGCACACCTCACCGTCAGCGCAAAAGTCTTTGTGCGAGCATGCGAGGCTGACATCACACCCAACTACATCCGTAATCTCATCTTTGGCATAGATGTCCACGACGCTGTCCGACTTTTTTCCTTCAAGCATGGCGATCCTCGCATGGACGCCTGCGAGACAGTCATGGCCACGATGACGCGCATGGCCACATTAGCTACCGAGCAGGGGGCCAGGGCTCAGGACAAGGATCACAGTCTGTACCCCTCTGCTCTTGCCTCTGGCTACCTCCTTCAGGCGGCTACGCTGGCCATGGACATGTTTAGCACCAGTCTCAAGTTCTTCAAGAGCATGCCCCGAAGAGCCGACTCGTGGCGACTGGCCTTTGGCGGTGCCGTGCGCTTCGCCGAGGCGCTGACACGCACCCCGATCGAGGAGGGCGGCACTGCAGCTGCCTCGGCCAAGCTTGTCGCAGGCATGCTCGACATCATTGCCATCTGGGAGCGCGCCCTGATGGCCTCGCGCGTGGCTGGCGGCGTCACACCCTCGTCCTCGGCGACTGCAGCCACTGGCGGCCGATCTGCGGGCACCACGAGCAGCAGCGATGGACGTGATGTGCATCACATACCCGCGCCCACTGCTGCTGCTGCTGCTGCTGCTGCTCCTCTTTCAGCATCGACGGACTACACCTCCGGCGGGAGCAGCGACACGCCAGCGACGACTGCGCCGCCTCAGTCCATCTTCGACAGCCTCGAGCCCAACGAGTGGAGCCAGTTCGGCACGCTTCCCTCGTCCGATGGCATCCACGCCACGCTCTGGAACACGGACACGCTGCAAACGATGATGAACGACGTCTTTGGACGGACGGACTGGGGCGATGTCCTCGCCGAGCTCGAGGGCGAGAACCTGTCGATGTTTCCGGGCCTAGCCTCATAGGCACCGCTTGCTCTTTCTCACAGGCACCGCTTGCTCTCTCTCATAGTCACCGCTTGCTTCTTCTCTCAGTCACCGCCTCTTCTTTCACCCTGGGATCGCTGTTTCAGCTCTCACGCTTTCTCTGTACTGTACAGTAGTGTAGCACCTCGGTCCGGCTGAGCAATGGACCGGGAGCCGTTCCGTCCGATTAGACTCGAAAGTGGCAGCGCGTGTGGAGGCCTGCGCGCGCGAGGGGACCGGCTTCTTCAGCCTAATTTGTTCGTGCGTGCATACTGTATATAACGCCCATGCGCGCGCGCCGCAATGCCCCCTGGGAGTCATTCAACTCCTCGCCACTTTCTCAACACCAACACTAGCTACGAGATGCCGCCCGTGAGAGACCCGACTTTTCTCGCATACTCGGCTGCTCAGGCTGCTGCCTATGCCAAGTCGAGGATGGCGTACCCGCGCCGTCTCTACGACTACATCCTCGAGTACCACGGCGCAGGTGCGACGACGAAGCTGGGGACACTGCTCGATGTCGGCTGCGGTCCTGGCAACTCGACGCGAGAGTTTGCGCCGCGCTTTCACAAGGCCGTCGCCATCGATGGCAGCGCCGCCATGATCGAGGAGGCCCGGCGGCTGAGCACGCTGCCGATCCAGTTTGAATGCAAGACGGGCGAGCAGTGCGCCGATGTCGTCGACGATGAGTCGGTCGATGTCCTGACGTCGGCCATGGCTGCGCACTGGCTCGACATGGACGCCTTCTGGCCCGCGGTCGCAAGGGTGCTCAAGCCGGGCGGCACCGTGGCCATCTGGTTCGTGTACGCGATGAAGTGCCACCCGAGCACGCCGAACGCGCCCCAGATCGAGGCCGTGCTGCAGGATCTGGACAGCAGGGTGCTGCTCGACTACCAGCAGCCGGGCAACAAGCTCGTCATGAACGGCTACAGAGATCTGGAGCTGCCCTGGACGATTGCAAAACCTGTGCAGGCGTTTGACAAGTCTTCCTTCCAGAGAAAGGAGTGGGACAAGGACGAAGACGGAGACTTCTTTGGCGGGCAGAGGACGTCGTCGCTCGAAGAGGTGGCTGCCGCCCTCTCGACGACGAGCGCCGTGACACGGTGGAGGGAGGCCAACGCCGGCTCAGGCGCTGAAGACTGCGTCGAGGCAGCCGTGGCAAAGATCAGGCGGCTTCTGGGCTCCCAGCATGACTACATCACCTGGGGCGGACCGACGACGATGCTGCTGTTCAAAAAGAAAAAGTAGAAAGAGCCCTTTCTTTGGCGAGATGTGCCTCACCACCACTCTGTAATGAAAACACCACTTCCCCGTCTTTTTTTCTGTGAGAATGTATCGGCCTGCGATACCCGACAGCTTGCTTCGAAAAGGCCGTCGCAATGACGCGCCCTGTACTCCGGTTTGTCGGCGTCGCCGCGTCCCGAAGCCTTCCTGGTTCGCCGTCGGCCTAAAGACCGACGCGCTAAAAAGTACTTTTGACAGGACTGACTGCTCAGCTTCGCTTAGAGGGAGCGGAGTCACGCACAGTGGGACCCACATGCGCTCTGAGCCTGCAATTCACCTTGTGCAACCATGCCCGTGGTAGCCATAGCAGGCGGCACTTCGACGGGACTCGGCCGGGCGCTGACGGTGGCCATCTTGGAGTCCGCGGATCGCCACTGGACGCCCGTCATTCTCTCGCGCAGCGACAAGCGGCCGCCGTGGCTGCGCGCCATCGATGCCGACGGTCTTGTGCCCGTCGTTGCCGTCGACTACATGTCGGTGGCGTCGATCAGCGATGCACTGCGCACCCACAAGGTGCACACGCTCCTCTCCGTCGCGCTCGCCAAGGACGGCTCGCAGAACCGCTTGCAGCTCAACCTCGTGGAGGGCGCGCGCGAGGCTGGTGTGCAGCGCTATGTACCCAGCTACTGGGGCCTGGGTGTCGAAGCCTACCGCCACGTCACCGTGATGCGCATGGGCGCCGAGGGCGTCTGGGAGGCGTGCGAGAAAGCACAGCGCGAGACGGGCATGCAGTGTGCACGCTTCAACTGCGGCGGTTTTATGAATTACTTTGGCATCGGTGCCCACCCACCCGCCCGGCAGCAGCAGCAGCTCACTGACGAGGAGTTGGTGGAGCAGCTGAGGCAGGGCGGCGGCTACGCTGCTGGCGAGGATGCAGGCGAGCAGGGCGTCGACCGCGACGGTGACATGGCCGATGGCAGTGGCTGCTACCTGCTCAAACCCCGTGGCCTGTGTGCAGAGGTGCCGCTCAGTCCCTCGGGCGGCTACCCGCGCTTCACCACGACGACGCTCCGCGACGTGGGCAGGTTCGTCGCCGCTGCGCTGGAGCTCGAGACGTGGGAGGGAGATATGAACATCGTCGGCGACACTGTTCGGCTCGACGAGATGATTCGCACGACTGAGGCGCTGCTGGGCAAGAAGCTGGCCGTCGAGACGATCTCGCCCGCCGATCTGGACAAGCAGATTGGCCAACTCCGCATGCCCGATGATTTTATGAAGCTTCTCTGGCTCGAGCTTAAGCGGGAGCACGCAAAAGACGAAGTGGGCAACGGCGTTTTGGACGGCAACGTCAATCGCATGTGCCCTCACGTCAAGCCTGTGTCCTTCAAGGAGTACATGCACGCACAGTGGTCCTGAGGACCCGCGGAATGCCTCTAGCGCACATCCCGCTGTGCCCGGCCAGAAGCGATGCATTACTTGAAGTGCTTCTTGTTCGTACTTTGAAGAAGGAATAAGGCTATGTGTAGTCGAAGTACTGTACAGGAATGATGGCTGGCTAAAAGACCTCGGAATGGAACACGTAGCGAATGCCACTGCCGTCCTGAACGGCTCTCGACGTCAGCGCGGTGCACTTGTCGCGGATCTGCAGGCCCAGCGCGGCAGGTCCGCAGAAGAGGACGCCGACGCTGGACTCGCGCGTCGTGCGTCTGCGCCTTTGCGCCATGTCTCCTCCACTGCTGCCGCGGCGTGCACAGGGAGAGCCTGCCAGGTCATGGGCAGAAACTTGCGCGACAAGATCGGTGTGGTAGGCTTCGAGGATAGCCGACATGTCTGGGCGCTTGCCGCGCACGACCGGTATCGGTAGGACGATGCGATCGATTGCGCTTTGGACCAGCTCGCCCGTCGTAGACCTTGACCCCAGTGAGGAGGTCAGCGAGGAGGATGACGAGGTAATAAATGGCAGAATGTTGACCTGGATCCAGCTTGGCAGGCCTGAAGCGGCCTGGGTAAGCGTCGGTAGGAGCCAGTCGAGATCCGAGGCAGACCGGACGGTCCAGACAAAGTCGACGCGCTTCTGGGACGGAGTGTTCTCCTTGTCTTTGGCGAGGAGGGAAGTTTGCGGGCTGGACTTGCGCCTTGCGCCAAATCGCGACAATCTTGAACCTTTATCGAGGCTGACAGCTGCATATGTGCTGTGGGGGTCTGCTATTGTAGATGCTTCAGGGTGCGATGGCCGCTCGGCCAATGCTCCTTTACACAGCGAAGGGGCACTTCGACTGGAGATTGAGGCTTTCCTTTCTTTGATGTCTTCGCCTGTATTATTCAAGTCGTCGGCACTTTTAGTTTGGCGTTGCTCAATACTGTCGATGGAGGACTGCACTGATGCGGGTTTTGTCATTTGGCGCGATTCTTGTCGGTGCTGCGTTGGGTGAGAGGTGATGTATCCTGTGCCTTGGCCTAAGCTTTCGGTGAGGGACTGTCCTTGACCTGGCAAAGTGGAATCAAGCTTTGCAGAGCCCCACGTGGATGGCAGAGTTGCTGCGCACGGCGGCGGCGCGGGTGACCACGATGGTGTACCGCCCAATTGAGTCTTCGCAGCCCTCGTTCTATTGCGACTCTTGCTTGCATACTTCTCGGTCCAGGGATCCATCTCGGCCTTCCATCGCTGACTCAGATCTTGGACGATGGCGCTGCACGGTGTCGCCCCGATGCCGGCACCCACAATGATGGTGCGGTCGTAGCGGTAGAAGACGTCCGAGGGCGCCGCAAATGGTCCGTCAAGGCCTATGCGTATGCTGACGGAGCTGGCTTCTCCGCCAGGGGTCTCACCGCCGTCCTTGTGTGGCTGGTTAGTGGCCAGTTCGCGCAGCTGCCGGGTCCAGCTGCCTGCTATTGTTCGGATGTGCAAAGTCACTTCGTCGCCATCGTTGCCATTGGCATTTCCCTCACCATCGTCGTCGACATCGCCAGTCACGGACGTTCCCCGACGGTGGCAGCTCGAGATGGTGAATGGGTGCCACTGCCACCGGCTGATCTCGGGCACCTGCAGCAGGACATACTGGCCCGCTCGAAAGGGCAGAAGGCGCGGCAAGTCGAGACTGCTGAACTGCAGACGAACCGTACTCGAGTCAATGACGGTCAAGACAGCCTCGTGAGAGCGGAGGAAGCCACGATAGAGATGCCGGTGGATGCGCTCGACAGTCACGATGACTACGGCAGGCCCGATGATGATGCCCAGAATGGGGAACTGGAGCAGGTGATCGGTGCCGTGGGCGATCATTAGTGCGACTTTTGGGGACATGTTGATCAGCGAGCAGGACTAATCTAGCGCACAGGAAGCGCTTGAAGAACTCACAAAAGGGGAACATGAGCAGATGGGAGAGCTGAAATAGCTCAAAGTGCTTTCGACGCACAGCCGGCATGCCGCAGAGCGCCATGATATAGAGGATGGCGATGGCGAAAAAGCCGGTAATCATGGGCAACATCCGCATGAAGCTCGCATAGCTTCGTCTGGTGTCTGGGCCGTGCAAATAGGGCAGCAGGTCTTTCGGGTCAGCGAGCGTCGCCTGACGAAAAGAGCCAGCAAGGTGACCTGCAGCGTGTATTGTAGCGAAGAGAAGGGTAAGGCAGGCCATGATGATGTGGAAGCGTTGACTGTGGTCCCAGTTGATGAAGGTGGTGAGGAAGCCAAAGTGTTTGGCAAAGGTGGGCAGCCATCGCGACATGGAGATGATCATGAACAGCAGCGTTGGGTAGAGGGCACCAGCTGCTGTCTTGCTAACAATCAGTCCGGGCCCCTTTGATGTACAGGACACGGTGAGCATCTCTGTAAGCCAGTGCTGGACACAAAGGCACTCGGACTCACAAAGGCGCGCCTTGCCTGCGCGTTCCAGTAATAGTCGATGAAAGTAGCCACGGACGTGCCGCAGGTGGTAAGGACAACGACGAGAATAAAAAGGTAGCGATAGCGAGACAGGTGCCAAACGGCAGACGTGCGCGCCGCCCATGTAGGTGGGGCAAGATCAGAGGAGGAAATAGCGGCCGGGTTCAGATCCAGAGCAGCCTTGAAATTGGCTTCGTTTTCGACTCGTGTCTCATCGATGCCCCACTGCTGAGCAACAAGCATGCGGAATTGCACGAGGTCGAGGTGACGTTCTGTCTCATGCTTGGCGTTTGCTGGCAGAAGCGTGGCTAGGACAAGGTCAAGCTTGGAGACGGCAATGTCAACGTCGGGGTAGAGGGCACTGAACGAGATGCAAAGGTGCTCGCGGAGACTGGTGAGGCTTATCAGGCCGTCACCATCGGTGTCGAGTTCATCGAAGAGCGAGGTGGTGCTGTCCATTGCATGCAGACATGAGGGGAAAAGATGAGAGTCTCCGTCGTTCACATTGGATATCACAGATTCACATATAAGGTCATGCATGAATGAGAAGCGAAAGCAACTGAGCAAAGCCGAAGTTCCATCAGATTGCGCACACAATGCGACGACAGAACGAACCAACTCGGCCTATGCTGTCTCTCCTGCTTCAAAAGATCTGATGTTCCTTCGAGATGGCCCCCATTCTAATAAACGTGTCATCTTGCGCCCATGCAACTTTATCATGCCACATTTGCAAATTTAAGGCAATCTGGAGAACCCTCTCGGAGATTTTGACCAAACTTCTCGACGGAACGAGCGTTCGCCCGTAGACCCTGTGACTGACTGCCCGATCGGTTATTCACCTTCCCGCAACTCTATAATTCGTCGCGGCTGATGTCTCCCCTTGTCCATTTGGCAGTCATCATGTCAAAAGATGCGCCAAGCGACTGAAATGCGATTCGCAGACCAAGGGTCCTTCGAAAAATTACTTAACGGGGCTAACCGTGAGCATATCGCCGATCAAAACTAGGTTTATGTCAGATGGGTGGTTCCGCTTGCCAGCCTGGACGCCGCCATCCCACCCTGTAGTGTGATTCTCGAATACATTTGCACATACTTTACTTGCCCTGGGCAGCTATTCTACACTATCGGTGTCTTCACAAGAAGCTCTGCAACCTCTTTATACACGCCCTCAATCGACGGTAAGGACAATCTTGCCCTGGATGTGCCCGCGGCCCGCACGCTCGTGGGCCTTGTTCGCATCAGCCAGGGAAAAGGTGCTGTCGACGGCTACGCGAATGGTCCCCGCTTCGAGCAAGCGCCCGAGCTCGGCGAGCTGCTTGCCGCTAGAGCGGACCTGGGTGATGGACGCCGTCACGCCGTGCCTTTCGAGCTCCTCCGCGTCGATGGGGCTGATGAAGACGGGGAAGAGGGCGCCGCCGCGCTTGAGCGTGCGAAGGAAGCGCCCGCTCTTGGGCCCACCGACGGCGTCGAGGACGAGGTCGACGTCGCGCACGGCCTCCTCGGGGCGTGTCTTGGTGTAGTCGATGAACTCGTCGGCGCCGAGGCCGCGCAGGAATGTCTCGTGGGCGCCCGATGCGACGGCAATGACGCGCGCGCCCTTCCACTTGGCCAGCTGCAGCGCCATGTGGCCCACGCCACCCGCTGCGCCATTGACGAGCACCGTCGTGCCCGCGCCAATGGGCACTGGATTGTGCAGCGTCTGCTGGAGCGGGTTTGGCTCCTCGTGTCCGCGCTCGATGAGGAATTGCCACGCTGTAAGAGCCGCCATGGGCGCCGCTGCCGCATGCACGTGGTCGAGGCCGGCCGGCTTCAGTGCCAGGTCCGACGCCGGCACGGCCACGTACTGGGCATACGCGGCGCTCTCGCCAAAGCTGGGAAAGCGGACCATGGCAAACACCTCGTCGCCGGCCGAGAAGCCCTGCGCGTCGGCACCGACCGAGTCGACGACGCCCGACACGTCGGTCCCGGGGATCGCGGGCAGCGGCACGGGCGGCCTCCAGTCGGCGGGAAGGCTCTTGAAGCCGTCGCGCAGGTACCAGTCAGGTGGGTTGATGCCGACGGCGTGGACGCGCACGAGGACCTCGCCGGGCTTGAGCTGGGGCCGCGGGGCGTCTTCGTAGCGCAGCACCTCGGGACCACCAAACTCGTGCAGCCGGACCGCCTTCATCGTCATTGTGTCTATGGCGCGTTTTGTCTTTTTTTGTGGTGGAGCTTCTCAATAGTAAACTCGATGTCTAGAGGCGGACGTTAACGTCTCTTAAGTATCCCTCACGAATCAGCTGACACCTGTTGTGCTTCGCTCACTTTAAGCAGCGCCTGTGGCTTTCAGCACGGCCGTAATTGACGCCCCGCTCACCATGCACGCGAGCTACGGCCGTAAAATACAGTACAAATTGATTAGATTAAACACGACAAACTAGCCAGAGAGGCGCATGCGTGGTTGGTTGCCACCCGTCGTTCGGTCAAGTGGCGACGGCTTTGAAGCCCCTAGCTCCGACACAGACTATCGACACTGCGGTGCTTGCTTGCGGTCGTTCTTCAGAGCCTTGAAAGAGATGGGCTTTGCTCAGGCTTCGGCCGTGTGAGAGAGAGATGATACTGGGCTTTGCTCGGGGACATCGGCCATATCGGCCACGTGGCACATCGGGTCGTCTTTTAGCGCGCGCGCGCGCGCGCGCCTCGGTGCCGAGTCCCGGTCTGACAGTCCGTCGCCGGAGCGCCTATCAGCATCAGCAGTGCGGATGTGCGTCCACGGCTGCTCTCGCGCTCGTTGCCATCTTCCACAACTGATGACAGCTGCGAGACATGGCCTGACCACTGGTGGGCACTGTGGATGAGTCGAGAGAGAGAGAGACGATGGAGGCACAGCAGCAGGCACAGCAGCCGCCGCCGCAGGAGCAGCAGGCCAGGAAGCGGCCGGACAAGAGCAGGGGCCATCGACCGCGGGCCGTCTACACGTGCGATGCGTGCCGGCTGCGAAAGGTCAAGTGCGACGGCTGCGACGGCGGGCCTGGCTGCTCCCATTGCCGCCGGCGGGGCGAGAGCTGCACCTGGACGAAGGGCAAGCCGCGCAGCGGGCCGGTCCGCGGCGTCTACGTGCAGGGATATGGATATGGGTACGGGAACGGGCACGGGCGCGGGCATGAGCAGGGACAGGAGCAGGGCTACCGGCAGGGACTAGAAGATGTCGGTACAGGAACAGACTCGAGAGACACGTCACTCAGCAGCCGGCTGGCGCGCATCGAGACGCTCCTCAGCGAGGCGGGCTGGCGCGTGAGCAGCGAGCAGGGAAGCCGCCGTGGAGCTGACGCAGGCACTCGGCCGACGAGGGCGCCGACGACGACGACGATGACGACGGCAGCGACGAGCACAGTGCCGCAACCAGCCCGGCCAAGCAGCGTCGAGGGCGACTCAGAGGCCGTCGACGATCTCCTGGCCACTGCCGAGCACCGCCAGGGCCGCATGCACGCAGATGGGCACAGACAAGGGCACAGACACGGACACGGACACGAGCGGCGCCGCGACGAGCCGGACCAGGTGTACATTGCCCGACACGACCGCTTCGACCACCAGATCCTCGTCTCGTCTCCCGATGCGCACCCGGGTGGCGGCGCAGGGGCGGGCTCCTCGTCGATGGCCTCGTCGCCCGTCTTTGGCAGTGGCAGCGAGGGAGCAGCGAGGGGTGCCGCGGGCCTTGACGACGCCTTTGGCGCGCGCGCACACGTGTTTCGAAGCAGGCTGCCGGCGCGGCCCACCTGCGACGCCGTCGTGCGCCTCTACTTTGCCCGGCTCGAGTGGATCCACCACGTCATCCACGTGCCCAGCTTCCTGGCCTGGTACGAGGGCCTGTGGGCGCGGCATGACCTGGGGCGCGACGACCTGCTGATGCTCGCGCTGCTGTACGCCCTCCTCTGCGTGACGGGCCACTTCTTCGATCTCAAGCCCGGTCACGTGCACACCGATGACGACGAGCAGCACCACCCACCTCCCTTCGAAGACCACGACATGTACCGGCTGAGCTACGAGTGCTTGGTCGAGGCCGAGTACCTGCGCCGACACTCGCTCACGGCGATCCAGACGCTCGTCATGCAGGGCCTCTACCTCGTCAACATGGGCGAAAACGACACGCACCACGCGAACCTCGCGCTGGCCATCCGCATGGCTGCCGCCCTGGGCCTGTCCAAGCTCGATGCGCCGGGGCCCGGTGGAGGTGCAGGCACGAGCAACGCGCACGCAAGCGCGAGTGCAGGCGCACGCCTCCGCGCCGAGATGGGACGGCGCGTGTGGTGGAGCATGGTGTGCCAGGACGCATACACGGCGTCGTCGTGCAACTTTTCCTACTCGATCGTCGATGGCCAGGTCAAGACGCACCTGCCGGCCAACCTCGACGATGAGCAGTTGCTTGTACTCTCTGCGCATGCTCGCCCACTGCCTCTGGACAGCCATGCGACGAGCATGTCGTACCACATTGCCAAGATCCCGTTTGCGCTCATTGCCAAAAAGACCGTCGATCTGTTCAACGACGACCGGCTCGACTACGGCGCCGTGCTTGCGCTCGAGGACGAGCTGCAGGCGCAGTACCGTGCGCTGCCCGCCTATCTGCGGCCCGAGGCGGCCGATGAGGAAGGGCGAGACGAGGCGGTCACGCGGCACGGCAACGGCAACGGCAACGGCGAGCACGACGACGACGACGGCGACGACGACGGCAGGCAGCAGCAGCTGCGGTGGCAGCGCCTGTTCATGGGCATCACCCTGCACAACCGCATCATGCGCATCTACCGGCCCATGCTCGGCCACGCCTACAACAACGACGACGACGGCGGCCGGCAGCGCGCCGCCAAGCGCGCGCTCGTGACGTCGGCAAAGGCCCTGATGCGCCTCGTGGCACGCGCGCGCCAGATTGGCTTTCCCGGCCTGCGCTGGTGGGTCGTCCTTGTGCACGTCTTTACGGCCGCCGTCGTCCTCTGTGTCCACGTGCACTTCGCTGCAGCAGCAGCTGCTGCTGCTGCAGCCGGCAATGCGGGGCTCGCGGGAGTGAAGAAGGAGGAGGACGAGGCCGAGAGCGTCGCGCTGCTCCGCGTCGCCGTCGAGGTGCTGGGCGCAGCAGCCAAGAGGAGCGCAGCAGCGCGCCAGGCCGTCCGGCTCGTCGAGATGCTGCAGATGCGATCGCGGTCGCAGTTGCAGTCGTCGCACGGCGCACGGACCACACGGCCCGGCGAGACGGCGCGGCAACACCATGGCTACGGCAACGACGGCGACGGCAACAACAGCGGGCCTAGTCGAGGCCAGGACGCTTCGACATTGTGGCAGCACCCTCAGCAGCAGCAGGTTGGCCAGCCAGCAATGTCGCCCTGGCACGCGAGCAGGGCCATGGCGCCCGCACCCAGCAACGGCAACAACGGCGCTGGTGGCGACAACGACGACGACGATGCGCGCGGCTGGATGGACCTCGACTGGTCCAGCCTCCTGGGCCACGCGCCGCGCCCCGGTCCTGTTCCGGTCGCCGACAGCCAGGCGTCGTCGTCGTCGTCGTCGTCGGCCGACCCGGCCCTGCTCGGCAGCGGCATCTCGGGCCTCAACCAGGACCTGTGGGAGACAATCGAGGCCTTTGCCACCTCGTCGTCCTCTTTGGGTATTGCTGCTCCTGCTGCGCTGGGCACTGCGGCCTTTGTCCCTACAGCTTTCGGTGGCTTTTGATTGATTGATGGATGAAGAGCGCCTGGAACTTCGTGTCAAATTTGAACAGACATGTATTTATTAGAGAAGTAGGACGTGTACAGTACAGCGACGTGAATAAATGCTATCTTGTCATGCATCTGCATCTGCCTCGGCCACATCGCACACGCGGTGCTCGCCACGCGGGCCCAGCCAGCCCAGCTTCGCGTAGGGGTACTTGTACGCCCGGAAGAGGGCGTTGGACTCGCCGGGAAAGACGTCGCGGACATGTGCTTCTTCGTAGCGCGCGAAAAAGGGGCTCACCCACTCCCAGCACACGCTGCCCTCGGCGTCTACCTCGATGAGGCGGCCGAATGCGCTCTCGGTCAGCAGCGTGTTGCCCCGTGGACCAGGGGGGACAGTGTCGGCATCCGTATCAGCTGCCCGTGTTGCGGGATCGAGGCGCTGTGCGCAGCCCATGAATGGACTGTAGAAGCGCTCCTTGCTAGGGTCCGTCCACGACCAGACGACCTCCTTGGTGGTCCGGCTGACCTCGATGGCGCGGCTGAATTGGAACGACTCGCGGAACCGAAAGGCGCCGTTGTCAAAGATGAGAATGTTGCCCTCGGGCCCGACCTCGGACGCGCAGTGCTGCTGTGCGACGACGGTGGCGTCGAGGTGCCAGATGATGCGCTTGTCGGCGCGCGAAATGATGAGCACCGCCGAGACGGAACGCAGCGAGACGAGGATGTTGCCGTCGGCCAGGGGCAGCACCGAGTTGATCAGCGGCCAGTGCTCGCGCGGGTAGGGTGCCTGGAGTGGGAATGTGGCGCGGTCCAAGTGCTCGGCGGCGCGCCACTCCCACGTCACGCGGCCCTCGCTGTCGACTTCACGGATCACATCGGCCCACACGCGGCCGTGCGCGGCCTCGCTGCCCGGTAGGCCGCCCTGGACGCCCGCCGAGGCCTCCTCGCTCAACTCCTCGAGGCTCGTGTAGAGGATGCGGCCCGAGCCGTCGCCGTAGTGGTGCGCGTCGTGGTGCTGGAGCGCATCGTGGTGCTGTCGGACGATGCGGCCCGTCTGCGGGTCCACCTCGGACATGATGCCGCCGCCGTACTTGTTGAAGAACCAGAAGGGGCGTGTCGTCGCCGGGTCGATGCTGTTGATGGCCAGGCGACCATTGTCGAGCAGGCGCGCATGCCGGCCGTTGCGCCAGGGCATGTTATAGGTGCAGCGCGTCTCGCCCAGCTCGTCGACCAGGTGCACCTGGCTCGTCGTCAGTGGCGCGACGAGCACGCAGCCCGGCACCACCCTGTCGGGATCGATGGCGATGAGGCCCGCGCCCCGCCGTCGGATCGAGTTCTGGTCGACCTTGTCAACCTTGGAGGGCATATTTTCTTGTGCTTGCTAGACTTGTGTGACCCCTATGCCCTTCGCATGTCTGTTTCCGCTTTCTTATATGCATCCTTGTCCGCAAGATCAGCAGACACTTTAGCACGCAAGCCGCCCTTGCCAATCAGGAAGAAGAAGCTTCAGCAATCTTATCGCGTCAACCTCGGTGCACCGAACCGAACTCCGTGCGCCACTCCTATTGATTGCGTCTTCAAATCTCAGCTCCGAAGCAAAAGCTCGGAGCACCGAGCCTCGCTCGCCTGTCAGGCAGGGAAAAAAAGGCCCCGTCGGCATTGCACTATCTTATCTCTCTATCACACCATCCTTCTCGAGACCATGGTCTGCGATGCTGACTGACGGGGCAGACGAGGCCCATTCCCGCCCCCCTCGCCTAAGCAGGAAGAAGGGTGCTCCCTCCCCAACGCACGGCCAGCAGTAGAATCGAAGCCAGACGCTGAGGCAGGCAGGCAGGCAGGCCCATGCGGCATATTTAAAGGCCCCGATCGAGCATGCTCGCAGACCGGTGACCAGCAGGCGCTCTCTCCCCCTCCCCCATCCTGGCCGCTACACCTTTACACACGACTCGCGACGATGGTCAACCGCCTGAACAAAGACTCGTCCTCACTGAGCAGCGACGCGCCCTCCATCAAAGGGACTGACGATGAGAAGCGGATGGCGATGGGCGTGAACGTACATGAGCACGAGGACGGCCACGGGCACGGGCACACAGACGACACGAAGCTGGCGCTGAAGGGCCGCCTGCGTGTGGACCTCCTCGTCGTCTCGTGCCTCATTGTCATGTTTGTCTTTCTGCAGTTCGACCGCACGAGCCTGGGTGAGTGCAGCATCGAGGTCCCCACTCTGCTTCCACCTCTGACACCACGCCCTCGTCTGCAGGCAACGCGCTCACCGACAACTTCAGCACCGTCGCAGGCCTGTCGCAGGCCGACATCAATCTTGGCCAGACGCTCTTCACGCTCGGCATGGTCCTCTTTGAGATCCCGTCCAACGTGGCGATCAAGCGCATCGGCGCCCACCGTCTGCTCCCGATCCTCATGTTCTGCTGGGGCACCGTGACGTGGTGCCAGATGTTTATTCGCTCCCGCCCCTCCTTTCTCGCCCTGCGCTTCCTGCTGGCCATGTGCGAGGCCGGCTTCATCCCCGGCGCGGCTTTCTACCTCGGCCAGTTCTTCACCCGGCGCGACATGGCGTTCCGCTACACGCTCCTCTGGGCCGCCAACTCCATCGCGGGCGCCCTTGCCGGCGTGCTCGCGCTGGGTCTGCTCAGCCTCAACGGCCGCGGCGGCCTCCACGGGTGGCAGTGGCTGTGGCTCATCGAGGGCGTGCTCACCTGCGCCGTCGCCGTCGCTGCGGCCTTGCACCTGCCCTCGGGCCTCGCCGGCGCCACGCGGCACCCCCTCTTTGGCCGCAGGCTGCCCATCCTGACCGAAGCTCAGGCAGAAGCGATCCACGAGCGCGTGACGCGCGACGACCCAACCAAGGCGTCGCAGCGCAGCCGCCGGGTGCGCGGCGTCGACTTTGACGTCCTCGTCGGCTGGAAGGTGTGGGGCCACTGCCTCATGGCCTTTCTCTCCTCGATCATGTTTACGCCCGTCAATACGTATGCGCCGTCGATCATCAAGAGCCTAGGCTTCCGCGGCTACAGCGCAAACGGCCTCAACAGCGTCGGCTCCGTCCTCGCCCTCGTCGTCTCGCTCAGCCTGAGCTTCACGAGCGACCGCGTGGGCGAGCGGGCGCTGCTCGTCTTTGTCGGCTTCTGCGTCCCCGCCGTCGGCCTGCTCTGGCTCGCACTGCCACCCGACGGCGTCCATGCCGGCGTCCTCTATGCCGGCCTCGTCATCGTCCAGGGCGGCATGGGCTGCGTGCAGGGCATCAACGCCGTGAGTGATGATCCTTCCTTCCCTCTCTTCATTGAATCTCACACACAAATCACCTCACACAGGCCTGGCTCTCGGAAAACATCGAAGAGCGCCAGCGGCCCGTGGGCCTGGCCGCATACGTCATGGCCATCCAGCTGGCCTCCTTTGTCGGTTCCAACATCTTTACGGCGCGCGACAAGCCGCGCTACAAGCGGCCCTTTCTCATCTGTGCCGGCTGCGTGCTCGCGGCTGCCGTCGTGGCCCTCGTCTGGAAGGCCCTCTACCGGCTTGTCCCGCAGCGCACGCATGCAGGTCGGCAGGCCGCAGACGAGGCAGCAGAAGAGAGGAAGCAAGCGTCGCAACAGCAGCAGCAGTTGCAGGAATTGTAAAAATAGTGCATCGGTTCTGTCCCTGCAGTCCTCAGATTGCATTCTGTCAGCATATGTGCCTCCCTGCTCGATCGATGACCGTCTCCCTTGTAATTATCAGTCTGTCATGCAATGTCTTAGCAAGCACAGCGGAGGGAAATGGAGTCAATTGATCGAATTTCCTGAGTCTAGTAATGCGAATTTCAGCGACAGGACGTTTAGGCAAAGTCTGTGAGGAGAAAAGGTCAGTGTTACTGTCACGTCTCCCCGCCCTAGCACGTGGGTGGCACTCACCAATGTCGTCGAAGCAGTCACCGCAGGCACCGCGGTCGCCGATGCAGACGCCATGGCCGTCGTCGAACTTCTGCATGCCGTTGATCTTGTTGGCGCCCTCGTCGCCGCAGCCGAGCAGGCCGAGGGCCTCCTGGCGCGTCGTCTCCTTGAGCACCGTGTCGGCGCCCGTGGCAGCGACGTAGACGCAGCACTCGCCCTTGCACGCGACGTTGTAGGCCGTCGTGGGAAGCGGCACCGTGCTGAAGGGGTTCGTGTAGGTGCATGTGGCTGTCGGGAGAGATAGGGTTGTGAGAAGGGGCAAATTGACAAAGAGAAGCAGCCATCTCGCACTCACCTCCTGTGTTGAACTCGCCGTCCCAGAAGGCCTTGTCGTTGAGCATGTCCTTGCAGTCCGAGAGCACGGCATCGCCCGTGGTGCCGCAGTGAACACCGACCGAGGCGTGGGCAGTGAGGAGGGTGGAGGCGCCGAGGGCGAGGGCCATGAGAGTGGAGAAGTACTGCATCTTGAATGAGTTGTTGCTGGGTAGAGGGTTGTTGTTGTTGTTGTTGTTGTTGTTGTTGTTGTTGTTGTTGTTGTTGTTGTTGTTGATGTTCGTGTTGCTGCTTGTGATGCTTGCTGATGGGGAGTGGCAGAGACGAGCAAAAGACCATGTCTTATATACCTTTCGTTTAGTCTCTTCTCCTTTCGTCGAAAGAGAGTGAACATCCCACGGTGCAGACTCCGAGCACGGCCAGGGAGGGTCAGTCTCTTCGAGCAAGGCCAAGCATATTCTCGCATAAGCTCGGCGTCGCTCTACACTTTCCGTACATGATAGCATAGAGTGGTTCTTGGTATCGGTCAATTTGTGCCTGATGGCGCTCACCAGGAACGAGGTGGAGGACCTCTGCGGTTAGTGCGCACGCTGTTTGCTGCACGATGTCTAAGCTGCGGTGTAGCTCGCTTGCACAGTAAACCGTACAGGGTGTAGTCTTGGCGCGCACTGACAGCAGAGTGAGGATGTTATTTCTGTGGTTTCATGCGCCGTTGTCCGCCGTCGACGTACAGTGGAATTCGGAACCGCGGCGCACGTTCCGACTAGCATAGCCAAACCGAGAAGAAGATTTGCAGCAGTGGAGCAAAAGGGCGTGCCAAGACTCGGATGATTAATATGCATGTAAACCTACGCCAAATGACAGGGAGGAATAACCGACGCCAACCTATCTGTTCCTGATATAAAGCCGAGGGTGTGGGAAAGCAGGGACATTAGCTGTGTGCGTGTTTTGTTTTGGTTATTTTTCAAGAAATATGCGCATGGAACACGAGACGCCAAACGCAAAGCAGTGAAGTCATTTCGCAGAGCAGAAGCTTCAGCCAACTTCGACTGCCTTCCTTCCCCCAAGTCACCGCAGTCATCGTGGGTATCGCTATCTTAGCAGCTGGGGAACGAGTTGCTTTGATTGCTGCAGGAGGAAGAGCCAAGAAATGCGCATGAGAGGAACGTGGTCGGTAATCCAGCCATCGCCAATTTCACAGCCATCGCCGAGGAGCTTAGGGCAGATTCAGGCACCGAGTGGCATTTGAAAGGCAGCGCCGAGCCTCAAACGGCGGTGTAACAGGACGCTTGAGGGTTGCGGCCAAGTGTGCAGACCCAGCATGAAGGCATAGCACAGGCGCAACAGCTTCAAGGGACCGCCGTTGCTTGAGAGAGCCAACCTGACGGTGAAAGACTTAAAAGCGAGGACTTCTCGCTGCTCCGAGCTCTTCCCTTCCATCATCCAGAACAAGATCATTTCCTTGACAAGCAAATCAAGAAACAAGAACGACACCATGAAGACTTCTTTCGCCGCCATCTCTGTCGCCCTTGGCCTTGCCGCCTTTGCCTCGGCCGGCCCCCTCCGTCGCCGCGATGTGCACTGCGGCACTACGAGTGAGTCTGAGACATGATCTGCTCGCTGCTACGACATACTGACGTACGCACGTGCCACCAGACGACGCTACCCTCTCCGACTGCCAGGCGCTCACGTCGGACAAGGCCATCTGGGACGCTGCTTGGGCTGGCAACACCAACGTCTGCCACTTCACCAACCCGCTGGCCAACCTCTACAACCACGACGCCTACAATGTCGCCTGCCACGGTGTGAGTACGAGGTTAACATTGCCTGATGGGTATTGCTTGCTCAAATCTGTAATAGGACTGCTGCGTCTACGCCGCTGGCGACAACGCCTTCGAGGACCCCCAGGGCGGCTTCACCCTCGACCGCGACCGCTTCTACGAGGAGGCCGGCGGTCTGCTTGGCTGCGCCGACGCCTCCAAGAACAAGGTCAACGGTCTGCAGAACTTCAGCGACGGCCACCACATCTGCATCTCCAACGGCGATGGCTGCGGTGACTGCTTTGACGATGCTGGTGCGTAACTGCTTTCGATGACAAGTGCTGCTTCTACTCCCCTTGTTGACACATGCTCCTTTACAGACTACACCGTGGCTTAATAGATAACAGCTCCTTGTATCTTTGAAGCCGGAGAAATCACTATGCGTTACCCACACTGATGGCTCGGCTTTCTGGACGCCATGACAACAACGTATATTTTGAATATAAAACAGGCCTTTCATCGTTACTGATACACGGGGCGGTGGCAGGACGGGCACCCTCAATAGATGTAGGTGCTCGGGTCACCATCGCAGGTGACTGACAACGATGGTGCTTTGCCACCGGAGCTGTACTTTTGCTTGTAGAGCTTGAGGAAGGCCAGTTCGGCTGCAGAGATGAGCTGCTGGCTGCGCATGCCGCGAGGACAGAAGAATTTGGGCACATCGATGCGGTGACAGACGGTCGTTGTTTGGGTGGGAAGCTAGAGGCATGGGGCACCTTGTGAGCACGTGCACCGACGTAGAGGATTGAGACGTTACGTACCTGGGCCGTTGCGGGCACCGTGACTGTCTCGGAAACGACATCAGTCTTTGTAGACACTGTCGTCGTCTCTGTCGTTGTAGCTGTCGGCGTAGGCAAAGTCCTACGAAAAAAAATTTGAGTGAGAACCTTGTCTCTAAGTCGGTAAGCCGCGACTCGTGGCTACTCACGATGTCTCCGTATCGGTCTCCGTTGTAGTCGTCGTGTCGGTCTGTGTGCTCGTCGAAGTGCTGGTGGATGTCGTCGTCTCAGTCGCTGTCGAGAAACCCACGGTGCGCCTGTGTACGCCGGATCCTTTCTTCTGACAGAACGCCCGAGGACAGCAGGCGGCCTCGACTGCGAGACGCGCGGTTCCAGCCAGATCAGCATACCACAGCAGGAACCTCGCCATAGATTTATATAGGACTCACACGACAGGTGGATGTCGAGGCACTTGCCCGTTACTGTTGCAGTGGGAGCCGCAAGCGTAGTCGTGGACGTCGTCGTTGTGGTTGAGGTGCACGTCGTCGAGTCTGTAACTGACTGTTCGACTGTTAAGGTGGTCGTCGCAGGCTCAACTGTAGCCGTTGTTGTCTGCGTCGCGATGTCAGTCTCCGTCGTCGTAGTTGTTGTGGTTGTCGCTGTGGGTACAACGAGCGTCGTTGTTGACTGCACCGGGTCGACCTGCTGCAGTGCGACGTTGTCAAAGGATCTGGCGGAGACATCTTCTGAGCTGAGATTTTGCTTGGGTCCGGCCAATGTATCACTCACAAGACAGCGGGCGGATCGGCCATGAGAAAAGAGAGCGTCTGTGTGGCCGCCAGACCTCCCTGCAGCAGCGTAGGGTAGCAGTATTGCGTCCACGATGTTACTGGGTCTGGGAAGGAATCCACATTCTGGCTGAGCGTCTGGCCCGTCCAGCCCACATTCAGCGTGGGGCTGCCATCGAACGTCGTTAGGCCACCGGTGCGCCTGGCCCAAAAGGAGAGGAGGTAGTACTGGCCTAGCACAACGGGCACACCCGCCGTCGTCGACAATTTGACGGGCGTCAGGTTCGAGAAACGCCAGAAGTAGTTGCCGTCCTCGGCCGTTTCCCCATCGCGAGGCGTCTCACCCGTAGGCCCCACACGAAGCGTGTTGATGTTCTGATCTGTCGACAGCTTCCAGCCCAGGGCTGCTTTGTTCGCTTTCTTGGCCGGGGTTGGATCCACCTCAAACGATGGGTTGAGCAGCACATTAGGCGTCGTGGGCATCGTGTCGGGACACGTAAATGTGCTGAGGTCCACGGCGAGGGAACCGTGGGCGCACAAAGCGACGCAGAGACACACGAGGCTGAGGAGCTTCATGATGGAAGAAGATCAATGTCTGGTCTGTCTTTCTGAGTGAAAATGTCACCTCTCCCTTTATATGAGCGGCACGTCTCTTCCCATGGACTCGTCAGAAGAAGACCTTGCTCTATAAGACACTTCCCGACACACTCTTCCCGGGCCTGCATCAGCTCTGCAAAAATTTAGAGCGTGTACCGCACATGCAAAGTTCTCGATTCTTGCTGATTGTGGCTTACTGCCAAGTGATTACTCTAATCGCGTTCGTTTTCCTCTCTTTTGTGGGGCCTTTTTTTGCTTTTCCCCCACGCTTTCTCTAGGGATTATTGCGTGAGAGACAGGAAACCTGCCTGTCGGACCGAGCATCGGCGCGACGGAGTCGAGGCTTGTGGTGGGAAATCTAGATTGATCCTCCGCCAGGAACGCAAATCCTCTACAGACCGGGAAGCGATCCATAGAACCGGAACCGAAAAGCAACTCTCCTCGAAGCGCATGAAGGACCCTTTCCCTCATATTGTGCAATTTGGCACTCCGGCCGCTAGCATCAATCGCGCAGTTCTCATGCTGTCTGCTCCTGTCGCGCAAGGACATCGAAAGTAGAGACCTTTTTCCGGTCTTGTGCTCTTTTGCCTACTCGCCAGAAATGTAGGACCTCGAAACTTGCATTGTTACTTGAAAAGGTACTTGGCTACAAGGTGCAGGCAGTATCGCAACCTACCTTTCCACATCTCGCCTTCCCACACAAGCTGTGGGTGTTCGTCAATTTTGATGCGGAATACTTCTCCTTTGCCAACGACATATATGATGCCGTGCTGCCCTCAGAGACAGGCATCGTACCAACTGTGAAGCGCGTTTGCGCGTGGAGAGAATCCAGACCTTCGTAGCTGGCCGCTACGTTCCACTTGGAGCTGCGAGAGTAGCGCAAGCCGTCATAGATGCCCGCCACGGGACTCGTCAGCAGAGCACCAATGCCAGACATTTCGAAGCGAGAGAGATGACGAAGCGCTGAATTATGCTTATATTAACCCCCTCTTGTATCGTAACGCAAGAGCTTGAGAAGGAGCAAACAGTGCGTAGCCCATTGCAGGCTTGCCAAGAGACGCTCGGCTCGTGGTTTTGGACCGAAGTGCTTGCACTCACAAGAGGACGAGTTGGAGTAAGGTTCGTCACCACGTGGACTATTATCAGGAGCATCTCGGTTTTTTTCGATTGCCCGATTAATCCGCAAGGTATTGCCGCCAGGCTCCTAGCAGGCACAGTCATAGACGTGGGGGGAATCCTTGCATGCCGAAAGAGAGCCAGAGATATAAGCCGCCGCTCCTCAATCGTAATGAGAAACTTCATAAAGCAGCAACATGGCAACCGTCACAACAGCAGCCATGACCTTAGCCACAGCACTGGACGAGAGCCTGACAAAGATACTGGTCCCCAATGTGGTGCGAGACAGACTGAGAGCGGACCGGGTCTTCTCGTCGCTCTCTGTCAGGCTCGTGAGAACAGTGGAGATTGTCTCGATTGCCAAGCTCGCCGGCTTCGAAACACTGCTTTTCGACCTCGAGCACTCGTCTCTGTCCCTCGAGACGACGGCGCAGCTGTCCCAGGCGGCGCTCCTGGCGGGCATCTGCCCCCTGGTGCGGGTGCCGTACAACAGCTCCGAATGGATATCGCGCGTGCTCGATGCAGGTGCCCAAGGCGTGGTAGTTCCGCATGTGAGCACACTGTCTTCTGTTCTCTCATGCTCTGGCTCGCTGACGGGGCCGATGGCAGATCAAGACGGTACAGGACGTCAAGAATGCCGTCAACTGGTCGCGCTTCTATCCGCGGGGCAGCCGCTCTGTTACTGCAGGTCTGCCACACTTTGCCTTCCGACATGTGCCTCTGGCGGAAGCGAATGAGGCCTGTAACGAGTCGACTATTGTGATACCCATGATCGAGACGCGCGAAGCGCTGGACATTGTAGAGTAAGTCACCTCTTATTACTATCGACGCATCGCAGCTCTGCTCACGCATGCGTCGTGCTGGGCAATGATGACGACAGCGACATTGCAGCCGTGCCTGGCATCGATGTGCTGCTCATCGGCACAAACGATCTCACGGTCGAGCTCGGCATCCCGGGCCAGTACGACGATCCCAAAATTGAGGCCGCCTACATGAAAGTCATTGCTGCTGCCAGCAAGCACGGTGTTGCCGTGGGCGTGGGTGGCCTGCACTCGCGCATGGATCTGGTGGAGCGATTCCTCGGTCTCGGTGCGCGCTATGTCATGGCGGGTACTGACCAGCCACTACTGCAGGCCGGCTGCGTGGCGAATCACAAGATTATGGAAGCCATCTGCGCACGCATGGAGAAATGAAAATGGCCTGCCTTCCACTTTCTGTATCTTAGCTCCGCCTGGGCTAGAACATGCATGGAGGGAACCCTGACATAGCGTAAGGAAAGAACGTGCAGGTGGCTAAGAGTAAAGTGTTCGAGGAAATGCTGAGCGGATTGCCGAGGGCGCTGACAAAGGGAGAGCCAGGCCGTTGTCTACATTGATGTAGAATTGCAGTCGAGAGAAGAAGCAAACGCAATTAGCTGCTCAGCAATATCGTCTGAGGCCTCGAGAGGTAGCAGATGGCCAGGTCCGTGCAGCTCTACCAGTGAGGATAGTGCCGAGAGGTGCGGGACGATGTGTTCGACGGCGCTCTTGACTGGGTCAATGGGATCGTCGTGGCTCGCTATGATCATCGTAGGCTTGTCGATGGTCCATTCTCCAGCACCTTCCTGCAAGCCTCTGATGTCGCGCTTCATGTTGACCCGTGGCCAAACCTCCCACGAATGCCTGGTGCCACTGGTCGTGTCCTCTGTGACTCGCTGCTTTTGTTCTTCGGTAAGCGGCATTCGGACCAACCGTTCCAGAATCGAAGGCACTGCTTGCTCCAGATGATCATAAAGATTCGAAAGCATCTCGTTTTCCTCGACCGGCATCGGTTGCGGGCCCGGAGTGGCTGATGCCACTAGGGCCACTCCCTTGAGAGCCTGGGATGCCTGGCGCGAAGCATGGAGCAATGCCACCTTGCCGCCCATGGAGTGTCCGACGAGGATGTAGGATTGTATGCCAAAGTGACTGACGAGGTTGCCGACATCTGTCGCCATGCTTTCGAGATCAAGCTCCAAGTTCGCGTCCTTGGACGAATGGCCCCAGCCTCGCGCGTCAAACGATAGGCAGTCGAAAGACGGGTTTCTGGCCATGATGAGGTCCACCACCTCACTCCACGTCCTGCTCGATCCGCCCCAGTAGTGGAGGAAGATAAAGGTCGTCCGGGTCCCCGCCGCTTCTCTGAATCGCGGTCGAGTCAGAATGTCAACGCCGCTGGGAAGTTTTACGAGCGACATGCTTGCGGTCTTGCTGGGAGTGTTTCGTGGAGGTAAAGCAAGAGACAGGTGGGAACACCGTAACAGCCGTGTCTTTTATGGGCCGCGAGCTATCCCCGGCGAGGGTGGAACACGAGGTCTCGAGCTTGCAGTTCCAGGAACCAGCCTTAGTGCGTACGCGTTTATTCTCGAAATGATGACTCTGCATGCTCCGGTGTGCTGCGCAGCTGAACAGGTTGCAGGGCACTCCAAACATCTTCGATAGCGTATTGACGTACAGCGTCTTGACACTGCTCAGAAACATGCTAAGCTCCTGAGCAGCGACTCCATCACGCAATCCATCACATATGTCCAAGTGTATGTGAGATTGCTCGGTGAAGCGAGCCAGAGCGAAAGTGCCAGACAATCCTTACTCTGCCACGTTCTCGGAATGCTCTCGACTTGGCCTCACAGCAGCGATTGACGCCGATGAGGTCATTTCAACGTGTACCGAGGACAGGAAGGATCAATTGGGATGGGAAGCGAAAGGCTCTGAATTCGCCGGCAAAATGCTGTGTCTGCGAGATCGGACACTAGCCTTGGACTCCAGAAATAGAACTGGTAAATCGATTAGGGCGCTAAAATCAACTTCTGCTACAGCTCTGGCGTTAGTACTTGGGGCTGTGTCTGCAGAGTCGACGTCTCCTTCAGCAGCAACAACAGACGACCATGACCGTTGTACGCCTTCCGTTCACAAGGCTCGTCCTGCTCGCGATTCTTGCTTTCTTCCTCTCACGTCCTCTGTGGCAGCACCAACACCGTCTATGGCACCACACGCGCCCTTGGTGGCTCTTCCAGCGCCCAGCACAGGTCGCGGCCGTCGATGGCAGGTACGAAGCCGTTGATGCATGGCCAACGCTCGAGGACGGAGAAGCCCAGAGCAGTAGGCCACTGGACGCAAAGAAGTGCAACGGCCCCAGTGGAATCGCACTTCCTGGTCTCACGGTGCACCCACTGCCCAAGAAACACCCGATCCCCACTCTTGGAACGACAAACCTCTTTCCCTCGGATGTCTGCATGACGTACGAAGACCGGTATGGGGCCTATACAGACAAGGCGCTCGGTCTTAGTACAATGTCTCCAGCACATCCTTCTTCTAAAGTCAATCTCACGGAGCAAGTCGCAAGCCTTAATTGGAAAGAAGCGATGGACCAGTGTGGGAGCAAAAAGACGAAGGCGGTGGTCTTGAGGTGCTACGAGGGTTTTCCATGGGTGAGTCCGCTCCTTCCTAAAGAAATTTATGGTAGCCACTGAGACAATCGACAGTCGGTCGACGATGTGTACAATGTCCGAGCGTTGATCGCAGAGCTCGCGTTCGATCCTGACTCTTCCTACACTGTCCATCTCCTCGTCGAGGTTCACAGCCGCGATCTTGCATTCCAGACATCGGCTCGAGCCCGTCTGGCTGCGCTGCAACGAAGCATACCCCGAGAGTTCTGGTCCCTCGTCACACTATGGAGCGAGGACCAGATGGCCAGTCTCTATCCCCGCCTTCCGCTGACACAGGGTCTCCTCAACCATATGAGTGCCCATTCCTCGTACCGGTCCTGCTTCATGCCGCTGCAGAAGTTTGCGCTGGACCACGAGGACTACGACTTCATTTGGAACTGGGAGATGGATGTGAGGTCCACTTTTGATTACCGCACCATCATAGAAGCTGTCGAAGGTAGGTGCTATTACACCTAAACAGACAGACCTGGAAGAAATGGCTTATCAGGTGACTTACAGGTTATGCACGGACTGAAGAGACGAGCGCCTCCGCGAGCCATTGGAGTTTGTCTGGTCGGCTGGCATCCGGCGCTGGGAAACAAGAAGCAGACCTTATCACACTCAATCCCATGTTTGACGTCAAGGGCAGCGGTTGGTACTGGAGCTACGACGTCCAGAGTGAGTGAGGCCGGTCTTGAGCAGCTTCGATGGGTAAAGCTGAGCAGTGGCGAGGCGTTTTAGACTATCCCGACGAGCAAGAGACGGAGAGGAGAGCCTCGATCGGGACGACGGTCCGCTTCTCTCGACGCATGCTGCAGCAGATGAATTTGGCAAACGCAGACGACAAGCGCTCGATGCAGTGCACATCCTTCCCAGCCAGTGTCGCTCTGCATTCGCACTACTCCAACCAGGAGTGGGCCCGCCTCTACTCAGCACCCAGACCGGACCCGCCACTCAAAGCGGTGTACGTGCGCCACCCCATCTACATGGGCCACCGATGGGATTCCCAAAAGCTGCTGCGGGCACTCTCGCGGCCCGACTTCTATATGAAAGCAAATGAAAAGACGATGCGGGATGCGAGTTTCTATTACGACGGCGGCCACGCTCGGGCAATCTATCTGGGCTGGATGAACAACGACAGGTCGGTTTGCCGGGCGCCATCGCTGCTCCATCCCATCAAGTCCTTCCACCTCGCCAAGCGTGCTCCGCCGACAAGTGCAAGCATGTAGGAAGAATTATAGGAACCTGCGCTGTACTTTTGCAACCTAGTCAATGAGGCTGTGGTGTGATGCAGTTAGGACTTCGAGACCGAGAGGAGAAAAGGGCGCTTGGACCGGGCTCAGACCGCGTTGCCAAAAGTGCTGACCGGGGCCAGGCCCTGCTTCTCCCTCCAGTAGTTGGTCCGCTGGACGATGCTCTCGTCGACGAGGAACCAGTACTTTTCGAGCCATGTCTTTGAGCACTCCCAATTGTCGGGGTCCATCGTGGCCTTAAAGGAGGCGTCGTCGTCGAAGCGAAAGGCGTCGTCGGTGGGCGCACTGTGGATGCGAAAGGGCGAGACGACGATGCGCTCTGCATCGGTGCCAAAGATGGTGTCGATCTTGAACGTGTCGTGGTCCAGCAGCTTGGCCTTGATCGCTCGGAGCACGCGGCTGCGCACCGCGGGCCAAGGGAGGATGTCGAGGGCGACGGAGTGGACGACGGTGAGCTGCTCGTCGACGGGATGCATGTTCTCGGGCACACGTCGGCTTTTTTGTGTGCGCTCGTGCCATATTTGCTTGATGCGGCTGGGTGCCTTGCATTTGGAGATGTCGACGGGTGGAAAGGACAGCGCGACGGCATTGCCAAAGTAGGCGCGGAAGAAGTCCAGGTGGGGGGTCGTGAGCGTGGCGCGGCCCCCCTGGCTGCTCGACTGAATGAGGTCGCGCAGAGCTGTTTGCGATGCGGTTTCTGACGTGCCTTGACCTTGTGGAGATGACTTGGCCGACGCAATCCAGTCGACCATCTGGTATGCGGCCCACATGGACTCGGACGTGGTAAAGATTTGCGTGTTGTTCAGCACGCCCGACGCCACGGCGTCCGACAGGCTGACAGGAGGGTGCTTGCGCGCGTCGAGAAAGGCCCCTGGGTCGGGCGCAAACCAGCGCGGCGTCGTGTCCTCGTCGAGGCGATCGCGCTCGGCGTCGGTTTCCTGCCGCTTGCGCATCCGATATCGTCGCTGAGCCATGCGCGTCTGCTCCCGCCGCCGCTCGTCGGCGTCGGGCACGCTCGACGAGCTGCCCTCGCCCTTGTCAAGGTTGCTCCTCTTGCTCGCCATAGGCGGCGCCAGCATCGTTGGCTCCAGCATCTCTTATACGTATCTTCGAGTCGAGAAGTGGCGTCGGCGTCAAACTCGACTTGGTTTCGAGCAAGTGGAGTTGAACTTTCCACGGTTATGACCGCTCACCCATCCCACGCCTGATGACAGCTTATCTTTTTCTGGGCCCGATCGCCACGTGCTTCTACGACGCCCGAGTTGGTGTTCCCGCCACGCAGATTCAGAACAGACCTTCATCGGCCGATCGGACTGCGCGTCCACCTCGTCCTCGTCTCCGAGGTGGCTAGAAGAGTTGCATGAAGACACAGAGCAAGGCCACTAGGCGCACTGGCGGTCATAGAGAGGCTCTTGACATGTGATGGCATTGGTGGCATTGGCAAGAAGAAATATCGACAGCGGGCGATGCTGACAGGAAACGAACTTTTAAGGGTGATGAGATTGCAATTTTGCCGACATGAAAGCAAGGCACTAGATGGAAGAAGGAGAAACAGTATTCAATTGCAACGATCCTCAGAGTTTGAGCAAAGAGTTACAGACACCACCGTGCATCGTTGAAGGGGAGGTCAAGAAGGAGAGGCTAGGCATAGCTACTGAAAGGTAATGGGCTTGCCGAGCATGGTGTTGAACTTGCCGTGGAGCAGGTCGAGGCGGTAGATCTGCGCCGGGTAGGCAAGGACGTCCTTGAGAAAGTCAACGCGGAAGAAGTTGGCGCCACCGGGACCGGCGTCGTGGTCGTGCCTGCCCTGGGCGTGGGGAAAGGCCTCGAAGATGGCAAAGGTCGTCTTGGAGTAGCGGAGGCCGAACCAGGGGCCTGTGAGTGGCTCCTTGTTCACGCCCGAGTTGATGTCGCGCAGAAAACTGGCGAGCTGCTCCTCCTTGCCTGGCTTGGCCTCGAGCTGGATGAAGTAGGCCTTCTCGCCGGGCGTGTCGTCAATGCCGTGCACGACAAAGCCCGGGTGCGAGGGGTCATCGTGCGACCAGTCGGCCTGCGTGTTGGGCATGGGCGCTTGCGTCTGCGGCATGGTAGTCTCTTCTGCCCGTTGCATTACATGACAATTGCTGTGAGAGGAGAACTGCGACCAGACTCACTGAGGAAGAGTTTCGAGATGTGTGAGAATGCTGGATGCTAGAAGTCGTGCTTGCTTGCTTGTCGACCAACCATTTTCGCAGCTCGAACGACCCTCTCTTATAGCTTTTATCTACTACATCCCTGGTTCCCCGGTCGAACAGCAACTACTTCTCATGCACTGTACCGGACCGCACGACTCGATACATGTCCGTGCGCGGTCACTTGCCCGATGTTGCGAGCCCAAAGTGAGCGGTAAGCTTTCTTTGAAGCGCTGCCACGACACGTGGCTGAGTATGACAGCTTACCCGCCGGCCAAAGCGAGACGAACTTGCGTGCGAGGTTTCGACGCCGCCTTTCTAGCGACATCCTCACAGCGTCTTCTGGATAAAGCACTGTCACACTGCACACAAGTTCGAGCAATGACGCAAGAGAAAATACGAGGATCGCATTTGAAGATTTTGTTTTCCTTCCATTTCCGATCAGCCGCCATTGTGCCTCGACTGCGAGCATCTTGCCTGTCCCCTGTCCCCTACTGGCGCCTCTAGACGGAGATGGAGTTAACCCAACCAACGACGGTGTCACCAAATGCCTTTGGGTATGCGTAAAGACCCCAGTGGCCTCCTGTCAGCGTCACTGTCGTCAGGTGAGGGAGGAGAGTGGCATCGTTCATCTCGGGCCGACAGATGTAGTCGTCGGAGTAGCCAATGAAGAGCGAGGGCACCTGGACCACCTGGTTCGATTCGTCTGCTTCGCCGACCTGGTGTCCTTCGACCACGGCCCTGTACCAGCAGCAGGGCGCCTCGAGGCCATCTCTAGCCAGCCGCGCGTTCCAGCGCTGTCGCATCTCGGCCGTCGCATAGGGCTGCACCTCGGTCTGCTTGTCGGCCTTGAGAAACGCTTCCAGCCCGTCCTCTTTGCAAAAGGTGTCGAGCCAGATCCTGGTGTCGGCTGGGTGAGCGAGGCTGAAGAGCGAGTCGAGGTGCTCGCCTAGGATGCGCGGGCCCTGCGGCGTAGTGAAGAGCTTCCAGTACCAGAAGGTGCCGTAGCCGAAAAGCTTCGTCGAGAGGCTGAGCACCGCGTCCAGGTCAAATTGCTCGTTTGTTGGCTTCCTGTAGCCGACATTGGCGATGGCGAGACCGGCAACCCTGCCGGGCGCGAGATTGTAGAAGCGCTGGGCAAAGGAGCTGCCCCAGTCGTGGCCCAGGACAATGACTTTGTCGACGGACTCGGCCTCGAGGATCTCGACAATGTCCTGCACCATCTTTCGGAACTTGTAGGCGGCCGGGTCCGTCGGCTTCGAGGTGCCCGTGTAGCCCAGGAGATTGGGCGCCACGACGCCGAAGCCACCGGGCAAGAGGTGGCCCTCGATCAGGCCTGTCCACTCCGTCGCATCGTCGGGGAAGCCATGGAAGAGGAGCAGCGTGGGCTTGTTTCCTTTGGCCGGGTGTGCACGATAGGAGTACGTGAACCCGCGCGAAGTTTCCAGGGTCTTTAGCTTGTCTGCCATGATGGAGAGAGATGTCGTTGTTCTCCGTCTTGTGCGCGCATCAGATTGATCCGCTTATATAGACAGCCGCTCGGGCCGATCAAGTGAGCAAGATGTCGGAACGCCCGCTGAAGGAATCATGCGCAGTGCTGCTGGACCAGTGCAGTGATGCGGCCCGTGAGCGAATGTGCACGCACGGGCCAGCGCTCACCGGTTCGTGTCGCGACGCAAAAGAAAGCAGGAGTCCTTCGCTCTTAGTTCGGACGTGCAACGAGCGCACTATTTCTCTCTCTTTAACAGCTGCCTCGATCGCTTCCCTGCGACGAGAAACCTCAGAGCAATAAAAACCCGTCCCAATCTCAGACAAGAGGACGAAGAAAGACACATTCACTATTGCCACGAATAATTGCAGGTGTATCCCAAGATGCTCGAGGACCAGTGCCGAGAATTGAAGTACGAATTGAAGTACGAGAAGAAGAAAGGATGGGAGGAGCATGCTCGACTCCACTCAATGTCCATTGCATGCCAACTGTCTAAGGAAGTTCAAGAGTAGAGGAGCCTCTGGCCAAAGGACATGAGCCGGGGAGGCGTGACGTCGCGGCGACGGCGGCGGCGGCGGCGGCCAGGCTCGACGGTGTCGACGGAGATGCCCGAGGCGAGGTCGGCGTTGCACACGGCCTGTGACGCCTCGGGGAACAGGTCGGCGGCGACGATGGCCTCGGGGTGGACCACGAGGGCGCCCATGAAGCCCTCGGCGAGGTGCCAGGCGATGTGGCAGTGCAGCGGCCACACACCGGGGATGTCCGAGTAGAGGCGCAGGACGGCGTAGTTGCCGCCGGGAATGACGAGCGTGTCGCGCCGCGGCGGGTTCGTCGTGTTGAAGGAGATCGACGACCACTCGTCGACGGTCATGGTGCCGTCACCGCGCGCGACAATGTAAAAGTCGGCGCCGTGGAGGTGGTAGGGGTGGTCGAGGTTCTGGTCGCCATTGTTGATGATGACATCGATGGCCCACTCGTCGTCGGCGACCTCGGCAAAGGCGACGCGCGACGAGTCGATGGAGCTGCCGTTGTTGATCGTCGCCAGGAAGGGCTGGTAGGCGTAGTTTGTGTACGTCGTCGAGTTGACAAAGAAGCGGCTGTACGACGTGCTGTCGACGGTGAGCTGGCCGAATGCGCTCGTGTACTGGCGCACGTTGGCCGTCGTCAGGCCCAGCGGCGCCTCCTCGGCCGTGACGGGGGTGAGGTCGCTGTCGTCAAAGTCGACGCAGCTCGTGGGCAGGTCTGCGTCCCAGTCATTTGTGGTTGGTTCGGTGCCGTTGTTGGTGCCGATGTGGATGGCCAAGCGGGTGATCGCATTGAGGTCGTCGTCGGTCGAGGCAAAGCAGTTGGTGTTGAGCTCGCCGCGGAACCAGAACGAGTCGCCGTCGGATGCGTCGCTGAAGTCGGCGATGAAGTCGTAGCGCTGGCCGTTGTGGATGGGCACGCGCGCCACGCTGGGGCCCAGAACAGCGGTGCCGTCGGCGCCAGTCACGTTGAGGTAGTGCAGGTCGATGCTGACGTGCTCCTGGGCGTGGGAGCCGCCGTTGATGACGCGGAACCGGATCTTCTCGGCGGCGACGGTGATCGCTGGCGGGTCTGGCGTCGTGCAGGTGACGTCCGAGTCGGTGAGCAGCGAGCAGTTGAAGACGCCGGCACCGTTGATGAGGCCCGACTGCGGCGATGGCGCGGCCGAGCTGCCGTCGTAGCCGTCAGTGGTCAGCAGTTCGGTCGCAATGTACTCGGCCCCGTCGTGGTACCAGTCCTGGACGATGATGACCTGCTCCGAGGTGAAGTCGACGCCACGCACGTATGGGTCGCTGGGCGAGTGGATGATCATGGGCCCGAGGATGCCGTCGGTGTACTGCGTCGACGAGTGCGAGTGGTACCAGTAGGTGCCGTACTGGCCTGCCGTGCTGAACGTGTACGTGTATGACGAGCCTGCGGGGATGGGGCACTGCGAGAAGCCAGGGACGCCTGCACGGTGTGACCAGGCTGCGTCAGTCTAACTTTCCTTCTCCGCGCACCTACAACCCCCAGCCCACACTCACCGTCTTCATATGCTGTGCCGTTCTGGTACATGCCGTGCCAGTGGATCGAGGTGCCCTCGCTGAGGGTGTTGGTGACGGTGATCTCCAGCGTGTCGCCCTCGTTTGCCTCGACAAGCGGGCCGGGCATCTGGCCGTTGATGGTGTAGAGCGTCTTGTCGTAGCCGTCGGGCGCGCCCGTCTGCGCGGCAATCGTCCAGCTGTAGCTCCGCGTCGTCGTTGCCGTCGTGATGGAGAAGCTGGGGTCGAGCGAGTACGAGGTGGGGGCCGATGCCGTACCCGTGGCGACGGAGTTCGACGCGGTGGTGGCCGTCGATGTCACGGCCGACGATGTTGCCGTGGTGCTGACCGTCGTGGCCGTGCTGTAGGACGCCGTCGAGCTCGCGGTGATGTCCGTGGCCTCGGACGTGACGGTGCTGAGCGTGCTGCTGCTGCTCGAGTCCTGGGCGGCCGCACCCAGTGCGCCGAGCAGGAGCGAGAGAGCCAGACGAGAGGACGAGAAGCGCATCGTAGGGAAGGTGAGGTAGGTAAGGAGAACAGGAAGAAAAAGGCTCACTGGGTCGCATTTATACTGGCTGTCTGCTGCGCGAGCAAGGCTTGCCTTGCCCTCTACCGAGCGCCGATCGCTTGCAGACGGCTTCTCTCTCTCTTCCTCTCTTCAATTCAGCTCCGACGAAAAGAAATCGCTCATCGACGATGCGAGAATTCTATTTGGCAGCAGTGAGGCCGGCTTGCTCGTGGCCGCCGGCGGAGGGATGAGCACCGCCAAGATTTGCTAGCCTGAGAAGCCCTGGGGGGGCCTGTCACGCCAGCGACGCCAGTCAGCCACAAACGGGTGCCGAGGACGTGCATATGATAAAGAGACAAGGGGGGGCGCGCGCTATTTTGGTTTGCTCGCAAAAAACAAAATGACCCAGCGGAAGATTCTCTCGCTGCCGCCGCCTCGGAGCGCAAACAGCACTGCCTGATTGGCAATTAGAGTTGCTGCTGCTGCTGCTGCTGCTGCTGCTTCCGGCACGGCAGCGGGCGATCTGGCGGGAAACAATGAGATTGCCGGCGCGGTGATCAAGAAGCGAGACAGACGCACGCGATCTGGGAGCCAAGCACGCCGGCAGCTTCCTTTTTCTACTGTCCGACAATGGCTAAACATACTGATAAACTAACAAACGAGCGAGAAGCGAATAAATAAGGATAGCCCGTGAAAACTGGAAAAAGAAAAACCAAACCCACCGGAGAAATTGTGGCTGAGAGTGAATTTTCGGCACCCTGCCGCCGCCTCGCGTTCAGAATAGCGTTTGTTCCTGCCTCTGGACAGGCAGGCCAAGGTGGGGCGGCCTTGCTGTCGTCATTGCTGCAAGAGAAATTTGTGTGGCCAAGGTGCGAGCTTGCACAAGCAGTGAGCAAGGAGCCTCGAGGAGAAGCTGGTGCTTCGAGCTGCGGTCGCGCGAAGCATAGCAAGCAGGGCCCGAGGGAGGAACGTTAGGCCAATGCAGGCGAGCGAGGTCGCCGGCGCTCCCAGCCCCACTTCCACTTCCCTGCGACAGCGATAACAATGCGGGAAGGCGGACCGAGCGAAGCAGCGGAAACGAGCTAAATTAATTCAACCCCCGCTCGAGACCACTGCTTCCACCACTATTGCTACTACTAGCTGGTATCGGTTGCCGGCCGCGCAGGGGCGGCTGATGCTTGGCGTTCACATGGGACAGGAAGCTCGCCGCCCTTGCAGGGGGCGACTCACCGCCCGCGGTGCATCCTCCCCCGGCCAACAGTTGCGTCCGTTTAGATTGCGCACTCTGGATGATGCCCTGCCCAGCTAAATGATGCCGGCGTAATTGCTTGATTGCATCCGTCCGACGAGCTGTGCAGCAGCTGTGCGTGCAAGCAAGGGCAAGCAGTCTCACCGTGCATCTTTTTCCACGAGTGGCTTCAAACGATTCTGCCTCTTCCCTCGACCACCTCGTCGCGGCTCTGCGCCGAGCTCGGGTAGAGGCTGTCCTACCGCTCAAGCGAGGTTTGCGCCTTGCCGGGCGGCTGGCTGGCGTAGAACTGCACGTAGCCTTGCGGCGATATGACCGTGAGCCGCTTGCCGAACAGCCTGGCCACTTCGTAGCGACTCAGCTCTCCCCGAGGAACAGGAGCGTTGGGGCCATCCTCGGGGCAGGATCATTCACTCAATCAAGTCCCCCCTCTCTCTTCGCGAAGATCGCAACAACAGTGCCAGTCGTCTATGGAAGAAGCAGCAGATGTCACATTATCAAGAGCTTGCAGAGAGAGAGAGCGTCGTCGTGGTGTGTAAACAAAGTAGTCGTCATGGGAATGAGCAGATCAGCGATGATGATATTTAGGCAGCAGGCGCGATGGCGGCCATGATGCCGTTGTAGGCAAGCTGCTCCCCCTGCTCGACGAGGCGCGCCCAGTCGCAGTCGGGCACGCCGCGCATCGCACGCGCCTTCAGGCCGAGCTGGATCGCATAGTCGATCCACGCCTTTGCCAGCGTCGTCAGCTCGACCATGCGCTGGGCCTGGGCGCCGTCGTCCTGCAGCGCCTCGAGCACGCGCGGGTGTGGGAGCAGCTCGCCGACGAGGAGCGACGACATGCCGAGCAGCACCGGCATATTGTCGCTCCACAGATCTGCGCCGAGGTGGAGCACGAGGGCAGGCAGGCCAAAGTGGCAGGGCTGCCTCTGCCTGTCCCGCGGCAGCGCGTCGAGCGGCACCTGCTGCTGCGGCAAAGGTGGCGGCGGTGCTGAGTCGAGCGTGGCTGTGTCCCCATCCAGGCGAGCGCGAAGCACCTGGACGAGCTCCCAGACGCCGTCGCGCTGCTCCTCGACGTCGTCGGTGCCCATGCAGCCCACATCGCGGAGGTCGCGCGTGGCGTCGGCACTGCCCGCCGCCGCCGTCGTCGCTGCCGTCGCAGGCGGCGCCGTCCGCTCGGTGAAGCCAAGGAGGACGCGGAGGACCTTGACGCAAGCCATGCCGAGCGGTGAGGCCAGGCGGCCACACGAGGCAGAGATGGCGTGCTCCAGCGGCGCAGCCGAGACGAGGAGCGTGGGCACGAGCGCGCGCAGCTCGGCGTCGGTGAGTGTGCGCTGGCTGAGTCGCTGGCGGGAGGCGGGCGCATCCTGCTGCTGCGCGAGATGCACAAGGAGCACGTCCTGCTCCTCGAGGCGTGGGCGCTGCGCATCGGGCCGCGCCATGATGTTGGCATACACCGTCTCGCCCAGCGCCGACCATGTATGCGCAGCAACCAGGGGCCCGTCGAGGTAGATGGGCCGCAGCGACTCGTCAGGCACGAAGCGCGTCTCGCTGGCGGCACTGTGCTGGGCCAGGTAGTCGCCAACGACGTCGATGGCCGCCTGCTTGAGCCTGTCGCCCTGGAAGAGGAGGGTTTCATCATCATCATCATCGATGGTCGCGTGCCGGCGTGGTAAGCCATTGACCCAGGCCTTGAGCCCATCGACCTCGCGTGCCGTCATGGCGCCAAACATCTTGCCGCCCCACTCAAACTCGCGCACGAACCGGCTGGCCGCTGCGTCGCCCGGCTGCGTCCAGACGGGGCTGGATGCAATGGCGGCGACGAGCTTGGGCGCATTCTCGTCGATGTGCGCCGGATCCAGCCAGTCGGACACGCTCCGGCCGGCCAGCTGGGCATGCACCGAGGCGTGGACGCCAAAGGCCGTCGCTGCCTTGTTGCGCAGCGTGGCCTCGACGCTGCGCCTGCGCGTCTCGGCTGCGCGTGCCTCGGCCGCCGACGGTGGATCGACGTCGTCGCGCGCGAGGGCCGTGCTGGTGAGGTGGGGCGGCGTGGCATCGTTGGGTTCACAAGGAGAAGAAGACAGCACCGGCGTCGTGGGCACCGCCTCGGCGAGGGCATAGCCAAGCTTGACGCGGGCCCACATCTCGTCGCCAAACTGCGTGCCCTTTTCCTTTGCAGCCGCGCGCAGAAAGTCGACGACGGCGAGGCGCGCCATGGCCGCGTGGCCCGAGTCGGCATTGTCGATGGAGACGTGGAGCCAAAAGTAGGCGGCGGCGTCGGCGTCGATCAGCTCCTCGATCTCGCTCGCAGAGACGAGGAGGTGGTAGGGCAGGCCCTCGTAGGCCATGTTGAAGCCCAGGGCCTCGGGCAGGAACTCGAGCGGCGAGGCCGAGAGGCTCAGCTGCACCACGGCGGCGCGCCAGCAGCGCGCATTGCCCTGCGAGTCGCTTGGCCGGCCCTTGCCCTCTTTCTCCTCCTTGTTGTCCCCCTTTTCCTTCCTCCTGCTAGCCCCGTCGCCCGCGGGCGCATACTCGGTAAAGGCGCGCTCCTCGCCCTTGGGCGGCGCCGAGACGCCAGCGCCTTCGAGGCGGTCCATGAGGGCCTCGTAGATGGCCACGTGGCTGCGCTCCAGCTCGCCGTCGCCCAGCTCCTCGCTCATGACCTGCCAGCAGGCCCGTGCTGCCCTGCGCTGGGCCGCGAGGGAGAGGCTGCCGCGGCCAGAGCCGGTGAGGGAGCCGTCGCTGGAGCCGTCGCTGGAGCCGTCGCTGGAGCCGTCGCTGGAGCCGCCGCTGGAGCCGTCGCTGGATCCGCCGCTGCCGCCGCTACAGCCCGTCGTGGTGCGCAGCAGGTGGGCCAGCCAGCTGCCGTCGACGTACTTGACGACGCTGGCGCGGCGGAGCCACTCGATGCACTGGGCCTGGCCACCGTCGAACATCTCGCAGCCGGCCGTGCGCGCCTCGCGCATGCTCCTGCCCTCGCGCCGTGCCTGCTGAAAGGCGGCCTGCCGGCGCTGCGAGTAGGCGCGAAACTTGTCCGAGGTCGCCGCGTGCTGTGCCGTGAGAAAGCCGTCGAGCGCGCACGCATCGAAGCGCGTGGGCAGCGAGAGAATTGAGCTGGGGTCTTTGCAGTCGACCGTACGTAGCACATGGGCCATCTCGACGAGGAGGCGCCGCCGCGCAATGGCAATCGTCGAGCGTGGATACCGGCTCAGGTTCTGCAGCCGGTGGTACAGCTCCCGGTCCGTCATTCGCCATCCGCCCGCCTCGTCCTCGTCTTCCACGCCGCGCCTCCGAATTACGCCCCGACTCGAGCCATCGACGGCAAACGCTGCCTCCTCTGCCCCTTCTTCTTTGTCGCACGCCCCATCGGCATCGACGAGCGTGGCGTCCGAGTCTGCGCTCCTCGACCGCGCCTTGTCCTCGCCGCCGTCCTTGATCGCAGGCCTGCTCCGCTGGTGCGCCTCGCCTGCCTCGCCTGCCTCGCCTGCCTCGCCTGCCTCGTCCTCGTCAAAGTAGTAGCCGCGCGCCTCTTGCACCGCCGCGGGCGTCGGCGGGCCAAAGGCCGCTGATCCGTGCGCGTTGCCCAGCGTCGTCGCCCACCAGGTCCTGGCAGCGCGCACGCCGTCGTTGCCGCCTCCCGTGCCTGTGCTCGTGCTGCTTGTCATTGTTGTGCGGGGAGAGACAAGTGAGGACTGGGAGCAAAGGAGGGGCGTAGGGGCTGCCGTCCGCCGTCAGTACCGGGCAAGGGTCTTTCCCCGGACCCTTGATCAGGTCATCGACGGGCTTAAAATTACACTTACTGCACGCCCAAATTTCCACCCCAATTTCCGCCAGCTCCACTCGTCGGAACGTGGGCGGTCGTCGGCGACACCGGACTGCCTTTTGGCTCTACCTCGTATCCTTCTGCTGCTTTGCGTGGGCAGCTGCATCTCGGCCTGACAAAAGAGGCAGGGTGAGTGAGGCTGTTGCTGCCAGGTGAAGAACACGGAAGGAGACAGACAGGCTTCGACGTGCAAGATTGGGCCGACGTCGTGGAGTAGTCTAATTTTAGCGTCACTTCACGCACGCTTGCGTGCTCATCGATTCGACGTGGAGGCAGGCGCGCGACGCAGGGTCCATTAGGAAGAGGAAAGAAAGGGTGGGTGGAGGGAAGAAGAAGTGAGGGAAGAAGACAAGCGGGTGTTGAGGCTCTTCCGATCACCTTGGCAATGACGGACGCAAGCCGACTGGAGCAGGCACTCGTCGAGGTGGGCACACAGCTGGCCAGCAGCGGCTACCGCTTCTGGGCGCCCACGCCCGAGACGCACGCAAAGGTCGTGGCGCGCCTGACGGACGAGCAGGCTAGGCTGCCGACGGCGACGACGAGGCAGGACCTCTGGGGCTGGAGCCTGCCGCTTGGGTGCGTTGTTATACTGCTCTTCCGACAATCTTCTTATGCTGACCGAAAGGAGCACATGCATGCACACACAGGCACAGCTCGTCGCTGCTGTCGGGTCTCTCGTCCGTGGCGCAGGAAGCGCTCCTCGCGCCAAGCTCGAGCTCGCAGCAGCGCCGTCCCCTCGCCCGCTTCTCGTCCCTGTACCCCTCCGCGTCGTCGCACTCACTTCAGCAAGTCCTCTATGCGCACTCGCCATGGCCCACGACGGACACGGACGCCGTCTTCTTTGGGCCAGACACCTACCGCTTCCTCCGCTTCCTCGACGCCGCCCTTGGCCGCGAGAAGGGCCGCTCCTTTCGGCTGGCCGTCGATGTCGGCTGCGGCGCCGGTGCTGGCGCGATCCACCTCGCCGCTGCTGGGCTGAGCGGGGGTGGGGCCGCGCCAGATGAAAAGGCCTGCGAGCGCGTCGTGGGGCTCGACATCAACGAGCGCGCATTCACCTTTGCAAGAGCCAATGCCGCCCTCCACCGCAGCTTGTCGGCCAGCAGCGGGGGCGCCGAGGTGGAGTGGAGAAAGAGTGACCTGTTCTCGGCACTGTCGCACGATGAGCTGGACCAGCTTGACCTCGTCATCAGCAACCCGCCCTACATTGCCTTTGACGCCGGCAAGGGCTCCACCTATGGTGAGTGGTCTCTCTTCCCAGTCAGCTTCCTCTTCTCAGAATGGCAACCGCTTACGAAAAAATGTACAGCCGACGGGGGCGAGCAGTCTGGCCTTGCGCTGCCTGTCCTCATTGCGCGCCAGGCGCTCGAGCGCCTCTCGCGCGGCGGCCTCTGCATGCTCTATACGGGCGTGCCCATCGGCCTCGACGGCTCCGACCCGCTGCGCGCTGCTCTCGAGGCCGAACAGGACCGCGCCGAGCTCGTCTACTACGACGTCATGGGTGGGTCGAGCTGCTTCTTTTCTTCCTCTTTCATGTATCTGCCTGGGACTGACTGCCGGACAAAGACGTCGATGTGTTTGGCGACGAGCTGCGCGACGCAGAGGGCGCCTATGGCCGCTCCGGCGTGGGCCAGATTGCCGTCATCGGCGCAGTCGTGCGGAAGCGGTAGTTGCAGGGACTGCCACCGCCCTGATGTCTCATCACTGTTCATCATAATTCAACTCTTTCATCGTCGGGCGCTGTCATGCTCCTCATCACAGCAGGAGGCTCGCACCTAATTACTGGCCGGAAATTAATAGCTATCATTATTCACTCCACCCTCGCCATCTTCAACAACATTGAGCAGAGAGTTACATCGCAGAGTCCTTCACAGCAGGCAAGCAAGCAACGTGCACGGTCTGCGCTACTTGAGAGCCTTGACGTCGTCGAGAAAGGCCTCGACCTCGCGCACAGGCTGCGACGAGGCGTCGCACGCGACATCGAAGCCGTGATTGCCGCCAGGCGCACGGACGAGGCGGACATCGCTGACGCCCGCCTCGGTGAGCTGGGCCACGTAGGCCTCGGAGAGGGCAAAGGGCACGAGAAAGTCGGCGTCGCCGTGCACGACGCACGTCGGTGGCCAGGCGGCCCCCTTTTCGGCCGCGGCCAGCGCTGGGTTCTTGGGCGTCTTGGCCCAGTCGGCATCCTTGTTTGGGCCCTCAAACTTCTCGCCCATGATGCCCTGGTTGAGGAGGTGGATCGAGAGCTGTTTCGTGACGGCGTTATTACAGATGCATGCCATGGTGCTAGGGGGAGAGAGACAGAGAGAGAACCCACCGCGTTCCTCAAGTGGTCCGCCTCTGCCATCGGCCGGGCTGCGCCGAGCCGCTCGATCTCCTCCTCGGATAGCCCATTGGCGAGCGCTTTCTGGTGCATGATGTCCTCCGGCAGGCCAAGGATGGGCAGCGGGCCGATGATCGACCCCGTGAATGCCTTTTGTCCGCTCTTGAGCGCCTCGAGCACCGCGGGGTGGACCTCGGGCGTGAGCAGCGGGTGCGGCACAGACGTGGGCAGGGGACTGTAGTAGGCCTCGTGGTCCAGCGGCGGGGCCGGGTAGACCTCGAGAAGCGCGACCGGTGTCGGCGTGGCCAGGGCTGCTACGGATCTCGCGGCGTGCCCGCCCGCGCTCGCGCCTAGCGGAATGCCCTTTGCCCCATCGAGCGACGATGAGGCCGTGTTGAGCTTGCCCGAGGTGACAAAGTCCCACGCGCGCAGGACGTCGCTGACTCCCTCGGCCGCGCTCGACTCGGGCAGGAGGCGATAGTCGACGGTGACATAGCCCCAGCCGCGCTTCAGGGCAATGGCGACGCTGCGAAATCCGAGAAAGGAGCTTCAATATCTTGATACTCTGTGGAGAGAGAGAGAAGACGGGAGATCACCACTCACGGCCAGCTGCCGACGGACCAGCGGTTGCCTGCGACGAAGCTGCCGCCGTGGACGACAAAGAAGAAGGGTGCCCCGTGCGTCCCTGCGGGCGGGCTCAGGTAGTCGAGGCCAATGCCGTGCTCGTTGTCGTACGTGACGGAGCGCCACCTGCTGCTGCCGCCTGCCGCGTCGTCTCCCGCCATGATTCAGCTGGCTTTGAGAGAAGAAAGAGAGTGGGAAGATGAGACGTTAGCAGAAAAGCTCAGCTGCGACCCCCTTCTTCGGATCTTGACTTCCTTGGCTTCACTAGCGCCCTTCCATAGCGGGGAAGCCTCGGGCTCCACGGATATTCGAATTTCGAGCCGTGCGCGTGCACATGTTCGTGTTATGCAAGACCCGTCATAGCCAGATTCGCTCGTCAGATTCGCTCTCTTTTCACTGCTTTCTAGGTAGCCAACTCGGTGTCCCTTCAGAAGAGAGAGAGGAAAGGACCAAGTAGCTGGAGAAGAGAATCGCCTCGATCGTCTGGACGCTGCATTCATGCAATTTGGCCAATCTGCCTTGCGATCTTGCCTCGAGAGAATCCGGACATTTCAAACGAAGTTCTTGCCAAGCCTTTGCGCTAAATAAAAAAGGGCATATGACGTTTCGAAATTCTCCACCCGGCCTCTAAAGAAGACCAGCGGGGCTGAAGCACCAGGCTTCAGCCCTGTTCTGTCACCGAGGACGGGCACGCTTATCGCACAAGAGCAGACTTGCGTGGAGAACATGTAAACGTTTTCCCCGTCGAATCGGTATCTTTGACTCTTCTTTCCCAGAGAAGTGAGGTAGGGCTGCTTCTATTTTCGATCCGGAGCCTGCTTGTCACGCTTATCAATTCGATCGATCCGCTTGGGTTGTCATGTCTGGCCAGCTCCGGAGTTTCGTCTATCTCGTACTCTGCACTGTAGGGTTCGATAGCAATGAGGGCTCCAAGAGTGAGACCAACGTATCCTTCTCCACCCCCAGATACTCCATCATCAACCCGTCCTAAGAAAGACTGATGGCGAAGAGCGATCACAAGGACGACACGGGGCCCTCTCCGACGTCGATCTCGCCAACCACCACGGTGGTTGCATCGCCGACGACAGAGGACAAGAAGAGCGAAACGGTGTACATTGAGTGGGAGGATGGCGACCCCCGATACCCTCTTAATTGGAGCCAGAGTGCGTACCGCCCCTGCATGGCTAAAGAGAGTGACTTCTGACATACTACCTACCATTCAGCTTCACGCTACTTCATGATCACGGTCACTTTTCTCTATAACTCCTCGACGGCGGTGTGTTCTACCTCAGAAGTCAAGTAAGAGGAGGAAAGCAACGGCTGATCAGACATATTTTTAACACCTAGATGAACGCGACGGGGTACACGACAGCCCAGGATGTTGGTTCTTACGATTTGCACACGAGCGTCGAAGTCTGGCTGACCGGTGCGACGGCTGTGAGTATGGCTTCCACTTCGCTGCATTCTGGTATTGGCTGATCATGCTCATCACGATGGAACAGTACCTCGTCCCCGTCGCCCTCACGCCCCTGGTTCTCGCTCCACTCAGCGAGATCTACGGTCGCCGCCCAGTCTACCTCGTCTCTCTCTTCATCTATACGTGAGTGCGACAGCAATGCCACACGTTCTTCCGGCGTCCTTCTGGCTGACTGCTCTAACACTTTTTTAAGAATGATGTTCATCCCGCAGGCGCTGGCGCCCAACATTGCTGCCATCATCGCCTCGCGCGTCGTCCAGGGCTGCGCCGGGAGCGTGGGCAATACCATGGTGGCCGGCTCCGTCGCGGACCTGTTTCCGAAAGAGAAGCGCGCCGTGCCCATGTCGGCATTTGTCTTTGTGGTTTTGTATGTGTCTTCCGTCTTTTGTTGCTTCTCGTAGCTCGCAACTGACCCACGACTGCGTTGTGTCTGGTAGCATGAGTCAGGCTATCGGTTCTTGCGCATCGGGCTGGACGGTCGCTACCATCGGATGGCGCTGGATGTGAGTTGCAGGTGTGTTGCCCACTTGACCACCTGCTCACAAGCTCCGTCACAGCTTCTGGTGGCAGGGCGCCATCGCATTGGGCACTCTTGTCGCCTTTGTCTTTGTCGTCAAAGAATCACGCGCCACCATCCTCTTGTCGCGCCGTGCAAAGGAGCTGACCAAGCAAACGGGCATCCTTCACAAGACCGAGGACGACGACGTGCGGCGCAATGCCTTTGTCATGGCCTCGCGCAATCTCGGTCGTCCCCTCGTCTTCTTCGTCACTGAGCCCATCGTCGCCTTCCTCGCACTGTGGATTGGCTTCCTCTGGGGTGTCGTTTTCCTCTCCCTCGAGGGTGTCGCTGACTCGTTCAAGCCGTACGGTTGGACCCCACCGCAGATCGACACGGTGCTTCTGGCCATTGGCGTCGGGGGCTTCGTAGGCTTCGTGAGCAACTTCCATCAGGCTCATCTGTACGCGCGCGACGTCAAGCGATCGGATGGCAAGCCTATCCCCGAGTCAAGGCTCTACTGTGAGCTGCCTTCTGTACTGGCCAAAAGTACCTAGAGCGCTGACTCAGTGATCCCCTTTGTAACAGGGGCCATGCCTGCTTCCATCTTGACGGCTGGTGGACTCTTCTGGTACGGCTGGGGCGCACAGCCCTCGGTACACCCGGCGGTTCCCATCATCGGCCTCGTTGTCTTTTCGTGGGGTACCTACATCATCTATCTCGGTATGTCTTCCCCCGCTGCCTTGTCTGCCGAGAATTGCTGACACTTGCCTGTTGCAGCGACACTCAACTACCTGGCCGATGCGTACGAGCACTACGCCTCGAGCGGCATCGCATGCCAGGCGCTTCTGTGCGTATCAGCCTCTTCTCTCCTCATGTCGTTCATGCCCAACTAATACCCGTCCTTTGATGAAACCTCGCAGCCGCAACATCTTTGGCGGAACGGTGAGTGGCTCCACGACCCAACTATTCCCTCCATAAGAAGTTCTGACAATTAGCATGCCTCCATCTTCTTCTGCAGTTCGGCCTCTTTGCGCATCAGATGTACCGCAACCTCACGCCGCCGTACGCGACGACGGTGCTGGCATGCATCGCGGCCGCTCTGGGCATCGCGCCGTTTGCCCTCTTCTTCTGGGGCCCCACGCTACGCAACTACTCGCGCATTCATCGACGCATCGAGCAGGAGCAGGCTGAGAAAAGTCACTGAAGTATCTTCTGTCTCCAAGCATAGACTTCCTGTACATAACAAAGATATGATCTCGCGGCGTCTTGATGTCAAGGGAAATTTTAGGATGGATTCTGCACCAGACCAACAAAAAGTATTGCATTCGAAATGACCGCATGGTCGTGTGGACGGATCTCCTGCAGCATCATCACGTGGAGGCCGATTGCATACGAGTTGCACTCCTACACCCACTGCCACCTCTACCTCTCCTTCCGCAACGTCTTTTCTGAGACACACCTCAACTATGATGCCCCGCATACTTCGGCCCGGGTTTCAAGAGGCATCAGCCCACTTCGCCAGGATCCGCGATCTCACGCCCGAGTATGCCGACTTGTTCGGCGATGACCCAAAGCCGGCCTTTGCGGTTCTCGCAGTCGGTTTCACCCTTGCTCTTGCAGGATGGTCTCAGCTCCCGCGGCCAAAGGGATTGCGCCTGATCGTGGGCTACCAGCTCATCGTCACTGCGCTTCTCACTTTCATGGATCTGCGCTACCTCTTTGCAACACCAATAAGGATGGCGCCCCCCGCAGCAGGCATCGTTGGTCTTGCGACGCTCGTAGTCTTCGGTCCCTCAAAGTTCAACAGCCCCTCAGGGGTCGTATCTAATAGCGCAGCGTCCTGCTGGCCGCTATTTCTCACATTGAGTGGTTTCGACCAGCTCCAGGAATTCCTGATGCGTAATGATGAAGTCGGTCTGGTGGTAACACTGATCTTCAGTATGTTCGCAGTCGGACTCCTCATCATCGCCAACGCGATGTGGTTGATACTGGGCGACAAAGGATGGGGAGACACGGTCCTTTCCATGAAAGCGGCCGCAAGCATTGTCATCCTGCAGACCACCTTGCTTGTAGTCTTTCAGCTAGCCTAATAATAACCCGGAGAAATGCATATCACTTGCTTGACGAAGATGCAGTGTCCAGCAGCGATGGCATTGTCGTATCATCGCTGCTTGCGAATGCGAGGATGTATCGGCACTGCGCGCTCTCTGAAGGCAGCACTCACTCGAGAAAGTGAAACATGAGCCTCGCAAATCCGCAACCGCATGAAAGCTAGATACACAGGCACACTCATTCGAAGGCTAGTCAGCCAGGTGGAGTTGAGCCTATCGCACTTTGCGCCGCAAAGCCCGTCATGAGCTTAAAATTCAAGGCGCCCGCCACCTTTCGGCAAGACCCCGCCACGGCTTGGACTTCAGTCTCGAGAAGCTAGAGCGCACTTCCTCTTCCATTCTTTCTCACGGGCAAGGCGAGCTACAGTGTAGGCACCATGTACAGTACAGCACACGTCTAAGAGTAGCAAAACGCAAGACAAAGCATCTACAATACAAAGGAAAGGAGCCACAACAGATACGAGACATCACTGGGCGCCGGCCAGGAAGCCGGTGCGCCGCCAGTAGGCGACCCACTCGCGGGCCTGCTGGCCATCAACGGCCTTGCTCTTGTACAGCGCTGGAGAACAAGCCTGGGCGCGGCGCGTGTCGAGGTGCTTGCCGCCGCTCAGGGCTGCCGAACCGACACTGAAGAAGCGCAGCAGCTTGGCCGTGGGGAAGGCGTCGAGACTGTGTGTGCGGCTGGCTGCCTCGACGCGCGCGAGCCACTCGGCGTAGGGCACCGTCTTGGTGCCCAAGGCGGCGGCGAGGTGCGGCACAATGTCGTTCCAGAGTGCAAGCGACGGATTGACGACATGGAGCGTCGTCTCGCCGGCGTCGGTGTCGCCATTGACGGCACCGGGCTCCCGCTGGGCCAGGGCTACGTCGGCGTAGGTGCGCGCGGCGACATCCATGGCAATCCAGCTCACGGCGTCGTTGGGCCCCGCAAGGGGCAGCGCACCCACAACCTCGTAGCTCTTGACGAGCAGCGGCAGCCAGTCGGTCGTGCTCCAGTAGCCGTAGCCGAGGGTGCCGCTGAGCTGGCCAAAGCGTATCGAGGTCGTCTGGGCGAGGGGCGAGGCGAGGAGGAGGTGCTCGGTGACCATCTTTCCCATGCCATAGCCGAGTTGATTGCCCGCAGCCGAGAGCGGGAACTCGTCCTCGAGCACGACGTCGTCGGGCACTGCCAGCACGGCCGAGATGGAGCTCGAGAAGAGGAAGCGGGGCTCGTGGCTGGCGTGCGACGTGAGCGCCATGTCGATGAGGTTGCGCGTGCCCTTGATCAGCGGTTCGAAGCTGGCCAGTGACAGGTTGACTGTGTGTTTGTGGTCATGTTTGAGGACAGTTAGCAGAGGCAATAAAGCAGCAAAGAAAGGCAGAGAGCACACTCACAGTCGAGCCGCCAGGCATTGTGGACAATGACGCTGACCGAGTCGCGCATCTCTTCGTAGAGCGACTGCTCGAGGCCGAGGTTGGGCTTCTCCAGGTCTGCCACGACGAGCTGCACCTTGCCGCCCTCGTCGAGCAGGTGCGCATCGAGGCCGCGCTCCTGGAAGCTGTCCACCTGGCGTGTGCGGAGGTCTTGCTTTCCCCGTCGGTTGACGGCATACACCTTTCGCACGCGGCTGCTCTTGACGAGGTCCGACACGAGACATGCGCCCAGGCCGCCAGTAGTGCCCGTGACGAGGACAACGACGTCGGCTGCGTGACCATTGGCGTGGCCGTTGGCAGTGCCGTTGGCGATGCCGTTGACCGCCTTGCCATTGATGCCGTGGCCATTGGCTGCCTTCTTTGGCCAGTTGGTCGAGTACTTGTCGAGCATGGCCTGAGCGGCGTCGCTCTTGGCCCCGGCGGCGGCTGCCGTCTCGTCGCCATCTGCCGCTTCCACGACGGCGAGGAGCGCGTCGGCGAGCGTGCGCACCGTGGGGTACGCATAGACGAACATGGGGTCGAGGCGCTTCTTGGTCGACGTCGCCAGCACGTTTCTGATCTTGGCCGCCCGCAGCGAGTCGGCGCCGATGGAGAAGAGGTCGACGGCCAGCGGGTCAGCCTCGCGGGAGGCAGCGAGGGCTCCCTCGAGGGCCTCGTCTACGATGGTGCGCACATACGCCAGCGTGCTGTCTGGCGTCCACTCTTGGGGTGCGGCGATGCGCGTCTGTGCGCTGTCTTCAAAGGCCGCATACGCCTCGTCGATCTCCGGCGCGTAGTTCTTGACGATAAAGGCGATGCGGAGCGTGTTCTTGGGTGTGCGCTCAAATGGCTTGCTCTTCTTGGCCACAACGATCATCTCCTTGAAGATGGTCGAGTGCGTCGGCGCCATGGCATTGGCGCGCTGCACGTCGGGCCAGATGGCGTTGCGGAACGCCGCCAGCTCCTCGTCGTTGCGCGGCTCAAAGTCGGTGTCGGCGGGCTCGACGAGGAGGCCCGCAAAGGGCCGGCCGCGGCCAAAGAAGCAGCAGCTCTTGACGGACGCATTCTCCTGGATGATGGCAATCAGCGGGCCCGGGTTCGTCTTTTCGCCCGTCGAGTGCATCAGCTGGTCGTCGATGCGGCCAACGATGCGCAGCAGCTTGCCGCCGTCGACGAGCTCAAAGAGGTCCGACGTCGCATACACCTCCTTTCCCTCGTACGTGTCGTTGATGACGTTGGGCCCGAACCGGTCGTTGCTGCCGACGAGCATCTCGTACGTCCCGTCGCCCTGGTCTCGGTAGTAGAGCGGGCACTTTGTCGTGGGCACAAAGCAGTCGAGCCGGTCAAATGCCGGGGGCGAGTTTGCAAAGCGCGTCGAGGTAAGCATGGCCGCCTCGGTGGACCCGTACCCGTTCAGTACGCTGACGCCAGCGGTGTATAGGCGCTGCAGCGTTTCGAGCGAGATAGGCCCGCCTCCTGAAGCGCGCCAGGGAACTTTTCTGAACGTCTCGATTGCCTTTGGGTCGCGCGAGTACATGTCCCAGAACGTGGGTGGCAGCGCGATGAGGCCGGGCGGCGACTGGTCCAGCTCGGCCAGCAGGTCGCCGGGTGTGAGTGGCTGTTGTTGGGATGATTGTTGAGTCCGCGTGCAGGGAGCAGCCGTCAGTGAGCAGGGTGACTACAGATCAGAGGACGAATAGCGAGACGACTCTCGACAATGCAACCCACCTTGGGAGGAAACGAGTAGGGCCGGAACTGCAGCGAGATGCCGCTCATGACCCAGCAGGCAGCAGGGAAGATGAAGGCCATCGTGTGCCAGGGCGGCAAGTGGCCCGAGAAGAGCGAGTGGCCGACGAAAGACTCGCCGCTGTTCTTGAACTCGCGCGTGGCATTGACGACATACCGGTGCGTGTGGTAGATGGGCTTGGGGTGGTTCGTCGATCCGCTCGAGTGGAGGATGTAGGCCGTCGAGTCCCACGGCTGCAGCTTCAGGGGCGTCCGGATCAGTGAGCGCGGGTCGGTGGCGGCCGAGGAGAGGAAAAAGTCGTCAAAGGACGGGTAGGCGATCTCGTCGAGCTTCTCGCCCATCTCCTGCAGTGCTGCCGCCAGCACATCGTCGTACATCTGACCGGCGCCAGCAGGATTGGGGATCAGCATCGTGGCGCCGGAGCGCTTGAGCAGGCTGACGAGGGCCTCCTTTGAGTTGTTGATCGAGATGGGAAAGGGCACGGCGCCGGCACGGATGATGGCCAGCGACATGGGCAGGTACGTCATGGGCGGGCCATTGGCAAAGATGGCCACGACGGGGGCGCTGAGCCGGCCATCGCTGCCAAGCTTCTCCGCGGACACCACCTCGCCCTTGTCGAGGTCCGTGCCGAGGTGCTTGGCCACCTTTCGAGCGCTTAACGCAGCAGACAAGCACGTTTAGCACTTCTCCACTCTCCTCTTAGAGGTATAGAGAGACGAACTCACAAAGCATGAATGGCGAGGGACGCGCGCTCGTATGTCCAGTCGACGACGCGGTCCTTGCCGTCTGCGCCCGTCTCGGGGTAGCGGATAAAGGTGAAGTCGGGCGAGGCGAGGTGCCAGTCGTACAGCTGTGAAATCTGGCGAGTATAGTCGAGGGGCGGCTCCCTGAATGCTGCGCCCGCGCGTGCTGCGTCCGTATCAACCGTCATCGTACAGCTTCAACCTATGCTTGTCTTTGTGTCTTTGGTGAGTGCAAGTGGACGAGGCAGACCGGAGAGGGCGACACATCGTTTTCATGCTCGCTGCTTGCCTTTTATATGTTCGCTCCTCCATGTCTGCCTTACACAAGTCAATTAATGCGTGTTACCCTATCGACTGCGTAACGCCAATAAACAGAAGCCGCCGGGCACCGAGCAAATGAATGCCGTCCTGCTCTTCCTCTCACTCGGCCTTTTGGCTCCGAGGCCATCATTCCTGCACCGCTCCGGCCGAGATAATGCCATCAATGCTCAATGCAGTTTGCCCCTTAGAGAAAGGCAGGTACAGCTCTACAAACTAGGCCTAGGTAAGGCCGCCGCTCTTCTTACTCTCTGTCATATAAGGTAAAGCACATTCGGCTTCTACCCCTCATGCTGTCATGCATCAACTGTGTTGGACATTGCCAGATTGTGCCGATTAGCTTCCTACGCCCGGATCTCCTCGGACGAGGGGTTGCAGAAGAGGAAATTTAGAAATTTAAAGGGGGAGAAAGGTGGGGCGAAGAGAACGCTTCGGAGTTTGCGCTAAGATTTCGCAGTTATATCGGGGATTTCCCTGTCATGCCGAAAGAAAGCATGCAGACTACGGCTAGGCATGACCTCTGGAAAAAGAGAGTGCCTACACGGACACTTCGGGAAAACAACACTTTCAAGGGCTTCGATGGGCTCGGCCGATGCGTCGGGTGGCATGGCGCCCTACTTTTTTCTGTGGTTCTCAGTACACATGTTCTTTGTTCACCTATATAACAGCTCGTCCGGACTGCTGCTGAAGCGTGAGATCATCCCGGTCCCCGCTGCTCAAATAGCGGTGACAATGTCGTACTCTCGCTTGATGAGCTGATGAGAAAGAGAAAGCAATGTAGATGCGATAACAATAGAAGCAGGAGCACCTTCTAAGGAGTAAGCCGTCAAGGCGGCTCGAGTGCTTCGGCCGAATCGGTCGACGCTGTCGGAAACGTCAAATTTTAACAAGTCCGACGATTATAAACGCCGCACCCAACACAGACATGGACGGCAGCAACGAGACATAGAAGAGCGAGAGCGAGACAGATAGGAGAGGGCAAAAACGCCGCACGTGCTTCCGTACCCGGTCCAGTGACCGACCAGAATGTCAGGGCTTAATTAGCTCACGTCAGTAGCGTATTGCGTGACGCGGCGCTTTGACGCCCAGATGAAAAATCGGAAGCAACAAAGACGCCATCTGCGAGCGCATCGCGACACCATTCGGCCCTTTAGAAACCCGGAATTTTCTTCTTCTTCTTCTTCTTCTTCTTCTTCTTCTTCTTCGTCCAATGGAACATGTACTGTTTGCACTTCTCTCCAAGCGAGATCAAAGCGGTGCCTGAACAAGATCATACGATTCTTGTCGACGGGCGCGGGGTAAGCGACAGCAATCTGTATCTGGGGCCAATCGTCGTCGTCGCGTTTTGCAAAAAGGCGCAAGGGCCGAAACGGCTTGCGTGCGTTGCAAAGCACATGCTTTCCTCCGAATGCTTTTCATGCATGCCTGATGCACGGCGGAAGCTTCGAAAGAGTGTACAGAGCTTAATGACAGCGGCTAGATCGCCAACAACAGAACTGTTGTACTATTTCGGTTCTTCTAGTCTCTTCTTCCGTCAAACTCAGTAGCGTCCTGACAAAATCTGCATTGGAAATCCTCTGTACCTCAGTGGATCATTCAGTGCTTGAGAGCATCGCAACCGCAGCCATTGTCTTTAGCGCCATTGTCCCCGAGCTTCTTCGCTTGTTTCCCCCGACCCGGTCAGGCCTCATCTGCCCAAGAAACTCACACTAGTCTGCAAAAACCGGACCTCCAAAGCCCGTAGCTCGTTCATCTTCTGCACCTTGCTTCTTCTTCTTACTCTCTACTGCGCATTGCCGTCCAGACCTTTCAAAGTCCGCTTTGCAAAGTCTGCCTCATGAGCTGTCTCGTTTGCATTACTCACCGTGCTTGATCAGCGAGCCCTCCATTCAGCACGTCTTCGTACTTTAGCGAACCATTATGTCGCAATGACAACTCCTCCTCCCGTCACAAAACGATCCTTTGGTGTCATTCATCTAAAAGAGGACGTTGTGCTGGCATGGCGATGGCCAGTGTGCTTCAGTGTTTGCAATAGACCGCGGAAGTCAGTCCTAGCCCGGGCACCGGGGAGACTGAAAGTTTGCTGGGCGACGGCCCGCTTCCATTGAAACGGCTACGACGCCGGACGGAAGGCGAAATAAGGGCTTTAAAAGGGCAACCTCCTGACCCTCAGAGTTGGTGACCGTCATCTGTTCCTGCTCTCCCACTCCCCCTCTCCTTCCCCTTTTCCTTCTTCTCCCTCCTTATCCATCCCCCTTCAAACACCATGAAGCTTACACTCCTTACCGCCGCCGCAACGGCACTCATCGGCACCGTCTCGGCGTTCCCCTCGTTCCAGAACGCCGACTCGCCGCAGTACGCCGAATTCCTCAAGCAGGCTGCCGCTATCAAGTCCAACGGCAAGTCGTCGGCGCTGTGGAAGCGCGATGGCAACCTTGAGACGCCAGACAATGGCTTCGGCCAGCGCAGGCTCACGGCGCTCCTCAACCCAGCCAACTTCAAGTACAACGCCAAGGAGCAGCACGTTGACCTCACCTCGGATGAGCACAAGTTCATCGCTCCAGGGCCTAACGACATCCGTGGACCCTGCCCCGGTCTCAACCTGGTGCGTCTGATCTCACATTTTGACGGTGAAATTGTTCTCTAATGTTAAATTTCTGGATATCCAGCTCGCCAACCACGGTTACCTGGACCGCAGCGGTGTCACCAACCTCGCACAGGGTATCGATGCCATCAACAAGGTCTTCGGTGTCGAGTACGACCTGGCGCTCGCCCTCAACGCCTACGCCGTCGTCTTCAACGGCAACCTCCTCGACCTGTCGTGGTCGATCGGTGGCCCGCCCAAGTCCAAGGGCCTCGGTGCCCTGACCGAGATCCTCCTCGGCCAGCCCAGCGGCATCAACGCCCACAACGTGAGTGTATTCTTTCTGACCCCTCGTTCGGATCTCCAGGCTGACCATCGACGTGGACAAAGATCTACGAGGGCGACGCCTCAATCGTTCGCCAGGACTACTACGCGCCCGGAGCCAACCGTGACAACGTCGAGGTCCACATGCCCTACTTCAAGGACCTGCTCAAGCTGGGCAAGAACGACCAGACGCCGGGCAAGGACATCTACAATGCCGAGCTGATGCTGCAGCACAAGGCGAACCGCTGGCACGAGTCGGTGGCGACGAACCCCCTCTTCTTCAACTCGGCCTTTGGCGGTCTCGTTGTGACCACTGGTGAGTCTGGCCCCGAAAGTGAGAGAGAGGGAGAGAGCGCTGATGAAAAGACTCGACGACAGCCGCCGAGCGCTTCGTGGCCGAGTTTGCTGCCAACAACACCGCCGACGCCAACGGATACAACCGCATCTATCTCGACGAGCCCAACCTCCTCGCCTTCTTCTCCGTCGTGCGCAACAAGGACGGCAGCCTCACCTACACGCCCGGCCACGAGCGCCTGCTCGAGTCCTGGGTCCGCCGCCCATTGGCCTCGACGTTCGGCCTCGACGACATTGTACTGACGCTCCTCAACGCCGCCTCCATCGACCCTAGCCTGCTGAGCGTGGGTGGCAACACCGGCAAGGTCAACAGCTTTGCCGGTGTCGACGCTGGTGACATCACCGGTGGCGCTGTCCACACCGCGGACCTGCTCAACGACCCCCAGGCCCTTGCCTGCTTCCTCTTCCAGGCCGGTATCGAGGAGCTGGTGCCTACGCAGGTCAACGTCCTGTACAAGTCCACGGCCCAGGCTCTCGACTTCATCGGCAAGAACCTCAAGACGCCGTTCCAGAAGCTCGCCACGGCCGGCAACAACCCCTGCAACAAGTACTCGACCAAGGCCGTCGATGCCTACAGCCGCTTCCCTGGCTCCAAGATCGAGACCAACGGAAAGGAGGGTCTCCTCGGCTCCCTCGTCAACGCCCTTGCTGGCGGCAAGCGACGCCTGTCTCGCAACTTCTAGACGAGTTCCCCCTAATTCTCCCAGCCCCTTTTGGATTCCCCCCCTATCCCCCTATTCCCCCTTTTATCCCCTCCATATTCCAGAGTCACGACTAGACTGACGCATGGCGCGGCTTAATCAGGGCCCTGCTGCCTGTCTCAAAACCCCAATGTATTTCCTCACCGGTCTCATTTCTTGCAAATCAAAGCATGAGCACGGTGCAACACGGCGAAGGCCTCATTATTTGACAGGAGGGCGCTAGATTGAGCCTAAACCAGAAACCGAACGATTAGACTAAGAAGCTCCGGCGGAGACAAGATCGTTCGATTTAAGATCAAGCCAACGTGTGGTGTCAGGTGGAGTAAAAGTTGGAGCGGGCCTTCCCTTCTCCAGCGTGCTTGCTCCAACCGTCGCTGTTCAGGTCCAGGACTCGAAGCGTGAAGAGAGACGGTAGGGATGGACTTCAAGGCCTATGGCTTCTTTCCACCGGCGCCGCAGTGGCTGCCTGAGCGCGACATGCCCGACCAGACAGGGCGTGTCTTTGTCGTGACGGGCGCCAACACGGGCATTGGCCGCGAGATCGCAAGGGGGCTGCTGCTTCGTGGCGCCAAAGTTTTTGCCGCATGCCGGTCCAAGGAGCGCGCGGCCGAGGCCATCGACACGCTCAAGCGCGAGACGGGCCGCGACGCCATCCACTTTCTCCAAGTCGACCTGGCGAGCATCAAGGCGACTGTTGCCACCGCCGAGGCCTTTGTCGCCTCGGAGGACCGCCTCGATGGGCTCATCAATTCCGCCGGTGTGAGCGCCACGCCCGCGCATTGGAAGACGGAGGACGGCATCGAGCTGCAGTTTGGCACAAATGTCGTCGGCCATTTTGCCCTGACTATGGCCCTGCTCCCGCTGCTCAAGCAGACGGCAAAGGCGCAAGGACCGGGCGAGGTCCGTATCGTCCACGTCGCGAGCTCTATGGTGTGTGTTACGTCCTTGCTTTGCCCGAGCGCGACCGCACGACGAGACTGACATGCAGGCGTATGTAAAGCACTTTATCCAGCAGGACAAGCGGGGCATCTTCTACGAAGGCCTCCGTAGCGATGGCGTAGGGAAGAACAAGCGCAGCGGTACGATCCTCTACGGCCAGAGCAAGCTCGGCAATATTCACGTCTCCAACAGGCTGGCCGAGGTGCTGCGCGACGACGGCATCCTCAATCTCTCGCTCCATCCGGGAAACATCACCACGGAACTCTTGCGCCACCGCTCGAAGCTCGAGCGTTGGATCATCGTGCGTGTTGCTTGCCGTGTGCACCCACCTTCTGTCCACTGACGAGAGTCGCACCATCAGGGCCCCATTCTTTACCCTACACCGATGGGCGCCGTTACGCCGCTGTACGCGGCCACAGCACAGGAGCTGACGATGGAGCACACGGGCGGCTATCTTGTCCCGTGGGCCAGACTCTACCATACCACGCACCCCAAGGCGCAGGACAAGCAGGCCATCGACGCCACCTGGGCCTTTTGCGACGAGGCCGTGCGAAGCGTCACCAAGGCGGAGGTGACGACAGCAGCCACGACAGCCACGACGACGACGACGACGACGACGACGACGCAGGCTACACCAGCTGGCACGGAGACAGGGACGGGCGCAGGGGCAGAGGCGAGCAAGTAGGGTAAAGCAGGTGACACAGAACAATCAAGTAAAGCCAAAACGCACTTTCACTTGCAAGCACGTAAGCCGAGTGAGAGGGCACGATACGCCCTGACTCGGACTACGCGCCCTCGGGCCTCTTCGCTTTTTTTTCTTTTCTATCAGTCGGGGCAGCTGCGATGACGTGCCGTGATCAGCTGGCTGACGGCACTAGCAGCGAGCAAGAGAGAATGTCCTCGCTTACCCGCCCCGGCACCTCCTTCTTCCGCCAGGATCTTACGCAGAGCCGGGTCGTTTCTTGGCAGTTACTTTGCCGCCACTCGCGGCAAACAGAGCAGCAGGAGGCTCTCTGTGAAGGGAGAGTGGCAGGCGTCGAGTCTGATGACGGGCCGGAGCCGCGGTGAAGCAATGGCATCACGATGTGAGAAGAGAGGCCGGAAGAGAGAGGCGAATGACGCCGGCGAGAAGGAAATCTCTGCATGCAAAGCCCCAAGCGGTGAGATAGAGAGATAAACCAGGCAGAGGAAGGGCGACGCCCCACGTAAACATGACTGACGTGGGAATGCAGTGAAGGGCAAGCCGAAGAGGCCACTGCCGGCAAGTTCAGAAAGATCAGACTGAGGAGCCCGACGAGAAGACATAAAAAGACGCTCCTCTCGCCGCGAGAAGTCTTTTTTCCCTTCCCCCATCGAAAACCCTATCTTTGCCTTCTTCCCAAGAGCGCTTTCAGCTTCTCCCGCACCACAAGTCAATCTTGACCTCGGCTGGTCCAAGGTCAACGCAAGCATTCATCTTCGACAATGAACGCTGCACGCAAGAATCTGACGGCAGCCCTCTTGCTCGCCATTACGGTGGCAGTGGCTATGACGTTCGTCGCCGCTGCTCCTCCCGGCCTCTCGTCTTTAGGACGCAGCGCGATGGACTGTCCCACACCCATGTCCATGTCGCGCAACGACAAGTGCGACCCCCGCGATGTCAACACCTGGTCGCAAGAGCTGCGTACTGGTCTTACCAGGTTCTACGGCGACGCCCTCCAGGAGAAGAAGATAGATGGAGAGAAATGGCTGGATGAAAACCCCACCGACGAGGACAAAGCCTGCAAAAAGCTCTTCGCATCCAATAACTGCCAGCGCGAGATGCACGATTACTTTGAGCGCAAGGGCGCCAGACCCTCGTCTGCTCTCGTCCAGAAGCGTGGACTTGGAGATGAAGAAAAGCACGGCGGCGACCGGGGCTTCAAGTGCACCGAAGAGCAACGCAAGATGTGTCAGGCTCAGACCTGTACCGCGGGCTGCAGTAGCCACAGTCGCGCCGAGGGCCTGGAACGTGAGTATGCAAACAAGAGTTGGCGCTTTTGCCATCCTTTCTTCTTTTCCTCTTCACCCTTTCCCTCCTCTTTACCTTCTATCACTTTCCCGCTCTTTAGTTCCCTTTCCTCATGCTCTTCTCCTCCCAAGTCGGCCTTTCTAAGTACGGCCCGTTCTAGCGGTTTCGTTCTGTCGTGACACGCGATTCTATTCGCCGGACCTTTCTCTCTTTTCTTGCAGCAGAGGGACGTGACTCGACTGAAGAGCTGTCATTGGGGCCGACTTGCGAGCGCTGACAGACTGTTCTTAGTCGGCTTTGCGAGCCGGTCGCAAAGCTCTTCGACTGCATCTGTCCCCGACTCTCTGACCCGCCTCCTATCCCTTGAAGAGATGCTGCGATTGCTTTCCGGCTGATCACCATAGAGCTCTCTCCTACTCCAAGATCAAGTCCTATCTCTGTCCATCTCGTACTTCGAGCAATTCGTCTTTTTCTTCTCTTTCTCTCCCCCTTTTATCTCTCCTCTCTCTCTTCTCTTCTCTCTCTTCTCTCCTTCTTCTCTCTTTCACTTCACTCCTTCCTTTCAATCGCTTCACGGTCGACCCTCGTCAAAAACTACCGTCTCGTCTGAGCTGGAGATGCGCTAAGCTTTCACCACGCCTTCCATTTACGACAGAGATAGCGACCGAGTGGGCAATATCCTCGGAGGTTTTACCGGATAGTGGCTGTTGCGATTGTTGGACGAAGTTTACAGAGTGGTTCTACTTGCAATGTGCGAAGGTGGTAAGCAGCGGCTTCCAACTGTGCGACGACTGTTGCCAGTGGTGCGTACGTCATCCTGGCTGAAGATCCGCTTTGGCCGATTCTGCATGTACCTTGAGCGGTTGCTCTCTTCCATTCGACTCGAGGCCGCGAACTTAATTCAAGTCATCAGTTCGGGTTCTTACAACTCATCCTTCGCAACCTTGAGTCTCTTCTTTTTCGTCTTTGGTGTTCTTTCTTCTCCTTCTCCTCTTCTCTCTCCTCTTTCTTTTGACTTTCTTTCCTTCGTCTTTTTTTCTCCTCTTCAGAATAACTAAATCTTCGGTCCGCCTTCCTTTCGCGACAGAGGGAGCCATCGAGTCGACCGGAGCTGTGGAACAGCTACCGGACAGCCGCTGCAAGCGTTTAAAGGGGGCTGCGAACCGGTTCGCACTCAAAGTTACAAAGAAGGCGCTTCTCAAATACTGTCCGAATCACTTTACGGAGTGAACCCTTGATTGTGGTGTCGCATGTCTCCTTTATGGATGTGAACGCTTGGACCGTTCCGTCTTCGACTCGAAGGCGCAAATTCAATTCATCCTGTCCCCTCCTCGTCTTTCTCTTTTGCCTTCTTTTCCATCGTATCCTTCTGCTCTCTTTCGTGGTCCTCCCCACGAGCGCAAGATACTTTGCGCTGAGCTTGTGTTGCCACAGAGCGGTCTCCAGCACAAACTCCTCACCAACAGCAGCAGCCGCAGCCGTCATCAGGACAACCGACGAAGTGCACGTTCTGGGTACACTGGAAGTGTTGTCTATGTTGTTGTTGCCTATACTACCAAGATTGCATCAACCTCTGTTGCTCTTAGCGATAGACTCGACAGTTAGAATCACCTCTACCGTCAAGGCTACTCGCGCCACCTATGCATCTCTCCGTTCTAGCGTTTCTGCAAATGCAGATGTTTCCACAAAACACACGCTTTCTTCGTCTGCTCCTGCGAGCGTTGCATTGACCAACCTTATGTCGTCACAGCACGTTCTCCGGCTGAAGGCGTCCTAGAACAGCAGAAGCAGTCACAGGAACCAAGCGGATGTTTGTGCTGGACAGACTGGAAGCAATTTTTTGACTGTAGCTGTTGTTGTCTATGTACAATTATCAGATGCGTCAACTGTTGCATCTTGCACGACACTTAGTCTAGTCAGCTCCAACAAGGCTACTCGCATGTATCTGCAACTCTCCCCTCCCATGTTGTCTCGCCAAATGGCCCTTTCTCCATCAGACATGCACGCTTCCTTGTCTGTTCACTTGAACGAAGCGTTGACCACCTCATGTCTTCACAGGGCGTTCCCCAGCCGAAGGCATCCTGGAACTGCAGCAGCAGTCACAGAGCTCCGAAGGCTGCTCATGCCGGAGGTTCTGGAAGCAAATGTTCGACTGTTGCTGTCGCAGCATTCACAAAGCCCTCTTATACGCCACATGGTGGTGCCACTAGTTATGTTCCCTACCCTTAAGGCTCCTCGCCCTTGTTTCTGGGACTATTTCCTCATGCTGTCTCTCTCCACGCCTATGCTTCCACCATACATACGCGCTCTTTGGTCCGTTCATGTGAACGAAGCATTGACCAGCTTCTATCGTTATAGGGGGTTTCACGTCTAAATGCGCCCAGGGACTGCAGCAGCAGTCACATTCAGGAGATTGCTCGTGCTGGACATCCTGGATGCATTCCTTTGAACACTGCTGCTGTTGTCCCTGTGAAGCTTACTTATGCATCAGCTTAAGTTGGGAGCTCATTGAGTGTTTTCGACCCCATTTTTAGGTAAGATCATTCATCTTGCACTTCAAATCTCCTCCCTTCCTCATTCTGTCTCTCCCCATGTCGATTGCCCCTATGAGGCTTACGCTTTTCTCGTCTGCTCCCATGTCCACAAGACTGACCAGCTTGCACCGATGCAGAGCGTAAGAAGCCAGAAAATCGCAGGCCGCCGAAGCCATTCGATGAGACGCGGTGCGGTCGCTTCCTCAAATGTTTCTGCTGTCTGTTACGCTGTCTTGTAAATATCCCTTTGGAGGATATGCTCTAAAGCAACGAGAGGTGAGAGAAGCAGGCCCTGGACACTCGATCTTCGTCGCCCGTGATCGCATTGCTGACCCCATGCCCCCATCCAGCGTCCTTCGGTGCTGCTACTCGTTCACTTTACGAATTGCTGCGCTGTAATGCAGCCTGTTCTCCCGTTCCGTCAATGTCATGATCCATGCGTGTGACCGCAATCATCGGGCAGAAGGACTTGGCAGACTGAGACGAGGGATGATTAAAATGCTGGAATTCTGACAGAGAAGAGTGAGTTGGCAAGAGCGGCTGGGTATGAATACATTGAAAAGATGCTGAAGACGAGAAAGGGAATGCCTGGCCTCGTCAAGAGGCAGGTGAACCAAAAAGAGGGAGCAATGAGGGCGTGGGCTTGCTAGCGGGTGATGAGAGACGAAATCTCTATCATTAGGCTCTTCAGGGCGAGGCAGCGGCATTGATCCATTGTCTGAGCAGAAGCTCTCTCCTGCTCATGGCCCCATCCTTGCCGCTCGCTGCTTCTTTCCCATAGTCGATCTCTTCCGCTGCGCGGTTGCCCGGTGGGGGTGTGGGTCCGTTGTTGAGGAGCTCGAGGCAGGCGCGCGCGAGCTCTCCGTTGGAGTGGCCTTCCGACTCGAGGCGCCGCTGCCGTGCCTCGGCCAGCGTCTGTCGCACGCCGCGCCCTTCGGGCGAGGCGGCCGCGGCGAGGTTGCGCTCGTTGAGGTACGACTTGCAGAATGTGGAAGGGTGTGCGTACCGTGTCGTTTGAGCAGCCTCGCGATTTGCGCTGGGGGCCGATGCGACGAGCGATGCGCACGAGACGAGGAGCGCGACAACGAGGAGCGCAATGCGCGACAGGACGGCGTTGCCCGTCATTGTGCCACGCTTGGGTTGCCGTGTCGCCTTCGTGGACAGGAGCAAGCCTGGCGGCGGCGGCGACAGGGTTATCAGACCGAGCCCGGGGACGCTCGAAGCAGTCCCCGTTACGATCGAAGCCCGGGCCCTCTCCCTCTTTCGCGGTAGAAGCTGTGGGGGCACGGGCCTCTCCCGTTCTAAAAAAGTAAAAGAAAGTCAAACACACACACAAACGCACAAAAGCAGCTGCTGGTTTATGTTTTTTGGATCCAATTTTTTCTTTTTTCTTTTTTTGGCAAAGGCACCTTGCCTGAAGCGGCTGCGAGGTATGCGGCTCCCGTCCCTGTCACCGATTGACCCTTTGGTTTTGCCCTGGAATAAAATAAAGAAGAGAGGACCAATTGCTTCCCGCGTCACACGAGACGGGAAAGGTGGGGAGGCACGAACTCCCAGGTCCACTTTTCCCTTTCTTTATCTTTTTCTCGACAAGCTCCGATCCGATGTGTAGGCACCTGCAGAGTCTGGGCTGTGTGCGTGATACCCGGCCGAGTGTTCAGGAGGCACCATGACCCAGTGGCAGCACTAGTGGCCCGCTGCCGATGTCGATGTACTGCCTTGCCGGCGGCGGGACTTTGCACATTAGTAGTATACATGACGCGGTCTCAGAGACTAAATGATTACAAATTTGACATCAGTTTGACAGGTGGCTTGCTTGCCTGTGCCCGGCTCGCCTTTGGTGAGGCGTGACCGATTTCCTTGTCATTGCTCGAAGTCGAGATCTTCCTGTCGAGCTCTTCAAAGTCAAAGCTAGCCTTCTTCACTTCATTGCCCACCACTCTCAGACGTACAAGAGAGGGGTATCCTCGAACCCTGGAGATGTGATTCTAGAAAGCAAGCACATGCTGTGGCCCTCGCCGACGTCGCGCCCGCGAGAAGCTCATCAGCACTTCAACCTGGTCAGGCTGCAGCCCGCGCTCGAGCCGTGCCATGCGAGAGAAGAAGGCAAAGACGGCAGGGAGGCCTCGAATTGGCCAATCCCTCGATCAGATCGCTGCGGGCGCGACACGGGCACTTGCACCCTCCAGCAACTTCTTCACGGCGCACACAAGTTGACCACAAAACCACCGAAAAAAAAATGCTACGGAATCTATTTGGTGTATAGGAATCTATATGTGAGACAGGGAGATCAGAGCTTGGCGCGCATGGCGGGCACGCCCGTCTTGTTCTCCTCGGCGGCCTTGCTCGCCTCGCCGTCCTTGCCGGCGCCGGGGCCCTGGGGCGTGGCGCTCTTCTGGGGCGCGCTCCGGTACTCGGCCTTGCCCTTTTCGAGGTGCGAGAAGCGGGCGATGCCGTCCTCGTCGCGGTAGACGCCGAGCTCGATGAGCTTGGCAAAGACGTTGCTGAAATCGCGGAAGAACAGCTCCTGGTCCTCTGCGTACTTTTCCACCCACGGCCGGAACTCGGCGTCCTGGGTCAGGCTAAAGTCGGTCGGGAGCATCATCAGCGGCTCGTCGTCGTCGTCCATGCCGGCGGAGCGGGCGACCCACTGCCACGGCGCACCGTCGCGGTTGAGCTGCTTCTTCTCCCACTTGAGCTTGAGCAGCAGCTTAAAGTACTGGTTGCTGAACCGCGTCGGGTTGTTGACCCACGCGCCCTCGAAGCCGGACCGGTCCGCGTGGCACCGACCGAGGTTGTGCGCACCCGAGAGGGCGACAATCTCCTGGTCGTTGAAGCCCATGCGGTAGAAGATGTGGCGGAGGTGGTCCTGGGCCTGGGAGCCGTCGGGGAGTCGACCACGTGGTGGGAGCAGGGTCTCGTCGGCAAAGTCACTACGGCCGGCCTTCCAGGCGATGTCGGGCCCGCCCATGGCCTTGATGGCGACGACACCTGCGAGCGTCCACACTGTGGCTCAGGAGTCAGCGATGGAGTCAGCGATAGTCGATAAAAAGAAAAAAAAAATGGTGGCAAGACTCACAGTCGCTGTAGGTGATCCAAGAGTGCTTCTCCTTGATGGGCTCGAGGAAGACGCGGGCGTGCTGGAGGCCTGCGTTGGCCGGGTCGCCACCCTCGGCCTCGTAGCGCATACCCGCGCCGTTGGAGCCGCCGGTGTCGCTGTCCTTGCAGTATGTCCCGCTGGCGTGCCACGCCAGGCGCACGAGCACGGGGCCGATCGAGCCGTCGTCGTAGGGCTTCTGCTTGAGGATGCCCTGTTGCCAGTGTCTACTCGTCAGCACTGGAGAGGCATGAGAAAGAAGAAAGACTGGCAAGACTCACCACAATGTCCTTTCGGACCGCTTCAGAGAGGGGGAGAGAGAAAGGGGAAATGTCAGCGCCACTGACTGGCACGGTGGAGGCCAACACACTCGCGCTGCTTACTCACCTTCAAAGTCGCCAGGCTTCGACATGGTTGCTACTACAGTGGCGAAGGAGAGAGGAAAGGGATGATGGTGGTTTGCGGGGATGAAGTCGCAAATGCCCTCGTTTGATTCGCTCCCTTATCGAATCGGCCTCTCGTCCGCGTTCTCTCGTGACCTCGCACAGTACAGTAACCCTGGAAGGCCGCCTGCGCGCGCGTTGAAAGCAGGATCGTGAAACGCCCTCTATGTTTCGAAACTTTTTCGAAAAAAAATCCGCGCCTGATCTAATCGTTCCCCTTTCGGCGTTCGGGAGAGGCCGGCAGCCGGCAAACACGTCAAGTCCTTCAGATCGGTCATTTGATCTGTCATTTGTTTTTAGTCTGTCACTGACGTTTAATTTAGTCACGCCAGTGCAACTCGTCGCTCTCCTGGGCAGCCTGCTCTCCCAGTGCGAGAGTGTGATTCATGGGAGTGCAAATCGTGAGCAGTGTGCATCGTGAGAGCGCAGATATCAATGAATTGGTTGAGAGTGAATGAGTCGACTACGTGACAGCCCAGACAGTGATGAGAGAGAAGAGAAAGGGGAAGAGGTGAGGTGTACCACGCCACAAGCCTTGGGGGGCAAGAGGAGCGGGGGAAAGCTCACATGGCCAAGCAGGTGCAGCCGCCCGAGTGGGGCTGGTACGGGTCCTCCTTCTTGTCGACGTGGCCCCAGACGCTAGGGACGAGGTAGTCGCGGGTGCTCTTTGTGAAGCGGATCAGGCTGCTGCTCGCCTCGGAGACGCGCACCCGGGGCCGGTCGAGGTCCTCGCGCAGGCGCGCATTGTGCTCCGTCAGCCGGCGCAGCTTCATCTCCGACATTGACTGCTGGTGCGGCCGTTTCTGGTTCATCTTGCGTGTGTGCTTCTACTGCTAGAGAATGGGTGTGTGTTCGTGCTGTCGACAGAAGAGGTGTGAGTCGTGGCTCACAGGGAAAAGGAGAGAGCGCCTCCTCACCTTGGTCTCGGGCTCTATCGAACGACCGTGCTGTCAGAAATCGTGCGACTGTGAGAGGCAGCGGGGCTTCGTAAGACTGGGATGGACACAAGGCCGGACGAGGGATAATTTTCGTGTGCTGAGACTGCTCGTTCCTGGCGTGCGCTGACGATGACGATAAGGACGCCCGCTCTACTCTCTACACGTGCGCGAACAGCTGCTGGGACACAGACCCGCTGGGGGAACGACGTAGACGACAGACGAACGAGGATTGGCGGCGCGTAAAGGACAGCTGCTGCCTTGACAGGCGGTGAACAAGGTGCGGGGTGCGAGGTGCGAGGTGCGAGATGCGACGAGATGAGACGAGACAGGTGGGAGAGACAGACGGGGTAAAGTCATGCGGTGCCCAATTCCAACTTTGCAATTTAGCGCGTCTTTGGGGGAGCAATGGCTTTTCCCCTCTCTCCCAAAGTCACTCAAGGCACACAAAAGCCACACACATACACACAATTAGGCGAGAAGATGTCCACTGATAGGCGACGGACTGAGGGATGAATGTGTCTAGAATGCGATGCCATTGATACAAAGACTGAACAATCACTCGATGGTAACCCCGTACACATCCCTCGCCACCTCGTCCCAGCGGCTGCCCGGGGCCTTGTACATGCCCGCATAGTCTCGCTCGAGGTGGTGCAGCCGGTGGCCGACGAGGACGAGGCTGTGGAGCGGCGGGCCATAGGCCTTGACGGCCCGCGCGGCAGCACGCTGGGCACGCCGCTCGTCGAGCTGCTCCTCGCTGGCCATCTCATCGGCGTCGTCCTCGGCCTCGTCCGCGCGCGCCTCGTCGACCGAAGGCGACGCCAGTGCCAGCAGCTCACCCAGCGTGCCTGACACAATCAGCTCCGAATCGGTGCCCATGCGGCACAGCGCCACGGCCAATGTCTTGTCGGCCGACAGCACCGGCTGCCCGTTGCCTTCTGCGCCCGCACCGGCGTGGTGCTGGGAGGCGGCGAGGAGCTGGGTGATGAGCTGGGGCACAAGCATGTAGCGCGGCGGCTGGTACCGTTCGATGCCTCTGTTCTGCCTCAGTCAGCTGCATTTCAGCGATAAGAGAAGGCCACAGAGTCTGGTGGACGCACCTGGCCATGTCCGCCTGGCTCTGCTCTCGCACCTTGATGTCGCCCAGGACGAGTGTGTGGTTGCCGATGGCCATGTTCTCGGCGATGCGCGCGAGCCAGCTGTCGGGCCGCCATGCCTCGGTCCAGAAGGGCACGCTGATCGTCTGGCCAAAGTTGTACGGCTGCAGGCCACTCGAGGCAATGGCCGTCATGATGCTGGCGTTGTGGATGATGCGCACGGCGACGCCCTTGGCGCGCGCCCGCAGGATGAGGTCCGTGTGCGTCGTCGCGCTCAGCGGGTCGCCCACGACCAGAAAACTCACGTCGGCCTCGGCGGCCTTGGCGAGGATGTCGTCGGCCTGCAGCTCGACGACCTCGCGGTGGGCGAGCACAATCGGCCGGCCGTACAGCGCCTCGAGCCGGCCGTGGTAGCCTTCGGACATGAGGATCGACGTGTAGGACTCGAGGTACACCTCGACGCTGCCGCGCACCGCCTCGAGCCCGCGCAGCGTAATGTCCTTTTCGTCCCACAGGCCCAGCCCAATGACGTAGAGGACCATGTTTGCTCTTCTTCTCCGACAGAGCAGCTCCTTCTGACGCGCGAGCGTGCGAGAGAGATGGAGAAGAAAAAAGATTAAATTTTTGGGCTTTTCGGGACACGGGAGTTTTTCTCCTCTCTCAGTCCTCAAGAGGCGACGACGACGGCGAAGGAGGCGCACCACCGAGGACCATCTGAGCAAAGGCGAGCGACACCTCTGCTGCCTTTTCGCGCCGCTTCTCGGGGTCTGCAATTGATCTGACCCGCTCGGCCTGGGCCTGCACTGCACTCAGCGTTGCTTCGAATTCAATGCCCGGTCCGCCTGGTGCTGTGGTCATCGCGGACGAAGCTTGACCGTGACTTGAAAGGAGCTCCCCATCCTTGTCCTCGCCCTCGTGCTGAGCTTGGCCGCTGACAAAGTCTGAAAAGTCGTCATCGAAGGCGTCGGCACCATCCTGCTCCGCTGCACCACTCTTTGGCCACGCTTCTGCGGTACTGCTGGCCGTAGCCGTGGCCGTAGCCCTGGTCGTAGTCGCAGCCGCAGTCGTGCTCTGCGCCGAGGCAAGCCCCGGCCAGGCCGGATCCTCGCTCGCCAGAAAGTCCTCGAGCTCCTGATGCACGTCTCTGTGCTGACCACCTCCACTGCCCACCGTAGCAGCAGCAGCAGCGGAGGAAGGCGGCTGCTGCGCAAAGAGGCCTGCTCGTTGGGCGTCGTTGATGCGGTCGAGAAAGGCCCGCGCGAGGGCCTCGTCCTGCGCCGTCGGCTCAGCTCCAGCATCGCCCTGCCCCGGCAGTCTGGCCAGGTCAAAGACATCCAATGGGTCGTCTTGGAATTCATCTTCGTCTTCGTCACCGTCGAGGCCATCGCCGCCGTGCCAGTCGGAGAAGCCGTTTGCGCCGCCGGGTGCAGGTGCCCGGGGCTGCTGGCCTGCCTCGCTGCGGACCTGGGCCAGGCGGGCACTGCGTGCGGCCCGCGCCTCGTCGCCGTCTTTGCGCACGAGGTTGGGCCATGTATGCGTCATGAGTGCCTCCCTCACGCGCTCCAGGCCCTTTTCCTCGGCTGCTCCTGCCTCCTCTTCCTCTTCTTCTTCAATCGTCCCAGGTTCAGCATCGGAGCCAGGGTCAGAGCCAGAGAGTGCCGAGAGGAGATCGTCGTTGTCGTCGTCGTCGAGGAGGTCGACAAATTCCCAGCCGTGGCCCGTATAGAGGTCGAGGACCTGCTCGGCAGGGCCTGCAGAGGCTCGCGTCGAGGGGCCTGGGCCATAGTCGTCCAAGGAAGAGGCAGGCTCCAGTGGGCGAAGCGGCGGGGGAAGCGCAACGACGAGGCTGACGGCGAGGTCGAAGCCCGAGAGGCCGAGGTCGCTCTGCTCGAGGGCGGCCAGCAGCTTCTCGTGCTCGCTGTACGGCTGTGTCGCGGCGTTGCATGCGTGAACTCAGAAAGATAGAGGAAAAGGGGCAGAAGCAGCACTCACCTGGCTGCGGTCCACGACGAGCACGACAGCATCGACGCCATCGAGGTGCGTGGCGATGTGCCGCACCGCCTCGTCATCGATGGCGCCGGGCGTCGCTCGCACCCGCGCTGCCCCGCCTGCCGGCCGGTCGAGTGCCTCAAACACATCCCTGACACGCGCCTGCAGCGCCGCATCGTCTTCTCTTTCTTCTTTTTGCTCTTCCTCCTCTTCTTCGCCTTCCCCGCCGTCTTCGGACTCATCATCGTCTGGCGGCCGATCTCGACTGGGCACGCCCTTGACACGCCTCGACGACAGCTGCGTCGCTGCGCCTGCGCCTGCGCGCGTGTGGAACAGCTGGCAGGCAAGCACCTCAAAGTGCACCTCGGCCGTGTAGTACCGGTTCGAGATCGTCCATGCAATCGCCGCCTCGCCGTCCTCGTGCTCGTCCTGCGCCACAATGGCTGCAGGTCCGCTGTCAGTCTCGTTCTGTCTCTCTCTGAGGGAGCGCGCCGACCTGACTCACACTGGACGAGGGCGACGAGTTGCGGGTGCGCCAGGTGCGCATGCGTCTGTGCCCAGGGCGAGAGCACGACGATGCGCGAGCCCCGGTCCGCTGCGTCCATTTGTCGATGCCGATACCGATGCTCGCTCTCTCGATGATCTGACTGGTGCGCCTGGCACTACCATTTAGACTGCGTGCACTTTCGAGAGCGATGGGTCCATGCCCGACTCCCGCGACTCGTGCGACGCGTGCGTGTGCCGCCGTCATCCACAGGCAAGTCACCCCGACTACCTCTCAAGCACACAGAGCGGTGCAGACGGTACCTTTGTATCAGAGCACTCATGCGCAAGGGATAGATCAGAGGGACAGTCCCCTCTCTGCCTCGAAGACGGCCAGCTAGAAGTTCGCACCTGTGTCTCTACTGTACAAATACATATGTGCGCCTGCCCCTCTCTACTCGTCCTGCGGGCCCTGGGTGCCGCCGCTGCCGGTGTGCTGCGCAGGGACTGGGGCCGTGGCGCCCGTGATGAGGTCTATTTCATCTGCTCAGCCTCTGCTTCTTTCCTTATATCTGGGCGCTAATGCTGCGCGCTCACTCACCTTCGATGGACGTCTCGAGCGCGTCGATGCGCTCGCTCATCTCCTTCACTGTGTGGGCGCGCGGCACATTGCGAGTCAGTCTGTAATTAGAGCCAGTAAAGCAAGAGCAACGGGCCACGCACTGCGGAGGTCGACCTGGGAGGACATCGAGGCGAAGCGCGCCTCGAGCTGGTCGAGGACGCCGTCGACCCAGTCGGTGAGCTCGTGGGGCGACGAGATCTGGCCAAAGGCGCCCATGTCCGTCACCGGGCCCGCGGCCAGGGCAGGTGCTGCAGGTGCCGCCGAGCCGGCCAGCGGCACCTCGCTGTCCTTTGTCGTTGCTGCTGTCCCCGTTGCCGTTCCCGTTCCCGTCGTTGTAGTTGTTGTCGCTGCTCCTGCTGCTGCATTCGCCCCGCCAGAGCCGGACTTGAGCGCGGGCGTCGTCGAGAGCGGCGCCGCGTCGCCCTTTGCAGCCGCGGCGAGCGTCGACATGGCTTGGTCTCTCTTCTCTCCCACTTCAACTGGCCAAGTCTCTGGTTGGGCCTGGTCGAATCTTGAAGCTCTTGTCGAAACGGCCGCCTCCAAGTGTCAATTGCAGCCTCGCGTTTGAAATCACGTGTCTCGTCGCACCCCCGCACTGACCTCTCTCCACACCGGCACAGACACAGACACAGGCACAGGCACATACAGACCTACGGCCTAAAGAGAAGCAGAGCCATGTCGACGCCATCGCAAGCGCTGCCGCCGAGCCGCTTCGACGCCGAGGCGGCTGCATGGGACAGCAAGCCCGAGGTGGTGCGCTCGTCGCAGGCCTTCTACGAGGCGCTCCTGGCGCACGAGCCACGGCTGACGCAGGCGGGCGCCAACCTCGCTGTCCTGGACCTCGGCTGCGGGACGGGCCTGGTGAGCGAGCGCCTGGCGCGCTGTGTGGGCGTCGAGCGCATCGTGGGTGTCGATGCGAGCACGGGCATGATCTCGATGTGAGTCGGGCCGGCCACTGCGTTCACGGAGAGAGAGATGTGGCTGATGCTTTGCGTGCGCCCAGGTTCAACGCCAAGCGCGAAAGGGTCGAGGGCGGGCACAAGATGCAGGGCCACGCCAAGCTGCTCGAGGTGCGTCCTGCTCGTCGTTATTGTAGCACAGAGGCAAGAGAGCTGAAACGCGCTTGGGATGCAGGACCCCGATGACCCCGTGCTGCAGGGCCAGCGCTTCGACGTGGCCTACATGCACCTGACGCTGCACCACATTGAGCATATGGCCGACACGGTCAACGTCGTCGCCGCCACGCTGCGGCCGGGTGCTGGTGCGCTGCTCGCGCTGTCCGATTTCGAAAACGACGGCGAGCACGCCAAGCGGTTCCACCCGGCCCACAAGCACGGCGACGTCGAGCGCCACGGGCTCACGCACGCCGAGATGCAAAGCCTCCTCGTCGGCGCGGGCCTTGCGGACATCAGCGTCACGCGCAGCTTCAGCCAAGACAAGACGCTCGAAGACGGCTCCAGCGACGCCTTTGCCTTTGTCCTCGGCCTGGGCACGCGGCCGTGAGGGCCTTCTTCCTCTTCTCCCACCACTCCTCCTCCTTTCCTCTCATCTCATTCCGCTCTAGTCACTCTGGTCACCCCAATCACTCTGGTCACTCCAGTCACTCTGGTCACCCCAATCACTCATGGGTAGAAATACATTGCTCGTCGATCTGCTACTAGTCATCATGCCTCGTCAAAGAGAATCGAGGGCGTGAGACGGAAGGAGAGGCAGTACATGTCCTTGTTGGGCGCCACGGCACGCACGTAGTGCAGGCTGAGCTCGGGTGTGGGTGTGTTGCCTCCACCATCGTCGGTCGTCTGCTGCTGCTCCTGCTGCTGCTCTTTCTTCTCCACCGTCGGTGAAGCACCCCGCGCCTTGGCGGCGACGAGCGTCGAGAGGAGCGCGCGGCGGTCCGGCGGGGGCGAGGGCGGCGGCACGAGGCGGCGTGGCCCATCGCCAAGGCCGAGGATGTGGCTTGCGCGCGCGCAGATGTCCTCGTGGGGCCGCTCGAGGTCCTTTGTGAAGCAGTGGACATGCACCATGGGCCAGGCCGCCGTGCCCTCTTCGGAGGCGCGCCGGGCTACCTCGGCGTCCAGTTCGGGCCCGGCGATGGGTCTGTATGCGCCCCGGAAGGCATCGAGGAACTCGAGCGCCGACGCGGGCAGGTTCATGACAAAGTCGTCGATGAGCCGCTGCGGGGGTGCGCGCGAGATGGCTGCCGGCTCCTTCTGCTCCTGCTTTTGCTCCTTGTCCTGTCCCTCCATCTGCTGCTTGTCCTGCTGCTTGCCCTGCTGCTTGCCCTGCTGCTGCTCCTGGTTTTGCTGCTTCTGCTGCTTGGCCTGCGCCTGCTCCCGCTGCCGGCGCCGGCGCTCGTGCTCCTCGCGTGCGCGCTCCTTGCTGCTCTTGACGTTGCTCGCCTGGCGCAGCGCCGCCGCATCGCCGCCCAGCGGCCGTCCTTCAAACGGCTGATTCCAGCAATCGACGATGCTGCGCCGGATAAAGTCGCGCCCGTCGAGGCACGCCGGCCGCACATTGGCCGCGACGTGGTTGCGCGCGGCATTGGCACACAGCGCCGCGTGGCTCGCGGGGTTGAGGTCGTTGGCGAGCACCCAGCAGCCTTTACGTGCGGCGGGCACGGCAAATGGCCCGACGCCGGCCATGACGTCGCAGACGACGGCGTAGGGCGCAAAGCGCGCCACGAGGCGTGCGTGCTCGGCGTGTAGCCGCGAGTTCCAGTACACGGTGCGAAAGTCAAACGCAAACGAGCAGCCGCCCTCGGACAGGACGACGGCATAGTCGTCGGCACCTGCGAGGCGCTCCATGGCAAAGAAGCGAAACTCGGCATCGATGGTGTCGAGCTTGTTGACGACGGTGCGCACCATGCGGGCATTCTTGTCCAGGATCACCTGCCCGATCACGTGGCGGTACGGCAGGTAGTCGGCGCGCAGGTTCAGGTGCGCAATGTGGCCCGTCGAGGTAAAGGCGGTGGGCGTGCCCTCGGGCAGGCCGAGCGGCAGCAGCGCGCCCAGCACCTCGTCGGCCGTCCAGTGGCCGTAGTCGACGGTGAGGTGCTGCTGCGTGGGCTGGGCGTGGCCTTCTTCTTCTTCTCTGGCAGCAGCGGCCTCTTCCAGAAAGTGCCGCGCCCGCTCGTCGAGATCGTCGACGGCGGCGACATTCAGCAGGAGAATGCGCCGCGACGCATCGCCCGCGTCGTCGGGCAGCAGGTGCTTGACCTTGGGCAGCCGCAGCACCGCGCCCTTGATCGCCGGCTCTGCCTGGATCCGCGTCGCCTGCCGCCCAGCGATGCGCAGGCCCACGAGGGGCAGCCGCAGCGTGAATTGGTCCCGGAGGCCGTCGAGGAACCCGCTCGGATCGGCGGCCGTCTGCTGCACAAACGCCTCGGCGGCGGCGCTCCCGGGCTCGAGCCGCGGCAGCCGCTCGACGCTCGCCGGCACCGCCAGCCGTGTGAGTCGTGGAGTCCGGGTCTCAGTCGTACCTGCCGCTGCCATCGAGGCTGAGGGGGAAAGGGACGCCATCGTGCGTCGCGCCGCCGGTCCACCAACGAGCCTGCCTGCGATGCGGTGCACGGCCCTTTGCATGCGCCTCCCGTCCAGCGGCCCGTGTGCTCTCGAGATCTCGTACTCCTACTCTCACTCGTGGCCCGCCTGCAAAACTCTCGAAATCTTGGCCTTCCGTCGCGCTTCTTCGATCGTGTGAGATGGGATCTGCGACGAGAAGATTGCGTGTTTGTTTTTTCCAACTTTTCCTCTTTCTTTTCCCACTTTTCTCCGTGGTCCACCGGACATAAAGTGGATGGATCCCTGGCCACGCGTCTGTCAATTTGCGCGCGGACCCCCGTCTGACGGAATCCATCGCTTCTTCGCTCACTCAGGCGGACGACTCTTCCAAGCGACGAAGAAGAAGAAGAAGAATGGCTGCTGCTTCGACGCCGATGAACGGGACAGGAGCAGCAGCGGGTGGAGAGCACGCGCGGCATGCGTACGCACGCACGATCCTGGGCCCTGCGCTCGCCGAGCGGCTCCGCACGGCGCGCGTCCTCGTCGTCGGCGCCGGCGGCATCGGCTGCGAGCTGCTCAAGAACCTCGTCCTCGTCGGCGTCGGCCATGTGGACATCATCGACCTCGACACAATCGACCTGTCGAACCTCAACCGGCAGTTCTTGTTCCAAAAGGCGCACATCGGCCGGCCCAAGGCGCTCGTCGCTGCCGCCACTGCGCGCCAGTTTGTCGCCCAGGCCTCGGTGGCGCCCCACCACGCCAACATCAAGGATACCCGCGCCTTTGGCTGGACGTATTTCGCGCACTTCGACGCCGTGTGCAACGCCCTGGACAATCTCGATGCGCGGCGCTGGGTGAATGCGATGTGCGTCCAGACGGGCGTGCCCCTCGTCGAGAGTGGCACGACGGGCTTCAACGGGCAGGTGCAGCCGATCTGTCCAGGCACGACCGAGTGCTTTGACTGCGTGGGCAAAGTGACGCCGCGCACGTACCCCGTCTGCACCATCCGCTCCACGCCCTCGGCGCCCGTGCACTGCGTCGTGTGGGCCAAGACGTGGCTCTTTGGCCAGCTGTTTGGCGCGCAGGACGAGAGCGAGGACGCGGAGCTGGAAAAGGCGCTTGCCGAGGGCGAGAATGCCGACGAGATTGCGAGCCTGCGCAAAGAGGCGAGCGAGATGCGCCGTGTGCGCGAGGGCGTGCTTGCGCTGGATGAGGATGACGAGGCAGGCGAGGCAGGCGAGGAGAGAGAAGTCAAGGCAGCCAGAAGCGTCTTCGACAAGGTCTTCAAGCACGACGTCGAGCGCCTGCTCAGCATGGACGACATGTGGCGCGCCCGCCGGCGGCCCGTCCCGCTGGCCTTCGATGGGGCGATGAGAGCAACCGACGAGGAGAGGCAACCACAGGAAGAAAGAGGAGAAAGCAACCTGCGCGACCAGCAGCGCCTCTCGCTCCGCCAGACGGTGCAGCTGTTCCAGCGCAGCCTCGTGGCGCTGGCCCGGCGTGCGCGCGCCAGTGGCGAGCCGCAGTCGTTTGACAAGGACGACGACGATGCGCTTGATTTCGTCACGGCGACGGCGAACCTGCGCAGCCGCGTGTACGGCATCGGCGAGCAGACGCGCTTCCAGGTCAAGGAGATGGCCGGCAACATCATCCCTGCCATTGCGTCGACGAATGCCGTCACGGCGGGCGCCCAGGTCCTGCAGCTGCTCCACGCCCTGGGCCGCGACTGGGCGCGCGCGCGCCTCATCACGCTCACGCGCTCCAACGGCACCCGCCTCCTGACGAGTGCGCGCCTGGGTGCGCCCAATGCCGCGTGCGGCGTGTGCCAGGACGTGTACATGCGCGCGTGCGTCGACGTGCGCAAGTGCACAATTGGCCACGTCGTCCGCCTCGCGCGCCAGGCTCGCGAGCACGGCGGGCTGGGCTTTGACGCGGAGGGCATCGAGGTATACGAGGGCACGCGCCTGCTCGCCGACGAGGACTTTGACGACAACGTCGACAAGCCGCTCGCCGACGTCGGCCTCGCGCCGGGCATGACGCTCACCCTCGTCGACGACGACGGCGCCAAGGCCAGCCTCAACCTTGTTCTCGATGAGTTGCCAGCCGGCGACGGTGTGATCGATGTCGGTCCGGCTGATGCGCTGCCTGCGATCAAGGACCGTGCCAAGCTGCCAGGGAACAAGCACGGCCACGGCGACGATGATGATGACGACGACAGCGCCGTCGAGGAGGTGCAGACGCCGCTGCCGCCCAAGAAGCGCGCGCGGCAGGAGCCTGAGAAGGAGGCACGAGGCGCCGGCGAGGAGGCAGACTCGGCACCGGCGGCAAAAAGGGCAAGGGTGGCTGCTCCGGCCATGAGCAACGGCACCGCGCACGGGGCCACGGGCGCCGACGAGGGCTCGGCCATTGAGCTAGACTAGGCATCTGTAGACGGCTCCTCTTCACTCAATTCATTCACTGTACTCTATCCCGATCTGCTTCCTCCCCTATATCTACATCTACATGTGTGTCTCTTCTGCTCGAGTGAGCACGTAAAAGCAGCGATTGGCGACGACGGCGCGGCGGCGGCGGCGGTGTGCGCTCGGCCGCGCGCGTGGCTTGGCTGGTCAGATTGGAAATTGAGACGCCCAAAAAGAAGCGTCGCCGCGCACACACTTTATTTTGCCAGTCTCAGGTTGGAATCAGGCGAGAATCTCTCTGCCTCTCTCTCTCACACACACACGCTTACTTTCTTCTCGCAAAAGCAGCGCGGGAATGGCGTCGTGCTGCCCCGGCCACGATGCGCTCGCGGCGACGCCTGGCATGCTCGCGCAGGCGTATGCCGCCTCGCCGTACCTGACTGCGCTCCTGCTCGGCCCGCCGCTCCTCGGCCTCGTGCTCCTCTACCCGGCCCTCGTCGTGCTCTCGCCCAGCACACAGCGGCGGCGCCTGCCCGCGTGTGCGTCCGTGTACTACGACCATCGTGCAAAGTCAGAGGGGCGAGATGAAGAGGAGAAGCTGGCGAGCCTCGTTGGCGACGAGGCGTCGGTGCAGCTCAGCGTCGTGGTGCCTGCATACAACGAGGCGCGCCGGCTGACTCGTATGCTCGACGAGGCCGTTGCATGGCTCGACGGCGTGCGTGTGCGCGGCGAGAGCCTCGTGGGCGATGTCGGCGATTCAAAAGGCAGTCTTAGTGACGAGAACGACGACGAGAACGACGACGGACGCGGCGTGCGAGACGCCCTCGTGGGCCGCCTCGACTCGTACGAGATCCTCGTCGTCGACGACGGCTCCACCGACGACACGGCGCGCATCGCGTCCGAGTACGCCGCGGGACAACAGCAGGTCCGCGTCGTGCGCATGGGCATCAACTGCGGCAAGGGCGCCGCGGTGCGCCACGGCGTGCTCCATGCGCGCGGCCGCGTCATCCTCTTTGCCGATGCCGACGGCGCGAGCCGCTTTGCCGACCTGCGCGTGCTGTCGCGCGAGCTGGCGCGCATTCAGACTGGTGCCGGCCACGGCGTCGTCTGCGGCAGCCGCGCCCACCTCGTCGGCAGCGAGGCCGTCGTGCAGGTGAGTCACCCGCCTTTGTTCTGGTCAGTGAATGCATGCTGATGAGTGCCGCCGGCTGCAGCGCTCGTTTGTGCGCAACTTTCTCATGCACGCCTTCCACCTCGTCCTCGCCCTGCTGCTGCGCCCGCCCTCGCCGTCTGCGCTCCTCGCGCGCCTCGCCCCTGCGTCTGTGTTTGGCCGTCGTGGCGGCGGGAATGGAGCTCGCGTCGCGCTGCCGGCCCAGCCCGCGATCCGCGACACCCAGTGCGGCTTCAAGCTCTTCAGCCGGCCCACGGCACAAGTCGTCTTTCCGCGCGCACACATCGACCGCTGGATCTTTGATGTCGAGCTGCTGCTGCTCGCCGAGATGGCGAGCCGCGCGACGCTGCTCGATGCTGCTGCGCGTGGGCACGAGTGGCGGCGGCGGAGACCCTCCAGCAACGGCGAGGCAAGGCAGGCACAGACGAGCAACGGAGGAGCCGAGTCCACCAACCTCAAGGCCGCACAGGGAGAGGCCAAGCATAGGGAAGGGCAGGAAGAGGCCACGCACAGGGACGGACTGCGCGACGACGTGCTGCTCCGCCTGCCCGTGCCCATCGCAGAGGTCGCCGTCCAGTGGGCCGAGGTCGAGGGCAGCAAGATTGCCCTGCTCCGCGACTCGGTCGGCATGGCCCTCGACCTCGTCGTCATTCGCGCAAACTACGCCCTGGGCCGCTGGGCGCGCCCGCCGAGCCTGCTGTCGGTCGGCGAGAAGCCAGCCTGCTGCCAGTAGTAGTAGATTCATTATCAAGCAATACACAAGTACAAATACAGTGGCACTTCTCTCTCTTCAGTTGTTCCTGTGCTCCACTAGTCAGCCCTCTGCCAAGACCATGCGCACTGACGAAAGGGGTCACACTCACTGGCTGAAGTTGTAGTTGCACTTGGGGCACGTGTAGAACACGGTGCTGCCCTCATCGGCGCTGCGCAGCTGGAGCGTGTGAAAACGCATCTCGTCGTGGCCGCAACCCGGGCATTTTTCGCGGATCGTCGCTTCGTCTTCCTGGGCGGCGGCTTGGGCCTCGCTGGGCGACTTTGTCTGCACGAGCTGCCGCGCGCGCCGCAGGGCCGAGGGAAACGCCGAGGGGTGCGACGTCGTGATGATTGTCTGGTTGTCGTAGACTGGTGTTAGATGTGTCAGTCTCACTTCACACGCAGAGCAGAGGGGGAAGAGGGGAGAGAGAGAGGGAGAGAGACGACTCACGCGAGGCATCCTGCACGTGGCCGCACGGCTCGCACTTGATCACGTCCTCGTCCGACGGCACATCGAGCAGCGAGCCGCAGGCGGGGCAGAAGAGCAGCGAGCCCACCTTGTCGCCCACGGTGGCCTGGCGCGACGAAGAGGCCATTGTCGCTACCCGCTGCTGTTCGATCGGGTCTTTTGTTGAGATGGGAAACGACACACACACAGTCTCCTTCTAAATTTTTAAACTTTTTTTTTTCTTCCAGAGACACGTGAGCGAGCTATTAGTAGGATACAAATGGCGGCTATTGCTCAAGATGGCGGCTATTGCTCCAAGGTGGCGGCGGCTATTGCTTCCTGGCGCGCAGCCTGGCCTGCGAGGAGGATGAGTCTAGTGCGGTGCTTCCTGCTGTCTGTTCTATTGATGATGCTCGGCCTGCTTGTGCGAGCTTCCCGTCCTGTACGCTGCCCTTGTCCTTCTGTTCGTGCCGCGCCTTGTCCGTCTGTTCGTGCTGCGCCTTGTCGGCCGCCGCGCGCCGCTGCTGCTGGCCGGCCCCGACGGCGTAGCCCACGGTGCCGAGGCAGACGGCGGCGGCGCCCGCCGCAAGCATGACGACGCCCTCCTGTTGCGCCTCGCCGCGTGCAGGGGCAAGCACAAGAACAGAAATGGCGAGGCTGACGGCCTTGCGCACGACGAGGACGAGCGTGACGGTGAGGCTCGACACCTGCGCCGTCAGCCGGTTGACGCCGTTGATGCAGAGGAGCTGGGTGAGGATGTTGAGCAGGAGCGAGGGAAAGAGCGCGGGCACGTCGAGGCCGAGCAGCCCTCCCTGCGCCTTGCCTGCCGTGGTGGAATATGACGGCCCAATGTGCACGCGCGGGCCGGCCTTGGCCTGGGCCCACTCGGCGGCGAGGGTGCCGCGGCGGATGGCAAAGAGGGGCATGCTGAGAAAGTGGTTGTAGAAGAGGGCCTCGCGCCAGTGCTGGCTGCCGTACTGGGCAAAGGTGCCCTCCTGGTAGAGGCCCATGAGCGACGAGAGGACGAGGGCGAGGACGAGGAGGCCGATGCCGCTGAAGTACGTGAGCGAGCTGACGGCAGTCGTCGAAGAAGAAGAAGCTGCCTCTGACGACGGCGTCGTGGCCAGCGTCGCGGCAATGACACCGCCCGTGACGGCGACGACAGACACAATCTGGAGGGCCGAGTAGCGGCGCCGGTGAATGAGCCAGCCGAGGGCCATGTTGACGACGAGGCCGCCGCTGCGAAAGATGATGTGGACGGGGACGGGGACGTGAAAGGCAAAGGCCGAGTTGTTGAGCAGGGAGCTGGCAAAGTACAGGAGCACCTGCATCGCCCAGCGCGACACGGGCACGGCGGGCGTGCGCAGGCGTGGAAACGCAGTAGTGTCTTTCCACTCGAGCTGGCCGGGCAGCGTCTGGAGGGTGGTGCAGGCAAAGTGGAGAAAGGTGAGGAGGGTGCCGCACGAGGGCTGCTGCCGCGTGGCCTCCTCGAGGTAGTAGGCGTTGGCGCAGCAGCCGCCAAAGATGAGCGAGAGCGTCAGCGACCACTCTGGCACGAGTGCCAGCATGTACGCGGCCCCGGTCATCGCACTCTGACTTCGCCTGCTTGCTTTTGGGGAAGAGTGAGTGAGTGAATCAGGCGATCTCAGGCTAAACTTAGTAAGAAGAAGCAAGCAAGATGCGCGCGCGCGGGCTGGCTGCACTCGGCCGGGGCAGGCAGCAGCCAGGCAGGCGCGTGCGAGCTTTATTTTTTACGGCCGATATTTAGACTTGGGGACTGACGTGGAAGAGACAACCCACATCATCGCTCGCTCGCTTCTTCTACAGCGACGAGTAGAGGGGCGCCCCGACGACAACAAAGAAGAAGTAGAAAAAGGATGAGCCGGGTCGCCGTTGCTGTGCTGCTGCTGCTTGCCAGCCTGGCCAGCGCCGCCCTCTTCCCCGACCGCACGCCGGTGGTCAACGTGGCGAATCCATCGCACTTTCGCAAAGAGGTCCTGGCCATCGAGAAGCCCACGCTCGTCGCCTTTACCGCGCCCTGGTGCGGCCACTGCCAGCGCCTCGTGCCCCACTTCCACGGCGCCGCCTCCAAGCTCGACGGCGTCGTCAAGTTTGCCAATGTCGACTGCGACGCCGAGGCCAACAAGGCCACGTGTGCCAAGTACGGCGTCCGTGGGTTCCCCACCATCAAGGTCTTCCCCGCCTCGAAGCGCCGTCTGCCGAGGGACTACGAGCGCGAGCGCACGGAGCAGGACCTCGTCACGTACGCAGAGGGCCTGCTGCCCGCGAGTGCGCGCAAGCTCCAGGCCGCCGAGCTGCAGGTCTGGGTCGACAAGGACGTGGAGCGGCCCAAGGTCATCCTCTTCAGCACGCGGTACGTCTCTTCTTCTCTTTTGCGCATTCTCTCTTGTGTAAAGCTGCCTGCTGACGACGAGTTGAAATAGACCGGTGGCCTCGCCCGTGTACCGCTCCCTCGCGCTCGACTTCCGCTCGTCGGTCGACTTTGCGCACATGCGCGGCGACGAGCAGGTCGTGCGCTCCGCTGCGCGCCTCGCCCTGGGCCTCGACATGGCCACCGAGCGCGACCTGCCCGTCCTCGTCATCCTCCCCGCGCGCTCCACGGGCGTCGAGCTGGAAAAGAGCGAGTTTGAGACGTATGCCGGCAAGCTCAAGTACTGGCCCGTGAAGCGCTGGCTCGACGAGGTGGTGCCCAAGATGGGTGCGCAGGTGGGCAAGAAGGCCGCCGCGCCGCCCAAGAAGGCCGCCAAGAAGGCGCCGACGGTCAAGCCCAAGAAGGCCCCTGCGAAGCCGCCGGTGGAATACTACGACGGCGACAAGGAGAACATCGTCCCCGACGGCGGCTTCGTCGAGTGGAAGGCGGCCAAGAACGACTTTGGCCGGCCGGGCACGTATGCATCGAGCTACGCCGCGGGCGACGACGCACAGACGGAGACGCACATCCGCGTCAGCGAGCCTGGCGGAGAGCCAACCAGGGAGGAGGAGCAGCAGCAGAAGGAAGATGCAGAGTCAAAAGACGAGCCGCTGATGGACACCGAGGAGCCGATGCGCGAGACGTTCCGGGGCAAGATGCTCGACATTGAGCGCGCGGGCCAGCTCGCCGACGAGATCCGCGCACAGCGCAAGCAGGTCCAGGAGGAGGCCAAGCGGCAGAAGCAGATGCGCAGCCCGCGAGCCAAGAAGGAGGAAAAGACGGCCGACGGCGACGAAAAGGAAGGCCTCATGGACAGGGCCAAAAAGGCCCTCGACGACGCCGGCGGACGCGCGTCAGACGCCCTCGGCAAGCTCTTTGACTCGGAAGGCGAGGAGGAGGGGGCATCGTCACCCTTCAAAGCAAAGGGCCGCGCACTCATGGCCCAGTTTGAAAAGTGGATGTCGGGCGAGGACGTCGAGTGGAGCGAGGAGCACGCCGACGTGTACGAAGAGGCGCAGCGCGAGGCCGAGGCGCTCCTGGCGCGCGACCCAGAAAAGGCGCGCGAGCTGGCATGGCAGAGCGAAAAGTGGCTCCTCGACGAGCTCGAGGCGGACCGGACGCGCATGGCGGGCATCATGACGCAGCGCCAGCGCAAGCAGGTCGACGACATGATCGACCTCGTCAAGGGCCGCCTCAGCGAGCGCGACAGCGGCAAGGACGTCTTTGAGCGCACCGACGCCGCCAACCCGCTGCCGGATGGGGACGAGCCACAGGAGATCGAGCACGATGACAGCAAGTCAAACAAGGGCGAGGACAAGTCAAAGAAGAGCGAGCACGGCAAGGACAAACCAAAGAAGGTCACGCATGAAGAGCTGTGAAGGAGACGGCTGTGCAATGGAAGCATTACTTGAATTTTGACACACAGTATGAGAATGAAGAAGCGATGAAAAACTAATGTGTGTGTTGAGAGTGAGAGACGGTGCTCACAACCGGTCCGGCTCGTCGTCCTCATAGTCGCGCAGGATCTCGGCGTCGTCGTCGGTGTGCAGGCCGCGGTAGCCGCCGTAGCTGCCAGCGGGCCGCGTGCGGAGCCAGCCGCCGACGAGGGGCAGGCGCTCGGCAATGTCGAGGGAACGCGCCCAGACGAGGCCGGCGGTGCCGACGATGAACCAGGGCACCGAGGCGAGCGTCTGGACGAGCTTGCTGTCGCCGCCAAAGTAGTCGTCGGTGCCGCCGATGCCGCTGCCCTGGGGCAGCCGGATCGCGCCGGGCCGGCGGTGGTGCGGCGACGTTGAGCCGGAGCGCCGGGTCCACCAGGCGCCCACGAGGGCGGCGAGGAGAAAGGGCGCCAGCAGCAGGCTCGTCCACCAGAGGAAGCCGTGGCGGCGGAGGCTGGTGGGGCACACGTGCCGTGCGCCGCGGTCGGGCCGGAGGCCGCCGTCGCAAGAGCTGTGCGGCACGCGGCGCATCGACGTGGGCTCGTAGTAGTAGTCTCCAGCTGGACCGTCGCACTGCTCGGCCATCGTCGCCGTCGGGCCCAGGGCGCGCGAGCCGGGGTAGGGCAGGCACTTGTTGTCCGGGTCGGCGGGGTCGGGGAAGAAGTTGAAGTTGCACTCAAAGTCCTGCATGGTGCACGTGCAGTTGCGCACCACCTCGCGGTGCTCGTACAGCTTGCGGCCGACGTAGCAGTCGGCGGTGCGCTTGCGGCGCCAGTACGACACCTCGCGGCCAAACAGGCAGCGGTCGTTGGCACCCTCGGACGGGCTCCAGAGCTCAAAGTCGCCCTTGTCTGGATTCTTGGTGTCCAGGTGGCACTTGTTCGACGACAGGCTCGAAAAGTCGAGGTGGATGGCCACGGCCTGGTTGGCGGAGCGCGTCGTGGTGCCCAGGAGGATGAACTTGCGGTGCGTGTCCTCGGGCACAGTGACAATGTTGGTCACGCGCACCTTTTCGCCCTGCTCGCCAAAGCGGTACTCGCGCCAGCTGAGCCCTTCGTCGGTCGAGTAGAGGACCGTGTCGGTGGCCTGCTCGTCGTTGACGAGAACCAGAAGAGAGCCCTGGTCGCCGTACTCCCACTTGTGCGCATCCTTGTGCACCTCTTCCCACGTGAAGCCGCCGTCGCGCGTGAGGAAAGTGTCGGAGTCACGGTAGGGCGCCAGCGTCTTGCCGACGTTGCCCACGGCGAGCATGAAGCCGACGGCCGAGGGGCTGCTGTACGTCGAGCGCGGGTCGTCGCGCTCGGTGTAGCCATGGAGGTGGAGCTGGCAGCCGACGTCGTTGCAGGCGTATGGCTGGCCTCTGACGTCGCGTTCGGGCGGCGTGAGGGGCCGCCATCGGCCGCCGTCGTTGTGGGTGATGCGCGTCTGGAGCGTCTTGACGCCCGAGACGCTGGCCTCGTCGGGGTTGCTCACCACATTGGCCATGGCGACGCCATCGAGGCCCAGCATCTTTTCAAAGTCCACGTACCCGTACTCGTTGCGGTTCACGTGGTCGAGCGAGAGCGTGTAGTAGGTCCCGTTCCAGTTGCTCCGGAACAGGCTGCCCCACTCGCTGCCGGCCTTGCTGTGGGTGGTGCCGTGCAAAAAGACGGAGTTGGTGACCGAGTCGAGGATCGTGTATGCGCGCTTCTCCAGCCGCGTGTTGGGCGGGAAATGGGCGGGGGCAAAGGTGTGGCCGTCCATCGAGACCTTGAGCGAGAGCGTGTCGCTGGTCGCGCCGTAGTCGGCGACGATGAAGAACTCGTCAAAGACGGCAAAGCCCTCGACGGCATTAAACAGCCGCCGCCGCTGGCTGCCCCGTCGGTCGTAGTGGTTGGGACCCCAGACGAGCTCGAGGTTGTTGTTGGCGGCATCAAAGGAGCGCTGGTTGCCCTTCTTGTCCGCATAGCTCTCGCATACAATGGCCGTGGGGTCGACGTGGAACTTGGCCGTCCTGGCCCACGCACACGTGCGCACATACTCGTCGATCTTGAGCCAGTTGGTGCCGTGATCGAGCGAGTAGAAGGCCACGGCGCGGCAGTCGGTCGACTGGGTCGAGGAGCAGTCGCCATAGGAGCCGGTCCAGATGAGCCAGTCGCTCTTGATGGGGTGGAAGCTGAGGATGGGCAGGCCCATGTTGTTGGCCGGCGTGGGCGCTGAGAAAAAGTGCCAGGCCTTGCCGCCGTTGTACGTGTACTGTATGCGCTGGCCATTGGTGATGAGGTAGCCGCGCTCCTTGTCGTAGGTGTGCATGGCCATGGTGAGGTAGTGCGCATCGGGGTAGCTTTGGTCGTAGATGACCTCCATCTGGCTCCAGCCCAAGCCGTCGTTGAGGGAGCGCCAGATGGAGCCGTCGCCCAGGGCAAGGAGGACGTTGCTCGAGTCCGGGAAGTAGGCATGGTCGACAATCTCGCCGTCAAAGTGGGTCCTCCGGTGCATTGGCTGGCCCGGTGGGGCAGCGACGCCATCGCAGTTGCGCGTCACCGGCTCGTCCTTCTTGACGCCCTTGTCGCGGTCGCACTCGTTGCCAGGGATCTTGCGGTAGCCCGACGAGCCCTGGAACGTCTTGTCGGCGGGTCCTGCGCACGCCCCCGGCGGCAGCTCCTCGCGGCCCGTCGACTGGCACTGGCCCTTTTCGTCGCGCACAAATCCAAAGTCGCACTCGTAGTCCTCGTCGGTGCACGGGCACGGGTCGTGGCGCGGCTCGGGGTCGTGGAACTTGTCGCCGACGTAGCAGTCGGCGTTTGGCTTCCTGCGCTTGAAGTGCTGCTTGTGGCCCATGAGGCACTTGGGCTCTCCCTTACCTTCGTCCCTAAAGTACCACTCCTCCATGTCCTTTTCCGTGCACTTGCGCTTCATGCCCGCAAAGTCGAGAAAGACGGCGACCTGGGGCAGCTCCTTGCCGGCCTGCTTGCGCGTCTGGCTGCCAATCAGGAGAAACTTCTGCGAGGTGCCGTCGAGGATGGTGGTGAGCACTTTCGGTCGTAGTGTCACGCCGAGCTTGACCGTCTGCCACGTCTTGCCGTGGTCCCACGAGTAGCTGGCGTGGTCGGTCGCGTCCTCGTCGCCGACAACCACCAGGAGGTTGCCCTGGTCGCCGAACTCGTACTTGTGCGCACCCTCGGGCTGGATCTTGGTCCACGTGCGCCCAGCGTCAGTCGAGAGAAAGGTGTCGCAGTCCTCGTACGGCAGGAGCTGGTCGCCGACGCTGCCGACGCCCATGACGAAGCCGGGCGCCGTCGAGGAGAAGACGCGGCCGGTGTTGTGCATGTGGGTGACGGACCAGAGGTGGAGCGAGCAGCGATATGCGTCGGTCGCACCGCAGCGGTGGACCTGGTCCTTGGGTGGCGGGAGCAGGTTCCAGCTGCTGCCGTCGTCGTAGGTGATCATCGACTTGGTGACACGCGCCGACGAGCCCGGCTGCGAGGCATCCTTGGCGACCTTGACATTGACCAGGCTCACGCCCTCGATGTTGGCCAGATGCTCGTAGTCGACGATGCCGTCGCGACTCCGGCTCGTGCCCTCGAGGCTCTTGACGAAGCGGACACCCGTCGAGTCGCTCGTGTAGAGCGTGCCCACGTCGCCGGCCTCGAGCGCGTCCTGGACATCGACGACGAGCGAGTGGGCGGTCCCCTCGACGATCGTGTATGCGTTCTCCGCCAGCCCCGCGCCGTGGGGAAACTGGGCGCGCTGCCACTGGTCGCCGTCGTGGCTGACGTAGAGGGCCATCTGGATGCCCGTGCCCGCGCCGCCGCCGCCGCCAGCCGAGCTTGAGGTGTCCTTTAGTGCCGTGACGAGAAACTGGTTCGAGGGGCCAAAGCCAACAAACTGGGTCGCGTCGCGGCCCAGGTCCAGGTCGACGGCGCGCTTGCCTGTCTTGAAGAAGTCGTCTGTATAAAAGAGCTTCGTCGGCGAGTCCGTTGGCGCCCGCTTCTTTGCTGCCTTTCGCTCTGCCGGATGGCTGCCCGTGGGGCTGTCGTCCCAGGCGATGCAGTAGATGCGCTCGGCGTGCTCGGGCTTCACCGCGACGGCCTTGGACGACTTGGCCCACGTGCAGTGCATCAGATACACGATCAGCGGCTTGGGCGTCGAGGCAAAGGCGTCGGTGGTGTAAAAGGCCTCGTCGTGGCACACATGGCCGCCCCAGGGCGTCCACATGGTGCAGTGCTTGCCTGTAAAGATGATGTAGTCGGCGTGCTTCTGGTCGGCGTTGAACTCGAGTGGCGCACCAGCTCGCACGGCGGGCGCCGACGGCGTCTCGAACTTGTGCCACGTATTGCCCATGTCTGTCGAACGCCAGTGCTTGGTGCCCGAGGAGAGGATAAAGGACATGCGCTTGTCGTAGGGGTGCTGCACGAGCAGGTACGCCTCGCCCTTGGCGGGGCCCTTGACCGGCTTCCACGTCTTGCCCTCGTCGTCGGAGCGATGCACCTCGCCATTGAGCGCATCGTGGTACATGACGATGCTGGTGTCGTCGATGTACACGAGCGAGGCCGGCAAGTTGGCGAAGCGGTTCCGTGCTACGCTCGGCGCCGACGCAGCCGCCCGTGCTGGTGCGACAGCTGCGAGCGAGACGAGCACGAGCAGCACCGCAGCAGCAAGGGCGAGCACCCTGCCTCGTAACGCATCGTTCCTCCTCCCTCTCGAGCGACGCTCCATGGCTGCCACTGCTACTGCGACTGCGACTCGAAGCTTCGAGATGCAGGCGAGAAGAGTCAAGGCAAAAGAGAGAGAGAGAATGAGAGAGAGAGAGAGAGAGGAAAAGAGAGAAGCGGCGTGCGCGCAAGATCAACTGGCGACTGGAAAGCGGGCTGAGGCCTTGCGCACCGTGCGCGCTCGGCACGACACGTGGAGAAATTAGGTGGGCGTCTGCCGTGACAGCCATTCTCAGCCCTGGCGCAGGGGCAGCGCCGTCAGCGTAGATGGCTTGTCCTGCTATTGCTCAGGGCCTTCTGAGTGAGTTAATGTAATGACAATGGCGAAGAAGTATGCTATGACTACAGGCTAGCGGAATGGAATACTGCTACGGAATGATGTTGATGATGATGATGTATCTTCTGCTGGGACGAGATGAGATGAGATGAGATTAGATGTATGCCCAGTTTAGTTTCTCCTCGTCGCTGGGCTCTGCCGTGTGCTCCCCTCGGCGGGCATCGGCGGCGGACTGGTGTCCTGCATCGACAGGCCCCTGGACCTCTTTGCAGGTCCAGCCGCCCTTGACGAAGCAGCACGCTTGAGAACATGGTCCATATTGCCCGTCTGCTCCCAGACGAGCCGCTGCTGCCGGGCCTCCTCCATCGCCTCGAGTGTGACGACCTTGGCAGGCCTCTTCTGGTAGACGCGGTTGAGATCGGCACCCTCCATGGCCCAAGAGACTGTCATGTAGACGCGCGCCCTGCGAAAGCGGGCGAGGTCGGCCGGGCTGACCTCGGGGTGCTTTTGCCGCGACAGCTGCTCCCGGAAGCTGAGCGTGTGGACGACGTCGGCGAGCCAGTCGGCCTGCCAGGCGGTGCAGAGGAGCGCGTGCGGGCAGCGGGCCCACATGCGCTCCCAGGCATTGGGACCATCAATGAGCGCAACAACGCGGCTTCCACGGGGTGGCTGCTGCGCCGTCCGTGGATCGAGGCCGGTGGGCCACGTGAATGCTCCGCCGGGCGCCTCCTTGTACAGGAGCGCAAAGCGGCCGTAGATGGTCTCGGCATAGATGGCGTAGATGGTCTTGTCACGGAGGCCCGCGCGGTACTCTGCAACCTCCATCTCGCCCAGGGCCGAGTTGATGCGTTTCGACTTCCACGAGCTGGCCGTCATGCGGGGCTCAAAGTCAAACGGCGTGTCGCACCCGGCGGCGTCCTGGATCGCCAGGTGGCAGCTGGCGATGGAAAAGGCGCCGAAAGTGAGGCCGACGACCTTGGGAAAGGCGCGGTGGAAGTGGTGTTCGCCCGAGCCGACGCGGCTGGCAAACTTCTTGAGCTTCTTGTCGACAAAGCCGTGCGTCAGGGCGCGCTGGGCCACCGTGTCGAGGACAAAGACGACCTTTTGGGCGACGGTCATGTCGCCTGGTGCGAGTGCGTGCGTCGCCTCTTCGTCTCCCTCTTCCTCTTTTACTTGTACTTGGTTGTACTGCTCCTGTCCTCGCCCATGCCGGTGCCCTTGCTCCCCTTCACCTTGCACATCGGCACCGAGCGCGTCGCCGTGGGAGACCTGGAGCATGGCGACCTGCTCCTGCCACAGCTGTATGTAACTCGGATCGCCAGGTGACTCAGACGCGGCCGAAAAGGAAAATTCGGGCTGGACAGGCGTGGCGGGGACTGGCGCGGCGATGGCGGGTGCCTGCGTGTGACTCTGTCCTTGTTGGCTGCTCTGGCTGCTGCCCCACTGCAGGCTCGAGAGGCCTTGCGAGAGCCAGCAGGTGGCGGGGTCGAGGTCCAGCGACAGTTCAAAGGGCACCGGCGTCGATTCGAGCGGCATCGACGTCCGTTGGTGCGACGTCGGCCCACTGCCACTGCCCGATGGTGGCGGCATCGTGCCGTACGGTGCAATGTTGAACATGCGGTGTGTGCGTGGGGAGTTAGTGAATGCTATTTTGAAGAAGAAGAGATGCTCGCTAGAGGGTGCGTTGAGGTGCCTTGAGCTCGGAGAAAGAGAGGGAATGGAAGAGTGCAGGCTAAGACCGCTTCTTATACCCGTTCCAAAATCAGAGCGCTGCCGCTGCTGCTGCTGCTCGTCGTCTTTGTCGTCGTCCCCGGATAAGCTTCACCCTTGGCCGGCCCGGCGCCGATGATGTCGAGCGGTACAGGGTCTGTACAATGTCCTGCTTGAGGCGGTAGCTAGCTGTTCACTCGTTCGGCCTCCATCCCCGAACCAGCCTCTCTCACAGACGTGATGCTCAGTCGAAGCTAGCTAGCTAGTAATGAGCCGGATGATGCGATGCACCTGGGCGAGTAAGCCAAGGGGTTTCATTGTCTCAAATTCTCCTCGCGACTCCTGCGCGCACGCACGGCGGTCCATCCATCCAACAGTGGAAACACATGGACCTCCCATTGGTGCATCGAGCAGCGCCATGCGCAGCCCGCGCTCTCTCCTGTGCACTGGCGCGGGGGGGGACAAGAAATGCCTCGATTAGCAGTAGTGCCGCCGAGAATAACACGCTTGGCAGCAACACAATGGCGACATCAGACACGCGCGCGGGGGAAAGCAGGACAGGACGGAAGGAAGGCAGGCAGGCAGTGACGTGGGCGATGAGGCTGCATGTCGCTTGGCCTGCCGGTGGAGGACGGCATTTGCAAGTTGAGAGAGCTCATCATGCCCCTGCAGGTTAGCTAGACGTACGTCGTCGCTTCTATCTTCTGCAAAGCTCCCAAGCTAGCGACTTGCCAACCCTCTTCTATCAACACGTACGCTTTCAGACAGAAGGCAGAGCAAGAGTAGCAGTGCAGCCTTATCTTTCAGATCTAGCCGCCTCTTTGGCAGGGGGGAAGTACTGGCGCGCTTTGCGGGCGCCGGCGACTTTGGACGCAACGCCGGCCCGAGACGTGGCTGGACTGGATCCGCTCATTTCCCTCGAGAGCTGCGCTGGAGGAGTATCTGATCTGACATCGGGTCCATCAACGCTCGCCGCGGGCCAAGCACCCGACAGTCCCGACGTGCCGCTTCTTGGCCGGGAGCTAAATTAAGGGCTTGCCTCGTCACAGTCTGCCGACGTCACTCGCAGTATTATCCGGGGGGCTAGCCCTCAGCGTTTCCCCGCACACTAGCACGGACTAATCGGCTGTCGTTGCCGCCATCCAGCTCAAGAGGCCCACCACGCGCAATCCCCGATCTCATTACGTTGGCCTCTCTCGACAGCATTCGACAGCTAGGAAGCTAGGTCTGACGATATATTCTCCGTCTCTTCTCCTTGCGTCGACGCAGCAAGTCATGGCTGCGATGCTCCCCAAGAATTCCGGCTGTGATAAAATAGCATGTCCACACCATCCGCGACACCGCCCAGATCTCCAGCACATCAAACGTATCCAGAAATGGACCTTCCATTTGCCGCCCATCACCGGCCAACAGAACAGAGGGAACAAAAGAACAAAGGGAACAAAGGAACAAAGGGACAATGAGAAAAGAAAGCCGATGTTGTCTCCGCCGCCGCCCCGATAATAGCCAAAGTCAAGGGGAAAGAAATAACCTTTTGGCCACGGCTATTTTTTCTCGTCCTCTCAGGAAACAGATGGAGAAAACATTTCCCTCGAATTTCAACATTTTCGCAAGTGAGAGAGAGACCGGTGTGGGCGAGCAGAGGAGTCGTGCACGCTGCTTCAATCGCCTTGACTTGTTCTGCCTTTTGCATAGGAAGCCGCACGACAGAGACGAGATGCGCGCGAGGCGAGGCTGATGAATATCCAGTGAGAAAGGGCAACTCTTACAATTTCTGGTGCAATGGGAAAGAGAGAGATAGAGAGGGGAAAGAAAGGAGAAGAAAAAGTAGGCCGCCAGAATGGAGTCGGGAAGAAAGGCCTCATGGCTTGAATGTGACCTCGGACAGGACTGCAGGAGTGGAGACGGTGGGTCAGCAAAAAGGGAAGCAGAGAGAATGGAGTAGCCAAACGCACTGTCGAAGGCCTGGCGGTAGGCCTTGAGGAGCGCCTCGACGCGTTGGCGCTCCCCCGTCAGCGCCTGGTCCTCTTGCAGGAGCTCGTCGAAGAGCGACTCCTTGAAGAGGGCGCTCACCAGCCGGTTCTGGATGCCCTCGCGGCTGTGGTCGACGAGGAGGTGCATGACCTGTTGTGTGCCGGGGCAGTGTCAGTGAGTGAGTGAGTGAGTGAAGGAGCCACGGTCATCACACGCACCGCCTTGGGAACGAGGTCCTGGATGCTCTGCCGCACAATGGCAAAGTAGGAGCCGATGAGGGACCGGATCAGCGACGTCTCGAGCACCTCGCGGTCGGTGAGCGAGACATCGTCGCCGGCACCGAGCGGCATCTAGAGTGGACAGAGGGAGAGAGTGTGTGTGAGCATGACTAGATGTATAGAAAGGGAAAAGAGCTGATGCTCACCGCCTCGAGGTGCTTGTCCAGGCTCCGCATGCTGTACGCCGCTGTGCTGCCCTCGACGACTGGGTCGCTCCGGTGCTCGCGGCCAGCGTCAGCGAACATGGACCGCTGGGCCGAGACTCCGCCGAGGCCCGGTGCGACGGACGCGCCACCGGCAGCACCGGGCATCGCCGAGGCACCGCCAAAGAAGTAGTTGAGGAATGAGTCGCGGCCGCCGCCGTTGCCGTTGGCTTCGGCGCCTTGTTGCCCTGCGCGCCCTGCCGCGTGGCCCACGGTGGCAGCGTGGTGGTCGCGCGCAGATCGCAGGTGCGACTCGTGCTCGCTAAACGACGAGGGGGCGGAGCGTGGATCTCTTGGGCCGGCACCCTTGCGCTTGCCATTGACCTCGAGGTGGCGCCGGTTCGACTGCAGCTGCTGCGACGGCCCACCGTCGTCGTCATCGTCGTCGTCATCGCCACGACCACGGCCACCGCGGCCACCACGGCCGCCAGCCTCATCCTCGGTCAGGTGGCCGGCCAAGTAGCCGTCGTCGTCGGCTTCCGAGTCGCTGCGAGAGATGCCCTTGATCATTGGTGGGGCGCGCTGGCCGTGCCCATGGCTGTGGTGGCCCTCACGCGTCTGGCGGGCAATGTTGGCCGAGTCCTGCACAAACGCCGGGTGGTTGGTGTTGATGTATGCGGCCTGGATGGCAATCAGGCTCGACACGTACTCGGACGTGGGGCCCAGTCGCTCGCGCAGCAGCTCCGAGACGACCTCGATGAGCTGGGCATGGAGGCGCGGGAAGCGCTGCAGCTCGGTGCTGGTGCAGTTGTGGCAGATTTTCATGAGCTCCTCGTAGACGAGCTCGACGCAGCGCAGGCTGGGTGCCTCGAGGAGCTTGATCTGCGGCTTGATGAGGAGCTCAAACGCGGCCTCGGGCACAAACAGGCTCGGCCGCGGGCCCGTCGAGTTGCGGATGGCGGTGCGAATGTCCTGCGTCGTCAGGTTCGACGTCGGGTTGATCGAGTCGAGGGCGTGGCCAAAGACGTCGTTGAAGATGTAGTAGACGCGCGCACCGCCGCAGAGCTCCTTTGTGGAAATGTCAAACGTCTTGCCGTCGATGGAGGCAACAAAGTCACGGGCAAACTGCGTCATGAGCTTGAGCACGAGGCTGCCGCGGTGCTGGTGGCCCAAGAAGGCCGTGTCGCCAAAGGAGGCGAGCTCCTGCTGCGTCTGGCCCATGAGCGTGTTGAGGCGCGCCTTCATGTCCGGCAGCTTGTCGCGGATGTGGGCCATCAGGACCTGGTTCAGCGTCTTGGCCAGGTACTTTGTCCCGCAGCGGTGGGCAATGTTGCGGTAGGCGACGTGGCTCCGGAAGAAGTCCTCCTCGGCCTTGCGGGCGGCGAGCATCGAGACGTTGCCGTTGATGTCCTGCTGCGACCGGTTGACGACGCCGATGAAGCCGAGCTTGAGCGGGTACACACGGCCGGTGAGAATGTCGAGCGCGTGGGTGCCATTGTCCATTAGGTCGAGCTTGGTGAGGACGCCAATGGTGCGCCGGCCCTGCGGGTCAATGGCCCGTGCCAGCTTCAGGCTGTCCGAGTTGGCCAAGTCGACGTTGGCAGGGCTGACGGCAATGATGATGCAGTTGGGCTTGGAGATGTAGCTCGAGACGAGGCCGTGGATCTGCCGCTCAATGTCCGATGGCTGGTCGCCCACGGGGATCTTCGTCAGTCCAGGCAGGTCGACGAGGGTGAGATTGAGGACATGGGGGCTGTAGATCTTGAGGTGGATCGGCAGCTTGGACACGCCCTTGTTCTGGCCGGCGACGCGGAACGTCTCGTTTTCAATCTCGCGCCGGATCTCGCCAAAGTCGGTGAAGCGCTTGTCGAGGTGCAGGAACTCGCCGTACTCTGTGTATGCGGGCGTTCCTCCCCCTCTGCCTCCGCCGCTGTTGATACTGCTCCCAAAGGGATCTGCCGGGGAGGGCGACGAGGAGGAAGATGAGGCAGAGGAGGACGATGCCGACGCAGGACCCGCATTTGACGCAGGGGCGGGCACATGGACGAGCTGGAGGACGAGAGGCCTGCGTGTGACGATGCCATTGCCGCGCGGCAGAAAGTCCCTTCCGACGATGCTGTAGGAAAAAAAAAAAAAGAAAACACAAGGCATTGAGCTCACAGCAGGGTAGCCGCAGGACCAGCGCCAAGGCAGCGACTCACGTTTCAAGGACGCTGCTCTTGCCGCTCGACTGCGCGCCCACGACGACGCATTGAGGCAAGTCGACAGTCTCGCCGCCGATGGAGCTGAATGTCTCCTGGAGCTTGTTGACGACCTTGATCAGGTCGACGTCCATCTTGCTGTATGCTCTTCCCTCGCTTCTTCGCTCTTGCCGCGACGGGTACACTCGTCTGTCGTCGGCCTGGCCAGCTGGTGCGAGCGAACGAGGAGCACGACAGAAACCGGGGTTGGTGCTGAGGGTGACGGGTGCTTCTTCACGTCGCCTCGTCCAACATTCGCGGTCGTCGCTTTCGGGTCCTGGCGTTGGTGTTGGAGGCGCGACAGTCACGTCACGTGCCGTGACCCTCGTCTGTGCTCGCTCGTGTCTCGAGAAATGAAAAAATTGGAAATGAAGCTTTGTATGAGAGAGGAGGGTCGCAGGCGCGTGCGCTAGACGCGACACTGGCCAGGTGCCCGGGTTCCAAAAGAAAGAAAAGAAAATCCAAGTTTCCAAAGGGCTAGTCGACGACCGGGGGGTGCAGGCAGGCAGAGAGGGGGCGCGGCGCGAGGAGGACGACGAGGGGCTGAAATCTCGAATCGAATGCCTGCCTGCCTCGCCCGCCCAGGCCGCCTGCCTGCCTGCCAGCCCGTCCACCCAGCAATCACAGCACCACCACCATACCCCTCCCCGCTCCGTCACACGGCGCCCTCAAGTCTTCCTCTCTCCCCTCCCCCTCTTATTGTCGCAGCCAGAGGCTCGACCGCTCCTTTTCTTCCTCGAAAAACACACTCGCTCTTTTCTTCCAGCCCAGCACACAATCACCCCGCCTTGGCGCACAAGGCCCCCATCTCCGACTCGAGTCCGTCATTCCCCTAAATCTCATTCTCCAGCAGCACACGCAACGCTCCTTCCTTTTAAAGTGCCTCTCGCTCGCACGCTTGACCACAAGACAGCTTCCATCTACAGCATGACGACGGGCCAGGATGTGTCGTCGGCGCACGCCGTCAAGCGACACCACCAGAAGATGAAGAGGACCGCCGCGCTCGCACCGAGGGGTGAGTTCTGCGCAGTGGAATCGCAGGGTATAAAGTACTGACACACCTTCCCACAGCGCAAGCATGCACCTCGGGCGGCCTCTACAGCAAGCCTGCCGCGGGCGAGCAGGTCGACAGCGCCAAAAAGTACTCGTTCCAGTGGGACAACAACTGCCTGGCCTCGGGCGTGGACAAGATCGACATCTACCTCTACAGCCCCTCGAATGGCTCCAACAATCTGCCCATCCACGCCTGGATCGGTGTCCCTGCCGGTCAGCAGAGCTACGAGGTGAAGCTGGCGCCCAAGTGGTGGAACGCGACGGGTCTCGTCGACCTGAGCCTCAACATTGTCCCCACGGGCAACCAGCCGTGGGACACGTCGAACCCGTTTGGCCCGACGTGGTCTGCGCTCTACCACGCGCCCACCGACGGCTCCAGCCCCCCCTCGGACGCCGTCGTGGGATCTGACGACAGCAACAGCCTCGTCCAGGCCTTTTACGCCGGCGGCCACCTCACCGACGGCGGCAAGGCAGCCGCGATCATCTGCCCGCTCATCGTCTTCTTCGTCGCCATCGGCATCTGGATCCGCAAGCTGCACCTCAACCGCAACAACAAGACGGCCGACTGGGCCGAGCACATGGACCAGCGCATGAGCCGCATTTCGCTGGATTGGATGGCCGGTGGCGACGGCTCGGCTGGCCCCGTGCCTGGCAGCCGTCCTGCCTCGTTCATGCGGCCCCAGTCGCAGTACCGTCCCTCGGCCGAGATGCACAACGCTGCGCTTCGCGAGGCCGCCGCCACCGCAGGAGCAGCCGGCGTGGGCGCGGGCGTCTACCCCGGCAGTGACCCCGAGCACCAGACGTACGACGAGGTCTTTGGCGACGAGAGCGGTGACCAGATGCGCGAGGCCGTGCCCCGCCGGCCCTTCTCGACGGCCACGGGCTTCGACTCGCAGAACCGGACGTCGCGCATCAGCTTTGCCGACACCACGGCCGGCGACCGTGTCAGCCGCATCTCCTACGGTCCCTCGGACGGCAACCACAGCGCGGCTGGTGCGCAGGCTGCGGCCGCTGCTGCGCGTGGACACCGGTCCAGCGCCTCGCTGCCTCGCAACAGCAACAGCAACAGCCGTCGCAGCCAGGCCGCTGACTCGTACATTGACCCTGACGCGCCCGCCGTGCCGAAGCTCGACATCAACGCATACCACAACCGCAACAAGAGTTCGGCCACGGCGGCGACGAGCTCGGCGGGTGCCCACGGTGTTGGAAACAACAACGCAGGCAGCTCCCGCCTCCGCGAGTCCTTCTTCCCCTCGGCCGACGAAGAGCCGGAGCAGATGGACGACGCCGACGAGTATGCAGACGTGCTCAGCCCCACGCAGCACCAGGGCGCCAAGCCGTTCAGCAACGACGACATCGACCGCCACATTGCCGACCAGACCGACGTCGACTTCCGCAACTCGGTGCTCCAGTACCCGGCCCTGTCCATGGTCACGGGCAATGCTGCCGAGGAGGGCGACCAGCCGGACCTGTTTGCCGCCATGACGGGCCAGCAGACCACGCGCCCGCTCTCGGGCCTCAGCGACGGCGGCGACAGCGCATATGCACCCAACGAGCGTGGCGCCTCTGCCTACATCAACCATAGCCACTACGCAGCAGGTGCACACGCCATGTCGGCTGACCACCCCGCACGAATGCAGCAGATGCAGCAACAGCAGGTGCAGCCACTGCAGCAGCAACCACAACAGCAACAGCAACAGCAGCTGGGCAACAACACGGGCATGCTCCCTCCCTCCAACTCCAACTCGCCCGACGAGGCGCTCAAGCAGTACGCCGCCCTGCGCGCTGCCGGCTCGGCCTCGACGGGCCCCAACACGATGCGGACGCTGTACACGGCCGACGTCACGCCTGCCGCGCCCTCGCCATCCACTAGCAGCAACAGCAACGCCAAGGCCGCGCGGAGAGGAAGCAGCATCTACATCGACGCCAGCGGCCACCTCGGCGGGCACCAGGCACAGCAGGGCAGCGCAGCCACCGGCGGCGGCTCCTCGATCAACGAGGACGACGTCGTGGGCTACAACGAGATGATCCACCACGGCGCTGCCGGTGCGCCCCGCAATGTCTTGTAGTTCTCTGTTCACATCTTCCCCCATCGTCGCCACTCTCGGCCATTCTCACGGCCACTCTTGGCTACTCTCTCGCTGTGCGAGAAGAGTGTGCTGCACGTGCATTCATTACCGTTTTGTCTAGATTCTCTCTTTTCCTCTCTCCGTCGTCACTTCAACGCCGTCGAGCATCTTCCCATTCACACCGTCGGGCTTTCTCAAAAGTCCCTCTCGTCTTACTTCAACACGGTCTCTCGCTTCTGTTTTCTACTTTCTCTTCTTTTCTTGTGTGTGGATGTAATTGCGATGGTTTTCTTCATACGTGTGTGTGACTTGACTGTCTCAGGACGTCCTTTTTGTTGTTCCTCTTCAGGACGCCGCCTGCTCTTCCTCCTCTTCAAAAGGACGCCTCCTCCTCAGGACGCCTCCTGCGCCACAGCGGGACCCGTGGCCTGGGCCGTCGTCTCGCCAGCGTCCTTGCCGCCGTCCTCGTCGGCCGGGAAGTTTTCCTCGCTGACAAAGGCAGCAATGACGATGCGGCCGGCAAACTGGCGCCCAGCAATGGCGCCAATGGCCGCCTTGCACTCGTCTACATTTTCGTAGCGCACAAACACGCGGCCCACGCCCTCGCGCTCCTTGTCCTTGTCCTCGCCTCCCTGGCCGCCACCCTCAGCAGCAGCGGTGGTAGTAGATCGCTTCCACGAGGCGGCGGCCGAGGCCTTGCTGCGCGCGTGGGGCCGCGGGATGCGGACATCGACGACGGTGCCGTACTTTGCGCACTCGTCGCGCACGTCCTCGACAATGTCGCCGTACTCTTCGTCGTCGAGCAGCTCGTCGGGCGTGACCATGTTGAGCAGCGTCATGGCGCGCGTCGGCTCGCCAGGCCCCGCGGCCAGCAGCGCCTCGCCCGGTCGCTGCTGCTGCTGTGGATCGTGGGCCTGCGGTGGTGCTCCTGCTCCTCCACCAGGCAAAGGCCCGCTGCCGCCCTGGCCGACCGAGGCGCGCTGGACGACGAGCTTGCGGTCGCCGACCTCCATGTCGTTGAGGCCCTGGCAGGCGACGTCGGTGAGGCTGGCGTCGACGTACTCGCAAAAGGCAAAGCCCTTGGATGCGCCTGTCGAGGCATCGCGCACGAGGTTGAAGCTGCGCAGCTCGCCAAACGCCTTGAGCAGCTCCACGATCTGCTCCTCGTCGAGGTAGGTGGGCAAACCCCCCACAAAGATCTTGTTCATCGAGTCGGGCACGTTCGTCGAGATGACACCCGGCACGTGCACTTGGAGATGCGCCGGCTGGATGTCAGGCCCGACGTAGTCCTTTGGTCGGCGAATCTTGAGACTCTGGCCGCGGAAGACGATGCCGTCAAAGGACATGGCGCGCGTGGCCTCGTTGACACTGCGGAACTCGACAAACGCGTAGCCCTTGTCCATGTTGACCTGCGCATTCATCGCCGGGTCGCCCACGTCGGTGGCGAAGCCCATCTCGGCCATGCGCGCATTGAAAAAGGCGCAGATCGTCTTTTCGTCGCACTCGGACCCGATGTTGCCCACGTACAGCCGCCGCGCCTGCCGGTTCGTCTGGCTCGCACCGGGCGCCAGGAGACCGCCGGGGCGCAGGCCGGCGCCCAGATGGATCGGGGGCAGCTCTCCACCAGGCAAACCAGCACCACCACCAGCACCGCCGGCTGCCCCTCCCATCGAGGAGAGGGGCATGCCCAGCGTGCGTGTCTGGCCGGGAATGCCAAAGATGCCCGTGCCCTTGGCCTGGCTGGGGGTGATGCCCTCGTATCCCAGGGGCGCGACATCCCACATGGACTTCTTGCGCACATGCTGGCTGATGGGAATCGTCCCCTCGGGTGTCGGGCTCCTCTTGACCACGGGGCTCGGCTCTCGCGGACCAGAGTCACGCCATCCTCCTCCTCCTCCTCCACCGCTTCCTCGTCCTCCGCGGTGGTCGTCGCGATACCCGCCTCCACTCCTGCCCCCGCCTCCGTAGTAGTCGTCGTAGTACCCTCCCCGGCCACCACTACCGCCACCACCACTGCCGCCGCCGCCGCCGCCGTAGTAGTCGTAGGGATCGCGCCGCGACGACCCGCCTGATCGCCGTCCGTAGTCATACTCCCTCCTTCGATCATAGTCCCCGTCGTCCCTGCGCCTGCGGTAGTCTCCGCCGCTCCTCTCCCGGTCTCTGTCTCTGTCTCTGTCTCTGTCCCTGTCTCTGTCCCTGTCTCGATCTCGTTCCCGGTCCCGATACCGGCCTGCCCCCTCGCCTGGGCGCTCGACTCGGCCGCTCTGGACATCGCGCTCGATCCCCTGCAGCAGCGCCTCGGCCGCGTCGTGCCCGTTGCTCATCGTCGTGTGCCTTTCCTCCTTCCTTCAAATAAGAAGAAGAAGACGCTCGAGCGATGGAGCTTTCCTGCAGCGCGCGCGCGCGAAAATAGTGCTATCCAACTCCACGAAATGCCACGTGGCGCGAGCAGGGCACACGTGCGCTCGGTAGATTTGGACAAATCAATCTCACGGCCCACCCCGCTCCAGCCTTTGGGGCGAGTGCGTGAATCGGACAGGCGGGACGCTCGTCGTTCGAACTCTGGCTTCCAAGTGTTCCTAAGATAGAGCCAGCCAGCCAGCCAGCTAGCCGCAGCAGCACTAACACCATGTCGTCGGACCAGACGGCCGCCGCCAACACGCTGGCAGACAGGGGCACGCTCTCGTCGGCCTACCGCCGCTCGATGCATGCGCTCCAGACGACGTTTGGATGGAGCGGCAGCAGCAACGGAGCCGAGTACGAGCGCCAGCCGCTGCTCCAGGACGAGCAGCAGCAGCAGCTGGGCCAGAACCAGGCGGGGACCAGCTACGGATCGGTGCTCGACCTGCCCCCCGAGAGGCGTGTGCCGAAGCCAAAGGCCGTCAAGAGCCCCGTGCGCGTCGAGGCCAAGGTCTGGTTCGCCAACGAGGTGGGTTATTTTATACAAGCGCATCTCTCGCTCTCTTCTCTTCTCTTTGACTAAAATGAGCGTTCTCCCAGCGCACCTGGATCTCGTGGCTGCGTGTCTCGCTCCTCATCGGCTCCTTTGCCCTGGCCATGTACAACTCGGCCAACTTCTTTAGCTCGCACCACCATCACGACGATGCCGGCCGTGCCAAGGGCCCGCAGCCGTCGACGATCCGCAACTTCTCCCTTGTCTACGCGGGCATCAGCATCCTCACGCTCGTCTGGGGCCTCTTCAACTACCACCGCCGGCTCCACCTGATCCGGACCAAGTATGCGGGCGACTTTGGTGCGTGCTCCCCCTTTTTCCCTTGATCTGCACTCCACGTAGACTCTGGAGCTGACTTAGTCTGTTGCAGACGACCTGATTGGGCCCCCGCTCATCTGCCTGGCCCTCTTTGTCGCTGTTCTGCTCAACTTCATCACGCGTGGTGAGTTTCTCGCCCTTGTCCTGGCTTGGCTTGACTTGACTCATCGAAGACTGACCCCTCCCACAGTGCAACAGTACAACGCCGAGCACGACGGTTGATTGTTCCTATCTCTTCCCTCTATATTCCCTACATCTCAATTGCAGCCCTGGTAATGATACTCGATGCCCTGTTGATTGGCCCAGAGAAGAGATATGTGCCTCGAGCCTGATGGAAATTCACGTGCGCTGGCGCCCCCCGTCCTATCCCACACCAACACCAACACTGACTGACCACTGCTGCTGATTACAACAAGTCTGTTGTACACCATGGCCGCGGACCTGGACCTGGGCCCTGGCCTGGACCTGGGCCCTGGCCTGGACCTCGGTGCGATCAGGGAGGCATACGAGCGCGATGGCTACGTCATCGTCGACGGCGTCATTGCGCCCCAGGACCTTGGCCGGCTGCGCGCGGCGGCCGACTCGGTCACGCGCCTCACGCGGGCAGGGCACTGGCCGCACCGGCGCATCGTCGGCAAGCAGTTCCCGCCGTTTGACACGGCCGCGAGCGCCGACTCGTGGGGTGTCCAGCACCTGCTCCACCCGGACCTGGCGCACCATGCCGACTTTGTCGCGTTTTATGCCTCGTCGCCCCTCGTCGATGTGTGCGCGGCGCTGCTGGGCGTCGACGAGGCGCGCATGCAGCTCGAGCTCTTCAACCTCCTCATCGAGCCGGCGGCCCATGCGTTTGCGCTGGGATGGCACCGCGACGACATCCGTGCCGACGTGCCGGCCGACGAGGAGCAGCAGCGCCTCGCGGCGCCCCTCTACGGCGTGCAGTGGAACGCCGCCCTGTGGGACGACGGTACGTCTGTCCTCCTCTTACTCTTCTGCCGTGGACTAACGAGAGACAAGCGCACAGACTGCCTCTTCATCGTGCCCGGCACGCACCGGCGGCTGCGGACCGAGGAGGAGAAGCGCGCAAACGAGCGCAAGCCCCCGGACGCCGTCCCCGTCGACACGGCCGCGCCGCCGTCGGAGGAGCGCGGGCCGATCGATGGCGCATGGGACGTCGACCCGCCCAGCACGAAGCGCGTCTATCTGAAGGGTGTGTGTGATGAAAGCTTGTCAGAGGAAGAGCGCAAAGGAGGAAGATGCTAACGGAGAGAAAGCACAGCGGGACAGACGGCATTCTACTCGCAGCGAATCCTCCATCGGGCCTCGTACGTGGCGTCCAAGAAGCGCGCCACGCTGCACGGCTGCTACGGCGGCATCCCCGAGCCCACGCCCACGGCGTCGGACGCAGAGCAAGAGGCGCAGCAGACCGCCGTCAGCGAGCGCGCACGCATGGTGCTCCAGCACGGCGTCGAGTGGATGAGGCAGGCGCAGTTCGGCCACGACCTGCCCGACCGGCTGCAGCCCAGTGGGTGTTCTTTTCCAACCTAGCTAGCTGGTGCTGCTGTTACTGACGCCAGGCTCGATGCCGGGGCCCTCTCTCCCCCAGTGTGGCGCAACCTGCTCGAGATGGACAAGGCACACTCGACAAAGGAGCTCGGCTACAGCCTCGACGGCTGATCTCCCTTACATTTGATGTCATTTGTGATTTTGGCCATTGGTGACATCCCATTGGTGAATTTGGCCATTGATGAATCTGGCCACTGATGATCTGGTCCACTAGTAACTGTGATCATTGATGACTTTGGCCATCGATGATCTTGGCCATTGGCAACTCTGGCCTGCCGTGGGCCCCACGCCGGCAATTTTTAGAGCTTGAATGGCCCGCGCGTGCGATCATTAGCCTTTTGTTTTCTCTCTCTCCTTCTCGTCTCCACTAAGAACGAACAAAAGTCGTGTGCGTGGGTGTGTGTGCCTTCGGACAAAGGAGGCCTTTGTTCCACCCGCGGCAGCTCGGTGATGTCGTCACCGACTGACACGGCGCAGAAGCGGGCCGGGTTCGCGCCTGCGCCCGACTCGCAGACATTCCGGGATCTGCTCATCTTTGAGGAGCGGCTCAAGCAGAATGCAGCGCGGCTGCTGCGCCGCAAGAAAAAGTACCAGGCCTTTCTCTGCCTCGTCGTCGTCGCCATTGCCTTTTTCGGCTACCAGGTCCTGTACCACGGGCACAGCAGTCCGCATCACCACGAGCAAGGGCACGAGGCGGCGGCGGCGGCGACGCTGCTGCGCTATGTCAACGTCAGCATCCTCCTCGTCCTCGCCACCATGCTCAGCCTGTTTTTCGCCAGCGGCATGTATGCCGAGCGCATCACGGCCGCGAACAAGTGGGTGTTCCTTGCCGTCGTCATCCTTACTGAAAACTGACTGTGCCTGATACTAGATTCGTGCCCCAGGCGAACCGGAGCCTGCGCTCGTTTAACATGTACCTCAACACGCGCACCGCCCCACGCCAGAGCCGTTTCTTCTCCCTTGGATGGTCTTCGTCATCTCAGCAACCTGCCGCTTCCTCGTCGCAGCCGCCCCCACCGCATGCTTCTGCAGCAGTAACCGGATTAAATCAGCCGCCGTCGAGTGTCGCTCGCAGCACCACGGGCCCGTCGCCGTCGGCGCGCCGGCTGCACATCCCTGCGATCCCGCCGTCATCGAACCCGCGGGGCGAGCTCATCTTCTCGTCCAAGGTCGCCTGGGCCTTTCGCGACGGCTACGAACGCTACCGGGCCGCGTTTGAGCGCCGGCGCCGCGAAAAGATGCTCGAGCGCAACCGGTCTGGCTGGCGCCGCTGGTCCCGGCCCCTCGTCGACGGCCTCGTGTGGGTGCGCGGCCTCCTCTTTTCTTCGCCGTCGTCGTCGGCTGCTTCTGCTTCTGCATCCACGGCATCCGCGCGGCAGGACCAGCGCGGCGAGCTGCCCACGACGCCGACGCGGCACCGGACAGCCGCTGGTGGCGGCGGCGGCGCACGCTCACGCACGGCAGGCGCAAGGAGAGGCCTCAGGGCGAGCCCAGGCGCGGCTTCGTCGTCGTCGTCGTTGCTGGGGCCCGTGATGACGTCGGACGACGACAGCTCGCGCGCCAGCAGCCCGAATCCGAGCCCGCCGCCGAGCCCGCGTTCGAGTCCGCGGTCGAGCCCGATGACGCGCACACGGGCGACACCAGCCGCGGCTCCCGGCAGCCTCCGGCCGGGGCCGGCGCCGCGCTCGCTCTCAGAGAGGGAAGAAGACGCGGCGAGACGGCAGCTAGGTCTGGGCGAAGAGGAGGGACGGCGACAGCAGCAGCTGGTCGACGACGGCGAGGAAGACGACGACGAGGAGCAGCGACAGGTCCGCAGCCTCGTTGCGGCCGCGCCCCACGACGCCGCGCTGGCCGGCCCGCCGCCGACGGAGAAGCGCGGCCGCGACCGGACGCCGAGCGTGTGCGCCGTGTCCCGGGGCAGCAGCAGTGGCCGCGATCTCGGCAGTGGCAGTCGCGCGGGCACAGGCACGGGCACGGGCAGCAGGAGCAGCCGCAGGAGCAGCCAGAGCGGGCCGCCAAAGCAGGAGGCGGCGGCCGAGGCCGACGAGGCGCAGCTGCAGCCCGACGCCAAGGCCGTCGCCGATGCCGCAGACGACCGTGCAAATGCAGAGGCGACGCTGCGGGAGCCAGAGACAGAGCCTGGGACTGGGAGCGGGACTGCGACTGGGGCTGCACCTGGGACTGCAACGGGAACAGCGACGGCGACGGGCGCAGACGAGGCTGACTTTGCCCTCGCTGCTACGGCGTCGTCACCACCACCGCCGCCGCCGCCGCCGCCGCTGCTCCTCTCGCCGCCCATTGCTGAGCGCGCGGCCGACAGCGGCGAGCAGGGACCGACAAGGGAGCACGAGCAGGGCAACGACGGGCACGAGTGGGTGCGCGTCACACGGCGGCCATCAGCCGACCGGCGCAACCGGCGGCGGGGCGAGAACGCGAGTGCATGACATGGTACAGCATTCATTGCCATCAATATACGCAAGAATAAGAATCATGAAAAAGCCATCTATGCGTGTGTGCTCCTGCTACTAGGAGTTGTGCCAGAAGAGTGTCCGGAGGCTGTTTCATACAGGCGTGTCAGCCTCCTCTCCCATACTCTTCGTCTCTATAAATGCTGCCACACTCACTCGTTCCACTTCTCCGCATTGACGTAGAGATCTGGCGTGGTAAAAAGGGGGGTTTAATCAATTCTGCACACCAGTCTCCCCGTGATGTTCAACTCACAGTCCATCGAGTTGACCAGGCCCGCCTGGAGGTTCTGCCGGCGCTCGGCAAAGAGCCACATGACGCTGCCCCAGACAAAGGCAGCAAAGTACTCGAATGTCTTTTTGTCCGTCGGGATCGGCTTGGTCGCCGGGTAGGTCTCGGGCACGGGGTCGCGCGGAAGCATGGCCGAGACGCAGCGCGCGATGCAGTAGAGGACGATCTGGGCGAACGAGAGGGTGGTCAGTCTGAGCAAGATACGCCAGGCGCAGGACGAAGGAGCAGGCCACAAACACACCTGCTCGTTGACGGCGTTGCGCTCGCCAAAGACGACCCAGCCGCCGAGGCAGCCGGCCAGGAAGCTGTCGAGGCTGCGCGGCTTGCCGCCGTTGGTGCGGCGCAGGAGAATCGTCGTCGCCTTGTACAGGCTCGCAAACTTGCACAGGTTGAGCGCGTGCTGCCGCGTGGCCCGGTAGATGAACTGCAGCTTCTGGCGCGGCGACCCGCGGCCGAAGAGAAAGGTCATGACGAGGGCGTGCGGGAAGCGGATCTTTGCGCCGTACACGAGGCCGTTGCGCGCGGCCTGGGCAGCAGCAGCAGCAGCAGCAGCAGAAGCAGCGTTAATGACAGCCTTCGACAAGCACTAGAAGGGGAGGGAGACCCACCTTGAGCACAGTAAAGAGATCATGGTAGGCCGGATTGAGCGCCAGCGACTCGAGCCCCTTGAGTCCTGATCCGTCCATCCTGGTCTCTCTTTCGTTGTTGGTGGTCGTGGTCACCTCCTTTGCGGGGGAGAGAGAGAGGGAGGGAAAAACACAGAGATAGCGTGAAAAATCCAAAGTTGTCAGGTCGGCCACTTCGGTCAGCCGGCCTCTGATCTGTCTGTGCCTGTGCAACTGGAGCAACCCGCGTCGAGAAACTCAGAAAGAAGAAAAGTCAATCAAGCCCTTCGACAAATTTCAGCCCTCGCAACTCCACTCGCACGCTCGTCTTCTCGGGAAAGCACACAATGCCGCCGCGACCACGGATGAGCCTGGGCGACCTGGCGCAGCGCGCGACCGTGACGGGCCTCGTCGGCATGGGCGTGAGTTGGCTGCTGCGCGCGACCAGCCGTCGCTGCTCGAAAAGTAAGAAGAATGCTGACGTAGCGCCTCGCAGATCTGGGGCCTCTGGCTCACGGGCGCTGTCTGGAAGAGCCGGCGGGGCGACGATGCCGTGAGTGTGCTCTACACTGACTCTCTGATCACGGGCGCCAGCTGACTGTGTGCGCAGATCCACGGCACGCTCGGCCCCTCGCCCGAAGTCGCCGTGAGTGTGCTGTTTGTTGCCTTCTGTGCAAGTGAAATGTATGCTGACGTGGTGCGATCCGGCTTGACCAGGCGAGAGAGGCACAGATGCGCGACGCCCTCGAGGAGCGTCTGCAGCGGCAGCAGGACGCGCAAAAGATCAACCCGCCGCCGCTCAGGCCATCGTAAGGCTGCCCATCGACTGCAGCCGACCATCGACGGCACCCGCGACTCCAGACCTGTGTACTGTACATCACCATCACTCTGTCCATGCTCAACCATTCACTCGGGTCAATGTATGTTGTGTGAATTGCAGTAGTGTGGTGAGATGATGATTTTGCACAGCGAGAAAGAGAGAGAGAGAGGAAGCGAGCACCAGAGAAGAGGAGTGGAAAAATGGCGATGAAAAAAGATAAAAATAAAGACGGCGCATTCATTGCCCACCTCGATCTAGAAAAAGGCCTGCTCGCCAGTGATGCCCTTGCCGAGGATGAGGCCGTGGATATCGTGGGTGCCCTCGTACGTCGAGCAGATGTGCAGGTTTGCGGCGTGTCGCGGACAGTGGTACTCGTCCGAGGCGGCATTGCCGCCAAAGATCTCGAGGAGGATGCGCGACTGCGTCAGCGCCTTGTAGCAGTTGTTGCGCTTGACGAGGCTGACCATCTCTGGGCTCCACGTGCCGGCGTCCTTGGCCCGGCCAAGTTGCAGCGAGGCGAGCAGGCCGAGGCTGGCCTCTGTGCTGGCGTCTGCGATCTTCTTTTGCACGAGCTGGAACGCCGCGAGGGGCTTCTTGAACTGCTTGCGGTCGAGCGAGTACTGGCGCGCCTCGGCGATGCAGGCCTCGAGCGAACCGACGACGCCCCACGAGATGCCGTAGCGGGCCGAGTTGAGGCACTCAAACGGCGAGCCGAGGCCAGGCTTGGCGTGCGGGAGCAGCGAGTCGTCCATCTTGACGCGCACATCCTCGAGGAAGATGGAGCCCGTGACCGAGGCACGGAGCATCGTCTTGTGCTTGATCGGCGGGCAGGCGAAGCCCTTTGTGCCCTTTTCCACGAGGAAGCCGCGCACCTTGTTGTCCCACTTGCAGCGCGCCCAGATGACGGCCACGTCGCTGTTTGGTGGCAATGTGTTAGTCTGCGTGCTCTTGCTTTCTTCGCCTGGACTCATCAGCTCACGCATAGGGACTGCTGCTGATCCACGTCTTGCTGCCGTTGAGGAGCACCTCGCCGTCGCCGAGATCGGTGGCCACCGTCTCCATGCCGCTGGGGTCGCTGCCGTGGTTGGGCTCCGTGAGGCCAAAGCAGCCGACAATCTCGCCCTTTGCCATGCCCGGCAGGAACTTTTCCTTTTGGGCCTCGCTTCCAAACTGGTAGATGGCGCCCATCGAGAGCGACGACTGGACGGACATCATGGAGCGGTAGCCCGAGTCGACGCGCTCGAGCTCGCGCGTGATGAGGCCGTAGGCGACGTTGTTGACGCCCGCGCAGCCGTAGCCCTCGATCGTGGGGCCCAGCAGGCCGAGCTGGCCGAGCGCAGGGAGAATCGTGGGGTCCCAAGCTGTCCCAATCAGTGAAAGTGAGTGTCGTTGTTCACCCCACCCAAATGCACAAGGACCAACTCACACTCGTTGCGGTACATGTCGGTGACCTTGGGCAGCAGCGTCTCCTGGCAAAAGGCGCGCGCCGTCTCCTGGATGGCGCGCTCCTCGTCGCTGAAGTGCTCCTCGACGCGCATCGGGTCCTCCCAGTTGAATTTTGCGAAGCCTGCCAGGGAATTGATTGTCAGTAGCCATCATCATAGACAGCGAAAAGAAGGCGCATACGCACCAGTCATGTTGTACGGCCCTGTCTTGGCCGCATCGGTCGCATAGCAGCGGCGGGCAGTCGCCGCAGCAGTGGTCCGGAGCGGGGCCTGCTGGGCGAGCAGCGTCCGTCGGAGGGCAGCAGTCGTAGTAGCAGCCATCTTGGAGTAGGATGGAGAGTGAGGTGAAGAAGAAGAAGAGAGACTGTTGCTGACGATGCGCGAACGAACCCCACTCTTTCTTCCTTGTCTATTTAAAATTACTTTTAGATTTCCCTGCAGCCACTACACAGCAGGCAGGCGCCTAGTCCGGCCGGCGTCTCGACTGGGACCGAGGGCCGCGCCTGGCTGCTGCTAGCCCAGCAAACATTCGGTCCTTTTCGGACGATGCTCGAGAACCCTGTCTTCACTCTGCCTTGCCTTTTGATCTGGCCTCTGCTCCAGCGGGCACGACGGGCCCGCCTTGCCCGCCGCCTGCCAGCAAGCGCCAACGAAAGGTGTTGTTCGACGAGTGCAGGTGCGCTGAGGCCACGGCTTACCTAAGATGTGACAATCGGATAATCTTCCCAATCTCCGTTCTTCTCGTCTCAGTCTGATCCCCATGACCGACGGAGGTACAGACCAACGGACCAAGGAGATGGCTCAGGAGGCGGCTGGGGCGACGGGGACGATGCATGCGTCTGGGCCTGAGCAGGACTGCGCCTGGGCCACGCTGCTGACAGGCGAAAAGTACCTGCCGGGGCTCGCTGTCTTCTCCGAGTCGCTGCTCCGCTCGCCGTGGGCAAGCCGATACCCGCTCGTGGTCATGGTACCCCCCGACGCCTCGCCGCGGCTACGGGCAGCCATCGTGGCGCTGGGCTGCCGCCTGCGCACAGTGGACCCGCTCGTGGCGCGCGCGTCGGACAAGATGGCCGCGGCGCGCTTCGCAGACGTGTGGACCAAGCTGCGCGCGTGGCACCTCACCGAGTTCCGCCGCGTCGTCCTCGTCGACAGCGACATGCTCGTGCGCCGCAACATGGACGAGCTCTTCGGTGTCGAGCTGGCGCCCGGCACGATCCGCGCGGGCTTTGCATGCACCTGCAACCCAGCACGGATCGCCACCTACCCGGCCGAGTGGTGCGTACAGTCGTGAAACTCACGCTGTCGTGTGACTCGTCTGCTGCCCTCCTGGCTGACGATGTGATACTTTATCAACAGGACGCCCGAGAACTGCGCATTCTCGCCTCAGAAGCATCCTACGGCACTGACGCAGCCGACGGCACTGGGCCCACACTCGCCCCCGACGCACCACCTCCTCAACTCGGGCCTCGTCGTGCTGACGCCCGATGCGGCGACGATGGACGCCATGGCGGCGCGCATCGCGACCGACGCAGCCGTGGTTAGTTACCGCTTCCCCGACCAGGACTTTCTCGCCGACTTCTTCAAGGGCCGCTTTGTGCCCCTGCCCTGGTTCTACAACGCCATCAAGAAGCTCCGTGCCGTGCACCCCGACATGTGGCGCGACGACGAGGTGCGCAACGTCCATGTGAGTTGTGTCTCAATGCGCCACTCGAGGTAGTATGGCGAAAGACTAACCAGTCACACCACAACAGTACATCATCAACAAGCCCTGGGAGGCACGGCTGGCGCGCGACGACGCCGACTACGAGACGCACGAGTGGTGGTGGCAGGCCTACCGTGCCAAGGAGTGGGACAAGATCATCACCGACGGTGTTGTGCAATAGTGAAATGGCGTTATACAATTAATAGAACATTCTCTCTCTCTGCGTGTCATCGCCCAGGCATCAGGGGTAGACCCTGGCCACCGCGCGCAGCTTGGAGGGCGTCCGAAAGCAGCGTCCGGGAGCGCGCAGCAATGGCCAGGTGCGCATCGTGCTTGTCCAGCTGCTTCTCGGCCACGCGCTTCTGCTTGGCCAGCTGCGTCTGCTCCTTGACTAGTGCATCTCTCTGATGCTGCGATTGTTGTTGCACGCGCGCCAGCTGGGCCTCGATGCGCTGCAAGTCGGCCTCGAGGAGCTGCACCTGCAGCAGGCCATTGCGCCTTGCCTCGACCTGCCCGTCCCAGCGCTGGGGCCGGAGCAAGCGCGCGTCTGGCGGGCCCGGGTGCGGGCCTCGGCGCGGCTTGGCCGGCACCGTGAGCGAGGGCAGGACCTCCTCGAGGGGCACGCCCGTCGTCGAGGGCGCCGGGTTGCCGCGCCGCCGCCGCAGCGCCAGCGTGTGCGTGCCGCCCATCCGGCTGCGCCCGCCGGGCCGACTCATGACGACGTCATACGAGTAGTGGTGGTACTGCAGCGAGGCAATGTTGGTGCACAGCCGCCGTGCGAGGCCGTTCCTTTGCCGGCTGCCGACGTCGCCATCGGCATCGTCGCGCTTGCACGAGGCCAGAAAGAGCGCGAGGCAGTCCGTGACTGCAGAATCCCTCGTCAGCATTGGAATTTGCATTGCAGCTACAGCAGCAGAGGAGCCAGAAGAGGCGGCGAGGACACGCACCGAAACGAGGCAGCGCAGCGTCGGGCGCAGACTCGATGTTGTTCCGGATCGCACGGCGCAGGTTCGACGATGCGGCGCGATTGTGCGAGACGGCGTGTGGCGCATACCGCAGCAGCGTACGGTACGATGCCGTCCGCAGCAGGGTGCTGCTGCTGCTGCTGCCACCGCTGCTGCTTGCCATGTCCGTCGCCGCGTCGCACTATGGACCTCGGACAGTGGAGCTGCCGCGAAGATGGAAATTCGGAGGTGCGACGGGAATAATTCGAAGGCTTACGTCAGCCGCCAGAGTCCACTTATCGTCCTCACCGCGCTCTTTCTCCGGCTGCTCTCTCTCCTGCCTGGATAAGGCCAATCGCAATCTGGGTGCTTTGGGGATGGATTACCCAGGAGAACGCAGACTCGATTCCTCGTAGAATTCGTCCCCTCTTAGGCAGGCCCGAACTCTCATGTAGCAAGGCGTGCGTGTAATTTCGCCGTGGTTATGAATTCACCGAGCAAGTTGTTCCTGACCTCCTCGCGTGACGTGAGAGAAGGGAAGGGCTCTCGCGACTCCACTCGTCGGCTTCACCGTGATCTTTAGCCTGCTCGTAGCACTCAGGAACGCACCGATTGGCTCTGCTTCGTCTAGGTCTTTTGGCGAGCCCGGACGTGCAGCGTTATCGGTCACACGGAACATCCCGCGGGCGCTTCGGTGGAGGCGGGTATTCCATTCGTGACCAAGAAGCGCTCACGAAAAAGAAAAAAACCCTACTGAAAACTTTGCCCCTGCCGATTGACTTAGTGCCGATAGATCAGGACGTAACTCAAAAAATCAAAGCTGCTCAGATGACTCTTGAAATACCCGCAGGCAACAACACCCGCTAAATGATTCCCGCGCGCACACTTTCTTGCTTCTGACCCTCCCTCCTCCTCCTCCTCCTCGATCTCTTTCCCTCCTCCCTCGCAACTGCCTGCTGGTGCGAAGGAGATGTCGGAACCGAGCTCATCGTCAAATACAGCTCGCGAGGGCTCGCCGGAGAGATTAGAAGAGGGCGCGATACAAAAGCCACAGCAGCGCGACGTCGAAAAGGCCGGTCTCACGCCTGATGTCGTGCCAAATGGCAAGGCGGAAAGGGTAGGGCAAGCGCCTGCCCCAGAGGATGCAGACGTCATCTGGGTCGAATTCTCGCCAGATGATCCCGGGAACCCCTTCAACTTTTCGCGACGGCGGAAGTGGGCCACGACGATTCTCGCCGTCCTCTTTACGGCCGAGGTGGCTGCGACGGCAGGTGCCTATGTGCCCGGCATCACGTCGATGGAGCGCGATCTCAACGTCAAGAACCACGAGCTCTCGCTCCTGGGCATCAGCATCTACGCCCTCGGATTCGGCCTCCCTCCGCTCATTCTCGCGCCCTTTTCCGAGGTGTACGGGCGCAACGTCATCTACATCTTCTGCCACTTCTGCTACACGGTCCTCTTTGTCGGCGTCGGCTTTGCCAACAACATCTCGTCCATCATCGTCTTGAGATTCCTTCAGGGCGCATTTGGAAGCACGGGCAGCACCATGGTCGGTGGGACCATTGCAGGTGCGTCTCTCTACTCTTGCTTTCTCTCGCATGCTCACACACATACAACAGACATCTGGAGCTCGGCGGACCGAGGCCCGCCCATGGCACTGTTTGCGACGGGCGCCATCTTTGCCACGGGCTGGGGGCCCTTCTGGGCCGGCTTCGTCGAGAACAACACCAAGCTCGAGTGGCGCTGGATCCAATACATCCAGGCCATCTACACGGGCGCCATCCTGATCCTTCTCACCGTCTTCCTCAAAGAGACCAGGGGCAGCGTCCTCCTCACTCGGTGAGTTTGGCAAAGCGTGGCCTGTGGGCGCAGTGCTGAATTCCTCTTCCTCCACACAAGACGCGCAGCGAAGCTGCGAAAAGAGACGGGCGACCAGCGGTATCGAGCCAGGGCTGAGGCCGAACGCGCCACGATCCCGATTCTCATAAAAAATAGCCTGACGCGACCGCTGTTCATGCTCTTCACCGAGCCCATCGTGACCGTCTTCAGCCTCTGGATCAGTCTTCTGTGGGGATTCCTCTACATGCTTCTCGAGAGCATCGGCCTCATCACGGAGCTGCATGGCTACACGCCTGCACAGACAGGCCTCGTCTTTTTGAGTATCTGCCTCGGCGCCCTCATCGGCAACCTCACGAACCCAATCCAAGATTGGCTGTACTGGCGCTACGAGCCGAAAAAGGGCCCCGAGGCACGCCTCTTTTTCGCCTGCGCCGGCGCCCTCCTCTTCCCCATCGGCTGCTTCATCTACGGCTGGACCGCCTACCCGCACGTGAGCATCGCTGGGCCCGTCGTCGGCGTCACGACGCTCATGCTCGGCGTCTACATCATCTATCTCGCCGTCTTCAACTACCTCGCCGACGCCTACCTCATCTACGCCAGCTCCGCCCTGGCCGCCCAGTCATTCTCGCGAAACGTCTTTGGGTTCGCCTTTCCCCTCTTTGTCGAGCCCATGTGCGTGTGTTCTGCCTCATCAAATTGACCTGGAGAGAGAGAGGCTTACATTGTCTGATGTGCTACAGGTATCACAACCTCGGCTACCACTGGGCCTCGTCCCTCGCCGGCTTCCTCGGCGCCATTCTCGGCGTGGTGAGTGCCGCCTCTAGCATCGCCTCACTGAAATGCTGATCGTTGTCCCGAAAAAGGTGCCCTTTGTCCTCATGTTCTACGGCAAGCAGATCCGCGCACGTTCCAAGCTCTCGATTGAGCTGCAAAAGATGCATCAACGGCAGCAGGAGCAGCGCGAGAAGCAGCGGGAACAGGAGCAGGCGCAGCAGGCGGCAAGAGAGCCATCAAAACAGCAGTAGTCTCAGACAATTTGCCTCCATCTAATAATAATTGCTGGGCCGCTGCTTTTGTCCAGGAAAAGACCGATCCACATTGCCAAGAGAGTATGATGAATGATTGAAGGTGGGATGGGTGGATGGATGCAAGCGAGCGAGTCAAGCAGGGGGAAAGACGAAGGAATGATAAATGATTCAGAGGTGATGATGGCGCGGCTCTCAGCGGCCCCGTCGAAAGTAAAAGAGGAGGTATGGCGAGGGGCTGTTGATCTGCCGGTCGTCCGACTTCATCACCCGGCTGTCGTCGCAGTACATCCACTCGGGCCCCGCCTCGCCCTGCGTCCGGATCGTCGCCGTGTCTGTTTGAGTAGTCGAGGTCAGCGGTGCTCTTCTGGATCGAAGCGAGGATGAGTTCACTTACAATGCTGGCAAAGAAGAGCAAGTGAGAAAGAGTGGAAACAGTCAGCCACAGGACGGAACAACAGAGTCACAAGTAATAAGAACTCACGCCGCCCGTGAGGGAGCCAAAGTGGTGGACGCACGCATACAGGTCGTACACGTACGGCGGCTGCTGGCTGGCGCTGACGGGGGCGCCCTTGGGGATGGCGCCGGGCGGCAGCGGTGGGGGCATGTAGTTTGTCAGGTCGAGGTTCGTCGTGGGCACCTGGACATGGGCGGTAATCTTGTCGGTAAAGGGCCCCTTAAAGCTGAAACGCTTGAGGTGGATGAGGAGCACCTGGGGCAGGCGCGAGATGCTGAGGCGCTTGCTGGCCTTGCGCGGCTTCTTACAGCGTGGGCAGTGCCATGCGTCGGCCTTGTCGAGGATCTCGTCGCGCGTAAAGGCGTCGAGGCACTGCGTCAGCGTCACCCGGGGCTGGCCCCGCGTCGTGGCGGGGATGGGCAGGGAGAGGTACATGAAGGCATTGTACGTCGTCGACGTCTTGCCGCACGTGAGGCAGGTGAGCTTGTTGCGAAACTGACCCTGGAACCAGTCGACGATGAGCGAGTCGTTGCGCTCGCGGTAGATGGCCCACTCCTTGACGCTGGCGACCTGCTGGGGCAGCGTCTCGAGCTCGAGCTCCCTGCCGGGCGTCATGTCGACGGGCGGCGGCTTCTGCTTGACGTAGTTGAGGTCCTCGTGGAGGCCGTCGAGCAAGAAGGCGAGAAACTCTTGGGCGTCGTGCTGGTCGTAGCCGCGAAAGGCGGGGGCAAAGCGGGTGATTGCCTCGCGAAAAGTGACGGGCGACACAAAGGTGTACTGCTCGGACCACATGACGCGCACGAGCTGGGCAAAGGCCTCGGCGAGGGCGCCCTGGGTGCCGAGCGGGTTGACGTGGTTGATTGCGCGCTTGTACGAGCCCTCGAGGAGGAAGCGGGCGAGGGGAATCGTGGCGCTGAGGCACTGCAGCGTCGAGTTCATGTAGCACGAGTTGCCGACGTTCTTGAGTCCCGTGAGGCCGATGCGCACGTCGGCCCGCTGCGTCTGCCGTGCGCCGGGCGTCGTGTAGCTGGCGGTGCGCGGCGTCGTAGTCGACGCGATGGGTGCGCCACCGGGTGGGGGTACGAGTGGCCGCCGTGCCAGGTCCATCGACTGGGTCCTGCCCTGGCCCGCCGCGGCCGTTGCCGCCGTGGAAGAAGTGGCAGTGGCGGTGGATGAGGACCCCCGTGACGAGGTGCCGTTGACGGCCGGCGGCGGTGGCGCAGGCCCACCGCGGAGCTGGGGATAGTCAAACGAGGCCATCGTGGGCCGCGAGACGGACGAGGGCATGATCTCGCCCGGACGCAGGCTGCGGGGCAGCGGCGAGGGCAGCGCATAGCCCACCGTCGACGCGGGACGCTGGCCAGACGTCGACTGGTACGCCCGCGCAGGCATCGAGGGCCCGTCGGCGACATAGATGCCCTGTCTCCGGGCCCGCTTCAGCTCCTCGTCCTGGGTCGCGGCCACAGCCACGCGCTGCTGAGTGGGCGACGTGCGGCCGCTGCTGGTGCTGGGGCTGCTGCTCGTGCCATTGACGTGGATGCCCTCGCCGACCAAGCCCATGTCGCCCACCTTTCGCGCCCACCGATCAATGCCACCGACGAGGAGGGCGACAGGTGTCTTTGAGTTGGCCGTCAGGGCGCGGTAGAGGAGCTCGAGGTTGAGCTGGGCGCCCTTGACCTGGGTCGCGTCGTGCTGTTCTTGTTGCTGCTGCTGAGACATGCTGCTGGAGCCGAGATGGCCGCTGGACCCGAGATAGCCGCGCGAGTCGCGGTCGAGGAGGACGACGACGTCGTAGCTGTCCCTGGCGTCAAAAGCGGCCAGCTCGCCCTCGGAGCCCATGGCGTGGCGGATGCCCTGGACGCTCATGCTGTTTGTTAAATCGAGAGCCAGTCAGCCGCAACACCACCTGCTATTTTTGCTGAAATTCCCAAAACTCACCCAGCCACGAGGCTCGAAGGATCGATGCAGAAGCTGTCGGGGCCCTTTACCCGCATCTCGCGGTACTCTCTTCTCGGCCGCACATCTGCGACGAGGATGCGCGAGGTGGTCTTGCGGACCATGCGCTTGTTGCCCTGGGCATCGACGAGCGTGTCAAAGCCCGGGTTGAGGAGCGTAAAGAGTTCCTCGACAGAGACGAGCGTCCGCTGGGGCAGGCTCCAGGACTGTGCGTCGTCGTGCCGGAGCGCCTGCTCGGGCGCTGCGGTGGACGACGGCCCAGCAGCAGTGGCCAGCGACGAGGACGAGGACGAGGACGAGGGGATAGGAGGCGTAGGCAGCGGCCGCGCAGGCGACTTGAGTGCCGGCGGAAGGCCGTCGGACGGCGTGGGTAGCCCCGTCGACGAGGCCGGATGACCAAGTGCCGACTCAAAGTCGTCGAGAGCCGGGTAGGTGCGCTGGAAGTACGACTCGGTGGGCACGCCATCATTTCGAGCTTGCTGCTGCTGGTGCTGCTGCCCCTGTTGGTCGTCAAGGCCTGCTGGCAGCTCTGGCGGCGCTCGATGCGGCGACTCCGGTGGCGGCGGGAGGTGGTCCTCGCCGCCATCGATGCCATCGTTTGCACCCGTTGCCTGCGCCGAGACGGACGCTCGCCGGGCAATCGAAGCCATGGTGTCGCGCTTCCTGTCGTCCCTCGCGCCTGCCGCAGCAGCAGCAGCAGCAGGCGAGGGAAGGCCCGACATGCGCAGTACGCTCAGCCGGTCGGCGAGCGTGGCTGGCGCCTGGCCGGCCTTGGTGCCGCCGCTGCCGCTGGTAGTAGTAGTGGTGGTGGCCAGTGCACTGCTGCTCAGCGTCGGTGTCGCGGCCCGGGGTGTCTCTGTCTCAAGAGCTGGCGAGGCCGGGGGTGAGGGCGAGTGACCCGGGATGGCCGCCGCGGGGAAGCCAGCGACATCGGCAGCATCGGTGCCTCCGCCTTGGACATCGTCGATGTCCTCCTCCTGCGGTCGCCTGCCCTGGTTAATCGTTTGGCCCTGTTCCTGCCCCAGTCCCAGTCCCAGCTCCTGGCCCTGTCCTGACCCCTGCCGCTGCCGCGACGCCTGCATAAGCACGGCCGACTTGGCCTCCTCGGCCCGTGCGGCCTCACGCGCGATCAGGAGCTCCTCGAGCCGGTTGGCACGCTGGATGATGTCGGGCACATTCTTCATGAAATCCTGGTAGCGGTAGAAGGCCGGCCCGCGCTGCTGGATCGTCTTTTCCCACTCGACGTGCTTGGTGATGGACGATGCGACGCTGCGTGCGAGGAAAGAGGCAGGACTAGTCAGTGGTTGTTTATGTGATTCATCAGCAAGGCTGCGCGAGCAACCCACTTTGCACTCTTGAGGTAGTTGACAAAGGCCTGCTCGGCCAGCCCTTGGGCATCGTCCGACTTTGCCTTTTCCAGCAGCGCACTCGCCGCGCCAATGTAGCTCTTGACGCTGAAGCTCGGCTCGAGGCCTGTCCGGGCCAGCTTGCGGAGGTTGTGTGGGTGGCTCGACGAGAGCAGCGCTGCGTCTTTTGTTGTGCCGCTGCTGCTGCTGTTGCTCCTACTCCCGCTGCCACTGCCGCTGCCACTGCCATTTCCAGGCTTGGTCGGCGAGGGGGCCAAGGAAGACGCCTTGGTGGGGCTCAGCCGCGGTGGGCGCGATGACGACGACGACGACGTCGACGGCTCTGTATGCGGCGAGGCATTGTCCGAGGTAGACGCCGAGAGCAGCGCTGCGAGGCCCTCCGATGACGGCGGGGGACCCAGGATGGCGCCGCCACCGCCACCACTAGATCCATTGGCGACCATGCTGCGGCTTCTGCTGCTGACGACGACGACAAAGGATCGGCGACTGAGATGCTGCGCTCGACTGCGCGCAGCGGCTACCACCACAGCCCGCCGTGGCCCGCCGGCGGCCCAAAGGCTGGTGATGCTTTCCCCGGTCCCCTCGCAGCTCCCTCTATATGCTCCTCTGTCTGCGAGAGCCGGTCAAACGCCCCGCGACGAAGGAGGCCAGCGGACGGCTCGCCTGACCGGGTTCTCGAGAATTTGCCGGCGATGTGGAGTGCACCGCCTTCCTCTATCTTGACTTGCTCTCTCTCTCTCTCTTGCTGTGTGTGCGCGACAGCCGGGTGTGGCGTCAGGTATATAGTGTGAGCCGTCGCGGTGGTGTGCGAGTCGGCGGCCGCAGGCACAAGCTGCTTTTCCTGTGTGGCGATGCAATAGTCGTAAGTGACGATCGCCAAAATTGGACAGGACCGCGCGCGCGCGTGTGTGTGTGTGTGTGTGTGCGCCCGGCCGACGTTTTGTGGCTTCCTCGGGCTCTCGAGACAGGCTTTTTTGCCAGGCGCACTTTTTCACCAGCGCGAGCCTGCTTGACAAAACACGTGGAAATGGATCCAAGACGACCGACCACCTGGCTCTGGTGGAACGAACTCTAAAAATAAGGAATTTAGCCATTTCAAACGGCAATTGGACGGCTTCCTCTGCAGGAGGGGGGAGTAGCTAGTGTGTAGTGTAGTAGTAGCTGCACCAGTTGCAGCAACAGCAAGGAAAAAAGAAAGAGCGAGAAAAAGAGAAGAAAAAGGGAAAATAAAAAAGGGACAAAAATAAGAAAGGGCGCGATTCGATCGCATCAGGGACACAGTGATCAAATAATCTTGCGCTGCTGGTCGAGGCCAGAACAACAACAACGACTGCAACAACGACGAGACGGCTGACTGGCTGACTGACTGGCCGACCGGGAGGAAGAGGAGAAGTAGCCCACCATGAACTTCGAGAGCATGCCTGCGCCGTCATCGTAAAGAGTCGCAGCCCGATCGATCAGCCAAGTCGACGACGATGGAGTCGACGATCAGACCCCTTTACCGCCAGCCGGGGCCAGGGGCAGGGCCAGGGACAGGCGCAGACGCAGACGCAGGCGCAGGAGCCGCAGCAATGACGGGCGACTCAGCGGGCCAGGCCGGGGACCACGCCGGGGGCCTCGCGCGGGCGGGCTCGGCGGCTCGGACAAATGCGATTGCGAGGCTGAAGCGGGCGGCGTCGCAGCGCGAGCTCAAGAACAAGACGAGCCAGGACGAGCTGCGGGCGATGGCCACGCCGAGCCCGCTGCCGTTTGTGCGCCCTGCGGGGGGCGATGCTGCGGCCCTGCAGCCCATGACCGTCGAGCAGCAGCAGCAGTACCTCGATAGCAGTCCGCTGCTGGGCCGGCATGACGCGCACGCTGGCCTCGTCGCTGCTGCCCGTGGTGGTGGCATCGGCATCGGTGGCGGCGGCTCGGGCTCGGGCTCAGGCGCATCAGCATCGGCCTCCGTCTCGGCCTCGCCCTCCCCCTCGCCATCGCCCTCGCCGTCGCCCTCGCGGGGCCACTCGTCGCGCGCCGAGTCACCAGCAAAGGAGCGAGTGCTGGCTGCTGCCGTCGGTCTCGCCCCTCCTCCACGCTCCCGGTCCCGGCTCGGCGGTGACAACAAGTCGCCGTCGCCGCTGCCCTCGCTCGAGCAGCTCCGCGCACGCATCCTCCAGGAGCGTGCGACGGCTGGCCTGGCGAGGAGCGCAAGCACGAGCGCAGCCAGTGCCGCTGCGCGCGCCTATGCGCTCGAGAAGCTGCTGGGGACGAGTGCGCGCGAGGGCGCCGTCAGCCCCGTCAGCGACACGGCCGAGGTCGATCGAGACGATGAAGACGAGGATGATGATAACAACAACAGTCCGGAACAGGGACAGACGCTGCACGGAGCACAGGCCAGCATGCAGCGGCCCCTGTCGACGCGCAAGAGCATCGTGCCCCCGAGCCCTTCTGCGCGCGAAAAGGCACTGCTGCGCCGCAGCCGGACCATTGGCAGCCTCAGTGCCGTCGCCGAGGCGCAGCGAAAGGCCGCCTTTGTCGAGGCCCTCGACAAGGGCACGCCTGAGGAGATTGCCGGTCGCCGCCGGAGCTCGCGTCGCTTTGCAAAGGCGCCGCCGGGCAGCAGCAGCAATTCCACCAATCGCACCAGCAACAATAGCCACAACAATGCAAGCCAGGCAGCAGCGGCAATGCCACTCCCCCAGCTGCCGCCATTCACTCCACCAGCAGCAGAGGACAACAGCAACGAACAGCGGCCGCCGTCGCTCCAGCGCCAGCCGTCGCAGCGCGAGATTGCGCGTGCCGAGATGATGCGCAAGCTCTCTGGCCGCGGCCGTGCTGCCGGTGCTGCTGGGGCGACCACTGCTGCTGCTGCTTCTCCTCGCATCGTGCCGCCCCCATCACTGGCACCTGCGACGACGGTGACGACGGCGGTGGAACGAGAAGCGGCGCCCTCGCCCCTCGGCAGCACGATACATGCGTCGCCCCTAAGTAGTGGCCTCAGTCCGTCCGCTGCGCAGCACCAGACCCTCGCACCCTCGCCTTCGCCCGGGCCTGGGCCCAGCACGGCGGCGACGACGACGACGCTGCTCTCGGTGCCCAGTGCAGGCACCGTCGCGCGAGGCCTGCGCTCCTCGTCGCAGACGTCGCTCCTCACCAACCACGAGGACCTGGACCGGGAGCGGGACCGGGCGAGCCAGCTGGCAAGGCTCCACGGCGAGGAGTCGTTTGAGTACGAGCGCCTCCTCGACCAGGGCTGGAGCTCCGTCGAGGCGTTTGAGCGCGTCGCCAGCGCCCGCAGCGAGAGCTTTGCCGGCTCCGTGGGCCAGCCCTCGCCCCGGCTTGGTGCCGATGGCGGTGGCGACCACGACGGTGTTGACGCTGATGATGACGATGATGAAGATGGTGACGACATCGACGACGACATCGACGATGGCAGCAAAGGCAGCCAGCGCGAGCAGCACTTGCCACTACAGGATGCCCACCTCTCGTCGTCGGCCAGCATCGTCGTTGGCTACCAACCAAACGGCAGCACCCATGCGCGCGCCTTCTCGGGCACGACGGACGTCGATGCCGACGAGATGGCTGGCCCAGGCCGAGAGCGTGCCTGGCCCGTCAGCGTCGACTCCAACATGACCGAGACGACCAAGGAGGCCCGGGTGGTGAGCAGCGACGACGCAGTGGCGCGCACACAGGCGCCACTACCACAGGCACAGACACAGGCACAGGCAGAGACGCAGGTGCAGACGCAGACACAGACGCAGACACAGACAAAGGCACAGGCACCGTCACAGACGCAGATGGAGAGACAGGCACAGGTAGAGACGCAGGCACAGACACTGTCGCCAGAAGGTGGGTGTATGCGCTATGAATTTGAGATTTGCTAGGCGCTGACTAGCCAACACAGCGGTGGGCCAACGGACATTCGGGAGGATCCAGGACCTGCTGAGCCCCAACTTTCTCAAGGAATATGGCAACCCGCTCGACTATGCTGGCTCCTCGCCCATCGAGTCGCCTACGGTCGAGATGCATTTCAGTCAACAGCAGCAGCAGCAGCAGCAGCAGCAGCAGCCGCGCGACGAGGAGGAGCAGACCAAGGCAGTCGAGGCCGTGGTGGTGCATGACAAGGACAAGGACAAGGGCGAGCCAGGCGAGGAGAGTGACGACGAGTCGTACCTCATCGAGGTCGAGCGCATCGCAAAGGAGCTCGAGACCTTCACTGTCCGCCGCGCCACGAGCGTCCGGGGAAGGCCCGACCGCAACGCCGTGGTGCAGAGGTCTACGGCCGCCCAGGCCGTGGCAGCGGCGACGGAGCATCTGAGACGGCGGCGGCAGAATGCATCAGAAGAGAGCGAAGACAGCGCTGGCCAGCAGCAGCAGCAGCAGCAGCAGCTACCTCAACTCCACCGGCAGCCAAACGGGTCATCTCAACCACAGCCACGGTCGCAGCACAGTGCCCCGACAGAGGCCGCCGCTCGTGCTGGGCCCCAGCCGGTGCCCGCGGTGACGACTGCCGAGCGCGACGTCCTGTATGCCAACGACAAGCTTCGCCCGTTTCCCGGCCTGTTCCCCAGCAAGGGCCCCGGTGCTGCCGCCGATGCCGTCGCACACCACCGCCCGCCACCGCTGTCGATCACGCCGATGCCGCTGGCCAAGGCCGAGAACGTGGCAGAAACGGGCGACGAGCCGCGTCCGTCGGCGCACGCCCAGACCCAGGCCCAGGCGCAGACGGAGCTGCCTCGCACCGTGGAGGAGCCGGCATCGACCAAGGGCCGCAGCCCCGCGCTGTTCTCGTCGCTGCGACGAAAGGCATCCAACGCCGCTGCGCGCGTCGCGTCGCCGCGCATCGGCACCGGCACCGGCACCGACGCCGAGGGCGACAGCAGCGGCGGCAACAGCTCGCCGCCGAGCCACTCGCGGCCGATGAGCCCCACGCGGCGCTTTTTCGACGGCGGCGTCTCCTTTCTCTCTCGCCGGCCGTCGAAGAGGGACGTCAGCCCGGCCAAGCCCCGGTCCGCCAGCGGGCCAGCGGCTGCTGCGGCTGCGGCTGCGTCGACAACATCAGCGGCGATGGCGGCATCAGGTACGGCGGCATCAACAACAACAACAGCGAGGAGCGCCAGCGTCAAGCGAGAGCCCGTGCTGGGCCGCACCGACTCGTCCAACTCGCTTACTGCGCACCGCAGCGAGGCCGCCGCGGCCGCCGCCGAGCGCGCAAAGGCCAACCTGCTCCTCGCACCGCCGCTGGCCGCCGACGAGTCGATGGATGCCGGCCTTGCTGCGCCGGCCTCGGCTGCCGCGGCGTCCGAGGCCACGTCGTCGCTCGCGCCCAGCACGGCAGCCATGCTCCACCGCTACAGCCACATCCTCACCTCGCCCACCGATGCCGCCGCCAGCCTGACGCCAATCGTGCCTGGCCTGCGACCCGAGGACATGGCCAAGCCCCCGCGTGCTTTTATCCATGCCGGGCCCGTGCTCCAGGTCGTCACGTCGAGCACGGTCAAGGACCGGTTCCTCTTTCTCTTTTCCGATGTCCTCGTCATCGCCAAGCCCATTGCGCCGCCGATGCAGCAGCAGCAGAAGCAGCAGCAGCAGAAGCAGGACGCCGCCCAGACGGGATTGCCCACGGTGGACTGGACCTTCTCGGTCAAGAACATCCTCGATTTGCACCAAGTCAAGATGAGCATCCCCAGCGACCACCGCCCCGCGCAAAAGACGATCCCGCTCATGTCTCGCTTCGTCGCAGAGTTCAAGCACGACCCCGACACGGCGCTGGCCAATCTCCTCGGCCGCACTTCGCTGCCCAACAGCCCGTCGACGGTCGCCCAGCTGCTCCACCAGACGCCCGAGCTGGACAAGGCCAATCTGTCAGCCTACCTCTTTGGCGGCGACTCGCTCGCCGCGTCGATCGGCCGCCTCGAGACGATCAAGGCCTTTGTCGGCCTCGAGAAGCTCGCCGGCGTGTCCATCGAGTCGGCCCTCCGCTCGCTCCTCCTCGAGCTCCGCTTTCCTGCCAGCCTCGAGGCGTTTGAGGCCCTCCTGACGACATTTGCCACGCTCTGGACCCAGGCCAACCAGGGCCTGATCAAGCCCGCATTTACTGCTGCCCTCGCCACCGATCTCGTCTTTGCCATCATGACCCTCAACGACGCCCTGCACCTCGACCCGGCCGATGACGCAGCAGACGGCCACACCCACACCGGCTGGGGCGTCGCCGATGCCTCGCAGCACCGCGCCCGTCCCAAGGCCACGGCGCCCGGCCTGTTTGGCGAGGCCATGCCTGCGCTCACAAAGACGGCCTTTGTCTCTGCCTTTCGCCAGCACGACGCCGCCCAGGTCCTCTCCGACCGCACGCTGCAGCGCATCTACACGAGCGTGCGCGCAGACAGCCTCTCCCAGGCCCTTGCGTCTGACGAGCCAGGCCCGCGCTATGCGATCCGCGTCGTGGGCTCGGGCCTGCCCACCAAGCTCATCTACGGCGTCGTCAGCGACCCCATCCGCGTCTCCATCCCACGGCCCGACGCCGAGCTCGTTGTCCGCCTCTACGGCCAGGACCTCTCGTTTGACCCCCCGATTCTGACCTTTGACGGCAAGACGACGAGCACGTTTACCGTGGTGAGCAAGTCACTGGGGCCCAAGCACATCGTCTTTGTCAAGGCCGGCCGCACTGCGAGGTACTACTCGGGCACTGTGGGCGACGCCGAGCCAGGCACCACCACGGCGCTGCCCCGCTCGCTGAGCCTGACGGTGGAGCGCGCATTCATGCAGCACTGCATCATGCTCACGCTCCCCTCCAAGCGCAAGTACATGGTCAGCGTCGAAAACGACGAGCAGAAGCGCACGTGGGCCTGGGCACTCAAGCGCGCACTCCACGACTGCGCCAAGGCAAAGGTCAGGCCCCAGCTCCCGCTCGAGGCACCCAACGCCGCCGCGCAGGCCACCCTGTACAAGGCCGCCGACGCCGTCGCGCTCCACGTGCTCCGCGAGACGCTCATCGAGCCCGACACCGCCGCCTATCCGTCGTCGTCTGGCCCAGGGCAGCTGCAGAGGAGCGCGAGTGCCGCCGTGGCCGCCACGGGCGGCAGCCGGATGCTGCCTGCCAGCCTCGCGCGGGCCCCGTCGGACTCGCGTGCCTTGGCGCGCCCTCAGCAGCAGCTCCTTCAGCAGCAGCAGCAGCAGCAGCAGCACCATCTCCAGCCGCAGCTTCACCCCCAGTCAGACAAGTCGAACCTAGACCGGAACCGGTCGATCAGCCGGCACTACTATGCCGCAGGCGGAGCAGGCAGCGGCGAGCGGGAGCTCCTGCCTCCTATGCCAGCCAGCAGCAGCAGCAGTGGCGCCTCCTTGGCGGGGCCATCGACACGTCAACCCCTGGCCGGTGACCGGCTCATCCTCACCGTGCAGCAGAACTCGCTCCTGGCCCTCGTCGTGGCCAACTCCCACTCGCACTTTCAGTGATGGATGGCCGATTCTCATTCAGCACGGATACTCTATGAATTGATACTAACGACAAGAAGCCGGTCCTGAACCAGTGGTGCTGGGCCCCCTTCTTCTACTCTCTCTCTCTCTTTCTCTCAAACAATCATGTACACGTAGGCCGCTTCATCCCTTCATCGTTTTCCTCGAGTCGACACATCAACACCGTCCCGCAGTAGCTCGAATGTCAACACAGTCAATGCCTCTATTCTCTCTGAATTCTTAAGTACGGTTCTCTCTGAAATCTCAATCAAGGCTCCCTCCTCCCTCTCTGCTGCGTGGTCGAGAGGACCTCGTGCGTGCGCTTTCGTGTCGTCGCCGCCGCCCGCCCGTGCGCCCTTGGCTGCTAGGCAGCGCGGCGGCGGTGAAAAGAGAAAAAAAATCTGAGACTTGCCTGCGCACTAAGAAGAGAATGAACACACACATACACGAGGCCCTCGCGAGCGTGCGCACACAAGCTTCGTTCAACTTTTTAGTACTAGTCTAGTCTCGTCTCTCATCGATTTTGGCCGCGCGCGCGCCGACGGCCCTTTTGAGGCTAAATCTTGTGCCCTTTCATCCTGCTAGCTTCTCCTCGAGCTCGCTCTGGCACGGCACGGCACGGCGGTCGAGGAAGAGGCGCACGAGGGCGAGCAAGACGGGGCACGCACATCGACGACGGCAGCATCTCACAAAGAGAGAGAAAGAGAGAGAGAGAGGCAGGGACACAGCGGGCTGCGTAATCGACCATGGCGACGCAAGACGGCTCTGCGTTGGTGGCCCAGCAGCAGCAGCAGCAGCAGCCACCGGTGTCGCAGCACCCACTCGAATGGACACAGGCCGACGTCGTCTCATGGCTCGCCACGCTGACGCCGACGTCGAACCTGTCGCGCTCGTACGGCGGCCTGTTTGCTGAGAACGACATCGAGGGCGAGGCGCTGATCAACCTGGACCCCGACTCGCTCAAGGAGATTGGCGTCGGCAGCATCGGCCACCGCCTCGTCATTCTCCGCGGCATCTACGACCTCAAGATACGCTGGGCGATTGAGCTCGACGAGGGCGACTGGCGGCCCGACGACTCGCACCAGAGCTCCGCCTCGACGAGCTATGGTGGTCCGGCCGGCGTCCAGGCGCTGGGCATGGGCCAGGTCTCTGCTGAGCACATGCTCAAGGCCCTCAAGGAAAGAGACGAGCGGGTGCGCGCACTCGAGGTCGAGGTCTCCCGGCTCGAGGACTGGCTCGTGAGGTATGCGGCCGCCGCCGGCAGCACCCGGGTGGGTGTTCTTCATTTCTCATTCTGCTGCGAACAATGACATGCTGACCAGGTGAGGTGGGCCCAACGAAGGTCGAGAACCTGCAGGCATACATTGCGCCGAACCACATCTACAGCTTCATACCCGCCGAGATGCTGCCTCGGCGCTCGATTCAGCACCAGCAGTCGTCGGCTGCCTTTGAGCACGGCATGGCATCGAGCAGCAGCCAGGGCCCTGTGCCTGTGCACACACCCTCGAGCGCATACAGCGGGCCAACGACGGCGACGAGCCCGGGCGTATTTGCCGAGCCAGGCAGCGCCATGTCCCTGTCCGACCAGGACGCGCGCAACATCAAGACGCCCACCACGTCCTCGACAAGCGCATTCAGCGCCGCCTCCAACGAGCAGCAGCAGGCGCCGTCGAGCTCGTCTCCGCTGGCCAGCATTGGTTTCAGTGGCACATCCAACGGGCCATCGGTCCCCCCTTCAGGCGAGGCAGCGACAGAGGCCAGCACACCCAGTGCGACGCCCACGAGCGCATATCCGCCTGGCTCTTCCGGCCTCACCTCGGGCTCCATCGACGTGCAGAGGCTCGCGGCCACGCCCACGGGGCCCGTCTCGTCGCTGTCGCCATCGGCCACCTCCTCCTCGTCTGCAGCGGCCCTGGCTTCTCCAAACGACTCGCTTGCGCTCAAGACGCCTTCGTCTGCCACCACCGCCGCCGCTGTCTCCTCCACCCGATCTGCATCTGCATCTGCATCTGCAGCGCCCGACGCCGGGGCCAAGCCAGCGACGAGCGGTTCCAGCGCTGCCACGACGGCGAGCGGCGACAACCTCTACAAGTCGTTCCGCGTCACCCTCGACGACCCCTGCCACAAGGTGCTGCCGGCTGCGCTGCGAAAGTACAAGATCTCCGACGACTGGCGGCTGTATGCGCTCTTTATCAGCTACGGCAACTCGGACAACCCCATTGAGCGGTGTTTGAGCTACGACGAGAAGCCGCTGCTGCTCTTCCAGAAGCTCAAGGATGCCAACCAGAACCCCGTCTTTATGCTCAGGCATCAGAACGAGGTCAAGAGTCCGATTGCGATTGCAAAGGCAAAGGCGGCCAAGAAGCAGCAGGCCAGCGCTGGTGGTGGTGGTGGTGGTACGCCCAGCACCTCGCCAGGCGAGTCAAAGAGCAGTGCCGCCGCAGCCAAGGCAAAGGGAAAGGTGGCCGACGCCGTCGCCAGGCTCGGTGGCGCCACCGGAAGCAAGGACAAGGGTGGCGGCGGTGGTGGTGACGAAGCCGGTGGCAGCGGTGGCGCATCAGCAAGGGACGAGGCTGGCAGCAAGAAGCGCGACGAGAGCGCTGCACCGATGGTCAACTCGCCCCCCGGACAGCCCCTCATCACGGGCCCAGCGGCCGACCTGGCGGCCAACAGTCGCAAAGCCGAGGCGTATGCGATTGCCATCTACCTCTACTCGTCAGAGAGGGACGACGAGTTCGACGTCAACGTCGGCGACACTTTCATCGTCCTGTCCAAGGCAAAGGGCTGGTGGATCGTGCAGCGCGACACCCAGGCCACTGGCACGCCCGACGTCACGGGCGTCGTCCGAAAGGAGCCCGAGACCGAGGGCGAGTTGGGCGAGGCGATCAACGGAGGCGAGATCAAGAGTGGCTGGGTGCCTGCGGGCTGCCTCATTGAGACGAGCCGGCCGCTGGCAGCGATTGTTGATGTGCAGGCCCTTGCGACAACCGACAAGCCCGGTGACGGTGTCATGGCCGCTGCACAGGCTCAAGCCATCGAGGGCGGTAATGTTGGTGACGGCGGCGATGCCTCGGCGCCCTCTCCGCTCTCGTCTTCGGGGACACCGTCACCGGACAAGGGCGCCCTGTCTGCCAAGATGGCCCTTGCCCCCATTCCACCCCAGCTCATCACCTCCAGCAGCACGCCGGGCATCCTCCTCATGGACTACAAGGCGCCCCAGGACGGCATTCCCTCGCTGCCTGCCGGCACACGTCTCCGTGTTTTCAAGCGCTACAACCACTGGTCCTACTGCGTCGTAGAGGGCGAGGGCCACGCAAGGGCGTGGATGCCCTCGTGGTTCATCTCCAAGCTCAGCGGCAGCAGCTCTAGCGGACAGTCATCGAGCAGCCGCAAGCTGGGCGCTCCTTCGTCCTCGTCGTCTTCTGCTGCTGCCTCTGCTAACCCCACTGCTGCCAGTTCGAGGAACGGGAATTTGCTCACGCAGACTGCGCAGAGCCTGCCGTTTGCCAGCTCCTCCAAGCCCGGCACCGAGGGGCAAGGCACTAGGACGGGCTCGATTCCGCTCCTCTAGACCCGCCGCTGTATACATCCACAACACAACCCCTCATGTATTGCTCTCCTTTCTCCCATAAGCCCACAACTTTCCAACTCTCATCTCTCCTCAATGCTGCAATGACACATACCGGTACCATATCTCTTCACGGTTGCTCGCTCGCTCGCTCGTGACGAAACGGGCCAAAATGACGGAAATGGAAAAATGACGCGTGCGCCCCCGTCTGCTTTTCAAACGGGCTCGCTCGCCGGTCGCTCCACCCCATTGATCTGCATCTCCTTTCACCTACATCATCACCGATCAACGACCGATCTTGCCACAGTTGCGAGAGTGCAGTGGCGGATCTTGTCGGCATAGACGGCGTCCTCGGTTCCGTCACACCTTCCAACACCGATCACATCCACTCCGGGAAGTGCGGGTGTGCGTTATCGGGTACTGCGACGCATAGACAAAGACCCTGCCCAATCGCTCTCTCCTCGGAGAGACGCTGACGCAGAACAATGGCGTCGACAGTGGCCCCACAGGAAGTGCCGACACTCAAGATTTTGCTGGTGGGGAGCAGCAGTGTCGGAAAAAGCAGCCTTCTGCTTCGCTACACGGATGACGAATACCTCGGGCCAGAGGAGGCCACCGCCACAATTGGCGTCGACTACAAGATCAAGAGCATCACCGTGGGCGGCAAGAGATACAAGCTCAGCATCTGGGATACAGCGGGCCAGGAGCGCTTTCGGACGCTGACGAGCAGCTACTACCGGGGTGCACACGGCGTCATTGTTGGTCAGTGGTCCTCGTGCCTCCTCGTGCCTATTTTCTCTTTTTCTCTTCCTGATACTGACTTGACGAGGCGACGACAGTGTATGATGTGACGCAGCGAGACACGTTCGAGGCCCTCCCGACGTGGTACAACGAGCTGGACACGTTCACCTCGAGCCCGGATGTGGTCAAGATTGTCGTCGGAAACAAGGTCGACAAGGACCTCTCGAGGGTCGTCACCGTCGAAGAGGGACAGGCATTTGCGGATCGGATGGGCTGTCTGTTTGTCGAGTGCAGCGCAAAGAGGGGCGTCGGCGTCAGTGGCGCATTTGACGAGCTCGTCAATCGGGTGAGTGAGAGAAGAGAAGCGCGCCATCATTGGTGAGGCGAGGCGAGTCGAGAGGAGAGAGCTGACAGAGGCACACATTTGCCCCGTGCAGATCATCTCGACGCCATCGCTCTGGGAGAACACAGCGGGGCGCAGGCCGGGCGACCGGATGCCTGGCGGGGCGCCGGCGGACCATGCGGCTGAGTCGAGCCGAGGGAACATCTCCCTCACCGATCCTGGCGGGTACGTGGGCTACGGTCTGGGCGTGGCAAAGGATAACTGTAGCTGTTGAGGAGGGGGGATCTCTCTGCCTCGTTCTTACTTCTTCGGTGGGTCGGTCGGTCCACCCCCTTGTCCTCCCGTCATGATATCTCCTCCTCTCCCTCGTCCCTTGCCCACCCCGTCTTGTCTCATCCACATCCCCACTCCCTCCCTCTTCCCCGGCCCCTGTCCTGTGTTTCTGTGTGACCGTCATATTTTTTGTTCTCCCTGTAATGCTGAATTGTCTCATTCTCTTTTCCACCTCTGTCCCCCTTTCCTCCCCTTCAGCGACAATGATGCTTCAGAACAAGAAGGAGAGACCCAAGGGCACGATCGAGAGCAAGGGCAAGAACAGCTGGAACAAGTCACCGAGAGGGAAGGCGCAGAGGCAGAGGCAGCGACACGAGCAGAGGCAGAGACAGAGACAGAGACAGAGACAGCGGCAGATGCGACGGCACCGGCCGGCTCTCGTCTTTCGTCGCCCTCGTCGTCCGTCGACCTGTCGCTGCTGACGGACGCAACGCTGCCCATCGCAAACGTGTCGCGGCTGATGAAAAAGTCGCTGCCGTCCAACGCAAAGATTGCCAAGGAGGCAAAGGACTTGGTGCAGGAGGCCACCTGCGAGCTCATTGCCTTTATCACCTCGGAAGCAAACGAGCGGTGCGCGACGGAGAAGCGAAAGACGATCAACGGCGACGACGTCCTGTATGCCATGCGCGTGCTTGGCTTTGAGAACTACGAGGAGGTGTGCCGCGTCTGGCTGAGCCGCTACCGCATGGTGAGTCTTTGCAAAAGGCAGCGTGCAAGCTCAAGAGGCAGAAGAGAGCTGACACAGATGGGTGGTCCGATGAGTACCTACAGGCGCAGGAGGCAGTGGCCAAGAAGCAGGGGGGATCCAGGGGTAGAAGCTCGAGCAAGCGGGCCCACTCGGACGAGCAGCCCCTCGTCGACGACGACGACGAGGCCGATGAAAACGAGGCAGCGGTGCACGACGGATGAGACCGTCGGTCGACTATCCTCCTTAAAACAAGCTATACGTGTGTGTAAAAACAAGGTCATTTTGTAGAATGTAGAGACAAGTGAGATGGGTCTCTGCTCCTTTGTCAACGTCGAAGTGATGCCGACCTACGCCTGAGAGGAAGCAGAGTATACGGTCAGATATTTGTTGTAGCCGTCGCGATACTGAAAGGGCGATTGATCGGAAGAGCTTCTAGCAGCTCCTCCACGGCCCCGATAGGTCCGAACGGCCTGAGAACGCCGTTTGATATTTTTTGTGGCCCGCCTGTCTGTGCCTTTCTTCTGTTCCCCTAGACAAGCAAGAAAGAAAATTTAAAACTTGGGCCGACGGAAAGGGGGCCGAGAGGCTACGCGTCATCGTCTTCCTTCTTGCTTCCTTCTTCACTTGCCTCTTCCTCTCCACGAAGATGTCTTCGACAGTGTCGCAGCGGCAAGCAAAGGGCAAGGCCAAGGAGGTGGACGGCCGAGATGGGCACCACGACCCGCTGAGCGTGCTCGATGAGGACGCGAGCGCGGAGCCGCTCGACGACCAGGGTGAGTGGTAGCAATAGCAGGAGTCTGTCTCTATTGCTCACCGGAGCGAGGAACCACGGGCAACAGAGCAAGAGGCCGTCATCAAGGCGTTCCACGAGTCCAACGAAAAGAGCAACTACATCTACCGCTGGTGCCTCGCCGTCATCCTCACCCTCATCCTGGTTCTGTGCGTCACCCATCTCGTCTACCCTCTTTCCCGCCGCGGCCTGGCTAAACTGACTATTCTTCTCTCTCTCTCTTAGCTACCTGACGCCGATCCCGGAATATGTGATGGGCACACACCCCGAGACGCACCACACGCTCTTCTTTGCCGCCACCCACATCCAGGGCACGCACGAGGACCTGGTGCGCCTGCCCGCGCTGCCCATCTACCTCTTCTTTTTCCTCCTCCAGGGCACCCTCGTCGCGGCCGCCCTCGTCGAGACGGCCGACCGGCTGGGTCTGGTCAAGTCCAAGGGAAAGGCGTTCCCTCACCAGCCCCATCTCTTTGGCACCGCGCCCGACTGGCTCGCCCCGATCCTCACCGACATCCGCTGGCACCCGGCCCTCGCAGCTGGCAGCGCAGGCCGCGTGGGCCAGCGCGCAGACGGCGGCGGCGGTGCGGGCGCGACGACGGCGCCCAACTTCATCCACACCATGCCGCCGAGGCTCCTCTACCTCAGCGTGCTCCTCTTTGTCAGCCTGCCAGTGCCCCTGCTCACCTTTGGCGGCGGCAGCTTCGCCAATGCCGCCTGGTGGGCCATCACCACCGCTGGCCTGGGCGTCGTCGTGGGCGCAGAGTCGATGATGGCAAGCGTCGATAAGAATGCCCAGGGCCTCAGCGGCATGCGCTACACCTACAAGGGCGCATGATCCGGCAGCAGGATGAGAATGGAAAGGGGGGCAGAAAGGGACGAGGAGGTGAAGTTGCACTAGTGAATAGCAGCAGTGGCAGATGAAAGTAATTGTATATTGCCCGCATACATTGACCAAATTGAGCCGACCTTGCCTGCTTCATTGCTGCGCCGAAGTGATCCTCGTAGTCCTCGAACGATCCTCCATGGAATCATCATGAGAGGTCATCCTTGTAGCTCTTCCACAGCCGGTACACCCTGGCCCAGTCGACGCACTCCCAAAAGCGCATGAGGTACTCCTCCTTGCCCCACATGCCGTAGTCGGGCAGCCAGTCGCGCTCGTGGACACTGACGCAGAGCAAGGGGTACAGCTCCTCGCCCCGGCTCGCATCGCCCTCGGTGGGCCTCATTGCGCGCGAGTAGCTCTCGTTGAAGATGTCCGACGAGGGCGCGTGCGATGTGCTAAACTGACGAAAGCCACCAACGGAAGATGTCGACGACGAAGAGGACGGAGGGGCAGATGAGGGCGAGGATGAGGACGGTGATGACTGCGCACTTGGGCCCTGCTCGTCGACGCTGGGCAGGATCCAGTCGCTCCTGGCCGCATTCCTCTGCATCCGGTTCTGGATCAGGATGGTGCCCGCGCCGTACGTGGGCACGATGCCCAGCTGGCCCGCCTTATCACGCACGAGCCAGACGTAGCCAGAGCCAGACATGCCGTAGGCCATCGACGAAAAGGCAAGCTTGAACGACGGGACAGACTCAAAGTAGGCGTCCAGGTCTGCCGCCAGCTCCCGCGGTGGCTTTGGCGGCGCCTCGTCCTCCCAGTGGCTCACGCCGGGCGACAGTTGTTTGGGTTTCTGTAGAGAGCAAGGGCGAAAGATTAGAGACAGCGCATGCGGAAAGGAGGTGTAAGAGGGGCCAAACTCACCAAGTTGCTCAGGAAGAAGCTGTGGTTGAGGGCGAGCGATGCATAGTTGAATGCTTGGATTTTTTGTGGATCCCTTGCTGTGCCAATGACGGTCTCCGCCACGCTGGCGTTCTCCCACTGTGTCCCCCGCACCTCATCATTAAGCTTTGCGAGCAGACCACTGTGCCAACTGTTCCAGAGAAGGCGGAGCGTTTGGCCACTGAAAAGCGGCTCGCACGCCTTTGCCTCGCGAAGGTTTTCGGGCAGCGGCGGCAGGCTGTGCAGCTTCCGTCTCTGCTGACCGGCCAGCAGCGTCCGTCTCGCGCCGCCCCACGACGACTCTCGCAGCGCGTGCCGAAAGCAAGACGTGGTAGATGGGCCTGCCATTGCGCCGATGCTGTCACTGCTTGGTTGAGATCAGGCGCGAGAAGACTTGCGCCCGTCGGTCGAGCGGATTTCCCTTTTTTCAAAAAGAGGAAAAACACGTCACGTGTGTTGCATTGCGTCTCACCTGTCCACTGGCCTCCATCTGTAGACAGCAGCAACAAGAGCCCCTGGTCGCCACTACGCACTCTGCACCAGCTCGCTGAATTGCCACCACCGAGGCAGATACTTCAGGTGCAAGGTCGAACAAAGAAGAACAAACAGTACTGAACGCTGACCTCAAGTGCCTTTAAGCGGCTTTGCAAGATGTGAGTGTCTTACTGTATGCCAAGAGGAGTGTGCCTGTCTGGTCTGACACTTACCTTGCCATGCTGACAACAGGAAGATCTGTGGGTAGCGATCATCCGTGCGAGCTCAGAGAGGCTAGAATACAGGACTGACCCTTTGGCACAGACGGCATCGTCATCTATGCCAACCCGCCAGGCGCCGGCGCAGTGCCCCTGATCGCAGCATGGGATCTGGCCAGCTTCGGCTTCCTCCAGCGAGGCACTGTGCAGGATGTCATGGCCTTTATGAGCAAAACGGTCGCCGAGCGGACACCTCCCACACAGCGACAGTCGGTCCAGGAGAATTCATACGTTGCCCACGTCCACTCGCGCCCAGCCTCGGACGGCATCTGCGGCGTTCTCATCTCCGACACAGAGTACCCCGTTCGGGTGGCCTTTTCGCTCCTCAACAAGACGCTCGATGAATTCATCATCAAGTGTCCCAGGGCCACGTACGAATCAAAGGTTAATGGTATCACCACCGGTAGCGTCCACCCTCCGGCCAAGGGCGTCGGCATCCTGCAGCCAAACGACTTTCCCCAGGCAAACGACTACCTGATCCGGTACCAGGACCCGAGGCAAGCCGACACGATCATGAAGGTGCAGCAGGAGCTTGACGAGACCAAGATTGTCCTGGTGAGTCGTTCTTTTCTTCCCGTCAATTGGCCCTCTTGCTGGTAGATCATATCTGACGTCGGACTGGTGTTGACCGCTACCACAGCACAAGACCATCGATTCAGTCCTGCAGCGAGGCGAAGACCTTGACAAGCTCGTCGAGAAGAGCGGCTCGCTGAGCCAGCAGAGCAAGATGTGAGTGGTCTGGTACTGACAAATCGGAAGCACCGTCTCATCTCTCCGCTATTATTCACCATCGGCCTCGTTCCTATTTTCCCGCCCGTTTCGTTCCTGCTTGCCTCCAACTCCCATCAGGTTCTGTGAGTGCAGCCACGAGGGGAAGTGAAGCATCGTCAGTGACTAACACAGCCTTTGGAATACCACAGACAAAACGGCAAAGAAGCAGAACTCGTGCTGCGTCGTCATGTAGAGTCGATACCCTCCTAGACCTGCCTTGTCTTTCTCTATTCTCCCTCTATTTGTGCACAATGATTATCATGATGGACCTAAACGCTCACTTTTCATCAGTTTGCTTCATCTGTGGTGACCGTGTGGTCCCGCTGGGCCGATCGGACCAATTTCTAACGGTATTCACCTCTGGTGCAGGCCATCCGACAAATCGTTGATCTTGAAGCATGACACTCGTTTGCAATATTTCGTATTGCCTTGGCGGCGGCCACTCAGTTCCGCTCACTTTAGACATCCGTTGTTCCATTTCTGGTCGACTTCAAATCCCGCGCAAGAAGGCCTGTTGCTCGCAGTTGTCTGCATCCTATTTTGATCTTCGTCTTAGCTAGGACAGGTAGAGGAAGCCCGAGCTCCCATAGCATTCAAGGTACGCATTGACCATCGTCTTAGCTCCTTGGACACACGAGGCACGCCTTGACCATATGCATCGCCTCGAAGTCGGTGAATGAGAAATCTGATAGAAGACTGCGATGCGATGCGATCAGATTACTTAGTATCGCTAACTTCTTCCTTTTGGCGCTAACAGAGGGGAAAAAAAAAGTTCGCAGCTTCGCCGCTGTTGCCACTCTTGCTTGCTCCTCGGTTGAATCGCCCTGAGTTTCTCATCTGTCCAGGGACTCTCATCTGTCTGCATTGCCGGCACGGCAGAGAAGAAGCGTGGTCGCTTAAGTATGCCCGTCAGCAGGGCAGAGGCTGATTCAACCATGAATCCTTGCATCGTCCGTTCGCTAGTCTCTTGGCACACTCCCTTTCCTTCTCCCTCTCAGTCTTTCGTGAATGAGCTCTTCCAATTCAGGAACGTTGGTGCAATCAGACTGCATACATGGCCGACCGAGCAAAGTCCTGATCAGGGCAGCGTTGTGTCTTGCAGAAATTGCCTTGCCACCGGAGGGCACCCGGTCCTCTGGGTTTTTCATCTGTTCCTCTTCATTGCGAGAGGAGAGGAGTGAATATATCTAAGATCTCCCATCGGCTGGTCCCGCGACTTGACGACTTGCTCCTCCCATCCTTTTTCATCCCTACCACTTCCCGCTCCCGCATCATCGAGACTCGCAATGTCTTCGATGGCCCAACAGCGTCCCGCACACAGGCGCGAGGACACGCTCGATGCTGTGCCACGCCAGGAGGGCAACACCAGTGACCGTATCGAGGATGGCGGCCGCGTCGACGTGGACGTCGAGTCCCACTCGTCAAACTCGCACAGCAACAAAAAAGATATGCTCGCAGAGGAGGAAGAGGCCGGTGGCCGGCGGTTCATCTCAACCGAATCAGACCGACCTGCATCAGACGTCGTGGAGCAGCAACAACGCGGCGTCCGGTCCATTGAGTCGCTCTACCGAGTCTTTGGCAAGAACAGTGCCGCAATTTGGTGCCTCTACTTGGCTCTGGCTGCAGTGGTTTGCGCCTTTACATTCGACAACTCGACGACATCGTCGTACCAGGTCATTGGTTCGAGTGCCTTTGGACAGCACGGCTCTCTCATGGGCTCCATCGACACGGCAGAGGGCATCATCATTGCCGTTTCCAAGCCTTTCCTGGCGAAAGTTGCCGACATCTCGTCGCGCCAGACTGCCTACTCCGTCGTGCTGGGTGAGTCGTGCTTCTCAAAGACTTCCTCGCAATCACCTTCCGTTGCTCAACGTGAAATCCCGCAGCTTGCTACGTCATTGGATACATTGTAATCGCCGCCTCTCCCACGGCCGCCGCTTTTGCAGTCGGCAGAGTCATTTCGGCCACAGGCCAAGCCGGTTTCGACCTCGTCACTGATATTATCATCGCCGACATCAGGTGAGTCTCGGTCCAGACACTACAGCTCGAGCGATCTGTAAGCTAACATCCAACTTCATAAGTCCGCTCGAATGGAGGGCCTTCATGACTGCGTTGACCTCGCTGTGAGTAGGTCAGCCGATGTCTTGTCGACATGATTCTCGTACTCACCTTCTCTAATTCTACAGACCCTACATTATCTTCGGCTTCGTCGGTGGTCTCGTCTCAGGACCGCTCAACGAGCGAGGTCAATGGCGATGGGGTGAGTGCTTAGATGTTCCAAAAGCTTTCCCTCCAGGCTCATGCTCACGGTCACTTTGGTCCTCCTTCACCTCTGCAGGCTTTGGCATGTTCACCATCATCACGCCAGTCTGCGTCCTTCCTGCGATCCTGGTCCTGGTAAGTTTCGGTGGCTTCTTCAGTCAGGAAAGGGACCGAGCCACAAGGTCGTGCAGGATTTGCGACACGCTTCTCCATGAATGGTTCAATTTCAGCAAGCTAATGCCTCGTCACTCCTGGACAGTACTGGGCCGAGGCACGAGCCAAGAAGGTCGGTATCTTGTCGTTTGGCGCCAGCCCCTACGAACGTCGTCTGGCGGCCGAACGACAAAAGACGCAGCAGCAGGATGGTGATGCGCCTCTGCCTGCTCCTGTCGAGGACAAGCCGAGCTACTGGAGCCTGGTCAGATCTTTCTGCATCGAGATCGACCTCATCGGCCTGCTTCTTCTCGGCTTTGCGTTTTCTCTCATCTTCATTCCCTTCAGCTTGGCCTCAGGCGCAAAAGGAGGATGGAGCAACCCCTCGATGATTGCCATGATCGTCGTCGGCTTCGTCTGCCTCATCCTCACGGCCGTTTGGGAGATGTATTTCTCGCCCAAGCCGTTCATCACGCGCAGAATCCTGCAGAACAAAGTCTTCCTTCTCGCCGTCGGCATCGACATCTTCTACTTTGCTTCGGGCAACATGCGCTCGACCTACTACAGCTCCTACGTCTACGTTATCAAGGTAGGAACCATTTCTTGTGACTTCACTGTGAGGCCGTTAAGCTCATGAGTTAAGTTCTCCCTAAAAACAGGCCTGGAGCGCTCGCGACTGGCAGTTCTTTATCAACACGAGCCTTGTCGGACTCTCATTCTTTGGCGTCATCATCGGCATCATCTTGCGTGCGACACATCGCTACAAGATGCTTCAGATTGTCGGCATCTGCATCCGCATGGTCGGCATGGGCCTCACGCTCTGGGCCCGTGGCGAGCACGCGTCCGATGTGGCCCTCGTCTGGACCCAGATCCTCATTGCGCTGGGCGGTGCCTGCTCGGTCGTGGGCACTCGCGTGGCCACGCAGGCCTCGGTGCCCCACCAGGACTTGGCCACCATCATCGCCCAGCTGGCTCTTTGGACCAAGCTCGGCGGCTCCGTGGGCAGCGCCGTCGCCGGTGCCGTCTGGACCAACACGGTGCCCGGGTACATGCGCCAAGAGGGCGTGCCAGAGAAGTTGATTCCGACGCTGTATGGCAAGCTGGCCAGCGTCCACACCAAGTATGCTCTCAACGATCCCATTCGCCAGGCAGTCATTCGCGCCGCCGACCGCGCCCTCTACCCGCTCTTCCTCGCCGCCCTCATTCTGTCGTGCGTGCCCGTCGTCTTGGCCCTGTACATGTGAGTTTTTGCTTCTGTCGTACTATCTAGACTTTTCTCCGTAATTGCAAGGTGAGCTGATGGAGCATCCTCCCAGGCCCAACTACTTCCTGGGCCGCAGCCAGAACAAGGTTGACGGCACCGACGTGACCGGCAAGCGCATCGAGGCCAGCCAGGCCACGCACGGCACCGAGATGGCGGCTGTCGTCGACCCGAGGATCTCTCCCGAGGAGCTCGAACGAAGGCGTATCGAGCTTGAGCAGGCTCCCTGGTGGAAGAAGATGCTTTCTCACTTCACTTAGAGTATACAAACTGCACCCTCTGTGCTCTTTGATCTTTGATGCATGGCGTGGTGGGAGAGACCCCACCGTCACCTTTGCATAGATTTTCTGAGCTTCTTCTTCAAGACCCCTTCATCGCTTCCCGTCCATCTTCATCAAGGCATCAACACCAAAACACTGTACATAACGACCTTCTGCCTCTCACGAAACGAATTGCGTTCTGACGTCGTTCTTCATGCGGCTGGGCTGGGCGCTGCTCCACTTCTCGCGTGGCGAAGCAGCCAAATAAGCATTTTTCGACGCGGACGTTGACTCATTCTGATCTGCACCCCGTTTCTTCTCACTCTCTTCCCAACTTCTCCCCCCTCTTTCCCTTTCTTTCTATCTTTTGGTACCAGCGCAGACATGACCACAGTCAACGGCGTGAGCGCGTCTGATGCCGCGACAGTCGCCTCGCTCAAGCCCGCCCACTTTCACCTCGAACAAGTGATCCGGCCAAACATCCTCTCGCTGAAGCCATACCGGTGCGCGCGCGATGACTACCAGGAGGGCATCCTCCTCGATGCAAACGAGAACAGCCTCGGTCACTCGGTCCCGACTGGCTCAGCAGCGGCGGCCGCGTCTCACGGCGATGCTTCGGAGCTGCTCGACCACGCATTGCCGCTGCACAGATACCCGGACCCATCGCTGTACGGCATCAAGCCGACGCTGGCCAAGCTGCGGGGCCTGCCCTCGGAGTCCCACGTCTTTCTCGGCGTCGGGTCCGACGAGGTCCTCGACCTGATCCAACGTGTGTCGTGCAGGCCGCAGAAGGACAAGATCCTCATCTGCCCTCCCACGTACGGCATGTATGGCGTCTGCGCGGCCGTCAATGACCTCGAGGTGGTGGAGGTGCCGTTGAAGACCGAGGGGGGCGCATTCAGCCTCGATGTCGAAAAGGTGCGTTGTCCTTGCGGCTTGATGACTTTCCGGGCTGGCTGCAAACTACTGACTGACTGACTGACCGCCCGATTCACCGACCGTGCAGGTACTCGCCACGCTGGCCGCAGACCCAAGCATCAAGCTCGTCTTTCTGTGCTCTCCAGGCAATCCGACGGGCACGCTGCTGGACTTGGGCGATATGGAGCGGATCCTCAACTTTGAGCAGTGGCACGGCCTCGTCGTCGTCGACGAGGCCTACATCGATTTTGCCGAGGAAGAGATTCGCATGGGCAAGCGGACGCAGGCCGTCTCGGCCGTGGAGTTGACAAAGTCGTACAAGAACGTCGTCGTAACGCAGACGCTGAGCAAGGCCTATGGCCTCGCAGCGATCCGGTTGGGCATCGCCTATGCACAGCCGGCCCTCGTCCAGATCCTCAACAACACAAAGGCGCCCTACAACATTGGCGTACCCACCGCCCACCTGGCGTCGCTCGCCCTGACGGCCGAGGGCCTGTCGAAGATGCGCGAGAATGTGCGGACGCTGATCTCGCACCGCGCCTGGCTCGTCGCTGCGCTCAACGACTTGCGGGAAAAGGAGGGCATCCGGGCCGTGGGGCCCATCTTGGGCGCCAACGAGGCCAATTTTGTCCTCGTCCAGCTCCTCGACGACGCCGGCAGGCCGAGCGGGCCGCTGTCGGGGACCGTGTACAAGCGCATGGCCGAGGAGCGACAGGTGGTGGTGAGGAACCGGTCAAAGGACCTGGGCTGCGACGGCTGCCTGCGCATCACCGTCGGCACAGAGGAGGAGAATCTGCGGGTGATTGAGCTCATGCGGCAGCTGCTCAGCGATGGAAAGTGGTCCTAGTGTGGTGTCATTATCATCATCATGATTAGATTAGAGAGTATCAATGTACACGCATAGAGAGAGCTAAGTGCTGCCAGTCCAGTCCTTGCGCTGCAGCAGCAGCACCCTGCCCCGCCGGCGGCTGTCGGGGTGCCAGAGGCTGTTCCAAAAGGTCTTGTGCACCACGAAGCCCTGTTCAGAGAGTTGGCGGTGGACACGGTCATCGTCGAGCAGGGACTCAAAGACAACGAGGTGGCTTGTCGCCTGTATGCGTTGGTCGTCAGCCACGAGAAAGGCAGAGGGGTCCTTGTAGAAGACGTCTGACTCGTCCTCGTACGTTGCGAGGTCCTGGCCCGCCAGCGGGGGCTCGCAAGTGATGAACCAGGCGCTGAGGTGGGGCGCGTGGAGGTGCGACTGCCACGGTGTCGAGTGGCAGGGCATGAGCACGCCGAGCTGTCCATGCGCAGCAGCAGCAGTGACGTCGTCGCGGCGAGAGAGGTGCTCCATGACGCGCGTGGTGCCGCCGCCGTGTGCAAAGAGGTATGCGGCGGGGATGAGATGGGCGAGCAGGGCGGCGTAGGCCCACGGCTGGCGTCGTCTCAGGCGTGCGAGCGACCGCAGCAGGCGCTGGGGTGGTGGAGTCTTGGCATCGTGGTCGTTGCTATTCTTCTTCTTCTTCTCTTCTCTTCGTGGGTGAGGCTCGTCAGATTGGTAGAGCGCAAGCCCCTCAAAGAGATGGAGCAGAGGCACGACGGGCTGGAGGAAGCGCTGCTCCTTGTGGCCCAACAGGCTCATGCCTGCGACGAAGAGGAGAGTGACGCGAGCCAGCGTGGCCAGGCTCTCGTTGTTCTTGGTTGGGCTGCCGCTGCTGCTGTCGCCTCCGTTGAGTGCCTGCCAAAAGCCAAGGAGCGTCCAGGGAAGGGTGGTGAAGCAGACGAGGGGCAGGCCCGAGGTGAGGTAGAAGTGGAAGGGCGAGGCGCCGTAGAAGAGCGAGATGCCCTCGAGCACGTTTCTGCGCAGAAAGGCCAGTGGCGTGAAGGTGGACCGGCCATAGAAGGCCGAGTCGGCAATCAGGAGGACGATTGAGACGAGGAGGGCGGCGGCCAAGGACGAGGCGCCGAGCTCGACCACACGACTGTGCGAGCCGGAGCGGACGAGGCGGGCGAGGAGGACAACAACGAGGGGCAGCGAGAGGGCAACGTTGGACGGCCGGAGTGCTGCAGCGAGCGCAAAGAGGACGAGGGAGATGCGCAGCGAGGACGCAGTAGACCCAGTGTCACGCAGGGGAAAGTAGTAGAGTGCGACGACAGTCAGCGTGGCCTCGAGGGAGTTGGAGAGGGTGCGCGTGGCTGTGTGCAGGGTGTAGAGGGAGAGGAGATTGGCCAGGAGCGTGGTCCAGGCCGCCTCGTCGTCATGCGGCAGCACCTTGCGCGCCAGCTTGAACGTGTACAGATCGCCAATGGCCGCAAAGACAGCCTGGACGAGGCCAGGAGCGAGCGAGAGGAGCAGGGTGGCATCGTCGAGCGCGGTCCACTTGAGCACGACGTAGACGGGCACAAACAGGGCTGGGTACAGCACCGTCCTGATTGGGCCATCGGACCAGGCCGAGGCTGCGGTGCGTTTGTCGCGCCACTCCCACGTCTGATAGCCATAGCCAAAGGCGATGCGGTGGGCCACCTCGAGGCTCTGCCAGTGCTCGTCGGGCGCAAAGGCGGCGCGAGAAGTGGCGAGGCTGACGAGTGCGCGAAAGGCGAGCAGCCAGACAAAGAGGCCGCCGCCCTCTTCTCTGCCCTCGCCCACCTCCACGGCCTCCTTTACAGAGCGGCGCTGCGCCGAGCGGCCCCCGTCACCGTTGCTGCTGTGCCTGACCCTGAGCTGCTGCATCGGGGTCTCGAGCGCGCGCGCGCCAGTGGTGGAGGAGCGCGCGCAACAAATCTGTGCCGAGCTCTAAATTTCATGTTTCGCGCTTTCCGTCACTGAACAACGAACAGACAGCCCGACGTGCGACGGCGAAGACCTGATAGAAGATGGGCTCCCTCTCGACGGTTGCCGCCATTGCCATGGGTGCGTGTTGTCTCTCATCACCAGAAGCAGCAAGAAGGCTGACTGATACGTATGGCCATCCATCTCACAGCCATTGGGGCGCCGCTGGTGTATGCGGACCAGGCGTGGAGCATCGCAAAGAAGCGCAACGCAGAGGGCTTTAGCAAGGGTGAGCTCACGTCTTTCAGTCACGCCCGAGGCCCGAGTGCAGACGCTGATTGACTCGAGTGCAAAAACAGACGTGAGCGCAATCCTCCTCATCGCCAACATCTGCGTGAGTAGGCTTGCTTGACCCAAGCTACCTCTTCCCTTTCTCTTCTCCAGAAGACGCTAGACTAAACTCGGTGCGCATACACACACAGCGGTGCTTCTTCTGGTTTGGCGAGCACTTTGAGTTTGCGCTCCTGCTCCAGTCGCTCCTCATGATTGCAGCCCAGCTCTATCTGCTCTGGCTCTGCATCCGCTACCGTCCCGGCTCCTATGCCTCATCGGCCTTTACCGCTGCGCCCTCCGATGCCCGTTCAGCGCAGGGCCAGCCACCTTCGTTCAGCTTCACCGTCACCCCGGCCTCTCCCTCGGACGTACGCGCGCCCCAACCCGAGCCAGTAACGACGGGAGCAAGCAATCAGGACCAGAGTAGCCGCGGTGGACACGGCCTGCTTGACTCGGCGCTAGGGTTCGGTGGCAGTCGGGGCCGGTATTCGCCGCTGCTCTCGCTCAATCTCCCGCCGCCTCCCACGCTCGCCCTCGAGGGTGATGCAAGCACGGAAGACGACGAGGCGGGGAACAGTAGCAACGGCGGTGGATCCCTGCGCCGTGCCAAGTCGATGCTCAAGGCTGCCCTGTCCGTCGGCGCCGGAAGCAGGGCCGATGGCTCGTCTGGCGCGCGCATCTTTGGCTTCTGGACATGGCCCCACTATTCGAGGTGAGCAAACAGGCTGCTGCTCCCGTCGTCACCGCCATCTTGCCGTCTGTCTTGTCTCTCTGTCAATCAGCTGATCGCATGCCCTCGCACAGCTACATCATCTTTCTCCTCGTCCTTACTCTGCTCCTCGGCCTGCTCCAGCTGCTCCTCGGCAGCCTCAAGACTTACGTCTCCGTCCTCGGCTTCTTTGCCCTGGGTCTCGAGAGCACGCTTCCGATCCCACAGGCCTTGAAAAACTATGAACGAAAGTCGCTCGCCGGCTTCCGCACCAGCGTCCTCCTCGGCTGGGCCGGTGGCGATCTCTTCAAGGTGCGTATTCGCTTACAGACCTCGCCGTGCATGGAACAAGACTGACTGGTGGGATTAATCGCTATTGCAGACGATCTACTTTATCGTCAACCACTCCCCGCTGCAGTTCACCGTGTGCGCCATCTTCCAGCTCTCCATCGACGCCCTCATCTTTGTCCAGATGCGCCTCTATGCTGAGCAGACGGCAAGGGACGAGGAGACGCAGGCACTGGCTGCGGCCGAGGCCATGGAGGCCAGCGAGCGCGAACGCGCAGACATCGGCGACGAGGGCGTGAGGAGTAATCTGGGGAGCACAAGAACAGGGACAGGAGCACGGGCAGGGACTGGAGGAGGAGGGGCAGCAGCAGCAGCAGCGCACGAGCCGAGCAGCCAGGCCGACCACACCATCTTCCAGATCGAAGCAGACGACGACGACGACGAGGAAGGCAGTGGCAAGGGGAGGCGGCGGCCCTGAGGGACACTTCAAGTAGAAAACAAGAGGAAGAGTGTTATCATTACTACTACACTGGCTGCATTGAATGAAAGCATACTGTACAAAGGGAGATCCTCCCGCAAGGATTCGCTGATGCCGTGAATGCACAAGCCGGGCTACCTGCTGCTCGGGCCGAGGGCAGCCAACAAGGCCGCTACCTCGCTCCTAATGTCGTCGTCGCTGGCGTTGTTGTTGTTCCTGCTGCCTGTGGCTGATGCCCCCTGCGCATCGGTGAGCGCATTGACGGTCTACACCCTCGTCGCCGTCATCAGCATGAAAGAAGGGGACAGTAGGCATGTAAAAAGGGCGCGCACACGCACCTGTTCAAGCCTGTCGAGCGCAGTGCTCGCATCTGTGCGCCTCTCCTCTGTGCGCTGCAGCGTCGCCGTGAGCCTTGTGTGCTGGGCATCATTGTCGCGCGCCAGCTCGGTCAGCTCCCTCTCGAGCGACGCGACACGGCGGCGCTGGGCGGGGATGGACTTGGCATGGAGCGCAGTCGCAATGTCCAGCGTGGGCCTGGTCGATTCGTGTTGCGCAGGGAGAAGGAGATGCCTTATTAGACGGTGAAGCCAGAAACGAGGTAAGAACCCGCGACAGAGACGGACACGTACCTGTATGCGTCGCCATATTCTCGCGGCTCGCGCCCAGACGAGGCGCGGGCATCGGCCTCGACGCACATGCGCGACAGGCTCTCGAGGCGCGGTGCCACACCGTAGCGTTCCACCAGCACGTCCTTCTCTGCCTGTAGCAGCAGCAGCAGCAGCAGCAGCAGCAGAGCAAACCCATCGAACGCCAGTCTCAGTGAGCATGGACAGAGAGAAAGGAGCTGCTGTACACACCCTGATGACGTCCTTGAGCTCAGTGATGAACTGTCCGCGCAGGTTCTCGAGGTACTGCTCCTTGATCTGTGGGAGCGCAAGCGCGACATTCTCCTTGCTTACAGACACCATCTTCTTCAGTATGCTGAGCTTCTATTATAGACCGGCAAGAGAAAGGAGGGAACCCACGTTGCCTGATGGTCGATGAGGTCCAGGAACTTGTCCAGGGCATCGGACATGCGCTGCAGCCGTACATTGTCGCCGGTGCTGCTCTTGGCCTGTTGTTGTTTGGCCGCAGACCTCGCTGGCTTATGGTGCGATCGCACCAGGTCGTCTGCGCGCTCTTCGTCGGAGAGCCGCTGCGGGTCCTCCTCCTCCGGCCCTGGCGATGTCATTGTCGTTGTCGTGTCGAGATCAACACGCTCCAAAATTCTCTCCCAGCCTCGACTTTATTGACTTTTTGTCTTGCGACGCGTCTGTCTTTTCTTTCCTTGAGCACGAACCACCATCTTCAAAAAGCAAGGAGGAGGGGAGAAGACAGACGAACGAACATGTCAACCAATGCCTCTCAGCTCGGCACCGCCATCCCGGGCGCAGGCACCAATGGAAGGCCCGTCGTCTTCTTTGACATTACCATGGGCGAGCAGCCGGCGGGGCGCATCAAGATGGAGCTCTTCAGCGACATTGTTCCAAAGTACGTTCTCCCGCATTCTCGGCCCCTCCTTTGTCGCCATGAAAGCTAACAGGAGCTCTTTGCAGGACTGCCGAGAACTTCCGGCAGCTTTGCACCGGCGAGCATCGGTGAGTTGATTGCTCGGCAAGCCTTCCTCAAAGAAAGCTACTTACTGAACGGGCGAGGAGACAGGATCAACCACACGCCCATCGGATACAAGGGCTGCCTGTTTCACCGCGTCGTGCGTGACTTTATGGTCCAGGGCGGCGACTTTCTGAACGGCGATGGGACGGGCAAGCAGAGCATCTATGGCGACCAATTTGAAGACGAGGCATTCAAGCTTGGCCACGATGCGCCTGGCCTGCTCAGCATGGTGCGTCGCATTCCCCTACTTTCTCTTCTCTTTCTCTTCTCTTCCTCTCTCTGGACCCTTGACATGTTGAGAGCTGACGAGAGCGGGGGTATCTAGGCCAATTCTGGACCGAATACGAATGGGTGCCAGGTGGGTGTCCCTCTCTCGCTCCCTATACCGTTTCTTTCTCTTTGCAGCTGATGGAATGTCGTACAGTTCTTCATCACCTGTCAGCCATGCACCTACCTCGACGGCAAGCACGTCGTCTTTGGCAAGGTAGTAGACGGTCTGCTGACCTTGAGAAAGATCGAAAATGTGCCCACAGGTGCGCTTGCTCTTAGACTATCGAAAGACAGGGACAGCAGCTGACAGGACATGACTTGGATGGATCGACAGGGCAGAACAACCGGCCCAGGATGGAGGTAAAAATAGCAGGTGGGTCTCAATCAGCTTCTAGCAACCTTCTTTGGACTCTTACTCCGGCCGAGGCGCCACTAACTCCTGATCTCGCCCTTCAGAATGCGGAGAGATGTAAACAAATGTGCCTGCCTGTACGATAGATGACCATGAGAAGAAACGAGAGTCAAAGCGGAGGCTTACCTAATTATTGAGCTCTAAATTTTTCCCTGGCTTCCTCCGCCCAACTCATTTACCTCTCTCTCTCTAATTTGTTTGACAACATACGACTGCGACGATGAGTGACTCGAAGCTAAGCGTCACCGTCGAGTTTGGGTGCGTCATGGTTCCCGGTGCTGTTCTTTCTCAAGAAGAAGAATACCTAGACTGACACTGCATGACATCTCAGGGGAGGCACGGAGCTGCTGACGGCGACGCCGAAGCAGAAGAAGCATGTCGTCTCGCTCGCCTCTTCATCGGAAAAGGCAGCTACCATGTCGAACCTCCTCGGCCTCATTCTCAAGGATCTCATCGTGGAGCGCCCTGAGATGCTCGTCGAAGGTGACGGCAACGTGTGAGTCCTCTTTCACTGATTTGTGCATTGCCTTGGACGCTGACATGAGACGAAACCCCCCAAACTTGCAAAGACGACCAGGAATCCTCGTGCTGATCAATGATGCAGACTGGGAACTCGAGGGAGAAATGGCATACGAGGTGCAGGATGGCGATCACGTCTGCTTCATCTCTACCTTGCACGGTGGATAGCCTTTACGGAAGAGAAGGGCAAGCTGGAGCTAGGGCGGAGTAATAAAACATGTATCGATTTGAGGAGACAAGGATGTTTGGCTCTTGTACAATACAAAATTGCATTCGCATGGCGGTCTGCAGCGTGAGAAGATAGAGACGTAGACCTGCCTTTGTGAGAGGAAGAGAGCCACAATCGATCTGGGGCACCGTGTAGGCCAGCCAGGAGGGTTAAAAGACACGCACACACGTCAGGAGCCAGTCCGGCGCCCCCACTCCATCCTCAGAGAGGCTTCGAGCAAAGGGGACTAGCTTCCGGTGTGTGCTCCGACCTGGAGCTCTGTTTTTGGTGCCCCGCTTCTTGTCTTCATTGATCGGATCTGTCACTTTCCCAGGCAGCAGCATTTCCCAATCGCACCTTGTATGCTGTGCTGTCCTCTGCTCGTTGCATTGCCGGTTGTCTACTGATACATGCTTGATGGTACACACTCACCAGTCGGCCTGGGACTCGGCCTTGCTCCTCTTGCTCGTTGCATCTTCGCCCGCCCCTGGCCCCTCGATCTCGACGGTGATCTGCTTCCTCTGCCTCGCCTCAAGACCCCTGGCACGGAGACCGCTGAGGCCCATGGCCGGCTTCCTCTTCTCGTCCTTGTTTGGCTCCTCTGTTTGCCTTGACTCCTTCATCTCGGCAGCAGCAGCAGCAGCAGCAGCAGCAGGCCTGCGCTGTAGCCCCCGAGCAGCCTCCTCGATGTCGTCCTTTGCCACTGCCGTTGCTGCTCTGTTGGTCTTGTCCTTGTTGCTCGCGTCCGCAATCCTCTTCTTTGCCGCCTCGGCCGGGTCCTCTGGATCCACGTCCTCGTGCAGCGTCTCGATCACCACGCCACGGCCACGCTTCTTTTGGCGCCATCCCACATCATTTTCCGCGCCAGCCTCGCCAAGACCGCCGCGAAGCACACTGCGCGACTCGCCCGGTGGGAGCACGGCGCCGACACAAGGGCCCTTGACCAGATGAAGGGCGCCTCCGTACGAAGGAAAGGCGCGGGCCAGGTGTGGAGAGTGGGAAAATGAGGAGAGACAGAGAAGCGCATCGGCGAAGCGCGCCAGGTGCAGCGTCGTGCGCTGCGCTGCCCTCGTTCTCCTTGATGAGGTGCTTGTGCTTGTGCTTGTGCTTGTGCTGCTGCTGCTGCTGCTGCTGCTGCTGCTGTGAAGGGACATGCTGCTGGAGGAGGAGCAAAGGAGAGAGGCAGCGATGGTGGCTGTGGCAACACAGGGCACTCCCTCCTCCCCCAGAGCCAGCGTCTTGACGAGGCTGCGCAGCCGCAACAGGAAGCGGCTCGCTTCAGAGAGGCGCTGCTCGTGCGTCGCGTGGCCGTCGCACCAGCCCTCGGCCCCGATGGACAAGAGATGGATCCTGACGGGCACCCTCGATGCCCTTTTCTGTGACAGCTCTGTGCTGATGCATCTCAGTACCTCGTCGTAGCGGCCGTTTGCCTCGACCTCGACAAGGCTGCCCTCTGCCCTGGCCAAGTCGAGGGCTTCTCTGGTCCACCGTTTGCTCCGATCAAAGGGCGCATTGAACAGGTACGGTGCCGGCATCTCCTTTGCCTTGTCCGCCTGCATTGGTCGGGGCTGGGGCTCCTTGACCGTCGTCTTGAACTTGGGCCGGTGCGCATACCGAAATGCAATCTTCATCTCTTCCTCTTCCTCCTCTTCTTCCGCCTCGACTTCTCCACTTCCCATCCCAGCCTCCGTTGTCATCGTGGTAGTTTTTGTCGAGCTGGAGGATGTGGCCATGGCAGGGAGAAGCTGCTGGACGAATGCACGCGGGCCGAGCGAGCGTGGCGCGACGACGAGGTTCCGGTGGCCCGAGACGAGTCCCTGGGCGATGCCGTAGCCGGCGAGCTCCTGGACGACTTCGCGCTCGGCCGCCTCGAGATCCTCTGCGCCTCCTGCAGCCAGCTCTTTGAGCGGGTTGGCGAGACCCAGGGCGGGGCACAGGAGCAGGACGCTGCTCGATGGCAGGCCCGACCCGGTGAGTACATCGTCGAGGCTTGCGAGCCCCGTCGAATAGTGCGCGACGAGCGACGGGTACGGCGCCGGCTTCAGCCCCACTGTCGCATCTGGTGGCTTCATCTCACGAGCAGCGGGAGAAGCCCCTGAGCTTCCTACCGACGACGACTGCGCCGTGGGCGTGCGCCGCTTGAACGACGACGACGGCATCGCTCGACCTGCGATGGCTTCTCGCGCCTGGAAAACTCAAAACAAGACCAAAAAAAAAAAAAAAAAAGAGAATAAAGTGAAATGTAGCCAGGTGAATTTCGGCAGCTGCTGCTTCTTCTCCACTCAATCTCACCAATATTGAGGCACAAAATACCACCAGGCCGAAGAGAGGAGCAGGCAGATCCCAGCGATGGACGCGCTCAAGGCAGAGATTGCCGCGCGCAAGAAGCGCAAGGCGCAGGCGGGCTCGCCGTCCTCATCGCCTCAGCCTGCCTCTTCTGCCACTGCCTCTGCTGCTGCTGCTCCTACGGGAAACGAAGAAAAGGAGAAGAGGTACATGCGGCGGGGCGAAGAGGAGGAGGAAGAGCGCCGCCGTCGCGAGCTCGAGGAGGAGAGGGAGCAAGAAGAAAAGAGACGGAAGCGACGCAAAGAGGAGGCACTCCGGCACAAGTCAAGGTCGAGAACGCCAGATCCAACGACGAACGCCTCAGCTTCTTCGTCAGCCTCTGCTGCTGCTGCAGCTGTTCCTGCCTCTGCCACCGTGGCCGAGGAGGCAGCGGCTTCGGCCATCAGCTCTGCCCGTAAGGAAGCCTTCAACATCTCGCCCCAGGAGGCCGTGCAGCGGCTGCGAGCAAAAGGCCAGCCGATTCGCCTCTTTGCAGAGTCGGACAAGGAGCGTCGTCTGCGGCTCCGCGCCCTCGAGCTCATCGAGGAGCGCGGCCAGAAGGTGGGGCAGAACGACTTTATGAAGGCACTCCAAGGCGCCGAGTCGGGCATTGCTCTCGAGGAGCTCGAGCGAGGCAGCCGCCGGATGGATCGGAGCGACAAGGAGGCCGACAACAACAACAAGAATCCCAACGAGGCCGATGCTAATGGTCATGCGAGGGACAATGACGGCGACGGGCGCTCAGTCGACAACGAGCGCGAGTCGCGGCCCGGCGTGGGCATGAACAGCCTGCTGGATCTCAGCCTGATTCGGACCGACATTCACAAGGTGTATCCGATCATCTACTACACCCTCAAGCAGCTCCTCACCGACTGGGAGGCCGCCCTCTCGCAGCGGCCCGCCGAGGTCAAGGCGACGACGCAGGGCAAGCTCGTGGCGGCGACACAGAGGCAGACGGCAGAGTACCTCAAGCCCCTCTTCAAGAAGCTCCGTCAGCGGGTGAGCTTGGGTCTCCCTTCTTCAGGCAGTGTATGTATTTAGCTGACAAAGTGCTGCCCAAACAAACACAGCAATTGGAGCCCGACGTGCTGATGCGCATCGCCGAGATTGTCCACTACATGCAGAAGCGCGAATACCGCCACGCAAACGACTCGTACCTCCAGCTCTCGATTGGCAACGCGCCCTGGCCCATCGGCGTCACCATGGTCGGCATCCACGAGCGCTCGGGCCGGGAAAAGATCTTCAGCTCCAATGTGGCCCATGTGCTCAACGACGAGGTCAGCCGCAAGTACATCCAGAGCCTCAAGCGGCTCATGACGTTTGCCCAGACCAAGTGGCCGCCGACAAACCTGGCCATGCTGATGGGCTGACGCGGTGTGCATCTTTCGTGCATGTATGCATGCACTTTGTAACAGTAGCAGTAGTAGCGTTTTGCAATTATGGTGAAGGGTGATGATGATGATGATGAACAGGATGACCATGTACACACAAGAAGAAGAAGGAGGTGCGGTTTACTGCATCAAGCCGAGGAGGCAGCCGCCTTGCGGGCGTCCCTGGCCGCCTTTGCCTTGGAGGCGGCCTGGTGCACGGCCTGGTTGTTGCGTGCCCAGCCCATCTTGACCATCCACTTGACGAAGCGGGGCGTGAATGCAGCGGTGATGCCGAGCCGCAGGGGCATGAGCAGCGTCTTGTGGATCGTGTAGGCCAGCACGGCCTCGGTCCAGAGCGTGCCCGAGCCGGCTCCCATTTTCTTCTTGGCCTTTGAGGCAGCGGCGGTGGGAGCCGCGGCGGCTGCCTCTGCTGCCACGTCTTCGTTTTCACCGCCACTACTGCTGCTGCTGCTACTACTGCTGGTGGGCCGGATCCTGGCCAGGGCCATCTTGGCCTCGGCGGCGTTGTTGGTTCGCTTCTGCTCCTCTCCCTCTTCACCACCCTCGCCGAGCAGCGCGCCCAGAGGCACAGGCCAGACTGCCGCCTCCTCGTCTTCCATTTCCCGCTTGCCCATCCCCACCTTCTCCCGCACCTTTTCCTCGAGCTCGCGAATGTGGTCGGCGCCCAGCAGGTGGATGCTGGCAAAGGCGAGGCTGAAGTCGAAGACGGAGGCGAGCATATACACGGCCAGGGCCCACCAGCCGTAGCGGCGCATCAGGAAGCGCAGCCGCGCTCGGATCCCGCTGTTTGGCGGCGGCTCCTCCTCAGACCCTGGTACAGCCTTCGAAGAGGAGGAAGCTTGGCTTTCTTCTGCTGCTGCTTGAGACGGCGAGGCCGAGACCGAGGCCGAGGCGGAAGAGGACGGCTTGGCGTGAGAGACCGGTTTCGCATCGGTGTAGGCCTGTGTCGCGTATCCATGATTCCACAGACCCGGGCGCACGAGCGCTGGCGACGAAGCCTGCAAGAGAGACTGTGGCCGCCGGAGCAGCAGCGCCGGCGCAGCCAAGCCCCGCCCGGGCATCGTTGACGCCGGTCCAGTTGTGGGTGCCAGCGCCGGCGTCGGCGTCGCTGCAACGCGCAGCGGAGCCGTGAGCCGACGCGAGCCAGTCCGCAGCGAGCCTTCGAGCAACGGGGTCACCATCGACGCTGCCGAGCGGGACGTTGAAGCCATCATGCCTTCTGTCTTTGGTGGAAGAACAAGGCAAGTTGGTCCTGGCTGGAAAAAGTCTAAAAGAAAAATGCACGCACACACGGCCGGGCGGAGCTCTGTGGCCGTGTGAGCTCCACAGATGCACGTGCTCTCTCTTTTCTCTCTTTCTCCGAGCGGTACTGCACGGAATCATGAGGTAAAGAAAGAAGACAGGGTTTGGCTGCTGATCAATCCGACGCTCCAACGCGACATCGAGATACGACGACAATGGCGAAACCGGGCACGGCGCGCGCCATCTACGAGTCCCTCTCCCACATTGGCTCGCTCTGGCCCAAGGACCCGCTGCGGCCCGAGGCCAACTTTGGCCAGTCGGTCATCACCGCCGCCGAGCGTGCCTTGACGCAGCAGAACCAGGGGCAGCCGGGCGCCGCGCTCCCGCCGGGCGGCATGAGCAGCCAGGGCGTCAAGACTCGCGTCGACCCCAAGCAGCTTCGGTACAGGGAGCTAGTCCAAGAGGAAGTGAGCGTGGCCACGGCAGCCCTGAGCGCTTTGCAGCAGATCAGAGAAGGCACAGCCAGCCAACGGGTGCGTGGAGTGAAAGAGACCGTTTGACAGCAGCAGCAGCAGCAGCAGCTGACAGAAGCTCTCTAATTTTGCATCAAAACAGTACCCTGTTCCTGTTCCTGTCCTGAGGCCGGCCTCGAATCCAGAGTACTACGTCCGGCTCGCAAGGATGCTCGACCGCGCCAAGAAGGGCGAAAACGTCAGCCTGACGATGCGGGAACGCCTGAGACTCTTTTTCACCGGCAAGCTGTGAGGAGAGGATTCAGCGAGCGTTCTTTCAATGTAGCAATAATAGCGGTAGTAGCAGTAGCGATACGTTCAAACAGATAGACCAGACACCCTTACCCCCAGCCGCTGTTGCAAAATGGCTGCAGGTGGTGATGCATCTTCTGTTCACGTCTGGGAGAAAAAAAAGAAAAAGTCCAAAGAGGCGCTCCACTTCAGCGCGCGCACACTTAATCTAACGCCTATCGACCGATCTGATGCTGAGCCGGGCACTGATCTGACTGAGCCTGGCCCTGTGCGATCAGCTGTCCACGACTAGTGCGAATGAGAGACCAGGGCATCCGTGGCCCTCAACGTCGCCGTCCTGCAAGCGCGCCAAAGCGTCCACTTCAACATCGAAATAGCCCTGCGAAACAATGTGGCAGGCATGCCTGGAAGCCGTCGTCGAAGGCCTCGCCTACGCGTGCTGCCTAAGCTGCGACAGCGTCCTCGACTGGAGGCAGGCCCGTGAGTCAGCACGTCTCACACTCACCCCCTTTTTTCTCTCTCTCTCTCTCTCTTGAGTGACCTGGTGACGTAGCTCACATGAAGTCACTTTCAGGCGATGCGGGCTGCAGCTGTCACTGGCCTAGTAGCCACCGGGGTGTCTTGCTCGGAGATGATGACGATGACGGAGCCGGTGATCGGGAAAGCAGAGAGAGGCAGGGAGCAGAGCAGACGCCCATTGACCAGCAGCCCAGACCGAAGTGGAGCGCAATCGAAGCTCTTCGAGACTACAAATGATGTATGACCTTGTCTTTACTATTACAATGGGGAAATGAGCGTCCCAGCAGCGAAGCGAGCGAATGTATGCCACTATTTCTCTCGCTCCTTTCCCACCTTCTCCTCTTTCACCCTCCTCCCTCCTCGCCCATCGATGCAATTGCCGCTACGTTGGCGTCGACGAGGGCTCCTCCCTCTTTTGACCCAACCGCGTCGTCTTCCGCGTGGCTCCCCTCCTCCTCTTGGCCGTTTTCTGCGCTCTCAGCCAGCACCCTCCAGGCGTGACCTTGTCGCGGACTAAAACGCTCCTGTGCCCGCCTGGCAAGCCCCATGCTCGTCTGTAGGCTCGACAGTGTCGACAGCTGTTGGCAAGATGGGATCAGAGCTTGCTCCTTTCTTTGTCTTCTCTCCCCCCTCTCCCGTCTCCCTCTTGCATCTTAGTACACCGCAGACTCACCAGCCTGGAGCCTAGGAGCGTGTAGAGATCGGCAGCCATGCGGATGTCGCCGTGGAGGACATAGTAGGCCTCGATGACGCGCACGTCCTCTGGCCCGCTTCGCTGGCGCTTGTGAATCACAAACAGGTCCGGTGTGCGTGCGTGGGCCACGACGTACTCGATGCCCACGAGCCTCTTGAGGCCTGCCTCGAGGCGTACCATGGCCTCGGCGTCGTCTTGGACGCCGTCGAGCTGGAGGCCCTGCTGCCGGAGCAGGGCATTGTTGCACCCTTGCTCGTAAAACTCCGAAGTGGCAAAGTAGTCGAGCACGTTTGAGGCGCGCAACTGGCCCTGGAGGTAGGCAAGGTACTCTGGGTTGCGAAAGTAGACGTTGAGCTGGTGCACCCGCGAGGGCAAGCCCACCTCTTCCATGCCTTCTTTCGCTCGCCGTTGGTGGAGTGGACGGTCTAAGAATTTCCGTCGGCCGGCACGCGCGTCCAGACGTCTCTTCGGACATTCTGGATAAAGTAAGAGAAAGGAAAGAGACGCAAGAGAAGATGAACGATGAATGACCATTGTTACACGAGATGAATACGAAGGAGACCATGTTTCGAATCAACTATTTTATGCATACGTGTCCACAAGGGCATCTCTGAGCTCGTCAACGACGCCACTGGCGCCTCCCTGACTGATCTTGAAGGCTGCCTCAACGACACTCAGCTCCGTGGCTGCATTCGGAACGACGGCTCCCTCAGTCAGCAAGCTGTAAAAGCACTCGAAACCAGAAAAGAGAAGAGAAGAGAAAAACACGCACCGGTACTGTCGAGCCCAGCAAAGGCCGCCCAGTCATTGACGACGAGACCGGCACCGACGAGATCCGAGCCTCGGTTCACCGTACCCGCTACGAGTGGCACCTGGAGCAGCGAAGATAACTCGTCCTGGTCTTGCAGCGACGTCTTTGGATGGACGAGGCAGCCCTGATTTGACAGAGCAGAGTAGGAGCCCACGAGCACATTGTCCCTGTGTGTGCAATACATACAAGCAAGGTGAGCAAGGGCGCAATGCGACATACGACGACGCCAGGGAAAGGGGGGGGGGGGGGAGAGGTGCACTTACCCGACAGTCTGACGAAAGACTTCGACCTTTAAGACATCCGCAATGATCTCCTCAGTCTCTCGATCAAGGTCTGGATGCACGACGGCGACGTAGTCTGTTGGGGACGCGGCGCCTTAGCAACAGTCATGTGCGCATTGGTACAGAGTCAGGCGAGAGCAACACCCACCGTTGCAGGAGATAACATTGCCGAGCGCCGACAGTCTCTCGTCGACTCGCTGGATCGCGACGCTATCCGGCAAGCTATTTCTCAGATGCTGCAGCTCCTGATCCGTCGTCGTGCTCGGGACAAGGAGGCCGTTGCGGTTGCCAACGGTCAGTCGACCGACAAGGCGAGTGCCGGCAATGCTGCAGTGCACGACGGGGATGACGTCGCCCAGCTCGGCATCGAAGGTGCTGTAGAAGTTTGTGCTGCCGCCAATGGCGACGAGGCAGTAGGCATTGGTGAGGCGGCAGAAGACGCCGATCTCTGACGAGTTCTCGAATGCGACACGAACAGCCATCCCTTTTGTTTCCCTTTTGTTGTTTTGCACTTGTTCTGCTCTTGCTCTTGCTCTTGCTCTTGCTGTTGTTGTTTCTGCTGTCGCCGCTGCTGCTGCTGCTGCTCCCTCTTTTTCTTTTCTTCTTTGTCTTGCTCTCCTTGAGGAACGCTTGAGGATCTTCTCAATGGGAGCAGCGACGCAACGCAAGTTTTTTATATGCCGGGAGTCGGAAATTTTGGCCACGCGCCGAATCGAATTGCCTGACTCGCGTCATCCACACGACCCCCGCGGAGGTCGACGTTTGCGACTGACTCTGAGGTAGCACGACAGAGAAGCACATTGCAGATCGTACATTGAAGAGAGAGAATTGATGATCCTGAAGCTGTCTAGTAGTAGAAGAGGCCTGCGTGATGACTACTCAAAGCGATGGCGGCAGCGGCGCCGGATTGCGGAACTCGGCAAATGACTCAATGAGGTAGAGAATTCCAAAGAGGAGAAAGAGGATCGCGCCTCCCAGTGTCACTGGCACGGCAACAGCGGAAGTCAGCCGTCGAGAGATCTGGGTGAGGAAGAGGCCAAGAGGGCGCGGGGAGACCTCACCATGTTTCACGCTGATCCTAGAGGCCAGCCATCTCCCACCCAGGACAGCGAGGCTGGTGCAGAGCGCATGGCCGGCAATTGTGCCAAAGGAGACGAGGAAGATGTCCTATGCTCACATCGAGTTTATTTATTTATTTTCAGTAAGCGAGGGCCAGATTGAGGGTCTGCGAGAAAGTTTGTCTGTGTGGGGCCGGCACTCACATGGGCTGCAGCCAGGGCGATGGTGGCGATCTGGCTCCTGTCCCCCCACTCTCCGAGGAAAGTTAGGACAAAGGCTTGAGCAAAGACGGGGCTGAAGCAGAGCATGCATAGGTTTCTCGCGCCATCCTTGAAGTTGTACGCCGAGCTGCTCTTTGGCCCTGGTGTAGACGAGGACGGCGATGACTGAACAGCCGGCGAAGGCGTAGGTGGGTATGGGAGCACATTCGGATAGCCGTTGGCACCTTGGCCCGCACCCTCCTCCATGCGCAGCATCTCCATGCCCCCCGCTGCACCAGCGCTACCACCGCCATCCATGGCAACTTCCTCCTCGTCGACCTCCTTTTGCGCCTCATCCCATTCCTCGCCCAACTCATCACCAGTCATCTTGAGGCCGTCGAGGAGCATGCGCGCGCCAAAGACGCCAAAGAGGACCGCCGCTGCAAATGTGGTCAAGCTCCGGGGTAAGAGTGCTGGGAACATGACGCCCATCAGGGCAGAGAGGACCGACATGACGGCGAGGGCGGCGAATGCGCCCAGGAAGACGACGGGCCGGGACTGGCGCATCGAGAGGATGGCGGCGATGAGGAATGTCTTGTCGCCAATCTCCGACACCTTTTCGGGGACCAGCGCGTAAGTCTTTGCGTCTTCGTTGGCACTCAGAGATGCTTGCTTGCTTACAATAATCATGGAAAAGCTGCTCCAGACCGCCCTAGGATCGCGCTGCCACGCTCCGATCACGGCGCTCACCAACGATAGGTAGGCCCTGCTCTGGCCAGCGCCAGCATCGACCGGTTGGACCGTGTCCATCGTTGTAATACGTTCCGTATGTGCTCCTTGAATTCTATCGCTACCCGCTCCCGCATTCCAGCCTTCTATGATTCAGTGCGATCCGCCCAGGGTTTTGGGCGTGTTGCAGGTTGCCGTGTTCGTGCCGCGTTGCTCTGTTGGTTGTCCGTTCCTTCTTCTCTGGAGCGTAGATGCCCTCCCGCCCACGTGCTCCACCAAAATTTAAGCTCGTCGCATCGCAGTTCTTCTTCATTTTCTACTCGGAAAGTTGACTTAGCCGACAGCTACGATCAGACAAGCAAAACCATGCCGTCCACTATGACAGCCTCACAGGAGGCGCACGACGTTCAGCACCTCAAATCGCAGTTCAAGTTCTATCCCGACTACCCTAAGCCGGGCATCAACTTCTGCGACATTCTGCCGGTCCTGCGTGACCCTCTTTCGTTTGAGATGCTTATCTCCCATCTCGTCAACCACGTCTTCAACCATACCATCCCGGCACTGGCCGCGCAGAAAAAGGGCGCGAAGATTGACTATGTCGTCGGGCTGGATGCGAGAGGCTTCCTTCTTGGACCCATCTTGGCCATGCGGCTTGGCGCTGGCTTCGTGCCCGTCCGCAAGCAGGGCAAGCTCCCCGGCGAATGCCAGCAGGCAATCTACGAAAAGGAGTATGGCCAGGACATCTTTGAGATGCAGACGAGCTCGCTCAAGCCCGGATCTAACGTCCTCGTAGTCGACGACCTCATCGCTACTGGTGGATCGGCAAAGGCGGCGGGTGAGCTCGTCAAGAAGCTAGGGTCCACCACAGTCGAGTATCTCTTCGTGGTCGCCATCCCCTTTCTCAAGGGCACGGACAAGCTCGATGGGCCATCCTACAGGTGTGTTCCAATGCACATGTATGTTATCCGAAATGTACACTGACCCGCTCGTTCATGTTTGCCCACCTCAGCATGATCGACATCGACTAATGGGTAGGATCTATCTATTCAGTCGACTAGGTGGTACTGGGCAGTGCCAGTCCATGGCGTATCGAGTCTCTTCATCTCCATAGAATTACATGATTTTTCTTGCGGCCTCGCGTGTCGACTTGGCTCCCAAGCTTGATCCATGGTATGCCGTATTAAGGAGCAGGTCCGTGACGAGGCGATCGATGGCATCGGCCTGCTCGACCTTGACCTCTAAGCTTCCTGCCGCCGACGCTGCCACTACTGCCGATGACGGTGCCTCCTGCAGCTTCTTCGACACCTGTTGGGACGAAAGAGAGACGAGCTTAGAATGACCGCATTGTGAAGGAGTGTGTGCTTGACACCTACCAGCTTTAGGCCCCACAGGGCTCGGACCCAGGGCCCAGACTTGAGTCCGCCCTGCCCGCCCGTGGAAGAGACATCGACGCCGCACATTTCAAGGACGCGGAGGTAAGCCTTGTAGGCTTCAGGCAGCCTGGCTAGCGTGTAAAGTGTCTCTGCGTACTGCAACACGAAGAAGGAGTTGTGTGGGACAATGACGAGAAGCTCCTCAAGTGTGAAAGCGGCTTGTTGGTGCCTGTTGCCGTCGTCGTCGTCGTCGCAGGGAAAAGAGGAGAGACTTTTGTCAGCTTTCCTCCCTACTCAGCCTTTCAGCCTTGAGAGAACTTCCCCACTTCGGAATCTCACATCTGCAATTCCGAGTACAATGCTGCCATCTCCTGCCAACCTTCCGGGTCGGCGTAGTACGTGTCGAGGTAGGCGACAAGGGCCTCGATAGCCTTTTGCCGATCCAATGACTTGAGCACGGCGATCTGGCGTTTGACGATCGTCTTTCCATGCCCCATACGTACTTCAGCAATACTGTCGCTGAACAGAAAGAGAGGGCCAGAGAGACTTACCAGGTTTGTCTTGTCCTGTGCCAGGACGTCTTCGTAGAGCTTGAGTGCCTTGCTCGCCTCGCCGCGCGCCTCGAGGAGCATTCCCTGCATAGCTGTCACTCTTGCTGAGTCAGGAAACCTCGTATTGAGCCTAGCCACGCAGAGCTTCATGGAAAAGAGCGACGCTGGGGTCAGCGAGACAGGCGCGCAGGGAAAAAAGGAGACACGGCAGCCACGATAGCACAACTCACTTGGGCCAGATCGAACTTGCCAAGATCGAGCGCAGCGATGCCGACCTGCTCTAGAAAGGCCCAAACATCGTCCTTGAGCGCCTTGACATGGCCGCCCTCGAGTACCAGAGTGCCGTACTCGACAACTTTGGCCGACTGCCTGTCCGGTCGTCTGGTCGCCCATTTCCCCCGATCAGCCACGCTATCCAGAGATTGCAGCCACCAAGCGCGCACACGGCACTCTCACCTCCTCTGTTGTGCGAGCCACTCTATCGCTTGCGATGCCGATGTCTTGCTGCTGCTTGCCGTCGATGCCATCGTTCTCTCTCCGACAGCCCGTCAACTGGAGAGTGTGGTTACCGACCGTCTTCCCAAAGCACTACCGGTATAATTCGTCTCGCCATGCAACATCTGAGTATATCACGTGAAATTCGAAAGGGCGCGCTTCCTGCTGTCGCTTGCTCAAATCCGCTCGATCTCGCAAATGGGCGCAAAAGGGCAAGCCATGATCTGCGCTCTCGTGGCCGTTAGCTAGCCGCCGATCTGACAGCCACATGTGCAGGCCACGATCTGAAAAACATACACTGACAGTACACCGCTAGAAGCTCTTCACTACTCACTACTACTACTGCAATCGTGGACCTCGATGACGTACACATGTGGGGAAGGTGCGATTCTTCCGCCGCTAGTTTTGTTTTATTTTATTTTAACTACGGCTCTCTCCTCCACGATCAGACATCTCGCAGCAGCACAGCAGTGCGTCGGAGCGGCTTCAGATTGGAGCTGATGAGACACATCAGGTCGGCGCTGAAAGATGACGCTGTCGAACTGAAGCCTCGGCCACAGCCCTCCTCGTTAATTGTGTCCCCGCACTTGACCACAAACTACTGGTTGTAGTACTACTACTACTACTAGCTATACCGCTCTAGAGAGACTCTACTCACGCGCAAGAAGAATCGTTACTCCACTTTTCACAGTGTCCCGTCAGCTGCAGCGCGAGAAGTTTGGCTTTCCTTACCCAGCCTAACATTCCCGACGGCCTCCTCCTGCTGCCTCTCTCTTCCTTCTTTACATCCTCCTGCTCTCTCCCGCTCTTGTCTCCACCACCATAGACAGGGGAAAGAAAGCTCTTCCGTGTCAAGAAAGGGAAAAAAGGAGGAGAAGCGCATGATGGAAAAGATCTCACAGTCTGCCGAGCGGCTCGCCAGTGAGTCACCAGCGCAGGGTTCTTCTTCTTCCAGGCCCGCTGATCCGCCTTTTTTTTTTCATTTCATGCAACAACAGGCCTATTTGGCGTAGGCACTCCTACTCACTCCCGACTTGGCTTCAAGCTTCTCGGTGCGTGGTAGTGGAATTGAGGAGAAGGGATTTGAGGGGAGACTGACGATGCCGAGTATTCGCTGTTGAAAACATTAGAGAAAGACCCGGTGCTCGAGCTGGCGCGCAAGCTCGGCTTCAAGGTGACCGAGTTCGACCTGCCCCCCTGTGAGTGATCGGCAGGCCAAAGGCGGCTCGGTGCGACTAGCTCATCGGCTTCGTCTCTTCGCGCGCGCCTCTTTCTCGCTTTGGCAGATCCCGTGGAACGGCTACTGGGCGAGGGAAGCCTGCTGATGGCATTTATGCTCTCATCGACGCTCGTTTGCTACTTGCTCTACCACTACGTCAACAAGAATGCGCTTCTGCGCCACGCCTGCATCGGCGGAATGGTTTCGGCCCTCATCGCCTGGCCCGTCGTCACGGGCCAGAGCGGCATCATGCTTCTTGACTTCTGGAAGCCTGCCCTGGGCTTCCGCTCCTGCCGTGAGTCTTTGCCAGAGAAAGAGTCAAGAGCGCGCTTGCCCAGCTTTCTTCGTTGGTGCTGACATTGATCTGCAACAGTCCTCGTCTGGGACATTTTCCAGATCCGCACACGTGAAGAGGTGCAATCATGGAACTTTGCCCGCTTCTTTTGCCACCTCTGGGCCTTTCCCCTGGAGGAAGAGGAGATCGCCGAGCGAGACCGCGACGAGGGCTTTCACCGGAGCGCGCGCGTGCAGAATGCAAAGGGCCTTCCAAAGGTTCTCATCGAGGGCATCGTGCTGCTCTTGACCCTCTACATCGTCCCTCCCTATGAGTTGACAAAGAACATGAGCCAGCTGGCCTACCACTGCTACTGCGACGCCCTCGGTCTTTCGGTGAGCAAGATAGAGAATTTTTTGCGACGCCTCACGTCTCCTTTGCTAAGATTTGTCATCGGACAGATCCTCATGGCTCTCGCCCTCTTTGGCGACGGTCTGCTAAAGACCATCGGCATCTTCTGCAACGTGGAGATGGCCGATATGTTGTGCGTATCAGACATGCCTGTCAAGCCTTTTTTGCATCCACCACGCTGACCTCGGTGACGATGATGATGCAGCGAGAATCCGCTAGGAACCGTCAACATTCGCCTGTTCTGGTCGCACTGGAATCGTGCCATTGCCACGGTCCTTCATCGCGTCGTCTTTGGCGGCGGCCGTCAGACACCATCTAGCGTCAAGGCAAAGCAGCGCAAGGAGAAGCAGGAGAAGAAGGACCGCGTGGCGCAGCTCCAGCAGCAGCAGCGCAATCGCAAGCACCTCGACCATCTCTCCGAGACCGAGGCCGAGGCGAGCAAGACAGATGACGAAGACGAGCATAGGCTGCGCAGAAACGGCCTCAAGCCATTGACGAGCACGGCCAATGGAGCAAAGGACAACGGCGGTCAGCAACAACAGAAAAAGAGCTCCTCCAACAAGCCCAAGTCCTCTTTTCTGCCCAAAGCTCTTGCTGCCATTGCTACGTTTGCCATGAGCGTGAGTCGTATGCTTTTGTTTCTAAAAATTGTCGAGAAAAAACACCTCACGCTAAGCCTTTTAACTTGCTTGCTCGCCATGCAACAGGGCATCTTCCACGAGTGGATCACGCTCCAGACGCTCAACTACGCTGGGGGCGAAAACTTTGTCTTTTTCCTTCTCAACGGGGTGGCCACCGTCACCTCGACTTGGTTCCGACGCACGTTCCCCGAGGCCAACGCAAAGATTCCTACCTTGGTCGCCGTGCTGCTCCTTCACCTATTTTTCCTAACCGTCATCCCCCTCTTCTGCGCACCCTTTATTCGAAGCGGCTTCTTCGTCCAGATGCAGTCCTTGCGCGTGAGTTGTCCAAACTTGCATTCTTCCTCCTGGCATCTTGTGCTGATGGGTCATAAAAGTACGAGCTCTTGCCCGTTCGCGCACACCCTCGAGGCAGCTTCATCTGGTTGTTTGGACAGTGAAGGACGACAATGCGTCGTCATACTGCCACGCTCGTCCGATGAGCCGGACGTTGAATTCCTGGAAAGATTGTGCCTCGTTGCATGTGCTTCCCTGTTGAGCTCCTCAGCTTCTTTGGTCCCTCCCTCTCTCCCTCTTCTTCTCGATTTCTCCTATGTATGCCACCCGCAATTCAAACCGCTTGTCTCAGAAAAAGAAAAAGCGACCGTCCCTCCTTGACAGCCTCTCGAGACGTTTGACGGAATTGTTGCTCACACTCGTGCCAGTACATTCAACGCAACTGCCACGTATGTCAGCAAGAACGAATGTCTCTGTTCGTTCTTGCTCCTCGGTGGAGAGGATATCAACTCCCGTCGGCAAACGATCGAAGGGTATTTGCAGGCCAATGCGCCATAGACGCCAGGATGCGAGAAACACGTGGGTTTTGCTGACTGACTCACTGAGCTCGGAACATGGAAGAAATGGAAGAGTCCAAAATAAAATCCGGCCCGGGCCCGCGATGTGCGGTCGCTTGATCTGACTTGCTCTTGTTCCACAACCATGTCCCCACCCGAAGCAGCAGGTGAAGGTGCGGCGGCCTCGAGATCGGCAACTGTCGAAGGGGATGGGCAAAGGCCAAAGTTTGATTCGATCGAGTCGGCTGTCGAGGACATCCGGCAGGGCAAATTCGTCATCGTGCTCGACGATGAGGACCGCGAGAACGAGGGGGATCTGATCATTGCTGCCGATGCAATCACCACCGAACAAATGGCGTGGCTCATTCGTCACACGAGGTCAGTACCCTTCCGACCGGCTTCATATTTCATTGACAGTTGGCTGACGCAGAGCTGATATCCTAACAGCGGCTTCATCTGCATCTCGCTTCATCCGAGCCTCATTGAGGCCCTCGAGATTCCCATGATGGTGCCCATCAATACGGAAAAGAACAAGACGGCCTACACTGTCACGCTCGACTACCGGCACGGCACCACTACGGGTATCTCTGCGCATGATCGCGCTCTCAGCTCGAGGATGCTTGCCAAAGCCTGGAGGCAGCGGCATGGGCAGCTCAACGACGGCGAGGATGAGGTGAAGCCAGGAGATTTCTGCAGGCCAGGCCACCTTTGTCCGCTCAGATACACGGAAGGAGGTGTTAGAAGGCGCAGTGGCCATACGGAGGCCAGTGTTGGTGAGTCTGCACCTAGTCTTTATTGCTGTTGCGCCTCTTGTTTGCTGACTGCCCATTCATGCAGACCTTGCCGTTGCCGCTTCGCTCCCGCCCGTCGCGCTCCTGTGCGAGCTCGTGGACCCGTCCGACGAGACGGGCTCCATCGCATCTCGAGATGCCTGCTTTGCCTTCGCGAGACAACACAAGATCAAGGTTACAACAATTGAGATGCTCAGGGCGTGGCGAGAGTCACGCGAGCCGGCGCTGGTCAATGGTGACAACAGCCAGACGTCGCTGGATCGCGAGCGAGGCGTCCAGCTCAACGGGCAAGCCGTCGTCGGTCCTTCTCTGTCCTCATGAATCGTTTTCGGGGCTGCTTCGCAATCATCTGCATTCCTCCTGCAACGCCCTTTTCCCCCTTGTTCTCGTTTGTCACTACTACTACTTTTGAGTGTAATTTCATGCCGACAGCTCTCTGGTGCACGTGCTCAATCGCCAGGCTTGAGGAATGGTGCGCGTCTCAAAGTGAAATTTGGACGTGTTAATCTCGCCACCGAAGCTATCCTTCCATCGCATCCCCAGCAAACCCTTTTTACGTGCGCCTGTGTCCCTGCCCCTGCGAAAACAGCGCCATCACAAGTGCATTTGGAGGCTGTTTTGGGCTTGTTGAGGGAGAGCAAGATGCGTCGCAGCGTGGTTCTCGCGGCGCTGGGCGAGTCATCACCCTCACGCGATGGTGCGCAGTCATCGCTGGGCAGCTACGACGTTAAAACGGCCATTGGAGGCGGCTTTGGGCCCTTGCTCGGCAAGAAGCCTTTCAAGGTACCCTTGGGTCTAAGCAAGTCGAAGAATGAAAGCGACCTTGGTCGCAGAAAGCGCAAGCAGGTCGACTACAAGGGAATGGGTGGCGATCTAGACGACGGGGACGACGAGGCGACAGTCTCGGACGACGAAGGTGGGCCAGGTAGACCGGCGAAGAAGGCAAAAAAGGGAAAGACAATCTCCCTCGAGGGGATGAAGGGCGTTGATGCAAATGGTCGGTCGCTTAAAGCTGACAATCGCAAGTGGGAGGTGTTCAAGCCAAAGAAAGAATCGATCCATAAGCGCTTTTCAATTCCCGTCATGCGCGCAAAGAATGGTGAGATTGTCGAGACGAGGCTGAGTGGCGCGGTACTCGGCACGAGACAGACGATTGAAGTGCCGCCGAGGCCGCTCCATGACCCGATGGGCGAGCACGCCATCGTCCTCTTTGATCCTACCGTCGATGATCGCGAGGCCGAGAAGGAAAAGGAGAGGATCCAAAAAGAGCAGGAAGAGGCTGAGAAGAAGCTCGACGAGGGTGGGTCACCGGCGCCCCCGCCGACTTTCGATGCACATACACCTCGAGGTCCGCACAAGAGCCTGGCCGACATTCTGGGTATTCGCCGCAAGCGAACGACGGATGCCCTGCCCGTCAAGGTGCCTGTCGTGATTGATCCCAAATTGGCCAAGGTCCTGCGGCCACACCAGGTTGAGGGAGTCAAGGTGAGCATAATTGACCAAGGTACGCTTTTTCTGCCCCAATACTGACCTCGCCCAGTTCCTATATCGCTGCGCGACCGGACTCATTGCCGACAATGCGTTTGGCTCGATCATGGCCGATGAGATGGGCCTTGGAAAGACGCTGCAGTGCATCACGCTCATGTGGACGCTACTCAAGCAGTCGCCAGTCCCTCGCAAGCCGACGATTGAAAAGTGCGTCATCGCGTGCCCTTCGAGTCTGGTTCGCAATTGGGCAAACGAACTGGTCAAATGGCTGGGAGCCTCTGCGCCTGGAAACCTCGCCCTCGATGGCAAGCTGTCAAAGGAGGAAATGGTCGCAGCCGTTCGCAGATGGGCCGACAACACTGGCAAGTCTGTCACGCAGCCCGTCCTGATTGTCTCGTACGAGACGCTACGCAACATCACTGGCGAATTGGGCAGCGCCGAGGTGGGCTTGCTTCTCTGCGATGAAGGCCACCGGCTCAAGAATGCCGACTCTCTCACGTACGAAGCCCTCGACCAGATCAATGTCAAGCGCCGCGTTATTCTCTCTGGCACACCCATACAGAACGACCTGACCGAGTACTTCTCCCTCGTCTCGTTTGCGAATCCTGACCTGCTAGGTGGACGGCTCGAGTTTCGCAAGAAGTACGAGATTCCCATCCTCAAGGGGCGAGATGCTGAGGCGACGGAAAAGGAGCAGGAGGACGGCAAAGCCAAGCTGCAGGAGCTCACGGCGACGGTGAGCAAATTCATCATTCGAAGAACCAATGACCTGCTGTCCAAGTATCGTAAGTGTGATCCTTGTGTCGGGAGCTGGAGCGACTGCATGTGACTCACCATCGCCGTTCAGTGCCCGTCAAGTACGAACACGTCGTCTTCTGCCGAATGTCGCCCTTCCAACTGGCCCTCTACAACCACTTTGTCAATTCGCCAGAGATTCAGAGGCTGCTTCGAGGCAAAGGTTCCCAGCCGCTCAAGGCCATCAACATCCTCAAGAAGCTGTGCAACCACCCGAATTTGCTGGACCTTCCCAACGACCTCCCCGGATGCGAGGCAATGTTCCCGCCAGGCTACAACCCGCGTGACCACCGCAACACACACGTCGAGCTTTCGGGCAAAATGATGGTCCTCGAGCGATTCTTGTCCACGATCCGTGCGACAAGCAAAGACAAGGTGGTCCTGATCAGCAACTATACACAGACGCTAGACCTCTTTGAACGCATGTGCCGCAACAAGAAGTGGGGCCTTTTCCGCCTCGACGGCACCATGGCAGTAGCCAAGCGTCAGAAATTTGTCGACCGGTTCAACGATCCAGAAGGCGCCGAATTTGTCTTTCTGCTCAGTTCCAAGGCTGGTGGCTGCGGCATCAATCTCATCGGTGCCAACCGCCTGGTGCTCTTCGACCCGGACTGGAACCCCGCGTCAGATCAGCAGGCCCTGGCCCGTGTGTGGCGAGATGGTCAGAAGAAGACATGCTTTGTCTACCGATTCATCTCGACGGGCTCCATCGAGGAGAAGATATTGCAGCGTCAATCGCACAAGCAGACGCTGTCCTCATGCGTCGTCGACGATGCCCAGGACGCCGAGCGCCACTTTTCTTCAAACGACCTGCGGGAGCTTTTCAAGTTCAACAAGAAGACAGACAGCGACACGCACGACACGTACAAGTGCAAGCGGTGTGCTGGGGGCAAGCAGATCTCCAAGGCGTCAGCACTCCTCTACGGCGATACCAGCACCTGGAATCACTGGAGCCACGATGAGCTGGGCAAGGTCCACGATGACTTGCTTAGAACCGAGCTGAGCTTCGACGACGTCTCGTACGCCTTCCAATACTGCAGCCACTAGACATTCGAATACCACACGACCATGACCGCGACCAACCTCAGACCAAGAAGACTGACAGGACACAACACACAATTGTATTTAGTACCTTGATAAGAAGAAGAAGAAGAAGAAGAAGAAGCAGTAGTAGCAGTAGCAGCAGCAGTAGCAGCAGCAGTTGTAGAAGTAGTAGTAATAGCATTAGTGGTAGGGTACAGTGGTCTGGTCGCAGATTGATCAGCAGGCCGCGCGCTGTCTGGGGCGCGCTCGAGCCATTTTCCAACCTCTTTTTTTTTGGTTTTGGTTTTCTTCTTATTCATCGTTTATCTGCTCCCTCTTCAGACTGGCTCTTTCCGCCTTCTGAAAAGAAGCGGAGAAGGCGACGATGATGCGGGGACGTCAGGCAGGAACCTTGCTCTCGAGACAGCCGACGGGACTAGCAGCATCATCTGCATGGCTCAGGGCCACTGAGGGCGCACGACTCACGCAACGATGGCTTCATTCCAGCGCCCCGGCTAGTCAGCAACCACCTACCCGTTCGCCGGCATCTGCTCCTCCCTCTGCCCCTCACTCTGGCCCCCCTCCCGGTCCCAGTCCTTCTTCTCCCCCCGGTCAGGGCCGCCGTCGTGGAGCGGGATCGATCTTCTCCCCTGCGCGTTCATCTGCTTCCCGCTCGTCAGGCTCCTCGCACCGCTTGCAGTATAATACCGATCCCTTCACAGCTCTGCCCCCCACCGAGCACTACACCTTTCCTCTCGTAACTGCTGCCGATCTGGCGCAGTCATCGACGAGGCCACGGGCGAAAAGAATGCTGGCCCGTGACTTTATCCACGACAGCCTCTACAACCCCGCGTACGGCTACTTTAGCCGACATGCCGTACTCCTGCCCGATGGGACGAGCCGGGAAATTGATTTTGGGGCCGTGGGTGGTGAGGATGAGTTCATGCGCCTCATCCAGAGCCGGTACAGCGAGTTTGAGGCTGGGATCGTCGCGAGGCAAGACGCCAAGCGGAGCAGGGAGGACAAGATGAAGCAGAGACCAGTGGCGAGACAGAGCTCGAGGCAGGGACTTGAGGAGGCCCAACGCAGAGGCAGGTTGGATCTCGCGAGAGAGAAGCAGAGCGAGCGCGAGTACGGCCAGCATGCCGACGACGTCGACGTCATGGTTGCCAGACAGGTCTGGCACACGCCCACGGAACTCTTCAAGCCCTACTACGCCAGGGCAATCGCCAGATACATCGTTGAACGGCATCGAAGCAAGATCGACGAAGCGCCCTTGGTCATCTACGAGCTGGGCGCAGGCTCCGGAGCCCTGGCCAACGATGTTCTAGGCTACCTGGCCGAGGCCGAACCGGACTTGTACCAGAGAACAGAGTACCGCATCATCGAGATCTCGTCTCGCTTGGCCGAACAACAACGCAAGATCCTTGCCAAGTACATCGATGAGGGGACTTGCAAGGTGCACAACGAGAGCATCTTGCAGTGGACCAAAGTGGAGAGCAGAGAGTGCTTCGTCATCGCTCTCGAAGTGCTCGACAACCTCACCCACGACGTTGTCAGCTATTCCACGGACAGCCTCGCGCCGTACCAGGCCATCGTCTCCATTGACGAAAGTGGCGACATGCACGAGCTCTGGGAGCCCGTGTCGGACCCGCTCATCCGACGATACCTCGACCTTGTCTCGGCAACTCCGTCCTCTGTCGGTGGCAGCAGCAGCAGCAGCAGCAGCAGCAGCGGCAGATCCTGGCTCGAGTCGGTGCCCCAAGCCTTAAGAAAGGTCATGACAAATCATCTTCCCTTTTACCCAAACCTGACGGCCCGCACCTTCATCCCCACGGGCAGCCTGCAGCTTGTAGAAGTCTTGGCAAAATCCTTTCCGCGGCATAATCTCGTCGTCTCTGATTTCGATCGCCTCCCGGATGCGGTCCAAGGCATCAATGCTCCGGTGGTGCAGACTCGCCTGGAAGGGACCATGATTCCCGTGACGACGTATTGTGTCCATCAGGGCTTCTTTGACATCTTCTTCCCTACCGACTTTGCGGTGCTCAAGAGGCTACATTCACAGGTAACTGGGGCAGCAAGCGGTGCAAGCGGAGAAATCATGCACCACAGCACCTTTCTGAAGAGGTACGCGGAAACGGACAAGACGAGGTGCAGAGATGATAGCAATCCGCTTCTATCGTGGTACGAGAATGCCAGCTGGTTCCTGTCCAGATTCAACACATGACCGTTGTACCTAGTAGTAGCAAATTGTCAAGATACGAGGACCTATGTCCCATCGTCATGCAGCGACGTAAAGAAGAGGAGGAGGAGGAGGAGCGCTACCGGTAGCGTAGCTGCGAGTGATTTGGCCACGTGAAGGAAAACGGGTCTCGGTCCGTGGAGCGCGAGTCCGCGCGCCCCCCCACCTGAGCGCAATATAGGATGCGGAGAAGGTCCAACACGCCTAATAAGCTCTCAACTACCCATCGCGAGGCTCGTCCGCTCGCTCGCGCCCTCTCTCTTTCTCCTTCTTCTTTGTTCTTACTCTCTCCTCGTTCAGGGGCAAAGATGAAGGCCATTATGCAGTGGAGATTAGCTTGCCCCCGGGCCAGTCCAAAGGCGCACCTGATCGGCCCGGGCAGCGTGTTCGGACGTCCAGCCGTCAGGACGGCCATTGGCACCTCGCAGTTGTTGCTCGCCCGTCTTCCATCATTTCAATGCAGCAGTTCGAGCTTGCCGCTCCCGCCGTCTTATTCAGCACAGATCCAGGGCAGGCGCACTTTTCATACGTCTGTGACCACCCGGCGAAGGACAGTAGACTACCTTCTGGCCGACGTCGGGGAGGGCATCACTGAATGCGAGATCATCAAATGGTGAGCGGATGTTGCCTTTCTTTTGCTGTCCTCTCTCAAGCTGACTCTGGTGTTCCCTTCTTGATGTCTACCCCCAAGGTTTGTCGAGCCGGGATCGACGGTGGAAGAATTTGACGTATTGGTCGAGGTGCAGTCGGACAAAGCCTCTGTTGAAATCACCTCTCGCTACGCCGGCAAGGTTACGGAGCACTGCTACAAGGTGGGCGAAGTGGCCAAGGTGGGAAGCGCCCTCTGCAGAATCGAGATGGAGGGCGAGGTGGCGCAAGAGCAAGAACAAGCCACGGATGATGCGCCTGCCGGGCAGAAGCAGCAGGAGCAACAGCAGGAGCCAGAAGGTCTGGGGAGCAGACGCGTGAGCGAGAGCGACGAGGCTGCGAGGCCTGACCAAAAGATTTCGGCGATGAACCATTCCAAGCTGGCCACCCCAGCCGTGCGGAGAATCACTCGGGAACACAACGTCGACATTGGTCAGATCCAAGGCACGGGAAAGGACGGTCGCGTCACAAAGGACGACGTGCATTCATACGTGCAGCAGCGCTCGTCTTCGCCAGAGACTGAGGGTGCGCGTCAAAGTGCGGCGGGACCGACAGTTGCAAGAGAGACTGCAGCAGAGAACGACGTGGTAGTGCCGCTGTCCTCGATGAGAAGAGCAATGTTCAAAGCCATGACGTCGACGTGGACAATTCCTCACTTTGGCTATTCGGACGAAGTTGATGTGACACAGTTGGATGCGATTCGGAGGCAAGCTCAGGCTTCGTCTCAAGCCTTGGGCAGCTCTGGAATCGCCGACGACGACGAGGGACCAACGACGAGGCTGACGCTGCTGCCATTGCTCATCAAGGCCATGTCGCTTGCCATGCGCGACTTTCCCCTCTTTAGGTCTCAACTCGATGTAAGCGGCGAGAAGCTACACCAGCGATCTTCGTGTGACATCTCGATTGCCCTTTCGACCGAAAAGGGTCTCTTGACGCCGACGATTGCCGAGGCCGATGCGCTCTCGACGCTCGACATCGCCAAGCATATCGCCAGCCTACAGAGTGCCGCCGCGTCGTCGGGTGGCAGTCTCTCGCGGAGCCAGCTTGGCCCAGCCAGGGGTGGGACCCTGACCATGTCCAATATTGGGTCAGTAGGCGGCACAGGTGCTTCGCCGCTCATTCCACCGACGGGTCAGCTGGCCATTGGTGCCCTAGGCAGAGCTAGGTATCTGCCTCGCTACTCAGACGGAGGTCGTGGCAACGATATCGTAAAGAGACTCATACTCCCAGTCGCTTTCACGGCCGATCATCGTGTCGTCGAGGGCGTTGAGCTGGCCAGGCTTGTGGACAAGTGGAAGAGACTCGTAGAGGAGCCAGGCCTGTGGATGGTCAACATGAGGTAGAGTCTCGAGCTGTGACAGCCTCTTTATGCTTTGGCATCTTGCTTTGTACATGTACAACGGAGCTCCTTCGCATCGCTCAATAAATTACACACACTGAGAAAAGGCAAACTCTTAGAAGAGAGGGTGCGTGCTTTTGTATGTGTGTATGAATGTGTTGAGTGTGTCTACGAGAGGTGAGACGGTGATTTAGCGTGAAAAGCGAGGTAGCTTCACGACGATTCCACAGCAAGGTAATGGGTCGTGGGGCAGCTGCGAATCCTGGCTGCAGCCTGCTCGGCTGTCAGGTCTCGCTGAGGCTCACCCATCATTTCGAAGCTAGGCGAAATCATCATCGTGGTTGGGCCCCCGCCCTGTTAGCGGCAGTTCACTTGCACGGACACGACGATACCTGGACTCACCCGACGAGGAACTTTCGCACCGTGGCGCTCCGCAACAGCGGTGGGTAGTAGTGAATGTGAAATTGCGCGTAGTCTCCTAGCTCATCCTGACCTCCCTGCGAGGTGGCGACGGGCCTCTGGTGAATGCCCATGCTGTAGGGAAAGCTGCACTCAAAGATGTTGTCCAATCGGCACGCCACTGCGCCCAGCATCTCTGCTAGCGATAGCTTTTCCTCTTGGCTCATCTCGGCCAAGCTTGCAATTTGACGCTTGTGGGGAAGGACGAGGACCTCAAACGGCCAAACGGCCCAGTAGGGCACGACGGCGACAAAGTCGTCATTGACCTCGAACACCCTCGGCCGATCGGCTAGCGAGAGCTCCAGCTGGGCATAGGTGAGCAGAAGCGAAGGCCTGCCTCTGTCGTCCTTGGCACAGCCCATGTTGAGCTCGTCATTGGCATATGCCTTCATGCTCTCGAGCTCCTTTTGCGGCTCCTCGGGAATGTAGTCGAGACTCCAGATCTGGCCGTGCGGGTGCGGATTCGAGCAACCCATGGCGCTGCCCTTGTTTTCAAAGATCTGCACGTAGCGCACAAAGGGGTTGTCGGCGGGGATGGACTGGTAGAGGCGCGTCCATGCCTGGATGATGGGGAGGATGTGTTCCTTTGCCGTGTAGGGCGCCGTCGTGAGCTGGGCAATGGTTAGGTTGTGCGACGGGTGGAAGCACAGCACGTAGCACCTGCCACGAGCTGGAAAGGAGCGCAGCAGTGGGTGTGCGTTTCCATCTTTGCGAGCGCTCCAATGGTTCAGCTCCACGTTCGAGCGCCCTGGGAAGAGTTGTTGAAGTCAGTACCCACCTTGACCTTCCGCAATGTCCTGGACCTTGTCCGGCCGCAGCGCTGCAAAGTCATTCTCAAAAGCCTGCACATTCTCTCCGCTTCAAATGAGCAACCAGGCATGTTCAAGAGCTCTAGAATGGCAAAGTGAGACGGGGCAAATTGTCTCCTTGTACTCACGAAAGTGCTCTCATAGTCTTCATTCTTGAGCTGTCCCCCTGCCCGGGCATTTCCTGGACAGAGGTAGCACTTTTCGTCGTACGCAGGCAGTCTCTCCTTTGACGGCGTCTCCTGAGCACCTTGCCACGGTCGCTTTGTCCGATGGGCTGGAGCCGCGGAGCAAGCAAGGTCAAAAGTCAGAGACTCAACGCTGACAAGAAGGATGTAAGATACGTACGCGAGCAGAGGACAAAGGACCTTGTCAGCGGGTTCCATCGCCGATGTGGGTGTTCGGTTGGGTCGAATGGCGCTCCTTGGCTTTCCTCTACCATCTTGATGATGTTCAAGGAGTCTCGTCCAGGGTGGGGCCGATGGGAGCCAGTCGAGCCGAGAAAGAATTGAATTGGGCGGGCCTAAAAGCGTAGCGCAAAATTTGGCGACCCCTCCCCCCTGCCATAGACGACTCCATCCAGCGCCCACCGAATTCCGAGCTGCTGCCAGAAGAAATCGGCGTGGGGGTTAGGTCCGTGGGTCCCCCCTTTTCGATAAAATCCGGCAATCTCTCCTTTCCTCAGACGGCCCACTTCCTGACTGTAGAGGACCAGCGGACCATGATTTGTTAAAGAGGGCAACAATCAGACAGGAGAGACAGATGAGACAGGAAGAGACACCATGACTGGCGGTAACGACGAATCGCTCTTTCTTGGCCTCGATGCCTCAACACAGGCGCTCAAGGCTTCGCTCGTTGATTCGCTTCTCGTCGTAGTCGATGAGGTCGAGGTTCGCTTTGATTCGGACCTGCCTCACTACCACACCAGGGGTGGCACCTTACCTTCGGAAGCAGCAGATGGTCAAGTGCACTCGCCAGTGGCCATGCTCGTTGAGGCATTCGACGTCCTCTTTGACCGCATCAAGCAAGCCAGCTGGCCAGTCCACCGAATCGTTTCGATAAGCGCTGCTGGCCAGCAGCATGCCTCCGTCTATTGGTCTCGCAGCGCCATCCAGGCTTTGGCGTCGGCAAACGATCCCAGCAAGAAGCTCTCGGAGCAGATTACTGCCACTGCATTCTCGAGGCAAACGGTTCCCAGCTGGCAAGACAGCAGCACCCTCGCTGAATGCGAAGCCTTGGAAGCGCAGTTTCCAGGCGGCGCACAGGGATTGATCCATGCCACCGGGTCCAAGGCCCATGCCAGATTCACGGGACCTCAGATCATGCGCTTCCGCAGGCTCAATCCACGGGCATACGAGGAGACGAGTCGGATCAGCCTCGTGAGCTCCTTCGTCACGACGCTCCTCTGCCTCGATGGAGAGGTCAAGCCCGTGGATGAATCGGATGCTTGTGGCATGAACATGTGGGACATTCCATCGCAGCAGTGGAGCCAGGATGCCCTCAGCATCATCTCGGCCGGTCAGCCTGCCGAACTCGAATCCAAGTTGGGATTCGTCGAGCTGGATGCGGCAAGGCCCGTTGGAAAGATCAGTCGCTGGCTCCAGCTCCGCTACGGCTTCGATCAGAGTTGCATCGTCTGCTCAGCCACGGGCGACAACCCAGCCACGTTCCTCAGCTTCACCCTGAATCAAGCAGAGGCGCTCGTCTCCCTGGGCACCTCCGACACTCTCTTGGTGTCTACAAACCAGTATTGCCCCCATGGGGAATACCATGCATTTACCCATCCTGCTCAGTCGCCTGGGAGAGAGAGGAGATACTTCAACATGCTCGTCTACAAGAGTACGTGTCTGCAGCACGATAGAGGTCGAAGAGGGGTAGCTTACTTGTGCCGCTTCAGATGGCTCCTTGGCCCGCGAATATGTTCGAGACAGGCACTACCAGTCGTCTTGGGACGAATTCAATCAGTCCATCATCGCCCAATGTTCCCGGAAAGGCGACGTTACAAGGACAGGCTTCTGGTGGCTGAAGCCCGAAATCATCGTGCGTACAATACATTGTCTTTCGCTTGCAGCACTCCCATCTCACCTACATCCTCACGCAATTACTTTTCATTCCTCTCTACCTCTCTCTCCTTTTTTTTCCTTTCTGCCCGCTCCACCTCGCCCTTTGCAGCCCGCAAATGCGAGAGGAACATACAAGTTCGAGTCGACGACATCTTCCCCGATCTCGCAAAGTCTCGTCGACGAATTCACGAATGAATCGGCAAATGCTCTGGCGATGCTGGAATCGCAATTCTCTAGCTTCCGCGTCCGTTCCTCCTCCATTCTCTCTTCGTCCGATACCTCTGGACAAGAGGAGTCGGAGGGCGGTGCGAGGCTGAAGCGAGTGTATGCATCCGGCGGCGCATCCAAGAATCTGACGCTGCTGAGCGTCTTGGCCAACGTTATGGGATGCGAGATTGTCAAGCCTTCCACATCTGGCAGTGGCAGAGAGGCAAACGCTTGCAGTGTAGGTGCAGCGTACAAGGCGGCCTGGGCTCATGCTCGGAACCGGGACGGTGGTGACGTTGCCTTTGACGACTTTGTCAATGCTTTACGGAGCAAGAGGTCAGACGGCGAACACCACTTCGTTGTCGTCGCCACTCCAGACCGGGTGACAACCAAGAGACTCGGGTACGATGAAGAGAGATTCAAGCAGTGGAGAAGCTTCGAGGCAGAGGCTTTGGCCTTGTCGGCTTCCTCTGGTTGCTAATTGCTGAATTAGAGGGAATGAGGCTGTTTTACACTACATTGGGCGTCTACAATCTATTGTATCAAAGGTGTCGTCCTTCCATCTTGGGCCGTCCCTGCGTTTGCAGCCGCCTGCTCCAAGAGGCTGACATGCCTCTCCAGGTGCTCGTTCTTGCCCTGTAGCCACACCAGGAGGTCTACGGCTTGAAATAAGACGGCGCTTTTGCTTCCTGCGCCACCACCAGCCGAGCCTCCTCTCCCTCTTCCCTTTCCCCTTCCCCTCGTCGACGCTGACCCTCTTGCGGCGGCGGCAGCACTAGAGCCCACCTGCGTCGAGATAGCCGACGCTTGGGCCTGCGCAGCAGCTGCTGCTGCCGTCGCCCTCTTCGCCTTTGCCTTCCTTCTCTTGCTGGCTGCGCTGGCTTCCTCGTCCTCCAATGTGCTTTCGTAATCGCTGCGATCATCCAAGCCTTCATCTTCGATGCCGGTCCCCGCACCACTGCTCAGGCCCAAGCCCCGAGCACCAAATTCTCGACCGGCTTCGAGAAGATCGACGAGCTCCTTGAATGCTTCTCGAATGTGGTTTCTCCGACGTTGTTCTGAAAGGATGTGGTTCTGTCGCTTCTCGCCTTCGCTCAACAGATCCTTCTTTGCCGCTGCCGCGGCCGCTGCTGCTGCTGCTGCCGTCGCAGCAGATGAAGAGTGCTGGGGTGAGGCTTGGCTGATGGGGTTGGACGAAGGACGCCGATGGTGTTGCGAAATCGTGTCGGGTGAAGAGAGTGTCGATGAGACGCCGTGTTCTGTCTTCATCTTCTTGCCATTTCCGATGGTCGCCAGGGAGACATCGAAACCCTGATTATTATTGGCCGAACCAGGATATATGCCATAAATACCATTGTCGAAGTGATGCTGATGATGGTAATGTTGAGGATGCTGCTGGAGCTGTTGCTGCTGGTGCTGCTGTTGCTGACGGAGGTGCGGAAAGACATCCATGGCGGAAGCAGCATTGTTTCCCCTCTTTCGCCGACTGGCCGACAAGACATCGTCTGCACCCTCGTCGTCGTCGCTCAAGCCCTCGAGAGCCTGTCCAAATGCGGCACCTGCCGTGGGTGTCGCACCGCTCCCTGTGCTCTTTGTCGGGCTGGCAGCGCTGTTCGATGGCGGCCCATTTCGTCTTCGGTGCCTCGCCATGGCTGTCTCAGCCGACGTTAGCGACGCTGCCCCCTTTTCCAGAGCGTTGGCAAAAGAGGGCATGTCTGCTGGCAACGTTGGGTTGAAGTCGAAGCCATCGAAGCTGGACAAAAACGACGTGAGAAAATTTGACTCGTTAGCATTGAACAATGAACCGAGGTCTTGGTGTTGAGGGTAGTGATTGGGCTGAGAGTGGTGCTGGTGTGGCTGTGAATGTGTTTGAAATTGCTTTTCTGGTGGTTCGCGATGCTGTATCTGAGGCTGTGCCATTATGTCGTCGAATGAGAAGAGAGAGCCACCCGCCGGGGGCGAAAAGGGAGGAGGCGGTGGCCCAGACATCGGTTGCCCAGACGACTCGGAGGGAACGGCAGTGAGCTGACTTCCCGAAAGACCGAGCCCGAGAGCATCGCCACGATCCATCGTCGAGCTTTGCCTGGGTGTCGTCTGGCTCGAGTTCGACCAGGACATGCTGCTGGACGGAAGGCTAGGCGAAAACATCATTGATGACGACGAGGATGAGGAGCCAATGGGCGCATGCGACCCTGACGACAGTCCACCGCCGAACAAGTCGCCGAAACCGGGCGAAGCGATGAGGTTGAGATCGGACGAAGTGATATTCTCGGGAAGGTCCAGTGTGAAGTCAAAGTCTATGTACGGGACAGGCGATAGATCAGCTTCCAGTCTCTGGGTCCGCCTGCCGCCCCATCCCCTCCTTGTCCCTTCCCAGATCCCCTTGCCGGGGTCCTGATGTACTCACCTTCGTATGGACCGGGCATGGCAGGCAGCTCAAAGGCTGCCGCCGCGGAGGACGACGAGGGCGTCGAGGACGATGCCATGGCTCGCGTGGCTGATAGCAGTGCGGATCGGCCTAGAAAGCGTTCGCGGTCCTCACGGTTCTCAAGCCCCCCACAGGCCACCCTTTAAGAAGAGCGAATGCAGGAAAGAGGAGGGCGATGCCTCTGGAGCGCGAGCGGATGAGCCGACGTCTTGGATCTCGCGAAAGAGGTCGAGCGAAAGCGGGGCGCCCTTCTCGGAGGGTGTCACGTGATCTCGTCCGCCTTGCAACGCGGACGGAGGAGCAGGCGTTGTCTCCCGATGACCCTTTCCTGGTTCCTGGTGGACGGAGGATTGCGAGTGAGTGCTCGATGGCGGCTGCAACAGAATGGCAGGAGGAAGTGGTTGTGCAGAGCAGGCCGTGTCACCTTTCTGCTTTATGTGTGCCCTTGGAGCGGGGCAACGAGAGCGCTAAGATTTCCTTCGATCTCCGCTTTAATGCCACGTGTCTCGACTTCCAGGTAATGAACGTCATCCCAATCGCGAGTGGCTTGCCAATCAATCCTTCAGAGGCACTGCGCGGCTCATTTGCGTCGCGGACAGCTGGGACAGTATGCAATAATGAGCATACAAGTGGACTGTCTTCGTGGTACCTGACTCTCCTTTCAGGCTCCGATCATCGATGCTTCAATCTCATATCTCTGGCAGACGTTGGACGCATCTCTAGGAGCTGGCGTAGCTTTTTGCATCGCGAGGCCTGAATTCAATCTTGGAAGTCCCCTCGTGCAAATAGGCTACCTCCAAGCGGCTTCTGCAGCTAGTAATTGAGGGGTAATTTTCGAGAAGTGGGCGGGGGAGCTGAGCTGCCTACTTCGACTACTAATAATGATAGAAGCTGGACCGGCCACGAAAATCGACTGATTTCTCCATGTTCGGGTTTCGGTGTTTTTATCTCTTTTTTTTAGTTTTGGGTGGCCTGACGGGACGCTAACAACATCAGCTCATTGAGCGAGACGACCGCCGGGAGTTGACGACAGGAGGATAAAGTCATCGCTTCGGGTTTCCTTCTCCCCACCATCTTGCGCACCCTCGACCAGAGCTAACAACATACCATGCCGTCGAATCCCCTCAAGAGATATCAGCACGGCGAAGGGAGCTATGCTCTCGTGACGGGCGCGACGCTGGGGATGGGAGAGGAATGGGCCCATCAGCTTGCCGCCTTGGGTTTTAATCTCATTATCCATGGCCGTAGCCAGGCCAAGCTCGATGCTGTTCGGGCGGCAATCTTAGCCAAGCACGCCACAGTCGACGTTAAGACAGCCATTGCCGATGCTGGTGCGCTCCCACCCAACTTGGGCGAGCTTGAAGCACTTCTGCCTGCGCTGTCTCAGTCTTCTTCTTCTTCTTCTTCCTCTTCCTCCCCCTCTCCGGGCAAAGAAGCCAGGATCACGGTTCTCATCAACAATATTGGTGTCACTTCCAAGGCATTTCCCCTATTCGAGGAGGCGCCCACCGAGGATCTGCTTCAGCAGATTGCTATCAACGACGTCTTCCCCACCATCCTCACCCAACGAGTGCTACCGACGCTTAAGCGTAATCAACCGAGCCTCATCGTCAATGTCACCAGCATGGGTGCCTGGGCTCCTTCGCCTTAGTGAGTGTTGACTGCTTGAACCTGGTCTCTTCTTGTTCTCAAATCTTTCCCTTGCTGTTCAATGACCACGCTTGCTCACACAACGCACTCACTCCTCAACAGCCTCTCGGCCTACTCTGGCTCAAAGGCATACAATCTCATCTTCTCCCGGTCGTTGTACAATGAGATGCGCTGCGAGGGCAACCAGGTCGACGTGACCACGCTGGTGCCGGGACAGGTGGTGAGCGGCATGAACGAAGGCCCGCCGACGGCCAACATGCCCACCTCGCACGATTTTATCCGGACGACGATCTCCAAGCTCAGTGGTGGCCTCTTTGGTGTAAGGCCTCCACCTATCATGGTCCCTTGGATGGCCCATTCGATGGGCTACCTGGCCATGCAGCTCATGCCACGGGCCATGGCCGACTGGGCCGTCCGCTCTACGGTCGTCGATCTTCGCAAAAAGAAGCTTGCCGCTGAGCAGAGGGAAAAACCGAGCGAAGATCAAGTTGTCCCCACAATGACGGCCAACAGTAGTGCAGGTGCGACCGCCAATGGGGTACACGAAGACGGGAAAGCGACTATGACCAATTAGATGAGATACCAGCGTCGACTCCGTACACCGCATCTTCGACGGCGCCTAGACTGCGATACCCCTTCCCCATCCCTTGGGCTCTGCGACCCTCGTCTTTGCTCGCTTCTCCACGATCTCGATTTCGCCATTGCATTCTCCAGTTGTCATCTTCGCGGCCTAATTAATGATCATGATTGCAAGAGTGGCGCGGCCAGTGAAAATTACAAACGTTCACATGTCTCCTCCAGCTCCATCGTCTGAATCAGAGTGAACGGAACCATCCGGTCCCTCCTCTTTGATGCTGCAGTCAATATCACCGTCGTCATCACCATCGTCATCAGCTTCGGTGAAAGAAATAAAATCCTGCTGGCCGATGAAATCTTTTGCCGTCTTGCGCTTTTGCCTCGTCGAGCTGAAGTCAATTTGTTCATCCTGCCTCTTTCTCTTCGTCGATGCCTCGCTATCTTTACCTCGTGTTGAATTTTCCTCTCCAGCCGCATCCTCCTTCTCTTTTTCTTCCTCCTCCCCCTCCTCCTCTTCTTTCGCCTCAGCATCTTCAGTATCACCTTCCTCCTCTTCCTCCTCCTCCTCCTCCTCCTGATCCTCCCCATGCCCATCGTCGTCGGCACGAACAAATGCGCTATCGTCCCTGACGAATAGATCGGCATCCTGCAGTCCTTCCTCCTCGTCTTGTCGTCCCTTTTTGCCGTTTCCTAAGCTCTCAGCGCGAATCACATGCAGCAGCCTGCAGCCCTTTGTTTGGCACTGGCCGGATCTGACAAAGGCTGGGCAGTCCCACGTATGTCGCTTCTTGCACTCTCTCCCACCATCACACCAGCCCACCTTGGTGAACTCTGGGCAGATATTGTCGGCGCGCACGTTGATCGATTGGCGCGAGGTCGGACTCGGGTGCGTGTAGGGACAGGTTTCGCCGTTTCGACATGTTGCGATTCTGAGATAATGGACGCAATGGGGAACCCGTTCGGGACGGATGTCGTGGGAAAGCAGGCATGACCCTGGTGCCTGCGTGCAGCCCGAAGATCTCAGAACGCCAGGGCAAATGGCGATTTTGGCGGCGTCGTGGGTGTAGGGGCATGATAACCCTCGTTTGCATTGCCCTGTAAACGAGCACAAAGAAGAAAAAGTGTGCATATGAAGGATTGATCAAGAGCCGACGATAGGCTCACCTGTCTTGTTGAAGAAGGCACAAAGTCCCCTCTTGGTCGCTTTGGAGCTCCAACGAGCTCCCATCGTCGGATTGGAAGTCCTACTACCATTTCTAATCAACAGCAGAGGAATTTTGAGCAGTTCTTCATCATTGCTTCGTTCTCTAGACTCACCTTGCACGCTGGACGCTCGCAAGCTGCCTACCTATTGAGTCCAACCTCTTCAGCTTTTGGGCTGTCTGCTTCTCTTCCTTTCGTTTTGCAAGCAGTTCGACGCTGATGAGATTTCCTCTCTTCGTCCTCACGAAAGCCTGACCGTTTACCGACGTTTTCAGAGGTGTACTTGGTTGTCGGTCGTCGGCCTTTGCAACGTCGGAATTGGAGGGCGCCATGTGCGATGGCACAGGTGAAGGCGAGCGGGGACGCGCAGCTTTCTTCACCAGCTTTGTTCCAGTCTCATCGAATTCGAAAGTGACGCCATCGATAATGACCTCTCCCATGTTGTCGCCTCTCCTTATCGCCGGCTTTGGCTTTGGCTTTGGCTTCTGACTAGGCTTGAGGTCGCCTTTCTTGCCTCTGTCGCTGCCATTCATTTCGCCGCCTGCACCTTCTTTAAATGGCGAAGCCTGTGCTTTCCCGGCTTTTCGAGTGGCCTCCAGTGCTGCCAGACGAGCAGGCTCGGTCTTTTCGAAGGTAGAAGAGCTGACCAGACTCATATTGTGCGTCGTCTTTCGCTTCACCCAGCCGCCAGAATGGCCGTCGGCGGATGTCTCCGAGGGCGCAAGCGTGGAACTGGGAGAGAACCGAGACAAGGAAGAAAAGCCAGGTTCAGTAGACAGGACCAGCGTTCGATTTCGGCTTGGCGTGGGCGCTCCCCTCCCTCTTCCTCCTCTTCCCCTTCCCCTTTCACGGCCGCGCACTCCCTCTGCTCCATAGTTCGATGGCCCGGATCGTCGTTGATCAATAGCTCCAGAGAGGGCGGCAATCTGAGCTCGCAGTGCGGCTGCTTCCTCATCAGCCATGTCACCGTCGCCGTCGTCGTCGTTGCCGCTGCTAAGCTCAGGCGACAGCTACCGCTCGTTGTTTCGACTCTCGAACCCCCCAAGTGGAGAGAGGCTGGACTTTGAAGGCTGCTCAGTCACCTGACCTTGAAGTTCACGTGCACATGCAGCAAGGAGCTCTTTTTTCTCCTCGAGATCCGCACGATGTCTCCTCTTCTTTTCCTTCAATTTAACAGAGTAAAAAGGACGGTCTCACCTCATGAGCAGCCCCTCTCTCTAGCAGAGAGACATGGACCTGGAAAGGTTGATGGGAGCTGACTCAACGGACTGTATCCAAGAAGAAAATCTGCAGGAGGGCTCTTTGGCTGACGAGTTTTTTCTTTTGGTTCTCCGAGGCTCCATGCTAGGGCTCGGGTTCGGTAGCTCATGTCGGTCACCTGGCTCTCCGACATCCATCATGTTTGTACATGCTCTTCCTGGTCACAATGCAATCGTTTATGTCGCCTACTTGGACCTGTCTCACATGTCGATGATACCGATTGATGGGCAGGTTTTTCACGTGGCCTCGGCTTGCTTTCTTTTATTTTTACCTTTGTATTCTCCCGAGCAGGCGAGACAGTCCTTCTTCTCACGAACCATCTAAAATAGGTCTTTCATCATGGCGGCATCAGCAAAGCCCACGGCGATCCTCTCAGTTTACGACAAGACTGGTTTGTTGGACCTGGCAAGGGGACTCGCCTCCAAGGGCGTCCGGCTCCTTGGTTCGGGCGGAACAGCAAAAATGGTGCGCGAAGCCGGCATGGAGATCGGCGATGTAAGCGACATGACCAAGGCCCCAGAGATGCTCGGAGGACGGGTCAAGACACTGCACCCGGCCGTCCACGGAGGTATTCTGGCACAACTTACGAAGGAGTCCGATGTCAAGGACCTCGACGCTCACAAGATTGAGCCCATTTCCATCGTTGTATGCAACCTCTACCCCTTTGAAGATACGGTTGCCAAGTCGCCCGCCCCGAGCGTTGCTCAAGCAGTCGAGGAGGTCGACATTGGCGGTGTGACGCTTCTGAGGGCAGCCGCAAAGAACCATGAGCGGGTCTGGGTCCTTTCAGATCCCAATGACTATGGCACTTTCTTGTCAAATTTTGAAAAGGGCGGGCAGGAAGCTCAGAACAACCGCAACCTTCTTGCGCTCAAGGTGAGTACCTTGACCGCTGCGCACCCTTGTCACCGACATTCATCCCTGCTCATGCGACCACGCTTTCCAGGCCTTCACCCACACGGCTCATTACGATAATGCGATTAGCAACTACTTCAGGAAGCAATACGCATCGACGGCCAGCCCGGCGTCCAGGCTTGTCCAGCAGATGCCGCTGCGGTACGGGGCCAATCCGCACCAGAAGCCAGCGCAGGCATACGTAACCGAGGGCGAGATGCCAGTAAAGGGTGTGTGCAGCGCCAGACAAGTCTATGCAGGGCCTGTGCTCATTTCATTTCTCTTATGCAGCCCTCGCGGGGTCGCCGGGCTACATCAACCTGCTCGACAGCCTCAATGCCTATGCCCTCGTCAAGGAGATGGCTGAAGCAACGGGCCTACCTGCCGCTGCTTCTTTCAAGCACGTGTCCCCTGCCGGCGCCGCTGTTGGCGTGCCCCTGACGACTACAGAAGCTCGCGCCTTCTTCGTTGATGATCTCGGCGAACTCACCCCCTTGGCCACGGCTTATGCTCGTGCTCGAGGCGCGGACCGCATGTCGTCGTTTGGCGACATCATTGCTCTGTCGCACAAGTGCGACTACCAAACAGCCCGCATTATCGGACGTGAAGTCTCTGATGGCATCATCGCGCCCGACTATGAGCCCGAGGCACTCGAGGTGCTCCAGAAGAAAAAGGGCGGCAAGTACTGTGTGCTCAAGATGGACGCCAGCTTCGTCCCCGCCGCCGTTGAGTCTCGCCAGGTTTACGGCATCACACTCGAGCAGCGTCGGAATGACGTCAAGATTGATAAATCCCTCTTCGCCGACGTTGTGAGCGAGAAGAAAACCATCACGGAGCAAAACCTCCTCGACATGGTTGTGGCCACCCTCGCGCTCAAGTATACCCAATCCAACTCCGTGTCCTATGCGCTGAACGGCCAAATTGTGGGTCTCGGAGCCGGGCAGCAGTCTCGAATCCATTGCACGCGGCTGGCTGGCTCGAAAGTCGACAACTGGTGGCTGCGCCAGCACCCACGCACTTTGTCGCTGCCCTTCAAGAAGGGCGTGAAGAGGCCCGAGAAGAGCAATGCCATCGATCTCTTCGTCGAGGGCACCCTCGAAGGCCCGGCAATGCGCGACTCGGTCGAGCGCAAGGAGTGGGAGGCCAACTTTGAGCAGGTTCCTCCGGCGCTCTCGGCGGAAGAGAGAGCTGCTCATCGGGCCACCCTCAGGGACGTCGTCTGTGCTTCTGACGCATTCTTCCCCTTTGGCGACAATGTCGAGGAAGCCGCCAGACACGGAGCAGGCTTCTTGGCGGCACCGGGTGGCTCTGCCCGCGATCAGGACTGTCTGGACGTTGCCAACCGACACGGCATGGTCTATGTCCGCACCCAGCTGCGCCTCTTCCATCACTAGGCAAATCTCGCTCGTTCTGTAGCCTGGCTTAGAATTGATCTTGGAAGAATTCTTAGCGTAAATGTTTGAAATTGCACGCCCAACGCGTGGCCTGTCGCTGTTCCTTGAAGCGACTTTACTACTACTACTGTACAGTACTGTACTGTACAGTACAAACTTAGCCTGAGTAAGAAATCAAACGCCAAATTTTTCTAACCAAACTCCATCGTCATGTCGTCGCAGCTCGAACACCTGCACTCCCGGTACCAGGGGACGATCAACCCGGACATCACGAAGCAGTAAGTGTTTCTCCCGGTCCTTGCGGCTCTTGACGGAATCTTGGCCCACTGATGCCCTGCCCCATCTGCAGCGAGTGGATCACGCATCAATTTCGAGACACCAGTGCATCCATCATTGGACATCCACCACTCCATTCGTACCTGGCCTTGGCCGACGGCGAGTGCAAAGCTCGGGTCAAGTTCGAGCTGTGCGAGGTGAGATGTTTCGTCTCTTGGTCCTCTAGTCTAGATTGCTAACTTAATTCTGGTGATAGAAAATGCTGCAACCAACGGGGCCTCCGCCACCTCTCGACGAATGAAGAAGCTCGCCAGAACGTGTATTTGTACCGTACCGTAGTAGTATCTCGATCTTTTTCAAATTTTGCTGTCTTTACTTGAAATGTACGACCTTCCTCAGTCATCGGAGGTACTGCCCTTTGCCTGCGCAAGAGAGACGCTGAGACTCTTAGCTCTCTTCCAAACCTGTTGGGGCACGGTGAAGAGAGCATACATTCATCTAATAGGGCTGATGGCGCAGCGAGTCGTGAGACGCTTGTCGAACGTACAGTACAGTACATTATTCAAGGGCTGTACTGGAAACACAGTCTCGCATCACTGCCCTCACCGCCCTGCGCCCAAGCTCAGCAAGCGCCCAACGTGTGTCGCGTGGCAGGAACGCCGACATGGCATTACGGGGCGCCCTTGCCTGCTGACCTCACTTGCTCGCCAGTTCTCCTACCAAGCTTCTCGCTATCTTCTTCCTTCCTTCAGCTTTGCACTCTTGACTCTTGGTGCCGGACACCAAGAACAGGGGCTTCGATTTCTCGTCACTTCCTTTCGACATCGCATTGCATCTTTTCGCCCGGTCGAAGAATTCTCGTCCGGCTCTGCTTCTGAGCACGATGCCTTGTGGCCGTAAACTCCTCACGACCTTTCTATTCCTTGCAATTCTTCTGGCACGCATTCCACGCGCCGATGCGATTCCATGTCAATTCATTATCGTCGAACGTCGTTCCATCGAAGCAAACGACGATGGTCACCAGCGAACTCTCGAAAGTGAAGGCGACAATGACAGCTCTGGTCTGATGCGACGCGCGAGCAAAGAGATCGATCGACATCTCATAGCTGGTGCATGGTCTGCTACTCTAGCTCTTGGAAGTGCAGCCCTCAGTGTCACTTCTAACGCCATCAAAATGAACGACGCACAAAAATATGGCGACAAAACCAAAAGTGGCGCAAAAGCTGCTGCGAAGGAGAGACCACGCCAGAATGAGAGAGGCTCTACAGCTTCAGGTCGCCAGAAGGAGCACAGTTGCCTTGACGAGAGGCGACCTGACGATTTCGCTCTTCGTCACGGTCACCATCATCATGAAAGCCCGACTTCAGCACTGTGCTCTGCTGACAGTGATTCCGAAAGCGATAGTGATGATGGACCATCCCTACCTCACAGTCACAGGAGGTTCGAGAAGCGAGCCGCAAGACACAGCTCCGCGATCTACGACAGCGATAATTCGAAAGATCAAATCATCTCAGATGTCCTTATAGTGAGCTTGCACAGTGCCACAAGAAGACGGTCTTAAACCTGTATTGACAGAGGTTGGCAAGAGGCGTAATCTTAGGCAAAATAAAAGCCTGAGGGCGATATTGGGGGTAAGAGACTTATCTATGAGACAAAACAGGTACTGCAACTGAACACATTTCTTCTCCGCTCCAGGGCATGTGAGTGCAGGTCTACGGCCAATTGACTAACTCGAAGCTTACACGGGGAAATCTTCTCGGACCAGCGAGGATTATGGAAAGTCGTGAGTGCTCTCAGCACTGATCACAGACATTCGGCATTCACAATTCCATCACAGATTTGCGGCCACAGGGGCTCTTACGGCCGCCATCATGATGACCACGACTACTGTCAAGGGGCACAAGAAGCTCAAAGCACAAGATGCAGAGGCGTAGTTGTACGAGGAGAAGCGACAGTCGGACAGGTCCTTCCCTGGAATAGTCATCAATTTATCGCTCAATATATGCGCTCCGGTATGCAATTGTGCCTGAGCACTCTCAGTGCCATGTCTCGATATGCCTCCAGCGGCTCTGTCTGAAGCCCAACGACCTTGGCCCGATCGTCGTAGAGACGCAGAGATACCTTCTCCCTCCAAGAGTCGGTCGACTGAAATGCTTGTACCTCTTGTCTAGTAAAAGGACCACCTTGCAGCCTCAGTGAAGTCTGCGATGCCGAAGAGAGGCCAGCGAGATAGCCGGGCTCACACGCTGTGAGATATCTACAATAGAGGTGAGACTTGGGCGACTCTAACGCATGACGAAAATGAAAACACACCGTTTGGCTTCGACATGGGCGCCGACCAAGCTACAAAGCCGGTCTGGCCACCCTTCTTTCCTCAGGTATGCTTCCCCGATGGCGTCATGCCCCTGCCTCCCCACGCTCTTGCCTGACTCCGGATCGAGGAGGCGGCCAGCTGTCGACTCTGGGAGAATTTGTCCCACATCATGAAAAAGCGCTGCGACGATGGTCTCTTCATCCGCGCCGTCCTCTTTCGCAAAATGAGCAGCCTAGTACGGGTTGGGCACTGGTCAACTTGATTTCTCTAAGACACGAGAGCATGCGCCTCACCTGCAGAAAATGCTCTAGCTGGGAGATGGACTCGCCGATGTAGTCACTCCCACTGCCTTGGCCTTCAAGCAGGGCGAAAAGAGCGTCGACATGTTTTTCTTGATGAGAAGAAGTCATGGTTGTGGCTCATTCGGTCTTGGATATGAAGGGCTTTAATATAGTTTAGAACCATCTTCGGAGACGTCACCGACGAGCACCGGACTTCCAGCCGATCAGAGCACCTGCGCTACTTGGGACGTTTACCGGTACTTTGGCACCCTAACTTTTTAATTTTTAATTTTTCATTATTTTTTGTTCGGGGAGCTAAGCTCACTTCAGCACAAAAATGCGAGGTAGGTAGGTCCTTTCCACTGCTGAAGCCTTCTTATGTACAGTACTGTACACAATGAAAGCCAATCGACATCTCTGAAGAACGAGTCTGTTCAGTTCCCCAACCCGTCGCAAACAACACATCGAAATCTGGCTTCTGCCACCGGGCCCTTACAATCCTATTATACAGTACAGTACAGTACAGTTTTGTCCACCTTCGAGTGCTAAGACTGGATAGCGAAGAAGTTGAGCGAAGCAAAGACCACGACATTGTTCAAAGACACAGAATCCACGGTGACAAAGGAAAATTTGAAGGACCTGGCGCAGGAAGTGTACAGAGCTCGGTGATACAGTATGTTGCAAAAGGCTCATCAGAATCCATTGCGCAGCCATTTAGGACCACACACCGAAGCTGCTGCCACTCAAGCTCTACGATTCTCACCCTTGACTGTTACTGTACCGTGTGAGAAAGCTACTTCCGGCCATCATTTGTGTTTCGAGAACGTCCTGGCAGAGGATTCCATTCATCATTCATCATTCATCATGACTAGATGGAACTCCGAGCAATACTTTTCTCCCCTTTTTTTCACGTTCTCGAAAAAAAGGCGCAACGCTTCGAGATTTCTGTACTAAATCAGATGTCAAATTTTTCTTGCAATTCAAAAGTGAGAGTTCACGTTTGGTTTTCTGACTCCAGCAAGGGCATTGATCATTGATCTTATATGCAAAAATGTTCTAAGTTCACAAGTGCCTGTCGTCTCCGCTGATTGGGGGGGTGGACGACAGGGTCTACGACAGGGTCTGGTCTGGTTCTCTCCGCAAAGACTAGAGTGAACCGCCGCTTGTCTCTATTACGACAGCGCCTGTGTCATTGGATTTCTCAAGACGGACTGGTCTCTATGAAGTTCACAAGCTCTTTGATAAACGACTTTGGGTCTTCAGCCTGCACCCAATGACCCGTGTCTAGCTCGACGTGGCGAGCATTACGGAAGAAGGCATCGCACAATGGCCGGTTTTTGCGGTTTATGTACCTGAACGAGAAACCCAAGACAGTTTAAATTGGCTTGCTCTGGTTGCCTTGCTCTGGTTGCCCGCGATACAAGACTACTCACTTGCTCTTTGCGCCTTTAACGAACAAAGCCCGCCCTGACCAAGTGCGGACCGGTCTCGTCCCATGTATGGCTTCGGAGTCGTATGGAAAGTCACCGATCTCGTCCAAGTGCCTTTTGATGAGTTTGACCGGAATTCGAAATGTCCAATAATTTGCCCCAGGAGCACGCACAAGGTTGGTGAGGAGGAATTGACGAATGCCGAGTTCCTGGGGCGTAACATATTAAGAACAAACATTTGCGCATCAACAAAAGGTCAATGCGGTGCTTACCTGCTCATATCTCTGAAGAATCTCGTCTGCCTGGTGACGGGACGTGCACTTTGCTTCCTCAATCTCAATCATGCCCTCGATATATTGCTGTGGAAAGCGATGTTAAGAGAGGTGGAAGTTGTGCAGGAGAGCACTTACAGCGAACTCGTTGCTCAGCGGCCCTCGTGCAGGCGACATGTCGACGCTGACGAGATGTGAGAGGGCGTCTTGTGGCAATGTAGGAGAGAGAGCGAAACTCTGCACGGCTTTTCCGCCCATTGAATGACCAATGAGGGTTGCATTGCGGATACTGTGGTCTTTGAAGAACTTCCCTAAATCTGTTGCCATGCCCAAGTAGCTCATGCTGTCGACGTGTGGCGATGTTCCATGGTTGCGAAGGTCCTGTGCATCAACGTTAACCATACTGTCCGTGCTTGCACCCCCGCACAATCTGACTCACCAGGGCATACACCTTGACGCCCGTTTTTTGCGAGATCGCTTTACCCAATGATCTCCAATTCTGCTTTGAACCACTGCAAAGAGTTGCGTCTCCGTCAGCTTGTCGATTTCTTCCGAAGTCGGGCTATCAAGATTCACAAGAGTCCATGGCATAGCACTACTGCGTCCGTATTGGCGCTGTGCGATCCGCCGGATCGAGGCGCCTCGTAGAATTCATAGTCGAGGGCCACTGGCTTATGTCCTTCGCCGACCTCGGCTGTGGCACCTTGAAGACAGCAATGTTGGCTAGTGCGAAAATTCCTGCCGAAAAGTGACGGTATGAACTGGAGCTGTTTCTGAGCTACCACCGATTCAAGGGCTGCTCTTCTTAGCAACATCCTCTTCACCTTGCACAGGTCGCCAAGACCTCGAAAGACATTTTACTTATTTATTCAACATTTTCTGTACAGTACATGATGCGCCTACGGATACACGTGATCTAGCGTCACTCGTCTTCGAGACGCATTGGTTGTTGCTGCTGCTCTGTCGATTCCTTTCTGCCGTGACTGCTTGAGGTTGCGTTGGCACCTGGCCGAGGGACTATATCAACGAGGAAATCGAAGATATTGGAGAGCCCTACGGCCGCCACGACATCGGACCGTTGAATCGTTCGCCTCCTGTTAGCACTCGCATGTAGATACGATCGACAGGTTAGGTCGGCGATGAAGACTGCGATGCGATGCCACGGTCTCAGAAAAGTCAACTGCCGTACTGATCCGGAGACTCACTCTCGCATGCGCGCGCAAACAATATAGGTGCCTCCGCCGAAATCATCTAGCCAAAACCCCGAGTCAGCTACGGAATGAGAAGAGCCATCTGCAGCTGGATGCACTGACTTTGACCTCATCATCAGAGTTCTTCATCACCTTCTTGATCCTCGCCAAGGGAAGTTGGCCTGCCTGGGGTTTGAACACGTCCATTGGATTCGAGTGGGTGCTCGAGGAGGCGTGCTCCTCAACGTTGGACATTTGCCTCTGCCAGAAATCCTGAGAATACGACTCCAGTGTCTGTGTCGCATTCACAAGCGGCGGTGTGGTATCCCTTGTCCTCATCGCGCTTGATGATGCTCCCTGCCTCTCCGTCGTTGTCGTTGTCGTTGTCCTTGTCGTCGCTGCGTTCCTCTTCGTAGCGAATTGTCTTTGCCTTGGGATGTGGAGACAGAATCAGATTAGGCTACCCTGGTACCCATAAGATGATGAATTAGTGCTCACGTGTTGTCCACTAAGTCTCCGAAAAATCCCTCTGACTGAAGATAGATACCGACATGACGAAGATCTCGAGGACGACCAAAGACGTTGCCTCGGGCACGGCCGGGGGCATCGCACAGGTGTTGGTGGGACAACCGTTGGACATACTCAAAGTGAGGCTCCAGACGGCAGCGCCTGGAACATACAAGGGCTTGGGCGATTGTGCCAGTCAAATTGTGAAGAGGGAAGGATTACTTGGCTTTTACAAGGGCACTCTGACTCCGCTGCTGGGTGTCGGCGTTTGTGTGTCGATTCAATTTGGAGTCGTAGAGGCTGTCAAGAGGAGATTCAATGCTGAGAATGCGAAAGTGGCAAGGACAGATCTGAGCAAAGGGCAGCTCTATGCATCAGGTGCATTAGCCGGTCTAGCCAACAGCATCGTTGCAGGTGAGAGCTGGTTGTGCTGTCTTTATCTCGCACAAGGACAAAATCTGACATTTGAACGATTCACAGGCCCTGTCGAACAGATCCGAATCCGGCTTCAGACACAACAGACTCGCCTCTATGCTGGTCCGTTGGACTGTGCCTCTCAAATAGTCCGTCAATCAGGGCCTGCTGGCCTCCTTCGTGGGATGCTCCCCACGATGCTTAGGGAGTCGCAAGGCATGGGCGTCTATTTCCTTTCGTACGAGTTTCTGGTGCAGCGTCACTTGGCAGAAACGGGCAAGCAGAGGGCAGATCTCCCCAGTGTAATGGCCATGCTCTTTGGAGCCTCCGCCGGGGTCGCAGTGAGGATCAGCCTAGCTCTTAAAGTCATCTGATGACGTTGATCTAACGGTATCCCGTACAGCTCTGGCTATCAGCCTATCCCCTAGAGTAGGTTCAGCCTTTCAGATTGCTACTGCAACACGCTTACCCCCTTGCAGTGTAATCAAGTCGCGTATGCAGACAGACGCCATCTCGCCGTCGGAGAGGCGCTACAAGGGATTCCTCGACTGCGCATCAGACATCTACAGGTCCGCTGGACCGAGAGGCTTCGTCAAAGGACTGGCCCCCACACTGGTTAGGGTGAGTCTCTCTTCTGCATCCAGCGACGCAGACGTTTGCTCTAGCAGCTGATCATCGTGGACCCAAGGCACCGTTTGCTAATGCAGCCACCTTCGTCGTTTATGAATGGGCTTCGAGACAACTGGAGCCCCATGTCAAATGAACGTCGTAGAGTACTGCGAGCATCTCGTCGGTCACGTGGTTTCCAGAACGGGAAACTTTGCAACTTGATTTTCTTCGCTCTTCCGCCTCGCCCATTCCCTTTCTTCCTCACCTCGATGTATGCAGGTGAGTCTTGAGGGTACGGGCCATCACATCATGATGAGAACCAAGTGTCGCCCCAAACTGTTATCATCAATGATGATTGACCAATCATTAGCCAAACAAATTTCTGTCCCTGACCTATCTCTGCCCTCTCAATGCTTCTGAAAACAGTGCTGACGCGCTTCCTCCTCTCTAGATCGGCAAAATAGACAGGCAGCATAGACAATCGATGGCAGTTTAACTACACATATCTCTGCACCGAAGCTCGTGGGCTGTTGGCTGTGGCTATACAGAAAAAGCTATGAAGGTAATGCGAATCGTAGACATGTGGCGATCAAAGATGAAGCAGCAAGAGAGAAACGGAGGGGGGTGGAATATGATGGCTGGACAGGTGAGCTAATGGGCCTTAATGGCATGAATGCTAGGAATTGCCCGAGTCTATACTGCATTGGAGCTGGTTTTGTCTTCCTTGTCTTTCTTGGCCCAGCCGATGAAGAGGGGTACGTCTGGAGCCACTTTTGAGGGCATGGCCATCTATCATTGGGAAATTGGTGCATGAGCAAAGTTTGGTTCGGCCTCTAACGTGGTCGATCGCTCACCTCTTGGAACATCAACGGTATCCGGCCGGAGGAGTCCGACTGTACAGCCATCCTGCACAGTGATCGTAAAGAAAGTCAGCAAGGACAAGATATGAGCTACAGAGACCACACAGAAGGCTCACCACCACTCTGCTCCGTCATCGTCGGTCTGGCGCACCATTTCGACAGAGGCATAGTAGGCCCTCACGTATTCCTTTGGCACCTCTGGGCAGTTGTCGAGCTTGACTGGAAGCTGAATGTTGACAAAGCTCGCCAGCCCATTGTTATCTGTAGCTTTGGCCGCTTCGTCCGATGCCTGACCTCCTTTTCCTTCGAGTGACGCCAGAATTTCGTCGATGTGAGCATCTGACATGGGCTTGGAAACGGGCTGAAACTCGACTGTGAGAAACATCTGCGAAAAGTCTCGATTGCCGGTCAAGACCGGAAGATTGTCTTAATCCGAGAAAGGTCAGCCTCTGTCTCTAGACGACGAAGGATAGAATACCTACACCCAGTGTGAAAAAGCTCGATGCGGCTCTCCTTGATCAGATTTCCATCGAGTGCAGAAGGCGGTTGCACCTTGCCGAGGCTGTCAGTGAGGACTATGTCGTGAATGTATTGTTGCTCCTTGACAGCATGGTCGACTGCCAGTCCCTCTCTGAAGTCGTGAAATTTGAGGCCATGGGAATGATCAGGCGAATGAAGGCTGCTGCGAGCATGCCAGCCGCATTTGGCCAGCCTGCCGCTACAGGAGGACGCTCCCTTTGTGGCATCGACCCTGGAGTCGTGTTCGAGGTTGAAGGTCTTCGACTTGGGCCACGTCCTCCCCGACCGAACAAGAAGGAGAGCTTGGCGCACAAGCGCTTTGAAGGCTGACAAAGTCAATTGCCCTTCGCCGTCCGTCAAGCTGGCCAGCGAGTGAGGCGCAGCAGAAAGCGGCGTTGTGACATCCACTGGCGGAGCTGACATTGTCGATGATGGTCGAGTCGTGAGGTCGAGGAAATGCTTTCCCCCCTTCTCAATAATAGAGGGTTGCACATTTCTGGCTGATGGCCTGATTTTCAAACATTCCCTCCACTTGATGACCGCCGGGCACGCCGATCCAATTATAGCCAGCCGTGCTCCGAGAGATTCCTCTAGCTGTAGAGAGTAGCTAGCAGCAGTACGTAGTAAGTGATACGACTAGCTTGTCTTCCAGCATGCGCAAGGTTGCTCAATATTTGAGAACTTGCCGTCGCGCCTCCTGAAGTTTGTCTTCTCCCTCTCTTTCCGCCCATAAGAGTGGCTTGCTAAAGAGAATTGGTGATGGGTTCTTCACAGATCATTCGCTCCTTCTACGGAGTGATACGAAGGTCGTCAAGGCGGTATCTATACTACTCGAAGAACACTACTGGTACGTCAATGATATGAAGTGGCGTAGGAAGCGACCATTGGACACTTGCTGACCCACCTCCCTACGACCTCAGCCGAGGGAAGGCAGATGCGCACCGTAGTGTTTTGAGCTAATCAGACGGCCCAAGCATTCCCTTGCACAGGAACAAGGTATACTCAGGTTCATCGGCGACTTGCAAGAGTGCACTCCAGCATTATATAGAATCCTAACATACCTCGGACCGCACTCAACTGCCAATCAAGAACATTATGCAAATTCCTCACCTCAGGTTCTCTTATCTTATGCACAAGCCCCACCTCTTTAGAAGATCTCACAGGGTGGCAGGGTCACCATAAGCCAGAGCGTCCCATGGGGAAGGTTCTTCCATCCTTGTGGTGCTCGAATCTTCCGGCCTCCCTATGCGTAACTTTTCGCGAGGCGTTTTCTACCCGCGGTCAGCCGTTTTTTGAACTGCTCAATTTGCGCTAGCGCGGTAGAATTGCTCTCAGGTGACACCTTGGCTCTTTCTAAAGGGAAGGTTTTTCCTTCACTCTATTTTTCACTCTCGTCAGACCACCACCTACCTGCCACTCACCTCGCCATGGAGGCTCTGCATTCATTTCTCGACTCGATGCCGTTCGTCAGCGAGCTCTCGCTTCCCCTGCAGCTCCTTGTTCTGGCTTCAGGCTTGACGCTTGCATCCGTGACCCTTAATGTCCTCGCCCAGCTCTGCTTACCTGCGAGCCCCTCGTCGCCACCCCTCGTCTTCCACTGGTTTCCGATTCTTGGCTCAGCCGTCTCATATGGTACGGATCCCTACAAGTTCTTCGAGACGAACCGAGCAAAGGTGAGTTGCGCTTCTGGAGAAGATGAATTTGATGAGCAAAGCTGAAATGCCAGGCTTCTGCAGCACGGAGATGTTTTCACTTTTGTGCTTCTCGGTCGCAAGATGACCGTCGCATTGGGCGCCAAGGGTTCCAATCTCGTCTTTAATGGAAAGCTTAGCCAAGTGTCGGCTGAGGCGGCCTATCACCACCTCGTGACGCCCGTGTTCGGAAAGGAGGTCGTCTACGATGTCCCAAATGCCGTCTTCATGGAGCAAAAGCGAATGGTCAAGTCTGGCGTGTCCAACGAAAACCTGCGAGTTTATCTCGGCCTCATCGTTGACGAGGTACAGCAATTTCTTAGCCACGACGCTCGCTTTGAAGCATTCCAGAGCAGGAAACCCGGGAAATCGGGCGCTGTGCCGATCTTTGTCGCCATGTCGGAGCTCATCATCTTGACGGCCAGCCGAACCTTGCAAGGCCCCGAAGTTCGCCAGGGCCTCGACAAGAGCTTTGCCGATCTCTACCACGATCTCGACGCTGGCTTTACGCCCATCAATTTTGTCTTTCCTTACCTGCCCCTCCCGGCCAACCTCCGCCGTGATCGGGCGCAGAAGCAGATGAGCGACTTTTACCGATCTATCGTTGAAAAGAGGAGGACGCATCCGCGGGACGACATGGATCCGGACATGATCTCTGCTTTGATGGGACAGAAGTACAAGAACGGAAGGAGCTTGTCAGACCTCGAGATTGCCCACATCATGATCGCCATTCTCATGGCTGGCCAGCACACCAGCAGCGCTACGTCTTCCTGGGCTCTTCTCCGCCTTGGCAGCAAGCCTGAATTGATGTGAGTGATGTCTGATTATGCTTGGATGACATGCAGCTGAAATCATCGTGTCACAGTGAGGAGCTGTACCAGGAGCAAGTCAAGGCATACGGAGATGGCCAAGGCGGTTTCATGCCCCAAGATTTCGACACACAGAGGTCGTCTGTGCCTCTACTCGACGCCGTCGTTCGCGAGACGCTTAGGCTGCACCCCCCCATCCACAGCATCATGCGCAAAGTCATGTCGCCCATCACCGTGCCTGCAACAATGTCTTCATCTGCTTCTTCAAGTCGAAAGGGAGACCGAGAGACGCTTGTGATACCTGAGGGTCATTACGTCATGGCCGCGCCGGGAGTCAGCCAACGCGATCCCAAAATTTGGGCCCAACACGATGACTTTGATCCGCATCGCTGGCTCAGCGAAAAGGGTCCCACACTTCAAGCTGAAGCGGGTGATGGAGACGACACCGTCGACTACGGGTGGGGTGCCGTCAGCTCTGGATCTAATTCGGCCTACCTGCCGTTTGGTGCCGGAAGGCACCGCTGCATCGGAGAAAGCTTCGCCTACATCCAGCTGGGCGCTATTATCGCTGAATTTGTCAGGCGATTCGACTGGAGACTTCCAGGCGGCAAGGTACCAGAGCCCGACTACAACGTGAGTCTTTGCTACATGGGAAATTACAACAAGATCGTGGTGTTGCTGACGTTGTGACGTCGCAGTCGATGATTGTTCTGCCGGCCCCCCCAGCTCACGTCATCTTCACTGAGAGGGCGGAAAGGATCCCTTGATGGAAAGTTGCAGACACCACGCATAGTTGGACTCTCACATTGTGAAGAAATCGCAAGCGAAGGACACTTACCGGTAACTCACTTCTACAATGATAGACTTCAAGCGAGAGATAAAGTATGATGCTTGTCATGTGTGTCTGTACAGCGTGCTCAGTTAATGAACAGTCACACGTCATCGTCATCGTCCTGGAGGGAGGAAGGACCGCCTGGAAAGGAGCCCGGAAAATGACCCCGAGCTGCGCGATGCATGTAAACTCCCTCTTCTCCTTCGTCCTCTTCTTCCTCTTCTTCGTCATCAAGCTCGAGACTCCCTGCTTCCGCTCCCTGCAATGCGTCGGGCTGATCTACTTCCTTCGGAGCTGAGACGGCAAACGATGTAGACGTCGACGCTCGAATTGGATCACTTGCCTCGCTCCCAGCAAGCGCCTCTCCAAGAGAGGTCGTGTGCGGGGTTCCTCGGGGCCCTTCGTCCCAGGCACCTGCTCCTCCTTTCGGCAGAGTCTTTCCCCGGAGCGCCAACGAGGATGACGACGGCACAGCGCCGTCACCAATTGAGGAAGAGGCTGTGGATCGCTTAAGAATCGAAGACTTGCGCCTTCTCAACGAGATAACGAGTGCCTCGTTAGGCCTCGACGTCTTGCGAAGACGAGATCCGTTGAGTACTAGACTTGATGGAGAAGGTGCAAGGCTTGATGGTGAGTTTGCGTGAGGCTGTTCATGATGTTGAGCCTCGTCGCCAAACAAGTGAGCTGTTGCCGTTGCTGTTGTCGTCGTCGACGTCATCGGCGCAGAGGACGTCGTCGCGACACGTCGCTGCTGCTGCTGCTGCTGCTGCTGCTGCGGCTGCGATTCTGTATCCTTCTCCTCATCTTCGTCAACTGGAATGGGTAGCCAAAGCTCGGGCAACATGCCCGTGATAGCTGGATGGCCATATCTTCGCCTGCCAGTGTTGAGAGTGCCGAAAAAGTAGCCGCCCATGGGGGGTTCCCTGTAATTGGTGTGACGATCCCTCTGTGCCACAAAGAGTGTCTCATCTTGGGCTGCATACCTCTTGCGAGAAAGAATTGTTTGTGAAGGGTCAAGAGATCGTGTACTATCGTCCCGCAAGACCAGCAGGGGGTTATCTTTCCTTGCTGCTCTTCCGCTTTTGTCTTTGGCGGTGCTGCTGTCGGCGTCCAGCGAAGCGCCCCGATCCACCTCGGCAATGCTCGAGACGTTGACGTATTCGGATAGAGGTCTGAAGGTACTGTCCAGGAAGCTGCCGAACCATGCAGTAAAGGCGAGAAGCGGCAGAGTTAGAGCCGACAGAAGAAGCTGCTTGCGGACAGAGAAGAGAGACAGCTGAAAAAGCTGGAAGAGAAGGAGAGCCCAAATGCATCGGCTTGTCGACAGAGGCCAGGCCTGACCCCTTGATTCGTAGGCCTTGTAAAAGACAAAGAGAAGCTTGTGCTTGTAGACTACGTAGGCGAGACCAAAGTAGATGGCGCCGAAGACGGTGATGAGCGGCGACACGATGCTGTAGACGATGCACAGGGTGAAGACAATGAGGGCCGCGGGGTAGACGCTCCCAGCATAAAGCTGTGGCGGGGCATTGAGCTCGGCATGCTCTCGCGGAGTGCGAGCCCAGACAAGCCTTCCAAAAGCCCGGCCGATGACGACTGGAAGCTGCAGCAGCTGAAGGGGCAAGATGGCCAGCGCCTGAAAGACAACATATGACAGGCTGAAGTGGCGAGCGCCAGGCAAAGACTCTGCGAGCTTGTCGATGATCTTCATGGGGTTGTTGGCAAGGTCGGCTAAGACGGTCAGGGCAGTCTGCGTGACAAGAAAGACGAAGATGACCGATGTGACGAGAAAGATGTGGTATCGTTTAAGGACGCTGAATTCGACGAGGCTGCGAGCCTTCAACCCTTGTAGGTGGGCAGTCCACTCCAGAATGAGCGGCAGGACGGCATTGAAGCTGATGACAACAATGGATGGAAGCGAGGTGCTTGCGATGGCCATCAACCTGTCATCTCTCTTCAGCAGGTCGTACAGCGCCGGCAGATACTTCTTTATCGTCCTTGGGCTGAGGAAAGACGCAATGAAAGCGAGCGGCGGGATGTAGAAAACGAAGAGTGCGAAGGTGAAAGACGAGACCAGGACTTGACGTACCCGCCTCTCGTTGGGTGTCAGCGAGACGTTGCTCCAGATGATGTCGCGTGGCTCCGGGGCCAGATTGGTTTCGCAGTAAAGGGGTAGAGGGTAGTGGACAGTCTGAGCAGCGACTTGCTGAAAGCATAGAAGGCCGTCAGCGCGGTCCTATTTGGGCAAGCAATCTGGTGTGTCACTCACCGCGCTCATGGCATCGACAAAAGTAACAAAACCAACGGATGAGGGCACAGCGCCCTTGGAACGGAGCCTCTTCACATCGCGATCCAAGAGCTTGAAGCGGGTTTCGAGGAGGTGGATAGCATCAACTTTTGTCGAAAATGGGTTCCAAGGCTGTAGGCGTACGGTGGGCCGCTGTCGGCCTTGAGGCGCGCGGATCGACTTCGTTCCATCGTCGTCTTCGTCGTCGTTGTCTTCCTGATCGCGCCCCGTGCCACTCAGCAGCGGCTCAGCCTCAACATCTGACGAGGGAGCAGCGGCAGCGGCTCGGTGAAGAGCGACCAGACTGTAGTCTTGCTTCTGCTCCACTGCTCGCATTATCCTCTCAGGATCGTAGTTGGTCGCATTGGTGGGGTTGCCAAGCCAGCGACACCAAGTGCGTTCGAGCTGGTAGAGGGTATTGGTACGTTTGGCAAGGAGCTCCTTGAGGCCTGCGGTTTCGCGAACGACGGCGGTGCTCTCGACTTTTAGCCCAAATCCCTCGAAATACTCGGCCAAGTCACGCTCCCGCTGCAAATGAGGAGGCAGATTGCGCACCTCGACGGTCCTTGCCGGAATGCTCTGAAGAAGCTCGAGAGCGTAGAGCTGGCGGGATCGAATGAATTTGTGGGATCCCTTCCAGAGAGCCCTCAAGATGATCGCCGTGAAGAGATAGACTGTAGCAAGATGGGTGATGTGGTAGGGGGACGAAGTAGGAAAGGACCAGGACCAAGGGACGTCGGGATTCGTTGGAAGGCCAAAGCTCATGAATCCCTTTCCGTGCCCGTCGTGGCCGTCTTTGTCGCCACCACCATCGTCGGGCAGTCGTCGGGGTTCTTCCGAGGGTGCGACGCCGTCTATGGAGCCGTGGTTGCTGTAGTTGACGGGCATAACGACGGCACACGACCACACAGTGAGAAAGAAGAAGATCCAAAAGGCCATCTTGAAGAAGCTCAAGATGATGGCGGCGTCAAGGCCGACAATATGCAAGATCTTGACATCTTCTGTGCGCAGCGTAGGGCCTATCCAGCTGAATATGCCATCATCGACGCCCTTTGTATGTGGTGTGAAGCCCTTGAGCTTGGTGCGAGGGGCAAAGAGGGCGGGCGACCGTCGGCGGACGAGAGAGAAGACGAGGAATGAGATGAGTCCGATGCTGGCGGAGAGAACCAGCTGCTGTTGCAGCCAGGGTCCTTCGAACCTACGGCCCTGAGGCTGCCATGGAGGCACCTCTCCTCCGCCTTCGCCATCGCCCAAGCTCGTGAAGGGCGTCTGCATGGCTTGCGGGCAGCGGCTCGTTTATCTGTCTGATCTCTGTCAAAGGCGATGGCACAGGGGCAGAACGCGGATGGGCCCTTCTGGTGGAGGGTTGGTTCGCGCGCCTCGTGACTCCAAATCTGAATTCTCTCATCAACCAACACCATAGATCCAGCACGACAATGGCTGGAGGCGGCTGGGACGGTGCTGAGGCAGGGCCTTCGACGGCCGCCAAGTCCGGACAGTCGTCCGTGCCCGATGTACCAGGCGTGCTTGTTGAAGAGAGAAGGGCCGAGTCGCTGAGAAATCTCGTCGCCCGAATATGTGATCTCCAACATCGTCGCTTTCCTGGCGCACAGCCAGTCAGCTTTACTAAAGCCAGCCTTGACCTTCTGAAGACCGAGGAGTGAGTTCGCTGGCAGACCAAAAAGATCGCTAGAATCAGACGTCTGACGTTTCCCGTGAATCTACACCGCAGCTTCTGGGTCTGCGAGAAGTCGGACGGCCAGAGGGTGTTGATGCTCATTGCTTTCAACAAGGTGCAGTCGCAGCAGGAGGTCTACCTCATCGATCGAAAGAACAACTATCGGCAGCAGCACCAGTCCCTTTTCTTCCCCTACCACGAGATACCGCCCTCGACTCAGGCTCTTCGAACGTTCGAGATGGCCATCGTTGGGGACAACCCTACTTTTGGTGTTCGCAAGGATACACTCCTTGATGGCGAGCTCGTTTGGGACGAGGGCAGGGACGGAAGGGTGAGCCATCATTACAGTCTACTGCGGAGGCAAAGCTGAGACTCACACGGAGTTGTCACATGCTAATGATGTCTTCGTCCATTGTGGCAGCGTCGATTGCGCCTTTTACTCTTCGACTGCATCGTTCTCGATGGCGAAAAGATGGCAAGTCGATCATTGAGCAAGCGTTATGGCGTGAGTCTGCATACAGGCGATCCCAATTTGCTTCTTGCCCCATTTCTTGCAACTATCTCACACCAACGGCTTCTGCACGACAGCGCCTTCGTGATCGGCTCTTCCCTCCCTACGCCAGGTTCATGCGTAGCAACCCCATGGCGGCACGGGATGCGCCCTTTGAGTGAGTGCCAATAACTTCGTCCTGAAGTCCATTTGCCAGAGCCTCACAAGGCTCACGCTTGCTACGACAGAATCAAGATTAAGAATATGGATCTTGCGTACGGCATCGGCTCCGTTCTGACAACGAGGATTCCCAATCTTGAACACGGCAATGACGGTCTCATATTCACCTGCATCAATTCCGGCTACGTCTCTGGCACTGACCCAAAAATGTAAGTGCTCCGATTTGAAATCTCAGACAGCCGAAATGCTCACTCGCAACCGAGCGGCAGCATCAAGTGGAAGCCACCGTCAGAGAACACTATCGACTTCAAGCTACGGCTTCGCTTCCCACCTGACCTGTCTACGGATCCGCGCGGTAACTTGTGCAACTACCGTGCGAAACCTTTTTTCCAGCTCGACGAGTTCATGGGTGGGGGCCAGTACCGCTACTTTGATTGGCTGTACGTCGAGGACGAGGAGTGGGAGCGCATGAAGGCGAGCGATATCCAATTCGACGACCGCGTTGTCGAGTGCTTTTGGGATCCTCTGAACGGTCCGCTTCTGCAAGGAGAGCAAGATGGCGGTAAAAGGGGCCCAGCGTGGAGGCTGCACCGAATAAGAGACGACAAGGAGGACGGCAACCATTACAGCATCGTACGCAAGATTCTGCAGAGCATCGAAGAGGGTGTTGAGGAGGACGAGCTACTGGCAGAAGAAGGCGCCATCAGGGCTTCATGGAAGTCGCAGGAAAGAGAGGCGCTACGAGCCAACAATGACGGAGGCGGCCACGCACAGGCCTCACACGCTGTGTCAGCCAAGAGAATGGGGCCTAATCCACCCATGAGAGGAACCCCACCTGAGTGGATCTTGCGACGATAAACACCTTACCTGTCAACTAATATGAAAGCCAGGCATGATCACGAATGCTGCGAGGGCCAAATGAATTTGTATATATCAAAGGTTGTTGTCACGATTGATCAAGTTGTCAATGAGGAAGCTATCTACAGGATCCTTCCGACCTTTCCGCCATTCTTCTGCGCGACAGAGTTCGCCTTGAGCTCGCCCCGCTTCAGGATGGTGTAGACTTGGCCCGGGGGAACGTAGGAGCGGGCTTTCACGTCAATGTTGCGCTCTTCAACCTTGGGAATCGGTGTCGAATACTCTGGGATGGGCGTGCCATCTGCCTGCTCTGTCGCCGTGGAAGCTGCCGAAGAAGCGCCCCCGGCGGCGCCCGGTCCCGTGGCGCCAGCTGCCACCGATGCCGAAGCAGCAGCAGCTGCTGCCCGAGCACGTTCGGTACGCTTGATGTCATCGATGGCAAGCTGGTAACCACCATCGAGAACACCGACTCGCATCATGGAGAGCAGATTGTGTGCTGCATTCGAATGTGCGTACAAGCCACCATTGAAGGCCACCGTGGCGTCCTTTCCGATACGGCCTGCGAGGAGGTGACGACCGCCCGGGTGTTCGTCCATGAATGAGCTGACGTCGTGGATGAAGCCGTGAATGACGATCAACGGCCTTGTCTTGGATTCTTCCTGGAAGTCGTCCCACGAGATGACAGGGAGGTCATTGTAGTTCTTGGGCCAACTGAGCTTGCTCTGCTGGTCGTTGATCTTCTGAAGGGACATGGCAACACGTCCCTTTTGCACCTCGTTGTCGGGGAACTTCTTGAGGTGCGTGGCCAATCCAACCATCTTCATCGTGGCAATGAACCATTTGGTAGGATCGTACTGGTGCCAATAGACAGCATTTCGGTAGTCCATGGGGAATTGGTGGTGGAAGTTGTGGTAGCCCTCGCCGACGGTCACGAGAGCGGTAATGAAGTGGTCGCGAGGCGTCATCTTGTTGTCGAACGATGCCTCACCGAGCCAATGGGCGAGCGAGTTGACACAGAAGGTAGAGTGGTGCACGAAGACGAGACGGGCGACGGCGGCATAGTAGAATCCACCGCGCCAATCGTTCCAGCCGAAGCCAGCGACAATGGTGGGAAGGATGAAACCCATGAAAAGAATCAGAGGCAGATAGAGCTTGTGCTGGAACTTGATGACGGGGTTCTTGCGGAGATCCGAGATGTCGGCCACACCGGGCTTGCGCCGAGGCTTGACGATCATCCACCCAAGATGCGACCAGAGCAGACCGTGGTGTGCTCCATAGGGGTCCAGGTCCGTGTCGGTGTAACGGTGGTGAGCGCGATGACCCCGAGCCCACCAGTGGATCGAGCCTTGGACCGCCGAGGTGCCCATGAGGGCGAGCAGGTATTCGAGAGGGCGGGTGGCCACATAGGAACGGTGAGCCCACAGGCGGTGGTAGCCAGCAGTAATACCAAGACCAGAGAAGAAGTAGTAGAAGACGGACCAGGCGAACGTCTTCATCGAAAGATGTGTGGTAAAGATGCCGTAGAGAGCGAGCAAGGGTGTGACGGTGAGAATGGTGAAGCTGACCCACTGAATCTCGCCAAGGATGTTCTTCATCTGCACCGGGGGCAGCGCAGGTTCTCGCTCCAGAGTGCGTGTGACGTAGTCGTCTGGAATGTCGCCATCGGAGAAGCCAGACTTCTTCTTGGGAGCTGTATCGGTGGCGAGACCTTTGACAGACGAAGACTCATCCTCTGATTGGGGAGGTGAGATTGTATCGGTAGGAGGCGTGCGCAGGCCAGGCTCAAGAACCTGCTGCTTGCGATGGGTGAGCACCTGCTCGGCGGCCTCCGTCATGATGTGTGTTAATGAGTGAGGGGCGAGAAGGGGCGGGGAGGGATAGTTGAGGGTGATGGAGGTGAGGGCAAGACAATGTGGCAATCTTCAACACAGCCCATTCTTATAGAAACAACTCATTCATCAGCCCAGCAGCGCAGTTTCGTGACACCTCGAGCAAAATCTTGTGAGTCGACCGCTATTCCCCCCTATCAGCAAGGCCTGCTTGCTCAGGCCAACCGGACAGACGGTTAAGACTTACTTGAAAACGCCGCCCGCCGTTCGAAAATCCCCAACATTTTTTGGGCTTCGTCGCGTGCAAATGGAAATTAATTGGCTCAAAATTTGCCACCAGAAGCAGACAGGCCGAGCCTTGTGCCACCGCCAGCATCTTAGCGCAGAGCAAGATGCCACTTCTGTCGTCATTTGTTTCTCGACAGCCGCTGAAAACTCCAGTCCAGTCCTCTACCTGCGGGTAATTGTGGGCAAGGACAAGAACCCCGCACCACAGTTTCAATATCCACATAAAGTTCTTCTGGGCTGGGACGGAGGAGTCAAGCGACAGCCGTTAAGTGAGACAGGCCAATGTTTGTAACGCTCTGTCATGACAGACCTGGACCCGTTTCACAGAGCTCGTCTCCAAAGTCAAGAGCTGAAGAAGACGCAAATACACCACGTGGTCTTTTCACGATGAGAGCTTGGCTGCGTTTGTCTCCGCGCGCAGTGTTGTTTTGAGCGCCTGTGTTCTCCGTGCTGATCCCCTAGTCCTGGCTCTCTCGACGGGAAAGACAGTCTAGCAGGTTGCCATTTGTCCAGCTCCTTCTCTCTGTCCACCAGGACCTAGGTATCGTCATCTAGAGGCGATATCCGTTTCCCCATCCGTCCTGCAACGCGGGCAATAGCGTGCACGTCACGTGAAATCTCCGGGGTAGCTCCGGTATTGAATAAGCGGAGGCACTTTTACGGTCACGGATTTAAACTCTCGGAAAATCGTCGAGGGAAAAGATCAGTCCAAAGACGAATCTTCCTCGATGCCAGCCTTCGCTTCTACCGCAATCAGACGACTTGCACAGACTGCCTCCCTGATGGTAAGTTTTATCCCATGGCACCGGCTGGGATGCAGGTTAGTGTGCGATAGTGGCTGAGGCAATCACATATTGCAGTCCTCTTCGACGACGAGCGACGTCTTTATCCTCTCGGCGGCCCGCACCCCGATTGGCTCCTTCAACGGCAGCCTCAAGAAGCTGACGGCACCCGAATTGGGCACCTTTGCCGCCAAGGCCGCGATCGAGCGTGCGAAGCTCCAACCCAGTCAGATTGAGGAAGTCTACTTTGGCAATGTTCTTCAGGGCAACATTGGTCAGGCGCCCGCTCGCCAAGTCGCCCTCTCGTCGGGTTGCCCGGATACAACCGAAGCGACGACGATCAACAAAGTCTGCGCCTCGGGCATGAAATCGATCAGTCTCGCCGCTCAAAACATCCTCCTCGGCCAGAGGGGCATCATGCTGGCTGGTGGTATGGAGAGCATGAGCAACGCTCCGTGAGTCTTCCTTAGTCGAATTGAGACCGATGCTGGCGCGCTTTTCTTGCTCCCGTACACCGAGAAGCGCGACTGCAAGCTGACCTTGGATCTATTCTATTAAGATACTACATGACTCGAGGCGCCGCCTTTGGGCACCAGCAGCTCCTCGACGCCATCGTCAAGGATGGTCTCCACGATGTGACCAACCAGGTCCATATGGGCAACTGTGCCGAGAACACGGCAAAGAAAATGACTATCTCGCGTGAGGAGCAGGATGAGTATGCCATCGAGTCGTACCGCCGTGCCGCCGAAGCCTGGAAGGCGGGTGCGTTCAAAGACGAGATAGTCGCCGTGACCATCAAGGACAAGAAGGGCGATATTGTTGTGGCGGAAGACGAAGAATACAAGAACATCAAGCTCGACAAGGTTTCCACCCTTCGCCCCGTATTCGACAAGAACGGCACCGTCACGGCCGCCAATGCCTCGACGCTCAACGACGGTGCCAGTGCAGTCGTCCTTGCTAGCAAGGAAGAGGCTGACAAGGCTGGCGCTAAGCCCTTGGCAAAGATCATTGGTGCGCTTTCTCCTCTTTCACTGCAGCGAGAAGCTGCATGGTCACAAAAATCGACTAACTTTCCCCTTTCTTGACTCGCATGCAATGTAGCCTTTGCCGACGCTGCCTGCGCCCCCATCGACTTCCCCATCGCCCCCGCTCACGCCATCCCTAAAGCCCTCGATCGAGCCGGGCTCAAGACGTCAGACATCGCCCTCTGGGAGATCAACGAGGCCTTTGCGGCCGTTGCAATCGCCAACAACAAGCTCCTGGATCTTGACCCGAAGAAGGTCAACACTCTCGGCGGTGGCGTCAGCCTCGGCCATCCCATTGGCTCGTCGGGTGCGAGAATCATTGTCACGCTCGCTCACGCCCTCCAGCCTGGCCAGTACGGCTGTGCTGGCGTCTGCAACGTGAGTCCCTTGCGCTTGCCCTTCTTTCGTGCCCCCTGTCGCTGACACCTACTGCCTCATGGCGTTGACACCGACAACAGGGTGGTGGTGGTGCTTCCGCAATGATTATCCAGCGCCTGTAGAGAGCTGTTACTCCTCGTCCGCTTCTCTCAAAGAGAGTAGCTACTGATCCTTGATGGATGATGAGTCCCTTCTTCAAATATGCCGCCCTTTGCCATTCTCGACGTCAACCCTGAGAAGACGGTTTAGTCTAACCCTGGGAACCCTCTGTTATTATTGTTGTGTGGAAAATGAACGCTAAGGTGCTCCGAGAAAAGAGAGGGATGATTTAGATTCTAGTGCCTGCCATTTCTTTATCTGCCCTGATAAGTTTTGATCGACCCACCACACCTGGTCATTTGCATCGTCAACATCCACGATTCCCAACGACCACCTCTTCAATGGTGAGCTCGGAAGCATACAGGATTCTCCTCCTGCATTGAGACTGATCAGCCTTTCTCGTCCTCTTCCTTTTTCCATTCTTCCTTGTAATATAGTCAAGTCTCGAAGGACGAGGAGGCACCGGTGCGCCCCCCATGTCGATTCCTCCTTCGTCAACCACCAACGAGTCTCCCGGACCCCATGTCGGCCTCTCTCCCGAGTCGATCCACAACAAGCCTCACACACGCTCTCCTCCATTTCAAGCGCCCAAGAGCCCGATGCCACCCACGGCAAACCTTGGAGCATGGTCTGCCGACGCGCAGGGAGGACGGGAGGGCGACGAAGACGGGGACAAGGGGTTAGATGAGCAAGCGGACGGTGTAAAGAGGCCATCGCCCTTGAGTTCAGGTGGACAAGCCGGGGCCGTAGACAGCGCCGGGTCGAATCCCTCGCCGCCTCCAGAAGTTGAAGCAACAATCTCAAAGCTCACCTCGCACGCCAATGTCCTGGGCGTCCTCGTCCTCTCGCGGCCAGAGGCCCTAGTGATCCGCTCCGGGGGCGCCTACTTTGAGCCCATTGGTCCCGGCGCTAGGGAGAGAGCCATGCGGCTCAAGAATGTTGTCGAGATGGTCCGGAACAGTGTCGGCGGGCTCGAGAGGGATGTGCCGAAGACAGAAGCCGGGGTGAGTTGAGGGTGCCCAGAGATGCGACACCGATCAGCGCGCGAACCGGTAGCTCACACGCGCGGGCGGACCTCGACAGGACGAGGTGGCATTCTTGAGAATACGGACGAAGAAGTACGAAATGATGATCACGCCAAGTGAGTCCCAACGCGCGTCCTACAGCAAACCTACTCTCTCTTCTTTACCAAATGCTGAGACGAGCTCGCTGCTCGCTGCTCGCTGCGATCCAAGGCGAGAAATACCTCTTTGTTGTCTTACAGGTGAGGCCCAAAGGCGACAATGACATGACTCGGGGATTTGCATCAACGTCAACAGCTGATGCAAGCTTGGATGTGCCGCAACAGGATCCTACGGCGAGCGCCCCTTCCTAATTTAACTTGTGCCTTTGCGGATACCCCCCCGGTCAGTCCCATCGCCAAACTTGACCGGAGCTCTTTTCCCATTTCTCGTTTCCCACTGTCCCTATCTCGATTCACTCTCGCCTCCCTTGTCTGTACTCTATCCAGATCTCAAATAACAGATTCTCATACAAAGGAGTGTGAAGAGAAAAGCGGAGCAGATTTCAGACCTGTCTCGCCAGCGGGCTCGTTGGGGGATCACTGTCCCGGTGGACCGGCGGTGCTTTTGGCGTCGAGTCTGGTGCCGAGGGCAGGCGACCGCTTCCCATGTCTGGAGTCCGCACGGAGTTGCTTGCCTGCTGCTGTCCCTGTGCGGCCGCAGGAGCAGCGGCAGCGGTCGCGGCAGCCGCAGCCGCACTATTCTCGTCTGCAAAGAAGTTGGCCGGCATCGGAGGGTCAGGAGCATTGTATGACGAGGGCAAAAAGGCATGTGTCCGAAGCACTGGGCTTGCAGGCACCGACCGGCCAGGCGTGTCGAGACCGTGACGATAGGGTTGAGTGGTATCGTAGGGGATCTGATTGAAGAGAACAGAAACGCTTTCGCCGTAGTGCGACCTCCTAATCGTCTCGGCCAGGACGTGGCTGATGTCGATCTGGGTCGAAGCGGTTGTTCATCAGGTTCAGCGCCACTACCCAGCCAGCGAAGAGCGTAGGCAAGGACGAATTCTCACCTCCTCAATCTTCGGGCACTTTGCCTTGTTCTTGGCTTGAGGAATCGTGTTGGTGACAATGAGTTTCTCAAGCTTGCTTTTTGCGATCCTCTCCAGCGCTGGAGGGCTGAGGATACCGTGCGTGACAATGGCCAGCACCCTCTCTGCACCGCTTTCGGCCAGTCGTTGGGCCGCAAGCTCAAGCGTTCCGCATGTGTCGGCCATGTCGTCGACAAGAATAGCCGTCTTGCCCTCGACGCTGCCTACCAGCACCATTCTCGAGACCTCATTTGCCTTTTTTCGTTCCTTGTGAAAGAGGGCAAAGTCCACCTCGAGCCTGTCGGCCAGCGACGTGGCCCTCTTTGCACCTCCAGCGTCGGGCGAAACAATGACCGCCTTGCTGCAATCGACCATTTCTCGAATATACTGTAGTGCAGCCGGCTCGGCATATAGCTGTTGAGGATGAAAGGATTGAGACGCCAGACTACCACAATATCACTTTTGCAGAGGGCTGAACCCACATTGTCAACGGGCACATCGAAGAAGCCTTGGATCTGAGAGGCATGAAGATCCATCGTCTGCAACATTGGGGCTTAGCTGCAATGCTCTTGGTCGTGGCATGATGAAAGCAGGTTAAAACTCACAATGACGTGATCGCAGCCAGCCTTTTCAATCATGTTGGCAATAAGCTTTGCGCTGATGGGCGCCCTGCTTTTGTCCTTTTTGTCCTGTCTGGCGTAGAAGAAATGAGGTATAACAGCGGTGATGCGCTTGGCACTGGCAGTCTTGCACGCGTGGATCATGATGAGAAGCTCCATCAGTGATGTGTTGGGCGACGCTGGGTTGCCCGACGGTGTCGGCGAGACACATGACGTATTGATGATGTAGACGTCGTGCTCGCGGACCGATTCAGCGATTCGAACGATAGACTCTCCAGCATCGTTACGCGTTACCGTGGCCCGACCCAGCGGCTGACCAAGTCTAGGGAGGGCAAACGTGAGCCTGATCAGCATGTACGCACCGCATCGCTTCTCTCGTGTCGCACTTACCGTTTGGCGACCAGCTGCGCCAGCTCTGGATGGCTCGTCCCTAAAAGTCATATCAGCTTCTTTTTTCCTTCCTTTCTCTACTCATTCACATTACTCTGCCCTCATCTCAAGCCGCAGATACACACCCGAAAAGACTTTGATGCCTCCCGCGACCGTCGTCATGTCGATGTGCCGCTTGCCTGTCGCAATCTTCTTCGTCGAATGAGGGGAGCCGTTTTGGAATTTGTACAAAAAAGAGAGATTCGGCCGAGACGAAAGCACGTTCACTTGTGTCTTGGGACAATGTGGAGGGCGCGCGAGCTTGACGCACTACCGTCCCCATCATTGAACCTTGCGCACCTTCATCACCCCAGCAAAGACCGAAGAGCGCTCCAACATGCAAGACCCCGTTCGCGAGATTTCTTCCGTCGTCAAGGGGCTCGTTCAGGCCCGCAACGCGACGGAGCAGCGCGACACACTCGAACGTCATTTCGCGCCCGACGCCAGCTTTGACCATCCTCTCTGCACCGTTGTCAGCGGTCCCAACGTCAGTTCAGCCACAAAAGGCTTTCCTTTTGCTGCTGAGAAACTCACGTAGCCTTTACAGTCTCGCGACGCGGGTCTGCTGCCCATCTACCAGTGGTTGAGATGCATGTTCACGCCTCAGATCGAGGTTCACAACGTTGGTGCGTGTATTCTCTGCGGATTTCTAGGTCGTGTCTTCTTTAAGGCTCACTCTGGGCCATCTCTGCAGGCTTCGACAAAGAAGCCAATAAACTGTGAGTGTTGCACGGCCTGGGTCTTCCTGGAGTGTGCTCATCAATTCAAGTATTGACATTCCGGTTCCCTCCACAGCTTCCTTGACGCCTCGCAAAAGCTCACGCCAAACATCTTTCCCCTATCCCGAGTGTATGCGCCCGTGGTACGGCTCATCGTCGTCCTCTTCCTTCAGCGTGGCGCCGATGGCAAGTTCTACATCAAGCGTCAGGAAGACTACTATGAACCCCAAACGTGAGTGACGGCTTCCTTTCTTCGTCCATCCGACTGAGCATAGAGTCTCTTCGTCATAGCCTCCCCGGCAAGCTTGTTCCGGGCGGCGAGCTTATCGTGACGAGCATCAAACGAATTGCAGCGTTCAACTGCATGCTTCTCACCATCTTCTTTGGTCTTATTCTGGGCTTCTGGCGCCCTGTGGGCAGGGGAGTCGCCCCAATCAAGAACTAGAAGATCGACCGCCCTCGCAGGAGCCTGTCCTTCTTTATCTCTCGGATGGAGTCATGGAGAAAAATGTCATTATAACTCTACAAGTGAGGATGTGGTGGCTGAGGAAAAACTGGTCATACCGAAACAAAGATGACGATGGAGGTGGCCAAGATGAAGAGGGCAATCTTGATTCTGCTCGACGAAGGCTCGGCCACGGCCAGAGAGGTGGTAGACGAGCTCTTGAGGCTTCCTTTGGACGTTGTCCCGCCCCTCCTTCCCCGCCCACCGTTGCTTCCCAGCACGATCTGTGCATTTTGGGTGCCCACGGGTTGGAAAGCCGTCGAACTCGCCGTTGCCTCGGCTGCCACCTGCTCGCCGCCGGGATTGAGGTAGACGATGGCGACTGCCGGGGCAGGAATCGCAACAGTGCAGTTGCCGTTGTCGCAATTGGCGTGTAGTGTCACTTCGTCTCCCTTTAGGGACCCGTCTGAGTGGTACCCGCAAGTCTGACCTGCCCACGTCTTTGCCATGCATGGAAGGAGTTAGCTTGGCTTCTTTTTTTCTCTCCTTCTTCTCCTTCTTCTTCTTCTTCTTCTTCTTTTTCCCTCCTCTTTCTCTTCTCCTCCCTTTGCCCGCCTGGCACAAACACACTCACAATGTTTGCCTTTTCCGCCAAGCTCGGCGCAGCAAGGAGCTTGTAGGGCAGCGTGTCGCCCGTGCCCTGTGGCTGCTCAAAGTGAACGTTGAGGCTGTTTGCGCCGGATGCATCGCTGACCATGTTGATCAGCACCATCCTGGCCACCTGTCCGTTTTCATATATGTTGTAGGCGGCTGCGTTGGCGTGGGGCAGCCACTGGTCCGTCACTGTCACGACGGCACCTTGCGTAGACGGTCGGAGCGCCTCGGCGACGACGAGGAGCGAATAGTAGATGGGCCCCGTCTTCCACGACCGCAGCGTGGCATTGTAGGCCGGTGGAGTCATGAGATTGTAGAGGATGGATTGGCCGCCGTTGTGGAGCAACATGCCGGTGACGTTGCGGTAGGCAAACTGCAGCGCCTGGTTCACTGCCCAGATGGCGGCGGTAAAGGTGTCGGACACGTCTGCCAGGCCGACGCACGAGGCTGTGTTGGTCTCAACGAGGTAGTACGGCTGGTTGTTGGCCACCGAAGCACCGATGGCGTCAGCCTGAGCGGTGGCAAAGTTGACAATCTGCGACTGGTTGGTGTAAAAGGGGTGACCGAGGACGACATTGGGGGAGCAGAGCGTCTGGGGGTATGAGATGGCGCTCACGGCCTTGAGTCGGTCTGAGAAGCGACTCCGCATGCCACCGTCCATGACCTGCTGCGTGGTCCAGTAGCAGCAAATGCTTGGGCCGACAAACTGCTTGGGAGCGTCCCTGTAGTCTGCCGCGATGATGCGGTCCGTAAGGTCGCGCCATTCGTCGAGATAGTTTTCGATTGAGTAGCTCTGCGGTCGTGCGCCGGTGATGGTGTATCGATCCGGCTCGTTTCCCACCTGTTCGATGCATCATCACTCAGCTCTGATATACTTTCATGAAAAGGGCCAAAATAATGGGCACAGGGCACAGGGCACAGGGCGACTCTCACCAGGAGTAACAGGAGCTGGTCGCCTAGCGCCTTCCGGATCGAGCTGACCATGGGGACGGTAAACGATGCGGTGTTGTTGACCATGTTGACACCCCAGACTACATGCGCATCGACGCTGTGAACGACTTGGGCCGTGAGGGCGAATATTGAGGCGCCGTACTCGATAGATGGTGTGATGGGAACACCGGTTTCAGAATACCCGCCATGAAGTTTGGTGATGATGCCGGCGAAGCTCTCATTGTAGATGGCCGTGTCCTGCGTGTTACCTGGGCGGCAGCGAGGGAGGAGAATTGAGATGAGCAGAGTGCAGAGACACAGAGAGCACGTATGTCGTGTGCGTCATGGACAAGGAACGAGCAGAAGCAGAAGCAGAAGCAGAAGCAGAAGCAGGAGCAGGAGCAGGAGCAGGAGCAAAATGGAGGGGTGTGCAGACAAGCAAGCAGAATTGAGCCGAGGATGAACATGACTTGCGATCTTCGCAGGCGAGAGACGCACCTCCAATGCGCAGGACAGGACCCACTCCAGCTCTAATTCGGATGTTGTTGAGGTAGTTGAGGAACTGATAGTTTGGTTCGCCAATCTCCTGACCGAGATAGTCGTCGGCCACACTCAGCTCGAGAGAGATGCCGAGGAAGTTGGCGGGCACGGGGATGCTCTGGTACACGCTCGGGTCCGGTGGGACAAGCTGGATGGTGAATTGCTGGGTGCCCAGCGCTGGCTGCGGTGGTGCTGGCAGAGGCTGCGCGGTGAGGTTCGACGCGGGCGGCGGCGGCCCAACGGCCATGTCCGTCGACGTGGGCGTGGCAGGAGGGAGGAGAATGGGAAAGGACTGGCAAGCCGCCGTGCAGGCGAGAATGACGACACCGATGGCCGATGCGCCCGCGAGCCGTCGCACAATGCCAACGACGACCATGCTGCAAGCGAGTGATCTCGAAAAGCCCAACTTCCTTTTCGAGCGACTGGCAGATGGAGACCGGAGCAAGAAGGAGAGCGGAGCAGGGCAAGCAACATAGTCTAAAATAAGTTAAGGGTGCGTGTCTACTGCTACACTACGTACTACACTAGCGCAGCGGCAAGGCTGCTGCAGCGCCTGTACCGCGTCTGTGGCTTCGAATTTCTGTCGAGCATCCTTCTCTTTCTGCAGAACCCGACTAGTAGTACTCCTGCTAGTAGTTAACACGACATTATTGCGCTCAGGCGCTGCTCCTTCAAACCTCATCCTGTCGACTGGCCGCCTGTGCACTCGCGGTGTCGAATAGGTAAGCAGAGACAAGCGACATGAGGCCGCTCCAGAGCTACCTCGTGGACCCGCTCCGGCTTCCGGCCCCCTTTCTCCTCCTCTGCCTCACCCTCGTCATCGCTTCGCTCTTGTCCCTCCTTGCGCTTCTCTTTCTCTTCCTCTGGGTCGCCCTCTCCAGGGCGCCGTCTACAACGAGAAAGTCCTCCCTCGGCCGATCGGCCGCCGTTGTTGTGCTGGGCGATGTGGGACGAAGCCCGAGAATGTGCTACCACGTCCAGAGCCTCGCCGAGGACGGCTGGAGGGTCGCCGTTCTCGGCTACCCGGGTATGTATCTCCCCAAGACTACTGTGAAGTGCTCAGCTGATCAGATCGAGGGTGCACTTCTCCGCAGGGACGCCCCCGCCGCCACCGCTCCGGAGATCTTCGGTCCGGCACCATCACCTCGTCCAGCCGCTGGCTGGAACTCTCTCTAGACTGCCCAGGACAGGAGGTCTCTTTGCTCTTGTTGTCGCTCCCCTCAAGGTCCTCCTTCAGAGTGCCTCGCTCTTCTGGGAGCTCTCGGCAAAGGTCAAGCCCCCACCAGAAATTGTCATTGTCCAGGTGAGTCTCGATCCTGCCTCTGTATATGCGGCCCGACGGGCACGCACACAGAGAGGGAAAGAGAGAAAGCTGACTGATCTCTCTTTTATTCTTGCAAGACGCCTCCTGCACTGCCGACGCTCTTTGTCGTTCGAGTTGTCTGCATGCTTCTGGGTAGCAGGGTCATTATTGATTGGCACAACCTTGGCTACACCATCCTTGGCATGCGCCTGGGGTCTTCCAGTCCCCTGGTCAGGCTGGCCGCCAAGCTGGAGCGCTGGACGGGCAGGCGCGCCTACGCCCACATTTGCGTCACTGAGGCTCTCAAAGCGCACTTGATTCGCGACTGGGGGGTCACTGGAAAGGTCACAGTCCTCCATGACCGCCCTCCGACCCATTTTCGTCGAAGCACCGTTGAGGAGAGCCATCGACTGCTCAGTGAACTCTGCCCCAGGCTCGACCCGCCCATCTCCAAGGAATGGTTTCCCAGCTACGAGGCACCCCACTCATCGCCTTTTACTGCCCAAGGCGACTTTCGAAACGACCGGCCGGCGCTCATTGTCAGCAGCACCAGCTGGACCGTCGATGAAGACTTTGACATGCTCCTCAAGGCTGCCGCACTCTACGAACGAAGGGCAAGGGAGCTCAACGAGCAGAACCAGGAGCAACAAAGTCAGCAGCAGCAAAGGCAGAGGCAGCTCTCCACTCCCATGCCCAGCAGTAGCTCAGCAGACTCGCTTGATGCGCCAGGCCCGGATCGGTCTCCGGTCTGGAGCGGCACGGGAATCGAGTCGACGCGAGATCGCAGCCGGAGAGTTTCCTTGACGATGCTGAGCAGCCCGACTACGCTCGTAGCGGCTACGCGGCTTCCGAAGCTGCTTCTTGTCGTCACGGGAAAGGGCGAGTTGAGAAGCCGGTACGAGCGAGAGATTGCCGAGCAGGAGCGCAATTGGGACTGGGTGCGCATTCGGACCGCCTGGTTGGAGCGAGACGACTATCCCACATTGCTCGGCTCAGCCGACGTCGGCATCTCCCTCCACACCTCCTCATCCGGCCTGGATCTACCGATGAAGGTTGTCGACATGCTTGGCTGTGCCTTGCCCGTCTGCGCCCTCGGTTTTCCCTGCCTCGACGAGCTGATTCAGCACGGTCAGAACGGCCTCGTCTTCTACAAGGCCGAGGAGCTGGCCTCTCAACTTGAGACTTTGCTGGCCAAACACCCTCAGCGGAGCTGGTTGGCGACCTCGCTGGCTGGCAACTCTTCCAATCGTTTTCCCCAGACAAGCGCTTCAGGAGCCTCCTCGCCTATCGTCGACTCCTACAATCTTCCACCTAGCCCCTCGGCTGCTTCCTTTTCCCTCATTCCCAGTCCGATCATTGGAAAGAGCCGCCACTCCCCTGCTTCCGATGGCATCTGCGGAGGCGTTAGTAGCACCACCAACAGCAGCCACGCAAATCAGGAATCTTGGAGCAGCACCTGGAAGCGTATCATCCGGCCACTCTTGGCTGCCGCCGATGCCGAAGATGCCATGAAAGAGGAGGCATCGCTCCGGCACCGGAGACTGGCAAAGGGTGTCACACTGGCCATGTTCAGAAGGAGGCAAGGACCTGTCGCAGCAGGTGCCCAAAAGCGGCCAACGCTCGACGGCAACGGAAGGGCCAAGTCGAGTTTTGATGACGGCGAGCGACAAGGTAGGACGTCTTCGGATGACTACGACGGCGCATATCCAGACGAATTGGAGGGCGATGAGGCGGACCGTGGGGCTAGGCGAAATGACGACATGATCGTGCTGAGAAGAAGCCCGAGATCGTATCTACGAAGAAGAAGGAGCGTGAAGAAGTCGTCTTTGCACGACTCACCCTCTTATGCTTTCAGCCAGAGCGCGAACGGCAGCGGCGACAACGACGGCATCCCAGACATTCACGTCAGCGCACCGACGACCTGAGAGAGATGGATTGCTCCCTTCAAATGTACAGTATTAAATGTAGCAGATGTCAATTAATGTCCAGTAGATGGTGGGGAACAAAGGCAATCGCTGACGGCGTCTACAATCATGGCAAGCTGCTGGGGTGTTTGCACCATCTTGGGCCGATAGCGGCGCTGGTGGTCGACGAGCTTAGCCGCTGTATGCATCGCCACTTCCTCGGGCCCGCTGTCACCGTTCCTCTCTTTCCCCTGCGCTGCAGAAAACGCTGAAAGTGAACCATGCCTGGCCAGATTGCGCGCCATGAGGCCAGCAATGACAGTTCCGCTCCTTCCCACACCGGCCGAGCAATGGAGCCAGAGAGGAGGGCCGCTACCGTGGTCCTGGCCGTTTAGGTCCTCGATGAGGCTCAACAGGCGCTCGAATGATGCTTTCCCAGACGTCCCAAAATCGGCCCAGCTGCACACGTGAAGCATTGTCAACTGATGCCGAGGATGCCGCTCTTCCTCTGTCGGTCCCGTCGCCGACGTCGCGGATGCAGCGGCCACGGGGGCAGGCGCGTGGATGACGAGACTCCGCTTCACAACGTCCCACTCGCCCGGCACCTCGTCGCCGATGCGTTCGTCGGGCCGACTCCGGCTGATCGACCAGCCGTCGCCGACGTCCCTCTTCGTCTGCCCCGAAGCAGGCCAGTAAGCATCGGCCTTTGGCACGCCGTGCTCCGTCAGCGGTGCGAGATTGATGAGGAGAGCGACTCGGTTGCCGCAGATGTGCGCAAAAAACGTCGAGAATGTCGTCGGTAGCGGAGCCTGCGAAGCAATGTAGGATCGTAGGGGTGGGCGCCCGCTTGGCGCTGTCAAGGGCGATGAGACCACCTTGGGAGGAGGGATTAGCGAGGCGTTGAGGTAAGGTCCCGGAAGGAGCGCATGGTCGTCTGGCAGCGAGCACACAAGGCGTCAGTCAGCAAGACTCGGCCAGAAGCTGAAGAAAGAAGGTAGCGGCTCACAGGAAAGGATGTTGCCGTACCGGTTCTTGTCGCCATTCTTTCTCGACGAGCCAGCGTCGAGCGAGTAGCGGAGACCGCTGTACATGTCCGACGTCGATGAAGACTTGCTCTCGCCCGAGATGCGATCCTCCTCTGCCTGGTTGAGCATCAGAAGCGCCTGCTTGACCCGCGATGGCCCTGTGCCTGGCCCCGGATCCGCCCCCGGGCCCGGTCCAGCCACTGCCCTAGTCGCTGCTCTCAATGTGAGTGGCATTGAACAACGGAAGGTGGAAGCTTAATTCGAATCGCGCTCTGTTCCAGGACGCTCGCTCTGTTCTGATGCTCGCGTGGAAAAGCCGAAAATTAGTGGGCTGGAAGAATCGCAGGCGTGCACAGGGAGCAAACAACAACACAACCATCACCGAGAATACCTGGGCGCTGGCAACGATGGGATCAAGACAGGAGCTCATCGGATGGGTCAATGACCTCCTTCTCCTCAGCTACAACAAGGTCGAGCAGTGCGGCACTGGTGAGTGATGGGGTCCCTTCGCTATGTCTCTCCTCTCTATGCTATGGTCCAGCCAGGCTGATAAAGGCGCTCTCTCCTCTGGCCAATCACCCCAGGCGCGGCGTATGCCCAGATCTGCGACAGCATCTACGGTGAGCGAACAAGCAACGACTCCTCCCCCTCCAGAAGCTCAAAAAACTGACTGAAGCCCCCCGCCTTCCTTTTATCTTCAGGTAACGTGCCCATGACGAAACTCAACTTTGCGGCAAAGCATGACTACGAGTACATCAACAACTTCAAGGTGCTCCAGGAGGTCTTTAAGAAGAACAAGATTGACAAGGTATCTGTCACAAACGCCTCTCATCTTGACCTCAGCGTCCTCGTTCCAACACTGACGTCTCGTCCATCGACAGCCAATCCCCGTCGAAAGATTGATCAAGTGCAAGATGCAGTGAGTGTGGTCACCATCGCCACTTCCTTTCACCCCATTGTGCGCGTATTGACAACTTTCAAATGGCTGTCGATCAAGAGACAACCTTGAGTTCCTACAATGGATCAAGAAGTTTTGGGATCAAAACTACCCTGGCACCGAGTACGACGCCGAGGGACGACGTGCTGGTCTTGGCGTCGCCCCACCCCCTCTCCACGGGTCCACCGCCCGGCCCGTGGCTGGTGGCGCTGCAGGCGGGCCGGGAGCGAGAGCACCTGCACCCCGAGCACCCGCAGCAGCCGCCAGACCTGCAGTGGGAGCAGCAGCGACAAACAGGACAGCAGCGCCACGCGTCGCACCCACGGGCGCGAGGCTCGGCGCGGGCGCTGTGGCACAGGCCGTGCCCGACGAGACAATCCAGGCCCTTACGAACCAGATGGACGAGATGAAGCTGAGCGTAGACAGCCTCGAGAAGGAACGAGACTTCTACTTCTCCAAGGTGAGTACGGCACTTTGCACCCAGCTCGCCCTCGTTTTTGATGTGTATGCTTACTACCACACTACCTTCACCGTCCCAGCTCCGCGACATTGAGGTCCTCATTGTCGATCGCCTCGATCTTGTCTCAGCCGAGGCGCCTGGCGGGCCAGAAGAAGAGGTCCTCAAGCAGATCCAGGCGGTCCTGTACAAGACCGAAGAGGGCTTCGAGGTCCCCGAAGGACAGGAGCCCGTCGTAGACGAGGAAGAGGTCTTTTGATCATTGTCTCTTCACTCTCTACAGGAGAAGGGGCAAATGAGAGAGAGAGAAGGGAGATAGATGGAAAGAGACAGTGTGGGAAATCTATATTTGAAGCCTCAACGGCTTTTTGGATCGCACTGTCAGCTACCGCTTGATCTCGTCCTGTTCGACTTGCTCTCCGGCTGCATTGTCGCCCAGGCTTCCACCCCGGCTCATGCTGTTCCACTGCTGACGCTGATCCTCCCTTTTCCTCTGGCGGGAGCGTTGTCGAAGCAGTGCTGCTCTCGACAGAGGCAACGCTTCTCCTTCGTTGTCGTCCGTGCCTTCTTCGTGTGCTAAGTTTCCTTGATCGTTCTTTGAGCTGCTCCACGTTGTCGCTCCTCCCGAGCGGTAGGGCGATAGGGGACTGTCATCGTCGAGTCTCTTCATGTTCTCTTCCGATCTTCTCCAAACTACTGCTGCATCGTCGTCCCTTTTCTGCGCGCCCAACGAAGCAGCAAGGGGCTGTGACGGCGGCGGCGGCGGCGGCGGCGGCGGCGGAGGGACGAAACCAATGCGAGCCAGTGGCCACAGTATGAAGTCAACCCTCGCTCTGACGAGGCCTAGGGGCACAGGACCAAACGTCGCCGAGTCCTGGCTCCTCCTCCTTCTCTCATCCTCTTCCCTGCCCATCTTTGTCATCGTGGCTGTAATTGCAGAGGGTCGATAGTCTCCCTCGATCCATGCATGATTCGGCGGAACCTTGACCCTCTTTTTCTTTCTCGGCTCGCCACCGCTGAAGACAACGTAGTCACCGCCCAAGGCGATGATGCGCTTCGTCAGCTTGACATTGGGGTCCAGCGGAGATGTGAGGACGACGACGTCGCCGACTTGGAGGTGACTCTTGCTTCTTGCTCGACTCTCAGCAGCCGCCAGCTTTGTTTTCCCACCGTCAGAATGGCCGTCGTCGTGGTCGTCATAATTATCGTCGTCATTGTCATCATCGCTGGAAGGCCAAACTTGATAACGGGGCATGGCCGCCCAACGGTTGAGGAGGACGATGTCCTGCAAAAGGGGGTTCGTGTCGAAGTCTGGATTCAGCGTCGGTGCCATACTTCCGCCCTTGACCTGTCCGATGGAGTAGATATGGCTTGAAAAATAGGCAGCCACGGGCAGCCATGCAAGGTAGGCAACAACACGGTGCCATGACGGAACTTCACGAGAGAAGGGCGGCGTCGGGGAGGGTGAAGACGATCCCTCTGCCCGGCTCGACGTCGACTGATGCCGGCAAGGCCGAGAGCGATCGACTCGGAGGCAACGGATAGCGAGCCTCGATCTTGTCGCCCCTTTGTTGAGACTGCATCGCAATGGCCCGAGCAGCATCGGCCCGAGCTCCGTCGCCATCAAAAACTTTGTGCAGTCCTCTTTCGTTTATTCCTTTAGCTCGAGGTGGAGCGCGAAGGTTTTCCAGAAGAAAGAGACGCTGCACGCGCCGCCGCCCTTCGACTTTCTTTGCATTCCTTCAGTAGTAGTGTAGTGTAGTAGTAAAGTAGGGGTAGTACGCTTCTTCTACGTGCTCTCGCTCCCCTCAGAAAGTGTCAAGGCAGCAGCATGTCGCTCGTGCCACCTCCCACAGCGGCTTCACTGTACAAGAGCCGAGGACTGGCCGTGCCACCGTTCCCCCCTTTTCAGCCTGCTGCATCCTCATCATCGTCGACGTCGTCTGCCTCGTCGCGAGGCGGAAGCTCAAAAACGCAGATCCGAGAGCTCCGTGGCGGACACCGTGCTTCGCCCTTGACCGCCGGCACTGTCGCCGAAAAGTCGTCAGGTGCAACGGGAGCGGGGCTTAGCACAGCACGAGGGCAAGGAGCGGGAGGTGCCCCATGCTCCGTCCGCGCCCTAGGATGGAGCATAGACGGGCGGAAGCTGGCGACGTCTGCAACAGACCGCACCATCCGAATCTGGACACCCGAGAGAAGCGTGGATGCCAGAGCCACAGTCGAGCTCAGAGGCCACACTGACTCGGTCGAGCAGCTCGCCTGGGATCCGGTCAACGCCGAAAGGCTCGTCAGCGTGGCAGGAGATGAGACGGCCCGCTTTTGGGACATCAGATGTATGCTTCTTGACTGACAGAGCCAGCCAGCCAGCCTTGACGCTGAATTCTGCATCACTTCTACAGCGGAAGCACCGACAGCAACCATAGCGACGCCAGGGCCGAACATCAATGTGGCTTATCATCCAGACGGCAACCTCGTGGCGGTGGGAGATAGGGAAGACACCGTGTCGCTGCTCGACGTCCGCATGAACAAGCTTGTCGGTCTTGTCCGCTCGGCAGGCTCTCCGCCCTCCCTCTCCCTGTCTGAAGGAGCGGGCGAGCTCTGGACCAAGTCGGAGAGGGAGGAGGTCAACGAGTTCAGCTGGACACCCGATGGCTCCCTATTTGTTCTCGCCACCGGGGGCGGCAACGTTCGCCTGCTCGACTCGACAAGCATGCAAGGCGGCCTCGACTCATCATCGCCCACTTCATCAGGCGCTGCGACCAAGAAAAAGCTGCAGGACTACCCTCCCGTGCGTTGGCCGCTCGTCCATACAATCGTGGGCCATACCGCCAGTGTCTTTTGCCTCAAATTTGACCCCCTCGGCCGGTGAGTGTTGGCGGACACCTAAAGCGACTCGTCTCGCTCAAGCTGAGACCGAGTACTGCAGATATCTGGCGACAGGTTCAGCCGATAGCACCCTCGCACTTTGGTCGACGTCCGAGTGGTTCAATGTCCACATGTCGGGCCACCTCTCGTACCCGCCCCGATCTCTCTCCTTCTCCCACGATGGCGAGTTTCTTGCCTCAGGTGGCGAAGACAGCTTCCTCGCAGTCTCTCCCACCTGTCCTCAGGTTCTCGAGGCCGCCACCTCTGGTGCACTCGCAGCGCAGACAGCAGGCGGCGGAGGAGCGGGCGTGTTCAAAATACCGACAAAGGCGGCGGTCAATTGCCTGGCTTGGCATCCTAGTCGCTTTTACCTCGCCTACGCTGGCGACGAGAGAGATGGCACAGTGCGCATTTGGGGCATGACGAGCAGCACTTGAATTTGCGCTTTCATGGTCATTATCAGGAGTGTGAAGGGTGATTTACAACAAGCAAGAGAGAGAGGTACATGCCATCTGCTCACTAGGGCAAAATGCAGAGTGCAAAACAGGAGACAGAAGAGGAAGAGGTGGGCCCGATGTTGCGCGCCCGGAGAAAGGTACTAAGTCGTTGAAGAGACGACAGGAGGGTTGATGCCCTGACCAGCGAACGTGTCGAGATCGTTGTCGAGCTGTGACAGCAAATCAGCCCATTGTGTCTCATCGAGCAAGGGCCATGAAGCTCCGGCGACGGACGTGAAGCCATCCGAAGGAGTGGACATATGTTCGGAAGATGAAGGTGTTTCGTGGGCGGTCGCGGAACCCCCTGGAGCAGGATTGGCCGTCGTGGTAGGAGGAGTTGTGGAATTTGGGTGAGCAACCGATACGGGAGACGTCGTATTGGTGCCCGTTCCGAAGAGGCCACTGCCCTCGTCGCTAAAGCTGACCGAAGGCGAGTGCCGAGCTGTGCTTTTCGCTTGATTACCATTGCTGCCGCCCGGCGGCGGAGTCCATGAGACACCAGGGAAAGCATTTTTAGAAGCGCCGCTGAGGACCTGGCCGCTCAGAGACGATGCCGATGAGGCTGGTTTGTTCTGACTGGGCGAAGAAAAGGATTCGACTGACTTTGAGGAGATGTTGGTGGTTGTGGTGGAAGGAAGAGAATCCCAAACTTGCTCTAGGGAGCTATTGGGCTCGATCCTTGTACCGCTCCAAAGCATTCCCGTGTTGTATCCTCTGCCCGCACCCTGACCCGAGTTCCAGCGCTGGACAAGCAAGCGCCTGCTTGCAAATCGTTCTCTCAGCTTGTCTCGGCTCGTACAAAGGGCCAAGAGCAGCCCTTCGCACTGCTTGGCGATCCGGTCCTTTTCCGAGACAAGCGAGAGGGCTTCAATGACTTCGAAGATGTTGTTGGCAAACCAATTCAGGTTTTCTTCGGGCATCTCTGGACCATTACTGTCGGCGTCGTCACCCGTGAGGTAGACAATGGAAAAGGTGCTTGCGGCGTGGAAGAGCATCGTCGACATCCAGGTCGAAAAGAAGGCAATGTAGGGACAGGTCGAAAGCGTGACACTGCAGAATTAGAGGTGTGCGCGTGAGTAATGCCTCGATTCCCGGGCCTCTCCTGCCACTATGGTGACAAGAGTCCAACTCACAGGACAGGAATGGCTTCGATAATCTTGCGGGCGTGAGGGAGTGCACCATAGCGAAGATCGGATGGCGCATCAGGGTCACGCAAGAACTGGCGCATTACACCAGAACGAAGTCGTCTTGCTGCGCCGACGCCAATGAGGCTCTGCGCCGCAGATATCAGCCGATCGGGAGAGTCATTGGTGTGAAGTTTCGGGAGGTTGTCGAAGCGAAGACGAGCGGTAAAACCCTCCTTCTCCACGTAGCTAATATAGTTGTCGATGCGCCTTGCCTCAGCATACCGCTGTGGCTTCGTCATCGACTTGAAATTGACTGTGAAAAGATAGGAGTCACGGACGGCGATGTGCAGCAACATCTTGCCGTGGCAAAAGTCGGCTTGTATCGCATTGACATGAGGCTCAGCGACGAGCTGGCCAGTCGTCAAGTCGTAAGACTCGTCGGTGTAGTAGATCGGCGGCTTCGTCTTGATGATGTTATGCAGGTCTGCATCACGCATGAAGTGCATAGAGATCCATCTGATCATGAGTACCATCCATGATCAGCAGAAGTTGGAAAATAAAAGGGAAGAAAGTCGGACATACCGATCCGAATAGGTGATCTCCCACGCAAGTCTTCGCCGTATCTCGATGTCCAGAGGTGAAAGCTTTTCCCGCTCCCAACCCTCCTCGTCAAAGATTTGGAGTGCCTTTCCCAATCTTATAGCTTGGCCGACGACCTGAAAGGAAAGCTCGGGAAAGCCACCGTAGGCGAAAAAGTTGACTGCCATGGCGTAGAATTGGATCATTTCCACCGTCTCAGGAACGAGATCAAAGGGACCTCTGGACTCGTCGACGACCTTGAACGCGGTCTCGACATATCGTCGATAATCTCTATCTTTCTGATTAGGTAGTCGTGCGGCTGGATGTGCGCTGGGTGTCAAGAGTATGCTCAGCGCCATCGACATGCAGATGATGCCTATCACGGTGCGGTCCATCGCCCTCCCGGAACGAAATTCTGTCCAGCGTTTTTCAAACCCTGCAAGACGATCAGCAATGCATCGGTCACCTGTTGGGGGCAAGGGAACGTACAGGGTCGATGAAGATAGCCACAGTGCCAAAAGAGCTTTCGACAGGAGGATTTTCAGTGCTTTGCGGAGTGTCGATCCGGTAAGAAAAGATGCTCACTTGAGTCTGAAAACAGTCGATGATGGTGTCACAATCGGTTCTGGAGGGTAGATCAGCTACCAAGTCGTTCCAGGATACTTTGGTTCTGATTGAGCGCTATGGCATCAATTCGAAAGAAAACACTGGAGGTAAGCACAAGCTCATTTCTACAAGGGTTCTATTGGCTCGATTGACTTACCGCATCGTCACTCGATACCGGAGCTCCCGTCAATTGCTCCTCCAGACCTCGTAAAGTTGCCCGTACGCTTGCGATAGCGCCGGCAATGGCCTGAGCGTCACCGGAAAATCCAGAGACTTCAGTCTCACGGGCATCTCCTGCATCCGAGTCACGGTGCGTCGTTTTTCGTTGCTTCACCGGTCTCTCTCCCAGGCTCGGTTGTCGACGAGGCCCGCTCCCGTTGCCGCCACCAGCAAGAGTCGCATAGGAGGAAGAGGAGCTGGACGACAGCGAGGCAGAGGACGCCTTGAAAGATGCCTTCTCAGAGGGCTTTATATGCGTCGGAACGTCGGCATCGTCGTCGACATCGGATGAGTAGCAGAAGCGTTCAGTGTTACGAAGGACGCATGAGCTGCATGGTAGGCTCCGATCACACTTGCTCTTCCTTCGTCGACTGGACAAGTAAGAATTCAAACACATCAGCGTCTACTTCCGGCCCGACGAGCAGCCCGGGCAGCGGGTGAGGGACTGAGAACTCACCATGGCAGACAACTCAGCCTGTGCGCCCCACCTTGGGCGCCCGATGCTCCAGAAGACTGACCCGAGCCCCCAGCCGATGTATCCGGCTGGGCAGGCACATTATTGTGGCCATTCATGGTGGTGAGAGTGTCATGCGCACGCTAAACTGAGCAAATGGTGGCCGTCCAAAAAAAAGAGAAGCGGGCGCTAACATCCGTATCTCCGTGGTCGAAAGCACGTGGATCCTGATGACCAGGTTCGTCACTTAGCTGAAATTGTGGCGAATATTTGCCAGGCCTGGCGAGACACAGGGAGGACCATGTTCTCAGCAAGGTAAGAGCAAGATGAAGGCTGCCGTTCTTGAAAAAGGAGTGGTTCAGTGACCGACAACGGGAAGCGGACATGCAGCTTCGGAGAGCATTGACGCCCTTTCGATATGCATCTGCAGAGCATTGAGAAAGCACGCAGGCTCGAAGAACCACTCTAGTACGACTACCACAAGCATGAAATGACAGAAATGTGCATCTGTAAGGCGAGCGGGTCCACTACTACTATCTCTTTCATTATCCTTGCAAGGGAAAAGTAGTGATATTCTGTCATGACGATTGCGGTGGCGAAGATCCCGAGGGTGGGGCGCCGCCCTTGCCCTGGTCCGTCAAACCTGGCTGACCGGCCCCTCCGACGCTCGCCTCAGCACCGGCCCCTCCGCCTCCGACAATCAAGACGGGCTTCTCTACGACCAAACGTTCGCCCTCGTACATGCGATTCGTAAGAGCGGCCCTTCGGAGCACCTCAAGGTCCTTCTTGGCCGCTTGGTAGAATTGGCGAAGCTTCTCTTCACGATCCGCCGGGCGCGCATCGCTTTCCAACGCTGCTGTCTCTGCTGCGGCTGATGATGATGATGATGACAGGCTTGACGATGACTCGTTGATGAGAGCAGATGGCGCAGGCGAGGAGAGAGTGTGAGGAGACGCGAGAGCAGTTCTACCCGACGCTTTTGAGAATGGCGACGAATAACCAACTTCGGAGGCGGGAAGCAAGTTGGAGCGGAAAAGATCCCTTGATCGTCTCAGGAAATAGGTTCGGAAGTTATAGGATGACTAGTGATATCATTTGACAGAACATAGACGAGTGTCAGCAACGATGTCGTGCGCAGCCAGGGGGAACGGAGCACGACTTACGAAGGACTGGGCGGTGGCGAGGTAGTTGCGGTAGAGGTTAAGGATCTGCGCTCGAGTCGGTGTCGACATGATTACCAGTACTTTACGGGATGCCCGGAGGAGATGGACACTTGGAATCGCGACGGTCGTTTCTACGAAGGACGAGGTGGGGCGGAGAATCTCTACAGGAAAAATAAAAACCACCGTGACAAAGAATTTCGGCTTTCGGGCGCGCGGTGAATCAAGAAGCACCCCTCTGAGTCTCTTTTGCTGGATCAGGACGAACGCTTGTCTTGTCTGCCTTGGAAACGTGTCAACGGCTCGCCGTACGTTCCTATACTGGCGTCGCAAGAAGCAACGCACCCATTCCTCCCTCTCATAAGCAATTAAAGAGATGTGAAGGAGGAAAGGAGGCTGGGAGCGACTCGGCCGACTGGTGTGTCCGTCCACACGAGGCTAAATTTAAGCTGCGTCAACCAACCTCTCTTCGGCGACAGCGACGGCGACAGCCCATCTGGCGTGCATAGTATTAATGAAACCCTTGGCGCAGGGTCAAGGCCGGGGCATAACCGTGCGTACTGTGCGGCGGCCCATCGTCAGCTCAGATGGGCCGGAAGGCAGTGAAAGCCAGAGAAGCGGCGGCAGCGGTCAACAACGAAGGCCGCGATCGTCCAGACCCTCCAAACCCTCAAAGAGGTATCGAGAGATGATCAGTGGTGCGACTCGACCAGGTGGAAGCTATGTGATGGACGATGAGGTTGGACGACAATTTGAAGAGAGAATTCTCGAAACGTGAGCAGCGCTTGGCTTTATTGCTTTGACATCTGCCTGACGCAGACAAACCCAGCTACGATCCTACTCCATCCACGACGGTGTCCACGAGGCGACTGTCGCTCCGTGAGCTATTGCGTCGAGACGGACCGGCATTTGCCTGGCCGTCTTTGCGGAGCCTCTGCGAAGAGGTGGTCGCCGAGCATTTCTCGACAAAGGTGCTGCCGCGCCTCGATCGCATCATGGACCAGCATCACGGTACAGCGGAACCAAAACCAAGGCCTTATGCGATGTCAATGAGCGCGAAAGGTAAATTTTCGAAAGCAAAAAGGAGCAATTCGAAGGGTCTACTGGGAGTGCGGCGCGGTGAAAGCGACGACGATGACGATTTTGCTCCGTCTGAAGAAGACCGTCGCGAGGCCAAGGGCGGCAGGTCCATCACGGGGGAAAAGAGAAAGACGAGAACGAGCGCCGCGCGGGCTGAGTCGAGTAAGGCTAGGCTTGTCGAGCAAGTGCGAAGCGGAGGCGAAGACGAGGCATTGCTCGATGCCATCCATACTCAAAATGAATTTCTCATGACCCTCATCCCCGCCGAGTCGGCCCTTAGGATCAAAGCGACCCTCGAAAAGAGCCAGCCGAGGCTGCTGACAGTCGAAGTGCTCCAGCGCCTCTTCGTTACGAGGCAGCGCATCGCCCTCGCTCGTAGGCTCGTGCTGACAGCCGTCGAGGTGGAAAGCACGAGCAAGAGTGCACGAGACGCTGCATTGCTGCTACGAGCGCTGCTACCAGAGGAAAAGAGGACGACGGTTGCACCCTCTACTACTACTATGATGCCGCAGCTGTCACCAACGCAGAATCTGAGCACCCTTTCATTGACTGCCTTTGTGCGCCTCACATCGGCGCAGCTGCGCTCTCTCATCGCTGCGAGTCCCAACCTGCAAGATGTAACGCTGCGAGGCTGCCTCTCTATCGACGCGGAAACGCCCAAGGCTCTGGTACAGCACTGTCCACGGTTACGAAAGACAAACTTCAATTGGACCAGCATCGGGCCAGAAGGCTTGGAGCAGCTCTTGTGCGCTCGCAACCTCGTGACGCTCAAAGTTGCTCACGTCAAAGGCCTTACCGATGTGGCAATCCGAAAGGCGATGGAGCAAGCCAACCTCTTCGGAGCGGGAGCAGATCCACCATTTGTGCCCCTCGACAAGCTTCTCCACCTCAAATTGCGGTCGACCGACGTCGGCCTCCACGGCCTTGGTGTGCTGCTCGGCCACTGCGGCCACAAACTCGTCTCGCTCGACGTGGGCGGCATCCACATGGGCGACATTAATGTCAAGGACTTTGTTGACTTGGCGATGCCCCCACTGCAATCTGAAAGCCGCCCTCTTTGCAACACCGCGCTGACAAAACTCATCATGTTCTCACCTGCGCCATACGCATCGCGACCCGAGCTCAACCTGTGCGATGCCATCATTGTTCTGAACAACAACTTTCGGGGTCTACGAACCCTCAAGATCGAGGGTCGATCCTGCGATTGGCGCGACCCCTTCGAAGTCGTTTCCTTCTATTCGCTGCGCAACGACGATGGGGCCGTTCTTCCCGTGTCAACGCTGTCCACATCGGGACAGGGCAGACGCGAAGACCGGGAGAGGGTCCGGCACTTTGACAAATTTGCCTTTCCCGCCGGTCCGCTCGTCGAGGAGAAATTGATGGGCAGAATGGGGCGTGCCAGCGTCGGTTCTTCGGACATGGGCGACGAAACAGGGCGTTGTAAGCTTGTAGGAGGCGTGAGTAGCGACTGAGGCCTGCTCCTTCCCCATGCCCCAAGTAGATATGAACGAGCCGCTGAGTGCACCTTCTCAGACGATCGACGTCTCCGGCAGAGATCTGACGAAGCAGCTAGTCGAGTCGGAGAGATGGGGGCAGCTCGACTTGCAGTGCAGCCATCTGCTCCTCAATGGATGCAAATTGCCTTCGGGCTGTTGCTGGCCGCAGGTTGGTGCGGGCGGTTCGCTGAAGTCTGCTAGTCTGGCTGGGTCCGACGTCACACAGGATGGTGCGTTTGCAACCCTGCACATGGACCAGAAGCGCTATGACAGTCTGGTGACTATATCTTGGACCTATACTCTCCGCACAGATGTCGATGCTCTCATCAAGCTCAACCCATTCCTTGCGAGCATCAACCTGAATGGCTGTCGCGGTATTCCCGTTGCTCAGCGGCGCAACTACCTCGAGCTCAATTATCAGAGGATTCACGGCGTCGATGAGGCTCAGCATAGAAGCGCCCCATGATCACTTCCCGCTTCAGCAAGCAGATGCTTGTCTGACCACTGCTTTTCGCAGTCCGCGTCCTAGAAGCGGTCCAATCGAAGACAGAGACGCACCGCCTTGCACTTGCAAACGTGCGGGCATTTGTCGCAGCACCGCAACTGCATAGCATTCCCATCTGAACGAGAGCGTGACAAGAGATATGGAGTCTTTGGAGGGGGGGGAGGGAAGGACCCGATAGCATCTGTACACTCTCTTTGCTTTCCAAAATCAACTCAGACAAAGACGATCGCATCATTCCACGTCCGCTCAGCCAACCAGGGCCGAGTCCTGGGGAGGGATGGGGTCCGTGAACGAGGGACATTCGCCTGCAAGCGCTGAGAGTTAGCCTTCACTCGCCTCGCCTCATTTTGAAGTCGTCATGAATTTGGGCCAAACCACTCACGGGCGATGTGGCCGGGCAGGCTGCAACGGTAGCACGTCTTTGGTCGGGGAGCGCGACCGGCACCCGCGAGGGCAGCGGCGTTGGGGGCGGCAGGGGCCTTGCAGTCGCGGGCGAAGCTGTGAAAAAATTTCGCGTGAGATAGAGATGGGCATCGCGAAGGGTCCTCGATCTTCCTCACTGGTTCTGGCCTCCGCAGTTCCGGCAAATGACGCCGTTGGAGCGAGCTGCAGCAGCTCCAGGGGCGGCACCAGCAGCAGTGCCGACGGTGCTGGGGCAGTTGCGGGCCAGGTGAGGTCCACCACAGGTCTGGAAATCTTGCTGTTTTAGCAATTCCATCGTTGCAGTCACTCGAATCCAACTCACGTAGCAGCCGTTGGTGGCCGTGCTGCCGGCAGCACCAGCGGCAGCACCGGCGGCAGGAGCAGGGCGAGTGCGAGCCGCTGGGGGGTTGGGGCAGTCGGCCTTGATGTGGCCCATCTCCAGACAGCTGAAGCACTGCTTGTTGTCAGTTGTGCGGGGCTCCGGGCAGGCCGAGGCTGGTCATATGTCAGACGGCCAAGTCAGTGCGCATGCACAAGGGCATACAAGCCCGCACAGTTCTCTCACCCTCATGGCCAGCACCCCTGCAGAGGAAGCACAAGCGCTCGTTGGAGCTGCAGTTCTCAGCCTGCCAGTGAAGACGGTCAGCAAGAGTCGGCCAGCACAAGAGAGAGGAAGCATAGTCACCAAGTGGCCAATCTGACCGCAGCTGTCGACCAAGAAAGAATGAATCAGACGACCGTCTCTCCGATCTTCAAAGGATGCAAGCCGACTCACACGTAACAAGCCCTTCGGAAAACCATCTTTTTGTTGGAAGAGAAGTAAGCCAAGCTTTCAGTCCTTTGATGTGGACAGGAGAGCGGATGGCCCGCACTCGATGTCGTACGACCGCACGCCCTGCCACTCACTTTGGAGCTCTTCGTTTCTCTCTCTCCTCTCTCCTCTTCTTCTTCTTCTTCTTCTCTTCGTTACTCGACAACGACTACCGCTCGCCTCGCTTCACCCAGACGGACCGCTTCGAAACCTTTCAAAGTGAGAAAGATGTCGACAATGATGATGGTGATAAGGCGTGCACCGGGGTCCGACTCCCACGAGCGACGAAGAAATCTGTGGCTTGTCTATTTTTTTCCTCCTTCACTCTCTTTTTGGAGTGGGACACTTTACCTCGATCACGTGGATGACAGACTCGGCTTCGACTCATCTCACTTCTCTTTGGGCGCTGTGCCTATCTTGACTCGGTGGGGCTGCCATGGGCGTCATAAGACACCGCAGGATCCATGAATATGCTTGTATAGTGTACAAAATGAGGTGCAGAAAGACGAGAATTAAGTGTGCGTCTAAGACGGCATGCCCTGGTCAGGAAGACGTTCGACGACGTATCGGTGTTTGCTGTTGTTCAAAGAAAGGCGGGTAATTCGTCAGCTCGCAGGCCTCATCGTCGACATCGCCGCAATCGAGAGACTCACCTCAAGTACATGATGGGAATGCCCTGAAAGAGCAGGAGATTAGTTGGTGTCTCTCCAGCAATATACTACAGGCAGAGCAGGTCACTCACCGGCACTTTGCGAATTCTCCGCCTCAGCTCGCGATCGCAAGTTGCGACCATGTAGCACTTGTGCGTTGTGATGCGGTCGATGATGCAGTCATCGGCATAGGTACCCTTGTGGGTACACGGCAATCTCTCAAAGCGTGGATCTCTTGCCACGCGAAGCGCCATCCGATACTTCGTCCCTAGCTTCTCCAACTCGGCCAGCACACAAGACGTAATGCATGGAATCGCTGCAAGCGGAGTGTTGTCAAGCAAGCTCAGTGCAACGCATCGTCACGATCATAAGAAAGGCGGTAAACTCACTTTTGGCATAAAGACAATCCATCATCCCTTGAACAAGCTCGATTTTGTTCTGCAGACTGAAATTGATGAAGTTGGTATCGACGATGACACGGTACGGTGGCCCTAGGGCACTGTTATGCTGAAAGAAGAGAGAAGAGGCGGCGGGCGTGACGTGCTTAACGGCTTTCGCCTCCTCGGCCTTCTTTTTTGCCGCTTCCTTGACCTGATTCTCCTTCCTGATGAAGTAGGCAAGCCGATATCGCTAAGTAAGCATTGATGGCTAGAGGTGTGAGTCGAGTAGCAAGGAACTCACAGTCTTTGGTCGTGCGGATTGAGCATGCGCTTCGTCAGCGCAAACTTCTTTGTCTGCTTTCGCTTGCCCATGACTGGTCGCGATATCGTGATCGTCACAGGTCTTGGTGAGGACGACTTTGACAGAGACTTTCGAAATTTTTGCAGCACGTGGAGAACGTATGCTCACGTGCGCAAGTCTAAAGGTCGAGAGCGACTCCACCGGCCGCGCGGCGCCTTCGAACAACGGCTACGAAAGCATAGGGATGAAGCTCACGTTCAAGAGTCTCCAAGGATCCAACTTTTCGTTGGACGCCGAGCCGACGGACACTGTAAGTGTTCTCGACGGGAATTCTGCTCCGTCAGATTAGCAACGGGATTTATACTGATCGAAAGTCTTTCGGCACCTCCCCACCGTAGATCGGCTCGGTCAAATCCAAGATCGAGAGTGTCCATGGACATGCGGCTTCGGCGCAGAAGATCATCTTTTCTGGAAAGATCCTTACCGATAACGATACTGTGGCCTCATGTGGTGTCAAGGAGAAGGACTTCCTCGTCTTGATGGTCTCCAAGGTGAGAAGAGTTCAGGGCTGTGAAGTTATTCGTTTGCTCATTCTGAATCGCTCCTTCAATCAGCCTAAAGCACCCAAAGCTGCTGCGCCAGCCACGACGGAGGCGTCCACCTCGAGTACAAGTATCACATCCGCTGACCAGCCTGCCTCGAACACTCCCGCCGCGACCACGACCACATCAACCCCCTCGACTACGGACTCTGCTCCTGCGGCCGTGTCGGCCCCCGCCCCTGTCGCTGCGCCCGGTGGAGCGCCCACCACTGGTGGAGGTGGTTCTTTCCGTAAGTTCTGACAGTACCAATCTGATTCCTGCAGTGTCACTGACGCGGGCTGTTGAATGACAGTGACGGGAGCCGAACTGGAGGCAGCTGTCAACAACATGGTCGAGATGGGTTTCGAAAAGGAACAGGTCCAAAAAGCCATGAGAGCCAGCTTCAACAATCCAGAGAGGGCCGTCGAATATCTCATGACTGTGTGTATTTATGCTTATTGGGCCCCTCTATCCCCTCCCTCGTTACATTTCTGACCCTGCACACCATTCGACAGGGCATCCCCGAGCACCTCCTGCTGCAGCAGCAGCAGCAGCAGCAGCAGCAGCAGCAACCGCCCGCAAGAACACCAGGTGACCAAGCTGCTGCGAGCCCTGCAGCAGCAACCTCTGGTGAGGCTGCGAGTGGAGCTGTGCCTGCTGCGCAACCAGCAAGCACTGCGCAGACGACCGCACCGACGGGCGGCGGCGGAAATGCGCCTGCGCGAGCTGGAAATCTGTTCGAGGCGGCAGCCGCAGCTGCTCAGCAAGGGGGAGGCGGTGGTGGCCCCGGGACTGGCAGAGGCGGAGGAGGAGCGGGGGGCGCTGCGGCACTCAGAGGGCTGGGCGAGGAAGATGACAGTGGACATCAAGTACTGGACCTGGGCAACCCGGCTATGCTGGCCCAGCTCCGTCAGCTCGTCCAGCAGAATCCAGCTGCGCTCAGCCCGCTCGTCCAGGCCCTTGCGCAGAGCAACCCCCAGCTAGCAAATGCCATGGCCGAAGATCCCGAAGGCGTTCTCAACCTCCTAGCCAGCGGTGCTGCCGGCGGTCTCGGAGGGGAAGAGGGAGAAGAAGCAGTCAGCCTGCCGAGCATGGAGGAGCTCAGCCCAGAGGACCGCACAGCCGTCGAACAGGTGCGTGTCTACCAGCAACATCTACCAACGACTGCATGCTTAATCTGTTCTAACGCACTTACTTGAATCGCCCAACAGATCATCGGAATGGGCATTCCCGAATCGAAGGCAATCGAAGCATACCTCATGTGCGGTCGCAATGTCGAGATGGCTGTCCAATACTACTTTGAAGTGCGTGCCACCACCTTTCAGACTCACCTGCGTCAACAAGTACTGACGGTCACCTCCATTCTACTTTCTTGCTCAGAATCCACAAGACTTTGACGATTAGATTGATTTCGTCGAGTATATCACTTCGGAGAGCAAAATGTGGCACAGAGAACAAGTGCAGGGTGAGATGGCCCTTCCGGCTCACTATGGGTCCTCGAAAGAAGACCATCAATGGATCTCTTTGCGGCTTTTCTCTCGCGTGTGCCTTTGCAATCTGTGCTTGCAGCTTGCTGAATTCTCAAGAAAGTTTGAGGCTACATACACAAATATATCATCGCATGAAGCGAACATAGGCCTCGTTGTCAGTCTCTTCTCTATAGAGGTAGCCCAGCTCTTTAAGGAACCTGTCCAAGGCCGGCCCATCATTTGGCCCGACCTGGATAGCGACGAGAATCTTGGCCGTGTCAGAACCGTGATTTCTATAATTGAAGAGCGACACGTTCCAGCCTTTGTTGAGTCCCTCGAGGAACTTGAGGAGCGAGCCGGGTCTCTCAGGAAAGGCTGTTCGGGACTCTGCTTTCAGCGACTCTGGCGCGGTGGGGCGATATGAAGGCCCCCCCTTGGAACAGAGGATACAACTACTCACTGAATTGGAACAGCCTCTCGTTTTCCCGCGACGATTGGGCAGACGCGGAGTCAGACCCACCGCGCGTTCTTCCTCCGACCATGTACCTTGCGTGTGACTTTGCCATTTCGTTGGACGACACGTCTGTTGCGCTCATGTCGCCTTCCGCCTCGATTGCTTCGAGGATCGACTGAAGCTCGGCGCGTCGGGCGAGGCTTTGCGCTGCTCGAGTCGGGTCTTTGGAAGAAGAGGACGGAGCAGGCGTTTGGGAAGCAGCCGGGGCTGATGAAATAGGAGAAGGGACCCGCCCTGGCGAAGACGTGCTGGAAGCCGTGGGGTTGGACACGACGGCGGGCGTCGGTAGCGCGTCGGCATGCTGGCCGGGCGGTAGACCCTTGAGCATGAAGGAGAGGAAGATGTGGGCGCGCTCGGTGCCATTGAGGCGATATGAGAATTCGGTGATGTCTCTGGGAATGATGTGGTTGATGAGCCGCAGGAAGCTGCCTGGTCTCTCTGGAATGTCAACCATGAGGAGCACTTCCTTTTGGTCGCCCAGCTCGGCTCGCTCAGCGACGAAGCGAAGGCGGGAAAAGTTCATATTGGCTCCCGAGACAGCCGTGACAAAGCGTTTGCCCGAATTCTGCAGATTATGGAGCGCCACATAGCGTTTCATACCGGCAACGGCCAGCGCACCGGCTGGCTCGGGGATCGATCTCGTGTCTGCAGTAGCATATAGAGACATGTCAGTGAAAAGAGAAGGAGAGGAAGAAGAAGAAGAGAAGGAAGAGGAAGATGACGCGAGGCATCAAAGAACACACCTTCGAATACATCGCGGATGGCGGCGCAAATCTCATCGGTGTCGACGCGAACAATGCCATCCACGAGGCCATGGCAGAGTTTGAATGTCTCTTGGCCGACGATGCGCACCGCGGTCCCGTCGGCAAAAAGGCCAACCTCGTCGAGATTGACGCGCTTTCCCTGCTGCAAGCTGCGTGCCAGCGCATCTCCATCGTACGTCTCTACACCAATGACCTTTACAGACGGCGGAGCGATGCGCTTGATGTATGCTGCCACGCCGGCCAAGAGCCCACCACCACCAACGCAGCAAAAGACTGCGTCGACCTTAGACATGTCCGTCTGCCTGCACATCTCCACCGCCACGGTACCTTGTCCTGCAATGACTCGCGGCTCGTCAAAGGGGGGTACGACGGCCAAGCCGTGACTCTGGGCCAGGCGTGAGCATTCCGCCTTTGCCTCGTCAAAATTGACGCCGTGGAGAACAACCTTTGCACCAAGCCGTGCCACGTTCTGCGTCTTGATGGCGGGTGTCCCCATCGGCATGACGATAGTGCATGGGATGGATAGGTGTGCACCCGAAAGCGCCACGCCCTGGGCATGGTTTCCTGCGCTGCATGCGATTACGCCCTTCCACTTCTGCTCGTCGCTCAGTTGTCGCATCATGTTGAAGGCCCCTCGAAGCTTGAAGGAGAATACGGGCTGCAGGTCCTCGCGCTTCATCAGCACTTCGCAGCCGAGGCGTGACGAGAGATTGGTGGCCACCGTCAAGGGTGTGGCCTTGACGAGGTCATAGATGTCAGCGGACAGGATGAGGCGCAGGTAGTCGGGCGACCCATCGGGCAAGCGCAGGTGTGGGGCGAGCGCGCCGTACGAAGCTGTCTCTCCCTCCTCCTCTTCCCTTGCAGGCCAAGGCCCCGAGATGTACGCTGGCGGAAGGGCGTCAGGCGGGTATGGCGCACTCATCGTTGCTTCCTTGCACTTGCCAACTCTGACTCGCAATCTTCTTGCTTCTTTCTTCTCGGGCCTTGAGCTCAAATTTCTGAGCTCGCACACCAAAAAAAAAAAGGATTAAAAAAAAAAAAGGTGGCTTGCACCCCACGTGTTTGCGCAGATGCCCAGAAGGGCCAATGCACCCTGACGTCGCGGGTCGTGTGGGCGACTCGATGCGTTGCTCCATTGATTTCCTTTGACTTCCTTGCACCAACACCGCATTAATCCATAACTACAGAGACAGCAAGGTAGGTCGAAAAAGCTGGGCTTCGACGGGGCAGGAGCTTGTCTGACCTTCAAACAGCACCCCATCAAGCATACTTCTAACATGACCAGGTCATTCCACAAGGTTGTCTACAAGGTGAGCCTAGGACTGTATTCTTTGCTGCCAGCAAGACAAGGCCGCTGACCTTCTTCCGCGCCATTCCCAGGTGGACCCCAACTCGACGGATCTGTTCCAAGTCATTGTGAACCATGACGAGTACAAGAAGTGGAAGGCGGGCGACACGACGATCCCCTTGGCCGACGTCGTTGACAGCTTCCAGGTCTTCCACACTGGCCAGGGTGCTCAGGGCATCATGGGGAACCCTTCCAAGCAGCAGCTCGACACCGCTTTTGGAACGCACACCGACACGGATGTCGTAGAGATCATCCTCAAGGAGGGCGACTTGCAGGCTGCCAGTGAGTAACGAGAAGATTTGTGCTCCGTGGAGCCGTGGGGAGGGAGATGCTGACGCATTTGGCCCGACCTCAGCCGCAAAGGACGGCTACTCGACGACAAACGACAGCAAGAACAACAGCAATGTCACCTCGGCTGGCTCCAGGGCGGGTGGTCGCTGAGGAGAAAGGAATCGTCGCAGCTGCTACTTTCAGATGACGAATTTGGAAATGGGATTGTCAATGGGGATGGAGCCACGCACTGACGGGAGCCCCCACCAAGCATGTATCACACAAGCCTAACAAATCAAATCAAATCAATGAAGAAACTTGGGAGAAAAGAAAGGATTCATGTTTCGTGGTGTAAAAATACAGATTGTCTTCGTTGTATGTCTTGTTAGAGAAGTGCTCGTCATGGCTCTCTCGGGACTGGCGATTCGAAATTACCGGCATGACCTACACGGCTGGCTACTCACCGGCTCCCCATCCACCCCACGGGCCGTCTTGTCCGTATCGAGGCGGCGCCCAGCCTGAGGGACCCCGTTGCTCGACGTGGAGCGAATGACCATTCGTCTCTGGGGCAGGAGCAGACCTGAGGCAATCGGTAAAGCCCTGGTCGAGACCTTCCTTGACAAGGTAGCCACCCTGGCCGTCCAGCCACCTTGCGACCCTAGCCCGGTCCCTGCGCTCGAGTGCCTCTTCATCGCCTGCGCACTGGTCCTCGTCATCTAGCACGTCGACGTTGCCCTGTCGCCCCTCGAGGGACATAACTGCCCAGCCGATGACCATCATCCCCGGCGGTCGCTGCTCACCACATCTCGTCAAGGCCTCTTGGATGTTTTCCAGCGTCGATGCGACGAGTCTCTGGTCTGGCGACGAGGCCCGCTCGATGATAGCAATGGGCGTGTATGGGGGAAAAGGCCGACCAAGCCTCGTACCAGACCCTTGCTGCTGCTGCTGCTGCTCTTCGCCATGCCAGCCGCTGATGAGCGTGACAACAACGTCCTTGAGCCTTGCGACACCCATGAGGACGACGAGCGTTCTGCCTCGTTCGTACCCAGGCAGCTTGACACTCTTGCCGCCCCGGCCTACGCCTGTGCAGAGCGTCATGCTGTCGGCCGCACCCCGCTGTGTGACAGGAATGCCGACCATGAGAGGTGCGGCGAGGGCCGAGCTGATGCCCGGAACGACGGTGTATGCGACGTCCTGCTTTGCAAAGGCCAGCACCTCTTCACCTCCCCTCCCGTAGACGAAAGGGTCGCCCTGCTTGAGGCGCACGACGCGCTTGCCTTCATCACGCGCCGCTCGCAGCGCCAGCTCGATGAGCTCGCTCTGGGCTCCCTCTGCATTCCCAGGGAACTTGCGCGCAATGACTAGCGGCGTGTCCGACGGGATGAGCGAGAGAATCGACGAGGGGACGAGCTTGTCGGACAGGATCAGGTCTGTATCGACCGACGTGAGCAGGTCACGAGCCAGCGTCGTCAAGAGACCAGGGTGGCCTGGGCCAGATCCCAGAAGAAAGATGTGCCCTCTTCCCCCATCGCTCGATGCTGGCGGCCTGCATAGGGAGAGGGCGTGCTGCGAGTGAGCTCGGCCACTTATTTTATTGTTGTTGTTGTCGCTGCTGTTGTCGTCGCCGTCGCCATTGTTAATGTTCTCGCCGCCATTGCCCGAGCGTGTCCGATGTCGACCCCGTGGCGTCTCGTCGCGATTCTGTGACGACGAGGAGACTGTAGCGCGATCAAGAGGCTGGCGCTCGTCCTTGTAAGTGTCCAAGGCGCGCGCCATCTCGCTAGCACTCAGACGACCCAAGTACTCGATGGGCCAGTATTCGCTCATCTGAGCCACCCATCTCATCCTGCGCCTTGTCAACTCTTCCCTCTGTGCTGCCTCTGTCTCCTCTTCTCTCCTCTCCTCCTCGTCACGTTCCCCATTGATTTCCTGATTCTGCTGAGCCTTGAGCTGGTGAGCAACCTGGTCAAAGAAGAATCCGTCGCCCTTGCTCGACGCCAGCTGCGGCACTGGACTGTTGATGGGCGTGCTATCAAACGATAGGTCGTCCTCCGTCACGTTTTCCGCTCCACCGTCGGTCGCTGTGCGCCGGTGGGCTGCCTTTCGTCGAAGCGACTTGGTATGTGCCTCGTCGCGTTCCTGCCGTTTCCCGCTCGTCCGCTTTGCCATCTCGCGCATCTCGCCCACCTTCTCCACTGCATCGCCCACATTTTTGGGAAGGCTGGCCACGATCTCCCTTCGGATCCGCCCAGCAAGCCGACAACCTTTGCCGTTGGTCGTCACGGCAATCTGCAGCGAGGTGCCCGCGGGACTTGTCTTTGTCGTCGTCGACGCCTCCCCCTTCTCTTGCTTGGCCGCAAAAGTAGAGGCGAAGCGATGGGTGGCAGGGAAGCTGAAATCGCACAGTAATGGCTGGTCGGCAACATTGACCGGGATCCTCCTCGCCCGACAGAGCGAGATGATCATCTTTGCCCTCGCAAGCGGTGTCAGTGGTGCGTCTGCGTCGGACAGCTTGCTGCTGCTGCCGATCATCGAAGTACGGCCACCTTCATCCGCTGCCTCGAGTCCAGTGTAGAGCGTGTCGGTGATGCAGACGGCGAACAGGCTCCGATCCCGACCATCCACGTCGTCCAGCAAGCTGCTCCACCAGCTCTCGTCCTGCGTTCTGGCTCCATCGCGCCACTCGGCCTGACCTGCGCCCACACGCCATCGCACCTCGTCGCACGCTTCTGCCATCCCTTCGGTACCCTCAACGAAATCGACTCCAACGACGACGGGGTGGACATCTGCCTCAAGCGACGCAAAGACACGCGAGGCAGCCAGCCGCTTCGCCCCGACGATCAGCATCTTCTTTTGCCGCGGTCGGAACGAGAGCAGCAGCGAGGCATTCGGCGTCGGCTTGGGATACGGATAGGTCAGACCGTCGCTGACAGCAGCAGCGCTGCTACTACCAGCGCCGTTACTTGCCGGTGCGATCGATGTCGTCATTGTCGCCGTCGTCGTCCGTCGTCGTCGTCGCAGAAATCTGGACAAGACGCTCTGACTGTCTTTTGCCTTCCTTCCAAATCAGCCAATGATAACTGTCTCATTTTGAACCCTTGTCCCGACTTTGACTTTTTATCTTCAAAAATTGTTGATCGAGATAAGCAGCGCCACGTGCGTGGTTGACTTTGCCACGCGAGAATTTCTCGCTCTTTCATTGATTTTTTTTTTCCGCAGTGCAGAGCCAGGAGGGGCCGTTGTTGTTGCTGCTTCAGCTGCTGCTCTTCTTCTTACCTCAAGCTTTGCAGTCACTCTCCTGTAGGCCGTCGTCTCTTCACATCCGTATCTCATCTCCAAAAATGGTGGGTCATTTTCTTCAGCTTCCCAGGGAGCATGGCCAAGCTGACTTTTGTTTCGTCCTTCAAAAGGCCGTCACCAAGAACGTCAAGGGCGCCTCGGCCCAGCAGCCCTCGGCTTCGAAGCCCAACAAGATCTTCATCGACTTCAGCGGCCCCGCCAACGACGGCATCCTCGACGCCTCGTCGTTTGAGAAGTATCTCCACGACCACATCAAGGTCGAGGGCAAGGCTGGCCAGCTCGGCGATGTCGTCAAGGTCCAGAAGGAAGGTTAGTCTCGACCCTTTGATTTTCTGGGTAGCGGACGCACGGAGGAAGAGAAAGTGCTGCCATCGTCTCAAGGAGCTGCAAAAAAAGGCGCGATTGTTGGGAGGAGAATGAAGGAGATAGGGCTGGCCTGGAGATGCAGAAGCCAAGATCTGGAGGTTGGAGAAAGGGGCGCGAGAGCAAAGGAGATTTCACGCGAGGAAACCCATGACAGCAAATGCTGACAAGCTTCTTAACACTCTCTCTGCAGGCGAGGGCAAGATCTGGATCACGACCACGATCCCCTTCTCGAAGCGGTACCTCAAGTTCCTCACCAAGAGGTATCTCAAGAGGTCCCAGCTCCGCGACTGGCTCCGCGTCGTCGCCACCTCCAAGCAGGGCTTCGAGATCAAGTGAGTCATGGATTCCCCAATCTTGCTGCCGTGCACCCAACTTACAAATCTCTCCCTTCTATCCAGGTTCTTCAACGTCAGCGCCGACATGGACGAGGACGACGAGGAGTAAAGGAGTTCCCTGGATGGGCTCTTTTTGCGGGGCAATAGCAGCATTCGGGCGTGATGGCCCCTTTGTGTTGTCATCACCTCATCTCATGAATGTCTCATTTTGCTTGTAACACTAGCCTCCTCATGTCTCTCTCCAATCACCATACCGATCCTCTGGTGAAAATGCCCGCTCTTCAACTATTCTGTGTGATACGAGCAATTTCGGCCGAGAGCTAGATGGAGATGGACGCGCGTCAAGCTCAAGCCAACAAGTACATCTGTTTCTTGTTCGTCTCCTACGCCTCAGCAGCAGACACGGCAAGATGAACTCAATCTTGTCAAGATTCGGAAACGACCCCCTGGCTGGCCTCGATGGGCAGGAGGACTTCGATGGTGCGACTGTGAAGGGCGCATCGTCGATGTCGGACTCGCTGCCCCGCTTTGACCTTCCATCGACGAATGTGAGTTCACTCCCTGTCGCTCAAGTGCTCCTCTCGCTAATTAAGATCCATTCGACAGCCTGCTCAGTTCCTCTCACAATACACTGATGTCGACTCGACGAATTCTTCTGCGCGAATCAAGCTGCAACACGGCACGACGACGCTCGCTTTCCGCTTCAAGGGCGGCATCATCGTCGCTGTCGACTCGCGCGCCACTGCTGGTTCCTACATTGCCTCGGGCACTGTCAAAAAAGTTATCGAGATTAACCCTTACCTTCTCGGCACCATGGCCGGAGGTGCGGCCGACTGCCAATACTGGGAGACATACCTGGGTATCCAGTGCAGACTCCACGAGCTGAGGAACAAGGAGAGGATCAGCGTCGCGGCTGCGAGCAAGTACCTCAGCAACCTCGTCTACAGCTACAAGGGTATGGGTCTCAGTATGGGCACCATGATCTGTGGCTGGGACAAGACCGTGAGTATTTGCTCTGAACGTGCAAGGGGAATGCCTTGACAACTCACATCTACCCAATGCTATAGGGACCAGCCCTGTTCTACGTCGACTCTGACGGAACGAGACTCAAGGGCGACGTCTTCAGCGTTGGCTCAGGGTCAACATTTGCATACGGTGTACTCGATCAAGGATACAAATGGGACCTGGAAGACGCCGAAGCACAGGAACTAGGAAGGAGGAGCATCTACGCGGCCACACACCGAGGTGAGAGAAGCGTCCCTTTTCAGGTCAGACTGGGACACGCATTGACCCGTCCTTATAGACGCATATTCGGGTAACAGCGTCAACCTCTACCATGTGCGTGAGAATGGATGGGAATTCATTGCGAACTACGACGCAGCCAAACGTGAGTCTGTTGCTCAGCCCTTCGAACGGACATGACTGACCTCTACGACTACGCCAACAAACAGTACACTATGACGGCCCGGGCGACAACGTCGCTGGTGCTCCTGGAGGAGGCTATGGCTGGGACGTCCGGACAAAGGGTCTTTCGAGCACTCTTGAGGCTCAACCTGGCCAAGACCAGGGAGGAGAGGGTGGCCAGCCGACGTCGACGACGGCGGCCTCGACATGATGCTAATCTCGTTCCGCATGTCAAATCCATCGGTCTAAAGCATGATCCACATGACTGATTTGTGACAGACGCGTGACATTCTCAGCCACCATTTTCTTCTTTCTCCGATCGGATGCTCCGTTTCGGATTCGGAAGGATCCGAAGAGGCATCGATATATTGTCCGCCTCGGTTCTCGACCCCCCTTTAAGTCTCTTCTTCACCCTACATCACAACGTCTGCCCCGCCGCAGAGCAATCTTTCCTTGAGCGGCCTGCACCACACCCTCCCTTCCCCCTCCCCTTAGACACCGTTCATCGCACGATCATCGGTTGCTCGATTAGCCAAGCTCTTGCTTTTCATCAGCTTCCTATCGAAATTTGTGGAGGCTCTCCTATTCTGTCAGCACCACCGCGACTCCGAACGATATGCTCTCGTCTGCACTTCGGCAGTCCGTGACTGGCCGTGGCCTCCAGGCCGCCCCACGGAGCCGCTTCACGCCTCTGACCGTCCGTCTCCTCTCAAGCACAAGCCCGGCATCGGCTGCGAGTATCAATAAGGTTGTCTCCAGTGCCGCCGAGGCTGTCAAGGACATCAAGTCCGGCTCTACCGTCCTCTCGTCCGGCTTTGGCCTCTGTGGCACGCCCGACACGCTCATCAAGGCCATCTCGGAGAACAAGTCGATCCAGAACCTGACCTGTGTCAGCAACAACGCCGGCGTCGGCGAAAAGGGTCTGGGCAGGCTGCTTCACACACGGCAGATTGGCAAGATGATTTCCTCGTTTATCGGATCGAACAAGTACTTTGAGCAGCAGTACCTCTCGGGTCACGTCTCCCTGCAGCTTACACCGCAGGGCACGATGGTCGAGCGGTGTCGCGCCGGTGCATTTGGTATCCCTGCTTTCTACACCCCCACGGGCTTCGGGACTGCCATTGAAAAGGGCGAGCTGGTGGTGCGGTACGAGGAGCGGGCCGAGGGCGACAAGTCGGAACCAAAGCCAAAGGAATGGCAGAAGCCGCGAGAGACGAGAGAATTCAACGGGCGAGGCTACCTGCTTGAGGAGGCAATCTACGGCGACGTGGCCATCGTTCACGCCCACAAGGCAGACGAGATGGGCAACTGCATGTTCCGGCTCGCTGCAGGCAACTTTGGCGCCGCCTTTGCCAAGAATGCAAAGCTGACCATCGTCGAGGTGCGTTTTTTTTTTCTTTTTTTTTTTCTTTTCAGACGTGTTTAAAGACACACACAGAGGGAGAGAAAAGGGCTTGGCTGACTGATCGCACTTGACAGGCAGAGGAAATCGTCCCCGTGGGAACCCTGGACCCCAACACCGTCCACCTGCCTTCAATCTTTGTTGACCGAGTCGTGCAGGCCACCGAGGAGAAGCAGGTCGAAGTTATGACCGTGTCGGATGCCAAGCCCTCGTCTTCCTCCAAGTCGTCTGCTGGAGCGGACGCTGAAGCCAAGGCTGCTGCACGAGCGCGACGAGAGCGCATCACCCGTCGAGCCGCAAAGGAGCTCGAGAATGGCGACTACGTCAACTTGGGCGTGGGCATGCCCAGCCTCGTCCCCTCTTTCCTGCCCGAGGGAATCTCAGTCGTCCTGCACTCCGAGAACGGCATCCTCGGCATGGGCCCTTACCCAAAGACGGCAGACGTCGATGCGGACCTCGTCAATGCGGGCAAGGAGACTGTGACCCTGCTTCCAGGCGCATCTACTTTCTCGTCTGACGAGTCCTTTGGCATGATCCGCGGTGGCCACGTCGACGTGACGATGCTTGGCGCCCTCGAGATTGGAGCCAATGGCGACCTGGCCAATTATTTAATCCCCGGAAAGATCGTGAAGGGGATGGGAGGTGCCATGGACCTCGTCTCTTCGCCCAACGAAACCAAGGTCGTTGTGCTGACGGATCACCTTGACAAGAACGGCCGATCAAAGATCCAACAGGAGTGCAAGCTTCCCTTGACGGGCAGTCGCTGCGTCAGCAGAATCATCACAGACCTCTGCGTCTTTGATGTCGACCGCAAGAAGGGCGAGCTCACCCTCATCGAGCTCCAGGACGGCGTGACACTCGAGGAGGTCAGGGAGAAGACGGATGCCAAATTCCACCTCGGACCTGGCCTTGCTTAGACTTGCTTCTCCGGCTCATTCTCTTTCCGCGCACTTTACATCACCCACATTGTTCCATTCCCACTCGGAGGAGACCATTCTGACCAAAAAAAAAAATGTAATCTCATTGGTGTCGACATTGCAGTTAGTATTGTAAACGCTGTGTGCTCTAGAGCAGTGATCGTCTTGCTTTTTGTGAAGATGGTAGTGAGAACGGTGCATTGCGCGTGGAGGGTGGAGAGCGAAGCGTTCTAGGAGATGAGAATGTGCAAATATGGGCGAAAGACATATGGCAAAGAATCCTCCAGTTCAGCCGAACCGGAAACCAGGCGGTGGGCGACCTCTTCTCGAGCCTGCTCCTTGGCCACCTGCTCCAAAGGGACCTCCTGCTCCCGCAAAGCTCGAGCCACCCATGCCGCCAAAGTCAAATTGCGCACCGCCCATGCCGCCCATGCCACCCATGCCATTCATGCCCCCCATGCCACCCATACCGCCGCCCATGCCGCCGCCAAAGAGATCGGCAAGATTGATGCCTGCGCCATCCATGCCGCCAAAGCCGCCGCCAAAGCCGCCGGCGACATCGCTGTCTGGGTCGTCTGCCCCGGCATCGTACCGCCGCCGCTTGGTGTCGTCGGAGAGGATGCCAAACGCCTCGTTGCAGAGCTTGAACTTTTCCTCGTCTCCTCCCTTGTCCGGATGGTGCTTGAGCGACTCTTTTCGGTAAGCCTTTTTCAGCTCGGCGCTCGACGCATCCTTGGACACGCCCAGGATCTTGTAGTAGTCCTTCTTCTTGCTCCTCTTCAAGTCAATCTCGGCCGACCGGAGCTCCTTCTTGAGGCCCTCGGCCTCGGCACCGCTGCTCTCTTCGAGCGCGCTCTTGAAGTCACCCACGGCCTCTTCGTACTTTTCGCATGCCAGCTTGGCCCTTGCGCGCGTCCGCAGCGCCTTGACGTATCCGGGATTGAGCCGCAATGACTCGTCACAGTCCTCAACCGCCTCTTCGTTCTTTCCCAGCTTCGAGTTGGCCGTGGCGCGGTTGGAGAAGAGGATGGCTTTGAAACCTCGCGCATCGCCGTCCTGCTCAGCATCCTCGTCGGCCAAGCGCAGCGTCTCGGTGTACCCATCAACAGCCTCTTGGAGCCTTCCGCCTTTGAAGTCCGCGTTGGCCTTGTCCTTTGCCGACTCGAGCTTCTTGACGCGGCGGACCAGCCGCCGGGCCTGCGAATGCTCAGGGTCTGCACGCAGCGCAGCTTGACCGTGCTGGACGGCCCGGTTGAGGTCGGTGCCGAGACCCAGCAGCACCTTTGCACGGAGACACAGCGCGTCTGGATCATTTGGATGCAGCCGCAACGCATCGGTGGCTGCTCCATTGGCCGCATCGAGCTGGCCTCGCTTCATGAGTAGCTCAACGCGCATCAGCCGCCAGGCGAGGGGGACTTCCTGCACCTCGCTCGAAGCCTGATCCAGTGCAATGTTGGCCATACCGTAGGACCCCTCCTTCATTGCTCGCTGGTATGAGGCAATGTGCTTGGCCGTCCGGTCGACTTGCGCCGCCAGCTGCGCAGCAGCGGTGTTACCCGGCTCAAGCTTCAGCGTTCGGTCCAGCGCAGACTGCGCCGATGACAAATCACCCAGGTTGAAGTGACACCGGGCGAGCCGGATCAGCGTCTTGGCCTGCGGAGCGGAAGACTGCATTGATGCAGCTCGATTGCAGTCTTCGAGCGCCAGCTTGTACTTGAACAGTGCCATGTAGGCTGCCGCTCGGTTGGTGAAGTACGAAGGCTCGGTAGGGTCAGTGTCTGTAATGAGTCAGCATATAGCCCTGTAAATAACGAGGAATGAAGGTGGAAAGAAAGAGAATCTCACCAATGGCAGCGGTATAGAGTCTGACGGCGTCGTCGTGCCTCTTTGCCTTGAATGCATCGTTTCCTTGGTCTTTGGCTACTTGACCTCTCTGCTTGTCTTCTGCTGAGATGCTGGAGAATTGGAGGGTGTAGATCGTCAGTCTCTGACCTGGGTCCCATTTGCAACTACGAACACCCACGTCTGCGCGTTGATCTTTGATGACCCCGACGCCGTCCCATTGACCTGCGGAGATGCTCCATTGGCCGTCGTGGCATCTTCCATGATTACGTCGCTGTCGCCCATATCGTCTTCTTCTGCTGCCTTCCCCGGACTGCCGCTTCGAAGATAAAGAGCAGCCTTGAATTGTAGGTGAAATCGCGAAAAGGAAAAATTATCGCCGTGCTTCCTTCACGCGATCAATGAATCAGTCAGTCCCTGGGGCGGACAAAGTGAAAAAGGTCGGGGAGACGATATGAAACCCACGTGGAAAAAAAGTCTGACATCCAAATCTTTTGGTTCTCGTCGAAATAAACAATTGCTACAGCTCAAGGAGTCTTAGGGCCCGCCATCACAATTCAAAGGGGACGCAGCCAGTGCTGGAGCCCGCAGCAGCAGTAGCAGCATTGCGGCAGGTCTGAGGGCAAAGGTCGACTGCTAGGACAGCGGGAAAGACGACAAGATGATCTGTCCGCACTGCAATTCGTCCAACATCGATTACCAGGATGCATCGGCAGCCTGCATCGATTGTGGCATAGTGCTCGAGGAGTCGAGAATTGTCAGCGATGTCACTTTCGCAGAGAACAGTGCGGGTGGGGCCGTTGTGCAGGGAAGTTACGTCGGAAATGATCAGAGTGCGTGTGCGAGAGAAGGCCGAGAAAGCAAGGTCTGCTGCTGACATTGTTTGCGTCGTCGTTCTCAGGAGGAGCAAGGACACAGGGCCCGGGAGGATTCCGAAGCAGCGGCGCGGGCGAGTCAAGGGAAATGACAATTGCCGTCGGTGAGTGTTTTCGCTCGTGTAACTTCGGTCTAGATGGCGTCTGAGTGCATCTCGCTTTCGCAGCGCGGAGTGCAATGCGAGCCATTGGTACGGCCAAGCGGGTGCCCATGAACACTATCGAGCGGGCCGGTCGCATGTTCTCGCTCGCACTTGAAGGCGGCACCTACAAGCAGGACGGCAGCGAGCCAAAGAACTTTGTCCTGGGCCGAAAGCAGGAGTACACACAGGCCAGCTGCCTCTACCTGGCCTGCAGACTCGACAAGACGAATCACATGCTTATCGACTTCGCCGATGCCATCGGAGTGAGTCGGCTTTTGTTCTCGTATTGCCCTGACGAATGCCCAATCCTGATCTGTGGACGTTACCGTCAGGTCAATGTCTTTATTCTCGGAAGGTCCTACTTGAGACTGGTCCGTTGCCTGGGCTTGACGATTCCCGTCATTGACCCGTCCATCTTCATCTCTCGCTTCGCCTCGCTCCTCGAATTCGGCGATGAGACGCAGCGTGTGGCCACGGATGCCACCCGTCTTGTTGCACGGTTCAACAAAGACTGGATTACCCAAGGACGCCGCCCTGCGGGCATCTGTGGTGCCTGCCTGCTGCTCGCCGCGCGGATGAATCATTTCCGGAGATCGATTGCAGAGATTGTCCAGGTTGTCAAGATTGCAGACGTTACGCTTCGCAAGCGCCTCGAGGACTTTAAGCAGACTCCGTCAGGAAAGCTGACAATCGACGATTTCCGAAATATCTGGCTCGAAGAGGAGAATGAGCCGCCTGCCTACTATCTGGCTAGATTGCCGAAGAAGGAAGAGGATGACAGAAAGAGGGCCAAGGGAAAAGGGAAGATGAATGAAGAAACAAAGGCCAGAAGGGACAAGGCTAGAAAGAGGGCCAAATTTCTTGCCGGAAAGGGACGGGGGGAGGGCAACGTACGACCAGACGACGAAGAGCAAGAGGACGTGGATGACGAAGCGAACGATGCCGATGAAGACGACGAGGACGGAGACGCCGCAGATGAGGACGAAAAGCGAAGGCAGAGAAGACTAAAACTCAAAGAGGGAGACGAGGCGTTGATGTTGGATCCACGGCTCGAGGCGCTGGCGGACGAGGCGACCGAAGAAGAGATCGCAAGGGCTTTGCAAGAAGAGGCAGCTCGCAGGTTGGACGCTGATTTGACAGAGGAAGAGAGAGCACGGGTCGAGCGCGCAAAGGCTGGGCTCGTCGGCGATACCCCGTCGTCGAGTCGGCCGAGGCCAGACTTGGAAGAGCAGAAGAGCATATTGCAGCAGGCGGCTGCTGCTCCTGCTCTCAAGTCTTCCCAACCCGGTCCAAGCACTCTAGACCACGAGGACCCATCTACAATGCCACGCACCTCGCCTCTGACACGGCCAATCAAGGAGCCGACGCCGACGCCACCGCCACCGCAGGGCAGCGAAGCGGGAGCTGCTGCCGCAGAAGAAGACGCGCTGCTCGGATTAGATGAAGCAGAACTCGACGCATTCATCCTGACAGAGGAAGAGGCAAAGATCAAGGAGCGCGTCTGGGTCGAATTCAACCGCGACTACCTCGAGAAGTCGCTGGAGAAGCAGCTCAAGCTCGAGGCAGACATCAAGAATGGCATCGTCCCAAAGAGCGGCTCGAGACGATCCGGCTCTGCAGTCAAGAGGAGCAACAGCGCCAAGCCCGGTGCAACGGGCAGTCGAGGCTCGGCGGCGGCCGAGAATGCCAAGATGATGATGAGCCGAAAGAAGAACTTTAGCAGGAAGCTCAACTACGACGTCATCAACAGCCTCTTTGACGATGATGTCAAGAAGCAGCCAGGCAAGGGAGAGGACAAGAAGAGGAAGAGGAGGTCAGGCAGGGAGACGGAGGACGAGAGCGAGGGTGGTAGAGCGACAACGGACGGAGAAGGAGAGGCCGAGACGGAGGGCGAAGGCGAATTGACAGAGGCCGAAAGCGTTCCCGAGTGGAAGCGGCAGATGAACACTCTCATGGGCAACGTCGAGGAGGAACAATACGGCGATGACTACGACGAGTACTGAAGATATCCGTGTACGCTCTTTGTAAAGTATCACTACCTTTCCAGGTATGTCCTTCTCTTCCTCGCACACACACACATGTACTTTTGTCGGCAGCAGATTTATCACAAAGGTTACATTACACAAAGAGCCAGAGCCGAATCCATTGAGTAGGAATAGAAGGGAGCAAGAGACAGAAAGGAGAAGACTAGTAGAGGATGAGGCAGGGCTATACGCCTGTCCTGGTGATGACCTTTCTCTGGTTGGTAAATCTGAGAACGTCTCTCTTCTCCAGGACCCAGAGCGTCTTGTCCAACGCATGCTGACTGAAGCCCTGTCCCTCGACGAACTCGCCTCGCAGCCTGGCGGCCGACACGGCCCAGCCGATGGGCAGCCTCCGCTTGATGTCTCGCTCTAGGCGCTGCACCTCCTCCTGGAGCTCGCCCCTCGACATGCCATCGACGTTTCCGGCCTGCACGGCGTCCATTGTCGAGAACTTGAAGAGACGGATAGCCTCATCGACGTGCTCCTCGAGGACCGTCGTTGATAGCGTCATCTTGGCCAGCGACTCGCTGATCCGCACGATAGCTTCCAGCTGTCGGACAGTGATGGGGATGCTGCTTCGCTCGTCGTTGTCGCGCTCGACCTGTGCCACCTGTCTGCGCAGGGCGACAAAGTGCGACGAGAGCTTCTCGGCGGCTTCGGCAGAGACGCGGGGGGCACACCGAGCCTTGGCAAAGGCAATGTACCGCTTCATGTCCTCGACGTCAAAGTCACCCTGTTGTTGCTGCTGCTGTTGCTGCTGCTGGTCGGCGCCCCGGTTCATGTGCACATTCATGACATGCTTTGCGATCGTTCGGTCCCGCGCCTCGTTGTGCTCGTCCTTGACGATAAAGATCATGTCAAATCGACTCAGAATCGTCGTCTGGAAATCAATGTTCTCGCCAGGGCTCTTCATGTCGTCGTATCGTCCAAAGACGGGGTTGGCAGCCGCCAGGACCGACGTCCTGGAATTCAGAATCGTCGTGATGCCGGCCTTGGCGATGGAGATCGTCTGTTGCTCCATGGCCTCGTGGATCGCGACGCGGTCTTCGTCTCGCATCTTGTCAAATTCATCGATGCACACCACTCCGCCGTCTGCCAAGACCATTGCACCGCCCTCGAGGTAAAATTCTCGCTGAGTAGTCTCACCGTCAGCACTTGCAAGCAATCCCTCCATTCGCAGAAAGACAGTGCTCACCGAGTTTGCGTCTCGCTGGACCGAAGCAGTCAGACCAGCCGCACTACTTCCTTTTCCCGAGGTATATACTGCAATCGGCGAGACCTTCTCGACAAACTTGAGCAGCTGAGATTTGGCCGTACCAGGGTCACCCAGCAGCAGCACGTTGATGTCGCCTCGAAGTCTCATGCCGTCAGGCAGCACCTTTTTGCTCCCACCGAAGAGGAGACAGGTGATTGCCTTCTTGATATCTAGGGAGAGTATTGCGGTCAGCTTTTCGGCGCACGCGACATTGGCAAAAGCTGCTCAGGATGCTCACCTTCATTGCCGAAGATGGAGGGCGCAATGCTGGAGGCAAGCTTCTTGTACAGATCGGGGGTCCTGCTCATGCGCGAGAACTCGTCTTCCTCGGTGGCCGAAAACATGCGAGCGCCTCCCCGTCCTCCGGCGCCTTCCGCGTCGATTTCGAAGCCGAGGACGCGCAGGTAAGGCGTTCGCAGCGCGACTGTGCCACCACCGCTGCCTGCCTTTCCCGACTTGCTCGAATTGAAGGTCGAGTAGACGCCCGTGGCAATGATGCGAGAACCGGGCACAACCCTGGCGCAGAGCGTTCGGTCCGCAGAAAGGAGCATATGCCTGGGCAGCTCTCCGACGGGGACCATGTCTGGCGCCTCTTGGAGCTTTATTGTCTGCGAGTCGACAAATTCACACTTGTCGTGCAGGACGACAAAGGGGTCGGTGCTGCACTTGACTTGGTTGTCCATTGTCTTGTTGGGCGCGTCGCAGTACCTCGGCAGTACGAAGCCGCCGAAGCCGCTCGTGATGGGGAGGACCTTTGTGTTCTTGCAGTCACGGCACATGATGCACAGATGGGTTGCGCGAGACGACAGCGTCGACGTGCCAATGACAATTCCGGGGATACGGACGAGCTTGGAAATGGAGTCGGCGTGAAGGTCGCGCATACCCAGTAGGTTGGCGGACAGCTTGAGCGTGACCTGGACATCAGGTGCCTCGGGCCGCTGCCCTCGGTCGGCAGCCACAGGGTATAGAATAGAGCGTGCCGCCCTCTTAACCGCCGACTCGATCTATCAAAAGTCGTGTCAATTCAAGCTCACATGGATATGGATGAGAGAAGGTCTATTTACCAAGGGTAGCATCTCGCCAGGATGCTCTCGGAATTGCTGGGCGAGGTAGGCGCTCCAAAGCTGCAGGTGCTCGAGCTGCACGTCGAGGACATTCTGCTTGGCCAGCAAGTTTGCGCGAAGCCGGTCTCTGTAGATGTAGTCGTTGCCCGTCCGGAAACGCTGGATGAATTGGAGGAGCGCCTCTTCGGTCTGGGCGGGGGCATCTGGCGCCCGAGACTCTTCGGATCCTGCAAGCACCTGCGCGCTGTACACGCGCCCTACGTCGAAGCCCGACATGCTTCTCTAATGGCTGCTCTGACGGATTCGAGAATGGTAAGAAGGATGGAGGCGATGGAGGGATGCAAAGCGGGTGAATGATGTTGGTAAAATTAAAAAGGGTGTACAACGGTCGCGTCAACCTCGCTCATTGCGTCTTTCCATTTACACGTCCACGACGCGTCGAGAGCCGCGTGAGCGAGCAAAAGCACATGACAGGGACAGTGACAGAATTATTGTGAATAGAACTTTTGTCAGGTACCATCACCGCCTCCATCGAGCCATTCGCCAAAGGCATCGTGCCGTCTTTGCTCCTCGCCGACGGCATCGACATCCTCGTCGTCTTCAGCAGGTCCACTCTTGTCGGACCGCTTGAACTTCGGCTTGCCTTCCAGGAGATGAGCAATCACCTTTCTTCCTGCAAAGAATCTCCCGTCCATTTTCTTGAAGTCACTTTAATGAGCGATGTGTTCGTAGGCAAGGATTGCATGAAACTCTGAAACTCACCTCAACGCACGCCTGCGCCGCTTCGGTACCAGAAAACTTTACGGTCATGATTCCGTCGGGTTCCTTGTCCCATAGCACGACGTTGGTCACCTTGCCTAGTGTCTCACACTCTTCTCGCACATCCTCTTTGAGATCGAGGAGCAGCGTCGGGTCTTCGTCAAGCTCAGCTAGCGTGAACATTCTGCGCAAGCACACCTGTCTGCTACTTGAAGACGCCATGGCGGCCACTGTGTTGCCCATTCCCGCCTCTCGAGATTGACCCGATGGCCGCTTGAGGAGCTCGAGGTCTTCATCCGAGTCGGAGTTCCAATCCGTCAGCTTGTTGTTCATCTTCGCGTATCGTTTCTGTGCCTTTTTCTTTTCCTGTTCCGTCATTTGTTTCCTCTGACCGCCTCTGCCTTGCGAGACGCCATTGGTGTTCGGCGTCGAGGCAGACGCCGACGATGACGACGACGCCTCTCCCAGCCTTCTTTCGTGGTCGGCCGAGTCGATCTCCTTGGCCTGCTCTTTGCCGTTACCGGACCCGAACTGAGCCTTTTCAACCTTCATGATTGGGTGTGTCTTGCCCTCTGCCGCTCTCAGTGCGCTTTCATCGAGGACCTGGACGGCCAGCTCAACGCTCTCTGGCTTGAAGAAGGTAACGAGTGCCTCTCCCTTGAACATTCCAGTCTTCTCGTCGGCGTACATCTTGATTCTCGGCTCGCCCTGGTCATCCTCATTGAGGACGCCGTAGCGAGAAAAGACAGCGGCAATCTCAGACTTGGTCGCGTCCAGCGGCAGGCCGGTGACATAGACGCTGCTGTTAACACGTGCCTTGGGAGCTCGAGGCTGCTTGTTGCCGCCTTCTCTCTCTTCTCCGTCCTTGCCGGATGGCGAGGCTCTTCGGCGCTTCTTCTGGTTTCGTCGCTCGACGGCGGCAACGGGCGCCTCTTCGTCCACGCCTTCTACACTATACGCCATTTGCTGCGCCCTGATCAGCTCGTCATCTACGACAGGCAACCATGTCCTTTTGGTCACATCCCATTCCAGCTCGCTTGTCTCTCCATCGCCCTCGGCTTCGCATTTCCAGGTATTTGTCTGACGGTCAAAGAAGACACGCTCGTCGTTTTCGTCGAACGGCTCAGCATTGGCTCCTGCGACGCCTGCCCTAATGCTTCTCGGTGGCGCATAGAGCGGTAGAGCAGCTGGCGCATCAGCTGGTTCCCTGTCCTGCATCGACGATGTTGAGGATGATGCCGTGGCCATTGCTGGAAGCTGAGAGCCTTTCCGGCTTTGGATGTCGAAGACGACGTGAGATGCTAGAAAAAGGTGGTGCCGGGAACAAAGCTGCAGACAGACGCGTCGAGCCTTTTTTTTTTCTCCCTAGCCCTCACTCGCACAGACGCAAACCTTACGTAGTTGATCCCTCGTCGATGTGCGATGCTATATTCGAAGCCCGGGTGCCCTACGCGACATGAAGCTGAAGTCTGCTTTCTTCTGCATGTCCGGTTGACTGAATTCGGGCTAAGAGCTGTCTTAGTGGGAAGAGAGGGCGTACAAGGACTTTCAGTTCTCTGTTCCTTTTTCATGAGTGCGATATCTTCACCGTCATCAAAATTACCTGCACTCAACAAGGAAGGCAGTGCATGATTCGACATATGCAATGTGCCACCTGACACCAGCCCGTAGGAGCTTTCTAAATGACCACAGCGTCGTCTGCATTCTCATAATTACACGAATTGTGAAGCTGTCCATCACATATTTTTACCAGCTCGCCCTTGGCAGGCTTTTTTTTTTGAGCAATATCCCTTGAGCTTGACCCTCGATACAGACGAAGTAATGATACCAGCTCAGCGCCACTCAAGAGACGTCGGAGAGAGAGCACGAACGGGAGGATCGACAGCAACGATAGAGATACTTCGCTGCCTGCGGATAACTTGATAAAAGTTCACGGTAGAATACGAGAATATGCGATATCGGAGTTATCAAAGTCTCCGACAAACGAATCTTCATCGGCCCAAGCTGGTCACGAATCTGACACTTCGGACCAGCTCCAAGGTAGTTCCACACAAACTTGGCTACCTGACCTCAATGTCGAGTCTGCTTCTTTCCTCAATTTTTGGGCACGCTCGCTGTCATACCTTCGGCGCACGACGAGGGCGGTAGTGGAGTGCGACGCATCTCTAAAATCTCCACGTGCGCGTCGACATCGGATTTCTTCGCGCCTCTTGCTCACCTAAAGGAACGAGCCACTCCATCACTTTCTTCCTCGCCCTACGAAGGAAGATTGCGAAATCTTGACCGCAAAAAAATAATGGGTTTCTTTTCCTCCTCTTCATCGTCAAAGGGCGACACAAACGCAGCGGCAAACCAAGCGCCCACACGCTCGTCTCGGCGGCAGTGCTGGGAGTCGCGCGATGCCTACTACGCCTGCCTCTCGTCGCACCGCATCGTCGTGCCGCCGGGCACAGACATGTCCGACGGGCGCGGCATGCTGGGCGAAGCAGCTGCAGAGGAGCAGCGGACCAAACGGGACCGGCTGGAGGACGAGGTGAAGAATGATCCCTGCGCCAGTGCGAGGGGTCCCTACGAGGAGAACTGTGCAAAGAGCTGGGTGAGAAGGAACGCAGGCCGTTTCAGGGTTGGCTTACGAAGCGATGCGGCTGACACAAAGACGAGACAGATCGACTACTTCAACAAGCGGAGAGTGCTGGAGGAAAGACAAAAGCTCCTATATAGCCAGGGTGCACAGCCCACGACTTCATCACTACCGCCGTCTCGAGGGAGTAGCAGCGGCAAGTAGTAGAAGGGAAGGAGTTGCCGATAGTAGTAATATGATTCTGTTTTCCAGTGGAGGGCATACGGTACATGACAGATCGCCTTTCGTCTAGCGAGAGAGTTAAAGATAAGAGAGTGTAAGCGTGGACAAGGAGAAGCGGTAGGAGGGTAATTAGGCAACGTCCGTGCGCCCGTAGGTTCTCCGGTACATCTTGTCGACGTTCTCGAGGTAGTAGCTGCCCGGCCAGAGGTTGGCCAGGTCGCCCTGGGGCGTGTAGTTGACGGCGTTGTGCGTGGCCTCACGCGTCTTGAGGGCGTCAACGTAGGTCTGGCAGGGGACGACCTGCATGGCGGCGAGCCTCTTGATCAGGTCCAGCTTCTCGGCCAGCTCCGTCGTGTCGCCCTGGACCTTGATGCCAAAGAACGAGGCGGCAGAGCCAGAGCCAAACGAGTACATGAGAATCCGCTTTCCCTGAAGGTCCTTCGAGGCGACGTTGGACAGCAGCGCGGCGAGACCGCCGTAGAGCGAGGCCGTGTACATGTTTCCGCACCGGCGAACGCAGTTCATTGTTGGCTCCAGCTTCTCGTTCATCTTTGCCTTGGCGAGGCCGAGGAAAGCCTTTTCGACATCCTTGTTGAAGATAGTGTCCTTGCGGTCCAGCTCAGCAAAGTTGGCGGGGATCGATGCGTAGGCCTCGTTTTTCGGGTCAACAAGGAAGTCATTGTAGAGCTGTTGGTTGGCGACAGCGCAGGGGTGAGCAATAAGTCTCTAAGCCTTCTTCAAGGACGACTCACCAGTCGGCCAAAGCCCTTCTGGACCAGCTTCGAGTAGGGGCTGTGGAAGATGGTGTAGTCAAAGTCGTCGAGGTTCGTCTTGGCGAGGACCTCCTTGCTGATGGCGTTGCCAATGACGGGCGCCGCCGCCGCGCCGTTGGTCTTGGACTGGCGAGCGGCAAACTGGGCCGTCTTTGCGCGGTAGCTGTCCCAGGCCTTGTCGATCGAGCCCAGATAGGCGACCAGGGTCTCGGGGCCATCGACGGTGGGGTATTCAGACGAGAGGTCGGGCTTGAAAAAGTCCCACGAGTTGGCCATGTGGGAACCGCGGACCGATTCGATCGACAGGGGTGCATCGGGACCAATGAGGAGCGCAACGGCACCGGCACCACCGACGGGTCGGGCGCTGCCCTCGGCATAGATGGCAATGTCGGCGGCAACGACGATGGCGTCACGGCCATCCCACGACGAGGACTCGATCCAGTTGACGGCATTGAACAGGGCGGCGGTGCCTCCGTAGCAGGCATTCTTGCTGTCGATGCCCTCGACGTCGGTGTTGCCAGCGGGGGCAAAGAGGTTCATGAGAATCGTCTTGACCGACTTGGACTTGTCGATGATCGTCTCGGTGCCCACGTCGAGGCGGCCGATGCTCTTTGGGTCGACCGAGTACTTTTGCATCAGGCTCGAGGTGACTGCGTTGCAAGGGTTGCATGCTGTCAGCTACTTTCTTTCTTCTTTCTTTCTCCAATTGGGCATAGGGCGGAGAAGATGGCTCACCATTGAGAGCAAACGAGTTGATGTCTTCGCGGTCGTCGGTGCAGGCCATGTACTGCTGCCCAAACCCAATGGTGTACTTGCCCGCGGCCACGCCGTCAAACTTCTCCAGGTCCTCCTCCGAGATGCACTGTCGGACGACGTCAGCTCACCCTTCCTCTTCATCTGGAGAATTACGACGAATGAATCACTCACTCGCTTGGGAAAGTAGATTTCAAATCCCTAGAGAACGACAAGATGGCAAGAGGGAGACAGTCAGCTCACTTCTCCATCCAACGCACTGCAGCAAGGGACAGAGAATAAACCCACCTTGATTCCGACGTTCTGAGGGCGAGTCATGGTGTCTGGTTGCTAAAGTTGTCCGCAGAAAAAGAAAACAGGTGGAAGAGAGATGTCAGGTCAAGGTTGGTTGGTTGCTTGGAGGGTGGGTCCGACGAGAAGGAATGAGATTTCGTCCTTCCTTCTTTTTTCCCTTTTGATTGTTGAGTTAACTTTAGTTGAGAGCGCAGACTGCACTAGCGCCGTCTTTTAGACTTATGAAACAAAATTGAACCGAAATAACAACAAGGCTGTTGGAACCTCGCTACGACGTGTTGTTCCCCTCCCCCGTATCGTTATCCCGGATCACGCACGGTTTGGCAGACAACGCGAGAGAAAGTTTCGCGGGCCCAACGACAGCTTATCCGATTCCGGAAGTGCAGCATCTTATGTACTGCACACTTAGCCAGGCAGGACGCAGATTAGAGAGGCCGTGGTAGCATTGTCCATTGCGACAGGAACACTCTTCGACCGGAAACGCCGCTGGCTTGGCATGATCTGAAAGGCTCGCGTGCAACCGGACATCATACGATTAATCACCAGTCTTCACCGCTATTGTAACAGCCTGTGCCAGCCTCTTTCGCTACACGATCACATCATGCTGGGCTGAGCAACGACAATGATGCTGAGCAGCACTGCCACTCTAGCGATACGACCGCTGCTGTCGCAATTGTGCTGAGACGCGGAGAGGTCAGCCCACCAGCAGCCGCCGTTCCAGCTATTAATTTTCCGGAGCCGGAGGGAGCTTCTCAGGCGAGAGGTGTGCAGATTGTGATTACGTAATCTTTTTTTTTTTTTTTTTTTTTTTTTGTGAGCTTCGCTCACGCGTGCGTGCGCGCGAGCCTTTCTTCGCAGTGCTTTTGGTTGATAGCACAAGGAAAGGGAGGGCGAAAGGCCACCGCTAGGACATATGCTAAGGCATCTCAGCAGGAGGGGTGCGAAGAGCCTTGCGGCGGAGGTGCGGCACAGATGCTTGGCGAGCACATCGAGCGTCGTTTGGCAAGAAGCCCCTACCCTTGCGTCCCCACTGGGAAAGGGCAAGGAGAGGGCGGTCGACGATGGGAAGGAGGAAGACAGCGAGGGCGGTGATGGGTTCGGGCGCACAAAGTCGATCTACGAGCACAGTCGGGCATCGAGTAGACCGAGACCAAATGTCCATACGCCCCTCTTTGCCGCCAAGAGGAGCGGCAGTCGCGCCAGGCTGCTGTCAAAGTCGCTGCAAAATGGCGAGTCATCGCTAGACGTGGACATGGGCGAGGGCAGAGAGGAGTTGAGGTCTGCGTCTGCATTCGACGATGTCCTTGCTCGGACAGACTCAAAGCTGCGAGAGCTGTACAGCGCCATTTCGGTGAGGCGCGCTGACAAGAATTTGGCTGGCGTCATCGATGTATGCGCCGATATTCAGCAACGACTCCACGAGATTGCTGCGGAGAGGAAGCTACCCTCTATTCCGCCGCCTTCTCTCCACGTATACCATTGTCTTCTCTATACAGCAGCGGAGTGTGGGCAGGTTAGGCTCTGCCAGAGCACGCTCGAGGACATGCGAGCGCTGGGCTTCGACATCGATGTTGACCTGTTAAATTACCGCCTCAAGGCCAGCATCGTGGCCAGCGACCGCGCCGGCATCGAAGAGGTGCTTGATGAGATTGCGTCCTTGTCGCCGCTATGGGGGAGCACGGCAAGTGAGAGTTTGTCTGCCAAGAACGAAGAGGAACAGGTACAGGAACAGGAGCAGGAGGAGCAAAACGAGGCCATGCCGGTCCTGATATCGAGGCACTGGACGCGCAACTGGACGCCAAAGACATACCACCACATGCTGCTTCGCTGCACCTTGACACACAACCTCGAGCTAGCGCTTGCCCTCCTGGGGTGCGCTTCGCAAACGAAGGGCCACGGTGTCCAGGAGGAAGGAGAAGCCCGGCAGGAAGATGCCTTTCTCGCGCGTGTGCTAAATCCTGCGACCTGCCTCAATCTCCTCAGCGCAGCAGCCCACTGCCGTGAGGCACGCCTCATGACCGACCTCGCCCTCTGGATGGATGATGGGGCGAGCATGCGCAAGCTTGACAGCCAGATGTGGATGTCCGTCCTCCGATGCTCCGCCGACAACGACTGGTTCCCCGGCGTCGAGGTGGCCTGGGACCGAGCGGTGCGGAAGGCACTCCTCACGCCTGACGAGGGCCTGGTGGTGCAGATCCTCAACACTGCCTCGCGCGTCCATGGACAGGCCTTGTTCATCCAGGAGATTCTCTCCCTCTTTTTCGATGTCTCTCCCGCGTCCTCGTCTGTCAGGTCGCCACGGGCGATGCTGAAGAAATGGGCGTTGCAAGAGTGGCACCTTGCACCCCTCTTTGAGTCCCAATGCGCCGACCTGGACTTTGAAGCGGCCTTTCGCACGGCCAATCGGATCGCGAGCCTTAGCGCCGGCGTCGCCACACCTACGCACCATACCCTCAAGTCTCTCACTCGCTTCGCCTCGTCCAGCCCAGAGGCGATGGAAAAGGCATATGCCGCTTTCAAGGCAGTTGGCGCAGAGCAGACAACGTACGGTGGCATGCTGACGGGCAGCCTCAACGCCATGATTGCGGCGGCGAACCGTCTCACGGACAAGGCGCTCGCGGTGCAGATCTACCGGGATCGCAAGTACCTCCGCGACGCGCGCAAGGACCCGCTCACCGCTTCTGTCCCTGCGCCGCCCACGCCGGAAGAGGAACCAAAAGAGGACTACGAGACATGGGGCGGCAAGAAGCTCAAGCGGCCGGGGCTGGACCGAGCCATGTTTACCATGAGCCGCCAAGAGCTCGCCGACACCGTCTTGGCCGATGCCGCGACGTTTGACGAGCTCCTGCTGACGGCCATTGATGCACGCGACAGGCTCATGGGCACGCTCGTGTTCAAGGACCTCAACCACCACCGGCGGCGCACGCCCGAAGAAAAGGCCGCCAAGATAGGCGAGATGGTGACGCCGACGGCAACGACGTACGAGCGAGCGATCATCCTCTGCCTCACGCAAAAGGGCTACTACGAAGATGCGTTCAAGTTCCTGGAAGAGGCAAAGAGGCGCAAGATCGTGCCCACACGTACCAGCTACGAGGCGATTGTGTTGCGGTGCAGGGATGCCGGCGACGAGCGGTGGGAACGCATTGCGCGCGAACTCCGAGAGACGGGGCAGAGGCCCAGTCGCATGGTAGAGCGCTGGCTGAGAGAGATTGACGGGGAGGACGCAGACACGATACAAGGCGAAGAAGACAACAAGGTTGAGGCAGATAGGAAAGCACAAACCAAGGGAATCGAGCGGGAAAGGAAGACTGAAGGGAAGATGAAAGAGAGACGGCAGCGTTTCCGGCCGAAGCAGAACCTCTACAAGAGAAAGGAGAGTCGCGAGGGGGAAGAGGAACGTTGGGAGTAAATGCAATACATGCTTTTTCGACCATTGCGCAGAGAATACGAGGGAGAATGTTCGTGTCACAAGCGCTTTTGATGGTATGAGAAGGATCGGATGATACATGGATGTATGGGAAAGGGGATTCCTTGTTCCATGGATATGCACAGCATCGCCGGGTTGGAGGTGCGGGATGGAAGGGGCCGGGAAGGACATGACTAGTTGTTGTGCTCGTGGTCGCTCTTGCCGCTGCCGTGTGGGCCCTTTGAGTCGTGGCGATGCTTGAAGCGCTCGATGCCTTGGTCCAGCAGCACACCCGACACTGCACCGACGAGAGTGTCTTTCAGCCTCTTGCTGTCTCTGTGCGTGCATATGGAAGGCTTGAGTATGAGCGTATCATTGCTGTGCAAGTCAGAAAGCGCTTGTAGCCTCACCCGTGCTTCTTGCTCTTGCGCCCGTTGGACGATCGCGAGGAGCCGACGGAGTGACTCCTCGAATGGCGGCTGTGATGACGACCTTGACGGCCTGTGTGAGCATCTGCAAGGAGAAGAGGAGCGTTATTTTGTCAGCACCGATCTGGGCAAGCATACGGAGAGCGACAGGGTGCGAGGATGAAGCAAGAAAGAGAGAAATTATAGAGTGCCGACCTTTTCAGGCAGCATAGAAAGGACGTCGGCAGCCATGTCAAGTGGTTTCGAGGCTCTTTTCTTCCTTCTGGTTCCTCTCTTCTTTGTCCCGGTCTCGAAATTCCCGCTCGAGCAAGAGGAAGACTCATTGCCATCTTCTTTTTCCCTGGCTAAACAGGGCACTGCAGTGAGTATGGCCGAAGCAGAATCTTCTCGGTCTTTTACAACGACTCGAGTCTGCTCACCTAGGAAGCATGGCGCTGAGACTAGGCTCCTCTTCCCCTTTCCTCTCTCCGTGCTCCAAAAGCCCTTTAGGTCATGAGATAGTGTTACTCACAGTGATCACGTCCGCGGTAGGCATCAAAACCATCTGCATAGCCACGAGCAAGCGAGGCGGCAATGTTGGGGGGCATGTAGTTGCCGTACGGGTCCATGACACCCATGCCCGGTGGGGGAGGCGGGGAAAATAGTGCTGGATATGCTCCTCCGTAGGGTGGGACGGGATAACCAGTGGGTGTGGCGGCCAAGTAAGGGTTCATGGCTGCTAGCTGGTACTGGGGCGACATGTGCGATGGCTGAGGTGGAAGATATTGACCGTAGGGGCTTGGAACACCGGCAGGCATGGGATTGTACCCCATCATAGCCGCCGGATGCATGGGTTGCATGGATTGCTGCGGTTGGTAACTGCGAGAGGCTTGCGACGGGTAGCCCGGCTGTGCTACGCCACCAAACGCAGGAGCACCTGCTCCAGGGTACGAGGCCCGGTTTGATGGAGCACCGTACGGGTCGCTAGCATATGCTCGACTCGTAGAGCCATAGGAAGGCATGCGCTGCATGTTGCTGGGATGGTCATAAGCTGAAGGATAGGCAGCAGCGGCGACGCCAACGCCACCGCCACCGCGCTGCTGCTGATAATGGTAGTTGCCTTGCTGTCCGTACTGCGCACCTGGAGGGGGAGGGGGAGGAGGGAATCCTGCCATTGTCTTCGCTGCTGCTTGTCGTAGCCTGTTGCTTAGGATGAACAAAGTAGCACCTTCGAGCGAGCAGATATGACACAGAGAGACGGACAGAGGAGTTCCGGCGAACGATGAAGGGGAAGGCAACTGGGGGGAAAATCAAAGGACGCTGCACCGCCAGTTTATCTATGCCGTCCGCTGCAACTCAGCAATGCCTCAAACGAGCGTCTTGCGCTCTTGTGAGGCAACTCTGCCATGCGTCCAGGCCGCCTGTGTTTTGCCAAGCAGCATCGAATGCTACTCGGGGCGGACGGACTGGCAAGCGGACTGCCTCTCCACCCCTAGGGCGCGGCGGGATACTGCAGTATTTTCGCTTTTTCATCCAACACCGAGCGCATTGTCTTCCTGAAAATTGATTGAACAAGTGGGCCATTTTTCTTTTTCCATCGGCGCCCCAAAGTATTTTGTCGCAAGTACGACGTTGTGGCCCCCCTCTGCCGTTCTCTTCTCCTTTCCGCTCGTCATTGCTGATGTCCGGATGAATGAATTGCCACCAAATGAGAGACGAGGAGTGCTAGAGATCTACATGTGTTTCTTTGAGTCTGCGCATTCGTCGAGTATCCTTTCTTCTCCTCGTTATGTCTTGCTCTGTCCCTTCGAGTCGAAGCCGCCTTCGTTGCTGCCACCGTCGTGGACTGGTCGCCGCTTACCCTCGAGGGGGTTGAATTCGGGTGTGCGCTGGTTGGGACCCCAGTTCTTGACATTGCGCTCTTCGGGCGTGATGCCGTCCTCGCCTCCAATCTTTGCGCCCTCGGCCATCTCCTTGATGCCTGCGTGAGGAGGGTGAGGTCGAGTGCTGGCCTGCGGCGTAGTCCTAAAGCAGCACGTCCAAAGTCTCAGTGCTCTCTTCTTCTCCTCTTCTTGACGAAGCTGTCCGTAAGAGATCCACTTACGAGGCAGTTCGAATCTGCGAGCTCACGCCAGGCATGGTGGACGGGTGTTCACTCGAAACAGGCGTGTCAGCAGGAGTGTAGCCAGGATGGGTAGGCGTCGAAGCGTCTCGAGGCGACGTTCTCGAGTCATTGGTCGGCGACAGGGGCTGCTTCTTGAGCAACACGCCCGTGGTCGCTAGCCCTCGCCGAGCTGCAGTGATGCTCGATGGCGTCGACGACAGAGCCAGGCGTGGAAGAGCTCTTGCGATAGGCGACATCATGGATGGTGGTTGACCTTCACATCTTCGACTGTGGAGGGACGACGTCATTTGCAACATTGCGTGCCACGTGGGTCCTTGGCATGGTCTGTGCGCAACGTGCAACTAGAGGCGGCTCCACTATGACAACTAAATGCATGTAGCTTCTTTCTTCCCAAGGTGTACGTCGGATTCGCCATGTCGGTGGTCAAGCGTCCAGAGCCAGGGCCGATCATGGGCACGTATCGGAACGAAGATCTGAACGCTGTCGTCGATTACCTCAGCGATGGGTCAGAGGCCATCATCGAGCCCTGCGTCTTTGATCTCAGGTGGGCCACGGGACGGCCTCGAGGAAGTAGCGTCGCGACCCTGCTCGCAGCTGCAAAACCTCCAATACCGCTACCGATTCGATTGGCACGGTGTCAAGATGATGCTAATGGCATAGAGGATGGATCCAAGAACGACATAAAGACTAGGGCGATTCGTCAGATTATCTTGTCGGGGGCGCACATCATGAGCTTCAGCGGCGCCATGCCAAACTTTATGTCGCTGGTCCGACTCCACGCCAGTCTTACATCACTGGATCTGCAGCACTCGCACTTTCCATACAAGCTGGTCCCATGCAAGGAGCTTGCACACGCCATCAACACAAGCGTCTTACGGTCGCTCAACATGCCAAACTTCTACCGCGTGGGTGGAGCTGTATTCGTCATCGATTTGATCAACAACCTGGATTGCCCCAGCCTCGAGACGCTGTACCTGAACAAGGCCATCAACCTCTTCGGCGCAGACGTCGATGACGAAGACGACCTGAATGGTACCGCCGAAGCTGGAGAGGAGAATATCGACATGACGCAGAAGGAGGTGCAGGCTCGCGTCGGGGACGCTCTGGCTCATTTGGTTAGCCCATGGCACATCCCTCGGCGTGGCTGGGCGCCCAACCTCAAGAAGCTGCATCTGAATGCGAACGAGCTTGGAATCAAGACGGTCAAGAGGATTACGAGGGCCATTCTCGGCCAAGATCGCAAGATCAAGCGCGATGGCCGAATCTCACCGCCCAATCGAACCTTGATGTCAGTCGAGATGCTGGCCACCTATTCGGACAACAGCGAAGACGAGGCCGAGAGCGACGAAGAGGGACAAGGGACGAGGAGCAGCGCCGCAGTGACGGCTTCGGAAGCCAGCTTGAGACGGGTGAAGAGCATTTCCTCTCTTCTGCGTGAGCGCCGCATGCAGGAGGCATCTGCAGCGGCGCCAACGACGCCCTCGTCTTCGGCAGGCGACATCATCAGAGTGGCAAATTCTTCTCGGAAGCCAACTAGCGCGCAAGCCGGCAAGGAAACGGTGACGAAGGAGAACTGGAGGAGGCTGCTGGGCAACCATCTCTGGCAAAATCGGCGGATGGCGTCCAAAGTGCGAGAGTCGGCGAGAAGAGCTTTGCCAGTCGTCCGAGTGCTGGGATGTTGCTCTCGCGAGGCGAGCAGCAGCTCATCATCGTCCAGCTTCCCATTCACGTGTCTCCCTGCCGAGCTCAGGAGGCGTATCGTTGAATTGCTGCTCGACGAGAGCGACGACAAGGAGAGACAGCTGACCCGGCAGCAGATGGAAAACGTGATAAGCTTTGCCTGCGAGCGGAGCACTATCGGCTGCGGCACTCGAAGTGCGCAGCTTGGCATGTCGGACCTGGCCCTCTCGCGGCTCACGTTGGAGCTGCAGCACCGCCAAGCAGAGGAGGAGAACAATGAGAAAGAAGAAGCAGACCCCAGCTTGATCCCACACCATCGATGGAGCTGGTTCGAGATGGTTCGAGAACGAAGCGTGCCGAGAGACTGGCCCGCAGCCATCATCGACGAGTCCAGCTTCCAATCGAAATCGGCCTATCACGGCCCCAGGGATGATGAAGAGGCGACCGAGGCCGAAAGGTCCTCGTTTGGGGGCGGCGGAGGCCCCGATGGTCAGGGAGGCCTGACGACAATGAGACCCATAACAGTCACAAAGGAGAGGAAGCTTCAACTGTGGCAAACGAGCGGCCTCAGAGCTTTCTGGGAGGCTACGGGCACCACTACGGCCTTGGCAGCGGACATATAAGTAACGTGAGCTTGTGAGTCGCACGGAAAAGAGACACATCTGTAACAGTATTCGCTAGCCTTTCGGTCTAGTGTGCCGCAATTCAGGATGAGCAGAGAGCCAGTGGTGTTGTACAAATACATCTTCATTGTTTTGGTCATGAGCAGTGATGAGTGAAAAGCGGTGACATGTGTAGATAACGTGCGATGACAGACTTGTACCCTTTTAACTCAAGTCAAGTAACCCTGCTGGTGTCTGATGCAACTCTCGCCTCCTGTGCCCGCGTGTTGCTCGAAACCCAGAAGCCCCTGCCAGCCTCAAAGATCGTCCAGCCGATCGCGCTGGACGCGGCCTTTCTGGCGCAGCGGAGACCCAGGCCGTCCAAGAAGGCTCCCCAGCCGTCCGTGGCAATGAGGTGCCGCGTCGTCGCGATCAGCGTCCTCTTCTCGTGTCTGGCTGATGGGGACGCGGACGAGGGCGAGGTCTGCACGCGCGTCTTGAGGATGTCGAATGGATGCGTGAGCACAGTAGCCAATGTCCCTGCAAAGAGACCTGCCAACACTGCATCTTCAGTATGATGGAACTGCAGCTCTAGTATCAGTCTCGAAGCTCACCGCTGACGCTCACGACGAGCGAGTTGCCGCTGCCTCTGGCCTTCTGACCTCTCGCTTCCCAGTTCCCCAAGCGGTGCTTGCTCCCTTCGTAGAAGACTAGATAGAGGCCGGCGTACGGCGCGTCTCTCAATGCCGTAGCAGTGAAGCCACGAAAGAGGCCTCGGACACCATCAGTCTTGTAGATGTTGACGAGGGCCGATGAGAGCGATGGATAAGCGCTCTTTGCAAAGTGCGAGGACTCGAAGCGGGCCTTGACGACGGTGATGGGACAGAGGATGAAGCCTACGACTACGCGAGCAAAGGCGCCAGAGACCAGGTTGCCCGTCGCAGTGAGCCGAGCCAGAGTCGTTGTGCTTCCAGAACGGCCTCCCACGGATCCTCGTGCACTGGCCGGGAGCTCCTGGGGAGGAAGCGAAAGGACGGGGACGGCCGAAGAAGAAACGAGGGCGCGGATCTCGCTGACGCTGTAAAAGTACATGGCGACTCCCGGCACGTTTCTGCAAGACGCTTACTGTTAAGCAGAGATCTCCCGTAGAGAAAAGAAGGAGGGTACTGGTGTCGACGCTCACCTCGCAACTGTCGGCACGGTACCCCTCCACAACCCCATCCAGCCGTCGTCCCGGAGGACCTGCCTGATCGTCTGTCCCAAGCGTGCGGTCCTTGTCTGTTTTTTCGCACCTATCACAGCAGAAGAGTTGGGCGTGACAGAAGGGGAGGAGCGCTGCTGCTGCATCCGAGTCTTGAGGAAGTCCATCGGTTGCAGCAACAAGCACGACGCGAGGCCAGACGCAGCGCCCGAGGCCAGCGTCGCCCACGGCGGGATGGGCGCCGCTTTTGCCCCTCCCCCCATAGTCGCACCTCCTGATATCCCACTCGACATAGCCGTATTGAATGCCGTCCTTTGGCTTGGTGCTAGTACGGGCAAGAGGGCAGTCGTCTATCGACGCATGACCACCAGCGCAGCGAGACCCTCCATTCACCCGGACTCTCGCGAAGCCAACCCAAAAATGGACCAGCCTTACAGTAATTTTTTTTTTGGAGGTCCAGTCTCGGAAGACGGAAATCTGCCCTTGTCGCGCTTCTGCTTCTTTTCTACCCACGTGTTTTCATCTGCTTCCTTCTTGCCTTTGGACCAAAGAAGGGCTCCCGTCAACGCTCGTTCAGTCGTCTTCAGTCATTCTCGAGCGCATCGAGCTATAAGCCGGAAGCCCAAAAGGACGATGCTCTCCCGACTTCTCGCTCGGGCGCACCCGTCGCTCAACCCCTCGCTTCGAGCACTCACACAGACACGGACGCTGATCCTCCCCGCCCGGCCCGCTCCGCTGACACCGGCAACAACCTCGACGTCCCTCTCAAACACCTGCAAGGAGCATGGCGTCGTAGGCGCAGACCAGAAACGAGGCATGAAGGTACGGTCGAGCGTCAAGAAGTTCTGCGATGGGTGCAGCGTCGTGCGGCGAAAGGGCAGGCTGTACGTCATTTGCAGCAAGGACCCGAAACACAAGCAGGTGCGTCTGCCATCTCGAAATGTTCTCCCCTGTGCTGCTGGACGGAAAAGCTGACACCAGAAGATGTTCTGTCATGCTTCAGAGACAGGGCTAGACCTCTCAGGCAACGTCTCATACTTGCCCGAAAGCGCTTTGGATGAATTAGGGACGAGATACAGTGTAATAGTATAGAATGGTATGCAAGCAAGGACCAGGGCGGGAGGACATCTACTTGAAGAGGCTTGAGATGCGATCCTCGACCTCCTGCTCCGTCATGCGGATGTGCTTCTGAGGGTCTGTCGGGGAGAGACAGACGTCAGACTCTGCTTGTTGACAGAGACGCCAGGGGCAGAGGGAGATAGGGGACTTACTTTTGCTGAAGTCGCCGGCGCGGTGCTTTGCGACGAATCTCGCATAGAGGGGACAGACGAGCCTGCCGTCGCAATTGTCAGTGCGCTCGTAGGTGATAAATAAAAAATCACCACTCACCGAACAACGTCGTTTCTGAGCCGCTCTCTTAGCTGCGGGTCCTCTCTCGCAATCGGGTAGGCTCGATGAAGTCTCTCGAGATCATCGAGGCTGTCGTAGAATTTGGCAAAGCGGTCCTTGACGGCATTCTTCTCATTGTTGCCGCCCATGGCAGTAATCTTGGAGCTCGCGCTCCGGCTGCTCGGCATCGATGATGCGGCACCTGGCCCCAGTGCAGACGAGGCACCGTCCTCCATGAGAGCGCCTGCCACGGGGCTCCAAGCGTCGAGGTAGGCCTTGTTGGCCTGTCGCATCGCCCCGCCTGGAAGCTCTTGGCCCATGCTGCCCAGGTACATGGCCAGGTGGTGCTGACTTGCGGACCCCAGCGAGCCTTCTCGTCCACTGGGGGCAAGCTCGCGCTGCAGGTGACCAATGTTATTGATGAGAAAGATGCTGGCCGTCGACGGCTGTCGGATCGCCCTCGACCTCGCTTCAAGCGCATTGAGACAGGTGGCCAGGACATCGCAGAGGTACTGCGACACGATGTTCTCCTCCTCTGAGTCGAGACCCAGCGAGAGCACGGGCGCACCGCCCTGGCCCATCATCCAGTTGCCTGCGCCCAGCGTCGTCAGGAGGGGCGCCACCACGTCGTGGTACTCGCACAACCGGCGCATGAAGTTGAGCGAGGAGTAGGTGATCTCGTTGATCGTTGCTGTTTGTCATTGGCCTCAGTCAGCTGATCAAAGAGACAGAAAAAACAAAAAAAAGACTCACTGCTGGGCACCTCGCCCTCGCGCTGCTGGGGCATTGCATTGACGCTCTGGATAAACGTGGGAAAGACCTGCATCGCCGTGCCCCTCACGGCTTGCAGGGCTTCAGGAAGCGCATTGGCATTCGTTGCCTTTTCTTCGCTCCCGCCGCCGGTGTGTCCTGCGCAGCCATTGACGACGATGCTCTCCCATCTCGGCGCGGCAATGTTGAGCGCAGCAACAATGTCAAAGGCAAAGAATGTATGCGAAGTCGAGAGGCTCATGTGCCGCCGTACCTCCTGATGTAGCGCCTGGACCGTCTGTTGGAAATCACGGAGGGGCGCACGCAGCAGCCTGGCAAACGTCGACTGGATCGTCGACACTGACGAAGGGGGGTCGAGCGAGTTGAGGAGCGATGACACGACTCCATACTCGTTTTCTGCCATGTCTAGCGTCGATGAGATCCACTCGCCCAGGCCGGCGTTGCCTCGCGCGTAGCCCACGTCCTCGTCGTCGTCCCAGGCGGCTGCCATGCCCGCACGCCCTGCCGCTCCGGCACTGACACCCACACGCTCCTGCGCATAGGCAACGACTCTCCTGTTGCTGGGCGCCAGGCAGTTTTCCACATACGTCGATCGAATCTCGGCGTAAGCGGCCAGGGCCGAGGAAAAGGGCGCGTGGTGCGTCTTGGGATGCGTAGGCAGCGTCTTGAGAAAGGACAGGAGCGGCACGACGTGCTCCAGCGTCGCTTCGGACAGGACGGGCAGGGCAATACCCCTGGGCAGGTAGTCTGCTGGGTCGAGAATGTCCTGCGATTCGGCATTGACCCAGTCCTTGATGACGGAGCATACATTGCGGCTGCCCGTCTCGATGAGGTCGTGCATTCGCGTCATAACCTTTTGCTGCGACTTGAGGTCCGACTTGGACAGGTAGTCGAGCCCGCGCTGGACCCGCTCGATTGTCTCGAGGTATGGCCCCGGGTCGCGCACCGATGCTCTGTATGCTCTCTCGTCGTCAGTCTGAGGCTCAAGTACGCTTCAAACAGGCTTGCCTGCTCCTTACCCTTGCATGATCAGTGGCTCCTCGTCCTGCACAACGTCGTAGTGGCCCAGCGTCTTGTCGAGCGAGTCGAGGACCTCGTCGACGTTTTCCTGGATTCGGAGCAGCGTCTGCGTGCTCCGGTGGATGGGCAGCATGGTGCTCTCGAGCTTGATCAGCCGCCGATCAAAGCCCGAGAGGATGGCCGTCATGCGGTTCGTGAGGCTCCCGAGCTTGCGCTGGTTCTGCCCCAGCAGCTCCAGCTCGGCGAGGGCCAGCTCGGTGTCGTGCTGGTGCGTTAGGGCAGACGAGGACGTGGTGACCACAGGCGACACACCGCTGGCGCCACCGCTGCCGAGCGTCGGCGAGGTGACTCCGACGGCATTGCTGCTGCCGCCGCCGCCGCCGCCGCCGCCGCCGCCGCTGCCGACAACCTCGCCGGCCGACCCGACGTTGTATCCAGCCGTTGCGACCATCGGTCGTCTTTTGTGGCTGCTTGACGAAAAGTGACACTATCGCTGTGGGGGTTGAGAGACACTCAAATTCTCTAAACGCGTCGACCAAAAGAAGCTCACTCTCTCTCTCTTCTTGGTGTCAAAAATAATCGGTTGCTAATTATTACGGTGACGGTGAGCCAGGATCAGTAGAACATGGCTGCTCCTTGTGGTTTTACAGACAAATACAACGGGATTGTGGACTATGTAGAAAAAGAAGTGGTAGAGAGGAGGCCGATGGAGAGACAAGCAAGATGTCTGATAATCGCTTCTCATCTCTAGCCCCTCCTTAACGATGCGCTCGTCCAGGGCAACTTGAAGGTGACCCTGGTCTCATAGAAGTCGATAATCTTCAAGATGGGCGATGTCAGTCCACCACTGCACCAGGGCCACTCTCCACGCTGCTGCTCCAAGACCTTGACTCACGGCAAATGGACACATTTTGTTGGCAATCTTTGTGGGCACCCAGAATGCGACCGGCGACCGTTTGCTCGTCCTGAGGATGGGTTAATTGAAATGTCAGATGAAGAAGGAAGGATCAAGCAGGCGAGTATAGCACGGGACACTCACGAGACGATTCTGGCCAGTAAAGGCCCATTTTCGTCGAACTTCTCCAAGGTCTGGACCCTGACTTTGCCGTCCCAGTTGTCCATCTTCAACCACTCTTCGCGATCGGCATCCTCGCGTGCCTTGATGTCAGACTGCGTCTCCAGCTCGCTTCCAGCCTCGTCTGACTCTTCTTCCTCCTCCAGCTCGCTCCCGTTTTTACTCTCGTCTTCGCTCTCGTCTTCGCTCTCGCTTCGCCTCGCCCTTGCCCTTCTCGACGTCGACGCTCGGCTCGCGGTGGTTCTGGTTGTACGCAACCTCTTCTTCGGCCCCGCTTCTTCTGCATCGCTGTAGTCGTCGTCGTCGCTGTCACCGTCAACGATGCCTGCGTCTTCTTCGTCAAGTGCCAGACGCGATGCACGCGGTGCGTCGTTCCCCCTCGCCTTTCTCTTGCCGCTGGGCGTCGCTGGTGAGCCCGGCCCGCGTCTCTTTTTTTCGTTGTAGGCTTTGCGCGCCTGTTTCTCGGCGTGAGGGTGCTTCTTCCAGTACTCACGCAGCATCTGAGCGCCGAGGATGTTTGCCTTGTCGAGGTGTATCAGAGTACCGATCAGCATGACTTCCTTCTCCTCGTCAGCCAGTGCGCACTCACCTCGGGCTCCCAGGTGCTTTCCTCGTCCGGGTAGCCTTTCCACTTGATCTTGAAGAAAAACTGGAAGCAGCCAATGTCTCTTGTCAGCAGGTGTTGCCTCCTCGTGTCTGCAACAGAGACTCACTCCGTCATTGGTGATCTTATGCTTGAGAATCGACTCCATTTCGTAGACCTCATCCTCGTCCTCGTCGTCATCCTCTTGTTCCTCGTCCTCTTCAATCTGCTCTTCGTCGTCCCCTTCGTCATCCACCTCGATCGTCTCAGGCTCCTTGCCGTTCCTCTTTACAGCCGCCAGACTCCGGCCCTTCCTCTCCGAGACAGGCGGCGTCAGTACCTCCTCTTCCTCCTCCTCTTCTGCAGACTCGTCCGCGGCCCCATTGACTTGCTCCACGGGCTCATCGTCCTCGTCTTCCTCATCCTCGCCGTCCTTGACGGTGCTCAGATCCCGCTTGGCCCGCCTGCCCGCCCTCGTCGGCTTCGCCTGCGCCGCGCCTCTCGCCCTTGCGCTCGTCGATCGACGGCTGCTCGTGGCCATTCTCGCCGGTGCCCTCCCTCCGTCGTGCTCCTTCTCTTCCGCCGCGTCGTCTCCGTCCTCTTCCCTGTCGTCTTCGTCTTCGCTGTTGTTGTCGTCGCGGACAGCGTCGCCCACCTTGACGCCAGCACCAGCCGCCGCCCTCGACGTCGGCGTCGAGGCAAACAGAGACGCGAGCCGGTGTATGTTGGGCAACGTCTCTACGCGGAGAGGAGCGCGACAAAGGGGTGGGGGAGGGGGCGGTCTCAGGCGGCGGATCCAGATGCGAATTGGACCAGCTCTCTTTGCTGTGCGCTCAATCTCCAGGAGCACTGTATACCAGAGACTAGCACAAAGAGAAGGAAGGAGCGAGGGAGAGGTTGGACCTCCGCTCCGCGCAAAGAAGGAGAGCAGGCGTTGGAGCGACGACGGGACTGGAGAGAGAGATGCACACACCCACTTCAAAGACGCGCCTCAACTTTCTACTACTTTCTGCTGCAGTGAGCGAGCGCGCGGGCGCACGCGTGAGCCCACCTCCGCTCCTTCTCGGCGACCAACACATCCCGTCTCCTTGCTGAGCCAGCCCTGCCGCGCAATTATATCGCTTCTTCCACGCCACGGAAGCACAGGCCATCCTTACTATTGTTGTGGATCTATTAGCATGAACTTGGACAGCGAAAACAAAAAAAAGAAGAGGCGCGCAAAGGAGAAGAGGACTAGTCGACCCAGGGCACGTCTGGGGTGATGCCAAAGGTGATCCAGAAGTCGGTGCCATCGAGCGCCGTGCCCATCTGCTCGACGGTGCGTGGGATGGCCCGAATGGCGCTGCTCGACGACAACGGTGACGACGACGATCCCGAGCGAGACTCGGCGACGAGCTGGTTGACCCAGGTCCGCTGGGGTCCGGTGGGCGGGTGGTTTCGGCCCGCTGCACGGTGAGGGAGTCTTGTTCAGTTTTCTTGCTTGATACAGCAGGCAAGCACACCTCTACTCACCCTCGCCACTGTCGCCCCATCGGCTGGCCAAGTCCCAGAGATCACTGGCAGACAGATACAGGACACCAACGTCAGCATACAAAAGCACCAGGCGCGCCGCTTCTCCAGAAAGAAGCACCCACTAGACGCGCTCGTTTGTCAGCAGCCACCGCTGGCCCTCGGCCTTGTCCCACTGCCGTGCCATCTCGAGTATGGCGCGCGCGACGTCGTGGCCATGGACAAAGTGGACCGAGCCGAGGCGGCTGAGCGTCTCCTTGTCGGGCGCGATGCGGCCGATGAAGCGCCGCGGCGAGCGGCCATGGCCCCAGAGGCCCGAGAGGTTGAGCACAGACGTCGACACGGGCCTGGCACTTTTACTGTCATTGAGGCTGAGCAGGTAGTCCTCGGCGGCGCCACGCGGAATCGTCGCGTCGATGCGCGAGTGCCGGTCCTTCCAGGGCGAGTCCCCGCCGCCGCCGCCGCCGCCGTTTCTCCTCTTTTTTCCTCGCGTCTCCTCTTCTTCCTCGTCTTGCGACAGCGGGGCGAGCTGCAGCGTCGGACCGTGGTCCCAGACGCCCGTGCTCCCAAGCTGGAGAAAGGCCGCCTGCTTGCGCGGCTTCTCCCCTTCCTCCTCCGTCTGCCTTCGCGTATCGAGGTAGCCGCGCACGAGCCGCCTGACCGCGGCCGTCTCGTACAGGGGGAAAATGACGACGACGAGGCTGGCATCGGGCAGCCCCTCAAAGGCCGCCGTGTCGTCAGAGGTGGGGTCAAAGGTAAAGGGAATCGTGCCGCCGCGGCCGTCGCGCGTCGTGCTGGCGATGCGCAGGCTCTTGTCCATCGCGGCCGGTCCAAGAAACGTGTAGGTCCAACCGGAGCCGAGGCAGAGAATATCGAGGGTGGCATCGCCGTAGTAATCGCCATCGAGGCGGATCGCCGACGCCGCGGCAGGGCCCAGGTGCTGCCAGAAAGAAGAGAGGCAGTCCATGGTGTGTGTGAGACGAACGTGTTCGTGACCCTGACAAGAGACGCCTGATGAGCAAAGCCAAAAAATGCGAAATTAGCAGCGTCGCACGGACGTCTGACAGGACGTGACTGACTGACTGGACCATTTGACCGAATGTCCGATCGAATCGACTGATGGACTTACTATTATTGATCGACTGACCGACCGACTGACTGACTGACTGTCCGACTGACTGACTGACTGACTGACTGACTGACTGACTGACTGATGGACTGACTACTGACTGTCCGACTGACTGATGGACTGACATTTCAACAAGACGAGAGAGACAAAGCCGGTACAAATACAGAAATATGAAGCTGGTCAGGCCTGTTGGGCCCCGCTGACAGAGGCCATGGCAGCATTGAGACCGCCAGGTCCAATGTTGTTTGCGCCGCCGTCCTCGAGGAGCTCGCAGAGGGCACTGACGACGGCGTCGACCTCCTCCTGGGCAATGCCGCCGCAACCAGCGGCAATCAGACGACGGTAGGAGGCCATCGTCTTGCCGGTGCCCTGCTCCCTGGCACCGTCGACAAACTTTTCCAGAAGCTCGGTGCGCTTCTTTTTGAGCGTGGACACCTGGTCGCTCAGGTTCTTTACGTCGGCCTGCACGTTGGCCGACGGCTTGAGCAGGCTGTCGCTGCCGTCGTCGTCGGCCTCGAGCGCATCGTCGCCGGCCAGGCCCTTGTCCGTGCGCGCGCGCTTGACCTCCTCCCGTGCCTCGTTCCACCCATTCTCCATCGCTTGCCTGCTGCGCTTCTCGGCGCCTGCACGGAGCGCGCGCTGAACCTCGTCGAGCTTGCGCTTCTCCTCGTCGCGGCTCGCACCCTGGGCCTCGAGGGCCTCGAGCGTCTTTGTCGAGTCTGCAATCTCGCTCTGGATCTGCGCCAGGAGGCCGTGGGCCTGGGTGAGCTTGCGCTCGCTCGTCGACAGCTCTGCGTCGTAGCTCTCGGCCAGGCTGTGGAGCAGGGCGGTCATGAGTGTGACGGCCTTGCCGCCGGCGCGCTGCCCAGCCTCGCTGGTGTGGAGGCTGCTCGTTGGCAGCGGCACGGTGCCATCGGCGCCGAGCGCTGCTGCAGCACCGGCGCCGGTGCGCACGGGGCTGGCCCGGAACCGCTCGTCCTCGACGATGTAGTCCTCGGCACTCTTGCCCTCCTTGTTGCGGATCTTGGGGTCGGCGCCGTGCTCGAGCAGGAGGCGTGTCAGGCGCTTGGAGCGCGCGCGTGCGGCCAGCGTGAGGGCTGTCTCGCCCTCGTCATCGGCAAAGTTGAGAATGTCGGCCAGCTGGCTGCCGTAGTCGGCGAGGCGGTGGAGGATCGTCTCGAGGTAGTAGCGCGCGGCATGGGGCTTGCCCCTCGTCAAGGCCAGGTCGACAATGTGGTGGAACACCGTGCGATCGTTGCGGTCGATGTTGAGGATGCTGCGGTGGAGGAGCTCAAACAGCTCGGGAAACTTGCGCAGGTCGTAGTTGTTGGAGAACATGGCCGCACGCATGAGGGCCGTCTGGCCATTGAGGTTGACGCGGAAGACGTCGGCACCCGCCGTGAGGAGCAGCTTGACGACACGGATGCGGCCCATGGCGCACGCCCAGTGCAGCGCCGTGTGCTCGTCGTCGTCGATGCTCATGTTCGGGTCAAAGTCGTTCGGCGGGCTGACGAGCAGGGGGGGCACCGTCGTCGTCTCGGAGATGAAGTAGTTGAGGATGATGTCCGCGTACTGCTGCGACGGCTCTTCGTACCCTGCCGCACCAGCGCCGCTGCCACTGCCGCCGCCACGTGCATAGGAGCTGGCCGACCGGTAGCCGGGCGCACTCCCATTGCCGTGGCCAGCACCACCGGCCGAAGCCGTGGCACCACCAGCGCCGCCCTCCTCAAAGTACTCGGGCAGCTCGCCTCTGTTGATGATCGGGCTTGGTGTCCTCGAGGAGCTGCTGATGTCGCTGGGCGAGTCAGACATGCTGCCCTCGGTGCCGTCGGGCTTGATGCCCGAGGGTGATTCCGACTCCGTCTCGAGGCTCGTGGCTCGGCGGCCACTGCGTACGGCTTCGACGACGGGCAACGGCTTCTTTGCCCGGTTAGACGTTGCGATGATGTGCTTGGGCGCTGGAGGCGGCGACTCGGCAGAGGGAACGTAGCTGGTGATGGGGTCGAAGAGGTACGAGACATTGTACGTCTCGGCCAGCCGGATGGCGTCCTCGAGGGGGATCCAGGTGCCTTTTTCATTCTCTTCTCAGCGGCCCCTTTCTCAATAGCATCGTGGAAGAAGACGTCACTCACCCTGGTACTTTCCGTAGCCGCCCTGGACCTTTTCGTGGGTGCCCTTCTGCACATCCCTCTCCAGCACCCTGGTGCGCTGGGGTTTGTCGAGGCCGACGACCTTGAGCACATGCGTCGCATTGATCCAGCCATCGCTGCGGCGACGCATGACGGCGACCTGTGTCCATGAAATTGATGAGCATGATGCTTTTGCTGATCGAGCAGTGGCATGTACTCACCCCTTTGATGATGCACTCGTACACCGGCACACCACTGTAGGTGGCCTGGACCAGCCGACGAACGATGGAGCATTGTCAGCACCTGCGCTGCGGGGGCTCGCCTGGCCACTCGACTCACCTTGAAGATCATGCCCTCCTGCTTGGGCGGCATCTTGCAAAGAGCGACGGCAAAGAGGGAAGAGAGGAGGGCAAGAGGGGGTAGTGAGCGAAGGACAGACGAGAAAAGATGGTCCTTTATGGCAAGATCCTTGGACGAAGTGCTCTTTTGTCTCATTTTCTCCTGCACTCGCTCTTCTCGTAGCTGCTCTCTGTCTGTCTGTCCCTAGCCTCGCGTGCTTCGCTGCACTTTTTCTCAAATGTAATTTGCTTGCCGAGTCGACGCGTCGCGCGCCTCCATCCAAGCTGGCTTGAGGGCGGACATCTGAACGAGTCCAACAATTCAAAGAGGATGACCAAAGTCGAATTCTCGAGTTGTGATATAGAGTCCGCTAGGAACACCAGCATCAGCGCCTTCTTTGCAGAAGTTTATCACCGTGGGTCACTCTGATCTTGATGCTGCTGCTGCTGGTTGCGCTGCCGCCGCTGCCGCATATAGGATCTGTATAAGCGCTTCATCCAAAGAGACAGAGCTGGGCCACGCGGTCGGACCGGAGCGTGCGAAAATAAACCCTTTGATATCTTCAACCAGTCGAGACACCCAGGCCTGCTGACTATCAGCGTGGGGGGAAGCCGACAGATTCGTCTTCTCGGACCGATCTACTCTTCTTCTTTTTCTTCTTCTCCTTCTCTTTGACTCGAACACACGCCGCACTGCACTCTCCCTCCTCTTTAGAAACAACTGCCAAGGATGTCTGCCTCTGCCTGGTCTGGAGACTCGAAGCTGCTCGACATGCCCGAGCACATTGCCAAGCAGCACGCCCCCGTCCTGCCGCCCCCCGTGACGCTGAGCGGGTCGCAGCTGCCCGCGCCGGGCCCCGTGGCCATCGTGGCGACGGACACACCGCTGGGCAAGGGCGCCCTCGCCCTCTTCAAGTCCACCCTCGAGGGTATCCCCGGCATCCAGCTGCAGTACGGCGCCGAGCAGGTCAGCGACAAGACGCGCGCCATCATCTGGCTCGACAGCTCCGCCGCCAACATTGGCACGCTCGAGCAGCTCCTCGAGGCGCACAAGGACATTGGCTTTGTCCAGATGCCCATGGCCGGCATCAATGCATACAGCCCCCTCGTCAAGAAGTTCAAGGACAGGATTTGGACCAGTGCAAAGGCGAGTTCCGGTCGGATGTGCAGTCCATAGACAATAGTGCAAGCTTGGAGAAGGAAGCTGACTATGTATGCGCTTTCTTTTGAACAGGGCGCCTTTGCGCAGCCCGTGGCTGAACATGCCTTTACCTTGGTCCTCGCGCTGCTTCGCTACCTGCCCATGCGCGTCCGTGCCCGAGCCTGGGGTCCAAAGTGGGTCGCTCATTAAGCAAGCTACTAGTGTCATCATTGCTGATTCTCTCCCTCCCACCCCCCAGCCAAGGACTGTCATTTTACAACCGCAAGGTGCTCATCCTCGGCGCAGGCGGCATCACGCTCTCGCTGCTCACCCAGATTGCCCCCTTCCACCCCTCGGTGACGATCCTCCGGCGCAAGGCCGAGCCGCTGGCGCCCGAGAACATCCCTGCAGGCATGGAGGGCCGCATCGACGTCGCGACGCTCGCCAGCCTCGAGTCGCACCTGCCCCAGGTCGACGTCGTCGTCGTCGCCTGCGCCCTCACGTCCGAGACGCGCGGCTGCCTGGGCTACGACCAGTTCAAGAAGCTGCCCCGCCACGCCCTCGTCGTCAACGTCGCCCGGGGCGAGGTCCTGCAGCAGGACGGCCTCGTCAAGGCACTCCAGGAGGGCCTCATCGCAGGCGCAGGCATCGACGTCACAGAGCCAGAGCCGCTGCCGGAGAGCAGCCCGCTGTGGGGCTGCAAGAGCACCCACCCGTCGATCCAGACCGAGGACAAGTTTGGCGGCGCCGGCCTGGCCAACCTCATCATTGTGGGTCATTCCCTTCTTTGTTTGTTAGTAGGAAGAAACACAACTGCTGACAAGTGCCTGGTAAAATCACAGACGCCCCACTGCGCAGACACGTTTGAGATGGTCGCGCCGCTCCTGGCGGTTCGATTCAAGCAGAACGTAGAGGCGCTCCTCTCGCAAAACGGCCGCTTTGAGGGCATCGTCGATGGCGAGGCCGGCTACTAAGCCCACACACCACTCACGGGCTGAACAGTGCTGAACACAATGAAAAAGGAGCACCGATCTGAATTCCATGAATCAATCATCACATTCCATTCCATTCCCTTCCCTTCCTTGCCAATGAATTTAAGTGCAACGCCTCACTTGGCCGCGCTACAGCTTGCTGACATCGACGATGAGCTTGCCCGTCGTCTTGCGGCCCGTGATGTCCTCCTGGCTCCTGCGGATGCCCTCGGCCGAGAGCGGGTAGACGTCGTGGATCTTAACCCTGACGACGCCCTTGGCCATGAGGTCAAAGAGGTGCGACGAGTACGTCTCGAGCTCCTCGCGTGTCTGGATGTAGCCGGGCAGCGCGGGCCGGATCACTTTGACGTTCTTGGCTGCCAGTTTGAGGGGCGCAAAAGGCTCGACGGCGCCCGATGCATTTCCAAACGTGCAGATCGTGCCCTTTTGTGAGAGAGAGTACGTCAGCCGGCTTGCTTGCTGGCGGAAAGGAGAAAGAGAGAGAGAGGGACAGACCCACCTTTCGGGCAATGACCTTGAAGTCATCCTCCCACGTGTCCTTGCCCACGCCGTCGTAGATGCCCTGGACGCCGTTGCCGCCAGTGAGGGCGAGGACCTTGTCGACGATGCTCTCCTTGGCATAGTTGATGATGTGGTGCGCGCCATTCTCGCGCGCCAGCGCCGCCTTTTCCTCGGTGGACACGGTGCCAATGACGGTGGCGCCCAGGTGCGAGGCCATCTGGCAGAGGAGCAGGCCGACTCCGCCGGCGGCGGCGTGGACGAGGACGGTGTCGCCCTTTTGGAGCGGGTAGGACTCCTTGACGAGCGTCCATGCTGTCATGACACTTTGGTTTAGTGCTCGCTATCGACGAATTGAAAAGCCCCAGAGAGACAGACGCACCAGTAAGACCCTGGAGCAGCGCAGCAGCGGCGAGCTTGGTGCTCACGCCGGCAGGAAGCTTGACGACCTTGTCCCTGCTCACGGCATTGTACTGCGCAAAGCCGCCACCGGCGCAGTACATGGCGACCTCGTCGCCGACGGCGATGCCCTGGCCCTCGGCGTCGGGCGCCACGGCGACGACACGGCCCGCCGCCTCGTTGCCGAGCACCCAGGGCATGCTCAGTTTGTACAGGCCGCCGCGCTGGTACGTGTCGATGTAGTTGACGCCTGCGAACTCCTGCTGCACGAGCACCTGGCCGGCCTCGAGCCGCGGGAGGGGGATCGTGCGCGTCTCGAGGACCGAGAGGTCGCCCTGCGACTGAATCTGGAGCGCCGTCATCGTCGACGGCAGCGAGGGCGCCGCGGCGCCGGTGGAGGAGGTGGTGGACGACATGGTGCGAGGTGCTAGGCTCGGTACTCTGATGGGTACAGTGTGGAAAAGGGCAGGGGCTCGGAGAGTGGGACGAAGGACACCTCGGAACATCAGATGGTCGCGGGGTCTGGGGAAGAAAGAAAGCACGCCAAAAGGCGACACTCTTCCTCCACTCAACACACAACGCACGCACGCACGCAAGCCCGGCGATTCTACTGCTACCTACAGTACTAAAGCCGAAGCCTAAATCTCATTCTCGATAAACCCGGATTTATACACAGGACACACCGTAACAATGACACTACCAGAGACAACGACCAAGAGACCAGACGCACGACCATCAATGACTTAGAGGCGATTCCTCTTCTCAGTGCGCTCCATCACCGTGGCGAGGCTGCACGCTCGCCTGTCGAAAGTGCTCAAGCAGGCGCCCATCTTCTTGTACGATTTCCTCAATCCTCGCATTGATGCTTTCCACGAACGTCGGGTCATGATCTGGCCTGCTACGCAACAACAGCAAATGTTGTCGAAGCTGGGCAGTCGCAACCATATTGCCCCGGACATGCGTGTTAGCTTGCTCGATAGTGTATGAGCTAAGGTCCGCAGGCAGGGGATTGGCAGGATGCAACAACGATTCCAGCGGTGGCAGTGACCTCATACCTGGCAGCGCTGAGAGCTCTGACGATTCTGGTTCCTGGTGGCTCGGCTCGGGGTGTCTATATGCGCTCAAGGGCCTGATATGAGGGATTGGCATCGTCTTCAGACCTCTTCCGGCTCTAATGGCATCTAGGAAAAGCGACTGGGGCCCAGTGTCACTCACGCAGCAAGCATGAAAACGAGGACAAGGACGCTGATGAGAGAGGCCACAGTGATACGACGGAAAAACAGCTTCATGCTTGCCTATTTTCCTTGTTGAGTCTTGCTGGTGGCTTAAGGCGAAGAGGGTTTTGGGGCGTGGGGGCCCTTATATTCACTTCTTCAGACAAAGGGTGCTGGAGCAAATGCATCAGCCCACGCTCTTGTTGACCAATCGGGTTGAGACATTTACCGGAGGGAGGCACAGTCTCTGTCTATTTCGGACGGACAAGTTGAGAGCTAAATTTGAACAGATTCCCTCGACCGGTTCGAGTAGGGAGAGGGGTGCACTACTCCTACTCCGATTACTAACCAGCGCTAGAGAATTTAGTAAAAGCAGAAGAAGTGAGGCCGAGACGAGAGCGAGTGACTCCTGTGTTTTCGCATCTTGCTCGGTCGAGCGAGGGGAGAAATACGACCGAGGACTGAGCATTACTCAAGGGAAACAAACCTCTCGTTCTGGTGACACACTCCTAGACTGACTCCTCACTCTCCCCATCAAAAGAAGCTCGAGTATCAATCAATACAGGGCACACAGTAACGATGGCACTACGAGAGAAAATGACCAGAAGACCAGACGCACGACCACCAATGGGATGGAAACGGATCTGGAAGCGAATCTTCCCACTGCACTCAATCCTGGTGCCCATGAGCTTCGTTCTCATGCGCTTCGTTCTGATGCACTCCGTTCTGCGCCGGTCCGCCCTGGAGCAGTTGAGTGCGTTGATCGCGAAAGCGGACAGTCACATCGGCTATTTCTCGTCGAAGACCGTCCCTCCAACCGGTCACTGTCGTCACCAAACGCTCTCTTGCTGTATTCCAATCTTCTGTCGCGTTCGGCCATTCAGCTATGCTGTCCAATTCCGCAAGATGACCTTCAAGCCTGACGAGATGGGGAATGTTGCTCAAGAGGTGTGCATTCACCTGCTCCAGAGTGTACCCGGTAAGGTCTTGGGGCAGTTGCGGAGGAGGTGGGTCCACCCGCGGCAAACTCGGCATCGATGGCGACGGAGGAGCGTTGAGAGGATCGTGTCTGGCGATCGGATGTGCGAAGAGAGGCCTGGGACAGAAAAGAGAACGCCTGAAGTTAGTCCTTCTCTGGCACAAAACTCATCAGAGAACGGGCATTGTGCAACAAATGCCAACTCACGCAACAAGCATCAGGCCAAGGACGAGGATGCTAGCGAGAGAGACCACGCTGATGTGACAAGAGAAAAGCCTCATGCTTGCCTGGTGTGCTTTTCGAGTCTTGGTGGTGGCTGGAGGCGAAGAGATGTATGAGGCTTAGGGTGCCCTTTTATTCGCCTCATCGGACAAAGGGCGCTGGAGCAACTGCATCAGCCCATGCTCACTTCAGCGAACGGACAGAGACAACTATCGGAGGAAGGCCGGGTCTCTGTCCAATTTCGGACAGGTTAAAAGCAAAATTTGAACAGGTTCCCTCGATCGGTTCGAGTAGGGAGAGGGGAGGGGTGGCACTACTCCTACTCTTATTACTACTACTACTACTACTACTACTACTACCTCCTTTAGAGATTCTAGTAAGATCAGAAGAATTGAGGCCGAGACGAGGAGGAGCGAGTCCTGTGTTTTCGCGTCTTGCTCGGTCGAGTGAGGAAGGTACGACCGAGGACTAGACATTACTTCAGAAGGTAAACAAATCTCTCATGCTAGAGACGCCCTTCAATGTTCACACCTGGACTGACTCCTCACTCTCCCCGTCAAAAGAACTTTGAGTATCAATCAACATCGGGAACACCGTAACGAGAACACTACCAGGGACAATGACTAGGAGGTCAGACATACGACCACCAACGAGGTAGAGGTGGCTCTCCTTCTTACTGTGCTTCGTTTTCGCTGCTTGTATCTCGCAGTTGCAGGAGGTAGTCACCCAGGCGCGCATCTTCTTTGGTGTTCCGGTCTATGATGTCTTCTATCATCCTCACGTAGTCTTCCGCTGTCATGGGTGCTGGTATGTGTACTGGCGTGCGACGCATAAACCCTAAATAAAGGCTCAATGCAGAACAATCTTCCGAATTCTTCCGTATGTGCTCTGTAGCTTGCTTGGGTGTGAATGAGCTGAGGTCCGTGGGCAGCGGCGGGCGCGGTTCCAACATTGTCGCCAGCGTCCGCTGCTGCGGCGGCTCTGGCAACCTTGGTCCCTGGTGCTGCGACTGGGAGTGTTTGGAAGCGTAAACGGGCCTGTGAAGGGGCAGGGGAATCGGCATCGTCTTCAGTCTTCTTCTGGCTTCTGGCTCGAATGGCACCGAGGACAAGTCGAAAGCTTCAGCATGACTGTCACTCACGCAGCAAGCATGAAAACGAGCAAAAAGAAGCTGGCGAGAGAGGCCACAGTGTTAGGAAGGGAGAAGAGCTTCATGCTTTTCTGGGCCCTTTGTAAAGTCTTAATGGTGGTTTAACGTGAAGAGGGGTGCAGGACCTGACCTGCCTTTAAATACCTCATCGGAGCAATGAGCATTGAGATGACCAAATCGTATTGAAACAGTTTTGCGGACAAGGGATGGTCTCTGTCCACTTTCGGACAGTTTGAGAGCAATTAATATCGGAGAGATTTCTCTCGTACAGACGGGCGAAAAGTGATACTGTTAGAACGGTCAGGAAGAACAGAAGAATCGAGACCGAGACAAGAGCGAATGACCTCCTTCACTTTCGCGTCTTACTCGGTGGGGTGAGGCAAACATCAATATGACCGAGGACCAAGCCTTGTGCAAGGCGAACAACTCTGTCATGCAAGAGATGTCCTCCAATACTCGCACTGGACTGACTTCTTATTTTCTCTTCCCTCCCAGCGAAAAAAGCTCGCGCAACAATATATACTGTACAGTACGAGCAATGGACAATCTTTCGCCTTTCTTGTAGAGCACGTCCACCTTGCCAATCGAACGCTCATCAAGCCTTTCGTGACGCCTCTCACCGTTGTTTTTTAACCACACGCCTACACTAGGGGTCGAATGATCAAGCATACCTTGACCTACGAGTCATCTCGCGATTTTTACAGCCTAAGCTCCTGCCTGTGCTTGCTGCTGTTGCTCTGGAAGGCTTTCTGTTGTGTAAAGTTCGAGCATTCGCAAGGAATCTTGATTTAATTTGTCGAGCCTTCGAGCTACCACTTGTTGTAAGCCTTTCAATAGTGAGAGCCTCTCGCGCGTCGGCCTCTTTTGAAGTTGTTCTTCTATCCACTCTGAAATAGCATTAAGCTTTGCTGTGTCCTCCTTACGATGTCTCGTATAGCTTCCTACCGCTTCCAAACTGGAACCGGCAGGCAGCGGAGTCCATCTTTCCGGGAATCTCGGCATACCGCTTAAGGAAGGAGTACTCGCTGAAGAGGATGGTGTATGCGAGGTCGAAGGTGGTGGATGCGGTAGCGGGTGAGGTAAATGCGGTGGCCGGCGAGTTAAAGGCGGTGGACGGGGAGGTAAGCGCAGTGGCCAGGGAGGTACATGCCGTGGAGAGGGTGGGGAACGCGGTGGCGAGGGTGGTGGTTGCGAGGACGATGGTCGATTGGGAGGTATCACGAATGCGCAAAGAGGTCTGAAACGCCATTGGCTGGTCATCAGTTTTCCTCCGGCTTGACTTGAAGTGCATCAGCGAAGAGCACAGAGGACAAGGTCAACTCACGCAACGAGACAAAAGAGCCAGAAGAACCAGGCAAGGTGACCGACGGTCATGCGATGGCGGAAGGGCAGCCTCATAGTTGGATGCTCTCTCAGGTGTTTATGGTGGCTGGGGACATGAGGGGACGTCCCTTTGCTCCAAGGCTGGTCCACTTTTGCTATTGCTGGCAGCAGACGAATGCTACACTGCCTCATCTCCGAGTAGAGTGTCGTCGCCCCCGATTTTTGTCACGAACAAGTAGAGAGAGGAGCTAGCAGACCCCAAAAAGTGCGAGCGACTTACCCTGTGCTCTTGTTTATCCTAATGCTCTGCTCAATGAGATCGAGCAACACCCCATACGCGCCCCGTGTGCACAGATTCTACGTAGACAGAAGGTCGTATCGTCTGTGTCCTTGTAGCTCGTCTACTCTGCCAGCATCACCTACTCTACCTGCATCGTCTACTTACCGGTAGCGTCTACTCTGCCAGCACTGACCACAGAAATGTGTGTGGTTGTCAAAGAGCCTACGTCAAAGACGCAAAAAAGTCATTCTGAAATGTCAGATTTTCACTGTGATCATTTTTGACAATAAAGAGTGCACGATACGGCAGACGCCACCCGTTCGAGAGTTCAACGACGGTCTAGCTCTCCTTGCTACTGCTACTACTACTTCCTTCGCCGCTCCTCTGGTATTGTACATACTCATAATAGAGAGCGCCGAGATGGTCCCTCTCGTGACGAATTGCTTCCATTCTTGCGACTGCCCTGTGCGTGTGGAGATGTACCCACCTCCCCCACTCTCCAGTCGGTTCCGGCCGTTGGTGCTCTTGCACCTGCCGTAGGTAAATTGCAAGCTGGTCATGCTCTTTATTTAAGCTGTCGACGTATGCAAATGCTTGCCCTATTGAGTATCTTGCGGGTAGTGGTGGAGTTCTGTGTGGGAAATCTGGCAGTGCTCGATAACCAGGTGGCGGGTTCGGTCGAGCAATGTTGTTAAGATCATAGGTGCAGAGGGGCCTAAAATGCCAATGCTTACTTTTAGCCACTCTTGCTCTTTAATGGCCATTGGACAAGAGGAGCCCACGTCTTGACCACAGCAACTCACGCAACAAGCAGTGCGAGCCAAGTGACGCAAGTGAGGAAGCACACTGTCTTCAAGGAGGATATGAGCCTCATGGTCGGGGGATTGAGGTCCCTTGCTTATTGATGTAAAGGGTCAAGCCGAGAGGCTGGCTTGCCCTTACTGCTCCCCTCGGACCCACACCCACTGAACTAAGACTACCACGTCCTTTCTGTGCACCTCTTGCCCCGTGGACAGGGCATCGTCGGTCAGATCTCGGGCAAAGGTCCACCTTTGCCTGCCCTCGGCCATGGACACGGTAAAGTGGAGAGGAGAGTAGGTAAGGCCGAGACACGAGCGACTTTCTCCCTTGCACCCTGCAGTGTGGGTTTTCTCGCCGTGCGCGCTTGCTTTTCGCTCTTGGCTGTGCTCAGAGAGGCCAAGTTCCAAGGTGTGGAGCAGGTGACCACGCCGCAATATGCGCGCCGAGTGCACGAGATTTTCATGCATTCAAGGCCTTCCTCGTGTCTTTCCTTGTTGCTCATTTCTTCCCTCTCGATCTCACCCCAAAAATTGGCATGGGCGTCAAAACGCCTACCTACACAATCAAACAAAGTGACGTTGTGTGGAGCTGAATTTACACTGCATGATTACGGACAGAGTTCCGGCACGAGACGACAGGTGGCCCTTATCCGAAAATGTCACGACGTTCCGTTGACCTTGTTCTCATGGCCGTCAATATCCTGGCTGTTGCTCTGACGCCTCTCAACGTAGGTATGATCGAAGTATGTTATAAGATCTCTCTTCGCGTCAAGCGCCTTCATCCTTAATTCGAAAGATTCACGTACGAGCTTTTTGAAGTATGAACCGTAGATGTGTTGACGCCATTCGAGATACTTCTCGTAGCAGCATACCAGTGTAGTCTTCTCGAAGGCAAGGAGGCTCATCCTTCTGATAAGTGCTGCAATCAAGATCTCCGGAGAGACCTCTTCCAGACACTTTGCCTCGCCTTCAATCTTTTTTCCAAACTCCTTTATCGCCTGCCACGAACTCAAATTTGCCTCAGTCAAGCATGGCGGCGGTGTTATCGCAATGCGGTTCTTTATCTTTCGCATTTCAGTGAGAAGCGGGGTTGTCTCTTCTAATACCCTTTCGAGCCTCTCATACGCTTGTTCGATCTCGCGACATTGTGGAAGGGGTCGGGGAAGTTCCTGAGGATTCGGTGGCTGCTCTCCATGCGGCTTTTGGTGTCTTGGTGGTATGCCTTGGACCTGGCATGAAAAAAAAAGTCTGAAGTACCAGCGGATCTTTGTCAGCTCTTCTACGGCTCGATTTGCATGTGAGGCTGGCAACCGCAACTCACCCAGCCAAAAAGAAGAGCCAGAAGACGCAGTAGAAGGAGAGGAAAGTCAGGGGATGGGTAAAGAGCCTCATGGTATAGGTCTATCCCTCCAATGTAGACGATAGCTTTTTTGGAAGGAGGGGTGAAATCTATCCCCCTCCGCTTCACCGTCTTTATACTCTTCATCAGGAGAGCACGGCCATCTTATTGTAAGCCCTCTATGCCCCTTCAGCTCAATCTCCCTTTGCTTTACCTGCCCCGATCACAGGGCTGCCAGTAGTCAAGCTGCGTCGCAGCCCACAACGACGACCCGGAAAGCCTGCCCGCTCTGACCTCAGCAGAGTAATATCAGCTTTCGGACGTTACTTCCAAACACAGCCCTCCACCTCAGCCCTCGAGAGGGCCAGTCGTCGCTATGTGATGTCTTGTCCAAAATCTCAAATTCTCTCTTTTTCCATCGTAGCAGAAGAAATAGAACGTGAGTCCCTGCGGCGCGGATGTTCGCATCCTCACAACATTCGCCAGCTATCGGAGGAGAGTTATCCTTTCTGTCATCTTCGCAACTGGCCTCGGCGCATCGAAAGAGATATTGATCAACAGGTCAATTTGAGGCGAGAGTGACCGAGGGTCAAATATACGCCCCGGCTCAGTCAAATCCGGGGCTTTCACCATCTTGACCTCGTAAGCATAGTCAGTATCTCACACCTCCAAAGCATAGGAGCCTGACTGGGCTCATAAAGACAGACGAATCGAACGAGCAATCGGCGAGTCAATCGAGGAAAATCAGCACCCCTTGGCCCTCGGCCAATATCTCCTACAGCATATGCCATTGCTACTCAAGAAATCACCCAGCCGCCCATGTCTCATTGTGTGGGCTGAGTTCTAAGGTCACACAGCGTCGTAGGCGAAGTTCACGAAGATCTCTGCAGAGATCGCAAAAAGGACGCTCAACTAGTTGTGGATAGGGTGCATGATCACTCCACGCTCGGACCAGACACCCGATCGTCCTTAGTGGGAACGGTCGTCGACAGACTCTTGATTGACATTTGAAGGATACGACTTATGATTGACCAAGAACCTCTTCCCTATAAAGCACAATCTCTAATGAAGGCACCTAAGAATGTGCACATATGACTTCCCTTAATGCCTTGCCCTTCTGTCTTGCTCCTGCTCGTGTGGCCTCGTAGGAACTTGTGATACTTCGCTTTCTTGATTGAGCTCTCCTACACTGCTCGCTATCTGCTCCACTCTGCTTCTCTGCTCCGCAGACTCGATTGGTTGAGGTTCCGTCGTGGGCATGTTATCTAGTAAGCGTCTCGACTCAAGTAAGGTGAGGAAGCTTGGCGTTCGCGATTGCGCCCTTTCCGCAGGTAGAGGGGCATGCAGCGATGGCTCTCGTGCTTGCGGTAGCTCTGGTGGTGGGGGCAAGGGCGGTGCTTGCCTGTTGAAATGCCTGTATGTGTAAACAGGTCTGGGAGACCAACGGCTGAAGTTAATTTGTTGGGGCAAGACGTGCATCAATGAGGGGCTTAGGTTCTAGCTCACATGACGAGGAAGAGAAGCAAAGGTATGCACGCGAAAGTGGCCACAGCCATTGAACGGGTCGAAGACTTCATCGCTGGTCTCTCTGCTAGTTCGATGTCGATGGTAGTCTGAACACCAGGAGAGGGTTGCTTGCTCCAACGGTCTAGCAGACTTACTCGCTTTTTGAGCACTTCAGCGGCGCAAATGCCGCCGCGGCTGAAAAGCCCCGTGCGGTGAGTTGTTCCTCTGCCTCTCGCTTCACCTCGGTCCTTGTACACATCACCAGAGCCCTCTTTTCCAGAGCACAGAGCTTAGACCGGCACAGGCCGAGAAGACCGACCCTTCTCAGTCTCAGGCCGACAAAGGACAATAAAAGTAGTTATTGTTGACAAAAATTCTCTAGTAGACAACGGGCGAGCGCGACACAAGCAGATGACCGCCATGGGCCGCCAACTAAAATGCACCGGACCCATTCCTCACTGCTCTGCCTTTCGGCTTCTCTCCTTGCCCAAGCTTGTCAGCTTTGCATTTGTGTCCAGCTGAAACTTTTCCACTCAGCCCGATGGAACGCCTGATTCGTCCGAATTCCTCTTGCGCACCTTAGGCGTCGACGTCCCCTCCTTCACTTGCTTCCCCTCCGCTTTCAGCTTGCCTTGCACACCCTCCGTATACTTCGACAGAAATTGCTTTTTACGAAAGTCTTCCGCCGATAGTGGTTGTTGATAGCTGGGCTTCTCGGGTGGAGTCAAATGCACTACACGCACAGGCTCATTGTGTACACCTGGTGGACGCGACTGCTGCGGCGGCAGTGGCAACCGATGCGATGGGTGTTGCCCTTTACCATGTGGGCGCGACGGCGGCGGCGACGGAGGCGGTGACGGCGGCCGAGGCAATCGATGCGGCTCGGGCGAGGACTGTGGTCGTTTGACAGATACGGTCGTTGGCGGCGGCGGCGGCGGCGGCCGGGGCAATCGATGCAGCTCCTGCGAGAGTTCCGGGCGTCTGCCAGATATGGATGCCTGCGGCGGCGGACGGGGCGTACTGTGCAGCTCATGCGAGGGTTGCGGTCCTTTGCCAAAAGAGGGCGGCGGCAGCGGAAGCGGCACTGGCTGCGCGGCTGGACGCTCTACTGAATGCGGCCTTCCCGATGACGGGAACGATACCGGCTTTTTGGATGGGCGACCGGCACCGAGGGCCCTGCGACAAGGTTTGCTCCTCCATTGTTAGCATCCTTCTGGCTAATTTATTAGAGAAGAGCACATATTTTCTCACATAATGAAGAGTAGGTGCCAGACGGCGCAGGCGAGAGCGGCCTTAGTCATGAGACGGTTGGAGAGCTTCATGCTGTTTTCTGTCTTCAGTGCGAATGGTAGGTTGTTGGTTGTCGATAGTAGTACTTGCTTTGTTTGGAGACCTGGCGAGGGGGTACCCCTCCCCTTTTTTATACAAGCACATCGGTGAAAAACGGCGAGAATGCCGCCAAAATGCCCCGAACGCCCTTCCCCGGCTTTCCCTTGTCTTTCGCTTGGCTCTTACTTGGCTCTGTGTTCTCTTTGCATCGCAAAAGCCCCATCGACAAGTTCATAGGGGACAGAATTGCCCTACCCAGTGTCGATTTTATCGGGAATGAAACGATTTTGTCGCTCTTGCCACTCGAGAGAACCCACATTGAGATGTGCTCGTCTGTGCTGGGTGCGCTAAGCGCCGCTAGGCTGAGTCTCTACGCGCTCTTTCCTGGACACTCCTAACTCACTCGTGCCTTTGCTCAGAGGCGCCAGACAAAACAAGCTCAAGGTCTTGGAGGGCGGGGGGAGGGGGTTCGGTTATGCCCCGAGGTGGCGCAGCGCCAAAAAATAAATACACTCAGCCTTCAAGAATTAAATGTCCTCGGGCTGCCTCGGATTCGTCAGGCGGCAACAAAGTTCCGTCGCAATCAGCAATGTCAGCGTTGCTGATGCTGCCCTTCAAACGTGAAAGCAGTACTTGGTGAGATGGAAGATGAAACAGTGAGCGCGAATGTTCACGCTCGGGCCTTTTATTGAGCCTGTCAATATGCCTGTCAATAGAAAGGTTGAGGTCATCTGGGCGCATTTGACCTCTTCCGTCTGAGCCAAAATCATTTCTTAATTCTTGATTTTCCAGCTTCGTTCTCATTTACCCTCAATCACTTTTCGTTACAAGAGAACTACTCAAGAAGACGACCCACAGGTGTAAAAGCGCAACGCAAGCAGGTGACCGCTGGTGGCCACCGACGGAGTTGCGCCAGATCTGCTCCCTACGGCTCCGACTTTGGGAAACCCTCCTTCTCCACTTTGTGCAAACCGTCCTCCAAGACCTTTGCCTCGACGATCATGGCGTCCATACAAAGTCTCAACGCGTCCATTTCTTGGTCTCTCGCGAGCGACGGCCTTTCCTCTTTCAGCTTATCTATCGCTTCTCCCGTACCCACAAGCGTTGTCTTGAGGGCTTCCAAGCGGCTTGCATATTTCGGCAAGTTTTCCGATTCTGCTACTGGCAGTTGATCCGCTGATCTTTCTTCTGGTCGGGAAGGCGGTAAGGGCATTGAATGCACGGGGTGACGGCGGGTGGTAGGTGGTGGCGGCCACATGGATGGTGTGCGCAATGGCCGGGGGGCCGACTGCAGTGACAGACGCCTCTCTTCTGACGACGACGAGGGCATGGGCTGCTTGCCGGAACGTCGATCATCAGCACCAAGGGCCCTAGAATGCCAAAAGGTTATTCGTCTTGGCCTTCTCTTTGCTTGATGTGCAAGCAGGAAGGAGAGATTTGGGTCTGCACTTACGCGATGAAGAAGAAGTGCGAGAGAACGCAGATGAAAGAGGCCCCGATCATGAGACGGGACACGATTCTCATCGTAGGTTGATTTTCAGCGCCGATGATGGTTTGAAGACAAGGAGGGGGAGTCCTTTTTGCCACACAAGATCCTGGCTGCACCTCGCCCTTGTTTACCTTGAGCAGTATTGCAAGGGAGAGGCAGCTATTGACTGAAAGCCCCGCAACCAGGCTCCTTGTTGATCTCGCTTTCTCTGCAACGCAACGCGGGACCTCCTCGGTCCAAGTTTCAAAACAGCCACCGGCCATACTCGTTTTGGTCACATTGGAGGCAGAACGGCAGATGTTGCTCCTGTGATGAGGAGCCGAGGAACCGAAGCTGAGACGAGGGAGCGACACCTTCTCTATGCTCTCTCACCTATTTCGCACCTCCTCTTGTTTATTTGTTTTCGATTAGGAGACGCAGAGATGCGAGAAGGGTTGAGTGAGGAGCGCCCTTATGCTCCGAAGAGCGGTTTTGCCCGTCGCTTACCCGCTTCAAACCTCTCAATAGACAACAAATATGAAAGCATTTGGCGTGTGGTCATCTATCCCATTTTTTTAAAGAGTTTCATGGTGTGCACAAAGGTGATGGTGTGCTCTCTCTGTGTCTTACGACGAGGTCAAGGCCTGCTCCTTGTCCTGCCCCACAAGCACCTTGATCTTCCCCTCGACATCGACTCTGACTTCCACCCTGACCTTTCCGTCCTTGGAGACCTTCTCCCTTGGCACAACAACGTCACCGAGTGCCTTTGACGGCTTCACGACGACGGTCTCGACCTCGACAAACTTGTCTTCCTCGTCGAGGTCCTCATCGTCATCGAGGTCATCATCATCCTCGTCCTCGTCCTTTGTCCTCTCGACCTTGTCCTTGCGCACGCTCTCGTCGCCCTCAAACAGGCTGACGAGCGCCAAGCCGTCCTTGGGCGCGACAAGCGTGAATGCCCTCCGGGCGGGAAGGGGTGTCTTGGACGGAACGACGGTGACAAAGAGTTTCCCATCGTCGATCTTGCGCTTCAGTGCCTCGTCTTCTGGTGACGACACGCCGTTGGCCAGGCTGGCGGGCGCGGGCACGACGATGCCGACGGGCTTCGTCGTCGACTGCACCTTGAGCTCCTTCAGGTTCTCTGACTTGTCCAGGCCGAGGTTGATGAGGTGCTTGCGCTCGACGGAGCCCTCGTCCGTCGTGGCAATCGCCTGGGCGTGGACGGCGCAGCCCCTGGCGAGAGCCTGGTCCGCATCGACCGAGTCGGTGAGGTGCGTCGACTCGGGGAAGATGGCGCCAAGGTGGTCCTTGAGTCCCTGGAGGCGCGAGGTGCCGCCGACGAGGATGACCTCGTCGACCTGGGCGGCCTGGAGCGCCTTCTTGCCCAGCACGGCCGTGATGAGCTTCTCAATCTCTTGCCAGACCTTTTTGCTCAGCAGGTCGATCCTCATGCGGTTGACCGACATGCTGAAGTCGACGCCGTCGGCGAGCGACTCGATGCTGCACTGGGCCGTGTTGCTTGCGCTCAGGCTCCTCTTTGTCACCTCTGCCTCGTTCCTCAGCTTGGCCCACGCCCGCGCGTTCGACTCCTCGATGGGCACCTTGGTCTTCTTGGTGAACTCCTTGGCGAGGTAGCTGACCAACGCCTCGTCGATCGTCGCACCACCCACAGACGCGTTGACGTCGTACGCCAGGAGAGTAAAGAGACCCGCGCTGGCCTGCAGCAGGGACACGCTCGACGAGGTACCGCCGACATCGACGACAACGACGGTGCGGTCGAGCTGGGCACCGGGCAGATATGGCTGTCCCTCCTCGCCGTCGGGGTGCTTGGGCAGCTGGTCGCCCTGCGGGCTCGTCAGGCCGTACGCCGTGAGTGCAGCACCGGGAGCAGGGACCAGCTGGAGGACAATGAGGCCGGCCTCGGTGGCAGCGTCCTTGAGCGCAGTCATTTGCTTGGGCGCAAAGTTCAAAGGCACGCTCAGGACAGCGCCGGCAATGGGAACGCCCGAGAGGAAGTCCTTGGCGGTGAGGAAGAGGGAGCGAATGTACCGGACGGCGACGTCGTGCGCCGAGAGGACCTCCTCCTTGCCGTTGATGTGGACCCGGAAAGACGGCACGCCATTGACGTCGACGACGGGCGACGAAGATCGCCGCTTGTCGTCCTCTGAGAGTTCCGAGAAGCTCCGGCCAAGGAGGTTGACAAACTTGTCAATGACATTGACGCTGTTCCTCACGAGCTGGGGCGTGGCCTGGTTGCCAATGTAGACCTGGTCCTCGTCAAAGGCGATGCGCGTCGCCAGCTGCCGCTCGCCGTCCTCGTTGGCAATGACATCGGCCCTTCCGTGCTGGTTGATGCATGCAATCGAGCCGTAGGATTGACCCAGGTTGATACCGATGACGGCGCCAGCTGCCTCGGTCATTGTCGTTGGTGATTCGCAAGAAATGAAAGAGAAAAGTTGGTTGAATTCGAGCTTTCTTCCTGGAGGTCAGACACGGCGAGAATTTTGTTGCTCGACGACAATACGCACGTGTGCTTGCTAGCTGCTCTGAAAGAAAATCACCCCGTCCGGCCGAGATGTCTAAATTTTCATGATGACTAATGGACGGTGGAGCAGCATTTCTTTGGTAAGTAGTCCGGAAGGAAGAAGGGAGGAGCGTGCACCAACCTTCATCGAGCCTTACGTGACAATGCTGGCCGCGACGACGAGAGCAGCGAGGGTGGGCGCAGTATCGCGGCGGCAGCTGGAGCGGTCCTTTGCCAGCCAGGCCCGAGTCTTGCTCCAACAGCAGCAACAGCAGCAAGCGGCACCCGCCAAAGAGGCTGGCCGTCTCCAGCCGTCTCCGCTTTCGCCCTCAGCGCCGCCGCCCAAGAAGCACAGTGCTCTGACGGTGAGCCTCGTCAAGGGCCTGGCGCGGATCATGGGCTACAACTCGACTACCTCGACGGCGATCCGCGTCTCCTCGGACCTGTACGACCGGTGCGCCGAGCGGGCCGACATCGAGGCGGCCTTCTGGTACGGCGAGTGCGGCCTGCCGAGGACGTACCAGACGTGGTTCCAGATCACCAATCTGCACATTCACCTCCTCCTCGTCCGCTTCCGCATGCTCGTGCCCGCCAAAAAGGCCAACAGCTACTCGCAGGAGCTCATCAACCACTTCTTCATCGACGCAGAGTCGCGCATGCGCCTCCGCTTTGGCGTCCAGACGTCGCGCCTCGTCAAGGGCTACATGCGCGACATGCACACGCAGCAGCGCGGCGCCGTGCTCGGGCTCGACGACGCGCTCGCGAGGTCGTACGTCGCCGAGACGGAGCGGCAGGGAACGGCCGATGCCGACGCCGTCCTCGCTACGGCCATCTGGCGCAACATCTGGGGTGCCGGCGGCTGGGGCTCGGGCGTCGCAGGCGTCAAGCGCAAGCTCAAGGGCGTGGACCGGCCAGACGAGGACAAAAACAAGCGCAAGTCCAAGGAGCAGCTTGAGCAGGAGAAGCGCGAGCAGGAAGAGGAGGAGGAGGAGGGCATGCCCGAGCTGGCCCCCGACCTGGGCGTCGAGACGAGCGGCAGGGGTGCCTATGCCATCGCTGCCGCTGCCGAGGCTGCACGGGCAAAGGCAGGGACACCTCCTCAGCAGCATCTCCCAGTGGAGCCGCGATTCCCGGCAGACAACCTTGCCTTTGCCAATGCACTCGAGCGCGTCGTCAACTTCTATCGGCGCGAGACGGTGCGACTGGCCAAGCTGAGCGACGCAGAGATCGAGCGAGGGCGCGTCTTCTCGGCTCCTTCGCCCGCAACTCAGCAGCAGCAGCAGCAGCAGCAGCAGCAGACCGTCCAGGATAAGCTGGAATTGCTGGGGAGAGAAGAGAGCATCGCTAACTTTACAAAAATCTGAAGATGTTAATAATGGGATGGATGATGCATGTACTCGTGTGTGTGTTTGTGTGTGCTCGAAGGTGTGTCATCGACGGCTCTTCAATTCCGGCGTCAGCGACCGGCCAGGGCTTCGGGACCGGCGTCGTGACGAGCGATGATCATACTCGTCACCTCCTCGGCGACGAGGGGGAGAGTCGTCTGGATCGTCACGCCTCCGCGCGCGACGCTCCTCGTCGTCCCGGCCCCTATAAGAGCGCCTGCGATCGCCTGCATCGTCTTCGTCGTCATGGCGCCTCGTCCTCTCGCGCCTCTCGTCAGACCCACGACGGCGGTATCTTTCCTCGTCTCGGTCCTCTCGATGCGCCTTCTCCCGCGAGCGCTCCTCCCCTCTCGCTACGTCCGCCCCCTCGCTCCCATCTCTGCCTCTCCTCTCTTTCCTTCTCCGTTCGTACTCCTCTTCTTCCTCCCTTCTCCTCTCCCTTCGTCGCCTCTCGCGCCTTCGCTCTCGCTCCTCGTCGTCGTCCTCTGCATCGCTCTCTCTCGACCGGTGGTGTCGATGCCTGCCGTCTTCTGCCCTCCGCTTGCGTCTCTCCTCCCTGCGCTGCTCCTTGACTTCCCTCTTTGCGAGCTTCTTTGCCGCCTTTCGCTCCTCCTTCGTCAGCGCTCCCTGCTCCTGTTCGCCGGCCGCTGGCAGACCAGCAGGATTCCACTTCGACATGATTGGGTCAATCGGCGCCAAATTGGCGCCCGTTCCTGCTGCTGGCCCACTGGCGCTCGCGGCCGCCCTGCCCTTTGATCCAGCGAGGAGCGCCTGTCCCACCGCTGGGCCACCGGTCCTCGATGATGATGATGTCGACGCGTCGCCGTCTGCGCCACCAGGCTGAATGCCCAGCCGGCGATCCATCTCCTCCATCTCCCTCCGCTTGACCTCGAGCAGCTCCTGCCGCCGCTTGTCGGCCGCTTCGCCCTCGTCCTTGCTCTCGTCCTTGTTGTACCACTGCACATCCCGTCCGTGCAGCCAGCGGCCCGTGGGCGCCTGGATCGAGTGGCCAAGGTAGAACTCGCGGTGCTTGTCCTGACGGACAGCGTCCCACGAGAACTCGGCCGCGCCGCCGCGTGTGCCGCCCCTGGTTGGATGGTACATGGGCTCGGTCGCTGGTGGAGAGGTCTTCTGAAGCTCAGTCTGTCTCGAGAACAGAGATAGATGTGGACGTCCTTTGACTATTGACCGGAAAATGTCAGACCACGTGGCTTGCGGCCTTCTCGCGCTCCCTTCTGCACGCACGTCGCCCTCCATTTCCTCCTCTCCTCCTCTTCTTCTAACACCCACGTTTCTCAACCTTCCACGAGTCGGTCGAGACATGTCTGACGTCGACGATGAGCTGCTGGCTCTGGCCGGCGACGGAGCCTCGTCGTCCTCTGGCTCGCCTGCGCCCAAGACGGCTGCGTCGTCTGCATCGAGAAAGCGCGCGACGGCGAGGTCCTCGGGCGGATCCAAGTCGAAGCGACGGCGAAGAAACGACGCAGATGACGATGAAGACGACGACGATGACGATGATGAGGAAGATGAGGATGACTACAACGATGAAGACGCAGAGGGAGAGGAAGAGGATGAGGACGCGGAGGGCGAGGACGAGGACGCAGAGGGGGAAGATGACGAAGATGAGGAGACTGCCAATCCTTATCCCATCGAGGGCATCTACAAGGACGAGGAGGACCGCGAGCGGTGAGTCTGAGGTTGTATCCCACTGGAAAAGGTCAAGAGCTCACGAGCATGAGATGCGGAGAACAGGTTGCTTGACATGCCCGAGCTCGAGAGAGAAGCCGAACTGGCAGGCCGTCGTGACGAAATCTCCAAGAGAAGGCAAAAGGCCGAGCTGGCTGCTCTCGTGCGATCCCAACGAGCCGCCGCTGGTCGGGGAAAGAAGGAAGCAAAGCCGGTGAAGAAGGCCAAGAAGAAGGCGGCCGCGGCCAGGAAGAGTGCGCCGAAGAAGAAGGCAGCTGCTAGGAGGAAGAAGAGGTCCAGCGATGATGATGACGAGGACGAGGACGAAGACGAGGATGATGATGACGAAGAGGAAGAGGAAGAGGAAAGCGATTTCGAAGAGACAAGAGGTCGAGGAAAGAGAGCAAAGCGCGCCGTGGGCACCTCAGACAGCAAAGCCTCGACCTTGAACAAGCTCAAAAAGTCTAGGGCCAAGGCTGCTGCGAAACGAAGGGGTTTAGATGCGTCGGACGACGACGACGAGGATGACGACTCGAGCGAGTACGATGCAGAAGAGGCAGAGGCGCTCTGGGCCAGGAAAAAGGAGAGGGAGAGAGAGAGACAAGGGTATGGGCGAGGAACCAGGGGCCAGGAGCAGAGCAAGCCGTCGAGGGAGCAAGAGAGAATTGCTGCCAGGAAACCCTACGTCTTGCCAGACCTGGAGGATGTCAATGCAGCCAGGCTCAGGAAAGACCACTTCACGCGCCTGGTGCACCGACCGGACTGGCTCCACGTCCTGGAAGGTCGTTTCGTACGCATCGAATATCCCACCAAGGATCGCGAGGGGCGAAGTGTCATGACCTACCGACTGGTGCAGATTCTCGACTGCTCTGGTACTGGTCGGCACTACCAGATCTCGGATCAGTACACCAACGTCTACTGCACCATGCTCTATGGCGAAGAGAAGCTGCGCGACGCGCCGTTGTCGGTGATCAGCAGCAGCGACGTGACGCTCGACGAGCTGGAGCGGTGGAAGAGCCGGGTCAACAGTGCCATGTCGACGTCTTCGAAGATGCAGCGCATGTTCCCAAGCAAGGAGAAGACTCAGGACCAAGCAGAGGAGCTCGAGACGTACATTGCTCGGCCCTTCACCGAGGACGATATTACCAAGATGCTCAACGCCAAGCGACAGGCGCGAGTGGCGTATGAGCAGGAGCAGTCCCAGCGAGCGGCTGATGGGCCCAGAGCCAATGCCAATGGCAGCGCCAATGGTTCTTCGATGTCAGGGACGAAGTTCGATGAAAAGGCGATGGCAGCCATCAACGAGCGGCACCGGAGAGCCGACCGGCAGAGGATTGCAGAGGCTGAACGGAGAAAGGCGCTACTCCAGCGCGCCGCACTAGGCATCTCGACACCCAACCGAGGAGGCTCGACGTCGGGCACTGCGACGCCTACCAATGGCGCCGTCGTTGGTGTTCCGTCGTCCGCGTCGCATGGCTCGAGCGCGGGAAAAGTCCTGCCGACAGGAGAGGTAGAGGCAAAGGGAAGCGTCGCGGCCGATTCTCAGACGGTGACGGCTGCATCTGCGCACGACAATACCGTCGCGGTGCACGACGTCGACGTGGATTTGGGCGACTTCTAAATGTAATCTTAGATTGATCGAGTCGTACTACTCAAGCTCTTCTCAATGCAAGTACATGCCCATTTGGAAGAGTATAACCCTCGCATCTTCTCTCAAAGACTGCGTACGCATGGCAAGACCAGAAGCCTTTCATTCCCTGAGAGCAATAACAAGAAAAAAAAGGAGGAATGTCAGCCTCCGAACGAGGAAGTATTCCATGCTGAAACCCCTCAATGACCGCGACCGTCTTCCACCCTCTCCCCTCACCCGGCGCCGCGCTTAGCAGCCCGAGCAAGCGAACAGGGAGGCAAAACAGAAGCGAAGAGGGGATCCCTACGGAACAATCTCAGATGGAAGGCTCTCATGTCTTTTGCTCTTCCCCCGCTTAATTTTGCTCCAGTGGCCATAGAGATATAAGGCAACACCAAGCGGTAAGCTATACGGGGGATTGGAGAGTTCTTTGCTCTTTCTTTTCCGCTCGTCTTCACGTCTCACGTCACAAGCGCAGACCTCACGCAACGTTTGAATACTCGCATTTTACAGGATGAACAGGGGGGTGGATTGCCTGCTCCACGCAGCCCAGTCTCCTCATGAGGCCGCAGCTGCTCCTTTTCTTGCCTTTGGCCGGCTCGATGATGAGCCCTTGGAAGCGGTGCTGGACCTCTTGCGTCGCTTGCCTGAATCAAAGGCATTTGCCAACGGCAGCTCTCTCCCTAGTGGGTCTGATTTCTTGACCTCGTAGATGCGGACCTACATGTGTCGGGAAGGTCAGCACTCCTGCCAGCGGTCTTTAACAATTAAATCGACACTCACGATCCAGTTCTCGCTGGTGAAAGCCTCCTCGAGGTAGTCGAGCTTGGGACCTTCAGTGGCCGTCGGCGTGCCTCTAACACGGTCCATGCCGGGCCGACCGCCAAAGAGCTCATTGAAGCGGTAGTAGCTCATCTTGTACATCAGGCTGTTCTTCATCGTCTTTGTCGCACCGTCATCGACCTTGTACTGTCCTTGGGGCGTGAAGAAGTCCACCTCTCGGATCTCCTCGGGCCAGATACCTTGAGAGATGCGAATCATCCACAGGAACTTGTTCATGTCGTCACCACTGTAGCCCAGCAGGCCGCCGAACATGACGAGGACGTAGTCGACATCGTGCTGCTGCAGAATGTTGTAGGCCTTGTCCTCGGGCGATGCCATGGCCTTTCCCACCGTGGCAATGTGGGTGTTGTTCCAGGTGTTGTTGTCGACGAGCGTCGTACGGTCTGAGAAACCCGCAATTTGGTAGCCGTAGTCCCACCAGCTCATGACGCGGGCATCGCTGGCGGTGTTCTGCTTGAGCCAGTGGTACGCTTCGCGGAAGTCGTCGATGATGTGCTGTGACCCGTCTGCGTTCCGTGAGGCTAAGACGACCGAGGGGGACGAGTAGGCCGTCGACGTGACAAAGGTGCAGTGGAGGACAAAGACGAGGAGCAAAACGAGAGTGTAGATGGACACGACGACCCGCGAATCGAGACCGTAGATGCCCAACGACTCCTTCGCCCGCTTGAAAGCCCAGACTGGGTGCGTGGTGGAGCCATTGACGACCTCGTTTGATGGAGCAATGTCGGCCACGTCGTCGGCAACGCCATCACCGTCGGCTGCTGCTGCTGCCTTGGCTGCCGCAGCTGCTTTGCCCTTTTTCCCACCCTTTGCCGTAGGCTTGGATACAGCTGCGACGGGCTCCGATGCTGCGATGCTGTTGACGCTGTCCTCGGCCGACTCGGGCTCTTGAGGGTCGAGATAGGTGTCGAGGAGCGAGCTGATGGCAATGGCAGCGGCCACGCAGACGACTGGCGTCAAAGTAAGCATGAGACGCACCATGACCGACGCAAAGTAGCTGGCCATGGTAGCGTAGATGATGACAAAGACGTGTTCGTCCCTGAGCTCGCGGAAGAGGAGGTAGATACCAGCCGGGAAGAGCCAGACGAGCATCTCGAGGTCGAAGAAAAAGGCTGGCCATGCAGGCGGCTGATGCTCCGAGACAGAGGAGATGATGGGAATGTGCTTGCGAGCGTAGCCGGTGTCCCAAAGAGAGTAGAAGCGTCCGGTCCAAGGTGCAATGTAGCCTCCGTAGGTGAGCGCAACAAGGGCGGCAAAGCTCGTGAAGAAGACAAAGGCGACAAAGGCGCGCAACAGCAGGGCGAACTGCTTGGAGGGAACATGCGACCGGACCAGCTCAACAAAGGCGACGAGCTGAATGAGACCGAAGACGCCTGATTAAAAGAGAGAGTCCAGCGTGTCAGTTGCAGGGATTTTCAGCACATCGTTCGTGCGCAGTGACTCACCAAGAGCGGCCATGTGCTCGCTGGTTCGCACAGGAAGGAAGCCGACAAAGGGCACCTGCATGCTGGCGAGAGTGCCGACGGCGTAGAAGGTGCTGTACGAGACGTAGAGGCGGGTGCTGAAGCGGCCCATGAGGATGAGCACGAAGGCATGGAGGGGGATCATGTTGGTGATGAAGACGTAGCCACCCCACGAGGCCACCATGTAGAAGTAGAATATGGCCGTACCAACGCCCCAAAGAGCAGAGCCCTCCTTGACCGCCTTGATCCAAAGGTAGAAGGTGATCATCAACAAGAAGATGGCGATCGCCTCGTTGTCGTATGAGCCAGCTACTGATCGCGAGATGTAGCCTGGTTTGTATCAAGAAAGCAATGAGCAAAACACGCTGAGGTGTATCATAGAGGGAGACGCCGGGCTCACCCGGAGCGATGGCAATGAAGATGCCAGCGAGCAGACCCGCGCTCTCGTCCTTCATCGTTTTTGTGAACATGTACGTGGCCCAAGCCGTGAGACCCGCAAATCCGGGAGCGAGGAAAACGCATACATCGCGGATATTAACGTCAATGTTGAAGAAGTGAAGGACGTTGTAGATTGCGCCGCTCGTCGCCATCAAGCCGGGGTAGAGGGTACCGCCGGCGGCTCGACCAAGCGGATACCAGGCCGTGGGGTCGAACCAATTCCAGAAACGGTAGTAGCCATCCTTTGTCAATACTTTTGTCGCTCTAAAGTTGAAGGCCGGGTCGTATTCGTGAATGATGCTCTCGTGCCGGATCACGGCAAACAGCCGGGACGAGACAGCGGCAGCAAAGACGACAAAGAAGATGAGCGCCCTCAGCGAATAGCCGATTGACGCAATCGTCCTCGGCGAGAAGTCCGGCGAGTGATAAGCAGCACTCATGATCCCGCGTCCCTTCCTTGCCAGTCGGTGACGGCAATTCTGAGTCTTGTCGCTAACACAATAAGGGCAGCAGGCAGGGCAGGTTTTCTTCTGGCGTCGTCGGTCTCTCCAGCTGGCTTCACTTGTGTCGGCAAGCGCGCCTCACGTGCTTTTCTTCCTGCAGACTAAACAGGCTGGCTCGTGCGCTGTCTTCTGTCCCTTGCAACGTAGCGGCGGCAATAGCGCTGGAATCCCCATTCGGGCCTGCCCGAAGATAGATCAATCCGATGATACTGAAAGCTGCTAGCATCATCTGTCCCGGCGGTTTCAGCTTCGATCTGAAGCCGAAGACTGGGCTGTGGGAGTTTGACGCGGGATCACCACGACGAGGTCCACAGCACTGTTTCTTTAGAAACGCTGCTTCTATCTTCTCCAGGACAGGGTCCTGTGATTTTTTGGCTTCAAGATCAGAGCTGAAGCACTTCCAAGGTGCTTATATACCCAGCCCCCTTCAATCGAAGTAATGGCTGCTGAGGCTTCAATTGTGACTCGAGCGCAAATGAGACCCGGTGATCCTGTTCTGTAGTAGCGAGCATGAGTGACCGTGGGACTCGAAAAGCGTCGTGTCTGTATTAGTCGCGTCCCTTTTTTGAATATGGTCAATACAATAATAGAAAGCGAGGCAGGGGAGCAAAAAAAGGGAAGCGAAAAAACAGCGCGCGCCGATGCGAGCGATTGCGATGGGACTGGACTGGCGCTGCTCGCAACCAACTTCTTCGTCGTCATCATCACCGTCTATCACTGCGCTTCAGCGTTGACGACACCCGCTTTCGACGCAACCCTTTCACCTGCTGCCCCTAAGTAGCAGGGTGAGAACACCTACAGCAATACAACTTGCAAACGTTCTGAGACGACAGGCCACGAGCGTTCGTCGAATTGGTTTCGGACTTGAGTGGAACAGCAAAGGCCCAAAGAGGCGACCCCAGTGCAGCACCCTCGGGGCCAACGAGTCAAGACTCCCTCCGATACGGCGTGACATCGACGACAGGGCGTGTGCTTCTCCGCCTTGATCGCCAAACGCACAGTCACTTCTCGCCCCTAGACGCGTGGCCCCTCTTCGTTTCGTCCGTCGCCGTCGTCGTCGGCAAAAAGTGAAGGCGAGCGAGGGTCGTGACGAGACAGAAAATAAGGCAACGACATATTATCTCAGCATAACCATACTCGCACCTTCAACGAACCACGTCGCTCCTGACCAACTACGATGGAGCGAGACGGCGATGCATCCGGGGGCTGGAGATTTGCGCAGTGTTTTGGCGACAAGGGCGAAGTGGAGGACATAACCGAGGGTGAGTATCGTCTTTGTGTGTACTATCGTGGGGCTCGGTGATGGTTTGCGAGATGCTGGTGACGCTACTGCCATAGGATGAAGGCTAGGGGAGGCTTCCTCCTTCGCTTGTTCGGCCGCTGGCCACTGGCTACATCCCATCTGGCAAGGCAGTGCCAAATGCGACCTCATCTACGGAGGGGGCCACTAGAGAGGGGTCTATGCGACCAGTCTTGTTTCATCCTGCTCAGCGCTGCTGGCGCTCGCGGCCCCTCAGCGCCTCAGCAAAGGCCGGGGAGGCTGGAGCGCAGGCCTTTTTCTTGTCGCTCCGGCAAAGCCCTTTGCTCGGACCAAGTCGCCATTTATTTCGGTGCAATTTGCACCCGTGCATCACAGCCCGGACCCTTCTTGGACGGACCGCCTGGTGCGCTTCTGCCCGTGCTCTCGTCACAGCCGAGACTTTCTTCTTGATGTTGAAGGAGGGCGGAGTGACAGATGCTTCTGTTCTTATCTTTGCTCTTTGCTCCTTTCACGATGGCTTTTCTGCAGCAAGGTCTGTCCTTCACGCATGCCAAATCGCGCTCTCCTCTGCCATTGCTCGTATCTCTTGTTGGAAAGAGAGTTCCCACTGACATGCCATTCTCCCCTTGCAGCCGACATCATTTCCACTGTCGAGTTCGACCACACTGGTGACTATCTTGCGACAGGAGACAAGGGCGGTCGGGTAGTCCTCTTCGAGCGCAATGAGTCGGTGAGTGTGTGGCCTTGCTTTCCTCTTCTGCTCCTGAGGGCTTCGCTGACGCTTCTTTGGACCGTCAGAAAAAGGGCTGTGAATACAAATTTCACACCGAGTTCCAAAGCCACGAACCGGAGTTCGACTATCTCAAATCGCTTGAGATTGAGGAAAAGATCAACAAGATCAAATGGTGTCGACGGCAAAATGCGGCTCATTTCCTTCTCAGCACCAATGGTGAGTTGTTGTTCTGGCGTAGATAGGGGAGAAGAGCATCTATCTGACAGTCGAGGAAATGCGTGTTTCGCGACAGACAAAACGATTAAGCTGTGGAAGGTGTTCGAGAAGTCGCTAAAGGTCGTGGCGGAAAACAACTTGTCAAACGACGGGTTTCGAAACATTGCTGCGCACTCGGGCAACGTCCACCCTTCACTTCTACCGCCGCCAGAACCCCTTGTGGGCAGCGGGACCAATTTGCGATTGCCGACGCTCACACACCACGATACCATAGTCGCAGCCGTGCCCCGGAAAATCTATGCGAATGCACACGCATATCACATCAATTCCATCTCGGTCAATTCCGACGGTGAGACGTACATTTCGGCAGACGACTTGCGCATCAACCTATGGAACCTCAACATCAGCGATCAGAGCTTCAGTGAGTTACATGGCATGCAAGATATCTGCTTATCGCCTGTTGTGCTGACAAGACGAACCCACGTCTATCAGACATTGTCGACATCAAGCCAGTCAACATGGAGGAATTGACAGAGGTCATTACGGCGGCAGAGTTCCACCCGATCAACTGCAACAATTTCGTCTACTCGAGCTCAAAGGGAACAATCAAGCTGGCCGACATGCGAGATTCTGCCCTGTGCGACCACCATGCGAAACGTGAGTCACAGCAGCGCTAATTGCATTGTGGTAGAGAACGTGCATGTGTACTGATGAGCTGACCCTGGAACGACAGACTTTGAGGAAGAGGAGGATCCATCAAACAAGTCATTCTTCAGCGAGATCATCTCGTCGATTTCCGATGTCAAGTTCTCGCGCGACGGTCGGTATATTCTCTCGCGTGACTATCTGACGCTCAAGATTTGGGACGTGAACATGGACTCCAAGCCGGTCAAGACCATCCCCATCCACGAGCACCTCCGATCGAAGCTTTGCGATCTGTACGAAAATGACTGCATCTTTGACAAGTTCGAGGCCCTCTGGGGACCCGACGGGCGAAAGGTCCTGACGGGCAGCTACAATAACTACTTCCACATCTTCGACAAGGACGACGACAGTGACGTGGTGCTGCAGGCAGACAAGAGTGCATTCAAGGCCAAGAAGCTGGCGGGAGCAAAGAAGAACAAAGGGAATAATGCGTCTGCCGCGGCGCAAATCAACGTTGACAATGTGGTACGTCTTCCCGTCTGCACTGTCGACCATGGCTTTCACTGACTTGAATCCCCGCATCCTAGGACTTTAACAAGAAGATCCTGCACTCAAGCTACCATCCTAGAGAGAACACGATTGCGGTGAGTCTCCTGGGGCTGCACATATCTGCACCGACATTTCACGGTACTGATGCAAACCTGGACCACAGATTGCGGCGACAAACAACTTGTTTATCTTCTCAGCAAACAATCCGGTGTCTACCTAGGAAGGAAAAGGGGCAGATTGACCGTCTAAGGAAGGGGGCGAATGCGAACATAATTTCTTTGTCAAGCTTTCTTGTCTGTTGTAGCACGACTCGTCTCTCCCTCTCTCGATTCTCACTGTCTTCTCTCCAGCTATGTTTTCACCTCCCACTCTCCCCCTCACAATGCAATAGTCCCCGAAAGTAATGAGTTCCCCTCTTCAAGCCGCCTTCCGCTCCGTAATATGCGGTACCAGACTTGTGGACAGAGAGCAGCTGTTGGCTGCGTGCCGGCTACGTAGTTGGACGCCGTTAGATTGTTCCTGGGAGAAGTTGTGAAGCATTTCTCCTCATTCAGCCTTTTAGTGCGCGCACTTTATCGGACAGGGAATGTGCACTAAAATGTCACGCAGACGGGCAAAAGTGGACTAGCCTCGAGGTCCGTCGCGTTCGCTCGCCACATCGGCATCGGTGCGCCTTTCGTCCTCGCGAGTCCGATGACCTCGAACCGTTGAGGGCCTCGGCTGCAGCCTGTCCATGTGCCTCGCTTGTATCTGCCCTAAGTTGGTTGCCTGCCGAAGTCGGTGCTCCATGGACGCTGCAGCTTTGTCTTTCTTTGCATCAGATTTCTCTTCCTCTGGGGACAAGCTCCTTTCTGTGTCTGTCCCATCGACATTCTCTAGAATTTCGAAAAGCCTAAATAAGACAAAGGAGAAGAAAAAAAATGTGATGATGAAACAGGGCCTTGAGAGGACACGCGCAGGTACTAAAGGGTTTCTTATTTATTTACGTTTTCTCCATGAGCGTAACGACGAGCGGACCCTGATGGACGGCCTTCTCCCCCTTTTCTAGGTTGCAGATCAGAACGTCCTACGTCTTCTCCTCTCATCATCGGCTCCTCCTTTTTCTATCCTGCTCTCGGCTCAACCCCTCTCTGACCCTATCCGAGGCGCGTGGAGACTTCAGTCTATCACGTTTTGTGGAGACGGTGCGGTGCATCTTGGCGTCAGATATCGCACTTTCTTGGCACCGCCTTTGGGCCTCCGCGCGCGCGCTCGCTCTGTCAGTTGACAAGAACCGGCCGAACGGCTCTTCTTTTTTCTTTCTCCTCCTCGTCATCTACCCACCCCTCCGACAAAACACGGAAAGGCCGGTGAAACCATGCCGAAGTCTTCGCAGCCGTACGCGCCTGTCGGTCAGGGTGAAGGGACCTCATCGCCTCATCTGGAGCCAAATAGCTCGCCTCGTTTGGGAGCAAACAGCTCGCCTCATCTCGGCGCTGTAGACTCGCCGCGCCGCACGTCGTCGCCGGGCCTCTTTGACTCGCGCAGCCCTCGCCCCCAGACCCCCCTCCAAGGCGATCTTGGCTCGCATGCCAACCTCTTCTCTTCGGCTCACGCCTATGCGCCCGTAGCGGGTGGAGGAGCGGGCGGGCACAGCTCGCCAGACCCATCAAGTTACTCTTTCTATGGCCGGCCCGAGTACAGACACATGAGCAGCTCGCTCGGCTCGACGAGCCGGCCCCTGAGCATGGCCAGCTCGCACTTGATGGGTGGAGCCGCGGGCAGCGACTACGACAGCGTCTACCGACTCGGTCAGTTTGATAGCGGCATCCCGCTCAACACGTACGACAAGGAAGGAGCGCACTCGCCGGGCATGAACACGCCCGCAGAGTACTATTACGGCGATTCACCTCGCGAAGCCGGCTTGGCGCGGTATGGCGTGGCAAAGGAGATGGGCCCCGATGGGAAAAGGCTACCGGCCGTACCGCACAAGAAGCGCTGGTGGATTCTCGGAGGCGTCGCTGTCCTCCTGGCCGTGCTCGTCGTCGCCATTGCCGTACCTGTCACGACGCTCCTTGACGACAAGGACAACAACACCACAAAGAGCCCAGATGGCACGGTGGAGCCTGGGACCGGTCCTGGAGGCAAGGTGCTCACCAGCGGAGGCGACGGCACTAAGATCAGGATGGATAATGGAACCATTTTCACCTACTCGAATCGTGCGTTGTTCTTCTTTTCACAGGTTCTTTGTGCGTTAGCCGCTGACCTTTTCCTTCCTTCCCAGCGTTTGGCGGGACGTGGTCCAGCGACCTCACGGACAACAGCGCAAGAGCTCAGAATTACACGCCAGCTCTAAATGCGACGTGGGACTACGCAAAGAACAGGATTCTCGGTGTCAATCTCGGTGGTTGGCTGGTCCTGGAGCCCTTCATCGTTCCCAATCTCTTTGAGCCGTACGAAAACACGTCGAGTCCCATCCTCGACGAATACGGCCTCTCTCAGAAATGGCAATCAGAGGGCCAACTGGAACAAAAGATGCGACAGCACTACGACACTTTTATCACCGAGTATGACTTTGCTCTGATCGCAGGCGCCGGTCTCAACTGGGTCCGACTCCCCCTTGGCTACTGGGCCATCGAGACGATGGCGAATGAGCCGTACCTGCCCAAGGTATCGTGGGAGTACTTCCTCAAGGCGATCCAATGGGCTCGCAAATATGGTCTGCGCATCGAGCTAGACCTGCATGCCATGCCAGGCTCCGTCAACAATTACAACCACGGCGGCAAATCTGGCGTCCTCAACTTCCTCAACTCGGCGGCTGGTATGCAGGCCGCTCAGAGGGGCCTCAACTACATCCGTGTCATCACCGAGTACATCTCTCAGCCCGAGATTGCAAACGTCGTGCCCATCTTCGGCATTATCAACGAGCCGAACACAGGCCTGGGCATCGGCGTCGAGAACCTCAAGCGCTTCTACTCCGAGGTCTATCAGGAGGTCCGGAACATTACGGGGACTGGAGCCGGCAAGGGTCCCATCATTGCCCTCAGCGATGGTTTCGCAGGCTTGAACAACTACCAAGGCTTCCTGAGTCAAGCAGATCGAGTAGCGTGGGACCAACGTGAGCAAAGCAAAAAGACTATTTAGATGTCGTTGACTGCTGGCACTGACGCATCTTTTTTTTCGATTGGTCAGACGCCTATGTTGCTTTCACACCACCTTTTCCCGATCGTACTGGGCTCACGCAGACTGCTTGCAACTACTATGGCAGTTCGACCGACGGCTATTTTGTTCAAAATGGACTGACGATTGCTGGAGAATGGTCGCTGGCCACCAATGATTGCGGTCTCTATCTCAATGGCGTCGGACTCGGCTTCCGATACGAAAATTCAGACCAGGCCGACAAGTCGCACCCGCAGTACTTTGGCTCTTGCGTTCCCTTTGACGATTGGGCAAACTACGACAATTCGACAAAAGCGGCCATGAAGCAAGGGGCGCTCGCGCAGATGGACGCTCTCCGCAACTTCTTCTTCTGGACCTGGAAGATCGGCGATAGCTTGCGCACGGGCAAGCCAGTCAATCCAAACTGGTCCTACCTACTCGGAATCCAGCAGGGTTGGATGCCCACGAACCCACAAAAGGAGTCGAACGGCTTCTGTGCCTCGTACCAAAAGCAGAACAGCTCGGCGTCGATCACCTGGACGGGCTTCACGAGCTGGTCTTCGACATTTTCAGATTACATGACGGGGGCCGCGTCGACGTACAACCCCCAGACACAGACTTTTGCCTGGCCGCCAACGTCGATGTCGACGGGTATTGCGTCGAACAGCAACGTTGGAAGCACACCTGTCTCGGCGATTCCGAGTTATACGGCCACGGGCACCCCTCTGTCAGCTGGAACTCCGACGGTGTCTGCGTCCATCAGCGGCGAAGCGACGCCCACGCTCAATCCCTGGGCCAACAATTCAAAGGCCGCACCGGCCTATGCCGCGATCAACGGGTGCGGCTACTACATGGACATTTTTAACGTGCAAAACAGCGACAATGTCGGCCAGTGGCCTTGCGCAGGCAGTGCACCGTCAAAGAGGAGCCCACAGCCAATGCCTACGCCCGTCGCTTCGCCGAACCCTGGGCCAGCAGCACCTGCCTCAACACCAGCGCCGCGACGGAGGTGAGGAGTTCGACCTCGGACGGACATTGACATCGACACAAGCACTCTCCCTTTTTTTCCCGTATTGGATCTTTCACTCTCGACGTTGTCTGCGTGCTCTTGCTTTCATGACCTCGGGTCTCGTCCCGTCTTTTGTGCGCCACCCCTCTAGCTTCGCTGCTGTTGCCTGCATGGCGAGCCATTCTTCAGTTGTATCAATAGAATCCTTACACGTCTGTACAAGAACTTTACCTTGTTCTGAATAGCAATCGCGGCATCTTGTCTTCTGGTCGAGGGAGTTGGCACGAAGAAGTCTGAAAAGACAGTGAACAGTAATAGCATGGTTGCGATTGGGAGCAAAACAATACAAGCTGATTAGAACGATGCAAAGGGTACAATCGAGCACTGTGGCTGGAAGGAGGGTGAGGGGGAAGGGAATTTGCTGCTAGGGCTGGATCACGACAGGCTCCATAGTCGATGTCGTCTCCATGGGAAAGTGGCTTTGGTGCTGATAGACGATGGTCTGCTGTTCGCCCATCAGGTCTCGATGACGCTTGATGAGGTTCGCGAGGCCCTGCGCAACCTCCAACAGCTCCCGCGCAGTACTGTTGGACTCTGGTTCTGGATGGCCCAAGAGTCGGTAGGTGCCTATGACGCCCTGTGCGTATTGATTGCTCGCGGCGGCGTACAGTGCAGCGCTGTCGAGCTGGAACTTGCTGATGTTGATCGGCGATGCGCCGTGTGTCGCCGCCAGGTAGTCCACTTCGAGCTCTGTCATGTACGTATGGCAGATAGAGTTCCAAGCCCGGAAAATGGCAGAGTTAAAGTCCTTTTGCCACGGTTGTCGAGTCTTTCGACTTGCAGTACCGCCAATTGACTCGGCAGAAGATGTGGAGGTGGTATGTATGGTGGAAGAGCCAGATGAAGAGGGGGAATTGGACGAGGTCGGTGAACCTCCGGTAGCGCCGAATCCTCCTGCAAAATCGGGAGAAGCTTGGCGGGCCTGAAGCGCAGCGACAATGTTGTCCTGCAGGTCCGCGTGGTGTGCCAATCCTGTCCGTCGGATAACGACACCCTGCAAGTGTGCGGCGCAGTTGACGAATTTGGCGAATGTCAATCGGCTCGGAGTAGGCTCAGCCCAGTTGATGACTGACGCATGTCTCCATGTCAGCTTGGCACCAAGGAAATTGCGAGGAAAGTAAAGAAGAACTCACCATCGTGAACGACATCGATGAGGAAGTCGCAATCGTCAATAAGCCTCAGCAGCTGCCGGAATCCGTCCGGCGGATCGGCATAATCGATCGACGCAGGAAGGTGCCAGCTCGACATGCACTTGGAGAGGACGCTCAGTCCCCTCGTCCTCGTCTCTGCATTTTTGAACAAGTCTGTCGACGGCCTATCGGCCTCATCAGGCCACATTGTGAAGATCTTGGCGCCCTGCATCTCGTCGGGCTTGAATCTCGACTGTGGAAGCTCGATGTTTGGGTAGGCGTAGCCTGTCCGCAGTCAAGTCAGACAACGCTCCACCTCTTCTTTCTGGTCAGCAGTGAAAGGAAGCTCACCTATTCTCATGGCAATCCACATGGGGAATAATCTCATCCTTGCTGCTTCTTCAAGCTTGACATCGCTCCTCGCCACGTCCTTGCCGACCTTTTCGAACAAGGGCCCGTCGAATGAGATCGCGTTCGTCCTTTGGCTTTCCATTTCCAATGCTTCCTGAAGCCTTGGCATCCTGGCCACATGAACGGCAAGCTTCATGAGGTCGAATCCTCTTGCTGAGAATTCCGGATGCAATCTGAGAAGCAACGAGGCGGCCTGGGCGGCGCCCAGCCATCCCGATGCACTCAAGCCTTCCCTCGAGGCAGCGGCCGACGTCATTGTCTGATCCAGGTACGTTTCCGCACAGATTCGAATCTGCTCTGACAAGTCATTCTCGGACGTGGGACCAGGGACTGCCTCGAGCGCCATTAGGCTGTTGGGCGTCGCCTGCCGGTTGTATGTCCTCAAAGATGTAGCCACGAGGGAGAAGACGACTGCAGGGCTCACGCCGTGGTGCTCCTCTGGCCTCGTTACTGCCCGCACAACAGTAGGAATGTGGCAGATTTGAAACCAGTGCTCGTGCTCGATGGTGGGCGCTACCCGTTGAATCAGGAAGATGATGGTGCGCAGCGCCGTCTGCCGGTTGGCGCCAAAGAAAGAGACGAGATGGTCATGCCAGGTCTTGTCGACATAGGATGCCGAGGGAGCTCCAGTGACGACCAATGATTGATGAAGACCTGATCCGCGCCTATACCCAGAGACGGAGTTGTTGTGTTGTCGAATGGCTAGCGCCGTCCCCATTTGTTCATCTTGCAACGCTATCCCGTGACTGCTGCTCGTCCTCCTGCTACTGTTGTTACTGCTACTGCTACTGCCGTTGCCATTGCCATTGCCGTTGCCGTGTGGGCTGGTCCCTTTCGCATCGCCCGCCCTTGCTACTGCAGCTGCCCTGTCCGCCCCTGTTCCGGCGCCTGTCCCTGCTCCCGAGCTTGACGAAGCCCGAACGTGGTGGACTGGATATGTGCAGTTGACTTTGCCCCTCACACATCGGCTACATGGAAACTTGCGGTCGCACTTGAGCTTGCGATTCCGGCAGTTGTCGCTAGTCGTGGCAGCGGTGTCAGCCAGCGAGTCTCTCCATCCAAGATTGGCCGAGGCAAGCGGAGATAACTCACCAAACATACGGCTTCGGCCCACGAGCGCCGGTCGTGTACGGCGTACCTCCGCTGGCGTTGCTCGCACCGTTGGTCGGCACGGCGGCGCTGCTGCTGCTGCCGCTGCTGACGCTGGCCCCGCCATCCATGCTCATGCCGCCTCCGAAGCTCCCTTGGTCAAGTTGGTTGTGCATGTAGTAGCCATTGCTGCTGCCTTCCCCGCGATCATCGGCGAACACGCCCTCGACCCAGTCGATGTTCATCCTACCGGCCTCTTGTCCGACAGACTGTGGTGGTGCTCGTCTCGGAGGCCGGAGAATTGGCAAGTGAATGCGATGGAGGCAAGGTGTAGGAAGATAGAGAAAGAGAGACGGACAAACCTGTCGTCGAAATAGGGATACAGACAGATTGACCTGCAGCCTGGCCTTGTCAAGGTGCAGCAAACGCAAGCCCTTTTTACCCAAAGAGGCAAGCTTCGCCGAAGCAAGCAGCTGTAGCTAGCTAGTAGTGTATGTAGAGTAGTAGTAGTACGTGTAGTAGAGTAGTAGTAGTAGTATAGCACCAGTGCGTGGGTCGCGCATAGGCCAGGGCAGCAGCAGTCTGGCCGGAAGACCAGGGCTAGATTGAATCTTGTGCTAAACTGTTCTAGTGTAGCATTTTTCCCTGGAGGGAGCAAATAGGAATTTTCCGGGGTCCGATCACTGAAATAGACGCTCGCTCGCCTTTTCTATCAACCCACCCAACCCACCCACCTAATCACTCTACCTCTCCATCGTTTCCCGCGGGGGCGTCGGGACTCGAAAACTATATGTTTGACACGTGTTTTACAAAGGTGGGCCAGACGCGAGACACACTGACGTTTTCGACCCTGTTGAAGTTGGAATGGTGGGGACGTAGCCTCGGTGACAGAAGTCGCAAGAACTTTCAGCCCCCGCCACTGTGAGGATTTTGCACTATCGAAAGGAGGCGGGTGAGGCACGCTAGGATCTCGCGGTAAGCATCATCAGTAATTCGCTTCCGACTGTTCCTGTCATTGCCGGATTTGGACGACAGGCCTTATTTTTGCGCTGGAAATGGCATGACTCGAGCAATGGCGTAATTGGCAAACCATGGGAATCTGCAAGGTAGAATAGTCCGGAGCCGAGAATCGAAGCGGTCACGAGAGCAGCTTGTGAGGGAATGAAGTGAACATTTTCCGCGGCGCACTGAGAGAAATGACGAGTCTACAAGAAAGGAAGGATGATAGCAATTGTTCACAGACCGCCAAATCGGCGCACTCAAGGAATATTGAGGATGGGCTTGAGCGCCTTGATGCACTTTTTCTGCTCGAGGGAAACCTGGTCCCAAAAGAGCTCCTTGAGCGTGTCGATGCTCTGCCGCGTCAGGTGGCTGAACAGCTCGTCCGATTCATCAAAGTGCCTGCCGTACGTTCTCGCCGTCTCGTGGGGCGCACACTCAATCCTGACGGCCACGCCAGCACCGGCCGACTTGGGCGTCACAATGTCCATCCGCTTGTGGTTGACTTCGAGAGACGTCACTCGACCCAGATTGATGATCTCACCATCCTTTCGCACGCAGATTGGCGTACCCATCCTCAGGTCACCCGCCGTGATCTCGCACCCAAGGATCAAGGGCGACCGCTTGGCAAAGGCTGCCAGGATCTTGAGCCGGCATGGCCAGACTGCCGTCGCCGTATTCTCCTTTTGCTTCGTCTCGAGGACCTGCTTCTGATGCGCGATGAAGCTGTCGAAGAGATGGTAGATGATCCTCGCCGAAAAGATCTTGACGCCAAGCTCCTCTGCCATCCTGCTCGCGTCCTTGTCGATGTCCACGTCAAAGCAAAGCATCACAGCAAGGTCCGGTGCCTTTTCCAGCATCGTGGCGCACCGCATCACATCGCGCTTGTACACAGGGCCGATGTTGATGCCGTTGACCGGAATCTTGCTCTGCTTGAGGAATTCTAGCAGGGCCTCGAGCGAACCGAGGGTGGACGCCTGGACGCAGACGCCCTTGCCCGACTTGTCGATGGAGTGGAGAAGACCAGTGAGATCCGACATGACCTCTTCCTTGAGCTCCTCCTCATCGTCGTCGGGGCCGCAGACCATGAGGCGCGAACCACTGATGGCCTTTTCGAGATCTGGCGCAGAGATCTTGACACCCAATGCAGCCTTGACAGTCTTGTGGTGGACATAAGAGCCCTTGACACGCATCTCCTTGAGGGGCTGTGGTGTAAGCAGCGCTCGAACCTGCGTCACAATGGGGCCGTTGAGACCACAAAGGACAATCTTGTCGCCCTCGTGCATGACACCGTTGGACAGAATCACGTCGATGGTCGTGCCCAGACCCTCAATGACCTTGACCTCGAGCACGGTGCACTCGAGCTCAGAGAGGTACATGAGCCGCTCGCTCATGCGGTCCTGCGTCAGGTTGACGAGGAGCTGGAGCATGTCGGGGATACCCTCGCCCGTGTGAGCACTCGTGGGAACCAAGCTGACGTTCTTGGCAAAGTTCTTGTTGTCGTAGTACAGAACGGCGTTGAGGCCTTGCTCGGCAAACGCGATGATCGTCTTTTGGGCTCGGTCCTCGAACTCGCTCTGGGTTGCGCGGCTCTGCTTGGCCAAGCTGTCTCGGAACGCTCCGTCGGGTGTCGGCTGCCATCCGTAGAGTCGGTCGATCTTGTTGAGAGCGACGATGAATGGCGTCTTCCTGTCTCGCAGCAGCCGGATCGACTCGAGCGTCTGTGGCTCGAGGCCGTGCATAATATCAACGACGAGGATGGCAATGTTGCACAGAGAGCTACCCCTCGTGCGCAAGTTGGTGAAAGATTCGTGACCAGGTGTATCGATGACGAGAAGACCGGGTGTGTTGAACTTTTGCTTGCCTTCTGGGTCGATAGGCATGATCTTTTGCTTGAGAACGTCGACAGGGAAGTAGGTAGCACCAATCTGCTGTGTGATACCACCAGCTTCGCCTTCCTGCACGTTGGTCTGGCGAATCTTGTCAAGCAGCTTCGTCTTTCCGGTGTCGACGTGGCCCATGATGCAGCAGATGGGGCTTCGCAGATCGTCCTTGTTGCGTGCGGCAAGCGCAGCCTCGTGCTTCTCCTTGCGACGCTTCTCGGCCTCGGCCTTGCGTTGAGCAGCCATACGCTGCGCCACAGTACCTTCGTCTTCATCTGAATCATCCGAGTCGTCGTCGTCCGAGTCGTCATCTGAACCATCAGAGTCGCTGCCCGAGTCGTCCTCTGACTCGTCGTCGTCATCATTCTCATCCTCTTCCTCTTCCTCTTCTTTCTGTGCAGCAGCTTTGGCCGCATCTGCTTCCTTCGTCGCCTTAGCCGAAGCAGCCGCCGCCTTCTCGCTGGCGGCCTTGGCATCAGTCCTGGCCTTCTCTGCAGCGGCCGAGCTCTTGCCATTGGGCGCCGCCTTGGCGGCAGAGGCAGGAGCAGCCTCCTTGACGCCCTTCTCCTTTTCACCGGCCTTCTTCGCCTCGACCTTGGCTTCCTTTTCACCATCGTCACTCTCGGCATCCCACTCATCCTTGACGCCATCGTCTGATTCTGCGTCCCAATCGTCCTTAACCGCATCGTCTTGGTCGTCCACGTCAGCAGCGGCTGGCTCCGCTTCGGCAGGAGCAGGGGCAGCCTCAGAAGCAGCTGGCTCGGGAGACGGCGCCTTTTCCTCTGTCTGTGCAACAGCCTCTGACTCGGGCGGGGGAGTCGATGTAGGCGGTGCCAATTTGCTCGGAGGGCCTGACGTTGGGAACTTCTTCTTCTTCCGGTTGTCTGCCAATGGTCTCTTCTTCTCCTTTTCACCCGCTGCCGCAGACTCGTCTGGCTCGCGCTTGACCAGTCCGTCGACCTTGACCTGTCCGCTCTTCAAGAGTGCTTGCATACGCGCCTCGGCCGCCTTCTTTTCCGCCTTTTGCTTGGGCGTCAGCAGCTTACCCTCGCGTCGCAGCTGCTCTCGCTTCTCCTTCTCCTTCTCCTTCTTGCGCTGCCTCTCGGCCTCCTTGCGCTCGGCCTCTTCCTTCTCCAGTCGCTCGGCCTCTTCCTCTCGCCTCTTCGCCTCCTCCTCGGCCGCTCTTGCCTCTTCCTCAGCTTTTTTCTGGGCAGCAATGCGGGCCTGAAGTGCCTGAAGAGCCGCTGACGGCTTCTTTCCTCCGGCAGAGGGCGCAGGTGTCTCGGCCTTGGCCTCAGCGCCACCCTTCTTCTTTTTCTTCTCTGTTGGATGAGTCGATTTCGTTGGTCAGTGGAGGACGAATGAGCCCAAAGACACGCATATACTCACTCTTCTTCTTGTCGGCACCACCCGCTCCCCCTTCCTCGTCGCCTTCGTCTTCATCATCTGCAGCCTTTTGTTGAGCAGATTCCTCGGCGGCGGGCTCCTCTTGGTCCTTCTGCACTGGAGACTCGCCCTCTTGTTGGTCGCCACCAGCAGCTGCCTTCTTTGCGGCCGCCTGAGCCCTCTTCTTTTCCTTTTCTCTCTCCTTCTTGAGTTTTTCCTTCTCCTTCTTCGTCAGGATCTGCCAATTTGCACAGTTAGTGGAACATTGCATGTACCAAGTGAGGACAAAGACGGGCTCACTTTCGGCGTGCCATCGTCCTCGTCTGCAGCTGGTTGAGGTGTTGCCGTACCGCTGCCCTTTTCGGCCTCTTCTTCGTCATCGGCTGCCTTCGGCTTACCGCCCTTCTTCTTGCCGGCCTTGGGATCAGGGAACTCACTGCAGCGCACTGTTCAGAAAAAGCGAGTCTTGGAAGGACAACAGAGCCTGACTCACTCATCCAAGTTGCCCTCGACGGGCGCCTTGCTCTCTTCTTCTTCGTCATCCTCCTTCTTGACGGCATTGCCGCTGACGTCCTCGCCCAGCTCGTCCCAGATGTCGTCGTCTTCCTGCTTCTTGTTCTTCTTGCCCTTCTTCTTGTCCTTTTTGCCACCCGCGCCGCTCTTTTTTATCGCGCTCATTAGCCCTCCGAAGTCCTCATCGTCTTCCGGCTTGGACTTTGATGCTTTGTCCTGTTCCTCGTCGTCGTCATTATCGTCACCACCTTCGACAGCCATGGCAGCGAAGGCGCTTTTCCGCGCAGGAGCAGGCGCCGCATCGTCTCCCGAGTCGTCAGCGGTGCCATTGGTGATAGCGGCGGCAGGAACAGCGTCTCCGGCCTCGTCCCTGGCGTCACGATTCAGATCAGCGAACCTCGACCAAGAGCAATCTGGGCATTTGTTACTCACCAGTAGTCATCGCCACCGCCCTTCTTGGCCCCCTTCTTCTTCCCCATTGTGAATCGCAACTACCACCAAAGATCTAGGGTTTTTCCTCGGGGCGTGAGTCTTTGTTCCGGTGCGTGTGCTCGCGCTCGCGGTGAACGGGGTGAGAATCCAAAGCTAGAGCGAGCGCGATCCTCGAACGGGAAAAAATCAGAAAAAAAAAAAAAAGGAGGGCAAGGGTCAATGATCCACGTGGGGCGCTCATTTGCGACAGTAGCAAGCATCTTCCTTGTAGAGAGAGAGCAAGAGAGGAACGAAGCTCTTCAACCACTGCCACAGGACGGTCCGAACAGAGAGAGAAGCGCTTTGACGGACCACCATGTCGGCAACGCTGCTCTCGCGGGTGCTGCCTGTGCCTGTGGGCGACGAAGTAGTCGAGCTGTCGCTGGATGACCTGCCCGTCGACATCGAGGACTATGTCCAGGTGCTGCGCGAAGAACGGTCGGCAGGCCACTTTTGGATGAAGCTGGCGTCCGAGTGTGGTGCTCGCAAGCGGTTGCAGGACTGCGAAATGGTGCTCCAGTCGGCCATTCAGACCCTCTCGATGGATCCCAGGCAGGGATACCGACCCAGCCAGGCGTCTGCCGAGGAGTGCGCCCCCTTTCACGCCATGCTTTCTACTCTCTACCTCGCCCGGGCTCGGCCCAACCCCAAGGTCATCCTGCCCGAGGCCAAGTTCCAAAATCTGACGACAAACGCCACCATCGAGCCAAAGGAGCGTCAGCAGCAAGCGGCGGCCAGCCACGCGCAGAGCGCGGCCGTGGGAGCGGTGCCGCCCATGATGAAGGGCCGGGCGACTCTGCGACACGGCGTCCTCCTTGGCAGGGGCATCTTCTTGACTGTCACCGGGCGCACCGACGAGGCGCTCAAGGCGTTTGACGATGTTCTCCGGTTCCAAGCCCGGAACCCAGCGGCTTTGATGGGCAAGGCGTGCTGCCTGCTGCGGAAACGGGCATACGCCAACGCGCTCAAGATTTACCAGGAGGTCTTGGCCATCAGCCTCGCACAGAACGCGAGGGCTGCCCAAGAAGCTGCCACTGCCGCCGCTGCCGATGGTGATGCGGCACATAACCCCGCTTCGAAGTGGCTCGGCCCCGACCCACGCGTGGGCATCGGTCTGTGCCTCCATGGTCTCGGCAAGCTCGCCGAAGCGCGCCGTGCCTGGGCGAGGGCGATCGCCGTCGATCCGAAAAACCCGTCCCCTCACCTCCTTCTGGGCCTCTCAAAGCTCAATGCTGCCAAGCAGCTCGCCAGGCTACCTCGCGACCTGATGCGAGGCGGCGTGACCGAAGTACAGGCCCGCGCAGCTGTCTACAAGGAAGGATTGGCGCATGTAGAGGCATCGTGGAAGCTCGACAACAAGGTCGCCATGACGGCCATTGCCCTCGCGGAGCACATCACTGCAAGAGCCGTGGCGACTGCCGCGACGAACCGGGAGGCCGCGCAGAAGGAGTTTGGACGAGCCCTCAAGCTTGGTGAACATGCCATTCAGTACGCCGATTCTAAAGCGGCCGTTCTGCAGGCTTGGCTCGTCTTTGCTCGCACCGCCCACCTCTGCAGCTACTCATCGCAGGCCAGTAGCGGTGCCGTGGCCGATGAGATCGAGCTGAGGAGTCTCGCTCAGCGCTACTACGGCCGCGTCATCGAGGACTACAGCCGCGGACCGCCAGGAGGCGGTGCTGGACCTTCAGCAGATGCAAGCAACAGTTTGGCGCCTGCCCACGCCCTCGCCGCTCTCGGACTCGCGCAGCTCCAGGTGGCCAGGGGCGAAGCACTCGGTGCCAAGAACACGCTGGAAGGAATTCTTTCGCGGCCGGCTTCCACCTCTTCATCCTGCATCGAGCTCTCGCTCCTCTCGGCTGCCGTTCGCGCCCAGTCGCACCCTGGTGCTACTGCAGCGGAGAAGCAAGCGGATCAAGATAGGGCCAGGATCCTCCTTGATCGGACTCTGCGCAGCGTGGAAGCTGCACGGGCAGAGACACGCGGTGCTCGACCCAGCGACGACCTCGATGTCGTCATTCAAACCTTGGCGCTGGCAGACAAGGCGGACCAGGCCATCAACGGATCGGACGACAGCCTGGCTCCCGGCCTGGCCATTGCTCGGACAGCGTTGGGAACAGAGAAGTTGGGCAAACTCGCACTCAAGGAGCTGGCACTGCTGGGCGACGATGTCCTGGCGCACGTCCAGATGGCCGATCTCGTTCGAGCAGGCGGGCCACAGGACCTGTCACGAGCTGTTTCAAGCTACGTGACTGCGCTCCGGACGCTCCGAGTTAAGCAGCTGGACCTGGGAGGCGAGGAGCTGGCCTTGAAAAAAGGCCAGGAACTCGCCGAGGCAGAACAGCTTGCGGTGCGTTTGCGAGCTAATCTGGGCGCCCTCTTGGGTCTGCGCGGCATGGAAGAGCACTCGCCGCAAGCTTCGTTGAGGTGCCTCACTCTGGCTGTGTCCCAGCTTCAGGAAGCCTTGAGTGGAGCAGGTCGAGCCACGACCTCTGCCTCGCTCGATGCCGAGAAGACTGTGACGCTGTACAACCTCGGTCGAGTATTGGAGCTGACGGGCGCATTCGACGACGCACGCAAGGCCTACGACGCCGTGCTCACGAATCATCCCGAGTACGTCCACGCAAAGACGCGCCAGGCCCTTCTCCTCGCTTCACAAGAAGCATCACGCGGCGTCAAGGCGGCGACGCAGATGGCCAACACCCTTTTCAAAGAGGCACTCAATTCCGACCCAGCCGACATTGACACACGCTCGACGTATATCTGCTTCCTTGCCGGCGAGCTTCCGGGCAGTCCGGTGCCTCCGCAGTGGGACGGCATCAAGGAGACCATTGCGCAACTGTTCATTGGCCCCAACAGCCCCCAGGCAGCGAGCCTCTTTGGCGGTGCTACGGCGGCCAGAGCCGTATCAGACGAGGCGCGACACGACCCGTATACGCTGGCCAGCCTGGGATGGACATACTACAACATTGCTCACTCGCTCAAGCCTGGGCCCAATCAGCGCAAAGAGCGGACACGGGCCCTGCTCCGTGCCGTCGACCTGATGGACAAGGCTCTCGCTGCCGACAGCCGATGCGCATTTGCCGCACAGGGCCTCGCCATTCTCAGTGCCGAAGGCTCTCTTCTGGACTTGGGTCTTCCCCCCAACACGACGCTGTCCAGCCTGCCCGATGCAGATGTGCGCCGCAAGAAGGGCGCCGACGATGCGATCAATCTGCTCGGCAAGCTGCGCGAGGTGCGGGCCGATGGCGACGATGGGAGCGTCAACATCTGCATGGGCCACGCCTTTATGGTCAAGGAGGACTACGAGCGGGCCCTCAAGTCCTACGAACTGGCACACCGGCGTCATCTCTCTTCTCAACAGGACAACAACAAGGAGGAGGCAGCCGAGGGCAAACCGTCGATCTTGCAGTACATGGCCAGGGCAGAGTACTGGCTCGGCCAGCGGACAAAGTCGTACAAGACGACGGCCCACTCGCTCGTCTACCTCCAGGAAGCGCTCGATGTGCTGCAGAAGCGCGCCTCCGAAGCGGGCGGATCAGCCGGCGCGGCGGGCGGCATGCTGCAGGAGATCAAGTACGTGCGGTACAACATGGCGGTGACGCGGCAAAAGGTGCTGCAGATGCTCTTTGACGCCAGCATCGAGTCGAGGAGCCTCGAAGATCTGCAGAGCGCCGTGAGCCAGCTCGACGAGGCGCAACGAACCTTTGGCGAGCTCGTCGACGATGCCCGGGCCGGCCAGCTGAGCTACATTACCGCAGAAATCGTCGAGCAGCGGCAAATGTACGGCGAGACGTCGCTGGTCAGGGGTGCAGAGAGGCACGTGCAGGAGCAGGCCGAGTACGAGGAACGGACAAAGGCGGAGAGGGATGCGGTTGCGGCGCGCAAGCGTGAGCGGGCCGAGAAGGAGGAAAAGGAGAGGGCCGAGAGAGAGGAGCGGGACAAGGAGGAGAGGGAGCGGATCAAGGAGGAGAGAAAGAAGGCGCTCGAGGCGGCACGAGCGTGGGAGTACCTCCGCGAGGATATGCTGGCAGAAACCGAAAAGAAAAAGAGAAGCTCTGGAGGAGGCGGCGGAGGCGGAGGTAGGCGTGGTGGAAAGAAGGGAGCAGGGAGGAAGAAGAAGACCGAGGAAGGTGGCAGCGAGATTGAGACGAGTGATAGCGAGCGCGACGTTGGAGGCCCGCTGGATGAGGAAGAGGACGACCCAAACATCGTCAGCGACCACAGCAGCCAGGAAGGAGATGGTGGGCTGACGGAGAGCGAGGAAGAGGCCGTCGCGAGTGGGGCCGAGAGCGAGGGAGAAGAGGGAGAGGACGCAGCAGCGAGGCGGGCTCGAAAGCTCAAGAAGCTCAGCGACAAGAAGAGGCGAAAGGAGGAGAAGAAGGATCGCAAGAGGAAGAAGAAAGAGCGGAGAGAGAGCGGCGGCGGAGGCGAGAAGAGAAAGAAGAAAAAGAAGAAGCCGTCGACAGACGCAGCAGGGTCAGACGACGAGGAAGAGGGAGAGTCTCGGCCGTCAAAGAAGCAAAAGAAGCAAAAGACCAAGAGGCCCACCAAGGAAGACGACCTCATCGACTCAGACGAAGAGATTCTTTGATCATCGCTCCTTCATCATCATCAGCTCGCTCTGGCCATCATCTTGTGTATGTGCGTGTAAAATTGCCTGATAAAATCAATCTTTCGATACATGATGGTGGAGTGACGTTGCAATCATCTAGTAGTAGTGAAACGAACCGAATAACCTCTACTTTTTGTACTGCTTCTTTTGCTTGTCCTTGGCCAGCTTGAGCTTTCTGCTCTTTTCCGAGAGCTTGGCCCTTGCCTTGCTCCGCACGCTCCAGCTGTTTGCAATCATCCTGTGTGCAGCGCGTCGCAGTCAGCAAAGAATTTCAAGACGGGGGTCAAAAGAACAACCAAGGCTGATGATGGGGTCACTCACTGATAGGGCTTGCTCTTCTTCTTTTGCTCGTTGTTGGTGCTGCTCATCTTGTCCTTCTGCTTCTTTCCTCGCTTGCTTCCGAACTTGTCTCTGTCCTCTCGGCCCTTCTCGATCGACGCCATGCGCTCCTCGTAGTCGGCCTTTCTCTTCTTGCGCTCGCCCAGGATCGCATACTCGTCCAGGATCGAGGTCGAGGCATCTCCAGCCGACGACGACTGCTGGTGGCGGCGCATGGCCGCCTCGAGCGCGGCGACCTGCTTCTTGGCCGCCGTGCCCCCGGCGCCACCCGTCGCGGCGGCCTCCTTGGCCTTGGCCAACCGCAGCTCGTTGAGGCGTGCAAAGTCAGCAGGCGTTAGGATGCGTGTTGTGGCGATTTTCGAGATGGCTTCTTCCTCTTCTGCGAGCTTCTGTGCCTGCTCTGTCACGCCTGCTACCTCGCCGTCGTCGGCATCGTCGTCGCTTCCCTCGCCATCCGAAGATGCTCCATCAGTCGCGCTTGCACCCTCGCGCACTCGTCGACGCGCCTCGCGCTTGGCCAGCCGGCGCTCCTTGACCCTCTCCAGCGGCGTCTTCTTCGCCGTCGCCTCCTCCTCCCCATCGACCTTTCTTCTCTTGCTCGCCTTTGTCTCGTCGTCGTCGTCGCTGTCGCTCACGTCAAAGCCTTCATCGCCGCCCTCGTCACTGCTGACGTCGATCCAGCCGCCGCTGCTGACGCTGTCGTCCGAGTCCTCGTCGCTGCTCTCCTGCTCCCACTGCTCCCACGCCTTCCGGTCTCGCTCCTCCTCTTCCTCTGAGTCGGCCTCCTCCATGGCCTTCTCCAGGAGGTCGAGCCCGACGATGCCTTTAGTGACACCCGATTCCTCGCCGAAGCCCCGCACACGCTGGGTGCCCGCCGCGAGGGCCATCGAGCCCGCCTTGCCCCGCTCTTTCCGCGACAGCATCAGCGGATTCTCGGTCCTGTAGAGCTGCATGAGACCGCGTGCGGCGGCCGCGACGCCCTTGTCTTTGCTCTTGCGGTACGACACGAGGTCCTCCAGAAGGTCCTTTCCGTCATTGGCACCGTGCTTCTTGCCATCATCGTCCCGCTCTTCCTCGCCGTCGCCTTCCTCAGTCTCCTCACCGGAGCCAAGAGCCCAAATCTGACGCGTGCAGATCTCGCGCACCGTGTTGATGCCTGCAGCAATGACCTCTGGCCCGACGCCCGGGTGCACGAAGTTGTGGGACAACTTGCGGACCAGCGGGAGCAGCGTTGAGGGCGGCGTTTGGTTGTGGATCGACTGCGCGAGCGAGACGAGGATGAGGGTGATGTGCGTCTGGTGTGGGTTGAGGTACTTGACAATGTAGCTGTAGAAGGCGAGGACGGTAGCCTTGTGGATGCTCATGACCCGCGTCATGAGCTGCATCATCCGGACCTTGTGCTCCAGTGGCAGGCGCTTGTCGCCCCGCTTGAGCTCGTCAAAGAGCTTCTCAGCGAACCCCTGTGGGTCGTATAGCAGGTTGATTGCGGCCGCGTTGGCGGCATCTGTGCCGTCGGCTGCCTTGTCCATGCGCTTCTCTTCCGCCTCTCGCCTCCGCTTCCGCGCCACCGAGGCAGCTGCCCGCACCTTTCGATCGCCCGACCGGGTCTTCTTGTTGACCTTGCGCTTGTGCTTGAGCGAGTTGACGTCTGGGATCACCGGCTCGTCCTGGTCCGAATCCTCCTCTTCATCGGAGCCGGCACCTGCCTCTGTGGAATGCAAGTCGCCCAGAAAGAAGCGAATGGCCGACGACTGGACGCGCGGGTGGGGATGTAGGCAGGCGAGGGCGAGGAGCGAGACGGTCTTTGCGTCGTTCCAGATCCTCTTTCGCCACAGCTCAGCTGCAAGACGCACAGCCCAGAGCGCCTCGCCACCACTGCTCGAGCCTTGCTGACCCTTTCCGTAGCCGACGCGGGCCAGATGGGCCGCCTCTTCGTTGCTGCTACCGCCAAGATGATGTCCAGGCATGCCGACCTCGACGACGCCAAAGAGCAAGCCCTGGACGACGCGGTTCAGCTGGTGGTTCTTCGCCTTGGCGTTTGCGTTTCTGAGATCTGTCGTGATGGTCCGCTGGAGGAGCGAGCGGAGGGAGGAAGAGGGCGAGGCCAGAAGGAGGGGGAAGAGGGTCCGGAGCAGCTGTTCGCTCGAGATGACTTCTCGGTTTCTGAGCAAGACCAGGCTCCTGACGCATGCTGACCTGACCTCCCGACCAATGCTGGCGTGATGATCGACGAGGAGCGAAGAAATGTGGGAGAAGAGGGGCGAAGTCATTTCCGGGTATGATGGCGCGAGCTGCGTGACAAAGGCCAGGAGGGCAACGAAGCGCTCCTCGTGCTCCTTGCTTGCCTTGGCCTGGCCTTCTCCTCCCCCTGCCCCGACGCTCGCCGTTGCACCGGCACCTGCTGCGCTGCCAGCTTGGTCCCCAAGACCCAGGTCACCCGCATAGATGCGTCGGAGACTCTCGTAATGGTTCCATTGGGCCCGGAATTCGTCGGTGTATGCTGCCGGATCGCGCTTGAGCAGGTTCTGCAGCGCGGGGAGATTGGATGCATTGAGCAGGCCTCGAGCCTTTGATCGGTGTCGAAGACCATTCGAGTCAGCGTACACGGCAGACACCGGCTCAGCTCCCTTTGGTGGCGCCATCGTCGTCCGCTCCTTGTACCTCTCGACGTTGTCGTCGTCGTCTTTTTTTCGCAAGCACTAGACGGGCCAGAAAAGTCTCTCTAGGTGGAATGGAGAGGCAGCCTAAAAATTTGGAAGAGGAAAAAAAAAGCAGGGAAATTTTGGTGCTCAGATCTTTTTCTCTCGGGCGAGAGAAATTTTGCCTCAATCCTTAATTTTTTCCTGTTCTTCTTCCTAGGCAGCCCAAGCAGCGCACAACATCCTCTCTAACGGGAGAGAGAAAAGTGAGGCAAAGATGGATGATGATGGGCTGATGCTCAACTTTGCGGCGCCGTCGGGCGCGACGTCAGGCCCGACAGCAAAGAAGAGGCTCAATGCCAAGGAGAGACAGCAGCAGCAGAGGCAGAGGAGGTGGGCAGGTTCATCAGCTGCTCAAAAGTCCACGCAACAGCAGCATCAACAGCAGCAGCAGTTGCAGACACCAAGCTCGGCTTCGTCTTCAACGCCGATCGTCACCCAGTCTAGCGACCAGACTACAGCGAGCCCGGTGGCAAAAAATGGGTCAACATCTGCACCAGCTCCACCTGGCGGGCGGCAGACTAGGCCGACGTCGAGGCCCAGGCCGGAAGGCAGCAACAGTGGACCGGCCCCCACGCCGCGCAACGGTTTCATTTCCTCCCTCTTCACGGGCATCGACTCTTCGACGCGAAACAACAAAGGAAAGGAGGCTGCAGCGATCGAAGAAGACGAAGCACGGGTGTCCAAGATTCCCTCGAACGCGCCTGCACCAGGCGCCAGCTTCTCGGCGTGTGGCCTTGACGAGCTTCTTGTCTCTCACTTGGCCTCTCCAAGGATGACAATTGGGGATAAGCCAACGAGCATCCAGCGAAACAGTCTCCCGTTCTTGCTCAGCCAGTCCTCCCTCGACCCTTCGTCCTCGTCCACGTCCACGTCAAAATTACCGACGGCGGCGCATCGGGATGCGCTGCTGCATGCACAGACGGGCTCCGGCAAAACGCTGGCCTATCTGCTTCCCATTATCCAGTCCTTACTCCCGCTGTGCTCGGCAAGCTGGATTGATCGCGGCTCGGTGGGGACACTGGCCATCATCCTGGCCCCAACACGGGAGCTGGCGCGGCAGATCTACGAGGTGGCCGAGTCGCTCTGCAACCTCCATCTTCGGCTTCGACCGGCTGGTGGTGACGACGACGACGAGAACGAAGAGGCAGACGGGCGGGAGGACGAGGCAAACACGGTGCGAAGGACAAGATGGATCGTGCCCGGTCTCCTGTCCGGTGGCTCAACAAAGAACCACGAAAAGTCTCGCCTGAGAAAGGGCCTGCCTCTGATCGTTGCCACGCCTGGACGGCTGCTAGACCATCTTCGCAACACGGCTACCTTCGACGTGGGCCGGCTTCAGTGGCTTGTGCTCGACGAGGCCGACCGACTGCTCCAGATGGGCTTCGAGGAGACGCTCACCGACATTCTCAAGGCCCTCGATGCTCGGCGAAGGTCGGCCGTCGAGGTGCAGCGCAACCGCATGCGCGAGGAGCTGGGTACGCAGGCAAGCACGCTCGACCTCAACGATGAGGACAACATCGAGGACTCCTTTGGCATCAGGTGGTGGCGTTACGGGAGGAGGACTGTGCTGTGCAGTGCGACGCTCGACGAAGGTGTGCAGGTACTCGCAGGCAAGAGTCTCGTGCGGCCAAGGGTGATTCGAGGCGACGCAAAGGAAGACGAGGAGATTAGAAAGGCCGCAGACAGCAGCCAAGGAAAGGAGGCGACTCAACCAATGGCGGCACCCTCGCAGCTGGACCAGCGATACGTCATTGTCCCCACCAAGCAGCGACTCATTCTCCTCGTCGCTCTTCTTCGTCAGATTATCTCCTCTGCATCGGGGAGCACTGCGACATTTCCCAAGATCATGGTCTTCGCCAGCTGTACCGACTCGGTCGACTTTCACTTTCGTGCCCTCGCTGGTGCTCGCATGACTGAAGGAGCAAGCACTGCCGAGGGAGACGAGGCCGAGGACGAGGACGAGGGAGAAAAGGAAAAGGCCGTTGAGCTTGACTCCGACCTGCTTCCCTCTGTCTCACTCTTTAGACTGCACGGCTCCATGGCGCAATCGGACCGTTCGATGGCACTCAAGCGCTTCTCACGCTCCGCGAATGATGCAGGCAAGAAGGCCGCCGTGCTCTTCTGCACCAGCGTCGCCTCGCGCGGCCTCGACCTGAGCGTCTCGCACGTCATCCAGCTCGACCCGCCCACGGAGCGCGGGGCTGACGAATACGTGCACCGGATCGGCCGCACTGCGCGCGCGGGCAAGGCCGGCCAGTCCTGGCTCTTTCTCCTACCGTCTGAAGAGGGAGCGGTGGCGCGATATGCGTCCGGCTCCGCGGCCGACATCACGATTCGGCCCGTGGACCCGGCGGTGCTGCTCAGGAAGGGCTTTGCGAGCCAGGAGCTCAGCGTCGCACAGTTTCGCGCCACGGCCGTCCAGCTCGCGCTCGAGGGCTGGGCGCTGAAGCACAAGGAGCTCGCGACAAAGGCCTACAAGAACCACCTGAGGGCCTACGCGACGCATCCGCCGGCCGAGAGGGACGTCTTTGGGCTCCGGAAGCTGCAGCTGGGCCACTTGGCAAAGAGCTTCGGTTTGAGAGACCGGCCAGGCGAAATGAAGGGCCCGTCGTCAGCTGCGACGGCGAAGACGAAGACGTCGAAAGATGAGGGAAGGAAGAGGAAGGCGAAGTCTACAGCGGAGGTTGGAGAAGAGGAGGACGACGATGAGGAAGACGGAGACATCCTGGATCAGGTACTCAGCAAGCGGTCCAAGCTCGCGTCCGGCGATGCATCGACCCGCGAAGAGGGTGGGTACGGCTTGACGTTTGAGCGAAACAAGGACTCGGAATCAAGAATGTACGCAAAGGTCCGACAGCTGGGCAAGCTGAGCAAGAAGGCAGGTGTGCTCGGCGCCCACGGTGCCGATGAATTCCAGCTGGCCTAGCTAGCAAGACACTCTCAAACACATGAAATGGACTGTAATTGTATTGGGCTAGAATGCCAACTGCTTTGTTTGTAGAGATGCGTGCGAGGTGTGCGGTTGATGGATGGATGAATAGGTTACACGATGCTGTTGCTGATTGGATGCGGAGTGTGTGTGTGGAAGAATGGTACTTTGCGGAGTGTCTCTGTGCTAGCAGGGATGTGTCAGTAAAGAAGAGAAATAGTAGAGGTGAGTGATGTTACAGCAAGACCCTTTTGTCGCATTGTCGTCGTCATCGGCCAAAATAAAGGGTAGAAGTGGCGAGCTTTGGGGCTTTGAATTATCAGGGACGACGTTGAGCGGCAAGAACGGCAAGTCGGTCATGTTGTTGCTGCTGTTGCAGCATGATCTTCTGATGGTAGGTCCTTTGATCTCCAGGAGCATATGACATCATCTTCGCCCTCAAGTCGGGTTGAGGTATGGTGCTTTTGGCAGCAGCTGTCGTCGTCGAATTCGCTGTAGGCTTTTCTTCCTTGTCGGCCTCTGCTTCAGAGGATCTCTTTCCGTCTGCCGGAATGTTGGCAGTCTTCCAGCCTCTGGCACGCATCGCGACGACTTCCCTGCACCAGTCCCTTGCGTCCTCGTCGATCTCTTCGATTTCGACAATTTCCATGAGTCGACGCATCGTCGCGTCCAGCGTTTCTTTGGCGATCTTTACGTGAGCGATTTGCTGTCGCGGCTGCTCTTCTCTGCCCTCTTCGTCACCGATCTTGGCTCGTCGATGGCATCGGGAGTGCTTCATCTCCTCAGCCGGCTCAATGAGACCCGTGGCGATGACAACGGGAGAGGTAGTCTTCGTGGAAGATGTCGATGAAGAAGACGAGGCCGTGGCAGAATGGCTGGACGAAGAGTGATTGGAGCCTGCCGAATCACGTCTATGACGCCTCTGCCTCACGTCATCATAACAAGATATGCTCGACATCGTCCCCCTCTCATTGTCTCCTGAATCGAACAAGTCGATGTTCGCCTGTCGGCGACGGCAGCGTTGAAAAGGGCTTCCCTCTTGGCGTACCTGCTGTGGCGACATGCGTATCCAGTGATCCTTGGGCGCTTGATCACTCCTCTCTTTGCTGCTGCTGACCGGTGCACTCGCCTGCCGTACCCTGCTCGGCTGCTTCTTCGCATCTTTCGCACTCCTCCAGGCGACGATTTGAGGGAAGAGATCGAGATGCGCCTCTCGCTCGAGAGCTTCGCCGACGGTGATAAGAAGTGCGCAGCCAGCTTCGAGCTCGTAAAGCGAAGGCACGCCTGGAAACACAGTATCAAAGAGTAGCCGCATGAGCCAAGCTCGGACAGTCTCGACAGGGACAATCTCGACGATATAGAGCTGTCGTGAACATGCGAGGATGAGTTTCAGCAACAATGACCGAGACCACGTACGCAGGAGAAGACCTACCTCTCCTACGAAGCGAACATAGTTGAGCACCGCAAAGACATCCTTTGGACAGCCCAGAGCCGCTCTTCTCCGCTCCCGGCTTCGGAGCTCCTGTTCGCTGATCTGTCCACTCGAAGCGAGTTTCATGTCCAAGTCCCTCTGTGCCCTCAGCGCACCAAGCTCGGCATTGAGGGCGGCCCACTTCTTGCGGCTTCCGCGACGAGGAGGCGGCACCACGAGATGGTTCGCCCTGGACCGCACCGTATCTCCTCGCTCGAGCGCATTTGTCAGATTTTCCTCGAGGTGTTGGACGAAGATGGCCGAAGGATCAATGTCACGCAGGGTCTCGAGGTATGCAAAGTGATCGATCGGTGCTGATGAGACGGCATGGACGAAGAGGCTTTGACCTCGGAGCATGTCGACGTGAAGTTGGCTGAGGCTGCGCGAATGAGCCGCAAGGGGCATTCGCAAATCTCGTCGAAACACCTGGCACAGACGGGCGAGGGATGACGGTGCCTCATACGGCGCACGGTCACTGTCACGACAGCATCAGCACATAGCACGTCCCAGGTGAGCAAGGGAGAGAGGATGACTCACTCGCCCAGAAGAGCAGCAATACCCGTGACGATGTGGTCCATGACGAGATGGAGCATCGAGAGGAGCTGTTGTCTTGCCCAGCCAGGCGACACCAGCACCTGCGCGCCACCATGTCCGACTGTCGTCTGAAAGCTGAGGCTTGGAATCTCGCAAGGGAGTCGCGCCTTGGCACCTTGTCGCGATCGTGTCAGGCCAACGCGAAGTGCAAAGTTCGGCGAAGGATCCATGAGCACCTCGACGAAGCGGAGCAGGCGGCGCGCAATGTCGTACGACTGGTTGAGCTGCGTTAGTCGGAGCGTCTCCGACAGAATCGAGTCTGCTTCGGCCATGAAAAATGCGACACCTGCCGCATCTTGAGCGCTCCTGAAAGCTATAGACATGGGGTGCGGTGGTGTGCACTCTAGCTGATTCGCCGAAAGGGAAGAGAAGGGTCCTGGTCTGGCAATCGGCGAAGTCGAGGGAAGTGTACGGTGAGGGGTGGAAGACAGCGATGAGGTGCTATCGTCCATAATCTCGTCACTGTCGCCATCGTCTGCTGGAAGCTCGTGCTGAGGCTCGTCGACGCTGGTGAAAATATTGGGCTCCATCCGTAAGACGTGCGTCAGTGAAGCTGGAGGGGTGACGATAATACTGGGCAGGGATTTCGGCGTCGAAGCCGGTGAAAACGCCATTGGAGGCGTAGCTATATTCATTGGACTTCTTTCAGAGGGGGAATCGGGACTGGTGCTCGCGGGACTGAGGGCAAGCCCAAATAGCCTCAGACCGGCGACTCTTTTAGGTGTTGTAGCGAGCAGATTAGTGCTGGCCTGTCTGCGGTGCTTAGTCGACACCTGCACCTGCTCCTGGCTCGGGGTCACGGCAGCGGTTTCAGTAACTCGCTGTTGATACCTCGCTGAGGAATTCCTGCGGGGTCGAAGGCTCGGCATCTTGAACAGAGGCTGATGTTGCATCTGTTGTGGCTGTCGTTCCACCGTGCTCGCTCCCCTGGCCGCTCTAGGCGGTTGCGAATGCACCTTCTTCTTAGTGATTGTTGCATCCTGGTCGAAAGCTGGTGCAAGCGATGCAGGTTGTTGGCCAGGACGAGGCAGGTGGCTCAAATCGAGGCCTTGTATCGACACTGGAGGCGAAGACACGAACGAGGCTTTGGCCATCGGAGAGCGTACATTCTGCGACAGTCCCACCACCGCGGTAGGGGCGGGCACGGTGATTTGCTGATGGGCATACAATGGCTGCCGCCAGTCTCGAATCTTGCTCTTGGGCTTTGGAGAGCATGGCTGCGCCAAAATAACGTCGTAGCGTTGGCCTACAGTGGAGACGGGCCAGTGCGATACTGCAGTCATTGTTGGACTCGCTCCTTGCCCCTGATGTGGTGATGGCAATTCAGTCGGTAGTCTAGCGGTCCAAAGGTTGCAGGCCGCATCGATCAGCGGCGGCGAGAGATCCGAGGTGACTTTGAGAGCGTCCATGGCCTCACCCAACTGGGGGCTGCTCATGCTTTGGCGTCCCACGTTCGATCCAGACTCGGTTCTCGTGCGACGTCTGGCCGGCTTCTGATGGCTCCCAAGGAGTGCGGAACCTGCACTGGGGCTCACGGCTAATTTTAGACAGTCGTCTCCGCAGGCAGGCAACCGAGTGGGCGAGGACGAAGATGAAGATCGGAAGAGCGACCGACGGCGCTTGCTCGGAGACGAGGGGGAGTCGATGCTGACGACCATCGCAGGAGCACAATTGCGTCTGCCGACCGTCTTTGCTTTGGGAGTGTCGGAGTGGGAGCTCGAAGAGGTGCCTTGGGGAGCCCTTGAAGTCTTTCTGGGCGTCTTTGGACTCGAGGGTCGGGAAGCATCGGCGTTATCTGGATTTGGCGGACGAACTCGATCGTCGCTCCTCCCTTGATCAGGTAAGATGGCATTCTGAAGAATTGAGTGTATAGGAACATGTAAGCTGGATCTCCTCTGATATTGGAAAGAGGAGAGACTAGCCTCGAGTGTAGGCTCTTGCGCATCTTGCATAAGGCAATCATGCGAAGACGACCACGGCTGGAGCGTGGACGAAGGGGGGTGCGTCGGCGAAGAGATGAATTTTGTGGTAAAGTCATGTGACGGAGGAACGCCATCAGGCAGAAAGGGTGTCGAAGGAGCGGAAGGAGCGTGGGCCTCGCTTGCTGTGTAAGCCATCGTGGGTCACGATCACAGCGACGGTGCTGGGAGCATCTAGAGATTTTGCGTAGAGGGAAAAGGAGGAAGTTGATACTGGTCGAAGACGATAGTGGTGAGAATGCGTCGTTCGACGAGGTCTTGGACAGGGAGGGAAGAAAAAAGAGGGAGTGGAATAGGAGAACGAATCAAGGTGGGAGGTTGAAGGCAGGTCGAGGCTAGCTTATCGACGTTGACCAGACGCAAGCTCTCAATCTGACACAGTTCTCCGGCAGCGTTGCTTGTGAATTTGCCTTCCTATCTTGTCTTACCACTACATCGGCCTTCGTTGGCTAGAACATCTAGTCTGTCCGCTATATGAACGTTGTTGCAAGGATTCCTGGGATGGGTGACTTGGAGAGCAAGTTATCTCCGGTGCTCGCCAAAGGCCCCCTGCTCAGAAATGGCACAGCAGTACTGGTCCCCGACAGGCAGCCCAAGATAGAGCGTGCTGGTAGTACCTATCTATCGCTACCACCGTATGTAATCAAGCGTCTGTACGGCTGCACGTCTTGAGCGGGGCTTCCTGCATATGCACGATCTGGATGTGATGCTCCCTCCGTCCATTGCGCACGCTACAGCTCTGGGTGGAGCGCGAACGACGCGTCCCAGCACGCGTAAAAGCCCGAACTAAATTTGTGGCTGAAAAGTGACTGGTTCGTCCGTCTGCTTCTTTTGGTCGCGCACGTCCTCGATCACCGCGGTCCTCCAATATTTTCGTCCAACTGGCCTGGCACAGCATGGATAGGGGATCGGAGAGAGGGAGCAGCGGTCGGAGAAGAAAGATGGTCCGCCACATTAGCGCAACAACGGGCTCTTCGTCTGTCTCGCCTTCTACTGAGTCATCGTCGGCCTTAACACCGGTGTCGTCCTTGACCTCGGCCTCGCATTACCGACTCGACGAAGAGGGTCGACTCGTCACTGTCGAGCGCCCTCCTTCTTCTTCATGGCAAGGCATGAGCTTGGACTCTGCAATTTCGACGCCCGACAAGAGGACACTCCCATCTCATGCCGGTCGCCTCTCCTCGCTTGCTTCTCCGTTTGAGCTCGCAAAGGCCAAAGAAGTGCCGCTGGTGGATGTGCCCAAGGAGGCAGCAAGACCGAAGACGTCGAAGACAGTCAGGCTCATGAAGGAGCCTATCGACATATATCGATGGCGACCCGTGCTCACGCCCTGTTCCAAGGGACCCAGCCTCGACTCGGCCCTTACCCACTGGATTTATGTCGAGGGCACAAAGGATAGCGCCGATGGCCAGCCCTGGCACACGTCACTGATTTGGTCTGTCTCGTCGTCCAGTCTCATTCACACTCGGTCCGGCAGCACCTATCGGCTAGTAGGGCCGCCTCATATGGAGAAGCAGTGGCCAAAGGCGATGTGCGACGCCTTCTACGATGGCTTTCCCCGACGCGAGTGGATCGTATTGATGGCACAGGAGGCAAGAAGGCAGGGCTACTTCAACGAGGAAAAAAACCTCTCCATGAAAGATGTGCAAGGGACTGGCCGTAATGACGTGCCGGAGCACCACCGCCAAAAGAAGACTGAGGGCAAGGGTGTCGTGAACGACCCAGCCGTGAACAGCTGCCAGTCGAGCAAGCAGTCGAAGCGTACCAATTTCAAGATTGGCGAGGGCGAGGAGGTGAATGGCGAACAATCGGCAATGTCCTCGCAGTGCCCTAGTGGACCGGCCACGCTATTCTGCAAAGGACAGCTGGACACTGCTGAGCTGATTGCACCACAATCGACCCAGGCAGGGAAAGTGGCCGTAGAGGCCATAGAGAATTCCACACTGGCGAGGAGCGTGGCCGCAAAAGATGACGAGTCGCGCATAGCCGCGATTGCTGAGCCCATCCCTGGCTCATCTACCACGGCGCCAAGCGAGATGCCGACAGTAGTGGCCTCGACATCGACGACGGGCAAGTCGAACTTGGACGCCCTGGTTGCTGACGTGCCACAGCCGAATAAGCCAAAGAGGACCGCAAACACCTCTTCCCAGAAGAGGCACGCGAAGAGCCGCACGCTTCTCAAGGAGCTGGCAGGCCTTCGGAGGTCCAAGCTGGGCATCTTGGCCGTCGTTGACGATGCGATCCAGGAGAGCATGTGCTGGGATCCAGAGGAAGACACTGAGCCGAGGCTGGAGGGGGAGACGAGAAGGCAGACAAGGTCGAGGATGCGAGCCTCGACGTCTTCAAGCGATTCGAATACGGTCAAGACCCTGGGAAAGGTGGCAGGAGAAGAGGAAAAGGAATCGACGAGGTCGCGTCAATCTCTGAAGAGAAGGAGAATCTGTAGCGGCGATGATGAAGTGGCCGAGGAAGGAAATTGCGCCGAGACGACGATCGGTGCAAGTGAGACCGAAGAAAGAAAGACCACGCCGCAGCAGCGCCGACGGTCGAAAGGCGTCGGCAAATGGTGGCAGGTGTCGAACGGAGAGGACGATGGACAGCCGCCCAAGCGCAGGGCTGCAGTACGATCTAGGAGTGCTATTGCGGCTGCGGCGGCCGACCAGGAGGCAGCGAGAGCATTGACGGATCTGGCGGGCGGCGAAGGCGGGACGGTGTCATCAGAAGAGGAGCTCGACTCCGAGGACGAATACGTGGGAGAGGGCATCCTCGCAGCTAAAAAGGAGCAGGCCTCCGACACAGAAGAAGACGACCCACGGCAATTGGGCGAGAAGAGGGCAGAGACTGCAGACAAGAGCGTCGTTGGCCTCCAAGAAGACAAGATTGTTGGCGGTGAATTACAGGGTACTCGGTCAGCGCTTACAGGCACCGACGAGGCAGAGGCGGGCGCGAGAGACTCGGAGAAGCTTTGCGAAGAGGAGGTACATTTGAAACTGGAAGAAGATGTGGACAATTTTGGCGATACCGAAAGCCAAGCCACGCCAGGCGTCAGCCTCACTGACAGTCCACTGTCGTCGCCGCCGTTGTCGTCGTCGACGTCTTCTTCGCCATCGACGTCGAGTGAAGCGGCTGTCAACGTCAACGCGCAAGTGGTTGGGGAGGATATGCGTCTCTTCGAGAACACACGAACCAGCATCACTTTACCTAAGTCGGCGGACAGAGGTTACGCTTTGCCAAACGCAATGTTGCTGAACGGATCGACAAGCAACGAGAGCGACTTCAACATGTCCGACTATGTCGCGATCGCCAGCGACGAGGAGGACACAACGGCAACCTATGCCAGCGCATGCAAACGAAGATTCCGTCACTCCCTCGTTGTCACACATTGACCTCTACTTGTTCTGAAGCTGGGATGTGGTATTGAAGGAATTGTAATTCTAGTATACAGCGTGTGTCATTAATGGGAGCCTGGCGTGAGAGGTTGAGTGCGTCATCACCGCTGGTCCAAGGCAAAGCGGACGAGGTTGTTGAGCTCATCAGCCTGCTTCCTCTTTAGCCGGTCGAGATTCTGCGCTCCACAGGCCGTGGTTGAGCTCCGCTTTGCAACGGCCGACTCGACAGCGTCAACGAAAGCCTGGGCATCGGCGGTGGAGCCGTAGCTCTGCTCAATGAGGGGGTGCTTGATCTGTCTGTACCACCTGCGCATCCGGTCCCTCTCCGAGTCAGCATCCTCGGGTCTAATGAAAGCGCGAGGATAGCGCAAAACTGACCACTTGCTGTTCCAGTAATCACCCTCGCGGCGGTGCAGCACGGCGTGGCATACGTTGCTCGTCATATCGCCCTCGTCGTCCTGAGCTAGGGTGTGTGCGCGGTCAATGTCGTCGTTGAGCAGGTGCAGTGCGGCGCGGAGGCACTGTGGGTGCGTCGCGTCAATGTCGTCTGTGAGGGTCGTGTCCCAGATCTTGGTCGGGCGCAGTGGAGGAAGCTCGGCTGATGAGGGGCTTACGCGCGCCAGGAGCGGTTCGAGCGATGTGGGGAGCAAAGCCATTGCGAAGCGATCTACCCTACCCCTTCTTTATATATCTGTCTCCCTCCTGTTGAGAGCGATGGTGAGCAAGGCGCAATGCTGAGCCGTCGGAGCGATGATGAGATCGGACAAAAAGCTATCTCCGTGTATCGTGCGCGGAGGCGGGTTTTTCTTTTGTGGCCAGGTGAGCAGATGAGCGAAGCTAGCTAAGCTCCGTGAGCCGGTACCGTGAGTCACGTCAGCTGAATGCCAGGTGGAGGCGGGTTCGTATTCTTGAACCCGGCTTCGTCAGCCGAAAAATAATCATTAATTGGCAGCCACACAAGACAAAACGTGAAGAGATTAGACACCCCCGCCAAACTCCGTGTCTTATTTTTCGTCTGGTACCCAAGTTCTCCGAACTATTCGCGATCTCCGAGCGACAGACGAGCGCGGCACTATCTGTCATTTTACCAGCTAACTGTCATTTTACCAGCTAACTTTCTCCATCGGCGCGGCGGCGCGGGTCGCGTGAGTAGTGGCCCCATCCTGCAAGTGCCGGGAGGTGCCTTAATTCGGCCACTTGTTCATCCTCCGATCAAGCAAGAGCGAGCGCGGCACTACTACAAACACTATGGCTGTGCACAGCTTGCTATATATCGAGCGTCAAGAAAGTCCCGTCCCACCTTTTGTTGTAGTCTAGCACCAATGAGGACATCGGCGGATGAGCGAAGAGAGGATCGACCCTGGGGGCTTGGAAAGGGACAACCTTCACTTTTGATAGACAGACAGGTACAGTACCTGAAGTCCTCAGTACTCGAGTTTCGTATCATCGCTCAACGCGGAAAATTCCAAGCCTATAGCGTCTGCCGGCCGGCCTACCATTAGGATAAAAACAATATGAATTTATTTATCAGCTCCTAGCCTCACCCTGCGTACGTACGGATGCGCGACGACGGATATGCATTCTTGGCATATACTGTGCAATGATTTCCCCCCTTCTTTAAAGATAAAAGAGAGTCTGTGGGCCATCGGGGTCTTTAAACCGATGCGTCGTTTCGACCCCGTTCTCATCTTCACCATTCTAAGGTGATCCACCAACGAGCGTTACCCTCTGCCCACCCTTTCCTCAGGCGAATCGCGCCGCTGCTAGTCCTTTGGGCGGCGAGGAAGATTTCTCACGCTGCCACGGCCCCCAAAAGTGTGCCAGGATGGAAACGACGCTGCGGTCCGTGTCGGCCGTGGGGGTCGGCGCCCTCTTCGCCATGACGGCGCAAAAGAGCGTTTCGTCAATGTTGTTACATGAATCCACGACGCGCGTCGCCTACCCTGTCGCAGTGGCTGTGTGTCTAGGCGAGGTTGTCAAGATGATTGTCTCGCTACTCATCGTCTGCTACGAGTCGACGAAGCGCAAGCGAACGTGGACCGACGCATCATTGTGGCAGAGCTTGCTCTCGACAAAAGGGTTCGCACTATTTCTGCCCGCGGCACTCTACGTTGTTCAGAACAACCTGTACATGTTCGCAGCTTCTCATCTTACCCCGACCGTGTTCCAGGTAAGGCATTACTGCTCTCTCTCGCGTGAGCCGAGCATCCGCTGACTCAAGTCGCGACAGGCACTCTGGCAGCTCCGCATCATCTCGACTGCGTTCTTTTCATATACGATTCTCAAGAAGCGTTTCAGTCGAGGCCAGTGCGTGAGCATGACGGTGCTCGTTTTCTCCATCGTCATGATCCAGGCCGGGTCACGAAGCAAGGCTGTTGCAAACACGATTGACATCAAGCCGTCGACAGGAGAAGCAGGCGTATCGACGGGGGACGCCTTGGTCGGGTCCCTTGCCATGCTCTGCGCCTGCGTCCTCTCGGGCTTAGCCGGCGTGCTGCTTGAGCGCATCTATACGGACGGCGCCACCAATCTCTGGGTGGCCAACGTCCACCTGAGTGTCTTTAGCCTTCCACCCGCCGTCCTTGCCGTCGCCGCTCGATTGGCCCACGAACGAAACGGGACCCACCTCGAGGCCTTCGGCCAGAGCGGATGGCCATGGGTTGCCGTGGCGCTGCACAGCCTTGGCGGTGTCCTGACGGCACTCGTCACAAAGCACGCCGGCAACATTGCGAAGAACTTTTCGGGCGCCATTGCCATCTCCATCACATTCCTTCTCTCAACCTCGGGATTCTTGCCGGGTGGGGCACTCACGCTCACCGGGCAGGGGCTTGCCACGGTCTGGGCAGGCATTGCGCTGCTTGCCTATTCCACATGGCTCTACCTCGAATCTCCAGCGGCCGTCAAGCCCCCACCGGACAGGGCAGGGTACACCGCCCTGGCCTCGTCGACTGCCTCGGAAGGCCGAGGGCCGACGGCGTCCTCGCCAACACCGTCGTCAACCTTCTCGGAAGAGCATGAAACCAAGATTTAGATTACCCAGCAACCATTCCTTTGGACAATCCTCTGATCTTCTCCGTCTCTGTATTATTAGTGTACCGTAGTTTTCGTCAGCGCTTCCAGCCTCCATTCCTCGGATATCCAGCAACTGCACTACCGCTTTGCACATTTGCAATCAATGTTCACAAGACATGCAGTCCCCCAATGCAAAAAATTGCCTTGGCGCCCACCGAGGATCCCGCAAGAAACCTCCTCCATCTTGCCAACGATTTTGCCGGTGGTGAGGCCATTTCCGAAAAAGCCAAGGAACTCCGCTCACCTCAAAGCGCGCGCCTGGCTGAGTGCGGGTAACTAACCAGGAACGACAAAGTACCAGAATGTTTCCGAGCACTTTAGACAGCTTCACATTACCCAGTTTTTTGAAAATTTTCCTCAAATGACTTAGCCTAGAGCCACTCCTGCCGAGCCTTCATCGATAGAGATAGATAGCTAGAGGGGGGAGTGCTGAGCGGCGAACGGCGGGATACCGTGCTGTGCGTCCCCTTCACTTGGAATTTTGCTACTTAGTGCCTTGGCAGGGTGGATGGCTTCCCTTGGCAATGTGGTAGCATTCTTCAATTGTATTCGGGAAATCGCATTGCTTCAAAGCGGAAACTATGTTTCTGCACAGAAAACATTCGGAGCAGCATGGCCAAAAGAAGAGACGAAGCCTAAGATGAAGTAAATGAAAGGCTTGGCCCTCGCAATCTCGATGTAGGTCCGACGGCAACGCATATCCACCGCTGCTGCTGCTCCCGCCACGATCTGGCCTGCTCACTCCTTCAGTGTACCAGTAGTGTACCAGTGTACCGGCCACAATGCCCGATTCTGCTTGCGTAAAGCTTTGAGGGGGGATCCTCTGAGCTGCCGAATCAAAGCAATTCGGCATCGCGCCGTTTCGGATACAGATCCCCCACTCTACTCTTTGTTTTAGAGCTGCGTTTCTGATAATCAATCAGCTGCGATATGATTTGGTATCACACCCTGCCTGCATTTGCACAATAATTGATCCCGATGAAGCTCCGTAAAGAGGATATGTACTCCTTCAACGCTGATAACACCACCACGATACCCCAGTCCCATCTGTGCACTCTCCCTCTCCCCGGTACACTATGCTGGGGATGAAGAGCTCGAGCTACTACATCCCCCTGTCCAACGGCAATGGACATGCCCGTGGCGACGGCAATGAGAGCTGGACGCCGGGCAAAACGCCGCACAGAAAGACGCGGCGGAAGGCCCTCTTCCCGCTCGCTCTCGCTTCGCTCCTCATAGCCTCTGCATTGCTCTTCCTCTTCTCCTTCTTCGGCAATGGCCCGTCACCGCAGCAATCGACATGCGAGAGAAAAGTGCACCTGCTGCTGCCCGCCACACAAGCCTCGCCAAGATTCTGCAGGACGCTCGCGTCGGCCATCCTGCATGGATACGATGTGAGTGTCATCAACTGGGGCGGTAGCACACATCACAGCGCCAAAATCTTCGGCACACTCGACTACCTCGAGAAACACACGTCTGTCGCTGGGCTGTCGCGGAATAGCAGCGACCCTAGCGAGATGGATGACAGCGAAGAAAAAAAGGCGAAAATGATGGCCAGAAGAGAATGCCAGGACATTGTCGTCGAAGTCGACGCATACGACGTCCTTGTTCAGCGTCCTGCCTCGTACCTCATCAAGACGTTCGAGGAACAGGCAAACAACGGGCATGGAGGGGCGCCCATCGTCTTCAGTGCCGAAAAGGGTTGCCATCCGCCCGATGAAGATTGGTGCAACCAGGTGCCCGACTCGCCAATCCCGCAACACATCTACGGCCCTGATACGGACCGACGACCGGATCGGCTTGAGCTCAACCGCGCACGCTGGCTCAATAGCGGCTTTGTCGTTGGGTATGCGCCCGACATGCTCCGGCTCTACCGGGCCGCCGCCGATGAGGCCACGAGGCGCGAGGGGACCTTTACCGCGGACCAGAGCATCTTTGGTCCCTTGTTTGCGTCCAACGAGTACAACGTGACGCTCGACTACACATCCAAGATGGCCGCGCTGTCCTTTTTCTTTGGCGACGAGATGTTCTTTCGACCGACGTACCTCACGCCGCGGCGACCTCGGCTGCCCCGCTTTCCTTCGTCGGGCGAGGAGGCAGACCACCAAGCGTGGGAAGTAGCGCGGGCAAAGGTCGTTGACGAACACGAGCGGCGGCGCAGCGAGCTCATGGACCAGTTGGGCGCCGACGCGCCTGAGATGCGCCTCCTCTCTCCCTCGTTCTCTGACGCAGTCGAGGAGGCTCAGAGACTCGCTGCCTCTGGTCAGCCGCGGAGAGATCGTCTGTTTGGCGACGAGGAGGTGCCGAGCGCATGGCACAAGCACAACATTGTTCATGACACCTTCGCCGCCTTTGTGCACTACAACGTACCCTGGAAGGAACACTTTGATGGCGACTGGCAACGTACCTGGTGGGGCGGCATAGCGGGCAAGGACATTGTCGAAGATGTCCGCGACCACGTCGAGGCCACTGGACGCCTGCGCAGAGCCGATCTCATGGTGCCCAGGCCCGCTGCCCGCCCTGCTGAGGGCGCCATTGACGGTACAACTGCTGAAGGGTCCGAGCAGGGAGAGCCAGGGGAGGAGACGCCCGGCTCGTTGGCGTTCACTGACCTCTGCGAGCCCGGCTGGCACACCATCTAGGCGCATATCAATATGTCTGCAGGAAGGCACGCATACCAATATACCCTCAGTGTAACATGCTGTAATTTCTCTAGAAATACATTGCTAATTTTCACGTAGCTTTCTCTACCCAACGACGCTGCCCGCGACGGTGTGCAAGCTCGGAAAGGCATTCTGGGCCGACAAGACGGTCATCTGACGCTCGTGGCTGATGTAGCCGCGCATGTAGCCCTTTGCAATCTGCTGAGCGACGAACCACTCTGTCTCCTCGCGCTCGACATCGACGCCGACGAAGCGGAGCGCGCGGTGGAATGTGTCGATGGGGATGCGCGTCTGCTTATCGGTGGCCTGGTAAACGCGCCGGAACAAGCCACGCAGGCACCCTTCGCGGCCACGCTCAATAGCGAGGTAGGTACCTGCTTCGACTAGCGCGCGTTCTTTCACAGGGTCAGAAAGCGCCTCATCGTACGACCGCACGTCGCCACGCCGGAATGACTGGATGAAGGGGAGGTAGAGGGCAGAAAGGGTGGGAAAAGGTCGCAGGAGGCGTGACGAAGGTAGCGAGCCCCGCAGGAGGCGGCAGGGGATGAGGTATTTGAGAATGAGCCTTTCCGCGCGCAACTGCGTCAGTAAATGCTTCTAGCGAGAGGGAAAGCACCGTCGAGGGTCTGCTCACGACTGATTACGTCGCTGCGATGCATGGCAGGCGTCAAAAGCCACTGAAAGCTCAGTTTCGGCCTTGGTGTATTCTTCGTTGAGAAAGGCTAGGACGCCAACGTAGTAGTGAAAGGTCACTTGCTGCGCGCGAGGAAACGCTTCCAAGGGCGGCAAGTCTGCCGCTGTCAGCGCACGCAAAATGTTGCGGCACAAAGGAAGGGACTTGAGCTGTGATGAGGGTGTCAGAAGCAGCCTCAGGTACCAGACGACAATGACAGGGGACCAACCTTGAAGTAGCCGCGAAAGACCATGCCTACGATCTCGTAGGTTCCCCACTTGCGGCTGCCCTCCATCTCGGTAGTTCGGTCTGACACACAGACGCTGAATGCCTTGTTCAACTGTCGCGCGCATTCTTCGAGATGGGGCTGAGGCGAAGAGGTAGAGGACGAAGATGCGGTTTTGGTAGAAGTCACTCGATCAACAATGACCGAGAGCCTGCGATACGACGAGAGTACCGTCGTCATCAGTGGCAAACACCATCGCCCAGGGCTTTGAGATGAGAAGAATCGTAGCAGAGCGCTGGCGACGAGAGGTAATGTAGATAAGAATCTATCTTCAAGTGCGTTCAAATTGTCCCAATACTCACACGACGACGGCATTGACACCCTCCCAAGCTTCTTCGAGGACCTCCTTGACCGTCCGACCTTCATTGTCAACAATTGCGTCTGCGCCGAAGCCCCGTAGATTGTGTCCGAAGGATTGCTTCGAGCGACTCCGCCCAAGGAGATCTGGGTCGATGAGCGACAGTCTCTGGGCAGCGACAAGGTGATTCGTTGCCAGCTCCTCCCACGGCGCTTTGAGGTAGCCTTTGCACTTCCGAAGCGCCAACTGGATCTTGTATGGCTGTAGTAAGGCCAGTCAGCATAGGCAGAGGAGCTGTGGTGACGTCAGAGCCCAGCCTCACCTTAGGATCGCGCAGATGGATCAAGACGTCGGCCGTCGCGGTAAAAGCGCCAGGAGCAGCGCCTAGCAAGGGCATAGTGAAGAGCTCGGCTAGCTCATACCCATCTGACTCATTGACCGCATGGATGATGGCGTCGCCGTAGTCGGCCGGCGTCATAGAGTGTCTCGAAGCCATTGTATGCGGCGGCTGGGGAGGCGGCGAGGACGGAGGCGGAGGCGGAGGGAGGAAGAAAGTCCAAAAAACGCGCTGGCTCGAGCGCGAACCGGTCGGCCGAGGCAGAAAGAAGCGACAGCAAGAAGAATGTCGCCTTCCTGCCCACTCCCTCGTCATCTCGCAAGAGAATCTCAGCAAAAGATGAGGGTACCGACAGTCGCCGCCTTGATTGGCAGCCTCGTCTTTACGCTCGGGGCTGTAGCATCATCGCGGCCGTCCTCTTCAAACGACTGGCAGGTGGCCAATCTGGTCAGGACGGTTGAATTGGGAGGCTCGGTGCATACTCAGATGGACGTCCACACGATTCGACGGCCAGCCGGTGCGCCGGAGCCTGCCGAATCAGATCCCCCCACTACTTACTTTTTCGCATTGTCCCAACGGGATGCTTCGATCCTGAGTGCCATCGAGTGCACGGCCAAGTTTGGCGCCGGCGTCAAACCCAGTCAGCGGGCTGTCCTGCCCGTTCAAGACGAAGGCGCCTGGGACGAATTTCTGGAGTCTTACCTCTCCAGCAGTAACGTATCAGCAGCAACGCGACCTCATCTCTTCTCGGTCAAGGTACCCGCGAATTTCCAAAGGCGGGCAAGAGAGGACATCACGGAGATCCCCGACGTGACCCTGACAATAACCTCGACGCTGCTTCCCTCGCCAGAACCACTCCCTCGGACTGTAGGCCAGAAGGAGTCGCAGTACCTCGTCTGGACAGGCGACACTGAGCCTTTGAGTGTCTACCCGGTGGACAAGGCTAGGACCAAAGTAAAAGCGCCACACCCCAAAATTGTGTCGTACGAAACGACGCCGCCGCTGCCGTCAGACTTGGTGACAAAGTCTGGCGCCATCGTCACGTTTGGTCCTTATGAGAGACTTTCTGCGCTGAACCCGAGCAAGCCGGTAAAGGTGGCACAGGCAAAAGTTCACTACGGCCTCGATGCGCCTGTCGTCTCTGTCATCCAGGTGAGAACAAATAGATTGCCAGGTTTCTGCGAGAAGACCAGCTCTGCTGATCACGAAGCTGCTCCTCCTGTCACACAGGCTCTGCGAAAGGTCCAAGTGTCGCACTGGCGCAACAGGCTCAGCTTCGAGGACAAGCTGTGGCTCAAGAACGCCGGCGCTATGCTCAAGGGGCACTTCTCGCGCATCGAGCACCAAATGTCTAACTTCATGAAGGTCGACACCTCCCACGTCCTCACCCACCTCGTCATGCACCTTCCTCCCGGTGCCGACGACGCCTGGTTTGTGGATGATTCGGGCAACGTGAGCACGAGCCATTTTCGAACCTCGTCGCCATCGCCAAAGGACATCGGTACGCCTCCTCACCTCCTGCCCACCAGCCGCGCATCGATGCTCGATGTTCGGCCGCGCTACCCGCTGCTGGGCGGATGGAACTACTCGTTCAGCATTGGTTGGGGCGTCCACCTTGCTGACGGCTGGGGGCAGAGCATGGGCGCAAGTCGCTACCAGGTCAAGATCCCCTTTGTCACGCCACTGCCCGATATTGCGATTCAAGAGGCCACAGCTCGAATCGTGCTGCCCGAGGGCGCCAGCGACATCGAGATCCAGGCGCCGTTCAACATCGATGCGCAAAGCCAGGAGCGCGACTGGAGCTTCCTTGACACGGTTGGCAGTCCCGTCGTCGTTCTCACGAAGTTCAAATGCAGTGACCGACACGGCGGCCTCGTCTCGGTGAGTCGAGCCGACAGCACTCTGCTGTTTCACTTCTGATGGCGCTGACCTCGCATTTCACCCTCCCTTCCACGCAGATCACCTACACGCTCTCGGCCTTGGATCACTGGAGAAAGGTCATCGTGGGCACCGTCTTGCTCATTGCAGGCATCGTCACAACGAGCCTGCTGAGCAAAATTGATCTGAGAATCAAGTAGAGGTGGTGATATATTGTGTAACCTGCAGGGGAATGACGATAGCCCTGTCTTAATGTCTGCTTGCCTTTCCGCCGTAATCTCTCTTTTGTGCACATCTCTTGCCATGAGATTGAGTCTGGGCAGCTGCGACGAGGATGAACGATCGGGACTCGGGAGATCACAGAGCCAGGCTAAGGTTTCTCCACCCACTATGGCCTCGCTCACATTGTCCTCCTCATCACCACTTGCTAGACGAGCAGCGATGTCAGACGATCGCATGAGCCTCGTCTCGCCCGTAGGTGAGCTCCTTCGATGTCTTCTACTCCTACAACGTCTGACAAGCTCCCCTTCTTCGGGCTTATTCATCCCAGGGTACAGCAGCTCAACGTGCGGCTATTGCACACCTCCCGGTAGCGGCCGCCGCTCCTCGAAGAAGAGCAGCAAGAGCTACGGCATATGGGTGAGTCCGCCTGAATGTTCTTGGGTAGATTTGTCCAGGATTGTCCTGGAAAGGCGTTTTGCTCAAGTGCCGCGGCGATACCTGTTGGCGAGGCAGGCAAACGACATGACGCCCGAGACGTACCAGCAGCTCCTCGACCGTGGCTGGAGACGGTCAGGACACTACATTTACAGACCTGACAATGGGTACAAGGGGACTTGCTGTCCGCAGCATGCGTTTCGGTGAGTCTCTGCTTGGTATCAGGCTCACGCACGTATATATTGGTGATGCTATGCTCCTGCCCGCTAGCGAGATGACTGACAGAAAGTTGACCCGTGCTCCAAGATTACACGCCGACACATTCAAGCCTTCGCGTTCGCACAAAGCCGCCATGGCTGCACTCAAGGCATTTGTGAGACAACCAAAGGCCTCGTCGTCATCGTCTTCGTCGCACACGCTTCAGGATTGTCACCCTGGGAAAGGAAAGTACTCGAGGCCGTGGGACGTCGAACGTGAATGGGACCTCGTGCAATGGGACATAAAAGATGAAGCGATAGAGAAAGCACGGGCCGTGGGATCAGATTCGGAGACGACCGAGACGAAAAGGGCACAGGAGAAGCAGAGACACATACACCGGAGCCGTGCAGGTGCAAAAGAGAGAGCACAGCGACGCGCTGCTACGCAGAGGGGAGAGAAGGACCAACGCTGGTGGAGTAATCTCGAGCCGTTTCGAACAGGTCCAAAAAGACGTCGCTTTACAACTTCCCTGGCTTTGGCAACGTCGACAGAGGAAAAATATCAGCTCTTCCGAAGATACCAGATGCAGGTGCATGGGGAGAGTGAGGCAAAGGTGTCGACTATGCAAGGCTTCGAGAGGTTCTTGTGCAAGAGTCCAGTGCGGATCACGATGCCATCGTACAATACTGACGAGTCAGTCAATGGGAGGAAATCTCATGGCAGAGAAGACGGGAAGACGGAAGAAGTCGTCTTGGAGTCCATGGACCCGATTGCTTACGGGCTGTACCACATGGAGTATCGGTGTGAGTCCTCTCCATCTCGCTCTCTCGTCGCGACCACGATTTCTCTGATGTGGTATAACAACAGTGGATGACGAGCTCATCGCCGTGGGCGTGCTCGATGTGCTTCCCCGATGCCTCTCGAGCGTCTACCTCTTCTACGAACCAAGACACGCAGACTTACAGCTTGGGAAAACGAGCGCCTTGCGCGAGATCGCGCTTGTAAGGCAACTGTCAAGAAAGCTGGGAATGCAGGGCTTGACATACTACAATCTCGGACTTTATATTCATTCGTGAGGGACTTCGACCTATGCTCTCAACAATGGGACAAAACTGACGATTGGCTCGGGCCTTCTTTCCTCTGTCAGATGCCCAAAGATGAAATACAAGGCCCAATATCAGCCCGCCGAGATCCTTGATTCGAAAACATGCGAATGGACGCCTTACGATGTTGCCAAGCCTCTGCTGGATGCAGGTGTGCGCCACAGCTTCTCCTCTTCGAATGCGCTTCTGAAAGACCAGGTCAAGGGCAACGGAGCGAAAGCTATCAAGGTTGACGCCAATGGCATCGAAGATATTCAGTCAGAAAAGGATGTCGGCGATCACGACGATGACGATGATGACCACAAGCACGGCCACGACAAAGACGAAGACGAAGACGACGATGATGACGACGACGACGATGATGATGATGACGGGGAGATACCAGATCCACCACCTCCAGGTATCGCGCCGCGGAATGAGACAGAAAGACGCCTTCCGATCTTGTCAATGAGAACGTTGATCCTCGATCTCGAAGCTGGCCACAAAGTTTGCCTTCTCGCCGTGAGTGAAGACAATCTTCTTTGGCCTTCCCGTCCCTTGACAAACCGCTGACAAACACCTCTAGCAATCATCGGTGGCGCAGGATCCCACAAAGCTGCATGGCATCATCGACTGCCTCAGTGCACTCAATGACGTGGCCTATCGCTTTGTCCTGTACGTCGTCTAGATGTTGCTTGCAAGTCAGCAATGTAGAAGTACATGAGTCTGTATGAAGACTTTACAGTTCGACGTAAGGACGCTAGCAAGATCCGTGGTAACACTCTTAGACTCGCATATGGACGACATTCAGAGTTTTGTTTGACGTCTTCTTGTGGCGAGCCGCCGCCATGCTCATCCGTCTAACAAGATATTGAGAAATCTTGGTATTACTCGCTCGCTTTCCTTCTCTTTATAATTTTAGGTTGGTGTAGGTTGTGATCGGTGACCAGCTTCAGCCGAAAATGCCTGGTGTCATTGGGGTCCTTCTCCGCGAGCGCTCCCAAAGCGGTTGTTGCGGGCATCTCGATCCTCCTCCCGCACTTGCTGATGGTGGAGATTGTTCAAGTAGGCATTGAGATTCTGTTCCGACACGTTCTCGTCTCTTCTATCCAGACCGACTTGATGAGGCGTTGCAACCCAGGATGCGAGCGAGCCCGTCGATGATGCAGACGGAGTCAGAGATGTCGGGGAAACCAGCGAGAGAAAATGCGAATCGAATGACAGAAGCGAGGGCGAAGAAGAGTGCGAGGTTTGATCAAGCTCAGCACTCAAGGCACTCGCTGACCCTATTCCACCTGGCCGACCTTCGTTGGTCCTTATACCTGTCAATGGAGTGAAGGAAGATGATGATGACGCTGAGGAAGGGGAAGTCGCGGTGAACCCAAAGACGTCGGCAGCTTTCGATTGTGAACTCGAACCTGAATTCGAGTTGATTCCTGGTGTTGACGAGGACGATACGACGCTCTCCTCCCGATCTCGTATCTTTCTGCTTCTTCTCTCCTCCGAGTTGTACTTGAAGCCGGCTTCTGCCAGCTTGGCCCGCTCGGCTTTCGTCGGCGGACCCCTCTTTCGAAGCACATCACTCTTCTTGCACTGAACGCCCCTCTCCTTGCACGTTGAGCAGCTTGGCTTTTCGCGGTCGCATCGGATCTTTCTCTTTCGGCAAAAGTCGCACGCCGCCTCCCCTTCATTTGAACGTTCGTTGCGAAGTCGGAAAGACTTGAGGAACTCTTTGGCCAGGGCATTGTCACGAGTGATGTCTGTCAGCTTCATGTGATCACCTTCAGTCGAGAAGGAACGATCTGGTGCGACCGACAACGGTACACTACGGATGTGTCCCTTCTCAGACGGCGACGTCGAGGTCGTCTTGAAGCCGGTGGGCGCCAAGCTTTGACTCCCACTGCTTTCTGGATGACCAGATGAAGACGACTGCTGCTGCTGCTGTTGCTGAAGGGATGTGGACGACTTTGAGGAGCTGGAAGATGGAGTTGGAGACGCCGACGTTGGGAGCATCGACGCGGAAGACAACCGCCTGTCAAAAGGGGCCATCGGCGCAAAGGGAGTCATAGGTGAGGCTGGGTACGACTGACTCGACTGATGAAAGTGTTGATGATAGTGATGCGAATTAGAGGCAGCTTGAGACGCAGCATGCTGTTGAAGAGAGCTACCGAGGATCGACGTGGGAGGCGTCGCAGATTGTTGGGCAACGGTGGCATGAGGGAAGATCCCATGTGGCTGTAGAACATCCTGGGCAAAAGTAACAACAGCCCTGGATTGATCGGTGTCGAAAGGAGAGGCCAATGGAGCAGTTATAGGGCCCGCTATGACTGAGGTGGTACTGCTTGGCACCAACCTGTGACTGTGCATCTCCATGGAATCAGATAACGTCGTGCCAGAGCTCGTCCCTGGCTGTGGCTGGCGCTGCTGGTGGGATAAGAGGTGTTGATGCAACACTTGCTGGTGCAATTCAAGAGTCTCTTGTGGAACGTGTCGATTTGATTGTGAATGTGGCAATCGCTGGGTCGAGGAATGTAACGATTGCTGATGGTGGAACGGCGGGGGTCGCTGAAACTGTTGCAGAGGCTGAGTGTGAATCATTTGCTGCTGTTGCTGTGGAGGGAATACTGAAGGGAGCTGCTGATAAGTATAAGCGAATGGAGTTGCAATAGATGCAGTCTGCATCGCAGCAGGCCCTTGTGACGAGTTCGAGGTGACGTTGAAGCCGCTAATGGGAACTCCCTCACCGCCCTCCGTACTATTTCGTCTTCGTCTGTTGTTATTGCCCAGTGCCCATGCGCTGCACGATCCGTCTGGACCTCCAGTGCTCATCTCTTGACCAACCGATTCCCATTGGCCTTGAGAGAACGGAGCGAAAGCACAGATATGGAAGAAAAGGGATCAAGGAACGAGGTGATGGGTTGATAATGAAGGAAGCCGAGGGTGTCTGTCTGCTCATGAAGAAGAAGAAGAGACTAATCGATGACTCTGGTATGGAAACTTAAGAGAGACCTTAGTCGCTCATCGTCGTGGTGCTGAAGAGGCGAGATTCTCTCGCACAAATCTCACCGGCTCGCCGTGATCTGCGTGCTGCACTTTGATCACAGAAATCCTTGCCCGCGGCCAAAAGCACGATTGACCGTAACGTAAAGCTAATGTAGAAAAGTGGGGACGAAGAAGAACAGAGCCAAACGGTTCAGATGCCCTTTCTGATAACTTCGTTCACCTCTGTACCTCAACCACATTTTCATTTTATTTTTATTTTTCTATGTAGTGGCTGATGCGAATGTTGCTACTGTTCGGTCTCGATAGGATCTCGCGAAGCGCTTGGACATGGCCCGAGGATGTCCTTGCAGGGGCTCAAGAACATCCGAGATATTCAGACAAACGTCATGAAAACTGGTGACGGGCGCCAACAGGTGAAGTGGCATGAGAGGACTATTTCGCATCAAGCAAGGCTGCATATCCCAATCTCCACACATCGGAGTGTAGAGTATCCGACGACTCCGAACCAAATTCGACTCCCTTGTTCGCCTTGCGGCGGCGGATAAAAGCCAATAGAATGAAGAAGAATACACGATAAATGTGGAACGGCCGATCATTAATTCTTATGGTGTAAGCGTCCCTGCACCTAATGACTACACATATCTTGGCTTTCCTCGATAGACTCCAGCGACAGAGCCCGACATTCGGTGCCACTCGTCTGGATGATCTGAAATCAGTCGCAGAATTGCTCGAGCAGGCGCCCATGAAGTGTTCAGAGACCACGGCAGGGCAAGATAATCGCTCTGCAGACACCACCAGAGAAGTCAGGAGAATACGGCTGGTAGTACAAGAAGAGTGCAGATTAAGTAAAGGCTTCAAGGTCTCATTATATGTGGTGGGGTAGAAGGGGTAGGGCAGTAACAGAGGCAATGAACAGGGCGTGCAGAACCATGCAGCACAAACTGTGTTGTATTCCTGTCAATGGTAGCGTACCACACTTGAATAACCCCTTTGCTGGTTCACCATGCCTCAATCCTTGAGCTTGACAGATGCCAGCACATCGTGGACGTACCCGACCTACGCATATGGTGCCGGACACATGTAAAGAAACATGTATAGAAAGTTTCGCGTATACGTACTGTACTGTATACTGCGATAATTATACAGTATTTTCAGGCCGTATGCAACGCTGAAGCCGCAAATCCAGATAGTGCGATTCGCGCCAGTTTTCGGCTCCTTCAGCAACTTCCGTACAGACCTTTCCTTGCGTGACTAGTAGGCAAGAGATGACGATCCTTGCCGTGCTCTGCAGCACTACTGCACGTACTATTCCTGCTCATACCTCGCGTCAATCGTCCTCCTCCTTTCTACAATTAGCTCGTTAGTGAAACCTCTTCAGATCTAGAGAGGAGTGAAAATACACGGAGCGCTAAGGAAAGATAGACAGTCGAAATCTTCTTGGTACAGGCACATGTGAAAGAAAACCCCGACGCCGTGCGTTATTTCCGGGCTTTCGGACCACGGAAGGCCAGGCTCTTCCAAACTAGCTGACCGACCTTTTGCCCACTACCTCGCGCAGAGCGAGGCAAGGGAGGGTGTTACTGAGACGCTGACAAATACATGCTTCATCGGGCCGGGTCTCGGCAGAAAAGTTTTCCCAAGGCCACCTACTCTTCAGGCCGTGGGGGACAGCTTCTTCGCTAGCGTTGCAGGACATGCAGATTATACGGAGGTGGTACGACTATCATGCAAAGTCAACATGGCACAGCTCCGCAATTTGAAACGACGCGGAGGTCTGCGTAAAGGACCATGCTGTTCAAAATGAGCCTTACACACGTGAATCGAAACAGAGGACAATATCGCAAACGTGATCGTTGTGCGTTTCAAGAGCATTTACAGTACAGTACGTCGAATTACGGTTGTCTAGTTGGTGGTGGTGAAGCTTTCGCTGTTGTCGTCTGTGAATGCGAGAACGATGGCGCTGGTGAAGATGGCGACCTGCGCCTTTCCTCTTCTTTCATCGCTTTCGTGTGTCTCTTGAGCTTGTCCTGCATCTCACTCGCCGCCGTCGAAAGGTTCACAACGGTAGGGTCATTCAAAGGCCGCTTACACCCGGCCACTCGCAAGGTATTGACAACGCCATCGCGCAATTGCACAGTTGCGGCGGCGCAGAGGCGTAGCACGTCGAGCTGAAATTGTGACGTGTGAAGGGGGTGGCCGTCGCAGTGAGCGATGTAGTCGACGTCGAGCTCTGTCATGTAGAGCTGCTGGACGTCGGGCCACGCCGTGATCGTCGGCGAGTCAAAGATAAGGTCGTCCTTCTCGCATATGCCTTTCTCCTCAAAGTCAGACTCAGCAGCAGCGGCAGCGGCAGCGGAAGCTAATTTCGATACCTCGTCGCGGCCCCGAACTTCCCCCCGGCCCGGAGCCATTTGCCTGGCCTCTTGAATGCGCGCCACGACGCGGCTGCGAAGCGATGTGCTGTGCAGCAGCCCAGTCCTCCTCAGAATGATCCCGTGCAAGTGGCAGACGCTGGTACAGAAACGCAGCATCATCAGCCTCGCGTACGACGCGCTGGTGAGGTCTACAGCTGGCCGCCGTGCACCAAAGATCTGTTCGGCAACATCGATGCGTCGCAGCATGTTGCCCAGATCTTCGCTGGGCTCGGTGTAGTCGAGCTCGAGAGGCAAAAATCTTGCTTTGAGCCCCACAGAGAGGAGATTGAGGCCGAGAATTCTGGACTGGATCGCATGTGGTCGGTACGCGGGTGATTCTTTTGGTGGCAGAGGCTCGTCGGGCCAAGGTGCAAAGCAAAATGCCCCGTCAACGTCGCCTGGCGCCAAGCCCAGCTGTCTCAATTCAACGTTTGGAAAAATCATGCCAAGACGACTGCTGAGCCATAGAGGAAATAGGCGGAGACGAGCGGCCTCTTCGATCTTGATAGAGCTCCTTCGCACATCGGGTGTTTGCGGTGTCTGCATGGGCGAGTCCTGGAACGTATTGCCCGTTGTCTGCTTCGCTTCGCTCTCGAGAGCGGCCTGCAAGCCAGGTGCCCTGGTGAAAGTCAGAGTGATTTGTAGGTAATGGAGGTAGGCAGGAGACAGCTCTGGCTCAAGGTGCATTAGCAGCATAGCCGCCTGAGCAATCTCAAGCCAGCTCCCCGTAGCCTGATCGGCCGAGACGATGGCTTGGGCGAGGTAGGCGTCAGCGGCCTGCTTGAGCTTGTCAGAAATGTCATTAGGCCGCGAAGGAGGTGGAACGATTTCGACGGGTATCATGCTGGTCGGTTGCTGACTCAAGCCGTAGGCGAACTTGGCGCTTCGCTGTCGTATCGCCATCGAAACTAATGCAAACGCGAGAGCAGGATTGACTGTCTCGCGAAGATCCTGACGCATGACAGCGTTGCGTACTGAGCCGACATGGCATAGTTGAAACCAGTGGTGGTGCGTCGGCTCGATGACTCTGTCGAGAAGATGGCCGATGATGCGACGGGAGAGGACGTTGTTGGTGCCAAAGAAGGTGAGCATATGATCAAACCATGTTCGCGTGAAGTAGTCCGTTGATGGACCGGCCACAGGAGACGTCGATCGTTCCAAAGAGCGAGTTCTCGAATACTTGTCATCACTTCTCCTTCCTGATGTTGGTTTGCTGTCCGCCTCAGCAACATCTTCTTGCTCGTCTCCTTCGTACAGGCACTCGCGCTGGCGCCGCACGCAGGGGAGACAAGGCTTCTTTCGGTCGCAGCGAAGCTTTTGTCTGTGGCAGGCAAGGCTGGTAGATATGCAAACTAGATTAAAATCTGTCTGCTGCCGCACACAGTATCTGACCGACACTGCTTTCGTCTCACCATACTGTCTTCGAAGGCCCGTGCCGCCTTGGCTTTTTCGAGGGTGCGCTGCGTCTCGGCGAGTGGCTCTCACCGCTTACGGCTTGATCGGGAGAAGCGGTGGCGGACTTTGTCTCTGACATCGAGCTACTATGGCTGGAGCTAGCCTCATGGCTACCCTCCTCCGTCTGCTGAGGCGTCTGGCCAGATCCCGCACTGTCCGCTTCGCCGGTCTTTCCTACGTTTCTCCAAGATGACATTGCGCCAGCTTCTTTCAGCTCACTAAGTGCTGGACTTGCTGGGACAGGTCTCGTTGTAAGCTAGTGTCACTGTAGTAGGCGGCCGTCCTTGCTATCGCACCATCGTAACGGCCCACATCAGCAGATGTATTGCCGGTGTATTGATCGAGCTGTTGATTGAGCAAGTTATTGTGCTCCGAGACTCGCCTTCTTGTCTCTCATTATTTTACATGCGCGTCAATTCACTCGCGCTAGCGAAAGCTTCTTTTTAGCTCTATTTCCTTGGCTTTCTCTGCGAGGAATATGGGACAGATAGTATAGTTCATTTTGATCCAATGAGTCTGCTATGTACAGCATCCGAGTGCTTTCGTGGTGCTTTCGTGAAGCTTTGAAGAACAGTGGAAGTAATTGCTGATGGGGGAAATGGTCGAAATGATGAGGAAAGCAGAAGTTTTCTTCTTAGTTGGAGGAAGACGAGGACGAAACGAGGTGACCGGCAAACTTGTTCGGGGTCAACTTTGTGAACTTGGGCACGTCGCCAAATACTTCAGCTCCGTGATTGGATATGCTGTCGTCGGCAGAGGCTTGGTCCTTCCACATCAGAAGGGCGTGCACCTTGTAGGGCGAGCTGCTGTCCTTGCTGTAGTCAAAGACGCGCCACGACTCGAGGCCTCGGGGACCCCAGTGCTTTTGAACGAGAGGCATGTGCGTCTTGATGTAGTACTCCATGTCGAAAGCCGCATTGGCATCGTTGTCATAGACGACGTTGGTGATGTAGGTCATTTTGCGGATGTGCACTTGGTGGTGGTTGCTGGTTATGATCGAGCGCGGACTTAAAACCTCCACAGGTGAGAACCCACATACACTCGGCTTGCTTCTGTCACCTGATCCACATCTACCCTGCTACTTACTGGTTTCTCTAATTTTACCTGTCCCGAGACGCTGTAGATGTGCCCAAGGCGACAATCCAGATACCTTGGAGATCTTCGCCTTGAGACCGCCCAGAGATGGTGTTGGCTTTTGAAAAAAGAATGGGGAAGACAAGTGATACCACGTGGCGTGGCGAGCCTTCGCGCTTTTGGCTTTTTGGCTTTTTGCTTTTTGCGGAGGAGTCAAAGAAGGGCTCGATCTTTCCCCCACCCTCTTTTTGATCGACCTGGCGTTGTTTCTCTGGTGTCAAGAAGGCAAGCTTCAAGTCAAGAAGAAGAGAGGAAGGAGCACCTCGGCAGACGGACAGGGTCGGTCTCGTCTTTGTTCGGCTTATACCCTTCCTCTCTCCGGGGGGTGGACACAGCGTGCATAGAGTGAACGGGGATAAGGGTTTCGGTCCGCAGCGATAGGACGGCGTGAGGCTTGCCTTCTGGGCTCACTGGGCATCAGAGCTGCGCCAGACAAATTAGCTGTGCCAGTCATCATGCAGGAAGCCACATCTCCGGTGGCTCTGCCGGTCAATGTCGATACGACGGGCGCCAAGATCATGGACAGTCAGGCTTCAAGGCCGCAGCACAACGACAGCCGCGACATCTACCTGCCCAACCATGTCGAGACCGTCAGCCATATTGCCGTTGACGTGAGTGAGAACTTGGTGAGATTCCTGTCCTGTCCTCCGGCACTTAATTTCCTTCTCGATATCTGCACAGATTGGCGGCTCGCTGGCCAAGGTTGTCTACTTTACCAGGTCGGCCAATACCGCGTCGTCGAGCCACGACGGCACGGAAATGGAGGCCGGTATACCTCTGACCCCTCCCGGCAAGTCGCAAGGTGCAAAAGTGGCGCCCATTGGCGATGCCGGGCCTTCGACACCTCCTTCTACATTCGGTGCACACTCGCGAGAATCGTCTGCTTTTGGCACCCGCTCGCCTCTCCCATACCCCTACGCACATCAGACGGCCGATGGTGCGGCGGCAGTACCTGCAGGTACCTTGACTCCAACGTCCCTCTTCCCAAACTCGTCGCTCAGTGCCTCGGCGCTTCAGTCGCATTTCCTCAAGCGCCGCTCGCTCCCCACCCAGCTGCCTGGCGGTCGGCTCAACTTCATCAAGTTCGAGACAGCCAATATTGGGTCCTGCCTCTCGTTTCTCAAGGAGCTCATTGAGTCGTCGGCACGGGCCAATAAGGTATCGCTGGAGCAAATGCGCAAGCGCGTCAAGGTCATGGCAACTGGCGGAGGCGCCCACCTCTTCTTTGACCTTTTCGAAGCCGAGCTCGGCGTCGAGGTGGGCAAGGAGGATGAGATGGGTTGTCTGATCACCGGACTCAACTTCATTACTTTAATCCCCGACGAGGTCTTCTGGTACAGCGATGAGCTCGTCAGCAGCTTGGCGCAGGCTCTCCCCACGAACCTGACCGATCGACGGGATCCTTCTTCATCATCCCCGTCCTCGTCCTCTTCGCTGTTGGCGCCTTTGCCTTCGGTATCGGGAGAAAAGGATTCAAAGGCCAAGGCCGAGCCCTCTGATCCTCCGCCGTTGCCGAGACCGTCGCCGGATCCACCTCTGTATGCTCCCCTCTTTGACTCGAACCCATCGCCCAAGCTCCCTTGCCTGCTCGTCAACATCGGCAGCGGTGTCAGTATCATCCGTGTCGACGACTATGGCAAATTCGAGCGGGTCAGTGGCACGAGTCTGGGTGGAGGGACACTTTGGGGCCTCCTCAGCCTCTTGACTGACGCTGACAGCTTCGATGGTAAGTGGCGCGCTTTTGTCACTTAGAAGAGCGAGGGCGCAGCCTGCTGACTTGCGTCGTCCCTTTACAGAGATGTTGGAGATGGCGACACTGGGCGACAATAGCGCCGTCGACATGCTCGTCTCAGACGTCTACGGAGCGACGGATGCGCTCTCTTCAGTGGGGCTCAAGAGCAACACAATTGCTTCATCTTTTGGCAAGGTTTTTCGCAAGGACAAGGGGGGCGAACAGGAGGGCGAAGAAGGGGGACCGGGGAGACAGAGAAGACAAAAGAAGTTCAGGCAAGAAGATATCTGCAAGAGTCTTCTCTACGCCGTGTCGAACAACATCGGACAGATTGCGTGAGTACCGTTACTTTGTTTCAACGATTTGGAAGATGAAAGACAGGCAATTGAATAAAGAGCCCTTTCCATAGCTACATGAATGCGGAGAAGTTCAATCTCGACCGCATTTACTTCAGCGGATGCTTCATTCGGGGACATCGAGCGACAATTGCAACTCTCTCTTACGCCATTCGCTTCTGGTCGAAGGGTAGCAAGCGTGCCTTCTTCCTCCGCCATGAGGGCTACCTCGGCGCAGTGGGCGCATGGATCAAGCATGTCTCCAACGATGGCGCAGAAGGCAGCAACAATCACAACACTTCCAGCTCCAGCATAGCTTCTCCCTCCGCTCCTACATCGGCCACCAAGGCTTCTTTTGAAGAAGTGGTCAACCAACATCACCGGACTAGGAGCTTGAGCTCGAGGCCAGAAAATATGCCAACACCTGTGGCTGAAGTGCAGGAGCCGAGGGCTGGCGAGAGTGGGTCTGGAACACCATTGACCGGCATCAATGGCACCCACCCTGACCCGATGCATTCGATGCCGCCCATGCTAGCAGAAGCGCTTGGAGGTGCCCCGCTCAATGATGGACCAAGATCCAATGGGGTCGTGCACAGCGACGAGCTCGAAGACGTTACCGTGGGCCCCGAAGATGAGGAAGAGATCGACGGTAAGCAGGAGGCAGACGCGGCAGCGCTCCTGGAATCGCTCTCCGCCGAAGACCGCGCTCTGCTGGCGCCGATGCTCCTGGGACCTGGCGAAGACGGTGCCAGCGGGGCGAAGATGAGCGTCGCTGAATTGCTCGCCAAGATGGATGCCGCGAGCGGAGCGGCAGACGGACTCGAAGATAAGCTGGACAGATTGCTTAGCAAGCTCGACGGCATGCTGCTGGAGGAAGAATCTACCACTGCCGCCGGCACTCGCGGACGATGATTACAGTCACGCAGACGTTGCGTCTTGCGCTTCATAACACCCTACTTCTGCCACCTTAACAACAACTATCCCTCTATCCTATAGGAATGCAGCAATCTAAACGATTTCATTAGTAGATCGCAAAAAAAACCTCACGAATAGTGCTTTGGAGGAGGTGAAGAAACGTCTGAGTTCCTCGCATGGTGTGCTTTTCGAAAGAGCCTTGCCCTGTTCAGGAAAAGATGGCGGCAAAGATGAATATATCTCCATGCATTGTTCCATGAGCTCGGTAGTATGGTACAATGTAGAACGAGACTGACTCAAAGTACAGACAGAGAAGCCCTCAATGAAATCCTCACAACGTCCTCACTGCAAGACCTTGTGGCTTGTGGCGCAGCCGCGCAGAGAACTTTGCTCGGAGGTCAACGACCCAGCAGAGCTTGCTGCTCCGCTTGTCCTGCTTTTCGGAATGGCTGCTGTGGCAGCAGCTGCCGCTGCGGCAGAACACCTCGACAGGTGTCGCTGGAGGTGCCTTGCATGTGGAAGTAGACAAGATGCTCCTCGTCTCTTCCTCGTCGACGGCTAGAAAGATTTCGTTGCCGGTCTTGATGCCCAAGTCGGAGTGTCCCAAATTGGGAGAGACGGAAGAGCACCTACGTTTTGACGGTGCAACGATGAGGTCCGTCGTCGTACTCCGCGGTGACAGAAATTGGTCCATGACGCCAACGGGCAACTTGTCATCATCTTCGTCACCGGCCTCTTCGTGAATCGATGTTGCATCGGTCCCGATCGATCGGGAGCTCGTGCCGTCATCGCTTGTCGCGCCGGTGCGGCTAGACTCAGCATCATCATCCTCTTCATCATCAAAGCCTCGACTTCCTCCGAGGCTCAGGTTGGCCAGTCGACGCTCGCTGACATCGGCAGCCCGGTGTTGTCCCCGGACCATGCGCTTGTTCCTCTCCTTCTCGGCCCAGAAACCATCGACGTCCTTTTGCAGCTGGATCCTGGCTTGAAAGTGCGCCTGCAAGCCTCTTGCCACTTCCTCGCGCTGCATCCTCGACCGGTATTGCCGCATCGACTCGCCTGACTTCTTGGGTGGTGGGGTGGCCACCGCAACATCCTGCCGCTTCTTTCCTGCCTTCTCGGCGGAGCTGAACCAAGAGTGGCAGGGCGCCATCTGCTCGAGCTCGGCAGCGCTGAGAGGAGCGGCGCTGACGCGCATCAGTTTCAGGTCCAAAGATGCGGGGGCTGACGAGTGAAGGTTCGAGAGCACTTGGGCCAGGGGAAGGTCGTTCAAGGTTGAGCTAGGTAAGAGGGTGACGAGGTTTGCTGAGAAGTAACAGATCAAGTTGTGTGAGAATCTGAGAAGAAGGAAAGAGTGGAAAAAGAGGAATGAAGCTCACTATCGTCGGCGTCGGGCTCGCCAGAGATGACAAGAGGCAGCATCGACGAGGTGATGTGGATGTCGAGCGCGAGCGCTTCCGTGGACAGACCCCACACGTGGACAGGTCCGACGTAGTGGCTCCGAACTGCACCAGAGACGAGATATTTAGTATCGTGGAAGTGGCTGGGGAAAGGTGGCACTGTCAAGAACTCACCTCGCGTGAGGATGCTGGGAAGCTCCTGGGCATCGCCGAGAATCGCAAGCAGCAGCAGAGGCCAGTATCGCTCGCCAGTCGGCCCATTAAGGTGAGGAGCAATGTCGTGTGGGGAAATGACAATGACAGGGCAGGGCGACTCTCGCAGACGCTTGACCATGACTTCAGCCAGAAGTCTGCTCACAAGAATCAAGAGGGTGAGCAGGCTGAGATCACAGATAAGTTATAAATCACTCACCTCTCCTTCCAGAGAGCGCTGGAAAGCTGCTCTTCTTCACTGAAGAGGGCTGACATGACGACGAGGAAGCTTTTGCGAGGCGATCGGCGGACAGGTGGGGTTGAGAGTCATCAGACCCTGAAGACTGGAAGTAGGGGCGAAGCTATATGAGGAAAATCGAGCCCGAGTGTGCACCCTCACCCTGCTTCGCGAACCCTTCCCGATGGACTTGCTCTTACCCGGTCGGTCAGTCTCAAGCCTCTGCACGGGAGCCTGTCGAACGGACAATCTCCCCGCGTACTTCTCACGTTCTCGTCCTATCGCTGCAACTGCTCTCCGATACGCTCGTCGGTCACACCATCGAACAGCCCGAGAACGGTCCGACCAAAGTCTAAATAAAGATAGACATGAGCGAAGAAGAGCTCAGGCTTAGGGTTGAGCAATACTGCCTCTCTGCACGAGCAAGCACCTCTGGTCTCGAGAAAAAGCAACAGTGAATGTGCTATCGTCTATTTCCTTCATGCACCCCCGTGCCTGACAACCAGCGGGAAGATGCAGAAAAGTCTAGATCAATCAACAGCCACGACAATCTTTCGCAAAGTTTTCCCGCCTCTTGATTTACAAATAACCACGTGGTCGGTTCCAATCACCGTGCCCCCTCGGTGTGTCTTTAGAACATGACGGCCGATGCAGACGGGAAGGAGAACACCCAGTGATTCGCGGGATCCATTCTGCGCACTGTGTTGCTCCTGGTCGGGGCCCATGCTACTTCCCGAGCGGGCCCCTGCGCTGCGTCAGACCTAGGACTCTCCTTTACGGGAAGGGTGCCTCTTCTCGCGCGAAGCGGAAGCGAAAGTGAACAAGGTGGCACACCCGTCAAAGTGCTGACCTGTGCGATGCTTATAAAGAATGGCCTGCCGAGGCACGGCTCTGGCCATTGGACCTTATCGAATGCCCCCTTATCCAGGGCTTTGATAGAGAATTTGGTCGAGACCACAGTAGAGAGCGCTTCCGGCCCGAAACAGTGGTCTGAAGACACCACTTCTGCTTTCCATATCTCCGAAAGAAGCGCGGCTTTTACTCATGTGACAACTTTGAGCAACGTCTCCGTCTAGGACTAGTCGACAATAATGGCTGCGCGGGCGCCGACGGTTGTCGGCATCGGTCTCGGGTCTCCGATGCCACGTGGCGCGCGCTTGGACAAGATCTCCACCTGGTTTTTTAACGGCCTTGACCTGACTCCCTTCTCTTCAATTTACATCGACTGCGACCTTCCGCCTTCAGCAAGATGACAATCAATACCACCTACAATGCAGTGCGGGCTGCGGCCGCGACGTCAAGAAGTGCAACTCTCTCCCGAACTGCTGTTCGAAGCGTCCGTCGGAATGCGGCACCCTCCGCCGCGTCTTCGTCGTCTCCGAGGGCCTTTGCCACCGCTGCGTCCCGGCAAGCTTCGCATCGGATGAGCCCGTCGTCGCCTTCTTCTTCATACTCATCAGCACTGTGGAAGAAGCAGACTAAGACGCCGACTGCCATGTCTGGTCAGAGTGAGTGGCCTCGCTTGCTCTTGGTAGACCTCTCAGCTTCTGCTACTGACCCGAATGTTTCAATCTGTATCAAACAGTTCGCACCATGTTCATCCAAACGGAATCGACACCTAACGAGGACTCGCTCAAGTTCTTGCCCGGTCAGCAGGTGATGGAGAGCGGGACGGCTGAGTTTCTAGACACCCGCTCCTCGATGGCTTCCCCTCTCGCCAAGAAGCTGTTCGGAATCCCTGGTGTCAAGGGCGTCTTCTACGGGCCGGACTTCGTCACAGTCTCCAAGGCAGAGGACCACCAATGGTCGTTGCTCAAGCCTGAGATCTACGCTTCGATCATGGAGCACTTTACAGCCGGACACTCGCTTTTCAACGACCCCAACTCGAGTCAGGGCAGCAGTGACACGCTGATTCTCGACACAGACAGCGAGACAGTGGCCATGATTAAGGAGCTGCTCGACACTCGTGTCCGACCGGCGATACAGGAAGACGGAGGCGACATCGAGTACAGAGGGTTCGGAGAGGACACCGACGGAATTGTCCGGCTTAAGCTCAAGGGCAGCTGTAGGGGCTGCGACTCGAGTACGGTGACGCTCAAGAGCGGCATCGAGAGGATGCTCACCCATTACATTCCAGAGGTCAAGGGTGTCGAACAGATCTTGGATCCAGAGGAGGAAGTGCAGCTTGAAGAGTTTGCCAAGCTCGAAGCGAGATTGGAAAAGCAGCGGCAGCAGCGAGAAGCTGAACAAGGCTTCTCGCTTTGAAAATACCGTCAGCTGGACTAGCAACTACTGCAATCTAATCTCTTCAAACACTGCAATCTAGTGACAACTCGACGTCAGCGATGTCAGAGCTCGAGACTTTTTTGCGAAGCACTTGACAAAGTCTGTTTGTCACGAGATCTCCGCTAGGTCCTAGGAACGTAGGGCCGGCAATCAGCCGTGCTCTCCGCTAAGTAAGTCACGCCACCTACAGCCAGCTTACCAACAGGGCTGGGCGTATATACAGGCATGCAGCAGATCGATTGGATGTGAATGACCATCGTTGGCTCAGCTTTGAAGCGCTTCAGACCAGCGACTCGGTCTTTTTGATAAGGGTGACGCCCATCGCATCAACCGTTGGTCAGCTTCTAGTGGCTGTGCGAAGATTTCTTTTGTACTCACACACAGCAATCTCTCGCCGGATTGCAAAAAGAGGATGATCAACTGGAGATGAAGAGTGACACTGCACCTTACCGCATGAGCGTCCTGTGCTTGCGGGAGGCGGAAGTCGGATATTAGTGGATCGATGAAGAAGCAACGCGCCAAGCCCAACTTTTTGACATCGTAACCCGCGGCTTGTGTCAGGAACGCCTTAGCCAAGCCATGAACCCTAGTGTATCCTTCTTACTGTCAGGGAGACTTTGGCAAGATTTGCGTCGATGAGACTGTGGTCTTTAAATAGAGAGCAGCAGCAGCCTCCGCCACCTCATCTCTAAAGCAACGAGCAAACTTGGAACGTCTCAGAAAACCAAGATGCAGCTCCCCGTCACGAACCCTAACCCCGCCGCAGGCGAGACGCGCGTAAACATTTACGGCTATGTACCCTCGTTCTCCCTTGGCGTAGCCACCGTTGTCCTTTTTGCCCTCTTTCTCCTCTCTCATCTCCTCTTCCTCGTCCAGTCACGTCGCCAGCAGAAGCGGCAGCGAGGCATTGCAACATTCGAGACCCTCTTCATCATCGGCTGCATCCTCGAAATTATCGGCTACTCGTTTCGCCTTGCAAGCCATGCGCACCCTTACGTCCTTCGCAACTTCATTCTTAATTATTTCATGATCGTCGTTGTGAGTTTCCACTCTTCACTCTGTGATCTCTATCACCCCATTGATCGAAATTTCTGGCACCAAAGTCGCCTGTCTTCTTCTCCGCAGGCCTTTATTATTCTTTCTCTCTCTTCGTGCAAGGGCCTCATCACACGCATCTCCTTCCGCTCTCTCCTCGCCTCCTCGTCGGCCTCTTTGTCGTCGCTGACGTGGTGACCATCGTGATTCAAATCGTCGGCGCAGCCCTCATCGGTGTTGGCGAATCCAACCTGGCTGACGGAAAAGTGCCGGCCGTGACACCAGGTCAAGCCAACAAGATTCTGACGGCGGGACTGGCTGTTCAGTGTGCGTCTTTCTGCGCATTTCTGATCATCGTTTTCACCTTTGTCTGGCGCTTCTCTGCGGCAAAAGCGCACACGCGTCAACCCCTTGCCGAAGAGAAGCAGATCTCAGCGAACAAGGCGCATCACCGTCGAGCATACCTCTTCCTCGTCGTCCTCATCGCGTCCTCCCTCCTTGTCTTTCTTCGAACGACATTCCGACTGGCCGAAGCCTCTCCTGGAGAGCTTAGCCCAATCAGCCTCAACGAACACCTCTTTGCGGCTCTCGAGACAGCGCCAGTTTTGGCCGCCGTCTTTCTTTGGTCCTGTCTTCCTCTTGCCTGGCTACTTCGAGAGGAAGACGAGCTGTAGATTGCAGGCACCAACAGTGCGCTGGTCTGAATTACAAATGTCAATCTTTATATTCTGCTGTTCAACAAGGTCGGGTCCAGCCATGAAAAGAGTCCCCAAAAGTCATTATCGGTTGTCGTGTTGCTAAGAAATTCGTCCAGGTCGAATTCGATAAAAGAGCCTCCTTGCGAGATGGTTGTGTTGCCTGATGCTTTAGATGCCGGAAATAAGTCTGGAAGATTGTTATCACAGCTGCTTGTCGAATGTCTCTGAGGGGCCAAGGAAGAGGATGGAGAAGAAGACGAAGGTGCAGCAGTAGCAGCAGCCGTCACGTCTTGCGCAGCCGGCGTCTCACTATCGGGTGACGAGGGTACCTGATGAGGGCCTAGCGGATCAAAAAGGAAAGGTTGTCCCACATGCAGTGCAGATGAATTCATGGCTTGATCCTTGAGGGCCTCGAGACCTTGCCTCGCCACGGCCGACCGCACCGAGAGCTCGCGTAGAATCTGCCGAGTCGAAGCGAGCGTCTTTGTGGCGACGTTTCTTTCGGTGTCATAATCCCATCCTCCTTCGATTCGGTGCTCGTCCAGGAGCGCGAGATGGCGGCTGATGATGAGTGCACATTGGATGCCCTTGAAAACGTGGTACCAAAGACGAGTGAAGTGTCGGCTATCCGGAAGCAGCCCTTCCTCTTCGGACGCTGCGATTGTGGAGGTAAATAGGCGATGCAACAGCTGCAGATACTTGACGGTGCTCCTGAAGCAAATGTCGCGCGAAGGCCGCCTTGCTGCGTCATGCCATCCTTCGAGGTAGAAAGGCCTGATTCCATCCATCTCGTCAGTTCTCTAATCACGTACAAACAAAGAATCACCGCAACAGCCTCTACTCGCTTGTGTAAGGCAAAGCGAAGATGTTCAATTCCCATACGATCCTGCATGCGCTTCGATCTCTCTCGCGGTGCTACGAAAGGGTCCTTTTGTCGCACATGCAACGTCCGTGGGCCATCAGCTATGAGATAAAGGCCAGCTTGAAAAAGCGACCCTCCTCTCACCGTTTCGTCTGCCAGTGCTGACTCAAAGCCCAGCAGGCCATATTGAAGACGCATGGTCTCCTCGTACGCCAATTTGGGCTCCATCCCATCTCTGTCAGATATCTCACGGGACAAGTCTGCCATCTGCATGGAGATCTGTCAAGATGATTATTTGTTCAGCGTCTCCTCCGAGTGCCAAATTTTTTACATCAGGACCCACCCAGAAGCCAGGTTCGAGAAAGGATGCACGTTGGGAGGAAGATCCAAACAACGAGGGAAATAAGACGGCGCTGGGTCGGATATGGTAGAAGTTCCGACACAGGCCCGTGGCACTGAACCTGATGAACGAACGTCAGTGGCGCTAGAATAATGTCGGACAGGCTCAATTACAAACCAATCAGCCTTGCAAATGGTTGAAAAGAGCCGTATTCGGTCTTCTTTCTCGGCATGAGGCAGCGAAGCTCGAGGTTCGACGTGCTGTTCCGCAGGGTGAGGCCGTGAGCAGGGTCAGATACTCATGAAATGCATAGACACTAACCAGGTCAAGAATCTGCGACAAGTAACATGCTCTGCTGAGCAAGCTGGCTGCGACATAAGGTCCCGCCGCAAGGCCGAGCCCAACAACGAGCAGAAAGTATGCTCGAACCTGATCGAGGCAGGGGCACGTGTCTGGGTCAGACCGGGCGAGGTCGCGCTGACAAGCTTCGAACAGCTTTCGAGGTTCTAGTGAGGGAGCTTCCTCAAACATAGACACCCTTTTCGAAAACGATTCAGTCATCTTCGAAGACCAGCCCAAGAGACGGAGAGCTAGCTGGCTCACACAACGCCGTAGAGGGCAAGCAGAACTGCCCTAAATGCTGGGTCATGCTTATGCCGCCGAGCATGGACCCTCTTCTCCAAGTCATCCTTTGCGATAAAGTGAGAGATGGCTGTATCCTCCGTGAAAATATGTTCTGCACAAAGCTGCAGCAGCTCCTCGTCGTCGGGCAAGAGCATCCCGTCGTCGTCGCAGTCTTCCTCGTCGCCGGGCTCCTGCGCCTCCCTCGACCCCCTTCTCCTTCTCTTCCTCTGCAGTGGCTTCTCCAACGGCTTTTGTGCATTTGGCGCAAAGGTGCACTGCTCAGTGACATTTCTCAACTTACACGGTCCGCACTGCGCCCACCGTACCCCTCTACCTGTCAGTGCTTCCCCGCCCCCGAAGATCCGGCTCCCAGTGAGAACTCACAGGAATAACGCGGTCGCACTTGAGCTTGCGCCTCCGGCACTGCTCGCAGTTGCGCACGTACTTCATTACCTAGGACTCCCCCTTTCCCTTCTTGGATCAGAACACGAGGAGATTGAGGAAGCCGTGGAAAGTGCTCAACCCGTCGACAGTGCCAAATTGCGGTAGGGCAATTCATAATTACCGACCGGTAGCTCAACTTCTCGAGTTCTTATTGATGTCATATTTATTAAGCTCGCGGCGCATAACCCGCGGCTTTCTCTCCCTGCGCATGGGAAGGCACATGACGAGTTGCTGCTCGTGATGAAAAGGTGAGGTGCCGTTCCCCCTTTGCTCCGAGGGAAACGGGTAGCTGGATCACGCGCTCGATCAGCCTCAGACAAGGCTTTAACGAAGAAGCACGGAGACTGACATTCGACTGATATTGCCACAAGCGTCCGAAGTCCGAGAAAAGCTGGTGGCAGTGTGAAAGATGGCTATTGTAAGATGAGACACGATTTCATGGCTTGGATACATAATACAGGGTCGGGTTCAGAGATAGCGCCAGAGGGGGGAGAAGGGAAGGGAAGAAGAGGGTTGACTTCGGGGCGTGAGGAACAAGGTAGGAGAAATGTCCATGAGGATGTGCAAGGTTGTGATGCGTCTCTCGAAGGAGGCTGGCTACAAGACGAGGTAGCCCGCGACAAAGAGGGTGCCAACGCCCAGCGCAAGCGAGACGAGGCCTCGAGCACCGCCGCCATATCTTGCCACGGCGCCAGCGATGTAGTTGTCGTCGGGTCCAAGCGCTTTGCCCCCGCTTCCCGTCGCCACAGGACCAGGCGCGACCTGCGTGCCTGCGAAACCGCCTGTCGAAGGGATTGTAGCTGTTGGGAAGGTCGTCGGCGTGCTCGACGAAGTTTGGTTGCCACTGGCTGTTGCTGTTTGGAATGGTAAGGCAACCTGGTCAGGACTCGAGGTTTCTACAAGTAGCTGCAGAGGCACCAACCAATACTTACAATTGCCGCTCACTGTCACATTTCCGCTCATAGTCGCATTGCCGCTCGTCGAGGACGATCGGTTGCTGCTGTTATTGCTGTTGCTCGACGGCGCCGGTGTCGCGTTCTGCGCCGCGCCCGGTTGGGCCGTCAATAGCAGGATGCACAGCGCCGCAGCGACGACCAGAATCGAAGTGAAACGGTACAACATCGCGCCTTCCTTTTGTCCCTCTCTCCTCAGAGCCTAGCGTTCGTTGCTTTCCTGAGTGCCGTCTCTTCGTCCTGCCTCTCGAGTCCCAAGCCGAGGCGCGTCTCCGTTTGCGCTGTGGGTTTTCTCCTTTCTGTCGTTTCCGATCTAGACTCAGAGGTCAATGCGACTTTGCGGGCGTCTCAATAGTGAACAACTAGTACGTCCGGACTCGTAAGGTCCTTTGCCGTTTCTGAAAGAATGTCGATGGGCGTGTTGGGGAAAGAGAAGGGGGAGCGAGAGGGTGAAACGATGCAACGCCGGTACTCCAGAGGCAAGGAGTCGTCGAACTAGTCCACCGCGCGCCACGAGGGTGAAAATAAACAGGGAGGGCACGGTGCGCTAGAAGAACACGTGGCGGAAGATGAGCTTAATCTTGGCCACCTTCCAACGAGGCCTCCATCGACAACGACGACAACGACGACAGCCGGAAACGAAAGAGAGGAGAAGGGGCAGGGACGACGATGGCGAGCACACTAGGGACCTTTCTCTATGTCGCGCTCCTCCTCGTCAACGCCATTGCCATTCTCAATGAGGAGCGCTTCCTTGCGAGAGGTGAGTTTTCGTTCCAGGACAGCTCTCAGACAATAATAGCTGACTGGTGAGCCCTTGCGCAGTGGGTTGGTCCACGTCGCAGCTCAGCCAGAGGGGATTTAACGGATTTTCTGCGCCGGGTGGCGAACCAGGGATCAAAGAGAGGCTTATAAACCTCATTGGTGCCGTGCGCATGCTCTTGAGGAGTGAGTCATTTGTGAACATAAATCAGCGGCGAAGTTCTATCCGCTCACCTTCGTCACACAGTCCCACTCATCGTTTTCAACATCGTTATCATCATCTACGAGCTCATTTAGAAGAAATTGGGACACGCGGCTGCTGGAGTGAAGTAACAGGCCGCAAACGGGATCAATGGAGTCACTTGTAACATCTATAAAGACAAATTGAAAGGCACCTCGTCCTGCCTCCTGTTGTCGATGAGGAACTCGTGATCGGACCGGTTTCTCGATCATCATGATGTTCAGAACACTACTCCGAGCGCAAGAAGCCGCTGTCGATCCAAGCTTCGACGCATCTCTGGATGTAAGCTGCCGAAAGCGGTCCTCGGAGGACTGTCGCATCGTCCTCGTTCTCCCACCACGCTTCTCTGTGAAATTCTCTGGCATTCTCAGCGTCGTACGACTCCTCCACGACTTCGGCTGGGGAAATGCCGCTGTCGCTGTAAGCGTGTGAGATCTTTCCGAAGCGCTGTTCCCAGACGTGCATCAACTTGAGGGCCGGGTTGCTCTTGGCAGATGCCATAGTAGCTGCTTTCCGCATCTTCTGTAGCCATACGTAAGGGTTTGCGAGGGGAAGATGAAGACCGGCATCTTGAAGTCCACGATGAACCACTGCCCAAGGCGTGACGTGCGGGTGGACGAGGTGAACGAAGCGTGTTCCCTTGCTTCCGCCTTGCGCTGGCGCTGTTGCAATCTTTACCAAGGCTTTTGCAGCCTCGTCGACAGGAAGCCAGCGAACCGGCTGGAAAGAGAAAATGACAGCTTAGCGCTTTTCCCACAGCTTGTTGTGCAGAAAGCAGAGACTCACGGGAACGTCGGCCAAGAGGCCGACCTCCTGCGACCCCCTCAACAGCAACGGCCACGCCTCGACGTCGTTCCAAATGCCAGTCTTTGAATGGGCAGAGAGCTGACCAATGCGGATGACATTGACCGCCATGCCCTCGACTGTGTTCGCCGCGGCATCTAATAGCGCCTCGGCGACCCACTTGCTCCTCGCATACCCCATCTCGAGAGCATCGTTCGAGTCCCGCGACAAACACTCGGGCACGGCCGCCTCCGCGGGCTGCGCGTTGAGGACCGTCGAAACGGAGGAGGCAAAGGTCAAGGAAGGCCGTCGATCGCAAGAGGAGGCAAAGTTAATGAGGTGGATGAGAGTGTCGAATTGCGGTTTCTTTGAAAGTGCAGAGGTTAGCTGATAGTTTCGAGCTTTTTGGAAAGCTAGAGAGAGTGGTACTGACGAAAGCTTCGATAGGCCACAAGAAGTTGACTGATGAGAGAGCGAGGGTCAGTTTCCACCTCTGGTCCATGGAATACAAATTCTCACCAGGCCAGGCGATCTTTATAAAGAGAGAGTGTGTCGACCATTAGCTGGTGAAAGGAAGAGCTCGAAAGGGAAAGAGGCTGCTCACATGAATGACATGGTTGATCTCCTTTCGCATTTGATCAAGGACATGCTTCTTCAGGCCAAAGTCAGGCCTTTCGAATCTGGCCGCCAGAACGACCACCTGCGTTAGCCCAAGATAATCATCCTCCCGAATCACTTTGTCGACGTTGACGGGAGGTAGCTTCCGTCTTCGTAGTGTCTCGTTCAGCTTCACCTTGGCATCTCTATCGTCCAGAGCCCTGACGAGCGCGTACACTTTCTGCGCGCCAAGCGAGCGCAGGCTGCTCAGGACGCTTGTGCCCAGGAAGCCAGTCGAGCCTGTCAAGAGCACAGTGAGATTATTTGAGACTTCGCATGGCGTACCCTGACTCTTGGAGGTGGAGATCTGAGCAGAGTACGTCTTGATGAGTTCCTCGATGACTGCTTTCTTGTCCGCTTGCTCCTTGGAGGTCACAGAGGGGCTAATGCTTTCTTCGTGAGATCGCTCTGAAGTAGTCGCCTTGGCGAGCAAAGTGTCGGTGAGGGCGCCCACGGTATGAGCCTCGAATACAACATTGGCCGAAAGCTCCATTCCGACACCTTTGCCAGTGAGAGGAGCGAGCTTACCGAGCAGAAGAGCACGGAGCCTACTGGCGCCGAGCGAATCAACGCCAAGGTCGACAAATGCCGTATCATCGCTGATAGACTGCGCAGATTCCGCAAGATTGACGACACTGCCGAGCGCCTCGATGATGCACCTGGACGCATCATCTCTCGAGACGATCTTTGACATTGACGCGGGATAAACATCACCTTCCTCGAATCGTCGATACACATCTTCAATGACGCGTGAAATCTTGGGATCCTTGTAGGCTTTTGTGCGCGCCAAGGTACCCTTGTCTGTCGTGGGAAGCTGAACCTCTTCTTCTGTGACGACCTCTATGAGCTCCATGAGGAGCCTCGAATGCGAAGGACAGGTCTTGTTGACGGCCTCGATCGTACTCTTCAGATATTCCAAAACGCCTTCATGCGGTGTCGAAGCTGGGACGATGAGGATAGCGCCCGGCAGATGCTTGCCCGCTCCGACGAAAACAAGTGTGTCGATGATAGGCACACCGTTGGCTGATGCTTCATTCCGGAGGGCCGCCTCGATCGGAACCGGATTCGTCTTCTCACCCGATGAATGCACGAGCGTGTCGTCGAGCCTGCCTTCATGCTTGTAGACGTACGCCTCTTTTTCTGCGCCTGGGAGCTTACGTCTTCGGAAGACGTCGCTTGTGGAATAGGATCCGTCATGGTCGTTACTGTAGGCCTGCAAAGGGGCGTCAATTTTCGGAAATGGACAAGATGCATAAGCCAAACTTACGAGTCCTGGCCAGCCAGCAAGGACCACAAGCTCGTAAAGGTTCTCATCGGGGTCAATGACGTCCCACCGCAAATACTTCTGCCTCGTTTCGATGGGGCGCAAATCTGATCACGGCCAGGCATCGGGAGATGAGCCAAAATTGAGCCAAGAACGCAGCATACAGTGCGCCACTCACACTGCCACAGCTTGTCGTTCTCAAAGTCGCGGTACGATGACATGATTCCTCCAACTTCCGTCATGCCATACAGGCCCGCCAGGCGGACACCTCGATCAACGAGTGTCTGTCCGACTTCCTCGGGACACTGCGAGCCGCCATATGTGACAAGATCGAGTCGCGCGAGCGCATCGATATCCTTGCTGTTGTCGCTCTGAACAAAGAGGCGGAGTGTGAAAGACACCGTGTAGAGATGGCGTACATTGAGCGCATCGTCGTCCGCTGAAGAGGCAGAGGCAGCAGAGAGCGCCGCCGTGATGGCCTGGGCCGTAGGTGGGAGACGAGACATGGGGTAGACGTACACGAGCTTACCCGATGCAATGCCGCGCCACAGGGCTTCGTGACCATGGTTGTGGAAGAGGGGAAGCGTCGTCATGGCTGCCAGACCCATTGACTTGTCCATGTTGGCCACGGCGGATGCGTGGGGAATGGCAAGCACCTTGGGCATGCCAGTCGACCCAGATGAATGCGACTTGTATGCAAAACCCTCTGCAGCAGCGACCGCAGAAAGGGTGCGGGGATTGGTACCACGAAAGGCGAGCTCGAGCTCATCGAGGGACCATTCCTCGTACTCGGCCGCGACGGTGTGCCAGTAATTCGATGTGGAATAGTCGATCATCGGATGGCTCCTTTCGATCGACGGCCTGACCTTTTCGGCGGTACTTGCGTCGTAAAAGGCAACGGAAGTGTCCATGGACTTTAAGAGATGCTCGATGGCAGCCTGGCTGTTGTTTGGCGAGACGAGGGCGCAGCAGTAGCCTCTGTCATGGTGAAGACGCAGATGTCAGCTCTCATTGCACGCTGATTGCATACCACAAATTTTTTTCGCTCACAAGTGCATCAAACACAGCTCGTGGATGACATACGACAATCCATTCGAAGGCGCGACCAATGCAACTGTGAGTTGCTTGCCAGATGTTCCGACGCACGAGAGGACACCTGCATCGACATATCTCTTGGCGAGAAAGAGCGTCAAGGTGTAGAGCTGCCGATACGAGAAGAGGTCATAACGGACCTCAACGGTGCCGATCGTTGGTTCATCTGGAGTGACGACCGTCGAGGGAATACCGATGATTGGAGCATCAGGGCGCTCGCGAAGCTCTCGCTCAAAGAGGCTGTAGAGCGTGGACATTGCTGAATGAAGAAGATGGACACAAAGTTGAACCGAGTCTGTGCTTTCTATGCCCGAAGCAAAGCGAGAGGATGGCGAGAGAGCAAACGAGAACGAGATTCCGCTCTCCTTTATACGCTCACGAATTGCCTTGCTGCTCGAGCTCAGCAATCTGACGAGGCAAGCACATATGCTCTTCTCATCCCATGCTGCCGGGCGTCTCTCGGCGATAAGCACCTATCCAGCCTACTCTGTCCGGATTGCTGACTGCTACAGAATCCAATCTCATGCGCTTGGGCGTCTGCATCGCCACACTCAATCGCTCACTGGACTCTGTCGGACGCATAGAAAAGGCTTCTCTTACTTGACTGACCAGCTGGAGCCTGAGCTCTTTGCCAACTCTGCAGGTGCATGGCTGCACAGGACTTTCTGGCCATTCGTGAAAGGGAGGACATGAGATTGCGTGCAGATGGTATGTCAAATCAAGCGTGCTTGTACAAGGATGCCGGCGAACCTGCGGGCCAAAGGTAGATTAGGAGAAGGGAAGAAGGGGGTGCATGTCAGCAAATATGCCTGAACGCCCATCACTCTTGCTACTGCAGGGACATGACTCAACTCGTCGATGCCTATCGTTTCGCTGCGGTCCACGAGGCCCCGCGCTGTTGCTGCGCCAGCCTCTGCCGCCCTTGCGTGCTGAGCCGTTGTGCGAGTGGCCTTGGAGGACGAGGCAGGAGCGAAGAGCTTGATGCCCTCGCTCACCATCTCGTCGATCTGCCGATCAACGACGCGGTGGTCCGTCAGCTAAGTCGACATCGAATGGGTGCGCCAGGCAGGGCGCAGCCGGAAAAACCCACCTCTTTATCCGTCATCTTTTCTCCGACAGAGTCAACGAGAAGCTTGACGTCTCGTCGAGACAGCCTCGTCGCTTCAGGCGCCCCGGGCCTTATCTCGCTAAGCTTGTCGGTGAAGAGCCGGAAAGAGGCTTCGACGTATCGCCGCTGGCCAGCCGATAGTCGCGCGACGCCTCCCCCTTCATCGTCTTCGTCTCCTTCCTCCGACTCGTCGGACTCGACGGCTTTCCTCGACCTCTTGCGTCTTTGTCCGCCCGTAGCGCTCTTCCTCGGCGTACCCTTCCCTTTGCCCGCCTGTGCTTTCTGCCCAGCGGGCTGACGACGACGGCGACGGGAGACGGCCTCTCCGGGGTCGGAGTTGTAGCTAACCTCGTCGCTGTCTTCCCCACCGTAGCCATCGCTCCCGCTTCCGATGTCAATCGCGTCCTCATCATCGTCTCCGTCTCCGTCGGCATACGCCTGGTTCCTCTTTCTAGACGACCTCGCCGCTGCTCTTCTGGGCATCCTTCGACGCCGACCCGACGCCGTGACATCGTCTTCTGGCTCGTCCTCGTTTTGCTCTTCCTCGTCTTTGTCCAGCTGCTGGTCGTCCGCTTCTTCTACATCCAACAAGAGCACCTCTGCGACCTTCTCGAAGTCGTCCCTGCTAACCATCTTCTCCCCTCGCAGGCCAGCGTTTGCGGCCCCCGCCCCGCCCCGTCTCCTTCTTCTTCCATCCCCCTCCTCTTCATTTGCTTCGCCTCCGCCGACGCCGGCGCCCTCCATCCACACGGCCCTCTCGGCAAAGAGCTCCAGCACCTGCTCATCGTTCGACGCAAGGGACAGATTCTCGAGCGCAAACGGAATATGCGATAGCGGTATATGCGTCGGCTCGCTCCTTGTCCCTTCTTCTCCTTCCCCCTCCTCTTCCTCTTCGTCTGTCCCTTCGGGCATGAATCCGCCCGCAGCAGCAGCAGCACTTGCTTCTCCATCTCCTTCTGGCAAGAAGCCTCCACCGCCTCCCTCCTCATCGTTATCTGGCAAAAAGCCGCCCTGAGGAGCTGCTGCTGTTTCTTCATCATCATCGGCCACGAAGCCGCCCGGAGCCTCGCTACGCTTCGCCCCGCCGCGTCTGAGCGTCACCTTGAGCCTGCCCGCGCGCCCGCCGCCGCCGCCGCCGCCGCCGCTGGTGCCCGACTGCCCCCGTCCTCGTTGGCGTCGACGCCGCTCGCTGGCTCGATCGAGCGGGTCGGGCAGCACAGACGGATCGTCGCCCGCTTCGACCCGCCAGGAGCGCCAAGCGTCCGTAAACGCGGCCCGGACCGAGACCATGGATGAACCTTATATGATGAGTGCGTGCGTGCGTGCGTAGCGTCGCGTCAAGAGTGACGAAAGAGGTTGCAGCGCGGAAATTCTCGAGGTGGAGGAATGAGGGCAGGCAGGGCGCGGGAGACAAAAAGGGCATCCATCTCTCGAGCGACGTGAATGTTCATTATTATGTGATGATTGATGTAAAGTACAGTATTGGAGGGGAGAGCGGAAACGGGGTTAGTGAAGTTGTGTTTGTCGGTCTAGGTTATGTGGCACTTCTGTGTGTCATATAATGCGGAGGGAAGGGAATGTAGGATTCTAAGCAATGTCCGTGGCAGGTTCAAACGACCCCTCGGACCTCCCGTTGATCCTTCTGGTTGACGATGCCCATTGACATGCCGTGCTTGGCGCGAAGCTCGAGGAGAAGCCTCTCCAGTGTAAATAGGTGGCTGTCGGCCACATCGGGCGACAGGAGACGGCAGGCCGTGGCCAGCTTGAGTACGTAGTCGTCATTGCGACCGCTATTGAAAGGTGTTGGGGTCAGCCGTCGGTACACACGACGTTGAAAGACAATCAAGCAGGGCTTACCTGGGTCCCTCGCACGAAAAGATGAGGTCAGCGAGCGAAACAAGGCTCTTGGCAGGCCCAACGAAGGCTTCGTTGTCCGGCAGGCCGACATAGAGAAGGGCATCGTCCATCAGCACATTCTCGTTGCCATTCTCGTCGAGCCCATACACAGGCGTGCTCTGGGCGGTGTAGCCATTCTTCTCGCGGTCGTCGAGATATGCTCGCACCTCGTTCTCCTTTCTCGGATCAATGGTCCAGGCCACGCCCCATACAATATCGCCCTCGGGCGAATCGTCATCGGGGATGAACTTTGCCCAGTCCGACGAGCGGACCAGAGTGGCGACGCGACCGGGGTGCTCCGGCGTACCACGGTGATCGTTGGACGACTGGGCAAAGCGGCGGGCGTAGCCCTTGACATAGCCCACCGTGCGACCAATGGTGTGCGGTGGCGGCTTGAAGATGAGCGATCCATAGGCAAAGACAATGCCCACGCCCGTCGGACGATAAGGCTTGCACCTGGAGGACAAGAGAGCTTTCAGACTGCTGCGCCTGAGACAATGCAACGAATCACTCACTGAGGAGCTGTATCAGCCTTTGGGCCTTTGGCAGCAATTGATGCTCCATTCGCAACCTGTCCGCAGTTTGCGTATCGAGGGCCATACACGAGCTTGGAGCCATGCGCGTGTCCATTTGCAACTCCATTGGCGTGTCCGTTGACATGTCCATTCGCATGGCCATTCACCAGCAGACCATTTGGCCTGAGCACATGCCCGTCTGCAACGAGGAAGAAGAAGAAAGCCTTAATCTACATGCTCTTCGCGCGGGACAAGCTCCGGTCTGGTTACCCACTCTGGTTTCCGTGGTTTATTCTCTTGAGGTATGCCTCCCAGCCTGCCTCTCTATAGCGGTTGCCCTGCTTGCGGACGCTCTCAACGGCCGCTTGCCTCGCCGTATCATCGCTCTCCTTAGTCAGGGCCCCATAAATGCCCCTGCCCACGATAATGACATCGCAGCCCGACTTGTAAATGACTTCGTCAGGCGTGCGGTACTGCTGACCCATTGCATCGCCGGTGACATCGAGACCAACGCCAGGCGTGAGGACGAGGAAGTCGCGCTTGGGCTTGTCGGCCGGTGCGTACTTGTCATCGACGCGGCCCATGGCAATGAATCCCATGACAAAGCCAGACTCGTTGTTATAGGCTGCCTCGACATTCGCCCGTGTGTATTCACCCGCGGCCAGTGTCCCCTTGGAGCTCATCTCTGCCAGCAGCAGCAGCCCGCGGCCGAGCGGCTCTCCGACTTTTGCCAGGCCGTCGATGATGCCTGTGCCTGGGACCAGGTGGGCATTTGTGATGTCGGACCACGAAGCAATCTTGTGGACGCCGGCAGCGTACTGCAGCGAGACGGTGTTGCCAATGTCGGCAAATTTGCGATCCTCGAAGATGACAAAGTCGTGTTTCTTAGCAAGGGCAGTGAGCTGGACGACGAGATCCATGTCGAAGTCCTCGACGATGTCGATGTGAGTCTTAATCGCGAGCATGAGGGCCTAGAGTCAGCACAGGGGGCACTAGAAGAGCAATCGATTCTTCCCTCACAGAACTCACCTTTACCATGATAACAGCCTCTCCGACGGCATCGACAATATCCAGAAGGTCCTTCTTCTTCGTCACATCGACGGACACGCACAGGTTCGACTGCTTTCGCTCCATCGTCTCGAGGATGTTGCGTGCGGCGGCATTTTTGGCAAAATTGCCCACCCGGCTGCCGTATGGCTGCAACGAGGTGCTCGCCTGCGAAGATGCCGTCATTTGGACTATGTTAGGCTCAATGCGCTGGGATGAGGACCAGCGGAGAGAGATCGTGGAGAGAGAGAGGAAAAGGGAAGGGGACAGTGGACTCGATCGGCGCCCGCGTAAGGGAAAAACAAGGCTTTTCAGAGGTAAAAAAAGTCCAAACCTGGACAGGAAATATTAGGCTTCAGGCGCCGCCGATTGCGTGCTGCTCAAACACTGCTCGCCATACCGATCTGGCGTCACAATCTCCCGTCACGCTAGAGCCTCTGCACCGGCATGCTGCCCGCTGCTCGCTCGACCTGTCAGCCGGTCCCAGCGATTTGGCTCATGCTGTTTCTGTCATGCTCCCGTATCTGTCATGCACATGCTTAAGCTGTCATGCTCCAGGCCAAACCCTCTTCTACGGTTTAACGCGTACAGGCTTGAGCGAGCTCTCCACGTGGACATGTCTAAACCCAGGACGCGCTTAAAAGCTCGCTCGGCCGAGCGTTCTACTAAGTGAGAAGCCATGTGGGATTCGAATTTCGAGCGCGTCGCCATCCCAGTTCAGCATGCCTATGACAAAGTGATTTTCGCTCCAGAGAGGTGGAATACCATCAAAAATCCAATCCTAATCCTAACCCCAACCCTAACTCTTACCCCAACCCTAACCCTAACCCACCCTAACCCTAACGGACCTACCCCTAACCAGCGCCGACCTTCTAAGATCTAGGGAATTGGGACCAGCCGAAATCTTGCATTTTCTCGGCCGACGAGAATGACAGAAGTCAGCCCAATGACAAAGCGTCGGGCGAGCGAGTTTTTATGCGCATCCCTAAACCCATGTGTGAGCTAGGGGTAATTCGGCCGAGCTGAGGCGCGCTCCAACGAAATCAACACTTGGTCGTTGGTCTCAAGTCGCAAGGAGCAAGCAAGCCCTAATCTCTTCAGGCCAAGCGAACGACCGACGACGACGGGCGGCGACGAGACGTGACAGCGAGCGGTACAGCGGGCAAGACATATCCTTTCACTGGCTTGAGAGACGCCGATTCATTTCTTCGACTGCAGCAATAGAGAGAGATAGCCATGTCGGGAAACGTCAAGGTCGTCTCGCGTTTCCGCCCGCCCAACGCGCTGGAGCTCAGGGAGGGCGGCGATATCGTAGTCGAATTTGACGGAGAGCTTGGCGCCAATGATCACAATAGCGTCAAAGTCAAAGGCGCTACAAGCGAGGCGGGCGGCTTCGTCTTTGACAAGGTCTTTGACATGCAGACGAGGCAGCAAGACGTTTTTGAATACGGCATCAAGGAGACTGTCGATGGTATGTGCAGCCTACTTCGAGCAAGAGTCAGGACATAGCTGATCATTGGAGCACAGATGTCATCAACGGCTACAATGGAACCATCTTTGCCTATGGTCAGACCGGATCCGGAAAGACGTTCACGATGATGGTGAGCTTCATCTAGTCTCTTCTTTGTGCTCAGCATGCTTACCCCGTCACTTGCGCGTAGGGTTCCGACATCGATGACGACAATTTGAAGGGCATCATTCCGCGCATCACGGAGCAGATCTTTGACAGCATCATGGCATCGCCTCCAAATCTCGAATATCTCGTCAAGGTCTCGTACATGGAGATCTACATGGAGAAGATCCGTGATCTGCTTGCCCGTAAGTCTAAGCTTTTCTGTTGGGTGCCGTAGAAGGAGCTGTGCTGACAAGATTGGTAAACAGCGCAAAACGATAACCTCCAGATCCACGAAGAGAAGAATAGAGGGGTATACGTCAAGGGTCTCTCAGACTTCTATGTTGGGGGCCAAGAGGATGTGTACGCCATCATGAAACAGGGAGGAGCTTCTAGAGCTGTCTCGTCAACAAGTGAGTGCAAGTGCCTGAGTAGATGCTTCCTCGGACTTGATTCTAATCTTCCTCAACCAGACATGAATGCCGAGTCCTCGAGGTCACACTCCATCTTTCTCATCACGATCCAGCAGCGCAACACAGAGACGGGCTCCCAAAAGACGGGCAACCTCTACCTGGTCGACTTGGCTGGTTCCGAAAAGGTTGGCAAGACGGGTGCAAGCGGTCAGACGCTAGAAGAGGCGAAGAAGATCAACAAGAGTCTCAGCGCACTCGGCATGGTGATCAATGCGCTCACTGACGGAAAGGTGAGTCGAGTCGCTTTTATCATTGTACAGTGAATGCTTACAGACTCGTCGCAACAGTCGTCACACATCCCCTATCGAGACTCGAAGCTGACGAGGATTCTTCAAGAATCTCTTGGTGGTAACTCAAGAACCACGCTTATCATCAACTGCTCACCGTGTGCCTACAACGTCGATGAAACCATCTCAACCCTGCGCTTCGGTGTCCGAGCGAAGTCGATCAAGAACAAGGCGCGGGTTAATGCCGAGCTTTCCCCAGCCGAGCTCAAGATGCTGTTGAAAAAAGCGCAGGCCGATCTTGCCAAGTACCAAAATCACTGCCAGAGTCTCGAGGCCGAGCTCAAGACCTGGCGATCGGGAGGCAAGGTGCCCGAAGCCGAATGGGCGGATCTGGGCAAGGCATCTTCCATCGCACCTGCAGCCGAAGCACCTGCCAGCGTGGCCGCCAAGTCATCGGCAGCTCGTCCCCAGACCCCCGCTGGGCTGCGCGATCTGGCGTCGAGACCAGAGACGCCGACGGCCGTGTCGATGGACAAGGACGAGCGCGAAGAGTTTCTTCGGCGCGAGAACGAGCTCGGCGACCAGATCGCCGAGAAGGAGAGTGCGCTCAAGACAGCCGAGGCTGCCCTCCGGGAGGCTCGAGACGAGCTCAACTTCTACAAGGAGCAAGAGGGGACGCTGTCCAAGGACAACAAGTCCATGGCTGGTGAGATCAACGAGATCAAGCTGCAGCTGGAAAGGGTCACCTACGAGCACAAAGAGGCGGGCATCACCATGGACATTCTCAAGGAGCAGAACCAGGACCTGACGGCCGAGCTAGAGGAGGTGCGCAAGAGCCTCAACGACACTGCCAGGGGAGCGGGCGGGCAGAAGGACCCGAGCCAAGAGGGCAAGGAGCGCAAGAAGCAGGAGCGCATGGCCAAGATGATGGCCGACTTCAATGCTGGCATCGTGTCGGACAAGGAGGAACAGATTCGCGAGTCGCTCGCCAAGCTCGAGCTTGCCAGCCAAGAGGCCGGCAGCAACGGTCTTTCTGCAGACGACATCACCACGCTTCGGGAGCAGCTGCTGGAGAGCCAGACATTGGTGCGAGAGCAGCACGAGCGCGTACGGCAGGCGCAAGAGGAGAATGAGCTGCTGGTCGCCCGTCGCGATGAGATGGAGACGAGGCTGGCCCAACTTGAGGCAGAGTACGAGGAGCTGCTGGACAAGACAATTGCCGACGAGGACAATGCGGCGGCAGCGAACGACGGTGTGATTGCCGAGCTGCGGACCAAGCTGGAAACGCAGTACGCGTCCAAGCGCGATGCCCAGGCAAGCGAGATCAGTGACCTGAAGAAGCAGATCGAGCTCAAGGCCAAGGAGACAATGAGCCTGCAGGCTGCCAACGAGAGCCTCAAGGGCGCAAACGAGGAGCTCAAGCGGGCGTTTGCGGTCACGACGGCCAGCGTCGAGGGAGGCAAGAATCTGGCCGAGAGTGCGCGCGAGATGGAGCGTGTACGCAAGACAATGACGACGCAGCTGGCCGAATTTGACAACATGAAGAAGAGCCTGATGCGCGATCTTCAGAACAGATGTGAAAAGGTGTGTTTACGCAGCTATGGAACATTGTGCGGTATCCTTGTCGCTGACGAGTCCGTTTTCACAGGTCGTTGAGCTGGAGATCTCGCTCGATGAGAGCAAGGAACAGTACAACAATGTCGTTCGCTCGTCCAACTCCAAGGCGCAGCAGAAGAAGATGGCCTTCCTGGAGCGCAACCTCGAGCAGTTGACCAACGTGCAGAAGCAGCTCGTGGAGCAAAACTCGACGCTCAAGAAGGAGGTGGCCATCGCTGAGCGCAAGCTCTTGGCAAGAAACGAGAGGATCCAGGCTCTGGACGCCCATCTCCAAGACTCAAAGGAGAAGCTCGAGGTGCAGAACAGGCACTACGAGGACCAGTTGGCGTCGGTCAAGCAGATGCTCAACCAGGCTCGCGAGCTCAAGAACAGTCAGGCGGGCGGCATGGCCATGGGCTTCGGACGTATCGCGAAGCCATTGCGCGGCGGCGGTCCCCAGGCCCCCGCCAACACTGGCGTGCCTCAGCCAGGACCTCATGCCCCGGTCCGGTATCCCAACATTGGCAACGCGCAACCAGGAGGTTACGATGCCAATTCGCCAAAGGGAAGGTCTTCTTGGTTCTTCTCATCGTCCAAATAGACGGATTACCTCTTCTTTGCTCGCCTTCCTCCCTTAACATTGTATACCCTCCCTAACAAAGCTCTTCAACAATCTTTCCAAGTTACTAGTCTCATCTTCCTTCCGCCTCTTCCTTTCTTGTTCACATCCTTTCTCTCCGGTGTGAGTCTCTGGGAAAAGACAATCATGGTTGATTGAATAGATGTAGATGCTTGTATTTTGGTGTGCTCGAAGAGCATGTCCGATCGCGGTGATGTGTTGACATAGTACAGGGTAGGTGAAGAGGGAGAGAACCGGTCGATCCATTTACTTCTGGTACGACCAGACACCACGGAGGACTGCAATGCCGTGAGAGAGGAAGAGTCAGCGTCTGTGATGATCTTCTCAGCAGAGCAAAGAAAAGAAAGAATGTCGCGACAATATGACACTCGAGGGCCCACGGGTGAAAGGGGCATCCAAGCTCTAAATGTGCCGCGATAACGCTCTTCGCTCGGTATAGAGCCCCTCCAAAAAAGAGGAAACCCTAGGAATCCGGCATCCCCGACCGTTTAAGGGAGGCCATTTGGGTGCCGACTGTCATGAGCGATCTCTCCTCCTCGTTCCTCCTTCTCTCCCAGTATCCTTCCTTGCTCCTTCCTCCGTCCTTTCGCTCTCTCACTTCATCTGAAACGCTCGCTGCACGCTGATCAAAGACACTCACGTCCCTCCTTGGTGGCAAGCCTGTTAAGGCTGTCATCGCTCTCGCCCTGGGCCCTGACGTAGCCGCTGAGGGGGAAGGCGGTGGTCGAGCCCGGGATCATCTTTCCGCTCTCGTCGACGTCGGCAACGGCGATCTGAACCGAGGCGTGGTCCTTGGACTCGATGATGCGGCCAGTGGCGGCGCACTTGCGGGGCACGTACAGATCGATGAGGTCTCCCTGTTGCAATGGGAAGAAGCCTGGGTTTCAGCAAACCAGCCTTTCACATCGACGCAAAGAAACGAGACGGCGGCAGCCAGAGCAGCAAATGTATGCACCGGTGCATGCATTGCCGTCGTCGGGCATCGTGATGGCCAGCTCAAGAGGTACTCACGCGGTCGTTCTCCATTTTGTCGTTGGGTTAGGTGCTTTGGTGATGGTTCGGTGGTCGTCGTTGTTCTTGAGCGTTGAACGGGCGCTGCAAAATCCGCAGCGCGACACGTGTTTAAAATGACACAAGTGCGGTTCATGAGATGACAAAATAATTTAGAATGCAATTTCGATTCTGACCTTTGCTTTGTCGTAGGAGACGGTTGCCCTTTTCGATGGCAGATGGCGAAGCTTGCTATCGCGGACCTTCTTGAGTTCGGTCTTGTAGCAAGGCTCTGCACTGCGCTACGGAGTGCTCAGACTGCATTGAATATTTGCCTTCCTCTCGAGATTCTCATTCAGACAAGCTTGCACCACTACAAGAGCGTAGGTGCCGCAATGGATGCTGCGTCGCGATGCATTCCCCGGTGATCACGAATTGCTTCGCCGAATGGAAAGTGCCATCGAGAGAGAGAAGCAAGTAAGCATGCATGGTGATCTATCCGGCGTTCGGTGAGCCATCAGTGGCTGCCGGGTGAGCTGCAAGCCGGAGAGGTAGGTGGTCTTGCCTGATTCTTGAATAGCTCCGCGGACCACCGAATCTAGATGGATTCATGCGTGGAAGCTATTCGTACCAAACGCGACAGCTTAAATAGTGACACTTCCCCAGATTTTTCTCTCCGAGGCAGTTCCTTTCCAATTCAAGAGGAGGTCCGACGGAAGATGCGCATCGAGGAGGTCCACGCCCACACGCCCTTTACGATCGGCGACAGCTGGTCGAGCGATCCGGCGCTTCGACAAAGCGTAGGTCGCTACGTTTTATCAAATATCCGAGACACGGGTTCTGAAGAAGCGACGCGCATCTTTGACTCGCTCGCGGCCTTCTCAAGGACGAGCGCGACGGACGCGCGGGCGCTGGCAGCTCTGTGCGATCGTCCGGGCACCCACCCTCGGTTGGTGCAGTACGACGAGTGGGGAAAAAGGGTAGACCGTGTGGAGACGAGCGAAGGCTGGAGAGGTCTGAAGGACTTCATCACAAGACACGGCCTTGTTGGCGAAGGCTATGGCGAGAAAGGACAGGAATCTTGGCTGCGAGGTCCAGAGAGCCTCGGCGGCCGTGCCAAGCTCGGCAATCTGTGAGTTATCCACTTAGGCATACAGCACAAGTTCTTGCTGACCGTGATATGGGCATACAGTGCACGCCTTTACGAGTTCGTGCGTTTGTTGATCTTCGCTCCCGACTCGAGGGTCAGCCTCTGCCCCTTCTCCATGACCGACGGTGCAATCAGGAGTGAGTTCTTTGTCTTTGTGGAAATCCACGTCGACAGCTGACGATGGTCAATAGCTCTGGAGCTCTACGGGACACCCGAACAGCAGGACAAATACCTCCCGAAGCTCTTGTCAAGGGACCCAAACGAGTCTTGGCAGACGGGGCAATGGATGACTGAGACGATCGGAGGCTCAGACGTTGGCATGACAGAGACCCGCGCTGCCCCTCTGATGGATACCGGCCGCCCTGCAAAGGCAGGAGACCTGGTGAGATTAACTTTTGAGAAGACGAAAGAACAGGTGCTGACATCTTCTAATTGCATAGTACCTCGTGAATGGCTTCAAATGGTTCTCATCAGCCATCGATGGGCACGGGTCTCTTGCACTGGCACGCACGAATCCCGACAACTCCGTTGGATCCAAAGGCCTGTCGCTCTTCATCGTTCCCCTCCATAAAAAGAACCGTCCAGCCATCCCGGCTGGTGCATCGTATGTCGAGGAGACGGCCGCTTCGAGCCCCTTCAACGGGATCAAGGTCCATCGTCTCAAGGAAAAGTTCGGCACGCAAAATGTGCCCACCGCCGAGTTGGAGCTCAGCAATGCTGTTGGCGAGCTTATTGGCCAAGAAGGCCGAGGGGTGGCCCAGATCGCTTCTGTGCTCAACATCACCCGACTCTACTGTGCCACCAACTGTGTCTCTGCGGTTGGCCGTGCCCTCCAGATCGTTGATTCCTACTCGCACACACGGGTTGTCGGTGTCCGTGGCAAGCCAAAGCTGCTCAAAGACATCCCTATGCATGCAGACCGGCTTGCGCGCGTGGCTGTATGCTACCGCGCCCTGCTCCAGCTTTATCTCTCTACGACGCTCCTCCTCGGCAAGTCAGAGACGGGCTCGGCCTCAGACCGCGACAAGCGGAGGCTTCGCATCCTCACGCCGACTGTCAAAGCCTTCACCTCTTATCGTGCGACGGAAGCAATTGCGCAATGCATCGAGGCGATGGGTGGGCAGGGCTACATGGCCGAAAACCCAATGACAGAGGCGTTGAGGGACACGATGGTGGAGCGCATCTGGGAGGGAACGCCAAGCATCCTCAGCCTCGACGTGGCAAGGGTTATGCAACAGACCAAGGGCCTCGCGTTGGAAGAGTGGCTAGAGGACTGCACAAAGTCGGTAGAGGCGTCGTTGTCCGTCTTGAAGGCTGCCGACGCTGGCAAAGTCGATCAGATCAAAAAGAAGCTCGATGTCCTTTGGACCACGATCAGGCAAGTCTACGCCGAGGGCCGAGCACTGGACAAGGGCGACAATCGCTATGCTCGCAACCTTCTTGAGCTCATTGCTATCCTTACATGTGGCGTGGGCCTGCTCGAGCAAGCAGCTTGGTCATCGTCCAGCAGCTCACAATCTGCCTCCAACATCGAACGGGGAGATCCAGCCATCGAGCTCGAGACCGCGAGGAGGTGGCTCTGCGGCGTCGAAGGAGGCCTTGCTACCGCCTTGGCCGAACTTGATGTCCTTTCACTTGGCAGCAATCTCGAGAGCACTGACAGGCAACTGGCCTTTGCTCTCTCGTCTCGGCTCTAGTCCTTTCATCAGTCTACTTTGTTTCTTTGACTTGTATTGTATTGGAATGATCACTCTCTACTGTCTCAGAACAGTTGCAACCACACCCAGAGAGCGATTGCCCAGCCAATGACCTGGACCCATTCCACCATCGGCCCTCGATCGAGCCGCACACCTTCGCCCGTGTAGCTCAGTCTCCGAATCTCGCGCCAGGCTCGGCTGCCGAAATTGCTGCTAGTCCCCATTCCACCGCTCAATCTTGACGAGATCCTCTTGTAGCCGTTCCCACCCCCAATCGCCAAAAATTTGGAGATTCGCCCCAGTAGCGTCGTCGCTGGTCTTGCCGAGGGTGAGGCAGCATTTCCAAAGCGGATTTTCTTGCCTGCCTTTCGCGGCTTCCCTCGCGAGGTCTTTTGCTTGCTGCTCTTCTTCCGTCGACTGCTACTGCCCTCGCCCGATGTAAAGGCTGTCGTAGCACGGCTTTTCCCCTTAGGCCCTCCCTTCCTGCCCTCCTCGACGAGCGCCCATGACTCCCCATTTCCATTTGTCTCCTCATCATCCCTGTCAAAGACCACATCGCCCTCCTCATGCTGGTCGTCTTCGTCGTCTTCACCTTCTGTCGAATCGCCCTTTTCGTCCTCGTCTTCCTCATCGTCGCCCACCTCGAATCTTTCTGCCTCCGCGGCAGCTTCTCCAACTTCGTCGTCGTCCTCATCTTCATCGGGAATCGAACCGAGGGCGAGCCTCCACCCGACAATAGTGTCCCGAACAGCCTTGTCGAGCCGATGCATGAATCTGAAGCGTCGATCCAGCACGAGGGCCAACGTGACGAGGAGGAGCCAGATTGGGTAGGAAAGAGTCCAGATGGTGAGTTGCGACGGCAGCGAGCAGGGAACATAGGCAAGCGAAGGGGCATACGAGGCATTGGTCCCCGCCAAAGCTGGGTCGTTTGCAAAAGGGTGAAATCTGCCGCCGGGACGATCATCGACCAGGTCCAGCCTGAGGCGCGCGTAGCCAGGCCGTCGAACGCCCTCAGTCATGCTCATGGACTTGACTGTGAGCTCCATTGCCTGGCCCTTTTCCATCTCGGGCGCATTCCGAATCCCCTGACTTGTGAGGCCCTCTCCCGGCATCTGGGCCATTTCCGTCAAGTCTCCCATGCTAGCGTATGAGTGCACCACCTCACAATGGTCGTGGTCGTCTCCCGAGAAGATGACGTCTGGCTTGATGGAGCGCATGAGCCACGAAGAAACGTCGGGCGAGATCAGATTCCGATACGTCTGCTCGGCATCGCTTCCTTGAACGAGGCTTCCCGAATGCTCCCGTCTGATCTTGTGCTTGGCCCCAACCCAATTACATTCCTCCTCTTTTTCGCGCCAGAGTGGGATGTGCGAAAAGAGGATGCGTTGAGGCTGCAGCTGCGCCTTTTTGGGGTTCCACTCTGTCTTGATCGCCTCGACAAAGTAGTATGTCGAGGGGAAGCGCTTGATAGCCTCCTTTGTCCAGCCGAGAGGGTTGCTCGTCGTGGCAGAGGCGTCCTCGAGCGCCTGCATGCCTACGAGCTCTGTAGAATCGACAATGATAATCTCGTGCGAAGGGCGCTCAGACGTCTTGTCGAGATACAAGGGGATCCTCGCATTGATCGTCGGGTTCAACTCTTCGTTCTCATCCGTCACTGTGACCCTGGGCCCGCTACCCTTGGGTCTGACAAGCACGTTTGTCCGATCCCCTCCCACGTCTGCGTCCACGCTCCACGTTGTCCTGCCCCAGCCATTACGTCGAAGGCCCCAGTGCGCCAGCCATCGGCTCCTGCTGTCATCGTACTCTTCCCGCAGCTTCGCGTCCTGCGACACAGGTAGCCGAATGTCGTGGTTCCCCGGCATGTAAAGGCTCGGCACCGTCTCCGGAACGGCGGCACGGAATCTGCCCACGAGGCTCGTGTAGTCCTGCATCTCCTCTACGCTCCTTACGGGCCGCCTCGCTCCGTCCAGCAAGTCGCCCAGGACAATCGTGCCCGTCGTCTGCCTCCTGCCGGAAGGTCGCACGACAGCCATGTGCGCTTTGCGGACGTATGTGTCGCTGGCCCATCGCACGGCTGCCTGGCTGATGCGCCGCCATGGCCAAGGGAGCGCCTTGAGCCGCGGGTAGGTCTCGACGTCGATGAGCTGTGGGTCCGCAAGCAGAACGATGCTCACGGAGCGCAGCGGTGCGTTGTACTTGAGCGACGACGAGCCGGGCGACGTGGGTGGTGTCGCTAGGCAGGATAGCGCCGAGGCGTCGAAGATCAGCCGCTCATACCAGAAGACAACGAGCAGAGCGATGCTTCGCAAGAGATGTATCGAGCCTCGGGCCGACAGCAGGCGACCAAGGACGTCAATTGCTGTCGCTGTCAACGTCCGTCTCGATGGTCTCTGCATACCGTCCGAGAGGGCCTCTGCAAAGAGAGACAAAGTGAGCGAGCATATCAAACCGGCGCGCGCAGAATAACACGTGTTTTAGAAGCCTTTGATGTTGGACTGTGCACGGACTTCCTGCGAGATACCGCTGCAAAGAGAGAGCCGCTTTTGGAAGACAGACAAGAGGACCCGATCTTGCTCCCTTCTGCCTCCTCAAAACTCCTTCCTCTTCATCTCTGGAAGCGATAACGATGACTTCGCAAGTTCGCAGTATCCTCCTGCCGGCTCTTGCCGCCGTCGCACCCGCGGCCTATCACCTGTACAGCCCAGCCGCGCAGACCGGAGGACGCGTCACCAACGTCCCTTCGCTGCTTCCTGTCGGGTGAGTCTAGCCGCGCTCGCAAGCCCTTTCTCTGCTAGCAATGAGACATAGAGTTGACCATTGCAGCGTTTCAGGTATGGCTACATCCTCCTCATGCTCCTCTCCACCTCCACAGTCGTGTCCATCGCCGCTCGACGCCCCTCCACGAGTTCGAGCCCGTACTCGTCGACCTTCAACTATGCGCTCCCCACGCTCCTCGCCGGCCTCTTTTGGCCAAAGCTCGCGCTGGCCCTGGCGAGCGCGCAGTTCTCGGGCATCATTCTGACGCTCCTCTTTGCTCCATCGGCTGCTGCCCCAAGCGGCGCGGCTGTCGAGAAGGGAGCAGTCCAGACGCAGGGAGGTGCGTCGTTGGCCGTCGCAAAGAGCATCGAGGCGGCCGCGTTGCTCGGTGAGTGGGAACCCCCTACATACTTAGGCTTCTTTCAGCTCCCCGATTGGCTGAACGCTATGCTATGCAGGCCTGACCGTGTCAGCTGCGACAGCGGCACTGCTTCTCGTACAGGCCCACGAATTGAAGCTCGACGACGTTGCACCTTCCATCCGTCTAGGCTAATTTAGGCAGCATTCACCCAAACTACCTCATCCTCATCCTACGCTTGTTCATCATTAGAGATTGCATGAAGTGTAAAAATGTATTTTGCAAGTGTGCTATTCCAGCCGGTCCTTGCCCAAGATGGACCTGATCTCGCGCCTGGTGTCCAGCCAGCTGATGAAGCTGGGAAAGTAGGCCTCGTCGTCCCTGCTCCTCACAAGACCCTCTCTCGACAAGCTGTTCGTCCTGGTGCCCCTGCTCGTCACCGACCTCGCGTCGTCTTCGCCCTCTTCCGACGTAGAGGCCGTAACAGCGTGCTGCTGCTGGATCTCGACCATCCTCGCCATCTTCTCGAGCAAGTAGTTGGCAAATACAATCAGATACCCATATCGCTTGAGGTAGTTGGTGTAGACGCGTGTGAGGTGCCGCTCTTTTTTGCTGCCCGCATCGGCATTGTCGGCCCGGAGTCTGCTGTCGTAGATGGCCTTTCTCAAGTTTTGCACCGCGTCCATGCGATCGATCGACATGTCGGTGAGCCGCTTTGCGAGCTTTCCGTGCCGGAGGATGGCGACGAGCTGGAGCACGGTCCGGTACTCGCCCTGGAGCCACAGCTCGTCCTCGCGGTTGTCCAGCGCGTCCTTGGGCTCCGACATGCCCCTGCCCTCTGTGCCGTTGCTGTTCGCGGGCGCTTCGAGGCCGAGACCCGACCATGACGCCGAAAGGTCCTGCACCGACGCGGCCGAGTTCGAGAGGGCAGAGGTGGAGCCGGGGAAGAGCAATTCCTCACCCCAGTGGTACACCGTCGAGACCAGGCTCGCAATGACCATGCCCGTCGTTGTCCTGCCCCTTCCCATCTGGCAATTCCACACGCAGGCTGCCTGCGTCCGCAGCGCCAGCTTGACCCGCTCCTCCATCTCGTTGAACACCGTCGGGATGGGCGCCTGCTCGTCGGTGACAGCCACCCGCGCGTACTGGACCCTGTAGCCCTCGCGCTGCACCATCGCATACATCTCCTTGGGCGTCAGGACATCTTCCTCCTTCACCGTCTCCCAGACGGGGATGATCTCAAACGAGCCAGTCGTCGAGTTCACCACCTCGTCGTGCAGCAGCAGCCGGCCATCGTAGCGCTTTGCCTCGGCCAGGACGTCCGCTTTGAGAGCAGCCTCCATGCGCTCGACAGCCTCCGTCGTGATGCCCGTCGCTTCCATGTTTGTGAATGGCTGGTCGGCCAGACGCAAGACGTGAGGTCGCCCATTGATGACGCACACGGCCTCTTCTCGCAGACTCGTCGCCACCACACCGCTGCTCTCGTCTCCGCCCGCGGCAGCACTCGACGCCGAGGAGGAAGAGGAGGGCCCCGCGCCCATCCTTTCAAGTCCCTTTCTCAGGCCTTCAATCGACGGCATGCCGTGTCCCCACGTCTCAATCGGCGGTGGCGCGAGCGAAGCAACCGACCAGGACATCTGGTCCTGGCCCGTAGCCGGCGTGGGTGGGATCGAGCTCGAAGACGGAGACCAGCCGAGGATGGGTTGCACGCCCCTCAGATTCGGAATGCCCGGAATCTGGCTGAGGTTGATCTTCGCCAGGCCTGGGAACATGTCCGACTTGAGCATCGTGTATGCGCTCAGGATCGTGCCTGATCGATTGCTGACCACCTCCTGCACCTCTTCGTTCAAGGCCATGCCCACCGCCGACGAGCTGTCACCGACCTTTTGCAGCGGCGTGATGGTGGCAATGTCGATCTTGTCAAACTCGTTAGACAGCGTGCTAAACACGGGCTGCTTCTTAACAAAGGACTCAAACGAAGGCACCTCCTCGACCGTCGTGGGTGACGTGGCGTCGAGGTAGGCCTGAAAGACGATGAGCTCAAAGTACCTTCGAAGGTTATGGACGCCGCTCTGGATGCGCTGTCGCTTCAGCTGCTCATCCTCGAGGTCCTCAGCGGCCAGACGGGCGTCTTCTATGGCGTCGCGCAAGTTGTATACGGCCGAGCTGCGGTCAATCTCCTCATCGACGGCTCGCTTGGCATCCAACCCTCGCGGAATGACACGAAGAAGGCCATTGATGATATGGTAGCTCAGTGGCTGTCTCTTCGGAGGCACGACGGCTTCTTCCTCTGCCTCCTCCTCCTCGTCATGGTGGCTGCTCGCGCGGTCTTCGTCCTGCTTGCTGTTCACCTGGAGCCACCGCATAATCAAGAGGACAATGACCGACGTTAGCGTCGACCGACCCCTTCCCAGCTGGCAGTTGAGAACGATGCATGAGTTGGTCGACTCCATCTGGGTCTTGAGGACCGCACGCATGATGCCGGCAATGTCTGAAAAGTCTGGCGGCTTCTCGGCAGTGATGGGCAGTCTGCGATAAACGAGCTCGACATTCGGCTTCCTCTCCGAGTCGTCCACCTGCTCGTCATTACCTGCAGTCTCCTCTCCAGCTTCGGTGATTGGAAGACGATGAGAGCGACCCTGCTGAAGCTCATCCGACACCTTGTTCATGACATCCTGCAGCGTCTCGACGTCGCTCGCGTTGGCTTCCTCCCACACGGGCACGACATCGCCTTCGTCGGTCTCGGTGTGCAGGAGGAGCCTGCCGTCTCCATTGTCGAGCTCGGCAAGCACATCATTCTTCAACCGGTCCTCGAGCAGTGTCAGACGAGCCCAGGAAATGCCAGAGTACGACTTGATGTTTCGCAGGCTCATACCCTTCTGGCGAAGACAGTAGGGCTTGCCATTGACGTGGCAGATGGGCTCCTCTCGCAAGTTGATAAATGTGACCTGGAGCGGCGCCTTGCTATTTGAATTACTCCTCCCCAGCTGCGTCTCAATGCTTCGGAGAATGTTGCGGATACCCTCGATTGTCGGCTGGCCGGTAGCAAAGACGTTGCTCCCCGGAATGCGACGAAAGTTGACAGCACCGCGCACGTTCTGGCCCTGCAGCGCCTGTGAGCTGCGACGGACGATGCTGCGCCAGATGTCCTCCTTGAGAAGCATGTGCGGCCGCAGCACGAGGCCGGCCCGGTTGCGCACGACGTGGTCTGCAAATTCATCGCCCGGCACGAGATTGTCGTCGCCGCCGCCGCCTTGCGCACCCATGCTGCGCTGCTGTATGCTGCGCACAGACTCTGAGCCCCTGCTCAGCCCGCTGAGATCGGCAATGGGGTCGAAAAAGTAGAGCTGGGCACCCTTTGTCCGGACTCGTGTCACCGTGTGCCAGATCTCGGCCCGGTTCTTGAGCCAGGTGGCAAAGCGGTGCGAAAAGACGGCCGTCTCGCTGCCATTGACGTACGAGGCAAACGCGACGAGGAAATAGTACTGCTCGAGACCCTGCAGAGCGCGGCGAAGGTGCTGCGACGCAGGCACCTGGCTCGTTCTCGCCTGTCCATTGGTGGCAGCAGTCTCGAGCTGCGGGGCAGCGACTGCATAGCGCACCCTGGATTCGAGGATGGAGTGCCGGAGGTGAATGACGTGGGCACAGCTGTCGATGGCAAAATCGACCGATTCCTTTGTGTCGGCACCGTCGTCGAGGAGGCCCACGAGCTGCCTGATGACACCGTAGTCGCCGTCGTTTGCACTCTTGAGGGCGCTGAGAAGCAGAGGCTGGCTGAGGAGAATCTCAATGGCGGCGCCCGAGCCGCCAGTGTTGGACAGGCTCGCGCCGAGGACCTGGACGAGCTGCAAGAGGGCCTTGGCGTGGGACTGCTGCTCCGAGGCAATCTGGAGAGACTTTGCGACTCCCCTTGCACCGCCCTGCGCCCTGTTGGGGGTACCACGACCGCCGGCAGGGAAGGGGTCCGGATGACCGAGAAGCATCATCTGGCGTCGTCGTACCAGCAGAGCAGCGACCATGGCAAACGATGTCCGCCTCACGCCCAGCCCGCAGTTGGCCACGAATGCGGTCCTCGTAGGATCAATGTCCTTGATGATCTGTGTGTACGCATCGAGGCTTCATCGGAGGTGAGCAAACAAAAACACTGTTGTTTGATCAAGAGTGGGAAAAGACATGCTCACTAGTTGTTCTCCATCGGTTGGTCTTCGGCAATGGGGATTCTGTGGTAGTCGCACCGCCATCCTGCCACGCTGAGGCCTTCCCAGACCTCACGCAGCGTCTTGACCTCAACTGCATCGACGGCGACCCAGGCGGGCCGCACGCCTCCCTGCTCGTCCTCCTCGTGGACCATGAGCAGGCCACCGTAGCGGCCGGCCTCATTGAGAATGTCCGACTTGAGCCGCTGCTCGATGCCCTCGAGGTTGTCTGCGCGCTCCGAGAGGGAAAAATTGTCAATCGGCCGCTCTGCCTCTCTCAGCACAAACGGCCGACCTCCGACGTAGACGACGGGCTCGTTTCGCGTGCATGCCCAGACGCATCGCCTGCCCGTTATTGGCTCCCGCTTCGTCGAGCTCACTTGCGCGTCCAGCCCGTTGATCGGAGGCGTAGAGCCGAGCGATCGAGATGCCTCAATGTCAGTCACGTCGGACGGGTCGGGCCTCGGTGAGCTGGTCGCCTTGATCGACGAGGCAGGGCCCAGCCTTGGTGTGACGCTGGCTGCCCTGTCGGCATGAGAGGCAGCAGAGACGGGCCCACGGGCACTGCGGCCCTTTCTCTCCTCTTGCCGGCCATTACCTCTCCGTCTGCTGCTGACGTGATCGTCGCTGGTCCTGTGGGAGGTACTGGAGGAGGAGGCTGGGGCGCACTGGAGCACGCTCAGAATCGTCTTGATGCCCGAGATGGTGGGCTGTGCGACGCCGTACACTTCCAGCCCGCCCGTGCCTGCCTGACGAAAGTTGGGCGCGCCCTGGAGGTGGACGCCCAGATTTGGCCTTCTGACTTTGAAATCATGAGGGGCAAATTTCATGGCCTTGTCAGTCGAGGACTAGCATCACCCAAAGGCACGACAGAAGACTCACGGCCTGCAAAGTGGTCCGTCTTGAGGATGAGGCCGCGCGTCAGCACGCTTCCCTGCCTGTTCTTGACGACGGCATTCTCGCGTGCGGTCCAAATGGCATCGGTCCGGCTTCTTCGGCTGCTGTCCCCCGTCGAAGCCGAAGGAGCTGGAGCAGCGGCGGCCGTCCAGGAGAGCGACGGTGTGCCCGGCGGGCTCATGGGGCCCGGGGCAGAATCGACCGAGTCGGGAAGCTGGACGCTCGGGATGGGCGACTCCTGGCCCTCCATTGTCACTCGTCGCTCCTCTGTCTGGTAAGAAGAAGGAGTGCTGCTGTTGGTAGCGCAGGGACGGACAGACAGACAGACAAAGAGCGCACGCCCAGTCAAAGCGATTGATAGAAGCCACGAAAATAAAGCCCAGACGGGCGGATATTCGGCCGGGAAAATAGCGCGCGCGCACAGGGCAACTTCGAGGGTCTTCCCACTGCTGCTACTACTAGTACTGCCACTATTGCTAGGGCTACTCTACTACTCTTGAAGATCAGAGTACGAAGGCATCGATCCTCGGCGACACACAATCGAATGGGCCACGGCATAGGCGAGGAGCTCATCGGCGTAGAGGAGGCCATTGGAGCGATTCCCAGTCTCGCACGAAGCTCCGTCGCCAAAAGCGAGTCGCTGGGCGGCGGTCTCACAAATGACAATGTCCTCGTGACGCTTTCCGATGGCCGGCGCATTACTCTGCGACGGTTCAGGAGCAGCACGACGGCGCTCCTTGGCTACGATCGGAAGGCGGAAGAGTTCTGCGCAAGGAGGGCACACGCGGCTGGTGTAGGCCCCGCTGTGCTCGGTGCTGTTGCCGCCGCGGAAGGAGGAGGGCATGGAGGCGCGCTCGCACTCGAATTTGCTCCTGGGACTACATTGGATAACGAGAGGATGAGGGAGATCCTGACTTCACGAGACGGTTCACAATCTGTGATTACGACGATCAGACGACTGCACGACCGGCATCGCACCGAAGTAGACGTCCCAGCGACAATTCCCGGTGTCTTTGACCCACTGCAGGCTCGGCAGAGATACGTAGACAAGGCCAGAGAACTCAGACCGAATCAGGACATCTGGAACGGCTACAAGAAAGCAGTCGCTAGGGCTGCACCTATCCTCGAAGCACTCGCGCACGATTCAGAGGCCAAGGTGCCCTGCCACAACGACCTCCTTGCCGCCAACTTTATCCTGGGCGAGGGTGAGGATGAGGAAGACAGTCGAAGATGGACAATCATCGACTATGAGCTGGCAGCCATGGCCGAGCCGTGCTGGGAGCTGGGCAACTTTGTCTCGGAGTGCAACCTCGACGACTGTCCGGGTGTCTTTGCGACGGTCGCCCGTGCCTACTTCACTGAGCTCGACGAATCCGCGCGAAGGACAAAGGAGGCGCGCATCGAGGCTTTCTCACTCGTCTCGAAGCTGACGTGGGCGGCCTGGGGCGCGCTCATGCACCTCCAATGCCCGCCCCCTCCTGCGTCCGGAGAAGCCTTCTCGTTTGAAGATTGGAGCCTGGAGAGGTTGCAAAAGGCCACCGCGTACCTTCGAGACGAAGGAAGGGTCAGCCAGCTTGTGTCAGCTCTGCGTCACGGCCCTGCGTAGTCATTGTCGTCGTCGTTCTCTCCCTCCTGCATACCCCTTGCTAGCACGTGTGCTGTAACACCTTGTCTGTCACGTCACCACGTCGAGCCCGCGGACGCACTTATGATTGTGCTGACCGGCCGTCAGCCGGACGCGCCTCTCTCCTTCCTTCGGCGATTGCAAAGTTTATTTTGTCAGAACTGATAAATAGGAAACCTTCTATTGGTCCCGGCCTCGCCACTTCGACGACGACGATAGCTACTACCACCACCACCACCGCCACCATATAGACAGACGAGAGCCCGCAATGCCGCGCGACGTCTACGGCCGGCTGCTCGAGACGATGCTCTACTTCCACGGCAACTTCCGCCGCACGCACGCGCTCCTCGCTGCCACGATCCCGCGCTCCCAGACGCTGCCGCGGCGCGAGCTTGAGGCGCTGCTTCAGCGCGGCCTCGGCCTCGCCCACCACCTCGAGATGCACCACAGCATCGAGGAGGCCCACATCTTCCCGCGCCTCGCCGTGCGCATGCCGGCGTTTGCCCAGGGCGACGCACACATCAAGGAGCACGCCGCCATGCATGCCCGCCTCGAGGTGTTTGAGGCCTACTGCTCCGAGGTGCTCAACCGGCTAAAGACGGCGCGCGCACGCAAGGCAGAGCAGGACGGCGCGGGCCAGCCCATCAAGACAAAGGCAGGGCAAGAGGAGGAAGATGAAGAAGAAGACGAAGACGATCAAGTAAAGAGGGGCCCATGGCCGACAGACATCTACGACAAGGACCGCATGGAGCAGCTCACAAAGGACCTCGCCTCCACCCTCTTCCCGCACCTCGACGCAGAGGAACGCTCCCTGAGAGCAGATAACTTGCGCAAGGCGGGCTTCACAGAGCGCGAGATGATGATGATACCACTGTAAAATTAACTTGCAGCAACATTACATGCTCTTGTCTTTCCACGCAGTTACCGGTGAGCATGATGGCGGGCGCGATCAAAGGTCCTGGCGGGCAAGCCAGCGCTTGAGCAGCTCATAAGCCACTTTGGGCTGGTCGTATGGTCTGTAGAATGACAGTCAGCATGTTAGGTTGTCATAAGAGAGAGAAAGAAGCTCCACACTCACACCATGTGTCCGGCGCCTTCGACGGTGGCCCACTGGAGCCGGCCGCCAGCCTTTGCCTCGCCGACTTCCTTGCCATCGACAAGCCAGCGGTAGGCCTTCTTTGCGTGAAACTCGTCGCCGTGGGTCCAGTCGAGGTCCTTGACCCAGTTGAGGTTGCCGACGTGGTTGCAGATCCAGTCGAGCTTGCCCACGTAGATCATCACCTCGATGCCGCGCTCGAGGACCTGCTCGACGTAGTCTGCGCTGCTGACGAGAATGTCGCCCGTGCGCCCAAAGCGCTCGCTGACCTTGAAATTCTCGACGTTGAAGTGCTTGAACTCGCCCACCGGCGGCACGCCCAGGATCTCGCGCACGTCGGACCGGTCGAGGTAGCGGGCAATGTCCTTTGTGATTGGGTAGCAGAGGTCGTTTTCCACGCCCGTCGGACAGCCGTCTTCGACATTGTACGGGTTGCGGCCCGTGCTCATGTAGGCGCTGCTGAACTCCTCGTCGCACGCCTGCGCATGCAGGGCACACCTGTCAAAGTCAAACGACTGGCGACAGGCGTCGTTGAGCTCGCGCAGGCACCGTCCCTTGATCGTCTTGAGGCGCTTGCACGTCTCAATCGACAGCTGCGGGTGCACGCCCGAGCGGTGGGTGCAGGAAAAGTCATAGTACATCGGGATCTGCTTGGCAATGTCCGAGAGGCCGTTGCCAATGGCCATGCGCGTAAGGTTGATGAGCTCGCCCTTTTTAATCTTGCGGCCGCTCTTGTCGGCCGCGCGCTTGATCGCTTTGTTGCGGTCGACGATCTCGGACGCGTACCGGGGCAGGTAGCGGCCCGCGTAGCTCTCGCCCGACAGGATAAATTCGTTGCTCTGGAACTTGTCAAAGGCGGCAAAGAAGAGGCGTAGGAAAGCATAGACGTCGCGTGCGCCCTGGTCAGTGTCGCTGGTGTGGACGCCGTAGCGCGTGTAGGAGAAGCCGACGCCAACGGGCTGGTCGATGAAGAAGACGTTGGCGTTGGTATTCCAGCTGTAGCGGAACCACTCGGTGCCGTTGATCGGGGGGCCTTCGCGCTGCGTGCCGTTGGTAAATGGCACGCGGCAGGGACCCAGCTCCTGGAAGAGGCCCATCGCAGACGAGGCACCGGGTCCGCCGTTGGTCCACATCATGACGGGGTCCTTGGCAGGGTTGGACCGCGACTCGAAAAAGTAAAAGAAGAGCGACTTGCCGTCGATGAGGTCGATATAGCCCGTGTAGGACGCCACGGTGGGGTCGCAGAAGGCCTCGTCGTCGGTCGAGTTGTGCGTGTGGAGCGGCGACAGCATGTCGCTCACCTGCCGCGTCTTCTTGCCCACCTGCTTGATCCTCACGCTCACTTCGGGAAAGTCCGAGTGCGTGAGCACAACGTGTCCACCGCGCCTCTCTTCGTGGTGAGACGCAAGCATCTTCTCGACAACATTCGACGACGACGACGACGACGACGACGATGCGAGCGGCAGCTCGATGCGCGGCGAAGCATCAAACGCAACTGCGCCCTCTCGGTAGGTGCTCCCGAGGGGCAGCTGAGTAGCCCAGCAGGCCGCTGTTGCGCACGCAAGGGCGCCCAGGAGTGATCGAGCCAGCATCGTCGAGCGGATCCTTCTGAAGCACGATACGGTGTGGAAAGCAATGCGTAAGCGCCTAGACACGGAGGTTCTCCCGAACCAGCCGCGAAGGTTCACCTCCCCTCTTCGCGAAGTCCGTGCGCTGAGCTGATAAGAGCCGCACGTGTAGGTCTTTGGCACACGTGAAGACGCCCGCTCAGATTTCTTCTCAGTCTTCTTCCTCGTCCTGGTTTAACTTCTCGGACGACCACTCACCACTTCCCACCCGACCCACCCTCAATCTCACGCCAGTTTCTCTCTTTTAGTCTTCCTTCTGCTCGCTCGCTCGCTCGCTCGCTCTGTCATTCCTGAGACGACACCCTTCTGGCCTTAGAGTCGCTCACCTGATTTACAATTTCCTCCGTATCAGCGTGCAGTGCTCGCTGGAAGGAAGATCACTTTTCGATCCCTGCATGGTCGGCCTATCCCATTTCACCAAACGGGGAGGGAGGGTAACGCCTACCAAAGGCGCTTCTTCCTCTGGGGCTCGGCCTGCTGGACATTTCTTCGTGTACGTTGGTGACCTTTCTGTGCGCAGAAAGAGAGAGAGAGAGAGAAGAGAGAGGAATACAATTGCATTTTTCAAGAATGAGCAGGACAGACTGTCTATGAGAGGGATGGGAGGGAAAAAGTCCGATGCAGAGAGGAGAGGCTGATAAGGAACAACAAAGGAGTGACTGCCAATCCACAGCTCAAAGTCAGGCCTGGCTAGGGTTTGAAGGGGAAGAGGCGTAGAGGAATAGCGTTTAAATCCCATCGCTCCTAGCCTAGGCGGACCGAGCACTATTTGAATCAAGAGTTGACCTGGAAGCCCTGCAGGAGGGCATTGCGCAGGTCTCCGTCCTTTGTGTCACCATCGATGCTCCACATGTTGACGCCTGCGATGCCGGCCAGCTTCGAAAAGGCAGCCTTGTCGCGCATCGACGAGGTGTCATCGTACGTGACGACCTGCTGGCCATTGGCAAGGTACGGCGTGTCGGAGCAGTCGTCCCAGTACTTTGTCCATCCATTGGCACCGTCAAACAGCCCATCGCTGCCCTTCTTGAGCGCACCTTGCTCCACGAGGAGGTTGAAGTTCACCTGGCCATTGGCCGTCGTGCCCTCGCTGTTCTTGAGGCTGCGACCCTTGAGCCTGAGCTTGCTGCTGTTCTGAACGTAGCCGTATGCAGGCACGCCCAGCAGGATCTTCTTCCGAGGCATGCCGGCTGCGGTCCACTGCTTGACACCAGCCGCAGCGCTGGCGGTAGGCTGCGAGCTGTTGCCGCACAGGTTGGCCAGCGGCGCGTTGGGGCCAGGGGTTGATGAAGCACCGTTGACATCGTAGTTCATGATGACGATGTAGTCCAGCGCGTCACCTGCCCGCGCAACGCTGCCCACAGGCTGTCCGTTGGAACCGAGCCAAACAGTCTGAGGCACGGCGGCCGTGATCATCTGACCCGCTGGCAGCGCGGCACGGAGCTGCTGCAAGAATGTCTGGAAATTGGTCGTGTCCTGCCCGTCCGAGCTGGCCCTTCGCCCATTCTGGACATTGTTGGGGTCTGGATTTGTGTTTCTTTGATTAGCATAGAACTCTCACCACGAGCCACTGGAACTGCTACTCACACTCCCAGTCAAAGTCAAAACCGTCGAGATTGTACTGTTTCTGCAGATCGACAAACGTCTGGACGAACTTCTTCCTCGACGAATCGCTGGCCACTGCACCGCTGAAGCCCGCACTGTTGCCCCAACCACCGACGCTCAGCACGACTTTCGAGGGGCTCTTTGCACCGTGAGCCGACTTGACCAGCCGTGTCAGGAGCGTCTTGTCGCCGTCAAACGAGACGGTCGAATCCGACTTGGGGATCGCAAAGGCGTAGTTCATGTAGTCAAAGTGGTCCCAGTCGATGGACTCTGGGGGCACCTTGGACGCCGTCCAGTTTGGCCAGTAGCCGCCCAGGATCTGGCCCTGTTCGGACTTGGCCGACGTCGAGTTGCTGGAGGACGTCGTGGCATTCTTGTCGCTGCCGCTGCTGATGGGCGCAGTGGTGTTCTTGGACCCAGTGCCCGCTGATGGCACCGTCGTCGAGTTGCCGCTGGTAGTGGTGCTGTTCTTGTTGCCGCTGGTGTCGCCCCCGCCATCAGTGGTAGTAGAATTGCTGCTCTTGGGTTGGCAAGTCGTCGACGAGCGCTTCTTGCTTGCGGACTTTCTTCTCCTCTGCCTCCGGTTCTTCTTGCCGCCTGACGTCCTCTTTGTAAAGGAGCCAGTGGGGTGCGTCTGGGCTTCTTGAGCGGAGCGAGGAGAGACAAGGTCGAGAAAGCCGCCCATCAGGCCCTCCCTTCTTCTCTTCCCTGCGGTCGCCTTCACGCTTGAGGGCCTCGGCTTTTGCCGTCTTGCGGCAGAAGGGAGAGGTACATTGAAGGCGTGCTGCGACGACGAGGAAGGGCCAGCGTGGTAGAGATGGCTGGGCGCGACGCCACCGTGAGGGTTAGCGAACGGAAGCGCCGATGCTGGGCTTGCCGCAAGCAATGCTGCGGCCAGCGTGAGGATGAAGTGCAATTGCATCTCGATATTCTCTCTATGAGCGGTTGTCTGGACCAGCCAGAGTTGGTTTGAACGAGGGTTGAGTGTTAAAAAGTGAGGGAAGGCCGGCTTCCCTAGGGTGAAAAAGAGAGGGTCGAGGACAAAGGGAGTTCGAGAGAGAGGGGATCGCTAGACGCCACCGGTGCGTCTGTCTGTCTCGAAGTTGGCAAAGACTCCCTTGAGATCCTCTTTCCCTTTCAAAGAGAAAGAAAGGAAACCGAGACAAAGAAAGAGAGTGTGTGTGCGTTCCCGAGGGATGCTGGTGGTGACGAAGAAGGGAAGAGCTTGACTTCCTACATCAGTCACTACATTAATTGAGGCCCGACCTGGCTAATGCTGCGTAGCCAAGCAAATTTGCGCACCTGTGCTGACACTCAACATCCAATATAAGCCTTGCGAAGGCCGGCAGCCACCTGCTATTTTGGTCTACGAAAAGGTGACGTTGAGGTTGGCGACTGTCCGATGGACCATGTCAGTCTGGCCTCGGACGTGTAAGACTACGGTGTTTATTTTTCTTATTTACTTATTTAATCGATCTTCCCCGCAGCCATTCGAAGGACCTGTCTTCCGCCATGGCAATCGAGGCTTCCCTCTATCAGCGCCATGTACGGAAGATGGCGCGGCAGAAAAAAGCATTTTGATGACGGTGAAGAAGATTTGGGACCCTGGGAACCACCAACCGGCTGCCCGGAGTTAGACCCGGCAAGAGCGACGCGTCTGCATGATGGATCGCTTTTCTCTTTCCTGAGCTCCACAGGGACGGAAGAAAGGCCACTTTACTTTTGCTACCATTGGTCCACCCTCTCTAGTCGACGCGATGTTGGTTGCCGCTGCCCGTCGGAGCAGCGGTGCTCTTGCCATCGGCCGCCTGAGCAAGGCGCCCTGCCGGCAGTACCGGCTGCTGCCTTCGCAGACGCTGTCGATCTGCCAGGCCCGCCTGCCTGGCTTATTTGCCCAGCCGACGCCCGACTTTAAGCTGGCCTCGTCGGTGCAAGAGGCGACACAGGCCTACGAGACCATTGCGGCAGACCACAGGGGAAGTCGCGTCGAGGTGCGTGCCGATGTGCTCGATCCTCATCCTTCTACAGGCCGCTTCGGCGACGAAGACGGGCTGCAGGGCGCTTCCCACGTCGTGAGCAGTGTCGAGGAGCTCGACCTGCTGTCTACATTGATGCTCTCTCCCGGCTCGTCCTTCCGCTCGACTGCTCCTCCCTTTATTCACAAGGAGGTGCCCAGGCTGATCTTGCGGCCGACCGGCCCACCTGCCTCTGGCCGCACCCTCCGACTGATCCTCGAGGCCTCGCGCCAGCCGAGGCCGCACGCGAGCAGATCAGGCAACCACCTGGGCCCCACACTCCGTATCGCGGCCGTGCCGACCTCTGTTCCCATCCGGCTGTCGGGGGAGCTGGCCAAAGCTGTGCCCATCGATGTCTCGGAGCTGGCATTTGCAAAGCGTATCGGCGAGGTCTCGTCTCTGTCTCCTGATGGTTCGCAAGCAGGGCAACGGCCCGAGGCCGACGATGTTCTTTTGAGAGTGGCTCAGAAGGCGGCAGACGACGCCGTGACGGCTCTCGAGTCTAGCGTCGCGACCTCGTCCAAGTCTCAAGTGACCGCTCTGCATGGCGCTGTCAAGGACCTGTTTGAGCTGTACTGGCGTAGCGATGGCGAACGCTTCTCCCTCGACGTCGCCCTGCAGGACGATGGACAGGTGCGCTACCACGCGAGCGAGCTCCAGTTCGACGACTTCAGCCTGCCCAGGCAAAAGCACCTGGCCCAGATGAGGAGCGACGGCTCCCTCCTGTTTGGTGCGCCAGGTGGGCAGCAGGCAGGCCCTAATGCGATCCAGCACGAGCTCCACCCGCTCGAAGAGATGGCAGACAAGGCCGGTCTCGTTTACCGCAAGCACCAGGGCGGCAACGTGGGTCTCTTTGGGTATGGCGCTGGCATGGGCATGGGCACCTTCGATGGCGTCGTCGAGGAGGGCGGCCGGCCGGCCAACTTCTTTGACGGCGGCGGCGGTGCCAGCATTGAGAACTCAAAGGAGGCCATGAGGATCCTCGGCATGGACCCAGACGTCAAGTGCATCCTCATCAACATCTTTGGGGGCATCACGAGGAGCGATCTCGTATCGCAGGGCGTGATCGCGGCCTATCACGAATACAACATCAAGGTCCCACTCGTTGCCCGCTTCAGAGGCAACAAAGCTCAGGAGGCGCAGCAGGCGCTGAGGGAGAGTGACCTCGACGTCGAGCTCTTCGACGACTATCGAGAGGCAGCCAGGCGGGCAATTGAGAAGGCCAATGGCTCCTCGGTGGCTCGTGATCCACCGCCTGTTGCTGCTGCTGCTGCCACTTCGTCGTCGCGCCCTCAGCAAGCGCGCGCATTCTCGTCCTGGTCTAGACGGTCACTCCGGCCCTTTGCTTCGTCTACACGAAGCTTCTCCACTTCGCAGCGCGGACCGATCAAGGCCATCACGGGCTATGCCTTTGCCGGCAAGCCCCGGCTGCCCGACGAGTCTCAAGACGGGGCTGAAGAGGGCCAAGAGCAGCAGGCAAGCCAGTTGAAGGAGGAAAGCGCCGTCAAGCCACGGCAAGGCTTTCCAAGTGACTCCATCATTGGAAGATGGGTCGACGAGACGCTGAGTGGCGGTGAGGCGGGCGAGGACGCACTGATGCTGACGCGCATGAAGGGCGAGGCAAGCGGCGACGTGTGCTTTGCAGTTGCTGACGGCGTTGGCGGATGGTCTGAGAACGGCGTTGATCCGGCTCTGTTCAGGTGCGAGCCTCGCACCTCTTCCCGACTCCGAACTCCTCTCGCATGATCGCTGATCCATACGTCAACCTCAGCCAGTCTCTGATGTTCCACGCTTCTCAGCATGCATCCCAATTCTTTGCTTCGCCGGATCGCTTGGAGGAGGAGGAGGATCTGATGTCCGATGTGGCCCCATCCTCATCCTCCTTTTCTTCGTCTTCGTCCTCTTCATCTTCCTCATCCAAATTATCATCATCAGGCGCTTCAACATCTACCGCAGCAACAACTCCCCCACCTTCTCATGCCTCTTCTCAGAGCACAAGCAGCAGTGGCTCCCCCTCGGACATTCTCACATATGCCTACGAGGCCACATTGAAACAACGCGAGGTGCCCGCAGGGAGTGCAACGGCATGCATCTTGACCTTTGACAGCACCCGCGGCACGCTCCGAAGCGCCAATCTCGGCGACAGCGGCTTCCTCATCCTCCGCACCAGCCCCTCCTCATCCTCGTCCTCCTCTTCTGCCCCTGCCTCGGAAGCCCAATCGAGCAGCAAGGTGCTCTACGTTTCCAAACCGCAGACGCACGGCTTCAACACGCCACTGCAGCTCTCGAAGCTGCCGCCGCAGTACCGGTTCGACGGCTCGATTGACTCGAAACCGGCGCATGCCGAGCAGAAGGAGCACCAGCTCCGGGAGGGCGATGTCGTCCTCGTCGCTACGGATGGCTACTGGGACAATGTCTCGGCCGATGAGACGGTGCAGCTCGTCCGCTTTGTCAGCGACAAGCACCGGGCTGGCTGGAAAGAGCAGCAGCAAGCGGCGGGCGTGGACTCGTCGTCCGCGGATGAGGGCCTGGACGAGGAAAGGAGCCTGGCTCAGGTCCTTGCGCACAAGTGAGTTGCATGGCCCCTTTCTTGCGGAGTGAGACGTCTTTTTGTCTGACAATGTAAAACAAAAGCCTCGTGGAGTACTGCCGCATGTGCCAATTCTCAACAACCAAGACGTCGCCCTTTGAGCGAGAAGCGGCAAAGCACGGGATCCACTACCCGGGAGGAAAAGTAGACGATGTTGCCCTGATTATCGCTCTGATCACGGAGCGATGAGAGATTTGAAGCCTTGTGTACTATTTTTAAAAAATTCACATTGCACATCAAGATGCCCAGCTCTGCGTGACCGTGAGCACAGGAAGTGGTAGAAAGGATGAGTAGCTTCTAGGACGCTGAAGGTCTAGTCTGGGCGAGGTCCTGGAACCTCCGTTCGCGCATGCGGTTGAGACGCTTGAGCATCGCCGAGCCATCTGCAATGTCAATTGGCCCGATGTCGTCCTGCTCTGCGCCTCCCGACGACGAGGCACCAGCCCCAGCCCCAGCCCCAGCTTCAGCGCCGATGCGATGCCACAGCGCATAGAGGCTGAGCATCTCCTGTACCACCTCGCCCACGAGGCTGAGGTCGACATTGAGGGTAGCCAGGAATGTCATTGCGTCGGGCGGCGGGGCTGGCGGCGGTGGCAGCGGCGCTTGCTCCTTTGGCGGTGGAGGCTGCTGCGCTGCTGCGGCTGCATGAGGAGGGAGCGGGGGCGCCGTCGCAGGCGAAGCCTGGTCGATGGGAGATGGAGCAGGGGAGGCATCGAGCGCTTGTCGTGGGGTATCGTACGGCGTCGAGGCCGTTGCGGGCGAAGCAGCCGTGGATGGTGTCGTGGCAGTCTGGGCTTGACTACTGCTGTTGCCTGGTCTTTGTGCGGACGATCGCCAGGGATTGCTATTGGCATGAGGACGGAGAGGGGCATTTGAAGGGGTCGCGCCCGACGAAGCAGAGGGAGAAGTGGCGCTGTTCCCAGCACCTGGTCTCGGCGTCGAGGCTGTCTTTCCGGGCATTGTGCTTGAGGCAGAAGCGCCTTCGCTCGCCGAAGCCGTCGGCGTGGAAGCTGGGACTGGTGGTTTTGTAAGGAGTTCTGATGGGCCTTGGCCTCGCACCATCGCTTCGTACCTCGATCTCCGGCTGTCCATCCACCGCTTGCTGCTGAGCATCTTCGTGCGGCTCGAGTCGTGAAGGACAAGAGCAAGAAAGATGGACGCGATGGCAATCAGATGAGGCGGGTAGAGGAGAATGACGTCGGTGCGATAGGTGTCGTTGAGCAGGAACCAGGCCATCTGGAGAGCCTGCTCGTCGAGTTCCTCCAGGCGGGCGATGGGCATGCCATCGTCGCCCTGATGAAGCATCATACGGTTCCTCTCTTCGATTGTTTGTTCCAGAGCTCGCATCTGAGCTACCTTGTCCATGTCGGCTGCCTTTGTTGCCCCATTTGCGCTGGTGCCCGGTGTGCCATAGGCCAGGTCGGCATCGAAGAGATTAGAAGCATCGCTCGAGGGCCCAAGAGAGCTCGAGTCGAGCGAAATGGGCAGCGGTGTCGACAGCCCCAGCCCAACTCCACCCGCTTGAGCTGCTGCAGCAGCTCCTCCGGCGCCCTTTGACGAAAGCCGCTTCTTCTCAAAGTCGACCATGCTCCTGCCCTTTCCTGCCGCCGTAGCGATTGTGATCAGGCTCTTGTAAGGATGGTGCACGACGAGGTGGAATTGGAGGTCCTCCAGCAGGTAGAATTCCATCTCGGCCACGTCCGTCACCTCTGCTGGAAAAGCAAAGTAGCCCAGGCTATTCCACATCTTTGTCGCCTCGGAGACGATGTTGCGGATGTGGACGGGCGTCTCCTCGACCTTGGAGGCCACATAGACGCACGCAGTCGCCACAAGGGCTGGATCAGTCGAGCTGAGGCTGTTGGCGGGCGAGCACGAATAGAAGCGGTTGAAGAAGACGATAGCCGTCGCCGTGATCCTTTGTCGGAGTGAGAGACGCTTCGTCAACGAGCAAATACCTGTGTGTGGCTGACATGGTGAGTGTCGGGACGGGCAAAGAAGGAGGGGAGACGCACAAGGACCACTCACAGTTTGTGAACCAGATGCGAAGAGCAGCGAGCTCCTCTGCATTGCGAGCATATTGTAGGTCTTCGGACCTCGCAATGGCTAATTGTCGACGAGAGAGGAGCCAGTGGTTGCTGCACACTACGTCAGCTCGCCCGGTCTACACTTCGGCGCCCATGTCCGCGCAAAGCCGTGCTTCACTCACCACTGCGACGACTGCCAAAAATTCGATGTCATGACCTATGTGAAGCCCATTCCCGCTCCCTTCTCGTCCGTTGTCGCGCGCCAGCAACCGCGGACCTTCCCTCCTCGCCTCGCTGTCCGGACTTTGCGATCGAAGCGTAACGCCTCGGCGGTTCGTCGGTTGAGCGCGGCAAAACGAACGGGATGGGCGAGCCGCGTGGGTGGCGATGAATGTTTGCTGCCTCCACAGCGAGGCCCACCGCCGTCTTTTCGCACGCCGTACCTCAAGACATCTGACAGAAAATAATCTCTGGTTCATGAATTTTATTCATTTATTTAAGACTAAAGATAGAGCTCGCGCCTTCTTCCTCGAGGACCCACAAGACAGACAACGGCCAATCGCACGCTCGAGCATGCCATCGAAGAGCAAGAAAAAGGGCGGCGCATCGAGGCCGGCAGGGCCAGCGCACACGGACTCACTCAGAAAAGACATCGAAGCGGCGAGAACCACCGAGAGGAAGAAGCAGTCGTCGCAAGATCCCTTTTCGGATGGTGACGGAAACCCCGACGACGGGCTCGACATTGCCGACCAGCTGCTGGCTAGCCTCGACGCACGGGATGCCGCGGCTGCTGGTCTCGCTCAACCGCCGCCGGCAAAGGAGGAGAAGAGCAGCCATCACCTTGCCGTTCCGCAGGCTGATAAGCCGAGACGGAGCAGTGGCATGTCGGGGGAGAGCGGACAGAGTGGGAGCAGCTCCTCATCTGCGTCACACAGAGGGCCTGGCGAGATGCTCAGAGACATCTTTGGCGGGCATCATCATTCGAAGAGTCCGCCGCCGATCGAAGACGGGGCAACAGACGGGGCAGGCTCGGGCTCGGGAGGAGCGACTGGGGCGGCGGCCGAAAGTACCTCAATGAAGAGGGGCGGGTCAATCTCAAAGAGCATGGGCAAGCTCTTCGGTCACAGCCCCGGCAAGGATGCTGAGACGTCACCGACGCTTTCACCTTCGGATAGCAACTCCACTGCCGACGGCGCCAAGAAAAAGGTGCCAAGGCAAAAGGCCCGAAAGGTGAGTCTTAACTCTGTCTGTCTCGCTCCTTGTTTGCGACGCATGATACTGGCGCCCGACGGCGCGAGAGCCGACCCGCCGAGATATGATCGATGTGTCGGGGCGAGATGGCTTCGTCACGCCTTTTTTGTGCGTGGGCGTAGGTTTTGTCGTCCTACTCTGCCCACAAGAGGAGGACTACACTGGGCTGAGGTCTCTTCCTTGTTGGGATTGGGTGCGGACGGCGGTCGTTATCTTTGTCTTCCCTGAAAAAGTGACTTGTGTCTGACTGTTCTCTGTCGCTTTTCTTCCCTGCTTTCTTTCTCTCTCTTTCCATCATCGACTCGACCTTGCGACCTCACATCTGTCCACCTTGGCTTTATATCCATGTTCGCACAACCCTTTACCTATCCGGGTCCTACGGCTACCCGCCCCTCTCCCTCTCCATCGCCTCTGCCTTCGCCTACCTTCCGTCCACGCTCGTGGAACCAAACGCCGGCTCAATCTGCATCACGCGTCCTTCGCCCTTCATTCCACCGGTCGAAATCATCGTCGTCGTGCCACTCTCTCTCGGCCCGTTCCGACCTTGGCATGTCCTGCATTGCCCCTTCGCCCTTTCCGATCTGGACGGCTGCACCGCCCAAACAGGAGCGCAAAGCGGCCGAACTGGAGTCTCAGCGTCGACAGGCTGAGGAAGAACTCAAGGCGAACGGCGGAAAGCCCGACGAGGCTGAGCGCGAGCGTGTGCAGATCACAGAGCTGTGCAGGTCGCTCAACGTTGAAATGAAGGAGATCAACCCAGACGGTCACTGGTGAGCCAACACTTTCTTGACTGAACGACACAGACGTAGAAGACTGATTTGTTCTCGCTAGTCTGTATGCTGCTGTCGCTGATCAGCTCAATCGATTGGGGAAAGTCACTAAAGAGGTGTGTGCTGTACCACGAGATGCTACAAATCTTTCGCTTACGAGCTTCTCACTCTCTTCCCTGTTGTCCAGGTCGACTACCATGACACGCGCCGTGCCACGTCGCTCTTTATGCGCACCCACGTCGACGACTTCCTGCCCTTCATCTCCGACTCGGATGAGCACATGGCCGGCATCGAAAACACCTATGCTGGCCAGCTGCCCACTCCCTCTGGCCAGTCGGGCATCGAGGACAAGCAAAAGCAGCACTTTTTCAAGTACTGCGACGCCGTCGAGAACACGGGCGTCTGGGGCGGTCAGCCCGAGATTCTGGCGCTGAGCCGCGCATTCGAGACGCCCATCTGGGTCGTCCAGGCGGGGAGCCCCGTCGTCAAAGTGGGCGAGGAAGAGGGCGCCAAGGGCCAGGATGCCCTCATGATTTCGTACCACCGTAAAATGTACGGGCTGGGCGAACACTACAACTCGCTGGTCAAGGTGTCTTCTGCTTAATAGGCTCTGTGATTGCTCCAGCCTGCTTTCGTTTTATCAAATACTCTCTGTAGATCTGTAGTAGAAGAGAAGGCTGCTCGAAATATTCCCTGCTTCAATTTCGATAATGCTCTCGTACACAAGACCCCGAGAGGATCGGTATACGCTGCTGCTCTTTTCCTTGCATGATGTGTAAAAGTATTGTACCATTGCATCAAACGAGTAACTTCAACAACGATTCCTGGGAACAAGAGAAGACGACGACAACGGACAGAAGGAAGGCAGGAAGAAGGTCAGTCGACGTACGACGTGATCTCGTGCAGGAGAAGCGCCTCTGTCGAGCTCGACAGCCAGCCCCGATCTCCGCTGGCGGTAAAGAGGAAGCGACACGTCGCGTCGGCCACTACCGTACCATCCCCCCGTCAGCATTTCGAACAACATCACTATACAGAAGCGGAGGTCATTTGGGCGCGGAAAACTCACAGATAGACGAAATTGTCCCGCCGTGGTGGCCCGCAACGATGCGGAACGGCACTGCGCTGCTCCTCTGCCCTGGTGCGCTATGCGCCGAAGCGAGCGTGTCCCAGAGCCGGACATTGTCGTAGCTGGCACACACAATGTGTCGGTCGTTGGGCATCGCATACACTGCGCTTACAGGCCCGCTCCCGCTTGGGAAGCGCAGGCTCCTCAGGAAGCGCGGCTCCTTTGCCCATCCGCCACCGCTGCTGCGGCCCCCGATGGCGGTGAAGAAGCCATCATCGAGGGAGGAAGACGTCATGCGGAGATCCCACTCGTCCACCGTCTCGTTGCGGCGTCCGACGTAGATGCGATCCCCGCCGGCGGACCATGTCGCGCTCATGCACCACGGCGGCGTCTTCTCGGGCAGCGGCAGCGCCCTGACGGCGCCTCGTCGGCCCGTCGCCAGGCCCGAAGCTGAGCCAGAGGCTGAAGGCGAGCCAGCAGGGGAGGGTACACGGCGATCCCACAGCGTCACTTGACCTCCGAGTGTCGTCGTCATCAGGACGTCGTTGCTGAACTTGGACACATCCGCGTCGAAGCCCGTCGACGCAGTCAGTCCAGCAAATGCGGGTTTGGGAAGCACACTCTTGCTCTTCGCAGCCGTGCTACCGTTGACTGTCGCTGCCGAGGTGGCGGCGTTCGCAGCAGGCGTGGAAGAAGACACGCCCGGCGAATTGCTCGCGTCTCCGCCTTCTCCACCTCCTTTCCCCGTTCCCATGCCGGGAAGCTCTAGTCTTGACAACGACAGCCCGGCTCTTGCCGCGAGGGGTGCATCGTCGTCATCACCGTCCGCATCTTCATCTTCCTCGCCCTCTGCATCCTCTTCACCCTCTGCATCGGCATCCTCCTCGCCCTCTGCGTCCACGTCTGCCTCGGCATCTGCGTCTGCATCGCCCTCTGCATCGCTCGCTCCTCCAAAGAGCGAGTCCTGATCTGAATCGTCCTTGCCGTCATGGTCCTGCTGACCGTCAGCTTTGGAAATGTCCCTGCGCGCCGTTGCCACAGGCGTTTGCAGCTCCTCGTCGCCATCCATGCCCGCCGAGGGCGTGCCCGTGCCATTGTGTGGCCCGCCCAGCCCATTGGAAACCGAGGCAGTGCCGCGACGAGAGGACGAGGTATGCAGGCCCAGCGCCTCGTTGAGGTCCCTCTCCAGCTCTAGGTCCTGCTCCGATTGCGTCTCGTCGTCGCCCGTAGGCCCGCCACTGTGGCCATTTTGCCGGGTGGTCTTTGACGGTGTTGTGCTCTCTTCTTCCCCTTGTCTGCTCAATGGACTCTTGTCCCTGCTTCGTTTCCGGCTCGGGCTTTCGCTGGTATTTCGCTCCGAGTCCCGTGAGGGGGTTGCTCCAGTGTTCTTGCTAGCACCACTGGCAGGCGTTGCAGTCGCTGTTGCGTGCTTGGGCGTCTGCTTGGACGGCGTCGCCATCTTGCTCGTCGAGGGCCCAGGTGTGGAAATTGGGCCCTCAACGACATCCATGGCCGTACTCGGGCCGGCCGGCGTACGTTTGCTTGGTGATGGTTGTTGAGAGGGCGTCGCGGCCGGCGAGTGGCCTCTTAGCGGAGAGGCAGCACTGGGTTGGATGGAGATGGAGGGAGAGCGGGAGGACGAGGCTGCTCGCCCAGCATGCAGGTCCTCGCCCACCTGTAGCGGCCGGAAGGACAACGACGAGATCTGGCCCGCATGGCCGGGATATGACCGGACGACCTGGCCCGTGTTGAGATCCCATTGCTGAGGGCAGGCAAGAGAGAAAGTTAGTCAGTCAAAAACGAGCTGGAGCAAAAACAGAAGAAGGGCAAACGCACATGAACACTCCTGTCCCAGCCTCCGCTGACGAGCTGCGTGTCCTGGTCTGTCAGTGCCAATGCCGAGACGGCAGATGTGTGCTTGCGGAGAACATGGCGGATCTGTCCCGGCTCATGGCGGACGCTGCAGAGGTTGATGTTGCCCGACTCGGTGCCTGTGAGGGACCACAGCGCATCCTGCTGGAGGGCGAGGCTGTGAACGGGACTGACCAGCCGGTCTTCCTCGTCAAAGTCGTCATTGTCCTTGCTTGACGACTTGACCAGCGGCACCTCCTCGTTTGCCCACCAGCTGTGAAGCACACCGCCCCGCACGACACCGTCGACGAATTGGTGCCGGACGTTCTGGGTGAGCATGCTCCGGGAGTTCATGCTCGCGTACACGTCGTACCGTCGAACATGGCCATCGCTGCCGCCGCTCAACAAAACGCTGCCGTCTCCGCTGATGGCCATGGCGTGGACGTGGGCCACATGTGGTGCCGCCCCCACGGGCTCGATCGAATAGCTCGTCGCGGCGAGCGACGCCTGTGTTGGTCGCAGCAATGCTCTTCGCGCGATTGCCCTTTGCATATAGGAGGACGGTGACGTGTCGAGAGCCGAGGGAGAAGCACCCCGGTCGGCTCTTGCTTCGGCCATCTCTGCATCTTCGTCTTCCTCATCCTCGCCCTCCTCGTCGTCGTCCTCGTCGTCGTCCTCGTCGTCATCATCCTCGTCTTCCTCCTCCTCTTCCTCGTCGTCGTCATCGTCATCGTCCCCATCCTCGTCTTCGTCTTCATCCTCCTCCTCGTCCTCCTCGTCGTCTTCCTGCTCCTCGCCATCGTCCATCTCCGTCACGGCCTCGTCGCCCTCCTCGCGCTCATCCTCGGACTCGTTGACCGTCCCGTCCTCAATGTCGATCTCGTCTTCATCCATCGTCCTCGTCTCTCCCGTCGCATCGGAGGAGGGTGGTTGCTGCCGCAAAGGGGGATCCCGACGCGAGTCTCTCACGCGATGGCGGCCTGGGGGAAAGTAAACGTCCGCACACACTCTCTCTCTTTCGCGCGCGCGCTCCCTTCTGGCAATGAATCTATCAACATTTACCGTGCAAGGCGTCGCGAGGATGGATCTTCCATCTTGCCCGAGTCCCGGGGCAGCTTCCCTTTTTTTCTTTTTTTGGGCTCTCTCCACTCTGCCTTTCGTTTTGGAGCGAGCGAGCAAATAAAGAAGACAGACATCAGGATAGCGATGCACAGAGCGACACCCTCGATTCGGTCGGCTGCTCGGGTCTCACTGCGTCCCGGTGCTGCTCGCCCTATTAGCATCTCAGCATCTTGGCGATCACAGCAGCAGCAGCAGCAGCAGCAGCAGCAGCAACAGACGGAAACACCCCGCAGCGAGCCGGAAGACACCCGGGCAATTCTCAGAGATGTCGGCCTGCTAGCCTTGGCCTTTGGCGGTGCTTTTGGCCTCTCTGTTGCTCTGCTCTCCTCTGGTCATGCTGGTCCCTCGACCCGCCAGCTTCGGTCAGACCGATACGTCTCTCTGAAGCTGCTTGACGCCAGGCGAACATGCTCGCCCTCGTCGACCGAGGGAGACGGGCAGCACGTCTACCTCTCCATCGAGGGGCCGTCCTCGGTGGGGCAACCACGACTGTCGTCTGCTGAGCTGCTGCATCAAGGGGACGGGGCACGAGAGGGGGAGGATCTGAGAATCTTGAGCGTGTACCTCAAGGAGCCTTCGCTGCAGATCGAGCGCGCATACACGCCCCTCTACGCCGAGGCATTGACCTCGGGGAGCGCAAGGAGCCCCATCGAGCTTCTCATCAAACGATATCCGGACGGAGAGCTGGGGAGGTACGCACACCGACTGAGTGCGCACGACACGGTCGAGGTCAGAGGACCCGAGGTGACATGGCAAGGGAAAAGAAGCGAGATCGACGAGCTCATCCTGGTACGTATAGTCTTTTTCTCCTCACAACTATACTAAGCTGACCAGCCTTAAAGATCGTTGGCGGGACCGGTATCACGCCCGCCTACCAGCTCATCACGACTCTTCTCGGCCGTCCAAGGCATGGCGGGGCGCCCGCTCGAGCAGATGCGCCACCCAAGATCAAGCTCCTCTACGCCGCGCCGCGTCCCTCTTCTCTATTGCTCCTCCCCGAGCTGGCCCAGCTGCAGCGATCACACCCGGACATGCTTGATGTGCGGCTCTTTGTCGACGAGGCCGAACGCGGGCGCCGCACAGCTGGAGGAGGGCTTCTGAGCTTGTTTACGCGTGCACGGGCGTCTGCAATGACGGAGCACGGCATGGAAGCCCAGATCGGTCAGGTCGCGAGGGCAGACGTCGAAGCGGCCCTGTCTCGAGGACAAGCCTCAAGGCAAGACGGACGGCGGCAGCTTCTGGTCTGTGGACCCGACGGGTTGAGTATAGCCTCGCTTTCAAGTCTTCGCATCCCACTCCCATCTGACCTGCTCTATGTTCTTCTTCTCCTTCAAACAGCCTTGTGGCGGCCATTGCAGGACCAAAGGCGCACGACGGCCGCTCTCAGGGCTCCCTTGGCGGGATTCTTGGCCAACTACAAGGCATCTCACGAGAGAAAGTGTGGAAACTGTAGCAGTAATGGCACCATGGCCACTCTTCAAAACATCAATTGTAACAATTGCATACATGCGCCTCCTGTCTAGTCCCATGCGCCACCGAGACCCAGGCCGACCTGGGCAAAGGGATCGGCTGTCTTTGCAGGCGAGTTTCTGGCTTCAGCCTTGTCGGACCCCGCCTCGTGTTGCTTGCGCTTCTTCTTGACGTGCACAATGCCTGCCACGGCGCTCGCATCCACCTGCCTCTTTCTTGTTCCTCTGTTGCCCTCGTCGTCGCCCTGGCCCTCAACTGTCTTGGTGGACGCACTCTGCGCCGACGACGAAGAGGCACCCAGTCCCTCGTCAATTGCGTCCCACGCCCTCTTTTTCTTGGCCTCGAGCTCTTCCTTGGCAGACTTTGGCCTTGGCTCGGCTCCTGCAGCCTTGCCCTTGTCGCCCTTCTTGTCTTTCTTGGTCGCTTTTGGCCCACTCTTGCTCCCTGCTCGACTTGTATCCCCTTCATCGTCTTCCTCTCCTGGAGGTGGCGGACCTGCCCTCGCCTGTAATCTTCTCATTTCTTCGTCCTCCTCTCTTCCGATCTTCTCCTTTTTCTTCTTGGGTACTGGCCCGCCTTTATCAGAAGTTGCCTCGACCAACGGCGCCTTGCGCGGCTCGTCTCCCGTATCAGCCTCTGCACCATGCTTCTTCTTCCCTCGTGCTCCCCGGCGTGTCTTGCGGTTCGCGTTCTTCTTCTGACTCGCCGCCTCGTCTGTCGTCTCCTCGTCGGCGTCGTTACGGCGTCCCCTTGCCGCCGCAGCCGCTTCTCTTTTCTTCTCCCGGGGAAGCTTGGGGGCCGAAGTTGATGGCTCGGCAGCATGCAACGACGAAGGTGAATCAACCATCGACGAGTCTGAAGCATCCCTGGCTCTGTCATTCCTCTTATCCTCAACCCTATCCCTATCCGACCTGCCCTCCTCGGCCGCACTTGTACCATTCCTTCTCTTCTTCTTCCTCCTTTCCACGACACTCTCGTTGTCCAGGATCTTGAGCGTCCTAAAGTGTCCCAGCAGCCTCTGCCTGTAGTCTTCCAGCTCTGCCAGCCCGTTGCCCTTGAGGCTGAGATTCGTCAGGCCCCGCTCCCGCCTTCCTCCTTGCTCCTCTCCAGCGGTACCCGCCGTCGGTGCATTGAGGAGGGCGTCCTCGACACTGGCCCAGCCGTCGAGGCCGCACTCGCTCAGGTCCAGCAGCTCGATGCCCGTGCCCCGCGCGCCCTGCCCCACGCCGCGCCCCCACGTCGACAGGTGCCGCGGGAGCCGGCGGAGGGACGGGTTGCAGTGCAGCCGGACCTGGCGCAGATGCGCGCATGCAGAGAGGTCCGGTAGCGCAGTCGGCGCATCGTCGAGCGCATTGTGTGACGCAGCGAGCTTCTTGAGCGCCGGCGCACTCGAGGCTAGCGAGGCGGGCAGCGCACGCAGCCGGTTCTTGGAGAGGATCAGTGTGTTGAGGTGCGGCAGGTGCGGCAGCGTCGGCAGCGAGGTCAGCGCATTGTTGGACAGTACGAGCGCAGTGAGCGACGTGAGCGGGAGCAGGATCGGTGCTGGTGGAAAGTGGCGGAGCTCGCATGCCGACGCATTCAGCACTGTTCATAGCTGGAAGTCAGTATGCATACGACTCTTTCTCATCCTCTTGACTTTAGAAAGAGAGGCTGCGACACTCACCCATGAGCTTTGTGAGACGCTGCAGGCCGTCCCACTTGCCTGCCTCGTCTTTGGCTTCCTCGCGCCCAAACGATCCATTCTCAGACATGTTGAGCTGAGTAAGCCGGCTGCCAAATCCACCCTCTCCAGCCACCTTGACGGCGCGCCCGAGCCAACGCAGGTGGACGAGGCCCCGAGGGTTGCCCGCGGCCTTGGAAGGCTGCATTGCCGAGATGTTGAGGCTCGAGAGGTTCTTGAACTTGGCCAACGTGCTGCTGAGTTGTTCAAGAGGTGGCAGTGGCTTGGAGGAGAGGTCTAGCGACGTCCGTAGGAGAATGTCGTCCTCTTCTTCCTCGCTGTCTTCCTCGCTGCTGTCCTCGCTCATCGATTCGTCGCCATCCTCCTCCTCCTCCTCCTCCTCGTCGCGCACTTCTGGCTCTTTTCGCGCCACCCTCCCGTTCCTCTGTCCCGTTGCTCCCTTACTCTGGCTTGTCCGCCGCCGCGACTGGCTGCTTGATGCGCCCCTGTCTGCTGCGCGGTCTCCCCTGCCAGCCATCGTTGCGTAGCCGTCGTCAATCTTCCTCGACGATCCTGGTTCTTTTTTTTTTTCCTGAACTTTTTGGATCTTTTTTCTCGTCAGTCTCTCCCGACTTCCGACATGGACAGGCAGGAGGAGGAAGAATTCCCTCCACGTCGCCGCACGCGCCAAAAAAAACAAGCTCTAATCGCTCCGTTTTTACCAGATATCAAACATCCGACTACGAACAATCGTTGGCCAAGGATCGAACAATGAGCGGCTCCTGCGCGCCGCGGACGAGGCCATTTGACCCAGTGCCGCCGCTGAAGCGGGCGAGCGGCATCGTCGTCGTCATCGTCGTGGTCCTCGCGACGTTTGCGCTGCAGATCATCGCGTCGCACACGCGCAGGACGCGCAAGACGAACAAGGTGCAGCGCACCAAGCTCATCAAGCGCCTTGGCGTCTCTGGCCAGCACCGCGACTGGACCATCCTCGGCTTCTTCCACCCGTATTGGTGAGTGTGGGCTTTCGGCAAGGAGTTTGAAGAGGGAAATGACTGAGTGAATGCGAGCGCAGCAATGCGGGAGGCGGCGGAGAGCGGGTGCTGTGGCATGCCATCAAGCACCATCTCGATGCCGACGAAAGCATAATTGCGGTTTTGTACACGGGCGACGTTGGGCCAGAGCTGTCACTCGATGTGCCACTTGGCAAGGTGAAGAGTGCTGCACCTGAGAACGGCCAAGATGGGCTCGGTCAGGCGGAGACGACGAAGCGGGATATCCTAGAGAAGTGTCGAGTGAGTTGGGCTGGTTGAGACGTTCAAGTTTCTTGGCTGACAACCACCCCCAGTCGAGGTTCGACATACCGCTCGATGAGACACGCTACATGTCGAGGATCCATCTGCTTCCGCTGCGCTCGCGACACCTCGTCTCAGACACCTACTGGACGCGTCTGACGCTGCTGGGCCAGAGCTGGGGAAGCATCGTGCTGGGCTGGGAGGCATGCAACCAGCTCCTGCCAGACGTCTGGCTTGACACGATGGGCTATGCATTCACCTACCCCCTTGTGCGCCTCTTTGCGCCCTCGATGCCGATTGGCGCCTATGTCCACTACCCGACCATCAGCACCGACATGCTCAACCGGGTCCGCGACCGGCAGGCGGGGCACACCAACAACGCGGCTGTGTCGACGAGTGCAGCGAAGAGCACGATCAAGCTCGTCTACTACCGCCTCTTTGCCGCTGTGTATGCGTGGTCGCTTCGCCGGGCAGACGTCCTCGTTGCCAATGGCAGCTGGACATGCAATCACCTCCGGCAGCTCCTAGGCCGGCGCTCACCAGAAGCGCAGCCTCAGGTCGTCTACCCGCCCTGCGACACGGCTTCGCTTACTGGGTTTCCCCTCGTGCCGCGGAAGCGACTGACAATTGTCAGTCTGGCGCAATTTAGACCAGAAAAGGAGCACGGGACACAACTGAAAGCCGTCGGTCTCGCCATTGAAAAGCGGCCGTCGTTGCGCAAAGATCTCCGGCTCGTTTGCATGGGCAGCTGCCGAAATGAGGCAGACGAGAGGCGGATACAAGACCTCAAGCAGCTGGCAAAGGACCTGAAAATTGACGTGGGTTTGCATTCTCTACTGGCTCTTCAACTTTTTCATCCTTCCCATGCTGACGCTTGCGAGGCCGTACCAGGATCTCGTCTCGTTTGTGGTCAATGCACCCTACAGCACCATCGTCGAGAATCTGAGCCAGGCAAGCGTGGGCATCAGCACGATGGTCGACGAGCATTTCGGCATCAATGTCGTCGAGTTCATGGTGGGTTGCATGCACGCCCTCGCCTTTGCCTCGCTGACTTAAGCTGTCATCTTCACAGGCGGCAGGCCTCATTACACTCTCGCACGCCTCGGCAGGGCCCTTGCTCGACATTGCCGTTGAAGTCGACGGCAAGTCGACGGGGCTGCATGCGCACACGCTTCCAGATTTCGCTGAGGCCATTCTCAAGATTGCAGACATGGACGCTGCCGAGGACGAGGCCATGCGCAGTCGAGCAAGGCGGCGAGCCATCGAGACATTTAGCGGTGCAGCCTTCGAAAAGGCATGGCAAGAGAGACTCGCTTCGAGGCTCATGACGCCGAGAAAGGACAAGTCCACATGAATGAGTGTCTATTGAAGAGTCTATTGTTGCCTGGTATATATGATTCGGTCAGCGGAGTGGCGCGCCACCGGCAGGCGCCGCCGCCGCCGCCGCTGCTGCTGCTGCTGCTGCCTCCTTTTGCTCGTGCTTATATGTGCGGTAGTCTGCAGCATTGGCCAGGATGAATTCAGACAGCCGCTCGAAAGTGCGGTCCCCTGAAGAGAGCAGTCCGAGTCAGCGGGAAGGGGCTCAAAAGAAGTGCGGAAGCGTTGAGCGTACCTTGGAACTCTTTATGCACTTGTCCGTCTCGATACAGCATAATTGTCGGATATCCCTTGATGGCCTCTTTGTTGCAAAGGTCTAGAATTTGAGGCCCGCCAGTGAGCTTTTGCCCAGCGACTTCCACTCGCTCGCAAAGCAGAGCCCCTCTGCACAGAACAGACACTCACCTCCCTGCTCGATGCAGTTGACCCGCGCAAAGTTGAAGCCACTGCTGTCGGCCAGATGGCCATGCAGCGAGACGAGGTTCTCCCATGTCGGTTTGAAGCGCTTGCAGTGCGGGCAGTACGGGCTGAAGAACTCGACGAGCCACATTGATGAGGACGTCGACGTGGAGAAGGAGTCGGAGTTGAGCAGGTCGGATTCGGTGCTCAAGGCCTGAGCAGGCACCGAGACGAGAAGGAGGAGAAGGAGAACGGACAGGTGCGAAACAGCTCGCAGCATGGTGAGACCGCGCATCTTGACCGATGACAGTTCGGAAAAGGAGAGATTGGCTCTTGGGGAGGTGAGCGATCGACTCCTTCTGTCGGGAAGCCTCGAGAGTCCAACGAGAGGCCCAAGCACCTAGATTAATCGGCGGCTATTTTAAAGCGCCGAAAGATGAGAGAGTCACGTGGCGACGCGCCAAAAGTAGATGTTATGGCACACTAAAGCACAAGACCAGGGCCCGCACGGCGCTGTTTTTTAAACCAACGAGACCAACACCCCCCCGTGACCGTCGTTGCCTCGACCCTTCTTCGCCCCCCCGCAGCACACCAAAGCTGGGCCCTGATTTGGACGAAGACGACGACAGGCGCACGAGGCGGGAATCAGCATGGCATCAAGCAGCTCGCATACACCCAGGGCTGTGCCCCCGCCCGATGACTCGGACTTTCTCGATAGCGAAGATGAGCATGACGAGGGCGTAAGCGTGACGAGGGACGAGCACGACGACGAAGACGCAGAGGTGGTTGCATCGCAATTCTCCATTGCCTCCTCAGTGACAGGGGTTGAACCAAAGCCGGCCGTGGGCATCTTTCAGATGACGGACAACTTCAGCTTCACCTACTTCCCTGGCGCTCGAGCCCCGCGCGCTGATCGGCTGAACGGAGCAGACGAAGGGCGACGAGCTGCGTCTTCAGCCCTCCTCGGCAGCCGAGAGCCGCAGCCATTTGAGGAGAACAAGGATGCCTCGGTGCCCCACATTCACCCACAGGCAATCGTCCATTGGCTCAACATCGACAAGGAGCTTATATACCTTAACTTCGCAGACGACTGGGGTCCTCTCAATGTCGCCATGTTCTACAGGTTTTGTCTGCACCTCCATCACCTTATCACGACGCACGAGGAGGAGCCAGGCTGGAGCTCATCCAAACCAAGCTTCCACCTCGTCCTCTATACCTCCAGTGAGCCGAGACCAAAGGCCAACGCCGCGCTTCTCGCAGCCATGTACGCAATGGTCTGTGGACAGATGTCGCCCGCAGACGCCTTCTTCCCCATCAGCAAGGTGAGTCTCCCAGAACTTTCTGCGCGTAGGGAGAAAGCTCACGCAAAGGTGCTTGCCAGCTCGAATTTGCTCCCTTCAGAGACGCGGGCTACGGCAGGGCCGATTTCCATCTCAGCATCCAGGTAAGTACATCGGTGTATCAAGCCGAGACCTGGCTGACTCAGACATACCGCTCAGGACATCCTCTACGGCGTCTATCGGGCGATTCAGGAGGAGCTTCTGGACTTCCAAAAATTCAACCTCGACGAGTACGAGACCTATGAGCAAGTCGTCAATGGCGACTGGAACTGGATCACTCCCAATATCATTGCTTTCGCCTCGCCCAACGACCGCGAATACGTCTCAAGCTTGCGCAATGGGGGCAAGCACAGCAAGAAGATCAAGACGTCATCGAGCGGCCTTACGCGCAAGCTGGATCCGGCCTTCTCCAAGACGCTCAAATACTTCAAGGAGCACAACATCAAGCTCGTCGTCCGGCTAAACAACCCTCTCTACGATGCCAGTGTCTTCATCGACGAGGGTATCGACCATGTGGAAATGTACTTTGACGATGGCTCCAACCCCTGCGAGGAGATTCTGCGCGACTTTATCCAGAGGGCCGACGCCATCATCTCGTCTGGCGGCTCCATTGCAGTGCACTGCAAGGCGGGTCTGGGAAGGACGGGCGTACTGATTGGCGCATATCTGGCGTACAGGCACGGCTTCTCGGCGGCCGAATCGATTGGCTTCATGCGCATCATGCGCCCCGGCTGCGTCGTGGGGCCCCAGCAGCACTTTATGTACCAAGAGGTGCCCAACTGGATTCGATGGAGGCAGCAGGACGACAACCGCGTCGAGATGCAACGGTTGCTGGAGAGGCAGAAGCGGGAGCTGCTCGGCAGCTTGAAGAGACCCATTACGGCGGACGAAGAGGAGAGTGGAGGTACGGATGTCGAGGTCGATGTGGGCATTGGCGACTCGAGAGATGCAAAGAGGAGGCGGAAGTCGGAGGAGTCAATGGCTGAGGCAGACCCTGCTACGCCGCGCAAGAGCAACAGTGGGGCAGTGGAGACCACGGAAGACGCGAAGACGTTGCCGCTCGTCAAGCCTACGCCGTGCGTCGGTCAGCCGAGAAAGAGCCCAAGCCCAAGCAGGAAGAGGCTCGCTCAGCGACAGGCTCCCGCGACGATCGCAAGGATGGGCTCAAGGTCACGACTGGTCAGCGGTAGTCGAGAAAATGCTACCGCTGACGTCATTGATGAGAATCACGAAGTTGATGCACTGCCGTCGCGCGTGCTCGGTGAGGCTCGACAGGCCAACTTGCAGCCGATTACAAACGGTAACGGCATTGTCGAAGAGTCGACATTCTCGATGTTGGGCGATCACGACCCAAGAGACGTCGCAAAGGTCACCTCTACGACACCGACTCGAGCTCCGGTTGAAAGGAAGCAGCATCGACGGTCAAAGAGTGCCGTAGAAAGCAGTGACCTGTTCATGGAAGGATGGGTCAGTCCAACGCCGCCCATCTCGAACTATATCCCGCAAACATCGCCCCGTGCCTCAGCTCTTCCATTATCGCCACGGGCAAATGTGGCCAGCATCATGGATGACTGCCCTTCGACGCCAACGCGCGAGAGTGTTCTCAAGGTAGTCGCGCGAGCGAGCCCACAGATCCGCGACAAGTATGGGCTGCGGGACGCGGGATCGCCTCAATCGACACCGCGAGCCAAGTCGTCTGCGGCCATGCCGTCAAGCTCGAGTGCAGAGAGTGGTGTGGAGAGCGCTACGGGTTCAGTGGAGCCCATCAGTATCGGCGCCAGCACCACGAGTGCGACGAGCCAGGATGCCCCGGGGAGCGACGACCCGGACGCCGTTATCCTGGATGCAGCGGCCCCGAAATATTCCTCTCATGCCTCCTCATCGTCCTCTTCCTCCGCGACTTTTGCCGCAAGAAGGGCGGCGCTCAAAGACCAAGGCACGCGTCAACCGTCCACTTCCCGTCGCGTTGCTTCTTCTACTAAGAGCACGACAAGCTCGGCTGCCCCGGCTCGAAAGACTTCGTCGTCGTCCACCCGAAGCATAAGCGGCTCCTCGGCCGTCAGTGGTAGTGCAAGTAGCAGAAGAGCTGCCAATCAATCGGCGTCTTCCTCCTCATCGACGACGGCAACCTACTCGGGCCGACGAGTGACTCCGACCGCGTCTGCAGCACCTCTGACGAATGCTCCGACAATTTCCGCCGGTCGCGTCGCGCAAGCCCGGCAGCGTTTCCTTGCCCAGCGAAGCGCCAACGAGGTTGTTGATTCAGCTTCGGGCGCGCCGCGGCCAAACTTGAAGAGGTCCAGACCGGATCTGGCGAGCGCTATCGACAAGGAGGACAGACCCCGGGCTGTCCCCTCGACGACGACGACCACAACGACAACCTCGTCGATCACGAGGGTCGTCAGCCGAGCGGGCGGGACGGTGCCCCGTTTTGCGGCAGGGACAGCCAGTAGCTTGGCAAGGTCCAACATCAATGGTCTGGCCAGCGGTCCGGCTCCGGTCCAGTTCAAAGGGACAGCAGGACCTCCTCCGTCGTCTTCCTCGAGGACGATGATGCTGGGCAGGACGGTGCGACGGCGGCGGAGCAGCATGGGCGAGGCAGATGTGCCCATGTGATGCGATTCCCTCGCATCAAGACTCGACTCGCTCTCTTCTTCTTTTTTTTTTGCCTTTCTGTGTTGTACCATTCATCCATTCATCCATGTATGTTGTACGCTCAGCTTTCTCATGACAGGACCTTCTCTAGCATAATCATGTCTCTACCCAATTCCTAGTCTCCATCATCATCATCATCAATAATCAGTCAGTCAGTAGGAGATTTGAAAAGACATGCCTTGTGAATGCCCACAGAAGCACCGGTTGATATTATGTGATGAAACAAGACTCTATGTGATGGGTGACAGCGACCGCCTCTGCTTGAGAGTAAGAAGCAAGATGAAATACGAGCTCGTCTTCCGTACTGGTACATGGCATCAAATTGCTCCTGCGAGCTTCGTGACTTCCTCGAGACGCTTCTTGACCTCTTGGTCATCTGCGATGGAAGAGATTGACCTCGCGAGCTTCTGTGCCGTCTCGACAAAGGCGCTTCTTGCGCTGCTCAAAGCCTTCTGCCGTTTCTCCTCTTCGTCGCTGGCGTCGTCGCCGTCTTCGTCATCGTCATCGTCAGACTCTTCTTCGTCTTCTTCATCCACACCGTATAGAAGCGTCGAGACGAGATCGTCAGTTCGCTCTTCGAGCTCCCTGGCTGTCTCGTCCAGCCCGTCGTACTCGTCGAGCTTGTCCTCTCGCGCTTCTGCTGCCCCGTCTGCATTGTTGGAAGGAGCAGCAAAGAGCGACTTGCCGAGCTGCTTCTCCAGCTCGATGCCCGCCTTGATCAAGCTGATGTACTTTGACGCTTCGGCCTTTTCCTCTGCGCTGAGTGTTTCTTCTTCCTCCTCTTCGTCTTCGTCATCCTCTGTTGCATCCACCTTCAATGTGCCCTGCGCCTCGTCGCTGTCCACTGCCTCCTGCAGCTCCTTGAGCGCATCGCTGGCCATCTCGACCCGATCCTTCCAGCCGAGCTTGACGGCCTCCCTGTTGTTCTCAACGAGGAGCAGCCCTCGCTTCTGCTTGTTGCCCTTGAGAACAGCATCGCACAGGTCGTACACTTTGCCAATCGCAAGCAGCGCCGTTGCCCTCGCCTCCTTTTGGCTCTTGCACGCCTGTCGCGCCATGACGCCCGGCTTGGGCCCGCCGTCGCGCCTCCAGCGCGCCTCGGCCGCCTTTTGCACAGCCGTGAGCGTCTTGGGCGCCATGAAGGCCTCGCTGAGCCCGATGAGATCCTCGACAAGATCGACAATGATGCCCTTGACGGCGCCGCTCCACGCTCGCCCTAACCCGCGGCCCCACACCCGCTCGGTCCGGTACTCCTGCTCGCCGGTGTCCCCCGCAAGGGACGGGTGAAAGACCACGGTGCCGCCCTGCTCCGCGACGGCTTTGCGCACGGCGGCCGCCTCGGCCTTTTCCGCCGGCGACAGAGGGACGCGGCGGGAGGCGACGGCCTCGGACGACGCCTTTCGCGAGAGGTAGACGAGCTTGGGGAGCACTTCGTTCATGAGTAGCGTCAGTTGCGACTTGGCCGCGTCGAGCGAGGCGGCGTCGAGGAGCTCCGTCGGGCTCACGCCGCCATTCTCGATGCGCGAGGAGTCGCTGGAGTTCGAAGGGGCGCGGAGGGCCAGCGTCAGGTTCGTGCTGGCTTGCTTGGCCGAGTCGAACAGCACACGCACGTCATGCGTGATCTTGGACGATGTCGCTGCTGCCGAGCTCGTGGAGGGTCCTTGCGCATCGACGATGTGAGGGTCGAGTGCGTCGGACAGCGTCGACAGCGACGTCGCGAGCATGATGCTGAACCGGAGGAGGAGAGACTGGATCTCTACATGCACCTCATTAATCAGTATCTGTCTTCCCCAAAGCTTCAGCAAAGAACACCTGCTCACCCTGCTCCGCCGAAGCCATCTTGACGGCGTCTTGTTGCGCGCGTCGCCGGGAAGGAAGAAAGTGGACCGTCCATGCAGTCTTCGGAGAAAGTCAACTTTTTTTTTTTTTTTTTTTGATTCAAAGATCACGTTCAGCAGTGCAGTCATTCGTGACAATCTCTTTCTGGCTTTAGTCGCCCTTTTATTTTCCGTGACGCTTTTTTTTTCTTCTTCTGTTTTTTTTCTCGGGCTTTTAGGCTCAAGGCTCCGGCGGCGAGTCAGGGTCCTTCTCTTCCTGGTGTTCCTAGGAGCACCGACGGGAGATCGTAGCGAGAAGAAGGTAAAAGAAAAGAAACGATGGCAAGCGCCGATGGGACGGCGCCATCGCCGCCGTCGGAGGTGATTGTGGGTGTGCTTGCGATGCAGGGCGCCTTCCGCGAGCACGCCTCGCACCTCACCCGCCTCAACCCGCTCGTCTCGACGCGGGCGCTCGAGGACCCGCCGTCGATCCGGGCGCTGCTCGTGCGCAGCCCCGCGGATCTGGAGCGCTGCCATGCGCTCATCATACCCGGCGGCGAATCGACGGCGATTGCGCTCGGTGCCGCGCGTGCCCACCTGCTCGAGCCCCTGCGCACCTGGGTCCGCCGCGGCCGGCCGACGTGGGGCACCTGCGCCGGCATGATTCTCCTCTCGCGCGAGGCCATTGGCGGGAAAAAGGGCGGGCAGGAGCTCCTGGGCGGCATCGATATGCGGGTCGGACGCAATGGCTTTGGCAGCCAGGTCGACTCGTTTGAGCGCCGCCTCGACGTGCCTGCGCTCGCTTCCCTGCCTTCGTCCAAGAGGCGCGCAGACGCCGGCGACGACGACAGCGGCTTCCCGGGCGTCTTTATTCGCGCACCCATCGTCGACACGCTGCTCACCAGGCAAGATATCCAGGCAGTCGCGCCATCGGAGCCGACGCTCGTCGCGCGGGAGGCCGGTGAGGCGCACGCGGACAAGAGCGTCACCATGCAGCAGCGGTCGCCATCACGTGGCGGCGGCGATGACAATGACAAGAACAGTGATGCTGCTCCGTCAGCAACGAGACCATCGCTGCCAACGACGCCGTCGTCGTCCTCTGCCTTTTCGTCCTCGTCAAAGACGTCGGCGTCGTCGTCTGCGACCGAGGGCGCCTCCATCCTCTGCGTGGCCCCGCCGCTCGAAGACTCGTCGTCGCCCGACCAGCGCACCCCACGACCGCCACTCGAGATCCTCGCCAGCCTCTCTGAGCTCCCGCGTGGCGCGCGGCAGGGCGCCGGGGGAGCCGTCGCCGCCGCCGCACTGGACCAGGAGCCCATCGCGAATCGGCCCGAGCACGACGCACAGATTGTCGCGCTCCGACAGGGAAACCTCATGTGCACCAGCTTCCACCCGGAGCTCACTGCCGATGGCCGCATGCACGAGCTCTTTGTCAGGCAGTGCGTGCTGCCCTTCTTGTCTTCCTCTTCTTCTTCTATCACTTCATCATAGAGGCGCGAATGCATATACGATCGGGACCCAGAAATTACATAGACACGCAGCAGAGAGAAAGGTCTGAAGAGAACGTTCGTGTGTGTGTCGTCTCGTTGGCTTCGTTCGGTCGCTCTTCTGAGAAGTTAGAAGTCTATTATGGGTGGTGAGGGTTGAAAGATGATGGTGGGATATGAGCTAGCCGATGACGGACTGTTTATGGTCAAGGGAGGCACAGGAAGGAAATAGAGACGATGTCTAAGAAAAAAAAGGTCTATTTGGCGGCCCATGGGATGATATGCTGGAATAGGAGATTCATGGAGCCCACACTTCAGGGCGACAGGCCGTCGGCGTACTCGGTCTCGTAGCCTAGGGCGAGAGCGTACCGGATGTCGTGTGGGAGCTGTGGCATATGGCGAGGAGATTGGCAATTTTGGAAGACCTGTAGTACCATCTCTTTCAGCGTTTGTCTCTCCTCGCCTCGAGGGGGCGCCATAAAGGGAAAGCACTCGCCTTCTTCAACGAGGCATCCGAGCACAGACGCTTGCCTGGCTCGTCCACCGCCCTTGTCCGGACCATGATGCAGTTGGGTGCGAGCTCGCGTCGAATAGCGCCAATCAGGAGCTCGTCGATCTTAACGTGCTGAAACTGGTAGACTTTGAATATGGTGGTCAATTTCAGCTTTCATCCACTTGCAGCAACAACAAGAAGAAGAAGAAAGGATGAGGAGGAGGATGTGAAGCTGGAAGAAAAACACCAACCTTTCTGGCGCTTGTGCATCGAGAGACAGCCATACCTGATGAAGAAAGAGGGAAGATCAGGGCTTTGATGCAGAGTTCGTGAGGAGTCGTCTCACTCGTCGAGCGCCGTGAGCAGATTCGACTGTGAAAGAAGAGAATCAGTCTCAGTGCCGGAGAGCGTAAAGGAGATCATACTCACACCCGGCTCCTCCTCACGGTGCTCGTGCACAAGCCGCAGGCTGTCAGTGTGAAAAAGAGTAGTGTTTAGCAGACGTCGAGAGATTGTCATCTGCAATCGCTCACTCGGAGTAGACACCCTCAAAGAGCTTTGTTTTGTTGATGATCTTGAAGCCAGCCGCCTCAAGTCGAAACTGCAGGTAAATGAATAGTGTCAATCAGGCGAGGCAGAAGCTGAGAGGAGTGCAAGTGACCGACCTTGACAATCTTGCAGAGATCGGTGCTGAATTGAAGATTAGCCAGACGACAAGAGAGGAGTAAAAGCAAGGACAAACTCACGAAGTGATCCACCAGAGGCCGTCGCAAAAGACAATGCCGACATAGGTTGCATTGTGAACTCCCTCGATTTCTTTGCGGTCGGGCACCTTGTTGAGGGAGTCGACGACTATGCGAGGCAGCTTTGCCCTTTTCTTGTCCGAGTAGCCATCGTTGGGAAGCACAAAGCGGTAGATGCAGAAGTTTGGCAAGTTGCCTGAGCTCCCTGTGGTATTTCGTCGCGAGACACGCCGCTTGGAGGAACCCGGCGACCGTGAAGACGGGACTAGCATCTTGTTGAGTCGCGCCTTTTCTGGCGGACTGGGTGAGTAGAGGAGACCATGGCGGGTGTCGTTGGGCTCGAGAAAGCAGGAGAGGAGAACAGAGTTGTCAGCGATCTTGCTCTTGGGCGCAGTCCAGCAACCATTCTTGGATATCCGCGCTCCGAGGTCTGAGACCGACGACGAGGTCAGAAGAGGCAACTGGGCGTGGTGCAGAAAGTGCTTTAGGCGTCTCGCCAGGCTTATCCATCCGTCTGCCGTATCCCTTGTGTCCTTGTTTGTGATCATCCGATGTCCACCGTCAAACGCGAGACGTGCTGCCTCGCCACCCTCGCCACGGTCCATAGCCGTGCGTGGTGCTTTCTCTCCACCGTACTTTTCATAGTCGTCGTCGTCGTCGTCGTCGTCGTCGTCGTCGTCTTCTTCGTGGGGGTCCCTTTCAACTCCGCCGTGGTCCACGTCTCTTACTAGCCCGTCGTGGTCCCTTCGCTTCCGTTGACCACAAGGAAGTGGATCGGTGTTCTCCTCCTCACTATCAAGGTCCATCGCGGCAGGGCTTGCCATCCAGCGTGACTCATCCATCGGCGATGCGTCATTTCTGCGCTGCTCTTGGGAGCGAATTTGATTCTGTGGGAGCTGCACGAGCCCGGCGGCGTGAGGATGGGGTGTGACGGGCAAGCTGTCGCTCTCGGGACAGACGGGATTCGCCGGACCGGTACTGTGCCTTCCTTTTCTTGCCCACGATGACTCCATGGGGAGCGCATAGAGGCTGCTAGCCCTTGTTGTCGTGGGCCTTGGGCAGGGAAGCATGGGACGGTCGTCGTCTGACTTTATCCAGGGTGTGGAAAAGGCGGGCACGGAAATAGTGGAGCGGAGCGCCGACGTCGTGTGTTCGACGTTGAGACTGAAGCAGCTCGTGGAAGACGACGGGTACGACGATGGAGGATAAGACGATGAATCGCTGCTGGTCCTCGTCGAGCTGGAAAGCAGCGAGGGCGTGCAGCAGCTGCATCCACCTGCTCTTCTTCTCTCGTCCATGGTGAGAGAGGGAGGAAATGTTGACGAGCCGATGCTGAGGATGAAAGAGTGGGCTGTGAAGGGGGCCCTATGAAGTCTATTTCGATAAGCAGTATGGCAGCCGTGATAACGAAAAAGGGGTGGTTAAAGCTAGGATGTGGATGCTAGCGATGGAAGGAGACCCTTTGCTACGTCCGAAGAGGACGACAGGGACAGGGCGTTTGGATGAGACCAGCAAAGATGACCAGCACCGAGGAAAGTCCGCCCCTTAATACGTCTGTCCATCCCCGCTGGGATATGGCTGACGTTGTCGCTTACCAAATGCTCCCAGTGTTCCCCCCCTCCGTTAATCTCCTTTCTTTCTCCTTTTTCTCTTGCTCGCTCGCGCACGGTGTCTCTCCCTCTTTGCGAGTATCAGGTTCTACCCAAAGGCTCAGGTTTTGCCCTTGCTAGCACGAGAAAAAAAAGATAGAGAGGGAGAAAGTGCTTCGAGTGGGAAAGCGTCAACAATATTCTCTGCTCGGAGTGTCGTCGCTGATACGCCCTCCGCGCGCGACAGCGTCGTCGTTGATGAACCGGGCAGGCGTGCGTTCTTGAGTGCTGTTCGGCAGCCTGTACTGCCGTGTCGGTCTGACCGGACCGGTCTCATTTCGCTCCGTCGTCGGCGCGTGCGCCGCTGGATTCGCCCAGCAAAGTGTCACCGAGCTCCCCACTCGGCCAACGTGCTGATGACGTCCCTCTTCTCTCTCTCCCTCTCGCTGCCTCTCTCTCTTTTCCTCACTCTCCCACCCTCACGCTCCCTCTCACTCCTGCCTTTTCCTTTGTCACTCCTCGCCCCGGCCTTCGCAGGTCTAAATTGGCCGAAAATAGCACTGCCGTCACCTCCTACCTGGCAGAGTTCCAGCTCCTCTCGGTCCGCCTTTGCGCAAGACACGTCAACGGTCAGCTGTGGCGGAGCCACCCGGTTTCAGCTTCCCCAGACGACACCAGTCTTATCAAACCATTTCTTGGAAAAGGAACAGAACTGATGAGTGGGCTGCGAAATGAACAGAGTCAGAGTGCCTCATGGCTCTTCTCGCATCGCCAACGGCGACCGTCATGCCATTGACCGTGACGCTGCACGCCATCGAAACACGTGGAGCATCATCACGTGCAGTCGAGCTCGGACCATCAACCAACTTTTGCGAAGGAAGCAGACAGCTTCTCTCTCGATCCAGTTGGCGCGCTCACCACCATGTCCGAGTACGATCCAGCGTACCTGGCACAGCAGAGCCTCTATGGCGGCACGGGCGAATTTGAAAATGGAGCAGAGGGCGGCCAAGCGTGGTACGGCGGCGGAGGAGCGGGGGGCGCATATGGTGGTGGTGGCGGTGGTGGAGGCGGGGGTGCGGGTGGACATCGGCATCGAGGAGGCCGCCGCTCGGGAGGCTGGCAAGGTCATCGCAGCGGGGGTGGTGGTGGTGGAGGAGGAGGTGGCGGTGGAGTGCCTGGCGACAGAGGTAATTATGGGTATCAGGGCGGTGGCTCGCGACAACAAGACTCGACAGAGTACTACATGCGGGCGATGCGCGATGCGCTCTTCCGGATGGGCGATGGTGATCCCCACGCATACGACGATTTCCACCCTCCTTCGGAGCTCCTGAGGCTGAGCCATGTTGTAGACACCAATGCGAGCTACGGCGAACGTTTCGTCGAAGGTCTTTGCCAGGCATTTAGAGTCATGTGAGTTAATGGCTGCATGCAGAGAGAGAGAATTGGGCTGACCCCTCCTTCTTGTACAGGACCACTGAGCAGCCTCACAAGCACCCACTCATTGCTGCTCTTATCGGCTTTCTTGTTCTCTCTCCCCAAAAGAGAGATGAGCGGGATCACGCGCCCGAGGCTGACGGTGAAGCTGCCAAAGAGCAGACCGGCGCAGAGGGCGATGACTTCAACATTGGCACAACCCTCGTCAGGGATCTTATCGTCTCCTTTCGCTCGGACCTCGACGCACGTCTCTGGAGGAAGGTCCGATTGACTGTGAGTGTCACGGTCTCTTGTCACCAACCAGTGTGAGATGCTCACCCCCTAGCGATCGCCTGCAGCTCAACCTCTTTGCTAGCCTCATCCCTCTGAGCATCGTCACTTCCTCGTCTCTGCGTTCTGTTCTGGCCTCCTTCGCGGCTGTGCTCGATGAGCCTGGCGTTACGGCTGCTAGGGGTGACCGTGCGGCCATGTGCATCATTGAGACCATGTGCCGAGCCGGCCAAGACCTCGCGATCGTCGGACCATCGGCTGATGCATCGACCGAATCAGCGTGGGGAACACTCGACGACGTGGCTCTGCAGGACCTCGACCAGCTCGTGAGCCGAGTGGAAAAGTACTGCCACGAATACCGCAACGTGGAGAAGGAGCTTGTGAGGCCGTTTTCGTCTCGTCGAAAGGACGCGGCTGCAAACGGGCAGGATGAAGAGAGTGACGATGAGGATCTCTTTAGCGAAGAGGTAAGTCTGCCAATGTTCACCCTCTGAGACTCGCTCCTAATACATGCTCCCAAGTCCTTTGAGACGGCCGTGGCGGCCCTGTCGAAACTCAAAGCCCAGGGGTACAGAAAACCTGCTTGCCTGCCATCGGCGCTCGATCTATTGCCTGCTCCAATCATTGAGATCAGCAAGAGGACACCGATCGAAAAAGTTATCAATCTGCCCGACATCCTCGTCCCGCCCGATGATGACGACGAATTCGGCCTGTCGATGTATCCTAGCAGCGGACCTGTGGCTCAGCAGAGCGGGGGCGGCAAGCGAAGAGGCAAGAAGAGGGCCAACAACAACGAAGAGGAGAAATATCGGGCAGGTGCAGGCATCGAAAGGATTCCATGCTTTGGCAGATGGTTCAAGGGGGTGGGTACTGAGGTCTTCTGTCGCTTCTCTGCACCTGGGCTAACGATTTTGTGATAAGACCGTTCCCGACGCCGACTCGCCAGCAAATGTGGTGCTTCGGTCGATTGTCAATGACATCATTGACCTGTACGAGGTCAATCGAAAGGAGTGTGCTCGGATCCTCTTCGATTCGGCTCGATGGCTGCGCAAGGGGACATTCACGGGAAAAAGCACTCCACCCGAGAAGGGCATCTTTGGGCATGCAGATGATCTGTGGCAGACGGGCGAGGATGGCGAGGTGCAAGGCGGCTGGGTATTGGACGACTTCATCGTTGAGGTAAGCAGCTTTGGTTAGTCCTTTCTCTAAGTCTCATATGCTGATCAGAATTTTTAACAGAGCATCCTATCTTCGGCCCTCGCGATGCCGCTCCCATCGCAGAGACCCCTGTACTACACTTCCCTTCTTCGCGAGGTCGTCGCTCTAAGTCCACAGAGTGTGGCGCCGGCCATGGGAAAATCTGTCCGCCGCATCTATCACGCCATGAAGACCGGCCGACCCGAAGGCGAGGTCATTCACCGGTTCGCCGATTGGTTCAGCATTCATCTGAGCAACTTCAACTTCAGCTGGGCATGGAAGGAGTGGATTCCAGACATGACGCTGACCAACGCCCACGCGCAAATGGCTTTTGCTCGTCGCATCGTCGAACTTGAGCTGCGGCTCTCTTACTTCCAACGGATCAAGGACACCCTGCCTGCGGAGATGCAGCAGCGCCTGCTGCCTCCTGAAGAGCCGGCGCCCAATTTCACCTACGCCAATGCAGAGCATCCTTTCAACGAGCGAGCCATGGCCTTGATCCAGTCTTTCCGCGCTCGGGCGACGGCTGAGGTGATCCTGGCCGAGATGGAATCTTTCAAGCGCGACATCACTCCCTCGCAAGCGTTCCTGCCCTCGGACGACACTGACAAAGTTAAGGTCCGAGACGAGCAAGAGGCCGACTTGGTCATTCGCGACATTGTGATTCAGGCCATCCTCAACATCGGAAGCCGAAGCTTTTCGCACTTTCTCAACGTCGTCGAACGATACCACGCCCTGCTCCGACAGCTCTCATCGACGCCGGATCTTCGTCTGGCAATTCTGGCGAGCACGGCGCGCTTCTGGGCGCACTCGAACCAGTGGATCACCATCGTGTTTGACAAGCTGCTCCAGTATCGCATCGTTGAGCCGGCCGACGTCGTCGCGTTCGTGTTTGAGACACCAAGACCGCTTCCGGCGGTGGTCTTGCAGGAAGAGCAACCGCAAGACGAGGCCCGCTTCGGCGGGTATCAACGAGACTGGTCGTCAATGCAGTGGTACGACGTGATCAAGCTCACCGTCGAGAAGGTCAACGGGCGCGTGGACCAGGTGCGGAAGAGGTTTGAGCGTCTTGAGCGGGAGGAGGCCGAAGAGGCTGAGCGGAAAGAGGCGGCCAAAGCTGCCGCCACTTCTGGAGTGGACGGCGAGGAAGATTCAAAGATGTCCGAAGCGAGCAAGCAGGAGATCTCAGAAGCTGTTCCTGCGCCGCCAAAACCATTCTTGGCGCCTGAGGAGAGTGTCAACCCCACGCCTGCACAGCCGCAGAAGAAGCGCGAGGGCACAGCGCAGGAAGCCAAGACGGCTCTCGAGGCTATCCAAGCCGAGCAGCGCAAGGTGCTGGTGAATGCCACGATGGGCTTTGTCAAGCTCCTCAAGGGCAAGGATCTGCGCCAGCTTGAGCAGGTCAATGCGGACCAAGAGAATGACGAAGCCACTTGGCAGGCGTGGTGGATTCGTGCCTGGTACCGCGACTACCTCCGCGCGGTGAGTGTTGTTCTCTCAGAATCCCATCATACGGACCTTTTACTGATCGACCCTTACAGTTCAACAAGCATCTCGTCGCGACGCACGAGACCATTGCCGCGTCTGTCTTTGCCGATGTAAGCGAGACAGACAGCGTCCGCGACGTGTTTGAGCGGGCATGCCAAATGGCCAGCGAGTAGACCAGCCCCTTGCTCTCTGCTGCTCCATTAAAAAGAAATGCTTGCATTATGTCTCCTTTTCCCCTCTCTCTCGCTCTCTACCCACACAATGGGGTAATTACTTTTACAGTTCATGAAGTCTGATGACGTTGCTGTTGTGCTGCTTCGGCACCGCTCGCGCCGCCGGGGCCATGGATGAGGACGGCTAAGGATGAGTTGCGCCGATCGCGCCACTCCTTCATTGACGACGGCTGCGCCTGCTGTGCGACCTGGAGCTGCGCCAGGGCCTTTTGGCCCACGGCCGAGAGGCTCGCGGCGCCCGTGCCGTGGCGGAAGCGGACCTCGAGGGGCACGCCGCCGCCCTGCGTCTCGTTGATGATCGTCGCAGTGCCGGCGGCCTGCTGGCTTTGCTTCTCTGCTCGCTCCTTTTGCCAGGCACGGATGCGCGGCAGGTACTGGAGCCCTTCTGCGCGCGCATACATCTGCACGGGCACGCTCCTGGTGCTGCGCGGAAGCAAGTTGGGCACCGTGAAGCTGCGGGGCCCGCTGAGGTGGAAGGCCGAGCGCTCGTGCTCGTCGAGGACCACAAAGACGTCGACGGCCGACTTCTTGGACGGGTTGACGAGCGAGAGGAGCACTACGAGGGGCGCCTCAATCGAGGCAACGGGGGCCGCAGAAACAACGAGCCGAGCGAGAAGATGGGGTGGGACGAGAAGGGGGAGCGGCAGTCTGGTAGTTGTGACTCCCGCGGCGGAAGACGACGAGGTGGACCTCCTCCATCTCACCTCGAGGTGGCCAGTCGGGCCAACCGTTTCTTGCTCTTCTGTGTTGGAAGCAGGACCTGCTGAGAGGACCTCGACGTCGTACACGCCACCCCAGCGATCTCCCCGGATCCACTCTCCACCAACGACGCCCGCCCCTGCTTCCTGGTCTTCCAGCTGACGCAGGTACTTGTTCGCAGGGTCCAATACGAGCTTGACCGTCTCAATGACGAGCGTCGTAGGCGCAGTGACGTTGAGGCAGGCATTGACAGCCGCAATGGTGCTAACGGGCGCCTGATCCAGGTTGATGCCCAGAGACGAGACACCATCCACTTCGCTGCCAGGATCAGAGTCCGGCGTCGTCGCACCGCCACCGCCATTGCTGTTGCTGTTGCTGTTGTTTGGCGGTGTAATCTGTCGCGACTTTGCCTCACCCACTCGCCATGCAGCCGAGAACTGACAGCTGAAAGCAGGTCTCAGGCCGAGCGAAAGGTGGTGGAGAAGCTCGCTCGTGTGTGTCTCAGCGGCATGCGACCCAGTCGGCGCCACCGTCGAAGAGGCGCGCACCACAATCTCAAACGCGGCCACCTGGCTCACCCTGGCGGTGAAAGTCTTTTCGACCATGGAACCGCACTTTATCTTGTCGAAAGCGATGCCCTGCAGCATGGCGATGCTCTCCTGTTCTTCGCACACCAGCTTCGCCTCGCCCGACTGCAGCACTACATCGACCGAGCAATCGACCTCTTCCTCGCCCTCGCGTGGACTTTCCTCGTCGTTGTGCAGCCGAATCGTAACAACGAGATCTTCGTCGAGGTACGCAAATTCCTCGTGTACCACCTCGATGCGGATGTTGTGCTTCTTTCTCGAGACCGTCACGACGCAAGCTTCCTCTTGCCGATGGCGAAGGTCGACTAGCCGGAGTGGATCGGCGTTGATCATCCAGTGTGGCTGGAACGGCTGGAGCAGCGGCACCTCATCTGCCACGGGCAGGTTGAACACCAGCTCGACAGCAGGGCTAGCGAGGACGACTCTGGAGATGCGAATCGTCTGTGGCCAGTCGGCTCGCAGCGCACCTTGCAGAGTTCTTGTGACGCCTCTTCCCCAGCGCAGATCCACCTTCACCCCCACGTCGCTCCGCCGGGTCAGATCAATGACGCCGACATTGGCGATTTGGGAGACGGACTCGCCCTTGACGTCTGCTTCCCCCTGTATCACGATTGGGTCCTCGCTCTCACCCTCCAAATAGATGCGCGCGTCCACAAACGGAATCGGGGGCAGCGCGCTGTCGTCGGGACATGAGAGACGGAGCTGGAATACGGCCGGCTCCACACCGAGGTCGATCTTCGGCTTGAGAAAGACAAAGTCGACACAGAGGGCCCCATCGACGGACTCCGCCTCGACCTCGAGCGGGGTCTGGCTCTCGCGTTGACCCCACCATCGCTGCAGCTCGTCTCGGACCTGGTCCCGCTGCTCGTCCGTCAGAGTCTCTGCAGAAGGCCTGCACAGCTCCATCAGGGCTCTCCCCTGGCTCTCGACGTCACCGACCTGTGTTGCGCATTCGAAAGACTGCAAGAGCAGTGATGTCAGGGGCGCCTCCCACCCTTCGACACGATACGTCTTGACGATGCGCTCGAGGAACCGAAGCGCCATCTCATGCTGGCCGCTCTCCAGGTACGCATTCGCAATCTTGCTCGCGACGCTCAGGCTGAGTCGGATCTTGCCCAATCGCTTGAACAGCTCGTAGGCCCTCGTAAAGACGTCGATGGCCTGGGCGGCATGGTCGACTTTCTTCTCCTGTGCGAGTACAGACCATTGCCCGTCGTCTTCCTTGCCCGCTGCGGCCTCCGACAGCTTCTTGAAGCGCGACCATCGCTCCAGGGCGCAGAGGCCAGCGAGGTAGAAGCACTCGCCAGGACCTGGGCACATGGCGGCGGGAGCGACGCCAGATTGCACAGCCGCCTCGTTTGGCGGAAGCAAGGGACCATGCTGGGGATTGTAGACCTGCGGATAGTGCTGCCCGCTGGCCGTCGGCGTGGGGAGGTGGGAGGGATGGAGCAGAAACGGTGGTAGCGGCGGGTGGTGCTGGGGGACCTCAAACGCTGGAAGGGGTGAGCCTGGCATCGGCCGAGTGCCAAGGTCGAGAAGATCGCCCATGAGACGATACTGCTTGCCGAGCCAGGACCAGAACTCAAACGTCATCTCGCCGATGCCCCACCCCTGGCTGAGCTCGGTGAAGCGCTTGATGTGCAACCGGAACTGTCGCCAGGCCGCCTCTCCGTCATTGGCGTAGAGGTGCAGCTTGCTGATGCGCACGCTGAGCGTATCTGCGAGCACCTTTGCCTCGGCCCATCGCTTTGTCCGAGGGGGCAAGAGGAGCGTCGACGTGAGGAGCTCTGTCGACAGGCTGTGGTACGCAGTCTCGTAGTGCTGCAGCGCCTCGGCGAGATTGGCAGAGAGCTCGGCAAAGGTGCCCAGCTTGACGTCGTTGCGGACGAGCCAGCCCTCGCGGCTGAGCGGCGGGTCCTTGATCGGCATGTTGTTTCCACGTAGCTGCGCGGCCGCCGTCATGATCTGCGTGACGAGCGAGGAAGGCGGAGGGTATCTGGCCCGTTTCCGTCGGGCCCGCCGCATGTGCTCGCGGTAGTAGTCCAGTGCAGGGTCGTAGAGGGCCGATTGCAGCGACGTGACAAACTCATTAAGCTCGGGCTTGGACACGGGCGTGAGCACAAAGAGGGAAGCCCGCGAGTCGAGCATCGACGATCTTCGAATGTACGATAGTCGAGTCTCGAGCGCCGGTGATTCTTTACTCATAGCTGGTCAGTGGTCGTTGTCCTTCTTGCGCATTCAGAGGAACACTCTCACCTAGCATCGATCTTGTGGTCAGGAGCACGACGGTGAGCTTGATGCCCCTCTCGCTCAGTGTCCGCTTCCTGTCTGCAATCTGCTTGATGAGCTCTTCGTCTCGCCTCTTTAGCTCCTGGCCCGCCTTGGCCATAGACGCATCGAAGTCATCTGGCTGTTGCTTCTCGCCTCCCCCCTCTTCCTTCTCGTCATCTCCCTCCTTCTCCTTCTCCTCCTCCTCCCCCTCTTCCTTCTTCTTGTCCTTCTTTGGAAGCGGTGGTGGCGGCGGCTCTGCAAGGCAGTGAAAGCCGACAAAGATGGCAGGGACGAGCTCTCGGTGCTTTCTCATCCAGATGGGCGCAACGAGTCCATCTGGGAACAGTGGGCTCGAAGGGTGCAATGGCGAGAGCGGAGACCGCGGCGGGAGATTGTTGATGATCGACTGCTGCTCCGGTGAGGCACTCGAGAGCGTCCGCGGTGTCGGCCTTGTCTTCCGGGGCGGCAGTCGGACGTTCTGCGAGAGAGAGAGAGAGACTTCAGATCAGCTTCCCCTTCTTCTCCTCGTCTACAGCCCCCTTTCATTCCTCTGCTTGCTGCTGCTGGTCTGATCTGATCACTCACCGCATCGACGAGAACAGAGTGAAAGACTGCGCTCTGTCCCTTTGCTGGGTCCCAGGCGGTGCCCCTGCCCCGCGAGTCAAAGACCTCGCACAGGTCCTTGCACAGCTCCGGAAACGCCTGCGTCGGAGTGGGCGTCGGCGCCGCATGGCCCTCTTGTCCGACGGCGGCCGCCTCTTCCCTCTTGGGCGCCAGCGGTCTTGGAGGCGAGGAAGAGGGCGAGCCAGGCCCGTTGATCGCGGCCGCCGGTGCAGCGGTCGTCGAGGACTGCGCCTGCTGCTGCTGCTGCTGCTGCTGCTGCTGCGATGGGGGCACTTGCGCTTGCGCTTGCGCTAGCGGAGGCTGAGACGAAGACGCGGAGCCAGTCAGGCCGGCAACGAGCATGCAAGCATAGTGATGCTGCACCAGCTCGGCCGGATACGCATTCATCCCTCCCGCTTGAATATCCTCGCCGGCGTCGTCTCCTCACACGTCGTTTCGTCGGCGTTGGTGACAAAAGGCCGTCAAGTGGACAGAAATGAGTGTCGCGCCGGCCCAAAATGCTAATTTCACGTGTCCGAGCGATTGAAGGTGGAGAACGACACACCGTCAACTGGGAAGGCAGTATGTTTTATCAGCGATGTCAAAGACGAATACATTGGTAGTAATGCTAAAAGTACAGGATGTAAAGTTGCAAAGAAGAGGATTCTAGGACGCAGCGGCAGCAGAAGCGACATACGTCTCCTTTTCCGATTCGTACCGATCGAGGGTGCGTTGAGGGAAGACGGCGCGGCAGGTAATGCAGCGCTCTCGCGGCGAGCAGAAGACTTTGCGGGCACAAAGGTTTTCCTATCAGTGCTGGCTTTCACTATGCAACACCAGACAACTCACTGCTTAGACACACGGAGCAGACATAGCCCACGTCGACGATTCTGCCGTGGCAGAAGCAGGCAGCTCGGAAATCGACGTCGTCGTTCGACGGCAACCGGATCTGGCTTCGAAGCGTCGGTGAGGCCAAGAATGCGGCCTTTGTCAAATCAAGCAATGAGACCGACAGTCAGCGCTCGAGTTCATCAATGACAAGTCTTGAGTTTGTGAGACCCACCATCAATGTTTGCAGAAGCAAGCTGATGTCCTTGATCCGAAAGTAGGTGCCACCAGTCAGGTGGCTCGCCTGCTGCAGGAACACGCTGTCGGTCCCGAACAGCTTGCACACGTCGATCAGAACGCCCTGGAGAGGTAGGAGACAAGATCCACCGCGTCAGTATCATGTCGTGCACACAATTAAGTAGACCAAAGAACGCACCCTCTTTTGCGCCCCAAAGATGCAATTCATCACGGGGACATACTGGCTGCTGCTGTCGGGCGATGCGCTCAGGACCAGGATCCTGCTCTTGTATCCTCCCCGCGCGGTCCCTGCTCCTGATCGACCTGCGGAGCCTGCACCTCCGGTCCCGCTACCGTGGATCGAGACGGAGCCCATACCCGCTGAGGCGTCCGCGCCCGTCGCATTCGAGAGCGAGAGCCGGTGGATGTGGCAGAGGGCCTGGGCAAGCGCCGACACGATGCCCGTTGAATGCCTTTCCTCGTCTGCCCGCGCCTCTCCATCAGCAGCTGGTTTCGAAGCCTCGAGAAAGTCCGAGACACCTTCAAGTACAGCGTCGTCGACCAGCTTGAAGGGCTGGTAGGTGTTGGCATCTGGCTTGCTCCCGCCTCGCTCAGCGACCAGCCTCGCCGACTTTGTCTGCTGGCTGTTCAGCGGCGCGTTGCTGAACAGCAGCTCGGCCCGGTTGTGTGCTGCAGCGTAGACAGCAACGGAATTTTCGTGCCGGATGGCCGTGTGGGCATTGAGGAAGATGCAGAGCTCCACGACGACCTTGCGCAGCAGGTGTCCCGTCGAAGAGGAGTCCACGGCGGCCCACGCATACGGGTCCACATCGAGGACGACGACGACGAGGTCCGGCGCCGCGCTGAGGTAGGCCGACTCCTCGCTGGACTTGACAATGTGCGAGAAGCGCGCGTGGCCCTCGCTCGACGTCGCTCCGTTGCTGGGCATCGTCAGTCAGTGGAGATGGAAAGGCGGCGCAGCGAGAGAGCAAGAAAATAAAAATTAGAAGACGACGCGACCCTTTTCGTTGAACAACGTCTGTGCGCTTTTCTTCCTCCTCCACCGACGAACGAAAGCCATGGCAGAGCAGCATTGGGACCCGTCGAGACTGTTCGAGGGTGCGACTGGACGGGGCTACGCCGTCATCTTGCTCAACCAGCCCATCCTTCCAGTCCATCGCTCTTCCTTTCTCAAGCTTTGGTGCGGGGGTGAGCACATGCTCCAGCTCCTCGAGAATAGTGCCGGCTGACTGATGCCCGCGCGCGCCTACAGCGACGCTTCGCATCTGCGCAGATGGCGGCGCCAATCGCCTGTACGACTCCTACTTCGCACCGGACAGCTCATCGACATCGTCGGTAGTATCCGATGTCCCAGAGCCGCACGATATCATCGGCGACCTCGACTCTCTGCGTCTAGACGTGCGCAGCTACTTTGAGCAGAAGGGCAAGACGACAGTCAGGCACGTCGCCTCGCAGTACTCGACCGACCTGCAAAAGTGCGTGCTGCGAGTCGAGGAGCTCGAGACGGAAGGTGCACAGGCGGAACAGATGGACCTTGTCCTCGTCGGTGGGCTCTCGGGCAGGCTTGACCAGACGATGCACACGATCCACGTCTTGTGCCAGCTCTCTCCGCTTGAATCGAGCGGCGAAAGGGCCGACACGGGCCCGCCGCGGCGACACAAGAAGATGCCACGGGCCGCCGATGGCGAGGTGCGCGAGGGAGAGAGCGAGGAGGACGACTTTGCCACGCTGCAAAAGCGCAAGACGACGTACGTCATTAGCGAAAACTCCGTCGCTTGGATCCTGTCAAAGGGCAATCACTCAATCGACGTCGACGATGACAGGCTCTTTGGACCGACGTGCGGCCTCTTACCGTTTGAATTGCAGCTCGATTCGTCGAACTCCGCCGCGCCCACGTCGGGGGCCATCATCAAAACTCAAGGGCTCGAGTGGGATCTCGACGGGACACCCTCAGCTGTCGGAGGCTTTCTCTCAACAAGCAACCACCTCCGAAAGGGGCAGCAGATTCATGTACAGACAGACCGCGCCATCATCTGGACGGTGGAGCTTCGATCAGACCAATCATAGAGCAAGTAGTGGAATGGTGATGGAGTCGTCATTCATCTCGAGAAGGCATGCATACACTCTCAACGCATCATTGCTGCGCCGGCACATTGTAGCTGTCATGGAGGTTCGTTAGCTGATTGGTCTTGTAAGTGACAGGGCAGATCGGACTCACAGCATGTTCCCGTTGCTCGAAGGAAGGTAGGTGACGTTTCTCGCAGCGGCCAGTGTCGCTGCAATCTCCCTGCTCGCTTCGATTCTTCGGATTGTGAGCAGTCCATCGCCCGACTTCTCCAGTGCCCGCGAGATCGTCTGAGCCGCCTCTGCCTCTCCCTCTGCACGGATGACGGACGCTTGCCTCTCCTGCTCGGCCTGCTCGACGACGAACTTTTGCCTCTCTGCATTTTGCTGCGCAATCTGCTTCTGCTCGACGGCCTTTGTGAATTCCTGTCCGAAGACGAGATGCGTCTGCAGATGATGGCGCAGTCAGCACATGCTCTTAGTACAAGGGAGGTATATCAACGACTCACAATCGAGACGTCCTCCAAGACAATGTTGAACTCCTTGGCGCGCTTGAGGAGGTCCTCTCTGATGCGCGAGCTCACGACCTCTCGCTGGGTGATGAGCTCGGCGGCGTCGAATTGCGCCACGATGGACTTGAGCACCTCGTTTCCAATCGACGGCAGCACTCGCTCGTCGTAGTCGAGACCGAGGCTCTGGTAGATGCGCGAGAGGAAGCGGACGTCGGGGCGGGACATGACACGGAGCGTCAGCGTGACCATCTGCAGGTCCTTTGACCCGGTGGTGGTGCTGATGTTGCGGGGCTTGATGCGGACGTCGTACAGGATCGCACGCTGCAGCCAGGGAATGACGACGTGAATCCCTTCACCAAGTGCCTGTTTGCGCGTGTGCCCGAACGTCAGTACATTGTCCGGGAGCTATGTAGAGGCAAAGGGTGCAGGTGACCCACCTCTGGCTTGACACCCTGGAATCGGTCAAAGATGATCGCCCGCTGCCCTCCGTACACGCTGACAAGGCTCGCCTGGGCGCCCATGAGGGCAATGCCCAGAGGAATGGCGTATCTCGATGCGAAGGCCGACATCGTCTTTTCGTGAGCGCTGCGCTGTCCTTGTCCCAGTGGAGATGAAGATCTCGAGAGGATGATGAGCTGAGACCAATTCCAAAGCTTGAGACGCACGTGACCAATCGCGTTGGTTATTTTGCCCATAGCAACGCAGGCGCGCGTTAGCCGGGCGGGTGATTTTGGATTTTCCCAAAGGTCAGCCAGACGGACAGACAGACAGACAGACCCTGGGTCATCGTCCACTTTGTGGCCTTCCTCCTCCTATCTGACATCGCATTTCCGCTGTTGCCGTCGTCCCCCTCCGTCGCTTCGGCCCAGATACAAGGGCCGCAAAAAGGGCAGGTCGATCATGTCGGCCATGACGACGAGGCCGAGGAGGGCAGAGCACTACCACTCGAGGGCCGACGAGGAGGAACCGACAACACCGAGGATGATGCTCGACGGATCAGGTGTGGGAGCAGGAAGACGAATGATGGGCGATGCTTTCAGGTCCTCATCACCAGAGGGCAGCCCGTTGCCGACACCCCCCAGACCAAGGATTCCAGACCTGCTCAAAAGTACGGGTACTGGCGGCGTACCATCGGCGGGAGGTGGTGCTCCTGGGCCGAGCAGTCGAGCCTTTAACAATCGGGTGCATCGGACCCTCGGCTCCTCGACGACGACGACAGCAGCTGCTGCCCGAGCTAGGCCGGGACGGTACGAAGCCAAGGTGGATGACGAGGGAGAAGGTGATGACGGAGATGAAAGCCCGGGAGTAGCAAGGCGTGCTGCCGCCCCGGCCCACTCGTCGTCGTCGCCAAGCCTTCGAGCTCAAGGTCTGTCGAGCAGATACACAACAGTCGACGGCAACTCGAGCCCTTCGTCGCTAGCCAACAGCCTCGGAACGGCGCATCGACATCTGGGTGCCCATCTGGGAATGACAAAGCATGCAGAGCCTTATCCATCGACGCGGCCCACCCTCTCGTCAAAGCGGGTGGTGAGCTACGAAGAGACTTCCAAGTCGCGGCTAGCTTCGCAAGATGCGCCCATTCCCACCCGGTCGTCCATGGCATCTCTTGCGCAGACCGTCGACGAGGAAGAATGGAAGAACTCTCAGCCTGACCGGCTAGCGGCCACCTCGGCGACATCGGCTGCAGCGAGGACATCCCGCCCCAATGGCCTGGCTCGGCGATTGTCGAGCAGAAGCAGCATGGGTCGCTCGACACCCAGCCCACCGCCTCGAGGTCAGTATTCCACTGCAGCGCAAGATTATTCAGCCGAGGATGATCAATATCACCACGGAGATGAGGCAATCGACGAAGATGCACCACGGCGACGAGACTTTGGGCTAGAAGGAGGGGCCAGGATGCTCAAGCGGAGCCAAGACGAGCGTGACGAAGACCGTCACCCACGCTCCACCTCTCAGTCGCCACCAAAGCAGAGTCAGATGGAATTGAACGGGCACAGCTATCAGACGCCGGCGATGGGAACCGGCGCGAGGACAATCACTTCGAAAGGAGCAGCAGCGGCAGCGGCCGGGTCACGGAGTGTGGCACGCTCAGCAGTCAAACGGTACGGGCGATCATCTATCCACACCAAGACCAACGTACGCAAACCGGCTGCAAGACGTGTCAACTGCTACAAAGAAGAGGAGGAAGAGGAAGCTGGTGCTGGCGACGACCAGCCGCTCGACTCGCCTCTCTTGGACGAGGGCGATCGTCACTTGGGCTCGTCTACTGACCTGACGCCAGAGAGTGCGAATGGCGGCTCTGGCGAGCGACGCTCAGGGCGAAGAATGGAGAGCAGAAGCAGAGCTACGCCGCCTCCCCTCGTCATGCCCGACGATGCTCACCGTCAGCGAGCACGCTTCGAAGAGCCAGCTTCAGGCATCAAGGTGCCTCTAGGGGCCGACGAGGACGACGATGCAGAGGAAGACCCGGTGATCTCTGCGAGAGAGAACATCGACTCACTTCTGCACCATCGCCAAAAGAAGTCAGCTGCTATGCACGACATCATCGCGGCAAAGGTCCCATCGCAACCGCAGCACAACGGACCTCATGCTGCCCGTAGGCCGCTGCATCCCATCGACCAGCACCAAGGCCTGCTGGCTGGTCCTGCTCGTGGACCGAGCGACTTTGTCGGAGCGTCTGCTGCACCACGAGAGGATGCCAGTGCCGCTGCTTCCATGGCCACCACAGACACTCTCGACGAGCACGACTTTACCGCACGTATCTGGGAAGAGGTGGCTCGACAGCGCACGAGAGTATTCCCCGAGAAGCTCCTTGCCAAGCTCAACAAGGAAAATTCGGAGCTCAAGTTCAACAACCTGCGCTTCAAAAAGGTATCCAAGGCGGGCACTGGAGGCTTTTCGACCGTCCATGCTGTCCATGGACCGCTGGCCGTGGCAGCAGAGGGAGCAAGCAGCAAAGAGTGGATCGTGAAGCCAGGCGAGGAGCAGGGCTTTTTCGCCCTCAAGGTTGTCACACTCAAGAAGCTGGAAGAGCAGAGCAGGGCAGAAGTCAAGCAGGAGGCGGAGCTGCTTGCACTCCTCGCCACCAAGCCGGACAATGACCGGTACATTTTGCGCTACTTTGGGTCAAAGTGCTCTAGCAACAGTCTCAAGATCCTTCTGGAGCTGGGCGACGAAGACTTTAGCCGGATTCTGTGCGACAAGTATCTCACTCAGGATGAGATTCGCAAGTACTTTCGGCAGATGCTCGAGGCGGTCCACTTCACCCATGAACAAGGAGGCATGCTCCATACCGATTTGAAGCCAGCCAACTTCCTCATGTGCAACGAGCGACTGAAGCTCATTGACTTTGGAATCGCCCAGAAGATTCCCCTGGGCACAGTCCACATCCGACGAGATGCTATGATTGGTACGCCAAACTACATGGCACCCGAGACGGTCCGAACGGCGCGCGAAAAGGACTCGAGAAAGGTGTACAAGAATGGCAAGGCCAGCGACGTCTGGAGTCTGGGATGTATTCTCTACCAGATGGTGTACGGCCACCCGCCCTTTGACAGATTCCGCGGTCCAGACGAGAAGTTGAGGGCCATTGTGGACGCCAAGACGCCTATCGACTATCCGCGCACGCGCATCTCAGCAGAGTACGACATTGCGTCTGACGAGGTCCGCAGCGCAGAGGACGACCAGGAGCACGATCGGGACGAAGCAGGAAACAGGCGAGGCTACGAATACGAAGAGGTACCCCAGGACCTCATCGCTTGCATGCGATCGGCCCTCGAGTTCCGGCCAGATGACCGCGCCACGATTCCGGAACTGTTGAGGGACGCGTGGGTCTACAGCGGCAGCGCACGGGAGGAGAAGGACGTGCTCGACTTTGAGAGCGAGAGGCGTGGAGCAGAGGGCAGCGAGACGATCGAGGTGGATCGTGAGCTACTTAGGAGTATCATGAGAAAGGTGATGGGCTACACGCGCGAGGGCGACTTGACCGAGGAAAACCTCGATGAGAGGGCCGAGCTTCTCTTCACCAACGTCAGAACCAAGCAGGCGAGGACACGGCGCTAGAGAGTCGGGAGCATGCCAGGTCCATCCAAAACAAGATTGTCTCACCATCGTTGTGCACACGCAAGATCAAGACTCAAGCAACTTCTTTTCCACCTTTTCTTACGACAAACATACCTCTCACATTTTCATTCCCTTTTTCTCTACCATAAATGCAATCTAGCGCGATGGATGACGAGCCAAAGGAAGCGGTTGAGTGAGAGAGCGACAATGAACAGATCAAGCGTGCCTGCCCAGCCTCTCCAAGCTCTGTGGTCCTTGGTCGTACCACTCCTGTCTCGAGATCCAGAATGAGTCTCTGGACTTCATGATATCGGCCAGTACGGCGCCACCGAGGAAGACCATGTGCTTGCGTCTCGGCGGGTCTTCGATGCGGCACTTGAAGTTCTGTGAAAGTGCACACAACCAATTAGCTTTTTAAAAGCTTGCTGTTGCAACATGCAAACCCACCTTCAACCGGTTTCCATCGCCGTTGAGCACGCGTGTGAGGTAGAGCTGCTTGAGTTCCTTTTCGAGACGGCTGGGGAGGCCGGGGTACATGCTCGAGCCTCCACTGAGGACAATGTGCTTGTACAGCTCCGAGCGCGTGTCGACAGCGGCCGACTGGATCGTGTTGAAGAGAAGCTCGGCCACGCCGGGCTGCTCGACATCGACGAGGTGCGGCTGGAACATGCACTCCGGCGCTTCGAAGCGCTCCGAACCAACCTTGATGACGCGGCCATCGGGAAGCTGTGTCCATGATCATTGTCAGTCTATCATGCGCGCTGGCCTGCCTTGATCAGAGGTAGGGGGAACGTACCGTGTAGCTCTCGACAAGCGTCGTCGTCTCCTCTGCAAGCTTCTTGTCGAGGTCGAGATCGTAGCTCATGAAGCAAAGCTTCTCCTTGATCTGCCGAACCGTTTCGAAATCGGCCGTCCGGTTGAATGCGTAGCCGCGAAGGAGAAGTAGCTTGATCAGGTACCGCGTCACATCGCGGCCAGCCACGTCGAGCCGCTTCGTCAAATGGGGCAGCGCGAAACCTTCGTACACAGGCACGACATGCGTCACACCGTCTCCCGAGTCGACGACAACACCAGTCTGAAGACCTGTTGAGGCAAGGCAGCGACGTCAGAGTCTTCGGAGGCGAACAGAGGCCGTCTTCCCAGAAACATACCCTGAGCGTACAGAGTCAGGACGGCCTGGATGGCGACATAGACGCCTTCGAAGCCATACTCCTCAAACATGATCTGGCACATCTCCTCTCGGTTTCGCTTCGGGTTCATCGGTGGCTCCGTCAAGAGAATCTTGCGACCCCTCGGATCGATGCGCAGCTTCTCATCGAATGTGTAGTTCCAGACTGTACGGCACTAGCTCAGCGAGGGACTCTCACACCAAGATCGAAGATAGACCCACCATGCCTCATATCAGCAAAGTCCTTGACAATGCCGTGCTCCATCGGTTGGGTGACCTGAAGGTAGTTTCGGAACTCCTCCGCTTCGGTTCCCACCATGATGTCCTTGATTTCACCTGCTGCTGCATCCCGCTCCTCGACTCGCAAGATAGGTCGTCCGACGATGGACGGGAAGACAAACTCGGGGAAGTTAGAGCCTAGGAGGGAACAGAGATTGTGAGAAAAGCTGGCCTCGTACACAGACACGAGGGATCGTTGCTCACCGGCATAGCCGACCTTGACAAACTATGGGCAATTTACAGCGGTCAGCCTCCCGCAACGGCGCCAAGACCGACAATGACCTGTAACTCACTCCCGTACCATTGTCGACGACGACTGGCCTCTCATCCATCTTGGGCGCTCAGACCTGGGTCGCTTTGGTATCCACTTGCCGAAGATGAATGCAGCGGGGAAAGGTCCCACGATAGTCAAAGGTTGTCGTCGAGGTCTCCACCAGCAAGTGCCACGTGAAGGAAGCCAGCTGGCTTGTGCGCCAACTTCTTTCCTTTCTTCCAAAGCAACTCCTGGAGCGCGACTCCTTCTCGCGAAGGTGTCTGAAAAGAGACTTGGCCGGCAATGACTGGATGGATCGTTTAAGCTAGAGACGCAGCCACTTGCACCACTGCAATATGAATGGAAGTCATGCCCAATGATGGCACTCAGAATTATCTCGGGACGATGTTCCACAATGCGGTGACAACGTCCAGTGCGACGCCTTGCACGCCTCTCCGCTGGGGTATCTAAGCACCTCACACTGAATCTAGCCAGTTGCTTCAGTCGTCCCTTTCGAAAGCTGCCTCCATGAGAAGTCTTTTTGGAGACTGTTTGAGCTATCAATTCCACGGTCTCGCTCCATCTAAACACCGAGCAGTCGTGATAGCTGTCTTCTTATTGCTAAAAGACCACCGACTTTGTCCTCTGTCAATGAGTACCACCTCGCACGACTTCAGCCCACAGACGCCGGTGCATGGTGTTTTTGCTTCAGTAGGAGTACATTTCAAGCGCACTGTCTTCACCGTCGATCTGAGAAGTGAGCGAGTGACTATGACGGTCGACGTCGATTCCCACTAATTGATCCAAGGTCCACGCTCCAAAGGACAAAGCAGGAAGAAAAAAATCCGAACGCAAAATCAGATATCGAAAATTGTATTGTGCGATGCAATTGAAAATCGCTGCGGATAATACAACCAAGGACGAACCCGGGCCGTCGCGAAGACTGGATTTTTGCCCAGGGCCGCTTACTAGCGAGGACAAGCGCTGGCCGGTGCACGAGGCGAAGGGCGCCCAGCGCAACGGGCTCTCGTCCCTTCTTTCTTCTTTCATCGCTTCCTTTCATCCTCACTTTTCCCTGCACCCTCTTCACCATGCTCTCTCGGTCTGCAGGCTTCGCTGCCGCCAACCTGGCACGCACTGCCGGCTCAACGGCTGTGAGTATACCCTCTTTTCTCTGGTAGCGGTGGATCGGTGCGGGAGAGGAAGAAAAATCGGGAGGCGAAGAAGGATGGTGATGAGCCGGACTTTCGCTGGGGAAAAGAAGCCAGACATGGAAGTTGGCCAGATGGAGGAGCCGGAACTCCGTTTCCTGTGGAAGAGAGAAGGGAATCGAGGCTTGAACAATGACTTTTGTCGAAGAAGGGATGTATCGAGAAGCTGACAACGTTTCTTCTGTGGACACAGGCTCGTCGCGTTGCGCTCCCCGCCGTCGCTTCGTCGGTCCGCACCTACGCTACCGCCAAGCCCGGTACGTAGATGTGGCCTTCAGAGCGCTATTGCATGGTCGCTTACACACCCTTTAATTATACAGCCGCCTCTGAGGTCAGCTCGATCCTGGAGCAGCGGATCTCGGGCTCGTCGGGTGGTGGTGACGTTCAGGAGACTGGTCGCGTCCTGAGTGAGTACTTTCATCTGCTGTGCCCAAACAAACAACCAGAAACTAATCACACCGCCTACCCATAGCCATCGGTGACGGTATCGCTCGTGTCTACGGTCTCCGGAATGTCCAGGCCGAGGAGATGGTCGAGTTCGCGTCGGGTGTCCGTGGCATGTGCCTCAACCTCGAGGCCGACAACGTCGGTGTCTCGATTCTCGGCTCGGACCGTGCCATTCGTGAGGGTGACACTGTCAAGCGTACCGGTCAGATTGTCGACGTGCCCGTCGGCATGGGCCTCTTGGGCCGTGTCGTCGACGCCCTCGGCAACCCCATCGACGGCAAGGGACCCATTGATGCCAAGGAGCGCCGCCGTGCCTCGCTCAAGGCCCCTGGTATCCTTCCCCGTCAGTCGGTCAACCAGCCCATGCAGACTGGTATCAAGCCCATCGACGCCATGGTCCCCATCGGCCGAGGACAGCGTGAGCTTGTCATTGGTGACCGTCAGACTGGTAAGACGGCCGTCTGCGTCGACACGATCCTCAACCAGAAGAGGTGGAACGACGGCAACGACGAGGACAAGAAGCTTTACTGCATCTACGTCGCCGTTGGCCAGAAGCGTTCGACGGTTGCCCAGCTCGTCAAGATTCTCGAGGGCAACGACTCGATGAAGTACACGACCATTGTCGCTGCCACCGCCTCGGAGGCTGCTCCCCTCCAGTACCTCGCTCCCTTCTCGGGATGCGCCATCGGCGAGTGGTTCCGTGACAACGGCAAGCACGCTCTCATCATCTACGATGACCTGTCGAAGCAGGCCGTTGCCTACCGTCAGATGTCGCTGCTCCTTCGTCGTCCCCCCGGTCGTGAGGCCTACCCCGGTGACGTCTTCTACCTCCACTCTCGTCTCCTCGAGCGTGCGGCCAAGATGAACAAGACCCACGGTGGCGGTTCGCTCACCGCCCTGCCCATCATTGAGACCCAGGGTGGTGACGTGTCGGCCTTCATTCCCACCAACGTCATTTCCATTACCGACGGCCAGGTCTTCCTCGAGTCGGAGCTCTTCTTCAAGGGTATCCGTCCCGCCGTCAACGTCGGTCTCTCGGTCTCGCGTGTCGGCTCGGCTGCCCAGTCGAAGGTCTACAAGGCCGTTGCCGGTTCGCTCAAGCTCTACCTCGCCCAGTACCGTGAGCTTGCCGCCTTCGCCCAGTTCGGCTCGGACTTGGACCCGGCCACCAAGTCGGTCCTTGACCGTGGTACGCGTCTCACTGAGCTCCTCAAGCAGGGCCAGTACCAGGTGAATAAAAGCGACTTTTAGTAGTGGACTGAATGGATTGCTGACCTTTTTAACTCATTCCCCCTGCAGCCCCTCGCCACCGAGGTCCAAATCCCCATCATCTTCGCCGGTATCAAGGGTTTCCTTGACCGCGTCCCTGCCGACCGCATCGTCGAGTGGGAGGAGTCTTTCCGAAAGCAGATCTCGACTGACGACTCGCTCCTCTCGGAAATCGCCAAGGCTGGCGGCCTCACCAAGGAGCTCGAGGAGAAGCTCTCCAAGACCGTCACTGACCACGTCGACGGCTTCCTGTCGGGTTAAAGTAATTGACGCAAAGGAAGGAAAGGTCTCTCTCTCCATACAAGACGGATCTCATACATAAATAAAATGACAAACGATACGTTCTCTACTTGTTATGATGGTCATTGTCCTGTCTTTGCCAAGGCTTGAATAGATTGCAGGTAAATCAAGTGCCGCTATAGTTGAGACGGACGCCGACAACAATGCCAAATGACGCTACAACGAGGGCTCCCACGAGAAGCGTCATCACAGATACTATGAATGTCCCAACACGATCAGTTCACTTCCGCAGAAGCAGAGCAGGGCCCCTTCTACTCACTTTCGATCCGACTCGGAGGAAAGGAGCCTCTGGTGAGGTGCGTTTGCACGACGTAGTATCGATATCTGTGAGAGAGCTTTCGTCAGTTACCACCGCTAGACGTGCTGGTCTGGGCAGGAGCAGGTGCCAACTCACGCCCCCAAGATCAGGCACAGGGCGCCCAGCGCGATGCATGTCGCGCCTAGCGGTTTCCCTCTTGATCGACTCGCGGCTCATCAGTGCTGTGCTTTCCATACTTAAAGCTCGCCAGCCACTCACAACCGCTCCAAGCTGCTCAATCGCCCGCTCACTCCATCTGCAGCATCCATCAGCCAGAGCCCAGCCGCGGGATCGCCGCCCGAGTCGACCGACGAGCCGTCGTCATTGACAATCTCGGGCAGCTTGAGCAGCTGCGCAATGGCGATGCCGAGGCTGACGAGGCTCAGGCTTGTGCGGAGCCACGCGAGAAAGGTGCGCTCGCCGGCGAGGTGGTCGCGCGCGACGCTGCCCTGTGGTAGCAAGCAGTGCAGAGCAGCGGTTAGCGATTCTTCGTGGTCGGATGTAGTAGAAGCAGAGAAGGGGGGAGAGCTAGGAGGTAGGAGCCTGAAACGCGTTACACACCTTGTTCTCAAGCTCCAGCGCCAGCGTCGGACGGCGCGACCAAAGAGCAGCGAGCGACGGGATCATAATGCTTGGACAGCCCAGGCAGAGCAGGCCCGTTCGCTCTTCTTCGGTGCTAGGAAAGGCAGAGGCGTCGAGGGTGGTGTCAAAGCAGGGAAACAAAGTGACGGAATCGCGATGAATTCTAATGCAACCCGAACGCGCACGTCCCCTTCTTCTACTACTCCTCATTTCGCTGCGCAAATGATCTTCTATTCGCGCCTGCTCAGATGTCACAGAGAGAATGGCAGCACTGTATCGCATTTCTATTCAATCAGCCCACTCATTTGTGAGCGCTAGTGTCGGCGTAGCTGTGCTGCTTGTTGCTGGTATGTTTCTCCCGCTGCTTAGTCCTTCTTCCTCATCGCTTTCCTCTTCACTCTGCTCTTCCTCTTCTTCTTCCTCTTCTTCCTCCTCCTCCTCCTCTTCTTCCTCTTCTTCCTCTTCTCCCCCCTCTTCCTCCTCCTCCAATTCCTCCTCTTTTGCTTGCAAGGTTCTCGTCGCTCTTAGAGCTGGCGCTGGCTCTTCCTCTTCCTCCTCGCTCTCCTCGTCCAAGAACGCATCGAGGTCCTTGTATTTGCTACCGCTCCCGCCTACCCGCTGCCTCTCCTTGGTCTCATCCTCGTCGACGCTCTCGACTGGTATGAGCTTCTCCCTGTTTCCGGATCCCGACGCGGCCGCATTGCCCACAGCGGCCGAAGAAAAGCTCTTGCCCGTGTTGAGTGCCAGGACGGAAGGACCTTCGATCTGTGGCTCTCGCACCGAGGTGGGCGGCAGAGCTCCGTCGCCTCCCTCGTTCCACGGCGGAAAGTCAAAGTGGTCAAACTCCGCTCGCTTCTCGGTATGATGGGAAGAAGAAGAGGAGATCGAGGTGTCTTTCCCACGCTTCTTCCTCGAGAGATAGCTCAGAACATCGAGCGAAGCCGCCTCCCTCTGCGGCACGTCCGCCGCCGACGCGTTTGACACTCGCGAGCTATCCTCACTTGGCCGCCCTTCGAACAAAACGTGCAGAATCTGCGGCCTTCGCAATCGTACACCTCCGAGCATCGTCATCGCATCGTCGCCATCTTCCTCTGCACCGTCGCCCTTGTCTTTTCCCTCTTTCTCCTCGCCTGAAGACGCGTTGTCCTGCTGCTGCAGCGACAAGCAAAGAGCCTTGCAGAGCCTCGCTCTGTCACGCACGTCGATATCTGCGTCATACCGTGCCAGCTGGAGCAGGTAGGTGTGAAGCAGGCTCAGAGCCTTGCGAGACTCAGGCGTCAGGATGGCCATGCTGGAGATCGTCGGCAGAAAGGCGTCGAGCTTCGTGGAGAGGGTGATAATCTGAAGCCGAGCCGCTTTGTCCTGTAGAGAAGAGAGAATCGCACCATTCAGATCAGACAAAGTGCGAGAAAGGAGGTGAAGGAGGCAAAATGATGAGTAAGAACGCACCTCTTTTGCAAAGTTCAGAGCAGCTCTCCTGACAATGTCGGCGACGACGGTCTCGGCTAGCGTCGCCGTCATGGTGCTGTTGCCTGCTTGATCTCGCACCTTGATCGTCAGTCTACAGTACTGTCCCAACATCCAGTACAGCGCTGCCCTAGCAGTAGGTTGAGAGACGGTCCCTTTTGAAGCGACGAGTTTGGGCCTCTTTCCCTGTGCGGCCATCTTGGCTGCCACAGCTGGAGGCCGCTGACCATCGAAGAGGAGGGATGCGAGCTTTGCGATGATCGTCGACGTTGTCTGGTCGTCTTGCTGCTGCTGCCGAGCAAAGACCAATCGACACACTACATCGACAGCGCTTGCTACGATGGCGCCGCGCTGACCAAGGAGCGAGAGAAGCGCGTCAAGGCAGGCAGAAGCATCATTGACGGTGGAAAGCTGCCCAATGAGATCGACGGCTGTGCGCGCCACATCGACGTTGGGGTGGAATTGTGCCTGCTCGGAGAGCTCGGTGAGAACAAGACGTGCACTTGCACTGGACGACGGCGCCAGTCGAGCAAGGATCTGTAGCTTGACCACCGTCACATAGCCCGGCTCGATGAAGGATGAGCGCGGAATAAATGCATCAATCTCGGCAGCAAAGTCGGCTATTGTGTCGCTCGAGAGGAGCAGCATACAGTGCAAGAGGGCCACGTAGACCTCCTCTGGAAGTGAGGATGAGGACGAGACGAGGTGGGTCAGAGCCCTCGAAGCCGAGCCGTGGTACTGCTTCGAGGGAGCTACAGCCACTAGGAGCCGCGTAGCTGCCGTGACTACGGCTGCATTCCTGCTTGCCAAGAGGTCCTCGGCTTTATTAATCAGGAGCTTGAGGTCGACGTCCATTTGTCCATTGCCATCTTCTTCGTCCTTTGGTCGTGATAGACACCGCCGAGCATAGGAGCCAAGAACGTGGATTGCCACCTGCTGGCCCCACTCGTCCATGTCGGTCAGGGCATGGCACAATTTTCGGTAGTGAGGATGCAACAGCGAATAGTCTGGCGGCATAGATGAGACGCTACGAAAGGCGACGAGAGCGCAGGCCAGCACGGCAGGGTGACGGTCCTGAAGCAGCGTCTTGACGAATCTTTCCAGCGTTGAGGTGGCGATCAAGGGTTTCACCTTGACGAGAGCCAAGGCGGCCACTTTGCGCACGTAGAAGCTTTGGTCCTTGATCGCTCTGGAGATGGCCAGCTCCACGACGGAGGCGACGACGGGGACGCGCAGGCCACTGAGGACGCGCAAAGACATGGCTCGCACCATGGGGCTGCTGTCCGAAAGGTCCCGTTGGAGCGAGTTGATGCAAAGCAGGGCAACATCTGGCTGTCGATGGGCATACCTCCTCAGGACGACATAGACCAGGCGGCGCATCTCGACGTTTGGACTCGCCGCGAGCTTCAATACTGACGGTAGCAACGACGCGTTTGTCGCCGACATTGGAGAAGACAGCCCAGCAACCACTGCCCTCAGTCCCTCGAGCTTCTGGTCGTCGCGATCCGACTCGAGCTGGCTTCGCACGAGCGACTCGTCGAAATTGGTGTAGCGGGAAGACGACGTGGACGAAGAGCCGGCGCCCACAAACCCCTTGACCGCTTCGGCCGCATCTTCAGCTCGCTCCGAGAGGTACTGCAGAGCGGCCGAAGCCGATGCCGACGACATAGCCCTTTCGAGAGAAGGGCCCACAAGAGGGAAGGTGAGCAGAAGACAGGCGCACGCGGGGGGGAGGAAAGAAGGTCCGAGCTCAGAGCTTAAATCAGTCACGTGTTCGACTTGTGGAAAGATTCGCGCCTCCATCGAGATGGTGTCCTCTCCATCCATCCACAGCGATAGAGGGAGCAGAATGCCTTCGCCGGCGAGCAAAGAAGCCGGCGAGAGCTCGGCCAACGAAGCACGTCCCAATGATGCTTCGGGCTCCGCCGCGGCAGGCGGAGCAGCGGCTGGGTCCCAGCAGCCAGGCACATCCACAGGGGGAGCAACACCGGCCATCGCAAACACGGAGGATGACTTGACACCGGAGCAGACGGCTGCCGTGCTGGCCTACTTCAGGAAGAGAGGCTTCAAGAGGGCCGAAGACCTGCTCAAAGCGGAGATCGAGGCTCTGAACAAGGGTGCGACGCCGGCGCAAGCTCGACAGAGCGTGACGGACCGCTACGGTTCGCCCACGGTTACTGTGAATGAGTTGGCGACAAAGATCGCACCGAGGGAGCCGGCCCCGGGCGAGAAATCGAGCAACGGAAGTGCCGCAAACGGAAGTCAAGCACAAAATGGGGAAAAGACCGGACCTCTGGAGCAAGCGGCGATTGAGGCCCTTCGACTGGATCCCACCGACCGATCACGAGGGTTCGACATGCTCAAGCACTGGACCGAGGGCAGCCTGGACATGTATGAGCCCGAGCTCATGCCCATCCTCCTTCCCCTTTTCGTTCACGCCTACCTCGATCTCGTTTCGTTGGGATATGGAGCAGCCGCCGTGGCCTTTTTCAATGCCCATTCTGGCGTCCTTTTACCCCGTCATGCTTCATTACTTTCCCAAATACGGTCCATCTCACTGCCGCTGCACGTCGCAACCGATCCACTCTCCCAACGGTTCAGGACCGAGCGCTACGTCATCAAGATGTCGCAGACGGTCTTTTCTCTCCTCTTGGGCTGGCTCACCGACGGAAGAGGACCCGTCGCAGGAGCGGGCGCCGCCCCTGGCGTTAGCGAAGGGAACGACAACAAGGAGAGGAGGGGTCGAGAGGCCATGCTCAAGATCATCAACGACCGATGCCGCGTCCAAGGTAAATAAATGACCTGCCTCCAAGAGTCCTAGAGTGCTGCTGATGACAATGCGTCGCACAGTCCTTCAAACGAAAGCGCAGGAGCTAACGCTGGCTATGCTGGAGGAGGGTACGGGTCTGACAGGAGCCACAGGCCCGTCCTATGCGACCAGGAGCGCAATCGGGCGACATCACCCCTCTTTGAATCCCAACGCCGTTTCCGAGTCGGATGCTGTTGCTGAGTTCAATGCGGCCGCGGCTGGTCCGCAACTCAAGCTCGGCGCCAAGATACCCCTGAGCGAGAGACTGGCTGTCGAGGTTCAACGAGAGGCGAGAGAAGAGATGGCGGAGGAACAGCAGCAAACACAAGCGCAACAGCAGGTGCAAACTGAGCAAGGCGACGGTGGTGAAGAGGCGAAGGCAGCGGCGACCGCCAAGGCAAAATCCGGGACAAAGGAGAGAGAAGTAACGCCTGGGAGCTCGGGAAGGAAAGCGTCAGCCACACCTGCTGTGGGAGCCACGTCGACAGCGGCGACAGTGACCACGACAGACGAGTATGGGCTGCTTCAAGCAACCTATGCCGACCTCCCACCCCAGCCTCCCGTATTTCGGACCGTTGACATCCAAAGAGAGGTGGCAAGGATGCGCGATGCCAGAAAGGCTCTACGTTTCGACCTGTCGCTTCGAGGTAGTGGGCCCTCTGCTTCTGTCGCTACCGGTGGGCCTTCTTCCTCGTCTTCGTCATCGTCCGCTGGCGCGACCGGATCAGGAGGAGCTACAGCTGCTGGAAGCACAGCAGTTGCGAGCGGCAGCGCGGGCAATACACCTGCGCCAGCCTTTTTGTCAGGCGTACGAGATGCAACCTTCAACGGTCTTGGTCTCGAAGGGGCCAAAGCTGCTCAGACGGCGGCTTTGCCAAGTATCTGTGCTTACACCTTCCATGACGCCGACGATGGCCTGACATCGTGTCGTTTCTCCCCTGATCTGAGCCTCGTTGCAGCCGGATTCGAAGAGTCGTTCATCCAAGTTTGGAGCACGAAGGGCGAGCCGTTGCGGGGACTTCGGTCAGACTTCAAGCTGAGCGAAGTCCGCGACAGACAGTCGCTGCGCTCGAAGCGTGATTCTTCTACGATTTCAACCAGGAAGCTCATTGGCCACTCGGGCCCTGTCTATTCGATCGACTTTGACCCGATAGCGGGCACGTCTGCGCCCTCGAGGAATCTGTTGAGTGCCTCGGCTGACGGCACGGCTCGTCTTTGGTCGATGGACACCTTCACCGCTCTGGTGGCGTACAGGGGCCACCAGCAGCCCGTCTGGAACGTCCAGTGGTCTCCGCTAGGCGTCTACTTTGCCACGGCCAGCGCCGACAAGACGGCAAGACTGTGGAGTACCGAGCGCATCAACCCGCTGAGGATGTACAGCGGCCACCACTCGGACGTCGATACGCTGGCCTTCCATCCCAATTCCCTCTACCTCGCCACGGGCTCTTCGGACCGCACGGCACGGCTCTGGGATGTGCAGCGAGGCGCTTGCGTGCGGCTCTTTGTCGGCCACAACGACGCAGTGTCGGCGCTGAGCATGTCCAAGGACGGGCGCTACCTCGCCACGGCCGACGGCTCGCCCGGCGGCGGCGGCAATGGCGGTGGCGAGATCAGCTTGTGGGATCTCGGTTCGGGAAGGCGGATCAAAAAGATGTGGGGCCACGAGTCGCTCATCACTTCGATGGATTTCAGCCAGGATGGGAGCCTCCTCGTCTCGACGGCCATGGACTATACTGTCCGTACGTGGGATGTCAATGCCGCCCAATCAGCCCTCGGAGGCTCGGCGGCGGCGAATGGATCTGTCCCGGGCAAAGATGCACCGACGATCCCGACTACTTCTTCAGCAGCAGCGTCTTCTTCTTCCGACCTCGTGGCGACGTTCTACACCAAGCGCACAAATATGCTCGATGTCGTCTTCACGCCGAGAAACCTCTGCCTCTGCGCAGGTCCCTATGATGCAAACTTGTAGATCATGTATAACGATGCTCGTCTTGGGACAGACATGAATGAATGGATCGTGTAACATAATGACACGCAGACTAGACTAGATTGATGTGAGCTGGACGGACAGATTGAAATCATGAACAGAGATGAGAGAGTGAGCGATACGAGGCGTTGGGAGAGTATGCAATGGTGGAGGCCGGTGGTCGTCAAGGTGAGAGGAGAGAAGGGGAGGACATAGGTGTCGGTTCGGGAGGGAGAAACGATTGGAATACTCCAGCAGACTAAATCAAACGAGAAGGATGGTGAGCAGATCAACCTTTCAAAGGCTGACGACGGAAAGAAGGCGGTGCTGGACTGGTTGTACGACCGATGGGGCCTCCTAGGCTGAGTCCAACTCCTCCGCCAGCCCCAGATCCCTGCTGTTGGCCAGCCGGAGAGGCAGTGTGACGCTGTTGGTCCTGGAAGGGACGCCTGCCAAATGGCTTAGGAGGGCTTCCGAAGAGCTTCGGCGAGCCGCCGAAGCTCGAGTCGCTGCTCGGAGGCCGACTGGTGCTCGCGCCTGTTGCTGGAGGCGGCGGGTGAGGGATATGGGGCAGGGGGTTGGCAAAGGAGATGAATTTGCTCGGAGAAGACAATTTGCTGCTGCTCGTCTCGTTGTCGTCCCAGGACAATGGAGGAGTGACGGTAGATGCAGCGGTGGGAGACGAAGGAAGAGCCGAAGGAGCCCTGCTCCTTTTTGATGAGGCACCCTTGTCGTTTGCAACAAATTCCAGAGACACGCCGGGCTCCCTGTCGATATCTAGAAGCTGGACAAATCGCTTGCCGATGCCATTGACCTTTGCCACATCATGCTTTTCCCTCAACCAGACGGCGATCCGGTCGCCCTTGGGACGGGTACTGATGACTGCGCCAGTGATGTCATCAGCCTCGTCTAGCTCTTCGCCGATCAGCCCGAGGACAAGGTACATCCAGGAGCGATCCAAAAGGGCTTGGTTGCCATTCCTCAGCGTCAAGACCCACTTGCCGCCACGAGCATTGGCTTTGTCCTCCCACATCGGTTTGATGCCGTCTTTGAAGAGGTGGTAGTTGCAGTTGCGTTCCATCTGCGACGGTCTGCGCAATGTGGGAAAGATAGACATGAATGACTCGACGGTCTCGTACGTGCCCATCATCTTGAGTGTCGCCTCCCACGAGGTTGCAGTCGAGGAGGGGTTCCAACTTTTGGAGTCGAAGTAGAGGGTCCTTTTGTCGTCTTGTCAGCTTCAGTGATCGGCAAGACGGTCCTCTAGACTCACCATTTGTGCTGCAGTGGGTGACCCTCCTTCTTAATTGGCTCTGCCTCCTTGACATTAGCAGCTGGGTCAAGCTTTGCGTTACTTCTGCCCGCTTCAATGGCCTTTCTCGGACTGTCATCCACCTTCGGTGAGGTTTGCTTGCGTTGCTCCTCAGTGGGTGATTCGGACGGGGATTTGGCCGGTACGGGAAAAGGGCCATGGTCTTTCCTTGTCTCGCCATCTGCCGATGTCAAGGTCGCAGAGATAGAAGCGGTAGATGCCGACGACTTCTTGCTGCTCATGTGATCTCGGATGTCCTGCAAGGTGGGGATGCCCTTGTGTCCGACCGATGAGGAAGACGATGCTTGCGAGTGCGTCGTCGCAATGCTGCTTGCCGTCGTCAAAGGCGACTGGCTTGAGCTCCCCGTCGAGACGAAGCTGGGCTTTGTGGGTGAGGTGGAACGCGATCTGCTCGCTGCCTTTTCGCGCAGCGAGGCCAGTGTCTTTCCACGGTCGGTAGATCCGCGGCCGCGGCTGGCGCTCATCATCGACCCTGTCGAGCCGGCGGGAGAGGTCTTCTCGCCTTCACCTTCGTTGGAAACCGCGCTATAGGTCTGCAACCTGCCCGTCGTTCCGAGTCGATGTGGGCGGCCTGTGTTTTTCTGAGTGGTTAGTGTTTCTTCGAGGGTGTGGGTTGACGAGAGGCATTCACCATCATTAGACGTCGAGGCCTCCCTCTGATTCTCCTTCTCTTCCGGATGGAGATCTACCGCCGCCACTGACGACGGCTTGATTCGCGCGACAATATCGCTGAGCGTGGGCACCTTGGCCTTCGACGCAGCACTCTTCACAGGAGATGATCCTGTGCTAGTGCTAGCGCTCCCTGCGTTGCCGCTCTGCGAAGACAAGTGCTCGACCATGTTTTCCCAAAAGTCGCGCCGGCCTTGACCCTCTTGAGCCTGCTTAGACAGTGCTGGTGAGACAAGAGGAGGGGAGATGAAGAGTAGCAGATGGACCTCGCGGTGAAAAACACGCAAGGCACGCACACGCCGCCCGCCGAGCGCGCTCTCAATGTGGAAAATCCCCAAGTGCTTGTTGCTTGCTGCCCTGTGCGCGCAACGGACGCGCTCCGTCAAAACAAAAAAAAAATCCACTGAGGCGCACGGGCGTACACTGGGCTGCTGCCTCGGTCGATGCCAAACTGGCGCCGCCGCCTCTATGACGCCTGGGTCACATCCTTCCCCATGCAATCCACACAACGCATAAAATCTCGCCGTTGCCAGACAGAGATGCATCACAAGAGGGTGACAAAGTGTCTGCTTCTGAATCTTACCTCACCGAAAGTCATTTCTGGCGCTGAGCTGGATGCTGCGAGCTGCCGTGACAAAGACGTAGAAATGTGGCTCACGACTCCGACAGACGATTGGTTTTTTGACGCCCGATGATATGCCCCGACAGTTGAGGGCGCTGCGTTTGCCACTTCGTGCCGCGACGCAAAGACGCGTATGCTCAGATACGTATTTATCGTCGAGTCCAGCGTTTCCACGGGGGTGCATTTCATCTATCTGGATCTCGTCTTTATCGATCCCAGCCTGCAGCTTGTCCTTATCTATCACCGTCCTGCCAAGGAAACGAAGACGGCGAATGCCACGGGACAGACGAAGGCATTTCAGAAAAGAGTCTTGCAAGGTTAGTCTACTATTACAAAATTACCTCTGTTACGCTAGATTTTAAACAATTCTGAGATGAGAAGGTTCTGCAGGAACATTTCCTTCTACCCTTCCTATCCTCCACGGTCTTCCACTCGCGAGATGGAGCAGAGATGACCCTAGCATGAGCTTTCCGGTCCTTCACTGTCCTCTGTTCCCCTGTCCCCCCGTCCCCGTTTGCCCGATTCGATCCCGAGCAGAACGGTGAAAGACTAGGGCACTACATAGGTATCGGCGGCTCAGGAAATTCAAAGATGTGTTCTTCACTTGCGTTTCGCAATGCTTCTTTTCGATGTTCCGTAGGCTCGGGAACGGTAGCAAATCTGCGCTCGTCCCGGCCTTTCTTTTGACGAGCTTGATATGAGAAAAGGAGAACCCTTGGTCCTCCCCCCTCTCTCTGTTACAACCATACCCCCTCCTCCTCACTCTCTTTTCTCGGCCCCTTCCATAGGCGAAGACGTCTGTCAAAGACGACGACAGCCACCACGCTCCTTAGCATGCGGAACTCCACGCTCTTTTCATTTACTCTTCTGCTGGCTTCGGCCTTCATTGTCGTTCGGGCGGACGATCCCGACGGAGTATGGGGCTGGGCTAGCTTCACCCCTCGTGAGTGTCCGCATGCGAACGTGTTTGCGAAGGCAAGTTTGTGCCATATTCGAAGCTGACCTTGCTCAACAGAGACGGGATACAAGGAAACCACCTTCCCCGTCCAGGGCACGTCCAACCTGTTCGGCTACATCGATGATACGTACGACGCCTCCAAAATCAAGCGCGTGATTCTGCAGATCCACGGTCACGGTCGAGAGTGAGCTGTCGATCAAGTACACTGACTAGCAGAATGAAGCTGATACCTCCTTGTGCATTCATTAGCTGCTGGAACTACGCAAAGCACACCAGTAAGGCTCGCGACGAGGCAGCAGAGACGATGGGGCTGGACCCCACAACGGTTCTCTCAATCGCACCAGAATTTCTCGGCATCGGCGACATGAAGTCAGGCAGCTTCAAGGCTTCAGACAACTACCTCTGCTGGCTCGGTGACGACTGGAGCGGCGGCTATCAAAACATCCCCGACTGCACGCCTGGCACTACGAACGTCACTTCGTTCCAAGCAATGGACGCCTTGGTCGCTTGGTCGAGCGACAAGTCGCGATTCCCCAATGTCGACACCGTCGTTGTCAGCGGCCACTCGCTGGGAGGCCAATACGTGAACCGATATGCCGCGCTCGGAAAGCCGCCGCAGACGGACGGTGTCGATCTTGAGTACTGGGTCGGCAATGCCGCTTCCTATCTCTACCTCACCGACGCAAGACCTGCGAGTCGTGCCGATCTTCAAGATTGCCCAACCTACGACGACTACAAGTACGGCCTGACGACGCTTCGCACCGTGCTGGGTGCCTACGCGCCAACGTCTACTGGTCCTCTCGCATCGCAAATCTGGAACACCTACATCTCGCGCAATGTGCACACGGCACTAGGGCTGGCAGATGCAGGTTCTGGCAACTTGGGCTGCGAAGGCCTGGTCCAGGGCAAGTCTCACCGTGAGTACTGTGTCCTTCACTACCATTGTAATGGGCACACACTAACGCGCATGCGATAGTGGATCGTGGTCTGGGATACATGAACTTCATTCAGAGGTTCGCAGGTGGCCTGCCCCTCAGCCACACCGTCGAGTAAGTGATTCTGCTTCAGCAAGGCGAGCACCGAAGCTAAAGAAGACTCGACTCCACAGCTACTTCCCAGGTGTACAGCACAATGCCGGCAAGATGCTCACTCAGCCCACATCTCTCAAACGTCTCTTCTTTGACCGAAGCTCGGGCGGCACCACGCAGCCCAGCCTGGACGGTGGCAGCATCATGAATGGCACCGTACTCAAGTTCTGGTCGACCTCAGGCCGAGTCTCGGCAAAGCAGCTGGCTGCACTGGGACAGCACGTCGTCCAAAAAAAGGTGTCTTCAGGTGCTACAGCCTCTAGTGCGCATTCGTCACCGAATGCGACTTCGTCGCCATTGTCGCAGGGTACTGCGCGACAGGGCGTCACCTTGACTCCTTCATCAGCGTTAGCGGCACTGCCACTAGCCGTGCCCTCTCTCCTCGCTCTCTCACTCGCCTCGGTCCTCCTTCTCGTCGCTACCTTCTGAGAGGAGCATGCTTAGCACTGCCTCTATACCATTGATGCTCGCTTGTACTCTAAATTTTGCTTTCTTCCCGGACTAAGTCGGGATGTTGGCCTACATGTCACTGTCGTGTTGAATTATATGTCTTGTGCCATTATACAGATATACACAGAGGGTGTGAGAAGGAGCTAAAAATACAGTGGAGTCCGGCTCTCGTCAAAAGAAAGGTGTTCTTCTGAGCTCAACGCTGGGGCTCGGAACCGATGTCATGGGCACGCAAGTTCCGTTGGCCGTGACGAGGTGGAACGCATTGCGAAATTCTCGCTGCTGCAGCGATTCCATGGACGGCGATCTGACCCGTCTGCCAGGCGTCACGATGGGTGTGTTGTGTGCAGAGGGAGTGTACGGCAGATTGGGAGTGTGTGGCCACGGCGGGTTGGGAGGTGTGAGAAGCAGCAGAGAAGGAGGCGTCGTCTTGACAATGGGGATCTGAGGGCGGAAGGGCGATAATGCGCGACCATCGTCAGAACGCCGTGGTTCGTCGCCTTCATCGATCTCTAGCCGCAAGTCGATGATGCTCGTGTCCCACCATCCATGCCCTCCATCGCTTGTCCGAGGCGAGCCATCGGGCGGCAACTGCAAACGATTTGCCTGCCTCGTTTCTAGGAAGAAGCCCGAAGGTGCTACTTCGTCGCCGTCGTTAACGAAACTTCCTTGCCGAGAAACGGTCCGCGGCATTGACAGATCCGATGGAGCGTCGCTGACCTGTCGCAGCATCTCTGGAGCTACCAGACCGCCTCCCATGCCTCGTCCCCCAGCTGAAAGCTCATTGCGACCAGGGTGCGCGTGTGAGAGGTGTGCCGGCATCTGCGCAAAATATGGCACCATCGCAGGGGCAGCAGCAAGAGGCATTTGATACGGTCTGGATGGCGGGGTGAGGATCGCAGGCGATGGAACGGAAAGATCGTCCTGTTTGTGATAGCTAGTATCGAATGATGAATGCGTCGGAGAAGATGACATCGAACCAGTCTGCGCATGTTTCTCCAACGAATAGTGGTCGAGATGTAGGGGCAAGACCTGGGATTTCGTCTTGATGTCGTATGGGTGGGCTCCCCATTGCTGTGCCTGTGCCTGCTTTCTCTTTCTTCTCTTACTGTGCATGCAAACCAGAAGGATACAGAGGGCGCAAACAAAGACGACGCCGACGACAAGACCAGCGATCGGTCCAGCTTCAACTTTGACGTTCCGTGGCCTTGTCGATGGCGCCTGGCTCGAGGGTGCTCCCCCTCCGGAAGTAACGACGGCCGACATCTTCACTTCTCAGTCGTCGTGGGTGGTCGAAAGATGGTGAACCCGCATCACCTCCTTTAAGAGCTGTTCGCCAAAAGAGCAGTCCAGACTTCGCAATGACAAGGCAAAGCGGGTTGAAATTTGTCTTACGACCTTGACTCGATCCTCTTCTCAGGGAGGCAACTATTCGAAGCCCGGATCGGTGGGCAGGTCTGATCCGTCTGCCCATTTAGCATTGGCTTGGCTTCGAATCTGTCCGGTGTCTGATCATCTTGCTTTGGGCCTGGACATTGAGAAAAAATCACCGATGACATGTAGGTCATCTAAAGGTTGCTACTGTGACGAAGACGACGCAATAGTTGTCAGTGACATTCCAAAGCAAGGAGGGATAGGATTGGCGCGTGCAGCGGTCGACTTTCGCGCGTTGAAAATTCACCGGTTTGTCACCAGTATCCTTCGAAGACCAGAGAGGTAAGGGCCGTATGTGAACGTTCATAGTGGAAATTGTGAAGACATATATCATCGGAAACGGGGCTGTAGCTCAGGGGTTAGAGTGTCTCCTTCGCATGTTTCTTGCATTAACACGCGAAGAAGATTTCCTTCTTAGCAATAAGAGGAGAAGGTCCGGGGTTCAAATCCCCGCTGCTCCAAACTTTTTTTTTGCGTTTTATTTTTCTCTTTTGGGTGGGCTTGGCCGATCTCCACTGGTGAGCTTGAGCATGTAGAGTCCGCTTCAGTGTCGGCGAACCTCTTCTCTATCAGCTGCAGACCCGGCACACCCCTCTTCCCTGCAATGCCACGAGGCAAGGACGGCTCAAAACAGAAGCAGCAGATCTTAATTGGACAACCAACGCGGCCCCGTGAATAATCTTCGGAACTGTTGCCTCGCGTCAATGAGAGGATTTTTTCTTCCATTCTGTCCGCCAATCGTGTTCAGTGCGCACCCTTCCACGGCAAGGGCTGCTTCCTTTGCCAAGTTGCAACGTTGTCAACGAAAGATAAGAGCCACCGCGGCCTTTATCCGAGCTGTTATCAGCACCTCTCAAGCGGATGAACCATGCTTCGGGCAAACCACTTGAGGGCAAATGTCCATTGGTTTAGCCGTAGCTGTCATGTGGTGCAGGGCACCGGTTCCGATGGAGGCAGAACCAAACAGGAACATGGAGGTCCCGGGTCTACCTCGAGCGTCGTGATAAGCGGAGCTCAGATAGGGATTGCTGTATAAAAGGCGAGCCAGGCGACGAAAGAAGCAGACTCAACTATTTCCCAAGTCTGCAGAGGTGACGATCAAACAAACATGGCAAAGCAACACAAGCGTCTGGCTGCTGCACAGGTCGAGTCGGTCTGGTTGGACCTGGCGGGCGGTGTCGAGAAGACCAAGCAGCTGATCAAGGAAGCCAAGGCACAAGGTGCAGACGTCCTGGGCCTTCCCGAGCTGTGGCTGCCGGGTTACCCTTGGTACCTCTGGACGCTTCCATATGGTGCAACAGTGCCCTACACGCTCCAGTACCAGGCCAACTCCATGGCCTGTGATGGACCAGAAATGGCGGCTATCCAGGCAGCTTGTGCCGAGGCTTCGCTCACTCTCTCCTTTGGCTTCTCCGAGAAGCGGGGCGAGTCTCTCTACATGAGCAACGCCATCATCACTGCGGATGTGAGTGAAAGAGGTATAAATGGCCTGGACGGAAGCTCACGCACCCGACTTCCGAACAGGGCAAACTGGCGAGCTTGCGAAGAAAGTGGAAGCCGACCGGGCTCGAGCGTGTCATCTTTGGGGAGGCGCACTCGAGCGACGACTGCTTCCATAACGTCGTCGATGTCACTTCGGTTGGCAAGCTTGGCAATCTGCAGTGCTGGGAACACCTCCTTCCCCTGCTCAAGTACAACACTTTCCTCCAAAACGAAGATGTCCACATCAGCTCTTGGCCACCGATCTTCCCCCATGGCGGCCTGGAGCACTATGGCATGAGTTACCAGGGCATCAAGTCCATCGCGGCCACCTACGCCATGGAGGGTCAGTCGTTCACAGCCATGTCCACCGGCCTCGTCTCGGCAGAGGGAGCTAAGAAGATCGGCCTCGACTACGCGCTGACGGGTGGCTCTCCCCCACCTGGGTCCTTTGCTCTTCCACCGGGAGGCGGCTAGTGAGTTGAGAACCCTTTTCCTCTCAGTTCTTCTCAAGACAATGTTCTGACTAGCCGAATTGCAATTCAGCGCAACCATCTTTGGACCCGACGGACGCCAGCTGACCAAGGATCTCGACCCAGCCAAGGAAGGCTTCGTGTTCGCCGACATCGACCGGACGCTCACCTCGCTCGCAAAGCAGCTTGCCGACCCCGTTGGCCACTACGCGCGGCCCGACCTTGTCACGCTCTCTGTCAAGGGCTCAAAAGCGGCACCATTGCCCACAAAAGTGGCTCACGAAGGCAAAGACATCGATGCGGCTTCAAAGTCTTCGGACGACACGCTTTTCGTCCAGTAAGAGCGTGTCCGCAGGACCTTTAATCACCTTCTCATTCTTTGTACGCTTCTTCTCCTCCCCTTCCTGCTAATGTTGACTTCGACTTGGACCAAAGGCAAAGAACACACTGAGAAGGAGTGATAGCGTGGCTTGATGACAGGACAGGCGCATGAAACGGTCTGACCTTGAAGGAGTCAGTGTACAGACAAGAGGCTCATGACTGCAATACAAGGCCGCCGCGTCCCTTTCACAGCCCTCCGATATGGCACATCTCTCAAATTTTGAATCGTGTACTGTACAATTCATGGCTTTGTCTCACGTGGGCGGAGCATGAGGAGCAAAGTACTTGGGATAGTAATGCGGCGAGTACTTGTGTTTGCTGTCACATCCACGGGTCAGTGACGTCTCCAATGCTAAATGAGCTTGCTCTGCACTTACTTGTAGACCATAGCTGGTGGATCTATGAACCTGTGAGGGTACTGCAAGGAGACAGGTCAGCAGAGTACTTCACACTTTGGTCGAATGCGACACCAACCTGCCATGATGCTGGCACGGTCGAATTATCTATCTCCACCGGTCGAACATCCCGATCCGGATCGACGGCTTGTCCCACTGGCGGGACGAGTAGCTTGACCGTCTGCAGCTCTGTGTCCGATACGGTATACCGACTGACACGAACATATCCGATCCGCTCGAGCGCCCGGAATCCAATGTACTCGCACCATCGATTCCAGTCTGAAGGGTCCACATCTTGGATCTTGCCATCGTTGAAAAGGATGTCGTATGGATTGGGCCTCGGCGCATGGGGCTTCGTAACAACGTAACCGAGGAAGATGGCTGGGTGTGGGTAGGCTTCGCGCAGAATCCTTGCCAATTCCGTCGTTTGTAGCTCCCGATCCAGGGGATCTTCTTCCTGGCCGTTGTGGCTCACCACGACGTGTGTATGGACTCCCCAGATGTCGAGTACAGCGTGGATGGCCGGCGCTAGTTCGCCATGAGGCGATGGGAGAAGGTGGTGTGTCGAATTGATGATGGGGAATTTACTCAGCAGAATCGCACCCCATGTGTGCTTGTCGGGCCCAGGACCAATGTCGGCATACATGCCCAGGTCCTCAGCGAGGAATTGGGACATATCGCGGTTGCCAAACACAGTCCTGTGTAAATCTGTCTCGAGGAGGCCAACGATATCGAGCTCCACGTCTCGAACAAGATTCGAAATGCGGCGGGTGCTGTCCCACATTCCCTGATCCAGGCTATTGACAATATCGGTCAGCTTCTGTGCACAACGTCTCGAACATTTTCACTTACGAAAAGTGCACCGTCCAAATGCCAGCAGTGACGACTCGATCCTCCGATGAATGATAGGGCGTTATGGCGCTGGGCGGCACGGAACGAGCAGAGGGGACCATTCTAGCTGCAAGACTGAGGGCGACGAGGAGAGGTACGGTGAGATATGCAAGCCGCTTGATTCGCGCAGGCGAAGCCCTCGCTGCCGGGTCGACGAGTCCTTCCTTGCGCGAAAATAGTAGACCGATGGTGAGGAAAGTCAGCTGCACCACCATCATACTGCAAAAGGCATCAGTGTTTCTGTTATTGAAGTCTGAGTTGGAGATACTCACGCGCCTGTATGCTCTCGCATCACCATGGCCCCTGGAAGGAAAGCATATGCCACCGTTAAGACTTGGAGAAAGGCTAAGAGATCGGCCACAAGCCAGGCGCCGAGCATGATCTTGAGAGGGTGATGACGGCCAGCCAGACGTAAGATGGGGACCGTAAGTGGCGGAAGAAAGAAGGCGACTCCAAGCGCTCCCACAAACCCGCGCCAGGCTTCATATCGCAAGACAACGTAAGTAGAAGCGTAGCCCAAGATGTGGAACAGCGGGTTGGTGGCCATGGTGGGCACCACAAGGGAGACGAGTGTCGAGACGGCCGAGACGGATAAGAAATGGCGCCCATTTAAAATTGCAGTCGGTCTTTCAGAAGAGATTGCGTGAGTGGCTTCATATGCATCATTGTCTCGATTCCCTCACCCTTCAATTGGGAAGCCGGTCCACGTCCATGCAATGAGTGATCCAGAGTCGGAGAGGTGGACATGAAAGGCAAAGATGAGGGCTCCCAACGAAAGCGACGCGGCCCAAGCGCTCGCCAGTGAGTGGCGTGAACGCGCGAGCATGGGAAGCGGCCGGCTCTTGCTCGCAGCGTGTGTCGTCACTCTTTCGGAGGCTGCAGCAGCAGCTAGGATGAGACCTAGTGCATTGAGACCCCCATTTGTACCGTTGAGAAAGGGCCAGAAAGGATTGTTGCTGTGATTTGCGTACTTTGCCAAACTTGAAAAGAGCAAGCCGACGATCCACGCTGCGATACGATGCATTCAGTCAGTCAAGAGCACCTTCTTGAGTGTCCCTCTACGCAACTCACCAGTAGCCTTCCTCTCGACCTGAGACGTCTCCCATGCGTGAGACCACTCGAGTGCGCTGAGAATCGCGAAGCTCAGAGCCCCCAGTGCTGTGCCAAGCAGGCGTACGAGCTGGTCGTCGACTTTCCAGACACACATGCCAGTCAAGGAGAGGGCGTAGAGAATGGCAACGATTCGGGTATCAATGCTGCCGACGAATGGCGAGTCAGGTCGGCTCTCATCGATGAGCGCCCTTCGAACGAACGGGAGGAACGTGGCTGCCAATCCCAGAACTTGTATCACGAGAAGGACTTCGTGACCGCCAACACCCATGTTGTAAACGCTGAAGAAGAATATTTGGGGGTGAAGCGCCGTAAGCGTCGTCCACCAGCAGAGGGCTGGTGAGCCCAGTCAGCACGACAGTCAAACACGTTCAAATATATTTGCTCTCACCAATGTAGCATTCGGAAAGGTATGCGACAGCGTCTTTTGCCAAGGGGGGTTCTCCGTCATCCATAGCGTGATCTTTGACAGATGATGCGAGACTGCAGCGCGGAAAGGGAAAGATGGACACGATAGGATTACAATGGCAAGTCAGCACTGTACAAATTCCATGAAAAGACGACGGCAGTTGTCACGGGAGAATGCCCTTTGCGTACCCAGTCTTTGGCTCCTTGGTCATCTTGGATGTCGACGGCGGCTCGGGAGGAATCGTGCTCCATGCACCAGTCGACACGGCTTTGTATGTCCCACCGAGCGCCCAGGCACCGCCCCAAAGAGAGCTCCCTCCGTCGCCAGCGCTGCCCATGGGACCCGCCGGGCTCCGTGCCTCGACTATGTGGATCTCGAGCCGGGACAAGTCCCACATTGAGGCGCAGTCGAAGAGAAGATCCTGCAGCGAGGTGATCTTAGACCAATTTTCGAACGCCTGGAAATGCGGGGTCCTGCGACTCACGAATATGATAAGGCCCCATTCAAAGAATGCGTACTGGGTGTAGGCGCCTGGAATCTCCAAGACCTGCATCTCGATGTCCCCGTGAGTCCTTGCTCTCCTTTATACAAGGACGGCGATTCGATCTCACCTTGTGACGATAGAAAAAGTGCACCATGAAGGGCATCATGCCGAAGAAGAGGCCAGAGGCCCACCTTCGCATCTTCTTTGCCCGATCTGCCAGCGCGTCGTTTTGAGATGCGTTTGAAAGCTGCTCCTTATTGGGCTGCGTGGCCAGACTGCCGCTCGTTATGTACATCCATGGGGGCGTCAGGATCAAGTAGAGTGCCATGGCGATGTCGTGAACGTCGTGATCGTCGCTCGACGTAACGTAGACCCACCCGCCGCAGGCGATGGTTCTCAAAGCGCCGACCACTAGAAGGATGCGCGAATGGTAGGACCTCGGGTTGGAAAGCGAGACAAGAAGCGAGGAAAGCATAACGAGCATGAAACGTGGTCCCGACATGAGAGCAATCCCAATCTGGAACAGGTTGCGCTCCGGGTACCAGTCGCCAATTGTTGCGCTGACGCTGGGCCAGAACTCATCTGGCCAGCCGGCGACGCCGTTTTTGACAATCTTTTTGTAGTGCAGCGAGAGGCCCATGGCAAGGGCACTGCCAAAGGCCAGGAAGCCAAAGATGGTGTGGATATAAGAGACGACGGCGCCAGAGATCGTGATCAGTGGGGGCGGCCGCGGCCGCCTGTCGATGTCTGACGGCATCGTGGCGCAATTGGGATGATGGTGTTTCGCTGGCCAGCGGCGGCGGCGGCGGCGGCGACAACAGCGGCAGCAACAGCGGCGGCGGCGGCAATCTGCGAAGGGGCGAATGAGCCGGACTCGAGCGAGACGCGGTGGCCCATGCATGGGAGCGAGCGACTTCTTCGAGTGCACGTGAGACGCTACTTTTGACACGTGTGCGCAAGTTCTGAACGCCAAGGCTCAAGGGTTTTCCGTGCTTTGTTCCTCTGCACATGACTATCGATGTCAAATTAGGCTTACACTGTCGCTGTCCCTCCCGAGTGCGTTACGCCAAGTCCCAAGCCAGGCGACCGTGGCATCCATTCTTGCAATAATGAACCATCTATGTTTGCCAAGCAAGCCAGGCGACGCTTTTCCGAGGTGCTCTATTTCTAGGTCAGCGGCTGAATTTGCGCGAACTTCGATGCTAGAGGGGGAAAGCCTCGGTGAACAAAGCAGGGTCGGAATGCTGGTCATTGTCTGCATAGTGTCGCCCTGCTGAAGGAGCGAAGGCAGTGCTTTTGTTTCGAGAAGTCGCCTAGGGGCTCCTCTCATATACCTCTGCCGTTGCTAAGGGGCCTTCTTCCTCCGTATTCTCTCTTCCCCAATCCTGGCGACTTCCTCCTTGACCTTCATCTTTCTTTTCTAGCAAGATGTTCTCCGTCAAGCTGATCGCCTCGCTGGCCATGATGGTCTCAGCTGTCGCTGCACAGGGTGATCCGGAAGCTTTGGTTCCGCAGAATGCCGGAAAGCCTACAAAAAGCTGGACCCAGTGGACGCCCAAGCCAACGTATGCACTCGAAGACCTTCCCGACCAGTACATGGGCGGGAGCAACCGTGTGCCCAACCAGACAGAGACGCAGTCGGGCTGGAACAGGTGTGCGCGCAACAAGTGGAACCAGCAAAGCAAGTGCCAGACGGCCTGGCTCAATTCGCTTGAGGACTGGTGTATCTGGGGTCCCCCTGACGGTGGCGACATTGGCTCGACAGAGCGCGTGGCGGTCGCATACTGCACAACCAACAAGCACGGTACTCGACTGATCCCCGATGGCACCATCAAGGGCGCACATTTCCTCCAGACTGCCAACTACGTTCAAATCAGTGGTGTGGGCGACTTCACGACCATTGGCATTCCCGATGGTAGGTTTACGTCTGCACGGTTGCTAGTAGGACCAATTCATGCTGACCATGAGCAACAGGTGACGCTGGCGGCGAGATGGACCCTCACGGGGCAGATGATCTCAGCAACCCAATCGGTGGAGTCTTGTTCACCACGGCGAACCCTGCTTCCAATGGCGAGTCATGGTTTGTCTCGGAATGGACTAACTTCATGTCTTATGTGAGCATCATCACCGCCACCGCCACATACAGTGTTCCTCCGGCTCGTTGGCTGACCATTTTCCCTAGAATCAATTCTGCATGCGCGCGTGCTGGGGAAATAACGCAGCCAAGCACTGCGAGCACATCTACGACGTCATGGGCTGTCGATGGAATATGCCCTCCGAGCGAGGCTACACGGCCGACGTGTTCGAGTCGTGCGAGGGTGAAGTTGCGCCCTTCCAAGGAATCTACGGCGACTCCACCTTCAGGCAAGGAGAGGCAGTAACGCCTGAAGCTCATCCGCCTGCTCCTTCGTCCAATTGCCAGCCCATTTCGACGATCAGCCACGGTCTTCTCATTGCAACGTCTTCGTCTTCGTCTACCCCTTCGTCCTTTGCCACGTCGACGGCAACTGCCACTTCGTCTGGTGGCCAAGGTGGCGGTGCCACGACTACCCCGGGCTCTGCTGCCACCTCGCAGGGCGCCACAAGCGGTGCAGGGTCGCTCTCTATTGCTCCTCTCTCCGCCATTGCTGCCATTGTCCTCGGGGCTTTCCTGCTCTGAGCTATCGGCCTCTCCACACTCTCTAAAGGACAATCCAACCACTCGAATTTACATTTCTCGTAGCTCACGGTCGTCGTTTGCTTGCTTACTTCCCCTGCTTCCTGACCTGGATCATGCCTAGCATCACCCATAACATTATTAACATCCTTTCAAGTCAATCGCGAATCAGGACATTGCTTTCTGTTCTATTTACATCTATACGCCTTCACCCGAAAGACTGTTGCTCCTTCCAACACATGCAAATATGCAGGCTGTGTCGGCGGGGCTTCGTAAGACCTGAGAAAAAAATTGCTGGGCGTCGGCTGCCCGCGGTCCCAGATCGCGGTGTTTATTTCTGGTAATCGACCGGCAGGCGTTTGTTTTTTGGGCTTGCCATCGTAATGTAAACAGGGTACGATACACAGACAAGATCCGCAGACGACTTCCATTATGTGACCTGTCTCTCACTTACAGTCTCCTTCGTGCTCTGTACAGTTGCGTCTCTGGTGAAGCAATGGAAGGAGTAACCCAAACAGCAAGTTTCTACGCCGACGTCCTTTCTAGAGACTATCGCGAAGGAAGCATTTGGCGTCAGGTGAGGCCTGAGCCGGCCGTGAAATGCGATCTCGGCACGCCCCATATCTTGAGCAAAAACTCAAGCGAAAACCTTGCCGAAGAGGGCCCGGTTGGAGTGGCCCCTGTACGCCCTCGACTTTGTGAGGTGCCCTCGATGAAACTTTTTTGTGCAGACGCTTTTTCCTTCCAGACCTTCCCCCTTCAACAAAGCTATCTGCACTGAACCTCCATCCAAGTTCCGTTATCCTTTTGATCACAATGCGGACGTCTCACATCCTCAGCTTGCTAGTCTTCTCGTAAGTATACACGCACTGCGTTCGAAGAAGTTGGTTCTGACGGTCTCGTTCAGCTTCATTTGTAGGATTAAGGCCACGGATCATCAGCAGCAAACTATTCCCCGCTTGTCAGTGGTTTGTGAGCCGGTCAGCGTTCAACCCGTGTATCCCAGAACGATGACCAAGCTTGTGATGTGGTCAAAACAAGTCGCGGGCAGAGAAGAAGACTTGGCAAAAGCTTTCAACGCGAAGCAGAAGCAAGTCGAGGTCCTCTCTCAAGAGATCGAGAAGCTTGGACTTCCTTTTCGCGACCAGCCCTTCGTGGACCAAAATCTTCTTCGTAAAATTGCCGACAAGGGCGTTGAGATCGAAAAGATCCGCAGTGAAAAGCTTCAACTCCAGTTCAGCATCAAACAGCTATCTGCTCACCTTGAGGAAATCCAGGAGCAAATCAAGATCTGCAGGGCACCCTTGCGTGGAACTTTGAAACAGTCTACCGTCGAAAAGCACACTAAAGAAGAGGCCCAGAAGACTAGCAAAGAAGAAGCAGCCAACGGTGTTGCAACTACCCATGCAAGTTCGAGCAGATCGAAGCATAGCGCTCGGTAAGCTTCAGTAACGGTAGAGGTGCTTCAAAGTAAACTTGGCCTGAAAGAAGTGAAAAGATAAATGACCAATGGCGTTACCATTTACGTGTTGCAGAAGGCGCTCCCAACTATCTAGATCGAGACACTCCAACCATCTCATTGCACTTGTATGATGTGCCTCACTCAATTCTGCTTGCACTGCATCCATTACCGGGAACGTCACTAGCCTCGTCCCAAACAATGTCAAAGTCCACTGTCAAGCCATAAATAAGCTGGTGCTCTCTGCCACACTGGCAACATTTCGGTCTCAGCCGAATACACACCGAGAACCTCCGGGAGGAAGAGGCTTTACCACTCACGGGGCTTCCATGAGAATATTGGTGAGTAAGGAAAGCACTGCTTCAAAACAGTGGCACACTGTCGTCGAACGATACATGCACACTGTCGTTGAACGATACATTTACTCATGAGAGGGAGACGCTTGAACACCACAGAATGCTTTTAGCAGTGCCAGCGCCACCGTTGGCGTCATATGGGGCCACAATTTTTTTTTTTTACTTGAAGCCTTCGGCGCGCCACTGTGCCCATATGATCCAGACTGAATCCCCGGGACAATCGAGCAAGCGAGCGTCGACTCGGTCCACGAGCGAGTGGGCCGGGCTCAAGACACTGCCCAAGCTTTCACGAAGGACACTGAAAATCATATATAGAGGCTCGTTATTCGTTCACTCCTTGCCTACAGCACCTCCATCACCATCTTCCTGGCAGAATCTTCGCTCAAGCAACCGCACAAGAACAATCTCTGTGACTGCCGCTGTCTGTTTCTCGAAGATGAGGGCGTCTCCCTGCCTCATCTTGCTGGTATTCTGGTGAGTGCGCCTGGCTTTTCTTCGCGAGTATCTTCCGCGTCTTTCAAGCCAATATTGAAGTGACCAGCCTTCTTTGTATGATGAGCGCCATGACCTCCGCTATCGAATTGAAGGACCATACCCTAGAGATAAATCGTATCAAGGAACTGAACGCCATCATCCACGGCGTCTCAGAACGGGCATGGCAACTTTTAAACCGGATCAAACCTTCCCTGGACAAACGGATTGCTGAAAACAACAAGAAGCTTGAGTTTCTCACGAAAGTTGACGAGGTCCTCAAAGATCGAGCTGGCAAGCTGTCTTCCGAGGATGAAGCTCTCGCCCGTCAACTTGCCGAGAAGACTAAGAAGCTCAAGAAGACACTTGAAGAAGAGAAGACACAGCTTCAAAGCGAAGAGAGAGGCTACGACCTTGACAAGAAAGATGTCTTTGACTACCTCAGGATGTACCGAGACGACAAGAGTATGATCTTACGCAGACCCAGGATCAAACAGGCCTACAAGAGTTTCGTAAACGCAAACAAACAAGTCAGCGAATCCACTTCTGAACACAAGAATTTCGGCAAACCCAGACACAGACCATGGCAAGCTCCAATCAGGTTCCAACGCACTAATCATCGCCAAGACAAAGGAAAGATGAGATACCAACAAGTCGGTGGATCCACCTCTGGCTACAGAAGCTTCGGCAGACCCACTTACAAACCACGGCAAGCTTCAGACTGGGTCCAACGCACCTACCCTGACCAAGGCAAAGGGAAGATGAACGACCAACAAGTCGGTGGATCCGCCTCTGGCTACAGAAGCTTCGACAAACCCACTTACAGACCCCGGCAAGCTTCAAACTGGGTCCAACGCACTTATCCTGACCAAGACAAAGGGAACATGAATGACCAACAAGTCAGTGGATCCACCTCTAGCCACAAAAGCTTGGAAAATTTTAGACACAGACCACGGCCGGCCTCAATCTGGGTCCAACGAACTCATCGTGGCCAAGACAAAGGAAAGATGATTGATCACCACGATAGTGGATCCACCTCTGGCCACAACAGCTCCGGCGAATCCAGCAACAGACCGCGGCAAGCTTCAATCTGGGTCCCACGCACTTATCGTGGCCAAGACAAGGGGAAGATGAATGACGAATAACGATGCACCTATGTTACAGAAGAGGCCTCCCAGTCCTCTCAATCAAAAGGCCCAACGAAATCTTCCTTGCACGATCCAATGGCGAAGATCTCGCTCGCATCAACTCGCGTGCCCACGATGCGTAATCGTACCTTTCGATTCTTTACGATAGACTAGTGTAGAGTGAAAATTTGTGTGAGACGGGTCATATTCCCAAGTGAGAGAAGAAGGGAGGGGAGGGGGAGGAAACGCACCTGGCCATCGCTCGATGCAAACTCTGGCGGGTTGGAGTCTGGCTGGAATTTGTACTCCATCGGAAGCAAATGGGTGGACGTGAAGATGTTGAGCGGCCCAACCGAGGCGAAGAAGCCCATCTTGTTCACGTTTGTTACCAGCGCGTCCACCACCTCGCCTTTGAAGGGCTTCATGACGATGGCTGTGTACTTGCTGTTGAACTCTGCCTTGCCTTCACCGCCTGGAAGGATGGTACCCGAGCCAATGTCATGGATGTACATCACCTTGACGATATATCCCTGGATGTACGACGCCCTGCGATCAGTCCAAGGAAAGGCTCAAGTGACCAAGATAGTCAAGAGCAGCTCACAATGTTACCCGTACATGTCCCTTCGACTTCCGCCTTGAGCTGCTTGCGAAGGTAGGCATCTAGCGATGGGCCAAAGTACGAGGGGTGCAGCTGGATCTTGTGCTCGAGCTTCTTGAGGAAGAACATCTTCGAAGCCTGTCGATCCTCAGGCGGTGGTGTGGATGGTGGATGCTCGACCTAGAGGGATAGCCCCAGTCCACCCTGAGGCTTCCTCGTGTCCTTTTGCTTCCTGGCCTAGCGCTGCGCTAATCTCCTCCCGCTCTTTGACGCCTTTGAGCTCCACACTTTCCCCCTCTCTGACCTGTCTGCCCAGCGTATGCTTCTTCCAATTTTTGGTGGCCGTTGTCACTCAAAGACCTCTATCGACGCGAGCCAAAAAGAAGCAATCGACGATCAGCCACAAAGGGCCACGTGTCGCGTCTCTTGTCTCGGCCAGGAAGGCTGGACCCGGCGCCGCGCCTGGCTAGCTGTCTCGTCCGGAATCTCTCACTCCACACCACCACCCCTCTGGTCAGCGCAGTCCGCTACTGCAGCCAGCCATGGCTTATGTGTCGCTCTGTCGTGCGCTGTACGACTACACGGCCTCGGCGGAGGATGAGCTGAGCTTTGCCGAAGACGCTTTGCTGTACGTCGTCGAGGCCGACGACGAGGAATGGTGGAAGGCCAAGCTCAAGTCGGGCGAGTCGGCCCAGGAAGAGGACGGCCCAATTGGCCTGGTGCCTGCCAACTATGTCGAAGAGGCCGAACCGATCAGAGTCAGCAGAGCACTTTACGACTACGATGGCACAAACGACGATGAATTGTCCATTAAGGAGGACGAGCTATTGAGCATATTCGAGACAGACGGCGATTGGCTGCTTGTCAAGAAGCAGACGGCCCAGGGCCAGATCACAGGCAAGCTGGGCTTTGTGCCTGCCAACTATGTTGATGAGGTGAGAACATATTCTGAGCTCCTCAGCCTGGACCCTTGGCGCTAACTGTGCCACTTATTCCCAAGGTTGAGGCAGTCGACGGCGTCACCTCTCCCATGGGGGGTGCCGCGGAGGAAGAGGAGCCGGAAGAGGAGCAAGTAGCACCGACAGCGATCGCTGCCGCACCGGCTCTTCCGCAATCAACATCGATGCCAAAGGTCAAGAACGACGAGATCAAGATGTGGGGCGTCTCGGAGCTGGATAAGAAGAAGAAGAAAAAGAAAGGAACGTTGGGCATTGGCAACTCGTCGCTCTTCTTTGCCTCGGAATCCGACAAGGCTCCTGTTCAGAAGATCAGCATTCTCTCCATCGTCGGCCACTCCATCGAATCCAAGGGCAAGCAGCTCAATCTGATCCTTGATGACGACGCGGCGAAGATGATTGAAGCCGGCGAGGACAAGACAATCCGATTCGTTTTTGGTAAGAAGGACGAGGTCGAGGATGTGTGTGCCAAAATCGAAGACAGCAAATCGAAAGTCGGCACTGGCGAAGAAGGGCCGTCTTCAGAGGCACCGGCGGCGAACGGTACGACTGCCCTGCCACCTCCCCCTCTGCTTCCCGGACAGCAATCGGTGGTTGCATCGGCAGCGCAGCCTGTTCTGCCACCTCCGACACGCACCGCCGCCCCCATTCTGCCACCTCCGCAGAGAGCGTCCGTTCCACAAGCATCGTCATCGCCTGCCCCACCACCAGCGACGTCCAATGGAGCCGCGAGTGGCGCTGAGGAAGAACCTGCAATCGCCCTCTACGATTTTGAAGCTCAAGGTGATGATGAGTTGTCAGTAGCCGAAAACGAGGAGCTTGTTCTGGTGGAGCGAGAGAACGAGGACTGGTGGAAGGTGCGAAACACGTCGGGTCAAGAGGGCGTCGTTCCTGCAAGCTACGTTGAGGTCACTGGGCCCGCCGACCAAGGTGGTGCGAGCAAGGGTGCCGCTGCCAATGGGGCTGCCGGTGGAGCGGCAGCAGCATCTGCGACAGCAGCGGCTGCAGCTGCAGCTGCGAAAGCACAGCAGGAAGAGGAAGAGGAAGAAGAGCGAAGACGCGCTGCGGAGGAAGAAGAAGAGAGGGCGGAGAGAGCCCGAATGCAAGAAGAGAGGCGACAGAAGCAAGAAGCTCAACGCCGTGCCCGCGAGAAGGAGGAAGCACGACGCGAAGCCTTGAAATCGCAGCCGGCTCCCGCTCCCCCAAAGGCTCCCCCCACGACTGCCACCACCGACTCGGTGGCGGCAAGGGATGTTTCGATTCCAAAGGATCGGTCCGCTCCCTCGAGGCCGAAGGACGGCGGTGGACGCTCGAAGCCTTCACCTGCCCGCACACGAATTTGGCATGACAAGACGGGCCAATTCAAGGTCGAAGCCGAGTTCCTAGGCTTTAATCAGGGCAAGATCCGTCTGCACAAGCTCAATGGCGTCGTCATTGAGGTTGCTGTCGAAAAGATGAGCCATCCCGACATCCAGTATCTCGAAGACGTGACGGGGAGACGACTCAAACCCGCAGGAGCATCTTCTCCCTCTACTTCCCGAAGATCAACTGCTGCTGACGACCCAAGAAGGGCCGAAAGGGAAAGAGAGAGAAGGCGAGAAAAAGAGCAGGAGCACAGGCGCCGCGAGCAGGCGGCGAGGGGACCGAAGCGCAACATCGACTGGTTCGAGTTCTTCCTTGCTGCCCAGGTCGACGTCGACGACTGCACGCGGTACGCAGCTGCTTTTGAAAGGGACAAGATCGACGAGAGCGTGCTCCCAGACATGGAGCCTAGTGTTCTGCGCTCAATCGGGCTTCGAGAGGGCGACATCATCCGCGTGATGAAGTTTATTCAGCGCAAATACAAGCCTCAGCAGCAGTCGTCGTCGTCATCCTCTAACGATATTGCTTCCCAGATGAAGAACGATGAGGCATTGGCGAGAAAGCTTCAACAGCAGGAGCAGGAGGCTCGTCGCACGGGCACGTCGCCCTCGCCGGGTCTCTTTAGCGGACCCGATGGCAGCCTCAAGAACAACACGAGACGAGGTAGGCCAACCCCGAGCAACAGCACAGCCAGGACTCCCAGTGGTGGAGTCGATGCCGCTTCGCTGGCTGCTGCTTCGGAGAGCCTGGCCCGGACGACGAGCCCTATATCTCGATCAGCGACGACGAGTCCGACGGAGGTCCGTAGAGATGCGCCTGCAGCCGCAGTATCGCCAACCATTGCGAAGGCTTCTGGCTTTGATGACGATGCGTGGACGCCTCGACCCTCAAGCACGAAGCCTGCTACGCCAAAGCCTGCTACGCCGGCACCGGCTCCTGCTGCTGCCGCTTCGCCTGCACCGGCCGCTCCAACGCCTCCGCCACCTCCGCCGGCCCCTGCTGCGGCACCTGCTGCAGTCTCTCCCGCTCCGGTTGAGACGAAGCCGCCGCCGGACCCAAACAGTGCGCTGTTCGACAAGCTAGCAAACATGAAAGCGTCATCGCCCAGTCCTCAGCAGAGGCCAGGTGCGTCGCCAAGCAACGGTTCAGCGCTGAACTCGTACAATGGGCCTCGAGGGCCCTACGCGCCTGTCCCGCAGAACCAGGGTCTTCTCCAGCCCTTGATTGGCACCCAGGGCACCGGTCAGTTCCTCCCAACGAGCATGCAGCCTCAACAGACGGGCATGATGGGTATGCAGCCCCAGCAAACCGGCTTTGGCGGCGGGTGGCAGCAGCCGCAGTCCACCGGCTTCGGAGGATTCGCCCCTCAGCAGACGGGCTTCCAAGCACAGTACCAGCAGCCGCCCCAGTTCCAGCAACCCCAGCAGACTGGCATGACAAATATTTCTGGCTTTGCGGGTCAGATGGCGAGCGGTCCCACTTCTCCGCAACCTCAACAGCCGCAGCCGCTGCAGCAGCAGCAAAACGGCAAGGACGACAAATACGGAGCGGCCAACATCTTTGGCCAAATGAAGCAGGGAACGCTGCACCAGGACCAAAACAAGACCTCTCAGCCTCCACAAAAGTACGACGCGCTCCGTCCGCAGCCGACAGGCTTCCAGCCGGGCGGCGTACAGTTTGGTGGCGGCATGATGCAGCCTCAGCAGACTGGCTACATGGGTATGGGCATGCAGCCGCAGCAGACTGGCTTCATGCAGCAGCAGCCCCACCAGCAGCAGCAGCAGCAGCAGGGCTACATGGGCCAGCAATTCACGGGCATGCCCTATGGCTACCAGCAGTACTAGATCCGGAGTCGTCCTCGTGTCCTTCGTTTGTGGATCCTTTTGCGCTTTCTCCTCAGCTCCATCTTCTCACCTCATGACCCTTCATTATCTTCCGTTCTTCCATCCTACGTCGATTCACTGTTAGGAAATGCCATAACGACCTTTTCTCTCCGCTCTTACTTCTGACTAGGACATCTCGAGAGCTTGATTTTCAGGCTTACCAGTCTTGCCAGTCTTCGGAGGTTCCTCAAAAAGGTTCCGAGGTACGGTGGAGTCATGGGCTGCTGAGTCCCCCCACACAATAGATCGAATAGGGCTTCACCTCATGCACAGGTGGACAACTGTATCGTGCGCCCGTGCACTCTTACAGAGTTTCGTCTAATTTTGTCCTGCGTTTTGGTAAATATTGGCGATCGGCCCGTCGAAAGTGAACAGTCTGCATCTTGTAGACCCGGCGACAGCCAACATTTCACTTGGAGCCTAAATAATTCCCTCAGCCCGGCGATGGAGATTTTCAGGGTCCGACTTGTGACCCATTGCGTGCGCGCTAACTAACTCTAAATTTGGTACCCGCAGGGATTGACGGCACGCCGAACTGACATCGAAGCACGCCATGCAAACATCACCGACCTATTATCGTCCGCACGGTACGGTAGGGTCAAAGATAGAATCGTGCGAACGTTCTTTGATCTACTAGTGCGGCTTCTTGTCTTCCCGCTTTGGTGTCCGTTGGATCCCTTGCTGCTGAGCCAGTAAGGTTCGAGTGAAAGCAAAGCACGCCACCTGGTTTCGCCAATGTCGCGATCCTTCAAGTCTTTTCTGAGGCCAATAGAACGATGCACCTTGTCGATTGGCCACTAAATATGTTGATCGACAATGAGTCGCTGCCCTCCAATACGATCGATGAAGCCCGTCTGCATGCAGGCGGGCCATCGTAGAGCGATATATTGCTCAAGCTGCATAATCTTGAGGAGGAGAGCGGCACGGCATAGCCAATTGGATGCCATGCATTTGCAAAAACACGGCAACTTCTTTGGGAGTCATTGCATTGCATTATCGATTCGGAGATCGATGGTACCGTGGGGACGTCATGCTAGTGTCCTTATTTCCCGTTTTCAGACCCTGAACAACGGCAGTTTCGGATTCTGTGTACCTACGGACCAGTCTCCTTCGTCTTCTTAGCGTCCCCCTTTTTTCGACGAAGGTACCAACGATGAGAAATGCGTCTGCGCTCGTTTTGCTACTGAATCGACGAGACTGCACAGCGTCTGTCTCGGACCCTTTTAGCCTAGCTCCGAGGCGATAACGTCTGTTGGCCGGTGTAGCTTCGTCACCTTGCTTTCATTGACTTGACCGACTGGAGTTTTCTCGCTCTTCCTCCGTACTACCTCCAGGGCTCAAGAAGTGGGTTCTTGTTTACTCCACCTCCTCCAAGGGTCCGGGGAAAAGGCCATTCTTTCCTTGACGATCGAGAGTGCCGTCCCTCACGTCGCTGAGAAGACGCAACTCTTCTGTGTTACTGAGTGGCAGAGGCTCTACTTTCTGGGGGATGGCGTGACGAGCAGGTCCTGGAAGGGACGGGTAAGAACTCTGACCGTGAGGAGACCGTCATAAAGCGACGAGTATTGTTGTTCTGCCTTGTTTCTCTTCCTTCACTCCCCTTTCCACCTCCTCTCCTACCCCTTTACCCCCTCTCTTTCCCCTTTCCTTTTCTCACCGTCACCATGAGGCTCGCTGTGGCATTCATCCCCCTCCTCGCACTCGTGCAGCTCACGCTCGCGGCCTGCCCCATGGCCGAGCTCTCGAAGCGCGGCCTTGTCCCCGAGGACATGGCTCGTCGCTACCACAATGGCCAAGGCCTTGGCGGTGAGACCCTTGCTGAAGCCAGGAAGCGTGAGGACCCTCCCTACAACGGAGGCGGCAACGAGGACGCGCCCCCGCTCCTCGACCCAATCTCCGGCGTCCTTTCGCCTGTCGGCCTCGGTGGCCTCCTGCCTCGAGACCGTGAAGCGGCCGAGCGCAGCATGCGTCGCCGTCAGGCGGAGCATTTCAAGACGCGCATGGAGGAGCGCGACGAGGACGTTGACGACAACAGCTCTGTCCTGACGCCCAAGGCTGCCAAGCGCCACTTTGCCAAGCGCGGCCTCATCGGCGGTCTTCTTGCTCCCCTCACGGGCCCCCTTCAGGCTCTTGACTTGCCGACGCCTCAAGAGTCTGGTCTCAAGAAGATTCCTGGAGACGACCCCAAGCACCAGTACCAAGCTCCAGGCCCCAATGATGTCCGAGGAAACTGCCCCACTCTCAACACGATCGCCAACCATGGTTACATCTCTCGTGACGGTATCTCCAGCTTCGCCGAGCTTGCAAACGGTATCCAGACGGCCTACTCGATGTCTTTCGACATTGCCGTCTTCCTCTCCGCCCTCGGCCTCCTCGCTGGTGGCGACCTGGTCACGGGCCGCTACTCGATTGGCGGTCAAGACCCCCGCATCACTTCGCCCCTTGGCCCAGTCTACGGCATCGACCGCCACGGTACCTTTGAGATCGACGCTTCGATCTCGCGCGGTGACCGCTACTTTGGTGACTCGCACAGCTTTAACCTCTCGCGCTGGGACAAGCTCGTGTCTGACGCGGACCAGCACGGTGGCGGCCTCTTCAACATCGAGGCCATGAAGCGCAACGCTGCTGACGCCGTCGACGAATCCAGGGCTACCAACCCAGAATTCACCTTTGGAGCCAATTTTGCCGTCGTATATGCGACAAGGGCCCTCCTCACTCGTCCTCTTCCTAATGGCACTGCGCCAGAGGTGGCCAACTACGAAAACGTCGCGCCGTTCTACCTCAACGAGACTTTCCCCGAAGACTGGTTCCGCATTCCCAACTCTTACTCGCTCGTTGACCTCCTCGGCGACATCGGCACTCTGTTCCTCTTCAAGCCTCAGCCCCTGGGAAGGAACTACCAGGGCAGGTTCGTCCCACTCGAGCTCAGCGTGCCTACCGCACCCGCCGACGTCGGTTGCTTTGCGGCCTCGCTCCTCGGAAGCATCGTTCCCGGCCAGCTTCAGCCCGAGGTCGAGGCTATCAACGCCGTCAAGGATCAGCTTCTCAGCGTTGTGCTCAAGAGTGCCAACTGTGACGTCAGCCAATTCAACTCCAACGCAGGCTCAGGATCGAGGAGCAACATCTCCTACGTCGAAAATGCTGATGCCGGCAGCGGAAGTGGCGTCACGAGGCTCGGCGAGTACGACAGCGCGGCTAAGCCCACCAACTACAAGTCTTCGTCTTCGTCATCGTCCTCTGCAGCCAGGGCGACGGCTTCCACCAAGGCTGACCGTTGAGCAGCTTTTGTTGTTTGTACGGTGCAAGAAGCCCTCTGCAGTCAGGGATTCTTTCTACCGGACATGACAGACATTACCTCCGCCATCTTTTCTTTTTGGAACCCCGCCCTCTTTCCCATTTCCACTGACCTCCTTCTCTTCCTCTGTATTCCCTTCTCATGTTCCAATCTTTATTGCTCAGCCACGCTTCGGCATTGCTTTGAGATCATCTCTTATACACACATTACACCTGAGGTACTGTTGGCACTGCCATCATCCTATATTGCACGAGGTCGATGATTTGAGGTGTCAAGCCATTTGTGGGGGGCAACTCCCCTACCACCAGCGAGTGAGGCCACAACGAGCGAGAGTGATCTCGGTGAAAGAAAGACGAGATCTTGGGCTGGTCCGGCTTGTAGGCAGGGCCGGCTGCAGCAGAGGTGCCCTGAAGCTTTTCTTTTGCCTTGGCCTTCTTAACTGGCGTAATACTGGGCTTGGCGCGAGCCTTGGTTGCCGCCGTGGCGACCGCCGTGGCGACTGTCGAGGTCGAGCCCGTGGTGGATTGCGAAGAGGAGCGCCCCTTGTTCTTTGAGCGCGTTGTCATTTCGTGTACCGCCGCAGGCTGAGTCATCACGGTGTTGGCGGTGGCGACATTCATGGCGGTGCTGGTTGCTTGTACACGTCTGAGCTCCTCGATGTCGACGTTGATGCCTCGATAGATGGCGCGCTCGCCCTGGACTTTGGGCACCATCGCTGCATGCATGTACCCTTGGTAGGCTGCATACAGAGCATAGTCAGCCTCACTATCAATGGCACATTAGACTGTGCCCTGCAGATGGTTGTCATAGTCCTTTGTACAAGCTGGAGCTTGTCTAGGTTGACATCAATGCCACAGTAGATGGAGGGCTCACCTTGGACCTTGGGCACAAGCTCTGCTTGCTTGTTCTCCTGGCAAGCTGCATGCAAGGCATGGTCAGCCTCACTACCAATAGCACATGAGACTGTGCCATGCAGATTGTTGTCATCGTCGCCCCACACAACCTCCCCGATGTAGAGGATCATGCAGGGGATGTCGTTTTCTGACAAGAAGCGGTCGACGAGATTCGTGGGGACCTGTTTTAGGACGAAGGTTGGTAATACACGTATCGTGAGAGGGAGCTGTCACCTGGACGAACTAGGGGCTGTCAGGTCGTATTCTGCGACGAAGAGAAGAGGGAGAGTACAGGAAAAGGAGGTCGTTATATAGGCAGGCGTCGCAGGGCGACGCCTGGCTTATCTCTGGGATTAGTGCTGCAGGACGTGCTTGAATGCGCGCTTGAGCGCCTGCTGCAGGCGTGCTCATGGACGTCCGACACGGCGGATAGCCCGAAAAGCAGGGTCTAGTAAACAAGGACGAGCGAAATAAACATGAGCGAGGGAAATAAACAAGGGCGGCGAAAAAGAGGGAGCACGGCCATACTTTGCCACTTTGTGAGGAAGCTGTCACCTGAACGAAGTAGGGGCTATCAGAGTGTACTCTGCGAAGAGGAGAAGAGAAAACGGAAGTACAGGAAAAGGGGCTTATTGTAAAGGCATGCGTCGCCCTGCGATGCCTGCTCTGTTTCTGAGAATCGTGCTACAGGCTAGGGCGTGCGAAGGTGCCCTGCGCCTGCCGGGCTGTGCAGTAGGCGCAGGCGTCTTGCAGATGTCCGCGACGGCGAATAGCCCGAAAAGCAGGGTCAAGTAAACAAGGATGAGGCGAAAATAGACGAGGGCGCGGGAGATAAATTGAATCGGCGAAGAAGGAGGCAGCACGGGACCCCGCGGGCGTCTCGACGCCTTGTGCTCTAGTAACAAAAAGCACGGCAGAGGACAGTAGAGTCAGAAGGGACGGCAGATAGTGCATCACTTTTGATCGTATTATGTCGAGGAAGAAGTGTGTGTTTGAATACCGTTCATGGAGAGAGAACTACTTTGTTGAAGATCAAGATGTACAGCAGCCTTGGATGAAGCTTAACTGAGCATGCCACCCATTGGACCCTGGACGTAAGCCATGGGCTTCATGTCTGGATGAGGCTGTGCCTCAAACTGGATGTACTCGATGGTGCCTCGGTCGTCAATTCTCGCAAAGGCACCCTTATTCCCGACTTGGTCGACGTAGTTGCTCGCTGAGAAGATGGTGACGGTGAAACCGTCATGCTCCTCCTCGTACCCCTCATGCCGGACCTCGTGAGATCGCAGAATGGCCGTAATGCCATTCTCCCGGCACCAGGCTTTGGCAATGTCCGGACCGAAGCCCTTGCCGACACCTCGCTTGCTCGCCGCTCGACCATTTGCCGCTTGCGGATCGGCCCAAAGGAGATCCTGGGCCAAGCCCGCGCTTGGCTGTCCGATCTTGTGGCGGTCAAGCGCTCGCACATCGTCAAGGGTCACGCCATCCTCGCTTGATAGACCGCCATGGACAACGAAATAGCGCTTCTTGCCCCCCGGTGAAAGAACCGGGCTTTTTTGGGCCAGCGGAACCCGCGCTGGCAGGTCGCCTGCTGGAACAGGGTCATTAGTTGCGGTGATGAGCGTCGCAAGAGGGAGCGCGACGAAGAGTTCGGTGAAGAGCTTGAATGTCGTATCGCCACCAAACTTGGCCTTGACTTCGGCTGCGAATCCATACGTCTGGTTCATCGTCGACGTCTCGTGGTTGCCCCGGTTCAAGAATGTGTTGTTCGGTCGAAGCCATTTGTATGCGAGAAGGATGAGAAGGCACTCAGAACCCCAGTTGCCTCGGTCGACAAAGTCCTGTGGAGAGAGAGGAGTGCAGTCAGCCTGGTGTGTCTCCACATCAAAAAGGGGTTGCTTGATACATACGCCATTAAAGAGCAGCATGTTCTTTTCGCTCGGTCTTCCTGACTGCTCAAGCGCGTATAGGAAGTCATATAGTTGCCCGTGGATGTCTCCATAGACTGTCGCGGTGGTTCCTTCCTTGACCTCGTACTCGACCATTGTCGGTTCCTTCATAAAGTGCCGGTGAGCACCGAGGATGATCTGCCAGGCGTAGCGATGCGGCAGCTTCTTGCCGTCCTTAAACCAGGCAATCATTTCGTTGATGAACTCTTCGCTGATTGAGCCCAGGTGCTTCTCTGGCCCGTCGGGCCCGTCAGCTAACCGAGGCCCTGTGTACTTGGCATCGACAGTCGAGCCGCCGGTGCCTTCCAGCAGATGCTGCGCTACCGTCTGCCATGTCTTCGGACCCTCTTCTGTCGCAATAGCCTTCTCAAATTCGAGCTTACGAACCAACTTGACTGTCGAGTCGAGCTGGGACCGGCATGTCGCATTCTTTGGCTCAAGCTTGACTAATTGACGAAGATCTGGCAGCGCTGATTTCGGATCGGCAATCGAAAGGTATGCAATAGCTCTTCGATAGTAGGCTTTTGCAAACTTGGCATCCAGCTCAATGGCTCTAGCTATAGTAGAAGTGATCGGCATTTTTCTTTAGCTGTGAACTCCGAGGCAACCGGCAGGAAAGTGCGCCACTCACTAGCATCCTCAATGGCCAAGCCGTGCTGCTCCAGCTTCAGCTCGCACGCAGCTCGATTGCTCCACAGCACGACAACTGTCGGATCGAGGGCGATCCCCTCGCCATATCTGATCTTTGCATTCTCAAAGTCGCCGCTCACGAAGAGCTTGTTTCCTTCGTCCTTGAGCTTGAGTGCTCGCTCGTTTCTCTCCTGCGGAGGCAACGAGGCCTCCTTCAAGGTGGGCGAAGGGGGCAGATCTGCGCTCGTCGCCGAGGATGCTCCGTTCAAGGACGGAGACGAGGACGTCGAAGGCGATGCCGACGAAGAAGACGCCGATCCCTCTGTGACTGACATTGGTCCGGCTCGTGTGCGAGAGTCAATCCACCCTGTCTGAGGAGAAAGAAAGTGGGAAACCAAGTCCAGCCCTTCTGATTTTTCCATTGCTAATTTTGCCAACTTTTCGCAGATAGGCGCTTTCTTCTATCTGCTTACTAAGCCAAGACCAACCCTCCTCGACCAGAGTTGCAACGCAAGATTCTCGCTCGCGACGACAAAAGGCAGCGGACGCATCTGGGGAAATGGCCGAAGCAGGGGAACAAGCGGATGCGCTGGATGCGTTGAGAGCCTCGCTCGCCTCGCCCGAGGGCGTCGCTTCCATTGCGCTTCTGGATGAGAATGCCTTGGTGATAGAGGATCTCGGCAAGGCGACCTCGCTCAGATTCGCTTCGGGCCTGGTGTTACTCAAATCCCACATTACCCGACTGGCCAAGTCCAGAACCTCGCCAGTGCTGCAAGAAGGATCCACGGCGACGCCCAGCACAAGCACCGATGATTTCTTTCCTCTGGATGCCCTCGTCTTCGCCGTGCAGATGGCAAGCGCACAAGGTGGTCTCTACGTCGTCCAAGCCACCAGCCGAGGCTTGCCGAGGCTCGACGCCCTCGAGCGGCAGGACATCTTGGCTTATCTGACGGGAGCAAGGAATGAGTGGGAAGGCGTGCTAAGCAAGGACGTCGTTGCCCTTCGAGCATTGTCAGCGCCAAGCGCCGAGGCTGGACCATCGACAACACCGCCGTCGTCGCCGCCAGCAGCGCACAAGGCCATGTTTGGACAGCTGGGGGCAGTAGGCGCGGCAGGAGACGCAGCTGCAGCTGCGGCTGGCGTAGCTGCCAAAACGATGGTGCTGCCCCCCAAGAGACCCTACGTGCCTTCCAAAGCCGATGCCGCCTTTGTCAAGCGCTTGAAGACGAGTGGTACGGAGATCACGCCTCGAACGAGAAACGACGCGCTCCGTGGATCACAGCCTTGGAGCAAGACGGCAGACTTTGCCTCGCTGCGGGCCACATTGGCCCCTCAGATTGATGCAGCTCGCAAGGTGGCAGGCGCAGGAGGGAGCTCATCGTCTAGCAGTCGCCAGCCTATGCCATCACAGTCACTATCCAACGATGCCAGCCGAGCTCGGAAAGGCCGACAACAAGACCCGATCATTGTTCTTTCCAACAGCCCGACATCGCTCATCAACATGTTCAATGTCAAAAGTTTTCTCGAGGAGGGCACGTTTGTGCCGCCTGAAGAGGCAAGACTCAAGGCTGGCGGAATGGCCGAAAGCATTGTCATTGTCAACCATAGATTGTCGTCGCAGGGGCCTGAAGCAAAGGCAAGACGCTTTCTCGTTGTTGACAACGTCGAAGCGCTTGCAAGGCTCACGAGCAGTGGAGGCGGTGGCGGCGGTGGAGGCGATGCCTGGACAAGGGTCTGCGCGGTCTTCACCACTGGTCAGCTTTGGCAATTCAAGGAGTATCGGTGGTCCGAACCCCGCGAATTATTCAAGAACGGTGAGCTGGTCGCCCGATATGCCCTCTCTCTACATTTTACGCTGACTCGATCTCTGTCGCTCTGCATGCAGTAATGGGAGTTTACGTGCGGTGGCACAACGAAACAAAGAACGCAAATGTGCGAGATTGGCCCGTGGTGGAGCTAGCGGTGAGTCCTCCCGGGCACCAAGTTCGGGTGCACTGAATGCTGAACATCCTCATCTTGCCTCCAAAGATCGATAGAACGAAAAGACACACAGACCGCCAACTCTCCGCCCACTTCTGGCGCAACGCAGAGAACCTCATCACGAAGCGCATGTTGTGACCTTCTACTGTACCACCTGTATTAATGCCTCACCTTGCCATATGCAAATAGCGTGCATGAAAGCGCTGGTCGGGAAAGGAAGCTTCTTTTGCCGTCATCTTCCTCAAGCTAAAGTATTGGCAGGCCCCCATAGACTGGCGATGGTGCCCAGCCGCGACATGAAAGCGCGTATCCGACATCGCTCGAGCCTCTAAGTTGCATTCGTCGCTCCATTTCGTTCCATCCGATTGGCCGGTTCCGGCAAAACCCCTGGTACACGACGCCACTGGCGTGGACTTGCGTCTAGTGAAAGGCCCAAGGACAGTCCTTGCGGGTCCGAGTGCCACCAAAATCTTTAAGGGAAGACCCTTCCAATGTGTTTTTAGCCATGCCTTCTCTGCGGTCATGAGGACAACCCAAAAAGGTGATTGTGGTCGGCAGTTGTTCTACTGATATCGCGCCATGTCCAGAAGGAGCGTTGGCACTCCTCTGCTGAAGAAAGCAGTCAGACAGAGGGCGTGAAAGGAACTTCGCTTCGTCGATTTAGCATCGGTCTTATTGTGACAAAGACAGAATTGGCCATTTGCACCGGGTTTCTCAACTCCTGGACACCATCAGAGATCCATATACTATGGCTACACCAGGCCACAACATGAAGGACCCGGCACTGCGCGCAATACCGCTATCGACCGTCCCGACTTCCCCTCCTCTGACCACGGACGAGCACAACGCTTTGCCTGCCGCAACGCCAACTCTGGCCTCCGATTCGAGTAGCTCAAAAGGCCAATATCAAAGCTCTAGGGGTATGTCAATTTCACCTATTCCATCAATGTCGAGATGGTCAGAGGACAGCGAAGACAGAGCTTTGGTGAGCACCTCTACTACCCAGTGACCATTCTTACAAGGTGCTCACGTGCATCACAGCACCTTGGAGACCACGAAAAGCTGCATTCGTTGACCAAGAATGTCGTGTCTTTCGGTAGGACTCTTGGACAAAAGTCTTCTGCGGCGAGTCTGCGCAAGAGCTTCAGCCATAATCCCGAGAAAAGCGACCAGAAAGAACGATCAATTCGCAAACCTCCATCAGGTCTGACCTCTTCGAGACTTGGCACGACCACTTCGTGCTCATCGATAGAACCTACTCACACGCCTGACATACGGGCGTCTGTTGAGGAAACACACAAATTGTTTGGCAGTCTCGACACATACTCGTTTTGGATCGGACCAGTGTCGATGGAGAACGAAGACGTGAAAAGAGCTTCATTGGACCGCCTTGAACACCAACGTCAGCCAGAGGGCAATGATATCGGCAAGGTTGCAAAGGCGACAATGGATAGAGATACTGTGCGACCACCTCTCCAATTTGCACGCTTGTCCATGAATTTCGACTCTCGTGGGGCGTTACCGTCGTCGTGCCGTGCCTCACTCGCTTTGAGTGAGCCCTGCATGGAGCACAATCCGGTCGAAGAGCTTCTCACCGCCCGAGAGCAAATACTTTGCGGTAGGTGCTCTTCGCACAAAAGATGCGTCAAGACCTTTGTACTGACGGACGGTACATTTCTGGTTTGCATCAAGATACATCTTTCATCCTTCAAGCATCGATCAAGCATCACTGTGACCGTCCCAGCTGTAGCAACTTTGGCTTGTGGATTTGGACGCTAGACAAGAAGGCAAGTTGAGTCTACATGAAGACTCTTACAGAGGAGAGAGACATGCTAAGTTTCATTTTGCCACACACAGCTGCTGTGCAGCGACTGCGCAAGTCAGGAGATCTTGCGTCTCTCCGACGATGTCAAACGACAGCTTTGCTCTCATACGAAGGAGGACGAGGAGTTGCGCCAAGTCGACTTGACACGATTGTTGAGCTTCGCCAGGACATTACCTCGTGCCGTACTTCAGGAGCTTGGCGGCGATACCTTCCCCACTTTTGAGCTGGGCGCCCCGATATCTGGATCACCAATCCATCACACAAGTTGTCCTTCAACTTCTGATGTCTCATTGCTCGTTCAGCCGGCTCACACGAACGCTTCAGGCGCTGCTTCGCTTTCAAAAATGACCTCCAAATGGAGAACAATTCTTGCGCAGACGAACAAAACTCCGTTCTCCAGAGCCCGTCACTACCGAAGCGGGACGTCGGAGCTTTGCCATAAGTCGTCGAGTGAGCCTGCTACTACGCTTTTCGACGATACGAAGCGACACACTCTGCTTCCTAGCACTTTCAGATGGCATCGCCGTGCTGCCTCGATCCCGTTGACCATTCCTTTCTTTCAGCGAAATCGAGGCTGCGAGCAATGCTCAAGACCGGACAATTTTCTGACAGATGAATCATCTCCTTTGCGGGCGTTCACGACCCTTTCGGACACAGCAACAGTCTGTTCAATCGATCAGACAGATAAAAAGAACGAAGCAGAGGTAAAGTCACCATCAGCAATGTTGCGTCAGATTCGCAAGAGAGTCGCAGCGTCCGATAGAAGGAAGTCCATGACGTCAGCTGCTCGGGAGAGAGTGCTACTGCGACGTCTCTTCGCTCTCCACACTGTCTACGTTGGCAGACTTTCGATGAAGAAGCGGTGTCTTGAGGTCGACGACGGAACAACATACTCTTCGGCATTGATAAGGACGGCGAAAGCAGAATCAAGCGGAGATCTTACCAACGTTGTCATGTTTTGCGTCGCCTGTCACGTCGAGCATGCAAAAGCTGGGCAACAGTCGCTTCCCCAATCGAAGTCTGAGGTCCTCGAAGACGAGACTGACAGTCACTTGGTCACAAGGCACGAAAATCTCTTCTCTAACCCGAGGAAAGCGCCTCCGCCTCCGTCAGGTGCTGTTCAAAATACACTGTCCCAGACTTCAATTCCGTCCTTGGCGGATCAATTCGACAAGCGAGGTGTCTCTCCGACTCTGGAGGGGAGCATGGACCCCACTGAAGACACAGGCAAGCAAGAAAGGTGCTCGGAGGCTTTGCGGGTAAGATTTGAGCGCTTGGACCCCTCTCGGCTCTGGTGAGCAAGTGAAGGGGTTGACACCACGCCGACATCTCTCTTCACGCTACCGACTTGATTGATGTCGCCAAAGGGCGGCCACTCTTGCCGACTCACTCGTCCTCTGTCGACATCGAGGACCAGCTACATGGCACTTCGCGCTAGCTCCGCCGCCGAGAAGGGCGCCTTCTTGCAATCGTTGGGTCATGTGACGATAGCGTCGCAGCCTTCGACCATGGTCCCAATCCTCTTCATCTTCGGGACTTGCGCTCAAAGATGTATTTCGAGAGGAACAATGCTGTCTTGCTGTGGCGAACACAATAGTGGGACAGCCTCGCGTTTTGAAGGCCTCTAACAATTTTGCAGACTTGAAAGATCCCGGGCAACAATTCTATCCAGACTACATGAGCTTTCCGACCTTTGCTTCCTCCTAATTCCGCCTTATGAATCAGAAGCAGGCTGAGAGTTGGGATCAAAGCAAGTACTTGCGTCCCTTTCTGCTCTAATACCTTGGTGCGGAAGAAGAGCCGAAAGGAAGATAAAAGTGCAGGCAAGTAAATGAAAAATAAAAAGGTGGGGGGATGCTACATCCCGGCGTTCTTGATATCAGACACATATTGCCGAGTCGGAATGACCCGTCGACTTGAACGAGCGTGTGCATCGAGCAGAAAAATACACGAGGACATTGTTGCAAGTGTGTAATCCTAATGGTGGAACGCATGGTCTTGTCAGAAAATCCGGCCGACACGAGGTCATGAGCTGTCCACGAGGTGCTGTGATGCAAAGGGCAGCTTTGGGCAGAGCGTCACAGTCTCGCAATTGAGTTTGGGAGAAACTGAAAAGGTCCGAACCATATGGCGGCGATTTTGTCTGTGACTGGTTCCTGAAAACCACGCAACTGACCGTAAGTGCAGCGGAGGGCGTCCCCCTCCCTCCACATCGGGTCTTTCCTCTTCTTCAATCACCCGAAAGACGTATCCATGAGACTACTTGCCTTGTTTAGTAATGATAGTAGGTGCCTCTCCTCCATTAGGCTAAAGTGGGCCACGGAACAGAGAGGACGGCGCTAGGTACGGGCGCCTTGAACAAGATTGCGTCGATTGCTGCATCGATTTGCCAAGGACTTCTATTCTATTTCAACTCAGAAGCTCGAGGGCGGGAACTTGTAATCAGATGGAAAATTGTGAGCAATTAAAATACACATTTCAAGAGTCTCTAATAGAAAAGGAAGTCTAGGTCTCTATGCGTAGTCAGTCTCAATTTCTCTATTGCTGCACTAGCTCTTGAGAAGCTGAAACGAGCTAAGGGCATAAAGGCGCTCGGTTCTTGAATCGACGGGTTCTGCAGGAGGGGCTAGCCGCCTCGTGCCGTCGACTTGGATTCTCCCTAAGGTCTCACGTACAGTAGTTCCGTGCCTGGAAAGTGTTCACCGCATGTACGTCAGACGTAGTGCATGAATGGGAGAGAAAGGGGAGCAGACGAGGTGGTGAGGCGATCGATAGATAAGTCTCCCCTCTTTCTCGTATCCTAGACCTGCCATCCAGTGTTCCTCTTTCTTTCCTCTCTGTCCGTTCTGAGGGCTCTTCCCTGTCATCGTTCTTCTCTTTCCTCGCTTTTCAGACCACGATCAAGCCACAGCTGACAGCTCTGGCTTTTTCCTGAGCGCTTGGCCTTCTTCAACATGCTGTCCTCACCAGGCCAGCTTGACCTCTCTGTCGAGGATGGGAGGCTCTATCTAGGTGGCAATTGGCGACAATTCATTCCAGCCGAGCCTACGCAGGGTATCAAGGAGATTGAAACGTTTCGCTACATTCTCTGCGCCGTCTACGCAGTCATTGGCTGGGAGTACATCGTCACGTTCCACGAAGAGCGACGGAGATGGAAACAGCTCATCGTCCAGCGCAAGATTGTCCTCGTCAATATCTTCGTCATCATTGGGAGGTACATGATGATTGCGAACGCCATCACCTCTGCGATCTACTTTTTCGGCAACCCGGGCGACTGCCAGTCCCCCATGACGCTCATTTTTCTTACCTACTTCCTTGTCTGGGTGAGTTTGCGCATTCTTCCTCTGCGCTTGCATCACGAAGACTAATACAGGGAACTCCTCATACAGCTGTCCTCGGCTCTCATCTTTGTTCAGCGCGTTCGAGCGCTTTACCACAGCAACCCGGCCGTCAACTACTTTATCATGGGTGTCACAGCATTTTGCAGCTGTCTCTGGATCGTAGCCTTGGGCTTCTTCTACTCGAGTCGCCTGCCGCCGGAGGTGCAAGTTCCACGTATGCCCACCTGCGTCCTCGCACCTTCGCCACCCTGGCGTGCTATCGGCTTTGGTGGATGCATCATCTTCGACCTGGCCGTGCTGGGTCTGACGGTGTTGCGCGTGCGTCAGCAGGTGCAGAAGGAGAAGCGGTCGCCCATGACAGGCTCTGCCGCCCGCCGACATGGTGTCAAGAGTGCACGAAGCTGGCTCATCGAGACGGCGCTCGTTTACGGTGGTGTGTGCCTCACCATCAACGTCGCCACCTTCTTCGTCATCATCTTTGAACGCGACATGATCCTCGAGGCCTACCCGATCCCCTTTGCCGTCGTCATCAACACTATCGTCGCGAGCCGCATCGTCTTCCACTCGGACCTCTGGGGCGCTAAGACGGCGCTGCTCGAGTCGAGAACGCTGCAAGGGTTCGTTCACCCCAACCACCACCGTGATGGTGTGCTCCTCTCTCGCAACCAGCGTTCTCGCGGCGGCAACGGTGCCGATGGCATTGGCAAAGGCGCCGCAACAACGAGCATCGGCGGTGGCAATCTTGCAGGCGACTTTGATGATGGAGAGATGGACAAGCGGTCATTGCATTCGAGCATGCAGCACGGGACCCCTCTCTCGCTGCAGGGCGCCTTCTCGCTCGACCCCAATCTGACCAGCGGCATTTCTTCCGGCAACGGCTCGGTCTCGCTCTCTGCCGAGAAGAGCGGATTCGCATTCAGCAAGGGCTTCAGCGACTTTGCGCTCAACAACGGCAACCGCAATAGCATGCAGAGCTTCAACGGCGGTCAGACGCCTGTGCTTCGCGCGCACGCGCCGAATTCGTCGTCGGCAGCCAATTCGCCGTTCGCCAAGCAAGTTGCATCCATGTCGTCGTCACCGTATATCAATGACAGTCCGACACCGACAACAGACGACGTGGTTGACGATGATGAGGAAAACCATGTGGGCGACGCCAGCGACGAGATCGAAGACCTCGAGATGCAGGTACGATCAGGATCGAGGGCCTCGCCAATGCAAATGCATCAACCGACGCTGCACAAGCAGAGTAGCTTCATAGGCCGGGCGCGATCGCCACAAGCATCATCATCGATGTCAGACCTTCACAATGGTCAAGCTTCTTCACCTGTCGGGAAACAAGCAGATGGACGCGTGCGGGCGGGCAGCGGAAATGTCGAGCAGGAAATCGTCATGTCGCCCGAGGTCGTCCGGATCCAGAGAGAGGTCTCCAGGAGAGTCGACTGAGTTCCGCTTCTGCTCGGCCCAGCTACCCGCTGCCATGTTGCTGTCGATGCTTGCCTCTGTCACCGCGTTGCCTCACTGCCTTCCGTCATACCTCATCATTCTGTCGAGATCAATCTGTATTTCTTCCTTCCCATCCATCGTTACATGATAACTCACACCCGGCGATGCCGGCACACGCCGATGAAATCACGAAAACAATGCAAAAGAATTACAAGAGCGAATCATCTACATGTTGTTGGTGCCTTTCCTTTCATGCTTCCTTGCCTGTATCCTTGTCCTCCAACCGCTCTGAGTGTACTCGACAACGTCGTCCTGTAGGCCTTTGCCGCCCGGCAGACCAAAGGCGAATCCGTTGGCGCCTTCTACGATGAGGCGCTCGTCGCCGATGCGTCTCGCCGCCTGTGAGATTGTTCGAGACCGGTCCATACGCCGAAGGCGGCTTCCTAATGCGACAGAGTCGTGGCCGACGAGCACCGTGAGTTTTGCTGGGGGGTGGGACTCGGAAAGAAGCGAGAGGATCCGTCGGAGGAGGTGCTCGAGCTTGTCGTCATCAAGAACGAGGCTGTGAACCATATGGCATCAGCAAAGGACGCTGCAGTTGAACACAGAGGGCCGCACGAACCCGGGATAGAACTGCAAGGTGGAGACAACGACAATAGTGAGGCACAGTCAGACATGTAGGTTGAGATGCACTCTCACAGTAATGGTGACGCTGACCAGAGTCCCCTGCTCTCCTCGCGCAATGGATCTGAGTAGCGTGTGTACCCATGCCTCGAGCGAAGGAAGGACGAGGTGGTAGTGTAGCAGCGCTTCGTCCGTCTCTGATTCCTTTCCATGCACGCTGACTGCGTGTCCGATCCGGAACCCGCCAGCCTGTTCGTCGGTCGTGATCCAAGCGGCCTCTTGCAGCCTCGTCAATGAGGGCCAGATCGCGTCTTTAATGAGCGTTTCCCCTCTCTGCAGCTTCTGTTGTTGCCCACCACTGACAGCTCCACGGTTTGACGAGACCCACAGATGCCGAATCGCTGCACCGAGTCCAGGCTGCTCGACGAGCGTCCTCCTTAGGAGGTCTAGCTCGCACGTCCCGGCGAGAGAGATCGTACGGTACAGCCTTGGGTGAGCAGAACGGTAGAATATGCTCGAAACAAGGCAAAGCGATCGGTGGTCCCGCTTCTTCTCTTTGCTCTCCTCTCCGGCCTCATCGTGCCCGCTGACTGAGGATACGATGAGGTCAACGAGCTCATAGGGCAGCGAGAATGCCATTGCGAGGCTCGTCCTTCTCGCTACTCGAGTGACGATGGAGGAAGACGAGGTGGTAGTGGCTTCGCGGCATTCATCGCTGCAAGCAAGCTTCAGTCGCTCATGCGGTTCCAGAGCGGCAGTCGTGGGAGGCTGCGATTGTGGACTGTTATAGTTATGCACCTTTCTGCCTCTCCACTTCTTGATAGCATCGCGCCAAAAAGAAAAAGAAGGAAAGAAGCTCACTAAGCCTATCACGTTCCTCGCCACCTTGTCACTTTTCTCAAGTTGTCAATATAAAAGACGACAAGGTGTCTTGAGACTGTGCGTTACCAGGACGACAGGCAATGGAGATAGACCGATAGATCAATACAAAGAAGACTAGACAGAAGTTAAATTATCGTACAAATAGATCTGTGTCACGGGAGACAATATATGAAGAGATATCGCGGCTCTCAATTCGGCAGCTGAAGGGGTTGCGTTGGCGGCGGTGAAGGTATCAAGATCTTCCCTTCGCTATCACCTGCCCATTCCAACCAAGGACATCGCCGTCGTTATTAGCAAGCATTCACAGTGACCAGAAAGGTCAAAGGGAGACAGCAGAGACTCACACTCAAAGAAGCCAAGGCAGCACTTCGTCTCGTCCCCGCCCAGCTGGGTCCAGCTAGACGTCGCTGAATTGTCCGCTGCTGGCGCAGGCGTCGCGCCCGACTGGCTATCCTCCCTACCGGTCTGTGACGAGATACCCATGTCCATTCCTCCTCTTCTTGGGCGTGCCTCGTTGGTGTGGGTGTTCGTCGATGCTTGCGCAGGGTATGCCGTGGGAGGTGGGGGCTTCCCCTGCTGTGTCGGCTGCATCGGAGAGGAAAGGGATGACGATGAAGGAGGGCAGCAGCCGCCGCCGTTACTTGATGGTCGGCATCTTTTCTCTGATGCTTGCGACAGCGCTGGCGAGGCTGGGTGAGACTGGGTGGCGGCGCTGAAGGGGGTATGAGCCGGTTGCTGTTGCTGCTGCTGCAGGTAAGGAGAGCGTGGGCCGTGTTGCAAGGTCATGTTCTGTCCATGACTAAGCATCTGCTGAGAAAAGCCAGTCGTCGTTGAGGGGGAGCCGAGCGAGTGTGCTGAAAAGGCTGACGAAGAGTACATTTGCTTCGACGACGAGGGCGAAGGCGAAGGAGTCGGTTCGGCGCTGAATGCGCCTGCCACTGCGAGCTGGCCACCCATCTGGGACACCTTTGACACGAGGATCCGCACCTGATCGCCCGTCGCTTGGGCCACAGACTCGAGCCGGGCAAGACTGTTTGCGCTTGCTGCTGTGCGCTGCTGCTCCATTGAATAGCTGCCACTGGCGTGACTGTACTGCGATGCGTCGTTGTAATTTGTCTGCGATGCTTGCCGCAAAGTGAGGATCGACGAGGTGAGTGCTGCAAAGTATGAGTCGACTACTTTGGCGGATTGGAGCTGATGGAGCGACCTGTCAGCTTCGACTAGTCTCAATTTCCACCGAGGCGAATGCTCAACTCACCACATCGATGCGACTCTTCTCGTGCGAAAGACAGTCCTGGCACTGCTGTCTTGCGTACTGCTGCTGCTCATCATCCCCCTTCGTACTCCCACCCTTTATCCCTACAACATCTCTGCCAGTGTAAGAGCCGAGACCGGTACCAGATCCAGGTGTAGAGGCAAAAGCGGCGGTTGAAGATATGTTGTGTGCCGAGAGAGCTTTGAGCTCGGCATTCTCTCGCTCAAGGTCCTTTACGCGTGTCTCGAGCTCGGACAGGTGGGCAGCTCTCCGCTGCCGAAAGGCGCGCTGGGTCAGCAGCTGCCTCGATGGCTCTAGCGTCGTATCTGGTCGTCTTCCTCTCCCCATCGTTTCGGCCTTTTGTTTCTGCCCCAGCAGAGAGAGAGAAAAAGAGGAAGAAAAGAGAGGATGGACGAGGATGGACGTTGGCGGGGACGAGATGGAGGTCACGGATGTTTCCAATGCTGGCTTCTCCGGTAGATCGCCACCTCTTTTTTTGTCTTTGCTGTTCCGACCGAACCCCCGCCTTGCAGTCTGCCCTTTCAGTGGCCGACGAATCTACGTACAGGCATACGAATTTTCCGGTCTTACATTCAGACGCACGTACGCACGCAGGCCACAGCCAGACTAACAATACGAACAGCCCCGAAAAAAAGTTTTGGAGTCGTGACGAAGCAAGACACTAGAAAAAAGGGAAAGGCCAGACCACAGCTGATTAATTAAAGCGCACGCTGCTGGTGAATCCCGACCGAGCCTGCATTATATCGATTTCCTCTGCCCTCAGTGTTCCTGCCTCGGCCACCCTTCGAGAAAGAGAAGTGGAAGAGCGAAAAGCAATAGAGAAAGCTGAGACCCGCCCATTTTGCCAGTGCTGCCTACGTATTATACCTTTTCATCCGAGAGTCCGAGTTCAATAGGACAGAGAAAGCCACCACTCAAGGCAGTCAATTGAGAGCATCGGGCAAAGTCAGTCATGATTATGTTGGAGTCGCGACAGAGAGTGGGTCGGTCCTGCACACGTTCTCGGTCTTTGACCCGACGATCAATTTTCGGGTCCGCGTCGTCACTCGTCAGAGGCACCTGTAAGCCACAACATACTGTTCCATGGAGTGTCCGGTCTCTTCTACAGTTTGAGTCCCAGCGTCTTAGCGATGAAGAGGCCAATCTGGATATTCGCAATGGCAAAAGTCAGCATTCATTGCACGACGACAAAGAGAAACAAAGCTCAGAATACTCACGTCGGTATTCTCCATGTTGCCGACAAGCTTTTCACTCCGGTATCCTGAAGCATGCACAGGCACATCGACTCCCGTGTGGCCGCTGGTGCTCCAGCCGATCTGTGCTCGCCGCGAGGAGATGTCGGCAACCGCTTTGCGGCAGTCATCGGTCGGGTCGATGGGCGGGGCGAGAATTGCTGCGCCCCCGTGGTCATGCATCCAAGCTTCTGCTCTTCCCTCTGCGGGCGTCGTATTGAGGCAGCTAAGTACCCTATTGACCTCTTCGTCTTTCGGCTTTCCCCCCGTCGATTCATCCAGCGCGAGGCCGTCTCTGCCAAAAGTCTGGGTCTGGATAAAGGAGAGAATGTCCTCCTGGCTCGGTACTGGCGCCGTCCGTGCAAATGCCAGCAGCCTTGCCGAGAGGCTCGCGGCAGATTGCCGGACAGGCAGGAGGAATTGTGGGTAGTAGGCGTAGTCTGTGCCCGTGATTGAGATGGTGAGCGAAGATTTCAGGTAAGCTAATGCACAGAAAACCCACTTGGATACTGCTCGCCAAGCTGCCGACCAAGCGTGACACCTCCTGTTTCGTGGTCCGACGTCGAAATGATGACAGTCCGCTCGCCTTCAGCATTTCTTTCTTTGACCCAAGCGACCACATCCTTGATAGCCTGCTGGTAAGCGACGATTTCGCGCGCATGACATGCAGGGTCGTTCTGGTGCGCGCACAAATCAATCTGGGAGCCCTCGATCATGAGGAGGAATCCGCGCTTGTTGTCTTTTGACCCGTGCAGCACGTTGAGTGCGGTGCGAGACAGGCTCGAGAGCGAGGGAAGACGCTGCGAGGGCGAGAGCGCCAGTCGGTCAATCTCGTATGGCGTATTGAAAGGCGAGAGGAGCGCGAGCATAGGCAGACTCGTGTTGTCTTGGAGAGATGGCTCGCGATCCCCTTCCGCAAAGACAACCTTTGTGTTCCAGCCCTGCTCTTTGGCTGAAGACACGAGGTCGTTTTCGTCGGGCCGGCACGAGGCAGGATGAGACTGCGGGAGAAAGTAGCATCCGCCACCTCCGATTGCGAGATCGAGCGGGCGGGCGTCGAGGTGGCCACCTAGACCCAAGGCTTGCTCGGCAATGTCACTCTCCTGGGCCCGCGATGGGACATGAGCAATGAAAGAAGCTGGCGTCTGAAAGCAGAGAAAGAATCAGATGGGCGCGCCTACTCTCTGAACAAGGTGTGCTAGCTTCACTCACCGCATCAGTCAGCCGGCTGGTGACGACAACGCCGGTGAGCCAGCCATGCTGCTTTGCCGCCTCAAACACAGTCCTGCATGGCTTGGCCTTGTCGTCAACGCCAATCGCGCCGTTGTAGCTCTTCTTCGCGCACGCAAACGCCGTCGCCCCGGCAGCCGAGTCAGTGATGAGCGAGTCTGACGACCTCGACCGGTGGCTGCCAAGGAGAATCTTGTCGAGGGGCATGCGGAAATGCGCATCAGGCGACGTGTTTCCCTCGAGTGCCTGGTAGAAGGAACGTGCAAATGTCTCCGACGCGGGGCCATAGCCGTCGGAGATCATGAGGATAACATTGACCTTTTTGCTCGCATGCCGATGACTGAACAGATCGCCGACGAGGGCAAAGGTGCACAGCGATAGGACTACGATCCGCGCCAGCTTTGACGGCCACCGACGAGCCGAGGTGGACTTTTGCCGCTTCGACTGGCTGATCACAGGTCCAGGGAGCAGCTGCTCCTCGCTCCTTTGCTTCTCCATTGCTGGATGATGATAACTAATTAGTAGCTAGTAGTGGGGTTCAACAGGAGGCAGATCAGGGTCCGTCCGTTTGAACTTTTAGCCTCGTTTTTGTTCGCCGCGTCCCTCGCTCGGACCAGCGAAAATGTCGGTGCCAGGATCGAGATGCAACATATCATGGTGCGACGCCCACTACCTTCTATATTAGCTACCACAACTCTACATGTACAGATCATGCCTTGACCCCTCTTCCTTTTTATGAGAGTTCCTTGCATGTCAGAGAACAGTGACTTGCGCTCTCTCGTTGGACTAACATCAATTAAGGCGGGATGAAGGTGCAAAGGACTACCACCACAACTACTCCATTCCCTTTACCCCTCTCTCTCCCCTTTGCACTGCTTGAGTCTCTCCCTGCCACTAGCCACGTCCAGACCCTTTTAAGCCAAAAGGACACATACACCGCGAATTCTCCATCTTGTCAACGATGCCTCCTCCTACGAGAATTCGCCTTCCCGTCGTCGACAATCAACAGAGGTCGATGGCGCCGAAAGCAGCTCGCCCGAACAATCAGCCAAAAGACGATACTTCCCTTCAGAAACACGGAAAGAGCACGAGACATGAGCTGACGAGCCAAGGCGCCCAGTCCATTCCCTCATACTCTCCCGGCCAGTTCGACGACGCTTCGCCAAATCAACAGAGTCCCTCACCCAAGCCTCCTCATCGAGCAACTCAATTCGCGAACAAGCCGCCTGCACAATTTCACAAGATGAGCTCAACCAAACGAGAAGAGAGCTTAGTGGGACTCGGTCTCTTTGGTATGGGACAAAGTGATGAAGAGACTACCTACGCAGGAAGGACCTCGAGCCACGTATCACGTCCTTCAAAAGTCACCCGCCACCACCGCACTTCATCGTGCTTTCCCTCATCGATACATGATCAGATCTCCAAGCACAAGCACATCAGCACGCGGACCAGCACTGTTTCTTCTGAGCAACGTAGGTCTTCATCTCCCTTGATAGCCGCGGTGAGCCCCTCTTTTTCGTCAAAATTTACCGGCATCATACCTTGCCCAACGTCGTCTCCCTTCATCGACAGTGGCGTCCACACGCCTCAGCCGTCGAGCAAGACGGCCTCTCCCATCGTCTTTCTAACTCCCAGCGAAACAACTCAGTCCCAGTTTTCTTCTTCTTTCTTTCCAGCTTCGAGCACGGAGCCTGCTGCGTTTACTGGCACACCCTACTCTGCAGCTGCAAGTGGTGGCGGTGGTGCTCCGACGGCACAATCTTCCGGAGGATCGACTCAGTCTGAAGCTCCTGTTCAGCATCGGCACGATGCAGCGGCGATGGCTACCGCTATTGCAGCAGCTACCGGCTCATTCATCGTCCTTGCAGCAATAGCTGCCATATTGATACTCCTCAGAAAGCGAAGAGCGACAGCAGCGGCGCGCCAGAGGCGCACCCATGCGGTGGTCAGTCGTTTCAGCAGCGACAGTGGCGGGAATGCGGATGCAGGATACATCGAGAAGGCCATTGGGGGTCACGGACAGCATCGACAGAAGACTGCGCCACCCACTCCAACAGAGCAGGACACCAAGGCCATTTCGCCGTGGCTGGAAAACGACGGTGGTGTGCACGACCAACCGTTGGCGACTCTTCCCGCCGCTGCAGGGATGCAATCAGACAATTCCACGGCACAGAAAGGCATCGGAAAATTGTCTGCCTTGCTCAAACACTCTCGGCATCATGACGAGGTGCAAGAGAGGAACAAGAGATACACAAAGACATCCTCGTTCCTAGGTGGTGCGCCCGCTGCCAGCGCGGCTCAGTCCATGGTACAGGAACATTATGTCAAAAAGCGATCTACGATGATGGCTATTCCAAGCAGGATACATGTGCCTGTCTCACCCCAGCCTGTCGTAGTTGCCCTCTTGCAAGAGGCGGACCGAAAGCAGCAACAGGAACAACAGCGGCGCAAGAGCGCCTCTTCCACGCCGCAGCTCCCACCGTTGGCCAGCGTCAGCGATTCGGATTCGTCACCGTCCACATCTTCTCCTTGGCGCTTTGGGGTTGTCTTAAAGGGATTCAAGGGACAGACGGCGAAGGCAGCCCAAGGACCTCCCAGACGCATCACAGTGCTGTGCTCCTCGGAGATCAACTCAATTGTTTTTCCACTCCCGCCCGCTCCCGCTCCGACCCCAACGCAAAGCAGCAGCAGCTTACTCGCCTTCAAAGCACCACAGACGGCTGCTGATGTCTTCTCGGAAGGCACAGGAGGAGGACCCAAAAAGCAAGCAGGTAACGGCACAACGCCTCCTGCGTTGAATCTGCCCTTTAGCAGCCTCATTGTCGCAGCATCGTCACCAATTTCTCCATCACCCTCACCCCTGGGAGCAGCAGCAGGGGCAAGGCCGCAGAGCAAAAGCTTGGAGCTGGCGAGGAACCGGACAAAGTCGGCACGATCTTCATCAATGAAAAGGGGTGCTGCACGAAACCGCACACGAAGTGCGAGCTGCACTGCCGGGGCAGCTGCGAGTGGCGATCTATCTGCCTGTCGAGAGGACAGCAAGGAGAGTATCCTCGCCCGGCTCGATTCGGGTGGTCCATCTGCACAGCAGGCTGATGGCGATGCGGGACTGGCCTGGAGGTGGCTAGCCGAGGCTCTCTCCGAGAGTGATGCAGACGACGACGAAGACGATCAAGAGCTGAGGAACGGCTACATGGCTGGATCTGAGATGGACCACCACGGCCAGAGTTGCGACGATGATGACGCGACCGACGACGATGACGCCGCGACAATCACTGGTCATCCTTCGCCCACGACAGCAACAGCACCAGCAGCGGACAATGGTCTGGCTGGAGAGCTATCTACAAAGGGCGTAGCGACGGTATTTACGTCGATCAATGGTGCCGAGGAACTCTTTTCGAAGAGCGTCACGCCAACTCGTGCGAGAGTAGCCGGCACCGAAGACAGCACTCTTAGCGCAATGACGCCACCTGTCATAACGCTCACAAAGGGCGATGGCTCGGCTGAGAAGCGTCTGAGCCTGACAACGACGAATGGAACGAGGTCACGGTCCAATTCAGAATCTTCGAGTGGGGAAGAGGATCAAGAGACTGTCGCGTCCAGCACCTATTCTCCAGCACACACATCTTCCAACGGATCGGGCTCTTCTTCAACGGCCACTCTCATCGATGTCGATGAGCACGAGCAAGCGTCAACGTCTGTGCAGACAATCATCATTCACGATCGTGAGTATGAGCAAGGCAGCGAGAATAGTAACGAGTCGGCAGATCGATCCGCGGAAAATCGTCCCGATACTCAAGATGAGCAGGATGTAATCGTCTTTTCTCCTTTGTCCACATCCAATCTTCACCAAGAGGAACAGACAGGCGATAGCGCGGTTCTTACAGCCGAGTCAGAGGAAACAGAAGAGGAAGGAGAAGATGACGGCTACGAGACGGCCCACAATCGTATGATGTCGACCAGCACCGTCTCCTCACTGGGTCTTCCGTGGGCGCAGGTCGCACTGCCAAAGTACCGCTCTGGCGGCTTGGAAGACATGGACGATGACACATTTCAATATCGCCCTTCTTCCACTTCCTCTTCCTCGGTCGACGCGAGCATGTGAGAGGGAGGTAACCACCATCCCAGTTCACTACGCCCACGTCACAGCACACCCAACCTATACGACCCCATCATTGCGTCACACACTCGTTAGACTAGACAAAACACATGTATCGCACCAAATTTTTCTGTGAATCCCACTCCGAGCAATTGAATTTCTATTTCCAGTGTCCCTTGCTATCATCAGGTGTACGCTAGTTGCTGGCGCTGATGCTCGAAGGCTTCTCCTTGCTCGTACCCAAAACTCGTGGCAGGTAGCCAGTACCGCCTCCTTGTCTCGTTGGGGCTCGGCATGATGAAGACTCCTTGGGCTGCATTCTCGACGTATGTCTCGCAGCTCGGCAAGGAGCCGCTTGCGTCCTCCTCGTCCTGCACATGGTATGGCTGTGGGTGGACTGTCGATGGCGGCGTCGAGGTGGGCGCAGCCGCGATGGGCCAGACGGACACAGTCGGAAGGAGCAGATGGCCCGTCTTGGCGGGAATCAAGACGACGTCGAACGTCCTCTCTTCCTCCTGCTGCGAGGAGACCTCAAACGCGCACCGTTTTCTGCCACTTACGAGCCAGTGCTCGAAATCAGCGCCAACGTCATAGAGGAGTCTCATCGTCTTGACCTGTCGGTGTCGAGCGGAAGGAGACGGGATGCGGGAATGAGCGTCTTCGAACTCGTCTTCGTCGTCGTCTGCATCAGAAGAGAGCTTTGATTTGTCCTTTGCCGGAGGAGCGAGCTCGAGCATCTTGCCACCGCGAGGCGTCTTCATTGCGTCTTCCTTTTCCTCAGCGTCTGCTTCCTTTCCTGATGATGGTGTTTGTCTTCTCCAATTGAATGACGTCCTGATTCTGAGCTTTGCTTCGATCGGTTGACCCACGACGAACGTTTTTCCTTCCTCGGGAAGCAAGATCGATGCGGCGCATACGATGTCCATGCTCGGCACTTCTACCACAATCTCCAGGGACCGCCAAGAGAGCTTTTCCTTCCCCGGCACATCCGAGGCAGCCTTTGCCAATGTCTTGGTAATCAATGCCAACACCGCCTCCTCCTGCTCTTGGTCTGTCACGCCCCATCGCGTCCACATATCCCTCCGAGCCGCTTTGGACACCTCGTTCAATGCCTTGTCGCCCAGGAGCAGCACCTGTCCTGTCTCTTCGTAGGCTAAGATGTCGACTTGTCTCTCTATCAGATCCGACATGAATCGCTGGAGACACCTCCGCACGTGCGGGTCATCCATCGAAGCGGCCTTCATCTCTGCTTCCAGGATGCGTTCGACAAGCTCTTTGGCCTCTTCGTGCAGTGTTCGATAGGCCAGACGTAGTCGCATGTCTCTCTTCGTGTCGTCATCGATCGATTGGCCATTGCCGTCTTGCCGTCGGACGCAAAAGACGTATGAAGCAGGATCCCGCGCAGCCACAACGGTATCCCGGGTCGGTGCGCTGAGAGGAGAGACAATCTCGAGCTGTCGCTTACTGCCATCCTCCTTCTCACCATCGACGCTCAATTTGACCATGCCCAACCGCAGACTTGACCCTTGGCCCGCACTGATGGAAAACTTCGAGATGAGGTTCCGCCGCCGGAAAAAGTCTTGCACATTGACGCCAAGAGGCAGGCCCACAGTGAGCCTTGTCCTCTTCCGCAGCTGCCGCTTCACTTCGACCCGTGCATTCTTTGTCCAGTAGTCAACCGAGAGTGATAGTTTGATGATGCCGTCTGCCGATGTCGGGCTTTCTTGCAGTGGTACCTCGACGATGTATGTCTTGTTCTTAGATAGATTGGAAAGCGAAAGCGTCTGGAGGGCTTCGTCAAAGGTGCTCTCTGCCTGCGTTGATGCCTCCGAGAAGCCTCTGAGAGGCCGGCTCTGCGCGTCGGGAAGGGCTATGCGGATCGAAGCCTTTTGCACATCGTTGCGACCCGTCTCAATCTTGAGTAGAACAAGCCTCTGGCGATCGAGCATGATGCTCTTAGGCAAAGCCATCGATGCGTCGAGCGCCTCGCCATCCTGGGGCACGTCGACAAAGGTTGCGTCGAGTGGCCCACGCGGGTACGAGTACTGGAAGATGACGCGCGAAAAGCGCACCTGGGAGACGTCGACGACGTATTTGCCTGGCGCAGGCGTTGGTGTCTGGATTTCGACATCGTTGAGTCCCGGCTTGAGGGTGAGCTTGCCGCTCGTCAGCCAGAGCTGGTCGCGTTCGCCGTTGGAGAGGCACACTCGCACGTCGTCGACTTCCAACGTTGATTCGGCCTCGTTCCGGACCTGCACCTTCAGCAGTGACCCGTCTTCCGTTCCTGCTCGTCTCGCCAGGCTCTCTAGCGGAGTGATGGAGAGCAGGTCGAATTGGCTCGCAGGTACCTCCTGTTCGAAGTGCCGGGTGTGGTCACGGAGCATCTTGAACAGGTCGGCCTCGTCAAGGTACTCGTTTACGGCCCCTTCCTCGGCGTTGTCGCCGCGCTGCTGGCGGTGGCCTGGCCTAGTTTTGAGCAGCGCAACGATGACGCTAACCCATGCTCGGTCGTGGGGCTTGCCTAGCTTTGCATGGCAGGCCAGCTGCTTAGCCAGATGCGAGGCTTCAATCCGAGAAAGGCGTGCCTCGGCGTAGGGCTCAGCCAGCGAAGTGAAGGTCGTGTATGCTTCTTGGTACCGTTCTCGATGGCTTGAGGGAATATTTCAGCTTAAATCAAAACGGCGTCAAAGAAGAGAAGGAAAACTTACAAATCGAGGCTGGCGAGAACACCGCGGAGTCGCAAGACATTCCGTCTTCGGCCTGCACTGATGCAGCCTGCGACGACACGCTCGGTAAGTGCGACATAGTGCAGGTCGAACAGGTGCCGGTTGTCGATGGCATCGAGCAGCTCCTGCCTCGAAATGCGTGCGACCTGCTTCTCATTGCCGCCACTTTCTCCACTAGCATCTGCATCAAGGGGAAGCGGTGGGAGCTCTCTGCTTCTCCTCGACACCTCGATTGGGCTCGAGAGGAGGAAGGGAAACACTTTGGGGAGGTGACCTTCACTCATGCCGATCTTGTCGAGCTGTCGTCTGGCAAGATCCAAGAGCTCGGCCTTGGACGCGTGGAAGGCAGCGCTCAGGCTGCCGTCGATCGAGGGTGATGCACCTTCCGAGGGCGAAGCGTCACCGGATAGCAGTGACATGTCGCCCCGTTCGACGAGCCAGGCCTGGCACTGCTCCACGACGTCAAGCGAGGAGCTGAACGTCCAGCTCTCGACAAAGTGGCGAGGCAGCGACTCGCCCTCGAGCATGTGGGCGACACCGGCGAGAAAGGCAGGAGCCTCGTTCATGACCTGGGCGACCCTGCCGAGCTTGCCCATGAGATTGGCCCGCTTGGCAAAGACGTAGCATCGAAAGTCAAACAGGCTGATCTCGTTTCGCAGAATCAGATCACGATACGGCTTCTTGGACACGTCGAGCAACGGCGCGGAATCATCGCCTGGGCTATTGCCGCCGACGGAGGAGAAGAAGGCGAGGTTGCGATCGCGCATGCACTGCGAAAAGGTCGCATCGATCTCCTCGTACCGCGTCAGGGCGTCGGCAAACAGGCCGGTACCCTCCAGGGTGCTGGCCACGCACTCGATTTCGGCCATCCATTTGCAAAAGTTCCAGCCAGGCACGGTGCGCTTGGCTACCTCTCTGCGCACGACGTCGCTCTGGGCCTCAATGACCGAGTCAAACGTCATCGAGACGGACTCCTTGAGGCGCGAGAGCAGCTCTGCAAAGACAGTGGGGTCCGAGTGGCTCGTCTGCGAGGAGAGGTTGGGAAGACGATTGAGATGGACGACGCGGTTGGCCTTGAAGTCGGTCTTGATCTTGTCGAGGACACTACCCTTTGCTGAGCTGCTGGAGCTGTAAAAGCGGCCAAGCCCAGTCTTTTTCTCCGACGCGGCCTCGGCCGTGCTCGCAGCAGAAGCAGCAGCAGGTGCGGGCGAGCCCCTTCCGCCCGGTGTGCCAGCCGATGCGGGCATATTGCTACCCTCGGGCGGGGAAATGAGAACGATGAGATGCTCAGGCACCGCCTTGTCCGACTCGTCTCCTCCGCCGTCCTTGTCCTTGGTTGGCGTGTCGGGCCTCTCCGCTCCGTCCTGCAAATTGGCCACCGGAGACTTTGCGACGGCTGCGCTGATGGTGGGACTCGCCTGGAGCGTGGCCAGCCAGGCGCGAATGCTGTTGCGGACATGGTGTCGGTATGCGTCGTTGTCGTCGCACACGACAAAGTAGAGGTGGCAGAAGGGCCTCTCGAGAAGGCTGCGTTGGACCAGATGCCTCGTCTCGGGCTTCAGCTTGTTGCGCAGCAGCGTATCGCTTATGGGCTCCAGCCGGACGTCGAGCGACTGGATCGTCCTGATGGACCCTGCCCCTGCCCCTGCCCCTGCTCCTGCTCCTGCTCCATTGTTCTGAGAGACGGAAGGCCTCCAGTGAATGTTGCGCAGGGGCAGGTGGTGCGAGAGCGTCCCAATGAGATTCCCGAATGAGCTCGAGTCCAGCAGAGGGTCTGCACCGGCATATGTGACTGTGATCGTCATCCTCTTCTTGTCCTCCTCGTCCTCCTCATGTCAGTCCTGCCCACCAGCAGAGATCTGACCGCGGCGATCTTTGGATCTGTGCGCGAGAAGGTGTGTCTGTAGCGAACAAGCTCATCACGCCACGTGAGACAGCGCTAGCCTCTACTTTATGCATAGCCGTTTATTATAGCTGGTGCTCTATCGTTTTCTTGTCTCGTTTTTGAGACAGTAAGCGCGGGAGGCTATTGAGAATTTGGCCGTGAATTTCCCACCTCATCGCCGGTGCTGTGCGCCGCCGTGCCTTTCTTGCCTCGCCTCTTCTCCTCATTATCCAGCCTTACCCCGGCCTGAAAGTGCACCACGACCCGTGCTTCTCTCCGCCTCTCTCTCTCTCCCTGTCCCTCTATACACAGCGCCGTCGACGGTCAACAAAGGTGCGACGAACCAACGGACCCGGACCAGAAGACCGCGCGCAAGCGTCGCACAGGACAGTCCGTCGTCCCGTCGTCTTTTGAATTACCGTGATCGCAGATCGGGCTTGTGTCGTCGAAAAGACAGGAGCGGGATCGAATGCGCTCTCGGCAGCACCAGGCAGGCGGTAGAGCGTGAGCCAAGCCAAGCCAAGCCAAGCAGCCAAGCCAGTCACAGGATGACAAAGACGACGACCGCCGACGGCTCCTCGTCCTGGCCCAAAGACGACATGGACTTCATCGACTTTGATCAAGGCTTTGACCTCGTTCAATTTGATGGTGGCCGCAATCATGGCCCTGGTGAGTCTACAGCGAATAGCCGATCTGGCCTGTGCCCCTCTGTCTGACCCTTGCACACTGCAATCTCTCCCTCTCTCTCCTACGACACAGAAGGACGACAAGGGAGTGGCAGCGGCGCATTCATGTCGGCCTCACCAGGACTGGGGCTGCAAGAGTCTCCAAAGCCAGAGTCGTCTATGAGCGATCGGTCGACTCCTCGGATGCCGCAACTATTTAGCATGCAACCCACGGTGCACTCTAGGAATGCTTCGGGTACATCTCTCTCAGGGTTGCAGCAGCAGCAGCAGCAGCAGCAAGGACAGCAAGCGCAGCAGGGCATTCACCACCAACATCACTCCAGCGCCGATCTGTATGCACGCCCTCCAGATGAGTCCAACAGCAGACCGGGGACGAGCATGAGCATGATCAGTGCCAGCGCAGAGGGTGCAGACGCCAAGAGGGACAGCATCGGCACCTCGACGAGCAACAGCCTGCAAAAGCGTGCATCCGTCCTTTCGTTTCAGACGGCCCTCAGTGGTCTGGGAAGCGATGATCCGCCGAGAAAACCTTGGGTGCCTACCTCTTCGGGGCCCGGAAGCGCCTACTCTTCGTCCCCAGACGATCGGCAACTGCCCCCTGGCGGCTGGGGAGGGCGGGCGTGGTCAGGGGATAGTGGCAGTGGTGCCGTAGGCCAAGCCGCGACGAGCCAGAGCGACAGCAAGAGAGGAGGAGTCCAACCGAGATACTCGCCCGCTTCATCGCCGCGCAACCTCCTGCACCCGCTCGATGCATCACCAGCGAATTCGCCCCGCTTCCAGCAGCCGTCGCTGCCGCCGCTGGCTTCAGCCCAGGCCGCTCACGCACCGCCTGGCCATCAGCAACAGCCGAGGACGAGCTCTGGGCTGCGTGCCGAGACAAAGTTCGAGGGTCTTCTTAGCCCGGTCTCGAATGCGTCGGCCATTGACGCTGCTGCCTCGACAATCGGTCCTGATACTGAGGACACCGCTGCGCCAAAGTCGCCAATCGATCTCGGTCCAAGTCGCACTGCTCCCTTTGGCGCGCCGCAGCCAGAGCAGCGGCAACAAGAGCAGGAAGAGCAACAGCAACAGCAGCAACCCTGGAACAAGCAGAATCAGCTTCTAGGGCCTGAGGGGCAACAGGCCGTCTCTTCTCCTGTCGATGTGGACACCCATCAACAAGGCCAGGGCAGAAGGCGAGACAGGGATTCGATGCTCCCGCCCACACCCTCGCTCGATGGGACCGGCCCGCCGAGTCTTCCCGAAAAGGGAGGCCCACCTTCGCTGCCATCAAAGGACCTCTCATCGCCCCCCCTTTCCGACAATGTCATTCCTCCCCCGCTTCCCGTTGACGTGTCAGTGGCCAGAGAGCCAATTGCACCAGCGGGCCAGTCACCAGTCAGCGACTTTCGCGCGCGACCCCTCGCCGACATCACACCGGCTACGCAGGCAGAGGGCCTTGCTCATCTCCAAATGATGGCAGATCAAGCGAGGGAGGTCGATGCGGCCGCGGGTCTTCCTCCCTCGGCAACGATATCGAGACAAGCGTCGCTCGGCAACATGGTCGCCGGTGTGGCAGGCGCAGGTCCCTCTGGCGTTGCGAGTGGGGCAGCGCCTCGAGCGGCTCTGGCAGAGGCGCCACCGCCCTTGGCCTTGAACCAGTCACCGAGCATCGAGACACCTCCCCGAGAGCCGAGCCCGCCGCCAGAGGGGGAGGTGGAAGCGCGCGCGGAGTGGGAGCGCAGCCAGATGAAGGCCATGGCGGCCAGGGCCAGAAGCGGACCCAAGCACAGTCCGGCTGCCTCGTCGCCGAGGAAGACGACGTTTCGCAACCAGCTGCGGCCCCTCCAGCTCGTTGAGGCAAAGCGGGAAGCCGACCAGCTCTCGCAGCCTGAGGATGGTCAGGATGGCGCAGCGGGCACGCCAGTGGCAACGATGCCGTCTCCAGGGGTAGGCGAACCACAGGCACAGACGCCGGTGCAGGCACCGGTACAGGGCCAGGGGCAGGGCCAAGGGTCAGGGCAGGGACAGGGACAGGGACAGGGACAGGGACAGGGACAAGGGCAAAGGCAAGGCTCGGGGCAAGCCATGAGCACCCAGCAGCTGCAAAAGCAGCAGCGACGCAGTCTGGGCGCCATCAACAACCTGGCCGTGGGTGTGTCCGACTATGGGGGTGCCTATCCCGTCTTTACGTCGCCGTCTGCCAGCGCGTCCAAGATTGTCGGCGGCAAGCAATTCTCTGGTTTGACACCCCAGCTGAGCCTGGTGCCGCCTTTCGAGTTGCAGAACCGGCCCGATGGGCTGCCGTCTGGGCTCCTGGGCCCCGATGGCATCAGAAGATCGCCAAATGATCCCGAGGTGTGCCTCGAGTGCATGATGCGCGACGAAGACATGATCGATGTCCACGTCCTCGGCCCTGGGCTGTGGGAGCGCGAGAGCGACCGCGACTTTGAGGAGGCCTGTCGCATCGAGGCGGAAGAGGCCAGCAGTGTCGTCACCCACAACACGACCGTCGAGAGTGGCGATGGGACAAAAGAGCAATCACAGCCACAATCGCAGTCGCAGTCGCAGCAGCACCATCTCCCTCCTTCGTCTTCCAACCCTCGAATCTCGAGTCTCGTCCGGATAAGAGTCAAGCGGGTGGCCAAGGGCGACCCTCTGACAGCCGAGCGGCTAAAGCTGCACACACAGATGAACCCGTCTGCCTCTTCCCATCGCTGGAGAACGCTGCAGACATTCCTGGCTATCCAGGCAAAGTACATTGCCCTCGACCAGCAGAAGCGAGCTGCGGCCGCAGCGGCGGCCTCGGGAGGAACGCTCAAGCCGGGCACTTCTACCTCGTCCAGCAACAGCCGGCAGCGGTCGTCTTCGGCCTCACTCTTGCGCGAGGCTGGCCTCAACAGCACCGACGATGACGCACAGCTCACGCCAGAGGAGCGGGCGAGAAAGGAGCAGGACGTGGCCAAGGCCAGGGAGGCACGGAGAAGAATTGCTGGGTCATCTCCAGACTTTGCTGTCACGCCGGGTAAGGCGGGGCTATCTCCGACGGACGAGGGCCAGCTGAGGAGAGAGGAGGAGCTGGGGATGGAGGAAGAGATGAGGCAGCGCTCGGCAAGCCACAACAGCATCCCGAGGCGGTCGGGCGGCGCACCGGCCTTCCTTCGCGGCAACAGTGCCCACGATCTCCGGGGGACGCCTGGCGCAATGACGGCGCCCTCGACGCCAGACTTGACCGCCTTGGCTCCTCCTACACCGCCGTTCAGAGGGCGGATGAGAGCCGTCTCTTCGCAGCTCTCGCTCGCGCCCAGCGGTGGATCGATCATCGATATGCACGTCGGCATGGAGAACCAGGCCGAACACCGCATCTCGCAGGCCGGCTTTATGCCTGGCACCCCCATATCGCCGCAGAGCCCCGGGGCCATCAATAAGGCATACTATGGCGACTCTTTTGAGCCCTCTTCGTCGTTTGAGGAGGAAAGAAAGCCAGCGAAGAAGAAGGGAGGCATTCGCGGTCTTTTCAACAAGATCTCTGGTGCCAACTTTAACGAGTCTTCCTCGAGGGACGCACCGGCAACTCCCTCCAAGCACCAGCAGCAGTCGTCGGGGCCTGCACAAGAGGGCGGCGATACAGACGAGCTGCAGCCACCGCCGGGCATAGCGGGCCTCTTGGGCCGAGCGAGACGATCCACTTCGTCGCTGCTGCCCACGCCCACCAGCGCTCGGCCGTCGATGGACATGTTGTCGACGGCTGACCGAGGTCTCAACTTTCCCCTGGGGATGGCGAGCCAGACGAGCCTGGAGATGGGACCGTTTGGGTCCGGACCGCAACCGCCGCCTCGCAAGGAGTCGAGAGATGTGCCGCAGCAGCAGCAGCAGCACAAACCTCAGCCAACTCCGCCATTGCACCACCAACAGCAGCTGCACCAACAGCCGCTGGCTCCGCAGACAAACGGGGATGCAAGCCGGCGGGCGAGGACCTCCTCGTACGGTGCTGCGCTCCGACTCACGCCTCGCTCCGCTTCACAGCAGGAACAGCGCGCTCAACAGGACGCCGACCAGAACAGCGTAACGTCTCGCACCTCATCGCGCAAGGAGCCGCCACAGCTGGCGACCCACTCTCGGGTTCCGTCCGGCGGTTCTTATCTGCAGTCTTCTTCGAGCAATGGATTTGGAGGGCCTGCCAATGGATCGACGAGTAATGGGAACGCTTCAAAGGAGGCGGTCCCTCCTCAGCGCCCGCCTCGCAATCCCTTTCGGCGAGGGTCTGGCGCTGATGCGCCGACGTCGGAGCCCAATCCCAACGCTGGTGGCCCACCGGCTTCGCGAATTCAAGCAAGCTCGTACATGCAGCAGATGGCCGTCGCACCGCCCCCGCTGCCGGAAGAGGGCTATGACGACTACGGCAGACCGTCGACGTCGCTCTCGATGCTCCCGCCTCGGATGGCCAGCCTGGCCTATGAGGAAGGGCCACCGGTCCAGCCTCCGCCGAAGCAGTCGCGTAAGAGCAAGCTGCTCAAGTTCCCCTTTGGCGGTGGCAACAACAACAACAGCAGCGGCAACAATGCTGCCTCGAACGGAGGCGCCAAGAGGGACAGCATTGCCGCACCCGCTTCCCTTCGTAGTCGATCCTCACGCGCGACATTTGAAGACGAATTTGCAAATGGCCAAGGCTCGGGACAGTATCCGCTCCCACCCAGCAGGACGCCCCTGCGGATGGCTGACGACCTCAACTTTGCCGACAGCAATGGCGGTGGCTCGGCCAGGAAATCGTCCTTTAACATCATGGAGCGGCCGCGCGTGCTCAGCACCCCGCACGAGTACCTGCCGCCTCGCAGCCAGTCGGCGCTGGGCGTCATGCCGCCGAATCGGTTCATGAGCTCGTCATCGCAGGGCGATCTCACCATCACGGAAGAGATACAGGACACGTCGATGGCCGACTCAGGATCAAGCAAGAAGAAGAACCGGGCCAGCTTCTTTCCCAGGCTGCGATCTGCCTCGAGGGCCGGTCTGAGGGCAGATTGAGAGCCCGAGAGCCGCTTCTCTCCCGCACGCGCGCCCCACCCCCTTTTTCCTCGGACACTTGCTTGTCGCTGCTTCTTCTACCACCCTCCCCAACACGTCTCGGTTGCTTCTCGTCTCCTTTTCCCCACCTTTCACTCCTCTTTCCCATTACCCCTTCCCCCTTTCCATCTTCATATTGGTTCATGCACGGTCAAAACCCCCATGGCGGGCTCTCGTTTCTTTCAGTCTCCAGCGGTTTGTCTCTCATTGCGCATCCACCCCATTACACATAAAAAGACAGCTTCAAGGAAATCATTAGTCCTTTTCAGCCAACCTGTCGAGGACGGCGCCGACTTCTTCTTCCGTCAGTGTCCTGAACCGCTTTTGCTTCTGGGCCTGTTTTGCGTCTGCGTCCTCCCCCTTGAATGCCTCCTCTCCGCCGACGATGCCAATCTCGATTTCGTTTGCCTTGAGGTCCTGGGCCAGGACGGTGGCGAGCGTCGTGACGGCCAGATCCAGCGTGTCGTTTGTCGAGAGGCTGCGCGAGATGGCCTCTGCCTCGCTCGCGGCCTGGTCTGGCAAGCTGTACGAGGGCTCCTCCTGCTGCCCCGCTGAGCCTGCGCTTCCTGCGCCCGCCAGGGCTGAGCTGCCCTTCTTGAATTGCTTCTCGAGGTAGTTGATCGCTTCCGTCTGCTTGGCCCCCGCAGCCGTCGCGCGGAACCCAACGTAGTAGCCTGCGGGGTCGACCTTGAAGATCTGCGGCCCGTAGCCGGCGCTGTCGGCCTCGCCATCGAGGCCGACGATGATCATGCTGATGCCCAGGGGCCGCATCGCGGCGCGCTGCGTGTAGACCTGGTTGATGTTGGCCATGCGCTTCGCGAGAAGATCCGGCGAGATGGCGTAGCCGTATTTGTACTGGAACTCTGCGGCCTCGGAGCGGGCGCGCTGGACCTGTGCGCGTGCATCGGCTGGCAAGAGGCAGGGGGAACGATCAGTAATCGCGAAAGCCAATGACTAGAGTCAGGCAGGCAGACTCACCGACGCGGCCGGTCATGATGCAGCCGATCTCGGGCGTGAGCTGGAAAATATGCGTGACGGTGCTCGGATCCAGCAGCTTGTCCTGATCAAATTCAGAAAGAGTAGGTGCTTTCAGTCAGAAGCTCGAGAGCAGAGGAGAGACAAAGAAGGGAACTAACGGGAATCTTTCGTTGGGTGCACACCACCGCGCAGTCTTTGCCCTTGATGGCAATCGAGGTGAGGCCCGAGGCCGAGATGGCCTTGAAGGCATACTCGACCTGGTACAGCCTGCCGTCGGGCGAGAAGACGGTGAGGTAGCGGTCGTAGCTGCTGCGAGACATCGTCGTGGGTGCGCTCGAGAAGCAGGAAGCGTTGCTCTCGACGGCCGCGCGTTCTTCGTCTGGGCGGAGCGACGACGCTCAAGCCAGGCGCAATCTCGCGTGGCCCATTCGCCAGTTCAAAAAACACGTGACTCTAAAGAGAGGACCGACAAAAAATTCAGCATCCTTTTTCTTCCTTTTTGGAAAAAGGCAGAGCACGAAGGTCTAACGGCGACGAGGAGTTCTAAGAGAACAGTAGAGCAACCATGTCAGGCGCACCGACGCACATCCTCTTTGAGTGCGCCACGGGCGCGGCCATCTTCGAATGCGTCCAGACCGAGGAGATCGGCAACATGACCAAGCAGGTCCAGGAGTCGATTCAGGACCTCAACTCGTTTGGCAGGATGGTCAAGCTCGTCTCCTTCAGCCCGTTCAAGAATGCGCTCGATGCGCTCCAGAGCTGTCTCGATGTGTCCGAGGGTGTGCTCAACGACCACTTCAAGTCGCTCATCTCGCTCGTCCTGGCACCCGCAGGCAAGAAGGCCAAGGGCGTGACGCTGGGTGTCTCTGAGCGAGGTCTGGCCGGCGCCATTGTCTCGGAGTTGGGGATCCAGTGCGACACGGGCGAGCGGACGCTTGAGCTGATCCGGGGCATCCGTCTTCACGGCGAAAAGCTCCTCAAGGGTCTCTCGGAGGGAGATCTTGGCAAGGCTCAGCTCGGTCTCGGCCACAGCTACAGCCGATCCAAGGTCAAGTTCAACGTCAACCGGTCCGACAACATGATCATTCAGGCCATCGCCCTCCTCGACACGCTCGACAAGGATGTCAACACGTTCGCCATGCGTGTCCGCGAGTGGTACGGCTGGCACTTTCCCGAGCTTGTGCGCCTCGTCAACGACAACATGACGTACGCCAAGCTTGCCGTCTTCATCAAGGCAAAGGAGCGGCTGACCGACGACGACGTCGAGGAGCTCGCCGAGATCGTGGGCGGCGACGAGGTGGCAGCCAAGAACATTCTCGACGCCAGCAGGGCCTCGATGGGAACAGAGATCGGCGACATGGACATGCTCAACATCGAGTCGTTTGCCCAGCGAGTCGTCAACCTGGGCGAGTACCGTCGCAACATGCACAAGTACCTCATCGAGAAGATGCACCTTGTTGCGCCCAATGTGAGTGCGGCTGATTGGAAAGTTTGAGGTCAATGGCATACTGACGGAGATTGCGGTTGCTCAGCTTTCGGCTCTGATCGGAGAGATCATCGGCGCGCGGCTGATCTCGCACGCGGGATCGCTGACAAACCTGGCAAAGTACCCCGCGTCGACGGTGCAGATTCTCGGTGCCGAAAAGGCGCTCTTCCGTGCGCTCAAGACCAAGGGTAACACGCCCAAGTACGGTCTCATCTACCACGCCTCGGCCATTGCTCGTTCGGCTCCCAAAAACAAGGGCCGCATGTCGCGCTTCCTTGCCAATAAGATCAGCATTGCCTCGAGAATCGACTGCTTCTCGGACTCGCCCACGACCAAGTTTGGCGAGGTGATGAACCTGCAGGTCGAGGAGAGACTCCAATTCTACGAGACGGGCAAGCCGCCAGGCAAGAATGCCGACGCTATGGCCAAGGCGCTGCGCTCCATCGAGGAGGCTGCCGGTGACCTGATGGACGTCGACGCAGAGGACGACGACGATGACTCTGACGACGAAGAGGTGACGATGCCCGAGGCAGTCGGTGTCAAGGACCCGGCCGATGACAAGAAGAAGAGCAAAAAGGGTAAGAAGGAGAAGAAGTCCAAGAGCAAGTCGTCGGACAAGGACAAGAAGGATGACGTGGAGCGAGCGGCAGAAAAGGCGAGGAAGAAGGCGGCGAAGAAGGCAGCAAAGGCGAGCGACGGGGGCGTGCCGGGCGACGAGTCGGTGGCCAAAAAGGACAAGAAGGAGAAGAAGAAGAAGGACAAGTCCAAGTGATGTGTGTCAACAAACGCCATCGCCGTCTCTTCTGTCCCTTTCCGCCGCTCCTTTGTACTATAGCTTTATCTTCTGTTTGATTGACATCATGTTTCCTGCTTTGAGGTCGTGTGATTATGATACAGTGTGTCTCGCGGCCCTTTTTTTTATTGATCTAACTCCAATCTTACGAGCGCTATCTAACGAGCGCTGTCTAACGAGCGCTTCCCTGGACGCCGGAGGCAGCCCTGTTCTTGTCCCTCACCCCATCGATTCTGGCATCGGCAGCATCCTCGACGACCTGCCTATAGTGGATGCCCTCGCGCAACGGCGTCTGTGCCGCGGTGCCGCGGAAGCCGAGATAGAAGATCCTCGACATGTCCCTGGAGCTGCTGTCAGAGAGGACGATGGACACGTTCTGCGTGCTTGAGAAGCGGCTGATGCTGACAGGATACTCGATCACGCCGCCGTCGGAGCTGCCCACGTCGTCGAGTAGGTTAAAGTCAGCCTGGGGCTTGCCGCTGCCCACCGAGCCCGTCCTGGCGCCAGCTGGACCGCCCTCCGCTGCCTCGAGCTCGTCAAAGTCGACGCCATTGGGACGGTTGACGAATGCCCTCAGCCTCGTCGGCATAAAGTCGCCGCGGCCGACATTGACGAGGATAGACTTGATCTTGACCTGGTGCGTAAAGGGCACCGTGATGATGAGCGTGTCGTCGCCGGTGCCGCTCTGCGTCTCGGTATAGATCGATGTATTACTGCGGGTGTGCCACGGCCTGATGCACGCCTTTGGACCGGTGACATCCACCTCGATCTCTTCCCTCTCTCCCGGGGCACCATCCGGCCTCTGCCTCGTCACAAAGAAGTTTGTCAGGGGCTGATCGACGTTGAGGCCCCAGACCTGCGACCGGTCGATGTACTCGTACAGGTTCATCTCATCGCCACGGTTCGCGGTCACGCTCTGGTCCGTGCCCGCCGGCAGACGGCGCTCCAGGACGGTCGTCTCCTCGTTGCAGTTCATGGCCCGGTGTTGCACGAGGGAGAAACGAGAAGGTCGAAAGAGCGTCAGTGGCTCAGCGCTCCTCGAAAAAATAAAAAAAAGAGCGACAGAGGCGCGCGTCCCCGGCCACGTGTCGCCCTCGCCGTGCGCATGCCGCCATCCGAACGTTGCTCCTGCTGGTCGACAAGCTCATCGTGCAACTTCTAGCCAAGGCATGGCTGAAAATGGCTCCAAGCTCATCGTGGAAGAATGAAGCTGTACGAGATGGATCTCATAAAGCTCAAGAGCCACTAATGTGGCGTCGTTGTCATGGTGAAAGACTTTGCCAAAAGCCGCGCCCACCGGGCCCTATCCGTGGGAAGCGTAAAGCTGCTTCTCAAAACAGGCTGAAAATACAAGAGACAAGAGAAGCCCGCACAAAATGACACAGCGATGACATACTACCAAAGAAAGAGCGCAGGCCGGTAGCTCACTGGACATGCTTGTTTACCATGCCGACGCCTACATTAGTCATACAGAGCTGACGGGCCAAAAGCCACCATCCTGCTAGAGGGAATGTCTGCCGCCGTTTCCAAATTGACCGTTGTTGGTGGCAGATGCATACGCTCAGCTAGCTCCGCCACACCGGGCCGTCTCTCATCCTCGTTGGGATCCTGCGGTACACTGTCCTGACCAAACACCGCGGGGCCAAAAGCACCCTGGGTGGCTTCACAGCTCCCCCCGGGGTAGAGCTGCGAAGGAGCTCATCGGTCGGAGTCCGCCACGATCTGAGGGCATTGCAACGGCGCAAAAGTAAAAACGAAGGGAAACAAATCCTGATGGGGAAACTTTGGTTTGACTGCTTGCGTGAGGAGCCCCATGGGAGCCCCAGCCCTTAATTCTTCTGTTTGTGGGGGCAGAGAGGTTTGTGCGGGTAGAGAGGCAGGCACCCTCAAATTAGAGAAGAGGTACGGGTACAGGCAGAAGGGGTACGCAACGCACAGTACAGCAAGCAGTGGCAAGGACGCAAAAAGCGGCGGGGATTGAATAATTCCAAGTCCGCCATGGACCTGCTGAATATCGCTCGGTCAGCCTGCTAGCGTCATCTGTTCCAAATCGCTCCAAGACCGGCCCGACTTCGGTCGATTCTCGAAATAACTGGAGCGAGAGTTCCTCCGTAGTGCTCTGGGCTCAGTCTTCGTCGCCGGGCAAGCAATCCATTCCCCACCCTTCAGCTATCTCGAAACCCCCGGATTCCCATCGTGTGACAGGCCGCCAGAGTAGCATCGCGTCTGGGTTTGCCTATTTGCTTTTGTCCGCTTCCTTGGCCATTTGTCCGTTGCGTCAGGCCGGGCTTGCACTCCGTTGTCGCCGCAGGCTCGACTCCGGCAAGTTGGAACGGCGCCATTGCCGAGAGAGTATGCACTTATTGCATGTGGAACCGCGCCAGAAGGGAGAATACGACGTCGAGGAGAGGGGGTGGCATCCAGGCACTACGTGTTCATGCAGCCAGGACAGCAAAAGAGGCCTGGATCATCGTACGACAGCCAAGCCACGCAGCTCTAGTCCCTCGGAAGAACTCCAAGCAAGCTGTCAGCTAAGAAAAGTCTCACCGAAACCAACCATGGAACTCTGGATTGTTGTATTGCCCAATACAAAAACGCCACTAACCAATTCTTTAACGACCGAGCCTGGACCAGACGCGCCCTTAGCGAAAAAGAGAAAACAGCGCGCCGCGGCTAAGCCCAAGACTTTTTCCCTTGGTTCTTCCGCCCCCCCGTACCCCAGACGGTGCTGCTCTGCCTGGATTTTAATTATTTTCCCCTCCTCCTTGTCCGCCCAGCCCTAGCTGCAGGCGAAACGTCGCCGAACGGGCCCCCTGAACAATAACCGTTGCCTAGCCCTCTCCTTCCCATTATTGCCTCTCGTCGATCTGGCCCTTGTGGTGTGCGGGGGCGGGGCACTTTGTGTCTGTAACGAGAGGCCGTACCTGCCTACCTGCCTACCTGCCTAATGGGTATATAATGACACTTCTTTGCCTCGTCGGACCTCTCACCGTCAGAAGTCCTCCTTCCCCTCACCTCTACCTTCGTTCCTCTCCTCCCTCCCCCTTTCCTACTTCGTCGAGACTCCCTTCCTCCCCCTCTCAAGAGTAGAAGCCAGCAACAATGCCCGGTGGCGCCGTACCTGCCTTTACCGGCACCAGCTCGGGGCCAGTCATTAAGCCCAAGTCGGCTCGCGAGACGGTGCCTGCCATTGCCGTCGCCGCCTTTGCTGCCTTTGGTGGTATTCTTTTCGGATACGACACTGGCACGATCTCCGGTGTCATTGCCGCCGACGAGTTCAGGTGGGTGATTGACTAGATTGCCTGAGTATCCTTAACAATTTTTTCTGACTTTGACGTAAAAAAAATAGGAAGGACTTCGGTACCTACTACCCATACAACCGGCCCGACAATGATCTCACAATCAACCCTCCCAAGGCTGGCTATGCGCTCGACACGGCGACCAAGTCGCTCTTCGTCTCGATTCTCTCGGCCGGTACCTTCTTCGGTGCCCTGGCCGGTGCGCCCCTTGCCGACATTCTCGGTCGCCGGTGGGGTCTCCAGGTCGCCATGGTCGTCTTCTGCCTCGGTGTTGCGCTCCAGGTCGGCACCGCCCCTCACCAGGACGCCCTCTTCGTCGTTGGTCGTGTCTTCGCTGGTCTCGGTGTCGGTATTGTTTCGTGAGTACACCGCACTAGCGTGAAAATAAATAGCGAGACGCGAGTAAAATTAAACTCACAGCCCCCCCGCCACAGCTCGATTGTGCCCATGTACCAGTCTGAGACTGCTCCCCGATGGATTCGTGGCGCCGTCGTCTCGGGCTACCAGTGGGCCATCACCATCGGCCTCCTGATTGCCGCCATCGTCAACAACTCGACCAACGGACGCAGCGACACGGGCTCCTACCGCATCCCCATCGCCGTCCAGTTTGCCTTTGCCATCATCATGTCCGTCGGCCTCTTCTTCCTGCCCGAGTCGCCCCGCTGGTACGTCAAGAAGGGCAAGCCAGAGATGGCCGCCAAGTCGCTCGCCTTCCTCAACTCGACCGACGTCGATGACCCCGTCGTCCGCTCTGAGCTCGCCGACATCCAGACGAACCTCGACACCGAGCTGACCTACGGCACCGGCTCGTACCGCGACTGCTTCCGCAACAACGACCGCAAGTACCTCTACCGCACCCTCACCGGCACCTGGCTCCAGGCCTGGCAACAGCTCACCGGAATTAACTTTATCTTTTACTACGGAACTACGTTCTTCCAGTCGACTGGCCAAAGCGACCCCTTCGTCTTCACCGTCATCTCGAACGTCGTCAACGTCGTCACCACGGTGCCGGGTATGTTCATGATGGAGCGCGTCGGAAGGAGGAAGCTTTTGATCTGGGGCGCCCTCTGGATGTTCCTCTGCGAGCTTATCGTCGCCATCCTCGGTACGACTGCGTCGACGGGCAACCATGGCGCGCAGAAGGCCCTCGTCGCCCTCGTCTGCCTCTACGTCGCCGGTTTCGCCTCGACCTGGGGTCCTGCTGCCTGGGTCGTCTGCGGTGAGATCTTCCCGCTGGCCATCCGTGCCAAGGCTCTCTCGCTCTGCACGGCTTCCAACTGGCTCTGGAACTTCGGCATTGGCTACGCCACGCCCTACCTCGTCGACACGGGCGCCGGCAAGGCTGGTCTCCAGACCAAGGTCTTCTTCATCTGGGCGGGCACCTGCTTCTGCTGCGCCATCTTCGCCTACTTCTGCATCGTTGAGACTGCTGGCCTGTCGCTCGAGGAGGTTGATGAGCTCTACTCGCAGGTCACCCCCCGCCAGTCTGGCCGCGCCAACCGGGAGCTGAGGGCGAACCGCAGCGACCTCGAGACCAACGCCTTCACGGGCGCCCCTGTCCTGATGAAGGAGGACGAGGAGGTCTCTGCCGACTACGTCAAGGAGGACATGGTCAAGACTGCCCAGGCCGACGCTTAAACCTGCGTCCCTCCCCTCATCCCTTGCCCTTAGGCAACCCTTTTCGCTTCTTCTCTTTTTTATTAGTAGCAGTTGGTATTAGTCGCGTCATCATCATCCCCAGCCTCGCTCTGCTTTCACCCTTGTTTATTTGCCATTTGCCATACACATCATTGTCCTTTAACGATAAAACGGCTTCTTACGTAACAGTCAAACGATATCAGAAATGAGACAAAAGAGTCCCTCTAGAAATGCCTTCTCTCCGTCTGCCGACTTTGCCATTGTGCTTTCAAATCCTCTCATCTGCTCAAACAGTGGCGTGCGCAACGCCTCTCGATCGGCTCTGTACCAGAAAGGACATGCTGAGAATTGCTGTGTCACTATAGCACAATGATGGAGAGTGTAGTAATCTGAATGAGGGAATCTATAGAGACACTATGCGGGATTTGATATGACTGACGGCTAGCGATTGCGGCGACGGGGCCCAAGGGCTGCTGTGCCCTCGAGCGCGCGTTGTGCAAGTTCTCTTGTTGATGATGTAGTCAATCCGCCTCCTGATGTTGAGGAAGAAAGCCATCTTGGCGATGTTCTCGTTGCTGGTCGAGGAGGCTGGGCTGGCGAGGGGCCAAAGTCGTCGTCGCTGGACGGAATGTGCGGCTCGGGATGCAGGTCGAAAGGATCCATCGCTTCGGAGACACGACTGCCAGGCGAGGTTCGTGGGCTCGGGCCTGACCCTTCGCCGATTCCGACAGGTAGCATGAGCCCGCTCGGTGTCGTCTGGTCGCTACCTCTCCTCAAGCTTCTTAGGTTACTTGACGAGAAGATGGCTTGCAATGGAGGTCGAGAAGACGGGCCTGCCATGCGATAGAGCTTCTCGTCTGCCTCAGCATCCAGGTCGTCCTGATCGTCAAGGACAATGATCGGCGTGTCGTCTCGCTTGGTCTTTCCCTTGTGAAAGAGATCCCTCTCCATGGTCCTTTGCCTTTTCGCCGGTGGAGTGCTTGCAGCCTTGTAGTCAACCTCGAGAAATCCGTCATCTTCCAGGGTTCTAACGTCAAGTTCGTCTTCGTCTTCCGTCTCCTCTTCCGTTTCCTCTTTTTTCGCCTCTCTGTCTCTGCCAGGTCCAGGAGACTTGCTTGGCGCTCTAGCTGCTCTAGCCTCGAGCTCCTTGATTCTCGCTCTTGCATCGCTCAGCTTGTTCGACAAGCTTTTGTTGCGGTCCGCCAAGAAGTTGCTCTTGTGCCGCGCCGATCTGACCTCGTTGTCTGCTTCTGCCTTGAGCCTCTGTTGCTCCTCGACGATCCGCCTCATGTTCTGAATTTGTAGCTGGGAGTCACCCTCGCGTTGCGCAATCATCTGGGCCGACTCAATCTTGGCCTTGAGGACCTGACTATGTAGCTCTCTGTTTTCGTTACGCAGCGCTTCGGCCTGCTTGTCATTCAACTCCCTCTTCCTCTCCGTCTCCGCCACCTCCTTTCTCCAGTGCAGCTCTAAGCGCTTCAAGCGCGCGGACTCCTCATTCATGTGACGCTCGTGCTGCTCTTTGCGCTCGTAGTGTCTGTTGAGGCTCCTCTTGATCTGGTCTTGCTTGGCCTCCATATCCTTTGCCTTCTGGTTGAGCAATTCCGTCTCCTTTTCCATTGCTGTGAGCATAGTGAGCTTCTCGGTAAAGAACTCTGTCGCTTTGTTAAGATGGAGCATGCCGTTCTGCAAGAATATATCACAAGCCCGCACATAAGCCGTCTTGCTCCTCCGTGGCAAAAGATTGACAAACGCCACTCACCTCAAATTCTTCCTTTGTCCGCGCGTCGCCCCTGCCTTCCGTCAAGGTGCCAAACAGGCGGAAGATGGCGTCGCTGTTGCCATAGGTGAGCATACGAACATCATTGACGGCCATGACATAGGCATGAATGTGCTGCCGGAAGTCCAAGAGATGCCCCAGCAGTGTTGCCTGATCGTCCCTGCTCAAGCGCCGATCCAGGGCCAGCGTGGCCCGCTCCAGTCGAGGAATGACGGGCGGTGGGGCCGATGTTTGGTGCTGCATTCGATGGCCGCGATGTTGCAGGTACATGTCCAAATCATTGACGTCCGAGGGATAAAGTAGAAGGGCCTTTTCGGTGCCCACTTTGTACTTGCACAGGGGACAGCATGCCGGGTCGTCCTTGACCCGGCATGACCGTTGCCAGGCATCGCTGCACGACCGGTGAAAGACATGACCTAAACATGACAATGTCAGTCGCTGATTGCGGACCCGCCAAGCAGTTAGGTCAGAGCTCACCACAGGGAAGCGCAACTGGTCGAGTGCCCTTGTTCTCGTCCTCTCCAAACGAATCGAGGCAGATGGAGCACCCCATCGTGTCCTGTTCGCTCTCCGCGACCAGGAGGTGATGTAGGTGGCGCGGCTAGTGAAGGCCTAGCTAAATATCTCTGGTATAACGAAAGGGCGGCCAAAATTACTAAGTAAAACATGAAGTTGATGGCCGTCCGCTCAGGATATTTCCACGTGGATTTGATTCCAGAATTTCTGGCAGTCGGGCCATTTTCAGCACGCCATCGCAAAGTTAAGACTCACCTCCCCACTACTCATTACTCGGTGCCGCCATGTCTTCACCAACCGACAGCGGGACGGTGACGCCTGGCGAGAGCGTCATGACCTCGTCACTGTCGTCTCTCAACGCTTCTGAGAGCTCCGCACCCACCTCTCCCGCCCCATCGTCGATCCACGGGGGGCCTTCGTCGTCTTCCAAGGTGGATCGTCTTCGCCCTCAGGACAGGAGGTCGGGCCCGTCGGGCTACCGCTTCAGCACTACATGCGCGACGGTCGACGATCCCAACCACAAGGACCAATATGGCGCCAGCAGCACGCCCATCTACATGTCTGCCACATTCAAGGGCCTTCCCGGTGCTGAGTTTGACTACTCCCGCTCCGGCAACCCCACCCGGAGCATGCTCCAACATCACCTGTGCCAGCTCCAGAACTGCCGCTACAGCTTTGCCGTTTCCAGCGGTATGGCATGCCTTGATGTCATCACGCGCGTACTCAAGCCTGGAGAACGCATCATTGCCGGCGATGACCTGTACGGGGGCACGAACCGCCTTCTGACCTACCTCGCCACCCACGGCGGCATTCAGACCGACCACGTCGACACGACCGATGCCGAAAAGGTCGAGCAGATGCTCCAGACAAGGGCAACGGAGCATAGCCTGGGCCAGTGTGGTCCCATCAAGATGGTGCTCCTCGAGACACCGACGAACCCGCTCCTCAAGATCTGCGACCTGGAGCGGTGTGCGAGGGCAGCCAAGCTGTATGCGCCCGATGCCATCGTCGTTGTCGACAACACCATGATGTCTCCCTATCTCATGCGGCCTCTCGAATTGGGCGTCGACGTAGTCTACGACAGCGGCACGAAGTACCTCTCGGGCCACCACGACCTCATGGCGGGTGTCATTGCGTGCGACCGCGAGGATGTGGGACAACAGATTGCATTCACGGTCAATTCGATCGGCAATGCATTGACGCCCATGGATTCCTTCCTGCTCCTTCGTGGCATCAAGACCCTTGCTGTGCGTATGGACCGCCAGCAGAGCACTGCGCTCCTCGTCGCCTCGTACCTCACGTCGCTCGGCTTCAAGGTCAATTACCCTGGTCTTGCGAGCCACCCGGGCAAGGAAATTCACGACGCACAAGCATCGGGACCGGGTGCGGTGCTTAGCTTCGAGACCGGAGACAAGGAGCTCAGTGAGGGGATTGTCGGCGCGACAAGACTCTGGGGTATCAGCGTCAGCTTTGGCTGTGTCAACAGCTTGATCAGCATGCCCTGCCTTATGTCCCACGCTTCCATCGACCCCAAGGTCCGAGCGGCCCGTCGACTGCCCGAGGACCTGATCCGACTGTGTGTCGGTATCGAAGACTCGCGTGACCTCATCGAAGATCTCGAGTCGGCGCTGCTCAAGGCAGGCGCCATTCGTCGTCGACGGAGCAGTATCCCCGATGGTACCGTTGCCAACACCTCGGCTAGCCCTGTCAGCGCAGGCACAATTTTTGAGCTCGTTTCACCCAGTGGCATCATCACGTCCGATCAAAGCATCTCAAAGCTCGTCGACGGCATGGACAAGAACAAGATCGAGACTCGTGGCGGTGACGATGAAGACGGCCGCTTGACGAAGCGACCCCCTCTACCGGCCTCGTCGCTCGTTGTCAGCGCTCCCGGCAAGGTCATCTTGTTTGGAGAGCACGCTGTCGTGCATGGTGTCACAGCCATTGCTGCAAGCGTCGCGCTGCGTTGCTATGCGCACGTCCAGCCGCGAGACGACGACAAGGTCAGCATTACCCTGCCTGACCTCGGCATCGAGCACGCCTGGTCCATCGACTCTCTTCCTTGGGGCAAGGTCAAGACGAACGACGTCGCGACGCCCGCAGAGTCGCTCGATGAGGAGCTGCACAAGGCCATCGAGACGTCCGTCGGTAACATTGTGGCGGACGACACGGCGCGCAGCCATGCTGCGAGCGTCGCCTTCTTGTACTTGTACATGACCCTCGCCGACCGGTCTTCTCCCAACCGTGGCCAATCGTTTGTCATTCGATCGGCACTGCCCATCGGTGCTGGTCTGGGCTCGTCTGCGGCCCTGTCGACGTGTCTCGCCTCGTCGCTCCTCTACACTCACGGCCACCTGCCTCTTCCCACTGCGGACTCGTCAGTCGCGCCCGCCTCGCAGACGCTCATCAACGCCTACGCCTTCCTCTCTGAGAAGGTCATGCACGGCAACCCATCCGGTGTCGACAACAGCGTTGCCACGCACGGTGGCGCTCTTGCTTTTACTCGTCCCAACGCGGCTCGCAATGCGCTGGTCAAGTCGGAGATGGCGAGCCTGAAGTCGTCGTTTGGGAGCGTCAGGTTCCTCCTGACGGACACAAAGGTGCCAAGAGACACCAAGACGCTCGTTGCTGGCGTCGGCGCTCGGCTCAAAGCGGACCCAGCGGGTGTGGGAAAGACACTCGATGAGATTCAGCACATTTCGGACCGTGCAAAGGACATCTTCCTCTCGCAGCAGCCAGCAGGAAGCGGCGAGAAGGGAAGGGAGGCCAAGCTCGAGGGCTTGTCGAAGCTTATCGTCGAGAACCACGAGCTTCTGCAGACGCTCGGTGTCTCGCACGAGTCGCTCGAAGTCGTCCGGCGCACGACGGCCGAGCGGGGCCTCGCGACGAAGCTGACGGGTGCGGGCGGCGGCGGATGCGCCGTCACGCTGCTGCCGGACGAGATGCCAAAGGCTGACGTCGAGTCGCTCCGTGCTGCCCTTGAGAAGAACGGGTTCAAGTGCTACGAGACAGAGGTCGGCGGTGGCGGCGTCGCGGTGCTTCTGGACCAGTCCCGCAACGAAGAGAGCAAAGAGTGGTTTGGCAAGTTGCCGGGGTCGGAGCTGGCTAGTCGCTTGGACGGTACAGCCTGGTCGACAGCTTAGATAGTCTTGAGAACACGCTCAGCTCCCCTCTGTCTTTTCGAATAAATTCAAGTGGATTCTCCAAAGCAATCTTCTATCGTGAACTGGCAAGCTCAAGCTGATCCGATTTTTAGTTGGATGTCGTAAGAGAGGAAAGCACATAAAAAAGAGGGGTAAATGAAGAATAGAACTCTTTACATCTTGGACTCTGGGATCGAGGGAGGGAGGTAGTCGCTGAAGTGCTTGGACCTGACCTTGTTGAGCTCATCCTCGGTCATGCGCTTGCACTCGTCTGCGACGTTGTAGCCGAGGCGCTGCTGCATCGTCGAGCCCTTCTTGTAGAAGGGTGCCCGCTTGAGGACAGTGACGACGCACGAGCCGCCGAGGCCGATGTTATGCGAGAGGGCGTAGTTGACGTTGTCGGCCTGGAGCTGGCCAGCCTCGCCACGGAGCTGCATGGTGAGGTAGAAGATCATGCCGATGCCCGTCGCGCCGAGCGGGTGACCCTTGGACTCGAGACCACCAGAGGGGTTGATGACCCACTTACTGTAAAGCGAGAAGCAGAAAAGATCAGTGTTTGACTCTTGAGAAAAAAGGGGAGGCCAAAGACACAACTCACCCGCCAAAGGTGTTGTCACCACGGTCGATGAGGTGGTGGCCCTCGCCCTCCTTGCAGAGCCCGAGGCCGTCGTAGACGACGAGCTCGTTTGCGGCAAAGCAGTCGTGCAGCTCAATGACCTTGATGTCGTGGGGGCCGACGCCAGCCTGCTTGTAGGCCGTCTGGGCAGCACGGCGCGTCATGTCGGCACCGGCGAGCTCGATGCGGCTGCGGTCCTCGTACAGCCTGACGCTGTCGGTCGAGACACCGAGACCAGCGAGCTCAATGGCACGGTCCTGGAGGTTGTGCTTCTTGATGAAGTCCTCCGAGACGACAATGGCCGCAGCGCCACCGTCCGAGGTGGGGCTGCACATGGGCAGCGTCAGCTCCCTCGTGATGGCCCTCGCCTTGAGGATCTCCTCCCAGCTGGGGGCGCTCCTGAACTGGGCATAGGGGTTCTTGACGCTGTGCTTGTGGTTCTTTGCCGAGATCTTGGCAATGTGCTCGAGCTTGGCACCGTACCGCTCCATGTACTCGAGGCCAGCGGCGCCAAAGATGCGCGCAGCGAAAGGCCCAAAGTCCTCCTTGGAGTAGTCCTTCTCGCCCTCGAGCTCAAAGAGCTGCGACATGGTGCCCTCCATCGGGGCCGCACGGTCGTCCCAGGCCGAGCCGAGCGAGCCGGGGGCCATCTTTTCGAAGCCGAGAGCGAGGGCGCAGTCGGCCTGGCCGGACATGATGCTGTTGGCGGCAAAGGCAAAGGCCGACGAGCCCGTCGAGCAGTTGTTGTTGACGTTGACGATGGGGATACCGGTCATGCCGAGCTGGTAGACGGCGCGCTGTCCACACGTCGAGTCTCCGTCTGCGCTCAGAGGAAAACGGCGGATCAACAACAGGATCTTTAGAAGGTGGAGGCAGTAGCAAACAGCGGTCACTCACAGCAGTAGCCGACAGCGGCCGTCTCAACATCGTCGTAAGTGACGCCAGCATCGAGAAGCGCCTTGACCGATGCCTCGAGGCCAAGCTCAGGGTAGTCACGCTCGCCGCGCGGCTTGTCGAACTTGGTCATGCCGACACCGACGACTGTTACAGTCATCAGTTGCCCCTTGTCAGTACATGCACCCCTTTGTGACCCGGATGTCGCCATTGGCACTCACCGTAAGCTTTCCGAGGAGCAACGGGCATTTTGAATATAGGAAGTCGTAAAAGGGTTGGGTTGTTTGTGGTGGGAAAGAGAAGAGAAGGGTGGAAAGTGGCAAAGTAGTTATATGGAGGTATTTTCTGGAGGTGCGCGGATATGCCGAGATCCCAGTACCGAGAAGCGGTTAATGTGCGAGCTCGTGAACCGGATGGAGGTCCTGCAGCCCTCCCCGCATCTTTTTCCTCGCTTTGGAGCCGGACCTCTTCGCCGGTAGTCTGAAAACCCGGTGGCCTCGTGCGCCTCGTGCGTGACTGACTTTCTGTCATTCAGCACGTGTTTGTTTTCGTCACTTTTGCACTTTGCCTCCCTCTGACACTCATCGCGAGGCTGCATCTCGCTGGGGTGTGTTTGCATGATAGCTGCCAATGAGCTCCAGGTTGACATTCGTATCTATTGTTGTACAAGTACAGAGTGTGTGAGGAGAGAAGTTCGAGAGTGAAGAGTGCTCATGGGAATGAGGAGAGTGGGCAACTACTGTATGGCACAGGAGCACCCGAGTTGGTGATTAGCTAGTTTCTCGCGAGCCAGCCCATGTCCACCTCGCCGGAACGACGAGCCAGGAGAGAGCGCTTCAGACGTCCTTTGAGAATCGTGCTAGGTGGTAGTTGATCGTCGGTCTCTTGACCACCCTCCGCTTCCCCTGTGTTTGGTCCAATGCTGCGTCAGCGCTCTTGCATCCCTTCTCACAAGGCACTGAACCGGGAAGAGAAGGTTCATAAGTGGAACAGACACTCACCCTCGTTTGCAAGCAGGTTTGTAGGGCTTTTGCGCTGTCGGCGCAGGGCCCGCTGTTGGACAGATCATTGGCGGTGGCCCAGCAGGCGAGCATCGTGGCGAATTCGGCCGCGCAGGGCGCCGTCGCGGCATCCTTCTTTGGCCGCACCTTGAGCTTGTCGAGCTTCATTGTTGAGATTGCTCCTCTCCCTCGCTCCTGACCTTACGTGGACGTGCGCGAGTTCCGTAAAGAGCTGACAAGACTTCGGTCACGTCGAAAGAGACGTCGGTGATCGATGAGATGGAAACTTGAACAGTGAAGAAGGACGCAACTAATTACGCAAGTCCGTCTTCCGATTTGGTTTTTTTCCTTGAGCCAAACCAGAAAACAAAAAAATAAAAAAGTGGATGGGAAAATGGGGGCTGGCTGGTCGACCAGTAGTCAACATTATTCATCAGCTGCACTCCGCATCATTCAGCGTTGCTCTGTCCCCATTACTTTTCTGAGGGCTCCAAGCTAGGCGTACGGCTCTACGGCGAGAGCTACTGGAGCTGCAATCTTGAGACCCGCGCAGCGCTGCGCAACATTCGCTAGCCATGTCGCGCGCAGCCAAGGCGACGCTGGGCCTCTCTGTCGTCCTGTCGGCGGCAACCGTCTGGGGCGTGCACTACATGCAGGTACAAGAGCGCGAGGTGCGTACTCCCTTCGAAGCCTCTTTCACCCATCTCGAAAGCTCACAGTACGAACACGTCGATGGCAATAGGTCATGCACAAGGGGGTAGAGCGCGACACGGCGCGGCTCGAGGAGAAGCGGCGCCAGCGGGCGCTGGACCTCGAAAGGAATCGGGCAAGAGAAGAAGAGTTCCAAAAGATGCAGCCCACAAAGGGATGGCTGGCCGGGCGCTTTGGGGGGAGTACGCCAGCAAGTCCGGAAAAGGCGCCCTCATGATTGAGGAGGCAGCAAAACAGCAGCAGGCGCGTGACGAGCTCAGTGACTCGACACCCTCACGCACACATTGGCACAGTTCTCAGCATTATGCGCATTTGTACTACTACTCCTGTTTCATCACTTCCACCAACATTGGCATAAATGGCAAGGCGAGAGCGCCGAGGCAGTCTCGCACGAAAGTTCGCCAGAGCATCTTTCATTTGACTCAGCAGAAATTGCGATCGACAGACTCAGCGTTTCCACCCCCTGAAAACAGTTTTCAGACAGAAGGCAGTTCACAGTGCCTGAACCCAGGAGATCGGTAGACGGATCCGAGGCAGTCTTATCCGAGGATCAAATAAGAGATTAGACGGAGAGAAAGAGAAGAAGACAAGGAGCGGCGATGTATGGGAATAAGATGGATGCTGGCGGTTGTGTACATGAGGTCAAGATTAATGCTGCTAATCTCGAGAGGTATCCTTTGATGGTGACGCGACCTGAAGGCGGTGAATGGTCAAGACTGGTGTGGGACGGTTGCCTATTGGCTGTTGGTCTTGTCGTCGGAGCCATTGGCGGTGCTGACCGACGTCTGCGAGTACTCGGAGTGGTGGACGGAGAAGTGTGGCGAGCTCGAGAGGTTGAGCGAATTCGTGGGAGAGTCCAGCGAGATGACGGAGCCTATGAAGAGGGATCAAAAGTCAACATCTAGACATCGAGAGAGAAGGGCGTATGGGAACTCACCACCGTCGGACGTCTGACTATTGGTCAGACTCATGTTGAGATGGGCGAGGTCCTTTGGGTCCTTGCGCTTCAGGAGCTGCACCAGCTCGTCATCGGTCAGCACCGAGACGTCCATGTCTGGATGCTGGCGGAGGTGAAAGTCGTGGAGGGCGTCCAGTGGATCGCTTCGCATGCTTGCCGAGCCCTCGGAGCTGTATTCGTACATCGATGACATAATGGACGACGATGCTATTCGAGCGTGTTGGTACGAGCAGCCTCGTTTGCAGATAGCTGTTCTAAGCTGGCTGTGGTGATTGATAGAGAAGAGATTCGACACGCGGCTGGCAGTGCAATTGTTGCCTGACAGCGACACGGGATAGCGAGTAGTAGACGGAAGAGAGAGTGGGAGTATTGGAGTAAGGTCTTGATGCTGTGTTGGAGTTGTGATGGTGGCGTGCCGTCTCAATGCGACACCGTCCGACTTGTCCGCCCACGCTATATAAACAAATAGCAAGTAAAAATAAAAATAAATCAGACATGCATCGAGGAGGTTCGAGTTGTGTTGCACGCGGCAAATTCTGGTTCAGTCTGCAGTATCCTCCACTTTGCTGCTCGCTCTCTCTGCCTTGTGGGTGGGTAGAGACAGAGTGTCTCTTGCTCTCTTTATCCTCGCCCAGCGTATATGAGATAGCGAAGATGAGCCTGGCACCGCCGTGGACACGTCTGATTCGCTTCATTGCCGTCGAGGATGGCCTGACGTACTCTGGGGAGCCACAGCTGCCGCCGACGGCTGACATTGGCGCGGCGTTTGTCGCCGGAGAGCCGCCGATCAAGGCGCGGGTCCTCGTGCGCGACGACCCACTCGACACGTCGCTCCGCCTCCTCGCCGAGTTGCGCACCGTGGCGCGCCTCCTGCCGCCGCTGGACCCGCAGCAGCACGTCGCCTCGATCCGCGCACTCGGCGCCAACTTTGTCCAGCCGGGCCAGGACGCCGCGGTGGCCAAGGGCGAGAAGCGGCCGCCGCTGCCCATCGTCTTCTACAAGCCCAAGGCGACCATCGTCGGTCCCGGCGCCGACATTGTGCTTCCAAAGGAGGCCGCGGGACAGACGGACTGGGAAGTCGAGCTCGTCGTCGTCATTGGCAAGCCCGGCTGCAAGGACGTCTCGCGCGAAGAGGCTCTTGACTATGTGCTCGCCTACACGCTCTCCAACGACGTCTCTGCGCGCAAGCGCATGTTTGCCGTGCCCCAGTGGGGCCTCGGCAAGTCCTTTGACACCTACTTCCCTCTAGGACCCTGCCTCGTCAGCGCAGCGTCGGGCCAGGTGGGCAACCCGGACAACGTGCAGCTCAAGACAGTCGTCAATGGCCAGACGATGCAGGACGGCAACACGCGCGAGATGCTCTTTGGCGTCGCAGAGACCATCGAGTGGCTCTCCCAGGGCACCACCCTCGAGCCAGGCACCATCATTTCCATGTGAGCTTGGCTTCATCCTTCATACACGCTCTCCTTCTTCTAAGTCCTTCAGTCACTCATTCACTCTCGCTGCGTCACACAGGGGCACGCCGCCGGGGGAGGGCTTCAAGCGCGACCCGCCCATCTTCTTCAAGCACGGCGACATCTGCACAGTCTCTGGCTCCCACGGCCTCGGCTCGCTCACCAACCCCGTCGTCGAGGCGACCAAGCTCGATGGCTCCTCGCACACGAAGCAGTCGAAGATGTAGGCTTGTAAAATGCACAAACTCCTGGCTATTGTCTCCGATGTGTGATATAGACGTGTGCTCGATGCTGCTACTGCTACTGCTACTGCTACTGCTACTGCTACTGCTAACACCACTTGTACTGTACATATAAGAAAGAGAGAGAAGGTCTAATCAAACAGCCGCATGATGCGGTCCTGGCCAGCAAAGTCCAGCACGCAGATCCGCTCGTCCTCGCCGCAGCTCACGATCCTCGTCCCGTCGAGCTGCACATCAAAGACGCGGCTCCGGTGGCTCTGCAGGTCCATCAGGGGCGTCAGCACCTTTGTCTTGTGCGCGGCGGCCGTCGTCTGCTCTTGCTTGTTCTGATTCTTGCCGTCGCCGTTGCCGTCGCCGCTTGCCTGCCTCGCCTCGCCGACGACGTCGCGGATGGAAAAGAGCTTGACGCTGTAGTCGTAGCCGCCGCTGGCGACGAGCATGCGCTTCTCGTCAAAGGCCAGCGCGCGCACGAGATTGTGGTGGCCCGAGCAGATGGCGAGGCACTTTGCCGACACGGCGTCCCAGATGCGCACCGTCGTGTCGTTGGAGCCCGTGACGACAATGTCGCTGGCGAGGCGCACGCAGGCGAGGCCGCGCTCGTGACCCTCGAATGTGCGCAGCGTCTCGCGCGTTGCAATGTCCCAGAGGTGGACGCTGCCCTCGCCGCTGGCGCTTGCGACGACGGTGCGCTCCCTGCTGCCGCCGCCGCTGCCGTCGGCAGCGGCAGCATCGCGGCGGACCATCATACAGCCCGCATTGACGGGCCCCTCATGCTTGCGGTAGACGCCCTCGAGCGCCCAGTCGTTGGAGCGCCGCCAGATGCGCACCGTCGTGTCCTTGCTGCTCGAGATGAGCCACTCGTCGTTGAGGTCGAGGTCGAGCACACCGAGAGAATGGCCCGTGAGCGTCTTGATAGCCACGGGTGCCTCACCCCTTCGCAGGCCACGGCCGAGGTCCCACACAATCACGTTCTGGTCCGAGCTGCCGCTGACGAGGTGTTCGTCGTCGTAGGCGAGGCAGAGGACGCTGCCCTTGTGGCCGTGGAGCGTCGAGAGGCAGATGCCCGTGTCGCCGTCCCAGATCTTGATTGTCTTGTCCCGGCTGCCCGACACAATTTTCCCGCGGGAGCCCAGGCCGAGGGTGAGCTTGGCGTCGTACAGCGGCGCAGCCATGGGGTCCGACGAAGAGAGCGAGTCGACAGGAAAGTAAAAGGGCGTCGTGTCAAAACGCACGCAGTAAATGCTGTCCTGGTGGCCCTCGAGGTAGCCGGTCCGCGGCTGGAAGTCGTCTGCATCGGCCGCCGCCGCAGCAGCCGCTCTCCTCCTCCTCCTTCGCCTCCTGCTCTCCCCTCGCGTCATGCCAGACCCGCGTCGCTCGTCTGACGATTCAATCTCTGAGTCGCTGTCGAGGGGCGGTGGAGACGCGCCGGGGATGTCAACGCTGCTCAGGGGCGCGTCTCCCTTACGGCGGAACATCGTCGTGCTCGTCTTGGCCCGAGAAGGGGAAGAGGATGTGAGGCGCCAGCGACGCGAGAGCAGGTGGCGAGCACGGTACAGGGTATACCAGTCATACGTCGTCAGGTCTGGCTGGGCCGGTGCGGCCTGCAGGACGACAGAGGTGTCCATCATCATTGTCGACGACGACGAGGCAATCGAGCTCATCGTCAAGTCCCCAGCATCCTCGCCTCCTTTCCCTGGCTCGTCGCCGCCCCCTAGTGGCCCATCGACAAAGGCCGGCGTCATCCTGCGTGTGACGAGCATTGGCGCATCCTTTTCACGCACATACTGGGTCCTGTACCCGGATCCCCTCGGCTCCCTGTCCAACCTCACCTCCTCGAACTCGCCTTCCTCGTCCTCGTCTTCCTCTTCGTCTTCATCGTTGTAGCCGTCACGCTGCCGCTGCATACGCGGCACCATGCGCCTCCACAGCATCTCGGCTCCAGGCATCAGCGTCCAGCCGTCGGAGCGGGCCCTGCGAAGAAAGAGGGTGTGCCACACCTCGACATCGCGAGCGCGCGTGCTCCAGCACCGCGAGACGAGCGATGCGGCGAGCACGTCGGCATGCGAGTGCAGCTGTGTCAGGATCGCGATTGCAATCTCGGCGGGCAGCAGGCCGATGAAGTCTGTGTTTCCTCTTTCCGTGTCAGCATTGCAGTAGGCTTGAATGAATGACGAAGCGAGGGGAAGGTGAATGTATGCTCACCGACTCTCTTTGTATCGGCATCGACGAAGCAGGCCTCGTCGTCTGGCGTCGCCTCCCGAGCGATCATGGCGCTCTCGCTCTCCAGGTGGGGCAGCTGCCCTCGTCGGTGGCGGTGACCATGTCGGCCCTGCTTGATCTGTCCAGAGTGGCGCTCGCCTCCATCGCGCTCCACCTCATCGGCAGCAGTCGCATCTGACGCACTTCCAGAGCTGCTCCCAACCTCCTCGCTGCCCCTCCTGCTGCTCCTGTTGCTGTTGCTGTTGCTATTGCTGTTGCTGATCGCAGAAGGCGCAGCGGCGCGCATGAGCGAGTCCGACGTCTCCTGCCGCACCAGTGCTCGTCGCCCGCCCCTCGACCGCGACCGCGAGCTCGAGTCCGACGTCGACATTGCTGCTGCTGCTTCTCTCTCGCGCGCGTCTCTTTGCAAAACGAACCCCCTTGTTGTTTTGCTGTTGTTGTTGTTGGACTCCGCTGAACAAAGGGGGTTGTCAGGGAGATAAAGGGCGCGATAGAGGCGCCTGACCTAGTGAAGTTGATTTGTTTGGATGTCCGCTTGGGTGTCCCAGGTCGGGAAAACCAAATCTTTTGTGGCTCGCACAAAAGCATCTTGCTTTGCTTGCTCCACGCGTTTGTAGACAGCCCGAATGGTATGAGATTGAAGGAAGGAAGGCCATGCGTGGGCTCAAAGATGACAGTGGAAGAAGAAGAGAGCTACAGGGATGGTCTTTGGAAGCGCAGAGGCGGCGTATTGGCAGCCGATTCTCCATTCTCGGTGAAGAGTGTCTCCACAGAGGCCGAGCCAGGCCGGGAGAGGGGCTGGACGGGTGCCCGCTGCTCGTCCTCGGGATGGCCTCCTTCTCTCCTCCAATCATCCAGGTCGATCCAGCCAATGCTGCTCTCGTCTCCGAAGCCGCCGACACGGTAGACCCCATCGACGTTGAAGCGCGTCCACTCGGCAAAGTGCGGCGAGTCGCTCGACCCGGGCGTCCAGTGGCTTGCGTCCTTGTGATGCTCGACGAAGCACTTGGCCAGCTCCGACGTCTCGTCATCCTCCTTGACCGTGAGAACTTCGATGTGGCCATAGAGCGTCAGACGCTGCTTGCCCGGCATGCCGCGCCTCCACGCGGGCCGCTCGGGGTCCCACGAAGCGCCGTGGCCCGGCTTGTGGAAGCGGGGATCCGGCACGGACGGGTCCGCATTCGACGTGATGCTCAGCGTCGCATTCTTGCCCTTGCTCGTCAGTGCATTTCTCCAGTTCTGCGATCTGCTCTCCCCATTGGAATGTCAGTGACGCAGGTCAGGTCGAAAAGAAGAAGGAGGAGGGAAGTGGACTGGCCTTGGCACTTACACGGGCAGAGCAAGCATGAGCAGGTCTCCGTTGTCATAGCAGGGCGCAAAGTACTCTGCACCGCTACTGACCATACCCCGCAGCCAAGCAGGCTCGTAGTCGTCGTGGTACGTGCTTGAGAGAATCGCCACGCCATAGATGGACGGCGAGGAGAGGAGCGAGCGAGCTCTTCGTGCGACTTGTGTGCGTAAAAAAAAGAGTGACATGTCAGTAAGTCGGGTCGTATCTCATTGCTGGAATGGACCTACCCTGGATCGGTGTCTCACCCCAAGCCCATGCCATGGACGCGAGAAGCAGCACGGAAGCGAGAATCGTACGAGGGGTCATTGCTGGCTGTCAGAAGGCGGTGGAGAGCCCGGTCGGTGAAGCTCAGGAGCGAGCGAGCGAGCAGCGAGCTGCAAGCGTCAAAAGTGGAGAGCGAGCGCCCGTCTCGGCCGGGAGCGCGCTTTCCTCTTCTTTAGATTTTTTGATGGCTCGAAGATTTGAACTTCTCGCATTGCGCATCGTCGTCCGACGAGCCAGAGCGGGTCGGCCATTGAACAATAACAACAGCAACAACAGCGGCAGCAGCAGCAGCAGCAGCACAGCAGACAAGATGGCGTCTTCAGGAGCAAGACAGAGCCATGTGTCTAGCCTGTCGGGGAAGATCCAGGGGCTCAAGTTCATGCAGCGGGCGGCTGCGAGCAACAAGGGCACCACCCCAGCCTCTTTCTCGACGGCTTCAGCAGCGGCAAAAGCAGCATCTTCCAACGACGCCGCCCCAGGACCATCTTCGTCTTCGAGCAGAGCCAAGAGTGGCGCGACAGAGGGGCGTAACGCAGGCCCGTCAGTCACGCAGGAGCAACACAGCCCTGCTCCGTCCGAGCCTATCGCTGACGACGGCAATGAGGAGCACTGGGTCTTGCCCGGCAAGGCTGCTCAACGACAGGCTGCGACAAACACTGCTGTAGAGAGCGAAGAGCTCGGATGGAACGCATTCTTGAGACAGGCCTCTGCGTCGGTGGACGGCGAGAACGAAAAGGGCGGAGATCCATCATCGGGATCCGCGAGGAGGAAGTTTGGCTCGTGGGGCGACAAGAGGAAGAGAGAGAAAAGGCAGGCCGACGACGACGAACCCGACTTCGACATGAGCGACGACGAAGACGGCGCATTAGATTATGAGTCTGATGGACACGAGGGGGAGGATGGGAAGGGAAAGAAGAAAGGATTTATCAAGCCGGGGACGATGGGCAAGCGGCAACGCCGCGAGCACAACGACGACGAAGTGCTGCAGTCAGGCGCTCGCGGAGCGCACGCCAAGGCGAGAAATGAGGCTGCCAAGAAGAAGCGAGCGGATATGTCCAGTGAGGAAAAGGCAAAGATGAGACGCAAGCACGGCTTCTACGTTCCCGATCCGGGCGCAGACAGCGACGACGGTAGCGACGAACCAGGCGATGACTCAATTTCCGTGCTTGATGGAGCCAGCACCACCGACACTCCACCGAGGTCCATCAGCGGCAACAGCAACAGCAGCAAGCCAGGAAACAAGAAGACAAAGAAGGCGAAAGCCAAGAAGCGATGAGGGAGAGAGACGCTGTAACTGCAATAGAAACACGCTGCCATTCCGAAATGACCTCACTCGCACTCGCGGTGTCTTCATAAGCATTCAATGTGTCAACTGTATTTTTTGTTGCTGCCACTGCGTCCTGTCCTACCATTTGAGGTGCTGTGGCGTCGAAGCTTGGCTCTCGAATCGAAGACGCTCGGAAGTCGGCCTCTAAAAAGTAGATAAAAAAAAAGTCTCTGCACGCACACGTCGATCGCATCGCCGTTGATCTGTGCGCTATGTATGACGTTAGCCTTGCGTAGAAGGATGTCGAGTTGTCGACGACCTTTTTGCAAAGATTTTGGACCCTTTTAAAAGATTGCTCCTTGCCGAGCACACACCTTTCACTCTGAACATCCACATCACACGACCCGCTCTACTGCGAATACTCCTACCAACTCACAAAAAGCAAAATGTCGGAAGCCTACGCCGGAAAGTCTGACCAGGACATCATTGCGGAGCAGGCCGCATCGATGGCCGACAAGGAGAACCCGCTGACCAAGTCGTCGTACAACCCGCGCAACACCGTCACGTCGGAGGAGTCCAACGTCAACGAGTCCGGCGTCGAGGGCTTCGCTGGCGCAGAGGTCAGCGTCGGCAGGACGGGACAGACTGGCGGCGGCACGAGCGCACAGAACATCCCGCCAGAGGAGGGCGGACTGGACAGGAGCCAGGCGCAGGGCGAGTCCAGCGACCGCTTCGAGGGCACCGGGGGTGTTGAGGACAAGAGGCGGGAGGCCCTCGCCAACAACCCTGGCGGCTACGACAGTGAGTCATTGATTCGCGGTGCTGCTCGTATCGCTTAACATTGACTGACACACATTTCTCTCTTTCTCATCGTTGTAGCCAACCCCCGTGGAATCGACGAGACCTACGACCGGTCCAAGCAGGAGTCGGTTCCCCTCACCACTGGCCAGGAACTCCAGCCGGGCCAGGGCCTCGACATTGACCAGGCTCAAAACTAAATCACCTGCCTCCGTCACTGTCCCTCCTCTATAGAACTACATCGACTGCATGTAAATATCAACCAAATAAATGGAGGAGTGTCACATCTATAAGAGGCTCCACTGTTCTGTTCGTCGATGAAGCTGTGCACCAGGCTGAGAGGGACACCACCGGCTTTCCTAGACTCGGCACAGTCGGAAAGCCGATGTTTCCGATGGCTCCGTCCCCACGGTGCATTTTCTACCGTGGACACGCAACGGTGCTTTTTTATCGTCAATGCTCCACGGTCCTTTTCCTACCGTTGACGGTCCAACTGCATCGCCTCTGTCCCTAGCCGTTGCTTTCCTCATTAGTCGTGGCCGGTCTTTTGCAGCACCATTTCTTCTCGACTGCTTACCATCTGCCAATATTTTGACGGTTTCGGAAGTCGGATTTTCGAACAGCCTCAACACGCGAAGCAGGTTCAACCTTGGGCGCTCATCAGCTTGGACAACGACGAAGACGACATTGACGACGGCGGCAACGGCGGCGACATGGGAGGAAGTCCAGCACCGGCAGCTGGAAGTGGAGAGGCTTCTTCATCCACTGTCTCTGAGCTCCCGCCTCTCAACCACGACATATATGCGCCGACAGGCCCCTTTCTCCAGCCAAAACCCAGCGGCTCAGAGTACGGACGGCCGAGCCTGCTGCGCGCTGGTTTCCCCCTCTATCCGTCCTCTTCGCACTTTGTCGAGAGGCTCCAGATCCACGTCACGGATGTACTCGATGACTTTGTCGACGACTGGACAGAAGCAGGCGATGAGGAGCGCGAGTCCGGGCCCTTTGTCCTCTTTCGGAGGAACTGGGAGAACCTCAACCTCCATATGGTGCAGTTCTTCTGGAGCGAGAATGCAGCGACACGGATCGCCTTTTACGAGACGTGGACAAGAGTGTGCTTAGGTAAGTGCCTGCTCGAGAACCCTCCTTGCCTCCCCATGCTCTGTGCTCATTAAAACATGATGACAGGTCATCTCTCTCCCCTCCTGCCCAGCCAGGAAGAAGACGATGTGGAGTCAATTGAGACGAGACGGCTGCTCCTGCGAGCCGTCGGTGCCGTCTTCTCTGTCTACATCATCCGCTATACTACCATGCTTGGCACCAGGATCCAGACGTGGGATAGAAGAAAGAGACCGCTGGTTGACATCGAAGCCGACCTCCACCGTGTCCTCGTCTCTTTACCAGAGCGCATCTCCGACGAGGGTATTCTCGCCGACGAGGCCTATCTCGACTTTGCATTCATTTTCGATGACCTGCTCGGAACCTCTCACGACGATGGCTCCGCCTTTCACATCCTTGCGCCGACTGATCTCGGAGCGCGAAGGCCGCTTATCACGAATCATCTGTCGACCCGTGCCTTTACGCAGCGTCAGAGTCGACCGTGGGGAACACTTCAGGAAGTCGATGGATCGACGAGATACCCATTGACCAAGTCTGAGCTTGGCCGGGCGCTCGTCAGGCAGAGACTCGGGCTTGAGCATGTGGTGCCTGTTCAGCGCGAGCGGAAGGACACCCCTCTCCATGGCCACACAGACGAGCTTACGTCGAGTCGGCACTCCAGCAAACGCCTTCGTCTTGATCTGTCTGGCGTGTACCTCACTTCGGCACATGGACCACAGAAGCCAAAGGACAAGGCCGAAAAGGAGCTCGAACAAAGCCTGCGCCGGGTGGCCGAAGCCAGGCAAGGCTACCTGGACGACGGCGACGTCGTGCGACGACTGCTGAGCAAGCAGGACACGACCAAGGAGAGAAGCAATGAGCGCGCTTCTCCACTCAGCAAGCAAGAGTCTCCAGTCTCGCTCGAAGACATTGTAGAACACGTTCAGGCAACGACGGGTCGTGCAATCGAACGCGCCTACGATGCGTTTCAGGAGCGCCAAAAGAACTCCCAAGAAGACCCCCAGAGAGGGTCCTCATAGCGAGACTCGCCGTCTGGCTCCTATTAGACGTATCCCACTGTACCATATCCATGCGCCTGACATGTCCCACATTGCTCATCTTGTAAAATTATCATTCCCATATGACTGGCCTCGCTCTCTTTTGCTGCTTTCGTGTCATCTACACGGCCTCTTCCTCCTTGACGGCGAGGACCTTCTGCGAGAGAGCCTTTGATCTCCGAACGAAGCTGTGAAGGGGTCAGCGTCAGCTACAGAAACAATACTGCCCAACTGTGACCACTAGGAACGCACTCGTCGTATTGGCACTTTTCGTACGTGTGTCTGTGTATGCACATCGTCAGGTTAGATACGGAGAGTGCGAGAGGGATCAAGAGGCTCGGAATCTCACCGCTCATCCTCGCACTTCCATGGAGCGTACAGGGTCTCCTTCCGGCACTTGTTGAGCGGAATCAGCAGCCTTTTGGATGAGGACATCGATGGAGGGGTGGGCGGGTCAGTAAGAGCCTTTTCAAGGGAGAAGAGTCGACGACGAGGAGAAGCATAGCGCCACTCACGCGCTGCAGTTGTCGCGCCAGCCGATGGGCAGGCGGGCCGCGTTGGACTCTTCGAGCGAAGCGACGTGCAGTTGTTCCTCTCCCATGGTCCCGTCGCTACTTCTGGAGATCGATGAGATGAAGTTCGGTGCAGGTGCAGGCAAGCGATGGGTCGTCCAGCCTTCCTGTTGCGCACACACCTCGCAAGCCACGTGGATTTTTTTTAAAGAGGTAGCCTCCCCCCTTCCGCGCGAGCGCGCGCGCGTCCGCTATTTTCGTCCGCAACCCTCGCGCAGGACCGATTGGATTCAATTACCTCTGGTCACACGGCCTGGGACAGTTTTATTGCGCTTTTGGTTTAAGCATCTACGACGAGATCCGGGACGCAAGACTTGGCCTCGCGACATCCAGTGCCAATGGCAGAGACGGCGAGCGGGGAAGGAGGCAAGGCCACGACATCAGCGCGGACAGAAGCTGCAGCTGCAGTCGACGCAGGGCAGGGAGAGGCGGCGGCGTCGTCGGCGCCCCACGCGCAACAAGCTGGGGCTGCCTTGCCGATGCAGGTGCCGATTCCCGCCTCGATCAAGAGGCTCTCGTCAAGCTACCTGGATCGAGGTGCGTACCATGCTGCTCTAGAATACCTCTTCTTAGCTGGCGTTGAGCTGACATTATCGGACTTGGGCCGCCCACAGAAGCAATGGCCGAGGGAACCCCACCCTTACCGAATGGCGCGCAGCGCTTTCATCCACTCTTTGACGAGCCGAGGCTAGAAGAAGGGCAACGAGAGCAAGCGGCTGGCTCAGGCGAGACACAAAAAGACGGCAAGAAACCTGCGAATGTCTATGTGCCGTCGTTGGATCTGGGCGAGGTCGCAGAGGCGTATCCGAGCCCCTCGGGCAACATCGTTCCGCCCATGCCAGAGGATGACTCGTGGAAGCTGGGGCCACCGCCGCTCAAGGCGCCAGTCGGAGATCCGTCACTGGAGCAGCAGCAGCAGCAGCCTCCGACAGGGGTGAGCAAGATCCATTTCTCAGAGGAAGATGCCTCAGCAACTGACACTGCAGAGCAGCAGAGTGCCGCGTCCAGCACATCGGCTGGAGGCGCAAAGTCACAATCGCCCATCGCCTCTTCTTTCTCCCAACCTAACCGGCTGTCCGGCTCTGGGCCCTCGACCGAGGGCGGGAGCAAGACAGGCTCCACCTCCTCACTGGGTGAGGGGCCCAGCGCAGGCGTGGACTCTGACGTGCGAAGCATCGACTCGCAGGCCATCAGTGCACGCTCGAGCCCGACTAGCTTTGCGCCCCTGCCACGGAGAGCGTCTGCCGCTGTGACGGAGGCGTCGTCTGCAAGCACGCTGACACGGGCAGGTGGCTCGGGGAATCCGCTCCCGCCGCTCAAGGTGCGCGACTTTGCATTCGACGAGACGGACCCTAGGCATGTGGGCGCGAGAGACGTCAGTGCCCCATCGCAGCGGTCCAGCGGGGCAGGAATGGGCATGGGCATGGGAATGAGCATGGCGTACTCGAGCAGCGGAGGGAGCGGGAGCGCAGGAGGCTTCCATCAGGACTGGACGAGCGCCGAGCTCGACGAGGAGAGCGACGAAGACGACGAGCAGGATGATGCGGGGACCGGTGGCCTGCCGCACGGGCTGTATGTCGCCGCATACGACTTTGCGTCCGAGAGCGACCACGAGCTCAGCGTCAGCGTGGGAGAGAAGGTCAGGCTGGTCGGGCACGTCGATGGCGGATGGGCCGTCGTCGTCAAGATTCTCGAATCTCTTTCCTTGGACGAGGAGGGCCAGCCGCGGGCCGGGACAAAGTCGGAGAAGGCAGCAGAGGGCGATCATGGTGATGGGCAAGAGGGCGAGAGGCATGGCGAAAAGGGCCTTGTACCAGAAGGTTATCTTCAGTGGATAGACCATTGATTTCGTTGCGGCAATGGCCAGGGAGCAGGACGTTGCTTGGGCCGAGCCCCCTTCCTGCTGGCTTTTCCTTCCCCATTTGCTGGGGTTGGTTGTACATCAATTGCACGAACTTTTCCCACCCTCTTGTCATCTCTTTCTGGCAAAGAGAGGCTCTCCCTCTCTTCCTCTCCTTTTTCCTCATATATTCTCTCTCTCTCTCTCTCTCTCTCTCTCTCTCTCTCTTCAACTGCTTCACACAAACCCAGTCGCCGCTCATGTATGTTCGTATCTTGGTCTCTTTCTCTCTCTTTCAGAGACAATCTGGTTGCTCCCTCTCCTCTCCTCCCCTCTCCTCGTCACGCCACGTAAAAAATGATAATTGTGCTATTTTTCTGTCCCATTTACCTGCCTGCCGCGAGAAGGGGGCGAAAGATGGTCTTGTCACTCGGAAGGAGCATGTGCTCCTTTTCGCGTTCTCATCATCATTGATGCTGCAGTAAGAACAAAGACGGAGATTATTTTGCAATCGCCGTGCTATTGAATGGCGAGACCAAGGCGTCTAAAAGCATGCGGCAGGAAGCACGATGCGAAGAGGCCAATGGCATGGTAGACAAAGACCTTTGTGAGGACGTCTACATCGTAGTGGCGAATGTCGTCCTCACTCGACGCAGGAGTCTCCTTTTCGTCTTGGCCAGCGGCAGAAGTTGGGATTAGTCCAGCATCAGTGCCATTCGGGGCGTTGTTGTGACCGTGAGCGTGGGAGTTGGGATGATCGGGGAATCTGAACCCAGCATCCTCCTCTCTTTTCTGCCTTAGTCGATCCTCTTCGCTGAGCGCTCCTGCGATGCGCCCACTCAGCGAGTCTCCAGGCAGGTGTGCGTGGGGATGCGTAAAGGGAACAGGCAAGGCAGAGCCGTCTGACATTGTGAATTTGACCTTGGACGGCTGAGGAAAGGCAGCGCCTTCCTGCCTCTTGATCGAATTTGTCCGCGCTCGCGGCCGAGTCTGCGTGGGTTTGGGAGGAGGTGCAGCCTCGTCGGTGGACGAAGTGTAGTGTCGCCGTGGCAAGATGATGCCAAAAGTGCCCTGCAGGAATCGAAAGATGGGCGGGAGAACGATGCGGCAGACGGTCTTGACCACGACGCGCACGGCCAGGATGCAGGCGACACCGACAAGAAGCATGATAGCAACTCGCGCGACGTTGAGGAGCTGTGCAAGCATCGGGCGGCTTTGTGCGCTCTCGCTGAGCGAAGAGAAAGGCTCCCTGATGGCATCCAGAGCTGGCTCGACGAGAGACGACAGAGGGGTTCTGGACGAGACGAGATTGGGAAGCGAAGGCTTCTGGGCGTAGAGACCCCCGTAAAGAGGATTATCATCCCGTGGGAGTAGGCCGTAGCGCACGCCCAGCCACCTGCCTGTCACAATACCCATGACCACGGCGAGAAAGGCGATGGCGTCCTCGAAGCAGGGACAGTCGTCGAGGGGCTGAGGATGGACAATGACCATGGCGAGGCCAGCGGCGTTGACCACAATAGGCACGGCCCATCCCTCGGTCATCATCAGCCGCTCGATGGTTTCAAAGTAGAACCACTGAACCAATGTCACGGCCGCTCCCAAGAGACAGCCCGCGATGCAGTCTGACACTTCGTCAGCTTGGTGATTGTTACTGCAGCCGCAAAATCTAGCTCACCCATGACGCTGTGCATGCCAGCATATATACGCCCGTAGACGACCGAGACGAGATAGTAGGCCAGTCCAACCTCCCAGAGTCGCGAGTTGAGCAAGGGGGAGAATTCCTGTTCACGCAGCGCACTGATCCAGAGGTAGAGGTATAGAGCAATGCTGACCGAATTTGTGGAATGAGTGGACAAGAAGCCGTACTCTGCACCGAAGATGGTCAGCTGCTGGGTCACCACGTCTTCCTAGGCACCCGTGAGGTCTCACCCAGATGCGTCGTGCCTACGACCAAACGTGTCACCGGTGGCGAGTAAGGTCTTGGTATGCACAGTGCATCTTTGAGAGCTGAGGAGAGGTAGACGCCAAATGCAAGCACGTTGACTAGGCCTCTGCCAAAGTAGGCATTTCCCGCCCAGAAGGCCATGGGCAGGAAGATGAGGAAGAACGAGTGGGTACCGAGCAACGAGGTGTAGACAAAGTACCGGTCCAGCCTTGGATTCCGCACCATTGCCTGCAGCGCGGGTCAGCGTGAGTATACCCAACCTTCAGCAGAGAGGGAGTACGCACCTGGTGCTTGGCCAAAAGTGGCGATTCCCACCGCAGGTTGCGCACGAGCACCCGTCGTAATCGCCCCATCAGCGGGCCCAGGTACTCATCGTAGACTTCTTCATCGTAAATACCAATGTCTGTCGTCAGCAAATCGTCGTCTTCGCCATCTTCGTCATCTTCGTCGGCCGTATTCCCATCTCGGACCAGCCAAGCCGGTGGCTCCTGCATCTTTTTGACGTCGCTGTCCGTCGAAGCAAAAGAGCCCTCCTCGGTGCTGTTGTCCCTCGTCGAAAGCCGTCGCATTGGGGTGCTTGCGCCGCTTTTGGAGATGTCGCTGTCATAGTCCCCTGCAGCCCCGCTGCCCTCCTGCGAGTGAAGGCCATTGCTGGTGTCGTGCGATGCCGAGCCTTGGTACGACGGGTTGCGGCTTCCCCGTCTCCTCTTGCCCGACGTGGGAGAGGTGACATCTTCGATCATGGAGACGTGCTTGGGCGCCGGGTGCAACGTTCGAAGTCGGGAGTGTAGCGAGTCTGATGCCTTGGGTCGCAGGCCCAGATGGCTATGTGCGCCCGCGCCCTGCTTGAAGGAGCCCGAGGACGACGAGGGCGAGATCGGCCGTCGAATGGAGGACCCTGCTTCCTCGTTGGTGCTCTTGGCACGCTGCTGCAGTCCGCTTGCATTGCCGGGACCTGTCTGGGCAGCAGTGCTGCTCGCCACATCCCCGTCTCTTTGTTTCGTCGTCATATGTGGTCTGTCGTCTGTCTGTCAGTCGACCTCGTCGCCGCCGTACTAACGCTATTCCCTACTCTAACCTAATTTTGGAAGCACTTCTCGCTCCTCGCTCGCTCCTCGCGTTGGTGTCTCCAAAAAAGCACACCAGCCAGCCACCGTGACCCACGTGTCGCGGATAATTGGAGGGCTTCCTTCCTGACCGGTAACACCGGCGATAGGCATCCGGGGGGTTGGTTGGACAGGGCCTATTTCAGATTTGGCGTCCGCCATCGCTTTCCCCAGCTTTTTTCCTCTCTCTCTTTCTTTCCTCCAACAAAGGAGCCCGGGGTATGCGCTTGAGTCGACCAAGCCTACTCCACTCGCAGCTCCACCGCATCAGACGACGCCCCCTTTCCTTTCCGCCACGACTTGCCGCCACTTTAGGCGCAGCAGCAGACGCGACAATGAGCTCCAACGACGGGAGCGGCAGCAGCAGTGGAGGCAGCCTCTCGCGGCTCGCCCAGCTCGGTCGCCAGCTGTTGCCCATCGCACCCGTATCCACAAAGAGCAGCGGCAGTGGTGACGATGAACAACAAGAGCAGCTGGGCTCGCTCAGCTTTGGGCCTTCGGTGCAGCTGCCGGTGTTCAAGCCAAAGGACCTGAGCCGGTTACCCCAAGACCGGCTGCTGCTTAGCTTGGACGACCCCGTGACCCTCGAGAGCCTCGAGTGGATGGCCAAGAAGTACGCCCTGAACCAAGACATGTTGTGAGTGGCTGAGCGATCGAGCAGAGACCCGAAGCAGATCTGACTGAGACGAGCTCCCTGCTGGTCTCTTCAGCCTCCTTTCTCCCCCCGGTCCGTACGCCCGTCGACTGGCTATGACGTTTGCCGCGCTGCTCCAGCTCCCCATCGAGGTCGTCTCGCTGCACCGCGACATTGGCGAGGCCGAGCTGCTGCAGACGCGCAACCTCGAGGCAGGTGGCAACCTGAGCTACACCGATGGACCCGTCGTTCGCGCCATGAAGCAGGGCGCCATCCTCGTCCTCGAGGGCGTGGAGCGCGCCGAGAGGAATGTGCTGCCGCTCCTCAACAACATTCTCGAGAACCGCGAACAGGATCTGCCAGACGGGACGAGCCTGGTGCCTGCCTCGAGGCTTGCGTCCGTGCAGAAGGAGGAGGCTGCAGCAAAGCGCTCCGCGTCGCGCTTCCAGGCCGTCGACCCCCGCTTCCGCGTTGTCGCACTGGGCCTGCCCACGCCTCCCTACCGTGGCAATCCCCTCGATCCCCCCTTTCGCAGTCGATACCAGGCTCGGTGGGTCGAAGGAGTGGTGCCATCCACGCTGAAGCCTTCAACGACGGCGACATCGGAGCAGGCTGTCCAGCTCAAAGACCGCCTCTTTGAGTGGGCCTCGTTGCTGCGACTGCATGCGACGGCGGCCAGGGGTGCCGATGCCCTGCCCCCCGCCTCGCAGCTGCCCAATGTCCCCGCCACGGCCCTCTCGCTCCTCGACGATGTCGTCTCGCGCTTCCCGCCCGCTGAGCCCCTGGCTTCCCCGCCGGCCTCGCTCAATGACACTGGATCAGAAGAGGCGCAGGCGGCCCTGGCCCTCGCCCAGCAAAAGGCTCCGCGAGACGGTGCGCTCAACGTACCTGAGCGCACCAGGGATCAGATCGCACAGCGGGAGGCCGACCAGCTCAAGCGGGCCCAGGACCAGCGTGCAAAGGAGGCCGACAACGTGTCGCCATCGACGGTCACGCTTCTGGGCGCCGGCTACCCCATGCTGCACACGCTCGACGACCAGAAGTCAAAGCTTGCCAAGGAGCTCCTCTGGAGCACGGGACTGAACAAGGGCGTGGGCGCCGGCCAAAGTCCGGCCGACTCGGGAGCCGGCATGCTCGGCTACATCGTCACGGCAGTCGAGCGAGTCGACGACCGCACGGCCAAGCTCACGTTCAAGCAGGTCGCCAGCGGCACCACCGTCGAGCTCGAAGCGCCGTGTGGACCCTTGCCCTTTGCTCCCCTGCCCGCCACGGCTGGCCGCCAGGATGATGTGCTCGTCACTCCCCGGCTCCTCTCGATGCTCACGGCCATGCTCCAGCTCCACAGCCTTGGTCGCGACATCTGCCTGCTGCCCTCGGCCCTCGCTGCGCCTTCGGACAAGGGAAACGAGGATCCCGATGTGGTCGTCGCCCGGCAGGCCTCTTCGTCGACGTCAACGACGATCGGCCTCTTTGCTGCCGTGCTGGGCTACCGGGTCGAGAACGTGTGGCTGTACAAGGACATTGGCGGCAACGAGCTACTGATGCGTCGCGCTACCAGCGCAGATGGGTCGACGACGTGGGAGCCTGCGCCGCTGATCAAGGGCGCCAACGATGCCCGCCTGGTCCACCTCGCTGGCGTCGATGTCCTGGGACCGACGCTGGGCAGCCTTGCCCGGCTCATGCAGGACCGCGAGGTCGAGCTCTGGGCCGGTCTTCGCGCCACGCTGTCGCGATCGGGCCTCGACAGCGCCAAGAGTGCATTTGCAACCATCGACCCGTGCTTCCGGATCGTCGCCACCGCCGCCGCGGCCAAGCCCGAGTGGCTCAACGAGGAGGCCTCGACGCTCTTTGGCTTCGTCCAGCCCAGCCCCATGTCGCCGCAGGAGGAGCGCGCCGTCATCGAGGCCCATGCTCCTGGCTGCCCCAAGGACATCCTCGACAAGCTGCTGCATTTCGCCCACCGCTACCGCGCCTTGTCTTCCAACACCAACGTGGGCCTGGCCAAGTCTCGCCGGCTTGGGACCAGGGCCCTCGTCAGGATGGCTCGCCGCCTGGCTGTGCTGCCAGCCAGCACCGACATGCGCAGCCTCGTCGCCCGCAATCTTCTCGTCGACTTCCTTCCTCGCACCACGCGAGAGCTCGTCTCGCGCCTCCTCGACGAGTGTGGCTTGCGTCTCCGTGGTTCCGAGGGCGCATTTGAGTTCCAGCCCAAGGAGTTCCTCGCCGACCCCAGGCACGAAAACGGCCAGCTCGTGTTCGAAGACCGCAACATGCCCTCTCAGGAGCCTGTGCGCGTGCCGCTGTACGACGCAGCGAGCAAGGATGCCGAGGGCGGCTCACGCCTCATCCCGAGCATCGGCACCGGCTTCTACAACAACCCGACCCAGTCTGCCTTGCTGCGCGACCTGGCCGTCGACCTGCACGTCGTCGGCGAGCACATCCTCCTCATGGGCAACCAGGGCACGGGCAAGAACAAGGTCGTCGACCGCATCGTCGAGCTCCTCGGCCGACCGCGCGAGTACATGCAGCTCCACAGGGACTCGACGGTGGCCCAGGTGCTCCAGCTCGTCGAGCTCAAGGAAGGAAGGCTGCGCTTCGTCGAGAGCCCCCTTGTGCGTGCCATCCGACTTGGCCGCGTCGTCGTCGTCGATGAGGCCGACAAGTGTTCGGCTGCCGTCACGGCCGTGTTCAAGTCGCTTGCTGAGCGCGGCGAGCTGTCGCTGCCCGACGGCTCCCGCGTCAGGCCGGCCAACGTCGCAGGCGACGATGAGCGCGACGTGGTCGTCCATCCCGACTTCAGGCTTGTCCTCTTGGCCAACCGGCCAGGCTTCCCGTTCCTGGGCAATGCCTTCCTCGAGGTGCTTGGAGAGGGCTTCTCGTGCTACGCCGTGGCGAACCCAGACCTGGAGAGCGAGGTGCGGCTGCTGCTCCAGGCGGCTCCCTCGGTCGACGAGGGCCTCGTGCGCAAGCTCGACCTCGCCTTCCACGACCTCCGCGACGCCTTTGACGCCGGCCTCGTCACCTACCCCTACTCGCTCCGAGAGCTGCTGCACATTGTGCGGCACATGGACAAGTACCCCAACGAGTCGCTCACCGATGTCTTGCTCAACACGCTCACCTTTGACATCCACCGGCCCGAGGCGATCCAGCTCGTGTACCAGACGCTGAAGCGGCGCGGGCTCGACGTCGATGGGCTCACGCTCGCGGCGATTCGCGAGCGCATGGAGGAGAAAAAGGGCGACAAGGGCGGGCCCCGCATCGAGTGGGACCCCAAGAAGCTCGGCATGGACACGTCGCTCGATAAGCCAAAGCAGGGCAAGACGGACCCGGAGAACAAGCCCCACCAGGGCGGCAACACCTGGAAGGGCGGCACGGGCGGGCGCGACACGGCTGGCCTGGGCGGCATCGGGGGCTACGAGCGCTTCAATGCGGGCCACGAGGTCAAGCAGGTCCCCGACAGCCTCAAGAAGGAGGTGCCGGAGCACATCAAGAAGCAGGCCCGCGAGATGGCCCAGCGCGCCCTCGCCGAGAAGCTCGCCGACGAAGGCATGACGGCCCACGAGGGCGCCACGTACCACAAGTACAAGCGCGAGCTCGAGGCCCAGATCCAGCACCTCGTCAATGTCCTCAACGACTTGCAGGCACAGGCAAAGGAGCGCACATGGCTCACGCGCCAGCAGGAGGGCGAGCTCGACGAGCGGCGCCTCACCAATGCCCTCACGGGCGAGAGGGCCGTCTTCAAGAGGCGCCAGGAGGCACCCCCGGAAGTCGGTGCTCCCCAAACAAAGCCCAAGCGCATCAGGTTCCTTGTTGATCTTTCCGGTGAGTTGAGAGCAAATGCTTGCTTGCTTGCTTGCTATTTGCTCACCCTCGCTCGTTCTCTCTAGCATCCATGATGAGCATGGCTTACGATGGCCGCATGGAGCGAGAGATCAAGACCATGCTGATGATCATGGAGGCATTCAGCCATGTCAGCAAGGACAAGTTCCTCTACGACATTGTCGGCCACCACGGTGAGAGCGCACACGTGCACCTCACCACCACCGACAAGCCGCCCGAGACGATTGGGAAGCGGTGGAAAGTACTGCGGGACAGCGACGCCACGATGTCGTTTGTCATGTCGGGCGACTCGACCCTGGAGTCGATTGCCTGGGCCTGCAAGGACATTACCAAGCACGAGGCAGACGACTACTTTGTCATTGCGCTCTCGGATGCCAACCTGCCGCGGTACGGCATCACGATTGCCGCGCTGGAAAAGGCCATGTCGACGAGCGACAAGGTCAAGTGCGCACTTATTTGCCTCGATCGTGGCGAGGACGGCAAGGAGCTGGCTCGCCGGATGCCGGGTAAAGCATACCAGGTCTCTGAGATGAAGGCGTTGCCCCAGGTGCTGAACAGCGTCCTGACTACCATGATCGATTAGAGACTCCCAGATACAGGCCACGCCGGCCCCTTCCTGTACCTAGACAGTGCCAAGCGGAATTCATTACATTGCGGACGCGGCCTAGATAGTGCCGAGCGAGAAATGCTACACTGCAGACGCCCGAAAGGAGATCGAACAGCGCTGGCATTGCTGTGTGTGGCGGGACGAGAAGAAGGCCGATATCGCTGTCAACCTCTCTCGAGGGTATCGGAGCCTAGAGAGCCACTAGTGATAGTTGAGCGCGTCTCTCGGCTCCGAACGGCTTCTTGTCAAGTGGCCGACGAAGTAACTTTACACCGTGCTCTTATCTCTCTGCAATCTGACCTTTCAGAGATCGAGCAGCTGTCTAGCAAATCTCACGACGAGAAATCCGTCTCGATCGGGGAAAAGATGGCGCGCACCTCTCTCTGCATCCTTTGCATGCCTATTTTCCCATTTTTTTTTCTTCTCATTTTTCCCGTTCCTGGGAATGCGCCCACGATTATCCGATTGCAGCCTCTGTTTACACAGCACGTACAGAGAGAGAATCGAGAGGGCGAGAGTTGTGCGTGAGAGGTGTGGCTGCGTCGACCGACGGCTTGACTACCTCCGCCCACGACCCCACACTTCTCTCGGCAGGCAGAACACTCGAAAGTGCTCCACCAAACTTGGAATCTTACATGAGGTTACTCCTTCTTTACTCGAACTCGAACTTGAAGGGAAGAGGGAAGAGGTGGGTAGGAAAGGCCCAGGAAATTACTAGGGAAAAAAGAAAGCAGGATAAAAGTTTTCAAGAGGTAAAGCGAGCAGATGACATGAGATGCAAAGAGTGAAAAGTTGGCGAAAGAGTCAAGAGGTGAGGTGTGAAGACCATTGCACACACAGTGTTTCCTCGGCAAGGGGAGGAAGTCCGCACAAACAGAACGGGTAAAGAGCTCTCTCTGGTCGATGTACTTAATCCCGCCCCGGCACTTCCACAGAACATAAGCTGATGCATCAGGATGCTACTGATGTCAGCTTGTCTGCTGTTCACTGTCCAATTCTGAAATTCCTGGACTTCCCATGAAGTGTGCGACCCACAAACGAAGCCAGACACAGGGCTCAACGCCTCAGGGCGTCCATAACTCCTACCAATGTTGACCTGTTTTGTCCATTATTCGCGTTGCCGACACGCAGCCGACGAGAAGGAGCCAGTCGGTCTGATTGCTCGGATTTTTTTCTCGTCTTCTTTTCCGGGGCAAATGACACTTCTCTGTTGCCTACATCGAATTGGCCCATCGGTGCCATTCTTCTTGTTTATTTACCTTTTGAATGGAGAGTGCAGCCGAACGAAGCGCGCGCAGAGACTCAAAAGGAAGCGAGGGATCGAGGCGTACATCTCTCCTTTCCCCCACTCACGTACCTCCTAGCGCTTTCAGAAGTTCGTGTGCTCGCACATATGAAGCTCTTGTTCTCGTCGCTCCTGCGTCTCTCGACTCTCTCCGCAGTCGTGTGCGCTCTTCTACCGACGCTCACCATTTCGGTTTTAACGTCCAGGCGTCCTGGCCTGTCAGCCAAACCAAGTACTGGCTTGTCGCTTTCTAAGCACCCTACCTTTCCTCCAAGTGTTCACAGCGCTACGAAATCGTCTCTTCACCACAACATTAGCGCTCTTGACCACGATCTGGGCCAAAGCCGCGATTGCTCCCACAAAATGAGGTGGGCTCTAAAGAGCAAAGCTCCTGATACGGTTTCGGAACACAAGCTCGAGCACTGTGAAGACGCTTCACCATCATCTAAGAATTGGAAGTCAGTCTTCGGCTTCCCGCCACGCTTTGAAGACACGCATATTGCTATACGAGGGCGCAACGAGAGATCGTGGATTCCAAGAGAGGGCGAAAGTGTCCGAAAATTTGTCAATCGTTGCAACCAACAGATCGATACTCTCTTCGACGGCAACTACTTGACCAAAGATGGAGCCAATGCGCTGACGAATAGCATCACAACTTACTACGATAACGCTGAGAAAGGCCGTGACAACAAGGAGCTCCTAGAAGAGATTAAGGGCATTGTTAAACACTATGTCAGAGAATATCCTGACATCACGCAGTGAGTGTCTTCCGTAGACATGGCATCTGAAGCTGAGTATCGAAGCTGACAAACGCACGACTTCATCACCGTCGCTGTTTAAATCTAAAAGCTCACGTCGCATACACGAATATAGGCTTGACGAGGATTCCACCAGATCAAGAAGAGAGATTATGAGGAGCGGTGGAATTATTCGCTACGATGCCAACGGGAAGCGGGTTACAGAAACTTTTCACAATCTTTCAGACGCTTTGAAGGTGATTACGATGCAATTGGAAGAAGGCAAGCCCGGTACAAATATCTTCGTCCAGCCTTCTGAACCTACCGAAACGAATGTCATGGACGCAAAGCGTGAACTCTCTGATGCTCTGGAAGGACGACCTTGCTTGGTTTTCGAAGATGGGTATTTTCATGAAAAGTTCGTCACCGTGACACGTAACGACTACAACGACTACGAGAAAAAGCCTCTGGGATTGCTGGACGCCAAAGGGTGAACTAGTTTTGCTGAATCTTTTGTCGATGAATACTTCTCATCCAATTGTGTTCTCGGTAATGCTGTCTTTGACCGTACCAATTGTCACTGTTGAGATCGCGGTGTGACTTTGACGTCTTTGTCTTCAAGCCATTTCTGGCTCTCTTCCTCGCGCCACTTCTTCAACACCACGCTCGAGCGGCGCCTAAAAGGTGTGCACCAGGGATGTGGTGTTAAGCAGAAGAGTAAATCTGGCCGCAACGAGAAAGACGGTACTGAGTGAGCAAGTACTTGTGGAAACAAGGGCGGGGTAGCTACGGAAGCTTCACGCGAAAATCAAACCACCAGTGATGGCTTGCCTTCAATGAGGCTGTGCCTGGCGGCCACCTCATGCTTTCGCAGTCATCACAGTGACCGTCGCTCCTACTCGGCCGAGATACGCACAAAGTCGACGCGCTTGATCTTCCTGGTGTACGCTGTCGTGCAAATCGCCGAGAGGTAAACAGTACCTCCACCGCGGTTTCCCTCTGCGTCTGACCCTGGGCTTCTGTATTCCGACAGACTTGGACGTCGCTTTTCCAGCACAGGTTGCAACAGCGCGGGAGGAATGATCATTCTCTTCCCTCTCTGTAATCATTCTGAACTGAGCCACCGTAAATCAATCTGCTCTAAATTTGTCCAAAGTAATATCACGTCTCTCGCTAACCACTGGTGAAGAGATGGGAGAGGGTGCCGTCTGATTGTCAAGAATCTACAGTAATTTCGGACTCCTCCAGCGCCAAGAAAGTTGCCCGCGCTGCCGCAGTCCCCAGAACGAGGCCGCTGTGATATCGTGTAATGCTTACGATGCTTTAATTTGACCTCCGCTCGCGGAGATCTGATTGCGCCGTTCCTTGAAAAGGAAGATTGGTGTAGGACCCCCCAAAACAGCAACGATGAATCAGCAACGATGTGTTCGCAGTAGTCATCACTGTTTCTTCCCACCACCACACGAACATGGATGGTCAGCTCGGAAAGTTTGCAGAGGTCGCGAGTCAGAAGCAAGAGGTATTGGATGCGCTCTCTGTGAGCACGTCGCGGACCCTTATTGTTCAGGTCAGGCCTCGGACCGGTCCTTCCTCCACTCCTCCGCGTACGAACGCCGCTCTTAAGAAACTGACTAAGTTCGAGTCTCTCTTGGCAGGCCTTCTTTGCAATGGCGGTGGGCAACATTTTGGTTTGTGGGGGACTCTTGTGCTCTTTCCGTGAACTTTGAAGACTGACACTGGACTGACGCACATGCTAGTGGGACTACTTCTACTACGCAAGCCGCGAGCGTCAGCGATGGTGGAGACTTCTGGTGAATTGGGCGATCTTATAGCTCTTGGACAGCAGGCGTTTGACACGAGGAGCACCAATGACCGACACAGGATGGCAATATCTCTGTCGACAAGATCTCTATTATCGTCATCCGCTACTCGCTTCTTGCTATCGTCATCTTTGGACTTCTTTTCTATGTCTTCCAAAGCCACGGCCGATGCTTGTCGCTTTTTCGTGCGTATTATAGCTTCTACGTCATCGTCTGGCTCGGTTGTAACGCCGTGAGTGGTGCGGTACAAATATGCTGTTCTATGCTGATTCAGTCACTCACACAAACTCACAAAAGATCTTCATCCAGAGGTTTGGCAAGCTCGAGATTGACTCCAAATTTGGCCAAAGAATCTTTATTGGAGCCGCACTTGTGGGTCTGACCTACTGCTGTGGGCTACGTAGCTGACGTCGTTTCGAAAATGTACAGTTCGGCCTTTTATTATGGGTGCGTTTTGCTCGATTTCTCGGTGGTCATTGCTGAGCCTGACCTTTCGAGCACAATTCAGGGTGTCACGATCCGGTCACTCGATTCTGCAGATCTCCCGCCGTGGCAATCGAGCGTCCAAGGTAGTCACTGCCTTTTGAAACACCTTCCTCAGGAGACGGCGTTGGGCTGGCTATCATCTTTGGTCATCAATGTTCTCCAGCTGTTTGGTACCCTGGGTGTCTACCGCAAGCATCAGCGCTGCCAGTACAGACTCAAGTACGAGCGTCGTCACGGAATGACAGGAAGCGATACATCAGACCGGAATGTCGAGACGGGGAGCGGGCGAGAGCAGATTTCGGTCTTGCGCAACCAGGCATCCATGATGCGGCTGGGTTCCTTGCGCGAGACTATGTTCGCCGCCAATTTCGTCTACATCAGCGCAGTGTTTATCGTTAATGCTGTGGCCCTCATTGCGACACTGGGAATCTCCGATCCGGCCCTGTCGCATTGCGTCCCTTGCCTGGCGTTCTCTTTGCATGGGACCTGCATTACGCGGCTGATTTTGGATCCAGACGAAAGCACGACATTGGTCTCCTTGAGGGGCAGAGATCAATTCAAGGCAGTCGAGCGACTTGTGGCGGAATCGGAACATCGAGATTCGGGCCTTGCAGACAGGAGAGCCAAGATTGGAAGCTCGCCGCTGCGCCGCTTCTCCAGAGATCTCCTTACCAATCAAGCAGAGAGAAGGATGCGTGACGCTTGTTCTAGTCTTCCTCACTTCGAGATCGTCAATCCGTCGCCTTTCAACGTTACACCTCTGACGCCTTGCCATGCTCCGGACACGGTGCATCCCGCCCGTGGGAGCTAAACGACTGGTGCTTAGGATTCCAGCTCCTTCTATCACCTTCATGTGCTGCGATACATTTGCTTCTTGATGAACCAGCACCTTTCCTCGTAGATCCCTTGTCGAGACGAATCTCTGATCGGGTGCAGTTTGCGCTCGAGCTGCAATATCACCAGCGCGAACGTTTCCACCTCAGTCTCTTGTGAATGTCATTGATTAAAGAGTCTGGCTGCGTTCGGCAAAGAAGATGTGAGGTAGAAGAGGAGCTCTATAATTATGGTACTCTATCTGGTAAGGAAATAAAACGCGAAAGGTGTTGCTTATTCTGCCTTCTTGCTTCTCTTCGTCCGGAGTTTCAGGAAGAGGTAGACAAGGCCGTAAGATGAAAAGCAGAAAAGGACGACGATGGCATTGTCGCGCCAGCCGTAGTAGTAGTGCTTGATGTTGACCGTCTTGAGATAGTCGCTCCCCATCGTGTACTGGCACACCTTGCAGCTTTCCACTGCGTCTGGATTGACCAAGTTGGCACCTGGGCTGTTCTGGAGGTACGAGGTGAGGTATGCAGCGCAGGTTTGCCCAGAAGGGGGGTTGAAGAGGGCAAATTCGCCTGGCTTGCAGTTGACGGGCTTATCCCAGAGCGCAAACGTCAGAAGAGCGCCGATGAGGTAGTTGAAGGGATTGATCCAGTAGATCCAATAGCGCCAAAACTCCTGAATCTGGCTGTAGGGCACCAAGACACCACAGAAGCAGACGAGCATGCCAATGACGAGCGGGTTGACGAGTGTCGCAAAGACGGCGTTGGGGGCGTAGGCGGCAATAAATTGTCCCATGCCAGTGCTGTAACAAGTTGTCAGTTTCAAGTCAGTCGATGAGTAAGACGTTATAGAAACTTACTAGAGGAATTCGTAGAAGATCATGCAGAAGAGCGTCGACCCGGCATACTTAGCTGCACCATCGAAGCCGACGGTAAAATACCAGCAGCAAAAGTAGACGATGGCGCACAAAACGAGGTACGGCAGTTCCGACACGATAAGACCAGTGACGAAGGGGGCCCAGTGGTACATCTTCGACTTCTTCTCGCGAGTCTCGAAGATGTCTCTCCGATCGATGAAGAGCGGCTGAAGCTGTGCAATGACGCCCGGAGCAACAAAGATGAAGTTGAAGATGGAGAAGAGCTTTAGCTGGAGTTCCGACACGCCGTCGCCAATCTTCCAAAAGGTGAAGCCGTTGAAAAGGGCGCAGATAATGTGGAGTGTGAACTTGCTGTTGATGTAGTCGGTGTCGCGGAACAAGGCCATGTTCATTCGCTTCGTCACGATGCGCGTCTGTTCCCACAACGATGTGGCAAATTCGCGTCCATCTTCCTTGTACCCAGGAGGCTTGTTGGCGGCCGTCTCGATCATCATATCAAGTTGCTTGACGACTTTTGCATGCTCTTCCGACGCGAGCCAAACCTCGTTCCAGTCCTTGTTTTGGGACATCGTTCCTGAAACAACGTCGATCATGTGCTCAGCTGGGTTGCAGTCTTCAGGGCAAGGCGCTCCCCGTTTGCCGAAGTATTCTTTGATCGTTTTTGCATCTTCTCCGATATCGCCAAAGTAGACAGTTTTACCGCCCTTGGCGAGCAGCAACAATGAGTCGAACTGAGCAAAGAGCTGGGCCGAAGGCTGGTGAATCGTGACGAGAACAGCCTGACCGACATCGGCGAGCTTGCGAAGAAAACGGACAGTGTTGTACGCCGCTTGTCCATCGAGTCCCGAAGTGGGCTCGTCGAGGAAGATGATAATGCTAGGTTTCGACACGAGTTCGACGCCAATTGTAACGCGCTTTCGCTGCTCGACAGTCAAACCGGCACCGATTTTGCCGATCAGGGTATGTTCGAGGTCGTGGAGCTCGAGGAGATCGATGATCGTGTCGACGTAAGCTAGCTTCTCCTCCCTGGGCACCTCTCTTGGCTGACGAAGCAGAGCAGAAAATTCGAGAGCCTCTCTGACGGTGGCGAAGGATTCGTGAACATCAAGTTGCTCGCAGTATCCGGCTGATCGCTGGAACGAAACAGAGAGAGGGCGACCGTCGACGAGGATTGAGCCGTGAATAGTGCCGTCGGTCTTTCGCTGAGCGAGAACATCGAGAAGCGTGGTCTTGCCGGCACCCGAAGTACCCATCAGTGCTGCCAACACGCCCGGCTTGACCCAGCCTTGGACGTTGTCGAGTAGCGTACGCTCGCCTGACTGCGTCTTGACTGTATAGGTGAGATTCTTCCAGGTGAAGATCGACGTGTTTCGGACCAGGTCTGCGCCGTTTCTCGTCTTGCTGTCCCCATTGACAGCGACATTGCGGCCGGAGGACTTCTCTTGGGTCGACGTTGGAACGCCCTCGATGTCGATAGGCTTGCGCTGGAGCGTCGAGCGTCCGTGGAACGAGAAGATTGCTGCCACCCTGGCCCTGCTGCCGCCAGCGACATGTGAAGAAGAAGGTTGCGGCAATGTAAAAGAGCCACCAAGCCCAGATGATGCCAAAGTTGCGCCAGACGCGTGAGTCGTTGTAAGACAGCGAGCCGAGGTACTGTTCGCCCGTCACGAAATCTGCACCTTGGACCGCACCGCTGATGCCGGCACAAGAGCGGTTGGGCCAGTCACCCGGTCCGTTGGGGATCACATTGGGTCCGACGCAGGAGATCGTCGCATGCCGGAATTTCGTACCCATGAGAGACTCGAATGCGTATGCCAATGGGTTGATCCAGTAGATCCAGACGAACCAAGGGTGCATGTCGGGTTTGTGGATCATGTAGCCGGCGTACATGACGGAGGCGTTGATCAAGCCGCCGCTGACCTTGCTAGCAGAGTCGAAGGTGGGAAATGCGGCGCCACAAGCCCTGAACATGGCAGTCATGCACATCGTGGTGGCAAAAAGGACGGCCCAGAAAGTGAAGAAAGCGTCGGCAGTGTTCTTGAGCCCTGCCATAAAGTAGAGGATGATCCCAAAGTGTGTGATTTGAAAGAGGAGGACGGGGATGTCGGCCACAATCTGGGCGATGCAAAAGGCGGCGGGATGATTGAGGCTGAAAGCGCGATGTTTCGCCATGACAGGCCTGCCAGTGAACGAGTCGGTGACCTCACTCATGGCCATAAGCGAGTTGTAGAGGACGCCAAAGAAGAGAGCGCCACCCTTGAGAAACAGACCAGACGAGTTATCGGGTGCGTTGTAAAAGAGAGAGCCACAGACGAGCGCTTGGACGAGGGCACAGACTTGCTTGATGATGAAGGTGGCTTTGTCGCCCCACATGATTTGGTACTGGCGTACGATGCAATTAAGCACCTGGGCCGTGAAAGAAGTAGTAAGGGTCGACTTCTTGGGCAGGAAGCGTGCTTTCTCGCCTGCAACGATGGCTTGAAACTCAGCCGTGTTTTCCTTGGCTTCCTTAGAAGAAGGATAGTCGTACTCCGCCTCCAGAGTGCTTCTGATGGGGCTGCCTTGATAGGCTTCCCGAATGTCTGTGTTGGTCCGAGGAAAGGTCGACTCGTAGCCCTCGAGAATCTTGCGTTCGGTCGGCACGCAGACACCAGTAAGAAAATCGCCCTTGTTGGCAGCTGGATCGCAGTAGAAGCCAAGCTCGTTCATGAACGGTACGGCCTCTTGTCTAGGTCCATAGTAGAGCTGCTTTCCCTCGTCGAGTATCAGCACTTTATCGAAGAGGTCGTAGATGCCGTTGCCGGCCTGGTACAGCGTCACAATCGTCGTGAGCCCCAGGACATCGGTCATCGCCCGCATCGCTTTGGTCCACTCGAGAGCTGTACTGGCATCTAGGCCTCTCGTGGAGTTGTCCCAGCAAAAGACGCTTCCTCTAGTGGCCATGCACTCGACGATGGAAACGCGCTTTCTCTCGCCACCTGAGACGCCGCGCACGAATTCGTTGCCGACCATGGTGTCCTTTGTGTGTGAGATACCCATCGACTTGAGGAGGAAATCGCGACAGACCCTGGCCGCCTCTTCAGGGCTGTTGGCGCCCTTGGGCAGATGGAGAGGCACCTTCATGCGGGTGGCGAAGTCCATTGTCTGGCCTACGGTCAACGTCGGGAAGAAGATCTCTTCTTCTGTGTTCATGATGATCTGGCCTTGGTAGCGCTTGGCTTCCTTCGAGCTCATGTTGCCGTACTTGACATCGCCGGAGACGTGGCCATAGCCTTCTCGATGGTTGGACAGCATGCGGAGCAAGCTCGTGCAACCAGCGCCCGGCCGACCGAGAACGAGAAGCATCTCGCCTGGCTTGACGCATCCATGGACATTATCGAGGATAACCTGCTGCTGTCCTGATTGACCTGGCCTGCTGAAGCGTGGCACAAACTGCGACAAAACCGTCTCTTGGTAGGTGACACCCATCTGTGATGCCTTGACGGTGAGGTTGTTGAAAGTGACGCCAAGCTTGCGCACCATAGTGGCGCTGTCCGCGTACTTTGCCTGCAGGTCGATCAAGTCGTCGGTCATGGACCACCTCTTGCCTTTTTCTGGACGTCGAAGTCAGCTCGCCGTCCGGAAGCGTCTCGCTCGATGCTGCGATCATCACTCACCAGCACTGCCATCTTTCGTACGAACACTGTCTGCTTCGTCCAGGGCAGCCTCGCTGACTTGAATCTGTATTTCATCGATCGTCTGATCATCGCCGCTGTGCCTCCGCTGGCGGGTATGATCGCTCCTCATCGACCTGGTCCTGGTGAGGGACTGAAGCAGCTGACCGCCCGAGTAGGCTGGGATCGACTGCGCGAGCGAAGAGGTGTCGCGATGGCCCGACATGGCTTCAGCTGACTGCCGTTAGACTTGTCGTCTCTATTGTGTCGAGAAGGCCTTATGAGTCTGGTTGCACTCGGTGGTGGCAGTGGGAGGGCAGAGAGATGAAGAGGAGACAATGATTCCGTCAGATGATGATAGCTGAATCCCAGCCTTTTTATGCCTTTCCACCTGTCCACCACTGTCAAGGACTTGCTACCTCGCACATCTCGGACCGCATCACCCGGGAGCTCCGCACCACATCAGACCCGCCCAGCGAGGGCTTAGAAGATAGCGACGGGAGTGTCACTCTCGAGAACCAACGCTATGGAAGCGCCACACCGTGCACCGGTGCTCTTTTCTTTCTTTCCTTTTCTCGGCGTCGACTGACCGAATAATATTGCTAGCTTTGTTTAGCAAAAAGTACCTCTCAATGTTCAGCAGGTAGTAAGTAGTTCATCCGGCCCGAAGATTGGCTTGCCGTCGCGACACGTAAAAAAATTAGCCTACAGCTGACATTTATTGCGGATGTCAAGAGCCGCTACACTAAACGCACACCGAGGCGCCTTTTCACGGAAATCGGGTGACGGGACTGGTTTTACATCACCATGGCACATCCCCTCATTTTTTTTCGTCAATCTATGCAATCTATGACGAGCTCCCTTATCAAGTGCTTGCCGCCTTCCGTGGGTTCAGATTTTCCGTCAGGCCAAATCTGTTTTTCCGTCTAAAGATCCGTATTAGTGGCACTGACAAGCCGACCTGTCATCGGATTTCTTCGAAAAAGCGCATGTCAGTCTCAGAGGCAAGCCGGGACGAGAAGATCATGTCCAGAAAGGCAGCAGGTAGTCTTTCAGATTGCCAGGCGTCGAAAAGTCAGAAGAATTTCAAAAGAGGAACTCGAGTGATCACACCCAGTGCGTATAGTGTTGCAATGCGCTGCATTGATTGCATCTAAAAGGAAGCCAGCTTGGCCTTGATGTATGCGACGAGGTCGTCCACCTTTACAGTCTCGCCCTTACCCTGGCCTTCCTCCGACTCTCGTCCCTTTTGTTCCTTGACGACGACGCTTCCCTGCTTCCATTCGTCAGGTGCAATCATGACGGCCAATGGTGTCTGGGCCTTTTCAATGGCCGTCCATTGCGGTGCAGGCTTGGGCTTGCCTTTGTAGAGGAACTCCGTCTTGACGCCTGCGTCCCACAGCATCTTGGCCACCTTCATCCGCTCCTTGAGCTGACCGTCGCCACCCATGCTCATGATGAAGACGTCGACATCCTTTGCTCGAACGTCTGACTTGATGCCCTTCTCCTCCTGCTCGCGGAGCCGGGCCATCATGATGGCAAAGACGCGCTCCACACCAACGCTGACGCCCACACATGGCACCGCATCGGGCTTTTTGGAGTTCGAGAACATGCCGACCAGGTTGTCGTAACGACCTCCTGCTGCAATGGATCCCACGCCCACCTTTGACTCGTCAAAGGCATCGTCGCCGTCCTTGGCCGCTTTGTCCTTCTTTGCCGACTTTGACGGCGCCGTCGTCGCGGGGGCCGTGGCCGCCTCGGTGGCGCTGCTTCCAGCGACGAAGCTCGGCGGGGCCGAGGCAGACGTGACGGCCTCGTAGATGATGCCTGTGTAGTAGTCGAGGCCTCGAGCCAGGCTCAGGTCAAACGACATCTTGTCGCTTACACCATAGATGTCGAGGTAATCGTACAGCAGCGCCATGTCGTTTAGCCCCTCGACAGCCTTCTTGTGTCCTTTAAGACCCTCATCGGCCTGGAGCGCTTCGACGAGCTCCCTCCCACCTTTTCGTGAGACGTAGGTACCAATCTTGTCGGCCACGCCGCCGTCAAGACCCTTGTCCTCGGTCATCTCCCTTCGCACCTCCTCCCACGGGCTCTTGTCCAGCTTGTCAACTGCGCTCGAGATGGCCCTCGTCTTGTCCGAAGGCACTCCACAGACGTCAAAGATGCCGTCGAGAATCTTGCGGTGGTTGAGCTTGATAGTGAATCCCTCAAGGCCCAGGGCATCGAGTGTCTCGACGACAATCAGCAGGATCTCGGCATCGGGCAGCATGGGATCATAAACGCCGGCGATGTCAAAGTCGCACTGGTAGAATTCTCGGAAGCGGCCCTTGCTCATTGCCGGCTGATCTCTTCGGTAGACCTTTGCAACATGGTACCTCTTGATGTTTCCGTACTCTGCCGAATTCATGGCCACGAAGCGAGCGAACGGGACCTGTGTTGAGGGCGGATTAGCACTCTCATCTTTCTGAAAGTTGGCACGCACACACGATGAGGACGACAACTCACGGTCAGGTCATATCGCAGGCTGCAGAGCTCGCCGCCCTGGTCTTGCAAGTCGTAGATGAGCTTGCTGTCCTCGCCGTACTTTCCCGACAGGATCTCCTTGAGCTCAAAGACGGGCGTGTCGATGGTGACAGCACCGTGCTTCTTGAACACTGTCGTGATGGTGTCGAAGATCTTTGTGCGGAGCGACATGGACAGGGGCTCCCAGTCCCGGGTTCCCTTGGGCGTCTTGAGCGTGTACTTGCTCGAAGAGGCCGCCGCCGAAGAGCCTCCTCCTTCTCCTCCCTGCTTCCCCGCCTTGCCTCCACTGCCATTTGCAGAGGCGGGGCCGAGGCCGAGTGACGCCATCTTCTCCTTGAGCGCCTTGAGCTCTGTCACGTTGGCGGCAATCTCGTCGGCGGGGGCCTTGTCTGCCTTGAGCTGGCGCACCTTGTTGCCGAGTGCATCGTGCTGGGCCTGCAGTGCCGTAGCGTCACTTGCAGACATCGTTGAGCAGTAGCGGGGGATTGAAGTGAGTCGAGGCGGGCAGACAATGAATGGCGATCGAGGAAGACTACGGACGATGACTCTTCTCATCCGAGGATCGTCTTGGATGACTCAAGAGATTCGCGACGAAGACCACTCGCTCGCTCTTCTAGAGTCTCGCTTTCGGATTTTTTCTTTCTCTCTCCTCGTTGCGCGCCCTCCAACACACGTGAGCATTCTCGCCGACCCGAAGTAACAGGCCCCATTTCCATTCCTCTCGATCGGTGCGTAGAGAGGCAGGGCAGCAGCGGGACACAACGACGATGCAGCAATCCTACTGGGACCTGGACTCGATCCTGGCCGACAGCACACGCCTCCCTTGCCACCTCCAGCTCGACGTGCCCGGGCTAGGCCACCTCCAGGGCGAGTCGGGCGGCGATGAGCAGGGCCGGCTGAGGAAAAACACGCGCGTCGAGCTGCCGTACTGGCTCGCCGAGCTCCTCTCGCTCCACGATGTCGTCCAGCTCAGCTTCCCACGCCAGTACAGCGCCCGAGTCAGGAATGCCCTGGATGCGGACCCGCGGAGCGTCAGGCTCAGGGAGCTCAACGGGTGGTGGTACGCCGTGGGCGCCCGCCTCGTCAGTCTGTGAGTAGCGGATCGCTGTACTCTCTCTCCGTGCATCGCGACCCTAGATCTCCAGATTCTGAATCAACCATTGCCTCACCTCTTCGATACAGGATGGAGTCACCACAACTAGCAGACACTCTCGCAAAAGTGAGCATGACAACCCAAACCCTTGCACTTCGCTCGATCTCGACTAATCACTCCTTTTCTCAGACATACACATCACGCCTTACACCGATCTACTCTGCCGCGCAGCACCTCTCCAGCACCTCGCGCTCCGAGGACGATGGCGGTCTTGGCTCAGCTAACGGTGTCTCTACGCACGCTTTGGAGTTGGCAGGCGAGGGTGGACTTGAGTCGAGCACGGGCATGAGCCCAGAGATGATCGACTTCGTCAATGGCCTCGAAGAGGATGAGCGGTCATGTGAGTCGCGCTACAACTTGTTCATCTGCTGCTGCACAATCAGCTGATATGCGACTGGTTCGTTCTGTGACAGTGCTCAGAGTGGGCCAGCAGGCGGCAAAGACGACTCAGGTCTATCTCGCCAGTCGATGATTTCACGCCGCCGAACGAATCTACCTCTGCCTCCCATCTGTACAACAGCAAATCATCTCCACGCATTTCCACACAATTGTATTTGCATTGCCTCCTTTCCCTGCTCGTCCAGTCTACAGCTCAGGCGTAGTTCTCGGCCGGGTAGTAAGCGTTGGGATCGTGGGGCACAGCGCCGGGCATCTTCTTGAGGATGTGCTGGGGCCCCTTGAACGGTGGCGTAGGGGGAAGGTTGCTCTGCGTGTAGTGGACCGATGCCGCGGCGTTCTGGGGCGAGTGGACCTGCGCGAGGACGTCGGTAAAGGCCGAGGGGCTGTTGAGGTCCGCAGGTCGGGTCAGGGCCGTCATGTGGCCGTCTGCCTCTCCTTCGCCCGGAGGAGCAAGACTATAGAGGGAAAAAATTCGATGAGCCTCTTCTACGAAGAGCAGAAGCAAAGCAAGGCAATATACTCACGTCTTTGTGCCGTCCTCGTTTGGTTGTGCCAGGAGAAGCTGAGTGAGCTGCTGTTGCGTCACCATCTCTAGTTGCGGGTACTTTCTTCGGAAGTCTCGGTTGTAGTACAGGTTTCCCGCGACATCTGAAAGCCAAGATGACACTTGTCAGTGCATCCTGGCACGATATCTAGAGGGCATGAAGACTTACCGGAAGCTCGCGAGGGCGTCGTCGAGGCTTGCTCGGGACGCGATCCGGGCGTCGGGTTGCGGTTCTTGGTAGGATCAGGAAGACCAGACGAGATTCCCCTATGACGCCAGGACGTCAGCACCTTATTCAACTTCCGCTCCTCAATAGCACTTACGGATTCACGCTGAAGATCTCGCGGAACTGCGAGCCAATTTGGAATATCAGCTGCGAAGTTCAGCGCCAAAGGAGGAGACGTTGAAAACCTACCTTTCGCCAAAAAGGTGTGCGGCCCTCGACATAGGTGTACTTGTGAGGCGAGGCGTACCTGTGCAATTGTCAGACACCAGCGTCCCACATTTCGGACAGCAGAGGACCAAACTCACTTAACCTCGTTGAGGAGGGTGCGAGAGGCGCGCATAGCCATCGTTGGTGAATGTCGATGTGAACGAAAGAGAAGGTTGCGAACCAATGGCGACGGAGCCATTACGCGCCACGTGCGGAATTTTTTGAGCCATTTGAGAAGAGCGCCCATTGTGACGCTCGGACCTCGTTGCTTGCTTGTTCGCTCGGGCATGCTCCTTCGCCTGTCGCCTAAATCTTTGCTCCATAGTTGGCCAAAGGCGAGCTCTTTTCGCAGCATGGCCTCAGCAACCGCCCTTCCAGCGAAGGGAGGGCCTCAGATCCACCAGTCGCTCGACAAGGTCACGGCGCTGCTAAAGCGGCTTAATGATCCTCAGAACACGTTCCCCGTCATCCATGTGGCCGGCACCAATGCAAAGGGAAGCACGATTGCTTACCTCGACTCCGTTGCAAGACATGCTGTCGGACTCAGAACAGGAACCTTTACCAGCCCGCATCTCATCGAGGAGAGAGACTGCTGCCGTATCAATGGCCAGGTTGTCGATAGTGCCGTGTGGCAAGAGGCCGGAGAGCGGGTAGCGCAGGCCGATCAAGGAGCAGGACCTGCTCATCAAGGTAGCATCGGGGCATCTCCATTCGAGGTGCTCGTTGCTCGGGCTCTCCTCAGCTTTAACATCGCTGAACCAGAGACTCGACCTGATCTTCTCCTCGTCGAAGTCGGCATGGGAGGCTTGCTCGATGCGACCAATGTGTTTCCCAGCAAGCAGGTCCTCGCTAGCGTCATCTGTCCCATTGACAAAGATCACCAGGCCATGCTAGGTGATAGCCTTTCGGAGATAGCGAGACACAAGGCAGGCATCATCAAGTGCAATGGGCTCTGCGTGATGGCGGACCAGCGGAGAGGACAAGCGTCGAACGAGATGGATCCTTTGAGTGTGAAGCTCGCGGCGGAAGAAGCGGCTGCTTTGCGTGCGCAAAAAGATGGACAAGGGCCGAAAGCCACGGCAGAGATCGTCGACACAATTCGAGAGACATGCATAGGTCTGCAAGCCAGACTTGTCAGATCGCACACGCCGCTGCAGCTGCTCTCTTCACCCTCTTCGTCAACCTCTTCCTCCTCACCATGGTCCCTGCAGGTTCATTCCCCGGTCCGGTACTCACCAACGCTCTCTGCTTCGCGCCTCAAGCCTGGGACATTTGTCGCTCGCACCGGCGATCCAGTCGTGCCTGGTCCCGATATCACCCATCCAGGCACACGAGCGGCCATGACGGGCGCGCACTTGGCACTTCAGACTCTCTGGAGCGTCGCAAGGGACGAGCCGCCGAGCGCAATGGAAATGGCAGGGACGGACGCAAACGAGGATCTTAGGCTACGAATAGCGTGGGCCCTGAGAGATGACCGCGACGCTCAAGCGGCAGTCATCCAAGCGGTGGCAGCAACGAGATGGCCGGGGCGGTGCGAGTGGGTCGATGCGAGGGTTGGACACGAGGCAGCAACAGCAGCTGCCGTTCAAGGCGAGAGCGAAGGGATCGACGACACTCAAGAGAACGAGAGTGGTGATGAAATGCAAGTCGACTCCGAGGCAATTGTGGACTCTCAGCTTCACCTACTCGTGGACGGTGCCCATAATGCCGCTTCAGCGGCGGCGCTCCGAGCGTATGTCGATTCGTGCATACGTTCCCGTCTCGTCGACAGCCAGCAGCCTGCGATCTCGGCGAAGAAGCTCGTCAACATCACATGGCTCGTCGCATTCTCGAGGGGCAAAGAGGTCAAGGAGATGCTTTCGATCCTTTTCGGCCCTTCGACGTCTCTTTCACAAGAGTCACAAGATACATCGCTGGCAACGGGGATGCAGCGAATCAGTCTTCAAGGCAGCGACGGCGCTGGTGCTGGTGCTGGCGTCCAGGTCCGACATCGGGTCGCATGCCTCGAGTTCAGCACGCCCGTAGAAGGAATGCCATGGGTGTCGAGCCTTGAATCTGGGGAGGTCCGTCAAGCTCTGGGGACTCTCATAGAGGGAGAGGACTACGTTCGAGAATTTGGCAAGGACTTGGCCGGCGCTCTACGATGGGCTAGAGATGCGGGAGGTGATGGGAAGTCAATCACATCAAATGCATCAGATGAGCAGGAAGCCAGTCTTGTCGTCTTGGCCGGCTCCCTCTACCTTATCGGGGATATGCATCGCCTCATATTAAACAACGGATCACCTTGACAGTGTAATATCACATTTTACAGTAAAGATGTGGCAATCTGGGGGAGCAAAAAGCGGTGTAATGGAGCAGGACAGAGAAGAAAAGAATCTGTAAGAGGGTATCGATCTGATGTAATGGGAAAGAAGGGCCTGTGGTATGTATCAGATCTGAGCGCCAATGAGCTCGAGATACCTTCCTCCCCTGGCGATGAGCTCAGCGTGAGAGCCACTCTCGACGATTGCGCCGTCCTCGACGACGTGGATGATGTAGCTGTTGCGGATGGTCGAGAGGCGATGGGCCACCGTGAGCGTAGTTCTTCCCTTGGCTGCATTGTCGAGCGCCTTTTGCACGCTGACCTCTGCCTGGGCATCAAGGGCAGAAGTGGCCTCGTCGAGCAACAAGATCTTTGGCTTGCGTACGAGGGCGCGAGCAATGCAGATCCTTTGACGCTGTCCTCCCGAAAGCTGGTGACCCTTTGCCCCGATTGTCGTTTCGTAGCCGTCAGGAAGTCCTCTGATGAAGTCGGCGATGCATGCGTCCTCACAGCATGCCTCGAGATGCTCTTGAGTCACCTCGGACTCGCTTCCTTCAACGGCGCCCAGCAGCAGATTGAAGCGGATCGAGCCTTCATAAAGGCATGCATCCTGCGACACGTAGCTCATTTGAGATCGCAGCTCATCCAAGGGAATGCTGCGAATGTCTGACCCCTCGCCTTGCTTCTCTCCTCCCATTCGGATCGTGCCGCGTGCCGGATCGTAGAAGCGCTGCACCATCTGTAGGATTGTGCTCTTGCCGCTTCCGCTCGTGCCGCAAAAGGCCTGCGTCTTGCCGGCATATAGAGTCAGATTGAGATCCCTAATAGCTGGGTAAGACATCCGCTGAGGATACCGCAGCTCGACGTTCTCAAAGTGAATGTCTTGTTCACTCCAGCCCGATGGAGAAGGAGAAGAGCAAGCCGCGTCGTCATCATCTCCCTTGTGCCCAGCATCACGAGCGCCATTGAGAGCCGAGGGTGGCGCAGCAGCGATGCGCGGCTTCCGCTCGAACCAGCTCGATAGAGTCGCAAACGAGGCGGCAGCCCTACCAAAGTCGCCGGTGAAAGTGAGCAGACGCGCAGAACCAAAGACGGCAATGATGACCGCCTCGAAGACGGCGTAGAGATTCGTCCGGCTGAGCTCATCCTGCGCATATAGCTTGCCACCGTAGAAGAAGACCAGGGCAGCCACCGCAAGGACGCTGGCCTGGCTGATGCTGAAGCCGCCGGCTCCCATGACAAGAGCTCGCCACTGCGAACGCACGGAGCGAGGCTTGGAGATGGTCTCGAACGCACGCAGCGTGTCAGCTTCGCGCCCGAGCGCAGTAAGCTCCTTGATGCCATCGATGTTCTCGCCCAGGTAGGACGAGGCACGATTCGAGGGTTCTTGAAGAGACGTCTCGTACTTTTGCAGCATGGCCACGTTGAGCCAGCCAGTGAAGAGGAGGACCACGACGGGCGATAGACAGGCGAATGCCATTCTCCAGTCCAAGACAAAGGCCAGAATGACCGAGCCCAGAAGGTTGGCAAAGGAGATGAGCACCTGCGAGAGTACCAAACCGGTGGCCGAAGCCATGTTGGATGGGTGCGTGACGACGGCAGCGGCCAACGCGCCCGAAGCTTGATCAGGCTTATCAAAGAAGCCGATCTCCTGGCGCATGAGAGACTCCAGAGCTCTTCGTTTGAGGCGTCGGCTCATCTTTTCAGAGCCCGCCTCGAGGAAGAAGGACTGAGTAGTTGTCAGGAAGAAGTCGGCAAATGCAATGATGAGGAAGACGAGCGACCAGAGATTCGTTCCACTTCGCAGCTTCGACGGTTCTGGCTCGTTGAGGCTGTCGACAGCTTTTCCCGTGATCCATCCGATGAGAGGAAAGATGCCGCCTGCCAGAAGTGCACCAACGATGCCGGCGAAGAACTCCCACTTTTCAGGAGCAAGTGTCCGCACGAACTGAGGCCACACAGCGAGAGACGTCATCTTCTTGCCTTCGTCCTCCTCGACCTTTGCAGCACCAATGCCTATTTCAGACGAGCGTTTCTCATCGACCGGCGCTTCCTCCTCTCCCGCCGCGGTTGCCGAGACTCCGCCAGCGCCAGCAGCACCGGCCGCGGAGTGATTGACGGACGAGATGGACCGCAGCGGTACTTGCCAGGCAGAGTGCTCCGAGGCTCTGCTTGTCTTTCGCTGAAGAAACTGGGTCGGTGATTGTTGCTCTCCCCCGCGACGACGGCCCCCAGAAGCTGGGCCAGGTGCGCCCAAAGTGCTCTCGGCGACCCTGGTAGTCCCGCCGTCTGAGAGGAGCTCTTCATGCGCCTGGCGGTCACAGGTCCTTTCTGCTTCGTCGACCTCGACGATGGCTCGCTGCTGCACCACCATGTCCCTGTACGTGTGATCGGTGCGCGTGGCATCCATGAGCTCAGTGTGTGTGCCTTGGTCTACGACCGCACCGGACTTCATGACGATGATCTTGTCAGCGTGTTCGATGGTGCTCAGACGGTGAGCGATGAGACACGTCGTCATGCCTCTCTGCCTGTGCTCCTCCTCAAGCATGAGCCGAATGCGTTCTTCTGTGCTCGAATCGATGGCTGACGTTCCCTCGTCAATCACGAGGATCCTAGGCGACCTGATCAGGGCACGGGCGAGGCAGAGGCGCTGTCTCTGGCCTCCTGAGAGCAGGCCCGTTTTGCCGCCGCTGACCTTTGTATCCATGCCCTCTGGCAGCCTTGAGACGAAGTCCCACGCCTGAGCCTTTACAAGGGCATCCTTTGCCTTTTGCCGAATCACTTCAGTCCGCTTCTTTGTCGCCTCATCTGCGTCCGATGAGCCATCAACTTCGGGCTTGTACGCCCACTTGGTCCCTGACAGACCCGTCGCGACGTTTTCGAAGACGGTGGCCGTGAAAATCTGGGGGTTTTGTCGCACGATGGCCACCTGCGAACGGAGCCAGCGTAGGTTGAGGTTGCGCACGTCTCGACCGGCGTAGAGCACTCTTCCCTGGCCCTGAACCCGTTGCTTTTCCTTGGACGTGGCTTTCTCGACATCGTCGTTCAGCTCGTCTTTGGCTCCTTTCCCTTTTTTCGAGCCATCCGACTTCTTGTTGGCCTCGTCATCTTCGCGCTCCTCAGCCTCCTCGCCTGGGAGCGGGACATTGGCCGTCTCTGGATCGTACTCGCGTAAGAGGAGCGAAGTAATGGTGCTCTTGCCCGAACCAGAGGGTCCCACCAAAGCCGTGACCTTGCCAGGTTCCAGTAGGACGCTGACATCATCCAGGCTGGCAATGTTGGGCCTCGCGGGGTAGGCGAACGTGACATGCTGCAGCTCAAAACTTGGCTCAGCATCTTTCTCGTCGGGCTTCTCCCCCGACTGGTCCCGAACGTCGATCTTGGGTGGCGTCTCGATGACTTTGCGCAGGTGCCGAATGGCGCCAAGGGCCTCAAAAAGGCTCGAAATCTGGGGCACGGCCGACGAAAAAGCAAAGAGGGAGTTGACGAGATTCCAAAAGGCTGTCAAGCCGTCACCCAGCTCGACATGGCCCTGGACAATATTGAGGGCGATAAACCAGAAAGCAGCGCTGTAGGTTGCAAAAAGGGCGAGGTAGACGACACCGGCCTCGGAGCCACGGATGAGGGCCTTGCGCATGCCGAACTTGACCAGGGGCTTGAGCATGTCACTGTCAAACCTGTCCAGCAGAGCACGGTTCATGCCAAAAGCCTGGACGACGCGCATGGAGCCCATGATCTCCTCCACGAAGTTGGACATCTTGCCTTCGATGCGGAGCGACGGGGCGCCCACCTTCTCCGTGAGCCAGCCAAGGAGTGCAAAGAGGGCCACGAGGATGGGGACAATGGAGAAGAGAAAGCCGGTGATGCGAGCTGCGACTGAGAAGCCAATGATGAGGGAGCAAACGACAATGGTCGATGTCCAGACAGCGAAGCCAAGCTTCTCGCCAAAACCGGCGCGGATTGAGGCAATCTCCTTTCCGGCATATGTCGCCACCTCGCCAGCGCCGTGCTTGTCAAAGAAGGAGGCATCCTTGGAGAGGACAGCTGAGACGTAGGCCCTCCGCAGCCGTGAAGAGAGGTCCTGCGAAGCGAGCGAAACTGGGTGTTTGCGCGGACTGTCAACAGAACTGTCCTTGCTCTTCTTGCACTGGGATCATGGATAGACTCACAGCAGACCTGGAAAACCCAGCTTGTAAAGAGAAGAACAGCAGCCGTGACGATGGCAATGATGGCCGAGAAGTTGCTCTTCTCGCGAATGATCGACGGCGTGGCGGTGTAAGCGATACCATTGGACCAGTAAAGGCCGTAGAGAATATCGAGGATGGGGAAGCTGGCAAATCCCGAAAAGATGGCAGCGGCGAAGCCGATCACATATAGTACAATGGGGTGCTGTAAGAATGCACGAGGTTGTCGGAAGGGCGAAGCAAGCGGAGGAGCAAAGGAGAGCAGGTAAAAGAAGTCGGGCAGCGATGAGCGATGCTCCTGCAGCAGCATCTTCTCTTCGTCGGCGATGGCGTCATGGCTCGGCGCCGCTGGACGTGCGGCTTCGAGGCCGGAGCCTGTCCCTAGAGTGGCGGACATGGTGCTTTTGCGTGCTACGTAACTTCTTGACGACTCATTGACGTGCCGTCTGCATGGTGTTCACGTCTATAAATACTGCAGCAGATTTTTTGGTCCAGCTGCGAAGGTTCGACGAGGGCAGATCAATCTTGGGTGGAGAGGAACGAATCGCCGTGAAATTGTCCGCGGCACTACTCTCAACGCGATTCGCGCTCTTGGAATATGACGCTTTAAAATTCCTAATTATTCATCTCAAGCCAGAATACTCCCAGGGGCCCTGACTCCCGGGGAGGTATGAGTCATGGCTGCAGGCTGCGCCGACTCAGCAAGGAGACGTATAAAGCCTTCTCCCGATATGTGGGTTGTAGCACATTGCCTGAGCTGTTGGAATCGTCCCTGGCTGAGCTCCTTGTCCGCATGAAGTTGCCAAGGCTAAGGACGTGGCAACCTCCGAAGAATCCACCGTGGGAAGCTCCGGCCGCTAAAGCCATGCGGACCCGACAAAGTGACCAAAGAGGACCTTGAATGACCTGACGAGCGCGCTCTGTAGCGCTATTATTGAGAGGTAGGGCTGTCGGTATCTATGGTTGCACCGATTCCTACCTGGCTCGATGCAGTGACAAAGTGCGGCAGTTTACCTTTGGGTCAACTCGAAAGGACCTGAGATGGGGTGGCAGAGCATCCACGCTGTTCGTCATCACTTTGCCACGCGATGCTTTACCAAAGAAGGAAGAGCTGTTTCTCGGGTTCTTCTTCCTCATTCTTTACGGTCCCGGTGCACGCAAGGTGGAGCGACACCGCACCACCGACTTGCACCTTCTGTTGTCCGCTGACCCCAGCGCCTTTCTCAATGCAAATTCACCCTGCACCAGTCATCTTCGAACCTCGTTCAGGGTCTTCGTTACGAACACTTCCCTTCCCCGCTCTTTCCGTCACTTTTTATTGCCCATAAGACGGTAACGCTGAGGGGCGGGCAAAGATATTTATGACGACTTTCTACATTGCAACATTGACTCTCACTCCGGGTTTACAAATGGGCTGTAGAGTGTGATGACCATAGAGTTCAGCAGGAAGCCACAGGCAAGGCGTGGCTCAGGACTTACTTTGCGATCTGCTCGAAGCCGTCCGCAGGATTGATGACAGTCAGGGCCGTGCCTCGGAGTACAGCCAGGCCCAGGGGCCGCGTCTTGTCGGTCCATTCGCCCGTGCTTGGGTCGCGCAACAGTTCTTCGACCTCATCCATGACGAGGTTCATCAGCTGGTCGTAACCTTTCAATGTGCCAATGACTGTCGTGATGATCGTCGCGTTAATGGCAGCCTATCAGCACAGATCAAAGGGGAAGACTCACCTTCTCTCCCTCCGGTGAATTTAACCCTGACCCGCTTGTCGACATATTTAGCCAGATCCAGAATGGCTTCCTTTTTCGGCCTCTCGCCAGCCGCACCTCCTGGTCCTCCGCCTCGACCACCACCTCGACCGCCTCCACCGCCGCCTCCTCGGCCTGGGTTACCTGAGCCGCCGCCGCGTCCACCTGGACCCCCACGTCCGCCGCCACCTCGGGGCCCTCCACGACCGCCCTGCGATTGCAAAGTCACGTTAGTCTGTGCGCCTCTCAACCTAAGCACAAGTCTGCTCACCCTCTCTGACATTGTCGAGTCCTCCTGTTGTGGACTGTATCGATAGTACCCAAAGAATGCTACCTTCCCGTCGTCTTTCTTGGCTCGTTCACCCTCGCTTGTTCGTTGCAGCTGCAGGGAGGGAAGATCTGGATGAATAACGAGAAGCCAGGGCGCGCCGTCAAAAGTCGTCGCGCCAGACGCGTCGGCCGAAAGGATAGGTGGGAACAAAGGGACAGACGTTTAGTCGACCGCACGGACGCCGGAGCCCTCGTTCCACCAATCCCGTCTCCTCCTTCTCCTTCTTCTCCTTTCCAGCTCTCTCGTGTAAACTCTCGTCAGCTCGGGTCACAACGTCGCGGACACCGACATGATTTCGGTAAGCGTTCTGCACTTCTAATGTGAGGGCTCTGCTTGCTTATCACTTTCTCATGCGTGCAGGCGTTCTTCATCTTCAACCAAAAGGGCGAGGTTCTCATCTCCCGCCTCTTTCGAAGTGATCTCAAGTAGGTGTAGAGATTACGATACAGATGGGAAAATGGTAGGGATTAACCAGCATGCCCACTGTAGACGTTCTATTGCCGACATTTTTCGCATCCAAGTGGTGTCGAATCCCGACGTGCGATCACCAATCATCACGCTGGGAAGCACCTCCTTCTTTCACGTCCGCCATGAGAACCTCTATGTCGTCGCTGTGACAAAGTGAGCACTTTGCTCGGATTGACAAGCAACATTTGAGCTCGAAGCTGACTTAAGGGAACCACGCTCGCTCCCCACCAGATGCAATGCTAATGCAGCGCTGGTGTTTGAGTTCTGCTACCGAATCATTCAGATCGGACGGAGCTACTTTGGCAAATTTGACGAGGAGAGCGTCAAGAACAACTTTGTTCTCTTCTATGAGCTCCTTGATGGTGAGTGATGGCCTACAAGACCCTCCCTCTGGACCTTGACTCACCTTCACGTTCGCTCTCCGCAGAGGTGCTCGACTTTGGATACCCACAAAACAGCGAAACGGACACACTCAAGATGTACATCACCACAGAAGGCATCAAGTCGGAGCAAGCTGTACGAGAGGACAGCCAAAAGATTACCATTCAGGCCACAGGGGCGACGAGTTGGCGCAGGGCGGATGTCAAGTACCGGAAAAACGAAGCGTTCGTCGATGTCATCGAGACAGTCAACCTTCTCATGAGCAACAAGGGTACTGTGCTTCGAGCCGATGTCGATGGCCAGATTCTCATGAGGGCATACCTGTCGGGGATGCCGGAGTGCAAGTTCGGGCTCAATGACAAGCTCGTTCTCGAGAGGAGCGATCGCAACAAAGGGTCGGCCAGCGACGCGGCTGCCGTTGAGCTCGACGATTGCCAATTCCACCAGTGCGTCAAGCTCAGCCGCTACGATGTCGACCGGAGCATCAGCTTCACCCCGCCTGATGGCGAGTTTGAGCTAATGAGGTGAGCGGTTTGCCCGCGCAGGCTGTTGGCTGGGGAAACGCGAGCTGATCACACGTCCCTTTTCCCCCACTAGATATCGGTCCACACGCAATGTCAACTTGCCATTCAAGGTGCACCCCATCGTCGAAGAGATTGGCAAGTCAAGGGTCGAATACAACATCAACCTCCGTGCCAACTTCGATGCCAAGCTGAGCGGCAACAACGTCGTACTCCGCATCCCTGCGCCCCACAATACAACCAACGTCAAGTGTCAGGTGGCAATGGGCAAGGCCAAATACGTGCCAGCAGAGAACGTGATTGTGTGGAAGTGAGTCGGGCATCCCTCTTCCTTTTCTGACTCAGTCATTGAGCATTCGTCTGACTCTTGTATCCTGTTCAGAATCCCTCGTATCCAGGGTATGGCAGAGACGAGCCTGCAGGCCGATGCCGAGCTGTCGTCCACGACGCATCGCAAAGCGTGGAGCCGACCCCCGATCGAAGTCGACTTCCAGGTGCTCATGTTCACCTCCTCGGGTCTCCTCGTCCGCTTCCTCAAGGTGTTTGAGAAGAGCAACTACCAAAGCGTCAAGGTGAGTTTCCCGTCTCCCTCCATCTCTCTCCGTCCGCAGGTCGCTGATCGCTGAATTCTTGTGCTGTAGTGGGTCCGCTATCTGAGTAGAGCCAACGGATCTTACCTTATCCGTTTCTGATGACCGTCCGTCCTCTTTATTGTACTTTATGTTACTCTTCTTCTCTCTGCCTCTCCTAATGCGTCATCCTGGCTCATGAGTGAACCTCTCGAAGTGAACAATGAGATGTAGTGACACAGATGGAAAGAGGGACCGAGATACATGTTGCTGGACGAGGAACTCCTACGAGGACGTATCCATCGACATGGACCTGTACCCATATGCGAGTCAGCGCTTGAGCTGACGTAGGAAGCACAAGATGGAAAGGAAGAGAAGACTCACATGCCTGTGCCCGACCCAGGCACCAACGCGCTCCTCTTGGCCCGCTGCTGCTTGGCCTTGATGCGCACCCTGACGTCCTGCCGCCTCGCCTCCTCTGCCAGGCGCTGCTGCCTCTCTGCACGAATGGCCGGCTCGAGGTGCTTGCTCCGTGCCACCTCGCGCTGGTCCCGCGTCTTTCTCGCCTTGGAGACGGAGCCACCGCTGGCGCGCGCCATCCTCGCCCGGTAAAAGGCCCGCTCGCGCCGCGCCTTGATCTCGGCGATGCGGTCCATGGCCTCGAGCGTCTTCTGCACGAGCTCTCGGTTGTACCGCACCGGCACATTTCTTCGCTTCTCGAACTCCAGCGTCGAGTCCTGTGCAAATGACCATCCGTTCTCGGTCAGCAAACCAAGCCAAGTAAGGTCGGGTGCAAGAGGAGGAGCAAACATCTCCTCGCGCTGCATCCCACTGTGGTTTCAACTCACGACAGTCATCTCCTTTCCGGCGGCCTTGCGGAAGGCCTTCGTCCACCGGACCTTTCTCGGGTTACGCTTCATCTTGAAGTTCTTGTGGCACTTGCTCTTGCAAAAGACGAGCTGCTTGGCGTCGTTGCGCACAAACATGATGCCCCGGCCCGGGTACACGGGCGCGGAGCAGAAGAAGCAGTGCTTGATCTGCATCTTGACGACAAGTCCGAGTCCGAGTGCAAGTCGTCGTCAACGTACGTTCGTGCGTGCGTCGAGGTCCGATGAGGCAAGTCTAGGCTCGAGAAGAAAGGTGTAGTCGACAGTGCAGGCCCCCAATTTCCACCGACTCCAACTGGATGAAAAATCGGTGGACGGGGCAAAATTTTTAGAATTGGTGGGCGCCACGTGCGTGAGAAGATTGCTCCTTCTCCGCCTTATTTAAAGCTGGGCTGCCTCAAGAGGGAGAGAGAGAAGCACCGACGAGTCTGGAGATTGTGGCCAAAGATGAGCGGAAATGGGACTCTGGGAAACATCAAGGCCGTCCTCTTTGACGTGAATGTTCAAGCGAGAGGAGTGATATGGGGCTCATGCTGACAATATTCGCTTCTAGATGGACGGCTTGCTCATCGACAGCGAAGGGGTGAGCTGAAGAGAGAGCGCCATAGCACGTAGAGGATTGGCTGACGCAAGCAAGCCAGGTCTACACCGTCGTCGTCAACGAAATCTTGGCGCCGTATGGCAAGGAGCAGACGTGGGCCATCAAGTCCAAGCTCATGGGCACGCCAGAAAGGAAAGCGACAGAGATCCTCCTGTCCTCTCTCTGGCCACCGGCCGAGGGCGAGCCGGGGCCGTTCTCTCACGACTGTCCCTTCACCATCGATTCGTTCCTGTCACATCGCAACATGAATCTGGACGATTACTTCAGCAAGGTCAAGCCGATGCCCGGTGCGGAGAAGGTCGTCAAGCACCTCGCAGACTGTGGCGTGCCGATCTGTGTCGCAACGGGAAGCAAGCGGCGTAATTTCGACATCAAATCCGGCGCAAACCCGTCTCTATTCGCGCCTTTCGGGACAAGAGTAGTCTGTGGCGATGACGAGCGGATTAAGCGGGGGAAGCCCAACCCGGACATCTTTCTCCTGGCTGCACGAGAAGGTCTGCAAAGTGATGTGTTCAAGACAGGCATCCGCGAGCTCGGCGAGGAGCATGATGGCGAGCTTGCGGGCAGAGAAGGTGAGATTCTCGTCTTTGAAGACGCCAAGCCAGGCGTCCAGGCAGCAAAGAGAGCCGGCATGAACGTCGTATGGGTGCCCGACCCGAACCTCAAGGCGTTGCTTCAGGAGAGCGATGAAGACATTGGCGCGACGCAGACAATCGACTCCCTCCTCGACTGGAAGCCGGAGCAGTGGGGTCTCCCACCGTACAAATAGACGAGAGCAACTGCAATTGCAATCTAGCAGTGATCAGGAGCACGCGGAGGACTGAGACCATTGCAAACATCCCGATCTATTCACACCGGACAATGTGGCGCACGTCTTTGTCAATGAATGTCGTGTATGCTAATAAGTGACTGAAGCTACTCTTCCCTTCTCTAATGCTACATTTCTACTCGAAGGTCATGACAATGCGGCCTTTGAGAGTCTTTGCTTGGTAGTGCTCGACAATTTGTTTGATGTCCTCGACCGGGTATGTCTTCTCGATGTATGTCCTGCAGCCGTGCTTTGCATGCAAGTTGACCATATCCTGGCTTTCTGCAGGCGTACAAATCAATCGACCTTTAATCGTCTGCTCCTTGAAGCTCAGCGAGAAGCTGTCCACTTCCAATGGGCCGTCTGCCGGGAGTCCGACGTCGCAGATCACACCACCTTTGCGAAGGAATTGCTGAGTGATGCGGGGCAGGTTCTTTCCCTCTGTGCAGATGACGATCTTGTCTACGCCCGGGTTCGACTTGTAGAAGCTCGAGCCGAGCTTTTCGAGGAGCTTGCCGTTCTTGCTCTCGTCTTCGGCAAGAAGGTGCTTCTCATCGGGGCGCAGGTGGGAGGGAAGCTCATCAAGGACGTCAAGGCCCTCTTGACGGTTGTCCAGTGCTACGACCTTGAAGCCGAGTGCCTTAGCGTACTGGACGCCAAGGTGGCCAAGACCACCGCCTGTCCCGACGATGGCCAGCCACTGGTCCTTCTCGATGCCAATGGCCTTGAGTGCGCTGATAAACGGCCAACCTGGTCAGTATTCTTCAATATATCTGTCGAATTGGGAAAGAGCTCACCCATAAATTGTCGCGCCAGCGCAGAAGAGCGGAGCCGCTTCAGCAAAGGGGATCTCCTCGGGGATCTGACCGACAACGCGAGCATCCATCTTGCAATATTCGGCGAAGCCACCGTCGACTGTGAGACCCAGGAGGCCCTTTGCGTTCTCGCACAGCTGTGCTCCCTGCTTCTTGCACATCTCGCACTCGCCGCAGAAGCCGTAAGTGTTGATCGAGCCGACACGGTCGCCAACCTTGACGCGGCCCTCCTTTTCAGCTTGCGGGCCAAGCTTGACGACGATGCCAGCAGGCTCGTGAGACCCAATCTGGCCCGGGTGAGCACCGGCATCTTCATACACGCCCTCGAGCACCTGCAGGTCTGTGTGGCACATGCCAGCCGCCTTGACTCTGGTGATGGGTTGCACCGGAATTGAGCTTGGAGAATAAAAGAAGTGTGTCTAGCGAATGTGCACTCACTGCACGAGAATGTCGTACCCCTCGAGATCCGAAGGCACCTTGCGCTTCGTGTCAACCTCCATGGGCTGCTTGAAAGCCTTAATGACGGCAGCTTTCATCTGGCTCGGAATCGTTTGTGTGGCGCTCATGCTTGGGTGTTTACGTCTACTCGTGACGGGGTAGTGGCGAAGCAGAGGAGCCCTATATAGGCACGTCCACCCGTTTGCCTCGCTTGCACACGACATCATAGAACAGGCACTCTTGGGGCCTGATCAGCAAATCGTAAACCTTGAACGCCGCAAGGGTCCGAGTCTTGTATTTTGGCCGCCTGCATCGAGAAAGACATGCTGCACCCTTCCACAAGACCCTGCAAACGTCGTTGTTGCATTGCAATCTTGATTCTCTTTGCAGGCTTCAGCTCCACTCGACGTCATGGAAAGAATGCACCAGGCTTTGCCTTCAACCACGTGGAGCAATTCGCGACACGAGCCCGCGTCTGTTCTTTAAAAAAAGCGCGTCTCTTTTGGGCGAGAGCAGCGCCGTGTTGGTTTATCTCATCTCATCACTACTCCCACCCTACGCACCACTCTCCCTCGCAGCAGACCCCTTCCAGACAACACTACCTACCCACCATGCTCGAAGCACGTCTCAGCCAAGCCGCAGTGGTGAGTTGTACGACGGCAGGTTTAAGCTAGCACACAATGCTCACGAGCTCCGCCCAACCGCCAACAGCTCAAGAAGGTTCTCGATGGTGAGGAGCATAGCGCGCCCTGTAAGAGAACGCGAAGCTAACATCTGCAACAGCCGTCCGAGAACTCGTCACAGATGCAAACTTCGACTGCAGTGAGGAGGGCATCGTGAGTAAGACTATGCGCCTACAGCTTCTGCCCCCACCGCTCACACCAGCTGTCCTCAGCGCATGCAAGCCATGGACAACTCCCACGTCGCCCTCTCCTCTGTCGAGCTGCGGTGTGAGGGCTTCGACCCGTACCGCTGCGACCGGCCGATGAGCATCGGCATCAGCCTCTCGGCGCTCAACAAGATCATCAAGACGGCGGGAAACGAGGACGTCCTGACGATCAAGAAGGACGACGACGGAGACAGCCTCGGCCTCGTCTTTGAGGGCAGCAGTGGGTATCCGCCCTTTTGTACAGCTTCTGTGGTTCCTTTCAATGCTGACCTTCTCTTTGCAGAGACTGACCGAGTTGCCGAATACGACATGAAGCTCATGGACATTGACAGCGAGCACCTGGGTATCCCCGACACGCAGTACGACGCCGTGGTGCGCATGTCGTCTGCTGAGTTTGCGCGCATCACACGTGACCTGGGCAACGTCGGCGAGAGCGTCAAGATTGATGTGACCAAGGAGGGCGTCAACTTCTCCTCCGATGGTGAGATCGGGAACGCCAAGCTCACGCTCAAGCAGGGCTCCGGCTCGGCCGCTGCCGTCGACGACGACGACGATGACGATGAGGACGAGGAAGACAAGAAGGCAAAGAAGAAGAGGAAGACTGCTTCCGGGTCGGCTGCCGGTGGCGAGGACACGGTGCCCGTCCGGATCCAGCTGCAGCAGTCCGTCAGCCTCACTTTCTCGCTCAAGTACCTGACAAACTTCGCAAAGGCTGCCCCGCTGTGCAAGGAGGTCGCGTTGCACATGAGCAACGAGGTCCCGCTTCTGGTGCGTTTTCGAGAGAGAGAGATCGCATTGATGAAATTTGTGCTGACAAAGTCCTGTTTGCACATAGTGCGAGTTCGCTTTTGAAAACGGCCACGTCCGCTTCTACCTCGCCCCCAAGCTGTCCGAGGTGAGTCAGATCTCTGCCGCTTTCCCCCATCCCATGTGCCTTGCTGACGATGCTTTATCTACACAGGACGACGAGTGATTTGCCTGACATCTATCTATCTTTTCCGAGACCTTGTACTTTTTGTCATCATCCATCATCGACTCTCTTCATGGTAGCCAATACCACAATCCAGCTCTCTGTGGGGTGTTCCCAGCCTGGGCGAGCACGCGTCGAGGCTCCGCTCTTTCTTCCTGGGGTAGGTTCCCGCGTCATTCCCGGCTTGCTCTTTGACTTTGGCAAAGACTATCCAATTTATCGAGCCAGAACGAGTAGGAGAGAAAGTAGACCCAAGCTACAGTCTTCTCAATGCGCTGACGCTGTCGTGAGAGACTGACGAGCAAACTTTCTGGAACAGCTCCAGGGCACCAGGGAACATCGCGGTCGTTCGTGACTTCGCCTAGAGTGGGGAAAGGAGATGAGATCGACGTGCCAAATTTATCCCGTTTTGCCTTAGCGCGAAGCTAAAACAAGGGGCGCCTCTCTCATCCCCTTTCTCCTTGAATCACTACCCCACCAAGCAGAGACAACCCATAACCAGTTGCATCAACCAAGACTGGGTGGGATGCGCTTGACTTCATAACGACGTTGACGACACGCATGACGCAGACCTCTGTGACGGCGGGAAACCACACTCCACCATTCCACCGGCACACATTCTATCTGTAGCTATACCTTTCTTTCTTTTCTTTCTTCGTCAAGTCGCCCCAGATGGCGGCAGTGGAAGCCGTGTCTGAGCCCCCACACGGGTGGCTGTCCCATGTCGACCCACTGACATACGAGTCGGTCAACGTGTGGGACTCGTCTAACGGCCTCGCCCTCTTCCTGGCTCAAGTCATGATCATCCTTGCCCTGTGCTATATCCTTGGCCTCGCCTTCCAGCGCCTCGGTCAACCAAAGGTCGCGGGCGAGCTCCTCGCTGGCGTATGCCTGGGCCCCACGGTGTTTGGAAACATTCCTGGCTTCACCGAGAAGATTGTGCCCTCGCAGTCGCTGCCCCTCCTCACACTCACGAGCAACATCGGCCTCGTCTTCTTCATCCTCCTCGTCGGTCTTGAGACGGACACGGACCTGATCAAAAAGTACGCGCGCCAGGTCGCCCTCATCGCGTTACCTGGCATGGCTGTCCCCTTTGCGGTCTCGGTCGGGCTGGCCATGTTCGTGTACGAGCACAGCACGGCAAAGACGGTCGAATTCACAACGTTTATGCTCTTTGTCGCCACCGTCATGGCCGTCACCTCTCTTTCGGTCCTCTCACGCGTCCTGTCGGAGCTGAGGCTGCTCAACACTGTCCTGGGCAGCGTTACGATCGCCGCGGGCGCGCTCAATGACCTCATCGGCTACCTTCTCCTGGCCCTGGGAAGCAGCCTGGGAAGCGGCGGAGAAAAGATCAATGCCCTCTACCAGCTCCTCGTCGCCCTCGCCCTGGCGCTCGTCCAGTGGTTTGTCGTGAGACCCATCATGTTTCGCCTCATTCTCCGATCGGGCTTCGACCTGTACGGCACCGGCGGCGGTGGCGGCGACAAGATGCAGCAGCACCAGCGCGTGCCAGAGCACCTGCTCGCGCTCACGCTCCTCGGCGCTCTCATCTCGGCCTGGATCACCGAGGCGTGCAGTCTCCACCCCATCCTAGGCTCGCTCCTCTTTGGCATCGCCCTGCCGCATCACAACTTTGCCGTGCGCGTCACCGAGTCCATCGAGACGCTCGTCATCGGCACGCTGCTACCCCTCTACTTTGTCACGTCGGGCCTCAACGCAAACTTCAAGCTGCTCAACACCGGTCTCGTCTGGGGCCAGATCTTTCTCATCTTTTTCGTTGTCTTCATCAGCAAATTTGCCAGCACGACGCTTTCTGCTAAAGTTGCCGGCTTCTCCTGGCGCGAGTCGAGCTTCGTCGCAGCGCTGATGCAGAGCAAGAGCATCATCGAGCTCATTATCCTCAATGCCGGCCTCGAGATTGGTGTCCTCAACAAGCAGGTCTATGCCATGCTCTTCATCACCTTTATCTTCTCCACGCTCACCGTACGACCCTTGGCCACGGCCATCTATCGCCCTCTCGCAGAAGAAAAGGCTCGTCAACCACGCGAGGAGGGACGAGAAGTCGAGCGATCGAATGTGGCCGACGACGGGGAGGGAGGAGAGAAGCGAGGAGCCCTGGAGCTGAAGGATCACTTCGCCATCGTGGCCGCCGTTACCTCGGCCAATCCGAGCGTCCAGGGACTGATGTCGTTCATCGGCCTCGTCAGCGGTGGGTTTCGTTCGCCGGATGAGAGCGGCAACACAGACGAAGCTGCGCGCATCGCAGTCGACTTTCTCAGGCTTCTCCCGACGACGGAGCATTCGACGGCCAATATCATGCGCCTCCTCTTTTCACACGACTTGGGCCAGAGCGACGAGGTGCTAGCCGCGCTCAAGACAACGGCTGCGCTCAACAATGTCGTCGACTCCCGGTCCCTTTCCACCGGCCATCTTCGCACGGGCAGTCTCGACGTGCAAAGCGCCGGGGGAAATCTACCCCAGGACGTCATCAGCGTGTCGAACGACGAGTCGATGATTTCGGCACTCCGCAAGAGCTTAGCTCGGGCCGAAGGTCGCCTGCACTCGAGCAAGGCTGCTGACAGAGCGTTGCGAGCGGGAGGCGCAAGCGAGCTCGGCAAGGCCATGGTGCTCGTCGCCTGGGAGAGCGCAGTCGTCGTGTCGCACGGCACCTCGTGGCTCCAGAGCGCGGCCGTCGCTGCGGGCTTCGTCGACGCTGGGCTTGGCGCAGGCCAAGAGGCCGGCTATGACGACGAGCAGGAGGCGACGCGGTACGCAAGGCTGAAGACGGGCGCCAATTCGATTCCGCGTACGCTCATGGGCCGTCTCAAGGAGCAGACGGTCGGCGTCGTCGTCGATGCGAGGCTGCTTGACGCCCATGGCGGCAACAGTGGAGCGCCTGTCGTCAGCCTAGCGCAGCGGCGACGAGTCGAGGAGGATCTGTGGAGACTTGGCGGCGTGAAGCTCTCTCGGGGGCGGCTGCGGAAGAGCAGGATCGTGGTGCCGTTCTTTGGAGGCAAGGACGATCGGGCTGCCGTGGAGCTGTGCGAGCGCATGGCATCGCGCTCCTCTCGCGTCGAGGCCATCATAGTCTCGGTCGCCAGCAGATCCGACAACGAGGAGGAGATGCAGACGATACTGGCTGGGGGTCATCGCGCCATTGGAGAGGAGAGACAGGACGATGGGAAGAACGAAGAAGAGAACCAGACGACAGTCAACCTCAAGACGATCCATCAGGCAGAAGCCGACCACGTAGATGCCCGCTTTCTCTTTGGACAGTGGCAGTCGGACGAGGACGACGTACAAGGACAGGCTCATGAGGGTAACTCCGACAAGGAGGCAGAGGCAGAGACGAAAGTGCGGCAGGTCGGGAATGTGACGTCTGTCAGTCTCCAGCCTCCTGCTTCGTCCACTGATATTACGGATGTCGAGGCAGTGCTCTCTTTTTGCCTTGGTCTCCTCGACGAACGCTGCGGCGACATGGTCCTGGTGGGGCGGGGCAAGATCGGGCAGAGGCCGCGCAACTTTCGCAGCAAGGTCGAAGCCGTGGTGCAGAAGAGGAGCGCCGTGCTGAGCCACGATGCCCTCGCAGAGCTGAGGAGCGTCGGCAAGACGCTGGGTGCTGCGGCCGAGGGATGCCTCGCCAGTGGCATCCAGACCTGCCTGCTGGTGGTGCAGGCAGGAACAACAAACGAGCGGAACATAACATAACACACAAGTCTAGCACTACATCAAAACTGTACTTGTATAACGACCCATATTGCACATCGATTGCATTAGCACACATTGGAATTGATATTCTCATTGAAGTTTCCAGTCGTAGTACCGCTGCGTCTTTTTGGCCTCTTCAGAAGGCAAACATGATGGCATGTCCTCGTTGTCGTGCTGCTGGTACACATCCCTCTCCCACCACCTCGCTAGCGGGTTCTCTCCACCTCGCCCATTCCGACGAACGATCAGCACCGTCGAGGTCCGCGTCGCAAAGAAGCTTCCTCTGCCCAGATCGAGTGGCGGGATCAGGATTGACTTCTTTCGGTCTTCATTCGTCTCAGGGAGCGGGTCCGACGGTGTCCTGCCGTGTGGAAGATTGAATGAACAGGGTGACAATGTACTCTGAGATGCGCAAAAGACCCACCTCAAGATTGTAAAGAGATCCTCTGCCAGGATCTCTTCTTGCCGCCTTAGCCGCTCCTCCTCGTCCATTACTCCTTTTCCGTCCGACTTGCGATCACCGTTGGTCGCTGCACCCCGCTCTGCCTCGTCGAATCTCTCCAACGCCTCGTCAAGCAGCTTCTTTCCCAGACGAACCTTTTCCCACATGGGCGATTTACCACCCGACTCGTTGCTGAATCCGCAGGACTTCGACACGGGCTTCCCATCCGTGCCGTCACCCTCGCCATCGCCCGGCGGTGGACAGGCCAGCGCGATGCTAGACGTAGAGTCGCGCGAGAGATCCTCGACCGTGAAGCCTCTTGAGCCGGTCGAGTCGCGGTTGCAGGCGTGGTGCAGCGATGTGGCTGCTCTGCTATGGCCATTGCCTTCTTCAGCCACCGTCTTCATTGTCGTTGTCCCATAGAAGAGGTTGAACCCCGGGTATTGGTCTGCATCATTCTCGACCTCTTTGACAAATTTCTCCGTGGCCGCATTACCCTCTGATTCGGGCAAGAGGAGCCATCGACGGAGCAGCGCGCCGCGGCTCTTGTACGACGACGGAACTTCGTACTGCGCATCATACGAGATATTCGTCAGCGCGGCTAGCCGGCCAGACCGAGTGATACCAAGCCACGTGCCGCCGCCGTTGGGCGAGAAGTCGACGCCGCTTAGCACAAGGCCCTGCTCCTCCGATGTTGAGATCGAGGTGTCAAACGAGTGCCAGGCAGAGGGCTTGGTGGGCCGCGCGACGACTTCGTCGCGGTTGCTCGCGAGCACGCTGGGAGGAGGAAAGGACTCTGTCTCAGCGGCTCTTCTCGCGCTAAATTCGATATTCAGAAGCGCTCACAGGGAGAAATCCGGGTGCGAGAGGGTGAGCAGAATGCAGCACATCTGACGATTCGCTCACGCCACTCTGGCGTCTGTTGCAGGAAGGCGAGGTGAGGGATAGAGCGAGCTAAGCTGCGTCTAATAAGTTGGCGCGCTTTATGTGGAGAGGACCTCGGAAGTCGGACACGGCGTCGAAATAGAGCTCGAGGAGGAAAAATATTGAAAAGGCATCGAAGAACAGAAAAAAAGTGAGGAAGAGAGATCATCGTCGCGGACCCTTTTGCCAAGTTGTGGAAGTCATGGCAGGGTCGCAGTTCGCCTACGTGCGCAACTTTGAGCTGCCAGATCCAGTGCTGCCCAATGTGTACATGGTGGTGCGCATCGATGGCAAAGGATTTCATCGGTGAGAGCGCGTTCCGAATCTCTGAGCTCCATCGGAAGCCATCCACGGCGAGCTGACTGGGATGGGGGCTTCACAGCTTCTCCGATGCGCACGACTTTGCCAAGCCAAACGACGGCCGTGCACTGGAGCTCATGAACGAGGCTGCGCGCCACGTCGTGCAAGCACTCAAGCCCGACGTCGTGCTGGCCTTTGGCGAGTCGGACGAGTACAGCTTCCTGCTCCGTCGGAGCTGCAGCCTGTACAAGCGCCGGGCCAGCAAGATCCTCACGCAGATCGTGTCGCTCTTTACGTCTGCCTACGTCTTTTGCTGGTCCGAGATTATGGGCAAGCAGGAGGAGCTGAAGTATCCGCCGACATTTGATGGCAGACTTGTGGCATACCCGACCGCAAAAGAGATACGAGACTACTTTGCATGGAGACAGGCCGATAGTGAGTCCTTCTTCTTGTAGCGCTTTCCCTCTAGTACAGTAGCTGACTTGGCCCGAACATCCAGCACACATCAACAATCTCTATAATACAACCTTCTGGGCGCTCGTCCATGCCGACAATGCAGATGGGCTCGGGGAACGGAGGGCCCACGAGACACTCAAGGGAACGGTGTCTTCGGAAAAGAACGAGATTCTATTTAGCCGCTTCGGCATCAATTACGACAAGCTCGAGCCCATGTTTCGCAAGGGCACGACGATTGTCTGGGGTGAGAGTACACCAGAGGAAGAGGCAGATGCGGAAGAGGACGCCGCCGCCGGTGCGGGAGAAGGGCCGATGAAAAGCCAGGAGAAGGAGAAGGGCAACAGAAGCAGAGGGGCGCCCGAGCTTCGAACGCTGCATGTAGATATCATCGGCAAGGAGTTTTGGACGGCGCCATCAGAACAACCTGGGCGAAGAGTCGAGAAGGCAGCACAGCACGGCGCGCATTCAGAAGGCACCGAGGCATGGCAGGACCCGAGGCGGGTATCCAGCTACCAAGGACTCGGCCTGAGAGCCCTCGAGAGATGAGCCAGAGGCAGGGCAAGGGGAACAGTAGTTTGCTATTAGATGTGTTTCTGATTTCGAGTGTGCTATAGTAGTGGTTATTTGTACTTTAAGATCCCTTCTCATGAGAAGTTGGGGTGAAGAGGAGGGATGATCGAGCCTTAATGTATTGTTGTACATGGTGGTGATGCTAAATCACGACTTAGTCAAGACGAGGATTTCCACTCTCCTCTCATCTTTACTCTACAGCTTGGTGCGGAGCGGCGAAGCAGAGGCAGCGGCCATCGAAGAGTGCTCACTTTGTCGAGGCAAAGACCGAGGTTGTTCCGTGGTCGGAGAAGCGAGCCAGAGCCATTTCGCCACGCAATCGACCAGCCCTTGGACCTCCGCGGCTGAATTGTGGGCGTGGACGCAGATGCGGACGCGCTCCTTGCCTTTTGGCACCGTTGGGTAACAGATTGGACGGACGAGAAAGCCATGCTCGACGAGGTGGGCCGCCAGCTCCCTTGCGCGGGGCGTCAGCAGGGGCACAATGGGCGAAGGACGCGGCACATGGTTGGTTGCTCTGCGTCGAACCGCTTGCGCATTGACAATGTCGACAGGAAGCTGCACATGGTAGGTCGAATCACGCTGCGCAGCGAGAGCCTCGAAGCCGTTGAGGAGGCGCTGAGTGTTGTCAAACGTCCTGTCGACGAGCTCCTCTCTGCTCCGCGGTACTTCTAGAATGTCGAGGGCGGCATGCACAGCATGTAAAATGGGATAGGGCAGAGCAGTGGAGAAGACCTGCAGACCCACGAAAGTCAGGATAGGGTGAGTAGCATGCAGGGAAAGGGACAACTCACGAGCGGGCGTGCATAGTTGATAAGGAATTGGCGCACGATGTGCGAGCAAAGAACGGCCGCTCCGGAAGTCCCGATGGCCTAATGGCAGAGACGGTCTCAGTGAGCCTTGAACAGAAGGCGTAAGGAGAGAGAGAATATACTCACCTTGCCGAAAGTCGCCAGCCGCACATCAATACGCTGCGAGATGTCCAGCTCGTTGCAGAGCCCAGCGCCCTGACGGCCGTACATGCCCACGCCATGGGCCTCATCCACAATGACGCATCTCTGCGAACGATTCAAGTGCGCATCGACGACGTCGACGAGGTCCTGCAGCGGGCAGAGGTCACCGTCCATCGAGTAAACGGACTCGACGGCCACGAAGACGTTGACGTCCTCGGACTCGATGCTGATGGCCCCGCTCGCAAGGAGGTGGCGAAGGTGGTCCATGTCGTTGTGGGGCAGCGAGATGCGCCTCTCTTTTCTGGTGCGGCTCGCTCGCATGCCGTCGTGGACGCTAGCGTGGACGAGCTCGTCGTAGATGATCCAGTCGTCGGGCTGAGGCAGCACGGCAAGGAGCGAGCTGTTGGCATCGTAGCCCGAGTTGAAGAGCAACGCCGTCGATGCACCCATGTGGGCGGCCAGCCTCCGCTCGAGCTGTAGACAGAATCGTTGGAGCTGGTGAGCAACATGGAAGAAGAACACAAGAGGGCAAAGGATGACTGACCCCTTCGTGTTCTGGAGAATTGCCGTCCAGAAGCCGGCTTCCTGTGCTGCCAAGCAATGGTTCATCGAGGCTCTCCATGCGCTTGGTGAATGCCCCTCGCACGCCCACATGCCGAGCGAGGCTCAAGTAGTCATTCGACGAAAAGTCGGACAGTGCGGTCGGGCCTCGCGTCTGGAAAGTCGTGAGCCTTCGCAGGGTGCCCCTCTGCTGCCGCCTGTCCAGGCTCGCCTGCAGTTGCTTCTCGAGCATCGTGGTGGTTGCGAAGGGGGGGGGGGTCAGATCGCGGAGCTTTGGTGGCGAAGGTTGGCGGCACACAGGGCGGATTTATTCAGGACATCTTGCGGCCCAACAATGTGACCGACGGACCTTGGACACCGTAGTAGTAGCGCAGCAGCAGTCCAAATGTTCACCCACCCACCTTCTTCCAGGTTTCCTTTTCCCGTGTCCCTCCCTCTTTTTTCTTTTTTCCCCCCTTCTCGTGTGATTCAGTCTGTTTTCGTGCCTTGGCGTGGCTGACCTTGGTTGTATCTTCTTCTCCGAATTTAAGACCGCACACATCCCGTCCGTGCGCGCGCGCGTCGTTTTTCGGGTATCTTTGATCGCTCAAACAACGCACTCAACGCGATGCTGCCGCGAGAGGGAAAAAACGCTCAGTCTGCAATGGCGGCGGCGGCGGCGGAGGAGGCCGCAGCAGCAGCAGCAACAGCAGCAACAAAGTCGGAGCCGATGGCGGTGGCGGCAAGTCACACAGGTACAAGACCAGTATCTGATGAGCCAAAGGTCAAGGCACGGCTCCACTACTTGGGACCACCAGGGACCTATTCGCACCAGGCCGCCCTGATCATCGCACCGCGCATTGTCCGACGGAGACGAAACGGCGAGCCATCGAGCGACGGGGACGATGTCGTCGCCCCTCTTTTGTTCCCAGCGCCGACAATTGAGGCCGCGTTTCAGGCTGCCCTCAACGATGACCGTAGGCTGGAGGCCAACCGGGTGGAGAAGCAGGAGCCGGAGCAGGAGCGGGAGAAGCAGGAGCGGGAGAAACAGGAGCGGGAGAAGCAGGAGCGGGAGAAACAGGAGCGGGAGAAGCAGGAGGGATACTACGCCGCGAGGAGGGCGACGACGACGACGAGAAGCCTGGCGCTTCTGCCGTACGAAAACAGCACCTATGGCCCAGTCGTGGATACCTACGACATCCTTGCAGCTCCGTCCACCTCCAGCAGCCTCTCCGTCATCGGCGACATTCTCTTGCCGGTCTCGCACTGCCTCCTCGTCTCGCGCGCTACGCACGGCGCCCTTAGGTCCCCACCGAGTAGCGACTTCCCACACGAGACAGACGGGCAACTGCGCCTCGAGGATCTAACTCAGATTCGCAAGGTGTACAGCCACGGTCAGGTGAGTGATAAGGCGCAGACAGACGATCCCCTTGCACCGTGTGATGGAACAGGAGGGCGCTGACGACCAGTCGGAAAAACTCCCAAAAAAAATCTCACCCACCAAAGGCGCTCGGACAATGTCGGCGTTTCCTAGACGCCTATCTACCTCAGGCCGCGAGAGTCGCCGTCGATTCTACCGGCGATGGTGCCGTACGGATCGGAAGTGGCGGTGGAGCGGCCACTTTTGAGGCTTGCATCGCCTCAGAGGTGTGTGCCCGGGACGAGATCTATGGCCTGTCTATTGCTCGTCGCGCGATCCAGGACCGCTCCGGTATGTGACTCTCTCTCTTCATCATCAAAGGCGCATGTGCAGATCGGACTGACCGGGAATGAGAAATTACAGACAACACGACACGCTTCCTCCTTATCGAGGCGACTGACGGCCTAGAAGCTGATGTCAGCAGCACACTCACAGTCCTGCCCCGTTCGAAGCCACCGCCTTCGTCAAGCAAGTCTCCGCCACAGGGCAATGACGCAGGAAACGTGCCGAGGAAGACCGTTCGAGCCATTGTACGCATCGAGACAACTCTGGCTGTCGACGGAGGCGGCTTCCTGCAGGACTGGCTTTATCATTGCAGGGACAGGACAAAGCAGCAGCAACCGCAAGAAAAAAACTCGAGGGCAACGGCTTGGGCACGCAAAATCGATCGTGTCGTGCCCAAAGTCAGAGAAGAGGATGAAAAAGATGGGGGGCTGTCGATGAACGACGGGAGACAGCGTGGAGAAGGGTCGAGCTGGCCATGTGTTTACCTTGTCGAAATGGAGGCGAGAAACGTCTTGCGTAGGGAGGATGAAGAGGGCTCTCACCTGCGCCAAGGAGGCGGCGAAGAAGGAGGCGATGATGGCTCACAAGGAGCTTATAACAGCGACGACGGGTGGGACTCGATCTCGAGTGCCCTGGACATCGCCTATCGCACTTCGGATCCACTCCCATCTGGCGAGAAAGTCAGACGGCTGGGCGTCTGGCAGAGTTCCTAGAACGACCGATCCTTCGTCCGTAGAAGGCAGGTCGATAATGTGTACAGTATAATCACCGCAACATCTTCATCTGCTAGATCACAATATCATGTCAAATCCGGCGCACAAAAGCGACCGAAAAGATACATTGTTGTTGCATTGTGAGAGGGCTATAGTACAGGTTTATGAGGTGGTGGAGCCGGCCAGCTTCCATCGGTGAAACTCGCTCTCGCCAAATCGCAGCAGGCTCGTGGTCCCACAGTCATTGACGGCCACAATGACATTTCTCCGGCCGGCCTTGAGAGGCGGAAAGACGTTGGGAGAGCGAGGTCCGCCGCCTGGACGTCTTCCAGCGCCGTAGCCGAGTCTCCGGTAAGACGAGGCCACTGGGCGAGCGCCAGGTGGGAGAAGGGAGAAGATGGTCGTGAGGAGACGAAGGAGTCGGAAGAGCCTTACTCGGAGAGCTTTCCGCGCAGCAGCGAGCATTCCAGGGTCGGCACTAGCACTCTTTGTCGGCTCTTCTGCCGAAGCTGGCGCCGCTGTGCTCCTCTCTGCAATCGCCTTTTTCCTCTTTGCTTCTGCCGCTGCCGCCATCTTCTTGACGGCACCTCGCCCGTAGCTCTCGTCGTTTCGCTTCTTTTGCATCGCTGCCCTCTTCTTCTCTTCTTCGTCCTCCTCTTCGTCCTCTTCCTCTTCCTCTCCTTCATGGCCAGTCCCTCGGTTCTGGCTCGGCAGCGGTGGCAGCTGCGCATACAGCTCTCCGAAACCCCTCCCGCTCAGCAGCGAAGTCTTTTGCGCATCCATCACTGCAATGCGGAATTCTGGCAGTGGAGGATCGGTGCGTTTATAGTGCGTTGCAGGTCTCCAAGCGTAGAAACAGATCTCTGGCGCCTCGAGCTTTTGTTTGTCTGCCTTTCTGGTGGGCTCGTCACCGTGGAAAGGTCGGTCATGGCCACTTGGAACGATTCGGAGACGGTCAAATACGGCGTCATAGCTGTCCCATCGTCCTCCTGTGATGCCCAGAAGACCGCGACTTGTTGGAGCCTGTGTCCTCTTTTCGCCGAGATTATTACTGCTCTTGTTTGTCATTAGGACGCTGTATACTCGGCTACGGAGCCACTGCAGAAGGGCGAGGAGCCATGCCGATATGCTCTGTACGCCGTGATAGCTTGCCTGGAAGATGCGACGTAGAGGATAGAACAAGAGGTCGAAGATGGTCACGAGTCGCAAGGGGTGCTTCTTGTCAATAAGAATGCCCTTCGCGGCCAGCTCTTCCTCCTCTTCTGCATCCTGCTCTTGAGAGTCTCGCTTCTTCCGTCGAGCATCCGCAGCGACCCTTCGAAGCTCATCGACGATCTGCACGCGCTGCACAAAGTAGCCGAGCCGCTTGAGGTAGGCGTAGAGCTGGTAGCGTTGTCGAGTGTTGCCATCGGTGTCCAACATGGTTGCGAATGCCTGCTGCACCGTCATGGGTATCCACTGGGTGTCCTTGGAATCTGTCTCGTCATCATCGCTGGTGCTCTGCTCCTGCACGACATCTGCTGTCTTCCCATCGATTCTGATACGGCATTCGAGGGCACCGCGTTCGATGAGGTAGAGAGCCTCTTCGGGGAACAGTTCCAGCCGCACCCTCGTCTTTGGGTAAAATGTATCTTGCTTTGTAACGCCCGCACGCTTCGAAGTCTCGCCATTGCTGCTTGTCAGTTGCGCCAGATCCTCGTCACGCCCATCCTCCAAAACAAAGACACGATGGCTGACGCCCATGGCGTTGAGTACTGTGCCCCTGGCCGTATGCACGATCGCTCGTTTCAGCAATGGCTCCCAAGTAGCGACGGAGATGCTCTTGCTACGAGCATTCTCTTAACTTAATCAGCTCGATTCTGCAGAAATACACTGCACAAGTCGACCGCAGACCACTCACCTCCCCGTCTTCCTCTCGGTGCTGATGACGTCGAACATTGCGCTCCTACTCGCCTCGAGAGCGCGGCTCTGCGCCACGAACCCAGTCGGCTCGAAGTCCTTTTCGCCTCTCTTTGGGATGCTCATCGGTGCGTTGGCCCCTGCTCCGCTGGACGCGCCCTTGCGAGCCAATGAGGCAATCAGTCGGTAGTCGGGCGCAGCCTCGTCACCCGAATCCTCGTCGTCACCTCCCTCGACGCCGCCGCCGCCCGCTGAAGGACCCGCCTTGCTTCCCTTTCCCGGCTTAAGCCCCTCATCCTCATCGACTGCACCTACCACAACAGCCGGTGCAGGCGCAGACGGCGCATCTGGGTCAGGTGCGAGGTCCGTCATCGTCTCTTCCTCTCTTCTCGTGGTTGCTTGTCGCGAAAGGCAAATCTTAAATTTTCTTCGTGGAGGGCTCACAAAAAAGAAAGGGATCCTTCACGTGTGCGTCACTGTCGCACTCCGCCTCGATGGGCGATGATGAAGATGACCGGCCGAGGCGAGGCAACCTGCTCTTTTCCGGATCGACTGAGGTGGAAGGGCATACGGAGGTAGAAATCCACGTCATAGATGCGCTCGCAAGTCTCATTGATGCGTTGCCGCGCGTATCTCTGTCCTCTGAACCAATTCGCAAGCCTTGGGACGCGGGAGGGAACAACCATGACGGTGAAGGCGACAGCAATGGCGACAGCGCAAATACGCCCGCGAGAAAACGTATGAAACCAGAGCAACGCTTTGGAATCAATGTCGACAAAATGGTCGATACGGCTCATGCAGAGCTGTGCAGAGCATGGAAAGGACCGTGGCTCACAGCGAGATCAATGGACAAGGTGCATGTACGCCAAGACAAGATTGGGTCAGAGACAACGCCCTGGGCCGATCTCGAGGCGGCTCAGTCACATGATGAGACAGGTGCGGCTATACTCTTCTCAACGTCAAGTCAAGGAAGCTGAACGGAAGCTTGCAGGCATGATCCACAAGTTCGTCTTCAACAATAGCGAGCAAGAATACGATGTCGACCGGGTCACACTGGCTCCTCGCTCTGGGTTTCTCATCACCAATCTCCTCCGGTCTCAACTGCAGCTGCCCGAGGGTTGGATTGGTGTAGTCGAGCATGGTGAGGTCGCGGTGTCGAAGAAGCGAGGAGAATATCTTGCCAACTGAAGTACCTTCAGCGCGTCAACATCCAGCCTCGCTCGTCCTCGTTGATCCACCGTACCCAAACATGTCGGCCTCGAGGCTGCAGCAGGGGAAGAGGGAAGCGTACAGAACCGTTGATGATCTCTACGACCTCTGGAAGATGGTACCAGCGGTGGAAACGCTCATCGGGCAAGACACTCTGGTGGGATGCTGGGTGACAAACCATGTGAGGCTGATGCTCCTGCTGGTTCGAACGATGACGCTGATATGGACACACACAGGCCAAGGTACAAGCCTTTGTCCTCGAGAAGCTCTTCGATGCGTGGAAGCTCCAACATCTGGGGCAGCTCGTCTGGGTCAAGGTCACGTCGGGCGATGCTGCCGAGGGAGGAGGCCAGCTCGTTGTCCCTTTGCAGAACAGAGCCGGGCGCAAGCCGTACGAGATTCTACTTTTGGGTCGTCGCAGGCCAAGCGCGGATGAGAATAAGGGCAAAGAGAAGGGTGCCATGGTTCATATGGTGGCTGGCAGCGTTCCTCTAGACCACAGCCGCAAGCCTGATGTCACTGGTGCGTGTCCGTATCAGCTGAAGATGGCCCCTCCTATCTCCGTAGACAGACCTGCTGACTCCGTTGGTCTCTACCTGCAGACGTCTTAGGCCCTATGCTGCCAAAAGAGAGACCGCTCAACGTCTACGACATTTTCGGACGCACAGCTCTGCGTGGGCCCGTATCGAACTCGGCAAGAGACCAAAAAGGAGTGGAGGGGCATACTGCAGGCTCGTTTGTGAGCATTGGCAACCAGGCCTGCCTCTTTAATGAGATAGTGTAGCGCAAGCACGATAAGACGCCGTCGACCCTAAGGCGAAGGGAAAACCTTCTGCGCGCTAGCCAGCTTGTGAAGATTAAAAAACTGTTCGAAGCTTCGCCATCGCTACTAAGTCAGCCGTGGCGCCCGTGTGAAAGATTCAAATGACGGGTGCGTGCTGCGAGGAGATAAGAAGACAAACGAACAACGTTCTCAACCATGCAGAAGTGGAGCAGTGAGGCACGCTGGAAAGAGCCGTGTGTCATGCATGAAAGCGTATCGATGACGAGCACATCATCAGAATATATCGATCCAAGAAGTGCAGCTCTGCCTGGTGGCTTTGCTTTTGCCGTGGAAGCTGCAGCTGTGATCGTCAGCGGGCCTTTCTTTTTTTTTTTCCCTATTCACTACTGTGTCTACCACTTTTGCTTGTTTGCCCCTCTTGTCTCGCGCTCGATCTGTGCGGTTGTGACAAATACCGACGCGGGCCTCTCTCTCCACATTCGGAAACTAATCAAAATGCCGTTTGAATGCTCCCCCTATGGTTGCGCACCAGGCAAAACCGTGGGGTAAATAGAAGGAAAAGAGTATCAATTTGCAACGATAGGCTTTCATTTGATTCCCTTAACTTTTACTATTTTCCTTTTCAACGAACGAAGGGGCAAAATCGCAAAGTCAAAAGTTGAAAGGCGGCGATGAGGAGGGGGCGGCGTCCATGCGACTGAGAGGGGGCTTGACGTATGCGGTGTTGTTGACGTCGACCGCGGCTCCTCCATTATTGCGCATTCAACTACTGCCACCACCATCCTACAACCTCATCTCCAGCCGCGCATCACGCCCTTCATTCTCACTCACTCTCTCTCTTCCTGGAACCTCGCCAGGCCTTCATTTCAATCGTCGGGACCTCCTTTCCGGCCTTCGAGACTTTTCGTTCACCCGGCCGGCCAAAAAGAGACGCGCCCAATTTACGGGACTGGCCATGACGCCGCTTCCCTTTCCCTCTGGCGGTGAGGGCCAGGAGGACAATATGCGCATCGACATACCGCGCGAGGGCGATGCGCCCGCCGTCGCCAGCCACAAAAAGGGCATCCAGCCCCTCGCAACAGCCTCGTCAAACAAGGACGAGGTTGCGATTCCGCCGAGGGGCAGCAGTGCGCCAAACACGTGGCATCACCACCCAAGGCAGCCGCTGGCTAGCAGCGACTCGTACTTTCCCAGCACACCGGGCTCCTCGGCACAGGTGCAGTCACAGCAAGCGCCACGGACCCCTGGCGGTGGTCTCCGGGGTCACTCGAGGCAAGCGAGCGTCGCTTCGTTGCAGCAGCAGCAACAACAGCAGCAGCAGCAACAGCAGCATCATGCTACGCTCTCGCGCAAGCAGGGTACCAACATGAGTCTCAGTCTGAGCGCAGGCGGGCTCCCCTCCTCGTCGGACCTGGCCTTGAATCAGCAGCAGGCTGATGGCGAGATGGGCGATTTCCCCAGCTTTGGAGGCGGACCTCCCAGTCCCAGCACGCTGACCGACATCATCCTGGGCTTGCACTCCACCCTCTACGGAGGAAAGCGCTTGCCCGAGGAGGTTCGAGAGATGGTCCAACGCTATTACGACTACGATGCAGGTGGGTTCCTCTTTGGCTTTAGTTACTTTTTCTTCGCTGCCCAATGCTGACCGGTGCCGTCTTTCTGTTTTCCTCCAGTGTTTGAGTCGCCGCTCCTGTCTGCGCACGGACGAGAAGAGATCGCTAACCAGTTCATCATGGCCTTCGCCCTGCCTGGCATGGATGTGTGCTCAGAGTTGCGAGACGTCATCTGCAGCGACTTTGAGTTCGATGGCACAAGAGCCGGCATCATTGACCAGACAATCAGCGTCACATTCCTGCCCTCCATCTTTGGTCCATCGTCCTACCGGTCAAACTCAGGCCCCGGCTCGGGTGCTGCTGCCGGTTATGGCGGTGGCGCAGCGGGCGCGGGTCTCGGCGAGAAGGGGACAGGGTACGACTACGCGAGGGGCTCGGCCACGCCGGCCTACACGCTTCACTCTGGCGTCACGCCGCACCCGTTTGCCAACTACGGCGCCAGTGCCGTGCCAAACTCACACATTGGCCAAGGTTCCGCATTCTCGCGCTTCGGTACCCATCCCCATTCACCCACGACGCCCTACAGCCTGTCGAGCATGTGGGGCAATAGCCGGCCACACACGCCCGGCTGGGGCTCATCGGCGATGCGGCCCTTGTCCTCGACGGCACAGGTGCGGCGTGCGAGTACACCGCCCAGCGTCAATGGCGACGACGAAGCTGGCGTCGACAGCGGCGCATCAACAGTTCTGGCCACCAACGACGGTGCACTCCAATCCAACTTTGTCCATGCTGATCAGAGCGACGGCGGACAGCTGGCCAGGCCGGCAATGCCCTCGGACGCCCTCGTGCCTCACTGGACCCACTCGGGAGGACTGGGACGCGAGAGTGTACGAGCCATCATCTGGGGTCTCTTCCATCCTCGCGCCGTCCTCAAGAATCTCTGCACGATCCATCTCCGCCTCATGAGCCGTCTCGAGTTCAATGACGCCGGCATGATCGTCCGCCACGAGGACACCTGGGGCCTGCGCGAGACCATCGAGGGTACCATTCCCTTTGCTTCGGTCATCTATGCGCTCGAGAGGAGAGTTGTTGGATTTCTGTGCTCGTACGCCATTGGAAAGGGCTTCCGTCTCTCGTCTGCCCTGTCGAGGACCGTTGCCCCCGCCAGTGGCCGGTACGACTCATCTGATGAAGAGTACCACTCCAACGCAAACGATGCTGCCCGAGCGCTCCTCCTTGGCGGTGGCGACCCAGGCAGCAGCCAGTTCAGCCGTCACAACAGCATCTCGGAAAAGGCCGGACATAGCCGTCAATTCACCTCGTCTTCAGCCTCCTTCTTCCAGCAGCCTCACCTTCACCGTTCTAGGGCCACGTCGCCCACGCGACACCACCACCACAACAGCCACCATGGTCCTCGACACCATCAGCACCGATTCGGTCCTCAGACGCCGTATTCGGCAGGTGGTCCCTACGCGACGACAGGGACGCGCTCGAGGGCCAGATCGCTGGTGGGCGCCAACTTGAGATCCTCGTCCTCGTCCGACAACCTCTACCTCTCCTCGTCGAATCTGGCCCACCACAATGGCATCACGACGCCCGGCGGCACACCAATGATGGCCGCCGCAACAGTGTCCGGCGCTGGTGCCTATGGCGAAAGAGAGCGCGGCGCATCGCATACGGGCGCCATGGCCGATGTCTCGGGTGCTTCTTTCCCGCCCGACAGCGGCGCGCGATACAAGAAGAAGGGCGAGGGTGGGAGGACAAATTCGGCGCCTGCGAGCCACTACGGTGACGTACAGCTCCCCGACGACGCCGGCAATCCCCTTCCTGCCGACCTAGTGCCCAGCTCCGCATCCTCGACATCTTCAACGGCGGCTGCCGTTGAAAAGACAAAGGCGCCCGATCAGGACTTCTGAGTTCGCACGTCCGCCCTTATCTCCTATCTCTGCTGTTACTCGGTCAGCTTGTATTTCTCATGGCAAACCTACTTTCACGCAATGGAACAGCAACCGCTGAGCTCACATAGACAACAAGTTGGATGACAGTAATTGAGGGTGATCGCTATTACTATGATGATGTTTGGCAAATTTACATTGATGATGTGTACGAGATTGAGAATGCCACAATCAAGGTGACTTTTCGACAGTGCTGATCCAGGCAAGCCTCTCAGCGAGGCTTGTATCCTCGCCCTTCGTCTCGGTTTCGAGGCCCACGCTGCAGAATGTGTCCTTGAATTGACGATTGGCGAGTGGCCAAAGGGTCTTGAGAATCTGCCTCGCCTCTCTAGCCTCCTCGTCGTCATCGCCGGCGCCTTTGTCGCGCACCTTCCAGACATGATGCGCAACGCTCCGCAGTGCCCACTGCCACATGAGTTCGTTGCGAGTTTCGTCGATTGCATTGGGCCCCTTTGTGAATGACTCGACGAGAATGGAGACCATGGCTCTCACAACTTCCCTATCTTCCTCGATGCCATCCTTGGACTTCGTCTTGTCCTCCTCCTCCGCGCTCAGACCATCATCCTCGTCCTGACCCTTGCGCTCTCTGCTCTTGCCCGAGACCCAGTACGCCAGAGGCTCGACGTATCTACCTTCAACCCCATCGCCACACTTGAGCCCCACGCTCTTCAAGACGTGTCGATAGTCATTCAGCAGCAGCCTCGAATACGGCCTCTCCCTGTCTTCTCCCTGGCGCGGCTCGAGCAACGCTGGCAAGAGGATGGTCCTGGCGAAGTTGTCGTCGCCAAACGAGGCCGAATCATAAAGACCCAGCAGGTCCGTGTACAGCTGGTAGAAGGAGTTCGAGGACGGCCACTGCGCTTTGCAAGTCTCCTCGATCTCTTCGATTGTACCGCCCTCGCCGAAGAAATAGGACGTCGGGGATGGTACGAAGTGCTCAAAGAGAGCGAAAAGATAAGTCGAAATCTGCGGATCTCTGAAAAGGTCTCTCCCGGTAAGAAGGCCCGTCGGCTTCGGCTTCCCTACCGAAGAGGCCTTGTCCGTCGACGATGCCGCTCCGTCATTCTTGTCCGCGTCTGCCTCGAGCAGGAAAACTTTAACAATACCGAGGTAGACATCTGCGACTGTCGGCTGGGAGAGCTTCCCAAGTCGGTCGGTCGAGAAGGAGATCGATGGACTCTGCGCAAAGATGCTCGTCGCTAGCTTGACCGAAGCTTGGACGATGCCTCGCTCGTTGACGTCCCAACCCCAATCTGCAGGGAGCGCGTCCATCCGGTTGAGCGAAGCGCAGGTGCCGCTGTGCAACAGATCATCGAGCGCCATCATCGGCCAATCTTTCCGCAGTGGTAAGCCTCGAATTGGAGATTTCCACAATGGTGCGCCCGAGAGAGGATCCTTTTCGTCGGTTTCCTCCTCCTCGTCATCACCTGTTCTCTCTTGATGAGCGTCAAGAAGCTCGTATCGTTTTGTCGAATGAGGAACGAGAAGAGTATTGGTGCGGAGAAGCTGAGACGAGATCGTCTGTCGCGGCGCCATTTCCAGCTTTGGGTCCACACGTAGCGACTCGAACCAGAATGGTCGGATGGCATGAATCGCGTCCTGCAGAGAGGGATCGACGCGAGGCAGCGCTTCCCCAATTATGTATCTCGCTATTTTCTCATCTCCTTGGCCCAATCTATAGAGCAGCGCGAGGAGAAGTTGTATGCCAGTTTCTTGCGCTTCGGTCTCGGGAGGCTTGTCACCCGTGCTCTGTGTCCCATCGAAAATGACGTCCGCGCAAAAGCTCGTGAGGTGTCTTGCGAGGTCTGGTACGTCGACGTCATCTCTTATCAAGGCGCTCCAGAGGCGGTTGTCTCTTAGGAGGGTGTGTACCGTCGCATGCATTGCAAGGTCTGCCCCTCGCTGGATGCGTTTAGCCAGACGGAAGATAAAGTGCGCGCCTCTTGCCGATCTCGCAATCTCTCTCATGTCTGAAAGCTCCTCTTCTGCAACTAGCCCCGGAAGGGCCTTGGCGCCGGTTGCCATCTCTTCCGACTTACGGAGTTGCGAGCAGCGGTCTCCGAAGAATGTGGACGCTTGGCAAATTGTAGGCCACAGATTCTCCGTAACAGTCGCGATCGTCGTCTTGCAGGCGGCATCGTCGTACTTCTGAGCCGCAATTAGCCACTCGTCAAGGAGCTGTGCCGCACTGGCAACCAAGAGGAACGTGTCGACCGTCCATTGGCCTCTCGATGCTGCACTAGTGGAAGCACTCAAGCGTATAACGTCCCTCCCGACCTCCCACCACTCGGCGACCTGAACCCATCTGATGTCGTGATGATTGACGGTCTGGTGAGGATCCTGTGCACACACGATCCAGATGCTGAGCAGGTCGAGGGCCAGTGCGCGCGTGTACGCATCAGAGCTGAAAGACGAAGAGGGTGACGCCACCCACTGCAGTAGAGATGCAACGATGGAGGGGACCTTTGAGGCGAGGTCCGCGCACATTCCATACCGACTCAGGCATGTGTAGATCTCAAGGGTGAGGTTGAGCAGATTGAGGCTAGGCTGATGGTGGTCCGAAGGGAGCACGGCGAGGAAGCGAAGCAGAGCTTCAATTTGGCCTGTTGTAACGAGAGCATGAGCGACTTCTCGATCGGCTCGGACAAGGTTCAAAAGGAGGCGCAGCGCGGCAGCATCGGGCGCGGCATCCCCCTTGGCCCCCTTCGCTAATGGCCACTGTCTCTGTCGAATCGCAGCCGAGATGACTGCATCAACGAGCCCCTTATGACTGGCCACGGCGACAGCCATCTTGCGACTTCGTGTCGTGACGTTGACAAGTATCGACAGGGCGTGGCTAAGTTCTGGGGCAGAAAGTGGCGTTCCAGCAGGCGATGCAATGACGCTCATAACAGTCTTGATCACGTCGAAGACTTCAAGAGCATCACGTTGCTCTTCCTTTGAGGGTTTATCGAGACTGTCCTGGACGATCGACCCGGTCCTTTCGCACAGTCCATTCGTTATGCATTTGTCGGCACAGAACCAAGCCACGGATCTGACGCTCATGTGACGATCCTCGAAGTTCCACGAAGCGAGTCTCAATGCCCTCGCAAAAGCGTTCGCCCCACGTATCTCGCAGTGGATCTCGTTGTCGCGCTGCAAAGAAGACTGAAAGATGACGTGGCCAAGAGTGCGGAGAGCGATGGTGCGTTGTGACCGATTGGTGCTTCGGGCCAGGTGAAGGAGCTCCTCAACGGTATACCCGGCCTTGTCCTGCTCCTCGCCGTGATGATGCAAGCCCGATAGCCTGCTCTCATCTGTCGGCAAGACTTCATCATCGATAGGCCGGCCATCAAAGCCGAAGCGCCTGCCACCTCTCGACACTGCGTCGCGAGCATCGTCTTGAGTCCATTGGAGCGAGGCAGGGACCGTAGCCGGCTCCTCGGGAAAGAACCGTTTCCGAATCTCCTCTGGCGTGTCTTCGCCTTGTGCATCCTGGAAGCGGACTCTGTTGTTTGATTTCTCGCCTGGCTGCTTCTGTACCACCGTGGTCGATTGCTGCCCTATTCTCCTTCCCTTGTCGACTTTCTCCACGCGCTCTTCAGCCCTTCCTAGGAGCTCTTGCTTATCTGCCTCCTCTTTCTGCGAGGACCCTCGACTCCTCGCCATGAGCAGGTCGAGCACACCAGGTCCCAACGAGTCTCCGATTTCCTTAAGCTCGGCCTCGACCTCTTCACGGGACATCTTTGCGACCTTTTCCTCATTTTCTTTTGATATCTCCGCGAGCATTGGATCGGCTGCGCCAGTGGCACCCTTTGAGACTGCTGAGGCTGATTGTCCCACTGTGCTCGATGGCAGGGTGGGCTTAGTCCTCGATGGTGGTACCCCTCCTCTCTTCTCGAGCATCTTCCTCCTAAATGCCGACATGGGCTTCCCATCCTCGTCCAGCCATACATCGCCCTCATCACCACCACCTCCAGCAGGTACAGCGGTCGCGCCTTGGCGTTCCCTCTCCAGCTGTCTCTTTTGCGCAAACCTGCTCATTTTCTTCTTTTCGCTGCTCTCTGCTTCTGAGCGACTGATACCACGCCGTTCCTGGATCGTGCCAATGAGAGGTGCACCGCCGCCCGAACCCGCTGATCCACCGGGCCCTTCCTCTTCCGCCGAGTCGTCTGCGCCCTGAGTAGCGCCGGCCAACGAAGCGGCCAAGTCGATCCTCACCGTCTTCTCCTTCATCGCACTACCCCGCTCTTGAGGTGCCTCATCGACATCACGACGCAGCGCTCTCGTGGACTCCTTTGGCCTCCTCCTCTCCTTCTCGATCTGCCCGGACTCGCCAGCCTTGCCAATTATCGGCGGCGCAACATCCCTGAATGCCCGCGCGGCAGGCTCATACGTCGGCTCGCCGCCCTCATCGACGTCCGCGCCACCATGCAAGCTGCGCAGCTGCGTGCCCGGACCATCTTCTCCCACGCCCTCGCCCTCCCCCTCCTCGCCCTCGGAACTGACCCGGTCCTCGTCGGACCCCGCAGGATCGGGAAGGTCCTCCAGGACGGGCCGGATTTGTTGACGAAACATGCTCGCCTGCCTGCGACAGACACTCCCTCTCGGCCTGCCTTGGACACCTCGAGCTCTTCTTTTGGACTAGGGTGTGGTCCGATGTTGCACCCCGTCGCTTCTTCTTCGGTGGAAGTTGAAAGGCACGCAACACATGCACACACCGCGAGAAATAAAAAATTGGAAGACGAACCAAAAAAAAAGTTCAACTTGCCCGGACGGTGGGAGGGTGGAGGCTTCTTCTGTCAAGGCACTCTCGTCCGAAAATTCTTGAGGGCGCCGACTCTTCAAATTGTCCATTGTGTGCATCATCATCTTTCAAAAGCCAGAGAAAATGCGCAATGAGGTGTAAAGGACATCCAGTCACTGAATAGGCGATGAGAAATGCACGAGAAAGAGAGAGAATGAAGAGAATGAGAAGAGAAAAGAGATGAATGGTCATACAAAGAAAACATGAGTGAGAGAGGAACAACACAAAAAAAGTCTTTTAAAGTCTACAACTCCTTTCTACTGCGCGCTCCCAGTCGTGAAGCCGCTTGCGTCTGGGTCGAACCACTCGGTGCCCTCAATGCCTGCCGACTCGTCAGCCTCGAGGAGCTTCTCGTCATTGGAGTTGCTCAAGGCTGCTGATTCATAGACAGACATCCGCGAAACCCTCTCAGCGGCAGGCAGCGGCGGGGAATAGGATCCAGTGGCTGGCGATGGCTCCTCTTCCTCCTCGCCATAGTCCGACGACGAGGTGGTGCTTGATGCCCACCGCCGGTGCGCCTGATCGTGATCCGGCTGCGCGCCGTCATCACGGTCGTGTCCGTTGCCAGCGTCGACATCTACGTTGGGCACCTCTCCGTGCTCCTTCTCTTCCTCTTCTTCCTCCGCCACCTCTTTGACTGGCGCAGGCTCAGCGTCGGTCACGGAGAATCCAGTAGCCGTTGACAGGCGCGCATCTCGTAGGCTCGTACGGCCACTCGTGATGCTGTCTCGTGCGGTTCCGACGCTGTCATGGCCGCCCGTCGTCCGGCGCTCTCGACGACGCGTAGTCCGGCTCTCGCGTGTCGCCGAGGAAGGCGTACCGCTAGCGGCACCTCCTCCTTGCAGTTTTGCCAGCATCGCCGCTGCCTTGTCCGAGGGCGTTTCGTCAGCCGCAGCGCCCATGCTCTCGTGGCCTGTTGCCGAAGTAGCCGAGGTTTCACCGTCGAGGCTACCAGCAAGACCACTGCCTCCGCTTGCATCGCCCGAGATGTTCGACAGCTCCGCCGCTGCGTGGCCCGAGGCAGACCCTGACGCGCTGGCCCTTGCTCGACCAGCAGCTCCCCTCTCCCTCTCTCTCGCTTTCCGTTTGCCCTTTGGCGTCCCGCCGCCCTTTCGCAAGTTGCCCAGCAGCGTCTCGAGGACGGCGCTGTCGTCGACGCCCGCCTCCTTTCTCGCCAGTGCCTCGAGCCTGTCCTTCTCCCTCTCCTCGGCAATGGCTCTCCTCTTGGCTTCGGCCGCTCTTTGCTCAGCAAGTTTGACATTGTCGACCTTGACCTTGCGGTAGGCCGTCTGGAATTCCCGAAAGATGCCAAAGAAGTCCTCGGTGCGCATGGGCTGCTGGGCCGGGAAGCCTCGGCGGTGCGGGGCAGGGCCCTCGCCAAAGTAACGCAGCGCATCGACATAGGTCCGCTCGGTGAACTGAACCTGGTCCGACAATCGAGACAGTTCGTTGTGCGTCTCGTTGAGGAAGGGCAGCATGAGCTTCGTGTAAGGATCTTCGAGGCGGTCCTCGGACTCATCGAGGAATCTATCGAGTTCCTTTTTGTGCTGAGTCGACCCAGACTTGAGCTCGGCAAGGTCTCGCTTGAGGTCCAGCAGCTGAACACGGCAGGCTTCGCTCGGCCTCTCGAGCTCGTCGAGAAAGGCTTCCGTCTCGGGGAAGCACTTGTTGATCGACCGCTCGACAAAGTGGAGCAGCGTGGTGCCGTCCGAGGCCTTTGTGTCGACGAGCTTGTTAATGCTGCTGATCTTGAACCCAAAGGCGCCACCTTGGACACCCGTCGAGTTGAGGAAGTTGCCCATCATGAGAATGAGACCCAGGAGTTTCGCGAAGCTCTGCGCCTTCACCAAATCCTCGGAACCCTCTCGGATCTTGGTGGACCCTTCCTTGACGAGGTCGTATGCTTCCTTGTACTTTGTCATGTAGAGCAGGCCCTTGACCTTCTCCTTGAGATGTGGCACCGTCATGAGCAGCACCACCAGCCGGTCGGCAGGGTGCAACAGCCGGAGTTCCTCGTCGGACGCATTTCGGTACTCGCCCAGCTGACCCTTTGTCTCGCTCTCGGGGTAGTGGCGCAGGAGCTCGGTGAGGAAGCTCTGGTCCAGCACGGCCTCGTTGCAGTTGACAATGTGGTGGGCCACCTCTTCTGGCGTGGCGTGCTTGGCGCCCGTGAGGCTGCTCTTGACACGGCGAAGGACCATCTCGATGCCTTGCCTCGTCTGCAGGCTGAGGTGCGTCTTGAACTCGACCTTGTCCTTCTTTGCCGCTGCAGTGACCCGCTTGGCCGCCTGCTTCGCCTTAAAGTCCTCTTCCATCTCTTCGAACATGCCCCCTTCTTTGAGCAACCTCACCACTTCCTCTTCGTTGGCAAGATTGTGGCCCCAGACCGTCTCGGCTGCATGTTGAGGCGTCAGCTTGTCCCACTGCAGCTGCTTCATGCGGCCCTTTGCCTGCTCCAGGACTTCCTTGCGCGTCGACATGGTCGTTGGGACGAAGCCCATCGGCGGCGCAGGCGGCGCATGCGTAGGCCCCGCTGGTCCAATGTGGCTACCAAAGCTGTTGCGGACGTCGAGCATCGAGTCCCGCGATGGCGTGGCATCCTGGCCCTGCTGGAGCCGCGCAAAGGACTGTGGCGTCGCTGGCGTGGCTGACATGAATCCAGCCGAGCCAGGGGCCGGCGGTGGTGGAGGGGGAGGAGGCGTCGCAACATCCGATGGCGGTCTTGATGATGACGCCGATGAGAAAGCCGATCCGCGAGCCAGGCCAGCAGACATAGGAGGAGGAGGTGGTGGTGGTGGTGGCGGCGGCGGTGGCGGCGGGGCGCCCATGGCTCCTCCTGGCCCTGGTGGAGGCGGTGGAGGAGGAGGAGGAGGGGGCGGTGGCGGTCCCATGTCTCCCTGTACGCCCCGGGGATTACTCGTCGAAGTAGACAGATCCCTCCTCTTTCGGATCTCGTCCAGGAACGTAGGAGGACCATCGGCGACAGGGGGTGGTGGTGGCGGTGGCGGCGGTGGGGGAGCGCCCGACGCGTCATCAACCTCGGAGGGCGACTCGCCGTCCTGTGCTTTTCGCCGCCTCGTCTGCCTGGCATCAGTCATGCGGCTCTGCAGCTCGGTGTTCTTGGCCATTCCAGCGGCCAGCGTCGCTTGGATCTTCCACTTTGCGGCTTCACTCGTAGGATCCAGATCCGAGTCCGACTCGGTCTCCTGGTCCGAGGCAGCCAGTTGTGACGGTCGGTGCGCCTTTGAGGAGCGCGACTTGCGTCTGACCTGGGTGGAGATGCGCTTCCTTTGCTCTTCCTCGCTTTCCTCTTGGGTAATGGTCTCGTCTGCAGCTTCGGTGTCATCCTCCTCTTGAATCTCCTGTCCCGGCTTTTGGCCTTTCTTGGGCGCATTAGCCTCAAGCTTTCGGATCGTCCTCGCCCGCTCCATCTGCCGCTCGAGCGCGTCGACCAGCTGCTGGCGGTCCATGTTGCCACGATTGGCAGAGAGCATCTCGGCGTTGCCCTGTGCTTCTCGCAGCATTTCGTATAGCTCCCGGATCTGCACCTCGAGAGCGACGACACGATCGATGTAGCCCTTCTCGAGGTCCTCCATCTCTCGCTGTGTCGCATTGGTATTCCCTCTCGCAACATCGAGGTCCTCTTCGAGGTCGGCAAGCTGTTGTTGCAGCTTGCCCACCAGCCCTTCGCTCGCTTCGCCCACCTGGGCCTCGAGCCGTCTTCTCTCCTGCTCGGCCATTCGCGTTTGCAGCCGGCTCTCCTTGAGCTCCTCCTTGATCCGGTTCATCTCATCCTGGTCAGAGAAACGAGCCAAGACGTTGTTGACCGAAGTGCCGAGGAGCGATGTCATGTCCGACCCTTCGACTGCGCCCTTCCGGTCCATGACGACCGACGTGACGAGCGAGTCGATGAGCTGGTAGTAGTGCACGAGCGAGTCGCCCTCCTGTCGAATCAAGAGAAAGTGCTGGAGGGCAGACAGGAAGAAGTCGTATGCCCTCGAGCCAGACACTTTTTCGACGATGGCTTTGAAGACGTCGACGGGATCGCTCATGTCGGTCAAGACGTCCTTGTTGAAGGACTCGACCACGTCTTCGTGATCTGCCTCGGCGCCACGCTCAAAGACTAGGATCTGCTTGTCCAGGTCCGGATTCTTGAAGGCACGCATCTTGATGAGGATGCGCTGCAGGCCGCTGGCCTCCATCTGGTTCCTGAGGTGCACCCGAACCTCGAATTCGGTGGCGATGTTGGCGTCCAGGATGGCATTAATGAGGAACATGTTGTTGAGTGCATATTCGTTGAGCGACGACTCCTGCTGGCCCAATACGCTCAACTTTCTGACCTCGTCCGAAGCTCCCACTTTGCTTCCCATCTGCCCTCGCCCATCAATGGTCTGTTCCAGCACCCTGAACCACGCATCGAAGCGGCCGTGGTCGCCGGTAAAGGTCTTGAGCCCATCAAAGCCCCGCAGGACCAATCGATGGCCTGCTGGGCTCTGCCAGTGGCACAAGAAGAGGAGAATGTCGGCCGCCTGCTTTCTCGTGGCCAGATGAGACGATATAATTGAGTGGACGATGCCACCAATGCATTTGCTGTTGGCCATGGCGTCGTTGGCGCCCGGCTTGCTATTGAAGAGCGATCGGAACGCCTTGAGCGTCTCGTACTCGAGGGCAACGTCGTGCTCGGTCCTGCCCCCCTTTTGCTGCAAGCCCAGCAGGAAACTCGAGAGGACCGGGGTGCCCTTTGCTTCGACGAAGCTCTGGATCCACCCCATGGCGCATGTCCGGAGGGTCACGGCGAGGCTCTCGATGTGCTTGGTCGTGACGGTGCCGTCCATGAACTTCTTGATGTAGAACTCGGGCGAATTGCGCGAGATGACGGCCGTGCCCGCCTGGCCGCTCGACCCGGCCTTTTCTCGATTGGTGTGCTCTGCCAGCTTGTCGTTGTAGACAAGCTGCCACTTCTTCTGAATAGTAAAGTTGTTGAGCATATTCTGCTTGGCCTTTTGCTCGTATTCGTCGGAAAAGTTGCCGCCAGCGGGCGCTGCTCCCACAAAGTCTCTCTTGCTCATCAGCTCAGCAAACATTCTCTCGATGACGGCCTCGTCCTTGGGCATCTCGAGGTGAAAGCCCTCGTCTCCACCGGCAGAATATCTGGGATGGGTGCCCGATGGGTGGGGCACATGGTGGTGAATGACATGTTGAGTTGAGTCGCGATTCAGGCCCGGAGGCTGCTCTGCATTCGACCACAGCATAGGCTGGCCGATTGAGGCTGCCGAGGCCGATGCTATTGACATGCGATTGAGAATCTCGGACGTCATGGTGGGATATCGAACGGACCCTGTTTCGCTCGAGTGCTGGCTCGAGCCTGTGTAGCGGGATGTCTTATTGCTGTTCCCATTCGGACCCAAATGCAGTCCATAGTCCGTGGCTCCGTGACCCCGCGAGGAGCTGCCGCCCGAGGGTGCACGTCTGTGTGAGCGCGGAGGCGATGCTCCAAAGTCGTCAGTGTTACCCGAGCCCGTCGACCGGAGCGGATAGCCGCCATTCTAATGGGCCCATCGTCGGGAGTCAGTTGACTTGATAGCCGTTGTTAAGCCCATACTTCTCAACTCACGAGGGTATTACCACCGCTGCTCAGATGTGGGTTGCCACTGGGCGGTCCAATGTTCATGCGAGGCCCGCCAGAGCCAGAGCTGGTGCCAATGACCTCGGCCAGGCTCTGGTTGGCGCCGCTGCTCGACGACAGACCATAGCTTGCCTCGCCTCCCGTGCCCTGGCGGGTTCTCCTCTTGCGTCCGAACAGGCTGTCCATCGCTTCTCATCCACTCCCTCCGCTTGCTCCTCCCTACACAGGACTTCTGAAGCGTTGCGCCAAGTCGCGTCGTCGCTCGGCCCACTTGAACAAAGGAAATAAGAATAGAAAGAAGCTGTAGATCGCGTCGAGGGTGGGGAGAGTCGCCTCCCTGCACGCGAAAGCAGTCGTCTACGCAGTCGTTCTAGGCGCAGTGAACCCCGCTTGTCGTAGTCGTCGTTGTTGCGAATATGCTCCCCGGGGCCTGGACCATCCGCCAATGGTCAATGGCCTGCATAAGGTAGCGCTTGTAGCGGGTGTTGAGCAAGCAACAGTCGAAAGATTAGGCTTTCGGCGCACCTCCTTGCCCTAAGCTCCAGGTGTGCTCGCGTGGTGTAGAAACACGTGACGTGCTATTTTGTCTTCGCGATGGAGGAGAAGGCCGTTCGCTTTGACGACGACCTCGAGAAAGAGAGAGAGAGAGGAAACCCTTCTCCTCTGACCCCTTTTGCTGCTGCTCGACGACAATGACGACTCCGCAGCCCGCGAATCCGTTCTTCCCGCCAGGCGTCCCGGCGCCGCCGAACACGGGCAACGAGCAGCTGGGACCCGGCGCGCCGTCACCCTTCATCCACGAGGAGAAGCCGCTGTATCCGCTCCGTGCGCAGGAGTCGCATGCTTCTTCCTTCTTTGCCTTTGCCGAGCCCATTCTCGGACCATTTGGCAGGGTGCTTGACAAGATTGCAGAGAAGAGGCGGGCGCTTGATCTCCCATTCCCGGGGACGGCCGAGCACCTCCAAAAGGAGACTAAGCGTAGGTTTCCTCCCTCCCCCTCACGTCGATGCCTAGGAATGAGATGCTGACGCTCTCGATGAAATTAGAAACCTTGCTCTCTAACTTCTTCTACGATGGCGCGAGGGCAGACATGGTCAAGACTCTGTCGGTCAACCCCATTTTCCAGGTCACACATGCTTTCAGCATGGGCGCGACGAGCGCCCAAGGACCCGTGCCCCCGTCGTACAACTTTGGAGCAGTCTACGGTAGCGACAAGGTGCGTCTGCCCCTCACTCTTTTGAGTGTCAGCAAGGGAAACGAGCATCTTACTGACGATTGGGGTCTTTACAGGTCTTTATGCAAGCAGGGCTGGACGACTCGATGAGCGTGACGATGCGGGCCAATGGCCGGCTCGCACGCGGGCATATCAGCAAGGTGCAAGCACAGCTCGCCGCTCAGGAGGGTGCTAGCTTTGTCCAGCTCGAGCACGACTACCAAGGCCTGGACCACGCCGCCAACATCAAGGCACTAAACCCATCGCCGACAGACGGCGCGGGCATCTATGTGGCCAACTACATCCAATCGCTTACGCGAAACTTTGCGTTGGGCGTCGAGACGATCTACCAGCGGCAGTCGGCGGACGCTCAGGAATCGATGATGGGCTACTTGGCCAAGTGGACGAGCAATTCGCGCGATGCAATTGCCACGGCTCAATGGCAGGCCCAGGGCATGCTCGGGTGCACCTACTGGCAGAGGCTCAGCGACCGCGTAGAGGCCGCCGCCGACCTGCAGGTGATCACGGCTGCCGGCAAGCGCGAGGCCCAGGCGACGGTGGGCGCAAAGTACGACTTCCGCATGTCCACCTTCCGCGCCCAGATCGACTCGTCGGGAAAGATTGCCTCGCAGCTCGAGACGAGACTGGCCCAGGCCTTTGCCTTTACCGTCGGCGGAGAGATCGACCACTTGAGATCCCAGGCCAAGTTTGGCCTCGGCATCAGCCTCGAGTCGAGCCCCTCGGAGATGATGATGGACCCCAACTCGCCACCACCGCCGCCGCCCAGCGTGCCCATGTAAGGACCCTCGGATTTTCTTCCATCCTGCCCGACAACCTTGCTCCCTCCCACCCCGTCTCCTCCATCCATTCGCCACTTCACCACCCTCTATTTTTCCTCTGATGGGGGAACGACTCAAAAGGCCTTCTTTTCTTTCCTCTCCCCCCATCGTGTACGTGTAGCATTTCGAGAGAGTCTCAGCAGCAATCTTTGTGTTGTCCTCGATATAGTCAAGTAGTAGTCAGTCAGTAGTAGCAACCCATCGGCGTCCACTTGCGCCCCCAGGCGAAGGTCCAAGAGGGCAATGCGCAGTCCAATACACACCATTCAAACACACCGCACACACATCTACATGCGAGGCGACAAGAGCTTGGTTGACGATGTTGGGATTGGGAGAATTAGGTAAGGGTAGCCAGACCCTTACCTTTTTCCCCCTCGCCATTATGATGATTGGAGAGAGTAGTAGAGAGATGATTTGTACAGAACAAATGAAAAAGGGGGGCACGGCCCCCCGGCGCCAGCCATGCCAGATGGTATCTGTCTATACAAGCAAGATAGCAGAGAGCAACACCCGTCGAGGATGTCCACTCTCGACTAGTGGGTTGGCTATCGAAAGGGAGAGGCACCGCCTCGTCTCCTGGTAGATAGCCTCTTATTTCGCTTTCTTATTTTTTTTACTGGTCCGCCCATATCGGCAGCTCAGGCCCAGGCCCACTTGATGGGGACACGGCCTTCTGCTGGATCCGCGAGCTTGTTGAATGCCGCAGGAGAGAGGTCGAGCGAGTGCATGTCGCAGCCAGGGCAGGCATCGGTGACCTTGACCTTGACTGACTTGCTACCGCGCTCGACGTTGATGTAGCGGCCGCAAACGGGGTTGCCGTTGGACTGGCTTCCAAATGTCTGGAAGAGGCTCTCAGAGATGGCCACAATCAAGTCAGAGTCGTTGTTCGTCCAGCCACAGGCACCGAGACCGGTCTGTAAAAGAGCAAGCATTAGCTTTGGGGAATCCATTTGACCGACGAATCGGACTCACGTTGTAGAAGGTGCCGTCGCCAGAGAAGAGCTTGTCGCCAAGGTTCTTTACCGCGTTGCTGGCATCGTTGCTGCTGCTCTCCTTGGGCTTTGTCTCTGACGACGCTTGCGACTGTGCCTGCGAGTGCGACTGCGAATCCTTGGTCTGCTTTGTTTGGGTGGGCTTGTACGTCGTCGAAGACTTGTCGGTCTTGGCATCGGACTGCGATGACTGCTGCTTCTTGGGGGAAGCTTGGGTCGCCTTGTTGTCCTTGTTGGATTCGGTCTCGTCGTTTGAAGTGGTCTGTTTGGTAGTGGTGTCGTCGGACGTGGTTTGGTCTTTGCCATCGTCGGTGCTGCCACTCTGCTGGCTTTGAGCGAATTCGTCGAATTCTTGGGGGGTCTTGCCTTGCTTCAGCGACTCCATCGCTGCCTTTTGCCACTGTCAGAATTGGCACGTAGGTCAGCATGTGCTGCCCCATACTGGCGAGTACACAGATGAGAGGAGAGGAAGAAAGAGCAGCACAGGCAGAAGAGGAGCAGAGTAGAGCAAAGGAGAGCAGAGCAGAGCGGAGGAGGACGGCTCAGAGGAGCGTCCAAGAGGCGAGAGCGCAGAGAGGAGAGTAGACGATAGAGAGTGAAAAGAAAGAGAGTGAAAGAGGGTGAACCCACTGCTCTTAGTTGCTTGTAGAGTGTCGTTAGCGAGTCGATGTTGGACGTTATATTCTGAGATCCACTGCTGTTGTCGATCTTTTTCTCATCCTCTGGCTTTTTCTCTTCTTGCAAGCTCCTCTTGCTTCTGCTCTTTTCTGATCTTTGCTCTGCATCATGCCCTCTTCTGCCGGTTGCTGCTGCTGTGGGGAAGAAAATGGAGGGCGGAGGGGATCAAAGCAAGGGAAGAAGAAGTATCAGACACCTACGGCCGTGTTGATCTGGGCAGTCTTTGCCGCCTGGGCATTGAGGGCGTCCTGCGCCTTGATCTGCTCACTGGTGGCATCCCTGGCCTCTACATCGACAAACGCGCTCGTCGTGGCGCGACGGACGACGTCGAAGCGCTTGGAAGCCAAGCCAGCACGCCCGTGAACCATGTGTTGCTGGTGACGCTTGGCGAGCTTGCCCGCAGCGGCGCGTCGAGCCAGGCCTGGAGTAGAGACGGGCGAAGGCGAGTCGGCCGACGCGAGCATCGTCGACGCAGCGACGAGGGCGAGGGCGAGAATGAGAGATCGGTGGAACGAAAGCATCTTGTTGGTCGTCAAGAAAAGGGGATGTTACAAGTAAAGAGTCGTGCAAAGGATGGTAATACAGGGGTCTGTGCTTGCTCCTCTGAATGAGGGTGGGGGCTGAAATAGGCTCGCTTGTTGTCGTTGCTTTGATGTAGCCAGTACAGAGAGGGAGCGGAGTACGTTCGAGCCGGGGCTGAAGGAGAGGGGAAAGGAGAGGCAGGAACGGTGGTGGGGGAGCTGGATGGGTGGTGGTAGTGGTGGTGATGAAAGTGGTGAAAGAGGGGGATGGATATAAGGGATGGGCGGCGCCCCTCGCATCGCGCCGCGCACTCCGATCTGACACAAAGGGAGAAAGAGCGCTGCGTCTCCTAAGCCTCTATTATTACACTACTAGCGCGGAAATTTTAGACACAGTAGAGAAGCGCTTGCTCTCGTCCTGCCTGTCGAAAATAAAGACGGATCCCACTTTCGAAACCGAAAAAGGCTTGGCTGAGGCGCTTCGGTGTTCCCTGCCCCGTCTGGGATGGACAACAAGAGCCTCGCGCGCACGCAGAGCTGGAAGCGGTTGTCTGCTGGGTCGCCTGCATGCATGTCAAGGGCGGTGTCAAGCATCCACATCCCTTTCTTATTTCTGGCTGCCTGCTCGTTTCGTCGAGGGGCAGCTAGCTGTTGGAAGAGTGCGAGCATGCCCACCATATTTAGCTCCTACTCAATCCGCGACAATATGCATGTCTGTCTCAGCAAGAGCAAGCGAGGGTGCAGAGTCGAAACGTGGTTTCGAGAGCACGCTCATCACTCGATCTAGTGCGGTCATGATTCTTCCCCATCAAGGGACAGCAGCGGTGCTCGAGGTCAGCGCCCTGCCCCATGTCCAAAGCAGTCTGTCTCTTTCGACAGAGACGAGGGACCTTCACGTGAGACGAGGCAGAAAGGGTCCAAGATGTGAGCTTTAATTTAGTTCGATAAGAGATAAGTGCGTGGGATGCACTTCTCATGCCCAATCGACATCATGTCATTGGACGCCTATGCGCGGGCGCGCACCCTCATCGACGAGGCCCACAAGCGGGACCCCCTTTACGGCAAATCTCAAAGTAAGGATCTGAGCCAGACTTCAAGCCAGACCGACGGCGGGGAAGGAGGCGCACGTGAACAGGATGAGATGGCCTATGCCGATGCCGTCGAGAGCTGGGCGATGCGACTCATCTCGATGCATTCGGGACAGGAGGATGAGTTGCTGGCGTGCATTCCATCCTCTTCGGGCCGAGAGGCCAAGCTGGAGCTCGTGCGGCTCGGCGCGCGCTGCCAGCACCTCGAGCGCTTCCTTACGCCGCGCTCGTCGTACCCCGAGGGAAAGGCTGGATATCTACGCTGGAGGAGGGACCTGTACGGCATCCAAGCCGATCGAGCAAAGGAGCTCCTCGTCCAAGCTGGTGTTGCTGCCGAAGAGGCTGAGTGCGTGAGACGGTGGGTCAGCAAGACAGACCTCAAACCGGGCAAGGCCGAGGGTGACCGGGGCACACAGCTCCTCGAAGACGCCGCTGTGGTCGTCTTCCTCGAGGACCAGCTAGGCCACTTTGCCGGCAAGCACCCGGGCTATACACGGGAGAAGTTTGTCGACATTCTTCGCAAGACGTGGCGGAAGCTCTCGCCGCTCGGTAAGGAGGCTGCTGCGGGCCTCGACATGGGCGAGGACCTCTCGCCGCTCATTGCAGAGGCCACAAAGGGCCAGGCGGGGGAGCCAGAGGCGTGACGAGATCTGCATTGCATTGCGTTGCCATGTCCAATGAATCTATATCTCACCCGCCCTCCTCATTCAGTCTCTTTGTCATCTCCCTGATGTGCCTCACCCACGCCTCGACGTCGCTCTCCTCCACCTCTGGATCCCGCACTGTGACCTTTTTCTTGTCTTTGCCCTTGCGACCATCCTCGTCGCGTGAATCTCTTCGCTTCAAGAGCGACTTGAGCTCCCTCTTGCCCCTGTCCACTCCTCTTTTAAGCGCGTCTGCTTCCTCCTTCGCCAGTTCCTCTGCCCGATGCACGTCCTCCTTGACAAAGGCAACATTGCGCCTGCCAGCCTCCTTGAGCGCAGTGGCGTCCTCCCGCACAAATCCTACGAACTTCTTCGAGGTGCCCTTGACGGCCGAGACCAAGTTAGAGAAAGGATTGATGAGGTGCGAGGAAGACGGACCTGGTGATTCCTTGGCCAGTTTCTTCTGTGTCGACGCATCAATGGCGATTCCCGTGCCATCGGCAACGCCGTCCAGCGGGATACGGTCGGGCATATCGCTGCTATCTCCTCTCTTCTGCTGCCTTGGCTGAGCTGGTCCGCTTGCCTCTTCGTGCAGTGCCTCGACTATCTTTCTGATCGACTCTTGAAGCTTCTCCTCTTCATTTATTTTCTTTGTTGTGGACGAGTCTGGTCGCTGTGCAGCTGAGGAAGCTACCTTGCCGTCACGACCGCCCGTCTGCCGAACTGCTGCCCTTTCCCTCCCTCTCAGCTCTGCTTCGATGCCCGTTCGATAATTTTGAACTGTCTCAAGAGCCCTCTTGAGCCTATCGACCTCGTCTTCGTCCACTTGTCTCTCTTTTCCCTTGCTGCTCCTGACGCTGGTCAGACCAGCCGTTGCTTTGGTCGACTGCGGAGGCCCCTCCTCCTCCTCCCCGTAAGGAGTTCGTGTGCCATCATCATCCTGGTGTGGCGGCTGGCTGCATACGTCGCTTTCAAGCTGGTGCACCAGAAATTCTGCCTTAGAAGGGCTCTTTATGCCGAAAAAAATGTCACTCACTTCCAACAATCGACGCTTGTTCTCGTAGAGCTCATCGAGGGCCTGCTTGACTCGCTCGGCACTCGCATCGACCAAGCTTGGCACTTCGTCCATCAGCGTCTGCGCGGTCGAGTAGTAGATGTCTCGTGCCCGCCTCCGCGCCTCCCGCCTTTCTTTCTCGTCCTCCTTGAGCCTTGGCGGTATTTCTGCAGTCTCTCTGTTGCCTTGAAGCTGCAACTTTATCTTTGACTTGGCATCTTGACTGACTAAGGCCTTCATCTTGACGGTGCTTGTGGAAGACGATGAAGACGAGCTGGAGCTGTTGAGAGAAAGAGGCCTTGTTTTCTTGCTTTCCTTCTTCTTGCTTTTCTCCTCGTGCTTTCCAGTCGTTTCCTCTCCTTTCTCCCTTCCTTCTGTGTCTGTAAGCCCGGTCAGCCCGGTGGGTAGGGCTGCTTTTCCTTGTCCACTTTCTTCTCTGTCGTCTTCTTCACTGGCTGTTGCCTTCTCTTTTCCCTTTCCTTTTTCGCTTTTCCTCTCCTGAACCTTGCCTTGTGTCTTTATTTCGTCTTCTTTCTCTGAGACCGACTCAACAGTCGGTGGCTTTATCTTTGTTCCTGACTTCTCCTGTGTACTTTCGTCTAGAGCTTCTGTTTCGCCCCTTTTCCCCTTCTCGTCTTCTGCCTCTGGTGATCCTTTGATTGTGTCATTTTCTTCGACTCGAGTCGTGGTGGTCTTCTTCGCTTTTTCTTCTATTTTCGAGCTTCTCTCTTTCGTCTCAATCACCGTTTTCTTCAAGACATGTGAAGTTGTCGCAACCGCTCTCTCCTCCTCCTCCTTCGTCTTCTCGTTCTCTTCACCTTCTCCGTTTACGCCATTGCCACCGTTTGTACCCTTGTCACCGCCTTTCTTGAGAATTGACTGGAGCTCGACGGTCGGAGGAGCAGGTGCCGAGGAGCTCGAGGCTGTACTTGAAGAAGAAGCCGACGAGGATAAGAGCGCAGACCCTGGCGGTCCGGCGATTGCTTGTTCCCCTTTCGAGGTTGCCTTTGTAGCCCCAATCGACGAAGGTCCTCCAGACACGTCGCTGCTCTGGCTCACAGCCGCTTCTGCAGCTGCCGTCGGGTCAAAGACGGTGACGGTCTCTTCAAAGGATACGCGCGAGCTCTTGGAAGAAGGAGGCGAGGCATCGACACCGCTGCTGTCTTCCTTGTATTTCTCGGATGCTGCCACCTTCGTCGTCGTTGTCGTTGTAGTCATTGTCGTTAATGTTTCCTGCTTTCCTTTCGGTGCAGTCTTAGAAGTGACAACTTTCTCTTTGGTCTTCGTGCTTTTCGTGGCTTCAGAAGTGGCTGGTGAAGTGACCCGGACCGTTGGGACGGAAAGCGTCTCAGTCTGAGCTCGAATACCTCCAGTCGGGGCGAGAATCTCATCTGTAGCAGGACTTGCGTCTAGATTCTTTAGGGATGCAGGCAACTCAAAACCCGGCAGCCACTCGCAAGGGGGCGAGGTATCGGCCATGGGCAAGGGAGGCTCCGAGACTTGCACTTCCTCGTCGCGTAGCCATGGCTCACTCTTGTATGTCGCTCCTTCTTCCCCTGCCTTCTCCGAACTCGCTGCAGCTGGCGGCTTCCCCTTGTCGCGAACCATTTCAATCGCTTCCGTTTCCACCTTGTTCTTGCCCTTGCCTTTCGTTTCGTCTTTTGTCTGCTCCACTTTTGTCCCCCTCTTCTTGGCCTCGGCAGCCTCTACACCTTTGCCCTTGTTTTCCGTCTTCGCCGGTTTTGCTACCTCGTCCTTCCCGGCATCCTTTGAGATACCGCCGGGCTTGTTCTTTCCTTTCTCACCCTTGTCGCTGGGGGTCGCCAAGCTTGGCCCCTTTTTGGCCTCTGTTTCGACGACCTCGTCACTCATGGAGCTTGCCTTGCCCTTGTTCGTGCTTGCCTCCTTGTCTTTATCTTTGTGCTCGATCTTCTCCTCCTTGGCATCTGAGTCGCTTCTTGTTTCTTTCTTGTTTTCTGCTACCGTCAAAAGGGGCTGCTCCTTGCCCTTTTTGCTTTTGGCAGGGACTGCACCTGAAGAAGTGGTCGTCTCTTCCACAGTCACCTTCGTCGCCCGCGCGGCCGTTGTTGACGTCGTCGTCGTCGAGATTGTGGCTTGACTCTCTTTAGACGACAGAGAAGAGCTCGACATGGTCTCTTTCTTCTTGTCTTTGCCTTCCTCCGTTATCGCCTTGGACTGTTGAGCAGCCCCATCTTGACTTTTGCTGCCTCCTTTGGATCCTTTGTCCTCTCTCGTCTCCATCTCCTCACCTTTTTTCTCGGTCTTCTTTACGGCTTCACTCTTGGCTTCTGACTGCTGTGTCTTCTGTGACTGTTGTGGCTGCTGCGACTGCTGTTGCTGCTGTGTTTGCTGTGTTTGCTGTGACTGCTGGGTTTGCTGTGAAGTCTGTGGCTGTGGCACGTTTGCGGTAGTGGCAGAAAGAGTGGCGGCCGATATCACGGTAGGCAGCGAGGAGGTTGCAAAAGCAGGGTGCTGTGCAGCATAGCAGACCTCCCACTCCCGCTCCCATTGCTTCTCCCACTGCTCTCGCTCCTTCTGTTTCTTCCAGGCTTCTTTGAGTCTCTGCTTTTCCCTGTCTTTCTCCATCGCCTCTTTGCATGGCGCACAGCTGCCCTTGCAGTCTTTGTCAACCCCTTCAGCCGTTGTCTTCGCCTCCTGCTCGTTCCTGTCATCGTCTTTCTTCTTCTCTTTGTTCCTTTCCGCCTCCTGTTGTTCGTCTTTCGCCTTTTCCTTCTCCCTGCTCTTCTCCTTAGACTTTCCTTTGCCTAGTTCCTCCTCGTCTTGGTCCTCATCCACCAGCTTTCTTTCTTTCCCTCTCTCCTTTTCCCGATCCATTTCCTTTCCCCTCTTCCTATCTTCATCCATGGCCCTCGTCCGCCTCGAACGCCATCGATCAATCTTATCGTCATAGCCGCGCCTTATCCTCGACCTCCATCCACCGGGCACTCTCTCGTCATCATCGCCGTCGTCGTCTTCGAACGACGACGAGGACGAGCCAGATGAGTCCGACGACGAGGACGACGGTGACGTCGAATCCTTTGGGCACAAGCGTCGACGCCGCTGGTAATGCTCATCCCTAATTTGCCTCTTTGGCCTTCTCCGCGGCCCCTCTTCCTGGTCACGGACCCTGTACGGAAGACTCGCTCGTCTGCTCTTTCGTCTTTCCTTTTCCCTTCGCTTGGCAGCTTTGTTGACGGGCCTGGACCTGGACTCAGACTCGGATCTGAATCGTGTGCTGTCGTAGTAGAGCGCGAGCAGAGATGCCAGAACGATGACGCTCCCGAGGACGACGTAGAGATTGGCTCGGCTTGCGCCAGTGCCCACTACCACCCAAGGGGTGCCTGCTTTGTCGCTCGGAGGGGGCGACGTTGGAGACAATGGCAGAGGCTGAGAAGGAGGAGGGGGAGGTGGTGGTGCAGGAGGTGGTGGTGGAGGGGGAGGCGGAGGCGGAGGCGGCGGCGGTGGCTGGATGATGATGGGCTGCTGAGGATGAAAGAGGGGAAGGGAGAGATGCGAGATGAGGAGCGTGAGGCCAGAAGTCAGCACGACGCATGCTACGGGAAAAGCCGTCGTCGCCATATCGGTGTGTGACCAAGCAGTCAGTCCACCCCTGCCGCAGATTGGCGGGCTGGTAGATGATGAAGACAATTGGAACGAGAAAAGAGGAAGGAGCGACCGAACAAAGAGGAGTAGCGTAGGACAGCCGTCACTCTGCGCGGAAAAAGCAAGACAGTCGGCGTTGAAAATGATCACAAAAAGGCCCACAAGGGGGGAGAGAGGGAGGAAGCAGAGGATCTGATTCTCATTTGCAAAGCTGCATGGAGATGATTCTGGCAACTAGCCGGGCCCGACCTTGGGCAGGTCGTAGTGCTCCGTCTGGTTCTCGAGGTCGCGGTTGAACTTGTCGACCTTTTCCTTGTGCGACATCTTGGCCTCTCGCGCCACCCTCTCTGCCATCTGCGTGTCTCATCAGTCTCAGCGGGAGTTGATGCAGAACGAAGAAGCACACTTACCCTCTTCAGCCGCACCTCCTCGAACTTGCGCTCCGCCGCCGTCTTTGCCGGTCCGCTGCTCCGCTGAGCCAGCGCAGCATCGTCGACTTGATCAGGCTCCTCCCTCTCCTTTCCCTTGCTGCTGCTTCCGGGAGCATCCTCAGCGTACTCAGATCTGCGCGCGACATCCTTTGACGTCGACGACTTTGTCTTCTTCTTCCTGCCGGACGGGAAGAAGACGTAGAGTTAGCGCTCTTGATCTGATGACTGCAAAGAGTGCAGGGGGCAAAGACCCACTTCTTGCCCGCCAACACGGGCGACTCGCCGCCCTTGAACTTAAGCGAGCCACCCGGCTTGAACGAGTAGGCGTCCTTGCCCGCCATTGGCTGGTCTACTTGCTCAAGCTTCGCTCCTTTCCTGTCTCGTTGGAGCAGCAGCTTTCTCTCTTCAAGCTCTCCGTGTGACGCGACGTTGACAAAAAGGCAATAACGTCAAAACGCCACGCGTCTCCTCCACTTGCCAAACTGTAATCTCGAGGGGAAGGGGGCTTTAATTTTTATCCCTTGATTATCCAGGAGTCATCTGCTCCTGGGCAGAGAACTCTCGCATCTCTCTCACACGATCATCAACAACGACGACGGACTATGGCCGGAATTCGCGCCCACCAGGATGGACGCGCACCGAGCCGGCTCCTGGCGGGCCTCAGCATCGTCGCCTGCTCCCTGACGGCGGGGAGCATCTACTGCTTTCCGCTCTTTGGGCCAAGCCTGACACGCGACCTCGGCCTCTCGCTGCTCCAGACCAACTCCATCTGGGGCGGCGCCGTTTTTGGCCAGTACTTTTCTGCAAGTCTGATGGGCCACCTCGGCGACACATATGGCCCGCGACCGCTCGCTCTCATCGCATCAGTCCTCTTTGGCACAGGCTACCTCCTCATGGCGCATACAGAGTGGGCCGCCGTCGATTCACAGGGGCGGTTGTCGCCACAAGCCAATGACCAGAGAGCGGCCGGCACCGCTGTCGTCGCCTTGACTGCCTACTTTGTCCTGGTCGGTGCAGGTGTGGCCGCAAGCGTGTTCGGCGCCCTCCGATCGTCGACGAGCCACTTTGGCGGCAAGCACCCTGGCCTGGCGCTGTCGGTGCCCCTCACCCTCTTTAGCCTCTCCTCGCTCTTTCTCTCCTCGCTCGCCTCGCTGTCGACCTTTACCGACTCGAAGACAGGCGACCTTAATGGACCAAAGTGGCTCACTTTTCTGGGTGTTGGCCTCATGCTCGTCAACGCCCTTGCCGCCTTTGGCCTCTCTGCACCGCCGCCGTTGCCGACACCGACGCCAGCGCGGCCAGATGGCTCCGCCGAGAGTCAAGCCAGCGAAGCTTCGCCTTTGCTGCCTCCTGCTTCGCATTCTTTAGATGCCGACTCGTCAAGACTAGCATACACAACGCCATTTGCCACGACTGACGTGCTGCCACAGTCCGCCTCGACTGGCAAGCTGTCCATCGGCAAATTCGCCCAAGTCCCCGCCGTGTGGGCCCTCGCCCTCATTCTTTTTGCTTCGGTCGGGGGTGCAGAGATGGTCATGAGTAGCGTGGGTAGCATCGTCGTCAGCCTGCGCTATGGCCACCTCGATGCCCTGGCCAAGGCTGGTGGCGACGACGAGCATCTGGGCAAAGAGACACTTGCTCTCCGCGCCAGCCAGGTCCAGCTGATCGGTGAGTCGTGCCCACTTCTCTCCCTAAGATTCGGCACCTATGCAATTGCTGACATTCACCAACTTTGTGAAGCCATTGCCAACACCGTCGCGCGTCTCTTTGCCGGTCTGGCCTCGGACGTGTGTTCCCCCACTCGACCGAGACCGAGCCGCGGCGATGCGCCGTGGCTCTCGCGCGTGCGCGTCAGCCGCATGACAATGCTCCTCGGCGGGCTCATCTTGCTCCTCGGAGGCTTCCTCTACGCCGCCTTTCTGCTCGACTCCGTCGAGCGCCTGTGGGTCGTGAGCTTGGCCACTGGCCTCGGCTACGGCTTGACATTCACCCTTGTTCCCTCGACCGTGCTCGTGCTCTGGCCAGCCCAGTTTGGACGCAACTACGGTCTGCTTACCTATGCTGCTGCGACAGGCAGCCTGACCTTCTCGATGCTCTTTGCCGCCGTCAATGACGCCGCTAGCAGGCCTTCGTCCTTCTCGCCGGCCCTCTTCGCCACCTCGTCTTCGTCAATAAGAACAACGCCCTCGGAGGCAGCTTCCGGGGCCATCTGCAAGTATGGTAGAGACTGTTTTGAATCGAGCTTCTTGGCCGCCTCAGCCGCGCTCGTCGCCGCTCTCGCGGTCACAGTGCCCCTGTGGCGAGCCTGGCGACACTCGCTCTAAATATGACGCCACTGGCCCGGCACCCATCTACAAGATGCTTTTTGATCTTCACATACAAGCGCTGTATAGATAGCTAGAGACACACTCATACACTTTCATCTAGAAAACGATCACAGTATTCCACAATGCCCGTTTGCCCTTCCTTTGCGTTGTCACATGGTCTGGTTCGGACGACCATTCTTCCGACTCACACTGCTGTGGTGGCTTTGCCGACGGTACGGCTTAAGTCCGGCTTATTCGCGGATCCTCCACCCAGTTTTAGTTTACGCAACGGGTCGCTTCTTTCTCTCTTCCAACAGCAACACCAATCGCTTGCTCACCAACCCGTTGTCGCCGCACAGCTTGTCACCTTTCTCGAAGTATGACTGCGGAACAGAACCTGAAGGATACGACCGTCGTCGTCATCGGTGCCTCGCGCGGCATTGGCCTGGGCCTCGTCGAGCGTCTCCACGAGGCGGGCGCGAGCGTCATTGCGACGGCGCGCAAGCCGGACGAGGCCGCGGCCAAGCTGCCCAAGGGCGTCCGTGTCGAGGCGCTCGACATCACCAAGGCCGACAGCGTTGAAGCGTTTGCGAAAAAGGTTGACAAGATTGTGAGTCTCTCAGCTCTCCCTCTCTCTCTCGCACGCTTTCTCTTTCTTTCCTTTGGAGCGCCCAATGACTAAAGCTTAACGAGCCTGGCAGGACACACTTATTGTCAATGCCGCCGTCGGACACGCGGACCTGATGAAGGACACCGACGCAGCGCAGCTCCAATGGTATCTCGACTCCAACGTCGTGGGCGCCCACCGCGCCGTGCTCGCCCTCTTGCCCGCGCTGCGGAGCGGAGCAAAGAAGCAGATTGTCCTCATCTCGAGCACCAGCGGAAGCCTCGAGAAGCAGGTCGGCGCCACTTCTGGCTTCACGGGCCCTTATGTAAGAGCTCTTTTCGAACCATCATGGAGGAAGAAACAGAAAGAGAGAATGAGGTGCTGACATCGTCTTTTGCCAGGCGGTGACAAAGGCGGCGACGAACATGCTCGCCGTGCAGTACCACAACGAGCTGCACAAGGAAGGCTTCACCGTCATCCCCATCCACCCGGGCTGGGTCGCCACCGACATGGGCCTCGAGGCCGGCGTGAATCCAAAGGGTCCCCAACCAATTTCCATCGAGACGTCTTCGAGTGGGATCGTCAACGTCGTCGCCCAGCTCACGCCAGACAAGAGCGCCACTTTCTTCCAGTATGACGGCGTCAAGCTGCCCTGGTGATCGAAAGACACGGTCTAACGAGGTTCTCTGCTCATAGTCCACATGCGCAATTAATCTGCATTTCTCTCTCTTGTGCCTAAGCGAGCGCACGGCCTGAAGAGCAGTGATTTGGGAACTCCCTACTGATCGAAAGCGCACAGCGAGGACGCGGCGAAAGGCCGTCTCTGAGATGTTGGGCTAGCACTGCTGTACAAGTGGAATTCATCACCACATTCAGAGGCTGCACAGGTTGTTTCTTCCACTTCAGGGATGAGTTTGAAGGTGGGACTAGTGCGGACATGATGCAGACACGACAATGGAGTCAGACTTAGAGCTGTCTAACCCTCCACGTACACTCTTACCTTTGAACTGCAGCGCTCGTTCCTCCACGAAGTACCATGTACAGCTATATTCATTACTCAAGGGAGGTTTTTGGGGTAGGACAATCATGGAAAAGATAGGACGAAGAGGAAGAAAGGTTTTAGGCCGCAGAATAACAAGAGTGGAAGAATGAGGAGTGACGCCTCTCTGTGTAAATGCGAGGCCTTTGGGGAGGAGTGGTGGAAGACTGAGAGAAGACGTATAGACACTTTCACAGAGACTCAAAAGAAGAATTACCGAAGTGGAGAGGACAGGAAAGGAAGAGGGGAAAGAGAAGCTGTAAGAGACGTTACAGACGAGTAGTTGATCCCCTCCTCCGGCTATTAATTGGTGACCTTTGTGATAGAGCCGACTCCAAAGCTTCTTGGACCTCACAATTCATGCCCCTCTGTCGGACTTTGTCAAGGGTTTGAGAGAAGTGCTGCTACATTGCGACTTGCGAGGTTTGCGCGAGGTCTTCTTCGAGTGTTTCTGCTTTTCCGACCTCTCCAGAACAAGGTTCTCCGTACCATTCTTCAAAGCTTGCGCGTCGTTTTTGACACCACTTTTGGTCTGGCAAAAGGTCATTCAGTCGCCGCGTGGTGATGCTTGCCAGGAAGATAGACACTTTAGTGGCCTTTACTAAGGCCCCACTCATCACGCTGAGAGCCTGGGGCTGGTTGCGACGGTCCACGCTGTCGTTGTCCGCATCCTCGTGCTGCTTTTGCTCTTCTTCCCGTTGCCTGCGCTCTTTTGCTTCTTCGTTCTCCGCCATTTTCTGGTATACTTTTGGCCATTCATGTTCTTTCTGGATGGGCAAGCTGGCCATGTGCGAGCTCGTCCTCCGCGAAGAGGAAGAGGATGCCGGATCTTCTAGCTCGTGCCAATCGTTGGGCTTAAAGACACCGTTCCTCTCATAGATGTGCGTGATGACGCGGTCAATCGTAGCTTTCCTCACTAGATTTGAAGTGTTACGTCGATCATTTCTGAATTTCTGGACCAGAAGTTCCTCATCGTGTGGCAGCGATGCATCGTTGTCTTCTGCACGAATACCGAGGTCCACCTGAAGATTTTGGGCCGCATCCTCTGCCGATAGCGTCCGCCTTCCTGGCATGTCTGAGATGTCGTAAGCGATTCTCAGGAAACATTCCCTCATTTGATATTCGCAGCGCCTCTCTGCAGTTTTTTGTTCGATTGACAGTTCTCGTTGCTCCGGAGGCGTGTCACTCTCCTGTGCGCCCGTAAGACTCATCCTTCTGATACCCTCGACAAGCTCTTGACGGCTGCTGGATGGGCGAGGAAGATTCCCGTGTTGCAGATGTTGCTGCTCGTCGGTGCTACTGCAACTTTCGCGTGCAGGGACAGTCGTTCGCTTTCCAAACCTCGAGCCTCGTCTCGACCTCGCCTGAGCCTCAAATGGCCGCTCGTCCGGTCGCTCGTTCTGCTGAGAAGCTGGTTGGGGCAGACTAGCCTTTGTGATGCGCGAAGTGATCGAAGTGGACGCCTCGAGGGGCGACTCGCTCGGCTGGTTCATCAAGGCACCTCTGACTGCTTTGGCGGGGATTATAACTTTCAAGGCTTCAAAGGCATCCCGACAAACATTCTCGCAGGTATCCGCGTGCTGGAATAAACGATCGATAATTCTCGCCTCCTTCAAATCGGGGAAATCGTCCCCCGCTGGCTCCTTCGAGCGCTTTTGAAGTCCGGTGTTGTCGGGGAACGCATTGCGTGGCATCCTGGCCGAAGCCGTACCCCCCAAATGCGTGCTCCCCGAAGGCATGCTCCTCAAATGCATTCTCCTTAAATGGGCAGACGGAGCGGGAAGGTGTACCTTCGGACCGGAGCTTGAACTGCCGTGACTTTTGCTACCTTGAGTTTTGCCATACGAACGGACCGATTTCAAAAGGTTGACATATTCATCCAAAGCTGCGTGGACATCTGTAGCTTCGTCTGCAACTTCTTTTTTGATTTTTGTAAGGGCAAATTGTGCCTGGTCGGGCGTATACTTCCCGAAGTTTTCACACAACCAGTCCTTAAGTCGAGTCCCTAAAGCATTCTGCGGTTGAAAGTTCTTCAGTGTCTCTTGCGAATTCTCGTTGGACAAACCGGACGGCTTCTCGTTCATGCTCTCAAGTTCTTGTTGAGAGTTGTCTGTTGTGCCGGAGGCGCGATCTAGAATGTGTAGGTCCAGTTTCTCGAGTACTTCGCTGCCGATGGCTTCCAAGCGTTTAACCCAAGTTTTAATCCACTCCGACTTCCTCGCTTCTTCTAACTTTCTTGCTTCTTCCAAGTCCCTTGCTTCTTCTTCCGAAATTTTGGTTTCTTCTCCTTCTTGGCTGTTTCTAGATGCGCAATTGCCCCGTTTAACAATTTGCCAAGAAGGGCGAGCTTCCTCCTCCGTTGAGCGCTTTCGAGGTCTGGTGTTGAAGTTGGAGGATGAATTGGGCAGCATCGTCGCCAAATTGGCAGACTGAGTGGGGAGTGATCGGGCTGAGACGGAGTCGGTACCCAGAACTTTTAACAATATCAGCGAATCCAATAGGCAATCACATTCGTCCAAAGCTTCTTGAATTGATGGATGCTTGTTTCTTGGGTCCATTCTGACGTCTCTGATGGTGATCTTTACGTTCTCGGGCGAATCCACCTCGAGTAAATTGCGGACCTTTTCTAGATAGACGTTTCCAAGCTTAGTCTGCGGTGTATAATTGTCGAAGAACGCTAACAATTCGTTCTTGGACGTGGTTGGTTCCTTGTTCACTATCTCGTATTCTTGTTGGGGTGCTCGTAAAGTGCCGAGGGCGCGACCTTGTATGCACTGCATTACGCCGTCAATTACTTCATTGCCAAGGTCGTCCATGCCCTCAATCCGTTCGTGGTCACTTGCTTTTCGTTTACTGCCCCGCTTAACAAGTTGCCAAGGAGTGTGAACTTCCTCCGTTGAGCGCTTTCGAGGTTGGGTAGCGTCGTTGGAGAGTGATTTGGGCGCCCTTGTCGGGCTGTGGGGTGAGTTGTGGGGCGGAGAAGGAAGGTGAATCACCGAATCGGTGCTGGAGTGGTCGTCGTTGTTGCCTATTCCAGGCAAACCCCGACTGCGCCTCATGTCGTTGACCCTTTTCAAACGGTCCGGTGGAAGCCTCTTTACTTGTTCCAATATCATCGCTTGTAAACTACCTTCAAAGCCCTCTGTATGTGAGCTAGATAGTTCGGATTGTGCCTGTTCCCAAGCATGAAGCTCAGGAGCAAACTGTTGATAAAGCTCTTGCGTCAGCTGCTGGATTTGTCTGGCCTCTTCTTTCTCCTTCTTTTTCTGTTCGGACAGCCTCTTCTTCTGGATCTCTTGCGCCTCTGGAGATGCAAGTATGTGCTCTTGATTTGCGCGTGCATCTGCAAAAATAGCGCTGTAGATTTCTGCACCCAAATCTTCTCCGCTGCTTGTCCCCACCATCTTCTCCTTCGTTTTACGTCCTTTGCCCCGTTTCACAAGACGCCGTAGGGGGTTTTTGGCAGAGGTAGGACCCTTCTCTTCTGGCAATAGGCCTGCTACACCAGGGGAGAGGGATTGGATCCCTGTTTCGAAAGTACCGCTGCTAGTGTGTCCCCTCTTTGTAACGCCTTCATGTAGAAATGGCGAAGGAGTGAGAACATGGAAATCTTTGATCGACTCGGTCGTTTCATCGTGCTGTAGCTCGCCGATGTCCTGCATCGGCCGGGCAAGTGTGGCGCTTTGAGACAAGGCGCGGATTCAGCGATCGTCTGACCTTGCGCGCAGTTATCAGGGCGTGAGGATGAATTGGCACTTACGAGATTGCCACGAAGGCGAAGAGAATAATCACTCCGCACCGCATTGCTGAAATTCCCTATCAAAGGGTCTCTCGACAAGAGGCGGGCTTGCGGGAAAAGTAATGAGAAAGCAGGGGGAGGGGAAGAAGTTGTGAGGGAATGGAAAAGAAAAATGTGTTGGGGGACGAAGAAGATAGGGGAGCAGGCAAATGGACTCTCTTTTTATAGACGAGGCCTCCCTATAGCTTGCATACTTCTTAACCTCTCGATCGCTTCGGAAGCGCTCGGTCGCAGCTGAGATGGAATTACAGGGGCGGAGTTATCTCGGTAAGGAGTAGACCACTCGCTGACAGAGGAACGGCACTCGGCCCGAACACTGTCCAAGCGCTTGAGAGGGCGTGCATCTTTTATTTTGTTGTTGTTGTTGTTGTTTTTTTTTTGGAGGAGGACACAGCCGGTGCGCCAATGCTCTGTACTATACGCCACTGACTTACAGCCTGCCTCGGGGCACCTTCAGATTTCTTGTCGCACTAAGCAGCCCCAAGACGGTGTTGATGTCCCTTTTGTGAAAAAGTCTCAAGGCTCTTCTCGCGATGGTGGTAAAAACGGGTTCGATCAACAAATCGAGTTTACCGTCCCCGTGGAGCAAAGTGCGTGAACGCAGCACAAGCTTCACTAAGTTGATCAATGTAGAGATTTGCGTCCCTGAATACCGCAGCAGTACGTTCTGTTCGGTGGCGACGGGTGAGCAGGCAAGATGCGAGTCTGACGATAGTGGCAGTGTGGCTCGGGCCGTATGTAATTTGAAGAAAGAAAGCAAAAACAACAACAAAGAGATAAAAACGCACACGCACATACACTCACAAAAAAAAAACAAAGCACGACCGAGCCGAGGGCGCTGTGGGCTGAAGGGGAGTGCAAGTCACGCAAGTGTACCCACTCTCGGATCTCTGCTATCGCAAAAGGGCAAATGCGCTCCCCTTATATTGTACCTGCCAAAGTGTAAACCCCCGCGCAAATAGTCGTAGAAAGCAGAAGATGCAGCTGGCTGTCTTTTTTCTTCTCTTTCGCAGTGAGTACCGACTGTTGATCAAGCTGACAGCTCCTACCCTTGCAAATCTGTGCTTATGCTCTGAATGCATTTCTTCTGCAGAATCACGAACTCAATCTCAGCATGGCGATGGCTTCCACAGAACCACCTCCGATAATGGAGGGCAATCTGTACTGAAGTCTTCACTTTCGTAAACATATTCAAACTCCCCAAAAAAATCTTCGTGCCTGCGTCCGCAAAAAGGCTGGGGCTGAGATACGCGAAAGGTCTAAGCGAAGGCGTCGAAAATGCCTTTTCGGGGTTTCCAGACTTTCTTCGAACAAGGACAAATGGAAAAGAGTCGTGCTATATGAAACGACGGAAGTTTCAACGGAGGATTCAAAGTACGGTGGAAAACAGCGGAATTCACAGAAAGAATCCACATCAGGCACCAAAGACGCTCTAGTTACGAGCGAATCGGTGAAGGGGGCGGAGCGAGACGAGGAGCACAACGAGACAGGAGAAGGGACGGTAAGAAAATGTATTGTGCCTGCGAAGGGAAAGGGAAGGAAGATTTCTTTGATTTCGAAGCTGCTCCGAAATAAAAGGTCGACAGAATTTACTCACAACCATGATGTAAAGCCCGCTAGTCTAGAACTGTGTGCAGAATTTACACATGTATGAGCCGCCCGAAGAGCTCTTGCGTGTGCAGTCAACGACCGAGGCACGGGAAAACGTCTGGATCGGTACCGCCCGGACTATATCGAAGAGGAGGGGACAGATTTCCGAGAGCGTAAACAGGCTGGCTAAATAAAGCGCTGTAGACCAGGGAAGGCGTAGGACCAATCAAGTCTTGGCCGAGATCTCGACGACCGAGTTCGGCCCGAAGCCCAAATTGTTGATATCCGAGCAAAGTTCTGCATATAAGCACATAAATTGAATGTCATACCCCTTTCCCTTCTCCTCCCTCCTCTCAAACGCTCTCTTGTTTCACCACACCGTCTAACAAACAAATCTCTGCATACCTCCAAAGCAGTACGAATTTTCTAGTATGCGCTGCTCACGTTGGCAGCACGTCCTTCTGTTTGTCGGGCAAGTATCTCATGACTCGGCTCTCATTCGTAAGTTTGAGCTTACTGTGTCGCAGAGTTTTGGTGCCTTCGATTCATGCCTGCATCGAGGGTGGCGAATTTTTCGGTGCCAAACGCTCTGCCTGCGGTCTCTCAGGTCTTTCAGGAACTCAGATAAAGAAGCTCGAAGGTCGCCCTCCCCATCGTACGAATGAGCCTCACGTATCTTCAGTCAACGAAGAACCCCAGAAAGACGAGTACGGTGCTTCGCTGGTGGCAAAAGATGCCATCACGACAGAATGTGAAATGAGCCAATGTCGCCATAAAAATAGCTGGTGTCGCATCCGCATTCTAAGCCAGACCAAAGATGGAGACTGCAACACTGAAGCAAACGTCAAGCACCTCTATCTGAAAGACATGCACAGCGGCCATCTGAAGAAGATGATTCGTCGCTCTAAACAGAATCTCCGTCACCCCGAGCCCAACACAACAGGTGACTTAAGTTTGTGCTTACCTTCCAAGCCAAAGGTCTTCTCAGGTCGCCAGACCAACATGATCAGAGCGCCTTCAGACCGATTGTCTGCAAACGATGCTCGCCCCCCAAGTGTTGTTCGCGCGAGCCACTTGAGCCCTGAATCTATTCAAAAGAGGGCCAGTCGCGACTGGGAGGACGAGCTACATTTCTCAATGGGAGAAGGATCCGCAAGTTCAGGCTCGGAGAGACGATCAAAGAAAGGGGAAAAGCAGTTGACAAGCGAACGGTGGCAAAAGAAGGGGAGGGCCGAATCCCAGCACTCACCGCAGCGCACGTCCGGGGTCAAGACACCTCCAGATGATGTTCCCAATGAAAAATTGAATGGGTTAGAATTGCTTGCGCGATACATGCATAACTTTCGCGCAAAGGAGGCCATTCGTCTGGCAAATGAGAGGAAGCTCAGGCTTCTACTTTTGGAGGACAGAGCGCAAGAGCTGAACTTTAATGAGAAAGAGTCAAAGAAGCTCGGGAAGCTTCGATGGCAAGGTTCTCTTCCCTTGGAAAAGTCAGAAGACTTGGAGCTATACGAGGCCGTCGCAAAACAACTGGGAAAGGAAATGCCGGCCTTGGACAAGGAGCGCGAAGATCTTGTCAAAGTCGACGATGATTCTATTCCCAAGGGGGGATTAGAAGACTTGGACCTTTACGAGGCCATCAAAAAGCAAATAAAGACATTGCAGGTCTCCGAAGAGAAGCGCGCGCGTGGTGCCAAATTCGACAAAGCTGATTCACACGTTTCAAGTGAAGCAAGCAGAAGCAAGCAGAAGCCCATAGACCCATCACACCAGAGGTAGCCAACATTCAAGATCAGCTCAAAAGATAGGATAGCGGGGTGCTGAAGAAGGCAGATTTAAAAGAAAGTGACAAACTTGATGAGCAGACCGACGTCCGGGGCTGCGCCTGTGGTAGTAGTAGTGTTCTATAGTCGTAGGTGGCACTCCAGCTGAGGAAGCAGCTATTTCGTAGATGAAAGGCTACGTAGGTAATTCAGGCTTATTTTGGTTCGGTGATGATCTTGCTAGCGTTTAGCTGCCTCGGCTTGCTTTCAACGCTAAGAAAAGAGTAAGCCACCACCGACCCCGCAATGGAACATCGCGCTATGTGGGGCACGAGAGCAGGAACAGGTCTGGCTCGGAACACCACCTACCAGACCAACAAAGATCAGCATGTTCGGAGGACCCAAGCCCTACACACACCCGTCTGCGTACGCCACCTCGACGAATGAGGAGGCCAAGCGCTACGACTATGTCATTGTTGGAGCTGGCACGGCAGGCAGCGTCCTGGCTAGCCGCCTGAGCGAAGACCCACAGAAGAGCGTGCTGGTCCTTGAGGCGGGCAAGGATTGCACGGGCATTCTCGAGACAAAGATCCCGCTCACGTTCTCTAAGCTCTTCCATGGCGAGCACGACTGGGACTACTACACGACCCCACAGCCCAAGGTCGATGGAAGGAGCCTGTACTGGCCCCGTGGTCGCATGATCGGTTAGTGTCCCCATTCTTTGCTCAATCAATAGCCCCCTTCTCCCTTCAAGCCAATGCTATAGAAGAGCTGACTCCACCTTGCTCGACAGGTGGCAGCTCTTCGATGAACGCCATGATGTACCACCACGGCTCCCACAGCGACTACGATGAATGGGCCCAGCTCGGCTGCAAGGGCTGGGGCTACAAGGATCTGTCGCATTACATGCGCAAGTCGGAGCGCTTCACACCCAACAAGAACAGGCCTCTCATCGACGCCCTTCACCGTGGCGACTCCGGCAATTGGCACACCGGCTACTCGTACCTCACCGAGGTGGGCGAGAAGGGCTTCCTGGGCGCATGCAAGGACGTCGGCATCGACTACAATGCAGACATTAACACCGCTGCTGGATCTATGGGTGTTACGCGCTTCCAGACGTTCATTGATGCAAAGGGCCAGCGCTCCTCCGCCGCCACAGCTTACCTCCCCGCTGAGGTGAGGAAGCGTGCGAACCTTCACATTGCCGTCGATGTTCGCGTGTCGAAGATCCTCGTCGAGGGCAAAAAGGCTGTCGGTGTTGAGCTGCTACAGAAGAAAGGCGGCCAGCGATACCATGTCGCTGCCAACAGCGAGGTGATTCTCTGCGGTGGAGCTATCAACTCACCCCAGACGCTTCTCCTATCGGGCATTGGTCCTCGCGAGGAGCTGGAGCGTCTCGGCATCTCCGTCGTCCACGAGAACGACTCGGTTGGCCGGCACTTGCTGGACCACTTTTGCACCTCGGGCATCCTCTGCAAAGCCAAGCCCCAGCACACTCTCGATTACCTCGGCAGCGATATCAAAGCTATTCCTAGCCTGGTTCGCTGGCTTCTCACCGGCAGCGGCCCTCTAACGAGCAACGTGGGCGAAATTGCCGCCTTTGTCCGCGCTTCAGACTGGCAGTCGAAGGTCGGTAAGGGCCAGCTGAATGTTGAGGACTTCAGCTCGGGTGGCAAGTCGGCCGACTCGGCCGACGTTGAGATCATTGGCGCTCCCCTGGCCTACATCGATCACGGTGCCGGCAAGCCGCCCGGCGGCGAATCGTGCTACTCGATGGTTCCCATTGGTCTTCGCCCTCAGAGCGAAGGAACCATCACCCTCAAGACAGACGATGTGTTTGACCATCCAGCCATTGACCCCAAGTACTGGACGGTGGAAAACGACGTCAACGTGCTCCTCGTTGGCATCCGAATCTGCCTCAAGCTCATGCGCAGCCCCGCCCTCCAAGAGTACCTCGAGCCGGTCCCGACCAATGACGACCCAGAGCACTTCTGGTGGCCCTACAGCTCCAGCGACCCCGACGCCATCACCGACGAGCAGCTCAAGGCGTGGATGACAAAGACGGCATTCACCCTCTACCACCCCGTCGGCACGGCCAGGATGTCACCAAAGGCAGACGAGGGCGTCGTCGACCTCGAGTGCCGCGTCCACGGCATCGACAATCTCCGTGTCATCGATGCCAGCGTCTTCCCAGCGCAGATTAGCGGCCACCCCACGGCAGCTGTGATTGCGATTGCAGAGAAGATGAGCGACATTCTCAAGGGCGGGCAGGCCGGGGCCGCTCAGACGCCTTCAGCTCATCTCTAGTATCGGCATCAGTGCATTACTTTTCGCCCTTGTTCCTTCTTGATATATGTGAAGCCCTCTGGTCACCGTTTCAAATTCGATCTTATGACACACTCTGCTCGCCCGTCGCCTTCACACCACTACTGACCTGCTTTGCCCAGCCATGATGCGGACTGACCTCTTTCATTGCACTGCCACGTTCGTCTCCTCGTAATTCACTCTCTTCATCTGACACAGCCGGAACAAACACAACATAGCCGGCCACCTTCTTGGATGCTGCACCTTCCACGTCACTTGCGCGTTCTCCAGTTGGTCTGTGCGCACCAACTGTAAATTTTCGAGAAAGCTTGCCTGGCATCTTCCTTCGTCGTTCCTTCTTCCTCATCCATTCGTTTCTCCTTTGGCTGCGCAGGATGCTCTTTCGTCGTCGCACCACGAGGCTTTCCTTGCTCCTCTTGACAGCCCTGTGGGCCTGTCTTGTCTTCGCGCCATGGGCCGAAGCAGCACGGGGCAGCAGCAATAGCAACAACAACCGGGGACGCAGTGGCGCAAACCCCAATGTGCCGCGCGTGCGCATGGACTCGCTCAAGACGCTCTTCTTCAAGTCGGGCGCGCGGACGATGGCGCGCCGCACGCCTCCACGGCCCCAGCTGCGCTGCGTCGGCAGCTCAAAGAGGCTCTGTGAGATGTACGAGCCGGACATGGTTGTGTGCAAGAGCATGGGCGATGGTGCCTGGAAGGTGAGGTGCTTCGTCCTCCTTTCGTAGAGCAAGAGCGAAATGCTGACTGAGCGAGCGACTCTCGTCTCTGGCGTCCAGTGCGATGCAGAGCTGGCAAAGTCGGTCCGAATGGGCGCCATCGAGGTGTCCTGCGAAGGGTGGGACAATGCCGATGACGAATACGTGATGCGAGGTGAGCATCTCGATCTCTCTCGCTCTCTTGTTTCATGAGCAGGTCAAACTCATTTTCTCTCTTTCCATGTGCGCAACAGGATCGTGCGGGCTAGAATACAATCTGCTGCCAGCATACGTCGAAGGGGCCTACGGTGCCCCGCTCGACGGCTTCTCGTCTCTGTCGAATGGGCGGAAGAAGTGGTACGAGGACCTGTTCATGCTGGCGTTTGTCGCCGTCGTGGCCTACATCCTCCTGCGCCTCCTCAAAGCCATCTGGCGCGATATGACGGGCGTCAACAATGCACCGCGAGGACCTGGAGGCGGCGGCGGCGGTGGTGGTGGTGGCTGGCCTGGGGGTTGGTTCGGCGGTGGTGGTGGCGGCGGGTGGACGCCAGGCTGGGGTCCTGGCGGGCATGATGGCCCTCCGCCACCATACCCTGGACACAAGCCCTCGTCGTCGACGCAGCCCGACCAGCAGCAGCAGCAAGGCTGGCGTCCGGGCTTCTGGACCGGCATGGGCCTCGGTGGACTGGCAGCGGGCGCTGCTCAGACGCTCTTCAACGGTCAGGACAGGCAGGGGCAGCGGGAGCGCTACATGCGTGGCGACAGGTTCGGCAGTGGCAGCGGCAGCGGCAGCAGTTCCAGGTGGGACTCGCCTTCCATGACTGCCGGTCGCAGGCGCTTCGACTATGACGACGACAACGACAACAGCTTTGGTGGTGGTGGTGGTGGCGGCGGTGGCTTTGGGGGAGCAGGCCCCAGTGGGACGAGGACAAGCACAGGGTTCGGAGGGACGCGAAACAGATGATGTAGCATTACTTCCTGTATGATTACAATGCAGCCATCTTTCTAACTACACAAGAAGACGGGACCTTTTGGTCAGATCAGAGACGCTATCGAGCCTCATCATCAGGGCCCTGGGCTGCACCGACGGCGGCACCGGCGCCCAGACCGGTGAGGCTGAGCCCGTGGACAGCAGCCACAGTCGTCTTTCCCACATTGGCTGCGCTCTCGCCCGTCGTCGACGCCAGCTGGCTTGCCTCACTGCCGTAATTATGCGACAGTACGTCGGACGTCGTCTGCTTTGCTGAGGAAGCGACATGCGAGACGGCCTCTGCGACACCGGACCCTGCCTCGTACACGGCCTGCCTCGTGTCGGCCATGACGGGCCTGCTGCTTTCGTCGCCTGCCTCGCGGTTTTCTGAGCCTTCAGACTTCGTCGTGGTGAATGCATCGCCCACGGTGTCGGAGACGGCCTTGTGGACTTGCTTGCCGCCCTGGGCGGCATAGTCCAGCACGGTGCCCACGGCAGCCGTCGTCTTGTCGGCGGCTGTCCTTGTCATGTCCGCCGCGTTCTGCGCAGCCTGGTGCGTCTCTGGCTCGAAATGAGCAGCCTCGCCGGGCTGTGTCGTCTGGATATGGCTGCAGGGAAGAAGAAGAAGAAGGGTTCACATCTTGTCAGCTTCTTAGCAGCAAGGGGAGCAACAAGAGAGAGGGAAGAAGACGCACTCTTCGCCGCGCTGCTTGACGCTGTCGGAGCCACGGCTGGCGCTCTCGAGCGTGCTACGCATGAGCTCGTCGCCCGCGGCGCGCACGCCCGTGAGGAGGAGGCCGTGCCGGACGAGCAACTCCTCGAGATTGTCGCGCGCGTGCTGGTCCGACGGCAGCTCGAGCCGGACGTGTCCTGCACCTGCGAGCTGTGCGGGCTGGAAGACGTAGGTAAATGGCTTGCCGTCGATGGTGCCAAATGCTGGTGGTGCAGCGGCGGAATCAGCATCGCCGCCAGCTCCTTCTGACGGGGACGCCGTCGGGAGCTGGAAGGTTGCGTGCGAGCCGACGGAGAGGACTAGGTCATCAGTCAGGCTCAGCGTGCCGCGCGACAGCTCGACCTCGCTGTCTGGGCCGAGCACGTGGATCGCACGGCACGACGGGATGCTGACCGTCGACGACATGGCTGGGAAAGAGCTTGGTGAGTGAGCGAGCGAGTGAGTAAGTGAGTGAGTGGTAGGTTAGGTGGTCCCTGCAGGTCGGGTCGTGTGCGCGAAGGCGACTAGCCAAGGAAGTGTGATTTGTGGAGGCTTACCAATCAACCAACCACACGCACCGACGGAGGAAGGGCGCGCCATGATAAAGTTAAATGACTCGCTCCAAGCCGGCCCAGCTTCTAGCGAACCAAGACCGACACATGCGCGCCATGTCTGCTCGGACGAGCGCCAGGGCCGCTCTCGCCTCCTCGTCTGCGAAACCGGCAGCTGCTGCTGCTGCTGCTACTGCGGGCGCCGCGATGTCCCGAAAGAGGGCGCTGCCGTCCAATGGGCATGTTAAAAAGGGGGAGGAGGGGGAGCGGGGCGAGGAGGGCCTTGAAGGCGGGGAGGGAAGCGCAGCGACGAAAAGGAGAAAGGGCCCGCGGGCGCTGTTCGCACCCGGCCCTGCAAACGCTGCGCCACCTGTCGCTGTCAAAGGGGAAGAAGGAGGTCAAGAGGGGAAGCTGGATAATGGGGCAAGTCCCTACAAAGTGCTTCGACGGTCGACGAGGGCTAGCACCTCAGCGGCAGCGGCAGGGGCCGACGCAGGGGCAGGGGCAGCAGAGAGCGTGCCTGTCGACGATGTATTGGAGGAAGAGAAAAAGCCGGCGAAAGGAGTCAAAAAGGAGGCGAAGGATCCCTTTTCGACGTCGCCCCGAAAGGCGCCCTCGAAGCCCATCAAGCTCGAGCTCGAGGCGCACGAGGCACGACCCGCGCCCAAGCGTTGGCGCGAACAGCTCGCGATTCTCAATGAGCAGAGAAAGCGCATCGTCGCTCCCGTCGACACCATGGGCTGCGAGGAAAACGGCCGCGACGACCGGCGAGGCGACGTGCAGAGAGTGCAGGATGGCGTAGAGAGCGAGGAGGACAAGCGCAAGAGAGAGCGCTTCACCATTCTCATCAGCTTGATGCTGAGCAGCCAGGTGAGGACCAGATCGGTTATTGGTAAATACGTTATAAAGCCACCTCATCTGACCACGAACAACACGCTCGCAGACAAAAGATCCAGTGACAGCTGAAGCGGTGCGCAACCTCCAGACTCGCCTCGACGGCGGCCTCACGCTCGAGTCGCTCCTTGCTGCGCCACAAGACCTCATCACAGAGTGCATCGCAAAGGTCGGCTTTTGGCGCAGAAAGACAGGCTACATCACCAGTGCAGCGAAAATTCTCAAGGACGACTTTGGAGGCGATGTGCCAAAGACGATCGACGAGCTCTGCAGCTTGCCTGGCGTGGGGCCCAAGATGTCCTTTTTGGCCTTGCAGTCGGCATGGGGTGCGTTTCCTTTCCGATTTGTTTAGTGGTCGCGTGGTAGACTGTATGCTGACGTTGATCCAGGCCTCAATGTTGGCATCGGCGTCGACGTACACGTACACAGGGTGTCGAACAGGCTCAATTGGGTCAAGTCGCAGGACCCAGAGGGTACACGCCTGCAGCTCCAGAGCTGGCTCCCCAAGGAGCTCCACAAGACGATCAACAAGACGCTCGTCGGCTTCGGCCAGGTCGTCTGCCTGCCTGTTGGGCCCCGGTGCGACCTCTGCGCCCTGGGTGCGGCCAGAATGTGTCCGTCATATCGCAAAGTGGACCCCAAATCAGTCCTGAAGCGCGTCAAGGTCGAGTTCCTCCCCGAGGGCACTCAGCACCCCAGCGACGCCAGGGTGAAGCCAGAGGTCGAGGAAGCCATCAAGGTCGAAGGGCCAGATGGGGCCGGGGTGCTCCTTGAGGACAAGGATGCCGTCCAGGCTGCGACTGGCATCAAGACCGAAGCCGCTGTCAAGGAAGAAAGCCTTGATTGGTAGTAGAGGGAGAGACGCCTTGCTAGCTACAGCTCATTGAAGCGGAGAATCTCGATGGGCTTGGCAAGCCAGGGCTGGTGAGAGCGTCGTTGTCAGCTAGCTTATAGATGACTTGCACACACACATGAACGGACGCTCACCTCGACGGCTGGGTTGAAAGTGGCCCAGTACTGCAATCAAATATGATGTCAGTCGTCTCTCTCCTTCTCCACGACAGTGCGGCCTTTCTCTTGGACTTACCGGATTCTCGAGATCTAAGACAAGTCATTTCTGGCCATCAGCTCATGTGTGACAAGAAGGTAGCACCTTGTCACACTCACGGTACTTTTGGCTCCCCTCGTTTTCGAACCGCTCGACGATGGCAAACTTGGTCGCGTCGTGCACGTCCTGGTGAACTAGCCAGTCGACAGTCTCGCGGTCCTTCTTATAGATGGCCGCCGCCTCCTGCAGCTTCGCCTTCATCTGTCCCTCGAAGCCCGGCTTGACCTGTGCATGGCAGATGAGCGTGTAGACCATATTTGTCCTCTTTCTCTCTGTCGTTCGTTGTGGTGTGGTGGTTGTTGTGTCGAGCTCGTGTTGTCGAGCGTCTTTATGTTCGGAAGAATTGCCCGCGGGCGAGAAGAGAAGAAAATCAGAAGACGGCTTGAGCGAAATGATGCAGGCGTGCATGGGCCCCGACGCGCGCGCGCGCCTCTCTCGCCTCCTCTTCTCTCGACCGAGCGAGACAGACGGCCGCGCAACAACACAAACGTCGGTCACGCCGCGCAAATATTGCAGTTCCGAGGAGGTAAAGTAAAAGGCGAGGAAGAATAAAAGAAGGAGCGAGGGCGCAAGGCGGACAACGAAACGGAACGAGGAACGGGCGGCCCCAAATGTCGACGGACAGGGACTCAGAGCGGCCGTCGTCTTCGCACTCACCAGCCGAGGCCGCGCATCATCGCGCGTCGACGTCGTCCATGACGCCCGATGCCGTCACCAGCTCGGCGAGCCCCCTGGCGGGCATAACAACAACGACGATGAAGACGACGAACCTCATCGACGCCTCGCCGATTCTCGACATTGCCTTTTTGCACGCCATTGCCACGCACCGGCCACTGGGTCCGCACAAGCACTTCAATGCGGTGCCTGTCATGCGCGCCCTCGAGCGGGCCGCCGTGCGCGAGCGCGACGTGCTCCTCGCCAACCGAAGTCGGCGCGGCCAGGGCGACAACGACGACGACGACGAGAGCAGCCTGAGCGAGGAAGACGAGGACGGCGAGGAAGGCGGTGGAGAGGAGGATGGCGGCAGAAGCGGCCGGAACAAGAGTCGGGTCAAAAAGGAGAGTCCAGACGAGGAGGACGACGAGCAGCAAGCGGGCGAGCTGGACGCATTGGCGCGGGACAACGAGGTCAAGCTTGTCGATCGACAGGCAATGTGGGCGAGGATGGAGCAGCTGTACGATATGGCCGGCCTCGAAGAGCTGGTGAGTTGTCTCCTTTCTGGCACATACGCAGGCACAGGGACGCAAGTGGCAGCTGACAAAAGTGCACAAAAACCCAGGAATCGATTGCAGTCGAGGCAGAACCGAGGAGCCCATTCAAGCATACTCCCCAGCACCCAGACACGCACCTCGTCGCCTCGCTCCACCCTTCGCTCAACTTCACCTATGCCTCTCCATCGGCCGCCAGTGGCCACATGGCGTCGTCGTCGTCGTCATCGTCAACGACGGCTGCGACGCCAGGACGGACGTCCAAAAAGGCCAGCCAGGCATCGGACGGAAGTGCCGTCGTGCACTGGCCCGTTTCGTTTGGTTTTGGTAGCTGTATGCGGCACAAGGGCCCGGCAGAAGGTGCCCTTCAGGCGCCATCGAGAAAGAAAGCCAGGGGCAGCAATACAGGCAGGGGAGCAGCGGTAGCAGCAACAACAGCAACAGCAGCGGGAAGCGAGATGCAGGACGAGTTCCAGCTAGGGCCCTGGGAAGAGTTCCAGGACTTGATCGAGGAGAGAAGAAAAGCTGGGAACGACGAAGAGGAGAAGCCGGGCCGAGACGATCAGGAGGAAGAGGAAGCCGGAGATGGAGAGGATGACGATGAGGAGACTGACGAAGACGGGGAGGAGCAGGAAGAGGAGCAGGAAGACGGCGGAGAAGGAAGCGCTGAGGAGGAAGGCGAGGAGGGAGGAGAAGAGGAGGAAGGAGAGGAGGAAGAGGAAGAAGAAGAAGAAGAAGAGGACGAGAAACCAAAGGCCAAGCGCGGTCGTACTTCCAAGGGCAGGGGGGGATCGTCGAGCGGCAGAGGTGCGGCGGCAGCCGCGAGCCGGACTCGCAGCGCAAAGCAGCCTCGCCGGTCTTCACGACGATGAAGAAGGGGAAGCAATGATCATTGAAGCAGAATTGTTGTAGAATACACTTGGTAAAAAGAAAGAGCTGGAGGAGCACTTCCATGCGAGCACTTGCGTTACCGACGGAAAAGTTGAGAGCCGTGAAGGAGTAAAGTGAGCATGGCAAGGTGCCAAGGGAGGTGCTGTCCCACTTCCAGGATCTGGTGACGGTAGCGAGCGACACCTTCGAGGTCGTGAAAGGAGTTCGCCATTCGACGCATGCGCTCGTCGAGGCTGTGTTCGAGATCGTCGTTTGTCCCCTTCTCGAGGCGGGACAATGGGTTGGGATACACCTGCAAGAGATGAATCCAGAGCTGGTGGGGGCACAGCGCCGAATGGAATAGGCAGCTAGGCTGAGCAATTGAAGTGCTCATGTTCGTTTGCTGAAACAGCGTCACCGTCAGCGAGCTGCGCAAAGCTAGAATCTGGCTGTCGACGTCCTCTCCATCGCTAATTGTTACACCGATCCTCGCGGCAGGATGAAGGACGTACGACACCCTCGAGGTGTCAATTGAATGCTTTAATCTCCCCTCCTGGCTTGTTGGAACTTCTGTCTGCGTCCTTCTCGCCATCGATGTGGGTGCAACAATGGCCAGATTGGACTGGTCGTCCGCCAAGGCCAATGAGACATCGACGACGTGCTCCAAGCCGACGAAGCTTGAAGGTTTGGACAGGAGCCTCGACCACATCTCAACCTCCTCGAACTGCAGACCGCCGGCGCCGCGGCAAATCACCACCTTCCAGCCGATCTTCGCCTTGCGCGCAAAGTGGCAAGCAAATGACCAAATGTCGTCAATGTCCTTTTGCGCGCCGCGGCCTCCGGGCCAAGCCTTGATATCGTATCCCTGGGCTAGCTCATCCATGACAGTGACGATTGTCAGCTCTTCCTCGCTCGTGGCGATGTAGTAGCCGACGTGGAGAAGGACGCTGCGATGAACCACATCGACGTAAGTAGTAGGCCAGCGGAGATCGAAGCGCTGCTCAGAAGCCGCTCTGCCTGTGCTGGTCGACCGGCTCCTCGTCAAATGGGCGGAAGGAGCGAGCGTTAAGTGTGGAAAGCGCACAGGCAAGCCCTTATCATTGGGTAATTGCGGAAGAAAAGGTTCTTCGTTGACGCGCGGCACCACCGTCACTTGGAGGCTATCGTAGATCGACCTTGCCTGGCCGGACATGTTGAAGCTCTGCCGGCCGGGCCCGAACAAAGAGCTCGATTGACCAACGGTGGTGCTTAGGCTGGGCCCTGAGGACGAGGTCCACCTCCACAGAAGAGGCCTGACGAGAAGTCTCTGCATTGGAAGGCCCAGGCGCTCTTTGACTCGAGTCTGGAGCGAGGTCTGGAGGAGAACCATAGCCCAGAAGGGCGGGGGACTGGACGGCTCGCCGACAACGTATACGAGGATAGTGCTGCCCGACTTCAGGTAAGGTTTGAAGCGCGACAGGAGCGAGTCCATTGAATCATCCCAGCGGTCTGGCCCGCCGACAGAAAGTCAGGTCTTGAAGATCGACAGTCTACGACGAAGCAACTCACCAGTGCTGTTGTGAATAGACGCTAACGCCTCCGATATCGTACTTTCGCCTGGGAAGCCAATGCCCAGGAGTCCATCGTCCGCCAGCTCGTGACTGCCTAAACCGTAGGACCTAAAGGCTTGCTGCATCCTGTCGAAGTATGACCTCACCTCTCGCGCCCATCCTTCGCTAGCATCGGCCACCTGTAAGGCAAATGCCGTCGCCTGTTTCTGGCCACTAACAGGTGTGAGGCCGAGCTTGTCCCAGAATGAGATTGCCGGAGGCTTTATCGAAGTGACGGAACCTTGACACCCAACCAGGATGCTGGGCTCCTCCAGCACGCGTGTCTCCTTGAAAATCGTACCGAGGCTGCACGCGCTCGTCGACTCCAAAGGCGTCAAGAGCTCAAAGCTATCGCGCGAGTCCAGGCAAAGAGGCCTGGTCTCGTACTTTTGAAAAAACTGGACGATCGCATCGCGGAAGGTAACGATATCCAACGCCCAAGAGACGAGAACGTCGAGTGTCGCAGCAGCTGGCCATGGTTTCTTTTGATGTTCACGCACAGCCATTTCGGTATCATTTTGGCTTTCTCGCCTAGCCTGGGCCGCTTGTGAAATCGTCAGAGCGGCCTTCAGCAAAGCATGACGCTCGTGAGCCAAGATCTCGGCCTGCTGGGCTGAGTCGATACTGGTGTCCGTCTCGTCATCACTGCCTGATGCTGCATCGTCGCTGTCCTGTCCGAAGCCATCCATATCGAACTCAATTCCTTCCTCGTCGTCCTCATCACCAAGCTCGGACTTGCGGCTACTGTCGACCTCGCTATCCTCTGCTAACAATGAGCTTCGCTCGCTGGCCGTTGCTGGTGTCATGCCTTCCCCATCGACCATGGTCTCATCTTCCTGTTCTGCACCTCCTCGCCTGTTCAGGCGTCGCTTCTGTGAAATCCCAGTCATATTCAGCAGCTGGTTGCTTCGAATGCCGGCAAGAGGTCCTCTCCTCGAGGCTCGACGTCGAAACGGACGCTGGGAGATAGCGTATTTCCCCATTTCGTACTTGGAGCTAAGATCGAAATTCTTTCTCGGGGAGTCCGGTTCCTTCGATCCAGGCTCCTGGATCGAAAAGGGCGTGCTCCCGGTATCGTCGTACTCCAGACCCTCTCCCTCGCCACCGGCAGCACTGTAGGCGGACGGTGGAGCTCCCCCGCCAGCTGAAATGCGGGACGAATGGCGATACATATCGCCTTGATGCTCTCCCTCGATGGTGACATGGGCATCAGCCATGTCTTGCGTCGGCGAATATGGCGTTCGAGGTGTTTTTGCCGCATGTGCTCCATGAGCGGCTGGAGAACTCGCGCTCAAGGAGCTCGGTGTAAAGCCAGGCACGGACGGATGGTCGACGATAGTCGAGGTGCTGAAGGAACTGCTGCTGTTGCCGTTGCTGCGAGGTAAGCTGTCTACAGCCATGGGGCCCGAAGTGATCTCGTCTTGGCGTTGTTCGCTGTTGTCGATCTCTGAGAAACGCATCTCTTCGTCATCGCCAGTGACAGAGGCTGTCGGCGTCTCCACATCAAAGGCAGCAGAGGCGGCGGCAGCAGCGGCAGCTGCTGCATCGTCAAAAAAGGAAAAGTCGTCCTCAGTAACGAGTCCAAACATTCCGCCATCGTCGTCATCGTTAGTTTGCTTTGCAGGCGAGGATGAAGGTTGTCGCTGACGTGACTCTCCTTCGTAGACAAAGTCACCCCAGAGGTCCATGTCAGCGTCTTCTTTGCTCTTTGATGACTCTGCTACGGCCTGCTCTCCTTCTTGTAAGACCTCGCCAGATGCTATGGCAGGCCCTTGCGCAGGAGCAAGAGCGGCAGCCTTGCCTTCGTTCTCCCTCTCTTCAAGTCTCGCTGATCGTATAGTATCGTCACCAACGTCCACGTCATTGTCCTCTTCGCCGTCCTCGACTGGTGCACCGTCATCACCATTCTCCCCCACTCTCCTGCGGGGTAGGGTGCTGTCTCCCTCTTCCTCCCCTTCCTCCTCTTCCACCTCTTCCTCTTCCTCTTCTTCTTCTTCTTCTTCTTCTTCTTCTTCTTCTTCTTCTTCTTCTTTTTCTTCTTCTACTTCCTCCTCCTTCTTCACTCTCTCCCCCTCATCCGCTTCTTCCTCTTCTTCGTCACCCTCGCTCGTGTCGTTTGAGTGTCGACGACCTGTGACAGAGCCGGGATCGGTGCCGGCTTCTTTGGCCCGCTTTGCCGTCTCGATGGGGATACCCCTCATCATGTCAACAGTCCTTTGAGCGAGTTCTGTCGTGCACATCGAGACGATCTCCATAGCTCCGTGTGGTTGCATCTTTGGTCGCTGAGGCTCAAGAGCTTGAAGAGGGTTGCTTTCGCAAGCAAAGACCAGGTCTGCCGGCCACAAAAATCGTCGAGTGCTCGAAGCGTTTTCCTCGCCTTCCTGTTTCTGATCGACGGGAGGTGAATCGGTCTCGCAAAGTACCCAATCGCTGCTCAGCGATTCGACATTGACGCCTCGGTCGCCGATACGAGACAGTAATTCGCTTCTTGCTTGCTTCAGTCGCGCTGCAGCTTCCCCTTCGGCGTCCTGATCGATAAGACCGCCGACCCAGTCGATGAGGCGAGCTTCACTGGCGAGTGGTGATAGCATCACCCTGGTGCCTGATGGAGCCGAGGCTTGGGAGAAAATTGGTTTAAGATGCTGGCTAACCAGAGGCCTAGTTTCCAAGAAGAGCTTGCCGCCATCGCTTAAAGTGGCGCGCAATCCTAGTCGAATCAAGCCCTGGCCACGCCTGGAGGCAAGGAGAATCGATCTGCCGAAGCGTATGGCATCGCGGCGGCCTGCCCGCTTCCAATAGGCGGGTGTATGCGCCGTATGTTTGTCCAAGACTTCGTTGAGGATGGGGCCCTGCTCACTAGCGTCTTGATGACTCTCCTGGTTGGGCACCGTCGGCACTGAGATATCGTCGTCCCCATCCCTGGAAGAGGATTCTGAAGCCAGTTTTTTCTCTCGAGCTCGAGTATAGATCCACCGGCTCATGGCTTTCTCCTCAATGGCAAGCAAAAAGAGGCGCTGAGCTTGGTCGAGATTTGGTTGTTGAGGACGGAGAATGTCGGGCGAGGAGATGTTCTCGGATGAGAGTGGTTCGTAGAAGCTCGACAGCTGCGTACTACCCCAGGTACAAGTTAGTCTTTCCAGCCCAAACTTGCGCTCTCCCTCCTGCGTGCCAAATTCGAAGAGCCAGAGGGCGATGAGGGGGCCGGCAGCAGCATGCTCGGGCGCCCAGAGAATCCCATCGAGGATCTTGTCCAGCGTTCCTCTACCTTGACAATCGTACCCCGGCAGGAGGCTCTCCCTTCCTTTCGCCCGTACTTCCTCTGCAGACAAGCGACAAAGAGCTTCTTGACCGGCCTCGAGCTCCTCACTGCTACCCGAGAATCTCCTCCACCTGAGGAGGGCGTCGTCGGCAGGCGTAGAAATACGAGAGAGAGAAGTCAGGCAGTCCGGGACGAGGGGGGGCGGAAGCGAGTATTGCGCTCTTCTGCTATGTCCTGTGCCGCTGGTACCGCCGAGACCAAAGCCGCTCGACCCGGCGCCGTTCAACGACGAGGATGATGACGGGCCCGGCGCATGTGTGCTCTTTCGCGATGATGAAAGGCCATGCCTCCCCTGGCTTAGTGGTGCCATGGTTTGAAGATTTCTTGTACGTCGTCGAGAGTCCCTACCCCTTCATGATTTGAGAGAGAAGTAGATTTCGGTGTTGCTGTTGTTTAGTCGTTGCTGCTGCTGCACAAGCCGAGGGTGCGACCCATGCCTCGTCCCGGCGTCTGTCTGTGCCAATGTGGATTTGGACATCGGTATACGCGGGCCCAAGGTAATTTTTAGCATCCCACGTGTCGGCCCACGACATCCTTTCCCAATCCACGTCGCCTCTCCCTTTGAGCAGGCATTGGAGGCCCCGTCGCGCTTCTGAAAGAGAATGAAGCGAGCGGCGGTTGTGTGGGAAGAATGAGGCCGTCTTTCTCCGCTCACGGGAGATGTTTTTTTGGCCTCGTAAACAAGGGGACACAGACAGGCCGCACTGGCAGCGCCGATTGGGTGACGGTCGCCCGCCCTCCTCCGCTGTTTTGTGTGTCGCCGCGCTCTTTGTCTTTGGCGGACGCTGCAAATATAGCCCTTCACTTGCAGTTTCGCCCGTCTTCCACAGCTTGAGTCAATACAACTGCAACACCATCCTTTGCACTACAAGAGTAACGATGCGCTTCGTCGTCATTACTGCAATCGCCCTCCTGCTCACGGTCACCCTCGTGTCCTCGCACTCTACTGGCAAAGGTTTCCACAGGGTGTCTAAGCGCGAGGACACGAAGACGGGTACAGCTTCCCTTTCAGCCACTGCTAGCGTTCCCGGAAGCGAGAACAAAGTGGAACCTGCTGTTACCGACTCGAAGCAGACCACTGAACCCACCACCGACGCATCCAAGATTCAGACGACGGATGACGACAAGACCAAGAACGACGAACAGACCAAGAAGAACGAGCAGCCCAAGAACGATGACCAGGCGAAGAACAATGATCAGACGAAGAGCGCTGACCTGACAACGACCAAGAATACCAACAAGACAGCTGAACACCACACTGGCACGCTTCCTATCCCGCCTGGTTACGTCGCCATGTGAGTCCCAGTAGCTTTCTTAGTGACATCCTTTACTAAAGCTATTCTACAAGTCTGACTCAGCTGCCCGACACTATCGTCAATGGTACTGATGCTCGTACGACGTGGAAGACAGTGAGTTAGCCCCCACCAGTATCTTTCATTGATCAACTCACAGCGGTCCAATGACTTTTCTGCTCCATAGGCCTGCCAGACAGCACTCGATGGTATTCATGTCGACGACACGAGCAAAGAGGCTGTATATGGCTTCTTCCGCGCAGCTCTCTTTAATGCCGACACGCACTTGATTGAGCTCGCCTGCTACCGGTGCCAGAACGCAAGTGTTTCGCTTTCCTCGCCCGTTCAAGCTTAGTCGAGGCTGACGAACTGCTAATACACCGACAGTATGACCTGAAGGGCGTCAACCCCGGCACGCCAATTGCAAACTTGACAGCTTCCGTGCGTTGGCAAGCGAGGATGCGCCCCCACTTGCGTCTTTAGATGTTCGCTGACCTCTCTTCAATAATCCAGGTCATCAAGAACCTCAACTGGTCCGCCACACCGACGGTCAAAGTGGGCTAGGGCGGCCTCTACTGAGCGGCAGGTCCTCGAGCACGCGCCCAAGCATGGCCGGTCCCCCTGGGATCCCCCTTATTCTCCCGTCCCCCTCTTCTCCTTTTCGAGTCTCACCACACATGTGACCCTTGATCTCCAATACAACTGTGCTGGTCCACCCCTCTGTGCCTGACCGAACTTGCAGCATGTGGTTGCACAGCTGAAAGGAGAGGGCGCTGTAAAACAAAAACTCGACGCCTACACGCGAGCTCGATCCTAAATTTAGGGCGCCAAAGATCCCCCGCCGCGCCTTTAGTGCTGCTCTTGCTTCGCTCGCCTGTTATTGACCCAAGCTGTCCCCCATTCTTCCTGCGCCTCCGCGAAGAAGGCCAGGTGGACGCGGACCTCTCCTCGCACGCCCCCATCCCCCATCCCCCACCCCTTCTTTGTGTTATTGAGGCACAATTTGGAAGCGCCCATCCTGCCTTTTTCTGGCGTCCATCTCCTCGTACGTCGTCGAGGGCAGGTCCTTCCTATCGACACAGACACCAAGAGGGCTGCTGGTCGAAGTGACGATTGGGCAGCATAATGGCGGACGCAATGAGCTACCTCGAGACGCCGGCGACAGAGAGACGTTGTCCCGCGTCGACGTCATCATCGTCGTCATCATCGTGGACGATCCAGAACGAGGCTATCGCCAGCCTGGCATCGTGGCTGCCAAAGGTGCCCTCGCTGCAGCCACCACCGGAGCTCGCCGGGGCTTCAATGACCGATGCCATGAGAAGCAAGCTCGCCCGCGCCATCATCGCCGATGCTGCCCACGAAGAGTGCTACTGGTCCCCGTCGGATCGCCTCGTCGCCTTCAGGGCGCTCAAGGAGCTCTCCAGGCTCTCAGGCTCGAGCGGGGCTATGGGATCGCTGGCCTGCTTGAAAGACCTCGTCGGGCTGGCGAGGCAGGAAATGGCGGGTGTTGATCAGAAGCAGCGGCATACCCAGACACAGAGCACGCCGGGCGCGCAGCAGCAGCACCAACAATCGCAATCGGGCCCACTGCAGCCCACACAGCTGGGCGAGAAAGGAAGCGAGTTTGCCCGATCCATCGACCACCTCCGCGTCAGCATTCCCGATTCTTCGCTCGATGATGACCTTGCAAGGCCGGCGAAAACGTCTCATGCCTCGCGGCAGGACTACGAAGCACTCGACACACTCCTACGCGTCCTCAACAATGTCCTTCTCCAGCACGCCAATTGCAGGCTCATTTTTACTCCAAGGGACCAGGCAGATGGTGTCCGAATGGCCCTGGACCTTCTCTCAACAACCAAAAAGGTGCGTAGCTCGGTGCTCATACTTCCATTGTTTCATGCTCCGAAGCTCGATTGCTGACCATTTCCTGTTGTCGTGTCAGGCTTGGCCACCGCATATAGTCGCTCTGGGCGCCCGGCTGACTTTCTTTTCAACGCTCTTTGAAAACGAGGCCAACAAGTGGGGTGTCGAGGAGTGCGGCCTAGTTGAAATACTGGCTGGGCAGATCGACCGTTTGGTCACGTCGTCGCTCCTGGCCGACGAGCTCTCGGCCCAGGGCTCATCAAAGGAATCCGACGATGCCCTCTCTGAAGTCCTCAAGGCACTCTTCAACATCTGCCTTTACTACCCTAGGCTCGTCGATGGAGCTGGTCCCAAGTCAAAAGCCAGCATGGGCGACAAGTTCCATCCCGCATTGCTTCCGTGAGTTGGCGTGCAGAAGTACTTCTCTGACCAACAACTGACGAGTTCAACTTGTGCAGATGCCTTGGACCGACGCTCAAGGTTCTCACTTCGTTGCCACATCGATCGCCGAGCCCGTTGGCTCCTCCGCTTACGCATGCAATCAACGTTCTCATCAATTACCCGGTTCAACCCTATCGACAGACATGGATCGATCCAACAAAGGATCCCGGTATGAGCCCCGCCCTGTCGCCCGCGGGTGCGACTACCCTGCCAGCAACAAAGGAGAAGGAAAAGGAAAAGCCATCGGCCGCAAAGAGAGTCGCCACAGCCCTGTTTGGCAGGTCATCGAGCTCCTCGTCTTCGTCTTCTGCCGCAAATGCGTCTTCTTCGACCATGCCCTCTGCATCCTCGCCAGTTCCGACGGCCTTGTCCTCTTCCTCATCGCCTCCCATATCTCCTACTTCGCGCGGCAGCGGCTCTTCCTCCAAGCTGTACGGCAAGTCGTCACCTGTCGCTGCCACCTCCCAACGAGGCGCAGCTTTCGGCAGCAACAGCAGAAGCAGCAGCAGCAGCGGTAACAGCGGCTTTAGCACAGCGACCCTGGCGCATCCACCTGCCATTCTCTCATCGACGCTCGCGCTCCTCGAAATGTTTTTCCAGCGTTACTTTTCCAGCATGAAGTTCGACGACGACGACGCAGTGGCTCGTGCAGCCCGAGACGGGCCAGATCTCAACTTGGAAGAAGTGTGCCAGCCCGCGTTGATCCTGCTGCGCAAGCTAGTGGCAGAAGACGCCGGGTTCCGGGCCTTTGCCAAGCAGCGCATTCTGCCCTCGACGATTGATCGGACCGAGAGCTTGGACAAGCGCAAGGACTTTACGGGCCAGCTCATTCGACTCATGTCGAGCGGAACATTTCCCCAGCTGGCCCTCTTGGCGGGCGAGACGCTCCTGGCGCTCTGCGACGACAATGTCGAGAAAATGTCGACCGAGATTGGCTATGGGCCATGTGCGGGCTTCTTTGCTTCCACCGGCCGCGCTGCCGCGCTGCCCGCCTCGTCGTCATCCTCGGCCTATGTCTCGTCCAATGGGGGTGGCCCCGTCGCGCGGCCCATTGATCCCATCACGGGCAAGGTGATGCCGAGCGCAGACGAGATTGCGAAGCAGGACAAGGAGAGCGGCTGGTCCGACCTGACAGAGGAGGAAAAGGAGGCAGAGGCGGAAAAGCTCTTTGGCCTCTTTGACCGCATGGACAGGACCGGCGTCGTCAAGGCCGTCAATCCCATGCAGCAGGCGCAGGAGAGCGGAAAGATGGCCGAGCTGGACAGAAAGCTCGAGGAAGAGAGGAGGAAGGAGGACGAGGAGGATGAACGGGAGGCCGAGAGGGAGATGAGAATGTACAAGCAGAGACAGGCCAAGGGCGCCGCGGCTTGAAAATTCCTGCTCCTCCACCGTTCCTGCCACTGCGATCGACCTGCAGGAACTGGCAGACTGACCTCGTAGGCACATCTGAGGTGTTTCCTTGCGACCGAACAATTTGAGGGCACACACCAGCTCGTGTACAGCGCATTACAATCGAAATGTATTACTGACCGCCTTCTATCTGCGTGAACATACTACTGCCGGGGCTCTCTCCCGTCGTCCTGAGCGCCGGCATCTGCTTCCTCTTCCTCTGCTTGCCCTTCAGCGCCCCAGAAGCCGCCTATGAGGTTGCGAAATAGCTGAAATGGGCCTTGCTGCTCGCCCTCGGGGCCCGCGCCTTCACCGTCTGCGTCTTCGTCGCCAGACAGGTGCGCCAGCTCGCCGGGCATCTGGCCGTTGCCGTGGGCGGCCATCATGAGCTCCGCCAGGGCGTCCTGCCTTGTCTCGTCGTCCATATTCTCCCAGCCCTCGATGCCCATGCCGCCCCTCAGCTCTCGCATGGCGGCCATGAGGCGCTGCATCATGCCCCTCGAGGGTGCCTGCCGCATGCCCTGCCCTCCGCTGCCACTGCCGCCACCGCCGCCCATGATTGGTCTAAAGTACTCGTCGTCGTACCTCGTCACTGGGTTCTCCTCCTCGCCATACTGCACCGGCGGCAAGGGATCGTAGGAGTCGAGAGCGCCCTGCATGGCGGTGATTTTGCGCGGGATGAGACCAATAAGCGTCTGTCTCAGCGCGTCGGGCAGGTCCGACACGAGGACGTGGCGGTAGATGCCGAGCTTTGTCAGGCTGTCCGTCTTTGCTTTCTCGATGTCGCCGTGCGCTTTACCTGCCGCGGGATCAGCGGTGAGGACCGGGAAAGCTTCACAGAGAGTCTTGCTGAGCCACGAGGCGACGGCAGACTCCTTCCACAGGCTCTCGTTGCGCGAGACGTAGACGTGTGCCAGCAGCGCTGCGAGGCCAGCTTCAGCCTCTGCGTCTTGGTGGCCGTCGTACGCAGCAGCATCGGGCATCGCAAAGATGGCATGCGACGCATCTACGGGGAACGGCTGCCCGATCTTTTCAAAGAGAAGGGGCAGCACATGTGGGTGCCTCGCCATGGCCTGCTTCAGCGCCAGCGTGCTCTTCTCAAACGACGCAGACGTCGCACCGTCACTATTGCTGCCGCTGCTCTCTTCCTTCTCTACCAAACGCAGGGCTAGGGCGCGGGCGTAGGACAGGCCCAGGCACCAGTCGAGCGAGCCCTTTGCCTCGTCGGCGCTCGTTGCGTCTGGTAACGGTGGTGGGTCGAAGGGTGTCTTTGCCCCTTGAATCGGCAAGCCAGAGCTCTGCAAGTCGGCGCTCCTTGCTGCATCCCACTTGTCAATGGTGTCGAGCAGCCAGCGGTGCTGCCTTGCCTTGATGGAGAGAAAGTCGAGCCAGAGAATCATGCCGTGTGGGTCCGTTTCGCTGTCGAGGCCGATGAGAAGCTTGACCCACTCGAGTGCCGTGCGCCAGGTGCCCCGCCTGCCGAGGAAGTTGACGTTGCGATGCGCAGCCAGCCAGAAGCCGCGGTTCTCAATCCGGTCAAAATCGACCTGAGGCGGGCCTGAGGACGAGAGTAGGGCGCCTGTAAATGCCGAGCTGGCGGTGCGTTCAAAGGCAAAGAGTGCACGCGCATTGAAGTCGCTGGCCTGGCCAAGATCACCCTGGTGCCGCGAGACATCACTGAGCTGGAGGAGCGTGTCGATGTGCCAGGGAAAGGTGCGAAGGAGGTTGTAGAGATGGTTCGGGTCGTACGACTGGACGCTCTGCAGGAACTGCAGCTGAGCTCGCTTGTAGTTCTTGGAATGCACCCAGGCGCCCAGCTTGCCGCGGCCTTCGATTGGTATCATCTCCATCGTCAGGCCCGTAACGGTACGCGCGATGGGGGGCCATGTCTCCTTGGGCTGGATGAGGATGTTGTGCGCTCGCAGATTCGAGTTGTGCGCAAGGGCTGCCGCTCGAGCCCGAGCTGCCTCCCTTCCACCCCCTCCGCCGGCCTCATTCTCGTAGGCCTTGATGGCCGCTGCGCCAAATTGCCGCTTGAGCTCTATGGCTGGATCCAAGGCTGACGCAGCAAGTGCCAGATTCGCTCTCAGCCTGGCCAGGGGAGAGCCTGCTGGCGGCCCGCTTCCCAAGACCTGTGCTTCACCATCGCCTCCTGCGCCATCAACTTTGGCCTGGGCGGCTAACAATGCAGCAAAGTCATCCATCGACATGTCGGAGATATTCTTCTTCTCCTTTTCCGAAGCCTTTTGCTGTTGTTGCTGTTGCTGCTGGATCTCCCGCTTCTTTCTCCGTTTCTTGGCCCCTTTGCTCTCCTTTGGCATCCCTTGCCCCCCCTGCTCCTCTTCTCCGTCGGGCTCATCGTCCTCGTCGTCCCTTTCCTCTTGCCCATCGTCCCCTGCTTCTCCATCCTTGTGTTCGGTATCAATGCTCTCTAATGCTCCTGCTGCAGCGTTCCTCTTCTTCTTTTTCTTGTTCTTTTTCTTCTTTGACTTGCTCTTGACGACTGTCGCGGTGATATCCTCGTCCGCGTCGCTCTCATCTTCCTCATCCTCCTCACCCAGCTGCAGCAGCGTATCCTCCAGTCAGCTCTCCCTTCTTTCGCCGTCGAGTGTAGAGCTGAACAGCGACAGAAATTGTTTCTCACTCACTTGAGCAAACAGGCTAGCCTTTGGCGCAGGCGTCGTGTCGTCCGCCTCAAGCTCCCCTTCTTCGTTCTCGTCTCCATCTGCTGGCGCTTCGCCGACGACATGGGAGTTGCCAGCTGCACTTCCAGAACCGACCGCAGCTCCACCGAGCGCCTCAAGCTCCTGCAGCTCCTGCAGCTCCCGCGCCTGTCGCTTGTTGAGCCTCTTCGATTCACTCATTGTCGACTGGGCCAGGTCCAAGGCTGCCTTTGACGCAGAGCGAGTGTGGTGTGTGTTTCTTGAGGTGAACCGGAAGAATGACCGAGGAGAAAGGAAGAAAGAGAAACGGCAAAAATTTGGAAGCGTCAAAAGGTGGAGGAAGTAAGGTCAGCCAAGATCCTTATTTGCGGTCCTGCCAGTCCTAGTCAGACGATCAACCCCGGAAGTGCGCAGGAACTTTAGAGGTCAAGGGGACCAGGAAGAGAGCATCAAACCTTTGGGAAACATGGAGACTGCTCCGATCTTATAGAATCGCAAAAGTCTGCCCTGCTCCTAAGTTGTAGTTGGCCAGCTCTGAGCATTGTTAGGTCTTAGCCGCTGCCGCGGTTGTCGTCTGACCGAAGAAGAAAGGAGGGTAAGCCGATGGCGGGCGTCTTATTCGGATTAGAGCCCAATCAAGGACTTTGCTGGACTCGTTTTGGTGGCTGTTGTCTGTAACAAAGGTGAGAGGATATGTGGTACAATTGCAAGCAACGCCCTCTCTGTGCCGTCGGGCTCGCCACATTGAGCAGAAGAGCTTCCCTAAGAGTATGAGTGCCCGAACAAGTTCACTCTCATAGCCATCGCCAATATTGAGTCGCACCAGGGCCTACGAGATCAACGCCTTCTTCTTGCACGACCCATGTGCGTGGACCCTCAACCAGACGAAAGGTCAGGCGACGAAGAAGAGACACACGGAGCTCCGAAGTCTCTCTAGCTTTCCTTACTCTTCTACATTTTCCCTCCGAGAAAGACGGAGACCAGGCTAGGAATCAATGTTTCTGCGAGAGAGCTTACTTTTGACTCTAATTTGCAGAAAGACCCCCTAGCCTGCACCGAGCCGTGAAGGATTGTCGTATATCGTTCACGCATGCGCATGCTGCGATTCGAATCGGTACGTGCGCACGTCCGTCCGCTTGTCAGGTCCTACTCTGCAGCAAGCAAGGTCTCCTCTTCATTTCATTTAAAAAGGATACACTGCTTCTAGCGCAGCGCTCTTGGACAGGGGAAAATCACTCCCAGCCTTTAACATTGGTAGCTTTGCAGACGGCAGTTCACTGACAATTTGAAGCGCCTTTGAGATCAGCAGGGGTTTTCATCGGCGTAACCAAAGAACTCCAACGGTCGCGACAGGTCAGCAGTCCTTGTCTTTCTGATTAGAAAGTTGCAAATTGATCATAAAATTGGATTGCGAATTCTCGACCCCAGCGCTATGCGCTCGTCTCTGTTATTACTTTGGCCTCGGTACCCCGTCAATCACTCCTTGGTTCTCGACGCATCATCGACAATCTTGACCTCTGCGCCCCGTCACCGGCTGTTAGGGTCAAAAAGACTTCGAGTTCGAGCACATCGCAAACAGGAAACCCTGCAGCTCGGCGGCGGGCAAAGAGGGAGACAGCGCTCTAGACTTTTGTATTTTGTGGCCACGCGGCGAATCTTCTTTCGTCCATCGCGCGTCTGGCAGTCCGATTCGCCTCGTCGGTCATTTTTTCCCCTTTCCCTTCTCCTAACCCTCCCCTGTTCACGGCACTCGCTCGCTCAAGTTGGACAACCAACCCCGCCTTGCTCTCGCCGCTCGGCACGTTCCCTGTTCCCATTCTTTGCAGACGCGCTCCTTGGAAACGAGGAACGCCGCTTCGAGCGCGTTTGGTCGCAGCAGGGAGCGCTCCACGAAACGTTTCCAAGTAGGCCGAGAAGGGCAGGAATCCTTTCACCGGACTGCATAGGACCGGGGAGGGTAGTGAAGAGGAGGAGGAAGAGGAGGCTTTGCGTTCATATAAGACGGGAAGGCCATGACTTCAGAAAAGGGCAACAGCTACCTCTCCCCATCTATGTCCCCAGGCTCGTCTGGATCGAGCAGCGGTCACCCTCCGCCACCTCCCTACCGTTTCCACCAGCTACCGCATACACCTGGTTCCTCGCTTCCTTCTTCAAGACCGGGATCCCCACCGCACGGCGGCAGCGTTCCCAATCCGGGCCAGCCGGGGACGTTCGTGCTCAACCTCGGACGATACGGGGGATACTACATGATATCGATCCCAATCATGCTTCAGCGATTACTGGGCATTCTCCTCCGAAGATGGAAGACAGTCGTCTTTGTCATCCTCTTTGGGACACTGGCTGGATTCGGCCTCTTCGGAGCGATGTGGACAGAATGGAGAGAGATGACCTACTATAGGTGAGTTGGGCATGGAGGCATATGGCTTGTGTGAAGAGGCCGTACTGACTCGGCGCTCGTGCGCCGCCCACGACAGAGTGGACCCATACCCAGTGGTTTCCCCGCAAAGAGCAGCAAGACCTGCTCCAGAGCCAATCCACCAAGAGCCTTCCTCGCAGCCATCACCGGACCAGCCCACAAAGATGGGGACGTGCCCCGGCCCACGCAGGGGACAGGCCATTCCCAGGGCGCCTGCGCACATCTACCAGACGCCTGAAACGCACCCGATTCCCCTCGTTGGCGACTATCACCTGGTTGGCATGGACCCCACCCAGTGCTACACCTATCGTGATCGCTACGGCATGTACACTGATGAGGCTCTGGGCATCGCTTACCGATCCGATGTCGACGGCGACATGGAAGCCCAGAGAAAGGAAAAGGAGGCTATGTATGACGACGATCCAGACAACCTCAAGCCCGTCTACAAAGATGCAAAGGCGGCCGCTGAGGCCGTCAAGAGCGGCCAAGCGGCTGCTGCCTCCAAGGTCCGCAAGACAAATGACTACAACAACACAGACTCGCTCTACGGTCCGCGCAAGCCAGCAAGCATGCCCGAGGATGAGTGGGAGAGGTTCTTGAGGGACCGAATGTGGCGCGCCAATGTCCGCTCGGAGGAGTTGGGTCCTAAGAGCTTCCCGGACTGGCGAGCCTTGATGGACGGCTGCTTTGAGAAGCGGGAGAGGGAGAGAGGACGAGCCGGGGGTGTCGATACCTTTGATCCTACCAGCCGTCCTATTGCTGATGTCATTGAGGAGGAAAAGGAGGACGGCGACGTATTGCCCAGGTATAAGACCAACCCAGAAACAAAGAGGACCGCCCTCGTCATGAGGGCATACGAGGGCTATGTCTGGGTGAGTTTGCTTGGCCCGACACACAACAACGGCCAAATGATTGGAATTGACGACGAGATTGCATTTTCAGCGTGAGGACGACATCCTCAACATGAGGGCCCTCATCTCGGAGCTTTCCCTGAACAACCCGAACACGCCTTATGACGTGCGAATTCTCGTCGAGGTGCACGGCCGACACCTCTCCGTCTTTACATCCGAGTGGGACAGACTCAACGTTCTTAGGTCCAGCGTTCCGCGCGAGTTCTGGGGTCTTGTTGAGCTGTGGACCGAGGACGAGATGTGTGCACTTTACCCGGGCTTGCCGGGGAAGTTCCTCAACCACATGATCGCTCAGAGGTGAGTCCAGCGGAGGGGTCAAGTGCATCAGGGTTGCTAATGCTCTTTCTCGGCAGTTCCTACCGCTCTTGCTTGATGGCCCTGCAAAAATTCTATCTCGATCACCAGGAGTACGACTTCATCTACAACTGGGAGATGGACGTGCGCTACATCGGCAATTACCTCGAGTTCTTTGAGGGTGTCGAAGAATATGCTCGGAAGGAGCCACAGATTGTGGGACTGGACAAGTACGACACCTGGTTCGTGCGAAACGTGACTGTGTCGGAAGAGAACTGGGCCGACAATCGGACCTTGTTCGACGGCCGAGGCGAGGAGGCCGACCTTATCACATTGGGTCCCATCTTTGACCCTCGCGGTTCTGGCTGGTACTGGGAGTACGATGTGCAGAACTACCCGCAAGGACAGGCCACGCACCGAAGAGCGTCGATCGGGACGAACATGCGCATGTCGCGGTCCCTTCTCGACGCCATGAACGTCGTCAATGCGGAAGCGAAGAAGTCATTACACTGCGAAGCCTGGCCGACAACGCTCGTCTTGCACTCGCAGCTCCCCAGCTCCCACGACCACTCCTTTTATCCAGAAGCGGGCTTTACACACAACCTCCCGCTGCCCTTCAAGGGCGTCTTTGCCCCGCATCCCGTCTACTTTCGCCACCACTGGGATCCCGAGGTGCTGCATGCGCGCATCAACCGGCCCGACTTCTACAAGAAAGCAAACGAAAAGGTAATGCGAGACAGCGCCTTTTACTACGATGGCGCCCACGCGAAGGAAATGTACCTCGGGTGGAAGGAAAGGGAAGACGTCTGCCGAGCACCTGTGCTGCTTCATCCCATCAAACGTATCAACTGAGAGATGATCCGATATTCAACAATCACGACAATGCAACCTGTTCTTTAGTCTGTCCTTTTGATCTCCTCTCCTCTGCAGCGGACAATCTCCTCTTTGTCTCTTTACCCCCAACACCTTTCGTAGTGTCCATCGCTTCACCCTCGAACCCTCTCTATCATCCATTTCCTTTTCTCCTTTTGTTCCCTCCTCTGGTAGTCTTTCTTCGTTTTTTGCTGTGCTTCTTCCTTTTTCTTAACGCCAGGAATACCTATGGGTAGAACACAAGTGTTTCGTCCCCCTCTCACTCCGGTTGAAATCTTTCTTCATTCTAAGTTGCGTTCCTTTGTACAGTCTCTCAATCTCTTACGCAACAATGGGACCTTGGAAAGGAAGGAGTATGCCCATCAGAGGAAGCGGCCTCAAAGCGTTACAAGACAGAAGTAAGGACGTCCACACAAGAGCGACAAAGTCCGCAGTGGTTGCTGCGAAAGAGTGGGAAGAGGATAGAAAGAGGGAACTTGGACGAGGTGCGTAGCCAGCTCTTTCTTTACTTTTCTAATTCGTCTCGACTCGATCACTTTGCAAAGTGAAGGCTCCACTGCAGCCACTTTCTCGCCTGGATCTCGTCTGGGTTCAGGCCCACGTCGCCATATGTGAGCGGAGCGAGGTGCCAAAAGACGACAATGACGACGCCTACGATGCCGCCGGCGATGGCCTTGACCGGCCGCGGGATCTCGTTGAGTGTTGTGCGACGCAGCGTGCCTTTCATCCGCAGCCGATCGCTCAGGAGCGCAGGTCCGGGCCGAGACAGCGGTCCATTCACCGTCTCGGTCGCAATAAAGTTGAAGACGGACCCCATGACGAGGCACGCGCAAACGTGGGCGGGCAGGTAGTGGTGAATGAAGAGCTGCCGGTTCATGAGGAAGAACGGCAGGTAGTGGAACGACCATGCAAGGACAAAGAAGCCGACGGAGTTGATCATCCTCGTTCTAATCGAAGTAGGGATTGGGTAGAAGCCTCTTCGGCGGGCCATTGTGTCGGCTGCCATGATGCCGACATAGACAGACACGCAGAGGACGCTCAACCACCAACTGGCCGGATTGCCCACGAGGTAGATTTGCTTGAGGGCGTCATTGTCTGTCCAGAAGCTGATGCCTTGGAGCGTAAATGGCCAATTGATGGGGCCCGATGCGTACGGATGGCTTTGCGTAAGGTGGTTGTTCTGCTGGAGCATCTGGAGCTGCAGCTCGATAAACTTCTTGAAAAAGTTCATCTTCTTGACCTGGCGCGGGGGGGATGGCTTGCTGCGTTCTTCAAAGTCTGAAGCGGCTGTTTCAGAGTCAGAAGGTAAGTGATGGAGTCAAAATTAGTCTTTCCAGATACACTCACTCTGGTCTGGCCATAGGTCTTCGACGAACCAGAGGGCGGTCCGGTCGAGAGCATTCTTGTTGCCGTTGACCTCTTGCTGGCCGTAGCCCCAGTCCGGCAGGGGCGTCTCGGTGTGAGTCCACAGGCTGACGCGGGTGGGGACATGGATCAAGCGGAACCAGGTGCTCTTGCTCTTCCACGTCTTCTTTGACCCTTCCTTCTGTCCGTCGATGGTGAATTCGAAGAGAGTGTCGTTGAACCGGCTCGAGTCGTTGGCCGGCCAGGTGGTAAACTCTTCGTTTGTGGCCATTAGAGGGCTGGCGACATCATGGGTCATCAGAAAGCTGTCGCTGTTGACGTGCAGCAACCGAATACGGTCCATGTGCTTTATCGTCTTCTCCGCTTCATCGTCCTCCAGGAGGCTGAGATCGGGAGGGACGAGTTGCCAGATGTTATTGGTATCATTGTGTGGGTAGGCCGTCACCTGCTGACCCTGACTCGAGATTCGCCCGTCATCGTACTTTAGCGGGTAGCGGTCATTGTGAGAGTGAAGCAGTGCCTCGGTGGCTCTGTGCCTGAGCGTGATCTGATCACCCCAGTGGAGTTCTGAGAAAACGATTAGTCAATCCTGCCTCATTATCGAGGAGCGCAAGGTCCTTTAACCCACCTTTAGCTTGAGCCAGCATGGGATTGCCCTGTAGCGATTCCTGGAATTGCGAGCTCATGAATGCGTCGCCGGTGCCACTCTTGATAAGAATAGCAAAGTGAACCCAGAACCAAAACATGTAGACGAAGGCAGGAACGACGATGAGGCCCCACACCCGTGCGAAGAAGTGCCTGGCCATGTAGTCCATCGAATAGCCCCGTTTGATGTCGAGCAAGTTCCAGAGATCGATTGCAACGGCTGATCCAATGGTGCCAAACGTCAAGAGGCCCACCATCTTGCAGCTCATCGTAAGCGCCAGGTTGACGCCCGTCGCCATCATCCAGCCCCACCATCGGACCGAGAACGCGCTGTTGGCCGTCGTCAGGAGGCGTTGCTTAAAACCTCTCACACTATGAAATAACTCACTTGTATCGCTCCTTGTAGAAGAGGATGTAGGTATAGAGGCTGAGCATCATGAAGAGGACGAGGGCGGCATCAAGGAGGATAAGGCGGTCCTGGGCGATGTGTGCATTGTCTGTGCCAAGGGCAAGGTGAGCTGTCGGTCAAGTGGAGGCGAATCGGCGGCATGCTCACCAAAGATGAGGAGGCATGCGCTGAGAGCGCCGATTGTTGGTCCATGGCCTGTCTCGCGCATGATGGCGTAAAGGAGAGGAACCTGTGCGCTACCCATGAGGGCGGGAAAAGCCCTCATCTTGATGTAGGGCACGCCCGCCGTCACATACTTGTCGCCGATGTTTTCGAACTCAAACTTGCCATCAAAGCCTGCCAGCCAGCCCGCGAACTGGGGAAGATCTTGAAAATAAGCTCTCTCTGTCCTCATATCGAAAAGGCGTTGCATTGTACCCACCGCGTGCAAAATCTTGGCAAAGGGAGGGTGGACGTCGAAATAGTACTGAGGAGAGCAAGCAACAGTGTCAGCGTCGAGTGAGCCTTCGTAGAGACGCTCGAACTGCTCACCTCTCTTCGCAGATAGTACGCGGCAAACTTTCCAAAGTGGACCTCGTCAAAGACGACCTGATCGGGATGCCAAATCTTGTAGAAGCGGACAGCAACGGCAAAGGCTGTGAGGACGAACATGATGGCGCCGTCCTGCTTCAGCGACATAGCGTGTGTCGACAGGGGGGCGGGCGTTGTCACCCGTCTCCGTGTCTTGATAAACGTGCATCGTCAGCCCCGTCGGTATCTGGCTCAAGCACAGCGATTGCTGCACCTACCTTTGAGGGGTCGCCCATATCGTAGTCCTCATCCTGGTCGTAGTAAGGGTTGTGCGGCGGCCCTTGCTTGCCCTCACTGACACTGAGCTCGCTCGTCACGTTTCCCGGCACCTTGCGCGCCCTCGCTGACGTCTGATGGAGGTCCATACCGGGCTACCTGTTCGTCCTCGAGGCCGTCTGTCACGTCGGGGTCGAAGCGAAACAAGAGGCGGCTTCCCGAAGACGAGGAAGAAATAGGAAATAAAAATAAAAATAAAACCCAAAAAACACAGCCAGCCGCCGCCAGCCAGCTCGCGCTTGCCGGCGCACGGCCTTTTTTTGAAAACCAAGACACAGCGGAGTCCACGTGGGGCGCGTGGACGGGCTGTGCGTCCGATCCTCGAGGTCGTCGTCGTAGTCGTCGTCGGTAGACTGCCCCGCCGACCTAATTGTCCCTCTTCTCTCGACTTTAATTCTTTTCGGCTCATACGACCGCCTACACACAGTCAGGCTATACACACACATACCCACACTCTTTCCATTTAGACGCCGACGGGGGAGAAGAGAGTGCGCCAACATGTCTTGGGGCGGCTTCAAGAAGTCGATCAACAGGGCGGGGACGACTTTGATGCAAAAGACGGGCCAGGTGGAACGGACAATCGACTCTGAATTTTCTGATGAGCACGCGCGATACAAGCAGTTTGAGAAGGAGACGCTCTCTTTGCAGAAGGAGGCAAAGGCCTACCTTGACAGCATCCGATGTGAGTCTGTTACGGCTTTTGACCGCGTGCACAACTGACGCTGATGGGGCGTTGGGTGCAGCGTTGGCCTCGTCGCAGGCGCGTATTGCAGAGACTGTCGATGGCTTCTACAATGACTCATCCGAGGCTGCCATGGCCGCCAATGCATACAAGCGCGCCGTCGATGAGCTCGACAGCAAGACGGCACGCGACCTAGATGCGCCGTACCGAGCGACGGTGCTTGAGCCCATTGGGAAACTGTGCAGCTACTTTCCCGAGATCAACAAGACGATTGAAAAGCGCAACAAGAAGCTGATCGACTACGATGCAGCCCGCTCTCGGCATCGCAAGCTCATCGATAAGCCGTCCGATGACGCGACAAAGCTGCCGAGGGCGGAAAAGGAGTACGAGGACGCGAAAGTCATCTTTGAGGCCATGAATCAGCAGCTGCTCGAGGAGCTGCCCCAGCTCGTCGACCTCCGCATCCCTTACCTCGACCCGTCGTTTGAGGCCATGGTGCGCATGCAGGCCCGCTTCGCAGAGGAGGGCTATGAGAAGATGGGCGGCGTCCAGCGGTATTTTGCAGAGGGCATCCGGGAGGAATACGCCGATGGCCAGCTCGACACACAGGTGAGCGTCGTTCTTCTCTCGTCTCCTTTTCTTCGATGTGCAAGTCCACTGACCGTCTGCCGTTTGTTCTTTTCAGGTCGAGGGCGTCTTGCAGGAGATGAGGGAGCTATCCATCTGCGGTCTGGCCCAGTAGACATGTCTCTACATGCAATGCCATCCTGGTTGTCGCAAGGAATTTGGTCGAGAAGCTGATGGGGAACAGGATTGGAATAAAAAGGTAAAATGTGCTACAGTACAGGGAGTTGAGCCGTGGATCACTCGCGATTTGTCGCCACTCCGAGAGGCTCGATTGCTCTTCCTCGCCGTGCCGCCGTGCTCGTCTTGGCAGTGGCTTTGCTAGGGGGAAACGGTGTCGGTGCGACGGTCTTCTTCGCTGGTTGAGGAGCGGGCGCGGACGGCGCGGTGGCTCCGCGCCCCGAGCCCGAAGACGTGCGCCGGATGGGGCCTGTCGAGACTGGCTCTCGCTTTGCGCCCCCTGACAATGGCTCACGAGGGCGCCGTGCTGTCATCGCCTTTGGCAGCGAAGGCCTCTTTGTTGTTGTATTCATTGTTGCTGCTGCTGCTGCTGCTGCTTCGCTCATCGGCTTCGCACGTTTGGCTTGTCGTCCCACGTCGTCCTTCACCGGTGATGACGACAGGGGCGCAGCTCGTGAAGACGAAGTCGGCGCTTCTACCGGCTCGTCGTCTTCGTCGCCCTCATCGTACAGGCTGCTCTTCCGCTTGTGAGACGAGATGATGCTGGGCGACTGTGCAGCCCACTCGACCGTGGCCATGTGGCTCTCTCTGCCCTTTGGCCCCTCGTCCCCGAGCTTTTGCCGCCTGGCATCTACAATCTCAGCCCACGCAACGCTTCTCTCGCCCGCCATTGCCTCCTGCTTTCGCACGAGCTCCTCCCTCTCCTTGGCCAGCTCTCGCCTCTCTTCTTCGAGGACGGCAAGCATATTTGCGCACCTCTGCCGCTCGCCCTGCGCCTCCATCTTTGCCTCGTTGAGCGCATGCGCCAGCTCCTCCTTTGCCTTTTCCAGCTCCGCTTCCCGTTCCTTGGCCTTGCTGTCCGCCTCGCCGTGCGCACCCTTGCGACCCTTTGCGGCCTGCGCTTCCGCCTGTACCTGGCTCAGCTTGGCCAGCGTCTCGGCAAGCTTGACCTCGAGCCGCTTGCGCTCCTCATACGCGCTCGGCTGGCCCCTGGCCGCCGCAAAGGCAGTCGCAGACGCGGGTGCGTCGATGTCGGCAGAGGCAGACGCCGTCGAGGAGCGATTGCTGCTGGACGAGGAAGAAGCCTCTTCGGCGGCGGCCTTGTTCGTTGTTCGCAGTGTCTCGCTGAGCGTGAGGCTCCTTTCCGTCTGGGCTTCGCGCAGTGTCTTTCGGTGCAGATGAATGCAGTCGACGGTCGACCGTAGTGCGCGCGCAGCCGGGTGATCCGTCTTGCGCGATGCCTCTCCAGCGTAGTCGGACGGTAGAGGGAACAAGGGCGGGAAGATGTCCCTGGTGAAAAGAACGGCGTGGGGAACGAGACTGGCCTCAGACTGCTGCGAAGAGGCCAGGCCATGGCTGCTGCCGAGGAGCTTGGACAGTCGTCGTCGGTAGCCCTCTTCGGATCGGATGAGCTCGACGAGAGCGTTGTCGGCGTCCCGCGCAGCATTGATGGCCTCCGTTGCAATCCTCTTGAGGGCTCGGTTGGTCTCGAGGAGCTCCGATCGCTTCGCTTCCAGCTCCTCGAGCTGCATGCGCTCCATGCCTCTCGAGCCCTGCGACTTCGAAACGTGGCCCGTGCCAGGGACAATGTACACCTCTGGCACCACACTCTTCATGGCCTTGATCGACTCTTCGCCAAATCGGGCCCGCAGACGCTCCACCTGGCGTTCGCAGGCCACCTTGTGCTGGTTTGCCTGCGCCTTGATCGAATGTAAGTCCCTCCTCGACTTTTGAACGTCTTCCCTCGCCTGCTTGAGCGCGCTCTGTGACGTGTTCAGCGAGTCTGTAAGGTTGCTGCATCGTCCATGTTAGCATTACGGAGGGTTTCATCTGGATATGCCAAAGGCACGCGCAAACCCACCCGACCTTTGCCTTGCTCGCCTCCAGGCCTCTCTCCGCATCCAGTCGTCTCTCCTTTTCCTCAGCCAGAAATCTCTGCGTCCTTTCCAGGCTCGAGGCGAGGCTTCGATTCTTTGCCGAGACTGCCTCTCTGAACTCTACATCTTGCTGCCGCTGCGAAAGCATGGCGTGAAGCGCGTCGGCCAGCTGGTTGACCGACGAGGAACGCATCCCGCCGACGTCGAGCGGCGAGGGAACGAAGCCGCGCGAGAACAGCTCTGCATTGAGCTGATCAAACGTCGGTCGCATCGACGTCGATGCCGAGGAAGATGACGAGGAAAAGGACTCCATGCCAGCGCCGTCAGCCATTCTGCGAACGGTCAATTGATCCTTGCGCACAAAAATGATGTGAAAGGATGAGCAAGTGGTGTTGCTCTGCAGGGCGGCGCCGGCGACGCGTCAGGCGCACGTGTGTTTCTTTCTGCCTCCTCAGCCCCTCCCCCGGCTCGAGGCAATCAATCGCCCGGGATCGTTGGTTTAGCCTTCGGGATTAAGCTTGCCCTTCACTTTCCCCATATCTCAAACCAGACTAACTCGAAATACAAGGCAGAGGTTGACGAGCTTGCTTAACGATGTGGCCATTCAAGAGGTCCAATGCGGGCCTGATCCGCGAGCATATCAAAGACCGGGACTTTCTCCTTGCGCACCCCGACGGTGTGTCCTTCGAAGCGACAACTGCCGCTGCGTCGAAAGAGGAGCTGGACATCATCAAGTGTGATATCCACGGCATCGTCGCGGGCATCAAGGAGCGCAAGTGGACCTCGACCGATGTAGTCAAGGCCTTCATCGGGGCCTCCAAGCGAGCCCAGGCGGCCACCAACTGCCTGACCGAGGTCAACTTCCCCGCAGCCCTCCAGAGGGCCTCTGAGCTGGACGCCGCCTTTGAGAAAACGGGGCAGCTCGTGGGCGAGCTGCACGGTGTGCCCTTCTCGCTCAAGGACCAATACTTCCTCGCTGGCAAGAAATCCTCGATCGGATATTCAGAATGGCTCAAGAGCGAGCCACAGACGACGGACTGTGCGCTTGCCCGCGTCGTGATGGAAAAGGGCGCAATTTGGTGCGTTGGCTCCTCTTCCTCCTTGCGAGTGCAGTGCAGAAGCTCACAGTAACACCTTCGTACAGCCTGGTCAAGACCAATGTGCCGCAGTCGCTCATCTCCTTCGAGAGCCGCAATCCAGTCTTTGGGCAGACGTGCAACCCTTACAACCCCGCATACATTTCCGGAGGATCCTCCGGTGGCGAGGCAGCCCTGTTGGCCTGCGACGGCGTCGCCTTTGGCTTTGGCTCCGACATTGCCGGCAGCCTGCGCATTCCCACGTCCCACTGCGGCATTTACGCCCTCAAACCTACCGCCGGCCGAGGCTTTCCCCTCAAAGGAAGCGTCGAGGCCAACCCCGGCTTCGAGGCCGTCAGAGTCGTATCTGGGCCCATGTGTCGAAGCTCAAAGGACCTCGAGCTTCTCGTTCGTATCTTCTACGAGTCCCTCTACCCACCGCCGGACAGCGTCGTGACGCAGGCAGAGGTGCAGAAGCGATTTGGAAATGAGTCGCTCCTCTACTCTCCCCTTCGTCCGGCCTGGCTGCAGCCCCTCGAGGCAGCCAAGAGCAGGAGCCCGCTGCGAAGGACGCTGCGAGTCGGCTACTACTACTCAGACGGCTTCATCCGAACGAGCCCAGCGGCTGTGAGATGCGTCGACGTGGCCAAGGCTGCTCTGGAGAGCCTCAACGGCACTGATGGCGACAAGGGATCAAAGGCAGTCGAGTTGGTGCCCATTGAAAGCCGCCGTCTGCGAGGTGACCTCGTCAGCAGAATCTTCCTTGGTCTATCGTCGGCTGACGGTTTCAGCAATCTGCGAAAACCCATGGGCCCCGACGCCATGGATATCTCTCTTTGGCTCATCATGCTGCCTTCGCTCTCGCCCATGCTCAGGCGCATCGCCTACTTTGTCGCCCGGTTCTTGCTTCGTGACAGGCGACTTGCTGAGGTCATCGGCGTGGCCGGTAAGAAATGGACGACAAAGTTCCTCGACATCAACGCAGAAAAGAAGCGATATGCGGCCGAATTCGAGCGCGATGTCTGGCAGGCACAAGATCTCGACGCCATCATTTCTCCCACGATGGGCGTGCCCGCAATGAAGCACTACGCTCCTGCCCAGCTCAGCATGGTGGCCAGCGCTACAATCTTGTACAACATCATCGACGCGCCCGTGTCTATCGTCCCCGTCACACGCGTCAATGCAGAGCTGGACTCCACGCTTCCTAGCAGGTGAGGATGACAACACTCTTGAACAAGGAGAACCTTGACACCCCGCTCGCATTGACTGACGCATGCCTTGTCCCCCTATCTCGTAGCCGCGGCTACAACAAATGGACTAAGACGCCGGGCTTCTCGACATGTTCGCCGACTGTCTCCTGGCGGCTTTACGGCCGCGTGCGCGATGGAAAGGGAGGACAGTACGACGCAAAGGCCATGCATGGCCTGCCGCTCGGCATCCAAATCGCGGCAAGGCACGGCGAAGACGAGTTGACGATCGGCTTGGCGCGCCTGCTCGAAGACAAGCTCCGCGAAGATCCTCAGTACGGCTTCGGGCCCGGTCAGTGGTCGTCGCAGAACGGACGAAGCTGAGCCCAGCATCCGCGGTCTAAGGCCCGTCGCCGCTTCCGTGTCAACCGTCTATGGCAGGTCCGGCGAAAATACCGACCGAACTTTTGAGCATGACAGAAATGCGAATGTCAATTTTGGCCGGAAGAGTGTTTAACACTACACTACTACACTAGCTAGTGCTAGGCTTGAAGCCGGTGTTCTCTTGTCCATGACAGACGGGGCCGCCAAAGAAGAGCCTAGGCCTGCATTGACGATCGCTGAGTAGAGCAACAGTACGAAAGTGTTCGTTGTGTAGTATTAAGGTAGCATTGTAGTTGTCCATGAAATGCGCTAGAACAAAGGACGGTTAGTCTCCAATTAACGGGTTATATTAATTGAGCACCGCAAGAGCCGCGCCTCTGATCCTATCAGGCCGTACCTGCCTTACCATGGCCACAGCCTCCACCATAGAATGTTCATGCGCTTTCGAGTGCACTGAAAGCTCCAAACCTCTGTCGAGTTGTCGATCTTGTCGGCTTTCTCCTGCTCGAGTCTTATTGTCTCGAGAGTGCGCAGCGGGTCGCCTCGACAGCTAACGGCCCACGTCCGGCGATTCCAATTAAGGATTGGAAAATCTAGTCCCGGCCGGGTGCCTGGACACGCGTTCGCACATGAGCGAGCGTTCCTAGAGAGCCATTTCGTTACGCAGACCATGTGATCATCCAATTACTGCTGTCGCCCAATATTTCTCCTTAATCGTGATACAACCGCGAACGTCCCCTAATCCTGAGAGGGAATTCAATCTCTAAAATACAATCTCAAGGCTTGCAAGGCAGGTAGAAAACAAATCACAGTACTACACTACTACTACTTAGGTGGTTGTCCCTCCAGCCTTTTGTGCCGAAATATTGGAGCAGATTGTTGCTGCGTCTCCGCGGGATCGACAACGGATCAAAAAGGTTGTGGCGTGCGCGGATGTCGGGGGTTTTCAAGGATCTATTATCCAGGACCAAGAAGCCAATCCAACGGGACGTACTACTACTGGTAGAACAGTACATACTAGCTGTTCTGTCCCCCTGTCATTCACCCCCGTGTCGGCTCGACCATGCACCGCACAGGCACAGAGCGGCAGGAAGAAAGGAACGGCATGGAATCACCCCACCTCTGAGGAATTGGCGATATTGACTAATTCCGTGCCTGCAAGGAAAAGAGGGAACAAAGAAAAATTAAGATAATAAGAAATAAAGCGAGCAGAGGGAAGAGAAAGAGGTCAAGGGCGGTGGGGTCGAGTGCTTTTGAAAAGTGGCCTCCTTGACCGACTTGGGAAATGGGAAACCAACAAGAGAAAGCCGAGGAGACGATGGGACTGTGCTGAACGCGCTCAAAAGGCCGCTCTGGCTGCTTGCGTTCTAGAGCCAGCAAAAGCTTCAGCTTCGAAAAAGGACAGATGTGAAGTTTGACTGTGTGTGCGGTGCAGAGTAGTAGAGTAGTGTAGTGGCTTGAAATTCTCTAGACTGGACTACACTACTCTAGCTTGCTAGCCTTGATCTACTTTGCCCGCGTTGTCAGTGAGCTTGCCCGCGCGCTAGACTTGCTATCTCTGACTGAGGAGGGAGATAAATGGCAACTTGTGGCATGTGGTCTTAGAGCCGACTGCCCGGATGCCGGCAGTCAACAATCAGAGAGATGAAAGGTAGTCTCAACCTGGGATGGATGGGTCTGAGCAGGAGGTGCATGGGTGTCAACCAGCCTGGAAGCAAGCGAACCGCGCGCGCCATTAAGAAATATATCTGCTGCCAGGGCAGCCCGTATGAGGATGCTTGCTATTCCTTTTTACACGTATTCCTCGTTTCTATTTTCTTATTTCGCCCTTCCTTTTTCAGGGCCTTTTTCTCCTACTCCCCGTAGCTTTCTTTACCTTTCCGTCTATCGTCAGTCCGCCCGCTCTTACCTGGTCCGCGTAGTGATCGACGAGCAGGGAGGCTAGCAAGGCAAGCCGAGAGTCAAGGCAAGGCAGGACAAGGCAAGGCAGGGCAGGCCAGGGCATTGTCCTTGGACCTATCGAATCGATCTCCATCCGGCCGCGAGACAAACGGGTTCGTCAAGCCACAGAACGAGTGACGCTCATCCTCAGATCCAAGAATAAGGCCGCACGTCGCTGCAGTCCCGGACGGTACTCTGCACGGCACGGTTCGGCTCGCCACATTACGCCATTACCGTTCCTGAAGGGCTATCAGCTAGCAACTGCCAGCTCACACCGCGTTCGCGTGCCGGCTGCCGCCCCGTTGCGTCCTTGGCGCGCGCGCGTCTCGAGCTCCGTCGCACGGAAAGTCCGCTGGACCGTGGAAGTGAACGGGGGCAGTGAACGTCAGTCAGCGCATTGACAGACTAGAGGACAGAGGGAAGAAGGAGACTTGCACGGGAAAGGAGGCTTTGCAACTGTTCCTGGGCATATCGCAAGCTCCGCCGCTATCCTATCTGGCTGATACGAAGAGGTGAGTGGTTGTCACGTAGAGGAGATGGGCCTCCGCGCGCTGGAAGGTCAGCCGCCCGCCGCTTTCGCCCTCCCTCAAACACCAGACCCCTCCTCTCCTTTCCCATCTCCCCTTACGTCGGTCCCTTCATTCTCCTCACATCCGCGCTGCGTCACTGCCGGTCTTCCTCTCGCCGCATCTCCCTGCTGATCATGGACTATCTTCGCAGCCGAAAGGAGTCCGCGCCCAGCTTGTCGACAAAGGCTAGTGTGGGCCGTTGCTGTCGCACAAGGCATCCTTCCCAGCAGCTGGCAACCAGAGGCATCAACGGTCTAGCGGAAGTCAAGGTACCGACGGATGAGGTGATCCACGTCAGCAAGGTCCCTTGCCACCACCACCACACCACCGACTTTGAAACGCCCCATCGCGGCGCCGTTCCCCAGCGAACGACGGACACCAGCTCAACCACGCCTATTGCAGCTGCTGTCACTTCTCCCTCCTCCCCCCGTCCTAGGCCCCCGCTCGGCCACCCACACGCAACGCGCACGAGGTGTCTGAGTGCCACCGAGGAGAAGCCAAACGCATCCCGCTGGTTTCTTGACAAGCTTCTGAGACTCCAACCGAAAAGCAGCAGCAGGCTGCAGCAGCCCTCGTTCGACGTCAAGCGACAGCGGATCTCCTCGGCGTCCTATTCGACAAAGGCAAGCACAGCAGTGACGGACGACGCGCGCTGCGAAGAGGCATCTCCTCCTGACTCTGCAACGTTCCATCCGATGGCCACCATGTCGCACCAGCAGGCCGAGGCCAGCAGCAGCAGAATAGAGGCCCAGCTTGACTTTGACGGCGAACGTGTCCAGGACGGTAGCGGCGGCGGCGGCGGCGGCGGCAGCAGTGGGCCAGAAACCTGGAGAAACAGTGCAGTGTCAGACGCTGGCATGGGGTGGGCCTTCTCTACCATGGAGGACGCGCCTCATAACCAGCAGCAGCAGCAACAACAACAACAAATACAAATACAACAACAACGACAACAACAACAACAAGGGCATGAAGAATTGCAGGAACACCACGAACCGCAGCAGCAACAGGAGCGCATCACCTACCAACGAGCGTACCCAGTACCCGATGTATCTTTAAGGGCCTCTACGGCGAGCGATGCCGCCCAAACACCGTCGTCCGCCCAGGATCCGGCCTCGAGGTCTCCCAACGATATGCAGCAATCTGATGCGATGCTGTCGCCAAGACCACAGACAACTGCGATACCTGGCGAGGCGCGACGCCGCCGAAAGGATTCGCAGGTTCGAGGTACAGGAGCCTCGAACAGGAGCCTCATGCCGTCGCAGAGGCGCATTTACGGTCTCGATCGCGACCTCGCTGGTCCCTCTGCTGATTCCGCCCACCTGCCCCCGTCTTCGGGTGGGATAAGGTACAACACCAGCAGCAGCAGCCGCAGGCCTTTTGGGGCCTCCTCGTCAGGTGCAGAAATTGAGCCCTCGAGGGTCTCAACCTCCTCATCCGACGATGGCACCTCCTGGCATCGTGCCGTCAACAATGGCCAAGCTCGCACACCCATGTCGCTCCTTCCCACTCTGGTCACAACGCCCACCACGGATGGCTCTCCTGCCCCGTCGATCACTTTGCCCTTTGACGTGGGCGTCGATGCCCCTGGCGCGTCAACGCTGCCCCCTTCGCCCATCTCGCCCGACGAAGGGCCCAAGTTCAGTGTCGAGGTGGTCGCGCCCGCTTTTGATAGACGAGGCTATCCCGTCTTCACGGGGAGGGGCGCGAGGATCTCGGGCATGGTCCGGATCAAGGCCGTGGAACAGTGTCAACTGTCGATCAAATTGGCTGCCTATGTCAGCCAGGGCTCGCCAGCGGCCGTATGGAACGGCGTGGCGCTGATGCCGCCGGAACTAGGGGCCGAGCGAAACGTCTTTGAGATTCAAGAACGACTTATACCCGACTACTCCAAGGCCCAGCTCTCCCCCGCTAGATCTTCCGTTCCCACGCCAGAGGATGACGACTACATCGTGCCCGTGCCCTTTGAAATCAACCTACCACTCGGCATGGCGACAAAGTTTGTCGATGGCGAGATGCAAAACGTGCCCGTAGCTCTGCCTCCCTCCTTTGAGATCTCGTCCGAGAGCGATGCGAGAGAGAAAGACGCGAATCGGGCCATGTCATCATCGGGTTCCATGCCCAGGTCAAGTGCGTCAAGCATTAGGAGCAAGAGCTCAAGGATGACGATGAGCAACACCATGCAGAGCGTCAGCAACAAGGTCCGAGGCGTAGTCGAGCGAGGCTTTGCAGAAGTCTTTCGCATCGGCTGCTTCTACACGTTGACCTTCTCCATCCTCCGGCCCGACGACGCGTCCTCGAATGGCAAGAAAAAGAAGACGAAGAAGGCGTCGTCGAAGAAGTCGACGTCGCAAAACGACTCGATTACGATCCCCTTTATCTTCCTTGGCGAGCCCACTATGCTGCCGCCTCCGCCTCCATCGATCCCCATGTCGATGGTGGCGTCTGTGCTGTTGCAGCCCGAAGCTCTGCTAGGGGACCAGTGGATGTGCGAACGCAGCCAGACAAAGTGGACCGGCAGTATGTTTAGGTCGTCGAAGCGGACCGTGGAGTTGGAGCTGCACATGCCCCAGCCGGCCACATTGCATGCGCCTGGCGTCTTTCCCTTTCTCATCGTTATTCGGCCTACGGACCCATATCTGTTGTCTGCGGTCGAAGGCCCGCTCAATCCCGTAATGGGGAGGCAAACGGTGGGCGCATCTTCGTCATCATCCTCTCAGGCTCCCGACTCGCCCCGTTCACTTCGAGGCGGCAGCCACCAGTTCTCCTCGAGCAGCGGCATCTCTCCCTCACCCTCTTTTGGTCATAGCCCACAATCGTCCATGTCCATGTCGACGACTGCTCGTATTGGGCCTTCGAATCTTGGCATTTCCCAGGATCACTCGACGTCGGAAGAAGCTCAAGAGATGATGAGGTCCACAGACTCGCCGCCGTCGACTGCCGATGGGGCCGAAGACAGCGATGGGATCCTCTCTCGCTTCATGCGCTCTTCCCTGACCCTGGCCAGGATCCCTTCAAAGTCAACGTTGCCCTCTTCTGGGAGCTCGACCAATTTGGCAGCGACAAGTGCCGACACGGCGCAGTCGCGGCCCTCTACGGTCACAGCGCGAAGGTCGAGAACGAGCCTGGCGAGCGCGTTTCGGCGGAGGCCTAATACGGCGCCTACCACTTCGTCGGACTCGCGCTCTCCACCGGGCACTGTTACTTACCGAGCCGGTATGCCGCACAATTTGGCAAGTCTCGTGCGCGTCTCGTTGATCCAGTCGACGCACTGCGTGTCGAGCGGTCCTTCAGAGACGCCAAAGCGAAGACGGAAGCTCATCTCCATGGCCGATGTCGAGGAGGTGGACGTAGCAACTGTCTTCACGGGAGGTAGTCACAGCGAGGCTGCTGCGCTCGGTCGAGGTGATGTAGCCAGTGACGAGGCGACGCAAGCTGTGGTTAGCCATGTCAAGTCGCACGGCATTCGAGTGCTCCGAGGCTTGATTCGGGTCAGTCGAGATACGACGCCCAGCTTTCGGTGCCAGGGCATTGAGGTCAAATACGCCGTCAAAATTGACCTTTTGGCTTTTTCTCCGGAGCAACTCAAGCAGCAGAAGAGGCCGACCAGCGGCGGCAGCTCGAGTGTCGGCAGTGGAGGCTCTTCGACCTTGATGGGAGATGCATTCCGTGGCACCTTTGGCACGGCCAGCCGTAACAGCCTTTCGTCCACGCTGGGAAGAAGCAGCAGGGCGGCTTCTCAGCATCATCAGCAGCAGCTTCCTCACTCCGAATCTGCTCTTCAACAGCAAGGAAATGGGCTCAATGTCGGCGCCGAGTCACCCTTGGTCCTTCCAAGGCCAATGGGCATGCCACAGCCTCATCAGCAACGGACTTCGTCTAGTTCGAATGACGTCTCCTTTTCCCCACCAATGCCCCCGATTCCGCCAGAGCACCAGCAGCACGTACAGTCGCCTTCCCATCAGCATCGGTCTCAGATGCCGAGCTTGAGCTCTGCGACGTCAACGATTCGTGGTCCGCAGCGAGAGAATGGCAGCTATGCACCGACCGAAATTGGTGGTCTTGATGCCGCCGGCCGAATGATGGGGCCCAATACCTTCTTTAAGGCCACAACGGGCGTAGAAGGCGGAACGACGGTCTTTGGAGGAGACGGCAAGGAAGTCCGGCTCGACAAAGGCATTGGAGCTTTGTGGGCTGACGTTCGTGTCGTCCGTGCTGCGTTTGCGTAAGCGAGAGAAATACTTGTCATCGACCTTCAACACCCGCCCATACCAACTGAAGACGGTCCCAAAGAGGGTCCGTCTTTAATTTATTCACAGTCTTCTCTCTCTCCTCCCCCTCCCCTTTTATCTCTCCCTTGTCTCAAGAGAATGCAATCACTATCCAAGTCTTTGTTCTATGATGATTAAAATTAGTCACTCCTGTCACTACCTGTTGTCCTGCGAGAGATGGGAATCGAAAAATGTCCAGATGTCGTATGTCGTAAGGTGTCGTCTCGGTTAGATCAGTCATTACATCGTCGGCGGTGGAGCAGCCTTCTTGCTCTTCTTTCCTTTTTTGTTCTTACTGGCCCACTTTCGAATCTTCTGAATGGCCGTAACCAGCAAGCCAGGCTTGAGGTTTCGGTTCGGTGTGGGCCCCAAATTGACTACGAATGCAATGGTACGGACAGGCGCTTCTGCGATGCCCAGCGCCAGGTTCCAGGCCGCGTCGGACCATCCCTTGGGCTTTGGTAAGGGCGCTTCGTCGTCGACGCCGCCACCGTCACCGTCATCTTGCTCCCCAGTGTGCTGGAGGTCCTCGTCGAGCTCCTGGTCCCCAACCTCAGGATCATCTGCGCCGAGGTACTGCGAGTCAACTGGCGATTTCGGATCACCGTCTTTCCAGCGTAGACGGAGCTCCGTCGGGCCAAGCGACGCCGGCAAGCGATTGTGCTCCCAAATGACGTCGAGCTGCGAGGGCTGCCCATCCTTTGCATTGATGGCGGCCTTGCGAAGGTCGTCGAGCTGTGGCGAGTCTTGCTTTGTGTATCGCTGTCCAATGTGGACAGAGTAGTGGATCTCTTCGTTTGTCGTTCCGCTCGACTTGACTACGTTTGTCCACCACCACGGCAAGACTGGCAGCTTCTTGCCCGTCACCGTCGTAGGATTCTTGTCCTTGTTCTGGGCCAACAGCGCCCATTGTCCGACCTGCCTCGTCTCTTGAAACTCGATGCAGACGCGCGACGGGTGTTCTGGCTGGCGAGCCCAGGCTCGACGTCGGTCTTGGAGCTGCACGAGGGCGTCAAGGTTGATGTCGAGCAGAGGCCCTCCCGGCTGGTCCACCAGCTGTGACACCATCCATGCGAGAGTAATGTCCTATATCACAAGCGGTCGATAAGTTGAAGCTTTTTTTCTTCGACGTGACAGGAGACTACTCACGGACAGGCCGTGCCATGCGTGTCCACCACCGACATCGCTGTGCGAGCCCTGGAACCAGACCTGCTTGAGCATCTGGCCCTTTCGTCTTGCTTCGTCGCTGGGGACCTCTGCGCCGGGAGGGGGCTGAAAGAAGAGCGTGGGGGCAAAGTCCTTGCGATCTTCGCACAGCGCCAAGGCTTGGAAGGCGTACGACACATTTGGAGCAAGGACTGTGCGATGTGCACACACAATAGGCGTAAGTAGTCCGAAGAGTCATCTTCAGTCCATCTGATGTCGACTTGCGCGGCAGAAGCATGCAACTCACCAGGATCGAAGAAGGAGAAGAAACGTGAGAGACTCGGCGAGAGAAAATGACCAGGGATACCCAGAGCGCCGACAGTGTCCCAGACGCCAACGACCTTGATCTGAGGCGGGTAGACCCGCGGGAACTTTCTCTTTTCGTCCACTTCCTTGTCCTGCTCCTTCTCTTCCTCGGCTGGGTCTTTACCCATCATCTCGACGGCTGCCTCTTCATTCCCGCGAGCGGTCCGCATCGCGTTGCCGCTCGGCCACAGTCCCGTCTTTTCATAAAAGACGCGCTCAGCGTAGTCTTCCGTCTTTGCGTCACTCGGGTCCCTGGCCATGTACGCCTTCCAAATGTCCATGAATCCATTCGCAAACGTCCTCTTCCCCAGGATGCCGGCAAAGTTGATGAAGCCCGCAATGGTGCGGGCGGTGTATGCGCCTCGGCTGAAGCCAAACAGGAGAACCTCGTCACCGGGCTGGTAGTTGTCGACGAGGAAGCCGTAGGCTTCCGATACCTTCTGGCCAAGCGTCAGACCAGTGGCACCCTGGACGAGCATCGAGACGAGGTCGACGCTGGCCCCGATGCCGCTTTGGTACGCTACAATTTGGGGCATGACCGTTCCATCTGGACGCCTAGCCGACGAGGACGAGGCAATGGCTTGCGAGAGGAGTGCGACATTGGTGTAGTATTTGTCCGACGAGGACGTGGGTGCGCCGCCTTCGTTGACCGTTTGGACGAGCCGTCGTGTCTGCCAGGTCCCATCGCAGAGCAGCACGATGCGTTGCGGTCCGCGAAGGGCATCAGGATCGGCTGTCTTTGACGCGGGGGGAACACGCCCGGCGGACTTGAATGTCTCGAGCATTGCTGCTGACGGCGCAAGGGCTCACGCGGGTGATGTTGTCGCTCAACGGGAGGGTGAGATGCTTCGCTGCCGAGAGAGAAGTCGGACGCTGAGTTTAAATACGACCCCACCCCCCCCCCTGTCCACGCCGCACTTCCACATGATGGGCGCTGAGGCTATGACGCTAAGGCACCTGCAGAAGTCTCGGGTGAAAGCATCTTCAAACTCTAATATTCGCTTTGTCGTCGCAGGGCTCCTACGTTCTTGCGGCGCAGCTGTCTGCTACTGGGCTACCTCGCCTTGCATCTGCTGCATGAGAACGCCATCACTCACTCGTGCTTCAAGGCCCTGCAGCTTCACAGCCAGCTCCCCACTCTTCCTCCCCGCTTCCGAAGAGCTGCGACTTCTGGCGGTGCAGAATGCGCTTTCATTTGGGGCACGTGTACTCAAACGAGCGACTGTCAAAGGAGACTGGACGAGAATCGCAATACCTCAGCGAGGAACTTCTATGCAGATTGTGTGAAAGCGGGAACGCAAACGAAGACGATGTGATTATCAACAGATGATTTCTAGGAAGTTTTTTGGAAAAGCCGAAAGGGCAAAGTAGGGTCCAGTATTGATATGATAAGTTAGGCACCTTCTTCTTCCTTTGGCGCCGACGACGACCTCTTGAAGGGGTTGAGCTTGTAGAGGAGACCAGTGACATAGCTGGTGCCTAAGCCGTAGCCTCTGACGCGGAACCACCAGTAGCAGGCATAGACGGCAAAGACCTGGAAGATAGTGAAGCCAAGGAAGATGCCAAAGGACTGCCATCGGAAGCTGTAGTGCGCGTTGAGCGTCTCGGCAAACTGGTCGCCGATCTGATACTGGCAGAAGCCGCAGTTGGACATTGCATCTGGGTTGACGAGCTGACCTTGGACCTGCTCGGCCCATGCGCCTGCGTAAGCGCCGCACGTCTGTCCCGGGGGAGGGTTGAAGCGCGCAAGATCTTCCTCGTTGCAGATGACGGGCAGGTTGTGGAGCACGGTAGCAATCTGACCCTTGACGTACCACGCGATGGGGTTGACGTAGATGATAAAGTCGCGGTAGAGAGCCGGCATCGACGTCACGGGTACAATGATGCCCGAAACGATGGCAAGGATGGGCAAGGCGAAGGGAAGCAGATTGGCGGCGGTGACAGGAGTGGGGCAGCTGGCAGCCAGGAGGAAGCTGAAGAGCATAGCCCAGATCTCCATGACAAAGACCTGGAGCCAGAAGTAGCCGGCTTTGGACGAGGACGTCTCGTAGTAGGGGATGAAGTACGAGGGAAGGAAGTAGATGACGGAGCAGACGACGGCCAAGGGAAGGACGGTGATGATGAAGGACGTGACGAGGGCGTACCAGGCGTAGACTTTCGATTCGCGCTCCCTGACCTCATAGAGTACGCGGATAGTGAAGAATTTGCTGAGAATGGCATTGACGATGGCCGGAATGTTGAGGATGACGAGGAAGACGATGAAGACGCGATTCTGGTAGTCGACCGGGCTCAAACCGAGGTGGGCAAAGGCGCCACCGGCGACAAGACCAACGACGAAGTTGGAGAAGAGGACGCCGTAGGTAAAGGAAGAGTCGCGCCAGGCATCAACCATTTGCCGCTTCGTCACCTCTTTGAGCTGCGTCATGGCGTTGGCAGAGTATTCGGACAGGGCGCGAGGATCTTTGCGAGCTGGTCGCTGCTTGCGCTCAGCATTGATGCGATCGACCTCTTCCCGTGTCGCCTTAGCCTCGGGCGACGCTCGCCACATTTCCGCCCAATCAGTACCCTTGCCCTTGCCTCCGGACACGACCTCGAGAATGTACTCTGCGGCGTTCTCGTCGGGCGGACAGGGCTGTGCACCGGCGCGCTCAAAGTAGCCGCGGATCTTCTCGCTTCCGGTGCCTCTCTTCTCGCCAATCTGGCCAAAGTAGGCCGTCTCACCTCCAGGCTGGAGGAGGAGGACGTTGTCGAAGGCCTCGAAGAGGAGTGCACTGGGCTGATGGATGGTGCACAGGATAGCCTGTCCTTCCTTTGCCAGACGGCGGAGCAGACGGACAATGGCGGCCGCACCTGCCGAGTCAAGACCACTCGTGGGCTCGTCGAGGAAGAGCAAGAGGTCCGGTTTGGCGGCCAGCTCGACACCAATCGTGACACGCTTGCGCTTTTCGACTCCCAAGCCGAAGCCTGGAACGCCGATGAGGGCGTCTTGAAGCGACCGAAGCTCGAGTGTATCAATGACGTGCTCAACCGAAGCCAGCTTCTCCTCGCGCGAGATCTCGGCAGGCTGACGAAGGAGGGCAGAGAATTCGAGGGCCTCGCGAACCGTTTGTGTGGCCATGTGAACGTCTCCCTGGAGTACCAGACCGGTGCCCTTCTGGAATCCGCGATCCAGGGGCTTTCCGTCGACGAGAATGTCGCCGGTGACGACGCCGGCGACGCCTCGTTGGCTCAAGGCACTCATCAGTGTCGTCTTTCCCGCCCCCGAAGCGCCCATGAGCGCTGTCAGCTGACCAGGCCGGACCCAACCGTCGATGTGCTGCAGCAGCTTGCGCCCCGACGCCAGCTGCAGGTTGACATCCTTCCACGTAAAGATGGCTCGATTTTCAATCTCTTCGTCATTAAGCTCCTGTCCTTTGTCTTCGGCTTTGGTCACTGCAACGTCTTTGCCGCTGTTGTCGGATGTACCGTTGGCACGGACCTCGGAGTTGGCTCGTGTGCTGTCGTTCGCCATGGAGTGGTCTGACTCGACACGCTTAGCCTGCGCGGGAGTTTTCTCTACTCCTTTCGATTCGACATCGTCTGGTGTCGCCTTGCTATCGCCCTTCATCATGGCGATGGCCTGCTTGGTGCGCGCGTAGACCGTGACGCCACCACCACCTCCCGTCCAGTCGATGGCTTCTGCGGCGATGAGCGTCGGGATAAAGTAGAGGACGGTAAACGCTATGAGGACGGCCCAGTTGTAAGAGATCGTGCTTCGAGAGTATTTGAACGTCGTGCTCAGGTAGTCGCGCGAGGGCACCACGATGGAGCCAGGGCGGCCGCCGGTGAGGGCGCACGTCTGGTAGGCAACGTCTCGGACCTGGTTGAAGGGCACGATCTGCATTGGGTTGCACTGAATGTCATAGTTGAGCTCGTTTGCGAGCATTCCCTCAAAGGCGTAACTGATGCCGTTGACGTAATTGAGCCAGACGAGCCAGTTCATCTGCGGCCTTCGAATCACGTAACCGACAAAGACGATGATGACGTTGAGAGAGAGTACGCTGAATCGGATCGCCTCATTGAAGCCGCCAGAGAAAGCAGCGATTCCGCGGTAGAGGGCTGTGAGGTTGTATGCCGAGAGGAAGACGTAGACGAAGTAAATGAAGAATGCGCCGGCGTCCCTTCGCAAATTGGCCAAGCCCCAAACGACAATGGACGTGATGAAGCACTGAACAAGCAGGAAGGGAATGTCGACGATTGCCCGTGCAATGACGACAGCCGAGGGTCGGTAAAAGGCGAATTGGCGATGGCGAGCGAGCATGGGACGGCCGGCGACGGCCTCGAAGCCCTCGGAGAGCTGAAGCCAACCATTGAATAGACACGAAAAGAGGAGCACACCGCCACGGGTAAAGACACCTTGCGAATCTTCCTTCTCGCCGTAGAAGAGAGCGCCGATGACGAGACTGATCGAGACGATGGTAAAGAGCTTGATCTGCATATCGACACGCGAGCCCCATCGGATGAGGAGCTGGCGCCAGATACAAGCCTTGACCTGCTCCCAAAAGCTGACGGTAAATGGTGACGTTTTCTTGACACCCCTGTTCTTTTCCGCGGCGGCTGCCTTGGCGAGCTGTTGAGCTTCCTCGCGCTCGCCCTCGCGCACCTGGGCTTCGTACTGCTCGATCTCCTTCATGAGCTTCCCATAAAGGCCGCTCTCCTTCCACACGCGCTCTCTCTCCGCAGCTGTGCGAGGCGCCCGATCGGCAAAACCGTCTCGGAACTCGACCTGGTCTGGGTCTGTGACGGCCGTGACGAAGTCGGATGTCGTCTGGCGGGGAGGAGAATAGTAGCCGAGGTCGTGGAAGTACTGGCGGGCCTGGTCGCGGGGCCCATAGTAGATGCACCGGCCCTCGTCAATTACGGAAACCCTGTCAAAGTACTCGTAGATGGACTCAGAAACTTGGTAAAGCGTCGCCATGGTCGTGCGGTGCGACAGGTCCGTCATAATACGCAGACTGCGCGCGTAATCGAGGGCCGTCGAGGCGTCGAGACCTATGTGCATACACAGTGTCAGCATTAGTCCAACAAGATGCTGTAATGTCCAGCTCACCTCTCGTGGAGTTGTCCCAGGCAACGACGGAAGACCTCGTGATCAAAGCCTCGCCGATTGTGACACGCTTACGCTCTCCGCCAGAGACACCTCGGACGGCAGCGTCGCCGACAACGGTGTCTCGGACATGAGACATACCGAACATCTTGAGAATGACGTCGGTGACCATGTCGATGAACTCGGCTCTTCCCTCACCTTGCAGCCTCTTGCTGCGGGTGGGGACCTTGTTCTTGAGCGCAAAACGGAGCGTCTGGGCCACGGTGAGGGTGGGGAAATGAATGTCGTCCTCGTCGGAAAAGATGACTTCGCCGCGGTAGTGCTTGGAAATCTCGTCCGGACTCAGACCACCAAAGCTGACGGTGCCCGACTGCTGAACGTTGGCGTTGTTGCTGGCCGTCAGAGCTCGAAGGGTCGTCGAACACCCTGAACCGGGTCGCCCCAGGACGAGGAGCATCTCGCCAGCTCGAAGCACGCCACTTTGGCCCTGGATGAGATAGGTTTTTTGCTGATGTGCGCCTGCCCTCTTGGCAAGGAAAGAACGGAGAGGCGGGAAAACGAAGCAGAGCACGCCGATCGGGTCCGTAGTGGCGGTGTTGAGGATGGCATGCGGCAATGTCTTGACCAGCATCCCACCACCGCCACTGCCAGGTGCCGTCACGTCGAGGTCGCGCCAGGAGACGCCGAGGGGCTTGTGGGTGTGAACGCCCTGCTGCTCGGCCTCGTAGTTCCTAGCTCGGATGAACCTTCCCAGGTCAAAGTCGTCCTCTTCGTCTGTTCCCATCCCCTCTCGGCCTTCTTCAAGCTTGGACTCGGGAATCTGCTGATGCCTGGACCCCTGATTGCTTATGCTTTTAGCAAGCTTGCCGAAGCCGCTCTTGCTATCCTGACTTCGACTCCGGGCGTGCTGAAGGCGACCCTGCCTGGATGTCTGCCTCGCCAAGTCAAAATCGGCCTGGGCTTGCTTAATGTCGACCGGCTCGCCTCGCTGTGCCTCTCCCCACGTCCCCGTGCTCCCCGTCTTCTCGAGACGATCACCACCGTCAAACTTTGGTTGCTTTTCGCCGGCCTGCGCCTTCTCTTGGAGTAGTTCCCCGGGCTGGCCTGCTTCCTGGGCCGCTCCCTCGCCGAGATCACCGGCACCGGCGGTGTGCTGAACCACGGAATCGTCCATAGCGGCCGCAGGGCCGGCCTTGTTGGCGGGCACGGCGCTCGTCGACGTCATTTTTGTCTGCGCCTCTCTCTCTCTTGACGCTCGTGCACACCCAACAGACTGAAGATGTGGTGAGGAGGTGAGGGATGTGTACCCGCAAGACGAGGCAGTAACCCTTTTTATCGCTGCTTACGGTCGCTCGGCCAAGGCAGGTTTCCAGTCGAGTTTCCGATCCGTAACAAAAAATGCTGGTTTTGCTTCTTCGTTTCGAGCCCGCTCCACTTTGCTCTGCAGCAGCTCCACTTATTTTCCCTTTGGTTTGTTTTTTTTTCCTCCTCGCCTTTTCGCGTGTTCTTTCAGCGAGATCTGAGCTCTGTAGGCGTGTGCGTGCGTCTCTTTTTTGGTCTCTTTCCGAAGCCGGTCTGAGTTTTGGCGATGACGAATGAATCCCAGCCACCAACTGCTTGGCCAGACAACGATCGTGTATCTGCACATCCCCTCTCCCTCTTTATACAGCTCTTTCAACGTATCTTTGGAACAGGAGCGAGAAGAGGGGGCAGCTATCTGCATTACGGATGACTCAAATCCTCCCCTGCTCACTGTTTCTCTGGGCAATATATTTCCTCGTTGCTCAACGCACGGAATCCGAGAGGAGAAAGAAAGATATAAAGGGAAAACGCGTCGAGTCAAAAACCCTGCATAGTGAGCCGGTCGGTCTCCACCTGCTCCACGGAGCCCACGGCGCAAATGAAAGCATCCTTTAGTAATTGGTCAAGGATCCCCCGTTCTGCCTTACAAAGTGGAATTTGTTTTGCCGCTCAAGATTCACTCATGCCGAGGATCACACGCAAAGGGGAAAGGAGAAGGAGAAGAACGAGACGATGCATCTGTGAAAAGGCTGTGCATTGCGATACGTACGGTACTACACTGGACAGTCGAAAATAAAAATTCATCCAGGCCGTGTTCAGATCGCCAAGCCAATCACGATACCTTTCCCGGATTTTGCAATCTAACCCTCGGACTGAGGATAGCGTCCTTCCCTCATGTCCAAGACGCCAGGGTCCGCCAAGGAGGCATCAGGGTTCGACGACCTCGTATCAATGCGGCTAGGAGGAAGAAATTTGGGAATTTTTCAAGACAGAGAGAGTGGACAACAAGAGGAGATAGAGCCGAAGGGACAAAGAGGATATCTACAGCAGAAAAGGGCTGTCGCTAGAGAGGTTGGAGGATAGGAGATTACTAATGTACGTGCGAAGTGAGTGTGATAAGTGTGCAAATCTTCGCGAGCTCCGCGTTGGGTTGGCGTTGCGCGAGAGAAGGGAGGAAAGTGGCCTAATCCTTGCGCGAGAGCTCGAGGACCGGCAGGGTGAAGTAGCTCGTGTCCGGGCTGAGGAGACCGGCAGCGCCGACGTACCAGGCGATGGCCGCGGTAACAATACCAAAGCCGCCGCCAGCCTTCTGGACCTTAGCGTTGGCGGTGAACTCGGCAATGAACAGGAGAAGGAAGGTGAGGTCCAGGAAGACTATGAGATCGAGAAAACTGTGTCAGAATCACTTTCGAGTTGGAATGAATAAGCGCACTCACAGAAGAGGAGGACGAGACCGAGCGAGCTTCGGAAAGAGGCGAGGAGCAAAATGAAGGTGAAGATGAACCATGCGGCGAGGTACAGACCAACGGCCTGGCTCATCATTGCGCCGGCCTCATCGGCGCTGGTCGTGGCCGATACGAAGGCGCTCTTGACGCCGAACCAGGGAATGAAGAGAATCGCGTAAGACCACCAGAAGGCACCGTAGGAGCAGAATGCGGTGGCACCAAAGCTGGAAAGGGAAATCAGAAGTGGTCAGCTCGTCATCTCAAGACGACAGGGTGAAATGCAGTTGAACTCACGTGTTACCGGCAGCAAACTCCCAAACACCAGCAACGAACTGGGCCATGCCTCCATAGCCAATGGCGAGACCAAGGACGGCGTTGGGGACCGCGACGCCACGGGCGGCGACGTTGTAAAGCGACAGGACAAACGTCGTGGCGGCGAAACCGAAGAGACCCAGCGGCGCAGGGTTGGCGAACTTGCGGTGGTAGATGGGGAACGCGGGCTGCGACGAGTCCTGGGGGTGTCCGCCGGCTGTGTCCACATGCATGTCAACGCACGTCAGTATGGGTGGTTGGGTCGTATGGTTGGTGCGAGGGTGAGATTGTTTGAAAAGAGCAGCGGCAGTCGAGAGAAAGGAGGAGGAGGAAGAAAAAGAAGGTCTCATTGTGTCAGCTGTCTTTGCTTGCCTGCGCTCTGTGCTAGCTTCGCGGAGCGACGGCCTTTCAAGCAGACCGCCTTCGTCGTGCGTCGCCATCTCCTCATGCAGGCTCATTGTAAGGAGAAAGGAAGAGGAGGAGGGGGGAGAAGGCTGCGAAGTCCGTCTTTGCTCCCTCGCTCCCTCCCAGACCCCGACATGGGCGCATGAAGTATTCTTTTGCGCTTGAATATGTTGTGCCTGCACGCCTGTCTGCCCGTCCGCGCGAGTCCGACCAGCCCGCGATTCTCTGTCAAAAACCAGTCTCGCCTTCTGTTTTTGACGCAACACCGACAATAGTGCCCCGTGCGCCTCGAGCAAACCCTTGAAGAGGCTCCGACAGCGGCTCTGTACTCACGCGTCACCGCCCTCTGCGTGGGCACACCGCCCTGGAATCCTCCATTCTCGGCCTTGGTGTGTTCAGACATGCTGGTAGAAATTTGGCGACAGAGAGTGTGTTTTGGGGCTGCGACGGTGGGAGTGGCAGAAGGAAGAGGATCGACCGAGGGAGGAAAAAAGGGAATCAATTGTGGGGAGGACCATTGGATGGCCTATTTATGCATTTGACGAACCCACGCAGACCAGCACGCATCCAGCGACCAAAACACATATACGTGCCGTTCTCCACCCTTAGAAAGTCCGTCGCAGCTCCGTCTGTTTACCCCAGAAAAAAAAAGAGGTTGTATTGCCCCCTTCCCGAGAAGCCTGACCAATCATCGGCGTTCTCTCGGCCGTCCCTACATACTAGCTAGAGTTGCCAATGTCTAAAAAGTAAAGCTTGGTTGTTGTTGTTGTTGGAGAGCCTTGGTGTGTCAGTGCCATGCATGCACCTTTGCTAATTAGTGTTCCACCTCTCATTTCTTTTTTCTTTCTTTTTTTCCCTTTTTTTCTCGTCCTCCACAACAATCTAGGAGAAAAATTTGTTTAGCCTGGAACGAGCCCCTCAATCCACTTTTGTATCTGATCGAGCTAGTCTCGTCTGTCTGGGGAATTCTCTGCACCTCGTCAGTCTCTCTTTAATGCCGAGGAGCTATGTCTGCTCGCTCGTCGTGATGGGTGTGGGGGAGGGGCGGGGAGGAGGGGACAGAGAGCAAAGCGGCCAAGTAGTCGGCTCCACATTGGCACCTCTCCATTGTGGCATGGCTGCTCCACTCACTGATCTGCGTGCCCACTGCCTCTGTCACTGCCCAGGCCAAGAAGCCACATAGCTTTTACATTATGGCCTTTTCATTACACAACAAACGTACTTGGCTAGTAGTAATCGATTCCCTCAACATGCCGGAGATGCAGAGCCGAGGGTGAAGGGTAAACCCTGCACTAGCTTTTTCCCCGCTTAGAGGCAATACATATATATATATACGTAGCAGCTAGTAGTCGTGCACCCGCGGTCTCAGGTGGGGCATGCAGCCAGGTTGTTCTTCTGCATGCGCGGCATTGAAGGGATGCAGTCCCGCAACCGAGGATATTATTTGATGTTCACCGAAGCAGACTGGCTTCTCTTGCCTGGACATATTCTCTACGGTACCACTACACGAATGTCGCAGCTGCCGCTGCTGCTGCTCATCGGAAACAACATTGTGTTGCCTGGCCAAGGTCGTTCGGAGATATCGAGAAGGCACGTGTCCTTCATCTCGATGCTCGTTGGTGATCCACACCGAGTTGTGCATTGACGACTTGCCGGCAAAGGCCATCGAAAGCCTCTTTTTTGTAGTGAGCATCGAAACTCCGCGCGAAGCCACCGGCGGCATCCGCTTGCTCCACTCGATCTGCTGAGCGTCGGAGAAAGGGAAGGAGTGAAGTTTTCATCAGATGAGGGCATTGTAGTGAAAGAAGGCCTCTGAGGCTTGTGGCCATCGCAGGCAGGCAAAGGCGCGGACCTCGGCAAGCTCCTCGTCATGCTCCATGTCGCTACTTGCGTCATCATCGTCAAGCCCGCTGCTGGGCCCAACTTGGCCTAGACCTCCAAGATCAAATGGCAGAGCTTGTTCCCAGGCGCGTTGAGCTTCCCCTTGGACCTTTGCCCAGTACTCTGCGGGACCGTGATGGGCAAAAGCCTGCGAAGGAAATAGGATGGCGCCTTCGTCTCCCAGAGCCTTTCTAGCGAGTGCCTCTACTTGACCCGCGCGGTCCGCATCTTCGACGATGGGCCCCGTCGACGAGGTCGCCCTCTGGGTGGGACAAAGAGCCCGTTCCAGGCTCGCACCCAGGCAGAGGGCGGCGGCCGAGGCTCTGGTGCTCCAGCTCTTTTCCAACGCCAGAGGCGGGGCGAGGGCGCGGAAGAGGAGCATGTCATTCTTGTGCGAATTGACGAGGAATCGGACGAGCCAGGCGCGCAGCTGATGTGCCGGACAGGGAGCCATGGGCGTCGTCTTGGCCACTACGTCTAACTCTGCGGCGCCTTCTGACCCCACCATTGATGACATGGATGGGGAGAAGAGCGAGGGCTCGAGCATGGGTGGGGCAGAAGCCGAGGCGACATGGAGCAGCTGCGAGGCCAATTCGCTGTTGACCTCGTGTCGCTCTGCCATGTTGTCGTCCAGGTCCCTTCCCTCCCACGACCATCCTGAGCCCGGCCACCGTTGACGCATGAGGCCGCTGCGGGACGCATGGACCTGGAGAAAAGTGTACGGAAGCGTGATGCTCAGCGTACGTAGCTCTGGCAGGAGCTCAAAAACGTGGTCAAAGACTTGTTCGACCTGCCACGTCGACAGCACGTCAATCTCGAGCTGTTCCACCTGGATTCTCGCCTTCCTCTTCGTCGACGACGAAGACGACGTCGATGAGAGCTGTCCCTGGTGCATGAAGAGCCGCCGTAGAGCCAAGCCGGACGCGTCCTCCTCTTCTGCTTCGTCTGGTCTCCACGAGACTCGCAGCACCTTGAGGGAGGCCGGCTCAGTCTCTTCGTCGTGGCTCTTCAAGCCCACTTCTCCTTGCTGCCTTTCTTCCTCGCCTTGGAAAAGATACGGCAGCAAGGAAGCCTCGTTTGGGCCAACACTGAGTCGCCTACAGCTTTGGCGGATGGCGAGAAAAATCGCCACGACATCGTTCTCGTCCTGATTCGACCAGATGGGCGTCTCCAGTGTCACATCCCTGACCAGACGTCGCAACCGAGAGCTACTGCTCAGCGTTCGACCAAACGAACGAGCCCGGCGGACGATCGGAGCACGGTACAAGAGCGGCCGTACCCAGGTATCGAACTGCCGGCAGACGAGGCACAGGCTGGCCGCCTGTCTCGCTCGGACTCGGTGCTCGAAGATGCGGCGCGATGAGGACGACGGCGGCAGAGCGCTTGCGTCAGCCGATTCCTTGGCCGACGACAGAACGGCATATTGCAAGCAACGCTCAAGCAGCTCGACAGGCAACGAGGCAAACGGCGAGATCCTCTCCTCTGAGTCGACGTCGACGCTGTCCTGGTCGGACGACGCTGCCATCATGGCCTGCATCTTGCGCTCCAGCTCCGATGCACCATCTCGATAGTGCCGCCCAGGATCGATGGCACTGGACCCCGAGGATGGCCCAGCAGAATACATGGCCGACAATAAGACGATCTTGCTGCGATGGCTGCACGATCGATCATGTCGTGCGAGCAGGTCGCACTTATCGATTTGCTGTGGAGGCATACGACTATCTGTCACTGTGACGACAGTAATACCCAAGCCAGGTGACAGAATGACAATTTGCACACGTGGCTACTTGAATTTTCAAAAGTGACATCAGCCTGAATTTTGCTCCTCTACGTGTTCTATTATTGTTGTTGTGATTTAGAGCGCCATCGCCAAGGTTTGGCCTCTGCCGAACTTTTTAGGAGTGATTTCGATTTCGCTGGCCTTGTGACCACTACCACCAGCGCTTTTACCACTTCTGCCCTCACCCGTCGCTCCTTTGCTACGTCAGCGTCGAAGTTGCTTTAGGACCAGGCAGTGGCAGCAGCAGTCGTCGACAAACACGGCTACGACTTCTATCCCATGCAGTGATTCTATTCCGACAGTCCGCTTCACATAGACAAGAGAAAGGGCAAGGGCGACCATGTCTTCTCTTCCATACACTCGCACCCAAGATGCCGATCCTTCCTCCATCCCACTCGATAGCCTCCGTGCACCGCCGAATCTAGAGCAGACACCGAGCAGGGCCAGCTCGACTGGATCGGGTGGCCCTCCTCCTGCGCACCATATGCGTCCACATGGCTTTGACAACCCCAATTTCTATGAGGGCTTCGATCCAGGCCTGGGAGATCAGGGGGGAGCCACGATGACAACGTCTAACAGCGAAGCCAGCGGCAGTGGCACACATGACGCGTCGAAGTACAACACTCTCGTCGGCGGTCAGTATCCCGGAGAAAAGGTCGGCAGCGGATACCCTCCGACGAGCTCTCACCCTCACCCTTATTCTCACCACCCGCATCACCACAATGCCAATGGCCATGGCTACGACGATGGCGCAGAAAGCTCTGCCGACGAGACGGATGACTTTGATTGGGACACCGACTCCTCGGCCGACGGCAACGAGGACGTCCTCGCCGACGGTACAAAGAGAATCAGGGCGAAGCGCGGCAGGGCCGCTTACCTCGCGCTGATGCGCCTAGCTAGGCCCGTTCGACTCTTCATCGTCGGCATTCTAGGCACCGCCATCTTTCTAACGCCTTTCATCGTCGTATTGGCTGCATTCAAGCACAATCCTGCCCGCCAGGAGGTCGAAGCCTGGTCCATTTGGCTCGGCATCATTTGGGCATCGGCATGCGGCACGTTCCTCGTCATGGACTGGCTGCCCCCCTCGGTTCTCAAGATTGGCGTCGCCTTTTGGGGCAAAGCTCCTGAGCTCTTTTCGACGATCATCGAGGTGCTCATCGCAACAATGATCTGGACCAAGCTCGTCCTCGTCATCGCCTGGGCTTGGATCTCGCTCGGTGGTGTCCTTTCGGCCATCTACAATGCCGCTGGCGGCAACCCCAGGCCAGCTTACTTCAAGTGGGTCTTCCTCGTCCTGCAGGCCCTCTTTGGCTCCGGCGTCCTTCTCCTTGCCGAAAAGATCTGCCTGCAATTCATCGCAATCAACTTCCACAAAACGGCGCTGAAAGACCGACTGGAGAACAACCAGAAGGCCCTCAAGGCTCTCGATCGCTTGGCCGACAGCAAGTACCTCAACAGCGGCGCACAGAGCCGGGGCAGGATGACGCCCAACTGGGGTCGCCTCGGCTTCGGCTCTCGTCCGGCCACGCCTGGTGCCACGGGCGGACATGCAGCAAAGCCGAGTCGAGACGGTCTCGGAGGCTACTTTGGTGCCTCGACGCCCGCACCTGGCCCTGGAGGTGAGATGCAGCAGCAGCAGCAGCCACCACAGACACACTCGCCGCAGCACCGGCGCACCGGTTCAAAGACGCCCAACGAAAAGGACCAGCGCAAGGCCAACTTTTCGGCACAGCTCGCCGATGCTCTTGCCACGGCTACGATGAAGAACTCAAAGCTCTATCGCAACCGGGGCTCGGGCAGCCAGTTGAGCGCAAGGAAGCTGGCCAAGAAACTCTTCCACAATCTGGGCCACCACCAGAAAACCGACTTCTTGACCGCCGATGACTTCCAGCCGTTCTTTGATTCGCGCGAAGACGCCCGCGAGGCCTTTAGCCTCTTTGACGCCGACGGTAACGGCGACTTGACAAAGACCGAGATGCGTGACGCCGTGCAGCGCATTTACAAGGAGCGCAGGGCGCTCTCGACGTCGCTCAAGGACATGAGCAGCGCCGTCTCCAAGCTCGACGGCGTGCTCCTGGGCATCGTTCTCATCATTTGGATTTTCATCTGGCTTTTGATCTTCAACGGCGACAACACCGTGGCCAACATTGCGCCCCTGTCCACCTTTGTCGTCGGCTTCTCCTTCATCTTTGGCAACAGCGCAAAGACGCTCTTCGAGTCAATGGTCTTCATCTTTGCCACGCATCCATACGACGTCGGCGACCTCGTCTGCATCGACGACAATTTCATGTTTGTTGTCGAATTCGGCCTCATCTCGACGACGTTCAGGACCGTGGTCAACCAGTACATTGTCGCGCCCAACGCCCTCCTGGCCCAGAACAAATTCATCTTCAACTGCCGCCGGTCGGGCGGCCAATGGGAGGTTACATTCATCCAGGTCGGGTATGACTCGACCGTCATGGAGATGGTTGAAATCTTCCGCCAGCGCATGAAGGCCTGGGTCAAGGAAAACGACCGCGAGTGGGGCGGCGGTCTCGAGGTCAACTTGCAGGACTTCAACACCAACGCCAACTCAATCAACCTCTGCATTGCGATGGAGCACAAGGGCAACTGGCAGGACTGGGGCGCTCGATGGTCTCGTCGCACCAAGCTCATGCGTCAGGTCAAGATCTTCTCCGACGAGATTGGCATGAAGTACCAGCTGCCTCCTCAGCCCGTTACCTTCCGTCCCGTCGCTGGTCCTTCTCCACATGTTCCCCGTGCACCCCGCATGCCCGGTGCTGCTGCCAATGGCGGCAGCGGCGGTGGTGGCGGAGGAGGCGGCTTGGGTGCCGGCATTGGTGCCGGAAACGGCGCGGGAGGCACAATGGGGCTGCCCGTTGGCGGCATGGGCCGTGTCCAACAGACAATGGCACAGCAGCAGGCGGCATCCTCATGATCTGTTCAATCACGACCCCCTTCAAAATCCCCATCAGCATTTCTACTCTTCTCATCTCATCGCTTCGGTCGTCTGCATCATCAATCCTCAGCATTTCCCATCTCATCCCCCTCAATCCCCTCTTGGAGCCCTCGCAGACGCGCTGTGCGTCGTCTCTCGAGGCCTCTCTCCGAAGCATTTTGACCAAATTCAGCACTTGTTCCTCTACCGAAGCATTATTCTTTCTTGTCGCTACTCCTCCTCGCAATCTTCATTGTTCTATTTCTCAGGGGAAACGGAGTGGATCTACTCGTTTGAGTTATAGCCAAGCAAAGCAGCATGTTCTCGGTCAGTCGTCCCGCCCCACGTGGCTTATAAGAGCGTTTCGCAAAAAGTGGAGAGGGCTGATGAGCGAGCGAACGAGGGTCCACATTGCCCACTCTCACACGAGCGCTGGAAGGGAAGTCTGCTGCTACTACTGCTACTACTTCGACTGTTCGGTGGCAGTGTGGGCAGGCAACATGTCGCCGCATCAGCAGCAGGACGGCCGTTTCGTGCCCGAGAACAGTGGCAGCACCGCGAGTGCAGCGACTGCCACTGCTCCTGCAACGACGATGACGGCGGCAGCGGCGGCGGCGCCTGTCTCTCGCAAGACAACGAGGTCGCAGATGCAGCAGACACAGTCGGAGTCGCACGCTGCGTGGCATGCTGGTCTGAACGCTGCCATTGCCTCAGTCAAGGCCCTCATGTCGCCCGCCCAGGCCAACTCCAAGGCCTGGAAACCCGTCTATCCCACCTCCTCTCAGCCGAATTCATCTGCCGCACTCGGATCAGCATCTGGCGCCGCCGCCCAGGGCGCAGGTCTGGGACCGTTTGACATTGCCTCGACGTCATACACGCCAAATTCGTTTGTCAGAATACCGACGCCGGCGGCATCCAGCGTCAAGGTCCATCGACGGCCGCCTACCAACCGAGCGAGCCGAGCAAATCCCCCGTCTGGCTCTGCCTCGCCGTCCATCCATGCGGCCTCGTCGTCGTCGTCTTCTGCTGCCTCTTCGGCCAGCGCGCAACAGCCGCTCCTCCCACCTGGCAGCTCCCAGAGCGCAGACATCTACCGAGCCGTGTGCAACATCCCCCTTCCTTCAGACTACCTCGTCGCCGGTGCGGCCGGCGAAGGGCTCGACGAGAGCAAGTTCGCAGACCTGCAAGATGCCTTTGGGCGACTGCTGGCCACGCCTGAATGCAAGGCTTCCTGTGAGTGTCTTGAGCTCTCAGTGGTGCGGGATGTAGAGCTGACACACCACCGGCTGATCAGGGGATGCCATGGTGGAGGACTCAGAGGTGATTGAGGAGCTCGACGCAGTGACAAAGATCTGCCGGACCGTCTTTCGGCTCGGCTGGCCAGCCAGTCCTCGAGACGTCGTCACAATCTCCAGGACGATCATCGACGGTCATACACTCATGGACGTCTCCTCTTCGCTCCCTCGATCGCCCGATGCGCCGGCCTACCTTCGACCGGCCCCTCCGTATGTGCGGTCGCATCTCAACCTCTTTGCGTGGTGCGTGCAGTGCGTGCATGCATCTTCCTCTTCACCAATCCTGCGTGTCACCGTCTTTTGGTCCTGGGATCTTCGAGGAGCCTGGCTGGGCATGCCAGCGGGCGGACTTGGCGCCCAGCTGCCGAATCTCGTCTCTTCCCTCGTCTCGCACGTCAGCACCGACTCGTCCCGAGTGCCCTACCTCGTCGACTTTGGGACCAGCGTGGAGGTGACCGGCAGGAGGTTTGACGCAACGAGGGACGAGGTCACGATTGAGTACCAGGTCATTGCGGCGCAGGAGCATGACGGCGAAGAGGAGCAACGCGCCAGGTCGCTCCGGTGGAGCCTCCCCGCCGACGAGGGATGGGATGTGCACATCGACGTGAAACCATTGGCCGGCGTCGCTTCTGCCGCGCCACCATGGTCAGTGCACGCGACGAGGCAGGTGAGGTTGGAGGACGAGCGAGGTGGGCAGTGGAAGTCTGCAAGGATGGCACTTGCTCTTCGTCACGCTGCCGCGCATACAGGGGCAGGAGAAAACAGCGAGGCCGACCAGATCCTCAGAGGAAGGATCACGATCCAGAGGATTGCGGCCAGCCATGAGGTGCGGCTGAGGGTCAATGACTCTCCGTTTGCCATTGAAGAGGAAAAGGCTTGCACCGCAAAACAGGCAACACGGCCCGACGACGCGCTGACAGCAGCGTCACTCGAGGGCAGCTACACGCCCTCCTCGCTCAACCTGGGCAAGGGCGTGGCTTCCACTTCCACAACGAATCTCGCCGACGATGCCGCCAGCATTTCCGGCTTGAGCCTGCACAGCGACTTTTCAACCACGGCCTCTCTCAACGGGGATGAGATCAGGAGGACATCCACGCCCAGCATGGAGGCGCAGACACAGCAACCGCAGGCGTCGACGCCCTCAAGGGGTGCACCACCCGATCGCTCGACGGTGCTGGCCAGTCTGATTCGGCGCAACTACATCTACTTTACCTCGCTGCTCCAGGAACCAGAGGCAAAATGGAAGCCGTACAGCGACTCGAGGGGCGTCACCATCACCCAGCTCGACTCCATCGACCCCACTCTCGTCGTCTTTCGGGCCGAAGCGACATTTGTTGGCGTAGGCGTCTGGGACCTCTTTTCGACGATTGCCAACCCAGGCGTCAGGGTGGTGTGGGACAAGGGCGCAGAGGAGACGCGGCTGCTCGAAGATGTTGGCGATGGCACTCGGTTATGGCACAGCCGGATCAAGGGCGCCTGGCCCGTGAGCGCGCGAGATGCCGTCACTGTCGAGACGTCGTACAAGTCGCCCTCCTCAATCCACATCTTTTCCTTTTCCAACGAGGACCGGTCGCTGTTCTCCGTGCCCATCCCGGCCCCGGACCCTGGCACGATCCGGACGCAGGTGGACCTGAGGGGATGGAGCATTGAGAGCCTGAGCCCGACCACGGTGCATATCACTCTGATCGAGCAGAGCAACCCCAAAGGTTGGACGAGCAAGAGCGCGACGCCATCGGCCATGACGGCTGCTGTCGCTGGCGTAGGCGATTTCGCCATCAAGTCGGGCGCACCCCCCATCGTAACGAGGATGCTGGGCGCGAAGACAAAGCTGTCGAGGTACGACCACGACAAGGGAACGTTTCGGATCGAGTACGAGCTCAACGACGAGGTGTCTACGCAACAGCAGCAACAGCAGCAGCAGCCCATCTCCAACGGAGCTGCCAGTGGGAGTGTGGAGTGCGAAATTCGGTGTGATGTCGAGACGTGGGCAAACGGCCTGGACCTCGTCGTTGACCCCCCACCGATCAATGTCAGCTGTTTGAGGAGGCACAAACTCAGCCAGGGAGGAAGCGGTCTGTGGCTGACCATCGAGCATGTCGCTGCGAGCCTTGAAGACGATGCGGCAAGAGTGACTGTGCGAAGGGCGGGCGCCTCCAAGGAAAAGGGCACGGTGCTGGTCAACGGAGCAAAGATCAAGGTCGATGTTGACGAGCTCAAGGAGGGCGAGTTGGCCAAGTTGAAAGAAAGAAAGCGGACCAAGCCAAAGAGGATACCGCTCGACCTCGTCGAGGCTCAGGATGCGAAGCGGCCTAGCAGACTGTTGCTGAAGGACAGATCAGCGGACCAAGACGCACCAAGCTCTGCCTCGACGGCTGACGGCTTTCCGTCTCGATCGGCATCGACTGATTCGGCAGGTACGCCGATTCGGAAAACGCAGAACGACGAAGCGACGGCCTTGAGCTCGACTGTTGAGAACAAGGGTAACCAGGCCTTCTCCGACGAGAGACCGAGGCAGCCCATGACTTGCGCACTCGATGTCCTTTTCCTCCTCCGTCGGATCTACGCAGAGAGGAGCCCGGATCCAGCGGGCACACCAGCTGGATGGGCGCTCGTGTCGCAGCGCAACGGCCTCTTCGTCCGCCGCAAGCTGATGCAGTCCATCTCAAATAACGTCTTTGTTCAACGGGGCGACAAGATCGTCGAGGGCCTCACTGCAGAAGATCTTCTCAGCGCTGTGGCATCGCTTGACTGTCGGCGGCTGTGGGATGACAAGGTCGACACCACGATGATGCTTGAGACCTTTGGCAATGGCGCTACGACGGGCTTCTTTACCACAAAGGCAAGCTTCCCCTTTCGTGGACGAGCATTCCACCTGGCAAGTCTCACCGCCCGATCGGCTGCTTCTTCGACCAACTTGGAGGGGATGCCCTCTGGATCGCTCTCGACCCCGTCCGTTTTCTTCCACGCTTCAGCATCATACCCCGAGCGAAACTCCTCGTTTGCCCTCTCGAAGCTCAATCCCAGTGCTCTTCCACTGGGTAAGGTCCTCATCGACGGATGGATTCTCGAGACTTTGGACCCGTACAGTTCTACGCTCAACTACCAGATTCCCTCGACTCGATGCACCCACATTGTCGCAGTCGACTATGCCGGAAGTCTACCGGCGGCCGTCAACACACTGTGGAATGCCAACCTACCGCGGAGTATCCTGGCAGTCGAAGAGTACGTCAAGGCAAAAGGGGCGCTACCCTCGGTCCGTAGCCCGCCGAAATGTGTCGACGTGCTGGGCGATGCGAGAGACGAGGACACGGCAATGCTCTGGGCTCTTGATGACGACAAGTCAGCGAGAAGCGCCACGCTACTGTCCAGCACCTTTGAGCCCAACGAGGCTATTTTCGAAGCCCTGGTTCAAGTTGAATCGATGGCAGTCAAGGAGGCCTCCCATCTAGCGGACTCTTTCGCTTCCGGAGCAGGGGCCTCTCTTCTTGCATTCCCGTCCAGGCGACCAGTGGCCATCTCCAATGCTTCCACCACCAAGGCGGCAGCGCAACGAGCTTCTTCCACGCTGGCAGCTCCGGCTTCTTCGGATGTCTCACGCCCCACAACGGGAGAAAGCACTAGTGGAGGTGTTGGCGGAGGAGAGACTATTTCGAGGACGACGAGCGTGAGCTCCATGAGAAGCACAAATTCGTTTGTCGGCGGTTTGTCCTCGAAGACCACGCCTCGGCCTTCCGTCATCCGGGCCGAGTCAAAGAGAAAGCCAAGGGACCTAATCATAATGGACGTCGAGGTGGAGTTGAGACACTATGAGAGGGGTTACGAGGTTATGGCCGTGGCCGAGTACGGCGAAGAGGGAGAAGCCAAGGACGCAAGAGTCTCAGACATGAACGAGGGAGAGGGCGAATCAGAGCAAAAGAAGGTGAAAGCATCACCGCCAAAGGTCATTTCTCTCGATGCGGCTTCGCGACAGAGAGACGCAAGCGATCTCGATGTACAAGTCGCTAGCTTCGATCTGCCGCCGTCTGCCGTGCTGGCTGCCACGCTGGATCCCGAAGCGAGACCGAGGAGGCACCTGGTCAGGCTCAGCCTTCCGACCGCTGCCTTCACCGATGTTGGTCAGGGGCTTCAGGAGGAGCAAGCCGAAGACGAAGTTCCGGACTGGTACCAGCAGCTTACGAGGCGAGGCGCTACCGTCCGTCTGACTATAAGACCGCTTGCTCCTAGCTTTGTGGCTGTGGATGGCGATTCCGCGTCTCGACGCGGTAGCAATGCGGCATCGCCTGACCTCCCGTCTTCGTCCTCGTCCTCATCGTCTGGCGAAATGGCCGACTCCCAGCTCGTACCGGCCTACTTCCGAGGCGAAAGGCTCACGGTGACGCACGTCAATCAGACATCGGCCATGCTTCAGAGAGAATCAGATCGGTCTGAGCGGCATGCAACCCTCAAGAGAATCACACCACCCCCTCATCTGAAAGCAGAGGCAGAGGCGAAGCCCGCAGAGGACGTACTGGATGACCGTTTGCCGACGCTTCTGCAATCTCCTATTGCGGCCTCTCTTCGTTTCAAGAGAGACCCACCGTCAAAGGACAGCGCAGCTTCCACCAGTGCAACGTCCGCGCCCAAGGCTGTGATTGATGCTTCAGTAGACGACCCGGACTCTCCGCTCGCCGCAGACGCTGCAGCCAACCAGGGCGATGACGACGATGTGGTCACGACGAGAGGCACAAGCCCCGTGGCGACAACGCCGACTGGAATATCCTCGTCGACGCCGATCATGAGCATCCTCAATGCCTACCCGTTGTCGCGACTGGGTGCCTCTACGGCCGTGACTACGGCCGTAGCCAACGGGGGTATGTTTTCGTCAACGGGAGCAAACGATCACGGGAAGACGCCGGGCGCAAACGAGAAGCTAGGCGATGCCAAAGCGCGGTCTGCTAGGCAGGCCCAGCGGCAGCAGCAGCTCCAGTCTTCTTCCAAAGAGGCCGACGCATCCAAGGCAATGTCCGCCAGTAGGTCTGACAAGTCTAAAGAAGACGACTCCGACGAGAGGGCACCCCCTGGCTCGTTTCTCTTTGCGATGGCCACCGATGGCGGCACCTTTGTTCGGAGAAGGCTGAGGAACATCGTCGAGGTTCGTTTCACGCTCGCGACGATGATTCTGGCCTGCCTCATTGCCTTTTTGCTGGGCTCCCTCGTTCGAAGCTTGATTGAGCCCGCCGACTTCGTCCTCATGTCGTCGACCGGCTCGGTGTGGCCCGAGCATGGGCAAGGAACCTCGTCGGTCGCGGGTACAGAGCAGATGGCCTTGACGGAGCTCCAGAGGCAATTCGGCCTGGCTGTGCATGGACGGACTGGTGCTGGTGCGAGCACAGGCGTGGCGTGGCGCGAGATGAGGAGGCTCGTAGAGATCAAGCGAGTCGTCGGCGGCTGGGATCTTGTTATTGGCGCCGCCGCGAGAGCCGGTGGCGCTCGAGCGGCCGGGCATTAGAAAATTAGCAGGCAGAAGGAGAAGAGAGAGAGAGAGAAATCAATCAACCGATTGCAACCGTGACTTTGGGTTCTAAAAGCTTTACATGTCTCAAAAAGCGCTTTGGAAGAGATATAAGAGGTGGCTGACAGCGACAAAAGGGAACAAGACAGCGACTGATGGAGCGCAAAGGGCCAATGATGGTTATATAAAACTCAAATACAGCTGGAAAGAGGCCGTCAAGATCGCTGCTACATCAGATGTAGCGGAGGCGCTTGGAGGAGGAATGCATCCTTGCGTGGTGGATTGTGCCGCCACGGGGGACGCTCATCGACGACGAAGAGTTTGCCGAGGAAGAAGAAGCACCGTCATCTTCATGGTCTGCGGGGAGAAATAGGCCTCCATTGTCGCCATCGTCTACCTGGAGCTGCTCTTGCCACTCGACCTCATCTTCTGGCTCGTCCTTGACGAGCAAGGGCGTACCAGAGATGTAGTTCGCGACACTCTTTCGTCGCTTGTGCGCATGCATGGTCGAAGCGTCAACCACCGGAACTTCGGTCCAGCCTCCCTCGAGCTTGATTGCGGTGGACGCAGCCGCGGCTGCGGCCTGGGAGAGAAAGATGTTCGATTGAAAGTAGTCTGCCATGCTACTTCCGTTGCTTGCACAGCTTCCGTGGCTAGCGAGCGTCGAAGGCGTGGAGGAGTTGCTTTCGAATGCCAAGCCGTCCTCGTTCAGTCCACCGCCTCTAGCACCGACTGACCTGTCGAAGAAGAGGCTGTTCGTGTGCGCACCTGCCCTCGGCGCCGTCGAAGTCGACGAGGAAACACCGCCGTCACCGCCACCATGGCCAGATGCGCTGCCACTGCCGCCGCTGCCGCCGCCATTACCGCCGCCTTCGCCAACGGAGTGGTGGTGATGTGTCGAGTCAGACCTGGTCCGGTCGCTCTTGTGACACTTGTGTGCGTGCTTGAACCAAGCAGCAAACGTCCGCTTCCTCTTTGCCGTGCAGATGGCCACCCATTTGTTGCACTCGCCGCACAGGCCCAACGTGGTGCCCGCCGCATCGTCGTAGCACCGCAGCTGCAGGGGCGGGTCGTAGATCTTGCCCGTGACACTGTTGACGCCGTGGGTGCCTCGGACGTGGTACCAGTACTGGCTAGTCTTGAGCTGCATCCACTTGCCTGGCTCACAGAGGCTGCACCACGCCTCGCGCGCCGTGCCATCGCCTCGGACCCAGCGGGGCGTGTAGAGGTCGTTGGATGACCGCATCTTCTCCTCCTGTGTCTTGGGAACCATGGTGCGGTCCACATTGGCACCGACAAAGTCGCACTCGGGCGGGCTCGTCTCGGGCAGGTTGCCCCGACGGCTTCGCACGGACCCGTCCTGGTGATACTCGAAGTGGACGTAGGGATAGTAGACGTCGCCTTCGTGGTGGTTGTGGTGACCGTGGTGGCCGTGGTGGCCGTGGTGGCCGTGGCCGTGGCCGCTGCTCGTGTTAGGGTGCAGGGCCCGAAGGACGATGTCGTCGGTGACGTGGAAGGGGGCCGAGGGCAGCCTCGTTCCGATGACGTCGGACGTCGCAGCCGGGTAGTGGTCCGAGCCCGAGAAGGAGCGATTGCGCTGAAGCGACGACGATGTCGCCGACGGCGAGTCCGTCGACGAGTGCTGATGGTGGTGGTGATGGTGATGGTGGTTGCTGAACGTGAACGAGTCTGCTGGGGAGCTCTGCTGGGTGGTGGCATTTGGATCCAAGCCTCGATTGACCCAAGCCTCTTGGCTGTGCTGCTGCTGCTGCGCCATCCACTCGGCCATGGCCGCGCTCTGGGCGTCCAGCGATGGGGAGGCGCCAGGCTGCAGCTGCTGCTGGTCCCCATTCCAGGTGGACGATGGATTGACGACCGAAGTCGTTGTCTTGCTCCTCATGCGAGCCGCGGCGGCCGATGCTGCTGCCGACGAAGAAGAAGACGAGGACAACGTGTTGACATCGGCCGAGAGGTAGGGCGAGGACGAGGCCGACTGTGGCTGCTGCTGTTGAGCAGCGGCGAAAGAGGCATCGTTATGTCCGAGGAACCAGCTCGGCGCCGACGAGGAGAGCTGCATGTTTAAGCTGTGCGCAGGTCGCTGGGACGGCTGCAATTGCTGCTGTTGGAAAGGCTGCTGCTGAGGTTGCAGGAGCCCTTGTTGCTGCTGCTGCTGCTGCTGCTGTTGCTGCTGCTCAAAGCTCACTTGGCTCGGACTCAATGGCATGCGAGGACCGGGCATAGTGGCACGCCTCGAGAGTGACGAGTAGATGTCCTGGAAGCCGGACGACATGTGAGCAGAGGGAGGCATCGTCGAAGTAGCCGGGGTAGGGGCTGCCGAAGGAGCAAAGTGGTTCTGGAGCGACGTGACGAGATCGTTCATGCTATCGTTTGACGATGAGGCCTGTGACGAAGACGAGGAGGTCAGGGGTAGGTTTTGGAATGTCGACTTGTCGCCTCGGGGCGAAGCAGAGGATGCAACGAGGTCTTCCTGCGCCGGATTCCATTGCTCTGGCAAGGATTTTATACGATTGAGGTCAGCCGGCGATGCTCAGATCGGACATGTAACGGAGATAGGCAGGAGATGACTCCTTGGCACGGCGAGGCTGGGCCGGGAGCAACGCAATGCGAGGCGCTGCGTTGCACCTCACCGGGTGAAAAGTAACAGGCCATTTCCCTCCTTGTCCGCCCGTTTTCTCAAGAGGGAGGCAGAGAGAAGGGGAAGAGAATGGAAGGGGTAACTCACCTTGGAACCAATTATCCGGCAGAGTCAGGCCTGTGGGTTCAAACATTGTGGCGATGACTTGCGATCCAGACCCACCGGAGGTGGACGGCATCGAGTAGCCGCGGTGATTCCGAGTCGAAATTTGCGCCGCCGCCGACGACGACGAGGGAGAGCATGTCGAAGGATAGGGCGCTGCCAGTGCAGATGCCGTCGTCGGTGTTTGTTCTGGCCTCAGTCTGGCAGCAAAAAGGTTACTACTCTCATCGTCGCCGACGCGCTTGGCTTCGTCGCCGTAAATGTATTGGCCCCGCCTCGTGGGGCCACCGCCAATTTGGCCGTCGTCGTTCAGTAACTCCACTTCATCGCCGTCATCCACAGCAGCACTGCCTTGGGACGGGCCAAAACGACCTTGTTTCATAACGGATGTGTTTTGACCGCTAGTGCTGCTGCTGGTGCCGGTGCTGCTGCTGCTACTGATTCCCCTATCCGCGGTAGCCATGTTGTTACTCAAGCTGTTGTTTCCTCCGCTGGGGTCCGCTCGAATAGTCTGTTGGCCAAAAAAGGCATAGGCAAAGAGCGGTGGCTGCTGCTGAATCGAATCCAGTCCGTTGTCCCTCTTACGTTTAGGCGCCGCCGACGCTGCCGGCGACGGCGGTTGCTGCCTATCCTCCCCTTTGACCATGGTGGTGCTATTGACCTTGCCCGATTGGCTCTTGATGCTACTGTTTCTGCTCAGACTACTGCAGGCCGAATCTGCCGAAGAGAGGGAGGGTGCGGGTGTGAAGTAATCCTTTTGATTGACGCTGCCCTGGTCCGAGGCAATCCACTCGATGGAGTCGACCAGCGACGGCGGCAAGCCCTCCGAAAGCTCGTCAAACGACAGCTGATTCATCAGGGGGCTACAACCGAAGACAGATCCATCGCTACCCCCATAAGTCATCGAACCTTCCGCTGTCGAAAACGTCTCATAGAATGTGTCCGGTGTCGACCAGTCCGATGATGAGGGGGTGTAAAGGTTGCACGCGATCGCTGGCGTCAGAGGCCGTTCCTCCTTCCACTCAATCTTCTTTGTCGCTGCCTTGTTTGAAGCAGGTGGAGCGGGAGGAGAGGGACGAGGCAATGCAGGCACCGACGTGGGTGCCGTGACTCGCTCTTTCTCCAAGTCTTGTGAATCCAATTGGCAGGAGAGGGACCGGATAAGGGAGAAGCGATTGGTGCCCGATGCCGATATCTTGCCAAATGGGGACACTGCCGAAGCTGTCGCGGCGCTCGTGGGAGATGCCTCTACCGGCGAGCTGTTGGCACTGTGACGGGCCAGATTCGATGTCGAAAGCGGTGTAAGAATCATCATGAGAGAAGAGAAACGAGCTCTGCGAAGAGATCAGGAAAAGAAAAGATAATGAGCGAAGCATCCTTTACTATCTCGTTCAACGAGGCCCATCTCACGTCGCTTATTGCCGCAATGATGTATGTTGAGGAGTCGGTCCCTTGGCCACAGCGACTGAGGAATAGGGCGACAGCAGTGGGTCTGCTGCGCCAACAAGAGAAGTGAAGAAACTCCCGAAAGACTGCCAAAGGTCGATGGTGATGGCGAGGCTCAATTGAATGGACTTTTTATGATGAGATTCAAAACGCTATACGTTTGCGCACGATTGCGGGTGGGCAGGTGTGTTGACAGACTTCCAAGGCTGGTGCACCCGGATCGGCCCCGACGGGAGCGAGCTGAGCTTTTCGGGGAGTCTACAGCTAGCGTATGTCGTGTTCGGCTTTAGAGCCCTCGCCCGATCCGTAAATCGCGTTAAAGGCGAGCTTGAATAAAGTCGCTCGGCGGACTGTGCGGAGACAGACGTTGCAAGGTGATGGTCGTGGAAGAGAAGTGGGGGGGCAGAGAAGACGGTGCACTTGACTCGAAACAAAGCCGTCTTTTTTAAGAAGGGAGGGCTGAAGGGTGCCCGTCTAGTTGCAAGAGAAAGAAGGGAGGCGCCTCAGGGCAGGGAACTGTGGCAGCGACACCGTACTCCGACGCACAGTGCTTCCATCGCTTTTGTCAAAAGTAAATTATTTACAGACTGCTTCGGCTTCTCGATCTCTGTGAGATAAGGGCTCGGGCAAATGTCAAGTGAGTGGACAGGCAGGTCAGGCGAAGGAAAAGGACAGCTGCGCAGCCTGCGTCAAGCCGGTGAGCAAGAGTGTACGGGACCGACAGAGAGGCGGAAACCCCGAAGACGGCGTTAGTTCGTTCCTTATTGTGTGCGAGTCATAATCTGCACTGTTCTCGGCTTGTTGGCTCATTTCGCAGGGAGTTTAAGGAAGACTAATAGCTCGGCCCGAGCTGAATAGTGCTGAGGCATGTAATCAAAGAAAATTAATTCTCCCCCACTCAAGTTTTGCTTACGCCCTTGAATATCGGCCTTCCGTATCCCGATAGTGTGCAAAATCTTCTGCGTGTTCTGCGTTCGTCGAAATCGTACGAGGGCCCCCTGCCACTCGATTGACATTGTCAAAGATCATAGCCGAATACTCGATGCGGCACATAAATCTGGCGAAACATGCATAAGCGTCGACCTTCAATATTGTTTCACGCTTGCAGGAGCCGAGCGAAAGAAGGGGTGGGGGGAAATGGACATCGGGAAAGATCCGAGAGCAGTCTCAGACAGACAGCTGCTCACGGCAGGCCTGAGGAACAAGAAGCCGAGCTTTCTGCAATGAAGGAATTAGCACTAACCCGTTCGGAGATTGGTCTCTGGCATCTGCCAAAACGATAGCGTTGGTAATAACCGTAATCGTCGATTGCAACCTGCCCATGAGAACCCGAGCTCACCACAAATTAAATTGCACAATGGCAATTTATTTATCTTGGGTATTACTAGATTGGGTAGACAGCGGAACGCAGCCGAACAGAATCGTCGTTCCTGCCTGAAACCAGCCCTGTCTAGCCAAATTTCATTCACTGTTCTACTTGCTGGATTAGTAGTAATATATATTACTATGCATATGTACTGTACAACTAGACTGCTGTACGTGCTACACGCTAGCTGTACTTCGTTCCTGTCCTCTTCTCTCCGCTCGATAGTACTCCTATTCTCTATAATTAAAATCCCTTGGATTCCCATGTTGGCAGCGTCGGGGCGTAAGCGACTGCCCTTGGGCTTCGATCGCCAGGCAGGAACGGACGTCGAGCATGAGAGAAATACGCCAAGAAAAGGAAAGCACAAAAGACCAGAGCTCAATCTTGCGCACGTTGCCGCTCAGGCCAAGAAAAGTGGGTTCAATGAAGCAACATTGCTTATTGTCTTTGCTCAACAGTGATGTTCGCACAAGAATGCAATAATTAATCTTCTACCTTAGTTCTAGTGCTGAGGAGGTAAGAAGGATGCGGTCGCCGAGCAAGGGGTGACGACACTCTCACCGAGTTAGCGTAACGGACCACCGACGACGAGATGTTGAATTAAAAAAAAAAAAAAAAAATGAATCAGAGGTCTTGAACGTGCACTCGAAGACTTTACAGAAGAGTGTTCTCTGGGCTTTTACGCTAATGAATAGGCTGTGCTTGGTGCCGTTGATCTACCTCGCTAATGCCCGATCCAATCCATAAATGGTCGCTCGATGCTAGCCTCTACCGGGAGTACCCTGTAGCTTCGAGCGAGACGACGGGAGAATGAATATCCCCCTATTTTCGCAGGCACAACACTGGCTCAGCTACTCTCGGCACTTATGTCACAAAGCCGGAAGCAGACGAGCCTGATCGCGATACCATTCGGCCATTAGTGACCATGGGTCATCCATCGTCGAATCGAAAGACTCGACTGACAAGATTAGATGATAAGAATAGTAGGACTCTCCAGATACCCGATGGTCTGACATAGGCCGATAAAGAACGAGAATGTAAGCCTTCCAACAGCTGCTCCGAAGAAAATCGAAGCGCTTTCAGATCCGCTGTGCCGACGCGCGGCAATAAGCGAATCAACAATGTCACAAAAGTCGAGCTATGTCTGGTTAAACCTGTAAGGACGAAGTTCATCCAGACGGTCCTTTCCCTTGCTAGCACTTGTCATTGCCAAGTGGCTCGGTCTCGGGCACTGCCGTCCACCGAATTTTAAGTTCAGACCGAAGGACGGGATCAATATTAGACCATCGTCGTGTCTCCCCCCCCCCCGTTTTTTCTGTCTCGCAACCCAGCGGTGCCGAAAGAAGGCTTTTCACAGTCCGCAAGGCGGGGCAAAAGACATGCGAGGGACGTAGGGCTCCAGTCTTCTCTTGTCGAAATTGTCTTGACGTGGGGGCCAGGAACGAACGATATGAGTCAGACATCTCATGCCAAAACTCCTTTGCAGCCCGGATAGTATTGATCCTTGCCTCCTATTTTCGGTTAAACAAAGCCCTTCATCCCAGTCACGACTGCACCTCTCGAATTGTAGCACCGGAGCTGTATCTCACGAGCTAAGTTTCAAGCGGATGCTGAACAGCAGAAAGCGGCTCCGAACATCGGAAGTTTCGGCTTTTGGCCCGCGCACTAGTACTACTAGTACTACTTTCCCATGGCAAGCAAATGGCACGTACTTTCGATTTGTGGGAAGCGACTAGTGTGGTGCACGTCCCGATTTGCGGGCTGGACTAGAAAAGATTAACGACGGCACGGATTCCAACAGCAATTGTCTGCTAGCGCGTCGGACTTTAAAAGGCCCGATGAAATGGCGATCAACAGCATGACGGCTATAGCCCTTATCTCGGCCGAACTTCGTCCGAGATTCGGGCGCTCGCCGAAGATATGGTGCGTGGAATGGAGCCTTGTCACGTCATCATGACTTTGGAAGGAGGCCGGGAAGAGGAGGGCAGCGAGCGATGAGAGGGAGAGAGGAAGGGCACGTGCGATCAATGAATAGAAAGAAGGTCTATGGATTCGTCAGATGGGACATGCAGCATTCGGACTCACCGAATCTTCCTTGGTCCGGTCATGGTTTACTTTATGCGAAGAGCAGACAAGATCAGTATAAAAGAGAAGAAAGCGCCGTTGCTGGGTGGAAACACCTCCTTTGCCTCGACATCAGGTTCTGCATTGCAATTACGGATGCCGTCGAGGCCGATCACTTTGGCATTCGTAATTACCTCAAGCTTGGCACTCGTTGTCATTCTTGGCATTTCATGCGCGCGATGGGCGGTGGGCACCGCGGTGATTTAAGAGAACGTGTTTCTCACATAGCAATTCCTTTGCAGTGGTGCTGTGGGCGCCTTCAGACATATCTTTGCACGTTAGCCTCCCTGGTTTCTCAGGCAAGTCCATAGACTTCGAAAATCTGGCATGGTCTCCATCAAGATAGCTGCGCGCCGCCCATGGCTTCTGCAGGTCTCCTACTGATACCGCCTGGAAGCTCACATCTTAGCCTTCTCAGCTATTCAGGTCCCTCAGCACCGGCACGTTGGAAATCAAACGTTTCATCATGGCTTCTGGCTCTACACATGAAAGCTCTCCGATTCCCTTATCCCCGATTTCTTCTTTGAAGATAATAATATACACTTATCTTGACGTTTCCGTGCTCACCACCCCCGTCGATGAGATCGCCGAAGGTGCAAGCTTCGCCGTCCTCGTTCTCATCGTCGCCGGGGTCGGTCTTAGCGTCGCCGTTGTCGATTTTACCATCGCCGTGGTCGGTTTTGTCCTCGCCTTTCATGTAAACGAACACGTCCTCGTCTAAGCCCACAGACGATGAAGTTATCCCGAATCTACGTTGGCTAACCCGCTGCAAACGTTGCAGTTTCCTGCGAAAGTCTTCTTGCTGCTCGTGGTCTTCGAAGGTAAACGTTCCTTTGTGATGTCCGGACTCTTTGAAAAGATTCGGATTGCGTAGCCATTGTCTCACGTGACTCACACCCCAGTTAGCTGTGTACGCCTTGATTTTGTTCGAGCTCGTATCAGGTTCACTCTCGCTGATCTGTTTAGAAGTTGAGCCCGGAAACGAAGCAGCTCCTCGGCAGTGGTGATCTTCATCAGTCTTGACTTGCGCGAGTGCTTGAGTCACTTTGTCAACTTCGCTCTCCGACCAATTCCTGGTCGGGCTTCGCGTGTCTTGGGACTCTTTCAGTCGTTCATTCGGACTGCGCGGGTCTGACGTGCGCTTTTGCATTTCATGTTCCACAGAGGCATGACCGGCAAATTTGCTCTCGAGCGATGTGGTTGACATGACAGCCCCGCTTGGGATCGTACGGAGGGTAATGTGAGCAGAAGCTACTAAGCTGCTCAGAAGAATGCTTGAGCAGAAGCGCAGTGAGCGAATCGTCAAAAAAAAAAGGTGTGTAACGTAAATGGAAGGGACTTACACCGCTGCACTACAGGACACGAAAACCTGACGCACCATCATCCTGGTCACTGATATTGGAGTCGTGCTGCTACTTGACTACTGGCAGAAAGATGGAGCGCACAAACAGATGATGGGATGAGGAAAGAGAGGTACTGCTCGCCACACGCAATTGGAGCCCTTTTATCGTCGTCAGCCTGACTTTTCAAGAGTACAAGTTAGGTGTACAATTTGCCCCGCAGACCACCGATATAGGACCGAATGGTGTGACGCACGTAGTGTGCTCAGACATCACCGAGTCCGAATTCTCAGAAGCAGGCGAATATGCCGATGGGCTCGCCCCGCAGCTGTTGCCGCTGCTGTGACACAGGCTGTCATGGCGCGGGCAGGCGCAAGTTCAATCTGATAGCGCGAGAACTCGCGTGGCTCTCTTTTTCCCCAGATTCTATAATCGGAGCCGGATGGTAAGTTGTTGAAAGCCGGCCTTGCACCCCTTCCTGTTGCCACAGCCAGCGACATCGAGAAACAGACTGGCCAAGACGAGAAGAGATGGCGACGGGTGAGCGCATCACAGTGACGTACGCGAAAACGCCCTCGGGGCCCCTGAAGCTGGACCTGTACGCCTACGTGCCCAAGCTGGACCTGGCCGATCCTTCGCCGACGTTTTCCGATGACCTCCGCCTGCCCTTTTTCCTCTATCTACACGCTGGCCACTTCTTTACCGGGTCCAGGAGGGACTTGCCGCCCTGGCTGGCTAGCCTGGCGAGAAGCATGGGCATGCCCCTTGTCTGCGCAGACTATCGATTGGCCCCGCACGTTGGTCCATCGGACGCATACAGGGACCTGGAGGCCTGCTGGAGTTTCATCGTAGACGAGCTCAACTGGGTCGTAGCAGCTGCGGGCAACGGGGCTGAGGTGCAGTCGGGCACGAAGATGCTCGAAGACGACTTTGAGGAGCTTCAAAGACGAGGTGGCTTGGACCCCCAGCGTTGCGTGCTGGTGGGTCTGGGCGCAGGTGGCTACCTGGCTGCAAGAGGGTGAGCTCGGCCTTTCCGCCTGGAAGAGGGCACTGGCATCTTACCCTTCCTATCTCTTCTCATCACAGTGCCGCGCAGCTTTCGCCGCCCCCTGTTTCAGTGGTGCTTGGCTACCCTCTTCTCGACTTGGCGAGCTCCTCATCGCCTGGGACTGCATCAGCGGCTTCTTTGCCAAAGCTACCTCGCCATGTCGAGGATTTACTCTCCGAGACGGGCGACCACTCCAAGGCAAAGTCCATGGCGCCCGACACTCCTGTCCTCCTCGACCGGGCGCCATATGCACTCAATGTTCGGTCCCGGAGCGGGATGGACGTCAAAGAAAGGTGGCAGGGCCGGGAGGAGAGCGAGAGGCGGCTAGGTGTCGTCGAGGCTCTTTTAGAGAAGGTGTGTAGAGCTCTCGCAGCGAATAGATCCACCTTGCTGAGTCCGCTATAGAACGCACTCCGAGCTGCGCTGCAAAGAGCATCGCCAGACATCGTTTCGACCTCTACCTTTCTCGAGACCGGCCTCAACCGTCCGTACCCTCCCACGATTGTCTACCACGGCATCGATGACAGCCGAGTCTCCTGCTCGAGCTCCAAGGCTTTCATCAAGGCTATCCGAGATATTGAACCCGTCGCAGCGGCGGTTGACGCCCTGGCGCAGCCCGCTGTGCCGCGAAAGAGGCGGCCGACGCTCAATGTGACGAAGAACGAGAGCCACGAGACGTCGAAGCTGGCCTTCCGGTGCGATGTGGACCCGCCGCCGAATCACACAACACGGTACGTGTACCTGCCGATCCGAGGACCGGGCGCTGGCCACGGCTTTGACGCGCTGCTTCCCCGCAATCTCGCCTCGTCTCCTACGCCCCGCGCCGACGAGCCAGGCATCGTCGCCTCGCGCTACCTCGGCGGCATGGTCCTCGTCGAGAAATTTGTCCAGCACTGGCTCGACGAAGGGTCCATCCCCGCGGCATCGGGCCAGCTATCGGATTCGACGTCGTCACCATCGGCTGACTTTCTCCCTTCGCTCTCGCCGAAAGGCTCAGCCAGGGTCAAAGTCGCAAAGGGTGGATCTAGATTGTAACATTAATTAGACGGGCCTCCTCGCTCTCTCCCACTCATTCTTTGGTCCTCCAATACACGAGCCTGTTTTCGCTTTTAATTGCTATCTCGTGGCCGTCTTTCTCTTCCGTAAATCAAGGCTCCTCAGAACCACATCCTCCGACGTGGGCTTGGTGGTCACCGGCAGCCCTCGTATAAATGGCAGCTAAAGTATACTCGAGCAATCTGTCTTGACGGCCTTGCAAACTTTTACGAGGTGAGGGTCAACCGGTGAGCCCTTTTCACGGGCACGCAGTTCAGAAACCTCAGTGTGAACACAATGTTGCGAGTGAGTACATTGATAGTGTATTCAGTCAGTGCATTCAAGCGGTCTTTAGCAACGCAGCGCAGGCAGACAGAAAGACGGAGCAGAGGAAGAGCAAAGAAAACAGCAGAGAGAAGGGGGAGCAGGGAGATGGAGAGGATGTGGGAGAAAGAAAGGGAGAAGAACGCCTTCTTCTTTACGAAGAGTAGCCAGTCAGCGGCGTCTCGATGCGCTCGCTGATGGTGCCAAAGATGCGGTCAAAGATCCTCGTCTGCTTGCCGTAGTTCTTTCCACTCTTTCCGAATCGGTGGTGCAGGTCGTGGTCCTCAACGGCGAGCTCCATGCCGAGTGGCCGCAGAACGAGGCCGAGGATGGGGTGAGGCCAGACAGCACGGATGCCCGAGTGGCCGAGGGCCTCGACGTAAAGAGTGTAGCAGATGACGAGGTGGAGCTCGGCAAAGCACATCTTGGGCGAGATGGCGGTGGCGAGGAAGGGAATGATGAAGATCTCGAGCACCTCTTGGTAGTCGTCTGCCAGGATGGACAGGATCGGAGTTGGGTGCTTGGTGGCGTGGTGCTGACGGTGGATGAACCAGAGCGAGTCAAACTCGTGGCACGACCGGTGGTAGAGGTAGAACCAGTAGTCGAGCGCGACCTCCCACCAAGCCAGCTTGAGGGGCGTGTACCAGCTCAGTCCGTCGAAGGGGTTCGTCATGTCGCCGCGCCATGCCAGGAAGAAGGGGCCGAGAGTGCGGAAGATGGTGTAGATGAAGATGGAACGACCGAGGTGGTTGACGTGGCGGTCATCGACCATGTCTCGTCCACGGTTCTGCTCGTCGAACATGCCGTACTCGGCCATGAACTTGTGCAGCCGGCCAATCATCTGCTTGGCGAAGCTGATGAACAAGAGGTGGTACATCATCCAGGCGGGCGCAAAGTGCATCTTGTGCTCTGCAACATGAAGATGACGGTGACATTAGTTTACTTGTGAAGCGAATTAGCGGTGGCAAAAGTTGAAAACTCACCAGGGAAGAAGTGGTTCCAAGTCCAGTGAAGAACGAGGGGGATGGCGGCCGTCCGAAGAATGAAGAAGTTCTCCTCGATCATGGGCCGCACCGGTGGCGGGCCGCGCATGGGCGCCTTTGCATCGCGACGCTGGTAGGCCGACTCGGGACCAATATCGAGCGAGCAAATAAACTCCCAGAGAGTGAACTCTCGGTGAGGCTTGAGCTGCCATGTGCTATTGTGGGAGAAAAGGGGTGGCGTTTAAGTCAGCTCACGGACAACGAAGGACGGCTCTTGGGAACAACTCACGTCTTGGGCCGGACACCGTAAACCTTGTCATAGTCCTTTCCCGTGCTTGCATCCTTTGCGATGGCGTCCTTGCCCGCGCCGCCGGGCGCCTCGGGCGCAGGCTCGTCGCAGGCATTGTCCGGTGCAAGCGAGGGGACGTGAGAGTCGGTCAGCTTCTGCTCGAGCTGGGGTCGCTTCGACGGCCCCGTGCCCGCCGCATTGGGAATCTCGCCCTTTGTCGCCATTATTGGTCTACTTTCTCCTTTCAACTTTGTTCAAGTTGAGAGAGCGGTAAAGAGAAAGAGATTTGGGAGAGGTGGTGATGGTGAAGAAAGAAAGAGATTGATCCGTATCTGACAAAGGCAAGACTGTGATTCTGTGTCAGGATGCGTCTATCACAGAGCGAACGAAATGAGAGACCACAGGTAGACAGGCGCCCAGCCGCGAAAACCACCTTGTGAAAGGGCCATTCATTAAGTAAAAAGGGAAAAACTCCACATTGAGAAGAGACGATCAGCGGTAGTGGCAGAAGACCAGAGAAGTCGCCAGCTCTGGAATTTCATGAAATTTCCGTTGATGATCTGTAGTTGAATTCAAAGTCGTAGGCAAAGTACCGACAAACCAATCAAACGGTTGAACCTCTTTTCGCTCCCCGCACTACTGGGGTACTGAAACCCATCGCTCTGATCCCTCGCAAAATTCTAATACAAAATTGGCTCGCCGACAACAATCCGTACAGACGTCTGACGTCAACCCGGGCAGGCCGTGTTGATCTTCGATTGGCTCGTCTCCCCCCGCAACACATCGCGGCGGCGTGACAGGGTCAAGATTCATTTTGTCTGATCATTTGATCGTTGGAATGCAGCTAGGAGTACAATGCTGAATGAAGGATAGAGTACAAGGATGGTAATGCTGACGAGCTCGTGTGGCCATTCATCGGTCACCGAGCCGTGACGAGGTCCTGCAGTAGCTTCTGGAGCGGGTGAGCGTGAAGCTGAGCTTCTCGAAACGAGACTTCATGAAGCTCAGCATCGACGGTATGGAGAGCTTTGATAATGCACTCTTCCAATCGAGTCCTAATGTGCGGCGGTAAATCCTCCCGCCGTGACAGCAGCGCCTCGGCGGCTCTAGCGGCTGACAGACGGGTCTTGAAGTTCTTCTCCGTCGTGACCGCATTGCAGACATTTTTCGTCACCTTCTGAAGGACTTCCTCCTCGTCCTTGAGGAGGAGAAATTGAACAATGCAGCTGTTGGAGAGTGCCCTTGCCACGGCCGCTGCTGCGTTCCAGCGCGTCTTTGGGCTCTTCCACTTGTCGATGCCGTCGCAGCAGAGCCATCGAAGCTCTTCGGTGTGCCTGCCCATCGCTGGAAGCCACTCGAGCCTGACGGCGCCAAAGAGGGCGCCAATTGCCCGCAGCGCATTGATGCAGATGCGCTCGCCCTCGTTGCGCAGCTCGAAGACCGCATTGAGCAAGGAAACCCAGCAACGCAGAGCCTCACTTGAAGCCCCTGCGGTCGTGTGGGCCACCTTTTCGATGGGAACAACTTCGCAGAAATTTGCCAGAGACCAGCTCGCCCGCTGACGAACAAGCTCCGACCCGTCGTGTGACAGACCTTTTCGGCTGCGGCCGTCTGTATTCCGATCGCCCTTTAGCAGGAGCGAGTCGACGGCGAGGCACAGGGCCGCGAGCTGCTTTTCTTCCACCGCCGAGACGTCGGCCAAAGACAGTCGACGGTCCATCGCAGCGACGCCCACAGCTCTTGCCACGGCAGCCCGCACGGTGGCATCTCCGTCCGAGGCCAGTCGAGTCGCCACCTGCATCGGTTCGTCGGCAAAGAGGAGCCAGCGGTGCTCGGAGCTCGCCGTCCGAAGGCATCCCTGCTGCAGGACAGGGAGCATGTCGGCAATGGCGCATCGGATCGTAGCACTGGGGTCTCTCGATGCGTCCTCAGCGATGCGATCCAGAAACGGCTGGAGGAAGGAGTCTTGAGCCACCTGGTCGCTCAATGGCCTCAAGAGGCCCAACGCGGCCATCCGGACCGATTCTTCCTCGTCTAGACGGAAGAACAGAGCAAGGTGCTCGCGCACTTGTCCAGCCTTTAAGCTGTACACGGCCACCATCGCGTGAGTGAATGTAGTCGGCAGGGCAAGCCTCGTCACGAGGCCACCAGACACTCACGCAAATAGACTAGGGTATCGCTGCGAAAAGGACTGAAGGGCGCCAAACAGCTCGACCTTCATCTCAGCCGAGCAGTCGCCGCTGGCCAGTCTCCGGAAGATGAGCTGGAGGATCTCCAGGTCGGAGCTCGTGCCCGGCATTGGCTCAATCTTTGGGCTGCCAGATGACGACACCAAAGCAGAGAGCAGGCTCAGAGCTGCAACCGCGACCATTGAGCCTGGGGGAGATGCATTGTTTCAGCTTGGATCTCTGCTCGATGCGCAACGACAAGAGGCTTACCGCTGCCTGAGCACAGGGCCAGCGTGGGCCCGAGAAGGACATCTTGATGGCTGCGAATGAGCTTGACATCCTCTGTCGCCCCAACAAGTGTCTTTGTACACTGCATGAGGAGTATGGAAGAAGTCAGGACGGAGATGGGTGTAGAGGGGCAAGAGATATCCCACCTTGATGAGCTGGATGGCAAAGAGAGCGTTGTGATCGTCTTGGCCTTGGAAGCTGCTGACGGGTCCAATGCCGCTGTAAGAGGTCGACAGTAAGCTTGAGATACGGCCCCTCAAGCTGTCGACGAGCGTAGCCATGCGCGCCGAAAAGGGCGTAAAGGCCGAGCGTCGTCCCGACGGCATCTCCTGCGCGGCCCCCGAGAAGAAGCCGAGCTGGGCACCGGACCCAACGAGTGTCTGGATGGCGACGAGCGCTGCAACTCGATTGCTTGGACCGCTTCCTCCTCCACCACTTCCTGTGTCCTCCTGACCTGCCACATCGCGCTCGACGAGGTCCATGAGGGAGCAGCGAGCCGTGTTGGCCGAGCCCAGATACTTGCCGTGCGAGGCACTCGCATCCAGCAGCAGGGTGTTCCAGTGGACAAGCAGCGGTTTCTGACAGAGCTGTGTGTGCGTGGTGTGTCTGATTAGTATCTGGATTCAAAGAGATGGGATCAACCGACTCACAGTGTTGAGCGCAACAACGCACTGGATGCCTTCGCAGCGGATGCGGTGGTTGAGGAGCGTGTGGTCGGCCCTGATGCATGGCTTGCGGTCAATCGACAGTCCGCGTCCTATCTGTCCACTCCACTCACCTCCTTGCGTCCCCGCCCTCTCCATCGCTGCTGCCATCCTCATCCTCCACGTTGAGGTATGCTGAGCCAGTCTTGCTCGTGCCTGCATGCGGGTCTTTGGCACTCGCGTGCTGACTTGCTGCGCTTGCAAAAGTGAAGGCATGACCAGGGCCCTGCCTCGATGACGAGCTGCTGCTGCGCCACCTGTCCGAGGACACCGAGGACGGGTCCCTCTGCTGCATGCCACGACCCATGGCGCACACAATGACGTCGACGAAAGACTGGACCTCTGTCGACGACGGCACGTAGCGCGGCTGTGCCGTGGCTGCGACGACAGAAAGGACGCCCGAAAGCACCGCGAGGAGCCAGCGAGCCATGCTAGCGTCGCTGGCGGCGGCGGCGGCGGCAGCTGTCTGCGTAGGCTGCGCCAGGCACCGCTGGAGCGACGCGACAATGGCGGCCAGCGTCGTCGCAACCGTCGCAGCAGGGATCCGGAGGACGTGGCGGCGGGGCGAAGAATCGAGCGACCGGTAGTGCTCCAGCACGCCGTCGATTGCCCTTCGCGTCAGCTTGCGCACGTCTCGGTCGCAGTGACGCACGCCCGTCACGAGCAGCGGCCAGAGGTGCTCTGGCTCGGCGTCAGCGCACGCCGCGAGCGCCTCCCGGAGCGCCTCGAGCGTCTCGGCGCGACAGCCACCGGGGCTCGATGGCACAGCTGCTGTCGTCGTCGTCGTCGTCGTCGTCGGACATCGCGAGGCCAGGCGCGAATAGAGACCTTTGATGCGCTCTAGGGACGACGCTCTGTCCTCATCGACAGCCATGGCCTCCCGTCAACCAACTGGGTGTTGTTTCTGACAAGCCGCCTAGCTTTTTTGGTTTTTTTGCTTTGGCTTTTCCCGTTTTGTTCGCGCGTTATTCATCCAGCAGCACGGACCTACGCACGGGCGCAAGGTCAAGCAAGCCTGTATTGTAGTGTAGCAGTAGAGACAGCACACCACGATTGCGGACAGATGAGATTAAAAGGAGAAGAAGTCGCGGAGCACAAGGCGTGTTCTACATGCTGGCCAGAGCCGGGAGAGAGAGCGCAGCCCTCTGAATGAGGGAAGGGGGGATGGATAGACTGTCCTGGCGGTGGTTCTCTAAAGGTTATAGTAAGGGTATCGCACATCACTCGCTCTTGTCCGCCTTGCTCTTCTTGGTCACCTCGAGCAAGGGGTCGTCCTCCATCTTCGGCGCCCGGTAGCTTCCCCCTAACCGGTCGCATCCCGTAAAGTACTGTCCGTAGTTGACGTTGAAGTAGAGGTGGTGGAGGGTGTGGTGCGATGGGCCGTTGATGACCTTTTCCAGGGGGCTGTTGCAGATCATGTCCGAGTCGTGAATGAGGATGGACCAGCAGTTGACAAAGACAAAGAGGCCCATGTAGATGAAGCGATGGAGGGGGAAGAGGTAGACGAAGATGTGGTAGGGCAGCGACTGGGCATAGCCGTCGAGCGGGTGGAACGCGTGCGAGGCAAATGGCGTGGGAACTAGAGCGCAGGGAGAGAGAGAGAGAAGCAGTCAGCCATCTGAGAAGCGGAAATGAAACTGCCGTCCGACTCACCCAGCCACTTGTGGTGGGGCTTGTGGATGTGCTTGTAGAGCCGAGGGTGGTGCTCGAGACGGTGGACCCAGTAGATGCATGCATCGGTAAAGATAAGGAAGAAGGGCACGCTGAAGATGGCGTATGCCAGCCCATAGTCGCTGATGTTGTTATACAGCAGCGAGTGGCCTCGAACCTCGCCAAGGAACCAGGGCAGGGTGAGGAGGTCGAGCGGGGCAAACGCGTTGAGCGATGATTCAATCTCGAGTCGGACCTGGTTCTTGAGGAAGCGAGGGTGCTTCTTCATCTCGTGGTTGAAGAAGAAGTAGTACGACAGGCCGGCAAACGAGAAGTAGAGGAGGAGAATGCCAACAAAGGTGATGGCGTAGAGCGAGAAGCATTGTCTGAGAAGAGGAGCATCATGAGTCGAGTTGTTTTCATGATCGGGAAACAAACACACAGTCACTCACCGGAGCAAGTGGTCGCGACCCCATGCGCTCACGCCCTGGAGGCTCTCTAGGTCGGCGCTCTTGATGGCATTGGCCGTCGAGCTGAGGGCGTCCAGCGAAGGCGAAGACGAGGAGGCGCCCCGGATGCTCCATGCATTGGCGAGCGAGGCAGTCAGGTTGGCAATCGCGCTCGACGTCGGAGTCGACGCCTTGGACGCGCTCGAGGTGCCCGACGCCAGCGAGCGCGGAAGGGCAGGCACAGCCCAAGCCCAGAAGCTGTCGAGGACGAATTCGTCGGCGTAGTGAAGAATGACGTCCATGATCTTGAGACGTCGGGTTTACTTTGTTGAGTATCAAGCGGGAATCAACAGAACGACGTTCTCCGAAGATAGATCAATCGGAGGGCAAGCGAAGAGCTGAGAAGTGGATAGACGAGAAACGAGGGTGGTCGACGGAACGATGATTTCCAGTCGGAGGAGGGGAGAAGGGGGAGACCTATGTATAGTGGCGACGCACGCAAGGCCTGTCGTGACGGTCGTTTGTGGCGAGAGGTAAAGAAGAGGTTGTCCTTGAGGACCAGGTGGCATGATTTCCAGGAATTTCCTGGTCGGAGCGCGTTCGTGAAGATTTCTGCCGATTTGTTTTTTTAGACTCTTTTTATTTATTTTTACACCCGTTGTTGTATTTGAGCAGGACATCTGATTACACTGATGCGAGGGAGACATTCGAAGAAACACGAGAAGCCCGAGAGGCCGCCCCAGCGGCATGCGAGCCACCTACCTTTAAATTCGACTCCAAGTCAGAAGGGACGCACAAACACCTAGCTTGTTTTCCGGTGGCTTATAGGACCCTGTCTGTTTGTAGATTGTCGTCTGGGACCACATCGAGGAGAAAGACGAGCTGACGAGGAGTACTGGGGTGTCCTGTGTCCGGCGTCTGATAGCAATTACATAGTACACGAGCGGCATAGCACACTGCTACCTTGCTAGCTCTTTGGTATCCTCTTGTGCCCGTTGCTTGTTTTCGGCAAGTGAGCCCTCCCCACCCCATCCTTGGTGCAGTACATCATGGAGACTGTCCGCCTCTTCCGCCATAGGGGAGACATCATCATCGCTCAGCCCAGACATGAGTGTCTGCAGCTGAGGAAATAGCCCGGGAGGTTGCAGCAACAGGGGAGTATCGAGGGCGCCAGCGCCTATTAGGCCGATGAGAGCGGCAGAGGACGACTGGTTTGCGCTCCGGTAATCACAGGCCTTGTCTAGTTCGGGCTGAAGAGCATTTCAGGTCGTCACTACATGCTGGCTTCTGCCCCGCTGCAATTGGTTTCCCGCCGCCCATAAAGGAGTGAGGCGAGGACAAGTCTTTGAGAATTCACTCAAGCCGAGAGATCACCTATATTTCCGTCACAATTGGTCACACACTTATGCCAATATGGCGTACTACGACAACCTCAAGGGCGCATTAACCTGGCTCTACAAAGTGACTATTGAATTTCTCCTAAAGCACAACCGTCGACAGCAGCCAAGTGATCGTGGGAGCACGGTCTCAGACCTTGTTGCTCTGCACATCTTGGCCGTCACAATAATGTCCCTGCTCTCAACGCTGCATCCGCTCCATCAGATTGACCTGTCTTGCGTATGGCTGCATGCTCTATCAACGCGACTTGCAATACCCCGCCCCACCGTGGGCAACAGAGACAATGCATCCTCAGCCGCAAACGGACGGAACAGGAGAGGGCCCTCTTACGCTGAGACAGAACCATAGCCTAGCACCTCCTGCCTCGCCCAGCATGCCTACCATGCAAGAGGTGGTCCAGTAGTAAGCGGCGGAGGCAGGCAAATCCGGCTCATGCTCTTCTCGCACCGGCTCCTTGCAGTCAGTACGTGTCGCGAGTTTGATATTTACCGGGTGCTCCTCCATCATTGTTTGCCTTGGCAACGCAACGGGCCAGGTAGATATAGCTAGAGATATTGCAGCAACAGTGACCTCATTTGAGGCCGTTCTTGCCCATCGACGCTTGTGTCATTTACTTTTTGCTTGCTTTGTGTCTCGCCATTTTGTATTGTCTGGATGAATCACTGCAAGGGAATTGTAAGTTTCTCCGACTCTTGGAGAGGGGAACATCTGCGCTAAAAGCTGGGGATGGCACCTGGACTGTGTCTCTCCTGCAGAAGCTAGTGCTGACCTTGAACCGGATGCGCAGAAGTTATTGCCCTATACAAAAAACCCCCAAAGTGCTTTCGATTCTAAACCGGGTTCGGGTTTTTTTCTGTATTCCTTCATAAGATCCGTTAATGAATGAGAAGCACTGTTAATTAGTATTGTTCCCTCAGGTGAGACCGCTCATCGAGGAGGGGCCCGGTCACTGCTAGGTGAAGGAGAAGTCCCACTTTTTCATCCCAGCTCCGCAATCATTTCCCTCTTTTCACGCCAGCCCCCTCCCTCTCCCTTCCCATCCATCCTTTTACCCCCCCTTCCACCCGTCGTCTCCCTTCCTCTCCCCTTTCCGACCACCTCCCCATCTTCCCCTTTCCCCTCTCCTCCCCTCACCCCGCCCCTCGACCTTCTCTTTTCTCATTAATAGCTTACCGACTGACAGCTGACTTCGACCGGAACCGACTCTGCGTCCGTCGAACAAATACCCCCGTCTTCGTCTTCTCTTAAACCCCTCCTTTTTCCCTTTTTTGCTCTTGGATCTTCTCCCGGACGGGGAAAGATTGCAAGCAAGGCGACGCTCGTTCGTAGAAGGGAACAGCTATATGCGATAAACACACCAGGATGGGACTCCCGCAGAGACATTCGGCCACCGTGCCGGCCGCACCCCGGACTGGAGGACCGCCAGCCATCAACCCGAACCTGGTCCTGGCCGTCCGCTTTCTACTCACCGCCCTCGTCTGCGGGCTGGGCTTGATAGCAGCCATCATCTCCATCCTCGTCGTCCAGTACTACAACACCCATGACCCCATCATCCGGCCCTCGTGGGGATCGCTCATCTACGTCATCGTCCTCGGTCTCTTTACGCCCATCATCTACTTTGGCTACAACATCCTTCTTCCCATTGCGCCCTTTATCAACTACGGCGACTTCCTCTACTCGCTCTTCATGGCCAAGATCGAGCTCCTCCTCCAGTTTTCCTTCTGCGTCCTCTGGGTCTCGGCTGCGCTTGCCTACGCCAATGACCTGCACGGCTACGAAAACTGCACTTTCGACGGCTACTTCCACTACCCCAAGCCTGCCGACTTCAACCACGTCTGCGACCTGACAAACCTCGTCGTGCCGTTCAACTACGCCGCCTTTGGCGTCCAGACGCTCCTCTTTGTCTTTGAGGCCCTCTTTGGCCTCTACACCTTCCTCTACCTCGACCAAGAGTCAATCAACGAGCCTCACTTTGCCTGGGGCAGGCGCGCCTACGACTACCGCCTTGGCGCAAACCAGAGTGGTGCTGCTGGCCGCGGCAACGCATACAGGGCCCGTGCTGTGCGTGCCGACGACGAAGGCAGCAGCCAGACCGAGTCCGAGGGCGGCCACCGCAGGTCCGGCCGACGAGGCGCAGAGTACGCAGACCCAGAGAGGGGCAGCGAGGAAATGGCCGAGTCGGCCGCCGACAGCCGGCCCGCCAGCCTGGGGGCACGCGGGCGCGGAAGGCGCGGCTACGGCGAGGGAGACGAAGAGGAGGAGGAGAGATACGGCGATGGCGCACCCGTCACAGAGCACGGACAGGCCTACGATGGCATCGACGATGGCCACACCGACGAAGGGTGGCACCTTCGCGAGGAAAGCGGAGCTGCTCGGGCCTAGATTCTCTCCTCTCCTCTCCTCGTGTCTCTTTTCGTGGCCATCCATCCATCCATCCCAGATTAGCAACAACGCCGCCTCGATTAAAAACTAACAAGCTTCGACTTACCACTCAACACGAGTCCCATCATCCATCACGATCGGCATCCGACTACGACGACGATACCGACGTCTACTTTCTTTTCGTCCTTCTCTCGACTACTAACAATACCACGACGCTCTCTTACTAGTACCCATCTTCCATCAGCCCGCCGAAGGGATGCGCCCCACGTTCGCCTTTCTTGCTTTGCGACGGTGCATCCCTTTCCCCGGCGCGCGGCTCCATTCCCCTCTCCTCTCCTCACAGCTAGCCATGTCTTTGATCTTCTCACTACCAATGTTCTTCGCTTTCGTTAGCAGATCTTTACTACCCCCTCCCTCTCCTCTTCTTGCCGTCGTTTTGTTGTTCTTCTACCCCCCACTTCCTCTTTCTCTTGTCCATTCCCTTGAGAGAGAGAAATGAGAGAAATCGATATTCCCGCATTCATACCACATTCTAAAGCACACAGCATGAAGCCAACATTATTTCCTATTCGAGGAAAAAGGGGAGCGAACAATGGACAAGGGAGGGGTGGACACTTGGCCGTAAGGAAAAGAAGAAGAGGAGACGACGAGAGAAGAGCGAGGGGGATGATGGTACACAGACTAGAGGAAAAAGCAACGGTCCGTACAAGGCAAGCGGCTGGGGGTTAATTCCAAGGACTAAACGGTGGATGAAGGCGACAGCGAACGGGGGGTTTTGAACGAGCAAAGATCGAATACACCGACTTCAATTGAAGCAGTTGCCAGCAGAGAGGAGGGGAAATCACATCTTCCTCTTCTTTTCCTTGGTTCCCTTGGGCATGCCCTTTCGCTTCTCGAGGCCCATCATGCCGTTGTTGAGGTATGGCTGTCCAGGCACGGCGCCCGGCACGTCGTCGGACTCTTCCGAGTCGCTGTCGTCCGATTCGCCGCCGGGGTTGACAAAGCCACCCGAGGCTGCGTGGTTCTTCTTCTCCTGGTTCCACCGAGCCATGCTCTCGACAGTCTTGTCTTGGTAGACCTGACGTGGGATAAAGGTCAGCTCTTGCAACTGCATTGACGGTGAAATGAGTGACTTACCTTGCGCTGCTCCTCCGTCAGGCTCTTCCATGCCTCGCTGACCTTGCCGAGGACCTCGCTGTAGGTGAGGTCCTTGTAGCGTTGCCTCATCTCTTCGCGGATCTCATTTTGGAAGAGCAGGTAGGCGCTGGGCGGGCGCTTGGGCGCGTTGGGGTCACGGTTGGCCTTGCGTTCCTTGCGCAGCGCCTTCTTCTCCTCCTTCGTCATGGGCTTGCGACCGGGCTGGCCGGGCGTTGTGACGGGGTGGTGCGTGGGTGGCGCACCGGCACCGGGTGCGCCTCCCAGGCCAGAGCTGCCGCCTCCCAGGCCGTTGCCGCTCGCCAGGGCGAGGAAGTCGGCGCCGACGTTGGACGCAAATGCAGTCGCTGCCGCACTGGGGTGGTGCCGAGAGATGACTTTCACAAAGTTGTCGCATTGGTTGGCCGCATTCCGAAGCGACGTCGAGAGATGGTGGACCGACTCAAACATCTGCGAGGCAGAGGCGGACTCAGGGATGGTTAGTTGTTATCTCAGCTTTCATTTTGAATGCCGCAACGAAAGGAAGGCCCTCTCGCCCACAAAAGAGTCACTGATTCCCCTCACCTGTGATCGCGCAAGAGCAATCTCCTGGTCAGGCGATGGCATGTAAGGCGCCGCGTTGCTTGGCTGAGGAGGGGCATGGTGCTGTTGATGGTGGTGGTGTTGCGGGGCTGGCTGGAAGCCACCCATGGTCCACTGAGCGTGATCCATCTGACAGTAAAGGGAGTGATGAGCACGTTGCAAAAGACAAACGGTATGGTGAAATGGTAGGGAGGAAGTGTATGCATTCTCCTAGCAGAGGCGTCGTGGTCACCGTGATGGTGACCGTGACAGGTAGCAACGCCCGTGATGAGGAAGTAATAGAGAAATGCTCACCTTATCGAAGTAAATGGGGACAGAAATGGTTGCAATCTCTTCGCAGCCTATATGGCTCCCTTAAATTTTTCGAATACTTGTCTTGTGCGGATGTTGGCGTTGCGACGAGATGTTATGTGTTGAACTCAACGCAATGGTAAAGGTTATGAGGGCCTCGATAAGGAAAAAGGAATACGGGCGGTGAGGTGTACTTCGTTGGTTAAGAGGACTTGTAAGGACGAGTTTAGGAGAGAGAAAGTGGGTTAAAATCGAGACCTCTCTGTGAACAAACGCGCGCCGATGCTCTCGAAGGCGATTTTCGAATCCCCAGGCACCATAGCAGTGTGTCGCTTGAATTGGGAATCCGAAAATGCGTTGCCCTCCATTTCCTTAGCCCCCCTTTCCCCCGCGGCTCGCGTGGGTCTAGGTGCTCACGCCATCACATATTCAGATCCTGATATCTGTCTGCGTCTTAATACAAAGCTGGAGAATGCCGCTGGAGAACGCCATGGCGCCAAAGAGCTGGGTGATCTTTTGGAAGTGAAATCAGCTTCGAGGAGTGAAAGCAGCAGGAGAAATGAAAGAGGAAGAGACCGCGGGAAAGTAGATCACGTGATGACTCCACTTTTTGAAGAACTGAGCGCTATCGACAAGTGAATATAGACTCAGAGCGAGGTAGTAACGAAGGCGACGACGGCATTGTCGTGACGAGAAGCACAATGCCGCGGGTAATGGATGACGAGTATGTGACAGGGGCAGGCGGGAGCGGCGAGTCAGATGACGACGGTGAGGAGATGCTGTCGGACGACGCAGACGACTACCGGCCGAGCACGTCCAAGAAGCGGGCAGGAGCAGGCCGAGGAGCCAATGCTGCGAGAAGTGGTGCAGCAGCGCGAAAGTCAGGAAGTCAAAAGGCAAGAGCGGGGGCAAAAGGAGGGCAGAAACCATCGTTGGGCAAAGACAAGGGCTATGCATGGGAGGCAACGTACAAGAGGAGCTGGGATGCCGTGCGAGAAGACGAGGGCGGGAGCCTGGCAGGCGCAGTCCGAGGACTTCTGGAAGCGAGCAAGCGAAGAAGGTGAGTGGGCTTTGGCTAATCATTCGATCAGAGATGCACCGTCTGACTTTGCTCCCCCTGCAGAACGCTGCATGACTCGGCCCCAGTTCAACGAGGCATCATCCGACACCTGATCCTAATTCTGGACCTGAGTGAAAGCATGAACGAAAAGGATCTGCGGCCCAATAGGTGAGCGCTGGACTATTACACGGCGCAAAGAAGCGATAGAAGCTAACGTCTTAGAGCACAGATTCCTCTTGACGCTCCAGTACGCCCGCGAGTTCGTGGCAGAGTACTTTGATCAGAACCCCATCGGCCAGCTCTCGATCCTAGCCACCCGCGATGGCGTTGCAGAGCGCATCACCAGCATGGGCGGCAACACGACAGACCACATTGCCGCTCTGACAAACAAGCTTCGTCTCCAGCCGCGAGGGGAGCCATCGCTTCAGAATGCCCTGGAAATGGCCAGGACCAATCTGGGCCACCTCCCGTCATCCAACAGTCGCGAGGTTCTTGTCATCTTTGGCAGCCTGACGACGTGCGATCCCAGCAACATTCACGACACCATCAGTCATCTCGCGCGCGACAACGTCCGCGTCTCGATGGTCTGCCTGGCTGCCGAGGTCAAGGTGTGCAAGGACGTGTGCAAAAAGACGGGAGGCAAATTCGGCGTGGCCCTTGACGAAAGCCACTTTCGCGATCTCGTCTTTGAGCAGGTCAATCCACCCGAGATCGAAGCAAAGAAGAAAAAGAAGAATAGGGCTGGTGCGAACGAAGACGACGATGGCAGGGGCCCACCAAGCGAAGGCGTGGACCTGCTCCAGATGGGCTTTCCCTCTCGGCTGGCGACACACGCTGCCCCCACGCTCTGCGCCTGTCATTCAAAGCTGCGCTCGGGAGGTTACATCTGCCCGCGGTGCTCGGTAAAGGTCTGCGACGTACCAACAGACTGCCCTGTATGCGGCTTGACAATCGTCATGTCGACGCATCTGGCCCGGAGCTATCATCATCTTTTCCCTGTGGAGAATTACGAGGCAGTGAGCTGGGAGAGGTATGTATCGTACCTCCTGCTTGCGTCTTTGGATTCGGCTACTGACAGACCCCTTTCCTCAGGCTTGCAACAGTAGAAAAGGCCCCAAAAGATTGCTTGGGCTGTTCGGTTTCGTTTGAGGACCCACCACCTCATCTACGACACCTTGCAAATGGGAGCAGGATGGCGAATGGCAATCACCCCCTTGCCACGTCATCTTCTTCATCTGCGACGGCAGCAGCGGCAGCGGCGGCGGCGGTCAGCGAGGCAAATGTCGCGACATCAGGCCGCTATGCCTGTCCACGCTGCCACAACCACTTCTGCCTCGACTGCGATGGCTTTGTCCACGAAAATCTTCACCTCTGTCCTGGCTGCTGTTGATTCCATCTCTGGCCTCCTCTGCATTTGTAATATGTACCAACACCCATTGTCATCATCATCACATCATCAACGTCATCGTTTATATATGCATTGCAAAGGGAAGACGCTTTCTATATCCCGTAGCTTCGCACTGGACTGAAGTGGAACGGTTTCTGATGCGTCTGAGGCAGGGGAAGCGTCTCTCCCGAAACAAGGTTCAAGCTCTCGTACTCCAGAATCTCGAGGCGATTCCATAGTCCCCGGCGGGTCCTCGTGAGTCGGAGCACGATTCGGAACGAGTAGCGCTGCATGGTGCGGTCCTTGAGATCTTCGACGACAACCTTGGGCCCCGGCGGCCTTCCAGCCTCTGCATCATCGTCGAGGCCCTTTGGATGGAGGGACCATCGGCCGATGGCGAAGCCCTTTGACTTCAACGACGGCTCCATCTTTCGCACCGTCTCCGAGGGCGCGTCCGTCGTGAGCAGACTCAACGTGCGACCGTCGGGCAGGAACCTCAGGGTCCGGTAGAACTCGACGACGTGGACGACGCGGATCCAGACGTTGTCCTCGTGCATGCCAGGACGGGTGTAGTGGTAGGAGGCAATGTATGCGCCATTGAGCCGCAGCCGGGGCTGCTCGACAAACGTCGTCCGCCAGTCGTCGTCGTGCTCCTGCACCAGCTGGGCCAGCTTGACTTTGGCGGGGATCTGGGGTGGATAGTACGTCTCGCGAACAATGGAGCGCCAGACGCCCCAGCTGCGCGTGAGCAGGCGGAACTTCCAGCAGACGCGCGCGAGCTGCTCGACGCTGATGTAGTCTGGCCCTGCGAGCACGATGCCGACACCCGGTGGGCCACGCTGTCGCCGATGATCGACGTCGGCCGTCGCTGCCTTTGCCTGTGCGTCCGAGGGCGCCTCTTCCGTCTCATTTGAGGCGTGTCGAGGAGCCGTCGCTTCACCGGGTCTGACGATCTTGGCACCCCGTCGGCCATTTGGCTGGGCAACCAGCGAGATAATGTGCAGAAGAACCTCATCGGGAAGCTTGTTGATCTGCAGCTGCTCCGGCTGCTCCTCGTCTGCCGGCTCAAACTTGACCAGGCTGAAGTCTCGCTCGCCGCCGCCTCCGATCGAGAGGCGATAGATGAGCCGGGAAAGATGGTCGGTCCCTACAGCTGCCGCCGCTGACTCTGCATCGTCGCCCGGCTCCCCCTCGAGCACCGCATCTTCCTCTGTTCGAGCATGGGCCTGCTGCACCTTCTCACCCGCTTCGGCTTGCTCAAGCTCCTTGCGCTTCATGATGGCCTTGTATCGGTAGTCGTCAATGTCGAGCGCAGCTTTGACCCTCTCGACCACCTCTGGCGTCGCAATGAGCTGGTCCTTTGCCGTTCCCCTTCTTTTGGCATCTGATGGCGACTCGCCATCTAGCGAGGCTGAGATAAGCGTCGCCGCACGCTGGTACAGGCGATCGGCATTGGAGTCGAGCCGAAAGGCCCTGCGGTAGAAGAGGAGCGCATCGTCGAGCTTGCCCCTCCGTTCGTTTTCGACTGCACGGGCGTACGCCTCGACGGAGCTTCGCATCAGTCGTATCGGTGCATTTTTGGGCATAGTGCTCTCCCCGGCGCCTTCTTTGCCATCGGCGGCGTCGGCGGCGTCATTGTCGTGCTCGTCGCCGCCTCCATCGGCCGCTTGCTTGAGGGCGTCATTCTGGGCATCGAGGGCCGCCTGTCGTCTCGAGGCAGCCAGCGAGCTGTTGAGCTTCTGCTGCCCGGCTTGTCTGTACCTTCGATGCTGGCTCGAGAGCGACGCTTGCGCCTGTGCTCTGTCCGACGCTCCGTTCTTTTGCAGCGTCTCCTGGATCGTCGACGGACTGTGCGGCCGCTCGTCTTCCGACAGCCCTTGCTCCTCGTCTGCCTGTTGCGCCTCCTCTTCCTCTTCCTTCAAAGCTTCATCTGCCGACGCCGTCTGCCGCCCGAACCGACGGGCAGCTCTTCGGTACTCTGTCGAAGACCAGCCCTTGCTGCCACCGCTGCTGCTGCTGCTGCCCTGCCCATCGCCACCTGCGCCTCGACGCCGCCTGACCTCATTCTCCCACTCGCGCCTGAAGCGCGCCAGCTCGTCGGTGTCCCTCTCCTCTGCTGTCCTTTCCCCCGGCGCAGCTTCTGCCCGGCCCGTCACAGGCCCGTCTTCCGCCTCCTCTGCCTCCTGCTCCTGCTCCTGCTCCTGCTCCTGCTCCGCCTCGGGCTCCGGCGTCGAGCCGCGCGACCTGACTGGCGTCTCGTTGGCGCTCGCTAGCGCCCCTCGCTCCTCTATCCCTTCCTCTCCTATCTGGAGCGACGCCACCTGCCGGTCCATCGCCCCGCGCTCTCCCAAGGGCGAAACCATGGTCAAAAGGGCAGAGAAAGGAAAGACCCTGTCTTTTCTATCTGAATGAATCCCTGACGCGCACGCCCTTCTTTGGCTTGCTGCTGCGTGTGTGGAGGAAGGACGAAAATTAGACAACCTGCTACACTACTACTACTTTCATTCATCGCCTTTTGGGAGCTCACAGAGAGAGAAAGGGGAGAGAGGTGGTACACCATGTGGAAAGGAAGGGGAATGATGATTGATGTACATGGGGAAAGGAAACACGGACGATGGCTCCCTATTTGAGAGACCGGTAGAGGTAGGATGTCCCAACGGGCGTCTTGCTGTGCTTGACGAAGCTGCGTCTGTGCTTGGGGGAAGCGGTCGAACAGGAGGAGAGAGGCGGGGTCGCGGTCACAAAGGCGAGGACTGCCTCGATGGCCGCCGTCGTCTGCGACTCCTCGATGCCTCCCAGATCCGGTGAGGCCATGACCGAAGGGCTCCGCATCTCTACTTCTCCCTCCTCGCTGCGATGCGCCTCCTCGCCTCGCACGTTCTCCCTTTGCTCTTCCTCGTCCATGATGACGGGAGAGTAGCAGCCAGCTGGCAAGATACTAGGAGACCCAAGGTAATCCCCGACGGCTATCGAGCTCCACCGGGGCTCGATCCTACAGTCCATCGCAAATAGACCTTGTGTACGTCCTCCCTCTCCCACGCAATCGACCGTCAAAGGGGCCGAACGCACTCGCTCGTGCGAGAAACTTCTAGCATCGTCCCTCGAGGAAGTTTGAAGAGGGAGCGAGAACGAGAGGCTGGCATCAGTAGAGGCAAACGATCCTTCGCCAGTCTCGTTTGGTAGCCAGGCCCACGAGATGTCGCCTGCAGACGGTGTTGCCAATGTCTCTGCTGCCCTTTCTCTTGGTGATGCTGCTGCTTCGGCCGCCAATCGCGCTCCGCTCATGCTGCTCCCAATCGAAGCGTGCGCAGACGCAAAATCGGCACCAAAGGCGCCCTCAATGTCCATGCTGCTGTCCTCCTCAAGCCGCCCTCTTTGATGGTTTTGCTGCTGCCTCAATGAGAAGCTTGAGCAAGAGTCCTCTGCCGTAGCGCAGAAACCAGAGAGGGCGAGTCGGAGCATTGCGCTTCTCTGCGAGTGCAAAATCCTGCGAACACTGGACCGCGCCAGCTCTTCTCCTCCCTCGCTGCTGAATGCCGCAGGGCCAGACGCCAGCAAGCCCCTGCCGAGGCTTGAAGTAGGGTTGCGCATCGCGCTTGCCATGCCAAAGTCGTCGAGAAAAGGCTGGTGGCCAGACAGGCGCCTGTCCTCGCTCGGCGTGCGCGCGAGGGATACGCTGGGGAGCACCACGTCGCTGCGTGAGCGTCTCCGAATCGCGCGATGATAGCCTGTTGTCGGCAATGTAGGGAGTAAGTTAAATTCTGCACTCCTTGAAGACAGCTTCTCGGTCTTGAGCTCGATTGGAGGCAAGAGACAGGCACGCTGCTGGCAAGGGTGTCGACTCTGGTCGACCTGTTCCTCGCCTTCGAAGGCATCTTCGAGCCTCTTGCGTGCGACAGTGACCTCGCGGACCGTGGGCGAATCCTTTGCTCCTGTACTCGGTCCGAAGGTCTGTTGCCCCTGTGAAAGGTGATAGGTCGAGGTGCAAGGCGTTGTGGGCGCGGCAGCCAAGAGATTGGGAAATCGAAATAGGTCGCTATCCCTGCGGCTCGCCGTTGTCACAGTGCTCTTGGTCGTCGACGGGCTGAGGAGAAGCGGCGTGCCAATGACGATGTTGAAGTTGTCGTCGACAGAGCTATTGGCGCCGGTGCTGGCCGTCGACGATGTCATGGTCCGCGAGTGCCCACTTTCCTGCTCCTGCGCTGGCACCTGGCTGTTGGTCTTGGATCTCACCTCTCCATCCGAGGGAAGCTCCTGCACAGTGCTGCGCGTGTGCCACCGAGCGCATTTCTTGCTAGGCTCGGAGGTGGCTTCGGGCGCTTTAGAGGGAGACGACGAGCACTGCGCATCGCATGTCCCAGCGAGAAAAGCCAGGGTTGACGTCGAGAGGGGAAAATCGACAAGGTCGCCCTGGCTGCTTGAGAAAAGCCTCCGCACACGCATTCGCAGCGGGCGTCGACTGGGGGTCGAGGGTACGGACGAGTCCCAGCCGTTGGGCGTCTCTGCTCGCGGAGAGGGACTGGGGGGAAGCGTGGCATCCATATTCGCTCCCCGAGGCGCAGTCTCGCAGAAATCATGTCCAACTCTGGCCGAGGTGATGGTGAGCGCTGAACTAGCGAGCCTGCGAAGCGGCGGTGAGGAAGTGTGGGAACCTCGCGCGCTGCTCGCCGTCGTCAGGCATGCGCTTGAAGGCCACGACGATGCAATATCTCCAGCAGATGCCTGTCCTTTTCGGGTCAGCAGCCTTTTCAATGCACGGATTTGAGAGTAGCCGTGCTCACAGTGTCCGCCGGCTGCGAGTAGTATAGGCGGTCCTCAGGGAGTGGGAGTGTGGTGCAGCGGCTGAGTTCGTATTGTAGAACATCGACCCCGTCATGCTGCTGCTGCTCTGCTCGAAAGCGCCTCCCTGGGTGGACGCGAAGGCCTAAGCGAGGTTCTTCGTCTTGCGGTGTGAGTGGTGACATACGAACTTGTGCGAGGGTCAGCTTTGTCATCAGCATATACAGATCGCACATGGATGCTCACCTTTGCTGATGCGCAGGTCTGACTCGAGACTCCAGCTTCGACCCAGTGCCGTGGCCTGAACGTTGTCATCATCGCCATCGACGTCTTCTTGACGGGGTAGTACAATGCCGTTGGCAACGTCTTTTTGTTTTGCCAGTCGGCGAGGCAGGTAACCTTTGAGCTTCATGTACGGTGTACGCCCGAAGACCACAATGGGGCGAAGGTGTTGTTGTTCTGTGACCGTGCCAGCACGTTTTTGGCACAAGAAAGGAAATGTAAAGAGCGAGCTGAGTCTCTCGGCTGGGCTGGAAAAGGGGGAGATACAGCTCAGACAGACAGATCTCCTCCGTCATGCTTCCAGGAGGTCTCCTCCCTTGCCTATGAGTAGCCTGTCCGGCCGATCTATATATGAGCTTGAGATGCGCCGGCCCCCAAAAAACAAGCTCACAGAGGCGCGCAGCTCGCCGCTCAAAGTGCTGAGGTCTCTCTCTACTACAATTATACCCACCAGGTAGTCAACCACTGACACGCGGCTCTCAATATAATGGGTCCACGCCGATGTAAGGGTGGGGCGCTCGATCAGTCCCCTTTGTCTCTCCTGAGCACGATGGAGTAGTCGTCGCCGCTGAGGCACGTCTGGACTGACTGGCTACCGTCTCGCCAACGGCATCTGCTCGTCTATTCATCAAAGCCGGCCATACCTCGTCAACACCATTTAGGCAACCGAAACCCAGCGGACAAGACGGAGGATGATCAGGACAGATTGCCGGGCTGTGCCTGAGCCTGGGCCTGGCCTGGCCTGAATTGGCTTCGACGGCGGTCATTATTTCAAGGGTGACCAAGCTGTACATGACGCCGACTCCCCCTTCCCTCCCTTTCACCACATGGCCCTTTCGGACCGACTTGTTGCTCTGGTACCGCGTGCTTGCCTCTCTTTCTTGCTCGGACCGCTGACGGGACATTGCCCTGCTGTGTCCATCAACGCTCGAGATGGCCGACCGGAGGAGGGTAACCTAACCACGCTGGGCTTAAACTCATTGTCGCGCCTCTCTGCAGCAGTGCAGTACAAATGCCACGTGCCCTAAGCTACATGCATTACAGATTCAATAGCAACCCATCATCCCCTTTTTCTAGTGCTCTCAAGCGTGCGTGTTCTCCTCTTCCGACCCCGTCGTCGTCTCATCTACAGCCCTCGCTAGCCGTCGACGCGATCGAGGCTCATCTCGCAGCGTGCGCCCATCGCCTGCTCTCTTACCGACGCTGGCAAGGCACTCGCTGTCCTCGGCGGTCTAATAAACCCCCGTCCGGCTGAGAGGAGCCCCAAGACGAGGGCACAGAAGGCCACGCGCACGCGTGCGTCCGTCCCACACTCACACACACACTGCACACGCACATCACCACCCTATAACGAGATATTCTGTCGCACGAACAAAACAACGTCGACGGATTTTCCCCCGTCTGGCTTCCAAACAATTTCCGACTGCATCTTCTCTCTCTCTCTTTCCCTGAGGGTGCAGCTCACTCGCCGTCTTTCAGCGCCCACGGAGCCTCTCAAACGTGCTGGGGACGATACGCACATTTGAAAAAATAATAATATAGGGATCTGGGCGCGCGCGCACGACAGTCGCCGCATCGCACACGACAACAAGCAACAACGACGGCATCTCAATAGGCGAGATCCCCTTCAACCTCATCGACGGCTCTGGGAAGCCTGTTGGCCACTAAGTCCGCAAGAGCGAGACACGATTCGATCATGTCGTCTGCCTCTTCGCCGACCTCGCCCGTCATCCCCGGCGGCTTCGGCGGGAGACAAGGCAGCGGGGACCACTACCTAGAAAGGAACACTGCCTCGACGTCGTCGCAGAGCCAGGCGGCAGGAAAGCCGGACACATGGGCAGCAGGCGCAGAAGAGCTTGCGGGCGACGTAGAGAAGAAGAACGATCGAAGGCGCGATGATCGCATCAAGTCTCGATTTGTCGACACCTCGGGCTGGAATTGGGAAGAGTCGCAGACGTCTGCACCCCACGACGGTCCATCGTCGATGCGCATTCATCCTAGTATGCAACAGTCACAATCGCAACAACAGCAACAGCAACAGCAGCAGCAGCAGCAGCCGCAGCCACAGAGAACAGCCAGCCTCGGGGCTGACCAGCGGACGAACGGGGATGGCCCGCAGTCTGGCTCGATGACTGAATTCAGACGCCCGAGCTACCCGACACGGACGAGCTCGCGTCCTGACATGGCACGAATCGACACCAGTGGGCGCATTTCGCCGGCTGGGAGCAGATCGGGTGCGCCTTCGCCCAGTGGCCAGCTCCAGGCCGCGCCTGCCCTAGCCTCATCCTCGGCCGCGACCTTTCCCGCCTCTTCCGAGCCCTTTGATCGCCCGCCGCAGGATCTTTCGCAGCAGCCACAGTCCCAAGCGCAGGCAGGGACTTCAAAGGAGGTGGGAACGAGCAAGAGTAAGCGGGACCAGCCGTGCGATGCGTGCGGCAAGCCAATGACGGGCCAATTTGTGCGGGCCCTCGGCGTCGTCTACCACTTGGACTGCTTCCGGTGTCGCGTGAGTCGGCTCGCTTCCTCTGATGATCAATAGTAGCTGACCACCTCGGTGTTTCTGAACACAGGACTGCAACAAGGTCGTCGCCGCCAAGTTCTTCCCCGCCACCGACGAAATGAGCGTCTCCTCACCAGCGGGGAGCGGCAGCAACGATGGCGATCGAAGACAGCCCTCTCCGACGGGAAAGCTCTTTCCCCTGTGCGAGACGGATTACTTCCGGAGACTGGATCTCATCTGCGCAAAGTGCGGCGGGGCATTGCGGGGGAGCTACATCACTGCTCTGGGAAAGAAATTCCACGTCGAGCACTTTACCTGCTCCGTCTGCCCCGTCGTGTTTGGGCCCCAGGACAGTTACTACGAGCATGACGGACGTGTCTTCTGCCACTTCCACTACTCGACTCGGTTCGCCATCCGATGCACAGGTTGCCAGACGGCCATCCTCAAGCAGTTTGTCGAGATCAACCGCAACAATCAGGACGAGCATTGGCACCCAGAGTGCTACATGATTCACAAGTTTTGGAACATCAAACTATGCCCCACAGGATCAACGCCCCGCGAAAATGTCGCAGCGGAGCCTACGACGGTGCCCTCCGCCCCGGAGCCGTCAAATTCTGGTGTGGCGCCCGTCTCCAACGCATCAGCCACAGACGCCCCGTCGGCCGATGCACTTGAGACGGAAGCGAGCGAGACACCGTCTAGTCTCAAACACAAGCAGAGACAGATGGAAGAGCAAGTCTACCGGATCTGGACGGTCCTTTCGGCCTTTGAAGAGAGTTCGGCGGCGTGCATCTCGGAGATGCTGAGGCATGTCAGCAGCGGACGGTACCTCGGCGGTGTCAGGATGGCTGAGCGCTTCATCCTGCACGTCGAGATTCTCTTCTCTGCCATTGACGATCTCGAAAAGGAGTTCAGAAAAGAGCAGGCAAAGGGTGAGTGTGTCCTCGGTTGCTTCAGCTGGATCCAGCCCAGTTGCTAATGCCGACCTTTGCACAGGCATCTCACACATCCGTGAGGCCCGAATGCTCTGCAAGAAGATCGTCAACTTTTTCTCGCTCCTCTCCCACACGCAGGAGACTGGTGCGCAGCGGATGGGCATCACCCAAGAGCTTCTCTCCCTCGTCACTGGACTGGCCCACTACCTCAAGATCCTCATCCGCATTGCGCTCACGGGCGCCCTCAAGCTCGATCGCGAGTTTGACAACCACCATGCCATCGGCAACTTTCTCAGCAAGCTGGCCTCTTTGGCGCGCGAGGGGGTGTCGTCCAGCGACGACAAACCTGCCTCGAACCTCTCATCGAGCTCGGGCGGCGATCTAACCAATGGCTCGAAGCCGGGTGAGCTACCGTACGGGTACTTGAGTCTGCCTCGAAGCACGAGCACCAGCCTTTCGGAGGGTGGCGAGGGCGCCACGGACCTGTGCGTGTCGTGCGGCCAGACGGTCGAGGAGGATTGCGTGCGCATGGGCATCAACATGCGATGGCACAACACGTGTATGCGGTGCAAGACATGCCGAAGACCAGTCCATCGGGACCCAAGCACTTCGTCGAGATCCAAGCAACAGCAAGAAGCTGCAGAGGCTGCTTCTGACGCACCGCCAGCGCTACCTGCAAACCAATTCTCTCTCGAGATCATCAGGAGGCCGGCTGAGCCTGGCTCGTCGACCAACGGAAGCGCGCGATATTATGCCTCCTCAACCTACTCTCCCTATTGCCCCGAGTGCTGCACCGCCAATGCCAGGCCTGGCTTTGAGAATGTCTCGCGACTGGAACAGTACGCTTTCCTCCTGCGGGTCGCTCTTAACAGACTCTATGCGCTCCTCAAGAAGCGGGGCGTCGTACCCGCCTCGCCGCCGCCCAACGAAAGCAACGATCTGCCGCTGGTGGCCGAGGCCGCCGATTCGCAGACGAGCAACGATGCCGCCCACGACTCCTACCGCGACTCGCAGGACATTAAGCGGATGAAGTCAGTCAACCTTGACCGGAAGCTGTCTACCAAGGCAAAGGTGCCCCACCTATCGACGGTCGTCGGCAGCCCCTCTGGGCGGCAGACGACGGCCACATCGGTGCAGAGAACGTCGCCCACAGAGATGACAGGCGACTACGCCAGACCTGGCGGCTTGACTCGGAGCCCATCGCCAAGGCAAGCCTCGCCTGTGGATCAAGAGAGTGGCGATCGTCTCTCGGCTGGAAGACCCATTTCGCCGGGTGTCTCTCCCGGCCGCCACGGGTCCCGAGAGTTGTCTCCGACGCGGCAGGGACGAGGTCCACAGCGGTCACCGCCTCCGCCTCCGCCTCCGCCTCATGCGCCCTACCAACAGCAGCAGCAATACCAGCAGCAGCAGCAGCAACAGCCGTCCATGTCGGGCACCCAGCAGGGCCCCATCATTCCCATCCGCCCGGCCTTTGCGCGTCACAATACAGACGTCCGCATTCGCGACGAAGGCCCCGTTCGGCAGCCGTCTGGCGACGAGGCGCAGCGGACTCGGTCAATGGATCATCATCAGGACGACGGATTGACACTGGCCGACATTCCTCAGCTGCTCGAGGCTGAACAAGCTCGAGAGCAGCATCGGTCGCTGCCCTCCGAGGGCGGAAGGAGCCTGTCGGAGCTGTCGGCGCTCGAACTCTTCATCGTCAAGCACATGGCCGTCATGCTGCTCCAGCAGACTTCGCTCAAGGACATGGTGCCATTCGACGACCTGATCGAGTTCATCGAGATGCGCAAAAACACCTTCTGGGGCAAGCTCTTCAAGGGCGGCAAGGACAAGAAAAAGATTGAGAAGAAGGGCGTGTTTGGGATTCCCCTCGAGATTCTCGTCGAGCGAAGCGGAGCTGACTCGACGCTGGGAGCCTCGGCAACGCACCTTCGCGTGCCTTCGTTCATCGATGACATCATCTCGTCGATGAAGCAGATGGACGTCTCTATCGAGGGCATCTTCCGAAAGAATGGCAACATTCGAAGGCTCAAGGAGCTCTCCGAGGCTCTGGACCGCGATAGCACCTCGGTCAACTTCCTCGATGACAACCCAGTCCAGCTGGCGGCCCTGCTCAAGAAGTGGCTTCGAGAGCTGCCGGACCCGCTCCTGACGTTCAAGCTGCACAAGCTCTTTGTCATGTCACAGAAACTCGAGCCGGAGTCGGAGCGGATCCGGTGCCTTCAAATGGTCTCTGTCCTGCTCCCCAAGGCGCATCGAGACACGATGGAGGTCCTCTTTGTCTTTCTCAAGTGGGTCGCCTCCTTTTCCCACATTGACGAGGAGACGGGCAGCAAGATGGACCTGCAGAATCTGGCCACGGTGCTGGGCCCCAACATTCTCTATGCCAAGGGCGCCGACCCAGCCAAGGACGAGCTCTTCCTGGCCAACCGAGCCATCCTGGCCATTCTCGAGAACCAAGACGACTTTTGGACCGTGCCCGTGGAGCTCGAGGCGGTGCTCCAGGATCGCGAGCTCCTCAACTCGTCGGCCGAGCTGACGTCGCGAGACATTCTGAGGCGTTGCGAAAAGTATGCCAAGCGCGTGCGAACGATGGGCGCCACGCCTCGCTTCGTCCACCCCGGCGGCGGCAGCAGCGGCAATCGACATATGCCCGATGTGCACGGACCCGCGACGATGCGCCAGGTGGACCACTACGCGCGAGGTCAAGGAGCGGGAGGAGGGCCAGGAGGATACTCGCGGAGTCCCATCGAGGGGAGCGGGATGCCTTGGATGCAGCAACCTCAGGGAGGTTCGCAGCACTATGCCTACGGCAGCTCCCCCGATCGCAACAACAGCAATCACTTCTACGCGCAGCAGCAGCAGCATCAGCAGCATCAGCAGCAGGCTGTCGCCCGTGGCAGCAGCGGGCCTCCCTACGGCGCCGGCAGCCACGGCCACCCACCACCGAATCGATCTGGGTCTGGAACGCCTGGCCTCCCTCCTCCACCTCCTTCGAACAACGACGAGTACGCACAGCAGCACCGGATGCTCGACCAACGATCGACGTAGGCCTCCTCCGCCTCTTTCACTCGCCATGCTCTTTTTTTATGTTTTCACCTCTTACGAACGCTCTCTTTCCCCCACTTCTTCTTTTACCCTTCTCTTTTCTCCTCTCATGTTCTTGTCCTTTTTGGGTCTCTCTTCTCTCACTCTCACTCTCTTGCTCTCGCTTTTATTTTTACGAAGAAATGTCCAATCTTTGCGGTCCTAGAGCTGTCTCTTAAATCCTGGCCTGGCTGTCGCCATTCCGACCGAGGCGTGGGTGTGGACCGAACGACGTCCGAGCTCGGCTTCCGGTCGATGACGGCGTCGGGAGGAGCCGATCGCGTGCAAAAGCAAGACCTTGGCTCCGCCTTACGCTACTTTCTGTATATCGCATTGCCCTTTCATCTCTCGGGACATTCATTATCTCTCCAGGAGAGTAAACGGAAGGAATCCCGTGCAATAAATAGTTCAGTGGATCCAAAGGGCGCCCCTATCTGCAGAGATACAGCTCTACTCCCCAAGCACGTCACGTAATCTCCCAAGGGTCCTTTTCTGACTGAGCGAGAGTTACTTACTACTGTGTTTGCGCTGTGTCGTGAGTGTGTGCCTAGCGCCGCGCAAAAATCGCGCAAACTCTCCTTTGCTGCAGCTGCGTTGTTTTCGCGCCTGCAAATTGCAGACTGTGCGCAGAAGGGAAAAAGTCTCGATTGGTTTTTTATTATTCCGAGAGAGAGAGAGTGTGTGTGTACTGCCTCGGGCGATTTGGGAGGGGGGAAGGGCAAGAAGTGGTACGGTGGCAAAGGTCGGGCGACGAATAAGAGGACAAAAGGGGGTGGTCATTTGTATGTCTTGCCATCGCCATCGAAGGCTGCCCTCCTTCTTCAAGATCCTTCACAGAAAGAGTGAATATATTGAAAGAGGCAAACGATGGCGCTGATCCGGGTTCGGCTGGGGGTCCCCTCGATCCACTGCCCGACGTGCGTCACCCACATCGAGACGCTCTTACAGCCACCGTCGGTTTCTCCCGGCTCCGTCGCCGTCTCGGTGCTCGACCACAGCGTCGCATTTGACCTCTGGCTCGACGAGGCAGACTATCCCACGGCCCAGACCCGTCTCGCCTCCGTCCTCGCCATCCTTCGTGAGGGCGGCTACGAAACCGAGAGCGTCGAAACGAGGCGCGTGCCCGTCGATGCACCAAGGCGGTCGTCGACATCTTCGTCCAGGACACAAGCATCCGTGGGGAAAACAAGGGACAACGATAAGCACGCGACGGCGCTTGATGACCAGCTCCGCCTGCTCTCTCACCTCAGCTTCCGTTACGGCGGGGACGACGACGGCAATGACGGCAAGGATGGTGAGGGCGGGCCACCGTCGCTCTATCAGCGCTTGTTCCGGCCACGCCACGCACAAAGACTGCGCGAGAGGGAGCAGAAGAGGCAGGAGCAGCGAGACAGGTGGCAACGCCACATTGAGGCCTGCGAGGCGTGCCGATCCCAGACCGACGCTGGCGTCGCTCGCCAGCAGCGCGAATCGGAAGCGAGCCGTCCGCAAGAGCGCTATCACGTCGAGGTCTCGATTGGCGGCATGAGTGAGTCTGCCAAGTCCCCCTTTACTCTCTCTGAAAGGGAAAGTTGGCTAAAGTCACCTCTCCTCCCTCCAGCTTGTGCATCGTGCGCTGCTAATGTGAAGACGGCGGCGGAACACGTCGCTGGGGTCCTGGAGATCTCTGTCGAAGTAATCGGCGGACGGGCGACGGCGACGGTGGACTCCGAGGCGGCGGCAGGCAGTCTGGCGGAAGCCATCGAAGATGCCGGCTACGAGGTGTCTCTGTCCAAGGTGGTCCCTCTCACGGCAGACAAGAGCAACGGTGAAGACGAAGAGAAGACGCATCGGCATGCACGGGAGCCGTCGCAGTGGCAGACATCCTTCAGCATTCACGGCATGACCTGTGCGTCGTGCGTTGGCAATGTGACGAAGCTCGTCGAGTCGGACAAGCACGAGCTGTGCCCAGAGGGCGTAGAGCTTGTATCATTCGAGGTGTCTCTCTTCCAGAACAGTGCTGTTGCTGTCTTTCGAGTCGAGCAGCAGTCCGGAAAAGAGGAAGATGACGCAAATGCTGTCCGAATTGCTTCGGAGAGGGTGGCGGAGACCATCGAGGATGCCGGTTACGACTGCTCCATATCCGACATTGCCAAACATAGGGAGAAGCAGGGGCCGGCGCAGCGCAGTGGCGAACAAAGGACGCTGGACGTCGTCCTGGAGGGCATGTTCTGCCAGTACTGCGTCGATAAGGTCCGACGTCACATTGAGCAGCAGGTTGACAGCGGACTTCTGATCTGCGACCTTGACCGTCTTTCACTGTCTCACCCCCGGCTGACACTGACATACACGCCCAACCCACCGAGCCATACCGTCCGATCCATTCTTGACGGTCTCAACGGCATCGACCCCAACACCATCCAAGCCCGACTGGCCCCATCCTTTGGGTCCGATGCAAACTCCTCTTCAGCCAGCGAGCGCTTTGCTCGGCGCGAGCTCCGCCTGCTCCTCATTCGCCTCGCCCTCGCCTTTCTCTTTGTCCCACCAACGCTCCTCATCGCTGTCCTCGTGCCGACGTTTCTGCCTCGCCAACACGCGCTACGCCGGTCACTGTCCTTGCCCACCTGGGGAAGGACAACGCGTGCCGACATCATCCTCTGGGCCCTGGCGACGCCCGTGCAGTTTGGCGTGGGCAGCATCTTCTATGCGCGCGCCTTCAAGAGCCTCAGGACGACGTGGTCTCGCCGTGGCAACCGATCCTGGATCGACAGGACGCTGCGATGGGGCGACATGAACGTCCTCGTCGCCCTCGGCACCAGCGTGGCCTACTTTGCCAGCCTCGTCTTTCTCTTCGTCGATGCCTCGATGTCGGCGCCCAAGGACGGCATGATGGACATGGGCGATTCGATGCTGTATTTTGACACCAGCGTCTTTTTGGTCTGTGAGTGGATGTTGTAGACCCACGTCATTGGAATAGTAGTACTGATACACGGCGCTAGTCTTTATCCTCCTGGGCAGGGTCCTCGAAGCATGGTCGAAGCGCAAGACCACGAGCGATGTAGCGGCTCTGGGAGCATTGCGACCCACGAGTGGCCTCCTGATAGTCGACCAGGGCGACAGCACGACGACAGCATTGCAAACGCGCACTGTTGACGTCTCGCTCTTTGAGATCGGAGACGAGGTTCTCGTTCCCGTGGGGTCGTCACCGCCCCTGGACGGCGTCGTGGTTGGAGCCGAGAATGCGCCGGAATTCGATGAGTCGGCGTTGACGGGCGAGTCGAGAGGCGTGCCCAAGGCAAACGAGGACGTCGTCTATGCTGGTACGGCACACATTGGGTCACCCTCTGCTTCAACATCGTCTTCTGCACCTTGTCGCGTTCGCATCACCGCTCGCGCCGGTTCATGCGTCGTCGATGGCCTCGTCGATGCCGTCCGCGCCGCAGCATCCAAGAGGGCGCCCTTACAGGCTATTGCCGACACCCTCGTCGGCTACTTTGTCCCAGCCATTGTGGGCCTCAGCATCTTGGTCTTATGCGTTTGGTGTATCGTTCTCTACGCTCCCACCGGCGTCAACGTACCCGGCCACGAAGACGAGGAACGGAACCGCTTCCTCTACGCGCTACAATTTGCGGTAAGCGTTCTCGTTGTGGCGTGCCCCTGTGGCATCGGTCTGGCTGTGCCTGCGGCTCAGATGGCTGGCGTGGGTGTCGCTAGCCGCCACGGCGTGCTCGCACGAGGCGGCGGACCTGCTTTGGCGAGGGCTGCAAAGTTCGCGTCGTCCTCCCCTGCGAGGACGGCCGGCAGGGCCATGGTATTCGACAAGACGGGGACCATCACACGTGGTGGGGGTGGCGCTGTCGTCGAGGAAGCCCGATTCTTGGGGCAAGGCAAAGCGGAGCAGGGAGACTGGGAAGATCGGCAAGAGGACGTGTGGGATGTGGTGCAGAGCGTCGAAGGCTGCAGCACCCACCCGGTCGCGCAGACCGTCGCGGCTTGGTGCTCGTCTCAGCTTGAGACACGATCGGCAGAGCAGGCTGGTAGGGCGACCGTCGATAGTAGCAGCGTGCAAGAAGTCACAGGTCGAGGTATCAAGGCAGAGATTGTAGCTTCTGTTACGAAGTCCAGATCAACCATCTTCATTGGCAGCGCTCGTTTCATGGAGGAGGAGGTCTTCAAGAGTGGCGACCAAGGCGGTGACATGGCGAAGGAGCAAGTCGAAGCCGTGGTACAGCGCTGGCAAGGCCAAGGCGGCAGCGTTGTCTTTGTCGGCACCGTCGAGCAGTCATCGTCTGCGTCGTCTGCAAACGCTCGAGGCGGTCGACTGCTGGCCCTCTTTCATGTCTCTGACTCTCTTCGACCAGAGGCTAAGGAGGTTCTCGCGCTTCTGCGTCGGCAATATCTCGGCAAGGATCCAGAGTCGACGTGGGTAGTCAGCGGCGATGCGCCTGCAACTGTCGAGGGCGTGGCTGGGCGTGTGGGCGTGCAGCCACATTGCGCCGTAGGAGGGGTGATGCCACTCGACAAGGCGAAATGGGTCCAACGGCTCCAGCATGGTCTAGCTCAAGCGAATGGCAACCTGGACATCGAGCGTCAGAACGCCGATGCTGATCACGCAAGCGAGGACCCGAAGAAGACGGCCCTTGTCGCCTTTGTCGGCGACGGCATCAACGATGCACCTGCGCTGGCTTCTGCGGACCTCTCTATCGCCTTGGGTTCTGGCTCGGTTCTGGCGAGCACCACGGCTGACTTTGTCCTGCTGACATCCGAGGAGCCTCTCGTCGGCATCCTGACGATTCTGTCGCTTGCCAAGAGAACACACTTCACGATGCTGGCCGGATTTGCATGGGCGTGCGCCTTCAATGTTGCACTCATCCCCTTGGCCGCCGGCGTTCTCGTCCCCACTGGCTTTACCTTGGGCCCAAGCTGGAGCGGCCTCGCGATGGCTCTCAGCAGTTGCTCCGTCGTTCTCAACGCTCTCACGCTCCGACTTTGGACGCCTCCTCGCCGTGAATCAGCCATTTGAGAATACTAGACGGATTGTTGCATTTCCCATAAGCAGATTCTCAAGGGAGAGACAGTAAAACAAACAGAGCAGAGACCAAAAGAGCGGCTCTCTGTGCAAGCGTACAAATACAAATGGTTCGACAAAGTAAACCTCTTTCTAGTGGCTGGGACCAGTTGCAAAGGTCGTTTTCTTGATGAAGGGGAAAGCATCGATGTTGAGGAAGCGGCCCGTCGAAGGGATGAGTTGGAGACCCAAAGCGAGCGGGTCCTTTGGACCGTTGGCGATGATCTGCGTAAGGTTGAGGTTCGCGCCGGCGAAGGGGCCCAGCAAGTTTCCGAGGTCGAGCCCGCCATCTCGCTTGGCTGCACTCTGAGTCGTCGTCGTCGTATTGCTCGTCGTCGTCGTTGTCGTCTTTGTCGACGTGGAGTTGGAAGCCGACGTTGAGTTGACAACGGGAGGGTATGAAGTCGTGGCAAACGTGACGTTTGACAAGAGCTTTGTTGTCGGGCAGGAGTTCGTCTGCTGGAAAACCCTCGTCGTGGGGCTTTTGGGGATCCAGCCCTGAGCCATGGCCGCCTGGTAGCTCCAGTCACCCCTGGACTGCGTCTTCCAGTTCCAGAAGATCCAGCCGCCCGCCTGTTCGTACGTCGTCACCTGAGCCTCGTAGAAACGACGGAAGAAGAGGTTCTGCGTGGCATTGTTCATAGCATTGATGTTGTCCGCCATGCTGTTGAAGGTGCAGTTGGTGCAACCAATAGCAAGACTCCATTCGCCCACGATCGTTGGCCTGATGCTGCTCTGTGCCGAGCTGAGCTCGGAAGCCAAGCCGCACGTGTAGGAGATGTGCTGGTCAAAGTTGTAGCTGTTCTGCGGCGACCATGCTTGGTAGCGGTGCGTGTCGATGGCCATGCTGCTCGTCTTCCAGAAGGACGTGTCCGAGTAGGTGCTCTGCCACTTGCTGAGCGGCTGCACAAAGCAATCGTGGATGACTGTCGTCGGATAGGTGATTGCGGCTGATGTGATGGCCCCCCGAAGCGCCGTGTAGGCTGCCTTGTGGATACTTGTCATGTAGTCCTGGCCCAGGGACCAGCAGGCAGGCTCGTTGAGAATCTCGATGGCCTTAACTACGCCACCGAATTGTCGGTTGTTGACGTAGAGCTGGATCATCTTGACGAGTGCTGAATTGACGCGTGCGGCATTCTGTGTCGGAGTGACCTTGGCAAAGTTGATGGCGCCTTGCCTACCCGAATTGTCGAACCCGTTCTGGGAGTTGGGCGCGGTGTGGAGATCCAAGACCACATCGAGGCTGTACTGCTTCGCCCAGAGGAGCGCTTGCGCGATGTACGGCTGCTCAGCGCTGGCAAGATACGGCTCCGACGAAGAGGCATTGAAAGTCCAGTGGCCAACAGGGATGCGGACTGTGTTGAGGCCGGCGGCAGAGATCTGTGCAAAATCGTCCTGGGTGATCCAGGTGGACCAGTGCTGCTTGAGAAGCGAGAGGGCCTGGGTGTTGTCGCCCACTGCTGTCATGTAAGTCCACTGGTCAACGGCTCCCTTGGCTACCAAGTCGCCTGAAGAGAAGTTTGACTTGTCAGCACAACGGCTCAGTCTGCCTTAGCCATCCAATGTGGTGCTCACTGGTGAAGAAAGATGGCATCATCCATGCTTCGAGGACGAACCATCCTCCAAGATTCACACCTCGCACTTTCTTCGCTGTGCCGAACTTAGCCGCTCGGCTCGTCGCACGCTTCTCCCATGCCACATCTTCCAGGTCGATGTTGATGGGGCTTGCTGTGGCGAGGGAAGCTGAAAGGATGGTGATGAGGGCGGCAGTGACAATCTTTGGCCACTTCATGGTGAAGAAAGGTCGCTTTCTGAGAAGAACAGGCGGATATTTGGAGAGCTCTCCAACCCTTGTTCGCGGGCAATGCCCTTATATAAATCCCCACAGAGCGTTGAGAGTATTCGCCGAGGCCTAGGGCCTGATCGTCGCGAAGTCCTGCCCCCCCGTCCCCACTCCCGCCTATCCACTACTCTGAGACATAGTGTACTGTACCGTTCATCGCACTCTTCCCGCAAGCCACACACGCGCTCGCGAAAAATTTAAAGTTTGGCAGGCTCTAGACTCTCAGATAAAATGGGTCCGGCTTTCCCGCGCTTTCCACCCTCCTGGTAGGATTAAGCCACCGGGGACGGGACTGTGCTGCTGCATACCTTGATCGAGACAATCAGTACCGTCGGTAAGAGCACAATCGCTCTATGCTCCACTTCCAAGGACGGAGTGTGACAAAAGGAGAGAATGTCTCCTCGAACACATGCCCAGAGCCTCGCCCGGTCTGGCCAGAGAGATGCGCGCAGTCGAGCGTTCGCTCGGGTATATGGAGCATCGCACGCGCTGCCATACGGGAACGTGCTTCCTCTTCGATGAGGGACTGGGCTGATGCCCTGAATGATGCGCAAAGGCTAGGGTCCATGGGGTTTTCTCGAGCTAGCAAACCCGTGGTTCTTTCGATGAGGGCCGGGAACTCTAGAGTGTGTCATCAAATGCGTCATGGCTTCTGTCATACCCACCCACGCGAAGGACAATTCTTTTTCTTCCGAAAGAAAAAAAAAGGACCCTCTCTTCCTCTTTTGACGACGAACAAACAGATTGACCTTCTGAACAGAGGAGAAGCTTGCAGGTGAGTACACGCAGCTTCGGCCTCCCTGTCCCGCATGATGCTCTTTTATGACATGTTAGACGACTGAGCTACGGCTCTGACGATTACGAAAATTGCTTTTCATCTTTCCACTGATGGGACACCCTACTGGTCCACTGCTACCTTTCTTTGCATTGCACCTCTATGGATCAGAACAACTGTGCTGACACCTAAGCTTCTCTTTGCTTACAGGAGGCGCTGGAAAAGACCCGCATGAGCTTCTGTTCTGGAAATGACGATTTATCTGGAAGCTCTTTTCACTGAGAGCAAAAGCGAGAACTAGTGAGATGGACACACACCTCCGACGGCTTGGCCTGTCTTAGGCTGGCTCGAAGCACACTACCGCGGTACGGACTATCTATCCCGCACTGACAATTGCAAACGAACGTGCGCTTGACCCTCTCGTCCTCCCGCCGGTTTTCTTGGCACTTGCGTTAGCGCCGCTCTGTTGGTGGGAAGGGCACGTGTCGTCGAGCAGAGGAGAGCTTGGTGGCGATGGAAGAGACCTGAGGACCTCTCTGGCCAACGAATGAGAATAGCTGCATTATCAGAACGCAAGACGCTAGAAGAATGCAGCTTCGCTGTTCCTGGAAGGACATCGGCGGCCTACGAGTCTGAAGGCACAGGCAGCAATGTTGGAGGGGATGATGCTCCGAAGGTATAAAGACTGCCTTTCTTTGCGTATCTCCTGATGGCAACCTCGCCTTACCGAGTCATTTCCTCTTGAACGTAGCCATGACTCTGCTGTCCTTTGTTGTTGCCTTGCTGCTCTTGCAGTGCGCCGCTGCCTACCCCGAGCTGTTCAACAACCTCGCCTACCGTTCGCCCTCGCTGCGCTTCCCCACCGACAGCGTCCTCGCCCATGACGTTGGCGCCCTCGCGCGGAGGCATACGAAGCGTGACGGGAGCACGGCTCGCTATGAAGGCGGCCTCTACTTCCCTTATGGTATCGCCTCTGGTGATCCCCTAGCAGACAGCGCCATCCTCTGGACGCATCCTGTCGTGGCAGGTGGCAACACGAGTCTGCCCGTGTGCCTGCAGTACCAGACGGCAAAGGACGACAAGATCACGCAGGTGGTCGACACAGGTCTGGCCTGCACAACGTCGGATGTCGACTACTCGCTCAAGGTCGAGACGAAGAACCTCAAAGCGAAGACGAGGTATTACTACCGCTTCTCGACGGTGGGCAAGAACAGCACCTCGTCTCCTGTTGGCAGTTTCAAGACGATGCCTCGCCCGGATGACGCTACGGTGGATAAGCTGACGTTAGCCGTGTTCTCCTGCTCGAACTTGCCCTATGGCTTCTTCAATGCCTATCGCAAGGCATCGGCGAGGACCAACGAGGTCGACTACTTTACCCATGTTGGCGACTGGATTTACGAAGGCAAGGCAGTCAAGGGGGCGCTCGAAGAGCGTCAGTTTGAGCCGAGAATCGAGATTGCTCACCTCGACGAGTACCGGCAGCGCCATGCAGCGTACCGTGGCAAGGACGAGAACCTGCGTGCGATGCTGCAGAACTACGCTGCCCTGACAGTGCGTAAGCTCACAGCTCCCATAGCCATGTGAACATTAAGCTCTCCTTGCTGACATGACCGTGAGCCAGGTCTGGGACGACCACGAGGTAGCCGACAACACCTACAAGGACGGGAGTGCCGACTCGAACAACACAAAGGCCGGCTACGTTAATGGTATTCCATTTAGCGAGCGCAAGAAGAACGCAGTCAAGGCCTACTACGAGTGGATGCCCATCCGCCAAGTCGATACCACAGACAAGCTTCGCATCTACCGCCAGTTCCAGTACGGCAAATTGGCCGACATCAACATGGCCGATACGAGGTATATATCTCCCTCTCTTCTTCCTCTTCCTCCTATGTCAGGCCTCTCTGAAGCCGACTTAACCCTACAGGCAGGAAGACCGAGACATCACCGACATCTACTATAACACGGCTTACGTGAAGAGCATCAGCAACGACTCGAGCCGTCACATGATGAGCAACAAGCAGCGTGACTGGCTCTCGCAGAAGATTACGTCGTCCAGCGCGACGTGGAAGGTGCTGGCGCAGCAGGTCATCTTCAACAACCCTCTGACCCCCGGATCCAATGGAACGTTCGACGAGAATTACGATGCATGGAGTGGATACAAGGCCACCCAGCGCCACTTCATGCAGACCATTTCCAAGGTCAACAACACCATCATCCTCAGCGGCGACTCACACGCAGCCTGGTGAGTACTCTTTGACTGGGCTAAGGATCTGTGTAAGCTGACCCGATTGTGCAGGGCGTTCGACACGGTCCCCGTTGAGACCATGTCCGCGTACGACCCAAAGACCGGCGCGGGTAGCATTGCAGTTGAATTTGCCGGCACGGCTGTTTCATCGACGTCGTCATACGGCAAGAATCTGACGACGTCGCAGTACAACGCAAGGGCGCAGCAGCTCGTGCGCAAGAATGCCAACCTGCAGTTCGCAGAGGGCCAGAAGAGGGGCTACTTTGTCCTCACCCTTCAGCCGCACGAGGCCCGCGCTGACTACTGGGGAGTCGTTGACAACAACGACAGAAACAGCGACGAGGTTCTTGTTGCCACCATGACGGTCGAGAAGGACCAGAACAGGCTCAAGAGGCCACTCAACGGAGGCAACAATTCGACCGGTGGCGCCATCCAAGGCCTCGAGGGCTACACTGGCTGATGTACCTTGCGCTCTGCAATTAACAATGGATTGATGCCCATGGGGCTACGATCTGTGCCATGGGCGTTCTGACATGCATACTAAAAACTCAAGAGCCCTTTGCATTTGCACTCGACATTCACAAGGGCCTCAGTGATGCTCATCGCCCAAGACTAGCGCGTCAATCTCTTCGGTCGTCATGCCGTCGGTGAACCACCTCTGCTGCTTGGAGATGGAGACCTCGTTGCCACTCATCTGCCTCTTCATCATCTTGCCGTCAGGTGCAAAGGTCCAGTCCTCTAGACCGTAGCCTGAAAAGCCCCATCAAGTGCAAATAAGTCAGGCCATGTCTCTCTCTTCCTCCTCAGATCCCGCTCTCACGCGAACGACGGGCAAGACTCACATCGCTGCCATCGCTCCTCATCCTCTGGATCTACCTGGTATTCGTACCAGAATTGAACGGCTATTCTATCCTCTCCCCATGCAAACAGCTCCTTTTTCAAGCGGTAATTGTGTTCCCGTTTCCACTTGGCAGTGAGGAAGCCGCGCACCTCCTCGTGGCCCTTCAAGAATACGTCACGATTCCGCCAGATGGTATCTGGTGTGTAGGCCTGGACGACCTTGGAGGGGTCTTTCGTGTTCCAAAGATTTTGGGCCGCCTTGACCTTCTTGTATGCCGTCTCCTTGGTAAAAGGGGGTGCGAGGGACATGGTAGGGTGGTCCTTACATTCAGCGAAGGTGGAGCGGGCGGCCGGTGAAAAAATAGCCACGCGCATTGGTCGCTTTAGGTAGTGCATCAGGCCTGCTCATCGCCGTCCACTCAGATTCATCAGTGCCGCGACCTCAGATGATGCTGTTCCGAACAGTCCTTCCCGCGCGCAGCACGTCCTCGCTCGTCGCCTCTTCATCCTCCTCTTGGACACCATGGCAGTCTCAGCAAGTCGGCAGAGCTGGCAGGCTCGCCATCGCAGCGCAAGCGCATGCGCGGGCTCGAGCACAACCAATATCGACGAGCGCCCCGAGACCGGCGTTCCACTTTGACACGCATGGCTTCGTCACACGTCTCGAGGCGTCCGGCATGCCCCGTCAGCAGGCCGATGCCCTCGTGACGGCACTCGGAGATGTCGTTGAGGAGAGCATCAGCGGGCTGGAAAAGGGTCTGGTCAGCCGAGAAGAGGGCGAGCGATGGCGGTACAGCCAGAAGGTGAGTTCAGCTGCTCCCTCTCTCTCTCACAGGTCGCGCACTATTCCCTCTTTCTTCACCTTGATACGAGCTGACTGGGCGAGGGCCATGTTGGCAGGTCGACTTTGCGAGGCTCAAGTCCGACATTCAGCTCCTGGAGAGAAACGACTTTGCGCTGATGAAGTCGGAAAACGAGCGACTGATGGCCGATGTCGAGAAGCTCAAGCAGAGGCTCAGGGAGGAGATCACGAGGACGACGGCGGGGGTGAGACTCGATCTCAACTTGGAGAAAGGTTCGTCATTCTCCTGCATCGACGTGCCCTTGAATTGCATTGGCAGGGACGCTGACTTCTTGCTTTTCTAAAAGGGCGCATTCGCGATGAGAGCTCGGTGCATGCCCTCAAGATCAAGGAGGTGAGCTGAAGGCCTTTCTATCGGGGCTCATTTCATGAAGCTCAATAGACCTCTCCCCGCAGGTGGACACTCGGATCGAGTCAGAGATTGCAGGTCTGCGCTCCCTTATCGCAACAGCTAAGATCAATGTGCTCCAGTACCTCGTCGGTGTGGCCACTGGTGCAGGAGCCTTGCTGTTGGCGTACCTCAGGATGTTCAAGTAGGCAACGCCCTCTTATACCCAAGAAATCAGACATAGTATGATAAGAGTAACGGAGTAGATCATAGGCGTCTCATTGGTGGGAAAGGAGAAGGTGTAAAAGAGTCTCTGTAAGAATACAACACGTCATAAAACGAGATGCCCCTTCGATGTTACGACGAAAGGGGAGATGATCGTGGCTCGTCGTGAGACCACAGACTTAGGCACCAAAACCGTACAGAGTACGTCCCTGGCGCTTGAGGGCGTAGACAACGTCGAGGGACGTGACCGTCTTGCGCTTGGCGTGCTCCGTGTAAGTGACCGAGTCGCGGATGACCGACTCGAGGAAGAGCTTGAGAACGCCGCGAGTCTCATCGTAGATAAGGCCCGAGATACCTGTATGACGAGAAGCCCAGTCAGTGGTGCGCTCGTTGATTGAGTGGCAGGCAGCCCATACTCACGCTTGACACCGCCACGACGCGCAAGACGACGGATAGCGGGCTTTGTGATACCCTGGATGTTGTCACGAAGAATCTTGCGGTGACGCTTGGCGCCACCCTTGCCGAGGCCCTTGCCACCCTTGCCACCTGAAGTTTTAAGGAGCAGAGATTGTGTCAGTCATATGCAGCGAGCACTACCATCGGATTTCAACGCTCCCCAGAAATTACTTCTGAGACGCGTCAATGGCGACAACACGCCACTGCCCACTCCCACTATAGAGATGGGAGCCGCTGCCCCCACAAGGCTGATACTCACGTCCAGACATGTTGTGTTAAGTGTTGGTTGGTTGAGAAGTGTGTGAATGTGCAGAATAGACTCGACTAGTCGATGTAGTCAAGTCGCAGGAGTTGTGTGTTGGTGGTGGTAGTAGAAGCAAGAGGTGTGGCGAGGGGGGCGCGCAGTGATTTTTTCCAAGACGATGGGCGCCCTCGACCTCAACCCCTCCCATTGTCTAACACAACCGCATTTTTCGTTTTCCCTCTTACCGGGCGAAAGTGGGCCTCTGATTCTGATTGATCATTGACTGAGCCGAGCGGACCGGACTTGGGACACTGGCCCAGTGCCTGCTGTTTCAATTTCCTATCTCGCTGGGCCCCGTCTACTCATCGACCATTGAGACCCTCTCAACAGAGGGAGAAAACACAGGGCCAAGCGGCGTGCAAAAGGCGACACGCGCGGAAGAGAAAAAATGGAGGGACACCACATTTCAAAACGGCACAGGCAAAAAGAGAAAATCCGACATGCAATTTACTAGGGGCCAGATCGAGGGCGCGTCGACGGAGATGGAGTGAGACCACATGAAGTCAACCTCTGAAATCACCATGTTGGATGACCGTCTCTCTCATGTCATTGAACGTGCAATCACTTCGATCATTCGGTGGTAGTCTCATTCTCTGAGGCGCTGTGCAAGGACAGGGACAGGCCAAGATCAAAGAGAAAGGGGTCCGGACTAGCGTTGCTGTCGCTGGTCTACACTTCTACTTTATGGTAGTATTACCTTACTGGTACTGCTCAGCATTTGACCATCGCTTGCTCCAAAGCGTTGGCTCCCTGTGCTACAGTTTCGAGATTCGCACTGTACATATATTGAACTTCTGGCCCTCTTAGAATGACCGGAGGGAGGCCGAATCACGGCGCCAACGATGCTTGCTCTCGAGGGTCCGGGCACCAGGCTAATCACGTGAACATGAACGCGTCTGGAGGTGTTGCTCTCATTGATTTTGAACTGTTCGTCTTGGGCCTAGAGTGAATAAGCATCCTCCTCTTAGCCAGGAAGGCAAGGACGAGCCAAGATGCAATTCGAATCGCCAGGCCGGCTGGAACAGCGGATCGCGGCCAACATGGCCGACGAGTCGGATGATCTGTCGCTCGGTGTCGCTCGAAGAGCGCCCTCTATGGGCTCGCTGTCGTCCGTGACGGATGAAGCCTCTTTCTCTCGCGGCGACGACGGCGACGAGAGCACGCAATACTACGATGATGTCGGGCAAAGGAGCAATCCGAACACGGATACGATCAGGTCTGGAGGCTCCAACACTGCCGTGCTACGACCAGCAAATCGGATGGTCAACGTCATTCCATCGGGTCAGAATCTGGATGTGTCTCGGGCCAGTAGTAGCAAGGCGAGCGCAAGCGGTCAGATGATCAATTCCAATGCCACCTCCAGAGATCAGCCATCGAAGAGCGTATCCATCAGCGGTAGTGCTTCTGACGATGATACCTCTCGAGACAATGACGAGAGCAGTGCGCTAGAGCCACAGTCGCTTCGGCAAAGAGGCGCCGACGAATCAGCTGGCGAAGCAGAGAGCAGCGCCGTGGTCTCGTCGCCCTCGTCCGAGAAGCTGGCGAGGCGGACAAGATCTACCACACCATCTTCTGCACGAGGGAGCCCAGCAATGACCACGATGACGCCGCGAGCAAAGCCGGCGGACCAGGAGAGGATGAAAGCGTACTTGCTCAACAGCGTCAAAAACATCAACCCGCTACGTGAGCAGCAGCTTCGCCACATGACGCCCAAGCGGAATCTCTTTGGCACACCAGCACACACACCGGGAGACGCATCGTCAATTGGCGACAGCTCTCCTGCGGCCGGGGCCGGACAGTCCGATCGTCTTGGCAGAGTCAACGCGATGCAAGCCGGCCGGACGCCGCTCCCCAGCTACCTGCACCGTCCCTCTCCTCTCAGCGCAGTTTCCAACGCTGCCACCCCGAGACCTGGCGGGACCGATACTGACAGCCAGATATCCGACACATCTTCGACAAGAGATCTTACCGTGCCTGCTCGCATGCGACCCAATACCTCGTTTCCTGGTGTGGGTATTCAAGACGGCGCCCACAACAACGGTGGCGCCCGTGTGGACAGCGCCAGGCTCCAAGGCTACCTTCACAAGATCAACATTCAGCTTGAGGAGGAAAACGTTGTTCTTAAAGAGGAAGTGGAGACGCTGCGACGACAGTTCAACAAAGCACTCAAAGATAACGAACGGCTCAGAAGCGAAGCAGAGCCTGGCGAAGACGATGGTCAAAGTGGGTCAACGAGCTCTTCGAAATACGCCCGGGCGAGAATCGAGGAGCTGGAGCATGGCCAGAACGAGCTAAATGACCTCCTCGACGAGCGAGAAGACGAGCTGGCGCAGGCACAGGACAAGATTGAGGAGCTCGAGACCAAGCTTTCCAGGGGCGGACAGGGAGAGGCTGGCAGCAACGGCACAATCGTCGAAGAGCTGCGCGATCGGATTGCCGAGCTAGAGGAAGAGCAGCAGCATGGCGATCGCGAAAAGTCGCACGCCGGAGGCTTCGAAGAGCGACTGCGCGAAGCCATGAGGGAGGCCGACGACATGGCTCGCGAAGCCGAAGAGGTACTGATCAAGGAGCGTGACAACATTGCCAAGGAGCTCGACGAGGTCAGGGCCCAGCTTCAGGCTGCCGAAGCACGTCACAACCGAGCAAGCAGAAGGGAAGCTGAGACCAACACGAGCACCGACGAAGAAGTCGGCTTGGAGCGCATTGAGAGGCTTGAGCGTCGCTTGGCTGAGAGCGAGTTTCAGCGCGAAGAGGCCATTGACCGCGAAGCCAAGCTTGATGAGCTGTGCAAAGAAATGGAAGACAAGATCGTGGAGCTGGAGCAGGAGCTCGGGGATCAGCACGACTTGATCGAACAGGTCAAGGAACTTGACGAGGAGAACATCCGCCTGGACGAGGCCATCCTGAAGGCTCACGAAGAACTCGATGACGCAAAGAGCCGGTTGAGTGATATGGTGGGTTGTCTTCTGTGTGTCAATGTCTCATCCACCAAGACTGACCCATTGGTGCACCCATAGGGTATCGCCGTGGACGAAAAGGAAAACGAGATCCAGCGCCTTACGATGCAGCTCCGTCAGACGCAGCCGAACAAGGACGGCAAAACCGGATCAGAACCATCGAGAGCTGAATTTGCCGCGCTCAAGGACAAGCTACTGAAGCTCGAAGCGGAGTTGGCGGAAGCCAACAAGCCACTCTTGGGCTCCGAACAGCCAACGCCGGTCCATCGATCGATTGCGGCGCTCAAGATGTCCACCCTCCGCACACCCAAGTCTCCAGGCGAGCTGAGCAATGCTTCTTGGCTCTACAACGAATCCTCGCTTGGCGATCGCGGTGTTGTCGAGCACATTCACGAGCTGGAAAAGAAGCTCGATGATGCCAATGCTTCCATTGACGAAAAGCTCCAAGAGCTCGACCGACAGGGCATGAGCCACATGACGTTGGCTCGTAAGCTCGCCGACGCCCACCTTCGCAACGAGGCACTCGAGAAGGAGCTCGCGAGCCTACAGGGACGAGGAAGTCATCTGGAAGCGATCAAACACAGACTCGCTCGCCTCCAGTGCCCTGACTGCCGCTCGCGCTTCGATGGAAGGGAGCAGGTGCGCGTGGACTCGAATGCGTCGGCAGCTGCCCCTGGCGCCGATGAGTCGTCTCTGTCATCCGTGGGTAACCGCTCTGCGTTGCGATCCTCAACAGCGAGCCGAGCCGAAGCGCTGCAGGCCGTGTCAGCCCAGCTCGAAGAGCTGAAGCGGAGATGGGCGGTGGACATGGCCAAGTTGACGCAAGACCGCGAAGTCCTACAATTCGAGCGGAAAGAGTTCACCGCCGAGCGAAGTGCGCTGCAGGGCGAGAATCGGCGGCTGCGGGAGAAGGCCATCGAGGCCGACGTAGCGAGGCGGGAGGCGGCGCGAAAGGTGCAGGAGGCGACGCAAAGGGAGCTGCAGAGAGCTAAAGAAGCAATCGTCAGCTTCGAGGCGGAGCTCAGAGGGGACAGAAACAGGCTACAGGCCCTGTTGAGGCAAAGCGCCTCCTCGGCAGACGTCAGCACAGAGGTCGAAATCGAGCTAGGACGGACAGAGGCGAGGCTGAGAGAGGTGGACCGGGAGCTCAAGAGCAAAGTCGAGATGCATGAGCGTCTGCAGGAGGAGCTGCTGGAGAAGAGCCAGGTGGGACAGGAGCTGCCCTGGCAGGTCTACATGCTCGAAGCCCAGGTTCGTCAACTTTCCAACGACGTGGGCGCCCTCCGCAAAGAGCGCTCAGCAATTCTGGATCAGCGGCAAAGGCTCCACGCGAAATACCGAAGCGAGCATGATCGCATGGAGAATGCCTATGCGGAACTGTCCTTGGCCAGGGAAGCTATGCTAGCCCATCAGGTGCAGCTCGACGAGCAAATTGAAACGATTGAGGGCCTCCACGCTGCGCTAATGTCCAGAAATCGAGAGCTGGAGAGCGCTGTGGACGACCGGGACAGGCTCAAAGAGCAGCGCAGGGAGATTCTCGACGACGTTGGATTGCTCGAGAGCGATCTGAAGCGAGTGCGAGAAGAAAGCGAGCGCTTTGGCATTGATTTGCAACGGCTACGGGAGGAAAAGAGCAGGATGAAGGAGGAGCAAAGGAAGATCGATGAAGAAAGGGCCAAGGTGGAGAAGGACGATGCGGCAAAGCGGCACGAGCGACAAAGGCAGATTGAAATGGAGCAACGGCGCATCGAGGATCAGATCAAGATCTCCCAGCTGACGGAGAAGCTCGAGGAGGTGCGACGACGGGCGGCACAAGACGATACGAGGCTTCATGAGGAGCATCGAAGACAGTGCCAGGGTCTGCTGCTCCAGATCCGGTACCTGAAGGCCAAGCTCGGGAGAGAGAGCGACCTGAGGCAGGACGTCGTCCACCAAAAGAGCTACCTGCTCCAGCTCGTTGGTGGGCTTGAGCTGGGTGAAGAGGCCACGAACCGCTTCGTGGCCGACCTTCAGCGGTCCAGGCGCCGCCATCAACATGGCGTTGCGGAGGAGAACGCGCCCAGATCCAAAGGACAGGAAGCCAGAAGAAGATGGGCAAAGGTCCAGACGGTCGTCTTGGCCGTCTGCAGGGCCAGGCTCATGGCGAAGAATTGGGCCCAGACGCGGCGCGTTGGAGCGGCCCTCAAAGAGGCGCATTGGGCCGCAAAGAAGGAGAGTGGCTACCGGCAACTGCAGCATAAGCAGCAGCAACAGCAGCAAAGTTGATTCGATCTTTGTCTTTATGTCTTATTCTGCACCGATACCGACATTTACGTTCCAATTCATTCATTCATTCACATTCATTCAAAGAGTCCAGAAAGTGACATGAGCACCATCCTCAAAGAGAGATACAGAAGAAAGCAGAGTGAACACATCTACTCTGTAAGCTCGACATAGTTGGCGGGGAAGAGGCCTGTCTGACCAGACGTCTTGTTTGTGCCGGACCACCACTCCTCGCTTGCGAACTCGATGTCCACGATCTGCTCGCCCTCTGTAAAGCCGAGCTCGTTGTCTTCTGCCGCTTCGTAGTCGTACAGGGCCGTCGCGCTCGGCGTGGCGGCCGCGGCGGGTTCCGGAGCTGAGGCCGCTGGGGGAGGCGGAGGAGGCGGTGGTGGCGGGGGAGGAGGGATCGCTTCTTCTGCAACTGGAGCAGCAGCCGCGGCTGGCGGTGGCGGTGGTGGCGGCGGGGGAGGTGGAGGAGGCGGAGGCTCGTCTCCTGCGGTCGCCGCTGCCGGCTCAGGACCTGGAGGTGGTGGCGGAGGCGGCGGGGGAGGAGGCGGAGGAGCACCAGCGTCTTCCTGGGCCTCGTCTTCGACGAGCTCAACATCTGACGAAGAACACTAATGGTGAGTGACTGACTTCTCGAGCCTAGACGCAGTCAGGACCACTCACAAGTAGCAGGGAAAAGACCTTCTTGACCATTGGGTCCGACGCCACTCCACCAGCCCTCATCGATCATCTCAATGCTAGTGATCGTTTCGCCCTCGACGAGCGCCAGTTCGTTGTCCTCGGCGGCTTCGTAATCGTACACGACGACGGCGCGCTTGCCAGTCGAGCCAGCAGTCGCACCTGGAGCGGCGAGCGCCTCTGCCGTGCCCTCATCGAGCTTCGTCTGCTGCAGATCAGACGTCACCTGTGCGACAGGATCAGCGACAGGAGGAGCAGGTGGTGGAGGAGGTGGAGGATTGGGATCGCCCACAGCGCTCCGAACCGCGGCGGCTCCAGCGCCAACAATCGTGGCACCTGCGCCAGCACCGACGGCGGCCTTGCTCACAGCCTCCCTCGTCTTCGCCTCTTCCTCCTCCTTTTGCTTCTTCGCTTGCTCCTGCCTTTGAGTCCACGTCAAACCGCCACCACTGGGCCGCGGTCTCGACACCGGTGCGGGTGCAGGCTCCGGCTCGGCATTCTGACCAAAGGGAAAGCGGTTCCCCAGCTTGCCTGGCTTGCCCAATCGGACAGGCTCGTACGCTGTTCCCACAGGTTTGATCCTGTTGTCTTCGTCTGGCTTGGGAGGACCTCGTTCTGCAGCAGGCGCAACGGCAGGCTTGTTCACGGGCTGCAATAAAGGCTGTCAGCATTTATAGAGGACAAGACGAAGCGAGAAGGCTCACCGTAGGTCTGCTGGCAGGTGGTGGGGGAACGCTGCCGACAATGCCTCCCACAGAAGGAGCCTTGGGCAGGGTACCACCAGTGGAAGGCAGGACTGGGGCGGAAGGTGCGGGAGAAGGAGGAGCAGGCGATGCAATAGCTGTAGGGTGAGGAGGCGCAGGGGGAGGGGCTGCGCCTCCGCCTGCTCGAATGTTGCTGAGCTCGTCACGAGCTGGCTTGTAAGCGGTGCCCTGGTGTAATGTAATGGAATCAGTACGACAGAAACTCTGCCAAAAAAAATTTGGAGTGTGCAGCTCACCACGGGCGCAATAACATCCCTCTTCGCACCCGATTGCAGCGCCTTGATGTCTGGCGCACCAATCGGCTGATACGAGGAACGGACAGGCTCGATCCTGCCACCAGGCTGGGTGTTGGCGCTGCTTCCTGCGGCAGCATAGTTCGAACCCCCACTGGCCTCGACTTTCTTCATGATGCCCTTGGAGTCCAGATCGGCCTCCATTCTCGCATTGACGCTGACGTGGTAATTGCGCATATACTGACCCACGGTTGCGCTGTGTGAGGGAAACATGCCCTTGCGCGCTTCGGGGACACCCTCGCCACACCAGTTGATGAGAACAAACTTTGGCAGCTTCGAATTGGGGTCGATGACACGAACGAAGCCATACTGGATCCGACCGTCGCTAAAGTCAAAGAGGGCATCGTCGAGGCTTCCCTTTTCGACCGTCTGCACCTTGAGGTCGTTGGATCCCTTTTCGTATGTCAGAATGAGGTAGTCGGAAGCGCCCGAGAGGACCGCATCGTAAGCGGCCCGAATGTCGGGCGCCGACAGATTAACCTGGAGCGACATGGTTGGCTCGTGTCTGGTAGCTCCTTGGTGGCTGTCCAGAAGATTGTCAGTGCGCGCCGATGTGGCACTGCACTGAGCTCAGACCACATGTTGTCGATTAACGGAATCAGACACGTGGAAGTTAAGCTCACTTCTTCCCCCTCCAAAAACCCCGCATTGCCAACTTCCTGCCCGCTTTTCGGACGTGGACGGACAAAGATCCTGGTGACTAGGGTCACTTACAGAGGAGCAGGTGAGTCTGAAGCCAAGGCGCGAAGTGAGCCATAGAATGAGGAAGACCGAATCAGCACGATATATGATCGAGAAAGAGAGGGAAGGAGATACGTGCCGGCGCGAGGAGAGCTCCTCTCCAGCATCGCCGCTGCTCCCACCCACTGATCCAGTCTATGTTTGCAATCTGACTTTCGAGCCATCCTCTTCGGGAGACCTCTCCGGGAAAAGAGAAATTTTCAAGGCTGACGAGCACATGACAGGATGATATTGCGGCTTTCTGCGCTGCTTGCTTTGCTGCTCTTGACAGCAACGGCGCGATCGCAGTCGCTCTACTCGCCATACCCTTCGAGAACGACGATCATCGCCCAAGCAGACCAACAACGTTCCAATAGCTCTGTCGTCAACCATGTCCGACAGCACACATCGGGACGAACAGTGCTGGGCTATGTGACACCTTGGCACCCGCGAGGCATCAAGATGGCCGAAGCCTTTCGGGGCAAGTTTGACATCCTCGCTCCGGCCTGGCACACCATCGAGCCGTTGCACCTCACCGGTGAGACTTACTACCAAGTTGGTGGTGGTCCGACGTCGGAAGCCGACAAGGAGTGGGTCAAGAGGCTCCAGGCGCCGGGCAAGGACAGCGAGGGCAATGTCTTGGACCCTGTCAACATCTCCCCTCGCTACGTCCTCGACAAGTTCACGCCTGAAGACCTCGTCGAGCTGCTCAACAGCAAAGTACACATGGCCAGCCTAGCCTCAGGTATCGTCGACAGCGTCCTGGAGCATCAGTACAACGGCATCGTTTTTGAGTGTGCAGCAGTCTGGGCCATCTCTCCCCTCGTCGAGCTGCTCTCGGACAGGCTCCACGACGAAGGAAAGACCATCTCCGTTGTGCTTCCCGGCATGAGGCAAGGCAAGGCGACTGAGGACATCAAAAGCAATCAAATCATCCTCCACGGCCTGAGGACCTTATCGAATCTCGTTGATCATGTGATGATCATGACCTATGATCATGCCGGCTCTCAAGGTGTAGCTTGTAAGTGCCGTTCCAGTACACCTCCCTAAGAATAGAGGATAAAGATTAACCTACTTCCTCAAAGTCGGCGAAGCACATGCTCTCAAAGAGCTCCCACCTGGAAGCCCACTTGCCCGGGAAGGTGTTCGCACCCCCGGACCCAATACTCCGCTCGACTTTCTCGTCACCAACATCGAGCAGCTGTCGGGCGATATGGAGGTGTCGGACGCCCACTTTGCCATCCAGCAGGCCCAGGGCTGGACGCACTCCTTTGAGTCGAAGCTTCTCATGGGCCTTCCTCTTTACGGCTACTCGTATGCTGTGGCGTGGTTTGACAAGTCGAGCAACTCTTCCGATGGCATCCCGCGCATCCCCCCGTCCTCACCCATTGGATCCAAGGACAACGACACGGAAGCTCAGGCGCGGTCGCGTGGAGCAGCGGACAAGAAGGATCGGGAAAGACCCACGGTAGTTCCCGTGCTTCGCTTCCCGGGCGAGCCCTTCAAGCACTCGGATCTCGTCGCGCAGCTCGACACCCACAAAGCCCTGATTCGACTGGATGAGGCGAGCCAAGAGCAGTACTTTGACTACGTCAAGCAGCTCCCACCCAGTCAACAGCCGAAGCTCACAGACGAGGACAAGGCGAAGTTGGGCGACCAAGACAAGCCATTGGCGAGCTACTACCGCGCCTACTTTCCAAGCGCCCATACGATGCAACAGCGACTCAAAGCAATCGGCAAATTCAACGACGTCGGAGTAGCTCTCTGGGACGTCGGCATGGCGGGCGAGTGGTTGTTGCATGAATTGTAAAAGGGGAAAGTAGATGCATTACAGGGTGTGAAAGAGCGAATAGGCAATACGAGACAAGTCAAAGATATACAGTACAAAAGCACGGGACGAATAGTAGGAGAACACCATCCTCAGAGCCGGTCCAAGTCAGATGCCCTACTTTGGAACATGCGCGAGAGGAAGCTGGTCTCTTCGCTCTCCCTCTTCTTGTTACTTCCCCCTTTATCGCAGCTTCCGTTCATACAGTAGAGGTCGATTCCGTTGATGATGAATTCTGCGTCCTTGTAGTTGCTGCCTTTCTGCAGCGCCTCCTGCAAATTCTTTCCACAGCTGGGGCCGTCCATGGCCACGCTGCCAGCCCAGTCGCCTCCGAGGGTGATGTCCATGATGATGTTCTGTCCTTCGACCATCTGATCCACCGCAGTCGCCTGGAAGTCTGCCATCGGGCTCGGCCACTTGGATGGGTCGAGCTGCTGAGGCGACTTGGAAGCGTTCTGGAGCTCTGCAGGAATCTTTCCCGACTGACGGCCCCAGAACCAGATCTTGACGCCGTTTCCGTTTCCGAACTGCATGGCCCAGATACCGCCACCTGCCTGATTGAAGTCTTGGCCCCACGACGGGCCGTTCTTGTTTGAATCCCTGTAGGCGCACCCCGTGTTGCCACCCCCGTGCTGGTTGCAATTGAGAGCATTGGACTGGACTTTTCCCAAAGACGTCTTGATCTTGGACTGATCGAGAGGCGAGTCCTGGTTGAGATGTACCGTCATCAAATTCTGATTAGTTCCTCCGCTCGTGTACCCGACGCCCTCGAGGACGTCGATCTCGCCATTCGTCGGCCAGGTGCTTCCCTTGGTCGTCCAGAGTGCCGGCCAGGTTGAGCATCCGACAGGCATCTTGACGACGTCGAAGATGATAAGTCCAGTGTCGTACGCCGTCTTGCTCTGGAAACGGACACTCTCCCGCTTTCCTCCACCGCTCAAGTCCTTGTCGGACACCCTCATAAAGGCTGCCCCGCTCTGGTCATTGCCGATCAGATTCTGGGACTTGGCCGTGCTTTGATCGACAAACTGAACTTGGCCGTGCGTCGGGTCGGCTTTTGACCAGAACTCCCATGCGTTGTTGGACCAGAATTTGCTGCCACGGTTGGACTGCTTTAGTTGATATGGTCCAGAACCACCACCCGTGGAGGGATCCGTCACAGACTGAGTGGAGTTGCTGCTGCTGGTACTGTTGCTGTTGCTGTTGCTGCTGTTGCTGCTACTAGTACTACTGCTGCTGCTGTTGCTATTGCTGTCACTGCTCTTGTCGCCGTCGCTGCTACTACTTGTGCTGTTGCTGTTGCTGTTGCTGTTGCTGTTGCTGTTGCTGTTGCTGTTGCTGTTGCTGTTGCTGTTGCTGCCGCTGCTGCTTTTGCTGCTGCTACTGCTGCTATTGCTGTTGTTGTTGTTGTTGCTATTGCTGTTGTCATCACTGCCTCCACTGCTGGTGCCAGAGTCTTCATCGTCTTCATCTTCGCATTGGTCATCTTCGTCGTCTGAATCATCTCCAGTTCCCGTCTCGGTCGGGTCGTCGCCGCTAGAGGTCTGAGTAGCGCTCGCACCGTCGCTGTCGTATGACTGGGAAGACGGCGAGGAAGTCTCTGTCGGGCTAGCATCGCTACCTCCGTCTGACTGGGAAGAGTCCGAGGCAGTTTCCGTTGGGTCGCTATAGCTAGAGGTCTGGGTACCCTGAGTACTGGAGCTCGAGCTGCTCACATGGCTACCTTTGCGTGCGCGAGAAGAGGCGGAGGCAGTCTCTGCTGGGCTGTCATCGTCGCCAGCGTATGACTGCGAAGAGGCAGCGGAAGTCTCTCTCGGGCTGTCATCATCATCACCAGATGACTGAGAAGACGCCGCGGAGGTCTTTGTCGGGCTAGCATTGTTGCCTTCTTGAGATTTAGAAGAGGCGGAGGCGGTACTACCACCTCCATATTCCGAGCTCTGGCTACTGCCTTCGCTCTTCAGCGAACTTTGATGGTTGGCGCTACTGTACCGCGAGCTTGGGCTGGAGCTGTGACCGATGTCCTTTGGTTTGCTGACCTGCGAGAATCCGGCACCGCTGCTGAGGCCAGAAGAATGACCGATTGCGCTGGCCACGCTTCCCGCTTTACTGGCCGGGCTTTCGTGCGAGGCTTTGCCACCGCTGTTGCCGCCACTCTTGCCGCCTGCCTTGCCGCCGCCGATTATGCCGCCACCTATTTTGCCGCCGCCGATCTTGCCGCCACCCCCGCCGCCGCCTCGTCTCTTCTCAAGATCGTCGGTTTGAGCTTCTTCGACGCCCAAAGAGCGCCACAGCAGCGAGGCGGGCGAGCGTCCTAGGATTTCGGCAAACGACGGCGCGCCTCGACCTACGGATTTGGCGCGGTGCTGCACAACGCCATGGTGCGAGCGACCGTGAACCTGCACGGCCTTGGCTTCGCCTAGAAGGAAGGCACAGGATACGGCGAGGGCCAGCAGCAGAAAGGTATATTGCAATCGGGTCTGCATCTTGGCTGTTAAAAGCTCCCAAAATAAGAGAGGGTGAGAGAGAGGAAGAACCGGTCTCCTCTACGTCGCTGAGTGTTGTGGGACGGGACCTTTGAGGAGGGCAAACAATCGACCTGTCGATGAGTGCCCGAGAAATGAGATGACGGTAGCTGCTTGGGACGCCGTCAAGACGTGCGCTCTTTGACTTGCAAAGGAGTAGGCGGGCTCGAGAAAACGAGAAAACGAGAAGATGGAGGGCAGACAGATGGGGGCTCATTTGCAGGCAAGACCATTTTTAACACGCACGGAAACGGCCAGGTGGGACTCCTGTGGGCGTCTTTCTTCGGTACAAGCAGACGCTGGCACAAAAAAAATGAAAACTTGGACCATGAGGTGCACAGGCTCTAGCACATCGTCCAGAGGCAAAATTGGTCAGAAGAGGACAACCGTGTGGTCAACAAAACTTACGCAACCGAGCAGCGGGGGCTCGGCATCTTTTGCTCCACACAAGGAGGAAAGGCAAGGCAAAGAGGATTGGATGCCGTTCATGAATAGAGCCTGTGCCTTTCCGCATGGTTGCTTCACCCACGAGGTCGGCGTCTCCGTTTTGTTTGCGTCTCCCCAGCGGCAAGTCGACGCGTTCCCGCTCTCTTCCTGCCTGCCTCACGCGGGAGGTCTCGAAATTCGAAATTCTCTTTCAAATAAGACGCCCACGGACCTGCATGACGCCGAGCGCCTCGTTCTCGGCGTCCCTTTTCCTCTCTCTCTCCTCTCTCCTCTCGCCTTCCTCCTTCAATTCCTCAAGGAACAACTCCGACTCATTGTATATATCCACCTGCCATATGCTTACTTTTAATAAATTGGCCAATTACTTACCTTGTGGAGTGGAAATGAAAGAAAGGTAGTATGAGAGCGCGGATCGCACAGCACGAGTCCACGAGGAGCGACATCGATCTTTGTATTCCGTGGGTTAGTGTTAGGAGTGCACAGACGGGAAAGGGACCGCGAGCATTATCAAGGGAGGGGGCGATAAGGAGGTGGAAGAAGGAGCACAGAGACTCTGAAAAGAGAGAGGTACACTTTTAGAGATGGGCGGGTATACAATGAGAGTGAAGAGAAGAGAGAGAGGGAGAGAGAGAGGAAGGAGAGAAAGAGTAAGAAAGAACAAAGAAGAAAAGACTAAATAGGAGAGAAGAGTCAAAAGAGCCAGAGAGCGAGAAAGCGAGAAAGCGAAGAGAGAGAGAGAGAGAGAGAGAAAGGAGAACAGAGACGTCGTCTATGATGGCGACTTGCGCTTCTGGTTTGCTGATGCAGCAGCAGCCTGCTGCTGTTGTATGTGCTGTTGGCCAGATTGCCCGCCAGAGTTGCTCGCCGTGCGCTTCAGCGGTGTCCGGCTCGCTTTGCTATTGGGCCCCAGCATGCCGTCGTCTTCGTCATTGGCCATGGCCGACGTGGAGAAGACATCACCTGGTCCGCCATTGCCGCCAGTCGCATAGGCTGCCGCGCCAAACTGGCCTGGGAATCCACCAGGGATCGATGGTGAGTGCATACCCCCACCGGGGTTCGTCTGCATGAAGGGTGACCCTTGGCCATGGTCCATTGGATTGAATTGACCAGACACGAGTGGGTTTCCATTCATGTGCGCATTGACGGCAGGTGATGGCGGCAATGGCGTGTTGATCGCCGCGGCCATCATGGCTGCATTTTGGGGAGAGATAGGCGAATGTGGAAGGCCACCAGGGCCCATGACGCCAAGACCAGGGTTCGGAGAGAGGTTGCTGCCATGAGGCATGACGCCGAACTGGGCGTGGTGGTGCAGCGAAGTGTCGATGGCAAGACCACTTGCTGCCGCCTTGTGCGAGCCTGCAATTGGGCGTCCAACCATCGATGGATCGCCAAAGGACGACCGGCCGGCGTTGCTCGAGTGAGCAGAGATCGGCCTGCCCTGCTCGTCGATGAGGGGGCTGTGGTGCTGCACCATGGCCTCGCTCTGCGCGCTGCCGGCAGAGACCCTTCTGGAGCCCATCGGCGAAACTTGGCTCATGGCGCCAAAGGAGAAGACGTCGCCACCAGCAGGGCCGTGGCCCATGGGCCCGCCCCCATGAGGGTTGCCATAGGCCGGCTCAGTGACAAAGATCGGCGGACCATCGGCTGTTTGCGAAGTGTCCATTCCGCCCCAGCCTTGCGAAGCAGCCCCTTGAGGACCCACGCCAGAAAAGGACGGAATCATGGGCGTCGGAGGCATATCCTGCTGAAGCTTGGCGTCAAAGGGAAGTTGGCCGCCATTGTTCATCTTGATCCACTCGAGGATGCCTGCCACATTGTCCCTCAAACCAATGACGACCTGCCTGAGAGCCATGTTGACCTCGTACAGCTCCTCAATGCGGTACTGCTGCTCATCGACGACCTGGCGCAGCTGCATGTGGCCGACCGAGACACTGTACTGGAGGTCTCTGGCCTCGACTCTGGCGTGTTCAGAATCGAGGGCCTTTCTGCGAATGTCGTCGAGCAGCTCCGGTCGTCCGCGGATGAATTTGGGATGAGAGAATTCCCAGATCTGCGTGTCGACGGCGTGCCGATGGCCTCTTGGTGTCTTGTTGACCTTGTAGAAGCCGTACCTGTGGAGAGACAAGGTGGTCAGCGCCCTGCTCTCCTCTCTCTTTCTCGTCCCAAGTCATCCAAGAAGATGGTACCCACATGTTGAGCTGACGAATGAAGCTGCTAAAGTTGCTGTGCTTAAAGTGTTTGCCCAGCACCTCCTTTGCAAACTCGTCAAAGTTGGTCACGACGACCGAGGTTCCCGAAGCGTTCCAGCTGATCAGGTGCTGGTACTCGGGGTCCGACACCATTCGAAAGAGCTTGTGGACGAATTTTGTGCTCGCTGCGCCCTGGCCATTATCTGCTTGGCTATTGTTGTTTGCTCCAGAGGAGCTGGCACCACCGCCGGCGCCGGTGTCGCTGTTGCTGCGCTTGTTGTCGTTGCTGCTGCTGCCGCCGCCGCCGCCGCCATGCATCATGCTGTGGGGCGAGTCCATGGACATCATTGTGTAGTCGCCCATACCGTGGCCCGGGCCAGGAGCAGCCATGCCGCCGAGATAGGCATTGTTGGTGCGCATGGGCTGCGAAGGAACCACGTGCACCTGCTCGTTGCCCATGTTCATGCCATTCATCTCGCCGCTCAGGCTCTGGTAGCTGTCGCTGCGCTCAGGCAATCGCCTGTTCATCGACGGCGTCTGCGTCGATGAGGCTGGAGTGAGAAAAGGTGAGGAGTGGGCTTCGGCCTTGACCTGGGTCGGAGATTGTCGTGGCATGTCTTCCGGGCTGCCCACGGTGCTGTTCATCGACATTGCACCACCCGATCCCGCTGCTGCTGCTGCCGCTGCTGCCGCCGCGCTATGAGGACCCAGAGGAGATCCTCTGTGGGGCGAGGGCGAAGAATTGAGCGTTGCATTAAAGAAGTCCGTCGTGGCAGCAGCAGCTGCTGCTGCTGCTGCGCTATTAGGTGGCCGCATCGACGGCGAGGCGGGGTTCGAGGAAGAGGCAGAGGAAAAGGATGAGAGCTGCCTCGTACTCGGTCCTGCGCCTGTCCCACTCTGCGGCGCAGCGGCATCCGTCAGAGCGCCTGCAGCCCCGATTCCCCCTCCGCCTCCGCTGCCGCCCCTTGTGTTATTCTGCCCCGCATGCATCGAAGCACCGACCATGGGCACCGAATTATGTCTCAGCGGCTGCTGGTTTGGCGTAGGATGGATTTGGTGACTCTGGCCGCCGTCGACCGAGAGCATCCCAGACATGTCGCTCGCTGCGCTGAACATTGATACGGCGTGATTGTTGCTACTGTTGCTGCTGCCGCTGCTCAATCTCGTCGTAGGCCCTTCGTCGTGGCTGCTGAGGTCGCCTCCACCGCTAGCGTCGTCGCCACCACCACCACCACCACCGCCGCCGCCTGTGGTTTGTTTATTGTGTAAGCCAAAGGAAGGCGACGGAGAGTCGACTGTTGTCGTGGCCGAGAGCTGCTTGTCGTGCGACGGGGGCGAGGGCGACGACCGGAATGCAGACGTGGGCGACGTAGACGATGGTGGGGGCGATGACGAAGAGGAGCCAGTATAGAGGCCGTGCTGCTGCTGCTGTTGCTGTTGTCTCAGCTGCTCTTCCTCCTGGTGCTGCTGTTGCTGCTTCTGGAAGATGGCGGCAAAGGATGTGCCGTCGTTGTCAAACTGCGTGTCCAGGTGGTCCATGAAGGAAATTTGGGACAGACGGCTCCCACGTTGATATACGCAGAGGTCGAGGCAGTCGCTCGACTCTCCAGAGCTGGTGTATGAGAGAGAGTGAGAGGAGGAAAGGAGGAAAGGAGGGGATAAGGGGGGGCGGAAAGGCAGGAATGGACGAGCGTGGGAGCGTTGGAGAAAATTAGACGAAGGGTCGCGCGCGCGCGGCGGGGAGTCTCTCCTTCCTCTCAAATACGCGCGCGCTCACTCAGACGAGTCGGCCTACGGTCGGGGAAGGTGTGGGTGGGGCGGGCCAAGAGGCACGAGTGGCGTCGAGTGACGTGCAAAGAGGGTGAGATGGATGGGGGTGTGAGAACTTGAATCAAGGCCAAGTGCAGGCGCGGGGTTGTGGCCCGGGACGATCACGAATCCAACCTACACCAGCTTTGCGGGCAAAGGCGGAGCAGCGACCCTCTCGATTTGCTCGCACGTGTTTCGCCTCCTCTCTTCTACCCCTTTGGCAAATTGCTGTGACTCTGCAGTAACGACTGCGCACAACAGGACGGTACCGATTGTCTGGGTTGGAGTACGGACAAAGGTTGGGTGCGAGGCGAAGTCCTATCGCGCGCGTCTCTCTCTCTCTCCCGCTCTGATCTTTTGCGTTTCTCGAGTGTGTGTGTGTGTGTGTTGTATGTCTCTGCTCGTTTGCTGCCAGGCTAACAACCCCTTTAGCGGCCTCTCCATTTCAAAATTGAGAAATTAGAGCTGCGAAAATTTGAAGCTGACACTAACAGCCCGTCCGCTTGGACTAATGCTCGGTCTACTTGCACCACTCCCGTTGGCGATGGGGGCAATGCCCTTAGTACGCCTTCTGCCTCTCTGAACCGCCGGCCCTGGCCACGATGAAGCTGATCCATCCTCTGTCATACTAGATCCCTGGTGCTATTCATAAATTAAACGGTGCTATTCCTCATGCGACATCAGCGAGTGAGAGATGCGATGAGAATAGCTTATTAGAGCCAATGTCGCTGGCAGGCAGGTGCACCCCCCCGAAGCCTTGCCCTTGTAGCCACCGACATCGCACGGCTCCGAGACAGATCTCTAGAGCAAAATTGCCTCAGCTGGCACACAGGCACTAGTCTCATAGAGACTCTCGTCGTCATCACTGGATGACAGCCTGATGAGGAGGACAACGGTTGATCCACGTGCACGATTAGAGCTTGCTTAGCAAAGCTTCCCATCCAGGGTCAATAGCACGCTAAGAGACGTCTGAAGCTTATCCCCCACGTCCAGTCAACACATGACGATGAAGGAGATCAAGGTTGCCATTGTCGGCGGCGGGCCTTCGGGACTCGTTACCCTGAAGACGGTGCTGGAGCTCGCCGATCGCAACCCCGGACAGATCATCGTACGAGCAAGCCTTTTCGAGGCGGAAGACCGCATTGGTGGCACATTCCTCTACCGAAGCTACGGTGAGCCAGAGCCAGCACGCACATCTCAATGGGCTACCATGATGCTTATCCCTCGATTCAGCCAATGCTCGCCTCGTCTCGTCAAAGCAGCTCACGGCTTTTAGCGACTTTCGACTACCGCTCGAAGCACCAGATCATCTGTCCATGACCGCATACGTTCAGTATCTTGAAGATTACACCGCACATTTCCGCCTCCAGGAAAGAAGCCACAGATTTTTGCTCAACACTCGCGTCACAGGTCTGAAGCGACATGACGGAGGTAATGGGCACATCGTCACCTGGACCAGCCCCGGTGGCCAGACACACACCGACGATTTTACCCATGTTGCTCTGTGCGCCGGCCTTCACGTCACGCCCAGCTACCCAGAGATCGCAGGCCTGCCTCGACCGACGCTGCCTACGGACGATCGACAGAAAGGCGCCGAGGTTACGGAGCAAGCCCACTTGACACCCGAGCAAGCTCGTATACAGACGCTTCACTCGAGCGCTTACAAGTCGCCAGAGATCTACAGCGACAAGCGCGTCATGATCCTTGGCACCGGCGAGACGGGAATGGACATGGCATACGAAGCTGTCAAGGCGCGAGCCAAGGAGATTGTCCTCTGCACTCGACACGGCTTCCTTTCATTCCCAGCCGTCCTCGAGAACTTCACTTTCCTCGGTGTGACCTATGATCGACCGACGCCCATTGATGGCCTTATCACCAACCTTTTTGAGACGGCGTATGTGCATCCGTGGGTTGGCCAATCGCACCTCCGCTGGTTCGTCTCCGATGCCATCATCAAGAAGGTCCTCTGGGTGCTCACGGGCACTGAAGCCGGCTGCAACCAATGGGTGGGCGAGCTGCCTCCGGAGAGGCTGGGGAGGGCCTACACGTTTTTGAACAAATCAGCAAGAGCCATGCCATACATCAACCGACCTTGGAAGCAGCGGCATTGGCTCTTGGAGAAGATAGCGCGATACATCGACCCACCCACTGTGTCTGATGACGAGCCACACGTCGATCTGGCGCCCTTCCCTAGCCACCTGAGCCGCGAAGGTAAAGTCATCTTCCGCGCCAACGGCCGAAAGGAGTACGAAAGGATGAAGACAAGGAATTTCAGGCCAGACGTCGTCGTCTATGCTACGGGTTATCGTCAGGAATTCCCCTTCATCGACGAGAGCAAGGGTACCTATCCGAGCCCTTCGCAGGCCAACTGCCGTGACATCTTTCGCCACGGCGACCCTTCGGTCGCTTTTATTGGCTACACAAGACCAGGTGAGTGAATCCCGCCAAATTGATCACAGAAAGCATGCTGACGCTCAGGAAAATTTCCCAATTCTACCATTTTTCTTCGTACAGGCGTCGGGGCGATACCTCCCCAGGCGGAAATGGCCGCTCAGCTCTGGTCCCTCGTCATCGCCGACCAATTGCCAGAGCCCACGTCGAAGCCGTACTACTACCTTCTGGCAAAGGAGGATGCGCGTATTCGGTACGGCGTCGACTACAGCAGCTACGTCAGTCAGCTGGCGCGCGACATGGACTCAGCACCCACGATGGGCCAGCTCTGGTGGCAGCACGGCTTCCTCGTCCTCTTCACTTATGCGTTTTCGGCAGCTTTCACCACACACTTCCGACTCGTCGGTCCGTGGGTCGACCAAGGCGCCCCAAAGATTGTCAAGACGGAAATTCTCGAGACAATCACAAGGAGAGGTATCGGCGGAAATCTCATGATGGTGCGTACAGCCTCCCTCTAAATGACCTTTCCCAATCTCTAGCAAGTTACTGACTTTGGCTCTTGGTTCAAAAGGGAGTCATCCCGATGATCTTCTACGCCTGGATCAACCTTTTTGCGTACTTGCTTGAGAAGACGCTCCATGTCGCTCAGTATTTCTTTCCAGGGGTATGCGACCAGCTTGCACAGGTAGCAGGTCTCTCTGGCCAGACGCAGACGAAGACTATGACGAAGAAGAAGCATACATGAAGAAACAAGAATGAGAATCATCATACCATGTATTTGTACAGCATGTTGTTCCTGAGTGGCCGACGTCCTTCTACAAGGCCGGCAGCAAGGGGTACTGGAGACGAAGAAGCTTTTGGGTGCGGCCCTCGAGGTGTGCATATCGCTGCTCGGACAAGAAGCCAGCGCTCTCACTCAGTCTGCCTCGTATGCCATTCCAAAGCGGTGCCGCGAGCCTACTCTTGGAGGAGGAATGCTTTCACGAAGCGATACACCGCGGCATCTACAGCCCCGCCAGACGTACGCCAAGCTCCGCAAGGCTGATGACGGCACGAGTGTGCTCACAAAACAAAAAGGAGACGAGGCCGCCTTGCCCAGCGGAAGCGAGTGATTCACATGCCGCTCGGCGAGGCGGAGAAAGACCATCTAGGGCGCACCCTGGCGCTCCATCGTACTCCAGCTACACACTCACGGGCTCGCTACCGTGTCACACAGACATCAAAGCAGAGCACCGGGCGCTTGTTAAAGGTCGCGTGAACATTCCTCCCACGTGGAAAATCACCTCCGAAGCTCCGAACGACCGACGGTTCCTGATCGAGATCGCTTCCCAATTTGTCCTTTTACCTCTCGGCCCTCGATATTCTTCTGAGAAATACTGTATAAACAAGTACGAATGCTGCCGAACCGAAGAGCTCCAAGTTGCGAGCAGGGCCGCTGCGTCAGTCGTCAGAATTTGTCCCATCTGTTTCGGTGGCTTGCATATATTTCGACATGTGTTCGTCGCTAGCCTCGGGCGTGCAGTGGTACGAGCACTCGACGCAAGCCGGCATGGTATCGGTGGTAAATTCATGGTCCGCCTGGGAGTTCGAAATTTGCCAACGACTCCCAGTCCTGCATCGGTCTGTCCTTATGTCTATTCAAAGCAGATGTCTGCATCCTGGCCGCGTACGGATACGGCCAATTCGAGAGCTAGTACTATAGGACCACATACACATACTAGTACTACTTGTTTGCTTCATGCAAGGCAGCGCACGACAAGAGCCGTGTTGAAGATGCTGAGTGCCAAGATGCGAGACGCGCCGAATGCCAATTTTAGCAAGAGACCGGCCTGTCAATTTCGCATCGAGTCAGAAGCGAGCGAGGATGTAGAGGGGAGTGGTGTAGCGCTCGCTGCCTCGCAAGTGCACGGTGATTCGAGAGGCTTTTCTTTCTTCCTGATCCCATTACTGATCTAATTTTGAGTTTTTGTGTTGGACAATAATTTTTTCCTCTTTAATTTCTGTCATCCCAACGAGCTTTCTTTGTTTTAATTTTTGGTCGGGCCCAATCTTGGTGCTGCTCCTCTACCGTACCTCCTCCTCCCATCTGACGCTGCAGTTCCACTCTGAACAGCCCTGTGTACCTGCCTTCGGGAACAAGATGGCGTTTGTAACCAGATTCAGTAGTGTTTCTTGTCCCAATTCTTCCTTCCAGACCATCACATCAGGTCCCTATTGTCGGTCTTTCTCTCTTTCTCACCACTTTGGAGCCCCTCGTTCAACTCCGCCCACGCTGACGCCCGTGCACGCTCACTGAAAGCAGTAAGCGGACTCTAAGCGCGCACCACAAACGACAGTGCGTGTGCACTGTAAGCGTTCACCTTCTTCTTTGTCGGTCGCGTCCTTGGACGGCCAATCCTCACGCCGCTCAGAAAGCGCAACGACGCTCCTCGCGGGCGAAAGCAGTGCTTCTCCACTACCCCCTCATTCGTTTGTCTGGAAGCGCCCTGGTTTCGGTAACGCGCAAGCGGGGGTCTCTCGAGCGTGCCTGACTAGGCTGGCAGGTGCAGCTGGAGGAGGCTTGTGCCATCGGCTCCCCCTTGTCCATCCATCCCTGCGCAATCCAACAAAACTTGCTGTTTCGTTACGTGCATCGCGCGCCACCGTTGTCGCTTTTGCGCTTCGTTTGGCCGTCACGCGCTGTACTTTTATGCCCCTCTCCGCCGTCATGCAGCAGCCTGACTTCTTCCACGTACACGATCGACACCAGAAAGGAAACAGGGGAAAGATGACCAGCAAAGCGGCCAGAAGCGGCGGCACCGTGGGAGCAGGAGAGGGTCACGACCACACAGGCACACTCTCGCAGCCTTCCTCGGAGGGCCTGCCGACTCTGAGTACAACATCGCTCTATGGGCAAGGCTGGAGCGGTGCTTTCGATTCATCACCCATTTTCGACATGTCCTACAGCGCGCCTCAGCAGCAGCGAGGCCTGCAAGGTCAAGCTTCGGATGAGGCCACTTCATCTTCGACAGCAGCGCCGACCGGTAATTTTCCTCACTACCAGGCTGCCGACCTCGCTGGGCCATCGAGCCATTTCGTCAATTTTGGCGTGGGTCCACCTTCGTCAGCCTTCGAACAAAGGGACTACGACTTCAACCTGCTTCAACAACCGCCGTCGCGTGAGACGCCACACCAGCAATCGTCGTCATCGCAGGTCCACTCCAGTCAGCAACCGCTTCATTACCAGGCCAGTCACCAGCCGCACGTATCCCAGCTTCAGCCCATCTATACGTCGCCACCTTCTTCCGCCTCTCTTTCAGGTTCAAATGATACTCTCCTTCAGAAACAGCAACAACAGCAGCAGCAACCACCGTCGTCGGGCCAGTCTCTTCGAGAGGGAAAAAAGACGCCTCGACCTCCTCGTCTTCACAAGATCTATGCTGCCCCAATCGAGTCGCCACGCTCCCTCGCCGACGTTGCACCGATACAGACATTCCTCAGCGTTATAGCGATTTACTTTCAGCATCTATATCCTCTTATGCCGCTCGTCCATCGGCCAACCTTTGCGTACGACCTGATTAATCGAAGAGACGAAAAGGACCAGGCCTTTCTCGCCTTCGTCCTTAGCTTGAGTGGGTGACCTTTTCACCTCTTCTTTCACACTCGCGAGATTCTAACGCCTTTCTTGACAGCTTCTTATACCCTTGTCCAGGCGCCACGTAGCGTTGTTCCGGAGCCGGTCAACTTCTACAGGAAGCTTCATCGGATATGCCACCTGACTTCAAGGCGCATGCAGCCTCGCACTTACGATCCCCCCCTGCTGATTCATCTCTGTACACTGTATTGCGACCACATCTATCTGGGGAGCACTCAGAAGAACAATGCAGCAAATGCTGTCCTTGGTGAGGCCATCCGTACCGCATTTACCGTCGGCATTACCGACGAACGCAACTACAGCGACGGTGAATTCACCTTCCGTGATGGTCTGCCTCGACCCTCGGGCGCCCAATTTCGACCGCCGCCTGCCGATGCTATCGAGCAAGAGCTACGACGAAGGGTGTACTTTCTCATCTATGGGAGCGACAAGACGATTGCCGTGCTTCAAGATCACCCTACTAGCTTACGAGACGACGATACATTCGACGTCCAAGTTCCGCGAGCCGTCGATGACGACCTCTTGACGCCGGAAGGCGCACATGAGCAGCCGTGAGCTTCTCATTTCTTTCCTCTCAAAGAAGAACAGCCCGCTGAAGCCACTACATGTGACAGTATCGCAGAGAGGGGTCCGAGCGTCCTTTGCGGGTTCGAGACCATCTCTCGCCTCTATCTACTCCTTTCGGAGCTGCTCGAGAAGCTGCGGGGCGACCGAAAGCGACTTCCTCAAGACCCTGCAACGATTCATCAACGGTACAAGTACATTGACGAGATGCGACAACGAATTAAGATGGTCCTTGATCGCATGCCAGATTGCCTCAAATCGCCAAACGTCATCATCCAGTCGCCCGCCTCGTATCGTACGACATCTGATGCCCTTCCAGAACTCGGTGCTGCTCATCACATTAGCGCCAACGGAGGTCACCTCGAAGGCGGTCACGACTTTGGGCTAGCAGGGCCCAGGCGGGTTTTTCAGTACAATCCTTGGCCCAATGGGACCTTTAAAGATAATGGGCTGCCGAACCCTGATGTCCGATCGCAATCCTCGACGGATTCAGCTCATGCCAGCCCTCGAACGATGAATGAAATGGCCTCTGCATCGACAGGATCTTACCAAAGTACCCCAGCGCAGCTCCTGATGGACCTTACCGGCTCGCACGAAGAGGCAACAAACAAAGCCTTTTCCGGTCTAAACGAAGACAAGCCTGCACCGTCAGGGCTCGAAACGGAAGTGGACCCAAACAACATCTGGCATCCACAACAGCTGCGGCGTCAGCGCCCGTCAATGGCCCAACTCAATGATGCGGTGCGACAATTGACCGCGTTCAGGCCGGCACCACCGCCGCACCAGCCTCCGATCTTGACACCATTTGCAACCATGAGGGCCAACATCCTGATTACCGAGACAATGATTCGCTTCGTCCTCGCAGAATACCGTGAGCTACTCGAAAGCGCTGCAAAGCAGCTCTCGACCTCCACGGGGCAAGCCAGTTCGCAAAGCAGCGAGGGTGCCGTAAAGGTGGAGAATGGATCGCTAGACTGGGAGACCGCAACAGAAGACATGATCAACTCCTTGCAGAGCATGTCGCTCGAGAGTCTCGCCGCGAACGGGCAGGTGAGCAGTATTTGAGCTCCCCTTCTCGGTATTCACAAGCTGATCCTCTTTGACAGTCAATGATCTCCAAGATGATCCACCTTTCCTCGGCCCTCATCAAGCGTTTCCCCGCTGGAACGAGGGGTCACGCATTCTTTTGCGATCTCATGATGATGTTTACACGCTTGACCGAGAATCGCATGGGCGACAGGCGAGATGGTGGACAAGACGATGATGAAGATGATGATGAGGAAGACGACGACGACGGCGGCGAGAAAGCGGTCGCAGACGCCGACGCAGTCCTTGCCGACGGCGGTAGTGTCGGCGAGGATGATGACAACGGAAGCGGTGCCGAGACACAAAGGCAGGCACATCACATGTAACGGCCATGGTTCAGTTCTTCAACAGACTCTCAAAATTCATCACACTGTAACTATGTCATTATGTCATCCTTCCCTATAGCTGTAGCACCACCGTTAATCGTTTCCTACGTAGGATTCTCCAACTTATTCATTTACCTCTCTGACTCCAGTCTTCTATTCTAATGCGGCCGCTGCTGTGGTTCAATATTGCTTCTCTTGTCAAGTAGCTTCATAAGGAAAAGGGTTCTCTAGTCAATCTTGAACCAGACTCCCTCGAAGGCCCTGAGGACAAACGATTCGTCGTCGACCCACTTGACCTCCTGGTCTCTGCTACCGTCGATGTCTGCGTAGTTGTGCAAGAGGATTGTTACCCTGCTTCGGAGCTTCTCGAGCGTCTTGCAGGGTCCATTACCTTTGAACTCGCCGACGAGCTTTCCGTCCTGTTGAGACTTGTTGACCGTCTGACCATCAAGACGGACCGTCTGCTCGTCTTTCGAAAAGTTCAAGACAACCAGTACGCTCACTTCGTGTCCAAGGTTGCGAACATAGGCGAACACGTTTGGGTCCTCGGGTTTCACGATCCAGAAGTTGCCTCGGACCATCAGACCTCCGCCGACTTCTTTGCGCAGCTTCAAGGCCCTTTTCCAGAAGTTCAGGACGCTCAGAGGGTCCTGCGCCTCGTCTGTCGCGTTCCAGCCTTGCTGCGCATCTTCGACCTGGACGCGCATCCACGGTTTTGTGCGTGCGCCATCAGGGGAGAAGCCGGCGGACGCGGGCGAGGAGTTCCACTGGACGGGCGTACGGGCGTTGTCGCGCGCCTTCAGGGCGGCCCATTCGTGAACTTGTTCGGGCGTCGCCGGAGAAGAGAGGCCTTTGATGGTGCGATCTTTGCATTCGTTGTAGAAGTCTGAGGCGGTTCCCTCGTCAGCAAGAGAACCTAGAGTGCAAGTGGCGCTTCTAAATACTCACTGATGGTGGCAACGTCGAGGTACTGTTGGAGTGAGCTGACGATCAGCAACCCTTTCTCATGATCGAGCAAAGCTTGCTTGTGACTCACATCGTCGATTGGCCACTCCTTTGGGATATTTTTCATCCCAAGCTCCTGTCCCTGATACAGGTACAGACTGCCCGAGAAGCTCGTTTGCATCATGGCGACGAGCTTGGCCGCCTGTTTACGGTGCTCGGGCGCATCGCTCAACCAACGACTCACGCTCCGCGCCTGATCGTGATTCTCGAGATAGTTGGCATGCCAGCCATTGTGGGCACTGAAAAAGGCTTGCCATTTGTTGACGATCGACTTGAACGTCACGAGATCAAATGGACGAGGGATCAGGGGCCACTGTTGATCACCGTCGACATCGTGCAGGTCGAAGGTGAAGCACATTCGCAGTTCGTGGCTCTGCAATCGTGTCCTTACTGTCAGACCTTGACCAAAGTGGATGGCGAAGAAGACTTGAGCTCAGGTTGACACTCACATGTGGGTTAACCCAGGGCAGGACGATGCTGGGATGCTTTGCGTGGGGCGTCTCGCCCACCGTGATTGTGTCATAGTGCTGCAGGACCTTTTCGTGCATTTCCCGCATGAACTGTGTTCGAGTAAATGGGATCAGACAGACTCTATTAGGGGGGAGAATACAATTTACCTCATGGATCCTGGGACCGTTGCAGAAGAGCATGTGAGCCGCTTGATAGGTCGCGTTGGGGTCGGAGATGGGCGCATCAGGCAGAGCGGGCCGCTTCGGATCGCTTGGATCTTCAACATAGGTCTTGGACACTTCATTGATGACGTCCATACTTGATGCTCATCGTCAGATCCCCTCTACGAGACGTATCCGATAGTATGAGGTACTCACCGGAAGCCAGCACAGCCACGGTCGAGCCAGAAACGCATAATGTCATACACAGCTTCGCGCACCTCCTCGTTCTCCCAGTTGAGATCGGGTTGCTCCTTTGTGAAAAGGCACAGGAAGTACTCCTGCGTCGTTTCATCCCAGCACCACGCCGAACCTGGAGCAGCAGAGGTGTTTAGCCCAGTGAATGGGCAAGTAACGAGAGAAGGTGCTCACCGCCAAAGAAGGAGACCCAATTATTGGGTGGGACCCGGTTGCCCCTCTCGTCACGCTTGGCAGGCCTCCAGATGTACCAATCTCGCTTGTCATTGTCCTTCGACGAGCGTGATTGCTTGAACCAGGCGTGCTGGTCCGAAGTGTGATTGACGACGAGGTCCATCCTAGCCTCGCAGCGCACTTAGCGAGCCGACCATAAAAGATATAGTCGTAAGAGACTCACATGAGCTTCATGCCGCGCTTTTTGAGCTCCGATATGAGCTTGTCAACATCTTCGAGGCTACCGTAGCGGTCGGCGATCTTCTTGTAGTCGGCCACATCATAGCCTGTTCTCAGATGGTTGGACTCATGTGATTAGATTTTGCACCCATTATCCGCTACACAGCTTGCTCACCCATGTCTCTGTTGAGGGTCACACGTACCTCCGTCGGTCAGTCCGTGTGCTTTGCCATAAGCAGGCAGAAGCAAGTACTCACTTGTCTGGTGACTCGTAAATCGGGCTAAGCCAGATGACATCGGCACCGACCTCCTTGAGATAGTCGACCTTGGAAAGGACTCCACCCAGGTCACCGATCCCATCCCCGTTTGAGTCGCAGAAACTAGCTGGCCAGATCTGCCGTTCGCGGAGGCTTTAGCACGCCTTCTGGCCCTACACTTGGTCGACTTCCTCCTCACCTGGAAGATCACGGCCTCCTTCCACCAAGCAGGCTCCGAAAAGGTGTTTGGCAGCTGGTCAAATTCCTTCGTGGTGAGGAGCTCGTCGGCCCGAGGGATCTCTGAGATATTGGTCGTAGACATGTTGTCTCTCGCTGTGCTGTTGAGAGCGTTCCTGCTTTGTCGTGCTGTTCTTATATACCGTGAGTGGCTGGGTGTTATGCTGCCAACCGCCAAGAGAGCCAAGCAGCGGATTAGAAACGACAGGTCCCGTTCCAGATCGAGGAGCGAAACGCGATTCCGGTTTTGCCGGCTGGGCTGAAAGCTCCGCACTTGTTTCTGTCGGATTATCGGAGCGAGCGAGGCATGCGATGAGATTGTGAAGAGTTGTGTCAGAGACAAGGGAATACAGAGGTGTGCGAGACAAACAATACACACGCACCTTCCTTCCGACTTGAAGTGATCCGAGCGTCATTACGCGTTCTTAGTCGACGCGGGGGTCGAAAATTGTAAATTTCGCTGCCTGAGGAAAGAAGCCTTTCATCAATCCCGGTCTCTACTTTTCTTTCGGGGGAACTCTTCTCACGAACCATGGATCATGTTACCAATTGCTGGACAATTCTGCCTGTTGATCGACTTGAACTGTGCTCTTGGTGACAACATCTGGGGCAACGATGGAGCTCCAGCATGTCTCTTCCTTTTGGGCCGGCACTTGGGGGTAAGAGCTCAGATTAAGCGGCGATTTGCTGGGACGGAGCACAGAAATTGGCCGTCGCTCAATCTGAGGACGCCAAGAGACATGTCAGCCAGATCCAGTGCAGTGCGAGCCAGCAAAAACATCGCTCTGGACTCGATTGCTGATAGCTTTGGACTATACAATCCGGAAAGAAGCCTCCGATGACATAACGAAGCGGGCCGCGCAATCAGATTTCTGCAAGTAATGATCACGGCATTGGCCACCCCCCGCCATCAGAGCGCCGCCCCCGATACGGTGAGCAGGCCCGGAACGGAAGCTTGATGCCCAGAAAAGGCCGCACTCCGGAATACGCCCGTCAGTACTTGCGGTCGAGGGCGGTGATTCTGCTCGAGTGTTTCCACAAGAAGTATATGGTTGACGTTGTCGAACGAGTCGCTAGACAAATGAGTCTGAGTTGCATACGAGTCCTCGGCCACATTTTGCCATACCGAAGCTGTCCGCATATCCGGACATACGAGCCGATGCAATGTTGTCCGCATTGCTTGCATCAGCCTGTGCTTGGAAAGCTTGCTAGGTCTCAAGGCTGAAGAGGGTCGACAATCTTGACTACCCCGCGCAAGATCGGAGCTTTAGTTCCAAGAGTGGCTCAGGAACATCCCGTTCGACCGGCGCTTCCCATGTCCGAAACTCCTCATGCTGACTATGTTTCGTCAAGTCTCGCAGAACCGTGACAAGACGAGCAGCAGAGCACATAAGGGAGCAATGCATTGGCTGCGTCGCCCAGCAAAGGCTGTCAAGTCTGCCACTGGAGAACCGTGGTTCTGGAGCGCCCAGACGGTTGGGCCTCTAGCCTCCGCCGGAAAAGACGCAAGACTGCGACACGCGACATGTTGGAATTGCTTGTATCAATTCGGCCGACCATGTCTCCAAAAAGAGAAAATTATTCTCCGAGGGGACTATTCGCGCGAGATTTTTCGTCGAAGTTCATTCGTCGACAGAGGACACGTTCGCTCGTTCCTCCCTCTCTAACAGCCATCGTTCCTGACTTTGCTATCGCTCCCGTGCTCCTGTACCTACCGATCTCTTGGGCACACAAAGTGGTCCTGAATGCTTATTCGCCGACCTGTCCCTGCGTCATCACGACGTCAAGTCGCCCTTCTAAATTTATATTTTGTCAGGACAGACGAGCAGAGGGCCCCAACACGCGATCGCGGCGTCGGTCGCCCCGCCCGGAAAGGCCCCCCCCCCTCGCCAATTCGTCCGAAGACAACATAGGTGATGATATATTTTCTGTGTTGTGCGTCATTGCCCTCGGTTGCGCACGTTCCTCTGTGCTTTCTTAGCCATTTTCCCTGATCAAGAAGACTGACTAGGTGAGAACAGCCGGATGCAGTAAGACGGGCTGACGAGTTTCTCCACCTGAGCAGCTCGGCCTGAAGCGATTCTCGCATCTACCCTTCTGCGACATTTGAAAGATCACAGGACAACAGAAAGAGCAAGCTGGCTGACTTGGCCGTTTTAGAGCAGAAAAGCAATCTGGCATTCGGCATCCGAGGCGAGACCAAATGAGTCTGGAAAGGTGGGGACTCGCTCTCAGCTAGTGTACAGACGGAGAGATGACAAGGGAGGGCCGAGAGTGCGGATAGGTCGTGCGCATTTTGTGCAGCTGCAGCTGTAGCGCATTTTTTTTTGAATAAAACTAGCCACTACCAGCAGGATCAGAGGCACGAGAGCTCAAGGTGTACTCGGGAAAGAAGAAGAAAAAAAAAACTTGATCAATCCGAGTTTGATTTGCTTCGTCGGTCAACTTTCCGAACGCCGGCTTAGAAGAGCGGGGGGCTGAAGCCGTGGTGAGGTCCTGTAATTGAGCAATGTGAAATCTAGTGGCCTCCCCCTCTTCCCTTCTTGACCGACGACCACCCCCTTGCTACCGTCGATCCGGCCATAGCAAAGATGGCCGACTACAGTGAGTGTCTTCCCGACGAATAGACCGCGAGTGGGCAACACACTGACGTAGGAAGATGTTTCTCTAGTCGAGACGCATCCCGATGATACAACTACGGCTTCCAACTCCTCTTCGCAACAGCAACGGCAGTTGCAGTACTCTCCCGATGAGAAGAGCGCAGAAGTCAGACATCAGGGTGATGGTGGTCTCGACACGAGGGCGGCTGCTCACCTCGACACCATCCTCTTTCCCCCTGACATCTACACCAAGGACAAGGTCTACTGGGCGGATCTTCCTCTGAAGCAAAAAACGCGATGGGTCAACGAGCAGAGCAATGCCGAGGCGAGGCGAGAGCTCGGCGTGATTGGCGCCATGTTCAAGAAGGATCCTCTCAGCCCCATCTCAGCCTACTTTCGCAACTACGTCGTCACCGGTCTCGGTCTCTTTGTCGAAGGCTATGTCCTCTTCTCCGTTGGCAACCTCACACCGCTCTTTCGGGCAATCTGGCCAGCATGCTGGAAGACCTACGAGACGTGCGACGAGCAGTGGGTTCATGCCGTCGACTACCTCGAAATTATTGGTATCATCTTTGGCCAAATCATCGTGGGTATCGAGGGCGACTGGATCGGCCGCAGGTTCGGAATGGTGCAGGATGCCCTTGTCATGACGTTGGGCTCCATAATGCTCACCGCCATGTGGGGCACCACCCTCAATGGTTGGGTCATCTGCTATGCTTGGTCACTCTTCATCTACGGTTTCGGCGTCGGCGGCGAGTACCCTATGACGTCGACGAGAGCTATGGAGGGTATGGGCCGCGGTCAGGCAGCCACCACGGGCGACCGCATGCACCGCGGTCGTAACACCGCCCTAGCCTTCCTCATGCAAGGCTGGGGTCAGCTCTTCAACCAGGGTGTCCTCATTGTCGCCCTTCTCGTCTTCCACGGCTCCCTCGAGCCCACGTTTAGCAAGACGAGCACCCAGTGGACTTTCCGCGTTCAATTCGGCATCATCGCCCTTCCCACCATCTACCTGGCCTACCTGCGTTACTACAAGCTGACATACACGGACCAAGCGCTCCGCGATGCCAAGAAGCGAAACAACACCTCGGGCTACGACGTCGCTAGCTTGAAGCTCGCCATTTCCTGGTATTGGCACCGCATGATCGGCACTGCCCTTGTCTGGTTCATCAACGACGTTCTCTTCTACGGTTCCAAGATCTTCTCTGGCGTCTTCATCGAGATCATCACGGGCACCAGCGGCAACATCAAGGTCACCTGGCTCTACAACCTCCTCAACGTCGGCATCTCGCTCGTCGGCTACTATCTCGGTGCTCTCCTCATTGACCACAAACAGTATGGGCGCAAGTGGATGCAAGCCAACGGTCTCCTCGCCATTTTCGTCATCTTCCTCATCTGTGCCGTCCTCTACAACAAGCTGGCCGAGCCGGGCGCCGGCTCTCGGTGGTTCATGGCCTTGTACTTCCTCTCGTCGTTCTTCACCCAGTTCGGCCCCAACACGACCTCATTCCTCCTTGCCGCAGAGGTGTACCCCGCCACGGTCCGATCGACGGCCCACGGTGTGAGCGCAGCGACGGGCAAGATGGGTGCCCTGCTCGCTGCCGTCGTTTACAACTACATCGGGTCGCGCACCAAGTTCATCTTCGTGGTACCTTTTGGATTCGCAGGCTGGCTCCTCACCCTCATCTTTGTCCCCGACACCACTGGTCTGGACCTCCGAGAGCAGGAGCGCTACTTTGAGTACGTCCTCAAGGGCCGCACGAACGAGTATCACGGCATTGCCGTGCATCCCCGTCACCTCTCGCTGTTTGAGCGTGTGATCCTGAAGAGGCATCTCAACTATGACCCCGAGAAGGACCGGGCGGCCAAGATTGAGGAGCTGCGCGCCGTCTACGAGTCCGTCAGGGCCGCCGACAAGGAGGGCGGGCTCGGGGATATGGACGATGACCAACGCGTCTTTCTCGAAAACGAGCTCGATGGCTTCTTTGCCAATGAGCGCAAACTTACCGGCAACACAGTCGTACAAGCTCCAGGGGGACACCACTCCAAGCTTGCCGAGCTCGAGACCAAGCTCTCATAGCAGGCTGTGCCCATCACCGTTTCTTCTCTTGTTTTCTCTTCCCCTTCTTGTCCATCGCTGATTACCTTACGACATTCTCACCTGCATTGCACCTGTATATACGGCATCATCAGTTCCTGTCCTCATCAGTCGACACTTGATCCGACAATTAATGTTGAGACAGGGCTACAACTACATTTCAGGGGTATTGAGCATGGCTGGACAGTGTCTGCACCTTACTCCCACAGACTGCCATCACCGACTGAGCCAGTCTTGTGCCCTCCCTTTCCTGTTTTCCCCCTCATCTTGCCGCCTCGTGTTCCCTGAGACTTGTAGTACTCTCGCATCTCATTCTTGGAATACCCGACCGAGGACGCCTCGTCCTGTGCGGCCCACTGCTCCTGCCGAACGGCATTTGGAGTCTTGATGCCTTCGTCACGCAGCCTCTGCGATCGGCTTGGTGTCGAATAACCCGACGAGCCACCCGTCAATAGAGGATTTCTCGTGGCCCGCTCCTCGTCGCGAGCCACCAAGCGACGCTCGAGCATATAGTGCATCTTCCAGTCCGTTTTCGACTCTCTCCGCGTCCACTTGAATCCGCCCGAGGGTGGCTCGACCACTGCAGCTCCTCTTCCGTCTTCCTGCACCGATCGGCCGCGCCGGCACTGGAGATACCAGCAGTAATTGAGCGTTGCTGAACGCCTCCACCTCTTGGAGACGCCGGAGCATGCGATGAGAGCGGGAATGGGAAGGGCGACAAAGATCCGTTGAGAGACCTGCGGGGCGAGGCTGATCAGCATGAAGAAGTCAAGAAAGTCAAGTGAGCGGGGCGTCTTCTCACCTCGCGAGGAAAAGCATGTAATGGATCGGTCTTGCTCTTCCGAGGAGCCGGTGACGCCGAGATCGAGTGTTTGGCCAGGGCCGACGTGGGCAATGGAGCAGTTTTCTTTGACGGACTCGCGATGCCTCCCGAGACGGTGGCTGCGAGTGCGCCTCCGACAACATTCATTCGGGCAGCCGTGCCTGGGGAGGGAGGCCGGCTGATTTGGGGTGTGCTTGGAATCGTCCCGGGCAGTGAGATCACGCCTGATCGATGTGATAGGTGGTCAGTTCCTTGTAAGTCCTTCCCGGAAAGTAGCAACCACTCACCGACAAGCTCCTCATCGCTCAAAGCCCCAGCATCTTCGTGGTTGCTGCTTCGCCCCTCTCCGCCTGTGACCATCTCCCAATCGTCAGACCCTAGGCCTGTGCCGCCACTTCCTCCTCTTGCGGAGTCCACCCTCTCCTCTCTCGGCCTCAATGTCTCGTCCCCCACTTCTCCTCCCGCAGAATCCCGAGCTTGTTGGCTCTCATGATTCTCTTCTTTGACGTCAGCCTCCTGCGACGATTCCCCAGTCAATGTGGCTTGGGCCAACCTCGATGCGAGGACGTTTTGCAGCAGCGACGACGACATCTCGTGCGGCGCTCCTCGTGCTGCTTCTCTTTCGGTACGATATCGTGAGTATAGGCTCAGTGAGGATGAAGCAAGCGCCAGTGGGGAAGTGCTGCTGCCTTTCCAAAAAAAAGATCAGCTTGTAGTCCTCGTTGGAGTCAGAAGCCGCTGCGCTGCTGGGTGGCGAGAGGTAAAGATGGAACGCAGCTAGCCTATGAGGCCGACGAGATAACTCAGCGCGCGCCCGCGCAAGAGAGAAAATTTGGAGAAAGACCGACCTCTAGAGAGAGACGCGATTTAGATTTTGCCTGCACGCAGACTAATTTTTTTTCTGGGGAAAAAGAAGAGCACAGACTCTTCCCCCTTTCGTTGTCTGTCTGACTCTCTCGAGGGCAAACAAGACGACAGATGACTCGACGGGATCGACTCCTGTTGGCAGGAGCAAACGTTCCAGCGCTGAGCAGCACAGCGACAAGAAGGCTTTTCCTTGAGAGGCTGTTTAGTGATCTTAGGTTGCCCTACTGCGTCAGTTCATGCATGCCCTCGTCTTTCGTGCTTTGGCCTCTGACCGTGACCTGCACAGCATGGCTGCTAAGTCCGCACGCAACATCTCTGTTTATGTGCCCGTGATATCGTAACTTAGCAAAGAGGCTTTCGCCCTGTCTGGAAGTGCGAGTATGTCTCACTGGTCGGCTTCCCGAAGATGAACCCCAGTGTTGACCACGGGCCAGTGTCAGGAACAGCTCACCAATGATGCGCAAATCTCGAGAATGGCAAAGGGAAATCCAAACCCGGCAAAGGCGTTTGCGCAGTCTGACAGCCCCCACCTACCTACTCCTCAGAGCTTGCTCCCGTCTCACTGGCGTTGGAATTGAGGAGGAGAGACAGCAGACTTCTTTTCGAGGCAAACAAACGTTGTCGGTAATAGCACTTCCATTTTTGGTGTCGTCATTGTTGAGGGTACCTTGTTGGTGGACCTAGGAAAAAGGTTCACAGAATAAAGAGGGTGTGAACAGGGCATGTTTTGTCGTTGGGAGAAGGAGCGGGTCTTGATTGGGCAGAATCACTCGTCCGAGCGAGTGTCTGCGAGAGAGAATTCCCCAGCCTTGGCAGCCTCGATGATGCCCTTGATCTTCTCGTAAATGGTGAACACGACGGCCTGGCCCGGGGCGACACGGGCGACACGAGGAGTGATGCCCTTCCAGAAGGCGCTGACACCCTCCTGGGCAAACATCTCCGAGGCCACCTTGACAACTCTGCTGAGCGCCGTCTCCCCCTCGACGCGCGACGCCCGTTGGATTCGGGTCTTGATCGTGTCGATGCTGGAATAGATGACCAGAGCAAGAGTGAGTAAGAGATGGGGTGCCATGATGACAAAGGAACGCAGACTCACGGAGCGTTTGAGAAGGGCCCGAGAGCGCCAGAGATGAGGCCGATAGTGGCAGTCTGATACGAGGGCAGTTCTGAGGTTTCTTGGAGCCGTTGAGCCAGCGCTTTGAGTTCTTGGTAGGCGGTAAAATTGGCAGCTGCAGGAAAAAAAAAGGGGGCTCGTCAGTGGATCACTACAAACTCCCCTCTGGAGGTTCTCAAGAACGACCGAGCAACGAACCTTGGTTAGTGGCCTGTCGCGCCGCAGTCAAAGCGACACCCCTGTAGAGCGTCAGGGGACCCTCTTCCTTGATGATAGTGTACAGAGCATGTGCCGCATTTCGGTACCTAGGCACCTCGAGCGGGTCGGCGAGCGAATGTTGTTGCGCCTGGAGGCGAATCTTGACGACCTCCATCGGGTTGACGACGGCGACTGCCTCGGTGGTGCCTGCACCCAGACCCGCAAGGAAGACGCCCTGGGGACTCGTCACGCCCGTTTGGCGGTCGGCCAGGGCGGCCTTGTAGTACTCGAAGCTCATGAAGCGAATGGCCATCTTGGGCACGATGCCCGCCACGACGGCGCCCAGACCCTTGTAGAGACCGAGCGGAGTCTCACGCCGGACGATGTAGGCGCCCGTCGCAAAGAAGCCTCGCGGCTTTTGGCCCGACTGCTTGCCTCGTCGCGAGAGCTGCATGCGCACCTTGATCGTGTCCAGCGCTATTCATTGTTTACTCATCAGCGTGGGGCCTTCCTCCACACAGTTTGGCAGTCGTTCCCACTACTCACGATGACAGGTGCATGCTTCTGCGAAGCCAGCGATACCACCAGCAATGAGGTGGGTCGAGGGAGCCACCTTTGGCTTGTTGTTGACCTTTTTGTCCGACATGGTGAATGTGGGGTGTGTTCGCGACAGAGGGGGATGGGGTGGAGTCAAGTGCTAAAGGCTGCTCTTACGATTTTGTCCTGCTCCTCAAAGGAATCCACTGCGAGGAAGGAGGATGAAGGAGAAAGAGGAGGAGATTGTGCTGATGCTATGAGAGGAAAGAGGGAGGAGGAGGAGAGAACTCGATCACTGGAAGAATGGAGGCAGAAGGAGGTCGCCCTCTGGATATATCGGGTCCGGAAATGTGGAATTGACCGGACAACAGGGAGGTCGCGCGCACAAGGGCAGACAAGCCTTTATTCTTAGCGCTGTGAAAAGAGGCGCGCCTTCCCCTTATGACAGAATTGGAATCGGATTCTTGCGGGGGCTCTGGTGGGGACGGTTTGTCACTATTTTGCGTCATGCGCGGCCATCCCGGGCGAAGCCGATTTCACGAAAGGGAAAGTGGAGAGAGGGGATTGATACCCGGAAGGGCTTCTCTATCTCAGGTGCATATCATCGATCTGATTGTGCAGGCAGTGGCCGACAGGTGTGAATGGGGAAGGGATCGTGGTCGACCCGTCTACACAACATCGTTCGAGCCAACGGTTCGCGAAAAGCACAATCGTCATGACCAACATGCAGGCATGCGCATTCAAGACCCAGCAATACCCGTTTGAAATTAAAGTATCGTCAAGAGCATCGACATTAGGCCACTGTACATGAAAAGTAGCAGGCGTGATGATGAAAGAAAGATCGAGCCAAAGGAGAAAAGAGAAAGAAAAATACAATGGGGGTGACTCTTCCGCCCGCGTAGGGGTAGTGAGAGCTTGGGGATGCCCTAAAATGCAAAGGCTTCGTCAACGCGGTCGAGGATTTGACCGTCCAGTCCTGTCGACTCTCGATTGCGCCGCTTGGCCGCCGAGGGAAGTTGAGATGGGGACTGAGGCGACCTTGTCCTACCATTCGCCTGTTGCGGCTGCTGCTGCTGCTGCTGCTGTTGCCGTTGCTGCACAGGCAGCTGAAATTGACCAGTCTCGTCCACGATGCCCAAATCAAGTGGCGAGCCGAGCTGGTGGAAATCGCTGGTGCTCTTGACTGGTGGCTGGGGAGGCCGCTGCTGCTGCTGAAGATTGACACTACGATTCTGCATGACCCTCTGAAGCTCCTTGATCATACCCGCCGGATCCCCGGCTGCCTTCTCTGCCAGGACAGTCTCCTCGGATCCTTCCCTGGCACGCTGCTCTTTGATCTGCCTAATGCGCTCCTCCCTGCTCAGCTTAGGTCGATTGCCGATCGAGGCAAAGCCGCCGTTCGCCATGCTCTCGTACACCTTCTCCATCCCAGGTGGTGGCAGGTGCTCCGGTGTGGCCTCTTGGACGAGCAACGAGGAGAGGTCCGGTTGGCCGCCATGACGTTCTTGAGACAGGGCCAGCTCCAAATAAGATGCGGGCATGCCTCGCAATGACCCTGAGGACAAGGGCTCCGACTCTTCTACGCCTTCCGAGGAGCTAGAGGGCGACTTGGAGCCTTGGCGAGCCGCCGTCCAGCTTCGCAGCGCGTCCTCTTCGGCTTCCTGGGGGGAGTAGAGCTTCGTTGTGTCGGAGTTGGCCGGGCTGATAGAGCGAGCCATCTCGGTGTCACGCAGGATCTTGGCTGCTGCTTCCCAGTACGCGCTGAGCGAGTGAAGATCCTCCTTGATGCCTTCAAAGATTCGGTTCGCCCGTTCTCGACTGGCGCTCACGCCATTTGCAACAGGCGACGCATTGCCTGGCGTCGAAGAGGCCGAGGAAGCGGAATTGTCCGTCGCGCTCATCGTTCCGTGCAGGTGCGTTGGGGGCGCGCGCAACTTGAGCTCCTCGGCGCACGCTCGCAGCTTGACCTGGACGCTGCGGAGTGCAGACGCCATGTCCTCTGTGCGCTCTTCGAACCCGGTCAGCTCGCTGGGCCCGTCAGCGGGGGGTTTGAGGAGCGCCTCGCCCGACAACGTGTTCGGCTTCCTCTTAGCTCCTTCGGTGCCTTCTTCGTGTTCACTTTCAAACATCTCCATGCGCACCTGCTTTCGCATCTCCTCGGCGAGCGACTCCAGTCTGATGGAGAGCTTCTGAATCGACTGATCGACAATGGCCCAATAATTGGACGAGCTGATCTCCCCGATCTCGCCGACGGTGATCTTACGTTTGAGCGAGTAGTCGAGGGCCAGTAGGCAGCACAAGGCCCTCTTGCGGACCAGATGTGTCGCCTCAAACGCGGCTTTGAGCGACAGCAGACGGTAAGGGTCTGCAGCAGCAGCCGACTCGTTTGGCATGCCGGCGAAGCTCAAACGCCTTCGACTTTCGAGGCTAAAACGTGCAGAGGGACTCTGGCCTTTGATGCTGCTGCTGCTGAAAAGAGCACTGCCGCTGGGCGATGATGCGCGGCTGATCTGCAATGGCGGTGGCCTCGAACCAGAGAGGGGCCTGCTCGATTTTATGCCGCTGCCTCCACCGCCAGCTGACGATGCCGAGACGTAGCTGAGTCGCTTGAGTGCGCCCGTTTCGTTGGGATTGGAGCCAGTGTTGTTACCATTGCTGACGATGGAGCTGCTGCCAGCGATGCTCGACTGTGAGTTGCGCTTCTCGCTGATGTAGCTGAGCCTGGAACTCCTTCCTGGCGTGGTCGAAGCAGTCTGATTCAGTGGCGTCGAAGCGCTGTCGAGGCTGTCGGACATGAAGCTCTCCGCCCGTCGTGAGGGTGTCTCGTTACTGATCGATCCGTCAGATCTGAGCGAGAGCCGCTTGAGGGGCGTGCCGGTTATCGAGTCATCCATCGAAATGATGCGCGATGAAGGCGAAGCACCGTGGAGAATCGAAGCTCTCTTCGAATGCGGTGTCGGCATTGTGCTAGCCCAGCTGTGGATTGAGTCCGTTCCTTGTGCTGACCAAGGCTCCGAGCGAGCCGACAGATTAGCACCAATCGTTGCTGAATCCGGTTCCAATCCTGACCCAATTTCGTACATCTCCATCAACAGTGCCATCTCCTTTTCATCGACGAGGCCTTCGAGCTCTTGAAGGGCATTTTTAAGCGCATAGTTGGCCTCCTCGAAGGAGTTGACGAGGGCCTTTCGAAGCGGCGCGAGCCGTTTGGGATCCTCTATCGACGTCAAGGGCTCTTGCGACTGTATTTGCGGTGTTTGTCCCAAGGGACTCTCCCGACCACTGGACGAGGGGATAACACCGTTGGATATTGGACGGGGCGCATGCTTCCATCCACTAGCTGCGCTCGTGCCGCTCGAAGAGGATCGCGACAGTCGAGCATTGCTTAGAGGGGTGCTCTGTGAAGGTGATGCCCACGGTGACTGTCGATTCCGCAACGGCGAGTTAAAAGCGCTCGAATTAGAAGCCTCAATGCGGGAAATGGGCGGCAGTGGGTGGGTCCTGAGCGTTGAGCACGGTGAGCATCTCTCGTATATTATTCCATCCACCAATCAAGAACAGCTACTCACAACTTGTACCCGCGTGCAACGAGCTCGACCTCCTGGATGGCAGCGATTGCCTTGTTGCACTCGACGTCGAACGACTGCGCCTGATGGATGAGGGTCGAAACGTGCCTACAGGAGCGTCCCTTGATGCGGTCGCGCACTGCGCGAGGCAAGTGCCGGTCTTCGGAGTGATCCCTGCATTGCTCGTCGTACAACCGCAGATGGCTCCCTCCTTCGGACTTGTGTGAAACGTCAAAGCCGATGACGGTGACATCCGCATGCATGTCGAAGGCGATGATGGTAGCCCACGTCAGGCTCAACATCGAGACAGCAGCCCGACACCATGCGTCAAAGGAACGGGCACGAAGGGCAAAGAAGGCAAGGGCCAGAATGGTAGCGTTGACGACGGTGGTGCCGCGCTTGGTGAGGTGAGGCAACGGCGATTTCTTGGAAGTGACGAGGCTTGAGGATGATGGCTCGACGAGGTCCGAAGCAATAGCACATGATGCTTCTCGCGGCCAAGCCACCGTTTTCGGAAGTTCGGTTTGGCCCTTCTTTGTGCCAGGTTCCTCTGCAGCAGGCCTCACATCTTCAGCGCCATACGACGAGATGGATAATGAGCTGGTCAGGAGGAAGCTAGTGCAGACGAGGTATTTGAATCGTTCGGCGAACGAGTTATCCTCTTCGTCCCTTTCCTTCATAGCCTTTGATTCGGAGGCAGCGGTGACTGTGTCGTCTGCTGATGCACGATCAGATTGTCCAAAGGGCAGAAGCATCGACAGGAGTGCCTTGCCCAGCGGCCAGAGAACGCCGTAAAAGAGGATTGCCCACGTCTTGATCAGATCCTTGAAAAAACCGTAGACGTATTGACGATATGTCTTCGGAGGCGAGATCGTGGCCGGTGGGGCCTGTTGTTTGCTACTGGGATGGCGGTCAACCTTGGCTCCAGAGAACAACGGCGCCTGATGGTCATCACCGGGTTTAGGCGCGTCCCGAGCGAGAGACATGAGCTGCGAGCTGATCGAGGAAGATTCGAGGCGGAGCATGGGTGCCATGCCGTTCAAGGAGCCCTCCCTTGAGATGGATCTCTGCCCCAACGGACTTTGTGAGCCCGGCTCTGGAGAGCGAGCGCGGATCACGATGCTGGGCCCTTCGCGCTCGCGATCGCGCTGCACCGAGACACGCCGGCTCTTTCGCTTCGATGCCGAGCTCGACCGTCCAGACCTTCGAGTTGGAACCTGATCGGTACGTGGCGAATGAGGGGCTTCGTCGTGCAGCCAGGGAGAGCCATTGGCGCCGGCGTTTGGCATCTCGGGCGAATGGGCTGCCGAATAGGCCATCTCTTCGCCGAGCGAAGGGCTTGTCAGGCCGCCGCCAACGCCCGAGGAGTTGGAGCTGGGAAAGTAACCTGCATAGAGATTCGAGATGCTTGGCGTTGGCGGGGCGCTGCTCTGGGTGACGACAAAGTCTGCCTCTCCTGCTGAGAGGTGCTTCGACTGCCTGGCCGACGTCGATGCGAGCGAGGACCTCTTGGAGCTGCTGCGCGTCGAGGAAGCAATCGACGGAGGCCGTGGCGGTGGTGACGGCATCTGCGACGTGAGGTGCGAGAGCGAGTCGGGGACGCCGTCTGAGGAAAATTTCGAGGCAGAGAAGCAGCCAAATTTCAGCCGCATGTTTGGATGAAGAAGGGAGGGGGAGAAAGGGGAACAGAAAAGAGTGGACAGAGACAGGGAAAGGGAAAGGAGAGCCGGGGGAGAAAAATGAGAGAGTGCTTAGAGAGGGATGGGATAGGGAAAGAGAAGAGGAGAGAGGGAGGAAGACACGGGATATGATCTGCGGTCTGAATCACAAAGGAGGCACATCTTTATCCTCAGGGGGAGCGCCGCTCGGGGCACCGCTCCTCGAATAAAAACCAAACTCAGATGTACTTGCTGCCACCGGATCGACTCACCTCGGGCCTCTTTGTTCGCCACCATGCCAATATGCGAAGGAGCGTCCCTGAGCCCCTCGTTCGATTGCACCGTAATTGTGTATGTGTGTGAAAAAAGGAGCTTTGAATGGAAAAGGCGAGTCCCAATACGACTCGACCTCGGTGAGTTCTTTGCCGTACGACAGTCACAGTCCCTCGCACAAGAGTTACACGATGCGCCGGCGCTCGGGCCCTCGCGGCGTGGGACAAAGCGCGGCAGAGCTCGATTGGAAAGGGGGAGAGGTAAAGGAGCGGGGCCAGCTGTCCAGCAGCGGACGCGTACGGTGAAACTCTTGACGGCCTAGCCTTTCGTCTCGTCGCTGATCGGAGGAATCTATCGCGGGCGGGCGGGCGGACAGGCGGGCGGACAGGCGGGCGGACAGGCGGGCGCCGCTGTCAGGGTATAGAGTGATGAAGAAGGGGGGAAATGGGAAGCGAAGGATGGCGACAGAGGAGACAGGGAAAGACTAATGTAGTTTCACAATTTCGGGAGAGGGCTCCTGCTGCACTAAGTACTACCGCTACCTGATTGCACCTTAAATTGAACGTTAACACGTGGCTTTCCAATTGCGCTAAGATGATGGAGGCTTTATGTCGGAGCCGTGGAAGATGGGTTGTCCAAGCAGCGACGAGGAGCAATGGCGCCGGCCCCCGCCAGCTCTCACGCGATCAGCCTGCCCAAGCAGGGGCTCCCGCTCGAGTATCTGACGCAGCTCCAGCGCCGCCTGGGCCAGCTGCTCATCTCCATCGGCGAGCTGCAGACGCACGTCTACGAGACCGTCTCGCTCGATGACTGGTTAGTTTCTCTTCCCTCGCTCTAGCTCTCTCTCTTTCTCATCGTCGCTGACTGTGACCATCAACTCGTCCAGGCCTGGTCTACTCTCGCGCCATCTCACACTCCTTTCGCAGACGCACACGCTCACCACAGCGCTCCTCTCTCCCCGCTCGGCGTCCCAAGCGCCCTCGCTCGTGGCACTCCTTACGCGTGAAGCGCAAATAACAAACCTCTACGCCGATCCCTCCTCGACAGAGACTTCCCTGGCGTCGCTTGCGCCTCTTCCCCAGACAGCTGCGCCCTCGAATCCGCTGGAGGCATCTTCGGCCGCAGCAGCCCGCCAAAAGCGCCTCGCACCGAGGACGAGCACAGGCCGCCACCACGCGCCGCACCCCGTCCAGCCCGTCGATGTCGAAAAGTCAAACACACTCGTGCCGGCGCTGCTGCTCGCAAAGGCCGCACCCGCCGTCGATGACCAGGTTGAGGCGCGGCTGGCGGCCTTCATTAGCGAGGCCGACGCAGCCGAAGGAGCGAATGCATCAACGATGCCTGCAATCCGGTGGAGGAGCAGGATCTCGAGGGCACGGCACAAGACGGTAAAGCACGACGACTTTGCCGGGCAGATGACCAGGCTCTGGATCCATTGCAGAGAGGCACCCGATGAGTACGGCGAAAAATACGACTGGAACATGCGTTTGAGCCTGGAAGAGTCCGACGACGAGGCAGACGAAGGCGAGGGAGAGGACAACGAAGGCGAAGACATTGGTGTTGAGGCAGAGTCAGAGAAGAGGAAGAGGAAGCGGGAGGACGAAGACGAGAACGGAAAGAGGGAGGATCCGCTGTCCGTTGACCAGGTTCTGTCCTTTCTCAAGACCGGCACGAGAGCATAGAGCGAGCATCTGTATTTGTATTCGTGCAATAGTTTCATCAGAGTCGTTGCTAAATGGGACAATCCCTTCCGAGGGAAAGAAAAGATGGAAAGGTCTACCGTGAACTCTGTGTAGGGAAGACGAAGCAGCACGGAGGGGAAATGATGCAAAGAAGACGAAAGAAGAAGAAGCAAGGAGTCCTAATGCGATGGTAGATTATTGTCCGGCGTGAAGACCCTGCATCCTGACGAGGTCAGCATAGAGCTGGCCACTGGCCATGAGGCTGGCGTGGTCGCCCCTCTCCGACACGACGCCGTCCTTGAGACAAAATATCTCGTCTGCTCTCGACACGGTGCTGAGACGATGCGCGATGGCGATGGTCGTCCGGCCCTTTGCCGCCTTGTCAAGCGCCTCCTGGACAACATGCTCAGATTGGCTGTCGAGGGCCGATGTCGCCTCATCCAGGAGCAAGATCTTGGGGTCTCGGACAAGCGCCCGGGCAATGGCGATACGCTGCTTCTGGCCGCCCGAAAGCTGCGCGCCCTTGCTGCCGACGTGCGTATCGAAGCCATCGGGGAGTCCCTCGACAAAAGACAAGATGTTTGCCTGGCGAGCGGCTCTGATGAGCTGCTGCTCCGTCACCCTCTCCGCATCCTCGAACGCGCCCAGGGCGATATTCCATCCAATAGTGCCGTCATACAATGTCGGCTCCTGTGCGACAAGGGCAATGTGCCTCCTGAGCGACTTAACGTTGTATTCTCGGATGTCGCGCCCATCGATGAGGACTTGTCCGGCCATGACATCGTAGAAGCGCTCAATCAGCTGGATCGTCGTGCTTTTGCCGCAGCCACTCCCGCCCACCAGCGCAACAAATGTGCCCGGCTCCACCTTGAAGTCAAGGCCGCGAAGCACAGGGACAGAGGGTCGAGTCGGGTATCGGAAGTGGACACCCCGGAGCTCGACATGGCCCTCGCAGTCGTTCATGATGATTCCCTCTTCGCTCTCGGCATCAATGTCGGGGACGCTGTCCAACAGCTTGATCGACTCGTTGGCCGCTCCGTGAGCTTGCGAGACGTCAGGAGCAAAGCTGAAAGCATTGCCAGCCTGCAGCGATGCAAAGACGGTGGCAGTGAGGACGGTGAAGAAGTGACCGCTAGCTTTTTGACCGCTGCCAAGGTGACCGTCGAGAAGCAGATTACTGCCGTACCAGAATCCCAGAGCAATGGTCGGAAATGCAAGCGCCTGAGAGACAGCATACAGGATGTTGCCGTAGAATGCCGTCTTCCAAACGATGCGCGCAGGCTTGTCGAGGGCCTGGCGGTAGCTCGCCAAGCAATCATCTTCCCTGCAGAGGGACGCCACCGTCCTGATAGACGACGCAGCTTCACAGGCGCGCATGGCCGCGCCTTCATGGGCCTTCTTGACCTTCTCATCCCTCAGAACGACGAGCTTGAGGCGAACGTAGCCGGCCGAGAGCGTCAGAGGTGACGTGGCAATGAGAGGCAAGGCCAAGCGCCAACCGTACGCCAGTGCGATGATCCAGCCGATAAGCAGGGTGCTCAAGCTTTGGATAAGCGTACCCATCGTTACGCCCACGAGGCCGTTGATCTTCTGGCTGTTGTCAGCCAAACTGGCGGTCAGTGAACCGCTGCTGTTCCCGTCGCGGTCGAAGAATGATACGTCGGATCGCAAGAGAGCCTTCAGAGATGCCCTTCGAAGTCGTTCCATCAAAATTGATGCCGCCAGGACGAGGAAACCGTTCTGAATGATGATAACGACGGTAGCGACGAGCGACATGATGAAGAAATAGAGGGCGTCGGTGTTGCTCGACGACCTCATCTGGCTTCGCGCAGGCTCGGGACAACCACCTTCTTCTTCGGCACTGCAGAGTGAGTAGGTATTGAGGACGATGCCGAAGAGGATCGAGAAGACAGGATAGACGGCACCAGATCCGACGGCACAAATGACTCCCGGCACGTACAACGTCCATATCTTGTCCTTGTTGATGAGGGCGAGGCGATAGAGGAGGTAAAAGAGCGATCGACGCTTGCCCGTCTGCCCCTTCTCCAGGTCTTCGCCTCGCTTAGCGAGCATGCTCGTGACGCTCTTTTTCGACAGCATCCGGCTCATTCCCGCCGGCATCTCGGCCTTCTCTCCTTTCAGAGACGCAACCTTGTCCAGGGTGCCGCCCATCGAGGTCAACTTCTCTTCGTCCAACTCGTCATCTACAACGGTATCAATCACGTCCCTGCCTCGAATCTCTTGGGCATGTACGAGGCCGGCGTACGCCCCGTCGGGCTTCGCTAGCAGCTCGTTGTGGGTGCCTTGCTCGAGGATGATGCCCTTTCCCATGACGACGATCTTGTCTGCATTCTTAATCGTCGACAAGCGATGGGCGATAGTGATTGTCGTCCGCCCTTGGGCAGCCTTGTCGAGTGCTTCCTGCACCACGCCCTCGCTCTGTGTATCGAGGGCTGACGTGGCCTCGTCAAGCAGGAGAATAGTAGGCGAGCCCACGATCGCACGAGCGATGGCGATGCGCTGCTTTTGTCCACCCGAAAGCAGAAAGCCACGCTCGCCAACAATGGTCTGGTATGAATCGGGAAGCTGCTCAATGAACGTCTTTGCGTTGGCTTTCTCGGCAGCCGCCACAATGAGTGCCATGCGCTCCTCGGGCGAAGCGTGCTCGTGCTTGGTGTAGAGGAGACCATGGCCAATATTCTCAGCAATCGTGCTGGAAAACAAGACCGGCTCCTGAGCGACGAAACCGATCTGCGAACGAAGCCACTTGATGTTGAGATCGCGGACGTCGACATTGTCGAGGAGGACGTGCCCCTCCGAGGCATCGTAATATCTTTCGAGCAGAGAGACTATTGTACTCTTGCCCGATCCACTTGCACCAACTAGGGCCGTGGTCTTGCCCGCCTCAATAGTCAGACTTAGGTCTCGGATGACGTCGATATTGGGCCGTGAAGGGTAGCGGAAACCGACGTTTCGCAGCTCGACGTGGCCGGTGCAGGTCTCGGGCTGCTTCCCGGAAGGGTCCGAAGAGTCGATGGGAGGAACGCGATCGATCGTCTCAAAGACTTTTGCGGCGGCCGACGTCGCGTAGCTGTAGGCCGTCATGTTGGGCGCCAGCATGGCAAGAGAGAAGGCACCGATGAAAATGGAAAAGACGACAGTCATGACCGTTCCACTTGGAATCTCTCCACTGGCGATGAGCTTGGAGCCAAAATAAAAGGCGAGGGCGTACGATGCGTAGATGACAAAGAAAAAGATGCCGAGGCCGATGCCGTGGACGACGGCCTTGCGCTTGCCGAGCGACGTCGTCTCGCGGTTGCTCTCGTCGTAGAGGTCAACGAGCTTGTTCTCGATGCCAAACGCCTTTGCCGTGCGTACCGTACTCATGGCTTCCTCTGCAATGGTGGCTGCCTGAGCCACGTAGAGGAGCTCGACACGCTGATAGCGTGTGATGAGGACATTCATGGCTGCGCCTGCCAGGACGACGCAGGGCAAGATCGATGACATGGCCAGGGAAAGCTTCCACGACTTGATGTAGGCGACGATGAAGCCGGCGATGAACGTCGCAATGAACATGACCGATATCGGCAGCTTGTCACTGATACCCTCTTGGATCAACTGAATATCGCTCTGGATTCGCGTCGTCACCTCGCCAGCGCCGACGAGATCAAAGTATGCAATGTCTTGCCTGAGGACAGACTTGAGATAGGCCTGACGGATCCTTCGCGTGATGACCTCGCCGGTGAAGACCCAACTGGCCATGTAGATGTAAGTCGCACCGAACATTGCAATGCCAATGTAGACTGTGGTGTGTCCTTGAAAATGAGCGCATGTAGTGGCAAAAGTGAAGTCAGATGGGGCAATCGAAGCTCACCGAGGAGAAGGGCATTGTGCGCGATGGTGTGTTTGAGATGCGCCTTGGCTTGCTCAGCGTCAATGCCGGCGGTGATGTCGTGCTGGTAGTTGAGGAATTCGGTGGTGAGAGATCCAAAGACAATGGTCATCAGAGGCTGTGCAGCACCCGCAGCCGCGGCGGCGACGAGGCCGACAATGTTGAGGACCAGATCGAACTTCGTCGCAAATCGAAACAGCTCCCGTGGGCCGACCTTGACAAACTTGTCAATGTCAGACGATGTACCATCGTCGCTGAGATCAACGACGGCGGGATCACCATTGTCCTCTGCGCCGCCGCCATCGCTCCTGCTATGCTTTTCGTCCGAGGTATTAGCGGCTGAGCTGCTGGGCGAAGCTCCTCGCACGGCATCCAACTGATGCATGTTGCTTCCAGCAGTCTGATCCACAGTTGCACTTGTTGTTGGGCCACCTTCAGTTCTTCTCGCTCCTCCTAGGACAGTATTTGTGCCACCAGCGGCGAGGGCGGCCGCTGCAGCCGGCCGGCCGGCATCGGTTGAAGCGATGGCGTCGACGTCGCCACCCCTGACGACGTCAGCCTCTGGTCTTTCCTCGCGGTCTTTCTCTACCGGCATTGTCGCGCATCCATCGGGAACGAGGAGGTCGAAGGGAGACGACTCCTATAAAAAGGAGCAAAATGGACACCGGCAAACAGGTCAAGATGGACAAGGAGTTCTGGCCTTTGCTTGGCGTGTCGCGCAGAAAAATCCGACTTTATCAATCTTTTCCTTTAATCGGAACATCAACGTATCGCGCGCCTTCCGGTCGGAATTGGCCCTCAGATGAGCTCCTCACCTGTCTGCACTTGACCTTTTTCACTTTGTTTGGCCCTACCCCACAGTGACTCGGTTGCGATACGCTGAGAAGCTTAAAGTGGCACTGAGCCCAGGAGCCCAAACAGAAAGGAACACCAGCGTCGAGCGGGTTTCAACGTTCGCTCAGCGCACTTTGTTTTATTTTATTTTCCTGGCTCAACTCCGCGGAACAAGAGGCCGCCCACCCTTTCCGAAAGCTTTGCTCCGATTCATGTTAAACTCAGTCAGGTCGGCTTGACCCCTTTCTCCTTCCATGTGCGCCACCATTGATCACTTTTCCTCGTCCCTAGCGATCTTGCGTCTCTTTGCAAGTTTGCGCCAGGTTTTGTCCTGCGCTCGGTCACTGCGCTGAACGAGATGAATTGATGGGTCTTCTCTCTTCCGTCGCTGACACGTATGGTAGGGGAGGTTGCAACATCGCCAATTTGTCGAGAAGTCGCGACTGAAGAGCTCGTGGACTTGCCATGCACTAATGGAGGCTCAGAATAAGATCGGATGTGACCGCTCTCAGTTCGTGAAGATGGTAGCGATCTAGACGAAGGACGATCTCAACCAGAAATTGATGGGACATCGGTCACGTTGACCGAATTTTCCTCGGGGTGGGGAGGGGGCAGCGGAGCGAGCAGGCACATGTTCAAGGTGCGGATGTCTGCAGTAGGTTGGACAAGCAGTGACCTGTGCAAGGACAAGGAAGCGCTTATTCCGCACTATGGCGCCGTCTAGAACATCGCCTTGGCCATTTCTCCCACCTTGTCAAGGGAGGGAGAGCATCACGTCTACACTTCCCCTTCCAACCAGGGCCGCCAGCTTCTCAGGCACTCGACAGCAGCACTGAAGATCTTGCGAATGAGTTGAAGAGAAGGTGATCACTTGCGCGAGAGCAGGGTGGAGTCTTGTCGAGCAAGGGCTTCCACGGATGTCGTCCGCAGGCCGTGACGAGTTCTGCCGCCCGAGGCTTAAAAAAAAAAGTCGGCCGAGGACGCTTAAAGCTTAGGGTGCCGCGACACCCTGTTCAAGGAATCGTCGCAATCGATAGAGAGACTTCGTCTACCTTGCTATTTCGGAAGAGCGACTACACGACTTATCTTTGTCGGTCGATCGGCTCAGGTAGCTGGGACGACTGTGACGAAAAAGGATCCGACCAGCTAGGCGGCCATCATCAGGACGAAAGGAGGGCTTTTGCATCTGGTGTCGGACAGGATCAAATGAACAGTTGATACGACGTCGTGTCTCTCTTCCTCTCTCGTCTCTCGTCTCTCCTTCCCCCTTCGTCGGCCATCTTTGTTTCTCGCCTGCCTACAACTCTTCCATCTGTTTCGGCCTGCCACACATACATAGACGACGCGAGCAACACACCACCAAAAACACCACCAGGACCAACGAACGGCCATTCTTGCAATACCTGCTCTCTTCAGTGACACTGTTGTATCTGCTTCCGTTCACACCCCTTTCTATTTCTCTCCATCTACATCCTCGGTATCGGTCCCAACACGTATCACGGCATCTACATCATCAGGCTCCAAGAAGCTGTCCTACATAGCTAGGCTGACCTGTAAGTCATCACCTCCTCTTCGTGTCTTCCCCTTCCTAGCGCACCTAACGTCGATGCCACAGATTGAAACAGCATCTCTCCTCATGTTTGTGAGTCAAATGTCTGCTCAGTGTTGAAAAGCGATACTCACCTCCTTTGACAGTGGCGCTTTGGCTTCTCGAACACGTCGTCGCTGGATACGCTCCTTGACCGGCCCAATGTGTCGCTCGAAGAGATCCTTGATGAAGACGATGTGCTGCAGGAGTACAAGGCACAAAACAACAAGCTTATCAACTATCTGAAGCAGCCCAGGATCCTCAAACGCCTGTTTGAACATGTCGTCGGCACCGCAGAGGTCGGCGGATCGGGAGGAAGAGATTGGGAAGAAAAGGTCCGGTTCAAGTACCCCTATCTCTGCTCCGAACTCCTTTCGTCGGACAATTGGGCAATCGTTGAAGCAGCCCTGGCAGACAGCGAGGAACTCCTAGAACCCTTCTGGGATGCTGTTCTGACATCAAGATCGACGGGTAACCAGCCCTCGGTGCCTCATCACATGCATCCTCTCTTCAGCCAAGAGTCCGCCTCAGCGTCGCAGCCGCCTGGCGGTTTCGAGGTCAAGCAGGACCAGGACGAAGGAGACGGGCAAGATGAGCAGCGGCAAGAGGGCGATGAGGAGGAGAGCGAGAGCTCCAATGCTGGCGTGTTGGGCATAGAGGTTAAGAACGAGAAGAACGACGATCGCCGAGTCACGAGCGCAAGGCAGGACGGCCCGGGCAGGAGCGTCTTGGCGGGCTATTGGGCAAAGGTCAACGGGGCTTTTCTCGAGAAGAAGCCCAGAGAGGTGCGTGATGATTTCTTATACCTATGTGCACGCCTTCTCACTCGGCCCTCTCCGCACCCCAGATGCTCGCATTCATTCGAGGGCTCCCCCGAATCGTTGACCGCTTCGTCGCCCACCTCGAAACGCCCGCTGTCGTAGACCTACTGTACCGCGTGATTCAGTGCGAGGAGGCGGTTCCCAACGCCGGCATCGTTGACTGGCTTTCCGGTCAGGATCTCATAATCAAAGTGGTGGACCTCCTTTCCCCCAGCCACTCGACAGACCTTCACAACACCGTCTCGGAGCTGCTTAAAGCCATCATCGCCCTTTCTGCGCCTTCGCCTGCCACGCTCACCCAAGCGCAAGCCGGCGCCGAGGCTTTCGGCTTTGGAGGCGGATCGGGAACAGGCTCGGACGCTAACATCGGGGGTGTCAACAATCGCCTTGTTCGTGAGCTCGCCAGCGAGGCGACAGTCCGCAAGATGGTGTCATTCATGCTTGACGCTTCCTTGCCTTCTCGGCTGACGAGACGGCTATCAGAGGCGGCCGACGAACAGCTGGCTACGCTGTCGCTCGGTTCGCTCCCCGATCGAGCTGAAGCCTCGACGTTCCGCAAGCCTTCCAGGGTCGCTGCGCGGAATGCCACGCTAGGTGCGCTGACTGAAAACGCTGCCAGCAGCGGTAGCGAAGAGTCGGCTGTCGAAGATGAAGAAGACGACGACGAATCATTGCTCAAGTCGCCACCATCTCGGACGCCTCTCAATCCGCGCGACACGCCTGCCAGCGAATCTCGTTCACCGGCGAGCCACGATCATCGAGACTCGACGGCAACGATCCGTCCGACGAACTTCTTCCCAAGCGTCAAGGCGCCGCAGATCTCTGTCACACCGGAGAGCTGCACCTCGTCGTTGGTGACCTGCATTGGAGTGCTCATCGAGCTGATTCGTAAAAACAACTCCGACTACTTTGAGCAGCACCTCTTCCACACTCTGCGAACCCATCTCCTACAGCGTCAACAAGAGATTGCAGAGAAGCGAGCCATGAAGCGGGCAGAAGAGAAGGAGGCTTCTGCGACAGGGGCTGGTGATGAGAGCGGAGCAGCGGCTAATAGCAACGACGACCGAGATGAAGAGGAAGAAGAGATGGAGGGCATGGAGGAGGCCATGGCTGAATTATCGGACAAGCTTGGTGTCGTGCATCTCGGCCCGATGCTGCGCGTCGTGTGCGAGCGTCTGCCCGATCTCCAGCAGCTGATTCATCGACCGAGGACGACGGACGGCGAGCTCAAAAACAGCTTGGGGGTCATCTCTGCCCTTACGTTTGAGCGCTACCGCATCACCGAGCTGTATGCAGAGCTCTTGCACTGTTCCAACATGGCGTTGCTCAACCGTGCCACGGGAGAAGGGCCACAATATTCGAGCGAAGGCGCGCTACAGGGCGGCATCGAGGGCCTCCAAATTCTTGCACGGACGCTCCAGGGTAATGATGCGGCTTCTGAGTCGGACGAGAACGAGGACGAGAGCCGTAGGAGTCGAGAAGTGACTGCAAGATTAGACGACGTTGAAGGCGAGGCAAATGCGGAAGAGTCCACTGAGCAAGCGCAGACAGCGGTGCAGAATGACGCAGTCTCTCAACAAATGCTGCAAGAGCCCCCACGAACATCTAGAAATTCTTCAAAGGACTCGAGGCATCGGCGTGAGGCTTCTTCGACCCAGCAATCGAGCTCGTCACAGGACGAGAACGATGATGAGGCCCTGCTCAGTGAAGTGTCGCTGGGCAATGGTGCTGGCGGAGCTCAAACCGAGGAAGCCAAGGAGAAGCAAGATCCCTTCAAGGATGAGGGGGGAAATGGCGGTGGCAACAAGGACGAGGATGATGCTCAGAGCATCCGATCTGTTCTCTCCAGCTTGTCGCTGGCCGACCTCACGTCGCCGGCACCTTCGGGCCCACCCTCGCCCATTGATGATTCGAAGGAATATGTTGTGGGCGACCTGCTCAAAAAGCGATTCTTGCAGTGCGACGTCATCCCCACGATCTTGGAGATGTTCTTCGAATATCCGTGGAACAACTTCCTTCATAACGTCGTCTATGACATTCTTCAGCAATTTTTCAACGGACGTATGGATGCAGGCCTCAATCGACGTTTGACGCTGGCTGTCTTCGAGGCCGGAAGGCTGACTGACAAAATTCTCGAAGGCCACAAACGTAACGATGAAAGCATGAAGGGGCCCAGGCGCATCCGGATGGGCTACATGGGGCATATGAATCTCATCGCCGAGGAGACGGTCAAGCTTCTCGAGAGGTACCCTCACGAGATAGGCAACCACATTCGCTCCAACATTCACCAGCCCGAGTGGGACCAATTCGTCAACGAGAGTCTTCGCGAGAGCAGAGAGAGGGAGGCAGCCCCGCTCGCTGGTGGAAGGCCTCAGATGGGTCACGGCCTCTTGTCCTTTAGCGGACTTGGCGGCGGTGCCGCTGCGGCTGGCGTAGCGCAGCAAATGCAACAGGAAGCATCGCTCGAGGAACAGGAGTCCGCCATGTCGGGCCGTGACGCAAATCATTTCGCGAGCTACCTCTCGTCTCAGATGGGCGCTGCTGGGAGGGGCAATGGACGGGAGGGAGGTTCCAGTGCCGGCGAAGACGAGGGTGATGATGATGATGACGACGAAGCGGACTCGTCTGGAGACGACGACGATATCGGTTTCTTCAGCAATCGTCACCCTGGGCCACCCAAGGATATTTCCTCGGACACAGGTGCAGCATCGGCATCATCTGGCTTTGACGATACCTTCACGCCCTCATCTCACGTCCCCGGTCAAGGCCACCAGATCGACGTGGACGACGACGATGACGATGACGAATGGGGGCCATTTTCGGACGGGTTCGCTGCCACACCATCGTCAAATGCTCCCGCTCCTCACGAGGAAGTGTCCAGCAGCGCGGACGCATACATCTGGCCATCTGACTCCCACCCGGATAAGCCTCCTTCTGAGCCTTACGAAGAGGCAGTCGTAGACGATGAAGAAGAGGAAGACGAAAGTAAATCGCCACTCGATGGTCTGGAAGGTGTGCCAGACGGTGCCGATGTGATTCGGGCTGCACACGCCAAGAGACCTTCCCTCGGACAGCATGAGGCGCCAAAAGCCGCGCTATCACTATTAAACGAGGACCTTCGCCGCAAGAGAAGCGCTTCGCAGAGCGGTCGAGACGGACCTGGCGAGGGTACTGGATCGACGCTTGCAGCCGCTGCCTCTTCTGCTGCAACGAGTGCATCTGTCGCTCCGGTATCTTCTTCGCCCCCGGGAGCGGGTTTCGCCGTTGACTCACAAGAACCGCTTGGGCCAGGCGTCTCGCCACACGCCGGAATTGCGCCAGATGGACTCGTCGAACGGGATCTGGGCGATGGCACGAAAGTTGTAGTGCCTCTGGACGATGTCGCGTTGGCCGCCGCTGCAAGTGGTTCTTCGGCGACGACAACAGACGATCAAGAGCAGAGCGAGGGACAGAAGCAAGAGGATCTATGAGCAGCAATAGTGGAAGCTGTCGCTTGATGTCTTGTTGTCACCTCTTTCAACAATTTATTCATCTTATCTCCTTGTCTTTCTCATTACTGCCATCAGCCAGCGTGCCAGAGATATTCCTCATCTAACGTCCTTCACATTGTGACGTCCTCGCTCTCAGCATAATAGTCGTCATAAGGTCATGGGTTTTCAGTGGATGGAAGAATCGGAAGTGTCAAATTGAATGATGAATTGAGTCCGCGTGAGAACCGGAGATTGTCTATGGAACATGAATGGAAGTGATAAAGATACAGCAAGAATGGAAATGGGAAAGTAGAGATACAGCAGAGGGAAAGAGAAGTTTGTGTGATGGTCATCTCGAGTGTGGTAAGGTATCGGCAGCTTGTCAGGGAAGGACAGTCTAGGAAGCTTGGACATTGCGCGATCGCTGGTGCCCAATGAGGCGACCATTGCTGCTGCTGCTGCCGGTCGTGGACGTGCCTGATGAAGATGAAGACGAAGGTGGTGCCATGAAGGCCGCCATGGGCGCATGCGAAGGCTGATACTGGACGACTCTCTTCGCGCGTGTCTGATGAGATGATGGTGGGCTCAGGGGCTCACCACGTCGGTAAGCCAATGCCGAGGAGGTTCGCAGGAAATTGTCTTCTTCTTCCTCATCCTCGTGTTGTCTGTCGTCTCTCTCATCGTCAGTGGATCCATCAAAGATAACAGCGCGGCCACCATCCGACCCGTGTTTCTCATGCTGTCGAGTGCCTGTTCGCATCCCGCCGCTGGACGACGACGTGGTTGAGGAGGAGCGCGACGGCAACGAATACAGAGATGGATGGATGAGCGTCGCGCCACTGGGACTTGGACTGACAACATCCTTGGCGCTTGGGACCGAGCTCGACGACGAAGAGGAAGTAGAGGTTGAGGAAGAAAAGGACGGCGTAGCCGCGTGAGCAGCCTTGGAATGCTTTGAGGCCATCGATTGCTTCTGCTTGATGCTGGTGAAGAAGCGGTTCGAAGCTTTGATGGTCCCATCGTTCTGCATCTCCTCGAGGTCCTGCCTCTGGTCTTGCGGACGATGTTGACGGGACAAGATTTCCCCTCCGGGGCGAACGGGCGTCTGAGGAATCTTTCTTATTACCTTAGAGTGCTGATCGGCGCGAGGAGTGCCTTGCGAGATGGTTTCGTCGTTGTCGGGATTCCATTCCATCGCACCGTATTGATACTGGCTCTGGCGATGGTAGCCTGTTGGTGACGACGAAGACGATGAGACGTAGTGCAGCGGCGAGAGCTCGGACGATCCATTCCTGGAGGTGGGTGTCTGCGGAACAGAGGACATGTCAGACGACTCTTCGGACGTCGCCGATGCTGAGCTGATCGAGCCACGAGATTCATGAGGCAGCTGCGAGCGGCCAGTGAATGGCTGTTGCAGACCGGTCGATGAGGCACTTCGCAGCGATTGGTACGAGGGAGACTGCTGCTGCAGTGCTCGAATGGTGGCTGCTGGACCGCTGGCAGCGCGCCCGTTGGTGACAGACCGAGAAGAGACGGCAGGAGGTCTGTAGTGGTCTTCGCTGGCAGTTCGTCCCATGGCGATGGGACGACTTTGGTAACTAGAAATCATTGAGCGTCCACTGTCCGAAGAATTGTCGCTTGGAGACGAAGCGACATTGTTATACGGCAGCGTTCGATTGTTGTCTTGCGCCCACTTTGGCAAATTTGGTAGAGGCATTCGGTCACTCTGGCTGAGATACGGCTGCTGTCGCTGCTGTCGTTCTAGGATTGAGCTGACGAGGCCGTCTGATACCGCCAAACCATCTGTGCCAACATTCTCCGCTGTAGCGACGCCCGTCTGTGAAAAGACGCTGGCATTGGTCGCGTCTTCCCTTTCCTTCTTACGATCGCGCAAAGCCCCTTCGCTTCTCCTGGTCTTGAGCACTGGTCTTTGCTGCTTTGTCGATGGCGCGTTCTTCTTGACAGCCTGATGAGACCGGTGCTGTTGTTGGGCAAAGGGTGCATGGAATTGAATGACATCCGAAGCCTTCGGTGTCCTTTCCGAAAAACGCAACGATGACGATGGCGTCGACTTTGCCTTGCCGTTAGCGGGTGGAAGAGGGTTGATAAAAGAACTGAAGTCGAGAAAGTGTGCTTTGGCAGCTGCAGAATGTCGCTGTTCCTCCTGCTCGCCCTCCTCTTCGTTGAGGCCTGATAATGTTTGGCTACCAGCCCGACGTCGAAAGATCTGTTTTCGCCGCTCGTTGTCGTGATGGTGCTCGCTGGAAGGATGCCTTCCACCGTCCATCTCGATCGTCTGGGATAAAGAGCGAAAGTAGTTGTCGAGCTTCTCCTGTCTGCGCCGCATGTCAGGCGCCGGCCCATCGACACCGTTATCATACTGCCAGGCCTGACGATCAAAGTTGCTCGTGTGCTTGCAGCCGAATGCTTCAGAATCGAAGTCGCTCTCATCGTCATGCGCGCTTTGATGATATTCGTGATCATTCTGAAGTTTTGACGAGACTCCCTTGCTACGCGATTGTCGGACACCGGACGCAGCATATGCCGATGGCGAGATTGGAGGATGGTTTGGCGTGCTGCTCCTGGGGGGTGCACGGTTGGACTCTGATGAATCGAGACGCGCCATTGGTGTGTGTGTGAAGTAACCATCAGAAGAAGCTGACCCAGGTGCATTGCCTTTGGATCCACGGTGTGACTCAGACGAGTCACGACGTAGCATGAAGTTGAAATGCGCCCCATCTGTTGGCGTTGCGAGCGCAGGCGACGATACCTGCCGTCATGCGAGTGATGAGCGGACTGACAACAAGTCAATAGACAGCATCGCAACCTACTGCAGAGGACGTAATCGATGAAGGTGCGTTTCCCCTATATTGCGAAGGATTCCCGAGACGTTGCTTCTTTTCCTCCTGAGAACCGGGAACCGTCACCATCGGTGGTGGCGCATTGGTCCGGCTCATCGCTGGTCGGAGTGGTCCCTGAGACATTTCTCACTGAATATAGCGTCTGTAGGACGAGCAAGGTGTGGGGAGTTGACCAGAGAGACCGACAAGAGGGCGCTGCTTGTCGATCGAGACCCGCTCTTGACCTCTCGCTCTCTCCAACCTCTGCTCGCTACTCCGCTTGCACTCTCACCCTGGGGTGGGCCTTGCTTTTCTGAGCGTCCCGTCTCTCGGTGTAGTGAAGGTAAGAAGCAGGACAGGGGTCAGATATCCCAAAGGAGGGCATGAGAGAAAGCAGCCGATTGACAAAAATCTCCTTTGGTGCATACATCATCGAGCTACAGGTGAAAATGTCCGTGCCTTGCTAGGTAATAAAGAAGTGTGAGGACTTGTTTACTATCACAGCGTTCATACACTGGACCACAAGAGTAATAATTGTTACCCGACAAGAGGTAGCATTGTAGCGGTGTTGTTGTCTGGAGAGGCAGGCGCGCCACCAAAGAAGAAGCGTTCCCGCTCGCCAGGGAAAAAAACCCCGTCAGGCAGGGTCCTCCAAGGAGGCGTAAGGGGTTTCAAGCCCCCTGGCGTCTTCGTTTTGTCACGTGAAGAGTCTGTCCAGATCGAGATCGGCCAAGGCCACCAACTTCAGCTTTCGGGCCTAAGTTCATATAGCATGTGAGATCGTTGCAGCTCCCACCGCCAGTCACAAACAGCTTCCCTATGTGGTCTTTGACCAGGTGTCAGCTTGAGGCTCGAACGTGGGCGCAATCTTAGTGTCTGATCCGGGGGCAAGCCGTTAGTGCAGCGCAAAATAAAGCGACAAGTCCGATGAAACGGACCAAGCGGTCGATTGAAGCAACGTCACGCCACGTGGCCGGCTATAGCGGGTCGTGCCCGGGATCGATGCACTCTGAAAGCGCATGCCCAGGCGCGATTTCTCCACTTCGAAAACTGAAGGCCTGTGGGTTGTCGGTCACCAGGGCTAATCTCGCTGGCCCTCCTCCGCATCTTTCCTCCTGGACGATATAAGAAGATTTACATCCACACGTCTTCCTCTTCTTTTACCACGTAGTCCTCCATCCACAGCACCGAGAAACAAATCGCAATGTCTGGCGTCGACGGAGTTCGCATTCTTGGTGAGTTACCACCGCCCCGGCGTTCCGGCTTCGGCTAGCCGATGCTGACCTCATTCACTTCCCATTGGACTTTTTGTGATCTCGCTCGAAAGGCCGCATTGAAGGCGAGCACGCCAAGATCCTCACGCCCGAGGCGTGCCGCTTCCTGGCGCTGCTCCACCGTAGCTTCGACTCTACCCGGCAGAAGCTGCTCAACAACCGAGCTCTGCGCCAGGCCCAATTTGACGGCGGCGCCCTGCCCGACTTCCTGCCTCAGACTCGGCACATTCGCGAGAATGCGACGTGGAAGGCTGCCCCTCCGGCGCCCGGCCTCCGTGACCGCCGTGTCGAGATCACGGGCCCCGTCGACAAGAAGATGGTCATCAACGCCCTCAACTCGGGTGCATACACCTACATGGCCGACTTTGAGGACTCCAACTGCCCCACCTGGGCCAACAACCTCGACGGTCAGGTCAACATGAATGCCGCCATCACGCGCACCATTGACTTTACCCAAAAGGACACGGGCAAGTCGTACAAGCTCAAGCCTCTCGGCCAGACGGCCACGCTCATTGTCCGGCCCCGTGGCTGGCACCTCGACGAAGCCCACTTCCTCGTCGACGGCAAGCCCATCTCGGGCGGTCTCTTTGACTTTGGTCTCTACTTCTTCCACAACGCCCACGAGCTCGTCAAGACGGGCTACGGCCCGTACTTTTACCTGCCCAAGATGGAGTCGCACCTCGAGGCTCGCCTCTGGAACGATGTCTTCAACTTGTCGCAGGACTACATCAAGATGCCCCGCGGCACCATCCGAGGCACCGTCCTCATCGAGACAATCACGGCCGTCTTTGAGATGGACGAGATCATCTACGAGCTCCGTGACCACTCGTCGGGCCTCAACTGCGGCCGATGGGACTACATCTTCAGCTTCATCAAGAGGCAGCGCTACCACCGCGGCGCCATCCTTCCCGACCGCGCAGACGTGACCATGACGGTGCCCTTCATGAACTCGTACGTGGACCTGCTCATCCAGACGTGCCACAAGCGTGGTGTCGCTGCCATTGGTGGTATGGCCGCCCAGATTCCCATCAAGAACGACGAGAAGGCCAACGCGGCTGCCATGGACAAGGTCAGGGCCGACAAGCAGCGCGAGGTCAGCAAGGGCCACGACGGCACCTGGGTCGCCCACCCGGGCCTGGTGCCCATCGCCCTCGAAATCTTCAACAAGGGCATGCTGGGACCGAACCAGTACTTTGTCCGCCGCGAGGAGGTCCGCGTCTCTGCCCTCGACCTGCTCAACTCGGCTGTGCCGGGCAAAATCACCGATGCGGGCGCGCGCGCCAATGTTGGTGCGCTCCTGGGCTACTGCGCAAACTGGCTCAACGGTGTTGGCTGTGTGCCGATTGCCAACGCAATGGAGGACGCAGCCACGGGCGAGATCTCGCGCCTGCTCCTTTGGCAGTGGATCTACCACGGCCAAAAGACGGCCGAGGGCACCGCCGTCACGGCCGAGTTCATCGACCGGCTCCTCGACGAGGAAGGCGCCAAGCTGAGCAAGTTGGGGAGCCGCGCCGTCGACACGGCAAAGCGCTTCATCCGCGAGGACATCCGCAAGAAGGCTCCCGCCGAATTCCTCACTTCGGAGCTCTACAACCACCTTCCTCACGACCACGCTCCCGCCCGCATCTGAGCAGCGGCGCATTTGTAAAGTGAGGAAGAAGAGGAAAAAAAAGAGGGAAAATCCAGTCTGCTCTCCTCCAAATCTCATATCGGCTTTGCTTTGTTCCTGTCTCTCTCCCTTTTGGGGGCCCTCTCCCATATTAATTTGACTTGCCTGGGATGTCCATTTTTGTGGCTGGTCTAGTCAGCTCTTGTCCAGAATGATGATGTGTTTTGATTTCGATTCTTGTCGAATTGAAGGAACGACATGAAAAGAAGGGCTGTTTCTTCTTCGTTTTGTTATTCGCCGACAAAGGCTTTCCAGAACTACTACAGAGAGATGGAGAGAGGTGGATGGTGGGTTAAGAGGCGCGGTTGACAACAAGTGGCAGTCGATGGAGAGGAGAAAGGAAAAGAACAAGGGAGATAAAGGTGTGGTTTTGGGGCATGAAAGGGGAAAAGGAAGAGCAAAATGAAGAAAAGAAAGGAGGAAGACAAGAGAAGAAATCGAGCGGCACGGAAATGATAAGACGAAAGGGAAGCCTTTTGGTAGCAACAGGAAAGGGAGAACATGAGAAAAGAGAGAGAACCCCAAGGAAATTTGTTTTTGAACGTTGTCGATGAAGTCTATCGAGGTGGGGCGGTCAGGCGATGGAGTCGTAGCTCCAGATACGTGCGTTGAAATCGCCGGAGCCACTAGCGAGGAGGTTCCCGGCGGGGCTCAGATTAATGGCAATGACGGAGTTCTTGTGTCCCTGGAGGACGAATTGGGTCTGTGCCGTTCTGGGGTCCCAGAATTGCACACCGCGGTCCTTGGATCCCGAAGCAATCCACTGCCCGTCGGGCGAGCAGGAGACGGACAGGACGTAGTCCTTGTGGCCCAAGAAGGTCGTCGCACACGTCGCATTTCCAGCCCGCTCTTCTTCGGGTGCATCAGCATCGAGGGCACGAACAGTGGCCGAGAGGTCCCACATCTTGAGCGTCTTGTCGAGACTGCCACTGACGAGAGTGCGTCCATCGGGGGCGAAGCTGACGCTGTAGATGCTGTCCTTGTGGCCCCGCAGCTTTTCGAGCTGCTGTCCCGTCCTCGTGTCCCACACGCGCACGAGTGTGTCGAGGGCGCCGGCAGCGACCAAGCGGTTGTCGGAGCTGATGCTGACGCTCGTCACGCCGGCCTCGCTAGGACCTTGCTCTTGACCAGGCGAAGTGTAGAGGGTGTGGAGCAAGGTGCCGGACTCGACGTCCCAGATGCGAACAGTCTTGTCGCCGCTACCACTGGCAATGATGCGTCCATCGCGGGAAAAGTCGAGCGAGTAGATCTCCTGCTTGTGACCGGCAAAGATGTGCTTGACCTTTTTCGTGGCAATGTTCCAGATGCGGATCTGGCGGTCCTCTGCGCCCGTGGCCAGTAAGCGGCCGTCGGGGGAGAAGCAAACGGAGCGGATGTAGAGGTCGCCCTTGTGATTCGGCGGCTGGTCCGACAGCACGCATGTCTTAGCGCCCGTCTTTGTGTCGTAGATTTGCGCACTCTTGTTGCATCCCGTCGCCAGCGACTTCCCATCCGGTGAGAAACGGACGCAGCAGACGACACTGTAAGGACAACATTAGCACCAGTACAGCAGGAGACAGCATTAGTTTCCCATGTCCCTCACCTCTCGTGCATGAGCGTGTGAACGAGATTGACGTCGAGGACGCGCTTGACCTTTGGATTGAAGATGGCAAGCCAGTCGCTACCTTCCTTCTTCAGCTCCTTGGGCACCTCGTCGGGGTCCAGCTCGCTCAGGTCTGCCAGGCTGGTGTTGCCAGCTGCAGCGGAGGGTTCGTGATCGCGGCCATAAGCGCCGCTTGGTTGCGCATGTGAAGGGTATGGACTAGGGGCCGAAGAGCCTCCTGCAGGCATCCATCCATTGTGTGAGCGCGCAGGGAGACAAAGAAGTCGTATGAAGAAAACTCACCCATTCTGTCTCTGTCCTCCCTCTTCGCCGGTCTACCATCCCTGTCGCGATCGGCCGCTGGGCTTGGAGGCCCGTACCTGTCCCTCTCGCGATCATCCATGCGCAACCGCTTCACTGAGGCGCCCTCGCCATTTGGTCGCTCACGGTCATAGCCATTGCGGTATGGGTCAGAGGGCCCTCCAAACCCACCGCTTGCTCCACCTCCCGAAGAACTGGGCTTGGAGGCGATCGGCGGCGGACCACCGCCTCCCGAGGTCGGCAGATGCGGAGGGCCCGGGAAGTTTGACCCGTTGCCGTTTCCCTCTTGTGGCCTGGAGTCGACGATGTTCCGCAGACGCTTGATCTCATCCTCGTATCTGTTCAGGCGGTTGAGTCAGCCTTTACAATCGTGAGCGTTCGGGACTATTGTGCGTGGGAAGACCTACTGCTGGGTCATGTTGGTATGCCGTGCCTCGAGATCCATGATGTGCTGCTGCATCATCTGCACCTCGCTCACTTGTTGGCCGACTGAACGAAATAGAAGAAGAAGCAAGCGGATGTTGTCAGCTCTGTTTCAATAAGGGGTCCCATAGGGATTTCTTCACGCACTCCGATGTTCAAACTCATCGCGCTGAGCTTTGAGCGTTGCTGCGTCGTTGCCGACAAGGTCGAATTCGTGCCTGACAAAGTCGAGCAGATCCGCCAGCCTGGCAGCAGCGGCCGGACCAGCACCTCCAGGAGCACCGCCGGGGCCTGGCGCGGCTCCACCAGCGCCTGAGCCAGGTGGGTTGGGTCCAGGAACCGGTGGGGGCTGCGATGGCCCACCTGCCACACCAGCACCGCCAGCACCGCCAGCACCACCGCCAGGCCCACCACTCGATCCAGCCGGTGCACCTCCCGAGCCGGCGCCTGCGGGAACCAACGAGCGTGGATTGGCGTACATCTTAGAAGACATCGGCCTGGTCTCTGAGTACGCCAATGTCGAGCTGCTTCTAATTTTCTTCTTGCGCCCTTCCTCCCTTCTACTTGTCTGATCCTTTAGAGTATCGTCAGTCGGGTCCTTTCTTCTCTGCCGCTTCTATGACGTGTCCCTCGCTCGGTGTCTGCGGACAAAAATTGATGGATGGCTGGATGGATGCGCCTAAATCAGACCTGCGGCAGGTGGGGGCGAAGGCCAACCAGTCGTGAGAGGCAACAAGACTGCTAGCGACTTTCGAGCGCTGTTCCTGTGCCGGGCCGAGTCAGATCGAGGTGAAGATGCTTGTCGATGAAAGAGGACGACCCGGCGCGCTGTGGCCGCGGTCAACTTGTCCAATCGAGGGCCGGATGCTGTCAGATGGAAGACGGGGTCGCTCTGGCAGAAAAAGGGATAAAAAAAGAGATAAAATAAAATAAGATGCGATCGATGGAGCAGAGAAGGACGCGGCCTATGCAGGAAGCGCCGCCGAACGAGCAGCTGACTGGAGAGCTTGCTCCTCCCCGGTTACGGAATTTTAGCGCTGGCCGTTTTCAAAGCAAACGAAAAGCAGAAAAAAAAGGTCCGCGCGACAAGCCACCCTCACCCAGCCAGCTCGGGCTAGCATCATTGTCAATCTGGTTCTGTCGATTATTGCAAATGGGTCTGCGACGTGGCGTGCGGGCATTCTCACTTCTGACTCTGTTCTCCTTATCTTCCAAGAGGCGACGCTAATCTTCATGGATGATGATAGTCCCTCTCCATGGATACATCAACCTTAGTCTGCCATTGCATCTCTCGCTGCCTCACCTCATAGTCCATTGGAGGATTACCGACCCAACGCCTCGGCAAACATCCATCTGAGAGAGAAAGAGTGATGGGAGAGCATCTCTACTGTCTCATCATAAATTGTCCGCTCTCCAGAGTCATGAGGCGCTCTGTACTATTGTCGAGGCACGGGGTCACTCCACCGCACTGTAGAAGCTTTCCTCGCTTCAAGACTCGATGCCGGAGCAAGCGAGAGTGGACTCGCAACGACTACACGTCCTATGCGCTCTTCTACAACAGCCTCTGCTTTCGTGACTTGTCTCGGACCTCCAAGCCGGCGGTGTTCATCGAAGCAATCTATGTAAAATTCGGAGACCATAGGCTTCGGCCGACCGACCCCTGCTCTATCGGGGTTCAACAAACAAGACGCTCACGATGAGAAAGCAGAGAAGGTCCTCTACCCATGCTGATTTCAAGATTCCAGAGCCAAATTACTCAAGATGAAATTAAATCTCTCCCCCGTCTGCTTGCTGTCATCCCCACGCGCTGCATGGTGTCTTGCTACTCTCTTCACCGGAAAAGTGCACCCAGAAGCACGGCCCATTTCCGTCAAGAGATCTTGTCCGTTGGTGACGTTGCCTGGGGGTCGCAGTGGACAAAGGCAGACACCTGTATCTCGTTTGCCCTGCAACGCAGAGTATAACGGGTACATCACGTGACCTACCAAGGGGCGCCACGTTCTTCTCGACACGACACCACTCACGAAGACGTACACTGATCATTTCCACCGATACTGGCAGCTCTTCGTTGTGCGCGATCTCATATCTAGCTCGTCCCCACTTGCCTCGGATCAAGGACGAGGGGAGCTGCCGAAAGAAGGAGCTGTCGAAACATCTGGATAGTCTTGCCTTTGTGCTTCCACGTCTCGAATCGTCGTCCCTCGTGCCAGCAGATAGAGAATGTCTGCGCCCGGTCAACCAGCGCCTCAGCTCCCACCTGGTTGGGTGTCACAATGGTGAGTTTTTACTAGACTTTTGCTGCTGACGTTTGTGCTCGATGAGCTGAGATGGTGGGTATCTCCTTTGTTCCCCGGCTTTCACAGGGATCAGAGCGCGGGGAGACACGTCTACATCGGTGAGTTGGCCCTTGTGCCAATGTAAATGCACACTAGATTGTCTTTTTCTGACAAGATGTACAGAGACGGCGACTGGGAGAACAAGCTGGCAGCCGCCAGCAGCACCAGGACAGCAGCAGCAGCAACAGCAGCCTGGTCCACCGCCTGGTCGACCGACCCATCCTCAAGGTCAAGCGCGCATGTCGATGCCTCCCATGGCCGGCCCACCTAACATGAGAGGAGCTCCTCCTCCCGGTCCAGGCCAGGCACTGTCGCCGGAAGCCTCGGCATCTCCTCCTCCGGCTGTGGCTGCCACGACGGGCTCCCGGAGGCGAGCTTATCCCACCGCCCACCTGGCAGCCAACAGCGTCAGCTACACCGGTGGCTTCCCAGACGCAGGCGGTCTCGCACCTGCTGGCTACCCTGGTGCAACGCCTGCGGCAGCAGCAGGAGATGGCTCTTACAACCAACAGCAACTCTTCTCTCCTGCTGGTGTACCAGACGCCCAAAGCCCGCCACAACCGGCTGCTAATCTTGGCGCGCCCACAGGTCAAGCCGCAGGCAGCGGCTTCCAGCCTTCTCATTATCACTCACCTTCGGCTGCCCCAGCCTTTGCCGGCAATGGAGCTGCAGCTGCGGGAAGTTTCGGTGGCGGTGTGGCTGGCATGACGAATCAGTTTCAATCAATGGGGGTTGGCGGAACGGGAGGTGTCAAAGGAGTGAGTCCTCGCTCATCGCTCGTCGCTCAGTCGCAGGTCCGCTAGAACACAAGCAGACTGACCATCTCCACTACAGAACCCCCTCTACACGGTCAACCTTTCGGCGACGCAGCCCAACGTCAACGATCTCTTGCGACCCCCGCCAGAGATCAAGCTACCTCCCAACGCCTGCATCTCAACCAACCCAAAAGCCAATGCAGACCCCTCATACCAGCGCTGCACGCTCAATGCCATTCCCACCACGTCTTCGCTCCTCTCAAAGTCAAAGCTGCCTCTCGGCCTCATCCTTTCGCCTTACCGCTCAGTACGAGAGGAGGATGGCGATGAGCCAGTACCCGTCGTGACGGACGCTGTCATTGCACGATGCCGACGCTGCCGAACCTACATTAACCCTTACGTCCAATTCATCGAGGGAGGCAACCGATGGAAGTGCTGCATGTGCAACATCTCAAACGAGGTGCCCCAGTTGTTTGATTGGGATCAGGAAAAGAACCAGCCCGCCGATCGATGGGCTAGACCGGAGCTCAACCACAGCGTCGTTGAATTTATCGCTCCAAGAGAGTACATGGTTCGTCCCCCTCAACCGCCCATCTACACTTTCCTCATCGACGTCTCTCATGCCGCCATCTCTTCTGGCATGGTGGCCACGGCTGCTCGCACCATTCTCGAGTCGCTTGATCGCCTTCCAAACGAAGACAGCCGGACAAAGGTGGCCATCATCGGTATTGACGTCAGTCTGCACTTCTTCTGCCTCGCGCCTGGCAGCACAGAGCCCGAGATGCTCGTCGTGAGCGACCTCGACGACGTCTTCCTGCCCAAGCCCAACGATATCCTCATCAATCTCAGCGAATGTCGCGAGGGTCTGGAGGCGCTCCTGGGTCGTCTTGGGGATATGTTCAAGGATACCACCGTATCCGGCTCGGCGCTCGGCGCTGGTCTCCAGGCCGCATACAAGCTCATCTCGCCCATCGGCGGAAAGATCATCACCCTTTCGGCCTCGCTGCCAAGCGTCGGTCCCGGCGCCCTTAAGGTGCGCGAGGACCCCAAGCTGCTGGGAACGTCGAAGGAGAGTACCTTGCTGGGCGCCGCCTCGACGTTCTACAAGACGTTCCCCATCGACTGCTCACGCAGCCAAGTCTCAGTCGACATGTTCCTCTTCTCGGCCGCCTACACCGATGTGGCCACGCTCAGCTGCCTTCCACGATATACCGGTGGCCAGACGTACTTCTACCCTGGCTTCCACGCCGCCCGCTCGGAAGACGCTGGCAAGCTCGCTCATGAATTATCCGAGGTGCTTGCGAGCCCCATCAGCTACGAAGCCGTGCTCAGATTGCGAGCGACAAAGGGTCTGCGCGCGACTGGCTTCCACGGCAACTTCTTCGTTCGCTCCACCGACCTCCTGGCGCTCCCTGCTGTCCCTCTTGACCAGGGTTATGCTATCGAGTGCGAAATTGAGGAGACCATTAATGCGCCGTTTGTCGTCTTTCAATCCGTCGTTCTTCACAGCACGAGCTACGGTGAACGGAGGATTCGAGTCGTCAACCTCGCGTTACCCACCACGAGCAGCATGTCCGAGGTCTATTCGGGCGCGGACCAGACGGCCATCGTCACCCTCCTGGCGAACAAGGCCGTCGAGCGAAGCATTCACGCCCGCCTCGAAGACGCTCGTGATGCGCTGACAAACAAACTCGTCGATATCTTCTCTACGTACAAGGCAACGATGACCTCTGCAGGTTCGGGAGCGAGCCCGCAGCTGAGCATCGCATCCAATATGGCTCTCTTGCCGCTCCTCACGCTGGGCCTGCTCAAGCACGTCGGTATCCGCAGCAGCTCGCAGATCCCATCAGACCTGCGCGCCTATGCCCAGGCTCTGCTCACGACACTGCCGGTCCAGCTCCTGCTTCCTTATCTGCACCCCAATTTCCACTGCCTCCATAACATGCCACCCGATGCCGGCACAAAGGCCGACGGAGGCGAGGGTGCGCTCATCATGCCACCCAAGCTCAACCTGACGGCCGAGCGCCTTGAGCGACACGGCCTGTACCTCATTGAGGATGGCCAGAACATTTTCCTGTGGGTCGGCCGGGATGCCGTTCCCCAGCTCTGCCTCGACGTGTTCGACGCTCCAAACTACGCAGCGTTGCGCGGCGGCAAGACGACGCTTCCTCGCCTCGACAACTCGATGTCGCAGCGCGTCAGCGCCATTGTGGAGCGCGTCCGGACGATGCGGAGGGGACCGTACAAACCCCACGTCTACATTGTCAAGGAGGATGGCGAGCCGAGCTTGCGCCTCTGGGCCCTTTCGATGCTCATCGAAGACCGCTTTGAGCAGACGCCGAGCTACATGCAGTTCCTCGGCACGCTCAGAGACAAAGTCAATGGCGGGTCGTAGCTGCCTCTCTCCGCCCCTCTTGTCATTTCCTCTCCTCTTTTCCTCTCTCTCACACCTGGCCTCTCGGTGCGTGCGCTACTCCCATTCCCCCCACTTCTCTGGTGTTCCCTTCTGAAAGAAGAGGACAGCGTATACGACAATTGTGTCGTTGATTTCTTATCGTCATGAAAGATTATTGAAAAAGAAACAATGTTGATCCCCCCTTTGCGACACATGCGAATGAGTCCACAAAGAGAGAGAGAAGACAAGCATGCAACGCCAGTGCTATCAAGCAGAACAGAAGGGCTGAGACTGCAAGGTATCAAGGTCTTCTTCCAAAAATCTTTCGAAGCTCGGCCACGTCGAGCTTGTGTTCACGCTGAGCCGTGAGGAGACCGTTGACCTCTGTCTCGCAATCGGCCGTCTGGGTGTAGCAGTAGCCCTGGACGAGGCCGCCATCGAGGACGGCGTCGACGAGGCCCCTGATCCGGCCGAGGAGGTCCTGGGCGCTGCCGGCCTCATTGTAGCCCCAACCCTTTGCGCCACCGGCCAACGAGACACCGCCAAACTCGGAAAGGACGATGGGCTCGGCAGCGTGGGCGCTGCCGGGGTTGTACACTGCTCGCGAGGCCTTTGGCGCAAGGAGCGAGGCTAGGGAAGCGCATGTCTTGCGCAAGCTTGCGTGCTCGGCGTAGTCGTGAAAGGTGCAGACCGTCGTCTTGCTGTGTTCCCAGCCATCGTTGTCGACGACGAGCCGGGAATCATCGAGAGACCTCGTCAGATGGAAGAGCGAAAGGAGGTGGTCTCGCTGTGGCGCTGATATGGCGAGGTTGGGCACGCCCCAGGACTCATTGATGGGCACCCACGCGACAATGCAAGGGTGGTTCATGTCTCGCTTCATCGCCTCGAGCCATTCTTGAGTGAAACGCTCGACATAGGCATGCGAATACTCGTAGGCGTTTGGCATCTCGGCCCAGATGAGGTAGCCGAGCTTGTCGGCGTGGTAGAGGTACCGGGGATCGGCAACTCTCTGATGAGCTCGAGCTCCATTCATGCCGATCTCCTTCATCTTGAGTATATCCTGCTTGAACGCCTCGTCGCTCGGCGCCGTCAGGTTGGACTTGGGCCAATAACCCTGGTCGAGATTCAAAGCCATGAAGTAAGGGCGATTGTTGAGGCAGATCTTGCCCTCTTCGTTGATGGAGATCTTGCGCATGCCGACGTAGGTCTCGACCTTGTCCAGCGTCTCGTTGCCGTCGGCCGACAAGAGCGACAGAGTTACGTCGTACAGTGATGGATGGTCGGGGGACCACAGGGCAAGACCGCCAGACCAGGAGTCACCCTCCAGCTCGGGCGGAAGGATGCCCGAGCCATAGAGATTCTTGCGGATCTTTTCGGGCGGAGAAGAGCCGGGAACAGAGACGGTCAATGTGCACGCGGCCGATGCTGTATCGTTGGAAATGACGACATCCGATCGGCTGATGGGAATACCAGCCAGAGCAACCTGCACGGCCAAACGAGCTTCTCTGGTTGATTGCTTTGATGATGGACCGACCCCGAGAAGCTCAGCGTTGACGGCAATGGTACCCTGATCGATGTCCGGCTTGATGCTGACCCGCTCGATGCGGCTCTTTGGCGCTACCTCGAGCCAGACGGGCTGCCAAATGCCCGTCGTGGGCCAGTAAAAGATGGATTCGGGCGTCGCCTTCCAGTACTGCTTGCCTCTCGGTACAGTGACATCGTGCGGGTAGTCTCTCACCCGGACCGTAACGACCACTTCAGACTTGCCTGACGCCTTCGCGGCGAGCACTTGGGGTGTGATGTCGGCATAGAAGGGGACATGACCACCGCGATGTTGGGTCACCTGAAACAGATCACTTTAGCGATGGTGCCCAAGAAGAAGGCTCAAGCAGCAAATAATTCACCTGTGATCCAGAGACGAAGACGGTTGCTTCATAGTCAATGGCGCCGAAGTGAAGCAGCGCACGAGTGGCAGCGTCAACCTCGCTGGGCACTTGGACATGACGAGAATACCAGACTGAAGAAGAGGAAAGGCGAAAGCTCGTCGCATCTGTGAGCATGCATGCGCACCTTAGTGCACGAGTACTTAGACTCACCGACCTCATGGATGCCCTTGTCACTGATCCCAGAGGCTTCAGTCTGGAAGGCAAAGGGAACGGTGATGGTCTGGTTGAGGCGGCCCTCATCATGCTGCCACGCCTGATCGAGCCCTTCGTCCTGATCATCGAACGCAAACTTCCAAGGGCCATTTAGACAGGACCAGTGCCTATCTGTCCGCACCCAGTCAGGTCGAGGATGCTCTGATCGAGGTACTGTCATCACTTGGAGGCCTGTTGCTGTCGAGTGTTGTTCAAGGTGGGGGCGTATTGACCCCAGCCAGCATCGGCAGTGGAGGCATGTCTTCGGGACTCGGAACTGTTCGCGCATAGCAAGGAGGATGTCTATTTTTAAGGGCTGTGTTACATGGACAAGGTGGTGACTGGCTGTTGAGAGATGGGCACACAATTCTCTCAGAACAGCTGGTTCATGAGCTTGAGACTGGCCTCGACACCAAGCTGATGATTGGGAAAAGTTCTGGTCAGTAAAAGGTTCAAAGAAGCTGAGTAGGAATGCTACAAGAGTCTGACTCACGAAGGTGGCGGCGTTGGCTGGGAAGGCTCGGAGCATGGCGGGTCCTGCACCCTTGAACATGGAGCTGGGTCCCTCGGTGGCGAGGGTATGACGGAAGCACTGGATGAAGCCCGTGTAGGTGCCCTGAGGAGCACCCTGGTAGCGCGACTTGATGACATCCATAGGCAGCGCAACAGACCACTTTGTTGATAGAGCGAGGGTTCAGTGAACAGGCGGCGAAGTAGAGAAAAACCAAGACACAAAGGACTTACCATGGCCATGCCTGCGAGACCACCGGCAGTAAGGACGTGGAGAAGGTTCAGCTGCGACGGGTCGGCACCAGCAGGCGTGAGACCCCTCTTGATGGCTTCGTAAGCGCCAAAGTAGCTGTGAGGCAAGGGACAGTCAGAGTCCTTGAAGCATGTAGCAAAAGGGGCGGATCCTGACACTTACGCAGCACTTCCGGGGCCATCACGAGCAAGGGTGGCACCAGTGCCTCGGAAGACAGACTTAAGACCACCCTCTTTGTAGAGCTGACGAACGACGTCCACGGGACCATTGTACGTGGGACCGGCGTTCGAAGACTGGCCCTGAAGCTGTTGTAGAGAGGAACAAGTGTGAGAAGTGTTAGCAGGAGAGAGAGGTATGCTTGAGCTTGAGGTAAGCGGGCAGGAACGGATGGCACGCACCTGAAGGAGCACCTTCACGCGCTCGGCAGGACCAGCGACGAGGGTGGTGGGGATGGCAGAGAAGAAGCCAGCGAAACCCAGCTCGGCCAGGGACAGCTGTTCCGTCTTTCGGTTGGGCGTTGCGGCGTAGATGAGCTTCTTGCCAGCATCGTAGGACCAAAAAGAGATTGCAAAGATGGGAGTAACGCCGACGAGGGGGGGACCCATGCCTCTGTACATGCCCTTGATGCCGTCGGCCTTGATCGTCTTCTTGACGACGTCCATACCACCGGTGTACGTGCCCTCCTTTGCCGTCTGCAACCGCGTCTTTGTCAGGTCAAAGGGGTGGCCCACGAGAACGGCCGAGACACCTCCGAAGCCGCCAGAGAGAAAGGACTTGACTGACGACGCGGCCGAGGCCTTAGGGTCCAGCTGCTTGGCCTGCTCATCCTCGATGGCTGCGGGGGTATTGTCGTCGGCACCCATTATCTTGCACGTTGAATATGAGGACTGGTGGAAGACGAGAGGAAAGGAAAGAAGAGGAGGCTGGTGAGGGTGTCGAGGAAGAAACCGAAGCTCAATTAACGAGACTGACGGCACGGCTATGGATCGACCGGCGCTCGATTTGAAAAAGGCCAGTAATGCATCATCGCTCTTGCTTTGAGAAAAACTCACTTTCTTCCTCTCGCGTGGCCAGTGGTTCAATTCATTACCCCGCCAGGACTGACAAATAGAACACTCTAAATCGGAAAGGCTTTGCTTGGCTCTGACGCTTCGACCCAATTGATGGAGCCGGAGCTTGCTCCATGGCCCCTTGACAGCATCGGCAGCAGCGACAAGGGTCATCGACACGAAGGAGGAAGCGCAACAGCCTCATGCAGCAGCAAAAGGACGGCTTCTCAATTCGACAGTCATTACGAATCAACGACGCTCAGGAAGCGCGTAGCTAGGGCCCCGTCAGACGACAACATGGATCACCCCCGGGCGTATGAGACCCGTGTATTTCTCCCAGCGGGCTCCCAAGCCGGATTAAACGGGAACAACGACAACAAGAACGGCGGCGGCAGCCTCATGGGGTCGCTGCTCAGATTTATCAGGCGAAGATGCTGCTTTATGTGGCTTCTCGTCTCGGCCATCTTCGCTTCGCAGATCTGGTTCTGGACACCGGTCTTGCTTGGCGAGGAGCGAGTCAGAGAGCTGGGCATCGAAGGTGAGCCTGAGCCAATCTATAGATTAGAAGGCTCGTCCCAAATCTGACATTTTTAAGTCGCTTCAGGATGGAGAGACTCGGCCGTCCCATGGATGCCTACACCCCAGTCTGTGCAGCCCATAATACCTCAACTAGATCTCCCCAGTTACGGCATACCCAACATGGATCTTCCCAGTGGTTATGAACCTCCGCCGGACGACGAGACCGACCGGCTTTTGTTGAGCGAGGATGCCTTCCCAGCCGCTGTCATGAAGGGCTACTATCACTCCTCACACGACCTCGACAAGCTCTACGCCGACGGCAATCCACACCTCGGCGTCATCCCCGCCAGTAAGCTCCGACTGCTTCAGCGTGACCCTCTCTTGAGCCGGCCCACGGCACCAATGGCCGCCCCAGAGGTACCTGCTTCGCTCTGGGTTGCCCACAGTGGCTGGTCAGCAGCCGTCAACGGTTCCAAGACGACGTACCTGGACGCATATACACCAGAAGCGCAACCGCTGGAGCCCGAGTGGCGAAAGGCGCCCTTTGCGGGCTGGCAGCCCCCACTCGAGGAGATGAGGCGCTCTGCAAGCCGCAGAATGCCGCTGCCAAAGGTGCAGCATCCCTTTCCCGCCCCCGATCGTTATTCGGGTGTCGAGGGCAACACTGCGAGGGACAAGGTGTTGCAGGAGAGGCAAAGGCTCGTCAGGAATGCGTTTTTGCACGCTTGGCAAGGCTACAAGAGGCTTGCATGGGGCCACGATGAGCTCAAGCCCGTCACGGAAGTACCCCATGACAACTTCAATGTGAGTTGACTTTTTCTCTGAAGAATTGAGAGTCGAAAGGGACCTCTAATTGCTTCTCTCCTTTCCTCGTCGAGCAGGGTTGGGGTGCTACTATCGTCGATGCGCTCGATACACTCCTCGTTATGGAACTCCCGGGTGAATATGACTTGGCGCGGCAGCACGTCCGCGACATCGACTTTCACCTCGTTGGCGGCGAACGCAGCGCATACGGCTTTTCGGACGGCAAGATTCCCGTCTTCGAGACGGCGATCCGATACCTTGGAGGGTTCCTTTCGGCCTACGACCTCTCTGGCGATGTCCTCATGCGGGACCGCGCCGAGGAGCTGGCTCAGCTGATTATGCCTGCCTTTGACACGCCCACCGGCGTACCCGTTGGTCGCATCAAATTCGACCAGCCCTCATACAAGTCGGCAGCCGGCGGCGTTATCCTGGCTGAGGCTGCCAGCATGCTCGTCGAGATGACGAGACTGTGGCAGGTGACTGGCAATCGCACCTACTTTGACCGCGTGCAGAGGACCAGCGACTGGCTCGACCGCAACATGACGGGCACACCGGAGCGGCTGGGCACCCTGCTTCCCACGAGCATCTTTCCTGAGCGGGGCACCATGTACGGGTGGTACACGTGGGGCGGCATGGCCGACAGCGCATTCGAGTACCTCATCAAGGAGCACCAGCTCCTGGACGGTCATTTGGAGCAGTACGGCCGCATGTTTAGCGAGGCCATGGACAGCGCGCATCGCTGGCTGCTCCGCCACATTGGCTCAGTGCCCAACACACCGCTTCTGATCATGGGCCAAAGCAATGGCCGGCTCTTCACGCCCAAGCTCGAGCACCTTACCTGCTTTGCAGGAGGATCGATTGGATTGAGCGCAAGGCTTCTCTCTGGTCGGTCTCACGATCTGGTCCATGCCGAGCGCGTGACCGAGAGTTGTTGGTGGGCATACAATGCCACAGCAACGGGCATTGGGCCCGAAGAACTGACATTCTACCGTGATCGAGACACGGATCGGTTCGACAGCGTCGTCATGCCCGATGGCACGAGCCGACGGGGAAATGCCAGAGGGTCGCCTCTCATTGGTGTTCGCAGCATCCGTGCCGACTATCGCAATCGACCAGAGACGATCGAGTCCGTCTTTTACATGTGGCGCATCACGGGCGACGAGAAGTGGCAGGAGAGGGGCTGGCAGATGTTTTCCTCATGGGTGGCCCATTGCATGACCGACGTCGGCTTCTCGAGCATCCAGAGCGTGCTCGAGGTGCCCGCCATGCAGAGCGACTCGATGGAGAGCTTTGTCTTCGCAGAGACGTTCAAGTACTACTACCTCCTCTTTTCCCCGCCGGACCTCATCTCCCTCGACGACTACGTCTTCACCACCGAGGCGCATCCCCTGCTGACGCCCCAGAAGGGCCGGTGGGCGCGCGCGGGTCATGGGCCCAAGAAGCTGTGGGACGATGCGGCGCCAGAGTCGTCACACACGCCGCCTTCTGCTTCGGGACTCTATGCAGGAGGCGAGGGTGGACCGGTTGGGGGGTTGACGAATCAACAAAAGCACGCCATCCTGAAACGGTGGTATGACAAAAATGAGAACGAGCGCAAGAAACAGGAGGCTTTCGCAAAGGCAAAGGCGAATGCCGACAAGGTCATTCCTCCTCCGATCCTCAAGAATAATGCCAGCAGCAGCAGCAGCATCAGCACCTCCTCCAGTAGAAGTACCACCAGCAACGACGGCGACGACATCTCCAGCAGTAACAACGCTTAGACTGTCCTTAAGCTCTTCGTCTCCCCTGGTCTTACCCGCCCGTGGCTGCCTCATCCAAGTGCCTTTAGCTTTGTACAGTTTCCTGCATCTCCGTCATCATCATCATTGAAATTCTTGAGCTTTCTCCTCTTCGCTTTGCCTGCCGAGACGATCGAAAGGTGTGACATGTGCAAAAAAGGCCGCGCGGCTGGGTTCAGGGAGGGCGCTCCTCGTCCCCGGCTTTCTCTACTCTCGTCACACGGTCCCCCGGGAGCTCTATTTCGTTCCGTTCAAATCTGGAAGCAAGTGAAGAGCCCTCTTCTTCATTTGAGGTACTGTTCTATACTCTGACCTCTGATCCCTCTGCCAATGAGCTGAAAGGCGCGGCATCGAGCGGCTACGAAGATCTTTGTGCGGTCTGGCTGCGAGACCCTCTACGAAGAGGTCGTACGATGGCTCGGACTGTCAATCAAATCATATCTCTCAGGGCTAGGGTCCACTCCGAAGAGTTCTCGATAACCAAGACAAGATTCAATAGAGCCTTCACCATAGCAGGGTCGCTTGGGCCTACGTTCCGGTCAAAAAGTTGGACCCGTGTAAATGCATTGCCATTCGTTTGGAAATCTAGCTGGCCATGGATGCGACAAAGTCCTGTACGCAGCGAAGGAGGGCAGGCAAGGGGAACACAGAGAGAGGGAGAGATGATGCGGGAACGTCAGAAGGGGAGTAGAGACGAGTAAGAGCGCGAGGACTCACCTTTTCTGCTCTTGCGACGGCATCCTTGAAGTTCTGAACCTGGGCCCAGCACTCAAGTGACCGCCCTGGATTTTCGCTGTAGATGGATCATTTAATGAGCAGCCTGTTTGATGAAGCGGTGGCGGGGCAGGAGCAAGTAAAGAAACTCACTTGTAGCATTTGAGCACCTCACTCCTCGCTTCCTTTACGCCAGGTGCCTTTTCAACCTTTTGCTTCCTCTGAGTGTGCCGCTCGATCTTGGAACGGACGTCGTCGAGCTCTTGACGGAGCAAGATGCTAGACTTTCCCTTTGCACCCTTGGACGCCGACTGCGATGCTCGATCCAGGCTCTCCTTTTCCAGAGCGGCCTCGATCTGCTGCCGCACAGTGGCCTCCTGCTTCTTGAGCCGGCTCAGCTCATCGCGAATTTTGGACTGGATCGACGAGTCGAGGTGTTCCTGTCGGGGGAGAGACACCGGCGCCGGTGGTGATTGCGGCTGCTGAGACGACGAGCTGTCTGGTCGGATTGTCGGCTTGTCACCCTTGTTAGGTTCGGCAATCCTGCCGAGAAGATTGGTGCTCATTTGCTGTTGAGCGATGTATCAGTATCGGACGATGCGATTTTGCAAGACAAAGCACAGGCACAGACGCACCGAGTGATTCTCTGTCCCACTTGCCGTTGCTGCTTTGTGCCCTGGCTGCTCCTTAGATGCTCCCGCGCCCATCGAAACAACGTCTGTCTCGTTCACGAGAAGGAGCAAGTCGGAAGTGGAAGGACAGATGGGGGCGCGAATACACGTGGTTGATTACGTGATCTGTTTGGCGCCAACGGCTTCGCCGTCGTCATCTGCAGCGCGCGCCCTTTGTTGGACCTGTGACAATCCCTCCCTTTCTTCGTCAGCCCTTACTACTATTCTACGCGCGCACGCTCATCGTCCCAAGCGCCGACCAGACAAACACCCGGGTCTCTGTACTCGAAGACCGTTCGCGGGTGGCCTTTGCAGCTCAGTCTAATCGTTGCCTCGCTGCTGCTCCTCCATCCACCATCATCTTCGCTCTGGATCGATCGCAGATTGGACTTTTTCCCTCTCTCCTTCCTCCAGTCCCATCCCTTGCTATCGCTACCTACACGACTTGGCCTCATCCATCACGTAGCTGCTTCACAAGCTCAGGCGTCGCCCTTCAGCCGCTCGCTAGCACTTATCGAGCTTTGACGCTTGCGATCGGGCAACATCTCTCACATATTGAGAGGTTGGTTTGAAGTCGTCCCAAAGCGGCTAACAGTTGCAACGGAGCGCAGACGTGACGACTGTTGTCGGCTCTTCGACGACTCTCGACGAACAGAGAAAACCCGAGCGGCATATTAGTTCGCCGTTCGGCAGCCAACCTCTTCTTCTGTTGGGCCCCTTGGAGAGAGACCATGCTGGTTGATCACATGTCAAGCCGTCCTCCACCATTGCCTCTCAGAACGGATCTCACCGGCGGCTCTTCTTCTTTTCCGCTTTCTTTCTCACTCTCACCAACCGATTCACATCGACGAACAAAGGCTACGGAATCAGCAGATGTACCCGTCGCCTTCTCCCTCGCCCTCGCCCTCACCGGGTCCGGCCTACCTTTACCAGCACCATCACTCGGGCGCCGGCTCTAACGGCCCCTCGTTTGGCGCAGGAGGCGTGCCCGGCCAAAATGGCTCGGCATTTCCTCCCGTTGGTCGGTTCCCAACCTCTACAGGTATTGGCTGGGGGCCGCGGTCCCATCACCCGCATCATTCTCACCAACAAAACCCTTCGCTGTCGTCTCTGCCTGGCTCTCTGAGCCATTCAAGTGCAGCTTCAATCAACAATAACGGAGGTGCTCCCTCTTCTCCTGGATACGGCTCCTTGGCGGGCAACCACCACATCCACTCACATCCTTCTCATGGACCGTCGGGCCTCTCACATATGCCCTCGCCTGGTCCCCTGCATACAGGGTCCGGTCATCTCGGTGCATCGCATCAGTCTGCGACTGCATCGGCCGCTGCTGCCGCTGCAGCAGCGGCGGCAGCCAATGCGTCCCCACACTGGCAGCAGCAGCTCTTGAAGGCAGAGGTATGTTGCTGGGAATACACGCGCAAAGAGCGTGAGAAGACTGATTGCACATTTAAATCATGGCAGATCTCGAGGCAATCGGCTTCACCGCATCACCATGCAAGGGCAGCCGCCTTGGCAGCTCGTAGTGCCACGAGCGCCGCTGTGGCTATTCAAGATCCCAACAAGGGCATGCACATTCCTGTGACGGCTGCCAATGGCCTTAGTCTGCACAACGCGCGCAAGGATGCGTCGCACGACGATTCTTCGTCTTCGGGACTTGGATCAGCAGCCAATGGCGAAGCTTCATCAAGTGCACGGCAGAACAACGATGCCGAGAGCAAGGAAGGGCATCAGTCATGGACGACGATCGACATGGGCGGGTTGGGTCTCAAGAATCTGGCAAACGAATTGTTTCGGTACGACTTCCTGACATCGCTCTTTGTCAACCATAACAACCTCACGACGCTATCTCCCGAGATCTCGCGGCTCAAGAACCTCGTCATTCTGGATGCATCTAGCAACAAGCTCACTTCGCTTCCTCCGGAATTGGGCATCTTGACGAGTCTCAAGGAGCTCTTCCTCTTCGACAATGTCATCGTCACGCTCCCTCCCGAGCTGGGATCCTTGCACAACCTGGACACGCTAGGAATTGAGGGCAACCCACTCGCCGATAACCTGCTTCATTTGGCGCAAAGCGAGGGGACATCGGCGCTCATCGCCTTCCTCAGAGACTCGTGTCCCGTGCCTTTGCCACCGCCGGAGCGTGAGTGGATCACCATCGAGCCCGACTTGCCCCCGCCGAGGGACAACGATGACGAGGAACCGGATCCGCCGCCTGAGTCGTTCAACGTCCTTTGCTACAACATTCTTTGCGAAAAGTATGCGACGCAACAGCTCTACGGCTACACGCCGTCCTGGGCCCTCGCTTGGGACTACCGCAAGGACTTCATCCTTCAGGAGGTCATGAGCTATGGTGCCGATATCGTCTGCCTGCAGGAAGTGGACTCAGAGCAGTACGAAGACTATTTCCTGCACCACCTCTCTCAGCAGGACTACGACGGCATTTATTGGCCAAAGTCGAGGGCACGAACGATGCGTGATGAGGAGAAGCGGAGAGTGGATGGCTGTGCCACGTTTTTCAAGTCGAACAAGTTTGCTCTCATCGAGAAGCAGCTCATCGAGTTCAACCAAATTGCGCTCCAGAGGCCCGACTTCAGAAAGACGGAGGACATGTTCAATCGTGTCATGACAAAGGACAACATTGCCATCGTGGCCCTCTTGGAGAATCGTGACAGCGGAAGCCGCTTCATCGTGGCCAATGTGCACAATTATTGGGACCACGAGTTCCGAGACGTCAAGCTGGTGCAAGTGGCAATGCTGATGGACGAGCTGGAGAAGATCGGGCAGCGCTTCGCCAAATTCCCGGCTAAGCTCGACGTAAAGGATGGCTACCCACCCGCGCCAAAGTACAGCGACGGTACGAAGATTCCGACGTTGATCTGCGGCGACTTCAACAGCGTCCCCAAGAGTGGCGTCTACGATTTCCTTGACAAGGGCGTCATCGCGGGTGACCACGAGGACTTCATGAAGCACATTTACGGAGACTACACCGCCCACGGTCTCCAGCACAAGCTCGCCCTCAAGAGCGCGTACCATGACATCGGCGAGCTGCCCTTCACCAACTATACGCCCAACTTCGTGGGCAGCATCGACTACATTTGGTACAACTCGAATGCCCTCGCGGTCACCGGTCTTCTTGGCGAGGTCGATCGTTCCTATCTGAACAAGGTTGTTGGCTTCCCCAACGCGCACTTTCCTTCGGACCATATATGCATCCTCAGCGAGTTCCGGGTCAAGTATCCCAGAGACACGTCTCGGCCAAAAGTAGGCTTTGGCGGACCAGTCAATGGGCGAGATCGGGATCGAAACCAGGATCGGGATCGAGACCGCGATCGTGGAAAGGATATGAAGTGATCGCTCTTTTCTGCGTCCTACCGCCCTTCGGAACCTCTCTTGGGCCTTGCTGCCGCCGCCGCGGCTCCAACCCTTACTCTTGCTACTTTCACAATTCTTTCTCCTCGCCCGCAACAAATTCTCCCTTTTTCCACTTCATTCATCTTTCCATCTCCATTCCTCCTTATCTGTTTTATGTTCCTCATCCCCTCTTATTGTCTTTCCCTCTCTTGGTGCCCACCCTCGAGTGTACAAGTGCCTGCCGCAATCCAATTGACCTATTCCAGTCTTCAGAGCAAAGATGGCGTTGTGGTCACGTGCTCTTTTCACCGCCAACGCTACTTCGTCGACGAGGCTGGTTGCTTCGCCTCCGACCCACAATCGACTCTTCATCCGCCGCCGCTCGTCTCTTCCAGCGCACCAAACTTTGCGCGCCGGTCTCTGCGCACAGGACCTCACACCTCACCACCCGCTGTGCTAGGTCATCTCTAAGCTCCAAGTGATCGCCATCACTCGCAAATTCTGCTATCGACATCGTCTACCGCTCGAAAAAAAAAGCCGAGAAGGGTGACCATTCCAATAATCGCTCTTCATCCTACAAAGCTATTCGTCGCCTGGTACCTCAACACCATTTTTCTCCCTCTCTTTTTCGGTCTCTGTCTCCTCTGCGTGCCTCCAGCACCCATCCAAACGCTCATACATTGTAGTTGAGTCGCGGTGCACATCTCGTTCAATTCTTCTTCGCTTCGACTTGTTGTATTATCGTAAAAGGGACCGGACCGCTTTTCTCTCTCTCTCATCAGCACCATGTCGGCTTCAGGACCAGCACCGGGACAGACAGAGGCGCAATGGCGCCAAGAAATCCAGCAAAGAGTCGTCCGCGACGAGCGTCCACAGACGGACGACGTTCTCAAGACAAAGGGCAATGATTTCGAAGACTACTTTCTTAAGCGCGAGCTCCTCATGGGCATCTTCGAGGCCGGTTTTGAGCGACCCAGTCCGATCCAGGAAGAGGCAATTCCCATCGCGCTTACCGGCCGTGATATCTTGGCGCGCGCAAAGAACGGGACGGGCAAGACGGCGGCCTATGTGATCCCATCATTGGAGAGGCTCAGCACGAAGAAAACGCACATCCAGGCTGTCCTTCTTGTCCCGACGCGAGAGTTGGCGCTGCAGACGAGTCAGGTGTGCAAGACATTGGGCAAGCACACTGGCGTTGAGGTCATGGTCACGACGGGAGGCACCACGCTGAGGGACGACATCCTGCGCTTGAGCCAGACTGTCCACGTTCTCGTCGGTACGCCTGGTCGCATCCTGGATTTGGCCGGGAAAAACATCGCAGATTTGAGCCAGTGCACCACCTTCGTCATGGATGAAGCCGACAAGCTTCTCTCGCCGGAGTTCACGCCTGTCATTGAGCAGCTGCTCTCCTTCCTGCCCAAAGAGCGCCAGGTGATGCTTTTCAGTGCCACGTTCCCCCTCATTGTCAAGGACTTCAAGGACCGACACATGGTCAAGCCGTACGAAATCAACCTCATGGACGAGCTGACGCTCCGCGGTGTGACTCAATACTACGCCTTTGTCGAAGAGAGACAAAAGGTCCACTGCCTCAACACCCTCTTCAGCCGGCTTCAAATCAACCAATCCATCATCTTCTGCAACTCGACGAATCGCGTCGAGCTGCTGGCCAAGAAGATCACCGAGCTGGGCTACAGCTGCTTCTACTCACATGCAAAGATGCTCCAGGCCCATCGTAATCGAGTCTTTCACGACTTCCGCAACGGCGCCTGCCGCAACCTCGTCTGCTCCGACCTCCTCACCCGCGGTATCGACATCCAAGCCGTCAACGTCGTCATCAACTTTGACTTTCCCAAGAATGCAGAAACGTACCTGCACAGGATCGGTCGTAGCGGTCGGTTCGGCCACCTGGGTTTGGCTATCAACCTCATTACCTACGAGGACCGGTTCAACCTGTACCGCATCGAGCAAGAGCTGGGCACAGAAATCCAGCCTATCCCGAGCACGATCGACAAGCGCCTCTACGTGGCCCCCAGTCTCATCACCGAAGACGAGGTCAACAAGCAGAACAACAGCGGCAAGGCCAGCGCAAACGGCGGCAGCAACAATGGCAATGGCAATGGCGCACAGCAGCAGCAACAGCGACAACACCAATCTGGCGCTCCCGTTATTCCTCCGACGCAGGCAAAGTTCACCCAGACGACAATTCCTCAAAGCCAAGATTTCACGCAAAGCATCGCTGGCAGGAATCGAGGGCCCAGGCAACCACAACAAGCTCGTCAAGCCTGATGACAGGCTCCTTCTCCTCCAGCATCGTGAAAGCCGTCGGCGACTTACGATCCGTTATCAACGCTCACCCCTCAAAGGCATACAACCCCGGTCAACAGCTCCATTCTCTCGCAGCGATCAAACATTGCAGAGAGCTCCCTTCTCAATCTGTCACACTCTTAGTCACCACTGGAGCCTCCTTGTGACACTCACTGTGCGAAGTACAGTACATATGCAATCCTATCCCGTACTATGCCAACAAAGACCGACCCTGTGCCCATACTGTCTTCAGGACAAAGATGCCTGGTGTTCGTCATGAAAAGTGTCGCTTTCGGAATTCGGGCCTGCCTAAACACGTGTTGAATAAGACGCATCTCACCAACTCTCACCAATCCAAGGTAAAGCCTTCCTGTAGCTAGCGACGGCACTATGTCACGGACGATGAGCGGGCTGAACAGCTGGACGATGCCCACTGGGGCAGAGACGAGCCTCGTACAGAGGTGAGTGAGAAATGTTTATCTCACCATAGAAGAGTCCAGCCTTACTTATGACCGATGTCGAGCAGGACGTCCAAGGTGCTCGACCCTCCTGGCTTCAAAGCGCTGCAGAGCACCCAAGGCAATTCGAAGGTGAGGACTCTCCCCACATGGCTTTAAAGATGCCGGCAAGACTGAGCCGATAGCATCACTTTGTGAACAGCGCACAAGCAAGGCTCCTGTCAGGTCAGTGCCCTCGGCGGCGGACGTGGAAGCCCTCAAATCGAAGCGGGCGTGGGACGTGGCAATCGCACCGGCCAAGTCGTTGCCCATGAACGGCTTTATGCTGTACATGTCTGGATCAGGCGTTCAGATCTTCAGCATGATGGCCGTCGGTATGCTCCTCACCGGTCCCATCAAGGGCATTGTTTCGATTCAGCAGTGTGAGTACCTCGCCTTGCTCTCTTCCATGCCCTATGTCTCTCTCTCTCCTACCACACGCAGGCTCTGACGCAACGTAAAACATAAACAGCTTTTGCGCCATTCTCAACTCCAGGAAAGGCAACAGCACTCATCCCGCAGCAGGTCACATTCGTCGCTTGCCAACTCATGTTGATGGCGCTCGGCATCTACAAGTGCTGGAGCATGGGCCTCCTCCCGACCGAGAGTAGCGACTGGCTCGCATGGAGACAGCCGAGAGTGGTGAGTACCTCGCTCTCAGTCCTTCGTTCGTCTCCGACTTCAGACTGACGATTTCACCACCCTAAAAGCCATTAGAATTTTCGCCGTTGTACCCTTGATCTACAATGGAAGCGTCTAGTTCGGCTTCTCATGCCCTTTTTCTCTTCTCATTCTTCTGCCTCATTTCGAGGGGGTAAAGCTTAAGCCTTGACAGCAGCGATGCACTCCATCTCAACAAGGACATCGCGAGGAAGCCTGGCCACCTCGACGGCGGAGCGGGCAGGCTTGAAGGGGCCAAAGTTCTTTGGAAGTAGGAAGAGCGTACTAAGAGTGTCAGCCGCGTGAAGAAAGGAGGCTGGTGCGGAAGGTGACACGCACCTTTTCGTAGACCTCGTTGACCTTTGCAAAGTGACCCATGTCCTTGAGGAAGACAGTCATCTTGAGAATGTGGCTCTTGTCGCTGCCGGCAGCCTTGATGACTTCAAAGAGGTTGTCCATTGCCTGCTGCGTCTGGGCCTCGATGCCACCCTCGATGATCTCCATGGTGGAAGGAACAAGGGGGATGCAGCCGGAGAGGTAAGCAACACCATTGTGCACCGTTGCTTGGCTGTACGGCCCAATGGCCTTGGGCGCCGTGGGCGTGCTGACGATCTGGTAGCCGGGCGTGGAGGACATGCTAGTGGCAGTGGAGGAGAAGGCGAAGGAACTTCCTTGTGCTTTGATGGGGGTTGGATATCGCAGGGCTTTGGCGAGGCTGTCGTGTCTTAAAGGTGCGATAGATCTCGAGAGCCGTGTCACGGACAGCATGCAGTTGAAAGGAGACGACGTAGGGGACCCGAGAAGATCGAAACGCCGAAGATACCCACCACCCCCGGAGTGACAACTGTGTTCCGTCGCGGGCACGTGATTTTTTGGCCATTCGATGTGCGCCTCTGAATCAAGAATCCTATCCCCCCTTTCTTTCTCCTCGACTTCATCCGTTCCATCGGCGAATATATCGTTGTAGCCAATCTACACAAAAGACGCAGGACTGAGGATGTCTGCGCAGTCGCAGTGGCCACAGCCGCTCAAGGACTTCGCCAACCGGACATTCAATGCCTGCACAGACTCGAACCGCAAGGCGGTGCAAGAGGAGCTTCGATTGGTGATCCTACGATGCTTCCAGCAGGGCACCATCGAGACCACAGACTGGGACAACATGCAGCTCGAGTTGCTCGGAGGTGCTCCGGGCCACAAAAAGAAGCTGCTTGGGGGGAACAATGGCGGCAAGAAGCGTTCGGCGCTCGCGGGTGGGGCTCAGTTCGAGTCGTTTGAAGACAGGGAGAGGAGAGAGAAGCGAGCGAGACGGTTTAATAATGAACAGGCGGCCTTTCAGAGTCAGGAGCGCGAGGCCATGGAGAATGCAATGGCGAGCTCGAGCTTAGGGGCCAGGCTGGGCGGATTTGACCCGAATAGGGTAGCACCGCACAGTCCGATTCCGTTTTCTGCAGCACGAGGTGGGGGCTGGGCAGGCTCATCGTCGCCCTCACTGGCGTTCGGGGATGCAGAAGTTGCAGATCCGGTGAGTGTCTCTCCAAGCATCTCCGCCCACGATCCTGCTGAAACATCTGTTGAGAGCAGAATGTCATCGACTGGGATGAGGACACCGTTGTGGGCCTTTCAACGAAGTTGGAAAAGCCTTACCTGCGCCTCACCTCGGCCCCTGACCCAAAGACGGTACGAACTCTGCCCACGCTGATGCAGACACTCGAGCTGCTGAAGAAGAAGTGGCGGACCGAGGCCAATTACAGTTACATTTGCGATCAATTCAAGAGCATGCGACAGGACCTGACAGTGCAAAGGATCAAGAACGACTTCACCGTCAAAGTGTACGAGATTCATGCCCGAATCGCCCTCGAGAAGGGCGACTTGGGGGAGTACAACCAGTGCCAGAGCCAGCTAAGGGTCCTTTACAGTCACGGTCTACCCGGAAGCGCAATGGAGTTTCTGGCTTACCGCATCCTCTATCTTCTGCACACTCGCAACCGAAGAGGTGAGCAGGCTCCCCCCATTCCTCAAATCGCAGCAGTTTCTCTCTTGCTGACATAGACTGGCAGACGTCAATGCCCTGATGGCAGAATTGACGCCAGCACACAAGGCCGAGCCGGCCGTCGCTCATGCGCTTAGCGTTCGTGCTGCACTGGCCACTGGAAACTATCACGGCTTCTTCCGGCTATATGCCGATGCACCGAACATGAACGCTTACATCATGGACCACTTTGTCGACCGCGAACGAGCGAATGCCCTGCTCGTCATGTCAAAATGGTGAGTCCAATTTCGTGTTTGCTCCCGTCACGCTCAGCTCGCTGAACCTCCTTTGCTCTCACAGCTTCCGACCGTCTCTTTCTCTCACCTTCTTGACATCTGAACTTGCCTTCACAGATCTGAACGAGGCCCATGCTTTTCTCGAAAAGCACCAAGCCGCAAATTACGTGGAGCCGACACCGGCTCAAGCTTTCTCATCTAAGAGCGGCTCCAAAAAGGCAAAGGTTCCTCTGGATCAGCGGCAGTGGGACACAAAAGGCGCACAAGCGGCTCTTCAAGCGGCAAGAGACAGATTGCGAACCATTGATGTGAGTCTTTCGTCGCCCCGTTGACCCGCAAGAACCACAACTAAGAAGACATTCGCTCGATAGATCAAAGGCCAAATATGAAGATAGCGGCGACCTAGCATAATAAGCACTTATCGAGTCAGCGGTACGTGGAATCTCCCTCTCCCCTACCACCTTCTCGGCTTCAACACATGGGAGAAGCCCTTCGCGACCCGGACTCAGCTCACCTCCCAAGGCTACACCGGATCAAGGCCGTCTGCGATGGACGTCGTCCTTGCCTGCGAGCAGTCATGAAGACTTCCCTCGCAGGTCGTCCACCCTGATTCGTTTCGTGGTCTATCTCGTTGACATCTTATCCATGTTCACTCTCACCATTCTGTACAATAAGCAACAATTTGACCAATTTATCTATTCTGCTCTGGCTTTCAACCACGCTCAAGACCACTGTCGACTTGCTGATGTCTGTTCAAGATCAATGTTGCGTCGCAAAGTCAAGCCAGAGCCAGGACAAGCGGCTTCTCTTCTCTCAGAGCCAAGTGCATCTCGAATCATTATTGTAATTTGCAAGAACTATTGGGTCTGTTGCAAAGTGTCCGTGGTTGCTTCAATGCTGTGCGAGGGTATCGAAATTAGATGATGCGAGCATTCAAGGTGCTCATTGCTGGTGTTGCAAAGACCTCTCTTGGTGCCTTTCGTGAAGATTCTCGTGGCTGATGGCTCTCGCCTTACCTTTGCCCTTTGAAGAAGCAGGAGCAGATGGCTCCAACGAAGCGTCCTCGGCTTGGTTTCCGTCATCGGCGTACAACTCGTGCGCTTGCGTCTGATGCTGCAGGCGGTTGCTGTTGCTTGGCCCTGCGACATTGTTGTCCTGGGAAACATGGTCGAGATCGGTGTAGCGAGGTTGAGAGACGGTCATCCCCTCGTTGAAAGAATTGGGGTCTAGGGGGGCGATCTGTCGCATTTCGGCTCGCTGCTGTTCCTGTTGCTCATGTTGTGGTTGTTGCTGCTGTTGTTGTTGTTGTTGTTGCTGCTGCGGGTACGTCATCATATTCTGGGTCGATGGCTGTTGGGCTGCTGGCTGGCCTGGCTGCTGACCAAAGTAGCCCCCGTACAGCCCTTGCTGCTGTTGATATTGCTGCTGCTGCATCCACAAGAAACGCATGCGATCTTGCTCGTCCAGCCGTGCCCTCATCAATTCCAGCTCCCTCTCGACCTCCTTCCTCTTTCTCTTCTTTGTCCTTGGGCCCCGCATCGCGCACACACCGATCGCGAGGACCATGCATGCCAGCAGCAGGAACCAGCAGAAAATGAGGACGGCAATCAATGGACTAGCGTAGAAGGCTAGGTCTCTAGGGGTCTTGTCCGATGCGGCAATGTTGTAGCGGGAAGACAAACTTGTCGAGTACGAGCCATCAAAGCCATCGCAAGGATTGAGATAGTCGTTGTTGTAGTAGTATGAACTCCCGCCAGCTGTCGCATTGCATCCCCCAGAAGCGAGATAGGCTCCCAGGGCGTAGCTTCCGCCTCCTCCGTAGTTGCCGCCAACGAGGAAAGGCGACGAGGCAAAGTCGGACACGCCGTTTTTGGCAACGGTGTGCCAGTCGATGACGACATTCATAAGGAAGCCGATTGGGACAATCAGCAGCAGAGCCAAGATGACAAGGCATGCGAAGTGACAGCGCGCATAAGCGATCGTCACCCTCGGCGTGCGAGTAGAGTTTTGCGCGCCGACGGCAGGAGACGCTGCTTGTCCGGACGTCATTGTCGGGGGCGGTTGCTGCTGCTGCTGCTGCTGTTGCTCGGGCTGCGTATGGAACGGCTGTGGGCTTGGAATAGCTGCTGGGAATCCTGTCGGTGTGCCTATAGGCGGTCCTTCGGGGTTACTCGCCAGAGGTTGGACGATGCCCTCGTTGACGTCGGCCTGTTCCTGCTTCTGAATCATCCGCCGCTTCTTGACCGTGTACGCAAGAAGGCTGGCAGACTGGACAAAAAGAAGGACGCAAACAATGAGGAGCCAAATCGAGTAGATTGGACCGACATTGGTCTGGTTGATCTGCAAAGATGTCGGAGTCAAAGCAGGTGCCAAAGTAGAGGATGTTGTTGCACTCGCAGACGTCACCTGCTGACGCTCTTGGATTGCAGGAGCAGGCTCAGCGCGACGGGTAGCATAGGTCGTGGGTGTAGTCGAGGACCCGTAGTAGTAATTCGCCGTATCGGTAGAGTCGGCGTAAATGTAGGATGTTTCGGTATATGTGAAGGTTCCGTAGGCGTCGGAACGGGTCGTCGTGTACACAAGCGGCAACGGAGTGGCATATGAGTAGCCGCCATAGCCGTTGTTGGTGGCAGTATAGTAGTTCACAGAGGAACCATAGTCATAGCTCGAAGACGTGGCCAGGGGCGAGGTTGCGAGGCTGTAGAGAAGAATATTCTTTCAGCAATCGACAAGATGAGTTGAGTCTTAGGCCCTACAACTTACAAATTGAGCGTCTTTTGTGGATAAGGAACGAAGCAGAGGATGATCGTGATGGCCGAAAATATGGCCGTGCTCGCTGCAGCCCCCAACAAGAGCGGAAAAGGGAACATAGGTGCTCAGCCGGGGCGAAAAGGGGCCCTTTCTAGCTGTGAGGAGAAGGGAAGGGAAGAGGAGATGGGCTACATCGCTTCCACTTACGTTTTCTGCGCCCGATCCTTTCCTCGCTACATCTCGCTCTGCAGCCTACAAGGGGAGGCCTGCAGAGTCAGGAGGCAGGCAGTCGCAGGTCTCCCGAAGCCTAAGCTTCATTCGAAACCGACACTCTTTAACCGCTTGCTTCGAAAAGTTCGCACGATTTTTAAACATCGTTCTAGCCCTGGAAGTTCCAGGAACCGCTATAATCTGCTTCAATTCGCGGGATTCGTCTTCGAACAGTGACATTACTGCGATCCCTCTCTTTTGTCATTGCTACTCTACCCCAAGTATCACCTAGATATTTATGAACATGTCGAAGGGATTTACATGTATGCCAGGCTCTCTTTCCTGTGACTCTTGGTCTTTGTAGCTGCAAGTAGGATCCGAGCTTCACCTTAGTCCTATAGCTGCTAAACATCTTCGCTATATAGCTCTGTAAGCTAATTGCAGGAATCACTGAGCTACACGGCAAGAAGATCTCCAGCACCTGCACTAAGCCTTCGGGGCACGAAAGCAAGACGCTGGCATCACAAGCACAGAGAAGCTCAATGCCGTAAAGTTGTGAAACCGTGGCTTCGGGGAATATGATTGGCACTCAAAAACCTGGATTGCAAGTGGCCTGGCCTGGCACAGTTTCAACTTCGTCGAACTTTGCCTGAGCAGCGAGAGCCTGCAACACACCTCTTCCAAGTCACAGAACGCAGCACATTCGCGCCCGACGGGGCTGCGATTCGAATCGTTCAGTAGAGCATATTCTGTCCAAGTCCGGCTGGTCCTTTCGGCTATCTCGGGTCAAGTCGAATTTCTCCACGTGGGCTTTATTCATCGTCACCACGGCGATTGGCTAATGACCTCCACCACAATCTCCACTCTGGCCGGCGTTCAGCTACTGGATGAACTGAAGTGGGTTTGGTTCACTTGTGGGGAAGTCCGATTCTTGCGAGGGTTTTTCCAAAGCGACAGCTTCTGATCACCAGCCTACCTTCGCATCATTGGCCACTTGAAAAAGATTAGAAGAACTTCTTTGGCGACCCACCCCACCTACCCCATCAAAGGGTTCCATATCTTCTTTCCTCCCGCCACGACCAATCTCGCCTCTTAGTCTAGGATCACACCATGTCCGGCAAGCTTCTCAACGCCGAAGAGGTGGCCAAGCACAACAGCGAACAATCTTGCCATGTTATCGTCCACGGCAAGGTCTACGATGTCACTGAATTCCTTCCTGACCATCCCGGTGGGAAGGGCATCATCCTGAAGTACGCCGGGAAGGACGCAACGTGAGTCTTGATCAATTGGTGATTGACATAAGCAGCATGCTGATATGATCCGCTTGCAGCGAGGCGTACGACCCCATCCATCCCCCTGGTACGCTCGAGGAGAACCTTGCACCTGAAAAGTACTTGGGCGAAGTGGATCAGAGCACGCTTAAGAAGGAAGAGAAGGAGGTCACCGAGGAAGACAAACAGATTGCAAAGAACAAAGAAAATCTTCCGATGCTCAGCCAGTGCCTTAACCTGTACGATTTCGAGGTACGTAGAACTGTCCATTCCACTCCGGTGCGCTTCCTCTGACATTCTTGTGGTCAGGTCGTGGCTCGTCAGGTGTTGAAGGGCACCGCTTGGGCGTACTACTCCTCGGGTGCCGACGATGAAGTGACAATGCGCGAGAACAACACTGCTTTCGGCCGCATTTGGTTCCGCCCGCGTATCCTTCGCGACGTCTCCAACATCGACTTCAGCACCTCACTTTTGGGACAAAAGTCAAAGATGCCTATCTACATCACCGCGACCGCGCTTGGCAAACTGGGTCACCCCGACGGAGAAAAGAACTTGACGATTGCCGCGGGCAAGGAGGGGCTGATCCAAATGATTCCCACACTGGCGTCGTGCAGCTTCGATGAGATCTGCGATGCTCGTGTCCACGAGCAGCAGGTTCAGTTCTTCCAGCTTTATGTCAACTCAAACCGGGCGGTGACGGAGAAGATCATTCGACGAGCCGAGGAACGAGGAGTCAAAGGACTTTTTGTCACAGTCGACGCGCCTCAGTTGGGAAGGAGAGAGAAGGACATGAGGATCAAGTTTGAGGACACAGGCTCGCGTGTTCAAAACGACAGCAAGGACGACGTGGATCGGTCGCAGGGTGCGGCTCGAGCAATCTCCTCCTTCATCGACCCAAGCCTCTCTTGGGATGACCTGCACTGGCTGCGGAGCGTTACCAGGATGCCCATCGTCCTCAAGGGCGTCCAGACATGGGAGGATGCCGTCCGGGCGGCCGAAATGGGTCTCTCGGGAGTCGTTCTGTCCAACCACGGCGGACGACAGCTTGACTTTTCGCGCTCAGGCATCGAGATCCTTGGCGAAGTTGTGCGGGAGCTCAAGGCTCGCAAGTTGTTTTCGCCCATGTTCCAGCTCTTCGTCGACGGAGGTGTTCGCCGCGCCTCAGACGCGCTTAAGGCCGTCGCCATGGGCGCTACAGCTGTCGGAATCGGTCGACCATTTTTGTACGCCTACTCTGCCTACGGCCCTGAGGGCGTACAGCACGCCATTCAGCTTCTCAAGGCCGAGATGGAGATGAACATGAGACTGATTGGTGCGCCCACACTCAAGGACCTCGTTCCCGAGATGGTCGACACCCGCGCACTCAACCAGCACGTTGTCTTCCCGGAGACCAGCGCTAACACTGTCTACGAGAGGATGAGCACCGCTGTTGGATCGCCCGACGAACCGGTGGGCAAACCAGTTGTCAAGCTCTAGCCATATATTTATACTTATTCGATTCGCGATGCGGAAATGCATGACTTGCTCTATTTGACTCTTCCCTCTGCGAACTATCCTGTGTGAAGCTTGCCTCAGGCAAAACAGAATCTTTCATTTGGACGAAGCGAATGACAGGATCTTAAGCGAAAGAAAGGGCCAAAATGACAAGGAAACACCTGAAAGGAGCTTTTTAGGGAAAGAAACTTGCGACTCCGAGCTTCTTGCAAGCGTTCGTGGCCCACGTCCTGCCTTGGTGTAGTCTGCAGTCTGGGTCATATTTTTCTTTGACCTGGATGAGCCTGTCTACGTTGTCACCAAAAAGGCGGCGGGCCGTGACGTTGGGGCTCATATAATTGGGGTAGTCTGCGACGAATGGAGGGTCGAGCTGAGCCTGACGATCCCAAGTGATCTTGTTGAGCATGTCATTTACATGGTAGACAAGGGCATCGTTACTCGATCTGTTCCAGGCGGGCGAGAAGAGCGTCTGGTGTGCCGTGACGGCATGGGGCCATGCTGTGTCGTCATCGTTCTTGGGCTGATGGCCGTTCAAGCCCGGAAACTGATATTGGAGCGCGTAGATATGCGAGACCGGGCTCTCGCCCGTCGCCTGTAGATCACTGACGCTCTTGGCGACGACATCCGTGACCTTGGCGATGAAGTCAGCATCAACCTCGGTCACTCGGGAGCCCCAGAATCCTCGCCGGCTGCCGTAGGGAAAGAAAGGTTCCAATAGGTAGGTAGTCGCTGAAGCAAAAGGAACCTCAGAAATCTGCTGAGCAGTGAAATCGATGCCGGAGAGCAAGCCCCGAAAAGTCTCGTTGAAGGATTTTTGTTTCGGATCGTTGGGATTCGAGAAGCGCAGCGCGACAATCAGATCTGTCGGTTCCGTTGAGTTGCCCTGAAGTGCGGGGGGAAAGAGGCCGGTGTCGTAGTACATCAGGCTGAAGGGGTCGCCGCCCGATTTACCGTGATTAGTGAAAAAGTCGGCAATATTTTCGTACGCCTTGCGTTTGTTCGCCTTGCCTGGAGCGATGAAGAAGAAGCCAAGTTGTGACTGCGTCGGCTCTGCAGCTGCCTCCTGATAAAATGTTGTCACAGCGCCAAACTGACCATTACCGCCCTGCAGAGCCCAAAATAGGTCCGAATATTTATTCGTCTTCGTCGCATTCACCATGCGTCCATCTGGCAAGACCACCTCGAACGCTCGCACGCGATCTACGGCGAAGCCATAGCTTCCTCCTAAGAAACCTACTCCACCTCCCGTACTGAATCCGCCGACGCCAACATTTCCAACGCGGGCGCCGATGGCGGTGTAACCGCTGTTGTTGGTGACCTTAGCGACGCCTTCCCAAGTTGCGCCGCTCTGATACTGAATGGCAGTATCTATAGACGCATCGTCGACTTTTACGTTGTGTAATATTTTGGTTTGGTTCATCCATGAGAGGTCGATTTGGAAGCCCTTTGTGCTCGAGGCAAATGTCTGTGCATGGGCGCCGCTAACGAAGGAGAGGCCATTGCCGCATTTGCTCTTCTTGGAAGCCTTCATCGCCTTGCTGACGTCTTCGGTCGTCGTGGGAAATACGACGACGCTGGCATTTTTGCCGTACTGTTTGCCCCAGTAGCGATTGGCGGAGAAGATGCTGAGTGGCTGACCTTTGCACGAGATGATGGAATTTGGTGAGAGCTGCTTGGCCAAGATGTTGAGAGCTTCGTCGTCCCTAATGCAGTCGCCCTCAACGCGCGCTGCTCGGCACGAGACAAATAGGAGACTATAGACGAGTGGCAGCAAAGGACACAACATTGTGCAGCTGGTCGAATGGACGAGAGAGCACGTAGGGCAAGGGCGTGGCTTCGCTCGATACCTTAAGAAGCCGTCAACACTCTATATACCAAGTCTGCGCAGTGGCAACCATACGGTCTCGGAGTTAGTATTCAGGGGCCGCACCGTACACGGTGGCCTCCGATCAGGCACAGGGTCAGGATTACGGGGTTAGGACTACGGCATTCACGTACGTCCGGCGTCCACGTCAAGAGCTTATGGAATTGACTTGGAAATCCGTGCACGCAGTCTTTGACGGAGTTGAGGAAGTGCCTCGGTCGAAACGATGGTTCCCAACGGAGTGTTCAAGCAAATTCGAAAAACCGATGAGGAGCGTCATAGACCGCTCAGGCTGCACCTGGTTTCTGAGTTGACCCCGCTGTTGCGACGGCGGCGAAGCCGTTGGCTCCCACGATCGTTCAGGGCATAGTAAAGGGGTTTTATCATCATAAAAAAAAACGTAGTGGGCGCAGTGGTGCACGCGCTAGCCCAAAAAGTCCAAGCTGATCATCCAGAATCCCTCAATTTGTGAACAAGTTATATACTTCAAAAGAGCCAGATTTTCTAGCTATCGCCTCCGTAGCTCAGTGGCAGAGCAGCGCCCTCCTATGCAGATTCCATCCGGAATTTTGGATATAGGCGAAGGTCTGGGGTTCGAGCCCCCACTGAGGTTTTTTTTTTTTAACCGATTTTGCGCGATCTTCTCTTTCTTTTGGGAGAGCATTGTTGTCACAGCTTCTTACATGCCTTACGAGGCGAGAGATGGCCGCGTACAGCAGTCAGGGTGAAGCAGATACACGGGGTCATTTCGGCACCGCCCCAGTCGGACAATTCTCCGCTACATAGCACCGATGGAAAAAAATTCTGGCGAAAGCTGCAGTACGTCATAGCTAAGGGTGGGGGGTTCGAGCTTTACTTTAATTTTTTGCCGTAACGCTCCTGCTACTCTTACAAGTGTTTGGAGTTTCAGCGCCAAAGTTAGGTAGGCACAAGGGTTCATTACTGATCCCGATGGAGCTGGCGAAGGATGAGGGATGATGCAGGCAAGCTTAGTGCAGAGGCGCACGATCATTTAACAGTGTTACCGATAAGGGAAATAAGCCCTAGGGACATAATGTGCCGCGCTTCCTCCCGGTGCTGGATCGATTGTAGTGTTACTGACACTATTTGCACAGCCTCGATTGGGCCCTGCTTAAGGCAAGGCTAGTGACATCTGCGGTGACATCAAACGTCATCGGACTGCTGCCCTCGTCCATCTTTCTCTTAAAAGAGACACATTGCCGGTCAATTCCCTCTTCTGAAGACACCCGATTCTGTGATTGATCATCCATCCAACCGCACGTTCAATACCCACCCATCCACCTCCGCATCTTGTAAATATGGGCGCCGTCGCTAGCTGCTTGAGCTCCATCGTCTCGTCGATTGGACGGGCCATCATGGCTGTCTTGAACGGCATCGTCAGCATCGTTGGCGCTGTGTGAGTACTAATAGGCCCGTCCTCCAGCAACAAAGAAACTGACTCGCAAGCACCAACCATCAGCATCAACGCAATCAGCACGGCCCTCATTGCGACGTTCAACTGCATCGCCGATGTCATCTGCTGCCGCTGTGGCGGTCGCGGCGGCGGAAGGCGCAGAAAGGTCTGAAGTGGTACAAAATGAGGCCCACCTAGCTACGACGACTCCCCGTAACGATTGCGATACCCGAGACAAGTGGCCTCTTGACGAACCGCTAGACGACAACTCTGCCCTTTTACTTCTCGTCTGCTCGCACAAGACTATGTAATGTCATACACGATGATCCCGTACACCTTTCTTCCACACGCGTGATGTTCTGATGAAGCCTCTCGCCATCCATTGGATTGGGACAGAGAGTCAATTGTCTAGGATGTACAAGGAGTTGTGTTTGGCGTTCAAGCCTTTTGAAGAAAGAAGTAGCGCAATGATTGACTAAGACTCGTCGTCGAGGAAGAAGTAGTTGCCAGACGACTTCTGCTCCTTGTCCTTGATCGAATTGAGCTTGTTGACTCGCGGCCGGAAGTTTGTGGGATCTCTCCGCATGGAAACCTCGAGCACGGCCAGGAACGAGTTCATGCCCGTCACTAGAGAGTAATAGTCAGCAGCCAATTGGATAGGAACAGCAGGAATAAGATAAACTCACGCAAAGACTCGGGCTTCTTGGCTGTTGCGTGTACCGAAGGCTGGCCCTCGTACACGATGACTCGGTCGGCAAGATAGGTAGCCATGATGATGTCGTGCTCGATGATCAATGCCGTCTTCTTGGAATGAAGGATGAACCTCTTGATGACCCTACTCGCAATGATACGCTGCTCGGAATCGAGGTAGGCGCTCGGCTCGTCGATCAAGTAAATGTCCGCAGGTTTGCCGAGGGCCAGGACCAAGGCAACCCTCTGTAGCTCGCCACCGGAGAGCGTTTGCACGTCTTGATCGATGATATTGTCGAGCTGCATAGGCTTGACGACATCGGTGTTGAACTGCGGGTGCATGAAAGACATCTTGATCTGCTTGAGCAACAGCATCCGGACCGTACCCTGGAACTTAGGAGCGATTGTTTGGGGCTTGAGCGAGACGTTGAGCTGAGGGGGTTTCGCTGCACCCGGGTCGGGTTCCAGTTTACCGGCCAGCATTTTAACGAATCTGTGCGAATTCAAGGTAAGCTCACGTTCAGCACATACATCATTATGCTACTCACGTTGTCTTTCCGGTTCCGTTCTCTCCCAAAAAGACAATGATCTCCGAGTCGCTGACCGAGCCAGGCTCAATGTCCAGCTTGAAGTTGCCCAACGTCTTTGTCATGGCGGGGTATTCAAACGTCCGAAGTCGATCTTGCACCTCTTCCTCAGCTGTCTCGGCGATCTTGAAGGTGAGCGAGTCCTCTCGGAAGCGCATGTTCTCCGCGGGGATATAGCCATCGAGAAAAATGTTGATACCATCGCGCACTGGACTGGGAACAGTGACGACGCCATACACGCTGGGAACACCGTAGAGACAGCAGATGAAGTCGGAGAGGTAGTCCAGGACGGACAGATCGTGCTCGACGGCGATGACGTAGGTCTTTTCATCCAAAAGGCTTCGGATCATTCGCGCTGCGTTGAGACGCTGCTTGACGTCAAGGTAGCTCGATGGCTCGTCGAACATGTACCTGTGCCGGATGCTCAGCATCGCAGTCTTCCCCTTCTCCATAAAAAGTGCTGCACTTACACATTTGCGGTCTGGACACAACTCATACCGATGGCGAATCTTTGCAGCTCTCCGCCACTGAGCTGCTTGACGTCTCGCTGCAGAACCTCCTTCAAGTCCAGCACGCTGACAATCTCCGCCTTATTGGCTCTCTCGAGCTTGCCATCAAGCATGTCCGAGACCGTCGCACTACCCTTGATCGCTCTTGGGATGTGATCGACATATTGCGGTTTGATCAGGGCCTTGATGTCATCCTCGAGAACCTTCGTAAAGAAATTTTGGAGCTCTGAGCCTCGGAAGTATTTGAGAATCTCTTGCCAGTCCGGCGGGTCCTGTGGAAATCAAGAAAGGCGTCAGAGCAACGTCGGTAGAGGGCTGAGTCGGGCATGACGCACATCGTATCGCCCCAAATTGGGCTTTTGCTTGCCGGCAAGAATCTTCAATGCAGTGCTCTTGCCAATGCCATTCGTGCCCACCAGTCCGAGCACCTGGCCAACACGTGGGGTCGGTAGTCTATGGAGCTTGAAGGAGTTGGCGCTGTATCGGTGGGTCGTCTCGGCCTCGAGGTTGGTGGGGAGCTTGATGATGTTGATGGCCTCAAATGGGCACTTCTTCGTGCAGATACCGCATCCGATGCAGAGAGGCTCCGAGATGAAGGCAATCTTGGCCGTGGGCGTTACCTCGATGCACAGCCGCCCTGAACGACGTCTTGTCAGCCATGCGCCTGATTGCTCGCCTGCGAAGCCTCGTCGATCACTCACCCATACGAACGACGGGACAGCTCTTCTTGCACTCTTGTCGGCATTTTTTGGGCTTGCACTTTTCAGTCGAGACTGTCGAAAAAGGCCGATCAGCTAAGTCCTTCTCAAGATGCTCCACGCAGGGCGCTGTGTCTCACCAATGGCGATTCGTGTCTCCTTGGACGAGGGTGCTGGTGCCGGCGCCATCGTTGCGGTTCGCCTTGGTGATGCAGCGGTCGCTCTTTTCTTGTTTGCAGGACGAAGGGGAAGCGGACGCGTTGAGCCAGACAAAACAAAAAAACCCGCCAGATCCAATTGTCTTTGGCCATTTTTAATCGTCAATTCAAACGGCAAAACAATTCACGTGCTTCGTACTCATCCACGTGATCGTGTTGCTTTCGGTGCCCTTTTGCGACCTCGATCCTTCTCGAGTCAGAAGACGTCTAGAGGACTTGGATGTCAGTGAGGTGTGCAACGTACGCAGCGACGAGGAACCTCTTTCGATTGTCGCCAGCACCATACAGCCGCACGTACCCTTCAACAGCTGCCAAAAGGAGCTGGACAGCACTTTCGCGGCGCACCATGGCAACCAATGTTGTGCCCGGGGCAGACCCCGATGCGCCTCTGCCTCACTCTGTGCAGGGCATCAAGAGGGACGCTCACCCTTTCTCGAGACCACAGCTCGAGGGTCTCATGACCAAGCGTTTCTTCTACACCCAGGCCTTTGAGATCTATGGTGGAGTCGCTGGTCTGTACGACTACGGACCGACGGGTGCCTCTCTCCAGGCCAACATCATTTCGGCCTGGCGCCAGCACTTTATCCTCGAGGAGGAGATGCTGGAGCTTGACACGACAATCATGACGCTCTCCGATGTGCTCAAGACCTCGGGACACGTCGATAAGTTTGCCGACTGGATGTGCAAGGACCCAAAGACGGGCGAGATCTTCCGTGCGGATCACCTTGTCGAGGGGGTCCTCGAGGCGAGACTCAAGGGCAACGAAGAGGCGAGAAAAGCCGAGGGTGGTGGTGAAACCGGAGCAAAAAAGGAACAGGCAGTCCCAGCAGAGGGAGGACAGGATGACAAGAAGGCAAAGAAGAAGAAGGCAAAGAGCGCAATTGTCAAGCTGGACGACGCCGTCGTGGAGGAGTACGAGAGCGTACTGGCACAGATCGACAACTACACGGGAAAGGAGCTCGGCGACTTGATCCGAAAGTTTGAGATTAAAGCACCAGAGAGCGGCAACGAGGTGTCGGAGCCTGTTGAGTTCAACCTGATGTTCGAGACGTCGATTGGTCCCACCGGTCAGGTAAAGGGGTGAGTTGGTGCTCTTCGGAATTACTCCTTTTCTTTTAAATTTTTGCATCCAAACTCACGATGGCCACCCAGCTACCTTCGTCCCGAGACTGCACAAGGCCATTTTGTCAACTTTGGAAGGCTCTTGGACTTCAACAATGGTCGTGTCCCCTTTGCGAGTGCCCATGTCGGTAAATCGTTCCGTAACGAGATCAGCCCGCGCGCTGGCCTGCTTCGGGTGCGAGAATTCACCATGGCCGAGATCGAGCATTACGTAGACCCGCTGGAAAAGGATCATGACCGCTTCGACGAAACGGCTGGTCTCACACTCGCTTTTTTGCCCAAAGACGTGCAGCAGTCCGGCAAGAGTGACCTGTCCCATATCACAATCGGCGAGGCCGTCAAGTCGGGCATGGTCGACAACCAGACGCTGGGCTACTTTTTGGGCAGGATCCACCTGTTCCTCCTCAAAATTGGTATCGACCCAAAGAGGCTCCGCTTCCGTCAGCACATGGCAAACGAGATGGCCCACTACGCATCCGACTGTTGGGACGCTGAAATCCAGACGAGCTATGGCTGGATCGAATGCGTTGGCTGCGCAGACCGAAGTGCGTATGACCTGACGGTCCACAGCAAAAAGACCAAGAAGGACCTCATCGTCCGCAAGGCTCTGTCCGAGCCCCGCGTTTACGACAAGCTCGTGCCTGTGATTGAAAAGAAGCTGCTGGGACCGAAGTTTAAGAAGGACGCTAAGGCCGTGGAAGAGGCAATCATGGACCTCTCCGAGGAGCAACTGGAGGTGCTCAAGAGCCACCTGGAGAATGGCACAGCCAAGGTCAAGGCTGGCGAGCAATCCTTCGAGGTGACACCGGAGTTGGTCAAGGTTGAGAAGCGCACCATCCGCGAGTCGGTTCGCGAGTTTACGCCAAACGTCATTGAGCCTTCGTTCGGCATCGGGCGAATCTTTTACGCGCTCCTCGAGCACAGCTTCTGGGCGCGTGAGGACGACAAGGACCGCGGCGTGCTGTCGCTCCCGTCCCTTGTCGCTCCAATCAAGGCCTTGGTGGTGCCGATTAGTTCCAACGACAAGCTGGCGCCGCTGGTCAAAGAGGTTTCCAGGAAGCTGCGAGCCAAGGGTATTTCGAGCCGCGTCGATGACTCGAGCGCCACCATTGGCCGACGATATTCTCGCAATGATGAGCTCGGCACACCTTTTGCGTGCACACTCGACTTCGCCAGTCTTAGCAAGGGCACGGTGAGTAGTCACCTGTTGGTTCCCTTTGATGTTGCCAACGCCGAACTGACCCTCTCATTGGCCCAGATGACACTGCGAGAGCGAGACTCGACAAGCCAGCGAATTGGCTCCGTCGACGAGGTCATTGCCGTCATCAAGGAGATGTGCGACGGTACTATCTCATGGGAAGGTGCATGCGAACGCTTGCCTGCTTACAGCGGCGAGCAGTCGCTCGACTGAAATGACGCCTCGTCATCTTGTAATTTTTCTCCTTCTCCCTCCCTCATAGTCAGTCAAATGATCTATTGATACAAGTCAGCAGGCCTCGACTGCCCTTAGACGTGCTCGGCGTCTGGTCCATCTTCGGGTACATCATCTTCATCAGGCTCTTCCCGCAGCTCTTCTGGCTCTTCACCCTCTCCCCGGGGCTCTTCTTCCTCTTCTTCCTCGTCATCGTCCGCCTCATCCGTAGCACCTTGCTCTCCTTCTCCTTGTGGTTCCCCAGCTGCAGCTCCCTCGCCATCGTCGCCTAGCTCTGTTTCTTCCCCACCATCGCCGACTGCCTCGCCGTCGGTACCCGCTGCCTTTGCCTTTGCCTTTCTCTCTTCTTTGCGCTGTGCCAGCTTTTCAGCATCGGCCTCTTGTTTCTCTGTGGTAGAAGGCCTTGTCAGCTCCCACTTCTACCGCTCCCGGCCGGTGACACAAGCTCACCAGCGACAGCCTCCCGCAGCTCCTTCACGTAGTTTTCGGGAAAGCCAGCTTCCTTGAAGGCGCTTACGACGGTGGTGGCCGTGATCGTCTTGTGCCCCTGCTCGTGCGTCTTCTCCAGCGCAGCGGCGGCGAGGTAGTTGATGAAAACCGTTGAGCTCTTCATAAGGCCCATAATGACCTCGCGCCGAAGCTGAATATTGTCCGGAATCTGCAAACGAGACTTTGAGTCAGACTAACAGAGGAAAACGAAGCTTCTGAGCATCGAGCACTTCGTGCTTACAGCAGACTTGGCCACTTTGGTCACTTGAGTCCGCGCCAGCTCGTAGGCGTCGATTCCATCTGAGCCACCGGCCGCCTCTAGCTGCTGGTTTGTCACAAACGAAGCTTCTGCCTGGGGCACCACCGAGTCATCTGCGTTCGAGCCCACAGCAGGCGAATCAGCCATCGATTCGTCCATGGCCGAGGCATTCCCGGCGTCTGCGGTGGCTGCTTCCGCTGCCGGCTTCTTTCGCGGCGGCATCGTTTTTGTGCTGAATGAGAATGAGGAAGAGAGAGAGGTGCAATTTCGACTGCACGCGTCGCGCGTCTATCAGCGGTGCTTCACTGCACTTCTGCAAGCCCGATTCCCGGATCTCGAGCCTTTCTTCTCTTTCAGCATTGATCTTGGCACACGCACTCATCTTCTTCTGCTCGCATGACGATGGCCCGAGACACCTCAGAGGCTATCCGGGCGGCCACAAATGGGCAACATGATGCTCATGGAGCCGCAATGTCAAGTAATTCGGAAAAGGTGGCTCGCTACCTCGAGGTGATCCAGAAGCTGGTCACGGCCTGTGAGTCAGCCTGAGATCCTGAGCTCATCATGCTCATGATTGACGTCGCGACAAACATGGACAGGGATGAAAGAGGGAGAGAATGACAGAACTCCTGTCGCAAAGTGGTCTGACAGCAAGTCTCTTCGAGAGAACGTCCGGCTACGTGTGCACGAGGGCGACGGCGTGGGGGACGAGGCGCTGTTCGAGGCCATGTCGGAAGTGCTCGACAACAGCGTTAATCCGTGGACGGGCCGGTTTCTCGACAAGCTCTATGCAGCACCACAGCCGCTGGGCGTAGCGTCAGAGACGCTCTTGGCGGCCATCAATGCGAATGCCCACGTCATGTCCGCCTCGCCGATGCTCTGTCTCGCGGAAGAATGCTGCGCATCGGCCTTCGCGAGATTGTGTGGTTGGGACGAGGTGAGAATGACTCTTTTGTGCGAACGATGCTTTGCTGAGACGAGAATATAGGCCCGCTCTGATGGGCTGACGATGCCAGGTGGATCCTCATCGAACACTTTAGCGGTGCAGACTGCCCTGTCGACACTTTTCCCTTTCTTTCACACCGACGGCGTCTTAGGGATCGGCCAGGAGCTAGCCAACCGTGGCTTGCAAGGTCGCTCTGCCGCTGCTTGCCGGCCTCTTATCTTCACCAGCGAACAGTCACACTACAGCCTAGACAAGGCCGCCATCGCGTGCGGTCTCGGTCTGTCGTCCGTGGTCAAGGTGGCTTGTGACGATCGCGGACGAATGGATCCGAAGGAGCTCGAATTGCTTCTCTCTGCTGCCTTCAGCAAAGAAAATACCGCCTCATCGCCCCGAGGTTTTCCCTTTTTTGTCAATGCAACCTCTGGCTCGACCGTCATGGGGTCATTCGATCAGCTCGACGAGATCGCTGCGGTGTGTCGAAAGCAGCCGCACCCTGTCTGGCTCCACGTCGACGCATCTTGGGGTGGTCCCGTATTGTTTTCTCAAAGCGCAAGAAAACTTATGAGCGGCATCGAAGCTGCCGACTCGATGGCCATCAACCCTCACAAGCTTCTGAACATGTGAGTCTCCTCAAAGCTTCTGGTTCTAACGCCCGACGCTAACCGATGCCATTCAGACCGCTCCAATGCTCCTTTGCGCTCTTCCGCAACGGAAATGCTCTCGACAACAACGCTCTTGACGCACCGTACCTCTTCCACGGTCGAGATTCAACGTCGAAGGAGCAAAAGGACGCCGAGCGAAAGCTGGCGCGAAGAGAAAATCCAGCTTTGATGGCATACGGCTGCGGGCGGCGAGGCGATGCGCTCAAGATGTATCTCGCTTGGCTCAGCGCGGGCTCGGTGGGCTTTGCCAGGCACGTAGAGCGAGGTATGAGCCTGGCCAGAGAAATCGTCGATTTGATTCGAACGCCCGCATACGCATCCAGGCTGGAGCTGGGCCCGGCGTCTGCCTCGGACGAAGACGATGACGGGCCTGCATTTCTGCAGGTCTGCTTCCGGCCCGCATTGCCGCAGGGCCAATCTTTCAAAGAAGAGCAAGAAAGGAGCGAGATCTTATCCAAGGCCACAAGACATGTCTATGAGACGCTCAAGGTGCGCAAGAGATTCGCCGTCGACTTTGCACCACTGCCTCGAGGCATCGGCGACTTCATCAGGTGAGCTGCGCTAACTTCGTTTCATCTCAACCTGCTAATATTACCCGAACAACAGGCTCGTCACACATCCTTCCACGACGGTAGAAAACTTAAGAGATCTTGTAGAACAGGTGGCCGTCATCGGGGAGGAATACTTGAGTAGAGAAGGGTAGATGATCCCAAATGGTATTTCACTACTACTGCTACTGCATAAGACGAAGATTCTTTGAATAAGGGACCGATGGGAGATTCAACTTGAGGTTTACAAGAAGAAGTAGGGCGGTGATTAGGTGATGAGCTTCTTGGATGGCACCCTTTACATGCTGAAGGCAACGAGGCCAGCAGCGCCGAGGCTGAGAGCGCCAAGGACGTTAACGACCATCGACGAGGCACCGTCCTTGCCAGAGCTGCTGCCGGAGCCAGTGGTGGACGTGCTGGCGGAGGCGGGCTCAACACCGTTGGTGCCGTTACCGTAGGACTGGCCGGTCTGGGCGCACGAGGATGGGTCGGCGACGGGGCACGAAGTAGCGAGGCAGATCGACTGGCTGGCGTTGGCGCCACCTCCGATCGACGCCGGGGCAAGGCAGCGCTTGTTGAACATGCTGTTGAGGGCGCCGCCGATGGCCGTCGCGTCTTCGGTCGTGACGCCGAAGCTGGTAGCGGAAGCGCCGACCTCCTGGATGAAGTAGTTCATCTCCGTCTCGTTGAGGTTCATCTGCAAAGCCTCTCATTAGAATACTTCTTCACGGTGTAACCTCGTTACTGCTCCTCAGAAAGACTCACGAAGCGGTGAACCTCGGACATCGAAGTCCTGCCCTCGTAGTTCTTGAAGGGCGACGAAGAGTTCTGGGCCGAGCAGCCGAGAAGGACACCAAAGAATTCGTACAGGTGCGTGATAAGCATGTACTGCTTGGACGAGGTCATGTTGGCGTAAGCGGCCATGTTCGACATGAGGGGAGCGGCTCCGCCACCGTCAAGGAAGTTGACCGACTGTGCGTTGCCATTGACGTTCGTGCTCTTGAGCGTACCGTCGAAGTACTGTGGGCAAAGGAGAAAATTTAGTCAAGATACAAAAGACACGAAAGGCACCGTCAAGAAATTACGTACAGGGAGCAGGTTGACCATGGGGCCGGTGCCGTTGACCTGGCCGGGGTTGAGGATACCCGTGACGTTGTTCTTGGGTGCGCCAGCAGGGTTAGGGTAGTTTCCGATCAGGGCCGTGTTGACAACAAGGGTCAGGACCGTGAGCTGGTTGGTGGCATTGTTGGTCTTGAGGAGCGCAGTCGTGTACTTGTCGCACGGCGTCTCCGCGGCCTGGCCAGCGACCGAGGCAATGGCTGCAGCAGCAGCGGTGAAGGTTGCAAGGAACTTCATGATCGACTTTGTGGATGAGTGAGTGTGAAGTGGTGGTTACGGTGTGAGAGATTGCTCTTGGGTGGTATAGAAGAAGGAGGAAGTGGGGCTTTAGACGAACTCGCTCAACCGTCAGCCCCGCTATAAGAGAGAATCATGCGACCAACCTCGTCGGCACAAGGTCCGAGCGACGGAATCATGCTATCCTGTTTCTTTCTGTATTCAGAAAAGGCGCGAGAACACACTATTAACGAGGGCAGCTGCTCCAAGAGTACTCTTCTTTGTGGGCATTCGGCAGTTGAAGAATGGCCATGCATGGATGCTGGCCTTGTACCGTAACGGTAACGAAAGAATGGAAGTTACGCTACCATCAATTAGAACACCACTTCAACCAATCAATCTCATTTGCAATGATGGAGCGGTAACGAATCGAATGACTTTTGCCTCGCCTCTGGTTGGCTGCCTGTCAGCCCCCCTGTGAGCGCTCAAGAGGCTTGTCCGCCTCGAGAGGCTGCTGGGTGAGGGGCAAGAGGAATGAAGGGGCTAGAGGAAGAGCATAAGAGATGGAATGGCCTCTGTCCATTTGCCGGCAGGTCTTGCCTCTGAATTGGATTTGTAATGCTCACACTCTGATTGTATGGCTTGCCCAGAGAGAGTAAGAGGAGTGACCCGCGTGCTGGGCTATGGGTCACGCCTCACGCCAGGAAATTAGAGCTCGTAAGGTCCAGGCGGTGGGCGAATCAGGCCATTTTGCCCGGAGGCAGCTGAATTGCCAGCTTAGATTTTCATAATGTTTGAATTACCAACATCTCGATTGGATCAAGCACCGGCAGACTCTGGCGTTCGGATGGAACTGGTGTGGGTCAGAGATTTTGGATCGTCGATCGACATTATGAGGTCAGCGCCTAGGCTGTAGGCTCCTGGCCTGCCTCGTGCCTTTCTTCTCCTCATGCACGCGTGCGCGTTAAGGGAGTCGTTGAGCTCCAGAACCCGTACGCTTCGGCTGCATGCTTGCTTTGAGCTAGGGGCAGGTGGAGCGAATCGCGCTCCGCTATCCTACTGACGTCGCTCCAATATGCCACAAGGCGCGGGAAGGTCGCACCGTTTTCATTCCATGAACGTGGCTTATCTGCGTGCTGGTCTTTGGATAGCCTGCCAGAGAAGTAGGAAGGCCTTTCGAGAATGTTGCTATTCGGATCCGGGTGCGATGTTACTACTGACCAGGGACTGCAACCGCTACGGAAGAGAAACTATATTCTTCGTCTAAGGTTTTGAGAATGCAAAATGATACACAAACAATACAGTACAGTGTTGTATAAGCGAGCCATCGAAGGGCAATGTTGCACAGCGGTCACAGCGCAGGGAGTCTGCCCCTGACGTTCTTGTTGCAGAATTCGAAGAGCTTTCTGCCCGCTTCGATGCCAATGAGGTGTTGAATCTCGTCGAGCTCGAGCTCGAAGAGCTCTGCAAGGTCTCTGACCGAGTTGGACACGAGCCTGAAGTTCTTCGTCGTGATGCCTGGTAGAGAGAGGAGAATGTCCTGTGGCGTCATGTTCAGCGAATTCTCCGAAAAGGCAGAGGAAGAGGAGTTTTCGTCGAGACCGACGGCGGCCACCTTGTCGAGATCCGGCTCGTCATAGTTGTTTTTCAGCTCGGCAAAGATGTCCGATGTGGCATAGGGCGAGCTGGACCAGATGATTCTCAATCGAGGAAAGGCGATCGTCAAGAGTACAAGTTTCGACTGGATGTCTACGTCCTGCGACTTGGTCTTTGTCGTAATCGCACGAGAGACAATCTTGCCCTTTGCCTCGTTCATCGACTGGAGCGAGAAGGATTTATCCTGATCGAACTCGATGAGGAGTATCGGATGCTGGTAGTGGACCGACATGAGCTCGCACTGGGTGTAGAGTCGTCCCGAATTGAAGCTCTGGATCAGGTCCGACAGACTCTTTCGCTCGACGCACATGTCGCTGGTGAGGATGTAGTCGCCCACCTGCAGCGTACAGGGCACAACCTGGAGGCCGGCACCATGGAGCATCGACGGGAGGCTCGATCTAAATTCACGTAGGTCGACGATGACTCGTGGCGGTTCAGACGTGGCGGTCCTCTGGCCACCTGCCAATCGGCTGTTGATGGTACGCAAGAGCCTCTCATCGGAAGACTGCTCTGCGGGCCTTCCGTCGGCTTGCAATGGCAACGCCATCATCTATGAGATCGTGTCAGCATCTCAATAGCCGATTCTTTTGGATGGAAGCAGAGTGACTCACCGACTTCTCTCGGATGAGTCGCTCGAAGCTGTCCTTCTCGCGACGGAGGCTGCTGAGGTAGCGCTGCTCCTCGACTGATTCGGCGTACATGAGAAAGTACACGCGGATGCTGACATGCGGGTGTGTGCTCCGGTATACCTCGATTCTGCGAACAAAGGATGGCTCCGGATCATACATAACGATGAAGCGAGGCTGCAGCTCCTCGAGATTCCGGTCATCATCATCACCACTATATGGTCGTACCACGACGAGATCGCTCATATCGAGAAGGCCAAAATAGTTGTCAAAGTCGACCTGCGTGAAGGTATCGGCAGAAGATTCCGAATTGATCGCTCCTTCGGCTGGTTGTTCCGCTTCTTCGTCCACTTCATTCCTTTGCGCTGCGCTGTCCATGAACTGGGCCAAGCTGTTGGCTTCTGATTCGAGGGCTTCGGGTGCACTTCGCAAGTCGCCTTGACTGGTCGCAGAGCTGGCAGCGGTGCTCCCTCCCCTCTGTCGCCGTCTCTTGTTAGGTGGAGCGCGACCTCTCTCCCAGACTTCTTTCCTTTTCAGTCCTTCGCTTTCATATTGGCCTTGCGCTCCTCGGGACGCGTCTCCGTTGGTGTTGCTTGTCCCCGGCTGTGGTGCAACATCGGCCGTGGTTCTCAGATTGCTGTTCATGTTGCCCAGGCCACCCTTCCAAAGAAAGTAATTACGAAGCTGCTTCTCCATCAATTTTCGCCCGGGTGTCGCATCCTCTTCCCTCGATGCGCCTCCCAAGATCGACGCATCCATAGACGAGACGTAGTCGCGCAGCTGTGAGCATGTCCTCTCTGTCTGCGTCATGATCAAGATCGTATTGGTTTTGTTACCAGCTGTAGTAATTTTGAGAAGCGAGTCAATGGATGCAGCAAGAAGATTGTCCTCCCAAGACGTACTCAAGTCTGTATCCGTCCAATGAATGTCCTGTTCGATCTCATCGAGGACCTCTCGGAGAAGATGCCACTTGGGCAGCTCCTCGAGTGTGGGTTCCACTCCCGGTGGCAACCACCACGGTCGGACGGCAGCTGAGGACGTCGAAGGACCAAAAGCGGCTTCCTCTTCCTCCATGCTGATACCATCGTTGGATTCGGATTGCTGCGAGCTCGGTTGCTTCTTCACATCACCAATGAAGGCACGGGCCTTTGCCTCGCGAAAGATGACGTTTGCCGCTTCCATGAACAGCCACGGGCTTTGATTCTGCTTGGGCGCGCCTGGGATGCTGCTGCTTCCGCTTGATTGGGAGGCCAAGATCGTCTCAAGATAGGAGTGAAAGGTGACAGAATCGTACGTGATCAGATAGCTGCCACCAAAGTCAGCTGTGATGCATGTTTTCCTCTCGGCACATTTGCTCACGTCAACAGAGAGCGCAGGGTTCGAAGATCGTTGACGAGCTGCTTCGTCTTGGGACCTAGCCGATGCCACACGGGATCAAGCTGCCTGCGAACGATGGTCTCAAAGGCTCTAAAAATTGCATTCTCGACGGTGCAGTCATCGACGTCGATCTGGGGAGATGGGAGAGTGAGCAGAGGGTGAAGAGTCGAAAGTCTGCAGATGCTTCACTCACAGTGGAGCTGCCTCGCTTGAGCTCACCAAGCGTGGCATCTAAGCACTCTACGATTGCGTTTTGAATGTTCCTCATCGATCGCGACAGGGGCTGATGCAGCTCAATGACATCGGCCCTTCGCTTTCCCAAGTCGCGAATGATGTTCTTGTGAAAGCGAGGCCACAGCTCGACGCGGCGCATGTGTAATTGGCCCAGCACCGTCTGCAGTGGGCTCAGACCACCGGCAAAGTGCTCGGGCTCGTCTGAGAACGCCTTGATAAATCCTTCCTGTGGGCGCATCAGCCAATTATGACAGGGATCCTTGCTCGTGACTGAGCAGGCGCACCTTGTTTTCCTGTCTAAAGATCCGTGCGATGAAGCTTTCGACGCATGTCGGCGAGATTCTGGAGGCGAGAAACGGGTGAGAAAAGAGACGAGTGCGACTGCGCGCATAGGACAAATTCACCTCTCTGCATGCAGGACCACGAGTCCCGTGATGAGATCGGTGGGGATCATCTTGTTGAGCATGTCTACGACGAGAATCCTTGAAGTGACGCTGAGAAGGCCACCTGATAGGTAGAGCTCTTGTCTGGCGAAAGGTAGGGTGATTAATGAGGCAAAGTCGTTGCTGTCTCCGTCCACCTTGCATGCATCACTCACCTCACTTTCGCAGTCGTCTCGTGTCCGATACTTCGGAGGCCAGGCTTGCGCACACCCATCGTCGTCAGTTCGTCACCCAGTCCCTTCTCCTCTTCGGCGCTGGCATTGACAATGACGACGAGGTGCTGCGGGCCGTCATACAGCCTGAGGATGCTGGCGACGATTGAGCGGATGCCCAGTCCCCGGGCCATGACCAAGAGAGCGTCTGGGTCATCCTGGTCCTCATCCGACGAGCTTCCCAGCCGCTCCGAGTCGTCTTCACGGCGTCCTCCGCTGGGCGCAGGGATCAGGGAGCGGATGATGTGCTTCTGAAAGGGAAGAAGGTTGCCAATGGACGCAAGGGCGCTTACGTTCGCGTCGGCCTCGCTGGGGTGGGTAATGTCGTGCCTTGCGGGTCGCGAAGCCATGGCGGACGGGCGGGCGGGTGGGCGGGCAAGCCCCTCCAAGTCGTGCCTCCTGATCGCCGCCGCCAAGGCAGCAATTGATCGATGGGCGGCCGGAGTTGAGCTGAGTTGGCAGGCGAGAAGGCAGAGATGACAAACAACACGACGTTTGACTAGGTAAATTTGAACGAAGGCCTCTCGCGCGCGTGCACGGGCTTTTTCTTCTAGTTTGAGCCATCTTCTTCCTCAGTCCCACATCACCGCCCCTTCACCACCAGTAGGAGACACCCAACGGGCTGAGAGCGATGGCGGTGCGGCAACGAGGCGCTGCCGGCACGAAAGCGCAGGAAAAGAGGACGCAGGACATCTCTCCACATGGCATAGGTGACAGTGAGGAGCGAAGCAAGGCTACACAGAGCTCGAGTCCGGCTAGGATCTGGATCAAGGTTCTTTCGGGGCTTGTCAGCCTTGCCTGTCTCATCTATGTGGCTCGTTCGCTCCTCTTCAACGGCGAGAGCAATTCGCAACCTCCCTCGAAAACGACAACTGCTAAGCGTCTTCCCTATGAGCTGGCAATCAGGCCGATCGCCAAGCATCCAGTCTTTGATGCCGACGAGGAGAAGCTTCAGGCCGTCCTCGAGGCTTTTGACGATAGCTGGGCTGGCTACGTCGAAGATGCGTTTGGGTTCGACGAGTACCACCCGCTGACAAAGGAAGGGAGCAACTTTTCAAAAGACGGCGGCGTCGGCTACTTTATCGTGGACGTGCTGGACATGCTTCTCTTGACCGACAGACGCAAGGAGTACGAGCGAGCGAGGGACTGGGTGCGCGACGAGCTGCGGTGGAGCGACAAGTCTGGCAAATTCAGCGTCTTTGAGGTGAGCTGTTCTGTCTATCGGTATCGCAACCGGGGCGAGGCACTGTGACTGCCAAGCTGATACATTGAGACTGTACCTCGTTCATGGCAGACAACCATCCGTACGCTGGGTGGCCTCCTCAGCGCGCATGCCCTCTGCGGTGGCTCGGATCCATCGCAAGCTTCGCCGCTCTGCGCGCCAAGCGATGCTGACTTGTTCCTCGAAAAGGCGCTGGACCTCGCAGAACACCTGCGACCGGCATTCGAGGCGACAAAGACGGGCATGCCCCTTCGCGAAATCGACTTTGCTACCGGCGAAGTGTTTGCCGACGTCGACAACAATGGCGCAGCCAGCTTGGCAGAAGTGGCTACCGTTCAACTCGAGTGAGTGTTGGCGCACATGACACATCCCCCCCTTTTCGTGCCCACCCTGACGATGTTCACCCTTTAGATTCAAGTACCTGGCCCACCTCACGGGTGACGATACATGGTGGCACCTTGCTGAGCGGCCGATGCAGGCGTTGCTCTCTTCGACCAGGCAGGCGGGCCTTGAAGGCATCCTTCCCATCTTCATCAGGTGAGCTGACTGTGACCCATGATCAGTTGATGGAGAGGACAACTAATTTTGCCAACCAAGCCCGAGCACGGCAGAGTTCTACATGTCGGAAATCCGCCTGGGTTCACGAGGCGACTCGTACTACGAGTACCTCATCAAGCAGTATCTACAGACAAAGTAAGTATCTCATTTGACAAAGCCGACGAGGGTGGTTGAACTGACGCTGCGTGCGCCTTCGTTGCAGCCGAACCGAGTCGATCTACAACGACATGTATCGCGGCGCAGTACAGGGCATCAAGCGACGCCTCATCAAGACATCCAAGAGCCGCAAGCCACCGCTCCTGTTTGTCGCCGAGATTGGGTTGCGAAGGCTTTCACCGCAGGACAGTAAGCCTTCGTTTGTCACCGTGCCCAAGCAGGACCACCTGGTCTGCTTCATCGGTGGCAGTTTGATGCTCGGAGCAGTCTACTCGGGCGACCCTCGTCGGCCTGGCGCTGGGCGCCCCGAGGGCGACTTTCACACGATGGACGCCTCTTCGCTCCACAGAGCTGGAGCAGCCTACCCACCCAGCTCTCTCGCGGCTCTTTCTCGCCTCTCTGCCACGAGTCTTGAGGATTGGAGCCTGGGCAGCGAGCTGACGAAGACATGCGTCACGACGTATCGCGAGACTTCGACGGGCCTGTCACCCGAGATTGCAATGTTCAGACAAGATGGCGATGGCGTCGATGACAGACTCGGAGAGGACTGGTATATCAAGAAGTGCGTTTTGTTCCTTGCCAGTCGGCACACATAAGGTCTGCTCAGCTGACTGAGACGGTCGGACTCTGCAGATCGCTTAGCAAGTGGCAACCCTTGATTGACGCACGCAACATCTTGCGACCCGAGACGGTCGAGTCTCTCTACATTGCCTTCCACCTCACCGGCGATCCAATCTATCGGCAATGGGGCTGGGAAATATTCATGGCCTTCCGCGACGTGGCCCGCGTGCCGGACGGGCACAAGTCTGGACGGGCAGGCGTCTATGCTGGCATCAGCGACGTCAATGCAGACCCCAAGGACCCAAAATTCCTGAGGGAGAACAAGATGGAGACGTGAGATGCTACTCTCTCACCCCTTGTGCTGTACACAAATGTAGCTGACGCTTCTCCCGCAGCTTCTGGCTGGCTGAGACGCTCAAGTACCTCTACCTGCTGTTTGCAAGCCAGGACAAGGTCCCGCTCGACCGATGGGTCTTCAACACCGAGGTGGGTACTGGTCTGCCTCCTTGGGATGATGCTCGAGCTCACACTCCACACAGGCCCACCCGCTGCCCGTCTTTGAGCCTCACTTCGATACTCATGTCGCGTAGGCACATGTAAAAAGACAATCTTCTTCCAGACCGTTCGGGACCATACTCGGCGTGATCTTGCTCGGGCCCTAGGAATCGCATGCATGCTGAGCTTAATGTATGAGATTGACGACCACGTGGAAGCTCAATTTACTTTTTATGTGAATTTTGACAGTGGACGGAACAAGCGCAGCTAGCTCTGGTCAAGGGACCGTGGGCCAGAGCGCGAGGCTCCTCGCTAGTGTAGTAGCAATTTTGGGGTTTTCCCCACCCTTTCGCGAGCTTGGTCTAGGATCATCTCTTGCTTCTCCTTCCTTCTTTGTCTTTGGCGCTCCTCTTCTTTCCTTGTTCGCGTGCGTGTGTGAAGTTGCAAAACACAACTTATGGTGCCGCCCGCCAGTCGCGCTCGTAGCAACCCACGACCGCCGACGGATCCGCCGCTGCCACCGCCTGTGGCCACGTCGATTACCGCGTTGGTAGCAGAGGGCGACGACGCGGCCGCTTCGAAGGCCCTCGTCGACGAGCACAGCCGGCAGAGGCAAAAGCAGCAGCTGAACGGAGAGAAGGAGGAGGAGGGGAAAAAGGAAGAGACACGAAAGGGGAGAGGTGCGCGGACAGCCAAGGGAAGCAGCCAAGGGAGCGACAAGAAGAAGGCCATTGACGCGGCAGCGAGGGAGCGCGTCTGGGCAACGAGACCAAACGATTCGCTGCGGCTGAAGAATACGATCCGGGACCTGCACAGGTTCCTCACCGGTCTGCCCTTTCCCCTCATCCGAATCACACCCACCCTTGTCGCGCGGGCCATCTGCAAGGTCCTCGCTAGCCAGAGGCTGATGCCTACCAACATTGTAAGTGCGGCAATCGCTGGATGGTGTTCAGACGAACCGACTAACACACCCTTCTTCGTCCTCTAGGCTTTCGATGTTGCGCTCCTCTTTTGGAGGCTGATCATCAACATCTTCTTTAGGTCGATTCAGGTGAGTGCTGAGTCGGGCAGAGTGGACGACCAACCCTTGATGCTGACTGGCATCCCAGCCGAGAGGAGCATGGAGGATTCCCAGGCCCAATGAAGGCCCCATCATCTTTGTGGCCGCCCCACACCACAATCAGGTATGTGTTCGGCGAGTCGGCCCCTACCCTAAAGACAGCTCGAGTCAAGCTCACCCGCTGACTGCGCATCCACAGTTCCTCGACCCTCTTCTTCTCGCTTCAGAGGTCAGGCGAGGCTCTGGACGTCGAGTGGCCTTTTTGATTGCCGAAAAGAGCATCAAGCGTAAATTCATTGGCGCGGCAGCCAAGCTGATGCAGAGCAGTGAGTTGGTCCTCTCCATTGAGGGCAAGTCTTGATGATTGACGAACTTTAACCTTTGCAAATCTTTCAGTCCCGGTTGCGCGAGCTGCCGACAGTGCAAAGGCAGGCAAGGGCACCATCTCTGTCCACCCATCAGGTGATCCGCTGCTGCTGCAGGGCCACTCGTCCAACTTCACCAAGCAGCTCGTAGTCCGTGGGCAGATTTTGCTGCCAAAGGCAACAGGTCATGCCACGGCCGAGGTGGAAGAGATCATCTCCGACACCAAAGTGCGCATCAAGAAGGAGTTCAAAGACGAGCGGGCCATCGAGGCGCTCAAAGGAAAGCTGCCAGAAGGCCCGATGGACAAGAAGGAGGGTGGCAAAGAGCCGGGCATGGAGGGCTGCAAGTACCAGTGCCTGCCTTATGTCGATCAGACGCAAATGTATGCGAGCGTGTACGAGAGGCTGGCAGAGGGTGGCAGCCTTGGCATCTTCCCAGAAGGTGAGCTGACCGTTTCGTCCGCCTTCTGTGTCTCTTGGCTGATCCCAGTCCTTTGCTCTAGGTGGCAGCCACGATCGTACGGACCTCTTGCCTCTCAAAGCCGGTGTCGTCATTATGGCCCTGGGAGCCATGTCGGCCAACCCTGGCCTAAATGTGCGCATCGTGCCGGTCGGTCTGTCCTACTTCCACCCCCACAAATTCCGTTCGAGGGCCGTCGTCGAGTTTGGAGCGCCAATCGATGTGCCACGGGAGCTCGTCGGCCTCTTTGAGCAGGGCGGCGAGGGGAAGCGCAAGGCCGTGGGCGAGGCCATGGAGCTCGTGTTTGATGGCCTCAAGAGCGTCACCGTCCGTGCGCCCGACTATGAGACGCTGATGCTCATCCAAGCTGCTCGTCGGCTCTACACGCCTCCAGGCGCCCACCCGAGCCTGAGCCAGGTTGTGGAGCTGAACCGGCGCTTCATCCTCGGCTACCTCGAATTCAAGGACGACCCCCGGGTCGCCTCCGTCAGGGATCAAGTGCTGCGCTACAACAAGATGCTCGTTTACGCTGGCCTGCGCGATCACCAAGTCGAGCGGGCCACGCGCGCCGGATGGCGGAGCCTGGGCCTGCTCGCCTATCGTCTCGGCTTGCTGGGCATGTGGGGCACTGTGGCCCTGCCTGGCGCGCTGCTCAATGCACCTGTCATCATCCTGGCCAAGATCATCAGCCGTAAAAAGGCAAAGGAGGCCCTGGCTGCGTCGCAGGTCAAGCTCAAGGGCCGCGACGTCCTGGCTACTTGGAAGGTCCTCGTGTCGCTTGGCTTCACCCCCATCCTCTACTGCTTCTACGCTGGTGTGGCCACGTACTTTGCCCACCGCTACAAGCTGCCAAGCAAGCACCAGCTCATGATGCCCTTCTACACGCTCTCGGTCCTGCCACCGATTGCGTACTCGACGCTCAAGTTCTCCGAAGTCGGCATCGACATTTACAAAAGCCTTCCCCCGCTCTTTGTCAGCCTCATGCCGGGCAACTACAAGGTCATTATTGAGCTGCAGCAGACAAGGGCCAAGATTGCCTCGGAGATCCACGCCCTCATTGACGAGCTGGCACCCAAGATCTGGGACGATTTTGAGAGCCGCAAGATTGTCACGTCGCCTACCTCGTCGGCCCCACCGGCGCAGAGCCCGGCTGGAGAGGAGTCGCTGATGTGGCGACAAAAGAGCCACGACAAGAAGCTGGATACAAAGAGCCCCTTGGCCCACCCGCTGGCCTGGGCCGACGAGCGTCTCTTTGGTTGGGGGACCTCGACCAGGAGGGGCAGCACCACGACACGCGCCCTGTCTGCCGCTGAGTTCGCCGAGAAGAAGGCGGGCAATGCAGGCGAGGGCATCGTCGACAGCGCATCGAAGGAGGAGCAAGACGAGCTGGAAGAAGAGGAGGAGGAGGAGGAAGAAGAAGACAGCGAAGAGGGTGTCGAGGAAGAGGAGGAAGAGGGCGACTACGAGGCCATCTTCCGCATGCTCAGTCCCGCTCGTCTGCTTGGGTACGGGGACGAGGCCAACACACCGAAAAGCCCGCGATCTCCCGCAACGGGCGGCAGCGGACGCCGGTCGAGGTCGCACAGCCGAAGCAGGAGTGGAAGCCTCAACGAGACATTTGCCGAGAAGCGCAACCGATCCAACACAGACCTCAAAGCGCTGAGCAGCAGTAGTAGCGGCAGAGCTGGAGGACCCGAGCCGCTTTCACCCACTGTCAGGACGACTGCGTTGGCCGATCAGAGTGGAGGAGGAACAGCAGCAGCAGCCAGGGAAAGGGGGCCCCGTCAGCGTACGACTTCGCTCTCCGAGGACATTTCGACAGACTCGTTCAAGAGCAACGCTCCCAAGGTTCACGGAGAGCCGTTTGGCAAGGCAACAAAGGTGCTGGAGAGGACCGAGCAGCAGACCAACGGCTCGTCGGTCGCTCACGCGCCTCGGGTCGAGGACATGAAGAGCGCGGCGCCAACGCCGGCGCCTGGAAGCCCCAATGTGCGATCCTCTTGACACCTGCGATTTCAAGTTTCTCGTCTCTCTCTCTCTTTTCTCTCTCAAATCGTGTATGTATGCATGTGAGCAGTCTACAAACGAGGCTTGTTTTGGTACCTGCACGGCCGGCAGAGTGAAGCTCTAGACCGTCGGTCCTTGAGCCGGACAGGCAGGCAGGCGTCTGACGTTTGGTCTGCTTGTCGTCGGACAACAGTCTGCCAACTTTTTCTCGTTTGATGAGTTTTTATTTTTTATTTTTTTAATCCTCAGCGCAGCGCGTCTCGACCTTTTCCACCCGCGGCTCAACTAGTGTGGATCGTTTGCCCTCGACCGCCGGGCTGGGAAATTACGCATCTAGGCGACGTACTGACTGACTCTAAGGAATTCTGGCGCCAATTCCGCTTGCCTTAGCGCAGGATTGGTGCTATCTATCGCCTAGCTGTAATTGCCCTGGGACCTAGCTAGATGAATACGCGCACACACGCACACGACCCCTCGAGAGGCAGCGCTTCTAGGGGCTTCAGAGGAGGGCACGAGTCGTTCGATCGAAGTCGAAAGAGCCGAGTTGAAGAGGTGACAGGACGGCCGGCTGGCTCGGTTCGCTTCGGCCTATACGGCGACCCATCATCGGGCTCGGAAGAAAGAAAAAGAGATTCAAAATGCACTCAATCGTTTAATTCCCCTTGAGATTTCATTTTTTTCTTCGCTCATTCCCGTTCCTTTTTTTTTTTTTTTTTTTTTTTTTTTGGTGTGTTCCCACTTCTCGTTGTGGGGGGCTTAGGGCATATCGTGTTCGGTAAAAGGGGCGAAGTGAGAAAAATTCACATACGGACCGAAAACCGATCAGCCTTATCTCTGGCCTGTGTCAGTGTGCGTTTGAGTGCGAAGAAATTTTCGTTTAGCCGTTGTGGGACGGACGGACGACCCGGGGAGGGGCGGCGGGCGGCAGCTGCAGCTGCAACAGCAGCAGCAGCAGCAGCCACTAAGGTGCGCGAGTCATGCGACAGGTTTTCACCGTCTGAGGCTCCTTCTCTTTAACTACATCTCGATTGAATCTTGCGCTCGCAGTGGCAGCCACATCCGCTTCCTCCCCTTTCGAGAGAGCGGCGAGCACCACCAGACGGTAGCATTCCCCCTCTCTCGCGCTTCCGGTAGCCGCGCACCGTCGCAGCCGTAGACCAGAGCAAGCAAACGAACGAACAAGGACAAGGCACAATGACCTCTCTCAGCCGAGGCTCGCGTGAATCGATGCGCGAGGTGACGGCGGACGACCTGAGCAGCGGCAAAGAAGGAGGCGTCGGGCTGCACGCTGACGAGGCAAACGAAAAGGGCATCCTCCGCAGCAAGGACGATGACCGGGCCAAGGACGATGAGATCGCGCTCCAGCAGATGGGCATCGCCAATCAGATGGGCAAGGATGGCGGTGTGCGGCGCGATCTCAAGAGTCGTCACCTGGCCATGATTGCCCTCGGCGGTACCATTGGCACTGGCCTCTTCGTCGGCCTGGGCTCGTCGCTGGCCCAAGCCGGACCCCTGTCGACCCTGTTGGGTTTCCTTATCATGGGCGTGAGTAGCGTCGCTCGCCAGCGCACCGATGACTGCTTCTTGGCGTACAGGTGCTGACCTAAGGATTATACGTCTTAACCCTTCCTTCAGTTCTTTGTCTGGGCCCTCATGGTCGCCCTGGGCGAAATGGCCACCTTCCTCCCGGCGCCCGGCGGCTTCGTCCATCACGCTGCCCGCTTCGTTGACCCATCGATGGGTGCCGCCCTCGCCTGGCTCTACTGGTTCTCCTATGGCATCACGCTCCCCACCGAGCTACAGGCCTCGGCGCTCGTCATCTCGTTCTGGGACCCGGACCAGAAGATCAACCCTGCCGTCTGGATTACTATACTCATGGTCCTCGTCTGTGCCGTCAACTTCCTCGGCGTGCGCGTCTTTGGCGAGGTGGAATTCTGGTTCGCCTCGCTCAAGGTCATCATGATCGTCATTCTCATCATCACGTGCCTCGTCATCGATGTTGGTGGTGGCCCCCAAGGCGAGTACATCGGTGGGCGGTACTGGCGTAACCCTGGCGCCATGGCCCAGCTGTTTTGGGAGCCAGACGCCAACAACAACCCCACCGGCGGCATCTCGGGTCCCTGGGGCCGGTTCCTAGCCTTCTGGCAAGTCTTTATCAGCGCCGCCTTCTCCCTCGCCGGCACCGAGATTGTGGGCATGACGGTGGGCGAGGTCGAGAACCCGCGAAAGAATGTGCCAAAGGCCATCAAGCGTGTCGCATACCGCATCATTGCCTTTTACGTCCTCGCCGTCCTCCTGGTCGGGCTCTGTGTCCCTTACACCGACCCTCGCCTGCTCAGCGGCTCCAACAACGCCAGTGCCAGCCCATACGTGATCGCGATTGAGTCGGCGGGTATCAAGGTGCTCCCCCACTTTGTCAATGCCGTCCTCATCACCGTCACCTGGTCTGCAGGCCAGTCGGACCTCTACGCCTCGTCGCGTACCCTCTACGGCCTCGCGCTCGAGGGAAACGCGCCGCGCATCTTCAAAAAGTGCACAAAGGCCGGCCTTCCCATCTGGGCAACGGCCGCTACGGCCCTCTACGCTCCGCTCGCCTACATGGGCACCTCCTCTGCCGGCGTCGCCAATGTCTTTCTTGATCTGTACGACATAAGCGCCGTCTCGATTCTCATTGCCTGGTGGTGCATCGTCTTCACCTACATTCGCTTCTACCACGGCTTGAAGCACTACGGCCTCTCGCGCAGCGACCTGCCGTACAAGGCGCCGCTGCAGCCCTATGCGTCGTATGCCGCCTTTATCTTTTTCACCCTCGTCATCCTCTTTAGCGGCTTCACCGTCTTTCTCCGCGGCCACTGGGACAGCCCGACGTTTGTCGTCAACTACCTCTGCATCCCCTGCTTCTTTCTCCTCTGGATCGGCTACAAGGTCGTCTCCAAGAGCAAGTGGGTCGCTCTCGACCAAATGGACTTTGAAACTGGACGGCGCACCCTCGACGCCCTCGAAGAGCGTCGCCAGGATGACGAGGCAGACGTCGACGCCGAAAGGGCACGTCTCGCCGCCATGGGCCCCGTCAAGCGCTTCTTTGAGAAAGTGTTTGCTCTTCTTTTCTAGACGGCCATCGGGCCCCTGTTTCTGCTCTCGGTTTTCAAATGCAATAATTATCCCCATTCATCGGTGCTGTGATTCTTTACTAATAGTACAGTGTGGTTGTGTGTCAGTGTGTGTGCGTAAACTGTGAGTGTATGCAAAGGAAAAGATGGAGAAATTGAAGCTTGAAAGTAAATATGGGCGGGGAGGGGACTAGCTGACGGGTCTGGTATCGTTTGTGATGGTGGTGCGTGCTTGTTGTTGGATATGTGCAGAGCAGTGGTGAGGAGGAAAGCGAGGGCATCGTGCAGATGAAAGCTCAGGGTCGATGCTCGCCCTGTGAACGGCCGCGGGCGGCGCGACCCTGAAAGTAGGCGTCGCCGATGTTGGACACCTGGTCGAGGACGTCGTGGAGATTGTCCATCGTGACCGGCTGTCCTTCATCTTCGCCCCGCTGCAGCCAAGCCGTGACGAGACGCTCGGTCGCCTTGAGAAATGACGACATCTTTTCGGTATTTGATGCTGTAGTAGCGATGCTTGCAGACGCAGCCGACGCCTGCCTCTTTGAGCTGGGCAGTGATGCTGAGTCACCGTTCTTCTCGCTGTCCACTTCTGATCGGCTGCGCTTTCTCGACGACGATGACGATGACGACGGTGCCGCTTTTGAGCTGTCGACAGACGACGTCCTCGGCTTCGACCTGGGCGACGCTGGAGGTGAAGGCAAGCTGTCATCGATGACAACGTCTCTCGACAAGGTAGCAATCAGAGCAATGCGATCCTGCAGCTGCGATTGTGAGAGGTATCTATGGAGGACAGAGTGGGTGTGTGTATGCGTCAGCGAGCGTGCTGCAGACAAGCAGACAGTAGCACGCACCTGGGCTTTTCTGCGATGGCCAACCGGTCTGGGGGGTTCCAAGAGCCGTAGCCCTTGGCGGGGTAGATGCCGGTCGGCAGCGTCGATCCGTTGAGGAGGAGGTCCGGCGGTGTGCGCAAGCTGCTGCCTGTCGAGGTGGTGGACGTCGCGGGGCTGTGACTAGTCGAGCTGCTTCCGCCACCATGGTGGACCGGGACGCTGGTGCTGTTAGTCCCACTGCTAGAAGCGTGCGCGCTTCTGTTGTGGTTGCTGTACCCGTGAGTAGTACTGCTGCCGCTGGTGTGGTAAGAGTGCTGCAGTGACGGAGGTGGGTGGGCGTATCGGTCGTATCGCTGCAGCTGCTGGTTGAAGTGGTCGTCGTAGCGCTGGCTGTGGCTATATGGCGAAGACGATGTCGAAGAAGATGACGACGACGACGATGACGAAGGCACAGGAGCAACAGACGACGAAGACCAGGTTGTGTTCCTCTCTGACCCTCTGACCGGTGGTCGCCGGCTGGTCTGATGGTGATTGTGATGAGAATGGCGTTGGTTGTAAGAAGACATCAGCGGTGGTGGATATGGAGCTGCCGATGACGCTGCAGCTGCCTCTGCTGCTTTCGCAGCCGCCGTCGGTCGCGGTGGAAGCTCAGACATGACCATGTTGAATCTGACTGCTGCAAGAGTCGCGCGAGACTGTAATGTCGTGGTTGAAGAGGGAGCGCTGGTGATCTTACGCTCTGTCGATCGAGATTTCTGACAGAGGTGCTTGCAACCCTAGCCCGAACAAGCAGAACCAGATTCTACCTGAGCCGAGCCTTGGGTCGTTGGTCGCGACAAAAGCCGTCTTGGCCCCGAATTGCCCTCGCACAATGGCGAACGTGATCCGTGGCCAATTGGACCAGATTCACAAAAGGGTGGGAACTTGGTTCCGAAGACTCCCTCTCTCTGGCCTACTTTTTGCCCAGGGGCAAGTCGTCGGGGCTTGGCAGACCTTGGCTGGCCGTTTGTCTCTGCACTGTTATGTGCCAGTCGCAGAGGCCCTGCAAGGGAATGCGGCGAGAGAGCACGTCCCTACGCTTCTTCCAGGGAAGGGGTGCTTAGGTCGGCTACGAAGTAAAGGGATGGTAGCGGCGGAGCGACGTCGACGATGTCGGTGTGAGAGAAATTCTTGGTGGGCCCCAATCGGGGTTGGACTACGCACTCGTGCTGCCCTTCCGGCGAGTGCGCGCGCGATGTTGTGTGCCGAGAGGACAAGAGAGAGAGGGAGAGAGACGGAGGCGAAATACTCTCCGCCCAGCGTATTATGCCCGCCCGCCCAGAGCTGACGTCGTGTTTTGTCAGAAAGGTGAACAGCCTTGTTGAAATTGTTCTTCTTTCTGCCCGTCGAGCCGTCGTCTTGACGTTTGTCTTTGTCGCCGCCGCTGATGATCGTCAAGAAAGCGACGTTGGGGCTCTCCTGCTCTGGCGATGTGAGGGTCGAAGGTCCACTTCACCCCGTCCAAAGCGGGCGCACTTCCCAGCTCTGCCTCGTCTAATGCAGCGGTTTGCAGTGTTGTGCGCCCGGGAGACTCCAAAATAAAATTCAAAATGCAGTTAGTTCTGGCCCACTCCCCGAAAAACCCCAATTTGCTATTCGGGAGAGGGCGCCTGAAAAAAAAAAAAAAAACCAACGACAAGTGAATATCAACAGCAATATTATTCAAGTAGTCCTTTGAGCTACCACCGGCGATGGGCTCGAGCGTCAGCGGAACTCCTCCTCTATGATTTACTTCTTCCCTTTTTCATGCAAAGGGTGTCATGAGCCGATGTCGTCGCAACCTCTACAGCACTTGTCTTGGAAGTAAAAAACTCTTGGTTGTGCTCCAGATGCGTTCTGTTTCGTTCAGAGATACCTGATGAGTAGCTACTCTTTCGTATACAGTATAATTCTTGCTCAGTTGACGCGCGCCTGCCAGGGTTACAACAAAACAAGCAAATTAATCAAGAAGGTGGTAATCCCGGAGATAGAAACGGCAGATAGCTCGAGCAAAGTGGTTAATATCCCACCTCGGAGGAAGCCGACAGGAACGACCATCAACTCTCGTTTACGAGGTGGAGGGACGGGCCTGCCTGTGACCTTGATCTGTCCGTCTGCCAAGTCCATAATATCAATATTGATAATGCTGCAGTGAAGGATATGCGGCAGGACGACCCTACCCTCTGCATCGGTTATATTGAGGTTCAAACTTAAAAAAGACGTACGAGCCTTCCTGTGGGCACGGACACACCGATCGTATCGTCTGCATCTGTCATGACTGACTGATATTTTTCCAAAAACAAAGTTGAGCCCTTTTTTTGCACTTTTTTTTTTTGGGAGGTGGGCGTGGGCTCGATTCTTCGCACCAAAGAGAGGAATAGAGGACAAGGGAATGGCCAGCTCGAGCGCTCAGGCAGCGATCCTCCAGCGGTCAGAGCCGGTCCCCGACGCATTTCCAAAGGTTGTGGGACCCAACCTGGATGAGCCACAATCAATAGAGTCGCTCTTGGCCAGCTATGCAAATGTGGGCTTCCAGGCGTCGGCCGTATCGCAGGCCTGCGAGATCATAGAGCGCATGGTGAGCTTCGTTGCCCCTTCTAATTCGAGAAGCGAGTGTTGTTTGCTGATGCGAGCCATCGCTACAGAGAAAGTGGCGTCTGTCGGACGAGCCTGTGGCTGAGGATGAGATGGACGAGGCGCTCAAGGACCCAGCGGTGCGGAGCCAGATTGGCGCAACAATCTTTCTTGGCTACACATCGAATCTGATTTCGTCTGGGCTGCGCGAAGTCATACTGTTCCTCGTTAAGCACAAGTACGTCTCTGCGCTCGTCACGACGGCTGGTGGCATCGAGGAAGACATCATCAAGTGTCTCGGCACCACGCACCTGGCTTCGTTTGATCTCGATGGCGCAACACTAAGAGCAAAGGGCCTCAACCGGATTGGAAACCTCGTCGTACCCAACGACAACTACTGCAAATTCGAAGACTGGGTCATGCCCATCCTTGAAAAGATGAGAGAGGAGCAGGGCGACCACGTCGACAATGTCTGGACGCCCAGCCGCATCTGCCAGAGGCTCGGAAAGGAGATCGACGACGAACGAAGCGTCCTCTACTGGGCCGCAAAGGTTCGTCCTCTTTTTTCTCTGCTCTAATTGACTGCCAGATACTTACTGGAGCCCGAATCGTACAGAACGACATCCCCGTCTTCTGCCCAGCACTAACCGACGGTTCGTTGGGCGACATGATCTACTTTCACAGCTACAAGTCGCCCGGCCTCGTCGTCGACCTAGTCAAGGACATCCGCCGCCTCAATGACCTGAGCGTAAAGGCCAAAAAGGCCGGCATGATCATCCTGGGCGGCGGTGTGTGCAAGCATCAAATTGCCAATGCAATGCTTTTCGTGAGAATGACTCCCTTCTTCTTTTCTTCTGGCCCCACGCTGATCATTGACGGGGTTCAATCTTGGGGCGCTCTTGCTCAGCGAAACGGGGCAGACTATGCCGTCTATATCAATACGGGCCAAGAGTTTGATGGGTCCGACAGCGGCGCAAGACCCGACGAGGCCGTGAGCTGGGGCAAGATCCGGAGCGCAGCCAGGGGAGGTCAGTCGGTCAAAGTCTACTGCGATGCCACCATCATCTTCCCAATCATCGTCGCAAATACCTTTGCCAAGGCGCACTGGGAGAGCGAGAGGCAGAGAGCCGAGGCCGGTGGAAGAAATTGAACAGAAAGGTAAAGCTGCATCGGTGGTTCCTAGCTTATTGGCAGCCTGTAATACTTGATAGAGATGCAAATCTGTATTCTACACGTGGATAGCATGGAAGGGGAAACGAAGTAAAGCCATGATGGTCGAGACTGAACGGGTCACCGCACCTCTCAGGGACTCAAAGTAGAAAAGAAATCCTCACATCGGTCTCTAGGGACAGGACATGGCTGGACTCTAAATTGCAATGCTGTAAAGTCCTCTCTAGGCAAATGCACCCGCAGCCACGCCCTTCTCGCCAGCAACCTGGGCCAGTTCGGCCTGGATCTTGTCGGCGGGGGCCTTCTGGCACGACTCGCGCAGCGCTTCGATCTTTTCGGGCTCGTCGGCAAGAGCAGTGCAGATGGCATCGAGGCCGTTGAGCTTGGCCTCGATGACCTGGACCGAGGGGGTCGTACCAGCGGGCTCAAAGTAGTTGTTGTTGGTGATGAGCTCGCGGAGCACCTTCTTGTGCTTCTTGACGTTCTTCTTGGCTGCTTCACGGGCCTTCTTTGCGTCGGCGCGAGAGGCCTGGTTGGGAAAAGCAAGGTCAGCTATACCAGATTGTGCCTCTTGCCATGACATGACTCCAGACTCTCACCTTCTCCTCTTCCTCCTTCTTGGCAGCCTCCTCCTTCTTGCGCTTCTCCTCCTCCTCCTGCTTCTTCTTCTCTTCGGCAGAGGGACCAGCCGTCGCTCCATTGGCACCGGCCTTGCCCTTGTTCTTCTTGGCCTCGCGAGCCGCCTTCTCCTCGGCCTTGAACTTCTTGATGCGCGGGTCGACACTCAGGGCCTTGTCGACGATGCTGCGAAGGCGGGCATTGTCCTCCTTCTTTCTCCTCGCACGGTCGTTGCGGTTCTTCTTCTCCGTGTACCGCTTGTCATCGCGGTTGTCACTCCCCTCGTTGATCTCCTTGTCGAGGTACTCGAAGCTTCTCCAGCTGTCAAAGTTGTACCAGAAGTCGTAGAAAGCGTTGACGTCCTCCTTGGCGCTGCTCATGTTGCCCAGCGGAGGCGCCGGTCCGTTCTTGGACTCCTCGCTGAAGCGCACCTCGCGCTCGAACACCGGCGTCCAGAGGTCGATGAATTTAGACTCTGGCTCCTTGCCCGTGGGCGTGTCTTCGTCATCAATACCTTCGTCAACGCTGTCGAACTGACGGCGCCTCTCGGGGTGCGTAAGGACATCGTAGGCCTTGGAGATGCACTTGAAGAAGGCATCGTCATTGACCATGCCAGAAGCACCGGCCTTCTTGTCCGGGTGGTGCCTCAACACCTTGCGGCGGTGAGCAGTCTTGATCTGCGCAAGGTTCGCCTTGTACCGCAGCGAGGACAGACCGAGCACGGCGTAGTGGTCTTGGCTCTGAGGAACAAATGTCAGTATCCCGATGCAGGCTACGAGCGCAGGCAGTGCTTGTGCTCACCTTCCATTCCTTGGGATCACGATCGAGCAGGTCCTGCGTCTCTTCCTCGTCAGGGATCTCAACGTCCTCCTCTCCCGTCGAGTTGGCGGCCTTGAGGGCATCGAGGCGCTCCTTCTCGGCCTGGTCATCGTCCTCAAAGCTTAGCTGACGAAGCTGGCGGCGCGTGTGGGCGATGTAAGAAGGACCGACGGGCAAAAGCGTCGTGTCTGCAGTCGGCTTCGAGAGAGATGAAGGGCCTGCTGCCTTGTGGCCCGATGGGGCCGACGGCAGGCTGAAAGGGAGGTCCACAACGGCAGCCATGGTTGGTTGATGTCTTCACAGAGAGGAGGAAGTTCGGGGAGCATCAGTCTTCTTCCTGAAAAGTTATGAAAACACGTGCACTGGCACCATCACGTGTCGCTTGCTTCCATGCACTCCGTCGACGCTTGACCACGGTTGAAGGTCAACGTCGAGGTCGCTCCACCCGAGCTTTCTTCCAAATACAACCGCTTCTGCCCCTCCCCATCCCCCTTTTGCCGCTGAACGGCCTTCTTTCCCAGCTGAGTGCAGAGAGAGGCACACTGTACCAGGATGGCGAGCTCGACGGCGACGGGAGAGAAGCCGGCACACCTGGGTGTGACGGCCCCCATCGCCCTCAATGGTCCAACACCCAAGGAGCTCGAGGTCACGGAAAGCCTGCTGGCCGAATTGACAAAGCAAGGATCCTTTGAAAGCGAAGAGGAGGCGAAATTGAGGTGTGTGTCCATGATAATCCCTTCTGTGGTGACGAGCTAACGTCCCTTTGTCACCCGAAAGAGAGGTCGTGCTTAGCAAGGTAAATTCGCTCGTCAAGGACTTTGTCTACAAAGCCACGCTGGCGAGAGGCCTCTCCGAATCCATTGCCGCTACTTCCGGCGGAAAGATTTTCTCTTTCGTGAGCATCTTGGTGGTGCATCCCCGCTTGGCTTTCAGCTCATTTGACGTTTACAGGGCTCGTATCGCTTGGGCGTTCATGGACCGGGCGCCGATATCGACACGCTTTGTGTGGTACCCAAACATGTCCAGCGAGAGGACTTCTTCTCAATTTTCGAGGCGATGCTCAGGGAGAGAAATGATGTCGAAGAAGTAGCGTGTGTCCCGGAGGCTTACGTGCCCGTCATCAACACCAAGTTCATGGGCATAAAGATCGACTTTCTCTTTGCAAGGCTGGCACTAGCGAGAATCGAGGACAATCTCGTCTTGCACGACAGCAACTTGCTCAAGAATCTCGATGAGAGGGACGTCCGGAGCTTAGGAGGTGAGTCCAAGACGAATGTTTGAAGGGATGCATGTCATGCCTGCTCATGCTCTTTCAAAGGTTCGAGAGTCACCGATGAGATTCTTCGGCTGGTCCCCAACGTGGAGGTTTTCAGGATGTCGTTGCGGTGCATCAAGCTCTGGGCACAAAGTGAGTCGCAAACTCGGAGCAAGCGTTACATCCGTCTTGTCACTGAGACCCTCTGCCTTCCAGGACGAGCAATCTACTCAAACGTCATGGGCTTCCTTGGTGGTGTGGCGTGGGCCATGCTCGTCGCGCGCATCTGTCAGCTGTATCCGAACGAGGCAGCGGGCGCCATCGTAAGCCGATTCTTCATCATCTACTACCAGTGGAAGTGGCCTCAACCAGTTCTGCTGAAGAACATCGAAGAGGGACCGCTCCCGGTGCGAGTATGGAATCCGAAGCTCTATCCTCAAGATCGGCTTCATCGCATGCCCATCATTACGCCTGCCTATCCTTCAATGTGCGCCACTCACAACGTCAGCCAGTCAACACAGATGATCATGACACAAGAGTTTAAGAGAGGTGCCGAGATCGTCGATCGCATTATGGTGGGCTCGGCAAACTGGTCAGAGCTATTTACCGGGCACGACTTCTTCCACAAGTACAAGTACTATCTCCAGGTGGTGGCTAGCAGTGGCAGCGCAGATCTTCAGCTTAAATGGAGCGGTACCGTCGAGAGCAAGGTTCGGCAACTTATCATGAAGCTCGAGCAGGTGCCTACGCTCATGTGCGCCCACCCCTATATCAAGGGCTTCGACCAGAAGAGCATCTGCTACAATGACTCTGAGGTCAGACTCGTGGCAACGGGCAACGTGCCTGAGGAGGTGGCAAAGCGAACAGAGGTGGAAGACCTGCCCAAGGAGGGACTCGGGGCAGACGAGGCGAAGGAGAAGGATATTGAGGCGAAACAAATTGAGCAGGAGGAGGGCCATCGGACCATCTGGACAACAACGTTCTATATCGGCCTCTGTGTCGAGCCAAGACCAGGTATGCCCACTTGCTTGCTTCTTCTTGTTTCTATCCTCCCACTGACGATCGCCCTTATTTGTGCAGCAAATGTTGCTGGGCAGAGAAGGCTCGATATCTCGTTCCCGACGACACAATTTACTCAATTGGTTAAACAGTGGGACGGTTATGACGAATCTTCGATGGGAATCAGCGTGCGCCACATTAAGTGGAGCCACTTGCCCGAATATGTCTTTGGTGGCGAGCCCAGGGGAAGCAAGCAAGCGGTTAAGCGAGACAAGTCAGGCCGGGCAAAGGGTCAGGCTGTGGAACCCACCTTGGAGAACGGGGACGCTCCAGCCAAGAAGAGAAGGTGAGCTAGGTAATGCTTTCGAAAGTCGATGAGCTAGCTGGCTGACCTCATGTGTATGACTAGATCCTCTGGCACCAACTCTGGCGAGAGCGGCTCAGGTCCAGCCAATGACATTCCAAATCTGCCACAACACAGTAATGGCGACGCTCACGCCTCAGGGAGTAACCCAGCGCTTCCGATCCAACCGGGTGGTGGGGCGGCTGACGAGCTCCAACGATTTCGAGAAGCCACGGGCGCGACGCCGGTTGCGACCAAAAACGCCGCACCACCAAGTCAAGCTTAGTGTTTTCTCGGCCTTCCTTCGTTCATTGTCCACTCCTGGGCATCGACCATACTCTCACCTTCTCACCATCCACACCCTCATTAGACATGTAACATCAGTTGTTCCCTTTTCTTTTCCCGTACACAAACAATGAAAAATGTAAAAAGATGCTCTTTGACAGGTGTAGGTACTTTGTTACAGTGATGTCTTCATGCTGTTTACTGGTTGCGAAGCAGTGCCAGATCGACGAGAGCATTCTCCTCGAGGTGATCCATCCATTTGCCGAGGTATTCATCGCCCGAATCTCTGCACGTCGTGCTATCGCCAATGACGCATAGCTGCCTCTTCGGCCTGGTCATGGCTACGTTCAACCTCCGTTTCTCTGCCAGGAAACCGACGTTACCTTCCTCATTGCTTCGAACGAGCGAAATGACGATTGCCTCGTTCTCGCGCCCCTGCATCCCATCGACTGTGCCAATCTCGACGCGCTCGCCGGACGCTGCATCTCTGAAGCCCGACAGCCGGTCCGCCAACAACGAGACCTGGGCACTGTACGGCGACAGGACACCGATCTGGCTCGGTCTCAGGCCGGCCTGGAGGAGCGTTTCTACGTGTGCGTGCACCAGCTCAACTTCGTGCACATTCGTCTTGCTCTCGCGTCCGACGATCGAGTCGACGTCGTCCGAGGCAGATGCGGATGTCTCAAACATGTCTGACCCAGCCGTATCGATGAAAACGATGGGAGCGAGGCGCACGTCGTCTTTCTCCTCCTCTTCGGTCTCCGGACGTGCCAGCTCGTAATTGTCTAAATCAAATAGACGAATGGAGCAATTGGACTCGTGCGCCTTGAGCTGCGATTCGTAGAGGGCCTCGTTGGGGAAGGTCATGATCTGCGAATGCATTGAAAGTGAATAGAAGATAAGTCGGTGTCACATGGGAATGCCATTCCAGCCTGGCTTACCTCTTGATTCATGCGGTATTGAACATCGAGCAGGTTTTTGCAGCCAGGCCCATAGAGGCCGAGCAAACGGCTGAAAAGCGTCGTTTCAAGTGACCGTGGTGGCCGAAGGACCACGCGCTGCTTGTCTCTTCCCTTCGCCTTTGAGGCTTCAAATGACCCTCCTTCGCCTTCGTCTTCTTCGTTGTCTTGTGCATCCCCATCACCATTCAGACTAATATTAGAAAGTCTTGATGCGGCTTCGTCTGCGTTTGCCTCTTGTTTCTTTGATTTGTTTGGCTTGGCACTCTTTCTCTTGTCCTGCGAATGTCGATAGCCCTTGACGGTGGGCGGAAGCTGAAGGTGGTCACCTGCCAGGATGACCTTTCCTTCTGCTCTCGCTCGCATGATCGGGATCCAGCACTGTGTTCGGCTTCAGTCGACTTGGAAACTAAACGCAAATTGAAGAAAGAACAGTCCCACTCACAGCGGCCTCGGTGGCTTGGCAAGCTTCATCGATGATAACAGCGTCGAACTCGACGTTGTTCAGCTGCCTGCCGCCCGCCCCGTGACAAGTGGCCACCACGATAGATGCCCTCGAGATGACAGCCTTTGTCAAGCCCCTCTCTCGCTTCCGATACTCTTTTCGAAGAGCTCGGACCTCGTCCCAGCGCTGCCGACGCTCGCTCCCCGACATTCGCCCCTTGCCACCGGCACGAGACGAGGCCTGACCTCGGTACGACGTCGACTTGTTACCCGCTGCTGGCGCATCCCGGTCGGGTCGCAGCACTTTCATCGACGCTTGCAACTCTTCGCGCACGTCTTTGAGGAGCGATCCTTCTGACGAATTCTGTGATTGGTAGTCGAGCGTCGAGGTGACGAGCGACTGCAACACCCTCGCAGGGTCTGTGAGGAAACAGCTTCAGCGGCGGCTCTCTTCTCATCATTTGCTCCCCATTCTTCTCTACTTACGACCTATCCTCGTGATCCCGAGCCCCTTGGCTCGAAGCGCATCGCCTCCCCTTTCGATGATACGTTCCATGACATTGTCGGCAGCTAGATTGCTGGCACCGCAAACGAGGACCCTCTTCTCTTGGCCCAGCGCCAGCTGAAGCACCAGCTCGGCCACAGCCGTCGTCTTGCCCGTGCCCGGAGGCCCGTGGATGAGGGCGAAGTGATTGGAGGCCAAGGCAAACGTAATCGCTCGCTGCTGCGACTCATTGAGGCCCGTGTTGAAGAGAGGTAGCGGCATGGTAACGTCCTTTGCCCATGTGGGCGGCGTCTGGGCAACAAGAGCCCGGATTAAGTTGCTGCTGGGCGAGCTCCCCTTGCTTCCCTGACCCTCCCCATCGCCTTGCCCTTCGACTTCAGACTCGGACGAAGACCCGTCGCCTGGTTTGGACCTAGATGTTTTGATGGTGAGCCCTAGCTGCTTGGCAAGCCTTGCCAAGGTTGCTTCCATACTACAAGTGCCCATGTCGCTGTTAGCAAGAGTCTAATGGCCTTCCATGAGCACCTCCCAGTCTCACCGGTCAAAGGTTGCTTCGTTGGCGACCTTGACGACTCTGATACGATGAGGCAGCTCGGGAGCCTCACTGCCGCTGCCATCGGGCTTCTTTTTGTTGTTGGCTCCAAGTGCGATGACGAGCTTGCTATCGGAGACTTTGAAGACGACTCCGGGGGCAGGCCTGTATGCATCGCTGCTGCCGCTGGCTTTGGTCTTCAACGGCTTGGTGGGGTCCGTCGCATGGTCTTCAAGCTGGACGATATCGCCAGGCCTGAGCGTGTGTGGAGGTATGATTGGCGAGGTGTGGTAGGCGGCCGGCCTCTCGAGCTCTGCCAGGCTGAGCCAGCGTTCCTTGCAAGGTCAGTGCGAAGGCCAAGCAGCAAAGGAGAGACAGCAAGGTACCAGGCTCACATCTTGCCGCCGAGACCGATTGAGACGTTGAGGGCACCCAGGCCCAGAACGGCGAGGCCATTCCTCTCGAGCTGTTTTGGCGAGCATTTGGACAGGAGGAGCCGAGACTGGTCCTGCTCCTCTTTGCGCTCCGCCGCGAGAAGATCAACGTGCTTCTGGAGCCACCTCGTCAGCGCCTCTTCCGACGGCGGCTCGGGCTGGTGTAGCGTCATTTGCGACCACGATCCCTTCCCTCGTCCGTCGTGCTGTAGTCACTCTCGTGCGGCACGGCTGCTTCCAGAAAATTTAAAGCTCACGTCCTTGGAGCTTGATCCAAGTAATTGACATGCAAATTGCCATTCTCACAACTACTCTAAGTGCCCCTGCTCGCTTCAATCTTTCTCTCGAATCAGTCTTCTCAGGTAGAAAGCAGAAGGCGCGGCACCAGCATAAGGTGGTCTTCTTACAGTGGACGCTTCTTACTACGAAAGCGAGTCACTTAGGAGAGAAGGGATGAGTATCTGATCACAATGGCTGGGCTTATGTAAGCCATCGTCGAGACGGAAATCCGTCCGCGGTCTCTTTGACGAGTCAGAGGCTGGATTTTGATCCGTTTCTTCTTGCTACTAAAGCAAGAACAATCTCGCCCCCCCTCATTTGCCTCTATCCGTCGTGTGCATTCAAACCATGGGTTTCCTACAAAGAGGGCTGCCGTTGCGGCAGTTGGCGTCCGCCCAGAAAATCACCGCTCCCTCTACCACCCCTCTTCGCCTCGTCCTTGCTTCGTCCGCCCAAGGGCTTCCCAAAGCAAGCATGCCTGCCCGCCTCTCGTCGTCCTCTGCCTCGGTCTCGGCGGCGCATGGACGCGGCCACTCCACCGTCTTGTCCGACCCCATGACGGGCGAGCCGACGGGCCACCATGACATCGACGCTTCGGCGCTGATCATTGAAGAGAACAAGACGCTGCGGGAGCCGCCGCCGTCGTCGTCGCTCGTCTTTGGCCACTCCTTTGCCGACCACATGCTCGCTGTCAACTGGAACGGCGCCACCGGATGGGCCGCCCCAAGGATCCAGCCGTACGGACCCCTGACGCTGGACCCCAGCTCCGTCATCTTCCACTATGCTCCGAGCCTGTTTGAGGGCATGAAGGCCTACAAGGATGTCGAGGGCCGTGTCAGGCTGTTCAGGCCCGACATGAACATGAAGAGGATGAACACGTCTGCCGAACGCATGGCACTGCCGGTGAGTCTCATCCTTTGCATATACAATCTTGTTTCACATCTACCCCACCCTGCCAAAGTCATCCAATGCTGACCGTGATTGATTTGCCCACCCACCACCAGACATTCTCGGGCAAGGAGCTGACGAAGCTCATCGCCAAGCTCGTCTCGCTCGACTCGAACTGGATTCCCTCGGAGCCGGGCTACAGCCTCTACATCCGGCCCACGCTCATCGGCACCCAGGCTGCACTGGGTGTGCACCCGGCCAACGACGCGCTCCTCTTTGTCATTAGCTCGCCCGTGGGCCCATACTACAAGACGGGCTTCAAGCCCGTGGCCCTCGAGGCAGACCCCAGCCTGGTGCGAGCCTGGCCGGGTGGCGTGGGCCAGTACAAGCTCGGCGCAAACTACGGACCGGGCATCCGCGTGCAGATGGAGGCCGCCAAGCGGGGCTACCAGCAGAACCTCTGGCTCTTTGGCGAGGAGCACTGGCTCACCGAGGTGGGCACCATGAACCTCTTTGTCGCTCTCAAGCGCGACGACGGCTCGACGGAGCTCGTCACGCCGCCGCTCAACGGCACCATCCTGCCTGGTGTCACGCGCGACTCGATCCTGGGCCTGGCGCGGGACCACGTCTCCAAAAAGGCACCCATCGAGGGCCTTCCCGACAACCTCGTCGTGTCCGAGCGGGAGATCAACATGGGCGAGATCATCAAGGCTTCGGAAAAGGGCTCGCTGATCGAGATGTTTGGTGCCGGGACAGCGGCCATTGTCTCGCCCGTCGACCGCGTCGGCTTCAAGGGGAGAGACATTCAGATTCCCGCAGGCGAAGAGGGCGCTGGACCCATCGCAAAGGCCATGCTCAAGAGCATCACTGACATCCAGCTGGGCAGGGTCAACCACCCGTGGAGTGTCCTCGTGGAGGATCTCTTGTAATTTATCTCTCTGTCTCGGTTGTATCGGTGGTAGTCCCACGTCCGGCTTCTCCAAATCTCATGAGCCAAACACTGGACGCATTGCAGCAAAACAACATCTTGTGCTCTATCTCCTCTTCTTTCCTGCGTCGTGCCGAGCACACGATTCGTATCTCAAGAGAGATGGCTGCGTGAGGCACCAACTTTGTGTGAGAGAGCGAAAAGTGAAATTCCGGCTGCTAGAATTTGTCGACTGGTCGTCCTTTTGTCGGACATAGACTAAACGAGCCACAAACGCCGCGAACTGAATTGCCCCCTCCACCTTGGAGACCGGCGAAAAGCACATCATTTCTTCGTAGGACCCTCGCTTTCGTATTGCAAAGGTATATAAGCCGATGACCTCCATGTCCCATCGGATCGCTTCCCACATCAAACAGTTGAAGCTGAATCGCGCTTCGCTTCTTCCCGCCACCAGAAACACAGGAAGTCTCACTCGAAGCTTCAACGCCGCCCACGCCACCATGTCGCCGTCCCAGTCCACCTCGTATGCCTCGGGCCAGCAGGCGCCAAAGTGGCCCGCAGACAAGCCGCTAGCGCTCCAAATCAACCATTTCTCTCCCGTCCGCGAGGGCCACCCGCCCCCGGGCACGGTCCCAGACGAGATTGTGGCCGAGGGCGAGGAGAGGCCGCTGCTCTTTCATTCGGTTCAGCTGCCCGTGTCGAGGCTGACGCTCAAGAATGCCATCGTGGTCAGGTGAGCTTTAAGCTTCACTTTAAGAAGATCGAAGGGCACTCGTTTCTCACACATGCTGCTCCTACTACAGTCCCATGTGCCAGTACTCGGTCGTGGACGGCTATCCCTCGCCCTACCACCTGGCCCACCTGGGCTCGTTTGCCCTTCACGGCGCCGGCACCATCATGGTCGAGGCTTCTGGCGTCACATCAGCCGGCAGGATCACGCCACAGGATCTGGGCATCTACAAGGACGACCACATTCCTGCCCACACCTCTCTCGTCAGCGCGTTGAAATCGTTCACCGAAGGTCTCACTGTGGGTGTCCAGCTGGCCCACGCCGGGCGAAAGGCTTCGACGTGGTCGCCATTCCACCGCGGCGAGCGCAAAGTCAAGGAGTACGTCACCGACGAGGAGGGCGGCTGGACAAAGGAAGTCGTGGCGCCCAGCGCCTTGGCGTGGGGAAAGGGCTGGATCACGCCGCGCGCACTCTCCACGGCTGAGGTCAAGGAGGTGCAGAAGCAGTTTGTCGATGCTGCTGCTCGCGCCTTTGAGTCGGGCTACGACTTTGTCGAGCTCCACGCCGCCCACGGCTATCTGCTCCACAGCTTCCTCAGCCCGCTCTCCAACCAGCGCACCGACGAGTACGGCGGCTCGTTTGAGAACCGGTCACGGCTGCTCATCGACACGGCAAAGGAGATCCGCGCAAAGTTTCCCGAGAGGAGCCTCTGGGTTCGCGTGAGCGCAACCGACTACGCCGAGCATGTTCATGCCGAGGGAAAGCAGTCGTGGGACATTGAGCAGACAAAGCAGCTCCACAAGGTGCTCAGCCAGGTCGGCGTCGACGTTCTCGACGTCAGTGGTGGTGGTGAGTGCCTGCCTCAATTTCAGCCCTTCTTTCGCGACGAGAATTTGTCACTGACCTCCTTGTCACACACTCCACCCTTAGGCCTCGTCGAGTTCCAGAAGATCTCGCCTCGTCCAGCGTACCAGCTCCCTTACGCCCATGAGCTCTCCAAGAACAAGCTCGCGAGCCCGCTCTTGGGCACTGTCGGCATCATGGAGGGCGACGAGTACCCGGGTCAGGTGGCAGAAAAGGCCCTCGAGGACGGCGACGCCTCGCTCGTCTTCTTTGCCCGCGGCTTGTTGGCCAACCCTGCCTGGCCCGAATTCGCCGGCGCCAACCTCCTGGGCGTCCGGCCGGCGGGCAACCCGCAGTACCACCGTGTCCACCCCGTCAAGCCGGGCGAGACAAAGGGGAAGAAGGCCCCTTCGACGGCCCAGAACCACAACTAGAGCCTAGCCTTGAATTGTTGTAAATGCTAGATCATTCGTCTTGTCTGAGAATCTCGATGGAGTCCTCTTTCTTCACCCATGTCGGCCAGAAAAGCAAGAGCCAGGGTCTCCGCCGTGTCCACGTTTGCTGTTGCAGGAAAAAACACCGTGCACGGGCTTCCTTGCATATTTTTCAGAAAAGAAAGCTCGGTCGTGAGACGTGTCTCTGTGTCTCAAGCCCGCCGCGCTCTCGGTCGGTCTTGGCCCTCTTTCTTCTCGTGCTTCTCCGTCGTGTTCTCCCTTCTTCCCTTCTCTCTTCCCCCCTTCCTCCTCCCCTCCAACCTTTCGTATTCCCCCTTTCCTTCCTATGCAAGCATGGCCGAAGAACAGGCTCCCCCCGTCCGTCGGATCTGCTGCATCGGCGCTGGCTATGTCGGAGGTCCGACGTGCTCCGTCATTGCCCTCAACTGCCCCGACATCACCGTCCACATCGCCGATATCAATGCGGCGCGCATCGCCGCATGGAACAGCGATCCGGACCCCGTCACGGGCGAGCTCGTCAATTTGCCCGTGTACGAGCCGGGCCTGGCCGAGGTGGTGAAGAAGTGCCGGGGACGGAACCTGTTCTTTACGACGGACATTGAAAAGGCGATTGAGGAGGCCGATCTCGTCTTTGTCAGCGTCAATACCCCGACAAAGAAGAGCGGCATGGGCAAGGGCTTTGCGGCCGACCTGCAGTGAGTGTTGGTCGTTTGCGTGCCTTCTCTCTTTGAAAGGTTCAATCGCTAAGGGCGGTCTGTGTTTCACTCCCCCTGTCCAGCTACGTCGAGGCATCGACGCGTCTCATTGCTTCCGTCTCGTCGTCGTCCAAGATTATCGTGGAGAAGTCTACGGTGCCTTGCCGCACGGCTGCATCCATGCGCACCATTCTCGAGGCCAACGCCCGGCCGGGGCTCCACTTCGACATCCTGTCCAACCCCGAGTTTCTGGCTGAGGGCACAGCCGTGCAGGATCTGCAGAATCCAGACCGCGTGCTGATTGGCAGTCTCAAGACAAAAGAGGGAGAGTTGGCAGCGAGGAGGCTCAAGGATGTCTATGCGCACTGGGTCCCGCGGGAAAAGGTCTATACCACTGGGTTGTGGAGCAGCGAGCTGAGCAAGCTGGTGGGTTTCGTCATTTTGGAGTCCCTTGTCCTCTTACCGTGAGAGCTCATCAGACGACGAGCGCGATTGCAGGCAGCCAATGCGCTCTTGGCTCAGCGAATCTCATCGATCAATGCAATGGCCGCCATCTGCGAAGCGACGGGTGCCGACGTACAAGAGGTCGCCCACGCCTGCGGCCTCGACAAGCGCATCGGGCCAAATTTCCTCAAGGCCAGTGTCGGTTTCGGGGGGAGCTGCTTTCAAAAGGACATTCTCAACCTTGTCTACCTCTCTGAATCGCTCAATCTGCCTCAAGTGGCCGACTACTGGAAGCAGGTCATCACAATGAACGAGTACTCAAAGAGCCGGTTCGCACAGAAGGTAGTCTCGACGCTCTTCAACACCATCACGGCAAAGAAAGTGGCCGTACTCGGCTTTGCCTTTAAGAAGAACACGGGAGACACGAGAGAAAGCGCCGCCATCTCGCTGTGCAGATACTTTCGGCAAGAGAATGCTTTTGTGGCCATCTACGATCCAAAGGTGCCCGAGGCGCAGATCTGGCTCGACTTGACGGAGCCGGGCGTCGTGGACGACACAAAGCAGGGTGAGTCGCTGCATCAGCTTAATGTTGATGAAGAGAAAGCTGAACTGAATTTTCACAGTCAAAGAACAAGTCACCATTCACAAGTCCGTCCAATCTGCGTGCAAGGATGCCGAGGCCGTCGTCATTGCGACCGAGTGGGACGAGTTCAAGACTCTCGACTGGGAGGCCATCTACGCCTCGATGAAGAAGCCTGCCTTCGTCTTCGACGGCCGCGCTATCGTCGATCCCAAGAAGCTTCGTCAAGTCGGCTTCAAGGTTCACACCGTTGGACAAGGGCCTGAGATTGTCGACCCCATCTGGGCGTAGATCCGCCGGTCCCTCATCCTCGCTCTCTTGCCTCCGGCGCTTGCTTGATTGCTCAGACATAAAAAATCGGACGATGACCTTGTAGAAGATAGAATAGCCACGCATGCTAATATACACCCCCTTTCAGCTGAATTCCTCAGTCCACGAGAACAGACTACCATCCAGGCTACTTCATGTTTTTGAGGACCTCGCTGACGGCCTGGAGGAAGATGTCTGCGTGCTTCTTCTCAAAGACCAGCATCGGCCTCAGTCTGACTGTGCTGTCGCCGCAGCCGCCCAAATGAACCCCATGGTCCCTCCTCATCTTGACCAGAAAGTCGTCGCGGCCCTTTGTCGAGGGCAGATCCCAGGCAATAAAGGTTCCCTGGTTCTCGCCGCGCAGGTTCGACATGGCCGAGCCGGCAAAGAGCGATTCAAGATTCGAGTAGACGTGCGACCCAACATCGCGCACGTTCTCCAGCAGATTCGAGGCGCGAACGGTGCGGAGGATCTGGCGTGCTTGGAGAGCCCTGATTGGGTCTCCCATCCAGGTGTTGTCTGTGGGCGCAGTTCTCTTATATTTTTAGTGTCTCGGTCTAGAAAGAGGCAAGGAGAGACCCACAGTTGCGGTATGGCACCGAGGGCCTCGTCTCGATGTTGTGGTAGAAGCCAGCCGCTTGCATCCTGTGACAAGTAGTCAGTGCCTAAGGTTCCTCATTAAGATCAGGATCAATACTCACTTCTTGCTGAACGTGACGATGTCGGCAGGCCTCTCGAGGTCCCACGCCTCGTGCGCCCAGAGCCGGCCCGTTGCGCCAACGCCGGTCTGCACCTCATCCACGATCATGAACACGCCGAGCTTGTGCGTGAGTTCGCGCAGGGCCCGGAAGAAGGAAGGGCTTGCGTGCTGGTCGCCTCCCTCGGAGGCGATGGGCTCCACGACGAGACCGGCAACGGGCGCCTTTTGACGCCAGGCAACGATCGTCTCTTCGACCCGCGCCAGTGTGGCGGCCTCGGCCTCTGCATTCTCTCGAGCATGCTCAGCGAGCGGGTATTTGATGTCTGCGTATTTCGTGGAAGTCGCATATGTGAGGAAACTTTGGAGAGGACACTGGTGGGAGACAAGACTCACTTGGCCAAGGGACAGCGGGCCAGTCGAAGCTGGGGATGTCGACCTTGTGAACTGCCTTGCTCCTCGTCGTGCTCAGCGAACCGAAGAGCCGTCCATGGAACTGAGAATAGTAATCAGCACACCTTGCGCACGTTCACAGAGAGAGGAAGGAGCAAAGACCCCCGGCTGCCACTCACGCCCTTTTCGAAGCTGAGGATGCTCAAGTCGGGCGAGCCAGGCTCTTGATTCTTCATGCAGCTCGTCATCTCCTCGTCGGTGAAGGCCACACCCTCGCCCCTCTCCCTGGCGCGATAGGCCATAAAGACGGCCTTGTAGGCGTTTTCGTTGGCACAGCTGCCACACATGGCCGTAAAGACCTGGTTGAGTCCACGGGGCTTGACCCACTCATCGCCGATGCCGCCGTCGTTGATCCACGAAGCCCACTGGGCTGGGGGAAAGCTGCCGATGGCCGGCCGATTCGTGGCGGCCATGACGAATTCCGGCGAGTGGGCCAGCGAGACGAGGTCTGGGTGGTTGTATCCAAGGGCGATTGACCTATCGTTGGCCCCGCAGAAAGAAGCTTCTCTTCATGAATTCGACTGGAAAGGAACTGCGTGGACAAGAAGACAGACACTCACGCAATCTGCGCAAACATGTCGAGCATGACGTTGCCGTCTGCATCGACGATGAAATTGCCCTTGGACCTGGCATAGTCGGCAACGAATGCGTGGGCGCGGTCCTCTTGGAAGCCTCCAATCTCCTTGGACGCTTCAATCGAGAGTGGTCCAGGGATGGGCCCGCCGGGCTTGACCAGCGCCGGGTGTGTGGGCTGGTCCGAGGAAGGGAAGATGGACGTGGAGGCGGCGGTGGCGAGGAAGCGGGCGCGGGGAGAGGCCGCGATGAGGGAGCCGCTGCGGGCGAGGGCGAGGCGCCTCGCAGTCATGGGTACCAGCATCGTGTCCGTTGCCTTAAGGGTGGTTGTGCTCGTTCAAGCTGCCGCGAAAAGATGCGCGAGTAGACCAGGCCAAGCCAGAGCGACACAGAAGGCGAATGAGTCAGATGGGAATCTCCACAGCAAGCAGGCCGAATATCTTCTCGCCCTCCGCGCGGGGGTGCTTTAGAAACGCAAATGCGCCTATAGGTCGCGAACCCCATGCAGCCACTAAACGCTCGCGCATTTGCCAGAATCAAAGAAAACCATTGATAAGAGCGAAGAGAACGATAATCGTGACAAAGAGTGTGAAAAAAGTAGAGTGTAGAGATGGAAACGAATGAGGAAAGAACGACATCGATAATGGAAACAAAAGAGATACACTGACTTTGTACCTTTACAGAGAAAGAGAGACCAGAAGACCGAGAGAAAGAGCGAGGCTTCGAGAGACACGATGGAGGAAGTCTCACATGCAAAAGAGCTTGCTGTTCTTCTTCTTTTGCACTTCTTCCAGCCGCTGCTCCAAGGCCCTCCTGGCACGATCCTTAGCCTCTCTCTCGGCCTGGAGCCGGCTCTCATAGCCTTGCTTCTCGAGCATGACGTTGTTCTTGACGGCGTCGTTCTCCTTTTGCACCGTGCTCACCTGCACGCGCAGCTCGTCTGCCTGGGCTGCAAAGCGGTCCCTCTCCCTGGCAGCCTCCGATAGCTGGACGCGCGACTTGCGCAGGTTGCGCTCGCTGTCGTTGAGGGCCGCCTCGAGCGTGGCCACGAGGTCGATGTTGGCCTGGAGGTCCTGCTCGCAGTGGTTGAGCTGCTTGGCCAGGCTCTTGAGCTCCTCAGCCTGGTCCGCCAGCAGCTTGGCCACCTTCGGGTCCGACGCCGCCAGGCCGTTGATGTTAGGCATGTTGCTGATGCTCGTGATGCTTGACGACCGCGTGAGGGAGCCCGACTGCAGGCTCTGGCTCGGCGAGTCGGGTCTCGTCAGGATCGAGGAGCCCGAGTTTCGGAAGCCTGAATGGCGCTGCGTCGGCGTCGTCGCACCTCCATTCGGCGTCGGAGGCGGTGGCACGTTGGGTGGTGGCGTCAGCGGCGGAGGCTTCGCACCACCACCAACTCCGAGCGACTTTGAGCTTCTAGCATCGCTGTGCGACGAGCCGGCGTCCGTGTAGTCGGACACACGCTTGGCTGTGTTGGGCGATCTCGGCAAGCCATTGTGCCCGTTTGCGTGTGCACCCGAGCTCGAGCTCGCATCACCGTCAAGGTCTCCACTGCTGGAGGCGGCGACACCCCTCGAACGGTTGTTGGCCCGCGTCTCGGCAATAGTGAGCTTGATCTGCGTCTCGCGGTACAGGCTCTCCTGCCTCGCACGCTCCTCGACGAGGCTCTGGATGTCGCTCTTGCTCCTCATGAGCTCGGACCGAGCATTGGAAAGGCTTGCCTGCAACAGGTCTGTCTCCTTTCGAAGCTGGGCAATCGTTGTGGCACTGGTGTCAACGCCGCTTCCGTTTGTAGGTCCGCCTCGACCCTCCTTGAGCTGCTCCACCTCCAAGACCAGCCGGTCACGCTCCAGCTGCGTCTCTGAGAGGGCCTCTTCGAGTGTGACGAGGGCATCGTTGGTTTCGGACAGCTCAGAGCGAATTGCGTCGAGGTCGTGTGGGTCCTGCTCCAGCAGCTTCATGTACTTTGCTTCGAGCTCGCGTCGCTCCATCAGGGCCCGATCGAGATCCCGCTGCAGATCAGCAACACGGACAGAGTGCTCATCGCCCAGCACGGTCAGCCGGTCAGCGTGCGCAGTCTTGAGCGCTTCGAGCTGCTCGAGCGTGTGCAAGTGGTTCTTCTCCAGCCTCTCGATGTCCCTCTTGGCGTTTTGCGCAGCCGTGGAATGGTCCGCCTGTCCCTTGGACAGCTCTTGGCGCAGCGACTCCATTGCCGACGAGTGCTCTTCGCCCATCTTTGCCAGGGCATCATCGTGATCCCGCTTCGCCTGCTCCAGGCTGCCCTGGCTGGCCGCGAGGGCATCGGCGTGCTCCTTGCCGAGGTCCTGGATAGCGCGGCTGTGTGTCTCTGTGGCCGTCGCCAGAGACTCGTCGCGAGAGGTGACCAGCGCCTTGGCGTGAAGGTCCTTGAGAGAAGCGGTAGCGCTCTCGTGTTGCGACTGAATCTGCTCCAGCTTCCTCTGGTGGTCATCCTTCATCCGCCCCAGCACATCTTCATGGTCCTTCGTGAGAGACTCGAGCTTCGTGCTGTGCTCCTCAAGGGCGCCATCGTGCTCCATCGTCAGCTTGGTCTGCAGCTCGTCCAGAGCGACGCGGTGCTCTTCGGCCAGCTTCGTCTGCATCGCCACCATAGCCTGCCTGTGCCTGCTGTGCGTCTCGGCCTCTCCCTCGCCAAGCGACTTCGAGTGCTCTTCGTGGAGAGCGTCGATAGCGGCAGCATGGTCAGCTGCTTGTCTGGCCACAATTGCGCCGTGCTCGTCCTTGAGCTTGGAGACGACCGACGTGTGATCAGCCCGGATGGATTCGACTTGCTTCTCGAAGTCGGCCTTGGTCGAGCTGAGCGTCTCGGCGTGCGCAGCGTCCTTGTCTGCTAACACCTTGGTGAGAAGCGTGGTGTGCTCCTCCTTGGTCTTGTCCATCGCCAAGGCGTGCTGCTCCGAAGCCGTCACCAGCGCCTTTTCGCCCTCGCTTCGGGCCTGAAGCACGGCCTCATTGTGGCCAAGCTCCCGGGTCTGGATCTCTTCCTTGTGCAAGTCCCTGAGCTTCTGCATCGCCTCGTCCATCGTCGCCTGTGAAGTCTTCTGGTGCTCTTCGGCCTGTTTCGCCAGGGCCGCAGCCTTGGCCTGCGTCAGATCTGCCAAGGCGGCTGTGTGCTCCTCGCTTCGGGTTGTCATGGCCGAAGCGTGCTCCTGACGCAGCGCCTCGAGCTGCTCGTCCACAGCGGCGGTGGTTCCCTGCCCGTTGGCGTCTGCACCCTTGATCGACACGGCAGAGGCAGCCAGCTGTGCACGGAGGTTCTCGATCTCCAAGGCCATGTTGGCAGCCTGGTCGCGCGACAACGTCTGCAGCGTCTCGTGCTCGCGGCGATTCTTGGCCAGCTCCGCACGCAGCTCATCCATCTGCTGGCGCGACGACATCTCCTTGCGAGCCATAGACCTCATGAGCTCGTCAACGTTGGCACCACCAGCGCCGCCTCCATGCGATTCAGAGACGAGTTGCCGGATGACGCTAAATTCTCGCTCCGTTGCCGGCGTCAATGGCGGGGTGGCACCTTCGACAGCGGCTCCTCCTCGAGTCAAACCCTCTCCAGGGGGCGAGAGCAAAGAGGCGCCTTCCTTGGCGGCGGCGGCTTGACGAGGAGGGACGCTACCACTCTCGCGCGCACCCCTCTCCAGCGCGGCAATCTCTTCGTCTCTCTCCTGAAGCACCTCCTGGAGCCTCATCGTTTCCTTTTCCAGGCTCGCAATCTTCCGCTCATAGTTCGCCGGCGAGTCGGGCTGCTTGTTCGACAAAGAATCGGCCGAGGGCGAAGCGCCAGGAGGCACAATACCAAGCTTGGCAAAGTCGCTGCTCCCCGACAGGCTCAAGGGCCTCTTGCCGCGTCCCGTATAGGTATCCGAGGTAGAGAGCGAGAGCGTACGTTGCCGCAAGGGAGAGTCCTCCGCCGAGGTACTGCCATTGATGGAGCCGCTGGCTGGCCGCGTGGGCGTCGTCGCGTTTCCGCTGCCCTCTCGAGGTGTGCTCTCCCTCGGATTGTATAAAAAAGTGCCTGATGATCGGCGAGACAGTGACCTCCGCCTGGCCGGACCGGGGTCGGCGAGCAGGCTGTCCTGATTCCGGCCTCGAAGGGTCATGGAACCCCTGCGTGACAGCGAAGGGCTCTCCAGCTCTTCTCCCTGGCGGCTCGAGCTTGGTCCATCACTGCGAAGCTTGGCCTCGGAGACCTGCTGGTTCAGATCCTGGATCTCGGCAAGAGCCTCCCTGTACTTGACGTTGACCGTCTCGAGGTCGGCCTGCAGCTTTGCCTCCTCTTCCTTCTTACCCTCGAGCTCATTGTTGTACATTTCCACCTGGATTCGCAGCTGTTCCAGCTCCTCCTCTGCACTCGCGCTATCCTTTGGTGTACCTGTGGGAGCTGTGGCCGCTGTGCTGAAAGACGTCGTCGAGGCCGACCTCAAGCCTGCTGCTGCTGCTGCTCCAGCGGCACCTACAGCCGCTGTGGCTGTCGCTGCCTTCTCCAGCTGCTGGATGCGGTCCTGGAGCTTGCCACGTTCGAGCTCGTGCGAAGCCGCCGAATCAGTCAGTCGCCCACGCTCGCGGACTACCTCGTCCTTTTCACCCTGGAGCTTCTCGACCTTTGTCTGCAGATCCAGAAGCCTGACGTCGCGCAGGTCGAGCTCCTCCAGAAGGGCCTTGTTCTGTTTGGCGTCATCGAGCGAGTCCAGCCGCTGCTTGAGCTCCTTGTAGGCCTCGTCGCGCCGCTCCAGGTCTCTCTCGAGCCGAGCGACTTGGTCCTTCATGCTCTCGACGGTGTCGTCAGCCTTTTGCAACCGAGCCTCGAGGTCCTTGATGTACTCTTCCGTCGACGCCTCTGCCTCGCGCAGCCTAGCCACTTCCTTTCTAAGCTCAGCCGTAATTTGGGCGTTGGCGTCACCGTCACTCGTGTGCGAGGCCAGACGGGTTTCGAGATCACGGGCGTAGGTGTTGGCGGATGACTCGCGATCCTGCAGCTTGGCCAGCCTCGCCTGAAGCTCCGTCACCGTCTGCTCGCGCGTCTCGAGATCCTGCTCCAGCTTCGTGATGCGCGACTCCTGTTCAGTCTGGCGTAATTCGCCGTCCATGATGACGTCTTCCGAATGACCCAGGGCCGCCTTCATGAGGTTGATCTGACCTTCGAGGGCATCAACCGTCTTTTCGTACTCGACAATGATGGGCTCGGCAGCCTCGAGGAAGTCGGCATTGGAGTCAGACGAGCTGTGGCCCTGCTGCAGCTTGGTCAGGTCGGCGGTGAGCTGCGAGTGCTTCTGGCTGAGGCTGGCATACTTTTCCCGCCACTCGATGAGCTCCTTTTGATCCATTGCGCGCATAGCTGAGTCGCTGCCCGGTGTGCCTGACTTGAAACCCCTGAGGATGGCGAGCTCCTTGCGCAGTTTCATAACCTGAGTCTGCAAGTATTCGACGTCGTCCCACCCAACCTCTACCTGATTGAGTTCGGCCTTGTTCTTGATGTTGCGAGCCCGGTTGGCGTACTGGAGCGTGTTGATCGTCTCGCTGACATTGTATTCGGTGGGCGAGACGCAGGCAATCATGAGCGTGTACGCATTGCCACCCAGGCTGTCTTGCAGCAGCCGAGTCAGCTTCGAGTCTCGGTAGGGAATGTGCGTCGTCCTCCTCGCTTTGACCGGATCACCCAGGGCCGAGATGACGTTCCCCAGAGCATGCAGGCCCGAGTTGATCGAGATGCCCTCCTTGACCCGGTCTCCTTGGGCTGCCGTACGCTTGAGCTAAAGTGAGGGGGAACATTCGTCCATCGTGTCAGCTGCTTTGATCTTCACCAATGGTGTATGCCCATCATTCCTCAACCTACCCGCTCTGAGCCTGCCAGGTCGACAAAGTGAAACTTGCTCGTGACGGTGACCCATTCGCCCCCAGCGTCTGCAGCGGGGTCGCGATCGCTGCCAAACATGGGCGAGTGGCTCCGCGGCGGCGCCCCCGCTACGCTCGAGGGACGCAGCGACGATGGAGTTCCTGCCCGCGATGCACGTGCGCCGCCACCAGGCGTGGGAATGTTGGACGCAGGCCGAGGGAGGCCAGACCGGCCGCTGGGCGTCGTTCGTCCAGTGGGGGTGGTGCGGCCGCCAAAGACGCTGGCGGGCCGGTTGCCTGGGATGTTGCTGCTGCTGCTCGGTGGGGGAGGGGCGCCGTTTCCCACAAACTTGCGCTGGACGAGGGTGAGGGAGAAGATGGCGTGAGATCGCGAGGATTGCGCATTCATGTCCGTCTCGTTTGTTCTCCGAATCGTCGAGCCCTGGAGCAGGTGGTTCATGACGTCTGCCACGTTGTTGACCTTGACCTCTCGGAGGCCGCTCCAGATAATGTGGCCCTGCTTGTCCTCTCGGATCTGCACCAAGGGCCGATTGTCGCCATCTGCATCTGCGAGGAGATCGATGAGCTCCTCATTGTAGATCTCGATGAAGCTGGCCTTGGCGCTGTACTGAACGGCGCCGCTGCGGGCCTGCTGCTGCTTGATGGCGCGAAAGACGTCTGCGACGGCGCGAGGGATGATGCCCGTCTGCGGATCTGGCCGCTGGCCTGCGACGAGGGCCTCAAAGTCGACATCGGCCACCGAGGTGCCCATCGTGTAGCTCTTTCCGCTCGATGTCTGGCCGTAGGCGAGAATGGTGACATTGTAGCCCTCGAGAAAGCGGCTGATGAGTGGTTGCACAGAGCCGGCATACACCTGCTCTTGACCATCATCGGGAGCAAGAACCCTGTCAAAGGTGAAGCTCTGCTTTTTCAGGGGCGCGGCTGTCGAGGCGGTAGGTGCACCGGAGGGCGGTGGTCCCCCTGGCTCGACCTGCAGCGCGTTGCTCGACTGGGGCACCACTACATGCCGCTGCCATCTTGCAGGAATCGAGCTCTGGTCGTGCGCCGTCACTGGTCGAACCCGGACGGCGACTTGGACCGAGGTCGCGTTGCCTGCGCTCGTCGACGAAGCAGGCCCTGGAAACAAGACCGAGTACTCCCGGTTCCGCGCCGCCATCGTCCAGCTCTCCTCTGGCTGCTCCCAACTGACAGTAGTAATGAGGTTGAGTGAAGGCGGGGCGAGTCACGGGCGGAACAAGGGGAAGATTGAGGGCGAACTCTTCGATCTTGGGAGGGGTGTGCTGTAGTAGTATCGGAGAAAGGGGGGCAAATGCACGTTGCTTATTCCCACCGGTCTGCGCACACGCGTCAGCTACGTCTTTCGTCAGGGGCGGCTCTAGCCGTCGGTCGTGTTGTGGTCGTGAGCGTGGCGAAAGCGCTGCGCGCGCCTTTCTATAGGGAGGAAGGTGTGCACCGTGACGCGGTCGGGGTGTAGCGACGACGACGACGGCCAAAGACAATGGTGGGCGAAGAGGATTGAAGAAGCGCGAACAGACAGACGACCTAACTTTTGATTTTTCTTATTTTGGATAGGATTTGATTGCGCGAAGACACGAGCGGCTTCTGAGAGTTCCGACCAAGCTAAGTGCGCGTGTCCTGCTGCTGCTGCCTACCCCCAAGAACCAGTTTCTGAAAACCTAGCCAATAATAAGCTACCGGCTCGGGTCAACAGGAAGGCGCAAATCCAGAAGACTCTCCCAAGGACGCTAACTAAATGCAGGAGTGAAGGGGAGCCCCCCTTTAAGCATCGTTAATTTCACTTTCGCGACGCGCCACTGCTGTCGACTTGCCTCAATGGAGACCGTACCGTGTCTCTGCATACTCTCGTCGTGTGCTCCTTCCTCATCAGCCAGGCCACTGTGGGCGCGCTAGAAACTAGGCGTTTCTGCATGTGTAGACTTGGGTGGGCTCTGACGCAGACTTGATGAACAATCAATTGTCTTGTGAGCTCTGCCACGCCAGAACAATCAATGTCCTTCAACAACCCTGGTTGGCCCGCTTTGGCGTGCGCTCGCTGGCCGTTCATATCAGGGGCCCGTGCGCGGTCCTCCGGAGGACCTCACGCTCCGGCAAGTTACGCCAGCCTCTTCCAGGAGCGATACCGTCAGCTTGGCAAGCTGATTGTTTATCGTAGTCTTATTCATGTACGGCCGTGTCTTGTTGGTTTGACAGCATGCTGAAAAAGAGGATCTGCGAGATACAGGGCTCTTGAAGAAAGCACTGAAGCATTGCGAGGGTAAACCAGCCCAGCACATCACCAACTTTGACCACGGCCAACCACGAAAGGCGGCAGACAGCGCGACGTACTTGTGCCTGAGCTTCGCTGCCCAAATTCGGCATGAAAGCACCGACTGCTATCTCCTTGCTATAATCTCCTCCCTTTCCTAGTAGACCTTTCCTTAGTATAGAGATCACCGTCCAGCAATCTCTCCGCGAGAAGATATGCTTTCGGCCGCTGAGCTCTATTGGTTCGGCAGGCTTGCTAACATATTGGTATTCTCTCCTTTTTGCATTGACGAGCATCTAAGATATCTTTTCGCTCTCTACCTATTTTCAGTCGTCGTCGACAGCAACGAAGCGAGACTCTCCGGCGAAGAAGGTAGCAAGAATGTGTGCAAACTTGAACTCTCTCTAGTTGGAATCTTTGAGCATCAGCAAAATGTCACCTTGGCTATAATCGATCAAATGCACATCAACGAGTTCGTCGAGGTCGAGAATGTTCGCAAGCTCAACCCTTTGAAAAATGGCTGCAATCTGTATTGCAACGTTAACATTGGACAGCTCAGGGCGAGACTATGTCCGGCTCTGCTGGACCAACTTCACTATACCGACTGCACTCTTGTCATTGGCCCTCCTTCCAATCCTGAGGTCATATCAGACCTGTCTATTGCTCTGCATGTGTGCCTTCTTGGGGTGAGGCCGCACCCACCCTCTTTTATCTATCTTCGGCTGAAGAGCTGACTTTGTTCTTCTGCTCCCTTCTCCGACGATCCGGTCACACAAAACCGAACTGAGCTCGCACTCAAGGACCTGACAGGGTCTGTGCGTACGCCCAGACACCAGCGGATTTGGTAAGGAAACCAGTCTCAGAAACGCGTGCGCGGGCATTGAGAGTCAGGCTGTCGAAAAGATGTCCGAAAAGGAACGAGGCAAGCGGCACGGCGTCAGCCTCGTCAAGCTTGGATCGCCCACCGACAACGTCAAGGCTCTGTACAGACGTAAAGATGCCGTAGGACGGAGCGGGGCGGGGCCGGTCGTGACATGATCCCTGCTGGATCTCGAGCCCGTGCCAAGAATCTTCCAGTCTAGGATTCCCCCCTCACTGGTCTTGGTTCAACTGCTTGCTCCGCTGCTCCTTTTCAAAACATTCGAGAAAGAAATCATCGCCTGTTCCTCTCCGATCCTCTCAACCTGCACCGAATGCACGCTGAATTGACGACCCATATCCTCAGCAAGGCTTTGCCTGTGCTGCTCAAGGATTGATGTTCGGAAAATCAATCTGCGGCTTGGGCTGAAAAGAATTTAAGGAAGATGCCTCCGACCTGACTGGACGCTTCTGACGCAAAGCTAACCCTCTTTCACTCCTTCCCCTCTCCTTGGCAAACGCACTCCCAGCTGCCCCAGCATGAAGATTCCCTCATCTCGACTGCTCACGCTTTCCTTTCTGATCTTCTTCACGACTTTCCTTGTCGTGACAGAAGGCAGCCACGACCGCTCGTCTTTTGTCAAGAGAATCATCAACCCCAACGGAGCTCACGATCATCTCCCTACTTCTGGAGAGGTGTTTGGAGCGAAAGAGGTCGATCCTGCAACAACGACAGAACAAAAAAGGAAGAAAAAGACCACGCCCACGACCGATCCTCTCTACGACGACGCCAAGGACCTGGCCGTAGGTTGGCTCAGAAACATGCGAGGGCCGGTCCAGTGAGTCACTAAGCTTGGCGAGGCTCTCCAGAAGACGAGGCGTTCCGAAACAAATGACAAACACCTCTCCCGCCACAGACTCGTTCAAATGACTCCAAAAGGGAAGGACAAGTACTTTCTCAGCAAATTTATCGTCGGGCAACAGTATGAGTTTGATTATACCGAGAATTGTAAGGCTTTCGGCAATGACCACTTCTTGCCGAAGCACATTGGCCATTGGTCCACAAACAAGCCTTCGCCCTCAAAATTCCTTGTGGGACGTTTCGCCAAGAGGATGATGCCACTCTGCTCAATCAGCACGCTCCCCGAGCTCCTTCCAGAACAAACTGGACTATTCGTCCTTCGCGCTTCAATGGTGATTGTGAGTGACGTCCCCCCTTTTTCAAGCGACAGTGCGGTCGAATCTGCTTGCTGACGAGACTGCATGACAGGTCACCAAGAAATGGAGCCATCCACGAATCATAAAGCCAAAGGGCGGTGGACCGGCGAGAAAAGTCACTGACTTTAGTCAAATCACCTGGCTCAACGAGTTCTTCGACCCTGTGAGTGCTTGTATCACTTCAGAGAAAGGAACAAGTCTCACAGGATGAACATCGCAACCGTTGACAGGCTATGGAAAGGTTCCAGATCGTCGACGGAAGAGAATTCTACATGGAGAAGATCGGCAAGGTGGTCTACAACCGTGCCGATCTCATGGCAATTGCAGAGCCGGTCTTGAACGGTCACAAGCCGGACACGAGCACTTTGTGAAGAAGAAGCGCAGGTCCGATGAGGCAGAGCTCGAAACTTCCGACTTTTTCTGAGCACGCCCAGCGCTCTCCACTCACCACTCTCTTTATCGATCCGCACTGCTGGCCATGCGGGTCGGCAGCAACCGTAACGGCGGCGACGACGAGAACACTCCCCCGCTCTTTTTCTCCTCCTCCTTCTCCCTGCCCCCATCTCTGATCTCTACCTCACTCTTTACTATACTAGCTATTTTGTAGCGCAGGCTCTGGCACCACCTCAAGACTAGCTTTGACCACCTTTATCTCTCTCCCAAGAAAGGGGAAAAAGAATAAACTTATCTTGAAAGCGCAGCACTTCCCGTCTCTGATTCCTTAACGACTTGACGTGTGAGCAAAGACGAGCCCCATTCCATCACTACCATATACAAGAGAGCGAGCAAGATCCAGAGGAGGACAAAGATAAGTGGAGTAAGAGGGCGTGGGAGGGGCAAAGAGAGAGAGGAAAGGAAGTGAAAAGGAGCAGAGGGGGGCCGCTTGACTAAAAGTACAGTTTGACGAATCGAATCGTGTGTTTGGTGGAGGGAGTTTTACAGTTCCTGGCCAGAGACGATGGCCTCGACGAGGGTGCCCCAGCCTGCTGCCCAGCTCGAATCGACGCCCTCGAGCTCGGCGACGTCGCCGACGCCCAGCATCGCTGGCGTGCCTCCCGCTGCGCCCTCTGCCGTCGCCGTATTGCTGCCCTGGGCCTGGTCCGTCTTGCCGGAGTCGCCAGCGTTCCACGCGAGCGTCGTGGCCGGGTTAAAGAAGCCGTCAAAGCCCCCGGCACCTCCTGCGCCGCCAGACGGATTCTGTGGCACGTTGATGGCCAGCGACGGGCTCCCCACACCGCCCGAGACTGTCGGCATCGACGTCATGGGAGCGCCCGCAACGTTGCTGCTGCTGCCACCGCCACCACCGCCGCTGCCGCCGGCGAGAAAAGCGCTGTCGCCAGCCTGCAGGCCATTGGCAGCTCCGAGGCCTCCCAAGCTTCCTCCAGTGCCAAAGAAGCCGCTCATGTCCCACGAGGAGCCCGACGAGGTAGAGCTGGGCGATTGGTTCTGGTTGAGAATCTGCATCGACTCGAGCCCGCCGAGCTGGTCGAGGAGGCGCTGCGCCAAGTCGCCCTGCAACGGCTGAGGACCGCTCCCCGCCAGAGACGGCTGCTGCTGCTGCTGCGGCCCCTGAGACTGCGCATCCTGCGTCGATTGCTGCTGCTGAAGAAGCCGCTTGTTGGCCGGGTCTGATGATGCCTGCTGCTGCGACTGGCTCCCCTTTGCGCCCACAGGCTTGCCCCTGTCCGCCTGTCTCTGCTGCGAGCCCAGCGCGCCCTGCTGCTGCTGCTGCTGCTGCTGCTGTTGTCCGCCCGTGGCCGTGGCGGCGCACCAGCTGGGGTCGAGTGCCTTGGCTTTGAAGATCTTGATAATGGCCAGCTCCCTCTTTGTGCACTGACTCGGGTCCGACACCTTGCTCGAGCTGTTGAGGAATTCGTCGATCATGGCGTGCAGCTCGGGCGCATTAGGTCCCTTGGGGTCCAGCAGCAGCTCAATGCCGGCGATGAGGGTGCTGCTAAACAGCCGGTACACGCCGCCCAGGTGCGAGTTGCGGGCGCGGTTGCTGGGCCAGTGGACCTCGCGCTTGTACTCGGCTCGGATCTGTCGATCAGCCTTTGCGCTGGCGAATGCAGCGGCACGGCTGAGCTGGTACCGATCCGAACGCAGTAGGTAGGGTCGATGCAGGGTGATGCGCACGTAGTGGTACTCGACGTTGAGGAGATAGCGATGGATGGGGAGCCAGGGACAGATCTCGTCAAAGGATCGATCGGCCTCGTCGCCTCTCAGGGCGCGACAGAGGTAAGGCGGCGGCAGGGCTTGGTAGAAGCGCTCGAGGTCCGCATCGAGCTGGTGGACATCTGCGTAATTTCTGGGTTTCGACAGGTCCTGGAAGTGCTCCACGATGCGGCCAGTGAGCTTGGCCAGCTCATGGCGCATGGCCACCATGGCATACACGCCTGGCGGCTTCCGGGGCGCATTGGCATCGACGGGCTCTAACGGTGGGAAGGGGGGCGGGACGGGGGCGGGCGCCAGTCGGGGAAGGACGTCAATGTCGACGTCGCTGGGTGGGAGTGTGTCCGACGTCTTGTCATCGATCCCCTGTGGTCGGCCAAGGAGCATGCTGGTGGTGCGATCGAGGTAGTAGATGAGCGCCCACAACCGCCGCCGCCTCTCCGTCGTCACGGCGTCAAGACCAAGCTTGGTGCCGTCTCGATGGAGGCCGATGGCCTGCGCTGCTCGGATGGCGACGCCGAGCAGGCTCCAGCTCTCTGCGCTCTGTCGCAGCGTGATGAGTAGCCTGGCGCCGTACAGGGCAGCCAGGAGCACGTCGATGTGGTCGGCTCGGACGGCATTGGCAATGGCCATGGATCGCCTGGCGCAGTGGAGGAAGAAGAGGGCGCCCCTCCTGGCCTCCTCGTCTGACGACCTCTCCTCTGGCTCGGATCGCTTGGCAATGGCGAGAATGACAAAGAGAAAGGAGAGAAAGGGAATGTGGCGGGCCCCGTCGTCGCCCTCTTCGCTGCGCAGGTCGCCCCAGCGCCAGTTCATGATCTCCTCGTAGCTGGCCCGGAAGGTGCGCTCGTGAAGGGGAAGACGGGTCTCGTTGATGTCGCGAAAGTACCACTCGAGCATGGCGTCGGACTCTTCCCTCGGCGGGAGGCAGTTCATCAGCTCGTCGATGACGTTTGACGGCGCACCTCCCTCTTGGATGAGCCGGTGGACCTTGGCACTTGCCGAGCGCAGTGGTACGTTTGTGCTCAGTTCCAGTCTCTCGCCGTGAATCTTTCATTAAAAGGTCAGCGTCGTTCTTCATCATACTCCTCCTCCCATCACTCTGAACCCACCTTTGTCTCGATGACGCCGCGGCTGACGGACGGCAGGGCGAGGGCGCCATAGAAGCTGTCGCCTTCCCGCGTAAGGCCACCCTCGAGCGGGTTGTTGAGGTTCTCGACGTCCTCGCTCGACCCGCCATAGAGGCCGGCCTGGCCGACTTCGTCCTGCAAACTGCCCTGTGCCCTGAGCTCGTCTCGCTCAATATCGATGCGCTCGTTGCGCCTTATCCTGGCCCGCTTCGCCTTTGCATCGCCCTCCGAGTCTGATAACTGCATCGCTTCGTCCTTGACGGCATTGGCAGCTGCAGCACTGGCCCCATTGGCGCTGGTCCCGCTCGATGTGGGCGAAGTCGCCCCCACCACTGCGCCGTTGCTGCCGCCGAGAGCAGCCCTCGTGGCAAGACTACCACTACCGCCGGCTCCCTTCATCGCAGCGGCAAACCGGTCAGCCAAGGTTGCATGCGCGCGTGCCAGACCCTCGACGAGATCCTCGAGCCGCTTGAGTCGGTCGCGCTCGTCGCCAAACTCGTCGCCATCCTGGAACGGCCGGCACTGGTCTCCCAGGCCGCGGTCGAGGCACGGCTGGCAAGGAATGTTGCGGTCGCACCGGTGCTTGCGCCGGTGGCACTCGGCGCAGCTGTAGTGCACCCGTTTTCGCTTGCGTGGCGGCGTCACGCCCTGCGATGTGGCCAGTGCGTCGGCCAGCGTCTTTTTTGCGCGTGGATTGTTGAGGGCGGCCGCCGCTGCCGCTGCCGCTGCTGCTGAGGATGAAGATGACGACGAAGACGACGAGGGAGCACCGTGGTGTGCCGACGACGGATGCTGGTGCTGGTGCTGGTGCTGCGAGGACGAATGGCTGCGTTGAATCGCCTGGGGTGAGGCACTGCCGTTCGAAGAGGCCGTCCGGGCAGGCACAGTAGAAGACGCGGATGAAGGGTCCATCGTGGAAGGGGCAATGGCCTGAGGCGGCGGGCGCGACGAGACCGGCCGTGGCTGGGGTGCAATCTTTGTTGGTGCCGACGACGACGTTGTCGTCGTCGTCGGCGTCGCGGCTCTCGACGCGCCTGCGGTGCCGCCACTAGCGGTTCCCCCACCAGCAGCGTCGGGAGGCGCCATGGTCTGGGCCAACGGGCAGCTAGCTTCGCCTCTGACTCAAGCCAAGTCAGCCACGGTCAAGCGGGGTTGACGGTCTTAGTGTAACGTGCAGAAGTAAAAAAGGCAAAAAAAAAAGAAAGAAAAAGGTCCCTGCTCTTTCCCAGTCATGCACACCAAAAAGGTCGCTAGATCCACGTGGAGACAAGCTTAAAGTTTTTGGAGGAAATTGGCGCCCGTGCTCATGGTGGGGGAGGAAACCAACCGTCTGTTCTTCTTCGTCCATAGGGGGGAAGGCCAGCTATTTCTCTCTTTGATAGGGGCGTGGCCGACTGCCATCATCCTCTAGTTCAGAAGAGATCTGCCTCGCCCTGATGCCAGTAGCTATGTCGCACCCATGATGTAGGCCACTTGTTTTCGCATTGCATCTCATTCTACAGGGGGGGCGCTTGCTTGCGGCTATTTTGGCAGACTGCATCCTCAGTCCTTGGTGGCCTGCACCTTGTCGCAGTTGGTGGGGTGGCTCTCCTCAAAGATGTCCCAGCGCGCATCAAAGTCGTCGCTCTGGTCGCAGACGCGCTTGTGCTCAGCCTTGCTCGCCGCCGCCTCGAGCTCGTCGATCTCGGCCTTGGACAGGGCGACGAGCTTGAGGTTGTTGGCGATGCGCGCAGGCGTGACACTCTTGGGCAGCGGGTTCGCGCCCCGTCCGACCTGCCAGCTGATGAGGATGTTGGCGCCCTGGACGCCGTGCTTCTTGGCGAGCGTGTCAATGGCCTCGAGCGAGGCGTGCGAGGCGCCCGTCGAGCCCAGCGGGCTGTAGGCCTGCGGCAGAATGTCGTTCTTCTTGAGCCAGGCCAGCAGCTCCGGCTGCGGGTTGCCAAACGAGAGCTCGACTTGGTCTGTGGCAATGGCAAGAAGCCGCGTCGAGCAGTCAGTCTCATCAATCAAATGGGCCAGTGGCTCTTGCCAACAAGGAGAGTGGGGGAGGAAACTCACCGGCCACGGGCTTGATGCGGGCGTGCTTGAGCAGCTCGCGGGTCCTGCGGATGTTGAAGTTGCTCACGCCGATGCTCTTGACGAGGCCCTCGTCGACGAGCTTCTCCATCTCGCGCCATGCCGGCAGGGGGTCATCGGACGTCTCGCGGTCGACAATCTGCTTTCCAGCGGCGTCCAGCTTGCCCTTGCGTGCCAGCGAGCCGTCGGCGGGGATGTCGGGGACCAGGGCGAGGGGCCAGTGCATGAGAAAGAGGTCGAGGTAGTCGAGGCCGAGGTCCTTGAGCGTGTCCTCGACGCTGAGCCGGACCTGGTTGTGGTGCAGCTCAAAGAGCTTGCTCGTGATGAAAATCTCGGCCCGGGGCACGCCGCTCAGCTTGATGCCCTCGCCCACCTCGCCCTGGTTCTGGTAGGCCCAGGCGCAGTCGATGTGGCGGTAGCCGGCCTGGAGGGCCGAGCAGACGGCATCGCGCACCTGCCCAGGCGGCGACTGCCAGGTGCCCAGGCCGACGCTGGGAATCTTTTGGCCGTTGCTAAGTGTAAAGTGGGTAGGAAGAGACATCTTTGCTACAGTACAAATTCTGGCCCTTGCTGTTGCTGTTGTTCTTGTGGTGTTGGTGGTAGGAAGAAGAAAGGAGAGGTGGGCTTTCGAACTCTCCTCTCTATGTGGTCCAATCCCCCCCCCACGCGGCGATGACGCCCATCGGAGGGGGAGCCGGTGCTCCCGAATGGCAGCCCCTTTCGGCAATCTTCTGACTGTCAGACGAGGAATACACGGCCAGGACCAAGGTCAGAATAATCGGCTCAGTGGGATTGTAAAAATTGTTATTGTTGGCGCGGGGGTGGATTATTCAACAATTTCAATCGCGCCCCTCGGCAATCACCAGATGCTCCACGGCAAGCCTGGAGGGGAGTCCGATGTCCGAAGGGGGGCAAAGCACCTTGCACAGGCAGGCACAAGCAATTGTCAAAAGAGCTTATCTGTTACTGCTGCTGCTACGACTACTACTACTACTGCTACTTCTACTATGGTACAGAGTGGGGCTGGAGGACGAGGTAGTGTCAGTGAAACGCCGAGGGCTGCCGGGCCGTGGCGAGTGGCGTCGTCGTGGCAGTGGAGAGGCGCGACGAAGCAGCAGCCAGAGACTTATCGCGCTTCTTTGCCGTCGAAGTGAGCATGTCGAGACGCATCTGCGACGCAGCGGGCGTCATGCCCGGTGCTGTCTGCCTCAGTGTCGATGCAGGGATACCCAGGCCCTTCATCTTGGGCCGTGGCGTGGCGGGGATCGGCGTGGTGAGGCCAAATCGGGCAGAGGGCGTAGGCGGCGGAGGGAGCACGCTGCTGCTCGGCCGAGACGACAGCGGGGTGGGCATCATCATTGTCTGCGAGCGTTGGATCGTTGAGGGCGGAGGCGGCAGCGCGGGCGGGGGCGCATGCAGATCCGAGTTGTGCACGGCAAGGCTCTTTGTCTGGCCGTTGGTCTTGTAGATGCCAACCAGCCGCGAGGCAAGCTCAAACATGTTGTTGCGCAGCGAGATGACAATAAATTGTGCACCCTTTGTCCGCTCCTTGATCAAGTTGGCCACGATTGACACGTTCCGGAAGTCGAGGGCGGCATCCAGCTCGTCCATCGCATACAGAGGTGTGGGCTTGAAGGCGTGGAGAGCAAAGACCAGGGCGAGGCTGCTCAGTGTCTTTTCGCCTCCTGACAGATTCGAGATGTTCTTCCAGCTCTTCTTAGGAGGCATGACACTGAAGAGGATGCCTTCGGAGAAGGGGTCGAGGCTGTCGACGAGCTCCAACTCGGCATTACCACCCAGGGTGATGGTCTGGTACATTTCCTTGAGCTTTGCCGAGATGACTGCGAATCCGGCCATGAAGCTCTCCAGACGCTGCTTGCGCAGATCGTCGTGTCGCTGCTTGGCCATGTCGCGCTGCTTCGTCACCATTTCGAGGTCGTGCATCCTCGAGAGGAGCTCTTGCTCTCGCTTGCGGTACTCTTGCAGGATCGACAGATTGCCGATGCCCATCTGCACCTTCTCCTCAAACACGACAATCTCGGCCTTGACGCTCTCCTTGTCAATCGCCCGCAGCTCGTCCTCGGAGAACTCTTGGAGCTCAATCGAAGTGTCACCGTCCTCATCATCGTCAATTTCCTCCTCTGCCTCCTTCTTTGCCTTGGCTTCCTTCTTGCTCGTGATGCCGGCCTCCTGCACTGTCTCGTCTCCATCTTCACCTTCGCCATCAGCATCGGCTCCGCCTTGCTCCTGCTCCTGCTTCTTCTTCTCGCCGGCCTCGCCTTCGTCATCGGCCTCATCAGCGTCGGAGTCGATTTGGTGCAGCTCGAGCTTGGCCCACTTCTCCTGCCAGTGCTGCAACCGCTTCTCATTCTCGGCAAAAGACCGCTCGTGATCCTCGAGCTTCTGCTTGATCTCGACCTCGAGCGACCTGAACGCATTGATCACCTGGGACTTTTCGTCGAGCTGCGCCTTGATCTCGTCCTTGCTCTCCTGCCTCGTCTCCATGACCTCCCTGGCCTCATCCACCTTCGCACGCACAGTGGCAGACGCTTCCGTCTTGGTCTTTGCCTCCTCGGCAAGCTCCTGCAGCTCGACCTCGAGCTTTTCGAGCGTGGCTTGGTTCGACTTTGTGCTCTTGGACAGCTTGCCCAGGTCCTTTTCCGCTTTGGCTTTGGCCACCTCGGCCTTGGTGATGCGCTCTGCCGAGAGCTCGATGCGCTCCTTGATTCCATCGACCTTGCTCTTCTGCGTCCTAAGACCCACACCGCCCGCCTCGAGAATTTTCTCCTGGAGCGCCTCGATGCCAGCCTCGATGGTGGACGTCTTGGCTGTGACCTTTTCGAGCTCGCTGTCGAGCGACTCAAGGGCTTTGTTCAGCTCAGCAATCCTCTCGACGTCGCCGGCATCGGGCTGACTCTGGCTTCGGACCTCATCCATGCGCCTCTTTGCTTCCTCGACGAGCTTTACGCCCATGTCGAGATCCATGACGACCTTGTCGATGGCCATGTCGATCTGCGGCGCCTTGTTGCGAGCGTCTTCCATCAGCGATCGCATATCGTTGGTGTACTTGACATGGTTCCTCAGCGCGTCCTCCGCCAGCTCATGCTCCTTGACGAACTTGGCAATCTGCTCCAGCGTGAACTCCTCGCCGGCGAACTTGGAGCTCATGCTTCCTTTGGCGATACGCGTGCCACCACCAGACATCGTACCGCTCTTGTCGATCAGCTGGCCGTCAAGCGTGACTACTCGCCACCGCTTTGCTCCATAAGCTATACGGTTTGCATGCGCAAGATCCCGGGCGACGAGCGTGTCGCGCAGCTGGTGGTAGAAGGCTGCCGCGAAACGTGGCTCCTTTGGCTTGACAAGGTCGATGAGGCGAGGGACATCGTCAGGGATGTCCCTAGGCCTCTTGGTTGCTTCGGCGTTGATCTTGAGGCTGTCGAGGAGGATGAAATTGGCGCGACCGAGGTTGTTCTTGCGCAGGTGCTCGATGCAGGCCTGGCCTGTCGCAACACCATCAACGACAATATTATCGAGGCCGGGGCAGGCTGTGCTGATGGCGACATCGTACTTGTCATCGATCACGCCCAGGCTTCCCAGTCTCCCGTGGAAGCCACGGATCATGCCCAAGTCGGCTTGGCGCTTGAGACTATTGAGAACGTCACCTCGAGAGCGGTTGCTCTGCACCGATGCCTTGGCTTCTTCGGCCTTTGACCTCGCCGCCTGGGCCTTGATTCGGAGCTTTGTCTCTTCGGCCTCCATGCCTGCAATCTCCTCGACGTAGCCCTTTGCCTTTTCGTCTGCCTCGACCCGCTGCCGCTTGAGTCCTTCGAGAGCTTCGCGTTTGTCCCGATTGCCCTCTACAAGGTCGGCCAAGCCTTTTTTGGCCTCCTCGAGGTCCCTCTCCACCTGGCCAGTCCTCTCTTCGAGCAGCTTCCTTTCCTCGAGCGCGACCTCCTTTGCGTTCTGCTTCTCGCTCCTCTTGGCGGCCCAAGGCTGAAGCTCACGCTGCTTCTCTTCAATGGCCTGGCTGAAGCCCTTGGTCTTGTCCTTGAGACTGTCTCGAATGACGTCGAGCTCTGATTCCTCCCTCTCCAAAGATGACTCAAGCTTGGTCAAGTCTGCCTGCAGCATTTCGATCTCGCCCGACGAGTTCTCCAGCGTCGTCTTGGCGGAGAAAGTTGCCGACTTCTCCTCAGCCATCGACTTGGTCAGCTTCTTCTTCTTTGTCTCAAGATGCTTGCTCTTTTCCTGCAGCTGCACGTCCTCCTTTTCGAATCGGGCGAGCTCCTTGAAGACCTTGTCCGTCTCCTTCTTGATGTTCTCAAAGTCCTTTGCCATCTCGGCATACTCGGCTTCCAGCGACTCAATCTCGGCCTTTGCGCCCGAGTTCTTCTCCGTCTCCTCCTGGATGCGCTTCTTGAGCTTCTCCATGGCCTTGGACGAGATCGACATCTGGTCCTTGCATTCGAGCATGTAGACCTGCCACAGGGCCGACTGCCTTTGCGCCAGCTCGTTCTGATCACGGAGGAAGGCCTCTGCCTCGCGCTTCTTCGACTCGAGGCTGTCCTTTTCCTTTTGCACAACTTTGAGCCTGGTGAGCTTCTGGCCGCGCTCGTCATTGGCCTCGTCGACGAGCTTGGAGGCCTCCTCGATGGGCGCCTTGAATTCATTGGTGCCGATGATGTCTTCGAGGTACTCGAGCAGTCCTTCCTCGTGCTCGTTCTTGGCCTTGGGCGGCATCTGAGCGATGCTCTCGACCTCGCCCTGCAAGATGAGGAAACGCTTGTGGTCCAGGTCGATTCCTCTGCCACGGAGCAGTGTGGTGACCTCTGTATAATTTGATTTCTTGCCGTTGAGCGTGTATACCGATGAGTTGTTCTTGAAGGCAGTACGTGCGACGATGAGCTTGCTGCCCGGGACGACCTTGAAGTCGTCGGGTCCGGGCAGGTCGACAATCTCTCGGAACCAGACCTCGACGGAGCACTGCGAGATGTTCTCCTGGCCCGAGCTGTGGTGGATGAGCTCGCTGAGCTTGCCCTGTCGCATCTTATTGGCTCGCCAACCAAAGACGAATAGCATGGCGTCGATGACGTTGGACTTGCCGCTTCCGTTGGGCCCGACGACGGCAGAGAATGACTTGTGGAAGGGGCCAATGACCTGCTCGCCAGCGTACGACTTGAAATTGCGCAGCACCATCTTGTGGATCACCAGCCGAGTCTTTGGCGGCGCAGGCGTGACAGGCGCCATCGACGGACGGCCAAGCATGCTTGGCGTGCTGGGAACATTGGCAGGGGTAGCTTGTGACTGTTTTTGAAATCTGGCGGCTTGTGGTGTAGTCTCGTTGATGGAGGCATCCACTTGATGTCCGGCTGCATCTTGTCTCGGCGTCGTAGGGCGCTCCTGGTCATCATCTTGGTTGCCAGATGCAGGCCCATCCCTGAGGATGACTGTGCTCTCAATCTCGTCTTCCTCTTGTCCTTCTTGCTCCTCTTGCTCATCCTCTTCCTGATTGTCTTTCTCATGATGTGATGTTGACTGTGAAGCACGAGCCTGTTTTTTGACCGGCACACTCCCAGAACGTCTCGGCACCTTTGTTGCCTTGGCCTCTTTTTCATCCTCTTCCTCGTACTCTTCCTCGTCTTCGTCCTCTTCCTCATCTTCGATATCATCCTCTTCTTCTTCCTCGTCATCGTTCTCCTCTACGTCCTCCTCCTCCGCTTCCTCGTCGCTTTCCTCATCGCTCCCGTCGCTCTCGACGACACTCTTTCTCCTCTGCGCGGCCCGCTTCTCTTCGCTCGGCGATGCGCTCACCCTTGAACCTCTACCGCCGGCCCGCGCCGTGCTCGTACTCGCTCTCGCCGGCATCCTCTTTGTACGAATTATGTCGTGTCGCGGAGTCTCACTTCGGTGCAAGTCGAGTGATGGTCGTCGTCGTCGTGGCCACCCTCGCCCAAAAAAGAGAGAGATTTGGTGTTGCTCTCTCGCCCAACGCAACCTCTCTCGCGCGCGCGTCAAAATTGCCAAAGCAGCAGGCGCGGCCGGGGGAGCCCAGGGCGTGTTTACACCACGTGATTTGTTTTTATTTCGCGCTTTTGCATTGCGTTTCCCCAAAAAGCAACGTACTGGTGTTGTAAAAGGCGCGGCTAGCACGGTTAGGATAGAGAGACAGAGCAATGTCATGTCATGCAGGGTGGGGGAGCAAGCATCTCTACAGGAGAAGATCCAAGCAACAAATAGCGTGACTACCAGCAACAGCCCGGCAAGGCAAAGAGCGGCAATGAGCACCTGCAAATCTACCACTACTACTACCACTGACTCTATCACATCTTCGAGGGTCGGCCCTTGGACGGGTCAGGTGGGGTCCAGCCCTGCTCTTGGGCCCTCTGTCGGACAGCTTGTCTCACGATGGGCTTCAAGACTTTGCCGCTTGGGTTCCGCTCCAGGGGCTCCTTCCTCACCCAGACGTACTCTGGCACAGCATACTGGAGACCGAAGGGCAACAAGCAAATTCAGTTTCTTTGGTCAAAAGGGCGAATGAGCAAAGAGAAGAGAGAGAGAGAGAGAGACTGACCTTGGGAAGAGCCTTCTTGGCGGCCTCGATGATGGACTTCTCGCTCGGAAGCTCCTTTGAAGGGTCTCTCGGCACGCACACGGCCGCCACGCGCTCGCCCAGCCTCTTGTCGGGAATCGAGACGACGGCGCAGTCGAGAACGTCGGGGTGCCGATAGACGGCATTTTCGACCTGGGCACACGAAATGTTCTCTCCGCCTCGCACGATGATGTCCTTGGCTCGGTCGACGATGTAGACGAAGCCCTCTTCGTCGATCTTGGCCAGGTCACCGGATCGGAACCACCCATCGGGAAGGAAGGCCTCTGCTGTCGCTTGTGGCCGGTTCCAGTAGCACTGTATGCGTGCGTCAGTTGTCTTCACACAAACGAAAGGAACAAAAGGGAGGCCAAACGAACCTTTGCAGTGCCGGGCGACTTGATCCAAAGCTCACCGACCTCGCCCCGGGGCACCTCCACGAAGTTGTCGGGATCCACCACCATGAGGTCGACGGCAACGGGTGGCTGGCCGCAGCTTGTGGGCCGGTGGAAGTAGTCGTCGCCGGCAATGCCAGCGGCAACGCCGTTGACCTCGGTCAGGCCGTAGCCGGAGCCCATGACGGAGTCGGAGTTCCTCGCCGCCATCTCGGCGGGCAGCTCCTTTGCCGACGAACTGCCTCCGTGGGAGAAGACGGCCAGGGAGGAGACGTCGTATTTTGAGTTGATAATCTCACGGAGCATGAAGCCAATGCCGAGGATCGTCGAGACTCGCTCGGACTCGATGCATTTGCCCACGGCGTCAACCGAGTACGCCGAGAGGATGTTGATCCGGTTGCCCGCCGCCGTCGTCGACGTCAAGCCGCTGTGAATGCCCGTGGTGTGCATGAGGGGCACCATGAGCAGCTGGCTGCTCTGGTCCTTGTCCTCGGCGGGGCCCGGTGGCGTCTTGCCCCTGCGTGCAAATGTGAATGCGAAGCTGAAACCCGCCAAGAAGAGCGAGGAGAGCGACTGGCGCTGCGTGCTCAAGACACCCTTTGGCATGCCCGTGGTGCCGCTGGTAAAGAGAATCGTCGCATTGTCCTCGGGGCTGATCTGGACCTTGGGCACGCCCTGCTTCAGAGCCGCCTCCCGGTGTGCCCGCTGGAGCTGCTCGAAATCGTAGACGCTGCGCTCGTCGCCTTTGTTAAGCCAGTGCTTGTCCTTGTCTGCCACACGCTTGGCACCATCCCTGGGCATGACGACGATGGCCTCGAGCGGCCGGGCCGTGCCCTTGTTGAACGCATCGTCCACCTCGTAGGCAAAGAGCGACGGAATAAAGTCCTGCAGCCTGGCCAGCCGCTCCGCATCGACGACGACGACGCGGCAGCTGACGTCGCGGACGCAGAATGCCAGTGTGTCGCCCTCTGCAAATGAGTTGATGGGCGCAGCCACCGCGCCAAGCAGGTGGATACCCCAGTAGGTCGCAATGAACTCGGGGTAGTTTCGCGCCGCAATGCCCACGCGGTCGCCCTTGCGCACGCCAAACTGATGCTTGAGCCAGTGTGCCACGGTGAGGCTCTGGTCGAAAATCTCCTGGTAGGTAAAACGCTCCTTGAGGTCGTAGACAACATAGGGACGGTGGGCAAAGGCCCGTGCCGCCATGACAAAGAGGTCGCGCGTCGAGGCGGGCAGGTTCTTGTAGACGCGCTGCATCTTGCCGTTGACGAGCTTTGTCTCCATCTCCTGCACTGAGCCGGGGGCGGCGATGGCCTTGCGCACCTTGTCGATGGGCACGAGCTTGTCGAGCGGCACCGCCTCGGCCGGCCCAAAGAGTTCTCTGAATCGTTGGGCTGCCATCTTCACCACCGAGGTCACTAGTGGAGGCGTATGAGGAGGGGGGAAAGGAGAGAGAGGGAAGAGAGGTGGCTTCGCAAGGAGAAGAGGACGGAGGGGTCCGGCAGACGGAAGGAACAAAAGGGGAAGGATATATAGAGGATGATGCGGGTTCTGTCTGCACCGGCAGTTAGAGTAGAGTAGAGTAGTGAAGGCCCCAACCTTAGAAGCAGGCTTTTTTTTTTTTACCCTTGGTGTGGGGGCCAGCCACCGTCGGTCTCTTATTTTATCCGTGGGCCGGGCACGGCCACCGTCAATTGTGGTTGACTATTGTATTTGTCGAGGGCAATGGTCGGCTTGCAAAACATACACAAGTTTAGTCAAGTGAGCACTTAGCTTAGCGACGGTGCCTTGCATGCTCTTTTGTCCTCTTGAAGGTCAACTCAGGTCCTTGACTCAAGAAAGGAGCGGCTGATCCTCCGGTGGCATGCGACGTGGCACTCAGCCTGCTGACCGGGGGAAGGAAGCATCGTTCATTGTCCCTCCGAACAAGATGCAGCTTTCCCTTGCCCTTTCGGCGTTGTCCGAAGATGTCCGAAAGCAACCACGTGTATAGCCTGTGTCAATGCACGCCAGATGAGATGCCTGCAAGTTGATGGTACAAGCCGTCGGTGGTGATCATGTCTATCTATAGCAGACCTCCACGTGCAAGTCGAGACCTGGCCAACGCGACCCACTAACCGCGCGTTCTTCTGCTTTTTGGCGACGTACGGGAAGATCGCTCAGCTGGCCGTCGAGGACTGAAGCAGCATCGCTAGACCGCCATAACCGGTCAAGCGCACACAACTCGCACAAGGTCTCCCTCGGGGGCGTCTCACCAAGCACACAATGTGGCTCACCGATCAACAGAGTACGTCGCCCCTTTCTGCCGCCATCTGCTTCTGGTCTGATCTGTTCTTGCTGACGTCTGTGGCCCCTGTCAGAGATCGGCGCGGCCCTCGTCTCGTTTGGCGTCCTCTTCCTCTTCCTCGGCGTCATTCTCTTCTTTGATGGCGCCCTGCTCGCGCTCGGAAATGTCCTCTTTGTCTCGGGCATCACCCTGCTCATCGGCCCGCAAAAGACGTTTTACTTTTTCGCGCGCAAGCAAAAGATCCGCGGCACCCTCTGCTTCTTTGCCGGCATGCTCCTCGTCTTTATGAAGTGGAAGCTCATCGGCATCGTCGTCGAGGCCGTCGGCTTCCTCAATCTCTTTGGGTGCGTTGCTCGTCCGACCAACCCCTCTCTCTTGCGCCGGCCCCCCCTCTTCTTTTCTCTGTCTCTCTCTCTGACCTCTCAATGATCAAATGACTGACACAAAACTTTTCCCACCACAGCGACTTCTTCCCAGTCATTCTCAACTTCCTCCGGCAGCTGCCCGTCATTGGAGACGTGCTCAGCTTGCCATACATCCGAGGGGTGCGTAAACGTAGCTCACCGCCAAAACGATATGTTGCTGACTATTATCCTTGACCGGTTTGTTCGTTCTCTCTCGCAGGCCCTCGACAAGCTGGCTGGTGCGAGACAATCAGCAGTCTGATTGTATAGAAGACGTTTGCAACCTCGGATCCTCCGCTGCTGAGACCATTTCTTCTCTCCTGTACATCACCGCGCTACCCATCCCATCTCTGGCCTGGACCACGGGGGGAAACATAGGAAGAAAGGACGTCGCAAAAAGAATTGAGGATTGCGCGTTCATCCCGGGATGAGAGAGACAAACAGGTAAAAATACAACTGTGTTGGGGTAGTGTATGAAAGAGGGACAGGGCAGCCATCGGTATCGTCTTGATCAGAAGAAGGAAAGCGTCCGTCCATCGAATCGATTGGCCAGGACTTGCGGTGGTGTCTTGGCCGGGGGCTTGGTTGTCGAGACCTTGACAATGTTGGCGGCGAGGGAGAGAACCATGACGATGAAGCCATAGGCGGCGAGGAGCAACGCCCAGTGCCTGTACTTGGACCGGGGACCCTCCTTGTGCAGCGTGGCAAAGAGAATGCCAGGCAGGATAAAGGAGATGGTTGTGGAGCCCACGCTGCCAACAAAGCCCAGGATGATGCCGAGGTCGTCGACGATGAGGCTGATGATAAATGTCGACATCAGGATGAGGCAAGTGAGGATGCATCTGATTTGCGAGGGGGGTCAGCATTCGGAGTCTCGCACGCAATCGATGGTCTGAAGTGCTCACAATCTCTGCAGAGACATTTCCGGCTCTTTGGGCGCCCGACCGGTGGCAGACTGCCCGATCCCGTCCTCGTCTTCGTCGCCTTCTTCCTCTCTGTCGTGGTCGCCCTGGTAGATTGGCGCCGTCTCCTCCGCCGTTGGCTCCTGGCGCCTCGTGGGAGCAAAGACTTTGTCGAGGGCAGCTCTACACGGGTGCACCTGGAGCGGATAGCTGCAGAAGGTGAGAATGACAATCGCCAGGCGGCCAAAGCAGACAAAGAGGCTGTTGGATGGATATCTGGTGATGATGTTGTCGCCCACGTTGGCTCCAAATGAGAGGTAGCCTAACCCTCCGACAAGCTGCATCACAACGAGGGAGTCTGTTAGATACTCCAACTTCAAAGATGATATATGGGGAAAGAGCCTCTCACCATATAGATAGAAGCCGCGAGGGAGATGCTTGTGGACAGCGCACGCCTCGTCCTCGCAAGGTGCTCCTCGCCCTCGCTCTCAGACCCCATCTCGTTGTGGACGGGGAGCATGTTCTGCGCGCATGTGAATGCGAAGACGAAGATAGGAAAGATTGATACAAAGTGGTGGCCGTCGAGATTGATGATGTAGATCGGACCCGGCGGAGGAAGCTTCTCGCGGTTGTGGGGAACCGTGTAGACGAGGACGATGAGGACGAGGTAGATGACGGCCATGAGGCTCAAGTAGGACGTGTGTCGGAGTGAGTCAAGGCGCCGGAGGAAGCAGAGAGGGGCTGATCGGACGTACCGCAGAGGGTCAGTGTCTGTTCGGCATGCGTGGGCCACGGCGGCAGAGAACTCACCAAGGACCACCATGAAGCAGAAGATCCAGAAGTCGCGGTAGAGGATAAAGTCTGGCAGACGCTCATGACTGTCGAGCGCTTTTGCAAAGGACAGTACGACCTGAGGCATAAGCTGCCCACAGATGATGAGGTACGAGATTGAAACGCCAAAGCACTATTCCCAAGCGAGTGTCAGGCGTCAAGTCATGGACAATAGGGGCACACAGGCGAAGCAGGCTCACCTTGACAGCAATGGCGACATCAAACCAGCGCGCACCCCTTGGCAGCGTCTTCATTGCCAGGCTATAGAAGCTGTTCTTTCTCCCGCCAAGTGTGTCTGCGCACAGGACGAGCATGGTGAGACCAGCTGCAGCGGTAAAGCCACACAAGAGGATGAGCAGGAGGCCGGGGAGGAGGCCGGTGTATCGAAAGGCGCCGGGGGTGGCGAGCATGCCTGTGCCAATGATGGTGTTGCACAGATTGGCGATCGAGGAAGCCATGCTCGCGCGCCCTCCACCGCCGCCAGGAGCGATGCTCCGCCCTTGAACGCCGGGCGTCATGCTCGCTGGGATGGGTGCTTCCAGAGCTCTGGCTTTGAGTTGGAGCTCTTTTGGATTAGGGCGGAGATGGCGGCTCCCATCCCTGTTAAGGATTTTCACGTGAGCCTTTGCGCTAGTGCTAAATCGCGCGCGCGCTCCACCCGATGTGCATCTTCTCCCCGAAAAAAATTGCAATTTGCGTCATTTATTTCTCTCCAGTGGCCTCCTGCCCGTCCGCTGCACAAAATGGTGAACTTGGCCTGTCTGATGTTCAATCAAACGTGCGCAGTGTAGTCCTTATCATTCTATGACTGTCGTCGGACGAACTTCTCTCTCTTTCCCACCACTACCACATCCATCCACTCATCCTTCCATCTACTCAACCCATCTGAACTATCATCCAACACAATGGCCGAAGTGAGTTTCCCGTGACTTGATTCTGGTTGGATGTCGTCGACTCATCAATCCACTTGCCCTTATCTTCTGTTGCAGCAACCCCCTGCTCAGAACGCTGCTGGCGCCCCCGAGGACGCTCTCGACAAGGTGAGTTTTTCTTTCATGCTGCTCTATAAACCCATCTGCTCACACCTCGTTTCTCTTACTATCAGGGAGTTGACGCCGCCCTCAAGAAGACCGGCCACGGCCAGAGCCGCAATGTCGTCGAGAAGATCTCGGACGGCGTCAGGACCGCCTTCAAGAAAATTTCTGGCAAGGGTGAGTCTATTTCCGCCCGTGCAAGCAACAATTTCCGTGTTGAAAATGTTTCTCACAACCTTTTTCTCGCGCAGACGTCCCCGTCAAGGACACCTAAGTGCACTCTTCAGGTCAAGCAGAGCGACAGCCCTGCGATGATGTGAAGGTGTAGAAATGGCCCTTCCCTCGTGTCTGAATGGATCGAGCCCCTACGAGGACTTCGATCGATACCCCTTTCAGTCGAGCAGATTGGCTCCTCTTCACCTTCATCATCATGCATCGTCCAAGTGATTCTCTCTCCCAGTCTCGTTATCTGAATCCCCTCTATGTCTTCCCCCTATGTCGTAATCCCTCTCTCCCCTTTCTCCCTTACTCTCCTCCGTAAATCATCTATTTCCCCCCTCCCAATCTTGCAAAGGCCTGTGCATGACATCAAAGTGGTTCGCTCCCCTCGAGCACCATCAAGACCTCGGATTTAAGCCTAAAGAAAAAAGAAAGTAGAATTTCCTTGGTTTTTCTTCAGTGAGTCATTAACAAAGCATAGGCGGAGGAAGAGAAAGTGGTAAGAAGACCAAATCGCCTATGCGCCCGTCGCACCACCATTCTGCTGAGCTGCAGCGGCCTGCTGCCGGTAGTACTCCTCCCACTCCTTGCTGTAGTCCTGACCGCCCTGCGCTTGTGCTTGCGGCTGCTGTGACGCGTCGGCTTGGCCCGAGGCAGCAGCGAGGGCGGCAGCGGCAGCAGCGGCCGGTTCGTAACCTTGCTGCTTGTAGTACTCTTCCCAAGCCTGCCGATAGTCTGGTTGTTGCTGCTGTTGGTCGTAGCCTGCAGCACCGTACTGCTGCGCGTCTTGGCCCCATTGTCCAGCACCTTGTTGACCACCGTAGCTGCAAAGGCCAGTCTGGTCAGCGCGCATGTAAACCTCCTAGAAGCAGTCGAGTCAAGCTCACCCTTGTGCAGCTCCGAAGCCCGGCTGCTGTTGCTGGTAGCCCCCCTGCTGAGGCCACCCCTGCTGGCCCGGCGGACCCTGCGGGCCGCCCATCCGAGGACCCCTCGGCCCCAAGCCCTGCTGATTCCACATCGACGGGTCCTTCCACGGCGGAATCTTTTTGCCGTCGGGTCCGATTGGTCTGTCCATTGGCCCGGGACCGTGCATACCTCCGGGGCCTCCAGGGCCTCCGGGACCTGCCGCCGGCCCTCCTGGGCCTGCAGCTGCACCAGCACCAGCTGCACCCGGGGCTCCTCCACCGGCCGCACCACCCTCGCCAAGCTCAGCCATGAGGTTGGCGTACTCCGAGTCAAATTGGCCGTTTCCAGTCCCGGCCCCCGGAGTGCCAGAAGGGCCTGGACGAGGACCGGCCATTCCTGGTGCCTGGGTGCAGTCGCGAGCAAGGTGACCCTGCTGACCGCATCGGTGGCAGACAATGTGCGCCGTCCAGTTGCGCTCCTCTGGGCATTCAAACTTGCGATGTCCCTTTTGTCCACAATTCTGGCAAATCTGGTTCTCGTCGTCACGCAATGTTCCGTTGAGTGCCGCCAGCTCTCGCAGCTGGTTCCGCTTGTGGTCGTTTTGCGCCTCGGGCGTTGATGCTGCCGTTTCGATGACGAGGTTGATGAGCTTGACGCACTTTTTCACCTTTGCCTCGTCGTCTGCCGCAACGACGCAATGCATCTCCTCTTCGTCCTCGTCGCCGCCAGCCCGTCCTTTGCCCTCCTTCACACTTCCCTTTCCTCGAATACTGATCTTGGCTCCGCTTTCTCGCTCCATCTTTTTCAAGCTGTTGCCTCTGGGTCCAACCAAGAGTCCAAAGAAGTTGATCTCGGGAAACTCCTTGATGGGAAGGTAGACTTTTTCCGTGGGTTTCATGTTGCGCTTCAAGTGGTAAAATTCCGCCGGCGGTCTGTAGTTTGGGTCCAGCTTGAGCTGCTTCTCGACGAGCTGCAATCGTTCTTCGTTGAGCTTGTTACGATAACGGACCTCCCGCGTGTTCGTTCTTCGTCCTTGAGCGTCATACGTTGGCGGCGGCGACGGGCTTCGCTCTCGCTCTGGGGGAATAAAGTCGCCAGTCCGAAGCTTTCGGGCAATCTCCTCAATGCGCACACTGATCGCATACCGGTCGAGCTGCGATTGCGGCACATTCGCACCGATGGCTGTCGCCACGCCAAGGTCGACCTTTTCTGACGCATCTCCCCATCGAGACCTGCGTTTTCGCGGAGCTGCAACAGGAGCGCATGTCAGCCCCATCTTAAACATCCATTTGAGAAAGCCACTCCACTGACCAGATCCATCCTGGGCAGCACTCGCAGCGCTAGCTTCCTCTGCCCGTCTTTCTGCTTCGCTTTCCTCTCTCTCACGTTTGACAGCTCGCGAGATAATGTCCATGCCGTCGTCTGAAGAGCGTCCCCCCTGGCCAGACCCTGATGACCCATTGTAACCACCGTAACCGCCGCCGCCGCCGCTCCGGCCAGGAGGAGGACCGCTGAAACCTCCACTACCTCCTCCATAGCCCCCGCGGCCCCCCATTCCAGGAGGTGGACCCCCTCCGTATCCTCCCCCACCCCCGCCACCATAGCCTCCTCCATAGCTGCCACCACCACCATTGCCGTGTGCGCTGCTGTGGGGGCCCTCTGTACCGCTTCCGCCGCTTCCTCCTCCCCATTGTCGTTTTGTGCCCCCCAGGGGCGCGGCATTCTCGCCCGTGCGTTGGGCGTTGCTTCGCCAGGACATGCTCGCTGCCTCGTCGATCCAATATCCCGTGCCAAAGACCTGCGCTGAGTGGGGACGGCCGAGCAATGAGTGGATCAAGAAAAGACGGATGAAAACAGGGACTTGGGCGAAGTAACACGTGATCCCACCAACACGTGAACAGCCCTTTCTTCTCGTCCAAGCCCAGTCACCATCGAAAAGCTCTAAATCGACAGGAGCAACAGCGACGAGGACGACAGTCACTGAAGATGCCTACTGTCAGCGTCGACAAGGAGCGCTTCCTGCAGGCCCTCGGAGAAAAGTACAGTGGGTTGCAAGAGATCATCTGAAATATGTCGAGCGATCTTGTCTGACGAGTCACTTTGCAGCTACCAAGGAGTTCGACGAGCTCTGCTTTCAGTTTGGAATTGAGCTCGACGAAGATGTGAGTATCGTCATCTACGATCTACTTAGCTGTGGCCACCTAATGAGAGTTATCGTTCGATCGAAAAGACTACAGAGGACGTGAAGGGCACCGATGAGAGACCTGTGAGTGAAGCGCTCGAGCTGGCTTCAGCAGAGGTACCTGACATCAATCGACCACCCTATCTACAGTCTCTGAAGATCGACATTCCCGCCAATAGGTTAGCAAGTCAGTGCTATACAGGTCCTTGAAGGTGCTAATTTATCGATTGGCAGATACGACCTCCTTTGTCATGAAGGCATTTCTAGAGCGCTGCGCGTCTTCCTGGGCAAGGAGCCCCAACCCGTGCTCAAGCTCAGCCAGCCATCGCAGATGGTCGAGCTGAACATCCACGATAGCGTGAGGCAGGCACGCAAAGTGACGTACGGAGCAGGTCAGACTGACTTTTTGTCGTTCTCAGGTCAAGAAAATCCGACCATATGCTTCAGCTGCTATTCTGCGAGGGGTCAAGTTCACGCCGGAGAATTACGCTTCGTTCATCGACCTGCAAGACAAGCTCCATCAGAACCTTGCGCGGAGGCGGACTTTGGTTGCAATTGGCACACATGATCTTGGCACCATCGCAGGACCTTTCACTTACGAGGCTCTTCCACCCCAAGAGATCAAGTTCGCGCCCCTCAATCGCCCTGGCCAGGTCATGGACGGCGTCAAGCTCATGGAAGTTCTCGAAACAGATCGCCACCTCAACAAATACCTCTCGATCATCCGTGACAGCCCGGTGTACCCTGTGATCCTCGACAAGAGCAGGACAGTATGCTCTCTTCCTCCCATCATCAACAGCGAGCACTCCAAAATCACCCTCGACACAAAAGACGTCTTCATCGATATGACGGCCACCGACGAGACAAGGCTCGAGAGCGCTATGAACATTCTTGTCGCAATGTTCTCGGTGTACTGTTCGGAACCTTTCACGGTGGAGCCCGTCAAAGTCACTTATCAAGACGGACGGAGCTCGGTGCAGCCTAGCTTGGCGCCGAGGAAGACTACGGCGAGGGTTTCGTACATCAACACATGCACGGGTCTCTCGCTCAAGGCAGAAGAAGTGGTGGGGTACCTGAAGAGGATGGGCCATGATGCATCCTTGTCCAAGGAGAAGCCAGAAGAGGTCATCGACGTCGATATCCCCTGCACACGACCCGATGTCTTGCAGGAGTGTGACCTGATGGAAGACGTAGCCGTCGCCTTTGGCTTCGACAATCTTCCGCGGCGATTCCCAAGCACAAACACTATTGCGGCGCCCTTGCCCATCAACAAGCTCAGCGATCTTGTTCGTCGCGAGTGCGCTTATGCCGGGTGGATCGAGGTCCTGCCACTGATTCTCTGCTCGAGGGCTGAGAACTTTGCGGCGTTGCGGAGAAAAGACGACGGGAGCGCTATTTCTTTGGAGAATCCCCAAACGGCCGAGTTCCAGGTCGTCAGAACATCTCTCCTGCCTGGCGTACTCAAGACCGTACGTGAGAACCGCAAGCATGCGCTTCCCCTTCGTACCTTTGAGGTCTCCGATGTGGCATTCAAAGATGAGGTGACGGATCCAGAAAGGTGCGCCCGCAACGAGCGGCACGTCACGGCCGTCTACTGCGACAAGAGCGCAAACTTCGAGGTTGTTCACGGCCTCCTCGACCGTTTGATGCGCGCACTTGATGTGCCTAGAATTTCAAGAGACGATAAAGCGGCCAAGAGGGGCTACTACCTCGCGGAAACGGACCACCCTACATTCTTCCCTGGCCGTGCAGCATCTATCTTCGTGCGCGGTTCCACGACTTCAGTAGCAGAAGATGCCTTGTCGTCGCATGGGCCGCCGGCAGCGCCTATCCTCGATTCTGCCGTGACGACAAAAGCCACATCTGGATCGACCGACATTGCCCAGCCGAAAGCGGAGCAGGACGAGTCTGCTTCTTCCAAGGTTACCAACACTCTGTCGTCGGCAGCTGATTCGCTTGGAAAGGCATTGTCGGATATTGTTTCTGGCAAGACGGCCTCGAACGTCGCTCAGAAGGTCAGGCAAGGTGGCGATGTAGACATCGGCCTTATCGGTGTGTTGCACCCTGAGGTCCTGAGCAGCTTTGAGCTCGACTATCCATGCTCGGCTCTGGAATTTGACCTAGAGGTGTTTCTGTAATGATAAACGCAATTAGACCATACAGAATGCTGTCGTGATGGAAAGTTGCCTGAAGGAACGGTGGCGAGGCAAGTTGCCGCCAGAGCATTGAAATGCACACATTACTGATCGAACACCCTACAATGGCGAGAGAAGCCCACATCGCCCATGAAGCACACAGCACGGGAGGGCAGCTCTTCGCCAAGGTGCACCGTGAAGGCAACTTCGAGACGGTGGCTTGATCGTGCGATGTGCATGCGCTCTGTGCCGGATTCGGTGCAGCAAACTGATTCCATCTTAGCTTGTCGAACCCATGGAAGCGCTAGACCTTCAGGTCTCACAACGGGTCCAATTCTCTCAATGGATAGAAAATAATGAAAATTGGGCGCGAATTTATCTCATTTTATTTTCTCGAATCGGTAGTCTTGGTTGCCTTGCCTTGCCTTGCCTTTCTGACCCTCGACCACTTCCGGCAACGCCAGCCAAGCCTTCAAAGTCACCGGCGGTACGGTCGGCATGAGCAAATAGGCTAGGTAGGGCCACAGGGCACAGATGATTATCGTGAAAGTTTACACGCAAATCGATATGTTGCTGCCTTTGACATCGCAGGCTTGCTACTCGTAGCTGATATCTATCATAGCAATCGTTCTGTCTTGAAGACCGAAGCGCATGTTCAGAATCAGGGCGTGAAGTGCAAACTAAGCCAATGATTGTTGCGGGTGATTGAAGAAGGTCGATGCTAAGGACCATTACAGGCCAATTAGCTAAAGAATGCAAGGACGACTACCCTGGAGGGTGAAATTAAGGCAAGATTGTGGCAACTGTCCATTGGCCAGAGGCCTTGAATACCTCTCATATCAGGTTTGACCGTTCCTGAGAAATTCACCCGCGATATGGACCACAGCTAAAACAAATTCTCGACCGTTGACTTAATTTGCCTTCTTGCGCCCCAGCGACTTGATGCTTTTCACCAGCACTCTATCAATTACCTGAGCCAGAATTTCAACTATGGGAAGACATGGGCCACACCGTCGCACTGTCACACTGGCGAACCGTCATAGCCTCACTAGGCTGGCAAGACGACTCTTGGCTCGCCATGATCGCCGGACTGGATCTTCTCTCGATGGCTTTTCAGTGTCCAAAGGCCGTCTCAGTTCCCTAATGAACCGGGTTAAAAGGTGCCCTATTCGCCTTGATGCTCCTTCTCTCGTTCCTCAAGCGCCTGCACTCTATCGTCTCGCCTTTCCACAAAGAGACACTGCCATACCAGCTTCTCTCTCAGAGATTTTACGTCTTTCTGCCGCAACCATGAACGACAACAAAGATCAATTTCTTCAAGACCCGACGTATCTGTGCGACAGCGCCCTCGATCCGTTACACAGCTTACACAGGCCTGCTTCTGGCTCTCATTTTCAGCCGTCCTCTTCATCTTCTCCGCCAAGTGAAAGCTACTTCACAGGGGTTCCCGAAGACGGCGCGGCTCCAGTCAGCGATTACGACTTGAGCATGTATTTCATGATGCTGCACGAGGCTCAACAGCTGGTCAGCGTCGGCAATGGCAAACACGGTGCTAAAGAGCACGAAATAGATTGGCAGGTCGAGACTACGCCGTCTGCAAGTCCGTCACCAGTGCCTGCAGGGTTTAGCACGCCTTTTCAGCCAAGTGAGGCGACCGCTTTGCCCCAATGCCACTCAGAATTCTCGACAGGGACGATGTACAGCTCGCCAGCGTCGATTGGGACAGACTGGTCATCTACTATGTCTCGTTCGACGTCGAGGGAGCCGCAAGGTCCCGTGCCTTCATTCAGGAGGGAGCCTACGAATCGTGGAAACGGTTGTCAATATTTCTCAGCTGGCGAGAGCGTCCATAATTCGGTAAAGCGCGACCTCCCGCAGCCATGTCAAACCGTCTACTCCCCTTTCGACCGCTTTCAGAGCCTGGCGCCGGAGGCAGGTAATTACAGCCACTTCCATGCAGAGGCGTCTCAAGCCTCTCTTGCTGGCCCGATGAGAGACTCGATGTTGCGCGCGACAGCTCTGCAGCCAAGATTTCAGAGAAACAACGATGCAGCAAGCACGAAGGCTCCTCGTATCGCCATCGCCTGCGACCACTGCAAAAAGCGCAAGGTCAGATGCAAGACAGAGGGCAACGGCGCCTGCGTGCAGTGCATCAAAGACCGATGCCAGTGCATAAGAGTCGCACAGAACAGAAAGAGAGGACCTGGGAAGAAGACGGTGGCGAAACTGGAGATGGAGCGCCACAGCCCTCCTTTTTTCGGGAACTCCAACACTGTCAGTGTTCTCGTCGACAGGAGCAACAAGAGGATGAAGTTTTGAGACCTGTCGCGCGGCGATCCTCGACTCCCTTTCTACTGGTCGACCTCCTTCTACAATTACTACTCACGATCCACCTCTGACCTTTAGCCACACCTGTTATCACACGCATTCTTCTGCAGACATATTTGCAATCTCGATGATTATTCTTACTGAAGGCAATGTGAGCAAAACCACCAACCCTGGCAGTGTCCTCTCGTCCCCCGCTCTGGGCGTAATTCAGAACTGCCCCAGAAGACTATTTTTTATCTTGGAGTCCCTCGTCCATTTTAGTGTCCGATTCCCGTCGCGCCTCTTTCTCCACACCGACACGAAGATCATCAGGTAACGAGCGCACACACGCGCGCGCGCCCGCCTCCCTTCTCCCCCATGGCGTCCGCCTCTGCACCGACGCACGCCCAGCTCGAGGCGTCTCTCGCGTCTTATGACTCGGCTTTGCTCTCGAAAGACCCTTCTGGCGAACTCCTGCGGCTTGACAAGTACCTGCGAACGGATCTTCGCGACCGCATGAAGACGAGACGAAAGGTGCACGGCGCCGCCCACCTCGAGAAGGCGGAGCTGGAGGATATCATGCGATGGAAGCTCAAGGTGAGCATTCGTTGACTGGTGGTGTCTGAGGAGCGATTGCTTAAGGGAGAATACTTTTAAAGCGGGGAAAGTTTCGACCGACGCTGATGGGCCTCATCGCCAAGAACTCGCCCGAGGCCGTCGAGGAGCAGACGCGCCTCGTCGACTCGCTCATCCACTGCGATGGCACGGGCGAGAAGAAAGCCGCTCAAGACAAGGGGACAAGGAGGAAAGAGGCAATGGCGGCTGGCTGCAAGCTCAAGGGTGTAGGACCTGCGACGTGCTCGGCGCTACTGAGCCTCTTCAGCGAGGGGGAGGAGGCATTCATGTCGGACGAATCGCTCCTATACGCGGCCGGATTCAAGGGATCCATGAAGTACAACCTGAAAGAATGGGAGTGGTTTGTGCAAAAGATGCAAGAGCGTAAGGAGAAGGAAGGGTGGGAGAGTGTGGCAACGCTCGAAAGGGCCGCCTGGGCCTGGGCTCATCGAGAGTCTGACGATGGCAATGATGGCGAGGAGAGAAAGGAGGGAGGAGTCGGAAAGCGCAAGACGAAAGAAGCCTCGACAGACATAGAAGCAAAAGAAGCAGCGAATAAAGTTAAAAGAAGGAAGAAGAGCTGAAGGGCGAGCAATACAGATATACAAGTCGTATGTTACGCCGCCTCCTCGCCTTGGTTCTTCTTCTTGCGCTCCTCCTCGATGGCTTTGGGGCCATCTTTCGACTCGTCGAACCTGAACATGGGCAGGTCAAGGAGGATGTAGCTCTTGACCCACTGCGGCAGCGGTCGGTAGAACTGAGTGGGCATGGGCAGGAGTAGTGAGGTGCGATCTCTGAAGGCCTTCATGCGCCTCCACGGATCCTCCTCCCTCTGCGTCTTGCCAAACGGCTCGAGCGTCTTGCCGCCGTCGGGACCGTGAGACATGAGGTAGTACTTTTTCTGCGACGGCTTCTCGGCTGTAGGCACGCCCGAGAGGAAGAGGAGGAGCACCATGGTGAGCAGCGGCGAGACGAGGCTGCCCAGCAGAGCGTCGTGACCCCGCTGCGAGATCCTTGCGGGCACACCCTGGCGAGTGCCCTCGTGTATGGCCGGGCTCATTGCGAGGAGCCAGATGCCCCACCAGTGAAGGATCTCGCCAAAGTAGTTGGGCCGCCGGCTGAAGCGCCAGACACCAATGTCACAGATGACGCCCTTGGGAGGCTGGGGCTTGCGGTACGTCTTGAACCAGAATTTCTGGAAGTCGGCCAGGGCCTCCCAAGAGAAGCCAATGGCCCAGAGGACGATGCCGGCAATGTCTGGACCAGTGCCAAAGCCCACTTTGATGCCGCCGTACCCGTCCCGATCGCGCGACACGGCGGGCGAGTTGAGGATGGTGACAGGGACTGTTTCAGGGGCTTATGTCAGTGCCATGCCCATACAATTTCTCCAAGGAAGACACGACGTGGCTGCAACTCACGACTGACGGTCCACACCCAAAGAGCCTGAGCGAGCCAGAACTGGGCAAAGCTGAGGAACTTGCCCCTCATGTCGTCGAAGCGAGCATCGCCGCCCATCTTGGAGATGCGCAGCAGCTGGAACGAGCCGAGTCGGACGGCCCAGAGGAGGACAAAGATGGTCGCGAGGATGTTGCGAGCCTCGTACGATGCGCCCAGATTGAGCGTGAGGAGGGCCAGGAAGAAGAAATTGATGGCGGACCAGGCATCGGTGAGGACATCAGACTTGAGGATGAAAAAGACGATGAGGAAGCCGAGGATCTGCCAGCCGATCGTCAGGATCGCAGTGAGGCCCAGGTAGAAGGCATCGAGGGCCGGATGGAACATCTTCGCACGCTTTGTCCGTCGGCTGGAAGTGTTCGGAGAGGTGAGGAGAAATCGTGTAGTGATGTGAGATGGTTCTCTTCTTATATGCCCATAATTTGAACGTTCACTGCCAAGTCTAGGAACCTCGTCAGATGCGCAGTAGTGGAGGCCGTGAGATTTACCTCATCCGCGTTAGATCAAAGAAATCGCTGACGTGAGCAACGAGACTACCGGAAGGATCTCGGAACACAGATTCGACGCGTCGTCGCCGACGTCACCGACATCTCGCGGTCGCTCACTTCCGAATAGACTCATCACTTCTTTACTTCAGTTGTGGCTCGATGATTTCAGGAAACGAAAACAGGAGAGGACACGAGAGAGACAGAGAAGAGATAAGGAAAGAGACAGAGAGTTGGATAGTAGAAGACAAGAAGAGGGAAAAGATTCCAGAGATCAGGAGGAGAGCGAATTTGTCAGTTGGGGGTGGAAGGGATTGGAGAGGCCGTATCTATCAAAAGAAGAATTTGCGCTGAAAGTGTCGTTGTTCGAAGTCCTGAGATTTCCCTCCTTTTCCGTCGCCATTTTCCATCGTTTGCCCCCTTTTCCTCACTCGACTGTAACGCTCTTGGCCAGGTTGCGCGGGAAGTCGACGTCCACGCCGGCGGCCGTAGCGAGGTGGTAGGAGAGGATCTGGAGCGGAATGACGGTCAAGAGGCCCTGGAGGCAGTCGACAGTCCGGGGTACCCTGATCGTCTTTGCGCTGGCGTTGATGTCCTTGTCATCGTCGTTGCAGATGATGATGGGCTGCCCCTTTCGCGCAGTGACCTGCATGAGCGCCGTCTGCACCTTGGGGTAGAGCGAGTCCTTGGTCATGATGACTGTGTACGGAATGATGAGCAGGCATGCAACTATGAAGAAGGAGCAACAGCAGAACACTTACGGATGACAGGCATCGACTCGTCGATGAGAGCCAATGGGCCGTGCTTGAGCTCGCCGGCCAAGATTCCCTCCGAGTGCATGTAGCAGATCTCCTTGATCTTGAGGGCACCCTCGAGGCACGTTGCGTGTTGGTAACCACGTCCCATGATGAGCAGCGATCGCTCCTTGGCCAAGGTGCCGTGAGCCAGCGTCTGGAGGGCCTTGTCCTGGGCAAGGATGGAGCGAATTTGCTCGGGGAGGTCATGGAGACCGTCGATGATTGAGTTGCGTCTCTCTGTCATCGAGATTCGGTCCTCAGACAGCTGGACGGCCATCATGACGAGGGCAATGTACTGGGACGTGTAGGCCTGCAGAAGATTGAGTGAGCAGAGGTGACTCTCAATCAGAGTGCCGGAAGGTGGTGTAGTGACTCACCTTGGTCGAGGCAACACCAATTTCGGGACCAGCGTTAATGTGGATACCGCAGTGGGTCTCGCGCGAGATGGTGGAGCCGACAGTGTTGACAACACCCAGGCAGAGGGCACCACGCTCGAGGCAGTACCTCAGCGCCAAGATCGAATCAGCCGTCTCACCAGACTGGCTGACAAAGACGCAGACGTCGTCTCGGTAGATGGGCGTTCTGCGGTCGAGGAAGTCCGAGGCCAGCTCGATCGAAACAGGGATCTCAGTCAGCTCCTCAAAGATGGCGCGTGTGGCCAGGCAGGAGTGGTAGCTTGTTCCGCAGGCACAGAAGACGATGCGTCGGCATCGGCGAATTGTGGCCAGGAATGCAGTCAGACCGCCAAGCTTGACCTGGCGAGTGTCAAAGTTGACACGACCACGCATCGTGTTGACGACCGACTCGGGCTGTTCGAAGATTTCCTTCTGCATGAACGAGTCAAATTGGCCCTTCATGATCTCGGCCAGCTCCATCTCGAGCGTCTCGATAGACCGCATCGACGAGAGCCCATCGTTGCGGCGCAGACGATGGATGTGCAGCTCGCCCTCGGAGATGTGAGCAATGTCGTCGTCTTCGAGGTAGAGGACACGCTTGGTGTGCTCGATAATTGCGCTCGCGTCCGACGCAATGAAGTATTCGATTGGCTGGGGCAGGCCGTCTTCGGAGAGGAAGGCGCGAGACTGGGAACGGATGAGCTTGTTGTTGGCGTTGGGCACCTGTAGGGAGCCAGGACCGGCTGGCTGCCCACCGGGCGGGGCGAGGAGTCCGGCGGATGGCGCGTTGGTCATGCCGCCGATCGACTCTTCGGCATCGGGGGCCGTGCCAATCTCGACGTCGACAAAGTCAACCTTGAGCTTCTTCTCTGTCTTGACACCGATCAGAAGGGGCGAACCACGCCTGGCGGCGACGAGCTCGCCTGGGTAGTGGACAGACTTGAACACAAACGAAAAGGCGCCCTCCTGTTGATCACGTACATGCGTCAGCTCAGAGGTCTGGTCCCTCGAAATTGACTCGTGCTTACCAGCTCCTTGATGACGCTCTTGATGAGCGACGTAAAATCGGGCTTCCTGCCCTGGGCGGAGTCGTAGAGGTACTTGCAAAGTACCGCGACACTCTCCGTGTCTGTCTCCGTCTCGAATTGGAATCCTCTCTTGCCGAGGACGAGCTTGAGCTCGCGGTAGTTTGTAATGATACCATTGTGGACAACAGTGAACTCATTGGTGGGGTCCGATCGGTGAGGGTGGCAGTTCAACGGCGAAGGCTGGCCGTGGGTGGCCCACCTAGTGTGCGCCATGCCGACCTGGGAGATGAACGTCTTGTTGAAGTCGATGGGCGACTCGGCAATGTGCTTCCGCAGCGCGCCGACCTTGCCGACCTGCTTGAAAATCATGACGTCCTTCTCAGAGTCGCCATCGACGGCGATACCTGGACGTGGTGCGACCAACCAAGTCAGAAACTTTTGACACAGCCCTCAAAACTCCACAATTACAGAACTCACCAGCACTGTCATAGCCGCGGTATTCGAGCCTGGCCAGGCCTCCAACGAGCGCCTCAATGACCTGGCGGCGGTCCTTTGTGGGGTGCAAGGAGAGGCAAGAGTCAGATGTTTGAAAGACGCGAATAGGTGCACTGCATCTGCTCACCTTCTCGACCAGGTGGTTGATGTACGCGAAGATTCCACACTAAGAGCATGTGGCCAATCGGTCAGCTTGATTCTCACCATCTTGCCGTGGCATCAGCAAGCTCACCATGATTGCTCTTGCTCAAAGGCCTTTCTGAGAAAGGTGTGGTCGTGTTTGTTGTACGCGTGCAGCAGCAACGATTGAGAACTTCAAGGGAAGAGAAAAACGCCAAACGATAAGAAAGCCGAAGAGAGCGAAGAGGTAGCGGTAGAAGTGTCCGTGGGCTGCCTTCTGCCAGATCTGTCTCAAGGAGTACAGGTAGGAATGGCAAGAGGTGGAGAGAGAGGTGAAGCGAGATGGAGAGGGACCGATGATGGATCAGGAGATCAAAATGGCACAGCCAGCAGCAGCGCGTATGCAGGGCAGTCCGGTCCATTTCATATTAAACCGAGGGGCATTCCGCCAGTGTGTTTTTCTCAACTGTGCGCGAGGGTTTTTTTTAGCTCCCCTGTTTGGAAGAGCTCTCTCTACCTTGACTCCTGGCCGCGCCTCCTGGCTAGCCGCTGCCATGCTTCTGCTACTCGCTAGGCTAACGACGACCAAGCCTCTCGATCTCTTTGCACACACGCGCTCTATCTCTCGGCCCTCCCGCTGGCGAAGCTCGTCTTCTTCACCTCCAAAGACGCCGACCAGGCCCGAAACTATGAGATTAACTGTCCTACGGTTAGCAATGGAATGTGCGCGTTTCCCCCTTGACGCGTTTGTTTATGTTTCTACCTCGTCATTCCCTCAACCTCTGTCTCTCCACGTGGAAATTATGCGTCGGAAAAAGGCATGAATGCCGCCTCTTATTGGAGTCCGAGCGCCGATCGGCAATAGTCTCTGACACGAAAGAACGAGTTCCAGCATCAGCTACGATGCCGCCTAGATTCACCGGCCAACAGCTGGCCTTTGACGCCGGGCCCGTGCCTTCTTTTCTTCAGAAGCTGCATGCAGACGTCAACTCTGGCCGCGCCAAGCTGGAAGACAAGCGGGGCAGTGGACGAAGAGGTGGAGAAGCATCGGAGTTCGACGATCTCCTTAGTGTCGGTGGGAGTGGAAGTGGGAGTGGGCGAGGCCACGGTGGCGCAGACGAGGTGGGAGCAGATGAGGAGGATGAAGAAGAGGACTGGGCGGGCGCACAGGTCGTCGTGCTCAAGGATGGCAAGCACCTCTCAGCAGAAGAGGTGCAGGCCGCCAAAGACAATGCTCGAGAGGGTCAGAGGGCCTCCGAGGCCGAAAAGCAGCAAGATACAAGACCAGAGGCGGCTATTGCAGATGCGGGCATTGCGACAGCCTCGCGCAAGAGGAGAGCGGTGGCCTCATCGGCATCTCCGTCTCCACCACCGGCACCGGCAAAGGCGCGATTGAACAAGGCAGACGACTTGGGCTCTGCAAAGGATGTCATAGCAGCCGCGAGAGCAGGCCACAAGGGCATGGCGCAGAAGGCTGAGGCAGACGCAGCAGAGACGGCCGAGGACAAGCAGAGGAAGAAGGAAGAGAAAAGGAAACAGGAGCGAGATCAGAAGAACAAGCGAGCAAGGGCCGAGAAGAAGAAAATGGGAAAAGGCCTCAGCTTCGATTTGGAGGACTGACGGTCGCTGCAGCGCCTTGTCAAGTGTATTGTAGTATGATAATGACAAGCAAGCATGTACTTTTACAGAGTAAGGAGAGACAGTGAGACGATCACAAATTACCACGCATCGACGGATTTGGAGTCCATCTCTGCAAAGAGCACATATTAGCCACTCCGACATCCCACAGCAACAAAAGAGAAGACTCACCCTGCTTGATGAACTTCTGCTCCTTCATGATGGCCTGGCAGTGCCGGTCCATGATCTCAACAAAGGGTCTCAGGCTTGTTCTTTCCCAGTTGCCCTTTACGTTTGTCAAGACCTTGTCGCCTCGCTTGCCCGTCACACCAGCGTCGGCGTCGACGGTCTGAAGCTCCTTGAGCAGCCGAGCCACCGTCGGGCACCCGTCCGTCGGATCAAAAGCCCAGATGTTGGCCGGGTCAAGCGGTACACATACCCTGCCCGTGCCCGGATGAATGACAAAGGGCGACTTGAGCAGATGGTTGAGATGCTTCGACACCTCCAAGTCGATTCGAGGATAGGTATACTGCAGGATCACATCCTCCAGGCACGGCTTCCAGATCGCATTACGCTTCTTGTCGCCCGCCCGCGAGGCCTGCTCCATAATGTCCGTCCACTTGTTCGTGCTCGACCGAAAGGGCTCCTTCTCCCACTTTGCTCGTAGCCGGCCGATGGCATCTGCCTCGCTTGCCGGGAGCAGTTCGAGGAGTGTGTCCGAATGCGACTTTTGCTTGAAGCAGTCTTGGTCCTCGAGGATTGTTGAGACGAAAGCCCGCTTCAGCGGCCCAGAAGCCTCACCTTCGCCGCCAATGGCGCGTCGGAGGCTGGGATGGAGCGTGCGGCCGTGCGCATTGATCGGGCCTGCGTCGACCTTTTTGACCTGATTTGCGCTGCCCTTGACGACGTCGAGCCAGCCCGTGAGCGACTTTCTCGCCTCGTCGCTCAGACTGCATGCCTCATCGTCGCTGATCCAGCAGTGGATACCTCTCCGTCCGGAATACACCCAAAGGAGGTGCTTGAAACCAAAGTCCTGCCGGAGTGTCGCATCGAGAACCTCGACTGCGACGGCAATAAATGCCCAGCAGCGCTTGCAGATGCCCTTTCCCGAGCAGCACGTTCGGATCTCATCGTAGTCGGTCATGTCGATATCGAATACCAGCTCCCTGGACACGGGCTTGAACATGGTCTTCTGCACAGTCTTGCGATCTTTCGGCTGCGCAGATCGATGCTTGTCAGTCCGTGGATCTGAAGTGGCTTTCTGTTCCTCCTCACCTTGGCAGTATAGACTGGCCCAATCTCGAACCGAGCAGGGTTGAGCCTGCACACCTCCCTCTTGAGCTCCTCTGCCGACGAGAAGGACTGGTACCTGAGGTAAGCCTCATTCTGGAGCGTGAATGCAAATTCGCGATGCGTAAAGTTGCGCGTCGCGACGGTGGGGCTCGACGATCGATTGAGCCAGAGAAAGAGGTGCTTCCACGGCAGGAGATGGCGGTAGTATGCCAGGATTGCCATCGGCTCCGCCGAGTCGATCTGGTCCAAGCTGGGGACAAGGTGCACGTCAATGCAATGCACTTCGCAGAGGCAGTGTGGCCAGACAAGCTCACCTCTTCTCGTCGACTTGCGCAAAAACCTTGTCTAGCTCTTGGTCGTCGTCCTCTTCGATGTCAACGTCCATCGGCGGAGGAGGCCTGACCGGCGGCAGAACAGCAGCAGCAGCCATTGTCGAGGTGTTGGTTGGTGGTGACTTTAAGAATCGCGTCGCCGAAATTGAACGCGAAAACCGCGCTGAGGCGCGCGCGAGCACGGGGCACGCCTTCAAGCAGCGTGGAGGGGGACTGACTGACTGACGGGGTCCAAATCTAAATTTCTTAGTCTGTCACTTTTTTTTTTCGGAAGCCAGAGGAAGCTCGTTGCGAAGAAGACGATGCCCAAGGCGAGCGATCCGAGGCCGGCGGATCTGCAAGCTTCGTCGTCATCCTTCGATGCGTCGATATACGAGCAGGCAAACGTTCACGAGTGAGTGTCTTCTATAATCTTTATGATTCTCACACAACTCATCGTCTGGGTGGGACAGCGTCTACGAGAACATCGCCCGACACTTCTCCTCGACGAGGTATAAGCCATGGCCGTTGATTCCGCGCTTTCTGTCGACCTTGCCGCCGGGTTCCGTCGGTGCGGACCTCGGGTGTGGGAACGGCAAGTACCTCCCTCTCTTTAGCACTTTGGCTGGTCAGGGAGGGGACCACGACAACGAGGACGGTTTGCAAGGAGGGCACCTCATCAGCCTGGGCATGGACAGGAGCACCAACCTCGTGTCTCTTGCGCAGCACAACTTCCTTGACGATGCTCGAAAGCAAGGAAACCAGCTGCCTTCTTCTATAGCGCATCAACGTCGCAACGAAGTCGCTGTGGGCGATGCGCTCCTCAGCAACTACCGTACTGCCTCTCTCGTGAGCCTTTCTCCACTCTTCTTCATTCTTTGCATTGGCTATTGCTGACGGACCCCCCCGACGATTACTTTCTGAGCAGGACTACGCACTGAGCATTGCGACCATTCACCACTTTTCAACACCTGCGCGCCGAGTCGCAAGCATCGCCGAGCTCATCCGGATTATCCGGCCGGTCCCCCGCTCTTCTCTTCCCTCCTCGGCCGCACCGCCGGCATCAGAAGAGAGGGGAGAGCAAGGAGAAGAAGGAAGGGGGCCGGGCCTGCAAAACTGCTCGACAGGCCGCTTTCTCGTCTTTGTATGGGCGCTCGAGCAGCGCGGAGAGTCGAGGCGCAAGTTCGACGAGAACGGCCAGCCCGGCGAGGGCGACGAGAGGCAGGATCTTCTCGTCCCGTGGGTCCTCAAGTCTCCCGGCCAAGCGCCGCAGCCGGACAGCGGCGAGGAGAAGGTGCACCAACGATGTGAGTGTTTCTTCCGAAACCCATGTCGGGAAGCTCTATGCTGAAAACCCTTTTTCCATATTACAGACTACCACGTCTTCAAGTCTGGCGAGCTCGAAGATCTCGTGCGTGAAGCCGCCCTCAGCTTCCCTCACCTCCGCATCCATCGAGAAGTCTCGGGCTGGGAAAGGGGGAATTGGTACGGAGTGTGGCAGTGTATCGACGAGACTCGCTAAGCATCCTTTCACGTCACGCTCATCTGTATTATCTTTGTTGATCGCATTCATTTCGTCAAAAAAGGAGGGTGTGAGTAGTGCACTGGCAGGATGGGAATCGTTGAAAAATGAGAAAGGAGCGTCTGGTATGTTGTTGCAGTTGTTGAGGGTAACACGGGTGGGAGAAAGAGACCGCTCAAATGATGACCCAAAGCACCTCAAAAGGACGGAGAAAGAGGCCTCTCTTGATCACGGGCTCATCCGCCTGACGGATCCCGCCAAGGCCGAGACCGTCGACGTCTTTTCTGCGCTTGGCGCTGGGCGGGGCGCCCTCCTCGCCGGGAATCGGCAAGGGGCTGTCATCGTCGTCTGCCGCCGCCGCCGAGCCAGCGTCTCTCGACCTCGGCATCGACAGAGACAGCGGTGGGGGCATGGAGGACGAAGGCGTTGTCGACAGCGAGGCGAGCGTCTTGGGCGGTGTCTTTTCCCACGAGGCGAGATTCTTTGCAGGTCGAGCTGTCATTCGTGCGATTCTCCTCCTCCTCGCCTCCCTCTCAGGTGAGGGTCCGGCGCCTTTGGCCTGCGGATAAGCCTTGGAAGAAGAGGAACCTAGATCAAAGTATCGCCGGCCATCGAGCGTGCCATCATTGAGGTTCAACAACGACTCATCGATGCCAGGCGGCAGCGGGAGAGACACCTCGACGCCCACCCATGGGCCTTGCCGCTGAGCGAGAGGACCCAGGTACTTGACAACGGCCTTGAACTGGCAACTGGCAGCGTCGCGCGGAGCAACCACGCACGGAATCCCGAGCGAGAGCATCGTGCCTTCATAGCCATCCAGGGCTTCTTTTGTGAAGTTTGGCGGGTCGACATCCATGGCATCCGGCCGGGAGGCCTGTTGTGTCTTTGCTTGTGTCACGTCAGAGAGAGGAGCGTCGCTCTTCGTCAAATTGCGACCTGAGGGCAGAGCGGGCGCAGCAGAAGACGACAGTGCGGCTGCTTTTGCCCTGACAGTCCCCACAGGCAGTGCATGTCGCGAGGACACCTTCTTGATGGACTTGGTCGACGCGAGGCTCGTCGAAGAAGGGGTTCTCCTCGGTGCCTTGATTGATGGTGAATCTGTTGAAGTCGTCGTCGTCGCTCGCTTCGCTCGTATTGTTGCCGGGCTCGCATTTGAGGTCGCATGAACAGCTGATTGCGGCTCCTGGCGAGCATTTTGAGCGGTCCGAGGCGAAGAGCGGAAATTTGCGATGGAGGCGGCCCGACTCGAAGCTTGAGTCGCTTCGCTCTTTGCCGAACGCATACTGCTGTTGCTCGCAGAAGGACGAAGGCTCGTTTTGCTTGCAGCAACGGCACCGGAGGACACACCCTCAGGCTTAGCGAGAGTGCGCGAACCAACTGGCGTCCGTAATCGATCGTCGGGATCTGTACTCCTCTCGGGTGCGTTCCTGGGCGCAGCGGGCCCTCTGCTTGTCTTTGGCGTTGCTGGACTGATATCCTGTTGCCGTCTAGATGAAGAAGCGCCAATGACCGACGACGCTACGGAGGCAGCAGTGGGCGTGTACGATCGTGGAGTGGAAGAACGGCCATCTGTGACAGCGGCTGGCGAAGTAGTCCTCCGAATAGAGCCAGTGGAGGACGCATTGGACCTTGTCGAGGCAGCTGAGGAAAGTGCTCGGCTCGAAGCCTGCTCACTTTCCGACGGGATGCTCTGCAACGAACCCCTGGGACGGGACATGACCGACCCGCTCCGAGTCGGCGGTGAGTACTGGCTTGACGTGGGCATGGAAGCCGCTGGCGCGCTAGCTGTACCGCTTCTGAAGCCTTGGGTGGCTGACAGACGAGCAGCGTTGCGGTTTAAGACAGCCGCTCTCATGTGTATCGGCCCGGCCTCGCGCTCGCCATCCACCAGATCGCCAGGAACAGCCGTTCGAATCGGTCTGTTGCTAGGGCCGCCAGAGAGGCGGGGGCCAGTACGAGCTGCAGTCGCCTGAAGACCCGTACGAGTTCGGGGCGCTGTAGCGGAGGCGTCTTCACCGTCCTCGGGAAGAAGCAGGTCGGTCGAGGAAACGTCGAGTTCGCCGGCGAGCTCTTTGAGGGCCCAAATTTCGAGCTTGTTGAAGCCGGCATAGGCTCTTGCTCCCACCCAACGCCTTCTAAGGTACCTCACGATGCCACCGCGAGCCTCTTCCAAGATCTCGCGAATGGACGCAGAGGGCAAGCCTTCATCACGTAGAAGCACCTGGCCCACAAGGATCTGGTAGATGGTCGCCGCCCTTCTTTCGGTCAGGCCATCCACGAGGATGATGAGCGCTCTCTCGAGGACATCGTTGTTGAAGCCCACTCCCTCGACGAGTTCGTTCCACTCTGCCGTCTTGACGATTGTCTCAAAGTTTGCTTCAAATTTGGCTCGGATGTACGTCTCGACGGACTCGCACATCCATCGAAGCGCATCAACCCAGCGACTGCTTCGCTCCGTGTCCACGCGCGTTCCCACAAGAGACAGCTGACGCAGCGCGCCGACGATATGCCCGGGACGCTCGTCGATGCGACCCTTAATGTTGGATACAATGGACATACGAGTCGATTGGTCAAGGTTGCCGACGTCTTTCGACCAGTAGGCGCCGAATTGAGGCCCACTGACCGCGTCAATGGCCAGCGTCTTGAGGCAGGCATCGGCGACGTCGGGCGCACAGGCAAAGGCCAGCGTCCGGGGCACTCGCTTGATGCACGTCTTGCATGGCGGCCAGCAGCTGAAGCCATGGCAAAAGTCATTGGCGATGAGGCTGGCGACGAGTGTCTGAAGCGTCTCCACCTGAAGATAGGCCCCTGCTCGCCAGAGCTGAAATGCAGTAGCTAGATCGAAGGTCCGATTGGAGAAAAACAAGGTGCCCGTGTAGAGGAAGCCCAGCGCAAAGTGAAGCGCAGCCGGCGTAAAGGGCGGCGAAGGCAGGCGAAGGGTGGCGTTGGTCTGGTCTGCATACGGCGAGAGGAGTAGGGCGGCAAAGTAGGGCGACCTTGAGGCGAGGATCATGCGATGAGCAGAGAAACAGGCCGCTTCCTCTTCATCTGCGTCTGCGTAGTCTGGCTCGCCCATGGGAAAAGAAAGGACCGAAGCATTGGCGTCAGGAATGGTGCCCACGGCGTTGCGCTCATCGCCGTCGCCCAGGACGATCTGCACGTCCGAATACAGCCTGCTGCGCCACATGAAGACAAGATCCTGTCGCAGCTTTTCGAGACGCTCCTCGACGTTGCCGCCAGCCGAAATGCGGTCCTCGTACAGGAACTCGAAAGCCTCGACCATACTCTCTTCCGCCGTATAGAGGTACTCGAGCATCGCTTCGAAGAAGGCCTGGCTCTCTCCCGCCAGCTTCATCGGTCCCTTGATGGTACTCGTGGAGCTGATGACTGAGAGGGCATCCGAGTGGAAGGTGCTGCGGGACGAGGGCCTGGAGATGTCGAGAGAGCCGATCGAAGAGGAGAAGTAGTCGCTACCTCTCCGGCGCAAGGGCTCCCCTGGCCCTTCGTTTTCGCTGTCGCTCGCCACTGGACCGTCTGACGAGGATCTTCGGCCTTTCCTTGTTCGTTCCTTGGCAAAACTGCTCGGTGGTGCGCTGCCCCGGATCCTCATCCGAGAGCGTGAGATGCTCGAAGCTCGAGACACGATGGAGGCATCGGGAGAAGGTGCACGGATAATGGGAAGCGACACTTGACTGCTGCTCGCCAGGGCACCGAGATTGACAGCAGGGCTTCGAAGCTGCAGGTATCTGGCCTGGAACGTGTTTGGGGCACGAGCGTACAGGATGGCTTTGTGGAGTAATGCAGACACAGCATCAGCACGGCTTGCTAGCTGCTTCTCTTTCAGTGCACCTGCCCGAACCACCCACCCTTGTGAGCCCAGATGATGCCCTCAGTCGGTCGAGGGCTCGCCGCCGTGATTGTCTCATCGCCCTCCCCGTCTGTCTCATCGCCACTGCCGCCGCCGACAGCCCAGCTTACATCTGCAAACCGCTCACTGGCTCGGCTGAAGAGGCTCTTGAGATCCCTACGCCAAGCATTCGTAGCCTGCACTTGGCACGACAGCGTCGAGAAGGGACTCAGGTCTGGGAGCTCGCTTTGGCGGCGTCCGCCAGACGCCTTGGCCTGCCTGTGGTCGTCGATGGATGACCTCGGCTGTGAGGACGGGCGAGGGCTGGCGGTAGGTGTCGCCATCACGGCGCTGTGCTGACCGCGCGCTTATGCAAGCAAATCGATGGCGCTTGTCGTCGCAATTAGAGAGAAAGGAAACGGGTCGCGGACCGCCCGCGCAAGCCCGCTCGGTTCCCGTCGGTCGCCAGCCGGCGTGAAATCCGTCTGTTGGACGAGCAATTTAGTCAAAAGGAGCATTCGGCTCGAGTGAGCTCGAGCGGCAGTAGACGTAGAGTCAGCTACTTTGTGTGTTGTCACTGCTGCCGAACGTCTCCTGTCCCTCGTGCCCCTTGTGTTGGTCTCGTCGAAGAGGGGTCGACAGGAAGCTAGCGCTCGCATCGAATGCCACGCGTTAAGACTAATTCAGTCCGAGGGGGAAAGCGGTAATATTTCTTGCCGCTCGGACGACAGATCAGGCTCATTCTTCGTTCGGACGATGGGACAATTTATTTCATTTACATTCTGACTCAATGTGATTGAAGATGCTGATGCCTGTCTCCTCTCCAGTTTTATGTGTGTACTGTACCGTGTCTTTGTGCGAAAGAAACAGTCTTTCTTGCACGAATCTTTCTGATGCTGGTCGGCATGAAAATCTGTTCACTTGCCTCCTCTCCTGATCCTGGTCCTTTTCCCTCCGAGAATCACAGTGCCCTCTTCTTGGCTTCCCAAGCATCGAAGTCCTTTAGAATGCTGCACTCGCTGGATAGGTTTTCTTCCTCTTCGCTCATACGAACAGCTTCGTCTCCTTCTGTATCGTTCTGAACGCCGATATTCGAATTTGTTGCTGGAGGCGCTCCTTCCTGGGGAAGATGTTCTTCCTCGGTGAAAGTCTTGAGTCTACCTTCTTCGACTCGTTGATGGGACCTATCGTTCTTGCCCGTTGCGAGAACGTGCGCAACCTGGTTCACATTGGCGCCAAAATGATTCCTCGCAACCTTATCCTCCTGCTGACTGGAGCGACCGTTGTCCAAGTCCTCGGGTAAGGAGGCAAGACGGCTCTCTTCGTTGTCGCAGTCTATGATGTCTCGGACTTTTTCAGCTCTGTCAGAACTCTCGAGCTCCTGCTCTACATTGTAAGTAGTATCGAAGTCGCCTTCATTGTCTTCATCTTCCGGAATCCTTCCCCCGACCGATTTCCAAAGCGTAGGCGAGTATCTCGTCTTCTTCCTCTTGTCTGAGCGGTCCTCGTTACTGTCACTCGGCTCATCTTCCCTAGCTAATGCCCGTTTCGTCGTTGTGATGGGGAGGCTATCGAGATCTCGCAAGATGCTCTGCGACACCTTCTTCTTGGAGGTGATTGTGTCTGCCGGCCAAGATATCTCCGCCCGTCGATTGGCTTTGACCTTCTCCTGAGCTTTGAGGAGGTCTCGGAAGATCAAACTTTGACTAATTTCCTGCTCCGCTCCACCCCTCTCTGTGTAAGCCTTGAACATCTTGGCGAGAAGCGCCGCTTCTCCCTCTAACTCCTGCTCCTTTGTGAGCTTTGGTGTGGGCTGCGCGGCCGTTCGTTTCGTCGGCTTCTCGATTCCCTCTCGGCAGCACCTGTGCTTGCAGCTCTTGCAATGATGATTGCACGCGTACCTTCCAATCGGAAGTCTTCTCGGTGCTGCGTTTCCTTTTTCTCTTGAATTCTCCCTTTCAATGTGATTTGAAGATGGACCTTGACCGGAAGAGGTTGATGTCAATCTTTGACCGAAGGCGAGGCCATCTAGAGTTTATTTCAGGCTACAGGTCCTGTACAGCCTCCATCAACCACGATCTTCGCTCACTCAAAGGCCCCAGTCTGAAGTTGGGCGCATCAGTATTCTCCTCCAGGTCGTCGGCGAAATCGGAAGCTTTGAGTCCTTCCAGGGCCTTGGAACGTCAGTCAGTAACAATGATCAGAACGGCAGTGGTCTGTTTGACCCACTTTTGAGCTCTCCTGAAGGAATATCTCATGAAGCGGCTCTTCGGGGAAATCAATTGCCGGTGCTTGGGAGCGAATCTCGGCATTGATGGCCGAACCTGCCAGGTCTTCGCATGCGACCGTCGTGAAGATTCTCTCGCTAGATTTGTGGAGCCTGCAAGCAATTTTGAAAGGTTTGACGCCTTTCAACAGCCTTTTTAGTCTATGAGAGGGTGCAAAGGTAGAATAAGCAAGAACTGTGCGTTGCACACATAGCATGTACTCACGACATGCGCCTGTAATCGAAAAGCTAGTGTTTGGAAAGTCTGCTTTAGTCGTTGCTTGAGAGAGTAGTAGAATCAAGGGCAAGTGGCTCACCTCTCCCTCCGAAGAGGTCGTCAAACAAATGATATATCGGGGCTGCTTTTCGGCTGTCCATACATTGATGACCTCTTTGTTGCTGTTCTTGAGATCGATGGCCAGCTCGATACGAGACTCGACACAGTCATCAAAGCGCTTGTGCTTGACTTCGGAGATCATAAGATCAAGATCCGGAAAAGATCGAGCCTGTTGGACGAGCTTGAAACCAAAATTGGACGATCTGCGATTGAGCAGGTGCTCCATACGGAGTGGATCCGAGTCTGCCACATCTCCAATCGACTTGATGCCCGCCTCGCTCAGCAGTTGCATGTACTTCTCCCCGATACTGGATGAATGACTGAGCTCTTTGGTGCTTGGTAAGCTGGAAGAAATTCAGTTCCTCACTTGTCTAGCTGTCGAAGCGTGGCAGGGCTCGAGTCCCAAGCCTGGCCGGAGGTTGATCGAACGCTGTAAAGACGCCGCCTCTTTAGCTGATCAAGGCAGTTGGAAACAGATCAGCAGGACCTACAGCTCAGAAGCGTCCTTCGCCGTCTTTCCGTCTTCGCGGTGGACAGCAATGTCAACGAGGCATTTGAGGCTGCGCAGAGTCTATCAGTAGCAGGCTATGAAATAGCAAGACTTGTCACTCGCATTCTAGGGGCCTGGCGAAAGACGAGCCTGGCCTCTGACTGAAAACCTGCTTTGAAGACTTCTCCCTCCTCTTTGAAGATGTCCAAGACATTCACCCCGGCAAGAACGGCCTGCAGGAAAAACAATTGAATCAGACGCTTTTCTTATAAGGTGACCCGCAGAGCGTCTACCTGGATCAAAATAGAGAGCTTGTCGGTGGCGTTTGTAACCTTTTTCGGTGGGAAGCGGATTTGCGACAAGGTGCGAATCTTGTTCCAGACGCCCTTTTCGCCGTGGCGGATGCGGATCTCGCAAAACTCTTCAGCAAGACACAGTACCTGAAGCTGAGGCGCCTAATCAGGAGTGCACGACGGTTTTGTTCACTCCAGAGCAAACTCACGATGTCGCTCGTTGAAGCTCCACGTTTAACGCGCAGAAGCCGAAGGAACGTCTTAAGAGCAACTTCAGTTGTCTCGGGTTGCTGAATGGTCGATTGTCACACTCACCTTGAAGCTGATAAAGTAGCTTGCGAGTAGATCACCATAGTGGGAGCATGCGATCTCTGATCTGCCATCTTGCGTAGCGTCAAGCAAGAGCTCGTGTTCCCGGAGACTCTTGAAAAGGTGTCGGGAAAGGTTTTGGACCCCATGCTCCGGGTCATTCATGCCACCAGCTCCTTCAATTTGGTAGTGGCGCTGTTGTAAGAACACGAATAGCTTTTCAGTGATGGTGAACAAAGCAAGAGATAACTTATGAACACATACGAGGTTCTTCTTCATCCGAACAAAGAGAAAAGTTCCCCGGAGCCAATTCTCCACAAAATCTTGACTGCAAGATTCCCTTTGACCAATTTCGGCATTGACGTGCTCGCTAATGGGAGGAAGCGTTGAGACTCGACCTCTCAGAAGTTTGAACGAAGACACATCGGTGGCTCACATGAGGCTTAGATGGAGCGTGCTTTCGATAGGTGTCTCGCCTCGGGCCATAGCTACGTAGTAATCTTTTCGGTTGTTCTCTGTCATGATGACGCAAACTCCCTCTCTATCGAATTGAGGACGTCCTGCGCGGCCCATCATCTGAAGAATGTCAAGGTCATCCATTTCAGTCTGGATAGAGATTCAGCTTCGTTTAGAGTAGCCCCAAGCAACAGAAGAGAGATTGTCCTGAGCTCCTGCTTACCCATTGCCCTTGGTAAAGTTTGGTCCCTCGAATGATGACGAGATAGCTGCAGGTCGAAAATTGTCATTTTAAGTCTCCATCTTCGAACGCCACCCATCTCTTACGCCGGCAGATTGACTCCAACGGCCAGACTAGAGGTGGACACTATAGACACATGTCAGGGGAAAAGCTGCGGAACATTTGGCCAACTTATTTGGTCAGCTTGCTCACCAAGGACAAAGCATCTTCCCTCGAGGAAGGCAGACTCCACAAGCCTTTTGTCGCGAGGTGAGAGGCCCGCATGATGATATGCTACCCCTCGAGGAGCCAATTCTTTAGAGCAACAACATTAGCTACCAGAGAAAGAGGAGCAAGTGCGGTAGAGCTGCTCACCGTTGAGGTTTGGATCATCGTAGTTGGCAGTCATCGAACTTCAACAAACCTTTAGCTATTTTCTCCGCTGTGGTGCAAACTTACGTTTGCTCACGGGAGAGGGGGGTCCCATGGCCTATTTCGTGCTTCGCAGAGCCTGTCGAACTCATTGGCAAGTACCTCTGCAGCGTTGGAAGCTGACTTCCTCATCGGTGCGAAAATAAGAACTGGCCTTCCGTTTGCGTGCTCTTGGATGATTTGCATGATTCTGAAGCAGTGCGATGAACGAGGTTTGCTAAGAGTTTTCTCCTTATCATCAACTGTGCCTACCTGCTGTTCAGATTTCCCTCTAGCTTCCAGTAATCTCCTTCAGGGTTGGCATATCCATACACGTACTGCAGTGACGCGCGTCAGATCTTCATGACGACGAAATGTGCTTCCGTTCTGCTTACCTTCCGCAAAGGGCAAGGGCGATATGTTTCGCCAAAGGTGAAGAGGTCTGCAGTGGTCTTTGGGGATCCGCACTCGTCAATGTCTGAGTCTGTCGCATTAGACCCGACCCATTCGGCAATATCGTCAGCGTTGGGGACACTGTGAATTGATTCGTTGTGAGATCAGGGAGGACGGCACCACCATTTGACGACCCGCTTACGTTGCAGATAGTGCGATAACGCGCAAGTCGTCGACCTTGTCTTTCATCCTCGATACGAGCACCTCGAGACATGGCCCTTTGGAAAGAAGCCAGAGGTAAGATGTGCTTCAATTTTTCCACTTCGGTCAGAAAGCACTACTCACCGCGATTCCTCTCGCGAAGGAAGTGGACTTCATCAATGAGCAAGAGCTTGATGTGACGAAGGATATGGTCGTTTTTGCTCCAGCGCCGTGTGATGCTGAGTCAACTTTTACTTTAGTACCTCTGAAGACCAACACGGTGGAGTTCCAGAGGACATCGCAGCTCACTAGTCCCACTTCTCCTGTGAATTGCAACGAGGAGAGTGATGGATTTCAGCCTCATTCTCGGACCGGACAAGTCCGTCAGCGCATACACACCGGTGTCGAGATGATGATCCTCGCATCTTTAGCGCTTGCAAGACCCAGAGCGTTGCTGTCGCCCTGATGAAGCTTGTTCAGAGGACGAAGGTGTCAACAAGCGTAATCCGCTGCTGCTTACCGTCAGCTCGACGACTGGCGCGTTGAGATGCTGAAACTTGGCAGCCCAATCCTTTGTCCTTTCTGAACAGAGACCTTTTGTCGGAGCTAGATAGAGGGCTTTCTGTTGCTGTGTGGTGTAGAGCAGCCTCGCAATTGCTATCTCAAAGATGACCGTCTTCCCCGAGCTGGTCGGGGCCGATACGACGATGTTACTTTTGGTCTCGAAGGCGGTGCTAAGGACTGTGCTCTGCATTGCATTGAAGAAGGGAAATGGAAACACGGGCTGCAGACAATCGGCTACTCGGAGACACAGGGAAGAGTCAGCGATACGATGGAAGCGGGCAGGTTCCCATGCGTACGTAGAACGCTTGTTGGCATTAGATCCCCGGCTCCCTCGCTTTCATCTGTGAGGTCTGTGTGCGTCAAAACAAGAGAAAGGACAGTAAAACAGCTCGGCTGCTGCCGGTGATGCTAACCATGACCCAAATTCGCTTCGCTGTACTCGGCGCCAGCGGCATCGTCGCCGCCGTAGAGGCCAGGTTGCAAAGCAAAGTTGTGACTGTCAGCGTGCATAGGGGGCATGGGGGACGGAGAAGAGACTACACGAGTCCCTTGCGGATTATATTGGGAGGGAGACTCGACAGCGGGAGGCGACGAAGTTGGAGAAGTATTGAGAGGCGCTTGTGAGCCATGGGTCATGAGAAGCTGAGCTTCCCAAACGTTGACATGGTGCATGTTAGCTTGCTCTGCATGCCTACTACTACTGCCCTCTACATATTGCTCCAACCACGACATGTCGATCTTCCGGCGAAGCAACGGACCGGATGACCCCGGGATTGCACTACGAAGGGATAAGTTGACAGGCGAAATGGAGGGGAATGCTTATAGACAAGACGATGTCCGATGGTCAAGCGAAGAGAAGCAAGAAACCGCGCCGCGCCGCGCGCGCCGAAATTCTCGCACGGACGTCCAATGCTTTCAGTGTAGCGCGCGGGCGAAAAAGCAAAAGTCAAAGAGGAAAAAAGAAGAACGGGGATTTGATCTTCTTCTGGTCCGACTCCGTTGCAACACAGAGGGAAGAAAAGGAGGAAGAAAAGGAGGCCAAGGAGAGGTAGGAGAAGAGTGACAAGCCAGCCGAGGCGGACGATCGTGAACGGAGACGCAAATAGGAGCCCAATCGCAGCTGACTTGGACACAGCGCAACTGAGAAGGGACGCGGACGCCCATGTACTGTACAGTACTTTCCTGCAGACGTGAAGAGCGGACGAGGCCGGTGAACTAGGAATGTGCGTCAGGCAAGGGTGCGACGCTCCTTAGACCGATTCTCACCCATCGTCGCTAAACTTCTCGTGTGGGTGCACCACTTACTCTTGTAGCCACCAACACGGCGACGTCGACTGAGCACTGATCGTGCCGACCTCCGGCTCTTGTTCTCATCGCACATCGCACAGGTGTGCAAAGCAGAGCCGCCTCTTCATAAAGATAGCAGACTGATGGTGGCTCTTTCTCTATAAAAACACTTGCTCGGACAGCTTGTGTCTATCACAGGGTTGCGCGCAGAGGCACGATGGCAGCACAGCGAGATGGGCCACTGTTCGTAATCAAGGTCAGCGACATCCCGAACAGCGCAAAAGTACGCGAGCTTCGAAAAGCAATCGGTGTCGCAGCCAAGTCGATTCGAAGAGAGCCGCCCATTCGCTTCGGTGTCGAGATAAGAAAAAAGGAGGGAGTCCGGTATGGCAAGCTCTCTTTCACAGAGGGGGAAGTGATCCGACTTTGGCTAAGCCGCTACGGCAGTCGTCTCGGCGAGCGGATCGTGGTCAAAGACCAGCGCCTGACCTTTGCGCCTCTGGAAGAGGTCATTGACAAGTGGCAGATCTCGGCGATTAACAACCAGATCAAAGATCGACAATGGGAAGGTTCCGACTATGACGACATCCCCGAACCACCTCGTCTGTCGATTGTCGACGTCTCTTGTGGTGCCTGGGACTCACGCAATGCGTACTGCCAGGGATGGGGACGGTTATGCCAGGATCCCAAGTCCTGTATGACGTTCGACGTCGACGAGACGAAGCTCAGCATCCGTATCGATGACCTTGTCATTGAGACGGTGTCGGTCAATATTCTCCATGTCATTCTCGTGGGCAAGGCATTGTACATCGAGCTAGGCCACCCACCGCTCTTTCTTCGCGAAATTGCGAGGGTGAGCACGGCAGCGCCGACTACTTTTCCAAGCGAGCCAGTGTCCAAGCAGGTGCTCCCAAGACGACCGCGTGCAAATTACCGACGACTTCTTGAGTGTCAAGAAGATCATGAGGGCGCCATTGAATTTGACAGAGTGGGAGCATTTGACAGCCAGCACATGCCAGTTGCACAGTACTGCAACGTCTTCAGAGTTGGCGCTTGCACCGTGCAAGAAATCAAGTCCTTCTACGACCTCACCCAAAGACGACTTCCTAAGCTGAAAAAGGTCTCTTCGATTCCAATGGGCGATCCGGCAACCTTCTCGGCACAAACAATCTCGTCGCTAAATGCCATGTTCGAAAAGCTCTCGTTCGAGGTGGCTTTCCAGGCTCAGGCTCTAATTGGCCCTCGGTTGCTACCCTTGGAGTTGCTCAGCTTGAGAAAGCAAATTGTCAAGCTGGAAGCGCGTCTCGGACCGTCAGCAGCCCCAGCTCTGAGGAGCCTCAAAGCCCACCTTTGTGACCGCGGACCAATAGCCGAGAAGGAGAACTGGCCTTCATTTTCCCTCGATCAGATGTCCCGAGAACTCGAAAGAGCAGAGCAAGGGAAAACCCTCGAAGCCCAACTCCAGACGCGGTCCAAAACGCTCACGCACACCGCCCAGCTCACGCCGTCGTATGGCTGCTTTCTCGACGGACCCCACCTCGACGACGGTAATCGTATCCTTCGTCAATACCCTGGTAAAGACGTTCACTTTCTCCGCGTAAGGTGCATCGAGGAGAATGGCTCCGTGTTGCGCGTCTCGCAGAACGGAATCCAGACAAAGGCCATGATCGAGGAACGCTTTGGCACCGCTCTCCGTCAGGGCATTGTTGTAGCTGGCAGGAGATTTCAGTTCCTCGCCTTCAGCGGCAGCAGCCTTCGCGAAAGCAGCTGTTGGTTCATGGTGAGCTTGCATTGGTCTAGTGAGGTTAAGCTCAATGCGCTCGTGGCTGACTTCAGACAATGTCCAGCGCCCTTTTCAATTTCATGGTACGAGGGTCCGGCCAGACACGATCCGACAAAGCATCGGCGCACTCGATCACATTCGCTGCCCTGCCAAATACGCCGCTCGGATGGGGCAGGCATTCACTGCCACACCATCGAGCATCGAGATCCATCCAAGCCAAATAAAACGTATCGAGGACGTCGAAGTTGGCAAATACTGCTTCACAGATGGCATCGGAACCATCTCACCGGCTCTTGTCAAAAGGGTGACGGAGGAAATGTACGAATTTGAGCCGCCCACGCCTCCCACTGTCTTTCAGGTCCGAATCGGCGGCGCAAAAGGTGTACTTGCCATCGACACGAGGCTTGAGGGCGAGCAGGTAAATCTCCGCAACAGTATGGTCAAATTCGAGGCAACGAGCACCAGACTCGAGATCGCCAATGTCTACAGAAAGCCACTTCCGATGTTCCTCAACCGACCCATGGTCGCCCTTCTCGAGAGCCTGGGGGTGCCAAAAAGGGCTTTCATGGCCTTTCAGAACGCTGCCGTCCAAGGGTTGCGCGATGCAACGCGGTCCGTCGATGCTGCAAGGGCCCTGCATCTGCATTACGGCATGGGTCTTATCTGCTCCGACGTTCTCTCGGCTCTCGCCACGCGGGGGATCAATGGCTTCGGTGCCGCCTTCCTGCGAGAGGCGAATTTGGGCCTCGTCAATTTCGCTCTGCGAAACGTGAAGTACCGAGCTAGGATTCGCGTCCCGAATTGCTATACACTACTCGGTGCAATTGACGAGACGGGTGAATTGGGCCCTAAAGAAGTCGTCGTCGCCATAGGCTGGCCAGGTGAGCCAATGCAGTACCTTGAAGGTCGCTGCTTGGTCGGACGTTCGCCCATGACTGCGCCTGGCGACGTTCAGTTCGTCACGGCTGTCGTTCCTGCCGCCGACTCTCCTCTGCGCGCCCTACGCAACGCCCTTGTCTTTTCTCGAAAAGGCACGCGTCCTGTGCCAAGCATGCTGGCCGGTGGCGACTTGGACGGAGATCTGTATAATGTCATCCAAGAAAAGTCTCTTCTGCCCAAGGTCACGTACAAAGCGGCGACGTATCCGCGGCTAAAGCCCCAGGAGCTCGACCGAAATTGCACAGTCGACGACGTTATCACATTCTTCCTCCAGTTCATCGAGGTGAGACCTGAGCTTACGGCATATTGTGTCATATTCTCACTGACCGGACGCGATCATATCCTGGTCTAGCATAATGTCATTGGGATAGTCGCCAATCATCACTTGCACCTCTCCGATCGAAGCAACAAAGGTGTCGTTGACAGGGCCTGTATAAGACTCGCAGCGCTGCATAGCATCGCCGTCGACTACAGCAAGACGGGCATCCCAGCACCAGTCAAAGACTCGCCATATGTTCCTGCTGAAAAGCCAGATTACTTCATGAAGGAGTATCGGCTGGAAGGTCGCGACAGTCGCCAGCACCCTCGAGAGAGGGAGCTCTTTTACCAGAGTAGAAAGGCGCTCGGCGAGATGTTCCGTGCCATCGACGTACAGAACAAGCTCACAGAGTGGAGCCGTCTGGCGTCTTTGCCGTTATCGGAAGCAAAGCCAGAGAGTAGTGACGGACAAGAGGAGAATAGCTGGTCGACCAATCTCTGGGACGAATTGAAACGAGACGGGCGCGCTGATGGCTACCATCGCCACCTGGCGAGCGTCACGGCCGTCTTGGACTACTATGACCGCAACGTCGGCGTCTTGCGGAGGGATTATAGTCCCTTCAAACGGAGCCTGCTCTCAGAGGAAGAAGTGTTTATGGGCTGCATTATTGAGCGAGGTCCGACGCAACAAAGCTTTAATGACTTCGACCACATAAATCGACTCCAAGACGAGTACGAGTCGATCTGCAGGATTACGAGGCAGCTCGTCTTTTTCCGCTCCTCAGACTCGCCTGTCCAAGGTCACTCCAATGGTCTTTCCCGCGCTACCTCAAAAGGCCATTCGGGCAACAACGGTGTTGGGACCGCGGGGCTTAAGGGAAGTGATCCAGCCAAGCACCCCAGTGAACGCAAATCGAGCACGGTCGAAGAAAGTCTTGTCCGCCGCTGGATCCTCTACAGCAGCGATCGCTTCGATGACGACGTTGCTATTGGAAACGAGGTCCAGAAAGTCCCGCAAGAGCGTGTTGCGAAGGTCAAGCGCGAGCTCATCGGCGTCATCACCAATGGCCTAGCCTTTTACAGCGTAGCACTCAAAAAGTCTGCGGGCAGGAGCGCACCATGGATTGTCGTGTCGGCCATCCTGCGAGCACATCGATATCTCGACGCCTTTGAAGGCAAGAATGCGGTTCCGAACGGGATGTCTAATGCTGTCTTCAGTCGAGAACTCAAGACTCCAGAGACTCCCGCGACGCCAGACGAGGTCAACAGAGTCGGAGACGACAATAGCGAGGGAACAGACCAAGATGAGAGCAACGCGGGAGACGGCCTTGCGCTGAACAACGACGATCTGATGCTTGGGTTGGTAGGCAATATCTACGAGGGCCTGGAGGTGCTCGACTCGTACGACGAAGTCGAAAAGCTGCCCTCGCCGGAGAGAACAGAGAGTCTTGATGGCAGCAGTGTAGTCGACTCGCTTGCCAACATTACCACTTCGAATGACAACGTCGTCGCAAACAAGACTGCTGGCGAGGAAAGTGCCGACCCAGATGCGAGCCAAGAGGGCACAGACGACGATGACGACGATGACTTTGGCTTCGAGGCGTTTACGAGGAAGCCGATGACGGGCAGAGGAGGCGGAGCCTATATGACGAGCGACGAGGAGGCCTCGAGTGACGAAGAATAGCCACAGAAGATCTAGCACGCCGCCCGTTGGAACGCTTACACGCATCACGAACATGCCAAGAGTGCTTCTTCAAAGATTGAAGCTAGAACAAAAGGGCGAGATCCCCTGTCACGATAGATTCACTTTCTAATCATGTCTATTACAGTCATTCATGCAGCCCTTTTGAAAGCCAATCTCTCTCTGATGAAGTGAGGCTCGTTCTCTTCGCCACCCAGGAATTGTCGGTAGACGTCGGTGATTGTGCTGCTGCTGCCTTCGGTCCACTTGCTCCGCCAGAAGTGGGCGCCTTCGACGGTGAGATTGTTTTGCGCTGCGAAATCGCGCAGCGAGAATTGTCGACGCTCGACTGAGCTCGAGGAGATAGAAGCGCCCTTGGGTTGGGCGAGAAGGCAGAGTGCATACCGGTGCGGCTTCGTGCCCTTTTGGGGGTGAGGGGGGATGTACGACACCAGGTCGGACCCGCCCTCGACAGTGTTTTTTATTGAGGAGAGGGCAACGTCGGACACGAGCCAGTGAAGATATGTCCCGATGCGCTCCTCGGCCTCGTACGGCGCATCGGCATCAACGAGGGCCAATGTGTAGAAGCGCTCCTCGGCATGGAACGGCGTGGCCAGGATCGAGGGCTGGTCAAAGGTCCTCGCGGCGGGGATGATGCAGCCAGGGTCGATGATCTCGCCGCTGACGTCCTCAATCCCACTCTTGGATGTGACATCTGTGAAGCCTGTCCCCTCGCCAAAGGAGACCTGGACATCGACCGTGGGTGTAAAGGTGAGCAAGATGTCTGGAACGATGTACATGTCGCGCAGTCTCGCAGCGAGCCTCTCGAGGGGCCCGCGCCTCCACGCCTGCTCGCGCAAGTGGGCAAAGACAGGAGAAGAGAGAGGTGCATCGACATTGTTGGTGAAGCGCCATCGGACGGCGGGATCGTTGATCTCTGCAGCGACGAGGTGGGCGTCGAGCTTGGCTTGTGCCGATGAGCGCTCAGGCGAGCCGGGAGGGTGCGACGAGATGGCTGCTTCCAGCGCGGGGATCTCGCGGCGTAGTGAGGCCTGCTGTGACGAGATGTAGGCGAGCGCCTCATCATAGGCCGGCTCGACGCCCGGTGCGATCGGTGGAGTCCACCCCGATGAGGAAGAAGAAGCTGCTGACGCTGATGCAGACGTTGACGCAGAGGAAGAAGAAGACGAAGCGGAAGAAGATGAGACGTTGGCATTTGCCACAGTCGCCAGCCGACGAACATGCCGGAGCGATGCCCTCGCCTGGGCCCTGATAGTCGGTATCGCCGCTATTGTCGCCATGCTGATCCGTCGGAGCGAACTTCTGGTCGGCTTGGCAAAACGGGAGAAAAGAAATGAAAAAGAAAAAAAAGGAAGTCCCTTTAGCCTAAAGGCACGTGGAATATATTTAGTCCGTGCTGGCCACGCCCGCCCATCCCCTTCTCTCCGACCTCAAGAAGCGCAACACAGCCAGGCCGTGGAAGGAAGAACTGAGGTGTCAGGTACGACAGCTGCGACGATTGCTGCGACGAGCTGGCGAATCAGTACCGGCAACTAGCACCGTGAAAGCCAGGCAGCTGTGACGATGGCAAGCAGCGGTGGGGGCCTGCAGCGGAGAAGAGGGGGAGGAGGAGGAGGAGGCGCGGGGGCGGGATACGGTGTCGACGACGAGGATGCCAATCCTTCACGGAACGCGTCGCCAGGGCCTTCTGGCCTACATGCGAGCAGTTCTACAAATGGCCATCAGTCAGCGAGCGGCTCAAATAGCAAAGCTGGAGGAGGGTCAGGCAAAAACAGGGAAGCAGGCTCTGCTGGGCCCAGCGGCTTGAACGGCATCGGCGAGCTCAAAGGAGGGGCAGGGAGCGTGACAGTGACGAGCAGTAGTGGAGGCCATCGGATCGCATATGACCCAAGAGATCTTGCCGACGAGAGCGAGACGCTCGAGAACCCGCGGTTGACCTTGATGGAAGAGTGTCTCTTGCTAGGTCTCAAGGACAAGCAAGTGAGTGCAGCTACTCGCTCCTCCTGCTCCTCCTGCTATGCTGACAAGCGGTCCGCTTACTTTGCAAAGGGTTATTTGTCATTTTGGAACGACAACATCTCATATACCCTCCGAGGGTGCATCCTCATCGAATTGGCTCTCCGAAGGCGCATCTCTGTCTCACGAGACTCATCCGCATCGCACCGGCCCAGGGGCATGGGTGCCCTCGCTGTTCAAGACCGACTCATTGAGGTGGTGGACAGCAAAGCGACAGGCGAAGTTCTGCTTGACGAGGCGCTGAAGCTCATGAAAGCAAGCGAGAGGATGAGTGCGGCCCAATGGGTCGACCTGCTTAGTGGTGAGTAGCTTTCTCGGAACTGGCTGCCCTCGTCTTCCACCTCGCTCATTCGAGCGGTAAACCATCAGGCGAGACCTGGAACGTGACCAAAATTGGCTACCAGCTCAAGCAAGTGCGCGAGCGTCTTGCAAAGGGCCTCGTCGACAAGGGCATCTTGCGGACCGAGAAGCGCAACTTTCTGCTGTTCGACATGGCGACGCACCCGGTCGCCGACTCATCTGCAAAAGACGCTGTGCTACGCCGAGTACTCTCGCTTCTCACCTCGAGCTCACCAAGCGTCCATGCACATGTCCTCTACCGCGAGGAGAAACGGCCGATTGCCTTTGCGGCAACGAGGGCCCTTTCGTTGTTGTGCTGCGCTTTTAGCGCAAACGTCCTCGAAAACGCCCTGACGCATCTGTCGTATGATGCAAGAGAGGCAGCGTTCCAAAAGGTCGACGATATTCTCGCAGAATTTGCGCAATGGCCCATGGCACCAAGGAGTGGCGCGCCAGTTGGGATAGCAGGCGGGCCGGCCGGAGGAAGAGGAGGAGGGACACCAGGCTTGGGCGAGGGCAGCGTCGTAACACCAGGGCAAGAGGCGACGGCGGGAGCGAGCATCTTCGAGCTCGCAAAGGCCGTCCGAAATGACCTGCAGACCGATACTTCCGGCATCGCCATGGGCGCATTTGAGGCAATCGCGGGCGTCCTTCATACCTTGAGCAGGATGGATTCACTCCTTTAGATCCGTACCCGCTCCCCAGAGCCGTCTTCACTTGTGTTGTGACATCCTATACGTATCGGTGCATGGCTGCGCACTCTCTAAGCATCGTAATCATCCCCTGTACACAGGGACCTATTGCGCGCACAAAAAATAATTCTCTTTTCGCCTATTCTACAGTTCCTCTACTCGAGCTCCCCTTCGGGCACGTCGCCTCCGTCGTCACCGAGGGCTGTGGCGCTGGGCTTGAAGACTTGAAGGACGTTGTCTTCTGCCGCTGTGGCCATGTGCCATTCGGCGTGGGGCGACCATGAGATGTCCTGATGAAGTGGACAATGTCAGCACTTGATGATAGGGCAACCTCATCAGTCAGCTCACCGTTGTGCGAGCCGTGTGGCCGCCATGGACGAAGAGAAGCTCCGGCGGGCCATCCTCGGCGTCTTCTGGTGTCTGCTCTTCGCCGATTCTCGACAGGTCCCACATCATAACTCGTCGATCCGCTGCTGCACTCGCGACGCTGAAGGATTCAACATTGTCAGCACACCGACATTGGAAGAGCTGAATGGGCTGACTCACATCGTCTCGTTGTGCGGCGACCAAGCGAGCTGAAGGACCTCATCTGTGTGCGCTTCCAGTGAGTGCAGCTTGGTCTTGAGGTTTCGAAGATCCCACAATCCCAGGGTCTGCGAGAAGAAAGGGAGCTTAGCTTGGTGCAGTGATTGCCGGGATGAGAATACCCACCTTATCGCTGGACCCTGTGCAGATGATATGCTCGTTCGCAGGGCTGAATAGGACAGCATTGATCTCACTCGCATGGGCATTCTCAACCCTCTGCTTTGGAGAGCTTCCCTTGTCGCGGGTGTCCCAGCTAGACGAGTGAGGCGCGAAAATGAGCAAATTTTCTTCTCGCTCTTGGCACTCCAAGCATGACCGTACTCACACCAGCATGCTCCTGTCATCACCGACGCTGGCGAAGAGCGTTTCTTTCAGATTGTGCCAGGCCACATCCTCGACGACAGACGAATGGCCATGGTAAGTAGTCACTGGGTCCATCGTTGTCTCGCCCTTTTTGTACGCCGAAATGTCCCAGTAGCACACTGTCTCATCGTCCGAAGAGGCCAGAATATGTCCCTGCTTGAGGGGGTTCCACGAGAGCCCGTATCTGCGCAGAGGAGTCAAATACTTCTTCCGGCTACTAAATCATCTGCAGAACTACTCACCCTTCCTTTTCTTGCCCAGCCAAAATGATGTCTGGCTTGCACTTTCCATCCGGACTTGGCTGCAGACTATGTTTTGTTCGGTCAAAGATATATGTCGGGCCCAGGACAGTCCTTGTCGCGATCAGGTCGGGGTTCTGAGGACAGTAGCGAGCGCGATTGACCTCGCCGTCGTGGTTAATCTTTTGGTGGATAGTCACTTTTGGCGTGAAGCCCCCGTATGTCCCGATCTCTGAATGTGGGCCCAATCATCAGCAGCCGCTCAAGTTGTCATCCTGGAGATACGGGGTAGTCACCTCCTTTGTCCTCGTCGTACTTTGTCGTATCCAGCTCGGCCTCTTCGCCTTCTGCTGTGGTCGGCAGCTGTACATGCGCAATCTGCAAGTAGTTCTGGTCCTGTCCCGATGTGTGCGTCCCGAGCAGCAGCCTGTGCTGCTCGTAGTTCTTTCCAGCGGGCCTGGTCGCGCACAACAGCATTAGCACGCTGTTGCACGAGGAGTTTCCGCTCTACTCACCTCTCGCGATCAGGGAACCATTGGACAGTCAAGGTGGGCCACTCGAGCGCATTTGTGACGACAAGATCGTATAGGAAAGGAGAGTTCTTTTTCCAGATCTTGTACTCCTCGTTGGAAATCTTTACGGCGTTGACATCTTCCTCTTCCATCTTGTCGTTTTGCTCGCGAGGTGCGCGGTGGTGATGGGGATGATCTTTGATGGAGGAGACCTTCGCGTCGACGCGAAGGCGAGCGTGTAGCAGCTCTAATTTCACACGTGGGAAAAGTAGTAGCGGCGAAGAAGTGCGAGGTGATGAGTCGCGCGAGACACCAACTTTTTCTTCACCTCTATCTTTCGATCCGAAGCCACCTTCAAGAGCTGCCTGGCTAAGATGTCTGTGCAGGCAGCGACGCTCGAATCGATCTCGTCGTCGCTCAAGTCGCTGTCAATTGCAGCGACGAGCGTCGTCTCGCATGCAGCCTCCACTTCGCCCGACAGCTGGAAGGAAGCTGTCTCCTCGCTGGCCACGGGCGCCAACTTTCAGTACACCAAGACACTCCTCTTCAAGCCCAAGACGGCAAAAACGGCAAAGGCCTACCCAGTCCTTGTCGTAGCAAAGAATGATACCGAGACAAATACTACTGCGCTGGGCAAGGAGATCAACCAAAAGGAGATGCGGCTAGCCGCCCCAGAACTTCTTCAGGACTTTCTTGGTGCTACGAAGGACGATGTGTCGCCCCTTTCCGTCTCAAAGGCCAACGGACCCGAAGGGTCGCACCCATTGCTGGTCGTGCTAGATGCTTTCGTCGCCTCGTCTGAAGAACAATTCGCTTTCCACGCCGCCTCGTCCGAAAAGACCATCTTCCTGACAGGAAAGGAGGTCGCCAAATACCTTGAGAGCACAGGTGCCAAGGTCGAGACCATTGACTTTTCAAAGCTTGCTTCGAACCCTGCGTGAGTCTTCTATCACTGTGGTGTTCTTCACGTTTGGCAAGTAAAGTACTGACTTTGTAAATCCAGGCCCATGCCCAAGGCTAACGCCCCCTCGGCATCGGGCGTATCGGCCCCCGGCGTCACACAGGCTCCCGTTGCCAACAATAACGCAGCTCGGGCCAGGGCGGCAGATGCGGCCAAGAATCCCGACGCCGAGTTGATTGGGATCACTGTCCGGAAAGATGGTGACTTCCCCGAATGGTACCAGCAGGTGCTCAAGAAGGGTGACATGCTCGACTACTACGACGTGAGCGGCTGCTACATCCTGAAGCCTTGGAGCTACAACGTCTGGCAGGCGATTCAGAGTAAGTCAAGATGAACAGAGCCCTCGCCATTGTTATCTGACTGCATTTACAGCCTTCTTCGATGCGGAGATCAAGAAGCTTGGCGTGGAGAACTGTTACTTTCCCATGTTCGTTTCTTCGGACGTATTGGAGAGAGAAAAGGATCATATCGAAGGGTTTGCCCCCGAGGTGGCTTGGGTCACACGAGCGTGAGTAGCGTCAAGCAACAATTGAAGCATGCATCAGACTGATCAAGCGACTGGCAGTGGCTCGAGCGACCTTGAGAAGCCCGTTGCTATTCGCCCGACCTCGGAGACGGTCATGTACCCCTACTACGCCAAATGGATCCGGAGCCATCGCGATCTGCCTCTCAAGCTCAACCAGTGGAACAGTGTCGTGCGTTGGGAGTTTAAGCACCCTCAGCCTTTCCTCCGAACGCGAGAATTTCTTTGGCAAGAGGGTCACACTGCACACCTCACCCTCGAGGAAGCCGACAAAGAGGTCAAGCAGATCCTCAAGCTGTACCAGCGGGTCTATGAGGATCTTCTGGCCGTACCAGTCGTTCCAGGAGTCAAATCGGAGAAGGAAAAATTTGCTGGTGGTTTCTACACGACGACTGTCGAAGGCTTCGTCCCCACCACTGGCCGAGGAATCCAAGGAGGAACGTCTCACTGTCTCGGGCAGAACTTCTCGAAGATGTTCAACATCACTGTTGACGACCCCAAAGCGACCGACGAAACGAGAGGTACACCCGAGGGCAAGTTGTTTGTCTGGCAAAACTCCTGGGGCTTGTCGACGAGAACAATTGGCGTCATGGTCATGGTGCATGGAGACGACAAGGGCTTAGTCATGCCCCCTCGCGTTTCGCAGATCCAAACAGTTATCGTCCCCTGCGGCATCAGCGCCAAGATGACGCCAAAAGAAAAGGACACTATTCTCGATGCTTGCGAGGAGACGGCAAGGTCGCTTCGAGAAGCTGGCATCCGGGCCAAGGCAGACCTGCGCGAGAATTACAGCACAGGCTTCAAGTTCAACGACTGGGAGCTCCGGGGTGTGCCCGTCCGTCTCGAAATTGGTCCCAAGGACCTGGAAAAGGAGCAGGTCGTGGCAGTTCGCCGTGACAATGGCGAGAAGGCTTCAATGAAGACCAAGGAGCTTGTTCACGAACTTCCCAAGCTCCTCGACGCGATCCACGACTCCATGTTCAAAAAGGCAGACGATATCTACCGAGCCCACCGCAAGGTTGTGACCAAGTGGGATGACTTTACGCGCACGCTCAACACCAAGTGCCACGTCATCATCCCGTGGTGCGAGGTCGAGGCGTGTGAGGACGCCATCAAGGACCGCAGCGCTCGGCAGGGCAGCGAGGGAGAGGCGCAAGACGAGCGGGCACCCTCGATGGGCGCAAAGTCGCTCTGCATCCCCTTCGACCAGGCTCAATATCCAGACATTGCCGGTCTCGAGTGCCCCCAGTGTGGGCAGAAGGCTAAGCGCTGGACTATGTTTGGCCGGTCGTACTGATCTAACGTGGTCACACATACGCAAACACACTGTTGTTGAGGGTAATACAAATGTCATGATGCTTGCGATGTCTTGAGAAAGGACTGAAGTAGACCGAGGGACCTAATATATGCATCTATCGGGGTAGCGGATGGGAGACGGCGACGTAATTGTCTCCTGCATCGCCACCAATCTTTGAGAGCGTCTTTTTATCATCTATCCGCGGTATCCGATGTGGGTTCCGAAAAAGGTCGATGGGATCATACCGATGTTTGAGTATCGTTATTCTCTCAAGGGCTTCTTTGCCATAATACGCTTCTTTCCACTCCTCGTCTCCCAGCGACAAGTCGACATAGCAGCTGTACGACTTTTCCACGATGCCGTCGTTGGCCAGCGACTGTTTCCACTTGGCGTCGATTTGTTGGAGCAGGTTTCTTGCCTCGATATTAAAGGGGGTATTGGGCATCATGCCGACCGATGTCTGTATGAGCCAGAGAGCATCGCGCTGCTGCATTGAGGAAGCTTCGACGAGCTCCTTGTCAAGGTGTCGCGCATGGCTACCGCCAAACAGCTCCATGTACACGTTCCAGGCCCAATTTTCTGTGCTTGTCGAAGCCTTGGCTCTCTGCCAGAGCAACTGCACGACATTGTCGACCGCCGCAGTCGACAGCGCTTTGGTGTTGTCCATCGTCAGCGAAGTGCGAGCGAGGAATTGATTGTGCCGAAGACGCTCAGCCAGGGTGTCGAGCTTGTCGTCTGCCTTTCCAAAGTCGTCCCAGTCCTCCATCAGGCGGAGGTAGTCGACCTCATCGGTTCTCACGCCATCTGGCACGAGGGGCAAGCCTCTCCTGTCTAGCTCGGCCTGGAGCGCTTGAGCAACGGTCCCATTGAAAGTGGCGAGTGAACCGCGAAAGGCGCCTCGCATATGCATCGAGACTGTCCCTCCCGGCGGATCTCCCATGTTCGGCTGCTGGATCTGAAGATGAAAGCCTAGCTCGGCAGGATTCGACTCGCTCATGGCAAATGCCTGAATCGCCTCGATCGTTTTGACTGTATCCGCGACCGTTTTGAGCGAACTAGTCCACCGATACTCGAGAAAGACCCAGGGGCCAGCCACGTCGTACGTCTTGAAGGTGAAGCGAGTCACAATTCCAAAGAAGCTACCTGCCCCTCTCAGACCCCAGAAGAGCTCTTCGTGGTTGTCCTTGTTGGCCACGACGACAGTGCCATTGGACAGGACGACCTCAGCCTCGAGGATGTTGTCAGTCGTCATTCCCCACAATCGCGACGTTGGACCGAAGCCACCGCAGAGAGCATGTCCGCCCACACCGACGGGCGGACAGGTTCCATGAGGCATCCCTCGCTTGCCACTGTGCCAGAGACCTTTGACGACATCGCCCAGTCGCGCCCCAGGCCCCACGTTGGCCACGCCCTTGGCGCTGTCCGAATGGATGTCGCCCAGTCTGACCAGATCTACAATCAACGATCCGTCTTGCCCACCTGATCCAAACCCTCCAAACGAGTGCCCGCCGCTCCTGGCGGCCACGGCGACGTTGCCATTCTTGGCAGCACAGATCACAGCGGCAGAGACCTCTTGCGTCGAGCGCGGGTAGACGATGGCATATGGGTGGAAGTGGAAGGCGAGGTTGTCGGACTGTGCCGCGTCCCAGTACATGCTCGAGTCGTTTCGGGCCGGATCAATAACGTTGAGACGAGACGAGAGGAGACAGTCCGTCAAGGCGGCATTGTCCTTGAGGTCGGTCAACGATCTGGCCCGAAGAATGTGGCGTGAGGAGAGCAAGGTGGGTGGCAAATGGTGTTGGGCGAAGTTGGAGTAGGGCGCGCCCAACACCACAGAGGCGAGACAGCAGGCGATCAATGCGAAAGCAGATAGCATCATTGGAAGCTGCGTCGCTAGCTGCGGTGTACCTCTTCGAGACCCTATCCTCCGTCTCCGTCGCACAGCTCCTCTTCTTGGTCGATAGGGCCCATCCTTCCCCTCATCCCCCTCCTCGCCTCTCGAGTGTCCCCCAAGTGAAGAGCTCGAACAGGCTGCCAATGCAGGCATACTCACACGAGTCTCTTCCTTCGCTGAATGAGTAAGAGAGCACGCGCCTCTGGCGCTGGAAGAGACGAGGTAGGGGCAGGACAGTGCAGCGACTTGCTCGATAGGCGTTGGGGATGAGAAACGAGCTTATTTAGAATCTGTGCCGGAGAATTTGGAAAGGCCTTTTCCCTTTCTCTTATAGTCAGTACCTACTACTACTACTAGTGTGGGTCCACTCGAATGCGAACGCTAGGTGAAACAGACTTAGCCTTTCGTCGGGGCTTGGCTGCAAGGCTGCAAGGCAACCGCGGCGACGCGAGCGAGACTTCGAATCCGGCAGCGGGCTGCTTGCTGCTCAATGGATTCCGCTCAGCAAAGGCTGACACATTATATTCTTTGAGGGAGAAAGATCAGACCCATCGACTCGAGCTTAGGAGAGGTGATAGAAGAACAGTTGCATTTGTCAGAGAGAGTGTAGTGGTACAATGAAGGAATGATGCTTTGCGTGAACGAATATACAATGTGATAGCGACAATAATCAGACTCAACTTTCTGCAAGCTTGCTATGCGTCTGATGTTGAGTCGGAACCAGAGTCGATGCTGGAATGATCATCACCAGTAGTAGTAGTAGTAGTAGTACTGCTTTTGTTACTTTCGCCAAAGTCGACGCCCTGTTTCTTGAGTAAGTTGCTGTACTTGTATCGGATGACACCCAACCCGACATTCATCTCTTCTGAAAAGCGTTTGACTTCATCCTCATCGAGCCTTTCTCCTCCAAATTGAAGCGTGTGGACGATGTAGGTGGCGATTGTCGGCCTCCGCAGCGGTGGAGTGCGCATCTTGGCACCCACAGCTGCGAAGTCCAGGCCAGCGCGGAAATGCTGCAGTGCCTCGCGATGCCTTCGAGAGAACTTCCACTCTTTGCACGTCTCGGAGTGCTCTTCCGCAGTCTTCTTCTCTTCGGAATCGACTTTCCCTTCGGAGGCCAGTGTCTCCTCTGCCGGAAGATCTGATGTTTCTTTGCGTGTTTTCGCCGCAGACTTCGTGGCCTCTACGGATGTTACCGCACTCTTCGTCTCCTTGGACTTCACCGCTCCTTTATACGACGGCGTCTTCTTTGTCGCTGCCGCCTTGGAGGTCAGAAGCTCCGTCGACTTCTTCTCATCGCTCTTCGAGTCTGGAGAAGTAGGTGTCAGCATATTCTTCGTCGTCGCCTTGGCCTTTCCACTGGAAGTTGCCGTTTTCTCGGCCCTCTCGTCCGCTTTGGAGGCGGCCGCTACATCGTCGGGCTCGACTTTCTCCTTCTCGATCGCCGCTTCTGCCTCTTGCGTTCTCGACGCGGAGGGTCGCTTATCGACAACTCGAGGTCGGGCGTCCGTACGCGACCGCCTCAGTGCTTTGGATACATCTTCGGACGTGAAGGTAGATGGAGGACTGTCGGTTGTCCGGTTGAGCTGGTCGATGTGCTTAGCGAGACTGAAAAGAATCTCTAGTCCAACGTAGACATCGCTTGCAGCATAGTCGAGCTGCTGCTCACTAAGGACCTTGATGGCCCAGTTGCTCATTCGGACATTTGAGTCTTTGTCCAGCTTTCGCCTCAGATAGATCCTCGTCAAGTCGCGAAGGGCAATGTGCGTGGCATGTCCGGCCCATCTGTCGGGCTCGGCGAGCTTGGCCAGCGTTGACAGCTCTACGACATTACGAGGCGTCACGTCTTGACCAAAATCGCTCCGAAGCTTGGAAAAGTCGCCGCTGATCGCCACGCCGCACTTGATTGTCTCTCCATCTTCAATGAGCCTGACGAGATGTTTAGGGAGCTTCTCGAGGTGATCGACTTGGCACACAACGATGCGACTGGGCGCTGCAATTTGGATCAAGCCCGTTTTCGACATTTGACCCGCCTTGAAGACTGCCGGCCACTCCATGTCAAAGGAGAGAGGTGTGCCGTTCGGAATCGGCTCCAAGGCCTCGTCGATGGCCTCCGCTGTTGATGCGAGAATGAGAACGGGAGAGGCATGCGTGGGTACAGCTACTCTGGCTTTTGTTGGCTCTGCAGTCGGATTCGCCTCTTGCCTCTCCCGTTCGAGCTGTTCCTCGTCCTTTTTCATCGATTCGATGAATCCTGCCGGTCTCTTGTACGAGTACGTTGCATAATCTTTTTCCAGCTGCTGCCTCTCCCGTTCCCTTCGCAATGCTGCAGCTCTCTTTTCCCTGAATGTGCTGGATCTGCCCGCGTACGTCAAACCCGTTGCCGTCATCTTTGTTGATGCCGTCACTGTCGGCGTGGTCACCGCCGTTTCGATCTCGACGGCTCCTGACTCACGGAGCGACCTCGTTTTGTCCTTCTTAGACGGCGAGGTCAAACGCTCAATCGTCTGCTCTGCCAAAGACTTGTTCATCTCCACCGTAGGCTGCGTCGAATAGGATTGGCTGCAAAAAAGGCGAAGAGAAATTCAGTTAGGCGATGCACAAATGCCATTCATGGAAAGACCTGCGATTACCTACCTGAGCTTCGGTTTCTTAGTTCCTCTATGGACCTGCATATTGTGCTTTCGCTCGTCGCCAAAACGTATCAGATCGCCGACATTCCATCGGCGCTCTAGCCAAGCGATGCCAGGGATGAAAGTGGACTTGCCTCTGGCACCTGAACTGCTGCCCTTGCTGCTTGGCTCTCCTCTTGCCGTGCTGCTCGAGGCACGCCTGTGCGCAGGAGCCAGCCGGGCAGGGACGTGTATATCTGCCAACTGCGACGACAAGAATGCGGGTGAAGGCGAGCGTGCAACCAGATTCTCCTTCTCGTCGTCACTAATCTCCACCACGTCAAAATTTCGGGCCTTTTGACCCGTTTTGCTGGCAAGAGTGGCATCTTCACTTCTTGCGTAAGCTGCGCTCGGGCGCCCTTTAGCAGCAGCAGCAGCAGCAGCAGCAGCAGCATCTCCGCTTTGATCGGCGATCCCGGCCCGTCTTCCCGGCTTTTTTAGCTCCGCACCAATTTCCTCGACTGAGGAGGAACGTGAAGACGGCCTTGTGAGGTAGCTCTGCGAATCAAGAGCTTCCTCAGGAACGCTCAGTAAAAGCTCGTCGAGGTCGTCGTCGAAAGCCAGAGTACCTCCAGATTTGTGCCAGTCAAAAGCAGGAGGCAACCCAGGCTTAGGCGTCTCGATGTCTGCGCACGAGACCGAAGCGAAAGGACCGGACGCGTAATGGGCCATCGACGAGGACGACGCGAAAGGAATGGGGACCAAGGTTTTTCCGGGGATGGAGGCGACAGCACGGCAGAGCGTCCAAGGTCGGCTTCTGCAGAGCATCTCAGATGCACAGCAGTCCTTCGCTACAGTCACCTCTTGCAGTTGGCCGCTACAGTCGTCCGCTACAACCCTGGTCAGCGCCCCGTAGATGAGATCGAGCGCGACACAGAGCTGCACCTAATGTTCGTATTTTTAATCGCAGGAATTTTATCCGTTTACGTGATCGGAGATGGGAAGAAAAATAAAATAAAATAGAAAGGCGCGCTCTGGGCGCTCGCTTGAAAATCTCGAGACAAAATCTTCTCTCGTCTTTCTTCTCTTCCTTACCCCTTTCTCTTAAGCAGCGCCATGAATATGGCGTCGACCTCGGCGACTACCCTGTCTTCGCTTCAAGAGCTTGAAGGCGGCGCGGGTGTCATACCGCACGAACCATCTGTTCTCGCAGGTCGGTCCGGTGCCACCAGTAGCTCCCTTGGCTGGCAAGATCCTCCGAGCAATCTAGCCTTGGCCCAGGTCCACTACATCGTCCGACATGGCGAGCGCACGCCTGTCAGGTCCCGTCTTCAAAATGCAGATCCTCCTATCCCGACGAGGTGGAACATGTGCCATGCTGGAAGACGTTTTAGGGCAGCCGTCATTGACTTGGCCGCTGTCCCAACTCAGTCCTTCCCAGCAGCCACAAACGGTCATGACGATCTCCAAGGTACCGGACAATGGGTCGAGGCAAGAGGCGAAGGAGATAGGCGCATCAGGGCACGAACGGAGCATATGCAAGTACAGAGGGCAGTTGAAAGCACAGACAAGCAAGATCGACCGTTACAAGTGGATACCGGCGAGTGGTGAGAATTCTTCCTGTCTCTGTTTTCGCTCGTCAAGAATGCTGATGACCTGCAAATGGCAGCCTGCTAGGAGAGCTCACAGACTTGGGAAGGTCTTCGACATTTCTTATTGGTGCTAGGCTCCGAAACCTCTACGTGGACAAGCTCGGCTTTCTACCAAGGCATTTGACACAGCAACAGGCCGATCACGTCTATTTCCGCAGCACAAATATGCCTCGCACCGTTGAATCGCTGCAAAGCATTGTGCGAGGTCTTCTCCCTGAGACAAGTGCAGCTCCCTCCAGCATACCCGACAACGCTCCCTTTGTCCCCCTGATTTTGACCCGCAATGGCACGTCGGAGAATCTGTTGCCCAACACGTTTGCTTGCTCACGGCTCCGTCAACTCGATTCGGAATTCTCAAAGATGGCCGCCGCACTGCACAACCCAAGGCTGGTCAAGTACGATGACGCCATTGCACCGCACTGTGATGGTCAGCCGCCCCGAGTGGACGGTCACCCAAGGCTCAATGGCGTTCTCGACACTGTCCGAGCGAGCGTTGCTCACGGTCTTGCCGTCCCTAAAGCATTCCATGACATCAAGATGATGGACGATGTCGAGCGAGCCGTCGTTGACGAATGGTTCATGGGCTACAACGCCGACGAGCCTGCCAAACAGACACAATTTCGCCGATTGGCGATGGGCAGGTTCCTCGATGACCTGGCCTTGAGGATGGGATCCAAAGCAATCAAGGAAGAGAGCGAACCACTCAAGCTGGCCATCTATTCGGCACACGATACCAGCCTTGCTGGCCTACTTTCGACACTCGATGTATTTGATCAACGTTGGCCTGCCTTTACCGCTTCGGTTGGTCTCGAGCTGTTCAAGGATCAGACTAAGCCAAAGAACGGCTGGTTTGGACGTGGTCAAAAGCCTCATTGTAAGTGACTTCTGCCACCTAGGAAGCGCCCTTCCGTTGCTGAACCCCATTGTCGTCCCTCGATAGACGTTCGCATGCGATATGGTGATAAAACGCTTCGATTACCTGCGTGTGTACGCGAGGGTGACCACTATCCGGGCCACCAAGAGTTGTGCACCCTGGAGGCATTTACCAAAACTGTCGAGTCGCTCCGACACCCGCAGGGCTACTCGTGGGAGAAGGAGTGCGATGAGGGCAGACCAGCGCGGAGCTCAAAGTGATTTGACTTCTGGCAATATACCACCGTTGTCCTTACAGCCTGTCAAAATGGCGCACAATTGACTGTGGCATCCAAGTCAGAAGAAAGGTGAGGAAGAGGGGAGGTACTGAGAAAGGAACACCGAGAGATCGACGGCCCATTAATCGCCCCTCGATGCCAAACGCACCCAGCGTCGAGGTGGTTTCATGCCGGGCCTAGATGAATCATTTTGTGCTTGGCCTTCACTTTACTCGGTCTTCTTCCGTCTTTACGATAGCATAGATTGTCTGGGTCATTCGCCAAAAGCACACATTCTCACTTCCTCGAGTTAGCATTTCAATGTGATGATTGTGCTCCTACAGTGTACTGTACTGTACAGTACAGATTGCGCGAGAAGAGTAATCATAGCTGTCTGCCATAAGGTCCAAACCGTCTAGCCTTGTGCATGTGGTTCGATGCCTTGATCTTTTCATCTCCTTCTTCTTCATCGTCGGAGTCGATGCTGAACGCATTCTTCCAGAGCAAGCACCATGCTGCGTCTTTCTCGTCTGTCCACTGGGCCTTGCAAAACTGGATAAACCTCTTTCTTGTCGCATTCTGGGTATCTGCCAAATGGTACAGCAAGAACCAGTCCAGGACAACCGCGCCAATCAAGTGACGCAGGTCTCGCCCCTTGCGGTCTCGCTCGGTAGTGGGTTGTGCCTTGGTGATTAGCTCCTCTCCTAGGGCCAGGACTTGCTCCTGAAAAGCGGTTGAAGGGTGTCGTTTCCTGCGTCCCGGAACCAAGGAGGCCAACGTATGATCAAGGTTGATCGCAAGCGCGGACGTGAGCTGCTGCGTCCGAATGAAGTCCGACGAACCGGGACCTTCGTATGCTTTCTTAAACCAAGCCACGATGGCGTTCGGTATCGTCCCCAATGAGGATCCTTCATTAAATTGGGCCCAGTCGACCGAATTGAGCCATTGCAGCCTCAGGGTGATGCTGTTCCACATACTCGCGTGGACGTCTGTCTTCATCGACTCGGCTTGGCACCGATTCAAAAAGCGCTCAAGTATCGGCTCGAGGTGCTGCTTGTACATCGGCCAACCGATGCTGGCAGAGGCAAGCTTGACCAGCTGGTCGGTCCACAAGATAAACATCTCTTGATCTTCGCAATCCAGGTACCCTTGGCCCACTCTTTCGATGACCTTGAGGAGCGGTTCGAGTCCCCCTCGTTGCCATCCGTTATCCGCCTCATCCTCCTCCGACAAGTCTTCCTCGTCGATAGAAGCGGACAGTGAGCCTATTGCAGCGACGAGAGCGGCCAGTAGAGGTGCAGAAGACAAGCTGCCACGGTCTCTGCTCCATTGGAGAATCTTGTTGCGCGCAATGTCCTGCTCCTTTGGTGGGTGGTGATCATCGCTCCGAAAGCTAAAGAGGCGTCGCATACGCCAGCCTGTGTGTTTGAGAACCCAGCGACGCGAATACTGACTTAGCTCCGTCAACTTGAGCAAGGAGTGCAGTTCCCGTCCTGCGCTCAGGGAGGCAGCTGCGAGTTCCTGGCCTTCGAGTTTGGGCAAGAGGCGATGAGGGATAGAAATAACCTCGAGGCTCTTTTTGGTGCCCTCGTTGAGTTCCTCCAGCGCCACACCCAGAGTCCGTAAGGCGTCGTGGTTTGCTTTCAAGTTTTGCCGATAGATGTTCTCCAGGAGCGGATCGACAATCTGTTCCAGGTACGATCGATTAATCTTAGGGTCATCTGATCGTCCTGTCATGAGGATGTCTTCGACAACTTCTCGGCAGTCCTGAGCGTTGAATGGTTCTAGTGCGTACGTGCTTTTGTCGCTCGCCGAAGTCCACTGAATCGCACGATGGTGAACTATATCCAGTAGCACACTTTGGCACCTTTCGTAATCTTGTCCCGAAAGTAACATGCCGGCGATAGCCTTCACGCAGCCCGAGACGACGTCAACGTGGGATGAGAGGTGCATGCATCGAAGGTAGAGCTGGACTTTGTCCGATGGCGAAAGGACTGCAAGTCTTTGCACCGCCTCTACGATCGCTTTGAAGCTTGTGATCTTGACCAATGGCGTCGTTGGCTGTTTTCCTGCCTTGGCGAGCAATTTCTGTGTATGTGCCCTGTCGCTCACTATCTCCAAGATCGAATAAAACCAGCGAATTGACCAGTTTTTGGGAAGAATGCGCATGACTTCTGATCGCAGTGGTACGTGTCGATGATATGCCGACATTTCTGGATCTTCAATCGTCTTTTGCGCCCTTGGGAGCGCTCGATATGGTTCCTTCGACCTTGATAAGAGCCTCAAGAGCTTTTGTGCAAAGGGAAGAACCTCATCACGCAAGGTTTTGTCCTCCATCGCGCCCTCGACAATCTCCAACATTATTTCTATGTCGACCGGCCGAAGGACGCCTTTTCGTAGATTTTTGTCTGCTCTGAGCTCGAAATCCGTGAAGCTGTACCGGTCGCCCTCCAGTGCTGCTCCTCTGGCATGGCCTGACGGCATTCTTCTTGCTGCGAGATTCGAGTTTCTTGATCGTCCTCTGCCAGGCCCACCTCTTCCGCTTCCTCGGCCATTTCCCCTAGTATAACTTTGAGCTCCTCTTCCTTTGATGTCGATAGATGTCGAACTCGTGTCCTTTGGCGCCAAGATCCAGCATGCCATTTCTTCGGACTTCTTCTCCAACCTGGCCCGAAGCTCCTCTGATAAATTGCCCATGCCTTCGTTCCATGCCAGCTCCATCTGCTGCCGGCCAAGTGCGACCGGGGAGCCCTTCGTATCGGCCATCAACTCGAATAACTTCTTTGCCAGTCCAACAGCCTCCTCCTCCGTCTCCTCCAATTCCCGATTAGTCGAGGTAATTGACCCAGGCTCAACCCTCTTCTCGCTCAGAAGCTCGGCCAACGACATGTAGCCGCTTCCAAAGAGTCCACCCCAGACCTCTTCAAAATCTTTCCACAAATCTCGCCGCCCTACTGTTGATCCACTAAGGAAATTTCCATTGACGAGCTCGTCAACGATAGTGCGCCTGGCTGCACCATTACCCTCAGCGTCTTTCCAGATTCTGGAGAAGAGGTCGACGCGCTGCGCTTCTCCATGGCACCATTGTAGTCGAAGGGCAAAGATGTCGGCTCGCATCTCCTGCATCGGATAACTTGCTGAAGCTCGGAGGATGAGCTGGTCAATCTGCGCGGATAGTCGTGGCGCAAAGCGATCCAAGTCCACCATGGGCACATCGCTCCACTGAGCTTTGGAGTTGAGTAAGATGAGCTGGAATGTCCAAGTATCCACAGACGTTGGTCCTGCATGTGCGACCAAGCTGTCGAGCCAACTACCAATATATTTCGGACACGAGACCTTAGTAAGCGACTTCTCGCTGACTGATTGGCTTTGAGAGTCCCTTTGCGTCCACTCTGTGTTAACGCCTTTGCCTGCCGTCAGTGACCTGAGCTCCACGTTGACGATAAGGTCTTTGATCGGATCGAGCAAAGCAGCGGCTTTGGCCATCGCTTCTTCTTCGCTCATTCGTGTCACGACGTACTGAACTCTCCTCTGCAAGATCCGATGTAGAAATGCTAGGATCCATTCTTCTTCGAACTTGACGAAATCGGGCTCTCTCTTCCGCACAACGAGATAGTCGTCGAGCAAAAAGCAAAGGCAGCGATGCATGAACTCGGGTGGTAAGAGGAGAGCCATCGATTCGACAAGTGCGGTGGACATCAGAATGCTGTCGGCGCAGACAAGATTCATCACTCGAGGTACGCGGTCACGCTTGCACGAATTCAGCATAGTCGTCCAAGCCTTCTCGAAGATGTCGACGTCCCCAAGCGTGAGAGCCAAAAGCAGGGTGACCGTGCGGACGTGGCCTCGGACAGCTTCGGACTTTGACCTTGTCCTGAAGAGTTCATCAATGTACGCTAGGACATCCTGGCTCTCCTCCTCTTTTCCTTCTCTTTGCCGAATCCACCAAGCCTTGACCAACATTTCCAGCGCCTTGACCGAGGATTGCGCATCCGGACCTGAGTGGACCATTTCGAATGCGACATTGGCCTGCCATGTTTTTGCGTCTTCGTCGCTCTCATGGGCGGCCAGAAACGGACAGAGAGCCCTTTGGAGAATGTCGTTGACGAATTGCGTCCGGGTCATGAGCCCATTGCCAAAGGTGGACTCCCTGCTGTGATTGAGGCAATTGTAGCCCGCTCTAAGATCTGTCGAGGCTAGCCCATACGGCTCAGATTGGTGCAATGAGTTACAACCACGCATCTGCATGCATGTGTACAGAGCCGCCTGCCCGAGAGTCCTCTTTGTCTGCGCTAGGAGCGTTCGCGCAGTGGCTACGTCAAGCTTCGAGAGTGGGTCAATTGACAATGGTCGCTTCCTTCCGGCCTCATCGCCGAGAAAACTGAGGTCGATTTGATCGTTCACGTTCATGAGTTCCTTCTCTTTGCTAACGTGAGGTGCATTGAGGTCCTTGATAAGATCCCACCGCATTTGCCGGGGCACCAATACCAATGCACCGCACAATGCTGTTCTGCGCTTCGAGAGGCTCCACATGATAGGGTCCATGTAAGTCGAAAGTGCAATGAGTGAGTCTCTTGCTTGAAGATGCTTTCCTTTTGAGCTGAGCTGGCTCCATCGTAGGATGCTAGTCTTGAGCAATTTGCAGGTGTTGGGCATCCCGCTGTGCTTCCTTTCATCGCCATGGACGTTCCACCCTTGAAAGTGAGTGTGAGAGCTGGATTGCTGCTCTGTCTTCTTCAGCATTTGCACGAATAGGTCCAGGCCGATATCGAAGACTTGCATAGACCGCTCCGTCTCGGGACGCTCGCCAGGCCGACCTCTCCTCCTCGTGCTGCCCATGCCGAACACGACTACTTTGCTTAGATCATCGAGCCTTTTGGTAACATCCTGAACAGAAGGGAGAGATACGCGGCTTTGAAGAGAACCTGAAATCGGCCTGTCCGTTAACAGTACTTTGGATTGCGCATCGACGAGGTTCAGAAGAAATTGCTGACCAACGGTGAAGTTCGACGAGGTAGATTTGACATTATGGATCCGAAGCAGGGCAGGAATGACGTGATGCTGTACGCTGTGGTTGAGAGCTTTCTGCCTTGGTCGTCCATTCCGATAGTAGCTGACAACGAACTCGGCCAGCCTTTCCGGATGGCGACGGGCAAGTGCGACCCATGTTGACGGTATGATGAGCGGTGTCCTGAGCGGGCCGGCTTTCGTGGACAAGTCGACCGCAACGGCTGCCGAGCAAGAAGGCAAGAGGCGCTGGTAAAGCGCAAACGAGACTGGTGGCTCACGTCCGAGCATCGCATCGCTGATGAGCGTTTCAACGATTTGGGTCCTCCGATCCCCCGACGAGGCTGGAAGTTTGGCAAGGAGTGTAGCAAGGAGTCTTCGCTGAGGGCCACTCAGGCCCCAGAGAATGTCGCGTAGCGCCCTTGCAGCTTGTTCACCTGTATTTGACGGTTCTTCACCTTTTTCAGCGCCCTCTTCGAGCCATACAATCAAGGGCAAGCACGTCGAATGGTGCCGCCATAGCTTGCCAAACGAGATGACGAGCCCTTTCTCGATGTCGCTATTCACTGGCATCGGCGAGTCATCTGAAAGAACATGCTGTAACCCCTGAGTGGTCCAATCGAGCCTCCTTGCGCTTTGAATGATTACTTTGACGTCTCGCGGAGCCATGTCCATCTTCAGCAGATCCTCAAAGGTCGTCGACTCCTTTGCCTCATGTCTCAAGAACGTGACCAGGGCCTTGAGACGCTCCTTGTCGCTGAGCACATCGAGCTCAGCCAGAGTTGAGACCATGATTGTAAGCCTTTGGCCGTAGTTGCTGCTGCTGGATCGGCTAGCAGATCGCGTTCTTCCTTTATAGAGCTGCTGAAACAGAGCTCAGTGGAGCTGAGCGGGCGGAAATTTGGCGAAGAAGCGAAGCTTGTGCGACGTTTTGCAGGAGCATGCACCTGGCTGAGCGCTTGCTTCTTGGGTCTTGTGGACGCTAACTATCTTTTTCGAGTCATGATGGAGCGCAGCACGTATTCCACCGCTGAAGCCTGTCCCTGATCTCTTGAATCTTTCATCGTTCACAGCCCTTTCGGAGGGCTTGGCGCTGGAAGATGTAACGATGTCCTAATTATTCGGCCGGACACCCACCCTCGCACGGACTCATTGGGCCTCCCTTTTTTTGGCCCTATCAGCAGGGGGGCGCGTCTCAATTCACTCACACCCTCTCGCCCCGACAGATATAGCGGCTGGTCCAACAACAGCGTCTGCTTCAGAGCACCTCTTCTTCCTCGTGGCTCTACAGAACTCCTTTCGCTGGGGGTCACGGCTAGCTATTTTGAGAAGCCGTACTGTCTTCACATCTACACCACAGACAGTCGTGCGCTCGAGACACATTGCGTCGTACTGAATCCCTTGCGAAGCAAAGAGGCGCGCCACCCCAAGGCCAGCTCTCCGTACGAAGACATAGGGGTCAAGGCGAGCCGAGATGGAGCAGCAGGATGGCGGCGGTGGCGGCGCATATGAGCTTGCTCAAGCCTACGACTTTCTTCTCAAGATGATCATCATCGGTGGGTTGTCGCGCTTCAGATGCGACGTCATCCCAGGTCGAGCTGAAATGATGAATCTGGGGGTATGTCGCATTTGCTACAGGCGAATCGGGCACAGGAAAGTCATGCCTGCTCCATCATCTCATTCACAATCAATACAAGGAAAATGCGGCACATACGATTGGCGTCGAGTTCTCCTCGAGAGTCCTCAAAGTTGGCAACAAGAATGTCAAGATGCAGGTGGGTCAAGTATGCTTCCTTGTTTTTAGCAACAGAAGGGCTGAAGCACTCATATGCGAGCAGCTGTGGGACACGGCAGGCCAGGAACGGTTTCGGTCGGTAACGAGAAGCTACTACCGAGGGGCGAGCGCCTGTCTGCTCGTATATGACATCACAAAGCGGTCCTCCTTCGAACCCCTGGCGCGGTGGCTGGCCGATGCCCGGGCCCTTGCTTCGCCCGACCTCGTTGTGGTTGTTGTGGGCAACAAGCTGGACCGCGAGGAAGAGCGCGAAGTTGGCTACGTCGAGGCCAGCCGATGGGCTGGCGAGCATGGTGCGACCTTCTGATCTGCTGCTCACTGCATATGCAGCCTTGTTCACTGACGCCTACCTTCCATCCTCAACAGATGCGCTGTTTCTCGAGACATCCTCATTAACGGGCGAGAATGTAGAAGCGCCGTTTGCGCTCGCAGCCAAGTCAATCCTTATGGCGATCGAGTCTGGGCGACTGGATCCTGAGAAGGCCGGCAGCGGCATCTCCTACGGCGACCGGTCCCTTCGACGAGTGGGCAGCGGCAGCCGCTTCAGCTTCTCCGAGATGCTGCCCAACGGTGCCGGGAGGAACGGTGGCGGTCTGGTTCAGCTCCGGCAGAATGTCAAACACTCCTTTGATGGGTGCTGCTCTTGACATAGATCTTTTGCCTACTTTATCTCTTTCTGCGCATATTCACAATCTCTCTCTCCTCTTGTACATACCACATGGTAACAAAGGCAGTAACGTTTTGAAGACACCGTAGTGTCCAGGGACCAGGAAAGGCCCCTGTTCTGATACAGATCTGCGCTAGAGAAGATGGCACCGTCCACCACTGTGACGAGTACTTCTTCGCGATTGGCAACGTAAACCTCGTCAATTGCATGCGCATGCAAACGTTTCTTTCTGCGAAATGGCATCTGCTTTTCCTCTTGAGTAGGAAACCGAAGAGGAAGGTTGGCGCATGCCCTATGAGAATAGCTGGGCGGCGGCCAGGCCCTCCTGAGTTCTGCAAATAGCCGCAACTATGTGCGATGTCGACTCTCCTTGTTTTCGAGCTTGGTTCTCCCCGCGCCGCGCCCCGCCGTGATAGCCGTCGCCGCCTGAATGGCTTGGCATGCCTTTCTCTCCCTTGGATATTCTTCAGTCAATGGCATGGGAAGAAAATAAGGGCTTGGTCTGTGCCTGCCGCACCCCATCAGGGCGCCATGGCGCACACGGGCTGAGTCGGGAGCGGTTTGCTAGGGCTGGACTTGTCTTCGGCGTGCCATTTTGTTGCTGCCTTCCTGTCCAGCACTCGCCACATCAAGACATTGTCACATTCGAGATGAATCAAGCTTTTGATGCTGAGCAGAGAGGTCACTGCTTCAAGGAGCGCAGAAGCCGTGAGAAGGGGTCGCGCATGGAAATGGAAGCAGGATGATGAAAGTGATCGACGAGTGCAGGGTTCAACCTTGATAGATCTGTGCCGCCATGAGAGCTAGGTCTACGCAGAAGGACGATATCCGCGGAGTACGAACGGAGAAAAAAAGAAGAAAAAGAGGTAGGCACCATGACAACATCGATTTTCGCCCGCTGACCTACTCTACCCATCACCCACCTCCAGCTAGTTTGTAATAAGCCACCACCAAAGAAGAGGACAGGGAAAGAGAGATATTTTAATCGGTTTTTCTTTTTCCGTTTTAGAATGGACGGATCGTCTGGTCCGGCTTCGCCCCTCTGCGCGCCCGCAGCCCACTGACTTTGTCAAACGTCATCTGGGTGCTTGCCAAGTGTAGCGTAATATGGCGCACGCGTAGAATTCAGACTCGCAATCAGAGGGCGAGGAGATGCGAGGTGGTCGAGAAGACCATGCTGGTTGAGAAGGCGATCACCGGGAATTGGTCTTGTCTGACTGCCCTTCTGTGGCTTTGATCGGGAGAAACGCTTATGCTGTATTTTGTACCCTTTCCTATCTCATCTGGGGTGGGAGCGAGATAGCGTCGAGCAGGGCTCGGCCCTTGGGTCCTTTTTTTTTTCTATTCTCCTCTCCCTCCTTGCCTGAAATCCGATATCATTGGTCCAGGCACCGCTCTCTCCGCCGCTCTTTAGCCCCAACGCCGGGTCGACGAAGCCGCTCCCGTCTTCTCTTTCGATCTGCACCCTAGAGAATTGCGAGACACCGCCCCACGACGACCATCTACGCGCTTGCACCTTTTTTCTCCCCACCCTTCGGACGCACCGCCTCTCAGCTGTGCATCGAGCGAAGATCGGAACGTGCTCCACCGGACTTCGTAGAAGACTTAGACGCGTGCTTAAGCTCTTGTTTTCGTCAGATAGCAGCACCGCAACCGCGTCTTTTTCCATTTTCGATTCCAGGCCGCATCCATCAAGTGCCTTTCTCTCCTCTTTCCTTTCCCACGCGCAAGATCACTTGTGGTCCTCGACTTCGTTCTTTACGCTCTTCTCTCAAGCAGCAAGACGTCTTTGCTCGACCATCACGCTCCATAATCAAGCGCAGATAGAGTCGCTCTCAACTGTCGCGTTCTTCCAACGTCGCAGTCCGTCACGTCATTCCATTTGCAGCAATAGCAGCAGCAGCGACTACCGCCCATCGACACAGCATTGGTGCCTCTTTACAGTACCTCGTGGGTTTTTTTTTTAAACGCAGTATCATACCAGCAGGTCAGCCCAAGACTCTTTCACGTCCGCATCCAACCTTGCCGAGGATCGGTGGTTGATGAGGTGGTCGATCTGAGGACGGCGAAGTCGAACCCAGCCACTCTGCTGCCTCCCGATCTGTCCATCCACCTTCGGCCTTTGTCTACGGCGGACGCCCTACTCCAACTTCCTGCCGCCGAAACATGATTGAGGCTAGGCATGCAAGGACGCCATCGGGTTCCGGCCCTGTCTCGGCCCAGTTCGGTCGGAGCGCGTCAACGTCGTCGTCGACGACCGCGGGTACGCCAATGGCGAGGGCCGGATCACTGACGGGTGGGCCACTCCAAACGTACGACGAACGGCGGCCTTCCTTCCTCGATGTCTCGGCACTATCGCCTGCCGAGCACACCACCTTCATTAAGTGGCTGGGCAACATCAAACCCTCGCCGAGTGGGGAGCCTGAACATATCGATGAGCAGGACGCCCTCCGATTTCTCAGGCATGAATGCGCCATCGACATGCGCGACGAGATCAAGGTGAGTGGGCTATGAGCGGGGTCGGCATTATAACATGAGTTGAGAGACTGAGACGAAACAAACCCCAATCCATTCTGATAGATCCTGTCACTCTTTGACCGATTTCCTCTCGGTTTGCTGCCGGGTCACTTTTTCGCGCTGTTGCGTCTGGCCGCTTGGGTTCAACGGGGCGAAGAGCCGACAAAGGCCGCCATTTTCACCCAGGTGAATCCGCCCAAGATAGGCCTCAGTTCGAAAAGCATTCAGCCCCCGCCGCAACACGTCGCTGCCTCCTCCACAGCCAGTGCTCCCCTCCCTCCCCCCTCTCCTCCAGCAAGGCAGCGAAGTCTGAAGTCTTCTCCTCCTCAACAACAGCAACAGCAGCAGCAGCAGCAGCAGCAACCAACGCCCTCACGCTCCGTCGCTCCCCCACCCACAATCGAAGTGACTCCTGGAGCTACAGAGCAGGCCCGAAAGCCCTTGCAGGCGCCGTTGGTACCCGTCGCACCATCGATGAACCAAGCTGCGCTCCCGTCGCGACCACCACCAGTGCCCGACGAGACGACGAAACCCAACAATCCGTTCAGATCGTCCTCGCAGCAGCAGCACCCTCCAGCACACGCGGGCGCTGCTCCAGTGGCGGCGACGGCAGGGACTTCACCATCGAATGCCATGCTGGGAAGCGCTATCCTTGGCTTCGATCCAGCGCCCAACCCTTTTAAGCAGTCCAAGCCGAAGCTTGTCCGGCCCACACCCATTGTGGCCAATGCCTCGACGCAGGTGCTGGGAAGACCTTCGCCAGCAGTGAATCCATTCAAATCTGGTGCATCCGTCTCCTCTTCGCAGGGCTCCCCCGTATCGGTGAGGTCCAACAACGACCTGCCTGCCCTCCCACCGAGGTCCACGACGGCTGCCGACCTCAGACCGCCACCGCCGCTGCCGCCTCGCCACATCTCTCCCCTCATCCAGGCTGGTCTCAATGCTCGAAGCGAGGTCCGGAAGAAGAAGGAGGCGCTTCCCCCGAAGACGTTTACCGTGCTGCAGAGCAGTGGCTCCAGGCATCACAACGAGCCTAGGCTTCTCACCGGTCAAGCTGCTCAGCCGCCGCCACCTCCGCCGCCGCACAAGAGGCGGAGTGTGGGCACAGAGCATCGGCGAAGCGTCACCGATGTGCCGCCTCCTTCTGCCTATCGAGGCGCTACCTCGGGCGCATCCGTCGCCAGCAGCGACCGACAAGACAGAGAGAAGAGGCCAGCGAGCAGCAATGCGACACGTACGGCCGCGGTGGCGCCATCATTGGAAGCACCCTCGAAGCGAGCAGGGCCTCTGCCTCCCACGATTGCGCCTAAGCCCAGCTACGGGGGGAAGGGAAAGAGCAGCCTGCCAGCCTGGCTCCAGGAGCAGGAGGAGCTACAGCGAGGATCGCTGCACGAGCACCCTGCTGCTTCCCTTGGCCACTCGGTACCAACCCACCACAGCCCTTCTTCCGGTGCAGGAGCCGAAGGCACAAAGTCCAAGAGGCATCACAAGACTGCTGCATCACAGCGTATCCAGTTCCTCGACAATGACTCAGACTCGGACTCGGACGAGATCAGCGAGCAGGCCCGTAGTGCCGCTTCCATCGACCGAAACAATCCCTTCTTTCCTCCCCACGCCCGTGACATTGAGCGGGGTGTCGATTTGTCGGAGCCACTCTCGAAGCTGGCCGTCGCCAATGCCGTCGCCGCCGCTGTCAGAGACGGGCCAGACGGACAAGACAACCGGCCTCTGGGCCGATCAAAGACGCTGCGAGACACGTACCGAGGAGGGGCAGTTGCGCCACCCCCGGCACCTCCGCCGAGAAGACGGTTGGATTCGCTGCCCGGTCCGGCCACCTTCAATGCCGGCACCTACCCAGGCTTTGGCAAGTCGGTCCGTGTGGACGGCCCCACAGTCGGTGGCCTTCGTCAGAACCCGCAGAGCAAGAAGGCAGAGGTGGGCATCCCGCCCGAGATTCTCGCCGAACGGGAAAAAGCAGCTGCCGATAAGCAGCGTCACGAGGGTCTTATCGGCCAACGAACGCCGTCGGCTCCCTTGCCACCGCCCAGACGGCGTCCGAGCTCGGTGAGCGCAGAGAGTGGCAGCAGCGCAGCCGTGGCCACTCCCGCATCGACATGGCAAGACCAAATTGGCACGAGGAGCGCCAGCTTCTCCCAGCGCATGGGCGAGATCCTTGGTTTGTCCAATGGGGAGGACGGCAGCTCCTCTACCAAGCTTGACTCGCTGCGACAGGACTTCAACTCAGTCGCGGAGCGCCACGAGTGGCTGGCCAGGGCAACGGAACGAGCAAAGGGGAGGCCACTCAACGAGGCTCGCGTCGGTCTGATGGATGAAACGGAGAACTACCATGACGCGCCGGATGTGGACGGCGTCGGACTCCAGGATGACCCACGACGGGCGAGCATGACGACGCCACGGGCCGGTGCGCCGATGGCCCGACGGGCACCATCGATCGGTCGCAGTGCGGGTAATCCCCTTGTCAGGCGTACATCGCTACTGTCCCGGCCGAGCGTCGGACCGTTTGACGACGAGGAGGGCGATGGGAGCGCCCTCGTCGTCGACGAAGAAGAAGAGAACGACGATGACGAGGATGACTTCCAAGAAGGAGAGGAAGAAGAAGAGGAAAACGACGTGGGCCCAGACGTAGACAATCACAGTGGGAGCAGCAATACCAAGGTGCGCGAGAGCCTCGAAGAGGAGACCCGGCGCCGGCGGAGGAGCAGCAGCAGCACGAGGGCCAACCGGGTTGCCTCGGGCGACAAGCACACCGACATGGCCGCCGCTCCCGTCAACGGCGGATGGCAGCAGCTGTCGTGATGGCCTTTTGTGCCTTTATACCAGATACCTACCTACCTGCCGACCCTACCTACGCCGTAACTCTTTTTTTCTTCCTTTGCTTCCCGGAGTCGATTTCTACCAAGATTGTGTTATTCCCCGACCCGATTGGTTTTCCATTTATGTGTAGTACAGCAGCAAGTCCTTTCTTTCTCTCCCTCCCACACATGCATCATCGTCTCAACCCATCCATCAATGAAAGAGGATTGCCAACTCAAGCCGTCAAGTGTCTGAACTGACCCAAGAGCTGACTGACGTTCGGGAGCTAAAAGGCGCAGTCATTTAGATTTCTATGTGCAACCTAGAGAGGCGAGAGACAGAGACGGTGGATTTGTTGTTACATTGATGTGGAGATAGTTCTGAAAGAGGAGGAGCAGGAGGGGTGGTTTAGGGTTTCAAGGCCCAGACGATCGAAGATCAAGGATCAAAGGCCTCTGCGGGTATCGAGGCGCGGAGTTCTTCGAAGCGCTGCATTGCCAATTGGGGATTCCACTGGTTGTCGGCGAGGCACTGGACCGCAAAGCTATACTTGAGCTTGGTCCTAGCTGCCAGCTCCACGGCCAAAGAGTGCTGCTCAGGAGCAAGTCCAGGTGCTGGCGCTTGGCCTTGCTGCGCTGGTTGAGACGTTGCTGCCGGGACCCCTTGCTGTGCAGGTGCACCTGCAGGTGTGCATTGCTGAGCTTGAGGCGACCAGGCATCCTTGCCGGCGTAGTTTCGGATGGTCAATTGATCCGTGATGATCACGCACGGCCAGCCCAGATTGGCGGCCATGGAGCCAGGTGGCGCTGGAGCTACGACAAAAGTCCGGTCAAAAGATCGCACGCCCTGGCTCGGCGCTTCGGCGAATTCGCCATGAACAGAGATGAAGAGGATGTCCTGTGGTTTCTCGACCTGAGCAGCGCCAGACGATCGGTCGTTAGGCGAGACCATTGACAGGGTCGCATTGACGGCAGCGTTGGGAACAATCCAGCCATCGACGACGAACTTGGAAGGGTCCGTCAGCGGGTGGGTCGTCTTTGGAAATTTATTGAAGGTCGCCAGGATCGCTCCAGGTCCTCGAGGAAAGCCTTTGGAAGCAGAGCCTAAACCGCAAGAACTGCGTGTCAGAGAGCAAGTAGATGGAAAGGTCATGTACTCTACTCACGAGTGCCCAGCTGCATGATGTTGTGGTCGGTCACGTCTTTGTAGTTGCGCCAATTGAGGTCTCGCTGGCGGGGCATCGTATGGATGTAGCCAGCGTGCTTTGCTCGAGGGGGCACACTTCGAACAATGACGAGAGAGAAGGTCGCATTGGCGGAATAGGCAGCCCGAAGCGAATCTCTATTTCGGTCGAAGAACTCAAAATACCTGATTGGGGGAGCATCCATGAGTACCACATGCGAAACATCTCTTCACGTTTCCTGTACTCACTTCGAGAGAAATGCGGCAATGACACCATTGACAGCCTCGTCCATTGCGAATCCTGGTCGGATGGCCACCGGGAAGTCCCTGACTTCGACCTTTGCACTTGCGGCTCCGCTACTGGCGCCTCCTTTTTCCTTTCCTTGTCCCTTTCCCGGCAAGCTAGCGAAGTTGTGTTCCTGCTCCGACACGGGCTTCTTGTCTAGCATGCGCAGCTGAGGGAAGCGAGCAAGAACCTCGGCCCGATAACCTTCCTCGTTTCCAGCGGCGACAGCATTGTCGTGGACCGGATTGCCGTTCAAGACCAGCTCATTAAGTTGGTTGAAACGAGTGTTTGCCGACCTGAATTTGCCGACGTGGAAAGCCAGATCCCGGGTCCACTTGATGTCATTGGATTCGAGTGACAAATTCTGCATGCCGACGCCTCGTTCAGCTCTTCACGATAAGACTCGAGTATGTAGTTGCATATTCACCTTGATGTCAGGCAGGAACTCGGGCATCGTCGCGATTGGAATCAAAGTTTTGAAGTCATTCTTCGCCAACGACACAGTTGTCACCTTCAAGTAGGATCAATTTCAGCTACGAGCGCTCCGCAAACAAGCAGCTCAAACTCACATTTGGGAACAACTCCTTGCAGAGCTTAAAGAGAGCGCGGTTGATATCTTTGTGTGCCCCGGGGGTACCTGGGGGCTTCAAGCCCTCCTCGGCCAGGATTGGGTCTGTTGCCATGTTCTCGAGGTTGAGAAAGAGCGCAGCTGGATCCCAACGCGACTGCAAGAACCGTTTCATGAGAGCGATTGTCCGTCCGGTCGTCTGCTGGGACGGCGCTGCGCCGATGGCTCCTCCTGCCCCTCCTACCCCACCCCCCGGAACTCTCCCCTTGCCCTTTCCTCCCGAGATCAGTTCTGCCACGGGAGGAGGATTGCCTTTCCCTCTGACAGCTGCGCCGCGAATTCCAAACGCCTGACCTCTCACGTTTACATCGCTCGTGGCATTTGACCTGCCTCTCGACGGACGACCACCCATGGGGTTGGCACGATCTCTAGCTCGGGGACCACCGCCGTTGGCCCGCTCATTGTCGACCATCATCTGCTCAGTTCGAGTCAGCATACTGGATGGATTTGCCCCCTTTTCTAGGTACGGGCTATCAATATTCACCGAAGATGCTTGTCTCGATCCGCGCCCGCCCCTCCCGCCGCCGCCGCCGCCGCCGCCCCTGCGACTCGGCCCTGAGGCACTCGCGTCACGCATGCCTGAGTCCTCATCGATCAGTCCCGCTCGCTTGAGCGTACTGCTCGCCACGGAGTTTCTGCCCCTGCCGCCGCGTCCCTGCCCAGCGCCACCACCGCTTCCACCGCCCTGCTGGTGTTGTTGCGCATTAGCAAGAGCTGAGAAAGGATTGCCTGACATGATGGGGGGTGGAAGCCTGGTGGACCACGCAAAGGAGCGAGAGCGCCGGCTTTCAACGTCTCTTTTATCGCCCGCTCGCCTTCTATGCTGGCGCCAGTGTCGTCACCCTACTTGGCGTCGGCTGCTGAGCACTCGATGGACTGGATCAGCAATGTAGTCGGTCAAAAAGAAGTCAGAACGAGACAGACGCGAAACAAAAAAAAAGGTGGACAAGGCGCGCAAAATATGTCATTTCAGTCACTCGCATCACGTGATAAAGTGATTGCGAAGCCCTCCATTCGCGTTCCCCCTCCCACGCAACACCACCTAGCTAGACAACGTCGATCTCTCGAGCTGGACAGATTGAGAAGATGGCGTCCGTTGAAAAGAAGCAAGAGGCGGACTTGTCTCCTGAGGTGGACTCTCTTGAGCCGAAAGCTGAAAGCCTAGCCAAGGCCGGCAAGCTTGACGAGGCCCTTGAGCAGGTCCTCGCCGTCGAGAAGAAAGCCCGAAATGTGAGTGCATTCATCGCTGTCAGTGGCCATGGAGCTGACAAATAAAGATACTTAGGCCGCGGATCTCTCAAGTACGACCAGGTGTCTGTTGCTGATCCTTCACTTGCTACGAACCACACCGAGCGCGAAGTCGCCCTCATGGGACCAACTTAACGAGACGATAGTCTCACTCTCCAAGAAGCATGGTCAGCTCAAACAGGCGACGGTCAAGATGGTTGGCGCGGCCATGTGCTACCTTCATGCACCTGGGATTGGAGAAAGCGGCAAGAAAGAGGAGGAAGTGACGAAGGAGGTGGAGATGGAGGACGCCAAGAAGAAAGAAGAGGCAAAAGCAAAGGACGAAGCGCGGGCCAAGAAGGAGGAGGCTGACAAGTCTTCTGGGAGCAAGGACGAAAAGACGGAAAAGAAAAAGAAGATGCAAGAGGCCATGGAAGTCGAGGATAAAGGAGAGGGCAAAGAGCATGAAGGGGTCAGCAAGTGGATGGCCAGGGCAAAGGAGATTGGGGATCAGGGTGTGACGGAGCCTATGAAGGTCAAGCTCCTGGAGACGATTCGCCAAGTCACCGAAGGAAAGGTGAGATGACAGCTCGCCAGATACTATTGACGTATACAGACCTGGACTGACCGTCCTGGCAGATTTTCGTCGAGGTGGCACGCGCGAGGTCGACTCTGTTGCTCTCCCAGATTCTCGAGCGAGAGGGCAAGATCCCAGAGGCCGCCGACACGCTTGGTGACTTGGCCGTGGAGACATTTGGAAGCATGGAGAGACGGGAGAAGCACGAGATCATTCTTGAGCAAATGCGGTTGTATATGCTGCGGGAAGACTGGTCGAGGATGGCCATCGTGGGCAGGAAGATCAACACAAAGTTCTTTGACGACGAGAAGCAGCATGTGGGTGTGCCCAGGTCCTTCAGTTGCATATTTCACGCTGACACGAGCTGTTATAGGACCTCAAATTGCGATACTACGAACTAATGATCAAGCTTTCGCTCAACGCCCGAAAGCATCTGGACGTTTGCAAGCATTACCACGAGATCTACAATACTCCCAGCGTCCGCGATGAGACGGCCAAGGCTGCCGAGGCGTTGCGGAGCATTGTCGTTTTCCTCGTTTTGAGCCCCTACGACAACGAACAAAGCGACTTGATGGCACGGACAGAGCGCATCGAGGCCTTGGACAAGGTACCGGAGCACAAGAACTTGCTCAAGTGCTTCACGACGCCCGAGCTGATGCGGTGGCCAGGCATCGATGCGCTGTACAACCCCATTTTGCGTGCCACGCCAACATTTGACAAGAGCAAGGACGGCGAGTACCGGTGGGAGGAGCTGCACAAGCGCGTCGTCGAGCACAACATTCGCGTTGTTTCACGCTACTACACCCGCATCACCCTCCTTCGGCTTTCGCAGCTCCTCGACCTGTCCCAGGACGTGGCCGAGACGTCATTGGCTTCGCTTGTCAGCAATGCCACCGTCCACGCCAAGATCGACCGGCCGGCAGGCGTGGTCAGCTTCGAGAAGAAGAAGGACACGGCCGAGCAGCTCAATGCGTGGAGCACAGACATGGGCCAGCTTCTCAATCTCGTCGAGGACACGAGCCACCTCATTGCTAGGGAGTACGCCATCAGCAGGGCGGGCCTCGTCGCAAAGGACTAGTACCTCTTCTGCAATTCCCATCATCTCATTTTCTTATGTTTTCATTGACAAGATCTGCGCTTACTATGACGGTGGATGGGAGAGCCTCTTCTTCTTCTTCTTTTGGCTCTTGCTCATCTCTTTGCCGCTCGTGTTGCTACCATTGGTCTGGGCCGCCCCACGAGAAGGGCCATTGTCCCCGTCCCCATCATTGGAGGGGGCGCCCTTTCGCTTCTTGCCTGCAGCCTCTTGGGCAACGATGCCGACCATATCTGCATCCGGATCAGGAGGCTGCCTTTCTTGAACTGTCACTTGTGCCTGTGGTTCGGCGGCCGGTGTATTTTCTTCTTTAGCCATTGCCACGGTGGGCCGGGCAACGACGCCTCGAAAGGTGCGTCGGGTCTCTGCACGAAAAAGCAGCGCGCGGCACGTCGACGAAATGGCGTCTTTGGCGGCCGCGGCATTGAGGCCAAAGATGGCGGCGAGATTGATAACGTCGTAAGGGCCTCTCAACCCCATGATGTCGGCGGCACCGCTGCTGAAGATGACGCCCCTGCCGTTGGTGACGCGGAGGATGTCTCGGGTGGCTGAAATGACGTTTCGGCGGGCCTTGAGCAGATCCTGCTGTGCATGCTGGTCGGCTGAGGAAGCTGAGACGGCAGGCGAATAGCACACCTCGAAGACGGCACCATTGCTCAGGGCAGCGCCGACGGTGGATCTCTTGAGAAAAAACGGAAGGCGGGCTGAGGCGGCGAGGTCGATGGAGATGATGTCGATGGACTGTGGTTTGAGCTCGCTGAGCGAGAGGCACGCTGTGGAGAAGGTAGCCTCCGACGTCGGACGAACACTGAGAAGATCGTAAGACAAGAGCGCATTCGTGTGTGCCGAGTTCTGTCCGGCGAAGAGGTAAGCAAAGGAGAGAAATTCGCCCGCAACGTGCGTGCGATACCCACCAGACCGTGGCCGTGCTTCCCCATCGACTCATCGTTCATGACGAGCGTCATGCGGCTCAGCTGCACCACCTTGGGATGTGATGATGAGCTCTTTACAGCCTTCTTTCCCTTGAGATCCGATGCCTGGTTACATCGTGGATCCAAGTCGGGGAATGGAGGTCGCGGCAGCCCTGATGGATGAGGCTGAAACGGATTGGCGTGTTTTGTACCATCGAACCGCGTTGGGACCACGGTGTTGAAGGCGATTGTAGAGTAGCCCACTGAATGTTCCAAACGGTTTCTTGTGAGTGAGTAATGTTCCTTCCTTTTTCAATTCTACATCAGTCGGTCCGTGATACTCACAATCGGCAAGATCCAACGTCATTGCTCGCATCGAGTCCCTCTGCGTCTCCGACAGCGGCTCCAGAGGGTCTGCCAACGTCGTCGCCGATGTCGACGCTATGCCAAGACCACCGCCACCTCCTCCCCCCACTTTATTGCCCGCTGATCCTTTGTTCTTGACATCGCCCGGTCTTGCATGCGCTTGCGGCCATGCTATGTTGAGGTCATAGTACATCGTCGCTCCCTGCTTCAAGGCGAGGAGGATTCGGGCGTGGTTAATTCCTGGCCCTCGTCCAAAAACAAAAATTTAGGCCAGGTTTCCGAAATCCGAGACGAGGAGGGCCACACGTGAAGCGGCGCGTCTGGGCGGGCGACGCTTCCCAGCTGTGTTGGTTACTACTACGACTCTCCCAACGAAGCTCGACTCCTCTTCCAGGTTCCGACGAATCGCGCATCTTTCATGCGCAGGCATGCCGGGAAAAGTGTCAGAACAGGCTCCTGCCTCCTCGACAGCCCGCAGAGCAAAGGGTCATGAGGCCAGCACTAAAGGTCGCCCTGAGGAGCCCAAGACGAGGAGCAAGGTTGCGGGTCCGCCCGGGACAGCCGCGGCAAAGCGGCGCACCGTCGCGTCGACATCGGCCGAGAACATCGTCGGCGCTGTCAAGGTGCCTGCAAAATGCGTGGCCGCAACGTGCACAGCACTGGCACGCTTGCTGGGTCCCTCAGAGGGCGGTTCCGGACACGCAGCCGTCCAGCATGAATCGACGGTCGAGAGAGCACCGATAGATACCCTTGGATCAGAAGCCAAGAAGGTCCGACTGGCCAAGCTCGTCGTCAACGGCGTCCTGACTTCTTTGAACGAGCTCATGAAAAGTGACTGGCAGGCGAATTCGACAGACGGCAGATCGCATTCCCTTCTTGGCTCGACGTCGTCCTCAAAGGCCAGTTCTACGTCTGGCTCAGCGCGCAGCAGCCCTGCTCCGTCGCAACGTTCGCATGCAGCGTCATCTTCAGCCACACCCAAGGTAGCCAAGACCGTGCTCAAGAAGGCAGCACTCAAGGACGTTTCGCCGAACGGAGATGTATCAACAGCCAATGTACGAGCGCTGGTCGACTGTTACCGCGTTGCAACCCGCTTCCTGCTTCAAGTCCAGGCTTCGTCGTCTGAGGCAGAGGCGAAAGAGAACAAGGACATAGAGATCGAGAGCGTCATGGTGTCTATTGTGTCCAAGCTGGTTGGACTTGGCCTGGTAAGTGTAGGCTCAAGTGGAGACGTACATCCCAGCGAGAAACTCTCTGACTTGGCAACACAACCTTGCAGCTTGCCAGTGCCGATGCCGAGCTGCGCTTCCTGCACAAAGCAGTATCATGCTTGTATCAGAACGATTACGTGGAGCCCATGGAGCTTTACCTCTTCGCCATTCCACGGCCAGAGACGCCTGTCCCAACGAAACTCGAAAATCTCATCCTAGATCTTCAGTCGCTTTCCCTCACCTGCATTCTCTCCTCAGCATCGCTAGCGGACTTGGCACGTCATGCAAGGCTCGTCCACGACCATGCAAGCGGGCCGCTATCGTGGCAGAGGTATGTTCGAAGGGCGGACAGCCCGAGCGCTGCTTTCTCGGCCGACCAGGCTTCGTATCATGTCGAACGATCCATCGGTCGCTGTTTGGCTCGATTGAACGACGATATCGCTTCTTCGTCCCACGCGTCTTCGCTCTTGGAGGCCACTTTGGAGGTGAGAAAGGTGTCGCTCGACTTTCTCATGCTCGTGTCCGACCTCGATGTCGATGCGTTCTGGGACCGGTGCAGCCGCGTCGGAATCAGCTACTTTCGCGGCAGGATGACAGCAGAGGGCAGCGATGCATCGCAGAGAGCGCAAGCCTTTGCCGCCGTCGACGACGTCTTCAGGGATCTGGTCCAGCTCTCAAACCAGGTGCGAAGCGATGTGCGAATGAAGTCGGTGACCGGATTCGACAAGTTCTGCGAGACGTGGATGGATCTTGCCAAGAGGGCAGGCATGTCGTCGGCGATCGACCGCATCGCTTCGCTGGCGGCTTCGGTGGGGCCCGGCTCAGGCGAGGTTGAGCCCATGGCTTCTTCAAGTGCTCTAAAGACGAATGCGCAAGTGGACGCCTGCATGTCTCACTCGGAAGCCTCAGCAGCGCTAGCGAAGGGAGTCATAGCGCTCGAGCAAGTCACCTACAGCGAAGCTAGTCTTGCCGATGTCGAAGTTATCTTGGCGACGACAGTGGTGGCTATTGACGCGACATCGCGCGAACAGAAGTCGCTCATGGATTCGAAGACCCTCCGTTCCGTCGACCAGCTTCGGAGGAGGGCGCTCAAGCTTCTCGATGCAGAAACTAACAAGAGTCAAGAAGCGGGCGGATCACAGGCGACGCTGGCTTCGGTCGTAGACGCCCTTCGACCAGTCGTTTTAGCCATCGTGTCTCGTCTCGAAGCATGCTTGCGCGAGGTGCCGCGGAACGAATGGGAGGGCAAAGACGAGAGCGAGCAGCCGGCTGCTATGCTGGCAGGCGTTGTCCAGGCGATGAGAATTTTGTCGCATTCGACCTTTTCCCCTGGAGACAAGGCAGCAGTCGACGCATGTGAGCAACATATGGCAAAGTGTCGACAGCTCATCGGAGGGAACGCGGAGAAACTAGAGTGCAGCCTGATCGACGATGAAGCCCGGTCCGAGAACCTGTACTTTGTCTCATCCAGCATGTGGCACTTTGGTGGCAGGCTCTACAACGATGCGAAGTACCAGGATGCGCTGCGCTTTCTCCGGCCTTCCTGCGAGATGGCCGACGTTGCAGTCAGCTTGGCAGGAGTAGAAAAGGGGCAGCGGACAAAGTGGTCACCAGAGAAGGCGCGCGAAGGCCTCCCTAAGCGCTGGTCACAGCTTGCTTCATCGTATAACATGACGTTGCAGCCTCGACTGGCCCTCCAGGCGTTCACCAGGGCGCTCGAACACCTTTCCAAGGACACCTGGCCGACTGTGTCTGCTGCGTCCTCTTCAACAGCCATCTGCGACATCTTCACATCCGACGAGCTCAGCAGCACATTGGCTCAGATGGCCAAGCAGACTGTCGATGCGTTTTCGTCTGCCGAGACATACGAGCAAGAGGACGACAGGCTTCCCTGGCTCATTCACCTCAGCAAGACCGACGAAAATGCATTCGCGGTATGCCTGGAGTATTGCCTTTTGTCGCTTGACAATAGCCTCCATCGCACGGGTGCGCCAAGAGCAGCTTTCGCATTCATCTCTGTTCTCGAATCATTGTACAAGAGCGAAAAGAATCCTCTGCGGAGGGCACGAGTGCTTCTCCGGAGACTCGAGCTTCGAGTCCTTCTGGGTGGCCCGGAAACCGTCCGAGAGAGCGACAAAGATGTCAGTCAGCTGGTTGACGAGATTCGAGCACTGCTCTATGACATGGACCTGCAAGACGACGCAGGTCTAGCTCGATATCGTTTGCAATACCAGGCCACACTCGAGCTTTTGCTCACGCTCTGTAGACAGCAGGCACGGTCTACGGCAGCACAGCAAAGTGTTGTTCACAGCGCCAAGGCCGCAAATACGGCGCTGCGCAGGATTTCGGAAAACAGTGATACAGATTACAAGGACAAGACAATCAAGAAGAAGGCCGGGGCCAAGAATCGGCCTTTAAAGGGTAAGGAAGATGTGGACATTATCATGAACAGACATCAGGATACTTAAGTTTGTCCTTCTACACAGTCACTCAAGCGCCGAGGCAGGCCAAGGCGACACCGCACTCTGCTTTACCGATCACTCCGCCCTCAAAGAAGCTCACCAATGGCACGACACAGGTAATGCCTCAGTCGCCCGCCTTGGTTGCAGATGCGGCAACATACGACGACATTGAGCGGCTGTGTTCGCTGATCGAGTTGGTGTATGAAGCCATCAATGCGTTTGGACATACGCTGGCATCTGTCGAGCTGCTCAAGGTGCTCCGCCGACTCAACCTGACGAGCCGAGGCCTCAAAGGACGGGACGGGTATTTGAAAGCTTCTGCTGATCTCACTCGACAGTACCTGCTCTTGGGCAAATTAAGTCGGGCCGAAGCGGTCATCAAACCCATCGTGGAACGCGACCTGCAGCGAAAAGACTGGGGCATCTCGGAGAACACGAGAGCTCGATGTCTCTTCGCACATGCCGACAGTCTCTGCTACGCAGGCCGAATCGAAGAGAGCACGGCGACGTACGATGAGGCAGTCGAGATCGCATCACAAATCCAGCCGTCGGCGACCAAGAATAGTGTTCAGGCGTTTGTCGAAAGGTGTCAAGGGTACGAACGGCAGGCGCTAGCGTATGACATTTGCGCTTCCATACAATACGCCAAAGGAGACTTGACGGCGGCCATTGCGGCGGCAATTGAGAGCGTGCGATTCGCTAGCAAGACAAGCAACTCGCTGGCCAAGCTGACAGGTCCAAAAGAGCAAGCAAACAATGGCTCGCCATTTGCTGATCGATTGCCGTCTGAGGCAGAGGGGCAGCACGAGGCATCGAAGCACGCTCAATCACCCAAGCTCAGCTCTTGGTCCCTTGCCACTGCTCACTGGCGTACCATCAAGGTGAGTCTGCCATCACTTATTGAGAGCAATAAGAGTTTTAACACCACGAGCGCGTCCTCCAGATGCTGCTCCTTTCTTACCTTCGAGTCAGTCGTCTCAACATGTATCGAGGTACTGCGCGCGATGCAGAAGCCTATGCGAGCGAGGCCGTTGCGTTTGGAGCTTCTCTGAACATTCCCCTCTCGGTATGCCAAGCGCTTATCGAACGAGGAGGAGTGAGGATCCAGATGGCACAGACGGAGACCGGAGAAGCCGACTTGGACCAGGTCATGTCGCTGCTCGAAGACGATTGGATCCCCGAAGCCGTGTCGATGACGTGCATCCGCGGTGATCGGATGAGCCGTACCGATGCCCTGCCAGAGGCCCTCAAATTCTACGTTGAAGGACAAGACATCCTCGGCTCTCTCAGCACGGCTTTTGCTGAACTCGACTCTATTTTGCCGTCGCCAAGGCAGCGTAATGATGGGAAATCCCCTCAAATTGCGCTCACAGGCCATGAGACGCTTTTGCCACGGGTGAAAGCTCGTCTGCTGAGGAGGCAAGCATGGCTCCTTGAGCTCATGGGTAGGAACACCGAGAGCCAAGAGTTCCTGGAGCAGGCGATGCTGTTCGAGACAGCGAGTCAACCGGCAAGCGTCGAGGACGCACTCGTGGCTGGAAGAATCGCAATTCGACAATCGATGCAAAAGCTGCGCGCCGATCAGGTCTTCGGCATGCTAGCTGAGTCTTCCCTCTCTTTACCCATGATGTCGAGAGGTGTAAAGGCGAAAGAGTCTTCTGCATCAAAGAGTGGCTCGGCGGTGAAGGCAGCTGTCAATTCACTCTCGTCGGCGAATGCCACCTTTACTGAGGCGCTCCAGGGATGGAGTCAGCGATGCGGCGAATCGACCGAAGTGAGGGACACCATAGCCCACCTGTCAACGAGCAGGCTGCTACACGCCACATTGAGCCGCAAGTCCATGGGTCAGCATCTCGCCACGAATCTCTGTGACCTCATCGATGCTGGCGCATCTGTTACACTTCAGAGGGAGCTCCTTGATGCGATCGAGTCCAAGCTCAGGCCAAGAGAGCTCGAGGCTCGCCAGTGGTTCCAATTTTGCGGATTTGTCCCCAGCAAGACTAAAGCTGGCCAATCCTCGCCATCGATTAAGTCTAACCCGTCGTCAGAGAGTGGAGAGCCTGGAACGAGGCAGAGCTATTGGCGCGATGTGGCAAGGCGTCACCAGCAGCTCGAGCTCGATCAGAGGTCCAGCGTGGTGCACCCGCGATTGCCGCCGACATGGACCGTGGTTTCGATCACAGTATCGCCCGACCGGGATCACTTGATACTGAGCCGGCGCGGCGGGGCACAGGAGCCCATCGTCTTCAATCTACCCATCGACCGACAGAGCCGTCGCGAGGGAGAAGAGGAGGCGCTCACAGTCGACGCTGCCCTCGAGGAGCTCCGTGACATTGTCGAAGAAAGCAACCACGCAACGCATGCGGCAAAGGATCTCGAAGGCTTGGAGGCCAGGAAACAGTGGTGGTCGCAGCGGAGGGAGCTCGACGCTCGTCTCAAGGTGCTCTTGGAGGGCATCGAGACGACATGGCTGGGAGCCTTCAAGAGCGTCTTTTTGCCGAGCACGGGCGCGTCCGACGAAGAGCTGGACACGCTTAGAGCCTCTCTGAACGCCATTCTTGGCCAGTCGCTGACGGCGGCTAGCCCACTGTCGGGCAGCAGCAGCAAACGCGGTCGCGCCGTCGGCGCTGCTGGCGGCGGGAGCAACGATACGAACGCCGTCAAGCTCGATGACGCAGTCCTTGAATGCTTCGCGAGGCTGACATCCAGCGAGACGACAGATGAAGACCTCGAGGATATGCTGCACTTCATTATGGACGCATACCAATTCAATGGCGTGCCAGTCGCAGTCGACGAAGTGGACCTCGATCAGAGTGTCGTCGATGTAAGGAGCGCCTTGGAGTCGCTGCGGAGCAAGCGCAGCCAGCGGAGGCAGAGACAGAAACTGGAAGAGGAGGAAGAGGAGGAAAACGATGCGCATCTTTTCTTGATTCTCGATCGAGACACTTGCGCCATTCCATGGGAGTCGATCCCAACGCTTAGATCTCGTGCCGTCAGTCGTATTCCCTCGATGGCCTTTCTTGAGGACCGTCTCGTAGAGCTGCGAGGGGCACGAGGCAAGACCATCGACATCGAAATGGCGAAGAAGTTCTACCTCATCAATCCAGCTGGGGATCTGACCAGGACCCAAGAGCGCTTCGAGCCGCTTTTGACTAAAGATGGAAAGGGGCAGTGGACAGGCATCGCCGGACGAACTCCTCTGCTGGACGAATACGCCAATGCACTCTCGTCCAATGATGTCGTTGTCTACTTTGGCCACGGGGGGGCAGAGCAGTACATCCGATCCCACAAGCTCAAGTCACTGCAGCAGTGCGCCGTCACTATGCTGTGGGGATGCTCAAGCGCAATGCTCAGGAATCAGGGCGACTTTGACCGGTGCGGAACAGCATACAATTACGTCATGGCGGGCTGCCCAGCCCTTGTGGGCAATCTCTGGGACGCAACGGACCGTGAGCTCGATGGGATCAGCGAGAGCGTCTTGGAGAAGGTTGGTCTCACTGCAGACTCAGCCTCAGGAGTAGTGACGAAGTCAGGTGGAAAGAGGCGCGGAAATATGTCGCTGACAAGAGCTGTCGCGGCAAGTCGAGCGGTCTGCAAGCTGCCTTACCTCTCAGGAGCGGCGTGCGTTGTTTATGGGATCCCAGTGTATTTTAGTTGATTCCTCTTTACCATGACGGAGAGGCAACATGCATGACTAGAGGAAGACCTGCTAATGACAAGAAGCATTATCGGTCTCAACCGCAAGAACTGGTTTGATGCCTTGCCTGTACGGAGTTCGGTGTAGCATGCTAGTTGAGAGGAGCTCCCACGGTGTCCAATCGTTTGCATTCACTGTCCCCTTCGCTCGTCAGACTATGGTCGATGATGCAAGTTGACCATCGGGCATGGCAATAGGAAGGGAAATCAAGCCAAGAACAAGCCACACTGTCGCTCCTGAGTACACTCCGGACCTTATACTGCGGACGACGCTCTCAAACTAACGACAGGAGCGCTGTGCGGCTCCGGTGGTCCCGCAACCCCGCTCGAAAGCACGCGAAGAAGCAAGCCACCCAACGCCCCGTCTTCTGTCCCGTGCTACCTTGGCCTGTCAAGAAAGTCCGAACTCAGATCAACTAATAACATCCATGCTAGCTTTCTCCCTTCATTATGATCAATTGCCGCGTTGAGAACCTGATTGCGTGATGATGACCTCGAATGACAGGAGCGCGCGTGCTTTGGAAAATCTCCGCCTTTTTTTTTTTTCTAAATTGTTTCAGTGCAGTCTGCCAGAGGGTTAGAAGCTCCAAAACTCGCGCTAGAAAGCCGGGAGACAGGAAGGACACGGGCAAGCTGGGAGGAGGCGCGTCCTTTCAAAGATTTACACAGACCTATGCAAGTGTTGCCATCTTTTGCGACTCTTTTGTCGTGGATGGCGTGCAATGAGATTAACGGCACGTCTGATGGCAGGGAAAAAATGATAGCAGTAGTAGCAGTACGAGCAATCGTATGACAGTGCGGATCGGCCCTGATAAGAAGCCTCTCCCTTCCGCCCACACACTGACCTTCTCTGCTCCTTCAAATCTCCCATCAGGGGTCAACACGGTCGAGTAACGCCCTAAGCCAGGCAGAGCGAGCAGCAGCTATGTCCTCTCCCGCACCTCCGCTGTCCAAAGGCACGGGCTATGGCACCCTCGTGGGCCTCGGTGTCTTTTTCGCAATCGTCGTCGTCGGCCTCTCGCAGGCCATGAGGCGCTACGGCGGTCTCTCGAGGTCTTCGTCCGAGTACAGCATTGCCAATCGTTCGCTCGGCATTGGTCTTTCGGCCAGCGCTGTCACGTCGTCGTGGTGCTGGAGCGTGACGTTACTCTCCGCCTGCAGCACTGCATACAACTATGGTGTGGCAGGTGCGCTCATCTACGGAGCTGCCAACATGGTGCAGATCACCCTCTTCAGCGCCATGGCTATCCAGCTCAAGCGACGCGCCCCCACCCTCCACACCCACCTCGAGCTCCTCAGGATCCGCTATGGTACCGCTGGGCATCTCACATTCCTTTTCTTTGCGCTCGCTACCAACATCCTTGTCGTCTCGTCGATTCTCGTCGGTGCAGCCGCGGCCATCAACAGTATTGCAGGCGTGAACGTCTATGCGTCCCTCTTTATCCTCCCCACGGCCGTCGCTGCCTACACCCTGACAGGTGGTCTCAGGAGCACAATCTTGGCCGACTACCTGCACACGGTGGTCATTTTCATCATCATTTTCGTTCTCTTCTTCAAGGTAAGTATCATGCAGAGGGACGACACGAGAACTTGATGCTGATATGCTCCCCACCATTAGACGTACGCCACGTCCGAACTCATCGGATCTCCCGCGGCGATGTACCGTCTGTTGCAGCAGGCAGCTGCCAAGAACCCTTCGGACAACTACCAAGGTTCTTTCACGACGCTCAAGAGCTTGGGCGCCATCAAGTTCGCTTGGCTCAGCTTCCTGGAGTACCTCGGCGTCGTCTTCAACGACGCTTCGTTCCACCAAAAGGGTATTGCAGCCAATCCTTCTGCAACAGTGCCCGGCTATGTCATCGGATCCCTCTCCTGGTTCACCATCCCTTGGACGTTGGCAACCACGGCCGGCCTTGTCGCACTGGCCCTAGAGACAGTCTCGCCCACATTCCCCACGTTCCCCTCGAGAATGTCCAAGGAGGAAGTTTCGGCCGGCTTGGTCCTTCCGTACGCGGCCCAGGCCATTCTCGGAAAGGGCGGCAGCGCGGCAGTGCTGCTTCTCATGTTCATGTCTTCCACCTCGGCCATCTCTGCACAGCTTATTGCCGTCTCGTCCATCTCGGGCTACGACCTGTACAAGACCTATTTCAACCGCAACGCAAAGCCCGACCAGATTCTCCGCGTGCAGCAGTGGGGCGTCATTGGGTTCTCCCTCTTCATGGCCGCCTTTGGCTCTCTGCTTCACGGTGTTGGAGTTGACCTCAACTTCCTCTACAACATCACCGGCGTCTGGTCCACGGCTGCCCTGCCTCAGATTGTCTTCAGCTTCTTTGGCGACCGCCTCCCCACCTGGGCCGTCTTTCCTGGTATCTGGATCGGCTTCGGTGCTGGTCTGGCCGTCTGGCTCTCTCTGGCGAACCGGCTCGGCGGTAGTGTCTCGCTGGCCACCCTCGAGCTCGTTGAGGTGGACCTGTACACGTTCACGACGTGCATCGCCACGGGCATCCTTCTGTGCACCATCGGCAGCATTCTGACGCCCAAGAAGATTGACTGGAACAACCTCTGGCAACACCGCTACGAAGGGTCTGGAGACGAAAAGGAAATCGCAGCAATCGAGGCCGACCAGCGTTTCTCGGACAAGAACCTCAAGAAGTGGCTCTTCATCTCGGGCATTGCTTCCGTCATTATTTTCTGCGTGTTCCTCCTCATCTGGCCCCTGTCGCTCTATCGCGACTACATCTTCACCCAGTCCTTTTTCACTGGCTGGGTCATCGTCTCGGGCATCTGGGCCTTCTTGGGCTTCTTCGCTGTCGGCCTGTTCCCCATCGTCGAGGGTATCCCGACATACAGGATCATCTTCCACAACATCCTCTATCGCCTTGGAAAGCGTGATGCGCCCCACGAGGGTATCAAGAAGGAGCAGCCAGAGGTCAAGGGCGCCCGACAACTTGAATCGAGCGGTAGCTCTGCCACGGCTGGTCAAGGCGCGAAGGTGCAAGAGGGAAAGAGTGCGGACAGCAGCGACCTCCCCTCCCCAGACGAGAAGAAGCCTCAGGTTGCTGCTTCCACCAGCAGCAGCGCTTGATCAACATGACAAAAAGGATTACCATCTTCTCCTGAAGTTGCGTAGAGATAGAAAAATGCCTTTCTCTCCTGTGAAATATTCCCCTTCGTTCACTGCTTCAGCGCAGGTGTGATACCTGCGCTGCTATTTGTGCCCACTAGAGTAGAGTAGAGTAGCCGTAAAATTACAAATCTGATGTTGGGTTCCTTAGCAATCACGCCGCCGGTCCGAGAGCCTCCTCCCTCTCCATGACCTCCTTGTTTAGCTTGACGAGAATCGTGACCCGCTGTGGGTTCTCTGGCGCTGGTACGCTGTGTGCTGTGACCCGAGCCGGCTGCCAGATATCAAGAAGCGAGGTAAGCGAGCTTTTCACGACGTGTGCCTGCAAGATGAAATGAAAAGTGACCCACAAAACCAAGGCCGTCGAGGGCTGCCTCGACGATCCCTGCAGTAAATGCCTCGACGCAGAGCTGGCTCATCTCCTTTGGGACTGACATAGACCTCGCAAAGAAGGGTGTGTTGGTCGAGATCATGTCTGCGGTCGCGAGAGTCAGCACTTGCACAATGAGATGGAAAGAAGCGAAGATATCAGAAGGCCCTAACGCACACTCGTCGCTCCTTTCTGTGCTCCGCTCGAGACTGTCGGCTGGCCTGCCAAAGATGGCCTTCCAAAGATGTGTATGTAGCCAGAGCAGGACGGGCAAGAGCCTCGTCTCCCTCTTTGGCTGGCGCCCATAGATTGACGAGCCAGACGAGAGCGAAGGTGGTGTCGGAAACTCATTCCGATGAACCAGCATCGGCACCATCCTCTGACCGACACGATAGCCCATCAGTGAGAGTCTATCCACGAGGGAGTCCTTGTCAGCGATTGCTTCTTTTCTCTCAGTGACGTAGGAGGAGGCTGGACGACTTACTTTCGCTCGAGGTCGGAGATTCCTGTCACTCGACCTTGGGTATAGGCAACGATCTCAGCATAGAGAAATGTAAGGGCACTGCTGGCCACTTCTGAGTTCTTTGATCTATCTCTTGGCCTGTCGAGGATGTCAGGCGGCCCAGATGATGGACCGACAGTCGTCGACGAAGAGCCTCCTCCGAAGTACGAGGACGCACCTGTACTGCTACTGGCAGTGGTGGGGGTCGAAGGGAGGGTGCTATTGCGGACGCTGGCGCTGCCGCCGGGCACGGCGCTGTCCCTGGAGTTGCCGCCGAGGATCGATGAGACGGCAGAGGAGCGTCGGATGTAGCTCGGCACGCTAGATCGCGGTGAGAGTGGGTATGTGGCACTGCTCGTTGGTGAGCTGACCGTCTGTTGAGGCCCACCTTGGGCAGAGTAGGCCATATTGCAATTGGAGCACCTAAGACTCAATCGGTCGGTCAGTGGTCGTCAATGGAGAGACGAAAAGTAACAGTGCACGGCCGTTGAAATTCACACGTGGAGCGCGCCTCTCTTTTCTTTCATAAGGGTAGCATCATTCGCAAGCAACCAAAGAACATAGGTAGGGAGGGCGTGACGAGGGATAGACTACGAGCCAGTTACTTGCTTGATGTCTGCTTTGGTGTTGGCCCAGATGCGTTCGACGTAGCCATCAGATCGGAACTTGGCCAAGAGGTGCTCGATTTCGGGTCCGACGCTCTGGCCGTCAGAGAGGATCGAGTAGACCCCTGCGCCGACGCTGCCGGTGATGCTCCTAGCCTTTTCTTGTTCAGAGCGGAGCACGACACCATCTCCATCCCCGGACTGTGCTGGAGAGTACATGGCACTGGTGGCCAAAAAGCTGTGGCGCTGACCGCACTCCTCATGAGACATGCAAATCAATGGGCTCGCGATGCGGAAGAGAACATTCATCACGCGCAAGAACCACGCTTCACCCTCGCCACGTATCAGGTCCGTCGAGACGCGACCTGGAAAGTTGTGGATGAACGATACTTGCGGGGCCTCTCGGGCGGCAGCCTCAAGAGATAGCGTCGTCATTGTGGCTGCATGTGCAATTTGCTGTCGAAAAGGCACCGTGTTTCCCTGGAGGTCGTCTGGGAACACCACGCCCTCCTTGCCTGCAACAAAGACGGATACGACACGGCGTAGGCCAGGAGCATCTTTGATGAGGGGCAAAAGGTTGGTGATGAAGCGGACGCGAGCGTAGTAGGAAACTGCAGCTGCGTAGTGAAGGCCCTCTTCGGTTTCTGGCGTGAAGAACACGCTTCAGCATATGCACAAGCCATCAGTCAGGGTGGATCGCTCACTCGTTCCAAATATCAGCGTTCCGTTTGTGAGGAAGAGCAGATTGACCCTAGACTCCTTGGCCTTAATTTCTTCCGTAACCTTGTCGACATTCCGCAGCAGGCCAACGTCTGCTTTGAGGAAATGATAGGTGCCCGAGGGATTTACCTTGTTAAGCTCAGCCAGCACCTGTCCAGCCTTGACCTCTGAGCGTCCTACAAAGTATATACGGGGTTTGGTGACATGGCTCGCAAAGCGAAGCAACGTTGCTCGACCGATGCCGCTCGTCGCTCCCACGAAGACGGCAACAAGACCAGGGGGAAGCTCGCTTGCAATGCGCGAGTTGGACTCAAGGACATCTTCGAGCCTCACCATTGTTGTTGGCTGTGTAGAGACATGTTCCTTCTCTCTACAATGCCCTGCTTCTTATACCATTCCTGGCCTGCGATAACCTCGAAACATCATAGAATGGAAGAGCTGAGCAAAAATGCGTCACTCGACGCGCCTTCTCCGACGTTCCGACTCCCGCCTGCTGAAGAGGAGGAAACATGCCCGAATTCCGTTAGCATGTCGTTCACAAAGAGTCAATGCGATCATGCGGGGTCTTTCGGCACGAGTGAACGTGGTCCAAGCGGCTTTTCCACCTTCTGACAGGCCCAAAAGTTGGGTCAGCTCAGCTGGCGATACGGATGTTGACAGGTAGCCCCTGAAGAGAACACGCAAAGCATTGGCATGATGAAGTGCTTCGGCCTTTTTTTTTCCTTTTTCCAAACGCGGGGGCGGACCGAGAGTCTCCTGAGCACTTTAGCTTGTTTCTTTTTGGTCTTTCTGATGTCGAATTGGGAGGCATTTGTTTATTAGTCCCACTTTTATGCACCTATAGCCTGGAATCAGCGCAAAAGAACCAGGCTTCCACTGGAGGTCATGGCACCGCGACACTACGGAGCAATCCCTGAGAAGTCTGCAGCAGCATCTCATTCAGGGGTAAATAATAAAGAAGAGACCGAAGCCATATATACACAGCATGATGAGCCGCTCAGTGTGGCTCTCCTTATACCCGTCCTCACCATCACGGTAACGGTCACGACTCTGAACGACTTTGTAACGACTGCCTCATACCCCCGTTACGACCCCTTTACGAAACTAATTTGACGACCGCGCAACCACCATCAACATGGTTGCCAATCCCTTCAAGAGCGACAAGTCCGAGTCGGCCTCTGCCGACGCCGCGGACAAGAAGCCTGCCGCGCTTTCGGCGTTCCTGTCGCCCGCCTCGCGTTTTATCAGCAAGAAGGACGACTCCAAGCAGCTGTCGCCCGACGACATTGCCCTCAAGGTGGCCAGCATGCTCAAGCCTGGCCCTCCCTTCTACAGTACCGTCTCGTCGGCCGACCTGATCGACAACCTCGGTTCGGCATCGATTATGAACTGCGACAGTCTGCGCGCAAAGGCGCAGGTGGCCATGCAGTCCCAGGCCACGCAGCTCCAGATTAACGGCGCCTCGTCGGCTACCGAGCCGACCGAATGGCTTGGCGTGGGCACTGTCTGGACTGCTCTCAACGGCATGCCATCCGGCAGAAAGGCATTCGTCATTCCCAATGACTCTACCACTGTCTCTGCCCAGTCCAAGGATGACGACGACGACGATGACGGCCTCTGGTCGAGCATCATGGTGTCCTGTGACACAAAGGGAGAAAACCTTGCCCTCGAGCGCTCTGTCGTCGTGCCGACGCAGGTGCTGCACACCAATCATTACTACCAGGGAAATTCCAAGGCGCTTTTTACCACCATTGGCGCAGGAAAAGAGTACAAGTGGGACAACTTTGCAGACTACAAGGACGACGGCGCGACCAAGAGCATCGCCAGCTTCTTTGTCCTGCCCACGTCGTCGACCATCGAGATGTGGAACTGGCCGTCGTGGATTCCCTTTCTGGGTGACAAGGACAAGGACAAGGACAAGGCCAAGGACGGAGATAGCCAGAAGCCGGCCGAGGGTGGGACCACACCTACGGACAATAAGAAGAAGCGTGTGTGGGTCGCCTCGACGTCAAAGATCAGCTGCCACGCTACGTGGTGGGGCTACGTGCGTTGTCTGTTCCCATTTCTGTCACTTCGAGTGTAACATCGAAGTGCACCGTTCACTGACGCTGTTGCTGTATACAGACGCTGTACCTGCCCAAGGCCGTCTTCTCTGAGATCGAGTCAGACGTGGACCAGGCAGAAAAGATTGCCAACATCATCCACACTGTCCTCACCACCATCCTCGACAAGATCTCGTCGCTGCCCATCCCCATCGCCCTGCAGGCCGTCGTGACGGTGCTCAAGGCCATTGCTCCTTCTACCTCGTACATCTCCACCTTCATTGGCTGGTCCTGGGACCAGATCAAGAGCTTCGACAAGGGTCAGGGCGTCGAGCTTTCGGCCACCTGGATCCTGCCCATTGCGTGGGTGTCTCTGCCTGCAGTCTGGTTGGCCTACTTTTCCTTCCTGACGCTGACTCCGCATTCTCACAGCCTGATTCCGCACACGTGGGACGCACCCACGGCCCCGCCCGACAACAACGGCGATGGCACGCCCGACGGTGCACCGGTCGCTGCCCCTCAGCAGCCTGCCGAAGGACAGCAGCCCGCGACGCCTGCGCCTGCTCCTCAGCAGCCTGCCACGCCTGCTGAGCCTGCCCCTTCCACACCTGCTGATCCCGCTCCTGCTACACCTGCTCAGCCTGCCCCTGCTGCCCCTGCTGCCCCTGCTGCCCCTGCTGCCCCTGCTGCCCCTGCTGCCCCTGCTGCCCCTGCTGCCCCTGCTGCCCCTGCTGCCCCCGCTGCCCCCGCTGCCCCCGCTCAGCCTGCTGAACCAGAGCCTGCTGCGCCAGCCGCGCCCGTTCAACCCACTGAGCCAGCGACTCCCGCCGTGCCTACTGCGCCCTCGACGCAGACCCCCGAGGCACCCCAGGAGGACGACAAGGCGCCCGAAGCGACGTCGCCGGCTGATCACACCGACAAGAAGGAGCCGGCAGCTACCACCCCTGCTGCGCCTGCGGTGCCCGCCACTCCTGCTACCCCTGCCACCCCGGCTGCACCCAAGCCCGAGGTGCCCGCGCCCGGTGCAACGGCCCCACCGGCCAATCCCGACGTATCGGACGGAATTGACTGGAGCGACAACCCGATCTAGTGAGTTTTTTCAATCCCTGCCTTTGCTTCAATTGCTAAGAGGCTCGCTGTTCTCTCTGTTCACCAGTGCGCCCGGAAAGGAGCCATTGGGAGGTGACGTGCTGGGTCGGGGTGACCCCAACGTGGCTGCCCCGCCATCGATGGGCGACGCGCCGACGCCTACGCCTCCGGCCAACAACGACGGAGATGACTCGGCCGACACGCCTGCGCCTGCCGCACCCGCCGCACCCGCTGCTCCAGCTGGCAAGACGGCCGCGTCCACCAAGAAGAAGCTCTTTGGAAAGAGTGTCAAGGCCTAGGTCATGGACTTGCGCCTCTCTCTCATAGCATTTTGGACAATCTCTTTCCATTCCCCCTTCCTACACCTCAACTCTTACTATTGCGCTCGATCGTAGTCATACTCCTTCGCTTGGCGAGCAGCGTCTCTCGTCCATTCTGTCGTGTCAGCTTGTAAGGAATTCTCTGAAATACCAAGTCTGTTGCATTGCGCTCCTCCGCCCTCCCTGTTCATCAGTGGCAGGTGTGGGCTCTTTGGTGCCTGGCCTTGGCGTTTTTGCTCGCTCTACCTGGAAAGAGACAGAGGAAAGAGCGGGCAGAGTGACGGGGTTGGGTGACGACAAAGTAAGAGGATGAAGGCCAGTCATTGAGCTTGGCCAAAGGCCGCCCGCGTGACTGGGCACGCCATGTCCCGAGCAAGTCGTACTCCGCCCGCTCAACCTGCTTACATTAGCGCTTGCGCCAAACACCGATAACGTCCTACCATGTCTAGCACAACATCAAGAGAGCGAGCGCATCGTGCAATTTGTGAGACTGCATAGTCGGCGCGCACGGATCGAAGACCGGATCCCACTTCTTCTGATCGACTACTAGTCGGAGTCGCGCCTCTTCCCCTCGGTGTTGCCGCCGCGAGTCGGGCGGTGATTCGGTCGGGCCTTATCTCTATCTGGGTAAATTTCCATCGATCCCTTCTTCCGAGTTGCGAAAAAAAACACAGCAGAAGAAAGAATAACTAAGGAAAAAAAGAATCGGAAAAGGGGTGCGTCCAGGTGCAGATGACGCTAGCCACACTAGCTGTTGTAATCTGTGACCCTCAAAGTTTACCTAAGGAAGACGAGCACTCTCGTTCTTATCGACGGACAAAGAAGCAAAAGCGGAGACTTGTCCGAGTGAGACAGCTAGTGTGTGTAGTGTGTAGTGTAGTGTGAGCGGACCATGCGGTAAGAAAAAAAAACAAAGACTGGCGAGGCCGCGAGACCGACCAGCGCCGGACTGAGGTACGAACAGGCTAGCTAGTCGGCACGAACGGTCGTCAGCCAGGAACAACGAGGCAGAACGAGCGAACAAGGGTAGCTTTGCTCGCATTTGTACGCTGTGCGTGGGTGTCTAGCTAGTAGTGCATGTATTAGTAGTGGCAGCAGTACGTAGTACTAGTGACTTGCTTGCTTGCGTGCGTGCAAACAGTGCATACACCGGCGGGTTGAAGCAAGAAGCAAATAAAAGGTGCTACGACCTCTTCTGCTCCCTTACCCTTCCCCCGTCCCTTTCCACCCCTCCGCATCCCACCTTCCCCTCCTTTCCCTTCCTCTTCCCTCCGTTTCTGTCCGCCCTTGCGTTCGGCCTCGTCCCTCCTCTGCTCTTTCTTCCCCTCCCTTGGTTTCCCCCTTCAACATCTACCCGGTCTCGTCATGCGTTTCACAGCGCCCCTCGTTTCGCTTGTCGTTGCGGCTTCGTGCCTCGTACTGTCCTCCTCTGCGCTTCCCTCTAGCAAGCCATCGCAGAAGAAGCATGCCTCTGGTGAGTATCAAAGGGGCCACTGTCGCTTTGCCTTGATGTATACCTCCACTCCAGTCCAAACTTGAGCTGACAATTTGCCCCCCTCCCCCCGCTCCGACGATGCAAAAGACTACCACGTCGACGGCAAGCACCTGCCCGGTGTGCCATTCGAGGTGCCTGACAGCTACGCGGGGCTGATGCCCATCTCGGCCGACCCAAAGGAGACGCGCGAGTTCTTCTTCTGGTGGTACAAGGCCGAGTCGGACGTCGGCAAGGATGACCTCGTCCTCTGGTGAGTCGACTGCGAGGACCTCAGATGCCCGCCCACAAAGAGCTGACGACCAGACTGGGATCCAACCAAACTAAGGCTCAATGGCGGTCCAGGCTGCTCGTCGCTCGAGGGTCTGCTGCAAGAGAATGGGCCCTTCTTGCTCCCGTTCAACAGCACCGACGTGGTCAAGAACGAGTACAGCTGGACGAAGCTGGCCAACGTCTTTTGGGTCGAGCAGCCCGTCTCGGTCGGCCTCGGAAAGGGCAAGCCGGACATCAAGAATGAAAAGGAGCTCGCGGCCGAGTTCTACTCCTTCCTCGTTCAGTGTGAGTTTTCACCCGCTTTCGTCAATAGGGGTTTTGGAGAGAAGAGCTGAACGGCGACGCATACAGTCTACTCGACCTTCCCCGAGCTCAAGGGCAAGAAGCTGTACCTGACGGGCGAGAGCTACGCGGGCAAGTACATTCCTTACATCGCCAACGAGATCTTCTTCAACCACTCTCCCAAGGAAAACAACAAGCACGGCATCAACTTCCAGGGCATTTCCATCAATGATCCTTCCTTTGTTCCCGACTTTTTCGGCGAGGAGGTGCCCTCGATCGAATACGCCAAGAAGAACCAGCAGGATATGCTGCTCAACGATACGTTCATCCAGCAGCTCGAGCAGGGCGCCAAGAAGAACGGCATCTACCAGTACGTGGAGAAGAACCTCGTCTACCCGCCCAAGGGCGCCATTACGATCCCCAAGCAGTACAGCGAGAGCTTCCAGCCGTTTGAGCAGATTGTTGCTGCAGCCCAGCTGGCCAACCCCAACTTCAACATCTACGACATCGACCCAAAGTACCGCTACCCGATCTACGACCCGCTCGGCTACCCTCCGGCCGACGTCGACGCCTCGCCGACAAACTTTATCAACAACGTCACTGGTTTCAAGCAGGCCATCCACGCCGACCCAAGCACGACGTGGCTCGAGTGCGTCGACGGCGTCTTCCTCAACGACGATGACCTCAGCCCGGCGCCGACGGACACCGAAATCTTCCGCAAGCTCATTGAGAAGTCGCCCTCGGGCCGGACGATTGTCCAGCACGGCGAACGCGACTTTGTCCTCATTGCCAACGGCTCTGCCCTCGGCATCCAGAACACGACGTGGAACGGCAAGCAAGGGTTCCAGAAGCCGCCGACGAAGCAGCTCGTTTTCAAGGGAAAGGACAAGGGCCTGATCCAGACCGAGAGGGGCCTCACCTTCTTCAGGCCGACGAGCAGCGGTCACATGATTCCGCAGGTGGGTGTTTATAACAAAGAGCTAAGAAAGGCGTCGGAAGAGCTCACCCACAAAGTATTCCTTTACAGGACGACCCCCAGTCGGCCTACAAGATGCTCCAGTTCTTCCTGGGCCAGATCAAAGAGAAGGACCTGTACCACTAGCTGGCTTGACTTCAAAATTAGTTCAGACGCAATGCCCGCTACCCATTGAGCGCTCCACTAAGTCTTTGTGAGCGACTTTTTTTTTATTCCGGCCGGGAGGTGAGCGCTCCGCGCTCAGTCAGTGAGCAACGCAAAAGTGGAGCTCGGTCTCGGTAATTCTCCACCAAATTAGACGCGACGTACAGTACAGTAGTACAGGTAAGCTGTAAGCTGACCCGTGGAGGTGGAGCTTGTGTGCCTCGAAAAAAAGTCCGAGCTGCGAAAGAAACGGAAGAACCAGCTGCGTGAATGACGGTGGGGTCCGCCAGTTTGTTTGTCATCATCGGAAGCAAAGTATATAAAGGACAGCCTTGTTCACCTTGATACCCATCATCCAGAAGCTATCTTAAGAACGACAATGACAACACCTCAAGTATCTCTCGGCGGTGAGGCACACGCGATCAAGATTGGCCAGATCGGGTACGGTCTCATGGGCCTGACATGGCGCGACGCCTCGACATTTCGTGAGTGTCTGTCGTGTGCACCCTGTCATATTTGTCCACCTCTCTTTTGTATGCAGATGTGCATGTGTGCTGACGGGCGCCCATGACGATAGCCTCGGACGAATCGGCATTTGCCGTCATGAAGCAATCTGTCGATGCCGGCTGCACCCTCTGGGATGCTGGCGCCTTCTACGGCCCGCCCACGCACTCTGACGCCAACCTGACGCTAGTACGGCGCTTCTTTGAAAAGTACCCCGACTACAAGGAGCGCGTCGTGCTGTGTGTCAAGGGCGGCATTGTGATGGACACCTACCGTGAAAAGGGCATGCCCGGCCTCGCACCAGACATGAGCGAGGACAATCTCCGTAATGATCTTCGTGAGATCCGAGAGGCGCTGGGCAGCGATCAAGGCGGGCACGACGTTGATCTGTACGAAGTCTGCAGGATAGACAAGCGGGTGAGTTTGTCCCACAACAGCGGCTACTCGCTTCAGGGCAAGACTAACCTTATCGATATCTGCCTTTTTGTAACAGCACACGACAGAGCAATGGATGAAGACACTTTTGAAGCTGCGGAGCGAGGGCTTGTTCAAGCACATCGCTCTCTCCGAGGTCGGCGCTCAGACGATCCGCGACGCCGCCGCCGTGGGGCCCGTGTCAGCTGTCGAGATTGAGTTCTCGCCTTGGGAGCTCGAGGCCGAGAAGAATGGCGTCATTGAGGCATGCGAGTCGCTCCAAATCCCCATCTTGGCCTACAGCCCCGTCGGCAAGGGTATGCTGACGGGCGCCATCAAATCGCGAGATGACATTCCCAAGGGTGATATTCGTCTGCACCAGGACAGGTTCAGCGAGGAAAACTTTGACAAAAACATCCGCCTCGGTCAGGCCTTCCAGGACCTTGCGCAGAGAAAGGGATGCACTGCTGCGCAGCTCGTGCTGGCCTGGAACATTGCGCGCAACCCGTCGATCATGGTGCCTATCCCCGGCTCGACAAATGTCGGCAGGGCCAAGGAGAACGCGGAGAGCGTCAAGGTCAAGGTCACAGACGAGGACGACAAGAGCATCCGAGACATTCTCGAGACAATGGGCGTCGCTGGAGGGCGATACTCTGCCGTGATTCGCGCACACGGGTCTCTCTGGGCCTAGCTGTCCGGATTTATTGGCGAGCTTGGCGTGTTCCTATATCGCGCGTACCGCTGCCATGGTTCCTGTACCGACACCCTGTCTAGATCGCAATTTAGATTACATAAGCAATGCGCGTTTTAGTTCGTGTTGACAAAAATCCAGCCTGGGTTCTCGTCGTCATCCCCTCGCGCCCTCCCCGTTTCTCGCCTCGTCTCTTTCGTCCTCATCGACTCACGCTCCCTCGCATATCTACATACACGCACGTTCACGTTTTCTCGTGTCCATTCATCGCCCTCCCTTCTTCCTTTTCTCTCTCTCTCTCTCTCTCTCTCTCTCTCTCTCTCTCTCTCTCTCTTTTCCTCTCTCCTCTCTCTTACGATACGGTCATTCCAGGGCAAGCTTCCGGCAGCACACGCTTGGACTGTTACGACAAACCCTCTCGGACGACGAACAAGACGACAACGGACATCTCCACTCGAAGTAACCTCTATCTATTGACGTGAAAGAAGGCATCGATTCTCCCGCTCTGAGGAGGCTTTCATCGCGTAAACGGGCCCACCTTTGCGCTACAGAAACACCTCGCCAGTAGTTTCTGCACACTTTTCTCCACTGGCACCAGAAGAGAAAGAGGAAGCCATACTAGAGTTCAGCAGTGTCTCAATATCCTTGGGCGGCTCTCAAGATTTACAACTTTCATCCTGCAACTACGTGCGAAGACCTCGCGAGTCCTTTTGCTATCGTAATTCACAGGTATCTTTCGCATATAGACGGCCAATGACGTCCAATAACAACCAGGATAATGCAGCGCCAGGGCTAGGGCAAGGGCAAGGCGCGGGAGGAGCAGCATCAGCACCAGCGCCAGCAGCACCAGCATCGGCAGCGGGACCAGCGGCCAGATCAGTGCCCTTGACATGCTCAGGGCATACGCGGCCCGTTGTCCACCTCGAATTCTCGGAGCAACAGGACGACGGGTCCTACTCGATGCTGTCGAGCTGCAAGGATGGCAATCCTATGCTCCGTGACTGGCTCGGAGACTGGATTGGGACATTCTTGGGTCACAAGGGCGCCGTCTGGTCCAGCAAGCTCAGCGGAGGCGACGCTTCGAGGGCAGTAACGGGTAGCGCGGATTTCTCAGCGTGAGTGCACGAGCCACTGAGCAGTGGAGCTGAGGAAAGAAAGAAGAGGCATGTGCTCACCTAGCAATCGAATGGTATGGATGCACAGTAAGGTTTGGGATACCTACACGGGTTCCTGTCTGCACACCTTTCCGCACAATCACATTGTCCGCTCAGTCGCGATCGACGCCAAGGGCCAACGGATCCTGACCGGCGGACACGAGAAGAAGCTCAGGCTGTTTGATCTGGCTAGACCAGACGCCGAGCCTTCGTTGTTGAGCACTGCAGGGAACGACAAGCAACTAGCCCACGAGGGCAATATCAAGAGCGTTGTTTGGCAGCGAGGCGACGGCGAGGCGACGGCGGTGAGCGCGGGCGAGGACAAGATCGTGAGGTGGGTCTAGTCTGGTCTTAGCTCCCTCCCTTGGGCATTGCTGAATTACTGTTGCTGCACGACAGATGGTGGGATCTCAGAAACATGACAAAAACGGGCGAAATGACGCTCGAGGATCCGATCACATCGATGGAACGGTCTGCGGGCGTACTGGGCGAACTGCTGACGGTGACGGCGGGCAAAAAGGTTCTCTTTATTGATGCTCAGCTGTAGGTATTCCCTTTTCATCCCGTGTAGAGCGAGAATGTCTCACTCACCCCTCGCTTATTCGAAACAGACGTGAGTTGAGAAAGGAGCACAGGCTGGCACTTCCACCTTCGTCGGCCTCGCTGCACCCGACGATGGCCGACAGGTTCGTCGCTGGCTGCACCTCGGACGGCTGGGTTCGAATCTACGACTACGAGACCGGCGCCGAACGTGAGCTGCACAAGGGCCACCACGGGCCTGCTCACGCTGTGTCGTACAGCCCAGACGGCGAGCTAGCTGCTAGCGGGTCGGAGGATGGCACCATTCGCCTGTGGCAGACGTGGCCGGGGAAACGGTATGGCCTGTGGGCATAGCTTTTCTGGCGGCATCTGTACAATCATCTGCAGCGAAAGGAGAAAATGAGATGAAATTTGCCAGGCGCAACTCATCGGGGAGTGACGATAATGGACTGAGAAGGAAGAAAGGTGGATTTGAAAGGCTATGCTACACGACAATTGACGAGAGAGAAGGAGAAGTGAAGGTCCGCGCAGAGAAATTCATGGGGGAAGGGGAAGGGACACCCAAGCCCTTGGGAGAGAAAAAGCATGTATCCAGTCCTTTGATTGATCAAGAAGAAAAGACCTCTTGCGGTTGTCCACGTTGGGCCATGAGAGAAGTAGAAAGTGACAAAAGACTCGACATGGGTATCATGGAGGGCCGTGGGTGGCGATTGTTCTCGATCGCAACTTTCTCTCGATTTTGGCCGGTGATGGTACTTTTGCCGATCGTTCCTCGAGCCGCATCCTCATGTCGTCACGCAATCACCGATTCGATCCTATTTTCCTTTTCTTCGACCACTTTACCATATTGTTTTTCTTTCAGTCGACGACGCCCTGACATCGTCGTCATTGATGAGTCTCTTCGACCTTTGCGGTCACTCCTTCCGCGTAGAGCTGCTGCGCTCTCATAGCGCCATGCTCAGACATGTATCTCGTCTGTTGCTGCTGTTGTTGATTATGATGAAAATGCTGAACGGGCGTAAGTGGCGGAAGGCGGACCTGGGAGACCGTTGGCTGTTGCTGTTGACACTGCTGTTGAGGATGAGCTGGAGCGCTGAAGTGGCCATGGTGCTGCTGATGCGCGTTGTAAGGAGACTGCAGTGACAGAGGCATCGGAGTCGAAGGTTCGTAGAACGAGAAACAAGCAGAGGTCGTCGTGGCCGGAAGCGAGTTTTCGCTCTTTGGAAACGACGAATTCTGCAAGGGGGTCGCCGGTGCGTCCATCGAAGGCAGTTCGCTCGACGCGAAGGAGCTTTGACCGTCAATGGACGGCATGATCTGGTGTCCTCGCTGAGGGGTGTGGTGCTGAGGGGTAGGGTGTTGCATGTGCTGATGCTGGTAGTCACGGTCCGGCTGGTGGTGATGGCGACCTGAAGCTTCGTCCTGAGAGATCCCCTTGGGGCTGTACAAATCGCCAGAAGGTGCCGGGGGAGGTGGAGGCAAGACACTGGCACTGGTAGGGTAGTAGTAGCTCGGCTGTGCGAAGCTTTGGTGTAGGTATACTGTCGTGGGCGGCGACGTGACCGACGGGCTCTGGGGCTGCGTCATGGTGCTCGAGGAGGTGTGATAGTCAGCACTGCTCCGTCTCGACGTTGGCGCACTCTCTTGGGTGCCATCGATGCTATTGCTGTTGGTCTCGCTGTACGTGTTGTAGTAAAGTAACCCTGCCTGCTGTTCGGCCGGAGCTCCAAAGCCAGAGTTACCAAAGCTGCTGCCAATGAAGGACGGCAAGTCGCTGTGGCTTCTTGCCATGCCCGCTCGAAAGCTGAACGAAGGCAATGGTCCAGAATTGCTACCAATTGTCACCGGACCTATGGTGCCCTGATCCCGACCGTGGCTGCTTTTAATCACGGCTGCATGGTTGCGGCGAGTGTGCTTTGTCAATGTCGTCTTACGGCAGTAGCTCTTGCCGCAGCCCTGTTTAGAGTAGCTCTGGTCAGCTGCGGCCGTGCGACCCGAACCCCACCTGGCCCCACCTAAACCTACCTCAACGAGACATCGGTAAGGTCGACGACCTGAGTGGATACGTCGATGGCGAGCCAACGAGCTTGAGTCGGAGCTACAAAATTCCCGATCAAATTTGAGCGTTGGGGACGGATATTTGACGATTGTAAACTCACAAGGCCTTCAAGCAAGTATCGCACACATGAGGTCTCTCGCCTGTGTGAACGCGCGTGTGTACCGTCAGGGCCGATCGCTGAATGAAGGTCTTGCCACAGTCCTGGTATGGACACGCGCTGAGAACGAAGAGAAGATTGTCAGGCGGGCTACTCGCATACATTGACAGGAGTTTCAAAGCAGAGTCGAGACTCACTAGGGGCGCTCGTTGGAGTGAATGCGTGCGTGTCTGTTTTGAGCAGATATGAAGTGATGATCATTTTAGCGTCGTGTCCAAAATGACCGCGCACCGCAGAGCCCAGGTGCCGTCGTGTACCAAAACAAAAGGATCGAGAACAATGGGCTGCGCCACCAAGTGTAATTTAAGCTTGGCCGCGCGCCTACTCTTGGAAAGACAATAGGAAGTCTGCAGGCAGACAGGAAATAGTCCTTCGTCCTCCGACATCCAAGTGTGGGAAGCCCTGAGGCTTTCTTCCGAGAAGATTATCCAGCCAAGGCCCAAATGGGGAATTTCTGCGTGAAAAAACACCATGAGAGACAGGCCAGGCGCTGCTCCGCCCTGTTTTTGTACGGATCTCCTCGCAAGTAAAAGGCGTACCGGCCGATTCTTGCAGAGCCACGGCAGAAAGCTGCATACCGATAGAGTGACGACACTGTACCAGTGATCAATCTTCGGGTTCCCGCCCGTGCACAATACTGCAATCGTGGGACAAAACCCTTTATCGAGCACACCTGCATCACGGCCACAACAGACCCACGAGTCTGGGCCTGCACGTTGACCTTAGAAGACTCACCGCATCAGATCTGAGCGCCTTTTGACCGAAGAATGTTTGGTAGATCACCAAAATAATGGGCGAGACGATCGAAAGAGATGGGGTCGGCAGATTTGCGTGGGACATTTCGACGTAGCGCCATACAACAATTGTTCCGACGTGGGGAGGTGGGGAGGCCGTTGGGGTCGGACAATGAATGCAAAGCGAACGTCCATTGGACAATGCAGCAGCGGGGAGGGAGAGATTAATGATTTTCTCGTCAATCTCCAGCGGGTAGACGGTAGTACGCAGCTGCCTCACCGGCTGAAAGCTTTGGGACAGCCTCTGAATTTGCATTCAAAGGGCCGTATCTCGGACCTCTGATCATCGTGAACGAGCTCTGTTGCATCAAAGAATCGATGTGAGCGAGGCGACCAGGAGGAATGGGAAGTTTCGAGGTGAAGAATGAGTATACAAGGACCAAGTCTCACCGAGAATGTCCATGCTGGTGTTCCTGGTCAAGTTGACTAGAGTTGTCGGCTGCTTGTTGCGGCAATTGCTTCTTTATTGGCGAATTTATTCGTCGAGGTCAGGAGCGAAGACAAGGCCGATTGAGAGGAGGTGATTAGGGTGATGACACCGTCAGAATACGACTTTCAAAAGTTGGAAGATCGTGGCCCTAGGTTTCCAAAAAGGTTGGGTTGAGAAGCAGGTTACCAACGGAAGGGGAGGGGAGGTGTTTCGTTCCGCTCGCCTCTTAAAGAGCTTCGACGGGATTCCTTTCCGTCAGAAAGAGAGTGGTCAGGAAGAAAGAGCGGGCGGTGTTTCGTCTCGAGGGGAAGCGAACCAAAAGCAGGACAAAGGGGCCAGATTGAAGAAAGGGCCATTCAATAAATTGCATCACTGATTTTATATTTTATATTTCCACTTATCCACTTTCGCCTCTCCTCCGTCGTTCTCTTTCTCGCACTCTTTCGCTTATCAACGCTCTCAATTCATGTCAAAACCGACAATGTCTTTCGCTTGAGCGCCTATGCATCTGATCTGGCATCGAGTACGGGCCTCGCGGAATATGTAAAATAGCACAAGCTAGTGCCATCGGACCCAGTGGGGCACGACCTTTAAAAGTCCCGAGTCGTGATGAGGCGGCGACACGGTCCGTGAACGCTTCATCAACCAGATTACGGCCTCTCTCTGATTTGCCTCACGGTTTTCTGTTCTGCCCGCTTTTATTTGCCCGTCGACCAATTGGCAACCCTAGCCACTGCCCAGAGAAGAGGGGTCCCGACTGCGCTGTGCACTTGACCCCCACTTCATAACTGGTGTGTGGCACCATATGTATCGGCAAGAGCGCGGGTTAAAATTTCTTCGAATTTTTGTTCTTGATCCCACAGAACACACTCACTAATCAAGTTCGCTTCCGCTCATTGTGCCGCTCAATTTTCGGGGAAGGGCTACAGCGATGGGCAAAAGCACATGCTGTGCGTCAGAAACTTAGGCGATTGAAGGGGAAGCGCAACCAGAGGGTCTGTGCTCCTCTCTTATCCGCTCATTCTGGGCAAGTAAGTGCAAAGCTGACGTTTCCAGCTAAAGTCAATTCCGGGTAGAAGAGAGAATGCGGAGTCCAGCCGGATGAGGGAACAAGCACTTCCTAAGTCACTCGGCTGCTCAGAGTGCGCAGTCCGTGCAAACATGTCCGCGGAGAGGGGGCCTTCCCTTCGAGCCCTTTATCTGACCTGTACTTTGCAATTTAGTTGTCGCTAGAGTGGCTAAAGTTGCATTGGAGGACTTTGTGCATGATCATTTGGTGCACGGAGAAGATTGTCTACCCTGATATAGCTCCCCATCTTATTGTTCTTCTTCTACCCTACTCTACTCTTCAAGAGGTCAGTGCAGTGGGGTGTTGGTACGAGGCTCTCTGAAGAGAAATACAGAGCGAGATTAAAGCGAAGAAGGAAGTGAGAAGGTAGCAAGCTGCTTTTGATGTTGTTTGATCTGTGAAGAGGAGGAATTCTCGGCTTTGGCTCAAGTCTAAGGCTCAACATTTTTGCCACAGAGGCACAATGGGGGAACGAGACCTGGGTCTGCGATAAGTGCAAAGCAACAGGAGGCCGGTCCCCCCACTCTGCAGCTTCCTTGTATGTGTTTTGTGAGATATGCAAATAGAGAAATTGGAAGAGAAGGGCCGTGCTTATAAATTCGGAGCTACGGAACACATAGTGGCGGCACGAAGAAGGTCTGACACTGCCTTGGCTCACTCGCTTTACAGTATGTCTTGCAGGGGACCGCAATGCGTTCCTGAGTGCTTTTTTTTTACTCTCCTATCTTGCATTCATTGATGGTGGCTCTTAACGATCTGCGGTGGTGCGACAGAGATCGGAGAGAGGCAACATCATTGAAGATGCAGTCTCAGCGATCTCGAACTTCGGTCACGCAGACGAAGGCTAAGTCCAAGAGACTTGCTAGAGGTTCAAGGCAGAGCTTTAGTTGAACATGAGTAAAGGCTTGAATAAGTTTCGGCCTGCCATTTTGAGGTCTGCGCATGCTAAAATCTCGTGTGTGAGGATCATCGTGGAATTCATTCGAAAACCCTAAACCTCCCAGGTCGCCAGGAAGACGACAATGCCCATATGTAGCATCCTTTAGGCTTCTGAGCGACTACAGCGAAGTTGTTTTCCGTCCCTGATTTTGTCAGTCGAGACAAAGTCAGAATTCTTGAGCTGCCAACGTGTGCTGCCTACAAAGGGCAGCCTACGATTCGGCGCCTTATTCTTATTTGCGCCCTGCCTGCCCCTCCGCAGACTATCCGATGACGATTGACTGCTTATTTCACCCCGCAATGCCTCACTGAGATATTTATTACATGATATGACAAATGCGCCGTGCCTACCTTCTCCACACTTTTGATTGCATAATCCAAGGCGTTGCGAACAGCGTATTTGACCCTTCCTTGTATGTTGCGAAAGACAAAGCAAGGAGAACTCAAAGATGCAGTAGTGTCTCTGTGCTCGAACTTCTTGTGTGAAAGGTGCCTTGTCTTCTCATTCCAATCACCCTGCACTCCTTCTTTCCTACCACTCCTTCGCCCCTTTCCCCTTCGACATAAAGAAAGCAGCATAAGCTAACATGTCCTCGTCTTCGCGTAAAGACAACAAGGAGCTCGAGTCTGAGCAGAAGAACATCAAGCTCAAGCCCGAGGAGCTCAAGGACACCGACGCCGAGGATGAGTTCAAAAGTGAAGGGGGCAAGTTCAAGAAGCAGCACAACCAGAGCGGCTCGGACCCGTCATCGCAGAGCGCAGGCATCGCCGGTGGAGCCAAGCCGACGAACGAGGACTTGGAAAAGGAGCAAAAGAGTACAAAGCTCAGGCCAGACGAGCTCATGGACACGGATGTCGAGGAAGAATACAAGGGCGAAGGCGGCAAGTTCAAGAAGAACAATGGCAAGTCGAAGCTCTGAGCATTCGCGGGCGCTTGCAAACATATATATGCATGCTATTTGAGTGACAGTGTCTTCTGCTTGGTCTCATGTGCCCCGCTGCGTTCATGACCTATATAATCCCCTCTCCTTCTCTGTCGTGGCAATAATAGAAACGCAAGTTCATAAGCCGCATGAGAGAGAGAATGTTGAGGTAACAATTGGAGTGACGCCAAGGTCCGGTGGTGGCCCATGCGAGAAAAAGAAACGTGTCTCGCTCTTCCCAAGCTTTCCTTCTGACAGACGCACATCGACCAGCTTGTCTTCTGGCGCGACAACTGACGAACAGCAGCTCTCAGCCATGTCAGACTTTGACGCTGCTTCCGTGCAGTCCTTTGCCATCGACCTGGCCAAGCGAGCGGGCAAAGTCATCCTGGACGGCTCTTCGAAGCGCTTTGCAGACCAGGCCACAGGTCAGCAGTCTTCCGCTGCAGACGATCTGATCAAGAAGAACACGGCGGACCTCGTGACAGAGGTGGACCAGGCCACCGAGGAGTTTGTCAAGGCCGAGATTAAGCGGCAGTACCCCTCGCACAAGTTCATTGGCGAGGAGAGCTGGGCGGCGGGGCAACAGAACCAGCTCGAAGACGCGCCCTCGTGGATCGTCGACCCCATCGACGGCACGACGAACTTTGTCACGGGTTTTCCCTTTGTCGCCATCTCCATCGGCATCACCTACAAGTCCAAGGCCGTCATCGGCGTCGTGTATGCGCCCTTTCTCGACACGCTCTTCTACGCTCGAGAGGGCGGGGGCGCCTTTGTGGAGTCGCCCCAGCATCGCCAGGCGAGGAAGCTGCCGCTGAATCAGCCGCTGCCGCTGCCGAGCCTCAAGCAGGCCGTCGTGGCCGTCGAGTGGGGCAGCGACCGCAAGCTGTCAACGATTGACAAAAAGACAAAGTTCTTTGCGAGCCTCTGCGGTGATGCCGACCAGGGCGTCGAGGGCGGCCAGATGGTCCGAGGTGAGTAGCCAAGGGACGATGACTGTGAGGGGCCCGATTCGCTGACAGATCAAACAGGCGTGCGCAGCATCGGGAGCGCAGCACTGAGCTGCTGTTTCGTCGCCGAAGGCTCCCTCGACCTGTGGCACGAGATCGGCTGCTGGATCTGGGACGTGTGCGCAGGCATCGTCATCCTCCAGGAAGCCGGCGGCCTCGTCGTGGGCGCAAAGCAGGACACCCTCGACAAGATCAAGGCCAACTCAAAGGAGCTGGGCACAGCCACGCCCGAAATCCTCCAGGGCAGAAAGTACCTCGTGGTGCGCAACACGAGTCCGCGCGAGGACCAGATCAAGACGGTCACGGCCTTCTACCAGACGATGGACGAGTGGAATGCTGCATAAGCTCGAGCGGCACGCAAAGCATGAATGAAGTCTGAATGCCATGAATTCTACTGCTGAAAATGGGGATATGGACGTTCTTCTATAGATGCTACTACCGCCTCTTGTTCTTCTTCTTCTTCTGCTGCTGCTCGCTGCTGCTTGTCTTGGACAGCGCTTTCCGCTCCACGGTGGGCGTCGTCGAGGTCCTCTTTGGCAGCGACGACCAGTAGGTGAGCATGGCAATGCCATTGCCAATTGCCAAGCCCATGCTGGCGCCGAGGATGGTGGGAATTGGAAACGCCTGCCATGCCTTGTCCCAATCGAGGAGCATGCCTGCCGAGCCGATGAAACCACCAAGGAGTGGGCCGTAGACGATTGTGCTCAGCAGCCTGAAGCGCTTTGCGCCTCGCTTGGTCTCGTCGGACGCAAAGGCAGCGGCGCTAAATGTGCTGCACCACTCGTCGACGTCGGTGCCCAGCAAGTGCACGGCGGGAAGAAGCGCGAGCGTGGCGAGGTAGAAGCTCGCGACGAGGCCATCGAGCGGGTTTGTGAGCAGCGGCGCACCGAGGAGAAAGGCGATGGCGAAGAGGGCGAGCATGGGCAGGGGCAGGGCAAACGAAGTCAAGGTGACGCCCTCCATCTGCTTGCCAATGCCGACACGCCTGCGCTTGAGAACCTCTTCCCGGTCGCCCCGGTCCATGGCCTCGGCCTCGTCCCACCAGCCCTTGAAGCGGGCGACGAACCAGCCCTGGGCGAGAAACGTGGCGGCGAGGGCACTCCTGTACGACCGGCGGATCCAGGCGGCTCCTGCCCTGTCGCTGGAGGGCAGGCCAAAGAGGAGCGAGAGGGCGGCAGATAGGTTGCGGAAAAAGGACTCGGAGCTACCGTCGAGCGCAACATCGGACAGCATCGAGGTGGCCAGCGGCGACGATGGCGGCTGCTCGCCCACGGTGGCCTGGGCCAGGGCAGAGGCCGACGACGTCTTTCGTGCCTGTCTCCAGATGAGGTGCGAAGGGAGAAGCCAGAGACTGAGAAGCACCAGCACCGTATTGACAGAGAGGAGCACAACGAGCTGAAGCGTGTGCGAGGCAGAGGCCAGCGCTGGTCCCTTGATGGTCTTGTCCCTCGGATCATCTGCCGCCGCTCCACCCGCTCCCACCTGTCCCTGCCTGTTCGCGCCTTGATTTGGAGTGGAGCTCGCGAGAGCACCGGCGGAGGAGGACGACGAAACCATAATTCCTCAGCCTTGAGGTGAACGTTTGGTCGTCCTTCGATCAGTGGTCGCGAAAAGAAAATAATGAAAGTCGGTGTCCTCTGAATCCTTTCTTCTCCGTGCCTTCTTTTTTTCCACACCCTCCACAACCAAAACCGCACGTAAGTAGTGTGCGGCAGACATTCTCACCAACGCGATCTTGGTCATGGCAAGACGATGAGCATCTCGTTCGCAGCGCTCCAGCCTCAGAGGGGCCTACAGCGGCTCGGCCTCTCATTTGGCCAGGGTGCGCTCCTCTGCCGACGAGGACTCCATACCAGCAGCGTCGTTGGCAGCAGTCAGCGAAGGGCGCCGCGCATGTACCGCTACGTCCAAGATGTCCACGGCCAGCTGTTTCTGCACGACACGGTGCCCAAGAATCTGACGTCGTGCTTCAAGAATGCGCAATTTCTCGACTTTTTCATCGCGCGTCTCCGGCCTAACCCTGCGTCAGCTATCGAGACAAGAACCTTGACGATTTCGGTCGACGACGAGGACGCATACCGAGGCCAGGAAGACGCAGAGGAGGACTGGACACTCGACGACGGCCTGGCAGAGGACGAGGCGTGCAGGAGGGCAGATGCGAGGGGTTACCACTGGGTAAGCCCATGCCAGGGCGAGCTCAACTTTGTCAGGTGCCATGGGAGCCCCGTCGTCTTTCGCGACCTGGTCAAGGATGACTCGGGCGAGGGTCTGGGCGGTGACAAGCTGAGATGGGCTGGCGGGTACCATGAACCGTTCCAGCCGCACAGACTCATGGTCGATGCGTGAGAGCAGGCGGCAAACATTGAGAGGGAAGGACTCAAGAGCTGACTTGTCTCATACGCAGAGCGACAGGATACGTTTACCACCCTTCGCCCACGCCGCCCCTCCGGTCAGCGCAGCGCAAGATGAGCGAGGGCAGAGAGAAGAACCCGTTTGGCGACTACAGCCTCCTGGCATCGGCCCTTGTCCTCGAGCGCCTGGCTTCATCGCTGGAGCTGGACCCCGACGCCTTCGAGCACGGCAAGGGCGGCAGCATCGAGTGGCGAGGCAAACGCTATGAAATGGGCGTCCTCTAGACCTTCTTACACATTGTACAGTACAGCGGTGGCAACCATGTTCATGAGAGATTGTATTGGGTTTGGCTCTTTTGATGCATTTTCTACTTTTGAACCAATGTTGCACCACCGCTCTGAGGACGAGAGAGATGCATGAGCTCATCTGGACTTTCCAAGCGCAGCGAAGAGAAAAGACTCACCATGACGGCCTCCATCTCCTTTTCCTCCCATTCCAACGCTGGCGTCTTCCAGAACCTCGCCGGGAGCTGGGTGACATCGTCTACCGCCTCGGGGTTGTCGCTTGCCATGAGACCGCCCTTTGTTTTCCCCCCATCGCCGCCACCGCCGCTCTTGCCCTGCGACGGGCTGGACTGCTCCACTTTGGACGGGTCAAAGTGGGGGCCCGACTTGAAGACTTCCTGGAAGTGGTCAAAGGACTTGGCAACTTCCTTTGGTGCCGCTGGGTGCGGATGAGGCGTGTGCGGCTCCGCTATTTAGAACAACATCTTTCCTAGTCAGCCGTTGCCGAGCAAAAACAGGAGAGCTAGAAGGAGGCTTGGAGAGAGGGAGAGAAGGAGCTGTGGAGCAGAGGGAAGACGTCCACACACTCACACGAAGACGAGCCGTTGTGGCGCTCCGGGAACTTGATCATGGGCTGGTGCACCCTCGCACGACGGACAATTGTTCGCAACATCCTTGCCCGTGTCTATCGTCTTCAGGCGGTGGAACTTGATGCAGAACGTGGACGTCAGTAGAGGTAATTGATGAGTGGCCACTGAAGGACCAGGCGCCCGTCCGGCTTGCCCGCGACCTTCCGTCGGCCGAGAATCAAACACTTCCTTCTTGCGATACACCGCACACAATATACACACAGTCAACATGAAAAAGCATTGAGTTGTACAATTCTTCGTGAAAAGGACGATGGGAAGGTGATGATGATGTGGTAGGAAACAAGGCAATTGCTACTTATGAACACCGCTATGCGAAAAGAGAGAATATGTTGGTGAGAGGGGTACAAAAGGTGGATGTGATAGGTGGGGAGAAATAGGCTAGACTTCAGAAGGGCTTGTAGATCTCCGCTTTCTTCTTGCCCATCCTCGTCGCTTTCCCTCGAGATCCTCGACAACCCACACGACTGTCATTGCCTCTCGAATCATGCCATCCCGATGCAGTGGCCATGCCTCTTCCTTTACCGAAGCTTCGTTCAACAGACTCGTGACACCGCCGCGCTGGACTTCTGCCTCCCAGTCGAGTTCCCCACCACAGACACATTTCCCCTTCGAGTTCATGATACCGCCCTCTCTTTCGATACACTTCTTGAAAAGTCGATGCCTCACTTGTCACAAATGCCCGTCTACCGCCACACGTCAAAGATCCTTGAAAGAAATGGTGGCTTAGAAACCGTGGACCTTGACGTCGGTCTTGTTAATGCCCTCCTCAATCCTGTTGGGTCAGAGGAGCGGGAGTCAGCAATGGACGAGGCCACAAGTCGCAAGAACAGCGCCACGCACAAGAAGGCACTGATCTTCTGCCTTTGGTCGCCCTGAAGCTGGATGACGTGGCCGAGCTCCTCGTCTTCAACAATGGTGCCGTTGCATGCGAACTCCTTCTTGAACGCCTTCAAGATCTTCTTCTGGTCATACTCTGTTGCAATGGAGCAAGAAGAAAGGCAAGGGTTGCATTCAGTCAAAATGAGACCTGCGAGACTCGAAGAAAGCTGGCTCTCACTCACCCTTGGGGAGGCCCTGAAGCGTCGTCAGCGTCTTGCGGCCGTTGCGCTGCTGAATACGGATGTGGATGTAGTTTTGAGCAGATTGCTGCTTTGGCTTCTTCTCAGCCTCGGTGGCGGCCTTCTGATCGGCACGGTGCTCCTCTTCGCCCGTGTCCGCGAAGGGGTCTGAGACAGGAAAAGATTTTGTTCAGCATACTATTCGAGAAGTGATATAAATAAGATGGAAGCACGTCTCAAAACAGATGACGCTGGAAGCGATTGAGAAGCGCGCGCAGGGAATGACTGCAAACGCCACTACAGGCATCGACCAGATTCCACATCCAATCCCCGCAGCATGCGACTCACCGTAGCTGGAAAGGTTTTGAATGTTCATACGAGGCCCGAGACTTCTTTCTTTTCGGGTCGATAACTGGTTAGAGAAGACTGTTCCGTGTGTTGTACGAAGAGAGTCGAGTAAGAGAGGAAAGCGGTGGGGGATGTCCTTTTTTAGAGGGGGCTGGTGGTGAAGAGGGGTGGGATCGGTTTCCGTCAGAGATTGCAAACTCTCGCCCTCGAATTGGTCGCGTGTCAGGCCGTATCCGTCGGCCGAGCGAGCCCTCTCCACTTACCTCTGGGCTTGATTTTTTTCCCTTCTCGATGACCTTAAATTTTCCCGCTCGCAAAGGCCTAGACACGCACGAAGTCAAGAGGAGAGCTACGATAAATTGGGAGACACGACGACGAGTCATACGATGGCCACGGAGGAACGAAGCGAAGCGCAGCAGGAACAGGTCGACGAAAATGGCCTCCTGCCTGGAGGATTCCACCCGTTCCGGCCCGTGCTGGGCACCAATGACTTCTCCAATGTCGAGACCAACCATGCGCGGCCACTGACCGACGCCGTCATCACGGTTCGCGTCATCAAAAGCTTTGCATATCGGTCCATGAAGGCACTTGTCCTGCGCGGAATCGATCTGACGAGCATGACCGTCGAGGAGCTAAAGGAGCGGTGCAAGGAAGAGGTGGGCAAGCAGCCGGCTTTCAAGGCTTTTCGCAGCGCCAAGGATCGCTTGGGTGAGTCGGAACTTCTCACCACGCTCTCTTACCTATAGCTGATGGGAGATACGACTGCGCGCATGCAGATACACTCAAGATCTACACTCGGGCTCATGGCGCCAAGACGACTAATCTCATCATCAATCTCGACCACACAGATTGGATTCTCAATGACGGTTCCAAGAAGCTCCAGGAGCTCGGCCTGGGTGAGTCTCCATCGCACAAAGACCACAGGCGACGTACGCTCACATGCTCACACGAAACGCTTGTATTAATTCATTCGAACATTTATCGCTATTCAGAAAACGAGGCAGAACTGAGCTTCTTCAACAGAGATGACTACGAGGAATTTCTGAAGGACCCCGAGACTAAGTGGTAGGGAAACGACTATATGGACAGCGCGACGGCAGAGCAAAGCATCATGTACTCTAGAGGCACACGCTTCACATCAATACAGTCACATCAGATAGAGACCCATGCGCACAGCATAGGTATCGATGCTATGAAATGATGCTGCTGCTGTTGCTGCTACTGATGTTGGTACAGTGTTGAGAGATGATGAAGAAGGGGATATATGGTTACAAGCTTCAATCCTAACGACCTCTTCCCCTGAAATTACCTCGACTCCCACCTCCTCGTCCTCTCCATCCTCGATCGCCACCTCCCCCACCGCCACGGAAGGGAGGCCTGAAGCCACCGCGCATGCCCCCTCTCATACCCCCACCACCACCACCACCGCCGCCGCCGCCACCGCCGCCGCCGTATGGTGGCTGGCCCCAGTTGGTATTTCCGCCTCCAAACTCGGCCGCGCCACTGTAATTGTAGTTGCTTCGATTGGCCTCCTCCTCGAGGTAGGATGCAGGAGGTCTCCACGCGTCCATCTCGTCACCCCCACCGTACTGATTCTCGCTGCCATACTGATTGAAAGGAGCTTGCGGTGGTTGTTGGGGAGGCGGCTGTTGCCAGCCGTAGGCGCTTCCGGGACCTCCTGGGCCTCCTTGGGCGCCTGCTCCGTACTGCTGTGGCTGAGGAGGTCGCTGACCATACAGAGGCATGTCCATGACACCCAGTGGCCTCGATGGCGGAGGTCCAGGAGGTGGCCCAGGGGGAGGTCCGGGGGGCGTCGAAGGAGAACCAGCTGGATTCGGGCTCTTGCCCGGGTTCAAGTTTGCCAGCAGCTGATCGACCAAGCCTGGGTTGTTCATAAGCATAGTTTCGAGCTGAGGCTTGGGCATCTCAGAGAGTGCATCGATGTTCTGCTGCTGAGCCGGTGTCGTCGTCTCGCCACCTCCTTTAATGGCCTTGAGGAGATCTTGCAGAGAGCCAGTTGACAGTGACGGCTGCTCGGGCGCCTTGGGTCTGGGCAGTGTACCTTTAAAAAGCACGGCAACGAGCAAGAAAATGTCCTTGGTCCTGCTCTGTGACTTGGGCCCAGCAAATTCGTCGAGGTTCATCAAATCGAGCCAGGTCGGGATAGGCGCGTCCCTGGGCAGGGCGGCAATGTAAAAGTCCTTGATGATACGGCCTCGGACGCTAGCATCGCAGGGCAAGACACCGTAGCGGTCGCGACGATGGAAGTAGGCGATCATTCTTTCGAAGGCAGTTTTATTTTCCTCCCCATTCGAGGGTACCTGGAGCTGGTGATGAGCAGCTGCTGTAGTGAGAACATCTGTCTCCAGAAACGGGTCGAGCTTCATGACGACAAGCTCGGTTCGGAGCGCAGTGCGGCTTTGCTCCAGATAGCTTGCTGCGGTTGGGCTAGGCAGTCGTCCTTCGATGATGGAGTGCGTCGAAGGGAAGAAAAAGCTCCAGGCCTGCGAGTCCGTACCTACTGCAGTGCCGCCCACTTGACGTGCTGCAACGGTGAAGATGCCCTCGTCAGGCATCGAAATGGCACCCTTCCATACAATTGGATTTGTCTCTTCGTCTTTCTCCTCTGTCAGATCGACATTCTCAGGCTCTGTCTGCTGGTTTGTGTCGTCCTGCTCTTCGGGCGCAACGCTGCCTGATTCTTCATGCATATTGAGGAAGTCATCGATGAAGTTGTCCATACCCTCTCCTGGCGCGTTTGGATCACCTTGCTCGTGGCCGTCATCACCTTCTGGTGCCTGCTCATCCTCGATTTCCATTTCTTCTCCTTCGACTTCCTCGTCTTGTCCCACGTCTTCTGACCCTTCTTGTCCCTCGTCTCGTTCGCCGTTCCACACCGCTGAAAAATCAAAGGGCGTCGATGGTGTCGCTGGAGGCTTCCCTGCTTGAGGGACTTTGGAGGGGGATCGCTCCTCGCTCGTCTGTTCTCCGCCTTCCTTTGCTGTCGTGTGAGTTGCGACGGTCGCCTCTGCTTTCTCCTTCTTGCTCTTTGCCTGCGCTCGCCTCTCCTTGGCCGCCCGTTCTTCTTGCTCTCTCAGCCGAGCTTCCCTCTCCTTTGCGAGGTGCGCCTCAGCTCCCTGGTCGTACTCGATGTCGACTTCTCCTTTGTGCGTAATCTTTCGAAGAGGAGCCTTTTCTTTCTTGAGGATGCTTTGCTCCAAGTTCTCTTTTCGCCGTCTCTCGACTTCTTCTCGAATCTTGTCGTTGGCCAGCTCGGCGTTGGACAGAGCGGCCAATTGTTTGGCCTCCAGTGCGCCCGACGATATACGCTGGCGCAGCGTCGTGTTGGTCTGGTCCTTGAGGTTGAAGATAAATGCCCTCAGCTGGTCCTTGTAGGCCTTGCCGGCCAGCCGAACCGTCGTCTGGGCCACTGGCTCGGCATAGCGATCGAAGAGGGCCTCTTCGAGCTCTTTTGTGTACTCTGCGGCCTCCGTAATAGGATCGCTGCTTTCTCCCAATGAAAAAATTGATTCAAATATGGCAGCAAACTGCTGCGTGGCATGCTTGCGCACTGCATCTGTCTGCGCTTTGGCCGACTTTGTCGAGGCTTGGCTCCCTCCGGTCCCAATGGAAGTCTTGCGAGCCGTGACTGCAGTGGGCGGCGAGCCTGCATTTCGCGCCGTGGGTGATTGAACTTTGTCGGGGGAGCTCCTGATCTTCTTTGATAGCGAGTCCCTCCTTGAGTCCGGGCTACCTTCCATCGAGGTTTTCCTCTTGTTCGTTGGCGCCTCTTCTCTGTTGAATTTTGATCTCGACGTTCGGTCTCCACTGCTGGCCTGTGTTTCGTCGTCGATAGCTGTTGAATGATGAATGGTCAGTCATTTGGTCTCCAATGCGCACTTTTGACGACCGAAATTCCACAGGAGAAGGAGCAGGACTCTTCGACTCGTTCTCCTTCTATTGACACGGTTTCTCAACACCCTCGGCCAAGCTCTGCTGTCATGTGGTACATGAGGCAGGTAGCCTGGCGACAGCGTGGAGAAAGAGATCAAGACATGAGTGGAGCCTTAGGCACTGTGCGACAAAGATGCTACAGTAGAAGGCCCAAGTGGGAGATCGGCGGGAGCAGGTGTCTATGTGCATTACATATGTATTGGTCCTGCCGCACGGTATACAAGAGGCGGGCCACGGTGCGGTTCAAAAGGTTCAGCAGAGAACGATGGTACTCACTTTTGGATATTCTTCCAGTACTCTTTGTGCATGACGGGCATCGATATTCAAGGAGCTTTTGGGCGTCACGTTTGGACAGGTCGACGCAACGAAAGTGGAACCTGTTTGTCGAATAATCAGCACCCACCTCCCATCAGGATTATAGCCATCTTGAATCACTCACCAGTCGCCACACTCTGCGCACCAGACCATGGGGGACCCGTCATCGCGACCCTTACAGACACAGTATGTCTCGGCGTCATCTTTTGCCACGTCTTCCTCTTCGTCGTCGTACTCGCCGCCGTCGTCGTCGTTGTTGCCCTCCTCATCTTCTCCTTCTCCCTCCTCCTCGCTCTCTTGCTCGCTCTCGCCATCCTCGCTATCGTGATTCTCAACATCACCCCCTGCGTCCTTTGCTTTTGGTGACTGCTCGCCATGATCCTTCTCCTGAGTCCCTTTCCGACCAGCAACACGTTTTGCGGTGGAAGTGCCACCCGCACTCCCGGTCGCCTTCTTTGCCTTCTTCGTCTCCGCAGTACCCTGGGTAGAGGACGGAGCAGCGCCGCGTTCCATTGCCAACGTGTTCATCATTTCCTCTGCCCGGACGCTAGGTTTCTTGGTTCTGGTGCTGTGGCGCGTCGCTGCCCCCTCCATCATGAACCAAGGTACAAGGTGTGAGATGCAGAAGCGATGATTTGGGATACTACACAACAGCAGCTACAGCAGCGGCAGTGGTTCAAGAGAAGAGGACGAGGCTGAGGCCCGTAGATGAATGGGATGCTTTGGGCAGAAAATCTTCTTTCGATGTCCTAGGCAAGAAGTAGGAAGGGGCAACTGCGTGCTACAGTCGATCTCCCTATGGCCGCTCCTCTCTCACACACTCTCTCTCCTCACTGGCTTGTCCTCGCCCGATACCAGATCTTCTGCTCGTCGTCGATGACCGGCAGTGGTGGATGGCGATAAAGGAAGCCGACCCACACGGGCTGGCTCAGCCGCGTCTAATAGAAGAATTTTGACCCGTACGACAAAAGGCACGTGATCATTGACACGTGGCTAGGAACTCCACCGATCGCGAGGCTTTTGACCAATGCGGTCAGCGCGCATGTTGGTGCAGAAATCGCAGTGCGAAGAAAGGCAAAGTACTTCAGTCCCAGCCAGCGCGCGGGCGCGGCGATAAAATTGTTGAGCCTAGGGAGTGCAGGGACGCGAAGACTGACCGAAGCCAGGACCTGATAGCAGGGAAAGGGAACCCTGAGATTCGAAGGGTAGAGATGTGGTGCGTGCGAACGAGCTGGCGATTGGCTGGATCAATTGAATAGCTTGTATGCCTCGATAGAAATTTTTGGAATGGCGATGGACGTGCGATGGCTGATGGAAGAGGCCAGCGCACGATGTGCGAAGATAAAACGACACGTAGCCGGGAAACATTTCTTTCCTCTTTCCACCACCCCCATCACCCATCCCTCCCTTCCACCTTGCTTTCTAGACGTAGCCTCCCCTACCTTTCCCCCTTAGATACATCAAAATGCCTCTCAGGGATTTTGACGCCAAGAAGTTCGGAGGTATTCCTCTGGACCAGTACAAGCCCGTTCCCGGCTTGACGCTCCAGTCGACGTCGCTCAACGCCGAGCAGAAGAAGCAGCTCCAGTTCAACATCAACCTGCTCCGTGACTCGATTGTCTTCTTCACGGCATCGGGTGCTGCCCACGGTGTCTCGGGCCACACCGGCGGACCATACGACATGGTCCCCGAGGCCACAATTCTCCTGTCGCTCTTCGAGAACGAAAAGGGCAAGTTTGTTCCCACTCTCTTCGACGAGGCTGGACACAGATCTGCCCTTGTTTACCTGCGATGTGCCCTGGACGGCCACATCAAGGCTGAGGACCTCCTCAAGTGAGTCTATTTTCCTGCTGGCTCGATTGACAAGGAGGAGCTGCTGACGCTTTTCTACTGCACCCTTCAGCTACCGTCGTGCACACAAGGAGGGCGGCCCACCGGGTCTTCCCGGCCACCCCGAGGCCCGCTTCACGCCCGGTGTCGAATTCTCCTCTGGCCGTCTGGGTCACCAGTGGCCCCTGACCAACGGTGTGGCCATGGCCAACCCTGAGAAGATCACGATCCTCCTCGGCTCTGACGGTTCGCAGCAGGAGGGCAACGATGCCGAGGCTGCCCGTCTCGCTGTCGCCCAACAGCTCAACATCAAGCTTTTCATCGACGACAACGATGTCACGATTGCTGGCCACCCTTCGCAATACTTCCCCGGTTTCTCTGTTGAGAAGGTAAACATTTTTGAGATGCCTTTCCTGTTTGCACTTGCTGATAATCTGTCTTCTTCCTTTTTTTTTCCACCTCCACAGACCCTCCAGGGACACGGTCTCGAGGTCTTCCACGCCGAGGGCGAGAACCTCGACTCGCTCTTCCCGGCCCTTATGAACACGCTGCGCGCAAAGGGCCCTGTGGCTCTCATTTCGAAGCGCCCCATGTGCCCTGGCATCAAGGGTCTCGAGGGCGAGACGCACGGCCACGATGTTATCCCCGTCGACAAGGCCTGCGCCTACCTCGAGGAGAAGGGGTACAAGGACGCTGTTTCGATCCTTCAGGGCCTCAAGCCCGACCCCAGCCCGCTTAAGTTCATTGGATCGAGCAAGGACAAGGGAGCGAACCGAAGCACCTTCGGCGAGGCTGTCAACGGTGTCCTCGACAAGACGAGCCCAGAGGAGAACAAGAAGAAGATTGTCGTCATTGACTCGGACCTGGCTGGCTCCACTGGTCTGGCTGCCATCAAGAAGAAGCACCCTGAGGTCTTCATTTCGTCTGGTATCTGCGAGCGCGGCAACTTCTCCGCTGCCGCTGGTTTCGGCTCGTACCTTCCCGACGGCGTCTACCGCACAGGTGTCTTCTCTACCTTCTCGGCCTTCCTCGAGATGTGCATCTCTGAAATCACCATGGCTCGCCTCAACTTCTCCAATGTTCTCTGCCACTTTTCTCACTCGGGTGTCGACGAGATGGCCGACAACACCTGCCACTTTGGCCTCAACAACTTCTTCGCCGACAATGGCCTCCAGGACGCCTACGTGACCCGGCTCTACTTCCCTGCTGACCCGCAGCAGATGACGGCCGTCGTTGAGCGTGTCATCTACGAGGAGGGCCTCCGCTTCATCTTCTCGACCCGTGCCAAGGTTCCCTGGATCACCAAGGAGAACAGCGAGGAGCGTTACTACGGTGCCGACTACAAGTTCGTCCCTGGCAAGGACGAGTTCATCCGCTCGGGCAAGAAGGGTGTTGTCGTCACTTTCGGCGACATGGTCTACCGCGCCGTCTCGGCCGTTGACCAGCTGCGTTCCGAGGGCCACGAGATTGCCCTCGTGAACAAGTCAACGCTCAACGTTGTTGACGAGGAGGCGCTCAAGGAGTACGGCTCCTACCCCTTCGTCCTCGTCGTCGAGTCGCTCAACGAGAGGACCGGTCTTGGCGCCAGGATGGGCTCTTGGCTGCTCAACAGGGGCCTCACGCCCAAGTACAACCACATGGGTGTCAACAAGGAGGGCGCCGGTGGTCTCTGGGAGCAGATGCTCGCCCAAGGCCTTGGATCTGACGACATCTACAAGAAGGTCAAGGAGCTCATGGGCTAAATTGGTGGCTAGAGCTCTTCGAGACTCTATATACTCTCTCTCGCCAATGTAAATGGGAATGACTAACGGTAACGATGGAATTGTGATATTCTTTGACTCGATTGCTGGATTGAGATTTCTCGCGCTGCCGGACGATCGCCATGGTGCATGCTACCCCGCATCTGCACTGGACAGCGATCCCGTCCAGCGAGAATTTTTGGCACACAAAGCAGCTGTAATTCTAATCTAGTGGGGGGCACTTAGCGTGTTGCAAGTCTACGTTTGAGTGGCTTCTCTTTTGCCTCGTTGTGAAAAAGTTGGAGAAAGGTCGTTCCTTGTCAATTAACGTCTTGGGTGACGTCAGTGTCCCGGCCGGTTCTGCTCATTCCTGAGTGCTTAGTGTCAGACCCACTCAGCGTACTGTACATACTCCGCGCAGCAGTGACCCTGCTCATTGACGATTTGCTAGCTCTCTTCGTCCAAGCAAGGACGCCTTTCAACACGTCGAAGGGAGAAAAGGGTTTTGCAACAGATAAAGAAGAACACGACAGCGGAGGAATCTGTTCTGCCATTTTTGCTTTCTCTCCACAAACAAAAGCGTCCAACGCCCGGAGAAGAGAAAAGGTAAAGATGTCAACCTCGAAGAAATTCAGCAACGACCAGGTAGGTAGAATCTCTTGCGCTATTGTTCCCTGCCGGCTGCTCAGCTCTTGTTGCCTTGCCTTGACAGATTCCAGACCTTAGCGGCAAAGTCGCGCTCGTCACTGGTGGCAATGGGGTGAGAAACTTGCGCAGCAAGCGTCTCGAGCTGCAAGCTGATCGCTCGTACGGATGTAACAGGGCATCGGCCTTGAGACGGTTCGACAGCTAGCTCTGCATGGCGCAAAGGTCTACATGGCCTCGCGCACCCAGTCCAAGGCTGAAGATGCCATCAAGGCGCTCAAGTCTGAACACAAGACGATCGGCGAGATGGAGTTCATCTCCCTCGACCTCAACTCCATCGACGCGGGCATCAAGTGCGCAGAGGAGTTTGCACAGCGCGAATCCAGGCTCGACATTCTCATCTGCAACGCCGGCGTCATGGCCGTCGACTACAAGCTGACAGAGGACGGCATTGAGCAGCAGTTCCAGTCGAACCACTTGACGCACTTTGTCCTTTTCCAAAAGCTCGTCCCGCAGCTTGAGCAGGCTGCCAGGTCCAGTGGTCACCCGAGCCGCGTCATCCAGCTGTCTTCGGTCGCAGTGAGCATCTGCGTCTTGTCTAGTATGCCGTCGACCATCGAGCTGACATTCGTCACAGCACAAGTTCATTACCTACAACCCCTTCCTCTCGCCTGACTTTACCAGCAAGCAGGCCGTCAACCGCAAGATGGGCCTATCTGAGCTGGGCAAGTACATGCGCTATTCGCAGTCGAAGCTCGCCGCCCTCCTCACGGCGCGTGAGATCAACCGTCGCTACCCAAGGGACCTCATTCGCGCTTCAGCCGTTCACCCGGGCTTTGTGGCATCCAACCTGTACAAGAACACGCCATTGGCCCCCTTTGCGCCCTATCTCTTTATTTCCTCTGCTGACGGGGCCTTAGCAAGCCTGTACTGCGCCACGAGCCCTGAGATCGAGCAAAAGAATAGTTGGTGAGCCTTCTCCACTGTCTTGTCAACAACGCTGCCCTTCAAATCATCTAACGCTTACGTCCGCCTTCTCCCTCCAGGGACCAATACAGAGTCTCGTACGCCCTTCCCAAGGACAGCTCCGGCTACTCAAAGAGCGACAAGCTCCGCACCGACCTGTGGTCCCTGAGCGAGGCTCTCGTGCGAGAGCACACAAAAGCGAGATCGTAGCTTGTGGCTTGTTAATTGATCCTACTACTGTGTCTCCCCCTTTTCTCTTGTGCTTGGCGCAGAATATTCAGGAACACCGAAAATATACCACACACACATCGTCTGTCAGGCCGCAGATGGATCTCCTCATGAAGCTGCTGAGCCCGGTACGGCTACGTCGTCGTACATTTTGCGCTCCAGACCGCGCGGTCGACGAAACGGAGCCGACGCCGGAACTCCGGCTCCTGTAGGCCTCACCTTGACGCGCACCCGATGTGCTAGATTTCAGGAAATTCACAGACTGGGTCTGGCTCGGAAGATTGCGAGAGTCCCAACGTCGTCTATTCTCCGTCGCATCGCGCCGGAGTTCCTCGTTCTTTCGCATCTTCAAATTGACAAGTCTCACGGGAGTATCAAGGAGAAGAATGAGAGGGAGAGGAGAGGGTGGTTGATGGATTTTAGTGTACCATTCCCTCAATGTTAATTGAAGCGAGCAACGCAAGCTAGTTGCGTTCGCTCTGCCGGTCTCAGGCCTACGGCTCCGCTTTGGAGGGACGAGCGATTTCATTACGTACAGAACCTGCAGAATCTACCTGTCGGTACGCGAATGCCCGAGTTGCACACCGGGAATGTGTGAGGAGCGGGACGGTTGCCAGGCACTTGAGAGCTCAGGTAGAAGAAAGGACATACAGAAGTACTGTACTTCTCTTTCAAATCGAATAATCTGTCGCCCGTGCAGAGAAGACAACTTTGTGAACCTTAGCTTTATCGTGGACGGTCGGCGGGCATTGAGAGAGGCGCTCTACACCGTACCCACGCCCGTCAACATCTAGCAGTGAGACAGAAAAACGAAGAGCCGAATAGGAAGACGTAACTTGAGTCATTTCCTGCTATCAACACGCTGCTGCGTACTGTCCTGTGCTCTTTTAGCATTCCGTCGGACTTCGGTGTGTTCTCGAGACGCTCCTGACATCTCCGTAGGCTCCTCTCGCTTCGACTCAAAGAGAACACTGTGGCTCGGTGATCTCCGGGCCCCTTTTCGCTACTTCCATCATTACTACCATTACCGTCAGCATCACCATCGCGATCAACCGTAGCTTCTTCTTCTGTCTTGTCCTTCTTCTCCGTTTTCTTCTTCTCCCGATCGACCGTCGGCTTGTAAGACAGGCAATTGGCCGAGGATACGATCCCCACTCGAGCTGTTTTAATTATTGCGCTGTCTGTCTCGCTGATTGGTGATCCGTGTGCTTACAAGGGAACCCGAGACACCGCCGTCGCCGTCTCTTGCAGAGCAGAGCACATCGCGCCGTCACTGTTCAAGGACCGATAATTCCGCCGGCCAATCGTCTCCGCCGTTCCTCTGCTCTGGAACCCCGGTGCATGGGTGTCGTTGTTGAACAGCCCCAGGTGACCATCGTCAGTGGCCCAAGCTGCCTACTCCTCGAAGATCTCCATTTCCTCCCACTACCACCACCGACACCCCCAGCAGCACGGTCTCGACACCGAGCAGCTCCCACGCAAGCACTGGCCAAGGAAGCTCTGCTCGCGGGTACTACTACTCAAGCTCTGCTGGTGCGCCTGGGGCCTCGTCCCAGGTGGGGTTGAGCCAGACCTACTTTGGCGAGCTCCACGACCTGGCCCATCTCTACCAGCAAACGAGCGGGGGACCGGCGGGGGCGCCGACGACTTCTTCCTCGTCTAGCGCGTCGCCTTCTTTGAATTTCCTCGACACGACCACCACTCAATATTCAATTGCGCCGCGCCCTCCTTCTTCTATCGCTGCTGCTGCTGCTGCTGCTGCCTCGTCGTCCTCGTCCTCGTCAGCACTTTCCTCTTCTTTCAACCCATCGTCGGCCACTCTATCCCTTCCTGGCGATTGGGTGCTGGGAGACCTTGCGGGCACTCCAACGGTCGCTTCCTCGTCGCGCTCCTCGTCGACATCTTCCTCGGCTTCGTCCTCGTCTTCGTCTGCCTCGGGAATCCCACCGCTGGTCGCCCTTCAGCGGAGAGCGCAACGTTTGTCCTCGTTCAGCGCCCTGCGGAGTGCCAGGATGAGCTCCCACCCTTACTATAGCAACACCAGCGGGCCCGCGGGTCAGGCGCAGCCCACAGCAGCGACGACGGTGCAGGCCGCGGGCGGCGTTGGAGCTGACTTTGCGGCGCAGCAGCAGCAGCAGCAACAACACCAGCAGCAGCAAGCAGCTTTTGGTGCTCATCCAATGCAGCAGGCTCACCAGTACCTCTATCGCGACCAACAACCCATACCTTCGAGCATGATGAACGCCCAGCAGCCCCACCACCACCACCAGCAACAACAACAACAACAACAACAAGATTTCAGCACATATAGCAGCAGCAGTACCGCTCAGAATCCTGCATCGAATCGTGGTGCTGTGGGCGATGCAAGCGGCGCCCACCGCGGTGCCAACCCGGCTGGGTACAAATGTCCCAACTGCAACAAGATCTTTGCTAGAGGTGAGCACAATCGTTTCCTTCCCTTTACGAAGACGTGCGTGCTCACGGATCCCTCTTGTACTGGTCCAGATGATCTTCTTCGTCGACACTTGGCTCGAGAGGCCCGTGCCGCAGCGCAGCCTTCGCTGGACCGGCAGAAGAGCTGCTATGAATGCGCTCGGAGCAAGGCGCGCTGCGACCTCGAGGTGCCCTCGTGCGGCCGATGCAAGGCGAGGGGAAAGACTTGCGTGAGTTGATCTTCTCGAGTCGTCGAGAGTAGTATATGTCAATGCAATCTTTGATGACTGACGGCCAGCGTGACGACGCAGGTCTATGGAGCGCGAAGCGGTAACCCAAATGTGCGTCGGCAGCCACAGGGCACGCCCTCCTGGCAGTCGGGCGGCGGCGGCGACGCGGTCTCGGGCCCATCACAGTGGAATCCAGGGACATTGCCCGTCGGGTCAGGCTTTGAACAATTTCCGAAGCCAGAGTACGGCTCCTCTGCAGACGAATACGACAGCAACGACGGCCGAGGAAGCTTCTCCGACTTTCGGAACCGGAGGACCCTCTCGACTTCGTCGAGCTCTGCAGGCTCGGCCAGCTTCGATCTGAGCGATCAGATGCATTCTCAACAGCAGCAAGGGCAGCAGCAAGGCTTTGGGGGATCACAATTTGAGACGGGCCCAGGTCTAGGTCCGAGGTCCGAGTCGCCTGCTTCCATGTCGACTGGCAATGCACAGAGAGGATTCGCAAGGACGGGCACGAGGGGAAGCATCGACACTTCGGTCGATCGGCGGGGGAGCGAATTCGACAACGAGGAGGGCGAGGAGACTCCCGTCAATCGGCACGGTGAAGGCCCTCCCGCCGCATCGACGTCTGACGAGGGCGACAGTAGTAGAACCGGAGCAATGGGTCCGCCGCTCATGACTCCCTCTCGCTTCCGCCCACTTGGCCAGGCTTCGACTTCGGCAGCGTCAGGGTACAGCGGTACGCAGGACTGGGCGAATGCACAGGCGCACCGAGCCGCCCTCGTGGGCAACCAGGGCATGGAGACGCTCGTCGGCACCAGTCAATACGATGCGAGCCAGACGAGGAGGCCCCAGATGCCCAAGCTTCTTACTGGCGAACGGATGCCTCGTCCACAGGGCATGTTTATGCCCGGCACTGGCGGTGGCATGAGCGGACGGCCCCTCTTCAGCGCTCAAGTAGACCTGTCTGGCTGGCTCGAGGAGCCAGTCATTCCATCGCCCCTCTATCGCATGGGTCCCAGCCTCTCGGCCCTTGGTGCCAATGCGCAAGCTTATATACCCACAACGCCCATCGCCAACCAGACTGGTGCAGGCACGACAGAACAGCAACCGCAGCAAAGACAAGAGGGCGACTCAATCATGTCTGAAGGTCAGACGAGTAACCCACAGGTGGCTGCCAGACACTGGTGGACCCACTCGTCTGCGCAGCATGACATAGAAATCACGCAGGGCGTGGCGCAGGCCTGCGCCGGTCACTTCACCCTCTACCCTTCCTTGATGGTGCTTCCCGACCCCACTTCGCCGGTGCCGCCGCTGTTCCACCGACCGTGGCTGGCACGTACCCGCCTCGAGACGCATGTTGCCTTGGCTCGCGCGAGGGTCATCATGGCCGGCCACCACGTCCGGCTACCGGCGAGCGAAGGCATGGTCTGGGAGCTCGTGGCAAACGAGTCCAAGTCCATTGTTGCCTCCATCGACTCGCTCGCCCACGGCTCCGATGCAGACGTCTTTGCCAGCACCTCTGCCCTCTGGTTCTTTGTCATTCTCCTCCTCATGTCGAGCGACCCAAGCAGCACGACACACATTCCCAACGATCTCATCGACTCTAGCCTCATTGGTCTCTCGCGCATCTCGCGGCTTCTGTCGCAGCGAATCCGAGCTTTGGAGGAGCGCCGTAGGACGCAGGGAGCCGCCTTTCTCGAGTGGGGCTTTGAGGAAACTATGCGGCGGACGCTGTTTGCCTCGTATGCCCTTCTCGTCCTTCAGCGGTTCCGTGAGACGTCAGTCGACGTGCAGACGCAGCTGGCCGGCCTCGACTTGATCCTCGATGTGGGCTTACCTGCTGTGGCCTCTGAATTCGAAGCCGGGAATGACCTCGAGTGGCGCGCGGCCCAGGCGGCAAAGATCGAGTCGCACAGTCACCCGACCATGCGCGACCTTCTCATCTATCGGAGCGCCGCAACTGCGGCTTCGGAATCTGTCAAGGCAGAGGACCAGAGCAAAGATAAGGAGGGGACAGAGAAGCAGAAAGAGGAGGTGCCTGCCCACCTAATCAACTACTTTGATCGTCACGACGGCTTTACCAACGTTTGTCTCTCTGTCGCGTTCGCCCTCGACAGCGGCGTCTCCTCCTTTCAGCAGCAGTAGCGGCGATCGCAGTCAGTAGAGGAAGCTTCGACCGAAGGCACATGTTGCCTCTCTTCTTTGCTCCTTTTCTTCTCCCCCAAAATAACGACTACCGCCCCCTCCGAAACGGACGATATGCTCAACCTAACCTCCCCCTCCTCTCTCTTAGATCTCTCTCTCTCTTTCTCTTCCTTTTCTTTCTTGATGTTCTCAAGACGGGGGGCCATTTACATAGCAGAAGGACCCTCATACATAGAGAGAAGACAAGGCTGGGGTTGAAGGATGCTCTCGCGTCCCTCTTGATAGGATGTCATTAGTAAGATAATCGTGGGTGTATGTAATAAAAGATCTCATTCTTCAGGCCTGTGCGAGAGAGAAGCCGCGCTATTATCGTGATTTGCGCTGACAGAGAGAGAGATATGTGAACAGTCTATTTGACAATAGTGGAACAACGCAGATGTCGCTCTAAAGGTAGAAGCGGCTGCGCTTGCGAATCCGAGGGCCGAAAAAGTAGAGGGTGAATGGGATGGGGATCATGAGGAGCTGCACGACGGCCAGGACGATGCCGAGGCCCCTGGCTCCGATCTTTTCGTTTCTGCAAGATAGTCCTCGTCAGTCTTGCTGTTCAGCGGAAAAAAGAGGGCGAAAGAGTGGGGTAAGAGGGGTGTTTGGGGGCTCACAGGTAATTTGTAAAGATGGGCAAAGAAGCGCACGAGGTCGAACGGATGAAGACGCTGACGGCCGTGGCACTCGCGACGACGGGGAGATAGGTCTCGTTGAGAAAAAGCTGCAGGGGTGTGAAGAGAAAGATGAGGGCGGCACCAAAGGGTGCCGTGGACAGGATAGGAAGAATCCAGTGGGGTGGAGCTTTGGCTGAAGATGGTCCACGCGTGGACATGGCGAAGAGAAAGAGAGAAATTGGGCCGAGAAAGCAGCCGAGCAGGGCCATTGGCAGACGAGCTTCGGGCGAGGCGATTGCTGGGCGCTGGAAGAGGTACGAGAGCACGGAGCGCTTGTTTTCGGTGCTCTTGAGACGAGGTTGAAGTTGGTGCGCGTAGAGGATGCTCCAGAGCGGCATGCTCAGCATAGCGAGGAGCATTCCAACGACGATTCCCAACAGGGAAAGGGAGCATTCGAGGGGCGTAAAGGTGTAAGCTGCGCCGAAAACGAGGGGAAAAAGCTGGAAAAAGAGGTAGAGAATAGAGAGAAGTAAGGCGGACCAAAATGAGAGGATAAGGAGCAGCGGCTCTTTTAGCAATGGTAGAAAGCAGCCGAAGAGCGTCGTCCTGAGGATGATTAAAAGTAAAGGTTGACGGCTCGAGGAGGGGGAAAGAGTTCGCATCTTTTCCTCATGCAGCGCATACAGATTGGTGTTGCCTGTTGCATCACGAAGCCGACGAGCTCGGTGGACGAGAAGGATGGGAGTGTAAGTCTCCGGAACAAAAAGGAGGAGAAGGAGAAAGGCCGAACTGCAGAGGGTAATGGTGAAGTATATCGTCAGGTGCCAGGTCTGTAATTCGTCGCTCTTGCTGTGTCCACCTGTCTCGTAGGTGTGGTCGAGAAGGGCCCCCACGAGAGGACCAAGTACGGGTCCCAAGAAAGGCACCTGAGCGTAGAAACTGACAGGCAAAAACGCTTTGTTGACATCGAAAACATCAGAGATAGTGCCGTTCGCAACACTGAGGTGAGCACTGGCCACGAAGCCTTGGAGAAAGCGAACGAAGCAGAGAAGGACAAAACCAGCATGACCCCGTGGGAGAAAGACGAGCGGTACCGTGAGAAGGACGAAGAGCGCAAACGAGGTAAGGTAGACTGGCTGTGAGGACGTGTTAGACGCTTTGCTCCTTCGCAAAAGGTGTACAAAGGATGGGCTTGAACTCACCCTTCGGCCGTAGAGTTCTGACAGAGGTGCAGACAGGATTGAGCCGAACCCCAATCCGACGACGTAGAAGGATACACTGAGAACGACTATGTGCCTTGAGATCCTGAAGTAGCTACGCAGGCCATCATACGCCCCTGTCTTCAATGGAACCTCCTTGTAAGGGAGTGCATTTTCGAAACAAAACGAAGGAGCACTCACCACGATGGTAGCGTTCATCGTTACGCATAGGCAGCATAGCTGCACAACTCCGAGCACGCGCCACTTCTTCCAGGCCGACCACGCAAATGGGTTGTCAGGGTCATTTTTAGATTTGAAGAGGACGACGTTGGCGTCCAGCGCCGACGGCTCGGGCGGCAACGAAAGGAGAGTGTCGGTGCGCAGTATTTGTTGTTCTGGCTTCTGTTGTCCTTCCGGGTCTCTCGTTGCTTTCGTCGCCGTAGTCGCACAAGTCTCAGGTCCAGCCTCTTCAAATTGTTGCATGCTATGAAGAGACCAGCTCATGTCGGTGTTGACAGACGAGCCGGGCCTCCCTTTCGCAGAAAGGCAGGGTCTGACAGTGCCACACCACAGCTTCAATAAGCACGCATGCGCCCACTGTCACTCTGGCGCCAGCCAATACGCGCCTCAATTTGCCCCGGTTCAGGCTCTCAAATATCGATCGATGGGGCGGCAGTGACTCTGAAAGACAAATTTGAAAGCCATGCTTCTGAGCCGTACACTATGCTTCTGAGCCACATTGATTCTGTCCCCATGTCGTTGGGCGGATGTCACTGATCAAAAATTTAAAGCTGTGCCTGGAGATAGATTCGGACTTTTGAATCCGTCAGATTGAAAAGTCCGCCTGCATTGGCGGACATCGGCGCACGCTCCAAACACCAACTCCACCAAGATCGTCGGCTCCCAATGACGCCCCCAGCCGACCCGTCACCGCCCGCAGCGAAGCGAAGGAAGAAGCGGCTGCCAATATCGTGCCTGGAATGCCGCACTCGCAAGGAGCGGTGCGATCGGAACGTGCCTGGCTGCGCCAACTGCAGAAAACGAAACGTCGATTGCCGATGGGGTGATGAGCGTGACGAAAACGTCGCTTCATCGTCCAGCTACGGGAGCCCAGCGGCCACGACTACGCCGCGGTCCGTCGCGAGAAAGGCACAGACGGAAGCAAGCCCAACAGTCTCTGCTGTCGTTGCTTCTGCGGCCAATACAAATTCTTCCAACGCCATTGAGGGTTCACTTCAAGGTATCGAGAGCTACGCGTCCGGTGGTCGATTTGATCTCAGCCTCTCATCGCTGTCAGCCTCGGAGCAAGCCTCGAGGCGGCGCAAACTCGCTTTGAACATCGCTTCGCGACTCCCTTCCAAGGAGCTCACGCACGAGCTGGCCGAGCGGCACCTGGATCTGTCCCATCATGCCTTCTACTGCATCGATATGCAAGACTTCTTCCTCGCCGTAGATGAGCTCTGGCCTGCCCTCGAAGCACTCCGCGGTCCTGCACCTTCTTCCTCCTCTACCGAGCGCTTTCGCCCCATTCGTTTCGACGTCCTAGCCTGCCTACTCATGGTGCTGGCGGCAAGCGCCCAGGAGATGCCGAGAACGTACCTCATCGGCCTCGGTCTCGTCAGCACCTCGGAACAGGTCTCTTCAACAATCTCGACGTGGCTTGAGGACGGCCTCGACTGCATTGATCTGTGTCAGAGGCAGGCCGAACTCACAATGACGGCGCTTCAGGCCATTTGCGTTTTTGAGCTCTGGCTGGCTGACCGGGTGCCAGTGTACAGGCAAACATCCCTGCTCGATCTGGCTGCTCGCAGCGCTGCGCGTCTGGGCCTCGATCGTCTGTCAAACGACGAAAGAGACCGGCTGGCATGGAAACAGCCTTCTTTTGGTAGACCGCAATCGTCGCAGTCTGGTCCCTTGAGCTGGGGTGCAGCACGATTCTTTGCCAAGGACGCACATTCACGAGAGATCGGCAGGGCAGTGTGGTACATCGTTTCGATGCTCCTGAGCGTCACCGTCACCTTCTACTACTGGAACCCGCGCAGCGCTGTTGACTCGATGCCGCCTGGCCAGCTGATCTCCCTGCAAGATGAAGCAGCTTACAATGTGAGAGAGTAAGCAGAAACTAATGTCTTGTTGCGAGCTAATTTTACGTATGGCACAGCCTTTCGCGACGTGGCCGCTGTATGCGAGTCTATCTGGCATTTTGCAAGAGTGGACGAGGCTCATGGCGCTGAGCGAGGCCAGAGGCGCCCAGCCAGACTACGAAGCATACATTGGCATCCATACCAAGCTATCCTACCTTCACCAGGAGCTCCCTGCCTCGGACCTGACGCACTTTCAGCTCTTCCAACGCCCTGATGAGAGCAACGAGAGCTATCGTGACCGAGAGAAGAAGATCGCGCAAAAGGCTTTTGCCGCTTTTCTTCTCCAGTGCAAGTTCTTGAGGCTGGTGAGTCTGAGACACCTGATGCTCAATTCACACTGACTAAGTCTGCCCCCCGATAGCATCGACCATTCATGAGCGCAGGCTACCGGCAGCCAAAAGAATACGGGCTGTCGCGCGACACTGCCCTCACGGCAGCAGAAGCAGTGATTGAAGGCGTACGCCGCTTCCACGAGTATGGCTGGGCAATGATTTCTTGCGTGGTGAGTCCGATGGCCCTCATTTTGTATAAGGCGAGGAGTGCTCAAGAGCCGACAACGTCAAAAGATCGCCAAGCACACACTATTACAGGCTGCCCTAGTCATCATCCTCGATCTATTTGTCCGTCCGACAATTATGGCTAGCCCCGAAGGTCGCACCCGTCAAAGGCTGCTGAATGTGGCTATTGAGCGTCTCAAGGATGGGAGCGACTGCTACGATCCCAGTAGCTCACTATACGATGTGGGCAACAAGCTCGAGAAGCTCCTGTCGGCGTGCGCAAAGCGGCGTAAGGTCGTCGAGGCCGATCCGAGCAAGGGCGTCTGCACGTTCTCATCTTCCCCCCTGACACCTCCTGATGCTTTAGCCTTCACAACCGCTGGCAAGCAGTCGCAAGGGGGTGCTGATCTCTTCTCTTTAGATCAGCTCGATAGCCAGCTACTACGTTTTGGCGGCCGCAGCCAAGTACCTCATCCTCCAAGTGTCAGCAACAACAAGAAGGGACAAGAGCCCTCCGCCTCGCTTGCTAGCGCTAGCGCTGGTGGTAGAGGCACGTTTGGAGACAACACAGGCATCGGAGACCTTTCGATGTTGTCAGACGTAGCGTTGCAACAGCAGCTTAACGACTCGAGCTATACACCGCCTTCTTCGCTCGATATGCCTATGCCAGCCTCCTGGGAAGACCCCTTTGCGTCTGACCAAGATGGCGTAATGGACTGGGAGAAGGTTTGGGCCGACATCTTTTCTACCGTTGACATGGCGCGTTGAGGAGCTGCGGTCGCGACACCTCAGACACCTCTCAGTAAGCCGGCCCTAGAAATTCTTTGTTCAATGACGCGCGCGCGTCTTTTCGTTTGCTTGCATTGTGGCGTTTCGCGCGTAACGCCCGGTGTAGGGAGAGAGATTCCTCGAGACGCCGGTTGTTCAGCCCGCTAGAGTTCCATTCCGCGACCGAGCGCGAGAGACGGAAAATTGCGCGGGTTCCGACGGGTCCAGTCAATCTCAACTAAAGCTTCCCACTGCTCATGTCGATTCGCGAGTGCGAAGGGAAAGCATGTCTCATTCATATATCACCGCCTTTTGCGGTTTTTTGTACCGCATGATTGTCTGCACAGAAGCACCGTGGCACAGCCATGTCGTGAGGCGCACGACCATATAAGGTCACCCGATGTGGACTCTCGCGCAGTCGTTGGCCCTGTCTAATATATTTAAGTGAGGTCCACCGACATATCGAAAGCCCTACCAATCTTCACAAGCAGCAGACTGCTGCTCGGCTTGCTCGCCTATAGTCCTTGCAAAGAAGGGAAGGAACACAGAATTTGACACGACATATCAGAGTGGCCACATCAGTGCCGATCGTGTCGTTGCGCTGGACACCTCTTCAGAGCACTTTCGCACGAAAGCCAAAGTAATATCTCCAGTGTCGTCAGCTGGTCGACAAAAAGTCTTCGGACATACAATGCAGACTCAGCTGCCCACCATCTTTGTCGAAGATGTCGACTTCAACACGCTGTCTCCTCCTTCGTCTCCGAGGAGCAGCATCAGCGACTTCTCACGTCGCTCAACTACGCCCCACACCGACGTTGACGATGTCCATGAAGACAAGGAAAAGGACATTGGCGAGACGATCGCATTGTACGGTGACAGCTTCGCAACAGACTGGCACGAGGAACGCTACAAAATCTGGGAGCTGCCGCAGTCTTATGGCTCAACGCAACGGTGCCTTGTAGGCTATCTCGTTGAGGGCGGCTAGTGAGTGAAAGCTCAATTGTGTCATGTTGCAGAATCTTCTGACACGAATGCCTGTGTGCCCACAATGGTGTGCGACCACAGCGCTTTTGTTTGGGGAACGCCAGCCTGTCCCAAGGAGAAGCTGGTCGAGACACTGCTGGCATTTATTGAGTGGTGTCGCTCACAGAGTCTTTCACCCATGCTGCTCTGCGTGAACGAAGCAACAAAGGACATCATACTGTCAAAGATGCACGATTGGGTCGTCTTTACCTGCGTTCGCGAAGAGGTGCTGGACCCAAGCAAGAACATCAGCAAGGAGGGAGGATATGAGTCACCGTCGAGAAATCTCCGTTCGGTTGTCAGGCGCGCTCAGCGGGCCGGAGTGAAGGTCCAGTGGTTTGATGAGGGTTGCCTTCCAAGCGCAGATGTCGTGGAAGAAGTCAACGACGGCCTTGCAGCCTGGCTCAAAGCGAGGAAGGGTCCACAGATTGCCAGTGTGAGTGTGATTTTGAGCTGACACGCATCCTACAAGAATAAGTCGGGCTCACACTTCTTCAATCAGGACTCGCTTGACATCTGGATTGACTACAAGAATAGGCGCTACTTTGTCGCCCGCGACGAACAGACAGGACGAGCAGTAGGCGTGGCCAATCTAGCAAGGTGCAGAGGTGGGCGAGAGTACCAAATTAAGAATTTCGTCAGCTTTCCCTGGGCACCAAAAGGCACAAGCGAGTTACTTGTCGAGGAGGCCATCACTGCTGTTTCCAAATTGCCCAAATTGCCGCCGTCAAGTCCATCCGGTGACGAGGAAGACGAAGAGACCACCACCGCCTCGACCACCGTCACTTTTGGCGGATCAGCAGACGACGAACTCCGAGGCGTTCACAACTTATCCGGCTGGAAGTTTCAGTGGCTCTCGAAAGTCTATCAACAAATTGCCAAGTCCTTCGGCTTGACAAAGAGACACGCCTTTCGATCAAAATGGCACGCCCAGGACCGACCGCTGTACATTGCTTATCCTCCCGAACCGGGCATGTCGCTCGGAGCGGCAAGGAGCCTTCTGAGAACCCTGAATCGGACATGATCCTACTTCGACATACTTCTGGCTCTTTTGATCCCTCTCTACGTAATCTGATGTTCTTGCTTCTGAACTTGTTGAATGGCTGGATGCTTCGCAAGAGCTCGTCTGCATGCTGCGGGTGATTTATTGCGGCTCAATAAGTAGGTTCCAGCTGCGCATCATGGCGTCGGGCAACGTGAGGCCAAAACAATGATGACTTCTCTCTCAACCCGACATTTTGGCCTGGGTACAGATTTTGAGCCTTTTTGTGGCGAATTCTTTAGCCTAAATTCCGGACGGCAGCCTCAGCAGAGCTAGCTGCAAGTTCTGACGTTTCCGACCAGTCCAGCTTTTAAGACGCGTCTGGTGGTCCGAGCGCTCGCGCTCGGACCTTCTCGACGCCTACTACTTCGCCTTGTAACGCTCCTCCTTCTCTTGATCTAATAACAACTCCTGCTCTTTTTCGTCGTCTTAACGTTCGAGAGCATCGAAGACCTCGCCGTCGCCGCGACACACGAGTTTGGAGTCACCTCAGTACTCAGGGGCAGCCTGGGCGAGCTATATTGTTCTCGGATCGAGACCTTCGCTGACGCTCGACCGACCCGTTGAAAACGATCAGCTTGGCTGATGCACTTCCTCAACGCCATCAACGACTGCAATTTGCCGAGCGACCGGATTTCCAACTTTTACTTCATTCATCTTCCACTTTGGGAAGGGGGTCGGGACGCTCGGCGCGCGGGATGCGTTCACGGCAAATCTCGGCAAAGGTACGGTGCATTTGGGCGGTCCAAATTGCTTCGGCAAGTTGTTGGCGTAAGGTGGCAATAGTGCTAAGGTCATCATGGAGGGCGTCGGACCATTTGGCAAAGTCTTCGGCGGCTTCGGACGCGTCGGCGGGCGGATGAAAGACCTCGGCAGTCCTGCGGCGCTTCGTTGGACGCTCCTCGGCGGCCTCGCGGATCTCCTCGGCGAGCTCGGGATGAGCTTGGCGGAAAGCGGCAGGCACGGAATTCAGCTTGAGATCGGTCTTTGGCGGGTGCCACTCATGCTCAGGAAACTCGTCAAGCATGACGGTGTACACCCTGGCGAGCAAGGAGCCCCTGGCATAGCCCGGATCCCTCTTATCCCCGTTGCACCTGCTCTTGGCCTCCATGCAGCCAGTACACTTGCTATCCTTTTTAGGAATATTGCAGGTGAGCCCTTGTTGGTGACATCGGTAGCAGGTGAATCTGGCCCTCGGCATGATTGGCAAGAAGTGGGAGAGTGGACAGAGCGCGGATGATGGTGGTGAAAGAGTAAAGAAAAAAAAAAAAAATCGGTGCCAGGCACTTTTCGAGGGAAGGGAGTCTGTGGGGAATTCAAAATTTGTACTGAACACGCGTAGCTCCCTTGAATTCATAAACGACCTTCCTCGATCACACCGTCTTCTGCAGCGTTCAGAGGAAAGGCGTTTTGGCCTGGCTAAGTAAGCTAGGATCGCCTCATTTTCACGGAGATGGGAACGCGAGAATGGTCTTAGATTAAGCATGGAATCACCGAAACGTGCTCGTGTCAATATCGAAGCTCTACCGGTAGGCTTTGACATATGAGATTTCTCCATGCTCCGGTGAGATTTCTCTTCCGCCAACAACAGCACTCGATCCTCCATCACTTTCCTTATCGCTTGGCCCCCTCAGTCATGTTCAAGAGTATTGCAGTCGCTTTGACATTCACCGTCGCCATGGTGCAGGCCGCGCCTCTCGAGTCTCGCTCGCCGCCTTAGATTCGCTGTGCTCCAGAATCAGAGTGGATACACGGAGATTCACTAGGCTACGGCGACCTCGCCGAGGGAGCCAGCCGAGGCAAGCTTGGTATCGAGACCACTGTCGACTCATCCAATACCACTCAACGGCGGCTTGTGCCCTTCACGGAGGAAAGCGACTCTGTCAAGCAGATCACGAATGTCGTTGGTGTCCCCTGCAACTCGACGGGCAACAACTACTCCTACTATCCGCAAAATCAAGATGGCTTTGGAAAAAATACGCCACTCAAAGTCAGATTGCCCGATTATGACGAGTCTTACGTTCACATGTGCCTGGGCATCGGTAGCTCGGGCTTTGAGGGTCCTCCCAAAACCTACTACAACGGCAGCTTTGTCAGCGGAGCCTACCCCTTGTCCGTCCAGCCTTGCGGCAATACCGACTTCCAGCACGATGCTCTGACCAACGCCCAATTCTTCCAGGCTGAGTTCAAATTCAACATCGTCGTCTCGGCCACGGGCAAGCAACCAGCGGACCAGCAGAACCCGCCGTCGTGGTACATGTCCAACCATGGAGGCAACATCACCATCCAGCCGTACGATACAAAGCCAAAGGACGAAGACGAAGAGACGTACGGACTCAGTTTGCTCATTTAAAAGCCAGTACCTTTTCACTACCATCATACTAATTTCTTTAACACCTAGTTTCCCTCTAATCCCAGCTAATCAATGCATCAATACCACACAACTTCAATGTTTCGAGCGGCCTCGTTACCCGTCGACGCCGCAGTTCGAGAATTCGAGTGATCCTAGTCAAAGTACAGACAGCACTTGACTTCAACGACAGCATGAACGTCTGTACCTCTCCCAAGCTGGGAGTTTTAGTCCTCTGAATGTTCTTCTGAGCCGCTGTCCGTTTAATGCACAAGCGGCGCCAGCTCGAGGCAATTTCAAAGATGGCGGTGGTGGGCGGGCAAGCAGGAATCCGACCGTTGTGCTCACGTGGCGCGACCTCATGCACGTTAGACTTCACGCAGCAAGCAGTACGGCAGGAATAAATTTGAGAAGAGGCGTCGCCCTCCCCAAGCACTTCTTCCCTCACCTTTCACCTCTACCTCGACTTGATCCTCTACGAACGTCTTTTGTCCGTCCGTTCCGCCTTTTCCGACCTCAAATCCGCCTCCCCACCCTTCTTCTCCTCTTCCTTTGACCTTTTCCTCCGACCTTTTCTTCCCTATCTCCCTCCGCCTTTCTTTCTCCTCTCTTCCGTGTCCTCCTTCCTGACCTCTTCGCCGCCTTCCCACGCTTCCTGACACACACCTCTTCATCTCACAACTTCCAATTGTTTTCTCATTGTCACGAAGATAATGTCCTCTCCCGCCCCTTCCGCTGCTCAGCCTGCAGAGGTGTCGCCCCAGCAGGCCGTCAACACGTCCTCTGACGCAGCCAATGTGACCGAGACGTCGCTCGACAATGGAGCCGCTGTTACGGCTGCCGACGACTCTGGCGTTGCCCCCAATGCCTCTCCCGTTGCCAGTGGTCCCAAGGCCTTTACCCTGCGAGCCCTTGTGAGCACAAAGGAGGCAGGCGTCATCATTGGCAAAGGCGGCGCAAACGTCGCCGAGCTCCGCGACCGGTCCGGTGTCAAGGCTGGTGTCAGCAAGGTTGTTCCCGGAGTTCACGATCGTGTTCTTAGCGTCAGCGGCACGCTGGAGGGTGTTGCCAAGGTGAGTGTATGCCGTCTCGTATTGACGAAGCACCCCATCGGCTGACCGCTGCGACGGCACACACAGGCCTACTCTCTGATCGCGGCCACCATCCTCGACAACCCTCTGACTCCGGGCGCTCCTGCTGCGCCCACCGGTGCGAGCGCGACGGGTCAGACAACGATTCGTCTGCTCATCTCACATAACCTCATGGGCACCGTCATTGGTCGCCAGGGGCTCAAGATCAAGCACATCCAGGACACCTCGGGCGTGCGCATGGTTGCCTCCAAGGAAATGCTGCCCTCGAGCACCGAGCGCATCGTCGAAGTCCAAGGCACCGTCCAGGGCATCGAGGTCGCCGTCGAGGAGATTGGACGCTGCCTCGTCGAGGACTGGGAGCGCGGTCAGGGCACCATCCTCTACCACCCTGGTCTCGAAGTCGCTGGCCCCGGTGTCCTCGCCGCTGGAGGCGAAGGCGGTCTGCAGCCCCAGGGAGGAAGGAGGATCTCCACGGCACCGGGCGCACCCATGGCGCTGACGCCCAACCAGAGCCACCGCAAGTCGAATGTCAACGGTGCCGGCCCCGGTTCTTCTCCCTCGGCCGCCGTTGCCTCTGCTGCTGCGGCCGCTGCCTCTGCCGCCTCTGCCGCATCCGCTGCTGGCGTGCCCAGCGCTGCCGCCGTCAACCCCGGCGGCGGCCTGGCTGGCAACGGCGCCAGCTCCCCTGCCCAGGTCGTTGACGGAGAGACGCGCATCCAAAACATTAGCATCCCCTCGGACATGGTCGGCTGTATCATTGGTGTAAGTGCCAGCCTCCCTCGCCTTCTCTGTCTCTCTCTCTCTTTTCCTCGTTTTGCTTTCTTGAGTCTGATCAGTCTGGCCCGCTGGTGCTGCCGTTGTCCACAACAGAAAGGAGGAAGTAAAATCACCGAGATCCGAAGACTGTCGGGCTCGCGCATCTCGATCGCAAAGGCGCCCCACGATGAGACGGGAGAACGCATGTTCACGATCCAGGGCACCGCCGAGAGCAACGAAAAGGCCCTCTTCCTCCTCTACAACTCGCTCGAGGGCGAGAAGGAGAGGAGGGCGAGCGCCGCCGCCGCCGCCGCAGCCGCTCAGGAAAAGGGCGAGCAGGCCGCCCCCGCCGAGGCAAGCGAGGCTTAGAAATCCAGAAAGAATCCGTCAACCTAATCTTCTGGCCGTCTCTTCTATCTAGCCCAAAGGGGGGTGCATGTATTCGTTCCGATGATCACACAGCCAGAAATGAAAATTGGAGGTACAGATTTGTAGCAATCGGAGGTGTTGAGGAAGGGCAGCTGGCGTCCATGCCCGAACAAATTTCCTATCTGCCCTTCCATCTGGGCGTTGGTCAATTCTATGAGGCAAATAAATATCAGTAATAGTCCACAAGGGCAAGCGGGGTTTCGGTCTAGAGACCGCGAGGTCATTCTTAAAAGGTCCTCTATTCTGGATTCGCTAATGGACGATCGTGTCGCTCGCCAACTGGTCCCCGTACGTCATATTCTACCACGGCTATGTCTGTCCACCTGGTTCCATCGTTGGCTCTCCCCTCGCAGTCCTATCTCTTCTTCTTCGACAGCCCTGCTGCGTATCAAAAAAAAAAGGTACGCAAGCACGCGACTCGTTCCTGTTCTCTCTGTCGGCGCGTCCACCCAAGGCGCCAGACAAAGAGAGGCTCGGAGAGAGAGAGAGAGGCCAACAGAAAAAAAAAGAAAAAAAGGAGCTAAACAAGAGAGAAAGAGGGGGCGGGATTGGAAAAAGGCCAGCTTAAATTTTTGTTTCTTTACTAACTTTTTAAGAATTTCTGCACTCTAAAAGCTAGTCGCTTCTTTCCTTAGCTGCTCGCTGCCCTACCTACCGGTAGTCTGTGCAGCTCTTCTGAGACAGCTGTAGCGGGCAGGGCCTAAGGGTACGGGTAGCGCTCGTGCAGAAGACTCGCAAGATCCAGGTCCGGTTCTCTCGTTCTTTCTCACCCATCACTAGCTGCAACACCTGTCCTTCCCTTCTCCATCCTCCTCCCTCTGCCTCGAGCGAACAAGTCCGGTCTTCCTCCAGACGAGCCAAAAAAAGGGGCGGGGTTGCGAAAATTTCCGTCACAAAGAGGAGCGATCGGAGGTGGTAGGGGCCAGTAGCCATAAAGGCGGACCCAACAATCGTCGAGACCATCCAGAGACGCACCGAGCGCGAGTCGAGCGCCGCAATGGTGCCGCCCGCCCTCGTCCGGCGAGCGGCATGCCACGCCAACTGCCCGGCGCTTGGGCCGTGCCCCGTATGTCCCGAGGGCAAAGCGTGCCAGCAGGTGATCCCCAGCTCGTGCGATGATTGCCCCATGTACACCTGCATCAACGACCCCACGTCCAGCTCCGGCGGCTCCAGCGGCGGCGGTGGTGGCAGCAAGGCCGGGCCCATCGGCGGCGCAGTGGGCGGCGTGCTGGCGGCGATGGCGCTCGCGGGCGTGCTCTTCTTCTTTTGGAGGCAGAGGCACCAGCGCGCAAAGAGGGCTGTCAAGCGTGCGCAGCAGGACGCCAAGGTCCGTGCTGCCGGCGAGAAGTTCCAGTTGGGGGGCGGCAAGAAGCTCGGCGGTGCAGCGGCGTCCTCCGATACCGGTGGCCAAGGGTCCTCGACGTCGTTGTCTGCGGCGACGAGGAACGGCGTGAGCGGCGAGTCGAGACGGTCGGGAGGCAGCAAGACGCCAGACAGAGGTGTGCTCGCTGCGGGTGGCGGCAGCGGTGCCGGTAGCGATGGTCTTGGTGGCGGGCCGGTAGACAGATTTGGTATGATCGACGACGACGACGAGACCGAGGACATCAACGATGAAGACACCGAATGGACGGAGCTCAGGTCAGACGGCCTCACCGCCTTTCGTCGTGGCCCCGGTGCAGGCAGCGACGCCGACTCGCTCCTCGAGCAGGACCCTGCCGCGTTCAAGAGGAGAAGCACGGGCGCAGCCACGCACCTTTCGCGCATCACAGAGGGGCAGGAGGACGATGACGAGGACGCAAGGAGCAGATACAGGGAAGGCTCGCTTCTCAGCGTCACCATCCAGCCACCGCAGCCAAACAGCCCCACGGCGATCCGAGCAGGCGAGAACGTCTACTCGTCGGGCAGCTCCATCAATCTCGTTGAGCCCTATGGTGGCGGACAAACGACGAGGTCGAGGAGGACAAAGAGCGGCCAGCTCATCCTCGACCCCTTTTCCGACCAGGCCTCGGTCCAGGAGAGCATCAAGACTTCCTCGAGCTCGGGCCAGCCCTTTCCATATCGACCACCGGGCAACCGCGGCTCCGTCACGTCGGGCTCGGCAGAGGGCACGCTGTCTGTGTCGTCTGAGGCGCATTCAGCGTGGAACTCGTTGCCCCTTGAGCATCCTCAGCGGGTTCACCGCGCCACAGGGGCTCCCCTCGTTGATTTGCAGGGCAAGCCGAAGCGGCAGTCGCCCTCGGCAGCCATTTCACCTCCCTTGGGCCCGCTCGGTTCCATCCTTCGACAGCAGCAGCAACAGCAGCCATCGCTGAGCACCCCTCCCGGTGGCAAGCTCGAGCCAGAATGGTCGCCTAGCCCACTCCTGCCACATCGGCCCGATCGCAGTCCCGACTTGAATCTCCGTCTGCCGGACGGGGTGGAACCAGGCAAGATTGGCGAGGACTTGAAATCGCCCAGGAAGATTCGTTCGCAGCCTCGTTTCTCAGAAATCTGGAACAGCAACGAGGACGGTCAGATGGCCATCAGCCCAGCGGCGCCCTCAACGGCGCACTCGCAGCAGTTTGACGTCCACTACGGCGACTTCCCCGCTGAGCTTACCCAGAGCGATGTGTACAGCCACCATGCCGTGAATGCTCCTACCTCGTCTTTCAGCGAGAAAGATAAGAGGCACAGCACAAAGACGATGCAGACCGTCTCAACGATGGATTCCGTTGGACTCGACTATGTTCTCTCGGCGCCGAAGATTGTCACGCCGGATGGCCTCAAGAGAGTGCAGCTCAACCAAGGAAAGGCACAGCTCGTGCGTAGTCTAAGCACAGCAAAGAAGGAAGCGTCCGAGAGGGGCCTTTCCTCTCCAGACATCCAAGGGTCTCCACGCTTCGCTGAGCAGAGCGACAACCGCTCCACCACCTCTGATCCATTCCGTGACGAGACAGAACGGGCGACGCAGAGCCCGACGACGACCTTTGGAGGCAAGAGGTCAGACTGGGGCGGTGAGGCGTATGAAGACGAGTACGATGCCATGACAAACGACGACTCGCCCTATCAGACACGGATGGGCACTCCATACACAGATCCGCAGAGCAGAGGTCAGAGCCGAGCGCAGAGCCGAGCATCGGGACGAAGTTTCGGCGCAAAGTCCAATCCTCCGCTGCCGCAGCGCGACTGGGACGCTTCGCGAGACTCGATGCCGACGGATGTCGAGACAGACTACCAATCACGACCGAACAGCACTGCCGGTCTCCAATCGAATCGCAACACAAAAGCCTCACTGCAGCATGCCTGGACGTCTGTGCCAATGCCACCGAACATGTCGAGGCAGAGTACCGCGAGCTCCATTGGCGGGTTCTCCATCCTTGAGGGAATCCCCTTCCGTGTCGCTCCTTCTGCTGCATTAGCTTCAGAGGATGGGCAACCGGGTCCCTCGCGTCTCCGGGAAGACCCTATGCCTAACGATGCCCAAGACAAGATCAAGGAGGCTCGCCAGGCAGCAGCAGGGCACAGCACGCCACACTCAATTGTCTACATGGGCGAAGACGCGAGCTTGATGCCGACAGCGGGCACGACTAACTCGATGGTTCAGGGCTCGACGCCCCCGTGGGACAGAGTGAGCCAAGCGGTGCCTTCGGACGACAACCGGAGCAGCACGTCGTCAAAGGCGAGCCAGGGGCCTTTCGCAGACGAGAATGAGATCGCCGTCGACGGGACCGCTGTGTCCGTTCCCTTTCTGACGGATCCCCCCGGACCCTCCTCAAAGGCTGGGTCGCGGTCCACCAAATTTGACGAAATTCGACTGCAGCACGAGCTCGATGCCTATCCCTTCCAGCGATGATGCACACACATCCTTTCTTTTGTGTCCCAACCTCTGATCTGTACATGCGCAGGCACGCTTGTTCATCCTTCAGTGTGGTTACTTGTCACCTTTACTACCCTACATTCTTTGCGCCCTCGCAATGCAATATCTTGACGGTACTGTACTATACAACGCATCTCAACTGCGTGGACCTGAAGGGCGGATGAATGATTTGTGCCTTGCTGCTGATGCCAAATCTTTCGGAAGAAGCGATAATTCCCAAGTCGAAACTCGCAACCGCCGCCATTGGCTCACCGTCGGCCCACCATCGATCTTTGTCCACGTTCGCTCGTGTGACCAAGTTGTAGAAAAAGCCCCCGCCGGCTCACGGGGTTTCTCGCCGGTGGGACTGGGTTCTTAGCGCCAAATTTTCTCCAAATCTGCCGGAACGTGCAAGGCTGCCAAGGTGTGTGTGGGTCGGTGCCTGGACGGCGCACTATGCCCCTCTATCTCATTGCCTTTATCAGCCTGCCAATGACGATGCCGTGTGAGTGAGGCTGTTGCATGGATAAGCGCTTGCGGACGGCTGCAAGGAAAGAGCGACAAATTGATTCAGGCACCCACCACTTTTTTTTTGGGTCCCCTCTATCTTGCTGAATCATTGATAAAGTAGTCGCCCTTCTTGTTCCTGTCCTCTTTGAGCGCACCCTTCTTCCCTTGCCCACTACTCCCTCCATCCATCGTGAGTCTCAGGACCCTTAGGACCTCGATCTGAAGATGGCGCACTCCGACGAGATCGAGCGGCAGCATAGCGAGTCTCCCAATGAGAAGGACATGGTCGAGAAGAAGCTTGACTCTTCCAGCCTCGAGGCTGACTCTGACACGCTCGATGCGGCTCCTCTCACGCCAACGGCCGCCAAGAAGGCCCAGCTGAGCCCGATCTTTACCGTGCTGGCTGCCGGCAGCGCGCTCGTCAGCGATGGCTACCAGAACAACGTCATGTCGCTTTTGAACACACTGTTCGCGAAGCGGTACGGCTCCAAGGTCTACACGAGCGACGTCAGCACGCGCGTCTCCAACTCCCTCACCGTGGGCACGATCCTGGGCCAGGTCATTGTGGGTGTCGTCTGCGACCGCATCGGGCGAAAGGCGGCCATCGTCATTGCTTCTGTCCTGCTCTGCATCGGCGCCATCTTTGCGACGGGCGCCGCGCCCATCCATGGCAGTACCAATGCGCTCTTCTGGTGGCTGACAGTGGCAAGAGGATGCATCGGTGTGGGTGTGGGGGCCGAGTACCCGGCCTCGTCCAGCTCGGCGAGCGAGGCTGCCAGCGAGCGGTACAGCAGAAAGACGCGCTCGACCGTCTTCATCCTCTGCACCAACTTGGTCCTGTCCCTCGGCGGGCCAATCGCCTCGTCCTACTTTCTCATCATCCTCAGTGCCACCTCGTACACGGGAGAGCAATCTCCCGAGCAGAATGCAAGGAAGCTCGACATCATTTGGAGACTCTGCTTCGGTTTTGGCGCCCTGCTGCCCCTCTCGGTCTTTTACTTCCGCATCAAGATGCTCACGACGAAGCTCTACGCTGAGAGCGCCATCAAGCACAATGTCCCCTACTGGCTCGCCGTCAAGCGATACTGGCCGAGGCTCATCGGCACCCTTGGCGCTTGGTTCCTCTATGACTTTGTGGCCTTTGCCAACTCGGCCTTCAGCAGCACCGTGATCGCGACCGTCGTCGACAATCCGACGCTCAAGCGCACCGCCGAGTACCAGCTGCTGCTCGGCGCCATCGCGCTGCCCGGCGCCATCCTGGGCGCATACGCCGTCCGGTACCTCGGCTCCAAGTGGCTCCTCATTGCTGGCTTCACGGGCTACATCATCATCGGTCTCATCGTGGGACTCGCCTGGGACCACATCATCAAGATTCCCGCCCTGTTCGTTGTCCTGTATGGCCTGCTGGCCAGCTTTGGCAATTTTGGCCCAGGCTCCGTCATGGGCCTCGTCTCGTCCGACTGCTACCCCACGGCGCTCCGCGGCACCTTCTACGGCCTCTCGGCCGCCGTCGGCAAAGTCGGCGGCGTGGTCGGCACCGAGGTGTTCAAGCCGGTGCAGGCCCACGGTAAAAAGTACACATTCATCGTTGCGGCGTGCTGCGGCGTCGTCGGCGTGCTCCTCGCCTTTTTCTTTGTGCCAGACACGACGCGGTTCGACTTGGCGGAGCAGGACAAGGAGTGGGAGCAGTACCTGGTCAGAAATGGCTGGGACCACGTCGTTGGCGAGGGAGCGGGCAAGAAGAGGGTGGGCGACGCTGCCGCAAAGAAGCAGCGCAGGCATGCGCAGCTGGCCGACGTCGAGGACGTCATGGAGAACGGGACCAAGAAGGAAAAGAGCGACCTGAAGCAGAAGATGACAGCCAGATTACCATTTGTTAGGAGACAGACGGCAGACGCCCTGTCTTGAAAATCACATGTTTTCTCAGCCGAGACCTGCAATACTGGTCAAACGGCCGATCAAGAGTAGGAAACCATCGCGATTCAACGAGAGAAACAGAAAAGAAAGGATAAAAAGAAGAAGTAGAAAGTGAAAAGAGAAAGAGTGCGTGAGAGTTTAGAGGGACCTCCCTCAATGAGGGAGGTGGGTGATACTTTGAGAGCAGAGAAAAAAAATTGTCGAAGATAAAGGTGACAACCTCGTTGTCGCCAGTGTTTTCCCCATCTATGATGCAGCGACTGTCCTGTTTTCCTCCTCCCCCCTTTTCTTTGCTGAGGTGCTGCCACCCTCCTGTTCCACCCGGTTTTTTGGTTGGTTTTTTTTTCCATTATTGACCTCAAGTAATGCTCCTCTACTTTTCCACCTCCCCTTACACAGCAATCGTCTCCGCGGCCTTTTGAGCGAAGAACCTTACGTCCGCGTCTTGGTCCTCCTTGAGCTTCTCTAGTCCTGGCACGATTTGCGACTTGATGACCGCTTTCCCCTCCGACGTTTGGGAAAGGACCCCTGCGAGGACCTCGAAAGCCTTCGCGACGTTGAAACGGATGTTTGGGATCGGGTCGTCCACCATGGGCACCACCGTCTCCAGGATGTTGTCGCAGATGGCCTCGGTGTTGAGCGAAGGTGCCATCGTCTGCTCGTGTGGTCAGCCAATGTGAATTTCAGAAGCGGAACGGACACACTCACAGTGATGGCAAAGATGGTCGTCATCCGGTAGAGGTAGTTGGGATGGACACCCATTTGGAGGACCTTGGGGATGATCGTCTGCCTCGCCCATTGGACACCAAAGACGTCGGTGAGCTTCTTCAGGTTGACAGTGGCTGCCTCACGGATGCTGAAGACGGTGTCACCAAGCCATGACATGCAAAGGTTGCTCAGCTGCTCATCGAAGAACTCGACGCCCAATTGGTTGGCCAGGAGGGGAATATATTCGATGATCGCTTGCCGCACCCTCCATTGCTTGTCCTCTGCCAGCTCGACGATGGCGGGAAGCAGCGATTGTGAGAGAAGATCAATGCCAATGACTGTCGGGAAACGACGTTAACATGGACGCCCAGAACGAAGCCAAGTAGGGGGCACTTACCTTCGTTGACCTGTTCAAGCTTGGAGATGATGTTAAGGCGGACATCTGAAAATTCGTCCTTGAGCAGCTTGAGGAAGAGTGGAAGGAGGTGCTCAATGGTAGCATCCTTTCCTAAAAGAGGCGCAAGCCCGCTGATCTGAGTTCCAAGGGCGGCGCGGACGTGTTGCGAAGAATCGCTGGCCAATTCGCGGACACATGGCATCAGTCTCGCCAAGATTACGTCCTGGTCGATGAGCTTGGCAAAGCCCGGGATTTGTGCCGCGCCCGCCGTCCGAACCTCGGCCTCGTTGTCTCTGAGCAGCTGGACAAATGCCAATACGAGCTCATCCCTGACCACGTCCTCGCCCACCGCCGATGCCAGCTGTGATCAAGTAGAGGGATGAGAAACAAAGCGAGAAAGGGCATACCAATGATGACTCACTTTGACAAAATGGTCTGCCACCATATACCGCACCCTCCAGCTCTTGTCTGACACCGCACTTCGAATCGATGGAAGCAGATAGTTCTTTGTCTCGTCGTGATCAAGAACCTCTGCGATCGAAATAAGGTCCTGAACAGTCAACAGACGGACTGAGTCTTGATCATCGGATGAAAGCTTGCGGAAAAGCGGGATGATGTCCGAGACGACCAACTCCTTGGATAGATTCTTTGCGAAAGGCCCCAGGTCTCTTGCCGCTGCACGTCGTACCATGGGTGTGTCGTCGTTGCAGAGCGCAGCAAACATCTTTCGGAGCTCCTCCTGTGTCTTGTCGCCAACTTTAGAGTAGACGGCAGCAAAGAGCGACGCGGAGCTTGTTCGTGAGGTGAACCAGTCACCTCCTGAAAGCCTTCGCAAGAGCGGGATGTAGTACTCCTGGACTTGCTCCTCTGAGAGCACTTCCGCGATTTTGGTGATGGACTCTGAGGCCTGTATGATTGCAACAAGTCAGAAAAAGGGGAGAAAGGAGGCAGATTGCTTCTTCTGGAAAAGACAACACCGACCTTCTCTCTGACGACTGTCTCCTCGACAGCGGCCAGGTTCTCCAGTGGCCCAAGGAGGAGATGTCCGTACGGCGGACCACCGAGGTAGTCAACGAATCCTGAGCCCAATTCTTCCGCAAGAGAGAGGAGTACTTCGTCCTCATCGTCGAGCGAGTCTTGCAAGAACGGAATCAGCTCATCGCGAGCACGCTCAGGTCCAAGCGCAAGGGCGATGGTCGAGATGCGATGAATAGCATTCAGGCGAAGGGACACGTCGTCCGACTTCAGCTCATCGATGAGGATGGCGATTGGAAAGAGCTGCTCGTCGCTCTCCATATTGGTGCGTTTCTAGATACCTGCACGAGCGCAATTTTGCTTCTGCGCGTTGACAGGATGGAGGTGAAGAGTGACGATTCGATAGATTGTCGATTCGAGGTATCAAAGGTAATGAATCCGATGCTTTCGGTTGCGTGCAGCGTGGTGCGGCGCTTCTGGTTCGTTAGATTCGCACTGCTGCAGGCTGTACTTGCTTTCGTGAAGAGGTGGCTGACTCGTAGGGAAGAAATCTCAGCGACCGCGAAACCGACGCGAGAGTCGGTGTTGACGACGACGAGGCTCGCTGTCTGATTCCACGTGGCGAAATTAGTGTCTCCACATGGATTTGTCTCATAGACTTCTCGACCATCTGTGCACAACCACCCCATCGTCAAGACGGACTGTAGAGGACTGCACGCCGCGCAACGACATGACATGACGAATGGCATTTCCGCCGCGATAGAGCGACGATGGAGGAAGGGGGACCGGAGAAGCCATTCTTTCGCCTTCGATTGATCAACATTGATCATGTTCTCACGCGTCCCAGCTTTTTGGATAGGACAGAGTGCGCCTTCAATGCACCTGGCCAGCCTCTCAAGCGTGTTCCTGTTCTTCGTGTCTTTGGCGCAACGCCTTCAGGTCAGAGGATCTGTGCACACTTTCATGGCGTATTTCCCTACTGCTATGTGGAATACAAAGGTAGCCTTGAGCCCGATCGAGGTGAGTGAAGTGATCATCTCTTTTCCAGACGTACGCTCACCATCACCATTACAGTGCTCAGGTACATCCATCGCCTGGGAAAAGAGCTCAATGTTGCAATTGCAGCCTCTCTGCGAAGAAATGCCGATGATGCGGATCAAACGCAGTTTGTAGCAGCTATCCACCTCTGCAAGGGCGTCCCTTTCTATGGCTACCATGTCGGCTGGCGTTATTTTCTCAAGATCTCCTTCGTAGACCCAGCCATGAACGTGCGCATCGCAACCATTCTCCAGTCCGGAAAGGTGATGGGAACCAGCTTTCAGCCTTACGAGATCCACATTCGGTACCAGCTGCAGTTCATGCTCGACTACAATCTCTTCGGCTGCAGCTACATCGACTTACGTCGCCTCTTCTTTCGAAAGCCTCTTCCTGCTACAGATCCGTATCGATCGCAGGATAACAGCACCGAGCTTAGTGCTGAGCAGACAAAACGCTGGGACGAATTAGTGATCCCGCGAGAGTTGGTGCAAGAAGATGAGGTCCATCGCAACTCTTTCTGCGAGCTCGAGGCCGACGTCCACTGCGCAGACATTCTCAATCGATCGGCGCTTCGGGCTCGCAGCATGCACCACAATTTTGACGAGCGTGACGACCTCGAAGGTAGTGAGAAACTCGTGCCTAGCTTGACAGGTCTGTGGGAGGAGGAGCAACGTCGTCGGCTCAAGGCTGGCCTCAACCCGACCGTACCGAAGCCTGAATCGCTAGGAGAAAAGAGGCAGCTCCGACACGGCGATGCTCCTAAGTGGCTTGCCGAGGATCGCATGCGTGCTGCTCTGGACGCTCGTTTAAATCTTGAAAAGCAAAAGATGCATGCCGATGACCGTCACAGGACGACATTCACCAAGCTGCACCCATTTGACTCTCACATTGTGACTACTTTTGAGAGTGTCAATGTCCTCCACGGTACCTACACCGGAGCTCCTTCTGCGCGCACCTCGCACCGGTACGATCTTGAAACCCAGGCGCCGGACGCTGATCAGAATCTATACGATCTTGAGGCATCGCTCTCTCAGCCTTCGCATTCTTCCAAGTCGCCAGGCGCTGAGGAGGAGGCGAAGTGGGACGTAGACGAGGGTTTCTTCCTGAGTCAGGCTTTTCAGCAGGACATGAAGGAAGCAGAGGCTCAGCATCGAAAAGAGGAGAGAGCCAACGACGATTCAGAAGCGGAAGAAGAGGAAGTGGCTGCAAGGCGACGAGCGGAGGAGAAAAGGAAGGTCGTTGATTTGGAGCCAGAAGTGGTGCCCAGCGAGCCATCGACACCATTTTCAAGCCCATTTACCACCCCGACAAAGAGAGCAACGCCAAAGCAAGGGACCCCGATTCGGAAAAAGCAAGGCTCTGATGAACAGTCAGTCTCTTCTGACTGGCGAGAGCGGACAACCTCGAACAGTACAAACGCACAAAAGACGCCGCGTGTCCGCTTCGCCGACAGTGATGATGGAAAGCCACTTCAGTACTCAAGCGAGTCCTCAAAATCTATTTCGCGTCTCAGCGGCTCCTCGAGTGCTCATAGTCGCTCGTCCACCGAAGGAGCAGTGTCTTCGTGCTTCAGATTGAATCGGTGGAGATACAAGGTGCCCGCTCCGACAGTGGGAGAAGTGACCCAGTCCTTCCCTTACTTCGGTCTCCCAACCGCCGAGTACAAGGATCCTTACTTCAGTGACCCCGCGGACGTCCCAAAGACTCGCGAGTACGCAGGTCGGACATTTACATTCGCTTCGACGTCTTTAGCATTTCTGCCCGCCTTCGAAGGAGGCGATTTCGCGAAAAAGGAAGAGGACAAGGGAAGTGTGGAGATTAACAAGTGGGAGTACGACAAAGCGCCGCCCACGAGGCTTGAAGTGGCGTTCTGGGCTGTTGTTGAAGAAGCAAAAACGCGAAAGCGGTCAAAGCAGCGTCGTCGACGGCTTCTGACCCAGAAGGCAGCCACGACACAGCCAAGAGACTTTGGCTTCAAGCTCAGCCAAAGGACCCACACGAGTCTGGTGGAGCGGGAAAAACAGCACATGACGGTCTTGGCCGTTGAAGTCATCGCATGCACTAGAGGAAAATTGATGGCCGATCCAGCGTTTGACCCGGTGATGGCTGTCGCATACAGCTTTCAGCACGAGGACGAAGCGCTCGAAGACACCGGATCGCGCCCAGGTTTACGAACAGGCATCATTCTATTAAAAGATGAGGCGAACCCAATCGTCGCCTCACGCCTGGGGCTTGGGCGTCTGGCTATCGAGGAGGTCGACTCTGAGCTGGAGCTTTTTAATGCACTGATCGACCTCGTGCGCATATACGATCCAGAGATACTCGTGGGCTGGGAAATTCATTCGGGGTCGTGGGGCTATCTTGTCGAACGAGCCTCGCGGGAATTTGACTATGAGATCATTCCCGAGCTGGGCCGGGTCAATAGCCACTCGACTGGAAGCAAGCATGACCATTACGGTGCTACTCAGACCTCGGCGCTGCGTGTCACGGGTCGCCATGTCCTCAACATCTGGCGACTGATGCGGTCCGAGCTGACGCTCAATCAGTACTCATACGAGAACGTCGTCTTTCATCTGCTCCGTCGCCGCGTCCCCAGGTTCTCCTTTCAGACGATCACCTCTTGGCTTCGCTCTGGCCGTCCCGAATTGCAAAAGAGAGCCTTTACCTATTGGCTGGAAAAGGTCGAAACAGACCTGGAAGTCCTAGAAGCTTCCGAGCTCATCTTCAGGACAGCTGAGTTCGCGAGAATCTACGGCGTCGACTTTTTTTCCGTCATCAGCCGAGGAAGTCAGTTCAAGGTCGAGAGCGTCATGTTCCGCATCGCAAAACCAGAGAGCTTCGTTTTGCCCTCCCCGAGCCAGCAGCAGGTGGGCACGCAAAATGCCGCTGAAGATCTGCCGTTGATATTGGAGCCGCTAAGCGCCTTCTACAAAGGACCGCTCCTCGTCTTGGACTTCCAAAGCCTGTACCCATCCATCATGATCGCCTACAACATCTGCTACTCGACATGCCTTGGCCGCGTCAGCAAATTCCGCGATACATGGAAGCTTGGCTTTACCGAGCATGCACCTCCTCTTGGTCTCCTTCCGATGCTGATGGACAATTGCTTCGTCTCACCCAACGGCCTGCTATACGTCAAGCCAAATGTGCGAAAGAGTTTGCTTTCAAAGATGCTCACCGAGATCCTCGATACACGGGTCATGGTCAAGGGATCGACGAAGGGCCACAAGAGCGATCGATCCTTCATGCGACTCCAGAATGCTAGACAGCTTTCGCTGAAGCTTCTCGCAAACGTCACCTACGGCTACACGAGCGCTTCGTTTTCCGGACGAATGCCATGCGTCGAGGTGGCAGACTCCATTGTCCGGTACGGTCGCGAGACGCTTGAAAAAGCCATCGAACTCATCCACGGCACGCCCGAGTGGGGTGCACAGGTCGTCTATGGCGATACTGACAGCCTCTTCATCTACTTGGAGAACCGGACAAAGGACGAGGCCTTCATCGTTGGTAATGCGATTGCAGACGCAGTCACGGCCTGTAACCCACCGCCAGTGAAGCTCAAATTTGAGAAGGTGTACCTGCCCAGCGTCTTGTTGGCAAAGAAGCGCTATGTCGGCTTCATGTACGAGACGCCGGAGGACAAAGAGCCCGTGTTCAATGCCAAGGGCATCGAGACCGTTCGCCGGGACGGGTTTCCTGCGCAGCAGCGCATGGTCGAAGCATGCATTCGAATGCTTTTTAGAACCCAGGACCTGTCGCTAGTCAAATCTTACTGCCAGAGGCAGTGGCGAAAGATCATGGAAGGCAAGGCGTCGATACAAGACTTTGTAATCGCCAAGGAGGTCAGATTGGGAAGCTATAGCGAGAATGGAGTTCCACCGCCCGGCGCAGCCTTATCTGCTAGGAGGATGCTGTTGGACAAGCGAAGTGAACCACAATATGGCGAACGGGTACCCTACCTGATCCGACAGGGCGAGCCCCGGTCGAGGCTGATCGATTTGGCCGTCTCGCCCGAAACGATGTTGCAGGACGTCGGCTGTCACTACCACGCCATTTACTACATCACTCGAGGTCTGATCCCTCCCTTGGCCCGAGTTTTTAATCTGCTCGGAGCCGACGTCGAGAGCTGGTTCAAGGAGATGCCGAGGGTGGTGCAGACTAATCATCATCTTGCCGCCCTGATGGCGCCGACAAGCGACACCACCGAGCATTCCTCCCCTTCCCGGAGAGCGGCCAGGAACACGTTGACGAGCCACTATCGGACAGAACATTGCCTCGTGTGCTCGAGGACATCGGACCAGGAGATTTGCATCGATTGCCGGGAGAATTCCGTCGAAACGACATTTACGCTTCAGGCGAGGTTGCACGCGCATGAAGCGCGAGCATCGGCAATCGCCAGGGTCTGCGCCTCGTGTGCCTCGATGGAGGTGCCGGGATGCAATACGCCCTGCATCTCGACCGACTGCCCGGTTCTGTACGAGAAGGTAAAGACGATGAATCATGTGCGCGCTGCCGACGCTTTGTTGCAGCGCCTCGAGAAGTCGAAACAGAGTGCAGCTGAGGATGACGCTGCACCATCAGTTGATTGGTGAAACGTCTTGGGCAATTGTAAATCTATATCACTTTGCATTGTAATCATATGATCGTCGTCGCTCTCAACATTGTCAAGGTATCGAAATCTGAGAAGCGATGCTGGGCGGAGATTCTCCACGTGAGAAGGAACTTCAGTGTTGGTGGAGTAAGAAACGCGCTCTATTTGGCTGTGCTCATCGACCTTCACGTCAAGGTGAAGGGACCGCCTCGTCACTTGTGGAGAGAGAGAGAGGGAGAGAAGGGAGAGAGCGCAAGAGGATCGGTGGGAAGCGGATACAGAGCATATCCATCATGGGCGCACAGGAGAACATCGTCGATGGCGGCCAAGAGCGGGCACCGCCTTCGTACGAAGATGCTGACACGGCCATGGTCGATGATCACATCGAACCCTCCGCACCTCAAGACGACGACGAAAAAGCGATCGACATTCGTGTCGACGGTGCAGATCCCTTTGCTGCGCCCTGGAGCGCTCCACTGCCACAAGATACCAACGATGCTGCCACCCTTGCTGCTGCTGCGCCTCAGGATCCGCCGTCCCTCTTTGTCCCCGGCTTGGCAATGAGGCGGGCGACTGGCCTCTGCGATGGCACTACACACGTCTGCATCGACCTGATTGCTCACGATGTTACAAAAGATGCCAATGCGACCGGTGGTCCCCCTTCTTCATCTTCTCTTCACAGCAACACGGGCGGCGGCGGCGGCGGCGGCGCCAGCGGTAGCAGCAGCAGTGGTGGAGCACAGCCAGGAGCAACATCAGGCTCGACGCAGCCCCCAGTCGTCATCAGCAGACGGGACCTGGAAGATTCGTTGCCACATCCGCACGCCGTCCTGTCTCCGGAGCGAATGGAGTGGTTCGTAGTCCTGCGACAGGACGACCACGTCAAGGATCCAGCCAAGTTTGCGCTGGAACCCGTCCACATCGGGGACGCAGAAGGCGCAAGAGAGGGGGAAGCCGTGCCGCTTTGGAGAGATGAGGGCACGGTGACAATTTCAGCCCAAGAACAGAAGCGGACGATCTTCCTCGCGCCTCCTTTGCCATCGTTTGGGCTGGCTACTGTGGCCACAGCGGGCCAGGACGCGTTGGTGGAACCCGTCGAGACGTTTCATCGGCTAAATAGTACCCAGGGAGGAGCGTTGCTCATGACGTCTCAGGGTCAAATTACTTCAGTCGTACCATGGGAAATGCTCGAGACATTCAAGCAGCGTCGGCTCAGCTATACTGCACCGAATGTGAAGCCGATTGACAGCTTCAAGGAGTCTGCCAATGTTCTCATCAGGTGAGCGTCTCGTGCGGTTTCCCCTTCCTGAAGCACAGTCTCACAAAGTCTCGACAATAGAATCGTCGGCAATGCGGCCAACGGAGAGACGAGGTCGATTGGTACAACGAACAAAGTCATGGTGAACAAGCTCGTCATCGATGACGCCAGCATGGCTGTCCTCGGCGCCCTCGGCTTTCAGCCAACGGGCGACGCCGATGAAGCCGGTCGGCAGAGCTTCATCCGTCCTCCCGACATGACAAATGCTGCCTGGCAGCTTCGCACGAGGAGAGCATGGATCGAGCTCAATGCCTGGCTCGAGTATAGCATCCAGTCAATGCGTTGTGAGTACGAGGCTGAAGCAGTACTTTAATTCTAATTCCTTGGCTAGGGCTGAATGTAGTCACAGCAACCGATCAGCAACGGCTCGAGACAAAAACGTCGGTGCCTTGGAAAGTCAAATGGTATGACCCTGCGCCCTACATCTATGCCCTATTTGGTTTCGATAAGCAGCGACAGGGTAAGTCGAAGATTGCCCTTATCTTCGTCTGACTGCTGACCTTGTTGTGGACCCACAGAAATCTCGCCAGAAGAACAGAGGAGCTATAGAGGCCCGAGAAAGCTTGAATGGACATTCGAGGATCTGGGAGCTGAGAACACATCGACGGACGAGCTCATTGCTTACGCTTATAAGGTCAATGCTGCCGATGTCTCGGAGCAGCGTCAGCTGCAACTTTTCGAGGCCCTACATAACGTCTACGTTCATTACCGGAGTCAGAGCGAGACTCGTGAGTGTCCTGTGACCAAGTGCCTTTTACGTTGCTGACGCAGAAATCTTGGTAGTGGGAACACTTTGCGCGTTGGGCCAAAGCTCCGGACTCTACACGAGCGACGAGGTGGTTGGCGCTTTCAAGGCACTCGATCTGGCCACTGATGCAGCTGAGGCAGCGTCAATCGAAGATACCATCATTGCAGCCTGCTACAAGAAAGCTGCAAACCGTAAGCGAGGCGACGCATCTGCTTTTCAGGAAATTCAAAGTGCGCTGCGGTTCATCTCGAAGATCAAAGGGCAGCCAAAGATGCTCGTAGATCTCGCTGATGCGCCCGTCGAGATCGACTATGAGACCGCGTGCAAGATCTTGAATGTTGACGCGGACATGGCAGACGATTTTGTTGACGCCGTGCACACGGTAGCGGTGAGTGAATGTGCACCCGCTCTCCTTGGTGCCGCAAAGCACTCGCTGAACCCTCTGACTTACAGGTCAGCGACGGTCGTTTCTCCGTCGAAGACTGTCATGAATCGCTGCGCGTGGTGGCAGAGCATCGCAACAGCGACATGCTGCGGCAAAAATGGCGGACCAGCGTCGGCGTGGCCGACGACGCCTGGGAGATGGCCAAGCTCAACATGCCCGCCGGTCTCAACAACATTGGCAACACCTGCTACCTCAATTCTGTCTTGCAGTACTTTTTTGCCATTCGTGAGCTTCGAGAGAGGGTACTGAAGGCTAGCGTCAAGCTGGGTCCCCTAAAAGGAGCCGACGACGGGAATGGATCTTCAACGCCGGTTCGCGTTGGTGGTCGCAAAGTATCGGGACGAGAGATTGCCCGGTCACAGCGATTTGTTGCACAGCTCGCCCAGCTCTTCTCAAACATGATCACCTCCCCGTCGCCCGCCGTTACGCCCGAGAGAGAGCTAGCCTACCTGGCTCTCGTTTCATCGCGCGTCGAAGACGAATCAGATGTTGGAGGTGCGAACATAGAGCGGACTGGAAACAGCGATGGGACAGACAAGACGCTGGTGGAGGAGCCCAGTACCATCATGTCGACAGACCCAGAACTTACTTCACCGACTACTGTCGACCCCGATTCTCAGCCGCAAGATGATCAGAAAGACGTCACAGCTCCACCAATTCAGGCGCTGCAGACGGATATCGAGATGGACGAGCGTCCTCCGCTTCCGCTGCGTAGACCACCCCAAGTCAATCATGACGAAGTTTCCACTGCCGTCGTTGCGCACGATGAGGCTGGCCTCAGGCAGAATTCGCTGATGCAGCTTGGTGCGCAACAGGACGTCAGCGAATGTCTTGACAACGTCATGTTCCAGGTCGAAGCTGCCCTCGTTGCTGCACCGGACTGCGACGAGCCGAGAGGAAAGGCCAATGGCGAAGAAATGCAAGGCGGGCAAGAGGAGGACGATGAAAATTGGTCCAACGAGGCTGATTTGTTGCGCAGACTCTTTCTCGGCCGGACATGCCAACGGCTGGAGCTTGCAACTTCTGAGGAAGGTAAAGGACCCAGCATACACACAAAAAAGGAGGTCTTCAAGATCTTGCCTGTCGATGTCCTCGAAGAGGGAAGAGACATCTACGACGGTCTGGATGGCTTCTTTGACGAGGAAACGCTGACCGGGACTGGTGGAGCGCCAGTCACGAGGAGCGTGACACTGATGGACCCACCCGCCATCGTGCAGATTCAACTTCAGGTGAGTTGCTTCCTCGTGGGCAAGTGCGGAATCGTTCACTGATGCAGCAGTGAGAGCAGCGTGTGCAGTTCGACCGCATCAGAGGAGCCTTCAAGTCGCAAGCGCATCTTGAAATGGGCGAGACACTCTTTATGGATCGCTACCTCGACTTTGACCCCACCAACGTCGAGGACCAAGCTCGGCTGGTGAAACGGCAACAGGGCCGACAGGCACGGGCACAAATTGCGAAGCTCCGGAATCGGATTGCGGCGCTCCAGCGGGACAAGAGGCCACTTTCGAGAACTCTGGAAGAGACGGCTTCGTTTATCAAGGGTCTCAAGGGGCTCAAATCGCCACTCGTCGAGGCTGTCGAAGAAGCCGATGAGCAAGCATCTCCATTGGCGCACCATTACGATGAGGGTGTCTCACCCTTTTTCATCATGGAGGCCAAGCGCATCGACGAGGAGATCAAAGCCATGGAACAAACCATTCGCGATCTCAAGGTCAAGGTGGAGTCGCTTTGGAGCGACGAAAAACGCGTCGAGTACGTCCTTGCCAGCGTCTTTATGCACCGTGGCGAGGCGAACCATGGTCATTACTTTCTGAACCAGCGGCGGCTGCCCACGGAAGAAGGGGCCAGCGCAAGCAAATGGTTCAAGTACAACGACAATGTCGTGACCGAGACATCGGTATCCGACGTCCTCAAGGACACGACGGGCGCAACGCCATACCTCGTCTCTTATGTCCGCAAGGATATCCAAGATCAGACTATGCTCTTCGAAACGGTGAAGAGGAACGTTGAAGGTGTCGGCGACGTGGGCATGTCGGGTGTAGAGCAGCCAGCGCAAGAGGAAATATCAACAACAACGGCGAGTGTCGGAATGCACAACGCCGAGGAGGATGCTGGTGGGACGAAGCTAGCAAGAGAGGGAGAGGGAAAAAGCATGACAAGGGAGCAGGATGTAGAGATAAAAATGGACGAGGGCAGGTAGAAGAAACAGCTCAAGAAAGGGGAGCAATACAATAAAGTGATACAGTCCTTTCCGCAAAGCTGCGCAATGACTGAAGAGACCGCAAATGATCTCAGCTCGAGCTTCTGACGTATGGGTGCGTCAGGGCAGCAGAAAATGAGTTCTGCGAGAGGTGACATCGAGAATGGTTGGAGCAGGATGTCCTTTTCAAGTGCCGTGGTGATAGGTGAGAGGCAGATGCAGGGCGTGCCATGCTTGCGGAGAGAGAGAAACGTCCCTCGGCGTAGCTATGGCCACTCTGACACAGGTGTCTATCCCATGTTCATCTTATCGTGATGTCTCGTGGACAGCGGTGACGCTCCCATCCTTGGCCTCAAAAGACCCTAGGGAGCTTGTCTGAGCAAGAATGTGGGGCGGGGGCATCGAATTATATTGTGAGATATGAGAGGTGGGCGATGAAGGAAAGGAGGGGAGGGGGGAGGGGATGGCACATGTGCTATACTGTAGATACATCACTTCACATCAGAAGTGTCCTTCGTCGATCGGCGACTGCGTTTGGGCGACTGCCGTAGGCCAGACTCAAGCCTTGTCCTCAGAGAACGCCCGTGAAGGTCTTGCAGACTGGAGTGGTTTGCTTGCACACTGAGGTCGTGTCCTTGAGCGCGTTACACGGGGTGCCGTTGTACTCTACTCTTGCGTTTGAAGTATCGTAGCAGCAGGTAAGATCATTTTTACCCCTCGTGCACGAGTACGGATAACGTCCGTCGCTTTCACAAGCGAGAGTGACCGAGGCGAAAGCAAGAAGAGTAAAAATCCTGAACATCATCTTGGCTTGAAAGAGGCAGGACGTAATGTCGAGTTCTGAGTGGGAGAGTGGGGAGCAGCTTTGTATGAAGGCGATTTTGGATGTTATAAAGCAGAGAGGGCATGGGTACTGAGACACGTCCTTTATAGCTTTTATGACATCCTTCTTCCTTCGGAGATTCAGGTTTCAGGCTCAAATACTGGTGTTTTGACAATGGGCGCAATTTGGTGCGCAGAGCTCCGATCGTCGGTGGTGCGGCCCCCCTCGCTCTACGAAATCGGGGTTTTTGGACCTGTGCTGTTCAAAGCGCCCCTTAAAAAGTGAGAGTTGCTCGAGCTGGCGATCGCTTCATCGGACGATGGGCACTTCCAGACGGCTCTGCGGCCCTTGTAATGGCGCCATGTCATGTCGGGCGCATTGATTGCCCGCTCGGGGCTCAGTGGTCCACTTCGTGCGCCAATTGCTAAATTTACGGCTTTGCGACGACCACGGCGGTGCCTGGCAGCTGAAGCTCCTTCACTCGTCGAAGATGGGTGGAAACAGGGTGACCGCTTGAAAGCCTCGTGGTGATAGTAAAGATGGCGGTTGCAACAGAAGGAGACGCGAGCTTTATTCTTTATCCAAATGTTAGTTATAGGGAGAAGGGTACTGCGGGGGTCTCCTACGATGGATAGCATTTGAGAAGGAGACACGGCCTTCTTTTAGAATTGGTCGGTAGGAAAAAAAGACGTATGCTGGAGCTACTGTCCGTCGTGAACTCTTCTTACCCATCCTACATCGTGAGTAGTTGCGCCAGTGAGCCCGCAATACCCATGACATCTCCCTGCTCCTTTTTTCGGGATTCGCGAGCCCTCGTCTTCATATTGTTGTCAGACGCCAAGCTCGGGAGTTCACTCTAGCGAAGGAAAGAAGAAGGAGTTCATGGGTGAAATTCTTGGATAGTGAGATGGCAAGCCAGCGAAGGGAGGTGTAAAGGGGGTGGGCGACGATATTCTGGTTACATCACTTCACGTCAGAATTATTCTTCGTGTTGCTGCGGCTACCGTAAGCTAGAGTAACTTGGGTTCCTCAAGGGCACCGGTGGAGTAAAGCTTATACTGAATCGGGCAAGGCTTCCAATCACCCTTGCAGTGTTGGTCGTAGACCCTGGTGCACGCTTTGCCGAATGCAAACGGAGCAGTGTCGGTTCCAGTAAAGCAGCACGTCTCCCAGGGGTCTTCATGCTTACTTGTCGGGCAGCTGTACGCGAGGTTGATGTTTGTGACGCCTGGGCACGCGGAGTGCTCAAAAGGACAGGTGTTTTGGACTTCCGTGCAGGATGCCGGAGGGTTATTCGACCAAGCGCAGCAATGGGTATCTGCGGCATCGCACTGACTTCCTCCTCTGCAGCGGTAGAGCTGAGCCATGGGGGCGCTGAAACGCAAGCACATAAGCATCATCATCTGCTCTGATATTGTGATAGACTCACTTCTCGGCCGCGGCGACCAGGCCTGCGGAGGCCAAGGCGAGGAGAATGAAAATCTTGAACATCCTTTTAGGAAGTAAATATGGTGTAGGCTCGAAATATGAGTTGGTGACGGGTTGTAGCTCTGTGAGAGACAGGGTTGCGTGACCTGAAGGAGAGAGGACAAGGGTGCTGAAGTACTCTCTTATAAAGCTTTATCGACTTTTCAACTAGTCGACGAATCAGGCTTGAGGATCGAAACACTGATCTGGTAATAGTGGGCGCATTGTGGTACGCAGAAACCCGTTCGTCGGTAGAGCGTCCACCTCCTCGCTCTACGAAAACGGAGCGTCCAAACCGGTGCCATTCCAATCCCCCGTTTCAACAGCAATAGCTCTTTGAGCCTGCGGTCGCTTCACCAGATGATTCTCAGACTCAGAAGGCTCTATGGTGCCTGTGCTGTCGACATGCCATCTCGGGCGCATTGATCGTCCGCTTGCGGCTCAAATGGTCCGGAGTGTGTGCCAATAGCAGGAGAACGACTAAGCGACGATCACGGCGGTGCCTGGCAGTCCACACTCCTACATTTGTTGGTCTCTCGCCCACACACCTATGCCTGTTTCTTGTCAGGGCCTTTGCCCTGGCTTGCGACCTCTTTGAAAGATCGTATCATTCCCGTCTCATACAATCCGTGATGACAGCAACAAGCTCTGGTGAACAGGTGCGCCCTGTAGCATGACGGCGCTAAGCCTCCATGAGCGAATGCTACAGAGAAGTGGCGAACTATGCCGAAATGTTTTATTTCTCATCGGAGATCCATGCGACATAACCATTATCTCCCACTTTTCTCCTGTTCCTCCGACAACGAGTTGCTTCGCCCCGCTTGGTCACACGGCGTTCCATGGTCTCGAGCACGATCTCAGCTCTAAAACGCCCGGCCCCTCTAATTCAGACCTCGCTTGCGGAACTCCGGTCATGGAGTCGAGATGACAGCATTGCTGCTCTGTCACCCCGAACAGTGGCTCGCCTCCGGCTTATCCATGCAAGGTTGATCTCCAAGGGAGAAGTGTGCGGAGCTTCTGCTCTGGTTTCTTATGGTACAGTACATTGCTCTCAGCCCTTCTTGATTCTCTCCAGCAAGAGGCCCACTCGATTGCCAAGATTGGGCTGCCCACGTTCCCTGCCCCTTTTGCTTCCACTCTCAGCATTCCACTTGGCATCTCGATCCTGCCGTTGCTTCTTCCGTCCCTCTACGCTGACGCTCTTTGCTTCCTCTTTCTTCTTCAAAATTGTTGCACCTGCCGTTGAACCGCCTTTTATCCGACGCGCCGATTCGGCCTCTGCATTCTCATCCCTCGGTCCAGCACGCTTGGTCTCGGACGGGCCCAAGTCCCGGGCCCGCTTCCTCTTCTTTTCACGACTGGGGACCCCATCATTCGGTGCCGGTCCGGCCCTCGCAGCAGCCCTCGCCAGGTGGTTTTCTTCTTCCTCATCGTTCTGTGCCTTCTCTGGCGCAAATTTTCCCTCATCTCGATCCTCTAACATGGAAGAGTCCAGCGCAGTGTCGTGCTGCTTAGCAAGCTGACGATGGTACGCCTTTTTCACTCTGGCCTTTTCGATGAGATCCGCCTTGATTTTCTTGGCTGTCTTCAAAGTCAGCTGCACGACACTTCGCCTCCACGACATACTATGCAACATGTGCTGGCCAACTCACCTCGACCAAGGTAGGCACCATCGGGCGCATGGCTTGGGCCCACCTTGAAGCCGGCCTTGCCCTTGCCCTTGATGTTGCTACTTCGCTGTCCCAGGGCCGTGGAATTGGCGCCGCTCCCTTCCCTTCCCGATGCACTCTTGCTTCCCGATGCCCCTACCGGACCGAACGCCTTCTTCGTCCTATGCTTGACCACGCTGCTCTTCTTGCTCCGCTCGGGCGCCATCGTTGTGGTCCTTTGTCTGTTTATTAAGGTTGTTTCCGGGAGACATTTTGGTAAAAATTCAGAAGAATGTTTCGCACGTGACAAGCTTCTCCACAAGACACTGTGCCCTCAGCCGCCGCCCTTGGGCGTGCGTCAGCCAAGGCCTCAAAACCTAAGACAGTAGCGCAATGACGAGCACCGCATCATGCCAAGAAAAAAATCAGTGCACCGCCCGCCACTACCACTCGAACCTCAAGACGCCGTGATACGCGGGCGTGGATCCTGTCTTTCTTTGGCGCTAAAAACATCCAGGCACAACGGCGGGAGCCCGCGTACCCACAAATGTGTACTAGGCTCTACCTCTTCTATTACTACTGTCTATCAGGCGACTGTCTCGCCAAAAAAATCGCTTGTCTTGTCTTGCTCTGTCGGGAATTCACGAAAGACGCAGTACATGGAAGCGGTACGGTAGCATATGTGTCTATTTAATATAAGATGTGATGGGCACCTGGGATCTCTCCGGACCAGCTTACAACACCATCATGCCTGGCAATCACCCCCGTCTCGAGAGGTCAACGCTGACTTTCAACATCCTCTGCCTCGTTTTGGCCATCCTCGACTGGCCTGTAAACATCCTCAACTTCATCATCCCGCTCCTCGATGACGTATACTATTTCGACCCAGGCTACAATTACCGCTACAGCGGCAGCGATGGGAGCAAGGATCTTGCCGTCTCGGTTCTGGGCTTGATCTTTGTCATCGTCGCCATCTCACAGGCAGCCTTTCAATTCTGCCCTGTTGTCATCCACAGCATGGACCTAGACCGCAAGATCAGACCCCGGCTTCGTCTTCGGTGGCTTCTGGCTTACGCAAGTGAGTCTATGGCTGCTTTACTGCGTAATTATTGCTTCCTGCGGCTAACATCCCTCGCAATGAAAGTCATCGAAACCGTCTACCTGATTCTTACCGCGGCCTTCGGATTCAGTTACGCTGGCACGCGCTACACGTTTGAGCGTGGAGATCACTACAATGTTGGAGTGAGTCCTTGCCTGAGAGATAGCGAGGGTGAATCAGCTTGCGAGTGTCTGAACAGCAAGCAATTACACAGGACACAGTGCCATTCATCCCGCTCTCAGTCAGCGTCTTCCTCCAGATTTGCTCAGTGACCGGTGAGTTTCGCGGTGCATAAGTGCGTATGGCCACACGACTGAAGTACGTTTTCGATTCGAAAAGTCATCATTCTGTTTTACCGGCACGAAAAGAGGCGTCAGGCACGAGCAGGCGCGAACACCGTGGAGATGGAGGCGACTGCCACCAGCTACTCGCTCGACCAACACAGCAAACCGTATGCTCAGGTTTAGACAGTGCCCCATCCGCATAATTTTGGCACGGTTGAAATGAGAACTTAGTCACGTGTGTTGCTTCACAAAAAAAAAGTCTGAATTTTGGGTTTCCTCTTTGGCCATTGACGAGAAGACCAGGAGGCGAAGGTGAAGGTGAAGGTGAATGCTGCTGCAGCGGACAATCGCTCTCTCGCCGGCACCGTCGCAACTAGTCATATTCGCACGTCTTTGCGACAAACAGCGTCTGAACAGACGCGCTCTGTCCAGCACTCGTCCCAAGATGGCCCCCCGTCCAGTGCCCCTTGCACGTTCCGTCTGCGACTCGCTCGGCCTGTCTCCGTCGGAGCTGGCCTTTCGCGAGGGAAGCGCGACGATTGTGCTTCCATCGAAGGAGGCGGCCTTTTTGAATCCCGTTCAAGAGTTCAACCGGGACGTTAGCACGCTGGCTATTCGCGCTTGGTCCGAGCAGAAGAATGAGGAGAGGATGGAAAAGTACAAGCAGATCAACGTCAAGAAGATGGAAAAGAAGAGGAGGAAGCTCACTGCCGGAAGCGAAGCTGGTCCGAGCAGCAAGAAACTCAAGGAAGAAAACGGCAGTGCAGGTGTCAAGGCTGCAGAGGGAGAGATCATTGGTAACGTCGCGGAGGATGCCGCCGTTGATGAGGAGGACGACGAGGAAAGTGCGCCCGCTGCAGTAGAGGGCGACGGAGAGGGGCAGGACCTCATGGCTGGCTTCAGAAACTATCGCTTCACGCTGCTCGAAGCGCTCAGCGCGACGGGGCTACGAAGTATCCGGTATGCAAGAGAGATCCCTCTACTTAGGTAGGTGTGTCGAGGTCAGTAACCTCTCTCTTCATTTGCTGAATGACGAGATGAATGCAGAACCGTCATAGCAAATGACCTCTCCTCGTCGGCCGTCGTTGCCATGAAGCGGAATGTTGCTTTAAACTTTCCAGCTGGCAAACCGATCGAGGAGTGGGTGCCGACAAAGGAGACGTCAGCCAAACAAGTGGAGGATGAGGAGGCGGTCGCTCAAGATAATGGCAGCAGGGAAGCAGATGTCGCCACCCTCGGCGACTCTAGAGCGTCAGAAGGAGAAGCGAGTTTGAAATTCGCCAAAGAGAAAGCGGAAGCGGAAGCAGAGGCGAAGAAACCGCTTGAGGACAAGATTCACCCGCAGTGTAAGGTGCGAATCAACGAAGGAGATGCGATGTCGGTCATGTACTCGCACCGCGACGAGAAGAATCGTTTCGATGTGGTGGACTTGGACCCATACGGGAGCGCCTCGATCTTTATCGATGGTGCGGTCCAGTCTGTTCGGGATGGGGGTCTGCTCTGCATAACATGCACCGATCTGGCCGTCCTGGCAGGGTCGTCGTATCCCGAAAAGTGCTTCACTTCTTACGGCGGCACTACGACCAAAGCAGAGTTCAGTCACGAATTTGCACTCCGCCTTGTCCTCCATACTGTTGCCACGAGTGCAGCACGATACGGCCGGTACATTGAACCGCTCCTCTCACTCTCCATTGACTTCTATCTTCGAATCTTCGTTCGCGTCCATACCAAGCCGCTTGAGGTCAAGAAGCTACCCAGCAAAACCGGCCTTGTCTACACATGCACCGGCTGCCAAAATTGGGCCGAACATCGAATGGGACGTGTGAGCAACGTCGATGGGAGAGAAAAGTTCCACCCAAGTCAGGTCCCTCAGGTTGGATCAAGCTGCAGTGAATGCGGGTCGCGATACCATGTAAGTTGTGACTCTTTACTTTCTCAGAGTTGCGCACTTAGCTGACGAGTGGTCTTTCGCAGACGGCTGGACCAATGTGGCTAGGACCGCTCCACGATCGAGAGTTTTGCTCGAAGATGCTTGAGATCCTAGACCGAGCACCAGAGCGCTTCGGGACAAGCAAACGGATTCACGGCATGGTTGGGACTGCGGCTGATGTGAGTCCTCTTCTCCTTACCCTCTCTGATCGTGTTCTTCAGCCAGCTAAAGGATCTTGCCAAATTAGGAACTCGAGGCGCCCTTCTACTTCACCCCTGCAAAGGTGGCTAGCTTCTTCCACTGCACCTCTCCGCCCCTTCAGAACGTCGTTTCGGCTCTGCTCAAAGCTGGTCACGCCGTCTCGCGCTCCCACACGATCCCAGGATCCATCAAGACGACGGCAGCGCGCAGCGTCGTGCAGGACATCATCCGGAGCTGGGTCAAGCTCCACCCCGTCTCGGAAAATAAGATCAAAGAGGGTAGCCCGACGAAAGCATTACTGGAGAAGAAGCCAGAGAGGGAGTACGACGTCTCGGAACCCTTCCATGCCGAGACAAGCGCACTTTTGCAAGGTAGCAGGGGCGGGCAGGGAACGCGATACCAGATGAATCCAACGAGGGAGTGGGGTCCGGGCACGGCGGCGAGGACAACAAAGGCGTCAAGCAACAAAAGGGAGGAAAAGAGCGACGACAGCAACGGCCTTTATCGTGGACCTCGATGAATGCTCTCATGCACTGTTGTATAATATAAACAGCGGCCACTTGATCCAATGGCAGGAAAAGTGAAAAGGCCCATGCGATTGTGATGCTCAAATGTCGTTAAGTGGTCGTCTCGAGTCGTTACAGTGAACTTTTGATGGGGAGTGAGGGTCAAGGTCTTGAAGTTAAGAAGAAGAGCCAGTCTGACTGGGTGAAAAAGAGGAGAATCCAGGATCAATACAGAAAATTGTTCAACGGCCAGCCTGTCTGGCCATCCTCTGTAGCAGATATAGCGAGCCATTCTTGGTTCTTGTGCCTCCCGCACCGCCCATGCCTTTGGCAGCAGCCCCACGACCGCTACCACGTTCCCCTCTGCCGCCTCTGCCGCCACCTGCTGAGCCTGACGATGCAGATGACTGGGCCACAGGCGGCAAAAACCCATGCATCTCCGCCCGATGTCGCTCCTCCGCTGCAATGCACTCTTTCCACAGCTTGTCCGATACGCCGCGCGTCTTCAACGGACCAGGGAATTCCTCTTTCTTGTCCTTGACATCACCTGCATCGGATGAGAGAGCTTCGCCGAAGAGCCGATATGTCTGATCCGTCAGACTCTGCCACTTGGATGACTTTCTTGGTGGCGAAGCGGACGAAGTAGCGGGCGGAATCGTTGCCGACGTGACCCTGCCGATTTGCGATGAGGCGGGTGCCTCTGACAACCTTTCGCTTCCTCGGGTCCTGCCGAGCTGTTCTGTGCTCCTCGTCCTTCTCGCCCAATTGGACGCAGTCTCCTTTGGGAAAGAAGACTCTCTCGGGAATGGTGCGTCGTCGTCGTTCGAACCTGTCTCGAGCCGATCATCTTCCAAAGCCTTATACCCCGCCGTCTCTGCGACGCCTTTGCTCTCTTCTTCTTCTTCTTCTTCTTCTTCTTCCGCAAAGGGATCTGGCTCCTCAATCCCGCTCTTGTGTGTCCACTTGAGCTTGATGGGATCAAAGACCATGTCGCCCACAATTCGCACCCCACCTGGACTTTGTCCATCGGCCGATTGTGGGCTGCTTTTCGACAGCAGTCTCGTTTCCAGCGTCATGGGCCGTTGTGGGGTCTGCTGATCCGGCTGCCCAGACCACAATGATTGCGTGATGGTGCCCTGCATGATAGTACTTGCAGAGAGTGGCGACAGCTGCGTGATGAGAGCGGGTCTCGCGCTGGACTGGAGCGCATTGTCAAAGTCTTTCATCTCGCGTTCATTTCCCTCCCATTGCTGCCGGCTAGGGTTCCATCGCATATCGCCTACAATGCGAGGTCCCATGCTAGCGCCGGCCAAGTTGCGAATCAGATATGGCTGCTTCTGCTTCTTTCGAGAGCTTCGTCTGTTGCGCCCTGGACGGGTATGAGTGTTTGCTGTCGAAGCTGTGCCGTCCGACGGTGTCGTATTTTGCTTGCGGCCAGACGCTGCTGTCGGGCTCGCGCCCGCAAAGGGTGACTGAAGATGTTTCTGCCCAGGGGCCTGGGTACTGGTGGCCGCTCCCGTCGATCGACTGGATGAAGATCCGTAAGACCGGTCGATGTTTGTCGTGGGAAGATCATCGAATGAATCAAGCTCTCGTCCATCGCCGTAGGGACGTGCTCTTTTTGGAAGCCGCATCAGCTTTGGAGTAGCCATAGGCTGCACTGATAAATCTCCAAGCGAGGAGATGGTGGGGCTATCCGTCAAACTTTGCTTCGCTCGAGAGGCATTAGTGGGCATAGTGTAACGCTTGACGCTCGAATGGCCCGCAGGAGCTCGACGTTTTGCCCCCGCTCCCTCTTGCTGGAAAGAGCTCGGCGTTGATGGACGCGCCGGGGCGCTGGACGAGCCATCAATGGAGTCTGCCCGCGATGGCGCGCGCACGGGCATGGAGGAGCGAACCGATGGTGGCGAGGGCTTCGCCCCTCTCGGTGCAGGCGAACTTCGCTCCTGCACAGTGCTAACGCTACGGCCCACATTCGTCGATACTGGAGCCTTCCTCTCGATGGCCGGACTGATTGGGCGCCTCGCGGCAGAATTGGCTCGTGTCTCCTCGTGACTTTTCATAGCCCGGGCAGAAGTACCTTGCGCTTGCCCGCCGCCATGGCTATATGCAGAAGGCGCTCTTGGTGGCGTCGGGCGACCCATACCCTTCAGCATCGCTCGAGGAGCCGTAGGGATCGAGGGCGAGGGCGCAGATTGTGGAGATGTTTGGCGAGCTTGTTGGCGCAGCTTGTACCGGAGGCTCTTGGCTTTGAGACGGCTGGGCGATAGATCCATATCATCGGTAATGACAAGGCCTGCAGCAATATCATGGTCCGAGGTGTCTGGCTTGAGATGCCTGCCTTGAGTCTGAACGAACCCTTTCCCTCTCCGAGCATCGAGAAGAGCCTCAAGCCTCGCCGACACCGCCAACGCTGTTTCTGCCGTCTTTCCCTTGCCGCGATCGCTTTCTCCAAAAATGTGGTCTGGGAATTCGAGGCCGTCTAGCATATCCTCGCCTTCAAGCGCCCCTTCCTCCGCATCAGTACTCGCCCCGCTGGCCGACGGACTGCTGGCTCCTATGCGGCGGTTTACAGCGAGACTCTTTGCTTCGTCCCCACTGTCCCACAATATCCTCTGTTGCTGATCCAACCCTCTATCCGTCGGCTTCTTAATCATGGCAGGGCTGAGCGACAAACGCTGAACCTCGGGGGCCAGGACAAAGTCTGCTTCATCGCCTCCTTGACCCTCCCAGTCGGGGCGTCCGGGTGACTTCGACGTTATGGACACGGGAAAGTGACCGGTTCGAGGAGGCGACATGAGTGAGGAGGCGTTTGAAGACGTCGAGGAGGAATAAGCTCCTTTCTTCGAGGGTGTGGAGGGACCAGCATGTGAGCTCGGCATCCCCTCTGGATCCGTCAAGCCCAGCGAATCTGAATGGGTGCCCTGGCTGGTGCCTTCGCTCACCGAGCCTATCGTCGAGCCGAGGCTTGGCGTGCCCGTCTCAATATCGCTTGCAAAGCTAGCAGGTCGACGAAGCAGTCGATTGGGAAAGACGTCCGGGATCTCAAGGTCTTCGTCCCAGTCTCCTCCTCCCTCCATATCGACCCTCGGGGCCAACTTGCTGTTAGTAAAATTCGAACGACCCAGCTGCGTGACTGTCCCGGCGAACTCTGCAAGTCCGTCAGCATTCGGACTTTCTGTACTTGCATTCCGTTTCGCAGCCGAAAGCTGAGCAAGCTGAGCCAAGGTGGATCCTGCCACCGAGGAGAGCTTGATGGTCTCGACCTGATCCTCGTCTACATCCCCATCTACGTTTTCGTCGCCGAAGTCTGCATCCCAATTGAAGCCCCCCTCTTCGCCCCTCGCCAGAGAAGACGACGCTGGTGCACGTTCGTCGTCGAGGAGACCCACTGATCGCCCGAGGAGGGACGATGATCGCTCGCCAATTTCCTCGTCATTCTCGCTGAAGTCGAAATCACCATCCTTGTCCCAGTCTTCGAGTGGTGGCGACATAAGGATTGATGCGGCCGGCGCCGAGGCTTCCGATGCTGCTGGAGCAACCGCTTTTTCCTTTGTCTCCATTGCGATGAATACGCCTGTTTCTGTCGATGCCTGCCGTCCACTCTCAGAGTGACATTCTTGTTGCTGCAGCAGTCGTCGCTTTCTCGTTGCTCATCTCGCGCCCATTGTCGTTACGCACACGTCGGCGAAGCTGAAGGCGAACGCGGGAAAGGCGTGCCAGACGTCACTTGATGTCGAGGTGATGGCGGCAGCAGAGTTCAACCGAGCTCAAGGGAGAATATGAAATCCAGCCAAAAAGGGAAGGAGATGGCGATGTCGCTGGAACGTTGAGCTAGCCTGGCACCTGCCTAGGTGGTGGGTGGATGGCGCGTGTCGGGCGGGGGAAAGGCGTCGGCGCGGCCAGTTTTACTCTAAGGTTGAAATTTGGACCAAGCCAAAACAAACTTTCCCCTTGTTTCGCCAGGCCAGGCCAGGCCAGGCGTCTATCGTGTTGGTGGACGATCCTGACGAATACACTACTTTGCCTTTGCGGAGCTTTGTTGATCATTCGGGCATGTTCAGCTCCATCTCTCTACTCCATCACACAGATGGACAGAATCCTACGATCTTATGGTGTACCGAAAGGCAATCTGAGGTATTAACAGCGGAGCTCCCATTCTGAGCACACACCTTGGACTGCAACAACTGCATTTGCTGATATGGGGCAGGTCCTTGATCGCACGTCCCAGCCAGTGGCAAACATAAAAAACGATCACTGAAGAAAGTAACTTCATGGAGCTCTTCGTTGGGCGGGAAAGGGAGAGATGTGACGCGCCAAAAGGGCGACTGCTTGGAAAAGGAGGCGGTGCTCTAGCCCAGAAAAGGGCGTGGCGCGTGCGAACGACGGGCGTTCCTTTTGCTTTCTGTGGCCTAGATCAAAAGAAGGGCTTTTGCCATTGCTCATCGCCATTCCTTTTCTCCGACCCTCTTTCTTTCCTTCTTTTCTTTCTCGCTACCACGCTGTCATTCTTTCTCATCAGTCCTGTTGGCGCTCGGCACCGGATCGGGAGGCCATCAGCTGGCTGTCAGACCCTTATTCGCATGGGCGGTATCCCCTGCTCTACACGGCACGTCATGCTGTAGTCAAGTCAACGGGCCCTGTTTACAATGTCCGAACAATACCCTTGGCTGGAACGATCAGAGGCGCCAGAGCCCTCCAGGGCGTTTGACTTCTGGTCGGGAACTGGCAACGGGTCTTCACCAGCGAGTGAGAAGACTACGACCTCGAAAGCGGCTGCAACGACTCCCCGGCGGCCGACCGCAGCTCTGCAAGCAAAAGGGCAAACGTCGACACGAAATGCCGACTTCCAGGGCAGAAGCAACCGGCACCAACGGGGCACCGAATCGAGCTCGGCTTCGTTCTCAAGTGTAGGCTCAGGCGTGAGCATAGCACGCAAAGTAGGGCAACCCCTCGACACGATGGATGGAGAAGGTGCAGCGGGAGGGGCGTCTAGCGCCGCTGCTCTTGATTCAGGCTACCAGAGCGAAGGAGGTATTTCGATTCCCGGCAGCTTTACAAGGAGCGCGGGCATTCTTGATGTTGGTGACCTCAGCGATGAGGAGGAGGGAGAAGACCTAGACTTCGACCTTCACGATTCGGCGTTGGTGGAAGAGAGAGCATTGAGGTTGCATATACCCACGTCGCAACCCCAAAAGTATAGAGCGGAAGAACGTACGACTCCTCGCCCGAAGAAGATGACTTCCATGTTCCTGGACAGAGTGGATGGCAGTGAGAAGCGAAACGGGGAATACGAGTCGAGGGAAGAAGAAGAATCGGAAGAAGAGGAGGAGAACGACGACTCGGGGCTCTTTTGGGACGATGAGTTCAATGACCGAGGACGTGAAGAGCAAGGGCACAGAGGTGTCGATGCCCCTTTACGAGCGGAAAAGGAGCGTCTCAAGCTCCACGATCAGTTCTCGCACACTACGAAGACGTGGTCTGGCTCAGCGAGACAGGCAGCTGCTTTGGCGGCCAAGGAGCTGCCTGTGACCGACCCCTTCGACTCACCGAGAAGCCTTCCTGGAGCGTCTCTTTCGCTCTCACTCCCTGGCGAAGAAAGTCCAATTGCCAATTTTCGTAAGGGCAAGGGTCCCGCAGTATCAGCGCCCTATCCGGGCGTCAGCGAGAGCTGGGACGACGACTTTCTCTTTCAGGATGACGGCTCCGTCAAGGGAGAGTCGAATGCATCGAAGAAGTCAAAGACATCGCTGCATCTCACATCCTCGGATGATGAAGGCGATCAAGATCTGGAATCCTGGGATGCTCAATTTGCAAGGGAGCAGCGCCAAGAGTCAAGCTTGAAACGTCCATCGCCTGGGCGCCGGTCACCCGTTGATTCGATTGAAAATTGGGACCAGGACTTCCACAGCGATCTGCAATACCAGACAAAGAGGACGTCGATGGTTTCTCAAGCGTCAAGAGCATCCTCGAAGAGCAATCTGACCGATCTTTCGGCTAGACTAGCTCTCCAGTCGGACGTGAGCTCCTTGCCAGGGAGTGGGTCCGATGCCAGCCACCGGTCGCCTTCATCATCTACAGGCGCACACTTGGAACCACCGCAAAACACGGTCAATGTCAGCAGAGGTGAAAGTGGCAGGTCAAGATTGAAGAGCAGATGGCTAGGCAGTCCCAAAAAGTCCCGCAAGCAAAACACGCGGCAACAATCGGGCAGCGAGACCGAGACGGAGGCGGAGAGCATCTCGCCCGGCGCTCGACATTCCATCGGTGGCACCGAAGATAAATTACCTTCGGACCCCATGGCGTTGGCGTCCCGAGAAAGGAGGAAGTCGAAGTCGACGAGCAAGATAGCGCAGCAGCTTCAGCGTGTCTCGATCGACATTGGGCAAGCTCGCAAGTCTGGTCAATACGAGGAAGAGACGTTACAAGAGCCAGCGGACTCGTCCAAGTCATTTTGGCGCCGATCTCAAGACGGTCAGAGCAATATCGGCGGCCTCTGGAGCTCAGCTTCCAGTCGGCCAAGCGTAAGTCGGGGAAGCAGCGACAAGTCAATACGACGGGAGCGGACGAGGAGCGACAGCGATGGTGCAAGCTCTCCGCCATCATCGCCGCGAAGACGCCTGTTTGGATTGAGGACTTTAGTGTCACCTCCAATCAGTGGCGCGCCTCGTGTCCAAGGAGTATCACTTGACGACGATCGCTCAAGCTCCACGGAGGAGAGTGCATACAGCACCATCGACACTGCCTTGTCGAGAGCATCCACTGGGAAAGAGCAAAAGAAGAAAAAGTCGCATGGTCCGAGCTTATCGCTGAGCTTCGGCTTCAATTGGGCCCAGCGGTCGCAGAAAGACTTGTCTTCTGGCCTGACGCAGCGTCTACCGTCAGCTGTTTCCTCTTCGGCTTCTATTTCGAGCACAATCGCCCAAGTGGGGCGATCCTCCGACCGACCGAGCACCCCGGCGCAGATCAGCTCGATTGATGACGCGTCGCAATCTTTACGTTTCAGCGACGAGCGACAAAGAACACCTGTCCGTAGCAAGGCGCCAGAACAGCGCTCGAACGCAGGCAGCCCTGGAGTCGCAATTGATGCTCCGCAATTGCCAAGCCGACCCTCGAGGGAGAGTATCCGGCGCGCCACTCCACGAAAGAGGGTTCTCTCGACAAAAGGAAAGGAGAAAGAGGAAATGGCGACATCAGTTCGAAGAATAAACAGCACCGCCAACTCGACTACCGCGAATGCAGAGGGCCGAGATACAAGTCAAGACAGCATGGTAGGGCCACAACGAGCTGCGCCATCGAGCTGGGCTATGTACGAGGCTCGATCGTTCTCGAGTTCCACCAATGGAACAACGGCGGCAAGTGCGACTGGGTCTAGCGATCGAAGGACAAGCGGTGGCAGCATGACGGGTAACGAGACGGAAGCTACCACCATCTACAGCTCTGGCAATGGTTCGCCATCGAGCATGCGCCTAGCTTTGGAGGGAAATGACTCGTCGCAGCTTCGAAGCCCAATCTCAAGGAAACCGAGGAGCGAGACGGAAGCACAGCAGTTGGAGTCTGCCACTCCTCCTCCTCCTCCTCCTGCAATTGATGCAGCGAAGGCTCGCACTACAGGACTCACGACCAAGACCGTTGATGCGAAGGAGACAAACGTGACTACCACTTCTCTCCAGTCAGAAGAAGGTCAATCCACGGTTCGTCCGCTTGTGCAGCACCCACCTCCTACAAGACGCAATTCGCTAGGCGATCTAAAGATCCCTTCAAGAATAAGCAAGGCTCAAGACAATCTCAAGGCAAATATCGGCCACATAAGAGATTTTGCTGCTGGCGTCGAGGGTAAGTTTCATTTGAATAGACTCTGGAGACATCTACTTATCTTGAGCACCGCAGAGCTCAAGATATACCGGCAAAAGTATGCGGAACTTTTGGATAGCCTCCTCGATCGGGAACAAGAGGAAGTGATGCGATCTCCAATAGAATCGACGCCCTCAGCTTTCGACGATACTGAGATGCTTTATGCGCTGGAAGACAGATACGCGGCGTGGTGGGAGTGTGCCGATGTACTCATGGCACTGGGGGAGGGGCGAAGCGAAACAGACAAGGAGGCTTCGGTGGCGACTCTAGAGCAAAACACCATGGCAAGGGAGCGACGCATTACCTTGGAGACGCCTTCGCAAGCAAGAAGGTTCTCACAAGTCGGAGCTCGTAGGCAAGAACAACTTCGGGAGGTTGCCTTAGATGGCCTCGACCATGTCCTCGGCGACGGTCAGTCGACTGTAAGGAGGCAATCGGGAAGTCGGACCACCAGTAGCCGTGCTTCTTCGACCTCGAGGAGTGTGAATCCGCAAAGAGAGCTCGATATCTTGTCAGCCATGCTTGCAGGCGCCCCTCCCGAAGAATTGTCGTCGCCTCTCAGCAGCACTCATCGCGAACCTTCCTCGAGGACAAGAGCCTCTCCGCAGGCGCAGTCACGTCATTCGTCAGTCTCAACGAATAACATTGCCTCAGTGCCATATCAAGCACCACCAGTCATCAACTTTTCCACTGAGTCCATCGACAGACCGTGGCGCGACACCGGCCGAGGCAAGCTTAGGCACACTGGGCGTAGCGGCTTGAATGGTCTGATGGAGCTGCTGCGCGCATTTAAGCTGCCTTCTACGGCTTCCAATGAATACGCCAATCGGCTCGCGGACGCCAGCATGTCGCAATTGTCTCTCGCTCCAGGCGCAAACGTCATGCTCGACATTTCACGGCCGCAGACGTCTCTAGACGATTACCCTAGCTCGCAGCACGGAACAGGAAACGCAGACGGAAAGAAGAGATCCATTTTTGGAAAGTCGAGCGTCGGCCACTCGCCTGCGAACACAGACAACCTGTCGAGTCGACAGCACAAGCACTTCAGTTGGAAAGGGTTTACTACAACGTCTTCGAATGCTGTTCCAAGCTCGTGGATTCCGAGCCGGACTCGACGACCCAGCACGGCGTCGACCCGCAGCAGCTTTGGCGAGTCGATCATTGATGGCAGCATCGACAGCGACTGGACTCAGGCTGATATAAGCCATGGAAGCAGCCAGCATCGCGAATCGGACGAACTTGTTGCGTCACCCTCGCCTCCCCACGACGCCAACACCGTCCGACGAAGGCTTGTCTCACTCTCCGAAGACAATCCGCATCCACAGAAGACCGGGCCTCACCTTGCGTTTGGACAAAAAAGATCCTTCAGTGAAGCGGCACCGACTCAGCCACTTCCATCGACGTCAAGCGGCGCTCTCGTCAGCACACCCGATCGACAAATTTCCATTGCTCAAGCTGGGCTGCCACGACAACCTTCTACCCGCAACCCGCTCTTAATGGCTGCTCGCCAGCAAGGAAGCACTGGAAGCCCCTCCAGACCAGAATTTAACACTCGCTCTGTGTCAGAATCACCCCGTTTGACTCCATCGAGCTCTCAGCAGAGTGGCTTAGCCGACCTGCCCACTTTTCCGTCGCCTCGTCGCACCAGAGTTGTCGTTCCACCGCGTCCCTCCTCCTCGCGAAGCGGCTTCTCAACATCGGAGTACAAAACTGTCTCTGGCGCCAGTATTATGGAATCGAGCGGCGACTCCGTCTATTCCATGACGACTTCTTCCACCTCGAACACCGGCAATGCTGTGCGTGCACAATCGCCATCGGGCGAAAGCGCTCGGTCGGTATCTCGAGTCTCGATGGCTACACAACAGGCAAAGCAGAAGGACCGCAGTCAAAGTACCACTGGCAAGCCTTCATCAGTGGGCGCATCGTCGGGCGCTGCAGCTGCTGCTGCAGCTACCTATCGGAAATTGGCCCTCCAACCCGAAGCAATTCCGAGCTTGCTGTCATACATGCACGCTACCAGAAATCACTGTCGTCAAAGCATCGAGCAGCTCGAGCGTATCAATGCCGGTCGGGGCCAAAGCGCATCATTGCCATTCAGCAAGTCAACGATTGCTATTGGCAGTGTCTTGCCGAAGTCCTCCGCGACAGATCAAGCTCGAGGTGCAGAACCACTATCTCTATCCTCGTCACGGCCGCCATCTTCCTTCCGATCACCACCGAGTGCTATCACTTTCGACGAGAGGTCAAAATCGGCGGCACGCGAAGCGCACAATTCAGTTGACTCGCAAACGACGATCAGAGGCAACAAGGGCATATTCTCCTCTTTCAGTGCGGGCGATTCTGCCGAAAACATGAGGCTCGGCAGTTCGGTCATGATGAAAACGAATACGCCTTTCCCGATGACTTCTGAACCTGTGGTCTCGGGTCCGGCTCCTCCGCCGCCGCTTTCGACTTCACCGTTGGCTCACACTGGTGCCGCATCGTCTTCTGACTCTTCTACTCTGCCCACGGCAAACACCGCTTCTCCAGCAACGAAAGCATTCTCTCAACCGACCACGCAACACCAACGAAGGCCCTCTCTACTACCTAATCGCTTTTCCTCGTCTTCATCGTCAAAAAGAAGAGGAGAGTGAGCCTTCGACTACCCTTGTACCACTAGATACCACTCCTAATTATTTCCCAGGCGCACGTCATTCGAGATACTCTCTTTTTGAGCAGATGAATCGGGTGACACGGTACTTCTTGGTGATTCAAACAAGAGAGGAGGACGATAGAAGTACATGAAAGCGATGCGCAAGAGACATAGCTTGAGAGTGGAAAGGTCGTTAGAGTACGTTTAAGCCTAAGAATGAAAAGAAAAAGATGAAGAAAGCCTTAGCTCGTAAAAAAGTCATTTACAACGAAGCGGAGACGAAGGCGGCGGAGGTGGTCCTGGAAGCGTGCGACGTCAAACCCAACTTCTTTTCCCCAGTGTCCGAGGATGTAGCCTTTGACCCTTGCTGACCTTGTCGCTCTGCTACTCCGTCTCCCTCACGCGCACCGATGACTGGCGTCGTTGCACCCGTCGTCAGTCCGCCACCTTCTTCTCGTTCTCCGACGAGGCAAACGAGAACCGAAATGTCGTCGTGCTTGCCTCCGACGTAGTGCAGGCCCTCTTCCATGGCCCTCTGTTGGAAGGGCGAAGAGATTGCTCTCCCGTCCTCTGAGACGGCCTTGGCCCTTGAGCACAGCGCCTCGCTCACGAGCTGTGGGCTAAAGGCAGACTCCGCAGGCGAGACGGTAGAGTCTTGCAGGCCATCGCCTTGCTGTTGCTGTGGCAAGAATCGGAGAACCTCCTCGATGATGTCCTCGTCGAAGAGATTGTCCATCAAGCCATCCGATCCAACGACGATGATATCGCCTGCTTCGACTCGCACCGTCCACCTTCCCGCATCTCTCCTCGGCTCGTCCCATTCAGGTTCTTGTTCATCGCTCTCTTCTTTAGCCTCCGTCGTTGGACCAGCCCCTCCGCCAACTGCACCAGCACCTTCCGCTTCCCCCTCTGCTGCCGCGTGACCCTTGACGCCCGCTGCCGCACCTCCATCGATCGATGAGGACGACGACGAGCCCGGCTCGTCTTCGACATCATCATAGTCTTCCATTACCGAAGAAGAGTCTCGCCCCTTTTCCTGCGCCGCTCCTCTCGCTTTATTCGCTGCTTCGGTTCTCTTCTTCACACTCTGCGTCGTATCACCCATCATGCCGAGCTGTACCGGAAAGTTGAAGCTGTGCTGCTGCTCTGTGCTCCTGAAGAGCAGATCGCCCTGTCGAATAATAAGCAGCACGCAATCGCCCACGTTTGCAATTCGTAGCTCATCGCCCCGCAAGAGAGCAATGAGCGCCGTCGAAGAGCCCAAAATTCCCTCGCGTCGAGATGCCCGTACACATCGTTCCCATGCCCGATGCATGACTTCGACGGGGTCAACAGAGCCCCACGCATGCAGCAATGAGCCATTGTCGGCGGCGAGCTCGGCAGCCGACAAACCGTCGTAGCGCGAGAGTTCCACGGCGCAGAAATGCATCAGCAGCCTCGAGAACAGGGCGGGATCCGCTCCGGGTCGAGACGCCCATCCACCGACTCCGTCTGCGACGCCCAGCGAATCTGGGCGGAGAAAGTAGGCGTCCTCCCCCACCTGAACACTCCGCAACCGGTCTTTGATGATGCGACCGTCTGAGTCTCGGATCGCCATCTTGCTTGGGGACCCCGTCGGCGGTGATTGTTTCGTTTTCCCACTGGCCGACCTCCTCGCGCCGTAAGCATGGTACGACAGGACCTCGCTTCCTTCGGCGGTACTTCCTCCACTCAATGCCATGCTGAGCGCATCCTCGCCCGACATTGGGCGATGTATGCGAGATCCCTTCCCATCGGCCGATGGAGTCTGAGGCCCCGCCAAGAAATCGGCGGCAGCATATAGCATATTTGTGGCCGCCTTCACCTTGCTTGTTGCCACCTCCTCATGTCCTGGCGTTTCTCTTCCTTCGCCGGTGCTTTTCGCACCCTGAGACGCCGACGGATTCTTGCCGTTTCGGATCGAGCTAAGCGGGTGTCTCTTGGGAATGCCGTATGCCCCATGCTCAAATGTGAAGTCATGTCGCTTGGAGCTCCTGGGCAGTTCAAAAGACCGAGCCCAGTGCTGCGATGGCAGACCAGGCTGACCGGCTTGATGGCCGTGCGATGACGATCCCATCCCAGCCGTCGATGAGGCCAAGTTGGCGCCATTGCTGCTGGAAGAGGAAGAGCCAGACGACGAAGAGCTAGCCTGATGCACGAGCGAAGGCCCATCGGCACCGTTCGAAGACGAAAGCGAGTTAGAGAGGCCTACCTCTGAACTCGTTGTCGTCGCCAACTTATTGCCGCCGCTACGAGGGAGCGTAATGTCAGGCCCTTGAGCATTCGAGGTAAAGTTGGTGTCGAATGGGCTGGGACTAGGCGAAGGTGATCCATTGCTTGGCGAACTCGACGAAGAGGAAGAGGACGCGGTGGTAGTGGAGGAAGAAGGCGCGAAGAGGACGTCTTCGGCAGCACTGGACGATGTCGGGAAATAGTCTTTGGCGGGCGCCCAGCCCGATCCTGCCTCTGCCCCTCCCGCTGAACCGGCCCCTGTCCCGGCACTGGTGCCACTTTGCTGCATAGCCCCCATCATGAGGCTGACAAAGAGCTCTTCAAGCTTCTCTCTGTCCGATGACGAGGGCAGAGAAGAGTCAGGCGCCTTCATCTTTCCCTTTTCGCGCCTTCGCCGCTCGACTTTGGACGATGTTCGAGCAGCAGAAGTCTCAGCTGCGTCCGTCAAAGCCTTGGTAGCATTGGCGGCAGCAGCAGCAGCAGCGGCGGCGGCGGCGACAGCAGCAGATGAATTCTGGTGAGCTTGCGACCAGAGATGAAGGGCGGCCCGATGCGGTCTGGGCGCGATGAGCTGAGGCGTCTGCATGTTCCTGAGCAAGCTGCTACTCGACAGAGGAAGCATGCTCGAAGAAGACGAGAAAGTCGTCGGCGCAGTATCGTAGCGAGGGAGAGAGAAGTTGGCAGCGACGGCGGCGGCGGCGGCCGACTCGAGCGCTTCGGTCACCTCAGCGGTCTGGGGCCCGTAGAAGGGAGCGCTGACAGCACCAATCGAGGCAAGATGCTCCACCGAGACGCTGGGAGGGTGCCCGCCAAGCGTCGTCGCTTCGGCAATGGCATCAAGAGACGAGAAGGAATCGCGGTGTCTTCTCGACGACGAAGATGACGTCGTCAGGGCAGAGGATGAGGCCGAAGATGAGGTTGAGAGCGGATGGTGTTTTGCCAAGAGCGTGACCCTCCCCGACGACGAGGCCGTGGCGCGCGCCCAGAGGCTGTGATTTGGTAGCTTTGACATCTTTGACACTCTCTCTCTTCAGCCCAAAGAGACGGTGCACCTAAGCCTGGCCTCGGCCAGCTACCAGCAAAGCCGCGGGTTCGGGGAGTGTTCCGGGGTTGAGAAATTCGATATCTCACTTCGCTAGTGCTGCTGCCACTTGTCGATCGTCGCAGCCGTTCCCACTCTGCCTCTTGTTCGCCTCGTCGCAAGCAGGGCTCATGCGACGGGCTAGCGTGAGCTCGTCGTCGAAAGCCAAGGTGGGTAAGGGCAGCCTTCGCGATGGGGCGGCGTCAGCCGGTTATCGACAAAGGAGCTAGAGGGCTGAATTCCTTTCTTTGGAGATTGGCTGGGTTTTGATGTAGCTTAGCGACAGTGCCGCGCGGGCGCGCGCGCCTTAGGAAAAATCCGGAGGTTGAGCAGATCGGATTGGGAATCAAACGAAAATATAAAGGAAATTCAGCGTTAGCCCTCTTTGGGGGCAGAGAAATAATCCAGCCACAATTGGGCAAAATACTGCAGTACCCCGGGTGGACCAGAAATCGGACAGGATTGCACCCTGAATCTGTCTGTACCTCCCTGCTCAACAATGCTATCTTTGGGCGTAACAGACACAGAAGCGGTCAAATGCGATTCCATCAGGCTCCCCAGGTCACATTATTGACAAGCTCGACTTAGATTCTTGAATAGAAAGTTCGGCTCCGGTCCTACCAACCGCCGCCGCTCCTCTCTGCGGGGATCTTTCTCCTTTCGTCTCTCCTAGCGCTTCTTTCTTGCGCGGCTGGCCCCAAGGGGTCACTGTTCCTTTTCGGGAAGCCTCCTTCCTCGACCTCTTTGACGATGTCTGTGAACGCATTTTCGAGTCGCACATCCTTGAGCGCCGCACAAACGTCGAGGAAGTCTTCGAAATGCAAAGACGAAGTCTTGGAGATGTCGACTTCAGAGATGATGCCGGCAACGGTCGAGTCATCGATGTTCTGCGGAGAGAGTTTTTTGAATGAGCTACGTGGCTCAACGCTTCCCAAAGAGTCTTGCTGGAATACCCACCTGATAGCCCATGCGCGTGAGAATCTCCTTCAGGTCCGTGACGTCGACCTTGCCGTCGGCGTTGGCGTCAAGCTGATCGAATTTGGAGCGTAGTTGCGTCATCTCCTCGCTCGTCTGTAGCACTCGTAGTCAGCAAGGATGCGCTTTGACAAAGTAGAGAAAGAAATCTTCGACTCACAAATTGAGCTCGCGAGACGATCGTCGCATTCGCATCCCGCTCATCGAGCGAGGCCTGCCCAAGGTGGGGGATCGAGGACCTGGCTCCCTCCTTGATCATCTTTCGCATCTCACTGAGGCTCACTTGCTTCAGCTGGGCAAGGCGGCCGGGCTGCAGGCCCATCGAGCCCAAGAACTCGATGCCTCTTGCAAACTCTGCGTTCTGCCTCTTCTCGTCCCAGTCGAGCTCCGATGCCATGATCTCGATGATGCGGGGCAGGGCCTGGACAGTTGCCTCGGTGTTGAGGAACGAGAAACGTGTCCTTCGTGCGATAAAGTCAGGCGTCGTGGCGGCATACTCGGAGCGGCAAGCATAGCGGACTTCTGCCTCGATGTAGGGGTATAATTCGTCGAGGCGCTTGCCGTGCACTGGCCATCGCTTGCCCGTTGGCTCGGCGATGGAGCACACGGACCAGGCGCGATCACCATAGGTGGCGGAAAGATGCTTGGCCACGTCCGTCTCGAGACCGAAGCGCTGAAGAAGCTTGACGTACATCGTCTTGCTCCACCCGTGACTGCCCAGGAGTCTCGTCTGCTTGGTCACGCAGCCCCGCAGCGGCTGAAGCTTGAACGTCTCGATGGCCTTGTCGACGGTCTGTTCGGCCATCTCACGGTATGTCGTCCATTTGCCGCCAGCAATCGTCAAAAGGCCGCTCTCGCTCACGTTGATCATGTGGTTTCGCACCAGGCTCTGCGTATCCTTGGCAGCTGGGTCCTTGACCAGGGGTCGCAGGCCGCTCCAGGCAGAGAGGACATCGCCTCGACGGACCTTGATGTCGGGACTGAGATAGTTGCGAACTTCGTCGAGAATCCACTGGATCTCCTCTTCCTTTGGAAGCGGATGGGCCTCGACGGGCGCCGCCGTGTCCGTCGTGCCGGCAATGGTGTTGCCCTGCCAGGGGAGGAAGAAAATGACACGGCCATCTGAGGTCTGGGGGTCGATCAGACCCATGTCCCGGGGCGAGTAGTAGCCAGGCAGGGTGATGTGAACACCAGACGAGGGTGCGACAATCTCTTGCGCGGTGGGTGCGTCCATCTTACGCAGGCTGTCGCTGAAGGGGCCCGTGGCATTGATGACACCCTTGCACTTGACGTCCCACTCGTCGCCCGTCAGCTCATCTCGAAGCCTGGCGCCGCAGATCTGGTCGGGTCGACCAGGGACCTGCTTCTTGTGCAGCGCAGTGACTGACGTGTGGTTCGCTGCAACAGCACCATGGTGGACTGCCGTGAGAGCCAGAGCAATGTTCATCCTCGTGTCGTTGTGCTGCCCATCGTAGTAGACAACGGCACCCGCGAGGCCGGTCGACTTGAGCATGGGGAATGCCTCGAGAGCCTTGCCCTTGCCCAGGAAGTATGACGACTCCATGTTTTCGGACCCAGCCAGCCAGTCGTACATCTTGGTACCGGCAAAGTAATAGGGAATCTGCCAGTAGCGGTAGACGGGGAGCATGATGGGTAGGTGCTCGGACAGGTAGGGCGCGATGTGCAGGAACGTCTTGCGCTCGTGGAGCGCCTCCCGCACCATCTTGTACTGGTCGTAGTCGAGCTCGAAGACGGCCTTCTGCAGGTAGCGCACACCTCCATGGATGAGCTTGGTCGACTTGGACGAGGTTCCTGTTCAGGAATACGAGGTCAGCTTTTCACATGTCCCTTCTCGGCGCGCATATATAGAGTGCTCTCACCTGCGCCAAAGTCATCCTTTTCCACCATGGCCACCGAGAGGCCCCTCGTAGCAGCATCGACTGCGACACCGGCGCCCGTCGCGCCACCACCCACGATGAGAAGATCGAAGCCGTCGCCGTCCTCATCACCGTCGCGCATGACTCGCTCATCTCCCGCATCGCTCTTGGCCGCGGGACTTGGGGCTGAGCTGCCGCTCTCGCGCTGAGGCTTCTGCAGGGCCGAGTTGTCCTGTTGAATGCGCGAGGCCTGCGGTCGGAGGCTCTTCCCGCTCGACACCTTGAGTGCTGCAATCATTTGCGCTCGGGTCGGTGGGGTCCAGAGAGGGTGGGGACGGACATCACCCAGGACGGCCTTTTGGTAGGTGCGATCCTCGGCAAAGAGCTTGGAGCTGCCAAAGAGGAGGAGACCACCACCTCCTGCGATGATGGCGGCCGTGGTTAGGAAGCGGCTGCGCGGCGACGACGACGACGAAGACGACGACGAAGCGCTGCTGCTGGCCAGGCGGATATTGGTGGGACCCACGCCGCCTCGCGACATGGCGCCCACCTGCCTCGTGACATTGCGTCTGAGCATTGTCTCGGTACGGACTGCCGCCAGGAAGGGGGGAAAAGGGCGTGGAGAGCAAAGAGGAGAAAGGGGATGAGAGGAAGGTGGAAGTGGAAATTTTCCGGACAGCTGTTGGATGGGGTTTAAAGAAGCAAGGCTTATTACATGCATGGCGAAAATCGCACCGCTCCCTTTTCGCCCGCCCACTCCGATGATGTAGTCATGTCCACGCCCATGCAAAAAAATAAATTTGTTCCAGAGCCAAAGCACCTGACCCGACGTTTTCATCCAGGGTACTCAGTTGACCATAGGTGCGAGTGACGACGGAAGACTTCGGAGGTCATCCCTGCACTGTCCGGGCGACGATTCACAGGGCTGGCAGTGGACCCTTTTCTTCTTCTTCTTTGATGAGTTCACTACTGATAACACGAACGAGCTCGTGAAATCTTTCTCACTGCTTTCGATCGGGGCTCAAGAAAGTCCACGGGTTCGGTCATTTTCACTGTGCATGCAGGAGCCAGCTGCTGCACGTGTCAAAGAAGCGCCTAAACTCCATCACACTTCCTCGGCTTTTACGCTCCGGATCCCTACGAGGCGGCTTTCCCTTTCTTTCGAATTGCTCGATTGATGAGAGGTTCAGTTCTTCCTGCGGCTCTATACAGTGCGACGCCTTTAGAATACGCAGCTTCTTTTGCCAGGAGCAGGCCGAAGCTTAGGAAGATGCCGAGACTGAGATACATAACAAGAGAGCAGCGGTGTTGCGAAAAGGCCTTTTTGTCTACTTTTGCTTCTTCTTGTGACCTCGCTTCTCATCTGCAACCTGCTCTTGAGAGCCTTGCCAAGATCTGTCGAAGGTCTCATCGAGGAAGGCGTGAAGGAAGCGGACAAGGCCAAGCACACCGATCATAATCGTCGAGCAGAGCGCGTAGAGGCCAAGACGCTGAGGCAGGTTGAGGGCGGTGATGAGCGGGTATGGGAAGTTGCCGTCGTTGTGCGAGGCACAATTTTCGATCCAGAGACAATAGAGCAGCGTCGCCATTGCGCTGACAAGCGAGGGCCGAATGTGCTTGGGAAAGGGTGCAGAGAGGAAGAGGTGGTCGACGGTGAGGAAGACGGCGGGCAAGGCGTGCATGGCAACGTCGATGTCGATTGGTGGGCGAACGCTCTCGAGCAGGACCTGCCCCGGGTTCAAGGGGTCAGCCACCTCCCGCGGTGGCACAAGGAGGTCGGGCGAAATGGAGACGATGGTCCAGTAGAGAATCGTGATGAGTGCCTCGACGGGCAAAGCGGCAATGGCGAGCACTGTTTTTGTCTGGTAGATGAAGGAATTACCCGGGGCCAGGTCCGAGAGAATGGCAAATGCATGCGCAATAACGGAAAAAATCAGGCCTGTCGGAAGTAACTTTCAGTGAGCAAGGCTTGCAAGTTCTTCATGCGCGCAAAGACATACCGAGGTTCGTGAGGAACTGGTAGTGGCCGCCGTACATTGACGAGAGGTCGACACCCATCAGGCCCTCAAGCTTGGTGAAGAGGGCATGGATGGCCCAAATGCCCGCCGAGAAGGCGACGACTCGCCAGGCGAGGCGCACAGCCACGGGCGGTGCTTGCACTGCCATTTTGCTTGCTCTGCCCTTCTTTCTATCTGTCGACGCTCGAGAGGGAGACGATGTTGATCGAAAGCGTCCCGTTTGTCGGAACTTTATTCGGCCTCCTTTTGAGCCATATCGAGCGCGTGCGCGGTCGAGAGTGTGGAGGCCAGGGTCCGTCTTTCATTTTTCTTCTCGCCATCGAAAAATCCCCAATAGAAGTGGTAGAATGACGATGGCGATGGCGGCAAGATCTTCAGTGAGAGTGGCTCTGGCCAGCGGAAGATCAATAGCAACTCGGAGGGTGCCAGCAGCCTGTCCAGCGGCTGTGCCTGCCCGCGGTTTCTTCTCGCTGCCGGATCTGGGTAAGTTTTCGCCCTTTTCCTCGCCGTCCTCTTCCTCGTCTTCGACAGCGGCCCCGACGACCGCCACGACCTCTCTGTCTTCCGACGCCCAAACCTCAAAGGACTTTGAGATACACACGGAAAAAGTGACGCTGCCGTATCCTCGCCAACTGCTCTTCAACATCGTGCAGGACGTGGACCGGTACCAGGAATTCGTGCCCTACTGCCTTGAGTCGAGCGTGAGGAGCGGCGAGGAGGAGCCCGAGTCAGCCATGGACGGCAACACGGGCGCCGAAGCACGCTCAGTTCTTGCAGATCTCACTGTGGGCTATAAGACTGTCCAGGAGACCTACACCAGCCGCGTGGATATTGTTCAGGATCAATTAGTCAGGGTAAGTCGCTTGTGATGCGCTGACTCCATTGTTCCGGCGGGGAACGCTGATAATGGGTTCTGCTCTGCGGTACACCAGGCAACGGCACTGCCGCATCCCCTGTTCAGACACCTCGAGACCGTCTGGGCGTTCACCTCGCCTTCGCCAGACTCGCGCGAGTGCCAGGTCGAGTTTTCGCTCGCCTACGCCTTCTCGTCTCCCGTCTACGGCGCGCTGGCAAAGGCAGTGATGCAGAGAATGGCGACGGAGATGGTAAGTGCGTTCGAGAAACGCGCTGCCCAGCTCTCAGGATGAGCTTTTTGTCACATACATGGGTCGTCATTGTATAGAGTAGCAGTAGTACTTGTTGGTATATAATACATGCAGGGAAAAGAGAGGCAGAAGAGTGTCTGGTCAGCCCTTGACGATCTTTTCGACGGCTTCGTCAAATCCTTGAACGCGGATGGGCATCTCTGGCGTGTAAAAGGGGTTCTTCATGACCTGGTCGGCGTAGGCCTCGTACGCTCTTTGCAGCGCCGCCTGCGGGTTGGGATGCCAAGGCACGGAGATGAAGACGAATTTAAGCCCTGCGTCGATTTGTCAGCTTGTTGGAGAGAGTGTGAGAAAGACGAGATTGGTAGAGGAACGAGCACTCACCCGTAGCCGTCAGCAGCACCGAGAGGCGAAAGTGGTCGGCTTCGAGCGTCTGCAGGCCGGCAACCTCGCCTCGACGCTTGGGGCCGGGCGTGGGATCGATGCGAGCAGTGATGGCGTGGATGCCGTGCAGGGTGCCGGCCAGGATGAGGGCCTCGTTGGACGTGAGACGCTGGGCGCCTGCAAAGTGGTCCGCCTGGTAGACGAGACCGCCAGCCTTGTTGATGATCCAGAGCGACGCCATCGTCGTCAATTCGCTAACAATGGTCGATGGCACACAGTCCTGATTTGGATATTTTCGTGATTCGACACGCACGCGTGGCCAGGAAGCCCGTGCGACGGACGCTTGCCCAAGCTCACTTGGCTTCGGGCCTGCTTTCCTCGGTCTTCTCTCTCTTGAACACAATCGTCCTCAGACGACTGGAATGGCGTGAGGTTGGTTAGCCCTGATAAGTACCGTAAAGGCCACTGTCCAGACCGACTCCCAAATCATGAGCACGCCTCAAACAGGTGAGAAGAATGACAATCGAGGAAGACCAAAAATAAAAATAAATTTAGAGCTCGAGGTTTTCGTCTGGAGATCGTATGATTGAGGAACGGCCTCTGATAAATAGAAGGCACCACCTCTCTTTCCCACCGATCTTTGCCTTCCCCCAGTCCAAGCACGACGAAGAAGAGGACCCAGATGACTGCTGTGACGATCGATCCCAGTAGGAGCTCGCTGCGGCGCTACCACCACGCCAATGGCGCCGGCTCGTCCTCTGAGGCGCCCTATGCGCTGGTGACGGGCGCGACGGGAGGCATGGGCGAGGAGTGGGCTTACCAGCTCGCCGAGCAGGGCTTCAACGTCATTATCCAGGGACGCAACAGATCCAAGCTCGAGTCAGTGCGCGACACGATCCTCGAGCGCACATCGCACGCTCGCAAGGTGGAGCTGCTCGTGTGCGAGGCCACCGTCTTCCCCAACCCCACGCTGACGTCGACCCTCACGGCGCTCCTGGCGCGGCCCGACATTCGCCTGACAATTGTCATCAACAACCTCGGTGTCCAGTCGGACGGCTATCCGGCTCTCGACGAGATCTCGTCCGAGGAAATGTCGGGCATCATTCTTGCCAACACCATCTTTCCCGCCGAGGTGTCGCGCATCGCACTGCCGCACCTCAAGACGCACCAGCCCAGCCTCCTCGTCGTCATTACCAGCCTGGCCGCCTGGGTGCCCACGCCCTACTTGAGCCCATACGCAGGCACAAAGGGCTTCGATGTCGCCTTTTCCAAGGCCCTCTACAACGAGATGCGCTCCGAGCAGCAGCAGGTCGACGTTGTCTGCATGGCCCCAGGCCAGGTGGCGTCGAACCTGTACAAGGGCCCCATCACACTCATGGCACCCACCTCGGAGGACTGGGTCCGCTCAGCGATCCACTCGCTCCGCCCTGGCTGGCTCTTCACGCGGCCAGCTCCACAGATTACGCCCTACTGGCCTCAGTACCTCGGCCATCTCTTTCAGAGCCTGATGCCATCCATTGTCGGTGACAGCATCAGCATCTCCATGGTCAGGGCCATGCGTGCCGAGCACCTGGCAAAGTCAAAGTAGTAGACGGATCCTTGTACATGTCATGATATGACGATACCCTGCAAATTTTGTCATTGTAATGCAAGCAACCCCCAGGATGGATGGATGGATAACAAAAGGCTGGAGCAACGGACAGGACCAGAGAAGTAGTTTCCAGACAATCATCAGAGCTGGAAAGAGCGGTGAGCTGTGTCAGCGCGAGCGATTGAGGAGGGAAGCAGACCAGATGGCTACTCACCTTGGAGCCAGTAATGAGCTCCTTGAGGTCCTGCGGGTCCAGCTGCGAGTCAGGGTAAGGGAGCCTGTTTGAGAGAAACCGGCGTGATCAGCCAACGAGCTGTGGTGAAAGAACAGAGGCAGAAAGCAGAGTCTCACCATGGACCAGGGAAGTGCTGCGCTCCGCCGTCGACGACGAGCTTGGTACCAGAGACGTAGGACGCGGCAGGCGAAAAGAGATAGACGGCCGCATTTGCGCAGTCGTGCTAAAAGGCAAAAGGTCAGCAAGCAGGAATGGGGAAATAGCCAGTCGCTCGGCCACGCACAATGTCACCGATCCTCTGCTGGGGGATCCTCGACTCGACAATCTCCTCGCCGCCCTTGGGCGTCAGCCGGTCGGCGCCCTCAGTGCCCTTCATCATGCCCGGCGCAATGACGTTGCTCCTCACACCAAAGGGCCCGTACTCGACGGCGATGCTCTGGCTCAGGGCGTCGATGCCCGCCTTAGCGGCCGAGGCGGCTGCCTGCCAGGGGATGGCCGTGTAGTGCAGCGTGGCACCAACGTGGGTGTAGACGCCGTGATTACGCTTGACTTCGTTGATGGTCGCCTTGACGGTGTTGTATGTTCCCTGCAGGTCGATCTGCTGCACCGTCATGAAGCCATTGGGCGACACACCGTCGATGGGCGCCATAAAGTTGCCTGCTGCTCCACAAATGACATAGTCGATGCGGCCAAATGTCTCCATCGTCTACAAGAGAAGAAGAGGTCCTCGTGGGTCAGTATTACTTCCAGATTCACATCTTCCGGCACTGCAAGCTTTCGATTACACTCTTACCTTGGCGACCGCTGCCTCGAGGTCAGCGTACTTGCGGACATCTCCAGGCGTGGCGATGCATCGCGTGCCATTGCCAGCGTCCTTTTCCTGCTGCTTGGCAGCCGCCGTCAGGCGCTCCACCTTTCGCCCCACGATGGCGGCGTTGGCACCGTGCTTCATCATCTGGAATTGGGGTGGGGTACATGGTGAGCAGCACGCTTCTTAAGACCAAAAGACCTGGCCGCAACGGGGAAAGGATATTGGACTCTACTCACCTGCAACACCATGCCATAGCAGATACCGGAGCCTCCACCTGTGCAGAAGAGCACCTTGCCCTTGAACAGGTCCTTGGAGAACACCGTCGTCGAGTCCGCCACAGGCGTCTGGAAGATCCTTGGGTCGCGGTCAGACATCTTGTTGCTGGTCAGTGTGGTGATAGCGGGGGAGAAAAGAGGAACCCCGTCTCCTTTGTTCCGTCTGGGGAAACACCTCCAGCCGGTTGGTACGCAAGTGGTAATAACCGGTTCCCTCGCTCGCTATTTTTTTTTATTTTTTTATTTTTCATGCTTTCTGACTAAGTGGGCGACCACGTGAGAGGAGCTTCCTTGCTTACGTGAGCAGAACCGTCTCCATCATCGCTCTCATTTCGGATGCCCAACGAGCGATCGCGGCGATTTGAGAGATTTGGAACTTTCATCCTGCAGCTCTTTCTCGGCCCCGCTCGAGACCGTACGCCGTTTTCCGTTCACCAGGACGGTAAGAGGCACGATTCAACTGTCCGACAAAGTCAACTCGAAGACCACACATGAGAGCCGATTGACAAGTCGCCTCTCTTCGCTCGGACTAACTGAAAAAGAAAGAGCACACGCCAAGTGCGGACGCGTCGCCAACCATCACAAGGGCGCGGCCATCCGGGTTGAGATCGCCGGGCAGTGTTCTTCTTTTCGTCGGAGTCACGGCAAGACACGTCCCTCTTTGTCACTCGCCTCACTTCGAAATTTGGCCCGCTCTTCTCCAACGACATACCGAGCCGTTTCCGCCAGTCGTGCAGACATCTGCGAGGCCATCCACCTATTGCAAAGGGACCTGACCCCCCCTACCGGTCTGCTCTTGGGACACAATGTCAGGCGGCAGACAGGGGCCAGGTCACTGGCAAGGCGCACCTTCACACCAACCCGCGTCGTCTGGCTCGAGTCCTCAGAATGGCCAGCCCACGCCACCAGGGTTCAATCCAGCTGCCAACAGCTATGGTCGACCTCCTCAACAGCAGACGACTTCGCAGCACATGCAACAAAGGTACTCAGGAGGGCCCAGTAACAGTGCATCTGGAGCAGCGGGGGTCGGCGGTGGAAGCGGTGCTGGCGGGAGCAGCAGTGGCGGTACCTATGGACAAGGCAACCTTTCGCCTCGGAGCATGCATCCCAGTGCACCGTACAATCAGCAGCAGCCTGGCGCTGCCATTCCGGCCATGTATGGCGAGCAGAGGTCGTCTGCAGGTTCTTCTCACAATTTCTACGGCGGCTTTTCGGGCGATCAGCAACACATGTTGGAAAACAACGGTTTCACGAGCGGTTTCAGCTACAGCCAGCAGCCTCAAGGGCAGCACCAAGCTGGGCCGCCACACCAAGCCACTGGCCACCACCAGATGTACCATCAACAACCCCTCTCTACTCCACCGATTGCAGCCTCATCGCAGCAGCAACACGGCTACGGCCAACAATGGGTCAACCCTGCTGCGACTCAGCCACATTTGATGCAGGCGCCAGCTGGCCCGGGGGCCTATGGATATGGCCAGCAATCCCAGCCTGTGTACAAGGCCGATGACTACATGCAACAGCAATACCCTGGTCAGATGGTCAACATGATGCAGCAGCAGCAGCAGCAGCAGCAGCAGCCCCATCAGCAAGCTCAGCAGGCGCAGCAAAAGGCAGCCCTCAAGGATGAGGATGAGGATGATCTCGATGGTGACGAAGACGGTGAAGGTGGTGCTGCTGGGGGTCGCAAGGGAAAGGACAAGAAGAGCACCAGCGATTTCGTCAAGAAGCTCTTCCGAATGCTCGACGACACGTCTTACTCGACCATTGTATCCTGGGGGCCTGCTGGGGACAGCTTCATCGTCAAGGACATGAACGATTTCACCAAGCATGTGCTGCCCAGACATTTCCGACACTCCAACTTTGCCAGCTTCGTGAGACAGCTCAACAAGTATGACTTTCACAAGGTCAAGAAGCCCGAGGAGCAAGGTCAGATGCCACAAGTAGGCGTTGAGCAGCTGTGGGAGTTCCGGCATCCCGCATTCATGCAGCATCGCGAGGATCTCTTGGAGCAAGTCAAGGTGAGATGCTCAGTCTTTCTTTTTTCTTTTTTTTTTGGTGTGCGTGTGACGTGAAATGCTGAAATTTCTCCACACAGCGCAAAGTGCCAGCTAGCAAGAAGACAGGGAAGGGCAACCTCGATGGCGGTTCGCCGCGCGATCAAAGTCCGACGATGCCCGGCACGATTGATGCTGCGGAGAAGGGGGCGGAAGACTATGCCAAGCTCAAGGAGCAGGTAGCTGCCCTGACGGCCTCGCAAGATCAGATGACATCGCACATGAACAATCTCACCAAGCAGTATCAGGGCGTCATTGGCGAGATGATGACGTTCCAGAAGAACATGGTGCAGCAAGATCAGCTCATGCAGAACCTCATTCAGTACCTCATGAACCTCGAAGCGGACCGGCAGCTGGAGAACAAAGCGGGAGGAAGCAGCGCAGGCCAAGCAAACCAGCATGGTCAGATCGAAGGTCATGGGCCTGCTCGACAGGCATTGGAAAACGGCAACGCCTTCGTATCCGGCAGCGAGACGTCCAAGATTGTTACTTCGTACTCTGAAGCAGCAAAGGGGTCGTTTGCTCAGATGAGCGCAATGGCCCACGCTGTCAATCCCGACAATAGCACTCACCATTCCGGCAGCGCTCGCGGCTCAGCATCCAATATGGAGACGCCTCTTTCTCCGAAGAGCACTGGCGACGGTGGGCGAGGTCTCTCGCCCGACAAGGGTAAGAGACGTGCTAGCAGCACGGCAGAAGCAGGCGATGGCGCCGTGTTCTTGCACCCACCCCACCTCGACGCCGACGCCGGCAACAATGGAAGCACATCGGAACTCTTCAACGCAGCTGCAAGTGCCGTTGGCAACCCGAGCTTGGCAGGCTTCGAGGGGGCGGGTCTTCGAGTCTTTACCGTCGGCACCCTTCAGCCGCGGTCATCTAGCGATTCGACGGGCTTGGCGCCGGATGGGTCAACACCAGCCGGTGCGGCTCTCGAGTCTGCCTTTCTCAAGGACATGGCGGGCGAAGACGACAATGGCGAGTCAAAGCCATTCGGAATCAGTGTGCCAAATTTGGAGCAGCTCCCCGAGGGCATGCCAAAAGTCGATAAGCGCACCACGTCGATGGCGCCAACGCCAGCCACAGCGGGCGTCGCAGCTGATGGGGGACATAACAAGAAGGCCTCGACGCCCTCGGAGGGTGGATCCAACATGCTTCGCGTCCGACGATCGACATATGTCCCCGGTTGGGCTGTCCCTCCTCGAGTTCTTGTCGTTGACGATGACGACACGTGCCGGAAGATTGGCTCCAAATTCCTCCAGGTCTTTGGCTGCGCCATTGACGTGGCTGTTGATGGCGTCTCGGCAGTCAACAAGATGAATCTGGAGCAATACGACCTGGTTCTGATGGACATTGTCATGCCCAACCTCGACGGCGTCTCGGCCACGAGCCTGATCCGAGAATTCGACCCACGAACGCCCATCATTTCCATGACGTCCAATTCGGCACCGAACGAGCTCCTTAGCTACATGTCGTCGGGCATGAACGACGTGCTTCCCAAACCTTTCACCAAGGAAGGCCTCCTCAACATGCTGGAAAAGCACCTCATTCATCTCAAGACGGTTCAAAAGATGGACGAAATTCCAAAGGCGCTCGGCTTGCCGCCTGTTTCAGACGAGCAGCTCAAGAACGTGCTCACCGCAACGGCGCACAGCGCAACCTCGTTGAGCTTACCGACGACCGGCGGTGCTTCTTCGCCAGACGGACCTGGCCTTGGACCATCTCCCCTTGCAGCCGTCATGGGCAATGGACCGGAAGCTGCGCATCGAGCGTCGTCTTTCAGTCCGCCAGCGCACGGCGGAGGCGATGCGGCATCGGGACAAAATGACGTCACCTCTGCCATGTCGCCAACGTTTTCCGGAAGCGACGAGGATGACGGCGTTGTCAATCCTTTGGCCGGGATGGGCTTCTCAGACGAAGAGTACATCTCGATGCTCCAAAATCTCATCGCGGCCGGCGCCGTGTCGGACACAGGCAGAGGTCCTGGGGGCGAAGTGAACTCGGCGGCAGATACGGTGGCGAACGTCATGGGCGTTGCTAGGGGCGAAGGTGTCGGAGTGAGCAGAACCAGCAAGGAGGGCACGCCAATTGGTAGCGGGCCGTTCGCGCCAGGTGCTCAGGCTGCGTCCAAGAAGAGGGCAGCCGAAGCTGCATCTTCTTCCGATCAGCAGTCGGACGGGAAAAGGTCGCGGATCACCGAGCTGCATGCCTAAATTAGGATACATCCGGAAGATCATCCACCCCTACCCCTCTTCCTCCCTTCTCTCTCCCTCTTCCCTCTTCATCTCATACCGTTTCACGTTGGTTTCCTTGTCTTATTTGGTCGTTGTAATCATGTCAAGACGCAACAGTCTCTACTCTCATTCCCTTTCTCTTTCTTTCACTGCTTCACTATTCCTTCCCAGCTTTTTCCCAACCTCTTTCCAACCTCTTCCCCTCCTCTAGCACTAGCGTCTCTTTTGTGGATGCCCTCTGTCGTATTGTCGTTTTTGGAGCGTTTTGTGTGCAATTGCAACGTACCCCTTCACTTTCAGAATCGCAACCAGCTCGAATCCGTCAGGACAGGTAAAGACGAGAGGATTCCCAACAAAGGAGCGGGATAAGAATACATGGGGCTGATGTAGATTTGGTAGTAATATATCAAGAGAGAAGGGGCCGGTGAGGAAGGAGGGAGCAGGACTCAATCCAATCATTCCAACATGGGGTCATCGGACCCAGGAGCGTCCTCATCGCTCGAGCCAGGTGCGTCTTCATCTACGAGATCGTCGTCGATGTAAACCATTCCTCCTGGCGTTGCTGTCCCACTTTGCTGTTGCTGCTGCCGAATCTTTGGCGAGACAGTGTCGGCCGACGACAGCATAAAGACGTGGTCACCTCGCTTTCTTTCGCCTCTCTTCGGCGTGGAAAAACCCGAGGACGACGCAGAAGCTATGCCGCTCTTGTTTCGCCTTGCATTGATCACTTCTGGAGGTGGCACCCGCTGGATTGAGTCCTCAACCTGTGTGCTCGGCACGATCACGTCGGGCTGACCTTCGTCGTGTAAGCGCTTGCGAGATGAGGGAGAGCCTTCTTCGTCATCTTCAGCAGGAGCCACGACGCCGTTAGAAAGCGTCTTAGAAGGCGTCAAGAGACCTAGAGCGGCGGATTCGTTGACCTCCCTGGCATCGTCGCTTCCCTCGGTGAGCGAATCCCGGGTATCAGAGGTGACGACTTCTCCATGCGGGGCCTGCTGAATAGTTGCTTCAGGAGCGGGCTTTACTGTGGACAATGGTAAACCTCCCGCTGGATGCGCGTCGATGGCGTCCTCCAGAGCAACGTCGCCCCCACTTTCTCCCTCGGCAAGCGTGGGATCGACAGACTGAGGGAATGTCCTAGTGACCAGGAATGGAGTCCAGTGAAGCTTCTCGGGTCGCACTTTGAGATAGCCCTTCGCTTCGTAGTTCTTGAGATGTGCAATGACATAATCGCGATCGAAGTGGATGCTGTAGTCCTTTGGTACGGCCAGGGCGCTCTCTTTGTCTTTGCTTGCTGCCGCTGCCCGACTTGCCGAAGCTCCGCCCCGCGAGCGTCCATTTGAGATGCCCTCTGCCGTGTTCGATACGGAACCATCTCGTGACTTGTACTTCGAGGTGGCTGGCGCTCGGATTCTTCCAGATTGTCCATCAGATACTGTGATCATATCTTGCTCCCTGAGCACGTAGAAGACGTCCTCTGCTGTCATTGCGGTGGCTCCGCTGATGTCTTCGAACGTGACCCGATCGGGAGCCGACTTGAGATAATAGAACACAGCGAGGGTCCAGTAGTTGCGGTAACTGAGCAGACCTAAGTCTGAGAGGGGCTTTTCTGGTGAGCCAAGCCTTTTCTCCTTTCGAGACAAAAGATAGCTGATGTCGATGATGAAGTTTCCCCAGCCACGCCTTTGCCGAATGGGAAGTGTCATAATGCAGCTGACGTTGTAGTTAAGCGGACTTCGCTTCTCTTTGGAAAAGTAGCCGACGAAATGGGCGCCAAGCTGATCCATCTCGGCAACAATGTAGAAGAGAAAGGGCTCGACGTCGTAGTAGAGCGTCTTGTGGTCCAGGAACATCTTTGCCAGCAGACACAAATTCTGGCAGTAAATCTGACAGAGAGAGAGCGTCAATCAAATGCAAGAAGAGAGAAGATTTTGAAGGAGATGGCTCACTTTGTTCTTGCGACCGTCCACCTCGAACACAGAGACGTTGCCGTCACGATATATCTCGTCGCCAGGCGGGTGACGCATCTTGCACTTCATCCGGTGACGGCTAGCCATGAATCGACTCTTCATGTATTTAAGGCAGTACTCGCAGATCCAGAGCCGGCCATCAGGAACTCTGCTGTACTCTTCCGGATAGGGAGCTTGGTACCAGGTATCGATGTCGAACTCGCCAAATCGTACCGTCTTGATGGGCATGGCTGTGCCGCTTTCAGCTGAGGATGCGACCGTTGCCTCAATAGAAGCAGGCGTCCCTGGTGTCTTCGGCGTCGATGCGTTGGTAGGGACCTCGGGCCCCTTCGCGTTTCTTGATGGTCGAACATGTTCTCCTCCTGTTCCAGCGCCAGCCCAGGGCGAGAGGGAGAAGTAGCCAGAGGTTGAAGTGCTTGGCGTCGACAGGAAGGTTGGCTGAACAGGTTTGCGAATGACTCGCCCACTGGTAGATCCTGGCAAGCTCGCAACTGCACCCCCTAGCCTGCCTTCTGCGGCGTGCTTGCTCCTCTCGAACCTCTCTTTGTCCTCATCCATGGGTACTGCTTTAGATACGTCCGCATCGGGTCCCGTCAAGACGCCCTTGAAGCGATCAATGTCCTCCTCATCACTCTCGTCATCGCGTTCATCTGATGCGTTAGAAGGTGATAGACGAGGTACTGGACCTTGTCGCGAAGAGCTCGAGCCATCTGAATCGCCGAAGTCGTCGTCAAACGCACTGGAAGTCGGTAAGGCCAAAGACTTTGGTCTTGCCGCACGACTGTGCCTACCACCGTTTCTGTTATTGCTTTGCTGCTTCATGACGGGGGCTTTATTCGAGCTGAGCTTCGATGCGTGATTGAGCTTCAATCTGACGATGGTGGAAGCTTTGTCCTTGCCCTTGATGCCATTGACTGGATTTTCTTCAGCAGCAGAACCACTATGCCGACCGCGACTAGTAGACCGCGACGAATGTGCCGTGTCCCTGACGCTGGGTGAGTCTGAACGCTTGGGGCTGCTGATTTCGTAAGAACGATCAAGGTCAATCGGCTTTCGTATCCTTCTTCCTCGTCCATTCCCGCTCGCCTGTCGGACCTTGCCGAGTGTGTTTGGTGAAGTTTTGTGATCGACGTGCATAGGTAGCGGCGAGCTTGCTCTCATCGGACCTTTATACCGAGGTGCCTCATCCTCATCAGATGAATGACCAAGCGAAACGCTACCGAAGTTTGCACCCTGCTCCCATGCGCCGTAAGACGAAGCCAGGGGAGACGCGACGGAGGGTGAGCGTGCCGAGGCACCAAGAGCCAACTTTCGAGCCTTCGTCATTTTAGTTCGTCGAACGTAGGCTTCAAGCGTCTTGCACGTCGGACAGATCCAATCACCTGTGAGATCGAGAACATTAGCAGCTGAAAGAGAGGCAAAGAATGGCATCATTCACCTTTCGGCGGCTTCTGCAAGGGAGGATCGAGGCAGTACAAGTGCCACCCCCGATCACATCGATCGCAGAACATGATTTGGCTCTGTATGTCGCGCTCATTAGTCAAGAGGATCCTTGCAAACGGCGCTTGGCTGCCATCAAGACTCACATCGTCGCCCTTTTCGCAGCAGTCCTCACATGTCTTGCACTCCATGCAACGCCAATTGTACTCTTGTGCAACGGCGATCTTCCTCGTGTTACGATTCCACTTCATGCAATTTGGATGACCTGCCTTCCTGTATAAGTGCCATGACTGACGAATATGAAGACATACACTCACCGCTGCTTCCACATTCCGCACAGCTGACAAGGATTGCATCCTTTCTTGATCCTGCTGGTTGCGCACAGAAGGCGCATAGAATGTCTGGCTTGGGCGCTGGTCCCACAAACGAGGCGATAGGCTTTGCGCGCAATATGCTTTTCTCCTTCTTTGATTTGGATGAAGGGGTTGGAGAAGGCGAAGGCGACGAAGCCGGCGCGCGGTTCGCAACAGCAGCAGCACCACGCTGCCGGCCCCTTTTCCGTGATGCGTCTTCTTTTGACCGGCGCGAGGCGCGCAACGATGAAGATGCACGGGCTTCGATGCGAGGGCTGACGAGGTCGTTGACAATCTGTATTCAAAGACATCGTCAATCAGCAATCTGAAAAGGCTTCATCCCTAGCCGTGATTGTAGCTCTTTTGACGTTGGGGGAGCATGGCTCGAGACAAACGCGACGCGCTCGACGCTGCTGCACCACCAAGATTCTAAGTCCGCCTCGCTCTGCAGAGGAGAGACTCACACTTTCGTCGTCCTCGCTCGGGTCATAGTTGCTCTCCGAGTCGGACGAGAGCCTGCGTCCCACCATGCTGAATCGCGTGTCCCTTCCTTTGTCCACCTTCTTCCCCCCCTTTTGGTACTGGTGAAGTTGCTATCCCCGTACCTTAAAAGTCCCGGCTATTGAACCCCACCAAGACGAGCCCCAGCCGGCTGCCGCCCCTCTCTGCGACAAACCAACAAACTCCGCCGGTGCGCTGTCAGGTTCGTCCGACGACTTTGCGCTTCCACAGAATCGGTGGTATCACACGTCCCTCTTCGCCATGGGATCGAGTGAGTGAGGGTGGACAAGGCTTGTGCGAGGCGCCTGCGTGTCTCCTTATTCATCCATTCAAGCAATCTGCCCAACTCAGACTTTGGACTTTGTGGCGAGCGACGGGGGGGCGCGCGCGAACGCGCTCACGTGATCAGCCCATCATCTCACTTCCAATCTTGGGCCTGGATCCATGTCCAATCCCAGCGGTCGTTGGCTTCCACTGATAGCTCGCACGACGCTCAGCCCACGTAAGGCCACTTTGGGCAGACGCGGCACAAGCAAGCGCACCGACGCACCGAAGGTCCTCCGGTGCCGATCTTTCGCAGGCAACACAAGCCACCCTTGCCGACGGCCAGCCAGACCGGACGTCTGCGCTGCGCAATTCCTTACCCCGCCTTTTCGATAAGGGTGGGGGCCCTGCTCGAAAAAAAAAAATCGCGACAAAGGGATCCAGGTCGAGTGTGTTCTGTAGGAGGGGCCGGGCCGCTGAATCTCGAGAGGCGAAGCAGCGCGGGATGGGTCGCAAGGAGGCCAATCCGGGCCAGCGGTACGCGTGTGACAGGCCCGGATGCGATAAGGTGAGCTCCCCCTGCTCGGAAAGGGCAAACTTTGGCGCCGACTGCGCAGCTGACTGAAGTAACGCTTTCCCAGCATTACTCGCGACCGGACCATCTTCTCAGACACAAGCTCAACCACGACCGAGAGCGGGTGCTAGCGTGTAACCAATGTGATCGAACGTGAGTCTGCTTGGTCATGTTCAAGAATTGTTCCAGAAGAGACAAGGTGTTGACGCATGTATCGCAGCTTCGTTCGTCAGGACTTGCTGGCGCGGCACTTGGAGAGGCACGCCGTGAGGGGAAAGACACTAGGGAGATGGAGCGGCAAGCGCAAGGGCGAGGACGGTGGCAGCAGCTCGAAAAAGTCTAGAATGGGCACTGACGGTGGCGATGACGAGGACGAGGACGAGGATGAGGACGAGGATGAAGAAGATGAGGAGGAGGATGACGAAGGCGAGCACCAGCAGCATTCTCGGAGGCAGGGTGGCAACGGTACCCAATCCACAGCAACAGCAGGACCGGCAGGACCCTCGATGGGGTATGCACGAGCATATCCCGCCGAGATGTATGCATCGTCTGATGCTGCCTACCAAGTCAGGCCTGTCGATGGGAATGCAGTGTCGCCGTCCGCGCCGATACCCTCGCCATTTACGGATCTACAACCTGCTCACTATCCATCGCAGTATCCCTCGCGCACCCCACCGAGTTCATACTCACGAAGCAATGGCGAATCGTCCATTCGGCCTCCGCTTCCCTACCAGCTCTTCGAGCAACAGGAGCAGCACCAACAGCATCCACAAAATCCATACCTACCCCAACCGCAGGACTCGCGATCCAATCGACCATCCTGGCTTTCGTCGGAGCAGTACGCGAGCCCCCCGTATGCGCCCGTACATCCCCCACCGCCGCCGCCGCCTCCTGCGCCAGCACCAGCGACGGCGACACCAAATGTGTTTTCAGATCTTTCGACGAACCAGTACCAGGCCCAACAGCCTTCGCCGCGAACGTCAACCGCGCCATTTGCCTCGGTTGACTCGCACATAACCTGGCGTGGAGGGGTCACTGCTGGAAACCAGGGCTCCAATGGAAGCATGCTCCTGTCTTCGCAACAAGGAACCGGTCCCGATGCCTTCCCCTTTTCGCTTCCCGATGCTTCCGATGTGGCAGCTGACTACGACTGGCTCTTTGACGGTGTTGATCCGTCTTTGTCGGTGCGAGCCGAGGACATGGCTTCAGAGCTCAGTGGCGCAAGATCCAACATAGCCAAGGACGGCGACGAAGGAACCAAGGGTGTCACTGCCTCGCTCGAGACAGGCTCGGATGACTGGCCACCGCAGGAGGACATGGGTCACCACGATGGTCTTGCTGGCATCGACGAGACCTTGGCTGGATTTGATGGTCGCGATGCTGCGGGAACTGAAGCGCTGCAAGATCTGGCGTTCTTTGCGAGCCTCCAAAGCGAGATTCCCAACGAAGCGGCATTCGACGTCGATGCAGAGGCACGCGACCGCCTTCTCTTCTTCCTTTCGTCTTTGCCCGAGCTCCCTAGCTCGCCTCTGTTCACGCCGTCGGCGCTGCGCTGCTACATCCACCTCTTCTTCACCAAGCTCAACACGATCTACCCCCTCATCCACCGACCCACATTTTCAGCGAGAATGGCCGACCCTATGCTCCTCTCGGCAATCATCGTATGCGGCGCTCACTTTGCCGATGACGCCGCGCACCTCCTCGCCGAACGCATCGGGCGCAAGCTGTGGGGCGCCTACGTCTCCTTTGACGACTTCCGACCGGCTCGAGCGACACTGTCGATGCTCCAGGCCATGCTCCTTACAGAGATCTTTGGCAAGCTGATGGGCACCCGGCCGCAGCACGAGACGGCACATCTCTTTCACAACTTTATTATCACTCTGGCCCGACGCAACGCCGTCTTTTCGCCCTCGAAAGTCAAGCTCCCAAGCCAGACGGAGGAGAAATGGCGCGCATGGTCTAGGGAAGAGGAAAAGAAGCGGATTGCATTCTTTGCTTTCATCTTGGATGCTCAGCACGCCACAATGTTCCGGCACATTCCCGCCCTCTCATCTTTCCAGATTCATCTTCAGCTTCCGTGCGACGAGGAAGAATGGATCGCCAAGACTTCACGGGACTGGGCGCAGCTTCGACGCCAACGGAGCAAAGACCCGTCGTACTTCATTGCTGCACTCAAAGCCAGCCTGAATCCGGATCATACACCGCCAATGTCGGATAAAGACAGCTTTCCCCAGTTTATTCTTCTCCATGGCCTAATGAGTGTCGCATACGATCTCCAGTGGAAGCAGCAGACGCTGCTGGCAGCCCCCGAGACGAGCGAGAGCATCTCGAGTTGGAAGGACAAAATCAAGGCCAGCTACAGTGAGCTTTTTCTCGGCTTACAGCTTGTGTCATTTCGCTTTAGACTGATCACCTCTACTCTCCCTACAGGCGCCTGGAAGCTCAGACTTGATGCTGCGTGCTATAATACCTCCTCGGCCACGGCACGAGCCATCTTTCGAGCAAGCCACAGCCTCGTGGTGTGGGCGCAAGTTGTGTTGCACGCTGATTCAGTTGATATTCAAGTGAGATTACAGACGTCTCTTCCCCTCTTGTTCCTACGCTGATGCTGTCTGAAGATCTATGCCGGCTTGCCAACCGTCCTCGGCCGGTTCATCGACCATCACACGTTCAGCGTTTCGAGACGTGCCTGCAAGGAGTGGGCGAGGAGCCGCGACGGGCGCATCGCAGCCTGGTTTGCGGCAAGCTTTCTCAAGGCTACACTCCTGGTCGATGCTGAAGATCGAGGCGCGACCACTCCCGGATTTGATGAGCTCTTGCACCATCACTGGGTCCAATATGTGAGACTTGGCCTCCTCCGGTCTTCATTGGCGTTTCCTGACCTTTTCTCCACAGCTCTGTGCTCTTACATTATGGGCATATGGGAAGGCATTAGCTCCGCCCAAGGCGAAACCGGAAATGCACAATCAGGCAAGACCGCGCAGTCAAGATAGCGGCACCGAATCTGGGCCCAGCTCGCTGTGAGTTCCGTCATATCTTCTAGCTCAATTGCATGATCCTGACGTTGATGCCGCTTTAAAAGGTCAAATCTCTTGCAGATAACACCAAGCCATCTTGCTCAGCGACGTCCGTCGATTCCGTCATTTGAGAGAACCAGAGCGGAGGCGACTGCCTTTTTGAATCAGGTGACGACACAGAGGCCAGAGGACGGCTCCCCGACGGAACACCCCTATCATCTCACTGCATCGGTCTTGGAGCTCGTCGATCGGGAAGTCAGAGGATCGCGATGGGAGCTAGAAAGAGAGGCCTCTGGTGTCCTAAGAAAGCTCATCAGAGCCGACCAGCAAGTTGGAGGCGTCATCACGGCCGTCCCGACACCGGCTGGAACGCCCCCTCCTTTGGGGACGAGGCTCGACAATGGCCAAAGAATCAAGATCGAAGGAGCTTGACATGTATCATTCCAATCCTTTCCCCACTCTTCTCTCTCTCTCTCTCTCTCTCTCTCTTCCAACCGTGTATCGTCATCGCCAGTACATGTCCTCTCTTTCTCAATTCGTATCTTAAGATCCGAACGCCCGATTCCTTGCTGTTGCCGACTTGGTTGTTGTGGCTTGCACGGCACGCCCTACGACACGTGCAGGCCAAATAAAATCGCCGGTTCAGTGGAGGCGAAACGCAGTCAGTTGCTGCAACCATTCGCACGCCCCATCCTCCTCTGCCATCTCTGTCTCTGCCTCTCAAGAGGGAGTCGCGAGAAAAGACTGGCGAAGAGAGACAGAAATAGGGTAGGGAGATGCCGCCATCATGGCTGAAAGGACTGGGCGAGATCGCGCAGAAGATCCCGCCCGAGCTCGAGCATGCAGACTGGACGAGGAGCCTCGCCATGGGCGAAGGGAGCAGCAGTGGGTTGGGGGGCTCAACCTTTGCAGAGGGCCTCCTTTCGACGTCCAATCTCGCTCTTCCCGGTGAGGTTTGTGCAATGGCTACGGATCCAGTCACGGGCTACTTGGCCGTGGGCACCGCGAACGGAACGATTCATCTCTTCGGGTCGCCCGCCGTACAGCTTTCGTGGACGATCCGGCCGGCGCTCAAGATCAAGCACCTCCTTTTCAAGCCAGGGAGCAGCCTTTTGATCGTCATTGGTGGGTTGCTGGTGTGCTCTGAGGTTCCGAAAAGCGAGCGTTTAAGATAGAGCTGACAATGAGCTCGCCACAACAGATGTGAAGGACAATCTCTCCATCTTTGACCTATCGAGGAGCGACCCTCAGGCGAGGGCGAAGGCTTCCGCAGAGACCGCCAACCCTTTCAGGGCCTCCTCGGGCACATCAGGCGGTGGTCTGAGTGGTCCCCCACACCCGGACACGCCGATGCGCGTCGGTGCATACAGCACAAGGAACAGCGTCCTTTGCATCGAGGCCTCGCCGGCCCATTCACACCTATTCATGGGGCTGAGGGACGGAACGATTGATACGTATGAGTGAGTGCGTCGCTTTTCCGAGATCCCATGATACATTCTGATCCTCTACCTTCTCTAGCTTGGAACGAATGAGCCCGAGCCCGTACAGGGTGCCCAATCTGTGGTGGGAAGAGGAAGAGATGTGAGTATGTCGCCTTAGAGAGTCGCACGTCTCTAGGTTGACACGCTCCATAGCCTCCGCAAGTCTGGTGTGCCTGATGCCCCTAATCGGCGGCACGTTCCTTTGGTCATAGGTGAGCTGACGGATGTGTAAGTCACGGCAAGGAAAGCAGGCAGAGATGCTCATGATACCGCCTCGGAACAGACATCAAGACGCACCCGCGGGACATCAATCAGCTCCTCATTGCCTACGAAGGCGGGATCATCCTCCTTGATGTCAAGGTGAGCTATATGCTGCACCGAAGGAATGCTACGGTGGTCTCAGCGCTTTCTCGCACAGGAACGAGCCGTTTTGAAGACGTTTCAGCTTCGCCATTTGCCAGGCGCAGCCGGATCGGGTGTCGGCCCACCAGAGGCAATGTGGACAGAGCGGTCGGCGCCGGCAACATGTATCGCTTGGCGCTCTGACGGTGCCGTCTTTGCTTCGGGTCACGAAGATGGATGCATCGCTTTCTGGAACATCGAGGACGACGACAAGCCCCTCACAGTCAGAACACTGGAGAGCGTCGATGTGGACAAAGTGGTCGGCATACCCGACGATATCCCGGGAGGTCCACCACAAAGTCGAGAGCCCATCTTCAAGCTGAGCTGGTCAGGCTTCCCCGAGCAGTCGTGGCTCGACATGGCCGCCAATGCGACGAGCAGGCAACAGAACGCAGATAGCCAACCACCGACAAAGGGGAGCATCCTCACCGTTCTGGGCGGCGCAACAGAACGTCATTCCTCGGGTCTCGTGTGCTTGCACTTTCCTCCCTACGCCGCAGCTCTTTCGCTGTGGAATTCGAAGACGCCCGACGCAATCGCTCGCGCGCGACAATTGTTGCGAGATTCTGTCGACACGGTCAGGGAGAGTCGGTACGTTACTGATTCGACCGTGGAGGACTATCTCTTGATACCGAGAGGCAATCCACACTACGGCATGGCCTATGATCCTATTGCCATCATCGCTTTACTCGCGTCCGATAGCAAGCTTCCTCCTCTGCCGCCTCCGTCTGCAGCTCGTGGCTTGGTCGCCTTTGCATTCCCTCCAGAAGATCGCGATCGGCCCAAGAGGGAGTCAGCAATACCTTTGCCAAGCTCTCCTGGGAGTAGCATACAGCATGTGCCAGGAAGGCAGCTCAATTTCCAGCAAAAGACGCTCAATCTACCCCTGGCCCTTGCAACAGCAGGTTCAGGCGCTATTCTTGGCGCCAGGCTGGTCGAGGTGTCCACCAATGCATATCGAAAATTGGCAGGCAAAAGGGATGTGACTGGCCCGTCCCACGGAGGGGCCGGCAGCGACATGGCCCAGGATGCAGCAGCTTCATCTTTCCACGGCGAGGATCTGCATCTTCACGGAGGCGAGGCGAGTCCCACCGCAGCGGGCGGAACAGGCGACAGGGTCGAGCTCGACATTATGGCCCGAGCAGAAAGATTCAGAGTCTTGATCACCTGGCATCTCGACGGTACCGTCCGTTTCCACGACGCTAGTCCCCAACTTTTGCTTCTCGGACACGCCAAGCCGCCATCCAATATGTCCTTATCGCCAATCCAACAAGCACAGAATCCAGCTCTACCACCGGACCTTGTTTTGCAGAAGGGCTTTCCATCCCCGCTCCCTCACCTCACCATCTCGGTACGCAACCTTGTGAACCATCGGTCTATGACAGGGCACCCCATCTTTGACCGACTCAGAGGCAATCTTTCTCGTCTTCGCGTTTCCGATGTTGCATTCGCGCCAGACATCCTCGAGACGGCCATAATCCTGAGCAGCGGTCAGGTGTTGCACTTCAAATTTGGCTTTGCCAAATTCTCCGAGAAGGACGAGCTTCAAGACATTGTCGCCGAAGAGGTACAGCAGGATGAAGACGCGGCCGCGGCCATGGTCTCTCACTTAGTCCCCTCGAGCCCCACGGGTGGATTGCATGCCCATCGGGACTCGATGAGGGAGTTGGACGGAGCCATGGCTGGCGCCATCGAAGACTTGCGCATGGAATCTCATTCGAGAGAAAGTAGCAATCCCCGCTCACCGGCGCAATACCAAGGAACAGGACAGCAGGGTGGTCCTCCCCCAAGACCGAAGAGGGATCCCAAGAGGATGGCAGCCGGCAATCGCTCAAGCGTCATCTCCTCTTCATCGTCCCAGAGATTCGGCGAGGATTTGCTTGGTTCGCCGAGATCTCCTCAGGCGCCTTCACCACAAGTTCCAGCCTCGCAATTCACTGGCCCAGTCGACGAGATCACGAGGATCTCTCACCTTGCCAGCTACAGCACTGACGGATTCAAGCGTAGGTATCAATTTTGTCTCTCTGAGATGTTGAAGGACGGATGGCTGATCTAAATTGCAGCAAACATCATCGTGGAGCTGGCGCGTGGTGAGGTAACAGCGGTCGGCGTCTCCGACATTGGTTTCCTGGCCGTTGCATGTGGGCCTGCGCTCGCAGTCATTGATTTGCGTGGGCCGGAATTGATCATCAGGGAGGGCTTTGGCGATGGGCATGATGCCAGACTTGAGACGCGCGAAGCCAAGAAGATGGTCGACGAGGAAGGCAAGAGCGTCATCTCCAAGCTCCTCTTCAGCATCTGCCGAACTGTGCAGAGCCCCGTGCTATCGCCTCAGCTTCTCGTCACACGCGACAATGGCTTGACATCAGTATGGACTTTTGCAAAGCAGATGGACCAGCACTGGCACTGCGTGCGCACTGCTGCCGTACGCATTGACGAACTAGCAAGGCCTGTCTCGCTCAAGGTGCTCGACATGGCTGGCAACGTCTGCACAGCTGTCCCTGCCGAGCTGCAGAGGAGCATGCGTGAGCAGACCCGGGCGAACGAGAACCCCGGCAGCGTGCCTCCCTCGGACTACAATGTGCTTCTAGGCATCGGTTTTAATTCCCTCGTCGTCCGAGTGGGCATCACCGGTCCTCGTCTGGCCAAAGCAGACGTTGGGGAGCGCATCGTGGCCGCCGGCGTGGTGGATCGGCGCGGCGAGAAGGTTTGCGCCGTACTGAGCGAGACGAGCATTCGTATCTTCTCGCTTCCTCACCTTGTGGACCTCACACGGTTACAGCGGCACAACAAGACGCAGGGCGAGAGGCTGGGAAGTGCGGCGCAGGCCGCTTTTGATGGCAGTGGCGACTTTGTCGAGGTGGCATCAAGCCTGGATGTGCGGCTGTGGACCATCTTTGCCACACTTCCCCGCCCAGGCCCTCCGTCGCTCTTGCTGTACACACCTGTATCGGTGCCTCTGCATCCCGGTGCTGTGGGCGCCATGGCATCGAGCGTGGTTGGGTGGCTCGGCGGCAAGAGCAGCAGCCTCACCCAAGGCGGCCAATTTGACGAGATGCTCGCGGGCCCGAAACGGCCCCCGCTGCCCAAGCTGCCTGAGCCACGACACGTCGAGGTGTCTGCCCAAAAGAAGCAGGCAGCGGAAGCTCGCGCAGCTCAACAGCAACACGCTGCCGCGCCAACCACCTCCGCGAGCGGTTCTCACGATGGCGCTTTCCAGAGAAAGAAAGATATGAGGAAAGAGGCGGTTCACGACACCCAGTCGGCGGCTGACCAAGCAGCATGGAATCTTGACCTGGCAAAGCAGAGGGGCGAACTGATGAATAACCTCGAGCAGGGCATGAGCTCGCTGGAGCGCGGTGCGAAAGAGTGGATGAAAAGGTGAGGTCTAGACCGGCTGAGGGTTTCTGGCTTGTCTCCGGCTAATTCAATCCCACAAAAGCGCGAGAGAGGACATGGTTAAACAGGCGGCTAAAGACAAGATCAGCAAATTCTTCTAATCCATCACGAGACTGGAGGTCTGTTCTGCTCTGCAATGAGAAAGAGAGATACGGCACCTGTATTCCGGGCTTTCGGAGAGCGGACTTATTCATAGCTGCCATTTGGTTCATCCATCCGTGCGCGTCGTCAGAATTGTGGCAGCGCCACATTTGATCGACCTTGACTAACCCCGTGTATTGTTTTGGTATTCTGGCCCGCGTGACTGGCTAGTCGGAAAATCCACGTGGGCTATGATGCGTCTATTCCGGTCGTTGTTGCCCTTTGCCCAGAGGGAAAAGGGAAAAAAAATTGCAATTTCTCAGGTGCGGTGGCCCCCGGCATTGGACACCTGATCAAGCAGCCATTGGCCAGGGCGGCGAAGGGCTACGACTGTCGTGCCACAATCCCCTTCGTTCACAACCTTTACCATCGACAGGAAAGTGACCCCAGTGTATCACACGACTGCCTATCCACTTCCGACCTCGACTAGAACGAAAACGCGACCGTTGACGGCGCGCCCACTGACGAGGGGCGGCGCGGCTTCGGCACCCTCACCCAAGGCCACTCCCTCACCCTTGCCACTCTCTCTCCTCTTTCTAGGTACTCGTCCCTCTACCGAACGAGTGAAGAGTGAAGAAGACGACGCCCTCACGTCGACTGTGGCGTGTGTGCACTCATATCGGCGCACCTTGCATCCGTCCGCGTCGCTCCGTCACCAAATCACCAAGGGTCGCGGTCGTGGTGGCGACACATACACACCCGTGGTTCGCTCGCTTCTCTGCACCTAACTCCCCGTCGAAAATGAGCTGTAGCGAACAATTGTGAGCTCCAGCTACTGAGCTTCGCTGGTAAAACCGTCACACGACAAAACCAGAACCCGACCTTGCCACTACCGTTAACTTGCCTCGGCGAATCGCCCGCGCTAGAACGAAGCCCCCAACGCCTTATACCACTGTGCTAGATCGAGATTTCCCTCAACCGACCATGACGTCCGAGCAAGATCCGACTGCGACTGGCAAGGACCAACAGTCCACGTCGTCCGTGTCAGCCAAGGAGGCTTCCACAGCCAGCAACTCTCTTTCCGCAAATGGCGGTAATGGTGGCGGTGGTATTGCCAAGGAGATGCCCTGTCCACCGGGTGCATCCAAGCCCCTTTTCAGCATGTCCTCGGCCTGGATGTCGGCAGAGGAGGCCGGCCAGCGGGAGCGGATGGCGAGGGAGATGCTTTCGGACAGCGAAACGGAATCCAACCTCTCTCGACCGCCTTCGCCAGAGAGGCATCACTATCCCAAGCATCGCCTCAGCGGCATGCAGAGCAAGGACAACAGTATGACCAAGCACGACTCCCTCACGTCGACGGGACTCGAACTTGTGCGCGAATCAAGCCCCTTTGATCCGAGGCCTGCACTTCAGAAGCAGCTCCAGCAACAGGCCAGCGGCACTAACGGGGTGGCTGCGGAGGTCAAGGACAAGGACGCTGGGACAAGCGTGGTGGCGGCATCTCAAGCTACAGTCGATGGCAAGGTCATTACTGCGCCTTCCTCCCGTCCTTCCTCTCCACCTCCTCGCGCCATGTCGCCGAGAGGAAAGAGCAACGCCACGACAAAGGTCAGCAGCGGCGGCAGTGTTATCGAGGGCATCGATGGCAATAAGGTCACCTCGCCCAACGGTTCGGCTACTTCTCCCTCGTCGCCGCCCGCTGATGGGGCTAAGGACAAGGACAAAGACAACCGTGGCATCTTGCGACGGATGCTTTCCTCATCAGACCAAGGTCCTGGTTCGAGTGCCGCACGTGGTGCCAACGCGTCCCCGTCGAGGAGCCCCATAGTTCGACCACAGGACCTCAACTATCGCTCCACTTCATCGAGGGGCTCATCGCCGCCCGGCAGCCCTGCCAACGAGCTGGCCACGCCTGCGCTCGACGCAGGCTTGTCGAACGCCATGCACAGCGTGCAGCTCGGTAGCGGCGGTCCCGGCAGCGTCACCAGCCCACCCTCAAGCCAGCCGCCGAGTCGCCAGGTCAGCATCAAGCGGGATGGCAAAGACGGGTCAGACGCCAAGTCTGGCGAGTCGGGGCATCGACTCACCGCCGCGGCACTCCGTGACTGGGAGGCCAAGGGCAGCAAGTCGAACGCAGATGCCGGCCAAGCGACTGGAGCGACTGTCAAGAAGACCAAGAAAGACGCAGACGCAAAGTCGAGCGCCAGCAGCACGCTCCGAGACATGATTATGGGTTCTGCCCCCAAGCTTAGCAGGCGCGGATCCAACACCTCAGCCGGCAACCGCTCGGACGGTGGAAGCAAGAAAGGAGGTAGCGAAAGCGGCAAGGGCGGCGGCGAGACGGCCAGCCTGCTGAAGAAGTACGGTGTCTGCGAGAAGGCAGCCATCGGCAAGGGCGCCACAGCTGTCGTTCGACTCGCGCACAAGTGGGACAGAAGCACCGAGAAGCTCTATGCCGTCAAGGAGTTCCGCAAGCGCCGCAAGAACGAAACGGAGAAAGAGTACGTCAAGAAGCTCACTTCGGAGTTCTGCATCTCTTCCACGCTCCACCATCTCAACATCGTGGAGACAGTCGACCTGGTCCAGGACGAGAATCGACACTGGTGCGAGGTGATGGAATACTGCCCCGGTGGCGACCTGTACGCGGCCATCAAGCGAGGCGGCATGTCTCAGGCCGAGGTCGAGTGCTGCTTCAAGCAGATCATCAACGGCATCGCGTACCTGCACAGCATGGGTGTGGCCCATCGCGACATCAAGCCCGAGAACCTTCTGCTCGATGCCGTTGGGCACATCAAGATCACCGACTTCGGCGTCTCGGACGTGTTCCGCATGTGCTGGGAGAAGTCGACGCACTACTCCAAAGGTCTGTGTGGCTCGGAGCCATACATTGCCCCCGAGCAGTTCGAACACAAGGAGTACGATGCCCGCCTCGTCGACGTGTGGGCTGCCGCCGTCGTCTTCTATTGCATGCAATTCCAGGAATTGCCGTGGCGCGTGGCCAAGATGAGCGACCCAACCTTCAAGGAATTCGTCCATCAATACCACGGCAGCAATGCGCCATCGCCCCTCAACAACCTGAGCCCACGAGAGTGCCGGCCTCTGCTCAAGAAGATGCTCTGCCCTGATCCAAAGGGAAGGTACATGACAGAGGATATCCTCAAGGATCCGTGGTTCCAGTCCATCTCCGTATGCGAGAACAATGTTGCGCCCGACCACAAGCATGTCGTCGTGGCCGCTCAGCTGTCGTAGGGAAATGTCGGCAGTCTGTTCGCTAGGACTCAGACCACCCGCGCATACATGAGAGAAGCAGGGAAGATGCTCTTCTCTCTCACTACCTCTTTTCAACGGTCGGATCGACTTTTTCTCTCCTCATCTGGCCGTGTCTCTTTCGCAGCCTTAGACGGATGGATGTCTATAATTCTTTTGTTACGATTTGCCAATGCGATGACGAGCCTTTATTCCAGTCCTTTTCCCTGGGAGAACTGCGCCCTTTCCCTTTAAGAGAAATAGTGTCTGCCTTGGATTACAAGCCGAGGTTGCCGGCGGCATCGATGGCACTCGGAAAATTATGCCTACGGTGCAGCTGCGGCAACGCTTTAGCGATCGGTTTTTCGTCCAAATGTCCTGGTCTGCTTGCCTTGTGCGCTGATGTCGTTTCCTATGCTGTCTTGCGAAGAGCAGAGACAGATACTCCGTACTACTACTCTTAGCAAAACAGAGTGGCTGCGGCCGTCCACCTTCGAAAGCTGACTGAGTCGTTGCGTCTTTGGAGCCTTTTTTTTAGCGTGTGCTTCCTTGGAGTGATTGATGTATTATTAGCTGTGCAGTACCTTCCCCGCATGCGCGCACACACGACAGTGCAGTCCTTGCAATCCCAGACAATCGCGGATGCGTTGCAGCAAAACTATGATCCGGTCTGGAGAGAGCATAGCAGGGTCGGTCGCGATGCGAGACCTCTCTACATAAAGTGTTTGGTGAGGCTCGCTCATTTCCGCACAGCGGCTGCTTCGAAATTTGCACGCAACAAGCACTACTACTGCTACTGCTAGCGGAAACAGCTCCCTGGAGATAGAGCGGAGAAGAAATTGGCTTGCATCGCCCCACGCCGGTAACGGCTGCTGCACCCTGAATCTTTCCTTTTTTAATTTCTGCTTTTCTGGGGCCAGGGCATTATTTATTGTTGTATTTTAGGAGCGGTGGAATTCCCATTTGCGTCGTTTGAGTAATGCAGGTGCAGCAATGACGGTGTTTTTTTTTTCTTCTGTTTGGTGGAGAACAGAGGTGGAGCGGAACAACAATTAATCTGCGTTGAGGAGGGGGAGGGACCTCTGCCGCGGATTCAGGCTGTCTTGACCCACTTGTCCTCCTCTTCTCACCATCCAGAGACCATGGAAGAGAGCAAGAAAACGTCTTCGTCGCCGCGCGACACCCTCGTCGAAGACAAGGAGGCCAACGGCGTGGTCGAGCTGGACCACCGTGTGTCGCCTTCGAAGGACGGAAAAGTCAACGATCCATACCTGGTCACGTTTGAGCCACACGATGCCGAGAATCCGCGCAACTGGAGCAAGGCGAAGAAGTGGTATCTGACCATATTCTGCAGCTACCTCAATGTCCTCGTCGCTTCGCAGGCCAGCGCCTACTCGACGGGTCAGGAGCAGCTCGAGAAGGAATTCAACATGAGCTCAGAGGCGGCCACAGTCGGCCTCAGTCTCTATGTCCTGGGCTTTGCCCTGTTTCCCATGGTCGTCGCACCGCTTTCTGAGGCATTCGGGAGGAGGATCATCTATGTTGTCTGCTGGGTTAGTTGTTGATCGACTCTTGTCGCCTCTTTTCCAATGGCTGACCACCAAGGAGATAGGCATTCTGGGTCATTCTCCAGTTCGGCGTCGCGTTTGCGCCCAACAAGGGTTGCCTCTTTGCCTTTCGTTTCCTGACTGGCTGCTTTAGCTCACCTCCGCTGGCCAACACGGGTGAGCTCGTTGAGCCGTGTCGTTCTTTCGCTCAGGAATACTGACTAGCATCGACCCAGGCGGCGTCATTTCGGATCTTTGGGGTCGAGATGAGAGCGGACCTGCGATGGCAATCTACGTGTTTGGCTCGACCATTGGCCCTCAGTTGGGCAACGTCTACGGCGGCTTCATTGCCCAGCAGCTCGGCTGGCGCTGGGTGTTCTACCTGACAAGTATCCTCATCATGGGTGTCCACTGGTTTGTCATCGTGCTCACCCTCACCGAGACGCGCCACAACATCATCCTCGCGAAAAGGGCCGCGCGACTGAGGAAGCAGACGGGCGATGATCGTTACGTGTCTGTTCGACAGGACGAGAAGAAGACGGTGCCGCAGATGCTGCGAGTCTCTCTCTCTCGGCCCTTCGTCTTCCTGTTCACCGAGCCCATCACACAGTTCGCCGCCGTCTGGAACGGCCTGCTCTACGGTCTAATCTTCCTCTTTAACACCGCTATGGTCATGGTCTTTGGTCCTGACAATGGCGGTTACGCTTGGAAGCATCCGGGAGTGGTCCAGTTGACTTTCCTTGCCTTTATCGTCGGCGAAGCCATCGGCCTTTGCTTGTTCCCCTTCACCCAGGAGCGGTACTACCAGCGCAAGGTCAAACGGGCAGGGGCCTCTGTGCCAGAAGCTCGAATGGCTTCGGGCACCATCGGGTGCTGCCTGCTCCCCATCGGCCTCTTCCTCTTCGCCTGGACCTGCTACCCCTCGATCTACTGGCTCGTGCCCTTGATCGGAGCCGTCATCTTCGGGTAGGTTCAACGAGTCCTTGCCCTGTCCACCTGAGCAGCTGCAAGTGTTGACCTAGGTGCCTCTTGCCACAGAATCGGCTTCTTCCAAGTCTTGTATGGCATCATGAGTGAGTTGCGCGAGTTTCGTTAATCCCCTTCCATTGCTGACGCTTTCCATCTGCTAGGCTGGACTGTCGACAGCTACCGAGAATACTCTGCTTCAGCCCTGGGCGCTGTTGTGTTGATCAGGAACATCTTCGGGGCCGTGTTTCCCCTTGTCGCTGGTCCGATGTACACGAATCTGGGAAACCACTGGGCCTCGTCCCTGATTGCGTTCCTCGGCCTACCTCTTATTCCGTGAGGCTCTTCCTTGAACTCGAATGGTTTGAGGATGTTGCAGCTGACACATGGCCCATGCAGCGTCTCCTGGTTCTTCTTCTACAAGGGTGCTGTCATTCGCAAGAAGTCGCCTTGGGCCGCTGAGCACTTTGACGACGACGAGGATGCACCTCATTGATCTTAGCCCGTCTACTGCTCTGCAACAAGTCCTGCTTCATGTGCTCGCTCATCCCTGTACTCTTTGCATTCACCGACACCGTAGAAGCTAAATCGAAAAGTCAGTCCGCACAAATTTATTGAGAAGTGAAGATTACCCCCCCGCGACGCGTCCTTGACGCGTCTTTGAAATTGCTTTTCGGACGCACCCTTCTCAAGCCAACCAACCGCTACCCTTCAACATCAACTTCGACGACAACGAGAGACGACGCGACGCCAAAATGCCGCTCGTTCAGCTCGAGGTTGAAAATTTCAAGAGCTACCGGGGCAAGCAGATCCTCGGTCCCTTTGACAAGTTCACAGCAGTCATTGGGCCCAATGGAAGCGGCAAAAGCAACCTCATGGACGCCATCTCCTTTGTGCTGGGCGTCCGGAGTGCGCAGCTGCGCTCGACTCAGCTACGCGACCTCATCTATCGAGGAAGGAGGGCCGGTGATGTTGAGGATGACGATGACGACGAAACAGCAGGAGAAGGAACGGCGAGCACGGCAAATGTCACGGCCGTCTTTGAGGATAGCACTGGGAGGCAGCATCGCTTTCAGAGAAGGTGGGAAGAGACTTGATGGGTACCAAGGTGGCCCATGAGCCGCAGCGTATATGAAAACATATGAGACTGACAGATCAGCTCATTCCCACAGCATCACGGCGAACGGCTCGAGCGAGTACCGGCTCAATGGCCGTGTGCTCAATGCATCGACGTATATCAGCAAGCTCCAGGGCTTCAACATCCTCGTCAAGGCCAAGAACTTCCTCGTCTTCCAAGGCGACGTCGAGGCGATTGCTTCTCAGAATGCAAAAGATCTCTGCAGGCTCGTCGATCAGATCAGCGGGTCGCTAGAGCACAAGGATGCATACGACACTGCCAAAGCGGCTCAGCAGAGGGCAGAGGAGAACTCGACGTTTGCTTATCACAAGCGCAGAGGTATCAACTCGGAGCTCAAGCAGTTCAAAGAGCAAAAGGGCGAGGCAGAGAAGTTTGAAAAGCTTCAGCTGGAAAGGGTGAGTCTGAAGACGAGCTGCAATGGAGGATGACGATGAGGCTGACCGCTGTATGCATGCGCGTAGGATGAACACGTCTTGCGTCACCTACTCTGGCGTCTCTATCACATCGAGCAAGGCATCGATACCCATTCAGCTTACATTGGCGAGCAGAACGCCAAATTGCCAGATCTTCGAAAGACACTGAGCGAAAAGGAGAAGGCCGTCGAGGATGCGCGCAGGGAGCAGGCAAAGACGGCCAAGGAGCTCATCAAGGAGCAAAGGTTGCTTAGCCGAAGAGAGAAGGAGCTCGAGGCGCAGCTGCCAGGCATTGACGCTCTAGACGAGAAGATCGCGCACGCCGAGCGCAAGGCGGCCAACGCCGAGAAGATTTGCACGGCTGTGGAGCGCGACGTGGCCAAATACCAGGCGTCCGTTGCAAGACTGGAGCTGGATTACGAGCGGGCCAAGCAGGCTGCTGACCAGGCTGCAGAAGAGCAAAGACAGGCGCAGAGTGCGCGCGGACTCACACTGAGCGACAGCGACCTCACAGATTATCACAACCTCAAAGGGGAAGCCAACCTGCGAGCAACGTCCGAACGTCAGAAGCTCGAGAGTCTTTCCCGAGACATTCGATCGCAGCGAGCAGCTCTCAAGGACCTCGAGGAGAAGCTATCAGCCCTGCAGCGTCAGAGAGAAAAGCTATCAAGTGAGGTTGATGCACTCACTGACCGCAAGGCGAATCTCGACCAAAGGCATTCAGAGGTCGAAGCGAGTCTCAAGTCGACGCGGGACCAGCTTGATTCGGCTCAAAAGCAGAGGTCGAAGATTGCTGAGCGTGAGATCAAGCTCAACGAAGATCTGCAGATCTGCCTCAATAAGATTCTCGATGCCAAGAACCAGAAGCAGGCTTCAGAGCGAGAGGCAAAGATGAAGGCAACGCTCAACACGCTGAAAGAGACCTTTCCGGGCGTCCGAGGAAGGCTCCTTGACCTTTGCCAGCCAACACAGCAAAAGTACGACTTGGCTGTCACGACCGTCCTGGGCCGAAACGCGGATGCCATTATTGTCGATTCCGAGAAGACGGCAATTGGCTGCATCGAGTATCTTCGCAACCAGCGAGCCGGCCAAGCTACTTTTATCCCACTCGACACGGCTCAGGTCAAGCCGATCAATGACCGCCTGAGAAGCGTGGCCAAAGGTGCTCGTCTGGCGATCGATGTCGTCCAATTCGATTCCTCGCTCGAGAGGGCCATGCAGTATGCCTGCGGCAATGCTCTGGTCTGTGACACGATCGACGTGGCCAGGCACGTATGCTATGAGAAGAAGCAGGAAGTCAAGGGTGCGTTGTTGTTTCACAAGAATGGAGAGTGTGGGAACTTATCTTTCAAGCATTTGCAGCCGTGACGCTTGAGGGTACCGTCTTCCACAAGCAAGGTCTCATCACCGGTGGCCAGACGGGCGAAGAGCGTTCGAGGCGATTCGAAGACCATGAAATTGACGGCCTGAACCGTCTACGAGATCAGCTCTTGGGAGAGCTCAAGGACCTGGGCAAGCAGAGGTTCGAGTTGGTGAAAGACGACAAGCTCCTTGCACAAGTTGGCCGGTACGAGGCCGAGCTGTCTACGTTGAAGGACGAGCTAAGCTCGGTCGAGAAACGCTTGAAAGGAGCTCGTGATGAGCTCCGCATTGTAGAGCAGCAGATCAACGAGACGACGCCGAAGAGAGATGCCACTCGAACGACGCTGCAGACGACGGAGAACGAAGCCGACTTGCTACAGGCCATCGCAGACCGAGAGGACGATGCCGTATTTGCTCAATTCTGTTCCCGGATCGGTGTCGCCAACATCCGCGAGTATGAGGAACGGCAACTCAAGGTCATGCAGCAGCAGAGCGATGCTCGCCTAGAGTATGAAAGGCAAATGAAGCGTCTGGAGCACCAGAAGACTTTTGAGAAGCGACAGCTCGACGAGGCAGAGGCACGGGTGGGCTTGAACCGTAGGGTCATTGCCAAGGAAGAAGAGAAAATCGACTCTCTCAAGAAGGACAAGGAGCAGCTGGAAGTGGACATCGAACAGATCAAGAGCCGCATCGGCGAGATTCAGGGCCGTTTGGACCAGCTCAAGACAGAGGATGCTAGCAGGACGGCGACGCTGGCTGAAGCGAGGAAGATGGCCCACCGTGCGTCCAAGGCTCTCGAAGCTGTTCACAAGGACGTCACAGCGCGCAATGACGAGCTTGAGAAGCTAGCAATCGAACGATCAGCCATCTACCGCCGCTGCCGCCTCGAGGAAATCGAGCTGCCATTGATCAAAGGCTCTTTGAAGAAGGTGCCGCTGGAGGAGGCTAGCCGAGACGAGGGCAACACGACCTCGATGGACATCGACGAGGACGCGACGCAGCAGGCCATCACGGTGCCCGACTACAGCGTCGAGGTCAACTTTTCTGGCTTGGACGACGACGAAAGGGTGGACGGAAGCGATGCCATGGGTAGGGAGCTTCAAGGCAAAATTGACGAGGCCAATGAAGAGATTGAGAGGATGACGCCCAATATGAAGGCTGTTCAGAGGCTCGACGACACTGAGAGCAAGCTCAAGGAGACCGAAGCCGAATTTGACCAGTACCGCAATGAGGTCAAGGAGGCGCGCGAAGAATTTGCTCGCATCAAGCAATTGCGTTGCGACCTGTTCAACAAGGCCTTCAAGCACATCGAGAGCCAGATTGATCCGGTGTACAAGGACCTGACCAGGGGCAAGGGCGCTCCCAACGGCGGAAGAGCCTACCTCACCCTCGAGGACAGCGAAGAGCCGTACAATGCCGGGCTCAAATACCACGTGATGCCGCCATTGAAGCGATTCCGCGAGATCGAGGAGCTGTCGGGCGGCGAGAGGACGATGGCGGCCCTTGCCCTGCTCTTTGCGATTCACAGCTATCAGCCCGCTCCCTTCTTCGTCCTCGACGAGGTCGATGCCGCGCTGGACTCGACGAATGTGGCCAAGGTGGCATCCTACATCCGTTCGAGGGCCAGCACCAAGTTCCAGTTCATTGTCATCTCCCTCAAAGCTTCCCTCTACGAACGCAGCTCGTCCCTCGTTGGCGTGCTGCGCAATCAAGAGCTCAATTCGAGCGCAACGCTCACGCTCAACCTCGAGCAGTATGCCTGACGACTCAGGCTCCTTGTACCATAGCGCATACCTCCGAATCAGCGACTTTCCCCATCTGTACAGACTCTCTCGGACAAAGTCCAAAATCACTAGTGCTATCTTCATCCACACACCCAAAGCAGCGTTGCTCTTCGGCAAGATAAAGCACTGTACTTGGCGCGCCAGATGAGATGGGTGAAGGGCCTATCTTACCCCTGACCGAGCCTTCGCCTTTGAGCTTAAATTTCGCGCGCATAGGCTGAGACCTGTGTTAGTCTAACTAATGTTTAGGACCAACTCTACTTGCGAAGGACCAAGCGAAGCCTGACGATTGAGCGCGGCGCAAGGAAGGCGTTCACACCAACGAGGTCGACTTTTCGAGCGGGTGTGCTGCGATAAGGGACACTCGGACTCACTATAGCCAAGAGCTGCCCCACAAACATTAGGAGGACGACGACGAGGGCGAAGACGTGCCGACCAAGCTCGCGTGACCGAGAGAGACCAACACTATCGCTAAGGCTCAATTCCTGGATGCGGACGCGATAGGATCAGAGCATGGGGATCTGGCAAGCGGCGACGGCTCCTTTGGGCAGCAGGGGTGAGGCTAAGAGCAGAGAGGGACCGCAAGCACCCCTAGCTGCCCCCACGCTGCTGGCGGATGCGCAATCACTGCTGAGGCGCTTTGTGGCTTATGTCGACCCAACTGCACTCAGGGGCCTCAGCCAAGAGGATGGTGCAGAGGTAGACGAGGTGCCAATCGCCGACTGGAACATACTGCATACTTCTTCGACGGGCGCACCCTCGAGCATGCCGGATCTGTCTCCGTCCATCGTCGTACGTGCACATCCTGCAACCAACAAACACCTCTTTTCGGTCCAGTTCGTCGTTCCTGGCGTCACGGCCCGCCAGTTCTGGACGCTGATGGCCAACACCACCAACCGGTATCTGTGGGACGGAAGCATCGAGGAAGGCGATGTCAGGCGTTGGCTGCACGCGGACGCGGAGCTCGACGAGCGAGAGGCTGGAATTGCGGCTGCGCTTGGTGCAAAGGTCGAGTACATGCGCTTCGGTTCGATGTGAGTACGGCTCCCAAGAGGTCTTCTGGCGGTAGCAGACTGTGCTGATACGCTTCGTTGTCGAACAGCATGCTCGTGGCAAGCAAGCGAGACATGGTCCTCCTCACTGCTGATACCCGTCTCGACTCCGACGACGCCTCGTCGCCCGAAAAGGTCCGTCTCGTCTCGGCAAGCTGCTCTATCGAGGATCCCTCGTTGCCTCCGAGAAAAGGCTACAGCCGCTTTCCACTCAATATCGGCGGTTTTCTCGTCGAAGATCTGGGCTCCAGCGGTCTGCCGGGCGACGACGATGTGAGCCAAGCGGCGATCAGAGTCACCCAAGTCTCGGACTTGGGCGAAATGGCTGCCTGGGTGCCCGCGAGCGTTATTCGCATGGTCGCCGGCTCAATGGTACCGAGAAGTGTAGCAGCTATTGCAAGGATAGCTGGAAAGCTGGAAATCCCAGCAGTGCTGCGACAAGCTCCAACGCAGATTGGAGAAGAAGAGCCGGCGGAAAGTATAGAGAAGACAGACATGCTGGAAGTGGTGGAGCTTCAGTATGGATTCTGGCAGCGAAATCGCTGCATTCCAGCGCTCGTCACCCCTGATACCCTTGGCATGCTGTCAGCGTCGACTGTGAGAAGACGAAGCGGAAGGAGAGTCTCGACAACGAGCTCGAAGCAATCGCATCACGTCGCCGCTACGCAGCCACCAGCGTCTTCTGTCTCTTCCTTGGAGTCGGCGCCTGCTCATAGCGACCCGCCATACGGACTGACGCTGCAGCGCCTCTCGACGCGGCTGCCAGGCTCTTCTGCACCTTCACCCAACGGTCGAAGCGCACACAATGCCACAAACGGGTCTCAGGGCTACCCGTTCCCGACAGATAGAGGCGAGGCTGAGGAAGAGTCTACCATGGACTCCGACTCGGTGGGCATTAGCAGTGGGAGATCAAGACTGAGCATTGCAGTTGGAAGCGGCTCTGAGACGATCCCAGGCACACCCGATCAGGACGACAGCGAGAGGGAAGACGAAGAAACCGAAAGTAGCGACGAAGACGGTGGCGCAGAAAAGTGCGAGTCTGAGACAGGAGGAGACAGAGATGCGACGTGCATAGTTCGCCAAGCTATCGATCCGGACGAGCAGCATGTGACTCAGGCACGGCCGAACCTGCTTGGCTCGTCGAGAGACTCTATGCACGTCTCGCTGGAAGATGGCGCTCAAAGGCTTCACAGACGACTGGCGCGCCTTTCCAAGGTATTTCACGAGCAAGGACGAAGTGCTAGCAGTGCTGGGAGCGATGGACCGGAAAAGGAAGCAGCAGACCTTACCGCCTTGATCGCCGAAGCCCTACAGGCAGACTTGGGGGGCGAGAAGGTGGCCAAGGGTTTTCAAGATGGCGCAAAGAGGAAGAGCAAAGCACAACGCGAGGCAAGCCGTATTTCAGCACTGCTCCTCTCAGGCTCAGACGCGGTCGCTATGGCCATTGCACCGGCTGCTCGGCAGAGCTACGCCTCTGTCAGATCACCCCACAAGTCTGCCTATCCTTCGGAAGTCATCGTCGAAGAGCCATCTGACGCACCAATCACTGGTCTGGACGCCACTGTCAAAGGATCTGAGGAACCTTCGAGGCGCACCCGTCTTCATTCCCTTCATCGATCAGCGTCAGGCGCGTCAGCATCGTTGGCTCCCCCAGCAACGTCGCAGGAGTTCGCAAATGGGCTCAGACAAAGGGCAAAGGATGCGGCATCAAGGAGCCCTTCCTTCGCCTCCTCGCTGAGCAGCAGTGACGCCCTGAGGCGAAAAGCGCTCTCTTCTGATATATCTTCCATCGCATCCACAAGCAGCAACGAAATTGCAGCATCAGGCTGGACGTCGGGCTTGAAGGACGTTCCATACGCACTAGCACTGGGTATTATCTCGCTCGCCTGGGCGGGCAAACAGTCGATCGATGGGCACGTTGAAGATGTCGCCGATCAAGGATCCCATGAAGACATTCTGGGCGACCCGGCAGGCTCCTCCTTTGTCATGCCTTCAGCCTCTGCTCTGGACTCTGCTCGCAAGCTCCTTCAACGAACGACAAATCCTCTTGTGATCAAAGCCAGCCCCGCCCCGACACGTCAGCCTCAGAAACCCAGGCCATCGTCGCACTACGATCCTCAGGACAGCAAGCTGCACCCGTTCCCTGCCTCGCTCGGGAAAGCAGGTGGACACAATCTCCCTCCTTTGGGCATTGCAGCCAACAAGCCTGTGCTGATGGAATGCGCACCTGCCAAGAGCCACAATGGCGACGAAAATATGGGCAGCTCCCATCATCCGTCCATAAAGTCCAGCTGGTGGTTTGGCTGACGTGCTTGTTTACTGCTGCTGCTCTCTCGCATTCATCACGATTCTTCGTCGTCATCGATGCTCCCCTTGATGTGATACTATCTTGATGCCCCGCTTTGATGTGATACCATCATAGATGCACTTCTCCACAAAGAAGATCTGATGTGTTATCGGAACACGTGCCGCGGCATCACGGACTGATATCCGTCTCGTCCCTAAAAAGCACAATTGAGGGTCCCCCAAAATACAGCGATCACCCTTGGCCCTCTGGCAAAGATGTCCACCACGCTCAGCGCCGTTGGGGCGAGAAGCAATCATAATGACCCATGCCTCATCGTTGCGTTGCATCTAAACGAGTGTTCCTTCGCCTTGTCGTCCCCGATAGGGAGCAGGGCAAGCGAGCGAGCGGCAAGCTGTGGCGCTCCGTCGTTTAGAATGAGAGCCCGATCGAAAATCTAAGCGCGCGCGCGCGCGTGTCTGCTTGACGCACGCTGCAGCTGCTGCTTATTTTGTCCAACAACATACGTCCTTGCCTTGGCCTATCTCAGCTGCAACGGACCTTTACCCCACCCGGAGCCTCGCGTATAATACAGATCGCCCCTCTCCTGACGTGGACCTCCTGACTCCCCCTCCTCATCTACCTTCTCTCTCTCTCTCTCTCTCGGCATCTTGTCCATCGACCCTTTCTTCTCCCTGGAGAAGATACTTCGTCATAGACATGCCCGCCTCTGATTCACCCCTAGCCAGCATGGCCAGCCTCAAGAGCAACCTCTTGACGCCGCCTTCAGGCCCTGGCACGCCCAATCGAGCACATACGCCCGCCGTTGCCAACAACTCGTACGTGTTGTTGCTCTTTCTGAGAATGCGCTTCGAGACTGACGATATCCTGACAGTGGTTACAACGACATTATCTTTGAGGGCAAGAAGGATCAGGCGAGCCAGGTCAAGGCGACGCTCAAGGAGCGGGGCTTTATTCCTCCAGATCTCGTCGATGCCGAGGTGGACTGGTTCTACCTGTGAGTTGTTCGCTCTGTCTCCAAGCAAGGTAGCGCGCGCAGACGGAAACTGAACCTCCTTCACACAGGAACCTGGGCATCTCTGATACCTACTTTGCTCTCGAAACGCCAAAGACGATTTCAGATCATATTATGGCCTTGTATGGCGCAAAGATTCTCGCCTATACCAAGCACTCCAACAGCCTCGACATTGACCTGGAGCATGCGACCGACGACGGCGCAGTCTTCATTCACTCGAGCCAGGCCGGTAGGAGCTCCGTCGGCGGGCCTCAGTGGGAGAAGCGCATCGATGCAAATTACCTCGACAAGTCGACGGCAGCGAATGCCTACCGCTTGGAGACGTATCGCGCCGCCGGAAGCGTGTCGGCCCAGTCTACGCAGCAGCTCCGCTGCTACTTTGTGTCCAAGTGCCACTTTGTCGAACCGATCCCCAAGCCCGAAACTCCAGAGTGGGCCGACATTCGCAAGGTCAGCGACCGCACCTTCCTGACGAAGGCGTCTGAAAACACCCTGGCCGTGTACCAGGAGGTGATGGACGAAGCTCTGAAGCGCCATGGCCCCGTCATTGAAATGTTCGAAGTAGAAGGCAGCCGGGAGCGCCGCATCGTCATTGGCTACCGCATGGAAACGACGAAGAGCTACTTCAGCGCCCTCTCTGACCTCTACCACTTTTACGGCCTCTTCTCCTCGCGCAAGTACGTCGAGCAGTTCAGCAACAACGTCACGATCATCTCCATCTACCTTAACCCCATGCCCGGCATGAAGGGTCCGCCAATCGAGCACTCTATCTGGCAGATCATCAAGGAGGCCAGCCTGCTCTACGTTCTGCCCGAGAACCCCTTCTTCCAGTCGGGTGCTTCCGAGTCATGTCACGCTGTGCAGGAGGCGACGTACGCGTACGTCGGCTGGCTCTTTGCCCAGCACTTTTGCAACCGCTTGGGACAGGCCTACCAGGCCCTTCGCAACGTCCTTGATGAGTCCGACGCAGCCCAAGCTTCGATTCTCAACGACATCAAGCTGCGCTTCCGCGAAGAGACATTCACTCGCCAATCCATTCAAGAGGTCATGCTCTCGCACCCAGACATTGTCCGGCTCCTCTACGTCCACTTTGCCAACATCCACTATCCCGGCGCCGAAAATCAGGAGCTGGTGCCGACGTTGAGTTACCAGCGCCTGGTCAAGGAGGAGGTTCTCAACGATGTGCAGATGTACGAGAGGATCCGCAAGGCAGCAGGCAATGCCCACGAGCGACAGGTGCTCGAGGCACTCCTCTTTTTCAACAAGGCTGTGCTCAAGACAAACTTCTACACGCCAACCAAGGTCGCCCTCAGCTTCCGACTCAGTCCCGATTTCCTGCCGGACGTCGAGTACCCCCTGAAGCCCTATGGCATCATCTTTGTCGTTGGTGCGGAGTTCCGAGGCTTCCACGTTCGCTTTCGTGACGTTGCCCGGGGTGGTATCCGTATCGTGCGCTCGCGTAACCGAGAGGCGTATTCGGTCAACCAGAGGTCTCTGTTCGATGAGAACTATGCCTTGGCCAGCACACAGCACCTCAAAAACAAGGACATTCCTGAGGGAGGCTCAAAGGGTACAATTCTTCCCACTCTCGAAGCAGACCCTCGACTCTGCTTTGAGAAGTACGTCGACGCCATCTGCGACATTCTCATCAAGGGAGAGACGCCTGGTGTCAAGGAAGAGATCGTCGATTTGGTCGCCAAGGAAGAGATCCTCTTCCTGGGCCCCGACGAGGGCACAGCTGACTATATGGACTGGGGAGCGGAGCACGCCAAGGAGAGAGGAGCTCCCTGGTGGAAGTCTTTCACCACCGGTAAGACTGCGGCCACGCTCGGCGGTGTGCCCCACGACACCTGGGGCATGACTAGTCTGTCGGTGAGGCAGTACGAGGTGGGCATCTACCGAAAGCTTGGCCTTAAAGAAACGGAGGTGACCAAGGTTCAGACGGGAGGGCCCGACGGAGACTTGGGCTCCAACGAAATCCTCCTCTCCAAAGACAAGACTGTGGCCATCATCGATGGTTCCGGTGTTCTGTACGATCCCGTGGGCATCGATCGTTCGGAATTGGTCCGGCTGGCCAAGGCGCGAAAGATGATCAACAATTTTGACACAAAGATGCTGTCGAAGAACGGCTACCGCGTCTTGGTTGAAGATCAGGACGTGCGGCTGCCGACGGGCGAGTTCGTGCCCGACGGCGTTGCTTTCAGAAATGGGGCCCACCTCATCTTCAAGGCCGACATGTTCGTTCCCTGCGGTGGCCGACCCGAGAGCATCAACATCAGCAATGTCAACAAGCTTTTCGACGCGGACGGCAAGTGCAACTTCAAGTACATTGTCGAGGGCGCCAACCTCTTCATCACCAAGCAGGCTCGTATCGAGCTCGAGAGGAGAGGCGTAGTCCTCTTCCCCGATGCCAGTGCAAACAAGGGTGGCGTCACCTCGAGCAGTCTTGAGGTCCTTTGCGGCCTCAGCTTGACTGACGAAGAGTACACTCAGAGGTAAGCTTTAACAATTCCCATGCTGATCCGCGTGTGAAGAAAGCTGACAAGTGGGGCTCGACAGAATGACATTCAAGGACGGTAGAACGCCGCCAAAGTTTTACCTTTCGTATGTGGCCGACATCCAGAACATTATTTGCGCGAATGCGGCGAAGGAGTTTGAAGCCGTCTGGGCCGAGCACCAGAAGACAGGCAAGCCGCGCTCCGTCATTTCGACTGAACTCTCGCAGGCCCTCAATCGGTTGTCTGAAGAGCTTGAGGCGACCGATCTCTTTGATCAGCCAACCATCCGGCATGCTGTTATGGCCCAGGTCTTCCCCAAGACGCTCATCGAGCACGTTGGCCTGGAAAAGCTCTGCAGCCGCATCCCTAGGGCGTACGCATCGTCGGCCTTTGCCGCATTCCTGGCCGCCGACTTCATCTACAGGAACGGCCCGAATGCCAGCGCAGTGGCGTTCTACAAGCACGTCTCGGCCCTCGAGCAGGGTTTCAAGCCAGCATGATTTAGTTGAATGACCGTCCTCCAGTACTTTGTAGCACGCAAGAAGAACAATGAATTCGAAAGGTTTAGAGCTGACAAGAGTTTTACTGCCAATTGCCAGTTGGACACCTCCCATGATCGCTGCCAACTGAGAGAGCGGCCAAGATTTCTAGAGCGGAGAAGGTGGTTTTGTCCTTTTTGCACAGAATCGCCAGAGGGGAAGACACAACACACAAAAATTGAAACATTTGAGCAGATCATTTCTTTTTCCTCAATTCTCCTCGTCCCTCCGCGCTGGCGCGTTGTCGTTGTCGCCGTCGTCAACGATCTTACAAGAGACAATAGAAGGGACAGGATGCCGGCCGAGGAAGAAGAAGAGCGAGACAGACGGAGGAGAGACTTGCAGCCGAGGGCAACACCGGTCCCCAGACCTGCGTACTACCACGATGACATCTTCAGACGAGCTGCTCCTCCCGCTGCGCACAGCAATGCGACCAACCACTCGGTCAGCCATTTCAGTAATACGAGCACCACCACAATAGGTGGCACTACGACGATTGTCACCATGACAGTTCCCCCGGAGATGCCGTCCTCACCCACAGCAACGTCTTATCCCCTTCCCGGCGGGCCAAGTGGCGGTGAAACAAGTGCTCAGCCCGGGCCCGAACAGACCAGAAGCGCCGGTCAGCTCGCGGGACTCATGGTCGGGGCATTGCTTGGTGGGATGGCCCTTGTGAGCGTGCTCATCTGTCTGGGCTGCTTGGGCTGGCGCACCTCGAAGAAAAAGAAAAAGAAGAGGCTCGAAAAGAAGGGCAAAAACGAGAATTTGGAGACAAGCTCACGGATTCCATGCGCCAAGCTGAAATCTGCCGCGAATAACGAATCTTCAACGAACGAGTCGGCCCCGATGAAGGCGTCCGAGACGCCACCGACCACTCGAATAGGAAGAAAAGAGGAGAAGGCAAAGAGCAGCGTCAAGGCGGTCTCATTCAAAGATCCTTCTCTACCTGGCCTCTCGGCCACTTTCTCGGGTGTGGCAAAGGCAAAGAGGCCGGTGTGGAAGAGATCTGCCTCTGTAGATGCGACAATTTCTCTACCGTCGTCCTCAGCTTGTCCCTCTCCACCACCGCTGCCAGCTTCGATACTGGTGCAGCGGCTTCCCGAAGCACCGAGCAGCTCTCAACATACCCATCGGCGAGGTGTATCTTCTCCCTCGCAACGGCTCGGCAGAGCATTCACAACATCAAATTCTCCAAAAGCCAGCCTCGATGCACCCTACAACGGGGCAGACGATGCCACCACAGATGGCGGCCACGGGAGCACTGGTGGAAGCACAGGTCATGGTGTGGTGGGTGCACTTCAGGCCACTTTTCGCAAGGCTTCTGGTGGCATTGTCCCTCCACTTCCTTCGTCGTCGTCATCGTCGAGATGGGATACTTGTCCCGTGTTCGAAAGTATCGTCTTGGCACCAACGTACAGACGGAATGCTTCGGAGATGGAGAGTCGAACGCGACCAGGTGAGGAAGCGGCGACAATCGACGAGAAAAGCATCGAAGAGAGCGAGGCCGTGAGAGGCGCTGCTGGCGTGCTAGCCAAGTTCGAAAGGGAGGAGGAGGAGCAAAAAAGGCGGGCTAAAATGGAGAGCGAACTAGCAATGAGGGAAAAAGAGGAAGCCGAGAGGGAAGAAAGAAGAAGGGAGCTGGATGTGAGAATGCTGACGCAGAGGTTAGAAGAGATTGAGGCATTCAATAGCATGACTGGGAGGGTTGTGAGTCTCTCCAATCCTTGTGGGCAAGGACTGTGGAAAGCTGATTGCTGCGACCTTTACAGAGAGCGCCACTCCGACTGGTACAGGAAAGTCCTCGTGTGAGCTCATCTGTCAGTCAGAGCCCGGTGACGCCCAAGACATCAATCATCGACGGGGCGCAAGTGAAAGAAGAAGATCCTCTGGCGTCCACAGTGCCAGGGCGCCCGCCTCGGTCCCCTCGAAGGCAGACAGGGAAAACTAGAATGAGGGAGAGCCTCGTGCGGAGATTTAGGAGCGTTCCCAGCTTCTCACTTGTGGAACGCATCTTGGGCGATTCTCCTTCTTCTACGGCTGCCGAAAAAGGTACAGATGAGGATAGCCAGGTTCCTTCGCTGCGGTCACCTGGGGAGGAATTGCCGGCAGAGACAGGAGGTAGTGAAGACGGGGCGAACGATGATGGCAGAGAGGTTCAGGGCGGTGAAAGAGAGACGCAAGTGCCAGATACTCTGAATGAGTGTTGTGACACTGTCGATGAGGACGACGAGGCGCCCAAACCCTTCAACGGTGGGCCCTTGACTAGGACGACGTCGAGCAGCCCAATGAAGTTACATCGAGAAGAAAATATCTGGATGGGCTCGTCGTCCTCCAGACGCCTCAGCCGGGCAACGACATCCTCGAACTCTGTGGGAGGAGTTGTGGCGCGACCATTACTCCTTCCGGCTTCCTCGGAAGAAGAACGGAACATAGATGCTGCGCAAGGGAGCGCTCCACAGGAAAGGCAGGATCATCAGGTCAATACCACCTTAAAGTCCGGAGGTGTCCTCGGAGCCCCCGAGCCCATTTACAGTCTTGGGTTGGAGAACGATAATCGGAAGAGGAAAGAGAGTGCCAAGAGCCTAGATGCCCCTACAGATTCGCCGCCGCCGTCTCCAACACCATCGAAACCAGCAGAGGTGTAGAAAACCCTTACCGAGCGCGATCTTTAAATGCTACTTTTCTTTTCTTCTCTTTTCTTTCCACAATCTAGCACCTTGTTTGAGGCCGCAGCACTAATGTCAAGCCACCTATAGCATTTTCAGGAGCTAGAGGAGGCCAGAGAATGAAACGTGAACGGATTGTTCTCGAATACAGCTGTATCGAATGGCGTAAACACGCAGGAGGACATCAAACGATTTAGTGTCGACCGCAGGTTTGATCATCGTTTGTGCAATCTTGTTTGCCATCTGTCGTGCACCTAAGGCCGTCTACACGGTACCGTCTCTCAAAGGTAATGGTCGAACAGCAGGTCGAGCTTGAGGAGCCACCACAAGTGTACTGCGAGCATGACACAGAATTCAGATGAACAGTCTGCCATAGAGCATGCCCTCTTTAATGAACCACTTACGCGGTACCACTTGGTCTTATCGATAGCGCAACGGTTCAATCCGTCCGCAGGGCAATCTCCAACGATGGTGCACTGAAATGTGGTTAATCAGCTCTCGCTCTTTCGTAGGAGCACCTCGCGTCAAGAGGAAAGGGTACTCACATTAGCATTATACTGGGCAAGCTCCGTGTTCTTTCCGCAGCACTTGAATTCCTTAGACCCTGCAAGCGGCTGTCCATTTATCGTCGGCGTGCAGTGGAGCTCAGAAAGCTTTTCCAAGAGCCATTGTGGTCAGTAGCTAGACTTCGAAGCTTGAAGGCAGTCACCTTGCCTCGGGTCTACCCAGCTCTTGGTCCTTGCTTACCTTGTTTGGGTCACTCCACAATCTGTTGTTGCACTTGCCCTGCTTGATCTGGACTGCTGCGGTGCACGCCATGTTCTGATCCGTGCATTTGTGCTTTTGAATCAATTCGACCTCGTCGGCACTCGCACAGCAGGTGACGTTGCTCGATCCAGACTCGCATATAAAGATGTTATCGCTGGTATGTGACTCGCAACCAGGTAAGTCATTTTGTGAGGAAGAGCGTTGGTGAATAAATCGTGTACTTACGCAGCGGAAACCGAGACGAAGGACAGCGTTACCAGGGCAAACAGGACTAGCATAAGCTTGAGAGCGATCATCTTCAGGAGGTTCAGGTGATTGGGGAAGGGTTGGCTATAGAGAGAGTGGGTGAAATTCGGTGGAAGTAGTGGGTCAGGGTCAGCTTGGCATCTTATGAGACAGTAACCTAGCCGGGCGGCATGACTCTTTCGGGCTTGAGCACGGTGCTGATGATGTCTGCCCGCTGAGGTGCGACGACCCGATCATTTTAGGGTGCGCTAAGCAGTACAGCGGAGCTTCTTCGGCTCAATCGCACCGATCGTGAATACCTGGAGTATTCAAACCGTGACCGGAGCTGGAGTGGACGGGCCGTGGTGGGCCGAACAAAATCTCTCGGCAAGTTGAACCCAGATGTCGAACGATTTAGAGTGTCAGAGCTGCTCGTTTGCCGTGTCTTTGTCTCGTGTGAGCGTCGGAAGACCGAATGATTTCGCTCTCAGACTTTTCTCGGCGGCATTCTTCGCCGCTTAAAGGACTGCACGGCGCATTTGACGCTCGGCAAAGTCATAGCTTGTCAACACCGCTTCTTCAAAGCTATAATGGTGGTCTTTTGTGCTAGCAGATGAGCATGAACCCTCGACAGTGGCTCAGTACAAGTCTCTTGCAGACACAATCTGTATTTAAGCGATGTCTCTCTGATGTGACTGGTGGAAGAGAGGAAGACGGTGCCCTAACAGACACGATGATCATCATCGACTAACGTACATCGGTCAGCCCGTCGACACTTTTGTTTGACTGTTTTTTTGCATAGGCTGGGAGAGGCTTGGAGAGAATTGCGAGTAGGAGTGTTTAGAAGTGTATTCTAAGAGGCCCGATACATCGCTTCCGAAGCGCTCTCCAAGCTCATCGCATGCGGGACTGCTGCGCAACATTGATTTGAAGGAAAACCGAGGAGGAGGACCCAGCTACCCAAGAAAAAATGACGTCGCACCTCAAGAATCTTAGGCGTCGCCGCAGGAACACCGAATGCCTTCTCGTATTTGCACTCCTCAGCATGGAGACGGTTGCTGGAAAAGGCGCGTGAAGATGGAATTTCGGAGAAGATGCCATGGAAAATGCTATCATTCGCTTCTCCGAGGACCACAGAAGTCCTGCCAGGTCACTGGTGCGACTCGCCCACATCAGAAGAGCAAGCGGTCTTGTCGACGTCAGGTGAGCTGCACGCCCTTGCGATGCCGGCATCTTGAAGATCTTCCAGGGACAAACAGACACATAAATATCCTTGTCACAGTTTCGGTCATTGCACCCTGCAAAATGACGTCCATTCCGATTTGCTAAAAGGGAAAACCCCAAAAATCAACAATACAACAAGAGCCGTCTACAAATTGCTGCACGCTACTGCACGTCCGGCAGGCATACCTAGGCGATATTTTTGGCGGAGGGAGGGGCGGTCAGCTCGGAAGGTCGGAAACCACTCAGGTCCAGAAGTGCTGATTTTAGAAAAGGGGAGCACTAGTGCGACGATCTTCAAAAACCTCTCCAAGTCACAAGGGTAGGTGCCGGTGCCCTCCCTTTCTCTCAACGACGACGACGCCAACTGGATGGGCACTCGTGGGGACATGGAAGACGTCGATGCCGATGCCGAGGCAGGCCTCGCGATGGCTCCCTCGCCGGCCCTGTCATTGCAGCCGTATTTCACCTTGCCGTTCGCGTTGCACCTCCGGCCGCTGCCCCACGTCAGCTTTCTGGCGGAGCGATCTTCAGGTCGAGCAAGGGACGATGGCGATGGAGGCGGACCGCTTTCTTCGGAGGACAATCTGTCGGCATCGTCTTCGTCTGCCTCCTCCTCGCGCTCATCTGCCTCTGGCTCCTCTTCTACTGACGGGAGAAGGAAGAGATTGAGCGGGGCTGGCGACAGTGGCCGTGGTGGTCAGAGGGCTGGCACACACAAGCTCCGGCCCCATGTGCAGGCCCCACCGCCCCACTCGCTGGACGTCATGTCCATCCTTATGGAGCGAACACGCCTGCTCGAGGCCATCGAGCCCTTGGCTGAAGTCATCAAGATGCTCGAGGACGTGGACGACGACAAGGAATTCACCAGGCTCAGGCGCTTCTTTGACGCCCGCTTTGACGACGAGGGCAATCTGATCGGACCGGGAGGCCGTGACAAGTCCAGCGCATCGTCGCCGACCAAGAAGGGCTTCAAAGGATTTGGGATGGGAAGGACCAAGAGCAAGTCGGAGAGGCCTCAGCAGCAACGCAAAGAATCGACGGCTTCTTCTACGGCAGCCGCATTCTTGTGGAAGAAGCGACCATCGACACTTCGACAGGGCAGCGGAGGTGGCGAGGGCTCGTCATGGATGCGAGCACTGTCTCCAGAGGGACAACAACAACGGAAGCTGAGCCACAGCAGCGGCAACAATCTCAGCTTGGGAGCTCTAGGGCAGGGAAGGGACCGCCGACCTTCATTCCGAGTAGATGGGCTTGAGCAAGATATCGCAGAGGGGCAAGTAGGTGACGAAAAAGGAGATGAAGAAGTCATTGAGGATGGAGAGTCGATCAGCGTGCATTCACCGCCACCCTCCTCGCCCAGTCGCCTGAAAATGGGCACTTCGCCGCCTGGGCGATTAGGAGCGCTCAGAGGTGGGCCCGCCTCGCAAGCAAAGAGAAACAGATCGCCCATGAAGGCGCCAGAAATTGTCGCAAAGAGAAAGAAACGTAGGGCTGTCCGATTCAACGTGCGCCTGGATTTGCACCACGTTGGATTGGCTCCGCCACCGCCTCCACAGCCCAAGCGTGCAAGGTCGAGGAGCAAGACGACGGGTTCCATGGCATCGCGAAGCAGCATCGCAAGGCAGCATCAGCAACAGCAGCATCAGCAACAACATTTGCTTGTCTCGTCTGATCATTTCGCCACCTCGCCTTCCGACAGATCATCCGCACACAACGGCTATGGAGATGGCGCACCGCTGGAAAAAGTCACGAGCCCAGAGAGCGTCCATTCGACCCGCTCTCTGGGTCAACTTAGTGAGGAGAATAGTGGCAGCCATGATAGCGGTGAGCAGCACCAAGGCCGCTTGAGGGCCCGGAAGACAGCGTCGAGGACCGCAAACAGGAGCCTGCCGTTCGGAAGCCCGCCTCGCAACCCATCCAAGCTCGGTGGCGACGCGACAGCCGCAGGAGAGAGTGGTACAGGGGCCCCTGTTCGCAGCGTGCCTGCAGATGCGCCAACTCCCAGATTGAGAGAAGCGCACGATTCGGACCGCGAGGCTGGAGAAACTTCCGAAGGACCCAGCTCCTCTGCGTCGCATGGCGGCCAGCGAAGGACAAGCCGCAAGAGTAGTGGGTTGACCGGCCTCTTTGGCGGTGGAAAGGACCCGACCGGCAACCGAAGACCTTCGATGATCCAGCGTCTGATGGGAGTGGGCAGGGCCAAGCCAGAAGCCGCAATGAACAAGAGCAACACGAGCTTGGCTCTCGTTTCCAATACCAGCAGCGAGGCGCTTGGTGGCCCGGCTCTGTCATCCTCAGCAGAGCAGGCTGATAATGCAGGCGCGAAGCTACAAAAGCAAATGCCGTCCCTGCCCAGTCTTCAGGTCCCACCACCCAGCTTTGCTACCGATGGCGTGTCGCCCACATCGCATGGTCCACCTACGCTTGACTCTAGCGCAACGCTGATGGGTCAAACGTCCGAGGGAGAGGGAATGCAGACGACAGAAAAGGCCGTGGGCATGGCCAGAGGGCGATCAAAGACGATACACTCGGAATGGTCCAACGAAGAGGCGCTCGATCTCGGCGACGACGAGCTCGAAGGCAGCATGGGTGGCTCCTCTGCTGGCTGGAGCCGATCGATGCGATCTAGCTTTGGTGCAACGAGCAGCCTCCCGTTCCGAGGGAGGGCCTCGTCTGGAGGTACGGCTGCAACAGGAGCACCGGCCTCTGGCTGGATGGCGTGGTCAGTGCCAAAAGGAGACCCTGGCATCGGCGGTGCCGGCGGAGGTGCAACCGGTCTGATGCTGGAGCCCGAACTCAGACCAGTTCAAGAAGGTCGTGCCTTTGACTCTGACTCGGTCTTTTCCGGACGGAGCGGCCAGCCCGAGGGCTCGTTTCGTGTCTTTTCGGACGGCGACGAAGAAGAGGAAGACGAGGAGGACGATGACTTTGATGGGTTCGACCAGGATCACGGACGGGGCGATGCCGTCCTCTCTTCCTGGGTTGGCCGAAGCGATTTCTTGTCACTCCTTCGTCTTGCTTCCGAAAAAGCTTTGAGCCTAGCCGCGAGGTCCCCAGACAAGGCGGCCATACCTAGCGAAAAGGCGCTTGGCAAGAAACCCGAAGGCGAGGTGACGCCTCAGCAGGAGACCACGCGGCCCAATTCCATCGAGCTCGATCGCGAGGAAATGGCTGATGCGCTTCTCGAAGCAACGATGGGGCAGAGCGTGGGTCCAAAGGGTCTCGACGCGGAGGATGGTTGGTGGCCCTGCGGGTCCGCTGATCCGCTCCCTATTGCGTTCGCATGCGCGCTGGCTGAGGCACTTGGATGGCAGGGCGTGATGCGCCTTTGCTATGGGAAGGGCAGTCTCTGCGCTCGTTCCGGTGACTTTGGGCCCTTGGGACGGGCTGCCGATATTAACGACAAGCAAAAAGAGGACAGCGAAAAGGTTGAGCGTTGGGCGAGGGACGTCTCAGCAAGCGCCTACGCAAGTCCGAGGCAGTCGGTCGCAGATCCTGAGCTGCCGTCGGGACTCACCAACGGCCAAGGTGAAAGCGACGAGGACGAAGGCACGCGGAATATGCCGGAGTTGGCACCTCAGACTACGATCGAGAGCTCGCTTGCACCTTCCGAGAGCGCATCAACGAAAGCGGCAGTCGTTGCCGCTAGTTCAGTGCCCGCCATTACAGAGGACGCTACATCGACAACGGCAGCACAGGCTCTGCTCGGCAAGTGGATGAAAAAGAAGCCCAATAATCGGCCCGGTCGAAGCATGACGATGCCTGCGGACGGTCAAGCAGCCGTTCCTGCTGCTGCTACATCTGCTGAGAATGCTTCTTCTGCGGGGGCTATCGCCAGCAGTGGCGATGAGGGTGGCATGAGAAAGGGTGCAAAGCGCGATCGCACATGGGACGATTGGAGCCGGCTCAGCGTCAGCATGGCCTCGTGGGTGCAAGAGTACGAGAAGTGCAGGGTACGCAACGGTCTAGCGCGAGAGTATGCCACCGATCCGCCGTGGGCCGACGAGGAGGAAGAGCATCAACAAGACTCCGGCTTCGTCGAAGCGAGTACTAAGCTGCCTACACGCAAGGACTCGGGCACGTCGCTTGAGGTGCCTTCCAGTGCCGGTGAGGGTAGTCTTCTCTACGCAAATACCCCTCCGGCGCAAGCACAGGTGCCCTTGTGTGTTCGCACGGACGCGGTCCAGGGCAACCATGGCTATCGCAGGCGACACGGTATTCCTGAAGGCCTACCCTTGGGCCCTGACGGTCAAGAGATGGGCGACTACCGCTGGGCACGCAGCAAGCTGAAGCCGCGGCATTTTGCAACGTCGATGATCCTTTCTACGACTTCGCTTTCGTACTTCTTCGGTCAGCTGGCCTCGTCTCCATGGGTGCACACATCGTCGTGGGAGCTAGATTACCTCGAGATGTGCGTCTTCAAGTCACCGTTCCTTGCGCAACGTTTCCCTCCGCCTGGTCCGACAATTGCCCGCGACGACCAGTCATTCCAACCGTCGCCGTCGTCTCCCGAAGCGGCGCGAGCGAAGCCCTGCCCCAATCCAACGTTGGAAGGGTGGTGGAATCCGTCAGATTGGGTGGAGTGGCTCGGCCAGGTCAAGGAAGGCATGATTATAAGCCCGGCAGTCAGCTTCCAAGCCTGGTGGACCCTTATCGCAGCTCTCAATGGCGCAGATGGCTCTGGCCGAAATTTCAACCTGCAGGTCAAAGCCTACGATGAGCCCTTTGACCATCTCCTCAAAGATCATGACTCTGTTTATCTTTAATTCTTCACACAATCTTGTAATACTTCCAGAGATACACACACACACTCATGATTCTACACTACATTTGTTTCTTTATCGATCCTTGCTCTGCTTGGAATGACTTTACTTGGCTGTGTTTCCTTTGGCAGAGTTGAGAACGCTCAGGAAGACCTGCCAACCGATACCGACTGCGCCCGTGAAAGGGACGCGGTAGCGGAGTGGCATAAATCGAAAATTTATCGTTTGGACCAGAGGCCAAAGCTTCCAGTTGGCGACCAGTGCAGCGACATAGACCTATGATAGCTTATCAGCATTTGAAAAACGATGCTCGTCGACGAGGGAAGGGGCCACTTACATCGGAGAACTTTTCCGAGAGCGCCTCGTAGGAATGTCGCCCCTCCATCAGGCCCATACTACCCACGAACATGGCTAGCCCAAAGGGCGCGCTTTGGACGATCCCGATTCTCGTCAGCGATGATGCACCCGACTGTACCTATGGAACTGCGAGACTCACAAGAGGATCTGATCGACGGCGACCCTCTTTCCGAGCGCTCTCAGGCTGACCTTTCCTACCGCCGCAGCGGCGCCGGCTGGTTTCAGAGGGAAGCGGTATTCGATGAAGCGGTTCCACTCTGCCAAAAGAGGCGCCATGAATGCTCCAAAGGCAAAGAAGCGACTCGTGCGAGCCACATCCCATCCTTGGCTGGCACGCTGCGTGTGTGCCTCCCTGCCTTCGACCTTGTCCTTGAGCGTGTCAAGCGTTGATTGTGGCCGCGAGGGCGAGAAGCGCTCAAATGTCTGCGCCAAGACATCGGACAGCGCACCGAGCGATGCATTGGCGACGGCAAGCGTCAGCCAAGGACGTCGTTCAAAGGAGCGCGCGTAGAAGGCACCAAATCTTCGATGGGCCATGATGGTAGAACAATTGACGCACAGACCTCAACTAGGAGCCAGCCAAGACGCGAGGTCGGAGAGACTAAAATTACTTGAGATTAGTCTAATAAATGATGAGAGGAAAAAAGGGTTCAACATGGAAGCGAAGCGGTGACATATAAAAAGCCTAGGATAGGTGGAGCGCCTCAAGCCTCGGCGGCTTGTGTGGCAGGAGCTGCGGCAGCGGCCTCAGCAGCATCGTCTGCAGCGTCGGCCGGTGCACTGACATCGTCGACATTCATCGCACCGAGCTTCTTTTCAATTTTCGCAATGTTCTCTTTAGTCTTGCGATCTTGGTCGCCCAGGTAGAAGGCCTTCTTCCTCTGAAGATTTTCCACAACGCGAGCCACATCGCCCTGATGTGTTGGCGGGGGAATGTTCAGGGCCAGGAGAGCGGAGAGCGTGGGAAGAGGAACGTTGAGCGGAGGTCCGTCCTTGGCATCACCGGCGTCAGCACCTTCCTCGCCCGCTGCACCGTTCTCCGACGACAGTGAGAGCGGTGTTCCTCGGTTGCTCGACTTCTTCTTGCCCTTGCCCTTCTTAGCCTTGCTGCCGACAAAGTACCCATCCTCGTCGTCTTCCTGGGCGCTCTTCTTCTTAGCAATCCGTGCGCCAGCAAAGAGAGAGTCGTCTGCTTCGACTTTGCGCAATTCCAGCTCCTTGACGCCCTGAAGCTGCTCCTTCTCCTTGGCAGACTTTCCGTTGCTGTTGGCATCTGCCAGTCCAGCCTTGCCGCTAAAGTATCGGATCAGGACGTCGCAGTCCTCAATTTCTTTGGCATACGCCGGCATGGCTGCCTCCTCACGCAGCGTTGCCTCCTCCTCCTTTCGCCTGCGCTGGTCCTCCTGCTTCTTCTCTTCTTTGATGCGCTCGTTGCGCTTTTCACGTTCAGCTCGCATTTTTGTCTCGAAAGCATCCTTTTCGGTTCTGAAAGCCTCCTGTCGGGCCCGACGTTGACCCCATTTAGCGTCGAGCTTAGCCTGGAGCTCTGTCCGCTTCTTGATCAGCTCTGTCCTGCTGCCCCTCGACTTTTCCGTCTTTGCCTTGATCTCGTCGAGCTCTCGGCGAATCTCATCAAATCGACTGCTCAACGCCTTGCTGGCAGGGTCGTCGAGCTGGGCGCGAAGCTTTTCGATCTTTTCGCGATCTCCGTCGATTGCCTTTTGCTGGTCAGCGAATCCTTCAACAGCCTTGCGAGATTTGCGCAGCGTCGAGATCTCGGCCAGGGCACGTTTCTCATCGACAAGCTTGAGCGTGCCGGAGTCCACCTGAGCAATTAAACGGGCAATGGCAGAGTCGATATCGGCAGGAGACTTGTAGGTGGACTTGGACTTGGCCGCTTGAAGAGTCTTAATCTGTCAAAAAAAGTGGTCAGTCGATGCACACGAAGCTAGCTATGCCCCGTGAGGTGCTCACTTTGACAGTGAGGCCGTCCTGCAGGATCTTGACATCATCGAGAACCTTTCCACGAGCACCCTTGTTCCCAGCTTGGCTTTGCCGGATCGTGTCGAGCTCGGCAAGAAGTTGGGCTCGCCTCTTTCCCTCTGGCGTGTCAGCGGGCGGCGCGGCGCCAACTAGCGCGGCTTTGACTCCGCTCTGTGTGCCCCATACGTTTCTTCAGCATGAATCAAATCTCAGGGAGCACCACGCTGCTCACCAGCTCGTTGGTCAGGGTGTCGATCTCCTTCTTGATGTCGTCGAGCTGGTTGTGGTGGTCCTGGAGGTCTGGCCGGCCACCGGTCTGCTTCTTGATGACGATTTCTGGTACTGTCGACGAGGGAGCAGCAGTGTCGCCTTCTGCAGCAGGAGCTGATCTGCCATTTCCGTTGGCCGCCATGGTGACTGGGGAAGCGAGGAAGAGGGGTTTAGAGAGAGAAGGCGATCCTTAATTCTTCCTCGAGACACTGCCAAGTTGGGGCACAGCGTTCTGGGCCTTTCCCTCCACGTGTAGGCAACACGTGATAAAGTACTCGACGCACCGAAAAAAAGAAACCGGTGAAGATAGAGCATTACATGGGAAATGGTGGTAATATACAGTGCGATGAAGTGAGGCTTAGGTGTGAGCAGAGCTGCTGCTGGCTCCCTGCGCTACTTGCAAGAGTGCCTCCAGAGCCCGTCCGTCTTTCGATGCTAGGAGATGGTTGAGCGAGAGGCCGTCCGAATCGTTGTGACGTGGACGCTTTGACAGCGGCGGCCCTCCTCCTGACCTGTCAGCCCTCTTTGCTCCCGCGGGTCGTGTCGCCCTTGTCTGGGCCCATCGCTCCCATCTTTCTTCGTCTTCTGAAAAATACTCGTCGTCATCTTCCTCTTCCCGTCTTCGACGAGGCGGTGAGGCCAGAGAACGGCCACCGTCCCATTGAAACAAGCCGGCAACACCTCTCTTGCCTTGGTGTGATGGTCGCTCTCGGCCTCGCTCACGCCTCGTTGATCCTCCTATGGCAGCCTCTGCTCTTTCGTCCTCCCAACGCATGACCTGTGCCCTCAGCTGAGCATTCTCCTCCCGCAATCGCGTCAGCTCGGCGCGTATCATCCTGTTGTCGGCCCTGAGGTCGGCGACCTCAGCTGCGGACATGGAGTCTGGAGCTGATTTAGGGGCAGTGGCGGACGAGTCTGCTGAGGTGTCCCGTTGCCTTGCCTTGCTACCGCGAGGGCGTCCTGGCTTCCTCTTGGGAGGAAGTTCGATGTTCTCGGTGATGCTCGGCGATCCCTGCTTCGCAAGCTCGAGCTGCCGCTTCATCTCTTCTTGTTCCTCCTTCTTTCGAGCCCTCTGTCGGCGTGCGCATTCACGATTGCTTTCCCGCCGCCTCTCCGCCGCTTCCTCCCTGCTGTATGTGAATCGACCTTTAGGCACCTCGGCTGATGAGGATCGAGATCCTGCCGCAGAGGTGTCCGGTGCCTGCTCCAGGGCTCGGGCCGTGTGATCGTTGGTCGACAAGTTGACTCGGCCCCCGTTGCCTGCTCTTGCAGATGCAGATAGCGTAGCGTTGTTCTCGTTGTTGCTGCTGCTACTATTGCCCTGACTTAGCATCATGAGCTGTTGCCAGGCATCCTCTCCTGAGCCTTCTGTCTTGCCAAAACTCGCGTTTTCTGTGTCAGTACCACCAAGACTTTGGTTGACCATGGCAGTCCCTCCGAGGCTGGGCGTGTTAGCCGATGAGAAGGCATTCGCAAAGTCGAGGTTCTGGAAATCGACGAGGCCCATCTTGGAAGGGTCAAAATCGGGGTCATCTTCGTCATCACCGAAGTCAAAGTCGACGATGGAGAAGCCAGCATTGTTGTTGGTGGTGTTGCCGAGAGCTCCTAGACTCGTGCTAGAAGATTGTGCACCGAGCAGGGGCGCAGCGACGGCCTCAGATGTCTTCTTGTTGGATGTTGATGGCCAAGCGCTGACGTTGTTGAGACCTTTCTTGAGCTCTTCTTGCGCTTGATCTCTTTGCAATTCCCTCTCCTTCTCCTTCAGTCTCTCCTGCTCTTGCTCTTCGCGGTATTGATCGCGTCGAGCTTGCTGGGCTTGCCTCTGGGCCATGAGCGTCTGGAGCAGCATGACCATGTCATCCTCGAGCAATGCAGTTGGCTTGCTTTCGGGCGCGGTTGGTTCGCCCTTGAGACGGGCGATGAGGTTGTTGATCAGGGGCTAAACAGGCTCGTCAGCAATTGCCGAAAAGTTAAGACTTCAGGAGGAGGCCTACGCACCTGAAGAGCCTTGAAACGGCTCTTTACATTCTCTTCCGATTGCGACACTGAGGATGGATGAGCCGGACTGGCCGCAGCCGGAAGAGCGGCAGGAGTATTGGCCGACTGCCAGGGGGTGTCGCCTCCCTTGTCCCAGATGGAAGGGTCCGACGAACCCAGGACCTCTGTCAAGAAGTTGATGGCGCCATCATAAAACTCGTCCGATGGAGTGGGCGCTGACTGTGGCAATGATGACGATGATGGTGTACCAGCTGTCTGCTTCTGCAATTGATGTTGCGGAAGCGCACCGAATCCAGTCTCCGCTTGCGTGGACGCTTGTGCAGAAGCGAGAGAAGTCGATTGCATTGGCTGATTGCCATTCGCACCGGCGTAAAAGCCAAGTTGAGCAAGGAACTTTTCGTCGAACAGAAGCTTCTCGTCGACCCCGGAGTCAACACCAGATTCCTCGTCTTCGTCATCGTCGTCCTCATCGTCGTCATCATCATCATCGTCGTCATCGTCGTCTTCGGCCTCATCGTCCTCGTCGCCTTCATCACCGCCTGATTTCCCCTCGTCGTTTCCCCCACTCTCGATGCTGTCTTGCCTTTCGCCATCTCTGCTGCTTCCTACTTCCCGTCGTGTACCTGCTCCCTCCTCTCTCAGCTTTTCAGCAGGAGCGCCAAGTTCCGATTCTGTCTGCTTCAGCAGCGCATCCAAATGCGCAGCGGCCGTCTGCGAAGCAAAATCCGTCTGCCCTTGGTCTTGCAACATTGTGGCGTCTGCCCATGACGCCATTGTACGCGGTTTACCACGCAGGCTTGGTTGCGGCGGCGCACCGTAACCCCTCGACTCTGACGCTCGAAGGCGAAAAGGAGGGACGACTCGCCTTTACCGCCAGACGCCGCCCTGAGTGCAGTCGAGGGCACCTGATCGATGATGGTAGTTCTGGGTAAAGAAAGTCCATTTGCTTACTTGCGCGCGTTAGTGGCTGCTTCCTATCCGACGCGTCTACTCCTCATCGGCCGACTCCAACGCTCCACAAGCACAGCACCATCTCAACTTTTTTTTTTCTTGGTTCTGGTTTTTGTTTAGATCAACGCCTCTGCAACGATGAGCGACGTTGCGGGGCCGAGCGTCAGATCCACGCATCACAGACAGGACGAAGAGACAAAGGATCGAAGGAGCCGAGATGACTCCTCTCGTTCGCCCCAAGGCTTTCGAATCTTCGGTGCAGCAGCAAAGAGCAATGGAGGCGGCTCATCCTGGACAGGAAGTAAGCGCAGCGAGGAAGATGACGCTCGCTCGTCGAAACGAAAGCAAGAAGGGCGTTGGTCCAGCAGTGGATGGAAAGCTGTAGGCCAGAGGCCGTCTCTTCTGGATCGGATTGCGCCAAGCGAGGGTGAAAGCGGCGCCTCCGTGGATAGAGGGGAGGACCGTCCAGCCAGGGGAAAGGCAGTACTAGCCCACGAAGCGGCTGAAATCTTACCAGAACCGTTGGAGCTCGGTGCAGGTCTCAAGGAGACCAAACGGGGCGATGGTCGACCGAAGAGGGAAAGTGATGGCGATGAGAAGCGATTTGAAAGACCAAGAGAAAGGCCAAGAGATAGCGAGAGAGGAAGTGACAAAGACACAGGAAGGCGGCGAAGTTGGGACAGGGATGCCGGAAGAGAGAAAACAAAGGAGAAAGGGGGAGAGAGAGAAAAAGAGAGAGAAAGGGAGAGGGAAAGGAAGTTTGTCCGCGACGGAACAAAGAGTCGGGAGGAGGAAGCCAGCCACGAGAGGGAGTCTCTGTCAAGAACGTCGAGGGGTAGGGAGGCCAACAGAGATTGGACGAAGCGGAGAGAAAGGAGTGCCAGCAGGGACAGCGGCAGCATCGGTCAAGGATCTGGGAGAAGATCTGAACACAGCAGTCCTCCGCCTCGTCAGCATAACGAAGGTCGAACCCGCGAAAAATCTCGACATGATGACGATGTGCGAATGTCGAAACGGAGAAGGAGGGATAATGGATGGAAGAAGAGAGAAAGAAGAAACGTAGCAGAAAATCTCTCCGACAACGAAGACGATGAATATGAAAGGGAGCGAGAAGAGCGAAGAAGGAAGAGAAGAGAAGCAGAGGAAGAGCGAGAGCGAGAAGAAAGGGACCGAGAGTTGCGTCAGCGAGAAAGACAGAGACGAAGGGATGAGAGTCGTGAAAGAAGGGAGAAGGATCAGGACGGCAAGGATGAAATCGGACGGTCGCTTGCAGCTCAAGAACGAGGCAAAATTGAGGAGGACGAGCAACCTCGACACGGTACTCACGAAGATCAATCGAAGAGAAGACCCGATAGGTCCCCCAAAGATCGTTCATGGGCTGAACGATCTCCAAGTCGATGGCGCGGTGCTCACGACGACTCTCGCGAAGAGAGAGAGGGAGCAGACCGAAGAGCAGACCATGGTGGCTGGCGAGAACGACGTCAGTATGAAAGACGGCGCGAGTCCAGCGGACGTCAAAGGGAACGCTCGGATAGAAGCCCATCGCCAGGAGTATGGCGAAGGGATCGGCATCGTCGAGGTGGTGATGGTGATGATGTCGGGGAAGTGGATCGTCGGCGTCGTTTCCGAGACCGGTATCCATCTCCGTTACCTACTCCTCCTATAGAGGACAAGGCACCGGTCCGATTGGAGCGCAAGGACAAGAGCAAATCGAGAACCACAGAGCAATCCAACGGAGCCACAAAGCCCGTCGAAGAAACCATCACCCTGGAAGAGGCTTCAGTGGCCAAGGCCTCGATTGCCGATCATGAAAAGAAGGATGACAATGACCTTGATGTTGCTCCGTCGCGCGCACAAGCTGACGAGATGTACGAGCGCATCTCCCAGGTCGGTGAAGGAACCTACGGTCAAGTCTTCAAAGCGCGCGGTGAAAAGACTGGAGTTGTTGTCGCGCTGAAGAAGATCCGAATGGAGTCAGAAAAGGATGGTTTCCCGGTCACGGCCATGCGTGAAATCAAGCTCCTTCAGGGGCTGCGACATCCAAATGTAGTTCGGTTGCACGAGATGATGCTCTCAAAAAGTAAGTCATGCAATTCAGCACAATGACCAACGCGCTGACCTTCTCTTGCTGCAGACTCGATCTACATGGTGTTTGAATATCTCGAGCATGACCTCAACGGCATCCTTTCGCAGCCAACAGTCCTTTTTGAGCCTTGCCATCTCAAGTCTCTCGCCTCGCAGCTCCTCTCGGGCTTGGCTTACCTTCATCACCGCAGCATTCTCCACCGAGACCTGAAAGGTTCCAATCTGCTCCTCAACAATGCCGGCGTGCTCAAGCTGGCCGATTTTGGCCTAGCGCGCAGTTACATGAAGCGGAAGCGTGGCGACTACACCAACCGAGTCGTCACACTTTGGTACCGTCCTCCGGAGCTCCTTCTAGGCGCGACACAATATGGCGCTGCGGTCGATGTATGGGGCGCCGGATGCATTTTTCTCGAGCTTTTCACGAGAAAACCTGTGCTACAAGGCCAGGACGAGATTGATCAGGTCAAGGTCCTCTTTGAGATGCTGGGACGCTATGGGCAGGGCGGAGGAGACGGCGTCGACGAGGAGTGGCCCGAAATGAGAAATCTACCCTGGTACGACCTCGTCATTGGATCGACGACGACGACCGTCTCACCGTCCAAAGAGGGCAAACTGACTACACGACGACGGCGCTTGGAGAGCCTCTTTTCGAAATACGCACCGTCAGACGCCCTCGACGTCGTTGATCGACTGCTGCACTTTGATCCCGCCAAGAGGGCCTCTGCTGCTGAGGTCCTCGAGCTGCCGTACTTTGCTGCCAACGAGCCAAAGGCCGAACGACCGGCCAGGGTGCTCAGCGCAGTTGAGGGCGAATGGCACGAATACGAGAGCCGCCGCGCGAGGAGGCAGAAGATCATCCAGCAACGGGAAGAGCAGCATCAGCCACAGGAAGATTCAATGACTCTAACAGACGACAAGAGGGAAGCCTCTGCATGACGAACGACAAAACGACAGTGCCCAGCACAACCCGTGTAGCCTTTCTCAATTGTAAGCAAGATTTGCAGCGTAATCGCATTCAAGAAAACCCCATCCAGCAGGACTTGAGTTGAAGACAAAATTGAAGAGCGTCTATCGTACACCGGGGAGTCTCCCAACCTCTCGTAGTAAAACTTAGTGAGACGGAGCAGCTGTTTCCACCGTTCTCACTGGCGGCCCTTCTTCTGCCTCGTTGACTTTTGCAAGTTCATCATCGGCATCCCTGATCATCTTTTCCACCTCTCGTTTTCCCCTCATTTCGGCCCGCAAGTGCGCGGCGGCCTGGAGCGAGTCGACATAGACTTGGAACTTGGTCAGCTCGCCGAGGAGGTATGCGCTCTTGCGCTCCCAGTTGACCAGAGCCTTGGGCGGTGGTTTGAGCGCGAGCATCGGCTCGCGCAACGAGTTGTGCTGCGTCAGTTCCGTCTCCATGCGGCTTGTGTGGCGCAGGCACGCCTCGAGCTGGTCCTCTTCAGACAGCGTGGACGGCTGCATCGGCGCTGCGGGCGGACGCCACTCGTTGACATAGATTGGGCGATTGTCGGCGAATACGTTGCTGGCAGCGCCTCGGTAGGGCGAGCCAGGTGCCGAGCCTTGCGCAGATGACGTCGTTGTGTGGCTAAGCACTCGCTTGAGGGCGCCTGCACTGCCGGTGCGACCAGCACCTCCATTGGTAATTGCGCCCGTGCCCGAGCCCCCCTGACCCTCGAAGATGCTTGAGCTCCCAGATCGCTCGCGAAGCGCAATGCTCGACGCATCGGTCCAATTCTGAAACAGGGCACTTCCTGCTCTCGATCGGAGCGATCTACCCGATCTGCCGCTGCGAACACTCCTCGAATCAGAGCCTTTGGCATTGGCACTGGACACGCCGATAGTCGACGCCGAATACAATCCTCCGTCGGGCTGCGGCGATGGCGAGGCAGCCTCTTCGCTCACATTGGCCAGAACCTCGTCAGCCTCGTCGAGGTCGCCATCGTCATCTTCCTGCGGCAAGACACGATTCCAGCCGTACTCCATGTTGGAGACGCCGCCCGCGAATGGCTCTCTGCTCTGCCTTGCAGCCCAGTAATTGCACGTTGAGACCCACTCTTGGACGAGCTCCTCGTGGCCCGTCTGGAAGAAGTAGACGTCGCCGCCGGGTAGGGTGAGGGCAAAGACGTGTGGTCGCGCCCGACTGTAGCCGGGCGGCGGCAGCGAGTTCGCAAGGGTGTGAGCAAGCGGAATATGGCCCAGAGGCACGGCATTGGAGAGCCAATTACCCCCTCCCATTCCACCACCGGACCCAATCCCACCACCGCCCGCGCCAGCACCAGTTCCCCGGCCTGGTCCGCCTCCCCTGGCCTGCTGACTCGAGGAAGTGGACGATGCCGAGTCGCCGAAGCGGAACACAGACAGAGTGCCCTTTTGCGCAACGACAAAGACTTCGACCCAATTCTTGTCCTTTGCGCGTTTCTGAGGCGCCTCCCAGTAATGCTTGCGCGTCAGCGTGCCTTCCTTGGCCCAGGGCGGGCCGATGAGAGCGAGCTCTTCGTCGGTGATGTCGTCGCCACCGGACGCCAAGCTTCGAGTGCCGTCCTCATCATTAGCTTCACGGATGATGCTCTGACTAAGCGTATTGGCAAAACCCAGTGTGGGCATCGTGAGGTGCGAGGTCGAAGCTCCGGAGCTGGTGGCCGTGGAAGTCGAGGGGGCAAAAAGCCAGCTATCACCAAGGGACCTTCCGCCAAACGACGAGGGCGAGAGGCTCTCGTCGGAACGAAGTGCCGCAGTGCTATTTCCGAGCAATCCCTGGATGCCTCGGATACTACCCCTCTTGAGCGCACTGTAGCGCTCTGACCCTGGCGCAGATGGCTTTGCCGGTCTTCGTTGGTTCTGCATCGGCGCCAAGTCGAGACTGTCGTCTAGAGGCAAACGGATTCGATCGGCCTTGACGGCTGCGTAGATGTCCTAGGAAGACAGTGCGTGAGCCTGCATGCGACTCCCAACCGCGACTATTAAAACGAAACTCACCTTGAGGACATTCTCCAGCTCGACCTCGAAGCTCTTGGAGTAGGACGAGGGCGGGTTACGGCTCACACTGCTGTTCATGGAAGGAGAGCGCGTGAGACCCGGTGCGCTTCCGACGCTGCCTGCTACGCTCCTGGCCTTCTCCCTTGGCTGGTTGACGACATTGCCGACCTGCAGCTTATTGTTGACGTCCTGAGGGCTTGTCGCTCCGCTCTTTGCGGCCGCACTCGAGGCTTCAGACGACACCGCCAACGGCTGAGTGGCCGACGACGGCTCCATGTTGACATTGATGGAGCTCTGCGAGTCATCATGCGTGCCGCCGGACCGAGATGAAGGCAGGTAGCCGCTCTCGCCGAGGGCAGAGAGAGTATTGCGAACGAATTGGGTCCTCGTCATGCGGTCATTGATGTCGGCGACGTGGAGATCGGTGTTGAGAAGCAGGAGAGAAAAGACGACAGAATGGACGACATCTGCGCTGCCAAAGAGGCTGGTCGGGTTGCACTCAACGTAGCGAGCACTAAACGTCGACAGGATCCGGTCCACCTGCTGTGTCTCTGCACGCAAGAAGAGCTTGTCGCAGAGCCGTCGAAAAGCCGTGTCGAGCCTGAGGCCAGAGAAATCAAAGTTCTGAAAGTAAAATTGGCGAGCCAGGTGGTTAAGGGTGCCGACGCCACCAAGCCATTCGGCAATCTTTTCCCGCTTCTTGAAACTCTCGTCTTCGTTCCAGCATTGGCTGGCCGCCTCCTTTGCCCGGCCTGCCAAGTCGGTGCCGGCGCCGGCGCTGGCTACGTCTGACGAGTTGTAGTCTGACTTGCTCTGGTCGGCGGTGTCTGAGGTGGCCTTCAATTCTCCCGTGGAAGGCGGAAGAGTCACAGAGGGGTCACCATCAGCGGTGCTCGCGGGCGTAATCAGCCTGATGGACGTCTCTGGATCGATGCCTTCGCTTGACGACGACGACACGTCGAGGTCGTTTGCATCGGGTGCAGCCTCGCGTCTGTTTGCATGTATCAAGAACGCAGACTGCCGGTCGATGGCCGTCTCGTAGCTGACCGAGGTCATGTTGGAGGCATTTTCCGATCGAGCACCCGATCGATCGTAGCGACTGGGTCGCTCGGCATTGTGCTCGAGGCTGTCCGGCTTTGCGTCCCGGAGGAAGAGGGAGGAGGCGGACCGAGCAGGATCGGATTGGATGATAGAGGGTCTTGACTTGCTGCTCACCTTACCGCCAGGCACGGGCGGCGCAAGTCCGAGTTCATTTGCCCTCTGAAGGAAGTTGCTGTTGGCTCTGAGTGTTCCCTGCGGAGTGACAAAGGCCGAGTTGTTCGGCGTGAGATCCAAGGGAGTGTTGGGAGCCGAATGAGCCGTCCGTTGGTCCGTGTTTGCCTCCTCGTCTTCTTCCATGAAACTTCCTGATCTGTTCCGGTGGCCAAAGTCGGGCAACTGGGGCGTCGGGCCCCAGAGTCCCGGCTTTTGCATCTTTGTCTTGACGTCGAGGTCTTGCGCTGCCGTGCTGAGCGTCTGGTCCATCTCGGAAGCCCAGGCGCTGAGCGCATGCCGCATCTCCGTCGATCCAGATCCTGCCGAGCCACCATGAGCTGAGGAAGCCTTTCGAACGTGCCTATGGTGCTCCGGGGCGACAGGCCGAGCCGCAGTCGCACTACTGCTCCCGTTGCTGCTGCTGCTGCTCATGCTCTCTTTAGATGGCAATGGAGGCAGGCCAGGTTCGTTATTGCTGCCACCACCACCTTGTGGCGCCGAGACCGACCTGGACGCGTCAGATTGCTTGGCGCGCTGGCCATCGGCTTCCCGTTGCTTGCTCTTCACCCTTCTGCTCGTCAGGCTACCAGTATCCTTGGTCTCCTTCTTGGGGTTGGAGTCGGTGCGCAACGGCGGTGTTGGGACCTGATCCTTGAACTTGCTAGGAATGCTTGGCACGGGCACAGGCACCTCATCTGCATAGTCTGTAGCCCTGGACGAGCCGCCCGGTGCGCTCCTGACGCTGGCGCCGCCTTCGCTCGCCACGCTATTCTGGCTCGCCTTTCTGTTGAGCTTCGGTGTCGAGGGTGGCACGAGCTTGGCTGCGCTCATTGTTGCCTTGGCTGTCTGAGAACGACCGACATCACCCAGCTTAGGCGTTGAAGTCGTTCCATCAGCGGCCGTCTGTATGCCACCGCCGCCTCCACCGCCACGAAGGCGCCGAAGGAAGCCACTGGTTTTCTTCATCCTCTCCTTGAAGAATGTCGTCCCCGACTTATCCATGTCGGCCAGCTGCTGCTGCTCGGCCGCCAAGGAGATACTTTCGAGTGGGCGCTTGCTGTCGGTGGGGAACGGCATGTATGTCGCGTTGCTTGCATTGCTGGCGTCCGTCTTACTCCTTGCGCGCGGTGTTGAGTTTTGCTGATCAGCGGGCAGAGCAAGAGTCTGACTGGGTCCGACACCCAGGCCCAGCCCCTGCCTTTGTTCTCTCGCGTCAGCGGAGACGGCGACGGCGGCGGCGGCGGCGGCGGCGGCGTTGCTGGGCGCGTCTGGGCTCGAGGACTGCTGCTGCGCGCTGCCCTGTCCATTGGCCCGCCGACGCTCGGGAGTTGACGGGGACGTGGGCATATCTTGGCCCCTGTCGCGATGATGAGGGTGAACAGGTAGAGCCGTCGCTGGTGCGAGCACCGGGCTAGCCCCTCCGCTGGGCGGCGTTGCGTACCGTGCCAGGGAGGAGCCGCGCGTCGACGTCGACGGGCTCCTCTCGACGGGGATGGAAGACGGCGGCGGGGCTGCGCCGTATGGCGACGTCTTCCCCTGCGCATGGAGCGGAGACGAGGGAGAGGTCAAGCGGGGCGTAGCTTCGGCACTCACGTCCTCGTTGATCGTCTCCTGCGCTGGGCCTGCCCCAACCGGATTGGTCACTCGACGCCTCTGGCCGCCGGGCCCTCCACCACCACCACCAGCAGCCTTGTCAATCATGGCATCGTGGCCCTCTGCCGTATCGTCATCCTCGGAGTCGATGAGCTCCGAGGCTCTCCTGACGATGAGCCGCCTTCCACCGTCGCCCCTCGACGAGGACGAGGACGAAGACGAGGAGCGAGCAGGGTCGGGCGATGAAGCCACGAGCCTCCGTCGGGCGGCCTCATCCTTTGCAATATCGGCCGTCTGCGACATGACCCACGTGTTGCCGCTTCGAAGCATGTCGTCGAAGCTGTTCTTGTTGCTGCTCGTCGAAGGCCGCCTCGCCGTGCTTGCGTAGTGGTTACTGCTCCTGCTCGAATCAATGCTGTTCCCTCCAATAGAGGCCCTGGGCAGGCTGGTCGTCATGTTTGGCGGCGAGTAGGCATCGTCGGAGGAAAAGCCTCGCGCCGAGGCAAAGGAGTTGACGGTGCTGGCCGTGTCGGGCCTCTTTCTTGAGCGCGACGACGAGGCAAAGGAGGTAGTCGCTCCCTCGAGGGCGTTTTTGCGCCCCTCTGTCGGCCTTTTTCGTTGTATGGGAAGCATGTGCCCTTCTTACTCCTCCGTTCTTCCTTGCTTTTTGCTCCTTTTGTCGTTCCTTGACCCTCCTTACATACACACACTACTTTTTCTCTGTTTCTTCTTCTCTCTTCCCTCTTCTCTGCCCGCGTGCCTGCTTCAATCCGCCCGCATAGGAGCTCTGTGTGGTGCCGACTCCGTCTCCTCGGACTAAAGGTTCGTGGACCGCGTTGACTTGTGCGCCTTCGATCGAGAGTAATGCTGACAGAGCGAGTGTATGCGCCGGTTATTAACGCGATCTGGCTACCAGATCGGTCCCTGTTGCTTCGACAAGTCGATGATATCAAGAGAAATGCGTGTCGCCAAGCGGACGACCTGGCTCACTCTCGCTCGCTCGCACTCTCTCACGCACCCCCTTCTTGCAACCGGTTTAGCGCCCTTTCCCTACTAAGGTTTAATCTCCTTTTTTATTTTTTTCTTTCTTCGCGTGGCCTGCCTTTCGCATTTCTGCCTTTGCGCGCGCGGAGAAGGGTTGGAGGCCTCTTTTGCTGGCGTCGGCACACGCAGTGGCTGTTGTAGATTAAGACTCTCTCGCGACACCGAAGCATCGAGTCAAGATGGGGCGAAATGGGGTCTTTGGTCAGCTCAGCGGCATCGATGCCTTTGGCAAGGTGAGGCAGTTGCAAGGCAGTCTCGTCTCGCTCCTAGACACGGAAAGAGAGCTCACCCCCCTTGGTCACTACATCAGACGATGGACGACGTCCGAATCAGGACCAACGTGGGCGCCATCATCACGCTCATCTCCTTCAGCCTCATTGCCATCCTGACGCTGGGCGAGTTCGTTCAGTACCGCAAGATCCACACCGAGTCCACCCTCGTCGTGGACAAGTCCCGGGGTGAGCAGCTGACTATCAGCCTCAACATGACGTTCCCCCGCGTGCCCTGCTATCGTGAATCTGTCGCGTATGACTCCCTCCCTCTCTTTTTCGAGGCTGACACAAGTCTCTGGCCAGTCATCTCGGTCGATATCATGGACATCTCTGGAGATCACCAGACCGACATACGCCACGAAGTCGAGCGCACCCGTATCGATCAGAAGGGAAGGCCCATCGATGTGGGCAGCAAGAGTGAGTCATGGCTTGTGTGCTGCAGGGCAGTGGGCTTAGAAAGTCACACACACACATCGAACACTCTTCTATTTGCTTGCGACAGGCCTAAGGGGAGAGGCCAACCGACTGGCCAACACGCACGGCAAAGACTACTGCGGCTCGTGCTACGGCGGTGAGCCGCCAGAGAGCGGGTGCTGCAACACCTGCGACGAGGTTCGCGAAGCCTACGTCCGCCGAGGCTGGAGCTTCTCCGACCCAGACCACATCGATCAGTGTGTCTCCGAGGGCTGGTCGCAGAAGATCAAGGAGCAGAATACCGAGGGCTGCAATGTCGCGGGCAAGGTCCACGTCAACAAGGTCATTGGCAACTTCCACATCTCGCCAGGCCGCGCATTCCAGCGAAATAGCATTCACGTCCACGATCTCGTTCCCTACCTCGCTGGCGAGGGCGCAGAACACCACGTGAGGATCTTCATCGAGAATTGTGTAAAGCTGCATTTGCTGACATCTGCTGCGATGGCAGCACTTTGGCCACGTCATTCACGAGCTCTCCTTTGGATCGTCGGACGAGTACGAGGTGACGGGCAGGCACTACGGCCAGGCTGTCAAGACGATCATGGGCATCATTGACCCTCTCCACGGCTACGTGGCCCACACGGACAAGAGCCAGTACATGTTCCAGGTATGTTCGGTGCATTCTGGTCTCGGGGTGGCTTTGAGAATCGCCGCTGACGAGAAAGTCTCGGCGTGCAGTACTTTGTGAAGGTGGTGCCGACGGAGCTGCACCTGCTCAATGGGCACTCGTTCAAGTCACATGAATACAGCGTCACGTCGTATGAACGCGACCTGTCTCCCAATGCGCCCAATGCAGCCAACCAGGCTACCCAGGGCGGGGGGCCGATGCACTCGGTGCAGCACGGCTTCGGGGGCATGCCCGGCTTCTTCTTGAACTACGACATCTCGGCCCTCAAGGCCATCAACAAGCAGACGCGTACCAGCTTCTCACACTTTCTCACGTCGACGTGCGCCATTGTGGGTGGGATACTCACCGTCGCGGGTATCGTCGATGCTGCCGTGCACGAAGGCAGGATCCGCCTGGCTGCCAACAACGGCGACGCCGGTGGATGGGGAGCGGGCCCCCGCATGGGCGGCAAGCTGGTGTAGTGCTTGTGATTTGTACCATCATCTCAACTTTCTCAGTTACAAAATCAAGAAATTGCAGCAATTGCCATTGTTGCATTGAGAAGTATCATCACTGTTCGTCATGGCTTGGGTGGGAAGGGTGTCAATGTTGCTCTGCATGGATGGAGTCGACCTCCTCTTTCTCGGCTTCTTCCTCTGCTGCGTCCTCGTACAGCAGCGCACCGGGGTTCATGATGCCGCTCGGGTCGATGATGTCCTTGAGCGAGTGCAGCAATTGCAGTGAGCCCTCGCCCAGCTCGCGCTTGAGGTACATGCGCTTGCCCCGTCCGATGCCGTGCTCTCCCGTGCAGGTGCCCTCGAGCTCGTGTGCCGAGTCAACCATGCGATGGACAAATGCCTGTACACGCTTGAACTCTGCCTCGTCGCCGTCTTGAAAGACGATGAGCGAGTGTGCATTGCCGTCGCCGACGTGGCCCACGAGGGGTCCAAAGAGGTTGTTCTTTGTCGTCTCCTGGCGTACCCACTCAAACAGGTCGGCCATCTTTGAAATCGGCACGCATACATCCGTCGTCCAGCACTTTTTCCCCTGCCCCCCACCGGGCGCACCCTCGATTGCGCTCCAGAGGGCGATCTTGCGGGCGCGCCACAGCGCCTCGTTGCTCGCTTCGTCGTGCGTCACTTTGATGTCCCGGTCGCGGCAGCCCCACTTGGCAGCAATCGCCCGCACCCGCCGCTCGTCTTCGCGCCGGTGCACGTCGTTGCCCTGCAGCTTGATGAACAGCGACGGCTTCTCCAGGTGCCGGATCTCGCCTTTGCTGCTGCTGCTGCTGCTGCTGCTGCTGGTGGTGCTGGTGCTGGTGCTCGGGCCGTCGTTTGCAGCAGTGGCACGGTTGATGACCTGGAGCATCGTGTCGTCGAGCAGCTCGATGCACTGGACGCCGACGCCCTGGGCGAGGATGTTCTGCGCGGCCGAGCATGCGTCCCTCACGCTGGGAAATGGCACGACGGCGATGCTTGTGGGAAGCAACGGAGCCAAGCGCAAAGTGGCTTTGACAATGAAGCCCAGACAGCCCTCGGAGCCGAGAAAGAGCTTGGTGAGGTCCGGGCCTGCCGATGACTTTCGCGCGCGCGATCTCGTCTTGATGACTTCGCCGTTGGGTAGTACCACGGTGGCGTTGAGCACGTAGTCGCCCTTCATGGTGCCGTAGCGTACCGCGCCCGTCCCGCTGCCGCCCGTCGCCATCATGCCGCCGATAGCCGCGCCTGGACCCGGGTCAACGGGAAAGAAGAGCGGGATCCCCAGCGACTTGAGGTGGTCATTGAGGTCCTCGTATTTGACTCCAGCTTCTACTTCGACATCGCCATCGTCAACGTTGACATCGCCGATGCGGTCCATGAGGGCGAAGTCGACGCTGACGACTGTCCTCTTGCGTTTACCATCCCGCCCATGTTCGGGTGTGGCCCAGTGCGCCTCGAGCGACGTACCACCAGCAAAGGGAACGAGTGTGATGCCATACCGGTGCGCGAGCCTGACCAGCGCCTGGACCTGCTCGATGCGCTCCGGGTATACGACTGCGGAGGGATTGTGGGCCGGGTGGTAGGACCAGGGCGACTTGCCGTGCGTGTCGAGGTCCGAGGCATCAGTGACGATCTGCGACTCGCCAAAGCCATGCTCCTGAGCCAGCTCGGCCAGATAGCCCTCCAGATCGCGCTCCTTTTTGGGTGTCGCAGAAGCACTTTGGGGCTGTCGCAGTAGATATGCACTGAGCCCTCCTGCTGCTGCCGCTGCAACCAGCACAGAAGTGATCAAGGTCTGCCAACTGACGCTCTGCTGCGAAGGAAGAGCCCGACTGCTCGCCTGTCGCGCGCGACCCGGTGCGACGACCAGCCTCGTTGGCGAGGGCCGAGCGATACAGCCCGGTCGACGAGCCAGCGCCCTACCCGTCCGCGCCAACGAAGACGCCATGATGTTGGGCTCGTCGCTTTTCTTCTTCTCGTCGGTATTTTTTGCGGGGTCTAGCTGTGGCTTGCTATTCGGTACGTACTGTACCTACCTACCTTCTCCGGGCTCGGGCTTCGTCACCGTACATCGCTTCATTATTGTCATACGCGGGATTCCGATCGGAAATTGGTTCCGAAGATTGAATCTCGCGCATCGCCTCCACTCGTTCGAAATAATGCATCATCACCGCCTTCTTTCTTCCTTGCTACGCTTCCGGAAGCAGCCTGTTATATAGGACTGGGCAAGGCCTTCTCAACCCACCCCTCAATCTCAGTTTCCACTCTCTCACTAGCACCACCGTTACGCTTGGAAAAAAAACATGAGGCCCTCTACAATCTTCCTCGTTGTCGTCAGCATGACGCTGCTGTCGCTCTCCATGGCCCAGAGTGAGTGAAACGTCTTACTCCCTCCTCGCTTCCGCATCTCCCTGACATGCGAGCTGCGCCTCTCAGACATTGGCAGTGGAATCAACTCGGTCATTAGTGACATCACCAGCGTCGGTGGAGACATCACGTCATTTGCAGGTGGTGGTGAGTCGCGCCTTTCTGCCTTTCCTCAAATCGATGCTGCAACTAACCCATACGGTGTCTAAAGTTGCGAGCACGGTCACGAGCGGCGCAGTGCTTGGCTACAGCTACGTCACGAGCGAGGGACGCCAGATTGTCACCACCGTCACGTCGGGTGCCGCTGGAGCCTTTGGTGAGCCAATCTTCCACTCTGCGAATCGCCCGTCTTGCCATTCAAAGAATGCTCAATCTGCTCCTGTGAAATTTCCATCTGCTCCTGTGAAATTTCCATAGAGACGGTGACTTCGGGCGGATCGCGCTACTTTGGAACCGTGACCAGTGGTGCAGAGGGCGCGTTCAGCACGGCCACAAGTGGTGCCGCCAGTGTCGCAACGGTCGTCACGAGTGGAGCCGGCGGTGCTGCGACGACAATCACGAGCGCCGTGAGGACCGACGGTGCCGTCGCGCTGATGCCCTTTGGAAGCGGTCAGTCGATGGGTCTTATTGCGCTCGTCTTGGCGGGCGTGGCCGGCATGGGCGCCGTGGCTCTGTAGGAACGCTTTTCCCTTTAGAACGTTACACGGACCCACGATTCAATGGCTTGTTGTACCGCGAGCGAAATGGAAACGCAGCTTCGACTTTCTTTGTCTCGGACATGCAAGCAAATCACTATTTAGATGCCGAATGCTTTCCTCTCCTTACTAAGCTCTCCATGGGGACCTGTCTTGCGTGCACATCAGCCCACGGGGCCAGCTACAAGCAAGCTCCGTCGACTTCTGCGCTCCCCACGGTGATCTCGATCACGTGACTGTCATTTTGATTTTTGGAAGGAGTGGGTGTGGTCGCGGCGGTGTCTAATTCTGACCACCCTCTGCAACAACCCCAGGCCGCTGGCGCAGACGAGAGAGTGTGTTCGTGTGTGACAGCGACCGCGACAGCAGGAAGGGAGATGGCGCGAGGCAAGGCCAAGCTGAAAAAGGGACAGCGGGCGTCGTCCAAGGCGACCACTCAGCCGCTGAAGAGCGCCAAGGCGGCGGCGGCGTCGGCAGCGGCCGCGACGGTGGATCTCACGTCGACAACAAAGGGAACTGCTCACCATGCCACACATCCAACGCGTGCAGATTCGCTCAGCGATGCCTCGGCCTCGCCGAGAAACTATCACAGGGGATTGGGAGAGATCAGCGACGTGTTCTCAAATGCGTATGACTCTGGGTACGGGTCACACGAGGGCGATGGATTCAGCGAGAATTGCGATCAGTGAGCACCTGCACCTCTGGCCTTGCGATTGCTGCGCCTGTTGCTGACCAGTATCAAAGTCGCGACCTCGATGCAGAGAAAATGAAGAAGGTGGCTGGTCTCTTGTCGGACCTCTTCACCTCGTCATTTCGCTTGGCAGTACCTTCGCTTTTCCGAGGCATGATCCAAAAGTGGGTGGTCGAATTGGGTTGCTGAAAGACTCGGAAGCCACTTCTGACACATTGGATACAGCTTGCAGGATCAGGTGCTCTTGGACAAGCTGATGGGCTTTCTTGACGATGGATTCGAGCCTACGGTGGGTCACTAGCAGGCTCAGCCAGCTTCATGCCCCTGTGGGGAACATTTGGCTAACAGGGGCTTTATACATCCAGCTCATCCGCAACATGGCCTTGGACGACAGCACCCGTGAAGGCATCAAGATGCAGATTAAGCTAGCATGCGATGACGAGCTGCCAGATGTCGTCTTGAAGCTGTCGACAGAGGATTGCTTCGACCTCGCTTGTGACTTGGTGAGTAGCTTGTGGGCTTGCAATTGGCGATGGGCCTGACTATTCTACCTGAAACAGGCGGTGCGACACGGTCGAGACTTGCAGACGTGGGGCCCACCCTGCGCATGCTCCTTCTCCTCTTGCCTCTCTTGCCTCGAAAAGCTCGTCGTTTCCGTCCGAAACACTCCGCCCGTGCCACCCGCCGCGGTACGGCCAATCGACGGGCAACAGCTTGTTCTCGCCATCGAGGAAACGTTGAATAGCGAGGATGCTTCAGACTCCGAGGCCGGGCCGATCAGGAGTCTTGTCACCAAGGGATCCGATGTGGCCACGATGCCCTGGGTGAAAGTCATGGAAGAAGCGTGGACGTCGATGGCCCAGATTCTATGTGGGTGCACAATGCGCTTCTTCTTCGTCTCGTGCTGATTTCGAAGCTGAACCCCGACCCGATTCCATCTGCACAGGGAAAACAGCAGACCAGATCGATCCTCTCAGCATACCAAAGGTCAAGGATGCCTACGAAGCTCTCACAAAGCTTGATGGCTTGGATCTGTGGTATACGATTGTGACAAGGGAACTCGAGGCAACCTGCCACCTTCACGGCGGTGATCTATCGACGGACGCTCATTCTCTCGACAAGACCCGGATTCTGCGGCCGGAAAAGACTGGGAAGCTGGCTTCGTTGGCGTCAGGGCGAGGAGGGATCCTGGCGCTGAGTACACAATACGACCGGATGAAAAAGGAGAATATGAAGCTCAGGGCCGAACGAGGACTGTCAGTGGACGAAGTCGATGAGGTGGGAATTTTCTATCGCAAATCTCTGGCCAGAGCGATACGAGAGCAGGTGAGATCGGTGTCAACTTCCTTTTGCCTGTCGACCTCTGCTGACTGTGCCGTTTCTTACTACCACAAAGGGCAACTCAGCTTTTGCTCGACACGAATTTCAGGAGGCTGCCGAGCACTACACGCGTGCAATGGGCTACGATTCCGAGGAGCCGGTGTTTCCGCTCAATCGAGCAGCATGTTTGGTCAAGCTGGCACGCTTTCAAGAGGCGGAGAAGGACTGCAGCATGGCCATCGAACTCGACAAGACGAATCACAAGGCCTGGTTCCGGCGAGGGGTCAGTCGTGCTGGCCAGGGCAAGGTCGGTATGGCCAGAAAGGACTTTGAAGAGGTGCTGAGGATGCAGAGGAACGATGCGGGGGCTTTCGATGAGCTTAGGGGCCTTAGCATGCAATTCTTGGAGGAGGCGCATCGGAAGACTGCGAAAGACTCTCCTGCCAAGGGCAAAGTCAAATTCAAGGAGCTGCCGACGAGAGAAGAGATGGCGGGCAAAGCAAAGGAGATTGTCAACGACGAAGACATGGCAGTGACTGAGAGCCAGACGTCGGCAACAACAGAGACGAGAATGATGCGATCCGACTCGCAAATCAGCACAAATTCCAACGGGAGCTCCTCTTCGTTTTCCTCTGCGAAAGCAGATAGAGAGGGCGGCTTGGTGGAGAGCAACTTGCAAGCATCGCTGAAAGCGTACGAAGAGGTCCTCAGCCAGACTTCCTTTGCGCTCGCTTTCAGCATGGTCGTGCGGCAGCGGACAGGCTTCAACGTTCACGTTCCGATTCCTGCGTGGATCCGACCGCCCTCCTCGCATTCGTCTTAGTCGGGAGCCCTGCTCTTCGTTGCGGTGTCTCATTGTCTGTCATATCATTGTATTCTAGCAAAACAACTACCTCTGTACCACACACGATCTCATGATGCCTTGACATCATTATCATTTACCACCATTTGTGGTGCATCTCACGGCCGTTATCGTCGTCGACGTCGTCACCATGAAGGTCTTGCGATATTCAGTCACGTGATTATTTAACACGTGATGGCTGACAAGAAGCGTTCGCCTCATTGGTCTGAGGCTGAGATCATCGCGAGCTTACAGCAGAAGGCTACCACCCAACGACGACGATGGCACCGATCGCAGCTTCGCTCCTGCGCCAAGGCGGCGGCGCTGCTGTGCGTCGTCTGCATGGCGCCTCTTGTCGCTTCACCAGCCCCACGGCTGCCTCTGTCGCTGCCGCGCGCCGGACCCTGGCTACCGAAGCAGGCCCATCGGCGCAGGACAATCGTCCCCAGGCAAAGGCGGCGACAATCACGCCCGCCACGACGGCCCACACCGTCGAGGAGCTTCACGGCCGTACGGCAGAAGAGATCCTGCGTGAGGGAGGCACGAGGAAGGAGGCAAGTATGCGCCACTTCACAGTCAACTTTGGTCCTCAGCACCCAGCCGCGCATGGCGTGCTCCGACTTATCCTCGAACTCAACGGAGAGGAAATCCTGCGAACCGACCCGCATGTTGGTCTGCTACACCGAGGAACAGAGAAGCTCATCGAGTACAAGACCTACACCCAGGCCCTGCCCTACTTTGACCGCCTTGACTACGTTTCCATGATGACAAACGAGCTCTGCTATGCGCGCGCCGTCGAGAAGCTCCTCAACATTGAGGTGCCCGAGCGCGCAAAGTGGATCAGGACGCTGTTTGGCGAGATTACTCGTATCCTCAACCACTGCATGGCCGTGCTTTCGCACGTCATGGACGTTGGAGGTCTCACGCCGTTCTTGTGGGCATTCGAGGAGCGCGAGAAGCTCATGGAGTTCTACGAGCGTGTCTCGGGCGCTCGTCTTCACGCTGCCTACGTGCGACCCGGTGGTGTGGCCTTTGACCTCCCTCACGGACTCTTGGACGACATTCACAAGTGGGCCACCCAATTCTCTTCGCGCGTCGACGAAATCGAAGAAGTCGTTACCGGGAACCGTATCTGGAAGGGACGTACCATTGGCATCGGGACAGTGACGGCGCAGCAGGCCCTCGACTTTGGCTTCTCTGGCGTCATGCTCCGAGGTAGTGGTATCCCATGGGACATTCGCAAGGTTGCGCCTTACGACGCCTACGACCAGGTCGACTTCGACGTCCCCGTGGGCAAGAACGGCGACTGCTACGACCGATACCTGTGCCGAATCGAAGAGTTCAGGCAGAGCCTGAGGATCATCGAGCAGTGCCTCAACAAGATGCCTGCTGGCCAGTACAAGGTTGACGACCACAAGCTCACGCCGCCACCACGAGCTAGCATGAAAGAGTCGATGGAGTCGCTTATTCACCACTTCAAGCTCTTCTCGGAGGGATACAGGTGTGTCTTTCGCCGTTGTACATTTTAGATCTAGACACTGATCTCCGTCTTTTAGCGTCCCGCCGGGAGAAACTTACAGCGCCATCGAGGCTCCCAAAGGAGAGATGGGCGTCTACCTCGTCAGTGACGGATCCAACAGGCCTTACCGATGCAAGATTCGCGCTCCTGGCTTTGCCCACCTTGCCCAGGCCGACACTCTGGCCCGACACCACTACCTGCCAGACATGGTGGCCATCATTGGAAGTGAGTAGGACTTGGCCGCTCTTGAACGATGCTCTTTGCTCAACCGTTCGCTCTCTCCCCACAGCCATGGACCTCGTGTTTGGGGAGGTCGACAGATAATTTTGTATATACACACCTCCTCTTGTTAAAGCCTACATCGTCGTTCCAAGCTTTTCTGACGGAGTGCCAAGGCAGAGTGGATTCCCGCCCAGCCCTGAATGCTTGGCGCGACAGTAGTAGTAATGTCGTAGTACGACGTCGATTCGAAGGCGTCTTCCGGGCCAAGTGGAGAGCGGCAACCAGCCCACGAACGCCTCTGTGCGCGTCCCTCTGTGCGCGTGTATTTCCTCCCCTTCATTTTGCCTCGGAAGGACTGCGTCTTTAGGCCATGCTTGGCACTGCAGTATGCTTTGGCTCGGCGTGTTGCGAGCCCATCATGGGCTGCACCCCTGGGAGCTGATGTGCGTCACGGCCATCGTCATCGGCGGGCATCACCGTGTGTAGATCCAGCTGAGTCAATGACTGCCGTGCCGCATCTAGCCCTACATTCCCACCAAAGGCAAGCGCTGCCCAAAATAGTAACAAATGTGCCGTACCAATGAGTACAGCTGTGGTTGGGCGATCCGGTGCGCTGCCGCAGCCGAGAAAGAGTCGAGCAAACACTCCGAGGGGCACTTCGAGGAGATGGAACGCAATAGGGGAAGAAAGATGAGAAGAGAAGCAGTGAGATCGAGGAGGGAGCGGTGACTTTCACCACTGCCGGCGCGCGACAACGGTGTGCGGCAAGTCTCCTTTTCCTCTTCAAGGGTCTTTTGTCTCTTTTGTCAAGCACGCACGAAGACAAGTGACCGATCTGGTCTTTGACAGCACCACGCTGATCTTCATAGTGCCTGTTGCATCACCACGGCGCGCAGCCTGGTTATCAGCCATGCTCAGCAGAACACGACCTGCACCTGACAATCAACAAGCCGCTCTCTCTTCCTGGGTCGATTGAGCTGCCAACGGAAAGAATACGTTTCCGAAAAATCAAAAACCAAAAACCAAAAAAATTGGCGCGCCAAAGAAAAGCAAAATAAAAAGAACAAGAAAAGTGAAAAAGAAGGGGGAGGGAAAGGGCAAAAAAGCAAAAGCTGTAAGACACAGGAGCAGCGAGGCGAGAGAGAGAGGGCCCGCGCGTGAGCCGCTTTATCGTTTAGACACCATCGACTAAGTCAGTCCATCGCGATTGGAGCGAGTGCGAGACACAACGAAGGGGAGACAGAAAAGCGAGAGGGGCCACACATACACCATCACGTACGCATTCGATAACGGCGACTGGTGCTCTTCCCTTCTCGGTGGCTCTCGTGAGCTCAGAAGTGCGCGCGCGCGTCTCAGTCGAGGTGTCCAGCGTTAGCTCAGAGCGACAGCACGTTTCGTGAGCGCGCCGGTCCATTGTCCTCTCCTCTTCTTCTCCCCAGCGAACCAAGTCAGCTCCCTGCGTGGCTCGCCCGCAACAGGCACATCAATTGGCAACAGACATTCAAGAAAGTCGACCAAGGCGTGCAGTCGAGGTTCTGCAACATGGCAAGTACCAACGCGAGCGGTTTCTTCTCCTCTCTGTCCTCCCTCTTTGGCGGTAGTGGTTCGACCAGTTCGGGATCCAGCGGCTTTGGCGAGCGGAAAAAGTCTGCATTCGGGAGCGGCCTACCTTCCTCGGCGAGAAGAGGACCTCCTGGTCGCCTTGACGAAGACGGAGGCGCCTGGTCACTACCATACAGCCAGTATCCAGCGACACCCAATGGAGGAGGGTCAGCCCATGGCCAGTACCCTAGTCGATCGCCAGGCGTCAGTGGCGGAGCGGGCTTTGGCAGATTCGATTCGGCTAGCCAGACAAACCTGTCGAACATGACGCCGACCCAGTCCACTTCGACGCTGGTCCCAGCACAAGGACGCCCGTCAATGACGCTTTCCTCCAACGTCTCGATTCCATCGACGGCCTACCCGCCCCTGCGCCATACGTGGAAACGCATCCGGGCCTGGTGCGAGAATCACTACTCTGAGCTTGGCGACACACTCAACTGGCCAGCTACCGAGGCGGCCATCGACGACTTGGAGCTGACAATTGGCTTCACCCTGCCCCCGGCCGTCCGCGACAGCTATCTATGCTACGACGGGCAGGAGCTCGAATCAAACAACAGCTGCAACGATGGTCTCTTCTTTGGCCTCCCTCTCTTGAGTCTCGAGCAGATTGCCGAAGAGTGGCGCTTCTGGAGAAACGTCGATGAGGACCCCACCTCGGGGGCCAATGCCGAGGTCAAGGGATGGATGAGCTCCTGCCCCGCCGGTTGGGTACGCCAGGAGTACTCGTGTCGGGGCTGGATCCCTCTCATGACCGACCACGTCGGTAATTACATTGGTGTCGACCTGACGCCTGACCCCAGCGGTGGCGGCGCTCCTGGCCAGGTCATACTCTTTGGGCGAGACTTTGACACAAAGATTGTCCTTTGGCGCGGCGAAGGCGAGGGTGGCTGGGGCCGATTCCTGCAGTACTTTGCCGAGGAGCTCGAGTCGGGCGAGATGTGGACGCTGGACGACCTGAGCACCGGCAGCGAAGACGAGGAAGACGCCGTGGGCTACGAGAGCTACTTTTCAGGAGGAGGCTCGGGTGCAGGAAAGGGCGGTGGCGACCGCGGAGGCGAGGGCATCGCTGGTTTCAAGCTGACGGGCGAATACAAGGGCTGGCCGGTGCTGGAGGCCTGGGCAGACCGCTCGATGCGATGCTGGGAGGAAATGGGTATGCCAATCGGCCAACCGCCATGGCACCCCGAGCCGCCGAGCGTGATTCTCGAAGAGGTGACTGGGTCACGGCCGGTCAACGAAGACGGAGAGGCCATCGATGCCGAAGGGAGTGGGAGCCGCGGACAGGGTCCTCATGACCCGTCTGCGTCTTCTTCAGGAGCATCCGTGCGCAGGGACTCGTCGTCGCAGCACAGCGATGGAGGTGCACAGGATGATGGTACGCCGCGCGCGCACCCGCTAGAGGGCCCCTCTGAAGACGTCTCACAGCCTGGCACGCCCAATGGCCGTCGAATCACAGACACTCTCTCTCCTCCACCTCCCTCGACCAAGGCATCGAGGAGCCGGCAAAAGCAACGCGAGGGCTCCGACTCTTCACTGCAGCAGCAAATTCAGCAGCAACGACCCAGGAAGCCGGTGCCGGCGCCGGCCGCTCCCCTCGACCTTCCGACGATCGACGATGTACGGGCGGCTCACGCCGCTGCCATGGCTTCACAGCAGCGAGGAGGCAACTTTCACTTCGACATGGACAGGGGCGGCAGCAAGGTGCCCGCCGGCATGGGAGGGATGGGCATGGGTATGGGCATGAGATCAACATCGAGGTACCGCGATCCGACAGTGATCAGCCGCAGTGCTTCGACGACGCATGCCGACGACGATGCGCTCGAGCTCGAGAACCGGTCGAGCACCGACAACCTCTACTCACGTACGGGCGCCCTTAACAATGGCAGTGGCTTTTCCACCCGGTCTTCTTCGACACTCTCTGATGTCGTCATTGATGGTGGGGTCCCCGGCGGTCGCGAGTCCGTCAATCTGATCAACGCCTCTACGGTCAGCCCCCGCGGGTCGATGAGCTCGCAGTCGACACGATCTGGCGTCAATGGTCGGACGCTGTACTCTGCCAATGGCGAAGTGCCCAATCTCATCGACGCGCCCGGCTCACTGCCCGGATCTCCACAACCAAAGTCGGCGTCTTCCTTCCAGTCGCAACTGCTGGCGAACGAACCTCATGTCTCTAGCCCGCTAGCGACGCAGGCGCCCGTCTTTTCCTCGATGCAAGCTTCGCAAAGACAGCCGCATGCTGCACTACAAATGGACGAGGAGCCGCTCTCGCCACTGGCAAAGTCCAACGTTGGCACTGAATCAATCATGGCCGCCCCTGCTGCTGCCGAGCAGACACCGATGTCTGCCTAAAGACATGGACAAGCGCGACGAACTCTTCACGGATCTTCCTCGTTCCTACTATCTACTCTTGACTCCTCTCTGTCCTCCTATTCCCTCCGTATCTCTTTGTCCTCCCACTCTTGTTCTTTCACCCTGTTGAAACAACCCTCCCTATCAAATCAAAGTTAATGTCATGTCCTCGATCCTAGCGTTTCTTTGCTGCTCCTCGATGCTCGCGCACGGGCCCCGCATACGCAATCATAATGGATCGCGAGCGAGAAAAATCGACTAGGGAGCTCTCGGGCAGACTACTTTTCCTCCTCCTCTTCGTATACGTAAGGCTTCCGCAGGATCTCTGTGCACTCCATTTCAGGGCAAGGAAGGGCGCCGTTGTTCAAAGATGCCGGCTTGGCGCTCCTTTGACGATGGCTCCACGCTGGCTGCCCGGCTGCACAACCTCCGAACTGGTGGTGGCGGCTTCGGCCGCTTCGGCGTCGGAAGCAGTAGCATCATTGGAGGAGCGCGAAGCGTCACGGCTTCCACCACATTCCGCAAGCGTAGCCAGTTCACCGACGACTTCCTTGCTCGGCTCGACCGCATCGATACGCTCGGCGGGCTCGATGCCGAGGGAGACCACGTCGGGCACAGCGGCTGCGTCAATGCGCTCGCCTGGTCTCCCTCGGGCGACAAGCTGGCGACGGGCAGCGACGACCAGAACATCATCCTCTGGCGCTTTGGCACCCGCCACCTCCATCCGAGCGCCACGCGGACCAGTCGTGAGGACCGGGGCGAGGACCGGCATTTCCCCGAGCTGGACATGGCCATGAGCGATGTCATTCAGACGGGCCATCGCGGCAACATCTTTTCCGTCAAGTGGGCGCCCAACTCGTCGGACAGCCGCCTCTTCTCCTGCGCAGGCGACTCCACCGTGCGCGTCTTTGACCTCAACAGGGCCTCGTCGACGTCCTTTCGCGACGAGCACACAAACGCCGGCAGAGAGTACCGGCAGTGGCCGCGGGACAATGGCGTGTGCACGCGCGTGCTTCGGTGCCACAAGTCACGGGCGAAGCGCATCAGCACCGAGAACAGCCCCGATGTGTTCCTGACGTGCGCAGAGGATGGCGAGGTGCGGCAGATGGATCTGCGCCTGCCGGTGAGTTTTTTGTATCAGGCTACTAGTAAAGTCCTCTGAGGAAGAAAATGGCGTGCTGACAATGATGAGATTCAACGGCGCTGTGCAGCACACCTGCGGCCCCTCGCAAGGGTATGGGCACGGCTGCCCTCGACCACTCGTTGCGCACAATATGGAGCTCTACTCGCTCTCCGTGTCCAAGATGGAGCCCTGGTTGTTCTGCGTAGCGGGCACATCAGCCCAAGCCTACCTGCACGACCGCCGCATGATCCCGCGGCTCCTGTCGGCAGAGTGGGGCGCGACAGTCGATTCAGAGAGTGTTGCGAGGACGCAGTGCGTTCGTCGATTTGCCAGGCCGCCCTACGAGTATTCCGCAGCCAAAGAGGAGGCAGAGGAAGAGGAAGAAGACGAGGAGGGGGAGGGAGGACCCACGCTTCATCGCGAGGGAGCGGACGGTGAAGCAAGGGTGGAGGCGAGGAGGAGGAGGCAGAGGAAGTGGGAGCGGGCGCACATCACTGCAGTCAAAATCAGCGAAAGCAATGGCCGTGACCTCCTCGCTTCGTATAGCGGCGATGCCGTGTACAAGTTCGACCTCAAGGGCGAGCCGAATGTGATCCATGGCCGAAACTCAGACGCAGACGCCAGCATCGATGGCAAGGGCAAGGGCACGATGCGGAGCAGCAAGCGGAAAAAGGCATCGCACTCACCCCCGCGAAGAAGCGACGGATGGGAGTTTGCAAGCTTGGCCAAGCGGAAACTGAGTCGCGGCGTCGATGTCAAGCGGTTGCAGAGGCGAACGACCGCCATTCTCTTCCCACGGCCAGCTCAGCTCAGCTCAGCGCGCTTCGACGCGGCGCTCCTGGAGTTGGACGAGCTCGAAAAGGCCACCGAGCAGAGCCTGGAGAATGGCGGAGGCGGTGTCGCCGACGGGGCCGTGGCCCGGCTGTGCAGAACCCTATTGGTCTTGCACAGCTCTCGACGCTCGCAAGAGGACGACGACGAGCAGGGGCCAGGGCCAGGGCAAGTGCAAGGAGATGTTGTCGACGTAGAGCACGCCAAGCTCGTCCTCGGCCAGGCGCGCGAGCACGTTCTTCTCCGCGACGAATTTGTACCTCTGCTCGACGAGCTCGAGGAAGCTGTCAACTGGAATGCGACGGGTCAGATCGAGAAGCTCGAAGCGACGCTCTGGGATACGGCGCAGGAGATCGTCAAGAGGGCCTGGGGAGAGGACAGCTTCACGGGCCCCGAAAGGATCCAGGTGGTGGACGAAGAGAGGAGCCATTTGGAAAAGCTCGCAGCCGAGGAGAGCGAAGCGTCAGTCAGTGGAGAGGAAGAGGTCCTGGAGGAAGACACCCTGGAGGAAGACACCCATGAGGAAGAGGCAGATGAGAGGGGCCAAATCGACATGCCAATGGCACGCTTCTTGCGAGACGACGTCCTGCAAGGGGCGCACGCGATGGACGAGGATGAGGAAGATGGAGGAGAAGGAGAAGAGATGAGCATTCAGGAGGACGAGGACTCTGAGCTGGATTCGGAAGCCTACGACATCAGCATCGAGAGAGCGAGCGACGACGACGACGACGCTGGTGACCTCGATGAATCCGTCGGCGGCAAGTCGCCCATCGTCTATCCCGTGGCTCGCTATGCCGGCCACGCCAACAACGAGACAGTCAAGGACTGTGGCTTCCTAGGCCCCAACGACGAGCACGTCTGGTCCGGCTCGGACTCTGGCCATTTCTTCGTGTGGGACAACATTGACGAGAGGCTCAAAGCCCTCTTCAAAGGCGATGACTGTGTCACCAATGTCGTTCAGCCCCACCCGTTGCTGCCTGTGCTTGCAGCGAGTGGAATCGACGACACAGTCAAGCTCTTTGGTCCCGTTGGACCCGGCAGTCGCAAGCTAGCCGACCGTCTCAAAGACCGGGAGGACATCATCCGCAAGAATCGCAAGCAAAGGAGGTGCGTTCCATTGTTCTCAGCTGATATAGATAGAAAGCTGACAAAGGTCCTGACGACAGGGGAGGGGCAGGCATCAGTTCGAGGGCCATCATGCAGCTGTTTGCGTCGCACATCATGAGAGAGCAGGGAGGGGAAGGAGGAGCAACAAGAGTCGTCAACGCCGACGGCGAAGAGGAAGAGTGTGTGGTCATGTAGCATATCTTTAGTCATCTTAATTGGTCGTGTTATCCGTTCAGTCATTTGCCATTACCAAGGGATGAGGAAGGTCGCCGCGGGCTGCCCCTTGAAAGGAGAGGAAACGAAATCGGATGTTCAAAAGTCGCCGTACCCCATACCCAGTGGAGCCTATTAGCTCCAAGCTGCAGCCCCTATTCTCGGCACGCAGGCCTGGCACCGAGGAACGCGCCATTCGCGTTCCCTAGTCTATTTGTAGATCCTATTTGACTTGACCGCTTCTCCCCCCCCTCTCAGCCTTACGAACACACACCATCTTGCTCTTCTGTAACGACCTGACGACGAGACCTCTTTCCTCTTAACGACTTTGACGACCTTTATACCACACCCTCAAACCAACCTCAAAGACATTCCAAGATGGGCTGCGTGTGCTCCTGCCTTGCTTCGACCTTTATGGTCCTCGGCGAAGTCTTTGAGACGCTTTTCCTCGCGTTAGTAGCATCGCACGCACCCCTTACCCACTGTCCTCTCTCTGGGTCCCCTTCGCGGCGGTCTGAGCTCACGAAACGGTCAATGCCTGCAGCGTCGGCGAGGTCGGTGCCATTCTGATCCGCGGCATCTTTGGCCTCATCGTTGGTCTCTGCGACGTCCTGGCCGCCTGCATGTGCTGCTGCCAGGTTCCCTTCTCGGAGCGTCCCGACCGAGGCACGTATACCTACAGCTCCCTCCACCGGTCCAACGTCGGCCCCACCCAGGTCCTCCTCGGCGGCTTCACCAAGCAGGGACGGAGGGATCGCGCCGTGCGAAAGGAGCTCAGGAAGAAGGAGCATGCCGAGAAGTGAGTCTTGTCTATGCAGACCGACCCGCAAGAGGCGCGGTGTGAAGGGGAAGGCAGAACAGATCGCTGACCACCACCAACCACCCAACAGGGTCGAGGCCGCAAAGGCGCAGCGCGAGGCGACAAAGGGCCCCGTTGTGCCGGTCGAATCGGCAGCAGACATTGAGAACGAGAAGAAGATCTCCGAAGAGAGCGAGGCCGCTACCCCTGCCGCCGCGCCCGCCAGCAACGGCTGGTTTGGCGGTCTCTTCGGAGGAAGCAGCGCCGCCCCAGCCGCTGTTGCTCCCGTTGCTGCTGAGACCAAGTGAGGCACCCCTCTTCAATTCGGCCTGCTCCTGTACCAAATACCTCTTCCTGATGATGACCCCGTAACGAAATCTTAATGACCCACAAAACTGCCTTTGTCTTGTCCTGGCGTGATTATGATTTCATTGATGGTGCTTAGTCCTTCTTAAGCTCCCTTCGGATGACCATACATGCGTCGTCCTTCTGCGGGTCTTCTCCACCAAGGGCCTCTACTGCGCCATGCGCTCCCAAGTCGACAGCAGCGGCTCCAGTCTTTGATCCCGGCAGACGGACGACAAACATTTCCAGACCGTCTCCCACCTCGATGTGTCGCTCCGTGGCCGAGGTGAAGCTGTCCATGACGATGCGAAGAACGTCCGGTAGCGTCATTGTGCCCGGCTCTGGAATCGGACGCTCGGGTGTTGGAATCTGGTTCTTGAACATGATCTGTATCAAGGCGAATCGCCTGTCAGTTTTTCAGGGCGCAGAGCTATACCCCAGAGCAAGACAGCGCACCTGGCTATCCAAGAATGGCTGGAGCAGGCTCTGTGCACTTCCTGCCGCTCTGCAGAATTCTCGCTCGTAGCTGCCCACCGGGTCGAAGCTGTAGACTGCGCCCTTGCCCTGCTCATCGAGGCCGCCGAGGATGTTGTAGACGTAGTACGGGAAGAAGCGCTTCGAGTAGAGAATCGTCGAGATCATTCGCGCAATGGCGTGCAGGGGCATAGAGCCGCCGTGGGCATGCCGATACCACTCGAGGCGCTGCTGGATCCGATTGACGAGCGCTTCGGCATCGGCCGCGAAGCCATTCGTAGCAAGCGTTGCGCGGTCGGTCCTATGGGTGGGACAGCCGCATGTTAGCGCTTGTCAGGAGATATACAGTAGAGCAAACTCACAGCCGGAAGACCTTTGGCTTGTAGCGGGTCTGAATGTTGTAGCCCTCGGACTGACGGGTGTCACCTGCAATTACGCAAAAGTCTGCGCCGGCCACGGCCATGATAGAACCGCCATTGTCGGTGTATGGGCTGAAGGCGTGCGATACAGGCCCAGCAGCAGTACTGTGCATGGCGCCAGCGGTGGCGCCGAAGTGTCTCGAGTCTGAGAGAGTCACGACCATCCTGGTTGTCACAGAGTCAGGTAGGTAGTTCCTGGGAAGCAGCCAGAGAGATGGAGCGAGCGAGGCGCGAACGGTTGCGCGGCTTTCCACGTGTGCGCGAAGCTGCAAGGCGTGATCGAGCCGTGCATCCGACTTTTTTTATATATTTTGCACGAGCGCGACTTTCTTGTTTGCCCTCAGCCAAATGGCGACGTCGGCCCCTCTCAAGACCACGCAAGCACTGCACCAAGATGCGCTGTCAAGGGAAGCAGCCGTGCGAGGCTTCCCTAGGCTTGCCATGCGCCAATCGCAGCGATTCCGCGAGGCCGTTGTAGAGGCGTCTTTGTCGTCGCTCTCGTCCGACGACGCTGGCGCAGTTCCAAGTCGTCGGCGCCCGCTCTGGGGCGAGACGGAAGAGAATGTAGCGACGTCGTCCAGCACTCGAATCGAAGACTTGCTTCCGACCTACTATGTTCAGCACAATGCACGATGTGGCACCTGTGCTACGCCGCTCTATCCCGGATTGACCTCTCGGAATTCAACAGAGCAGAGGCAGCATTCAGGCATGTCATCGAGTGCGAGGCTCTGCACGAGTTGCTTGACAACGACGAACCCCGGCAGACCCATCGTTGAAGCAAAGTCTCGTTTTGCTCCGACGAGAAGGGTGAAGCGCCGGGACCCGGAGCATGCAGAAGCACCACGGCCGCGTTATCAAGGACTGCCGCCAACAGAAAAGGCCGCCGAACGTGCGGATTCGGATACAGCCGCTGTGAAGATGAGCACCGCGGCTCGAGACGGAAAGGATCAAGACCTGGGTGCGCTCACACTCGAGCAAAGGGCCGCGCTACTGCGAAGGAAGAAAAAAGCGGAGAGCAGCAAGCATAAAATTGAAGGGGAGAACAGGAGCCCTCTTCCAACGGCTCTGCCTCCTCACAATACGATTGACGAAAGCAGCAAGGTCACTTCCTTCGAGAAGCAAGAACTTGAAAGCCGAAGCGAGAAGAAAAAAGATGCGCCAAAGCCAATGACGCTGGATGCGAAGGCGAACAAGCGGGCAAAGAAGGGGCAGACGACCAACGACAAGTCTGCTGCGCTTCGGGCTCTCCTGCAGAAGGACAAGGACAAAGACAAGAGCGGCAGAACGGGTGGGAGCGGCGGCGGCGGAGGAGGTCTGATGGACTTTCTTGGTAGTCTTTGAATGTAACATTAGATGTATTGTGCAGTACAGATAGTAGTAGTGGGCGAATTGGTCATCGCTTGGCCCTCTCGGCCCTGCTCTGCGGCCTTGGCCGCCGCGAGATGCTGCAAGAGCGTCGAGGTCACGAGTTTGGGGAGTCTTCATAAACCAGTGGCGTGGCCCGCCGCTGATCCTGTCAGCATCGGCCGTGCTGCCGTCGCTGCGCTGTTGCCCCCCACTTTTATCAAAGCTGTTCCTCGCGTCGACCTTGGCGGTGCGCGGCTGCTGCTACAGCCGCCTCTGCTCTTGTCCCTCTTTGGCGCCCTCTTTCTCCGAATCCAATTTGTTTCTGCGCCTAGCCTCGAATTTCGATGGACATGGAATCGAAGTACAGTGCAGTACAATTGGGCACAGGCGCATCACCGGCCAAAAGGAGTTGGAACTCTAAAGTGTCGTTTTTGTTTTAGGCTAAGCGTTCCCGCACCGACGAAGTTCCTGCACGCTCCACGCGGTCGGACGGCACCGCACGCTCCCCTCGCTTCACTTGGTCCCGGAAGGGAAAGGGAATCGACCCTAGAGTTGCAAGTGGCAACCATGGAGACGACCACCACGACGGAGAGGATGAGCGACGCAAAGATCAGCAATGAGATGAACGGAACGACGAGGGCCCACTCCCTCCAGGACGAGGAGGAGCAGCAGCACGAGCCTATCGCGAAGCCAGGTACCGAGCCTGTCCTCGGCGGCGAGGAGAAGAACTACGTCGAGGTTTCATTTGACGATGGCTATTTTCCCGATCAATTCAAGGACCCGCAGAAGACGCCGCCCGTACGCTTCTACATCGGCATGGCCATCATTGCCTACAACGCCTTTATTCTCTCCCTCTATGCGAGTGCCTACCTCTATGTGGCACCCTACGCCCAGGAGGAATTCCACACGGGCGAGCAAGTGAGCCGCCTGCCCTTTGTTTTCTACGTCATGGTCTGGGGTGTGGGCACCCTCTTCCTCGTGCCCCTTTCGGATCTGTACGGCCGTGTGAGTGTTGGGGTCCTCACTTTTGGAGCATCTGTCCCGCTGACGGCGTCGCATGCAGAAACCAATCTTCATCGCCAGTTGTGCGCTCTGGGTCATCTGGCACGTTGGAGCGGCGAGGGCCAACAACATGGCCACGCTGACCGTCACGCGCGCGTTTGCGGGGCTCGTCGGCACGGCGACGCTCGCAGTCGGAGGCTCATACGCCGTCGAGGCCGCCCAGGGCCTCGTCGTAGCAAAGGGCATCGTCATCTACAGCTGCGGTGTCTTTCTTGGGCCCGCCATTGGTCGTGAGTATCTCGTTGCTCGTGTGCCACTGGGCAGGACACGTTCCCCACTGACAGCCTCCTTGCAGCCCTCATTGGAGGTGCGGTTGCCAACTATGTGACGTTCGACAATCAGGAAAAGGCTGGCTGGCGCTGGGTCTTCTATTCGGCCATCATTGCCGGCGTCATCTCCGTCATTCTCTTCATCTTTGCCTATCCGGAGACGAATCGATCGGTGCTGCTGCAGCGCAAGGCGCGCCTGATCCGCAAGCACTATCCCCACCTCGACGTCCGGCTGGGCTTTGAGCCGCCGAAGCTGGGTGAAAAGGTCTTGTATATTGCGACGACGGCGGGCAAGATGATCATCACGGAGCCCATCGTCATCTTTATCAGTCTCTGGCAGACGACGGTGCTCGGCGTGCTCTACCTCTTCTTTGAGGCCTTTCCCATCGTCTATGGGCCCAAGGACCTCTACTACGGCAACAGCGGGTACGGCTTCAATGCGTTCCAGATCGGTCTGGCATTCTTGGGAATTGCGCTGGGTATCACGCTCGGCGGCGTGTACGGCTTTACGCTCGACCTCAAATTCTATGTCAAGATGGTCATGGCCCGCAGGGGTGCGCGCCCACCCGAGCTGCGCGCCTACCTCGGTATCGGCTCGTCGGTGCTGGCAACTATCAGCCTCTTCTGGTTTGGTTTCACAACATACAGCGATTCGGTCCACTGGATTGTCTCGATCATCGCCAGCGTCTTTTACGGCATGAGCGTCATGGGCGTGCTCCTCGTCACGATTGGCTACACGGTCGATGCTTATGGACCCAAGTCGGGCGCGGCCTTTGCGGCCGAGGCGCTAATCCGGTCGTGCATTACTGCGATCCTCCCTCTCTTTGGCGACAAGATGTTCCGAAATCTGGGGCCTCGGTACGCGGTCCTTATTCTCGCCCTCATCAGCATGGCCGAGATTGCCATTCCCGTCGTCGCGCTCTTGTACGGCAAGACGATCCGTGGCTGGTCGAACCTTGCAGTCAAGGGATGAGCCCTTCCGTCTGTAGATACCTGATCGTGCATTCATCCACCATCTATTTGTAATGATCTCATGGATTAGCTACTAGGACAGAGCCGTCCGGGCCAATGCATTCTCTGAAGCAGCACTCGTAGTGTACACGCCCATTCTCCCTGCGTTTTCAGCCTGAATTTTCAGATTACGGATGTGTGAGTCTGAATCACGAATTTCCTCCCGCTTCCTCCACCTCTGTTCCCGCGTAAGAAAGCAACAAGAGAAGAGCAGCAGTGACTAAAGGTTGACCTGACCTGGTTCGCACACACGCACCAAAAGCACCGCTTACCTTGTCTGCCATGGCCGATGCTTTCCTGGACGCCGTCGAGCGGCGCCGCACCTACTACTCGCTGTCGGACGCCAGCCCCATCTCGGACGCGCGGATCCAGTCGCTTGTGGAACGCGCGACGCAGCACGCGCCGAGCGCCTACAATGTCCAGTCGGCCCGCGTCGTGCTCCTCCTCGGCGAGCGGCACAAGCAGGCCTGGCGCACCGTCGCCGAATCCTATGCCTCTACGGTCCCTCCCAGCAACAGTGGGACCCAGCAGCAGGAGCAGCGCGAGGCCGATGAGCAGGCGCGGCAGGCGCGGCGGCAGCGCACGGAGAAATTCGGCAGCGAGACGTATGGCTCCGTCGTCTTTCTGGAGAACCGCGAGGACATTGAGGCCCAGTATGTGCAGTCGCCCGAGTGAGTGGATGGCTAGGCGAAAGAGAGCAAGAAAATGGGGGCTGACATTCGGGCGTGACCAAGCTTCAAAGAAAGCAAGGCGTTTGACGTCTGGTCCGAGAACGCGACGGGGATGCTCCAGTGAGTCAGGTGGTTCTCTCTGAAACAAGAGCACTGTTGCGTGAAGTTTGCTAAAAACACACGCCCACAGGTTCGCAGTCTGGACAGCCCTCGAGGCGGAAGGTCTCGGTGCCAGCTTGCAGCACCACGTCTCGACGTACCCCGCCGTGGGACGGGCGCTGACGGAGCATCTCGCTCTGCCTTCTTCTTGGCAGGTCAGTGTGCCTTGAGACGTGCTACATCCGGAAAGAAGCTGACCAGGCCAACCAAAGCAGTGCACGGCCATGATGCCATTCGGCACGCCGGCCGGTCCGCCAGGACGGCCAGGAAAGGAAAAGCCGTTCAAGCCCATTAGAGATCGGGTCATCATCTTCAAGTAGAACATAGAGCAAAGAGGAAAGGGGGGGAAAGACCGTGATCAAATTCAAAAGAAATCAGAAGCGAGGGAGGTTTCGTACATTTGGCGAAGCGGTATCGACGAGGACATGGTATGAAGCAGAACAGCAGCCGGGAGGATTAGGATTCTTTAGGGCAGGCAGAGGTAATGAGGGGGCCGGAGGAGGGACCGGCCGGAGGGATTGGCGAGGGTGTCGGGCGGACGAGTGGCCGAGGGGCCGAGGAGTAGCACGGAAGCAAGGGATCGAGAGATCAGGCCTGGGGAGTGGTGGTAAAAGAAAAGGGGAAAAAAGAGAGACAAATCGATTGCAAAGCAAGAGCGATTAAGACTGCCTTCCGTAAGCGACGGCAGCGACAATGACAAGAAGGGTGAAGAGGGCGCTCACCCGAGAGAACATGCCACCGGACTCTTTACCAGTGTACACCTTTTCGGGCCTCTTGAAGCCAGGGCTGCGGCCAAGGAGCATGCGGAGCATCTTGAGGTTGCCATCGGTGTAGGGCGGGTACCGGCTTGCCATCAGCGCCTCGGTGATCTTGCCCAGGACGCCAGTGGCGGGTGCCGAGACCATGCATCGGGTGTGGGAGAAGGTGTCGAAGCCGGCGCGGCCGTGGTAGGCGCCGTATCCCGAAGGACCCGTGCCGCCAAAGGTGAGGGGCACCGTGTAGTGGAGCATGAGGTCGCCCTGGACGACGCCACCGCTGCGGGTGCGCTTGACGATGTGGTCCATGTTCTTGGCATTGACAAACGCATACAGGGCCAGTGGCTGGTCGTGGTCGTTGACGTAGTCGATGGCCTCTTCGATGTCCTTGACGACGAGGATGGGCAGGATAGGGCCAAAGATTTCGTCGCTCATCACCGAGTCACCGGGCTTGACGTCAGCTACGACGGTGGGCTCAAAGAAGCGGTCTGCCTCGTCGCGGTCGCCGCCGAGGACGATGCTGCCCTTTGTCTTGTCGATGAGACCCGAGAGGCGAGCAAAGTGGCGCTCGTTGATGATGCGGCCGTAGTCCTTGGACTTGCGGGGCGACTGGGGCCAGAACTCCTTCTGGACGCGCTTGAGGTGCTCCACGAGCTTGTCCTGGACCTGCTTTGTGCAGACAATGTAGTCGGGTGCGATGCACGTCTGGCCGCAGTTGATCGACTTGGCCCACAAGAGCCGGTGGGCAGCAATGTTGAAGTCGGCGTGCTCGTCGATGAACACGGGGCTCTTGCCGCCCAGCTCGAGTGTGGTGGGGCAGAGCCACTTGGCTGCCTTTTCGGCGACGATGCGGCCGACGTTGCCGTTGCCGGTGTAGAGAATGTGCTCCCACCGGAGGTCGAGCAGCTTCGTCGTCTCTGGAATGGCGCCGTTGATGATCCTCGACATGGAAGGGTCCATGTACTTTGGCCACAGCTCGGCCAAGAGCTTAGCCGAGTGGGCGGCCACCTCGGAAGGCTTGAGCACGGCCGTGTTGCCGGCCGCAAGCGCAGCAACGAGGGGGCCGACCTGGACAGAGATGGGGTAGTTCCACGCGCCCATGACGAGGACAGTGCCCTTGGGCTCCTTGATCTCCTTGGGCGCATGCATCGACCAGACGACGCCGAACCACTTGTTGTCAGCCTTGGCCCACTTTTCGATGTTTTCGTAGGCGTCGATGCACTCGTTGGCGCACAGCGTGATCTCGGCGAACACACTCTCGAACCGACAGCGGCCCAGGTCCTTGCCAATGGCATCTACGATGGCCTCCACATTGTCCTGTAGTTGATGAAGAGAGGAAGAAAAAAAAAAGCAAGGAAAAAAGAGGAAGAAGTGAGCTCAGCTTCATCCGAGAGAGAGAAAGAAAGGAGAGTATTTGCGGGAGGAAAAGCCAAACTACGCACGTTGAGGAGAAAGGACAACTGCTTAAGCTGGTGCTTGCGGAAGCCAATTTCGGCCGTCTTGCCCGTCTGGAAGCTGTCGCGCAGCTCCTTGTGAATCTGCTCGATCTCCTCGAGAGAGTTGTACTTCAGATCAGCGGGTGGGGCGGGCATTTTTGAGTACAGCAGGTCTTGCTCGTAATGTGAGGTAAAAGGAGGGTGAAGAGAAGGGGGATGGTGGTGATCAAAAGGGAAGAGCGACCGAGTGGCAAGAAGTAGTGTCCTCTTCTACTCCAGCAACTTGTGTAGTCTCTCAATGGGATGGAGACGGCCCTAGCGTCACTTTGACAATCGGTCTTCGCTAGCGCACTGATTGCCCGTGCCGGAGCCTAGCGGTTACGAACCTCGACCGGCCCATTCGAAAACCCGGGTCTTCTTTGCCAAAAAAAAAAAATGCTTCCCTCGTGCGGGGTTCGCTTGTCGGACACGCCATATGGATTTTCTTCTTGAACTGTGTGGAGGTGATTCTCGCTCCACGTGGCCAACCAGTGAGTCCGAGACAACTAAAAAAGGCCTCGATCCAATTAAATTGGGACCTCTCGTTTGGCCGTGGTGGGAGATTCGATTTGATGTGGGGACCTAGGCTTTATTTCCCCAGACCCGATTTTCGAGGCTGATTGTCCAGGGCCTCAATTTAACATTTTCAGTAGTAGTCAGTAGTAGTAGTCAGGTAGTAGTAGTGTAGCGATGTGGGATAGTGTATGTTTTACTACGACATTGTAAGCACCGCGGCACTGCTCCGAAAGTAGCAGCAGCAGTAGGCAAGGGCAGGGGCCCTTGCCAATTGCAGGACTTGAGATGGGAAATCGATTCCCAATCCTGCACATCATAGAGGCACGAAGTGGGAGGTGTTCTGAGTACTCCACCGAGGCAGTCGATCCCTTACCAACGCCAGCCACGTCCCGCGTCCCCTCTTTCCGTCCGCCAAAGCCCCTACCGGATCATTTAGGAGCCAGATGAGGAGCGGAGACTCGCCCAGCATCAGCGGCGCAAGCAGCAGCGGCCGTTCTTCAGAAGAAGCGGCGAGCACAAACGACAGAAAGCGTCCATCTCCACAGTCCTCCACGTCGCCGTCGCAGCAGCAGCAACCGCAACAAAATGGAAAGACAAAGCGCAGCCGCAACTCGAGGGCGTGCACATGGTGCCAGCGACTCAAGATGAAGTGCTCTGCGCCCGACGAAGGCCCCTGCGAGCGATGCAAGAGGACCGGGCACGAGTGCATCGTAGTCGAAAGGGCCTGTCGCAGGCCATGGACGAGGAAGAAGGACATGCAGATCCAGCAGCTCACCGACCGCATTCGCGACATGGAGCAAGTCTTCAAGGCGTCTTCGATCCTCACCATGCCTGGAGACATCAAGCCCGCTCCTGGCTTTTCCCTCGAGGCCACCGACGCTACAACAGCAGCGCTGGCACCGACGGCGGCGGCGACGACGACATCAACAACAACAACAACTATGGCAGGCGTGCCGGCGATGGCACCGGTGGCGGCAACAGCGGGAGGAGCAGACTCCCTCGATGCAGCCTCTTCGATCCTCAACGGCCAACTTGATCTCGACCCTTCCTCGTCCTCTGCCTTGGCACCTATGAGCGAGATTCCCGTTGGCAGCAACGACCACCTGTCGACGTTGCCCTTCGTCTCGACGGGCTGCATCACAGCTCAAGAGGGCGTCGAGCTGTTCAACCTCTTTATGCGCCGATGCGCCTTCCAGACCGTCATGCTCGACCCATCGTACCACACAGTAGATCACGTCAGCCAATCCTCGCCCTTCCTCTGGGCATGCATCGTCTACCTTGCCGCGACCTACGCCACTGCCAGACCGACGCTGCGGGACGAGCTGCAGCCCGAGATGGACTGGTTTGTCGGTTGGGCCGTGACGAGTGGAGAAAAGAAGGTGGAAGTGGTGCAGGGCTTCCTCCTGCTCTACTTCTGGAATCGACCGGCAGCGGACCCGACCATGGACCGTGCGTGGCTGTATGCGGGCATCGGCATTCGCATGGCAACCGAGCTCGGCACTGGCGGCCAGGGCATCTCAGATGCTGAACGTCTCAATCGAGAGCGGACGTGGCTCATGACTTTCTTGGTCGATCGTTCCTTGTCGATGGGTGCCGGTCGTCCTTGGACGATTCGATCTGACACGACACTGATCAGGGACTCGGACAGCTGGTGCCAACAACCGCAGTGTCAGATTTGGGACCTGGGCATTTCTGCCCTCGCCGATCTGCTCAAGTTGACATCTCGGCAGGTCGACGTTCTGTCCTCGTCGTCCAAGACCTGGGCTTCCTCCGCTCTTGGTGGAGTCAGCAACTCCTCCTCGGTCGATTTCGACTGCGAGACGATGATGCGCATCTACAACGACGAGCTCGAAAATTACCGTCGAACGTGGGAGCAGCGGGGCTTCTTTTCGTCGCCCCAACAGAGCACTTCCCCTGACGACGACATTCACCTCTTTACAATGCACTACGTTACGAAGCAGGCAACGCTGCGGTACAACTATGCCGTCTTGGTCCTCAACTCCTACGGTCTCCAGTACTGCGCATTGAACCCATCCAAAAGCCCGCCAGTGCAGTCCATCTGTCTGCCCAGTGCTATCTCCGCCTCCAAGAACATTCTCAAGGCCGCTATTGACGGCCTAGGACAGTGGCTAGCGTATGCGCCTCACACGATACTCAGCCTCGTGGGCTACGGCGCCGTGCTACTCGTCAAACTTGCTCGCTTCACCAGTGATGCCGTTCTGCGGCAGCGGCTCTTGACCGACGTTGAGGAGGCAGTCGACTTTCTCGACAAGGTTGCGCTGGGTCCCAAGCACAAGCCGGCCCGCTTGGCATCCATGATTCGCGCCGTGCTCTCGTCCAAGACTCCAAACGAGGATCGGGCGGCTTATCCACCTGGCATGGAGGTTCGCGGCTGGCCCGTGCAATCTTCGAGGGCGGCAAGTCCGAGCTTGCAGCACTCGGTACAACAGCACTCGATGCAGTCGCAAGAGCAACACCACCAACAGCCATCTTCCAACACCTCCGTTGCAGCCAAGACCAATGGTGGCGGAGGCATGAGCGCGCCTTTTGCTGCAACGGGCACTGGCATGGAATGTTCACCCCTGACAGAGGAGAGTGACTCGCTTGCCTCTCTAGGACTGGCCTTTGGAGACAGCGCTGGAGGTTGCGCGGCCGCCTGGACATTGCCCTTCTCGCCAAACGAGCTCTTCGACGAGTCCTTCTGGATCAAGGTTCCCGAAAATTAAGATAATATAAGCTACGCCGATATCATCTTCCAGTGTGTCACATACGTCTTTGGATCTCCCTTTGGTCTCGTACACTCTGTTCACGGTCAGGCTTCTTGCGCCATGTATGTTTCTGATCGGTCTCTGAATGTATTTAACAAAACGTAATGCATCACCAAGCATTATTCACTATTATCGCTCGAATCGAGCTGCTGGAAAAGAGTCGGCAAACAACGACAGAAAGAGAAAGCTTAGAGCTTGCTCGACTTTGCGGCTGTCTCCTGTTCAAGGATCTTGCGGACCTCCTTTCTCAAGACTTTTCCGCTTGGCGATACGGGGATGAGTTCAAGGACCCTAACGCCACCCCTGAGTTGCTTGAACGAGGCCACCCGCGACTTGATGAAATCTGACACGTCCTGAGCGACTGCGTTTGCGTTGTTCTTTTTAGATGGATCTCGCAGCTGGATGTAGGCCCGAGGGAGCTCCGTAGCTTGCTTCTTGTCGTACATGCCCACAACTGCGGCGGCGAGGACGTCCTTGTGCTGCAGGAGCACACCTTCGAGCTCGGCAGGCGCGACCTGGAAGCCCTTGTATTTGATGAGCTCCTTCTTACGGTCCACAATGCTGAATTCGCCCCTGTCGTCGACAATCACGACATCGCCCGTTTTCAGCCAGCCGTCGCTGGTAAAAGTGGAGTCATTGGCTTCCTTGTTGGCATAGTAGCCCTTGGTGATATTTCGCCCTCGAAGCAGCAGCTCCCCACGCTCGCCTTGAGGCACGTCTGCGTTGTCATCATCTGCTACGCGGCACTGACAAAAGAGAGACGTTAGTATGTAAGGTCAAGAAGTGCGAGCGATTCAGCAACACACCTCGACACCCGGGACAGGCCAGCCCACGGTCCCTTTGCGCTGTCCCCGTTGCAGTCCGAGGGCGGCAACGGTGGTCTCGCTCATGCCATACCCCTGCATGAGGGGCATGCCCAACTTGTCCTCGATGACTTGTTCCAGCTCGGCGTCCAAAGGCGCTGCGCCCACAGACACCCACTTGAGTGATCCAAGATGGTCCTTGTCGCCCTTTGGACATTCCGACAGGGCTTTGAGGATGGGAGGCACTGACGACATGCATTCGATCTTGTACTCCTTGACGGCTTCGCACAGGGCATTTGGAGCAAACGGCATCACGTACACGGTTGCTTTCATCCAACTGTGGCACAGAAGGTACTGAAGTAAGCTTCTGCTTCCTTTGTAGCGCCGAATGGCTTATGGCTCGTCAACTCACACGCTCAGGTGACAGCTTTTGATGAGGGCCAGCGCATGGAAGAAGGGCAGACAAACGAGTGTCGACATCGGTTTCGGGTACAGATCTGGGACGGCCTTGAGAGCGAAGAGCATCGACACAACGTTTCGATGGGTGATCTCGATGGCCTTAGGAAGTCCGGTCGTCCCAGAGCTCCATGGCAGGTAGAGGGTGTCGTCGAGCGACTTTGGTGCGACGGGCTTTGCCCTCTTGGCCTCGTCTGGCGAGGCGAGAAGCCTCTTTGCTGCGACAGTGCTGTAGCCGAGTTCCGTGTCCATGAGCACAACAGTGTTCCAAGGGAGCCCGCCTCGGGTAATCGTCTTTAGCATCGAGCCGATGGTGAAGATCTTCTTTGGCTTCAGCGCATGATAGACATGTCGAAGCTCTGCACGGAGATAATTGGGATTGGCAAACGAAACGCGGAGTCCAGCAAAGACGGAGGCGAGAAGGGCCAAGGCAAAGTCGATGCCACTAGGTAGGACGATGAGGACAACGTCCCCAGGCTTAAGGCCGACTTTGTTGATCAGTCCGAGGCCCAGCTGCTGTGCCTGGAGCCTGAGCTGGCCGAAGCTGTGCGTATGATTTGGTACATGAGCATAAGTCATACGTCTGTCTATACGACAGAGCAATTCGAGAAAGAGGAGCTCACGTAATCTTCCTGTTGCGCTTGCTGATCTCATGGAAAGCTAGGCGCTCATCATCGAACGAGGTATCTCCGAGGACGAAGTCGTACACGGGCACCTCGGGGACCTTGGGCACGGGGACCTTGGAAGTGTAAACCCTCCGCCCGTCAATGTTGTTCACTGTCGTCATGTTGCCCCAGCTCCTCTCCTATTCCGTGCTCTCACTGAATCTTGCGCTGGCGAAGGACAAGATCTGGTCGCTATGAGGACCGAGAGATCAGACAAAGAGAACAAACAGAGATCCAGAATCACTTGCGATGCGCCTACGCGGTGGAGGAAGCATTAAATATGTGGGGGAAGAACGGTTAGACCAAGATGCATAAATCTTGGTGGGGTGCCCGGTAACGGTCAACGCGTTGCCGGCTCCAATTCCGGTCCTAGCTTGGTCCCGAATCGAAGAAGAAGATAGAGAGGCTAGGACGAGGCTAATTATCCCCGCAGCCCGGAGAGCGGGTAGTGTCCAAATGGTTATACGGCCTTCTTCTGAAGCCGGGGCCTCGCTCTGACGTGCCCATTTAAGCCCGTCCTGCTAAGCTCCCCTCTTACCACCCCTGTAAGCCCTGACACCACTGCACGAAACGACCGAAAAGACCAAAGAAAGAAAGAAAGCACCTCTTCTTAGATAGTCGACACCATGCCACTCATTCAAGGTTTCTCCATCGACACCATTGTCAACCTGGCAAAGGCCACTGTCCTCAACCCGCTCGCCCTCATCGTTTTCCTGGGCTACAAGGCTCGCGAGGCAGATGGATGGCCCGAGCGCACTGGCCTCGTCACGACCGCCTATGCTTTCCTGAGCATCTACGCTACGACTTGGCTTAGCAACAGGTGGAGGAACGGCCTGATCCCCCAGCGCCGGCTCAACAGCAAGACATGGCCAAACGAGATTGTCCTCGTCACCGGCGGTGCTCAAGGTGAGTTGCCTCGGCATTATGTGTGTGGGGCAAGGCTACGATACTGAGCCTCTTCTGTTTTTTGAAAGGTATTGCCAAGAGCCTGAGCGAAAAGCTCGCCGCAAAGGGCGCAAACGTGGCCGCCCTCGACATCGTCGACTTCAAGAGCAGCCACCCGAACATCAAGGCGTACAAGTGCGACATTTCCAACTACGACGACCTCAAGAGGATCCGAAGCCAGATCGAAAAGGACTTTGGGGGCCATGTCACCATGGTCGCCAACGTCGCTGGCCTCAACAACAAGTCGCTCATTCTCGATCTCACACCAGAACGGGTGTCGCGGATGATTGACGTCAACCTCAAGAGCCGTGAGTCTCTCTGACCCCTTGGCCCATCGGTTCTTTTTTTTTCCATCGCATGCTGACTGTGGTAATTCATTCCCGGCCATAGACTTCTGGACGGCTATGCTCTTCCTGCCGGCCATGGTCAAGGCCAAGCGAGGTCACTTTATGAGCGTCGCCTCCACCATGGGTTTCGTCGGCATCTGCCACCAGTCCGATTACGTGGCCACCAAGCATGCCCTCGTTGGAATGCACGAAAGTGTAAGTGTTCGACCTTGGCAATAGTAACGGATATATTTGGCGGTAAAAGCTGACGCTGCTGCTCTTCTAGCTCCACTATGAGATGCAAAAGATGTACAAGACACCAAAAGTGCGCATGTCGACGGCCATCATTGGACACACCAAGACAGGTCTCTTCGAGGACTTTGATGTTGGTCCCCTTGGCCGATTCCTCGGCCCCAAGCTCGAGCCATCGGACGTGGCCGACCAGATGCTGGACGCCTTCGAGTCGCAGGATGGCAAGATGATCCTGACGCCGTTCATGAACAACCTCACGCCCAGCATCAAGGCCCACCCTTGGTTCACCCGCGACCTCATCCAGGCTGCTGCAGGTGGCGACGGCTCCTACCCCTCGCGGCCCTCGGCCTCACAGCTGGCTTCGTCCGCCTAAGGCTAATCGCACCTCTTCCCTCTCGGTTGTCACAGTATCCTTCCTCTCTTCCTCCCTGTCCCGTCTTCCAAATCCACCTGGCATGATATCCCGTCCTGGTTTTGCGTTCTGATAGTAATCAAACGCTCTTTTTCTCCACAAGTTTGGTCATTGGGCGACAGGCGCGCAGGTGGATAGAGGAAGCAATCTCTAGACGATCCTTGCCATCGTTGCTCGCTCCCTCTCTGCTTGCCCTTGATTACCCGCACTACCAGACCCCTTTGCTGGCAATGGCGTGTCTTTTGGCTTCGTGTCCTCCTCGTGAAAGCCCAAGTTCGACATCTCATCCTTTTCCATCAGCCCGCTGACAGCCCCACACAGATCAGCAAAACGGAATTGCTCCAGTCCATGTGGGGGCAGACGGCCAAGCTTTCTAGACCCACCTGTCCATGCGACACTGGAGATAGGCTTTGCTCAGGTGCCTGCACTGCCCATTGTCGTTCTTGCTCGCTTTCATACACTTGAGGTACGCCATCATGGCCGCTTTGCATTCGCCTGTTGATTAATAGCATCCTCGCCGCTTCGTCAGACTGTAAAGTTCGAGAGTGGCGCTTTTCACTTACCATCGTGGTCTAGCGGAAACGAGCCCCGGTCCGGCGGCGTGGGGCTGAACGTCGAAAACGTGGGCGGTCGACCGAAGGACATGTCCTGCGTAAGCCTCCTTTTCCCGGTGAAGACAAGAGAGGAGGATCTTGGTTGATGAGACCAATTCTGGTAAGTTCCGGGAGTCGGACTTTCGCGCCTTTTTTTTTTTTTTTTTTTTTTTTTTTTTTTTCTTGGTTGGCCCGACCTGTCTTCCTTAGCTTGAAGTCTATTGCGCTCTTGAGCGATACGACGACAACACAATCGAAACGCTGCTTCAATTTGGGAAGAAGTAATAGGCTGTTTGAATATCGCCCGTCATGACTGGCGTCGGAACGAAGCGTGAGAGCTGGCTAACGCAGCTGTGTTGACCCGAAAAGAGGCGAAGGCATCCCCTGGTCGATCAGTCAGTGGCAGTGTTGCGGAATAAGAAAAGCCTTGGCACTAAGTATTGGGTTGGTTACCTAGAAAGCAGAATAGTCCCCTGGCTATTAATAAGTTCTCCACCTTCCCACTTCCTTTTTGGCTCAACAACCCCTTTCTGGGTCCTATAATCGATGAAGAAGACTGCTACACCGACAGCATCTTCCTACCCTCCCGACGCGTCCAACACGACGACGAACCTTCCCACACTGGAGAACGGTGCCGGCAAACGCGTTCAAGGCCAGCAAAGCAGCAACGACGCCGCCGCCGCTACCCGATCCTCGGCCGCCGTCGCCGCCAAGATGCAATCCGGGATCGCATCGCAGATCATCGCGCCTGCCACGGACTGGTACAGCCAGATCCAGCGACGACGAACGCACATGTCTGCTTCGAGGCGCAACGAAGGGACCGCACGGACCTTTTGGAAGATTGTCGCCTCGTATTCGCTCGATTGGGTCATGACCTTTCTCCTTGCCGGCTTATTGGCCCTGATCAATGATGTCTATGGCTTCCGACGCGAGTTCAGCCTGACCGACACCTCGATTCAGCACACCTTTGCCACCTCGGAGCGCGTTCCGGTCTGGCTCCTCGTCGTGCTGGCTGTCATTGTGCCAATTGTGATCCTCGCCATCGTCTCGCTCGGCGTCACGCGAAGCGTCTGGGACTTTCATGCGAGCCTGCTCTCATTCATCCTCACGCATGCCATCGTCGTGACGGCCACCACGATGCTCAAGGTCACCGTGGGTCGGCCGCGACCAGACCTGATCGACCGCTGCCAGCCGGCGGCCGGGAGCACAAATCGGACACCGTACGGACTGGCGACGCAATCCGTCTGCACGGTCGCGCTCGACTCGAGCAAGCTCCGCGATGGCTTCCGTTCCTTTCCCTCGGGCCATTCGTCGACGGCCTTTGCGGGCCTCACTTTTCTTTCCCTCTACCTGGCTGGCAAGCTGCACCTGGCGCACCGGACGCGCGCACACGCCGCCACGCAGTGGATCGTCTTCTTTCCCATGATTGGCGCTGCCCTCATTGCCGTGAGCCGGACGATGGACTACCGGCACCACGCCACCGACGTCATTGCCGGCAGCATCCTCGGAGCAATCGTCGCCTTTGTCACTTACTTTTTCTATTTCCCCCCACTCCGGCACCGAGACTCGCACAAGCCCTGGGCCCCACGAACCAGTGGCCTATACCACGATGGTGCCGACAACGAGTACGATGAGGCTGGTGATGCCCTGCAGACGGACCTCGACGACATCGAGCGAAACCCTCTGGCCCGCAATGACGAGCACTCGCATCACCAGGCGCAGATCAATCCGCAACAGCAGGAGCAACCGACGGCACAGCAGAACACCTCGCCTTACTCATAGGTAGGATGACCTTGTAAATCCTCCCCTCCCCTCCTCTCCCTCTTTTAATCGCACGTCTCGCCGAGCAATATTCAGCAAAAGCAAGAAACAAATAGTAGTAATTGTCATTTGTTTATCAACCTGTCAACAGCGTTAAGCAAACCGAGTATCACCAACGAGAACACAGAAAAGGGCGAGGGTGGGAGCGCGGCAGGTCACTGCCTATCTAGGAGACCAACAAAACAGAGAAAGAAACAGAGAGGGAGAGACACACTACTACTAGCAATACGTATGGGGATACATGGGTCGGAGGGCAACGTTCCTTTGCGTCTGTCAGTCTTGCATTGCATCGTCCACCACTTCGTCCTCCTCTTCCTCAGCGCTGCCGGACTGTACTTGACTTTGATTTTCTCGAGCCTGCTCGTCGTCGTCGTCGTCATCCTCTTCACCATCGCTTCTCCTCATTTTTCTCCGCTCCCGGCTCTCGTCTTCATCGTCGTCTTCCTCGCGCAGAATGCGACCATCCGCGGTAGCTCCTCTCCTGGGATCTGCTCTTCCTCGACCCCTTCTTCGCGTCTCCGATTGCTCCTCGTCGAACATGCCTCCGTCCTGCGCCTGGACATCGTCCTCATCATCACCGAGATCTCTATTTTCGTCAAGCGCCTTTCTCTCTTCCTCTGCGTCGACCCCTACGTCCTTTTCCTCTTCGGCCCGTCGTCCTCGTCGCCTGTCGGCGTCGTCTTCGTCAGGTCTCGGCACACCGAGCCTCCTCTCCAGCTCTCTGCATCTTCCTTCGAGATCATGGACCCTGGCCTCCCACACATCCCTCTCCTCCTTGAGCCTCCGGTCAACGGAAAGCTCCAGAACGCGGCTAGAGCGCTGAAGAGTCTGAAGGAGTGTGTTTGATCGACGAACCTGGTCCTCCAGCGTAGCTTTGAGCGTCCTGCTGTCCGAAAGCGAGTCGTAGAAATTGGCAAAGAGGGATAGAAATTGCGTCTTGGAGGAAGGTGGCGAACGAAGATGCTCCGGTAGCCGCGCAGTCGGTGGAGGGTTCAGCCCAGCAGTACGAGGGGGCACCGAATGGTTCTGCGGTATGCCAGGAGGGCCGCCTCCGCGCATAAAATGCGTCGTGTGGTAGGCCGGAGAAGGCAGTGTTGCTGTCTGGGGAACAAAGGCTCGGGCAGACGTGGGAGCACCTTGATGGACAGGCCGAGCAGAGGGCGGCGGCGGGGCGGGACCAGCCTGCGGAGGCGGCCCTTGCTGGTGATGATGTGCCTGCGGCGGCGGAGGGGGAGGATGGCCTTGAGAGTGCGCACCTGGAGGGGGAGGTCCGCGCAGGGGAGGCGAGATGTAGCCGCCCCGCTCGTCGACAAAGTGGCCAGGCGGGGGTCCCGGCTGTCTTGAGTAGCCACCATGGGCAGGAGCAGGATGGTACCTCGGCGGAGGAGGCTCGCCGCGAGGATCAAAGGGCGGCGCATCGCCGCCTCGGTCAGAAAAGGTCATCTTTTGTGGCGGTGCGCTCTTGGCCACCGTTGTGGCCCTTCCCGGCGAGGGCTGGTACGTGGACGACTGCCTCGAGGGAGGCGCATCGCCGGCTGCGGCTGAACCCGTATCGATGTGTAGTCGGCTTGCCTTTGCCTGAGCGGCGTCGCCTCTCCGCCGAGCCAGAGGCACGCCTGCGTCGTACTCGCCGTCCATGAGCGATGGTCGGCGCTGCTCCGAAGACGAGGGGTGGGGTAGCGGCGGCGGTCCTTCGGCGGGGGAATAGCGACCGTTGCTGGGCCGTGGGGCACGCATGTACCGCATGTCCTCGTGCTCCTCGCCTCCGTACTCGTAATCGCCCACAGCACCAGTACCTGGCGGTGGAGGTTGGTATCGCTCCTCAACTCGTCTACGCTTGGCATCCTCGTCATAGGGCGAAGAATAAGCCGGGTGGCCTCCGTTGCGGCCAAGTCGAGACCCAGGCGAGGCGCGGACGTCCTCATGAGGAGGAATGCGCGCCGAGCTCGCTCGAGGTTGCGGCGAATGGTGACTGGGGCTGCTGATGCTGCTTTCGTTAGCTTTCCACGCATCTCTTTCGCCCAGCTCCCCAGTGCAAAGAAGAATTCTCACCTTCCGTAGCGAATCCCTTCGTCGCGCTCTTCGAGCCGCCTTTTGATGCTGCCGCTACCCTGACTACCGGCGTCCGCCATACCACTCCTCGACCTCGGCGAATCTCTCGCGTCTTCGTACAACTTTCGATCACCTGGCGCAGCCGATGGGCCCGAAGCTGTCCCTTGAGGACCGGAGCCGGGTGTAGTGCCCGAGGAGACAGCGGTTTGTGCTGTTGCCATTGCCTGTCGCTGTCTACGCGAGGTAGTCGAAACGAGAAGAAGAAAGAGTAGGAGAACGAGGAAGAGGGAAGGGAGAGAAGGAGAAAAGATGGGAGGAATCAGCAAAAGAAAGCCGTCTCATGGTCGTCGCTCAACCTATTTAGCCCTCTGTCTCACCTGACGGCTGGGTCCGAAAGCAATAAAAGCCCGTCAGCCCAGGGAGGGGAAACGCCCTCGGGGCTGTTTAAAGTGCGACGGCGGGCTGCTGATGAGGCTGTGTCTCTTTTGCGAGCGCGGCTTTTCTATCGCCGAAATTTGCGCCCTGGTTGACGTGGGGGACAAGTGCGTGCGCCTCTTGCTTCAGACGGCGGCGGCGATAATGATGCTGATGACGATGGTGAGAGACGGCGTTTGAAGCAGCACGACTTCGTTTGCGTCTCCGCCGCGCTGACCAAAGGCCACGTGGAAGGGCGTCACTTGTGTCCGCGAATGGAAAGTAGGCCCGCGTGCAAGCAGGCTTGGAAAAGAGAGGGGCGAGAAGTCGGGGAATTTCCAATGCGGCACGAAGCAAGAGACAAAGAGGAGCAAGGTACGGAGAGAGGGAAAGAGAGGAAGGGCGCTGACGAGGGCGAGGGCGAGACGGATGGGGACGGAGAAGTGGTAAGTAGTAGAGGGCTGAATTGGCCCACTCGCACCAAAAAAGGAAGGGTAAGCGCGCGGCCGGCGTTGAACTTTTTCCCTTTGCCCTCTTTTTTCTTTTTCCCTCAAATTACAATTTTACGTGGCGAGTCCTGCGCTAGCTACGGGCGGACTAGCTGAGCGTCGGCAGACGCATCCCAGCAGTGTTCTCTTTGGACTTGCGACTAGCTTTGTAGGCAGGCCTCGAGGTGCATGACCTTCGGAGACCTCACAAGATCCAGTGGCTACTTTTTAGGGTATAGTCTCTACGATAGGCGGACATAGAAGAACCTCTCGCTCCACTTTCCACCGATCCATCCTTTTAGTCTGCTTCAATCGCTCAACGTGAGAGGCGATGGGGAGTCACATCGCTGTCTTATTACTGCTCTGGCCGTGGCTATTAGCAAAACACTGGAAGAGTGCGGACCAGGAAATGAAGTACTATCAAATGGCACGATCCCCCGCTCTTGATGCCGTCTGGGCTTCATTACGTCGGCTCGCTTCTCAAGGGGGCCGCTCGTCAATTGACAGTCCTGTGCCGATGAGGCAGGCGTCTATGCGCAAACGGAAGCAAAAAAGAAAGCAGGGGGGGTTCAGGATTATATTTGCTAGTCCGCGATCGGATAAAACAGTAGGCACAATCGTAGGGCGCAAGCCACCTAGCCAAAGCTCCGCAGTGCGATCGACTTGGCTTCTTGTTGCTGCTGCTGTTGCTGAGACTGCTGTTGCTGCGAGGAGGATCTGCTGGCAGACGGCCTCGCCTGGACGGCGCCTCGCAGACTCCTCTCCAGCTGTGCCCTGGTCTCTGCGTCCATCCGGCTTGCCACAAGCCTGAATGCAACCTGATCGAGCGTGGCCAAAGCCAACACATGTTGAGAAATGGAGCTGTTGCTGCCCTTTCCGTCCTTTGCCATGAGTACGAGGCAGGGCAGGACAATCCCGAGAAGCCGTGGCCTGGTGAAGCTCTCGGCTTGTGAAGAGACCAGACCGACGAGCGCCTTGACGAGCTCCTCCCTAATACTGTCCTCTGCAGCCTCCGACTCCTTCACTTCCTCGTCTGTGCTGGGCTTTGGCTTGGTATCCGATGGCGATGACGCCAGGAAAGCCACAACACCGGGTAGGAGTTGGCCGACGCAATATCGCAGCCATGGGGCCGTACCAACGGGCCTAGTGAAGATTGTCCGTAGGCAATTGAGCGAAGTGCTTCTGACAATCGTGTCCGGCGACGTCGTGGCAGCGTAGAGCAGCTGATAACAGAACTGTTCCAAGACCGGTTTACTGACCGTCACCCTGGATGGTCCAGAACAAGATTCCGGAAGAGAGGTGAGGACGACGGTGACTGCCAAGATTGAGTTCTTCGTCTTGAGCGTTGCAATCTTTCCTGATCGTGCCCTCATCTCATCGACTCCGTCGACGGCAGATGACAAGAAGCCGTGCAAGGTTCTCCGAACAAGGCTGTAAGACTCTTCGTTGTCCATCTCGCCTGCCAAGGTGGCAGCTCGCTGGCAAAGCTCCTTGAGAGAAGCCAAGCTGGTCCCAACGAGATCCGCATCACTCTTCTCGTCACGGAGCATCTGCGAGTAAGCCTGGAAAGCCAATGCATACAGCTCAATCCTTTGTCCTCGCGAGAAGATGGTTGCTGCGAGATCGAGATAGGCCGACAGGCACGTCCTTGCCAAAGCTGCCTTGTCATCAGAAGCCGAGGCTGTCAAGAAAGGCTTGCCAGCATTCTCGAGGGCGTACAGGATGAGCTCCAAACACCTGGTCGCCTTTGCTGTTTCAGGAAAGCCAATGCCGCTGCTGCTGTTCATCGGCTCGGCCTGTGCATCGAGGAGCCGCTGCCCGTAGCTGGAGCACAGTGCTGCGATGAGGTCCACGACTCTGATCTGGACCAGAGCCGGTTCCGACATGACGAGGCGGTAGGCGAGATTGAGAAGCTCGCCGAAGACATCATCTTGCAGCAGTGCTGACCCAGCGTACTTTGCCGCAATAAGGTGACGCATTGCTAGGAGTGCAATTCCAACAACTGCTGGCCCGCCGCTGCCGCCTCCTCGAGAGGCCATGGATTCGAATGCGAGGCCATAAAGGGCGTAGAAATGGATCCGGGGGTCGTTTCGAAACGAGGAGGTGGTGTCCTCTCCCTTGCCCTTGGCGACCTCTTCTCCTGGCGCTGCGCCGTCAAGGGCGGCAATGACGGAGCTGTCATCTTTGGCCATCAAGGCAGCAACTGCGTGGAGAAGCTTGTACCAAGCCTGGTCAAAGTGGGGAAGCAAGACCTGCCTCGTAAGACCAGAGTATTGCGAGTCCTCCTGGCCTTGAATGACAAATGGAGCAGCCGTGACAATAGCCACGCCCTCGGCGTCGTTTCGCAAGCGCGCGTATTCTGCCAAGCTCGCCACCCACGCCCTGGCCAAGTCGTCGACATGCGGACCGATGACGGCGACGAGGTACTCCTGACCGACGCTGGCCACTTGCAACTCGCTCCACGCGGCCAATACAGCGATTCGCAGCATCGACACAGCATTCTTGGCTAGCCCCTTGACGTCGCCCAGACCATCCATGCTCGGCTTCAGGCAGCTGTCCAGGGCTGACGTGAGCTGGCGCAGAATCCGCCCTAGCTTGTCCACTTCCTTGACGACGCCAGAGCCCACAAAGACAGCACAGACCTGAACGGCGGCGGCAAGGACCTCTGGCGTGCTGTCACTGAGAAATGCTGGGGTGAGAGCAGCGGCGATGGGAGCTTGATGCTGCTCCAGCAGGAGTGCTTCTTGAAAGTCGGGGTCTCGAGCCGCTTTGAAGTTGTCGATCACGTCCCTGAGCACTGTCAGACCCTCGAGGCGCACCTCGACATTGGGTGCCGTGCTAGCTGTGAAAGCCATCCTGATTAGATCAGCCACCCGTGCGCTCATCTGCTGGCCCGTCCTCGTCGGCCCTGAGGTCACTTTCGGCGTGTCGAAATGCTCCAGTCGACCAGAGAGTCGGACAGAGACAAAGACTTCGTGCAGGCACTGGAGCGCGAAAAGCTGAGTCCTCCATCGAGAAGGTTGGGCACCGGCCCTTGTCGATGTCCCACCCAGATTGATGGCCGCCGACTCTTCGTCTTGGAACCCTTGAGCCTTTGCATCATTGCCTGTACCGGCGGCTGCCATTCCGCCACCGATCTCATTCGCAGACGAAGTCCTGCTCATGATGCGCTGGCATAGGTCAATCCAGCCTCCAGGGCTCAACGCGGCCGTTTGCTTCAACCAGCTGAGAAGAACTTCTCTCACGCCATCCATGCCAGGCTCCTTGTCGAGCTGACCAAACAGATCCTCGACCAGGCCGTCTCCTCCGACTTTCGACACGGTCAAAGCCTGCCTTTGGATCAATTGGTACAGCGCATTGACGGCGGCCACCTTTAAGGGACGCTTGGCGTGGCGGATATGACTCCTCAGGGCCGAGATCCACTCAACGACATCGACGTGTTGTTGCGAAAAGAGAGCCAGGGTCTGGCGGGCCTTTGTCGCCTCAACCACAACGCCGTCATCTGACTCCTCCTTGGACAGCTCCGACAAGAGAACCTGGATCAGGCTTCGAATCTTTGCTGAGCTAGATTCAGCCAGATCGGGACCCAAAACGGCCGTGATGGCGCCTAGAACACGACAAATGGCTTGATGAGCCGGAAGGTCGGCGCGAAGGTTGACGGAGCCTGGGCTTCCCCCTTCGGGCTCATGTGTCGAGAGCATGTAGAGACGAGCGAGCATTCCCAGCGTGCTCGAGACAAAGGCGCTGTAGCTCAGACTTGCGGCCTCGACGACCATCGTGAGGGCTTCCAGGGCGGAATAGTGAACCGTGGGGTGTGGATCGTTGGATAAAGAAAGGAGAACATCGACAACCGTCTTTGTCAGCGGTCCCGCAGCGAGACCGCCAACGGAGCTGTAGACGGCCCCGAAGGCGCGAGCACATCCGGCTCTCGCCTCTGGATCGCGGTTGTTGACGACCTGATCGACGAGAAATTGGACCTGGCTCGACATGCAGTGAGGACCGGCAATGGCAGCCAGCCTGCCAAAGGCTTCGCTGGCGGTAAAGCGGAGCCATGGGTCTCCCTGCACCAATGCATCTTGCAGCAGCTCTCTCAGAGCCGTCGTCAGGCGATCGTTGTTGAAACCTGAGGGCGATCTCTTTCCGCTCTGAGCGATGCGCAACGTTGCAAGGACAGCAGTGCAGGCGTTGATGCGTATTGCCATCCGTCTTCCAGGGTTCTTGTCCAGTCGCTGAGTCCTCGTGTGGGACAAGAGCGCCTCGATGGCAAAGATCTGCGTTTCTCTCCTCTGAAATGGGACTAGAGCGGCCAGGAGCTCAATGGAAGCGTCGACAACGCCCGTTGCAGGTGGCGGAGGCAATCGAGATCGTTGCACGTAGACGTTCGAGGCGTCATACTCGGCCGCGCGCATGATCGGACGGCGACCCAAGGCATCGAGCTGGGCCTCAATGGCATCCCGATTGAGACCAGAGGTTTCGGTGTCAATGTCGGAATCACTGCCACTTGCCCTGACGAGGCATTCGCCGTCCCTCTGCAGGCTCGTGAGGCCAAAGGCATAGCCGTCCGTCAATGCCCACACCGTAGAGAAGTTGCCTGCGCTGGCAGCAATGGCAGCCTGGGCTGCGCTTCCAACGTATCTGTCAGGCTCGGCCATGTTTTGGATGCAGGCAACGACCAGACTGTCTTGCATCCCTTCCAAGGCCGGCGATGCAGCCAAGAGATTGAAGCACTGGAGCACCCTCCTCCTCACCATGTGCTCGCGATCCAAGAGCGAGATAGAGCTCCTCTCAACGCCGGGCACCTGTTCTTGGGCGAGGTGGGAATGCGTCGACGTGAAGGAGTTGACAAATGAAAGGGCGTTCGTGAGCATGGCCACAATCCTTCGCGCAGTGTCGAGGGTCAGAGCCGAGTCGGACGACGATGTGTTGTGGGAGAGAAAGGAGTAGATGGATGTGAGGGTGCATTCTCGAACGTGGAGGAGAAACCCCCATTCGTTCTCCGATCTAGGCGTCTGCGAAGAGGCCCCTCCATCCTTTGGCAGGGCGCTGCGCCACATGTTGAGTAGCTGATTGAGGTGATGTCGGGCAAAGTTGGGTCCGAGCGACATGAGGGCGCCAATCAGCGTCCAGGCGACTTCGATCTCGACAGCCGAGATGGCGAGACTGTGCTCTGCGCTTTCCTTGAGCAATCGAATTGACAGCTCGAGAGCTTGCCCGCTCACGTCAAAGGACGTGTACAACGGTCGCAATGGCACGACGCTCAGAGCTGCAGCCAGTCCCCTCGCATGGCCCGTCGTTCGCCTTGGCACCTCTGCTCCCGCACGCTCGCCAGCATTGTTGAGCGATGCCAGGTCTTTCTCGATGAGGCCAAAGAGCGCTTTGATGGCTGGACCGAGCTCCAGCGGGCTGATTAAGCACAGAGTGCGAAGACACCACGCTGCGCTGACTTGAACCCGGTAGCTTGGATGTCCCAGGAGCCGGAGCAGAGGATCATGGATAGCCTCAATCACTTGGGACGGTGCACTCCCCAGCTGCTGGAGCAGACCTGCACATTCGTCCAGACCCATAGCCAGCGCCACTTTTGACGGGCTGCTCTGTCCTGGAGTGAGGACCGGCCATCTTTTGAGGTAGGCGGTGCAAATTGTCTGGATCGCTGAAACCTGTGCCTGCTCGCCCAGCATCCTCTCGCCGATGACCTTTCGAAGGATCAAGCTAGCTGCTGTCCGAGCTGCGCGATCGAGGTAGCACTCATCGACGAAATGTCTGACGATGACCTCGTAGTGCGTCTGCACCCAGCTCACACCAAGGAGGGCATACAGCGTCGCGTGCACATCCAGGAGCGCTGCCCTGGCCTTGCGAGTCATGGATGACTTGAGCACAATGAGCTCGAGCATCTGTTTGGATGAGAGGAGCGTCAAGGTGGTGCCTCCCTCTGCCGTCGTCGACGAAGCGGCGGCATGGACGTCGTTCTGCGATGGTAAGCCCTCTTCATCGGAGCTGTCGCCATTTTCCCTCTTCTTGGACGCCTTTGCCGCTTTCTTTGGCGCCTGCTTCGCGACCGCGGCCAGAGCGACATCTTCACGCTGCGTGTGTGCCAGCGCAAGGGCGCAGAGCCTCGAGAGGCTCCTCATCGTGACAAAGTCAACAGTCTCGATCGCCTTTGTCGTAACAGCCACCACGCTCTCAATCTCGGCCTTGTTCGATAGGAATGACGTGTGCTCGAGCAAAGCTGCAATGCACTAGAGGAAGAGACTGCTGTCTGAGTACACGTCCCCTCTTGAGTGACCACATTGTCCCAGAGCCATTGCTCACCTCTGCACTTCCCCGAGCGACCGCACCGGCCCGGTCACCGAGGCCCTGTTTGAGCGCCTTGATGAGGTCCTTTGCCGTCGTATCCTGCAGCGCCTTGCCGCTCTTCTGAATGACTTTGGACAGGCAGAGGAGCGCATGAAAGCGAACGAGGGGTACGTTTGACTGCTGCTTGAATGTGCGCTGGCACAGGGCAGCCAGGTCGACAAAGACAGACATGACGAGGTGGCCGGAGCTGCCAAAGATCTGGCCCGCGACGTAGAAAGCCGCTGCCTTGGTTTCCACCTTTGCGTCATCGGCTGAGGCGACCCGCATGAGCGATTGTAAGACGTCAAAGAGGGAGCGCGAGTCCCCACGTTCGAATAGCCGGACGAGGCAGCGCGCGATGATGTGCCGAGCCGGCCGCCCTATTCTCGGCAGTGCTGCTCCGTTGTCGGTTGCGCTCGTCCCACTGGCGCTTGCGCCTCCATTGCTCCCCAGGTTCGAAGAAGGGGCAGACTGGGTGATGAGTCGGACCAAGGTCGCCTCAACCTTGGTCTGCATCGAGGCAATAGCGGCATCGTCCAACGTCGCCAGCGCCCGCTCTGCCTTGGACAACCACTGCAGCAGGTACACTTCACCCTGCTCCGAGGCGGTGGCCGATGCGAGCTTGGCCTCGTCCAACTCTAGATCAGCTCTTCGGTCCCTGTCGTCTTCCGCCGAGGGCTGCGCCATGGTGTCTGTGCTCTGCTGTCAGAGAAAGATGATGGCGAAAGGCACACTCTAAAAAATGGAGCAAGCTTCTTCCACCAAACGCGTGGCAGCTACCTAGCTTAGGCTCCTCTCTTTCAGACCACCGTCATCTCATCATTTGGGTTCTTTCATTTCATTTCATCTTCTTTGACACGAATCCGTTGTCTTTGATACATGTTCAAGCCGAAGCGGTGGCAGCCACAGCCTGGGTGAGAACGGACTTGCGGCCGGCGGCAACCTCCTTCTGGTACGCAGCCACCTCGCGCTGCTTTGCGTCGGGGTCCTCGATGTCGGCGTCGGGCTGCCACGACAGGAAGCCGTTGGTGTAGTTTGCCTGGAAGTCGGGCGAGACAATTCCAAGGCGCTTGCAGTAGCTTTTGTGCAGGAAAGGGAAAGGGATCAGCACCATTTTGGGCGGAAAGACTAAAAAAAGAGAAAGGAAACCTACTTGGTCACCTTGTTCCAGTCGCGAGGTACGTTTGCCGCATCGCGGCTCATGTAGACAAAGGAGCGCTCAAAGATCTTGTCCTGAAGCGGCGAGTTCATCTCGGGACAGAAGTCCTTGAAGTCCTCCCAGGCCTGACGAGGCTGTGCCAGGAGGTAGTCTGCGCCCTTCTTGACGGCGGCCATGAACTTGCGTGCCTTGTCCGGGTTTGCCTTGAGGAAGGGCTCGTTGGCGATGTAGCTGGTGCATTCAAGTCCGTCGAAGTCAGTGGAAAGACCACGAAAAAGCGGAGGACAGTGGAGATAACGCACAGGATTGAGCAGAAGCAGCAGCAGCCGAGCTCGGCCAGCTCGTCAATGCGGAGCATCTTGACGTCGGCCGGGTCGCGTCCCTGCTCCTTGAGCCACTCTTCGAGCTCGACCATCTGCACATTTTCGAGGCCAATGCCAGCGTCAATCTCGCCCTTCTTGATGGCCTTGGAGATGTTCATGCCGCAGCGAACTGCCGTGTAGTCGTCGGGCTTGAGGCCAAAGTGCTGCGTGAGCCTGCGATGAGTGAAAGGAAAGAGAAAGTCCCAACAAAGCTCAATCGTCAGCGGGATTTGGCAGTGTCTCCAAGTCGCGCAGTCACAGTGACTCACTCATCGAGCTGAACCTTTCCAAATTCACCAACATAACCAATCTTGCGGCCCTTGATGTCCTCGAAGCGGGTGATGCCAGAGTCCTTGAGGTAGACGAGGCCGGTGAAGGGCTCGTCCATCATCGTGCCAATCGACTGAATGGGGAAGCCCCTGGCCTTGCCTGCGATGGTGTGGATCATGGCCTTGGCGCCCATGTCAACCTAACCGTTGGGCAATCAGCATGAGTCGTGTGTGTGCGCAGCGGTGAAGAGAGCAACCCACCTTACCCGTGCCGATGATCTCGGTCACATCCGAGGGGTCCTGGGGCGTCAAGAGGGCCACCTTGATGCCTTGCTCGGCAAAGTAGCCCTTGGCCTGGGCCAGGAAGACAGGCGCATGGTAGGGCGTGGCGCGCCAGTTGAAGACTGCAAGATATCAGCTACAAGAGCAAAGCCTTATGCCACGGGCAGGACAGGCTCACGGAAGGTGATCTTGTCGGTCGACATCTTTGCTTGAAATTTCTATAGCACAGAGCGGCGGCGGTGCGATGGTCGCAGAAGTTGGGGGTAAGCAGGAGAAACGTAAATCGAGAAGACGTCCTGCGCGCGAGCAAAAGGGCAGGACGGACGACGGGGCCGTCCCTTATAAGGCAGCAAAGCAACGGATTATATTGTTCATTTCACTCGTCTTAGGCCCGTGGGGACAGCAAGAGGCAGACCGAGCACGGCTTTGTGAACAGACGGACAAGACGCACGTTCCGGTTGGGGCAACCGCGCGCAGGGCTTCGTCAATCAACGATTGGTTCGGAGCTAATTCGCTCGTCAACGCACCCTTCCGGTCGAGTAATTGGTTAGCCCACATGAGGAGAAGTAGCTCCCTAGCTGGTGTCCTACCTACATCAGTACAGTGCAGTACAGTACAGTGTTTCTCGCTGGGAGATCCGTCTCCTGGTGATCCGTGCGCAGAAATCTCGCTTAGGGCTCAAAATCGATAAGACCCTTTATTCTCATTCGTTCGGCGAGATGTCTTCGCTGCTTTCTTTTTCCCCCACCCTTCTTCCTGCCGAGCGCCCGGGAGCAGCACGTACCTGTACGTATTTACCAGCTTGACTGCCTTGGTCCTGTCATCCTGGCTGCACCCTCTCATGCGACACCTGTGCTCAACAATGTAACAGGCATAAAGAACTGCAAAAGGCATAAAAGATGTCACTTTGCTAGTAATAAAAGGTAAAAAATCAATAAATATAGTGCAGCTCCTTTCTCGCTTAGTGGCTTGCTTTTGATTCTACACATCGAGATAGGCGAGGGCTAGGAAAGCGAGGGCCCGTCTTCTTCTCTCCTCGATGGGCTGGCGCTAAAAGGAAAAGAAGGACGTGCGAGCTACGCGCGCATCATCCAGCCTTCTCGCAGATATGCACATTGATCTCTTTTGATGATCTAGCCGAGGCGACGGCTGCAGGGGTCAGAGAGCAAGCACACCAGAGCATATGTTACACAAGAGCCAAGCGAGCTTTTATCATGATTGGATGCAAGCGCGGAAGCACCTTGACGTAAAAGCACGCCGAGGTTGACTTGTTTGACCACCGTCAGAATTGTAGAGAGCGCATTAGCGAAAGTGACAACAGAGGCAGATAATGAGGAAAGCACCAATACAGGATCAAGGTACAGAGAAAAGGAGAAGTATGATTAGGACGAGTCGAAAAGTGCAAATACTATTGGAAAACTGAGTGGTGCTCATCGGAGGGCGCCGACGAGGCGTGAGATGTGTTTGTAGAGACTGGCGAGGCCTTTGACTGGAACGAACGCGGGGACTTGTCGTGTGCAGCAAGGACTGGGTGGATGGCCAATTGGTATCGATGATCTCCAGGTTGTGCCACGGCTGTGGCGGAAGAGAGCATGGCGGCCTGCTCGCCCACGGAAGCTGTGGACATTGTGGACATCAATGCATCCTCACCATGCTGCCGCTGCTGCGGCGACGGTAAGGGCATTGGAGATAAATGCGTGGTCGAAACAGCAGAAGAAGATTGTTCGCCTGTTAAGACTCCCATTGACGCGGCGCTACTGCGATTTGGAGCAGCAGTTGACGCCTGTTGAGAGTGTAGCGAGAACGAAGAGGCCCCAAAAGACGATCCCCATGGTGCGGATGACTGAATCTGGTGCGACGCCTCCCGCTGTTGTTGGTGTTGTTGGTGTTGTTGGTGTTGTTGGTGTTGGTGCTGTTCCTGTTCCTGTTCCTGTTGCTGGTGTTGTTGGTGTTGATGAAGCAGTTGGTGTTGCTGCTGCTGCTGCTGCTGCTGCTGCTGCTGTTGTTGTTGTTGCGGCTGACCCTGCGCCTGAAGATTATGGTCTTGGTACGTCATTTGCTGTGGCGTGGACACAGCAGAGTCAATACGAAGCCCAGACAGATCGACGTCGGACGCAGAGCTTTGCTGCTCCTGGAATGTGGGACCCCCTCGATAGGAGCTGTGCTGCTGGTAGGGCACATGTTGCTGAAGCGTCTGCATCTGGACCGGCGCAGTTTGCTGATGGTGATGCCAAACATCCTGGTAGTCACTAATCGTCGTCGCATGCAAGTAGGCTGAATGTGGACCGGCCTGGTACTGTTGGGCATCGACGAAGGGCGTCTGACCTGGCAAGGGAGCCGAAACGGGCATCTGATCCAAGCCATGCATGGCACTGCCCCAATCTGGCTGATGAGTGTGGAAGGCCTGCTGCTGCTGCTCTTGCTGCTGGTGTGGTTGTTCCTGCATCGAAGACGCCGCTTGCATATGTTCTTGCTGAAATGGCTGTTGTTTGTCTTCAAGTTCGATGAGACGTCCCACAGGCCCTTCACTTCGCCGCAGTGCCTCCACGGCCTCCCGAAGTTCATGGTATGGTCCGCTGATCTGGTGTCGCAGGAACATTGTTGCCTGCTTGCCCTCTGTGAAGTCGGCACACTGGCGCCACGAAAGCCTCTGAGTCCCTTGCAGCTCCTCGCTCGATGACTTGCCTCCACTTCGAAAGACCTCTGAGAAAGAGTGAGACAAAAGTCAGAGCGTGAAAAGGTGTAGAGTAGCTGAAGGAAGAAGGAGGAAAGCCACTTACCCATGTAGAATTGAGGCGGTCTCTCAAGCTCGACAATAAGGTGTCCTAGGGGAAAATGAACGCCTTCGGCTATCTCATGGACGACAGGCGCCTTTGGACCGGTGAAGACGATACGGGAGATGCAGGTGTGCGGGCATTCGAGCTTGAAGCCCACCGATTCCGAAGAGAGATACCATGTGAAGCTCTGATTCCTCCTGCTGAAGAAGCATACCAGGGGCTTGATGCGTCGCCACTCGCCGATACAAAGAGCAGTGCTTGGCAGCTCGAGGAGTGTCGACCCTTGTAAAGGAGTAGGAGTGTCCTCAATTTTCTACTGAAAAAGCCATGGAGGTAGATAGACTCACCTTCGGGCTCCTTTGGCGAGCTGACCTTGCCTGGGGAAGGCAGTTTCTTCGTCCTGTTTTGCCGCGCCTCGTTCGGCGACCCGCTGCTCTTGGCGCTCTTCAAGACAGTCGACCTTTGCTCCAGAGGCACACCTTCTTTTACCTCATTGACCTTCGTCTTTGCACGCCTGTTGGGAAAAGTAGCCCTCAGTATTGGAACCTCGAATGCAATGGCAAACCATGGGATTCCTGTCCGGTCTTCATTTTGAGTCTTGAAGCTTCCGAACGAGGCCCCTCAGCTTATCTGTGCCTTGAATCTTGCGTTTCTCTCCGTGTGGAAAAGGAACCGTTCTTGCGAGACAAGGGAGAGGAATAAAGGTATGCTCACAATCTCCTGTGAAGAGGAGCGAAAAAAATATAGAAGAAGAAAGGGGAAAAGGGGGTACAGTGTCGGAGTCCTGCTCTCGCCAGTTCAAAGAGCTCTGTTACTCACTTATTTTGGAACCAGACTGGTGTCATGGAAGAGCGCAGAAAGCCAGTCGGCATCATTTAAGGCTTTGGCTATTTTGCTTGTCAAGACTCACCCTGCACGCTGCGCTCCGGCATCTGGATGCGCTTGGCGAGCTCCTCGCGAATTTTTCCGGTTGGGTTCCTGTTCTTTGCGAAAAATGTCTCGAGGTGGCGAAGCTGTTCCGGACTGCACTTGTTCCTCTTTTTACGAATCGCCGACTGCTGTTGGCCAGATGCAGAGGTAAATACGGAATGAGATCGCTGCGGAGGCGTGTTGCCCCCCTCTTTCAATGACATGCGTCAGTGGTACCGCGATAGTAGTAATCCACACCGGACTCAACTCACCAGTCCCATCTGGAGGCTGACTACCGCGCGAGCCAGGTGAGCCAGACTCGCCGAGCTCGGGCGCGGAGGCGGCTGAATTAATCGTCAGGCCCGAATCAGTCCTCTTCGATGTGCTACTGCTTTGGCTGAAACGGAATCTGTCGTTGCCCTCTTGCGAGTAAGACGAGCTCATCGCAGAACCGTAAAAGGCTGACGAAGCTTCAGTAAGACCGCTAGGAAATGCGTACTGGTGCCGATATGGTGGCTCCATGGCGTGATTGGGATTGGCAGCGTGTGATGCTTGGGCCAGGGCCGCTAAGGACAGGTCATCAAAGCCGGCACCGTGCAGGCTCGAGATACTGGTCGAGCTTGAAAGATGTCCTTGTGGCAGGGGCGAGGACGAAAATGCACCGTGTACACTCGATGAAGATGAAGGCTGCTGGTGCAGATCGACGTGATGAGAAGTGGCACTGGAGGGCGGCTGGTGGTAAATGTCGCTCTGAAAGCTAGTATCCGATGACGGCCATGTCAACGGGATGGCTGTGTTGGGTGCATTGACCTCCTGCTGGTCGAAATTCATCCTCTGCAAGCCAAGTAGCGTCAACAATCGAGCAGGCATGGGCTTGCTGAGAAGGCACTCACGTGCAGCTGTGATTCAGCAAAGGCCGACCTGGGAGCGTCGCAGAGGCTGTAGATGGAGAGATGTTCTCGCCTTGGACTGATGCGCAGCGACGAGTGTCTTCGAGCAGCAAGGAGCGTTGATGGCGGATTATGCTGGAAGCGCTGGTAGGACAGCGAGTCTGACTTGTGCGGAGGATCAAGTGCACGGAGGCCGGCGTTTTGGCCCTTTGGCGTCTTCTCAACTTCTTCTCCTTCCTCTTCTTCTTGTTCTTCTTCGTCTTCGTCGTCTACCTCCTCCTCCCCCGCCTCCTTCACCTGCTCCTTCTCGTCACTGTCGTCTTGGTCTCCCTGTTGAAAGATGAAGTGCGCCTCCCGGATGAGGTCTTCCTCTCTCGAGAGCTTGTGACCTCGATTCGAGACAGGCACTTGGCCTTGCCTTGCCTTGACTTTTGCCGTCGAAGCCATCGTGGGTGTACGCGCGTCGTTCACGGGAACAATGGCCAGATGAGAGGGGGGATGAGCGACAGAGTAGGAAAAGAGATGAAGGAGCGGCGTTGTCGAGGTTTGATGATGTGGTCGTGGGATGAAGAGGAGATGCGCGGTGCGAATCAATGGGGGGAAAAAGGAGGGGAGAAGGAAAAGTAAAGTCAAATACCCAGGGCGAAGATTGGCAGCCGGCGTGATCGGAAAGTAGATTGAGGAAGAATGGTTGAAAGAAGGATTGGGGTTGGGTTGAATGTCAGCTCTGCCTTTTCAATAAACTCTAGCCTGTCTTGATGGTATGGAGGAGGTACACGAAAATGTCTCCACCAACGGCAGTGACAATCACTTGCATGTGCACTGGACACAGACGGCGTGCGACAAATGGAAAACGGAACAATCGCACGCCGTTGTCCCTTCTCCGTCTAACAAGAAATGTCTTTGCCCCGCCCATGGTTTGCATGCCAGCGCCGCGCGAACAATGCCGCGCGGTCAATTGCACCGCCCCAGTGCCAAGACAGGCCTTGTTTCCCTTCAAGTGCGACGGAAACACAACACCGAATATGGCCCGAACGGCTTCACTCACCCGTAAATGAAGGAAGAAAGAGGAGGAAGACGACGAGAAGAGAGCGAAAACCGTAGCGAAACGCAATGGACGGCGCAGGATTGCCGATGTTCTTGCGGCAGATAGTGACCGCAATATGAAGAGCTAAGCGAGTCAGTGTGGCTTGACGAAACCAGTTGTTTCCCCGAAGAATGGCTCGAAGACTTCAACTTTCCAAAAGCAGAGATGAGCGATGCAGATAGCGACAGGGGTCGAGCCGTAAGACGCTGGTGATCGAAGAGGAGTTTTGCCTCACCCCGCAAGGCACTAGTGCTCTCAGCGGAATTTGTGCCTTTCTGCTCGTCCGCAAGGCTTCCTCCAGGTGTCCTTCACTTTCCGCACGACAGGAGAGAGTTCTGGGAGAAAAAGATAGAAAGAGGAGGTTGGGAGGTCAGGAAGAAATGCACTGAGTCCTGGAAAGGAAGACGCAAGAATTCTCACGTACGGATTTAAAAATAGCGTGCGTGTCGTGCCCTGTTCTCCGGCAACGAGGGGGCTTTTCTCTGGGCGATATCGAACGGACCGGATGTGTGAGAGACTGACAGAGGATTAGAGGGAAGCGCTCCCGAAGATGCGTAATTTTAATTGGTAGTGGAGGGGATGCTGGATGTCCTCACTGACTGTGTTCGTCCAAATATGTGGCTGTTAGACGAGCATCTGCTTCCCCGGGCGAGACGCACTGTAGACAAGATGAGAGTGACGAGCCTGACTGTGGCGACTCTTTGTTCCTCTTTTAAGGGGCAGTTGTAGAGTTTGCAGCCGAGGGAAGTGGAGCACGATGCGTGGCTTCTTGCTGTGAAAGAAGAGATTCTTCGCCCACAGATTGGTAACTGACACGGCCATGAAGGAAATCCGCTAGAACGAGAGAGGAATTTTTCGGGACGAGGAAAAAAGAGGGTCCGGACCTCCTATAGATGCGCTAAGTCTTGGCCTGCGATCTTCATAATCTCTGTGCTGATGGGAGAGAGGTCACCGGTGCCTCGAGCTTTGAGCACTGATCGCTTTCTCGCATGCCCTGTCCTGCTGCCGGATTTACCATCGCGGCTCTGAAAGAAGTGACATCGGAGTCTTTCCTTGCTCCGGGACCCTCTTTAGCCGAGGGCGGAAGCGATAGCGGGGACAGTCCAAATGCCGAAGAGGGACGGGGCTCGTGAACTCATGTATCTATCTGTAGAACCAATATGTATGCGATGCCGGCATTAGCCGAAGCTCTTCGTGATGAGGACATGACACGCACTTTAAAAAAGGTGGTCCGAGCTTGCGGCGCAGAAAAGCCAATGCTCTGGACGTCAACGCCGAAAATCTCAGATTGTGGCGTCAAGCAATAAAGGATTTTAATTAAACGGTGTCCGCCGTGAAATTTCAGATTCCAGGCTAGAAAGGAAGGGTTTCTCTTTGGATGAGGGATTGTTTGATGGTAGCTAACATTGATGTGGTACGACCTGATTGCTACTACTATGATATTGTACAGTGATGTTGTTTTCATTGCCAAAAGGTATGCCCCTTTTGCCTGCGGCTGAAGCCCCTTAACGCCTTCCTATCTATGTCGGCACGAGAGCGTTCCGGTCGCTAATTGAGACCCATCAGGCGTCCTCTGACGGTCAAGCCTCCTCGATCGAATGCAACCTTCTTGACTGTGTCCTTCCCACCATCTGCATCGCAAAGAACACGATTGGCCTCGAAGGGTCGTATGTCCTCATGGAAAGTGCCAATGGTAATATGCGGCCTCCAGCCTCCATTCTTGGCCTGCACAGAATCGAAGACTGCTTTTTTCAGGTTGCCGTGGACAGGAAGCGCACCGCACACGCCCATGGCCACTGCCTTGTCATCCCAAGCCAGGCAATCAATCTGCAGCTCGAAATCGACTGGCGTTTCTTGGCTGCAGAGCTCCTCGTATAGATCCCAACGAGCCTTTGCGGCTCTGCCCTCTTCACCTTCGCGCTGCAGAGAAGTGTTGTGAACCAGCGTGACGTGCGGTCGCTCAATGAGCCGATGAAGCGCCCCCAGCCGTGAAAGAGCCTCTTTCGCTTCAGCGGAACCCTCCACAAAGGGCGCCAAGGCATCCGTGACATCGATCTCGACGGCAATGCCATAGTATCGGATAGTTTTGGCCTTGTTGGAGACCTTGATGTCTTTTCTGAAGGTGACCTTGTGTCCTAGCGCCTTATTCAGAGCTTCCGTGATTTGATCGTCGGACGGGAGCGTTCTTCCAATTAGGCCTGAAATTTCTCGCGCGGCCTTTCTGACGTTGCCTTCCATAGATGCGTTCACGTCCATCCGAATAGTCTCATTGAAGGCTTCGTCGCCGTGGCCCTCGTCTCCTGCACCCTTCTCGGCACTTCCGTATGCTTGAACATTTTCGAGGAATTGCCAGAGAATTTTCTCGTGATCGCGCGTCTTGCTGCCCTTCTCGACCCGCAGTGACTGATGGTTGTCGCCGCGTACCACTAGGCGATCCGAGCAGATCCGATGAATGGCATTAAGAGGAAGGGCATCGAGGGACCAAGCAAGGGCGACGAGGCGGACATGATGTTTGTTTTTCTGCTGCCAATCCAGGACCGACTTGACAATCTCGTCTCGATGCTTGAAGAGATGGTTGTTGCGATCGGCGAAGACGACGTCGTGCTTCTGCAGCTCTGCGTTGATGTTCTTCAGAAATGTAGGCGCCGTTTTCTTGGTCTGAACATCGTCGGATTGGGTATGCCCGATACCAAATAAGTGCCGGAGGGCGATGGCTAGAACCGTTTTCCCGCAACCTGGGACTGCCATAGGAACGAGGAGAGTCTTGTCAAAAGAAGACGGCGCTTGATCTTTGCTGTCTTGTTTGGAGAATGCTGCGACCACGCTGTTCTTCTTTCTGCCTCCGCTCACTTCATCTAATTTGCGTCGCCCTTCGTCGGTATTCATGTACTTGATGAATCGGTCCCGCAGTGCGATGATGCCCTTGTTCTCGTTGAAGCTCTCGAAGAGCCGAGGTTCCGCCTTGTCACCGTACATCTTCTCGTGGCACCATTGAACAAAGAGCTTCGTCTCTGGTCGCTTGCTTCTCGTTTGGGGTACCTCTGGGAACGACAAGCCAGCTTTCGCCGCGTTCTTGCTGGCTGCTTGCTGCTCCACAAGCCGTTTCTTGGCCTCCCTCTTCTTCGCATTCTTACTCGTTGTCTCTCCGTGCTTGCCATCGTCCTGAGCAACAGGTGCTGTCGGTTCCTCTGGCATCGGCATCATGTTGTCCGCCTCCTTCTCCCACCGTTTCTTGTCGGTGAGCATCCTTTTTGTCAGTTCCCGCCAGTCACGGTACATCAGGTAGGGCTCGTCAAATTTGACCTTGTAGAACCAAGCTTGACTGGGCGAGTAAGGGGGCGCGACCGCCTTGGAATTCCTCTTCACCTCCCCGTCGGCGTGTTTGGGCATGGAAGTACGGACAACAAAGCCTTCGATAGCAGTTCCTTGCCAGCTTCCAGTCTCTGCAACCTTGCTCGTGAACTTGTCAACATCGTCGAGACTCTTCATTTCGAGCCATCGCGTGGGAATGAAACCCCACTGACGAGCAAAGTCATCGACGTCGGCCATCGATCTCGTCTTGAAGTGCACCGTGTTGGCATTGAGTCCGTGCAGGTGTAGCCCGCGCCGTTCTGGAGGATAGGCCAAGACGTGCTCCTCAAAATCGTCATCGCACAACTGCGACGAAGCTCGGGACGTCAGATGGCAGTCATCCCCGGCATACCTTAGATAGCAGATGCTCACCTCTGCCACGGCCGTCTCGTTCCGAGCCCAAAGCTCCTTGGCAAGGTCTCCCTTTGTCTTTCCCACAGACTTCAGGTGATTTTCCAGCCACTCTTCGCCTTTTTGGGCGTGCGATATCACGACATCCTCTCGGCCACCGAGTGAGTGCTTTGATGTGACGATCAGCTGCTTGGGAGACAGCGAAGAGACGAAGATGATGCAGCCATTCTCCTTGAACGTAAGGGCATAAGGAGGTGCGCTGAACTCTCTGATTGCATCGGGCTGTGCGTGATGGGGACCAAACTCGACTTAGTCGCAGAGACCGGATCCGTAGAGACGAGTGTATGCACTCACCTTTGTCCATGGCATCTCGCCCTCATTGAAGAATTTGTCATAGCCACGGACAACTATCCTGTGCTTGGTGTCTGCTGAGTCTTCTTTGGTGGTAAAGAGACCTCTCGCCAGGGTAGGCAGTTCATCGTCCTCGCTCAGACCGACCCTTGTGGTTTTGCGATAGGCAAACTCGACTGTCTTCCACGAGGTGAGCACTCTTTGGCCTTCTTTCGTCGCCTTGACCTTCGGCAGCCCCTCTACCGCATCTCCGCCGTCGATCTGTCCATCGTCTTCCACTTCCGCAACGATGGCCGAAGCAGAAGGGCCGGCATCCAGGCTGACGCAGTGATCGGTGCTGCGTACCAAAGTCTTCTTGCCCCCCTTTGCCTTTGCGCGCTGCAGGGCCTCGACAAGGTCCGTCGCTGACGCCTCTCCTCGTACCTCACCTTCGGAACCGTCCAACTTCGAGTCGAGCGAAAGTGAACCCAAACTTTGGAGCGCCTCGTCTACGTGCCCCTCGGTCGCCATGGTTGTCAGTGTGAGCGTGAGTCACTTCTTCCTCTCTTGAAACCTTGAATTGAATCGGCGGCCCCACCGCTTGCTCCACCTCTGCAAACAAAAAAAGAAAGAGCAATCAAAAGAGTTGCGAAGAAGAAAAAAAAAGTGAAGCTTCTTCACGTGTGGTGAGATCGACCTGGATTTTTACGGAGGTGCTTGTCAAGTTGCGACTTAACGACAAGAATCCACGGCAGAGGAATGGCGCCGGTCCCATCTGAAGACGCGACCAACGGCGCATCGTCCTCCTCCTCCTCCTCCCCACCCTCGTCGGGCGATGGGGGCGGAGAAAGCGGTGGAAAGAACATCTGGGTCGCGGCCGGCGAAGGCGACCTCGATCGGGTTCGACACCTCGTTGAAGTCGAGGGTGAGTTGTCCCACCCTGCTTTTGCTTTCATAGATTTGCCACTCAAGCTTCTTCGGATCGGCTCACAGGCCTCTCGCCAACGGTGCCCGATCGCTTCACATACACTCCGCTGCATGCTGCGGCGTCGTATGGCCACATCGAGCTACTTCGGTTCCTCATCAACCATCCCAGCTGCCCTCCCAATGCCATCAACGAGACAACCGACTCAGACGGCGAGACGCCCTTGTTCGTCGTCGAGGAGGTAGGCGTCGCTAGGGTCCTCATCGAGGAGTTCGGAGCCGACGCAAAGCGAGAGAACAATGCGGGCGATACAGTGAGCATACATGCGTGCTTCTCGAGAGCCCTCGTGTCCGTCCACCTCCTGCTTGATTAGCTGACCCTCACTCTTCCCCGCAAGCCGGCGGCCGTGGCCGAGGAGGGTGAACTGGAGGAGTTGGCGGCGTATCTGCGCAGCGTAACGGGCGAGGCACCCATGTACGATCGGTCCGGTGCGGGACAGCGAGCAGGCATCGCAGACGCAGAGGGCGACGATGATGACGACGAGGCGCAGTCGGAGCTGACGAGGAGCACAAACGAAGCCATCGAGGAGCGGACAGAAGCACTGATGTCGCGCGTCGGGGCCATATTGGCTCGAGCAGAGGCTAGAGGCGCCAGCTCTGGAGAAGAGCTGACCGAGCAGGAAGAGCGGGAGCTCAGAGAGGTCGTTGGTCAAAGCCTCTTTGAACAGATCCGAGAGGGATGGGGCCCGTCAGACGGGCAGGAGCAGAGGCAGAGTCACGCAGACTCAGAAGCCCAGAAAGAGACGGAGCAGGAGTCGGAAACACCGACAACGGAAGAGCAGCAGCACGGCCCTCGGCCCGGTCGGTGAAGACGGCACGAGGGTATAGAGATGTTGACTAGATGATATGGAATAGTCATGTGGTATTGTACAGATGTTTCCTGGCAACATGCGATTGATTCCTACTTGTTGCCCCGCGATGATCGTCCTCTCGCCTTTGTATTGCCTGTCTCTGCTGTTGCTTGGACGGCCTTGACGGCGGGTTCCGAGAAACTGTTGTCTAGCTGCCTTGCAAAGTCCTCGAGGTCGCCTTCATCCATCTCTTCGTCTGCCGCCCCTGCCTCTCCCACTCCGTCTTCTTCCTCTTCCTCGTCATCTTCTTCTTCGTCCTCGTCCTCGTCCTCGTCTTCATCGTCGTCGTCATCATCATCGTCATCGTACCTGACAGGACCCCGCTGAGCGGGAGGCTTCCAGTTGGTATTTGCGCCGGACAACGGTTCGGCAGCTATCCGGGGAGAGTTCACGGCGCTGCTCGGCGACACGGCTGGCGTAATACGATGGGCTCCCAAGGCCGGGCTGCCCAGGATTGGTACGGGTCTTGTTGCCGTCACAGCAGGCGACCTTGTCCCTCTACCATCTTCTTTTGCAAGCTCCTTCACAGCCCGTGTTGGAAGAGACATCTGAGGAGGGGGCCGTGGCGGAGAGATTTGCGACGATTCGACGATGGCCAATCCATTGTCCTCATCGATGAGACCGAGACCTGTCGTCGGTCTCGGAGAAGCAGCGGCATTGGCAGATGTTGCAGCTTCTTTTGCTTCTCTCTCCTTCTCCTGCTGTGCATGAGCATCGAAGCTCATTTCAATTTGCCTAGCCAATTCTTCGTCGTCAAAGTCTTCTTCATCATCATCAATAGCAGGCTCTTGTGAGGCACCTGGTCCATCCCGGTCGTGTTCTTCCTCGTCAATGTCATCGATGCGCTGACTCTTCGCCTCAGAAGACACGCCAACCTCTTCTTGCATCGTATCTCGAGCCCCCCGGTTAGATAATGACTCTTGGGGTCTTTCGCGCTTTGTATCCCTTGGTGTTTCTTCCGAGATCGACTGCGAGGGGCGCGCTCTCGACTCAAGCGCCTGCGACGCAGAAGGAGTCAGGGACGAGTGACCCCTGTCGTACTTGAGAGAAAACGTCGATGCTAGTCGATCGAGGACATACGTCTGCGAGAGATTGTAAAAACCGAGTCAGTCTCACGCCAGGCTCTATTGTTTGATACAGCTCTGCTCACGTTTGTCTTGTTGTCCCATACGAGGACGCAATCGACATCCTTTGCTGCCGTCTGATGGCCCGAGAAGCCATGGGCAGTCTGTCCCGTGCCAGCGAACTCCAGCGTCCACTGAGGGTTGGAGCCGCTGTCTCGCCCCTTGCTCTCTTCGACATGAAGCAATCCAGGCGAGCTAGATGAGATGGAAGGTGGCTTGAAGTTGTCTGCGGTTATGGAAGTCGTCAGCCGAATCCACGAGGAAGGGAAGGGGAGTGAGTGCCTTGTCTGGAGTGGACTCACACTTGACTGACACCAGCGAGCTGGAAGAAGAGGCATTCTTCTGCTGCCTTGTCCTGGGCTCCACCGCCAGCGAGCGACCCAAAGATACTTGGTAGGTCACCATACTGTCGGAAGCCGCGGGACGACGGTGTCTGAAGGACGGAGGAGGGAGGCCAGACGAGCTTTTTAGTCGAGGTTCAGGCGCATTAGACTTGCCGGCGTCGGTCCAAGATTGGGATCGCACGGACCCTTTTTTTCTAAAACCACGCGTCGTCCGTCCTATCCTCGTCGTCGACGGCGCTCTTCCCGGTCCACCGATAATCCCAGTCCACGCTGCTCCCGAAAGAGGTGCAACAATGGATGCTCTGGCATCGGACCTGACAAGCATCGCAAACCAGGCTTCATCGTCTCGTGCTCCGGCCTACCTCAAAGTTCTCAAGTCCTTGCTCGCTCGCCCAGCTTCCGAACTCCCCGCAGACCAACTCCAACGATGCCTCTCAGCCTACCTCGACCAGGCCGTCTTCAGTGACACAAACTCGACGGGAGGCAATCTCGTCGTGGGCAGACAGGTTCTTTCAGACTTTGATCTCGCCGTCGTCGAGGCGGGTGCCTCGTCGCAGGGCGAGGGAGGAGAGGATGCAACGATGGGACAAAACGACCCTGCCATCAAGGACGAAGAGGTGCGCCGGACTGTCTTTGAAGATGCGCTGGAAAAGGTGCAGCCACGAGTCATCAGCTTTGAGGAGCAGGTGAGTTCCAACAACTTGTCTGACAGGGACTGCTGTCCATGGCGTGTGCAAGACTGACCAATAGAGCAGGCATCGTCCTTGCGCCAGCACCTCTCGGTCCTCCTCGAGGAGTCCGAAGACTGGCTCGAGGCCGCCCGCGTGCTCCAAGCAATCCCCCTTGACTCAGGCCACCGAAGCGTCTCGGACCTGTATAAGCTGCGTACTTTTGTCCGCATCGTCCGCTTGCTTCTCGAGGGTGACGATGCCGTGGGCGCCGACACGTTCCTCAAGCGGGCCTCCCTCATCGTCCACAACGTGCCCGGCGCAATCTCTTCATCGTCGGCTTCTGCAATGGCCGCCTCGTCATCATCACAAGCGTCAGTCAGCGAAAAGGACAGGCAGGAGGCACGGAGTTTGGGACTGCAGTACAAACTCTGTCAGGCGAGGATCTATGACTCTCAACGACGTTTTGCAGAGGCCGCCATTCGATACCACGAGCTGAGCTACGTCGGAGAGATTGACGAAGGGGACCGCAATCATATGCTGTGAGTATCCTTTTTTGGGCTCTTTACAGTCAGGTGTGCCTGACTTGCGACACTGCTCTCTTCAGGTCTGCGGCCGTGACCGCCTCGATTCTGGCGCCTGCGGGCCCTCAACGCTCTCGGATCCTCGCCTCATTGGTCCGAGACGAGCGAACAGCAAGTCTTCCGCAACACACGATCCTGACCCGTGTGCTCCTTGACCAAATTGTCCGACCGGCCGAGATTGCTTCTTTTGAACAGCTGTTGGCGCCACACCAACGCGCGACGTTGCCAAAGACGACCAACGATGGCATCGTCGCTGCTGCTGGCCCCTCGGACAGCGATGGGATGGACGTGGAAGTAGGGGAGGAGGAGTATCAAGAATCGAAACGGCATGGTCCGTCTACCGTCCTGGACCGAGCGATGATGGAGCACAACATTCTCGCCACTTCTCGGCTGTATACCAACATCACCCTCCAGGGTCTCGGTTCGCTCCTCGACCTCTCGGCGCCGGGCGCAGAGACGATGGCGAGACGCATGATTGCTCAAGGGAGGCTGAGGGCAGAGATCGATCAGGTCGATGGGCTCATTCTTTTCAAAGCACATGCCACGGGCAGGGACGTGGGCCCGCAAACTGTCACGGCGGGTGGCAAGCAGGGACAGAGTGGCAGCGGTGGTGCTGCTGGTGGCAGCGGCGGAGGCGAGGGCGAATCAGCAGGCGGGGCGACCGGCAACGATCAGGGCATGGCTGATGGCCAAGGCACTGGCGGCGGTGGTGACGACGACGATGACCCAAATGCAGTGTACACCAAGCGCTGGGACGCAAGCATCGCAAAGACGGCCAGCGGCGTCGAGGACGTCTGTGCCCGTCTTCGGGCCAAGCATCTGATCCCCGCATAGCCCCTTTTCATTGCTCTCCTCTCTTTCCTCCCTCATCTCCGTGTCTACAGGCCCTGTACAATCCACAATCCCACCCAGCTCTGTAAAGAAGGCTGCCCCCTTTCGCCACAAACAAGACACAGATCAATAGAATATTTCATCGACATTTCACATCTTCGTCTCCTTGTCTTTAGGTTGCCTCGTATGCGTCTTTATTTTTACAAAACTTCTCTTGTGAGTTGTGAACGTGGAAGGGTGGGGTTCTGGAGTGGGAAAGGGTTGGGAAGAAGGGGGAAGGGGGTCGGAGGGGTAACCGAAGCAATTAGACAACTTCCCAAGGGAGGGTCGATCACTCTCCTTGTTAAGACGAAGTCATCTGGAGCTTGCCGCCAGCAGCACCGCCCGAGTTGGAGGAGCGGCGAGAGCCGGGGGCCGAGGTGCCCGCGGGTCCGAGCTTGCCCATCTTCATGCCCTCGTCGAGGGCGTTGAGGACCTCCATGTCGTCGGCGTCGAGCTCAAAGTCAAAGAGCTGAGCGTTGGCCTCAATGCGGCTCTGGGTGAGCGACTTGGGGAGAATGATGTTGCCGATTTGCAGGCCCCAGCGGAGAAGGACCTGGGCAGGCGACTTGCCGTGCTTGTTGGCAATGGCCTTGATCTCCTCACGCTCCAGAGCAGCACCCTGGGCCATGGGCGAGTAGGCCTGAACGTGGATACCACGGGCAATGGTGGCCTCGCGGAGCTCCTCGTGGGCAAAGAAGGGGTGCGACTCGATCTGGTTGACGGCCGGTTTGATGCGGCACTCGGCCAGGAGGTGGTCGAGCTCCTCAACGTCGAACTTTGAAAGGGGAGGATTTCACATCAGGATTGGGCACATGAAAGAGAAAGAAAAGGGGCAGAGGCGGATAAAGGCGCCCGAGCCCGCGCTCAGGTGGGCTACTCACGTTGGAGACACCAATCGATTTGATCTTGCCAGCGTCAACGGCGGCCTCGAGGTCCTTCCACGCCTTGATGCGGGCGTCAGCACCAAGGTTACCAGGCGAGTGGATGAGGTAAAGGTCAATGTAGTCGAGGTTGAGCTTCTTGAGCGACTCGTCGATGGCCTCGGCCGCACGCTCGTGGTCAGCGTCCCAGAGCTTCGAGGTGACGAAGAGCTCGTCGCGCTTGACATCCGAGTTCTTGAGGAAATCAGCGATGGCTCGTCCAACGGCCTCTTCGTTCATGTATCGAGCAGCTGCAAGCATGAAGAGAATTTTGTGAGCAGATTGAGCTTGTCATGCGTATGGCTAGAGGGCGTGCTCACCAGAGTCAACGTGGCGGTAGCCAGCCTCGAAAGCCCACTTGACAGCGTTCTCAGTGGTGCCGTCGTTGGGGGCCTTGTAGACACCGAGGGCGACCTGGGGAATGTAGTGGCCCGAGTTGAGCTTGACCTTCTCCGTCGTGACCGACGAACGGCGACGCTCGCCAGTTCCGGCGCCGGCAGCCTTGTCCTGGGCAGCCTTCTTCACTGTGGGTGCCATGCTCGTCAGCACTGCGAAATTTCGAAACAAAGGGTTTGGCAGAGACAGCGTCCGCTACTCACTCTCCTCAACGGACATGTTGCCGCTGTCGACGGCCGAGGCGTGAAGAGCGTTGGCCTGTGCGATGATGAGATGAGGGTGAGTATGGGTATACCCAGGAAGGAATGATCAGGGTCCTGATGTGGCAACCTACAGGCATTGTGGTGTGTGTGTTTTGGTAGTGATAGAAGAGACAAAGGGAAAGAAGTGCGACGAGCAAAGAAATGCTTCTAAGGGAAGGGATGGAAGAAGTGGTGGTGATGGGTGTCGTAATCGGGAGAAAACGAACTTGAAGCTCGCTGGCGATTTAGGGTCTCACCCCCTCTTATATATCCACTTTCCAACGAGCACCACAGTCCTCACCCAACACCAAAATTTTCCTCCGTATTCGCTACACCCCCCTTCTATCTGCTGCTGCTGCTATGGGTCTCTTTGTCTTGATTCTATCTTCAAATTATGGATAGACCGCACTATGTCCATCGAGGCGTGCATATTGCAAAAGGTCGGCGATCGGAGCGCCATGATGAAAACTTCCAGCCTTGTAATAATAATTTACAACATCCCTCCCTTCGTTTTGACTAATGCCAGGCACCGACGGCAGACCGAGGACCCCTTGAAGAGCTTCCGCTCGCCAAGATGAGAACAAGAGTTCGACAGGCGGCTGGCTCAAACGTTTGCTCGAAGGGGCTTGCCTGGGCTGTAATGCTGCTGACTGTACTTCCTCCCGGTATAGTGTATGCAGTTCGTAGTACGTAGTGCTGGGGTTTCCTCCCTCGATCGCCAGCCCGCAGGCGCCTGTCGTCATGTCGTCATGGCGCATTTGGTACTTCACTCTTCGTTTCAGATTTAGAGATTCCACGCGCCACGTGTCGCCATCGCTCGAATCTTCGTGTGTAAAATGGTTGGGCCGTCGCCTATCAAGGTAGCTGACATTGCCCGGATAGAAGCTGAGACTTCGGCTAGATACATCTACGGTGCGACTTGGTACACGTAGCTCGAGGGAAAGGGAGAGGCCCGATCGCTGTAATGGGCCTTGACAGCCTCAGTCTAGGAACATTATATGCCTCAGCCTAAGAACGTGATATGAGTCGAAAAAGAGTGAAGAACGAGGGAGAAGAGTCTCGAGTACAACGAATTTGGGTCTTGTTCTGGCTACCTCTTTTAGGAGCACAAGGATGATGACTTGAGCGCTGGCCACTTGCGGCTGCTCTCGTCGAGATTGCTGAATGGGGCGGCGCTGGCAACGCTGCTTACTTCATGCTGGTGAGAGTTGCAGCTGCCCTCGTGGTTGCCAGAGTTCCTGCCCGGCGACATCGCCTGCTCGAGCTTGCTGTCGATCTGGACGCCATCAAGCCGGAATTGGCTCGATCCACCGCTCTTGTCCGGCCTTTGCTCCATGCCGACGCCGACGGTATGCCTCGATGTCTTCTTGCGGCTGGGCCTGAGGTTCAGACAGAGGAGCACGCTGTTGGTGTAGACTGGCTACAGGCATTAGTGTGCCGATCTACCGTTCGCATCATATGAAGTGCTCACGTTTGCTCAGGACAATAATGAGGAATTGCTGTTGGCAAAACGATGAGAAAGGTGAGCGAAGAGATGAAGCAGGAATCAAGATACTCACATAGAGATTCGTGCCAGTCCAATGGACTTGTATGACCAGGATCATAAGCGTGACGAAGGCCGTAAGGAAGCCACAAGGAATAATGATGTAGAGGAGCTGCGTCGGTGTTAACGGTTGACGCATTGGAGCATGATGGGTGGCGGCCGCCGCCAGCGACTCACCTTCTTGATGAATGCATTGGTAGAGTTGACACCGCTGCGCGAGGTGTAGAGCTTGTAGGCGAGCAGCCCAGCTGAAGAACGTACTTGACTAAGCCTGGGACAGAAGGGTACACTACTTCGTCGCAGACCTACTGATGAGAATGTCGTCGACGGTGGCAATGACGAGCCAGACGCGGAAGAACTTGCGTGCAATGAAGCGCTTACCGGGACCCTGCTTGGACTGAAGGGCGTTGTAGATGGCTGCCACCATGCAGCATGCCCATTGAGCGCTCGAGAGAAGCATGATGACCATCGCCAGGGTGAGACCGATGGTCATGTCGCGAATCCACCGGCGTTGGTAGAGGACCGAGATGCGAAAGGCGTAGAGGCCATGTACGATGCTCGACACGGTGCAGTCTAAGCGCAAGTCAGCGGCGGCTTGTAGGGCTGCCTTGACCAAGTGAACCGCTCACCAAACATCATGGAGCCGTAAGTGGCCGCAGGGAGGTAAGGTGAGTGACCCCAGCCGGCGATGATAGTCTTGTAACCAGCCCAAGAAACAAATGCGCTGAAGCACCGAGACAACCATGAAAGAGTTGGAAAGGGGAGGAAGAAAGGTTGACAAAGCGCACTCACGTCGAGGCCGTCTCAATGAGGAAGAGAGCGAGGACTAGAAAGCGAGTCCACTTCTTGTCATCGGGGTAGTTGATGTAATAGAAGTACGCTGATGGATACAATTGAGCTTTATGGTTTGTATGCAGTGTTCTCCGATCGTACACACCCTGAACGATGAGTAGGCCGTAGAAAGCCCAGGTAAACAGGTCGCCAAAGTACTTGCACCACAGCATTTTTTGGGCCTGTGGAGCGACAGGTCGGATTTTAAGAAGCGGTCCACAATCTCGCACGCTCAACGTACCATGTAGTACACCTCGTCCAGTGACGAGAGGTGGTCAGGCCATGTCTTTGTTTGGGAAATATCCCTGATCATGCTGGTGATCGGGGCTCGGGCTCGACTCGATGACTTTCTTTTCTGTTGATGTGTCTTTTCTTCTTTAAATATCGTGGACCAATTCGGCGTTCTTTGAGGACAATTCACTGCTCTGTTCGAAGGAATCTCCAGAAAAGAAAGAAAGGAAAATGAATGGGGAGAGGGTGGGAGACGTCTTGGGAGGGAGAGGGTGGGAGACGTCTTGGGAGGGAGAGGGCGGTCATGCAACACCCGCGCTCTCCAGCGGTCGTAAGGCCTTGTTCGCGTACGCAGGTTGCTATCCCCCTACTCGCATGATAAGAAAGGCTACCCTGCAGCAAGGCAAAGTGAAAAACAAGAGTAGCCACTACTTAGCAGGCGACATTTACACTTCTCATCTGGTCCCCTCTTTCGAGTAAGTTGATTGGAGTGGCTTCAAGACCGCCTCAAACATTCATGGCCGTCCGCCAGAAAGGACAGAAGCTTCCTCATTACTGTACTACCATGAAGGAGACGAAGAATATCGCTCGATCTTCAGGCGTTCCAATGGTGGGTAGCTAGCAGACCATGTCCAAAGAACGCCGAAGCTGCAGGTTCTTCGACTTGCTGATCTGCAAGTTGTGCGAGAGCAACTACTACTGTTTGGCGTGACAGCGATCAAAATGACGGGCTAACCTGAAAGAAAAAATAAAACTAAAAAGGCGTCCGTGCGCAAAAGCCTAGGCCGGTGCATAGAAAGTTACGTCACATCAGGGTCAGGCTGTCTTCTCGTTCAAGTTAGTAGAAGAGTACGTGGAGCATCTGAACGTGCCCCCCACCTGGCTCAGTTCTCTGCTCTCTTCTCTTCCACCACAACTCTTCCTCCAGACCCCCGCTACTTGTCTAACGTTCTGTCAGGATGCATCTCACTCAAACGAGCAAGCGCTTCATCAGCGTCGGCCTCATTGCCGTCTGCCTGAGCATCGCCCTGGCACCGCAACCCGCCCACGCAGACTGGATCCAGGTGAGCCCCACTCCATCAGCCTGCCCTCCGCTCCGCTTTGTGTGTTTTCACAAATCTGACATTCTCTCTCACTCTCGCCTTCTCTCTCTTCGTCCCTTTGCCCTATGCCATCTTCATCTTTTCTCTTTTAATCTCTCTCTTCTCTTCTCCACCCTGTTCATCAAACAGGATGCCACCAGCGGCGGCCAGAGGGTCTTCAAGGCGGCCTTTGACGCCTGGACCGAGAGCGACCTGCGCACCTACCTGCTCGACCGCGGCATCATTGCCCCAACCTCGACGCGCGAGCAACTCGTCACACTCGCCAAGCAGGACTACTCCAAGGTGCAGGCCTCTGCGCTGTCGGCCACGGCAGACGCTTCCAAGGTTGCCAACGAAGCTGCGAGCTCCGTCTACTCGGCAGCCTCCTCATTTGAATCGGCGGTTCGTGACTACGTGGACAGAGCAGCCAGCCAGGCCTATTCGCTCACCGATCTGTACTATCAGGCTTCCGACTCTGCCTCGGCTGCGTCCAAGTCGGCGACCAGTGTTGCTTCGCGGGTGAGCAAGAGCGTCCCCACGGACGCGTCGAGCTTGAGCTACGAGATCAGCTCGGGCGCCAGCGGTGCGAGCAAGTCGGCCTCGTCGGCCTACGCCCAGGCCTCTTCGCAGGTCAGCAAGCAGCTCGACGACGCCCACGACTACGTCTTCTCGAGCTGGGACGACTCCCAGCTCCACGCCTGGCTCGTGGAGCACAATGTCATCAAGTCCAAGACCGTTGCCCGCCGCGACGAGCTCCTGTCCTACGCTCGCGACTCGTACACAGCTGCCGTCAATGCTCCTTACGAGGCCTTTTCCAACAGCTACCTTGTGCGTCATCCTTCCTTCAGTGTTTTTCACTTTGTAATTTGCTCACCCTTTCGTCGTTGTACCCTCTTTTTTACAGCACAACTGGCTTGTCGACCAGGGCGTCATTCGCAGCCCTGGGGAGAAGACTCGCGATGAATACGTGAGTCTCTAGGTTTGCAGTCTGGTAGGCGGACGACGCTTACCTTCCTTTCCCCCCTTTCCTCTCAGCTCAACCTGGCCAAGGACTACTACTTTACGAGCAAGGACACCGTCTTTGACAGCTGGAAGGAGTCTGACCTCCGCAAGTGGCTCGTCGACAATGGCGTCATCAAGTCGGACTACGAGGCGTCGCGGGACAAGCTCGTGAACCTCGTGTCGGACAACTACAAGTGGTCGACCAACGAGCTGTACTCGTCGTGGACCGATTCGGACCTGCGCAACTACCTCATCCACAACGGCTGGATCAAGAGCGACTACGAGGCCAAGCGCGACGACCTCATTGCCCTGGTGCAGAAGCACGGAAACGCGGTGACGGACTCGGCGCGCGACTACTATGCCTGGTCTGACGCTCGGATTCGTGGCTACCTTCGCCAGACTGGCCTCAGCCTGGACAGGACGCCATCGACGCGAGAGGGCCTCCTCCGTGAGATGCGTGCCCGCTTCCAGCCCCAGAAGGGCATCTTTGACCAGCTCAAGGATGGCATCCGCCACGTCGTCGAGAGCGTCCAGGACGCGGCCGGCAACGCAGAGGCCAAGGCCAAGGTGGCCAGCGTCAGCGCCTCGTCTGCCAGCTCGGCGGCCAGTGTTGCTGCCAGCAAGGCTGCCGCTCACCAGGAGCTGTGAGCAGCATATAGTCTCGCTGTCCAAAGACCCGCCTCTCTTCCACCGTATACCCCCTTAAACCAACGCCACGTCTTGACGAATGATTAAATGGGTGCGGCCTTTTTTTCTGTTCCCCTCCCCTCTAACACCCTCCCCTCTCAGGCCCTCAACCGCCTCCCCCACTTTTCCCCTTCTTGCTCTGTCTACCTGTATGTAAACGAATCTCGGAGGCAGGGCTCCTCAAAATAACGCCTCCCAAATGGAAATGAAAATCAGAGACTACTTGAGAGAGAAAGATTTATTGCGGGCGCGAAAAGAGACAGGGGAAAAAGGGGAATGAAGGGTGCGAGTCAGGTTCTACTACAGCTTCGCCCTTGGGTTGCTGCCGCTCTTGTTCATGATTGTCTTTACGCTCTCGGCGGCGGGGATGAACTTGGTGGCGTACATCTTGGCCTCTGCCGAGCTGGCCTGCCGCTGCGCGACCCTGGCGGCGATGCCCTGCGAGATGACGGCGGCCTGTGTTGGGGGGGGGGAGAAATAATCTTGCGTCAGTGAGCAAGGAAGATAGAGGGGAGGAGGAGGGAAAGTTTCGAGAGCTACTCACGCGGAACCACGCCCAGGCCTCGCAGAAGTGCCAGGCGGGGATGGGGTAGGCGCGCTTGGCCGCCTGGCAGTAGGCCCGCATCAGCGCCTCCTTTTGCGGCACGGGGCTCACGTCGTCGGACAGGTCGCCGAGGAGCATAAACATCTCGCCGCGCTTCTGGGCGCGCTCAAATTCGGCGGGGTCGTTGATCTGCGCGCCGTTGGGGCACGGCAGCGAAAACGGCTGCAGCAGGTTGCCGAGATCCGACAGCGGGTGGCCCAGCGTCGAGAGCTCCCAGTCGAGCACGGCAATCACGCGCGGCTCGGTGGGGTGGTAGATGAGATTGTCGATCTTGTAGTCACCGTGGGCGATGCAGTTCTCGTCGGGCACCATGTTGGCCCCGAGCCACGCGGTGATCTCGTCCATGTGCGGGATGGGTCCCACCTGCTTGCCGCTGTCCTCGTCGGGGACCTGGGCCTGCATGCCAGAGACGTGCGACAGCGCCTTGAGCTGGCGCGGGTAGAACGACGATGGCTTGCCGTAGTCGCCAAGCCCAATCTTGCGAGGGTCGATTCGGTGCAGCGCTGCGAGGGTTCGGATGGCCGAGAACCAGCTAAAGGGGAACAGTGATGACAAAGTTGAGACTAATGAGGAGTAGACAAGATAGAGTACGCATCACAGAGGTCGACTCACCATTGCTTTCGCTCCTCCTTTGGAATCGACAGCATCCTTGGGTCGGTAAAGATGCGGCCCTCGATGAATTGCATGATGTAGAACGGCGTACCAAGAATCGACGAGTCCTCGCAGAGACAGTAGACCTCAGGCACAGGTACTGCGTCGGGGTGCAGCAAGCGCTCATCATCCTGGCTCATTCCCTTCTGCAGCGCCTGACCACCGCCCACCGCAGGCCGAGGCAGGCTCTTGTTGTGCCGACCAATGGCCTCGAGGATCTTGTACTCTCGTTCGACCGCATGCGCCGTCTTGCTCACAAGCTTTCCCGGTGGCTTCTTGCGGAGGATAAATCGCTGGCCGCCGGAGCCTGTCAGAAGCATCGTCGGGTTTGACTGGCCAAAGGCGGCCTGTTTGACCTGGACGGGCAGCTTGATCTCCGGAACCTTTTCCGAGAGATACTTGGCCAACGACTTCTCGTCGATGGCCTGCCGAACGGCGCCGAATTCTTGCCCTGTCATGATGTCGTTCTAGTCTCTCCTCTTCTCTGTACGGTCCGGGTGGTCGTCGTCGTCGTTGTCTTTGTTCTTCCTGTCCTTCTTGTAGGACAAGCTTCTTTCCCCGCACGACCGAGCCGGTTAGCGACCGGAAGCCGAAGCCGATGACCATCCATCAGTGAATAATCAAAGGTTGTGTCACGTGGCGAGCACGGACCAACGGACTTCGAAACCTCCCCTTGGCAGATGCACATTGTCAAAGGGGCTTGCTTGCAAATCTTCTTCTTCGACGACAGCCACGGGATGTATCTCCAGCCGTCAGGCATTCTCTGCTCCTCCACCATCACAGCTATCTCGGTGGCAGACTTGAGCGGTCCAGGGCCGAAAAAGAAGAGAAAAATAAATTAAAAGCTTTGAGCGTAGTGCGCTCGATCGAGCTAATCGCGGGAGAATTTAGAGCAAAGCCACGTGTGGAGGGCAGGCAAGCAAGAAGAACGTTGACTTTCACCAAAGGGCTCGACAGTAGTTTGCCCGATTCCCTCTCCCTTCCACTAACGACGGCAACGACGACGACGATTATCACGGCAACCACGGAAAGGTGTTCTTTGAAAGCAAGACTGACCTGCCATCGACTACGCTTGAGACTCCACTTGAATTGAGGGCAAGCAGATGGCCTCCACTGGCGTCAATGAGGCGTCAGCGGCTGGAGCCTCAGGGCTGCGCGCTCGCAAGACGCACGACGTAGGAGAAGCGGCGACACCAAAGCAGGAGCAATACGATGCCGAGGATGACCAAACGACAGCAAGGGAGGAGAAGGAGAAGGTAATCGGGAGGGTGCCGGACGGAACAGGTGAGCAGAAACACTTGGGCGGAAGCGAGATGAAAGATGAGCAACCTTGCTTGGCAAATTAGAACTGATATCGGACTTCACAGTCTTTGTCGTGCCGCATACGCCCGACATGCTCACTTCCATCTTCCACCCAAAGAAACCAAAGACGGCCCTTGACATTCTCACCATTGTGTCCCTCGTCCTCCAGATTGTCCTCTTCTTCACTCTGAGAGGAAACGTCCGTCGAGGCTTCTTCGTTGTCTACTTTGCCTTTTGGCGCGGTGCATACAATGGTGGTCTCGGCTACATCCTGAAAGCCCAAAGTGAGAGGGAATGGATCGTCAAGACGGTCAAGCGCCAAGGCTGGCTGGACGCGAAGAGGAGGCCCAAAGTGTACGACTGGGCAAAACACCACCTCGTCATGAAGATGGACAAGGACTACGACTTTGATGCTCTTCCACTGGAGTACAACGTCTGGCTTCTTTTTCGATCCATCGTCGATGTCATCCTCCTCAACGACGTGCGTCTATGGTGTCTTGTCTTTCCGTCTGTCGTCAGCAGCTTACAGAACCCACTTGCAGTTTGTCGCCTATTCGCTCTTTGCCTTCTCTTGTACCAGGTCTCCAGAGGGACACAGCTTCCTTATGCACTCGCTTCGTTGGATTGCGGGCTGGGGTCTTATCTTCTTCAACCTCTGGGTCAAGATGGATGCCCACCGAGTCGTCAAGGACTATGCATGGTCAGTTCTACGGGACCGCTTCCTTCTCTGCAGACTGGAAGCTGATATGCCTCCGCAGGTATTGGGGTGACTGCTTTTTCCTGTGCTTGCAAAGCCTCGTCTTCGATGGCGTCTACGAATGTGCGCCCGATCCCATGTATTCGTGAGTCTGTGCTTGTCCTTGTGCAGCGTGAAATAATGCTGACTGTCTTTCCCCAGGCTCGGTGCGTCAGAGTTTTTCTTTTTTGGCCCCTCTCTACGCCAGACAACTCATCACCATTCCTTTTCACAGGGTACGCTGGTTACTACGGCCTTTCGCTCGTCTCTGGATCTTATGCGGTCCTCTTTGTCTCGCTTGCTGCGCACTTTTCTCAATTTCTTTTTCTCAAATTCTTCGAAGGGCCTCACATCGAGCGAGTCTATGGCGAAAAGAAGCCTCTGGCAGCCCGTATCCCGTTGCGGACAGCACCGTACAATGCAGCATCGGCAAAAGAGGCTGCCACACCGGGTGGTTCGGTACCGGAGGCAATGGTGGGCGGCATCCACGAGCCCAGTGGCGTTGCATCGCCCAAGAGTGCCGATCACGTTGAGCTAGAACCTGCCACGCCAAGCCAGACCGATGGGACCACATCGGCCTCAAGCGAGGATGAATCGCAGATCGAGCACTCTATCAGGCAGGCAAAAGTGCAGTCCATCCGCAACGACGTTCGCCTCCGACGGCAGCCGGATGAGCCAGAAAGGAAGGTTACGAATCTACACGATCTCCACCACAGGCTCTTTCAAAAGGATACTGTCGTTTTCAAGGTGATTTCAAGTATTCTGAGCGAGACTCGCACCAGACTGACGCAAGCCTTACAGAATCTCGATCCGCTCCGAGCAAACGACTTTCTCCTTATCGTCGCAGTCACGTATGGCATTGTCCCATTCCTCATGCCCAGCACAGGCCCCAAGACGACGCTTGCCTTGTTCTACCTCAATGCTCTGGCATGGCGGATGATTCACTCGTTCGGACTGGGCGCCCTGCTTTCTGCTCAATCGGACAGTAAATGGATGGTCCGGCACTATCTCAAGCACTACGTCCATAGCCACTCGAGCGATGCGGTCTATGCAGCCTTCTCAAACTGGAAGGTGATCTACAACACGTCGCTCGTCATGACGTATCTGTCCTTCGGCGTCCTTTGCTGGAAGTGCTACGCTCCGCTCGGTCGCGACTGGACCGCGGGTACGGATCTACTGCGCCACGTTCTCGGCGTTCTCCTCGTTGCGCTGCACATTTGGACGGCTACCTCGTCGTATGCTGTGCTCGGACCCTTTGGCTGGCTCTACGGCGACTTTTTCATCGACGAATATCCTCATCAGCTCTACTACACGGGCATCTATCGCTTCTTGAACAATCCAGAGCGCTCGATGGGAAGCGCTGCTTTCTTTGGCCTCGTCCTGATCAGCGGCTCCAAGCTAGCGCTCAGCATGGCTATCATCTCTCATGCTGCTCACTGGATCTTCCTGTCGCATGTTGAGAATCCTCACATGACCAAGGTGTGTGAGATTTGCTCTAGAGCAACAGAACTGGAACTGACACAATCACAGCTGTACGGACAAGCGGCGGTGTCGCGGGACGGTGGTGTCACCAAGAACATCAAGAGCATTGCTGAGCGAAATGCGGGCATCCTTCGTGCGGCTCAGTCTCATCCCAAGTTCAAGGAGATGCAAGCCGAGCTGGGAAGGGTCCACAAGGACGCCAGTGCCAAATTTGAAGATTTTGTCAGCCGAAGTCGACCACGCTTCGAGGGCATGATCGAGGACACCAAGATGCTTTTGGAGAAGAGCAGAGATAGGCTCCTCATCGTTAAAGTGGGCGACGACATCGCGACCATCGATCGGTCCAAGTACGCTCTCAGGATTCTTCCATCTAAGGCGACTGGTCAGCCCAACCGCTTCATGCTCGGCGAGCCTCTGTCGGTCGAGTGGACGGCACCGAAGAACCATTCGAGGCGAGACTGGATTGGCATCTATCTTGTCTCGCGCTTCGGCGGGCCAGCAGCTGCAAGCGAGTCGAGACTTGTCACACGCATCTCCTCTCAGGGCCGCTGGGTTGGTGTGGCCGAAGACGAATGGGAGGGTGATGTCCACACGGGCTCGCCAGCCAACGCAGATGTCGGTGCAGAGTCTTCTTCTTCCTCATCGTCTTCCGATCTCGTCAAGGGTATCGCCACCTTCCGACAGACGAAACTCCCGTGGGTGTGCGGCACCTACGAGCTCCGCTACCACCATGATGCCAAGCACAATGTGCTCGCTCGCAGCACCCCCCTCGAGATCTATGTCGACCAGCCCTCGAACCCGGTGACGCTGGACAATGTCTACCCACTTCTTGGCCGCCTCGTGACAAATGCCCTCGACTCGCAGTACACGCACGCGCCCCGCTCCCAAACTGGTCGCCCGGAGGCGACAGACGTGCCGAGCGGACGAGCGACGGACAGCGATCCCGACGACTTTACACTCTGGGATCTGTCGCAGGCGAAACGGATTGCGGGCGCCATCAAGCAAGCCTTTGGCATCGAATACACGCCCCAGGTGGTTGTGGCCGAGGCAAATGTCAGGAGACTCGCCTCGGACATTGTCGAGGCCAGGCGCTTGCTCGAGCCCGATTTCAGACCGGAATTCTCGTTGGACCAGTAAGGAGCACAAACCTCCTTTCGTACTTCACCCCGGCAACAATCCTTGCTTTCAGTTCCTCTTTCAAAAAATTACCCCTCCTGTGGGTCGACCGCTGCAGGATGATAAACTGCTGTAACCCAGCCGCCATATCCGTTTTGTTTCGCATCCAATTCCAACACAGATAGATTGCTTCGAGAACATGGGAAATGAGTGGTTTGCTTGCTCACAAAGAAAGACACAATTAGTGCCTTTGAGCCTCTAATCGACGTCCATCGATTGAGGTTGCAGAGAAGTAAATTCTCCCTCATCCTTGACTGTTGCTGCTTCTGCTGCACCGCTTTCTTGGGGATCTTGTTCAACGAGTTCCATCGCGACAGCAGGACTATTGACCCCGTCATCCTCTTGTTTGACCATCGGCATCTCTACTGGAGACAATACTGTTGGGGGAGTTGATGTCGATATTGAGGCATCCAACGCTGCCGTCGGAGAAGGAAGCGGGGGCGGGGTTCCGGTGATTCCAGTCGGCCGACTCGTATGACTTCCATTGAGGGGGACGCTCGGCGTTGCGCTTCGGCTGTTCCTTGCACTCGCACTTCCCCTCGCGCTACTGCCATTACTGCTCCCCCTTCGTCCTCCATTGACCTGCGCCTTGCGTTTCTTCTTGCCATTGGTCTGTGCCGCAGCCGCTTTTACCTCGTCTCCAGCTTCGCCGCCCTCTTCCTCCTCCTCTTCCCCACTACTGCCGCCGCTGCTGTCCCCGCTCTCGCTCTCGCTGCTCTCGGACTTGCCACCCCTGGCATCCTTGGACGCCTGGTACCGCGCTGCGGCCCTGGCCTCGTCCTCGATGTCGTACCGCCACATTTCCTCCATGAATTCGTCATAGCGCTCCGCCAGCGGTCTCCAGTTGCTTGGGGCGCCTCCGGAACTCTCACCGTCGAGGGCGCGTTCGATGTCGTCGGGCGGGCAAAAGGCAAAGTCTTCGCGCCTGCTCACGACGCGGGCACGGGCGCCTCCGAAGAGGCTCACAAAGGGAAAGTAGCCCATTGCGCCGTCGTCAAACGCGTTCTCGCGGCTCTTGACAATGGAAGCCAGCGAGGAGCTCGAAGTGATGACCGTTCCGCTCCCTTCGTCGAGGTCAGCAAGCGAGAGCGAGGTTGTGTTGCCGCTCGCAGCGCCACTGCCACCCGCTCGTTGCTGCTTGTCCGCTGCGGCTCTTCGCAGCGGTCTGAAGTCGAGCAGATCCCGAAAAGCAATCCCTTGAGGCTCGCCATTGATAAAGAAGCCAATCTTGGACTCTGAGCCCAAGGTCGGCAGTGGCCTGAGCGCAGCTTCTGCCTTTTTGCCATTGCCATTGGAAGGCGCCTCTTTGGGACCTCCAGGTCCATTTGCACCGCCCTTTCGCTTCTTGGCAGAGGATCCAGTCGTACCTGCTCCATTTGCACTACTTTTACCTCCGCTTCCGGAGCCTGGCTGGTCGACACCGCCCTTGATGCCCTTTCCATGGCCGCCTGGACCGGCTTTCCCGTCGGAAAGAGGAGCATGGAGGCAGCTTGCCACGGCTCCGGAGCTTCCCGTCGAGAGGGCAGCGACGACGTCCTTGTCGCCTCGCCGACTTCTCTCCATCAAGGCCTCCATTTCCTTTGATTGCGCGTACTCGAGACTCTCAAAGTACAGCTGCGACTTGTAGCGGATCGGCAGCCGCTTTCTTCGGATCCTCGCCGGGTCCAGCGGGTCGACGTCTACCTTGTCGGCGTTCGCATCAGGGCTGGGGATGGAGATGTACATGCCAACGACATCGCCCGGACCAAAGCGGCAACCATAGGACTGAGGACGAGAGAGAAAGACCTTGTCGCCGTTGGTGTCTCTCAGGCCGTACGAGTAGCCGTCAAAGCCAACGGGCGCATTGAGAGGTGCTTCTCTTCTCCCCCAGCCTAGGCGCACATGTGGGCCGTCGGACATTGGTCGGCGTGGAGCGGCTCCGGCCGTTGCTATCGGGGTCTGGCCGTGATGATGAGTGATTCCAGCGGCTGGAAGTGAGCCCTCGTCATGATTGTGGTGGTGATTGTGGTGGTTGTCCGGATGGGACAGGGCGGCAGCATGGTTCATTGTCTCTGGCTCGAGAATGTGCACCTCGACATACCACGAGCCTTGCCTCACTGGGACGTTTGTCCTGGCACTTCGGAAGCCTCGGTCTGATGAGACGATGGCAGCGTCGTTTGAGATGTGTGTGTAGGGACTCCGATCGGTCCAGCTCCAATGAATGCCCCTAGGGGATGTTTCCAAAGTGCGATACACGCTGTGAGGAAGCGAGGCGGAGCAGGGACCAGCCGCAACATAGCGCCAGCCATTTCGATTCAGAGGGTAATTGATCGTGTCGAAGAGCGAGAGACATCCAGGGACCGCAACCAAGGTAGGAAGAGGCGCTATGTCTTCGGCATCGCCCAGCAGGGGTTGGGGTCCACGATAGCGCTTCGGCACAGTGTGATGCGACTTGGGCTGCGCAGGCGCAGGCGTCGGCGGAGTCGACAGTCTCGGTCCTCGTGACCCGCTCCGTTCTCTCCCATCGTCGTCGTAGTAGTGCAGTGGGCCCGGGGTCGGCGTGGGGCTCAGTGAAGACGGCAACTGCGAGGGCGAACCTGGTGGAGGAGAGGAGCTGCCATTAGCGCCATCCTCGAGAAGGTGCGGCGCCGTCCGGGCAATGTACGCCCGCTGCGCATCCACCCGGACGTCCTGGCTCAGCTTGCGCTTCGCCGGCACCGTCGGGTCCATCCTCTTTCTCTCTACCACTAGATCGGAGTCGACGCCGGCAGCAGCATGCGCATGTGAAGCTGCTCCAAACGGCGCCTGCGTGGGCTTGACATTTTTCTCTTCTCCGACGTGCACGCGACCGGCGCGCGCCAGTCCAAACCAGAAAAATAAAAATAAAATAGAGGAACAAAAGTTGTGCGACGCGAAGAAGGTCTTCCTTCCATGGCCCAGCGGCGGTAGGAGACCTTCGTCTACCCCCTCCAAGAGCCATGTCGGCTCCGGCGACGCCCAAGCAAGGCGAGAAGCGGCCGTCGCAGCCCTCGCTTCCGGCAACTGCTGGTCCGTTGATTTCCTTGAGCTTCATCGACGCCCCTACTCAGCGCGTGTATGCGGCGAGCATCTTCGTCGCCTTGCAGGTGCGTCCCCTCCTCCCCGCTTTTGCGCATGTTCTTCAACACTTGACTGACCTGATCCGTCACAGACGTACAAGGTCGTCCAATTGCTCAGCTTCATCTTCTCGCCCTCGCTTTTCTCGTTGCTGGGCACCTTTGTCCTCATCGATCTCGCCTTCGTCGCGGTTGTATCGAGGTTGAGGATCCCGAGGCTGGACCTCTCGAGGGCGAAGTGGACCATCGTCTTCGGTCTCTTGGCGTCCACGGACTGGATCGTGCTCGGAGGATGGCGAGTTCTGCTTTCCAGCCTGACTTATGTCCCGCTCCTGGGATGGCTGGGCGGCGCGCTCCTGGGGTCTTGGAGCGATGCCTTCAACCGCCAAGTCGCCATCAGCGAGCATCGAGTCAGCATCCGTGACCTCATTCGCCCCACCAGCCACATCTTTGGGCAGCACACCATTCATATCCTGCCTTACAGCACTGCCACGCTGTCGCCCGCCTATCTATCCGTGCAGTCTGCCGATGGCGGAGCGTCTGACGGCAAGGGCAAGCTGGCTTCTTCTTCTTCTTCTTCTTCGTCCTCCTCTTCGACAAGGTCCTCGCCGCTCTCTTCGTGCTTTTGCCTGGACCCCAGTAATCCAAAAGCAGAGCTGTCGATTCCTCTTGTCTTCAACAACACCGAGCCCCAGTTTGTCTCGTACAGCGTCACTCCCTTCGACGGGAGCGCCCCCCTGGTCTTCAACGTCACTATCCCTCGTGGTGCCCTTACCAGGCTTGGGGAGGCCAACAAGGAGTGGCAGCGTGCAAGAGGAGAGGACGAGCTGGATCTTGAGTTGGATGATCTGGATGATTATCAGCAAGCATCGAGTGGCGGAGGCGCCGGTAATCGCGGCTCGGAGCTGGTCAGAAGGGACAAGCACCACCAGCAGCAGCAGCAGCAGCAACAGCAGCAGCATCAGCAGCAACCACATGCGAAGGCTGGCGCCACCAACGAGGCCACCCTTTTCCACCTGCCCATCAAAAATGTGGGCCGTGTACGGCTCGAGCGTGTCTTGGACAAGAACCGCTTCGATGCGCGCTTGTCCAAGTCCGAGATCATGATTGTCGAGTGTCCGAGCGCCGCTTTCATCGACGGCACTCGAGCTGCAAGTGCACCCAAGGGTCGAAAGACCGACATGTGTCCAGGCGACGAAGCCTCCCTCGACGTGCGAGTGCGAGGATTGGCGCCTCTCAGACTTCACTACACACGTCAATCGTCATTACGAAGAGGGAAGGAGCCCTTATCCATCTCGCATATCTCGAGCCATCACCATGCCAGCCCCCTCGTGGCTCCCGAAGGTTCAAGCATTGATGCGGCTCAGCACCTCTCTGTCGCACTCCGCGGCGCGCCAAGCAAAGTGGACCAGAGCTTCTCGTGGGCACAGGCCAGAGATGTCGACTTGCCCCTGACGCTGCAGCTGTCCGGTCCAGGTATCTACGAGTACGAGCTGGAGAGCGTCAGCGATGCTTGTGGCAACTCTTTTGATGCGGTCGCCGCCGCGTCTTCGCCACGCACAAAATTGACGCCTCAGAGCCGAAGTAGAACGGTCGAGGTGCACCCACGACCCAGTGTGCAGTTGCGAGGCTGCACAAGCGCGGATCCGATCAAGCTACTCAAGGGCAAGGGCGCAAAGGAGGTCGAGGTGCAGCTCAACGTCAATGATGCTGACGGAGGGCCATGGTCTGCCCAAGTCCGTTTTGATGGCGAGGACGCCGCCTCGTCGTGGCGAAAGAATGTGACAATCAACAGCTCAGATAGCCGAGCCAAGCTCCCTATTGAGAGGCCGGGAACCTACACACTCGAAGGTGTCAACGGTCGCTACTGCGCAGGTGATGTGGGGGCGCCCTGGATTTGCTCAGCCGTCGAAGTGCAGCCTCCGACGGCCATGATCGAATTCGACTCGATTCAGGATCACTGCGCCGGTCCGGTCGGCGTCAAGGCTCTGGCCGTACTTTCAGGTACACCTCCCTTCCGACTGGCCTACACTGTACAGACGAAAGGAAGAGCCCCCGTGGCCCAAGAGAGATACATCGAGAGAACTCGCGACGAGATCGAATTTCGACCGAGCCAAGAGGGAGAGGTCACCTATACCTTCACTGGCCTCTCGGACGCAAATTACCGAGAGCGCATCGCCTTGGATGGACCGAAATTCACCCAGAGTCTTCATCCAATTGCCAAGGCTCGCTTTGCTGGATCCAGCTCCACTGATGGCTCTGGCTCACTTGTGGTGCAGAGCTGCGAGGGGGATCGTGCCCAGGCACAGGTCCTTCTCGAAGGCACAGGACCATTTGAGCTGGTCTACTCGGTGCGCGACAGCAGCATTGCCTCCTCAGGTAAATCGAAAGATAAGACGAGAAAATCGATGGAGCAGCACCGGGTGAAGGACATCCAAACTGACAGGTACCTGCTCGATGTTGAGCTGCCGTCTGCGCTGGCGAGGGAAGGTGGCAGGGCAACGATTTCCCTGGTGAGCATCAAGGATGCCAAGGGCTGCGAGCGAGCTTTGACGACCGACGACCTCAACATCGACGTTCGCCGCACGAGGCCCACAGTGGGTTTCGCTGCAGGTGGGCAACTCGCCACGTCTTCGATCCTCGAAGGCGGCTCCGTCGATGTTCCCATTCGACTGACGGGAGAAGCGCCTTGGAAAGTCAAGTACACTGGGCCTGAAGAGGGTTCCAAAGCCCAAGAGGTCACGGTTCAGAGGCCAGAGGGCATTCTTCGATTCAGCCAGGCGGGCAGCTATAGGATTGTCGGCGTTACGGATCGTCACTGTCCAGGCGAGATCGCCACGGACAAGGCCGCCCACACGGTTTCGGTCCGACCGAGACCTAGCGCCCGCTTCTTACTAGAGTCCATTCCGGGTTTGTCCAACGAAAGTGCCACCCTGGTCCGACCACCGGTCTGTGTGGGGGTTCCTGACGCCGTCGAGGTTGGTTTGGCCGGCCAATTCCCCGTTCGCCTTACATATAGTCATCAGCCGCCCAATGGAAAGTCCAAGCAGTCGGATACCTTCTCTTCGGCTCAGGACGTGGCGACGATCCAGCTCGATACAAGCCGGTGGGGAGAGCACACGTATGAACTCGAGGACATTGGTGACGCCATCTATCGAGAAAGTGCTCGGCTCAAGGGCGGACGAATGCTTAAACAACAAGTCCATCCCCTTCCTCAAGCGAGCTTTTCGAAGGAAAGCCAGAGAGGTGCAGCACATGGGCAAGCCCTAATCAAGAAGGGCAGCGGGTCATCGGCTAATGGGAAGGGGCAGGACAGACCTACCTTCTGCGTTGGCGACACTCTATCACAAAATGGCAAGGGTGATGGAACTAATCAGGACAGGAGGTCATCATCGAAGGGTGGGGAAACATCATCGACCTTGCCCAAGCTCTCGTTGTCCGGAACGCCACCATTTGAGGTGGAAGTGGCCATCTATGACGACGCATCTTCCATCACAGCGCCACGCTTCAAGATCCATAAGGCTGGTCTGAGTGCCTCCGAGGTTGAACTCGGCTCGCTGATGGATCTGGATGCTTTCACCTTCGACCGGACAGGCAGATGGAATGCGGAGGTGGTCCGAGTCAAGGATGGAAACGGGTGTGAATTCTCATACGTGGATCAGGCTGGGTCAACGGCAGCGCCAGGGAAGCAGGAGGAAGAGGACGATGGAATCGTTGCAAGAGCTGGTGGCGCGGTCGGACGGGGCCAGCAACCCTCCCAAGGCGGTGGCTTGGAGATCGATGTCGTGGAGACGGCAAGTATCGTCAGCGTCGGGACGAGGACAGACTATTGCATTGGCGAGTCCGTCGATTACATCCTTCAAGGTAGACCGCCGTGGAGGGTCAACTACCGATTCGACGGACGACAGTCGCAAGCCGTCGTGCGAGATGTTGGCGGACTGTTCTCTCGCGTGGCCGAGCAGGCTGGTGTTCTGGACATCGAAGAGGTCGCACCATTCCAACAGGCGAACTACCGCTGTGGCGTCCGCTTCGAAGAAGGGGAGGAGAGAAGACGTCGATTGCAGAAGGTTGTTCACCCTCTGCCTACGGTCAAGGTGCACGGAGGTATGCACTTTGTCGAAGATCTCCGCGAAGGCAGTCAAGCCGAGATCGTCTTCACGCTCCAAGGCACGCCTCCCTTTGCTTTCACCTACCAAAGGACCCAGCCCGCCGATACGGTGCGCAGGCCACGGGTGCTCGAGACCCACACAGTGACGGGCATCGAGACGGACAGGTACAGTCTCTGGACGAGCAAGGAAGGCACGTGGAGTGTCACTTGGCTGCAGGACAGATGGTGCTCTGTCAGCCTTGACGACGTAGGCAACATGAAGGGCCAAGGCGTCGGCAGCAACGACGACGGAAGCGGTGGCAGACAGAGACGGAGATTGACTCGGTGATCATACTCTGCCTTAATGACACAAATGTAAAAGAACTTCATATTTCATCTAAGTAATGATGGGTCGGTGTATCAGTGTCATCAGCGAATGAGTATGCCGATCGAATCGCACCACTGTCCCGCAGAACAGAAGAGACCAACGATCTCTTGCCCCTGGGGAGCCTCAAGCACCTTTTGGCTTCCTCCTTCGACATTTCCATACCAGCCTGATTGCGCACCAGAGGTCATGATAATGTTGACTGCGTCGATCCAGGCACCGCAGCGGAGCTCGAGCCGCGCGATCGAGTCTGCCGCCTCCCGAATGGCAAATTGACAATTGGGTACCTTGTCATTTTGAGGCGGACCGACGTGAACAGTCGAGCGGGCATTGGTTGACCAATTGTGAAAATGGAAGGTAAACGCATCAAGGGCCGCGCCGACGTAGATGTCGATGCCAATCATGGCAAAGATAGAGGGCTGGAGCTTGCTCGGAAAAATTTGAGTCTGACGGAGCGATCCTCCGTCTTGATTGCCGGCCGCAGCGCCCTTGTAGATCGGCCTGGGATCGTCCGTCTTTTCCGTGACGTGCACCAGCTGCGCGAAGCCCTGGTCGCGGTAGTCGGACAACTTTTCCTGGCGCAGATTCGCACCCACTACATTGAGGCTGACTGTGGGCGAGCGCGGGTCCATGACATCAAAATGAAGCAACTGGCTCAGGTAGTAAGGCGAAATCTGCAGCTTCTTTGGTGAGGCCGTGCCTCCGCCGTTGCTCCTCGTCGCCACTGCCCTACCCACGTACTCGATGTGCGTCTTGTGCGTTTCTCCCACAGAAATTTCGATGGAGGCGATGCCTGATTCGTTGGACAGAGTCGGACCCTGCCCAGTCAGCCCTGGCGTGATGCTCGTCGATGCTGCGTGCGGGCCCCACTGCTCCAGGTCGGCCGGGATGCGGAAGCAGGGGTGATGAAAGGCTCGGACAGCCTGACAGCGATGCAAGTGATTTTTACCAGCGTCGTTGTTTGGTGTGATGGGCTTTGTGCCCTTGCTTGCCGGGGCCCGAGGAGGCTCGCGGGTGCAAAAGGCACGGTTGAACTCGACGTAGCCTCTCGCCATGATTCCGTCTGGCCAATGGGGGTTGTCAAGAGCGTGTCCGACCTCGTGCAACATGGCGCCGCTGCCAATGTTCAGCGTCTGCCATGCTGTCGGGCACTCGTTCAGGTCGTTGACGACGAATTGTGTTTCAGTCTTTGCCTCGTTGGTGAATGCGAATGTGACCTCGTTGAGGTTGGAAGGAGCAGACCAGAGGAAATGACTGCCCATGACACCGTAGGAGAAGTCATCGCGCGTCGCAGCACCCACGGCAGCATGGCCCCGCAATAAGCTCGCTTCGTAGTCCCAGCGAGTGTCGAGAATCAATACGGCCAAGGGAGAGTCGCGGTGAAATGGTGCGGTGCCAGTCTCTACTGCCTCACGGATCGCCTCGCCGGCAAAGACATGCATCGCCCCGCCGTTCTTTGCGTTCTTCTGCTGTTGAGCATTGTCTTTGTCAAGAAATTCGGCGAGGGTGTGCTTCGAACGAAGAAGATGGACGTCCGCAAGCAGCGAGAGTGGACGCTGAGCAGGTGCAATGGTGGTGTCCTCGAGCTGGAAGGCCCTGCGGTCCAGACCGTGCCGTCGCATTTCCTCTGCATGGAAGGCCTGCCACAGATAAACCTGCAGACATAACCGACGCTTGATCTCGTCCAGACCACCTCGTCGGAGCTTTTCACGCGCATGGCCTGGTGGCGCATCAACAAGGGCCCGTGGACCGGCTTCGTCGTGCGGCAGCTCGTATTTGCGACGAGACGAGTTTCCGAGCATCTTCCTCTTGAGACTCTCCATTTTGTTGTTCGAACCGCCGTCGTCAGTAGAGTTGCTCGTGGTCGAATACAATGGAGAATCGCTTGCAGCAAGCATACACAATTGTAGCGGTGGGACGCGCATGTCTCGCTCGTACGTCAATCGTAAGGTCACCTCGGCTTCATCTCTGCCTGACGAGGAGGAACGGAAGCGAACGCGGACCTCATTTTGGCCCAAGACGAGGGGAAGCAGGATCTTGAAGTATCCCGCGTTGACTTCCCATGTCTGCCAAGCAGCGTCCTCAATGGGGTGCAGCCTCGCAGATGGCTCGAGGGACTCGACAGTAAGGTACCCGTCTTCTCCGCCTCCTTCTAGGACACTGCCACTGAGGATGACAAGCCTAGTGTAGACGGTCTCGTTGTTGGCGATGTTGTCGAACCGTACCTCGAACATCTTTTGTTTGCCAATGCACTTGGAGGATGCGACGTAGCCGTGGATGTGACGTGGCCCAGAAGCACTTAGGGGAGGGGGGGGGGGGGGGTTTAGGAGCACATGGGGTGCCTAGGAGCACATGGGGTGTCCAAGAAGCAGATACGTCTAGGGCTGCTTCAGTGGTACGTGCGAAGGGGAGCGCTAAAAAAGCCACTAGAGTGGCTCAATATCAGCGTGGTAGATCCGACGCCATGGAGGCCCGACGATGTAAGCCAGTGTGCACTCAAGTGTGTCACAGTCCTCTTTTCCCATCCCATCGTTTCTATTGTTCAGCTCTGTTTCAAAATGTGTGATGCGAAGTCCAGTCCATAAGGGCCATGCAAGCCAAAGACAAGACAGTGTACAGCACGGTGTTCGCGAAGCTTAGAAAACATCTTGGCCATTTGATCGGAAAATCATCACACGTGTTCGCAAGGAACTCAGTCGCGAATTTTGGTGGAGCGGGCAACGACTCCCCATGCAGATATTACGGAGTAATTGTCCCTCTACACGATCGAGCAGTCACAAGGGCTCGCTGGAGATTGTCCAGGCGCAACATCGAGGCTTCCGGGTCCAGATATCTCTCCAAGATCCGATCCGATCGGGAACGCTGCGGCGACGAAACGGAGAGAAGAGAGAGGCCCGGCCTTTCGCCCCGCGCAACAGGTTCAGAATTGGCCGCTTCAGTAGAGTGCAAGGCAGATCTGAGCAATCAGGAATAGCACCGAGATGACCTCTCCGTCGCAATCGCACATTTCCTCGTCGACGTCATCAGCGTCTCCTTTCTCAAGGCAGCGTCCTACACAAGCTCCTATGCCCGCTCCTGGTAGCAACAGCTTCACACCAGCCTACAATCCATTGTCGAGTCCTTGCTTTGTGCACTCGCACCTCGACAGCGCCGTCTCTGGCTCAGCTCGAAGAGGAGGCTATCACAACGAGGTGCACCTCAATTCGTCTTCTGCCATGACACTAGGAGGTGCAGCTTCGAGCGCCTACTTTGATGGAGAGCATGGTATGCAGTCTCGTCTGGAGGGGCCATCAGATGGACGAGACCTTGCCGATGGGTTGGCAATGAATTCGACACCTGCGACCACGACAGGAAGCAACGGCACAGCAAACCTTCTGCGGCAACGTAATCATCGGCCCGAGCCAAGGCATCGAGGCGCACAAGGCGCAGTCGAGCCCGAGAGCGGAAGCGAAGAGGGTAGCGACGCAAGCACCAGTCGAGACGAGAGCGCATACAGCGAGGGTGATGACGAAGACGAGGACCACGTACGGAGCTTAACCAGGCAGCTCGCAGAGACGGCGGTAGGAGTGAGAGAGATGAGCAAGCAGCTAGGTCAGTAGTCTACCTCTTGTCCCTTCAGGGCACCAAGCACAGACTAAAACGTGAAATGAACAAACAGGACGAGCAAGGGTCAAGTCGACAATCAACACAGTTCTCATTATCACGAAAGCAAGGGACAACCACTTGATCAAGCTAACACGGGAGCTTGCAATCTGGCTCATGGACACGCCAAGGAACGGTCGTGAAACTGGCTTGGTTGTTTATGTCGACTCGCAGCTACGTCAATCAAAGCGCTTTGACGCCGATGGCATTCGCAAAGAGTACCCTCATCTCTTCATCCCGCAATCAGCCCGCTCTTCCCACCACAACCACCATCACAGCCACTCTCCCTCGGCCGACTCATCGAACAGCTCTCGGACAGGTAGCATGTCGCATGGCAGGGACGAAGGGCAGCTCCGATACTGGACGAGCGACATGTGCAGCCGATCGCCCCATCTCTTTGACTTTGTCGTCACTGTGAGTCCTTTTGTTTCCTCTGGTAGAGGCGTATGCACAAGGCTGATAGATGACGATCATAGCTTGGCGGAGATGGAACTGTGCTCTTTTGCTCGTGGCTCTTCCAGCGCATTGTCCCTCCCGTGATGCCATTTGCGCTGGGTTCACTGGGCTTTCTTACCAATTTCGAGTTCAATGCCTACAAAAAAGTCATGAAGTCAGCCCTCGACACTGGAATTCGGGTCAACCTGCGAATGCGCTTCACGGCCACCGTATACCGAGCCACGCTTCCCAGCTCTCAGACGGCCGATCGGAAGAGACGAAGGGCGATCAGGTCCGGCAAGACGGGCGAAATCATCATGCGCAACATCCAGGAGGGAGGTTGGAACAGGATAGAGACGCCGATCCCAGACGGCGAGGATCTGAGGGGCGCATTCACCGAGGGTGGTGCGCAAGAGGCTGATCCTACGTCGGCGAGGTCGGCCAGCGCCGAGCACCCTGCAGGTCATGTTGACGATGTCGGGCTACCTGACTGTGATGCGGAGCCATCTACAGCGGCAAGATCAAAACCGAAGAGCAAGAAGGACAAGGAGGTCATGTGCTTCAGCACCAAACCAGTCGAGACGTTTGAAGTTCTCAACGACCTTGTCGTCGATCGAGGACCGAGTCCTTACGTTTCGCTTCTGGAGGTGTTTGGAGATGAGCATCACATGACAACAGCCCAGGCGGACGGTTTGTGCATTTCAACTCCGACCGGCTCAACAGCCTACTCGGTGAGCTTCTCTTTTCACAATTTTTGGTTGCTGGGAACGCTGACATGAAGCAAACATGGCCTAAGCTCTCTGCTGGTGGCTCCTTGGTGCATCCAGAAATCCCAGCAATCCTCATCACGCCGATTTGCCCGCACACCCTCTCGTTCCGACCGATGTTACTGCCGGACAGCATGGAGCTCCGCATCGCAGTCCCTTACAACTCCCGCAGCACAGCCTGGGCCAGCTTTGATGGACGGGGTCGTGTGGAGCTCAAACAGGGCGACCACATCAAGGTCACCGCATCGCGCTATCCTTTCCCGACGGTCTGCAACGAAAATCAGTCGAATGACTGGTTCGAATCAATCTCCAGGACGCTGAAGTGGAACGAACGTCAACGACAGAAGAGCTTCGTCGTAGTTGAAGAGGGCGAGGACGACGAGACGGATAGAAAAAAGGATAGGGCCAAAAATGCCAGCAAGAAGATCGAGGCAATGCAAAGGGAGAAACGGGAGGCCTTGGAAAAGAGGCCCAAGGATGATGGCTCAGCACAAGTTCAGGACGGAAAGCAGCGCGCCGAGCTGGGTCTTGATGGCGATGACGACGACGAGGTTGACGAGGAGGAAGATGAGGAAGAAGAAGAAGAAGAGACGTTCGACATCGACGACACGAGCGCTGCAGCAACGAGGGCAAGCAGTCCTATGCAGAGAGCCTCATCGTCTGGCAGTCGTCGATCCTCACAGAGCCACGATCCTGGAAACAGCCGCCTGCGGACGTCGTCGAGCCAAGGCGCTTTGCCCAATCTTTCTCGATTGCATCCCTTGACCAGTACGAAGGATCGGGGAACTGAAAAGAGACGAGAATCGCAAAGAAATGAGTCCGAATCTTCCACGCCTTCGTCGGCAGGGACAGGAAAGTTCGTGCCGTACCAGCATGGCGTCATTCAACCTTCGACAGGTCGCTCGATCTTGGATAGCCCTGATCGCTTTGGCCTTCCAGGACCGCCCAATCCTCCGAGAGCTATTAGCGAGCGACATTTGGCCACGGCGGACTTCAGACTCGATGACGAGGACGAGCCTTCCATGCTTCCTCCGCCTGAGCAGCTAGCGAAGAACAATAAATCCTCAGCAGAAGGAGAGAGGCGAATGGATGGGTCAGCCCCTTTCTCTCCTTCCTCGACCAGCATTTCCGTAGCACGAGAGCCTCTCTCAGCCGCCGCTGCAGCGGTCCAGGGCGCTACGGAAGCCCTCAAGGCTCGTCAAGTATCTCCAGCAGAACATACTGGCTCTTCATCGACCCTGTCTCCATCCCAGACAACGACGACGTCGTCAAGAGAGAGGTCGTCGAGCAGCAGGAGAAGGCCCAGAAGCAAGAGCCTGCGACTCAAGAGCAGCGACAATGCAAGCAACGCCGTCAACTTGAACGGCATCGAAGAAAGCGCCACATCCGGCAGCAGTGGCGGGACAGCGCTTGTCGTATACGGCCAGGACGAGAGCGACTCTGACTCGACTGCCGAGGGATGACGCTGAATCTGCCCCTGTTTGGCTTCTCTATCTTCTTAGCATCTCTCTTATCGGCCCAAATGAAAATGCAATTGAGTTGTGCACTTTCTACGGCTCATGCTCGTTACCACAACGCTCGCCTCTCGCTCCTAAGCTCCCTGCTCAAGCGCTTGTTCCATCCCCAGCTCTCCTTTCCGCTCTCGATGTCCTGTTTCTGTTCCTTTGCCCTCCTCACGTTGACATCTTTGAGGGGCGCGACCATCTGAACGAATGTCCTCGAGCAGCCAAACTGTTTCGACAGCGTCGATGGCGTATTCTTGAACGGGTCTTGGGCCCGAAGTTTTTGGATTTGCGAGATCTCGGCCTCGCCGAGCGTCTTTTCCGACCGCTTGCTCGTGGCTTTTAGCGGTGGCGGGAGGACCTCGCTGGGATCCGTTTCGATTGTCGGCAGCGGCGATGCGGTAGAGGAGTCGGCAGATGATACATTGGAGGAGGTGGGCGGCGTTGGTGGTCGACGGACGATGAGCGTCTCGCCTGATGGCAGCGCATGGCGGACGGCGCTAGGGTCGTGGTTGAGCGGGTCCCGAGGTCGACGAGCAGGGACGTTGCGTGAGAGACTCGATGTCGTGGCGAATGTTCTCGACGAGGACGCAATGCATGATGATGTCCCTCGTGAGCAAACAGCTCGGAAGGACGACGATGTTGCAGTCTGCAGCGCCATAGACCAAGTCGTTTGAGTGAGATGATGACAGGAAGAACTTAAGAAAAAGGTCGCGACACAATTCATGAGAAATAAGTCACGTGGTCGAGAAGTCAGACGAAGTGCGCCGTGAATGGATGCAAACCAGCATTCTCTGATATGACATGACTGGGTGTGTATAGATTGATGTTCTGATGCAAAAAGAGGATGTTACATGAGGAAAGAAGTCCGGCATGGCAAATAGCGATACAAAGAGTGAATGAGCGATCCTGTCAAATCATTCAGGTGATAGGAGAGCAGACCAAACTAGTAGTAGACCAAGCTTATTGCACGGTGCAACCGTTATTGAACCACCAACTCTGTCGTAGCTGTTCGATCCAGTGGACAACAATGCGGAGTCGGACCTTAGCACTGCGGATGGGCAGCAGCTTGGCTTTTTCGTGCTCATCGATGGGCATGACGAGGGCCATCCAGTATCCCAGAGCGACAACGTCACTGGGATTAGGCATGGGCCCGTAGGTATGGTTTAGTCGCGTTAGGAGCCAGGGCGCCGAGCCGGATCGTAACGTATCGATAAAGACGGTGCAAGCCTCGATAAGCTGCACAGTCGTACTAGGCTGTATTGCCAAGTTTTCAGGCGAAGCATCGTTAGGGGTGGTGGGCGTTTGGTCGATGATGGACTGGAAGTGTGTAGCAATGTCTCTAAGGTGGTCGGGCAAAGAGGAAAGATTGCAGCGTTCGACAAAAAGCATTTGCTCCAATTCGTTCTCCTCTTCTTCGCTGATATCGGCAATGGGCTCGATGCGTCCAATCGTGTAGCCGTCCAAGCTGCCCCTTTCCAAGACCTTGAAACGATGCGAGCCCACCGTCTCGATCATCGATCGACCATCGGGCAGCATCTGTACTGACTTGATCTCCAGCATCGTACCGAATTGGTACATTCCTGGACACGGCTCAGCCATACTTTGCGAAGGTAGAACCATTCCGAACCTGAGTGCGAAAGCAAATGTCAGTTCCGCCTTGCGTCATCGGCGTAAGAAGTGCGACCCACCTTGGATTGTTACTCTCAAGACATCGTCGGATCATGAGGCGATAGCGCGGCTCAAAGATGTGAAGAATGGTGGGCATCGAAGGAAAACCTAAGGTGCAAACGAAGAGAGGAGTCGACAAAAGGGCTTCGCGCTGTTCCCTTTCCACAGCTTCTTTGCGACTGATATAAAGCGAGTTGAATCCCCAGCTGTCGCCGTCGTCGCAGGCCGCGACATCGGCAACTCGAACTCGATCACCACCATCATCGAAGCGCTCTTCTTCAGAGAGCTCAGCAGTGAGGAGATTGACGAGAGCGGAATTGGCAGGATGTTCTTGAAAAAAGGCGAAGTTGGGCAGCACGCTGCGGCATAGAGGACACTTGTCGCTGTGGTCGAGACTGCGAGCGAAGCACGAGCGACAGAAGGTGTGGCCGCACGGCGTCGTCAGGGGCTCGCAAAGGAGGAGATAGCAGAGTTGACACTCAAACACGTCAATGAGGTCCGAGTGAAGCTCGTCTGGCGTGAGCGCTTTTCCTTTAGATATAGTCGCGTCTGTCTCAGTCTTTGCTTCGAGGTTGCTATTAGAGGCGGTGACGGGTGATGTTGACCGGCGCCTTGCCCGTGGACCGTGATCCTCTTCCTCAATAGCTGGTGTGTATTGTCGCGCAAAGGCGCCGCCAATGTCCTCGTCGTCATCTTCCTCTGCCACCCAACCTCTTGCGTCATCAGTATCTTGGGGCCTAACGTACGATCTGCCGCGCAGTCTTCGAAGCGACTCCTCCTCCTCGTCATCAGTGTCCCATGAGGCACGAATGTTGCCAACGGCGCCCGACTCGAGCTCAGCCTCGCTGACACCCATAACCGCGAGGTAGTGGGGGTTGATACTGGTCCGTGCTTCTGATCGTTGGCGTGACGACGAAGGCGATGGCGACGGCGAAGAGGACTCGAAACGACTGGCTGTGTTGCCTCGCCGCCTTGCTCTTTGCTGGGATCTCGCCAGGCTGCGACGGGCCACAGATCGCTGAGATGTTCGATTGGGGCCCAACTGAGAGGGCACCACAGGAGTGTCATCCCCCTCTTCGTCGCTCGGAAAGCCAGAAGAGGGTGGCACTGTCCGAAGACGATCAGGTTCAAGAGGCTGTGTCGCGACGCGGCAGAGGACCTCGACTACTTTGGAGAGCGTAACGTCGAGACGCAGCGCGGGGGCGGAGGTAGGAACAGTCGAGCCGTCGATTGTTGCAACGGCATACTCATTGACCGAGTCGGCCTTTTGCGGCGGAATGACGGTGAGCCGCAAGCTGTCATCTGGTCGCCCAACGACAAAGCCGTCGAAGGGCGTCGACCCCGGTCCGACATCCGGCGCGGCGCCACCGTCCTCAACGTAGGGACAAGGCGAGAGAGCGCTTGGCCCGAATGAAGCCATGTGCCCGGCCCAAACGCCAAGTCCACGTCCAATGGCGCTCCGAGGACAGCCCGCAACACCGCACGGGACGGTGCATGATGCCAGTGGCAAACGAGGCGGTCGGTAGGAGCTCGAGGGCAGCTGAGGAAGACTGGAAAGAGGCGATGCCTTTGTGGCGGCTGCGATGCACGCAAGGCACGAGCTGTGGCCACAAGGAAGCGTCACTGGGTCGTGCATCGTCTTGCGGCACATTGGACATTGGACGACGGCAAGTAGCCTTCGCGCGATTGCACGTCCTCGACGTCGTTGCGAACGGGCAGACGCTGCCTCGAGGGCTAGCGAATGAGCCGGTATAGGGAGACCTGACATTGGAGAGCCTACATCGTCGCTTGCAGACTGTGTGCTTGAGGAGACCGCTTCCTTCCCTGCGGCCCTACTCGTCAGCGTCCTCCGAACCTCTGAAAATATCGAGAAAAGTTAGACAAGGTGTGCAAGCCAGAGGATGTAGAAATGCATGCTTGCAGCTCACCTTCCACGTCCATATTTCTCCGCGACTCTTGGCCAGGGATCGGTACTGAGGCCATTGCTGGCTGTCGTTCCCTCTCTGATCAGTCGAATGAGCAGACAATCGAGATGGTGATGATGGCGGTGGTTACCAGAGCATTTCCTGTCGACGTCGATTACCCAATCAAGTTCGCGGTCCGCCGTTCCGCCAACGCAGTTAGTCACTCCTTTGGCCTGGCGTGTTGATGATCAAGTTAAGGTCATCTCCATACAGAAATCTGAATCATCGTTTCAAATGCTTGCTTAAGCAGAGTTCTAATTTACCTCCCACATTGCTAAGGCGCCGCGATCGGACGTGACAAAATTCCATCGGCAGCAATGACTTACCGACCCGACTCAGAGCAACGTGGTGGCGAGCCATCAGATGTAGCCCTCAGTACTCACTCCTATGTGAGGCTAGTCAGCCGTTGCTCTCGAGTCTAGAGCAGATCAACGAGTCCAGAGCCATGAACAAGTCATGATCACTGCGTTCTGAAGGCCCGCCACCGTGCCTCGCACATGGGTCGAATTCGATCAAAATGTCACGGAAAGTCATACAATGTCATTCATTTTGTATTCGGCCGAAGTTAAGTAAATTTAGACACGTGCGGAACTGCGGTGCAGGCCACTGCTGCTGCAAGCCATTGCTTCGTTTAGAGGAAGCCGAGTTCATCACCATCCGTCACCAGCTGGAGCAGCCCTGTCAAGATGGCTATCCACCACAACAACATCCTCGCCAACCCCCACTTCCGCAAGGTGAGTAACACTATTGCGGCGGAGCTGGTGGATGAGGAGCATGAGCGAGACGGTAGTTGGATCGAGCGCACGAGGGATCTTCGAGGAATAGCTGGTCGAGAAGAGTAGCGAGGGTTTCTTCTGTCATCGTGACACGGGCTAGCCTGTTGTGACGGGAGAGAACAATGCTGTTCGAGGCTACGCAATCTACCGGGCAGCTCTCTCGACAGAGACGCCTTGGAGCTGAGGAGAAACGGGAGTGAAGAAGACACAGGGACGATGCAGATACCTGGATTGCTGCCAGAAATGTGGCACATGGAAAGTAGAGAAGACTGACGCCGGCCATTTTGCACAATTGACAGGACTGGCAGCGTCGGGTCAAGGTCTGGTTCGACCAGCCCGGTGCCAAGAAGCGCAGACGTAATGCCCGAACGGCCAAGGCTGCCGCCCTCGGTGCTCGTCCCGTCAAGTCGCTCCGACCCGCTGTTCGTTGCCCCACCCTCAAGTACAACACCAAGCTCAGGGAGGGCAAGGGATTCTCGCTCGACGAGCTCAAGGCCGCTGGCATTGGCAGGAAGGAGGCGCGCTCTGTTGGTATCCCCGTCGACCACAGGAGGAAGAACCGCTCGGAGGAGGGCTTGAAGCTCAACGCTGAGCGAGTCAAGGCATACCGCGAGCGCCTCATCGTCGTGCCCCGCCACAGCAAGAAGAACAAGGGCAAGAAGCCGGATCTCAAGAACGTTTCGACCGTTCGCGACACAGCTGCTGCTTTCCCCATTCCCGCTGGCGTTGTCGCCGAGGCGCCCCGTGCCATCACGGCCGAGGAGAAGGATGTCGAGGCCTTCCGTACCCTTCGCGACTCGCGCGCTCAGCACCGTCAAGCCGGTGCCGTTGCCGCTCGTCTCAAGAAGAAGGAAGAGGCAGAGGCTGCTGCCAAGAAGTAATCTTCTCTCCCTTCTTCTGTTCTTGTCGCTTACCTTCGCTCACCCGCGAGCAATCACTTGTACTCATGCCAAACCCCCCCGGCGCGCTCATCTCCATGTCTCTTGGGACAGCAAAACTTCTCGCCTCGGTCGAACGACCGAGTCTCATCATGTATACATGACCACTTCTACAATTCTAAACGAAAACGCTACTCGATTGGTGATGCCAGCTAGTTGTTCGTGGGCATTGTCCTTCGGAACGATGCTCAGTCCAACCGTATGGTTCGTAGCCTTGCTGCCCTATGAGGTCGTGCTGAAATTAAGTCATCCCTGCAACCCTGGCCCAATCCTTCAGAGATGTACTGTACTATACGCGCACCCCTGAAGGAGCATCAGGTTTTTGTCTCCTTCGCTCGCGAACAAATGGGCTCTCTGTGTTTGGCTGACTTGCCCGATGCTTTCATCGAATCCCACTGACGTTCTTAGGCGTCCGCCTGATGAGGCTAAGGTGCTTCTTTATCGAATACACATTCATGTTGAGCAGCTTCCAAAAAGTTCGACGCTTGGGATTGGACCTGGAAACAGCGATAGCCCTGACGACCTCGTGTCTTCCCCTTCGGCATTGACATAAACAGCAGCTGCGTTCCTAGCACGAGGTCAGAATGTCAGGTACTAAAACAGCAATCATTTTCATCACCATCGAGTCGGACTGCCTCATCCCTTTGTCTTCCAAGTCGAATCGGAGCGATTGCAATCGAACAGGCAAGAGGTCGGACCGTCGGTGCTTCATTTGACTAGATACTGGACCGGGGCAAGATGATGCCGGCCTCCCATCGGCCACAGCTTGGCCGCTCACCTATATTGGCAGCACGCCGTGACCGAAACCTTGGAACGTGGGCTGAAACGTCTTTCGGCAGCAGAGGACTATGTTCACTCCTCGTGGAATTTCCCTTGTGGATCATGGCCCGCTCCGCGGACACTCCCGATGCAGTCGTCCGCCTTCCCCTTCAACGCCCGCTTCTCGAGATAAGACAGACAGAAAACGTGCCTGGAAGGGGAAGGGGAAGGGCAAGCACCAGGCCTAAAGATCTCCCTTTTAGCGCTGAGGGGAAAAAGGTCCGTCTAGGATTTATAATTAATTGTGACGATGTCGTCTAAGCTAAGGCACACTACCGACGCCCACTTCATCTATCAGACGGGAAATGGAGCCCGACTGCGTAATTAAATTTTTTAATCCTTGCTCACGAGAACCAGTAGTTAGTGGTGCTGCCTGGTTAATGAAGATACTGGTCCGGCTCCTTAGGCCGACAAAATGATGCACTACGACCACTACATTGAGTTGTCCCGTCGCAGCGAGGGTGAAGCGACAAGATATATTATCGTCATTTATAGAGGCCAGATTCGTCTTCTTAAGAAACGAATCTGGCCTCTGAAGAAGAGATTATGGCTTGCCTAGTATCCATGTCTTTCCAAAGCCCGACGTACTATTGTCAGTGTGCTGCCCAAGCCCACACGGAGTGAGTAACCGTCATCGTGCCTGTTATCGATACATTAAAGAGACCTGTGAGTTAGAAGATGTCCGACGCAAGAATGAGAAAGCATTACTGATAAAACACAGCCGTCGCACTAGCAGTAGTAGCTGGTGTAGGAGCTATTATAGTCCTAGTCTAACAACGTACCTGGAGAGCTCCAGACGAGAGCGAAGCTGGAACCTCTGTTAATTTCTGCGCCAACGGGAAATCGAAGCGAAAAGTGAAACTATGAATTTCCGCTCATAAATTATTTATTGTGTCCACTTCCACACAGAAGCTCTCCAGTTGCCGACAGAAGAGGCTAGCGTGGGGATGGGTGGTAACATAGAGCTAGCTGTTTTGGAGTAATGGGAAGTAGGAGCTAGAAATAGTGGCGTAGTAACAACTCTCTGCATTAATATTGGATTCGAGAAGCTAAAGGCACTGGGGCAGAGAATACTTGCCCCAGTGGGATGGCGACATTTTTTTTTGACTGGGGGGCGGTACGATGGGCACGAGCTCGCTAGACGCAGTCGGAGTTTCTGTATTCAGAACGACAGGGACAATGTAGGCAACGGCCGACTTTCGACAGGGCCTGGATAAAACCAACCGGGCGGGCTGCTCCCGCTCAGGTTTCCCTTCTCCTCACAAACCATCTGTCCGCAGGTTCACGCCAACTTTCGCTTCGGCTTCCGCCTCCCCTCACCTCCTTGACCTTTGGTGAGCAGCACAAGTGATAGAAGGAGAAGAGGGTGGCGAGACTGACAATGTATCCGCAAAGCAGCTTAGTCCGCTTGAGTTATACTCGCGAAACGGCCAGGTCTCTCTCCGCCTTCATCTTCCGTCTCTGATACCTCAACTGCCAGCATTCTAGTACGCTTTGAGTTCTTACTCGCGGAAAGAATCAGCTCTCATCGCCGCCTTCTCTCATCACATCAACGCCAAAGCCAAGCCAAGCAGAGGAGAACCTCGCGCCCCTCTTCACCGCCAAATCACCGAACCACTACCTCTCCCTCGGGTATCATCGCGCGCTACCCAGTCGCTGCCTCGATCCCGTCTCTTTCGGTGCACACAATCTCTTACGTCTCAGTCGTCTCAGCCCCCCCTGCTACTGCCACCCGTTTTTTTTTTTTCTTTTTTTTTCTGCTTCGATTTGAACAACAATGTCGCACTCCGAGAACACCCAGCAACCCTACCAGCAGTCCGTCCCGGCCGTAGCTGAAAACATCCCTGCCGTCCCCAAGGTCAAGAAGTCGTCCGGCGGCGGCAACAAGAAAGGCACCTCGGCTGAGCGTCGTGCGACGCATAACGCTGTCGAACGCGCCCGTCGTGAGAGCCTCAACGTGCGCTTCCTGGAGCTAGCTGCCAACCTTCCTGCCACGTCGACGGTGCGCAGGCCCAGCAAGTCCCTTATCGTCAACAAATCGCTCGACTTTGTCGGTCACGCGCTCACCAATGAGACGAGCTACCGTCTTAAAATCGAGGAACTGATGCGTGAGCACCGTGAGCTCCTCGACGAGGTAAACGACTATCGCCGCGAAAAGGGCATCGAGCCTCGCCGCAGCCACATCGACGAGCCCTCGTTCAATGTCCTTCCTGCCCCTTTGGCCGACGCAAAGTTCACGCATAACCGTCGAGCCTCGACGGCGATGGCTCAGGGCATGAGGCTTGGCGGTGACTACGGAAACGAGTACGGTGAAGACGATCTTGCCAGCGGCTACGGTTCCTTCAATGGCTCCGTCGAAGCTTCGTCGCCCCCGGCTGGTGACTACAGCGGCCACAACCAGAACGCCAGTGCCAACTTTGAACAGCACGGCAGCGTCGAGGACAGCCCGGTCTACGGCCACATTCAAGATTATTCGACGTATGGCATGACCCAAGAGCAGGGACGCCGTGCGTCGTACGTCAGTGTGTACTCGGACGACCACTCGGCAACAAGCTACCCTCAGCAACAGCCCACATCTGCGCAGAGCGACGCTGTACACTACGCCAGCAACACCTCGACTGCCTCGTACATGGACCAGCCGGACCCTCGTTACGCGCTGCCGCCCACGGCTGTGCCCCTCTCGTCATCGACTGGAGGAATTAACACAGCTTACGCAACCTCGTCGAGCCGTGGCGTCACCGACTACATGCCGCCCATTACGCCCACCACGGCAGCTGTGTTCAGCAACCTGATGAACAACATAGATGTCTCCCTTCACCAGCAAGGACCTCATCATGGTCATCACGTTAACGACAACGGCCATCACTACCACCGCACAGACGAGTACGCAAGCCCCAGTATGGATAGTCTTCACAGTCAGGCACCTTACACACCCATTACTCCTCACCAGACCTTTCTCGCGGCCTAACTGAAGGACTTTCATCCTTATTCTCTTCGCCCTTCGCGGGAAGGGAGCTGGACTTCTTTCTTCGTGGCCATGGTGACGCTAGTGATAGCGCGTCTAGATTGTCTCGTGTTCCATTTGTGTTGCCGTAGAGTCTCGTACACTTCCTCTTCTCTTCTGTGAGCTTCATTCACAATTGATCAAATCGTTGCACATTAAATTAATGGGCGTGTATGTGTGTATGTGTGGGAATGAATTGTAGGGACGGACCTTATGATGAAGGAGCAGGGGGTATCAAGCAGTGGCCGAACTGTCCTTTCGCAAAGCTTCCCCTGCGTTGATTCGCCTGCAAATCTCGAGAAGAACCCTCGCAGCATATTCGAAGTCGGACACTTCGAGATATACCTCTGCCGAAAACCTCGCCCATATCTTTCCGTCATGAGCGAAGACCATTGTCGCCAGCTTGAACTCATTCATCTGTGTCTCGAAAAAGTAGTTGTGGCCTCCTCTTATCCACATGAGATCGTTCGCCGGATCCCATTCTCGCCCTTTGTCTCTTCCTTCCCCAGAAGAGGTAGGCGGGAAAACTATGGGAAGACGAACGTTGACCATGGCCGCCGTCAGCTGGTTGCCGGGAACGTCCATGACGCTTGTACCCAAAATTCGGGACGCTGCGATTCCGCCCTGGATGGCCAACTCTCGCTTATACGCCATTATCCTCTCTTCTCCTCCGAGCATCTGCCGGAAATCGAGGGCAGCGGACACAGTCATGAAAGACGAATTGTCAATCGTTCCAGGAGTGGCCCACTGCGCCCTGTGGTGAAGCAAGAGTCAGGGAGCGAATGCTTTTAGTGAAAGAAACGACAGCATCTTCGACGTACCACCAGGTGTTGGACTCTGGAGATGGATCGCTCTCGTAATCCCAACCAATGGGCAAACTAGCCCTTTGAATACCCTTGTTGCGTTTTGCGGTGTAAAAGACCGCGCAACCCCTATGAGCATAGAACCACTTGTGGCAATTGCTGACGAAAAAGTCTGGGTCCACCGTCGAAAGATCGATGGGAATCTGGCCAATGCCATGCGCACCGTCAACGAGGGAGAGAATCTGTTTGTCGCGCAAGTGCTTGACCATCTGCTCCCATGGCATCTTTGCGCCAGGAACAGAGCATATCGTATCAACGACCCCAACTCTGATCCGCTTCCCTTGAGATTGCGCCTCGTTAATGGTGCGACCGAAGCTTTTCATAATTTCATCGTGGGTACTGGGCAGCCTGACGGGGACGGCCACCTTGTGAAGCTCCACTCCGCGCTTTTTTTCTGTGTCGATCAGGTATTGGATGTTGCGTTCCACAGCTCCGTAGCCTGTCGAAAGATACAGAATTGCGTCTCCCGTCGAATACACGATGTCTCGCAGAACAGCATTGGTGCCCGTTGAGGCATTGGAAATCATGGCGACATCAGCCGCGTCGCAATTGAGGAGCTTGGCGACCTTTGAGCACGAGTCCAAGAGCAGTTCCTTCATCATCGTTCTTCGAAAGAGCTGTAGCATCTTGCTGGTTAGCACTCTACAATGGGCAAATTGCGACATGGTGAATGACCATGCTCACATCCGGGCTCTCCTCCTGCCGATCTTGTAGAAGCTTATACGTGTCGCAAACTGGCTTCGGACAATGCCCGTATGAGCCTGTCCAGACGTAATGAGGCAATGCTGAAGGGATAAAAGAAAGGCAAAATAAGACTCACCATTGTTCAATGATGTGAAGTCCTTCTTCATTGGCCAATACTTGGCAGCCGCATGGCCTAGCTTAGGAAGCCCATACTCGCCCCAGGTTGCTTCTCCCAGGGCGCTGCTGCTCAAATTCTTCTGTCCTCTGCCTGATTCCTGAGATTCCGTTCCTTCCGATTTGGCCTTCGGAGAAGATGTGTGTTGGCTGTCAGATGACTGACCGAGAATGGGCGATGCTGTCTGTGACGACGTTGCCCACGGATTATCTCCAGTCGTCCTGAGGCTTGAAACGGCACCTGGCAAGGCACCAACGACGGGATCGGCCCAGGGATCAGCCCCGGCACTCATACTTTGCGGTGGTGTGTTTGCGGGAAGAATAGATGGCTCGACACCAGCCCCATCCGTGGCCAGAGCTGAGCTGTCGTTTGAGTCCTTGCCATCCTGCTCCTCTTTGTCTTCGGGTGCTTTGCTAGTATGGCCTTGGTATGACGCCTCCGGTCCTGGAGCATCAACCTTTGCCATGTTAGACTTGAGCTCGTCTTCCGCTCTCACTGGCGTGATTGTTGCATTCTCCTCCATCTCGATTGGGATCCAGTGAAGATGTTCGTGCGAGCCGGTCGAATCTGGTGGTGTAGTTACCGGCGTATGTAGTCATGCAGACTAGGCCGCACGCGCATGTGCCAAATTTCCAAGTCGCGCTCGGAGCGTGCGCCGACTTTCAATTTTGACAACATCGACAACAAGCACATCCTTCTTTGAGTCGAGCCAAAAGGGAAGAAGCAGGTGCTGGCCGTGTTCGCAAAAGAGGAAGCGAGGCTGGGCAGTCGATTCGACATGAACTGGACAAGCGTACCGCCGACATGTCATTCAATTTTCAGTGGCCCGCCTTCTCGCCAGAGTTTCACGCCGATGCGGCAAAGATGCTCGACTCGGCCCTCAATCGAGGGCCAAAGCCGAAGGTGATCGCCGACGACATCAAAGTCGAAGACATCAATATGGGCAAAATTCCACCCGACTTGGAGATTCTCGAGATTGGCGAACTAAGCACCGATCGCTTCCGCGGCATCTTTCGATTGACGTACGCTGGAGACGCCCACCTGCTTCTTTCGACGAAGGTGCAGGCCAATCCCCTCACTCGGCCCTCAACATCGAATCTTGAGGATGTTTCTTCTATCTTTCCTTCCTCGGGCCCCTCTCGAGGCATCCTCTTCGCTGCCGCTCCGCTCGTAGTACCGATGAAGCTGCGATTGTCGGCCGTCCGGCTTCGGGCTATTGTCGTCCTCGTCGTGAGCAAGCAAAAGGGCATTACCCTAGTCTTCAAAAACGACCCTCTCGAGTCTGTCGACGTCAGCAGCACTTTTGACAGTGTCGCCGTGATTCAAAAGTATCTACAACAGGAAATCGAGGGCCAGTTGCGGGAGATGTTCAGGGAAGACCTGCCGGGCATCATTCATCGTTTGAGCCAAAAGTGGCTGAGTGGCGATGCCCAAAGGCGAGCAAAGGCCACAAAGGGAGCTGGCCAGGCTTCCGTTGCATCAGCATCGCCTGCGATAGTTAAGGCGTCTATAAGCGCAAGGCCGGAGATAAGCCGAGCCATGTCGGAACAAGGAGTGCGCAAGGGTCGAAAGTCATCCTCCCCACCACCGAGTTCATCTTCTCCAAAGGTGACCCCTCGCAAAGCAAGTTCCGTCGCTGCGTCCCCTCCTCGGCCCCGTTTGGCGCATTCGAAGCTGGCAACGGTCAGTTCTGGTCAAATTCAAGGAGCACCACCGCAGGGTGTCGACTCGTCTCATTATTTTGGCACATCTCTCGACGATCTTGGGCGTTACGACCCAACTTATGGTCTGAGACCCGACGAGGTTCGCATGTCAGCGCACAGCAGCGGTTACAGCGGACTGGCAAAATTGGCGACAAGGGCGACTGGCGGACTGCGAGATCTCACCTTGAATGACGGGGAAGGGCTGTCGGCCGAACAAACTCTTGAAAGTCAACCACTAGAGGCTGACAAGACCCCGAGCAAGGAGGGCGAACACCAGCCTAGTAATGCCACCGATGAGAGTGCAGACGAATCCCACGACGATGATGATGATGATGTGCCCGATGAGCCTTCAGGCGAACTTGACATTGACGGAGAGGAGGAAGAAGATGGAGGAGAGGAGGATGAAGAGACAGCAGATTACACACGATATGGATATCCGCCACCGAGCGCAGCCTTCTCCGACACGGTCGAAGACAGTGCCAGACTGGGTACAGTGTCTCTTTTTGGTTCTCCCTCTGCTGCCGCAAACTCTCCTAGGTCGATCAATAACAAGATGCGCGGCTCGACAATTTCAGCGACGACAGGCGCATCGAAGGGGGGAAGAGAGAAGGGCAAGGGCACACAACCCGAGACACGTATCGAGTACGAGACTATTCCTGCCGTGGGTGGAGGCACGGTGACCAGGCCGCGAGTTTACCACATTGCCAGCCGAGTCCAAGCCCCGGATCTCGAAGAGGAGGACGAAGCGGCAGCGTACCCAGCTCCCAGTAGCCGAAGCGGTGCGGCAAGCTCAACGGCAGGAGGTCCTGCGAGCTCACGGACCTTCACTGTTCGACAAGGTAGTGTGCGAGGATCGAAAGGCGCCTCGAGGACGCTGTCGGTCAGGAATCGGGGCCTTTTCGATGATACCGATGAACAGGACATTAGTGGAGAACAATTTGAGTCTGACAATTCTCAGAGTCTCGATGAAGCCGAAGACTCGCCTTCGGCTGCGGGTGGATCCCGAGGCTCGTTGGCGACGCTAGACCCAGAGCCAATGGATCCACGATCGACAAATTATCGAACACAGCTCTACCGGCAAAAGTACGGAGGTGTCTACCGGACAGGCTATGGCTCTTCGTCTGCCTCTGCTTCCGGGGGCTCAAGCTCCGGTGCTTCAAGAAGGTTTGCCGCTGCCACTGCCGCCGCCGCTGCCGCTACGTCCCAGCCTCGACCACGCATGGCCACCTCACTTTCTTATAGTGGCGCGAGTTCTGCCCCTACCTCAACTTATCCCTCAACCCACACTCGCTCTTCTCCAACTTCAGCTCAAGGCATGTCGCGCAATCGGCTCGACAAGCCAATGCCACCGTCATTGAGTATATCACCCTCCTCTTCGAGCAAGATCATTGGTCAATCACCGAACCATAGCATGACAAATGACGCTTCGGCTCATTTCGCCGATCTTGTCAACTCCAACCACACACTCAGTCCGTACACACGCACCCTGGACACGCGCGGATTCATGGTAAGAAGCCAGCCCGTCACCCCTGGCGCAAGCATCAGCGGCTCTACCAGCACGGCGAGTGGCGCCGCTGGAAGCGGAAACTCCGCTGCCCGACCTTCCTCTGTCGCTGGTGTGGTCAAACAAAGAGCAATGGTGACAGGTGAAGTAAAGAGCCCAGGTGCGGGTCCTTTGACAACGCCGACTGCGGTGGGGAAGAGGAGAACTTTCAAGCTCCCCTCCAGGACCGGATCGGAGGGTCAAGTAACGAAATCGAGCACGAATCCAGTGACGACCACCACGACGAACGCAAATGCCACGACGCCACGACAAAAGGGAAAGGTAGCATCCTCATCCCATTCAGCCGCCTCTTCCAACGAGCGGGAACATGGCGGAAGCCAGTACTCAGCGCCTCTCAGTCTGGGTGCATCAGCCATGGGCTACGCAAATCGCAGGTTGCAAGACCAGGGATCCCGTCGACAGGTGCTTCAAAGGAGTCACTCTGCATCTATGAGAGCCAGCGGACCTGCATGGGAGAGCGCCTCACGGTGGGACGCTATAAGAGAGTGATTTGCCTCTCCGTCGCTGTTACAATTACAAAGTTGATACCCAATCACCACTCACTTGTCTAATGAATGGCTCTTGATGTGCTTCTAAGATAGAAAGAAAAAGCTTTTATTCGTCTGATGTTACATGATCGATCACGCTCATCTCGAGAGAGCCGTCATCTGCGTTTGCTCGAACCTGTCAATCATCTGATGTGAAGAGTAAAGTCAGCATATAGGGAAGTATTTTTGATGGTAGGAGGGGCGTTCTCACCTGTTCTGCTGCGTCCCTCATCTCGAGCGCCATCCGATGGACCTCTGTCCCCGGCCGATTGTAGATAAGGCTGTTGGCGAACATGCGATTGAGCGCCCTCCTGAGCTGCGTGCTATTTTTGATCTGCCCCTCCTTGATCCGAGCCTTGATTGTTTTGAGGTCGATGGGATGCCGAATTAGCGTATAGTAGTCAGGAGCATCTTGTTCCTTGATGGCCGTGTGAAAGAGGTTGCCGTGCGTATGGTTTGATACCTCGTTGAGGAGCATCAAGAGCACTTTTTCCCTCTTACGCTGGTCAGCAGTTTTGTTCGCCAGGTCCGCGGACGTGGAGCCAGCTCGCTCTTCGGCGGCTCCTCCCCTCTTGTTTCGACTGCTGCCCGAGGCGGCGCCCGTTGAGCCTTGGACGCTGCTGGCATTGCTCGAGGCTCGGCCTCGTTTTGCTTGGCTTCCTCGCTGGCCGCCTCCACCACCACGTCGAGCGGAAGCAGGCGAGAGCGATACACGGTCATTGCCAGCCGTAGACAAGGACGTGTCCCCTTCGTCGTCGACCCCTTCAAAGCTCTCATCGGCGTCTGCTCCTGCGCCTGGCGTCTTTGATGTCTCTCTTGATCTCAGTGAACCCAGACGATTGCTGCCGCCTCGAGCCGCTCCGCCAGTGCTGGCAGACGTGGGGGGAACAGGAGTAGTGGGAGTCGAAGGAACGGATGGCTGGCCACCTCGCCGACTCCGTCGTGGAGGTGCGAGGTCTTCTTCCTTGTTTTCGCTCTCTGGCAGAGGCGATGCTGCAGCGCTCTTTCTTGGTCTTCCGATCTTCTTGCTGCTGCTGGGGGACTCCTCGTCTTCCTCCTCAGCAGCCGCGGCGATCGAAGTCCTGGTCTTCTTCTTTGTGGACGCTTCCTCACTGGCAGCATCCTCCTCTCGCTTCCTTTTGCTGCTTCGCCATCTCTTGCCTTTCTCTGTCTGGTCGTCCCCATCTTCCTCATCGTGGTCTTCGTCGCCAGCATCCTCATTGGCATCTTCAAGGCCGGCCTCATCCGCCAACTCTTCTTTGTCTTGCATTTCAACGTCACCACTCTCCTTGGGCCCTTCCTGATCGTCCTCCCCACCCTTCTCTTCCGCTCCTGCAGAAAGGGCGTCTTTCCCTGGTGCGGTGTCGGTCGCAGCAGACTCTTGCTGCTCTTCTCCTGGCCGCTGCGCTTCTGTCACCGAATTGGATACATCTTGAACGGGGCCTCTGGATGTCCTCCGTCTTGAAGTATCGCTCGTCTCTTCCTGGGCCGCTGCCGCCACCGAGCTCCTTCGCCTTGTAAGCCTTGCTGGTGCTGCTCCCGCCATCGTATCCTTCTCCTCTGCAGCCGAGCTCTTGTTCCTTGTGCTTCTCGTAGGCGTCTGAACCTCCTCCAACACGACCAGATCTGCTTTATCAGATCCATTCGACTGGGGAAGCGAAGAAGTGCGAGGAGCAATCCCGAGCTCTTTTTCAAGCTCCTCATCCTTTGAACCCGACTGGATCGCCTCGATCTCATCAACGATGCTCCGAAAAAGCTCTTCCTTTTGCCTGATACTCTCTCGGACTTCGCTAATCCGCTCGGCATACAGATACTCTGCCAAAGTCAGCTGGCTGGCCCGATCCGTCTTCGCTGCTTGACCCCTCGCCTCTCTTGAGCGTGGCGTAGTCGCCGTACCGTCCTCCTCTGCCGATCCAACGTTGCTGCTAGTGCCGTCCAGCACGAGGCCGTACTGCCGCATCAATGCAACCCAAGCGCGCTCACACTCCCGGCTCCCAAAGAAACGACCCAAGGTCGTGTTGGCCTTTACGACTTGCTCAAGGCGCTGCGAGGTCTTGATGAGCGGATGTGCGAGGAGAACGGAGGAGACGCGGGCCCAATCTGGAGGCGATGTGCCAATATGGTGCACAGCTTGCGCGAGCAGAAGCTTGTCGGACAGCGTCAGGCGCGAGAGCGAAGAAGGCGTTGCCGTCGATGGCGATGTCGGTGTAGCCACCGCACCCGGCCCTGCTGACGTGGTTGGAGTGGATGGCGTTAGTGGCGCTAGCGTGGGTGGCGCCGCCGCCGCCGCCGCAGACGGAGGAGGAGCCATCTTGGTAGCCGTGCTCATACAGCAGATGACGAAAGTCAACCGCGAAAGATGGACATGGCAAGCTCTTCGACTCACGTGAATCGGTCATTTTTTGTCATGGCATCCTTCTTCTGCCTCTTCTTCTTCGTCTTCGACATTCCTGACATCATTGTCGTGCGAAGGCCACCATGCTGCTCGCCAGGTCAGGTGCTCGAGCTTTGGTCGAACTCACGTCACATTCATGCTCTCCTTCACCCGCGGCCAGCACCAGCCGTCTCGCCAACGCCCATGCGCGGTGTTTCACCACATTCCCCGCCTGGCTTGCCCCCACCTCACCGCCGCGCGACGATCTGATCCGATCGCGCCTCGTCAGACTCGTTGATCCTGAGACAGGATCGCTCTCATCGAGACCGCAGAGGCCGCGTGATATTCTGGCTTCAATCAATCGGACGCAGTACTGGCTTGTCCAAGTCACAAAGGTCGGCGCCGAGCAAGACGAGCAAGAAGGGGGCCAAAGAGGGCGCTCAAGTGAGGCGATCAACATAGACGAGCTGCCCATCGTCAAACTCGTTTCAAAAAAGGAAGCGTACGACAAGCAGCGCGCACAGAAGCGCGCAAAGGCGAGTAGCGATGCCGACGGTGCTGCCGGTGGTACAGCCTTGGGGGCTTCGTCGGCACCAAAGGAAGTGCAGCTTACTTGGAGTTCGACGCCGCACGACATCTCTCACAAGCTTTCGTCCATGGTCGAGAAGCATCTCCAGAGAAGAGGTCCGGGTGCCAAGTGCACAGTGGTCATTTCTTCGAAAAAGGGCAAGGGAAGGGATGGTGGGGCAAACGCAACCCAAAAGGCGGAGATCATTAAAAGCGTTGAAGACATCGTTTGTGCAGAGGAAAGCTGGTCCGAGATCTCGCACGCCAGGAGACGAAAAGACGTGGAATGGCAAAGAAATGGTTCTGCTGCCTTGATCCACTTCGAAGTTGTCAAGGGCAGGCCCCCTCCTCGGTGACGCTTTGTAAAGTGAAATAATATCAAAATTTCCCAGAAAGAAGTTGCAAACTGAGCTATCCTGGTTTCTCATCTCTCTCTCCCTTTCATAAAGCTTTAGGTACAGTCAATTACTTCTTACCGCTGCCAGAGACTTTTTGGACACTCGTCTTTGGCCACACGTAGCCCTCGTTGCTACGCTTGAAGCCGTACTTGGCGATGAAGTCGTTGAGGTTTTCCGGGCCCCTCGAGCCGTACGGGTAGGACTCGGGTTTGATCTTTCCTTCGTCGATGGCGTGCAGGATGGGGGTGAAAATCTTCCAGCTGACATCGAGCTCGTCATCTCGGACGAAGTTGCTGTGGTCGCCGTTGAGGGCATCAAGGATCAGGGCTTCGTACGCCTCAGGGATCCGGGCGTCCTCGAAGCGCTCCTTGTACGTCAGGTCCAGGTCGGCTGGCAGCGTGCCCATGTGAAGGCCAGGTGTCTTTGCATTGAGCTTAATGTAAACGGCTTCGTTTGGCTGAATCCGAATGACGAGCTCGTTGCGCTGCGCGTCTTCAAACAGGCCACCTTCGATGTCCTTGTACTGGATCCTGATCTCCACCTTTGCCTCGTCAAGGGCTTTACCTGCCTTGAGGATGAAGGGAACACCCTTCCACCTTTCGTTGTTGACAAAGAGCGTCAGTGCGGCAAACGTGGGGCAGTTGGAGTCCTTGGGGACGGTGTCATCATCCTTGTAGCCAGGCTTGTCGCCATGGGCGGCATACTGGCCGAGGAGCACATCCTTGGCTTCAATGGCAGGCACCGTCTTGAGCACCTTGACCTTCTCGTCGCGAATGTGCTCGGCCGAGAACGACTTGGGCCTTTCCATCGAGATGAGCGAGAGCACTTGAGACAAGTCTGGAGCAAGAGTAAAAGTGTGAGCGCGTGCCCAGCGCCAGTGTCAGAAGAAAGAGCCACTCACGGTTCTGCTGAATGTCACGGATGATGCCAAATTCGTCAAAGTAACCGCCGCGGCCCTCGGTGCCGAAAGGTTCCTTGAAGGTGATCTGGACATTGTCGACAAGCTTGTTGTTGAGGCCAGCGTCGATGATTGGGTTGCCGAAGCGCATCACAAGAAGGTTTTTGACCATCTCCTTTCCGAGGTAGTGGTCGATTCGGAATGTCTCCTCCTCCTTCCACAGATCCTTCAGCTTGCCCATCATCTCCCTCGAACTTTCGAGATCTTTGCCGAAAGGCTTCTCGATGATGATGCGGTTGTTGCCCTTTTCCAAGTAACAGTTCTTCTTGAGTCCTGCGGCGACGACGGTGAAGACATTTGGGGGAAGGGCCATGTAGAAGACTCGATTCGGGTTTTTTGCCCCACTTTCGATCTTTTCCATCTCTTTGTTCAGCTTGGCAAAGGCATCGTCCTGGTCGTACGCTCCTGGAACGTAGGTACAGAGCTTCAAGAAGTCTTCCTTGGCTTTCTTGCCCTCACCCGAATCGACGTTCTTGAGGTGCTCGCTGATCTTGCCGTGGAACGTCGGCTCATCCATCTTAGTGCGCGCATAGCCAACGATGCTCGTGTTCTTGGGCAGCAGCTGCAGTCTGTGCAGGTTGAAGAGAGCTGGGTACGTCTGTTACATGTCCTCAGATCAGCAAAGGCGATCTCCACTTTACTCCGTTCTTCTTTCATAGCCCGCTCACCTTCTTCTTGGCCAAATCGCCCGAAGCGCCCAGAACTTGAATACAAGAATCGGTGAGCTCGATCGAACAGGGTAAAGGTAACAGATTGACAGGAGCTAAACAACTTACCGACGATGATGGTGTCCTCCTGGAGCGAAGGCGGTCCCTGGTCGGAAGCCATCGTGAGATGCTTGCCAATCGCGCCCAGTCGTTGGGAAAAGGTGGTGGTGATGATGGTGGCTATGGAGCGCTGTGAGTGGAGTGGAGAGCAGCGTTGTTCAGCACGGCCTCTTGACTCTCTATGCACAAGCGCGAATGATCGATGGATGATGACGAAAGAGAGACAGGAAGCGCACCGGCTATCCAGGGTTTTCCCTTTTGATTTTTCTTCTTTCTGGCCGCGCCAGTGGAGGGGGTTGGTATCCCTCCCTCCGCCAACGGGCTTCCTATTCGCCGCCTCGCTTAACGCCGCGGTCCGACCGTCCCCCCCCCCCCCCCCCCCCCCCCCCCCCCCCCCCCCCCCCACCCAAGTCGAATCATAATGGAAGAATAGACTTCTCACCTTTCGAAGCAGAGCGTAGAGTGTGTGCGTGTGCTTAGTTCCTCGTCGAGATGGAGAGATCAGATGAAGTCTGGTGAATACTGAAGATGGAATGCGATGAGCCAGCCCGATAACGGAGGGCCGTCTCCGCGCGCGTACCACCTCCACCCCAGCAATCGCTCAACAGCTTTCGGCCCACGTGCTCTGCGCATCGTCAGCAAACCGCGACGCACTCAACGACGAATAGAGAAGAGGATGCCTAAACAGTACAATTTGATCGTGTATGTGTGTAGTTGTACAGAAGGTTTGCAAGGGAAAAAGAGAAAGAGACGTGGTTCCTTGATGGGAGTCGTAGTGAGTCCTTCCACTTGTCAGCGCTTCGAAAGGATTCGCTATAGTGGGATGCTGTGTTGTTAGGTTGCCTTCATCGTGTATTGGGCCTTGTGTCTCCTCGACTACCCGTATGGAAAAGGAAGCCTTCCTCTCGTCAACTTCCTATCCTTGTCCTCGTTGCTGGACTCTGTTTTATGATTCCTTTCTTGTGTCCGTCCTTACTTTTGTTGTTTCATTCTCCTCCGTGTTCATGCGAGCCTGTGACGGCCTCGTCAAAGTACTCGTTGCGGCAGGGAGAACAGCTTCTCAGGACACAAGACGCCAAGCAGCAAAGTGCTTAGTCCTCGTCCTCGTCCTCGTCTTCATCTCCAATTACCTTGCTTGACTTGCTTTCAACCTTTTCCCATTCGGCCAGCAGTTGCCTGCCCACATTGGGTTCAAGCTCGGTGCCGTCGCGCGAGACTTTGACTTGACGGTTATCTCTCCACGGATTCCGGAGTTTGCGTACCATGGCAAAAGGCAATGGTGTCGTTTTGATCCATTGAATCGCAAAAGATCGACCCAGTGAGTCGTCAATCGAGAGTCGCCCCCGCGGCGTCAGCGAAGTCGCATCGCCCACCTCATCGCTCGGACTAGTAACGCCGGCTTCAAGCTGCTGGACACGAAGGGCGGATTCTCGCTCATCGAGCCGGAGATTATGAATAAGGGCGGTAATCGCCAGCTGATTGTGTGCCCTGGCATCGGCGGCCCGGACAGAGATGGAGTCTGAGGGACCCAGGCTGCTGCTGGCATCGCTGTTGGCCATCGTTTGAACGCTCTGTTCGCTGCTCTTGCTGCTCAGAGACATGTGGTCGCCGACCATGTCCTTACGGCGTACACCATCCTCGTCGACCTCCAAAGACATACCGGAAGCCGCTGCCCCGCCCACTTCGCCCTGACGGACGCCAAGATTCACATCGTCAGGCTGGGTGGTGGTGAGTGCAGGAATATTCGAGGTGGAAGGGTTAGGAGGCGGTTTCGCAAAGACATAGTTCGGGGACAAGGTCTTTCGTCGAGAAGCTATCGCCTCCCGTTCGCGTTCCGCATACGTTGACACCGGCCATGAGTGATTGGTGACCATGTCGTACTGCTCTCCTTCACCTTCTCCACCACCGACTCGTTCCGGCCACGTAGAAACATCTTCGTTTGCAATGGCCTGCTTAGTGGCATCGTCGCTACTTGTCCTTGTCGAGGACGTCGTCGCTTGCGGCGGCGGTGGTGGCGGTGGTGGAGTTTCCTCGCTGAGTGGTGTAAGTTGCTGCGGCGAAAGTGTCGGTTTGTCGTGCAAGGAATCGTCGGGAAGGATGAGATTAGGTTGTTGACTTGTTGCTTCTGCAGGGTTGCCTTGAAGCAAAGGGTAGCTCGCAACCTCTTCATCACCCTCGAGGATCGTGGAAGGAACCCGACCAGTCGAAGCAGCCGGGCTCAGCTTGACATCGCCTTCCGAGATGGAGGTGACTACTGGTTTCGCGGCCCCGATAGAGCCCATCATGCGGGCATAGCCAAAGAAGCCGCCGCTCTGATTAGCGCTAAAGATCAGGTAGACCGTGACGCTATTGCGAAAAGCTTGATCCAACACCGCCTCATTGTGAGGCTGCGTCGCCCAGGTCCCCGTCTGCACCGATCGATCCAGGTCTTCGACACGGAGGCTCTTGAGGATGAAAAAGCGCTCTCGAAATGCCTCATGTCGAAACAATGACGAATTAGTCGACGAAAATGAGACTGAGCCACTTGAGCCCTCAGCAGAGACGTTGGACGGCGCCATGGAGTCTCTGCGCTCAGCACTTGACAGTACTGCAGAGCTTTGCTGGTCGGCAGAGGCTTGCGGCACGGGTACTTGCGCTAGTTGGACAGCTGGTTTGGGTGTCACATTGCCAGCTGGTGAGCCAGATGTTGCCGGAGACGACACCGCGAGATTTTGATAAGCACTAATAGCACGTTGTGCTTGTGGAGCAGCTAAGGGCATATCGTCTTGCCTCAAAGGGTCTGGCGAGGCGGCAACCTGTCTTTGTGCTCGCAGCTTTCGTTCGTGTTCCTTTGCGTAAGCCACATGAATGCCTTTACCGCGCTGACCTGCAACACCTGCTTGTGCCTCGTCCTCCTTCTTACGAATGCGGCAAACGAGCTTGGGGCATCGGGGATCGTAAGGTCGAGGCGATTTGTTGGAGAAGTGCGTGACCGCGCGATCAAGGTGACGCTGTGTGGCATAGTTGACAAAGGCGCAATTGGATCGAGCAATGATGAAGATGGAGAGAATGCCGTGGCTCGGTCTCGACTCTCCTCCTTGGTCAATTTTTTCTTGGTCTCTAGTCTGCTCCTCTTCGTCCGGCGGCAGTTGAGCGAAGAACTCCCACAGTTCGGGGACGGTGGCGTCGGCAGGTACATTTCCGCACCAAAGAACATGAGATGATCGCTGTTGTCTATTCTTCACACCGCTTTGAGCGCCAGAAGATTGTATAGGTTGATTGAGGTTAGACGCCGATTCCGGAAGTGTTACCGACGATGCAGTTGCAAGACCAGACGTCTGAGATCGAGTTTGGGACTCTGGGGCCGAAATTGCCGTTGTGGACCCTTGACGTACCGTGGTCGGTGACGGCGGCCTCGCCTGCCCTGGCGCATGAGTTCCAGAAAATGGAGTCTGCCAGCCTTGTTGTTGCTGTGACTGTAATTGGTGCTGTTGATGATGGTGCGGAATATGCTGTTGTTGCCGTTGCTGAGATTGTTGAACAGTTTGCAGTGATTGCGTTTGGTGTTGTTGGATAGGAGACCAGGCTTGACCGGCGTAATTTTGGGTTGGCAGCGCTGATCCATAATGGCCATAGGGATAGTGGCCGGGCGCCATGGCGTAACCCGACCCGTATGGAGCCGGTCTGTAGCTCATTGCTGGACCGTATTGAGTTTGTGGCACAACAGGAGATGTAGCCTGGTAAAATGTTGTCTGTCCAAAGGATGCAGGTTGCTGCACAAAAAAATGTCAGAAAGAGGGGGGAGATATGGAGGAAGGAAAGGATGTCGCTCACGGAAACGTAGGGTGGACCATAGAAGCCGGCATGCTGGCTGGCAGCGGGATCTAGGGACACAGATTGTCTGGCCTGAGCCTGATTTTCAGGAGATGGTTGGTAGTCGGTCGGCACACCCTCAGGTAAAGTGGTGTACGTGTAGTCGCCGGTTGGAGCTGGGGAGGTTACGCTTGTATACCTGACCATGGCTGGAGGAAAAGGCGTGTATGCGCCCTGCATGTATGCCTGTGGCCTGGAATAATGCATCATTGGAGGCTGAGACTGCTGTTGTGCATGCTGCTGCGGCTGAAGGGTTGGCGGCGGCACGCCCTGAGCCGAAGGAACATAGGAAGCAGATTCATAGCCTGAAGAAAAGGGTGCCGAGGGAGTGTTGATCCCCTCGCTGGACTGTTGATGCCGACTCGGAGAGGACGACGAGCCTTGACGTGCCATTGATTTTGCGAGGCCTTGTTGAGGCCGAGGAGGGGGAAATTGTCCATTCATCGAAATCGAACGACACTTGTCGTCCGCCTCCCCAATGGCTTTCTCTAGACTCTGTTAGAGCGAGCGCCAATGATGTTCCTAGGCGTATCGTAGTGCCGAGTCAGGGCGACATGAGAGGAAGAGGGGGGAGATGGTGGTGAGGAACGGGAATGTAATTCTGGTAGCGACGGTGGCGTTCGAGGGGAAAGTGCCAATTACCTTGGCGAAGTCCTCGAAAAGGCAGCTGTTGCTAAAAGAGAGCCGGGTGAGCGTGTGTTAGTTGAACAAGAAGGGACATAGGATGAGAGGGGAATCGGTCAGCCAAAGCTGCAAACAGAAGAAGAGAATGAGGTATAGAGTAGAAAAAGACATCCAGAAGAGAGACCGCCCAGCCGTAGCCAGCTCGGCGAAACTGTAGGTCGACCAATGTGGTGCTCAGGCTTGCCCTCGAGTCGAACTCACCTAATCTGGTCTGATCACGGCCTTCTGACAACAAGAGAAAGAGCAGGTGGAAGAGAGGAGGAGGAAGAAGAAGAAGAAGAAAAGAAGAGAAGAATTGGGATGCGCCCGCCACAGAGGCAAACCGTCAAAATACGCGGAGGACGTGATGTCCGAGAGGACTTTTCAGCGAGTCCGACCAGCTAGCAGATCCACAGCTGACCAGTAAGCCCTCTTCCAGATGAAGACGAGGATGCTCGCTCTGGCAGATTTGATTTGCCTCAACGGTGCCTGCTCGCTAGCTATTTCTTCTCCCTTGACGCGACTAGCGTGGCGGCGACGCCCTCCTTCTCTCGTCTGTGTTGGTCTTTTCGATTTGACGATCGATGCGAAGCAAAGTCAAATGTGCGAAAAGATGCACAGAGAGGGGCCAGGAGAGTAGACAAGGCCCGAGGGCAGCCGCAGCCAAAAGCAATGGTGGAAGATGAGATGAAAAAAAGAAAACGTTAAATGAGTAGGTGTCAGTGACTGACTTTAAAAAAGGGCAAAAGTCTTAGGGCGCGTGTCCCGTTGGACCCTGGGGTTTGAGGTCTTGCATCTCCTGATTGCGCACTCCCTTTCGCCTTCTGGCGCAGGCCCAAAGTTCAGCATTCAAAGGGATGGGACTCGCTCCGAGGGCAATCACTGCTCCAATCTCGGATTGGTGAACAGCGGCGCTCACCGAGATTCCTCCATGCTGCCCGGCCCTTATGTCTGTTAATGACCCTCCGATCTAGAACACGATAATTACACGATAATTAGTGTCCCTGCCAGGGTGCACGATGAGACCAGGATCGGTTGTTGAGAATGGCTTGGTTCCCTTTCCTTACATTTTTCTTTTTTTCTGCCTAGACTAAGAGAAAAGCGTGTGATTGGTCAAGATTCTCAACCACGGGTTGCCACAATCATGGACCGGGCCCGTTTTGGAACCCTTCACCAACAAGGCACCTTCACTTCTCTCTATGGAGGCAGTGGCCTACTCCACATTACTACGAAATGTTCCAAACGCTGTATTTACCGTTCGTCACCAAGCGTATCAATTCAGACGCGGATCGACTACTGCACTACCGGTCCAGACAACTCAGGGCCAGACACCTAAATTCCAAAAGCCGACGCGTTCGAGCGGCAGTAGTGGCAGCGGCAGGCTAGATAGCAGTAGTTGTGCAGCTTGCAGAGCACCTTTCGTTCATTCCTTCAGCTTTCTCATTGTTATCCCATCTTGCTTGTGTTGCTTTCAAAGAACCCAGGGAGGAAAAAAAGGTCTTTGTATTCTCGCCCGGTACTGCTTCCGGTTGTATTCTCGGAGCTGTGCAGGTCCAGTGAACGTGTGAAAATCGGGTACAGTATCATCTAACGCTGCGACGCTCTTTCTGTTCTCCAACGTCCTCGGCCTTGGGTGCACTCTATGGGTGCAACTCAGCCAGACGTTTCTTTCATTTGCTTGGCTAAGCCAAGGCCAAAAACGCTGCCTCTCCTCTGTACCAATGTGCAAGCATGCACAAGTGAGGATGAGCGAGGGAGAGAGGCAGCAAACAAGCTCATAAAGCGGTATTACATGGTCGGAGTTGTGAATTTCTGCCCTGTTTCGAGGGCGATGAATGTTTCTTTTCTGACACGTCCTGCTGACGTCATGTTCCCTGCCTTTTGGGCTCCTACAACTGCGTCCTCTATGCGACTTTGTGCGTGCACATGCGTGTGAGTGTGCTGTTCACGGCTCACGTCCTCGGGGACTAGTCCGGGCGTTCTCAATGAGCTTGGCGATGCTGACGAGCTGCCCAACATTGCAGACCTCGAGCTCCATCTTTATCCCTAGTATTAGCAAACGAGCTGTCTCCTTCCATTCATCGTGACTGAGCTGATCGTTTCGAAGCAAGAAAACGGCCTTGGTGCGGTCGCCGTGCGTGAGAGGCGCAAATGCCTCCCCGCTTCCGAGAATGTTCTCTCTGTTTCCACCCATGAACTTGATCAGCGACTTTTCTTCATACAAGAACATGGCCAGACAAAGGGCCTCACATGTCCCAAGCCGACGGCTTCAAGCCTCTCCACTGCAGTCGTCGTGTGAGGTTCGGTGTGCTCTGTGATCCATAACGATACGTGCGGACGATGTCCATGCCATACGGATCTATGGGGAGGGCAATGAGCGAGCGAGTCCCTTGCTGCTGCCTACCGTTCGCGTATCACCTCCATCAACTAAGATCACGAATCTAACTCTAGTAATGCAGGAGAAAGTTCATGAGCGTTGAGGACGGCAATTTGGGCGAACAGCTCACCTCGAATGCGCAATCGAGGCCAGCTTCTCTAGAAAGCTTCTTGTCGCCCGATCTGCATAACCCTTTGCCTTTTGAGCAATGCTCTCGTCAGTCACCTCGCATCCTAGACCGTGAGCTCGACTCACTGTGATAATGATCCCTTCTGGGTGTTCTTCATTTGCACCGAAAGCCACCTTGCTCTCGACAAATGTATGGAAAACAGCCTCCTTCTCGAGCACGAGGACCCATTTGACGTCGGGATGGATCTGTAAGGTCTCATTGCTCGTCGCCGGTGGCACTAGCGTCTCCCTTCTCGTGCAGTACATCTGCAGGAAATCTGAACCGATTGGCGCACCTCCAAAGCAAGCACCACCGATGAAGAGCGCCTTGGACTGAGCGACGACATTAAGTTCATGTGGTTCACACCGCACGCATGCGCAGATATCATCGATGAGCACGTTCACGTTGGCTTGCTTTTTGAACAGGGTCGGGTCCATGTAGAAGATTTCTCTGTATCGGACGGTCCAGCTCAGGCGGGATTCTTCCAATGGCATTGTCAATGCTGTCAGCGCGACTGACCTCTTTGTTATTGTGCAACCGCCGTATTGAGCTTCTTTGATGCAGCTAACGACCTTCATGAGTCGAGCTGCTCGCGTCAATGTGAGTCTAGGGGCGCATACATAGGGGAAAAAATCTCGACGGACCAGCCCTCAACTCATCCTTTGCATCTTTGAAGTTCGCCCAGTCGAGGATTCTGCTGATCTTGACTGTAAATTTGCTGTTCGATCCTCTTGTGAGCATTCCTTGTGCATTCGTTTGCTCCATCGCCTGCCAGCACTCACTACGGGCACCTCTTCATCCAATCGGAAAGCTTTACCATCTCAGCAACCTCATCGTTGTTCGCCTTGGAAAGCTCTTCTAGCACTTCTTCGCCCTGTATCATATCCTGTTCCACGTCCGACAGATCGCTGTTCATTGGACCATTTCTTCTTGCCTTGTCCTTGATTCTCTCGCTCTTCTTCCGCTCTTCTTCTACCGCTTCTACATCATTGTCGTCGATTACAATAACGCCCGCAACGTCATCTAGCGTCCGGCCGTACTCCCTTCTCGTCCTCTTTCTCTGCACGTCGTGACTGACTGCCTCTTGTGCACGGCGCTTGCGAAGCGCGAGAATGCTGCTCATGGCGAATCGCATGGCGAACCACGAGACGTCGCGTCGAGCATCGAGGCTCGACGGCGGCCGAACAGCCACCATTGCCGCCTCCCTCTTGCTCTTTCTTCGTCTTCAACTTCTTCTCGGCGTAAGTCAGTCAGCCAGTCGTGGACTTTCCTGAGAGATGGCTTGTGGCGAATGAGAAGGAACGAAAATGGGTGCATCAAGCAATACCTGCACCCCAAAAAAAGGTAACTGTCGTCTCACTCGGGCCACGACCCAGACTCCGCTCAAAGGAAGGCAGATGACGCGGCAACACGGCGAGCGTGAACCCATCAGTGACGGAGTCTCCATTCTCAAAGGCGGCCGGACTTTTTGGCATTGATTGTATCCGTTGTATGAGAAAGATGTTAAACATAAAGGAACTTGAGATGACTGATGAGAAACTATGAGGGTATGAGGAGAGAAAATGAACACGACAAACGCGCAGACACGCTCGAGAGAAAGAGGAAAAAGGGAAAGATGGGATGAGAACAAACTCAGGAGACAGCCGCCTTTGCGGCACTCGAATCGGCTGTACTGTTAGTGCCCGGCACGCTTGACTCCGTCGTCATGTCTGCCGCTGCGGCATTGGCAACGCTGTTGTTTGCCGCCCTCGCCCTTCTGGCAGCGGCTCCGCCCTTTCCCTTGTTCTTAGACGTGGAGGGCGGAGCTGTAGAGGAGGTTGCCACGCTCGACGCCGGTGTCGCCACGCTGACTTGCGATGCCGCTGTTCCTGGCTCGTCCGCCGAGCCTATCCCGCCCGAGAAAGACGAAGAAGAGCCATCGACAGAGCTGGAGCGGACAAACTCTTCCGTGATAAATGGATGCTGGAGCAGTTCCTCTGCAGACGGACGCTTGTTGTGGTCCAGCTCGAACGTCTTGTTGAGGAAGTCGACAGCCTCGGCCGAGATCTCTTCCGGCAGTGAAGGCTTGGCCAACGACCCAATCTTGAAGAGAGCCTGCATCTGGTTGAGGTTGGCCCATGGGTGCGTACCGCTGATCATTTCGACAACGAGGCAACCCAAGCTCCAAATGTCGGCTTTGCGTGTGTACGATGTCTGCTTGACAACCTCTGGCGCCATCCAGAAGACGCTGCCCTGGAGCGAGGGACGATGGGCACGAACGCTGACGAGGAGATCGCTCTCAACCTTTTTCGAGATGCCAAAGTCAGAGATCTTGATGCAGCTCTTGTTGTCGACGAGGATGTTGGCCCCCTTGATATCGCGATGCACAATCTCTCGCTCGTGCAGGAAGGCCAAGCCATGCAGGATCTGCTTGACAAAGTTGCGTACCAGTGGCTCCTCGAACGCTCCATAATTTCTCAGCAGTGCAACGACTGAGCCTCCCGGAACGTACTCGAGGAAAATGTTGAGGTGGGTTCCGTCGGCATACGAATCGAGGTATTGCACGATGTTCTCGTGCTGCATTGTCTTGAGGAGCTCAATCTCGCGCTCGAGGGCCTCGAGCATGCTCTTCTTGCGCTGGTCGTTGTGCGAGTCGCCCGAGGGTAGCTCAACCTGCTTGACAGCCATCAAGAGACCATTCTTGGCATTCATGCCCAAGAACACGTTGCCAAACGAGCCGGCTCCGATGAGGGCGCCCTTGATCCACTTGATTGGCTCCTTTCCAGGCGCTCTCGACTGGTAGACACCACCATCGTCGTCGCCATCGTCTTCGTTGCTCAAGTCGTCATCGTCGTCGTCGTCGTAATCGTCATCGGTGTCCATGCCGTCGTTGCTCTCCTCTTCGCTGCCGCTTCGCCTCACCTCGCTGATACTGCTCGCCCGGCTCGTCGAACTCCTGGCCATGGGGTCGCCCAAGTGTCGATCCGTCTCTTCGCCTGGCACAGACTCTGTAGGTTCCCTCTCCATGGGCCGCTCGGTGACAGCCATATTTTGGATCGTCGGATCGACATCGCTATTCTCATCATCGTCAACACCTCCTCCGTCATCGTCGTCTTCGCTCCCGCTCAGCTCGACGCTGAGGCCGCTGCTTGGCCTCGTACTTCCAGCGATGGACGAGGTGGCTCCTTTCGAGGTGGCTGGCAGTGGAATTGGGACACCGTCCTCGTCGACGACCCAGCCGCCACTGCCGCCAGCGCCGCTGCTGCTCGCCAGGCTCATGCTCGCCCGCCTCTGCTCCACCTCCTGCGTGATCTCATCAACGGTCAAGAGGCTCGCCGAGTCACTCCGATCCGCACCAAGTCCACGCAGGCTGCTGCTGCCTGCGGTGGGCCCGCCGAGGTAGTCATCGCCGCCGATGCCGCGAGCCATGCGCAGCTGCGAGGCAAGGCTCTTGCGGCTTCGTGAGCTTTCGCCCGAAGCTCTTCGGTGGGACACCGGACGTGGTGGCTTGGCAACGGGGGCCGGCGCAGACTCGTTGGAGTGGTGGGGTGTGCCAACAGTCGCCAGGTCCAAGGCCCACTCGTCGAGAGAGGATCGACCAACGACGGGAGGCAGCGTCGGCGCAGCTGTCTCGACGCGCTGAGGATCTGAGGAATGATCGTCCATGCCAATGCGGATCGAAGGAGCATCCACCGAGGGCCGAGGTACATCGATGCTCTCTTTTCCGGGCAGCGGCGGCGCATCGGGATCGGCGGCAAAGCTCCAGGTCGAGTCTCGCTTGGACCGAATGCTCGTCGAGGGTCGTCCGTAGATGGATCTTCGGGCGGTGCGCTCAAGGACGCGCTTCTCCGTGGCTGGGAAATAGTCTGCCAGGTGCGAGCTAATGAGTTCTGAAGGAGGGCGCTGACCAAAGAAGTTTCGCGCCTTCTTGGGAATGACGGACGCGGCCCGTGATGGTTCCGACGTCGACGACGGTGTCGGAGTCGTCAGCTTGTCGTGGCTTGCCGCTCGATCGCTGAAGTTGGCAGCCGTCAAGCTGCTGTTCAGGTTGGTCCAGTTGCTATGGTCGCTGGTTCGTGCATTCCCATTATTGCTTCGGGACGCAGCGGCAGCATTCTTGGCTGCACTGAGGCCGCCCTTTGCCACGTTGACGCCCAAACCCGTCATGATACTGATGGTGCTCGCTCGGTTCATCTTCTTGCCTCCCGTGGTGACATGGCCCGCATCGAGGCCCTCGCCCCGACTTGTACCCTCGTATCCTGGGCTGGCTGGCCCGCCGCCGTTGGGGGCTCCTGACGCCGGTGGCACATCTCCAAAGAAGTACTGCAGCTTGTTTCGCTTGACCATCGGCCTCCTCCCCGGATCCTCGGGTTGTGCGAGTCTCCTTAGAGTCAGTCCTCGTTCCCGTAGCGGGTCGTGGGGCTGTGGAGCGTGGCAGATGGCAAGCAGCTCGTTGTCGTTGAGATACTTTGTCTGCCCATCTCCGCTTGTGGCAAAGATGCCCCACAGCTCGCTCGCACCTTCTTCGCCACTTTGTTCTTCGTCTGACTCCATCTGGCCCGCTGTCGGCGTTGCATGGTAGCTGTTGCCCGTCGAGGGCTTGCCAAACTTCTTCAAGACCTTGGAGAGCACCTCGTGGGCGTCTCTGCAATCTGAAACGGTGACGATGCGCGTAGTGCCGTCTTCGCCGATGAACTTGATCGTCCGTCGCTTGAGGTCCTCGAGCGAAGGATGCGCTGCGCCCCTGCCCGCCGAGCTGATCATGGTCGCATCAGAGCTCGCCGAGCTGGGGGTTGGCGGTCCGTTGGAGTAGCTTGGGGTGATGGGCCTCGTCGACGAGGGTGCAAAGGGCCCTCGCCCGACTGCATAGCCACCCGTCTCGCGATTGAATGAAGGCGTGATGGGCGACCTCGTCGAGGTGCTGTTCGCAGAGCCGGTCTCGACGATAGGGGTGAGAGGATTGCTGCCATTGTGCACAGGGCCTATCGACCGTCCTGCTCCGTCCGAGGTCGAGGGTCTCTGAGGCTGGTTGTACGACGAAAACGTCGGGCCAGTTGGGCTTGACGAGCTCACACCAGCATATCGACTGGGTCCGCCTGCGCCTGCACCTGCGCCTGCACTTGCGGCCCCAGCGCCATTGCTGCCCGGTTGGTAGCCGTACCCTCCGCTGGCCGTGCTTGGTCTGGAGCCGTAGGTGACGCTCCTCTGGTTGAGGGCAGCGCCGATCTTGGTGGCAGGCGTGCCAATCGAGCTGACCTTTCGATGGCCCAGCTCGTCGCCCGGCAAAGGCTTGGTCATTGATGCTGGGCTCCGGCCAATCCTGCCCTGGCCGGTGCCCGTCAGTCCGCGAGCCTCTCTGAGCCCCAGACCCTGGCTGTTGTGGAGCGGCGAGGCTTGGCTGGGCGTCATGGGCATGTCGGTCGACGAGGACTGTGCGAGATGAAGCGGTGGAGGCCTCGCGTGGGCTGCTCTCCTTGACGCCAGCGCAGCCGCTGCTGACTGCTCCTGCGCAAAGGCGGGCGAAGCGACACCACCACCGTTGGGCAGGCCGCCCTGGTAGTTGGGATTCAGCACCTCCATGTCGCCGCCCTCCGCCTGCTGCTGCTGCTGCTGCTGCTGCTGCATGAGCTGCGCCTGTTGGGCCCGCTCCGTGCACTGCCGCTTGAGGTTCTTGATGGCCGACAGCAGCCGCGTGCGTGCGCCCACGCTGGGGATGCCCATCTCCTTGAGCAAGCTCAGGTCGACGTCAAAGAGGACCGCGCCGGAGATGTCGTTGCGGCTAAACGTTTGGACATGGTCGCCGAGCCGGAGCGACTGGAGCCACTTCTTGACATCCTCCTCGCCCCACTGCGAGACATCCTCAAACGTCGCCATCGTCTGAGGTGGGATTGCAACGCAAGGTGCAGAGCCAAAGCAAAGGCAATGCAGAAAGGAAGGAGAGGCAAGGGGAAGGGGGAAGGGGGGAAAGGAGGGAGAGAGAGAGAGAGAGAGGAAAAGGTCCTCTCCTCCCCTTTCCTGCGATGTCGACGAGGCGGTGACAAGAGCGACGGCGAAGGTGCCGGAGTGGGCAGGCCCAGAAAAAAGACAAAGGGCAGGAGCTAAAAAGCGCCTCTGCATTAGCAGGTTCACGTCGCATTCAGATTTCAGCTCCGTCGTCAGCAGGCGCGTGCACGTGGAGTGTCTATGTATGGCGATTCCCTCTCTACAAATACATACAGCTATGGAAAATAAAGTAAGACCCTCGTCGCGTTTTTTGTCAGAATCGAGCTCAACGAAAGAGCTCCTCACCACAGTTCTTAGGCCGTCACACACTCAATTCTGGATCTGATGAGCTGAAACTTTGTACAACGGAGCGTTTGTAAACAACAAAAAGATCTGTGAACTCAGTATCGAGTGTTACCTCCTCCATTGGCAATAACAGCCTCCATTCGTGAAGGCATGGACTGTACTAGGTTGGCAAAGAAGTCCTCCTCTATCTTGCTCCAAACCTCTTCAATCAAGGGAACAAGTGCATCACGGACAGCATCAGGTCCTCCTCCAAGTTCTGGGATGTGTGGATGCTTCTCGTGAAGCCTTTTCTTGAGTATTGCCCAGGCATTTTCGATTGGATTCAGATCTGGAGAGTATGGCGGCCAGAGGATGGGTTCAATGCCTTGCTGCCTGAACCAGCACCGTGAATGCTTTGATGTATGCACCGGGCTGTTGTCCTGCTGGAACAAGCTCTGCCCTGGCAGATTGTTGAACCATGGAAGGAGGTGTTCAGCGAGCATGGAGGTGTAACCTCTTGAATTGAGATGAGGGCCAGGTGTCCTCGTCAGAGGTCCTTTGTTTGCTCCCTGGAAGCAGCCCCACATCGAAACACCCAGGCAGCCACCAGCTGTTGTCTTCTTGATGCAATCATCGTGATACTTCTCTGCAGCAGTGCGGAAAACCCAGTCCCGGCCCTTCTTTTCTCGTTGGACAATTGTTTCATCTGACCAAATGACCATGCCCCATTGAATGATTGACCAATCTCGATGTTCCAATGCAAACTGAAGGCATCTTTCTTTATGATGTGGCTTGAGATCAGGCTTGGGCGTCTCTCTGTGCTTTCCTACTCCATATTCTCTCAACACACGGCGTGCAGTGGGTCTTGTAATGTCGAGGTTGCTGTTGTTGATTGTTTGCTGCAATGGCACCCTCCTGTTCTGCAATGCCTCATCGTGCAGTCTTTCTTTTTTGTCAGCAGATAGCTTGGATGGTCGGCCAGTCGGTTTGTGGTTCTCTGTGCTACCACGGGCTCTGAAGCGTTTTAGCATTGTCTTGACGGTGTTGTGAGAGAGAGAAAGCCTCTCAGAAATAATTTTGGAAGGCACTCCTTCTTCATAGAGAAAGAGGACCCTCTCCTTTTGCGCAGTGCTCCAGTGCTTGGGCATTGTGGTTTGGATGTAGGAGAAGAGATTCAAGCGTGCTTTTGCCACACAAAGAGTATCATCCTGAGTAGCTACACAGCTTTTTGTCGAAGCTGGCTGACGACATCGGGGCAAAAAAACGCGACGAGGGTCTTACTTTATTTTCCATAGCTGTATGTGTCTATCGATGTTCTTAAGGGCGCTTATGATGATGACGAGAGCACTCCTTTGATGTGGATCTGCCGTGCGTGCCGGATGCCCAATTCCACCGCGAGCCTCTGGGCCGCTGTATTGACAGCGTGGGAGTGGGGAGATGCGATCGATGTCGCCGCCTCCCCGACATCTGAAATTGCCCGGCACAACCTCCGGTGGGCTTTTACAGCCTCCTGCCGCCTTCTCTTGTTCGTGTCGGTGTCCTCCTCCTCCCATACCTCCATGCCTTCCTCCTCCTTTCCATCCTCTTCCTCCCCCATCTTTAGTCTGCCCTGCATTGCTTGACATCCTCTGAGCAGAAGATCGAGCAAGTTGCTCACCATCTTGCTCGGTACCCCTACTTGGGCAGGTGGCTTGCCGTCGAGCCTGCCTAGGAGTCGTCTCAGGGTTGAGGCAGCTGCTGCGACAGCCGCTTCTCCGTGATCGTCTTCCTGCAGAAGCAAGCTCTCGTCTGCCGCCTGTTCAAGAGCCTGCAAAGCTCTCGCGATCACTTTGTCCGACACCTTGGGTCCGTCACTTATCTTCTCAAGTGTGTCCGTAGCGGCTTCGAGAAGGTCGAGCCAGATGCGTCTGTGCGCGCCAGCACTACTCGAGAGGCTGAGCTGCTGGATAATCCATCCAAAGAGATCGCCCCTCAGCACCACGTCAAAGATGGCTGCCTCGTTCCGTGCCATGGCCATGACAACATCCTCGATCATGGACCGCGTGCTTCGATCGGGAGCCGTCGTGTAGAGGCTCACGATGAGATCCCAGACATGCCGTCGTCTCAGAATATCCCACTCCACACTGCCTCCGCTTTGGAGCACGTCGCGGATAAAGCGCAACATCCATCCACGCTCCTGCCGCACGTGGTCGGTCGAAGAGAAGATCGAGTTGAAGAGCAATGGCACATCGGACCCGTCAAACAGCGGTCGCTGGAGGAGATGGTGCATCGTGTAAGGGAAGAGCACCGTCGAAGGAGCTGCCAGACAGCGAAGAGCATGGGCGAGGAATAGCGTTGTCGTCAGAGGCTGATATGCTGGAACTCCGTCGGAGACGCCCATGATGTTCCGAGCCGCGTCTAGAATGAGAAGGACGTGGCCGCGCTCGAGAAATTGAACGTTCTGCGACCAGATAACGAATTAGACAGGCTCACAAATGGAGCAAATGACTGTACTCACCTGCACATCGGCATAGATTCGTGCGAGAAGCTTAGTAGCCGAAGTTCGTACTTCCCCGCTGAGCGAGCTGAGGCAGCACACGACCACGCCCAGCGCATTGGTTCTGAGAACCGACACCCACTGCCAGCCAGTCATGGGCCCGAGTGATGCCAATGTCGATGAGAATAGCCCCAAGACAAAGAGTGGGTCGTACACCTTCGACCCATCGATGCCGCCATCAGGACGGGTGAAGCCGGCTCGCTTGCCTCCAAAGGACCTCTGTCGGGGAAAGGATGTGCAAGTCGCAAAGACACGCAGCGGATCAAGGGCCAAGAGCGCATCTAGTCCCTTTGTGCCTTCGCGGTTGGCTTGTCCCTGAGGATTCCAGCTCCTCCAGAGCGAAAGGCTCGATTGACCGGTCGAAAGCTCAAAGATGCGCATTGCATCCATTAGCTTTCGATCGGATCGCGACAGTGATCCTCCGTAGATTGTCACCATCGAAGCCATCGTGGCCGGTCTGCACAGGTCCGTAGACCTGCCGACGAGGCGGCAGAGGATCTCTGCGACTTGTTCGCGGACATCCTTTACACTTGAGCTCATCTCTGGAGTAGGTCGAAGCATCTTAAAGGTAGACGACGCGAGAATTGTGCCGAGATGTAGGGCCAAGGAATTGACCTCCAGGTCGGCATGCCTAATCAAGGCATTGACTAGTCGAAGGTGCTGAGCGCTTGAGAGCCTTCTCTTGATTGCCGCCGTCACGACAGGCTCGGAGAGGTGTCGCTTCGGATTTATGGCTAGCTTCTCAGTCGCTTCATTGATGAGTCGAGCGAAGCACACGATTGAATCGACGAGAAGGGGCGAGTCCTCGTCGTCTTCGGCAAATCGTCGCACGAGCCACAAAAGACCTCGCTCAAGTATGGCTTCGACGGCCAGCTTGAGCTCTAAATTGGCGCTCTGGGTCGATGAAGACGCGGCAACAAGATCATATAGCACCTCGATGGCGTCGATCTTGAAAGCATCGCCGGGAACACGGGGTAAGAGTTCGACCAGCATCGACGGCACGGTGGAGTTCTGATCCATGATTTCGTCCAGATCCTTTACGGCTTGCTGCAAGGCCGGTCGAGCCCCCTCTACACCACTGAAGAGCGAGCGCACGCAATCTGACGTGAGTGCCGACATTTGGTTCTCTTTCATAGCCGTCAAAGAGCCGCCAGCCACTTTCACGATCTCGAGAGCTCGAGAGCATGATCGAGGCAGAGTGCCTGCACGACCAACATCGACGATGGCTGCCAGGACCCCCGTCGCGAGTTGGGAACAAACGTTAAGGAGCTGCTCCAGCACAGTGTCGACTATATGCTCGTCCTGGATGTTCGCGACCAGCAATGACACCGATCTTGACAGCTTTTTCTCATCTAAATCCCTCGGATTGACGTTCTGGCTCTCTGTTGGGAGCGAGAGAGACACGAGAGAAAGCAAGGAAGCCTGATTTTGACCTGACCGCGCTGCGGCTTCCAAGAGAGGCGAAAGATTGTCCAAAACGATGCCGACTGCAACACTCGAACGATCCACCTCCCCTTGCTCGATGGACAAGATTTCCGATGCAAAGGCGGCTTCCTCTTCGATGCCGTCTGCGCCTCGATGTTGAATGGCTTTCAACAGCTTCTCCAGCCACTGTCGACGTTGAGTCGCATCAAGAAACGCGACGATGCCTCTAGCTGCTTCTATCTTGTCTCCTACGTTCGAGATTGCTAAATTGGCGAGACGTCGAGCTGCATCTACGTCCTCGTGATCACTCGGATCGAGATGATCGCACGCAAGTTTCAAGACAGCGCTCAAACATGCTCTTCTAGCGCACATGCCAAGAAACAGGTCATCAAGAAGGACTCTCCTGACGTCCGCGCTTCGTACGTGACCTCTGAGAATCGCATGTCCGATCAGCTCAAGGATTGAGGCTGCCCGCTGCCCGTCGATAGAAACCGTCTTGAGGGCCTCGATGAAGAGCAGCGCTCCCGTTGGATTCAAGTCCGTCCAATCGATCGAGCCGAGGTTTCCTGTTGCGCACCACGTTGGCGCATAGAAAGCGAGAAGAGAAGGTGGCAGGGGCTCGTCCAGAAAGCGGAGAATGTCACCTTCAATGTGAGGATGAAGTTCGTCTAAAAGATGAAGCGCCCCTACTTCCTTGACCGATTCAGCCAAGCTCTGAAGCTCCGTTGGCGATAGAGGTCGCGCGCTTGTGCGAAGCTTGTTCTTGAGCTCGCGATAGGTCTTCGAATCTGCAACAAAAACTGCGTCAGTATCTTCTTTCGAAGAAATCGGGTCGTACAAGGAGAGAAAGAGGTCATACAAGTAATTTTGGTAATAATGTGCTTCCTCATGTGTTCTCAGACAGCAGTTGGTATAGTTGAATCTTTCCTTTTCCTCCCGCAGTCATCCATTGCCACTCACCTTTGAAAAATTCCTTCCGTTTTGAAGACAATCGTCCATCCTTGTCCGTAGATGCCTTGCCTCCGATGAACAGAGTTCTTGCATGTACGACCTTCAGAGCAAAAGTGTCCGCAAAGGCTTCCTTCAGCGTCCCGAGCAGAGCGCTGAGTCGGACCGATGAGCAACCTAGCGTCAAGAGATTGGGAAACAGGCGGGCAAAGAAGGCTAATGCTTCCTGTTGCGTCGATTCGTCGACAAGATTCTTCTTCGTCTGAATGCCGAGCTGCTCGACCATCGTCAGGAGGAGGGGACTGGCAAGAAGGCCGCTAGCTTGCTCGCCATCGTCTTGTCCGACACGGCGGGCCATTTCGATGTACCGATACGGCGTTTTGTTGCATCGTTGCATGCAGTCGTCGAAGAATTTGACCAGACTTGCAGTGCCTTCGTCGTCCTGACCGGAGGCGGCAAATGCCTCCATCCATACGACCCACTCGTGCCTGTCGTGCTCGAAAAGGACGCTCTTTGCCATCGCCTTTTCTACGAGTTCGCGGCTTGCTTGACGTACTTGGATGTGTGACGTCGTGATAGAGAGACGAAGGAACTGGGAAATAAACGTTGGGGAGGTTGCCGAAGAGCGGGCAAACAGGTCGAAGGACGAAAAGCCTTGGTCGATTGCGGCGGCGACAAGACGCAGAGCATGCAGCTGACAAAGCCATTGGACTGAATCGAGCCCTGAGTCGCTGTCCGACGTAGATGCTGGCTTCGACTGCATAAGCTCGCTGGTCACCAGCTTGCCAATATCAAGGCTTGAAGAGGAACCAGTCTCTGGTAGGACGACATGGTAGAGCCATGCCACTCTAAGACCCGTCTCGCTGACAAGGATGCCCGACCCTTGGACTTCGGCATCACCCCCAGCGTCATCGTCCGACTTCTTGATCGCGGGTTTGCTCTCAAGAGCTTCGGCAATGTTCGACATCTCGGGAAGCCTCAGGCTTGCCTCTCGCGCGACTTGCCGCCAGCAACGAGTCCAGGGCCCCGAGTGAATAGCATCAAGTTCGTCGAACTCCTCGTCTTGAGTATCTTCCCGCGCCAACCACTCGCCTCTGGCCTCGTTGCTGCTCATTTGCTCCCCAAGCTCCTCTGTTGCCCGCAGGCAGACCTCTTTAAAGTCGGCAAGCCTTTGCAGAACCCTGGCGAGGAGGGTGAGAGAGGCTTGCCTTGTAAGGTTGTTCTTGTGGGTGATACCGCGGAGCAGCGAATTTCTTGAAATCGCAGAGGGCATGACACCAGCGATGACATTGTTGAATGGTGGCGGAGCACCCTTCATCAAAGTTTGAGTGGTCCCGTCGCTCTTCTTCAGTGTAGATGTGAAGGAAGGGAGAGGCAGGCTCAGAGTGCGACCCAAAAAGGTCCCCGTGCTCAGCCAGGAGATAGAGTCTGGCCGAGGCTCGAGGCTTGTCGAGGAAAAGGACCCAGTCGAGGCGCTAAGGTAAGGGCCGAAGAGCTCTGGTGACGCGGCCAGAATCCTGATGGCCAGCTCGCCTTGCTTGCGCGATCGAGACGGGGCCAAAGAGCGCAAGACACCAAGAAGCACCTTATTGTGAATACCTTGGCCTTGCTGTTCCAGCTCGCTCCTCCCCTGCATATCGACGTCTATGGCCCTGGCGGCTTCGTCTTCTTCGCTCTGCCTTTTGCCGTACCAGCCATTGTCGACGTAACAGATACCTCTGGCCGGGTGCGTGCAGAGGGCGAGGAGAAAGTGGTGGGCGACATCCGCGACGGAGTGCTTCTCTATCTGTCCTTGCGGTCCCGTGGAGACGTTGACGGTCTGGTGCTCTCTCTCGTACAGAGTAACCAGGTTCTTGCACGTCCATTCGTTGAACAAGGCCACGACTCTGGTTCGAGGCAGTCCGACGGCAGCCTCTTGGCTTAGAACGCCGTCATGTAGAGCTCGAAAGATGTGAATGACGACGTCTGGTGGATCGCGGTCGATACCTCTGAAGATGCTCGGCAGCACATCAGTGCCCAGCGAGAGAGCAGCAACGCGCAAAGGGACAGGCGTGGCCGCACCAGCTGGAGTGCGTAGAAACGAGAGCAGCAGGAGGATCCACAGAGTCCGGATGTCCGGACGAGCTAGGGTCACGGGAGCTGGACTCTTTGCCAATCGCTTGGCTCCTTTACTTGCAGCCGCTGAACGCCGGCGCATCTTGAACAGTCGAGACAGATTCTGTTTCGCGTTAATTCAAGTTAGCCCACATCATCCCTTGCGATCTGGTAGCGCAGTCCAACTCACCCTCATGTTCCAGTCAAAGCAGTCAAAGACTCGACGAGCATGCTTTCCACCTGCGAACGAGGTGATTTCGAGAATGAGCTTCACAGCCGCCAGAGTGATGAGCTCGCTAGCTGCATGATTGCTCGCCGGCGTCGCCACTCCTTTTCTCTTGGTGCTCGCCTCGACATTGCCGCTGGTCGCCAGATAAGACTGAAGCCTGTTCCAATATTTTGACTGGGGCGACGTTTCCACAATTGTAGCTGCAGACTTTTGCGATTGAAAGCTGGGTAAGATGAGGCCGATGATGTCGTGCCCGAGCTCATGAGTGGGCTGGTGTGACCCCAAGAGCGAAAGCACATTGGCTAGGCAGAAGAGCACGAGAGGCACAACAGTGACCTGTCCACCGTCCTCGCAGAGATCCCATGCCTCCAAGAGTCCCTTTGGCGCCTTTCCCTCGACTCCCAATTTCCCGCCGACGCCATCTGCACTGGCGAATTCAGTGGCCAGACGGATGCGTCTGTCGCTAGGCTCTGGCCTTTGATCCCCATAGTTGATCGCAGTGACACTACGAAGTCGTGAAAGGGAAATGCGAAGGGCGTCAAAGGATGTTGTCCCAAGCGAAGCTGCCAACTCGGACCCCGTCCCTGTAAATGCCGGCGCTTGCTTCTCGAGTCCGACCGCATCTTCGTCCTCATTCTTGTCGTCCTCTTTCCCCTCTTCTACCTCTTTCAGATCTCGCTGCTTCGGCTGAGGCCCCTCGCCCTCCTCTGTCCACGACGCTTCGTCCCTTCGCCGCTTTCTACTCCCCATGTCCTTGACCATGCTCGCCCGTTCTTCCGAAAAGTCAAAAAAAAACATCACAGAAAGTAAAGTTGGCCAAAAAATTGGCAACCTTCGAGTGACTAAAATTATCACGTGCAAGAAATGGCTTTTTGTTTCAGTGTTTTCGCAATGTGTTAGTACCGATACAAGAAATGCTGGCGCAACGTCTCCACTCTCATTTTTTTTTCTCTTCTTCATCTTCTCCGTCGGTCCCCTTCACCCTCATCTTGGAAGATGGCTCCCGTTCCCGTCCAAAAGGCGCAGCTGAGCGCCGAGAGGACCGCATCTGGGTTCACACGGTGGATTGAGGAGAACCGCACACTAGCCATCAGTCTTGCGCTTGGCACCTTGGCTGTCGGCGGTGCCGGGGCCTACTACCTCTATTCGAATCCTTCTTCCTCTTCCTCCGGCGACAGGACCAAGGACCGAGATGTCGAGAAGGGCGATGACAAAAGCGCAGGATCGTCTGCGGCGAAGAAGAAGAAGGGAAAAAAGGGCAAGAAGGGCAAGGAAAGCCCTACGGAAGCACCGGCTAAAGACGCCTCTGGACCCCTCCTGGACGAGGCTAGCGATGGTGAGCAGACGCACAAGGACTTTCCTGGCGTAGAGTTAAGCCGCTGAGACATTGCGCCGCCTTCCAGAGTCGCTCTTTGGCCTCTCAGAGGGCGAAATTGTCAGATTACCCGACGAGGTGGGTTCGCTTGTCCGCCGCGTCTCATTATAATCCCTTTGTCCCTTGCTCTCCCGCTGAACTTTGCCCGAGCAGAAACGCAAGTCTTTGGCTCAAGCGCTCAAGGCGGCAGGGAACAAGGCATATTCGAGCCGCCAATTCGAGGAGGCTATTGGCTATTACACCAAGGCTATTGCCGCCAATCCTCTGGCCGTCTTCTACAGCAACCGAGCTGCTTGCTACTCCAATCTCGGCCGGCCAAGCGACGTGATTCCAGATTGCGACAAGGCATTGTCCATGGACCACACCTATGTCAAGGCCCTCAACCGTCGAGCCGTGGCGCGGGAGCAGCTGGGTGGGGACGCCATCGAAGAGGGCAAGGAGGGCGACGAGAAGCGAGACCTCCTTTTCCTTAGCTTGGCCGACTTTACCGCCGTTGCCATCCTGGGTCACTTCAAGGACCAGGGCGCCACCGACGCCGTCGAGAGAGTCCTCAAGAAGATTGCCACGTCCAAGGCAAAGGAGATTCTTCGGACGAGGGAACCCAAGCTGCCTTCGCCAACCTTTGTCACAGCCTACCTCGAAGCCTTCCGGCCCAAGCCCACGCCTGAGCTGCCTCAGAATCCGTCGCAGGGCGACCAGACGCTCATCCGAGCGTACGAGGCCTGCCAGGCTCGCGATTACCCCCACGCCTTTACGCTCTTCAACGAAGCCATTGAGCAGGGCCTCAGCAACGAGGACCTCGAGGCGCTGGCACACAACATGCGAGGGACATTCAAGTTTGTCATTGGCAACGCAAAGAGTGCCCTGGAGGACCTCGAGAAGAGCACGACTCTGCGGCCAAACATGGTGCAGAGTTGGGTCAAGAAGGCATCGGTGCACATGGAGCTGAGTGCAAAGGAGGAGGCCTTCCGCGACTTCGACATTGCCATCCAAGCAAACGCAGACGACCCCGACATTTACTACCACCGCGGCCAGGTCCACTTCATCCTTGGCGAGTACGAGCGAGCGATTGAAGACTACCAGAAGTCGACATCGCTGGACGACAAGTTCATCTTCAGTCAGGTGCAGTATGCTGTGGCCCAATACAAGACGGGCAATGTGGGCAAGTCGACTGCGTCGTTCCGCAAGCTACTGCGCGACTTTGAGGGATCGTCGGAGGCATACAACTACTTCGGAGAGCTGCTGCTCGACCAGCAGCGTTTCGAGGATGCCCTGGAGAAGTTCGACCGGGCAATTGCCATTGAGTCGGAAAAGGAGAGGAGCTCGAACGTGCTGCCGATGATCAACAAGGCGTTGGCCCTGTTCCAATGGAAACAGGAGATGGCAGCGGCAGAAGACCTGTGCAGGCGGGCGCTGGAGAAGGATCCGGATTGCGATGTGGCCGTGGCGACATTGGCTCAGCTGAGCCTGCAGCAGGGAAAGATCAAGGAGGCCATCGACTTTTTCGAAAGGAGCGCCGAGATCGCCAGGACGGAACCAGAGCTGGTCAATGCCATCACCTAGTGAGTGTTGGAAACGTCTCCTCCTCCGTCTGTTATTCGACGCTGACAGACGCCTCTTTCCTTTCTTGCCAGCGAAAATGCATCGAGAGCGCAGCTGAAATTCATCAGCGACTTCCCAGAGGAGGGAAAGGTGCTTCAGCAGCTCGCCGGAGGCATCGCGTAAACGATGAAGCGACCCATCGATTAAAATGCCCCTCCCTTCCTTTGTTAGTCCTCTCATGTACCGTACCTGCAGAAAAAGTTGCTCCCTTCGTCCACCAAGCCAATCACCGCTCTTCTGGAATGAAAATGAAAGAAACGACATTCTACTTTTTTCAACCCTTAGAACGGAGGGGCGGCGTGTGACAGCGCCTCGTCGCTACAGGACTACCACTTTCGAAAGGCTCTCATCACTCACGAAGGGAGAAAGAGAGGTTGATGTATTGCTTGTCCTCTATTAATTATTTGTAAGGTACCGATGACATCTATAACCTCAAGCTTGCGGCATTGACCGGTGATGCACCAGCCTTTCCCTTTCCCTTTGCTCTCTTGTCTTCGTTTCCTTTGCCCACGACAGACACGCCCTTGTTTCCCATCAGTCTTTTGAGCGCCTCCTCCTTTTCCCGCTCCTCAGCTTTCCTGCCCTTTGGCCCGCCAGGGCCGGCGCCGACTGCCGCTCGGTTGATCTCAATCTTCCGCCTGGCGTCTTCGATCCGGCTATTTCGGGCAGCTTTGTCAGCGCGAAGCTTCCTCTGCATCCGCTGCTTCTCCTCGGGCGTCATCTCGCTCCGATCGCCTGTCAGGGAGACATTGTGGCGGCCAGCATCGTAGACCTCTTCTGGCGCAAGCATCGATCGACCCGATGAGGTCGCAGGCAGCGAAGACTCCATTGTGATGGCAGGTGCATTGCTCAGCGTCTGGATTGATGCCTTGGGCTGGAGTGGACGAGACATCAGCTTCCCTTCTCCACAAGACCTGCAAGGACGAGATCTCTTCAAACTCACCGCCCTTGGTGTAAAGTTAGCGTTGGTCAAAGCATCGAGCTTATTGTTGATGTCGTCAAAGAGCTCGTCTATCTCGCGATGCTCTTCCTCGAGCTTGCGATCTTGCTCTGGGGTCCGCACTTGGCCATTCTCCGTCGCCTTTTGATCTTCGTACTGGTCTTCATAGATCTCTGCTAAGCTCTTCCCGCTCTTCTGATCACTGAGTTCGAGCATTCGGCTCGGTAGGAAGGGCATCGCCTCAATATTGAGCCTTCGCTGGACATCGTCGAAACGACCCTCGAGAATTCGCTGCTTGATCATGTCTTCCAACGAGGAGGTGGTCTCTTCTGTCACTACTGGCTTGACCTTGGCCGTGTTTTCGAACTCCAAGTCTTGCTCGAGAAGGCTGTTTTCTGGTCGCGACTTTGCTCCTGCTTCGCCCATCAGCGTCCAATCTTTCCGATCAACATTCTCCCTCTCTAGACGTGCAATCTCTTCTTGCAGTCCTCGCATCTTGCGCTCGTGGCTTGACTCCTTTGCAGGGCCTTTCTCCGGCTCTTCGTCTGCGAAGAGATCGCCTGCGACTCGATGGGCAATTTCCTGCTCTTGTTCGGCCGCATCTTGCTCAGACATCTCCTCATCTTCTTCGTCCTCTCCGACCTCAGCCATCTCCTCGTCTAAGCCCTCGTCGTCGTCATCGTCGTCTTCCCCCTCAGGCTCTTCTTCCTCTTCTCCGCTGTTCACTTCATCCTCAGCTTCCTCATCCTGTTCCTCAGAGCCTTCTTCCGAGCTTGCCGACTCTTCTTCGTCCTCATCGACCTGATCAGGGAGGTTGCCTTGTCGCATCGCCCGCAGAAGCTCCGGTGTGATGGCCATCTCGTCCCTCTTCTTCCTAGCTTTGATCCTCCGAACAGCCACCTGGTCATGAAATCGTAAGACGCGTTTGCGAGGTTCCCCAGCCGTTTCTTCTCGTGCGGCAACTTCCTGCGTCCTGGCATGGTCGCCGCGGGCCATCGAGACAGCCGCTGGAGCATTCGCATCCCCAACTTTGGATCTTGGAGCCTCTTCTTGCTCAGTTATGGAGTTGGAAGCAGCCTTCCCTTTCCCCTTATCCTGTTTTCGAGGTCCTCGCTTGACAGCCGGAGGGGCAAAGAAGTCGAGGTACATGATCTGATCATCTTCTCCCTCTTCCTCGTCATCTCCCTCGCCGGGCTGACCGTTGACGGCGGCGAAGAGATCTACATCCTCACCAAGATCAACTCCCTCATCTCCGTAGTCATCAGTGTCGCGGTTGAACTGATCGATGGAAAAGAAGTCGTCGTCGAGCGTTGGATGTCTTCGCTCAGAGCCATGAGCCGCTTTTTGACTTGAGGAGCCGGGGGCATCAAGGTTGTCAAGGATACGAATCCGCCGCTTGTGCTCTGCTGTCGCTTCATCATCTTCGTCTTCGTCGTCTTCGTCTTCTTCTTCATCTTCTTCTTCTTCTTCATCATCTCCCTCTTCGTCGTCCTCCTCTGCAATGCTCTGCTGCATGTACTGAGCAAGCTCCGGATCGATGCCCTCATCTTCCTCGTCCTCGTCCTCCTCGCTGTCCTCGTCCGGATCTCTCCCCATCATCATCTTTGCCAGTCTTTTGTGGCTCCTCAGCTGCATCAACTCGCGCCTCTCGGCCTCCTGCTTTCGCCTCTGTTGCTCCTCTTCACTAAGCAGTGGCTCCAGAGTGACAACGCCCGCTTCCTCCTCATCGCTCAGGTCAGACGTTCCGGCATAAGGTTCCGGACCATCTTCCTCTTCTTCTTCTTCTTCCTCTTCATCGCCTTCGTCGTCATCGTCGTCCATCTCTGCGAAGTCTTTCTCCATCTCGGCCCGTCTCTCTGGGTCCAGCCCCATGGCACGCAGATCGGCATCAGAAAGCTCGCGGAGGCTGTGGACAATTTTCTGCTTGGGCATCGCTCCCAGATCATCGTCCTCATCCTCCCCTTCCCCTTGCTTGTCGTCCTCATCCTCGTCTTCGTCCTCCGGGGGCGAACCTCCTTCGTTCGTGATCACCTTGTCCAAGACTTCGCAAATTCGGCCGGCCCGCATCTCGAGCTGCTGCCACACTTGATCGGTGTCCATGCCGCTGACAGTGAGCTCTCCCAATGGTGTCGGTTCAACCTTGAGGGTCTTGTCTGCCTGGGCCGAGCCATCGATGTCATCCTCTCGTTTTCGCTTGCCTCGAGTGGCGGCGCTCGGACCTTCTTGTCCAGAAAAGAGTGACTCGAGCGTATCCGACACAGCTGGGAAGGCACTGAACTCGGTCGATAGCGCTTATCGTGCCCAATTAAGAAGACTCAGTTCACATCTCTCAGCGACATGGATGGCATAAGGAAGTGCTTACCTAGATCAAAGAGTCTCTTGGTCGCCTCGAGACTCTGGCTTGACAGGGCGGCGTCGCCCTGAGCAAAGAGCTCAGGCTCTGAAGCGATGCGATTCGCCAACGCCTCAATCGACGCCAGGCTCGCCTTTCTGGCGGCTTCTCTCGACGCACCGTCGATCTCTTGTAACGCCATCATTCTACTGCGAGCCGAGCTCTCTACTCTTTCTTCTCCGACGTCTTCAAGAAGGAGAGAGGGCAAGTGAGGAACTTGCGCTTCTCCAAAAAAATAAAAATTTCGAGACGGTCACGTGCCGAGACCGTGTCGAGGCGCCCCCTCAGGGCCGGGAGGTCCGTCCACCTCGCCGTCGGCCTACCGTCGTGGGGGTATCACGGAGGGCGGGCCTGTGCTTGACTGGCAATGAAGGGCTCAATTGAACACGCCACCACATGCTCCCAACTCCCATCATGTCCTTCGACCGCCTCTTGTTCCCAGTTGTGCTGCTCCTCGCTTCCGGTCTGTTTGTAGGTGCGCATGTGCAGCACAAGAGAGCAGCGTCCCGTCCTATGCACTGACCGAATTGGGGATGCAGCCTCTGAAGCTGGTTACTTCCTCAAGTGGCAGCACCATAGACCCGATGGTAGCGGCTATGGATTGAGTGTTCCCCACGAGTACGAGAATAAGCACCTCCAGAGCCAACAGCCCCCTCAAGAGCTCATTTGGGTTTCTACTCGATTCATCGCTGGTTTTCACACATCCCCGTGTGCTGGTCAGGCTCGATCTTCGACCGTCTCCATCTTCAACATTGCATGCCAGCGCACCAGTCAAGGTCCCTATACGGTGATCAATCCTAACAAGATCGTAGCGCCAAATGGAGACCCGCAAACCTACTTTAGCTGGGCTCGGTACTGGTGGGCAAACGTAAGCAGTCTGTTCCCGTCGCTTTCACTTTCACCGGGCTCATCTTCTTTCTTTACCCTTTACCCGTTTTTACACAAGTGCGGCAACTACTGCAATAATGGCGGCCCCTACCAATACGAGCCGGATCAGCCTCATGCGCTGGGAAATCAGACAGCTGGCACTGAAGCATTTAATAATGGCAACGGGATTGACATGCAGCCACGGTCGCTTGTTCAAAGCCCCTTCGTCCAAGAAGAGCAAGGAGCAAGTGAGGAAGCGAGACTCGGCCAGACTGAGCAAGGAAGCGAAACGAAACTCGATCAAATCCAGCGCGGAAGCGTGCTTGAACACGATGGATCCAAGGCACAACTTACGCCTGACGACACACAGCCAGCTGAAGGGGACGACACATTCTGTGTGCCTCAGGGTAAAAAGCTAACGCGAGACGAAATCTGGACAGAATGTCCTTTCGTCCAACTTGATGGTAGATCGAACCCAGAGATCAACCTCACGACGGCGTCTATGAACATGAAGCTGGTCTCCGAGGCCATCCAGTTCAATGCGATTATTTTTGCCCTCACCAACGACGTTAAATACGCCAAGAACGCCGTTGTACTGGTAAGAGCATTCTTCACGGATGAAGAAACAGGGGTCCGTCCCAATGCAGAGTACGCTCAAATCATTCGCGGTCGAGGGAAGGTGTGTTCTGCAATTGTTTGCCTAGTCCTTTGCCATCAATTGACAGCGAAATCTAGTCTGGACGAGGTTCATGGTCCGGCCTCATCGAATGGCTCCACATCGCCAAAGTGGTCAACGGCATCTTGATTCTACGTTCCAGCCGTGCTTCACCATGGACCGATCTGGACGACTCAAAGATGAACAAGTGGGCATCTGCTTTTCTCGAATGGCTTACTACGAGTGAGAATGGCCAGAGAGCCCGAAGCGCAAACAACAACCAGGCGTCATTCCTTTATGGACAGCTCATCTCGCTCAACATCTTGCTTGGCAACATCGAGGGTGCGAAAAGCGTCATAGCAGAATACTTTGACAACGTCTTTCCCCTCTTGATCGGTGTCAACGGTTCTTTGGCATCTGAGGCTAAGCGGACCAGGCCGAACCATTACATTGCTTTCGCGATCGAAGCGATGCTCAACAATGCAAAGATGGCTGACGACTTAGGCCTCGATTACTGGAGTCACAAGACGCAGAACGGATCGACAATTCAGGATGCCATCAACTTCGCACTTGACTTTGCAGAGCAGAACAAGGAAAGTGTCGAAAGCCAGAGCTCCGAACCGGGCGCGCGTAAGCGTCAGGTGCCCCAAAACGGTTTCATGGATTCGGGCCAATTGGCGCAAGAAGCGATTGCATCGCAGCCATCTCAGTCCCCGCCGATTGACAGCGATCCTGTAGGGGAACTAGCGCCTCACGTGTTTGCAGCTATGAGCGTCTACGGCGATCCTAGCGGCCGCTATGCCCGCTTTCTCACCGATGATACCAAAACGGGAGACCCGCAAAAGAGGCGATCGTTTTGGTTCATGCACTTGCCCTGCGCCTTCCGCTACTCTCGAACGTCCGATGATCCTTATCGAGAGAAATACGGGTCGTCGACGCTGCTCGCTACTCCGACAAAGGAATTGGACGAAGAGGACACCATATCTCAACGTGACACAAGCACGGCTTTCTCGATGTGGCGTCGTATTTATGTCTGGTAGGAGACGCTTAATTATCATTGAAATAGGGTCAATCATCATTGAAATGGGTTCAACATGAGGAGTATGCTGTGTTTGTGTGTGTGTGTGTGTGATTGCAACAGACAAGAGAGATGATGAGAAGTTGAGCTAGGAATCCATCTGTCAATTGACTGTAAATGAAGATAGGAGCGAGAACGATGAGAGAAGCTGGACAGATACGCTCGAAGTAGCTCGATACTGCCAATTTAGCACCCAAGTAAGCTGGGATCGGTGATCGCTGAGACTTCGTTGCAGGGGTATATGCTCCTCAAGCGACGGGCTGGGTTTCCTCTGTGTCAGGAGGGGAAGAAGACGAAGTGACTCGAGGCGCATTGCGAGGGACGTCTGTCTCGAGTAGCTCCTTCCTCAGCTCTTCGCCAGAGACTTCATCTCCCCCGAAGCTTCCTGCCCGCGGCCTCGCCTTTGCGCTACCGTTGCTGCTGCTGAGCTCGGAGCTTTCGCTCTTTGGCGAAGCGCTCCCGTCGATCTTCGGGCCATCGACGTCGCTACTTGCACCCTCGCCAGCGCCCTCCATCGTGGAATGGGCGGAAGCAGCCTGTTTGCCATCTTCGTCGTCTTCGTCATCCTGCTCCCCGTCAATGTTGAGACTCTTTGCTCTCCGGAAGATCTCGCCCTCTTCGCTCAGCTGACCGCGTGCCTTATCGACCGGCGACGACAGCGTGTCCTTTGTCTTCGCCTGGGCCTCCTCTTCCTCGGGAAGGGGGTCCTCTCGCGGAGCCATTAGCTGCGTATCAAGCCTCAGCGATGCTCTTTTAGACTTGGAGCCGCCTTTTTCGAGACCGTCGCCGTCCTCGTCGTCTTCGTCGTCGGACCCGATGGAGAATGTAGGTGAAGACATCTCCGACTCGATGACGTGCGATGACGGCGTTCGGAGACGATCATCTTGCCCTGACGCTTCCACTTCACCACCGAGACCCAATGGCACTGCTGTTTGCGCAACATCATCTTCGGGTGCTTGACGGCCCTCGAGTTGAAGCTCAGGAGGCGCTGGTCCTCTGTAGAATTCTGCAAACTTCCTCGTAACGCTCTCGAGTTCATCGTTGAGCTGCAGGGCCTCCTCGAGAAGCTTGCCCTCTTCCATCTTGGCCAGCGACTTTTGGAGCCTCGCACGAAGGTTCCCACTCTGCGCCAGTAGATCCTCGACAAAGTCGCTCGGCGTCGGAGCGGCCTTGAGCGCCTTAGTCCTGTCTTCTGCGACCTCGGCCTTCCGCCGTTCTTCTTCTCCGGCAAGCAGCTCGACGAGGACATTTTTGCATTCCGTCGCAGCGTCAATGAGACCCTTTGCATCCTGGCGCTCGCTATCGACCCGTGCCTGTTCTTCGGCAGCCCGTGCCGCTGCAATCGCCCTTGCGCGGTCATCCTTCTCCTTTGCTGCACGTGCAAGAGTGGACTTGTAGATGGGTGCTGCAACAGGAGCCTTGACGCCTCGTTGCGTCGCCTTTCGTTGCGCATTCTCCGTGTTGCGGATGCACGACTGTGATGAAGGGTGAGGATGAGCGAGCGGAAAAGAGGCAAGGAAAGAAGAAAAGGGCTCACATTGAGGATGTCTTGCGATAGTCTTGCAAAATCGGGCGCATTCGGTGGGATGTTGAGATCGAGACACCGCAGGCTCTTGTTCATCTTGACAGACACGGCCAGGGCCATGACGCCTGCAATGTCAATCTCGATGTTCTCCGTCAGATCGAGGTGGATCAAGCTCTTTGCTTCCGGCAAGAACTCGGCGAGAGCAATGGCGCCCTCGGAGCTGAGATCTGTGTCGTTGAGGAAAAGACGCTTAAGGTTCGAATTGAGCGTAAAGGCATTTCGCAGGGTAGTGATCCCCTCCAGGCTGGGACCTGAGCAAGGATTGTGGCTCATGTCGAGTGTCTCGAGGGTCGAATTGTACTTGAGGGCGTCGGCAATGGCGACCAGACCAGCAATCTCGATGCTATTGTCGCTCAGGTTGAGCACCTTTAGTGTTCGATTCTTCTTGAGGGCCTGACCCAGGTAGGTGACCCCACCTCGGATGTCGTTGCTCTTCAGGTCCAGGGTGAGGAGGTGTCCGACCTTTGGCAATGACGCGAGGATTCGCTTAGCTCGCTTGGCCTGGTAGATGGCGATAGCCTCCTCTTCGGTCTGCGTGGGCTTGACTGTGGCTCGTGCCTCCTCCCTTTCCTCGTGCGTCAAGTTCCGGTCAAGATCTGCTGCTGACGATGACACAGTGTGTGTGCCATTGGTCTGCTTGCTGGAAGGAGAATCGAGAAGCTGGGAAGACGAAGCCTCGCGAAGGGCCTCGATTGTCGACGCAGGCATCTTCCGACTCGTCACGCCTCCTCCTGGGCTTGAAACGACAATCGGCACCTCCGGTAGGGCAGGTGACAGGCTCCTCTGTGACGAAGGATTCAAAGATCCGGCCCGACCTCTTGGTAGCCCGTCATTGTTCCTCTGTTGACCAGCTGCGCCTCTTACAGTGTATGGTAACCCTTGGCCTTGGCCTTGAACCGTATTGCTTGTATTGTCCGACAGGGAGTTTTGCCGCGAGGATGTCATAGACACGGGTGAGGATATCGACGGCACATGAACCTCGTCGGCATCGCTCGTCGCATCGGGATAGTCCTTGAGCATTACGGCTAACGCCACAGCGCCTACTTGCCCGATTCGATTTCTTCGCAGGCTCAGATGATTGAGATCAGAGAACCTCACGGCGCTAGAAAGCATCTCTAGCGAGCCCGACTTGAGACCGCAATTCTCCAGCCGAAGCGAGGTGACCGCCGACGTGCTCGAGTCCACCCCTTCCCGCAAGAGCTTAGCCTGAAGCGTGAGCGGTTCGCCCTCCTCGCTAAACTCTGCACCCAGCCTGTCTGTCTCTTGAGCCTTCGCCGTGGCTGTGGGCTGCGGAGAGATTGTGGGTGACTTTGCAATCGCACCGAGGATGTGCTCCAAGCTAGCCCTATTGATGCTGTTCTCTGAAAGGTCGAGATACCGCAATGCCTTTGCCCGACGCATGTAGATACCCACGTAGCGCCAGCCATGATACTTGATCTTCTTGTTGGACGCCAGTGAGAGGCTCGGTAGATCTCCAGAGACGAGGAGAGCGTGGAGAATTGACTTGAGGCCATCGTCTGTCAAATTGCAGTTTTCCAAGACGAGCTTGTTGAGGCCAAACTCGACGCTGAGGAGATCGGCAATGGGTTCGATGGCCTGTCGATCGAGCGTAACGAGGGACAGATCCAGCGTGCGGAGCGCAGGCGGGGATGCCTGGGATGCTTCCTGAGAGGGCCATATCAACGTCTCTCCCTCGCATTGTCACGTCCCAAGAAAGGCAAAACTTACCTGAAAGATGGTCCGCATCTTCTTTAACGGATGCTCCTCGCGGGTGCGACAACACTCCCTGTACAGCTTTTCAAGCTCGGCCACAGTCCATCGTTGTTCCCTTCTCTTCTTCATGCTCTCTCGATGCTCCCTTTCGATTCGGATCCGCGTCGCATCTTCGTCGCCCGGCGCAATGGCCCCCGAGATGGGATACGTGACAGCCATGCTCGAGACCGTGAAGCGTACCTTACGGATTGGTCTTGCTGATGATGACGGTGGCGGGAGACTGTTGGTCGATAGAGACGAGGCAGCTGTCGCATCAGACGCCATCGAACTGTACGACGCCGCCCGCTGTGGGGCAGGCAACTTTTGCCCTTCGACCAATGATGATGAGTTCACGGGACCTCCTGAGCTGGAGAATGATCTTTGCCCCGTCATTGCTGAACCACCAACGCCACCGCCTCCCACTTCGTCGAGCGCGCCCGTGGCGAAACCACCAATCCTCTTGAACATGCCCCCAATGAGGCTTCCCGCCGCCTGTGCCGTGCCTCCGCCCAGACTACCAAAGCTTGAGTTCTGCGGCACGGGCACCTGTACGTTAACGCCCTGCTGTGCCAGCCTGGAGTTGAGTTGCTGCAGGATATCTCTCCGAAACGAGAAGGCCTTTTGGGGAGGTGGTGCTGGCTTGAGGATGCCCTTTGGGGGTCCTTTCAGCTTCCTTTTTCGCACCGGTGGTACCACTGTCGCTACTGATGGTGGCTGCACCGGTCGCTCTGTCGGCGGGGCTTCGGCTCCTGCCTTTGCATCCTCGCTGCTCGGGCCACTGGCCTGTACCTCTCCTTGTGCTTCCAATTCTGGGGTTGCTGGTAAGGGCGCCTCGCTTTCGTGCCCTAGTCGCTCAGCAGACTGCAGCTCCGCAGCCGGCGTTGTTCTTTCGGCTGCATCGCTCATCTTGACTGATGGCAGGGCTCCCAAAGGCGATGGCCCATGGAAGAGTCACGCTGAAAAGACGAGCGAGAAGAGCGAGCGCAGGCGAAGTCGCACAGGGAGGGGCAGGAGACATTAGAGCCTATCGCGAGGGGTCTGATCTCACGTGGCCTGCAGCTGCTCCGCCAATCCCGTCTTCCGACATCGAGAGGATACACCAACCTTCATTGGAGCGAGCGGGCCGAAGGGGGGAAAGGCCTTCTACAGGACGGAGGGAAGCAGGGATACAAATCGGTAATGCGAAATTCTTCAGACCGACGCCATTTGAGCCGCTCAGATCTGAGCCTGGCCATCTCGTCCATTCTTTGTGTCGTACGAAAGCGTGTCGGCGGTCGCAGTGGGCCAGCTCCGACACCTGAGAATGGCATTTTCACTTCTTCTTGGGCCTGCTGAGGAGACGCAATCTTCAAGAGTGGTTGAGAAAGATGAGGTTCCTCAACAAAGCACCATGCTGTTCATTGCCGGTATGCACGCTCATTGGCCTGGCTCGGGGCTTAGAATGGCCACCATCAAGGGAGGCTCAAAATGTAGATTCGCCAAAGTCGAAGCCGGAAGATCCAATTGACGGACTAGCCAAAGCTCCACTCGCGTGGCCGCGCTCGGCTTTCATTAGCAAGCGCTGATCCGATCGCTCGCGATCATCTGGAAATCTGAAACCCCACCAGCTGCCAACGACCACCACCACCACCACCAGCCCTGAAATAGCCCAACGCCAATGAGGCCAACGCTCGTCTCCAGCATGCGGCCCTCGCTCGTCAACCAGCTCCGCGTCCTCGTGCCTGTCAAGCGCACGATCGACTACGCTGTCAAGATCCGCGTAAACTCGGACGGCAAGGGCGTCGACACCAATGTCAAGCACGCCATGAACCCGTTTGACGAGATTGCCGTCGAGGAGGCGGTGCGTCTCCGCGAGAAGCACAAGGACGCCATCACCAAGATCACGGCCGTCTCTGCGGGCCCGGCCAAGACGGCCGACGTGCTCCGCACCGCGCTGGCCATGGGCGCCGACGATGCCATCCACGTCGAGATCGCTGACAACAGCCTGGGCGGGCCGCTGGAGCCGCTGGGTGTGTCCAAGATCCTCCAGGCCGTCATTGCAAAGGCCAACGAGGAGGAGGAGGTCGGCCTCGTCATCATGGGCAAGCAGGCCATCGATGACGATGCCTCTCAGACGGGCCAGATGCTCGCAGCCATGCTTGGATGGCCCCAGGCCACCTTTGCCTCCAAGCTCGAGTTCCTCGGCAAGCTCGAAAAGGGCCAGGAAGTCAAGGTCACCCGTGAGGTCGACGGCGGCCTCGGCGTCGTCAAGACGAAGCTGCCATTTGTCATGACAACCGATCTCCGTCTCAATGGTGAGTCTCTCTCTCCTCCCTCCTCTCTCCTTTCTGGCTCTCATTTTGCTGTTGCTGAGCAATCTCTGACGGACCTGTCTTTCCTCCTCGTTCAGAGCCGAGATATGCCTCGCTGCCAAACATCATGAAGGCAAAGAAGAAGCCATTCAAAAAGTACACGCTCGGCGACCTCGGCCTCGAAGACGCTGCCAAGCCCCGACTGGAAACTGTCAATGTCAAGGAGCCGCCAAAGAGGCAGGGCGGTGCCAAGGTCGAGTCCGTCGACGAGCTCATCAGCAAGCTCAAGGAGGCTGGCAGGATCTAAGCTTCTTTCCTGCCCGCAGGGAGCATACACACATACAAATACACAATCTGGCCAGTGCCGGGAATGGATAAGAAAGTAATCATTTTGGAGGGGGTTTCAACGGCTTGATGATAGAAGTACATTGTTTGAGTGGTTCGTGTCTGTTAAGCACCTCAGTGGTCTTGATCGTCGTCGTCGTAATCTTCTTCGGGCATGTTAAAGCCAGACAGGAGAGCAGCGTCGTCGGTCGGCTCCTCGTCCTCGCCGTCGTCGCTCTTCTCAGCCTTGTCCTTGCCCTTTTCAGCGCCATTGGCAGTGACTTCAGAACCACCACCGTTGACGGCCTTGCTCTTCTTCTTTGCTTCATCGTCCTCATCTTCGTCCTCCCCCTCTTCACGGTCTCTGTCCAGCCTGGCGCTCCGGACGATCCATTCTCCCATGTAGACGCATCGCTCGGCGTTGACGGGCCCGCCCTGCTCGCAAAAGTCAAAAACAGGGCAGTGGCCACACGTCGTCTCGGTCCAGCCTGGCCTGACGTAAAAGGGACGGATGGCCCGATAGACAAAGGCACTCGAGCCATCCATCGACGCCATCTCGTCTTCCTCGGCCGAGAGGTCGCCATCCTCGCCTGCGGAGCCAATCCCATCGTCATCGGATGTGAGTGCAATCGAGCCGCCTCCAACGCCCTTGAACATGTCTCCCGTCTTTCGCTTGCTTCGCCCATTGCTGACGCTCTTGCTCCGGCTCCGACTACGGCTCCGGCTCCGGCTGCTTCGGTCCCGGCTCTTGCTCCTCTTCGATGATGACTTTGACTTTCTACTGCTCGACGACCGCTTCTTCTTCCGCGATGCTGACGTGGACCGGCCGTTGGACGACCTCTTTCGCTTGCTACTGCCTCGCTTTTCGTCCTCGTCGCCGCTCTCGCTTTCCATCTCGCTTCCCGAATCGCTGCCACTGCCTGACCCGCTCTCTGATCCAATCTCTGACCCACTCTCATCCCCACTCTCAGACCCGCTCTCGCTTCCTGACCTGCTGTCGTCCGACAGAGATGTGGACCGATGTCGGGAGCTCGACTTCTTCCGTGGCCTCGTCTTGATGCTGGAATTGGGCAGGCATGGCACCTTTTCGATTTTGCCGTCCCAGACGAGAGTGTCGAGCAGGCTCTTGACATCCTTGACCGCCAGCTTCGTCGGTGTCAGCTTTTTGTCCCTAAGCCACTTCAAGCATGACTGCGCCGAGGGCAGGTCGGGCGTGTGCGAGGCGGGGAACAGCCTGGTTGGGTTGCCCTCCTTTTCCATGGCTGCCTCGTCACGGTCTTGAGGCTGCGGCGGCCAAGTCTCGCGGGAAATATGCTGGTACAGCGCCCTACACAGGCTCTCTATGAAGACTGTATCCAGCTCATTGTCGGTATACCATGGTCCTCCAGACAACTCGACCGAGGGTGTCATATTGTACAGCATGTAGATCTTGCGGGTAGGGAACTTGACCGACTTGACTACCTTGATCAGCTGCCGCTGCTCCAGCGACTTGAGGCAGCGCGCCATGACTGTCTGATGCAGGTTGCTCCGCATCTTCAACTGCCGCGTCCAGATACCTATGATGGAAACAGAGTCAGCACGACTTCTAGATAGTGTGGCAGTGGAGAAAGAAGCATCCCTGCCTGCGGGAAGCCCACCTTCGTTGCCCGACTGCTTGATGTGCCTGTAGATGATGCCCTCGTCGCCCTCCATGCTGCCCATCATGCTCGCATCGGCCTTGGACACAGCCATGTACTGCAACCCGCTGGCTCCCTGCTGGGCCACCAAGAGAGACTTGCGGAGAAGCGAGTTGACGGCCGGCACGAGCACATCGGTGAGGTCGACGTCGGAGAAGAGCTCAGGAAGCTCGTCAGAGGTGATTACCTGCCGTGGTCAGTTCGACAATGTCAGCAGGTCTGTCAGTGTGCTCATAAAGGCTGCGCAAGGCTGCTCTCACGGCATTGGGACACTCTTGGGCCGTCTGCCAGATGCGCTTCTCGATTGCAGACAGACTTCCTCCTTCCCCGCCGCTCTTGGAAGACCTGGCTCTCTTGGACGAGGAAGCCCCATCGCCGGCCTTGCGGCTCGAGGAGGACGGCATACCGTCCTGCGTCCCTTGCCTTGCCCGTACGCTCTTCCAAAGGCCCAGAGTGTCTGCTGCTGCTCTTTCCTTGACCCCCCCCGTGTGTGTCTCTTGACCAATCAATTCGTTGTGGTTTGACGCGGCCGAAGCTCTGGCTCGAGCAAGGAAAAAAAAAATCATGAGTCGAGACACGTGCTTTCGCGCTCGAGCCTCCTCATCAACTTTTGTCTTTCTCATTCTCAACACACACGCACATCGATGGAGGCATGGCGCCCGATCGGGGCTCGTCTGGTGGAGAAGAGGACGATGATCATGCAGACGTCTTCTTTGATGCTTCTTCCTCACCGTATCCCCCATCCCTCGCTGTCGTGACGCCGCAACAGAAGCAGCGGGCCTGGACGCAGCGCGCAGGCGCGCTCGCCGGTCCATCCGGGCCTTCCACTTCCTCCCCTTCTGCCCTTCCGAGAGCCAACTTTCCACCATTAGGGGCCCAGGGCCCGTCCAAGGCTGCCCAGAGGAGGCGTCGGCTGTTCCAGCATAGCTCCCAGACGGCAAGATCGTTTGATGCCTACCCGCCGCGGGCAGATGAGCTCGTGGAGCGCGAGCGGAGACGGCTGCAGGAAGGGGAAGACGGAGCGGAGGAGGGAGCCGGTGTGGAATCGGGGCCGAGGCAGGTATCGGGCATGTCGAGCGTCGTCATCTACGACGAGGCCACCAAGAGGGTCTTGAACACGGCCATGCCTGACATCTATCGTCGGGGAGGCACGCGCACTGGGAAACATACAGGACGATGGCAGAGAACAGCAAAAGACGGCGCGCCGAGCGGCAATGACGGCAGCAGCGGCGTGAACGCGGAAGAAGTAGTGACGGAGGAAGTGGATTTGGGACCGCTTCCTGATCTTCCGGCAGAACGATTGACCATGGAAAGGCTCGAGAGCCTCATTGCCGCGAGCGAGCGTCAAATCCGGAACAGGGCGCTGGACAGTCGGCTTAGCAAGATGAAGCTGAGCAGCACCGCTGGGGACGATTGCACCGACGCCGGGGAAACAGAAGAAGAAGAAGAGGAGGAGGACGTGCTCATACAGGAGCTTCGCAAGGCATTCTGTTCTCCACAGCATCTCAAAGCCGCCTTTGGCATTGACAACAAGTAGCGGCAGAGGGAGAAACGCATGTATGTACAGTATGATGCTTGCAGACTACATTCTATCTGTATTGTAGCATCGGGCGATCGACGACCCGAGGATATATAATACGGAGGTGGAACAAGGAGACCGGACGCGTGCGGGTGAATGAAGGGGACAAAGAAAGAGCGCAGGTTTCTACAAAACGTCTATTCGTCATCGTAGGTGAACTTGAACGAGTTGCTCTCCATGCCAATCGTGCCTCCCGAGTAAGCACCCTTCTTGAGCTTGTTCTTGGCCTTGGTGAAGCCCTGGCCCCGAGTGGGCAGGAGCTTGTCGCTGGCCTTTGAGCCCCAATCGGCGTAGCCTTTCCTCTGCATGTGGGCTTGGTAGCTGTTGTCCCGCAGGCTCTCATCGGCAAATTGAATCTGGTCCGACTTGACACGCTGAAATGGTGTGCCGCCTGCCGAGGCACGGCCCTTCTTCTTGGCCTCGACAACCGAGGGTGCCGTCGAGGGCGTCGTTGAAGCTCTTTGGCTGTCGATGTCCATCGTCTCCTCGAACTGGCTTGATGCTCGCGGTCTCTTGCTCACGCTCGGTGAGGGGACATCATTGTCGGGTGCCTTGCGTTTGCCGAGCGTAGGGGCAGTCTCATCTGAACTCTCGTCCTCATCGTCACTGTCGCTCGAAGACGAGTCAGAAGAGCTCGATTCGGAACTGCTGGAGCTGGAACTGGAGCTGGAGCTGGAGCTTGAACTTGAGGATGAAGAGCTGCTGCTGCTGCTACTGCTGTCGCTGTCGCTATCGCTATCGCTGTCACTGCTGTCCTCACTTTCGCTGTCATCTGAAGATTCATCACTGCTGTCGCTGTCACTGCTGTCATCGTCGTCGCTACTGCTGCTGCTGCTGCTACCGCTGCTCTCAGCTTTGGTGGCCGGCTCATCTTCCGCCTCCTCCGACGATGACGAGCCCGAGGAAGAGCTCTCGTCATCGCTAGAAACCGAGCTCGAGTCTGACGACTCATCTTCGGCATCTGCAGCATTTGCGTGGCTGGTCGACGCGGGCGGCTTTTCAAGACGAGAAATGAGCATTCACACTGACTTTGACGTTGCTCGAGATGCTCACCTGACTGGCCGTCATGAGCTCCGCCTTCTGCTCAACACTCTTGCCGCTGTCACTTCCCGAGCTCGAGCGGACTGTCGAAGCCAAATCCCTCTCCTGCTGCTTGTCCTCGTCGTCTTCGTCACTCTCCGAGGACGAAGAGGAAGAGGAAGAGTCGATGTCACTCCCACTTTCGCTGTCGCTGTCGCTGTCATCATCACCATCGTCGTCGTCTTGCGCGGAAAAGAACCCCTTCGATCTTGCTTCTTTAGCGGCGCTTTCGAGCAAGCTTTCCGGAAGCGGCGCCGAGCTTGTAAGGGCAAGCTCGGGGGCTGGAAGCGATGCAGCAGCCGCGGGGTGATGGCGAGCAATGTAGGCGTGCACCAGCGCGTAGGCGTCTAACAACAGCAACAGCTCAGCGACCAATTCTTATGAGATGAGACGCCTCTGACGCAAGCTTACCTTGGCTTTGCACACCCTTGTTGTCTTTGGTAGCCATCGTCTTTGTTCGTGATTGATCGTGCGACTCGCACACAAGCCTGGGCCAAACTCAAATGTGAGGCTTCCTGGAAAAAATTTGACCGCCACGTGCCGCTCACTTCCGAATTCCGGTGGAATTTTGAAGGATGGCGGTATTGGATCAGGGCAACATAGAGCTCTGTGGAGAGAGAGCCAAGCGAAAGAAGAAGTGGTGGGCGATGAGGGTGAGTTGGTCAACGCCGAACTGAAGAATCGCTAAGAAAGGAACTGAGCCCTTCTCTTGTGATGCAAGGTTGCTATCGAAGGATGTTCGCATGGCGAGCTCGACCGCATCTATGCGTCAATACACGCCCTCGATGCTAATGCCGGAAAGGCCACCGACGTCCTCATCCTCTGCGGTGACGTCCAGACCCTTCGGAATCGGGCCGACCTCGACTGCTTGGCCGTGCCTGCAAAGTACAAGCAACTGGGCGATTTCCATCGCTACTACAGCGGTCGAAGAAGGGCGCCCATTCTGACCATCATGATCGGCGGCAACCACGAGGCGTCTAATTACCTCTGGGAACTGTGAGTCGCCCTATGAACGACCGGGTCATCACGTTTGCTAACGCGAGCCGACTGCTGCAGATATCACGGCGGCTGGGTTGCACCGAACATCTACTATCTTGGTCCTGCAGGTTGCATAGAGGTTGGAGGCCTGGTGATTGCAGGCGCCAGTGGCATCTACAAGTCTCACGATTACTGGCTAGGTCGCTTCGAAAAGCTGCCGTATAACCCGTCAACGGTTCGCTCCGTCTACCATACCCGTCAATACGATGTTTTCAGGCTTAAGCTGGTGGGTTGCATTGTTACCACAGGAGAAGCTTTTCACCTCCCTCAACGTCAGATTCTCCACAACAGCTTGCAGGCGGAGCGAGGAAACCAGATGTTGTCGTGTCACACGACTGGCCAAATACGATTGAGCAGCACGGCGATACAGGTTGGCTCATCAAGAAGAAACCGTTCTTCAAAGATGAGGTCAGTGTTCCCGCTTATCCTTCTCTTAAACAAGAACAACACTAGGTCCTGATATTTAGTCGGTCCTTTGCAGATCAACACTTCAACATTGGGCTCGCCCCCTCTTCTCGATCTCCTCAAGGTGCTTCAGCCAAAGTATTGGTTCTCTGCCCACCTCCACGTCCGATTCGCTGCCTTGTTCAAGCACTCGGGTCAGCCAGCTCGCGTAACAAGAAAAGGCTCTGCTCCAGAATCTTCGTCAGGTAAGGGTCCTGATCAGCCCAACTCTGAGGAAATCACGATCGGAGACGACAAGGGCGCCAATCAAGGTGTCGATGGGACAGCTGTCGCTGATACAAACCCCAAAAATGAGGAGGAGATGAATATTGATCCCGAAGACGAAGAGGTGACTGCCGTCAATGGGGAGGAAATCGCAATTGAGGACGAAGACGATGGTGTCGAGGACGCACGGCCAAGAGCAGAGGAGACAGACGAAGATCCCACACACGGTCCGAATGGGGATGCAGGACCTATTTCACTCGAGACGGGCCTCGTTGAAGACAGCACCAGGTTTCTGGCTCTGAGTAAATGCCTAGAAGGCCAGGACTTTCTGCAGGTGGGTGAAGAGCAAGGACATTACGCTTTCGGGCCATTCAAACTCTTTCCTCTTCCAGATCTTGGAGATTGAGGCACCATTCGACTCAAACGAGAGCTACAGAATTGGTGTTCGAGAAGCGACAACGTCCGAGGAAGGTTTGAAGATGCAACCAGCTCTGCGCTTTCATCCCCGCTGGTTGGCCGTGACGCGGGCGACGCATGAACATCTCTCTCTAGAGAAGCACCAAAAGAAGCTGCCCAATGTCGATGCGACGCTTGAGGCGACAATCAAGAAAGAAGAGAAGTGGATTGATCAAAACATATCTTCTTCTTCTGCTCTTGACGGATCGCAAGAAGACGACGATCAACACCCGTTGGCCGTACGGCGGACTCAAAGATTTGAGAAGACGGCGCCACCGACGACAGATCCAAATGGCCTGATTGATCGGCCTCGTGAGTAGCTTGTGGCCTCATCGCATAACAGTGCCAATCATAAATTGACTCGCATCCTCAGCACCATGGTACACAAATCCGCAGACCGAAGCGCTCTGTGCGCTGCTACAGCTGCCGATGCTCATCAATGCCCCGCCACCCGCCGTTGATGCTCCAGGCCATCAAGAGCCCCTACCTCTGTCTGTTCCAACTTCGCTCCCGCGACCGCCGATTCTCTCGGAAGAAGAAGAGGTTCGAAGAATCGAGGAAGCCGCCAAGAGTGCCATGGCTCGCAAGAAGATGAAGAGCAGTGCAGAAGGCGACTCTCACGTTGTCGTGGACGAAGGCGGCCTCACGACGCTGATGAGCGAGGACGAGGAAGCCACAACAAACTCGGCGAGATGGAAGGAAGGGACGGGGTAGTGAGGTCCTTTTTCTCTATTGCACATCTGTTGCACTGTACCAATACTATACAATTGTCACAACTTTCGGACATGGCTCAACCTTCGAGAGCAAAGAGGAGGTTTTGTAGCGCCTCGCGATCATCGTGCCTGGCCTCACCGCTAGCCCTTGCTGCGAGCACCCCCAATTGTTTCTGTATTAGGTTGAGCGCACCGTCGAGCTTTATATCGAGACGTCGAACGAAGCCGAGCAGGCTCTCATTGCTGTCGTGGTCGTCTTCATCGAAGAAGGTGCTGAAGGTCGTGCTCATCGTCGTCACGCCTCCTGCCGTCAGACCCTCTTCCCTCTGTACTTCGCCCATGATCTCTTCCTCTTCCTCCTCTTCCTCCTCATCTTCATCGTCCGCTGTGCCTGCCCTTCTGTTGCTCTTCTCGCCCTTGCTTCTCCTCCTCTCTCTTCTTCTCCTCCTTCTCTGTTTTCTCTCGCGCTCCTCGACGTGTAAGCTGTGCTCCGCATCGAAGTCGCCTGTATATGCTGCGAATGCCCCTGCCAACTTCAGAGCCATATCCATAATGTCCAACAGCGCCTTTCGGACCAACGTGGTCGCCTCGTCATCGCCATGCGCGTCGCTCAAGAAACACAGCCAAGCGATACGATCCAGGCTGCTCGAGTGCGATTCAATGAGATCCTCGAAGGAGATCATACCCTCTCGGAATCGCAGATGCAATCTTTGGCTCTCGCTTTCGATGACCTGCCCGATTTGCCCATGTCAGCTCTTTCTCTCTCTACGCTTGAGGACAGACAGTCGCTCTCACATCTCTGCCCACGTATTCGCCAAAAATGCAAATGATCCAGGTGAAGCGTCTGCGCACAGCGTAAAACAGCCTCGTTTCTGCATTCTCCGTCGTTTGCAGAGCTGACATTGGTTGCGCCAGAGGAGGGCGAGCAGCGGTCGATCTACCGTTGCCGATCTGCAAGTGGCCTTCCTGGAGTGACATTCCGTCACGTTGCCGAGCTCGGACTAGGAAGACGCCTGGTCGGGCGCGGCCTGTCCGATCGAGCACCGCCTTGCTTCGAGCCAACTGCAGCAAGAGAGTAAAGATTGATTGGTAGACTCTGAGCGCGGCCGGCGTAAAGAGGTAATTGAGAGGCCAAGGGACCTGCCAAGGACTAGTCAGCTTCTCGATCGTTTGTGCTGCAGTGTAAGACTCACCGAATATTCGACGAGGATACAGCGCAAGTCGCGGATTTCGGAAAGGGTCTCGGAAGCTGCACCTGCCCATGAAAAACGAACCAGACCTGTATCAAGCCAGCTATGCGCCGATGTCTCCTCCCGAAATGCGCTGTTGAGAATGTGGAAATCCGAAATGGCGAGTCCACGATCGAGTCTCTCGAAGATGGCCTCGCACCACGCTCCCATGTCCGCCCCTCGTCGCATGAGATAAAGGCCTTGCAGTGTGTCGAGGTGCTGCATCAGATCGCACCCACCTTCGCCCCGTGGAGCAAATAGGACATCGTGCAACCGTTTCCGAGCGAGCGAAAAGATCGGCGAAAGCTGTGTTGCCAGGACGGAAGGAAAGGTGATGCCGTCCAGGCACCGTACAATCTCGTCGTGGGAATCGGTATTTTCTGGTGTCGTGACGGTCTTTACTCTTGGCGAACGACGCCCATGGCTGAAGAGCGCCTCGTGGACTAGTTCGTCAGTCGGACGCGCATCGGGGACTGCATTGAAATGTCTCGTCATTTGTGTGACAAAGAGATTTCCCTCTTCTTGGGCGTTCATTCCTGCATCCGAGGGCAGGCTTGCACTTCCCTCATCATCCAGATCTTCGTCAGTGATCCCTCCCTCTATATTAGCTCTCATGATTGCTTCCAAAGTCCACTTGTCGCTTTCTTCGGTCCACGAGATCGACCGCAGGAATCCATCGAACCCCATCGCTCTCAACAAGCCGACCGTCTTGCCTGTCATCATAATGTCCAAGGCAAGGGGCTGCAAGAAGTTTGGAAAGCTGTCTTGAATCTCTGCGATGCCTTTGTTCCAGTGTTCGGCTTCCAGGATACCATCTGTAGCGCCTGATTTGGCAAAAAAGTGCCGATACGCCGCTTCCGATCGATCCTTTTCTTTGACCACTGTAAAGGCTCCACGAGTGAGCCACGTCTGAACGTCGTTCCAGGCGGGCCTTGCTGTGACGAGAAAGCAACGGGCGAGGTCCAAGGTGTTGGGTTGATGCGCGTAATCTGACAATTCTCCTTCTGCTTTGTCTTGGAGCAACAAGCCAAAAGTCAAGGCTCGATGAAGGGTATCCAGAAGGCTGGCGACCGATGGAAGGCGCCGAGGTTCGTCCAGCCCGCCAATTTCTCGGACAACGCTTTCCAACATAGAGAGCGTGGCGAATTCCGATCGAAGAAGTGATTCGAGGTGGACGGTCGTCGACGTTGAGCTTGAGTTGCTCCCTCTGGACGTACGCATTGCAGCAGCGAGTGTGCAATCCCAGTTCGCTCGTCTCTGGGCGAAAGTCACCAACAGCGATTCTATCTCGGAAGCCATCGCCTCGACGCATAGCTGAGCAGTGGGAGGAACATCTGTCCTTGACAAGCTCTCTTTAGTCATCGCGTCGACATAGCCCCAAAGTAGCGAGAGCGATGTTGCCATGTCTGCGGTCACTGCGAGCAGGGAAGCATAGCTCGCTGAAGTGAGGTGTGGAAGCTGTGCAGCATCATTCCGCAGCGACCAGGTACCATCTTGGCATTCGAAGAGGACGCTTGGGCTTCCTTCTTTTGCTGTCCTGGCTTCAAGTGTTTTGAGAACTTCTCGCATGACTTCGACTTCGAGGAGGAATCGACCTGGCTTCTCCTTCCTCAGCTCTTCATTCGCGTGGTGACGTACACTCTCGATTGACTCACCCTCAAATGTCATGTCGTACGAGCCGCTCGCCCCTGAAGGCCTTCCGGGCAGGTCTTCTCCCCAGTAGCCTGCAGCCTCAGCATGATCAATGACTCGAAGCTTCGTTTGATGCTGTTCGAGAGACTCCTCGGCGATCCTGCTTTTATTCTGCTCGAAGGTCTCGTCTCTGGCCTTTCGCAGACACTGCCCTTTCGTCTCCCTATCTTCCAAACGTTCTTTGAAAACCAGCCTGATATCCTCTCTGTCGCTTTCTTCTTGCTCGCTTGAGCTATTACTGCTCTCGAGATCGCTCCAGTCTTCGCTTTCCATCCCATCCTCGTCTTCATAGTCCTTGTACAAAGCATCATCGCCTTCCTCGGCCAAAATGCGCTTCCATTCGCTCCGTTCAGCATCCTGCTTCTCTGCTGCAGTGAGGTACAGTCTAGCACGGGGCGACTCTGACTGAAGACTTGCAAAGACCTCAGTCTGTACGTCGGGAGGGCCGGCGAGTGAGAGGATTAACCGAATGGCAGAGCCGAGATTATCGCTGTTAAGAGCAGGTTCTTCGAAGTACGTCATCACTCCTCTGTCGACAGCGCGCTGCCTCGATGCTCTTACAGAGGCTTCGCTCACTCGCACGGCCTCCTTCAAGCTCTTGTACGTCTTCGCAATGGCCTCTGAGACCACTGGTCGAAGCGCAATACTATGCTTGACAATTAAGGACCGCATGGCGTTGTCGATGACATCGTCGTCGGACCTGCCGAGTTCGTGTCTATCCTTTTGCTTGCTTAGTAGTGCTGAGTACTTGTGAGCATTCTCTTCGTGCTTATTGTTCGCAATGCTCTCGTCGTCTGGCACGTCCACATCTTCACGCGCTATGGAGATGGCGAGGTCGTGGAGCCGACTCAAGAGATGCTCGTCCTTCTTGCTCGACCCCTGATATTCGATCATGCTGCGGCTCCGTTCGGGCGACCACCTCCCCGTCACTAAGCGCAGTGGGTGACGAGACGGTCGCTCCATATGCGGCGTTTCGGACCCCTGGTCGCCCTAGCAGACGGGTGATGGTGTTGCTCTTTGTCACGACGCGGGTGGGCAAGCTTTAATTGGATCACGTGCGTCGCAACTTCGGTCCAAGAATCGAATACCGCCGCCCTTTGCCGTCCGTCACATCGACAAGTCTATCAACTACTCGCGGGCTTCTAAAGACGACCTGACTAGCTCTCATGTCTCCGCATCAGCCTTCGTAGGCACTCACTGTCTGACTTCCATCAGCTCACGCCTCTTCGCCAAATTTACGCATCTTTGCACGAGTGGCGGGAGGGTGGAAGCGGAGCAGCAGAGGGACGAAGGTGGCACCACCTTCCTTCTATTTTTTCGATATGGCCGCCAATTCTGCTGTGTCCGCCGAGCCATTTGCTGATCTACCTGTAGGTTGTCACCTATTTTCTATGCCGCTCGTCTCTGTCTTTTGCTCATAGATGCTACTCTCCTTAGAATGTCCTGAGAGTTGTATCCTTTCTGAAGGTGACCGAACTCAAAGCCCTCATCAAAGATATCAACGCCAGAAGGACAGGGGGGAATATCAGCACGGCGGGAAATAAACCACATCTGATCGAAAGAGCCGAGGGCTTTTTCAAGACTTGCAAAGAGATTGGCGATCTCGTCAATTACGAGACAGGCCGAAGGGACCTCGAGCGTTACTATGGCAGCCCTGTAGTTGGCGCGTGAGTACCTCCGACGACATCTTTCAATTTCTGATCATCTGACCCTGTTGGCTGCCATCGTAGCACAAGACCGTCGCGATATGCGGGGCAAGGTCATGGCTACCAAGCAGGCAATCATGTTCTCGGAGGAGTACCTTCGAACAAGTTCTCGAGCAGCTCTTCTGTCAGCGGTGGTGGCTACAATGGCGCCGCGCCTCGCTTCAGTGTCAACGGAGCCTACGGGAACCACGCTGGCACCTCTTCAGGTGCAAGCTATCCTCATGGTGAGCTTCACCAAATGTTCACCTCGTTCCGTGCGCTGAGTCGGAACCTTCGAACAGCCCCTCGTGTTTCTTCGACAATCACAAACTTTAAGCGCTCTCCTTTCGTGCAGCCCAAGGAGTGGGTGTGCGGACCAGTGACAGCTTATGAGGCGCCCGCACAGAATGAGAGGAAACAGGCGTCGCTGTTCATATACCTAAAACCTGAGCAAGTTGCTCTGTTGGAGCAGAAAGAGTGAGTCATGACACCTGCGGCCAGATCGATCCCAAGCCATAATTGATCGGTCTTCTCAATCCAACAGTCATCAGCTTCGCTTATTTTCGGCACCAAAGCCGGCTTGGGATCTCGGACAGAATCCAAATCATCCAGTCACGGTTGAGTTCCCCGTCGTTTGCGAGCTTCGAGTCAACAAGACGCCGTTGTCCGTCAACCTAAGGGGTGGAAAGAAGGGGCCTGCCAAAGTGCTCCCCCCAAACCTCAACAAGGACAAAGCCCTCGCCTTGACTACTGGTCGCATGAACCATGTCGAAATGTTGTACGCAAACGCGCCTAAAGCATACATCCTCGCTGCGGCTATCTGCTCGGTCGTCGATAGCCCCTCGTTGGTCTCGACGCTCAAAGCAAATAACCTCAAGCCTAAAGATGTGGTGCTGGGTAACAGTGAGCTTGCTGTATCTTTCTATGAAACTTCCGAAAGGATGCTGACCTCTTTACAGTGAAAAGAGCTGCAGATGACGATGACGTCGAGGTAGGCGAGGCATCCTTAAGCCTCAAGTGTCCAGTGAGTCAGCTAGTGCCATTGGCTCATGAAGAGGTGCTGACACTTTCGCAATATAACAGCTCAGTTACATGCGCCTTCAAACTCCGTGTCGTTCGGAGGCATGCACACATGTGCAATGCTTTGATGCGTTGTCGTTCTACTCTATCAACGAACAAACACCTTCTTGGCAATGCCCGGTCTGCTTCAAAAGCGTGGATCCGGCATCTTTGTTTTGGGACGGGTGAGTAGAGGCTCTTTCCCAAAATCCGCAAGCTTCTCATCACCGTCCTGGCAGCTACGTCCAAGACATTCTGGATAGGGTGCCTGAGGAGGTGGAAACTGTCCTCACCGACGCAGTTGGCAACTGGCGCACATCCAATGACGCGATCTCGTCGGGAAGGGCGTCAGCAACAACAAGTCAGCTGGGAGCCAACCGTGGTACGGACAATAGAGAAGCGAGTGGCACGGCGACACCACTGCAGACCGACTATCGACCGAACTCGAGCAGTGAAGACGCATCGAAGAAGCGCAAGCATTCGGAGGTCTTTGAGATAATCGATGATGATGAAGACGACGGCGACGACGATGTGCCTTTGAAGTCAAAAGCACGGCCGAACGGAAACGGCTTTCAGCCTCAGACCAATGGTTCTCCCAGTGTTCCACCAGAAGGGGAGCAATCATCGGCCCAGATTATTGATCTCACCTTCAGTGACTCGGAAGACGACGACATTCCAACACCGCCTTTACCTCCCTCGGCTGGGCTTTCATCGACTGTCACCTCGGTAGCGCCTACCACGCGTCAGTATCCCTCCACCTTTTCTTCTTCCCATTTGGGAACCAACGGTGGTGGGACTGGCCATGCTGATAGGCTCACCGCTCCTTCGTCCTCCAGCTACAGTATAATTCCGCGCGTCCCTTTTCAACCTCTTGATTTGCCGCGGCCTACGACGACATCGTCGGCACAAGCCCCTGCTCCCGCACCGAGTTCAGCACCACCCCAAGTGCCAGATGCATTAGGGCGACAGAACACGGCAAGCAACGAGGCAAGTTCAGTGACGGACCTACATCGACCCAGAACACCACCAAGAGAAGGTGGAGATTCAGATGAAGAGGATGGTCAGATAAACACTCCATCAAGGGCAAATAGACAGGCACCGCCATGGAGCCGCTGGGACGAGGAAGACGGCAGCTTCGATGATGGCGACGATCGACTCTATTTTGACGCCAGAGCGGGCTTAGGCGGTGGCCAAGCGCCTGTCGGGCAGATTGGAGCCTCTAGCATGGAGCAGTGATGTCTCCTCTCGCTTTCCTCTTCCTTCCCCTTTTTTTTTCACATTTCGTCTTGTCCTATCATCATCCCGGCGAGTCCTTTCCTACCGCATATCTACCACTTTTCCCCTCAGTCATCATCTTCCTCACCCCGCACGAGCTAGACACCTGTTGTAACTGTACCGATAGCACTTTTCTCTCCATCTCTGAAGCGAGACACATCAATCGTCATTGTCTCTGATTCTTGAGCTGATGATGATGCTGATAGATTTGATGTTGATGATTCTACAAGATGCTGCTGTTGCTGCTGCTCTGCGATGTATGTATGCTGTCCACCGTCTTTCTACTCTGGACCCAAGCATCCCAGTCGAACGATGAAATCTCATCCCTATACCAAACCGTCGTTCCTGTCGATGAGGACTCGCCTGCTCCGCCATCGTCTCTGACAAGCCGGCCCCAGCCGGTCTCGACCGCTTCGAGCATCTCCTGGATCAACGCCAATGGCGCTTCCTCGGTCCTTGCAATGTCCATCGTCGATATGCCCACTGCCTTGTTCTGCTCGGTGCGCCGCCGCGCCAGCTCGCTGAGAACTCTCTCTAGGAACCTCTGATCATCGAATCGAGGCGTGACGAGGACCCTCAGCCCGCTCCGAAACGTCCTCATCGAGATCGGGGGGCTGGTCCACTGGGGAAGGTGCGTGTTCGCCACAGCCAGGAGCGTTGATGGAGAGAGTAGAGCCACGCCTCGGGCTCGATTCCAGATGCACCAGGCTTCGTCCAGCGCGACGATGCCTCTGCCACCCTGGTCTCGCCACTTTGCTCTTTGTTTGGCTGTCGCAGAGGACTCAAGGCTGGCGAGAACCTCGCCGCGTCCCATCAGACCTCTGCCTTGATCGTGTCGTCCCTTTACGGCACCGTTGGATGTTCCCGATGTATTGAAATCGTAGAGCAGGCCTCCAAGCTCCCTCGCAAGGCCCCGGTGGTACTCTGCCTCGTCGCGCGCCATGTCGGGCGTCAGTGCTGGTGTGGGCAAGCCCAAACGGAGGAGCGAAGATCGAATCAATGTAGCAGCGGCCTCATCCTCGGCTCCTGCGCTCTCTCCTCGTTCTTGTGAGCCAACTCGCGCCGCCTCTTGCTTCGTCAGCTTTGCATTGAGGCTCTCTGCGAATTCGACCATTTTCTTGGCTTGCCCCATGAGCGCTTCGAGATCCTTGATGGCATCTTGCATTCCCTGATGCTCCTCTCTCGACTGCAGCTCCATCGTCGAAAAGATGCCTTCGATGCCAACTCGTCTCGAAGCCGCAGCTGCATTCGGCGAGGACAGCCCGACAGCGCCAGGATCCCTTCCGTCAATGTTTCGATAGGCTCCCGACATGCTTGATTCTCCTTCTTCCCGGGTTCTTTTCCAGGCTTTCATCTGCAACGTTGATTTGAGCAGGTTGTAGAAGGCTTTGTCCCCGCCTCTTCGGAATGAGAGACGAACGCTATCGTGCTTCTCAGCGGGCAGTGCTGTACCGTAGTCGTCGTCATCGTCTTCGTCACCGTCATCGACCAACGCATCGTCGAGGCTCACGACCGGGTGAAAGTCATTCTTTCTCCGAGCAGAAGTAGTGAGCTCAGCTCTTTGTCCATTCGTCTTATTTCTTCCGTTCTCCACACGGGCAGCCGTTTGTAGGGCGTTGACATCGATAGAGCCCAACGGCGTGTCGCACATCTCGCAGCGCACCATCGACGGGTGGTTTGAAAATGTACACACGGGGCACGAGACACCGCCATTTTCGCCCGCTGCGACCGCGGTTGGTGCAGGGGAAGGACTTGGGGAAGGGACAGCCTGATGGCTGTTGAAAGCCCGAGGGTCAGCTTCGATCTCCTCGTTGTCACGGGGCACACCACAGAGCTGGCATTTCAATGCTACTCCTGCCCCTCGCACTTGATCTATCGGGTTGCTGAAGGCGCAGACCCGGCAAATCCAAGTCGTCTTTGGCAGAGGCGACGAGCCGAGATCCTGGACGGTTGCATTCAGCCGCCAGTCCTGATGCTGGGTCGCAGAAAGCGACGAGGTCGACTTCCTTGGGCTTGGAGAGGGTACAGGAGAGTCGATTCTCGCCGCAAGATTTGCCCGGCTGTTGTTGTTGCTCTGGCTTCTGCTGCTGCTCGAGCTCGGTGTCGGTAGACCGGCATCTCTTTCTGCTGATCGAAGGCCCAGTGTGACTTTGGGGCTGCTCTTGAGGAACCCAGCGTAATACTCTGAGTTCTTGACAAGGTCCAGATCGAGATGGCAGCTGTGCTTGTGCGGCTCCTTGTCGTCGATGTAGAAGAGCCGATGCGACGTCAGATAGACAGTGCCAGAGGAATGTGGCAGTGACTTTGACGGGCCGGAATAAAGGCCGACAGAGGCGCACAGCGTCACGACCTCCTCCGAGGGTGCCAGATGTGCGCCCAGGGACGATGTCGTCAGCGATATGGGCTGGAAGCGGTCCATATCGTCTACTACCGCGGCGATGGCGACAAGACCGATAGCCTCGTTTCCTTCATTGCGCTCCTCGTCGTTGCCAGGGCGCTGTCACTGAGCGCGGAGCAACTGCCAACCTAAAAATCACTTTGATTATGTCAGCTTATTGGTGGACTTCTTGTGCCTTGGCGAACGCGCGCTCCGTTCCTCAGAATGCGCCAGACCTAATCCACACCAACATGACAAGCACAGCACGCAGGGCAGACGCCACATCACCGGCTCTCTCGCTGAGCTTGCGAGTTGCGCTCCTCGAGTCGCTCGTTGTCGGTCGATCGCAGCTGGGTAATGGCGTATCAGCCGCGAGCGACGCCAATATATCATCTACCTCGCGATCGATCCTCTCCAGGACGCTGCAGGCGCAGGAGAAGCTAGACGAGGCGCTCAAGCCTCATCGTCCAGTCAGCCAATTCGCAGCAGACTACAGTCACAATCGTCCTTATCTCATTCCATCCTTTGCAACACTCGGTGGCGGCACATCGCTGACGTCATCCCAAGATGCTGGCAAGGGAGAAGGGGAAGAGCAAGCGCTACCAGGAGGGACCACCATGACACCACAGACCCAGGTTGCGCTCTTGCTAGAAGCTGAGCAAGACCTGAGGGACCTCGAGAGAGACTTGAGACAGTGTCAGACGCTTGACGAGCGGGGCGTGGCGGGAGCAGGCAAGCTGGCAGGTGAGAACTGCGTTGTGCCTTGCTCTCTGCCCTTCTGACCTTTCCCTACTCCTCTTCTAGACCACGAAGCACTAACTCCCAAAGTGGAGGAACTGAAGGCTTCAGCATCGAAAAAGTCAAAAGACGACAATGCCCTCGAAGAACAAGTAATGTCTCTAGTCGAGGACTACAGTCGATACGTGAGTAATGGCGAGCATGTCGCCTGTACAAGTCAGCTGACCATGTTCGATTACGCCGCCACCAGGTCGAGTCCATCTCGCAGTTGTTCATACATTGGGATCACGCACTCAACGACCTCGAGCTGCAGGTCGGCGCCATGGAGAGGAGCAGGGCGTGACACGGTCCCGGTCGACGTCTCTTGTATTCATAGTCATCTAATACCCACATTCGACTCCCTCGTTGTATTCATTCCACAGCTCCGACAGTCTTCTCTCCGTTCTTTTGAAGGTTCTCAGCCAAGAGGGAAAACGGTCGCTCAAAGTTCTTGTCGGATCCACCCTACACGGTATCTTCTCAGGTCGCGGCCGTGCAGTCTGGATGACAGAATTTTCGACACCCACGCCTGGATTATTTTTCCTTCATGTTGGAGTCGCGTTGGAGTGCAAGGGTCCTGGCGTTGCCAAACGCGTCATGATGCAGAGGGGGCTGGGGATAGCCCGTGCGCTCAATCCCGCCTATAGCTGACCCGCAAAATAATAGGTGCCCAGCTCACGTAACTTTGGCCTGTCCTCCCCTCCTTCCTGACAATCTTCCACATCCCTTCTTCATCCATCCACCCCTTCGTCAAGCCGACGAAACGTCCTTCATCTGCTATAAACATCTCTCAAGCGCATCAATCAGCCTTTAGCTAAGATGGACATCCCTTCGCGCGTGGGCGTCGAATACGTCAAGAAGCTCTTGACCCCCGATGCTCGATCTATCCACCTCCTCGCCTTCGGCACCGCCCTCGGCAGCCAGGTGTGGGTGTCTTTCGTCGGCGGTCCGGTGCAGTACGCAAACCTGCCCCGCCAGACCTTTGGCGTCATCCAGAGCAAGATCTTTCCCTACTTCTTCGGCCTCAACGGCGCGCTCAGCCTCCTTCTCGTTGGAACCCTTGCGAGGGAATTCAAGGTGATCCGCGAACACCCTTTCGACATCTTTGACTCCACCGTCTACCAGGCGTTCACCCTGGCGACGTGTGCCGTCAGCCATATTGTCAACGGCCTCGTCATCGGGCCCGCCAGCTCCAAGATCATGTTCGACCGTCACCGCCAGGAGCGTGAGGAGGGCAAGGACTGCAAGGACGAGTCAGTGAGTAGCCTGCCATGCTTGTCCTGGTTCCGATGTCTGGAGATGCCATCAACCCTTTGGTCTCTTTGATATCCACGACTTCGCGTTTCTTTCCCCTTTCGGCGTGGTCGGGGCGGCTGGTGCGAGCGCCTGGGGACAGACGCGCACGTGGCATTTTTAATCCTCTCCTGCGTCGCGCTTCTGGGCCCTCACCGCCATTGCCACCTCACTCTCCCATCCATCATGCCATCCATCCACCGACTAACGGTTTTCCTGCACAGGCCTCCGACAAGATGAAGACGCTCAACAAGGAGTTCGCCTCGCTCCACGGCATCTCGACATCGCTCAACTTCGTTGCCATGGGTGGCCTCATTTTCCATGCTCTGGTGCGTCGCAGTTTTCCTGGCTCTTGCTTCTCATGGATGCATCCGCGCTTGGTCGCGGAGATTTCCCTTGTTCTTGCTGCCGCTGCTGCTGCTATTGGGATCACGACGAGCATGTCGAGAAAGGCCATCCACCCGTGATGACATTTCCCGGCTCATGCCATCAGCATCCATCCGCTTTGTCCTCCCTCTCTTTCTTTTCCTTGTCGGGTCGGAGAGCCGCTGGCGCCGCAACGGCCAGAAAGGGTTGCTATGCGGATGGCCACAAAAGACAGAAACAGTGCGACTGGGCGGCAGAAATGCTGCTCGTCTGTTCTTTTTTGTGTTGAGTGGACGGACATATAGCGACTTCTTTGTGGGAACGAGCGTGCGTGAGCTGGATACGAGGCTTTACAAGATAGGTTGGACTTGTTAAGGAAGACGAACGAAAGCGAGAGAGCGATTCGAATCGAGCAAGGCAGAGACGAGCAAGCGAGCAATCGAAGAGCAGAAGCGTAATGTGCCGGCGGCGACGTAGGCGGGTTCATCCTAATAAGAGGCCCATGTCAAGTCTACACAAAGTCGCGCGTCCGGCTACGCCGATGTGTGCGAATTAGGCAGGATCAGCAGCAAACGAGATCGAGTAGCGAAGAAAGAAGAAGAGGATTCACCACCGTGCGAATAGTCGAGTATGAACGATAGTTAAGGGCTGCAGCAAGCATTCGATGAGGCAACTACCACCATAAACACCCAACATCAACCTCTGTACACCCACCAATGCATCGATGGGTCTGCATCTCATGTCAACGTGCCACCACCATCAGCATACCTACGTTGTAGAGCCGATGACGATGACGAAGAGGACGACGCTCACAGTTCCGCTGCGAGGAAAGAAAACAGATGAAGCGAGGGAACAGAACGGAAAGGATGAAGACAACGATAAGCGAGACCGATGAAGAAGACGAGCTTGATAGCAGACGATGCGAAAAGGCGAAATTCCCTTTTGACGACCCACCATCACATTCAGTTCACCTTACCGCTCAAACTTTAAAGGCGAGAAGGATAAGCATCAGCGCGATGAACGAACACACTGCCGTCTATCATCTTCACCGAGTCATCAATAACGCAGCACAGTCTCTCATCCCCCGTCTCCTCCCCCTTCATCTTCGTCTGTTCGACAACCCGTTTGGATCGTTATTGGACGTGAACCGCATTCTTTCTTCTTCTCTTATACCCTTTTTGGTTCTTTTTGATCTTCTTTTTGGGTTCTGGGGGCTTCTTGTGTCCAGCGTGCTCTTCACTTCTTTTCCCGAACGGGACGGTCGAGGAGAGCACCTGGAGGTCGGGGAATGCAGGCTTGTTCACCCCTGGCCGCCGATCTCGTTTATGGCGACTCTCTCTCGTCGGTGTCGGTGCCTTGCGGCTCTCTCCACGGAATTTGGGGCAGAGGGGGTGTGGGCGTGCTCTTGGATGGCTGGGCTGCAGAAGAAGCACGTCGAGAGGCGTGCTTTGACGAAGCACCATAGCAAAAAGCACTGATGCGGTGATGTTGGCTTTTCTCGTCTCGCCGTGTTTCTCAAGCAGCAGCAGCAGCAGCAGCAGCAGCGACTACTATCCAAATGCTTCCTTGGGATTAGACTGGAAAACTGACGATTGCCTTCTCTTTTCTTCAGTGGCTCGCCAAGGTCGGACTGCCATGGAGCAGCCTCAAGAGGGTTCTCTGATGCGCTCAAAGTCTAGCGTAGGTCTTTCAAGTCAATAATGTAGCCGTGATGATGGATGGAAAGGTGGAAATGAAAGTGATGTTGCATTAGAATGATTTTAGTCTGCGTTGCCGCCGTACACGGCCAATAATGCGTCGCCTACGCCCGAGGGAGTGAGCACGCCGACATCGCTAAAGAGAAAGGTGACGAGGTCTGGTGATGTGTAATCCACGGCGGGATTCTTTTCCTCCATCTCTCTCGTCATGAGTCTGGTCCCTCGGAGTCTGTCTTTGCCGGGATCCTCGTCCATTGCGCTTGCTGAAGATGAGAGCGTAGGCGTCGCGTCTTGTCTCGCCGTCGAGGCATGCAACGGTGATGCAGAGGATGTGGGCAGGTCAAATTGCGATAGCGGAAAGATCCGCAAGAACTTGTAGCTGAAAGAGAGGGTAGGTATTGTCCCGTGAGCATCACCTAAGCGAGCAGAACTGGTCGGCCAACTCACCTCTCTGCGGCTGCGTAAAACGGTTTCCGGTAGGCCTTGGCGACGAGGGCAAGGTTGAGGGTGCCGATGCAATTGAGCAGGCCACCGCTCTCGCACACGCCCTCTGCGCCGACGAGGACGAGGTCGATCCTTTCGCCCATGTATGCTGTCGCTGCATCGCCAATGACTGTCGTGGGTATTCCCGCGCTTGTCAGCTCGTCGTACGTCTTGAGACCGAGCCCGCTCGGCCTGGACTCAGTGACAATGACGCTGATGCTGTTGCCGCGCCGGGCCGCGGCCAGCAGGATCTGCATGACGACGCGCGAGTACGAGTGGGTGAGGACGACGGCATCGTCCTTGATAAAAGCCATGGAGAGGTCCACAATCTTTTCGCGGCAGCTCGGCACCGTCTTTTCGGCAAACTCGCGCGCGAGGTCGACGAGCGTCTGCTTCTGCACACCAAAGTCGGCCGAGGCATCCCACTGCATCGTCACGACGAGCCGCTTAAAGAGGTCCAGCCCCGCCGTGGCAGGCACGGGATTGGGCAGTGCGGCCTTGAGGCGCGACGAGTGGGTGTTGATGAGCGCAATGAGCTCCGAGGTGGTGTTGCTGGGTATGTGGGTGATGACATCGCACAGCGCAAAGATTGATGCGATCGGCATCGGCGTCGACGGCGACGAGGCGAGGAGCTCATGGTAGGCCGACACAATGTCAAACGATGACGAGGCGTCCTGCGTCATCTTGTCGGGTTCAGTTCGGTCCGATCCAATCCAGTCAGTCAAACAACCTAAAGCCAAGCCGTCGAGCAGGGAAAATGTCGCGCAGGTAGAGAGATGTAGAAGCAGGGGATGTCCGGCTTCCGAAAAACTGTAATTCTCTCTCAGGGCCTGTGTGCGGGTGTGTCGTTGGTGCACAGGCGCAGCTCGCCTTCTCACCTCGACAAAGATGCGATAGCCATTCCGGGAGCGAAGAACGTGCCACGGCCGACATGTCTTCAGTGGACGAAAAGCAAGAACCACAAGCTCGGAGACGCAATGCTAGCGCTGCGCCGCCGAGGGACACGAACAAGGATGCGCTTGCGTCCTACCTCGTCTTTGGCTTATTCGGCATCATCGTATTCGCCAGTGCCGTTCGCGACGGTCACATCACCCCTCAGTCCGCGTCCAATCTCGCCTTGGTTCTCCTAGTACCCGTCTTGGCCATCTTGTGGGTGCTGACTGCGGTGATTGCTCCTCTCTTTGTGGCCTGGCTCGCCGACAGCCAGAGTGCCTCGTCGCCCATGAACGACGGCTTCGACTACACTGCCACTCTGCGCCGTATCACAAAGCAGATTACGCCAAAGAGAGTGCGAGATGTCGATCCCACTTTTGAGCCCATCCACCCTCAGTCGTCGGCAGTCTCTACCTCGGCAGACGACATCGTGCGGCTGATTCTACGTGACTTTGTCGAGAGCTGGCACACGCCCTTGCTCCAAGGAGGCCGCTCCAGCTTCATCACTATCGTGGAAAAGACGATACGCGAGTCGGTCGGTGTTCTGGCCTCCAGACTCTCGCAGGTCGATGTCGCTTCGATGGGTGTGCAAAAGCTCCTTCCGAAGCTCACTGCGCATATGACGAGCTTCTACGAGGCCGAGGCAAAGTTGCACGAGGGTGTTCGAGAGTACGTCGAGGATGACGATGGCGACGTCTTCTTGGCCGGTCTCTACGACGGCGGCCGGCTACATCCTGCCGTGGGGAGCACGGCGAGTCCGGACACAAGAGTGACGGAGATCGATCACCTCCGAAAGCTCTCAACGAGGATCCTCAAGGGCGTCATGCCGCCATCTGAGCAGGGCAGCAGGCCAGTCTTCATCATTGTGCGCGAAATACTGGCCTGCTCCATTCTCAAGGGGGTCATCGACAGCCTCTGCGACCCCGACACGCTCAACAGCCTCATTGACGAAAAGGTCGGTGCCGCTCTGCAGGAGCAGAGGCTCGTCAACAGGCTTCGAGAGGCCCTGGACAAGGAGGCAGGTACCGTATCAGTCACCCCTCCCTCGGCATCGACGACAACAACACCCCACAGCTTTTTCCGAGGACCATTGAAAAGAAACGTGAGCAGCGGTGGGAAGGGGAGTCAGTCGTTCGACAATTTCCTGGAGCAAGTCTCGAGCTACTCTTCCATCCTCGAGGCAAGGAGGACGAGGAATGATCTGATGCAGCAGATTCGCAAAACAAAAGCCGATCTGCTCCAGAGGCAAGAGGAGAGCGACGAGATGCGCCGAGTTGCCTCACAGGCTTACCTGAGCCGGCTCGAGATTGCCCTCGAAGCCCTTGACCGGAGGCTCGATCAGCTCAGCGCGAAAGAAGACCAGCAGCCGGGCAAGTCTTCGTCGCCGCAACCATCGGTGGTCGCGCCAAAGGATGTGAGCCTTCAGGTCGTCCTCACTAGCCCGTCTGCCATCTCGCATTTTCTCGAGTTTGCCGAGGCCAGGCGTCGGTCGATCCTGGTCCAGTTCTGGCTTTCGGTCAACAGCTTCAAGAATCCCCTCGAAGATGTCGAAAGCGGGACGGAAGACGAAGAAGAAGCTGCAACGTCATTTAAGGACGTCAAAACGCTTCGTGAAGACGTGCAGCTATTCACAGATCAGTACTACTCATCGCAGCTTATTGCTCAATGCGTCAAATCAGCCTACATCGATGTCGCCATGGCGTTTGTACAGACAACGGCAGACATGCCGAGGGCAACACAAGCTCAGATTAGAAAAGTGCGCCAGAGCGTCGTTCGTGCACAGCGTCAGGTCTACGTCGAGATGCTCGAGGAAGATTGGCCGTTGTTCCAAAAGACTCCAGGCTGGTACAAGGCGATTGATGACATCAACAGGAGCGCTACGCAGATGACCGCTGTCACAGCGGGGCCCAAGGTAGAAGCCGAAGACGGCAGCGAGGACGATGGCAACGAAGCACCGAGGCCATTGACGAGCACTCGTCCATCTAAAGGTGGAATACCCGGCGGAAGAGCGGTTTCCGATCCTCCAATGGCAAGAAGGCGATCGGACCATGCCGATCTGTTCGGAGACGAGCCTCGATCTCCTCAGGTACACTCCTCTTCCTCTCGATTCGAGACAACGTCTAGCTCTCTCTTCGGCTCTGAGGATGAACGTGGGCAAGCCAGCTCCACCAGGTCTACAGCCTATTCGAACGACATTGAGCAATTGATGGGCGGAAAGGGCGGCAGCACCTTTGACGGCCTCGCTTCGAGGACGCCCCTCTTCAGAGAGGCTCTCTTTGAAGAAGAGGATGAGGCTGGCGGTGAGGAAAGTGGCGGCGATGGAGACGATCTTCTGGAGGCCAGAGACGGCTTCGTGCGCGTTGACAAGATGGACGCCATAGAGTCGGCCCTGGCCAACATCCTCCACGAAGACGTCGCCGCTGCGAACAGCATAAGACCGCGACCCAAAGCACAGCGCAGCGCTTCCACAGCAAGAGAGCTTAGACCAGCCTTCCGAAGAGCTTCTCCGAGTGGCAACCAGGGTCAGACGCGTCAAGCCATCTTCGATGACGACGACGAGAACGAGCGCAGCACCGAGCAGCTTCAGCAACAACAACGAACAGCACCTCAGCAGCAACCAAAAGCTCTCCACCACCTGACTTCGGCAGACCTTTCAGCTCGCCTGGGGCGCGTGGAAGCTCGCATTCAACATCTTCGAGGCCAAGAAAGCGTCCTGGGTGCCCTGGTGCGCAAAGCAGAGCTGACAGGATCGAGCGAAAAGGAGATGCGGCTGCTCCGAAAGAGTCAAGAGTCCGTCGCTCGCGAGCTGAGAGAGCTGGAGTTTGAGCAAGGCAGCATCCTCGACCAGCAGATTGAGGCAGACGACGTCAAGCTCGATCCGGCCTCGACGCGAGTCACGATCCAACAGGCCACCACAAAGCTCGATGCCGAGGGGAAAGAATATGCCCTGTACCTCATCGAGGTGACCAATCTGACCTCGGGTAGCAACCAAATGCAGAATGGCTGGGTCGTGGCCAGACGGTACAACGACTTCTTCCTCCTGCACACCAAGCTCAAGGAGGGCTACCACGAAGCACGCACTCTGGAACCTCTGTTCCCGGGCAAGAGACTCGTTGGGCTGGTCCACTCGCACTTTGTCGAAGCGAGACGCATGGCTCTCGAAAAGTACCTCGCCGCACTCGTGCGATCTTCCAAGGCCATCTGTCAATCGGGCGAGCTCAAGGCATTTCTGAGACAGTCGAATGCAACCATCACGGCAGAGGTGCTCAACGTAGCCTCTTCTCATTACGCTCCGCAGCTGCTCTCACCAACCGCGGCTGCCGCACCATTGCCAGCCATCGGTGCGAGAAGCCCAGGTCTCGTTTCGAGTCTCTTTAGAAGCGTCACAGGTGTGGCCGAAGGCTTCGACGATTTTCTCTTTGGGCCGAGCATGCTCGACATAGTGCTAAACCGCCTCTCGACATCCAATCTGGGCGACCTTGTCAGTTTGCCCGACTTTGAGCGTTTGGCAGCTGTCACAACACAGCAGCCACCACTGTCGTCGATCTCGACACACTTGTCTTCCGCTATGGCTCCCTCTCAAGTTGCAGCGGCGGCCGAGCTCAAAGATGTCGCTTCATCGAATCGTCCGCACAAGGTTCCGCCGTTTACAGCCCCTATATGCGATGCTCTGATCGAGCTATTCGAGCTGAAACGCGAAGACAATTGGCTCAGGAGACTAGCCCTCGTCATGGTGCTGCAGCAAGCGCTCGGAGGGACAATCGAAAGGTTGGTGTTGCCGCTTCCTATGCTGCCTTCTGCCGTTCCATCTCACTGACGCTGAATTGCCCAACAGAAAGGTACGCCACGTCGTCTCGTCAAGCCTCTCACCCTCTTCCATCCTCGCGTACCTCGCAGCGTTCCGAGACACACTTTGGCCCGATGGCAAGCTCAGGCAGCAGCAAGGCCAGCGGCAAAGAAGCTCTGGCGAAAGGCAAAGGCTGCGAGAGAGCGCCCACCGGAAGCTGTCGACCCTCTTGCCAGATCTAGCGGCCCACTTTGTCGGGCGTGACAATGCAAGGCGGGCCGCGAGGCGCGGATGGGCCTTGTTGCAAAACAAGCGGCTGAACAAGCACATTGTATATACCCTCATTGATCTCGTCGTCGAGGATCTCTTTCCGGATGATGATGATTGAGCTCCGATATACCCTTTCCATGCTACAATACACCCACTCCTTCCTTTCTAATTCTCAGGTGGTGTCCATATGATCGTCGCCTTGGCCTCCTGCTTGCGCGTCTCGCTGAGGCTGTGGTTCCTCATCATCTTCAACGTCCTCTTCTTCCTCATCTTGGCCCCCGCCCTCCTCTTTGACCTTGATCTGGTCTTTTCTCTTCTCGATGTCCTCTTTCAGCTTCGGATTGTCCTTTTCAAGCTTATGCAACGCCCTCTTGAGGTTGGCCTTGGCCTTCTGTACCTCTGTCATCGGCTGCCTCTTCTTCTTTGGCTTTCCCCGCTTCGTAAGCTTGACTCCGCCGTCGGGCTGCCCCGCGCCCGCTTCGCCGTCCGACGCGCCATCGTCTGCGAGCCCCTGTCCTTCCTCATCCGCGTCGCTCTCCCCCTGCTCCTCGGCCTGTGCGCTAATCGCCTCCCCAACGTCGTCCTTGTGCACCCAGCCGACGCCCCTGACCCAGCGAAAGTCCTTGTAGGAAACAAGGGCAAGGGGTGCCGCGCCCCTCTTCTCCACGGCCGAGGGCCCGTCTGTGGCGTTGAGCGGACGCAAGAGGGCCGCCTCGCGCTCCGACAGGTTGCTGGCGGGCTCGAGAACGACGCGCTTCGAGATGGCCCCGGGCACCGCGGGCCGCGAGCTCGACGGGGCTGGACTTGGGCCGAGGGGCGTGATGACCGTCTGCTCGTTCTTTGCCTTGGTCGGGTCTGTGCTTGCCGTGATTAGAAAAGCTGTGGATATGAACGAAAGAGGGAGCTCGACTCACCTCGATCAAGGTGAAGGAGAAGCTCGGTGCCGAGCAATTGATCCCATCTGCCTTTGAATGTCAAGTTGCCCAGCTTGAAGAATGGGTGGTCCGTCTCGAGTCCCTGTGGGATACATCAGCTCACAGACATAGAAAAGTAAGAGAAAAGAACAGACTCACCGTGACAGTGTACTCGTGCGACATGTGGGCTAGGCGAGCAGACTTGGAGCCAAGGTCGAGCATGATGAGGTCCTCCGTCTCTTCGTACTCCCATTCGTCGGCCTCCTCCTCCTCCTCCTCCTCCTCCTCTTGCCCTGCTTCGTCGGCCGTGGGGTCCGCTTGACGCGGCTCGCTGCTGATCGAAGAGGATGCCCACGGACCAGACGACTGAAAGTGCGGAACACGGTTCCACAACGACTCGGGTGGACAGCCGTCGTAGAGGGGCGACCTCGATGTCGAGGGTGCCATGCTCGTTGTCGGGACGATGACCGTTGATGTTGGACGCGTCGGAAAATCTAAGGCTGCTTCACGTTCAGACCATCGTGTTCGAAGTAGAGCGTTCCGTCCGTCAAGTTGTTGACCATCTCAATAAGCTCGGTGATCCTTCCACAGGATTGTCCCACTTGCAAGTTGCCAAACGAAAGGGCACCACCTGTGAAGCTGGTGACAGCGGACCCGACGGTAAGAGTTCCGATCGACCTATGTAGCCATTTGGACATAGTCGTCAGCGGCCGGTGGTCAGTGCGAAGAAAATGACTCGACAGGATCCTCACTGACTGCTTCGGCCTTTGTCGTCGCCCTCGTCTCGTCTCCACTCCAGGTATTTCAACCATCAGAAAGGCATATCATGAGCGAGTACTACGACGCTGGCTTCGACGTCGACGCCTACTTGGCGTCTCGTCCTCGCTACCCCGCATGCATCTACGACCGTATCCTCGGCTTCCATGTCGGACGGACGGAGAGGCTGCTTGACCTCGGCTGCGGCCCAGGCCAAGCTTCCTGGCCCTTGCTCGACCACTTTGAAAATACTTTGGGCCTCGACCCGGGAGAGAAGATGGTGCAATCGGCCCAGTCAGCACTAAAGGACCTCGAGCGCAAGAGGGCCAAGTCGTATCAGGACCGGGTCCAGTATCGGGTCGGGTCAGCTGAGAAGCTCGAGGGCGTCGAGGACGGGAGTGTCGACGTCGTCGTGGCGGGGACGGCGGCTCATTGGTTTGAGTACGAGAAGATGTGGCAGGAGGTCCAGAGGGTCACCAGAAAAGGGTCCACCGTAGCTTTTTGGGTGAGGGGTTCGCACAAGCACAAGGCCGGGCAACAGAGACAATAAAGCTGACGGTGGAAGTCACAGACGTATGACATCGCCTACCCGAAGGAGCACGGTTCACTTGCAAAAATCGTGTCTGACAGCGCCTACGTGGATCTCAAGCCCTTACTCAACGAGCCGGGGAGTAGCATCATCAGGAGTCTCTATCGCAAAGTGCCCCTGCCGGCGGACACCAATGCGTGGGAAGAGTCAAGTCTGCAGACTTATCCCGTCTCCGAAGACGACTTCGTTCCCGTCTTGCCCCCACAGAGGGGCAGAGAGGGAAATTGGGAGCTTCTTTTTGAGGTAAGACACTAGTCGAATGAGGAACTTACAAGAAACGTCAGCGCTGACATTTCCCTGTGAAGGATGTGACGACGTGGAAGGAGCTCGCGGCCGTACGAAGAACCAATTCGAGCTACCTGAATTGGTGCCGGCTCAACCCTGGTGTGCCCCAAGAGCAAGACATTGCAAGCATACAAGTTGGGGCGATGCGAGCGGCGGTGCTCAAGGAACGCAAGGAACGGGGAATTGGGTTAGAGGAAGGGCTCGACGATGAACATGTACGCATGATGAGGCCAATGGGTCTGCTCCTGCTTAGGAGGCGCTAATGAGAATAAGAATTCGGAAGGGCAGCGGCGGTGAATAGGGAGAAGACACTGTAGTAGTTGTAAGAAACGCGCTTCTGGGTGTCGGTGTCAGTGTCCGTCGTCCACTTGACAAGGTTGAACTGAACTGAGAACGCGTCTCGCGACGTGCATTGTCACTGCTCTCTCTCCTCCACCATCAAAACCTGAGACCACAACACCCTGGTTCTCGAAATGGACCAGTCGTCGAGCACGGCGGCGGGCCAGCAGAGGGCTTCCGAGAGATCGTCGGCCGAGCAACAGTCGATGGACCGTGAGTAGCGGGGCAAGCACGCAGACGTAGGAGAGTGTGTGCGAGCGAGAACTAATGCGAGCATATCAACCACACAGTCCTCTTTGACCTCGCTCAACTGCTCAACACGGGCCTGTCGAGAGAGCAGCTGCGCATCTGCACAGATCTCATCCAAGCGGGCGAGAATCCGGAAGCAGTGGCGGTAGGTGTCGTAGAAAGGAATCCTTGTGGAGCCTACCGATCTGGGAGCTAACACGGGCGAGCACAGACCATTGTCAAGGAGCTGCGAAAAGAGGCAACAAAGCAAAGATAGCAGGCGCTTCGAGCAGAACGCTGTCCCTCGCCGCTGTTGTATTTGATAGAGGGAGGCTTGCGAGAACAAATGAATTGGACATTAAGCGGGTTGTTCATAACCGCAGCGACAGGAGGAAGACGAAGGAAAGAGAAGCGTATGGTGCTGGAAGGAGAGGCAATGTTCATTTCTTAAGCACACCTAGTGAGACGCTTTGCTGATGACAGCAGTTTCTTCTCAAGCGGCAAAGAAGGCGAGACCGGCAATGGTGGCGCACAGAGCTGCGAGGCCCGTAGACGCGACGACGGCCATGGCATCGCTGCTGTTACTGCCACTGCTGCTGCTGCCGCTACTGGTACTACTGCTGCTGCCAGAGGCGTTCGACCCAGTCGTCTGAGCGCCCACACTGGCGCCGCTCTTCGACGCAGTCTTGCTCCAGTCACCAAGCTTGGGCGCATTTGCCGAGCCAGGCGCGGCCGTGGGGTCGGTGACGTTGATGAATGTGTGGGTGGGGAGGATGTTGTCCTGCTTGGTGGGGGAGTCAGTGAGGTTATAGGCGTTGTTGTACGCCGGCAGGCCTTGGAGCGCCGAGACGTAGCCGACAAAGTTCCAGCCGTTCTTCTTGATGGCCTGCACCATGGCCTGGAACGCCTGTGCACCTTGGTTGGTCGTCTCATGGTTGAGCGAGACCCAGCCCGAGTTGTTGCTCGTCTTGGTGGCCCAGCCGACCTCTGCGTTGCGCACAAAGTCGAGGTTGGGCGCGCTCTGAGGGCAGCCCGACACGTTTGCCGTGCCAGTGTCCTGGCGGAGGCACCAGTCGTCGGCGTCGCGGTCCCACATGACGTTCTGGAGCCCAAAGACGTTTCTGGCAATGGCGCGCACACGGTTGTCAATGACGCCCTCAGGCGGGCGGAGGTACATGGGAATGTAGCCGCTGACGTCGTAGATGATCTGCATCGTCCAGCCCAGGTCGCCAAGCACCTCCATGTCCGTCTTTGTGGCCTGGAGCGTGTGGGACCAGGTGTGAACGCCGAGGTGCTGCTTCTGCTGCGAGTTGACGAGCTGCTTCATGACGTCCATGTTCCAGTAGATGGCCGAACCGATGAGAAAGTGCGTGACCGAGATCTTTTCGTCGTTGAGGATCTGGAGGTAGGGGATCGTGCCGTTGGGCGTGGGGCCATCGTCAACGCCGAGGGCGACCATGCCATCGGGCGCAGCGGCAATGTCGTTGTTGAGGCACTTTTCCGTGCCCCACTCGCAGGTGCCAGTCTGGCCACGGGGCGTGCCAGCGGGATAGTCGACGAGACCGCTTCGTTGAGACGAGTCCTTGGGTCAGCCTTTTGTCTTATTCTCTCTCACTTTCCCCGCTTGGACAAACTCACGCAGCATTGGGCGTGGCGACGGGAATGTTGGGAATCAAGCCAGCAGCCTTGACCTGGTTGTACTTGTCCACCCATGCCTTTGGCAGCGTGTCGGCAGTGGGCGACGTGGCGCCAGGCGCGGGGTATGGCGTGCCCGTGCCTGGTGAGACGGTCGTCTGCTGCCGTCGCTCGAGACCGTCACGCTTCATAGCCATGGGCATCATGTCGTGAAGGTCGCCACAGCGCCGCTTGGTGTGCGGATCCCGGGCAACGGGTGCATCTCTGGTGGCGTAGAAGGGGTCGCGCTTCAGCAACTCGAGCTGAGGGTCGCCACCCGTCCAGAGCTCGACGGGACCGCTTCGGCTGTCGTGGCGACGGATAAAGAGATCGGCAGCCGGATGGTTCTCGTTTGCCACCCGGGCGGAACCCATCGACGTGGCCAGGGCCAGGAGGGCCGTGGTTAGGGGAATAAGCTGCATGGTTGGCTTGAGCAGGATTCCAGTTGCCTGACGAGGCGGTGAGGGGTTGATGTAGAGACGTGTGCCTCCCTTTCAATGAAGAAGAAAAGTCAAGAGAGAGAGAGAAGGAGAGACGAGGATAGGCGGTTGGAACAAAGGAGGGTCGAAGAATTCAGTTGACTAGGCTTTGAGTAGGTGTCGTAAGGACCAGGACCCCTTTTGCGCTCTATGAAATTTCCGAGCCCCTATGGGAGCCCAAGCAAATTTTGATTGAAGAAGAACACAGGACCTCGGAGGCCCGCGCCGCCGCTGTCGATGCCATCCTCATCTATCTTCTTCCGCTAATATGCGTTCTTCGACTGCTGCGCTCGCATGCATTGGCACTGCACAAACAAAAGAAATCGAGATCCAAGCTTTAAACTAGGAAGAAATTAGGTGGAGGGCACTGTATTCCTATAATAGGAAACAGCTGCGACAAAGTGCCTGATTGAAAAGGCTTGGCGCAGGATGGCTTGCAGCCAGGCCCACAACTTAGGAGGCCCAAAAAGTAGGTTTCCGTTTCGGTCCACGGAAGGATTCAATGACACAAGTTGGATTCTCAAGCACGTGAGAAAGTGTCGATGACCGATCCATCCCATCAACGGAGCGGATCCGTGCGGCGCGACAGATTCTCAGCTGTCATTAGAACTAGACAACAGACATGCCAGGCCGACGACCGCTTTTTGGTGGGGCCATCGAGGCAGAGGTACCGTCGAAGCTTATCGATGCGAGGTGAGGAGCGCGGAGATCTTTCTGTCCGCGCGCTTGCTGAACGACTAGAGACGCGGGCACGCACAGCGAGCTTCGCCAGGTGCCCGACACGCAAGAGGTGCTCTTGAGCCCCGACTCAGACGTGACCCTCATCGTCGAAGTTTTGCAGCGAGTCGACAAGGATGACCTAGGAGAGGCGATTAGGTGCGGCTATCTTCTTTGTTGCTGCGTCGTGGAGAGAGTATCTGCTAATGCGATGAATACCACCCTCTAGCTTCCACTTCGACTCGCTCGCCCACGACAACTCCGCCTCGTCTTCGTCGGTGACGCAAATCTTTGCCCTGCCCGGCACCACGCCCTCGCCCACCTTCAGCCCCTCTTCGCTGTCCAAGGACACGCCCACGCCCTCGCCCTTGGCCCTCGTGGGCGAGCAGCAGGTGCCCAAGTTTGGCAAGCAGGAGCTCAACGACAGGGTCAGGATTTGGCTCGCCCTCTGGCGGCTGTCACCGGCAAAGAATGTCGACCTGGTTCTGAGCGTCAATGAGCCGCTCAAGGGCGACGATGTGCTCCAAGCCGACGACACCTCGTCTTCGTCAGAGGCAAGGGACTTGTTCGAAAAGGCCGTCACCAGCCTCAAGATTCAAGACTGGAACCTCTTCTCTGCATAAGGGCCAACGCTCCTCCTGTATAGTAGTGTTACTAGAATCATGACATTGCTACATTGTCTGCACTGCGCTGCTTTTGACGATCTAGAGCATGCAGAGCCCGACGGTGGCGAGGACCGATGCGCCAATGACAGTGTATCCAGTCGAGTACACGCCCTTCATCGAGAAGGCTGTTGGGAGAGAGAGACAGTCAGCCTCAATTTTTTGCGGTGCCCTCAGATTTTTCAACACTGACCTTTGCCGTAATCCCACAGCAAGTGACGGAGACCGTTGATGGAGTGGAAGCTGAAAGCGCCTGCGAGAGGTACTTTGACGAGGAGCTTGAGCCACACGGGTGCCATGGCGGCAAACTGAACGAGGTGAGCCGAATCAAGGACCTGTCCGACACCAGTGTACGGAAGAGCCAGGTAGGAGACCGCCCAAACGTAAAGCACTGCCAGAGAATTGAAACGAGTGGAAGAACACGATCAGACAAAAAAGCCATAGTGCAAGAGGGACGAAAGAAAAGAAGTACTCACGGGCGCTGACACCGGCACCGGTGATGCGGTTGAAGATCGATGCGATCCATGTGAGCTGGGGTTGGTAGATTGTGAAGTGGGGCGAGTTAGGGCGGAGGCTTCGCTGCTCATTGAGGAGCTTGAGGGCATCTTCGTGAGAGAGCTTCGTCGTGGCCACCTTGGACGTCGTGGCCGCAAACCTTTGCTGCTGGCGCATCTGCTGGGCCAGCACCAGGGTCCTTCTAACGGCCACCGACGCGGGGAGCGAGCGCGAGGCCATCAGGCCACCCTGACGAGCCAGCGAGGTGGGAAGGAGCGACGACATCGTTGGTGGTGATAAGTCTCCGGGTCGGAATGCGACGGCACTAGCTTTGTCCAATCATGGCGCGTCGCTTTGCAAATTGCCACGTGGGTTCAATAATCTCTCGCTCCATGGCTTTTCGCTCGCTCCTAAAGCATGGCGGCGTCAATCGCCGCCCAGTCGGTTTCCTGCTGTCGACGGACCTTAGTTCAATGATGGCCGCGCGCATCACGACGGACGATGTCGCGAATTGATGATGAAACAGGGACTCGACCTGGGGACGGCGAGATTGATTGAACCAGTTCTGGTACGAGACCGCCGTTCAGATGTGATGTCGCTTTGAAGGGCCGCACGGTGAAAATAGAGGCGGACATGGACATGTTCACACACAGAGCGCACGCCCCGCTCGCACGACCTCTTGTCTCTGAACGAGGAAGAAAGAGAGGGAAAACAAAATGAATATGTGACGCTGCCCGCCCATATCCCTCGTCTTTACCGTTGCCCCTTCAGCCATCGGCCAGCGACGGCCCTCAAGCCGATGAATGTTAGGCGAAAATGCCGACGGGCGAGTCGAGACAAGGAGTCAAGATCAGGAGGGGCAGAGGATCGAAATCCTGGGACGCCCCTAGCCTGTCCTTCGACCGACGTCTGTTACCCTGCGCTGACCAACTAGAGTGGGAAATGCAAGGACGGGGCGGGCCAGCGGTCGGTATCTGCGCCGAAACCCGTGGCAAACTCATCTACTGCGCGCGCGCGCACAGACACACCCAAGTCCTCGGCGAGAAGAAGCGGGCGGGCTTGAGGCAGGGTTTTGGCAAGCTTTTCAGGCCGAGAGAGAGGTGTTGTTGTGATTACATCGTTTACCCAGTAGTGTCCGACCGATGCACGCCACCTTCTCACTTCGTCATTGCCAAAATGCCGGCCGGTGTGTCTGTGGCCCCCAAAATGGCCGTGAAAGCGCCGCAGGTCGACTTTATCAACAAGGTGTCAATGTCCTACGTCGTCTTCTCTCTACCACCTCTCAGACCACCACTTTTCCTTAGCATTTCGTTGAGGATCGCCACATCCACTCACACACAACACAAGTGCCTTGCCAGATGGCGCCCGTCAGAAGGAGGTATACGAGCGCGCAACATCCCGTTAGTCGAGACCTGGGTCTGTACCGTGCCACTGGCAGAGCGGCGCACCGTCGAACGAGCCTGGCCCCTGGCGCCGACGCCCTGCTCAAGTGGCTCAAGGAGGGCAGGAGCGTCAGCAGTCGTGTCAGCCTTCCCTCTCTTGCACGCTTGATGGAGGAGCCTCCTGCGCACCCGCACACGCCCACCAGCTTGCCACCTCTTCGCACCCTCTGCAACAGTCCGGAGAACACCGTGTGTGCATCTGCATGGGAGAAGCAGCTGTGTCAACTGCCCTCAACGTCGACTGCACCAACGAGTGACGCATCGATGCTCTCGCCAACATCGAGTCAGAGCCATTTCAATCTTTGCTCGTCCAGCCGCGCTACGGCACCGTCATTCAGCAGCAGCCGCAACGGCACCAGTCCTAGCAACAGCACCGCCGACACCAGCACCGCCACTGCCACAAGCACCAGCACCAGCATTAGTACCAGCATAAGCACCAACACCAGCACTAGTCTCAGCACCAACACCAGCAACAGCAATAGCAACAGCAATAGCAACAGCAACAGTACTAGCACGCACACCCTGCAGACGGTTATCAGTCAGCCAGCGCCACAAAGCGATGACTACCACCGAACACAAGAGCAGTATCATCGCCAACAGCAAAAGACACACCCAAAGCAACAAGCCCAGCTGCATGCACCTTTGGTCATTAACATCGCCGAGCTCGAGACGACGAAGCGAGCCGTAATCTACCGTACAGCGAGGCATACCGTCAGCCGGGCACGCTACGCCACCTGCGCAGACAAACGGGGCTCCATTCCTGGTCAGTGTATTTTCAGCCACACGATAGGGGTGTTACTCTCTAGCAGCATAAATCCAGACTAACGCCTCTCTTCTGCGTTGGCCCCGGCAGTGTACGAGTATGAGGTCGATGGCAACGTCATTATGATTGACATGGAAAATTCCTATGTCCACCTGTCAGTCACACGAGCTCAAAGACCGAAGCGAAGGCTGACAGTTTCATCCTGTGATACAGCACGGGTATTTGCAAGGCGATCGGGCAGATGAGAGGTAAGGATGTGGTTCGGAGAAGAAAGTGTCAGGAAGAAGAGGCTCACTCGCGTCCGCCACAGTGTCGACGGCCGAGATCGTTCGCCTGGTGGAAGCATTGCCAGAGCTGTCGCCTCACATCCGTAAGGTGAGCACGGCTCTAATCCTTGCAGGGGAATCCACGACTGAAGTTTAGGTCATCTCATCGCAGGTCCGAGGTGGTTTTCTCAAAATTCAAGGAACTTGGGTAGCCTTCAAGCTGGCCTACCAGCTGGCCAGCCGCATTGCCTGGAAGATTCGACAAGACCTCGTACCAATCTTTGGACCGCGGTTTCCCGCGCAGTGCCTAGCGCCCAACGATCCTGGCTTTGGCGAGCTGACTTTAACGTGCAATCGACGAAGCAAGCGAGGCACTGCTCCACAGACATCCTGCTTTGGTCCACCCGCGCCCGTAATGTGAGTTCAACCTTCTATAGAGTCGTTCGAAGAGAGCTGACGATGGGCCAACCTTAGCTGGATCGACAATCAGATGGCACCTGAATCCAAAATCGTACCCCAGAACCTCAACGTCGGTTTCAACGATTCAGCAAGGTCAGACTGGAGAAGCGAGGAGACGCTCCATCTCGCAGCCGCTTCAGGACCATCTCCTGCACACTCGACTCTCGTACCTGTGGCTGAAAGGGCCCTGGAGATTTTACAGGGACGACCGCACAGTAATTACCACGATGATCAACGCCTCCCACAACGACAGTCACAATCGTCTTCACGAGAGATGCCGCTGTCTGTCGCGATCTCTGCCCCATGTCCCGCATCCCTTCAGACATCCACTGTTTCAGCACGTAGCGAAGGGGCAGAACAAGAGGCTGCTAGCCACCATCCAGCGTTTGCGACACCCGTCTACCTCAAACCTGCCACGATGGAACACATTACGCCAGTTGTCACTTCTCAGCCACTCACGAAGGTGCCGGAGCACAAAAAATTCCTGTTGAATCCTCCTTCAGCTCAAGACTACAAGTGTCATCAAGTTAGAAGCCTGTTCCCTCAGCATTCGCAGCCACAGGCGGCGCCATCGCAAGGCTCGGAAATTATTCCATCCATGCGACATGATCGTCGAAAGCAGGCATGCCTCACTGTGCTTCCCCTTGGCGACGAGGGTGCTGCCTTTAACTGCCTGAACAGGCTTTGACCCTTCTCGAGAAGACTTCTGCCTCTTGCCTCAAATTACTTCGAACCGCCAACGTACGAAGAACTGAACTGTTGACTTGTCATAATATACCTCGTCTGTCTCCGCAGAGTAGAGCGCTTCTTCTTTCGCCCCTCTCTTCCTCTCTGTCACCTGATTTCACACTTTGTACTCATTCCACAGCTTTGCGTGACTACTTGCGCAGCAGAAAATGATCCGTGTTCTCCCTTTCAGTCTGGTGGTAGCGTGCGTATACGGGTAACATCTCGTCCTTTAGATTTTAAACCACTCTGCGATCACCCCTCTCGACTTTGTCTCCAAACGGGCTCGGACCGGAGTAGAGGATCCTTGACGGCCTCTCGTCGTTCCACCAGCGACGGCTCAGGTCCAGCAGCGTCCTTCCTTGCGGCCGGACAGGCGCATTTCGGGGGTCCGTCTCCCAGAGATAGTAGGCAAATACGCCAGTCGCAAGGCCCAGCACGGGATCGGCGAGGCTGGCGCTCTGTCAGCTCGGGTGGTCTGTCGCAAGTGGAGAGAGATTGGCGTCCTACTCACCGGCCGACAAGGTACTTGACCATTATTTCCTCGAAATCGATGAGCTATGGACGTTCGTGGAGGCAAAGCAGCTCGATGTGGCCTAAAACAGTGTTGCTTGATCCTTTTCCCCGAGATCTAATCGGCTGCCGACGAGGCACATGGCATAACTCCACCGGGCGCCCCCCTCCACACACGCTCAAAATCGATGCCCGATCCTGGCAAGCCCACTTCCCCATCTTGGCTACGCGGGTTACAAGGACCAACCAAGCACGACGGCAATGTCGAAGACGGCAGCGATGGATCGGCCCGCGCCCCCACCGGCGCCCTCGCACGCTCAATTTCTCCTCTCGCAGACGCGCTCGTCGTTGGCCCATCTTCGTACCTGCGGCGCACTGGATGCCGCCACGTTCGCCGAGGTCGATCGGCTCCTGACGGGGGCCGTCCTCAAGGAAGAGACGCCGTCCGGTGCGGCAGCGACAAGGGCCGAGACGGAGGAGGAGAATCTCGGGCGGCGAAATGCGTGGCTGAGAGATACGCTCAGAGATACGTCCCTGCTTCCCACCCTCGTGGAGACGGCTTTGAACATCGCCATTCCTGGCCCGATCCTCAGCGACAATCAGAAAGAAGCGATCGTGGACCTGGTCGAGCGCTCCCAATCGAGCATCGCAGAAGCTGTGACGAATCCCAAGATACAGCGAAAGGCACAGTCCGGCGCATACGGCACCGCCAAGTCCTCCTATATCGGCATCCGGAAGGGCCTCAATGCTGCCGGGCAGAGCATGAGCGAGATGGCGCGGAGGCGCGAAGAAGCGAGGCTCAAGGCAGAAGAGAAGAAGGCAGAGAAGGAAGGCAAGAAGTCCATGAAGGAAGAGTTGAAGAGGGAGCGCGAGGCGATCATCAAGCAGAGACAGCAGGACATGCTCGAGGGTTCCTCGTCCTCCGCGAGCCTTGGCACGATGGCGACGGCGGCTTCTACCGACTCGTCCGCGGCAAGGAGAGCCAGCGCCACCAGTCGTCCGGACTTGGTCACGAGTCCGACCGCCCTCTCTTCTGCGACGGCCTCCTCACGCGCGCCCAGCCTCATCCCGTCGCAAATGGAGCTTGGCATCGATCCTGACGAAGCGTTGATGGATGTAGACGGTAGCGCACTGGCCACGGTGACATGCAACCGCATTCCGTCCGCCGAGAACAACAGCGTGGCAGCTACGACCCAGTTTTCGCCCTGGCCTGGCCTCTTGCTCTCCCAGACGCTTGTCGCCATCTCCGACGAGCCGATCCCTCCCATTCGATTCGGCTTCGGGCAGATCCCTGAGGAGAGCAGCGCCAGCTCAAGCGTAAGCGTCCCACCACCAAGGAGGACCGCACCGCCGCCCGCTCGCGAGACTTCCTCGTCAGCTCCTCGACAGGACCCGGACCAAGAAACAGCCACGAATGATGATGAAGACGAAGATCAGAGACAGCAACAGCAGCGAGAAGCCAGACTCCTCTCGAGAGGTCCTCCGCCCGCTCCCGCCTCTGAACAAGGCTCGTCCACCGAAGGTCAAGCCCGGCGTCCCATTCAGAGTGGCTCTTCCCATACAAGCATAAGACCCCAGTCTCACGTACAAACGCCTACACCAAACACCTCAACACCACTTCCTCCGCCGGTCCGACCTCCTTCTCCTTCCACCGACCGATCACCACCTACTCCTGCCAAGAACGCAGCGCCTCCACCACAGTCGACCCAAGCACCACGGCAACAGCAGCCAGTCTCCTCTTTCACTTCGTCCTCATCTCACCCTCCTTCGACGTCGACGACGAACCAGGTTCAAGACGTGACCGAGCAGAAGAACAAGAGCTGGACCAAAGAATTGGGCCTGTAACTTTGCATTGGAAAGCAGACTTCTAGTGTTGATGAGCTTCTACCCACGAGTCGAGGACTTGCAATACATTTTTATCCACCGGGACTTGCTCCTGAGCTCGAAGCTTCTCAATGCACTTCCCCATGGCGCCCATCGCTGCTGCTCGGGACCTAGCGTCGTCCTCGGCGATGAACGAGAGGTACTCCTGTCGAGTCTTGCCAAGCCCGGCTTCGTCTTCGCTGAGCACCTGCCATGGGAAGACGGCGCTGTTTTTCTTGGCCTTGTTGCTGCCCCTAGCCAGCAAGTGATGCGCGACCACGAGCGGGTCCAGACCGCTCTTTGCCTGAAGTAGCTTCGCCCCTTCACCGTCGCCTGCACTTTCCTTCAGGCTAAATTTGGCCAATTCGAGGAACAGCATCGGTCTAAACGTTCTCAGAGCCTTGAAAGATTCTCCGCAGTCGGCCATTGTCAGACCACCTCCTGATCCTAGATCTGCGCCTCCGCCGGCAGAGGCCAGGAGCTGAGAAGCGGCAAATTCCAGCTCGGTCATGTCGGACGTCAACTTGAGCTTGCCTCCTTCTCCAAGCGGATGAAGCAATGAAGCTTGCCAAACAAACTGCTCCAAGGCGTACTTGGTCACTTGAAGCGTCCTTTGGGGATTTAACGAGGGGTCAGCCAAGAGGGACAGCAAACAGATACAGCGGCATTGTCCCCGTACCCACCAAGAGGCTTTCTCATTCCGTCCTACGTCGTACCGGCTAAAGAGCTGCTCACGGATGAACCAGAGCTTCTCTGAGAGCTCCACCATGTATGCGCTCCCAGACCCACTGACGGCGTCGGGCACAGGCTGGCCAAAGTCGACGTAATGCATCTTGTTGAAACTCTCGTCGATGTCGTCTTGCAGGTGACTGAGCATTGGCCCTCGCTGTTCGGTCTCGTAAAGGTGACGGACATGATCGACGAGGTCTTTGAGACTCTCTTCGATTACCTGAGGAGGAGCAGTGGACCGAGGATTGCCTCCCAGTCCATTCTGACTGGAGACCGCGACGTGGTCCGAACCAAGTAGTATTTGCAGTCCGACGAGGAGATGGTAGGTAAAGCTCGTCAAACCGGCATTGAGACTCTGTGCTGGTGTCGTGGCAGCTGCTTGAAGCGAATAGACAGACGAGTCTTTGATCTGCCTCGATTGGATCGCACTCAAGGCACTTCTGATTCCTTCTTTGACAGTGTTCACGACAGCGACGAGGAGTAGAGGATCGAAGCGAGCGCCATCAATCTCATCAGTAGCCACTCGGGCCAAGCCTTCTCCATCGGCTGCCGTGGGTAACTGCCTTGCTTCGGGCACAAGAGAGGTAGCAATGATGCCCTCGAAGCGCGACGAAGTCTTGGCGAGGTAATTCTGCTCGAGGTGCGAGACCGATCGCAAGACTGATATCGTCTCTGGGCTAGAGGTAAGGGAAAGGATATCAGTGCCATGGAGCGAGAAAGGGCCCGCAGAGAGGACACACACCTCTGCTGTGCATGCGTGTAAGTCGAGTCTGTATAGACAGAGACTCTCGCAAAGAATTCCTGAAAGAGCCTCAGGAGTCTGGGATAGCCAGAGGACAGCGTCGTCGACAGAAAAGCAGAACCCCTTGTCGCCTCGCGTGTCTGAACACTCAAGGCGCCACTCAAAGTGTTCCAAAAGATGGTGCTGGGCCGATCGCCAAGAACGCGCATGGCGTCGTCGAGGTAGTTACGACCGCTGACCTTGTCGGTCTTGAGGCTAAGGACCCTCTCGAGTGTATAAACTTTGCTGCAGACAGCACCCATCTCGTTGACGATGAGCGTCTCGAATCGACTCCACAAAGCATTGCTCCAGCGCTGAGCAACAGCCGACTGTGATGCAGCATCAGTCCCTGCGCCGGCTCCGCGTCTGGATCGATAGGAAGCATACGTGGCTGTCTGCTGCGTTTGCGGCTCTCGACTTCCGAGCTCTCTCGAGAGGCTATTCATGTCACATGCCGCCTTGACTCGGTCTCGAATGACGTCGGTGAGATCCGCCAGGAGGTCCCTGACGAGGTCTGCGAGCTGACCAAGGTTGAATGCCGTCTGGAGCGAGGTGCTCAGTAAGAGAGGAGAGAGATCGCGAAGTCCCATGACCACCATGTCCTCCATCAGGTCCGTCACCTTCTCTCGGCTTCTTTCGACAAGTGGCAGACACGCATTCACGAGATCGAGGCTCGTCAATGGTATCATGTCCTCGTCGTCTTCGTCGTCTTCTCCTTCTCTCGCATCTTCTCCGCCTTGCGACTTTGGCAGCAGCGGAGGCGGTCGAGGATGGACAAGGGCAGTGATTTCTGAGACGCTGAGCGCGGCCCTTGCCAGACCACGTCCCCTCTGCTCGCCAGCCTCCTCGTCCATCAAGTCTTCGTCCGCGACGCCGGCTTGCTGTTGCTGCTGCTGCTGCTGTTCTCCCTCGCCCTCTTCCTCCTCCCCCAGTCTCTCGAGCCTCTTTGCCTCGCTTGCTGTTCCCGCGGCCCCTCGAGGAGGAACAGCCATAAGGGCGTCCATCTGCGTCTGCAGACGCCTGACGAGTCGCACAAACTTCTCTGCGCGACGGACGAGCGCCTGAGCCTGCCTGATTTTGGCTTGCCTGAGCGCCGCTTGCCTGAGCTCGGCATGGGGCGTGGCGATGCGCTGGATGAGCTTGTCCCTGTGCGCCGAGAGTGCATCCAGCGCAGTCCGAAGCGTCGTCAGCGTCGGCCGGACGTCGAGGAGTGACGTGGTGTGCGCAAGCAGGTCGTGGGCGTTGGCCGTCACCTCGTCGCGGATCAGGCGATCAATGTCGTCGATGGCGAGGTTGAGGCGGCCGACTGCGACACTCACGTCGCCCTCGACATCGATGGCCTTGCTCGAGCTTGCTGTGGGTGCTTCGAGCAGGCGTCGAGTGGGCGCCGACGACGAGCCGATGCGATCCGGACCTGGTGGTCTTGCATCTCCGTCTAGCTCGGCCGGTGAGGCCGACTGGGGCGCTTCGATGATGAGGTTCGCATATGTCTGCGGATCATAGTCTGGCGCCAAGAAGGGTGCCAAGTCTGAGCAGACACACACAAACCCCGTCAGTGCCACGTCACATCAATCAAAACATGCAAGATACGAGTGACGCACCCATGGAAGAGAGGCCATGGGCTGTGGTGGAACGCCCTAGGATGCGCTCGAGCTCCCGTTGCTCGCTGCTGCGAGCGTCTCCCTTGCCATCGACGTTCGTCTCTGGCCGTGAAGGCCCATTCTCGTGTACGGCTGAGCCATTGAACCGCGTGAGGGTCGCTCCATCGGCCGCGGCCATCGGTCCTCCTGCTTCGTCGTCTATTAGTCTGAAGAAGAAAGTTGAGGCGCGCGGGCCACCTTTTCTTAATCTTGCTTGGACCGCCGCCGCGTGCTATCGAACGCAATGCTTTTTTTCTTATATGGACTCGACGGCTGGAGAACTCGGTGCGAGAAAAGGTTTGGATTGTATAAAGAGCAGCATGGAGACGTAAAGACACAGCTTGACATTAGAGAAAACCAGATTAAGAGCGCATTCATCCGATCAAACATCGTCGAGCTACTCGAGGTTGCAACGTCAGCAGAGAAGAGGGCGCCCAAATGGCCAAAACTCACCTCAACTTTAAACGAAGTAATCTGGGGCAGGTAGGCAGAGGCGCCCAAATCGACAATGTAGAAATCTTCAAAAACGTCCTTTCCATCGAAGCCCCCATGGACAAAGAGTCGGCTGTCCCGCAACCAGGCCTGGTGGTAGCCTCTCCCAGGAGGCTTGCTGCCACACACTCGCCTAGGTTCCCACTGAAGATTGACGAGGTTCAAGGTAAGAATCTCGGGCGTGTACGATATCGAGTCGTGGCCTCCAATGACGAAAAGATAGGACCCGACTTGCGTCGCCGTGTGGGCTAATCGGTTGTGGATCTCATCCGTCTTGACTTGATGCCAGACCTGGGTGTCCAGGCTCAGGATGAAAATGTCGTTGAAGCTCATGGAGCCGTCGCTTCCGCCAATGACGATGAGCTTGCCGTCGACGAGACTAGAAGTGTGGTAGCCTCTACCTATGGGAACTTTGCCCTTGCACTCCATTCTCTTCCACTCGAGTCGGTTTGGATCCGTCACGTCGAGGGTGCAGACGTCATTGAGGGCTCCTACGCCATTCCCTCCACCAAAGATGACTAGATTGCCGTTATACAGATTGCACGTGTGAGCTCGTCTTGGCGGCGGGGGCGTCCCGGAGACGTTCGGCTTGCTCCATTGTAGAGAGACGGTGTCAAAGATGTACAGGTCGTTGAAGTAGAGAGGCCCGTCACCTCCACCAAAGACGAACAAACGCTTGTCGACCATCGTGGCCGAGTGCGCTCGTCGACAGGGAGGCAGCTCGCCCGTCACTCTTGGCTTGGACCAGCACATCGTCTCGGTGTCGAAGCACCACAGTTCCCGGAAGCAGCCCTTGAGGTCGCACCCGCCAAACATCCACACGATTTCGTCGGCCAAGCTGGCTGTATGCGCTCGAAAACCTCGTCGCGGCACGCTGCCGTGGACCGGTGCTCGAGACCAGTACATGGTAGGCGGAGGTGCCTGAGGCTGATTGGACGCAGAGGGAAGCTGTGGCGCTGGTCGCATCGGATTCAACCTTGCGGACCTGCTGCCTGTAGAGTCAGCTACGCTACCACGCTCGACCTGGTTGCGCAGGCCAGCCATCGAGGCCGACGTCTTCACAGTCTTGCTGGCATCCCTCTTCGAGGAACCTCCCCTTGCAGCTGATCTTTCTCGAGACTGATTGTCTGACGAAGCACCTTCTCTGGAGGTCGATGTCGTGGAGGCGCCGTTGCCAGTCCTGAGCTTGGCAGACGGAGTAGGCACCGGCTGCGAAAGAGGGCTATTGGGTTGGCTCACGCTCCCATGCCCTGTATTTAGCAATGGAGCGGCGAGAGAGTAGCCTTGCGAAATAGTGTGATCTCTCTTCCCCAATGTGGCAGATGCGGGTGCTGAAGCAGGAGCAGGATCACCGTACATGGCGTGAAGGGGCATCGCGGCTCCATCGTGCCTCCCAAGCGTGGCGGTGCTCAAGTCGCCCACCATCGACGCGTCGTTGTCGCCTGGCAGTAGATCGGGCGTGCCTCGTGAAGCTTCAACGATGTCAAAGTCACTGGTCATGGTAGGCTCGCGAGGATGGAACTGATCCACGTCGCTATCTTCGCCATTGCCAATGCCATACCCACCGACGCGTGCGCTCAGGCTCGAAGTCGTCCGTGTCCGGTCGGTGCTCTGGCCCAACGTTTCCGTGTCGCCGAAACTATTATCGCCTTGTGATGGGCCAGCTCTCAACGTCATGCCGTGATTGGCTGGTGTCGTATACAGCGGCGTCTGCGAGAGAGAGTGGTGGCCAAATGAGTCCTTGTGGGACAAGCCTGTGCTTCGACTGGCCGAGGTATGCGGTAGCAGCGACAAGCCAGTCGGTGGCGCCCGACGAGGGGACGAAGCGGGGAAGGAGACGGAGGGTAGATCAGAAGCCAGGAATTGAGGCGAAGAAAGTGAATTAGCGGTTGCATGCATTAGCGGTGTCGAGGCGGCGGTGCTGTTGTCTGAAGAGAAGGTCGAGCCTGGGAGCGAAGGATTGCGACCCATGCCAATCACTTGGATCGACCCGAGTCGGTCTTGGCCGTCTGTCGCACCTTCACCGGACACGTCACCCGATACAGCCATTCCCGCCGCTCTTGCAGACCTTGCTGCGTCGTAGCCAGCGACGACGGCATCGTGGGCAGACCGTGAGTCTCCTACTTGGGAGCAATTTGAGGTCAATTTGGATGAGATTGTAGCATCGCAGGAAAACAGACGATGACCATCATGGACATCAATCGAGTCGTCGCAGTCGCGATACGGCGTCGGATCGGTGCGGTTGGCGGGGAATGTGCAGTCGAGATTGACCGTCGAAGATGGTTGTAGTGGCAAGGGAGAGCCACCGCGACGGATCAGCGTGGCGCGTTTCGACGATGGTCGAGGGGCAGGTTTCGTTGTCAAACGAGGATATTGGGGTCGAGGATGTGAATTGAGGTCAGCGGCAGCAGCGAGATCATCATCAACGATTGGTGCAGCGACCGCAGTGACGGACACCGGTGGAGGTCCGACGTAATTTTGGGAGGGTTCGGACGACGTCATGTGAAGAGATGGCACATGTTTGTCGGCCGTCGTTGGGCGCGTACGACGATATGGAAGTGTTGAGTTGCGCAATCGAGCGTCGGAGGGCAAAAGTGTTTTCGATATTGTGGACGATTCAGCAGTATTGGGACGAGGTCGTGGAGGATGGGAAGAGGATCGTCGTTTGTAAAAAGCAGACGAAGTACCGGCATCGGATTTGATGGTCGTCATCGAGGTGGAGAGATCGCGCAGACCAGGAGAGACGGGCAATGTTGTGTCGCCATCAATGAGCGAGCCATCGAGGGACGATGCGCGGGTGGGCGCGATGAGGTTGAGAGCAGAGAGGAGTTTCGTTTTGCGTGACAGCGGCATAGCATGTGTGTCCAAGTATCGAGCAGGATCGGCAGAGATGGAGAGGGGAGAAGAGAGAGATCGTATAAATGTGAGAATGTCAGCGGTGCTTGTCCTCCTGCCATAGAAAACATTGCAATCGAGCGATCCAAGCGCTCAATCTCATTTCCGGCGCCCCTTCGGCAGACCCTCGGCCGGGCTCCCTTTCCAATCGAATGGGTCCCAGCTGAAATCACCCATCTCTCGTCAAGCGAGCCGTGACCGAGCACTGGCTGGGAGAGGCGCAGCGCAAGGGAACTCAAGGAACCGCCAGGGCCCCCTTGCTATGCGGCAAAAACTCGAGACATGGCAGCGGTACTCGAGCGGCGACTTACCCGACGACTCCATCTTTTCCTTGATTTCCAGATGTCTCTCTCCTTCCGTACCGCTCGCGAGGTTCTTCCGATGCCAGCACCCAACGACTAGGCCTTGAAAGACGTTGAAATTAACGTAGGTATACCTTGATTTTCTGACCGCCGAGTGTGCCGGCACCTATCCTCCTCAATCGATTACTGTCGGCCTCCGGAGTAGGTGACCAGGTCGTGGGTGTAGCTTGTAATTAAGATAAGACGGAATACAGATCCTTGTTCAGCTTTTCGTAACGGCACTTCTTCGTCAGAAGCTTGATTGCAACGCTGTGCTGAGCCCGATATCGTCGCCTTCTGTCGCGGATTGCCCGAGAGAGAGGCTTGGGCCCCGGTCACTTGCAATATCCTCCGAAGCTGCTAATGTAGCTACTCAGATCGAGTCTTCTGGACCATAGGTAATCTCGCGGCACCAGCGCTTCGGTGAGGAGATGGCTCCAGCAGCGTGACGGGGCGCGGGCCCTATCGAGTACTGGCTCGCCCGGGCGAGGTTCAGGTGGGAAAAGAAGGTGGTGTGGCCTCCTACAATTTAGCGCCTTTTGAACAAGCAAAAGTCCCAAGACGCGTTGAGTTGGCCGGCTCGTTCGTCTCCCTTCTGACTGATCCACGCTGGAGACCGCCGACGGCCATCGCAGCAAGCCATGGAAGCGACACCAGCGAGCAGCGTCGAGGCTTCGGCGACTGGCCCCGTCCAGTTTCGTGACGACCAGACATTCGACTGGGAAGCTTACATGTAGGTGGTGCTGGTGCTTGCTCTCCATGCGGTTCTCGACCTGGCAAAGCTGAGGCCTCTTTCTTCCCTCTCCCCCTTCTTTGTGCGCACACAGCGCCAATTACCAAGGTGAGCGAGATCGATTGCATACATCGTCCTCTTGGCCGAAACTGAGCGACAAGTCCTGCAGGTCGCACCCGTATTCAGCGTCTCCTCTTCCTTGCATCGCAGTCGCCTGCCTTGCGGAAGCCATGTTCAGAGGCCGCTCTCCACCTCATCACCTCCTCCACAAAGGATGTCAATGCCTATCATCAGGCCCTCGCCCTTCGCAATACGACAGCCCATCATGACCAGGCAGCCTTGCCCCGTGATCAGAGGCTGCCAGCCGACACAGCTTGGATCGAATCCACCGAGCGCAGCAACAGGGCCGAGTCGCAGAAGCTGGACCTCGAGCTGAGGAACTACACCAACAACCTCATCAAGGAGAGCATTCGGGTCAGTGCCCTCCCCAGTGTTTGGCTCCGCTGCTTTTGGCTGAAATCCCAGGAACTACCAGATGGCGCACAGGGATCTGGGAGACCACATGAGAGCAACGGGCAATTTGACCGATGCGCTCAAGTGCTACATGAAGACGAGAGACTACTGCAGCACGAGCGAAGATGTCGTTGAGATGTGCATCAATGTTATCGAGGTGAGATTCTTCTGTCATTCTAGTAGCATAGGAACGAAGGAAGTTGACGCAGAAGCGGCGCAGGTTTCGCTGGAGCTTCAACAATATGGCAATATTGCCACATACGTCTCCAAGGCAGAGGGTCTTCTCGACTCGTACAATCCCAACGCCGCCACCTCTTCCTCGGCAAAGGCTAGCGGATCTGGCTCGGTCCAACCTGCAAGCAAGGGAGGTACGACATCAGGCGCTGATGCCATCGGCGCCCTCTTCCGCGCCGGCGGCTCGGCAGGCCAGACGAATGCAGCCACCGTTTCGGCCCTCTCTGCCCAGCTCTCCGCCGGGGGTGCTGGCCAGACTTCAGCACAGCGCGAGGCCGAAGTGCAGAGCAAGAAGCAAATTGCAAACATTGCTGCCAAGCTCAATGTCGCCCAGGGTATCGCTGCTCTGGGTCAAGGGAGGTACGCGGCAGCGGCCAAGTGCTTCTTGGTCGGTGACTCAGCAGCGCCCGACGCATACACAAGCGTGAGTAGCTCCTCGACCATCACTGATCAGCGTGCTTATACTGACCTGAACCTCTGACAGATGGCCTCACGAGCCGACGTAGCCCTCTACGCAATCTTGTGCAGCCTCGCAATGTATGATCGCAAGAGGGTCCGAACCGAAGTCGTAGAGCGACCCAGCCTGGGTGCCTTTCTCGAGCACGAGCCGCATGCCCGCGAGCTGCTCGACAGCTTCTATGCTTGCGAGTACAAGAAGACGCTTGAGCTGCTGGACCGCCACGAGGCGCGCTATCTCGTCGACGTGCACCTGGCCCGCCACTACCTCGACCTGCGCCGGTCCATCACGGACCGTGCCCTGCTGCAGTTCGTGCAGCCCTTTGATGCCGTCAAGCTCGAGCGCATCGAGCAGGCCATCTGGTCCGACGAGCATGGCGGCGCTCGTGCGGCCAACAAGGTCCTCGATCTTATTCAGCAGGGCCGCATCGACGGAAAGATCGACTGGATAGCGAAGGTGGTCAATGTCAGGAAACCAAATGTCCGCCAGGATCTCTTCGAGGAGGCCTTGAAGAGCGGGCAAGAGAGGATGGACTCGGCGAGACGCCTTGTCTTCCGCATGAGTCTGGTCCAGAATGGGTGGGTACAAAGTGCTCTCTTCATTGTGGCCTCTGGAACGTGCTGCTGACTTTGCAAGGGCAGCCTCGTTGTCAAGACGCCATATGACCGCCTCGACCGCTAGATGTTGGATGAGAACTCAACCATTTACTGTACCATACCTAACACACAATTCACACATACACACACTCTCGAGTGCTTTGCGTATGATGTTTGTCTTATGATTGAAAGAGAAAGGAGGATCATGGCCACACGAGTGATGGTCGAGGAGAGCAAAGACGTAAGCTTCCCCTGGAGTTTTAGATGATGTTGCTGCTGATGCTTCGACGTGTGCCTCCGTCGATGCCAGGGCTGGTAGATGGATAGAAAGTACAAGGGTGGGTGAGGAGAGCGCGGGTCCTACTGCTTACGCCGAAACCTTCTTGGCGGCCGTTCCAATGATTCGCCTGCGCTCCTTCTTGAGGAGCATGACGTTGAACCGGTCAAAGTCGGACATCTCTCGCTTGAGCTTGTGAGCCTGCCTCTTCTTGGCCCAGGTGGTCGACGCCCACTTCTCGGTGATGCCCTCCTGCTCAAAGTACTTCTTGACCGTCGAGGTGCCGGCAGCGCGGGGCAGCTTGCTGACGACCAGAGGGGTCAGGGACATGTACCGGTAGCGGAAAGCCTGACGGGGGACGCCAGTCGAGGGGCCGTCAATGATAGCCTTGTTGTGGTCGATGATCTCGACGATGACGGCCAGCTTGCCAGCCGACTCGCCCTCGTTGACGATGACGACGCGGCCGACCTCGACGAAACGCTTGAAAGCCTCCTTGGCGGGCATTGTGATGGTCTGAGGAATCGAAGAGTCAGCATTTCGTGTACTTTCTGGTCCAATCTTCTGCGAAAAGTGCTTCTCGACGACATCAAAGCTGCCTAAGACTCCTCATCGGCACCAGGACCTTCTGCGAGTTGCCTTTGGCGCCTACCAGGACATAAATCCTTCGAGGTACTTTCCCCCTAGAGGCCAGCCGCCCATAGCTCCCAGATAATAGATCGGGCGGCCTTTCCATTCGTTCCCGGCAAACGCCATTACCCCTCCATGCATCGTCCTGATGTATCCTGCTCGCCTGCATATGCTCTCTGACCCAGGCCAAGGTTCGTCCCAAATGAGCGCGCCGCCTCCGGCTCCCTCCTTTCCCATCCCATCCAGCAATGCCGTACGCAGCTTCTGACCGCATAACCAACGGCGTCTCCACGCACTGGTCCCACATCATCGAGCACTACTACTAACCTTTGTCGAAAGGAGGGTGATTGATGGCTTGGACGTCGAATCGAGAAGCGGCCGTATTCAACAGCTCCAATGAGGCTCCATTTCCTCCGCAGCTCTTCACGTGTCTGCCAAAGGCCACGTGTTTTTTAATTTATGTATTTTAAAATACCTGAATATTTTCTGCCCGACTTCGATCAGTCAAGGTTTGTGGAGGGCTGACGATTCAATTCTAAATGGGCGGTGGTAATGGTAATGGTATTTGCCAGAGACAGGGAATTACAAGTTCTCGAAGAAGCTCAGGTCATCGTTGGTGAGGCCTGTCCCTTGACTGAGCTTTGCTGAAAGCTTATGTGCCTGCTGTGCAGGGGGAGAGGTGGGGACTGAAGGAGCCGAGGGGGGCGGTCCAGCATTTCGCCAGCCTGGAGGTGGGGGAAGAGCAGAGCCAGAATTCTTCGACTCGTTCGACGAGGACACGGAGCCGATGTTTCTGTTCATTTGTACAGAAAGGGGCCGGCTTGCACGAGGAGGGGGAGGGAGGGAAGGCGAGGTTGTCCTTGACGAGGAAGCCTCGACAATGTCCGTCTTTTGCGGGAGAGGTGGTGGCTTGGTCGAGGAAGCAAACACTGTGTGCTCGTCGTATCCATCTTCGTAATGACGATCGTCTTCGTCCCTGTATGCACCGAAAATCCCCTGGCCCGATGTTGTGTTTCCATAGCTTTTTCCCTCCTCCTCTGCGTCGTCCTCATCGTAGTCGTACTTTCCCTTCGGCCGGCGAGGAGGGTCACCAGGCCTTCGTCCAAATGCAATCCCAATGCCAGAAGTCGTTCTATTTTGAGGTTGGGGCCGGCCTTCCAGGAGGCTGTGATCGAGCGCAGCAGTCGTCCTATCGCTTGGTCCGCTCCAACCACGCTGCCCAACGGATGGACTTGACTCGAACCTTTCAAAGTCCCCAAATGCATCCATCGAACCTGGAGTAGCAGCAGAGGCAACGCTGCCGCCAGAGGCGATGCGGTCTTGTTGCCATTGCGGTGCACCTGTCGATGCTCCAGGCCGCTGTTGGACGAAAGACGACTGTTTTGATGACGACGAAACCGACTGTGAACGATTCAAACCGCTCCCCTGCCTCTGCTGCTGCGTGAAGGTGTCAAAGTCGAGAAGCGACTGCCGATTGGCCGGTGCTCGTGGAGGACCAGATAGTCGTGGAGGGGGCATCATAGTTTGTTGTGTAGATGCTTTCGTCCCCACGCCCGCTCGGAATGAAGAAGAGGAAGTGGTCGCAGCTGTATCGTTGACGAACTTGAGCCAGTCTTCCTCTTCAGCCGCATTCATGCCTGAAGGCTTGCTCGCTTCGAGTTGATTCGTTTCTACGCTCTCCAGCCAGGACAAATCGTCTGCCGTCATGCCCTGCTGTGACTTCTCGCCCTTGTTTGTGTTCTCGGTTTCTGCCTTTCGCCATCTACCAAAGAGCCGAGCCACTGTCGAAGGAGGCTGCTGCTGCGTCTCAGCCTGTTCCTTGCCGTTTGGAAGATTGCTGCTGGTATCATCCCACTCCAAGCCCGTCTCCTCTGTCTCGTACTCTTGGTCTTCGGGATCCACGGCGCTGACGACGGGCGGCGGCATGAGATTTTGTCGGATGGCACCGAGCCTGGCCTCGAGCCCCGCCGTTAAACCTCCTGCAGGCTTATCGCCAGTGTCTGCTGCTTGAATAGAGCCCATACCTCCCGAGGGTTGCGAAGCACTGGAACCAGCAATGCCACCACCACCACCCCCACCACCGCTAAAGAGGCCACTGAAGAGCCCTCCCTGGGCGCCGGCCGCCGGTTTCTTACTCGTCGTCTGCTCCCAACCTGGACCTTGCGTCGGGCTCGAGGTTGAGCCAGCGGGCGAAGTGAGAGAAGAGGTCGATCGTCCGTGATTTGAACCGCTGCCGAGGTTGTTGCGCTTCAACGAAGGGGCCTGCCAGAGCTTTGGAGCAGGCTTGACCGACGGAACCTCCACCGCTGTCGCCGACGTCTCGGCTCGTTCTGATACTGGTTTGCTGTCAGCCTCTCCTTCGTCGACCTTTTTCGGATCTTGCTGAGTGGTACTGCTGCTAAGTTAAAGTGAGAAGAGGGAAGCAAAGCGAATCGGCGAACATCAGACTACTTACGGCTTAGTGGCTTTGCTGAAGAAGCTTCTCCAGCCCGTCGAAGGAGCCATGACAGCCTCGTCCTTCTGCTCTTCACTGCCCTTTTCTTCCGCCTCTTCCTGGTCCTGCGTTTCCTCTTGGTTGGCTCTGTTGACACTCTCGAGCCTTTGGGCGATGTCCCTGATCTCCTGCTCGCGCTCGATTTTTGCCATTCGCGCCGCTGCGCCTGATCCCCACGGGTCGTCGGGGTCGACCATGGTACCTGCCTCTTCCGGTTCCTTTACGATGTGCATCCCCGCACCATTCTCCGCCTCGTCTCGACCTGACCCTGAAGCGAAGCCGGATGCCCCTCCTCCCCATGGATCGAAGCTGTTGCTTGTGCTGCTCAGTGATCGACTTGGATCTGGTCTTGAATCCTCCCCCTCCTCCTCGCGAGCGAGCCGTGGAGGCGAGGTTGAGTCTGACGGTGAGTGTGGTTTGAAGGATCCTGACTCGGCATCCTCGGATCGTGTTGCTGGCTGTTTTGAGGCACGGGAGGAGGCGCCCGTATCTGCCCACGGGTCCTCATCGACATCGGCCGTCGCTAGCGCCGATGGTCTGACATTGATGGGCGAAGGCGGGTCCACCCGAGGCTTGACGACATTGCTGTCATCGACACCAAAGCCTCTGCTGCTGTCGTCAGCCCAAGGGTCCATGACGAGCACGCCCACAGAGTTGCGGTTGCCGCGATCCGATCGCTCTCGTTTGGCGTTGGTGTTATTTTTCGCCGCGTCGTTTACGTGCCCTGCCTAGAGAGGTCTGTCTGTCTCTCTACGGTGGAGGCTGGCTGCACAGTTATTTTTGCCTTTGACCTCGATTCGACTAGGTAACAGTCAGTACTTTACACAGTACAGACAATAATAACCAGAACGATGCTCATTTGCCGGCTTACATCCCTCGTCCAAAAACTTCAGAGCTCAATGAAGACGTCTACAGCAAGGCGCTAGGATTGTCACCACAAGCTCACGACAATATCACGTCCAGCAGGCAGTAGTTCTAAGGTCTGGCGCACCAACGAGCCCTAGAGTCCGAAAGCGAAAAGACACGAAACGAAACGGGAGAAAAGGAAAAATTCAAAAAAACCACCCAGAGGAAAAAAGGCCAAATCTACGAAGACCGAAGACCGTCGCATCGGCCGCGCTCTAAAAGCCAGGGTGAGCGAGGCGTATTACACACTACTCTGGCAGACATTCTCTTGTCCGCGCGCCCGTCCGCCTGGTAAGCAGCGCCTCTCTGTGTCTGTCACGATGCAGGCAGCCACTCCTTCCACTTCGACGGCTCCGTCAGCTGGCTCTACTGCCATGACGTCTCTGATGCTGTATACGCACAATGTCGCGCGCGCCCTCAAGCCTTCCACCGATGGCGAGCTGGCACACGCGATCCACGAGACACTGCACTACGCTCTCGACGGGGACGAGGCCGACTGGGCTGCCGGTGCCGATTCGCGCGCCAGCACTACGCCATGCGGTCCAGATCAAGGAGCAACAGCAGCTTCAGGATCAGCAGCGGCTGAACCTGGGTCGGTCCGGCCAGGCTTCTTTGCAACGGGCGACGACGAGCGGCCCTTCATCTCGTACGCATGGAACGCGAAGAAGCGACAGCTCACCCTGCCCAACCCAGTCACCGTGGTCAACCCGACGCTGATGGACCCTTGCGCGCCCGACTGCAACACCCGCGACTCTTTCGACGTCACGGCCAAGTTCTTTTTCCTTGGCGAGGAGGATGACGACATCGGCGATGAGGCAAAGGACATTGGGCCCCGGACAGAGTGGATCGAGGAGGCCTTGGAAAAGTTTACTTTGGCCACAGGGCTGGCCACGGTGGACACACTCATCATCGCCTTTCCTGGAAAGGACCTTGACGGCGTGGACCGGAGGCGACGGCGGCCTGAGCACACTGCTTCGGCCAACGGCAATGGCGTAGACGACCGGCGGCAAAAGCTGCAAAGGGACGTGTCGGCCATCGCAAAGGTCTGGCAGCAGCTGTCACCCAACCCGAGAATACTGTCAATGGGCCTGAGCGATCTCTCTCTCGAAGCGCTCAACCTTCTCTTCCAATCGTTCAATCCAGCACCACCACCGGCGCCTGAGACGGCGTTGCTGACGCCCAGCAGAGCAGCTCTGGCGACAGAAGACAATGACAGAGGAGCAGCCGCTGGCTCTAGCGGTAGCAGCACCGTTGGTGGGTCGCTGACGAGCGTAACGTCAAGCATGGTATCGGAGGCTTTCGCCGGCCAGAGCGGCAGCTCAGCTAGCAGCGCGTTCAGCACGCCAAAGTCGGCCATGTCGACCATCCCGATCCCATCTTCGCCCTCCTCTCCCTCTGTCTCGTCGAACCAGCAGCGCACAGAGCTAGGCGACGGCGCATTCCAGGCCTACCGGCTTCCGAGCCCCACGAGACGGCCGCGGATTCACACGATCAATCTCAAGGAGCACGGGGGCTGCACAGATGGGCGATGCATAGATCGGGAGCTGGCAGAGTGGTGCAAAGCCCAGGGCATCCTCCTTGTCGCGCACAACGATCAGAGGGGTGAGTCACCGCCTACACGCGCAAGTGTCAAAGGAGTCTGCTTTGCTGATCTGTCCTCTTTGCTTTTTGGTCTGGAAATAGACATCCTGCCAGCGAGGACACTGCCGAACCTCATGGCCGAGTTCAAGGGCAAGTTCCCACACTGCGGCAGCCAGCCTCTTTCCACGCCAAGGCTCGCGCCGAGGTGGTGCTTCAAGTACACGGTCCTCATTCGCGACCGAGGCGTCCTGGCCGACAAAGGGTGCGTCTCGCCAGCCTTTTCTTGCCCTCATACCTGCTCCCACTTACATCGATCTTGCCTTCTTCCGCAGCTTCATCCTCTACTCGGACGTCATTGCCGATGCCCACCTACAACCATAGACGAAAACAAAGGGGGGCTTCCGTTGCGCAAGAGGAGCAGATCCGAGCACATACACAAACACACACAATGATTCTCACACCTTCCATCCCAATCTTGTTTGCCATGTTGAATGCGATGTAATTGGAATGCTTGTCGTTTACAGATGGAGATGTGTTGGAAAAAGAGAGAGGTACCCATCGTTGAAGGATAGATCGAAGGGTCTGGTTGGAGACCCTTTTTGGAGAGAAAAAAACATGGTCACCGTCCACGTCATGAGCCACAAAGACAAAAGAGAAAAAAAGAGAAAAAAAAGAAAGGAGAAACACAGAGGAAAGAAGAAGAAGGAAGAAGCCGAGGACCCTAGGAGCAGTTGATGCTTCCTTTCAGGCCTCACAGAGGGACAAACCAGCGCAGAAGGGAGGGAGAAGAAGAGGAAGACGAGCCCTCTACTTGGCCAGCTCCGAGCGAGCGCGCTTGGCTGCCTCGACCATGTTCTTGCACTGGGCGGCCGCCTCGTCCCACGACCTCGTCTTGAGGCCGCAGTCGGGGTTGCACCAGAGGCGCTCGACGGGCAGGTAGGCCGAGAAAGCCTTGAGCCGGTTGAACATCTCCTCCGATGTGGGAACACGGGGCGAGTGGATGTCAAAGACACCAGGTCCAATGTCGTTGGCGTACTCAAAGTTCTGGAAGACCTTGAGGATCTTGGCGTCCGACTTGGAGTTCTCAATCGAGATCATGTCGGCGTCGAGGTCGAGGATCGACTGCATGATCTGGCGGTTGGCAAAGTCCGAGTAGCAGAAGTGCGACACGATCTGCGTCTCGTCACGGACGCCCGACGTCGACAGGCGGAAAGCAGCGACGGCCCAGTCGAGGTAAGCCTTGTGCTCGGCCTCGCGGAGCGGGAGACCTTCTCGGAGCGCCGGCTCGTCCTCCTGAATCGAGCGGATACCAGCCTTCTCGAGGTCGTTGACCTCGTCGCGGAGGGCGAGGGCAATCTGCTTGGCCTGAATCTCCTTGGAGATGTCGGCACGGGGGAACGACCAGTTGAGAATCGTGACGGGGCCCGTAAGCATACCCTTCATCGTCTTCTTGGTCAGGCTCTGGGCGTACGACGACCATCGCACCGTCATGGCCTTGGGCCTCGAGACGTCGGAGACGACAATCGGGGGACGAACGTAACGCGAGCCGAAGGACTGAACCCAGGCGTTTTGGGTGAAGGCAAAGCCGTCGAGGAGCTCACCAAAGTACTGCACCATGTCGTTTCGCTCTGGCTCTCCGTGGACGAGGACGTCGAGGTCGAGGGCCTCCTGCTTCTCGACGACAAACTTGATCTCGTCCTCGAGGAATTTCTCGTACTCCTCCTGGGTGATCTCGCCCTTGTTGAAGCGAGCGCGGTACGATCGGATCTCCTTGGTCTGGGGGAACGAGCCAATGGTCGTGGTGGGGAAGAGGGGCAGGTTGAGGTGCTTGTTCTGGACCTCGCGGCGCTGCTTGAAGGCAGACTGGCGCTTGAGGTCTTCGGGCTTGACGTTGGCCAGACGCTGGCGAACAGCGGGGTCCGAGTTCTGCTCAAAGTCGCGACGAGCCTTGATGCTCTTCTCGTTGGCCGACAGGATGCTGCTGGCGCTGCTGGGGTCCTTGAGGGCGGCCGTAAGCGTGGCAACCTCACCGCACTTTTCCGTGGCGAACGAGAACCAGTCAATGACCTCGGCCGAGAGCTTGTTCTCGTTCTTGACCGTGATGGGGGTGTGGAGGAGCGAGGAGCTCGAGGCGATGATGACGCGGTTCTTGTCGCCGCCGAGGAGCTCGACGGCCTTCTGGGCCGTCTTGAGCGCAGCGTTCAGGTCCGTCTTCCAGACGTTCCTGCCCGAGACGAGGCCAAGGGAGAGGACGGTCGTCTTGTTGGCAAAGTGGGGGACGACAGTGTCGATCTGCTCGGGTGCTCGGTCAAGGTCGATGTGGAGACCAGCGACGGGGAGGTCCTTGACAAAGTCGAGGTTGCTCTCGAGGCGGCCAAAGTAGGTGGCCAGGAGCAGCTTGACACTGGGCGCAGCCTTGGAAAGGGCGGCGTAGGTCGACTTGAACTGCTCGGCGTACTGGGCAGCCCTGTCCATGCAGAGGATCGGCTCGTCAATCTGGACCCACTCGGCACCGGCCTGGGCGAGCTTCTCGAGCAGCTCGGCGTAGACGGGCGTCAGCTTCGAGACGAGCGAGACGGGGTCAAACTCCTTCTGCTGCGCGTCGGCGTCGGCCTTGGAGAGCGCCAGGAGAGTGATGGGGCCCACGAGGACGGGGCGGCCATTGTAGCCAGCCTGCTTGGCCTCGACAAAGTCGTCGACGGGCTTGGTGTCGTTGAGACGGAAGTTGGTCTTCTCGGAAACCTCGGGGACGAGGAAGTGGTAGTTGGAGTCGAACCACTTCTGCATCTCCGTCGCCGGCAGGTCGACCTCGCCCTTCTGGTGGCCGCGGGCCATGGCAAAGTAGGTGTCGAGCGGGTTCAAGCCCGACTTGGCGTACTTGTCGGGGATGATGCCGAAGGTGTTGGACGCATCAAGAACATGGTCGTAGAGGGTAAAGGTGCCGCTGCGAAATAAAAAAAAAACCGTGTCAGGTCACACGACAGTAAAGATGCTTCAATCCACCGATGAGACTTACGTAGGAACGACATCAACGCCCTGCGACTTGATGTTCTCGTAGGTCAGGAGCCTCTGCTCCTTGGCGACCTTGAGGAGCTCTTCGACGGAGCTCTTGCCGGCCCAGTAAGCCTCGAGGGCCTTCTTGACCTCACGCTTGGGGCCAATGCGAGGGTAGCCGAGAACAGCGGAGCTGAGCATGAGGAAAAGGGAAAGAGTGTGTGCAGGAAGTAAGCAAAGAAGAAAGATTCGCGCGGAATGCAGAGGCAAGAAAAAGGTGACTCACGACATCTTTGCTAGGACTCGGACAGGGAAAGAAATGGTGTGTCGTGGTAGAGAAGAGAGGAACGACACTGTGTGAGAGAAGAATGCAGAAGACAGGGCGCCCGAAGAAGAAGAAAGCGCAGAGTGAACTCAACACGTGTCTGCACTAAAAGACTACATTCAAACATTTCGCATTAGCCCGAGGTGGGAGCTGCTTTCAGCCGAGCTTTAATCTCTTTTGAAAATCTCGCTTCGTGGAGAGAGCACAGAACGTGGGCAGAAAATTGCAACATAAGGACAAGGGAAAGTAAAGCTATCGGGCAGAGTAAGTGACTATATAAAAAATACAAATTCAGGAGCACGGTATGCAATGCGAAAAGACGGTGAAAAGAGAGGAGAGAGTGAGAGACAGAGACAGAGAAAGAGTAAGCCGGAGAAAGGATGATCAAGTCATGGCCATGTTGAAGCTCTGGTGAGGTGAAGGCAGGCGATGTCTTGGGCTCTTGCGGTCGAGCAAGCCAAGGAGCTTGTGCACCGCTCCCTCGTCCACCTCTACGCCGCGGCTCGGTTCGCTAGAGTTGGAATGGCTGGACGGGGAGCGCGAGGGCCTACTTGCAATGGCACGAGATACGCTGTTGGAGTTGTGCGAGACATCAGAACTGTGTGAGAGACGGCTGTCGAGGCCATCATCGGAGCCTGTGGGTGATCGGGCAGCGCCAGAGCCGATGGCATCAACCAACTCTTCGAGCTCTTTGGCACTGGTCGACAAGAAGGCGGGGTGCTCTGCGAGGCGAGAGTAAAAGCCGCTCGGGGTGAGCGACTGACGTCCGACATTTGTGATTCGAGGCATAGCATGCGACGAGGTTGGCGATGCTGCCGTGAGCCACGAGTGACTGCTTCGCTGCGACGGATCTTGAGATGGCGGCTGAAATCCCAAGGCGGCCACGGTCCTCGCCTCGCGCTCAGCGACTTTGCGCTCGAGGAGGCGAATGAACATGCGCATATGGTCTGTGTCGTTGTTGGTGCCAGGGCCGGAGCCGCCAGATCCATTGCCATTTTTGGCCGGTGACCACCCTCCTCCTCCCCCTCCCTCCTCCTGGCTGCTGGGCGGTTGGTTGTGAGGACTGCCAAAGCCGAAGAAGAAATTACCACCGGGGGTGTTGCCTCCCTGAAGAAAAGCACTGAGATCGAAGGGGCTCTGAGAACCACCGTTGTTGTTCTGGGCCATCGCCACCGCCTGGGCCTTCTCGTCGAGGATGCCCTGTTGGTTGTTGCCTGGTGAGAGTCTACCGCCACCCATTTGCTCCCACCAGCTCGCCTGCGACGGTGGCGGCGGCTCGTTGGATAGGTTGAAGGCAAAGGGGATCGGATTAGGGTTCAGCAGCGCATCGTTCTGATGCGTGCGCTGAGGCACGGGGTAGATGTGGCTGTTGATCCCTTGGTTGCTACCGTTCGGAGAGATGCCGAAGCCGCGCATCGGCGGCCCGCCTAGCATGGCTGAGCCGCTCAGACCCGCACCAGAGTGCTGCTGGTTGTGGCTGTTCCCATTGTTGCTGTTGCTGCTAGCGTCTTGGCCTGTCAGGGCGTTCAAGACGCCGCCGGGCGAGAGTCCCGGTGCGAGGCGAGGGCCACTCTGCACTGGTGTGCCATCGAGCTTGCTTGGATGCTGACCCTGCTGACCACGAGAAGATGACGATGATTGCTGCTGTTGTTGCTGTTGCTGTTGCTGTTGCTGTTGTTGTTGTTGCTGCTGCTGCTGCTGCTGTGACTGGCTCTGTCGAGCGCTGGCCTGGTGAAGACTAAGAGACAGCAGTGGGTTGCCATTCTGGCTGCTGCGGGCGCTCGAGGGCGAGCTAGCGTCGCTGACAGAATGAGTGCTTGGCCTTCGCATGCTACCAGGCCACTGAGGAGCAGGCATTGATTGTCCGGCAGGGTTGCTCGACATGTCAAACGTTGGCTGCGGTGCTTGAGTTGGCGCAGACGAAGAGGAATCAAACGATGCTTGTTGCTTCGTCGACGAATTCCTGGTGCGCGTGTCGAAGTTGCCCAGTGCAGCCAGAGGGTCTGTGAATGTCGCGCCTGCCACCTCATCCAAGTCGCTATGGTTGCCGGTGCCAGTTGCGGTGCCATCGCCCGCCACGCTGGATCCGGGCTGCTGGTCGAGAAGACCAGGTGCAAAGCCTTCGTTGCCGATTCCTTCGAGAGCATTGGGAATCATGCCGCCAAAGCCAAGCCGGATCAAGAGACCGCGAAGAGCATCATTTTCATCCTTGAAGCGTCGGGCGACTCGCTGAAGCTCAGAGTTGGCCTCGATGCCCATCTGGTCATAGCGGCGACAACGCTCCTCCAAATCCCGTACTCGCGCCTCTCTTCGCTTGCGAAACTCCCGCTGCGCTTTGCCTTTTCGCAACAAAGCCATTGTTCAGATGCAGGGTTAGATTCAGAAGAGAATTAGAGACTCACGATTCTGAAGTGTCCTCTTCGTCACCACTTGCTCGCCCTGCTTCTGAGAACCGTCGCCACCTTGCTTCAGCTGTTGATAAGAAGCTGCCCCGCCACCAGCGCCGCCGCCATCGTCCATCTCGTCATCGTCGCCGTCATCGTAGTCACCACCGCCACCAAAGCCATCGTCCCTCCTGTTGTACATTTCGGAAGCCTTTCGCTTCTCTCCTCCCCCTCCTCCTCCTCCTCCTCCACCAACAACACCACTGCTGGAGCGCGTGGCCGGTTTGAGCACCGGTGCCATGTTTTTTGTCTTATTTTCTTTTTCCTCCTATCTGGCGGGGTGCGTATCCCTTGCGTTCTCGCTGTCGGTCCTCGCTGGGGCTGCGCACGGAGTTGCTCCAAGACGACGATGTTGCGCCTTGAGAAAAAGTGAGGGGAGAAAAGGTGGGAGCGAAGGGTGGAAGCTGACCAAATTCCACTACTACCCGTTAGCACCTGCAGTAGTAGTAGTGTAGTACAGTAACAATTTGGCCTGTCGAATAGTCCGGAAGAGACAGCCTGTACCAGTCGCCTACCTGAGACAAAAAGGGTTCATTATATCACTACTACACAATCATTCAGCTCCCACCGATCGATCGGAATATCAAATTGGGCATCTAGTCCCTTTTCCACGTGTGATCTCTTAATCGACTCTCGGCCTGCCGAAGACTATTGACATAATTCCGGCGGGGACCTCGGTCTCCTCGGGCGTCACGTCTATTTGTGAATGGTGCATGGAGACGAGTAGCTGCTCGCGCACCACTGTGACAGCGGGAGAATGTATTGTTGTCTCGTCAAAGAGGTGTGTTGGCAGACAAGGCCATCTCGCGATGCCGATCGATCGGTTGCTGCACACACACTTACTGTCCGGGGTAGGGAAATTTTAGAAGAGACACGCGCGCGCGAGACAAAACGCTTTCTTCCTGCGAGCGCGCACACAAGGGCCAGAAAAAAATAAAGAAGAGAAGAAGGCCAAGATGACAGCGACTGCAGCTCAGCCACTGGCCAAGGAGATCGGCGATCTGCTTGCGTCGCTGCCAAAGGAGCTCGGCGCACTCAACTCCTGCCCGACGCTGCCCGAGAATGTGGCGAGCATCATCGACCACACGCTCCTTGCGCCCACTGCGACGCCGAGCGCCATCCTCGAGACGTGCCGCGAGGCCGTGGAGCTGGGCGCCGCGACCGTCTGCGTCAACTCGTGCATGGTGCAATACGCGGCCGAGGCACTGCGGGGCACCGAGGTGCGGCCGATCTGCACCGTCGGCTTTCCCTTTGGCGCCGCGAGCCCGGCGTCCAAGGCCGAGGAGACGCGCCAGGCCGTTGCCGACGGCGCGCGGGAGATCGACATGGTGCAGAACGTCGGCCTGCTCAAGTCTGGCGACTATGACGCCGTGTACAATGACATCGTTGGCGTCGTCGATGCTGCCAAGACTGGGCAAGCGGCGCCCGTCAAGGTGATTCTCGAGACGTGCTACCTCTCGCGCGACGAGATTGCCATCGCGACACTGCTCTCGTGCCTCGCTGGTGCGGCCTTTGTCAAGACATCGACGGGCTACGGGACCGGCGGGGCCAAGGCGGAAGACATCAGGCTGATGTACGAAATTGCCAGCAAGAGAAAAGTCCAGGTCAAAGCTAGTGGCGCAGTCAGGACGCTCGAGACCGTCAAGACAATGGTGGCCAACGGTGCCACGCGCGTTGGTGCCAGTGGGACAAAAGCCATCGTAGCAGAAGCGCAGGGTACGGGTGACGCAAAGCAGGCTTCCAACAGCGGGTACTAGGGTCATTAGTTCATCGAATTGAAAGAGAAGAAGACTACATGTTTATAATAATAGTACATGCAAATGACAATCTAGCAGGCTCCGACCTTGACTGTGCCGCCATCGCGGAGGATGGCAATCGTCTGGACCGCGGTGACGAACCAGGACCAGCCCTTGTGCTGTGGTGGTCTGGCGTTGGGGTCACCAGGGGCCACACGGTACTTCAATGCTCTGTACGGCGAGCGAAAGGGAAGGGCAAGGCAGTGGAGATGGAGGTGCTCTACGCTCCGGAAAGGAGGGATCTGGTGGAGATGGAAGGGTCAGATGAACACGCATGCAGACGATTCTGTTGAAATCGGGAGAAGTCGCTCACATGGAAGCCATAGCGGGTCTCTGGTGAAGACGCTGGCGACAAGTCTTTGCCCAGGGCGTCGTTGTCGTGAGAACGAGCGACATCTATCGGATGCATGACCTTTGCCAGCGCTCGTGTCCCGAATCGATGGAGCTCCTCGACGAGCTTTGCGCCTGGCTCCCCCCTGAGCGACTTGACGTTGGTGATGTGCTCTCGCGGAATGGCCAGGAGGTGGTGGGCCGCGGCCGGGTCGCGGTCTCGAAAGGCGATGAAGCGCTCCTCCTCCAGGACAATGTCGAAGCCCTTTTCCGGCGTAGGGTTGCAAAAGACGCACTTTGCCGTCTCCTTGCTCAGCTGCGGATCGCTGAGGAGGCCCTCCTCCTTGCCCTTGCCGCTCCCGAGGCCGAGCACGTTGAGGCAGCCCGACCACATCGATGAGTCCAAAATCAAAAAAAAAAAATTAGCAGGTATTTCTTGTCCGTCTTATAGTGTAGTTAGTTAGCCGTCCGCCCGGCCTCCTGTGCGTGCGCACCCCCGGGTCGCGTCGGACGAGATTTCTCCACCCAGGCTCACCGGTTTCATTTTCTCTCTCTCTTTTCCCCCCACTCGTTGAATAGTTCTGCAAGCGCTCATCGACATCGCTGCAGCATGAGGCGCTCGTCTTTCTTGTTGGCTTCTGCACGGCAGGGAGCCGGCAGCAGCGGCGGCGGGAGCACGCAGAAGGTGCCCCTGACGAGGCTGAACCTGGCCTCGGAACGGGCGGCCGCGCTCGTGGCGATGCGCAGTGAGGACGCATACAGGGCTCGCTATCGACCCACCCTCGGCAGGTCGTACATGGAGAGTGATCCCATTTCTTCGTCTGCTTCCGTTGCCTCGTTCTCGTCGTCGACAAGCACGCCGATGATGTCGTCGTCATCCGGCCTCGTCGGTGCTTCGTCCAGTCGACCCTCTGTGGGGAGTGGAGCCGCAGGGCCAGCAGCAGCCGCCGCACCACAAACCCAAGGCCAGCGTGCCTCGTCCTCACAGTCGGCATCTTCCTCGTCAAAGAGTGCTTCGGAAAGCGAAGAAGAGGAGTCGAGCTGGGCTTTTGGCGGGGGAGCATCGAGCCGCGGCGGGCCTCGCGAGTCGCACGAGCACCTCGACGAGGCCCAGCGAGCAGGCCACAACACCCCCCACGCACCCTTTGTTGTCCAGGGATCAGCGGGGAAGAATGCGGTACCAAACTACGGAAAGCGAAGAAGGGATGTTCAATATTCGGCAGAAGAGCGAAAGCAGATCAGGCAACAGCAGCAACAACAACAACAGCAACAACAAAATCAAGGGAAGCAATCAAAAGACGAGGAACTCGCAAGCAGCTATTCGCACGAATATGCGCCGACCAGCCGGTCGAGAAAGCCCCTTCCGCATCATACCTACTTTTCCTCGCCCTCGTCGAGCTTCAACGACGATGCCGCAGCCACGGCGACAGGCACGGGCCCGGTCGGTGTTGGCGGGCCACGATCGGGCCTAGGCATGGGCGCTGGCATGCTCGCCCAGAGCAGCGGTGCGAAACCTCCGAACAAGGCCATTGCGAAAAAGAAGACGGCACTCATCCTGCCCGGACAGGGCTCACAGTACGTGGCCATGTCACTCGACATCTACCGCAAGTACCGATCGGCGAGACACGTTTGGAATGTTGCAGAGGAAGCCCTCTTGACGCCCGCCTCGGCCCATCAGCAGAGACAGCGCGGCTCCAGAGATCTATTTCCCCCCGAGGGAGAGATGGCAGAGAGCGAAGAACAGCGAAACAAGTTTGAAGAGGAGCTGGCCAAGAGCGTATCCTGGGATCGCGCCAGGGGCCTGACGGGCGCTGGAACGGCCGTCGCTCGCAGCCGCCGAGGCTGGCTGCGAGATCTGGTGGTGAGTGTTGCGCACAAAGTGCTGACTGCAAAGAGGGTGAAACAAGGCAGCTGACGTCTGTTCAACCCAGTTCTCTGGCGATCAACTGGACCTCACACGAGCCGAAAACGCCCAGCCGTCGATCCTCGTCTCCTCGCTGTCGATACTGTCTGTTTTGCGAAACGAATTCCCCGTCGACCTCATCTCCAACCACATTGATGTCGTTGCCGGCCATGGTTCAGGAACGTACGCGGCCCTGTGTGCAATGGGCAACCTCGACGTCCGTGATGGCGTTCGCCTGCTCAGACACCGTGGCTTGGCAAGCTCGCACTATGTCAGCATCAACAAGACGCTGTTCCCCGAAGGGTGCCAGATGCCCGAGAGCATTTATGAGACGTGGGCCTTTGCCAATGCTGGGAGGTGAGCGCAAGTTGTGATTTGTGGATCCTTGTCTGCGTGTGCTGAAAGGAGGAGAAAACCAACAGTGGCAAGGGTGCGGAGCTCTTGACGACGACCAACATTGGCATCGAGACTGGTGGCGTGCCCCCGACGTCTTCGACGTCCGACGCCGAGGTGGCCCAGACCGAGACGGGCAGCCAGGGCAAGGTCAAGGGCGGCCGAGGGTGGAAGCGGAGCCAAATGTCCGGCTGCATGATCCGTCCGGGCAAGCTGCGCCAGGCCCTTGCTTGCGTCGAGCGCGTCTCTGGCGAGATCCGCCGGGGCGAAATCGAGAACGTGGGGAGGGACGAGGTGGTGGAAGTGGCCAACATCAATTCGAGCCTGCAGATTGTCCTGAGCGGGACCCGCGTCGGCGTCTCGCTCGCCTCGGACCGGCTCAGGGCAGAGATGTTCGGCGCCAGGGCTGTCAACCTCCCCGTCTCGGGCCCATACCACTCCTCGTTGATGTCCGATGCCGCCGACTTTCTGAGGCCCGCCATCGAGTATCTGCCCATGCGAGATGCTGATCCCGTGGGCCCAGGCAAGAAGCTGGACCTCGTCTCGTCGTGCGACGGCTCCATCCTCGAGGGCGTCGATGCGATCCGGTCCGACCTGTCAGGCGCGCTGGCCAAGCCCGTCATGTGGCTCGACAGCATCGAGACGATGCTCTCGCAGGGCGTCCAGCGCTTCATCTGCCTCGGCCCCGGTCGCGCCTGCGCCCACCTCCTCTCCAAGGAGCTCGCACATCGCGACCAGGTCGAGGTGGCCAAGGGCGGCAAGCCGGGCGAGTACGAGGTGTGGAGCATCACCTCGGTCGAGGACGTGGAGCAGCTCGCCAGCGTCTTTACCCAGCTCAGCCAGAGCGAGGCTGGCGGGAGCCTGCAGCAGCAAAAAGACGAGAGAAGTGTGGGCCTTGACGATAGCTATGTAGCTCTGTAAGCTTCCTTTATTCCCCATGTACCATGTCATGTCATGTCATATCTCCATGTGCGTCCCTTCCTCTCATTTTCTTCTCTCTTTTGCTTCTCTCACTTTCTCTCCTCTCTATTTCTTCTCTCTCTCTCTCCTCTCTCTCTTCTCTCTCTTTGATTCTCTGTCAGATACCGGCCAGAGGCAACCTGTCTAATTAATTGAGAAAAGTCGGAAGAAGGTAGTATCTGGTCGTGTCTACTTTTGCGTGGCAGGTGCGACAGCAGCGGCGGCCGCAGAAGAGGAGCCAGTAAAGGGCTTGAAGCCAGATGGCGGCGTGGGGCTGCCAAAGTCGTCGTGCATCTGCATGAGGAGCCGCATGGCATTGCGGGCGTGCTGCCGCGAGGGGTCCTCCCACGGCCGGCTGTTGGCCGCTGCGGTGGTCGTGTCGGCCTTCTGCTTCGAGTCGAATGGGTAGGGCAGGAACTTTTGCAGGTATTCGTACGCCACGAGGGTCGCGCCAAATTGGGGGCTGCTCCGGAGCACACGGGCGAGGCTGCCCTTGAAAAAGGCCTTGGGGCCTTCCTCCTTGAGCACCTTGGCAAAGCAATCGGAGATTCCCGTGTACGTCGCCTGTCCCTTTCGCGCCTCGACCTGCAGCCGCGTCTTGATGACGTCGGCCGGGGTGGTAAGAAAGGCAGCGGGCATGCCCGCAATCGAGGCCGAGGCGAGCATCTCGCCAAAGCCGAGCTTCTTGCCGTTGGTCCCCTCTCGGAACGTGTCCTTCTTCAGGTGGGCGTAGGCCGGGAAGTAGATGGCGGAAAAGGGAATGTCTCGGAGCAGGCACGCACTCGCACCACGGTACAGGCCCACCAGGCCCAGCTGGCGGACGATGTGGACGGCTCCACGAGCGACGCGATCAGCGCCCTCGGACTTTGCAATCTCGCCGGCCACCTGCAGCCGGATCTTGACAATCTCCAGAGGGTTGGTAAAGACGACCTGACAGCCTCCTGCCGTTCCACCAGCGATAAGCTCCCACTGCAGCTTGATCTCGCCAGTCTTTGGGTCCTTTGCATGCGCTCGAACCAAGTCGTTGACCGTCAGCTTGATGGCCTTTTCTGGCGCAACGCCGAGCAGCTGGGGCCCGAGACCAGAATAGAAGCCCAGAGCTCCTTCGTTCCGGAACACCTTTGAGACGCAGTCCAGACTGTTCTTGTACATCATTGGCTCGCCCACGACCGACGATCGCTGGTTCTGCATCCTCGTCTTGACCAAGTCAATCGGGTACACGAGCGTGGCGCCCGTCGCGCCAGCGACACCACCGAGGGCAAAGTTATACGCCGAGTGCGCCAGCTCCTTGAGGAAGGTCGTGGGCGCTTCCTTTGCCTTTTGTGCCAGCTCTGCAGTCGACGCCTTGGAGAGATCGACACCTTCCCCTCCCTCGGCTTCCTTTCCCTTTTCTTCTTCTTCAGTTGTCGCCGGAGCCGGGGGCAGTGGGTGAGGATCGAGGTCATCGGAGATGAAGAGTTCATGGCAGATGAGACTCTCATCGGGTTTCGAACCTCTCACGGTGCTTGTCCGGTAGGTGAGCATCCCCGGCGACGAGAGCGCAACCTCTTTGCGGAAAGCCTCGAGATGTTTTTGAAACGCCGGGTCGGCATTGGGACGCGAGAAGATCTGTTACGGACTTGTCAGCTCCGGTTCTACGAGCTATACACTTCACTGCTCTCACCTTTGCGCTGACGTTGAACCGACCTTCGCCAGGAAGGTGGGGCACCACATACTGGTGGTCGTGCTGCTGTTGATCGGCGTCCCAGGGTTTCGGGTGGCTAGGCATCAACAGCTGCTGCTGCTGCTGGGGAGAAATAGGTTGCTGCTGTGGTTGCTGCTGCGAGGACGAAGCCTCGCAGTGAACGGGCCGGAACATGGACGGAAGGAGATGCGACATGGTAGTAACTGTGTCGAGGGTCCACTAAAGAGAAGGTCCTGTCGAATCGAACGAATGTCTGGTCGGCGTATCGGAATCGGGGCGAGAATAGAAAGGGAGGGCGGTTTTGGTGCGGCGTAAAGGTGATTGCTTTCTGTCTTATAGTTGCATGTCCGTCTCTCGATCGGCAGCAGTCTCGGCGTCGAAAGCCTCTTTGTTGCCTCTGATCTCGAATTGCCAGCTCTTGTGAGGGTGTCACTTTCATAGGTTCTTCCTCTGTCGCTCGGCCAAACTCGGGGTAAGAGCACGTGAAGAAACTCAAACCACGCGAGCCAGCCTCCTTTAGTCGCCGTCGTTTTCACTTTCTTCGTCGCTCGCTCTCTGCCTCTTCAACCCACAGCGTTATGTGAGATGGCCACAAGAAGAGGTGAGTTGTTTGTCTTTGGACCTGTCTTCACAGTGATGAAGTATATTACGACCAAGCTCTAGAATTACTCTGCACTCTACGAGGATGGAGATAATCGTTTTATCCAAGTTTCAGCCTTGTCTGACTATACCCTTTCTTGTCTCTTTCTTACTTTGACGAAGACGAGTGAGCACTTCTGCTGACGATGACTGCCACCCATCAGGATGCGCCTCCTCGCTAGAAGAATGTAAACATTGCTTTGACTTCAAGAAGTCTAATCGTAAGTGCATGGGGCCGAGCCATGGCTACGATGAAATCTATCCGACAGGCGGACCGAATTGGGCCCTTCTCCTACCTCGTCAGCTCTCCTGCCTTCTGGTCACTTCGTACAAATTTGACCAGAAGGTGGGGGGCTCTACATGGCTGTCGGGGTGGGGTCGAGCTCGTTGTGGAGAGCCGGATTGCTGAGCTTTTCTTGCGCGTCGTTTGTCTTGGTGTATTGTCAGATATGCTGACTTGCTGCGTCTTCCAGAAGTAAAAATTTGAGGAACAATGTCCTATCACTATGACGCATACGGCTTCCCCAGGGGACGTATGAGAGGTGTACCTCACCGATATGGTGATGATGGCGGTCGACGACGATACGAGCCGTATGGGCACTCGTTGTCGTCCATCGATGGATCCTCCCATTCGGCCTATTACGCCGCCAATGGCATTGGGCCTTCCTCTTCCTCTCGACCAACCCTGCCCTCCCATGATAGCCTTTCTCGGGGCGTAGGGAGCCGTGCAGTCCAGCCTAGCCGCAGCGCTGTCTCAAGGAACCATAAGGACTTCGGCTTCGCCTTCATTGGAAGAGACATGGAAGAGAGAGTCAAGCAAATCGTTAAGGACAGCGATGCGGCTCTACTGGCACCGAGGGGACCTCCAGCTACCTCTAACTCCCTATCCAAGGGCAACTCTACACCACTTCCCACCACACCCTCCTCGTCTCGTACTCCTCATCACGTTCCTGGCTCCTCTTCTGACGACCGAGGCGACACGACGCCGACGTCAACGCAAGCGCAGAGCCGTCCTGTTCTGACACCCACCATGATCGTCGACGAATTCAAACGAGCGGGCCACTTTGATGCGGTTCGCAAGAAGCTCCTTCAGACCTTCAACGGCAACAGCGCTGGCGCGAATGGCAGCTCCTATAAAAAGGATTTCCTCGACTCCATCGGAGATTATCTCTTGCAACGACTTCGAGATCTGCCAGATGAAGCCCGGCAGAATCTGGCAAAGCGAGAGGCCAGACTGCAGCATTCGGAAGTGACGCGGTGGATCGATGAGGATGCCAGAGGTGCAAGGGTGATGGGTGATGCCGTCGAGGAACTAAGAAAGCGCGGAATGATTTTCGGTCATAAGGGCGGAGAAGAGAACGATGGCGAGGTTGGCAGATTCCTCAAGGAGAAGCTGAGTGAGATCGTGAGGAGCGAGAGAAGGGCCAAGGGCTGGACCGAGGGTGAGGAAGAGCAGAACGAGCACGAGCACGAAAACGAGGAAGAGGATACTGCTACGGCAGCGGAGAGCAAGGTCAAAGAGGACGGCATGGAGGAAAACGGCAGAGCCGCAGACGAAGAAGAAAGCAAGGCTTCTGAACTACAGGGAGAGGACAAAAGCGATGCAATGCCTGAGAGGACGGGAGAGCATCCCGGCGCACCGGAAGATCCAGCAGATCGGCACATCAGCGATAATATTTGAGCCCAAAGGTTCGCACTGTCATCGCCTTCACTTGATTACAAGGAAGACGCTGCCTTCATCAACCACAACATTTTAATGGTATACGACCTTAACACATTGTACTGTACTGTACTTCTACCTGACTGCATCACAATCAATGCGCGTCCTCATCACCAAGGCGAGCCGAGCACAACGATGATTCATACATGGACATTGAATAATGTGGAAGTCTTGTCGAGCACAGAGGGGTGAAAGAGGGGTTGGTGGACCTCAAGGAAAGAAGAAAAGAAAGTAAAGAAGGAATGTTATACAATAGCTTAAGGGGCAAGGATGTGGGGGAGAGGAATGGGGGTGATGCTTGCTTGATGCAGAATGTAGAGACGACGTACTTGGCCCGAGAAGCTACCTCTAAAGCTCCATGTCGCCTGCTTCGTCTTCGCTAAAGCTGCCCACATCGCTCATTTCCTCTTCCTCTTCCTCATCGCTCTCCTTTTCCTCTTCGCCTGCGTCGTCTGCAGCGGCCTTGGTGGCGTACCTCTGCACATACTCCTTGACTTTGGCCTCGTACGTCTTTGGCTCACGCATCAGCAGCGCGGCCGCCTCGCCATTGAGCGGGTCCGTCGGGTTTGGGTAGCGAAGGAGCTGGGGCAAGAAGACTTCAAAGATGTTGATCATGTCAAACATGGGCGACCACGTCTGGTTGATGACGTCGAGGCACACGCTACCGGAGAGCTCGTCGATGTTTGGATGGAAGATCTTGTTCATGAAGCCGATCGAGGGTGACTTGTAAGGGTACGAATCTTGCAGCTCAACGTGGATCTTCCACACGCCGCCCTGAAAGGGAGCTGTCACGGGCAAAAAGCCAGGTCGAAGATGGTCAGCGACGGCTCTGGTGAAAGCTGTCGGCGGCTCCTGACTCACTCTCTTCCGGGCCCTTGAAGCGGACAAAGAACTCCTGCATGCTGTCGTTGACTAGTGTTACCTCGTGATCCGACATGAGGCTACATCACACGACTTTGGTCAGCATCGAAGACCAGAGAGACCCAAGGCTCAGGCTCATCCACACTCACAGCTTCATCATGTCCGTCTCGATCCTGCGCTTGGGGGAGCTGTAAAGGGGGAGTCAGCCTGTGGATTCGGATTGGGAAGGATGCGAGGGGCAGTACTCATCATCTTGACTGATCGAAAAGCTCTAGAGATTTGAAAGAGAGGAGAAGCGACTGTGGTGTGAGCAATCAAGGCGGTGATCCTGGTTGCGTGGGTTTAGGGCGTGTTGCAGTGTGTGTGGAGATTGGGGCTCAGCAGTAGGCGGAGGGGCCTAGGTCCCTGTGAAGTTGGAGGGGATGGAGTGTGGTGACTTCTGCAAGCTTGCTCGGACCGACGCTTCGGTTCGTCGGGGATAGGGTAAGCTCGGTGCTAGTCTTGGCGAGGACTGGTGGTGGTGGTGGTGGTAGTGTTGGTCTAGAGGGAGGGAGTCAGTGGGTATCGATAGGGTGTCAATCAAGGGCGGGCACGCGATAGCGCCGCCATCTCGGCCGACCTACAGGGTCGCTATTCAATTTTGAAAGTGGAGTCGCGACTTTTCGCAAAAGGCGGGCACAAACACTTAATGCTGACCTATCGATGATTGGATGAAACAGGATGGAGAGGAACAATGGATGTATACACAGTGGTTGAAGGATCACGGCTGCCTGCTTCTGGTCGGAGCCCAGCCCAGACCAAGGCCTTGCTGTTGTCCGGCGGCGCTGTTACCGGCGCCACCAGCACTCGCACCGCCCTGCTTGTTGACACCGTCTCTTCCGCCGTCCTGCGCCAGCTGCTCCCACTTGCGAATAGCCGTCATGACGACAGAATCTTGGGCCACACTCTTGGGAGGCACGGCAGGGCCGGATAGCTCAGCCATGTTGGGACTAGCAGAGGGCGTGGTTCGTGCTGCATGAGGATTAGGCATCCTCTCTTGAAGGAGGCCGGCGTCAGTGGCCTGTCGTTTTGACGGCGACGTCCTCGTAGGGTCAGCATCGGGCGCAGGAGATCGTGCAGGCGATGAAGGCGCGGAGCCAGGGTTCCTTGGCGGCTGAAAGAACTTGCCAGCGGGCGCCGTTGTCCTCTTGGGCGAAGCAGGCGCCTTGCCGCCTACGAGCCATTTGCCCGTGTTGCTGGCCACTTCGTTGCTCTTTGAGGGGCCAGCAGCGGGTGTCGTGGCTGGATTCGGAGCCGAAGCTGCTTTTACTGGCGAATTTGGCTTGGAGGAAGAAGGCTGGGTGGGGACCGTAGGCTGCTTCTGGCAATGTTCCCGCGAATCACCGGTAACCTGCTCCAGCATTGAGCCCATGCTGAACGCATCGTCTGGCGAGGAAAAGGCATCGGCTGCCAGTGAGAGCGAGGGGGTTCCACTGTGGCTCGCTGGGAGCGAGTCTTGGCCTCCATGGCGTGCGCCCTTGCTAGGGGACTCCTTGCGCGAAGCGTTCTGCCAGTACTCAATCTCGACTGGAATGCGGAAGCCTGTCCGTCGGGCGTAGTTGAGGTAGCGGGAGAGCTCAAGGTGAAGGAAGGGATAGTAGTGTTGTGAAGCTTGTCGCAAGGCCTTGGACAAATTTCGTCAGGTCAGTCCACCATTTGAGACTAGTAGAGACGGCGGCACTCACTCCAAAGACTCGGTCGATACCAGAGCTGAAGAGCAAGCGATGGAAGTCGACGTCGAGACTCTGCTGCTGCTTTCTCGCCAAACGCGAGACCTGGGACGACACTTTGTTCAATAGCCGCAGCTTCGTTGTCTGGCAAGATGGGAAAAGATTCATCAGTTCAACCGTAAAAGGATCAACTTAAAAGGAAAGCAGCCTCAGCCTCACGAGATAGTGCATCGCTTCGTTCTCGATACCGCCCGTCATACCACTGGGTACCTGGGGACCTTCGATGGCCCTGGCGTCGAGATCGGCGAGAGCCCAGAAGCGATTACCACCGTGGGTAAAGGCCCAGTAGTAGTTGCGTGCAATGTCGTACAGCTCATTGACAAAGACTTTGAAGGGCCGAGGCGTATGGCTGGACTTTACAAAGTCGACGATGGCCTCTTTCGATGGGTCCCGAGGGCTGTGCATGAGGCAAAGGAGCAGGGTGACGTTGGCAGGCGCTGCGGGAGAGGCGGACTGAATCGCTTGGAGGGTCGATGATTTTTCGCGCTTCTCCAGAACATCGTGGAGCTCCTTTGAAGAGGCAGTGGTGGCCCACGGGAGATCAGCAAGGAGAAGGAGTATCTCGACGAGGTGCTTGCGGGTTGTAAGATCGCCCGGACGCTTCTCTGAGCAGAGCAGGTCATTGAGCTCGCCAAAGGGACTGGGCATCGACGATTGCAGCGCTGCTTTGCCTCTCTGCGGGGAGAAAAGGAGTGAGCGTGCGAACAGATCAATGCAGTGCCTTGTCCAACTCACATCAGTCGTGGGGAGGGCTACAAAACATCTGAGAAGCTCATGAAGGGCTTGATCATCGTGCTGCTCTTCTCTCCACTCCATGTCGACGAGTTCCTGAAGCCGGGCGAGCATGGCCGCGTAGCCACCCTGCTCAATAAATTCGGCCATCCACGAAGGACTCTCCGATGACAGGACGGCTCTCATACGCTTGAGCTTGGCCACATCCAGGTGCGAGGCAGCTGTCGTCTTGAGCATCGTCGCATAGGCCGTGGCCGTCATCACATTTGGTCCGGCACCCCCTGCTGCTGCCGAGTGGGCGCTGCTGAAGCTCGAAGCTCTGCTTCTCGAGGCACCTCCCAGGGGCAGAAAGACGGAAGAGCCGTGACTCTGGTTGCTGGCAGCTGTCATCTTGTCGGAACTCGACCGCTTCTTCTTCGGGTCACAGCCCTCCGTCGGCGACGACTGAGAGGTCTGACTGCTCCCCGATGTCTGTCGAGACGCAGGGCCCCCACCGAAGAACGACGTTTTCCTCGGCGGCGGAGGCATCAGGTCAGACTCGTCTCCTTCAGTCGCCTCGTCGTTTAGGTTGGTGCTGCTCTTGCTCTTCTTTAGTCGGTCCGAGATGGCCGGCCGGCTCTTTGAAGATTTTCTGCCGCTGCCTCCGCTTCCCGTCGCTGCATGTAGCGACGCTAGACTCAGCGTCTCTTTTCCCTTGACCATCGACTCTTTGACTTTTGGGTCCATCGCTAGGAGCTTGGCCCTCAGCGTCGCGGGTACCTCCATCTCCGACTGTTGGTCTGGGGTCAGCCTGGGCGTGTCTTCATAATGACTTGCCGTGAACTCACGAGCATGTTGTGGAAGTCGTGGTTGATCTCCTCTCGACTTCTTGGCAACACATCTTCCGTAGTTGCTCTTGATCTGCTCGCGCTCCTCTCCCTCTCTCGTCTTTCGCTCGTCTTCCTCGACGACGACTCCTGCACGACGACGGCCTTTCTTTCGGGCGAAACGTTTCTCAGCGGGACGCCCAGCTTGTACGTCTGTCCTGCCGACGAGGCATCAGGAGCTTGCCTTGTCGGCGATGCAGCCCTCGAGAGCGCGACGTTTTCCTTGCCGGGCGACGCAGGCTGCGGCCGTCTCGTCAGCGACCTGCTCCGTCCTCTGCCTTCTTCGCCCTCGTCGCCCCTGCGCTGCGACCGTGCCGCGTTGCTCCGTTTCAGCTCGGCATGGCCCGTTGGCGACACTGGTCGAGGCATTGCAGACGACATCGTGTCCCAGCACTGTCAGTGACAAGATCTATGCGTCTGATCCAACAAGAGAGGAATAGATCGAGATAGAGAAAGCGTCACGCACGACCAAGCCTCAAAAGTGGAAGTTCACAAAAAGGCACACGCGCGCGCTCTCTCTTTCTCTCTCGCACAAGCCAGCATCAAAAACAACACAATCTCCTCTGAAGTCAGACATCGGGCGCGTCTCTGCACGTGTTTTTTTTTTCAGCTTTCTTCCCAGCTTTTTTGTTACCGACGACGACGACGACGGCAGCAAGCGAGTGTTGAAGAAGCACGACGACGATGGCTCGGTGAGGATGCCAAAGGGACGCAGAGGGCCTGCGCCTGTCCGCAAGAAGAAACCTGCCAGTGCCAACGAGGGTGATGTCGCCGAGGCGCACGAGGAGGAGCCGTCGTTTACGTCGACGAGCAACGGCCCACTCCTGACGCTCCTCTTTCGCTCGGCCAGGGCGCAGCACGAGGCGCTGGCCCGTGTCGAGTCGTACTACGAGTCGGCGGTCTCATCGACCGAGGGTGGCGACAAGAAGCGCTATCTCACGCTGGAAGAGGCGCGCCAGGCGAAGCTGTGCAGAAACTACGAAGCATTCAACCTGCCCGTCGACGTCGTGCGGACGTGGCTTGCAGAGATGCGCACCGTCGAGCGGCAGCAGCAGCAGCAGCAGCAGCAGCAGCAGCACTCGTCAGACATCGAGGCAGATGACAGGGAATGGTGGCGTCACTTCTGCAACCCAGCCGAATCCGCCTTGCTCTCGCATTTAGCCTCTTTGGGCTGCCTTCAGGACGATGGAGAGGAAGAGAAGAAAGAAGGTGGTGGTGGAGGAGGAGGAGGAGGAGGAGGAGGAGGAGGAGGAGGAGGAGAAGGACAAAAGCGAGCGCCAACGTATCTCATCTCTGCCTTGGCCTCGCAAGCGACAGCATCACTCGCACACGAGTCCCTCCATGCCCTCTACTTTCTCCACCCGACCTACCGCAACGAGGTGGGCCGGCTGTACGACGAAGAGATCCCGCGCAAGATGCAGTCCATCATCGAGCATGACCTCTCGATGCGCGGCTACGACCGGCGCGTCTGGCTCGACGAGTTCCAGGCGTACGTCTCCAACGACGCGGGCGAGTTCGGCGCCAAGCCAAAGGAGGCCTGTGCAGAAGTTCGCAGCCGTCTGCGGGAGATTCAGAGGCTCTGTTGGCACGAGGCTGGGCTAGAGCAGCAGCAATGAATGGAAGGGGACGCGCCCTAAGTTTTTCAGCTCTTAGAAGACACAAGTTTGCGTGACAGAAATTGCTGTTTGGTGAAGAGAGAGAGAGAGAAGGAAAAGGGTAATGAGAAGTGGGGAATGTATAGAAGAAAGAGATGATAGTGATAGTTATAGGGACTTGATACAGATTCTTCAAGAGACGGGAGGAGGCGATCGAGGGTTGCCCCCTCCGCCGTACTGCTGCGGGTAGTGGTGAGCAGATGAGGCTGGGCTCGGCTGAGACGGCATGGGCGGGCGCGGCGCTGAGCGGTGGGACCTCGTGCTGCCGGCAGGGCTTGCGGGCACCGAGGACGAGGCAGAGGACCACGCTTGGGGCCGTCCATACTGATCGTACGAGGTGCCGGGAAGCTGGAGCGTGTGGTCGTGCTGCGATGCCGACGGCTCGCGGCTCCGCGCCGACTTGGTCGAGGATGCGTAGCGAGGGGAAGCCATGGGCGAGGGAATGTACGAGTAGGTGCCTCCACCGCTGCCTACGCCCGCCATGGCCGACGACGGCGGCTGCAGCGACTCGAAGCTTGCCTTTGCCGCCCATTCTTGCTGTTGCCGCTGGTGCAGCTGCGCCGCCGGCGTCGCATGCAGTGCCTCGTCTCCTACTGGACTCTGTAGTTGCTGCTGTGCTCCTCCTCCTCCTCCTCCTGCCTCGTCTTCGAGTGTGTCGTCCGCTGCGTCTCCCGTCAGGTCCACCTGGTCGATCTCCTCGACATGGGAGCTCAGCCGGTTCCGGCCCTGGGGTCCCCCGAGGAGCTTGTCGGCCTCCTCCTCGTTGTACGACAAGCTGTTGCGATTGTGACGCGACGATGACGTGGCCGTTCCCAGGTCGTGCACCTGTCCATCAGCAGCATGCAGGGCATTACCAGCGATCCAGCTCGTCCGGTTGCCCTTCTTGGACCTTGCCCGTGGCGTAGAGGGCGCCGCTGCCCCTGCCGTGCTCTCGGCACTGCTCTGGTGAAAGTCCTGCGACAGCGCATCGGCGAAATGCTCGCTCCCGTCGACGCTGCCCTCTCGGCCCTGGCTCCGGTGCGAAGAAAAGCTCTCTTTGCCCAGCTCCTCGTTGTCGGGCGGGATAATGTCCTCTTCGATCAGCCTCGGCGCAGGCTCACCCCTTGCGTCGGTGTAGAAGACCCAGTCGAACTCGGTGAGAAAGAGAGCAAAGACACCGGCAGGAATGCCCAGCGTGGGGCTAAAGACGATGCCGACGTTTCGCATCGTCATCTTGTTCTCGTCCTGTCGCTCAATGATCTTGATCAGGTGGCTGCACAGCGTTCGCAGCACAGAGTAGTTGGGCAGGGGCAGCATCGAGACGAGCTGGCCCAGCTCATTGACACGCTCCTTGCGGTCAAGGATGTCGTTTGCGCGCATGAAATCGAGATGCAGCTCGCTGGTCAGCACGCTGCTGGGAAGCTCGCGAAAGAAAGTCTTGAGAAGACCGGCGACAGCGTGTGGGTCGTGCATCGGCTCAGTCGGCGCCAGGAGGTCGACATCGCCCTGTGCATTGAAGCGATCCTTGAGCGACTTGATGACGGCAGAAGAGCCAGAGAGGCGGTAGATGCCCTCCTCGGAGGCCGCATTGCGCTTCTCCAGATACTCGATGCATCTGTACACGACCGACGGTAGCTCCAGCCCCTCGGAGATGTTTGAGGCAGCGATCGATTCGGCCAGCGGCACGCCAAAGACCTTCTTCGGTGGGGCATTCTTGTCGGCCGAGCCACCACTACCGCCACCGCCGCCTGCAAATCTTTGCCAGAAGCGTTTCTTGTTGCCCTCGCTCGAAGGAGCAGCCGCTGTCCCTACACCTGTGCTGCTGACCGCGCCGTTGTTGGCAGTGGCGATGGCAGTCGACGACGACGACGAGCTAGCTCCTCCCTCGTCTTTACCCCCAAACTTGAATCCAGTTGGGATGGGTGCCCCGTTCATCGGCCCGCTGATCGACGGTCGCAGAGGCCCACTGCTGCCGTGGCCACTGCTGTTGTTGCCGCTGCTGCTCCCCTTGGACGCGCTTCCTCCCGGCGCGCCGCCGCCGCTCATCGTCGCTGTGCCCTTGTTCTCTGGCGTGCTTGGACGCTGGGTATCGTAGGAAGTAGCGTGATGCGCACTGCGGCTATCGTGGGAGTTGCCTGGCGCAATGGCGGAAACGTAGGTGTCTTGCGACGCCTTTCGCTGCTGGCCCCTGCTCGTCGACGAGATCAGGGCCGGCTGGTGCGCCTGCGCCAATGCAATCTGCTGCTGAGGCGGCGACGAGGGAAGCATGCTCTCGTTGCTGCCATACTGGAGCGAGTCGGAGAAAGACCTGCCCATCTCTGTCCCTGTCCCAAAGCCGGCCGAGGAGGAAGGCAGAACCGTGTCTCCGCCGCTCGACGGCGGCTGATGAGTCGATTGGGGTCCATATCGTCTCGCCGCCGCTGCCGACGACGACGACGCCGGCATCAAAGCTGGCTCGGAGCCTCGGCCAAAGGAGCCCGTCTGACTGCCAGAATGCTTGTGCGACACGTCTTCTGCTCGGGCCCGCGTAGGCGAGCGCGGGTTAGGCGGCTGCACGAGCGTAGTGCTGCTGCTGGTGCTGATGCTCATGCCAGAGTTCTTGACAGCAGCGCTGGGACGACTTTGCGAGAGCGCCTTCGTTGGCGACGAAGGTGGCAGAGCAGCTGTTTGTCCCGTCTCCTTCTCCAGCTCGGCAATGGTGCGGACGAGAATGTCGACCCATTCATCGCGCTCATCGTCGCTCTCTGCGCACAGGACGTGTCGCACCATTTGTGGCTGTTCAGCCGCCGACGAGGGCGGTCTCTTTTCGAGAATAAGGAAGGCGTGTCGGTATGAGTTCTCGTCCAGCTCAGCCGTGGCGCTGCGCTGCTGTCTTCCAATCTGGGCTCCCGTCACGGCAATGCTGCCCAGGTGCGCACCTCCACGCTGTAGAGTAATGTATCATGCATCAGCCACTTGCTCACTGGATCATGGCAAAGGCACTCACCGATTCGTAGTAGTCGAGCTTGTTGCCCGAGAGTCTGTACAGCCGAGTGACCCATCTGCCCATGTTCTGCCCCTTTTTGGTGAGGAAGCCCTCCTTGGTCATGGCCTGCGGATCGCGCAACTTCGTGGGGACGACATCGGTGCAGAGGAACGTGCAGAGATCGTCTTTGTCGGGGAGGGAAATCGCGAGAAGATTCTGCAGGTAGGCATCCAAGATTGCCTGAAGAGCATCCAATGTCTCGTCAGCAAGTCTTCCTTCATCACTGTCACATCAAGCGACAGAGGAGACACTCACCTTGCGCTGGTCCACTTTGCTCGGTGCATGGTCCTTGAACAAGGTCCGGTCGGGCAGCTGCGCACTGCCGATGCGTTTGGCTGCCGTCTTGCCGTGCTTTTGTTTCAGGCGAGCGTCGAGGGCCAGGACGTCGGAGTAGAGCTTTTCGACCCGCCACGACTGAGGATGCGAGGGAGAGACGTTGCCGCCACGGCTGCTGGATGCCTTTGAGGGCACAGCGCCGACATCGATGGCGATGTAAAAGGAGATGACCTCGCGACCACGCTCATTGGATCGCAGGTTGGAGCCTGCCACACTGAGTCGAGCATTTGCCAGCCGTGAGGCGTCGAGCCGGGGTGCGGACCCACCAAGGGACTCGACGGACATAGTTCGCGCGCTTCTCGCAAAGTTTGCTGCCATCGGCGACGGAGGAAACGTTCGCGCCGTGTTGCTCAGGCTGCTGGTGCTGCCGTTGCCTGCCTGATGGTGAGCAAAGGTGTTGCGTGTGGGTGACGTGGGCACCTCGCCCGGCTGCTGCTGCTGCTGCTGCTGCTGCTGCTGCTGATGCTGGGATCGAGGCGGCGGTCGCTGTATAGTATTGGCGGGTGAGTCGGAAGACGGAAGAGATCGAGGGGCGACGGTAGAGGCCTCGCTGGGTTCTCGCACGCTGCTGCGCGGGCCAATAGTTTCGTCTGCGGCGGCGGCGGCGGCGGTGGCGTCGGAGCGCGAAAAAGATGACTGGGGTGCCTCGTCATCCGACGGCGCCGCCGAACTGCCGTCAATGGCCTCGTAGTCTTGGCTCTCGAAGCTCATTCGACGGCCGTGACCTTCGGATTGAGCGCGGGCGGCCAGCTGAGCGGCCGCCCTCTGCTGCATAATCGACGATTGCTGAGAAAGATCCCCTGATCGCAAATCGGCGGCGGCCGTCGATGTCGCCGCCGCCGCTGCAGCTGCTGCTCCTGCTGCTGCTCCTGCTGCTCCTGCTGCTCCTGCTCCTGCTACTGACCGTGCTGTCGGGGCTAACGTCGATTCAGTTGCCGACCCTGTACCTCGGTCAGTGGAAGACGCGGCAGCGGCAGGTGCAGGTGCTGGGGCGGTGCCACCGCCGCCCTGCGCGAAGACTGGCTGCGAGGATGTGGACGAGGACGACTGGGCCTGGCTCATAAGGTCCTGATCAGGCGTGCCTCGCTCTCGTAGACCATCCGATGAAGGGGATGCCGAATCCAACTCGCCGGCACCTCTTCTCCGAGATGACGAGAGAGGCGGTGCTGCCAGTGGTGATCCTCTTGAAGAAGACGGCCCGGCGACAGCAACGGCGCCAGGCCCAGGCGAGTTGCCCTCGTGCGATGTCCTCGACGCGGCCGTTTGCGCCTCGTTGGGATCTCTCTTTGGTCTCCGCATCAGGTTCCAGATGCGCATGTTCTCCGTCTGCAGTCGGTTGGCCTCGAGGCAGAGCTGGTTTCGCTCGGCCAGGACCTCGTCGAGGGCCCGAGTAGCGTCGCCACCTGCCCTCGCCAGCGCATCGGCCAGGGAGAGCGGTTTGAGTGTAGCCCTGTTCGAGGTCGATGAGGATGTGATTCCGGCGCGCGAGGACGAGGCATGTGACGTCGTCGAGGCCTCATCTTGGTTCGCGCGGACGCGCTCGGCCGCCTCAGCCCGGGCCGACGACATGACCGCCTCACTCCTGCTCCTGCTCCTGCTCCTGCTCCTGTTCCTGTTCCGGCTCCTTATCCCGCTCCTGCTCCTGCGCCTTCTTCTCCTCCTCCCACCAGGTCGAGTCGATCCCGCCTTGGATGGGGCCTAGGCGGGTGTTTGTGTGTGAGCTCGCGTGTGTGTATTGTAGAAAAAGGACAGAGGCTGCCTTGCAGCTCGAAGCTTCATCCACGCTTCCTCGCAGTCGCGCGCGCTCGAGCGCTGAATGCAGCACAGAGGAGGGAAAGGCCGAAATGAAAGAAGTAAAAGAAAACGGGAAAGCGATCGGCCGGTCGCGACCCGCAGCCGAGGTGAAGGGGTGGTCGGAGCAGACGACTGAAGACGTTGCGCCGAGGCTGCTTTGGCGTCGGCTGGCCCGGCCTTGACGTCAAGGAGGAGGCGCGGGTGACGTTGTAGGCAGATGCAAAGAGAGACGGGGAAGGAGGGAGAAAGAAAAATTAAAATTCAAAGAGAAAATGCAAGCTACAGGAGCTAGCTAGTGTAGCTAGTGTACTGTAGTCCAGCTAGTAGTAGTAAGTACTAGTGTAGCTAGTGCGTAGTAGTAGTGTTAGTAGTGAAGCAGTAGGAGCGCCCGCCGCGTTCAGCTTCGGTGTCAAAACCACCCTTGCATCGGTAGAACGAAGCCACATCAGGCCATGATAGCGAGATAGACATATACATATGGTTCATTTGCGCTGGCCGGCATTTACTCTGGTGCCTCGTTCGCGATAGCCAGACTGCTTGCTTGGCGAAGAGGCTAAAGGCATTTCAAGTCGCAAAACAAGGTAGCAAGTACATGCAGGACCCTGCTTGCTCCCTATGACAACGAGGTGGACCCATATCATGCCAGTGAGACAGGAAGCTAGCGTCGGGGAAAGGCCATCAATGCCAGATCCAATCTCTGATATTTGGGTAGTGGTAAAGATTGCGAGCCCTTTAAAGGGCTGGGCAAATTTTTCAGATTCGGCATCATGCAAGCTTGGGCCAGCTTGGGCCAGCGTCCCGATGGGCTCTGGCACCTACTTCTACTACTACTAGCTGGTCCGCACTTAAATCGTAGAGCTCTATCTTCGCCATGTTTGCCCGCGCTTCGTATCGCAGAGAAGGTAGCTTCCAAGAAGGCCACATGCATGACTGTCCACAACCGATAGCGCACGCCAAGTGCAGCTACTTACTAGCTTGTGGTCAGCTTGCAATCTTTGGGCTCCCACGGACTGACCTTGCGAGGCTCTGGCCCCCACGTGTTCAGCGCTCTCCCTTCTGCGCGTCATCACTGCTCATTGCACCCATTCCGGCGCCCACTGTTGGTTGTGGCTCGGCGCAGCCAGAGAGGGAATAGGACACTACTAGGAGTAATCGTAGTAGTGGCTTCAGTCTCGCCATGTCAAGGGAGGGAATGCAGGGACAATGTCCGCAACAATTTAACGGCGTTTATGGTGAGACACTGATTGGATTGGCCGTGCAGATGCTTGCCACGTTCGTTCGCGCCGAGGAGGAGCGTGCGCACGCACTACTGCTCACTTTTCGACTTTCCTCATCTTTTCCTACACGCTCATCTGTGGTCCACACCCCCACCCTGTTCGCTTCTTCTCTTTCCTTCTCGTCTCACCTCGCCGCCACTCTTGTCGACATCACTCGGCACACTCGCACCACATACACACAAGTCCTGCAGGGTTTCTCTCGCTCGATTTGTCACGACGCCGGACGTCTGTATCCATACGCGCTCTCCCAACTCTTGTACGGGCGTCCATCGAAGTAACGATGGCGGCGGCACGATAGGTGGGGACAATCCGCAACACCATCGGCACCAACGAGGCAGTGACTTCTGCATTGTGCATCGGTGCGTAGGGTTGCCATCACCAATTGACTTTGATCCGCGTCGACTGACGGCTCTTATCTTCTCCCCTTCTTCTTCCTCTTCTTCTTTTGTCATCCTCGGCAGCCCTCTTTCGCGAGTGGAGTCCAAACGACACCCATAAATGGCACAGAGGCAGCAGAGCAGTGACAGGCCCGCCGTCGCTGCATCAAGCCCGGGGCCTTCGTCATCATCGTCGTTGCTGTCATCGCCTCCCCGGGAGCAGCTTCGGCTTCAACACCAAGCGCAGAGACGCTCACTGCCTGACGATGGAGGGAATGGTAGTGCTGGTGGGAGTGGGAGCGGCCGAGGGCGACCGGGCGTGGAGAACACCGCTTCGCATGCGGTATATGCACCAGGGTCCAACCCAGATCACATCTCCAGCGGCGGCCTTCATATCAGCTTGCCACCCGGTGTTCCTACTCCAAGCCTCAGCATCTTTTCGCCCCCCGCCCACCGACCAGTCGCCCCCGCGGCGTCTTCTTCCGCTGCAAAGCCCGGCGACAGACCGGGTGGGGAGCATGCCAGACGTAGCAGCGCCTCTTTTGACGGGACGAGTTCCACTCGAGCAGGCAAGGCTGTTTCCCCGCAACAGCAGCAGCAGCAGCATGACCAGCAACTGCAGTCGCCGTCCGGCAGCAGGCCTTCCCCGCCCGGCGGCCCTGAGTTTTCCAACCCATTTGCCGTTGCGGCCCCCGCGGCCTCGTCGGCCTCCTCCGCCTCGTCACCCGCCGGCGCGCCTTCATCACTGGCGAACCCTGCCCAGGGGGAATTCCGGCGGGCAGAGGCGATGCTCCCCCGGTCCGTCGAGTGGGGGCCGATTCACCATCACTCGCCCGCCTCGCTACTCGCCAATGCCACGCCAGGCACACGCTCGGCGAAGAGCACGCCTGGACGGCGATTGGCGAGCGCCGTCGAGGACGAAGACGAAGTGGACCTCGACGTCTTTCCACTGCGAGGCAGCGACGCAAAGAGGAGAGACATTGATCTGACTCTGCCTCCCGCCATGCTCAGCTCGGGCCGAAAGGCCAGTGTCAGTCTACAGCTCTTCAAGGAGACGAACAAGGGCACAGGAGGTGCCGGCGCCGCCGTGCCCGGACAAGGGCCAGGTCAAAGTCCAGGTCCAGGTCCAGGTTCAGGTCCAGGTCCACTTCCTGGCGCTGGGCCAGGCGGTGCATCGAGCTCCCACCTGGAGAGCTTGGAGGAGAATTCGCGACGAGGAAGCGGCGAGGGCGCAAAGACGGCTAGGGGGCCAAGCAAAGGAAGACTCGCCATCGGCGCGTCTCGCAGCAGAAGCAAGCCTCCTCTGTCGGCTGATCGACAGGTGGCTTCCTCGTCCTCAAGCACTCATCCGATAGTAGATGGTCAGCGGCCAGCGACGCCTTCGTCCATCTTGGGCCAGGCCGCCAGGGCCCATCCTCCGGCAGAGCTGGTCGGCAAGGCCCCTGCGGCGGCGTATCGCCGATCACAGACTCAACCACCCAAGGCGCACACCTCGGATCATGCTTCTCGGTCCAGCGCTCTACTTGCCCCACGCCTGGCTGATGTGGGCGATGACGACGTCAGCTCCGACAGCTGGCATAAGGTCTCGTCCCCTAAGCCGGCTCACGACGGAAGAGCCGAGGACATTATAGAAGAAGACGACTTGCCCAGCTCAGAGTCATTCGAGGACTATGATTACGATGAGGAGGACGAAGAGGACGGAGAGGAAGATGAGGAAGAGGAAGAGGAAGAGGACTATGACGACGAACAACAAGGAGGAGACAAAGAGGGAGTGGAAGACGATGCGATGCAGGACTTTGACGATCCAGTCTTTGAAGGCCAGGACCATTGGAACGACGACATGGCTCGCTCGAGCTCCCTGACGATTGGCACGCATGCAGAGGCACATCAGAGGGCGCTAGGCCTGCCGAGGGATGCAAGCCCACCCACAGTGGTACAGCTGCAGCCCTTTGATAACCAGGTGGGAGGCCACAACTCCATCTTCCGCTTCTCCAAGCGCGCCGTCTGCAAGCCTTTGGTCAGTCGAGAGAACCAATTCTACGAGGCCGTTGAGCGGGAGCATCCTCGCCTCCTCTCCTTTATTCCACAGTACCTCGGCGTCCTCAATGTCACGTATCGCCACGTCGAAAGAATCAAGGAGGGGAGCGTCAGCGGTGCGCAGGCCGACGGCGAAGAGGGCGATCACGATACGGACGATGGGAGAGATGGACACGCGGGAGGGCAGGGGGCGGAGCGAGGCCGGAGACCTACAGCTTCGCGGCGAGCTTCAGATATGAATGTGCCAGGCCGAAGAAAAGTATTCGAGGGTCAGGGCGATCATGAGGACGAAGTGGCCGAGGTGGCGCTGGACATGAACCGTCACATCATCCCCGAATGGATGCTCCGACGTAGCGGCGTCAAGAGCGAGAGGGGCACGCCATCAGGCACGCCGCTGCAGAGACCCAGTGTCAGCCATCGAACGCTGCCCGTGGGCCACCTGCACAAGCACAAGCAGCCCCATTCGATTGAGAGGCCTTCCTCTCATCTCAGCTCCAGCGCAGAAGGGCAGAGCCACTCGTCTCATGACCGAACCTTTTCGCCTCAGCTCGGCCCTACCTCGGCCGTCGGTGTCGACACGCCCCTCTCGACCAGCCCTCCGACGGCGCCGGCGTCGCCCGGAATGTCGGCATCGCCAGTGTCGTCTCGCAATGTGTCCAAGGCTTCGATGGGAGGCCTCAGCCTGCTTGACTCGAGCATGCACGAGTCTAGTCGCTCCGTCACGCCGAGCTCTGCCGGCGGGCATATTATAGGCCGCGGCTGCACCTCGGTCAACCGTCGTCTCCAAGAGCAAGTCCTGCGCGAGGTGTTCAGCACGCCTCTGCTGAAGGACGCAGACTCCCACGGAGGCTGGAGCTCGTCGAGAAGAACTGCGCGCAGGAACCGACGAAGGCTGGCAAAGGCGTGGGAGGAGAGCGAGGAAGGAGCTGCTCGGGCTGCCGTCACTCAAGCTGCGGCCGTTGCCGCCGCGGCCGAACCCTCGTCTACTCTTCTGGACGGCGACAACAGAGCGAGCAAAGAGACTGCGACAAATCGCGAGATGGAACGCCAGTCCAGGCAAGTGCCGCCTCGCCTGACCGACAGCATTTCGTCGCTTGTCGAGGCGCCACTTCCGTCTGCTCCGCTGTCTAGTGGAAGTACCAAGACGCAAGAATCGGGACAATCTAGGCGTCCGCGAAGGGTGCACAGCGACGTCGCCCTGATGCTCAAGAGTCGTTCATCGCTTGGAATCACGCCTTTGGAGTCCATTGAGTTCACGCCTGACTCCAGCCTCGAAGTCGTAAAGCAAGACGACCACGAGGCTCCTACATGGTCTCGATCGGGCGAAGCGTCGTCCAAAAAGCACGTCAGGAGAGGCTCGACTGACAGCCACATGTTCAACATGGAGGATGCCGATGGCGACGAGGCCGACGGCGCCAACGCCGCCAGCAGACGTATGAGCCAACCCGCGGGTGCACGCAGCGTCGTTGATCGTAGCCGAAGTCGGAGCCGCAGCAGAGCGGCGAGCGCGGAAAAGCGACTCTCGCCTGCTCACTTTGCCATGTCGAAACCGATGATGCCGACGTCTCAGATTGTGCCCAGCCCCCTGCCCGAGAGCATCGAGGAGATCAACGCAGCAGACGAAGGCGAGACGTTGCGGCAAAAGACGCCGCGTCCCTTCCGGGCGACGGATGATCAAGGCGAGACGATCAAGTTGGGTCCTTCGGCCTTGGAAGGCGCGACGGCGTCCCCACGAAATACTGAAGAAGTTCGTGAATCGTCTCCGATTCGCCAGGAGCACTTTCTGCTCATGGAGGATCTCACCGGCAGGCTCAAGTCGCCTTGCGTTCTGGACCTCAAGATGGGCACGCGCCAGTACGGCCTCGACGCAACCGATGCGAAAAAGAAGAGCCAGACGAAAAAGTGCGACAAGACGACAAGTCGGACGCATGGCGTGCGCATCTGCGGCATGCAGGTCTACGATGCGACAAAGGGCAGCTACCTATTCCAGGACAAGTACTACGGGCGCAAGGTGTCACCCGACGACTTTCCCCACGCCCTCGCTCGCTTCTTCCATGATGGCCGACGGCTCCTGGTGCATCACATCCCCATCATCCTCGAGAAGCTGTACAGGCTGGCACGCATCGTCCACGAGCTCAAGAGTTACAGGTTTTATGCCAGCAGCCTCCTCTTCATCTATGACGGCGACGAGAGCACCCAGGATCGGCTCGAGGCCGAGTTCGAGGCAAGACAGCGAAGGGGCCTGGCCGGTTGCTCGCCCTTTGTCATTGAGAGCCTCCAGGCGAGCCCAGTGACCGGACCAGTGCTCTCGCCTTCCAAGATCGACGATGCGTTTTCGCCCACGTCAAAGAGCAGCAGCACTACGACGGCGTTTCAACCGGCGTCGGTCTCTTCGTCGCGTGCCTCGCTGTCGCCGCTCTTGCAGCCCTTGTCGCAGGGGACGTCGACGGTGCCTGCATCTGGCCCTCCACGGCGGCGCCGTAAAAAGGGCGAGATCAACATTCGCATCATCGATTTCGCCCACTGTACCACCGGCTCGGACTTTTACTTTCCACCACCCTCGCCCCTGGCATTTGCAGGTGGTGCTGGTGATGAGGTGGAGAAAGAGGAAGAGAAGAGGCAGAGGAGGGAGCGGCAGGAGGAAGAGGCCAGACGGCTCAATCTCCCCTTGGCACGCTTCCCGCCGGGACTCAAGGACGGACCTGACTCTGGTTATCTCTGGGGTCTACAGCATCTCGCAGAGTCCTTTGAGACAATATGGCACGAAGAGCGGCTGAGGCGGATGGATGAAGCCGAAGCTGAGGCGGCACTGCAGAGGCAGCGCCAAACGCAGCAACAGCAGCCCGACGACGCAGAGGGCTTGGATGTCCTCATTGAGAGGATCCGACAAGAGGCGGATCTCGGTCCGCTCAAGATTGAGGGTAGCGACGTCTTTCACGACATTTTCGGAGACGGGCCAGCGGGCCTGCATGGGTATGTCTCGACTTAGCCTTTGATAGAACTCTCGCTCCCGTTTCTCCTCGGAACATTATTCCCACGGCAACGGCCTGTCAGGTCACCCCCTATCTTTTTTTTGTGTGTGTTTTTCTGTTGTCCTTTTTCTTTCTTTGTCTTTGTCGAGTAACCCTACACTATCCGCACTGGAGCAATTTCATGTAGCAAGAGTACAGAGGTCTCCTATGCCTGGATTAATACTAAATGGGGAAGTTATAGACAGTAAGTCAACCAAGGTCAGGCGAGGCGAGGCCATGTCGGAGACGGCGGACGGGATGGGCTTCGAGACGCGGGATCGTCCCAGATTTACGAGCCATCATGCGCACGCAAAATCCGCCCCGTCCTTTTCGAAAAGCCAGGCCGCTAAAAAGTCATACCAAACGCAGGCAATCTCTGGTAGTGTTGCGAGCGAGTGAAGAATAGGTAGTGGCTTGGGAAAGTCGACGGGAACGCAACGAGAAACGCAAATCTGACGATGCGGTCACGAGCAAAGGCCAAGTGGCTGGCTTCCTGGCTCTTGCATGATCTATGGCTTCGTACCGCATCTGTGGGTTCATGCTGCACGCTAAGGTCACGGGCCTCGGGATAGACACCAGCGTCTAGCCTGTTAAAGACTGAAATATCAGAAAACACGTTATTGAGTAGTGAAGCACGGCACGGAATAGGGGGAGATCAGGTAGGCTGTCTCGGTCTAGACCTCGGGGCCAAGGCCCGGAAGCTTGGATCCCGGTCCTGATATGCGCGCATTTGTTTTTTGTTTTACACTGTCCCCGATCCTGCCACGATGTATCGGCCGACGAATTTGGCAAAGAACCATGCTGATGCATTCATCCTCCTCCTTTTCCTTGCTTGTGTCAAGCGACCAAATTAATATTAGCTTAATTCACCAAAGTGCATTTATTTAAATTGTTGTGGGAGACGAGAGGAGGCGGTGGTGGTGTCACGGTTGGTTGCGCGGTGCAGGCTCACCTGCACTGCCACGGGTTGTGTGTCCACAGCCTCCGGGGAGGGTTTTTTTTTTCTTGTTAGGAGACCCTTCTCTTGTCGGAAGACCCTGCCCGACAATGCCCAACCTAGCTGAAATCACTCGCGACAACAGAGAGGCAGAGATCAATCATGATCTGATTGAAAATACTGCGACGTGAAGAGGAGAGGATTCCTCGTGGTGTGATGACCACCGAGGCTTAACGTATTTGCGTAGCTAAAGAACAACACGCTAGTAGTGTGTTCGTCATCGTGCACCACACCTGTCCAACGAAAACAATAAATTAACCTTGGCCACCTTACCTAGCCTGCAGATAGCACTATCGCGGCGGCGACCCCTTCGGTCTACCGCCGGCCGCTGTTACCCACGACTTGGAGTCTGAGAGCCGCAAGAGTACGTGAGCAGATGCCAATGCTACGGGGCTATTACGCGAGAGTGCGCGTCGAGACGGCGGGGAAAAACGATCAGCGGAAGATCCGCCTGCTGGCAACGACGTTCTTTCCGTACCATCGTGCGATAGCGCGCGCGTCGGCTTATGTCCTTTGGCCGCTGCCTCCCCTTAGGAGGGCGGCGGGCGCGCATAAATGTGAGGCATCGAGCCATAAGCAGTGAGCGACGTCGAAAAAGAAAAATTAAAGGTCCATGGAAATTTATAGCGTGCTTGTGTTGGCTAATAGTCGTGGAAGGAGCGCTTGCAGCGGGTGCACGGCATCCCCTATCCATCAATCTATCAAGACCCTGTGAACGTGTCTTGCTGGATTTGTAGCGCGGAAAAGTGCTAAGGCCCGAGGAAAGCTGAGGGAAAGCATCCTGCACCGCTTGCTCGTATCTTTGGCCTCAAAGGGCGTACCGAGCAGGGGAGATAGATGAGGCAAGGCGGCTGTCGGGGGTTAAAACATAAAAAAAAAGAGGCTGCAAAGGGGTCCAGAGCGTCATTCATGCCAGGCGGTGGTGGGATTGAAGAGGCAATAAGCAAGTCTCCAAAATCCGAAGGCAGCTTGTTTCTTTTAAGGTATTCCTTTTGTGTTTGCTCTCTGGCTATTCTGCTCCTCCTTGGCGTGCGCGCGCACACTTAGCGTCTCCTGATTTTGCGGACCCCCTGCGCTTCCTTGGAAGGGCGAGGGCCTTTTTTTTCTCCCAGCTAGTCAGATAGCTAGCCTCCCGACTTCTCCCCCACATCTGAGTCTGTTCATCAGGCCAGGCAGTTCGTCAGACAGGGCCAGACCCCTTGTCTTATTTGCCCGAGCGGAGGTGAGATCGCTGTGGCTCATTGCCCGACTCGGTAGGCAGCGGACCGCAAAGGGTTGTCGCAATCTTGTCCGCATCACAGGCAATCAGACCACAGAGGTCACCATCAAGAAAAGTAACACCATCCCCGCCACCTTTGTTGCTGTCGAAAAGAGGACGGAGGGTGACACCACGATCGATCGAGCGAAAGAGAGGCAAGCCACGTCGTGCGTTGCTCTTTTGCGAGAGATCACAAAAGAGGGAAAAGAAAAGGAGGTCCCTGCAGCACTTGCTTGCCGATCGTTCTTTCACTCGCTTGCTCTCAATTCTTCGAAGCGCCAAACGAAGAGCCTCTTTTTCGACTGGTCTTCCACCTTCGTCTCACCAAGACCTTAACAACAGCCTCCCTTTCTCCTCGCTCCTTATCACACACCTTCGCGCTCTCCTTGCGATACCTCGCCGCCCTGGCCCAGACACATGCATCGGGGTGTCTTGTCCATCGCCACACAGAGCGATTTGCTCCATCGCAGTGCTTATAAAGTGTGAGTCGAACTATGTTGTACACGAAAGGGGCGGTCCCTGCGACGGCCGGGGGCAAAAGGGGATTATTTGGAGGAGACAGCATATGAGGCGCGCGGGCCTGTGGTGCCGCCGCACTCATCGAATTGCAAGTGCAACGCCGCTGACTGCTTGATGCCTCTCCCATGAACAGTTTGCTCGTGTGCCTTTGACACCTCACCCTATCTCTTTCTCGTGAGGTGAGTCGAGCTATTTGTGCAAACGTCCGCTTTGGCGCTCAGATCGCCAGAGTGCGCGTCTCCCCGGGGAGAGGTTCAACCGCTTTGATTGCATTCGGCCACCAAGCTTACGTTTGTGATGCCCTGACAGATCATCCCTCACTACCTTGGCCGCCACATTGGACCATTCTCCAGCCAGGCCATCAAAGACTTATTTGGTGAAGCCCGTCGAGGTGAGTTCGGTGCTGAGACTTGGTTGCCTTGGACGTCAAGCGGCGCTATCTTTGTGTCGCTTCAGGCGCTTGTGCGATGGTCGTCTATCCGACGCTGACTGCAAACGACTGTTCACGTTCTCTCCAGAGAACACAAAATCACAATGGCTGCAGCGACAGCCATCATGCAGTTTTCTCCGATGGATTTCCACGACTCGGCAGGAGCATCGGGCGCCACGACAGGGGCCCCGCCGCCACCGCCGTCATCGCCGAAAACAAGAGGGGCGCGGTCTGCAAAGATTTCCTCTCCGGCGCAGCCTAACGTCAGCCCGAAGATATCGACGCGCAATTCTTCGCTCAACAGCTCCCCGGTGCAGCCGCAGACTGAGCTCTTTTCGCCTTCCAGCGACGACGGCACGAACCCCCTCCTAAACTCCGCGACGGCCGCCCTTGCTACCGCCAAGCCGTCGAGGTCTTTTCTCACAACCTCTTCTTCGCCTGTCGCAAGCATGACTTCTCCTGCTCCGTTGCAGCCAGCATCGCAGGCTGCCATCAAACCTCCTCGACCACCGCGAAGAGAGAGCAGCGATGGAAAGAAGCGCAACGCAAAGGCTCAGTCTTCGGACGCAAGCCGGGTGAGGAGTTTGGAAATTGCGTCTCTTTCCACCCCCGAACTTCACCTTTCTTCAGATCCGCTTGGAGGTGCAGAAGAGTACCTGCCCAGGCAACGGCAGCCCTTCTTGGTCAAGGATCACCGCCAGCAGCACAATAAAGCTCGAAGTTCAGAGGACCATGCAAGAGCAGACGCCGGCGAGGTCTCTGGCGGCACGCACTTCTTCTCGAGCTTTGCCGCCGCCATGAACATTGTGTCTGACAAGGAGGGTGATCCATCACGAACATCCCGAGACGAAGAGCGGGCTCGTACCCGTGATCGTAAGCACAGCTCAGCAACTGTCAAGAGGGCGACCGACACGTCTTCCACGAAGCACGCTCCCTCCGAAGCGGAAAGTACGAGCTCGTCTGCGACGTTGGGCAGTGTCGGTGTCGCCTTCCCGCCACGGACTGAGCCAGCAACAAGTGCCGTCGAGGAGGACTCAAGAGCTGGCGGTCGAAGGAGGAGAAAGTCAAGCGACACTTCTTCGCTGAAGAGCGCCTCAAATTGGTTCCGTAAGCGAAAGCCAAGCAACAACAGCCAACGGAAGCGAGACTCGGGCGAAGTTGCATCCACATCGGTACCTTCTACACCGATTCTGCGCCATGACGACAGTGAGGAGCTCTCGACGACGGGCTACGCGCCGACCGAAGTTTCGACGGCCACAGCTGGCTCTGGATCTACTTTCTTCACTCAAACTGGGCTCAGCTCGGCAACTTCCGGCGTCGACGGTGCTGGTGTCACGTCGTCCTCGCCAGCACTGGAGAACATCAGAACAGCACGCGCCTTCCTAGTTGAAGAGCTGGGGCAGCTCACTCGCTCGGAGATGGGTCAGGACAGGGGGAGAATCGCTAGCCTGGCATGGTACGCGCGAGGCCAAGAGGCCGAGCAGAGGGGCGTGGTGCTCGACGCAAACCGGGAAATGATTGAGTTCTGGCGAAGCATTTCGGATGGTGTTGTTCTCTCTCTACTCCTCAACAAGCTAAAGCCGAGCAGCATCACGGTCATCGACCGAAGAGATGTGGACTGGGTTAGAGCAGACAACATTTCGCGATTCCTTCGAGCGGCCAGGGACAACTTTGGGGTTCGGTCGAAGGATCTCTTCCACCCTCTTGACCTGACCGACGCCACCTCCGAGGGTCTGGCGAGGGCCGTCCATACGATCCTTGCCGTTCAACGTATCTCGAAAGCCTATGGTTTGACGGCGACGACTAAAAAGCCGCTGCAGCAAAATCACCTCGAGACGGACGATAGCAGTCGTCGCACATCGCTAACGATTGATAAGCGCTCGCCCTCGCCCACGTCCGGCGTTCCTTTCCCAAAGCGAAATTCAGTGGCCTCATCGAATGCACCGCCTTCACCTTCATCGCCCTCAAAGCGGGATGGTCGATTTCACAAACGCAAGATCTCAGCCCCAGCACCTGCACCTCCTCCTCCCGCGCCTATGTTCACCCTTCAGCAGCACAGGGAGGAGGCTGAGCGGATCCTCATGGCTACAGCCGAGGCGCCTACTGAGCCTTTATCTGACGATAGCGGAGCCGTTACGAGCCGTCGGCGCAGGTCGAGTGACCTAGGCAGTGCAGGACAAAACATGGGCTCGTTGCTCACTTCAACGAGGCCGCGGAGTGGTGCATCGATCACGTTCGCTGACTCTGTCAACCCAAGGTCGAGCGACGAGGAATCGAGGATGCCCTATCGCGATCGAAAGTTGAGCGAGTCCGCAATCAGCCTTACGGGCGTGGTTGAGGAAGAAAATGAAGAAGTCATGGCTTCGCCCGTCGAATCGCCTTCGAGAACCAAGAAGCAGGTACACGTATCCCCTCTTACGCCTTCGGCAGGAGAAAAAGAGGTGCTCGATGACCTGGAGGAGCGGAACGTCACCAATCAAAATGGGAAGCTCGCCATCGAAATGGCGATCGCGGCTCAGGCTACGCCCAACAGCCCATTGTCGACATCCTTCGTCAAAAGTTCACCCATGGCGAGATCATCTTCGCAGCGAAGGATCAGTCAGGAACTCAGCTTGGGCAACGGCAGCCCTGCTCGAGCCATGAGAGGTTCTACAGACAGCCTCGAGGAGTACAAGTTCCCTGCTATGGGCACCAGTCCAGTCCGTCAGACTCCTGTTCGGCGACACAGCGCACGAGGTGGCGGCACAGGCCCATCGACGCTGAACCCACAGTCACAGCGTGGGGATAAAATGACAGAAAAAGGAGATTATTTCTGCTCCGAAGCCAGTCTATCGGAGTCCGGCTACGGGCCTGTATCGCAGCCGGCAACGGCAACGGCCACACGCGTGCCCTTCCCCAGAGCACATTCAATCGGAGGCGGGCAGGTTGTCCCCTCTCTGTCTATTGCTTCCTCATCGTCCATGGCGAGCTACAGCAATGGCAGCAACGTGACCGACTATGCTTCCGGTTCGCCTGGGGGAGGCGGTAGCGCCAGCAACAAGCGCGTAGCTGGCCGTCATCTCTCACTTTCGGCCACGGCAGGTGCTTCGACGGACTCGGTCAACTCAATCGGCTCGCCGAACTCGCCTCGATTTCCAGCCTCTTATACCCCTCGTCCAGGCCAGGCATACCGCCAGCATGCTCGTTACTCCTCCGACTTCAATCTGCCGCGCTTGGCTGTGTCTCGCTCCAGCGAGTTGTCGTCTGAAGCGCCGTTTGGAGGAGGACCGCCATCTTCGGCTGCGACACGGACCCGCTTCGACTCCGAGGTTGGTTCGCTGTACACCAACACGCTTGGCAGCCTCACCAACGACGACATCGGGAGCGGCGGCAGCAGCACTGGAGCAGGAGTCAACCGTCGCGAGTCAATGACGCCAGCGTCCAAGCACAAGCTCGTGGTGACCGAGGAAGGGAAGCCGAATGTGACCTACCAAATGGGCAACTGCATCGGTCGAGGTCAATTTGGTTCCGTGTACCGAGCCTTGAATCTCAACAGCGGTCAGATGGTGGCTGTCAAGCGCATCAAGCTCCAAGGACGTTCTGAAGACGAGGTGACACAACTCATGAACGAGGTCGACCTGCTCAAGAGCCTCACTCACCCCTCTGTCGTCAAGTACGAAGGCCTGGTCAGGGGAACCGATGCTCTTTCGATCATTCTTGAGTACGTCGAAAATGGATCGCTGCTTCACACCCTCAAGGCTTTTGGCAATTTTCCCGAAAGGCTCGTGGCGAGCTACGTCGTCAAGATTCTGGAGGGCCTCAATTACCTTCATGAGATGAAAGTTGTCCATTGCGACCTCAAGGCAGCCAACATTCTGACGACAAAGAACGGTAACGTCAAACTGTCAGACTTTGGTGTCTCGCTCAATCTCAAGGCAGTCGAGAATCTGAAGAACGACGCAATCGGGACACCCAACTGGAGTAAGTACCAATGGGAGAGAGCATATGGCTAGATTCGCTTACTGATTGTGCAATTCTGCTGCTCAACAGTGGCACCCGAAGTCATCGAGCTCAAGGGCGTGACGCCGGCGGCCGACATCTGGTCGCTGGGCTGCACCATCATCGAGCTGCTTACAGGCAAACCGCCATATGGCGACATGCTGGCCATGTCTGCCATGTGGCGCATCGTCGAAGATGATTGTCCACCATTTCCCGAGAAGATCTCTCCTACCCTTCGAGGTTTCCTGCAGCTTTGCTTCGACAAAGATCCGACGAAAAGACCCAGCGCAGAAGATTTGTTCGAGCACGAATGGCTCGCGTCGAATTTCACGGGCCACAAGGAGTTGAGGTCTCAAGATAGCGTTCCTTTCCTGAGAAGGATAAGCGCCGATTTCAGAAAGGTGGACGCCAAGTCGCTTCACATGGCTATCAACGAGGCCGTGGCGAGGGAAAAGAACGGAATGAGTAGCAGCAGCAGCAACAATACGAGCAACAGCAATCTCCGCTCCGTGGATGAACATGCGACAATGGGCACGCCAGGAGCCGCAGGCAGCAACAGCAGGCAAGCGATGGAACGCTCGTCGTCGTCGCCGCCAGAATCGGACGTGGTCCCAGACGACCTGGAGAGGGCTCACAAGAGACCAGACCTTATCTCACTGCGTGCCTCTTCGGCGCCCGATGCCTTTTCGCAGGTCGTAAGGGGGGCGAGTCACAGCGTTGAGGCACTTCCGTCGCCAATGACCCAGCAAGAACCAATGATGGTTACTGTCTCTCCTTCCTCGACGTCCGCTTCGCCACTGGCGCTGGCCACCTCGGCTTCTTCGATGTCGACGGCAGCCTCGCCGATGGGCCCGGTCAGCATGTCGGTCTCCTCGTCGACGGAGACGAACAACATGCGGAGAGGAAGTGAGGGAGCAGGACCCTCTACAACGTCCTTCGAGTTCGCTCAGTCGCCTAGCGCCGCAGCCACCGCAAAGGCTATCGGTGCAGCTGATCCTTCGCTACTGGACCTCAATGCCATCGAGTCGTACGACCTAATGAATCAGAGCACCAACAAGACGCATGCCTTTGTCAAGAGCACATTCAGCAAAGCAGTGCAGTGCAAGATCTGCAAGGAGCCCGTCAAGAAGCATGCCGTCCTTTGCGAGGACTGTGGTCTCATCTGCCATGCCAGCTGTGCTCGCCGGGCTTCTACGCCGTGCAACCTGCGTGCTCAGCTGCTCCTCTTCGCCTCCGCCGCCTCAAACAACGGCCAGCGGCATGCCTCGATTGACTTTGCGCGAGGGGCAAGCCCGGCTCCCTCGCTGGCCCTCAGCATGAGCGGGGCCTCATCTCCCTCGCCTGTGCCACCATCGCCGTTGGCAACGCCACCGTTCGGACCGACCATGTTCCGATTCCCTTTTGGGGGCAAGAACAAACGGAACAGTCGAGGAAGTGCCAGCCATATCGAGCTTCCCTTGGCCTCGCCAACGACAGCTGCGGCGCCGGGCAGCGTGACACCAACGGCAGCAAGAGACAGTGACGAGATCCTGCAAACGCCTGCAACGCCGACAGGCAACAACCCTACGAGAGAACAAGCTCCTGCCTCTCGAAGGCGCCGGATCTCGCTCATCCCTGGCCGTCGCAATCGGTCGCCTTCGCCTTCGATGGACACAGCTCAGACCCTGGCGCTGCAGGAGTCCCTGGGCAGCTCGCGCAGCATACCGCGACCCTCTGATTCGACCGGTGGGACAAAGGAGCGACGCTCGGGCTCTTTGAGCTATGCCAGCGCTAGCGGAGGCTCCGTTAGCAGTGCTTCCAGCGTCTCGGCGAGCCAGCTTCAGCAGCAACCGCACGATCTGCCCAAGAAGCCTTCCCCCTTGCTCACGAGGAATCACGGCTCGGGAGCGTCGAAAGGCCACCGGCCACGTCAAAGTTCTGCCGCCGCGGCCGTCAGCACGCCAGCATTGAACCACCTTCTCGGCCAGGACGAGGACGAGGACGAGGACTCTTCATCGCAAGACCACCATGCAAGGGCCTTTAGCGTTGGTGGCTTCAAACGGGGCATGAGGCGTCTGAGCACCGGAGTTCCCTTTGGTGGCTCACCTCCGGCCACTCAAGGCCCAGCGGCGGGCGCCGTCACGCCCACGCCCACCTCCTGGACGGGAAAAGGGCCCGTCGACAACCTTGCTGAAGGTACAAACACGAGACTACAGCAACAGCAGCAACAGCATCTTAGCGACCGGAGACGATCCAAGCGAGTTTCGACATCGTCAGTCTCTCTAAACAAGAATGACTGCTCCGTCATGTAACAATAGCATCCTTTTTTCTCTTCTTTTTTCACTCCTCGCTTTCTGAATCTTTTCATTGCAGTCGCATCCTCCATAATACCTTTTCCATTCTTGCTCAACCTTAGTTCCCCCAACCAGCTCTCATCAATCCATGTTTGCGTGCGCTTACTTTCCTTCATGGCTCGATGGTGGCGCCATGGGCCTGGTCGAGGCCGGGTGCAAACATATAAGGATCAGCTCAGAATTGCTGCAGCCATTACTGCGAGCTTCATCACCAATACGGGTCTGCCCCTGGTCTGCTCGCAGTGGATGATCCACTCATAGAAGCCGCTGTGCCTAGAGGCAGGCCCCCGTTCCCGAAATCGCGTGCAGTGCGCGCTAGCAATTAAAGCTTCCCCTCCCTCCCTGCATAATTTGCCCTCACTGGTGAACTGACTGAGTAGATGCGTCTGGGAGATTTTACACTGTGAGATAGCGAAGCACGCGGATTTCCCTACTCACCGACCATCATTTGCATCGACTAGCTAGCCAGCCACCTTCTGCTGCCAAGTGGCTTCATCTTCTTCTGGCTCAGCGTCCTCGGCATCCACGCTCCTTCTAGACAAAGACGACTTCGTCTGACTTCCTCGCTCTCCGCTCCTTAACCCTGGAGAGGCTCTTTCCTACTATCGCCAACAGATGAACACGTCCATCGGAGCATGCTTCTTCTTCTTCTAGTGGTCAACGCCTCATAAGAGGTCGAGCAAGAGCCTCGCTCACGAGCGAAGCGAGTAGCGGCTTCATCGCTGGCTGGCGGCCCGCGCCTCGCTAATTGAAGTTGCTCGTAATCGCCCTCGCGGAGAGCGACTTGGCAGCGGCGCAATTTTTTTTGTAGAAGGGCGAAAAAAGCCAGGAAATTATGCCCAGCGTCAAAGCCCGCGCGGTTCTTTACGACCGCCCTCGCGATCCTCCATCGTCGGCGCTACCCCTGGCGTCTTCCTCTCCCTCACCCTCACCCTCCTCCTCTTCGACGACGACATCGAACCTTGCGGTGCGCAGAAAAGCCCCGCCAAAATCCCCACTCTCGCCCTCTTCGTCTACCACTCCTTCTCCCTCTCCTGGCCCCAAGCCCTCTTCTGCTGCTGGCTGGACAGAGGATGAGGCTCCACCACCACCCCTGCCCATCAAGCCCTACCCGCCAAGGATAAACGACGCCATTCCTCCCTCGCCATTCTCTGTCAACTTTCCCCGGGACGACGCAGCTGGCCCATCTTCAGAGGCGGAAACGGGCAACGGCCTGCTTAGCACAAGGGACCCAGGCGCATTGATGGATGCTACACGCTCGAAGAAGACAAACGTTCGTAGGAGCTCGAAGATACCTGTACCCAGGCCAACGTCGACGTCGAAGAGCAACGACGAGGCGCTGTCAGATACCACGTCGCGTGACGGAGAAGAGCATGACGACGGGCGCGACTCAGTCTACAGCAACGCATCGTGGGCATCTAGCCGCCATCGAAGCGTAGGTCTGAGCGCCATTGTGACGACAGCAAGCGCGATGAGCATCAAGAGGGCCATTGCCAGCCCAAGGCCCATGCCGTCGCTTGCCAACCCCTCTGCCTCTTCTTCTTCTTCCTCCTCCTCCTCTGCCGCTGCCGCGGCCACTGCTGCCTCTGCTCCCAATGCAAACAGCAGGGGAAGAGGGCCCCGAGTGGAAAAAGGTACGGGGGTACAGGCCAGGAGGAAAAGCCGAGACAAGAGCTCGACTAGATCTTCAACGACGTCCTCCATCATCTATCCTACAGTGGTGCTAGAGGAGAGGAAGAAGAGCGGCAGCGATGCATCTCCTTCTGCGTCCCGACGGATCTCTGGGGTCGCTTCTCCACCGCCGCCACTCCCTCCTTCGACGAGCACTTCATCGCGACTGATGTTGGCCGAGAAGAAAAGCAGGGAGCAGCAGGCCACACGAGCCAAGGATGCCTCGTACGATTCAATGTTGACTCCTTCGAGCGCGATTTCCTCAGGACCCTCCTCGTCGGTGATCACGACGCCACCTGCCGAGCAGCTCCTCACCCCACCAAACGCCACCGCAAGCTCAACCGGGCTTCTGACCGCACACACAGAGGAACGCCGGCCATCGCTGCAACATCGAAGAGGAAAAGGCTCCTTTGCTTCGAGCATTGCGCTCCTCGACCCGCTCAGCGATCGTTGGGGCTCAATGAGCAGCCAGGGTTATGAAAAGGACAATGCGGCCCTCACATCACTCGACGAGGCCTTTGCTACAGCGGCGGCAAAGTATGGACATGCAAACTTGCCTACGCTCGTCTCGCCGACATCGCCCGCAATGGCCTCCTCTCCACGCTTGCCAGCTTCTATATCGGACCACGTCAAGTCACCGTCATCATCCACCTTTGACATCGCTGGCTCGTCGGGTAAGAGGTCGTTGTCGACGTCCAACGAGCATCGGTATGACTCAGCCGGAGCAGCGCCAACCAAGGAGCTTCTCCTGACGCAACTACTCGCTTCGCTGGCCCACGTTGACGCTCAAGCTTACGAGCCGTTGAGGTCGATCGAAGAGGTCGAACAATGCAAGGCGGAGGTGAAGCGGCTCGAGAAGAAGATTGTCGACCTGACACACAAGCTCAAGGTTGAAATGAGGGTCCGTGACGCCGCCGACAAGGTCCGTCGCGCGCTGTCGTCCTCCTCGGGAAGCAAGGCTGCCAAGTCGACCTTCCATGCGAGAAGCGCAAGCTCGGCAAGCAGCACGAGCGTCGCCACGAATGCACCCGTCAGTGCGACGAACGCGCCGGCCACGTTTGAGGAGCTGCAGAAGGCAGAATTGGACGTGGTACAGGCTCGCCGGAAGGTCGACGAGGTGTCAAAGGTCCTTCTCGAGCACAAAGACCAGGCCAATGTGGCCCGACGTCGGCTGCTGCAACACGAGGCAAAGGTACTGGCTTTGCGGGTTACTAGTCTGGAGAGCCAAGTCGTCGACATGGGAAGGATGCTCTCGGAGCAGAGCAATCGCGACGAGGAGACCGAAGAGGAGGAGGCTGCCAGCAGCAGCGGTACCGGTGGCGGTGATGGCGTCCGATCGACTAAAAAGGTTGGGCACAACCTCGCGGTTGAAGAGGTAGAGGCGCTGAGGCTCAAGGTTGAGCGGGCAGAAGAGAGCCTGGCCCACGAGAGGCGGGAGAGGGAAAAGGAAGTCGAGAGCTGGCGCAAGAAACACGACGAAAACCTCGAGAAGCAGCGCCTGGAATCGTCCGACAAGCTCAAAAAGGAGCGTCAGGAGGGCGAGCGCAAGCTACAGCGTGTCGTGGACGAAGCCAACCGAGAAAAGCGAGAGCTCGAGAAGCAGAAGGCAGAGGCTGATGCCCAAATAAAGGAAGCCAAGGTCAAGGTGGAAGAAGCTGGAGTCAGTCTGGCGACGGAGCGTGCCGTCATGAGGGACCACCGCCAGCTTCTCGAGGCCTTTGAGCGCAAGCTGGAAAAGACCGAGAGCAAGTTGAGGCACGAGGACGAGCGATGCGCAAAGATGTTGGGCAAGACAGAGGGTCGTGAGGAGATGGACGATCTCCTGGCTCAAATCAAGGCTGGCTACGGGAATGCGCCAAAGAAGGGCGAAAAGAAAACAGCGGGCAAGGACATCGATTCGCTCCTCGATAGCTTGGCCACGCACATCTCGGACATGGCAGACGAAATGGCCAAGGCTGGAGGTGTCTTTAAGCAGAGAAGGAGAAAGATGCGCCAAGAAGAAGGACACTTCTACGATGAGGACGAGGAGTCGATGGATGGCGCGGAAGAAAGCGAGGAAGACAATGATCAGTCCAGTCGAGTTCGAGAGATGGAGCTCGAGCTTCGATCGACGGAGCGCGAACTTGAAAAGTGGCGAAGCGAGGCTGAAAGTGCAAAGAGGCAGCTCACCGTCGTGCAGCGCAACAGTGCCATCAGTGCCACGGGAAGCAGCATCATGGGCGGTGGCGTGGGCTCACAGGCCGGCCGCTCCTTCGATGGTCACCTTGGCAGCCGTGACTGGAGAGCATCGCGCGGCATTGCCTCGAACGCGACGGCGACAGCTGAGCTCGAAGCGCGCGTCACTTTCCTCGAAAAGCGAAATGCCAGCCTCGAAGAGGAGCTAACGCAGGCAAAGTTGATGCCGTCGCCCTCTTCTTCGAGCTCCTCGCCTGTCAAGGTTCCCGGTGCCCAGCCTAGCAAGGGAGACGACGCCTCAGCAAGGCAGCAATTGGCCACGGCGAAGACGACGCTCAGCAGTCTGATCGAAGCTTTGCCAGAGATTCCCAGAGCTCTGGTTGCTGCAACAACGACAGATGACAGCTTTGACCTGGATTCGCTGCAAGAGGCCCTAGACCAGCGGACGGCCACGACCAATGTGGCCAAGCTAGCTAGCCGATTCGGTGCACAGGCCAAGCCGTCAGTGGAGTCGGCCATCGACGCAAAATACGGCGGTCAGGTGGTGGAGAGGGCCAGAGGCGTGCTGACAGCTGCTAGACTGGCTGTAAAGCGGGCCATGGCGCTGCAACAGATGCGCGCGTCGCTGGAGCGAGAGGCAGATGAGGCTCAAGAGCGATGCGAGGATCTCAACCGGGCGATGGAAGATCTTCGGAATGGTCAGGCTGACCAGAACCAGCTCGTGGAAGCCGCCAAGGCTCGCGAGAAGAAGCTGTGCGTCTTGACGCTCTCTGTTTGTCTTCTGATGTGATGAAAGCTGACGTTCTTGTCTGAATTTCAGAGAGTCTACTGTTTCCGAACTCAAGGCGAAGATGGAAAAATTGAAGAAGGCCGCGGCCGCCGGCAGTCATTCCGCCACCACGGAGAGCATCCACCCTAACCCTTCGCCGATGCTCACGCCTGCTCAAAGCAATCACAGCATCTCGTCTTCCGTAATCAATCAGGGCCTCTTGATGGCTCCCAACAAAGCTCTGGCACCTTCGCCGTCGCCGTCAAAGCGGCAAGTGGGTACGGTTGCTACGCCAGTGATGAATCGTTCGCCAGTCTTCAGCCTGGCGCAGACCTACAAGAGCTCCTCGGCCCCATTTACTGAGCAGTACGCGATGTCGAAGGGCAAAATTAGTCAGAGCAGCAGCACTGGTTCGACCGTCTCGCCCCTGGCGTCAGCGTCGGCATCCCTCTACGGACCTTCACCTCACCGCCGAGCCAAGGACCTGCCAAGCTTGCCCAGCACAGAGGAACAACTCATGGATTCTCCCTCGGCGCAGCTCCGTCGTCTGCAGTTGGAGTCTGAAGCAGCTCTTAACCCTTCGCCTTCGGTCCCACGCACGATCACATTGGGCATGGACACGCGCCAGCTCATTGAACGAGTTCGAGCGCTCGAGACAAAGCTCGTCGACGTCAGCAAGCGCTCGAGCCCGTCTAATGATGCGGCGCGGATCAACCGTATGCTGCAGGAACGTCTAGACGAGAGTCGAGCAGAGATGGAGCGGATGCACTTGGAGTTCGAGGAAATCAAAGAGGTCGACGCTCGACAGCGCGTGCAGCTCCTGGAAGAGCTGTCGACGCTCACGTCGGAGTTGTCAACGGCCAGGGCGGACTTGCGGGCGGCTCAGAGAAAGGCCGGTTGATTCTCTGTTGGTGCCTTACCCCACGCACCTTACTTTCTTTATTCACGAGTGGACCGATCAAGCAACACTGTAATACCATATACCATCACAGCCACTCGCACATACTCCCTCGCCCCTTGTTTGAACCGTGCATTTGTGTAAGTTGGTGTGCGGCAACCTTACAATCTGTCCCATCTTGCCGTGCTCTACCGCTTGGCCAGAAGGGACTTGACTGTCTCGCTCTCCCCTTCGCGGCTCCACCTTGGCCTCGGAAGCTCGAGGCCATGGGTTGAGCGGAGGTAGGTGATGCCGCCACCTCGGGCGATGGGGAGGATATCGCCAGGCGAGAGGCTGCCGTCTGGCTGAATGATGCCTGAAATGACTGTGGTCAGCTTCTGCACCTTTACTTCTCCTGGAACGGTACGGCACTGTACTGTACCTTCGTTTAGGATGTATGCCCGAATGCGGCCAACGATGATCTTGCCCGTCTCTTTGCCATCGTCGTCGAGTAGGCTCATTGAATCGTGCAGCTCACACTCGAGCGAATAGGCAGATTCACCCACCGTCGGCGGTGCGTCTCCTTCCTCGGGCCAGTAGCGCGAGGGGCTGGGCGTGAGGCCGCTCAGGTCCCACTCCGAGACGTCGTGGGGCGCATCGATTGACGTGTAGTTGGCAGCTTCAACAAATGACTCGGAGATGATGTTGACAGAGAAGCTTTGGAAAAATGGTCGAGTGTGAGACTATGTTCTCTAGCCAAAAAAAATAAAGAGGAGGGGGGGAGTAGAAGGTAGTCACCGTTTGGTCTCGAGGATGTTCGCCGCACTGTCCTTCTGGCCTGCTTTGGCAGAGTTGAACGAGATCATGACCTAATTTGATCCGTGTCGTTCCCTAGGTGTCAGTCCTTCCAGGAAAGTTTGGATGAAGCCTCTCAAAGACTGACCATGGGAGGCTTGTGCCCCACAGCGCCAAAGTAGGAGAAAGGAGCGAGATTCCGTTTGCCCGTTGCGTCGTGCGACGAGACGAGGGCAATTGGTCTGGGTATGATGCCGCCTCTTCAAGACACGAGAGAGAAGGGTGGGGGAAGGGGTGATGAGCAGGCAAGGAGACGGTCAGATCAGAAAGACAAACTCACACGATGAGCTTGTAGTTCTCTGCATCGCCCAGTTCGTCTGCGCGAAGCATCTCTTTCCTCCTTTGCGACCCATTGCCAGACGGATGACCGTTGGCCCCAGTGCCCGTCTTCCACGCAGGATCCGGCGTCTTGGTCGCGACATAGTCCAGGGCCTCGAAGTCAGGGCGGGATCGCTGCACCTCGTCAAAGGGAGGACGTTTGGCCCTGCCTTGCTGTGCATGCCGAGCTGACGTTGACAAGACCCGTCTGCTGCCCGCTGCCACGACCGGGCGATACAAGGCACGGCTGAGCGGCATCATCCTCTCTATGGCTTTCGTCGACGTTCGTAAAGCTCCCAGACGCTAGCTGTCACCTCTGATCAAGTGGAGGCGAGACAATTTTTACAATGAGAGGAGCTGGTATAGATACATGATGTTGGCAACACGACTTTTCACTCCAGCAAGCCAGCAAGAATCTGAAACACCCGCTCTTGCTTCTTGCGTTGCCCCTGGTCCTTTGTGACGTAGAAGCCTGGTACGCCCAACCTCTCCAGTCTTTGCTGCTGCTCAGTATAGACCTCGTCCCACCGGTTTAACGCCTTGAGATCCCACTCTCTGAGCTGGTTCCTTGTTGGTGCTGGTCTCCTCTTGAGCATCTCTTCCCGATGCGATGCCAGCTTCTCTTCAACAGAGTCCTGATCGGCCTTGAGTTTGAGCAGCGCAGCCAGGAAGCTCTCGTCCTTTGATAGACGAGCGAGGTGTGGGAGCGCCTGCGCTAAGGAGACATGACGCAGGTTGTCACTACCTGAAGAGGCAGTTCTCTGTCGCTTTGCTGAAGCCACGCTATCTTCGTCGTGCTCCTGCGCCGCTGGCCCATCGCGCTTCTTGCTCGCCTCGTTGCTGGGAAAAGGCTCTACGGGGTGCGAAGGAGCAGGCGGCCTCTCCTGCTGCCGCCTCAGTGTCGCGAGGAGCGCCTGGACGCCGTGCGGGTCCTCTGTGCTCTGGTGGGACCGATTTATCAACATATATCGCTGAAAGTGACGAGAACATGCATCTTTCCTCACCTTTGTGAAGTCCATCTGGGCATCCTCATCGTTTCAGAAGGGAGAGAGAAAGAGAGAGAAGCTACAGAGGGTTGAGGACGGCGCGACTGGCTCCTCTGTTCGGATTTCGGAACTTGAGTCTGGCTGCTAGACACCCGCGCCTCTCTTTCTCCTCCATCTAGAGCTACCTCTGAACCCCTCGCTGAGACACGACACGATGGATGCGCCTTCGTCGCGCGGCGGAGGCAAGTCTGGCGGAGGCGGTGCGTCCCGAGGAGGCGGTGGAGGAGGAGGCAAGGGTAGATCAAAAGCAAAGACGCCTCGACAGGGCTCGGTTGATTCCATGGGAGGAGACGCGACGGCGATGACGACGTCGACGTCGACGTCGACGCCTACAAAGGCCAAGAAGGCCAAGGGCAAGGGTCGACCGCCCGGCTCTGGGTCAGGCGGCGCCAAGGGTGGGAAAAAGGGGCGGAACAGGAGCGAGACGAGGGAGAGCAGCCTGGCGGGCAGGGGCTCGGCCGTGCCGCTCGACCAGGAAGACGCCAGAGGCGGTCCTTCGTATGGAGATGGAAACGAGACACGGTATGGGAACGAGGAAGAGGAGGACGAGGAGGAGTACGAAGAGGCAGGCGCTGGCGGCGAAGATGGCGCAGAAGATGAGGCCGAGGGTGACGACGAAGGGCTGCTCGAGGAGGACGAGTGGATACGGCAAGAGGCCGTTCAAAAGGCCCGGCAGGCCAACATTGGGTGGGTGGACGGACCGATTCCTCTTCCTTTGCCCTCTGAGGGGAGAATGATCCCAATACTGACCTTGTGACAATGCGAAATAGGCCCCTTGTAGATGCAATGACCGAGGACCAGCGCGAGCGCTTCTTTGCTTACCGCTCGCAGAAGCTCGAGAAGAGACACGTCCGCAGACTCGTCAACCACCTCACCAACCAGAGCGTCACCGACAGCGTGGCCACCCTCGCAGCAGGTGCGGCCAAGATCTTTGTGGGCGACATCGTCGAGCGAGCCCGGGCCGTGCAGCAAGAAAAGGGACAGGCAGGCCCGCTCAGGCCAGAGCACCTCCTCGAGGCACACCGGCTCTACCGGGAGGAGAGAGAGAAGCCGGGCAGGTATCCACCGGGAGCACCCAACGCAAGCGCAGGTGTGGCAGGGAGCGGCAAGAGGAGGCGGATGTTCTAGTCCTTTGTTCATCAATATTCCATCAATGTATCTCTATCATGGTAGCACGCTTGGCACATTTGTCTTTCTCCTACTCTGCCTTCTTGGCCTGCCTCGCCTCGATCTTCTCCAGTTCTGATAGCCGCTCAGCCAGCGAAGGGTGACTGTAGTGATAGGCACTGTAGAGGGGATCGTGGTGCATCGTCGCAAGGCTGTTGTTGAGAGATTGTGAGAAAAGCCCTTACCTCCTCTCTAAAAGAAGCTTTTACGGTCCGCTTACTCACTTTTGCACATGGAGCTTGATCAGAGCTCGACCAAGCAGGGTGATGTAGGACTCCTTGTCGTGGACGTCGACGGGCTTCTCGCCGGGAAGGACGTCATTGGCATTGTACACCTCGGCAGCCCTCTTCTCGGCCTCTGTCGCAGGTGCACGCGGCTGCAAGGCGGCAAAGCTAGAAATTGGTTTTGGCCTCGGTCAGCTTGCGAGGTTGCGTCAAGAGAGATGAGAAGATGAGCACCCACCGATCAGCGGCATACTCCATGCGTCGCACGGCAGCATTGATGGCAAACTTGAGAAGCGAGTCGGTAGGAGAGAGGACGAGCTGGAAGAGCTCAAAGCCAATGACGATGGGTAGGTAGCCGACCTGGACGGAGCTGGCAGCATTGATGGTGCCAGTGATCTGGTGCGATGCCTCGCTGATCTTTGCGGCAATGCCGGCCGTGGTACTGAGATTGAAGCCAAAGGCGCGAAAGAGCGAGGCGTTGTGGATAAAGAGGGTAAAGAGCGACATGGACAGAACAATTTGCATCTGGCCCAGCGTCAGCAGCTTGGCCGGGTCCGAGTGAGCCCAGTGCTGCTTCAGGAGTCAGCAAATGCACACAATACCCCTCTCTCTCGCGCGCGCGCGCCCCGCTTGGGCCCAAGATGGCAGACTCACCCCCAGCTCGTGCGCGAGGACAGCCTCGATCTCGTCGGGCGTGCTCTTCTCGATGAGCGTGTCGTAAATGACAATGTGCTTGGATCCGCCGGGGATGGCACCGTAAAAGTAGGCGTTGCTGTGGGCGCTGCGCTTGCTGCCGTCAATGACGTAGATGCTCTTGAGGGGAAACTTGAGCTGACGGGCGAGGGCCACGACGCGGTCGCGCAGGGCCCCTTCGGGCAGCGGCGTCAGCTTGTTGAAAAGCGGCTGGATCAGCGTCGGATAGAGGACCATGGCGATGATCTGAAAGGCGAAGAGAAAGACGACGACGTAGGCTATTTGATGAAGGTCGGATGTCAGCATCGAAAAGGGCGCGGACCAGTTAGTCAGACGACACCCACCAACAAAGCCATCACCGGCCCATCGAATGAGCTTGATGAGGCCAGCCATGAGCGGACCTACGAGACAGACGCCGACAAACCACTCCTTTACGCCGTCGATGAAAAAGGTGCCAAGAGTCATCTTGTTGAAGCCGTGCTTCTCCTCCAGGACAAAGTGCCGGTACAGCGAGACGGGAAGCATAGGCACCGAGGTGATCAACTGCGAGATGAGAAGGAAGAGAAGCGAGTGTGGAATCTTGGATCGGATAAGGTGAAGACTTCTGTGTCAGTAGCTTCTGGCCTTGTGGTCAAAGAAAGGGGTGAGGCCGCTCGGCACACTCACCTCGCCATCAGACTTGTATCCCAGCAGGGTCATTACGTGGCCCGCAACGTTCCAGACACGCGCATAGGCATGGAGGGAGATGAGCGTGGCGGCGAGGGCCCACTCCAGCACCATGGTGACGAGCGAAAAGCGGAGCTTGTCCCTGCCATATGCTCTGCTCTTCTCGAACGTCTCGAGGGAGACGTGAGGGGCCAGTGTTGGGGGCGGCGCCGGCTTGCGGTACTGGCGCAGCTGGCGTAGCGAGACAAATAGTTCAAAAGCCAGGACAGAGAGGAGAAGGACATGGATCGTGGAGATCCACGGGATGCGGTCATCATCGAGGGCCAGCTGAAGACGAGCAATGCTCGTCGTGACTGCGTCCATCGTCCTCGTCGCCGCTTTGGGTTGTGGTCCAAAAACAAGAATCCTGGACGCGTTCTTCCTAATTCGCCTCCGCCTCTCGAGCGAAAGAAAAGACTGAGGCAACAAGCAAGTCAGGCAGTGCAAATAGGAGAAAAGTGTTGATTGACATTAAGAAACGTCCGCAGGACAGAGAAGGAAAGGCAAATGGCAAGGCCACAACAATTGTAGAGTGGAAGAAAACGTCCATCGCGAATGAGGTCTATGAATAAGAAATTAAAAGAGGGGGAATGCAGTGAGAGACTTGATGAACGGTCGATGATCGGAAGGAAGCATGTTGTGAGCCAGTGTGCGTGTGTCGGGTAATGAGGGGGATGCTGGGGTTTCTTTTCTTTTGTCTTCTTCTTCTTCTTCTCAGAGTCGAGCCGGCGGCGCAAGGGAGAGCTTAGAAGAGGAACGCGCCAGCGAAGAGACCACCGACGAGGGTGAAGACCGAAACCGTGAGGGCGCTGGCGCCGCTGCTACCCCCGCTCGACGACGAGGAGCTGCTGCTGCTGCTGCTGCTACCGTTCGAGCCCGTGCTCGCCGACGAGCCACTCGACTTGGTCTTCGACAGGCTGCTCGAGCTGCTCGAGCTGCCGGACACCAGCGAGGCAATGCCGTTGGAGATCGTCGACGTAGTCTGGCAGTTGGACGTGGCAGGCGTCGAGTAAGCAGCCGTGGGCGTGACTTCGTCGGGGGAGCCGTTGACGAAGGTCTGGACATCACCGTTGGCGGTGTTGGTGTAGACCGAGGAGAAGTACTGGACGAACGTCGACGTGCCGCCGCCAGGCAGGACAAAGTCGCCGGGAGGGTAGGCGGCGTCACCGTCGCACGTGTCAAAGACATTGTCGGCGTAGTTACCGGGCATGACGAAGTTGCATCCCATCTCGTCGAGCGTGTGCAGGCACTCCTCGGCGGTGCTGACCTGGCTCGTGGCAGCAATGCAGACACGGATGCAGATTTCGTTGGCGGCAACAAAGTTCATCCACTCCTCGTAGAAGACATCCTTGCCGGAAACGTTGGACGTGACGTTGCCGCCGATGGGGTTGCCCATGTTTGTGGCACCGTGAGGGTCAAGCTCACCGCCCATGTCGCCGGGCGCAAAGCCGATCTTGGTAAAGTCACCGAGGGCCATGACCTGGACGTAGAGGGGCGTCTTGACAAAGTGAGCACCCGTGATGGTTCCGTCGGGCTGTCGTCATGGCAGACACGTCATTAGTAAATTTCAAGAAAGAAAAACAGCGGCTAGAAAATAAGGGTCCTACTCACAATAACACGGGCGTTGTTGCGAGCCTTGGTGCAGTACGCAACAGTGATTGCCTCTGAGTCAGCAATCGTGGCATTCTCCGTGGGTGGGCCAAAGGTGCACCAGTCGTCAATCGAGTTAACCGAGACAAGGCGGGCCATCGACGTCTGGTTGATGGCCGTGCCCAGCTTGGGAGTATCGGGGTTCGTGGGGCCATTCTTGTTGGCACCAACGACACCGGCCAGGTTAGCGTTGGGAGTGCCGTAGGTGAACTTGTCCTGGGCGGTGACCACCGCGCCGAGCGAGGCGACGGCGGCCACGAGCGTAGTCGCTGAGAAGTGCATGCTGGTCAGGTGGCGCGTTGGCTGGCAACGTTTGCAAATCGAGAGAGAGAGAGGAGAGAGAGAGGAAAAGATTACTGCCTAAAAGAAAATGAGAACAAAAGAAGAGAGCGTGGTCTTGACCTTTCCTTGTCGACGACGAGTTGCGCGACGGCAGAGGAGAGGGGTAGTGGGAGCGGTGAAAAAGGTGGTGATGAGGAAAGGAAGGGAGCGGGTCCAGATGGGATGTGTTGCACTGCCCACCTGGCCAGGCTTTGTTTGTCACCTTTAAACGAGACTCAGGCCGACCGCCGCGCACACCAACGAATAAGAAAAAAAAATAAAGGAGCCCCCGAAACTACCTCAAGGCTAGGGCGGCACGCGTCGATCGGCTGCAAATACAAATTTTGCTCCTGTTGAATTCAAGTTCACGACGAAAACCCCTAACTCTTCTAAATTTAGGATCCGCATACGTGAGGTGCCGAAGAAGCCACTATTGACGCATCTCCTGCGCGCGCAAGGCGAGCCGACGATTTCAGGACGCAGGCTCGGAAGGCTGGGTCCAGGCTCGACTACTGCGTCTTCTCCCTTTCCCTGTGCCTCGCAAGGAACTCCGTGCCGGCGGGTCGTGTGCCCTTGACGAGGAAAGCGTGAGGCTCTAGCTGTACCATGAGCGCTGGCAACAAGGCACTTCTAGAAATAAGAATCATCGGTCGGGCTTCCTGCCTGGGGCATATATTGGCCAGAGTTTAATCGCGCTCCGTCACGCAGACGAAAAAAAGAAGGAAAGTAGGCGCATTCTCGCGAGGCGTTCGCTTGCATAGATTACATTATTCTCGAGGCGAAGAATTGTGCGGCAAAGATAATGATTCCTGGGTTCATCCGGGGACATCGTCTGTCACCCAGCCTTGCAGTTTCGCCTCGTCGAACACAGGGACGAATCGACCTGGGTACGTATCACGTGGAGCTAACCAATCGCGTTGAGTCCGACGTCGCAGACTTGTGTTGGTCAAGCAAGGGAAGCCAGAACAGCAAAGAAGCACGCGTATGAGACATTGAGGAGACCTCGATCTTTGTAAGACAGAAGAATTTGATTACATTGTGACTTGTTTGCTCTTTTCATCGACGACAAGCTGAAATACATCGGGCCGGGCATAGTGACCTGCGCTGTCAAAGTCCATTCTGGCCTCGAGAATCGTGTTGCGGTCCACTTGTGCTGTGAGAATACCCCGCCGGTCAAAGAGTGGCCCCGCCAAGATGTTGCCCAGGGGGTCAACGATAAGAGAGCCGCCCCTGGTGATGATCTCGTCTTCGGGCTTGTCCTGGAACGCAGGGTAGTCCGCGGGCAGGTCGCGCTTCTCAGTGTACTGGCAACAGCTCACGACAAAGCAACGGCCCTCCTGAGCGATTGTTTGCATCACGGGGGCCCACGAGTCCCTACAATCGGCAGTGGGTGCTGCATACAGCTCGACGCCCTTTGCATACATGCTGAGGCGAAGCTGGGGCATGAGATTCTCCCAGCAGATGACGGCGCCCACCCGGCCCACCGGCGTGTCTGCCACTCGAAGTCCAGCACCATCGCCTTGGCCCCACACTAGGCGCTCTGTACCCGTTGGCATCAGCTTGCGGTGTGCTACGAGCAGTTCTCCCTGCGGCGAGATCGTGAGCGCGGTGCCTGATTGGTGCGACGATTCAGTGACAATTATTCAGATTAAGAAAAGGTCAAGGGATAATCTCCGCCTCACAGTAGAGTGTTCCGTGCCCGCCAGCATTCTCGCTTCCATAGCTCGCCATCGGGGGGCCGCTGGCTGGCTCATCGCACCGCTCAATGACGCCCACGACGAGGGTGACGTTGTTCTCGCTCGCAGCCGCTCTGATCGCCGTCATGTGCGGGCCGTCGACGTGAGCGACGGGCACCGAGGATTGGTGGTACCTTCGGAACCAGGTGCGGCCTTCGGCAGCCCTCGATCCAACTTTGGCGCCAAAGTCGTAGCCTCGCGGGTAGCAGCACAAAAAGGCCTCGGGAAAGACGACGAGAATGTCACCGCCGTCATTGCCGTGGGCCCGGCGAGCCTCCTGGGCGGCCTTACGGGTCAGCGTGTGCAGCTTGGCAATTGATGCATCGAGGTCAAACGCCACCGGCGAGTCCTGAACCGCTGCAAGAATAAGTGGACGTCGCTCGTCCCCACGACTCATGATTGTCGACGTTCGAAAGCCTCTTTCTACAAGAAGAATCGAATCGCGATGTTGACTCGACGATGCATCGGCGTGGGGTGGAGGCATCGTTAGATCTCGTGCACGTGTCTACAGCCAAGCCGTGTCGTTGACGGGCCTCTTTGAGCGAGCTGCAGTTGAATTCATGTCTCTGAAGCAGTCATCGGGACAGACATTGAGCCTTCCTGAGTCTAGAGGAAGTAACATCGTGATTGACTAGAGCCTCTTTGTGCAGTGTGCAACGAGGAAAAACATGGTCTGATCGCGAAGGAAGCAATCGAAACAAAAAACATGTAACAATTTGACAGAAAATTAAACAACATGGGCCCCTAGAGGCATGCATACAACGCTTGAACACTGCACGACGACGACGAGAAGGATCACGACCACGGCCGCTCACCCTACCTCTGTGCGCAGAGAGCGGTAGAGGTCCGGAAAGAGCATGAACGAGGAGGCAGGAGAGCCAGCGGGGCTGTCGGCCAAGCAGCGGCGAGCCTTGCGACAGCGCCAGGACCCTCATGGCCTGCACCCTTTTAAGCGCCTCTTCATTGGACCCTCTCCCGTGCCGTCTTCGTCAGCGGCCGCCGTGGCCGCGGCCATTGCAGAGGATGTGGCAATCACCAAGCCCAATGCCATCGCGGTGGCTGGCCAGCAGGGCTCCGTCATGGTGGCTTCGCAAGATCGCAGGTCGTCGCACGACTCGAGCAGTACACAGCACCTCGCAAGGGCTCCAGGGCCCGACGGAGCGCCCGAGAGATCCCAAGAGCCATCCCGGAAACGGTCTAACAGCTTCCTCCGTCCGCTGTTCCCCTCCTCTTCTCCTTCCCAAGACCGGACGATCAGCCCTCGTGGCTCAACCGCTCGCCCCGAGCTCGCATCGCTGACGATCCCTGGCGGGCCCAGCCCCGATAAACGTCGCGCCGTGCGGGACAGCTCGGTTGCCAGCATCGACAAGCGGCCTCGGGCTGTCACGCGTGACGCATCGATGGCCAGCTTCGCAAGCGCCAAGTCAAGGCCGTACAGCTCCATGAGCGAAACAGAGGCAGACGACGGCACCCGGCAGCCAAGGTCGCATGGGAGGGATGACGGCACATTGACAGACAGAGCGACTTCTTCCTCGCCAACAAAGGTCCGCAGCTCTTCTCCGCCCTTTCTGTCTCGTCCGCGCGGCCTGTCGAGCGATCGGAGGCGCGCGAGCCGCAGCGCTGTCGAGACGGGCCCGATGAAGGCGGTGCGCAAGAAGCTCTCGTTTGACATCGCCGCAGATGCGAAATCGAGAAGGGGCAGATCCGAGGGCGACTACCAGCAAAGTGTACATGATGGAACGTCGAAGCAGACGTTGGACTTGGACATGCGCAGTGATGAAGAGGAAGAAGTGGCTTCGCCAACGTCGCCCATCTCGCCTTCGAGCAGGCCAAACAAAGGAAAAGCGGCGATGGCGGCGTCCTCGTCCTCAGGGCTCCGTGGTGCTGCCTCGCATCCAACAATCGGTCGCACACAGTCTCGGTCTCAAGACGACGCGAGCAGCAGCTACACTGTCCGTACCGCTCGAGGCGCTGACGGTGGCATTCCGCGCACTGGCTCCTTTCACTCACATCGCTCTTCGAGCCTGACTCGGTCGCAAGGAAGAGCCTACGCACGCAACAGCGTCGGCGCAGGCGGTCACAAACACGTTGAGGAACCAGACGACGACGACGAAGAAGAAGAGGTGAACGACGCTGGCGGGGTGCCAGAGGCCAGCCACGACCGTCGGGTTTCGATCGCTGCGCAGAACAACCTGGGCCACAAATCCAGGCAATCGCTCGATGAGCGGCGAGAGAGGTCTCGGCAGAGGTCGAAGATGCTCGGGCAGGGTGTTCCTGTTGGCTCGACGGGCGCGCTGCACGGTCGGTCGTCGTCGAGGATCCACGGCCGCGACATTTCGAGGCAGAGCCGCATGAGCAGGGCCAGCACAGCAGGCACGCTCGGCAGCGTCGGCACGCGCTTCACCGAGGGAAGCTTTGGAGCCAGCGGTGGTGTACGATCCCGATTCTTCACCTTCTTTGGGAGACGTCGCGATGGGCCTAGCGAGGCAAAGGCGAGAGACATTCAGCTAGACAACATTCGACATGGAAGGAAGTTGTCGGCCAAGGGCGGTGTCGTCGCTGGTGCCGTTGGAACCAGTGCAGGAGGGACGAAATGGGTCGGACAGACGTTCGAGGTGGGCAAGAGGTTCTGGGAGGTGATTGAGAGTCGCGAAGAGCAGCTGGCGGACGAAGAGAGGGCCAAGGGACATCATTTCGGCCCCAACGATGTCGTAACCGAGGAGCAGGATGAAGATGAAGACGAGGAAGAAGACGAGGGAGAGGAAGACTATTTGGCCAGGATCCAGCATGGCCGACCTCGCGATCGACAGATGACCAAGAGTCCCTCGGACGTGCTCAATACGTTTGCGCGCCAGGCCAAGCAAGCTTCCAGGACCGACAGTGAGGAAGTCGATGACAGCGACGGTCACCGGCCTCCGACGCCAGCGCTTGTCCCAAACGAGTCGGAGAGCGACGGCTCATCGCCCCAGAGACGGACACCCGGTACGCCAGCGCCACCCAACGTGGTCGTGGAGAGGACTTCGGAGGACTCAAAGCGACCGCTCTCGGCAGGCGAAGAACACAAGCGCAAGAGTCTTCACCATGAAAACTCGGCTGCTTCGCTCCTGACGGTGCCTCACGAGCGTGGACCCGATCACGAGTCATCGTTTGACATTGAGAGCAGGCAAGGATGGAGCGATGTCGTGAGCTTTATGACGGCCAACAGCAGCTTCAAGGGTAGCGACCGAGGACGAAACGACTTTGGCAGCCTAGTGGAGAAGAGCAGAAGGGCTTTTGATCACGGTCTCGACGGAATTCGAGCTTCGCGACATTCAAACAGTCGAAAGAACACCTCCGACAAGAAAGACGGGAAGATCAGCGACTTGGTAACAAGGGTCATTCGTGAAGCAAGTGGAAGCATATCCGAAGAGATTCGAGCTAATCGTGCCGGCGAGTCGAGCGTTCAGACGCTGGGGAGGGAGCCCATGTCGCCTCGGGAGGCTGCTCAGCATCCCGAGCCTCCACTCGACGTGGAGGAGAAGTTACCGGAAGAGGCTTACGAGCTACTCCGCAGGACCAGTGATCCAGGCTGCCGACCAGACGCGGACCCTTCCAACGATGCTGCCAGTGACACGGCCGTCATAATGCAGAGGACTGAGTCGCCCGTCGATGCGTCGAAGGGAAACACAAACGTCGAGTCGCCCATGGAGCATGAGCCTATCGCATCAGCACAGCCAGGCAACAGGGCGCCATTGATCCTTGAGCCGAAACGAGCAGAAGGCCAAAGTAATATCAGGTCAAAGGAGAGATCGGTGCAGTTCCAGGATGGCGACCGATTGCGAATCCCACTCACCGGGACAGGAAGGAGCTTGAGCTCCTCTCTCTTCGCTCGCAATAGCCCTTCGAGCGAGCCTGGACCTGCGAGCGTGCTACTTGGCGGCCGACTCCGGGGCCACACCTCTTCGGGTGATGCAGCCCCTGCGCCGCCAGAAGAGGTCCTGTCTCGAGATCATACGCCAGACGAGTCCGCACACAATTCGATTTCAAAGAGGAGTCCGAGCAGAGAGCTGCAGCAATACACTGGAGAGGATGAGGTCGTCACTCGAAAGTCCGTCCTCAAGAAGGACAGAATGCTTGTAAAGACGGCTTGGTCCCCTTCCGAAGACCTTCCAAAAGACTTCAACGAGCGCGAGCACCGCAAGTACCCTCTTTTCATGGGGGATTTTCGAGAGTATCTCGTTGTCCTCCGCATGGGCAGACTGGAGTTGTGGGATGACCCGGTGAGTGCTCAAGCGTGCACCGAGACGTAATTGAAAAGCGGGAGCTGACGAATTCTTTCCCTGTCCAGTCATTCACCTCTAGACTGCTTGGTCACAACGACCGTCTGACGCTGGAAATGACGGTGCCACTGCAGAAAGGAAAGACGTTTGCCTCGATCTATTCGCCTATCGATCGGATCTTCTGCATCACGTTTGCAAAGGATGCCGACCATCGAGGCCTGCTTGAGCTGCGCAAGTCGGGCACTCACGTGCTCCTCTTCGACGCCAGGAGCCAATCCATCGGGTCAGACTGGATGTGGGAACTGTGGCGGGAATTGGGTGGAACGATACCAGAGAGCCTCGACGTGCATATCCCCATCGTCGACATCCGTGTGCGCATCCCTATTCCCGATGAGATCCCCACCGGTGATGAGGGCGAAGCCGACGGTATACTGGCTTTGCTTCCCAGCAGTGCCAGCCAGCACGGTATGGAGGGCGAGGGCTACAAGATGGCCAATCGACGCAACCTCCTCCATGTGATTCGCACGTTGTGTCACCAAATCCCGCAGTGGGACGAGCTGGCGAAAAAGATCCGAGACATGGGCTTGCGCTACGAGCTGGCATGGCGAAACGAAATCAGCCTTCACTGGATCGCTCACGATCGGACCACGCAGGGTCTATCGCGGGACTGGGCTGTTCTATGCGGTGCGATCATGCCCGAATACAACAAGAAACCGTCGGTCCTCGAATTCCGCGCCGCAGTGCACTACCCGAGCCAGGTGCGCATGCCCAAGGGCAAGGTGTTGACGGAGCCACCCTCAGTGGAAGGCTTCCTCTGGCGCGTAAAAGCTGTCTCGGGCGCCCTCACGAGGCTCTACGTGACCGTCCATGACGGTCATATCTTCTTCTGCCGACCCACGAGGGCTTTTCCACCGGACAGACACCTAGCTTGTGCGACAGAGGACAGCGCGACTGCATTGGCCACTGCTGTTCCTGGTCAGAATCAGGGCATGGATCGCATGGAAGTTGGCAGCAGCACCCATGGTCAGCACCGCACCTACTTCCACCGGCACCCACAACAGGGACCGCACCGACGGGTGACAGACGTGCTCATGGGGAGAAAGAAGCGAGTGCTGCGAGAGGAGAGCCTTGCGGCGCTCCGCGAACAGGTCATGGAGACTGTAGCGGCCGTCGCATCAACGCAGGAGGAGGTCGATGCGCAGATGGAAGCCTATCGAGCCTTTGAGAAGAGGCGCCAGTTTGAGCAAATCAACAATGCCGATGGCTACGTCGACCTTCGTGACATTCTTCTCGTCAAAAGCTGTGGGTCTGGACCTACCTACCGGCCCGGTTCGGACGAGTGCGAAGAGGAGCGGGGAACAGCTCCCAGCAGCGGAACCGCGACCCCCTTGGCAAAGCTCTCCGAGATGGAACGCGCAGACGGAGCGGAGCCAGCCCAGGAGCCCGAGGATGTAGGAGGCGAAGAAGGACTTGCGGCAGCAAAGGACCGTCTTGCTCTCCGTCGAGAACGGCAATTTGAGGTGACGATGGCCAACCACCGCTCGATTCGATTTGAGGCATACTCGCGATCGGTGGCCCGCGAGTGGCTCGAGCGACTGACGGCCCTGGCTCGTTACTGGAAGCGAAGAGAAAAGACCGATGCACTGGAGCTGATGAATGCGAGCGGCTACGATCCCACCTTGATCAGAAAGAGGCTCCAGGAGAGGAGCGAACCCAGGCCCCTAGGAGTATCGGCCGATGCGGAGCGCATCTCCCCAATGCTAGGGAACATCTGGAATTGGTGCACGATTCAGGGGTGCAGGGGGATCATCCGATCAGGGAGGCTGTTCCACAAGAAGAAGGCCTACCAGCCGTTCCGGTCGCGCTACTACATCCTCATTGCGGGTCGCTTGCTCTGCTACAAGCTCATGACCTCGAATCGCACATCGAGGGCCCGTCAAAATTCTGGTATCTTTCATCGGAGGCAGGAAACCGTCGTGCACCTTCGCGACGCCTACGTCTACAGCGGCAAGCTGACCGAAGAGATGCTGCTCAACGGTCGGTCAGAAGGCGCAGGTGGCTTCGGCGCCTCGTTTGGAGAAGGGTCAGGAGGAGCGGCCAGCGCGACGTCGCGCCACCTGCTGCCGCGAGTGTATGCCGATGGCCTAATGAGCGTCGACGGCGACATGGATTGCACTTTTGTCATCCGTTATCGTCCCCAAAGGGTCAATCAGCCCGCTGACCCGCAGGTGGTCGTCAGCACCGGTCTCGACTCCGCAACCCAGGCCGAGGCATCTACTGTTGCGCCTCCTGTCGAGCGAACCACAGAGGCGGCAAATCCGTCTGCATTGCCCACATTGGGGGACAAAACGCACATGAATCTCGTCCTGCGGGCTCGGTCCAAACTCGAGCGGGACCTGTGGGTACACGCCATCAGTGTCGAGATTGAGAGGCTGGTCAGGGACGACAGGGAGAGAGAGGACCGTTTGAGAAACGCAGGCAAGACGCCTTACAAGGCGCATCAACATTATCTATAATTCAATACCCCAGTCGAAGTCATCATCACCCCCATCGGTATCGTCCTCAAGCCATATTATCACAAGAATCGTCTTCAGACACAGATATCATCTTGAAAGAATGCATACATTACACTGTTCTATGCAGCGGCTTTCGGTTTCTTTGCTGTTTTGCGAGCTCAGGTTAGGACGGCGCTCGAAGAAAGACACCAGCAGGGTTCCACTCACTGCCGTATTTAGATCTTGATGTCGTGCGGTTGGCTACGCCACCAAAGTCAAGCGCACCTCTGACGAGATGATATCTGATGGGAGAGGTGTCAGTCTCGAACGTCACCAGAATTGCCTCTCCTCCCACACGCGAGCACGCAACCCACCTGACACCTGGCACGTCCTGCACTCTGCCACCCCTCATGAGCACAACACTGTGCTCTTGCAGATTGTGCCCCTCGCCAGGGATATATGCGGTGACGATTCTCCCGTTCGACAGCTTCACTCGGGCCACTTTTCGAATGGCCGAATTTGGCTTCTTTGGCTTGGTGGTGAAGATTCGGTTGCAGACGCCCTTTACGAATGGCGCACCTTCCAGCGCTGGAGTACGGTTGACAGGAGGGCGATGCGGCTTGCGAGCACCTCGTGCTACTTGCCGGTATGTTACGGCACATGGGCTCGTTGTGCTAAACGCGCAAGAGGCAAGGGCGGACCGAGAAACGAGGGGCGGCAGACGCGAGGGACCGGCCAACGGTGGAGCGGCTCGACGGAGGAGTGCCGTCGTGGCAGGCTTGAGAAATGACATCTGCCAGGCAGTCGTTCGTTAGCATTACTCTAAGACAGCACCGCTGATCCCCTTTGCTCACCATCACGAAGCTCTTGATGGCGACAAACAGTCGACGACGAGAAGAAGCGGCAAAAAATGTCAAGCGCAGTGCAGGGCACGGAATTACCACGTGTGAATTTCGAGCTTTTTTATCCCCTTGCGCATCTTGGGATCTTCCTCTTTTCGAGTCAAAGCTCAGGACTAGACAACATCACCAGCATGATTGACCTTCAGAGTGAGTGTCTTTGCTTCGCGCGGCGTACAAGAATGAGAGAGAGCTGAATTCATGTCCTGTTCGCAGTGCTCCAGCCCGAAAAGGGCGGCGACCCCAAGGTCGTCATCGAGTCGCAGAAAAAGCGAGGCGCGCCCCCGGAGCTCGTCGATACCGTCCTTGCTCTGTACAAGGAGTGGACGACATTGGACTTCCAGCTGAACCGGCTGCAGAAGGATGGCAATGCCGTGCAAAAAGAAATTACGGCCAAGAAGAAGGCAAAGGAGAGCGCCGATGCCGAGATGGAGAAAAAGAAGGAGATTGATGCAAAGATCGCCGAGCTGAAGCCAAAGGTGGCCGAGAAGGAGGCGGAAATGAGGAGCAAGGCAGGGACGATCGGCAACATTGTCGGCGACAAGGTTCCAATCAGCCAGACTGAGGTGAGTAGACGGTCGAGCTCAAGATTAACAAGGTAGCTAAACGAGATTGGCAGGACGACAATGCGCAAATCAAGACCTGGCACCCCGACGGTCCTAACGCCCAGGTGGAAAAGAAGCAGGGAATTCTCTCGCATCACGAGGTTATGATGCGGCTCGAGGCTTTTGACATGGAACGAGGCTCCAAGATCTCTGGTCACCGAGGCTTCTTCTTGACGGGCGATGGCGTCGACCTCAACCAAGCCCTGATCAATTACGGCCTCGATTTCCTGAGGAAAAAGGGCTACAAGAAGATCATGACGCCATTCATGATGCGGAAAAATGTCATGAGCAAGACAGCTCAGCTCGACCAATTTGATGAGGAGCTCTACAAGGTAATTTTTTTCCCTGCATTTGCGCGACATGCTCCTTTTCGTTCTAACATGTTTTTACGACAGGTCACTGGAGATGAAGACGACAAGTACCTTATTGCAACTTCGGAGCAGCCTATCTCTGCTTTCCATTCCGATGAGCTGTTCGACAAGCCCGAGACGCAGTTGCCGATCAAGTACGCTGGCTATTCGACATGCTTCCGAAAGGAGGCCGGCGCCCACGGCAAAGACACTTGGGGCATTTTCCGCGTTCACCAGTTTGAAAAAGTCGAACAATTTTGCATCACCGACCCGGCTTCGTCGTGGGACATGCTCGAGACGATGCTTGCCAACTCGGAGGAGTTTTACCAGTCACTCGGCCTGCCATACCAGGTAGTTGCCATTGTCTCCGGCGCACTGAACAATGCCGCGGCGATGAAGTACGACCTTGAGGCGTGGTTCCCCTACCAGGGCGAATACAAGGAGCTTGTCAGTTGCTCGAACTGCACAGACTACCGTAAGTATTACATCAGTGGGCGATCTCATCTTGCTCTGACACATATCGACGCTTGAAAAAAAAACAGAGTCAAGGAGATTAGAGGTTCAATGCGGCGTCAAGAAGCAGGGTGACTCGAAGAGGAACTATGTCCACATGCTCAAGTGGGTGTCTCCGACAATCGTGTCTCTTGAATTGAGAACTGACTCCGTATCGCAGCGGCACCCTTTGTGCCACCGAGAGGGCCCTTTGCTGCGTCGTGGAGAATTACCAGACACCAGATGGGCTCACGATTCCGGAGCCTCTGCGCCCCTACATGCAAGGACGCGATTTCCTGCCCTTTACCCGCGAGTTGCCAAAAGGAACGACTAGCCAGCAAAAGAAGAAGTAGCCACATCGCCCATGTTCGTCCTTGTAGACTTGACCCAAGTGGTAGCAATTTACTTTCTTCCAACGGCATAAGAACAGAGACTGGGGTTACAGGAACGAAGACACTTTACTTGAAGCCCAGGAAAGACTTGAGAGGCTCGTAGCCGAGGTTCAACTGTCACGAAGGATAAATTAGCAACCTCATCACAAAATATCCTTCCCTACAACCCGAGGTTTATTAAACTCACGTTGTAAGCACCGGCGGCGAGAGTAATGAGCCAGGTACCAACGATGCCGACGGGCCTGCCGATTCCGAGAACGTCATCAGTCTTGAGGCCAAGCTCGGCGTGGAGAACGCGCGAGGCGAGAAGGGCAGTGTAGGCGCCGTGGACAAGCGAGGTGGGGGCACCGTTGAGCTCAGCGAGGAAGATGAGGAAGAATGCGAAGGGAGTCGTCTCGGAGAAGTTTGCGTGGGCGCGAATACTGCGCTTGAGCTTGGCCTCGTCGACAGCATCCGAGGGGCCGGCCTTGTGCTTGGCATCGCGAATGGATCCAGCGCCACCGTCACCGAGCATGACACCGGTCTTGATGCGGAGAGCCATAACATTGGTGCCGAGGTACTATGGATGGTGACATTTGATGAGCTGACTTGCCCACACGACCTTTACCTTTCTTCCACTCACCGTGTAGTAGCCGGCGAAAAGGGCCGAGTGGGCCAGCGAGGCGGGGCTGAGAACGAAGAGAGGCACTGTAACGGTTCAGGGTTAGCATGGAGCCACACAGCAGTCTCTGATGCACACCCACTCTTGTGTCGATTTAAGGACGATACGATGTGGATGGGGAGCTGTTGATGTGTGGGCAAAGGTGGAGGAAGGAAGTAAGCGAAGGGGTGTCCCAGCGCACGTTGACATTTGCACGTGATCTTGCGCACGGCCTCCATTCCACGGCGGCGTCCGTTGATGGCGGCGCCCACGCAACGTCGAGAAAGCCAAGTGAAACAAGCAAAGATGGCTCGCACAGCTGTGCTGCTGGTGTTGGCAGTGCTCGCTGTCTCGCTGCCCGTTGCCAATACCTCGGCGGCACGGTTGGCCAAGCCAGGCTCGACGCACCCATCATTTCCCATGGACGTCTTTTCGAAACCTGCATATAAGCTCGTCTACGCCGATGATGATCCGATCAGCAACCATTCAGCCATAGAGCTGCTGCTACGATATGGCCAGGTCCATGGTACTCAGCCGCAAGCAGACATCGAGACTTTCGATAGGGGCAAGTCTGAAGAGCAAGTGAGTAGATTCACTCGGCCCCGTAAATCATCATTAGCTGAGGCAGGTCAAATAAGCCCGACAACACTCCCTCGAAAGTCTACCTGGAGAGGACGTCTCCCGATACTCTGCACATCTGCAGCATCCCAAAGGCTAAGCCGCCGAGGCAAACCCTGAATTTGGAGCGAGGCACACTGGAACAGCAGCGCTCACGAATCCTCCGCCGTGCCCTCGAGCTCCTCAACCCGCTCAAACAAACTTGCCTCTACCATACCCTGGATTGGTTCACCTATTCTTTCTGCTACGGCGATGCCATCAGGCAATTCAGAGCGCTGCCTGGGACCACGGCTCCGGGAAAGACGCCTGGCATCGACTCCCGAGAAGATAGCTACGTGCTGGGACGGTGGAACGATGGCATCGAGGTCATTGATGGCGAGTCTCATGCGCAACCTTCCAAGTCGTCCAACAATCAGGAGCAGCCGAGTTCTACCGAAGATAGCGAAGCGCGGCCAGTGACGACGACAGACGCAGCAGCGACAAATGATGGAACGGAGCTTATGGAACTCGTACGGTTCCCGAGCCTTGACACCGGCACTTCTCGGCCAGCTGCAGAGAGGAACGCACATGTCAGCGCTGAACAGGTCATAGACGGCGGAGATGGGAGGTACGTTTCTCAAATTTGGTCGAGCGGAACCTTGTGCAACATCAACAACGAGCCGAGGACGACCGAGGTCCAATTTCACTGCTCATCGAGTCCTCCTGTCGACCGCATCTCGCTCATCAAAGAGACGACGACATGTAATTACGTCGTCGTGATCGACACGCCCAAGCTTTGCGAAGAGCCCGCTTTGGCTCCTGTCGAGGAAGACATACGCGACGTGCGATGCCGACCCATTGTCAGCGATGAGGAGCTAAAGGCGCACAAGGAGGGCAAGACGAGTCAACAGCCGAAAGGAAGGATGTCGACTACGAACGAACAGAGTCCGTGGCAAGGCTCTCTCTTCAGCGAGAACGTCAGAGCTGCCGTTCAGGACATTGCAAGCAAAATGGCCGCCAAAAAGACTTCTCGAACAGATCAAGGTGCCGATGGGCCTGTAGCTGCCGACATTGAGCTCGTTGTCGGTTACGATGGGGATGGGAGGATTATGATCGAGCCAAGAAATGAGCACGGCGGCACGATCAACGTTGGAAACGAGGCTCCTGCTGCTCCCCAAGAGCAGCCCGGAACACAAGCGCACAACGCTGCCGGGAATAATGCCAATACTGCCGAGGCAGCGTCAGACTCACGAAACGAACAGCGAAGTGAAAACCCCAAGTCAAAATGGGACGAGCTTGTCCAAAGATTCCTGGCGCTGGAAGACGAGATCATCGGTGGCCTCGAGATGGACGGCATTGCTCCTGAAGAGTACTTCGTCATGGAACCGCCTTTGGAGGATGATTACATGCTTGACGAAGACAGTCCTGAGCAGCTGCAGCCCGATGCCATCAATCCACCAGCTCACCCGGTAGTCAAGCCGGAAGCTGAAGAAGAAGAGGAAAAAGATGCTACGCCAGCTCCGGTTGCTGCTTCCAACGGCAATGGCGCGCTGAAGAAGGGAAATGCAGCACCTTCTCGAGGTGGCTCCCCGCACATGGTCAGGGAGACGGAGACCTTTGGGCAGAGGGTCGAGCGCCATTACAAGCTCAGGGAGGACCAAGAGAAGGAGAAGCAGCGTGAAAATGAGGCGCATGCCGCTGTTGACGCCGGCATACAGCGCAATCGAGCCGAGCTGTGAAATCCCGTATGATTCTTACTTTCAATTGTAATGTATCTTCACCACTGTAACAGCATGCGAGTGAGAATGAGTGTGTGATATGGTGCCATTGAGTGCGTCGTGATCATGCGATTCCACTTGTCGACTGCTTGTCTCCTCGTCGGGATCCCCACGTTAGAGCCTGATGCGACTATACCGCCTGTGAACGCCGAGTTGGCAGCCACAAAAGACGATGAAGGCACCATAGACCATAGCGGCAACATAGCACGTCTCCCCCACTGCCACGCCATCCTTTGGGTTCTCTTCGCTGCCCATGAATGCAGGCCAGTTGTGTGCTGTGGGTCGGATGAGGGCATGTTCCCCGTTCAGTCTGCGAATCAGGGACAGCCCGTGCCCTGTACACTTACAGAATCCGTACCCGAAGACGGAGAGGATGAGGACGCCCATGATGGAGAGGACAGTGCAGCAGCCGGCGAGGGCGGCAGGCACTACCGGTCGTGTCGCCATCTGTAGAGCTTCGTGCCAAAGGCGATGATGGTATTGCGTCGATCGAGCAGTGGTGGAGCTCCTCTCCTAACAATGTCGGACACGTGCGCGAATTCCACAGTGTAACACTACGCGCTCGAGCCTCAAGTTTTGTGAGCTCATAAGACGCTCAAGCTCGACAAGCCATTGCGACAGTGGAGAGAACCAGAGGATGTCGGCTCCCCCATCCTCATCTGGCCCGGCGCCCGCGCCTGTTATAAATGAGCCTGTGAGCGTCATTCCTCCCAGGGCGCCCAAGAGGCTGGGCATGCCGAAGCTGCAGCTTCCCTCTCGTGAGTCAAGTAATCTGGCGTTAAAAAGCACCGTACACTCACACGGAGCCCACTGGTCGCAGGGCCTTCTTCGTCATCGTCCTCGACAGGGTTTGCACCACGCTCATTGGGAGGCGGTCCTAGTGGAGCGAGCACTTCTTCGCTAAGTTTGGCCATTCCCACCGGACAAGCTTTCTCAGGTGGAGACAACGATGAAGGCTACGAAGGATCAGCGGGCACATCAACGACGACAACGACAACGACAACCTACGCAAACAATCTCTCCGTGGCCGGACCAGCAGCAGGGGGATCCAGCGGCGCGACAAGCATATATCCAGAGACGCAACCATACGGAGAGGGCACAGATTTTCGGGCACTGACGAACGATCTAAAGAGAGCCATGGGCGGCTTGACGATAGATGAGGCTGCACCATCTGATGGAGCACCGCCGCTAAAGCTCCCCGTCTCGGGAGGCTCCAGCAAGGAAGGTACAACAGCCGAACCAAAAGCAGATTCTCGCCGGTCATCAGCGTCGGGCGTCACGCACGAGGGTGGAGGAGAAGGAGATGAAGATGCTGAGCTGCAGCTTAAGGGCAATCTCGAGATCTTGAATCGACTGGGCGAGGGTGCAAGTGGAGAGGTCAAAAGAGCGATTCACAAGCCGACGGGTCTCGTCATGGCTCAAAAGGTGAGGATGATCAATGACTTTAGGAGCTCAAGCTGACCAGAAGGCTTGGTGAAATTAGACGATCAGTACATCACCCAATCCAGACATTCATCGTCAGATTCTGCGAGAGCTGAGCTTTAATCGGACGTGCCATTCCGACTACATAGTCAAGTACTACGGGGCCTTTCTCGACGACGAAGACACTTCCATTGTCATTTGCATGGAGCACTGCGAAGCCGGGTCGCTCGACGGCATCTACAAGCGCATCAAATCGCGTAACGGGCGAATGGGCGAAAAAGTATTGGGCAAGGTCGCAGAGGAAGGCTTGAAGGGTCTGGCGTACCTTCATGAGAGAAGAATTATTCATCGGGGTGGGTAGCGAGCAGATTTGTTCCTTCCTCTTCGCTCACACCTTGACACAGATATTAAGCCGTCTAACATCCTCGTCACGAGACAGGGTCAGATCAAGCTATGCGACTTTGGTGTCTCGGGTGAGCTGGTCAATTCGATGGCTGGGACATTCACCGGGACTTCCTACTACATGGCCCCCGAACGCATTCAAGGGCTCAATTATACCATTACCTCGGATGTATGGTCACTCGGCCTAACGATACTCGAGCTGGCCTCGAATCGATTCCCCTTCCCAGCGGAAGGAGAGCCTCCCCTAGGGCCTATCGATCTGTTGTCGTACGTCATCAACATGAAGGTACCGGAGCTGCAAGACGATGAAGCGGCAGGGATCAAGTGGAGCAAAGCATTGAGGAACTTCATCGAGACATGCCTTGTCAAGGACCCCACACGGCGCCCGGGGCCGGTCAAGATGCTTGGACATCCATTCGTCAAAAGGAGCGAATCGAGGCAGCCTCCGACTGACATCGCCAAATTTGTCGCTGATGTCTGGGGCTGGCCAGCTCCAAATTCGATCCATTCAGCGGTCACAAGCAGCCCGACGGTGACGCCCACAAGTAGCAACAGCAATAGCAGCGGCGGAACAGTATCCTCGCACTTTACTCCCGGCTCAAAGGGGGTCAACGTGCCTGGCTTAGGCCGCGTCGCCTCCATCCGTCAGGCACCTTCACCCTTGTCGGCCACTACTTCGGCCTCGACGCCGACGTCTTCTCTCCTCGAAGGTGCGGCGCCCGCCCATCGCGTGCCGAACCTGAGCCTCGTCACGGATCGCAAATTGCGCAAGGAGACAGAGATGATGGATCAGGAGCACGGCGACGGCTCGGAAGAGTCCAGCTGGATCAGGCAACAGGAGGCCAAGATGAGGGAAGCAGACGTGGGCCTCGTCGGTAGCCCAACAGAGGAGAGCTAAAGATCACCATCAGCCTTTTCCTGTCTTCCCTATTGACGGGACTTGATTCAATATTAGTCAATAAAAGTAGGTCTGTCCACGGATTGGCGGCAAAGAGGGTAAATGAGAAAAGGTGAGGTGTTCTAAGAATACAGATTGAGTTTTTTTTTGGTTCGACAAATGAACTACTCCTGTCCGGCGAGCGGAGGAGCTGATGGAGGGTGCACAACGGGAGTGGACGGCGTCGATGGCGATTGCTCCAGAGCTGGGGTCGCTACACCTCCTTGATGAGGCGACCCAGGTGCGTCTCCCAGGGTGGGCGAATGTGAAGATGCATCCGCAGGCGAGTCTTCGCCTAGCATCTCGAGATAACCCAGCAATCTGGCGCGATTACCTCCCGCCTTCTTCGTCAGGTAGTCTCTGAGCCCTTCTTTCAGGCTCGGTTGCTTGGCTAGGACGTCGAGCAACTGCTCCTTCGGCAATTGTATAAGCGCCGCAAAGGAAGCCGGAGCGGTCTGTTTGACGCACAAGGCGAAGCCGTCCCACAGCAAAGGAGTCTGCCAGACCTTTTTCAAAATGAGACGAGAGAGAAACGTCCGCGAGACGTACGACGAGAGCGACTTGTACGTTTTGACGGCCATGATAGCCTGTGGAGACACCACAAATAGGTCAGAAGCGAAGTCGAGATGAATGTTTGAAAATGACTCACAGTTCGCATGAACAGGACTGGCAAGACCGGTTCTTCGACGATTTGATTGAGCACAGCTGCCAGTACCTCGCTCCGAAAGACGTTTGTCATGCCGAAACACGTGCGAATGGCTTCCGCTGCTGTTTTGAGCCCAATTTCCTTCTCAGAACGATGTAAGAGACCCATGAGCTCGACTGGCGTGAGCAACTCTGTCTGTCGGACACGAGGCAGGTTCGTTGAAATGCTCCCAAAGCCTTGAGCTGGCGCTTCGACGATAGATGTGAAAACAGACTTGAGGGTCTCGCGGTCTTCCGGTGACTCCGAATTGAGGATCGTGACAACGCGAGGAAGGTACTTGATAATCTCATTCTGAAGAGAAGTTCGGTCAGCGGAATGATAGCAGTAATTATCGGTGCCTTATTCACCTTGTCCAAGTCTGGTAGAATAGGTACGAAGAATCTAGGATCGATTTCGTGCTCTTCAGCTAGCGATTTGACGAGTTGTACCAGTCTCGGCGTCGTGCCAGCTTCGGTCAGGACCTGGAAAGCCGTCAAAGCCAGCTTGCTTGTCTCTGGACGGTAGTTGGACAGGATGTCGATGAGTTTGTTGGTGTCGAGCTTCTGACTGTTGAGCTTTGCCGTTCGGGGCGAGCGAATAAGGGCTTGGATATGCTTCTGGACGGCGGCCTGGACTGCGGGTGGCATCTCGGGAAACTCCCTGAAAATGTCGTCGAGCATGTCGGGCACTTTGATGCACAGCGCGAAGGGCAGAGCAACGAAGCGGACGACATCATCCTCATCCGAGAGCTCTTTGGTGGGGTCATCCGCCGCGCTGCTCTTCTTTGTCTCACCCTCCTCCAGCTCCTCGTCGTCCATCTTCTCTTCCTGCCCCTCATCGCCCTTCTTTGCCTTCGTCGCCAGCTCCTTTCCTTCGTCCGAAAGAGGGTTTTTCACGGTCAAGCGTTTCAACCCGTTTCTTCCATAGTCGAGCACCTTGTCCTCTAACGCCCCTCCATTCTCTACCCAAGCGCGCACAGTGATGATCGCAGCGTTTCTCGTCATCCTATCTTCGCTCCGCGTGAGGCTCAGCAGAATGTCGCTCGACGCAGCCCGTGCCGGCGGCCTTGTGGCAGCCATGTCTCTCAGCATTGTGAATCCGACGGCCATTTTGGACTTGTCGGTGCACAATTGCTTCAGAGAGTTCACGACAGAGTCGGGAATCTTTGGCACTTGGTTGAGGAAAGTCTGAAGGCTCTTGTCCTTGCCATCGATAGTCGGGATCACGGCTTCGACGATTTTGGTGAGCCACTCGGAATAAGCATCGTCAGTGTCGTTCCCAATGCCTTGCTTGCGAGCCAGAACATGACAGTGGAATTCCTCGGCCATCCACTGGGAGGCAAACGCAATGCGGCGAGGAAAGTCGGCCTTGACGAACTCGAGCATCAACTGTCGTATGGAGTCGGCTTGCGGTGACGTCGAGGACAGCAGCGCCAGCGTTCCATTTGCTCCCTCATCCTTCGCTTCCAACCCTTGCGACCCGAACCCTCTCGTCGCCAGTCGTATCAAGAGGATCGCCCAAAGAGACGAGGGTACGCCTCCATCAGCCTCGACTGTGCTGACTGACAGCTCCTCTCCCTCGCAAAGCCGACCTATCGATTCGCGAATCAGAGCCTTGGCATCGTCGAGTCCTAAATGGCTCGGCGCTACGAGTGTGAAGTTCTGCAGCGCCTGCAAGCTTGATGCCTGTTCCAATTCATCGGCCAATTGTCCAACCACCTCCTCCTCGCCCAGATCTGCTTGTAGCGGGTCTTGTGCTTGTCCTTCCGCAGAGTCCTCCTGCTTTGGCATCGTTGGCGGAGCCCCAGGTGGTGCGCCTGGATGTAGTGGCGTCGGCAGCAGTGATCTGTTCGAAGCGTCATGCCCGTTGAGATTGCCTCTTGTCCTTTCGATAGCACTTTGTAGCTCTGAATCCGACCTCGCCTGCAAGTTCGCGATGATGAGCTCAACGACAAGATGCAAAGGTAAGGTCGTGACATCGAACGAGGCCAGCGGATTGGGCTGATTCCCAACCTGGGTCGCTCGTCGAAACGCATTGGCCGATTCAATGTCTTTTTCCTCTGTGGTGATTGTTGGTATCGCTGCAGCGGCGGCCGCCATGGCTTCTGCCCCACTGTCGTTGAGGCGTAGCGGAGTCGAAGACGAGCTTTCTGTCTCCGCCTCCAGTCCCGTAAACCTGACCTTCTTCCTGCTTGAAGATCCTTCAAGCTCTTCAGATATCCTCTCGCGTCTGACCCTGGCCTCCTCCTCCTTTCTCGCCTCTTCCTCGCGATTTGCAGCCTCCATTCGTCCCTTCTGCTCAGACAAAGCTTCGAGGATCTGAGGCCCATAGCCACCAGCCAGAGAGTTTCGATTTGGGTGAAAATGGAGGTAGATGATTCTCAGCGTCTTTTCGACGTTCTTGATAAGAGAGAAAGGAAGGTTGGAGAGGGCCTGCGGTTTCCAGCTGACCAAGGCCTCCAGCACGATAGGACTCAGGGAAGGCCGAAGCTTAGCCAATGTCGACAGGCTGTTCATCGAGGCAATGACGAGGTCGGAGACACTGTTGGTGAAAATGAGAGTTACGACCTGAGTCAAGCGCTCGTTGGCTTCCGTCTCCAGACTCGCGATTCGAATTGTGGGATGATCAGGTGGGACCATACCGATGTTAGCGTCATTGGAGCTCGTAGACTGTATAGCTATTAGCAGCCGGTTCCAAGTCCTACAAGATGTATTCGTTCACTCACAACTGTGTCGCCATTCGGTCTCGTCTGAACGATGATAACACGTTGGAAAGCCTTCAAGGCTGCCAGCTTGATGCCCATCTGGTGCGAGCTGTCAAACAATTCTACGATCCTTCGTTTGATGGCCTCGATGGTGGGCCATAGCTTGGCAGCCGAACGGTCCTGGCAGCAGTGGCGAAAGAGCGGCTGATAGGCACTGGCGAAGACAGAGATTGCGACTTTGGCGTATCGCAAGTCGTGGTCCTGCAGGAGACCGAGAAGATGACTGGGAAGGTGGATTGACACTGCAAACAAATACTCACACTGTAAGCTGCTGCCCGGTCTTCTCATCGCAGTGCCGTACTCACAGGCAGCCCTGCCAGCGGGGCTCAAGGTCGGCTTGCAAAATATCAGGTCCATGACGTCGACGATCCACTTCTTCGTCTGTTCGCTTGCCCGGCCCATGAGCGGGAACAGGCTGGGAAACAGAGGTGCAATGTTGCCGGGCTGCGACTGGAACAGGTCATAGAGCTGGCGGAGATGCCTGGCCTCGACCTTGGGGTCGGAAGCCGACAGGGCGGCGCTGAGGAGGCCCAGCGCATCCGTCGGTTCGGCCATCGTGGGCCTCTTCCTCGTTGAACGGGAGTCTTGTCGGTGTTCTGAGTGCTAGTTGCGACGACGAAAGCTCGTCAAAATAATCGTCGCTGATCAAACGACCGCGCCCCGGCCGAGAGCTAAAAGAAAGACGCAAAAAGGTCACCTAAATCTAGGGTCCTTCTTCTGAACGTTCCCTCGTCGAAGCTCTAGTTGGCCCGAGCGCCAACTTCTTCTCGCCCCCGTCTTCGCCCAGCCAATGTGATCTCTATAACCATCAGCAGAATATGCCTCGTTTGATCAATCCGGTGGGATGGCTGGTCTCGGAGCAGAGCCCAGAGAGCGGTGAGGCGGTGCCGTTGCTTTCACTCGAAAACGGCAAGGGCAACCGCTTGATGATCAGCCCAGTTGATCGTTGCCTGGTTCGCGTGGTACACTCGGGCCCTGATGTCCACGACACTACCTTGGGGCTGAAGGACAGGGATGGGATCCGTTGGGAGAAACGGCGCGCTTCTTGGAGCGTCGAGGTGAGATCCCCTCTTGCAAGGTTTGATCGTGAGCCAAGACAATTGATGAGTGCTCCTGACAACAGGCCGACAAGCATGCCAAGCGTGCAACGCTGAGATGCTCCGAGCTTCATCCCGGAAAGGGCTCGCTTCGACTGGAGGTCGGCTTTTCGCACTCTGTTGTCATTCGCTGGTTTTGGGACAACGAGGCCGGAGAGCCTGCTGGAGAGCCGTTCCTCGTCGACTTTAAGACGGCGTATTCTTACGACGCTCGCACGGGACGGATGAATCACTTAGTAGGCTGGATCTACCAGACAGACGTGCTTGATGTAGAAGCTGAAAACTCTTCCGCAGGTCTGCCGAGATAGCTATGTTCCCTTGTCGGAGCATGCCACGTCGGCAAACAACGCACACCCAGCCGATTCACGGACAAGGGAATATGCATATGGCCTGGGCGAGACAAAAGGGCCGATGATGAAGCGAGGAAAGCGCTACATCATCGAGGGTCGTGACAGCCTTGGAGCAGATCCGGAAGAAAGTGAGTGCGTCGATGAAGGTCGATGAGCAAACGCTCATGACGCTGTTGCACGCAGCCGACCCTCTGTACAAGGTAATGGTGATGTGTCAGTTTTCAGTAAGCCACACTGACTGTTCGCATGAAGCTCTGCCCATTCTACACTGTCTACAATCGCCATCTCGGCCAGTGGTACGGGCTTTACTACAACACCCTGTCGCCCTCCGTCTTTGACTTTGGTGGTGAACACGACTTTTCAACTGGCGACTTTCGTTCATTCAGTGTTGAACATGGGCCTCTGGATTACTACATGCTGCTGGGAGACGGGGACAGTCCCGGTCCATCGCTGCCTGGAATCGTGTCTCAGCTGGCCCGACTAGTAACGCCTCATTCCTCGGGACCAGCGGGCGATGGAAAGGACCTCTGGCAGGCGAGTCCGACGCTTCCTCCTCTTTCACAGTTTGGCTACCTAGCCTCTAGCCTTACCCTTTCCGAGCGCCACGACGCCCAAGAGGCCGTTTTGGACTACGTACGCGAGACGAGGAAACATGGATTTGCAATCGACAGCATGCACCTCTCCTCCGGATATTGCCAGGACGCCAAGACTGGCCATCGAAATTACTTTACGTGGGACCGCGAGAAGTATCCCGATCCTGCTGCCATGGGCAAGGCACTCGAGAGTGACCTGAACTGCCAGGTGTGAGTTGTATCGTGGGCTGGTCTCAGCTTTCCTTCTATCTGATCCTAAAGTCCTACAGCATCATCAATGTCAAGCCTTGGCTGCTTGAGGCCCATCCCTTGTATGAGCGTACCGCATCGGCAGGCGCTTTCATGCGAGCAGCGCCGGACGCGAGACCGATGACCAAGGGAGCAATGCCTCAAGATGAAGACCGATGCACGCGCCTACCCTCGGAGAATGCAAGGACAATACACTGGAGTGCACAGATGGGCGAGACGGCAAAAGGGTCTTACTTTGACTATTCGAGCGCTCAAGGCTGCAAGGAGTGGCAACAGCTCATGCAAGAGGGCGTCTTGGACCAAGATATCACAGGAGTATGGATTGACAACAACGAGTTCGGCACCCTTGTCGACGACGATGAGGAGCTCAAGGGCGATATAGACTTGTGGTCTCTGCCTCTCTTGCCGCCAGAGATTAATGGAAGTCGAGAAGTCGGGGAAAGGGGCACGACAATCTCCCAGAGATTTGGCTGGGGCCGAGGTCCAATTTCTGTCGGTGCGATAGGGAGAGGCGTGCTTACGATGGGAATGGCTCGCGCGACCTATGAAGCCTTATGTGTGAGTCCTGCGCACGGGCAAGTCGTTCTTGAAGAGAGTTCTGACGGTAACGTGGCAGAGGGAACAACCGAACGTGCGCCCAGTCGTTGTGACAAGGTCTTTCGTGCCCGGCATGCAAGCTTTTGCGCACGGCTCGTGGAGTGGTGACAACAGCACCTCGTGGCTTTCGCTGAAGTGGAGCACCAAGATGACGCTGAGTATCGGCCTCTCTTGCGGCCCCGGTCTCTACGGTCACGACATTGGTGGTGGGTGTCTCTTCCAGTGTGTGCTTTTGGCTGTCCAACACGATTCCTGACGCCTTTTACAACAGGATTTGCCGGTGCACACAGTCCTAGTGAGTCTACGTTCGATCACCGAAGCGCTCGTCACTCGGTAAGCTAATTAGCAGGCCCCGAGCTCTTTGTGCGATGGTGTCAACAATCGGTGAGCATCGACACTTCAGATGCATGATCTTGCTGCTGACCAAGACAACTTAAGCTGTGGCATACGAGATTCACAATCCACAGTTGGAAGAAAGTGTCCACAACACTCTGGATGTATCCTGAGGCCATGTCGACCTTGCACGGTATCATCGAGCACCGATACCGTCTGATCCCCATGTTGTACTCGCTTTACGTGTGGTGAGGCTCAAACTACTTTCTCCTGATTTTCTGGTTGCTAATCGAAACCGCACTTGTTCCAGTCACTACCACCGAAAAGGATGGCCGGTCCTCAAGGTCAGTCCGTGTTTCAAACTCTTCTCGCGAGCCAGGGCTGACCCTTTCACCTTGAAAGCCACTCCTATGGCACCACTCGTCAGACCAAGTCTGCCTCACGCAGGACGAACAATTTCTAGTCGGCAGCCACGTCCTTGTTGCGCCCGTAACAACGTTCGAGGCACGCAGCGTCACCTTCCATCTTCCCTCGCTCGTCGATGGCGAAGAAACACCAGCCTGCTGGTTCGATGTGCAAAGTGGGCGTTGGATCAAGCCCGCTCATCCGCAAGGCCAAGAATTGACCCTGGGCGCCCCTCTTGATGTGCTACCTACGCTCGTCCGCGCTGGTGGGCTCATTGTTCTGGGGCCGCCGTGCCGAAGTCATGCTCGCGAACACCTGCGTGATGCTGAGCACCCTCGGCACGTCCAGCTCTTCTCTCATCCAAATGGACACTCAAGGGGGACATTCACTCTCATTGAAGACGACGGAACATCGAACGAAGCGACCGGCTACGGACGCTTCACGCAGCTCAAGATCCATTTCAAGGACAGGGATGCAGGAGCAGTTGAAGTGGGCGTCGACGTGGAAAACGCCGGTTATTGTGGCACCTGGAGGTTCTCTTTTGAGCTTCCAAAGGGTGATGGTAGGAACATTCTCCCTCTCGTCAGGGCTGAGGACAAGGGACAGCAAAATATTGAGGGTCAAGAGATCATCGTGGCAGTGCAGTAGGAACAATGCTATAATTCGACAATGGAGCCAGGTCTCTGTTTGAAGACTGACGACAGACATGTGTGATCTCGATCTTATCTCAGCATTGGTGCTCGACGGAGGATGCCACCGTCGGCACCTCCACGACCGTTGTCATGGACTCTTTCTCGGATCGGGCCGGGTACGACCTCCCAGCCTTCAGCGTCTTCCTCGTCTGCATCGCCGCCATCGACTTGCATCCCTGTCGATGAAGCAGATGCCGCCTCCCTCTCTGCCCATTGCATGATCCTTGCCTTTGCTCTTTGCGCACGCTTCTCCTGCTTCCTCTTCCGCCTCCCTCCCTCTTCTTCGTCTTCAGCTGTCCCCACCCTCATCGCGGCGTTCCCGTCGTCTTCGCTTTCCTCATCACCCTTTCGCTTCTTCCCCCGAGCCCTCCTCCGCCTTCTCCTCTGCCTCTTGACCCGTTCTCTGCTCGCTTTCGTGGGTGGTCCCCAGACCTTGAGACCCCTGACATGCGTGTCCTTGCCCGAAGAGTGGTTTGCCAAAATACAGACCTGAAGATAGTACGTGTAGATGGGCGGGTGCCTGCGCGAGACACCATGGGCAACGTGGCCCGCCAGCTGCGACGCCGGCTCTGCTGGGTCGATTGCGCCGCGCTTTTGAAGCCGCCGAGCAGCGCGGTGTTGGCGCTCCGCCGTTGCGTGCGAGCCCCGTGCCGAGCCTGAGTCCGAGGTTCCCGACGAGGGCTTGCTGGACGCTGCCGCTGACGATGAGGACGGCGACGAGGAGGAAGAGGACGAGGACGAGAATGAGGAGCCAGAGGAAGAGGAGCCAGAAGACGAAGTATACCCGTCCGACTCGTCGGAATCAGAGACGTTGCCCTTCTTGTCGAGGACAAAGTGCTTCCAGCCCTGCGGCTGGTCGAATTCGCTGGTCCACTTCCGTCAGTCGCACCGAGCAATGGGGGGAAGAAGGGCCTGGGCTCAGACTCACCGGGTGCGCACCTCGACGAGATCGTGGTAGTGTGTCCCAGCGAGGATCCGGACCTTTGTGGGCGTATACGAGTCGTCCTTGACGTGGTCGATGTACATGGACACGTGCTATGCGTGCCGTGTCAGACATGGTCAGCTTCTGTTCGCCCCCGTTCTCTCAGGACCAGCGAAGATGCACCCACAGTGACAGCCGTCCTCCTGGCAAATTGAATGTTGATTACATGAGGCAGGGTCCCGTCGCTCCTGAAAGGACAGTCAGTCGGTCAAGCTAATTAGAACGATGACAAGAGGAAAGAGACCTTCACTTACTGCCACAGCTTGTCCAAATCCGCATGGCGGAGCTGCGAGACGCCGTAGCCGGGCTTCTGCGAGCTGAGCGACCAGAGCGTGCCTGATTGCGAACCCACGTCGACTTTGTTCGACAGGACTGCCCGGGAAAAGGTTGAAATAGATCAGTTGCATGTGCTTGGGAAGGTGCGAGGCTGGTAGATGCTCACCGCGCACGTCAAACATGCGACTGCCATCGTTTGCCATAGATTCTCTAGATGATGGTGTTGCTCTTTTTCGAACGCGTCTCAACAAAGCGCGGAGATTTTGACTTAGTCTAACGACTTCTCAGGCAAGTTCGTTCAAAGGGAGAGAAGAGCGGGGACTAGCTAGTTGGTTGCATTTAAAGGTTGCGATATGGCACAGGTACAATTATCTACTCCTTCAGCTCCTCTGATGACGATGACAGAGATGGTGCGTTGGACGCCGAAAAGACCCTCAGGCAGTCCCTGAAGCGCTCGTCCCACTGGATGCCATTCTCTGGCCGGAGAATGTCAAAGCCATTGGCGAGGTTCCTCCATTCCCGCTCCTTGGCGAAGCGCTCCTCTCGCAGCTCGCCCTCCGTCTTGGGTGGATCGTTCTTCTCCGTGGCCGTCGGCTCTCTCTCGCCTCGCACCAGGGTACGTGTATCCCGGAGCCGCCGCGGCAGCGCCTCGTACCATGAGGACCTAGCCTTTTCGACCTCTGACAACGTCTTGGCAAACGAGCTAGGATAGAAGCGTTCCGAATCGAGGCCCCAGTCGAGGTCACCGCCCTGCGGAGACTCGCTCCGGATCTCCAGCTCAGGAGGTGCATCAAAGGGACGCGCTGTCGACTTGTCGCCCAGCGCGACTTGCAGCCCAGCTTCGGCACCGAGAAGCACTCGATGACGCTGGTTGAAGAAGCCCACGATTCGCCGTGGCATCTTGGAGAACCCGACGAGGTTGACATAGTCGACAAAGCAGAGCGGTGGTTGCGCAGGAATTGCGCTGGGAGGGTCTAGGAGCCTCTCGTTCACGGCTGGGCCCTGCTGCTGCTGCTCATCTTGGTTCGTCCCCGCCGCTCTATTGTTCCTGTTGTTGGTAAAATTTTGCGGTGAAGCAAAGGCAGGATTGAAATTACGCGGGTTGATGCTGGCCATCCTGCTCGGCAAGGGAGCGCCGGCGCCGTCTGCTTCAGCCCCTTCATCCCCACTGCTGACCTCGCCGACAAAGGCAGTCTTGTCCTCGACTTCTTCCTCGTCAAACTTGTCATCGTTTGACAGCTCGCGCGCCAGCGGCTCATCGAGATCCTGACGGGACGGCGGCAACCTCGTCGTCCACCCTTGCTTTAGGCCCCACGTCCACTCCTTGTAAGCTGGTCTGCCGACAAGGACGATGCCTCCGTTGAGCTCTCGTTCAAGCTGCTCTTGAGGCGTTAGGGCAAAGGGCAAGGCGCCCGTTAGCGTCAGGTCGGGCTGATCCGAGGATTGAGTCGCCGGCGGCGTGGCCCAGGGCTCCAGACCGAGAAGCTGGCGCCTTCGCGCAAAGATGCGCTCCCTCAGCTCCCTTGCCAGGCCGCCGTGTCTCGTTCCATTCACCACCTCCCAGTCAATGGCGGCAGCCACCAAGATTGGCTGCGTTTCTCTGTCAGCATGAATCCCTTACATCATCATGGAAGAAGGATCCAGACACACCTTGACGTATTTCTTGAAGAAGAGCAAGCTCTTTTCGTAGTCGTCGTCGCCGGGGCTCCTTGCAGTGTAGACAAGGACCTTGCGCGGGTACTCTCGCGGAAGGAGCGGCTCGTCTGCCAGATGCTTGACCTTGTCCTTGTACTCCTGCCGGATCCTCTCGCACTCTCTTCGATCGTATATGTAGAGCGAGGCGAGAGTGATGGTGACGCCGAGGAAGATGCTTGTGTTTCGAGACGGCATCTTAGGCTGCCATGTCAGGACCGCCTTTGGCACGCCCATGAATCGAAGCGGCCGGAGAAACGCCGGAATTTCCCGAGGCGGTTGCTTGAGAGGAACCGCCCCCTGCGACGGCCCTGCCGGTCTGCCACCGCCACCGCCGCTCTCGCTCATAATCACTGCGTCGCAAGACTATCGAGAAGGCCTGAGAGGAAGAGGACGAGGAGAATGGCATCCTTCTCAAAATTTTGGCGGAGCAAGGCTCGTGGGGCACGTGAAGCAAGCAAGGAACGAGGGCCTAAAATTTTGAGAAAGTTGCGCCTCGCGCCCGGCTTAACCTGACCTGGGTTCATCCAACTGCGTGCGATCATGGCGAGCTCGGAGCCATCTTCGTCAAAGGAAGGGGTCGCACCACCAGCGCCCCTGGAAGACCTCACAGGGTACCTGGCGTACCTCCAGTCAAAGCTGCAACCACCCACGCGGACGGCCGCGCAACTTCCTGGACCCTCGGACCTCTCTTTCCACCGGTCCCTCGACAAGTCTCTCGCTAAGGAGCTTGAGTCCGCCAAGGAGACTGTCCTCTCCACCATCAATCAGCTTGTCGAATCGATCAATGGTGGAGAAGGGAGCGCTAGAAAGAGTGCAAAAGGGCTGGGAAAGTCTAGGGCGGGAAGTGGTAGCGGGCAGGACGGCAAGATCCTCCTGGAAGACCTGGTTGATGCAGACGCCTTCAGTCGCTCCCTCGGCGATGTCGTCGATAGCCTGCTGGAAAACGCAGACACCTGCCTCGACGAGTACCAGGGCAGAGTCAAACCAAGGGCGGCGCCATCTCGCAAGGACGTGCCCTCCGCTCGGCCCAACGACTCAAATGGGATCTCGACCCTGGGACCGCTCCCACCGAGGATTCTAAATGCCAACATCAACCCACTTCCACAGACGAGATTCGCAACGAAACCGGACAATAGCCGAGAGAAGCAATGGGAGAGAAACTTGATGCTGGGAAAGCCACATGCCAAAGTGCCCCTCACATGGGCACCACCACCTCCTGCCGACGGGGAGCCGGCGGCCAAGGTTGGTGTTCGGCAGGGCATGTACTGCGCAGAGGGCGATCCGAGGACCAATCCTTACTACTACGAAATTCACAACTTCTCAGCCCCAAGTCATGCGACTGAGGCTGTCCCCGCTCTCCCAGATATCATCCCCCCTCCTGCGATGGACATCAAGGCGCCGACAGGAGGCGAGCCTGCATTCACATGGATCGACACGACCGAGGGCATGTCAGGCCTCCTCGCCCATCTCAAGGAAGAAAGGGTCAAAGAGATTGCACTCGATGTCGAGCACCACAATTTCCGATCTTTTCAGGGCCTCGTCTGCCTAGTTCAGCTCTCAACGCGGTGGGGTGACTACATCATCGACGCTCTCAGCCCAGAGGTGCGAGCCTTTTCCGAGCGTCTCAACGACGTCATGGCCGACCCCAGCAAGGTCAAGGTACTGCACGGGGCCGAGCATGACGTCCTGTGGCTGCAACGCGATCTCGGCATCTATCTCGTCGGCCTCTTCGATACCTACCACGCCAGCAATGTGCTGGCCATGCCACAGCACAGCCTCGCCTACCTCTTGCACCGCTACGTGAGCTTCGAGGCCGACAAGCGCTTCCAGCTGGCAGACTGGAGGATTCGACCATTGCCCAACGAGATGCTCTTCTACGCTCGCAGTGACACCCACACGCTCTTGTACGTCTACGACTGCATGCGATTCGAGTTGAGCAAGCTCGTCTCCACTGCAGAGACGTTAGGAGGGAAGGATGCCATCGAACGGGTGTTTGAGCTGAGCAAGCGGACCGCGAGCAAGGTGTATGCCAAGGAAGAGTGGGACCCCAACGGAGAGGGTCGGGAGGGATGGAAGACTGTCTGGAAGAAGCTCGGTGCCGACGAGGCAGTCGGTGTGGACGAACGTTGGGAGAAGCAGGGCGTCGATGGACTGAACAGGACGGAGAGAATCTTTCGGGCGCTGCACGACTGGAGGGACCTTGTTGCGAGGAGGGAAGACGAGAGTCCACGCTACATCCTCTCGGCTCAGACGATGCTCAGCATTGCATCACGGGCACCCACCACCAAGGAGAGCGCATCTGCATGCCTTGGACCTGCCATCAAGAAGCGGGCGACGGACGTGGTGGCTGTTGTCGAAAGAGAGAGCAAAGCGTGGGAGGAGGTGCAGAAAGCAAGGGAGGCAAAGCTGAAAGAGTCATTGATGGGCGCCATCGCTGATGACGATGAGGAAATGGGCGTCGCAGTCGAAGGAGGGGCTGAAACTCTTCCCTTGTGGCCTCAGCAAGAGCATCTTCCGCGAAGCAATTCAGGCAGCTCCCTTGCTGCGTCCTTGTTCGGCGATACTGGGCACGAGCCGCTCCCTGCCTCCTCTTCAGGACCGTCGAAGCCGACATCGCTCTTCGGTGCGGCACCTCCGCGGCAGGCATCGACCTCGACGAAGGCGTCGACAAAGTCGTCCTCGCTCTTTGCAAGCTTCGGTCGCTCTTCCGCCGCGGTGGATGCCGTCAGGAGCATCAAGAGCGAGCTCGCGTCGGCTCTCAAGGGCATCCTTGGGCCGTCTTCCTCGTCGTCAAAGCTCCGGAGGGAAGTGGAGGACGATGGTGACGACGCAAGGGAAGTGCTCAGCGCTCCGGAAACGGTGGCATTCGTGCCAAAAATTGATCGGCGAGAGGGTCCTTCGACCTCGTTGTCGGCTTCCACTTCGACAAATGGGGCGAGACCGGCAGTCGAAGCGAGTAGAGCTGTTAGCGAGGCTGAGGAAGCCGATTCAGACAAGGACAGCGGAGAAGAGCTTGTTCAAGTGAGCAAGAAACAGCGTCACAAGGCGGACCGAAAGGAGAAGAAGAAGAAGCGAAAGGCCATCGACTTGCCGGCGGAGGTGGGGGGCGAGGAGTTGGTGCCACACGACTATTCAAAAGATATCAGCGTACTGGATCTTAAGGGAGGCGCGGCGTCAAGCACCAAGAGGCAGAAGAAGGAGAAGAAGAAGAAGAAGGGAGAGCGAGAGCGAGAGGCGGAGTCTTCGGTGGCGCCGGGCAAGGAAAGGAGGTACGCCAATGTCGGAACGAGAGACAGGAGGGAGATGGCCGGTGGCAAGAGCCAGAGCTTTGCCAGATAGGCAAGAGATGTTTTAGCTTAGAGCAACGCAAAAGAGGAGGTCCACTCCAGTACATTATCCCATCGCCTTTCTCACAATCTTAATGTCACGAGCAGATTTCATTGCTTTGTCACAACAGCTAAAGGGAAGTAAGCAGAGCCCATGACGGTGATCGGTACAAAGACGAGGTATCCAATGGTGCTAGAGGCGTTAGGGAGCCGTGAAGACGTTTGTAAGAGTGCTTTGGCCGAACGGGTAAAACGGAGAGAGTTTCGATGGATGCGTCACCGTTTTCACAGCTGCTGGTTGCGTTCATACATGGTGCGAGGATCTGAGTGCAGCGAAAGCTTTCTCGGTGAGGGCTACGCCGCTGTCATTGGCCATTTTAGGTCCATCGCCAGTCAAGTCGTTTTCTTCGTCTCCGGTCTCATCCTCGCTTTCAGACCGCTGCTCCTCCTCACCCTCGCTTTCTGATACCTCCGCCTCTACAATCTCCTTGTCGCAGTTTATATCAACGTCATCGCTGGACTGGCCTGAAGATAATGACGAGGGATTTCGGCCTTTGCCACGACAAGTCGACTCAGACTTCGTCTTTTTGTCAATCTTGTGATCGTGTCGTTCTGCACGGCGCCTCTTGGACGTCAGAGGAAATTCAGGACGACCTTTCCTTTTGTCGTTGTTGTTGAACTTCGAAAAGTTGGCCCAAGTCTTACTTGTTCTTCCGTCAGGTTGGTCGTCTGATTCACTCGAGTGACCGTCGTCTTCTGGTGTTGAGGAATTGCTTTTGTCTTCTTCATCTGTGTCATGGCGGTGCTCTTCAGTCCTTGCTTTCTTCTTCTTCTTCTTCTTCTTCTTCTTCTTCTTCTTCATTGCATCAGACGAAGCCAACTTTGTTTTACTTGATTCCTCTTTGCCCTTTCTTGTCGAGCTTTTGGTGGTCTTGACAGGAATTAGGGCCCACTTTTCCTCAGCCAGACGCTTCTTTCTGTCTAGGAGCCTGCCCGTCTTCTTGTCCCATTCGGGCGCATAACTGACTTTTGCATGAGGCCGTGAGGAACGGCGAAGTTGACGGACGCTTTCCAAGTCGCTGCTCCTTTGGCACCTGCGCTTCTTTTTGTCTGCTGCTTTCTTTCCTTTGTTTCTACTCGTTCTGTGTGAATGTTTCTTTTCCTTGTATCCATCCGAAGAGCTTTGCTCGCTTTCGTCGGATATCGAAATGATGCTTTTCTCGACTGAGACGCCCTTTTCCTCGAGAACGCGGAGCACCTCGGTCTCGGCCGCCTGGAGTTTGGCAATGGCCTTGTTGGCGAGGTCCCGGAACATACCTTTTTCTTCCTCCGTCTTTGGCTCTTCTTCTGTGAAGAAGGGCAACGTCTGGCTGACCGACACTTGGCATGGGTCTTCCTGATTGTTATCGCGCGAAACGGTCAGACGGATGAGAATCCGACCAGGCGCCATGACGGCCTATTGACGACGTTCTCGTGGAAGACTGTCGAAACGATGCGACGACCATTTGATAAATGTCGTGACAGGCTCTCTTCATTTTCCGAGCCGTGGCCCGAGCGCAAAAGAACAACGCGCAACCCTTGCTGTTGGACTGGACCTGACTCCACTACTAACTACTAACAACGCGCGCAGTCGATCATCAGATACGTACGCCTCACGCAAATGATGTCCGACCGAGACGCGACCTGACAATACGAGACAACGATCCAGAGGCGAGGCGAAGAGAGGAGGCGTCTGGCGCCACAAGATGCAGATCTACAATGCCCACAACGGGCGCTCCTTCAACCTTCAAGGACGCTTCAGCCTCGATGCCATTGCCCTTGCGACGCAGATCCCCACCGACTCCCTCATCTGCATGGCAAAGGACGGCACCCAGCTCACCGATGAGGCCATGGAGAGGATAGTCGAGCGGGAGGAACAGGCTGAGGGAGCCAGTACGAGTGCGAGCAAGCTTGGCTCGAACCTGGTGAGTGGCAACAATCGTCAGGGCGTGGCGCGCAGCCGCACTGATCTTCTCCGTCCTGCGCAGGAGTTCTTCGTCTTCAATCGCGACTACCTTTCGTCGGATCCTGACGTAGTGGCAGAAGATCTGCGGGAGCCTCCTGTGCTGGAGCCCCCAATCGATGGTGAGCTGGCATTCGCCCAATACGTGATACCGCCCATGACTCCCAGTGCTGAGCCTCTCTCTTCAGGCTTTGAAGCTGTGCATCCACCCACACCCCGCTCCCTCGATGGGCTCCTCGAATGGTCCTCCAGCATCTTGTCGACGGTCAGCATCCATCACGGCAGATCTCAGGAGCTTTTCAACAACATTTCAGCCATGGACAGGAGCGCAAAGATCGCCCTGGCCAACCTGCTGACCCATGCGAGGTCTGTCCGGGCTGGCGCGTCGACACTGCGAGAGTTTGCATCGAGGGAGCTTGATCGAATGGAGGGCCTCATACAGGGGCATGAACGCGACCTCAAGACCCTCAATCTAGTCCAAATCAACCCGCAAATCGTGCCGCCGGTACCAGATGGAAGAGGGCAAAGGTCGAAAGAGAGGACGCTGAGCAGCTATGTGAGCCCCGCCAAGATGGTGTCGGTATTCGAATCGTGCAACAAGCTCTACCAGGAGGTCTTGGACCAGTTGGGTAAGCTCTTTCAGGACGAGGCGACGCTAGCCGAAGATACCGAGTCCATGAGGGTCGAAATTGAAGCAACGAGCGTCACGCCCTCGAGCGAGTCACTTGAAGAGGCCACACAGGCCCTCTCGCGGGCAGACGAGCTGGAACAGTACATCCACCAGACGTGCTCACCCGACGAGAATGGGTGGCCCGCGGCAGAGAAGCTGGCAAACGATGACGAGGCCCTTGGTCGGGTCGAAGGTGCGATCAATGAGCTCTTCCTCCTCGACGAGGTGGCCAGACAGTCTGTCAGGAGACTTGCTGCCGACAAAAACGACATGGTGGACCGCTGTCTGCACGCGCTGGGCGACATCAGCGCTCTTCAATCGGACTTCAACGAGGTGTCGGCTTCGCTCTTGGCCCTTGACAGTGAGCTCAAGTCCAACCGCATGGACGGCTTCCGACATTTAGCTCGCCTCAAGAACATGCTTTGGGCCTATGGCTCGTCTCTCATTGAGATTGTGCGGCGGCGAGAGTTCACCAAGGCCTATCTATCGAGGAGTCAAGGCATGGCCGAGCTCATGGCGTCTCTAACCAGTATTGAGCGGCGCCGAAGATCCGATTTCAAACGTGAGGTTATGGGCCAGCTGCCCTGGGACGTAAAGGGTCTCGATGACACCACGCCTTCGCTAGAGATATCGACGGCTGCAACTGGCGAGAGCGCCGTGGTGATTGAGCGCGAAGACCTCGAAGCTTTTTTCAAGATGGTCGACGACATTGACCGCCAGATCTCCGGCGACGACTTCGTAGAGGGCCAGGGGCCGCTCCAGGAGACGAAGAAGGCGCTTCGTGCCCTCGTTGACAGGCTTGATAATTTCGAGGGCGAGTTCATGCGGCTGGTCGAGATGAATCTGCTCAAGCAAGGTGACTCGGATGAGGAGAGCATGGACGAAGACGAGGACGAGGATGAGGAGGCTCGGCTTTTGAGGCGCATCAGGTCTGCACCCTCGAACGGACATGCACGGGGCTGGAAGGTCGAGCGAGAAAAGATGCAGCAAGAGGTTGAGGAACTTCAGCGGCAGCTCGCAGATACCAAACGATCTGCAGCACAAGCACAAGACGAAGAGATCACTGCCCTCCGCAACGAGGCGAGCAGACTTCGAGCGGAGCTTCGGTCGCAGGAGGCGACGATTGATACAGAGCGCTCCGCCCATGAGGAAGCGAAGAGGCTCCTCGAAAACCTTCGAGCGGACGCAGAGACTGAAGAAGCTCGACGTATCAATATGCATGACGAGCTGCAGAGGCTCCGGGACGAAGTGGAAGAGGCGAATCGGGCCGAAAACCAAGCCAAAGCCGAGGCTAGTGACGAAGCAGAACGGAGCAGCGAACTCGAAACGCATTTGCATGAGATGCAAGCTGAGCTTGAAGAGATCAAGGCGGCTAAAGAGGATGCAAGCAACCGTATCGAGGCCCTCTTGAGCGAGGGCAGTTCAGCGGAGAGGGAGCTCTCGTCGGCCCATCATCGCATCGACGACCTCACAGAGCAGCTTCGATTAGCGCGTGCTGACACGAGAGAGGCTCGTGACCAGCTTCAGGAAGCCGAGGTAGCCAAGGATAAAGCCCTTCGCAGCTCTCGCGCAGAGGCAGACGGCGACCGTGCCATCTTGGAAGAGAATCTTAAGAGTAAGGAGAAGGACCTCGAAGCGACACGAGAGAGGAGCATCAAAGCGCAGGCCGAGGCGAGCCAGCAGCGACAAGAAGTAGCTTCGCTCAAGGGGCAGCTAGAGGCTGCCGACGAGGCCCACGACGCGCTCGTTCAGCAGCTAGAAGCGGCTAAGGACGAAGCTGCCGATGCAGAGATGGCCAAGCGTCACGTTGAACGACAGCTCGATGGCATCCTGAACCACACTCGGCCAATGGTTGCAAAGACGATTGAGCTGAGCCGCTTTGTGCGAGCTTTGCCGACGCTGTCGACCAAAAGCTCAAAGGAACGGGCTTCGAAAGAAGCGAGCGAGTCCGCACCCGCCGTTGATACGTCCCACGCCCTGACGACGCAGGCGAATACTGACGATCCTCAAAGAAGGGAAGCCTTCGATGCCTTTGAGGCCGACCCCCGCTTCGCCTCAGCAGAGGTTGTGCTAGAAGCGCTTAAAGCGGCCGAGAGCCCCTACGCCCAAGACGAGGCTCGCAACAAGCTCGACTCCGTGACAAAGTACGTCAAGAAGTGGATGAAGGCATACCGAACTCTCAATGAGAAGTACCGTGTGGCCCAAGATCTATCAAGGAAGCGCATCGCCTACCAGAGTTTTGCCGTTGGCGATCTCTGCCTCTTCTTGCCAACGCGAAACGATACAAGCGCATCGAAGCCCTGGGCGGCTTTCAACGTGGGATCGCCGCATCATTTTTTGAACAAAGAGAGCGCCATGGTTGAGCAGCGCAAAAATCGGGACTGGGTCCTGTCTCGCATAACTTCAATTTCGGAAAGGGTCACCAACTCAGCCGCTGGAGAGGAGGGCAACCCTTTCAATCTGCCCGATGGTATGCGCTACTACGTCTTGGACGCCGACCACGAGACTGTCAACACTGTCGGTGCTCCTGGTCCAACTCGACGAAAGACATCGGCATCAATTGGTGAGGCTGGCTTTAAGACGCAACCTCAGCTGCGGAGGTCCGAGAGCGTCCCTCGAGCGTCTGGATCTGCCTCTGCTTCTGCAGCGGTCGCGATAGATTCGCGTAGACAAGCGAGCGAAGGCCTTCCGCCTATTGGCGGCGAAGAAACCAGTCCGCCGGCGCTGACGCCTGAGAATGGGTCTCCCGCCCAGGGAGAAGCCGGCGGTGACGATGGCATCGCCGACCAGACCCAACGCACGTCGACAACCTTCCTCTCTACTTCGACGCCGGCTACTATGTCGAAACCCAGTGCGAATCCTCAGCGCCAATCTCTCTCCCGTGCTTCCTCCCCACCAGCCATCTCGGGCATCGCCAGAGCCTTTAAAGGGAGTCACTGGCCTTACGAGGCGTCCGGCAACGGTCTAACGGGAGGTACAGCACGATGGCCCCTGGCCTCTGAGCGAGAGCGAGAAAGAGGTTTGAACACAGCGGGTGGAGCGGGAGGAGGGCTTCGGTCGCCAGGAGGCATCTTCGATCTAGCCAGCCCGGCCTTTGGAACGAAGAGGAAGGCGGTTGGAACTGATGTAGGCATCGCTGCGACCCTTGCCAAACCGGCTGCTCGAGGAGAGGAGAGGCTGCCTTCCAATGCTATTGCTGCATTGCCATCCACAGCACGACTCCAGGAGCCTCCAAATCCCTTTTCGCAGAGCCCTGCCCCGGCACTGATGGGTGGCAATGCGCCAATGGAGGACTATTTTGCGCAGAAGAACAATAAGGGTGTGGAAGCCACTACTACTCCCGCGCAAGACAAAGGAAAAGGAAAGGAAGCTCGATCCGGCGAGGATGCGACTCTGTCGCAAGCTCCTCCAGCGAGGAGTGCTGGCCTCGCCGCCGGTCGGCGGCAGCGGAGAAGGCCATCCACGACGTCGGTAACTTCCTCCAACGCTTCCTCCGTGGGTGCTTTCGCGGTTAGATCTGCAGCGCCAAGGCCAACGCGTGCTATTTCGGGCATGACGATGCAGACTGCCCAAGGATCCAACTACTCGACTCCCTCTGTAGCGATCGGAGCTCCCAATGAGGCTGGTTCGTCTAGAGGCGAAGATGCTTCCCCGAGAGCAGGCAGCAGCACATTCTCGGCAGTGTCCTCATCAACTTCGCCCAGGATCAGTCATGACGGCAAGCCGGGCGGATCAGGCTTTTCCGTTCTCGCTCGCTCGCCCGTGTCCCCGCCGAGAGAGCCAAGAGCCGGACCGAGAAGATCATCGAACATACATCCTACCCAGACCCTCCCAGTCCGCACCCGAAAGACGAGCACGGTGAGCACCTCCGGCAACGTCAAATCGCCCTTGAAATTGTTTGGAAACCTTGGAGACTGGAGTGCGAGCCTGGGAAGGAGGAGTGGATCGTCCTCGACGCTGCATGCAGCATCACGCTCGCAGCAGCACGAAGATGAAGACGGAGACTCCGACGACGAGGGTAGAGGAGGATTGCTAAGCGCCAGCCAAAGTTTGCGAAGACTGCACGAATCAACATTCACGCCCCCGTCATGATCATGATCGATCTGTTTTCCTTCATCTAGTCAGCGTTGTTCATTCGCAATGTAAATCTGCTCTTCGATCTGCCCAAGGAAGAAAATAACCCTCGGTACATTTCTTTAACAAAAAGGATGGAGAATCGCCGTATTTGACAGGGATGTCGCAGAATTTATGTAGATGAGATCCCAAATTTGCCCAAAGAAGAGAGAGTGAAAGGAGGGGGAGAAGAGATGGAAGAAGGGGAGAGAAACGAAACACACATTCGATAAGGAATTTTTTTTTGGTCAAGTCTCTACACTTGCGTAGCGACTTGAGAAGAAGCATCATCGTCCTTCTTTGCTGCAGCAACCGATGATTCCTGCTGCGTGTCGCTACCGGCGCCAACTTCTGGACCGTCACCGCCATCATCATCGTCCTCCTTGGTCTCGTCATCTTTGGGTGCAGTTGTGCCGCCGCCAGGCAAGGTGATCCCGTGCTTTTCCCTGACGATCTCAAATGTCTTAAGCATCTTTCGTCGAGCTCCCAGCGCAGCGACGCCCTTCGCCTCGAGGGCGGCGTCGTCCATGAGCACCATCTCTCGCCAGTTGCTCCCTTCGAAGTTCGGCGTGTACTTGTGCAGCCTCAGGTGGCGCAACCACGTTGGCACATCTGAAATGATGTTGATGTCTGCCACATCTTCCTCGTTTGCCTCCTTTTGCGCGCCACCCTGCGTGCTGGTTGAGGATACATTGGTGCGCGCGCTTGAAGGAAGCCGAGAGGTCGTCATTCCCGGTGATCGCCGTCCAGCATTGGCGCCCATCGAGCCGGGCGAGAGCCCAGAGCCACCGAAGATGCCGCCGCTCCTCATGCCTTGTCCTCGGTTGGGAGCTCCAAAGCCTTGCTGCTGTTGATACAAGGCGGCCAGATTGTTGCCGCCAGCCGCCAAGGCAGCAATCTGCTGTTGAGATTGGATAATCTGCTGCTGCATCTGGATGAACTGGGCGGCGGACATGTTTCCTAGGCCGCCCATGGCAGCCATGGCATTCATCATCTGCATATTCATTGGGTTCCCCAGCCCGCCCGAGGGGCTCTGTAGTCCCGCAAGCGAATTCGGCGACATTTGCGCGAGGTTGAACGCGCCCTGTCCCGCGTTGGGCGACGCCGTATTGGCCATCGCCTGACGCAGAAAGTCATTCTGCGTAGAGTTCCAAGGACCCGGGGAGGCATTGGTAGCGGCAACATTGGGACTGGCATGTGGGCTCGAGTGGTGGTGGTGGTCGCCGGTAGCAGCATTGTACATGCCCGACAAGACGCCTTGGACTCCACCATTGTTACCCTGTTGGTTGCCCATCTGACCTCCAGACATGGGTGCTTGGGGCGACTTGCGGCGATACTTGCTCACATCATTGTCCAGCAACACGTTCCGGTTGCCCTGTCCACCGACGGAGGCGAGCTGAGCGGCGGCCGCCTCGAGGGTGGCGTTTGCATCGGCACCGCTGTTGTTTCCATCGTCGAACATTGGCATCAAGGGAGTATTGCCCATGCTGGCCCAGTTGCCAGACGAGGTGATTGGCGAAAGTTGATCGTCCAGAGGTCCGCTAGGGCGAGGGCTCTTGGAGGCCGCCGAGAGGCCGTCGGTCGACTTGGGCCGGCCCATGGCGCCTTCGGAGCCTGCACCGGCACCAGAACCAGAGCCACTGCCTCGCTCTTGGACCTGGTCCAGACTGCCTCCCGAGAAGTTACGACTGCCATGTTCACCTGCGAGGGTGCCGGGGGCCGAGATGCGGTTAGCCTTGAGTTTGGCGCGCTGAGCTGCGAGTGTGGCAGCAGCCTCAGCGTGACCAGGCGAATACATGGCGGCCGCATTGGGGCTGAGGAAGCCAGCAGCGTCAGACGACTGTCGGTAGCCGCGGTTGTTGGGTGAAGCAGGCGACTTCATGGCGCTAGGGCTCTTGAGCCCGAGGGAGGCCAGCTTCGCCTCCATCTGCTCAGCCATTGAGCCTGACTGAGGGTGCGAGGGCGAGAGAAGGGCCGACATGGGGTCGCTCCTCGCCATTTGCTGAAGGACAGTGATGAAGAAACGAATCTGGACCTGCGTTGATTCCTGCAGCAGGCTGTAGAGAGCCGCCGTACGCTCAGCCTCGGAAAGAACGCGGAACCCTATGTGAAAGGAGTCAGATTAGGCTGCTTTGTCCAGGCTAAAGGAGAAGACTCACACTGCTCAATGGCGCTCAGTTCCTCCTTGAAGTTTTGGTCGAGGGAAGCAGCAGCCATCTCCTCTGTGTGCACAAAAAATCTCGTCAAACGCTGCCTGTACATCACGTCACCAAATTCATCAACCTACCAAGAGTGGCCTCGTAGTTCTGCAGGTCTTCAAACCACTTGTCGATGGCGTCGGCTGATCGGAACAGGTCAATTCGATGGAACCACAGTGGGTGTGCTAGCGAATACACTCACACTCTGGGGTCCCCTGCTGGGCCATACCGAGAAGCTCCGAGCTAGGCCTGAGACCTCGAGCGCTACCTGGCGTGTTTGGCATGGGCATGGTACCCATGCTCGGGCTCCTGACCGGGCCCCCAGGGCCGCCTCCAGAGGACTGCTTACCGAGCGAGTACCGGTTCGAGCTCGGGTTAGTGCCTCCGACCGGCGACGAGGCACGACCTGGCGAAGCGGGGGGTCGAAGCGAGCCAAAGTCTGACATGATCTGGTGATGAGATGAGCCGACCGCGATGAGCAAATGCCAGCGCAAAAGAAAGGAGAGCGAACAAGGACCTGAGAGAGCAAAGCCCAGCGACGATTCAAGCACCGCCCAAGCTCCACGCATGCAGCCCCGCCCCGCTCTGCCTATGGCGTCATGCGAGACTCACTGTCGTTGCTGTACGTGATAAAAGCTCCTTGTTCCTGTAAGATAGCTTCTCTGAAGCTAGCGGTCCAGATCGAGCGAGCCTACTTCGACGTGGTGTTGATATGTTAGTGTTGTCGCTGACGAAGAGAAAAAGGCACTCCTGAGAATGGTTTCTGAGGCAGGCAGATAGGCAGACAGACGACTGTCGACAGGCGAATGGAGGGGCGACCGGCGCGCTGACGAGGTACGACCCTTGGCGCACAGCAGGTGGGAGATGGAGGAAAGAGAAAGGAGACGAGGGGCACTGGGGCAAGAGCGAGAAAGAAAGAGAGAATAATAACGGGCGACGCGGCCAGCAACGCTCACAACGTGTTTTTTGGTGCTTTACTTTTAGCGCACAGAAAAAATGCGCGCTGCAGGCACGGCGTCACTCTCAAGCAACGATATAGCGTGTTGGAAGATCAATTCCGCCGACAGTGCTCAAAAGGGCCGTGCCCTGACTGGAGCTTCACTCCTTCATCACCAGTCGAGTGAGCGCCCTCTGTCTGCCACTATGGCCATGGCGTCTGCTCCAGAAACCTGGGTCGCGACCCTGGGAATGTTTATCATAGACATATTTAGATTCGAGGATCCCCAGACAGGCCAGGATCTCGGCGACCGAGGCCTCGGCGACCAGATCGGAGGGGGCGGGACCTACTTTGCGATCGGGGCCCGGGTATGGTAGGTCTAAATGGGCTCCCTTCCTCCCATTGCTGTCGGCCCCGCTGACCCTTGTATACGCCAGGCTTGACCCTGAGAACATCTCCATGACAATAGATCGCGGATCAGATTTCCCGCAAGCTATTCAGGATAAGCTCAATACGTTTTCCAAAGGCAGCAACGGGCTTTGGCGATGGCGAGAGAGGAAGCAAGGAGGAACAACAAGGGCCGTCAATATATACCGTGGCGAGCAGAGAGGGTTCGAGTACCTTTCAGAAAAGATCCGCTTGGATCCCATCCACCTGCTCGAGGAGGCGGCTTCGAGTGGAAATGTATCTGGGAAACTTCCTCGTTTTATCCACTTCATCTGCTCGCCTCAGCGGGCACTGCAGATCGTGGACCAGGTCGACGAGCTCAAGGACCACTGGAATGATGGACAGCGGCCGAAGCTCGTCTGGGAACCTATTCCGGACAGCGCGAAAGCAGAGAATCTCCTCGACTGCATCAGTGTCATGCAGCGTATCGATATCATCAGTCCGAACCACGAAGAGGCTGCTTCTTTTCTTTCTGTCTCCCTCCAAGACATTCTTTCACCCGCGTCTGTGCTCTCGACGGACCACATCTGTGCGACGCTCGCCAGAAGGCTCGCCGTCGGCCTCGCGGAACGGTGTCCTCCTTCGTCGAGACCCCTTGTCTGCATCCGTGCGGGCAAGTACGGCAGCGCAGTACTGGTCCCTTCTTCGGCTGCTGTGGAGGACAGCAAGGACCAAATGGGCTGGGCAGAAGCCTATCACACGGAAAGAGATTCGCACCGTGTGGTGGATGTCACAGGCGCAGGCAACGCATGGCTGGGCGGTTTTGTTGCTTCCCTCGTTCTGCATGATCAAGAAAAGCGGCAGAGACGGTCTTCGGAGAGCTGGAGTTTGGGTGTGGCCTTGAAAGCGGCAATGGTGGGTTCCGTTTCCGCTTGTGAGTCTGCGATTCTCGCTGCTAGCATTGCGTCGGAAGGAGCTCACCTTCCTGGTTGATCGCAGCTTTTATCGTCGAACAGCAAGGCCTTCCTGACTTCAAGGAAGGAAAATGGAACGGCGAAAGCCCACAGGAGCGGCTGGTTCAGCTCGAAAGTAGAGCGCCCGTCAGTCTTGACCTTCATTGAACTTTCATAATGTGTGTTTCGGTCGCAATGAGGCGGCTCCTGGTTAGTGAAACGGTAGATTTTTGCTGTTTTGAGAGTTATATGACAAGTATACTTTTACGCAGTGTAGCAATCTGTGTGATGCTCCTGCGCGGAAAATCCGACTGCATGTTTCTTTCGCCTCCATTCGCCTTCATGTCTTTTTGTCCTTCGTTTACCACATTGCCCTTCACCACTGCTTCTATTCGATGGCTGCCTTCATGGTCATCACAGATCAGAATGCGGAAAGGGAAAAAAGAAAGTATGCTGACCAGGCGGGGTCGCGGCCTAAAAGAGAAAAAAGAATGATGGAAGTGGGACTCGAACCCACGCCTCCGAAGAGATTGCGATTTTTGTCCATGCTCTTAGCAAGGACCGAAGATACCTGAACACAACGCAATAACCACTATGCCATTCCACCGACAAGTTACTTCTATTCACCCTTCTTATTTATATAAATATTCGCCTTTTCTGACTCTTGTCATCTTCATCATCGCCTACCATCTCGCTCGCCTTCTCGTCCCTGGCTTTGTTTTTTTTATTTGCCGACATGATGCCAATGACGAGCCGGTAAAATCTTTCGTTCTCTTCGTGCTCCTTGGTTCCTTTCCTAATTGTCTTCCTGCTTTCTATCAATTCACCTTCCCTTAACCGTGCCCACCCTGCTACATCTCGCTTGTCTTTACTCTTGTTGGGCTCCCTAGCATCCCACGCGCGCTTGCAAGCGAAAATTCTGCAAGACCTGCAACGCTGCCGGTCATTCTACCCGGCGATGCCGTCAACAAAAGATGAAGAACGACACAATGCCTCTCACAATCGCGGAAAATCTAACAATTCATCATGCTGGCACGTCGAACGCTTTCCAGTCGAATATCACCCCCGCTATGCGACCCACAGAGCATACTCGCGCCAACAAGCGCCATCGGGACGAGACGTCCCAGCTTTCCGAGGATGGGTCCTCGAATCTTTAATGCATTTCGAGACCTCTCTTTACTCTCTTCCTCTCCTTCTTGTATCCCCATCCTTTTCGATTATGCCATGGAGGTCCCAGAGCCTTTTCATGCTCAGCGCTCACGGTAGTCTCTTGGAAAGGATTGTAAACAAATTCGCAGGCGGCTCAAAGAATGAGAACGAGATGGCAGGGTCCATGAAAGAGAGGGAAGAGGCGCGTTTGATACAGTCGCGACGACCATGAAGAACAAAATCTTTCCATGGTAATCGAAGAGAGCAGAATCAGCAATTGCATGAGTATACGCGAGACAATGGGGTAGTACATGTATGAGTGTAAGAACAATAGCAAGGTCGTTGTCAATGGAAGGAGCGGAGAAATCATTGTTGCTGAAAGACAAGTCAACCCTGCCTGGCTTGCATCCTGGCGTCCTGCGCTAAGCTGCTAGTCCTCACGGGCGACTTCACCGACGAAGACGCTAATGCCGGCGTTGATCCAGTCACGATGCCCAGCCTCTTGTTGTAGCGATCAATCTCATACTGCTGCAGGCCGTCCTTGCCAGACCAGTTCGCACTCGAGCTCCTGGGCCTCCTCCTTGCCCTAGCTTCGTGTTCCGATTGAGGAGGAATCATCTCTTCGAGGGGCACATTGCCCTGCGGAACGCCAAAAATTTCATCGGCGTCGATATCGGCCTGCTGAAGCAGCGCGGCTTCGAGGCCCTCTCGCGTCTCCCACGGCTTGTGCTTGGCTCGGCGCGCAATCGTCGCCTCATCTTCCGAGTCGCTGTATTCGGACGGCGGTTCCTCCAACTCGATGTATTCCTCCTTCTGTGGCTTCTGTGGCTTCTTTGGCTGCGAGCCCTGCGCTTGAGCAGGTTGCACGACACGACTACCCGTTCCTTGGCGTTGCGGCTGGCCATGAGCTTGGGTTACTTGTTGGCTGGCGGGGCGTACAAGGTTGGTTGTCGTAGAGGTAGACGCTTTTGCCATCTGGAACACATTCTGGTTCGAAAAGACTGCCTGCTGTTGGCTCGACTTTGTACTCTGGGCCTGTTGAGAGGCAGGCTTCGACGGCATCATGGGACGTGCGCTGGCGCTGGGCTGGCCGAGACGAAGATTTTGCTGGCTTGGTGGCTTTCCAAGTTTATGGTTCGTTGTGGAAGCGGATAGCTGAGCAGCAGCCTTGACAGGCACGGCTGCACCTTCATTCGACTTGCGCTTCTTATTACCTGCCGTCTCAGCATTGTTGCTGGCATTGACAGCCGGGCGCTGCTGAGCAGGGGCTGTCGCTTTTGGCTTGGTTTCTTCTCGTTCACGTTTGCCCGTATTGCTAGCGGCCGCCTCTCTCGCCTCCCTCTGCGCCTGGATCTGCTTGAGCCGCTCTTCCCTCTCGCGTGCCTTCTCCGTCTCCTTCTTTCGCGCCGCTTCGGCCCTGATGACACTCTGAGGCTTGCTCGACGAGGTGTGCGAGGTATTAAGGGCTGACGCTGGTCGCGGGAGTTCGGCAGGCTTCGACATCCCAGCCTTTGCCCCGGCGCTGTTGTGAATCGTTTTCGGGACGAAGCCAGAACTGCTCGAGATCGAGTGAGGCTGCGACGAAGTTGTTTGGGTCGACGAGCTCGATTGGTCGCCGGACGCAGATGAAACAGGTACCGGAATCCCCGGAGGCAATCCGATGAAGCTCTTGACCTTGCCCAGCCAACCGCTGTTGGCCTGGCTCGTGCTAGACGACGGAGGCAATGTGGAAGGCGCCATTTTGGACGGTAACTTGATCGTATGAGAGCTCTGAGCTGCATTTCTTGGCATTGCCGCCATCGGCCGAATCATCGAAGCCCCTGGAGGTCGCGGATTGTTGCTAGGCCTCGTCTGCGAGTGCTGCTGCTGTTGCTGCAGAGGCCTTGTGGAGCTGGCAGCAATCTCCTCCAGCAAAAGATCACCTTCGGACCTTTCGTCATCGGCGCTGCTGCTCTCCTCTCCTGAGTCGGTCGACACATCATCTTCAAGATTGTCCTCTTCCTCTGGGCCATCAGACACCTTATCTTTCGCGTCTGGCTCCTCTCTGACGCGACTGTTGGAGGGTCCCTTATCAGGAGACAGCGATTTTGAAGGAGAAGGATCGACAGCTGCTCTTGGCTGGGCTACCGCCTTGGGACCTGGCGAATTCGCTGGCGTCGTTGAGGCAAGAGGTAAGCGCGAAGGCTTTGCCGGCGATGAGCGCGCTGTTGCTGTCGATGTTGCTGCGTTCTTTCCAGGTGAAGCAGGAAGTTTCAATTGGCCGGCCTCGCTGCCAGGGACCGCACCTTTGGCCTTTGTTGGCGACTTGGGCAACCTGCTGCTCATCTGCGAGGCAAAGCGGCCCAAGACCGGGCTGGTCCATCCCTTCTGCCCGAGGCCAACCGCATTTGTCGTCGACTTCTGCGACGCCGGCTTTGAGTAGGTCTCGATCTGGGAACGCAGGCTGGCAAGGGTGGCCTTCGCTGACTGCTGACTTGTCTGAGCCTCCTTGGCCGAGCTGGTCTGTGGAGACACCTTCCGCGCTTTGCTAGAAGCGTCTGTTGGCGTCTTCTCGGGCGATGAGGTCTTGGTTGCGTTATCGACCTCCACGACGCTGTTCTTTCGCTTTCTTGACGATGATGATGATGAAGACGATGACGATTCGGCAGGGACTTCAGAGCTGGGCGGAGATCGAGGGGCGGGAGAAGGCGCAGCCGTTCCCGCTTCACTGTTTGATGGCTCTTTACGATCCTCCTGCGGACCACTCGACTTCTCTTCCTCGAGGCTATTCTCGCTTGATGCCATCCTGAGACTCTTGGAGAGGAAGCTAGACTTTATAGTCGTCGCCATTGTCGCGGGCTCCGGTGCTGTTGCGACCACGTTTGCCCTTTTCGTCGTGGAGAAAGAAGAGAGGGCGCGTTTCGTCGAAGTCAAAGTTGTACTCAAAGGCTTGCCCAGACCAAGGTCCTCCATCATCGACACGACGGGACGGGTCGACGCGGAGTCGTCAGAGGCTGGGACCGAATTCGAGTCTTGCTTGTTCGTATGATCGACAGATGGTGGTCTTGCATCACTAGGCCTGACGTCGGAAGAGGGCGGCGACTGCGCCACTTCGCCCTTGATTTGGATCTCAAGAGTCTCCTTTTCCGCATCAATGTGCGTCGTTTTCCCATTCGGTAAAGCTTCTGCTCCCACCTGGTCTTCGAAGTCACGATGTGCGCCCACTTTTGTCCGCGCGCTATCTTCGTCTTCTGCTGGAGCATCATCTTCGTTTTCCTCATCTTCGCTCCCGCAAAACTCGTCGTCGCCATGGCCAGTCAACCGAGCCAAACTCTCCTCAAGCTTTAGCCTGGCCTGGAAAGACGCATTGTCGCGCTCGGCCTTGGTGGGGCTTTGCGGGGGAGGCGTAGACTCTCTCGGCTCGTCGCCCTCCTCGACCTCCATGGAAGGCGTAGCTTTCCCCTCATCAAAGTCTTCCCTGCTCTCTTCGAAATGGATGCCATTTTCTTCGTTGCCGGCACCATCCGTCGCGGAGACAAAGGCAGTCGACGCAAAAGAGGCCTCCTGAACCGCGCTTGCCTTGGAAGAAGCCTCAGCCGGTTTGCTCTGGCCTGTCTTCTTTGCAGTACTAGCGTTCCGAGCTGTCTGTTTAGCTGTTGCCTTCCCTGTGGTGGTTTTACCTTGTTTCTTTACTTGTGAGGGACCAGCAGCTGAGACGGGAGAGCCTTCTTCTGTCACATCGGAGGACTTGACCTTCGTTGATGCCTTCTTTGCGTTCTCTTTTGCCTCGAGGACCCGTTTTTGGAAAGGATTGGGAAGCTTCTCTATCAACTGGCTCTTATCCGCTCTACTTCTGGTCGAGCGGAGTAGTCCACTGCTGCTGCTGTTGTTGTTGTCAGAGGAGGAGGCCTGTCGTCCGTTGGTGTTTTCTTTGTTGTTATCGGCTACCAGTGGCACCCTTCCCACGTCGTCACCTCCAAAGGGATCTGGTGACGGTTCTCTAGGCTTGTTTCCTTGTTTCTTCGTGGCCGGTTTCTTCGTCTTGTGGGCAATGCCTTTTTTACGAGAGGGCGTCTTGAGCAGATCGCCGGCCATTTGATGCACGTTGCCAGTGATCGTGTCATCCTCTTCCGACTCTCTGTTTCGACGTAGTCCAAGTCGAGGTCAGCATTGGATGCTACAATGACGCAAATAGTCAGGCTTGAGACTCACTTGTAGTGCTTGTAAGAGACTTTCGCGTGATCCACCATAGCCTCAAGCCAGCCATGTCCTCCGTTGGCGACAAAGTCGTTGAGCGTTTCCAAATTGGCGTACCTTCGCAGGTCGTTGACGTGCTCAAGGAGGTTCCTTTGGGTCGTGACGTCTCTAGACGACGAAGACCCCACCATCGTGGCAGCTATCTTGGATGATGAAGCCATGATGCGTCACGGCGGCGACGCTGAGCTCGAGGGGTGGATGATGGTGAGCAGTGGGGGAGAGAGAGCGAACGGGTGAGGGCCAAGTCGAAAATCCAACACTAGGCCTACTGCAGACGGGTGGAGAGCGCGCGAACCCGCGTTTGCATCACGTGCCCCAGCTTTAGACTTTCCATTCGAAGCCCCCCCTCAGTGGTGCAACCAACCTGTATTGGTGAGGCTTCTTTGCCCTTTGCCTGCCACTTTACCGCCACTGGCTTACACACGCTTGACCTGCCATCATCGTGGTCGGATGCACCACGATGGCCCCAAAAGAAGCACCTCTGCAGTCGATCTCCATTGACCGCACCGAAACACGGTCGCTGCCGTCGCCGCACACCGTCTACGCAATCGTCGTCGTCCTCCCCGTCCGATCCTGGACAGTGTATCGGCGCTACAATGACTTTTTCCAGCTGCACGCCTCCTTCTCCTCGGCTGCATGCGGACCGCCGCCGGCTCCACTACCACCAAAACACGCAGCGCGCCGTACACTGCGGAGCATCACGGGTCTCGGCGGGCTGCTGCCTGCGCCCGAGTCGGTGCGCGAAGCCGACGAGGAACAGCTCCGGGAGCGCAGGGCCCAGCTCGAAACGTATCTCCGCGCCATTGTGGCGAGCACCAACGATGCCTGGAGGGCGTCGGATGAATTCAAGGCATTCATTGAGCTTCCCAAGAGTCAATTCGTCTCTCGGGCCCATTTCCAGCAGGGGCAGGACCAGCAGCAGCAGCAGCAGCAGCAGCAGCGACCGACCGGGGCAGGATTCGAGGATGCTGGGTTGTCCAATGGAGAGAGAAAGGCCTACGTTCCGGGAACCTACGCGAGGGCGGCAGACGCAGGTGCACCAGGCGGTGGGCGGGGCTCCTTTACCCGCACGCTCGGAAGCGCCGCGCCGCCACGGCCGCCCGCGCCCGTCGAGACGGCTGCCACCCGGCTGCTCGATGAGCGCGGGCTGCTGGACTCGCAAAAGGCCGCAATGAATCGACAGGACTCCCAGCTGGATGACTTGGCCGCGATCTTGCGGAGGCAAAAGGCCATGGGCCTCGCCATCAACCAGGAGCTGGCCGAGCAGTCGGAACTGCTCGACGACCTCGACGGAGAGGTGGAGGGCACCCAGGCAAAGATGGCTAACGCCGAGGGAAAGATGAAGAAGCTCGAGGGCTGAGGCAGGCTCCATTTATTCATGGAGGCAACGGGAATAGAGGCTCTACATTGTATTTAGACAAGCATGTAATGATGAATACCCCTTCTAGAGTGATGTGAATGGTACAATTGTAGTCTAACAAAGCGACACGAGCATGAGAGATTTTGGATGGCAATGATGGCGTAAAAATCACGAAGCAAGCGAAGAGATGAGCAGGGCATCGTTTGTCAAACGTCGGCAGCTTGTCGCATTAGACGCAGGGATTGGTAGGTGGCATATGTCCTGGAAAAGTCACAAGTCAGCAGCGGCGACTAGACACAAGGCAGAGATTCTACCGACATTGTGACGCTGGGTCTCTTAGCGACCTTGCAGTCGATCAAATCGCGCCACGCCACATCAAAGGCAAGCTTGATCCTCTTGATCCTGCGACTCTTGTCGCCTTTGGTCTGCTCCACCGCAGTCGCGTAGAGACAGCTCGCGACGAGCTGCTTGTAAAAACGAAGCTCGGGAGTTGTGAGCCTGGCCTCGAGATGGCAACTGTTATAATTGCTAGGTTCGCCACCGCCTCGCAGGCTAGATGTTGCAACAGAACCGGGCTCGGAGCCTTGAGATGAAGTTGGTGGAGTAAGGAAAGGAGAGACTCGAGCGGACTTGAGGGGATCAACACCGCAGATATCGAGGCCGATTTTGGAGGTTTGCCAGGAATGATAAAGATGCAAAACGGTAGTCGCGACCTCCCGAGAAGCAAGCGTATCACCGTGGTCATCGTGGCTGTCGAGAGGAGGTTTGGAGGCGGTCTGCCTCTTGGCTGGTGAAGTCTTGGTTGGTGAAGTATTACCTGCATTTCCGTGCGGAGTGCTAGCTCTGGATATTGCTCTGCCTGGCGTTGCCTTGTAATGGTTCGTCCACAGCGAAGTGTAGGTCTCGAAAAACTTATCGATATGAGACTTGATCGCCAGCTGCTGTGTGGTAGACAATCTACCCTTCGCAATGCTCTCGCTCCATAAAGAAGCCAGATCAGGGTCATCGTCGTCGGCATTCAATACTTCTAGCCCCCTTTTACGCACGATTTGGCTCGCCTCTTCCGATCCTACCAGCCAGAGGACATCGAGGATGCAAGGCGGGAGCGACTGATCCCTCTTGATCACGTTGGCAATAGAGTCAGCGCTTTGGCTGTAAATCGAATCAGCGTCCCTTGGCAGACAGATGGTCACAGCACTCGGCATCCTACCTTTCCCAATTGGGTAGCTTCTCGTTGTACCGCATTTGATCGGCTCTCAACACCTCGTCCTTGATGTAGACGCCATTCTTGACGCCGTCCATCGTTTGGTTGACTGTAGGGATAAAGATAAGCGAAGTCTTTCATTTAAGGGGAGTAAGGGGCTGTCTGCTCACATTTGAAGGCCATGTCGATGGTATCCTGATGCTGCAAACCATTCTTGTAGGCAGAGCACAGCGTCAGATTCCCATAGACGCCGACGAGGTCCATTGCAAACACGTTCTGTGTGACAATCTGAACGAGCGCTACATCTCGATCCTCGCCGTCTCCAGACGTTTGGAGGAACGAATCGAGAGTTCGCTCGTCGCGATGAAAGGCGTCGTCGAGGCTGATGCTAGGCTTACATCGCTCGAGATCGACGTTTTTGAACCCTTCGACGATCGTCGGTTCCCAGATAACACGTATAGTGTCGCCGTCCATGTCGCCGCCGGAGAGAACATCAGCGAGAGATCGATCGCCTTTCGTGCTGAAGACAATCAGGCCAGAGTAGCGCTCTAAAGCTTTGTACGTCGTCGCTCTGACTCTGCGACAGTCTGCCGGAGTCAAGCACGGGTGTCTGGTAACAAGGACGTCGCCTTCAAGAGCCGGAATGTCGACGCCAGAGTCAGGGTCTCTCGGCATCTTGGAGGAATTGAATGTGAGTTGCACCTCGCCCTCTTCGAGTACTCCCACGGGATCGGGGATGACAATGACCTCTACACTCCTTGGTACCTAGAGGAAAAAAAAATGAGCCTCATGGTCGATTAAGAAGCAGCTTCCTAATGCTCAGTAATTACCTTGATCTGGAATTTGTTGAGCGCCCGATGCAGGATATCCCTGGTCGCGTCGACCATCTGATCGGCGAGATAGGCCGATTGGCGAGGATGAAAACCGGCCAAGAGCATCTCGTAGCACTTCTCCAACTTTGATTTTGGCGTGGTGAACAGCTCGCCGTCCTCTTCTTCCTTGCCGTCTCGATCACGCTGGTCCTCGAGTCTGCTCTTCAACCCCCTTGCCCTTGCGTCAAGCTGGTTGCGATTGTTGCGGTTGTTGGAGACGTTGCCGAACTTGTCGACCGCTCTGACCAATTCAGTGCACGTACGGTCGAAGCTGAGCTGGTCGGTGACCTGCCTCAGCGACACGCTTTGTAGCTCGATTAGCGTCTCGTAGCTGACGCCGTTGTGTGCGAGGACGAGAACTATCTGCTTGCTCAGCGTGCTTGGCCACGAGACCTGGGCCGGCGACAGGACATCGATGGTGTTGAGTGCTGGGTCTTCTGAGCATGGCTCGGGCCGCTTGAGCTTGAGCTGACTGTCGCGAATCGACAGGTGCATGCCTGGCGCGCTTTGCGGCTCGACGTACCACATGCCTTTGGCACCCGCGAAGCGCGCCTGGAAGGCAGCAGGAGGCCTTTCCCATCCTGCAGCTCCTGTCACCGCTCGCAATGCTTCCTCACTGATGGCTGCTGCGCCATCGGTCATGATCTGGCCAGTAGGTGCGACAATGTCTCGCTCAAACGAGACTGACTCGGGCGGTAGCGTCGGGCCCGCAATGCTCGAAGAAAAGCCGAGAACGAGGCGCTGAAGGTACTTCAGAAGCTTTGTCGACCCATTTTGAGCGAAAGGACCGTGCCAGTCAAGGAAGCTCGCGATCGAAGGCATATCGTCGTCGATATTGAAGAGGAAAATGGTGTCGTCGCGCTGGAGAAGAGGACGATAGCGTCTACCGGCGAGGAAGAAATCCTTGGTGAGGAAGACTTTGAGAGAATTGCGATTTGGCGTTGTCATCGCTGTGTGGTGAAGTCTGATGCGCAGGAACCGTGCGCTCCCGAACCGCCGAGAGAACTACATGGTATGTCAGCAGTGTCCCTTCGTGTGCCCTGTCTCAAGCATCACTGACCCTGGTGCTATGTGCACATCTGGGGGGATCCAGCTTCACTGTGAAGTCATCTGGACAACCAGGATCTGGTCCGAGGGTACCGGTGAAAAAGACTCTGCCACCGCACCAGCCCTTTTCCGTATCGACGCAGATGCCGTGCCTCTGGAGCGCTTCCTCCTCCTTGTCCAGGTCCTCGAACGCTGAAGCGTCGAGGGGCATGAGGTTGAATGGCGGCTCCTGGAGCCTCGCAGCAGCTTCTCGGTTGCTGAGCCCTCGGAGCGCGTTGAGCGAAGGAAGATGGATCGTGTCCCAGCTAACGATGTTTCGCGAGACCAGCATAGTGAAATAGTAATGGGCACCAAAGCAGATGGGCTCGTATGAGTGGTTGTGCATGAGACCGTGTAGCAGCTCCATCTCTTTGCGTGAGCCGACGACGTTGACATTGTGTGGCACGGTCGTCTTAATCTCTCTCTTTTGCTTCGCCAGTCGCTCGTTTACCTTGCCAGCCTCTGTTTGGCGAGCATCTCTGGCAGGTGATTGGGGCTTGACACCATCGCATTTAACGCGCGCACGCTTCTCTGGACTGTTGAAATTCTTGAAGGCTATTGGGGCAGTTGCTTCTGGGCTACGAGGGCGCCGCGTACCGCGTTTGTCTTCCTTCTCTTCCTCGAGACCTCCGCTAGCCATGTCAAGGTCAACTTCGAGGAGCTTGCTGTCGAGGGAGAGGTCGCCAAATTCAGACGATGCAATGGGTGGCGATTCGTGGGTATGGTCTTGGTCGTCAGGTGATTGGCTTGGGGACAGGTCACATATTGATGGTGCATTGGATGGAATATTGGGCGTCTCTGCAGGCTCTGGCGTGCTTGTTATTGAGCCCCGTCGCGTAGCCATCGATTTTGAGCCGGGCAAGAGGGGAGAAGGAGAAAAGAAAGAGGATGGAGAGGGAGAGGAAGGGGGAGATGGCGAAAGATGAGCGGCGTTTCCTCTCGAGAGTGCTTCATCGACATCTTTGAGAAAATTGCCCGCCCGACGAAGTGCAGCGTGTGGCGCCAGTGGTCGACGCAACCCAGCGCTGTCGAACCTGGCCAAGGCCCTCTCCAGCGCCGCTCGATTCTCCAAGTGCAGTCTCTAGGTTCACAGCCATAAGCAAGAAGCAAATGCGAGAAGAAATTCTGTCTTCACTCTTCCTCACTTTGATGCGCGCCTCATGCTCTCTCGTCAGCCGTATCTCATTGTCCAGCTTGAGATACTTGATGAGGCTCTCTGGGCTGGCCAGAATCCTCTCCGTCATCGTGTCGGTTCCTCCTCCCTCCTCCCCTTGGGGCGCGTTGTGCGTTTAACCTGCGAAGAAGCCTGCGAATTAGGCTCAGCCGTGGTCAGTGCGAGGGCATCACACGTGAGTCCGCCCGCTCGCGAAGAGCGACCTTGTTGCGCTCCGAGTCTATTAAACCGACGTACGGCATCAAACAAGAGCCAAAGTCAAAGCAGAGCTGGAAAGCATGGATGGCTGGGCGCCTCTGGCTCCCACCAAACGCTTCTCGCAGTCGGGACAGTATGCGAGAGCGGCCACCACAGCACCGCTCAAGGCCGTCGCAGATGCAGTGAGGGGAGCAGGTGGAGCAGGACGGCACTCTCTGGAAGAGGCAAAGGCAGCGGGGGGCGCCGATGCGTTCCCCCCGGTCGGTCAGGTTCCTCACACCGTCGCTCTTCACATCTTGTCTTTTTTGCCGATATCGGACCAAAGAAACTGTGCTCTGGCGGGGAGAGCGCTGGCGAGAGTCGTGGCTGACGAAGCGAACTGGAGCAGGCGTTTGGAGGCCCTCGATTGGTGTCATGTCGACGGGCTCGCAGTGGATCTCGGCGAAGAGGCGAGCATAGACGAGGTCAGAAGCCTGGGTCGACGAAGAAAAGGGAAGGAAAAGGAGAAAGCGGCTGCGTCACCGGCGGCAAAGAGGAAAACCGATACCAAGTCGCCTCCGATTGTGACGAAGCCGGGCCGGTCGCTGTCCGCTACGGACGACGACGATGATTTCGGCGACTTTGCCGGGCCAAGCACAGCTGTTCAAGGCAGCTCTCCCTCTGCCGATGATGGCTTTGGCGACTTCGTCGTAGGAAAGGCGCCCGTGGGTGGCTCCTTTGCCAGCGGCACCGCCAGTGTGGCCATGGGTGGCGGTCAACCGCACTCCATCACGGCTCCATCGAGCGCAACGGCAGCTGCACGATCTTCTTTCTCCCCCCCTAACCATGGCTTCTCCTCGTCTTCCTCCCAGCCAAAGGCAAAGGTGTCGTCAACAGCGCCTGCGGCGGGAAGCGGCGCCATTTTCTCCTATGCCGCCGAAGCAGCTTTGCCCTTGTGCGGCTCGTCTTCCTCATTCAGAAAGCTGAAGGCGTACGCACGGGCGTTGCGAAGCTTTCAGAAGTCGCTGGCAGATCTGTCCGGTCCGCCGACGAGCTCGCTCATCTTCACCTGCGATTTGGGGCTCGATGCCCAAGCAGCGCTGCTCGCCAACCTCCTTCGTTTCATCTCGACGAGCGTGGGTGGAGTGTCTTCGGCTGCGTTGGCCGAGAGCAAGCAGCGGTCAACGAACAAGATGCTTGCCTATGACGAGGATGCTTCCATCACGGTGCGGGGCCAGAGCGCCTCCCGGCAGCTGCAGCGGACCATACTCTCTTCCTTCCAGGGCGCCCTGGCCCGGAGAGGGGATGCCGTCAGGGCAGCTGCCCATGGTGCAGACACGGCCAGAGCGATACGGAGAGCCGAGGACGATATGCGAGGTCATGCTTGTGCCGTGTGGGAGCTCGGTAATGCTCGGCTTGCATTGGCTCTGAGCAACAGCGATGGAGCGGGCGAGGACGAAGGGCTGGATGCATCCCGAGACTCTGAGCAGGAGGATCGGTTTGGAAGAATGGAGGCCGCTAAAGCCTTTCTCGAGACGAGGGAGATCTTCTATCAGGGAATGAAACAGCACGATCCTCTGGCCAACATCATCAGCAAGACGACGTCATCGCCATCACTCGATTTCACCGCCATGGATAAATTCATGTCGGAGATCCTCGAGACTATTCGGACGGATGGACAGATTGTCGCCACCGTCTTTCCACCCGAGCAAGACGTTCTCATCGCCTACGCAGACCGAGTGGCTCACGACGTCGTGTCAGATTACACGAGACCGTTGCTCGATCACTGTCAAACACTCTCGATGCACCTATACCTACGATGCTGTGCTGCGACATTTGCCCAGGCTTTGCGCATTGCCGATGTAATGCTTGCTATTGAACCGCGAGACGAGGACATCGTTGATCAGGAACGTTGCCAAGACGTCGTGCTGCGCATGTGGGAATCCAACATCGATGACTACCTCCAAGGCGAGCGACAGTGGGTAAGCGAAGAGATGGGAAAGGTGACGGAAAAATGGGAGAGCGACCTTGCGAATGAGTCGGCGGCCTCCAAGACCGACGCTGCCCTCTTTCTCAACTCGCAGAATCCTGCAGCCGTCAAGAGGTCAGTCCTGTCTGGCTTTAAAGATGTTCTTCTCCTACCTGTCACCGTCGTCCCAAGAACGGTGGGCTACGTCGGCAACGCAGCCATTAGGACAGCTGGCAGTGGCCTCTCGTCGCTCAATCCAAGGAGATGGCAGTCTGGTGGTGCATCTTCGGGCGCGGCCGCATCGGCAACAGCAAAGGGAGGCGCAAGAAGCAGTAGTCCTAGCGTAGGAGCTTCTCTCTCGGCAAATCCGTCGTCGCCTTTGCCACCTAATCCGTCGACACCCTCAGAAAAGGGCTATGTGGACTTCAGCAATGGGTCTGCTGGCGGTGGGACCCTCGACGTGTACGGTGATACGGCCGACGGCGATGATGACATCGACAACGACTTAGGAGACGACTTCAACGAAAAAGATGAATGGAATGCAGAGGTGGAAGCGTGGGGCCGGGTGGCAAGCGTTCGTCCTGCAGCACCACCAACTTCTGCGAAGCGGATCAGCTCTCAGCTCAGCTCTCAGACTTCTTCCACGGCTTCAAGGCCAACCTCGCTGACTCCGTCTTCAGCCATTACTCGACCCTCGACCGTCTCGCCCTCGCCTTCGCGCTCAAGCACACCGGTCGGCGGCATTGGCAACAATTCGCGACCGATCGCGCAGATGCAGCTCCTCCTCTCGCTCGATACAGCACTCCAAGTGATTCACGTCAATCGAGACTGTATCAAGCGTGTCGAGACGTTCACAAAGTACCCTGACGAGGTCGGGGAGAGAGTGGCAAAGGAGATTGAAGATGTTGCCATTCTCTTTTTTCACGCACTCGGCGAGGGTCACGTAGCGCCTGGCTTTGCGAAGGCGACGAAGCAGATCCAGGACTGGAAGCCCAAGGATGACGCCGGCGCAGCAGACGGGGAAGGCTCAGATGGGGGCGACGAGCGAGTCGAGCCACTGGTCCACTTCTTTGAGCTCGTGCACGTCGGCGACACGATTGCTCAGATGGTGCAAGTCTACTTTGACCAGGAGCTTAGCCACCACATCGACAAGAATGATTTTCTCAACGCCGTCGTGCGAGAAAAGAAGCGGTTCGAGTCGAGTCTGGACGAAGCAGTCGCCAAGGGGCTCAATGCTGGCGTGGATCTGCTGCTGGGCCAGGCTGAGCACCTCATTGTGACGAGACAGGCGCCTGGCGACTATTACCCGGACAAGAACAAGGATCTGGAGCTTGGGCCTAGCCGGGCATGCCGAGAAGCCGTTGATTGTCTGAAGACACACTGCAAGATGCTCGTCGGGAGCACCGACAAGAATGTATTGGAGGTCTTCTACCAGGAGGTGGGCATCCGCTTGCACGGCATCATTTGCAAGCACCTGAAGCGGCAGATCATCTCCCTCGATGGCGGCTTCAAGGTCATCGCCGACCTCAACCACTACCATGCCTTTATCGCCACGCTTCGTCAGCCCAGCATCACACCGTACTTTGATGCCCTCAAAATGCTTGGGAATGTCTACATCATCGACAGTCCCAAAGAGCTCGCCCAGATTGCGAGAGATGCAAATATGTTTGGGGGCACTCTGAGCCCAGAAGATCTCTACGAGTTCTTGCAGGTGAGTTTCCAGTCCCTTCCCCTGCTTCCCATCTACTTCTCAAATTCACTCTTCTACTGCAACAGGCCCGTAGTGACTTCAAGATGATTGAAAAGGCCATCGACAAGGAGATGTACGGTTTCAAGCTGGCCGAGGACTGTGTCATCGCTTAGATTTGCAGCACTACTTTGAACAAATGCACATGTAATTGTTTTCGGCCCTTCATGATGGCATGTGTGTGTCGAAAGGCAAGTTCATCATGTCGTGCTGCCTGGGGCGTAGCTCTATCTAGTATTTCCCGAGGCCATCTCCGGGCCAGTCGATCCAGTCGACGCTGATTGCGATGCTCACGACGGTCAAGACCGTCACGAGGCCTACGCTTGTCCACATCCATGCCTTTTCGCGCGGCGTGATGGACTCGAAGTGCAATAGCCTCTTTTGGTTCGTTGCGAGCCCTCTTTCGAGGTCGTCATCGTCAAAGTCGTCGTCGTCGTCATACTCTGGTGCACCGTAGCCATTGCCTACATCATCATCCTCTTGATACGCATGAGGGAGAGAGCCGCCTGAGAAGGGCTCATCATCGAGCCTGAGAGCCTCTGGCTTTGCACTGTTGACACTCGCAATCGACGGAAGAGCGTCGTGTCCGAATGAAGGAAGATGCCGCTCGTCCTCCTCGTCATCTTCCTGCTGCTCCACCTGCTTATTGAGCGCTGAACTCGAGGCACGAGGCGTACCGGCATGCTGCTGCTGAAGCTCCATCGAGTTCCTCATGTCGTCCAGGTCGACGCGGTGCAGCTCGTAGCAGTCCGCCTCGCTCTCGGCCTCGTAGTTGAACAGATCCGTCGTCGCGGCCGTCGAGTTCGAGCCGCTCCTCGCACGAGTCCCGTCGCGCTTTCTCGGCTCATTGCCAAGACCTAAGCCAAGCAGCTCGGGATTGTGTGCAACGCTACGGCGAGGTGTGTGCGTCAGTGTCCGGCCTGGCGAGGACGTCGAGGGAGTGGAGGGCGACATCGTAGACCGAGATGGACGGCGACCATGCGACGGACCTCGCTCCGACTGGCCGGACGGGGGCGAAGAAAGGTCAAAACGTCTGGGCGAAGGAGGCACAGCGGTGACCGCCGACTCCACCGAGCTCGGGTCTTGCCTGGCCAGCTTCGAGTCGGCCGTCATGGTGATGGTCTAGATCGCCCGATTCACACTCTCCTTTCGGTGCTGGTTCTGCTCATCGACCAGGTCGTACGTCGGCTTTTTCATAGATTAAGATTGACCGCGGGATCTTGAAAGGGCTTTGACTAGCGATGCTGCTACTGCTGCTGTTGGTAAGTGGCCAGGACCTTCTTCAGCTCATGGCTAGAAGGAGTGTTCAAGGCAGAAAATTTAGATCTCGGTCGATTCGACTTCGCGTTTCTCTTCTTTGTTCTTGGTTTTTGTTATTCTAAAACAAGACGCAAGGCGCTGCACGCGCTGGCGAGCGCCGCCGAAGAGCGAGCAGGCTTGCTTTTGGAGAATAGCCGTGGTCACCAAGACGTCCTCAGTCCCTCTATTCAAAGCTGATGGTCGACCAGATGTCTGTCTTCACCATTGCTGCTTTTGAGCTATTCCCCAAATTAGAAGCAAAGGCAGAAAGCCGTCCAGACCGTCGACGTGAACGTGACCAACTGCTTGTTTCTAGGCTAGCGCAAGGAGGTCCGACGCCTGGAACGCGGTCCCTGATCTCTCACCACCGAAATCCCTGCCCTCCCCTTTTCACTTCACCTTGGTCACAGTAGTCAGAGAGAATTGGGTTCTTGACACTTCTGCTCGCCTCGTCGCTTCTGCAGCCTCATCATGTCGGCCCATCAACAAGCGGGCGGCTTTTCGGCTGCTGACGCATACAATCAGCCACTGCAATCGTCTAGTTTGCCTCCGCGTGAGGAGAGCCAACGCCCCTTGAGCAACCCAGCCGCGGCGTACGGCTACTCCAGAGGTGCAACAAGGGCGCAAAACGACGACGATGACGATGAGGACGATGATGATGATGATGAAGACGAGGGTGAGCCCGCTTACATCCTTCCTGTTCCCCTCCTTACCCACCACTGACCCGAGGCAATGCTGAACAGACTGGAATGTCTACGACGACTTCAACAACGCTCGGCCGATTCCGAGCCAGTCGCATCAGGACTCCTTTGCCGGACAGCGGCAGTCCGGAGCTGGCTGGTCCCAGCATCAATTCCAGGGTGTCGGCTTGCCTGAGGGAGGAGCCCAGCCTCTGGGCACACCTTACAGCGACTATCCTACCAAGTCTTTGTATGGCGATCGTGAGACGGCGGCTCCGCGCGACTCAAGACTCATTCCGGCATCGGCATTTGGGTTTGATGCCTCCAACATGGACCCCAGGACATCAAAGTATATGCGCGATGCCAACGGCGAGATTGTCGGAGCCGCCCCCGTCGGGGATGAGGACGGGAGGCTTGGTGTTGGAGGCAGTGGTACAAAGGGCGCCGCGAGTGAGAGCGGCATTGAGCTCATCACAGTCCCGGCGCTTGGTAACGAGTACAGCGAAGAGGAAGTGAAAAGGATGCGAAGATCCGACAAGAGAAGATCGAAGGCTAGGAAGAGGAAAGAAGGCGCAAGGAAGTGGGCAAGAGGAGAGAAGAAGATCGGTGGCTGGTTGGGCCCGAGGTGCGCCGTCTTCTTCGTCTTCATCTCCTTGGTCCTGTAAGTTTTGGCTCTGCGCTGGCGAGCTTCGGCTGTCCATCTTATCCCTGCTGACTCCCTTCATGTTCAGCCTCGGCATCATGCTTTACTTTGTCATTCCTCGAGTGCCTAGTGAGTTACCATTTCGTAGATCTTGCAAGTAGCCGCATTCCTGACTCGATTACGAACAGCTTTCCAAATCCAAACGACGACACCCCTGGAGGCTGTGCCGGATGGCAATGCGATGCAGACGCACTCGTTCCCCACCAATTTCAGCATGAATATGAACATTAACCTTCGCGGCAACAACAAGGGCGGCTGGGTCGCCTCAAATGCCCACGACATGACGATGGAAGTGACGGACCTGACAACTGGAAAGAAGGTTGGAAAGGGTCAGATTGACAGCAAGTCATTCCCCGGTCGCAAAAGTACGGTCTTCCAATTCCCAGTCAGCTTTTCCTACGCGAGTCTCAACAGCACGGGTGATGAAACTTGGAAGCACTGGATCAACGCCTGTGGGCCGAAGTGTAAGCATCAAGTCCCAGTGCGGCTCTTCTGCCAGAGATGCTGATTCCACGCTCTTTGTTTCATACAGACCAAGGTACGACGCGAGACACTCTCAATCTGGGCTTCACCGTTAAAATGTCGATTCAGGGTCTCATTGGCTCAAAGGGGCAGTCGACGCAGCTTCCGAATCTGGAGTGCCCTTTCACCCTTCAGGCCGACCAGACATGATGGCCTGGCAATCCCCAAATGGACATTTTCGCCCTCTCCCCTTTTCCTTAACACTTTTTCATTACCTCCCAGTGTCTGACCACTCTAAACCTATCCTCCTGTAGCTGTATTGAATCGATTTGTGAGCTGTCCTGGCGTCTGATCCCGTCCTGGAAGAGTCTTTCCTCATTCCCTTTCTCTCAAAGAGACACACACACACACATCGTAGAAAGATTGGGAAAGTGGAGCTTATTTGCAAGTAATGTCCATCAGGGTGACATTTAGAACAACGCCCGAGCAGAGCGTACAGGCTGGCCGTCTTGGTCTGGGCAAGGAAAGGGCCCTTGAAGCTTGAATGAAGCATCATCGCTGAACCAGCTCACGACGCATCGTCGGCTTCGCTCGCCCTTGGCCCGCAGCGGAAGTCTGCCCATGCACCCTCCACCTGGTCTTAGCCACTTTCTTCTTCTTGCCTGGGACTGACTCCCCTTTCATCAGAGGACACTCTCGTCGTCTGCTCCTCCTCCTTCACATCTTCTCTCCCGACGCTGACGGTGTCCTTTTTGTCCAGTTCCGCTGCTCCTGGTACAACGCCTCTCGCCCAATTGCCCACCGTGGCCCTCAAATGGTTTTCTTCTTCGCCGGTCCTTAGCCGGTCCCTGCCCAACGCATTCAACGCCACCCCGCCACCGACGCTCGTCGTCCCTACGTCTCTTCCCTCCTCGTCCTCACCCTCTTCGTCTTCTTCCGCAGCGATGCAGTCCGAGGGCCACATTGGCCAGGGCCGATCGATGCTTCGACCATGTTCCAGGACCGTGACGGCGTCGATGTCGGTCAGACCTGCCCCGCGCCTCTTGACGTGCGGATGACGTGGAGGCCGTGCCAGTAGGCCGAGGGACATCCGGCCTTCCTGCCAGATCAACGGTTGACGGCACAGCTTGCACAGAGGACCAGCCGCAGCAGCAGCTGCTGCTGCTGCTCCTTGTCGTTGCTTCTGCTGGTTTGAGAGTGGCTGAGTTGGTTGGACTTGCCGTCGCTTGGATTGAGTAGCAGCAGGAGCCAGAGAGGTACCTGGAAAGACCTGTGATTCTTCCCCACGCCTGCCGATTCTTCCCCATCGCATCTTTTTCCTTTTCTTCTGATTCCCTGCTTCGACTTGATTGGCCGCTGCTCCTTCCAAATTCTGCTTCGAAGGATCCTCTGTCCCTTCCTGCTTCTGCTTCTCCTCGTCGTCGCCCTGTCCCATCTTCTCGTCATCTTCATCGCAGCAGTACCTTGGAGCTTCGTCCTCGTCCTCGTCCTCGTCGTCATCGTGCATGACGATGACATCGTCCTGGTGGTCCATCTCATCTTCGCTGCTTCCCTCTGGTCTGCTTGCCAACCTCGTTAGTCTATGCCCATCCCCTCCTGGCACCGAGGCGGCATTTGCGACTGTCGTCGTTTGATGATGAGAATGAGAGGGAGGATGATGAGGGTGGTGATGGTGATGATTATGCGCCATGCCAATGGTGGTGGCAGCAGGCGCAAAGATGGAGCGAGAGGCAACAGCGGCCATGGGCGTTGCACCTGCCTGAAAGCTCAATGCACCACTCAGACCGCCGTGCAGATTGCGAGGAGGTGGTTGCGCGCCGCTGATCCATGGAGTCGTGTTGTCGTAGTGGTGTGAAGCGGCTAGGACGGACTCCTGCTCAGAGATGAGGACGCGAATGCCAATGATTGCGCCAATGGCAGCGGTGAGGTGCACGGTAAAGGGGTCCAGGGTGAGGCAGTAGAAGATGAGAGTGCCGACATTGGAGAGCGCCAGGATAGAGTAGTGAGTGATGCTGTTCATCCGAAGAATTCGTAGGAGACCGCTCTGGGGCTGAATCTGGGCATCAAGCGAGGCGATACCAGTAAAGGAGACGATGGCAAAGGTGGCATCGCTAATGAAGACTGTTGCGAGAAGGCCGACAAAAGCAAAAATTCGCTTGGGCAGGTCGTCTTCGTTTGACACCAGACGGAGCTGTTCGAAGGCCGCTTCTTCAAAGGCGAAACACGTCGTCCGTGTGTTGGTCATCGAGGTGGGAGGGGCGATGTAGGACTGCAAGGTAAAGGCGATGACATTTGCGGCGAAGCGTGCGACGAGGCAGAGGCAGACAATGGCCTGTGTCAGGCCGTACCACCGGGTGGCACCTCCCCCCATGGCAGCGCGTGCAATCGTGAGGCAGCGCCAGGCCGAGATGGAAGCCGTGAGAACCGAAAGCATGGCCGATGAAGCGAAGAAGAGGGGCACAACGACGTGCGAGCAACGGGACCAGGCAAAGTCATTTCCCCACTGTCGTACAATCGCTGCAGTCCAAAAATGTGAGACCAAAGAAGAACATATGCCCCAAGTCTTTGTGGCCATGTGCCTGTGGCCAACTCACCGAGGATGCCAAAGGATACGCTTCCGTAGCGGAGCCAGAGCGTGGCCCACGGTTGAATGGCCCTTGTCTTGAGCCGACTCCTGCGGCTCGAAAGCCTTCGCCAGATGTCGACCTCGGACGGCGCGTGGAGCAGGTACTCGTACAGGACGAGAAATTGCGTTATGATGGGTAAGGCGACGTGGATGCCCACGGTAGGCAGCCAGGCCGCCGCGGCCCATTGCGAGGGCGTCAGCCTGCCGAGGACTGCTGGACCATCTTCGCCGAATCGAGGGTAGTCGAGCATCGTCGTTGTCTGCTTGTCCTCAGCGCCGAGGGGCGCCAGTGATCATCGTGGCATTGCAGTCTCCTCCTGTCTATGACTGGCTGGTGGTCGGGCACGGCTTTCACCGCACCCCATGGCCTTCCGACGACCTTGTGTACTGAGGGCCATTTGATGCCGGCAACAGGAATAATCTCGGAGTGGACTCTCTGTCCCCTATTGAAATTCTGCCGTGTGGACCACGGGGTTTCCGGGATAATTGTATCTTTTTTTGTAGTCATCAATTATAACGCTATTCGAGGGTTAAGACAGTTAATACAAATCCGGATTGGATGAACCATGAGGTCGGGTGACGACGCATGATGTAGGCACGCTTGTGCTCGGTCTCCTCGCACCTTTTCTGGGGCTATGAGAGACAGAGTGGCAGGTGGAGCATAGGAGTTAGCAGGATCCAGCTCGGAGTGCTTGCAGTGCTGTAGTTTGAGTGCCGCGATAGCAGTGTAGCAGTATCTAGACTCGAGGTGAAAGGACGTGCTGATCTGATGCTAGAGAAGACATGGCGTCGGCGCTAGAGGTCGGGATTTTAAATTAGGCAATTGGAAGGCAGGCAGGGAGAAGAGAGAATCAGTAGTGTACCAGACTAGGAGTTGTAGTAGTAAGAGTGCACTGTAGAGATGTGAACATATGGTCGACCCGGCCTTTCTTGCGTCTTGCCCCATCGTCCTCAGCTGTCCGCGCTTTCCCCCTCTTCCTCCCTTATCCAGGACAGGCGGGTCTCAGCTGCCGACGAACGCTGATCATGGGCTCGTATGCCGTCGAGTCTGGTGTCCATGCCAACATCACCGGGGGCCCGTACGATGGATGGAACGCAAACGAGTGGGCTGGCAACGTCTTCTTGGCCGGCGTGACCACCCGCTTCGTCTTTTCTAACATCGGCATCATCCTGGGCCTTTGGGAGTTCATGGCCTTCCTCCCCGCTGAGATCGTCCTGTGAGTAATTGTTGCTCCCAGGAAGAGCGCGCGTGCGCACTCTTTTCCCCTACCACGCCTCTGCCACAGGCTCATTTCGCACGCTCTCACCGGCAGATGGCAAAGGTTGTCCAAAAAGGGGAGCGTCGGGCGATCATCGTTCGCACCCTGGACGACGCTGGTGCTGCGTTACTCAATGCTGTGCTACGCAATCGCATACGCCTTTGAGCAGTACTCCACCACACAACCCAGCGACGCGGCTTGCAAAGCAAATGCTGTCTTCATCATCATCGCCGCTGTGATGATCAATTGCGCCGCAGCCTTCGCCATCGCCTGGCGTGCTCAAGCTGTGGCAAGGGGCGTCATTCACGATCCCAAATCAGTACAGATCCTCCAGATCCTCATGAGTTTGCTTGTCGTGAGTAGTTGACCTCTTAGATGCAAATTTACTTGCCCCGCACTGACAGATGGTCTTTCTCCGGACCAGTTCATTTACGTCTTTATCATTGTCTTTTCTTCCGTCTATGACAACGTTAGAGAAGGAGGCCTCAAAGCATATGCCATCCATGGGAGATGCACAAATGGCCAATACCAGGTGATACGAACTGCACGCAAGATCTGGCTCCATCCTGCATTCTGGGGCTATGGTGCGTCCTCTTTTGTGCTCTGCTTGTCCTCGTCCTTTCGCTCACAGACCTGGGAAAATCACAGTATTCACCATCATCTTCAACATCATCTGTCTGGCTTTGGTGGCCGTCGCGTTGCGAATTCTCGCCTCGCGCTCCAGAGGCTTCTCCAAGTTCATCTCCGGGTACGTCGATGTTCATGACTCTTGCTCACCCTTTCTGTTCTGCTCTGCTGACTCACCAGATTACAACACAGCATGTTCAATCACAGCCTCTTCTACTTCATTACGTCCGTTTCCGTGACTCTGCTTCTCATTATCTGGAACTCGATTGAGTACGTTCCGTGGCTCTATGGCGCCGCCACCGTTGTCCAGGCAGCCGTCATGACTCGCATCCTGCTGGCGGAACAGGACGCTGCGCGGCGACCGCTCGATACGACGTACATTGATGGCACAAACTATGCGTCGAGGCAACGATCGTTGGCACCTCCTGGCGCGGAGGCCTCGTTTGCGCCAAGGGCCGATACGACTGTGCAATTTGCAGACCAGCAGCACGGAGGCGCCGGAACATCAGGCGCCCTTCCAACGGCAGGCCCGGCCGGCGCCTTTGGTAATTCGAGCGGATATCCCTTCTTTGGCGGGCCTGCCGGTCCACTGGGTCCCTTTGGCGGCCTACGGAGCTTTCATCAGCCCTACAACATGATGGACAATCTCGGTCAAGCCTTTTCGCACATCGACAGCCGCAACCCAGGCGGCGACATTGAGGAGCAGACAATCGATATGAGCGATGAAGAAGATCGCGCCACACAGAGATCGTTCTACAACCAAGGGACCGATACATACACGCAACAGTCAGCGAGCGCGGGGACCAAGGAAGACACATCGCCGGTTGGAGAGGCGGAGCTGGTCGCCCAGCATACCCTCGGTGGTCAAGGCCCGCCGAGGAGAGGGAGCATGGAAGGTGGCAAAATGCAAGAATCGCACGAAATGGACCTGAGACCGACGCCAACGACACCAGCGGCTGCCATCGCGGCAGCTCACATGGCTTCCCTACAGCAGTCTCCGCCCCACTCCCAGCCTCAGCCTCAGCAGACTCAATTCGAGCAGTCCCAACCGTCACTTAGAGAGTCTGTATCTGCTGTAAACGCAGACAGGAGGCGCTTCGCAAGGTCGTCTTCCAACGATATCAGGAGAGATTCGTCGAGCAGCAGCGAAATTGGTATCCAGACGAGCCAATTCTGATCGTATACCACCTAGTCCGGTTCGACAATCTTGCATTCACCTCCTCCCCTTTTTCAATACTTTTTTTTCCTTTCTGGAAGCGTATCATCGTCATTATCTCGTTCAATGTACAGTAGGAGTCATCTGTTCGCCTTCTTGTAGACAATCACTTTTTTCCTTGCCTTGCTTGTGATTTCCTTGTTCTTTATCGTGGCCGTCATTGCCGCTGTCATGCGAATAAATTAGAGATCAAATGCTGCGCTCTTCCACGTTTCATCGTCTTGTTGTTCATCGTCTTGCTGCTCGTGACGAAGCTGGTCTCTTGTCTGCTGAGCCTCCCTCTTGGCCTGTCCGACAGCCGCTATGTTGCTGTTGATTCCATCAACGCTGTTCTGAACGTCGACGTTGGTCAGACCTGCTTGGTTCCTCGTGTCGTTCCAAGCACGCTGAGCTCCCTTGACGGGCCGGTCGGCCAGCTTCTTCCATTGGCCGTACATTATGTCGTCTCGCAGAGCCGTGTGCCTCGTTTGAGGCCCTCGCTTATCAGCAGAGAGCACGCCTCGGCCCGGCTTGACACCGACGGCCAGGCTGTATGATCCATTAGGATCGTGCTTGATGATACTCTGCAGAAGTGCGAATTGGACCCCAAGTCAGGCTTCAGAGTTCAAAAGTCTTGAGCAGAAGAAGAAAAAAACTCACAGTCGGCTTTATTTCCATCGTCTTGGAAGGTCCAGGTTGCTGCTCTTGGATCTCTTCCTGCTCCTCTTCCTTTTCCCGTTCTTGCTGCTTTTCCTCTTCTTCGCGCTCCTTTCGCTCCTTGCGCACCCTCGCTCGACTCTTTCCAGCCTCGGCATCCATCAGAACCCTCATGTAATCACTCCAGCTGGGCATATCGGCACCTCCTTCTCGCCTAGCAGCGGCCTTTGACACAAGTCTCTTTGCCCTAAAGTGGTAGTCGTAGACTTTCTCGTCAAGCTGCTCGAATGCATGCGTGACCTGGGCGCACACGATGCGCCTCAGCACGAGTCTAACCAGTGGTCTCGATGCAGCCACAACAATGGCATTGATGAGCCAATGGCGCGAATTCCGCAGCTTGTAGTGAATCGAATGGGAGGACGTCAGCGTCACGTCGCGCACGTTGAAGAAGCGGCGCCTGCGGTCAGACACCATGTCGTCCAGCTCTTCTTCATCCTCTTCCCCCTTGGTTTTTTTGGTCTTTCTCTTTCTCGCAGAGGATGACGATTGCTGGCCAGCATCCTCTAGATCGATTTCGAGACCAAGGCCAGGTTCGTACGCTCCCACGTCGAGGATTGCCTTTTCGCGGTAGGCAAACCAACTCGCAGGGCCTTGGCACAAGCACGACGTCGAGGAAGCCGCTTCGGTGTCTCTGCGCACATAGCAGCCGCAGCAGCCACCGCACGAGTCTGGATCAGGGGCTGTGGCCTTTTCTTCGACAAAAAACGAAATATCGCTCAGGGCGAGCTGTAGGCCTCCTACATGCACCTTCCACGTAGTGTCGACGTTGTTGATGGCAGTCGTGGAGGAAGTGTCTGAAGAATAAAAAGAGTGAGTAAATACTTCTGAGGAACTCTCTGTCAAAAGACCTACTTCGCTGCCAAAGCCAGTCCTGAGAAGTCTGGACCCGCACGGTGTCTGGAACGAGCTGAACGAGAGGCACAAAGACGTCCTCGACAACGGCATCCACGCTGTCCGAGGCAAACTCCACTCGAGGCATGGGAACCGATCCGAGGATATCGCCGAGACTCGGAAGGAGGGCTTTGAGCAAGAGAGAGGTCAAGTGAGAGCCGGTCTGGTAGGCATCTCTTACGCCCTCGGCGAACGTTTGTCTTGCGAGGCTCGAGACGCGGGCAAAGCGCGCTCGAAGTCGACCGATGGCCACGTCAGAGAGCACAGCGTCGATCATGTCAGCCGTTTGCCTCTTGAGCTCGTCCATCGCTTGCAGAAGCGCAGGCCTCGTCGAGACGAGGTCTTCGAAGCGCGCGACGAGCGAGTGAAGCTCCTTTTGCGCTTCTTCCGGCTTGATCTGCAATGACGAAGACGAATTAGCGGCCTTCTTAGTATCGTCTTGATCGTCGCCATCCTGTTTGTGGGCATCCACTGCTGCAGCGACGGTCCTCTGGGCAAAGCTTCCGACGTCATCGAGCCATTGTCGCAGTGCTCCGTCCTCGTAGGCCGTGTCGCGCAGGGTCCGTGCGGCGTCGAGGATCGGACCCATGCTCTTGCCGCCAGCGAGGCCTTCAACGACCTCCCTCGCAGCACGACCGGCTTCGACAACATGGTGCGAAGCACGCACGGAAACGTGGCCGTCTACCTTTGTCGACGACAGTGTGGCTTCGACAGCGCCCTGCGCTTCATCGAGACCGTGCTCGCCGAGGCTCTTGGCGTGCTCCATCGTGTCGCTCTCGCCGTTGGCAGTCTCTTGCGGCCGAGTCTGTTCGACAGCAGATTTGACCTCTTCCGTGGCCTCGTCGATGATTTCGGCGTACCGCTGAGAAATATCGAGCAGTGTCGAGACTGCGTTGGCGTACCCAGGGTCGGATTGCAACGCCTCGATGAGCTTTGAGGAGGGTGTACGGAGCGGAAGTCAGCTTTGCTGAAAGCATCAGAAGTTGAACTGCTACCTACCCTAGCGATGCGTCCGACCACCTCATCTCTCCATTCAAAGGCCCTGTCCTCTTTCGACTTGGATTTGGCCTCTGCTTGGCCCAATTGCAGTGCTGCCCCGGCGGCATTCTCAGCTCCCTGTCGAGCTTCGACAATAGCGTCTGCAGGGGCGGCAAAATCCTTCTCTTGCTCATCCTTGACCTCACCGCCGCCCTCTCCCGTTGGTCCTTTGAGGGCCTCTTTGACATCGGCTGCGCGCGTCTCTACCTGCTCTGCACCCTCCGCAAGCGAAGTTCGAAGGTAACGGACCACGTCGGACGGCAGTCGTCGCAATCTGCATACATGTCAGCGGCAGTTTTGTATAAGTAAGGGCTTTCGGGGGACTCACTCATCACTTCCAATGACGAGGCTGACAATCTGTACCAGGGCCCTTGTCCCGCCGACCGCGTCCTCTTTTGCCTGCTTGGCCGCGTCCTTTGCAGCCTCGGCTGCGTCCTTGAGCCCACCCTGAATGTCGGCATCGACATCGACATCGACGGGCCTCGAGCCAAGCAGACGACCAAAGTGCCACACGAAGCGCTGAATCTGCTCGTTGGCATTGCCCGCTGGCGCCGACGTTGAGTCACCTTCGGCCGCCTGGCCGTGAATCCATCGAGCGAACTGGCGGGCCAGGGCCGCAGTTTCTTTGAGCATCGTTGCGAGGTGCATCGACGTATCGTCTCCCACCATACCTTCTTCCGCGCTGTCCGCCGCTCGGTCCGTATAGCGCTCTGCATCAACGTTGCGTGGGACGGCGTCTCCGAGACCATCGAGGAAGCCAGCACCTCGATGGAGAAGCGCATACAGCTGGTCATTCGAAGGTAGCCTGCCCGCAGAGAGGGCACCGAGCATCCTCGCAATGACCGAGAGCGTTGGGCCGCTCCTCCCAACATCATCTTCGCCGCCTCCGCTGCTGCCGCTGTTCCTGCCCCCCAGGAGCGGCGTCGTAGCCGACTCACTCATCGAGATGCTTTGTTTGTTTGACGAGGAGGGGGGAGTGGAGGAAGGGTGACGAAGACCACCCCACTTTGAAATTAAGACTGCCCCTGTGGCTCAGTGGCTCAGCGCACTTCGCTCAATCTCGCAGACGGAATGGAAGATCAGGAAGGCCCTGAAGATTGTGAGAAAGAGACAGACGTGCGATGGAGAGCTCTATGGTGGAAAGGAGAAGAGCGGATAGAAACCAACACGAGAGAATGTCTTCCTGACGGCTCTCCTCGTTCCCTTTGGAAGTGCCCAAAGGGCAGAATCTTTCTTCCTCACCAAGGTCGAGTCAAGATGCGGCGCTCTGAGCCGCACATATTGCAAGCGCTTCCATTTGCAAAGCAATGGGTTCGGACAGGTCAGGGGTCGCTCCCATTTACTGCCCTAGTCGTCGCTCAAGCCCTCTGCGGGACCTTGGAAATCACGCAGATGCGCGGAGCGTGAAGCTTCTCTCCAAGTCGAAGTCAAAGTGTAAAACCCGCACGGGCCAAGGCGTTGTTGCTATCAACCATCACATCCATCCTGTTTTGCGGCCTTGCAGCTCGGGGCGGCTCAGCATGGATCCCTTCAAGCAGGATCCAGACGTGGACGACGAGAGTCCGCATCCGCTACATTCAAGCCAGACATTCAGTCAGAGTATAGCAGAAGGCCGACACCAAGATGGCGGCGAAATGACAGACGAGGCCGAGGATGGCCCGCCACCTAGCGTCATGCTCGACATCCCTACGTCAGACGGGGGCCATTCCTCGTCGCAGCGAGCTGGTGCATCTCCGAGATTCACAGCTTCGCTACTTCAAAGCGACTCAGATGGGCCAGCGAGGAGTGTCTACGATGACGCGCAGCCTCATCCGCGGGAGAGCGTCCGTCTTGGCAAGATGAAGGCCAGCACTGTCCCACCTATCTACCAAGACGACGAGGACGAAGAGCAGGACGACGGTGTGGTGTATGACGAAGAGGACGAGGAAGCGGGCCTCATGGACCAGCGACGTGGCTCCTCATCTCCCGCTCCAAGTCGAGGAGGCGGAGGACGTGCCCCTCATCGAAAGGTAGGCGGCAGTATCATCGCCGACCTCGCAGACAGGGTCAGGAGAAAGGCAGACAGGATCAGGAGGCAGGACACAGGCGCAAGGAAGCGGCAGGCTATGAGGGGCTTGGATCCGAAAGAGAGAGCGCTATGGAATTGGGCCAACGTCGACAACCTTGACGAGTTCCTTCAGGAGGTATACTCGTACTACATCGGCAAGGGCATCTTCTGCATCGCTCTCTCTAGGGCGCTCAACCTCTTGACCATTGCATTTGTCATTGGCTTTTCGACATTCTTGGCTGGTTGCGTCAACTATTCCAAGATCAGGGACTACTCCAAGCTGAGGCATAGCCAGAAGCCCACGGAGTCAGAGGTTGACCTCATGCTCAGCGATGTACTGGTCGACCAATGTGTCTCTCGGTGAGTCGACGACTACCTCATACCGATCCGATGGTATAGACTGACAGTTCCTTCAGTTTCTCTGGCCTCACTCTCCTGGTCTTTATGACCTTTATTGCGTTCTACGGATGGCAGGTTGTCAGGTTTGGTCTCGGCCTGTCGAGACTAGTCGCCATGAACAACTTCTACACCCATCTTCTCAACATTCCTGATGTGAGTTCTGAATCAAGTGTTAATATGAGACTTGGGCTGATGGACAGTAGGCCGAGGTGCAATCGATCCCGTGGAACGAAGTCGTGTCGCGCATCTCGCATCTTCGCGAGACTCATCCGACCACGTCGCTGTCTTCTTCGACGATGAGAGCAGGCTCTCAAGGCAACAAGCTCGATGCTCACGACGTCGCAAACCGCATCATGCGCCAGGAGAACTACCTCATCGCACTATTTAACAAGGACGTCCTCGATCTGACTATCCCCTTGCCTGGACTGCGACTGAGGCCACCGGCGCTGACCAAGACTCTCGAGTGGAACCTCACGTTTTCGCTCCTCGGCTTCCTCTTTGATCGAAGGGGCCAAGTACGACGACAATTTATCACGAACAGGAATCGGGGCGATCTCATCGAAGGGTAAGTTGCTTGGCTTCGGGCTCTCTTGTAGACTAAGACTTATCTCAGACTTCGACAGGCTGCGCCGACGCTTCATCTTCATGGCCGCCGTCAATGCCGTCTTTGCCCCGTTTATTGTCGTTTACCTGCTTCTGTACTCCTTCTTCCGATACTTTGAGGAGTACCACAAGAATCCGGCCAGCCTTGGCTCTAGGCAGTATACGCAATTTGCTCGGTGGAAGTTCCGAGAGTTCAACGAGCTTCCCCATCTCTTTCGAAGGAGGTGTCATGAGTCATACCCATTCGCACAGCGCTATCTTGACCAATTCCCTAAGGAACGCACAGCGATCGTAGCTCGGTGAGTAAGGCTTTAATAGACAACAGAAAAGCATCACAGGCTTACAGCTAGCACAGCTTTGTCTCATTCATTGCGGGATCCTTCATGGCTGTCTTGCTTCTCGCCTCTGTCATCGACTGGGATCTCGTCGTGCACCTCTACATTACGCCGCAGTACAACGTCCTCTTCTTCATCACTGTCTTCACCGCCATCCTGGCCGTCTCGAGGGGACTGGTACCCGACGAACAGCAGACTTTCGAACCAGAGGTATTGCTGCAAGGTGTCGTCGAGCGCACTCACTACTTGCCCGAGCACTGGAAGGGGCGCTTCCACTCGACAGAGGTCCATGCCGACTTCGGGTCACTATATCAACTCAAGATCTCCATCTTCGTCAGCGAGCTGCTCAGCGTCATTGTCACACCCTTTGTCCTTTACAAGAGCTTGCCGAAAAGCGCACCCGCCATCATCGACTTCTTCCGAGAGGTGGGTGATCCAGTCGAGTGAAGGGCGATGTGTAATTCTCTTCTGACCTTCGCCCCTTGCACAGTTCACCGTCCATGTTGATGGGCTGGGGTATGTTTGTTCTTTTGCCGTCTTTGACTTTGCCAGACATGGCAATGTCAAATTTGGCGCCCCTGGTGGCTATCGAGACGGCCGCATGGCCTCCAAGGAAGGAAGTGAGTGCTTTCTTTGCGTGTTTGTCTCTCTAGGGGTGAAGAAGCTGACTTTCGCTTGACAGAAATGGAGCAGTCGCTCCTCGGCTTCCGAGCCGCCAATCCAGACTGGCATCCGGCCGATCCCGTTGCCTCGCTATTTCTCTCGCGCGTTGCAGCCGCCGAAGCGACATCGCCTCGCCATAGACAAGGCGCTCATGCGAGCGCAAATGGCAAAAGCAGCGGTGGTGGAGGAGGCGGAGGAGCTGCTTCCTCCTTCACGCCGGCCAACTCGACGCTGGCCCAGCGATCGCAACTCTACAACGAGGCCTTTGAACGATCCATATCCTTGGCCAAGCCAGGGAATGCTGCTGCATTGCAGGCCAGCGCCGTCAAAATTGGACCTCGGACCCATGCCAAACCAAAGACGCTTCAAGCTGTCGACGAGGACGAAGATGGGCTCGCGGCGACGACCAGGCTCTCGGAAGCGGACGAGGAAGAGACTGGTGAAAGTGGCTACGCCGATGCTCGCTTCGGGCGCAGCACAAGCCTCCACCACACAACAGATGGCAGTGCGGCCGGAGTTGCTGCCGGTGACGAGACGAGCCTTCGCGGCCTGCTCAATCACATAGGGGGTCGATGGTGAAGCTAGAACGATCGAGCATCGTTTTCCATGCAACTCTATTATTACTGCTACTGTACATCTCACTTTCATTTTGCTACAATTTGAGTGTCTCGAGCAACCACCAGATGTCTCTGTATTTTCCATCTGTTCCCTTTGACTGAGCTTGCTGTTGGTCCACAATGACGAACCAGACAAGATCGGCATTATACTTGGCCAAGGACTGATAGAGCTTGCCTGCGGTCTCGCGCACAGTGATGGGTTGCCTCCGATCGGCGCAGTCCAGCAATGTCGGATGTGAAGCGATGGAGAGCGCATGGCTCGTCTGTAGCGAGGCCTGCTCGCATCCCAGTGCGTCAATGAGGGTACAGAGGACCGACATGGCGCTGCACAGAAAAGTCGTGTATGGGCCATGCGCGGGCCAAAGGACGAGGTCTCCCTTTGCTGCTGTCGCCTTCTTCACGAGGGCACCCTTCGCAGTCGCCCCGGTAGCACCCGTCTGTGCCACATTCGATGATGAAGAAGAAGGATGGAGAAGGTAGGTCTTGGGCTGATTGGCTTCGGAGGCACCGACGCGAGGCCTCGCCGTGGGCACAAGCGCCTCTACGTGCTTCAAGAGTCGAGAGATGCGCTGCCAAGCCTCGTCGATGAGTTTTCTCGGTCCAAGAAATTCTGACAGATGCTTCGCGAGTTCACCGACGAGCTTGAGTGCTTCGGTCCACACAAACGGCTCTTGTTCGTCCAAAGCTGCAAGTGGGGCGGTGGAAAGGGGCAAAGGTCTCGACTTGGAGAAGCCGAGTCGTGCCATTATCAATGGCCACGCTCGTTCGACTGCCGCCAGCAGCTCAACGGGGCGATCCTGTGGTCCTAGAATTGCCACACCGCGAGCCAAGAGGCCGAGACAGCGCGCACGAATGATGGGAGACGCATGCGAAAGAAAGGGAATTGCCTTCGACATGATAGAGCCGACGACGGCTTGGGACCGAGTCATTGGCGGATCCCCCGCTTCGCCATCCTCGTCATTGCCGCTCTTCCCAGCCTGCTTCTGTTCGACCTCGTCCATGATCTCGTCAAATGCTTTGCCTTCGTCTTCCGAGATCTTTGGCCGATCTTTCCTCGTCTTGAACCACTGCTCGAAGTCGTCCAGCTCTGACTGGACGCTCGCCCCAGGCCTCGTCAAAGATGGTCTTGTTCCGAGGCCTCTCCCCTTCCTCTTTTTCTCGCCTGTAGAAGACCGAGGCTGAGGAGCCATTACCTCAATCAATCGATCCATGACCTGTAACAGCCCATCGCAGAGCTCGTCAAAGCCGTGAAAACGATCAAGAGCGTCAAGAACCTCGTCGACTGCATCCTCGACCAGAGGAACAGCTTCGGGTCCCAACATCCGTATCACTTCGACAAGGACCAGAGGCGCCGATTGAGCGCTCGTCAACGGATCATGCCTCGTTTTCATCGCCAAAGATGTCGTCGTCATGGCCGTTGATGATGGCTTTACTGGATCAGTGAGCGAAAAAGACGCAAGTGCCTCCAACTCTACGCCAAGACTTGCCACAAGTCGGTGGCTGGCTGCGCCGAGAATGTAATCGGCATGATCCAGAATGCAGCCCTCCACGCTGGCATACGCAGCACTATGGGCGATCCGCTGCATCGCTTCAGCTGCAGCGCTCTGCACCAACGGGGAGGAGGCCGCGACGGCCGAAATGACGGGATAGAGTATAGGCAAAAGGCTTGAACGAATCAGCGGGCCCAGCAAGGTAGCCGCCGAGCCAAGCATCGAAAGAAGTGCCGCATCTCCTCGGCGAAGCGAGGAAGCTGCCTTGATCTGCGCGTTCTCAACGATGACAGCCTTGGAAGCAGGTCCGGCCTTGTCGAGGAGCGACAGACTATCTGAAGTGACGCTTGAGAGGTCGAGAGCAGGCCCGAAGCCCTGCAAGTCACGTACTTCCTCCCGGTTCCCTTCTGCGCGTGCCCCCTTTTTGTGATGCTCAATTACGACATTCTCCCGGTATTCTTGCTCCTCTTCTCGTCTCGTGAGTTCACCTGTCGGCTGCCTTGTTGCCTCGCCGCCGTCCGTCTTTCTCCCCACTGCATCATTGATCGAGAGCATCTCTTCCTGGTCGGCCTCCCAAACATCGATTATTTGCCGAATGACAGTCTTTGCCAAGCGATGCGCAGCCTTTCTGATCCTCTTGCCCTCTCGTCCGGCTATGTTTGACGTCTTCGCATCGTCCAGGATCTCTGCTAGTCCACGCAACATCTCATCTGCGATGACCAACGCAGAAACCGACGTTGACCTACTACCGACCATCTTGGCGCTAGTTGGGCCTCGTGATGTCCTTGTGCGCGCTGCTTCCCGAAAGAAGAGCTGGATCACTGCAGTGGTATCCTCGACGAGACCATCGCCAAGGAGCAATATCCGTCCGCACCCTCGACCTAGCTCACGAAGAGCGTCCAGGATCGCACCGCTTGCCAGCGCATCTAGATTGGTAAGTCTGGGTCTCAGGTTGCCTGCCACCTCTTGGACGTCTTGCTCGTCGACTTGGACAATGTCGAGCCACGATGAATGGTCCCATCCATGCGCGCCATCAACCGTCGCTGGCCGGGTCAGGGACAAGAGACCGGGCGAGGGGCGAAGTGGCTGACCGCCGATGCCGCCACTAAGGTGTTTGATCAAGAAAGTCAGGCGGTGGGCCAGGTGCGTCACCGCCTCGTCCTTTTGGCCGTGAATGACTCGAGGAAGCCGCCGCAGAGTGGTTTCAAGAATGTCGTCGAGGAGTTTACATCGAATTTGGCGCCTCTGGGCGTCATTCTCGTCTTCCGGTGAAGCGATGAGCCGCACGATTTCCTGAATCGCCTGAGATTGAACATTAGTGGAAACTGCGGGTGAAGCTGCAAGATCGAGGATCCAGACAAGGAGCAGGCCAGCGATGTCCGTATCGGCGGGATCAGAGCTTCTGGCATCTCGCCGTAATTCAAGAGACGAGGCCAAAAAGCATTCGAAAAGCATGTAGCCTGCCAGGCGAACAAGAGCAAGCTGGGCGAGAGCGTGACTGTGCTGCGCAGTGGGTGAGATTGCGACGAGGGCGACGTGTATCCGTATCATTGTGTCCCTTAGCCAGGCCTCATTGATGCCTTCCACTTTGTCCGCTTGCGCCTCTGCGTTGGACACCCTTTCAATCGCCAATGGGTGCTGGTGTCTCGACTTGTCATCCAATCTGGCACCAGCGACGAGATCCTCCAGCACTGTCAAGCTGCTATCCCCTCCGTCCACGCGTTTAAGAGTGCTGAGATGATTGTCGGGCAAGATTTGTATAGCGACACCGTCGTGGACGCAGAGACCGAGAACGTCTCTGAGGGCGTCTAGTGCCTCAGCTGCCAAGTGGCCTGGCAAGGTTCTCTTCGACATTGGCGCAGTCCCGTTGCCATTTAAACCTTCTGACTCGTCGTGACGGCCTCGGTGTGTCGAAAGAAGCCGTGTTAGAGAGGAGACGAAGCCTGGTAGAAAAACTGCCGCTCGCTGTGCCAGAGTCTTCCTGCGGTCTTGTGAAGGTGTTTCTTCATTGTATGGTAGCGAAGTCGGGACCTGGCTGATGGCCACCAGGAGGTCGTCATTCTGCTCCGTGCTACCAGCGATCCAGGTCCAGAGAATGATTCGGGCCAGTCGAAGGCAGGCGGTCCGCAGGGAGGGCACGTAGTCGCGTGGGGCGGTTGCGTCCGTCGAGCATGCAATGTCGAGCGCAGCGGTAAGGGCGTGCGCAAGTGCCCCCTTTGACGTCTTGCTCTCTTGGGTGAAGTCGAGGTGAGCCTTGGAGGGGAAGCTTTGCCGCGATTGATCGATGTGAGCGTCACCGTTCACTGTTGCTGCTGTCGCTGACGTTGCCTCCTTTGTATCGTAGTCGTCCAAGGACGGGAGCTCCGATTCGCCGTCCCACTCCCACTCTTCTTCCTTTTTATTGAGGTCTGAGGCAGGCGAATGCAATGCGGGACAAACCCTGGCAATGAGGAGAGATTCGAGAAAGGCGGTCACGGCTGCTAACGTCTCGTCCGACGAAGAAGTGGCTCCTTTCTCTTTCTTTGCTCGGCTTTCCGAGGGCGGTCCGCCAAGAGCAGTCGCTCCCAGGACCAAGAGCTGTTCCCAGACCTGCCATTTCTCCTTTTGCTTTGCCATCGTCGACGCTTTGGGCCCGCCGTCATCGATCCATGCCTGGTACCAGTCCCTGGCTAGACACTCGAGCACGACAAAGACGTGCTCCCTTGCTCGGTCTGGAAGACTTGCAACGCCCAAGGGAAGGTTTCGAAGGAGCTGAGTCAACGGGAAGAAGACATAGTGGATCAACGAGGTCGATAATGGCGTGTCCGTCGGCGTCGTCGTCGTCGCCGTCACTCCACTTGCCTGGCCGCGTGCGAGTGGGTCTCGAGACTTCTCAAGTGTCGTCCGAAGCTTGTCGAGCTGCTGTACGAGGCTAGCTGTAGCCGTCGGCGTCTTTCCCGCGGCCGAAGAAAGACCAAGCAGCTCGACGCAGATGGGCTTCAGCTGAAGTGATGGGTTGGCGTTAGCTCAGGCCACCTGTGCTTCTTCCTTCTGCTACACTCTGGCTCACCTGCCCAAACCTCCTCGTATTTTCACCTTGCTTCGCGTCGGGCGATCTTTTCGACCCGAACGGTGACTGAAAGGCCATGTCGACCTCTTGTTCGCGCAAACGTGCCGCTCATCGGAGCATGCCTACGGAGCGGTTCGGTCGAGCAGGAAGAAGAGATGCGCCCTTTTCGAAAAAGAAAGCGCAGACCGAGGAAAACAAAAAGAAGGGAAAATAAATACACGACGCGCAGGCGCAGTCTTTCGCACGGGCTCCTTCCTTTATCCCTAAAACGAGACGAGGTCTCGACGACGACTGTGACGGCGACGATGGACCAGGCGAATCAGCCGTGGCAGCGCTTCTTTGCCAGACATGCACCTCCACCGCCCAAGGCAAATGCGGGATTCTTTCCCTCCCGACGCGGACAAGCTGGGCCTTCAGCATCGTCCTCGGGCAGCAGTGGTGGGCACTTGTCGGCGGCGACGATGACGAGCTCTCCGCGCAGAGCAATGTCAGCTCGAAACCTGCGAGGATCACGCGAAAAGGATGCCGCACTCAATTCCAAGGGTGCCGCCTCGCTTTTGCCATCCTCGTCGAATCGTGCTGTCAAGAACGAGGCAGAGTACGAGGAGTGCCGGCGAAGACTTCGGAGGCTGGTCCTCATCGAGGGTGTTCCCACAGATGATGTAAGTCGCATATATTCGTGTTTTCTTGGCCATCGCAGCGAAGAAGTCGCTCACCCTCAGTCGAAAAGTTCCGAGTGCCCGGCACAGATCTGCCGTCGAGGCCTCTCGTGTGGAAGATTCTGCTCGACGTTCGCAGCCTCGATCCGGCCTGCTTCCTGTCACTGGTGGCAAGGGGACCCTCGCCTCTGCACGATAAGATTTCCAACGATGCATTTCGAACATTGGCCACCGATGCCAGCTTCAAGAAAAAGGTAGACGAGGCCATGCTCATCCGACTGCTTGATTCCTTTGTCTGGCGGTATTGGGGTGAGGGGCTTTTCGCTATGCAACTTTTACGATGTGCTTTCACTTTGCTGACGCAAGGAACACTGCTTCTTCCTTCATTCAGACGAATCAAACGAAGCCAGGCCACTTTTCAGCTACGTGCAAGGCATGAATGTCCTTGCGGCGCCATTTCTGTACGTGATGCCGTCCGAGGTCGAGGCGTTCGAGTGCTTTTGCACATTCATCGAAAAGTGCTGCCCGACGTACGTGCAGCCCACGCTCGCGGGTGTTCACCGTGGCCTGGAGGTGAGCTGAGGCCTGTATGCGCTTTCGGGGCTCGCTGACCAATCTGCCACCTTCCAGCTCCTCGATCGATGTCTCCAGTCGGTAGACCCTTCTTTGTACAACCACCTGCGCTCCAAGAATCTCACCTCGGAGCTGTATGGCTTTGCCTGTGAGTGCACCCCTGTATCACACGAGGGATCAGAAGAATAGCTGACCATGTCTTTCTCTCCAGCGGTCTTGACTCTGTGCGGGTGCACGCCACCCCTGACACAGACTCTGCAGCTCTGGGACTTTCTCTTGGCCTTTGGCGCCCACCTGTCGATTGTCTGCATCGTGGCACAGCTGCTGCTCATCCGCGACGAGCTCGTAAGCAGCGCCCAGCCCATGAAGCTCCTTCGCCAGTTTCCCGACCTGGACGCCAAGAGCGTCGTGGGCATTGCAACCACGCTCGTCCGCGACCTCGACGACGACCTCTACGACGAACTCGTGACGCACATGGTGGAGCTGTGAGCGGCATGCTCGATTAGATCAGAGGCGATGTTACAAGCAAGATGTATTACTAGTGACGACAATGATGACGATGATGACCTGCGCGAATCTTTTTCCTTTCTTTCTCTCCTTTCTCTACCATTTTTTCTTCATCTGTAAAGACCGACATCTCATGATCAGCCTCGTGTCTCTGCGTTGCCTGCGTCTCGAGAGCTATGCCCACCTTTGTCTGGACGCATTCCTTGAAGAGGCTGAACTCCTGGTCGCACAACCCGCGTTGAATGCCCTGCCCTGCGCCCGGGCCCGCATCGTCGAACTGGGCCTTGATGACGCACGCTGCATACCTCCTGCCAGCCTCGGAGCACGCCGCCGAGGCCTTTGCGAGATCGCGGACCGGTGCGAGATTCCGTTGGGCCGCCGCGGCCGACGTTGGCTTGAGCGACATGGTGGCGAGCAGTTGTTCTAGAATGAGAGACGAGGAGGAGCTCAGGAAAAAGAAAAGAGCAAGGTGGAGGAGGAAGGGGGAGGTCATTCTGATAAATTTGCGTCACTGGATTTTCGTCACGCGGAGAGATCCTCGCACGAACCCGCTTTCAGCAGCAGCAGCAGGAACCAGCCAGACGCACAAGCAGCAGTAAGCACCAGCACCAGCAGCACTAGCACCAGCGGCGCCCCGTCGCAGTCCGTACTACGACGATGACGAGGCCAGCAGCGGCGTCCAGCGGCGTACTGGGCTCCCTTTGTCGCCATGCGACGGCCCGCTGCTCACGGTCCCTTTCTACAACGAGCCCGTCGAAGTCGCAGTCGCAGTCGCAGTCGCAGCCTCCGCCGCCGCCGCTCCGAGGGCTCATCATTGGCTCGCCTGGCTCAGGCAAGGGCACGCTCTCATCGCGCCTCCTCGCCGCTGCGCCCTCGATCCACTACCTCTCGGGCGGCGACCTCCTCCGGGCGCACATTTCGCAGCGCACCGAGCTGGGAAAGCAGGCCGAGCAGGTCATTCGCGACGGTGGCCTCATGCCCGACGAGACAATGATGAACATGATCCGCACCGAGCTGGAGCGGCAGCAGTCGGACGAGGCCGCCGCATCGTCTTCTACCTCAGCAAAGATGAGCACGCTCCTCGATGGGTTCCCGCGCACGCGGCGGCAGGCCGAGATGCTTGACGAGTCGCTGCTGCGCACGGGCAGCGACGCCGGCCCGCCCGTCAACCTGGTCCTGCACCTCGACGTGCCCGACGACGTCGTCATGAGCCGCATCCTCGACCGCTGGATCCACGAGCCGAGCGGGCGCACGTACAACGACCGCTTCAACCCACCCAAGGTCAAGGGCCACGACGACGTCACGGGCGAGGCCCTCGTCAAGCGCGTCGACGACAGCCCAGAGACGATCAAGGCCCGCCTCCAGTCCTTTCGCAAGTCGACGCAGCCCATGATCGACTACTACCGGCGCCAGTCGGACGAGGCGCAGGCGCGAGCAGGCGCAGAGGCAAAGCCCAGGCCGCTCTACGTTTGTTTTACGGGCACCTCGAGCGACGAAATCTGGCCAAGACTGAGAGAGCAGGTTGCCATGCGATTTCCTGGTCTCTTTGTAGAGAAGTAGGAGTAGAAGCAGTAGTGATAGCGGCAGTGGCAGTGGTAGTAGTAGTAGTGCGAGCAGCAGTAGCAGCAGCAACAATGTACAAGTACAGGATGGAAAATGATACAGCAAGAACCTGGTCCCCCTTTTCAGTACACATCGACGTCGATCTCAAAGCCACACTGGCTGCACCGCTGCTTGCCCACCGTGTCCTCGACGTCCTCGAACTGGCAGACGTGCTTCTCGGCCTGCCGCTTCTCCCACACATTGTCCCGCGTCCTCTTGCGCAGCTCGCTGAGGCCCTTGAGGAATTTGCCCTCCCGCCGCTTAGCTTTTTCCTCCTCCCGCCGCGCGAATTCTGCGTCGAGCCCGTCCTCGGATCCCCACCGCGCAGGCGAAAAGGCATACGACTCGACCTGGCAGCGGAGGTAGAGCATCATGTTGCTGTACGTTGACTTGTGTGGGTTGGCTTTGAGAAGGTGCGGCAGCAGCTCCGCGTCTCGCAGCTCCGCTGATTTCGTCAAAGTACGGGATCAGCATCCACTTTCCCGGGGCTGTGTATGCGCCTGTCGACTCAAACTCAAACTCACCGTCTGTCAAAAGGTAGTCTTCCCGGACCTCGGTCTTTGTCAGGAGGCTGTACTTTTCCGGCAGCTTCCTCTGGCAGCTTCGGCAGACGAGGATGGCAAACACAGTCCTGATCTGCTCGTCTATGTCCCTGCTCCCGCATTCCCTGCACATGGCCCTCTCCGACAAATTGACACCGGGATCCATCGTCTGCTGGAGCCGCTCGCGCTGCCTCTCGCGCTCGGCGCGAATTTCGTCTTCGGACTTGCCCTTATTCCCGCCACCCGCTGCGCTCTCGTCCTCGTCGACGAGGAAGCCACCCTTGCTGTTGTGCAGCTTCGACAGATCAAACTCAATGTAGTTTCCCAGCGACTTGTCACGGGGCAGCGGCACATTTGGGTCGTCAATGGCGCCCGAGTTGGCCATGGTGCTTCCGTGTGCGCCGCCGGTCGCCGACTGGCCCCTCTTCAGCGGAGACACCTTGGTCGAATTGAGGTCGAGATTGGCATTCCGCGTCGTCGTTGGCACGCCTTGGAGGTTGCCATTGGGTCCCAGCAGCTGAGCGCTCGAGGTGCCCTCCCCCTTGTCGGGAGGCGTCTCCATCGACAGGGGGCCCACGGGACGCTTTCCCAGCGCATTCAGCCGAGCGGAGGGGTTCATCGCCGCTGCTTGCTGCTGAATGCGCGCTTTCGCCCGCAGGCGGTTCTCCTGCATGATGCGCACATGCTCGGGCGTCGTGGGGGGTGCACTACTAGTGGTCACAAGAGCTGAGTCAGTGGACAGGAAACAAGGGACGCGACATAGAGAGAAGTAGGGCTCGCAGCAACTCACCCAGCCCCGGCCCCGTTGGACTGCCGTGGTGGCGTGCTCGGTCTGCCCGCCATTGTCCGAGGCCAACGCCGCCCTTTGCTCGTGGCTCAGTCGAGGGTTGCGTTTCCGCCACCTCCCTTCTTGCACTCAATCAAAAGAGAGAGAGAGAGAGATGACTCGCTCCACGTGAGAATAATTCCGCGTCAGTCTCCCCTCCACCTACACTTGCTTTTCTGGACAACCTTCTTTCTCTTCGAGAAGATCCGTTGAATGACGCGGGCGCTCCTCTTTCAGCAACAGCAGCTCCCACTCCGCCAGCTCGTCCGTCACCGCGCACCTCTGCGCCACTTTTCTGCCTGTATGCAGAGCAGCAGCAGTGGCAGCGCGACGGCACTGCGTCGCGCCAAGTACGTCGACATTGGCGTCAACCTGGCCGACGACATGTATGCGGGCAGGTACCACGGCAAGCAGTCGCACGACGCCGATCTCGCCACCGTCCTCGCCCGCGCACGGGCCGCGGGCGTGGTGGCGCAGATGGTTACAGCGGGCAGCGTCGACGAGGTGTCGAGTGTGCTCGCCCTGCTCGCAAAGACAAAAGGCGAGGACGCGCTCTACAGCACCGCCGGCGTGCACCCGACCCGGTCTGCCCAGGTCGAGCCGAGCTACCTCGACGACCTCGGCGCGCTCCTCGCAGCCGACGATGACAATAACTCAGCGCCTGTCTCGAAAAGAATCGTCGCAATCGGCGAGTGCGGACTCGACTATGACCGGCTGCACTTTTCGGAAAAGGAGCCGCAGCTGGCCCGATTCGAGGAGCAGCTCGAGCTCGCCGTGCGCTTCCAGAGGCCGCTGTTCCTGCACTGCCGTGCTGCACAGGCCGACTTTGTCCGGGTTCTCCGACCGAGGATCGACGACATTGCCAAGGCCTGCCAGCGCCAGGGCGAGGCGCACGACCCGGCGCGCAAGAGGGTTGGCGTCGCGCACTGCTTCACTGGCACCGTCGAAGAGATGCGCGAGCTCGTCGACCTGGGCCTCTTTGTCGGCCTCACGGGCTGTTCTCTCAGGACAGACGAGGGAATCGAGGTCGCCAAGGCCATTCCGCTAGACAGACTCATGCTCGAGACAGGTGAGTGGGATCGCCCTCTTTTCGTATGCATGTAGAGCGATGTTGGCTGATACTGCCACACAGACGCTCCCTGGTGCGACATGCGACCGACACACGCCTCTTCAGCCCACCTCGAGGCCTACTTTTCCCAGCATCCAGACGACAAGGAGCTGCTCGCGCTCTACCGCCCCGCCAGCACAAAGAAGGAAAAGTACGCGCCGACAAAGACGATCAAGGGCCGCAACGAGCCGTGCGCGATTGGCCTCGTCGCTGCCGTCGTGGCTCAGGTCAAGGGCGTGTCACTCACAGAGGTGGCTGAGCACGCGCGCGAGAATACCAGGTTCCTATTTGGTATTTAGAGAGAGGGAGAGAGAGGGAGAGAGAGGGAGAGCAAAAGAGATTCAAGACGGTTCTTTACGGCAAGCACGCAGCAAATGTAGAGTATCATCCATCAAATCATCCATTGTACTGTGTCTGTCTGTCTCATCAAGGCCCCGGCCCAGACGCAGTAGTGACATCTGCGACGGGAGGAACACCCGTGCTGGCCAGAACGGCCTCTACACCGCCAGGATACGCCTGCAACGCAGCGAGCTCGCGGTCCGACTTGACGAGGAGGTGGCCCGCGTAGCCGAGCGAGTTGATGCTGAGCGAGCCGACGGCCTCGTCGTCGTCGTGTCCTGCCTTCGGTTCCTTTAGGCCGTCGAATTCCTCCTTTTGCCGCGGCACGAGGTGCATGGCCCGCGTCGTCAGGAGCAGGTTCCAGCTCGGCGGCCCTCTTCTCTCTGTCGGTTGCGGCGCGTCTGCTGCCTGTGCCGCCGCTGCTGCTGCTGAGATCCTCGCCTGGAAGAGGGCGTCCAAGAGCCCGAGAAGCTTGTTGCCCAGGTAGTCGCTCAGCTGCGCGTCGTCGTCGGCCCCGACGAGCTGCTGGCCGCGTCCGAGGAGGACGACAAAGTGCTGGTACGGCAGGGGCAGCGCATGGACCGTGTCCTGCTCCTTGCCGTCGTGCTCGATGCGGTCGAGGAGCGCCTCAATCGGCACCTTGTATCTGTACGCAGCCGTGGTCGTTCCTTTCGCCTGGTCCGTCTCGCGCTCCTCGTTGCCGACCTCGGCAAACTGGAGGTGCTGGTGTGGCTGGCTGGCCCCACTCACGCTGCCGCAGTTGTAAAACGCCAGCAGCTCCTTGCCGCGGCCGACGTCGTCGGTGGCGCCAGCGTCGGCGAGCCTCGCGTGCGCATGCACAATCTTGTACGCCAGCGCGAGCATCGCCGGCGCCGGTGGCTGGCTCTGCGGCTCGAAATCGCGCGTGACGAGTAAGAAATGCCGCGGCACGACGCAGAACTTGTTGAGGAGAATCGTGTAGCCGCGATGGGTGGCCTGGTCGTCGGACACGAGCAGCCGGTCGTCGTACGGGGGCGAGAAGACGTCCTTTGGATTCTGGCCGCTGGTGCCGCCGCCCTGCGATGACGATGATGACGACGAGGCAGGGGCAGGGGCAGCGGCAGGGGCAGCGGCAGCCGGGCCGCCTGGAGCACTGCTGCCCTTGGCTGCCTTTTCGCGAGCCTTGTCGAGCAGCGCGGGCACGCATCGGATCGTCCACGGCACGCTCGTAGCGCCCGCGACGCCCCGTTTCGAAGACGAAGACGAGGGCGCCTCAAACGTCTGCCGCATCACGACGACGTTGGACGGGTAGAAAAAGGCAGCCTTGGCTGAGAGGGCGCCCGCGTAGCACTGGCCAACACGCGCCGCCAGGCCAGCGAGGGCCTGCATCGAGGGAAGCGACGCCGGCATCGAGTCAGCCATCGCAAATCGCAGAGTGAGTCGTCTGGTCGACCGGTCACCGTCTTGGAAGCAAGCTCTCGGAAACAATCGTCGGTATTCCAATCAGTTTCGCTAGAAGAAAATCACGATTGTTGGATGCATGCGTGGCCTGTGCTTGCAGAAGTTGACCGAAATGGAAAAATGCATTGCCATCCAGCCAAAGAATAATCGACGAGGATCGTGAATATCTACTGTCCAGAAGATGAATTAGGGAAAGGTTATGTATGCTATGTTGGTGGTACACGAGAGAGAGAGAGAGAGAAAGGGATGACCGTAGACAGGCAGCGGACTAGCTGGCGGCGTGCTTGGACCACGAGCGAATCTTGGGTCCCCACTTGACGAGGGCAAAGGGAATGGGAAGCATGAGGAGCGAGAGGCCGCCCAGGAGCGTGCACGCCCACTGGATCCCCAGCGTCTTGAACATCTGGCTCGTAAAGAGGGGGAAGCCGGCACCAAAGGCACTACGCATGACCGTGTTGCCAGCCAGCCCGCTGGCAGCCTTGGCGAGGTAGATGTCGATGATGCCGTTGAAGATGCCCAGGAAGATGAGAAGGATGGCAAAGCCGAGCAGGGAGCCGGCCATCATGGGCGACCAGAAGCTGATGGATCGGTACGAGGTCCATCCGAGCCAGAAAAAGGAAATGACGAGGCAGGGCGCGGCGATGCACACGATCTTGAGCCTCTCCTCGGGCGGGACTCGACCCTTGCCCTCGCGCGCGTATTGTTCGACCTTGGCCACGTAACGCGGGTTCATGATGGCGACGTAGAAGATGACGCCGACGACACCGCCCAAAAAGAGGGGAATGAACGTCAGACCCTCTTGGAGGGCATTAAAGCCGTGAACCTGCTCAAAAACGAACGGATAGGCACCGAAGAGCAGGTAGATGATGCCGTAGACGAAGCTGAGATAGAGGCCGAAAGCCATGACTGTGAGAAGAAAGAATGAACGGATCAGCGCTCAGGATTTCGGATTCTTTCTACATGACCGAGCCAACTCACGAATGGGCTCCTGGAAGAGCATGACAAAGGGAAAGAGGAGCGTGTCATGGAGAAGATGCTTGGGGTCGAGGGGCGTGAGCTCGAGGGGCGACTTGTAGAAGTCCTGGCCCGTCTCCTTGCGGATGCGCTTGGCCTTGCGGGTGAGAATCGTGGGCGCATATGTCTCCCGGACGGTGAAGATGACGAGGAGGAGGCAGACGCCGCTGAATGCCATGCACGTCCAGTAGACGTATCGCCAGCTGGCCATGCGGACCTGGATGGCGCCTGAAACAATGGGTCCAATGGCGGGTCCGGCAAAAGGTGCAATGGAGAAGAACGAGAGGGCGATTCCTCTGGCCTTGGCATCCCAGACATCGGCAATGATACCACCCGAATTGGTCAGAGGCGCGGCACCAAAGACGCCGCCGAGGAAGCGGAAGACGAGAATCGAGGCCGTGTTCTTTGCCAAGGCGCAGCCCATGTTCCAGATCGTGTACATAAAGACGCTCACGACGAAGACGGGCTTTCGGCCGAGCCGCTCAGACAATGGCCCCCAGATAAGAGGACCAAGGCAGTAGCCGGCGACCCAGAGTGAGATGGTAAGCGTGGCGACTTCCTCGGAGAACTGGAAGTAGTTGATCATCATCGGCACGATGCCGCTGGGGCACGACGAGGTAAAGGTACTGTTGAGGACGAGAAGGGCGCCAAAGAGCGTCAGGTAGATCTTGTACCACTTGCTGAAGTTCTGCGGGTTCTCGGGGTCGTCGTCGCCCTCCCAGTGGACGACAACAGGCTCTCCAGCCATAACCTTGCCCTTTTGGCTCTTGAACCGCTCCAGGGTCATTTCGGTCCTCGAGATGGACAGGTCACCACCAAAGGGCGTCGCCGCATCGCTTGCATCCCGCGCCGCCCGCCTCGAGAAAGTCCTAGTAGGCTTTGCCGTAACCTCTTCGCCGTCGGCGCCTCGGTAGACGGGCGCCTGCTGCGGCGCAAACCTCGTCGAGGGCTGCCTCTCCAGGCCACGCTTCTCAACGTCCTCGCTGCTGTCCGTCTCCTGGCGCACGTAGAGCTCCTCCCTGGCCTCAGAGTGTGCCGAGGGGGTCGTTGCCGCGTCCCGCCCTTGCTTTTCGAGGTCGATGTTTGCTGCGTCCGACATGGTAAGATGCGGCGGCGGGTTCTTGTGAAGGTCAATTGAGAGACGGGAAGCAAAAGCCAAGGGGAAATTCTCTCCTGCCTCCTCTATATATATTGGCTATACGAATGGGAACAAGGACTTCGCAGCAATCAATGGCTCCACCGATCCGGCAGTTAGTTTTTTTTTTTTCGGTGGTACGCGCGCATTTCCTGGTGCAACGCAACTGCCAAATTTTAGTTTTTGTCAGATCTCATGACTAGCTGTGAATGAAATCGAAGAAAGCGCGCTTCTAAGCAGTTGCTTCGGACGAAAGGAGGGAATAATTACGCAATGGGTACACCCAAGAATTCAACTTGGGCATTTGGTGGCTTCTACTGCTCTACATCATCCACATGCGGGATAGCTAGCTAGTACTAGTAGTAGTGGTAGTTGTCGAACACTGCAATATATTCCTCCGGTCTATAATCTTCTCGGACTCTCAATCCCACTCCGACACGATGACGAAAATCGGAGTTCCTGTTCCTGTATGTGGTCTTGCTGCTGGATTCGCTGCTAAAGTCGATGAGAAGATCGTCTCCAATGCAACATGGTCTCCAATGCAGGGGCGACTACAACAAAACTACGTCAGGAACAACCAACCAGGATCCGCTATAGTCCGCGGGCGAGTCCGCGTCCGCACAGGACTCCAAACAAAAATTCTTCCTCGCATCCCCCTAGCCTAGGTGTGTTAAGTCCACGGAGAGACCGGCGGGAAAGACTCCGTTGACGGAAAATCGACTTCCTAGGCTAGCCACTAAGCTCAATCGTCGTTTGCGCAGCGCGACCACGAGACTACAGCAAATCGGGCCGACAACAAATAACAACTTCCAGGCACTGACCTGTCGCTGTAGTGACAGTAAGATTTATTGCCCTGCCCAGTGGAAGAAATATGACCTCTGAGAAATACGACCGTAGAGAGACGCCTAAAAAAGAGAGGGACTCTACTGCCGTAGGTAATGGCTCAAGGGCAGAAAAGATGGGTGTAGGTGCCGCCGGCTGCCGAGCTGCGGACGGCCTTGAAATCTTCAGGGCCTTGGAAAGCCTGGTCGGGAGGGCAATTGCCGGGAAGGCACAGCACAGACTGTCCATCGGGTCCAGTAAGGCGGGTGGGGATGTTGATGATGCCACCGACGTACGACAGGTTCCAGTACTCGCGGCCATCGTTGCCCTAGCGGAGCGGAAAAGGCATTAGTAAAGATGGCAGCAGACAGCTGAAGCTTCAGACTGACCGCGCCGTACTCGGACAGGAGCGCGTGACTGGTGATACCGGCGTCATTGCACGTCTGGCCACCGGTGCAGGCGCCCGTCTTGCAATTGGCTCCGTTCACATCGCAGCCGGTGCGGCCCCAAGCACGGATCCCACGTTCACTGTCGGCAACGTCGAAAGAGACTCCTGCGCCGCTGTTGACTGCGAGAGCGGTGTCTAAGTACTTAGCTGCACTTTCATATTTGCCTGTATTCTTGCGAAGAATGCTACCCACGGCGTGTTCCAAAGTGGACCGAGTTGTCAGGCCGGCCGTTGGGGGCCTTGCCAACAGCAGGCCAGATGGTGTAGGGGCAATTGTTGTGGAAGTGGATCCTGAAAGCGTGGGCCATAGAGAGTGAGGCCAGGACGGCGACGGCAACAAAATGGAGGGACAGCATCTTGCCTTTGAAATTGGGGAAGGCGGATTCGAGTCGCTGAGCGAGAAAGAGAGTGTGTGTGTGTCAAGAGTCTGGTGAAGGAGGCGAGGCCAATGCCGCTGACTGCCCACTTCACCCTCTTTTATGTCTTCTCAGACTCGCATTTGCGCCGCTCGACCCGGCTGACTTTGCCCGCCGAGCAACACTTCTGCCTTTGACGCGAGGGTCCGCCGCTCCCTCTCTCCCCGCCTGAATGTGCAGCTACATTTCCGTCCAAGTATTTTCTGCGCACTGTTCAACTCGTTCGCGCACTCGCAAAGAGGCCCAGGTCAGCCGAAAGCAGAAATGGTGCAAAGGAGTTTGCTCGTGATGAGCGCCGCTGTCCCGCTGCAGGTGCTGGTGAGCCCTGTCTCACAAGTAGGCGACGCTCCCTGACGTTGCTGGATCGGTATTAAATAAAATTGCCCTCCATCGCCCTTCATTCATTCGTGCCAAGGCCAGTGTGTTCCCCAACTTTTGCTCAAGACCGAAGAGGGCGACCCACCCATTGCGTCCTTGCTGGTGTCTATTTCCATATTTGTCTTTTCCCGCCAGTCGAGAGCAAGTGGAAGGTGGCATGTCGAGTTGCTGCGTCCGATCTGCAGGATGTTGTCTTTCGAGTTGAGCACGCCAGTGTCGTCAGACCCATGCTAGCTCAGTGTCACTTTCACAATGCGTGACGGCAATATCTCTGGCAAGATATAGGGTGGAGAACACCGTCTCCTTTCAGATTTCGTCGTTCAGGTGGGGGACAACGCAGCAAGCACTATCTATTATTGTGCTTTACCGTCTGTGGCACCTCTCTACATGCCGTTTTACGCGGCGACCTGATCTATCTTCAGATTCTTCACGCACGGTCAGGCAACCTGCGAAGAGGCAACTCCGTCCAAGTAAAGGGAAAGCAAGAGACACCAGCAATAGCCTCCCTTAGGAGCAGGCCAAGTAGCAACCTACAAGCTATATAAAGTTGGCACCGCTAGCCTTCCGCTCGCTCTACCGTCACGAAGTCCTTCACTACATCTCGACACCTCTCATCGACAGCGCCCCCAAAACCTTGCTCTTTTCAGAACGATGATCTTCAAGGCTTCTCTTGTCTTCCTCATCACCTCGGCAGTGGCCGCGGCCGCCCATACTGTCCATGTTATCAACAAGTGTGGTGGTCCTACCACGGTCCAGATCCCCGGCCACCCCATTTATGGCGCCGGCAAGCATACTTTCAAAGGTGACGTTCGTGGCGGTATTGCCCAGGCATCGAAAGACATCAACGGTCAGGGTGCTACCTCGGTCGAATTCAGCCTCGTCAATGGTGTCTCGTCCGCTGACATTACGCTCATTCCACCTCACCGCTTCAACGTACGTAAATAGTTGGCCGAGTCTATCTGCTGCCCCGTGCTTGTCCATGCTCACTCCTTTTTTCCTCGAAAGCACCCTGCCAGGTTCACCCTCGACGATGGCCACGGCAACTCGGTCGGCGCAACGTGCAGGAACTCCCACTGCGGCCCTCACAACGCCTTCTACAAGTTCGATGACTACACGGCCCAGCGCCAGGTCACCGGTCCCGACTCTAACATCAAGATTCAATTCTGCTGAGAGGGTCATCTTCGGCAGCCGGCCTGGCTTTGAATTGAGCTCTGCAGTCCCTACCCGAGTATTGGTCCGAGCAAAGAATATCAACTCTTTCGACCCTACATCAACCCCTAAACTAAACTAATCTGAAATATTCATGGCCTCGGATCTTCGCTGAAAGCCGATCACCTAATTGGGTGAATCACCTAAGTTATCCTCAATCAGCGGACTAGTTGTGAGACTGTTATCTCTTCGCTTTAGACGACGTGCTGAGGCGCTTCCAGAGAAGACCGCTGCAATTGGCGTTCTCGGCGAGAGCAACATTACCATCTCTCACCGACGATCTGCTGCACCTTGCAGGCTCAAACAGACGACTGGGCATCAACGAAGTGAGATGTGATTGAGAAAGGAGAGAAACGAACGTGGCCCATTATTGTATACAAGAATTTAATCAAAATACGAGCGACTGTTATGGAAGAAAGGAAGGGTAAAAGGGAGATGTGCTTCACCTTCTCGACGACGAACGGATGGTCTGCACCCTTTCCGTGTAGCTGTTGTGGCCCATGCCGGCGCCAGGGCCCTCTTCGGCGGCTGAGAACCAGTCTTCGCTCGTCTTGCCCCGCGCCGAGGACATGTGCGAGTCGGTAGATGAGTTGTTTCCCCTGTCCTTTTTGGCTGGTGCCGTTGCCGCATCGATGCTGTTGAGATTCAGGGGCCCCAGCTGGGGCGGAGGGCTACTCGGTCGCATCGCATTGCCCTCGTTGCTGGCCTCGCGTCTGTGCTTGCTCCACGCACCCGTGCTCGACCTCGGCCGCGTGACGGTGCTGTCGTGATTGCTGTTCCGGCGACTGTAGCGCGGGTGATCACGGTGATGATGGTGGTGGTGATGCTTGTGGGCCAGGCTGCCAACGTCGTGCTTGCCATCGCAGCACGCACGCACATTGTCCAGTCCCTCGAATCCGTTCTCCTCATCCTCTTCCAGCATCTGCTCCGCCGTCTTCTTGGCAGTGTTGCTTGGCGAGTAGACTTCGTCGACGGAAGCGTCTGCTGTCCGAGAGTCTCTGCGGCCAAAGAATTGGCTGGCCAGATCTCCCCGTCGCTGCTGTTGAGAAGACGGTCGAGGAGCAATGCTGCTGGCGCCACCGACGCTGCCCATGCTGACTTTCGAGCCAGGACTGGTGGGTACGTTGGCGTTGGCATTCCGCAGAGCCTCCCACTGCTCGAGGTATTCCTTCGCGCCTGTGTCGCGTCGTTTCCCAGCGGCAGCCGAAGAGGTGGACTTCATTGAACTGGCAGCGTAGGTCCCTCCGCTAGCACCGGTCCGGGGCTTTGGCGTTGCGTCGAGCGACTCCACCGAGACTGCACTTCCTCTCCGGGCCCGTCCGCTGATGCTGCTCACAAAGCTCCGGTTTGGAGAGAGGAACGTTCGAGATCGGATGCTGCTTGTCTGGGCACGTTGACGAGGTGGCCTCAACACGCCCATCTCATCAACCTCGGTTCGCCCACCAATCTCGGGCTCTTCACCGGCATTCTGCTGGTCTTGCGGCGACGATGAACGATTGACGAGGTATTCGAGGGCTCGGAGCCATGTTTCGTGCCGTTCGCGATCCGAAGCAGTGAGCTTGATGTCGCGAGCTGAAGTCTTGACGAGAATGGAGAGATGGTAAAGGCCGGGAGGGCTCGTGTTGTCATCATCGACCACGCTGACATCCTCAATGTTGGCGCTCTTGCTCAGCCCCTCGCTTGTCTGGTCTCCGCCCGGATCAGTGACGGTCCAGTACAGCGTTTTCGTGTAGGGGTGAACCCAGAAGTAACGTCGGTGTCGCTTGTCCGAGTGCCCGTTGCGACCCATGGACCTCCGCGTGTATTTGTACAGGTACTCGCCAATCATCGTCTGCGTTATCGATGCAATCACCGCTGGATCGGTCGAATTGGTCGCCCCAGCAATCTTTGAATGGCCGTCGAGACCCTCAAGTCCATACATTGAGGCAACAGACGTGGGCCTGCTCATGTCCGAAGTCACGTCTGAGGCAAACGATTGCGCAGACGGTGCTCTTCGTTGCTGCTGCGTCGAACGTCGGGAGAGACTGCTAGGAGGACGCTGGCTCTGAACGCTGGGGGCATCGGATCCCTTGCGGGTCCTCACGTTTGCAACACTGCCCGACGAGCCGGGTCGCGCCCTCGATGAGGAGATGGTGTTTGGTGGTACATAGGAGCTCGGCGGAGGCAGGCCTTGAGACGAGCGACCTGATGCGGCACCTGGCGTGGGCACTTGGAGCGTTCTTTGAGCACGCGAGACGAGGTCCGCAGGTGGCGGTGAAGTTGGTCTGGGAGGAGCTACCTCGATTGCAGCAGCAGCAGCCGCAGCCGCCCTCTGCTGCTTGGTGGGCAAGTTGGGAGGCGGTGGCATATTTGGCGGGGGAGGGACGCTCATCACAGGTGGCTTGCTTCGATCTGGCATCGGAGGCACCTCGCCCTGGTCGCCTGCAGGCGGGTGCAGGCTTGAATCGACCGAGGAGCGACGGCTGCCATTAGGACCCGTGACGGCGCCCACAGTGTACATCGTCGGCGCTGGAGACTCAGCCCTGTTCGAGGCATTGGACGTCCCGTCTCGGTTACCGCCAAAGGTGCTGACCGAATCGCGAGGTCGAGTCGGGTTGGCATTGATGGAGTTGGGCAAAGAGGTGGCCGAGAGCTGGACTGCAGGCTTCTTTTGGCTGCCGAGGACCAAGATGCCGCCCGGTCCTGCCTGGATGGTGTCCTCGCCATCAGCAGACGTGCTCGGTCCAAACAGACGTTGCCGTTGGTACTCGTCCCACATTGCATCGTCGGTCTGGCAGCCTGTGTCTCGCAGATCGGCAAGGACCACCTTGCGAATGCCGGCCGTCTCTTCCGTCAATGTCTCAGCCTTGGTGGATGATGGCTCCTGGACAACATCCCCTGGCGTGCCAGGTGTCTCGTCCTCGTCGTCGCTGCCCTTGTCAGACACATCGACGCTTCGGTTAGCAACATCCATCTCTTGGCCTGCCTCGACAGCGTCCTCGAATTCTTCGTCGTCTGCGTCATTGGCCATTGACTTGTCTGCCTGCGCTGAAGCAGCAGTGGCGGCGGCCGCGGCCGCGGCTGCCGCCGTAGCAGCAGCAGCAGCTTCTGTGGCCTGCGCCAGCTTGCTTTCCACCTCCTGACGCGAAGCGTGCGCCTTTGCGAGCTCCTCTCTGGCCTCGTCGTGCGCCTTGACCGACTGATCTATCTTCGCCTTGACAGTGGCCAGCTCGTTTTCCAAGAGGCTCAAGCGAGCTCGCATTTGCGAGATTTCTTCTTCCTTTGCTCGGATAATGACGTCGCGCTGCGAGACGGCCTGGTTGTGAGCCGCATCGCGCTGCTTCATGGCCTCCTCGTGTCCGGCTTGAAGGGTGACCAACTGCTCTTGGGCTTCTTGATCCTTGAGCGACAGGGCCTGATCGTGTGCGCGCGACTGCTTCTCGAGAGCAGCACTGTTACTAGCCTGCAACGAGAGCACCTGTTCCTTGGCTTCGCGGTCCTTGGCATGCAGCGCTCGGTCGTGCGCTCGAGATTGCCTTTCGAGCGCGGCGCTCCCTTCGGCTTGTGCTTCGGAGACCATCTTTTTGTGCAGTGCTTCGGCAGCTGCGAGGGCAGCGGATCCCTCAGCCACCTTGGCGGCCAGATCCTCGGCGTGGCGCTTCCTCATCTCGACGGTCGATGACTCGTGCAGCTTTGCAGCGTCGGCCAGAGCCGCCTTGAGCTTCTCGCTGTGCTTTTGCTCGAGCTGCGCCACGGCCTCTTCGTGGCCGTCGTCGCGGACGCCGAGAGCCTTGCGGTGCCTCTCGTGTACATCGCCCAGAGCTCGCGAGTGGTTCACCTCCAGCTCGGTGACGGCAGCTGCGTGCCTCTGCTCGATTTCGGCCGTCTGAGCGGCATGCCTGGCCTCAGCATCGGCAAGAGCAGCAGCGTGGGAACCACTCGATTCAGCCATGGCATCTGAATGGCCGCGTTCACGGCTGGCAAGAGCGGCCGCGTGGCTGGCGTCTCGTTCCTCCAACAGGATTGCATGCTTTGCCTGAGCCTCGGCTAAGAGAGCGGCATGCTTCTGCTCGAGATCTGCGACGGCTTGACGATGCATCTCGTCTCGCTCCTCCAACGCCGGGCCCAGCAGGTCCTCCTCTTGCTGCTCTTCCTGATCGCCAAGCGCAGCAAGCTCGGCACCAAGCGCATTGGGCTCGTAGATTTCCGAGCCGGGCCGATGAGTGCTGCTGACGTCGTGATCATCGGGCTCGAGGTCGATCTGCCTCGAAAGGGGACTTGCCTTTGCGGCGGAGAAGTTGGCTGGCGTATAGGTGGATCTCCTCTTGTTGTTCTTCTTTGCGCTTCCGTACTCGGGCTTGGATGGATCGGCAAAGTCGGCGTCGAATCCCTCGAGGGAAGCGCGAGCGGAAGAAGAGCCAACGCTGCCGCTCTCGTCGTTGAAGGACCGTTCCATCGAGTTGTCTGGCGTGACCTCCTCGTCGGGCTGCAGGTCGTCTTCGGAAGAGATGGAGCCTCGATCGGCACCTCGGATTCCCAGCGTTCGCGCCATGCTGTTGAATCTGCGACCAGAGCCGACAATTCGGGAGTGCGTGGAGCTGCGAGGCATGCCTGACCTTGCCTTTTTGGGAGACGTTCCGACGTCCACAAAGTGCTCCTCGTCGTCCTCATCGAGGCTTTCCTCGGCACCCGAAGAGTCTGGTTCGCCCTTTTGACCACTCTTGGCCCGAAGCTCATTGAACTTTCTCTTCCATCGAATCGCGTGCTCTTGGCTCTTCGCCAGCTTTGACTCGAGGTCCTCGACCCGCCCGCTGCGTTTCACGCGGTCCGCCGGCGACTGCAGCTCAAAGGACTGCGAGTTGGAGGGCGTCAATGTGTCAGGTCCTCCGGCTCTCCTTCCTGCGGGGCCTTCGGGCGTAGCGCCAAGGTTCTCTGAGCGGAGGCGTCCGTCTGCCGAAGCTTCGGACCCAGTCATGCTCATGTTGAGCTGTGCGCTCGTGCTCGGGGGAATTGTTGCCTTCTTTTGCTGCTGAATCTCTTCCTTGAGGTCGTCTGCCTCCTTCTTGAGGTTGATGATGGTCTTTTGACCAGCATTGTGCTGAGCATTGACAGTGATGAGCTTGTTTTTGAGCTCATCGACCTTGTTCTGCAGCTCCTCGTTGTTCGCCGTCAGGCTCTCATTGGTGTCCGTCTTTTCCATGAGCTGCCGCTTCAACCTCCTTGCCTCGTTTTCGGCGCTGCTGACAGCCGACTCGAGCTCGGTACGCTTCACATCCCACTCTTGGGCGCTGGCCTGGATGTCGTACAGCTGCGCGTCCTTGGCCGCTATAGGTAACACGTCGTCAGATTGCGTGCGTGCACATGAGAGTCCCCTTTCATCGTCACTCACTTCTTTCTGCAATCTCCCTCTTGAGGTTTGTTTCACTCTTCTGGAGCAGGCTCTGATGCTGGTCTCGGTCGTCGCGCAAGTTCCGAATCTGCTCGTCTCTCTCGGAGACGAGGGCCTGGAGCCTCCTCAGTTCGACGAGCAAGCTTCGCTCAATGTCATTGACAAAGTTGGAGTCCCGATTGAGGGCATTGGACGGCGCCGTCGCATTCTTCTGCCGCCGTCGATCCTTGGCCGAAGGGGTGAGCTTCGTCGGCGTGGCCAGGCTCGAGACTGTGGATGACTCCGACATGCCACCTGGATGGCCGCCGACACCGGGAAGAATGACCTCGCGAAAGTAGTATTCGGCCTCCTCTCTCGATCGTGCCTCGGTCTGGACGGCCTCGGTCCTGCTCTGCTCGATGAGCTGGCGTACCAATCGGGTCCTTTCCCTCTTGATCTCGTCAACTTCCATCGCAATGCTCTCCAGAAGCTCCCTGTCTCGTGCAGAGACACCCGATCCCGATCCTTCTGCAACGCCTTCAAACACCTCGTCGCTGTTTTGTCGGCCCTCTTCTCGGCTGGCGTTGCCCTCCTGCAGCGTGCTGGCAACCTGCTCTGCCAGCTGCTGGAGTCGAATCTGCTGATCGATGAATGCCTTTCCCAGCTCGCCCGTCGCGTTCATGCCGTTGCTTGTGTCCCCAAGTAATCCTTGGAGAATCTCGCTGGCATTACGGAGCGTCATGTCCTTGTCCGACAACGTCGATCCCTGCGCCGCTGCCGCAGCAGCAGCAGCGCTTGCCAACACTGGAGGCGAAGACGGTCTAGAGATGGCGGCCTCCGTCAGATTGTTGTCTGACTCGGACTCCGAAGAGCCCCCTGCTGCTGCATACGGCTCGCCACTGCTACCATCTGCCGCATGGGACCGTCGAAGGTTGCTCCCACTCCTCCGGCCTCTGGGTGGACGGGGGAAATTGAGCTGGCCGCCATTGTTTCCGCCCCGAGGTTTCGGCGAAGGCGTTGGGGGCTCGCCGTTTCCTAGCGACGACATGCTGCTGCTTCTCTTCCTATGTGTCTTCTGTCGTTAAGTTGGTAGTCTATGAAAAGAGAGGCAAATAATCGTCAGTGGAAACGTCTTTCGCTTGTTGTCAGAATGCGCTCGGGCCGCTTCGGCAATCCAGGTCGGGCCAATTTGAGCTTAAGTGTGACATGACTCTCACATTGTCGCGCAAGAGAACGGGCCCAGGTGGGCCAAAGTGCGCTTTCGGCGGTGACGAGGCGCAGGGAAAGATAGCCACGTCCCTGTGTTCTTTGCCCTTGCAAGAGTCTACGTGCGTACACTCCGCGGCACCCTTCTCCGTCTCTCAGTCGTCCAGATTGTCCTGCTGGAGATTGCTCGTTGAACGTTGTTGGTCGCACGGAGGAGAGACCTGCGTCACAATGAAAAGTGACGGAGGAAAGAGGAGCGGCCGAGCCAGCCGGAAGACGGTACCGAAGCCAGCGAAGAAGTTGAGGAGGATAGGAGGCAGAGTCTAAACAAAGGTCAAGACACTAACTACCCTTTCGTTCCCTTTTGGCGCGTCTTGTTTTTTCAAATTCAACCTCTTTAGCCTTTTGTTATTGGAGCCAACAAACAATGTTCTTCACAAGAAGCAATCTCGGCTTCTCCCTCTTTGCGCCACGCCAGGGCAAAGGCGTTGGAGTTGCTGGTCGGCTTGCGCGCTCCAGCACCATTCTGCGCAGCACGAACCAGCGCGCAGACGGACGGATAGTCCGATTCCTTGACAGCCCGCGCAAGAGGGACCTTTTACCAGGACCAAGAAAAACCCAACTTTGGTTCAGATTTGTTGAAAAGTAGAGCTCAGAGACAAACTCAAAGACGCGCACCGTTCACGTGAGTCGCGACGGCGTGATGCTGGTCTTTCCTTATTTGGGCTCCCGTGCCAAAATCACACCTTGCCCGTTTTGGCGTATTGATGAGCGGCAGCCTCGGCCTTGAAGAAGAAGAAGCTGTGTAAACGGTGGGGATTAGCTGGCTTGCAGATGCTGTGCGCTGAGAGTGGCTGCCTCACGGGACGACGTAAGGGTCAAAGAAGGGAAGGATCTGGCACTGGATCATGCCGCAGACACCGGTCTCCATGTCCATGAACCAGTAGTGGTTGGCAATTCCGGCCCACCACGCCGACTTGCTGCTTCGTCCGTTCGCCACCCCCTCAGGCGTAGTCTGACCACCGTATGACCACTGCTTGGCTATGCCCTCCAGGCTGATAAACCTGTCGAGTATACATGTGCAAAATCAGCAGCTGTCGAGTCCGTGGAAGCGAGATAATGAGGGCCTACCTGTTGCTGATCTCGGGTATGGCAGCTTCGAACGGCCTGTCGAGATCCGCCACCAAATTCTCGGGTAAGCGGTTTTTGAAAAGCTCATCGACCGAGGTGGGCTTGAGAATCTGAGCCTTGGTCTTTGGGTGCGTTCCGTGGTTGAGAAGCGCGATCAAGACCTGGCAGTACTCTGCCGCGTTGGCAAAGAGGCCCGCCCCACCGTACTGCACCTCGATCTTGGACTCATCGAGCTGAATGAGATGCGGAGTCGCACTTATGTTTCCGTCCTTGCCGCGCTGATGCAACCCGGCAAGCCTCGCTTTGACACCTCCGGCGATACCCGTCTCGGGCTTGGTCGTCATCGACTTGATGCCCAGTGGCTCGAAGATGTGCTTTTTGAAGTACGAGTCAAGGTCTGTGCCACTGACGCGCTCGATGATCTGCGAAACCCAGTCAATGCTCGTGCCGTACTCCCACTTTGTGCCCGGCTCAGAGACGAGGGGCGCCGTGATTGTTTTCTTTGAGGAGCTGAATGGCTTTGCGCCAATCTTCTTAAAGTAGTCACACGTCTGCGGGTTGAAGAATTCGTAGCTCTGACCCGCCGTGTGCGTGAGGAGGTGTGTGAGGGTCACCTTTGTCTTTGGCTCTCGCAGCTGGCCACTGCCATCATCAACCATGGCTTGGCCCAGCTCAGGCACGATGGATTCGACGGGCTCGTCAAGCTTGAGCTTGCCCTGCTCCACGAGCTGCATGCAGGCGATAGCCGTGATGAGCTTGGTGCACGAAGCGATCCAGTGCAGCTGGTCGGCTGCCATGGGCTCTTTTGTCTCGACGGAGCGCACTCCACTGGCGACGTGGGCTAGCGTGTCGCCCTTTCGGTCGGCCAGAAACAAGATTGCGCCTGGGATACGGTTTGAATCGGCGCATTCGGCATCGAGCTCTTTCTGTAGCTTCTCTTGCAGCGCCATCTTGTGTTGCGCAGTGGTGGCCGATGAAAGGTGGGAGGGTTTTTCTCAGCTGGTGGAAAGTGAACACGCGGGGCTGAGCAAGCGGGACCGAGTGTTGGAGGCCGGCGCCACACCGTGCGCCCGTGTCATGGGGTGTCACAGGGTGGAGTGGCGGACCTTCCCCACAATTTTTGTTGCAGATGTGGATCCAGAAGTCACGCCAATGTCAATCTAAACTCCGTCCTCTTGTCTAAATTATTGCTACATGAAAGCTTCTCGCTTCCATGTCCATCCATCATCAAGACTTCAGTCGTCACACCTCAGCAGCTATCATATGTATGATAATAGAATTACAGCAGCAGCGATATCAAGGCAATTTTCCTCTCGCCAAGCTGGCCTTCACTCGACCATGCCTGCAGGGACAAGTAAAGGCAATTAGCCACAGACTCCGATTCCAGAGGGACCGATTGTGAGCTTCACCCACCTTGCCATCGTCTCGTCGCCTTTCCGGCTACGAGAAGCCAAGCGGCCAGGAGCAGCCCAAGCCCCAGGGCGATACCTGCACATGCTCCGTAGCAGGACCAGTAGTCCTTTGCAGCCCATTCAGGGAGATAGTACGTGACGCCGACTGCAATGATTGACCCGCGTTCAATATATGGGTGGTGCTGCCAATAAGATAGAGAGACTCACAGGCAAAGATGCACTTGATCAGGTTAAATAGCGCCATGCTGTACGCGGCCTTTGTGAGCTGGCACTCGACGACGTATGTCTGCACCACACTCTGCGTCGAGTTGACGCCGACGTAGTACCCGCCCATGCCCACGATGACGGCCACGGGCCAGGCGGCCTTCTGTTGGATCCCGTAGCCGTAGAAGAAGGCACCGATGAACAGGAATGGGAGGCCAAAGAGGAGCGCCCACATCCTCGGCTCCGGCTCTCTGATGGCGGCCTCGGCGCTGCTGGACGCGGCCGACTTGCGCTTGGTCGCTTGTGTTACGACAAAGTCGGAGAACCAGCCACCGAAGAACTTGCCAATGGCCGCACCAACGAAGCTTGCCATGAAGGATGCGCCCACGGCGACATTGGTAAAGTTCCACGGCGGCTTCATGAATACCTGTGGAGTGATGACCGTCATGCCGACACCCCATCCGAAGAAGACGCTGTAGACGATGCTGGGTACGAGGACGGGAAGAAACAGTGCCATCCGGAACGGCGTGAGCATTTGAATGCAGAATCGCAGTGGCTCCCTCCATGGGTACCAGGCGACGCCTACGCGAGCTTGGCGATCGGCTGCACCAGTGCCAACCTCCTTTGAGGAGTGCGACGAGCCCGTCTCAACATCCGTTGCCTCCTTCTTGTCATCGATCTCGTCGGCGGCCGTCTTCGCAGTCGGTGACGAAGCAGAGAGAGCGGGCGACAAGAAGCCGTCGTCGATGACGAGCGTCTCGGGGACGAAGAAGAACACAGCAACGAGCGTGGCTCCGGCCAGAATAACGATGAGCCAGTACATCCATCGCCAGGTAGTCGCCGTCAAGATACCGGCGCAGACGATGGGCGCCGTGACGGGACCTGTGACAATGGCAAACGTCCACACGGACACGCAGAGACCTCGGTGCGCCGGCGAGAAGATGTCTGCGATCTGGGCAGCCGGCACCGACTGGGAGACGCTCGAAGTAAAGCCAGCCAGGAACCTCGAAGCTTCAAAGTTGGCATAATTGCCTGACAAGGCGATCCAAATGGTCGTGAGGAAGAAGAGTGACCACGCAAGAAGCCAAGTAGGCCTTCGTCCAATCGAAGAAGAGAGTGGTCCCCAGACAAGAGGCCCGAAGCCGAGTCCGAGAATGCCGATGCCGATGGCAGAAGCGGCTTGAGGAATTGTCACATGCAGCGACTTGGACACATCTTCAAATGCCGTAAGATGACCACCGGCGCAGAAGTTGGCCAGAAAGGCGGCAAAAGACGTCGTGGCGAGGAGGGCCCCTACCGATGGGATGCTGCGTCAACATGGCTTTACGAAGGAGTGACAGCCGACGGATGAACCCACCTTTGCGCCACGCAGGCAAACGACGCGGGTGCCCTCGAGGAAACATGTCGTTTGTCATCGGTGTACTCTGAACCATGGTGACTCGTGCCTCTTCTTCGCTGGAATCGGATACGCGAGGATGAGAATGCCTGGTCTGAATCAGGAAAGAATCTCAGAGCAGAGAGGAGGGGAAAGAGGGCAACGACAACGAAGGGCAGTCATTATGAGGAAATTTTGTGTGGTTGTAGCCGTGATTTCCCTCCCCACCACGGTCCCCCCGCACTTCGAGTGCCTGTGAGCCGTGAGGCCCACTCATCCCTTGATCATTCCTCTTTCTCTCTTCTCATGCACAGAGTCCCCCACCACTGATCCGAATCAGAGAAAAAATTATGGGGCAGGAACGGACAGTTCGTTGCGGAACCAATAAGATTGGCCCTAGGAACAGACAGGCTAAGTGGATAAAGACTTACTTCAGTGGCAAGGCTATGTGCTAGTCTCTGCGAGGGGAGACACATAGTAGTATAATGCACCCTTTCGTGGTGTGCAAATCTCCTGCCAGTCAAAGGAAGAACAGGCGAGGCGGCAGGAGTGAGTCTGCTTGATTGCCGTATGAGGTAAAATCCCTTCATACGGCCGACTCTAGGCTCAGGGTCCTCTGCCGCGCAATAGCACGGTAGGTCGGATCACCGATCCAACAAATCCCAAAGTCAAGTCGCCTACGTACAGTACTGTTCTCGTGCCAAAATTTGTGCAATACGAAGGTGACTACTTGCTTGGCGGAATGACCCGCGGGCTCGGCCTTAAAATGGGAAAGAGCATGCAGAATAATATTAGACTAAGATGATCACGAATTACTTCGGCACAGATGATAATGAAACTCCGAACAGTAAAGTGAGAGGATGATTCCTCCGACTTTCCTTCCGACTGTCGGGGTTGGCTAGCTTCCCCAGGACCCCTCTCTATGCATCGCACTCGTCGTCGTCATCATCAAATACGAGCACTGGCGCTTGCTTATCTCCGTGCAGACCGTGATTGATCCACGACAGAGCTAGCTTCTGCCCAAGCTCCGTCGGCTGGCTGAAGGACGTCGTGTTTGCCCTCCCACCGCAGCTGGCCTCTACCTCAGCTGCCGAGAGGCCATAAATGGCTGTCTCCAGCGCGGCATCAAGCAGAGCAGTTCCCAAGCCCGTTCGACGAAAGAGGGGGAGGACAAAAATGCGATGAATGGCAAGGGGTGGTGTCTTGTCTTCTGGCAACGGGTCTCTGCAGGGTTGAGGGAGAGGGAGGACAGAAGCTGACGATTAGTGAATTCTGCCTTGACCCTCTGGTGAGGCACCGTAACACTCACGAGACGAACATGGCACCGCCGCCGCTCGACGGCGACGAATTATTGAAAGACGTGATGCTGGCAACTGCCTCTTGACTGCTTGACACCAGCCTCCGAGCCATCCCTAGCTTCGTCTGCCCGACGACGGCAGCTCCAACGACTCTCCTCGACTGCCACACGGCGAGAACCATAGTTCTCTTGGAACCCGACTCCTTCGTGATCGCTCCTAGAGATTCGTCCACCCTCCTCTCGATTTCCACGAGTTTCTTTTGCAACGCCGTTGAGGCGCCTCGCGCCTCTTGGCGACAGATGAGGATCCGCACCTGCCCGTTGTCCGACGACGGCTTTCCTTCGAGCCGTTTCATATCCTCCCTCAGCTTCGCCAAAATCTTGACCGGTTTCCCAACGTCTTCGACTTGCCCACTTCGTTCCAGCTTGGCGCTCCACTCGACGCCAAGCACGACCTCGTCGTGCATCTTCCTGTGCAGCGCTGTGTCTTCCGCGTCGGATCGGTCAAACGACATGCCACACCCCTTGCACGCTGTCCTGATCCTCTGACCAAGATCCAGGATCATCTGCTCCGATTTTCTTCCCGAGGTACCTAAATTTTTTGGCTTTGCCACTGTCGAGGACGAGGAACTCGGCTCTGTGCCTCTCTCGATATCGTGACCAATACGTGTGGACGGCGTCGCTTCCGTGCCTGGATCGTTGCTCTCGGCGAGGGCAATAGCGATCCGCTGCTGCTGCTGTCGCTGCTCTTGAGCTCGTCGTGCTCCTCTGCCGCCATAAGAGACTGTCGCTCGAGGCGCTGGTAGAACCGCCGTGGTCGCCCTTGCCTCGTCTAGGGCATGTTGCTCCTCTTCCTCGACCATATCACGCATTCCTATTGGGAAGAGGACAGACAAAAAAGTGCGTCAATAGAAGTTTGCTTCGCCATTTCATCTACTTAAACATGCTGGACGCGATGAATAGAAGGGGGGAGGGGAGCGGATGGGTCGACGAGATTGGGATCTTTTACGGCTCTGTTACTACGCACTCTCGTCTTTCTCTGCTCCCAGCATCCTGTCGACCTGCTCTTGGACGATGTCAAGCTGGGCCTCGACCTTGCCATCCTCGTCGACGTTAACGTCGCCGGAGCCGATCCTCCACAAAAAGGCAAAGTCGCTCAAGAGTGTCATGGGGAGTTTCGTCTGTGCCTTGCATCGTTCCGCTTGACTCTTCTTGGTTGCCTCTGCAAACTCCTCCGAGATCGTTTGGGCGCGGTCGCACACGATCATGGGCACCCCAGCTAGGGCTGCCACTTGCGTGCCGTAAGAAGACTCGGCAATGCCAGGCACCAAGCGGTATCTGTTGTCAAAGTCAGCTCTTGTTGATCAGCGAGAGAAGAAGACAGTTTACTCACGTGAAGATGACCTCCTTCCTCTCGTCATCGACGATGACTTGCATGTGCTTGTTGACCACGCCGACGTGGCCCTCGAAATCGTGGGCCAAATTGGTATAATGCGTAAGGAAGAAGCCCAAGCAGCGCATGCGCATGACGAGATGGTGCAGGACAGCGTAAGCAATCGCTTGTCCATCGAAAGTCGAAGTACCACGACCAAGCTCGTCCATGATGACGAGCGACCGTGGCGTACACTCTTTGATGATCTTGGCCGCCTCGAGCATCTCAACCATGAACGTCGAATTATTTTGGAAGATTTGGTCATTGGCGCCCATGCGCGTGGCAATGCGATCGATGGGACTGAGTCTCGCCTTGGTTGCCGGGACTCGACAGCCCATCTGGGCAAGGATGACGCCCGTGGCTGTCGTGCGAGCCATCGTACTCTTACCCGCCATGTTGCCACCAGTGAGGACCGTCACACGCGGAGCGCTGGCCTTGATCGTGGATAGATTTTCGTCCTTCTCGCAGCCGAGAGACACATCGTTGGCAATGAATTCCGCCGACGTCGCCACCGCCATGCAGGGGTGACGGAGCTCTTGAAAGTCGACGACAGCGGCCTCGCGACCATCATCGATGAGCTCAGGTCGGCACGTTGGCTCGCCCATGGCCTGCGACGCCTTTGCCAGACTCAGGAGGCAATCGACATCCGCAACGCCAGCGGTGGCCGACAAGAACACGTCGGCCATCTTCTGGAACTGCCCAAAGAGCTTTTGGTTGAATACCTTGATGGTCGCCAATCTCGTCTCCCTGGCTTGCTTCAGCTGTTTGACGAGCTGACGAACCGCTGGCGGGTAAAAGCGCCGAACACCTTGTGCTTGTGACATGAGGTTCCAGTCGTTTGGAACCTTTGTCTTTGCCGGCACCTCGACTTGGTATATCTCATTTGTGCCAATGTGCTTGAACTTGACCTGGTTAGGCTTGAGCGAAACCTGTCTCGCTGCTTCATTGAGCGCATCGTTGAGCTCGTCTTCGGTCTTTTCTAGGTAGTCGTTTGCCTCTTCGTAATCGTCGTCCTTGCCCCGGCGTGGCAAAAAGGAGCCATCTGCCGCCTGGTCGAACATGGACTGCAGGCTTCGGGCTCTCTCAGACACGAGCGGAATCGTGCTGAGGACGTCCGTAACAACAGGAGATTGGAAGTGAGAAGCGAGATCGGCGAGCATCTGGATCTTGCCGTCGAGCATCGACAATGCGTCAAGAACCTTTGTAAAATCCTTTGGCCGGCACTTGTTGGCATTGATGCGAGAGGTGATTCGTTCAATGTCCGGAAGCCTCTTTGCCAGCTCGTCGAAGCTCTCTCGGAAGGATGAGTCGCGCAAGAAGTCGTCAACCGCGTCTTGCCGGGCCTTGATTGTTGCCACGTCGTTCAAAGGCGAACGAAGCCACGTCTTGAATAATCGCTTTCCAAACGGCGTCACTGCACGGTTCAGCAGCTCCAGCAGCGTACCCTGGCTGTCCCCCTGCTCATTCTGAAAGACATTGAGGTGCCCAAGGGTCTGCGCGTCCATGACCATGCTGTCTTTGAGCTGCAGCGGGTTGGTGAGGAGCGCAAAGTTGCGACTGGCGCTGAGATCTCGGTCGAGGTTGAGCTGGCCGAGATAGAAGAGCAGACCGCCCAGAGCGCTGATGGCCTCAGGCTTGTCAAGCATGCTTGGAATAGCACCCGGAAGGACTTCTGGATCGGCCTCGTCCACTTCATCGAGCGATGGCGCTGGAGAGAGTCGGGCCAAGTCGGGATGGAAGAGGACATTGAGCTTGCGCAATGTGGCTTGCTCATCCAAGAACTCGGTGCCAGGCTTTAACAGCGTTATTTGGCACGAGCTTGGAAGCGAATTGCGAAGCATTCTCAGCGTGCGCTTTGACAGGCCGGCCTTTTCATGAAGGAGCTCTTTGATGCGAAGCGATCGAATGAGCGTCTCGAGGCCTGCGCGTGAAACATCGTCGTGGAAGTGCGACATTGCAAAGTGGGCCGTGGCGGCATCCACGATGCAGACGCCAAAGGTAGGCTTTGCATTCATGCTTTCTCCATCATCACCGCCAGTAAGGCCAGCACCACCATTCCCTTCCTCGTCGGCGATGCTTTCCTTGATGGCAACACAATACGTGGCCATGTCATCGCTGAGGTTGTTGGCATCGGTGATTGTACCTGCCGTCATGACCTGGACCAGCTCTCGCACGACAATGTCAGCCGCCTTTCCGCCCTTGCCCTTTGTCCGCATCTCCTTGCCCGTGGCAGTCTCGAGCTGGTCTACGCGGCCGACCTTGTAACCAAGAGCAAGAAATTTGTTGGCGAACATGTCAAAGCTGGCCTCAGGCACCCCGGCCATCTTCATCTTGACGCGGTCCGTGATCTTGAGGCCGAATTGCTGGTGTCCAATCAGGGCGTCGTCCTCGTACAGTTCGTAGAACTTGCCCTTCTGGAAGAAGATCACTTGATCGTAATGATCTTTCTTAATCTCCCTTTTGGCAAGGCTCTCCGTATCAGTATATGAGCTTCTGGGAAGTGAGCAGCTGGGGACTCTCACCAGAATTGCCGCTCAAATGGCGTAAAGTCTTTCCAAGCTCGGTTGGGAATATAGAGGGTGCGGCGGTCGTAATTCGGATCGGTTGGCCGGTTGCCGTCTGCGTCACAGACATTTTCTGGGAGGAGAAAGTCGTACGGCTGCTCCTTGGCGTTGTTCGACGAGCTCTGCTTCGATGAAGTGGCCCTGTCCAAAGCAGGCCTGACAGGCTTGCGTTGTTGCGGATTTCCATTGCGAGGAGCAGAAGCCGAATAAAGGTCCATTTTTGATGGTCCCGCTTCTTTAGACGCCTTTGCCTTAGTCTTGGGACGCCGGACCGGTGATTCCTCCTCTTCGTCCATAGCTAAATTAAGATCAAGTCAGCGTCTTTCGGCCTCTGCCACATGTTCGTATTCTCACCCTCCATTAGCTCATCGTCGGGAACGATGAAGTCATCAAACTCATCGTCCGAGTCGAGGGCTGCCCGGGACTTGCTGCCAGACTTGGTCCGTTTCGAAGGGCGCGGCGTCTCTGGCTCCGGTGAGAAGCGATCGGAATCATCGTCTTCGTCACCCATTCCGTCGTCGTCCGACTCTATGTAATTGACAGAGCGCTTGACAGCAGCTCGCTGCGCGAAGAAGAAGCTGTCAGATGGACGCCCTAACAGACACGAGACGCGTTGAAAGCTCGACTCACCCTTCGAGGCTGGCCTTCGCGCGCGCTAGCGCCGCTGTCTCGCTTATTCTCGTCAACATCGATATCCATGGGAGAGCTCTGAGGAGGAGTGAGCTCCTTAGCTGGGCTGGGTGAGGCGCTGAGGCCAGAGACACTCGCTGGTCTGTCCATGCTCTTGTATGCGCCATTGCTCGCGCTGCTCTTCTTGAGAGGCGCGCCCGATCGGCCCACGGGCGTTGGTGAGTCTTGCTGGAAGTCCTTGGATGGCGAACTCCCTCTGGACAGCAGCTTCCCCGCGGACGGAGGTGGTGTGAAGCTGTCGCTACTGCTGTTGCTGCTAGTGCTGATCTTCTTCGTGCCACTCTCCTCCGGCTGTTTCTGCGTTGTTGGCTGAGGGGCCGGGCGAGCCGAGGCTGCCGGAGCCGGTGCCTTCTTCCACATGTTGGACAGCGTTTGCTGTCCCTTTCTCTTTGCCGGCGTAGGTGCCATCGTGACCACTGTCCGTCCTCTGGCGGCCACGCTGCTGGTGGGTTGGAAAGCAGCAGCAACGCTCTAAAAAAGCGCGAAGGATGTGCGCGACGCGCTCCACTTCAAATTGAAAACGCTTTGTATTGCTCCAATAAAACATTGACCCAGAAAGCTAAAGAAACACTCGTGCCCAACCGCGCCGACGCGCCGCCATTTCGAACAACACTTTTCGAGACTCGCAATCTCAATTCTTTGCTCCGCACTAACCCACCACAGACGCCCCCTCAGTCGCTCCCTCGACTTACCATCTGGCAACCTTGTCTTTTCTTCCTGACCTCTTTTTGACCGAACGACTCACAGGATAGATCAGCATCACCATGTCTGCTGGAGGCGAGAACCTCACCTCAGCAAGCCAAATTGAAGATGCCTGCGCAGGGCCTGTCGGCGTCCACAAGCTAGAGGTGAGTGATGCTGCCTCCCTCTCTCGCTCAGGCCGTGATGTGGCTAATTGGTAGCAATTCAGGAATTTGGAATCTCGGCATCGGATTGCAAAAAGCTCGAGGAGGCAGGCTTCTACACCATCGAGAGCCTGGCGTTCACGCCCAAAAAGCACCTCATCACTGTCAAGGGCATCTCTGACGCCAAGGCCGACAAGATCTTGCAAGAATGTGAGCCATACAGAGAATGACTTCAGATGGGCTGCCATTTACCGATAGCTCAATGATGACAGGCTCGAAGCTCATCCCGATGGGCTTCACAACTGCCACTGAATTCCACCTGCGCCGCACCGAGCTCGTCTCCATCACAACCGGGTCCAAGAACCTCGACAACATCCTCGGGGGAGGAATGGAAACGGGAAGCATCACGGAGCTCTATGGCGAGTTCAGAACCGGAAAGAGTCAGCTCTGCCACACCTTGGCGGTGACTTGCCAGGTGCGTTGAGGCCGTGTCCGAGAGAGTGGCAACCGACTCACGCGCATACACAGCTCCCCATTGATATGGGCGGCGGCGAAGGCAAGTGCCTCTATATTGACACGGAGGGTACTTTCCGACCCGTCCGCCTTCTCGCTGTTGCCGAGCGTTTTGGGCTCAATGGCGAAGAGGTCTTGGACAACGTGGCCTACGCTCGTGCGTACAATGCCGATCACCAGAGCCAGCTACTCATTCAAGCGAGCGCCATGATGGCTGAATCACGCTTTGCTCTCCTGATCGTCGACTCGCTCACCTCCCTCTATCGAACCGACTTCTCGGGCCGTGGCGAGCTGTCGGCTCGCCAGATGCATCTTGCCAAGTTTCTGCGGGCGCTCATGCGCCTTGCCGACGAATTCGGCGTCGCCGTTGTTATTACCAATCAGGTCGTCGCGCAGGTCGATGCTGGCGCTGGCGGCCAGTACGGCGGTGAGAACAAGAAGCCAATTGGAGGAAACATTGTCGCCCACGCCTCGACAACAAGGTGAGCTTGCATGACCATTTTGGCAAAGAATGCCCTTGCTGATGAACCTGACGTCTGTACAGGCTCAATTTCCGGAAGGGGCGTGGCTCGACGAGGATCTGTCGCATCGCAGATTCGCCTTGCCTTCCTGAGGCTGATGCCATCTTCAACATTGGCGCAGACGGCATCACCGATCCTGTGAGTAAGGTTGGTGTGTGCTGCACCATTCGCATACTTATATCTCCTCACAGGCTCCCGAAGCATAGAAAGAGCTGTCCTTCCGTCGCACCATTCCCTCTGTTCATGCTTGTACCTGTACCACTAGCCACCACGAATCAACGACTGAAATATCACTTTTCCATTCAAGCTGTCTCCTCTCTTCTACATTCACGTTGCCTTTTTATTGGGGTACTAAGGTGCTTCAGCTTAAGCGCCAATGTTGACCTTGTTGGGCAGGCTCAGCTCAACAGTCTCATCAAAGACATTGATTGGCCAGGTCGGGTTGTAGTTGGCGGGAATGTTGAATCGGTGGTGCGTCTCAAACTCTTGTCGGAGGGCCGAAATCTTTGCCATGTCCTCGTCGTCGAGCTCAATCTGCTTGAAGTTTGTCTCGATGCGCGAAGGCGTAACCGACTTGGGGATGACCGACTGGCCGCGCTGGGCACCCCAAGCGATGCAGACCTGGCCCGGGTCGGCATTGTGCTTCTTGGCCACGTCGGTCACAGCCTTTGCCGTTAGGATCTCAAACTTCTTTTCACCATACTGCACGGCGTTGCCCAGGGGCGAGTAGGCCGTGATGTGGATGTTCTTTTCCTTTGAGAAGTCAACGAGGTCCTGCTGGGGCAGCAGCGGGTGCGACTCGATCTGGTTGACGGCGGGGACGACGCCGGTGGCCTTGATGATGCCCTCGAGCATAGACTGAGTGAAGTTGGAGACACCAATCGAGCGGACGCGACCCTTCTTCTGAAGCTCGATGAGGGCCTTCCAGGTGTCGACGCACGTCGTCTTGAGGTCCAGCTTGGCGAACTTGTCATCGTCGGACGGCATTAGCTTCTGCAAGTCATCGCCCGAGTCAAAGGCGACGGGCCAGTGGATGAGGTAGAGATCGAGGTAGTCGAGGCCAAGCTCCTGGAGCGTATCATCGTAGGCCTTCTCGACGAGATCGGGCCGGTGTGCATTGTTCCAAAGCTTCGAGGTGATGAAGAGCTCCTCGCGCTTGACGACCGAAGGGATCACGTTCTTGAGCGCAGCGCCCACCTCCGAATGGTTGTTGTAGATCTTGGCGAGGTCCAGGTGGCGGTAGCCAGACTTGACGGCGTGCTCGACAGACTTCTCAACCTCACCGGGCTTGGAGAGCCAAGTGCCGAGGCCGATGGCTGGGATCGACTTTCCGTCGTTGAGCTTAACAGTCTGGAAAAGAATGAAGGCGAGGAAGGGAAGAAGTCAGCTAGAGTGATCCTATGTGCGTGGGTTGCCTGCTTTTGCTACGCACCTTTCCGAAGGACATGATGTCGCTGTGTTTCTGAGTTTTGGGGGATTATGTGGATGTGAAGTCAAGAAGATTCTCGCTTGACGCAATTCTTGGGTGTCTTCTGCTTCTTCCCACCACCTCCACCCAACTGCTCGAGTGAAAGTAGCCTGGAGGGTCCCCTGGTCACGTCATGTCCCAGTCTGTCCACGTGGCTAGGCAATCCAGTCACGTCCTTTGGAATCTTAAAAAAAAGTTTACCGCTGCTGCTACGGGCGAGTCTTCTCGCTCTAGACGAACACCCCCACACGCACGCACGTACGCACGACGTCCAGAAGAGGAGGAGCGCCTCCAGGTCAAAGGCCGCCGTTACTCGCCGACGACGCTTTCATTGGCATCCAGCCATTGAAGTTCGTCCGCGAGTGGGAAGGTCCGCGTACTCCTCCTCATCCGACTTTGGATCCTCGTTGTGCCTCTTTTCGTTCTTCTTCCCCTCGTTCCCTTTCTCTCCAACCTTTGTCCTCTCTCCTTCCGGGGAGAAGACGGGGTATGGCGTGAAGGAGGTAGAGGCTCGGGGATAAATGGCCTTGCCAACTTCGATGTGGCCCGTCCTGTTCCTCTTTTTGATGTGGTAGCGTAAGGACGGAGGCAGTCTTTCTGGAGCGAGAACGGATTCGAGACCGCTTCGTCTCTCGTCACTTCTATTCTGCTCCTCTTCTTTGCAACCTCCGGAGGGTCTTCCAAGGCAGACAGAGCGCCGCTGCTCTAGCTGGGCGCGACGGTCACTACGTCGGTGGGTCCACACCAGAAATGTTGCTCTCTTGGTCACGCTACCGTTGGTGTTCTTCACACCTTTGTTCTTCTTATCCGCTGCACAGGGTATTGGAAAGGGTTCTGGGGAAAGGTTTCGATGGGTCGATTGAGCCCCTGGAAGAAGGGTGCCAAGGGAGGCGAGCGCCGGGAGCCGCTTACGACGGGGCCTCTACCTTGACAGAGGCTCTTCTCATCAGGTTTCTCTTGCTCTTGACGGTGAGAGGAGGTGTGGAATTGTAGAGGAGCGGCAAAGCGGCTTTTCACCAGCTCCGAATCGAGTGTTGCCTCTCCCTCGAGCCCAAGACGCCACCGTTCCTTCATGGAACGGCAAGGAAGAGGCTTGGGCGAATGAGGACCTCGCACCGTAGAGCACCGGCTTCGGCTCGTGAAGGTGGTCTGCCTCTGTGTTGCTCTTTTGCTTTTCTCGTCTTTTACTTTTCGTTCGGGGTACAGAGGACCGGGTGGGCAAGATCCGATGTCAAGGTTGGGAAAACCGCCCGTTGGAACTCGTGCTGCTCACCTCTTTCTCTTCTCTGGAGACTCATTCGGCTCAATGGTCCTTTTCTTCGTTTCTCTTTTCAGTCTCTGTAGCGGTGGGAAAGACGGGCAAATAGTGGGAGGGACTATCGATGATAGAAGGCCTTGAGATTGAGATCGGACTCTCACACCATATGGCCTCTGTCTGCCTTGTTCTTCTGCGGGTGTGCTGACGAAGGGGAGACGTCGAAAGGCGAGAGACTTGATCCCCAGGTCTCTTTTTCGCCTCGCTTCTGAGGACGTGCCACTTGAGCGCTACGTGATCAGAGGAACACTCAAGGGACGACGTGCTACTTTCCCCTTCCTTTGGGGACGGAGATGGTTGGTCAATTGCTTTCTGGGCCTTGTTCTTCTTTCTGCGTTTTTCGTGGGGGCATGAGATCGAGTTGGTAGAAGAAAAGAAGGAAGAGGCCAGGGGGTCGCCCATCCCTCGGGATTGGGTTTGTTGGATTAAGAGGAGGATGCTCTCGATAACCCTTTGATACAAAGGGACGAGAGCTTGAGTGCAATCGGTGGCGTCCCTCCAACTTCCGAGTCTCCATCGGGAAGAGAGGTGAGTTGGGATCGGGGATCGAGGGCTTGTCCCTCTAAACCGGCTCCCCACTCTTCCCTCGGTGGGCGAGGGATAACTCGACGCGAGACTACTCTTGGTCTGGAGGCCCCCTTCTCTCCTCTTCTGAACTGTCCGCTGTGTGCTGTGCGTGTTTGTGTGTGGTTCGTCTCGCCTGCGAGAAGCCTCTCTGAGGATCTCACAGGTCCCTCTACTTTTTCAACCCCTGTCTCGCTATACTCTACCTTTTCTTCTCATCATCGTCAATCCATAGCCCTCTGTTCCCATCACTCAAAGACGACACGAAAACGGAGTGAATGCAGATGTGATTGCAGGTCTCGCTTTCCTTTCCATTACGCCGTCCAGACACGAGCGACGAGCTCGGTGAGACCGACATCGTCTAAGCAGACCCAGTCAGTACGGATCAAAAGGGCAAAAAGGGGCAAAGACACTCACTGGTCTGGAACTCGTAGAGGCCAACGAGCGTTCCGACAGTGGCTGCCCGGAGGCCCCACTTGGCGACAGGGCCCAAGATGGGGAACTTGCGCTCGTGGAGGTAGTCTGCAAAGATGCAGTCGAAGCCAATGTGGCTGTGAACGACGAGAGCGAGGGCGAGCGAGGCGTCGATGGCGCCGCTCGTGCCGTGTCGGACGGCACCGATGGCGACGAGGGGCACCAGCGCGGCGCTCAGCCCGCGCTCAAATGCCCAGTGGTACGAGCCGTGCGCAGCAGAGGGAGGAGGAAACGTCGTGGGGTCGTTGACGGTGCCTTTGATGTAGGCTGTGGTGGGGTTCGATGAGTGTTAGCTGGGATTGCTCATTTCCCTAATATTGGCAGGGAGGTGCAGTGCTCACATTGGCTAGCCGAAGGGACCGGCGCAGCCTGGGCGGGCTTCGACACCTGGACAGCGGCAGGTCGGGCTGGTAGAGAAAGAGTGGAGCAGGTCAGCGAGGGACAGCGGATTTGAGAGGGGACAGAAGAGGAGAGCGGGAGGGAGAGAGAGGCCCAGACTTACCAGTGGAGAATGATCGGAGACCCGTGGCCATGAGCCTCATGTGGGGGTTGACGCCATTGAAGCCGTTGAGCTGCCTGAGGGGAGCCGCGCGGATTGCTGCCATGGTGCTACTTGTGGTGAAGGAGGCAACGAGCGCTCGGCCGTGGGGATCGAGAAGGGTGCCTTTGAATGGACGACGTCGAGATGAGACGAAAGTAGGGCGCGCGCCCTTTTTTGCTCGAATGCGATTGGCCTGAGGCACTGGCGCGGATTTCTAAGCTCTCGACCGGCGCGACCCGGGGCCATGCGACTGACAGACGTGCCAGGGCGATTCTTCCCCGTCCAACACATCTCTTTTGTTCATGGCTTTAATTCTCCCACATTTGGGTGTAAATCAATCTTCGCAGGACAGGAGGAAGGGGCCAGAAGACCATGGAGAAGACTCAAGGAGGGATGTAAATGGTGATGTGACGAGGGGAGGCTCGAATAATTTTATTCTCAGCGCCGCGGAAAGGGCCTCAAGTAGAGCTTTCCGGAGAGAAGAACAGCAGAGATAGGCACAAGCAGGACTGCTGTGTGCATACTGGTACTGTACAATGCTCTGTCGGGTCGTGGTCAAGGAAGAAATCTGGGAGGACCTCATACCGCTTGTAAGCTCACTCTATAATCTAGTCGGGAAGAGCAGTAGTTGGCGGGTGTGTCGCTCCCGCTCGCGTGGCCTAAGGACGAGCCTAAATTTCGCGCGAAGGTGGGAAGAACTCGTCTTCTCAAGTGATCTCGCGAACACCGACACACCGATCATGGCAGACCCAAAGACCTATACGGCAACGTGCTCCGCGCCGGTCAACATTGCAGTCATCAAGTACTGGGGCAAGCGTGATACTTCGCTCATCCTGCCCACCAATGACTCGCTCTCGGTCACGCTGGATCAGGACCATCTGCGGAGCGTGACAACGGCCAGTGCCTCTGCTGCGTTCGAGGCAGGTGACCGGCTCTGGCTCAACGGCATTGAGGAGCAGATCAAAGACAGCAAGCGGCTCTTGGCGTGTATTCAAGAGTGCAGGAAGGTCCGCAAGAGCAGAGAGGAGGCCGATGCTTCGCTGGCCAAGGTGTGTCTGTCATTCTTTCTTTATGGGTCTGCTCATTCGCTGACACATCGGATCCCCAGATGTCCGACCTACCCCTCCATATCTGCTCTGAGAACAACTTCCCGACGGCAGCAGGTCTTGCCTCTTCGGCATCGGGCTTCGCTGCCCTCGTCGCAACGCTCGCCTCGCTCTACTCTCTCCAACCAACTCTCTCGACGTCGGACCTCTCTCGTATCGCCCGCCAAGGTTCTGGCTCGGCCTGCCGATCGCTCTTTGGTGGCTTTGTTGCATGGCAGTCAGGCACAAGCCCAGATGGATCTGACAGCCTCGCCGTAGAGGTTGCACCCAAGTCTCACTGGCCCAGCCTGCAGGCGCTCATTTGCGTCGTGAGCGATGCCAAAAAGGGAACGCCGTCCACTGCGGGCATGCAGCAGTCCGTGGCAACATCGCCCCTGCTCCAGCACCGGATCAAGAACGTCGTTCCTGGGCGCATGGTCGAGATGGGGAAGGCTGTCCAGGCAAAGGACTTTGACTTGTTCGCGGAAGTGACGATGAACGACTCCAACAACTTCCATGCCTGTGCTCTCGACACGAGTCCCCCGATCTTTTACATGAACGACACGTCGCGCGCCATCGTGCAGCTCATTGAAGAGTACAATCGGTCCAGCATCGAAGAGACGGGCAAGAGGCGCGTCGCATACACCTACGATGCCGGTCCCAATGCCGTCCTGTACGCCGAGGAGAAGGAAGTGCCGACAGTCCTGGCTCTGGTCCGTCACTACTTCCCCAACGCTGACTTTGACGATACCGTGAGTGTCATCTCTCCATTCTCTCTCTTTCTCTCTCTCTCCCTCGAGCTGCTAGTTCTGACATCTGAAGTCACAAACTTCCAGTTCAACCTGCTTGGCGCTGGCGCCAATGCCTCCCACCGAGGCGCGCAAGCCCCTGCCGAGCTTCCCTCGGGTCTCCCCAAGACGTTCAACAAGGACATCATCCAGGTCCACCAACCTGGCTCTGTCCGTCGCTTGATCCATACACGCGTGGGAGACGGCCCGAGGACGCTCCACAAAGCCGCTGACGCGGACAACGTCGGTGACGAAAAGGAGAGCCTCGTAGGCCCCGATGGCCTGCCATTGAGGCTTCAGAGGGCCAAACGTGTCTAGATGAGATCTTGTACTGGACAATTGTCCATGAGGCAAGAGGGCGAAAGGGAAGAAAAGACAATTTGCAAAATGTTATGGATTAATTTACTATTTGTTGACAGAGGAAATAATGGCTCTTCTTCAGCCCTTTGGCTTTCCAAAGAATGACGAAAGCTTGCTTTGCCCTCCAGCCTTCTTGCTTGCCGTCCCCGATTTTGTCGGCGCCGAAGGAGCAGGCGAAGGTGCTGCTGATGAGGTAGCTGACTTGGCCTCACTTGCTGGTGCCGCTGCCGCTGCCGGCGATTCCTTGTCATTGCTTGATGACTTTGCGGAAACCTTCTGCTCTTCAGAACGCTTACTGGAAGCGGCACTCTTGGTCTTGGTCGGCGGCGAGTCGCTCTCGTCGGAGGAATACGACTCGTAACCCTTGATCTCCTTGCTGACTGTGAGACAATTTGTCATTAGCCTGTGCACCTTGCGTAGTTCGCAGTAATCTTTGCTCACCCCAATAGCCCTTCTCGTTTTTGACCTTTTCTTTGCCAACGACGATTTCCCTCTGCTTCCGGACTCGTCTTTTGACGGGCTTCTCCGGGCCTTCTTCCGCCTTGGAATTTCGATTCGCAGAGGTCTTGACCTTGTCCGTCTTTGTCTCGGTCCCCTTCATCATGCTCGTGGAAGGCGTCTTGGAGGTCTCAACTACTCGACAAGAGAATTAGCATCCATCGTTTCTAAATGCGGGCTTAGTGTCTGCTCACCAGGTGGATCTTTGGCCCCGGGCTCATCATCATCGTCCATCATGTCCATCAGCTCCTTCTTCTTTGCCTCTCTTCTCTTGCGTTCTTCGTCAGCTTTGTCTCCTGCATCCGCTCTCTTCCTCGTGGCCCCTCCTTGCTCGGGCGCAACATCACCCGCCGCTTTGGCTTCACCCATCTCTTCATCCTCGTCCTTGTAGCCGATTGGTCCCGCATCGGGCTCGTCCTCGTCGTCATCCTCGTCCGATTCAGCGGTCTTTCGCTTTGATGCCGCCTTCTTTTCGACGGCGGTGGGGGCCTCCTTCTTTGCCTTGCTCCAATCCAGACCAGAGCTTTTCTTCTTGTCGGCTGCAGACTTGCTGGGGACGGATGCCGCGGCAGCAGCAGGGCTAGATTTGGAGATGGGCTCGCTTTTGACCGTTGCCGTCGCTTTTGCTGGTGCTGGCGCAACCTTTTGACCGCCAGAGCCTGCAGCCTTTCCATTGGGCACGAACGTCTTCGAAGGCTTTGATGGAAGTCAGCAAGTGTCGATCACCTCCTATTATTAAGCTCACCCCTGCATCCTTGATTTCGTCATTGGCAATGACACCCAGCTGGACGCCCCTGCCTGTCTCTTCCCAAGCCTGAACGAGCTCTTGGTGACTGCGCAGATCCTGCGCAATGGTGCTCAGCGAAGACATGGTCGCTACCTTGGACGCCTCTGTCGGTGGGTCAGGCAAAGGTGGGCTCAAAGCGTACAGCTGCCTCGTAAAGACTTGGTCCAATCGCTCTTCGACCTCTGCAAATTTCTGTCAGAAAGTCGTGCTTCTCTGAAATGAAGAGAGTCTGGGCGCTCACCTTTCAGCTTGTCTTGCCCGACCAGCAGCATTTCGCTCCTTTCAGGCACAGACACTACGTCGCCTTCCCTCGCGCCCGAAGGACCTGCCTGGGAGCCGCCATCGGCTTCTTCGTCGACTTCCATCGACCCCTGCGTCACCTGCGTGTCATCTGTAGCTGCCTCTTTGGATCGTCCCGTGACAAAGTAAGTCGCGAACGCTTCCTTGCCATTCTTCGTCTCGTAGAAAGCTTGCATCTCACTGATGCGCGAACGTAGCCATCGAGCTCAGCTTCGCGCGACTAGACACGCATGACCTAGCAGGAGCACTGGACTCACTCTCGCGCTTGGCTGACATGGACTCGACGGAGACGGGCGTAAAGACGGGCGCTGATGGGCTTCTTATCGAGAATGACCCATTTCAGCAGAAAGTCGCTCGTCTCGTCCATTTTCCCGGCCAGTGTCAGAGTCGAGAAGATAGGAAGGAGTGTTGGTTGAGGAAAGTCAAGTCGCGTCGCGGTCAAGAAATTTATGAGACGCCCTCTTTCTCTTCCTCTCTCTTAGCTTCCGCTCTTTCGTGGGGGACTGGTGTGCGCTGCATTTCAGAGCCTATGATGGACATTGCATATCAATCATGCCGAGCTCGCCTGTCGCCAGGCTTGCGAGTGTTGGTGTCATTTTACAAAGTGAGAGTGTATGAATGGAGGAGCAAGGGCTTGTCGAGGAGCGAGGAACAGAGATCGTGCTCTACGCTTAGTTCTGAGGCTGGACAAGGACCTTGCGAGCACCAGTGCCGCGAACCTTGCGAGCAGGGGGCTGCTTGCGGCCCGAGGGGCGCTGGCTCTTGTGGATAGCCGAGGCACGGGCAACAGCAGCTGTAGAAGAGGCAGTGTGTGGATCAGCTGCCATTCGTCAAAGAATGCACCACATCATCCTCTCCCTTTCGGACGACTATCTCCACACGACACCTTTGACAACCAGTCTCTGGGCAGAGGTATCAAAGGAAGGCCAAAGCTAGGAGGAATGTCCCGCATGGTTTTGCTCTCGGCACCGGTAGCAGAGAAATATGAACCGGTGCCAGTAGTTGAACCCGCGATTCCATCTTGCACCACTTATACGCCCTGTCCATCCATGAGAAGCGCCATTGCACTCCTCGTCCGGAGGGTTCTAGCGCGTTGCGTCTCTGCCCCACCCTTCCCTCTCCCTGCCCTGTCTCCCCACAGCCCTTCCCAACATGTCCGTAACTCTTCTTCGACGTTCAGCTAAGACGATTGAGACTCACGCTTGAGGAGATCGCTCCTGTAGCCCGACTTGCCAATGACGTTGGCAACCACGCCGGCCGCACGACGGCTGCCGCCGCTCTTGATGACCTTGACGTTCCTGCTGCCCTTGATCTGGCCGGGGCTGACGTTCTGCTTCTTCGTCGAGAGAACGAAGCCCTTGCCGTCAGCGTTGGGCTGGATACCGACCGACTTGTCGTTAACGAGGCCAGAGTGCGTGTACGAGTGGATCGACGTCAGGTTGTGAGGCTCGCGAGAGAAGACGCGGCCGAGGCCCTTCTGCTTGACGATGTACGACGAGCTCTTGCTGTATTTCGCAGTTCTCACCAGGATCAGCCAACAGAGTCATCATGCGGGCACTATTGCCGACAACTCACCGAGTGAGCAGCCACTGGAGGTCCTGAGTAGACGACATCTTGATCTTGGGTTCTTGAAGAGGGTGATCGATGGTGATGGTGGACAATCGATGCCTTCTTCCTGGGCGGACTCGATTGCCATGTGGAACACCGCAGCAGATTCAAATTTTGACGCGTTTATTGTATTCAAAATACAAGTTTTATTTGTGTGATGGTGACGGTGACAATGACGGTGAAGCTTGACTGGTAGTCGTTGTTGAGTCTTGATAGTGTACAAAGGGTTGAATGTTCGGTGAATGGGAGGGAAAGGGAAACCTATGTCTCTGCAGGAGCAACGCCAGCGGCGCGGTACCACCTGACCAAACCGTCCTCGCTGCCCGTGACGAAAGCCGAAGCATCTCGAGCACTGGCACTCGCAGCAGTCATGCTGCTGCTCCCGTTCGTCACTGCTTGACGGGAAATTTCTGACGTGGCCTTCCATGCCAGAGCCCAAGGCGGTGAATCTTGGCTGATCGTGCACACACACGCTTTGGGTCTAGCTTTGAGGTCCCATATCCTGATCGTTCCGTCGAGGGAGCTATTCAATATGCCAATGAGCCATGTGTCATCCTCCCAGTGCTTCCGATAAGTCTCTCTCACCTGCTCGCCAAAAGCCTGCCATCGGCAGAGGGTTGAAGGTCGGTGATCCACGCCTTGTGGCTGTTGAGACTGCCAACGCTCCGACCAGTGGGTGAGCCGTCAATATTTCTGACATCATGGATAGTGATGATGCAGTCGTCGCCGCCAATGAAGAGGTTGTCGACAATTCTCGAGTTTCCACTGAAAGCAAGCGCTCGGATAGGCGCTGAATGATTGGCGAGCTTGAGGACAAGCTTATTTGTCGAGGTATCGAAAAGGTGCACTTGTCCTTTGTCGTCCCCGACCGCGAGCAACTGTCCATTTGCGCTCTGCCAACCGACGGTCAGTCTGCATCTACTTTAGATCGAAACGTGAAGGGGGAGGTGCTCACAAATGCAAGCTTCGTCCCAAAGGGACCATTGATCTGTCCTGATGGCTGGTTTGCCCTCGTACTAATTGGCGACGTCTGCATGCGAATGACCGGCTTCGCAAACCGGCTCCCGTCTTCATCTTCACAGGAGTAGACCGAGACGGCAGCCCAGGCACCTGTCGTTGCAAATTGCTGACCATTGGGATGTATAGCAGCGGTGAACGACTCTGGGGGAAGAGACAAGTGCCGTCAGGACAAAGAGAACAAGGCGGATCGCGCAACTCGCGTACCTAGACCCTTCTGCTTTGTCGAAGAGCCATCTCCCTGTGAATGCAAGATCTTGTTCTCGGAGAGTCCTGCTAGAGACGAAGTCTTGCCGATGAGCTTTAAAGTCGCAACGGCGTTCCGCTCCTCGACGTCATCGTCGTCCTTGACATTGCTGATGTCCCAGAGCGCCACGCTACCATCCACGCTCGAGCTCAAAAGCCTCTTCTGGTCTTGTGAGACGGATAAGGAGTTGATACCGACGATGTGCGGACTTGTAGGCTTCGAGCTGCCAGCGATTTGTTGTCCATTGGCGGCGTCCCTGGCGAGTCGGACTTGGTTAAGCACTCTGAATGCGCTGGAAGAACCGCACCCCAAGAAATTCAAGCAGCTCACCAAACTCGAATATCGCCTGCGAGTGAGCCTGTGACAACGACTCCATGCCTCGTCCAGCACGTTGTCAGCACGACATCCTCATGCGCTGTATGCGATGGGGAGCATGAGCACACATCAAGTGATTAAGTCATCTTCCCAGCACGCCTCACCGCTGTTGGAGTCAAAGTCCTGCAAGTATTGCAGCGACTGGCCATCAAAGAAGTATCAGCCGGCGAACAGATCCTAGCATCTAAACAGCCCAAGCAGGACGCTCACCATTGCTCGTCACTGAATGATCCCTAATCTTCTCAAGCAACCAACCGACCTCCACGGCGAGGCAAAAACAAATGCGAGCACGGACATTGCACAGGAAATAAAAAACGTGGCCACTTTCAACGCTACCGGCTTTCATCGACACGGGACCGGAAATGCCCTAACGCGGCTCATCGACACACAAAGTCTCTCTCAATCTCGGGGCCCCGTGCAACAAACCTTCTGCTCTTTTTGCAACCATCCTTGAGACCAGAGAAAACGACTTGCAACCATGTCGGCCCTTCAACAGATCATCCTGCACCCCTACCTCTCGCAGACGGTGAGTTGCCCGCCTGGAAGTGGTTGTGCGTTCGGATGGCGGCCTGACCCTGAACGCGTTCCTCGCTTTTTTTTTCCCGTGTAGCTGCGCTTCTGGAGCACGACTGTCGGTCGCGACAAGACGTACCGTTCGGTTCAGTACCTTGCTCGCTTCCTCGCATGGTACGAGTACCGCAAGGGCGCGACCAAGGAGACGGTTGCCCGCCTGACGAACCTCAAGAGCAGCTTGGCTCTTAGCCGAAAGCGTGAGTGGTCCGCCGTGCCCCTAGTGGTCTTACCTGTGCATCGAAGGCTGACCTGAGTCGTGCGCCTATTAACAGTCATGCGAGTCGGCAAGTTCTTGGAGCACCTCCAGGCTGCGCTCAAGGCGACGGCCATCCAGGACCCTTTCGTCTCGTACACGGCCATCGGCAGGCAGCTCGGCTATGGCTCCTACCTTGTCCTGGACACCCTCCAATGGGTGAGAAGATTCCTTATTACTCCTCTGTCTGCCTTCCTCTGGTTACTGACTCTTGTATTCCACCCAATCAGGTCCACGGCTCCAAGGCCTACCAGTTCTCGCCAGAGACGTACAAGAAGATCTCCAAGAATGCCGCCCGGTTCTGGCTCACCGGCCTGTCGTTCAGCCTGATCAGCGGCAGCTACAAGACCTACGTCCTGCGCCAGCGAGCGGCTGCTGCCCGCCGGCCCCGTGCCACGGCAGAGAAGGAGGCCGAGCGCAAGATCGAGGCACAGCAGATTGCCACGGAGCAGGCCGCCGTGCAGTTCCAGATGACGCAGGACGCCCTCGACTGGCTCATCCCCGCCACGGGCGCAGAGTTCCTCGACCTCGACGAGGGCGTCCTCGGCCTTGCTGGTCTCGCCACGTCGCTCATGGGCGCAAGGACCCAGTGGAGGGCTGTCAATGGGCCCGCCGCCGCCAAGAAGTAGATTTGTCATCTTGAAATTATTTCAATGTGGTCGTCGCATGGTAGTCTGCGGGAGCTTTGGCAAGAATAGACGACTATCTTTGGGTGTGCATGAGCCGAGAGGATTGTGCCGCTGTGTGGTTAAGATCTGTTGCTTTGCTAGTGGTATGAGTCTTATGGTACAGAATGGATGGTGTCAGAAGAGGAATCTGGTCAAATGGGCCGAGGCCTTTTCCTTGTTGAGCTGTTGTGCAGCGATGGCGGCGGCATCCGAGTTGTCAGTACTTTGCTCCAAGGTCAGAGCCTCAGCAGCTGTATTTGACGGTGTAGACGATGAGGTCCATGGTACTTGCGCCTTTACCCCTCCCATGTCCAGGTCCCGACAGTGGCGCAACAAGGCCGGCAGCTCTATCCGTCTCCTCCGTGCGCGCTGCTGGGTCCTGTCATCGGCGTTGGGTGCGGCTGCATTCAGAGCGGCCTCGTCCTCCTTGCGCCGCTCATCCTCAAGGGCCCTCAGCCGGATCTTGATCTGTGTCAATTCCGACTTGATGTCCGATGCCGAAGCAGACCCAACCGCCGCCGCCGTCGACGATGATGAAGAGAAAGACGCCAGACAGGCGACAAGGCCAAACGGAGGTGGCGCATAGGCCTGCGACGAGACGAGCTTCTTCATCGACGAAGGCGTCGCTCGTGACGAGCCATCCCCCGGTCCGTCCAGCAGCGAAGCAGCTGCGAGTCCTGCGGCGTCTGAAGGCGAGGCGGGCGTTGCGGGAGAGATGGGCGTGATGCCAGTGCTGGAGGAGCCACCGCTTGCGAGGGGAGCCGAGGAGGAAGCTGCCGTCATATAGAGGTCCAGGAACATGTGCACAACCTCTGCATTCCGGAAATTCTCATGAGCTACGAGATGGACCGGACCAGCGCGGCAGATGGAGAAGGGCATTACTCACCTTCGACATCTTCGATGTTGGCTCGAAGGGTCTCTTCCCATTCTCGCTCGACGCCGACGGGCTGGAAACAAGCAATGACCGAAGAAGAGGCACCGTGATGGGGAGAGATGAGAGCCGCGGTGTACAGACTGGCCAGCGCAATCGTCGATGGAGGGTAGCAGAGTGGCGCGTACGTGCGATGGCTGCATACAACGTAGATTGGGTCAGCAAAGAGCCAAAGGCATCGCGACTCAACAATGGGCCTCTCTTGACTCTCACCTGTCGGAGGCCACCTTCCATGCCAAGGAGGCAAAGTCCTTGTCCAGACTCCACCTCTTTGCAATCTTGAGCGTGAGCGACAGCGTCGCTCTGGGTCTCAAGTGCAGGTCAAAGGAGATGGACTGGAGGATTAAGGCTTCGAGGGCAACGATCCTCCTCCTCTCCTTCTCGAGCGCATTGGCATCGACGTCGCTCTCTGAGACGACACTGAGCGCGGCAAATGGTGGAGTCTGCGCCTTTCCGGCGCCAGTCTTTGATACAGACGCGCCGGAAGTAGATGCAGCAGCGGAGGCGGCAGCAACAGCAGCAGCAGCAGCAGCAGCAGCAGCAGCGGCCGCTGCAGGGGTCCTTGCGAGGTCTGGATAACGGAGCGCGTAGCTCGTCAGGATGATCTCTCGGCTCTTCTTTGGTGTGTCGTTGACCTTGGCAGCAACGACGAGGCAGGCAAGTGCCACCTCGTGCGTGACAAAGTCTGCCGGGTTCCAAAAGAGGTGAAAGCGGTGGTAGAGCAGCTGGGCGGTCGAGGCCGTTCGCTGGGGAAAGCCGGTGCGACCAGAGACGCTCTGGATGAGACCGCAGGCCTGCTGGCGGCGACGATCCCAGTGCGAGTCCGTGCGCGCGACGTGGACTTGCAGATGCTCGATCTCTCCTGGGGTGAAAAAGGGCGTCGCTTCGACGACCTTCATCGTCGTCGAGGCGCTGTTCCTCAGCCTTGTCTCGCAAAGTGGACGGACGACGGCGACAGGAAAATTGGAGAGCGGCGGGCGCATCCATTCTTCCTCCTGCAGAAAAACAAAGCTCGCTCCACTTTTTTTGCGAGAGCGCGCGTTCGAGTCTTCCTAACGAAGCCCAAGCTCAACTCGACTCGACACCTCGTCGGCGATGCGATGAACGGGCACGGACACAGAGATCACGTCCCGTCTTCACACTCATCAAGAGAAAGAGAGGTGAGGGAAGGAAAGAGGCGGTCGCACGGCAACTTTGCAGACTACTACAGCCGACGGCGCGATGCGGCCGAGGATCGGCGCGTCGGTGCGATTGCCGCATTCCTCGAGGCGAGACTCGAGCGGGGCAAGGCGTCCAGGATGCTTGATGTAGGCTGCAACTCGGGCGAAGTGACCCTTGGCCTCTCTCGGGCCCTATCGCCCGCCAAACGGCCGAACTATGTCCTGGGCGTCGATGTGGATGAGGTCCTCGTGAGGAACGCGAGAGCAAAAGCGACGAAGCTCACGGAGCACGGCAGCGGCGGTGGTGACGGCGTTGTCGACGAGGAGGAGACCAATCCTTACCTGGCACATCGGGCCGCGATTGTGGCAACAGAGCAACCGAGAAAGAGGCTAACGATCGATACGCCGCCCCCCGTGGTGCCTTCGAGAGCCGAGGACGCTCTGGAAGAACAGGAGACAGAGTTCAGGTTCTGCAACGTCGATTGGGTCTACAATGACCGTGCTGCAGACCAGCTCAGCTCGCAACGCGCGAGCAACATCGGCATTCGGAAGGCATCACCCGACAACGGCAGCAGCAGCAAGGCGTTTCCTGTCTATCACATCACGCAGGTCGCCCAATCCGACACGGCGAAATACGATGTCATCCTCGCGCTGTCCCTAACAAAGTGGATCCACATGCACACGCACGACGTCGGCCTACGCCGCTTCTTTGCGCGTCTCACAGCGTGCCTCACTCCCGGTGGCTTCCTGCTCCTCGAGCCACAGCCGTGGAAGTCGTATGAGCAGGCACGGCGCGAGGTCTCGACCGAGGTGCGCGTCAATGGAAGGACGCTCCAGCTCCGGCCCGAGGATTTCGACTGGCTGCTGTGCTGCGAGCTGGGGTTGCTAGGCCCGCATGTCCTTGCAAGACAGGGCCAGGCTGGCTTCTCGAGGGATCTGCTTGCCTACAGGAAGCCAAGCTCGGACGACGAGTGGGAGGTGGACCAGGCTAGGGTCAAGGAGCGCATAGAGACCTTGCTCAGGCTTCCTCGCTTCGACACGGAGACGAGACAAAATCCAGACGTGGACATGGCTTGGGTAGCGCGGGAACCCAAGCCAACCAAAAAAGCAGCATGACATCGGTCAAACGACGATGAAATCGGTGAAGAGCGCCAGTCTATTAACAACAAACATGTAATTGTAATTGTACGACAAGCATTGCAACAAGGCACATTTACAGCACAATGTCTTCGATGGCCTCCTTGTTCGTCCCAAGCTTTGGCAGTCGGATGTAGACGTCCATGCCATGCCTGTTCGATCGTGCGTGTGATATCAGTCATTTGCATCGTCGCCACAGAAGTGTCATATAGGCAACTCACCCATCGAGACTCCTGAGATTGAGCGAACCTCCGAAAAAGTCGGTGTAGATCTTTGTCATGGGCAGGCCCAGGCCCGTCTCAGACTTTGTCACGGCCGCCGCCGTCCCATCGTCACCTCTCGGCGCCCAGCTGGGCGTCGTGGATGGAGCCTGCAGCATCTGGGAGGCTCCCTTTAGCGGCTCAGAGCTAGACCGCCCCCTCCTCCTCTGATGGTGGTGTCGACTGACTTGCTCGGCGACTGTCCCTAATGGACAAGTGTCAGATGCAAAGCTTCCAATTTCTCGGATGAGCCGACACGTACCTTTGAACCTGCCCACATTCTTGAGCGCTTCTAGCTTGTCGCGGCTGTCAAGACCGGCCGAGTGTCGAGCATCGAGCGTAGCTCGCAACCCTTGCGTCAAAGCCTCCTTCTCTCTCCCGGGGCTCTCTTGGGTATAGTGCACGCCATCTTCCTCCGCGGTAGGAGAGTAGGAAGAAGAGGGTGACTCGATGAATGCCGCCGCACGTCTAAGCTCCTCTTCCTCGATCTCCAGGCGCCGCTTCACATTTGAAAAACTCGTCACGGCAGTGATGAGCGAGTCTCGCATGCCTGCGTTGCCGGCCTTTGCGCCCGCCACATTCGTCTTTGGATGTGCAGCCGGATGGACGAGGGTGTCCTCCGAAGGCGGGAAGCGCTTGCTGAAGAGGAAGTCATCTTTGAGATTGCTGTCCATCGTAGTGTCAGAGGTCCCGTCGCTCGCCATCGGTAATCCATGCTCATCCTCGTGCGAATGATCGTTGACAATCTCGTCGATGACCGTGGGCGACTCCCTCTTGTGCCTCCGTCCGCCATGCGAAGAGGAACGGCCCCTGCGCTGGCGAGAGAGCTTCGAGACGAGATCAGGCAAGCCGCCTCCGCAGTCGGAGATGCGAATGATGAGGTCTTCGTCCGGCGGTCCTTCCACAATGGTGACTCGGATACCTGGGGATGCAAATGCTGGTCAGCCATATGTCGGTCGAGGATGAAACAGAAGCCAGCGCCAGCTCACAAATGGTGTCGCGCATCGCCAGTGGCCGCCTCATGACGGCCATCATTGAGTTCTTGAGCAGCTCAAAGATGATGTACTCGAGATGCTCGGGGATGTATGCGAAACGGGCCTCGAGAGCACCGTCGACCACGACGTCTGGGATGACTGCTGCATCGCCTGTCCGTTGGCCACTTTCCACCTCGTGCTCAAACATTCTTCGGAGAAGATGGATGCCCTTGTTCACCACGCTCGACACCTTGAGATTGGTATAGATGATGCCAATGTGCTCGCCATCTCCGCCGGGCGAGGCAGCCGAACCCGAGGCAGCCGGCACAGGCTCGTTGAAGAAGTGAAAGGGGTCGTCGAGGGCATCTGAGAGGGCAATGTGCTGTTCGGCGAGCACCCTTCGAGCTGAAAATTAGGAGAGAGTCAGGAACCCAGAGTTCATCGATCTCGCTTGGGGATACGCACAGATTCTACTCCTGAGCATCCTCTCCATGAAGCCGTCCAGGGCTGCAGGCTCGAGGTGTTGCGATGACTCGACAATGCCGATTGTCAGCGAGGGGATGATGGTTAGGCTTTGAACGCGACTCTGTCAACTTCTGGTTCAGAAAAGAAGGCAAGCCTGCAGACTCACTGATCATCAAGAAGCCGCTTGAGAGTCGCACAGAACTGCTCGTTGTCCTCCATGGTTCGTATTGTGGGAATCTTTCGAAAACTGCACCATCGACGAGACGAGAGTGAGCGCAGTCCGCATCAGGACAGTTACAGACCACTTACGTCTCAAAAGCCGTCCAGTACTTTTCGTAGACAGACTCGAGGTTCTTGTTCGTCATGACGACGAAGGGTAGCGCTTGCAAGTCTCTAATCCGGTGTGCGATTCGCACGGCCAGCTCTTGTCGCACCTGTGAGGTCAAGAGGGCATGTCAGGAGCGAATTCAGAGTAGATTTTGGCAGAATGCTATCACCCACGTAGTTTGCGCTCTATCAGGGATAAGTGTAATGATGAGGGCGAGGAAGGCCGACCTGGTCAGTGCTGTTCCACCAGTTGGGTAAGCGCATGCTCACCTTGAGAATCTTCTCGCGATCCCTCCCCAGTGTCTTGCCGAAGAACACAAGCTGACGGAGTGTCATTCGTGTGGCTGGCTTGGCAGCATACTGCTCAAGAACCTTATTGAGATAGAAGTGCCTGCCCAGGTCCATGCTCTGCGACGAGACCGGCGTGGCGGCTCCATGGGAGCTGCTCCTGGTCGCGCTGGTCGAAATGCGCCTGCTCGAGAGCTGAGCAGGCACAGCAACGACAGCAGCGGCCCTAGCCGTCGAGAGCTTGTGGGCAGCCAGCGAAGCCGACAGCCTCCCGCTCGCTCTCATCGCTGATAGAAGGAGCAGTAACCAACAGCGAAGAGGATAAGGTTGTGGGAATCTTTTTGCCAAATTTACGGGACTCGGAAATTCGGCGGCCGTGGAGGGAGGTCGACGGCGAGAAATTTTTGGGCGGCTGACTGACTGACTGACTTGACGACAGACGGGCGGAGCTGTGCGGCAAAGAGCGCGAGGAATGCAGGGGCGCAAGAGGACACGGGACGATCCGAGTTCCTATCCAGAGAAGCACAATCACGAGCGAGGCCGTGATGAGAGCAAGCGGAAGCGAAAAAAGAAGAAAGGCGAGGCTCCCAGAGCAGAGGCAACGGCACCGGTGGAGGGAGGAGAAGAGGCCTGCAGACCAGCAGCAAAGACAAGCCTTTCGAGTCTTCCCGTCGAGGTAAGTGTCACACCAGACACCGAAGTTTCAACCCACTGACTAAGTCGATGACCCATCAGCTCATTCATGAGATCCATCTGTACGCAAAGAACCCTGCGTTGACCATTGTCAACCGCGGCTTCCACGCCATCTTTGCCTCTTGCCCGCCAAGGTACCGCGCAAAGTATCTCCTGGCCTGCTGGCATGAAGACTACTGCTATGGCTTCGAGCCGTACCCTGTCCGCGATCCGGCGCCACCGCACATGCCAAGGGAGCAGACAGATAAGAGGCCCCGGCCCGAACTCCGGTGGAACTCGCGCTTTCTTCCTGTGCTACCCACGGCCGACTTCCCTCACCCGCTTGCTCGGTCCTTCCAGCGTAGCGCCGACCACTTCGTGCTGGACTACTGCATGCGGTTCCCAATATGCGATGTCCGGGTGTTGGACGCAGCCGAGGACCTGATCCGGCATCGCGACGAGTTTGGCAACATTCGACTCACTACCGGCCTCTGGCGGCGTCGGCAAGACCAGCGCCTCTACTCATTTGACCAGCTCGCCAGCATTGGGGCGGTGGAAGAGGAGAGGCCTGGGACAGGCCAGCGTCTGATATGGACAATCCCCGACCATTTGAGCTGCAATGAATTGCCAAAGAGGCTGTTTCAAGGACTCGCATTGCCTACAACGGGCCCGACGGACGACACTTCGGCGCTCTCAATGCTGGATCCTATGCTCGTCCGGCATCTCAAGGCTTTCGGACCGGGTCCTTATCCACCGCCATCGAAGCTGATGCTTCTCCTGAGCCTCTTCGCCCAGCACGTGTCAACGACGGCCGAGAGCACCCTCTCGACGCTCCAGCTCGTCAACTCGTTTGAAGGCCTCCCTCTCGTTAAAGCCGTCTTTGCCCAGTCGCTCTTTCTCACCAACTTCCTCTTGGCCCTCGGCGCGGAGCCGTCGCGGAAAAGCAACCTGGCCTTGTATGTCGCCATTCGTGCCGGCTGGATCGAGGGTCTTCGGTCAATGGTGGAGCGCGACGAGGCAAAGATAGAGTCATGGAAGTCGGCTCTTGACGCCATCCACCTCTGGTTCCTCGAGAAGGAAGGATTCGGCGGTCAGCGTCGTGTGTGCAATGACGATGAACCTGTCGAGGCATGTACTACCCAGACAAGCAACGCAATACCTGATGAAAGCAGGGCCACAAGCAACATGGGCACAAGCACCAGCGCAAGCAGCAATAGCAACAAGAAAAGACGAAGACTGCTCGACCGAGCCAGGCTCGAGGAGAAGATGATATTCGAGGCGGTGCGATATGAAAAGTGGGACGTGGCCAACTGGATTCAGGGGAAAGGCATCGTCCCTGACATCGTCACCATCCGGCTTGTCGAGGCAAAGCTGGCCGACGGAAGAGGTCCTCCGTCGGCATCGGCTTCAGCTCCATCATCCACCTCTCGTCCTCGCTCAAAACCATCCTCCATGTCCGTCTCGCTCGGCCGCGACGACAGTAAACATACCAAGCCAAGGCCAAAGACGTCAGCGTCGCCGTCCTAGAGTAATCTCTCCTCTTCCTTCTGATAGTTTGTTTCTACTGCATCTGTAAACTACTTCATCATACATCCATCTGCTTCTGGAACTGTTGCACTCATTATGTTGAAGTGCGCCGCGCCATGCCCGCGGGCGACCTGCTTGCCAGTGTCTATCTTTGTCTTTGTGCATGGATTGCAGTGAACACGGCGATTTGAACACCGCTAACAGCCAGCAAGGGAGCTAGAGACCGTGGTGCGATTCTTCTTGGTCGACTTGACACCTGCTCCGGTGTCTTGACTAGGCCTAGTCAAGAAGACGGGCAGAGGGATGAGCAACTCAGAGTATTTTATCTGCACAGCAATCGTGGTACCGACATTGAAACACGCACTTTCGGCCGGAACATTGAGCGTCTGTGCTGCATTCAAACTCCGAGGCGACTCTGTGCCGGATTCGATCCGCTGCTGGCCACGCTGACGGACGTTCCAGAAAGGGTTACGGTCCGCTTCCTCTCATTCTCGTCATGACAGCAGTCACAATTACATGTGTGTCTACTTCCAGAGGTCGATGAACGCTTGCCCCGGCGGCGTCTTCACTGAGTGCTCTCGGATGAGGTCGAAAGCTGCACGCACCAGGCCTGCCCGGCCTTCTTGCTCCTCCATGTTCTTTCTTCTGACGCGCGCGCGCACCTTCAGATTTTGTGGCTTCGGTTTCAATTTCCCATGCAATAATCATTCTAGTCCCCCTCCCCTTCCCACTACTCCAGCTCCCTATGCCAAGTTTCCGAACAAATCGATTACAGGCATCGGCGTTGACAAGCCTCAGTGATCTTTTCCGCTCTCCTCCCATTGTTACAACCTTTCTTCCAGCTCTGGTTTTTTTTTTCTCTTCCAAACATCTGTCTCATTCTTTGCTCCACCACTTGCGACTACGGGGTGAGCCAGAGCACGCTTCGGCAATCGCGCCACTATTAATCTCTTCGGCCCCTCCCGCAAGCTCTCGCTCCACTTGGGTCAAAATTATCTTCGGAGAGCAGAAAAAAAGGAAAAAGAGGAGAGAACACCAAGTGGGAAAGTGAGATCGCCGGCGCTTTAGAACCGCTTCCCACTCAATCTCTCGAGCCCGCGTCGAACGATCTGCTCAGTCTTCCTCAAGACCGCTACTGGGACCTTTCAACTGCTTTTTTTGGCCCCCTTCGTAGTCGTCGTCGTCATTCGTCCGTAGGGATCGTCATAGACTTCCTTGCCCTGCTTTCTCTTCGGCTCAGCAGTCACGGCGCGTCGTGCTGTTGAAGTCGCGAAGAGAACGTAAAGAGAGCTGCGAAGCTGTCGTCGTCTCGCAAGAGGCCAGCATCCTCCGGCTCTGGCAATTCTACACCCAATCCATCCACCCCGACCTCATCGACACCCAGGCCGGTAGCTGGGGTAGCAGCTAGGCAGCGAGGCGCAGAAGCAGCGGGTACAAGGGCGGCGGCGGCGGCGGCGGGATTTCAGGAAGAGTCACTGGGTGCATCCACCTCGCAGACAAGACTCGGTGATCGCGGGGACCGGAAGCGGCAGGCTCAGGGCCAAGATCATCCCGAACCCCACCTCCATTCACCTCCGCGGCTCGATCGATCGAGCCCGGTCGAAGACGAGGGAGAGCGTATCTATCGTGACCCTGTTGGCGAGGCGTGGCAGCATCAGCAGGCGGCAGCTGGGCCCGCGAGAGAAAGCATTACCACATCTACAGCATCACAAGCAGATCCACATGCAATCGCAGCAAGCGTTGTTGTCCAACGCAGCGATGACGACGCAATAGAAATCGACGAACAACCAGTACCACCAGCTGCTCATCATAGCGACAATCGGCAACAGCCTGTCTTGGTGCCTCCCCAGACTCAATCGCACACCGTCTTTGCCTCTCCCATCGAGACAGTCTCGCCCTTTGCCGAACATTACCTTGCAGCGCAGGCCTTTGGCCTGCAGCACAGCCGAACGAGCGGGCCCGAAGGCAGCACCAGCACCAGCACCAGCCCGCAGCCGCCGCGAGAGCCTCTACAGCAGCAGCAGCCCAGGCCTCCTATCTTTCGCATTCCCGATCCTCCCATCCATCGTGCCAGCAGCGGTAGTGGCAGTGGCACCGGTAGTGCCAACGCTGGCTCATCGTCATCGAACAAGTCAGGAGCTTTTCAACCGACAACTCCCCACCACGGCGGCCTCGGTCCGTCGTCGTATACGCCTTCGCCCGGTGTCTCACCTGCGCCAGCGCTCCAGCAGCTCAATCAAGCCCCAGGCCAGCGGAGACAATTCACCGCCGGCCAACGCAGCTACGCGGATCCCCAAGCTAGTCGCTACAATCACTCTTCCGCTGCCATGATGGATCTCGACGAATCGCTTCGGGCGCTCTACTTTGCTCCTCTGCCTCTCGTCGTGCTCGACAGCAATCGCAACATCAAGATGATCAACCGGCCTGCCGAGTTGGTGAGTGTTGAGTTGAAGGCGTCTCTCTTATATCTGACTGCATTTACTGATCCGATCATATGCCATTGCCATGAATGCCAATAGGTGCTGGGTGTGGGCAGCGTCTCGGCTGCAGGTCATCGGCTCGACCGCTACGTTGCAATGTCATCACGAGAACAGTACTTGTTGGCCCTCGGCGAGGCGACGCAGTCGGCCGCCCAAAAGTCGGGCATGGGGGTGCCGGTCGGCACTCGGCTCGGCCTCAAGTCAAACGAAAATGATTCCGGAACGCTGATCGCAGACCTTTCCATCTCTGCGTGGTTCTCCACAGAGCAGCTCTTCACTTCCGGAGACGGCGATGGCCAAAGTGGCCAGAGAGACAAATCGATGGTCGATGCCAGTCCATCGTCGGGCGCTACCTCACCCATGTCGTCTCCGATGAACGATCGACGCGACAGCGGAAGCATAAGCAGCAGCATCAGTCAGCATCAGCGCCAAAATTCAACCGTACCCCTGCTTCACGAGGCCTACTTTACCATCTCCATTGCACCGGTGCAGAGCGCTCGGCGGGCGAGTCCGACCGACGGCCTTACCGAATTGCTCAAGGAAAGCAGCTTCCACTCCGTCGACGCAGCCCTTCTGGCCCTCAGCAAAGACGGTACAAACATCATACGGAACAAGGCCTGCGAAGATGTCCTGTCAAGATTCGCGCGCGTAGAACCCAAAAAGGAGGCCAAGCAGCCCAAGCCCGGTCAAGAGGATTTTGACGAGGGGGAGTCAAGCATTGATCTCAGCTGGATCAACGACGCGATGTCTTGCTTTGATGAGAATTTCCAACAGCCTCTTCCCGAAACAGAATTTCCCATCTACCGGGCTGCCGTGTTGGGCCAGATTGTCAAACCTCTCCGCATCGGCGTCATTGGGCGAGATACTGGCGAGCGGTTCATTTTGCAAGTCGAGGCTAAGCCAATGCGCGACAACCAAGGCTACGGCGAGCACATTGGCGGAATTGCCACCATTCGAGACGTGACGACGGAGCGCAGGGAGAGACAGGCTGAAGTGGCCGAGCAGTCTGACATCTTCTTCAGGCAGACCTGCGACGCTATGCCCCAACTCGTCTGGGTCACCTCGCCCACAGGCTACCACGAGTGGTACAGCAAGGCGTGGTACGACTACACGGGCTCGACGCCGGAATCCTCGCACGGAGTCGGCTGGGCTGGCCATTTCCACGAGGAAGACATGCCCGAGGCGTCAAAGCGATGGAGCCACTCGCTGCGCACAGGCGACCTGTACGAGGTTGCCTACCGGTGCCGACGCTACGATGGCGCCTGGCGCTGGCACCTCGGTAGAGCACTCCCGATGCGTGACGCCGAGGGAAAGATTGCGAAGTGGTTTGGCACCTGTACCGACATCCATGACCAGGTTGAGGCGCTGGCAGCAAGCCGGCAGGCCCAGTCACAGCTCGAGAGTGTCATCAATCACGCCGCCATGACGCTGTGGGCAGTGGATCGCGAGGGCACGATCACAGTGGCTGAGGGTCCTGGTGTGCGGCAGCTAAAGCTCATGGGCCCAGGGACGCCGGCAGGATCCGAAAAGGAGACGAGCTTCGCTGCGGGCATGGGTCTCCGAGGCGGCGACGACCGGGAGCGAGGAGGCTCCGAAAGTGGATTCGGGGGCCGAAACAGCAACAGCAACAGCAACAGTAACAGTAACAGCAACAGCCGCAAGAGCATGATTGGTCGCTCCATCTACCAGGTCTGGGACCTGAACACCGACATTCGCATCTCGATGCAAAAGGCCCTCGACGGCGAGACTGTCGTCGAAGAGATGGAGGTCGACGGAAGATGGTTCCGAACCTCGTACACGCCCCTGCGAAGCCATGTTCCCGATTTCCTGAATGACAGTGATGCAAAGGCCGTCGAGGAGGGCGACATCATCGGTGTCGTGGGCGCCTCCTTGGACATCACCGAGCGCAAACGAGCACAGGAGCAGATGGAGCAGTCGCTCCTCGAAAAGACGAGGGCGTTGGCGGCCGAGGGTGCGGCCCGGGAAGCCAGCCGGCTCAAGTCGGAGTTCCTCGCAAACATGTCGCACGAAATCAGGACGCCCATTGCTGGTGTTATTGGGCTCTCGGAGCTCCTCCTGGACGAGCGGGGCCTGACACCGCAGCAGCGAGATTATGCAGAGACTATCCAGCGGTCGGCAGAGGGCCTCCTGACCGTCATCAATGATGTTCTTGACTTTTCGAAGGTCGAGATCGGCAAGCTCGATGTGGAGCGGGCTCCATTCAATCTCGAGGTTCTGCTCCGAGACGCCAAGAGGGTGAGAAGAGCATCTGTCCTGTCCCCACGATCCAAGCGCTAACCTATGACTCTGTTGAATAAGATGCTGAGCTTTGCGACGCAGAAGAAGGGCCTCGACTTCCGCGACTCGGTGGATCTCAAGTTCAAGGGCCAGCTCATCGGTGATGCGGGTCGCCTTCGACAGGTCATCACCAACCTACTTACCAATGCCATCAAGTTCACGGCTCTAGGCTACATCAGCCTTGAGGTGCTGGAGCTCCAAGAGACACCAGAGACGCTCGCTGTTCGTTTCGACGTGCGCGATACCGGCTGCGGCATCAGCCCCGACACGCTTGCTCGCCTCTTCCAGCCCTTCTCGCAGGCCGATCCATCGACGGCCAGACGTTTTGGGGGTACAGGTCTGGGCTTGAGCATCTCCAAGAATCTCGTCGAGCTCATGAATGGTCAAATCGGTCTCGACTCCGTCGAAGGCCAGGGCTCGCATGCCTGGTTCATCATTCCCTTTACCAAGGCGGCAAAGACGGGACAATGGCAAGCGTCGGGCGCTTCCTTGGCCGACTCAGCTGTGGTGGGAGGCGGCATGCCGAATACAGAATCTACAACGCTGGCAAGGCCGCGAAAGGACATTTGGATCCTGGTGGCCGAGGACAACATCGTGAATGCGCAAATTGCGTCGAAGAATCTCAAGAGGATGGGATTCAGCTGCCGGACCGCCGAGAATGGTCTCATTGCCCTTGACGAGCTGCACAAGCACCCGTATGACGCTGTCTTGATGGACTGTCAAATGCCAGAATGCGACGGGTACGAGGCAACGAGAAGGATCAGGAAGTCGCTCAATCCAGACATTCGTATTTTGCCTGTCATTGCACTGACGGCTTCTGCAATCAAGGGCGACCGGGAACGAGCGTTAGATGCCGGCATGGTCGATTACCTGGCCAAGCCAGTCAAGAGACCGGCATTGGAGGCCACACTGTGCAAGTGGCTCTTTGATCAGGATGCAAGACAGAGTCTTGGCAAGTTCTTCGCTGCACCCACGGCGACACCCCTCAATGCACCGGCGCTCTATGGTGCCAGGACCTGGAGCACCCCGCCTTTGGCATCGCACAGCTCGGTAGGGACGTCGACAGCAACGGCCAAAGAGTATCCCTTCCCACAGCTAAGCAATGCTGAAGGAATCTCGCCAGGGGCTGTTACTCAAACATTTAGCAGTGTCCAGCAGCCTCAGCTCGGCGTCGCTCCACCGGTATCAAGCTCGGATTCTGGCGTGCCGGACCCTCCGGCGTCCCTCTCGTCGCCTTCATCGGAAACGCAGAAGCCCAATGTGCCGGATTCCAGCGGTCTTGGCAAGGCCATTGCCTGGCCGCCGTCGCAGGAGTCCATATCTAAGCTTCGAAGAGGTACGAACAGCGATGCACTGGGCGCAGCCGCGGCGCTCCTCGCGACGCGCCGGTCCTCTGCAGAGGAGATTGCGAGGAATATTCGACCGTCAATCAACCCCAGAAGCAAATCGCACGGCTACCATGTTCACTATACGGACGATACAAAGGGTGTACTGAGCAGTGCCGAGGGTAGCTCGTCGTCGACTGCGACCATGTCGTCAGTGCAGTCGGTGGGAGCGGCAGGCGGAGAAGCTGGTGGACCGCCCCCAATCATGAGGAGGAGTAGCAGGGAGCAGGGGGGCATGGGCAGGGATCTCGATGGGGAGCTGCTGAACGCAACGCTCTCAGAGCCGAGTCTACACGCCGCACTCGCAGACGATGCAGAAGATTCGAGAGCCGGGCAGGCGGTAGACGCAGAGACACAGGCAGGCAAGGACGAGGACGTGGTCCTGTCGCCGCCTTCTTGAGGAACAAAAAGGAAAAAGGTTTTCTTACATTTAGATCTAGTACTGCTACAGCTTGTGTTTGGTTCATGTGATTGCGTTCTCACTGTCTTGTTTTCATTTGTCTTTGTGGTTTTGGCTTGTTCAATGCGATGCAAGCGCTACCCTAACAATCTTGGCTTGGTATTGGCAGGAGTGGAGAGAGAACAAAGGACTTTTTGCACGATCACACAGGAATGAAAGTTCTGGTGAGGCATCAAGTTTGCCTATTGCATAGAAGGGCACAAAATATACAGTCGAAAGCTACGAGCGGATGCGATCGAGAGGGAATCTGGGAAGCGAAGAAGGACGAAGGACGAGTCTAACAATCTTTTTTTCTATACTCGTGCTTTTGCTTTATTGCTTTTGATAGTTATAGTAGTCTCCACAGGGGAGTGTCGAAGTTACACCTTCTTCTCAGCCTCTTCGACAGGGGAGGCACGCGCGGTGGCATTCTGGTCAGCGGCGCCATCGCTGTCTGAGGACGTCTCGTCTGGGAGAATGGTGCCCTTTTCGGCGCGCTTGTGCACATTCTGCGCACTCGCGTCTGCCCGAGGCTTGCCAGTAAGAAGGGCAAGGAGGGTGTGGCGGCCCTCGATCGGCGGCATGAAGGTGACGATGAGGAGCGTGGCAAAGAGCCAGATGATGCTGACAACGATCCATCCACGGAAGAAGGGCTTGCTGAACGTCGTGTAGGCGCCGTACTGGCCGAAGGGGACGAGGACCCAAACAGCGAGGAAGAAAAAGATACCCAGGCCAAACGCCCACTTGGACATGCGAGCCATGTACGATTCTTGTTCAGGCGTGAAAGTGTCAACGAACCGGTTCTCCTTCTCTTCTTGCACGCTCGAGGCGTCGTCGTCGCTGATAAGCTTGATCGAGTTGAAGCGCTCCCAAGAGAAGGGCTCGCTGGGGAAGATGAGCGAGATAGCGGGAGAAAGAATCGCCGGCACAGCAAACGAGGTGATGTTGCCCCACATGCAGGGGATCAAGGCGCCAGTGGTCGTGACGTTGATGACCCCGTCACCGTAGTACCACGCCGTCGAGATCCAAACAGCGATACCAGCGGCCAGTCCGATGAGGGGCGAAAGGATGGCGGCAGCCTTGGTCTGACGGTTCCAGAGAACGGTGAGGGAAATGGTCACCATGCCAGGGCAGGTGATCACTCCGAGGAAGTACAGAGTCCAGGTCAGCGAAAGACCGGCGTAGTAAAGGGCGGTGCTGACGGCGGCAGCCACGAGAGCGAAGCTGACGCAGGCGGCGCGCGAGACCCAGATGATCTGCTTTTCCGTTGCTTTGGGGTGCAGGTAGGTGTGGAAGAGATCAGAGCTGACAATTGAGGAAACGGCCACGATTTGAGCCGAGCTCGTGCTGGTGACGGCCATAAAGATGACGATGACAACAGCAACGGCGCCTGCCGATCCGTTGACAGCCAAGGCGGAGTAGGGAAGGACAAGGCCGTTGTTTGACTCGCTCATCGTGAGCATGCGTCCGTGAACAGGCCAGGACGGTGCCTGCGAGGCTCCCAGACCGATGCCGACGCAGCCCATGACTGTTCCAAGAGCCCAAGGAATGCCGAAGTAGAGGACGCCTCCGAGAATGTAGCCGGGTGCGGCAGCGGTGATGTCGGCGCTGAAGGCCTTTTGCCAGTAGCTGCTGTCGAGAAGGACGAGGCCAAAGTTACCTGCAGAAAAGAATTTTTGTAAGTTTTTCTTTGCTGTAACTCAAGCAGGAGGTCAGAGCAAACTCACCGAGGGTGTGCAGAGTGCCAAAGGCGATTGCATTTTGGCTCGACATGGTCAAGTAAGAGCCGTTGTGGTTGCCCTCAACGGGGTTCATGATGCCGGCAGCCTCGACCATGCGCCAGAGGTTGTCGACGCCGCCGACAGCTTCGCTTGTGAGCGCCTTCAGGATCAGGTAGACGCAGATGATGAGCAATGCGACGGTATGGAGGTAGTCGGTGATGAAGGTCGCGCGAAGGCCGCCAGTGATGGTGTAGAGGCACACGCCAACGGGAAGCAAGAAGATGGCGGCCACAGTGTTCATACCAGTCAGAGCAGCAATAGCGGCTGAAGCTCCAAGGAACATGTTGACACTGGCGATGATGTTGGTCGCAATGCACAGGACGGCGTAGACCGCGTGAGCAAAGACACCGTAGCGAGCCTTGACGACCTCGAGGACAGTGTGCGCGTGGGGCACCCTGCGCTTGCTCTGGATGGCAATGAGGGCAAAGAAGCAGATCTGAACGAGACATCCAGCTGCAAACCAGTAGGCGCCGGCCACGCCGTAGTTGTAGGTGATTTGCGAACTTGACAGGAGCGCAGTCGACCAAGCCCAACTGGAGATGACGGCTGTAGCAGTAAGACCGGTGCCAATCTTGCGGCCGGCCACGGCAAACGTCTCAAAGTGACGGTTGTTCTCGCCAGTCGACCGCTTGAGAATTTCGGTGATGCCCATCATACCGGCAGCAAAGGCCAAGCCGAAGCCGACGGTGACACCATAGCCCCATCCTTGGCTGAGGGGCGGGGGAATGCCTTGCGATGGATCCATCTTGCAACGACAGGAATTGACGAAAAGGGGAGACAGTGGGAGGGGGAATCTGAGAATCTTTGGCGAATATTGGAGAAGGGAGCAGGATATATACCGGTCGCTATCATCATATCACCGTGCACTAGCTCACTCTCTGTAGCAGTCCTTCGATCTCGGATGCCGAAACCCAGGAAATCTTGGGAGGATCTTCTGCCATTTACCTGAATCAGCGTACAAGGCTGCCGGCTCTAACTAGTGGTGGGGCACCAGAGCCAGAGCAGCGAAGCCCGAGCGTGTCATATTTCTGCTTTACGAGTACGGTTGAAACGCGAGCAGAAGGAGAATAAGCGGATTCAGTAGGCAAGGTTGGCAATAATGTCGTGCTTGACAGCTCCATTCGACGCCATCAGCCTCGAGCACGTAATTCTTTTTTTTCGACGTATCTTCCTCCACGTGTGGAGCACTGCTGCTCCGCCCCCACTGTCCTCACGGGTTGGCCGTTGAAGGAGCCAATGAAAAAAGAGATTGAAGCGCTGGCGTGATCATTGCAGCGTCTCTTGTCGTCACCAGCTTGATTATCTAGAGTAGTTCAGTCCCCGACACACAGAGCAGAGGATCGATCAGCCAACCATGCCATGACCCTCGGACCCGACCTAGCTCTACCTTGCTGCCGTGCAAGGAGCGCGCCTGATCAAGAAGTCTTCTCTTCGTAATAATGCATGTCAATTGCATCCAGTGGCACAGCTTGTGAACAAGAAGGCGGCATGTGGCTGCAGCATCCCTCCTCAAAACGCGGCAATCACCCTCCAAACATGGTCCCGCTCGAGGAAGCAGCAAGCCAGGCAAGAATCAAAAAACAAAAAGTAAAAAAAAATAGATGCCCCCAGGCCGACTCGAACGACCGACCTTGTCATTGGTCCTATCTCTTCCCTATGAGGGAGGCGTAGTATTACTAGTGACACGCGCTACCGGACTACGCCATAGGGGCAGATGTATTATTTTGAAATTTTGAGGCAACTATGACCATGACTCGCAGACTCACGCGAAATGTGACAATTCGCATGGTCTAGTCGGATCGCCTGAAAGCAGCTCGTAAGGAATCGCTAGCGCAGGATAAAATTTCCCAAACCTTCAGTCTTTCTTGGGCATCCTTTTGTTCCTTAATGTGCAGTACTGCCTGAACCTCTGGCCTGATTGAAAGATCGAAAGAGAAACGCCTGTGGCATAGTGGTAGTGTCCTTATCTCGCGAATCCTTATCAGCGGGGTAAAAGATTTCTTCTTGCTGCTGCCGTCGGAGGCCAGGAACAAAATCGGGGATGATGGGACATTGCTGCTCTCTTGACCACCACGCAGGCCCTACCTGACAAGGATGAGCGCCTTCACACGCTTTCGCGACAAGCTGAGGGTCGAGGGCTCTGCGGCAGACGGCGCATCGCACGCGGCCGCCTTCCTCACGAACCGTGACCTGAATCCAGTTGAGCCGAGTCGAAGGACATGGACAGCAAAGTCGTTTGCCTTCTTTTGGATCAGCGATGGTGTCAATCTGTCGACGGCAGTCATTGTTAGCTCTTATGTCCTCGATGGCCTGGCCTGGTGGCAGGTCTGGCTCGCTGTGTGGGTGGGTTACATCCTTACTACATTTGTCGTCATCTGCTCCGGTCGCATCGGTGCCGTCTACCACATCGGCTTTCCAGTCGTGATGCGAGCAAGCTTTGGTATTGTGAGTTTGTCGCACACATCCCCTCTCGTTGCCCTTATTCATCTCGTCTTGGCCCTACGCAGTGGGGCAGCATCTGGCCAATTATCAATCGTGTGGCAACAGCGACACTCTGGACCTCGTACCAGTCTTACCTCGGCGGAAAGTGTATCGAGCTCCTCCTTCGCAGTCTCGCTCCGCAGTTCAATAACCTGCCCAACCACCTGCCAGCGTCTTCGGGAACGACGACCAAAGACTTCCTCTGCTTCTTCCTCTTCTGGCTCGCCATGATCCCTGCCGCTGCCACAAGGCCAGAGAACATTCGCCACCTCTTCACCGTGAAGGCGATCATCGTGCCTGCAGCTTACGTCGCATTCTTCGCCTGGTCGATTCACGATGCAAACGGGCTGGGTCCCATCGTCCATCAGCCGGCTACGCTCCATGGCTCAGTTCTCGGCTGGACTTGGGTTTCGGCCGTGATGGGCCAGCTGTCCAACTTTGTCACCTTGATGCTCAACATGCCTGGTGAGCTCTATTTCACGCTTATCTTCGTCGAGCCCTTCTCACCGTTAGATGCTATCTCTAGACTTTTCCCGCCTCGCTCGCCACCCAAGAGACACATTTTGGTCCCAACTCCTCGCGATCCCACTCACTTTCGCCATCACGTCCTTCATCGGCCTCGTCATTGCCTCTTCCTCGACCGTCATCTTTGGGAAAGCGGTCCTGAATCCACTCGACCTCCTGTCGTTACGCCTGGATCGCGCGCCGTACGATGCAGGCACACGCGCCGGCGTTTTTTTCATCTCGACGTCGTTTGCCCTCGGCCAGATCGGCACCAACATTGCTGCAAACGTCCTCAGCGCAGGGTCTGACTTGACAGCCCTGCTCCCGCGCTATATGACCATCCGGCGAGGCGGTGAGTATACGTCCCACACATCTTCGTCCTTTGGCATTCTTTGCTCATATTCTGTACCACATAGGCCTCTTGAGCGTCGCAATTGCCCTGTGCATCTGTCCCTGGAAGTTTGCAGGCGAGAACTCGAGGTGGGTTGCCCTGGGTATAAGGTATCATTGGACGAGCTGCTGACCGACCCCGGACACGATCAGCTTCTCGACGTACCTGTCTGCCTACAGCGTCCTTCTCGCGCCGTTCATCGGTGTTCAGCTCTGCGACTACTACATCATCCGCCGTGGCTTCTTCAGTGTCCCCTCGCTCTACACGCTTTCTTCCGACGGAGACTATCGATATTGGAAGGGCGTGCACTGGCGGGCCTACGCCGCCTATTTGGGAGGCCTCGCCATCAATATCACCGGCTTCGCAGGTGCCGTCGGCGCAAACGTCAGCACCGCCGCGCAGAGAATCTACACGCTCGCTCCGCTGACGGGCTCCATTGTCGCTGCGCTCGTCTACTTCGCCTGCTGCTACATCCGACCGCGGCCAGTGGGCTTCGTCGATGTGGGCAACAAGGTGTGGCGCGAGCCAAAGGAAGGATACGAGGCGCCAGACTGGAGCAGGCCGACGGCTGGCGAGACATCGGCTGGTGCGTCACAAGACGGCCAGCTCAAGTCGTCATCGGGAGAAGGAGACGACTTCGAAAAGACAACGACGGGCCAGGACAAGATGTCGGTAGAGGCCGTAGCGTATTGATTCGAGGACCTAGCTCTCTTTTACTACTTCACCACTGTATCATTCCATCTACGACGAGATCGCATCTCAGTCGACAATGTAAATATCATTATAGAGAAAGATAAGGAGAGCCGTACATGTTTCAGTCCCGCACAAGCAGAGAAGAAGGAGCAAAATTCGGCCTGCATCATCAATACGGACTAGAAGCTCTTCGCCTTGCCATCGGGTCCAAGGTACTGTTTGTGGCAAAGTCAGATCGAGCAAGCGAACAGTGATCACGCCCAGATCTCACCTTCGAGTAGGTGTCGAGGAAGGCCTTTTTGGCGTCCTTTTCGATAACATCACCATGGCAGGGGATGATCCTCTCAAAGTCCCACGCGGCCACGGCCTCTGCGTCCTTTGCAAACTGGGTCCTGCGCTCCTGCGTCGAGCCGCCATTTGGCAGGTTGGGGACGGCTTGAGCTCCGCCAGCCATCCAGAGGAAGTTGGCGTGGAGCGCTGTGCCAGGTGCCAGCATGGGCGACAACATGCCGACAAAGGGGACCCATGAGGACGGCTTGCCGCCGGGCGTATTCTTGTACTGGGTTGCACGGGGGCCGCTCAGTCTACACTGACAATTGCGGCTCAGCGCTGCATTCTCCACTCACCTGCTCCTTGGCGGGCAAATTCATGAGCAAGTCGGCCTCGATGAGTGTCTGTAGGCAAATAAGTCAGGTTAAGCAAGTCCGCGGAGAGAGAGACCGCTTGCAGAGCTGACCTTGCTGTCCTTGTGGAAAAAGGCGACGTCTCGGTTCTTAAACGTCGAAAAGTAGCGAGCCTCAATCTGTGTGTTGTCCTGTTAGATAGCGAAGCAGGAGCTCTGACATCTTTCTCCAGCTTACCTCCTCCTCATAGCCGTACTTTGTTCCTTCGGGGTCCTTGCCGTAGGCTTCGCCTTCGGAGTCAGCATCACGCCACTTTAGACGGGGTGCCCTTCTTGACTCACCTCCGTCCCACTTGACATCGGTCCTCTTCTCCGGAAGACCCTCGACGCCGATCACCTTGGCCTCTGGGTATGCCTTGGCGTAGTCGGACACGTAGAGGTGGTGGACCTGATCGGCTGCGACGATGTACTGGTGGATGTCGTGTGCCACTCCGTTCAGCATTACTTATGACTTTCTCGGACTCAAATGCATTCAATCTTCTTCTCACCCTGGTCGAGCGACGATTCATTCCCGTCAGCATGTGTCGCCTGCATAAGGAGGAAGCCAGCTACTCACTTGACAGATCCCATCTCCTCGAGCTTCTTGCGAGTATCGTCGTCCAGGGGCGTGCTGGCCAGGAGCCACACGCCGCCCTTGCCGTCGGCGCCACGGAGCTTGACGGCCGTGCTACGGCCTCCGATGGGCACCACTCCGCCCCTGGCAAAGGGCCGGCTGAAGGTGGCGATGGAGTCGGTGACGCTGCGGACCACTGTTGAGTTCGACATGGCTGACGATGACGGTTTGCGGGAGTCAGGATTTGCAAGCGGATGGTGATTGCAACCTTTCGTTCAAATTGTGGAGGGTCGAGAAAAAAAGGGAAAAAATAAAAAGGAAGAAGACGACGGCATTCACATAATCCGATAACCCGAAAAAGAGCAAAGAGCAGCACATCATCATTTGACGTTCTCGTATGATAGAAACAGACATCAAAAGCCGTACTTTGCCTTGGCCTCGCCGCGCGCCGACTTGCCGCGGCTCCATCTCTCTTCGAGCCGCTCCCGGTTTTCCTCTGCCTGGACGAGGAGGCTGCTGAGCTGGCCCCTCTTCTGGGCCCGATAGTTGGTCAGTCGATCTCGCCTCTTTGCCTCGTCGTCTTGCGCAGCGCCCTGCTGCTGCTGCTGCTCTCCCTGTCCCGCAGTGGCAGCAGCCGCGGCATATCTGGCATCAGAGCCTGGCAGCGCTGCAGACGTGGTCGCAGGCCGATTCTGCCACGCCTCTCTGGCCAAAGAGGCGGCATCTACGCTGTGGAGCGCCTCGGTATCGACGCCTGCAGGCACGTCTGTCATGTCGACGCCGTTGCCCTGATTGCCCTGAGAGGCTGCCCAGGCAGCATACGCGGCGTGGGCTTCAGGCGTCACGGGCACCCAGGTACCGTCTGGATCTTGCTGCCATCCTCTGTAGCGATCCTCGTCTCCCTCATCGGTTTCCACGGGCTCAGCTATCTTTTCTTGCAGCTGAGGAGCGGCCGAGACGGTAAAGCTTGACGTAGAAGCCTTCTTCCGACTTGCCCCTGGCTCTTTGGCTGGAAATTAGTGAGGTTTGAAGCGATCAACAGCCGGACTCGACCATGCGCGATTTGGTCAGATACATACCAAAGGAAAAGAAGTCTGTGGTCTCGCCCGACCCTTGCCGGTCCCTGACAGCTTCCTGAGCAGACTCGCTGGCGGTCCCCTTCCCTTGTGATGACTTCAACGAAGGCGCTGGGAGCTTGTCCTTGCTCGAAGTTGGTGATGGTGAAGGTGCTGGTGATGGTCTTTTTGCTTTGGTCGCAGCACTAGGGGCGAGACCGAGCATCGCTCTGAAGTCGTTGTTGCCCTTTGCTTTCTTATTTGGTTGCTCATCTTCTTGCGCACCCACTCCGTCAGCGATGTCTGCGGCTGCTGATTCAGCCGCCGCTTTGGCCTTCACGTCTGGTTTCGCGGGCTTTTGCGACGGCGCGGGCAGCAGGCCAAAGAGGCCGTGGGAGCTCGACGACGAGGCCTTGTCCATGGTCGGCCGTTTCACTTGCGGCGTTGCTTCCCTTCCTTTTTCCTCGTCCAATGCATCAATCTTGATCTGCAATCTCTGGTCCGCCTTTCGTTTCGCAGCAGGCCTGGCTGTGTTGGTGTTGGATGGAGGGGGCAGCTTGAGACCAAAAGTGCCCGACGAAGACGTGGCTGGCCCCGAGGAGCGCGGCGCAGCGATGCTCGACGACGAAGGCCCAGCATCATTCTCGCTGTGGTCCGAGTCCGAGTCGTAACCAGAGACGAGGGCAGCTGGCGATGGCATGGCTTCTCAAGCGAACACGATGTGCCTGTCCTCCTTCGCCCTGAGTCGTGGTGAGGAAGAGAGGGGTTTTCAAAAAACTAAAAAGACAAATTTGGAGATGGGCCGACGGTTCTCTCCACATTCTCCTCTTCAGAAGAAGAGACATGACAAGCGCCGGCGCCGATGATGCTGGGGGCTCACATCGGCCAAGGCACTTGGCTCTGCACATCCCCAATTCGCATCCCCGCAGCCCAGTGCCGACCCCGTCGAGCGCTTCCCCTGCCTTGACGCCTCGGTTGAGTGACGCCGGCCTCCGATCCAACGTTTCAATCGTCGACGGTACCGGCCAGCAGCAGAGTGCAGCTCGTCAGCCGCACCCGTTGCCCAATGCACAGGTAGAGAGGCCCAACCGGCCTCCGCACCGCACCTGCGCCGCCGCCATCACCGCTGCCCTTTCGTCCTTTGTCGCCTATTTCCAAGTGCGCATCAGCTCTGGCGAAAGCTCGCGAGACTTTCTCGCCAGGGAGCGCACCTTTTTCAGCTGGCTCCGCCTCTCGACGCTGCTCGGCATCGCGTCCATTGCCCTCTACCTGCGTCTGCGCCTCAAGACGAGCGACTCGCCCAATGGCGACGACGGCGTGCCGTCCTCTGCCCTTGTGCCCGCAGCAGTCTTGGGTGCGCACCAGCATGCCCTCGAGGCCCTCTGGACGCGCGCGCTCAGACGGCAAGCCGCGCGACGTCGGCTGCTCCAACGATCGACTTCTCCGCCCTGGACCTCGTCCGTCGGCGTGCCCGCGCAGCTTGTCCTGCAGCATCCCGTGAGCTCCAATTCCGACAGCGACGGTCGGACGCTCGACGAGAATCCGCTCGTGGGAAAAGTGGCTGGGTCCATCTTCTTTGCCCTGGCCATCCTTACGCTCCTCGTCGGCTGGCTCGACTACATGCACGCCGAGCGCGCCCTCGAGCGCGCAGACGAAGACGTCGGCAACCTCGATGGTCCCGCTGCCTTGACTGATACCCAACTCGAGCCGGAACGTCAGCGCAGAGGGGGAGGAGGGAATTCGACGGCGTGGCACAATGCAAAGTTTGCCAAAGAGGCCCACAGCGGCAGGTGAGTCCTTGTTTTTCCCACCACGGACTAATACAAAAGGCAGCTGACATGATGGCCAACAATAGAGTCGTGCACGCCGTCTCGATTCTCATCGCCCTCGTCGTCGCGCTGGGCGCGCTGCTGATGCTCGTTTCAGGCAGCCACGCTCACAAGTGAATCAATCTGACTACTGAAACATCATGTATGTACATTGCAATACGATAGGGCAGGACTACTACGCTTCCTTCATCTCTTCATCACCATCCTCTTCTCCTTCTTCCTCTTCTTCGTCATCTTCCTCCTCGTCGCTGTCCTCGTCGCTGTCCTCGCCTTCGGCCACGTCGAGGGCAGGGAGCGCCAGTTCTCGATCTGCGCCGAGGTAGCCATCGGCCATGAGGAAGAGCTTCAGACGCTCGTGGCGTCCCTTGGGCAGCGTAAAGTCGAGCTTGACGGCGAGCTTCTTCCTCGTGAGCGTGATTCGCTTGATGCCCAGCAGGTTGCGTGTGCCCGGGTCACCGACGATGAGCCACCAGTTGCAGAGCTTCTTGTTAGGGTAGAAGGGCGCAACCACCGTTGGGTCCACCTCGTCGCCGCCGTCATCTGCTTCGTCGTCTTCGTCTTCGTCTTCGTCGTCGTCGTCCTGGCGCAGCTCCACCTGGAGTGTGATGGGCGAGCCAGACACGAGCGACTCGGCCTCCTGGACCTCGAACGTGACGTCGACGTAGGGATACGAGTTGGTGAATCGGGCCACGTCGGCCACTTGGCGCTTGTCCATCTGCAGCAGCTTGTCCCGCCCGGCGTCGTCCATGTCCGGCAGCGCATCCGACAGCGCATAGACGCTGTCTTCGATGCCCAGGGCATGGCATCGCGCGATGACGTCTTGCGTAAAGTGGGGCACCTGGCGCAGCGGCGAGTCGCGATCCCAGACGGCTTGGACGCACATCTGACTCAGCTCCATGGCCACGATTGCGTTCAGGAACGCATTGGAGCTCATCACGTCGACACAGGCCGAGAGCAGGTTGAGGACCTTTTGCAGCACCCCTCGCTGGTCCGCTGCCAGATCGGTGGGGAGCGTCATGCGCGCAAAGTGAGCCTGAAGGAGCACAAACACCTTGTGGTAGGGGCTGTTGAAGTTGACCTTGTCGAGCTTGTGGGGGACGCGATCGTAGATGCGTCGCAGCACGACGTCCTCGTGCTGCCGGATCGGCACATCCTCGAATTCGGCGGCTGACGAAACGATCTCGAGCAGGCCGCGGAGCTTGGTCCGCTCCTTGAGCGACATGTTGAACACATCGACGGTGACGTACGAGACATTGTAGAAGCTGGCAATCATGCCCAGATTCAGGGGTGCGACGTCCATCTCGTCTTCGATCGCGATGCACTTTGCACTTTCGAGGTCGGCCAGCGTGGTCTCGACGAGATCCGAGAGGAAGTCGCCAATGTGTTGCATCGTCGTGCCCTGGCAATTGTATGCTTGTGGGTTCTGCTGCAGCCTGCGATACATGAGCGTCCATGTGAGAATGTCGACGGCGCTTTGCTTGTCGTCGATCGTCCTCGCCACTATCTCGGCGTTGAAAAAGTCGTGCGCAAAGGCGTGCAGCCGGCTCTCGATCGGCAGGCCCTCGCCCAAGAACTTCTTAAAGTAGTCCTTGCGAGTCTGCTGACACAGGAGCACGCAGCGGGCCCTATTGTCCCCATCATCGTCGCCGTCATCGGCGTCTCCGGCGGGAACGAGGGCTCGCCCCATCATCTGTAGCACATCGGTCAAGGGGTAGTCGACATAGCGGTGCTCCTTGCCGTCGTAGGATTGCACGCTCATGATGAGCACCAGGTGCGCTTGCAGCGGCATGCTCCACGCTGTCTCCTTGGAGGCAATGACGACCTGGATCGCGCCCGCCTGGAAGAGACGCTCGACGATGCGCTTGTCGCTGCGCGACTGGCCTTCGTGGTAGTAGCCGATGCCGTACTGGAGCACTTCGGCGAGCTCACTGTCCTGAATACGATCGAGATGCGGCTTGAGCTCAGCGGCCTCGATGTTGCAGAAGCGCGACTGGGAGGATAGTTCCTCTTCGTCGTCGCGGTTGCCGTCTGCAACGACATAAGCCAAGAGGTCGTTGGCCGTGAGAATGGCCTGCCGTCTCGAGGGCACGAATGCAAGGACGGGGGCGCCAGCTGGAGCCTGTTCGACAATGGCCAGGTATGCAGGCTTGGCCATGGCGACCATGAGCGAGGGGAAATGGGGGATGTTGAAGCTCTGCAGGTGCACCTCGAGCGGCACAGGTCGTGCGCTGGGTGAGAAGTTGAAGACGTTTGCGCTGGACACTCCGAGCCAGTCACCCAAGTCACGAGCATTGCCGAGAGGCACGGACAGAGCGACGAAACGGGTGGCGTTGCCTGTCTGGGCAGCCACAAACCTCGCTCGCGACAGAACTACCTCATAAGTTGGTCCCACCTTCCAGTCGCCAAGCATTTGCACCTCGTCAGCAATGTACAGACTGACCGACTGCACGTTCTTCCGTTGCCGCCATCGCCTCGACAGGACGTCCCAGTGCTCGGGCGTGGCAACAATCACGTCGGCCAGCTCGAGAAGTCGCAGGTCTGCGCTCGTCTCACCGGTGAGAGCCGCGATTTCGACGTTTCGAGAGGCGAAGCGCTGCTTCCACTCCGTCACTCGCGGAGCGACCATGACTTCGTACGGGACCAGGCACACAGCCCTGCTCTTGCCTTGACCCTTGTTGTTCCACAGACGAAGAAGAGCAAGCTCAGCACAGAGCGTCTTGCCACTCCCCGTAGGCGCACCAACAAAGACACCATCGTCAGTCCCGTACAGGGCGTGGAAGGTCTGCGTCTGGATCTTGTTGAGCTGCGTGAGCTTGCCCTCGTATGAGTCTCCCAGTGCTGATGCCGGTTGCGGCTGCAGGTCGAGCAGGGGCGTATGAGGCGGGAACTTCTCGGGCAGAATAAGATTCTTGAAGGAGATGGGCAGCCGCACTTCAGACTGAAGCCATCGATCGCTGACGACGCTGATAAAGTAGTTGGGCGGCACCGGGTCGGTCATGGCGACGGTGAAGGTAATTGTATGCTCTTCTTCAGCATACCGCTTGAAGAGAACAAAGGTGTCGTGGAACAGGATGACCTCGCCGTCCACGTCCTCGACGAGGATGTGGAACGCCTGTGCGCCTCCATGGATACGTTCGTCCCACTGGAAGTCGGGCGTGATCGTGAGCTGGACGTGCAGGAGCGAGCGTGTGACGGGCTGGAAGAAGGCCTGGAGCTCCAGACGAGGGAACTGGTTGACAAGTCGATGGACAAGTCGTCCGGCCTTTGGCAAGCCGATAAGTTCGCCAATCTCATTTGGCTCCAGATCTCGCAGTCTGGCCCAGGGGTACTCTTTTCGCTCCAATCTTCGAACCAGGTCGGCAGGAACGCCCTTGAACTGTCGGAGAGGGGTCATCGATCTCCACTGTCGGCTATCAACCATCTTGCAGAGGTCCAGAGCGACATGACTGAGCCTTGCGTAGCCTCGCTTGACGCAAATCTCGAAGAGAGCCCTCAGAATGCGCCCTGCCGATTGCGTCACGTAGACCATGTCGGCAGCCAAGACGTAACCCTCAAGCTTCAGCTGCGAGATCCAAGTCTGGAGAAGAACATTGACCTTTGCCGCCGCATCATCGAGCGTCTCTTTGACTGGCACAGGAACCCGCTCGAGCAGCTTGCCCACTTCGAGCTTCTCGTCCTGTCGCACAACCTGGTGCTTGAATTCGTCGGAGAGGGCAAAGATGCGCAGCATCTCAATGAGGCCCAGGTGTGGGCGAAGGTGCTGGTTGTAGGTCGCCATGCTCGAATGAGTGATGTAGTAGTGCGAAGCGATCCGCCCGAGCTCGTTTGTCGTAAATTGTCCAGTCTTGCGGTCGTAGCGGACAAGGCCGCACTTTTCGAGCAGGGCAGCAGCGGAGTGCACAATGTCAGCGCGCTTCTGCTCCAGGAATGCGTCGTCCTCAGCGTAGTCGGCCGTGACGCTGTACAAGGAAGGAGAGCGAAGCATGCGGACGTAGAGGTACGTGTAGCCCAGCCATGCAACCGCCTCGTCTCGGTTGCGAATCGTTCCCAGGACGATCTCAGCATTGAGATTGTCGGCGAGCTTGGACACGAGCTGCGACTCGATGGGCAATTGCTGATTGAGCAGGCTGAGGTAATACTGCAGCTCGCCGTGGTTGGTGATGATGATACCTTCGCCAAACGTATCGTACTGCGGCCGTCCAGCGCGTCCAAGCATCTGAAGCATGTCTTGGGGTGAGAGCTCGCACCATCGGCCTTTCTCAGGGTTGTAGATCTGCGTGCCCTTGACGATGACCGTGTGTGCCGGCAAATTAACTCCCCAGGCCTGCCATCAAATGACCATCAGTACAAGGACAGAAGCGAATATCATGACAGACCAGCAGCACTCACCAAAGTTGCTGTTGAGACGAGAACCTGGAGGTGGCCATCTCGGAAGAGGTCTTCGACGAGCTGACGGTCGGGTCGCGACATGCCGGCGTGGTGGATGCCGAATCCGTACGGAAGCACGTCTCGCAGATTGGGATCCTTGACGTTTTCCAGCTCTGTCTGCAATACCTCGCGGCTGGCCGAGCTCTGGGGCAGGAAGCTTGAGAGTGTGTCATTCTCCATAGCTCGGTCGCGAATGAACTTTGCCGTCTTGGCCGTCTCTTTTCGCGAGTGCGTAAAGATGAGCACCTGGTTCTTGCCGGCCTGGTCCAGCGTCTTTTCGTAGGTGACTTCGTTCATGACCTGGAACCGCTTGATGGCCTTCTTCTCTGTGATACCCACGTACTCTTGCTTGAGCGGGCAGGGTCGATAGGACGCCTCAAAGTAGAAGAGGCCCTTTTTGGGGTTGACGCGCAGGAAGGTAGCCACGTCCTTGTAGTTGGGAAGCGTCGCGCTCAGACCGACGATACGGACGGGCTCGTTGAGCTGCTCCATGCGACGAATAGTGCGGGCAATGATGCTCTCCAGCACTGGCCCTCGGTCATCGTGCAGCAAGTGGATCTCGTCGACGATCATGAGGCGGACGAGGTTGGTGTAGGATGTGTCGGAGCTCTTTCTGCTGATGACATCCCACTTTTCTGGCGTCGTGACGATGATCTGCGTTTCGGCAATCTGCGCCTTTGTCAGCTGGCTGTCGCCCGTCAGCTCGTTGCACACGATGCCAAAGGGCGCCAGTCGATCCCGAAAGTTGGCGGCCTGCTCGGCGACGAGGGCCTTCATGGGAGCAACGTAGACGATTTTGAAGCTGTTGAGGTCCAATTGGCCCGTCTTCTCGTCGCGGTGCTTGCCAATCTCGTGAAGGATGGTGAGCATGGCCACGTTGGTCTTGCCTGCACCTGTAGGCGCGCACAACAGCATGGGGTCGTCTTCGCCAAATGCCACGGGGTAGCAGCGCGACTGGACCGGGTTCAGCGAAGTAGCTCCAGGGAAAGCGGCCTGGGCCCAAACGGGCAAGCTGGCGATGGGGACAATCTCCTCGTCGGGAACCGTCTTCTTGACGGGTGCTGGGACGTGGATCTCTTCATAGCCCTTCTTTGATCGCTTAAAGCTGCCCTCGGGAAGTCGGACCTTTGCATTGGAGTTGAGGTGCCCTCCCTGACTAAAGGCCATCGCTTCCAGGTCAACGCCCTTGCGAGGAGCCACCGTGGTGCCCGGCGCGAGCGTCGCTTTCGTGGTAATCTTTCGCGCGCGCGCTTTTGCCTCGTCGTCCAGGTCCATGGGCACCATGCCGCCTCGGGCCGCAGCTGATGTCGAAGGACCATCGCCACCACCACCACGCAGCTCGCGGAGGATCCAGCCGAGGCCCCTTTCTCGCATCGCTACCTCGATGTTGACCTTTTCCTCCTCGTCGGCCCTCGCAAGCTTGGTGCACCATACGACCAGGTCGCGGTGCTTAATCAGCACCTCGACAGCCTCGAACTTGTCATAGTCAAAGAGCTCCATGAGCCCGTTTTCGCAATCGCGCACGTTGCTCTCCGAAGACAACAGGTCCATGGCCGCATTTGCCTTTTCTGTGGCTTCGTGGGCGTCGGGGTAGTGCTTGGAAACGAGTCTCTGCAGCCAGAAAGCGTCAATGTCATGGGCAGAGACGAGACCCTCCTGCCCCTTTTTCCGCTTGCTGGATGATCCAGAAGCTGAATCGCCAATCCTGACTGCGTCGGTGCCGGCAGCACTCTCGTCCACACCAGCAGCACCATCGGGCCCCTCTCTGGCATCATCTTCATCGCCTGCCTCGTCATCGTCATCGTCTGACTCTTCACGGACTACGTAGGTCTCCTCTTCATCGTCGCTCCCGTCCTCATCGTTGTCAAACATGACGGCCACGCCCGTGTCCTCATCGATGGCACCAATGCCTCTGTCCGCGTCTGGATCGCCACCCTGGGCACCCGCATCCTCTTCGTAGTCGGTCAGCTTCTTCGACAGGTTGACGAGCTGACCAAAGGCTTCTTCCGACAAGTTGCCCACGACTTCCTCGCACTCCTTCTTCTTGTCAAAGTCCTTGAGCTCGTCGTCCTTGAGAACCTCGATGACAGAGTCGGCAGCTGAGCAGATAATCTCGCCACTTTGATCGCCCAGGGCCTGCACGATGATGTTGAGAATCAGCTCGTACATCTCCCGTGTCTCAGCCGTCCGGGGTGTGTAGTTGAGCCCCTCGAGGTCGGCGGTGGCTGCGAGAATATCTGCGTACTGCCGTCCATTCGACGCAGTTGTTGCCGCGGCGGGCGCCGCCTTTTTCTTGATGCGATGCCATTCGTCAGCTTCAGCTTTCTTCTTCTTCTTGTCCAGATCCTTGATCTGCTCCCTGCCTGCCCGCGATCCCATCTGCTTGACATCTATTCTGCCGGCCAGCGACTCGCCCTCGCCCGTGGGCTCATTTTCGTTTCGCTGGACGAAGCGTCGGTCGGTTTGGGTGACGAGCGACGAGATGGCCGAGTACTGGTACCCGGACAGGTCCGGCTTCTTGGGCGGCATCGTGTGCAGGCCCCTCTTCCGTCCGTGCGTCGCTGTGCTGGTTCGATTCGCTTCCAATCGGGCCAAGCCAACAGCAGCAGCAGCAGCAGCAACGTCGAGTGCCGATGTGTGGTAATGGGCGAGAGAAGAAGGAAGAAAGCGACGACGCAGCGTCGTCGGTGCGTAGCTGGATGCATTTTCGAGATTTTTTCTTGCCTTTTCGCGCGTGGCAAATTTTCGAGGCGCGCTCACCACCATCACCACCTTCGTCGATCGACGTCGAGAGCGAGGAAGGCGTCCCTAGGAAGCCATGGCCTTTGGGCCTCCGACAGAAGCAGGTGGTGCAAGCGGCGGTCTCGCAGGCGGCGAAGGGACCCGGCGGGGCATCCCACCAGGCACATACGTTAGCCATGACGGCGCCGACCACGGCCACGCTTCGCCGTCTTATCCTGAACGGCAGCAGCAGCAGCAGCAGCAGCATGGCGTCGCATTCGACATCCGAAGCGATCCACGAGAACCAGAATCAAGCGATCGCCTGCCATCAATGACGTCCAGCGACGCGAAGAGCTCTGATAGGATGGATGGCATCTACAGCCAAGAGGATAACGCGGCTGGACCAGACTTTGGGACAGGCAACGAAGAAGTCGGAGCCGCGGCAGCAGGAGAGGGCGAAGAGGACGATGGTGGCATCATCAGGTGCGTGTAACATTCTCTGATACTTCTCTCCCTCGCGCGCGCCATACTCGACGGGCTGACTGGAAGCTGACTTTTCCTATAGGTGCATCTGTGAATGCGACGACGACGATGGCTTCACCATTCAATGCGATCGCTGCCTCGTGTGGCAGCACTGCGCCTGCTTTGGCATGTCGCAGGCCAGTGTTCCAGAGGAGTACCATTGCGAGCAATGCGAGCCTCGGCCTGTCGACGTCGGTTTTGCCAAGGCGCACCAGCAGCGGAGGAGAGAGGCAGAGATGCGCAAGGTAGCAGCTGAACGCTCCCTTCGTCGCCAGAGCCTGTCGTCCGCGTCGGTAGGCGCAAGTGTCGAGTTCCGCGAGCCGCCCTATCCTGAAGCCTCAGATGTCCACCTGGCCCACAGCAACTCGATTTCAGAGCAAGGGAGATGGATGGAGGGAGACGACCCGACGGGCTCAGCTCATGGTCTGGAGGGAGCTCTGGCAGCAGCAGGCCAGAGCAACGGCAGTCTCTCGCGCGCGAGGAAGCCCTCGCAACAGCTCGATCTCTCCAACACATCTTTCTCGGATCAGGCGGACGCAGGCCCACTGAGTGCGCAGGCGGCATCCAAGTCGCACAAACGCAAAGGTGGCTCCATCTCTTCCTCTGCCAGGACGGCAGCCTCAACACCAGCGCGAAAGACACCCTTTGCAAACACAGCGGCCAACATTGCCGATCGCTTCGATGATGGCGAAGGTCTGGACCGCCTTGAGGCGTGGCATATTGAGTACACGCCGGCAGCGAAGAATGTGGTCGCCGAGGCACAAGTCCTGTCAGCCCTCGCTTCGGCCATGATCGACTATGAGCACGGAGGGTCACCTATCAAGGCTCACCGAGGTTCTGGAAACAGACTCGTCGTACCTGTGGTGGGCAAGAAGTTCAAGCTCGCCCATCAGCCGGCCTCGTTGCTGGAGGGCGAAAGGGAGAGAGACAAGTTTGACAGCCCGAACGAGGATGCAGAAGGTGCAGCGGCGACGGGCAGTGGCGATGATCGTGGCGCATCTGCTACGCCTCTGCCCGATTCGGTTACAGCCTATGGCATGGGAATCTCGGCTGTGGGCAAGGAATGCGTTCCCGTTGAGATGGTCGGTCTCGAGGAGGGCCTGTTCCAGGCAACGCAGCGGACATACGTCAAGCAGATCTCCGAGCAGGCATCGTCGGGCATCTTCAACTCAATCTTGACCATCGCGCCACTGCCCAGCGAGCCGCAGAGGCCGTGGTCCGCCTCCAAGATGTTCTCCAGGCCCGTCATGCACGGCCTCTTTGCTGATGCCAGCATCCCAGCCGGCTGCTTCATTGCCGAATACCGCGGTGAGCTCCTCACCGCGGATCGCTATCGACGCGAGCCTCTCAACCAGTACGCAGCCGTGGGGGCCACCAAGCCCCATGTCCACCTCTTTCCCCCGCCCTTGAATCTGGCCATTGACGCTCGACGCTTCGGTACCGAGGCCAGATTCGCACGATCCAGCTGCCATCCCAATGCGGTTCTGCGGCCCATTTTGCTCCGGCGTACGCCAGACTCGGAACCTGAGCTCCTCTTTGGTATCTTTGCCATTGCAGACATTCCGCGAACCCACGAAATCACTCTCGGCTGGGAGTGGGACGACGCTCATATAGTGCACCTGCTCCCCCAATTGGTCAAGAATCCAGCGCTGGGTCTTCTGGATGCCAGCTACAACGGCCACAATCATAGGGAGACAGGAGGTCGCGGTGGCAGGCCTCAGTCGTTCTCGTCCAACACTCGGGTGGCCGAGCGTGAGAGAAGGGACGCAGCTCTGGCCCTCCTTGCTGAGCGAGGCGACTTTCCCTACGCATGCACCGTCTTTAGTGAGAAGATGAATGCCGTCTTGGCTGTGCTTCTCGGTTCGAGCTTGTGCGCATGCATTGGGTCCGCCGCCGCGCCAGCCGGCCAAGGCGGAGGAGCGAGTTCGCACAATGCCAAGCGGCAGGACTGCGCCATTGCCCAGATGCTCCGCCTGGCGCAGGGCATGGCGCTCCTCAACGTCGTGATGCCCGGCACCAAGTCACACCGCAAGATCCGCCAGCCCGACTTCTCGCCACTTGTCGGCGCCAAACGATGGTGGAGGCCCCTCGCCATGCCGCCGACGCCACCCAGCCCGAATGAGGACAAGAATTATGAGAGCTTGGGGGTCCCCTTCAAGCGCCTGCTGGGTGCAAAGGTCGGTCTGGTGTCTGAGAGCGACTTCGTCCGAGCACTCGAAGAAAGACGGCGCGGGGCCCACGACGAGGCTGACGATGCCGTGGACGAAGACGGGGAGGACGAGGATGAGGAAGGCGATGAGGAAAGCATGGTCGAAGGAGGGTCGGCTGATGAGCAGAGGGTCGACGATGACGTTGAGATGGACTCACAAGCGTCTTCTGCCACCGAGCCGCTGTCGGATGGAAGCCAAGACGAGGGCGACGACGATGCCGTTGTTGCGATGGACGTCGATCTTACCAAAGTGATGGGCGCCTCGGGCAAGCTTGGCTTCGAAGACCATGACTCTCACACCTTGCTTCCCTTGAAGAAGCGCGTGTCGGGGACCAGACTCAAGGCCACATATTCGGGCGGCGAGGAGTCGGATGCGGATGCAGACGCCGACGCTGATCCCTCGGGCCGAGCCAAAGGAGCTCGGAGCGAGAAGAAGCGCAAGCAGCAGCAGCTCAGGAAGCAGTCACAAATGCCACAGCGAAAGGGCGCTTCAAAAGCTGCGAAATCGGTCAAGGCAAAGGCCTCCAAGAGAGACAGATGGTTCAGTGATGAGGAGGAGGAAGCAGCAGCTCAAGTCAAGGACAGTCGTCGACGCCGCGACTCGAGCCGTGCTGTGCCTCCGAGTTCTCCTTTGACATCTGCACCTGAAGATGAAGAAGACGAGGAGGAAGGCGAGAGGAGCGTCGACAGAGACCAGGGTGTTTCGGACGAGGAGGACGAGGAAGACGAGGTCACCAGATCACGTAGCAAGCGCTCCAAGTCCAGAAGGACAGTGCCCGAAAGAAGGGAAAGGGACGCAGAACGCAAGCGCCGAGCCGATGACAAACGCAAGCAGGCGCTCGCCGAACTGGATGGAGACAGTGAGACATCTGGTCCCGATGACGACGACGACGAGGGCAGAGACGATCCTGGGCAGAGTGACGACTCGCAAGGTCCTCGACGAGGATCTGAGTCAGTACCTCGTCGGCAGAAGAGACGAACTTCGTCCTCTGCTGTCGACCGCCCCTCCTCGTCAAAGAAGGCCAAACGTCACCGTCAAGCTGCCTCGAGTGAGGAAAGCGATGCTGAGGGTGAGGGCTCCACCTCGAACCGTCGTGTTTCTCGTGTCTCTCCCGCCTTTGAAAGAGGTGCCAGTCCAACGCCTGCGCAACCTTGGCAAGTGTCCCAAGAGGTCCCGGCGGCCGAAGAACCGTCTCGGCCGCCGCCGCTTCCAAAGGTGGCAGAAATGCCAAAGCAAAAGCTCTCGTTGGCCGACTACAAGAAGCGCTTGGCAGAGCGCCGTACCTCGGCCAACACTGCCGGCAACAGTGGGCCTCTGACGCCTGCCACGCCATTGACGCCTTCTGTGACCACGCCTGCCTCGCCCGACAAGCCCATTTTCGATCGCACCCCTGTGTCCACGCCAACGACGAACCCGATGGGCTTCCACTTCCCGTCGTCTGCTAGCACTCCGCCAGTGCCCCCTGTTCCCCAACCTCAAGAGCCTCCCCTTCCTCAATCACGTCAGCAGCAGCAAAGCGACGCGTCCTCCTTCGTGCCGCCTCCGCCTCCTGCCCCCGTCCTTGCGGTCAATGTGCCTCGCTCCTCATCGACTAATGACACCGAGGCATCGACGCTCCCTCAAGCGTCCTCTATCGGGCAGGAAAACACACCAAGTGAAGAGCGCTCCATGTGGCCTCCGCGCCCTTCGCAATCGCAGCTCAACAGATCTTCTACTACCTCTGCCGAGCCTCCAAGCCCGCGCGCTTTTGGATTTTCTCCGGTCCGCTCCACCTCTGGCCAAGCCAGTACAGTTGGCGGTCCTGCTGTTCCTCGCAGCTTTGCATCGCGAGCCCAGTCGCCGCCCGCACCTCAAGGTTTCAATCCACCTCGAGGCCCAAAGGCACTTGTCAGCAGCAGCACCGGTGCGTTCACCTCAACGTCGGCCACTTCGCCACCGATGAATGCGGTTGCGGGCACTAGTGCGACATACCAGCCGAGCGCTCGAGCCGTGCCGCCTCCTGCACCGGCCGGTGGATCTCAAGACGTCGTTTTGAATCGACATCGTCGACCATCGAGCAGCCTTTCCGCTGGCAGCGCAACCTCTCCCCCGTTCGAAGGTGGCGCGTCTGCGGTTGCTGGCCTCACGCCAGTGCCTGCTTCGTTCTCAGAGTCTTTGACCCCTGGAGAGACGGGCGATGCCACGGCAGGTGAACGACGAGACTCTCAAGAAGCGACGCCTGGAGTGCAGCCGCCGTCCAACCTGGCAGTGCCCTCTCCACCGAAAGTGACGTCGACATTGGGATCGGGAAAGGCGGTCAACAACCTCAATGACTTTGCCAATGTGCCCAAAGGTCCAGCGAGGATGCGCGAACGGGAACGCGAGAGGGAGCGCGAGCGCGAAAGAGAACGGGAGAGAGAACGGGAGCGGGACCGTGAGAGAGATCGCGAGTTGTCCAGCGGCAGGGATAGGGAAGAGAGGGACCGAGAGCGAGAAACCGAGCGAGACAGAGAGCGGCTCAGAGAGCGGGAAAAGGAGAGGGAGAGGGACCGAGAAAGGGAGCGAGAGAGGATGCGAGAGAGGGAAGCGCTGCGCGAAAGCATACGTGAGAGAGACAGGGAAAGGGAAGCAGCGATGCAGCAACAACAACAGCAGCAGCAGCACGACCGAGGCAAAGATCGAGATTGGAGAGATCGAGCGCGGGATCGCGAAGGAAGAAGGGTCGAAGACGAAGGATTCGGTCCAGCACCACCGCCGTTTGCGCACGGCAATTTCTCAGGCATGCCGCCGATGGGCATGGGCCCCGGCCCCGGTCCTGGCCCACCCCTGCATGGAGGAGGTCCAGCGGCGCTGCAGCCTCCGCCTTTTGCGATGGGACCACCTCCGCCAGGATCAACTCCCCTCATGGGCGGGCCAGGCGGCTTCCCACCAAGGGGCAGAGGAGGTTTCGGAGGGCCAAGAGGCGGTGGCGGAGGCTGGGGTGGCCGCGCCAGGACCCGTGGAAGAGCGAGTCGAGGAATGGGCTGGCGATGATACCATCTGTACACTACACTGCTACTACTATCATTTTCCCTGCAGACAAGCTATCATCTGTTGTATCGGACGAGAGAATGTGAGAAGAAAGCCAATTTCGTCGAGCACGTGGCAGAAAGAAGTCTAAAAAGATCAGAGTAAAAGGTGCACGTTTCTCGGCTAAGGAATTCAACTTATTTCAACGCCCAGTAAAGTTCTCAACTTCTTCTCACCACCTCACCAATTCTACTACTCTCTTTGATCCCTCGAAAATGTCCAACAACTACAAGGTGGGTTTTCGTTCTAGCCTTGAGGCAAGCTGGTATGCACCCTGCTGAAGTTGCTGTGATGTCATTCAGGTCGCCGACATCTCGCTTGCCGCCTTCGGCCGCAAGGAGATTGAGATTGCCGAGGGTGAGATGCCCGGTCTCGTCGCCCTCCGGACCAAGTACGGCAACGAGAAGCCCCTCGCTGGAGCGCGTATCGCCGGATGCCTGCACATGACGATCCAGACGGCCGTCCTCATTGAGACGCTCGTTGCTCTCGGTGCCCAGGTCACCTGGTCCTCGTGCAACATCTACTCGACCCAGGACCACGCCGCTGCTGCCATTGCCGCCACTGGCGTCCCCGTCTACGCCTGGAAGGGCGAGACCGAGGAGGAGTACAACTGGTGCATCGAGCAGACGCTCAAGGCTTTCCCTGGCGGCGAGCCCCTCAACATGATCCTCGACGACGGTGGCGACCTCACCTGGCTCGTCCACCAGAAGCACCCCGAGCTGCTCGCCGGCATCAAGGGTGTCTCGGAGGAGACGACGACGGGTGTTCACCACCTCTACACGGCCATGAAGCGCGGCACGCTCAAGATGCCCGCCATCAACGTCAACGACTCGGTGACCAAGAGCAAGTTCGACAACTACTACGGCTGCCGCGAGTCGCTCGTCGACGGCATCAAGCGTGCCACCGACGTCATGCTCGGCGGCAAGATTGCCGTCGTTGCTGGCTTCGGTGACGTCGGCAAGGGCTGCGCCGAGTCGCTCCGTGGATACGGCGCCCGCGTCATTATCACCGAGGTCGACCCCATCAACGCCCTTCAGGCCGCCATGGCCGGCTACGAGGTGGACCTGATGGACGACGTGGCCCACAAGGCCAACATCTTCGTCACCACCACCGGCTGCCGCGACATTGTCACCGCTAAGCACTTCGAGGCCATGAAGGAGGACGCCATCGTGTGCAACATTGGCCACTTCGACATTGAGATTGACGTCGCCTGGCTCAACAAGAACGCCAAGGAGAAGGTCGAGGTCAAGCCCCAGGTGGACCGCTACACCATGGCCAACGGCCGCCACATCATCCTCCTCGCTGCCGGCCGTCTTGTCAACCTGGGCTGTGCTTCGGGACACCCCTCGATGATCATGTCGTTCTCCTTCTGCAACCAGACGCTGGCCCAGATTGAGCTCTGGAAGCACAACGATGGTCAGCAGAAGTACCAGACTGGCAAGGTCTACATGCTGCCCAAGTCTGCCGACGAGGAGGTCGCCCGCCTTCACCTCGACAAGGTCGCTGTCAAGCTGACGAAGCTGACCAAGGTCCAGGCCGACTACCTCGACCTCAACGCCGACGGCCCTTACAAGTCGGAGCACTACCGCTACTAAGCGTCGCTCCCGCTGCTCAAGCCCTTTCAACACTGGGCTGATTCCCGTCTAGACATCTGCATTCTCTTTCTCGTCCTGCCTTGAACACCACCAAAAAAAAAACAGTTGTGTCTCCTTTCTCTCTCGCTCTATCCATTGTATCACTAGCTTTCTCAACAAAGCCGTCAATTTGATTCAACCCAAAATCAATTCAGTCTGCGAACCCGTGTCGGCGTGAGTTTCGGTGGAGTTTGGACTTTTCCTCCTCTACCGCATCGTGGCCCGCGGAGACCGACGTCGCGTGAGGGGCGCGCACGCATGGGTGTGCAAATGAAGAAAGTCGATAGCCGAGTTCTCCATCTCTCTTTTCCTTCTTCATGGTCTTGCTCCTTCGGCGGCCTCTACTTTTCCATCTCCGACTACAAGCTGCCGCTGCGAGGCCCTCGACTGCCTCTTCTCTCTCCACCATAGCGCTTGCACGCACCTCGGTCCAGTCGGCCTTGCGCGCCAGGCTCGGCGATCAAAGCGTTATCGCCCGCCCGTTTAGCAGAAGCAGCCTTCACAACCACAACCATCATCATCACCACCAGAGCGACAAGATGGGTGCCGTCAGTCAGGGCAAGGTTGACACCACCCAGCGGGTGGCTACCCTCCGAGACTTGATGGACAAGCACGGCCTCGAAGCGTACGTCGTGCCCTCGGAGGATGCCCATGCGAGTGAATACCCCGCCGAGTCGGACCTTCGGCGAGGCTACATCAGCGGCTTTTCCGGCTCGGCCGGCTGCGCCGTCGTGGGCAAGAAGGAGGCGGCTCTTTTCACCGACGGACGATATTTCTTGCAGGCCGGCCAGCAGCTCCAGCCAGACGTCTGGAAGCTCATGAAGCAGGGCGAGGCCAACGTGCCGACCTGGCAGGAGTACCTCTCGAAGAACGTCGGACCAAAGTCAAAGATTGGCATGGACCCGACGCTGATCAGCGCAGAAGATGCGCGGTCCATCTCGGCAGACTTGGAGTCTGTCGGCTCTGAGCTTGTCGGTGTCGAGGAGAACCTCGTCGATCAGGTGTGGGGGAGCCAGCGCCCAAAACGACCCAGTGAGACAATCTTTGTCCTCGACGAAGCCATTGCAGGCAGGTCAGCCGCCGATAAGATCCAGGACGTGCGCAACGAAATCAAGGGCAAGGGCTCCCACCTCAAGGGCTACGTCGCCAACATGCTCGACGAGGTTGCCTGGCTCTTCAACCTTCGAGGCTCCGACGTGCCTTACAATCCCGTCTTTTTCGCCTACACCATCGTCCTCCTTGACAAGGTGCTCTTGTATGTCGATGCGACTGGACAGATGGACCAGAAGACGAGGGACTATGTCACATCAACGGGCGCCGAGATTCGGCCGTACGAAAACTTCTACTCCGATCTCAAAGCTATCGGTAATGAGGTGCTGGGACAAGACGACAAGGTGCTGATCGGCAAGAAGGCCTCCTTGGCCGTCCAAGAGGCCCTCGGTGGCGCATCAAAGGTCTTGATCGATCGATCGATCATTGTGGACCAGAAGAGCATCAAGAACAAGGTCGAGATCCAGGGCTTCCGTGACTCTCACATTCGAGACGGCGCAGCCTTGGCCAGCTTCTTTGCCTGGCTCGAGGAGCAGCTCGTTAGTGGCCAGAAGATCTCCGAGTCGCGAGCAGCAGATGAGCTGGAGAACTGCAGAAAGAAGCAAGACAAGTTCAGGGGCCCCAGCTTCACCACCATTTCGAGCACCGGCTCCAATGGCGCCATCATCCACTACTCGCCGAACCCGGCCGACTGTCCCGACATTGACCCCAAGCAGCTCTACCTCTGGTGAGTCACTCTTTCTCTCTTCGCAAGGAGATCTCTCAAAGCCAACCACTAACGCTGGCGATCGACAGCGACTCGGGCGCTCAGTTCACCGACGGCACGACGGATGTGACGCGGACGTGGCACTATGGAAAGCCGAAGGACGAAGAGATTCGCGCTTTCACCAGGGTACTCCAGGGTCACATTGCCATTGACCGAGCTGTGTTCCCGCAAGGAACAACGGGCTACCTGCTCGACCCTCTCGCCCGTCGACCCCTGTGGCAGGACGGTCTTGATTTCCGACATGGAACTGGACACGGCGTTGGCCACTTCCTCAACGTTCACGAGGGCCCTCAGGGCATTGGAACGCGAGCCGTCTTCAACGAGACATCGCTCAAGGAGGGCATGATCCTGTCCAACGAGCCAGGCTTCTACAAGGACGGTTCCTGGGGTATTCGGATCGAAAACCTCGTCGTGGTCAAGAAGGCGGAGACGAGGAACAACTTTGGCAACAAGGGCTACCTCGGCTTCGAGCATTTGACCCTCTGCCCTTACCAGATCAACCTGATCGACCAGAGCCTCCTCTATCAGGACGAGCGGGATTGGATCAACGCCTACCACGACGAGACGTACGAAAAGGTGGCGCCGTTGCTCGAGAAGATGGGTGACCGCAGAGGACTCGACTGGTTGAAGAGGCATTGCAGCGCGCGGGTGTAGTCAGGTCAGAGGATTCCTTTGTAAGTTTAACCGTTTCCCTTTTTCAAGAACGAGAGCATCAGCACCTGGTTTGCCCTTCGTGATCCTGGTTTGTGCGGCTGCGAGTCGTCATGGTAGTAAGGCTTTTCATCTCAGTAGAATCCTCTTTTTCCGGCCCACTCAAATAGAGTCTACTCAGCGCTTCTTCCACGCAAGAGTACGACGGGACAACTTGGGCTAGATTGATAAAATATTGTCGGGCAGCATAACTATCCACAACGGGCTTCTTGTGCCCGTCGAGGCTGAAGCGCTCGAGACATCCATCACTCCTATCACCTTTCTTGTACAATACCTTCTGAATGAATCAATTACTTCCGGTGTCTGTCACTGCGCGAAGAAGAATTTGGAGGCATGGAGGACAGCAAGCGGTCCTCAAGAACCCTCAGACGACCAGAGCAGCGGACCGACAAGAGTTTTACACATGTGAAATGCTCGATCGAATGCCGACTAAAAGTACAAGAGAAAAAATGAGAAATGGTCCATCATCGTCTAGCGCCCTTGCGATTCGCCCCAACCTTGGGCGCTCGCTGCTTGCGCTTCTCGCGCTGTAGCTCCTGCATCTTCTGCGCCTTCTCGCGGTTCTTGCCCTTGACGTTGACCTTGTCGTAGAAGTTCTCCGCCTTACGTTTGTTCGTCTTCATGCGCTCCGCCTTCTTTGGCTTCGCCGTCTCCTCTTCAACTTCTTCTTCCTCGGCCTTGCTGGCGGCTGTCGCGTCGCCAGAGCCAGGCGACGAGGCGCCCTTGAAAACGTCCTCCCACGCCAGGTCCTCCAGCTCGTCATTGTCATCGTCATCGCCATCATCGTCATCATCGTCGTCTTCGCTGTTGTCGTCTTCACTTCCTTCGGAGAACTCGGGCTCCTCTTCCACGTCGACATCGTCAGCCTTGGCGGCCGCATCGAAGTCCTCGGGTACACCACCGTCAACGTCTTCTCGGGTGAACTTGTTGACAACGGCAATCTGTCGCAGTGGCTGTTCCACGCCCTTGACCCTCTTCTTTCGCACGACCGTGTCCAAGGCCGAGGTGTCATCCACCTCTCCTTCGGCCACAGCCTTGCCCTTGCCCTTGACGTCTTTGGCTTTGGTATCTTGACCTTGAGCTGCAACCTCGGGCAGAGGAGGAGCAACGAAGTAGGGAATTTTGCCGCGGACCCAATCATTGAGAACCATCTTGGCGCACGTTTCATAGTCCGGCTCGCCGCCCTTGAGAAGCTTGCCCATGCGTCTGGCCAGCTGGCCGAGGAAGTCCTGGCTGTCGGTCCACAATTTGACCTCGTACGTCTGCTTGAGGTATTCGGGCTTGACTCGCGACATGAGGGCGGGTATATGCTCGGCAGGTGTCTCGAGATTCTCGACACGGACCACGCCCTTGAGCACGGTGCCTGTCTCGGAGTCGTTGGCACCGACGGGAACGATGCCGGGGCAGTCAACGAGGTAGATGCGCCGCATCAGGGTAATGTACTGCCACACTTTCGTCTCGCCGGGAATGGGCGCAACGTTGCACACCTTTTTCTTCTTGAGCGTGTTGATGATCGAAGACTTGCCCGTGTTGGGATAGCCAATGAAGCCGACCGAAATTTGCTTCTTGTCAGAGTGGAGAACAGAGAATTGGCGCAGCAGCTGGATCAGCGAACCCTTTCCGAAAGAGTTGTTGATCGATGCGTGGAAGGCCAATGTTGGGTACTCCTTGGAAAGAATCTTCACCCAGCGTGCCTGCAGCGCGAAAAAGACATGGGTCAGCCTAAATCGTCTGATAAAGAAGCGATGTCCCTCCCAGAACTACGAGGGTGGAAATTGGCAAAGATGCAATCCTTGTTCCACTCTCAACTCTTCCAAAAGTCCGACGCCAAAGGTCAACCCTCCCAGACCAACTGCCCCTCAATGGCGGGAGAAGGGCGAGAAGGTGGGTCTATTTGTTTTCCCTCCCGAAGAAGCAAAATCAAATTGACGATGAGGGCGACAAGCAATGGCGCCGTCGATCTTCCACGTTCGTAACAGTCCCGCCTCACGGTAGCAACAAGAGGCGGGCCTTGACAAGAATGTGGGGCCTATCACGAAGAAAGTGGAAGTTACAAAACTCACCGTGACCCAAGTTGGAACAAGGTCGACCTTGTTGAGGAGAAAGACTAAATGCTTGTGAGGTTTCTCGTCCCGAATGTGCTTTTCGACGCTCCTGCACCTTGTCCCCAGAGGGTCGCGAACGTCGAGGACGTGGATGACGACGTCGGAAGAGTCGATGACTTTGTACAGCTCACCCCAAATTCGTCGAGACTGGCCCTTGCTGTAGATCGGCTCACTACGACCTCTTGTGACTGGCATGGAGTAGATTTCATCCTGCAGCGAAGGCACGACGTCGTAGGCACTCGCCGACGATAGGTCGTTGGGGTCCCGCGCTCCAATTTCCGAGTCGGCGGAAACAAGACCGATCCCTGCAGCCCTCTCTGCAGCTGCTCTTTGCTTGTCTTCGGCAGCCTTTCCTGCCATCTCGCTGCTTTCGGCAAGCTCGGCAAAGCTTCCCATTGCCCCGTCCAGTCTTGGACGCTTGCGCTGGGCACCGGGCCCAAAGGTCTGGGAGAAGGGCTCGACCGTCGTGAGATCGGGTGACTTGCCCGTCTTTGCGTCTTGAATAAGCGACATAGGAAGCTTGTTTCTCCTCATGAGGACCGAGTAAGGGTCATTGACCTTGGAGCCGAGCGAGGTTCGAAAGTGGTCAAGAGCGTCCTGGGAGATGACACGTGTGTTGCCAAACCACCGCCGATCAGGCTGTACACGGCCGGGCTTGGCCTCGCTGCTTTGGAACTCGGCATTCTGGATGATGTTTCCGTCCTTGTCACGAATGGCCTTGCTGGCAATGCCGTTCTTTGCCAGGAGCTTGACCCTTTTGGCCTGCTTGGCATCTCGATAGAAGTTCTCGCCCCTGCAACACAGGAATCTTGTCAGACAGGCTGCTTCAGGCTGAATAAAGAACAAGCCCAATACACTCACTTGACGAACTTGATGCCCTTTCCGCCTCTCGAGGAGGTCGCCTTCTTGTCAGAACCGCCCTTGACCTTGAGACCCATCTTGATCTCGCAGCCTTTCTTTGCGGTCTGAAGAGGAAGAAGAAGAAGGCGTTCTCGGAAAGGAGGCAAAAAATTTCTAGGTGAAATCACGTGTTTATTTTCACGTGCCTGCCGGCCTCTGCTCCACACAACCCAGTTATCACCGCCTCGTCGGAATGGTCTTTGTCTTCATCCGCTCGCGCACTACTCCCCGGCTGCCGTGGCAACAATATGACATCTCTGGCGACGGGAGCTGCCAAAAAGCTCATAGAGCGGCATGCGAAGCAGTACGAACCTCAGGATCCTTTCTACGAGTTCTACACCAACAAGAACGGCAAGAAGAAGCGAAGGAAGCGTCCACCGCCACCCGGCCTGACGAAGAAGGAGGCGCAGCTGTTGCGAAAGGTCGCCAGGAGGGCTCACTACCTCGATAAGGGATTCTCCATCTGCGGCTTGCGATTTGGGTGGACTGCCATCATCGGCCTCATCCCCGGCGTCGGCGATGCCACGGACGCAGCCCTCAACTGGTTCCTTGTTGTTAAGCCAGCTCGAGACGGCGGCGAGCTTCCATCCTGGCTGGTGCGAAAAATGGTCTTCAACAACGCCGTCAGTGCTGGTGTGGGTCTCGTTCCCATCGCTGGCGACATCATGTTGGCTGTCTGGAAGGCCAATTCGAGAAACGTGAATCTGCTCGAAGAATATTTTCGCGTCCTCGGCGAGGAGCACATTGCCGCTGGAATGCAAGGTCTCACACCTGCACCACCGCCGCTTCCCGGACAAGAGCCTCAGGCGCACACTGAGTCATCGAGAGAAGCGCCCATTTCGGCGGCGAGGGAATCTTCGGAGGACGACGAGGATGCTCCCCAACTCAAAGCCCACCCGGCCCAACCGGCCGTTCAGAAGCTCGTCAAGGACCACTCGGCCACCAACGTGACCGCCTGAACAGCATCTCGTCTCCTTTGCTCTCTTTCTTTTTTGCTTGCTATCCTGTAGACGTTTGAATCAACGCGCGCACAAGTCATAAAACAAAGTCTCTTGTTACTAAAAATAGAATACCACGAGTCTCACACAAACGTCCAGCGCCTTCTTTGCATCGTTCCGTTTGTAGCGTGGGCGACGCCGCACTTGAGCTCGGGGCGCATCGTGGGCGTTCCTTCGATCGTCGAGAAGAATGCCACTGAAGACTCCGGAGGCTTGGTGTAGGATTTGCGAGAAATCTGACGTCAGCACTCGTCGCGAAATGGCGCGACAGTGATCAGCGTGGAGACGTTGTTTTGTCTGCTTCCCTCTTTTCCCGCGTGGCAAGATACCTGGTCCGTGCATATCATTTTAGAGCTCGCTGCATCTGACTTTCCACCCAGAGGCCAACGGCGGCGTCGAGAGGACGAGAAGGTCTCGAGGCGGTATCGCCGCTCTTGACATCTGTCGGAAGGTAGATGAGGGAATGAGAAAACAGCGGGGATGACATTGATGAGGGTAAACTCAACTCAGAAGCGATCACTGTCACGCAGAGCACGTCGGGGCGTACGAAAGCCCGACCAGCTCCGCCTGGTACGCGGCATCTTTCTCGTCGCCTTTTCCTGTATCTCTCTCTCTCTCCAGACTCTCATTGACTTCTCTCCTCTGTCAATTTTCAAAACATGCTTGCCCTGCGAATGATGCCGTTTGGAACCTGCACAAGTTCATGACAGACTGTAGATGGTCATTAAATGGCGTTGCTGGGGACACAGAGCCCGAATTTTGTTTTGGCCTGCTTGAATTTTTTTTTTGGGCCTGGAGGCGCGTCTTTTTGGATTAAGGCAGGGCCTATCTGGAGGCCAATCGACCCCCTTCCCCCCCTCGCTCCCATCTCCATCTTGGCTTTCAATCTCCATCACCACATCAACACTAGCAAGAGACCCTAACAGGACCTCCCACCCACCCACAAACAACAACAATGTCTGCCGCCAAGCCCGCATCGAAGAAGGCCAGCGCCAAGGGATCGTCTGGCATCAGCTATGAGGTGCGTTGCCGCTCCAAATGCGCTCGGAAGGGGAGGGGGGTGTGGGTCCCTGTTGACGGATTTCGGTTCGGGGCTCGGTTGCAAGAAAGTCAACTGGACATGGCATGCTTCTGACCGCCCCATGTTATGGATGGGGTACCAGGCTATGCCAGTGGACCGCTTTCTCGGCGCTGCAAGCCCCGTGCCGTCGTCGTCGCCATCAAAACGCGTTTCGCGATTTTTTTGAGACGGCGTTCTGGTGGGGTCGATTTACTTTGCTCTGGGTTGGCCCCGTCACGCAAGCATTCTACATGCCTATGCACCTGGGCATTAGTTGCGGTGCATTCTCCCCTTCGATACGTCAATTGGTGCAACCTCAAGGGACGCTTGCCCTGATGGTTGTTGCCCGTTTCGCGTCGCGACTGTCAACAGGGATGGGGAGAATGTGGCGAGGTCGTCTCAGGCGACGCGCCCGCGCGAGTTTGCGTTTCCGGACCAAGCCCCCTTGAAGCTTTTATGTTTCCTCCTCATCGCTACCATGGCTAGACACTGACCGTGACACTTTTCTCCTATTTCCTTCCCATCATCGTTATCGCCTGTCGCTATCGCCACGTCGACAAATCGCGTCAACAATTTCCTTTCTTATTTAAATTACTCGTCGGGATCGCCTCAAAACCAAAACAGGCCATGATCAAGGAGGCCATCCTTGCCCACCCCGAGGAGAAGACTGGTCTCGGCAGGCCCACGATCAAGAAGTACATCCACCAGAAGCACCCCGAGACGAGCAAGATGCCCGAGGCTGCCTTCAACAACCACGTCTCCAAGGCCATTACGCGTGGCCACGAGAAGAAGACGTTTGTCCTGCCAAAGGGCATCAGCGGCAGGGTCAAGCTGGCCCCCGACGCGAAGAAGGCTGCCGTCAAGAAGCCCGCCGTCAAGAAGGCTGCTGCTACCAAGACGGCCAAGCCCGCTGCTGCCAAGAAGGCTACGACGACCAAGAAGACGGCCACCAAGAAGGTTAGTCATCCAGCTTCACCGTGACAAATTTTCAATAGTTCTTCTTCATTGACCCCTATCGTCCCCCCTCTTTAGGCCGCTCCCAAGAAGAAGACGACGTCGAGCACCGCGGCCAAGGCTAAGAAGCCAGCTGCCAAGAAGACGGCAACGACCAAGAAGGTAGGTTGCAGTTTGACGCGTGCCATGGTCGATGAGTTCAGCCGTTTGACTTTTGAGGCGGCTGTCTCTTACCATTCTCCTTTCCCCCACTCCTTTCTGCGCATGTAGCTGACTTCAAGGCCTGCATTGGCACCCATCGCACAGGCGGCACCCAAGAAGAAGGCAGCCCCCAAGAAGGCATAAATGCGACGTCCTGCGTCTACATTTGGGCTTTCTCTTCTCTTCTTTCCATGTACAAACATGTACCGCTCGACACACACCTCTACCCTATGGTCAAGATTCTCCTCGTCTTTCGCCGCTCTCTCCTCTATTGCACCGCCGCCGGTGTCACCCTCCGCAATCCAGTGGAGGGTGAAATTTCCCTCGCGCCGATCTGCTCTAAGGGGGAGTCGGTTATATTCTACCCGATTTTTGCATAGGCTTCCCATGAACACCATCCACCTCTAGCTCCTTTGTTCCGTCCTCCTACTCCTTCTTTCCAGTGGTGGCGCCACACACACAACTTGTATTACCAAATTTTAACCTTTGCTTCTCTCCAACATTTGTGATTTGGGTTTGGTAGCTCCGACTCCTACGGATGAAGGAAGCGCTGCAGAAATGATGGCGGAGTTGAAAACGAGGCCAACTTTGAACATTTCGACGCGCGTGGGCCACGCGCGCGGCCGGCCTCTGTTGCTCTCCACTACTACTACTACTATCACAAGCTAGGTAGCGAGGAATTGACAATATCTAGCCATGTCAACGGTCTCCTCTTCGCAGCAGACGTCTTCTCCCGCTAGGCCAAAGGCGCTACTGCGTCGATTGACGAGCAGCAACAAGCATGCAAAGTCTTCTTCCTCTTCGTCGACATTCTCCTCTTCGAGGTGAGTCGCTTCTCGCCGTCGTTTCGATGCGAGAAGAAAGGAAGCTGATTAGAGAGCGAGGCATTGCCCATCGTGCGCCCTGCCGCTCAGCCACTCGTCCGCGGCACCCGCTGTCACCTACCGCGCACCTCCCACCAAGTCCACCACTGCAACGACGGCGGCGGCGGCGCCCAGTGCAAATGGCCCAGACCTGTCGAACCTGCCGCTGCCGCTGCCGACGCTCGTCGTCGGCTCCGCCCTCGTCTTTGTTTTCGCCCTCGTCTCGCGGGCTTTCTATACCTTCTCGACGAGCTTGCTTCGCGCCATCGTCCTCGTACTGACGCTCGCCATCGGCGTCGTCCTGCTGGGTGGGTGGGAGAAGCGCGCCAAGCCTGCTGGCTCAGGTGCGTCCCAAGGCCGAGGAGTACCTACTCAGGGATGGGGAGCGGCAGGGCCAGGCGCAGGAGCAGGAGCAGCACCACCGCCACTGGCACCACCGCCACTGATCAACGGCAACCTCGTCTCGCCCTATTCGTACGCTTCGCGGCGCGCTTACTCTTCTTATTGACGGGGACCATTGTCTCAAAAAGAGAGAGAGAGAGAGAGAGATCTCACAACAAGCAAATCTTCCACAGAAATGTACCAGTAACAAAAATTGTAATAATATACATGTGCTGACAGACCTGGCGACTGGCAATGGACCCCTGGCAAATTCTCGCTCACCTCTTTGACGCTCCCAGCCAGCTCTTCAGCCTCTCCAGGGGTGGTGGCGGCGATGAAGAGTCATGGCGGGCAGGGTCCTCGACGCTATCTTCTTCGACAAGCGTGCCTGGCTCAGTGACCCTCTTCCACGAATGGCGAGGAACGACGCCAAGGAGCTCGACCATTTCCCGAACGTACAGCCTGCGCCCTCGGAACAAGACGTGTGCGGTCCAACCCAGACGAGCACCAAAGGAGTCATCGCGGCTGAGTTTGGACTCGACCGAGGCTCGCTCTTCGGTCGTGACCCAGCCGTCTCCCACTTTGCCACGGCTTGAGGCGACCTTGGACCGCAGCCGGTCACCCTCGTTGCTGGCCAGCGACTCGAGCATCTCCGCATACTCGTTTGCCGCACGCTGAGAGAAGCTGAGCGACTGCGACTGCGACTGCGACTGCGACTGGGCGTGCGTTGTGGCCCACTTGTCGAGCTGATTGGCGAGGACGAGCATCTCCTTGACAGGTTTGGCCACACCTAGCAGCACCTCGTTCCCGTGACCCTGCCTTCCGTGACGAGCTCCCTCGAACAGATGCAAGGTCAGACCTGCGCCCACGACACCGGCGCTTCTCCGCGTCTCGTATGGCCTTGTAAGGGAGCGGATCAGACCGGACAGCAAGGCCTCCTCACGCGCTGCCAACATGGCGGACGTGGAGGTAGCTTGGCCCTCCTCGAGCGGGTTGCTGAGGTTGAAGGTGGGACCGCCCGCACCTATGCCGCCTCCGTAGCTCTGCGGTGTCTGTGCCATGCGCTTCGGGTGCATCGAAGCGTTGCGGGACTGGTGGATCCGAGGCTGAGACATGAGCACATCAGATTCGAGGCGAGAGACAATCTTGTCGAGGTGGTAGTCGCAGCTTGCGCCCAGCTCTGAAGCCGTCGTCGAGATAGTCTCCAGGGCGACGGCATGCATTGCTGACGAGAGCGAGTTGGCACTTGTCTCCCGCTCTCCGATGGTAAGGGACGCGACATTCGGCAAAGGCGGTAGTTTGCTCGAGTCCCCGAGGGAGAGTGCCTCCTTCACGTAAGCTTCGTTGGCTGTGCGACGCCGAGGCGACATGGCTTTGCCGAAGAGGGGAGTGAGAAGGTGGGCAGCCAGGGCATGGGAATAGCAGCGAGGCAGCGGAATGCCAGACTCGACGTCATGTTCGAGTCCACTACATGCTTGTCAGCCTACAGTGCAGATAGGCGGAGATCCCATACAATTCCAGTTTAAAAGAGGCACTCACCAGAAGACGAATGTCTCATCTTGACACCATGTCTCGAGATCAGCGATCAGCTGGGCGCCGGCGAGAGTGTCCAATTCGACCAGCGTGGAAGTGCCGCACTGCTTGCAACCTCTTCGCCAGCCAGGTTGGGCCAGGCCTCTTTGCGACCGCCTTAGCGACGCCACTGCCACGTCCTGAATCGAGGGCGAGACGATGTCGATGGGCGCCTGAAAGGAGCATCCTGGTTGCGGGCAGGCGATGATAAGGGCCTTTGGCAGTCGGTCATCAGAGTGAAACACGGATGTTGGCAGCGATGATGAGCAGGTAGAAAAGGCAGAGGTGGTAGAGATTGCATCTGTAGCGTAAAAGGGAGTGCCAGTCAAGCGTTCCCAGTTCGACTCCGCCACCAGTCCCTCCTCGATGCCTGTCCCATTACGCAGCCGACAAGTTGTGGTGTCGAAGTGTGTTGCGACAAGACTCAAGGGAAAGACCCAGTCGTCCAGCGCATTCATGCGGGACCCGTTCGAAAGGCTCTCTCCTGGTTCCAATGACCAAGCCACCTGTCCGATCGTAGCAGCCCAAGCGATGCAGACATCCAATGGAGGGAGGTACGAAGCAGGTAGCACCCGCGCTGAGCTGGTGTCCTTGTCGTCAGGCGCCGGCACATCGGCGACAGCACGTTCGGTCACCTCGGGAAGGACGCGGTGTACAAAGAGCTGAAGGCGGATCACGGCCTGATAGAGGTAGGCGTGCCAGATGTGGTCCTTGCGTCGCGAGACAGAGAGTGGGCCCTGGGGATCGATGGATGAGTGCGGTGGCGGCGCCTCTTCTACCTCATCGTACGCCGGCGGCCCTTCGTCTGGATCAAAGTCACTCCCGTCTGCGTCATCTGACGACGACCGGTCACGCCCATATTGCTGCTGGTGGTGCTTGGGGTATTGATGGGTTTGACAATCCTGGCGCGGAGACAGTACGCGGCGACGAAGCTTGGCGCAGAGGAGGAGCAGGCAGGCCAGTTCTGCCAGGTCCTTGGAGCCTGGGAGGGCAGCCTCCTGCAGCAGCGCGCGTCCGCGCTGCGCCGGCGACTGGATCTGATGCTGGAGCGATTGCTGGGCGCGGCTGAGCTTCCGACGAAGCGAGCTGGCGGACCTCGTCATGATGTGGCTCGACTCGGCTTCGCCATTAGTCGCCGCTCCTCGCATGCCTGTCGGTGGCTTGTCGTGAGGCACTTTTTCCCAATAGAAGTGTAATTTCAGTGGAGGAGAGAGACACTGTAACAGTCTGGCGCCTCCTACTTTCGCTATTTCAATAAAGATCGTCTGCATCTCATCCTTTTGGCACGCTCCCCCACCCCTCTTAGCTATCGTCACCCGTGCACGCGCAGGCAACATGTCGTTCAACGACTTGGAAAGGGGAAACTCGCCTCCACCGTCGGCGGGCCTGCAAGGTCAGTCGCACCTCTCCAATCCGTCTTCCTCGCAACGCTCCTCGCGGGGTTCCAGCAGGGGGCCCCTGCCCCTATACCATGCCCCGCCGTCCTCCAAGCGACCAATGGCTGACCCACCGAGCGATGCAGAATTCAAGAAGCTGGCCGACCGCATTGGCATCCAGCTCTTCAAGCTGCAGTCCAACGTCGCAGGCATCGAAAAGCTCGTCGACCTGCAGGAAAAGGCCCTCAGGACCAGCAGCGACGACACAAAGGCCAGTCGCGACTGGACCAAGCAAGTGTGAGAAACCTGCTTGCCCTCCTCTGATGAATCTTTCAAATGATCGGGAATGGCAGACTGACCAGCCACAATCGCAGGCACGATCTGACGGAGACGACACGGGCTTTGGTCAAGGATCTCTCAACATCAATCAAGACGCTTTCGACGACCTACCCTCCATCCTCTTCGACGCTCAACTCAGCAGACAAATTCACTGCCTCGCGACTGCAACGCGACTTTGAGACAGCCCTCAATCGCTTTGCCCATGTACAGCGGCGTGGCGCAGAGGTGGGCAGGACCGCTCTGCAGGGCGCGAGGGAAGAGCGAGAGAGAAGAGCGAGGAGTGCCGCGGCCTCGTCTGACGAGAACCAAGTGTGGGTGCTCATCTCTTCTGGCAAGAGGTGCTTCAAGACGCCTGATAATCCTTCCCTACAGTGCGATCGATGAGGACAGATCAGCGGGTACACAAGAAGAGCAGCAACAACAACAACAGCACCTTCTGGAGAGACAACAGCAGGCAGACGCCGGTCCTTCCTTGGCCGAGATCGAATTTCAAGAGACGCTCATCGCCGAGCGGGAAGCCGAGATTCGAGAAATTGAAGGGGGCATTCACGAGCTTAACGAGATCTTCCGAGACCTGGGCCACATCGTCCAGGAGCAGGGCGGCATGATTGGTGCGTACCACGCAGAATTGCAAAGGAATAGCAAGCTGACGGCTGAGCTGCCCTCTAGACAACATCGAGTACAATGTCTCGACCATCGCTACCAACACGGGCGCAGCAGATCGCGAACTTGTCTCGGCCCACGAGTACCAGCGGAAGGCAGGGCGACGAGCTGCTTGCCTTCTCCTCATCGTCGGTTTCGTCATCGCTGTTGTCCTTCTGGCCGTGAGTGCTCTCTCTGACCTGAGTAGTCTACATGAGCCTGACGCGGAATCTACATCATCCACACAGGTGCTCAATTGATAAACTCCATCCCCTTTCTCGTGGCGGACATTGTATGGTATGATTGCTCTAATTGGAAATGGTTGCTATTTTACAGTAATGAAGGTATGGCGGCAAGCGCAAGGGTCGCAAATACAGTAGCAAGCGCAGTCGGCCTCCAGGAGGCGAGGGAACTGGAGCGTGAAGGGTAGAAATACTGGGAGTCTGGGTCTGCATCTCTGTGAAGTTTAAGGGAGGTCAACAACCACAAACGAAGTGAAGCGTCAGAACCGCATAGCTCACCCGACTCCCTGGGGCTCCTCTTCGCCCAAGACGTTTGTGTAAAACAGTCTTTCGATGCCGGCCTTGGACATGAACATGCCCAGCCCGTCGTGCGAGACATTCTTGATGTAGTCGACGGTGTGGATGTTTGCCGTGACAGCGGCGATGGAGTCGTCGTTGACAACATCAGCGAGATGGCGCATATAGTTGCGGCCTCTCTCCAGGTGCGTGAGGCCCTGCGTCACGGCCTCGCACCTCGTGTCGCCCTTGCCATGGTCGGCTGTCCCGAACAGGTAGTGCACGAGGCGCTGCTCCGAGTACCGTTTCCGAACGTCTGTCACGTCATTTTGCTGGTCGAGGCTCTCGCGCACAAAGTCGGACAGGTACCGCTGCTCGTAGACGCCCAGGCCGTACTTCCACTGGTCGTACGTCTCGGAGCAGTTTTCGACGCTGTTTGGCCGTGATGGCGTCAGGTAGGCAAAGGACCCAGGGTTTGCCACGACGAAATGGACGGGGAGGCGGCCGCTGGGTACGGCGCCCAACAGGGCATACCGCTGGGCCATTTGCGCACCCATCGAATGCCCTGCGACAATGATTGTCTCCATCTTGGGAAAGGTGTCCCGATCAGCAAAGTGGCGAATGACGCCGTCGATGGCTTCAAACGACGAGACATTGTCGGAAGCGCCAGATGGCAGGATGGAGTCTCCGCCGTTGGCCCACTCGCTGCCGGGCCACACCAGGGGACCCGCCGTCGAAGAGCCAGCATCGAGGTCCGTGTAGGCGCCCTCGTCGTCCTCGTTGAGGAACCAGGGCGCAAAGATGAGCGTCTCGTACCGCTTCAGCTTTGTGCGCTTCTTGGACTTGCTCTTGCTCGCCGTGTTTGTGCGTGTGGCATTGTACAGTGCCTCGGTCGTTTGGTCAAAGTAGAGCCAGGCATCACGGCCCTGCCCGTGGAGCTGTATCACGACTCGCTTGATCTTCTCGGGGTCAAAGTCTGTCGTCTGAAATGCAAACAGGCCCGCCGTCTCCTCATCCGAGTCGTCGTCCTGGGAACGAGCGGAGGAAGAGATCGGGATCGGGAGCGTCACGCGCGTTCGGTTTTTTGTGTCCTCCGGTACATCGGCGGAGTTGAAGCAGGCGGCGAATCGGAGCAAGCCGATGGCAATGACGATAGTGAAAAAGAGTGTGGGCGTCGGCATGACGATGTGTTGGCTGCGACGAGGCGCAAGGGAAGGAACCGGGGGGGTGAACACTGTGCGGTCAGAGATGAGAAGAGGGAAAAGGGAGGGAGGGGGAGGAGTTTTGGACAGGCGATTGGGGAGACAACGTTGGAGACAAATGCCAAGAAAAATTCGGCTCGTCGTGCAGGAGCACTCTACTGCTAAAAAGAAATCGCGATTTGCAACGCATACCCTTCCACGCAGTGGCAAAGGCCCGCCTGTCAAGGTGCTTCGCAAGATCCATCAGGGGTTCCTGTCAGAAAGAAAACCTTCTGTTGTAGTGCTCCGTGACTGTTCATTGCTTCTAACCTGCTTCTGTGGAGGGATGAGGTGCTCGAGAGAACGGTGGATATCAGGGTCTCGAACTTTAGTGTCCTTGATGGTACCGATGAAGTCCTGCGAACCAGACAGAGAGTGAAGACAGGTCAATGTGATTGATGGGAGAATCAGGTTGTAGTACGGTACTGGTGATCTGAATGTTGAGAATGAAAACAGTTGAGTGAGGATGTATCATGATGTAGCAGGCAAGGAAAGGGACGAGACGAGCGTCGACGTCCAGACAAGGGAGTGAGAAGAAGATTACGGAGTGATTGTCGCAAGGCAATGCAAGCGACCACTAAAATTTGCGAAGGGTCGTTGGCGCCATCCCATCAGCGATGCCCTTCTTCGGGACTTGGATGTAGAGCACGTTGCCGTCAAATTGTGCGCGTGTACCTCTGAGGTTGACGTCGGAGCCAAAGGTGACGCGCCTTTCGAAATGGCCGCCCTGTTCCTCGTCCCACTTGTCGGCCACGATAAGGAGCTGACGATGGTGCTGCGTGGCCAATGTGATTGCCTCAAGCTCGAAGCCGGGCAGCGTCGTCTTGAGCATGTAGTGATGAGGATACGTCTCAATGGACAGATCCGTGCTCGACGGCGCAGGCCGGGGATCCAAGAAGGGCAAGGACGGAGGCGAAAAGGGAGACACTTCGTAGTCTGAGCTCGACGAGGGCGCCATCTGAGATGCACTGCGCGTCAAGCCCTGAGCTGCGTGAGCCGGCGGCCTTGGAGGCTCGATTGACGAAGGCGACGTGGCCGAGTGAACCTGAGTCTGAGTCTGCGTCTGCGTCTGCGTCTGGCCCTGCGACACTGTAGTCGTTGTCGTCGTTGTCGTCAAGGTCGTGAAAGTGGTCATCGTCGTCGTCGACGACGGGCCCTCTGTGGTCTGCGAGACACGCGGTGGCGCACTCGAGGGTATCAGGATGCTTGAGGGTTCCGCCGAAAAGGCCGGCGAGGAGACACCTCCGGTGCTGTACTCCAGCGTAGGTTTCAGACCGCCTCCAAACCCCGCATGGGCATCGCCGGCATCAATGGCCTGACCATTGTGCGTCGGCGAGGGCTCTGGGCCAAGGCTCAGACTCTGGGTCGAATTGCGACTGCTTGGCCATCTTTCGCGGTCGCCATCGCCTGCAAGAGCACTGGAGGACGAGTAGCTCGTATGGGCTTCAGGATGGACAAAGGGAGCGTGCGTTGCTCCTAGCATCCTTGAACGGCCATTTGCGACTTTTGAGGGTTTCGAGGATTGATCAAAGGTCGAGAAGCTCGCGTGCCTTCTGGCGAAGCCAGGAAGCTGATTAAGGCCGTTTTCGTACGAAGAGGACCCAGCGTGGTGATCACCTGTACCAGATGAGTTTGTGCAGTTTTTGGCAAAAGCGTCGCGAGCATTGACTCCATGGCCGTTGTCCGACGCTACTGCTCTCGGCGAAGAAGGAGAGGGCCCAGACTCGGAGCCGCCCAGAGACGATGCGATGGAGAGAGACGAGGAGAGATGCCGATGGAGAGGGGCAAAGGCAGCGCGGCTGCCACTGGTGAAGGCGCCATAGCTGTCCAATTGGTCGTTGGACGAAGAACCGGTGGACGCGGCGTAGGTGGACACTGCAGTGGGACCGGGCAGAGAAAAGGACGACAGGGTGCTAGCCTGGCTTGTATTGGAAAACCTGCGGTCAGCGGGGACATGCCCACGGTAAAGATGGCTGTCTGCGCTTCCTGCAGCGCCGCCACCCATTTGAGCAGATCCCACGTTCAGCTTGTGGGCAAGCTCCTCGCTCGAGGCGTAGAAGGGGTCGTGCGAGGGCAGCAGCGACCGCCATGAATCAGGGCTGGCCACCGGAGGAATAATGGATGACGATGACGATTGCGCCTGTGGACCACCGACCGACGCAAAAGCTTGGCTTACCGAGCTGCCACTTTCGCCGCTGTCACTCTCCCCAGGCGATCTGGGCGCTGGTTGCATATTCCAAAGGCTGTTGGGGAAGGGGTATGAGGGTGAAGCGGCTTGCGGAGTGTGAATCGAAGGAGGGGAAAGCGTGCCCCGTTCTTGTCGAGTCGTCTCTCCAGCGACAGCGTTGCTCTGTGTTGCACCAGCACCATTGCCACTGGCCGCCGGCGTTTGGACAGCCGATGACCGTGTCGAGGTCGATGACGGTGGGGACGGCTTGGCCGTTGCATCCGTCTGGCCCCCACTCGATGGCATGCGAAACGGACCTCCTGGCCGTTTTGAACGAAGCGTCGAGGCTGTTGAATTAGAGTAATCCTGCTCCCGATCTTGCTGCTCATCATCCATTGTCCTTGCTGCCTCCATGAGCGCCACATTCGCCGATTCTAGTATGTCGCTCCTCTGGGCGTAATCTACGATTGGAGGCGAGGAGGAGGGATGGCGATGATACAAATCTTGTTGCTGTTGTTGTTGTTGTTGCTGACTTTGGCGTTCCCGAGATGGTTGCTGCTGCTGCTGCTGGGCTGGAGCCCAACTTGGGTTGAGATGCGCCGACTCAGGCGTACGGACCTCGCTGGCAGAACTGCTCCCAGTGGAAGATGTCGAGAGGCGTGGAGCGTCCATCAAGGCAATAGAACCACCGTCGACCTCGGCGTCGTCCGACGTGGGAGAAGGACTCTCTGCAATATTCCGACTTCCACGAGGTGAGGCCCTGACGACGTTGACCGGACGGACAGACTTGGCGTTGTTGTTGTGGTACAAGTATTTGTCGGGGCTAAAAGACGACGATGATGATGTCGCCACCTTTGACATATCTGATGACGTTGCCTTGGCCAGCGTAGCATAGTTTGCAGCCTGTTGCAGAGCCTCGTAGCCTGACAGTGCACCTGGAGCCATACCTGTGGATGTCTGAGAAGCGATGCTATCCTCTTGAATCCCCTTAGACCAGGGCCATGGGGTGGATGAGGAAGACGAGTCGTCAACACCGAGTCTCGATCCATCCTCGTACGCCCTTCTCGCTTCGGGCCTCAATGTCGTGGTCGTCGCGGTGTTTGCAGCCGGTGTGACTACGTTCGAAGGACCTGTCCCAGGTGCGTGGCAAGTCGATGGTGGCGATGTAGACGAAGTGGCGAGCTGATGCATCTCGTTCGGTGACGAAGAGGCGTGGTTTCGCAACCGCCCAAGATCGTCGGCTACCAATGGTCGACGACTGTCTAGCTGCGCCTCCATGTCGCCTGCACACAGAGTCAGCGCCTACTCGATCTCACTTGTCCCAAAGAGGCCGATTACCACCACTCGCCTACCCAGGCCAATGACGTCCGAAACAAATACTCACCGACAGAGTTTTAAGGGCCTGCACGCCCACGTACCTCCGCGTACGTACTCTCGAGAGAGACTGATGGGATGGGGAGCGGCGAGGTGCGGCGAAATTGCCTCTGACGAGGAGTGAGGGGTGAAGAGGTGGACAAGAGAGGGAGAAAAAATAGAGGCACAATAATGGCGTGTCGTCGTCCGTCGGTTCAACCTTGAAGTTTGCCCATACACCTTGCGGGGACGATGGTGCTGACAATGATCTGTGGCTGTCAAGAAGCAGAAGCAGAGGCGAGGCGAGAGTCGCACAGGGGGGGAAAGCCACAAAAAAGATCCACGAATGGTCGGCGACTCGACGCGAGCGGCGGGAGGTCCTTGACCGGTCGAGGATGACTGACGTGACGCCTTGCGAGCGGAGTTGGGACCGCTCAGAGACCAATTATTCCCTTTTTGTTTTTACTTTTGATCTCGTCGTCGCTCCGACGTATCCGTCGGTGGATGTCGGTGAGATCCTTTCTTCCCTGTCGATCCGAGCAGGCGCTCGTCGTCAATGGCCCTGGTTAGGATGCTGATAGGCGACAAGCTCGGTCTGTGGACAAACCAGTGGTGAGGGGCGCGCGCAGGCAGACCGGTACAACGCTGGGACTGGCTAGCTCCAGCTTTGGACGACCCTGACGTTTTGCGAGGCTTTGTTTGACACCGGATACAACAATGTTAAGACAAGATAGAAAAAATTTAACACTTGTCGACGCGCCGGAAAAATCTTGCTTCCACCTATGGAACGCGCAACAAGACACCAAGTGACGTCAGCCACAGCAACACGTGCTCGACTCTGGGAAGGCTAGACTCAGAAAAGCCGCGGCAAAGACGCGATCAGTGCCCGTCGGGCTCACTCGCAAGCACGTCAATCTGATCAATGCTCCATCATCATTGGCCGAGACCCTATGAGTACAAGTACAATATATCGTCGCTGAGAGATACGTGAGCTTCTCAAGCAGCCTGACGAGCCAGACGCCTGCGCTGGCGATCTAGATTCCTGGCTTTGATCTCACGCTTCCTCTTCTCTCGCGTTCGTTGTCCGCGTCCACCGTCAGCCTCGCTGCCGTCGCTTATCTCCTCGTCTTCGCTGACGGATCTCTGGTCGTCGCTGAGAGTTTCGCTACGTTCTGTCTCTCCTTCGTCATCATCATCATCGTCCTCGTCCTCGTCTTCATTGTCGTCATCACTTTCGAAGTTCTTATTGCGTTTGACGCGCTTCGTGTTCTTCTTGCCTGCAGATACGCTTGGTCTTGCCCTCTTGCGTGGCGCCGTACTGGTCTTCTTCGCGCCCAGAGACGGCGCAGTGGCTTGATTCGCTGTCTGGGCATGGCGACCTACTTTGAGAGGTTCCGAGAAGTGCTCCACCATCTCGTCCGACAGGTATTGTTTCTTGATGATCTAGAATGCAGCAATTAAGACTAAGCAAGATGACGAGACCGACACCGAGCCTACTTACCTGCTTCTGGATCTCTGGATTGGGTAGCGGCTTGAAAATGTCGTCGGGAAGATTGACTCCGGCACGGTACGTAGTCAAGGTCCAGCCATAGGCCTGAGCGCGTCGCTTGATGAGGAGTGCGGTCAGCTCGGCGAGGCTGTACAGGATCTCGCTATGTCCTGTGCTCTCAGCATCGCGGATTGTCTTGATGCGGTTGGCCAGATGGAAAAGAAAGCTGGCGTTGCGCTCGGAGGCTACGTGTCCAAGATAGAAGTCGAGGTACTGGGATGCCGAAATGATATCTGACGACGTCGTCACGCTTTCTTGCACGTCTGGATGGTGGGCGACAAGGTGGATGAGACGTGCGAGTCCCATGTCGAAATGCTTGATGCGCGTCTCGTTGGGCATCTGTCCGGTGAGCTTGGCAACAAAGTTGCGGACCATGTCGCGATTTTCCACCTCAGGATCGAAGACTGCCAAGAAGGGAACAACAAAGAAGCGACGTGGCAGCAACGATTTGCTGCAGTACGACATGAGTTTGTGCAAGAAAAAGGCACGAACGTTGAAGCTCTCGTCCTGGACCACGAGGGCGAGGGTGTTGTGATGACGTAGGAGCAATTTTTCGCACTTCTCGTGCCTAGCTAGCTTGAGAAGTAGCAGGGCCGCCTTGAGTCGAAGTCTCGCCCGTGATGCGAGGTTGGTATTGAGAGCCACCGGCTCGCCTGCACTCAGAATTTGGATCAAGAGCTTGATGACTGGTTGAGCGATGGTCTCGATGACGTCGCCGTCGTTGGAGTAGACCTCGCATCTCTTCGTCAGGATTTGCACGGCTAGAAGCCTCGATCGAAGATCCGGCGAAAGATCGGCATCTTCAAGCCACATGCCCTCGTTCCAGTCTTCGTCCTTGGAGCTAGCCATTTCGTTCTTTTGCCAAGGCTTCATGAGGATTCCTTGTACGAGGTGCGCAACCAGCGCGTCGCCCACGTCGGCGGCGACTTCGTGAGCGTGCTTGATAAATTGGGACATTGAGGCTAGCGCGGCATTGAGGGGCACATCCTTGAGCTTGGGTAGTCTCCTGACGATGCTCTCGCAGAGCTCCTCGACCGCATTCGATGCCGCTGACTGAGCAACGGATGGAGTCGACGACGAGGCTGCTGCAGTGCTGGTCGCGAGGAGCTTTGCTGCGTATTTTGCCTGCTCCTCTGTCCCATTGAGAACAAATTCTTTGATCGATTCGACTGCGGCTCTGGTCTTGAGGGGTGAGTCAAGCTTGCGAGCTGACACACTGGATAGCGCAGCAAGGCTCGCATTGCAGAAGAACATGTCTCGGCCTGGCTTCAAGGATGTTGCGATGGTGTTACCGTGGGGCACGAGCATGCCTGGGTGGTGCTTTGCAATGAGGTAAAACACTTGTAAAGCGTTTTTCCGGTCCAGATCTTCGCTGTAATGAACCGACGGATTCTCGAGCTTCTGGAGCAGGTAAGGCACCGTCGTCGTGTTGATATGCCGGAATGTTGCCAGCCTGAGCAACTGCACCAGGGTCTCCAACGCCGAATTGCAGACATGCTCGGCCCTTTTCAATGTTTCCTGCCGACTCTTGAGAATGGTTCTGAGGTCGGAGCTCGGATCCATAGCGGTGCGCATGTTGCGATATAGTCGTGTGTCGTTGCATTTCGCAATCATGTGAAGGTCTCCAGCAGCCTTGGCTCGATCAACCCAATGTATCGTGAGATCCTGGATAACGCCAAGGAGCTTTGCCTTGATCTTGTCCGCATTTCGGTTGCCGTCGGCAGGCGCACCTCCCGAAAATTCTTCACAGGCTTCCACAAATCTTAGAAAGGCTTTGCGCTGCTCGATGAGGTTCGTAATGGAGAAGAAGGCCATAAATTTGCTCTGCTGGGCTGCTTCTTTGGAAACGCAGAGGCGCATGACGTGAAAGACCCTCGCCGCCCAGCTTGCCTCGTCGATCTCGTCGACCTTGGCGGGTAGAGGAAGGATGTACTCCTCGAATACAGATTGAATAGGTCGGAGGAGCACGCTCTTGTCGGCCGAGTAAAGCGCCTCGAGAATAGCGGAAGGGATCCAGGCGAAGTGCTTGATGGCAGACGCATTGCCATTCTCGATCTCGGTGTATGCCAGAGAGAAAGCTCTTGCTACCGCTCGCAGCGCCGCTTCTCGAGCGGCCGGTTTCTTATCACGGCAGCGGTCGCTTAGCTCCCGGACAGTCCTAATGTCAACGTGGTGAATCAGGGTTTCATAGTCGAGCCGGGCCATGACAGCAATGGCGGCGAGGCGAACCTTCTCGTCAGAGTCGACCAGCTTCGATGACAGACGCTCGCAAATATCACTCTTGAGAGCGGCATGATTGACGAGGACGCCGTGTGCGCCTTCGAGCCAGGCCATGCGCACCGAGACGACCTTGTCGTTGCTTCGAGTGAGCCATTGTCTCCAAGTTGAACTGTACTGGCTCGCCATGTAGGCACCTCCGCCCGCGATCGTCATCGCAGATTTTTCAGCAAAGACTAGTCCGAGTGCTTTGGTCGCGATGAGGCGAAGGACAACATCGTCGGCAAGCAACTCCATTTCGAGTTGGGGGATCACGTTGAGCAGAAGTGCTGGTACTGACTTGGCCACCTGAATTATCAGGGCGTGACTTTTCCTCAGCAATTCAAGGCGCTTTGTTTCGTCCTGGGTCTCGGCGGCCTTGACAATTTCCTCGCTGAAATGCTGGGCCACGTACTTTTGCAGCTTGTCCTTCGCAGCATCGCACACCTGTACTGCCAGGGCTCGCGCTTCGGGGTTGCTCTTTGCTACGGCGAGGCTGAAATTTGCCAAGAGGGTGTCGACAATGCTTTGCGAGATTGTGACGCTCTCGTCGAGTAGCTGCACAAGGATATCCGCGTAACTGATCACGATGTTCTTGCTCGTTTCTGGTCTGTAGTGGTGCACACAAGAGTCTGAGCTACGCAGAGTCACATTGCAGGAGATTGACACACTCACCGAACAAGACTAAAGAAGCCTCGGAAGTAGTCCAGCATCATCTTGTCCGCATTGTCCACATCGCAAACGAGGGCGACACTTTTCACTGTGCTCAGGCTGTGAAGCAGATAGACGCAGTCAGAGTAGACGGGTCCGTTGGGCTTGGATAGGCCGCCTTTGGGGTCGGTGAGCTGATGCAGAAAGAATTCAAATAGATCCTGTTGGCCGGCAGAAAGCTGCATCAATGACCACTGTTAGCTAAGAGGGTCGGAAAGGACCAACCTTCAATTCGCCAGCCACGAAGGGCGCATTGGGCGCATACAGCCTGAGCAAGTCCGCTAGGCAACATGCAAGGCTCGCCCTGACAACCTTGTCCTTGTTCAGCATGATCGTGGGCTGGAAAATCTCCTTTCTGATCTGGTCAAGCTCTTTGATGTTTGCCCTCTCCTGTGCCATGCTGCTCAATTGCGTTTGCAGAAGCTGCTCGGGTTCTCGTCGTCAGCTCCTGAAAAGATCTCTCAGCGCGCGAGCACAAGGACAGTCGCACCTTAAGACGCTTGAGCATTGCATCGGTCGACTGGCCCTTTTGCACAAGCTTTCCCTTGGACATCCAGTGGGAGAGTGACTGCTGCGAGGAAGGCGCAGCTGCCGCCGCTGAAGCTCGCACCATCGTGACCCTTCTTCCACCTCTGGCGAAATTCTCCTACAAGTGTTCTCGTCTTTACTTTCTTCTTATGATGCTTCGACCTTCCAGGCGTAGTGCCCTTGTCTTTCGACGCCGAATGCAGTCGGGACCACACGAAGCAGTAGGGCAAGTGTCGCAGATGAGTCGCTGGCTGAGCTGATGCCGATTGGAGGTGTCGTAGAAGGTGTTGGTACGCGTCTCTATAGGTGTGCTTTAGACTTATTTCACGCGCCGCGTCTGCACGTGTGGCACGCCCAATCTGTCTCGTTTTGCTTCTCCATCGACAACGACGATAACGACATGGAGGATGGTCAAGGCCAAGCAGAGCAAAGAGGATGACTGCCGTCTCGATGAACTGGTGCAGTACAACTGCGTGCTGCATACCGACTCGATAGTCTGCCAGCCGATCGAACGCTTCTTCCGGAGGTGAGCATGTGCAAGAATGCGAGGTGGCAGAACTTGCATTGACGGAGTTCGATCCAAGATGTCGCGGACGACCAGCTGTCGAGGTGACCAAGGTCGTTGAGATGGTTGGCGGCAAGCCATACTTGCCCGCCGAGCTTCGGCATGCCATGCCTCCTTCAAACGACGGACGTCGTTCCAGATAGTCTTAGAGCGGCGACGTATTAATTCGAGTGTCATTGTCTACGAAAGGGGAAGAGGAAGCCTGAGAGAAGATTGTTAGATGGAGCATGAAAAAAAGAGATTTCTCTCTGGTAGGTAGATTCTACATTGGTTTGGAGGATGATATCAACGAGAGCGACGCCTGCGGCTCAGATGGTAGATCGTTGGAAGGGAAGGCTTTGTTGGGATGATCCCGGTGAACGAGTTGCAGAACAAGGGGCAAGAACGGGATTAAGTGAGGGGAAGAACGAGTCGGTAGCCCATGGCAGACCATCCTCAAGCGGCGAGGGTGGGTGCGAGGCGGTCGATGTGCTAGCCTGGCTGCTCGTTCCGTAAATAGTCTGCCATAGCAGCGGTATAGTATCATTGACGTTGTTCCGACCGGAGGCGATGCGGTGGCTTGAGGTCGCAATGCCGTCGGCGTTCGGTGGAGGAGAAGAAGGAGTAGAGGTCGGGGTGAAGGATCCCTCTTGGAAGAAAGCTTCACTCCTCTCGATGGATAGAGGCGGAGAAGCAGCAAAACCGGCTGGAAATTCGAGCAACCGCTGCGGAAGAGACTTGGTAGACGAAGGAGTGCCGGCGAAAAGCGACCCGGCCTGTGCTGAAGAACAGGGGAAGACCATGTCTGTGCCATTCAAAGGCATAGATTGTAAATTCTTAAGAACGGTGTTGGCACCATGATTGTCATGCTCTTCCACCGTGGCCTTTTCCCGGTTGTCGCTAGCTTCCCTTGGGCCGCATGCGTGTGCCGATATGTCCGGGAGAAGCTCCGGGAGAGTCTTTGTTTCTTCAAAAGTGTTTTCTGTCTTGAACGTCTTCTTGCTTGCTGAACCACAATCGGAGCTTGACATGTGGCTGGCATTCCTCTTGTGGCCGTTGCTGAAAGTGTCATTGCTGCTTCCGCGCCCAATGTGCTCGTAGATGCCCCTGCCGTTAAAAGATGATCCAGTCGTCTTCTGTTTGTGCATTTGTTGCTGATGCTGCTGATGGTGATGCTGCTGGGATGCCGACGTGCCAACGCCGCTGAGGTCCAGGTGGCTCGTCGTCGTCTTGACCTTCCGCTTCTTGTCGAGCTGCGCATACTCGCATCGCACCTTTTTCTTGGTGCATCTCTCGCACGGCAGCCCGCCGGTGCACTTATTTTCGATCATTTCAATCGGTCAGAAGAAGGCAAGAGGAGAAAGCAGGGAGCGTCTCACCTTTGCTTTTCTTGAGCGACAGTACTCGCAAGCTTGAAGCGTGCGCATCATGGCGGGAAACAGCTCGATGATGCTGCCATTTGGGAGCCTGCCAAAGTTGGTTCCCAGTTGGCTTGAGTGGCTGTGAGGCGATGCCGGTAGTGAATTGTAGGATAGAGCCGGAGATGGGTTTGCAAGACCACCGACGCATCGCATAGTAGAGCGGGCATCGTTGCTGCCGATGACGGGTGCGCCCCCCGTTGTCCCATCCGGATTGACATTGGATGCATAGCGGCGCTGAACGGCCGCGGACAGCTGACCTTCTCCCGCACCTGAGAAGTGGCCAGGCACACTATAAGGGTGGTGATGATAGGCGTGCTGCTGAGGCTGAAGGTGAAGATGGTGTTGCGGTAATGGAGAGAACTGATTCTGATATGGCTGCGCAGAACCAGCGAGGGCGCTGTAATGCTGCAGCGGACTTGCCGGTGATGATGTTCCATACGGGCTCACATGAAAACCGCCAGTGTAGCCTCCGCGCCCGTTTGCACCGTGAGGAATCGAGGGGGGGTCTTGGTAAGGCGGGCTGTGCGACATGGCTGGGACGACGGATTCGGCCGACTCCTGGTACTGTCGAAGGTGTTCAAGGTATTGCTGATAAGGCACCGAAGGCTGACTTCCGCCACCAGCGATTTCTTTGCTGAAAATCGGAGCCTTGCGTGGCAAGAGGAGCGTGTCGCCTTCACAATTTTCTAAGTTGAGATAGGGAGAGGACAGAACGGCCGTCGGCAGGCTCGCCGAGCAAGAGTGGTAGCGCAGCGAGCTACTGCTGAGATATACAGACGGTGGAGCGGACGGGTGATACGCAGGCGGTGGCGGCGGAGGCGGAGGTGCTTGTTCCGAGAGAGATGAACCGTCCACGGCAACGATGGGTTCGGGCGAAATCCTGACGGCTTGAGGGGAAGAGTGACGGTGCAAAAGTGAAGGATGCAGTGGAAGAGATTTGACCGAGAGGTTGGGAGATGGTGGCGAAGGGAGAGAAGTGAGGTGCATGCCTGTCATGAAGTATTTGCACCCTGCTCTCTCGTGACGTCTCTCGTTCGCACGATTGTGTACTGAGCTCGAATGGCCTTTCGCTCTTCTCCTGCCTGGCCGCCCCGGTATGTGTAAACCCGCTCTCTTGGGAGGGCTTGAACAAACCCCAAACGACACAGGCCTTTGCTCCTGATGAGCTTTTTGAAGCCCCGTCGGACAGCGCGGCAGCGTTCTTTTCTTGATGGGAAGACGGGCTCAGGTCCGTCTCTTTCAAGAGCCACAACACTGTCGAGGAGCGCTGAGCAAGTCTATACAACCCACAGAAGGAGCTGAAATTTCGGACTCACCGATCAGCCAGCAAAATATCAAGGGAGAGGCTGTACAACAAGCGGAGTGCAAAGGTCGAATTTTCGCTGGGAGATACACTCTCTTGAGAGGGCAGCCGCTCCGCGGAGAGACGGTTGCCAGAGCTGGTCTGACGGGCCGTTCGGCTTGAGAGAACGGGAGGTTGATTCACTGACGGAGAGGTGCAAAGAGCGTGGTTTATAAGGGTGTAGTGAGCGCGGAGTGCACGAACAGTGGGGAGTGAATGTGCACTTTGGCGTTATTACCGTGGGGTTGTTCTCAAAAAAAAAAAGGGTGACGATGAGGCTCATAAAAGCGCTGGATCTCTGATCCTGACATCAGCTTCTTTATACAGACGACTTGACAGCGACTGGCAATAAAAGCCACAGGCAGGGCGCTCTGGCCGTCTCAACATTGAAATTAGAAAAGGGCATCACTGCTCAGTAGAATTGATGAGGAGGCCCGAGGATCAATTGGACCATTTGTACAGGTGATTGATGAGACGAGGGTCGCGCGCTCGCGGTTGGGCCTCTGGCAAGCGTCTCCGACGCGCTAAGAAGGAAAGAAAGAAAGCGCGCTACAGAGACGCGCTTCATTTCTTCACAGCGTAGGCGTCTTTCGATGAGGACGTGCCCCCCCCTCCCAATCAAGGCCAAAGTCTTCTCGCTTCCGGGGCTCTCGACCTTTTTGTTCTATCTTTGGTATGAGACGCTCTTACATAACCCTTGAAAATTGTTGACCAATAAGAACGAGCCCTTTGCCTGGCTCACAGCTCGAAGATTGGGAATGCATCTTCTGAAGGCGTCAATAGTACTTTGGCGCCAAAAGGTGACAGTCAGGGGTATGTTCTTGCTCTATGTCATTGACAAGACTGGTCAGACGAGACACACACCATCGGTGGGCTTCAGAACGATCGATCATTCTGCGCTACCGGAAGTCTGACGCAACCGCGAGATTGAATAGTTTGGGAGTATGGGCGGCCAAACCCCTGTTTTCCTTCTCTCAGATATTGTGGCTTTCGGTGTACTAACGGGATTCTTCTATCGCCGTCTTATGCGCTTTAAATCTGGTCTACTCTCGTCCGAGTCGCTGATCTCGATGGAGTCCTGATCCTCATCGTCGCTCTGAAGAGGGCCGGGCCTCTTTCGCGCTCCATCTGTTGTCGCGACACGTTTTGATCCTCCACGCTGTTGTCCCCTTGATCCCCTCTTTGACTGAGATTGCCGTGCAACAGCTTGCGTCGGCCCGTCGCCAAAAGTAATATCCTCGTCCAAATCCAGAGTCATGTCTGGGACGAAGTCGTCCTCTTCTTCGGCCTCTCCTTCGGTTTCCCTTATCTTGAGACCTCTGCTAGAGGAAACCTTGGACGGTGGCGGTGCTGCGGACTGCTTCCTCCCTTTACGCTTTGCTCCTTTCCCTATCTCCATCTCCTCATCCTCTTCGTCCGAAAAGTCGGCCAATACGCTTCTCTTTTGCGTTGGTCCTGCTTTCGGCGGTGGACCCATCAGCTCCACTTCCTCTGATCCTTGCCGCGATCCTTGCTCTTCCACGCCGCGATTCCCTTCACCATCGTCGACCGGCCGCCGTACAGTTATGCGTGGTCTCTCGTTGCCCTTTCCCTTTCCGTAGCCCGTTCCCGTGCCAAAATCAGCTGTCTCCTCAAGGTCCATCACGACGGGCATCTTGCCAGCTCGCTCCTTAACCTTGAACTTCTTAAAATTTGGTCGACCTTGCCAGGTTGCACTAGAACGCAAGATGTCTTGGGCCCCATCGCCAATGGACGTAGCCGACGAAGGATGAAAGCTGGACCGCTGCGGCCCAAAATTCTTGCGGACCAATGGCACAAAGTCGACCTGGACGAAGTTTCCGGCTGCATGAATGTCGAAATCGTCGGCGTCCATCTGCTGCCACATGCGGTAGTCTGGATCGTCGACTTCATCAACATCGACATAATATCCGTTCACTGAAGCTGCCGGAGGGCGGTCCGTCAATTTCTGGCTGGCGGCCCTTTTGCCTTTTGACGGTTCGGCAGGCGGCGCCGTCTGCGAGAGATGATTGCTGCCTGCACCGGGAGGACGGGCGATGCGGAGTTGATTAAACTCCTTGTCGAAATCGTCTAATGGCCTCTTGGTCTTTCGATTGGTGGCAATCGCCTGTAGAAAACGCGAGTCCTGTCCAGTGTCCTCACCATGGACCGAAGACGAAGAGGGCAGTGCCACGTCTCTGACAATGCCGGGCTGCACTGCTTGCTCCTCTTGCCTGGTGCGCCTTTTGCTGCCTAGAGGCGTCGTCGCTACACCTTCTGGGTTAATATCGTGCTCTGCTTCTCGCCGCTTTGATGGTCGCTCTTCAGCTCCACCGCCTGTCTCTTGTTCCTCATCAAGTCTCCTTTTTGATTGCGTGCCACTTTCACCGCCAGGCGAGATGAGCGCGTCGTGGTCACCTCGAGCTTGTGAATCGGATATTCGGTCTTGCTCCTCCAGCTCCCGTCGAAATCTCTTACTGAATCGCTCCGGCGTGCTCTCTATCGGCATATCAGACGTATTTGAACGAGCCTGCAGGCTCACACCCGGGTCGTTCGAGGTGCCAAAGATGCTTCGAAATTCTTCGGACTGTCGTGGCTTGTTGCCCGTAGCCGCTCGTTTGAGCCTCGAGGGTGCTCTGGGCGTCGCAGGCGTAGGTCGTGGTGCCTCCTCCGAGATCGCTTGCTGTGTTGAGGAATGTGCATCTGTTGAAGGCTCGGAAATATGCTGCTGGGTGTTTGCCGTAGATGCGGTACCAAAAAGACTGGCCAAGGGATCGTTATCTGCAGCAGCGGCCGCTCTTCGTCGTCGAGGCTGTGACGCGGCGGGGCCATCAGATCCATCGCGGTAGCTTGCTGGTGTGCGGAGAGCGGACTTACCTTGGTTGCTGTAGGAGTGGGTCCGATCTCGCTCGCGGTCGGAGGCGGCTCGTCCATTGTGACTGAGACGTTGCCTGAAGTGGAAGTCAGAATTTGCCCTTTGCATAACCAAAAACGAATTCACTCACTCGGCGGAGGTTCTTGATGGACTGGCATATCTTCGCCGTCGCGCTGATGCTGCTCCTGCTGCTCCTGCTGCACGGGCATCGCAGAACTCAGGGAGCTGTTACCCTCTACAGGAACTGAGGTCTCAGGAAGGATCTCCGAGGGTAATGGAGCTGCTTGGACATTGAGAAAGCGCCTTGAATCGGAGTGCATCAATAATTTGCCGACTGCCACGATTCCTTCTTCCGGCATGGCGATGCTTAACCTTGCACAGGCCATGATTTCCTTTCAGCGAGGTCCAAAGCTGCTGAAGGTCCTCACTCACGTCCTCGTGCACCTGGTCAGCCTCCTGAACCAGGGAGCCCGTGCGTCTACAGTAAGCGATGCGACAATGACAACAAGGCCATCATCTGGCGCCTCGGAAGCCTCCTCTCCGCATGTAGCAAGATAAGACTGGGCCTCTGACTTCTTCTTGCGCAGAAACCGAAGGGTCTCGTCGTCCTGTTCCAGCCTGACGTCTGAGCTGTAAACGCGGTCTGTCACGGCTCCAGTCTGCTGCGCAAGTCCTTCCATATCATTCGTCAACTGTTGCGAGGGCGGTGTCAGCGTTGCAAGAGTACAAAGAGAGAAGTGAAACGAGAGCACCTTTTCATCGCCCTGCCCGTCCAAGACAAAAAGAAGGGTTGTGCCTCTTAAGAGCTTGACCCTTTTGCTCGAAGGCAGAAGACATCTGTCGAGCTCCTGTGGCTCTATGCCATCCGAGTGCGAGACCTCGGGCATGTATGCCGACGGAACGGGTAGCTCCAGCTCCCTTTCGTAGGACTGTGGATCGTCAGGGCGCAGGTTTCCCCTGCGCAGCACCTCGTCGACGTAGCCTGGCCTCACGACAGGTACGGCTCTGATGAGGGCTTGCAGGAGCAGAACGGAGATCTTTGTCTGGGCCACGGCATAGTGTGTTGCCGATGGATCGAGTGCAGCCTTTCCCCTTCGCAGGTACACCACTGGCTCAGACTACCTTGTGAGCAAAGCAGAAGGATCTGAGGGCTCGCCATTGAGGGAGGGTGTGACGTCGCCACTCACGCATGTCGCTAGCCTCCCGCGCCCTTTCTTGGAGCTCCTCCTCCTCCTTGGTTTTGACGTGGTAAAAGACGTTGATGGGGATCCACAATAGCCTGTCGGCACGTCAAGAAGTCAGCTCCTCCGCACAGAACATTTCACAGACAGAGACTAATTCAGCAGCATTCCATGGGCTCACTTGACTGCTGGGGCATTCTTGGACAGCACAATGGTATCGCCCGCTTGTAGCGCCCTCGTCGTGCCTGGATCGACTGTGATTCCGACATAGACAGAGGGGTTCCTCAGCCACTCTTCTTCGTCGCTGGGTGGTACTACACGAAGGATTTTCTTGTCGGCCTGGAGCGAAACGGTGGGCCGGTGTTGCTCCACGTCCGAAAAGTCGGTGGTGCATACAGACTCAAATGTGGGCGGAGGGATCGACATGATCAGGGCGCCTGCCTCGCGAGAAACGGTCTTGTCGGCTAAGACCAAGTCTGCAGGCTCTTTCCGCCCAAAGGTGTACTTCCTGCCCGGCTTGAGCAATTTGCGAAATGGTTCTGGGAGGGAGGATTGTTCAGAAGCCGTTGTACAAAGTGGTCCAGCCCAGCACGTCTCTGTCTCCGTCTCTGTCTCCCACCACCTCCAACCCACCTTGGCGCCCTTCAAATCTACCCTCGAGGACCCACATGATGGACTGTGGGATCCTCTGAGAGGAAGCGCAGCCAGGGCAAACCGGACCCTTGGCACTGGCACTGGCGGTGGAGGACGGAATATGGTGTTGGAAAAAAGAAGCTCAATGCATTATTGCGCGTTGACGCTAGTAATTGTTGACACAACTTAGGGTACCTGCTCGCTCTGGGCTTCATGGATTGGGGAAAGATGATCTCTCTCTTCTCATTCACTGCCGGAAGACGAGAAATCGATAACACGAGTGCGTTGGTGACATGACAGAGATGTTGTGTCACTCATTAGATGAAGATTGCTCAGATACTACTTGAAGTGATTGTAATGTTACACTCTCTTTGTCGGACTGGCACGCTCGTCGCGCTTCTGGCGAGTCTCCTCACGCATGGCCTTGAGCCATTGAGGGACTTTCTGCTTCATTCGGAAGTGCGCCTCTGACATGTGGTCAGCTGCCGATTTCACTGTGAGAAGCGTGCCGTGTGAGCCCACAAATCTGCAGAAGCGAGCACAAGCGCCACACTTACCGTTGCCCCACAGAGACTCCTGTCCCTCTTCGACGCTGGCCTCGGTGGACGCGACCCTGAGGCGGATACCGTCGAAGTGGATCTTTTCGGCGAGATAGAGTCGATTCTCGTTACACTTTGAGACACAAGAATTAGTCTTATGAGACATCAATGCAGAAAATGACGAAGGCGCTCACCTGGATGGACCCGAGGCGCATGATCTGGGGACTATCCCAATCGATGGCGGCACCTAAGCCCGCGCTGGTCTCCACAGTCGCGGGCCTATCCTTCACGGATTCTGCTTGCATTTCCTGAAGCCGACTCCATCTCAATGTTTTCAGCCAGCGGGCTTGAGCTTCGACGGTGAAATGGGCAAGCACTTGAAGGATCGCCTGCTGGCGTGACTGCATCTCGTCCTCGGTCTTTCGCCGTAATGCTTCGTTGTCCTCTTCCGCGAGCCGCTGCTTAATTGCTCTGTAGGCTTTGCCGTACTCGTCAAAATTGTCATAATCGTCCTCGATGCCCTTTCTCTGCATCTCCTCTTTTATCTTTGCTGTCTCCCTCTCGTATCGGTCTTGGCGGCTTTCGCCTTCCGGCACAGTGCGTGGCCGCGTGCCCGCGATTGGCAACCGTGGATAAGCTGACAGTGAGCAGATGTCGAACAGCGACACGCAGAGGGGCGATCTCCTGCTGTCGGCGAGTGCCGCCCATTCGCTTTCGCTGACGTCAGTGTCTGAAGTTTCTTTCACGAGACAGGATGATGGTTCTGAAGAGTATTTCAAGGTGTGAGTTAGAGAAGATAGGCGGAAGGGCCAGTAACGCCTCACCAAATCTCCATGCCGGCATCGCCATCGTTACTTGTCGATGAGCAGAACCTTCTTCGATGCAGTGGTACAGTGCCTGTGTTGGAGAGGAGATCCGTCGGATCTGACTGTGAGTATCAACACTGTCACCAGACGGACTTTCCCTCTCACCAGATGAAAAGGCAACAACACGGGATACGCTGCCAGCAGGTCGGTTTGAAGGGTGTCGAGTTTGAATGAGACCTCTTCGCCGTCGATTGTAGCGGTCGCTTCTTTGTCCTCGGGGCGAGATGCGAGGTATCGCGGAAGCTCCAGCGGTGAGACGGCGAAGGGGAGCATCTCGGCAGCCTCATCTCCCGACTCATCCGTTGAGCTGAGGTGTTTTGTTCGGTCGAAAGCCTCAAACGTCCTTTCGTGGTCCCTTGGAATCCTGACCGGCACTGTCCGGATAGGTGCCCAATCATGGGCGGGCAATTGAAGGCCTTGAGTGTGGACTGCGTGCTCTCCAATCAATATTACTGACTGCGCCTCACTAGCACCTGAAATCGCACTTACGTGATGTTTCCGCTTCGCCATCCGGGCCGTTGCACCTCGTCGAGACGCTTGCATCGACAATCCAGTATGGCAGATAGACTTTGCTCAGCCTTTTGAGCTTAACGTTCGCCTCTACGCGGTCGGCCCGTTGCGATCTCCCAAAAACCTTACGAAAGACCAGTGACAGTATATAAAGAGCGCTCTGAAAGAACCTACCGCGAAAGTAGATGAGAGGGATGGCCATCTTTTCCGCGAAGTCTCGAGCATATTCGGTGGTAAAGGAGAAGGGGAGTGTCAAGACTTTAGTCTCCCTTTCCACGCTGGACGTCGAGGCGCTGTCGCTTTGTGTTGATTTGCTTTGTGGTTGCCTTTGATGCGCAGGCTCTTCTTGCTTTTGCGGGTGCCGTTGCTGGAGCTGCGATCGAATTCTCTGTGACACCGAGGGCCCTCTGAGTGGAGAAGCTTGCGCCCTCTTGTGGCTGGCCGCGCTGGTTGATAGCGCAGCTACCCCGCCCAAGGTTCTCGCTCCATGAGCCTTAAACCTCGAACATCTCAAGCACTGGCGGCACCTGATTGGGACCGCCATGAATTGAGTGCACCTCATCGTCGTCGCCGTCATTGACATTGACGATGGCCGAATGCAGGAGCTGCAGGCAGAGCCAAAATCAAACAATGGGAAGGAAAAGCTTCGCGGGCCGTCGGCCGAAGAAACGCGTCTCGAGACCAACACCGTACCAACGTACGACTGCGCTTCTGGCTTCTTTCTCCAACAAGCGTCAGTGCGATGGGAGGAGGAGGCGTCGGCTGCGGCAAAAGAGGCGTCGAAGGTGGATTAGTAGAACATGAAGGGAGGAAAGGGCCTCGTCGACATCAGATTGTCTTTCTTGGGCCGAAGAGAGATGAATTGGATAACCTTCTTGGTCCCACCGCAAGAAGGCCACGATGGAACCAGTATCGATATTCGCCGGCCCAGCGACCGTGCCAAGGAACCCTAGCCCTCGAAGGAGGCAGGAATGTCATTGCGGAGAGCTCTTTTGAACAGCAATATCACGCCTCCGTGGCTATGAAGGGGCAGCAAAGGGCCGTCCTAGCCGAGGATACGCCTGCAAAAGCTGTTCCTTCGAGGCACAATGCGGACAAGCACAAGAGGCTAGGAGCAAGCCCTCGGACAAAGCCGGTCAGGTTCAGGAACCCAAGAAGTAGTCCAGTGCTAGCTTCAAGGTATCTCTCCTTGACTCGACCCCAAGAGCATGATCAGGATGCATCTCGGACCGAACGAGACGGGGATGAAGAAGAAAGCCTGGGAGAAAGGAGAGGAGAAGGAGATGGAGAAGAAATGGTCTCTTCGGCCGCTATCAGGCCCGGGGATTCCTGGAGCGAATTCGATGCGCTGCCAGTAAGGCCAGACGACTCGATCGATCCCAGAGAGATGTGGTTCGAGGATGATCGTGAAGATGTATATGAAGAGGAGCCCAATAGCTACGATGACGAAATGCGCCAAGGTCAAGAGCATGCCTCGTCACAAGAGATCGACGAGGCTCCTACGGAAGCATCTCCGTCAATGCCAAGGGTCTCTATGGGGCTCCAGTGGCAAACGGATCGCGCGAGGCCTGTGGGCATAAAAGGTGGGCCGTGGCGGAGATCTACCTCGGTCATCGCAAGGGACATGGCTAGCGTTGCGGCGAAGAAGGAGGCAGAAAGATCAAATTTTGCCAATCGGTCCATATCGCACCCTATCTTCAAGAGACCGCTTGTTGATCCGCTGCAAAGGCAAATGTCTCTCCACGACTCTCAGCCGACGGGTGAATCGATCCCTCCGCCGCCTGCCCACGTCTTCCAGCTCTCTCGACTCACGTCACTCTCTGTGCTGCTTCGGCAGTCTCATTTGTACCTCGCTGAGCATCAAGGGGGAGCACAGCCTGGGCCTGCGGAGCACTTCAGTATCCTCGTCCTCGTCGTCCGGGTGGGTCCGCTTGAGGAAGTTCGAGACTGGAAGGGCGAGGCGACGGCCGGGACATCAAAGAGAGCGGGTCCTAGGCCAAGCCTCTCAAACGGCATGATGGATCGAGCCGAGGTCATCGTACGGGACAAGGCCGGCTTTGCCCTAAAGGTGGACCTCCACGCGAATTGTGCCAGCGAATGGGCCGGTTCATCACCGCAGCTCTCTCAGAGCATCTCGGCGTCGTCGGAATCGTCACAGCCAGGATGTAAGGAGCAGTCGGGCTACCAGCTTGATAACGAATCGTCAAGCAGGGTAAATCGTACAGTTCTAGGCCAGTATTCCGCCAATCCAAACACGAGGGAAGACTCGACTACGATGACCAGGACGGAAGCAACAATAGCGAGGAACAACACGACGACCTTCTTGGGCGAGGATACAACCGTACTGGAGAAGAAGCGCGTCGACCGCATGCTGCCGCTGAGGCCGGGCGACGTCGTCGCCCTGTCCAACCTCGTCTTAGTCAGGCCTCGCTCGGTGGATAGCGATGCCCGCAAGACCTCGACATCACGCAGAGGGAAGACCGGCAGGAACGCCGTCGATCAAAACGACACGACTGCGCAGGTCTACGCCGTCGCCTCTCCTCGTGAAAGGGCGATGATGGAACTGTGCTGGCGAAACGAGATCTCATCGAGGACCATCGACGCGCAGAGAAACTTCGAAGATGCCCTCGTCGACTTTGATCCAAGATGCAAGGCCATCTGGGAATTGGCAAAGCTTTGGTGAATTTACCCATTCACTCACCCACTTGCGCATATAAGCAAACGAAGCTCTCGAACAGAGAGTGAGTGGAGAATCGATGATGTATTCTATAATTGGTGTAGCTTTACAGAGATTGTTGGCAATGAAGATAGATGTGCTCATCTCTCAATCGGAATGATCGATGGTCATGGTATCATGAAATCATGAAGGTTTTGTGCCGTTGCTCTTCAGCCTGCAAAAGCTGTTTCATCGAGTTCGACACCAAACTCTTCCTTGGCTCTGTAGATGGGCGACAGCGAAAGGTCAGATGAGTAATCTCCAATAAGGATTGGGCGGGGAATGCACTCACAGTTGCCGCATGCCAGCTTCCAAGTCGTCCTCGAAGCCGCCAGCCGTTTTACTAGCGGCGCGCTTGACTTCCTTGCTGAACGGGCCGTACTTGAGGCTAGACACAAAGATGACGCTGGCCTTGTGCAGCGATCTCACCACAGCACTGCCCACAAAGGCCAAGTCTAGGACGAAGAGCGTGGTGCGGAATGTGAGGAAGGCCATCCGAGAGCGAAGCCAGGTGACCAAGCGTCCCGATAACGAGTTGCTTGGCTGCGATTGGCGCGGGAAGAAGACGCGGATAAGACTAGGCGTAGGGCTCGTCGATACAAGGGCCGAGGAGGCGTGGCGTGCAAGGATGTTCAGGCGGTTGACGGGCGAATGTAAGATTTGATTGTTGGCTGTGCGAGGGCATAAGTGCATGAATCAACAGCTGACAGAAGAGACCAAGTGACTCGAAGAGAGTCCTCACCTTGAACGATGCGCATGCTTCGGCTGACAAAAATGAGCTCTTTGGGCACGAGCTCGACGTGGACGAGGAAACCCTTGATGAGCTCTTTTTGCTTATTGTAGTCGACGCGACCGCCATTCCTTTCTCGCTCCTCCCGCTCCTTCTGCTCTTCCTCTTTTGACTTTGGCTTTCTCCAAGGACGCATGAGCGTTGCCGAGGCAAATAGCTCTGAGCTGCCCTGACCCATGCCCCAGGCTTGCGTGATGCGCTCCAGCGTCGATACGTCCAGCTGGAAGATGGCGCGCCACAGCTCAGCGTACTGCCTCCGGAAGCTCTCGGAGAGGTTGACATAGAGGCCGTGGTCGATGAGGCAGACCTGATGCTGACCTCGCTTGCCGTTGGGGTGTCGACGGACAAGGACTGAAGCAGCAACAATCAGCGTAGGACAGACGATCGCAAAGCGGGACACTCACCGTTGCCAGCATGGCCGTCGCATTGGACGAAGCCGTGTTGGAAGATCTGGCTTGCAAATACCTCGCATACGCTCCTCGCGACTTCGCGAACACTGAGACCCATGGCCTTGATTCCCTTCTCGTCTGTCATTCTCGTCGCGCCGTGAATGTATTCCATGACTAGCAATCGGCCAGTACAGAGGTCGTCGACGCAAAACGGGACGTAGACGGTGTCTCGAATCAGCTTCTGTGGGTCATCCTGAACGTAATTTCTTGCTCTAGTCGCATTGCGCAGCTCGGCGACGAAGTCGGTCTCCTTGTGGATCTGCTCAGAGATGTACTTTCCAAAGTAGGACAGCGGAAGGTCGAATATATGCGAGTAGAATCGAAGGAGTAGGCGAAAGGACAAGAGGTCCCACTTGGCCTGCGCTCGAATTGATGGACGCTGAATCTTGACGGCCACCTCCTGCCCATTGCCTTTTAAGCGAGCCTTGTGAACCTGCGCAACGGACGCTGCGGCGACGGGCTCCTCGTCGAAGCTTTCAAAGACCTGATGCCACCACGCGTCAGCTGGCTGTGGCATCCGCTGCGACACGCTCTGAGTACTCACGTCGTCAATACTCTTACCGAGCTCGCTCTCCACTACTTTGCGCACTGTGGCGTAGTCGAGATGCTCTGCGTCGTCGAACATTTTGGCGAGTGCGTGATAGGGCTTCGGTAATACCGCTGCCTGAACACCGATGGCCTGGCCGAGCTTGACATACAGGCCACCGTTGGCCTCGCACACCTTGAGCAGCCGATCCGCTGCTCTCTGGTGGAGCGCATCGAGTGCGGCGCTATCCGATGGATCAAAGTAGAATTTGTAGTCCTGTTCGTGCGGCGTGAGAAGTGAGAGGGAGAAGGAAGAGCAGAAACGCTGAACTCACCAGTGCGATTTGAGCGCCGACAATGGCAGTGCGAATGTTTCGTTGGAGCACCGATGCATTCAGGTGCGTATCCACCTCGTACAGTATCACACCCCCTCCTCCCAGCGCAAGCAGTGCAAGCGCGGCTACCCGCCCTCGTCCTCGCACCGGCGAAGGTGGAGGGGTGGAAGACGAAATGTGCCTGATTGGCTGCCGGAAGGCATTGCGGGGGCAGTCGAGCAAAGAGACTAGTCTCGACGGCCTTCTGGCGATCGCCGCAGGTGACAAGCCTGCTCTAATCCACGACATCTAACCACCTCTTCCTGTACTTCCGTCGGTGTCGTCGAAGCCAATGATCTTGTCATCATCTTCTTGGGTCCCAAGATTAAATCTGGGTTAGATAAGCAGCGAGCGCACGGGCTTCGTTGAAAACTTGATTGCGTCCGTCAACTTGTGTCTCAGTCGTTGGCTCAATCGCTCTTTTTTAGAAGCCGCGTCTGTCGTCTGTCTCTGTGGAATCAAGCAAAGCTTGAGCGTAATGAGGATTGGTGGGCAAGCATGGCATTGAGTGTGTGTGACGATATCACTCGAGCGGAAAGAAGCGATCGATGCACGCGAGCATGTCGTTTGGAAGATGCATCTCTGCTCCTTTTTGACAGCCCACAGCAAAGTGTGGTCGTACACGTGCGCTCCTTAAGCTTCACCCCTCAGCCGATTGAAACTGCGAGCGTTATTTGAACGAGGGGCTCCACTGAGCTTCAAGAAGAGGAAGCTTGTCTCACGACCAGTTCGCGCGCGCAAACAAGCGACACCATCTAGCGGAGCAAGTTGGAGCCAAGGCCGTCACCATTCCTCGAACAAGTCCCGCCATTCACCTCTGGGCTCTTTCAAATCTCGCTCTCCCACACACACAAGGGGAAAAAATAGCACACAACTGCAAACCCGCGCGCAAAAGGCCAAAAAGCGCACACTGTTCTTCTCCACATCTAGGAGGGGGCGGAAAAAGTCGCCTCTGCAACAATCGACAGCGAAAGCCCAGGGCTCTAGACTCACTACTCACGCTCGCGAGCGACCGACGAAATTGGGCGAAAAAAAAAGTCCTGGAAGATCGATAACTACGAGAACAGTTACAGCAACACAGACGGCGACGACGACAACAACGAGCGCCTCCGACTGGACCAGACTGCACCTGGCCTCGCGCGCACAAAGATAGCCAGCAATGACTTCTGACGCCAATACTTCGGGAGAGGACGGGTCGGCGACGGCAGCCCAGCCTGCGCCCCAGGCCGCCAAGTCGGAAAAGGAGGCAACAGCAGATGAGCTTGCCGCACCCCCCGAGGCTGTCAACATGACCGATGAGGAGGAAATGGGTGCAGCCAACAGCAAAGACAATAGCGAAAGCGGCAAGCTCAAGGCCCTCTTTGGCATTCTCAAGCGCATGGTCGGCGTCAAAGATCTGGCCGCCATGTAAGTTCGAGGAGCTACATTTCAACAGAAACACCTGCTCACCGGACCTGATTGCCCCCGCAGCCGTCTCTCGCTTCCCGCCAATCTGCTGGAACCAGTCGTGAGTTGTGGTTCATGGCGCGGAAGATCAAAGGATCGCTAACAAATAGCGTCATTACCACAGCCCAACCTCGAGTACTGGAACTATCTTGGTGAGTGTCACCTAGTCGCAGCACAATCCACAGTAGAATGCTGATTCGCCCTACAGACCGGGGAGATCTCTTCACAACGTGAGCACTTTTTCCCTTGTCGCGAGAAGAGAGAGAGTGCCTGAGAAGATCTGACCCGCATCCTTCAGTGTCGGCGACTTTGACGATCCCCTCGATCGGATGCTCGCCACGCTTCGCTTCACCTTCACAAAGGAACTCAAGTTCGTTGTGAGTAGCTGGCTTGGTAAAGAGATATTGCTGTGGAAGAGCGCTTCGATCTGACATTCGCGTACAGCACGGCAAGATCTGCAAGCCCTACAATTCCATCCTGGTCAGTCATCTCTCTAGTGGTAGCGGTCCGGCTGTTTGCGAAGGGACGCTTGCTGAGACTTACCATTCGAACAGGGAGAGCACTTTCGGTGTCACTGGGATGTCGTCCCACCAGAGATGCGCGAAGATGGCAGCCTGGTGCCCAAGATGAGCCTCCTCACCGAGTCGCCTTCGGCTATGCCTCAGGCTGGCACTTCGGTAGCGTCAACTCCATCATTGACGTCCAAGAAGACCAAGAGGCAGGAGAGAAAGGGCGGCGGAAGCGCCACTACCTCGGAGAGTGGAACCGACCGTCCAGCGGTGTCGCGAGGGCAGAGCGGCGTGAGCAATTCGTCGTCTTCGGGTGCTCCGACTATGTCGAGCCTGAGCGCCATCACGACGAGCAATAGCACCGACGATGGGTCTTCGAGTGGACGCCCATCTGCCAAGCGTGGCTTGTCCAAGTTTCTTAGCGCTGCTTCGGGCCGGAACAAGGCCTCTTCCCGCTCCAGCGTCCACTCCAGCAAGACTAACTCGCCTACGACGCCAAGCAAATCGGCCGCAGACACTGCCGATGATGTTTCCAAGATGACTCTTGACGGAAGCGCTGGTGGCGGCGAGAAGGGCGACAAGGAAGGGGACGAGAATGGCGAGGGAGATGACGACGATGACGACGACGACGATGACGAGTCAGTGGGAGGCAGCTTCAAGACGTCCAAGTCAACGGCCGAGGTGGGAAAAAGGAGAATTTGCTTCTTGACGGAGCAGGTTAGCCACCACCCGCCGATCTCGAGCTTCTTTGTCGAGTGCAAAGAGGCTGGCATCCAACTGTACGGCGTCGACCAGCTCAGCGCAAAGTTTACGGGCACCAGTGAGTCGGCTCTCGGCGAGCTGGCATGGCGGGCGACGATGTGATGCTCACCCCAGTCTACTCTACAGCCATTCGAATCTTTCCTGGAGACCAGAACCAAGGCATTTTCATCAAGCTCACTGACGACTGCAAGAGCGGAGCCGTCGGGGAAGAATACCAGATTACCCATCCCACTGCTTCGATCAATGGTCTCCTCAGAGGCTCGCTTTGGGTCGCCATTTGCGACACCCTCTACATCACCTGCCGCGGTGGCACTCGCAAGGGCGAGACCGATGATGGGAAGAAGAGTCCGAGATTGAGGACGATTGTCGAGTACAAGGATGAGGTGAGCCTCTTAAAACCTTCCCTCCCCCCCTTCTCCGCACCTCAATACTGATTCCCTCGACAGAGCTGGGTTCTCAAGGCAAAGTACGCCCTTGAGGCCGTCATCTACGAGTACGACGAAGCGCAAGGGCAGGACGCCGACGAGTTCGACAAGATCCGTCAGGTGCCACAAGAGCGCATCATCGCCACCATGGAGGGCACCTGGAAGGGCCAGATCACCTGGAGGAGAAAGGGGGAAAAGGAATCCAAGCTGCTCATCGATCTGGACCAACTTTTGCCCATTGACACGAGAGGCGTTCGGCCACTCGCTTCGCAAGAGCCCATGGAAAGCCGCAAGATCTGGGAGCCCGTGACTAATGCGATTCACAACAAGGAGTTTGGCGCAGCAACGAAGCACAAACAGGACATTGAGCAGATGCAGCGAGACAAGGCGGCCGAGCGCAAGAGGAATGGCAGCGACTTTGTGCCCCGCTTCTTCCTTGCCGATATCTCCGACGGTCGGCCCAAGCTCACCGAGGCCGGGCAGAAGGCCCTCGACGGCGAGGCGCAACTCGAGGGCTACGGCACCGAGGCGTAGAACAGGCACAGCCCCTGATGGAATCGTAATGAAGAAGGGCATGACCCCCTTCAAAAGTTCTTTTATAGCCTCTCTTGATCGCAACGACGTTTTTATAAGACTCTGTCTGTGTCCAGTCCTCCCCTCGCCTTTGCTGTAGAGCCCTCATCTTTTACCTCCAACTCCTTCTCCATCTCCTCAACACATCCACTCTCAAGAAGTTAATATCGATTCCCTCACTCTATTTGTTGAGACGTGTGCCGACTTCCTCGTACGACATCTACGATGTCCAGCAGCGAGTCGACCTGGTAGAAGGAGGGAAGACTACGCTGGCTTGCAGTGTCCACTGTCTTGTTCCCCCTGTTGATCCAAGCGGCTTGCAGGCCAGCTTGTGTGGCGCCGACAATGTCCTGAGCAAAGTCATCGCCGACGTAGAGCGTTGCTGCAGCTTTTTCTTCTTCAGTCAGCGAGGAGGAGGATGAGGAGTCACGGCGGTGTGTGGACCAAGCTCGCCGGACGGCTTCTTTAAAGAAGCGGGCATCTGGCTTCTCGTAGCCAATGTCATACGATAGCGTCGCTGCTGCCCTTTCGTCCTCGCCCACGTCTGTGTTGAGGTTGATGTAAGCCGAGAGGCCGAGGTCCCTGCAGGCCAGAAGAATGGCCGAGTCTGAATTTGTCGCGAGGGACGACTGGACAGAGATGGCCCGTAATGACTTGAGCGTCTCGAGTACCTCTGCGTCGCTGGTGCCGCTAAGCCGGTATGCCTCTCTGGAAGAAAAGCGATCGAGGATGTTGGTCGTCAATCTTGGCAAGACACGATTCACTGAGCTTGGGTCCAGACCAGACGTGAGCATCGTCTGTTTGATCAGGAGCGACCACCAGGCTCTTGGGCCAGAGAGGGACGTGTGCTTTCCATAGAGGGGATGCTCCGCGGACAAAGTCTTGAACGCTGTCAAATTGACCCCTGTCAGCTGGCTGCTCCTGGTGTATGTGCAAGGGGGGCAGTGAATAGCAAGACACACCCTGCTTGAAGGCTGAGGCCATGCGCTGCTCATCAACTTGGAGGCCTGCTTTCACCGCTTCCTCGGCCTTGACGGCATGCTCCCGTTCAGTTTTTTGATCGTCTTTTCCCGGCTTCAAGGCAAGAAGCCTTCACACACCCACATATTGGAGATGAGGAGCGATGCGGGGCGAGACGAGGGTATCGAATGCATCAAACAGCACGACCTGAATGGGTCTGGCCGAGGACGCGGTCCCCAGTTGTGCACCGTGACGGACGATCATCTCCTCCTCCTCCTCCTTTCTCACTTCCTTCACTCAACGGGAATCTAATTAGGAAGCAAAAAAAAAGGTCATTCATATTGCATTACAAAACACGAACAACCCCGCAAATCGAATCTCATTGAAATCAGAGCAAATACAATCGACGGTTCCACTGTTAATATAAGCTGGCCGGCAGAAGCCCTCGTTTTTGAAAACGGTGTGCGAGATTGAAACTGGTCAGACACCCGGGTCGGTGTCGCCCTAGGGCAGAAAGACTACAGAGGGCCCAACTCCGCAAAAAAGTGTCTCCTCATTACCATTCCGCCTCTACCTTCCCACCGACACCTTGCCCCCCTCTTCTACGTTCTCCTCCTCTCCCTGACTCTTGCTCCTCCCTCCTCTTTCCTTCCACCAGGGCGTCCGACATTCCTTTGAGCAAGCATCCTCGACGTCCATCCACGCCCTTCGATCCATCCGCCCGCACACCTGGTCTCATTGTCGACCCACCAAAAGCTCTTCGTCTCCCCCCTTCTCCCTTTCCCTCTCCCTCTCTCTCTGCGCGCGCACATATAAAAGAATGCACATCCGGTCTTCCGCTGCCCTCCTTCTCGTCTCTCTCGCCGCATCTGTCCTGGCGCAGACAACAACATTCTACGGCCCTCTCACGACAAACAATGGTGTTGCCGCCTGCGTTCAATACGGAAGCTGTGCGTTTTCTTCTCTTCGCTTCCTTACCTTTTCATTTTCTTCTTCTTCTTCTTCTTCTTCTTCTTTCTTCCTTGTTTGGCTGACGGCACTGGATACTCGATACAGGCACCACTGCCTCTGGCTCGCAAGTGACTGAGACGCAGCAGGCACCCGTGACGCCGCCGGCGTCATCGCAGGCCATCGCCGCGCCGACGGACTCTGTCCAGTCGGAGCTCTCCATCTCGGCCCTGGCCGCGCAGGGCGCCGAGGCCGCCTACTCGAGCCGCGTCGCCAACGGCCAGGGCAAGAGCGGATCGGGAAACGGCGCCACCTCGGCAAACCTGACGGGCACCGTCATTGCCGGCACCACGCCCACCAGCGTGCCCGCACAGTCGACTGGCCATGCAGACGCAGCCGTCGCTGCCCCGCAGTTGGCCTCCCTCGGTGGCGGCGCACGGACACTCGCTTGGTCCCTCGCCATCGTTGCCGGTGCAGTCGGGGCCGGCGCTGTCGGTCTCTAATCCTCGATTTCTCGGAATCCTCCTTCGTGGCTCCTTGGCCCCTCTTTTCCTCGATATCCCCAGTCTCGGTTGCTTGAACACACAAACCCCCCTCTCCCTTCGCTTCTTTTTGTTTCGCAAGACCAGACTGGTCCATTTGTTTCATCTCCTTGACACACTCTCGTCTGTGCTAACTTCCAGCTATTGTGTTCTCCTGTCTTAGTCCTTTCCACTACACTCGTCGTCGCCCGGCTCTCAAAGTAATCAACTGTGACCGCGCATTCAAAAACAGCGAGCGTGAAGTGATTAGATTGACTGCAGGTTCACCGTTGTTGAACGCATCCCTCCCTTCGCGCCAAGTACAATAATTACCACTTGCTGAGGTCCGCAAATGGATCGCTGCCTCCCGCAGAGGCCCCTGCGCCTTTGCCGTTGCCATTACTGCTGCTGTTGCCCTTGCCGCTGCCGGCCTGTGGCTTCTGCCCTTGCGGCGCGGGTGTAGAGGCGCCCGACGAGTTTGGAACAGAGGACGGGCCTCCGGAAGCCATGGGAAGCTGGAGCGCGCCCCAGCCGCCGAGCTGGGAGCTCGTCGTGGAAGCTGGCCTGCTCGTGTTGGATGCGTCAAAGAGATCGCTGGGAAGGCCACCGGGTGCAGTCGCTGTTCCATTCCCTGCCGCTGTCGTCGAGGATGCAGAAGCAGAAGCAGCTGATGGAGCATCGCCAAAGGTCAGAGAGGCAAAGTCGTCCAGGACGGAGGCAGACGAGGAGCCTCCCCCCGGTGCAGCAGCCTTTGACGAATCGTCCTCATCGTCAAACGAGATGAGGTCAGTAATCTTGGCCGTGGGAACCGCATCAGCTCCTCCCTTCTTCGGGTCGATTCTGTGAGCAAAGTGAGAGGTGAAAGGGTTGTCAGAGGGCACTGGCGAATCAAGGATGGGAGAGAATAGACGTACGATGGATCGATTGTGACCGTTACGGAGAAGTCACCCTTGGAGTAAGCCTTGTGCCGCTCACACACCTGATTGATCAGGTCGTTGATTAACAGCAGCCGGTCTGTTGACGAGAGAGAGAAGCAAACACATCAGCGTCATGCTCAATCCAGCCCCCAGCGCGACTTCGAAACAGTGATGACCCACCCAAGTGCTCTGCCTCGCCCTCCTCCGCCTCTCCGATCCACTTTTGCAACCGGGGCTGCACGCTCCGCAGGTGACTCGCGATCTGATCGTATGCATCACCCTTTGCGAAAGTCTCGCCTTCATTCCGATTGTCGAGCATGTTGTTGAGCAGAATGGCCCGGCTCTGGACCTTGTCGAGATCCTTCTTCGTCTGGGCCCAGTAGTCTGGCTTGTTCTCTGGCTCGGCCCCCGACATGACTTTCATCAGCTCCTGCGCTTGAGCCAGGTCTCGTGGTGTGCCTCTTCGAATCAGCTCCTGCAGCTTGGCTCCTTGCGCCGCCCGGTCCTCCTCCTCCAGCTCTTCTGGTGATTGCAATGACTGGCAGAAAAAGCTTCAGCAGGGGGATCCTTTACAGTGCTTAGACAGCCAATGCGAGCTCACATTTTCGCTGTTCATGACACCTGCCGCGCGCGAGTCGACGTTGGGAAAGCGGTACCCTTTGGGCCACCCAGGTCAGCCTGCCGAAAATGTCAAGATACAAATGGACAAGACACACCCTTGTACCCCAGCAAGCGGTGCATATCTCGAATGTGGACCAGATCCTCTCTGTGCTTGCTGGTCACGCAGATCGTAGTCTTCCACTCTTGGATCAGCTCAAGGATCTTTTGTTGCGAAGGACTTGGAAAAACGGGGGGCCGTTCGGGAAACCGCTTGACGAGCTCGTTGAGAAACTCTTTTGTAGCGACTTGCAGGTGGAAGGGGTAGCCGCAATTCTTGACGAGGTGGTCCAACAGCTGTGGTTGAGTGTATTGTCATCAGCATAGTCAGCTCGGCAGGAGCGTGTGGAGAAAGAGTATGCCCACATGGAGAGCGAGAATGGAGACGTGAGGGTGCCGAGAGTTGATCTTGCGAACGACCTCGACAGCTGCCTCTCGAGGCGTGTTGGCCTGCTTCTGCTTGATGTAGTCGGCCAGCTCGAGGTTGAGGCCAAGATTTGGCTCTCGAAGGGAAGGATTACAGCACCGCTCTAAAATATCACATCAGTCTCGGAGCTGTGAATGCCGCCGCTGTGTGCTGCGCCAACAGCCTACTCACCTACGTGAGCCTGAACGGCTGACTGGGGGATATCTGGATCTAGGCTTCGTGCTGCCCAGTCTGCCCATGCGCCGATAGCACCGGCTGCAGAGGACGAGTTGGAGGATGACAGGGCGCCTCTCGGCCGACCCCCAGCGCCCGAGGGGCTGCCCATCGCTCGCTGCTGGTGATTGTACATCGCTGAGCTGCAGGTTGGGCTTGCCTGCTTCGAGCTGGGGTCTCGCAAATCGCGTAGCGAATCTATTCGCAGTTGAATCAAGGGCGCCCAGGACTAGGAAGCTGTGTTGAAAAGACGAGGGCCGGCGAGAAACACCCCAAGTCTGGCGAGGCGAGGCGAGAGAGGGAGAGAGAAGATTGAGCTGATCGCCGATAGTGGCCAGAGCCAAACCAGCTGGAAGCCAGGCGGAGGTTAGCGGGCCACGTGGAAGATCTACTCCACTTTCGCAAGCTTATTATATATTCTTTGGCAGGCAATGCGCGAAGCCAGGCCCGGCCCAGGTCGGGCTCGACAGACGATGCTCCGGGAGAAGGAGGCACGGAGGGCCGCATACATTGAGGGGAGCGACCTAGAGGAAGTGGAAGATGAGGCATATACACCCAGCAGAAGGAAGACAGAGAATATCGAAAGACTATCGGCGACCACCAGCGCCCTGATTCGTGCAAGCTCGACCTTTCCCTCGTTTTCATTGATCGTGGCCGAAGTCGTCCGCAACGCTCTCGATGCTCATAATGTCAAGTCAGTCTCTGCCGAGCTCACCTTTGCTCCAGAGTGGCAGGTTAGGTGCGAGGATGACGGCGAAGGCTTCGAGGAGAAAGCATGGCCAGGTATGACATGGGACAAGGTCCTTGAGGTATCGACCAGCGCGACTCCGCCATTCATAGTCGGAAGCAGCTCTGCTCGTCGCAGTCGTCAATCGCTCTCTCAACTTGCGCACCTGGGCACCCTTGACATATTGACCGCCGTTCAGGGCAGCCAAGCCAAGTCGCGGCTTCTCGCTCAGGATGACAACATCATCTTCTGTGGTCCCCACGCCGCAGCTGCCAGTGGCTCGCATCGAGGCTCGACAGTCGTAGTTCGCAACCTCTTCGCCAAGGTAGGAGAAGAGAAAAAAATTGCGCATGATTGTAGCAGAAGTTCTGACTGCTTGCTTTCTCTAGCTCCCTGTACGCCGTCAGGCCCTGGCGTCAGCCTCTGCGGTTCGAGCTGAGCTGGAAGAATGCCGTCGTCTAGTCGCGCTCGAGTCGCTGCGCAGACCAGAGGTCAGGTTAAAGGTGTCGGTACCCACTTCGGCAAGAGATCGCGTGTTGCTTGACGTTGGACGTGTGAGTGACCAGCTCAGCACAACACAGCTTACCTTGTGAACCAGCCTGATTGAGATGCTCATCCTCCACTGCAGTCTCCCAGCCTTGTGTCGCGATATGAGATGCTGTATGGCCTCGAGGTTACCAGCTGGGACTTTGCTGAGACGCTTCAAGAGTCTCGATTGCTGGAGACCAGGTCTGGAAACAAGGTTGAATGCTACGTCGAAGGCTTTCTCGCCTTGGAAACGTTACCGTCGCGAACCCATCAGCTCTTGTTTATGAACGACGTCTGCATCTCCCAGCATCGAGGAGGTCGTGGAGCCGCTGACGACGATTCATGGCACTTCCTGAACGAGCTGTATGATGAGATGAACCTCCACCAGCGCAGTAGCGCCAGCAGCGACCAGATCCACCTTCATCAAGTCGTTCGGGATGTCTTCAAGAAGAGCGAGGTGGCGGGCATCCTTAATGACGACTTGGACAGACCAATAGCATCTCGGCTGATGAGAGGTAGAGAGGCTACCCCAAGGCGCTTGTTTGAGTACGGCTACCTAATCCGGCTCTCTCTGCGCGAAGCAGAACCTTCCTCAGCCAGTGACGAGCACACGCTTTCGCATATCGACGTCGCTTCGGCAGTAGAGGACGTCGTGGAAAAGGCACTGGAACGTCGAGGCTTCTTTGCTCCTATGAAGAGGCTGCGGGAGAACGCAGGCGGAAGACGAACCCGCAATGGATCTGCAGAGAACCACGGCCAAAAGAAGCGTCGAACAGTGCCACGGGAAGGCGAGGATGAGGAGCTTGAAGTCCGTACCCCCGAGGCCAACGACTATCGGAGCATCGACCGAAGCTTCCTCAACCACGATCCTAAGGTAACGCTTGAATCCATCGCGCAGCCGCCCGAATGGATGAGGAAGTCTGTGGCGCGCGCTGTTCCAGCCTTTGCAACGCAAACGTCTGTGGCGCAGGAAGAGACAATTCCTTCAACTGCTTCCCCAGCGTCTCACCTTGTCGGCCACGATCGCTTTACCAAGGCTGCTGCTACCAAGTATGAGTTGAGCTTGGCGCTTCCCTCGCAATCTTCAAGCCGATTTTTCGGTGGTACTCATTCATTGACCACGCAAGCTTCGCTCGAGAAGGCCTCGCTGAAAGACGCTCGTCATATTACGCAGGTTGCCAACCAATTTCTCGCTTGCGTCGTTGACCTTCACGATGGCAACGACGAGGCCTTCGTCCTCGTCGATCAGCACGCGGCCGATGAGCGAGTGGGTGTAGAGCGTCTCTATCGCCGCTACGTCGAAGGCTGTTCACTCGGCACGCCTCCCACTCGGCAGCTGAGGCAGCCTGTCAGGATCCAGCTCTCGGGTGATTTGATCCGGCAATTTCGTCCTCCGCATGCTCAGCAGCTTCTCTCCTACTGGGGCTTTGGCATCCGTGCGATAGACGAAGCTGGAGTGGGGTCAATCGAGCTCAGTGAGCTGCCCGATTATTTTAAAATAGAGACACTCTCGGCACACGACCTGTCGGACCTCGTCAGGGGTTTGGCCGTTTGGCTGCAGGAGGGCGGAGGAGCTGGCCGCGCCGCGGTGGCGGGCTGCGAACAGGAGCCGCCAAGAACAGAGGAGCACTGCTGGGTTAGTGCGCTGCGCCATATGCCGCCACGGATGAAGGATGTCATCAATTCCAAGGCCTGTCGGAGTGCAATTAGTGAGTTGTGGTACCGTGCGGGATGGTTGAGGGTGGGCGGATTAATTGGCTGATCCGATTGTCCGTCTGCTCAGTGTTTAGCGACGAGCTCTCCGACGAGCAGTGCAAGAAGCTGCTGTGCCGGCTGGCCGAGGCGGCCTTTCCCTTTCAGTGTGCCCACGGAAGGTGAGCCGTCTTCACCATACGCGCGGTCTAGTGTCCTCTCGCTGACGGACTCTACGACAGGCCCACGATGGTGCCCATCTGCTCTCTCAGCGCCTGTGCGGCTCCCAAGGAGCGGCGACCGATCCGTTGGCATGCTCTTCGAGGCCTCGCCACCGCGGCATCGGAATCGAAATTACCACAAATCTGACAGCTCGAATGACAGTCCCTCTCCTCCCATCCTGTATCATACTGTGTACTGTACAATATTACAACAATCTCTCTTGGAGCTCGCGCGCGGCTCAGGAGCTCCATCGACCTGGTACTCGACCGGCAAGACTGTCCGCTTAGACGCACGCTATGTCCAAAGATAGGCAGATGACAAGAGCGTGGCTCCCTTATCCATTCTTCTTTCGTGGCTTGAAGAGGGCTTGTCAATCTTACCACATCTCCTCTGGACGCGTTCAAAGTCCTCGGCTTCCAGACCGTCGAGACCGTCAAAGCCAGGGTCTCGGCGCGCCTTTCTTCTCGCCCCAGGCCAAAGAAACGAAATGCAAGAAAAAAAAAAAAAAGGCAGAGGGGAAAAGAGGAACGGGAGGAAAACTAGTCTCTTCACACATAGATACGACAGACGGTATTTGGTGATAGGCAGGTGGACAGGCTACTGGGAAAAGAGAGAGGGAAAGGCGGGCCTCTGGGCTGGTGCGCATGCATGAGGTACGAACAAAGTGACAGGCTGTAATCCATTAATCTGTGTAATGTCAGTACCTGCATTCCGCCTCACTACCTGCAGCAGGAGCGGTAACGAGTGTAACAGCAGCAGCGACAGCGTATCGGCAGCAGCCTACGCATCCTGCCCCGTTGTTGAGAAGCGCAAAGTGGGCTTGCTTATCGTCGCTTCCTTTCCCCGGACGGAGCTCTGAGGTCGCTTCACCTCCCTGTTACGGCCCGCTCTCGGAACTTTCCAGGAGAGGACCTTGAAAACGGAGGAGCCCCCACCTTGGCCCACTGCGAGGGTCGCCAAGCGATCATCTTTTGTCCGTTAGTGCCTCCGACTCTCTTGCTGTCGTCAACGTACTGAGGGACGAATTTGACGACGACGTACAAGGACGCGAGAGGGAAAGAGAGTGAGAACACGTCGACGTCGCTCGGTGAAGGAAAGGAAGACCGACTCCTACTCGCAGCGGACGCAATTATTTAAACACAGGGCCACAGGCAGTCGCCCACCATTCAGTAAGAGAGCTGTGCTCCCAAAGACTCCTACAGAGAGCGCACGCCCGAATAGGCGAGCATCGCTCTCTCTAGGCGGGCAGAGGGCATTTGCTCGTCCTGCCACAGCGTGGGTGGACAGCGCCGCTCCCCCTCTCCCTCCTTGAGGCTTTGTCCCCTTTCAACCAAGGAGAGCTGGCAGTTGAGGTGAGCATAGACTTGTCGGAGCCCGAGGAAGGCGTTCCGTTTGCCCCTACATGTCCTGCTGAGGGATTTATTGCCGCCAATGTGGGCCAAGGGCGAAGTAACTGACAGAAAAGAGAGGAAGGGGAAAGGAGGCGTGTCAGCGTGTAGAGGTCGACATCTGCTGATGAGGGACGCTCATTCTCCCGTGTCTCCTCAGAGCCCGCAACGACCAAGCTTTTAGTCCAAACCACCAGCACAAAGGACCCAAAGTAAGCAAAGTATACAAGCAATGGCAAGCATCCGAGCTTCATCTCCGCGGGCAACGGTAGATGAAGTGCGCAGTCGACCACAGTTAACAGTCGTAGGCGCCGGCGGTGCGTGTCTTTTCTTCCAATATGCTAAGGATGTTTGCCCGTCGCATTCTGGCCCTACCCCTCATCCGACTCGGTCGCTCACCCCTTGTTATCTCATCCTCACTGACATCTCCACAGTTATCGGACTGACGGTCGCAAATGAGCTATGCGAGCATGGCTTCGATGTCGAGGTCATCGCGAGAGACATGCCCTTTGATGAGGCTTCCTCCATGCAGTGGGCTAGTCCCTGGGCCGTGAGTGGGGCTGCTCCTCTTCTCTACTCAAAGTGCTCAACGAGCGACTCAATCGTCCCGTACCCCGTCGTCTCAATCTACAGGGTGCAAATTGGTGTTCTTATGCCGACGAGAGCCTGACGAGGGTGCAGCGATGGGAGAGGACGACGTGGCATCGATGGATGGACCTTCACAAGAAGCGACCGGACATGATTGACGTAGGTAGTTGCGCCGATACATGCCTCGAAAGATACCTCAGCGTTATTCAACAACACATTCCCATTTTTTGGTTTGCAGCTCGTTCCGATCCAGCACGAGCTCGAAGCGAGCCAATCGACGGATGTCTGGTTCAAAGACCTTGTGCCAAAGGTGAGGTGCTCATCGGGACAGCTTCATATCAAATAGCATACTCACGCCCGAATACACGAACAACTCAATGCCCTAGTTCGAGGTTGATACTCAAGATCACACGCTGCACTACGAGTCCTTTTGCGTTGACGTTCCTTCATACCTGTGCTACCTCTACGAGACACTTCTGGAGCAGCAAAAGCAACGCGGATGCAGAGTCACCTTCCGTCGCGTACCCACCGTCGAGTCACTTGCTCATTGTCTCTCGACGCCGCCTTCGCTCACGCCAGCGTCGTCGCCCTCTGTCTCGCCCGAGCGTGCCCTACCTTCGACCAAGACAATCCCTTCGGTCACGACAGCGACTTCGACGACTTCGCAAGACGTGCCCACGATCGTGATCAATTGCACTAGTTCTGGCTCTCGCTCTTTGCCAGAAGCTGGTGAAGACGACTGCCTGTATGGCGCACTGGGACAGACGGTCCTCGTCCGCGTTCCACCGTCAGACCAGCAAGATGCGCCAGCCAAGACAATCCCGATGAGGATTCGACCAGGTGGCAGCTTCACCTCTTCGTGCAGGGGAATAAGCCCCCTCCGTAATGAAACTGGGGCACAAGACGCTGCTGAACAGATAGAAGACCGGGACGCTCACTCCTTCACCTACATCATCCCTCGAGCACGCTCGGGAACCGTGATCCTCGGTGGGACTTTTGTTCCCTTTAAGTTCCCTCGTACCCTCAATTCCTCGACTTCCCACAATTGGCTAGAATGGAGCGCTGACGAAGAGCAGACGAAGCGCATCGTAGAGCAGTGTCTCGAATGGGAGCCTCGGCTGGGCACGGTAAACGCGACAGGCGAGCCAACGGTCGACATTGTCTCTGTCGGCCTTGGCGTTCGCCCGATGCGAAAGGGCGGCGCTAGGATCGAACGAAGCACTTTTCCCCATCACAAAGCGGGCAGAGACGAGATCGTCCACGTTGTGCACGCTTATGGGCTCGGTGGTTCGGGCTACCAGCAGAGCTGGGGCGTCGCAAGCGACGTTCGGTCCCTCGTAGAAGAGATTCTCGCAGAAGAAAAGGTCCAGAGAGGACCATAAAAATAGAGCTTTCTCGCAACCATTTGTAGAGTAGACGCTTCCTACACTTATGCATTTTTATTGCTCTAACTTCATGTGCGTAGACATGGGCTGTACTCCGATGGCAAGCTGAGGAAGAGGTGTACCGAGTGTGAGGCACGTGCAGTGTGTCGACCACGTGGAGCTCATGTACCCCGCATTTTAGTCGATGCAGGACCACGCAACCGCGCGTGCAATGCCGGATTTTAACTTTGTTGAGCAGGGTCTCCTGACCTTGTCCTGTCCGCTGTCGTGGCTTGTCGCATCGCTCCCATTGAGCAGAGCAAGAAGTCGAATGCGAGCAAGATACATGGGCAGAAAGAGTGACGCTGTAGAGGGCGTGGCAGGTACATCCACGCCCAGAGGCTGTTCCGTTTGCGGTCCTGCCTTTTGACAAGAGGAAAGCAGGGAAGGGGGCATGAGAGCGCGCTGGTGGCCCGTGCCACTTTTGCCCGGCCCGTCGAGCGAGAGACAAGGGGAGAGAGACCCACTGAAAAATAGCCCAAAGCAGTTCCCGGAATCCATGGTCCGCCTTCTGGCCTGCCTGCCTCGCATCAAGTGGGTCCAGATCTCTCTCGGCGAGATAGCCCCCACTGACTACTGTAGGGTAGTAGTGTAGTACTTCGTTATGGCTTTTACCTTAGCTTGCGATGGCTTGATTATCTATCGATATCTATCATGGATGGATGGATGGTCTGTGCTGATATTGAAAAAGAAAGCCAGTCTCATCGTGTGAGCTAGCCAGATCAATGCCTTCCCTTTGCCGACTAGTACTCTGCAAGCGGCGCCCACTATTGCAGGGAATCGAGAGAAGCAGTAGTAGTAGTAATGGTCTGGGTACAGAAGCTGTCTCGTTTTATTTTCCTCCGTCCGGGCGAGGCTTTTGACCGTTCCAGTGCTGATGGTCCCCACTTGGGCTGAACTCAATTCAACGCATTGGCTGCCTAAGTTGGCCCATGCGCACCCTCCCACCACGCCCGGCCAGCGAGCCCATACAGTCTGCTATATAATCCCCCCGTTAGGATCCCATCCCCCTTTCTCCCCTTCCACCACCCTACGATTGACCCACCCACTTCGCTTTGAGCAACCCAGAGAATAGTTTTCAAGATGGCAAAGAAGGACAAGAAGCAGCAGGACGATTCGACTGCCGCTTCTGCCCCCAAGGAAAAGAAGGCCGTGAGTCATCACTTCCTGCTCCCCATCACCACCCATCCGTCCATCCATCCATCCATCAGCCGTCTGTTCCATCCCCTTCCCACCTCTTACTCCCTATCCACTGATTGTGTGAGAGCTGACCGATGGATTTCGACTCCCTACAGCCCTCTCCCGGCGGCATCTACTTTGACTCGTCCGACGCGACCGTCGACGCGACGGCGAAGCTCGTCAACCTCACGCACATCACCAAGCCGTGGACCCGGGATGCGTGGGAGCGTGCAAAGCCATGGATCCTCGAGCAGCGACAGAAGCTCGAAAGCAACGGCTGGTCCAACGCCGATGGCGCTAGGGTGAGTCCTCTGCTCGAAAGCCGGGTGCTACAGCCAAGCTGACATGGCTTCACACCGCCATTAGACGGAGCTCTTTGTGCTCAAGAAGAACGCCCCTCCGGGCTCATTCACCGAGGATGGCTGTGAGTGTTTACGATTATGTTCTACCCCTGACTGAGAGGCGCTGACATGGAAGCTTTAGCCATCTACATCAGAGTCCCCAAGAAGTTCATCGATTTCAACCGATCCGGCAAGACCGCTGGCGGTGACGATGCTCCTGCCGCTGGAGCCGACGAGGGCGCCGCCGATGGCGAAGAAGGCGCGAAGAAGAAGAAGACCTCGAGGATCTCCAAGAAGAAGGAGAATGCACCAACATACGAACTCAACGACCCCTGGGTCTGGCGCGTCAAGATCGACGGCGCCGACAGTGAAGACATCAACAAGGAGCCAAACGTGGCTCTCGACGTCTTGGAGCCTATGGAGAACATGTGAGTCACTTCACTTATAATCGAAGAGATCGCCCTCAACTGACGCGCCAGGGTCACCCACAGCCTCTATCTCGTCATGACGCTCCAGCCCGGCCTTATCCGGCTGCACGCCGAGCGCAAGGATGTCGTCCAGCCCGGCACCAAGCAGTCGACCCGCCGAGACGACGGTGAGAAGCCTACGATTCGTCATCAGGCCATGGTGGCCTCGCACGAGTCGTACCTCCGCATCTTGCCCCCTGCCTTCTGGTTCAAGAAGAATGCCGAGGTTCTCCGGAAGATCCTCAGCTCTCAGGGTAACGCTGAACAGTCCAAGGAGTATGACGAGACGCTGGCTGCTGCCGAGAATGTCCAGCGCAGCCACCAGCGCACCGTCAAGGACGTCAAAGAGAAGACGTGGGAAGAGGTCATCGAGGGTGCTCCCTCCGCCAACACCGAAGGTGGCGCCAAAGCTAGCGCCGGCGGAAAGAAGGGCAAGGCGGCGAAAGCCACTGCTGAGCCTGCCACGGCGGCTGTCTAGGCGCACCAACCTCCTGTCTGCCTAGGCGGTTTGAGAACTCGTCGTTCTCGCACTTCAAAGTTGCACGGCCGCCCAGGTTAAATCCTTCGGAAACCTCATAAATAAACAAACATACGACGACCTTTCTCTTCGTTTCTTCACCACTTTCTTCATTACTAAATTGGCTCAGTCTCTACCCATCTTGTATCGTCTCTCGGCCTGGGCGGCCATGTAACAGTGTCTATCTTCTCCAATCAAGTGTTTTCCCCATTACCAAAGCTCGATACGACTGATAGATTGATTGAAATTCGGGTAGATTTATCATCTAGCTGTTTGTCGGTGACAGACAAGTGAAGGAAGCTAAGGTATAGGAACGGAAATGTAGACCGCGAAGAGGTGTTGATGTTCTTCAGCAGTGAGACCTTGATATTGTACAGTACATGACGGTAGCGAGATTTGCTGTCAAATTGCCGTGCATCTACCTAGTCCTTGAGAAGCTGTTGCTATTGATGCTGTTGCCAGCCTTGCTATTCATCTTTGACTTCTTCGTCTCGGGGCTGGAGCCAACCTTACCACCACCATCTGCAGAGTCCCAGCCTCTCTTCGCTGCTGCCGCTCCCACCGATGACGACGTGGATCCACGGTCGCGCAGACGAGGTGAGGACGACAGCGTCGAACTCGGCGAGGTTCCCGAGTCCCCATTTACACTGATTCTCGACGAGCTTCTCACCGCCAAATTTTGGTGCGACTTGGGCTTGACGTCTGGAGTTGTGTACCCGTGCACGGTGGACTTTCCTCTGACGACGTTGCTGTGCGAGGTGGTCGGGCTGACAGAGGCTTTCACACTCTGTTTACGAGCGCCGCCGACAAAGCCTGTTGCAAGAGCCATGTCGATCTTGTTAGGAGAAGATTCTGCGAAGTTTCGAATTTGCGCTGTTTGCATGCTAGCATGAGAAGCCAATGACACGGCACGAACATCGTAGCCAGCCTTCTCAGCATGTCGAGAGGTTGGCTGTTGCCAAGATGGTCTCTTCGCAACGGGCGAAGCACGCTCGCGACGTTCTTGCAGCTGTGATTCAGTGTGCTGGAGGGACCCAATGTCAGTCTTGCGACCTCAAGTCGGACGACAGAAACACTCACAGTACTGTCGTCCGCTTCGTCTGGATTCATGAAGCGCCCCTTGCTGCGGGGTCTCTCAATTTCTGGCTTCTGGGGCTGGACAGGTGGTATGAACTGGTCGCGCTGTGCTTGAGGATGGTGCTGAATATGCTGATATCTTCGCGCCTCGTACCCATTAGCGTCCGCGTTTCCAAGAGCGCCTTTCCCAGGATTCAACCCCTCTTTCTCTCCTGGGAAGCATACGCCACTGTCGTCGTACAGATTCTCGTCGGGCGAAATATCACGAGCGACGAGCGCCTCTTCGACATCAAAGTCGATTGCCATAGATTCCGCCTCTGCCTCAGTGGTGTCGAAGTCGCCGAGGTCGCTAAAAGAGTCGCTTGGAAGAAAGGTGCCTTCGAGATTGAGATCTTCATCCTTGATCGCAAGCATTTCACTATCATCAAGCTCGCCAAAGAGCTGAGCTGTCTGGGGTCTGGCTTCGATCATCGTGTCTAGGCGAGATTGCGCTTGAGCTCGCGGCATGCCCTCGTCGGAGAGCATCTGTTTGGCTTGGGGTAAGCGTGACGCGGCCATAGGCCTCTGCAGAGGCGGTCCCATTGTTTGTCGATCAGGCTGCGAATTGTGTAGGTTGGCGAGCTCCACCTCCATCAGTCTCTTCTGCTCTTCCAAGCGCTGTACGTATGCCTTGCGCTCGTGCTGCTCTCGTTTCTCGCGCTCCTCTACCGCCTTGACCTTTCTTCTATCCTGCTCTTCTTTCTTTCTCTGCAGTAGAACCTCCTTCTGTTTGTTGGCTGCCGCCAGCCTTCTGCGCTTCTCAAGGTCCACAGCCGAAGTCGAAAGGACGTCCTCGTCTTTCGATGCTGGTGTCGCTGCAGCGGCTGTCTGGTCCAGCTCGCGAAGAGGATGTACAGTATTAGGTTGATTAGTGGTATCCGCAGGGGGATTTTTGGAAGGAGATGTCTGATCTGAAGTGTATCCGGCGGGATGGTGCGCACTCGCCGGTGTAGTCGTCGGCACCGATCGAGACGCTGAGAGGTTGGGACGAGAGGCTCCAGACATGCTCTGTTGTTCCCTTACGTTGGTTCCGGCCGAACAAGATGGTGGAGATTGTGGTGCCCTCTTGAGGTCACTGGTATCGTACTGTGGCTAGTAGAAGGAGGTGGATGTCAACCACCAATGCGTTATGACGTCTGGACTTGGGCTCACAGGATTTGCTCTCATCTTGGAGGCTTTCTCGACAAACTTCTTGTCGTAGACACAATTTCTGTCATCTTAATGGATCAGCAAATCCTTCAAGGAGATTGATCCTAGTTCAGCTCCTCACCCAAGCAAGCGTCCGAATGTGCGCATTGCGCGCTTGAGAGCATCGGTCACGGCCTCCTTCTTGGCCTTTTCAAGAGCCTGGCTTTTCTTCGGTGAATTTTCTGAGCTTCCATATCCGACGTCCTACGATGCAAGATGGTCCAGGGTCAACTCAGGTGCTGCAGCCATTGCGAATCAAGCGCATATATACCTCATGGAAGGTGCCGTCGCGAAGTGTAATACGGACGACGCTCGTGACACCGACATTGAAGCGATTGTTAGGAAGCTCGTCCATCTGAGCGAGTGGAAGTGAGCTTCTCGATTACGAAATGGAATCCGCCACGCTCACAAAGTCAATGTCGAGCTTCATGACGCTCGAGCACCATCCATTGAAGCCAAAAACCTCGTTTGCCAAGTCGATCACCTTCCATCCTTCAAGGTAAAAGAGCTTTCCCCCTGGCACAGTGTCATTAGTTGTGAGGCTGTGAAACGACGATTAAGATCGTCAAAGGCACTTACCCCCAGACGGCCCGCTTCTTGTTGAGATGTACTCGGGCCCCAGCCTCTTACTCAGAGCAGACTGCAAGAGGGCAATTTGTCTCGCTCCATCTGCACCTGGGTCGCTGATGGACGACGCAGGATAGAATCCGTACGTGTCCTTTCGCTGGTTACTGTTGCTGCTGCCGTGATTGGTTGAGGAAGCCAAGAGGGCCACTTTCGCATCAGCCTTTTGCTGTTCTTCGACCTCGCCCTTCGTGTGTACATATCCTTCTCCGAGCGAATGGCGGGGCTTCCCTGTTTCCATCGCGTGCGTTTCGAAAGACTGAAAGTCTAGTTGTTGACTGGTGTAGATCGGTTGCCCGTTGCCTGGATGCTGCTCTGCCAGCTTCACGGCCTCTCCCTCTCCGCCGAATGGCAGGCTTGAGGAGTTGTGACCGCTGCGCAGCTGGACCAGATTCTGTCCCTCCTCTTGCTGCTGTGCTCCACACTCCAAGAACTCCGTTGTCCCTTGTGACTCGTACTGGCCAATCAGTGCACCTGAATGAAGCGCTGCGGCATTCATCAACCGACCTGCATGCCCGTATGGCCCTCTTTCGCTGTTTCGTGTTGGTCTCAAAGAGCTCAGCGCCGAACGCTCAACCCAATTTTTGCCCGACGCGAAATATCACGTGTAAATCTCCATCACTGAGCTTCTGGGCACGGCTTGCTCGCCACTTTCCTCCCTCGTCGTTAAACACCACCAGCAAAGCTACGCCGCCAAGATGTCGGAGCGAAAGGTGCTAAACAAGTACTTTCCACCAGGTGCGTCTACCTTGATCTTCTCCTCTCCCCCTCGCTCTGAATTGCCCTGCTGACTTCCCTTCTCACGAGCAGACTTCGACCCGTCTAAGGTCCCTCGGCGCAAAGTGCCAAAGGACCGACAGGAGGTGATTCGTCTGATGGCGCCTTTCAGCATGCGCTGCAACACCTGCGGCGAATACGTGTACGCCGGAAAGAAGTTCAACGGCCGCAAGGAGGTGGTGCAAGGAGAAAGCTACTACGGCATCAAGATCTTTCGCTTCTACATCAAGTGTCCCCAGTGCTCGGCGGAGATTACGTTCAAGACGGATCCCCGGAATGCGGACTACACGGTCGAGCATGGCGTCTCGAGGAACTTTGAACCGTGGAGAGAGGCGAAGGAGGAGGCAGAGGAGGGCGATGATGGGGATCCATTGGCCCATTTGTTGAAGGAGGATGGCATCGATGTGGATGGCGATGACGACGAGGACCCAATGAAGGCGCTCGAGAAGCGCATGGAGGAGTCCAAGCGGGAAATGGAGATCATGGACGCCTTGCAAGACATCAGGACGAGGAACGCGAGAAACGAGCGTGTGGGCGACACCGACGAGGTTCTAGCGAGGCTGGAAGCGAAGAAGAGAGAGAGGGACTTGCTGAAGGGGCCGAGCCCAGAGGAGCTCGAGAGGATGAGGCAAGAGGAAGAGGACGAGATCCTCGTTCGTAAACATTTTGGAAGGGATCTCGCTGCCGCTGAGACATCGACCTCTGACGCGGAACAGGCGCCAAAGTCGGAGCAAGAAGGAGCCCACGGATCGCCCGCTGTCGAGTTTCGCGGACCTTCTGCGAAGCCTCTTACGATCAAACGAGCGCGGTCCGACGAAGAGGCAGACGACGAGCCAGACGTCACCACACTCCTCTCCGAACGGGCTCGGGCTCACTTGATGCCTGCAGCAGCCGCATCCACCTCATCCTCTGCAATAGCTTCCAAGGTGAAAGCTGGGCTTGGACCCTCGTCAGCGTCCAAGAAGAAAAAGGCAAACGCCTTTGGCCTCGTACGCAAGAAAACGTAGGGCACTGAAGCACACCTCTACATGTATTTGTACTCTTGCGCTCTCCATCACATCCCAAGCAATATCAGTAGTGTAACATTGGTCAATTGATAGTAAGAAAGCAGGCCAGGGTAAGAAATTGAGGAACGGTATTGGTGTGGATCTGCATACAAACAAGCACTACGGAAGGTCGCATGAAGCGACCATAAGAGAAAAGAGAGGATATTGGTATCATACAAACAGAGATGATTCTTCGCTCTTTATTGTTCCACTGGCGAGAGCGTCGGAATGTCGACGGAGACAATCCCGAAAGAGGCAGCCTGTCGGGCCTGCTCGTCCTTTGACGGGAAGACAAGGCCGAAGCTGACTGACGTCGAGGAAGAGGTCGACGACGAGCGCGAAGAGCTGCTCATCCGTGGCTTGTTGGGTCTCGCAGAGGTGGACGAGGCTGAATCGCTCGCCTTTCGGAAGGTGGAGGAAAAGGATGGACTGGGCAGAGACAGTCGCTTGCTGCGCGGAGGGGGCGATGACTCCAGAGTCGAAGGCCTGGTCGACCTCGGACTCGGCTGACGGGCCGAGGAAGAGACGGGAGGAGAGGTTGCGTTGGTGATGGGAGAGTGAGGTGGGGATCGCAGCCCGTTGGAGGACGAATTTGAGCTTGCGCCGCTTGCCCAACCGTGTCGCGGCGCATCGAGCATCGTAACAAAAGGAGCAGAAGCAGAAGTAGGCATCGAGGGGCTACGTGACGACGAAGTGCCAGCAAGAGGCTGCGGCGGAGAATTTGGTGCTTGACGATACGGTAAGCGGACGCCCATTCGCTCCTGGAAGCTTGGGCTAGGCGAGACGGCAAGACGAGGCGACACCTGGTCTGAACTGGCGCTGAGGGGCGATGGCCAAGAAGGGGGACTTGCATGCGGTGGCTGTAACGAACCGACCTGGACTCGCGGCGACCTTTCGTCTGACTGACTAGGGATACCAATCGGCGTTGTCGAAGACGTTGGCCGAGAAAAGTCCTTGCGTTGGCCTGTCTCCGTTGGCGTCAAGGTAATCTCATGTTCCTCGTAGCCATCATCGTCATCGTCATCGTCATCGTCGTCGTCCCCGTCTAGGACTTCTCCGCCGTCTGTCTCGTCTTCCTCTTGATACCAACTGCGTTTGACATATTTCTCAGTCCAGTAATTCTTGTCTCTCGTCGGTCCAGTGCCGATGCCCTTCGGCTTGAGCGCCTCATAGACACGATTTGCCCTTTCGTTTCCCCAGAGTCTCGCGGACTGGATCTGCTCTTCTGTCCAGTCGTCGAGATCGACTGACTTGACTTTGCTGATCTGCACGCCCAGGCCGCGGTGGATACCCGAGCACGTGATGCAGATGAAGATGCAGCAGGGCTGGTTGTGGAGCATCCAGCTCGACCAACGCGGGTCCGGCTGGCCACAGTCGGCGCACGACGCATTGCTCGACAGGTGGGCTAGTCGGGCAATCTCCGCCGCTCGGCTCTCCCGGGTTCGGAACTGGAAGCCGCTTGATGAAGACTCGGAGCTCGTCATGGTGGAAGAGCGCTTGTGAGCCGACAAATATGAAGCCGACGTCAATCCCAAGCCTTGCGTCGCACCACCGGAGGACCCTCCGTAAGAGCTTTGAATCATGGCCTCGATCTTGCGATCGTAATCAAAGCCTACTTCGCTTGACGGCGATTGCTCCTCGGTCGCGTCCGAGCCCAGGTTACGAAGGTGTCGGTACGAGTTGTTGGATGAAGAGACGTTGGGGGACATGGCCGCAGAAGAGCAGGCGAAGAGGTCGGGTTGGCTGTCGGCGTTGACGTAGCCCGAGACTGGAGTCTTGTTAGAGATGCCCCGCTCGTGATTGGACGAACCGTGGAGCCAAGGCTTGGTGGGCGAGGGTGCCGATCCCCTTCCCTCGCTCAACGTAGCCAGGTGGGCTGAAGTGAGATTGGTGTTGGTCCGACTGTCCCTCTTTGAGGCTCGCACGCCTTCGACGCCCTTGGCAAACAAGCGTACCGGTCCACCGCTTGAGGCACTCGAAAGATCCGTCAGGCTTTGGCTAAAGGCTCGATGTTGGCCCAGCGCATCGACCGAATCGCCATTCACAGGTTTGCCATTGGAAGCTCCTCTGAAGGCACCAAACTCGCCGTCCGGATTCGGACTTCCTCTCGCCACCTTTTCGATCTGCCGCACCGAGCTGGTGCCATTGATGAGGCTCTCGATGGCCATTGAAATGGCGGCGATCCATTCCTTCATTGTCGCTTCGTCTGGCGCCTGGAAGAAGCGCCTCGACTCACGCGTGATGACCTCGAAGGCGAAGCGTCTCTCCACGCCACGGGCCTCTCTCACAGTCGCAAACCGTAAATCGATCAGGGGTTGACTTGGTTCGAGGACCTTTGGGTCCCGCCACTCTGCGTATTCGCCCAGATGGCCAGAACCTGACAGGACGACCCAGCACTCTCGCCAGTGCGATGATCTGTTGATTCCCCTTGGCACATCTGCCGTGCCTCCTCCCATCATGATAGGCTTGCTCATTGCCCAGAGGATCCCTTCCTTCTTCCGCCCGGACGCCTGCTTGGGTCTAGCCCCTGGACGGTTCAAGTCGACAGGCGACAGAGCGGCCTTCTTCATCGCAGGATTAAGAGCCAATGGCTGTAGGTGCTGACTGTCGCTCGACGATCGTGACATTGGGCCAGAAGAGTGCCGGTTCGTCGTCGCTGTTGTTGCTGCGTTGGGAGGCGATGTAGAGATCATGTTGGCGAGCAGGTCAAAGTAGGAACCATTCATCAGCTTGGGACTCGACGATCCACTGGCGGAGAAGGACAGGCTACGCCTCGACACGGCTGGTCGCTGACCGGACTCAGGTTCGCTGGGCTGCTGAAGGGGCGGACTGCTGGTTGAGGGAACCATCGAGCTGACCCGTGGTCTCTTTGCGTCATTGTTCCCATTCTCCATCCTGAGCAGAGGAGCAATCCTCGGGTCTTCAGGAGAAGCTTGGCTAGCCTCTCCCATCGTACCCTGATGACCTGGCCTGAATCGTTGCTGGATCTTATTGAAGACAGGGCTCGACATGGCTACCGAAGGGTTGGATAGAGGCTGCATCTTGAGAGATATCTTTCTGCGCACCCTCTGCCCAGCTCCACCCTTGGTAGGCGAGTCTACTGCGCTTGCCTCCTCCGCGGTGTCGATGCTGTCGTTGGTCACCGAAGCGACCAGGGTGGATGCTGGCCCGGGGCTGGTATTGGAAGCCGCAACTGTGGACGTGCCCCTGCCAATGGAGCTCAGGATTGTCTTTATGCGATGACCAGGCTGACGAGCGGGCTCTCCGTCTGCTGAGCGAGGGCTTACGAGGTCCCACGACCCTGCTGCAGCACTCATTTCGGCGTCGCCTCTACCGTCCTGCGAAGACCACAACCTCGCCTCGAGGGACTCCTCGTGCTCTCTGATGCGCTCAACGCGCTCCTTGACCTTTGCCTCTTCGAGTCTGGTGCCAACCTCAAAGCCTTTGAGCATCGACTGAGCTTCCTCCGTGGGCCACTTCTGTCCCCAGTTCGAGCCGGGGAAGTTGGCATGCCATCGACAGAGCAAGAGCATCTGCTGAGCAAGCTCGAGCTCAGCCTCGCCGCCATGGAGCGCATTGGCCGATCGGAAGACGTCGAGCCGGGCGAGGTCGAAGCGAGCTTGCCGTATCTTTTGCTTCTCGTCCATCCGTTCCTGCTTCTGCGACGCCTTGTCGAGTTGCTCACCGCTCTCGACCGCGGCAATACTTCCGGCAGTCGATGCCCTGCTGGATAGCCACTTTTGCGTGGCCGAGTAGTAGGCTTTGCTCTCGGCCTCGAATGCTTTGCTGTGGTCCTGAGCCGCCCTGCACATTTCGACGAGGACCTGAATGGGCGCGACGACGTAGCGATCCATGACGTCAAGCTCCTGCTGACGGAAGCGCATGTTTCGTCTTCGCGCCTCTTTGTGCACCTCTCGAGAGAGCATGCCAACAGTATCGGGCATGAGGCCCGCTAGGTCGTCCATGTGGTGGTCCAAGGCAGCTTCGGCAGCCTGAAGGGCGAGCATGTGACTGCGAACATCTGTGGCGGTTTTCAAGATGGCTTTGCCGGCTTTCTTGAGCGAAGCTGTTCTTCGGTCGAGGTTCTGAACAGCGGCTCGCAGTACAGGCGAGTCCTCAGTCGCATCCTCGAGCGAGATTTCGACGTGGTTGACATTGACATGGACCGGACGAGCGGTGCCCGCTCTCGGCGACTGTGGGTAACCATTGTAGGAGCTCGATCGGCCAGGGGTCGCTCTGCTTGGATTGTCGGTGACAACAATTGTGACCTGATCACGTCGGGAGCCATCTGAACGTATTTCCGCCTCGCTGGCACCTTCCACCTCGAGACCGAGACCACGGCTTGTAGCGACAAGCTCTGAGCGGGTCTTTATCCTGGGCGATCGGACATTGGACGACTTTCGCGCAACGGCGGGCATGCTGACGACAAAGGCAAACGAAGCCAGAATCTTTGGCTGCTTGACCTGCTCGTCTAGCTCGACAAACTAGATGCAGCAGGGAGGAGGGTGAAGGGTGAGCAGCCTGTCTTCTGGGCGTTGATTATCAAGATCATCGGATGCCCGTGTACTCACGGCGCAGGCGCATTTCTGCACTCCGTTCGCTGACGCCTCCCTGCTCAGGTCAGACCAGATCCATTCGAGGTGCCCCTCCCCTCCTCGGTCGTACGCCTCTACGATGGTGGCGAAGCCGATCCCTTCGAGCTTGGCAGCCTGGGGCGAGGCGAGAGGACCGACGTAGCCTCCCCGTTGGCCCTTGCACGTCGTTGCGTTGAGCGCATCTAGAAGCTTGCGAGACGAGGGCGCAGAAACAAAGACGACTCTCGAGCTGGGTTGAGGGGCGGAGTTGGATGGCGTCAAAGAGGCCCGAAGCTCGCGAGGACCAGCAGGCGCGTGGGAGCTCGAAAGACGGCGGCGGCGTGCCTGGGGTGAGCCGTCTGTCAATGTCTCCAGGGCCTCGTTCGCGATGCTCAGCCGGGCATGAACCTTGATCTGATGCTCGACATCAACCCCGCTCGATTGCAGAGCAGATGGAGGCTCGACCTGTAGCAGCAGACGCGAGGGGTCGAGGGCCACACGTGCGCCCACCTCACCAGCATCCACATCGACTGTGGCCTCGTCTTGATCGCTGTCAGTGAGGTCATCTGAAGCGGCGTGGCCCGGTGGGCCGAGGTCTGCACTGAAGGTGCCCGCCCTTTGCGCAGCACCGAAGCTGCTCGAAGCCGAAGGGGCGCTCCCCAGCCTTGGCTCTTCGTCGCACACAAACACAGGCATGATTCGCGAAACCTTGGTCCATCGCTGCTGCTCCTCGCCTCGCCTCTCCTCCTTCTTGGCTGTAATGGACAGGTTGCTGGTACTCGCCTTTATCGCGGGCGGTTTGAGCGAAAAGACGTGGCGCACCGATGCGAGGGTGGGAGCCATCTCGCTCGAAGACACCGGCGGTGGAGCCAGCCGAGGCTCCTCCTGGCTGTGCTCAAGCGGGGCATCGACCGCCTTGAACACCTGCGAGGTCGTCTTCTTGTCCTTGGCTGCTCTTCCAAGCTCGAGCAGAGCCTCCTTTGCCCTTGCACCGATCTCTGCCGATCGCGGACGGAGGCGACCTAGGCCGCGGCTGCCCTGGCTGGGGTCCTTCCATGCCGGCGGACATACTCTCGGCTGTGGTTGTTGTTGTTGTTGTTGTTGTTGTTGCTGTTGTTGTATCGAAGAGAAAGAGGAGGAGGACGGAGCGATAGCAGTGGAAGAAGCAGTTGGGCCGCTGCACACGTTCGACGACGATGAAGACGGGTCCCCAGCCGATCTCTGCGCCTCCGTGGCCGTGGTAGTTGCCGAGATCCTGACGTCGAGAAGGGAGAAGCGGTGTGGCTCGGCATGGTAGATGCTGTACCCTGGTACGTTCAGGGCGTCGAGGACCGAAGCTGAAGTCGACGCCATTGCAGAATAGGTTCAGCTGCACAGAGCCTGTGCCGGGTATCGTGACTAGCTGGTTTCGAGCTGCTCAAAGGACAATGTCATAACCCCGCGCCGCGCTCGAGGGACAGGCCTGAATGGACCAACGGCGGAGGCCGAAAAGGAGCAGCGTGGAGCAAGCAGCAGCAATGCACAGCAGCGAGGGGGTCCAGCAGCGACGTTGGCTCCGAAAAGGGCTTATGTTGTGGCGAGCTGGGGATGCAGCGCGCTCCAGCGGTCACTGCAACGTCTCGTGTGGCGGACGCGAAGTCGAGGTCGCACGAGTAGCCCACCAGCAGCTGGCTGGGTGATGCTGAGATTGATGCAGGGGATCGAGCGCGCGGTGGCGCGGCGGGCCGAGCGAGCTTTCTTTTTCGTCTATTGGCGCGTGCATAAAGCAGCTGGACCCCTAAATGTATTAAATATTTCGGAGAAGCGGAGAGATAGAGACAGACGCGCGCGTTGGCAGCAAAAAGAAAGAACAGGATGATTTTCGGTGTTGGACTCCCCCTCGCCGGAGACGATCCGTCTCTCTCGACGATGGCTCCCGATAGAGCAGAGCGTTGCCTAGAAGAGGAGACTTTACAGATGATGTCGTCATGAAGATCTCCGAGGGGCTGCTCTTCAAGGTCTCTGCGTCAACGGTTGCCTGCTCTACTTTGTGGGCCTCTGCCGCAAGTCGGAAAAGTGATTGATCATTTGGCTGCACGCTTGGAGCATCACCTCGTCGCCCTAGCGCGACTGTTCCTGGGTGGAGAGAGAGTGAAAGAAGAAGTGGAAGAAAGAGATTTAAACATGTGATCTTACCCCTTTCTTTTATACGACAGACGACAGAAACGACGACATCGACCAATGATGACTCGTCTCTCGCTCGTTGCTGCTCTCGCTGTATGCCTCAGTGGTGCCTCTGCGTCATTACAAGGCCATTCTGAGCACAAACATCGACCGGGGCATGGAGCAGGAGCGCGAGACGAGGTCCTCCTGGCCTCTGGCTATAATGGCACCGTATACAGCTTGGGCTTCACCCCTCCTTCAACGCTCAAGCATGTCGCTGAACCGCTCAAAGTGGGCACCTCGCCCTCCTGGATCACGTACTCACGCGCCGGAAAGCATGCATACGTCACTGACGAGAGCGAGCCCGGCAAAGTCTATGTCCTTGGCGTCAAACACAACGGCGCATTGCATCACATTGGGCAGAGCGATGGCTACGAGACCGGCGGCGACGGGCCCGTGGCGAGTTGCATAGTCAAGCATTGCCTCTTCATTGGTGGGTGGTTCGATTGGCTCCATGGATGAGGCCCGAATGTACTAAGAACTGACTGAGTGGCACAACCTCTCTCACATCAACAGCCAACTACAATTCGGGCTCGCTGGGCATCCAAGAGATCGCACGCAAGCATGAGGGCTCGTTGAAATCAAGCAAGCCGGTCAAGCAGTTTCAGTTCAAGCGCAAGGGTACAGGACCCGTCAAGGAACGCCAAGACCATTCGTACGCTCATGACGCCGTGGCGAGCCCAGATGGGGGCTGGGTCTATGTTCCCGACCTCGGTGCCGATGTCATTCATCACATTCAAGTGGGCAAGACGAGCTGCAAGCAGGCAAAGAGAAGAGGTGGGACGCGCGTTGACGCTGGCAGCGGACCCAGACATCTGGTCTTTTACAAGGATGGCCAGTCTGGGCAGCAGTATGCCTACCTATCCTCGGAGCTAGCTACGACGCTTACGGCGTTCCGGCACGATCCCAAAACGGGTCTTCTCGAGCTGATCGGCGGCCAACCCGTGCCTGCATATCCACCAGGCACTGACAGGGGTGGCTCAGAGGACGCGGGGCCGCAGCTGACAGTGGCCGAGGTGGCCGTCAGCCCCGACGGCCGGTTCGTCTACGTCAGCAACCGCGGCGACTTGCACGAGGACAACATCTCCATCTTTGTCCGGGATGCTCAGACAGGCGCCGTCACTTTTCAGCAGTGGATTCCCTCGGGAGGCAGGAACCCCCGCCATTTCTCGCTGTCCGGCGACGGCAGCTACCTCGCCGTGGCCAACCAGCTCTCGACGAACGTCGTCATCTTCAAAAGGGACGCACAGACAGGCTTGCTGCAAAAGACGGGCGCAGAGGTCGACGACGTGGGCGCCGTCGCCTTTGCTGGATTCCTGCCCTGACCTTCCCATGGACCTTTGCTCCCCATTTGCCAGATCAATTAGTAGTAGTAGTGACAAACTGTATCGCTGTGTACGCAAATATTCAAGCATTGCTTTTCTGAGGAAGTTCCGACCGAACGCAGTCGCATGAATTTAGAGTTGACCGGCCTTCGGGCCGTCGCGCGACACGATCACCACCACCACCTCCACCGACATCGTTCGCTTTGTTAGAACATAGCCATGGCGCCAGAGCCTAAGAAGCTTCACTCGGGCCCAGCTCGGCGAGCCACGCTGCTGGAGCGATTGACAAGCCTCTTCCAGCCCATCCTCATGTATACCGTCGTTTTCACCAACGGCTTCATTCCTGCCCTCATTTCGCAACTTCACAACCTCTTCAATCCCTCCAAGCTGCCCCTCGTCTTTAGCCCCTCGGCGTGGCGCGATGCGATCCTCAAGGACGGGATGCCCGTCATCCTCCGGGAGGGCGACAAGCTCGCCAAGGACTACAAGCAGCACATTGTTGGTCGGTATGCGTCGGGAAAGGTGTTTGAGCTCGGCGCAGGCTCGGGAGAGACGCTGCAGTACTACGACGTCAACAAGGTTGGTCTTCTTTCTTCCCTTTTGCCCTATCCCATCTCTCCTCTAGACTCGATTCGAAAGCTGAACAAAAAAATCCATTTTTCCAGATCTCGAGCCTGTATCTCATCGAACCCTTCGAGGAGCTCCTGCCCTCGCTCTTTGCCTCGATCAAGTCCCGCGGCCCGGGCTTTGAGAGCAAGACAAAGGTGGTGCCCGTCTACGTCGAGAACCGTGGCGCTCTGTCCGACATGGGCGTCCAGCAGGGCACCTTTGACACCGTCGTCCTCGTCCAGGTGCTCTGCAGCATCAGGGACCCAGGCGCTCATCTCGCGTACCTCCAGTCGTTGTTGAAGCCCGGTGGACAGCTGCTCATCGTGAGTCTTTCCCGTCTCGTCTTGCCTTGTCTTGTCTTGCTTTCAAGTCCAAGATGGCTCACTGCCGTCCGTCGAGCGGGGATCAGTTCGAACACGTAGCCTCAAAGAACAGCCTTACGCTCCTTTTCCAGCGCTTGATCAACCCCGTTTGGTCCTATCTCGCCAGAGGCTGTCGCTTGGACCGGCACTCTGCCGATGTCATCCTCCAACTTGGTGGATGGAGCCACTCGGAGATCCTGCGCCCAGAGGAGGAGCACGACGGGGCCCTCTTCCCACGTGCGGCCGCCCGCTTCGTCAAAGCTTGACCTGGCTTGCTACTTCACACCATGAAGAGATTGAATCATGCTATCAGGGATGCGATGGATTGAAAGGTTCTACTCCCTTCTGCATACAATACAAATTTTGCGTTTCAAAGGTCTTCCCCATCCTCCTCAGCGTCCGTCTCAAATTCGACGTCTTCGTCCGAACAGACAAAGCTGCCCCGTTCGTACTCGTCATCGGTCTGCGACCCCCGTGGGCCCCCAGAGGATGATGCCGCCGCGGACGGTCTTGACAGCCCCACTGACGCTCTCGCTCCTCTCCCTGCTGTTGTTGAGCCTCTTCCTCCCATCACGGCGGCGCTGTCTACGCGCGCCCTAACCTCAAATCCAGGTATGTAACGTGCTCCTGCCGACTTCCTGAATGGGCTGGGCGCCGTTTGCGAACTGCGTCAAACCAGATCAGCCTCTTTCCCCAGGCACTACCCTCTGCTGCTGTTGTGACTCACTTGAGACTCTGAAAGTAAACTGCGCTCTGGTGATACCCCTTGGGAGCCTGCGTCGGCTCAAAGTCGCCCACATGCTCAAGATCGCTGCTGTCGGCCATGTCGCTTCCCAAGCCTTCATCGTCCTCGTCGCGCTGGCCATGTTGCTCTTCGTCCGTGTCGCGCTCGGCCTCATGCTGGAAGAGGAAGCGGCTTGTCGGCGAGCGACCAACCCGCTTCTTCTTTTTCTCCCTGGCACCGTTTTGCTCTCGGGCTTTGACCTTTGCTGTGCTTGCTTTCCCCAATGTCCTTCCCCTTTTGGCCTCGCCCCCGTCTTTCTCACTGGCATTCAAAGTTCTGGAGTCGGACTTGCGACGTGCCGTACGCTTTCTCGAGGGAGAGGCATCTTGTGACGACATCACCATCTCTTCCCCTTCGTCACTTGATGCGTGTCTCTTCTTGCCCTTGTTCTTGGGCCCGCCATTTCGAAGCACCGACGCAGGCTGCAACGGCGGGCCCATGGTACTGCTCTCACCAGCGCCTTGTCCTGTCGGCGACGAAGAAGCAACGACGCAGGTCCGAGTCCTCTTTTGCTTTCCCTTAGCCATCCTTTCAACGAACGAATCTTGGCTGCTCAGGATCGACGTGTCTTGCAGCGCCTCGTCAGGATCTCCGGTATCCTTTCGTAGCATTTCACCAATGCGGCTTCCCTCGTCATCATGGCCGTCGTCGTCATTGTCGCTGTTTTCGTTGTTCTCGTCCTCTTCGCTACCTGAAGCTCTCGCTCCGCCTGTCAAGCGAGCCAAGAGAGGATGAGGTCTGTTCCTCTTCTTCAGCAAGACGGGAGACAGGCTGGTCTCTCGTTCCAAGCCCTCTGGTTGGCGCTGCTGTTCTGCAGCAGTCCTGGACGCATCCTGAGTCACGCGTGAAAGGTCCGCCCATTCGAGGCTGTCGTCCAGCTCGTCGTCAAGGGTGCCTTGTGGCTGGCCAATGGCTCGCAATGGTTCCCGACGCTGCTCGAGTCTTGGTCGCTGGCCCTTTGCAAAGGAAGCATCAAACGTGTTATAGTTCTCGCCATCGAATGTCGATTCCACTGCGACAGCGGGAGAGGAGTCCAAAACCAACGTTGCGGCGGGCTGGCCTCGGACGGGAGCAGGGCTCAGCGCTGTGGAACCGTGATATCGGCCGACGCCGAGCCTGCGGCCCCGCCGCTGCTCGGAGGCAGTGCCGTTGCCCTGATTTGACATGGCCGGCGACGAAGAAGAGGAGCTGACGTCCCTTGCTCGCTCCTTGCCCTTGCTACCGCCATCACTGCGCCTGAGCGCGTCAAAGTCGAGGCCTCTAGCGAGCGCCTCGTCGTCGGAGTCGTCGCTCATCCCGTCAATTTTTGATGGCGGCTCCGCATCCCCGGTCGAGGGTTTCTCCTCCTCGCTCGACTCATCGTCAGCTTCACGGTCGCCATTGGATGCTCTTCCCTTTTTACCTTTTCCTTTGCCCTTGCGCAGGTCTGAGACCTTGACAAAGCCATCCAAAGCTCCCTTTGGAATGTTTCGAAAGGGGTCTGAGTTCCTTTTAGGCTTGGACGCCTTTTTGGCCCCCGCCCTATTCTTGCGAATCAGGTCTGGTTCAAATGTGGGCTGGTCCACCTCCTTGAACTCGACCTCGGAGACAATGTCGTCCGGCACCAGTCGAGGTACGTCGTCATAGAGCTCGAAGCTTGCACCAGAGGTGATCTCGTGCTGGATTGACTTGTACGAGTCCTTCGATTTTTGCCAATTGCGCTCTTCGACGCCCTCGGACATGAGCACGACGATGCGGCCGTCTCGTTTTCTCCCCGTCCGGCCAACGCGCTGAAGCATGCGCACTGAATCCTTGACAGCCTCGTAGCATACAATGAGATCCACCTCGCCAATGTCCAGCCCTTCTTCGCCGATCGATGTGGCAACAAGCACGTTGAATTGGCCCTTGCGGAATTCTTTAATGACACGCTCTTGGTCCTTCTGCGTGAAGCCGCGTCCACCGTTGCGATCGGGAGCCTGTCCGACAAAGATTGTCGATCGGATTTCGCCCCTGTCTTCGTTGAGCATCTCCACGATCTCATTGACGCATTCACGGTATTGACAAAAGACCATGGCCCTCGTCTCTTGGCCCTTTTCCTGAAGGTCGGAAAAGTGAGCAAGGAGGACGTCTTTGAGATAGTCCATCTTTGGATGCGACACACGGCCCGAATTGTCCTGCGCCTCCTCGAATACTTTGGTCATGTTTTTGATGATGGTGTTGCTCCTCATCTTGGCTTGCGTCTGCTTGTTCGAAGCCTTGGTACCCCGGCTGTTGACGCCCGTCTCAAGCTCAAGCATCCGGGACGAGAACATGCGCACAGAGTGCTCGGTCAGGTATCGGAGCGCTTCAGCCATCTGGCGCATCTCCTTCATGGCGTGGAAGAGTTTTTGCTGGTAGATGACCGCTCGCTTTCTGGGGTCCGCGTTGGCCGATGTGATCGTGAATGGATGCAACGAGGCTGGATCGGTCTGGTGGACGACGCCTGCTTTGTTGAGGCGTTCGAGAGGGCCGCGCATGAGGGTGCACATACCCTCTTTGAGAGTCGAAACCACACTGCCAAGAGGAACAACGACGGGATCCTCAGACTAAGTTTGAGTGAGACCGTCAGACACCGCTTCTATCACTGCGAAATTGTGACGAGGATCACACACCTTCGTATGAACATATGACCGAATGTCAAGCGCTTTCTCGGAGCGAATTTCAATCGAGTTGATGTGCAGGTTGTCGACGACCTCTTGTACCTTTTCTGTGTTGCTTCCCGGCGTTGCTGTGAGAGCAAGGATGCGGAAGAAGGGGTTTCTGGCAGTGAGGTACCTAATGACGTTTGCATAAGCGTAGTTGCCAGTCGCTCGGTGGGCTTCGTCTGCAATAGTGAAGTGCGTCAGGACAGTATAGAGGCTTTCTGTGTGCTGAGACACGCACCGACGACGACACAAATGACATCTGATGTGTCGATAGCCGAAGAGCAAAGATCATTTTCAAAGGTCTACGTGGTGGGGTCAGCACAGCTCTCTCTTTGCAGAGTTTTCTACCCACCTGAGGGGTCATGTAGAAGATACGCTTCGTTTTCCACTGCGTGATATTGATGAAGAGGGTCAGCACTTGTGCGAGGTGAACTTGAGCCCAACGCACCTCGTCGCCACGCAGAGAAGCCTTTGTGTCTCCGGTCAGCTCGACGGCCTGATCCCAAGGCAAACCGCAGATGCCATGGCAAGCTTGTTGTTGCTGAGCCACCAGCGGCTTAGTGGGCGCCACGAAGATGACTTGCAGGGGGAAGAACCAATGAGCAGGAGAGATCACTCCCATTGAAGAAGGGTCTTTGACTCACTCTTGCCCTTGGGGTACCAGCGATAATAGTTGAGGATGACGACAGCAGCGATGAACGTCTTTCCCAAGCCGGTGGGTAATGCTACCAAGACATTGTTGAAAAGCGCTCGCTGAACGATGTTGAATTGGTAGTCTCTATGCTCCTTGTTCGTAGGATAGACCCATGTTCTCGTCGCCTCACGATCCACCTGCAACTTCATTGCCTTTGGTCTGTAGGGCACATTCGGGTTCCTGTGAATACGCAACATCGCGACTTTGTGGCATGGTCACTTACGCAGGTGGCAACTCGTCCTCGGCGGGAGGAAAGGTCTCGAACACTTCTTCCTCTGGATCCTGTCCATCATCGTCTTCAAATATGTCTTCGTCCCCTTGGTCATCGTCAGCGTCCATCCACGAGCCGCGGACTGGCCGTTTCTTCTTCATGCGGCCACTCGCCGCATACAAAGTTCTGTCCCACTGCTTCGTCGACCTCCTTGCCGTCGCCGCTGATGTGTTTGGTAGGCTTGAGTTCCCTCCAAGGCGCGACGGAGGCGAACTGGCTGCCGCATATCCCTGTGAGCTTCCCGCGACTGCGGTATTGGCATGCGCAGCGGCCTGCCTAAAGACGCCCGGGCTGGGAGCGATGTCGCCGAAGAGTGTCCTCTGCACACCACCTGTCCGGCTTTTCGTTGCAGACGATGACCCTTGCGCCGGCCTCGGTCGAGACGGGCCAGCCTGCTGCTGCTGCTGCTGCTGCTGCTGCTGAGCTGTCCCGCCCGCTCGAGCTTCCGTCTCTGCCTCATCAAGGTGAGCCAGAAAGGCCGAGTCGTCCCATCCGGCCTCGTCGCCCAGGTCATCGGTGTCTGAGAGCTCGACAGCTTCCACGATTGCCTTCTTGGACGGTGGCGGCAATTGTGCGTCCTTCTTTCCTGGCCCCGGCTCCGCTTCGCGCGGCCTCTTGATGTCGCTCGCCGAGCGGGCGGCGGGAGGGGCAGCATTTGCCGGTGCGGCTCCCTTCCCGATCAGCGTCGACTCGAGATTGTCCAGCTGGAGGAGGACCTCCTCATCGAGGTCGTCGATGTCGATGTCATTGTCGTCTTCCATCGAATCGTACAAAAGAAGAGGGTGGTGTGTCGCTTGTGTTGGTGGCGAGGAAGAGTCCAATTTGCGCGTAAGCACTTCGACGCAGGTGTTGGTCTCCGAGGCGCGCTTTTCTTTTCTCAACGCGTCCCTAGGGTGACAGACTTACCAGTCGTCGGCCCACTCAAATATGGCTAGCCCGCCTGGGTGACACTGAATAAGCATAGATAGACAGAGCAAGCTTGCCTGCTAGACGGTTCTTGGTACAGACCAAAGCGATCTATTGACAAGACCGTTGCTCTGACTTCGTGAAAGATGGCGCAGGAAGACGGAAGAGCTTTAATCCGTCACACAGCACTGACGGTAGTGGTAGCCCAGAAAGACACCTTCCGACAAGAATACATTGAGCAGGAAAAAGGGGCAGTAGTAGTGGCAACGAATAGATACAGCAGCATCAACAACGACGGTCCACCCCTGAAGCTCGCTCGCTGATGGCAGACTCAGAATCGCCTCTTCGGCAGCGAGGCCGACGACGATGAAGATGATGACGAAGAGGGCCCCGACGACAGCGTGAGTTTTGACCTCGCTTGCCCCTGTGCCCTCGCCTTGTTCAGCAGCTTCTGCCCTGTCGTCGTCGCCCCAGTCCCCCCACTCGTGCCTCCGCCTCGCTTCCTCGTGCCCCTGCCAGCGCTCAGCCGCGGCGTGCTGACGACCTGCACCTTGCTCCTCTCCTTGTCCTCGCGCTGCTGCCCGTACCTCTCCTTGAGCCGCTTTGCCGCCTGCCGCTTGACCTCTTCCTTTTTCCCCAGTGTGTCGACGTACACATCGCGCCACTTGCGTTTCCTCCCCGTGTCTCCTTTTTCTGCCGTTGGCTCCGTCGTCGTCGTCGGGGGCTCGTCTGCGCCACTGCCGCCCTCTTGATGGAGCAGCGACCGTCGGACCTCTGGGAACTCCGCGAGGCAGATCTTCTTCCAGATGTAGTCTGCCTCCTCGATCAGATGCTGGATTCTCCCGCCCATCTCTCCCGTCAGCTAATTGTGGCGCTATCAGGAGGAGGTTTGCCAAAAGAGCAGCGACTCACCGGAGACTCCTGCTCGAGGCTGAAGAGCTGCCGCGGAGTAGCCCGTTCGAGGATCGGCCGGAGGACGCGAAAGGGCAAGTTGCCAAACGACTCGTAGTCGTTGAGCCGTCGGATGATTGTCCGCTTGCACATTTCCGACAGCGTCAGGTCCACTTTTCGCGGCTGTGTCCGTGAGGGCCCCGCCGTTGCAGAGGAGGAGAGCAAGGGGCCAGACGAGGAGGAGGAGGAGGAGGAGGACGGGTCGGGATGGGCAGACGAGGCTGCAGGCAGAGCATCGTGCACACTCGTGCTTGGTCCAGGACCCATCATGCCTGGCGGCTCTGGCGACCTCTGCCAGTCCTTCATCGTCCTCGCCTTTCTTCCTTCTGCTTGTTGTGGGTCCTGGGACTTGCTCTCGTACCTTTGCTTACGTTGGATCGCCGTTTCCAAAAGAGCGTTCTTTGGTTTCTCGAGGTTCACATCATTTCCTCCACCTATCTGGGCAACTCGCGCTCTCTCGAACACACGTGGGTTTGAGCCCGTATCGTCAAAGAAATCAACCATTGGAGCCGCTCAGGGGGAATGGCGTGCGCTCGAACAAAGCTACAGGGACAGAGGGGGGAGAAAGAGAGAGTGCTAAATGTGGAAGTGTGTGATTGGTTCAAAGAGTGTGACAGTCTGGCTAGCAGAGGGCAAAGGGAGAGGGTGAAAAAAAGGGAAGCTGTAAACCGTGACTGCGGGCGAGAAAAGGTGCATCGGGCGCCAGGCCGCCTCTGCACCATCACCGAGACTGAGCCAGCAGACTCGGCGGAATGAAAGAAAAAGGAAGAGGGTGGTTTGCACCGTCAGAAGCTGATTCGGAAGCCCCGATCTTTCTCGTCGAGGCTGACACTGAGCTTGAAGGCGCGGTTCCTCTCTTCTTCGGTGGCCGTCGGCGGCAAGGAGACGTCGGTGAGCGCAGCAGGGGTGTTTCGGTCCGCTGAATCGTTTCTTCGATGGAGACCGTCTGCCGTCACAGAGGTGTTCGAGGGGCGCGCTGCAGGGATCCAGGCCGAGGGTGCGTCGGTGGAGTGGACGCTGGCAGGAAATTGCTCGCTCGTTCTCGACGACCGACCCGCCTCTCCGTCGGCCAGAAAGGCTGGTCTTGGACTCGTCAACGTCTCGGCCTGCTCTGCGTCCGAGACGTTGGAGGCGGACCACCGTGAGATGACGATTGGCTCAGCACCAGGGACGGTGACAACTTCATTTGCGTCGGAAAAGGGCCCGTGAGCGCTGCTGATGCTGCTGCCGGGTGTCTGAGGGTGTCCTGCCCGGTCTGTCCGGTCAGTGATCGTCTCCTGGCCTTGCTCCTCATCGCCAATCTGATCAGGCGAAGGCAGCAGGATACGCGAAGAGGTGGAGCCTTGGCTGCTTCGCCGGGCCGAGTCCTGCGACTCGCCCACCATGCTCTTCGTGATGGCGGGCGCCGGCTTGCGACGAATGCTGAATGTGCTTCCTGCCGATGCTGATCGCGCGAGGTCTACCGGCCGCCGATCATCGGCCATGGCCGTTTGTTGCCTCTCCAGCTCGGAAGAGGGTTTGCTGGTGACGACGACGATCTCCGTGGACGGCACCCGGCTCGGATTGGAGCTTGACGCCTCGTTGATCGTCGAGAGGTGAGAGTGCGGCAGGAAGATGTTGTCATCGTACGGCCGGTTCTTGCCCTGCTTGTAGAGGCCCAGGCCAGCAACGTTCTCATCATCGGCACCGTCATCTTGGCTTCGCCTGGCATTTTCACGGTTGACAATGTCGTCGACGTTACGAGGGCTGACGGCCTGAGCGTCTTCGGACCCGTTGAAGGCGACCCAGTGCTCAGGGTTTGGCGCCATCGGGTCGTCGTCGGTCGTACGGCGCATCTCGTTGGCCACAGCATGCTCGTGCATGGCCAGGCCGGCAGAATGAACGGGATACATGGGAGCACTGATGTCTCTCTTGTGCTTCGACGTCTTGCCACGACTGCCAACGGCAGCCAGCACCTTTTCGGTAAAGTTGCCGTCGTCCTTGGAAGGAGCACCGTCTTGGGCACCGTCGTTGGTTCCCTTGCGCTTGCGGAAGCAGAAGAAGCAGAGCAACCCAATGACAGCCAGCAAGGGCAAGATGACAGCCGCCGCAATCTTGCCGCCGGACAGGCCACCGGAATGCGACGATTCGGAGGCCGCGTTCTGCAGCGAACTGGTTGCTGCTGCCCCAGTCGCGGCGTTGGAGGCCGTCGAAGCGGTGTTGTGCACCGCCGAAGAGGAAGCGGCAGAGGAGTTAGAAGAAGCCGAGGTCATCGCAGGAGCGCTCGACGTTGTGACTGGTGTGCTGGAAGCAGTCGAGGACGCGGCACCAGCGTAAATGCAGCTGGTGTCGGGGCCCTGCTGGACGTTGAAGACGGAGCTGTAGCTCGTGATGCTCATTCCAGGGGCGTTGACGACGAAGCGATAGCTACCGGGTTCGAGACCCACCGAATTCCAAACCCACGAACCATCAGTCATGGGGATCGAGGCAGCACCGGCGAGATTGGCTGGTGTGCCTCGCTTGACCGCGTCTCTCTCGCTCCTCTTGGCCCTTCTCTGCTTTGTGAGACGGCTGGCCGAGGAAATGACGAGCGACCGACGATCGAGGGAATTGGTGTCGCCGACGCTTTCGACGGCAATGGCAACCTTTTGACCGACCTCTTCGACGGTGGAGCCGGTCCATTCCCAGCTGACTGTCGCCGGCTCGCACGTCACTACACTCGTCGGTGGCGTCACAACGAGATTGCCGGAGGAGAAGTCTTGAGCCTCAACAGCAACGAACATCGCTGCGAAGCCGGCCAAGGCAGCCACCGGAAGTCGTTGGTACATCATGGTGATGGTGATGCTGAGAAAGTTGTTCCTGGGGGTAGGGTAGATCAAGGTCGCGGATACTAATGTCAGTTGCCTGTGAGCCAGGGCTGAGGCAATGTGATTAAACAATGTTCACCTTCTTCTTTCTTTCTTTCTTGAATCTCGAGAGGGGCAGAGACTGGGCGCGGCTGATTCTACGTCCGCGAACTTGGCGATTTCGCCTGTGCTGTGGTGCTGATGTGGTGCTGTGCTGCTGAGTCGGGTATCAGAACAGGAACGCTCAACGTCCGCCGTTGCTGCTGTATGCTGTAAAGTTGTAATGGGGAGCGGGGCTGTGCGGGCGTGACTTTTTTTTCAGTTGGAGCAGAGCACTTCTTGGCTCAGGGGAGCGCTGCTTGAAGATGTTGACGCGTTTGATGCTATTCGCAAGAGTCTCGACGGAGAGGGGTAAAGGGTGCGGCGTGCTTGTCGTCGTAAACCTGTACAGACGAGAGAGCGGGCGGTTTGATGATCCTGTATTACCAGGGAGAAAAAAAAAAGCTGGAACGGCTGGCCGTCGACCTGATGAGACGCGATCACGGAATTCCTGAGAAAGGCGAGTATCGTCGAGGAGCGGCGGGCCGTCCTATCAACGGAAGCCAGCGTGGATGAACGAGAAGAGAAAAATGAGAGATTGACAATGCTGTCCCTTGAGCACCCGTACCAAGGGGATTTCACGATTCGATGGTAGGGGGAGGTTAGAGGAAGGGTTGAGGATGATGTAGCCAGGCTAGAGGGATGGGTCGAACAGCGACGGCTAGCAACCACCCTCTTTTGTGGAATGGGGAGGGGCAAGGTGGCTTTAGTCCAAATTTCGTGCCTTATTCTGTTAGGTTTTATCCCTCCCTTCCTCGATATAAAATTAGAAGTAGCCCATATAGGCTCGGCACGTGTTGCTGCAGCTTTTTTGTATTCACGGCATCCCGCGCTTGGCCTTGTTTGTTTGCATCGAGCACGGCTGTGAACATCGTCCAGCCCACCCTCATCGAAGAAACTTCTTAAAAGAGCGGAACATCTCCTCGCGAGGGACCGGCCTCTCTCTGCGGACCTACTCCTCCCTTCCCTTTCCAAGCCTTCTCTTGTTTCCTGTCCCTTTGTGTGACGAGTGTTGCGTACCTCTATTGAGAATGCTGACAATGCGCGGGCAAGCGTTCCCCTCAAACACTTTGCCAGCTCCTCGCCGCTCTTATTGTTGTTTAACATCTCCCAGCCTCTTACGCTCATCTTAGCTCAATCTGTGGTTGGGATGTAAGGATGTCGGTTGCATTTCCTGTGTCAGTCTTACTATTTGTGAAGAAGAAAGAGACGGGTGAACCAGACGAAAATGGGTCTTTGGGTGCAATGGGCAGTAAAGCGCCCGGCATGACCGTCAAATCACTTATAGATTGAGATGGAAGCTACCAAGCGAAGGCTTGACCTCTCATTGGAGTTTAGAAACGACAGAGAAGAGGAGAGACTACGTTGAAGAGCTGATGCCATGAATTGCGTTTTGCCTGTCATTGTTCCCCATTAACAGTTTCCCGATCTGACCGAATCGCAACCCTGGGGGCACCTGCCAGCAATGCATCGATAGGCTGGCCCATCCTTGGGGTCTGGGTAGCCGCGGCATTTGCAGCAGAGCATTATTTCATTGGGTGGTCTTCGAAACGAGAAAAATTAACGGTCAGCGTAAGATCTGATGCCTTTCAAGGTTTACTCACGGATTGGGTCGTCGCTGCACACAGTCCGCCCGAGACATGCTGGCAAGGCTTGCGATGATCGCAAGTGCACTGATAAGGGCTAATTTTCCAAAGATGATCATGCTGACGTGCTGCCTACTTGTCTGTGAGGGTCACAATGCTCACTTGAAGGTTATTCAGAGAGACAGCTGAGATCGATGTGAGGGTAGAGAAATGAGATGGTGGACGACATATTTGCCATTTATACCCCTACAAAGTACGCTGCTCAATACGCAAGACCGATAAGATATTGCCAACACATAAAAGACACGCAGAGGCCGACTTGACGGACAAGCGGTGACGGAACGGCTGAGCGGGAGTAGCGTTCCGTCTGTGCCACTGGCGGTCTGCTGGCGCCCGCCAAGAGCGCTCTTGCTACCGTGATAGGCGGCATTTGCACCCCACGGAACTCACTCTCCCCTCCTGGACGATGCTGTCATTATTTTGCCCTTGGACAGGAGGTCGGACTTGAAGGTTTCCCTTGGCAGCGCTCTGTTAGATTGGCAATCATCATCAAAGTCCAGTCCAGTAATTCAGTAAGTATCCAGCCTCCTCATTCCACACGAGTCTCATCGACGCCTCTATCGCAAGCAGGACTTCAAAAAGCTCGGCGCCCGTCAAACTCCGCTGACACCCTGCTGACAGCCCTCCCCTCAGCCTCAGAGCCAGTTCCTCGGCTCGCATTGTTCCCATAGCCTCCACCTAGCGTGCATTGAGGAGAACTCTTCCGTTACTGCGAGTGCCGCGACATTACAGACACAATCTCAACGTCAAAACAGACTGTGTCACTAGAGAAAAGCACTCTGATTTCTAAGGCCGCCACCGGCGCTCGCTTTCTACCGACGTGAATGAAGTGTATACAAGAAGAAGAGCGGGGCTGGGTGACCATCTACGACCCAGGAACTCTCCAGCTGGGGGAATCGGCATTTTTTTCACATTCTTTTTGATCCTAGGAGAGGATAGTGGCCGGAGAGAATATACAATTCACGAGCGTTGCTGGACAGCGAGAGAGAGCGCCAGGTCAGAGCCGGCCCGGCAGTCATGCCGACACACCGACCTTTGCGCCGATGCCCGAGGCAATGTCGGGGTGGACACGAGCAAAGACGGCGAGCTGCCGCTTGATGATGTTCTTGTCGGCGCAGCCGCTGATGTGGCCAGAGACGTTGTTGATGAAGCGCTCCTTGGCAGCGGCGTCGAAGACCTTCTCCCACAGCGCGCGAGGCTGCTCGAAGTCCTTGTCGTCGACCTGCGAGAGGAAGTGCTCGATCTGCGAGGCAGCCATGGCCTCGTGGGCGACGGCCGTCGTGGGTCGCTTCGAGTACTGAAGCGGCTTGACGCTGCTCTGGTAGTTGGGCCGCGATCCCTGGTTGCCGTTGACGGCCATGAAACCGTCGCGCTGGAAGTTGGCCACGGGGACCAGGGGCGCATTCACAGGGATCTGCTGGTAGTTGACGCCCAGGCGGTGACGGTGGGTGTCAGGGTACGAGAAGAGGCGCGACTGGAGCACCGGGTCGGCCGATGGCTCGATGCCGGGCACAAGGTGGCTGGGGCTGAAAGCCACCTGCTCGATCTCGGCAAAGTAGTTGGATGGGTTCTTGTTGAGCGTGATCTTGCCCACGGGACGCAGCGGGTAGTCAGAGTGGGGCCAGACCTTGGTCAGGTCAAAGACGGAGTGGCGGAAGTTCTCGGCTTGCTCCTGCGTCATGGTCTGCACGCTGACGGTCCAGCTGGGGAACTTGCCGGCCTCGATCGACTCGAAGAGCTCCTGGTTGTGAATGTCTGGGTTCTCGCCTGCGAGCTTGACGCCGTCCTCCTGAGTGTAGAAGTCGACGCCCTGGTCGGACCGAACGTGGACTTGAACGTAATGCCACTCGCCCTTGTCGTTGACAAACTTGAACGTGTGGCCCGAGTAGCCGTGCTGGAACGCGTGTCCCTTTGGAATACCACGGTCGCCCATCAGGATCATGACCTGGTGAACCGACTCTGGGTTTTGTGAGAGCTGGTGTGTGGCAAAAGTTCGATGTCAGCGAGGGAGGCAACCGCAGCAAGTTCAGCAAGGCAAGCAAACTCACATAATCCCAGAACATGGTGGCGTCCTTGAGGTGGGTCTGCGGGTCTCGCTTTTGGGTGTGGATGAAGTGGGGGAACTTTGCTGGGTCGCGCAGGAAGAAGATGGGCGTGTTGTTGAAGACCCAGTCGAGGTTGCCCTCCTCGGTCCTCATCTTGATCGCAAAGCCACGGGGGTCACGGGCCGTGTCGGCAGAGCCCGACTCGCCACCGACGGTGGAGAAGCGGAGGGTGAGGGGCGTCTTCTTGCCTTGCTCGAAAAGCTTGGCGCACGAGAGATCCGAGATGTCGTGCGTGGCCTCAAAGACACCGTGGGCACCGCCGCCCTTGGCGTGGACGACGCGCTCGGGGATGCGCTCCCGGTCAAAGTGGGCGAGCAGGTCGATGTGGTGGAAGTCCTGGAGCAGGAGCGGTCCACCGATGGGCTTGTTGCCGCCCTTGACGCGCTGCGCCTCGTAGGGCTCCGAGTAAGGTGCACCGTTGGACGTCGTGTAGGCGACGGCCTCGGGACCAGAGCTGAAGACTTCCGCAGATGGCATTGTGATGGCTTATCGTGGAGGAAGAGAAGATTGGTTATTTGTGAAAGAGGGAAGACAAGGGTCGCTTGGGTTAGCCCTTATAACGCTGGCGACCCACATTCGGCCTCCCGCCATCGGCCTTCCTCCCTGAGGTGGAGGCCTAGTGTGGCTGGGCGCCCAATCAGACTTAAGCGAATGGCGAGACGTAAGAAGCTCTAAAAGGCTTGACTATCTTTAATTTAGTCTATGCTTCAGCAGGCAGCCACACTGGTATTTTGCCACAGGAATACAACAAACGGAAGCCCGCCTCATTAGGAAATCGGTCCCCGTCTTTGTATTACTAATCAAAGGCCTGGTCAACCCCCGCGCGCGCCAGACTGGATGGCACCTTGGTCTGTGCATGAACGGACTGGAGGCCGCCGCCGGGTCCTCCCTTGTCGTAAAGAAGTGTGTCCTGGCTTTTCGTACAGAGCGGCCACCACGATGACGATGATGTCGATAATGATGAGAGGAGAGCAAGATATGACGACTGGAGTGTATGACATCACAGTCCATGTTAATATGTGGCTCTTGACTTTCGAACTAAGATCAGATCTTATCGCACCTCCAACGCAGCCGCCAAATAATTTTACCGCAGGATCAGACGGCAGCACTGCGGATAATCTGCGCCAGCAGGGGCGCCCTTCTGTTGCCGATCACTGGGCCGTTGATATTCCTCTCCCGATAGTAAAACGTCAGGGTCAAGAGTTCTTACTTACCTTGGCCACTTTCCGATCCAAGAGGTGGCGGTCTTTCTCTCGTCGCACTTAGACGGCTAGGCAAGATATTTTATTGAACGAGCGCCTGAGCTCTTTCATTCCCCTGATGGTGTCCTGTGAAGCTTTTCAACTTTTCTTAATTAGGGATACAAAGCTTGGCAAGGGACAGAGCAACGATTGAGCATCTGGAGAAAGAAAGAAGCAAGCCGCCGCAACGTCTTTACAGCAGCAGAACCACTGCAATTACTTCTTGGTCCTATACATTATCTCCATCGAGCTGAGATTAGGCATCTTCCCAAGCTACTCCGAACTTACGAGATACGACACGACAACAAGTGAGTGAGTGAGTATCTGAGAGAAAGGTGCCCACTCTGAAAAGGATGCACCCAATCGTGAACCGTATCGATGGTGAAGAGATAAACCAGATGGTGGGCGTCAGCATGTGTTTTTGCACTTTCTGATTCGGCCAATGACTTCGCCGAGTAGGACGTATGCGACGCCTTTACAAGCTCGCGGAGTAAAGTCTGAACATCTGGCCGTGTGTCGTTCCCGAAAACGAGGTGCAGCGCGACATTTTGAGTCTTGCTCGCCACTTCTGTCGACTCATCTGTCGTGCTTTCAGTTCAGTGCACGTAGCTTTGACGGGACAGGGTTGTCCGTGCCCACGACAAACCCATGTGCGAAACAGAGGCAAGTTCTTAGGAGGAGGAAGGGGGGGGGGGAGGGGAAAAGGAAGGGCAACGTGCGCCTGTGATGAAGATACAGATACGGAGACACATCATTGGGTTGCTGCGACCTCTCAGGAGCAGTAATGACTAGCATTCGTCACGGCATTTGCTGACCTCGAATGCACATCAACGGGTGATCCCAAGATCGATGCTTCATGCTCTCCGAGTGCGTACCGAAGGGCTATCACATAATCAGACCACCTGCCCGAGGCGTGGCAGGCGACAAGCCCGCAACGAGACAGAAAGAGTGCGGAAGCTTGTCAGAAGAACCCTGTGGCTTGCCTTGAACGTGCTTGACACGTCTTGCTCGAGCGATTGTGCAGATCAGCGTTCCTGGTTCGACTGCTGAGCTGACCCTCTACGTACCCTTTTGCTCACTCGGGCTCACGCGCGCACCATTACTTTAATATTCGTTGCCGAGAAAGCTTCGCGAACGTTGCCTCGCAATCAAAGCACTCGTCAGACTCGCTTCTATTGTTAGAGCTCAACAAACCTAGCGGAGTAATAGGACCAAGCCGGTCATACTTCCCCAATTCCAGACCTCGGGATATGATCCGTGAGTGGTACCTCAGGTAGACCCCCTGTGGGTTTTTTTTTCCGTAGCTCGAAGCCGCCTAGCGTCGACTTTACGCAGACGCGCCAAGCTAATATGCCGGGTGCCTTTTTTGGTCCTTTTGTCGCAGCTTATTGTAGTTGTTGACGGCCAGAGGGAACGTGCGTTTCTTGCCCATAGCGTTTAGCGGAGCTTGTTTGCTTCTGCCCGGCTCTTCTTCGGCCAATGTCAATGCCTTAGTTTCTATTGGCTCGGCATAAGGACCGTGGACTTGCAATCACGGCCTCCGAGCCAAATCAGTGTCCGTGCTTGTTTTGATCGTCATTGCTGACAGACGCTCGGACCGTAGGCTGTGCGTTGATGACGGAGAAGTCAGGAACTCCCCCTTCAAAAGGCAGGTACCTCATTTGAGAGAAACACCTCACTCATCTCTCGACTCCTTTCCGTGACCAAAAGACAACATGAGCAGATTCCTCGCATTGCTCTCGGTCGCTTTGGCCTTCGCAGCCTCCACTGACGCGGCGGCCGATCTCCCGCCCATTCCCGCGGACAAGACGACGCCGATTCATCAGCGCCTATCGCTCAAGGGGCCCAAAGGTGAGTGCAAGAAGGCGTTCTATCGTATCAAAGGCAACGATCAGAGTTCTGATTCCCACCGACAGCAATCTCTGTTGGATGGAACACTTATGAGAAGCTGGACAAACCCTGCGTGTCCTATGGCACAGCAGCAAACAAGTTGACGCAGACGGCATGCTCAACCTCTTCCGAAACCTACCCATCGTCGAGGACGTGGTCCAACGCCGTCACGCTCGAGAATCTCAAGCCGGCGACGACGTACTACTACAAAATCCAGAGCACGAATTCGACCACCGACTTCTTCCTCTCTGGACGGAGCGCTGGCGACAAGACACCATTCACAATGAATGCTGTCATCGACCTCGGTATCTACGGACGGGATGGTTACACAATCAATAACGACATGTCCAAGAGGAGCATGATCCCCACGATTGATCCCTCGCTCAACCACACGACCATTGGCCGTCTTGCCACGACCATCGATGATTATGAGCTCATTGTTCACTCCGGTGACTTTGCTTACGCCGGTGAGAAGAAGAAAGAGAAGGAAATCCGGCAGTCGGAATTTCAGGACCTGACAATTTTGCCGAGCAGACGACTGGTACCTCAAGCCCCAGAATCTCTTGGACGGTAAAAACGCTTACGAGGCCATTCTCGAGAACTTCTACGAGCAGCTTGCGCCCATCTCGGGCCGCAAACCCTACATGGTGTCTCCTGGAAACCATGAGGCAGACTGCACCGAGGTTCTGTACCACCAAGGCGCCTGCCCCGACGGGCAGTCCAACTTCACGGACTTCTACGTCCGCTTCGAAAACAACATGCCCACGGCCTTTCCTTCAAGCTCGTCCGACAACAATGCCATTAGCAAGGCAAACATGGCCAAGGCGCTGAGCAAGCCACCCTTCTGGTACAGCTTCGACTACGGTCAGGTCCACGTCACCATGATCAATACCGAGACGGACTTTGACAAGGCGCCCGATGGGCCGGATGGATCTGCCAACCTCGACGGTGGACCGTTTGGCAGCCCCGGCCAGCAGCTCAACTTCCTCGAGGCAGACCTGGCCTCGGTTGACCGTAGCGTTACGCCTTGGGTCATTGTCGCTGGCCACCGACCATGGTATTCGACGGGCGGAAGCGACAACATCTGCACTCCTTGCCAAGATGCCTTTGAGAAGACATTGTACAAACACGGTGTCGACATCGCCATCTTTGGGCACGTCCACAACGCCCAGGCATTCAAGCCCGTGTTCAACAATACGGCGGACCCCGCAGGCTTCAACAATCCTGAGGCGCCATACTACAGTAAGTGTCTCTCCTATCATGCTAGACTCATCCTTGCTGACTTGCTGAGTGGTCTTCCTCTCCACGCAGTCGTCGCTGGTGGCGCCGGCAATATCGAAGGCCTCTCGAGCGTCGGCAGTCAGCCAAACTTCACGGACTACGCCTACGCGGACGACTACAGCTACGCCACGTTGTCCTTCGTCAACAAGACCAACGTCGACGTTGCCTTCATCCGGTCCAGCACGGGTCAGAAGCTTTACAAGCAGACGCTCTACAAAGCTCACAACACCAAGTTCGTCTCTCAGTGATCTTCGTGGTAAATTATGATAATATCAGGACAATGCGCGAGCATTCCTTTCTTTACACCTTTCGCTCTTGTTCTTTTCGTCTGCTGTAATCCTTGTTTGATATCTCGAAAGAAGGTGACACATGCATTCTTGTCCGTTGTGATGGCGTTCTTGATGCGACCTGAGAGACCTTGAAGGACGAAGTCAAGACCCAGCAAACTTTCAAAGTAGTTGCTTGTCAGTTAACATGCATTTATGTGATCAGATGAGGGTAGGTGGTTAGATGACATTGTTGGTGGCTTGTTGTGACATTGACGGGGAGAAGAAAGAATATGTGTGGTGTGAGTGATAGAGAGAGGAAGGTGTTAGAGGAGAGGAAGGACGAGAAGAAGAAGAGAAGAAAAAGAGAGGGAACGGAAAGAGAAGAATTTGAGATAAAGAGGTTTGGAAAGTAATGGAGCGGACAGGTGACTGAATGATCTCCGACTTGCCAGACGAAGGCGAGGAGATCGACGTGATTTCTAGATTTTGGCTTTGAGGTCAATAGTCCTCTTTTGTCTTGACTCATTCGTGGCAATCAGGGGAGAAGGAACTGTGTGTGTCTTCTTGTGAAGCAAGTAGTGGTGTCCTCGGCCTCTCCGTCTAGGGGCCGCTGCTGGCAGCACCACCTGCGCCTCCACCGCTGCGTCCACCACGGCCGGAACCTCGTCCGCCACCGCGACCACCTCGGAAGCCGCTGTTACTCCTTTCCTGCCCTCCCTGGGCGCTGCTGCCGCCGCGCCCTCCAGTCCTCTGGCTATGAGGTCGCTCGCCGGTCTTCTTCTTCTCCTCTACGGTCACGGTCCAGCCAGAGTTACCGACGGGAACGCCCCCCTCGCCACCGGCGCTAGTGGGCAGACTCATTGTGATCGCCTTTCTGGCCGCCTCAACCGACACAAACTCGCCGAAGGCGCATGCTTTGCTGGGAATAGCCTGGCACTCCTTCATTGGGCCAAACAGCGTCTCGAGAGCGTTTCGCAAGTCTGCCTCCGAAACCTTGTCAGAGAGCACATTCTTGACAAAGATGCCTGGGTTTTGGATCTGAGCCACCTGCTGCGCCGTGAGTCCGGTACCATGGCCATTGGAGCTCGAGTGGTTCTGCTGTTGCTGCTGACTTTGCTGCTGACGCGACGAAGACTGCTGCGATGGTGTAGTGGAGGGGCTCGCAGAAGAAACGCCGCGAGCCTCTGCGCTGACCGTGGAACCCCACTTGTTCACATTGGAAGCAGCGAGGTTGGCCCATGTCTTGGGAGCCGAGGGCGCCGCAGGCGCTGCGGCCGGGGTCGACCCGTTTTGAGCTGGAACTGGCTTGCTAGTCGATTGCGCGCCTTCCTTGCTGGATGTCTCAGCTGCCGCGGCCGAGGCAGCTGGGGTGGGCTCGGCAGCCTGACTCTTGGGAGCAGAAGGCTGGGCGGCGGCTTCGGCAGCAGCAGCAACTCCAGCGGGCTGCGAGGGAGCGACATCTCCGGCGTCGACCGATGTCACCTTCTTGTCAACACCAATCTCCTTTGGCTCTGCTGGCGTTGGCTCCTGCGGCTTGAGGATGCCATTGGCCTGAGCATCCTGCACCGGACCGGCGGGTGCAACACTCGTGTCGGTGGGAGCTGCTGCGATCGCACGCGCAGAAGAATCGGCAGCAGCAACCGACTTGACGTTCGGGGTGGCACCTGGCTGGGCGACGGCGGAGATGTCGACCTGATGCGGAACGGTCGTACCAGCTTTCTCGGCCTGCTCAATTTCCTCCTCGATGGCCCCATCGACTTGCGCAGCCTCCTCTTCGACCTCCTCCTCTTCCTTCAGGAAGCGGAAAATGTCATTGAGGACAAAGTAGCCGTTGGGCTGCTCAGCCAAGAAGAAAGTCTGGGCAAATTTACGCCATGGTTCGCCCTTGTTGGACATTTCACCAAGGACTTGGACCAAGATTCCGCCATCTGCAGAGCTTTGCGAGTCGACGGTCGAAACGAAAACCTTGCAGTCCTCAAAACCGAGAGAAAGAAGCTTTTGGTGAATTTCCTGAAGGGCGAAGTCGTGAGCTCAACCATCTGCCAACGAAGCTTTCTGCCAAGCTCACCTGTTGACCAAAGCACGGCTTGGTGTCTTCCTGCTCCGTGCCGTGAATGAGGGTCGACCGCTTGTTGTAAAAGCAATGAAGTCTTTGCGGGTTGTGATTCAAGAAGGTGTAATACTGAGGAACGAAGAGCCAGCCAATCTCCGAAGCTTGCATGGGCCTGGGATTGGTGGCTGCATCGGAAGCCGAGCCGGTGGCCCCTGTGGCCGACTCGGGGATGCTACCGTTGAGAGTCGAGGAACCCGTTACAGACATGTGTGTATGCGCGTGTTGTCGTTCTGGTGTGAGTTGAAGCGGAAGCTGGGTGAGTGAAATGCGCGCTATAGCAGTCGAATGCACTCACAGACTGAGCCTGACCTCGAGTCCTGCTGGAGAGATGGATGTGTATGCGAAAGAATGAGAGTGATACGAAGCGGTGGCTGAGTTCACCACAGGAGATGAGCGTCTTCCCTGTCGAAGCATCAATCACCTCGCCGATCTTCGACTCACCAGATTCCAAAGGTTTGCAGCTGGCAAAGGGGCGGAATTGAAGAGCGAAGACTCAAAGGTGACGTCTTATTTTCTTGTGAGCGGTTTGTTTTCTTGCGTGCTGCCCGAACGTGCGACTTTTGAGGGTGTGCTTGGTAGATCCGAATCGGCGTGGGTGAAGGCACAGAACTTGAACTGGTGAGATGACGAGGAAGAAAAAGACCATTGAGGCCGGTGAAGCCTTCCTGATCGAAGTACAGCAAGAAGTCACGTGTCGTAGTGTTGCTTATGTAAAGACGCAAATGGCTTACCCTCGACGGTCGACTTCTCGCTCATCCGCCAGGTGTTCGCTCTGCTACAGCCCACCCTTTGACGACACGATGGCTTCGCCACAGGCCCGTGCTGCCTTCCAAAAGGCGTTTCAGCGCTTAAGCGAACAAGCGCGTCGGAGTGGCTTCAATGCGGGATCGGGTGGGAATGGAGGCGGAGGTGGTGGTGGCCGAGGCGGGCCGAGCATGGGTAGCATTCTGGGAGGCGGGGCTGGCCTCTTCCTTCTCGTCGGCGGTGGCCTTGCAATCAATGCGAGTCTATTTAATGGTGGGTGACCCACATTTGAGCTCTTTCAGCTGGGTAGAGAGACCCTCATACATGCTTCGACCTATACAGTCGATGGTGGTCATCGAGCCATCAAGTATTCTCGCTTTGGCGGGGTCAAACACGAGATTTACAACGAAGGAACGCACTTGATGGTGAGCGACCCGCTGTCTCCTCTCGATTTCGATAGGTATCTCATGCTGTTTGTGTCCAGATTCCCTGGGTAGAGATTCCCATTGACTACGACGTGAGGGCCAAGCCAAGAAGCATCGCAAGTCTCACTGGAACGAAGGGTGAGTGGAAGAGTTTCTGGAAAGGAGAGGGCTCCCAAGCTGACTCCTTTTGAAGACTTGCAAATGGTCAACATCACCTGCAGAGTCCTGTCGCGACCGAGCGTTGATGCCCTTCCCACGATCTTCCGAGAGCTTGGCACTGACTATGACGAGCGAGTGCTTCCGAGCATCGTCAATGGTGAGAAACGCGCTTCTCTCTCCTCTTCAACCTTCTGCGCATACTCATCTTTGCTTTGAACCGACAGAGGTGCTCAAGTCCGTCGTGGCGCAGTTCAACGCTTCGCAGCTCATTACGCAGCGAGAGATGGTCTCGCGTCTTGTGCGCGACAACTTGACGATCCGAGCGCGGCGCTTCAATCTCGTCCTTGATGATGTGTCCCTGACGCACGTTGCCTTCAGTCCCGAATTTACAAATGCTGTCGAAGCCAAACAGATCGCGCAGCAGACGGCATTGCGTGCCGCGTTCCTTGTTGACAAGGCCCTGCAAGAAAAGGCAGAGACGATCGTTCGCGCACAGGGAGAGGCAAGAAGCGCTGAGCTCATTGGTGAAGCTGTCAAGCGCAACAAGGGCTTCCTCAAACTCAGGAAGCTCGAGGCGGCAAGGGACATTGCCACGGTCCTGTCAAGCAGCAACAATCGCATTATGCTCGACGCTCAGTCGCTGCTCCTCAACGTCGCAGACGAAGACCCTGACGCAAATCGAAAGTAATGTCAAGCTACTGCCACCACTCCCTGTACGACTATCAATCACCTCTCCCTCTCCCGTCCGTCTGTCAAATGCCATATGAATCTCTCCGAGCAATCATCTCAACCATTGATATTGTTACATCGTACACAGAGTGCTCTCTTCACGCGGGACAGTAGTACTACAGAAAAGGGAAAGAGAACAGGCGACTCAGGCTGACTGGAGCCGGTAAGAAAGGGGAAGTGCAGCAGGGTTGTCCGTCGTCGAAAGCAGCGCGACAATGTCCTTGAACGTCCTCAGTCTCGACTCCCACGATTTTTCCACCTTTGCAATAAAGACGATGACCTCTGCGCTCATCTTGGGTCGGTTACCCTCGAGGATACTTTCGGGCGACTCCAGCTGTTTTGCTCCCGACGCTCGCTCCAGAGCGAGCTGGTCCCGGAAGCGAACCCTATTCTCGCAGAAGATCGTAGCGACAGACATGAGCTTTGACAGCATCTGTTTTTGTTTGCGGCGAAGACAAGACTCGATGAGCCTCACTGATATCATCAGAGCTTGTCCACGATCGACTCACCTCGACATAACGCAGATCTGTCAGCATGCATTCTTTTCTGCACGTGTTCAAGAAGTCAAAGTGGTCCTTCATGAATTGGTCCACCGTCTTTGCCTTGTCCATCCTTTCCTCGAGGTCTCTCCAATTTGGCTCGAGCACCTCTGCCGTGACAAAGGCCAGGACTTGTTGGACAAAAAAGAGGATCCGGTGGCGGAGCCTGAAGACGCGCATCTTCCACTGCTGCAGTGACGGGTGACGCCTTTCAAGGCTCCGCCACGAATCGTCCTGATGCTCGACCCAGACGTCGCACAGGCTCCGCTCCGTGGCCTTGAGATGGATGATGGGCCGCTGAAGGAATTGCCAGCGAAGAATATTCTTCTTGGATATGACGAGCGAGACAGGAAAGCGGACGGTAATGTCGAATTGAAGGAGCTCCATGACTGTGTATAAATGAAGGAATTTTTTAGCATGGCGTCATAGAAAAAGATAAAGAGACCACTCACGGGGAACCCAGTCCTTGTCCCTTTGCTTCGCAAGCTTGGCTTGCGCTCTTGCGGCTTCTACGCCTCCCTTTATCTCAGCGATGCGCTTGAGCTGGTCGTATGCATTCTCGCCCGCCAGGTCCACCTTGACGTCCTCTCGAAAAGGGTCGGCGAATCCGACGCTGCTCGAGCTGCCCAAAACCATGCCGAGATGTGTTTGCAGACGCATGATGGTTGGGTCTCTGATCCGGCTGGGATCTACCTTTTTGCGCAGCTCACGACCGGCTGCCTCGAGAAAAGAGGAGAAGAAGTCAGACGATGACTGGAAGAAGTAGTGCTTCATCGATCGCAATCGAGGGACAATGTTGTGCTCTTCGATGAGGAGATGGAGGAGGGCAGAATTTGCGCGTTGATAGGCCGATTCGATGCGACGGAAGAAGCTGCAAAGCGAAAGCCATCGAGAAGTTAATTCTAGGCCTCAAATGCTCCGTCCGCCATACTCACGACTCGTCTGTCATGAAGATGGTAGCCTCTCCGCTCTCGTTTGACTCTTCGGCTTCTTCTGTCGGTACTTCTTTGCCACACTCGCGGAGGACATTGAGGTATTTGCCGGCCAGCAAAACCTTTCGCTTCCATGGCTCCAAAAACGCGGGAACCTTGGCACCTCCTGTAAGAACGCCTCGTGTACCATTGTCGTCGACGAGGGCATCCAGGTCAATTCCTTGCTGCATTTGCTGCTCCCTCTGCGCGAGCATCGTCTCGTCGCGAAGGGTATATCGTCGTTCCCAATATTCATCCGTTGGATCGGACTCGAGTGAGGCACGCGTTACTCTCGGGTTCTCCATGATCATGAACTCTTCATAGGTGTCGGCAAGGTGGCCTGTCGTGATCCATCGGACCATGATGCGGGCATAGGGTTGGGCAGCACGGTGAAAGAGCGTCGTGAAGAGCGTATGCGCCGTCTGGTCGCCGCTCATTCTCACGACACGATCCCATAGCATCGACAGGATCTCGCCGCCCTTGGCGATACCACCCACGATGCCGTCTTCATCTGCGTCGTCGAGGCCCAGCAGCTCTCGCTTCTGCTTTTCCAGGCTCCCGCCGCTCCCGCCTGTCGCATCGTCATTCTCGTCATCATCGTCGTCGCTCTCGTCCGAGTCTTCGTCGTCCGAATCGAAAATGTTTGCGTGCGATATCGCAGCAATGTCGGTGACAAAGGCATGAACAAAAGTCAGTGTTCGGAGCGTGGGATGCACGTAGAACCAGAGTTTCTGCAGCGTGAAGGCTGCTGACGTTGCCAGCTGGTGCTCGAGCTGGACTACAAGGACCTCGTACTCCTTGAGCAGATCTCGGATGGCCGCACACAAGGCATGGGCGACCGTGCCAAACTCCAGACTCGATTCCATCTCGATGAAGGCGAAGATGCTGGTGTAGAAGGTGGCCAGCGGCAGCACCCGCTCGACTAGGTCTCGAAAAGACGGATCGAGCCCCTTGTCTACGATGAAGCTAGCTCCTTTTAGTCGACTCGAAGGATCATCAGGTTGGTAGGAGGATGAGTAATGGATGTAACGGCCCTCTATCCCTAGAAGGACAAACAGGAGGTCTTCGAGCACCAGCGCCTCTTGTATCTCTTTAGGAGCCGAGGCCAGCGGCAAGAGATCTGAGGGGTCGAGGGGTGTGCTCGAAGCCGTTCTTGCTGCCTTTGCTTCCTCGAAGGCGCTTGAAGAGGCTGTGCTCCTGATCGAAGCCGATGCGGGTGCAGATGCGGGCATTTTGAAAGGAGGAGCGGTGTCTTTTCTCTTAGCGGTAGCGGATGGTGGTCCGGGCTCCACTGACGCCGCACTCGTCTTTCTCGCCCGCTGTGCATTAACAAGAGCCTGCTTGCGAGGCGAGGGCGGCGGTACTCTTCGCGTGAGGGGGTTGAAGACGAAGCTAGCCTCATGTAGGAAGGAGTCTTGTGGCGCTGTCGTTGCAGACGGTCAATGCACTTTTCTCAGCGCGGGCACATGCAGACAAACTCACCATTCTCTTTTCCCCTTAGGCCTCTCGCGGCAATTTTGGCCAATGCCACGCCGTCTGGCCCTTTGCCCAGCCCCTGTGCCAAAGTCTTGTCGACGCCGGATCGTTGCAGCCAGAATTCTGTCTCTCGATGGACCAACATCTCCGTACCGTCCGGCCCCACTTCTACGGTTGTGCCGTTTTGGCTGTTCATGGCCTCTACAAGCGCCGCATGGGCATCTTCATTCTCTTCAGCATAGGGTGCTAGACGACGCTCGCCCTCCTCTCCTAAGACCTGCTCCGGCTCGTCGGCACCCTCTGCCAGCGAAGAGTAGGAAGCCGATCGATCGTGTCCCTTCCTCGCCGATTTCTTGACGGCGGTGAGGTTCTTGACAATCTGATGGAGTGATCAAGCTGTTCAGCCCTCTACTTCGCTTCCTCCTATCGAAGAGATTCAGCACACCTTGTCAAATTGCTTTGCACTCAGCTGCTTGTTGCTTTTCCTTCGGTGCGAGGGTTTTGGGGTGAACGGAACGCCGCCACTCGACGACGCAATGCCTGCGCCTCCCGTCGCCGTCGTCGACGTCGCCGCCGCCGAAGACGAAGAAGGTCCTCTCTCCATGGCGAAGTCACAAGAAGCCAGACCATCAAACTGACGACGGACGCGCCTGTGCCTTTCAAGACGCGCCTGGGCAACTGCATCTCACGTGGGAAGCGCGCTACGTGCCCCGAAAAAAAATAAAAATAAAAATAAAAAAGACGCGAAGTCCGAGATCGATTTTATTCAAGCTTCGACAGGACAAGCCCCTGAGTGGAGCTAAGTAGCGCTTGCCTGCATGCAAAAGGAGCTTCCCCATCAGCTGCTGCTTTGCTTCCTGGTGTTGACCCTCACTTCATGCTCTTTGCCTTCTGATTGCTTCTTTGGCTTCGTGTCGGTAGCGCCCTTCCCTTTGACGACCATTTCTTAACGACTAATTCTACGACAAGTCACGACTAGATCACCGCTACTGCTACCGCTACAACTACTACTATTGCTTCTACTACCCCTGATCTCTGCGCAGACCAAAACATCGAGATCGCCAACCAGCCTTGACTGTGGGCGCCCGCCATGTTTGCGCCCCCACCCATGTCGACACCGGGCGTGCTTCCTGGCGATTACGCAGACAGTCGGCCTCGGAGGCAACGATCGCTGTCGTGGCGCGCCGAAGCTGGCCTCCCTCCTCCGCCGTCGGAAATCGACAATTACGCAGACCTGCACCACGCACTCGCTCCCAGCAGCCCACCGCACATGCGCGCCACATCGCCGAGCATGTATGATTCAAACTTTGGGGCCCAGGGGGACAACGAGCAGATGCCGATGAATGCCGTGAGCAAACACCCCAAGCTCAAGCTGCGCCTGCTCCTGGCAAGCAACGTCTTCGAGGCCGGCGGCACCGTCTCGGGCCACTTGGAGCTCACGTCGAGCACGAGCCAGCGCCTGCGCATCGGCGAGATTGCCGTTGAGCTGGAAGCGTTTGAAGGTGCGTTGGGATGGTCCTCGTCCTCCTCTTCCAAGCCTTGAGCTGCCACTGATGCCATTCTACCAGAGCTCTCGTCGAGGGATCACTCTGCGACGCAGATCTTTCTCTTCAATCGCACCCTTTTTCAGGGCGAGCACCTTCCCCCATCCAATGCTGTGCTACCTTCTGCACCCACGGCTGGCTACTGGACCGCGCGCAAGGGCCGCACCACGTTTCCCTTTTCCTTTCGACTGCCGGACTCGGCGCCGTCGTGCGTCACCTTTGCGGGCAACGCCTGCCTTCGCTACGCCCTCAAGGCCACAACACAGACGTGGTGGAACGACCAGAAGACGCTCGTCACTGTCAAGTCCGACGCCTTTGTCGTTGAGAAGTGGGAAGACGAGGGCGATGAACGGTATATGCAGCCCGTCGAAGCCGTGGCCGACACGAGGTTGTTCATGGGAGGCACTGGGGCTGTATGGCTCGAGGCCGGTGTCGCCGAGCAGCTTTTTGTAGCCGGAGGCATGGTCATGATTCGGGCCGGCGTCAAGAACAACACGAAGCGACACCTCTCCGGACTCAAAGTGGCCATTGCAAGGAGACTCATTTTCCCCGTCAGTGGGCCACCAGGCGTGCCAGCACAGAGACCCTCGTTGGAGCCGCAGATCACCGAGGTGGTCCACACGCAGCACTTCAAGGGCCCGTCTTTCGAGTTCCCGCCCTCCGAGGAGGTTGTCGTCAATCTTGCTGTGGACCTTCCTCGCGATGTTCGCACCATTCGGAAGACGAGGCTGTTCGAAGTGCAGACTGTGGCCATCATCAGCGCGCAGATGGGCAACTTTGCAAAGGATCTCACCGTCGAGGTGCCCTTCTACGTTGCCCACTCGTCGAGCGTTCAGCGGCCCGCCGAGGGTTCCTTGGCCCCGCTCCACAATCTCCCGCGGCGCAGCACCTCGGCGATGGCACATCGCGACCATCCCCAGCACCATCCTTACCACCAACATCACCACCATGCCCAGAGTCACGCTCCACACCATCAGTACCAGCAACAGCTCGATCCACAGATGCGCACAGTCGAAGCTTACGGTGCCGAGAGGGGCTGGTCTCCTGCTCCTATCCCTCAGCAAGGATTCGCCCCGCCGTCGAGGCCCGCTTCTGCCGCCATGGGGATGGTCGCTCTGCCTGTCGCACAGCAACAGCCTCTTGCAATAGACGCCGCGGTGCAGCAGCTGATCTGGGACCCCAATGCTCAGAATTGGACTACGAGCATGTTTCTCAACAATCTTTCGCCTCCTCAACAACCAGACTCCAGGCCGCTCTCCGCCCAGCAACAGGCCCAGCTCCCACGGCCAGCATCGGCGCAAGGTCTCGTCGGCAATCGGGCTCCTGCACATGTCGCGCAGGATGCTTACGGCGGTCAGCCTTGGCGAGGACCGCAATCGGGCTCAGCCCACCTCCTTCAGGCAACAGCGAGGCGAAGTAGTGCCCCTGTGCCCGTCGAGCACCAGCAGCAGCCACGAAACAGTTACTTGGCTCCTGGCCCTGAAGCTCGGCCACTACCAGCACCAACGAGCCCGCAGCAGCCGTCCGAGCCGCTTCAACCGTTGTCGCCATCCGCTGGAAACAAGCCTCAGGTGCAGGCGCCTGCGCCAGCACCCTCGCCCTCACAGCTTCTGGCGATGCATTCGCCGCCTCAAGCAGGCCTGGCGACAATCGAAGAGGATTCGGAGTCCCAAGCTGGCACTGTCCGGTCCATCCGAGCCTTGGGTGGAGGAAGCGTCTCGCGAGGTGACATTCTGCAGTTTGAAGAGATGGCGAGCAAGGCCGAGGACGAGGAGGAGATGCGCGAGGCGATGCGACGAATGGGAATGGTGCCAGAGGAGGAGAAGACTGTGAAAGACGATGACAAGAGTCTGCCAAGGCTTCCTGTGCCCAGCGCGAAGGAGAGCAGCAGCCAAATGGCTCGGAAACCTCGGGCTTCGGACATCTTTGCGAGCGATGCCCCTGGTCCCTTGTCTGTCAAACAGGAGACCGCGAGGCGTGCTAGCATGACGGCAGTGGACTCGGCTGCAGCTACAAAGGCTTCGGCAGAGCCCATGCCCGAGCCTCGCACACCCAGGGCCGAGTCGACGCCCCTGCGTCCCAGCTCATCGCAAGGCCACGGTCTTAAGGCTCTGGAGAGCCGTCTCGCAAGCCCAGACGCCAAGGAAACGTCGCCTGCGAACGCCGCGGGCAGCCGTCGCAACAGTGATGTGGCCGTCATGGCCAATGTGCGCCGGTCTTCGGAGACGAGGAGCCGAAATGACAGCGGTGCTCTACGCGCAGCTGCTGCGGCCGCCGCGATGCGCGAGAAACGAGCCAAGGAAGATGAGGAGGAGCGGCGCAAGGACGAAGAGCGCAGAAAGGAAGAGGTGCAGCGGAAGAAGGCTCGAGAGGCTGAGCTGGAGCGCTTGAAGCGGGAGGAGGAGGCCCGTGACAAGGAGCGCGACGAGCGAAGGCGCAAGCGAGAAGAGCGGGAGAACCAAGAGGCTCTGGAGCGAGAAAGCAGGCGCGAACAGGAGAGAAAACGGTCCACTGGCATTACTCCTGCGCCGCTTAGTGACAAGCCCCATTCCCTTTCCTCTTCGCAGCAGAAGAAGGAGGTCGAAGGCGACGGTAAGCCCAAGCGGGCACACGACCAGAAGGAGGAGGAAGTGCGACAGCTCAATAAGCAAGCCGTCAATCGTGTTGCCGGCTGGCTGGAGAAGACTCCTTCCCCCAACTCGAGCCGCACAGACACGGCGAAGGGCGAGTCCGAGCTCCAGGCCCCAGCAAGCTCCTTCGATCCGACACTATCGCCAAAGACGCCCAGCCCGTCGGTTCTGATGGCGGGCAAGGACGAGGATGAGTTTCCCTTCCCTGCCTCCGCTTCCGCAGCTGCCAGGAAGAGCCCGTCTGCGCCTCGAAAGAGCAGCTTAGCAAACGAGCCTACACCTTCGCTGTCGGCCGATTTGCGAGCACTGATCGACAGTAGCGAGGTGCGCCCGACGCCCAAGCCTGGCACAGCACTCAAGAGTCATGTCAGCACTCGGCGCTTCTCCAATGGCGCCGTGCCCACTTCTGAGAACAAGGGAGGAGGAACGACGACACCGGCTGCTTCTCTCTCGCGCGCAAGACGCATCTCGCTGCCTGCCCAAGCCTCGTCATCGCGCGTTCCCAGCTTCACAAAGAAGGCGAACGAAGGTGTCCCTAGCGCTGCTGCACGCGGAATTCCTGGACTTTCGACGTTTGATAAAGCGAACGTTGCCTTCCTGAACAAGGCAGCTCCGGCCAAGGTTGAAGCTCAGCCTTTGCAGCCCAGCGCCGAGAATGTTAAGGCTGACGACGGCGCCGAGGATGAAGAGGAAAAGGTCAAAGGCATTCCTCTCAGCGTCCAAAAACACCTTCTCAGCTCGCCGTCTTCGTCCAAAGAAGGTGGTGCCAAGTACGACGCCCGCTCGGCCCGTGGCGGCAGGGGCGGCAAGGTCGCCAGCGTCGCCAGTATGTGGGCCAATATCAGCGACGGAGCGGCAAAGGACGAGGCAACGCCCCTCTCGACCGTCAAGCCCAAGGCTCGACGATCAGGCGCAAGCCCTGCATTGGATTTCAGCAGCCCGGAAAAGTCAGCGTCGACCCCAGCCAAGGCAGATGAGGAGGTGAAGCCGTCGCAACCGCAGCAGCGTTACAAGAGCCCAGCACTGAAGACGACTTCAGCGCCTCACTTTATCAACACGACGCTCCCTAAGGCTGTCATTACGTCGCCAAAGTCGCCCACGACGCTCGAGGAACCCTTGCGCGCTCACCCACAGCCAAAGCCAGCGCACGGACCCAACGGAACCCGCATTGTCTCGGCCCCTGAAGCTGCCTCGGTCGCCGCTGCTGTCAAGGAGGGAGCTCTGAAGCCCTCTCGCAAGATCACTGCGGATCTCATGGCGGCAGAAGCGAGGCTGTCCGCTGGCGTCGTGCCCGAAGACTTCCCCAAAGACGTTGATCCCTCCATGATCAAGATGGCCGGAAGGGGAACCACTAAGCCGATCGGGAAGGAGAAGCTGGCCGACTTGAGGAGCCTCTGGGGTGGTTAACCTGCTGCATATAGCCCTACTTTTTTCACTTTCTTTATATGTAATGATGATGCAACCTTGATATGTTCGCCCGGGAGACTGTGTGTGAGGGTCTCATGCAGGATTGTCTTCGGGAGACAAGAGAGAGATGGGGAGAGGAACCTCGTTAAATCAGAAGCTTGCGCACGGATCGCTCTACCAGACCGATTAGGTAGAGAGGTTCTACGCACGGGTCATGACTTTGGCACCAAGGAACCCCGATCTAGAGCCTTGAAGGACAAATTGTAAGAAAACGAAGGCAGTCTTGGAGCAGAAGCTCTTGGGAGCAGAGGCTTGTCTGCTGCGACGTTCACCGTAACCGCCACCTTCACGATGACAGTCTTCGTTGCGGCGTAAGAGCAGAATGCCGGCCACGTGATGCGGCTTACTTAAGGCCGCGCCGAGGCATTGTTGTATTGCAAGGGTAGGGGCCGCAAGGGCAATACAAAAATTGTGCGCCGGAAGCGAAAAAGGGCCTCTCGCGCAATGCCCATTTGTGTAGCCTAGGCGCTCGCGCTCTGTTTAAATTTTTCTTTCGTTTTCGCCCTGGCTGCTCTGCTCCAGCCGTCTGGTCGCTGTCATTTTCTGACCCTCTACCACAGCAGCAGGATTGAAGGATTCGTTTTTCTCCCTCCTCCTGTAATTATATCTCTTTTCCTCACTTCCTTCTCTTCCATTTTCCGTCCTCAACCCCCCTCTCCTCGTCCCGTCTTTCCGTCTCTCGAATCTCGGCTCTTTTTCGTTGTTTGCGCGGCGTCCTGTGTGATCCTCTCGACTCGACTTGACTTCGACAAAGGCTGTACCATCTACATACCGACTCGATTTGCGGCTTCGCTCTCACAAAAGTCCCGTATCTCTCTTCGTTCTTCGTTGCCCATCCATCACAGCTCCGGTCCCGGTCTCTGTGTCATTACGAGTGAGTGTCCAGCTGCTCTTGGTTGCCACCATCGTGCATCGCCCGTTCTTCCAAAGACGGCGTTGTCAGGACGGCAAAGTCTTTTCACGCACAGTCGTGGATGGATGGCGATGCTGCTGGGTGCGAATTTGGATGCTGCAAATCTGGGCGCACAATAATTAGAGTAGACGCGTAGATGGACACGACGCTGACACCTTTTGGACAGTCGACTCGCACCGACTCTTTGTGTTATAGTTCATCAATCACTTCCTCAACGACGACGAAATGGCTGCCAAGGTTTACGTTGGAAACTTGTCGTGGAACACCACCGACGATGGCCTCGCTCAGGCTTTCTCGGCTTATGGACAGCTCACCGACTACGTGAGTGCTTCTCTTCGATGTGATCGCCTTGACCTAACCTGACGTCCGCTCTTCTCATCACCCCTCTTAGATCGTCATGAAGGACCGCGAGACTGGTCGCTCGCGTGGATTCGGTTTCGTCACGTACGGCTCGCAGCAGGAGGCTGACGCAGCCATTGCTGGTCTCAACGAGCAGGAGCTCGACGGCCGTCGCATTCGTGTCAACATGGCCAACTCCCGCCCAACTGGGTGAGCATGCATGGTGTTGCTAAAGAAAGACGCTCAGGTGACTTATTTTTTTCGGTTTTCCTTTTTTCGTCGCTGTGGAAGCAGCATGAGCGCTGGTATGGGTGCTGGTGGCTACGGTGGTGGCTACGGCGGCGGTTACGGTGGCGCTCCCCAGACCTCGTTTGGAGGCTACGGTTAGTTGGACTGATGATGAGAAACCGAAGAAAGACCAAAGGACTGAAGCAGACTGACCCTCCCAGATTCCGCAGGCCAACAGGGCAACTTCGGCGGCCAGCAGGGCTATGGCGGACAGCAAGGTTTTGCTGCTCAGGGCTACGGCGCCCCTCAGGGTGGCTACGGCGGTTACGGTGGCCAGCAGGGCTTCGGCGGTCAGCAGGCCTACGGCGGCCAGCAGGCTTTCGGTGGCGCTCAGCAGGGCTACGGTGCTCCTCAGGGCAACTACGGAGGGTGAGTCTTCTATCTTGTCATGCCCGCGTCCTGGACTCTTGGTTGTGGCCTGGCGTGTGGTCCTTTGCCGGTATACTGCTTGCTTTGCGACAGTTGACCTGAACCGTTCCATCGTCTCTCTTCTCTCGTTCCCGCTCGCTGTTCCTCGTTTGTCGCGCTCGGCCTCGTCATCCGGTCTCTTCTGTCGCGGCTTTTCCCCTCGTTGCGCTTCCGTTCTGGCCCCGTATCGGCGACGCTCTGCTCTTGTCGGCTTTCTCGTTCCGATGTCTCAGATTCCAGCAACAACCTCCAACGAACGGTTCTGGCTATTCGAATGGCTACCCCTCTGGCGGTCAGCCTGGCGGCTACTAAGCTTCTGTTCTTTCCATGTCTCACAAACTTTCAATTCGACTCATTGCTCCTTACCCTCACCGTTTTGGCACTTACACACTTTATCATCAGCAGCCAGCAGCAATGATCGATTCGACTGTGGCCTCTTTACCCTCCCCTTTCCCCTCAAAAAAAGACTCTCAATCACCTTCAATTCTTTTGTCAATCATGAAGCCCTTCTCTCTACTCCTTAAAGCCGCACCCATCTCAGGATCTCTCAGCTACCTATCTCTCAAGTCTCCTATCTGTCTCTCATCATCTTGACGGGAGCGCGAAGCAACCTTTCATCAATCTCAACTCATGACTATTTGCTCAATGACGCGATGCGATGAGCGTAGAGCGAGCGATCTGGGCTGGACAATAATGCCCCGAGGGGTTTGTCATGTGGAGCAGCAGACTTTCCCGTCTTCCCCTCCTCCCTTATTGTCCTATCCCTACTCTAACGTCTTCACTATGTCTGCGCAACAACAACCGGCAGCGATCGCCAGAGGCAAGCATGCGATCCTTTTGGGGGCAACGGGCGCCGTGGGGTCCTCACTCCTCTCTGCACTACTCGCATCGGGCGCCTACGGCCAGATCCACGCCTTTGTTCGAAAGCCCTTCAAGGAGCGAAAGGGCCTGGCCTCGGACGAGCGCGTAGTTGAGCACATTGTCGACTTCGACAAACTCGTTGGCGACAAGCCCGACGTGGCGGAATCGGAAAAGTTCAGGGATGTGCAGGCCGATGTCGTCTACATTGCTCGTGAGTCTTCCTTCCGAAGCAGGAGAGGGAGGGTGCCATGCATGCTGATGTTTGACCTTTTGGGGATCAAGTGGGCACTACGCGAGCGCAGGCTGGTTCGGCTGCTGCATTTGAAAAGATCGACCGAGAGTACGTCGTCGGTGCGGCACGAGCCTCTCTTGTAGGATCCACCGGGGGAAAAGGTCAGGATGAGGCGCACCAGCGTGTCGTCTACTGCTCGACGGCGGGCGCAAGCAGTTCCTCCCCGTTCCTGTACCCCAAGTCAAAGGGCCTGACCGAGGATGCTTTGTGTGAGTCCTGACTCACTTTGTGCTCTGACATAACGTAGGAACAGCTGGCTGAAGATCGATCCTCGACTCGTCACAGCAAAGCTGGGCTATGCGCAGACATTCATCTTTCGACCTGGCTTTCTCAAGAATGCCATTCGCGAGAAGCCACGCCGAATCGAAGCTCTCTTTGGCTGGTTCACCTCCAATGTCCTATCCAAGATTTCCGATGGCGCAGAGATCGGCGTCTCTCCCCTCGCAAAGGCCATGGTGTGGGCCGGCACAAATGGTGTCGAAGGGCTCGACAGCAAGAAGATCGGGACAAGGATTCAGGGGGAGGGCAAGAAGGGGACGGCAGTCTTGATCGGGAACGCAGAGGCGGCCAAGATCGCAGGAGATGCGGAGCTGCTTCAGTAGTTAACCGACGTCAAACAATGCTCAGCTTAGAAAGTTACCCGCTATCTTGTCGAACTTGTCTCATTCCAACGTTCCCGTGGCCAAGGTGCGAGAGGCACGTATTGCAAGATCAATCCATAGAGAAGCGCCGAGAAATGACCACCGTATTATGATTTTCTTCTCTCCTCAAGCTATTGATTGTGTTGGAGAACATTGAAATGGAAAGAGAATGGAATATGGATGACGGCAAGCGATAAGTGAGGCTAACCAAGTGTATAGCTGAATGGAGGGTGGATGAAGAAGATAGAAGACAAGAGTGACAATGGTGATGATGTTAATGACAAGAAATGGTGACGTTGATTGAAATAGTGAAAAAAGTCGAAGAAGTAACATGATTCGAGCGAAGGTCCTGCATTGTTTGCCTTCAGTGCTGTCGCGCACTGCGCGTGAACCAGTCGCTCAACCGCCCTTGCTGTTCAGCGTGCCTCCTAATCCCTCGGCCGCCACCACACCCAGGGTGACGTCGCCCTCGTCGTCGGTGCTGTTACTAGCGTGGTCGTCCCTGTTCTTCGCCAATTCATCCTTCCCCCCTCCTGCTGCAGGAAGAGGTGCAGTGGCCGCTTCGTTGTCCATCTGGCTCGCACTCCTCGAAATGGTGCTCGGTGGGCTCGAGTAGCCTGTGTAATTTGACCCACCGACCTTTGAAACATCCGTAGCTGGCGTCGCCGTCGACGAAGATGACACACCAGCGTTGTTGTCGCTACTCGTCTTTTCGCGGCTGTGATCTCCTTGATGATCGCTCGAAGAAGAAGGACGCTCGCCAGAGAGGGCAGGATCATCACTGTTGGCAATGAGCGACCCGCGAGGATAGAAGACGGGAGCGAGCATCGTCGGCGGAGCATGCATGGCGTACTGGAGATGATGGTGGTGGTGGTAATGGGGCTGACTTGGTTGGCTACAGACAGGCTCGGCCGCCCCAGCCAGGACGTAAGGCTCCCATCCGACTGCCTTTCTCACCCTGCGATGCTCTGAATCGACAGCGAGGACAGTGGAATACATCAACGTGTCCAGGACCAACGTTAGATCCGTCGTCAGGCTTCTGACCCGATTGAAGCTCGCCACCGTCGAGACGGGCACCCAGCCTTCGCGGTCCATGCACTGGCGCAGGAAAAAGTCGCCCTGAAGGTTGCGATGAGAGAAGTAGAACTCGATCTGGTTGAGCAACCGAAGCGTGGGTCCATCTTCGCTTTCTTTGTTAGCCTGCGAGGCATACTCGGCCGGAGTCGTGCTCTCTTGGGCTGGCGAAGATGGGGGAAAAGGTGCGGCGGGAGGGTAACCGTACATGGGCTGTTGACGGTAAAGGGCAGGATCGGCAGCCATAGGAAAGGGCGGATAGCCTTGATAAGCAGTCGGGTACTCTCCATAAGCAGACGCCCAAGCTTGCTGCTGCTCCTCGTAGCTTGTGCCGTATCGATTGTGGTAGTCCGCGTATGCGTGGTGACTGGCCCCCCTTCCTCTGCCGCGACCCCTTCCTCGTCGAGGCATGGGCCTCCACGGTTCTTGAGACGGGCTCAGCGCCAAGGGGTCGGTAGCTCGTGTTGGAGAAAACGATCCGTCTTGATTCAATCGAGGAGGGCGCTGATAAGGATAGGGAGAAGAGGGACCGGGTGAGCCACTCCAGGTAGACGAGGCGGCTGTCGTAGCGGCAGAGGCGGCCGCCGCCGCCAATTGCGCCTCAAGACCCGTTGGTGTCGGTGGCAAATGTGCAGGCCGGTTCAGGTCCACCGTGGGTGGGTCCGAGAGCGGAGTCGCCGCTCCAGATGGTGACATTGGACCTGCTGAGAGGTCACCTCGCTGCGAGACTCGCAAGTTGTTGAAGCGAGGTCCCAATGTGGTTCCCTTTACCGAAGAAGATCGTTGTTTGGGCATGGAAGCAGAGCGTCGACCTTCTCCGCCGGGTCCATCGACGGTGAGAGCGTGGAAGGAGGACAAGAGCTTGCTATTTGCAGCCTCTTCGCTGCTGCCTTCGCCGCCCACATCCTTTCGACGGCCTCTGTGTTCATCGTCGTCCTTGAGACTTGCTGAGACGGAGCCAGCTGGGGAAGGCTCATCCTCGGCCTCTGCCGATGCGACCTTACGAAACCCTTTCTCAACTCTCGTCGATCGATCCTGGTCGTCTTGCTTCGAGCCCGCAGGCATGGAAGCAGGTATCGAAGAATACAAAGAGTCCGCGGGGGGCCCGCTGGCGCTCCTCCCCGGCAAGCTCTTTGCATCTTTTGGCTTCGGTTGACTTTTCTGGGAGCCGGCGCCAGCGCCAGCGCCATTGCTGTTGCTCGCCGCTTTCTTTGACTTGCCACCTGCAGGAGGCGGCGCATTGTGTGTGATGTTGGGGACAATTGAGATCCACTGCTTGCCACCTGCCTTCTTTCCCTGCTGCCGCAGCACCTCGACATCCAGACCCTGGAGACCAAGCTGTTGCTGGGCTGCCGTCGAGGAGCTCTCGCTGACCCGCCGACGATGCATCAGCGCATCCGAGTCACCCGAGAGGGTGCCCGCGCCGCTTCTGCTGTCAATGGTAGCTGCCGTCGGGCTTGGCCAGTCTTCTGTGTCGCCCATTGATGGCCCGCGGGAGACAATCGACGACGAGCGATCTTTCCTGCTTGCTGTTGAGGCATTCGATCTCCTCCGTGTTCTCTCTTGGTTGAAGCGAGCCTCTGATGCGTGTCCGTTGGCGGCGACTGGCTCCACCTCGTCCCTGAGAGAGGCTTCTGCGTGGGCATCATTTGCTGCACGCTCCGCGACACCATTGTGCAGCTCCTTGTCCTCTCTGTCCTCTTGCCCAGAAGGCTGAGATTGGTGCTCGCCTCCGGCGCTTGGAGACACCTTGGCACCTCCATTGAGCATCGAGATTCTGTCCAACCATGCATTGTTGTCCGAGACGGCCGCTGCCGCCTTTGTTGTCGATGCTGGTGGTGGCGCAACCCTTACTCCTTCGTCAGTGTTGTTGTGTGACGCTAACGCAGAAGCGCCAAGGGGCAACGAGGTCGAGGAAGAGGTCGACGCCTTTCGTCTGTCCCTGTCTTCTTCTCGCTCCCTATCCTTTTCACGTTCTCTTTCCTTTTCAGCCAGCTGCTTTCGTCGAGCCTCCCACACATTGGTGGCAGTAGATGCGCCCGTCATCGAAGATGGCATCTTGTCGCTCGCATCACCCATGCTTGGCGGCGAAGGCTTGATTGAGGAAGAGTTGAGCGGGGTCGCCGCGGTGGCCACGGGCGAGATGGAAGACGCCACCACTGATGCTGGCGTCGACGTCGACGAACGAGCAGCCTCGCTCGTTTGGGTTGGCGACTGAGAGGTTGGAAGCCGAGTTTGCCACGCACCCCGGGGGGCCTGCGAAGTCGAGGTGCTCCACGCCGGGAAGGAGGACGAGCCAGTGGCGGGGACTGCCATCGACGAGACCGAGTGTCTTTTGCCAGCACTTGCTGCGCCGCTGGAAGATGCAGATGAGGAGGGAGAGGGGACAGATGTCGACGCCGCACTTGCCGGAGCGGCCATCGTAGAGGAGGCCCCAACTGGGTTGGAAGGTGTCCTGGCGTGGCCACGGCTACTCATCGTTGCCTGGACGTTACTCCTTGACGAGAGGGAAGACGAGGGTTCAGAGGTCGCACTCGACGAGCTGTTGCTAGCGGCCGCCGATGCAGCAGCAGAGCCGTCTTTTGCTCGACGAAGTCGCTCCGCGTACGACAATTGCGGCTTGCCCGTGGCGGCAGAAGACCAAGCGGACATGGTGTCTCAAGGGCCAGGGTTCGCCGAGAGCAAGCAGAAAAGTGCAGATGCCTGCCAAGAGAGCGAGTCAGTCCTTGCTCCGAAGTTTGGGCGACGCGAGCGCGAGGCCAGAGAAGGGAAAAAGAGATCCGAGGAGAACAAGAAAAACGAAAGAGCTTTCCCGAAAGCCAGGCAAGGACAAAGGCGCCACTTGCTGTACCTCCTCGCGAGCCCTGGAGTTTGCTCTCCTACTCTATTGAGAAAGTTCATCTGACCGTCGTGACTTCTCCGGCGTGGACAAGACCCAAAAAAAAAGTCGAAAGATGGAACAGCGGCGACGGTCTGGTGGCGGGTTTACTTCAACCGAAAGAGACGAGAGGCTACCCCTCTCTCTTCTCCCCCTCATAATGCGCAACGATCGCGGCGACGGCAGACGAGCACACTCACTTGTGAGGGTAAGTTGCTAGAGCTATCTGGTCCCCAAAGTCTCCGGCCACGCTCGTCTTGCTCCCTCGATCGGTGCCAGCCTACTCCTCTTTCGTCGACTTTCTCGAGGTCGTCCCCACGTCTCCTACTTCTTCTTGAGCAACCCACAGGTGAAGGATCGCACTTGCGCCCGAAGCTTCCCGCCCTCTCTCTCTTTCTCCTCTCTGCTGAAAATTGCAGGAGAAGCGCAAAGCCTTTCCCGAACTCTCGAAGCGCCACCTCTCGAAACCCCTTCGCCGACCGTCGCCGTCGCTCCCCAAGACGACGCTCCGAGAACCACACCACAGAGCAACGCTGACCGGGGCACCCGAATGCGCAATCGGAGAGGCAGAACTCGACAGATCGGAGGTCGGGTGGCCGGAGGGGAAGAAAGAAAAAAAGATAAACGAGGTAGCGGCGGAGGGACGAGACGGTAATGAGACAATGAATGAGAAGCAACGAGACAAAAGAAAGAGAAGGGCACACAGATCCAGAAAAGCGAGACTAAAAAGGTGCGCACTGCACTATTGCTCAACGCTCGTACGCACGCGCCTCTCCCTTTCCTTGTAGCCCTTTCAAAGTGAAATGCCGTCAAGCCCGGCCGCGTCCTTCCTGCCTCTCGTTCACCGAAAGGAAATCACAGGATCGAGCTTCGGGGCTGGCCCTCCGAGTCGACGCAGATGCTTTTAGCAGTACACCAGTTGTAGTGACTAATTCACTTTGGTCCTGCGCCACAGCAGGAGCAGGAGCAGGAGGGCTGCATTGAACGACGCATGTGATTTGCACAAGTCATGGGCGGCGTGCGGGCTGCACTGCTCGCGTGAGCTCAAGTGTGCACCAAGAAGGTTTGAGTTGGGCATGCAGTGCGAATGCAAAGCAAGTAAAAGAGGGTGTAAGTGTCCATTTAGAATTTCAAGCGTTTTGAGTAGGACCACAAGAGAGAAGAGAGAAGAGAGAATGAAAGAGAGTGAAAGAGAAGTAGAGCGAGCGGTGGGTGGGGAGCGAGTCTAAGAAAAGAGAGGACAAGCAGAGTGGGTGCGGACACAGGGGATACGATGATGGTGAGAAAGAGAAACAGAGAAAGTGGTGCGACCGAAAAGATCAGATAGAGAGACAGCGTGGCGTGAGTGATCGAGCGAACGACGAGAGTAGACAGGAGTGAGAAGTGTATGCTGGATGCTGGTGGGCGTCAATGATGCGAGACGATTAACCCGTCCACCAAGGAAGGGAGGGGAAGTTGTGCGACGAGACAGCAATTCGATTCGACCCAGTGTCCCCGAGACCGAGAAAGAGAAAAGAGATGAGAGACTGAAGACCGAGAGACTCTGCTCATTGACGGAAGTAGTCGTTTCGGCCCCCGTACGACCCCTGCGAGCTGTAGTGGTTCGAGCCGTGCTGAGGCGTGTCGTAGAATCGATTCGGGTCTGTGTAGGCAGAGTTGTTGTAGTATTGCTCGCCCACATCGCCTCCCGACTGGTGCTCGCCCCAGCCATGTTGCTGGTACTCGCCGCCGTGGGCCAGGGGCGATGGTCCTCCTCGCCTGCCTCCCGGCTGCCCCGGTGTGGTGGCGGGCGAGTCGTAGTAGGGCGAGGCAGGCGTGTTGACGTCCTGCATCCGGTACGAGTCAAAGGTGCCCATGCTGCCCCTTGCTTGCTCGTGGACGCCCATGACGGGTGTGTTGACACGCTTGTACTCGTTTCCTCCTCCCATTGTGTAGCTGCCCATCCCGTACATGGCTCCTCCCGAGGCATTGTGGGACGTGGAAGGCGCGCCGACCTTTTGCGGGCCCTTGTTAGACCTCCGCCTCCAGCAGCACAAGCCCAGGACGATCAGGGCAATGACGGCAGCAGCACCGACTGCAATGCCAACAATCTTGGCAATGCCAAAGCTCGAGCCGTCCTTGCTAGGAATAGCGGTGTACTTGGAGTTGTTGACGCCGGCAGGCAGCGTCTGGGGGGCGGCGCCTGTCGCGAAGTTCTGTGGGATTTGGGCGCCACTGGTCTTAGACCCAATCATGATCTGTACTCCTTTGCTAGGAACACCATCGATGGTGATGAAGAGCAGCGCGGGACCAGGAACAAAGATGTTCTTGTTGAGTGGCATGGGGTTGACCATGTAGCTGACGCTGCCGTCGTCGTTGACAGTGTAGGTGTGAGCAAGCTGAAGGCTGCGCTGGCCCATGTTCATGGCGTGCGTTGAGAAGCCAGGCCGGATGACCATGACCTTGGTGTTCTCTGCCTTGTAGTTGGCCGAGCTGCCCATGAAAGTGCTGTCCATGGTAAAGTTCCAGTTGTCACCGCCGTAGAGAAGGTAGCTTGGAAGACCCTGGGGCTGGGGGCGCGTCTCAAAGTAGTACGGTGGGTACCACTTCTCGACCTCGTACGTCGTGTTGAACGCCTGGGGCGTTGTGCCAGTGGGCATCGTAATGGCCACGTCCTGGTGCGGGTTTGAGCCAGCGACGAGGACCGATCCGTCAGGAATGAGGATGGCGCTCGAGTGGTAGAGACGGGCGATGGGCGAGTTCTGGAAGCCCTTCTGAGAGATGCGCGAACCCTTGGGCTGGCTCGGGTCGTACAGAACCGGCATGTAGGTTGGGCTCTGGGCCATGCCTTCGGCGCTGACATTGTACGGCATCGGAATGAGGTTCCAGCTCTGGTTGGTGTAGCCGGCCACGCCCTTTTCGGCACCGTTGACGATAACCATTGTTCCGTCGGGCAGGTGGATGAACTGGCCCATCGAGCGGCCCTGGGGCAGCTTGTCTTCGGTCGTGTACGAGCCACTGACAAAGTTTCCATCCGCGTCCTCGGGCGTGATCGACGAGCAGTCGTCTGAAGCAGACACCTGTTGAGGATCAATCTTGGGGGAGGTGTAGTCGCCCCACTGCTCATCTGTCATGTAGGTGCCGCCACAGAAGAGAATGGTGGGCGTGTACTTGTTGGCAGGCGTGAGTGGCAGCATGGCTGTGGCACCCGAAGCAGGGTAGACACGGACGATTTCTACAAGGAAGGAGGAAGGGGGACAAGATCAGCCTCTGGACTCATTACCCTCTTCTTAGTTGGCACACTCACGACCAGGCATGTCGTCGAGGTTGTGGTAGGCGTTGTTCTCGTCCCCGCTGGTGTAGTTCCACAGTGTCGTGCTGTAGTTGGCCTGCATGAACATGAGACCGCTGGGCATGAGGTACATGTGTGGATACATGTTGAGGCCTGGACAAAGAAAAATAGATCAGTAAGGGCCGATCGGAACAAAAAGCAGGAGAGAGAAAAAACTTACCGCTAGTGGTAACCATAAAGTTGTTGACGGCACGCGCGTTGCCCTTGGAAGGGAAGAACTCCCAGGTGGGGTTCGCAGCGCCTGCGAGAAGGTTCTGCAGCGATCCCTGCGATTGCGTTGAGAAGGCTGGATCGACGTTTGGGTAGTTGCGATTGATGAAGCCACCGGTGGTGGACCCGCCAAGGATGATGGCGCTTCCGTCGGCCAGGACCTCGACACCTGGGTACCAGCGCTGCGAGTCCATGAAGCTGCTGTTGTCGTTCCAGAAGAGTTTAGACGAGTCCGTGTTGGGATCCATAATACGAATGGCAGTGCGGCCGTCATAGTCGCCGTAGACGTTGGTAGGTTGCACAGTGGCGCCTCCGTAGCCGACAGGGTTGTTGCCACCGACGACAACCCAGGAGCCATTGCCGAGAGTGAAGCCCGATGCGCAGAAGGGATTGGAAATCAGCTCCAATGCCCGGGGTGTGTTGTCCGTGAGGCTCATGATAGCGCCCCACACGGGCTTGTTGTCAGCCGTCCTGGCCCGGTTGCCCTCCGTCTTGTCGAGGATCATGACATTGTTCTCGTCGATCAAGGCCATCATCATGGCCGACGCCAGCGAGTTGTCAAGTACAGTCTCGTACTGACCGGCGGCCCGACCAGCCTCTACGCCTGGTGCCAGCGAGGTCAGCGAGGCGAGACCCAGCGCGGCCACAGCGGCCCCGAGAGCCTTTGCCAGCGAGGGCGCGCGCCATCCAGACGACGATGATTTGGACGCGAAGAAAGACATGATTGTGAAGATTGTTATGTGCTGTTCGTGTCTCGCACAGCGAGGTGAATAGTCGTTATGCGGTGCCAAATGAGGGAGAGGGAGCGGTAGACCGACGATGGTACAACTACCTCGTGGCCTCGGCTCGACGCGATGATACGCCCCTTTTCCTAAGGGTCGTCGGGGTTGGCCAATGTTCGCGGTCCGCTGGCCAGTCGAGAGAATGGGAGACTGCCAATGCTGATCTGATGCCGTCACCGCCACTCACGTCGGAGAGAAGGATGCTTTGCCGGCTATATGGGGTGGGGGTGGGGAGCGGTCCTGGTCGAGAGATAGAGAGAAAAGGGGAAGACAATATAATAGGGTGTAGTGGTGCTTGCGCGAAACTGGGCGCTCGAGTTTCGCCCGCTTGGACTCTAAACCACTGACCACCACGGCGAGGCAAAACTCCAGTCACATCGGAGAGCTGCGTGTTGCAAAAATATGTGCGCTTAAAAATTCTTGGAAATTGAACCTCGTGTGTCGTGTTTGTATCTCGGTCTTCGCTTCTTTGCATAGCCAAGCTTTATGAGCATGATGCCGACTGGAGTGCGCAAAGACAAATGCTTATGACTCTGTGCAATCTTGCCTCTGATCTCGCTTCCTCCGATCTGTCGACGACGGTGTCCGACATCGTCGTCGACGCTGTCTTTGGTCTGACGAGGCAAAGAGCACCACGGTCGCCCGTCTCCTATCGAAAACGCGAGCGTTCAAACAGCCCGCGAAGCCACCGCACAATGGCTCACACCTGTACGTTGATCCGCCCGCCCGCTCAACCTCCCACTCAAGCAGAGGGGAAAAAGTTCTATCAGGTCCAGTTACTCTTGCCATTCGGGTCCTTGAGGCGGAAAAAAAGGGAAGAATATCTCGAATAATGAATGTCCCTTTCGTCTGGGATACCGACGGGATCCCGTCGCCAAGGTTGTAGCGCGAAGTTGCTGCTGCCTCTCGGCATGGCTTGGGCATTGCCCTGCCCAGCCGGCATTGCCAGTTTGAACTAAAATTAAAGAACCAACAAAAACCCAAAATGAAAGAAACGATAAATCTCCAGAGCGAAAAGGCAGACAGCAATATATGGGCCCTTGATTAGGAAATCTCGAAAGAGCCCTAGCCCCGTATCAGAGTCACGGCGCTAGCCCCGGAAGCCCCTGTTCCAGCAATGTTCCACAGACACGGACTTGTTTGGTTGCCTTCGCTCTAGATATAGGACGCGGACCACGCGACTACTGCTCGAAGGGAATGCATGCCGCTCTCGGCAAGGTCAAGAAGACCGGCTCAAGGGTCCTCTGCGAAAGACACCGCGCTGTATAAACAAAATCGGGAAGTAGAAGGCAGGCTTGGGCATTCTCGGCGATAGCCCTCTCTCTTCGACTATTATTAGTAGCAGCGCAGCACTGACGATCTTGATTAGAGAGAATGTAGAATGCGGAACATACTGCAGGTGCGCTGCTCCTGCTGATACAAACACTAGCTACTTCGAGTTTGCTATGTGTGCATCATCAGAACCTGGTGAGATCCCTTCCAAAGACCTTGTTGATGGTCCAGAAGAAGGGTACCAGGATCCGATTTCTCCAGCTGAGGCTCATCCACGTGTACGCCGATCTCCAAATGACCCAGGCGAGTCTGCCCTGGGCCTTTGCGTTCGGGCTGTCGACGATGGCCGAGCCCTTGCCTAGGCTGGCCATGGCGCCCATGTTCTTGTGCTTGAAGACCGTCTCGCCCTCCTCGGTGTCGTGGTCCATCTCGCCATTGAGGACGGCGGCGAGGTGCTTGCCCTTTTGTGAGGCCACCTGCGCTGTTGCAGGCAGCATTTTGCCCTCAATCTGGCTGCAATCGCCAATGCCCCAGACGCCCTCGACGTGTGTCTTCTCTGCACCCTCTGAGGCGGCTGGCTCGAGAATGCGGAGATGGTCGTCGGTGAGGAAGAACTGATTGTTTGGGTCCTTTGCAATCGATACCGTGCTTTTGACCAGCGGTGATGCGCAGATGCCTGTCGACCAGACGAGCAGGCCAAAGGGGATCTCTCCATCTGGTTCGACGATCAACCGCCCCTTGTCGACGGCCTTTACTTTGCGGTTGAGGAGCAAGTCGATGCCGTCTCGCTTGAATTTCTCGCGTGCATAAGTGCTCAGCGAGGCGTCAAAATTGTTGAGAATGCCAGGAGAGGCGTCGACGATGCTGATTCTCGCCAGTGGCACCTGCTCGGGGTAGAGCCGCTTGAGGTCCGTCGCGATGAGATCGTGGAGCTCGGCTGCAAATTCTGAACCCGTGGGCCCGCCACCGACAATGATAAAGTTGAGCAGAGCCCTGCGCTGTTCATCGGTCAGGTTCGGGTGGTCGGCCTGCTCGAAGCACTCGAGGATCCTCCATCGGATCGAGCGTGCATTCTGGACATCTTTCAAGAACCATGCATGCTCCCGAACGCCCTTTGTGGAAAATGTCCGGTTGTACGCGCCCACGGCGATGACGAGCTTGTCGAACCCGAGCTCGTACTCTCTTCCTTCCTCGAGGCTCGTCCATGACTCACCCGCCGCCTGGCTGTGATGGCCCACCTGCTTGGACGAGTCGAGCACCGCTTCGTCCGAGTCGGACTCGATGGCTCGCCTGTGTGGGGCGCGCGCCATGAGTGTCGAGTGACCACCCCTCGCGTTGGGCACTAGTCTCTTTGGCTGCTGGGCTTCGGAACTTGTGGCCGCTGGCCCTGCAGCACCTTCCTCCATCAGTGGGTCAACCTCGCGAAACGCGGGCGGGTAGGCCGGCATCAGCAGCAGCTTCTTGTTCTTCAGGTCAATCTTCTCCGCCCAGGCGTGGTAAAATTGCAGCTGGCTATGTCGCCCGCGTACGGGCTCCATCGTGGCTCGAAACTCGAGCAGACCTGTTGCGGCCTGGGCTAGCAGCGGCGTCATGGCAAAGTAGGTGTTGGGCGAGACGCAGATGACTTCGTACTTGGACTGTTTGGGCGAGGTCGCGCGCCATTTAGCTTCAGCGCTCGGTGAAAAAGAAAGCGAGCGCAGTAGAAGGATGCACTCAGGAACCCACCTGGTTGAGCGACTTGAGGAGCGACATTGCACCCCATCCGGAGCCCAGAATCACGAGCCTCTCCTTCTTCTTCGCAGGCTCTTGTGACGGCCCTTTTGCGACTGTTGCGTACCCCACTTGCCTCGCCACGGCGAGCCTCTGCAGAGTCGTCCTTGCGAGCACCAACGGCCTCGAAGGCCCGGCGATGGTCACCATTGCGTTTGAGAGCTGATGTGAGCGGAAAGACAGCGAGGACGGAAAGGATACGATCCACCTCTTCTTGCTGAACCTTTGCTTCCATTTTCGTCATGTCCGAGTGGAGCGGGAATCCTGGGAAAAGTTGCGTCGCACGGGCCGGTTCATTCCGTGCAAGGCGATTGGCTTTCAGACACGCCAGACGCCTTGCCTGTCAAGCAATTATTGGCGGCCCATTTCTTCGAGATAACGCAACAGGGTTCGGGCCGGTCAAGCCTGAAAGTGACAGAACGTAAAAGTAGTTGTACAGAGTACAATGAGCAGCAACCACAGCGGGGTTCTGTATCCGTTGCGAAAATCCGCCGCTGGATCGGCCGATCGCAACAAAGGTCCGATCTTGTCCGTCGTTGGGCCACTACTCGATGATCTGTACGGCTCTCGACCGCTTTCACGCAAGAACCTCCGGATCCTCGAGCTGGCCTCTGGCGAGGGACGCCAGGTAGCCCACATCGCCTCGAAGCTGCCCACGTATGACTTCCACCCGAGCGAAGCGGACGAGGCGTCGTGCGCGCAGATCGACGACGTCGTTGCCTCTACGACACCGCCGCTGGCCAACGTCCAGAAGGCGAAGTTGCTGAGGATTGAAGAGCCGGACGACTGGCGCATAGCAACGAGGCAGAGACCCGTCGATGCCGTCTTTGCATTTAATCTGGTCCACATTGCTCCATGGGAGGTGACGCAATGCCTCTTCGAGATGGTCGCCAACCCCGAGGTCCTCGCTGACGATGGCATCGCAGCTCTGTACGGCGCATGGAACGAACGGGGCCAATTCACAAGCGATGGCAACAGGGAGGTGTGTCTCGAACCCAGCACAGGCAACGGCAAATGGCTCATCGTTTCTACTTCCGCAGTTTGACGCCGTGCTCAAGGGGCGAGACGCTCGCTTTGGCTTGCGTGACGTGGATTCAGAGCTTGTTCCTCTGGCAAAGAAGCACGGCTTCCTTCTTACGCAGAGAACAGAGATGCCGGCCGGAAATGTGAGGAGCGACATGATGCACTCCTTCTTCTTCCCTCCACCATGAAGCTGACCGACGACGTCTTTGCCAGCTTTTCCTCGTCTTCCGCAAACAGCAGCTGCCATAGAGCACGATATGACAAGAAACTCTCTTCCATTTGTACGATAACAATACATTGTAATTTGTAACTTCTATCACTTTGATGCCCATCGCCCCACTTCCTCGACACCGTCTTCGACAAGGACGAACATGGCGTCCCTCCCATGGGCGACGTCGAGTATGGATCCTTTGCCAATCCAGTCCTTCCGAAGAACCGTGACTTCGACGGGCTCATACACTCTTCGCTCGATGTCGTCGGGCGTGAAGCGACTTGCTATCATGTAGCTGGGCCACGGCTTGCGTTGGCCCAACGATAGCCGACCAGCCGACGAGTCGAGTCCCCAGACAAAGAGAGAAGGTGGACTGCCAGCCACAATGGCAGAAGCCTGCTCGAGTCCGGCCGAGATGCTGGTGGCTTGGGAGAGGATCCTGACCGGACGATGGCTCTGAAGCTGCTCCTTGCCCTGACCCAGTGCGCCAAAGCCAGCGGTGTAGACGTTGCCTCGATCTGGAATGGGACGGCAATGTGTTGCGTTAGTCTTGCTCCCCATTTTTCAATCGAGTAAGGAAAGAAGAAGGAGGGAGGGGATATTCAGGTCACAGTAACCTGGTCGAATGAGGGCGATGCCCCCCACCCTTGGCGAGGATGGTGCCCCCCACCAAGCGGCGAGTCTGAGCTACCTCTCTGTTCGCCAGGCCGAGAAGATTGTTGGCTTTTTTTCCTCAACGAGAGAGCACCGACGCTTCTCTGAGCTTGCCTATGCAGTCTGCATTCGCATCATGTGGGCTCCCAGGCTCGGACGCTAGTCGTGACTTACCATCGAGAATGACGACGAAGCTGCCGCCAAGCTTGACATCGACTACCCTGGCACCCGGTGCGAGCGCCTGTTTCAGAGCATCGGTCGCCTCCGTGGGAACGTCGATCCTATCGATGGCTCCGCCCCCAACGAGCGCCTGCCCGTACTCGCTGTTTCCCCAGCCCCAGACCCGTCCACTTTGAGTCCAAACGATCGAGGTGTCGCCGCCTGCAGCAACTCCCACGAGCGGGTCATCGTCCAACGAAGGAAGCGCTGGCTGGAAAAGGGACGGAGGAATGGCGAGCAAAGATGGCGAAGAGATTCGATGCTCGGGGAGGCCCAGCTGGCCGTCTGTATTGATGCCGCATGTCCGGACCTGCTGTCCCTCGCCGTTGTCGACGAGGATCACCGTGTGGTCGAGCCCTGAAGAGATGGCCCGAATATGGACGCCTTCCGATGCACCTGTCACATCGACGCTTCGTGGCGACGAGTAGAGAAGAAGCTGCGGCTCGCCACCTTGACTGAGCGCATACGGTCTCGAGGGTCCTCCTAGCCCGAGCTGGCCAGACGTGTGGTCTGGGCGCAGAAGAATGTCGTTAGAATTGAGGAGAAAGAGAAGAGAAAGGGCTTGCGTGACGCTTACTCACTCCCAAATGCATGCACGAGCGACTTCGACGCGCCGTCAATTGTGACGATCCAGGAGCTGCCAAGGCCTGTCGAGAGGGAAGCAATGCCTCCTTCGCCGGTGAAGCCGGACGAGACCATACCCCACGTGCTCTCCTGGCTAGCAAATCCGAGGCCCAGCTCCCCAAAGGTATTTCGACCGATGGCAGCTACCTTGTAGAGTCCCGACGGGTAGACTTGGTGCTCCTCTTGATCGATTCCATCCTTGACGACGGGCAAGGCGGGGGGCAGTGTCTTGTATGCGACAAGGCAGTGCGAGTGCGACGCTGCCAAGTTGGTGAAAGACAGGCCCTTTTGCGTCACGGACATTCACATCAGTAAAGCCACCGTTGAGGAAAAAAAAAAAAAGAGGCCAGGCACCGGCTCTCTGCGTACCTGCTCGACGTCCGGCTGCACGCCGAGTGAGAGGAGCCAGTCCTTGGGCACCTCTCGCAGGCTCGCGCTCCGTCTGTCCAGCACCGAGCCGGACCACAGCAACCTCTGCACACCACAGCCCCTTGTTGAGCGCAGGGCCAGCGCCACGGAGGGCCACATTTCCTGCGGGCGAGGCTCCGATCGTCTTTCTCTGTCTAGACCTTTTTGTCTCCGTGGGCAAGTTGGCGGGCCTAAAACACGGGACGGAGGGTGAAAGAAAGAGCACGTCAAAATAAGGAAACAAAAGCAGAAGGGCTGTGTCGAAAAGTGGAGGCGAAAGAACAGTGAGTCGGATAAGACAGAGGGTACCTGTCAAAATTTAAAGCACGCACCCGGAGGTGTCACACACCCACCTCTCCCTCAGTCGGCGTCAGTCGTCCTCCTTCCAGCATCGACAAGTAGTCGAGGACAGACCAGGAAAAGGAACAGATGGGAGACATACATTGGCCGACTGCTCTACAAGCAACTCGACTGAACGGGTCGTCTTATACAGCAGAAGAATAATAACAAGCCCTTGCAAGCCAAAGCACTCGCTCCTCACAATGCCGAGTCTTCATGTCAGTCACCGAATGCACCAGGTGAATGAGTGGTCGTGAACATCCGTCCTCTTCAGAAGCAGGCAGTTGCTCATCAAAACAATGTTTCCAACCCTCGTCCCATGACGACAGTACACTATCATCCCGCGCGTGCTGTACGTGCGGAGGATTGGTTTCAAGAATTGGTCACTCTCCTTTGGCAGCAGCGGTCGGGTCACGTACAGCTGAATGTCCGCCATCGGAAAGGCGGGTGCGCGCGGCAGCCACGAGAGAGAGAGAGATCTGAGGGCTGAAGGGGTATTGAATTGAAGAGGAAGGGGGTAATTGAGGGATGCCTGGGTGGATACAGTGAGCTTGTCTACATAACAATCTGAGAGTGAAGAGTATGTGCGGTATCTTGACGACGAGAGTATGACACAATTTCCGGCTGCGCTGTTTACAAAAATGAGTATATGACACAAGGGGCTGCTGCCTGGTGTGACAGGAACAGTTGAAGACGAAACAAAGGGGTAGAGGTTGCTGGTGACAGGACTGGCTGTCGGTCCGTCCATACCGGCGCTAAAATGGTATGCTCGGGCAGATCAGAAGGGAAGCAAGCAAAACGGACAGCGCGCCATGATTCGCGGAAAGATGATTCAGTGCTGGTGGTGATGACCAAAATCGCGATGATGGGTCTGACTCTTGCCATGATCGAATTGGTGAATATGCTCTGGACAATCCTTTTGCTCGCTGCGGAAGAATACGTGACGGCTAGTGCTGCTGCTGCTCTCGCTCCTCATACGCTCATCTCTGGGCGAGAGGGTGTCTGTCTCGTCAATGGACGAGGCCATAGTAAGTGCTGGTGAAGGGAAACTGCCATTCGACGACGAAGGTCCCTGCAGAAAGGATTCGCCGGAGAGCTCACGTCGAGGGACGAGGGAACGACGGCTTGCCTCGACCTCTGGTGACTCCGACCTCTGACAGTCGCACAGCTGCTGCTTCTGTTCTTCCACAAATTCGTGCATCTGAGAGGTACCCTGGTCCTGCACGCCAGCCTCACAGTGGAGCAGGAGTGGGGGAGAGCTGTTTCGGCGACGAATACTGGCAGGTGGTTGAAGACCTCCGGGCTGGCCATCAAGGCCACCGTACTCCTCGAAGTCCCAGAACGAGGATCCAATGGCGTGCTGAAGCTTCTCATTGAGCATCGGCGTGTCTGCGGAAGGCATTCTCGGTGGTCTGTTTGGTCGCTGCGGCTCGTGCTGTAAGGGCGCGCTGGCATGCTTCATTGTCGCTCGATTGGGTGGCGTGTGAGGAGGTGTAGGTGTGCTGTCCTCGGCTGTCTCGCTCACGCAAATGCTGACTGTCGCAGAGGACGAAGTCTTCATTGGCGGGAATGACGAGCCTTCGCTCGGTGAGGACGGCGACGCTTCCGTCGGCGAGGTCAACGGTGTCCCAAGAGGGGAAGGCGTCGACGACATGTTGGTGCTCAAAGGAGAGGCGCACCGTGATGAGCGTCGAGGAGAGAAGATTGAAAGAGAAGGGGCGATGGCCCGGGAGTTGTTGACGCAGCGCTTAAGAATGACATTGACAAGTGAGCGTCAGAGATTGCAAACTAATAAAGAGGAAGGCAAAGCAGGGGCGCCTCGAACCAATTTGGTTGTCAAAAGAAAGTTGTAACACGCATCTTGGGAAACAACATCCGAAGTGTCCGACCGAATCAAGCTCCGAGGATAAGGCAGGTCAGCAAGTCAAAGCCCCAAAGCAGACCCTGGCGTCATACAGTAGTAGTGTAAATCTCGAAATGATAGAGCAGAGCGACATCCTGCAATGCTGCTCCTGGATCCGCATCGACACTTGCATCAGATTCAACTCCGACTCGGCTCTTCATATCAGCCGCATTATTGCCGCCCCTCTCAACACTAGCTAGTCAGCTCGTAGTGATTCCGTCATTGTGTCCCTCAGCAGTGGCCGCACTTTATGTTAAATCATGCAGCCTGTGTGTCGCTTTGCTCGTTCTTGTTGTGTCCCTGACTGGCCTCGCGCGAGAAGCAGGGGACGCTGATATTTTCTCATGCAGGCTGGCAGCCACTACTGTAGCCACTGTAGGCAGGGAGGTAAGGAAGCAATACTAAGCAGGAGTCGGCAGCCTCAATTCCGTGTTTTAAACATGGAGAAGTCGATAAAGTTTGAGCGTTGCGCGGCCCGATTACCTGCATAACATTCGACTTCTCCAGTACGTAGTGTAGTGGACTCAATAATGTCAATACAATCCTCTGTGTTCTCCCCTACCTCACTCTAGCGGATGTAGACCAGAGAATGCTCCGATCATAAATCTGTCTCAAATGCATGCCCTATAAATATTGGACGGTGAAAGGCAGAGGCCGCTGAGCTCAGCAAGATATATACAGGGGTTGGTGGGCAAAAGCTCCGCGGGGGCGACCCAAGATAAGACCATGAGATCCAGATCTATAGAATTCGGGACGCCGGGCGACCTGAGGAAGGGTCGGCGGAGTAAATTTCCCCCCTTTTCTTTTCTATGAGAGAAGGCTCATAGAAGGCTCCCATTCACATGACCGTTCCCGCTTTGCGGACCGTGATATGCCCTTTGGTCTTGAAGAATTCGGACCTCTGGACCTTCGAAATAGTACGAAGTCCGAATGGATTCGTCCAGAGGGAACGTGCTCCTCTGCACAACAAGGTTTCCTCACTTCCATTACGGGAAGAAAAGAGGCAAGGAGAGCGCAACCCAGGGAAGTGCTGGCGCCAAGCTAGTCGGTGTCACATCATGCTATTTCCGAGGACGCTCGCCTGACCAAACGGGCAAACTAGTGACAAAAAAGAGCCCCACTTCCTCGCGATCTTCATTCGGTTCCCAATGCTTATGTCAAAAGCCGAAACGACGTCAAGCTCAACTGTTGCCACCTTGTCTGGGGTTTCTGACAGAGATCGATCACCATCAGTGCTGCTGTGCCCACACTAAGAGGCCCAGAAAGGGAAGAAGGGGGGTTGACTTCGGGAAAAATGGCGAATAAGCTCCTCCTCCACATCTTATCGCGTCCCGCACACAGCTGCTGCTGCTGCTGCTGCCGCCTGACTGCCCCCCGCATCGACTTATCAACATCATCTTCGTGGAAAGATTGAGACTCGGAATGAGCGACTGGAAAGAACGCAGCCTCAAGCATCTGGCCAAGCGCGATGCCGCCGTGCCAAAGGAGTACCTCGTCGACCTAGCCTCGCTTGGGATCGAGCCGTGCCCCTTCACCAAGGAAGCACTGCCTCGTCCCTTGGATCCCAAGCTACCATTCAAGCCCGATAAGGATGTGTCGGCGAGCATCTATCCGACCGACTCGGTCGTCGACGTGCCTAGAAAGGTGCTGGACATGCAGGATGTCGCCATCACCGAGACGCCTCTCGAACAGCTCGTCGAGCACCTCGCGACCAAGAAGCTCACCTCGCTCCGATGCACAGAAGCGTTTCTTCGCAGGGCCCTCCTTGCCCACCAGCTCGTCAATTGCTGCACAGAGACCTTTGTCGACTACACGATCAGTCGAGCAAAGGAGTGTGACGAGTACCTTGAAAAGCAAGGCAAGCCAATTGGCCCCCTACATGGTCTCCCCGTCAGCCTCAAGGATCAGTTCCACATTGCCAAACTGACGACGTCGATGGGTTACGTCAAGGATGTCGACTTTATCGCAGAGGAGGACAGCGTCATCACCACCGTACTCCTTCGCGCCGGTGCTGTTCCCTTGATTCGCACAAACATCCCGCAGAGCCTGATGCGATGCGAGACGGACAACTACATCTTCGGTCGCACAGTCAACCCCTACAACCGAGCCTTCACCCCCGGCGGCAGTTCGGGCGGAGAAGGTGCCCTCGTCGGGATGCACGGTAGTCCTCTTGGGCTGGGCACAGACGTGAGTGCTCTTCATTTCTTTTCTGGCTAGTCTGTCTCCGATCTAGACGTACATGGTGCTAAATTATCAAGAGCAGATTGGAGGCAGCGTGAGGGTGCCGTCGGCGTTCAATGGACTCTGGGGCATGCGGCCTTCGATGCACAGGATTCCCTACGAGGGATCCGCCAACTCCTTTCTCGGCCAGCACACCGTCTATTCCGTCATCGGACCCATGACCCACAGCCACGGAGGCCTGGTGGCCTTCATGCGGGCTGTGCTGGGCCAGCGTCCCTGGGAGCTGGACCCCATCCTAGTCCCCATGGCATTCAATGAAGAGGCTTTTGCGCTCAAAGACCTCGGGCGAAAGTCTGGCAGCACCCACGACGATGAGAAGCAGGCTCTGCAGCCAGGTAAGAAAGGCCAGCTGTGCTTCGCCATCGAATGGGACGACGGCATCGTGCATCCACACCCACCGATCACGCGTGCGCTGCGTGAGGTGCGCGAGAAGCTCATCGCTGCAGGCCACAAGGTCGTTGATTGGGTGCCGCTGGACCACGCCAGGGCGTACGACATCATCGACCGCATCTATGCCGCCGACGGAGGCGAAGACATCCGTCGTTCATGCGCAGAGAGTGGCGAGCCCGTCATGTACAACCTCATGGCCGAGAGATACCAGGGCGCAGACAGGCCAAACGTCTCCGTCTTTGACTGCTGGCAGGTAGCCAAGGAGAGGGATGCCTACAGAAAGGCGTACCTCGATCACTGGAACGCCACGGCCGCCTCGACAGGCACCGGCAGGCCTGTCGACGCCGTCCTGGCACCCGTCAGCAACTGTGCTGCTTGTCCCCACGACACCAACGACTATGTGGTGAGAGTCTCGTCGGGCCAGACTCGTGTCTTTGCAATGGCCTCTCTTCTCTTGGCCTCTTGGCTCACCTTCTCTTCGAACATCTGTGACAGGGATACACGACGCAGTGGAACTTGACCGATCTGCCCGTCGTCGTCATGCCCATCACCCATGTGGATGCGGCCAAGGACAAGGCTCACAAGCTCGACGTGCCTTTCTACGAGGGCAGGGACGAGGAGTTTTGGACCCGATACGACGAGAACAAATGGCACGGCTTGCCCGTCAACCTGGGTCTCGTGGGCAAGAGGCTGCAGGACGAAGAGGTGAGATTGACCCCTTCACTCCTCCAGCTCTCCTGACACCTTTCAGTATGCTGACAAACGCACTCCATCTTCAATCTCCAGCTGCTGGGCTTGGCCAAAGTCATCGCCGACGCTGGCGCAACCCTCTCTAGCTAATTACCGAAGTTTGTTGACTGAGGGGCAGTGAAGAAGAAGAAGAAGAAGAAGAAGAAGAAGAAGAAGAAGAAGAAGAAGAAGAAGAAGAAGAAGAAGAAGAAGAAGAAGAAGAAGAAGAAGAAGAA